ATATACCTAGATAGCTTTAGAGTGCTTGTCTATAAGCATAGTAAGCTAAAAGCTACTATTAAATGCTTTCTATTTAACCTTTATTACATTAAAGTAGTAGGCTTTACCTAGTAGCTTTATAATATTCTTACGCAAATCCTTTAGCTTAAAGTGTTTTGCTTTAGCTAGTTCGCATAGTTAGCATAGTCTATAGCCTTTATGCTTTTAAAGGGCCTTTAGGCTAATTATACTTCTTATTATCTTCTTTAAAGTCTCCTTAAATCGATTTTCTAAAGAATGTCCTAGTCTCTTATATATTAACCGCACCTTCTAGTCTTTACTAACAGTATATACACCTACAATCACTACTAGCCTACGGTAGTCGCTTGTATAGTAGTAGTAGAGTACCTAAACTTCGATTGTAGTAATGTTCTATACTAACTTAGTTAGGGGTAGGATCTAACTGCGATTAACTTTAAGGCTAAACCCTTTAACCGCGGTGTCGATCGTCGAAATAATTTTCTTCTTTGCGTTTATTATATTGTCTTCTTATAGGCAATTGCCTCTACGATAAAATCGTAGGCCTAACATAATATTAATATAAAACTCTAGGCTTAAAAGCACGCCTTTTATAGTAATAAAGTTTTTATAGCCCTTCTTTTTTATAAAGTATAGTTTTACTATACCTTTAGTCTGCATTGTTACTACACCCCCCCTAGTGCAAACGCAGACTTTTGTCTTTTCTTTTAATCTAGGCGTAAACTACTTTAAATCGTTTATAAGGTGTATATTACTACTTATATTAAAAAGCTAAACGTTTATTACGTTATACGTATAGTTTACGCTTAATATAGCTAAGCACTTAGTGTTATCTTTTAGTATTAAGATACCTACAATTTCTTTGTCTTTAATTACCGCTAATACCTTATAAAGCTCTATCGATAGTTTTTAGTTACCTTTTGACGTTATAACGTTGTTACCTTAATAGTATATTAGACTATCTACTATGCTAAATCTAAATAATCCTATATTGCTAGCGTTACCTAGGTGGTTGTATAATACTTAGTTAACACTTTTCTTAATAGTAAGCTTACCTTTAGCCTTAAACCTATAGTCCTTAATAAGGTGCCTAGGCTTACTATAGTAGTAATAAAGCTAGTCTTTTTTTATAGTCTTTATTAATAGATATTTTAAAGTCTTTATTACTACTGTTTTCTTAATTAATCTTTAGTATAAATAAGAACTTATCTTTATTATAAGAGGTCTTTTTACTATAGTCTTTATTATAGTTTATACATAGTTGCTATAAGCGTAGTCTATTTAAGACAAAGTTTATTATTAACTTATAAACTTTAACGTCTAGTCTATTACTCTACTAGGACTACTAGTAAGCTTAAATATCTACGTATACGGTTGCTGCGCAGTCCTTAACTATAACAAGGAAATAATTAATCTTAGTCTTAATACTTAAAGTGTTAACGTAGTATTTAAATTCTTTAACAACGTTTTAATACTAAACAATCATATCTGCAAACTTCTTTTCTAGCTTTCATTTAAAGCCGAAAAACTTCTCCCTATATTCAACCGCGGTAGCCAACTTATTTAAGCAGTACTATATCTTAATCTAGTTGTACACTTTAATAGAGGTATTAACGTCGTCTAACGTCTATGCCATTTTTAGATTAATCTTGTCTAGCAGCATAGTACGAATAATCTACTAGGCGTTATCGTTGTACTACTCGATGTTAGTAATTATCTTAATCCTGCTAATAAGGTTTAGACTGTTTATCATAGCTTAGTTCCATTTTAGCCACTTCTTAGCTTTGTCTAGGCATATCTTAAGGCGATTAGTTCGTTTAATAAGACAGTCTAGCGTCTTCTCTAGCACCACTCTTAGTGCCGCAGGTATTAAAGGTGCCTGCCCTGCACTAGGTGCTAGTGCTCTGTTAGCTATAACTAATAATTCTAGTGATTAATTTAATAAATTTAATGGTAAGCGTGATCTTACTTGATCTTTAGCGTCCACGAAAGGACTTCCTTCTTCTTCTTCTTCTCCCGATACTAAGGGAGGATTGCTGTCTTCCGTTTCAGGGCCAACTTGACTCTGATTCGGGCTGGATACTTCTTCTTGATCTTGCTTCTGGTGACGGTTCCTCGGACGTGCGCTGGGAGTTTCCCAATAGCTCATGGGATCTGATCAAGGCTTCGCCCACTGGGCGGGAAAACTGGGTTTTGGCCCGAAAGGGCTGAAAAGTGATGCCACGAGAGGCGTATCGAGATAATTTGGTTAAAGAACAATGCTTTGTTTACCGGGTGTGCTCCCGGGCTCATAACCTGTCAAATTGTGTTGTAACTAGCTAGGAGAGGGTACATGGCGCGCCTTCACTGGTGCAGATATTTCACTGGGGCTAGTCCCCACTTTTTATCTGTCTGACCAAATGAGAGGCCGCGTTGCTGGCATTAGTCAGAACGATCACAGTGCGCTCCATTCTAGAGCTTCACAAATTTGAAGAAAGCTTAGAAGACGAAATCTGGTTATATCTGCTTCAAACGACTTTCTTACTCGGACTTTCAAACAAACCTATTTTTATTGCATAACAACTCTAGTCTGTTGAGTTGTTGAAGATGATACAATGCTAGACCTAAGTGGCTTACCATAAAAATGGGTGCCAATTGGCAGGCGCCACACAGTATATGTATTCTTTATCACACGGCACAAGTCTTCACATCCATCCATTTGACAGCGACAACAGTTGCTGCAGTAAGAGATATATCTCCTGGGACATGTGTGGCTTGCTCCGTATAATGCTGATTGAGAAGCTCTACATCGCTCTTATATTAGTTAAAATCTTATCGTTATATATAGGCTTTTTTATCCTGTCTGCTCTAACAAGGATGCTGTAGCCTCTGACGTGGAAAGGTATGAAGCACGGTGTAGTACTAGTGCTAACAGCCAGTTTGACTTAAAAAGAAATGCACGATGCTTCGCAATAAAGGCTGCATTACTACACGACTACTTGAGATGGCCTACAAGGCGCCAACCGGAATAGTCCACTCACACTTTCCGTATTAGCGCGCGGAAAAACCCGTTGACCATAAATCTCAGACTACCGGTCGCACAACACGCTCATGAAGAGTCCTATCAATGGAAATACTTTTTTTCGCTAAAACGCCGTTGGATGAGCATTGGGCTCAGCTGAAACAAATTTGCGCATGATTGGAGTAGGCGGAATGGCGGGGCTTACCGATGCACCGCCTCAGCGCACAGGGGGCACTTTCTTACGCCTGTGACTGTCTATGCAGGCACTCCCTCTTTTCTGTTCTGGGCTACTACAAAGCGGCGGGCCTAGAAATTAACAGCGAATAATAAGTAGAATCGGTTGCGCTGCAACTGCATGTTCACTTCTCAAGCTTCTGTAACGTAGACCAAGCCGAATGTACATTATCAAATGATATCCCATTCGCACTCTTCCAGAGTATTGCTTCATATGGATACAAGGTTTAGAATAAAGTGGCATTCACAATGGACGGACCTTGGCATATGTGTGTTGACCGAGTAAGACATACGATGTTGCGGATCTGGACGTGACGTACTCCGTACGGAGTTAAACTTGACCGTCGACATTTGCTGTGATTAAAGCTTGGCGAGTCCTAGCAGTTTCTTCAGGCGCAACCGTTTCACAAATGACCTAGGGTGCGCACAGCTCTGCTGTGTGTTATGTCGTATACGCGCGCATACAGGTTCGTCTCTGGAACCTGCGATTTTCGGCATCCAGTCAATAGAGTAGGACACGAAAGGCAGAGGACGGCCGAGAGTCAATCTGCCTGGCTGCGGCCATGCTGCCTGTGGTCTCTTGAGTGAAAGGGCTTCACCACCTTCGACGGCGTACGGACAGAACTAATGCTCCTCAGATGATAAAGCTGAGGCGATCACGCCTGCTGAACTCGCAGAACGTCCGTATGGTAGTTACCGAGCTGTACGAGTACTGCTGCAGCTGCAGCAGCTGCCTTGCCGTGGATAGTGGTGTTACGGCGTGTATGTACCCATGGCATCGACCGCTTCGATCTCGACTCGTCGCTCATGCTCTTCGGCGCCGGTTGGCAAACACGACCTAGCGCTGCCTAACTTATAACCACACCAACTGACGGAGCTGCTGGACATGACCGACCAGACGGAGGGGTGGATTGGCGACGATTGCAATTGAGTCGACATCTTGCAAAGAAAAAAAACCGAGTACCCAGGGCGCAAGTACCACACAGTCTTATTTGAGAAAGATTTCCTCCGATTTATTCTATTTTATCCCATCGAATTATTTTTCTTATTTTTAGCGTGTCGCCACAACAAGCTTTCCCTTGTTACGAAGGAATGCCACGTCTATTCTTGGCTAGACCGTGGCCCAATTTTATTGCAAAATGTTGGTTTAGAGACCGGGAGCCTCGACTCCAACCATTTGCAGCCTCCGTACTCCGTACTCCGTACAAGCGTGGAGACTAAATCAGCGTCTGCTGAGACACGCATGGCCGCATATGGGTTGTGCAGACTGCAGACGGCAAAAATAAAACGCAAGGCTGACGAATGCAGGTGGCTTAGAAGGGAAAGCAAAGGAAAGGATAGAGAAAGGAAAAGGAAGAAAAAAAGCTCGCACACGAGATGCGGGAATGCAGAGGCGGGAGCTGTAAGAACAGCTGACGCAGACTAGGAAAGGCAGCCTTTGAGACGGATCATAAAGTACGGAGACAGTGTACGAGCACATGATACAAGTACGAGTAGACACGCCAATTCGGGAGCACGACGAGTACAGAGCATTCGTATCTTACTGGTCGGGGTATTCGGACGGGAGAAGCCGCCATAAAACTGGTCTGCAAACTGGCGCCTATTCTCGATTGGACGAGCTGGAGCTCAGCCATCAGCACCGCCACAAAAGGCTGCACTAAAGAAACGGCTAGTCACTAGCAGTGATCTGCCTAACAGGGCTGATTACCTGCTGTACATACTCGTACTCCGTACGAGTACTAGTATCTCATCTTGCCATCGCAATGCTCTGGCAAGGCCCGGGGATATCCGGAGGCTTGGGGAACTGTGGGACACGAGAGCAATATCCCTGCACCCCATCCAGCAACGTAGACCACGCCGTACTTCTATCGGCTAGTATGCCGTTCTGACGTAGCGCGTTGACAGACGAGACGTCATCTCGGATTTTGCTGGCAGCGGGGCTGTAACTACAGCGATCACCTGCACTGACCAGCCGTAAACAGCGGTGTCGCAATGACTGTATCGGCACGACGTTGACGCACCTCCTGAGGCTCTGCTCTTCCGCCATTCTTCGGTCCAAGAAACTGCCGTCCTGGAGCGGACAGAGACAGAGACAGAGCAAACAAAGTGGGCAGAACACGAGTGTCAGCATGTGGGCAAACACATGACGACGCCTCTGGCGTCCATCCGGACCAGACAGTTCTAGGCTGTTCCCTATTGCCACCTCGTGTCGAAGCCTGAAAAAAAAAAATGATTTTTATGTTGATGTACGGGTGCCATCTCTGGCCGAGCGTCGTGCATGCTTGAAGCTTGCCGGATCTTGGCTCTTGATCCTCTCCAACAAATCATGGTGCGACAGCAAGCCAATCAGCGACGAGGGAAAACTGCACAAGAAAACTGCACAAGAGGCGACCGCTTGACCTAACGGGCTGAACCATCACCGAGATCGGATGCCGATTGAGCACAGCTGTGGTATGCATCATGCAATCCGGCCTCGCCATCCTCCCGCCTCGGCGCCCATGTGCTTATGTACAGGCTGTGCCGATTGTTATTGCCAGATCGTCGCGATACGAGTCAAACTCGGCCAGATGTGAACGGCTTTATTTTTTCGTCGTCACAAGTGCAGGGGATCGGCCAGTGAGTCAGCCGACGAGCCGTGGGATGCGTTCCGTTACGCGTGAGTCTGTGCGAGTTGCTCCGTACTCGCGGCATACGAGTACGAGTAAGAGTATGTGCGTAATAATGGCAGTCGATTTTCGTCATGCGGCTTGCTCCTTCGACGGGTCCTCCGGCTGGTCTCCACTCCTCCGGCCACCCTCGTCGTAGCCTGTTTTGTCTCGCGCTTTGGGGTACGCGCAGAAGCGCTTCGCTCTCTTTCCATTGAGTAGTTACCTTGCTGGCTTATAGAAAGTCTACCCCCTGTCCGTCGACCACTTTTGCAAAGACCTTGTGCTGTTTCGCGACTGCTATTACTGGCTCTCGTTCGCTCTCTGTGTGACTGTAAAAATAGCAATACTCTCCATATGGAACGATCATGGCGACACAGTTAAAATAGAAACAAATGGAAGTAGTCCAAAAAAAAAAAAAACACATACAAACAAAAATACGGAAACAGGAGATCAGCGAGCCAGGACTCCTCCTGCACACCATCTCTTCTTCTCACTGACTGCTGCCTTCGAGTCAGTCAGCAGGTCAGCTACCGTACGCACCCCTGTCTCAAACTAAACTGACTAGCCTAGTCCGGCCAGATGCACCTCGCCTCATTGACGAATTGACGTTGTCTGAGAATAAAACGAGATGGGAAAAACTAGTTTCGTGGGTGGAGACGGACCCCAAGGCAGCGACACGACAGACTTATCCGGCCTGTGATACTCTTTGGCAAGCCACTGCTCACTGGTTAGTGCCTGCCTAAAGTTCCTGCATGCGCACTGGCGATTGCAAGATCTGCACAAGGCCTACAGCACGTCCCACAGTCTAATGCACCACTTTTTTTTCTACCTCCACCATCGCGACTGCCTACTCGTACCTCCGTTGCGCATATAAACACCACCGCCTTCCCATATTACGTTCACCACTTCTTGGGATATCTTCTTCCTATCCTTCTCACTTGAACACTGCACTCCCACACTTCCACACTTCAACTTCACATTTTGTCTCCACTCTCCCGTCACACCTTCGAAGTGTCTCCTCATCACTCAGCCCCTTCCTACCACACCACCCACCGTGGCCGGCTGCCTCCATGTCTTTGAAAGCCCGTTCTAAAGATCATCCCATACCTAACACGGCCGATTGACAGCCACGCATACAACATAGCCTGCTGGTCTTTCAGTGCACCCTCACCAAGTTCTCAATCCTGAAGTCTGCGACTTGCAATCTGATTTGAATTTAAAACCAACTATCTCTACAACTTTGTCCAGCCCCTCCAGCAACTGCCATCTATCTAACCTACGCTCCTGGAGTAACTCACCACCATGTGTATCAAAAGAGTCTTCCACAACACCTACAATGACGGCTACAAAGACGTCACCCAGCGCGTGGACCCGTGCCAGCTGGGTCACATGTGCCCCAATCCCCGCATTATCGAATACGACTGCGACTTTAAAAAGTCGCATCGTGAGGCTGAAATGGCCCACACGCGGGGCGACCATTCCCTTCCAGCTTCACTGAAGATATTCCCACCCACGCCGCGGTCATTGTCGCCGTCTAGCCCTGGCTTTGGATCCCGGTCTGGCTACAGCACCAGCGGCGGCGGAGACCGGCGTCGCCCCGACAGTTTTGTTAACGGTACATCCAGTCCTCGAGTGAATGTCTTCGTGGCGCCTGAGCCGCCTACGTTCAACATCCACCCTATCAATATCCAGCGCAAATCTACAATGCCACGCGGCCTTGAGACACCACCTCCAGAGCGCGGCCGATGGCCGGTTGTCGTCGAGGACCACAAGCCACGGGGCGTAAGCAGTGCCAGTCCTTCTGTCCCTGTCGTGGTGGAGCATGCGTCGGCCTCCCGTCTGAGCAGACGCAAGAGCAAGCTTGATCGCCACACAGACAGTAGCCGCAACCGGTCATCGAGCCATCATCGCCACCACGAAAGCACCCGCGCTTCGGCCATGCCCGCCTACGATACTTATCTCAAACCGCACAGCCGCCACACTACCCATTCACCCCCAGGCTATGGCTCGGCCGAGGATGAACATGATCGGGAGGCACGCCGGCGCCGTCGTCAAGCTGCGAATGAACGTGCAGCCGTGACGCCGTCTTCACTACCGGTCTTCGGAAGCAATAACGTTCTTGGGACGTCCTACAGCTCGTCAACGACTAGTTACGGGTCCAACTCGGCCACCGTCTCACCAGCCGTGGCTACTGTCAGAAAGGAACTGCGGTGGGAAGACGAGCAGCGGAAGAAGCAGAATGCAGACATCAGCAAGCGTCCTAGCCTGTCCCGGTCGCAAAGCGTGAAGGACAACACAAAGCTGCAAGGCGACGTCAAGTCCATTCTCAAAAACGGCCCGCCTGTACCGATCACTCCTGATGTTGAGCGGTCACCGACAGCATCGCCAAAGGCTTCACCACGCGATCGGCGGGCTTCGTTGTCAGCGACAGACCATCGTACCACCGACATTGACGACGTTCTCAACTCATTTGCTGGTCTTGGTATTCATGGCCGTGGTACCTCGCCGGCTGATCGTGCATCAGAGACTTCTGCCGACCGAGAGTACCGCGACCGGATGCGTGGCCGCTTTAACATGGCTCCACGACACTTCATGGCTGGCGGCAGCTCCAAGCGGCGGACAGAGGTCTGGTACCCTGATGAGGGACGCTATCGGTTTACGTGATTACCGGTTTATTGATTCAAATATTATGTCTTGCCTCTATTTCTGGTGAAATGTGTTTATATTGCATAGTTTGGAATACAAAAGACCGAGTGAATAATCTTTTTGAACCTAGTGAAACTTGCGGCAAAGGCTCGGCCATCTCAGCAGGTTTCTGGCTGTACGGAGTATGACTCGACCCTACGTCGTACTATGTAGCACCCTTACAACCGCTAAAATGCCCTAATGCGACCCGCTTCGGACACTTGCAACAGTTAGTGCAGTAGCGGCAAGTAGCGGCAGTAGCGGCGAGCTGCTGCCTAATATCCGGGGTTCTTCAGTGGAGCCTGACTGTTATCGCATTATATTCTGCGGGTTCACCTCCACCTCCACCAACACCATCTCGACGGCGCATACACGAGCACACCCTCAAAGCTGATGATGCGACGGCGGTACCAGTCATCTCAGCGTTGTCGATACAAGCCAGCGACAAAATTATCCGGCGATACATACATCGTAGCAGCGGTGGGAAGCAGAGTTGGCGGCCGTGTACGGAGTAGTAGGGTGTATTTCCGTACGGAGTAATACTCCGTACGGAAAATCTTTTTAAATACACTGCACAGGTCTCTACACAAAGTTATTTCAAGCTTACATAGTAGTTAGTTCGACGACAATCTTCTCTCAGGCCTCTTCTGTAAGCACTCCTTTGCGTGCTTGCCCTTCATATTAGCAAGCTCCTGGTCCCCTCATATCAGTAGTCGGCAGATGCGGGAGTTGTCACAGGCCTCTGGCCTTTTGTTCAAGACAAGGCCTTACAATCTAAGCCCTTTCAATTTAAGCCCTTTCAATTTGTTCCACTGCTTCTTCTCCGGAATTTCCAAAAGACTAGAATTTTAATCCCTACGCCAAACCGGGTATGCTCGCATCCATAGGCGCAATCATAATTCACATATTGCATGTGATCTAAAGTTCAAGAGGAGCGACAGGTGCAGCGTGTACTGCCAGGCTCGGGACCGTATCCGACGGCGGTGTTCCACGTCGCGGTCCCAGCCGTACGAATTCGGATACAACGCTTGGTACCAGCCGTAAAAATCCGACTGTGCGCGAAAGGCAACTTGCAGTTCAGGTTTAATTGACTGCACTACGCCGCTTGCCGAGACGTTTTCAGAAGGAGGCATTTACGAAACTAGAAGGAACGATAAACGTTTACCAGTCTCCCTTTTTAAGCGCTGACCGATACTAATTATCAGCGAGCAGTTTAATGCTTACGCGTCTGCTTATATAAGTAGGAGGCCACGGTAGGAAGTGAATCTATTCAAATATGGTCGGTTGCACTTTGTAGCAGTTTGATCTTTTTCTGCAGTATTAACGAACGACATAATTGCCTGACATGTTCTTCATCCCCACCGGGCCACCATTTTGTCCCGCTTTTCGCTTCCCTTGCGTGCAGCGGCCAATTTGTCGGCGACATCTCCGAGACGCGTGCGGATGTTGTCCACCTCCTGTGCCATCACGGCGATGGAGCCGTCAATCTCCGGGTCCAGAAGCTGCACTGCGCCAAACCCGCTCTCTGCGAGAATCGACTCGCGGGTCATCCACAGTGCGCGACGGCCGTCGGCCAGGTGCGCATTAGTGTCTGCCTCAAAAGCCTCCTGCACGTTGGTGGCTACGCCGTCGGCTTTGGACCGTCGGTCGGTTAGTGTAGAATGCAACGACAGCGCATTAACCATGTTGCCGTAGTCGCCACTCTCGGCGTGTTGCCCGCCGCCGTTTCTGACAACGTCGTCTGGTTCTGGCAGCAGGAGAGACAGCGTCTGCAGCAGCTGCTCGAAAGGGGATACGTCGACAAGCAGACCTACGCCGGAGGAGCGGCGTCGCCGCACAGGAGACGCCTGCTGCTGGCCGTATCCGGCTCGTGGGTGGCGCGCGGGCGAGCTTGCTAGGCTGTATCGTCGCTCGTCCGGTCTCCGTGCTATCGAGGTTTGCACAACAACCTCGGACCGCGCCGTGGCGACTATGGCGCTTGTCGCAGCTTGATGCGAGTTGGACGTCAGTATGCGTGCCGAGAGGAGGTAAATCTGCTCGAGAAGAAAGTCGAGACACTCGTTGACCTGCAAGAGGAGGAAAACAGCGACCGTCAGCACTGCCACGAGGTCCTGCGAAGCTCCCTTTAAACGCACATAGTCTAATGCCAGCAGCGATCTCGCCGTATTCCGCCCATTTCTCTTTGAAATGGACTTGAGAGCAGGGTCTAGGTACTGTTGGTCAACAGACATTTGCGCAACTGGTAGAATTTCTGAGTACAGAGATTCTAGCTCGTCCTGCAGCGCGACCACGGCGCCTGCATCGTCACCGTTTTCACAGGAGGAAGACCGAGCCTCCGAGGCCGCCTCAATGGCCTCCAGATAGATCCGGTCGAGCTTAGTTCGTATGGACTCGACTGTGTTTTTAATTAGCCGAAGGCAGATGTCGCGCAGCTGACTAATTGTCTGCTGCTCGTCTGCGTCGTCCGGAGCCGCCAGTGCCCAGCCCAGCTTCTGCAGGCTGACTAGCAGCTTGTCGTCCAGCCGGCAGAGTCCGTCAACCATCTGCTGAGCATACCCCTGCGTCCCCTTTGCCTGCTGTTCTACCTCGGGAACGTGGTCGCTCAACCTCCGGGACAGCTGCTCCACACCAACACGCAGGTTGTTTCGGCGAAACTCCCACTGCCGCATGTGCCGTGCCTCAAACTTGGAGCGAGACTCGTTGGCTTGCCCCACAGTCTTGACGAGCCGGGCCACCGCGTCCAGCTGGTGTTGGATCATGTCGGTCTGCTTGGAGATCGCTTCGGTGGAGCTCTCCAACGCCTCAACGGCTGATCGTAGCGCTGTTTCGTGCACAGGCAGCACGCCAGAAATATTGTCACCAGACACATCCAGGTTCTCTGCCTCTCCGCTGTCCTGCAGAGCGTCATAACTGTTTCTCTCTTGAGTTGCCATGCGTGCAAAGGAGTAACAATACGGCTGACCACGTGCCAGCCGGGGAAATGGAGTTTCAAAGAGAGGGAAGAAAGCAAGCGTCAACCTACAGTTCAAGCTCGTCTAGGGACAAGAGTGTGTCTTCCGCCAGATGAATTTTCGCCCACGAGCAAAAATTGGCATCTCGCAAGCATGCCTCGATAGTCGCATTGTCAAAAGAGGCACCGTGTGAGCGAAGTATACCCACGAGCATTTCGTTCGACATTGTTTTGGTGGCTCTCGCAGCTGTAGCGGACCGTAAGCTCCCTCGTGGCGTCAATAGCTCGTACCTGTATTTTTCCCATAAAAAATAAAGACAAAGGCACTGCGCCGCGATTAACTCAAGGCAACATTTACTCTCTAGGGTGTTGACACGGGTGCCAAAAACGCGGCCTAAGTTGTGGCTGCCGTTTGGCGAAACTGCTACATTTGTGGCGCCACTCAAGGAAGCTGTGGCTTGTCCCAAGTTGTACGGAGTACTCCGCAGTGAAGTATACAAAACAGGCTAGAAAGCACATATAAGAACGGGCCAGCAACAATCAGTCCTCGTGCAGCGTCTGTTATACATTTCCCTATTTAGTGCTTTATGCACCATAATATTCTTACTAACTTGCACTGATAACGCTTGCTAGAATAATAAGATACATGCAAATGCTCTCGCTGCCTTGGCGTCGCGAAAAACGTCAACGAGCGGGAAATCACCGCCTAGGCATACGTCCCAGGCAAGACGATGGTGTGATCTGCTTATGGTAAGATACAATGATAGTTTCACTGACTTCTTGCGTAATGGGCTGGGGCGCAGGTCGCTGACTTTGGAGCGATACGCCAGTTTACCGGCTCCTATTCGACGAGAACTGAAAGTGCATGTTCGACAACTCATCGCGCCCGTGAAACAAATGCCCGGTAATTACCTAGGACACAGTATTCTTGGTTCCGTAAGTGTTCTGCCGGAACCGTGCTTACCTTGTTGCTGGTCTCTTGTGGTGCGTGTTCCCAATTATACAAGCAGCTGGCAGCTACACACACATGGCATTGGGCTATGCCCAGTACATGCAGAAGGTATCCGCCTGTGCAGCCACACTCACGTCTCCAGCATTGGTCACCTGCCAAATGACCAAAGAGTGTACGAATATGTATCTTGTGGGGATTTGGGGGGAGGGGGGACTTAGCAGATTCTCTGGGACAGTGTTCAATTTAGTATGTGTCTAGAAGACGCAGGCACAGCCCCTTTGCAAAGGCGGAGCCGTACAGGTCGACATATTCTCAAGGGGAAGCTGTGCTACTTCTGGGCGAACGCTATGGCCGGATTTTCCCAGCTTCCTGCTGAGCAACATGCAGCAGTGTATTCGGCAAGTCCTATCAGTACGCATGTACCCTGGTCCATGAACAAGGAGTCTTGTATGGTGTCAACAAGCGAGAAGAAGAATGCGGTGTGGAAATACAACCTAGCGCATGCATGTTTGAAAATAGAGGTGGAGACTGAGGGCGAAACGGCAACGAATATGCTGATGAAACGGACGCAGCTTAAATTGAGATGCAGTTCGAGAACCTCTGATCAACTAGCATCCATGAATGACAGTGCATGGCTTGGGAAATCGGACTTGGGAAATGGGACCGACATGTGAGGACATCCTTTCCCAGGCCCAGCATATGGTGAATTTGAGTAAGGTCAACCACGCCACGATGCAGAGCCCTCTGACATGCTAGTCTGAATTAGCTGAGGTCGACATCTTGCCATGAGCCCAGACTTTGTGGCTGGTGGTGGATGGTGGTACCAACGAATTTCGTGCAGAACTGGGCAGCGGCCTCGGACCACGGCAGGCCTTCCCCAACCTCTCCCCGGCTCCCATGAGGCATCACTACATAGTACCCGCAGATATTTTCGGCGCAAGAATACCGGACCTGAACGAAAGCAGAAGAATATGGATGGCTGAGCTGGGCGTGTGGCACATCTCTCATCCCATCACTTCGGTCGACGTGGTTGTTTGTTTTCGTGACACTACCCTAAAAAGAGGATAGTTGTTAATTTCGCCCCTTTGCTCCTTCCTTAGATCTGACATGTCCGGACGTCCTGCTGAACAGCTTGCACTTGGTCGGCATTTCGTTTGGCTAGACCCACCAGGCAGCTCGAACCGGCAACTAGCCACCGTTTGGATCGGGCACCTACAGGTCCTTTGCCACAAGTATCACATTTGCAGGTTTCTCTTAGGCTCCATATTGACGATTAGGAGGCCATGATGTACGACGTAATGACACACTCAAAACCGCATACAAAGAGAGGGAAAATAGAGAAAATCAGTGGATCGTGCGGCTAGTCGGTATTAACATGAGGGACGTAACGTCAAGTCTGCTTCCGTCCGTTATCGATCCGAAGAGAGACAAGGTTAAAAATTGGTCAGAAATGACAAACCCGTGACATGGGAATGGGATAACCGGAGGGCACAGCATGGCGGAATGAAATACTGCTTTTTTATCTGGGACAGTTTGAGGAAAGTCAGTTTTAAGACAGTTTTTTTTTAAGCAGTTTATCTCTGTTGTGATATGATGGCCATCGCAGGATACAGCAAAAGCGGTCTGCTCAATGAAAGGCAAAGCGCCGTTCTTATATCAGGTAGCCTCTCAAGACTACATTCCAGAACGTCTGCAGTTTGCCTCCACGCAACGGACGCCTTTTCTCTAGACATATATTCGTGTGGGCCATTGTGCTTGTGCTCTGTGTCTGCGATTCTTTGTATACATGCGACACACTGTGTACGTACCTGTGATTATTGGTGCATATGTAGAATACTGTACCAATCCGCGATGCTGTGCCAATCATGAGGCCTTGGCCAGCCTTGGCCACCGGGCCTCTGATGGGCAGAAAACGAGAACAGATAACGAAAAAAGAGCCACTTGCCGCAGAGAGGATGTGAACCATCCGCGCTACTCCTTCTCTCGGAAAATAGGCCAGGGTCTGGCATTATCCATACGCAACCTGCTGTTAGCAACATGAGTTTTGAACTCGCTGTTCGGAGATTCCTTGGGTTTGATGTCCTCAGCTTGGTGATCTACCAATATGCAGTAACGTGGCATGCGACCAGATAAAAGCAGAGGCCAATGACCTTGACGCTATGCATGCCCCATGTGCAGCATTTTCAACAGAATCTGGGTCTTGATACGTCTACTTTTGCAACGAGGCAAAACACTTACCGAAATAGCCGGCTTGCAGGCAGGCTCCAGCATTCGTCGGAAATATCGGCATCATAAGCCAACCGGGACTGGCCTTGTTAATCCGTTCGACTCGTTGATTCACCGGAACGTACACGAAAACGCCTCTCGTCTATGTGTATCTGTGTGTGTATAGGCAGTCCGTGTTCATAATAATGGGACCATATATGCTAGTTACCAACCACGTACGTCTGTGAGATATGCTTGGAGAACCCTGCCACCCTTGGACAAGCCCCCCTGCCGAGATTCTATTTTTCTCCTTCATGACCCCCGGCTCCCCTCCATTGCCTCATATCAACAATCTTGCCCTATCGGGGAGGAAGGCATTCATTTACACAACCTCCAAGACATTCCTTTCCGTTCCCACCCAGCCCGTGCTTGTTTCCAGCTGACTACCAGCAGGAACAAGTGCATGTCACGGCGATACGAACAGGCTCGGTTGTTCAAACGCATGACGATTGATTGACGACGAATGAAAAGTCAAGAACCAGAAAGCTGGACAAAACGGGGCTGTGTACACCGTTTGAAAGGCGGTTACTGGAAATGATCGGCTGCTTAGGGCGTGGCAACGCATCGTTTGTGCTGTCTCTGCCCTCGTGTTTCTGCCGGCTGGCTCCTGCTGTGGGAATTAACGGGTTGTTTTCTTGGTACGCCTCGCTTTGGTTCCCTCTTCGAGATACAGATAACCAAGCTAGAGCTCCTTGGCAGCATCATCATAAGAAGAGGCTTTCGACCAGCTGATGACAACCTTTTGTCTTTCATTTTAAGTTGTCTTGCTTTCTTGTCTCTAATTTCTGTTGAACTCCGCTCCTGTCTCTTCATCATTTATTATGCCCACACCCTTCGTTCTCGAATAGATATTTGTATCTTCCTCTTCTTACATCTTGTTCCTCCATCTCCATCAGCTGTTGATGTGTTTCATCACTACCCCAAAAGTCACAGCTCTGGAACTACTGTTCACCCGCTGGCAGAAGAGTATCCAAATAATGATGATGAGACTAACCGGCTGGGTTAGGGAGTACTGTATGGGCCGATCCTTGTTGGCTGAGCTCAAAAAGAACAGGAAATCCTACTATGATGGCGTCACAGCTGTCGTCCTCCTATTTGTGTCCCAGCTGCTCATATGTAGCCTGGAGCATGTCACAAGAAAAATAAACGACTTTCCGGCCCCAATTCTGGCTATGGTTCTTGTGGCAGTTGTCCTGATTCTGATAGAAAGATTTGTGACCGACATAAACGGGATGTACGTTGAATATTTAAGACGACCGGTAAGAATTCTCCACCGCGACATGCTTTTTTGGGCTGCTAACCCGAGAGTAGACGGACCTCATCAACAGGCACATGTCCATTGGATTCACCGTACCGTTTACCATGATCATGAAGGATCCCGCTTGGACAGCGAAAGAGGTTGGACTGATCGTGTCGGGATTCAGTAAGATAGAGAGCGAGGCACATCCTTCCACCAAGAACGAACGGGCGCTAATAGAACGCAGTAATCACGGGCATACTCAATACGGCTGCGGTATGGGGTCTCTCTTACGGAGTGCAAAATTTCATTGTGAGAGTGGGAAGACGGCGACTCGGTATTGAACGAGATACGCTAGTCGAAGCTACTAGCAGGCGCAGTCCGACACAAATTCGAGGGGGTCTCCAAGAACATGGTGACAGCTATGTATCTACGTCGTCCACACTGACAGACAACCACTCGGTGCACTGTACGAGCGACGAAGAGGTAAGGGGAACCACGGCGACAAACAGCCAACAGCAGCAATTCCGGCCACTCACGCAAGCTGATCTCGGCTTTCCAGAGAGTGAAGAGCCGGCCGGAAAATTGTGGCATTGCTGGGCAGGAATATGGCGGCTTGTTGCGAAAAATCCGGTTCCCGTCTTGAGTCTCGCTGGCATCGCCATCATCGGATTTCCCACAGCCCGAGCCACTGGCAATGATGCGGCACTGGACACCTTTTTTCTCTTTTCCCTCTGGACTGGAACCTTGGCAGCGCAGTCAACAGTCAAAAACACGACACATCTCCACCGACACCCACGGTGGCGAATAGTGCTTGCCACGCTGCTCAATGCTGTCTTGTGGACCTCGCTTGGAACAATTGCCTACACGACTGCGAAAACAGCGGCGAAGCACGTGACCATTGTGCAGGCTCTGAACAGTTTCCATACCGGGACAACGCTGGCGGACCTGATATACGCGGGCTCGCATAGTGACGCGACGATGGGAGCCGGAGATATTGCTACTTCTGTCCTAGATGCTGGCATCGTGATTTGGGGATTGAAGCTGTTTGAGTGTCGGGCCCAGCTGTTTTCAAGGGCCGGCCTGACGGCACTCATGGTGGGCTCCGTGTTTGCAGTCATCAGCGTTGTCGGCGGGCCGCTGCTGGTGCATGCTATGGGCCTGATACCGGCCAGCCGTGCGCTTGCATTTGCGGCGCGCAGTGTCACTATAGCGCTGGCTGGACCGGCAATGACGAGCCTTGGCGGCGACTCTGGTCTCAATGCAGCGATGGTAGTAATTAATGGCATCGTGTTCCAGGTGGCCATGGGCTTGGGAGCTTGCCAGTGGACGGTCCGGATGGTGAGTCACATCGCCCGGCGCCTCAGCTTAGTCAGCCGAAGCGGCAGCAGAAGCTGCTGTGAAAGCAGAGAGATCAACGAGAACAGCGAGTCCAGCAGCTACATTCTACCTGGTTTGACGGTGCAGACAGATTCAGCCCCGATGCCAGTATTGGCTCGTTGGGTATCCAACAGCGACCAGAATGTGACATTGGAGGCCGAAAGAGCCGTTGTCGCATACGCTGTTGAGATGAAGGCAGGACTAGCAAAGGGAAGTGGGGGTGAATGCATGGTGTCCATGCGTGGAGGTGAAGACATTTCAGATAACGAGACGGCGAGCAGTGACAGCCCTGGAACGGTAGCCGTGGGCATGATGGTCGGTGTCAATGCCGCGGCCATGGGCACAGCGTACCTGTACGAAGAAGCATCTCGGGCAGCTCCGTATGCGGCATTGTCCATGACCGTTTTTGGCGTTATGGTGGTGGTCTTCACAGCAATTAGGCCGCTGGCCGCCTGGTTGGCATCGCAGGTGACCTAAGGTTCGGTGATGTCAGAGTCGGGCTCGGATGAACCGATAGAGAGGCGATTGACCTGATAAACCGTTGACAACCTGAAAATCGACACGGCAGCGAAGTCCATGATCCAGCATGCATCTTTCTTCCAAACATCTTCTCCTCAAGCTGATATCTAAGGACGAGGGGGAGCGTAGGAAAGGCGAGTTTTGGTTGGCTTCAGCCCCATAAGGGAAAATGAGGCGATGGAAACGATATATACCCGTTTTTATTGAAGGACTGTGACAGTGAGAAGAACACAAATTATAAGTAAACGAGGGATGTGATATCAGACAGGACACGGTCAAGACACCAGTCGCACAGCCCAAACAAGCCAATTATAAACCAGGGCACTTGAAACCACTCGCAAAGGGCTTCCTCTATGGCGGGGAGACTATCTAGATAACGGCCGGAAGAGTGAAGTGTGGCAAATGCAGAATATGCGGTCGTCTTCTCGTCCCCTATCTTCGTTCCAAGTTGTCGGCCATCTAGTGCTCCTATTGGCCGACAACTCGTCAGCCGTGCGTTGTCTCATGCTAAGCTGTGTTTGCGTGCCCGTGCGTTAGTGCTGTGACAAATAAGGACAAGAAGAGCGGCATCCCCTTTCTTACCGCTCGATCAGATGAAGCCCGCTGGCTGTCTCAATGATGCCGCTGACTTCGCCAGGCTTCAACGCAAATGCCGCGTCTTCAAACTCTTTTTGCATGTCGCCCCGGCCGAAGTACCCCAGATCGCCTGACTTGCGGGCACTGCTGCAATCCGATTCTGTCAGTGCCAGCTCGCCCAGCGAGATCTCGCCGCGCCGCATGCGATCCTCGTAGCCCGAGATGATGCTGCGCGCCTCTTCCTTGCTGCGTGTGATCTCCGCTTCCCGCCAGCTTGCCGGCCGCCGGCTGTCGCGATGCTTCACTAGCAGATGTGCCGCGCGGATCTTTCCTGCCTGCTGCTGCGCCTGCTGCTGTTGCAGCCGCTGTCCCGAGTGGTACTTGGCCATGTACAGCTTGAGCTGTTCCGTGTTGGTCTGGTTGGGCGGCTCCCAGCGCGATGTCTTGTCGACATTGTTGAAGTAGTACGGTAGGTTCTTGCTGTTGCTGTGACGAACCTCCCAGTTGGGCGGCAGTCCGGTCTCTTCCTGTGAGCGCGCCATCGGCAAGTCAGTGGAACTGCTACATCTCGTACCTTGATTCGCTCAGATCAATCACGAATGCCAGAGGGGCAGACTCAAGGCACACGAAGGGGACTACGTACACGATTCTCTCCAGACATGTTTGCGTGTCTGTGCTGTGATAAAACGAAGACTGTACTCGGTGGTTAGTCTAACGGCGTCGTCGGCGATGCTGGCTAGTTGACGATGCTGACAATGTAATAGTGGGAAAACTACGAAATCTACATTGCTGTTGAGGGGGGAGATGGCTAAACCAATAGCAGGCACTACTGCCGTCATAGGCTGGCCCACGGTGTCGGTTAGCACACGCGGGGGTGGGGTATCCAGAGGCATCTGTGGTTCGCCAGTAATTAAATCCTGGCACTGCAGCCTGGCGAGTCTGAAATGCACTGATGTGACTAAGTCAAGACTTAGTCATCAGAATGGCTCCCTAAGCTTTAAAAAATATCCACTATTACTTGTGCACCTCCTTTGCCACCCACTTTTTTTACGACATCCATACTCTACATACTACATACCATTTTCTTTCGACGCGAACTTCCTTACCGCATCTCGATAACCCAGACGCGATGGCTTCCCCCCAGTCGACAACGTCTCACGATGACTCCAAGAAGAACCTCGAGCAGATCACTTTTCGCTTTTGCGCCGAGTGCTCCAACATGCTCTATCCCAAGGAAGATGCAGACGCACACAAGCTGCAGTTCACATGCCGCACGTGCCAGTATACCGAAGAGGCTGCATCTACCTGTGTCTTTCGGAACGTCCTGAACAACGCAGCTGGTGAGACGGCTGGCGTAACGCAGGATGTCGGATCGGACCCAACGGTTGGTGCTGCCTTTTTTGCTGTTGATGCTTCTGTTTCTTCTGCTTTTTCTGCACACCACCCATCCCCTCTCACCACTGTACCCATGTGCTCCGGTCAGGCTGTTCTTTGTCTCTGCTGCGGCACCACCGTTGTCTGTCGTAATTGTGGTGGCCAGCTCTACTCTGCCAAGCCTACGGCTCGCTTGGCTATTGTGGACGGCTCGAATATCTCTTCAAATGAGTCTGGCTCATGTACGACTGAATCGACCGACATGACCGATCTTACGGATCTCACCGATTTGAGTTTTGATGGAGCCTTCGGTTGTGAGAACGTGACTGCGCTCGCCGACGAATTTGAGTATGACAACGACATCGACTTCTATATCAACTGATTCAAAGACATGCTCTCCGGGCTCCCGAATTTTGAAGTAGCTTGTGCGTGTTCACGCCAAAGCGGCGTGTATGCGTCTTGATCTCATCGGTTCACGGCGGCGACTTTGCCAGTATCAATCGACCTGTCCGTACTGCCGGGTTATGTTAGCAATTACGGGCGAAACAGCTAAAACGGACAGGCTGAGATAAAATCGCTCTTGTCGACGGCACACAACGACGATTCTTTGCGCTGTGCTGTATTCTTGCTCCACATCCCTGCCGTCTCTCCTGTTTCCCTGCTTCTAGGTTCCTCGAGGTGTAGCTGCTAATGCAAAGCTCTTGCGGCCTGCCAGCTGCCCCGATCGAACAAGACATGCCCTGTTTGCAAGCACGACGAAGCTGTGTTCTTTCAATCCCAGCAGCGGAGCGCGGAAACCGGAATGGTGAGTTTCTTGCTCCAAGCAGCCAGTTTACCCCGTCTCTGGCAGGAAATGTCGCATCGGCTTCTGTTAACCGTTGCACACTCTGCTCTTCTCGCGCTTTAGAAATTGTTTTATGTGTGCTGCGAATGCGGTAACATTTTTCAATAGCTTGAGCGATGACAGATGAGTCTTTTGGCATTGGCATAGATAGCGGGCGAATTTGTCATTTTTGGGTACAACTGTGGACGAAGAACCTGGCGTTGAGATAGCAATACTATTCCGACCTACGGAGTAGACAGGCTGGAATTGTTGCCCTTTTGCTCCTGTCTTGGTAAATTAGAAGGTGGAATTCGAAACTTTATAATTGTCCGTCTACTGCCTATGCATATGCGAGAGAGTCAGTTTCATGTAGTTCGAATATTTGTCTCGTTTTTGTGTTAGTGAATATCAAGAGCGCATGCGCTTTCCTTTCGTAGTCGTGATAAGCTGGTTCTCTCGCTTTTGTACATAGCCATCAATCACCAATGTGCTTCGCGAGAATCCCTCTTCGCTATCAACATGCTGGCTGCCCCCTCATGCGTGCATGGTCGCCATACTCAAAATCTTGCTCCACTTCTTCCGCCTCAACTCTGTGCCCACCACACCGTTCACGCGGCTGCCCACTGGGTCACCCGCCTTGTTGATCAACACGCACGCATTGTCGTCAAAGCGGATCACGCTCCCATCCTTGCGCTGAACCGGGTACCGTGTCCGCACCACCACTGCCTGCCGAATGTCGCCACGCTTGACTTTGTTGCCCGCCGACATGCCCGCCAGTTCCGCTGCCGCGTTCCGCTGCTTCTGCACCACAACCACGATTCGGTCACCAATGGCTGCGTGACGTTTCTGTCCGACAATCTGAACACACTCTACCAGTGCCGCGCCAGAGTTGTCAATACAGTTGAGCATCGACTGCACTGTCGTTAGCATTCTTTTCTCTATGACGACCATATTTGTATCCCGATATCGGCCTCTCACCTTTAATTGGAGCATTTTTGCGGCCTTCCGACAAGCGGAATATACCACCACAGAAACGGACGTGCAAATGTCACGCTGAATTGACGAATGATGCGGATACCGCCGGCTGTCCTTTCTCCCGTCGGATATCGTGAAGTTCGTAGTAGATTTTTCATGCGAGGATCCCTGGATTAGTCATTTCGATCTATTTGCCAGCCAATCATATGCTGCGTGGCGTGCTGTCCACAATCACTAGCTGCATGGCAGCTATCTTGTTTAACTCCGTATGTACTTCGTACTTCGGACATATCTTACATACACTGGCCAGGTTCAGTCCTCCGGGTAATATTAATATTTCTCCGGCATATTTCGAAACGAGGAGCGCTGTTCTAAAGATGCTCGTGCCATTTTTATCGGTTATTGCCAATTTGCGGTGTCGTTTTCCTTTCTTGTCTATTTCTTTGTGCCTAGAAATCCCTCTTTTCTACAGTTACTTCCGTAGCGTGCGAACTAACGTAGCTTTGACGTATTGGCACGCGGAAAGTGCGACTGCTGGACTTCGTTAAAATACATGTTCACTTCTGAGTCAATATCTTCTCCCCCATGGCCTTGCGTTAATGACACTTTGCGCCTAGCTCTTTGGCTCCACAATCTTCGCTCTACAGTTCTCCCGGTCAACGCAGATAATCCACCATCTTCTATTTTCCAACGGCAGTTCGTCTCACCCCCTTCGACATAGCCAATGGAGTCGGAATAGTAATACCCCTGCGGTCGAACGACAGCTGGTCTTACAGACAATACCACCCACCCGTCCTCAGACGCATACGGTATCTATCCCCCATTATTTCTGGTGGCCCTGCTGCGCCGCTGTCCCTCTTGGAGCATCTCCTTTCTTTCTACTCCGTACTCTCAGCCTCTCTTTCAGCTCCAACTGCCCTCCCTCGTCACCGCTCGGCGTTTGTTTCTTACAACAGTACTCGCCGCCACATTTTGCACTGACATTCGTTTCCTGCTATACCCTAACAGGACTGACATGGGGGAAGAAGCGGGAGCACTTTCACTAATTTGCTGCCGTTGAACACTTCCCTTTTCGCTCATTTGGATCTGTATCCCTTTGTTTCCTCGTACTGGAGATCATCGTGAGACGACTGACCGCCTCTGCTATCTTTTCTATCTCTGCCTCATCACTCTTCCTTGCCGAGTTTTGTTCTCTCTTCTCTGCCTCGTCTTTCCCGGCTGTCCTTCCTCCACAACATTTTGCAAAAGGTGTAATGCCTCCTGCGAAATCGCGGTCGCTGCCGACCAAAAAACATGCATTGACACTTGCCCAACTGGCATCGTACGATGACATCTTAACCGACGCGCTCGTCGACCATGTAGGTTAATGGCGCAAGACCCGCGCAGGACTCTTCCTAACAACCGAATTCCCCTACTGGACATCTGACATGCCCTTCCAGGCTTACTACTGGACATCAATTCCAAAAAACCGTCCCTCCTATCTCCCTTCTCGCGGAGTGAAGGAGGATGAGATTACAAAGATCATACAGACACATCTTGCCGTTAACCCGGACATCCAAATTGCAGAAGAGAAGCTTCTGGCTACAACTGGACTGGCCAAGTTTTACCGGGCCTTGAAAACGGACAGAGAAAAACAGGACTTTCGATGCCATATGCGCAGGTATATGCAAATTTACTTGCCCGACTGCCCCTACGAAGTAGCATCAACAAACCGGTATACCATTTTCCAGCAGGAGGCCAGTATATCCGCCCGCCGGTTCATCAAATCGCACGAAACCATCAAATACCTATCGGGTATTCAGGTTGTTATCACGCCAGAGGAGGAGGCCCAGCTTTCCGAACGCAAGAAAGATTTCAGCATCGTCATTAGCTCCCGAAAGAAGGAGGTGAACCTATTCATGGGCCCAGCTCGTTTTGCGAATCACGATTGCGATGCGAATGCGCGGCTTGTAACAACTGGTCAGTCTGGCATCGAGATCATCGCGACCAAGCCAATTGGTGTCGGCGATGAGATAACGGTCACCTACGGAGAGAACTATTTTGGTGAGGACAACTGCGAATGCCTGTGCAAGACATGCGAGGGCAGGCTGGTCAACGGCTGGGCACCGGGCGAGGGCACTGCACCTGTCAAGCGAAGCATCGAAGTTGGTGCTTCCACACCAACTCGTGGCTACTCCTTCCGGAGGAGAGATGAAAACCCCGCTAACCGCGGCCGTTCCGAAACGCCTTCTCTTACCCCCATTGCGCGACCGAAAGTTCGCAGGACAAAGCTTCGGATTTCAGAGCGTGCAGCAGAGTCGACACCTGCATCCGACAGCGAGCATACCGGTAAAGAGGCTGCTGTCGCCAGCCGTCGCCGTGGACACAAGAGGGACGCAAACAGCTTGGCCACACCCCCTATCACCCCAGCCAAGCGGCAAAATATTGCTCGGACAGATGCCGGAATGGCCTGTCCAGCTGCACTCAGTACGAGTTCAAGGGAAGGATCGACTACCGACAACAACGACGATGGCTCCGGTGCTAAATATCTTCCGACACGTTCTGCTCCGACACGTTCTGCGGATTTCGGTTCTATTGCGCAGAGCATTGAAGTCGCCCAAGACGGTGTAAATAGCCTTTGTGCACATGACCGCATCCCAACGTCTGACCCACCAGCGCAGCTGCTGGGTTGTAGGTCCAAAGCATGTGTTCCAATATCAGCCAGGGTTTTGTCTCCCTCGGTTGCCGGAACCGATGAAGTTGCGATTGTCGAGGAGGATGACGCTATGCTTCAGACAATCGTGGTGGCATCGATAAACACCCTTTCCCTTCCCCCGCCAGAATCGACTGTGGACAGTAGCGAGGATGATCGCCTATCAGCCAGTGCTCCAGACGAGACAACTGCGGACAGCGTTTCAAGTCCTTCAACTGTTAACGAAGAAGAAAGTACGGGATACGACAAAGAAGCCGCCTCGGCCTCGGTGGATGCAGAGGACGAGGCCGGTGCACTAACCCAGCCAAGCCGCCGTGTACCTGGAGATTACACTTTGACTCCACTCCTATTATCGGAACCAGAGACTGCGTGGGTGTTCTGCACAGTCTGCTCAAAAGCCTTTGTACAACGGGATGCATATTACACACGTATGTCCTGCCCAAGATGTGAACGTCACTCTAAACTTTACGGATACTTGTGGCCAAAGACAGAGCCAGAGGGGAAGTGGGATAAAGAGGAACGCATCCTGGACCACCGATTGGTACACCGCTTTCTCGACGCGAACGATGAAGCCAAGGCTCGCGGGAGGAAACGGCCGATTTGGCAAGCGGAGCCTGCAGAAGACGCGGAACCCAGCCGCAGAAAGCGGTCATCTAGCACACAGGCAGAAGGCCTTGGATCGGGAATCTGGCGGAAGTTGAAGTACATGATGCCCAAGGAGGAAACTCCAAGCAGAGTGTCCAAACGAGGGACCGGGGCCGGATCGGCGAGAGGATTGAAGATGGTCCAGTCTGTCGGAGTGGCTACAAAGAAAGCAGACGCTAGTGATGCTGTTGATGGAATGCGCTGTAGTCGGCGTTTTCGCAAGGCCGGCAGTACAGTGTCAGACATGTGACGATGAGCAGGCCTCGAATTTGTCGACCTAAGATGCGGCTGCCCGATTTTGCTATTGTAATTATCATCTGTGAGGTGGTGTAGGTAAGCGGGAGTCTTGGATCATTTGTAGCTGGGGCGCCTGGGATGGTGATACTGTATCACGAATGAACTGTTGTATGGGTACTCCGTAATTAGGTATGTAAATAGCGTATCGATTTAGAGATGATCGTGGTCATCCGTATATCTGTTCTGTACACTGTAGACCTTGAACTGATGCCAGAGAGTGAGACAACGTTTGTGTGATGTAGGCCAAAGACGAGCTCGGCTCAGCGGCTTTTGATGGAGGGAAGTCGACGGGTGACATAAAGTGTCCTACTTCGTCTCCGCAGTGTCGGTAATAAGTGTAAGATGCAGCAGTTGTTAGCTAGTGCCTGAAGCTGTGGCTGCGATTCCCTCTTGCCTACATTGGGCTAAGCTCTGCCACAGTGGGGACTGTACTGTCCCATAAATATAGCAGAGGTGTCCGTTGCTATGGCCGCAAGATAAGCTTCGTCTTACGTCTTACCTTCTCCGTTGCCCATTACCGCTTGGCCTTTGCTTTGCTCTCCGTTTTGCTCCTTCGTGTCTGCGGTGTCATAATGGCCAAGATTACATCAACGAAGCTACCTATCCACTACGGCTTGCCGCCGTCGAAGCAAGCAAATGAACCGCCACAAGCCAGGTCGACGGCTTCGTCGGGCATCAGCTGCCACGATGAAGTAGCCTCGGAGCAGGGCAGCGATGCTTCTCAACCAAGTCAGGCCTTGCGATCGATCGAGTCGCAGTGCTTCGCTATCACGGACATGTCGCAGCGACCGGCGGCTAAGAACACAATATGTGCGGATTGTGCTTACCGTATGAGTCTGGACGAGGTGAAGCAGTGCCGTGTATTCTTCGGTGGTGAAAAGGCGGTGATGGACAGCCAAGAGTGCGTGATTTGCAGTTGGAAGACAGGGAATCCGGCGGCGTTCACATGGCCGTACCTGAACTTCATGACGGAGAATCCGACCATCTTCCATGCGGTGGACTACTTTAAGCAGATTCTCAGAGTGGCAGGCTTCGAGGAGCTGACCGCGCGGGAGGACTGGTCGGCCAGGCTGAGGCCCGGTGGAAAATACTATGTGACCCGCAACGGAAGCACGCTGGCGGCATTCACGATCGGTGGCGCCTACAGGCCGGGCAACGGAGTGGCGATCGTGGCCGGCCACATCGACGCGCTGACGGCCAAGCTGAAGCCTGTCAGCAACAAGCCAGACAGGGCGGGCTATGTACAGCTGGGTGTGGCGCCGTATGCAGGCGCGCTCAACGAGACCTGGTGGGATCGGGACCTGGGCATCGGCGGCCGGGTAGTTGTGCGCGATCCAGAGACAGGCTGGACAACCACGCGGCTTGTCAAGCTGGACTGGCCAAGTAAGTTCCAGCCGTGGGTGTGCTTGAGTGGGTGAGAGATGCAGGTGCTGACGGTCGGTGCAGTTGCCAAGATTCCTACACTGGCGCCACACTTTGGCGTGTCGATGACGGGCCAGGGCAACAAGGAGACGCAGCTAGTACCGGTGATCGGACTGGACAGCGGCAGCAAGACGGGGTCGATGGCGGAACAGGCCAGGACCGTCGAGCCGGCGCTGGGCCCGGCTGGCTCGTTTATCGCCTCACAGCCGCCCAAGCTGGTGAAGCTGATCGCGGCCGAGCTGGGTGTCAAGTCGTACGCGTCGATTGTCAACTGGGAGCTGGAGCTATTCGACACGCAGCCAGCGACGGTGTTCGGCCTGGACAAGGAGATGATCTCGGCTGGGCGGATTGACGACAAGATCTGTTCGTGGGCGGCCTTGGTGGCCCTGTTGCGTGCCCGGGACAACGACTCGTCGGGGGTGGTCCGGCTTGTCGCCCTCTTTGACGACGAGGAGATTGGCAGCCTGTTGCGACAGGGGGCCAAGAGCAACTTCCTGCCGCTAACGGTTGAGCGGATTGTGGAGGCCCTGTCGCCGCCGATAGTGGGCAGCTTCGGTCCGGGCGTGATTGGGCGCACATATGCATCCAGCTTCCTAATCTCGTCGGACGTGACGCACGCGATACATCCCAACTTTGTGGCCAACTACCTGGACGACCACGCACCCAAGCTCAACGTCGGCGTGGCCATCACGCACGACAGCAACGGCCACATGACGACGGACAGCGTCTCGACAGCGCAGCTGCAGCGCGTGGCCGAGCTCAGCGGCTCGACCCTGCAGCGGTTCATGATCCGCAACGACTCGCGCAGTGGTGGCACCATCGGCCCCAGCCTCAGCTCGGCCATGGGTGTCAAGAGTGCCGACGCAGGCATCCCGCAGCTGAGCATGCACAGCATCCGTGCCTCGACCGGAGCACTGGACCCAGGTCTAGGCGTCCGCTTTTTCCAGGGGTTTCTGGAGAACTGGGAAACTGTTGACGCAGAGTGGCAGTAGATGAGGATAGGAGATGCATGACGGACGAAAGATAAAGGATGAAAGAAGTTGGGCATACAAACAATTTGACTTGCACGAGCATCAGAGCAGAATATAGTACTTGAATCGGACCCGGATCACTCACGGTGCAAGTCCCTCATGGATGGCCTCCGTTTGCTCACCAAGCATCGCCGATGATGTAATCGGATCGGCCACTCGCACCGGATGGCATGAGTGGCAAGCGTAGGGCTGAGAGCAGAGAAATTCTTACATGGACAGTGCAACCAACAAGCCGTACGAATAATGGTCGGTCTGTAAGGTTTTAAAGCGATCCTTGGAAGCCTGTGCATGTCATTACTCGAGATGTGGAAGGAGGCTGGCCCGGCTGTCCCCGTTTTGTCGGTCAGAGTTTTTCCCCCAGGTTCGTTTGGTAATTTGCCTAGTTGTCACTGTATTGTGTGAAAGCTATAGACGTATATCGTAGTCGGTATAGCTTCTATGCGGCACTTGCAAAGTTTAAAGACAACACGTACACGCTTGCTTCATACACAATGTGCACAGCTGTCCACAATTCAGTCAGCAGACGCATGTACAAGATAGGTCACATCACATTCCCGGCCAAAAGAATCTCCAGGTATGCCCAGAAGCGAGTCTTCATTTCCTGATACATCTCTCTGGTGAATGCGGGAAGGGGATTTTGCGAGGTTCGCAGAACTGGCATGAAGTTTCTCTTGTCCAGGCGGAGAACCTGCTTGATCTCGTGCATGCCACTTTGAATAAACATAGGCCTCAGCCAGTGGGCGCAGTCACGGTAAATCTTGCTTGCAATCATGTCTGTAGGATGGTGGTATCTGGGTATCGGCTCCGTTTTCCGCGGCGGGAAGACGTTGACCCAGGCCCAGTCTTGGGGCACTCCGATCGAACAGCAAACGTGAAGTCTCCTCAAGTTCACCACGTCTTTCAACACTGAAAAGGCAGGAATTGGCCCACTTGTTATAGACCGTTTATCCTCCCAGCCCAAAATCTGAATGTCACCCAGGATTTCTCGTGCTGCTGGTCCCAGCAACATGACAAAGTTGTGTAGAGTGCCAGTATCGGCGAATGTGAATCTCTGTCTGTAGACAAAGTGTACCGCCTCGGCATATACGTCTTTACACATTGCCAAGATACTTAACCAGATCTTATATTGTATGCCCGGGCCTTGCTCGTTTTTCAGTATCATAAGCATTTTGCGCATTCCAGCGACGTTTTTGATTGGCCCTGTTTCGCTCTGAGCCGTGATGCCGAGCTTTTCTTGTATAACAAACTTGGACAAGCTTTCTAGTGTCGGTGGCCTGAATCTTGCATGTCTCTTTCGTGGTTGGACATTTGCTAGAGACCAATCTCGCTTGCACAGCGCCGGGTGGCACTGGAAAACACCGGTACGGTAAATGCCCGGAAGCTCCTTGATGTAAATTCCCTTTCGTACAACTAACAGGTTCTCATATATCATAATACGGATTTCTGTCGGTAGGGACCTGATGTTATTAGCTTGTCAGTAACACGATTGCGCATGTCGTGGAAACATTTTCTAACATGAAGGGAAACACGGCCGTCTCGCCGCTGTTGGGAGTATGAAGAGCATAAGGCATGGTAATGTATATTGTTTGAGCTTTGCTGTGAAGTTCGGGATGCTATGGGCTTGAAGAAGAGCAATTTCTGTGCATCCAGCGAACTCGTGGCATGCGAAATACGAAGAGAGGAAGCATTATACCCCAAGGCATGTACATAAACAGCGCGTAGTACCAAGTAGGAATTGTGGTGAGCGGCTGGGTAGCAAGGTGAGCCGCACGTCACAATATCACAGGCGGCGTTTGATGAACAAGAACTGAAGCTGATGGTGAGTCCGATGAGAGCGGGTTAATGGAAATGGAGCTGCTGAAAAAAAAACGCCCCGATATGCAGACGCTTTCTAGCACAACTGTAACTTGCACCAGATGGTGTGCTATATGCAACTAATAAAGATGTGAGCCCAACCTTGGGCTCCCGCCGCTTCACCATAGGCAGTGGTGGCGGTCATCGCCTGGGCATATTCTTTGCGTTTCTCGTGTCGACGCACAATGCACGATGCATACGATCTGCTCACCACGGACTCCCTATTCGGCAACTTTAGCGGCACATGGCTGCCCTACTGCTCCGCTCGCTGTTTTCACTCTCCAGAGAGTATATCTGTGATTTCGGCGGATCTGCGGTTCAGGAATTTATTTGCTTCCATTAGCCACAATATCAGGGTCTGTAAATACAACATATTATGTATCCGACAAGAGCTTCGGCGAAGGTGGGCCTAAGTACGTCTTGACGATTCAATGCTAGTATCACAGTATTTGATTAGGAAGTAAGCAAGTCTATTGGTGGCCGTTTGGAAAATACTGAAGGCTTTGACCTAACGCGCGCTCTTTCCTGTTTGGTGAAGTCAATTCGCTCTTCCTTCTTAGTAGACTTGTTTAGATTATGATTTGCCGCTGCAGTGCACTTTCTCTCTTTGACAAGCTGTTTTTGGAAGATACCTCTGTGTCGGCAATTCCACATTAATGTTGTCATAGTCTTCGTTGTTCCGTCACCTATTATCCTCCTTGTCTTTCTATCATCTCTAAAATTGCCTCTGTTTCTTCTCCTAAATTATCAATATTATTATCTTGAACCCCTTATTCCCCTCACTGCCCATCTCCTCCTCGCATATTGCTTCCACTTCCTAGCTATAGCCATTTACAAATACCGCATCGCCCTTCCTACAACTCCGTCATATGCCATGAAAGCAACCGTTCTCATTTCTGTCTTGGTAGCTCTAGCTGGCTCTGCTCTGGTGTACTTGAATCTTCGGTACCCGCTACAAATCTTGTTGGAAAGCTCAGCTTTGCCTCTTCGGGCTCAACAGCCCCGATCGACTCTGAATCTAGACAAAAACAAGACTGTGAACGTCGTTTATCCAGAAGGTGAAGCTACAGGCCTGTCAAAGTCTTTTATGGAGAGCTTCCGTGGCATACCTTTTGCTCAGCCACCCATCGGCAACCTGCGGCTGCGTCCGCCCCGTCGCCTTGTCCAAAATATCGGCAAGCTAGATGCAACGATTCTAGGATCCAGCTGTCCGCAGCTGATCCTGTCTTCTGGAAGCAACAGCATAGCCACGAAGTATCTTGGCAAACTCGCCAACAATCAAATGTTCCAGAAAGCTGCCAACGTCAAGGAGGATTGTCTGACCCTCAATATCCAGCGACCTGCTGGTACAAGTAGCAGCTCCAAATTACCGGTGATTTACTGGTTCTTTGGGGGTGCTTTTGAGGTGCCGCCCTCAGACTCTCTCAAGGTGACTGTCACTTATTTTGGAGTATAGCTAACATTACTTTGCAAACCCCCTTTCTTTAGTTCGGCACAAACAACGTCTACGACGCTACAGGCATCATCAATCTCAGTGTACGCTTAGGAGAGCCTGTCATGTATGTTAGTGCGAACTACCGTGTAGGTGGTTTTGGCTTCCTTGCCGGAAAGGAGGCGCTTGCCCCCAGGGCGTTACCAATCTTGGCCTTCTGGATCAGCGTCTCGGCCTGGAGTGGGTTGCCGACAACATCCAAGCCTTTGGTGGAGACCCGAGCCGTGTCACTCTTTGGGGCGAATCATCCGGGTCCGTGTCTGTCTTTGACCAGATGCTGCTCTACGAAGGAAACAACACATACAAGGGGAAACCGCTATTCCGCGGAGCAATTATGGACTCGGGCAGTCTTGTACCTGCGCAGCCCGTAGACTCGCCCAAAGCCCAGGCTATCTACGATTCTGTTGTTTCTGCTAGCGGCTGTGAGGATTCCGACAACACGCTGGACTGCCTGCGCAACTTGCCATACGACCAGTTTCTAAACGCCGCAAATGCTGTCACGGGCATCTTTACCTACAGCTCACTAGCACTATCGTATTTGCCACGACCAGATGGCATAACCTTGACACAGAGTCCCGAGGTCCTGGTACGCAACAACTCGTATGCAGCAATTCCTATGATTATTGGGGACCAGGAGGACGAGGGTACCGTCTTCTCTCTCATGCAGACAAATTTGACATCTACCGCAGCGGTTGCTCAATACCTCAAGGATTTCTATTTCGAAGAAGCTACTCTGGAGAAGTTGATACAGTTTGTTGACACCTATCCGGACGATCCGACCGTTGGCTCACCGTTCCGCACCGGCAATGCCAACGAGCTATACCCGGGCTTCAAGCGCCTGTCTGCCATTCTGGGTGATATTGTGTTTACACTGGCACGCCGCATGTTTCTGGCCAATGCAAAGACCACGAACCCAAATGTGCCTGCGTGGTCATATCTGAGCTCCTACAATCACGGCTTGCCATTTCTAGGCACTTTCCACTCGTCCGACATCGTCCAGGTTTTCTACGGTATCCCGTCAAACTTTGCTGGTCGCGCCATTCAAACTTACTACATCAATTTCATCAACAGCCAAAATCCCAATGTTGGCACCGATGTATACATGAACTGGCCAAAGTGGGGAGATGATCTTCAGCTTGTAAATTTCTTCTGTCGTCATGCGAGCTTATTGAAAGACGATTTTCGCCAAGAAAGCTACGAATTTATCGCCCGGAACGTCGCTTCTCTTCATTTTTAAAGGATCACTGAAATAATGTGTCAACATGGGGACTGCTCTCCGCCACGCCAGCATGGCCACAGCAGAATACTACGATCAGCCGGGGTTCATTTGCTTGAATGTACTTCTCCTTCACGGCTTTGGAACGCAAAGAGCTATGGAGGCAAATATTGTCAAAAAAAGTCCAGCTAGTTGATAGTTCTGTATTGCCATCCCCCAGCTCTATGTGGGACATGCGGGTATAGTAATGAGATGGTACATGACACTTCCAACGCAAAAGAAATTGCATAAACAAAACAAAAACCGTGCTGCAAGACGATGAGGGAAAAACGAATCCAGACCTTGTGGAATGTAGGTGAGGACGGACTGCTGTGCCATCCTACAATCAAGATGTTTTCATCATCTCGTTGCTTTGATTGAGGAATGTACGAGCGAGCTCATCGCCACCCTGCTCGGCGGCTTCCATCCAGTGGATGGCAACACACATTAGAGCAGGGTCGTTGCGCACGTCAGACACACCCGCAGCGATGCCGCTTGACCCACTTCCACCAGAGGCTCCATGATTGCCGCCACTGGCAGACGAAGACGTGCCTCGGGTCGAGATGCCGCTTGCCTGGTGTTGATGATACCGACTGCCTCCGCCCGAGCCGCCATATTTTTCCATCACAGCCTTCTTAAACACTTCATGTGGCTTGGACAGGGGCAGAGTCGTCCGCTCGACCAGCTCCGGGTTGGACAGATAGAAAATGGCTAGTTCCCGCTGCGACGTCGGGTCGCCCTCTTTTGCCGTGATCGTCCACATCCGGGCGGCATCTGCGAGGGAATAGATGGTGGGACTGCGCGCATGCGAGCTTGTCGAAGAGCCGTCCTTGGAAGAGTCGGCAGACCCTCCCGAGGCAGAAGCAGAACCCTTGCGCGTCTTCGTATAGACGCCAACAATCTCGTCGGCCACCTCGACCATGGTGCTGCATACTTCTTTCTTCAGCAGCAGGGCTGCCAGACCGGCATTCCAAAAGGCCTTTCCAGACTCTGTCTGATCCAACACGTCGGGAGGGACGAACGAGGCGATGAACTGGAGGTCCCGAAATAGCGTCTTCGGCCGCATGGACGCTTCTCGGAAAAGCGACACGAGAATCGTCAGAATGGCGTCTTTGTTGGCTGAACCGCTCGCAGCTATCCCCGGTCGCGACTCGACCGCACCTCCATATGGTCCTCCACGGCGGGGAGACATGGGCGAAGCCGAGAAGAGAGACGGGCTGAACGTACTGGAACGCCTCCCCTTCACGTTGTCTATCGTGTCCTCCAGCGGCTTTGCACGGGATATCGGAGGCGTCACGGCAGGATCCTCTCCCGGTTGCGTCCCTGCTGGCGAGCTGTTGCTGCTTATCACGGGTCGTAAGCCTGATCGCGTAAGAAGGGCCAGCCGTCGCCGGGTGCTGCGGGACGACAGAGAAGCCACAATAAGATTCTCGAGCTCCAGCAGGGCGCTCAGTTTGGCATAAGGGTTTGGATGTACGCAGAACAATCGCAAGAGACGATGGTAGGACTTTGTGTACGGAAAGTCCTTCATTTCTCTTCTGGTGCGAGAAGCCGAGTTGGCCAGGCTGTTTTTTGTCTGTAAGCTCTCTGTTTCTTGGCCTGTTCCCAGTGTCTCTGCTGGCCGTCCGCGCATATCATCGGTTGATGGACTGTAGCTGCTGTGGTTGCTGCTTGTGCTTCTGCTGCCGTCGCTTCCAGCCAGGGATCCCGAGTTAGTTAAGGGGGCAGCCATTCCAGATGTGTCAATTACGACTTGCTTTGGCGAGTATCGTGTCGACTTGGGCTTCTGTTCCGAGTCCTTTTCCTGGCGCTGTCTCTTTGCCATCGTTTCGCGTCGGTTGATGCATTCCTGTCCAAGGTTCTCGAACCAAGCGTCAGTCTCGGAGCCCCGAGAAAAGACCAAAGTTCCCAAGTCGGAGAGAAGGAGACTGGTCAGTGTCTGGCGAAGCTCATCCAAAAAGAGTGCCTTGTCATCCGAGATGCGTCGTTGCAAGACCGTATCGACCGAAGATACCGATGAGCCAGGACGGCCGGCAGAATGATGGGAAGAGCGGCTATGCAGGTTTCCCTGGTCAAAGTTGTATGGCCGCCTGTTCAGTTGAGAGAACGAAGATGAAAGATTGCTGACACTTGTGGTTGGAGACTGTGTGCGAGAGGTTGCCACGCTCGGCGAGATGGACGCTTGGAAAGGAGACCAATACGTCGTCGCGGTGTCAATAGCAGACACTGGCGACATGGAGCGTCCGGAGAACTGCACTTCGGTGTCCAGGATGTCTGATAGCGATGTGCTGGCCCTTGAAAAGCCGTACTGACCAGAGTCGTAAGACTGTAGACTGGGATTGCGTTGGCTCGGTCTGGCCCTCGGATCGCCTCGCACGGCCGAGCTGGATCGGCTAGATAGGCTGTGACGCCGGCTGTCAAGTTCGCCGAAGCTCATCACACTAGACCCATCGTCCCAGACAAGGCTACTGTTGCCGTCGCAGTCGCGTTGTGTCCGGTTGTTCCGCTCCAGATACTGTCGGTCTCGAGTGTAGAGGTCGCTCGCCCATAGCACAGGAGCATCCATGAGACTGCCACCAATCAGCTTGTCCACACAGCTCCCGATTTCGCAACAGAACCGATGGATACGCTCCTCGCCCCGACAAAAATTCTCAATGCCGAACTGGTCGAGCCACCGAATCGTCTTCTCTGCCTGGTCGTCCGAGAGCTTGTTCGGCCCCCCTTCCTCCTCCACAGCAGCCAGAAGCTCCACAATTTCGCTTTCGGTACGGTACAGGTATGAAGCAGCTGGACCCCGCGGCAGGCTCTGTCGCACCCGTCTGTATGCATCCCATTTTCGGCTCGTGCCCATCGTCTTCAAAGCCACGGCAATATTGCGGCTAAACTCGTAAGGCCCCGAATTGCGCACATCGGTGACATACCACATCTTGTCTCGCAGAGCCCGGAGACGTCTCATCATCGTCTCGATCAGCCCTTCAACCCGCTCCTGTGACTGTCTCAGCCATATGAGCCAGGCGTCGTACTCCTCCACGGCCGCATCGGATTTACGAATGGTGTCGCGTGGCCCTCGCGAGAAGATGTTCAATAGCGCAGCAAAGCCATTGCGCCGCAGGGATTCCACCGTCAAGGAATTCAGTTGCTGAATCGTTCTCCAATATAGATGCGCAGACAGGAAGTCAGACTGGGCCCGAGACTGTGACGACGCAGCAGTGAGCATTGCAATCAGAACAGACTGCCTCGTCTCCATGTCATCAGACGATGCTGATTTGGAGGGTTTGCCACTATTCTCATTATGCGCAGACTGCGGACCGTTGTGTAGAGGTTGCGGTGGTGCAGCTTGCCGCCAGTATGGGTTACGGCTTTGCAATCTTGGCGCACTTCCGGGGAAAATCACCTGGCTATTCTTCAAACGGTACTTTTTCCGGCGGTTGGCCCGGTTGCTGTATGTAGATCCATGGCTTCCTTCGAGCTCCAGTCCAGGCGGGATTTCGTAGTCCTCTACTAGCTTCAGTATGGAGTCGCGCAACTGATGGTAGTCCTTGTCAAGCTCAGCTATCTCCAGGTCGGACTCCGCATCATCTGTGTCCTCGTCTGTCTCTATTGAAGAAGAGGCAGCATCCTCCTCAGGGTCATCGTCACCGTCAAAAGTCGTCTGCAGTGACAGCCGGTTGCCATCGGCTGAGATGAATATGACCGCCCAGCGCTCAGCACAGGGGTGGCAAAAGCCGGCGACGACATCACGGCCAAGGGTGTGCACCATTTCATTCACAGCTAGATGTAACCGGTAGCCGTCATCTTCATAGCTATTCAAAGGCCGTCGATCTTGCCCAGAGAGTACAGACGACGGCGGTGACAGACGGGAGGCCGAGATGCCGGGGCGCTGGTCGTCGAGAAGCGGTTCCACGGACGTAGTAGCATCGCTGGTCGTGGACGAGACGCTGGCGCTAAGAGAAGTATAGTTGTCCGTACCCGTCCTCTGCAAGTTCGTGACAACAGGCTGAGACATGCACGAAAATCCGGAAACGGAGCCAGGTCCGGACCGGTTGCTGCTGGATTGGCCCGATCGGGGCCTGCGATCTGGGAAGAGGGCATTGACGAGAGTGACGAGATCGGCCGGGCTCAAAACGAGATACGGATGAACCTCGGCTGTCTCTCGCAGGGACGTAATGGACCGAGCGGGAAGAAGCCTGGTTGGAGGACTGCGCGTATTGAGACCATGGAACTTGTTCATGATATTCTCAATGTGAATTCTGATAGTCGGGTGTGTCGAGGCCAGGTTGACGGCTTTGGAGTTGCCAATGGACGTGGTCCTTTCGATAAGAAGACTCTGTGCGCGAAGCGCCACCTCCTTCAGAATCTTCTGCCGTCCATACTCGGTAATATGGTATTCATTCATGAGGCCATGTGTTTCTGGGTGAACGATGACGCCGAGAAGCCAGACACCAAACAGCCATTTGCAGACAAACCAGTTGCGAGTGCTGTCAGCAAGCTGAGGATCAAGTTTACCAAGGATTTGGTTTCCGAGCTCAATCAGCCCCTCAGGGACACCCGTGGCATCCTCGTCATCTATAACATCGAAGAGGTCATTTATAGCCCGGTCGTAAAACTCCTCCGCAGCAATGTGATCCTTCGACGTCCACTCGTACAGATTGAAGCGTGTTCCATTCTGGTCTTCTGCGCGGTCGAGAAGAAAGGCCCCGTCTTGTAGTATTTTCATCAGAAACCATTCCATATTAGACCGGCCGGCCCATCCACGCATTGAGGACCAGGCATTCATGACCGCTGTCAGAACTGGTTCTCCGGCCGCACCCTTTTCGGAGATCAGGCGTGCACAGGCAGATGCCCATGTGCTCGTCCGGCGCTTGTCCTCGGTGCTGTCAGGGCCAGCGGAATTTGCAAAGCAGGTGTGAAGGAGGGCAGATAGGGGATCGTGTCTCTGGAAGGAGAGCAGCTTCTGCACATAGTCGGGGTCCCGTGCACTTGTGTTAGTAGCAGCATATCTATGAGCCTGGGGCTTGCCAGATGCACCGCCGCGGAGAGAAGAATGTCGATGGTGAAATGGCAGAACAGAATCCACAGGCTCCGTTCCCTGATAAAATCTGGCCAATGCAGCCAGCTCGGATGCCGTCAAGGTGCACAGCCGAGTGGCCAAATAGTCCGGGTTATTCCTGATCGTGGTAAGAAAGCTAATAAACGTATCGCTGGCATCGGCTGGAATATCATTGAGAAAATGCGACATGGATGCAGAGCCGGGGCCAGAGCGGCCAGGACCGAAAGAGTCTCCAGTGGGACCTGCACCTCCGATTGATGCAGACGAGCGGAACGAGTCAATTTCTGGCTCTAAAAGAGCGTATTTGCGCAGCTCATCGCAGCTCTTGCGCACATTATGCAGAGCGTTATACAGGTTAGCAAACCCGCTCCTGTCATCAGCTTGAAAGCACTCAGCCAGGTTGCGTTGGGCCATCTCGCCACAGCGCACCAATCGGGCAGATAGAGCGGTTGATATCAGGGTCAGCTGGAGCCGCAGACGCGTCTGGGCACGTTTGCGCTCCTGGTACTTAGCCAGACGCACTAGATGGGCCAGTTCGTCTAGTGACGTGCCCTCCGATTCGGCTTCTCGATGCCCAGTGACATACAGCGAAGGATCCTGCAACAGCGGTGCTGAGGGAAACGAATAAGTCACAGAGGGTATTTCAGCAGAGCTAGCCAACAATCTTGCACCGCGAGTGGGTTCCGAGTATGTCTGCTCCATGGCCTCGCGAGACGAGGATGGCGGCTCCAGCGACTGAGGCTCGGAGACGGGCGGCTGCTCCGAGATTGGCAGATGTGGTCCGGAAGCAGATGGAGCGAAGGGCGGCAGATCATTACTTTCAGTGCCGAGAGGAGCACCTGGCGACAAGGAAGTGGTGCTCGCCGTGGCCGTGGTAGTAGTGGTTGTCGTCGTTGTCGTTGTGGCCGTAGCAGTGATAGGAGCAGTCGTGGGTACAGCGGCACTGGTCTTGGCATGAATTATAAACCCAGTCAGGGTTTGAGGCACGGCAAGCGGAGGGGCGGATGGCCGTCGAGCAGTACCGTCAATGTGACGGGCCTGCAGAGACGTGCCACGATCCATGCCGTCGGCGCTGCCGGCACTTGTGGTGCTTTCGATGCTATGTAGGACACGGTACAGTCGCGATTGTCCGTCATTGTTGGGTGGGAGCTGGAGCGGTGGTGTCGGCGGCCTGTAGACGTCAATCACGGCCGGCGGCGGAGCTGTGCAAAAGCATTGAAAGTCAGTACCGGTGCAGCTGCAGGTGATGGGCATAGTATAGGAAAAGGGAGCACGTGAAGACGGACCGGACGAGGAGTGCACACAAACAGGCGACGAAGAGGATCGTTCCATGAAGACCATAACGAGTCCCGAGGGCCCTCAAGGCGGGAAGAGTGAGGTGGTAAAGAAGGCGGCAGAGAATGGCGCATTCAGATCCGCATGTTTGACCGTCGTCTCTCTGTGTCTTTTGGCTCGGCGCTGCCCCTGATGATCTAGCGACTAGCTTCGAGAAGAGGGCCCGGGAGTGTCGGTCGTGAGGATAGTCCGCAGTCGTAGGCGTTGGCGTAGTCGTCTCCAGCGGCGGGTCGTCCCCATCGAGGGGGGAGGGGGATTGGGGGCCAGGAGAATGCGGCGGTGCGGCGAATTAGTAGTGGAGGAGCGAAGGGCCAAGGGCAAAAGTGAGGCAAACGATAGAATAGGGAGGGACCCCCGAAAACAGAGCGAAACAGGTGATCGTGAGGAATTCTAGGTTTTGCTGTAGTACTCGGAGCTGATGTGTTGGGCAGGCAAGTGCCATCCGCATTTTCGGCTGGCTAGGAAGGAGCGTTGTAACGTGCGCCAGCTGGGGCTGCTTTGCCACGCTACCATGTATGAGTATCTTACAGTCGTTGTGCACTAGTTTCGGCGCCGTTTTTAGGGCCTGGCGGCTACGGAGTAGGGGAAGCGGGCCCGTCGAGGCCTGCCAGGCCTGCCAGGTCTTTCCTGGCCCCCAGGCCTCCAGGCCTCTAGGCCTCCAGGCCGTCAGGCCTCCGGTCCCCCAGACCTGCCCAAGTTTGCCAGCAGGCAGGGCAGTGCTGCTCTGCTGGCACAAGCACGGCCCCACCAATCGCATCTAGCGTCTCTGTGGCACAGCAGGGCTCGTGGCTCGACTGGTCACAAAGCACCGATGCGCTGGTCACCGCCTTCCTCTGCCACGGTGTTCTGGTGTTCTACAGGGTACATAGTAGTCTTTTGGTGTCTGGTTCAGTCGCTCGGCTGTTCAGGTGGTCCTGCAGACACATCATCGCCACGATATGGATCTTGTTAGCTAACCATACAAATGCATCCTATCTTACCGCTCTGTCCAGCTGAACAGACAGGTCAAGGTCACTTTCTGTATATTTAGCCACCACTTGAGCCGCTCGTTGCGCCTTCTTGTAGCCAGCCCAGATACGAGGAAAAAGGAAAAAGATCGCCATCTTCGATTTCGTCCCCCCTTTCATCTCAGCTTGCATATCCTACATACATTATGCGCCGGTTCCCGTCTGTCGTCTTCTTGCTACCAACCCCTCCTTGCATGCCCCGCCTTGCATAGCCAGCCAATCCACGCGCTCCACGCGTGCCAGAGCCCGCATTTTGCCAACACACAGCGGAGCCCAATCAATACGTCGTACTCTGTACATAGCAGCTGCCTGTCTGTCTGCTCTTGCTTGCGAGCTGGCCAAGTCTAACCCCTTCGAACTTTAAATCATACCTCGCCTCCCTTTGCCGCTACTGAATCTGTCAGACTCGCCGACTGGCGGCTACAAGCTTGCACATTGCTTTTGCTTATGTTCCCTGTCTCGTATTATTTGGAAAGACTGTTGCTGTACGGAGTAATTTGCCTGTATGTCCCGTAACTAATGGAAACCCTTTCCGCACTTCATCTCTTCTGTGTTGCTCATATGACGGTCTATGCAACGTATGCTACAATCAGGCAGAATCGAATAAGAGAACGACATGAAATTAACCTTGGCCGTCATAGAGCCAGTAAACGTGTCAATCGTACGAGTACGAGTAAGAATATGGATAGCATATCGAACCCGGTAAAGTTTGACCACCCGCTTTTCATTTCGCAGTTCGCATCATGATATCAGAACTAAATATCGAAAACCCACCCACAAACTCCGATGCAAGATAATATAGAAACAGCCTTTCCAACCCTAACAGACATGGCAGTTGCCATATTATGACGCGCGAACGAAACGATAAAAAATTGGTACAGCATACACATACAATCGTGATCCGCCACTTTTTAGGGCTCATTCATTTTCCAAAACGTACGTCGAATCCCTTCAAGACGCTCATTATACTTGCCGCCTCGACCTCCATCGGATGGCGTTCGGCCGGCTGAGCCGAACTGTCGTTGCGCGGCACGGCTTTCAGCATAGGTAGCCACGTACCAATCTCATCTGTCGCCTCGTCAAAGTGACGATGGCTGGACAAGGTTTTGTATGCATCGGCGCACGACAGGCTGATGCGCGAGTTCGGCTTCTTCTCGTCCTGCACATCTCCACTAGCAACCCCGTCTGCGCCTTTGTTTTTGCAGCAGCCACCAGGACCGCCGCCACCACAGCATCCTCCAGCCTTTTCGCCACCGCTCCGCTCGAAACTTGCTGCGAGGGAGCGGCAGAAAAGACCAGATACGGGGTCGGACAGACATTGCGCACACGTGCCTGGCCCACGGGGGCCGCACGAAGACAAAGGCGGCAGCGGGCCCGCTTGAGAGGTCACGGCCTGCTTGTTCTGCCGGCGAAGCGAGCTCATACTCGATAACTTGATGGCCCCTGTGGCGGTCACTTCCATCGGTGACGGTGCGCCGTCGTTCTCAGAAGGAGGCGGCGTCTTTTGTTGTGCGATGACAGTACCGGTTGTCAGCGCAAGACTGCCCGTCATAGTGACCCCAGGCATGGTGTCAGCACAGACGCAGTATGTCCCATCCGAACAGAAGCCACACTTGTCCTTTAGCGGTATTTCCATGCGCATTACCTGATGCTGCGGCTGCTGTCGTACTAGCTGGCCGGGCATCGAGGGCAGTGGTGTGCGAGCCGTAATTTGCTTTGACTGAGAAAACATGTTTGTGAAATCAATCTCAGTGCTGCCTGCACTCTGGCTGTTGTGACGGAACTTTTTCTCGTCCGGTGCCAAAGCGGAGGGAGACGTGGGTGGATGTGGCCGCTTCAGGTCAGTTTCCGGGTTGTTGCAGTCCTCGCCACTAAGAGCCTGCAGGCTCTCCTCAAGGCAAGCACATTTGGTTCCGATGCTGCACTTTCCGCAGCCCATGGCGGAGGTAGCAGCAATGACTTCATCAGCACAGGCGCACGAGCCACTGCCGTTGTTGTTACAGGATCCACACGTGAGATCGTCCGCCTCTTCTGGCGGCGATGTAATTTGAGAGATTGAAAAGGGCTGCACCGAGGCGCGACGACCCGAGGCCGAAGAAGTTGAGCTGGACGAGCTTCCCCGTGGCTGGCTATGGAGACGCTTCTGTGGGATTGGGGAAAGGATGTGGATATGGGTTTGCTGCTGGTGATTCGAGCTGTGAGGTGTGGCGGATAGGCTCGGAGAACTACCCCTTCGATCCTCTGCAATCGCACTCGAACCTGCCCACGCCGGAACTGCCTTTTCCTTCTCCAGGAGGCTTTCTAGCATCTGGCAGCGGCTCCGAAGCACTTGCACTTCGGTTTCGAGACTCCGGATCTGATCTTGGTACTCCTGCTGAGCTCTATCGTGCTCGATCTTTTGCTCGTCAAGCTGATCCTCTAGTTCACCCACGCGAGCTGCCCGTCGTTCACGGAAAGCCCTCTGCGCAGCACGATTTTGTGCCTTGCGTTTTGTTGGCGGCGTGTCAGTAGCCGGCTTCCGGCCGGGCTTCGGCCGGGGCGGAATAACCCACTCCTTGCTGGTAATAGACATTGGCGGCTTTCCAGAAGATGTCGGGCTTTGAGCAGCAGGCGAGGACGGCATTGGTGACACGACTGAATTCATAGACATAACGTTTACTGCTAGCTTGCCAGCTGCAATAGCTTTTTGTTGGAGTGGCCGTACACCCAGGGCCGGTCCCGGCGACGATCCCGTCAGTTTGATGGCAAGCTGAGGTTTAGCAGACACGCCCGGTGACCATATTCTTGACTGCGGAGATTCCTGGGCGGACTGGGGTGATGCTGGTGACAACGGGGCGTTGTTTTTGTTGCCGTATGTCGACGTCCTAGATATCGGAGCAAAGGATGCATCCACTGGTGGCTTCACGGAATGTGACGCTGGTGTTGATGCCATGGCCGCGAGCATCCCTGGCGACAGCACTACAACACAACGTGTAGCAGAATGATGGGATAAAAAGCTATTTTGTCTGTACTCTGTGGCGAAAGAAGGTGCGGGACACGACGTTCTGCTGTGCTGAGTGTCGAAGAAGCGAGATAATATGCAGGAAGATCGCTTTGGCGGTTGTGGTCGGGTTAGCGTAATTATTAAGTATTTTTTTTGCCTGCTTCCTGGCCGGAATCGCCCTTAGCCTTTAGGGCGCAGTTACCGAGTTGGTGCGCGGATTTTTCGCAGACAGTTAGGAAACCTCGTTGGTGCCCCGCCAAGGCGAAGTGGGGGTGCTGAAGTCGAATTATTCGAGCTTCTCCAACATCCAACGGGATGTAGGAGGGAATTGGCAAGCCGAAGATAAGATTAGATTTTCCTCTTGTCAGGTGTGGGTGTCTAAACCCAGGTCAGCTACAAAAAGGAGGAGTCATGTGCAAAGGAAGCCTAAATGGAGATGGGAGCGAGAAGGGTGTTCGTGGCGACGGCAAGCTCGGCAAGAGCGCCCCACACAACGATCTGAGTATGTCCGTACAGATACTTCGTGAAAATTGTTCGATGGCTTGAATCGAAGGTTGTTTGGCAAAACGACTAGAAACACGGTGCCTAAATCGGGTAATTGAAGGCAGGCTTTAAGACACCTGCAACGAAGAGAGTTATTTTCCGAATAAAATTAAAGAAAACGAGTTCTTCACTTTCTCATCACACAATACTTCGAAATAGCGCGGTATCAAAGACCTTCCACTATCCACCGAGTACAGTAAGATACGTAAGAACGTACGGAGTACGGAGTATGTAACTGGTCTATAAAAACCTCCAGTGGGGCGATGACGACTATTCGATATAGCTAGCTCCTTTGATTCGCTCACAAAGGCGACAAAAAACGAGCACTTCTTACAATACCCCACTGATGCGATTGATAAGATAATTGTACGTGTTTGTCGCCTCCTCGCTAGGTTTTGGCTGGTTTTACGACATCGCGCCATTTCACTTGCTAAGAAAGCCACACCTCCTTGATCAAAAGATGCAGACCATGCCGATGATTGGCCGATGATATCCACAATACTGGTAGCCACAAGGGGCATGTTCGATTTCATCTGACCAGAAACAGTGTCAGCGCAATTAACAGCGTAATGTGGTAGTCATAAGTATTAGAGCATCCTGACCCCGCTAAGCAATTCGGTTCTGCATTTACGTATGGGCCCCACTCGAGTATTGCTTGCAGCTTGTGCTTTCGGAAGCATGCGCCGATATCGGATGCGCGATGAACCTAACTACGATGTACGTCGTATGTACGCAAGCCGTCTGCAAGGCTCATAGATCCCACATGACATTAGAGTTAATTGGAACACTTTCGACGTGGGAGTCAGGCGTCACGGTGAAAACCCCGCGATTCTATTCAATTCCTGAAGTACATTTTCGTACTCTTTTCAGGACAGGCGTTTGACCAATTCGTCGCAAGGGCTTAATTTCGGATTAGATACAGTTAGTACGCGGCCATAGCTCGGTATACGACAAATAGCAAAAGGGACCTTGCATTATCCATTGAAATGCATCTAGCGATATATGTACCGAGTAAGCAAACAACGTAACCCCTTCCCCTCCGACCCGAGTGCAGTAAAGGAAAGAGAGATTTGTTGGGCCATGGGAGCAGTACAGTATGCTTTTAAGAACAAGCGCATTCCATATTTTATTGCGTATCCGTACAGAACTATGAGCTTTGCAGACAATATAGCGGAGGGTTTGCTTTGGCAAATTGAGTCGCGGGTTAACATTTTTGACTGGCTATGCGGTAATATGTATTTTAGGAAGGTAAGATATATGCAAGATTATCAAACCTCCGGAAGTGTGCATGGGCTGGCCAGTCCGGTAATCAGACAGAATGTGACATCTCCTACAAAGTACATACTGCTTTTCCACCGAGGACCAGTTTTTTAGAGCACTGTAAATGTGTTTTGTCATTTGCCACACAAACAGCCGAGGATCTTTGAATTGTCCCCGCTGCCCGGTTATTTATCTGTGAACACAGCCTGGGGCACAGCTCTGATCTAAAACGGTATTAACATGAAACCAAAAAAAACCTTTGGACATAGTATATTGAGATGCGCATATTATAGCTATGGATGATTTGAGGGACTACACATTCATGATTAATTTTTCGAAAATATTAACTGCAAGAAAGCCGCTATGGCATAACGGTAGATAGATAGTACACGAGCATTGAGTATGTAAGATATCTTGAAAATATGAGTGTGGAGAAATGCCTTCAAATCCACGTGACCTGATGCCCCACGCTTAGAATGAAGGCCTCCAATTATTGCCCTTTGCTGTCAGTTTGCTCGGAACATCTTCAGTCGTCAATATGGCACCTCAACTACCTCCAATTTCAACTGGCCGGGCCTCGTCTCTTTACTCACCGTACTCTCCCTACTCGAACTTTCATCTACCCTCTTCGTCTGATAGCAGCGATAATGGCGATGACGGTACACTCCCGTTTCCGGCTGCACTCCTACGAAACGACTTCCTTACTCCGGACTTTGAGCCTACTGCATATCTCTCTTCCCTATTTCCATCTGAAGAGGGCACTACTTCCGAACAGCGCCACCAAACTTTAGAAGATTTGCGAACCGAACTTCGGGAGCGCAGCAGTGCTATCAGTGCTGAGCTCCTTGAGCTCGTAAACGCAAACTACACAAGTTTTCTGAGTCTGGGAGATGAGCTTCGCGGTGGTGATGAACGAGTAGAAGACGTGCGTGTTGCACTCTTCGGCTTTCGTCGATCTATGGAGGACGTTCAAGGTCGTGTTAAAGAACGCAGGAGAGCCGTCAGTGACGCCTCCCGTGATTTGGGCGAGATTCAGGCAACAATCAGTGCCGGCCGGAAGCTTCTGGAGATTGACGACCGCATCACTCTTCTTGAGGAACGCCTCGCTATAGCTGCCGATACGGGTACGACCACTGATGAGAAGCTGGCCGGTATGGACGTCGGCATCTGGGACACAGACGAAACGGATGACGAACATATCGACGAAGACGCCCTAAGCGGACGCGCCAAATTCTATGTGGGAAATAGTCCGTCGAAGTTAGCAATGCTCGCAAACAATCTGATTTTGTCATGTCGTGCTTTGAAGTATTTAGGGCCAAACCTGGTATTTGCAAAGTTGGCAGACGAGAGATTAGCAAAGTGTCGGGAGACATTATTGCTTGACCTCAACGCTGCTCTTAAAGAGGCCCGAAAGTCCAGCAGCGGCGGCACTGGACAGGCAAGGCTTCTGAAGATTCTTGCGGTATATCGCAAGATTGATGGCGAAGACGAGGCTGTTCGAGTACTAAAAGAAAGATAACGAGTTTCAGTGGGAAGACATGATAGAACGGGGCTGACTATTTGCATGTGTGCGATACGCAATGGATAAAATTGAAATCAACAATGCCGTGAACAGTGACCGGGTGATTCCTTTTGATTGATACTTCCGTAACTACAAGATACAGGAGACATGCATGCGCACAATATATTACAACAGCATAAGGCTGGTTTTCAAGCTGTCTGCTAGGTACAAGCTGCCCCCCTACATCGCTGTGGAAAGGTGAGCAGGTGTTAACTTTTCGTCTGTTGGGTTGAAACCCCCACTGAGGCTGATTCCAGGACCATTCGTAGTGCTTAGAACTACCTCGTCGACAGTCTTGGGTGTCGTGAGCTCAACCTTGCGCATATCCTCTTTGATCTTGGCCATGAACGCCTTGATGTTGTCTGCGATCATCTGTGGTGTGAATCCCAACTGGCCTATTGCCATGCGCACCACGCCGGCACGTTCTCGGTAATTTTCGGTGCCTGCCATCTCGCGCATCTGAGAGCGAACATCATTTGTGATCGTCTTGTTCTTGATGTTCGGCATGAGGCCGTGAGGCCCCAATATGGGGCCCAGACCGGCTTTCATAAGTACCGGCGCGGAGTCAATGTGGCAAATGAGACGGTTGAAATTGATTTCTCCAGCCTTAATCGTAGCAATGAGCGTCTCCTCGCCCACAGCTACTGCGCCATCTGCTCGCGCTTCCGCTGCGACCTTGCTTCCTTCTTTGCAAACAACGGCAATACGAAAGTCGGAGTTACAGGGGTGTGGTAGCCTGATGCGATCACGCAGGACGGCGCCGTCTTTGTTCGTTTGTAGTTTTAGTGCAACATCGTAAGTCACACTGGCAGGCGGGCGGCCAACTTCCACGGCGCGAAGATATCTGAAGCACCACCATACGATCAGCCTCTGTATTTGGTATCCCAGTTAGAGAAACGTATTGAGCCCACCTGATAGCATCACACAAGGAGTACTGGACGAGCTTTGTTTTTTCGTGGACTCGGAAAGCCTTGTGCTTTGTCTTCTTCTTCTCAGATTTTTTTGAGGCTTGGCGCGTTTGAAAGGCGTAGGAAATGAATAGCTTCGGGATGGAACTGCCATGGGGCCGTGTTGAAGTCAAGATTGTCGGGTTTACAAAAAAGGCGAGGCACCGACCATTTGACGCCATCTTGCCCGTTGACATTGTGGTAAACTTGGTGACTGTTCGACGTTGTCGAGGCTCTAAATTTCTTCCACTGTTATGCCTAAATTTCCAGGCTTTATTCCCGTTATCTTATCGAGGCAAAAGTTTTGTAAATAGGGCCTGTTAACCGTAAGATACCCCGCTCAAATGTCTTCAACAAACCCCTCTATTGCATGAGCTTTGACTGCACACCATACAATCTGCAATCCGCCGTTCATACTCAAATCGAGCAAAATGAAGGCTGAGGACGTATCTTCTCTTCCGGAGAAGCTTTCCGGCGATTTTCGGACCATTGAGCCCTACCTGGTAGCGTTGGACAAGCATCTCACACTTCGTACATACATCTCGGGTTATACCCTCAGCGATGTCGACGCAAAGATTTGGGTAGCTCTGGCCGACAACCGTGTCTCCATCTCCTTCATACGCCGTGGGACTCTTTCCAACCTGAAGCGCTGGTTTGTCTTTGTCGAGGAATGCCACCCTGAGATCCAGGCTGGCATAAAGGCGGCCAAAGCAGCCCAGCACGCCAAGGTGGCCGCTGCCAGCAAAGCTGGTGGTAGCTACAACCTTGCGTTGAAGGATGCTGACAAAGGTGTCGTCACACGCTTTCTCCCCGAACCATCGTAAGCAACAAGACCGCGTTACTTTTAGGTACAAAACATAATCTTACCGTGTTGCCTACAAGTGGCTACCTTCACATCGGGCATGCCAAAGCTGCCCTCCTGAGCGACTACTTTGCCCGTCAATACAACGGAACTCTTCGGCTGCGCCTCGATGATACCAACCCTTCAAAAGAAAAGGGGGAATACCAGGATTCCATTTGCGAGGACCTCGAATTGATGGGAATCAAGGCCGACAAGCTGTCATATACATCGGACTACTTTGACTACCTTTATGATATGGCTTTGAGAATCATCAAAGAAGGTGGTGCTTATGCAGACGATACAGACCAAGAGACTATGCGAGACGAGCGGTTCAAGGGAATCGCATCGAAGAGACGGGAGCGAAGTGTGGAGGAGACATTGCGCATATTTGAGGAGATGAAGAACGCGACCCCTGAAGGCGTTAAAAACTGCATCAGGGCAAAGATCTCATATGATGACAACAACAAAACCATGCGAGACCCAGTCATCTACAGGTCCGATATATAAATACCACCATGGCCCGCAGTTGAATTTGCTGACGACTTGATAGAGTGAACATTGAAACAGCTCATCATCGAACCGGCACGACATGGAAAATCTACCCGACATACGACTTCGCCTGTCCTGTTACCGACAGCCTTGAGGGAATCACCCATGCCATGCGCTCCACTGAGTAATAATTTACCAATGCCGTGTTTGTTTGCTGTGCCGACTGACATGACATAGATACACCGATCGCAACGCACAATATCAGTGGTTCTTGACAACCCTGAACCTGCGCCAAGTACACATGTTTGATTTTGCCCGCATGAATTTCATCAGGACATTTCTTGTATGTCTATTTTTTTACACAATATTGCAGGGATCATGATCATCTTACTAGAAGCTAATCGTACGCAGTCCAAGCGCAAGCTGGCGAAGCTGGTTGATACCGGCCGTGTCTGGGGCTGGGACGATCCTAGGATGCCGACGTAAGTTGCATATTTCGGACTAAATATTTTCAAACTGGAGTCAAGAATATGCTAAGAGAATCTCGCTACAGGATTCGTGGCGTTCGCAGGCGAGGCATGACCATCCCGGCGTTACGCGATTTCATCCTCAAACGTGAGTTCAGTGTGGCCATCACGTTATACTGGTACATCAGACTGACGCCTGTAAAGAGGGTCCGAGCCGCAGCGTGACCACGATGGAATGGGGCGCATTTTGGGCGACGAACAAGAAGGAAATTGATCCCATCGCACCACGGCATACTATTGTCGCGGCAAAAGATGCGGTCAAAGTTCGCCTTACTGGATCTGACGCCCCTGCTGAGTCCTTCACGGCCGAAAAGCCTTTACACCCAAAAAACAAGGATGTCGGAACGAAGGCGGTGGTGTTTTCTTCGGAGATCATCCTAGACCAGACGGATGTGAAGCTAATGAAGGTCGGCGAGGAAGTCACGTTGATGGCTTGGGGTAATGCGTTTGTTCGCTCGATTGAAGGAGGCGATGGCGACAGCCCCATCACAAGCGCCACGTTCGAGCTAAACCTCTCCGGGGATGTGAAGAAGACAGACAAGAAGGTGACGTGGCTTTCTTCAAAGGGCCAGAATTTCGTCAGCGGCGAAGCATGGGACTTTGACTACCTTCTCACCAAGAATACCCTGGAAGAGAATGACAATTTGGAGGACTGTCTGACTCCTGTTACTGCGACAGAGGAGGCCGTCCTCGGGGGAGAAAACATGTCAGAGCTTAAGAAAGACGATATTATCCAGCTCGAGCGTAGAGGGTTTTACCGCGTCGATAAAGGGCTCAATGACTGGAAAGAGGGCGAGGCCGGGTTGAAGGGTCCGAGAATTGTCTTGTTCGCCATCCCCAGCGGCAAGTCTAACTAGAATTGATGTGCGGGATGGCAAGTCATATGCATCTTGAATGTCTGCTATACATACATAGAAGCTCAAAAAACTTGAGTTTGGCAGTGTCTTTTTAGCGCCATGCGAGCCATTGTCAAAAGGTAAGATATATAAAGTGCATACAGGTCTAGGCAACATGGCGCAGCAGTTCATTTAAGATAAGCCATGATAATCTAAGCAAGTCAATTGATCATAGCAGACTCGTATTTTGGCAAAATTTCCACATTTAGTGTGGTTCGCGACCGGGTTTCTAGTCTTTGCGCCTCCGGGCGTGTATTGTCATTGGCCAGCATGATGCAGCTCACCGCCTCTGAAACCATGATCTGTAATGCGTACCAGACCGATTGTCAGGAGTTGGAGTTGGGACAGCATCAGTGATCGCTCAGAGTATATCTGAACGTATAGATCACCTCGACGTACAGTTGCTGCTGCTGCAAAAAAAAGGGAGTAGTAACATCAAACTCCCATTGCCTATATGACCACCAGGCTACTATTACATACGTATGGGACAGGTTTATGCATAGTATGATCCCAACAATACTTACTAGAGTACTACGTAGGTGTCGAAACTCCGTAGTCCGTACTCCATATGTGTATCTGTTAATACATTGCTGCATTGGGGGCAGAATTGCCCCATGGGAGTGCCTCGCAAAGTGGAGAGAAACCCCTGTTGCCTAATCGAAACTGTCTCAGATAGGGCGACCGTTGGGGGCAACCGAAGCTTATTTAACCTCCGGACTGGCCTCTTCAGCTACTCACAATGAGCAATAGACAAGCTTTCGTTCCTCAAAATGGCGGACCAGAAGCAAGAGTCGCCTGTGAAATTGCCGAGCTTTGGTCGGCCTCGGCGTTATGGCCTTAACAAGTGTTTTCCCCAAGTGGACCTTTTTGAATATGGGCGTGGAATGCTAAGCAAGGGCGTTACGCTGCGTGAGCGACGTATGCTTGACTTCATAGGCACCATCACTGACAAGCCCGATTGGCACCGCAAAGTGTTTGACGAGGCCATTGTGGAAAAATGGCGAAATGAAGCCAGGGATATGCCTCGGGTGGCTGATAACGACGTTTACATGTCTGAAATCATGTTCGACAATGTAAGGCACCTTCCTCCTTTCCAGCCCAGTTGCAATAGTGACAAAGTGAAACGAAACCTAATGTCTGCTGCAGTGTATTTCCGAAATTCGTGATAAAGCTACTCGGTTCGATGTCACGGGGCTCGTAGGTACGCTTGATGCTGAGCTTGCGGTGGTGAAGTCAGACGTGGCTGTGTCAGAACACCTGGCGGCGCAACTACGCCAGCTTGCCGAGGTTCTAGAGAATGCCCCGGACACCCAAAAAGACTGGCATCCTGGTTCGGACAATCAAGTTCTCGACCTTCTTCACCCATCCTTATTCCCTGTTGTCTTCGGTAGAACACGCGCGCTGCGAACGGGAAAGGTCGGCCTGGATGACGCTGCATCGTTTTCGGGAAAAGGAGAACTAACTTCCGACGTCGAAGAAGGGGAAAGGCTCAGGTGCGGTGAAGACTCATATCAATGGCTTCCCTCAGATGTTGTGCTCAGCGACTCTGGAGCGTCCATCACAAGCTACATAAACAACCTCCGTTATGAGCATCACAGAGAGCTTTACAAAGTTTTGGAACAATTCGTTGTCGCAGCTGTACCTCTCTGGGAAGAATGCCTCTCGTGGTGGAACGACCGCCGACGTTTTACAATCACGGATACCAGCGACGAGGATGACTTCTTTATCCCTGAGGGTATCGAATACACCATTCCGGACCAATTCAAAAACAGTGACGGTACCATAAATGACGAGTACAGGTTCGAACCAGAGTACGAAGACTGGGAGATTCGACATGGAGTACTCAAGTTTCGCGAGCCAGACTTGCCATACGAGCCATTTGAAAAGAAGGTGGACCTTGGCAGCCGTTGTAACTTGAAGGAGAACTTTCCCAAAGGGTTGCAGATAATTTTTAAACTGGCCAATATTCATCTCACCCCCGACAAGCCGTCGTATGCAGGTGGCACTTGGCATGTCGAGGGAACGGCATCAGAATGCATCTGTGCAACAGCCATCTACTATTATGACGAAGAAAACATCACCGAGAGTCGGCTATCTTTCCGCCAGGAAGTGGACGAGGAGAACATGAGTTACATTCCGGCACAAGGCGCCTATCGAAGCCTTGAGAAATATTTTGGTGTGGTCGCGGATGGCAATACGGTCCAAGAACTGGGTAGCGTGGTAACGCGAGAGGGGAGGCTGCTTGCTTTCCCGAATGTGCTGCAGCACAAGGTTGGCTCATTCAGGCTGAAGGACCCAGAGAAGCCTGGACATCGCAAGATTTTAGCCATGTTTCTTATCGATCCCCACCGAAGAATTTTGTCTACCGCCAATGTCCCACCACAACAAAAAGACTGGTGGGCAGATCACGTCAGGCAAACACCTGCGTTCCAGAAACTGCCTCCGGAGTTGTTCAGTGAAATTATTAACTCGGTGGATACGTGCCCTATCAGTCTGGACGAGGCCAAGGAGATCCGTAAGGACTTGATGTTTAGTCGGAGCGTCCTCCGTGAGGAGCAAGATGAGTTGCTGAACGAGGTACGTAAACCCCCCCACGACTCTTATTGGGTTACAATACCGACTATTTCAAAGACTACATATTCGTTTTGTGAGCATTAGCTTTAGTGCTTGTCACCGTTCTCACTCTCCATCTGTTGAAGAGTACCATGAAACATAAAAAAACAGTTCTCAGTAGTCGTTTCCTTGTTCTTTAAAGGAACGATTAAGGTAGTTGTAAATATAAGCACAAATACGGTGTAAATAAGCAGCATAAAGCAAACAGTACGGAGTACTCCATATTCCGTATCTTATCTTACTTTCGTTTTAGCTATCTCACCGCTTTTAAAGTATCTTATAAGAATTCTGCCGCATTTTCCACTAAAAAAACATTCTTCAGTTAGTAGACATCGGCAGAAAGCAATTAGAATACTAAAGACGACATCTTTAAGCAGCATACAAACACTCAGTATGGAAAACACTGCGACAAAGAGGCGACGCGGGGAAGAGCCCTCAAGGCAAAAGAGTGACCGTTTCACGAAGAAGGCCAAGAACCTGCCAAATGCACAATACATCGACTCGGAAGCAGATGCCGGAAGCAATAGCCAAGATTTTCAAGCTGTCAGCCTGCTTGACTCTGACGATGACTTGGACAATGCAGAGGTCGACGACGGCATGTCCACAGATGAAGGCGAAGACTCGGAAGATTCTCTAGATTCCTTGGCCCATGTTCCATTGCGGACATCCTCTCGAAAGCGTCGCCAGTCTCCCAACAAGGGCATGAAGGATGCTCCGTCTGACGACGACGACATGGGAGACATGTCCTCTATAGACGACAGCAGCGACGAGGGATCGAACCGGGCTGGCCCCAGATCCAAGCGCAACGACCCTAGCACATTCTCGACCTCTTTGCAGAAAATTCTCGGGACAAAGCTGTCTACATCCCGCCGATCGGATCCAGTCCTTGCCCGCAGCGCTGCCGCACGAGAGGCCAGTCGGCGAATTGTTGATGCGGCGCTTGAGGAGAAGGCAAAAAGGCAGCTGCGGCTAGAAAAGCGAGTGGCACTGGAGAAGGGCCGTGTGAAAGATGTATTGATTGCATCGAACGCGAGCGGTGCTGAGTTTGGTGATGCGACAAATGGGGACTCCGAAACAACGGCAACAATATTGGAAACAGAGCGCAAGCTACGCAAGGTGGCACAGAGAGGTGTTGTCAAACTCTTCAACGCGGTGCGCGCCGCGCAGGTCAAAGCTGCTGAGGCCGAGAGGACAGCCAAGAAAGAGGGCGTCTTGGGTATAGACAAGAGGGACGCAAAGATTACGGAAATGAGCCGCAAAGGATTTTTGGATTTGATTGCATCCGGCGGTGGTGGCTTGAAAAAGGGGGGGCTAGAGGAGGCTTAGATTTGATCAGTTCAATGTACTTTTGTCTGTCATCCGCTGTTCTACAAGCATCTGCACCTGCTATTGTTCCGTGTTCGCCGAACCTACTTCCTGAGTTGCGTGTTTGCTATAGCCACCCTGAACATTGGGGTATTCCATACCATACATGCTTCAGCCAGCCAAAAATGGCCGTGTCTCCATTAAACATAAAAAAATGGTTCAATGCCGTTATTTCTAGGACGCCATTGTTCCGCAATCCATGTGATAGCCGCTGTCCAGTTCCCATGCCATAACCGTTTATCGTCAACAGAATATGTCTGTACGCCCCCACCTAACCTCTATACACTACTACTGCCTGCGGTCGCTTTCGACTGGAAATCGCTGGCCTGCAAGTTTCTTGTCATCGATGGTAGCCGGACAACTAAACCATCTAGGTCCTTAGACATATGGACCTGGCACCCTAACCGACTCGTCTCGGTGAGCCCAAAAGCTAGGTCAAGCATGTCGTTCTCGTCATCGTCTGGCTCTGTCATCTTATCGTAATAATCCTCCCCCTCCACGACGACGTGACATGTGGAACAAGCACACGAACCGCCGCATGCACCCTCCATCTCGAGATCATTTGCCTGGGCAATATCTAGTAAATTATCACCCTCGGCGACGGCAATCTTGTGGCTGTCGCCATCTTTGTCAATGTAGGTAATCCACAGCCTAAGAAGCGTCAGTATGAAAGCTTCAGGGGTTTCACTAGCCGACCCAGCATACTCTTCCCCGGGTCTCGGCTTGTGTACGTGGCCATGCGATCTACTCGAAGTTGACGTAAAGGTGCGCGAATAGACAGATGGAATCACTGCGGCCCTCTGCGGTACTGCACATAATGGGTGGTCAGCTTGAGGACAAGAGCAGGATTGGCAAGTCTTCCTACAAATTAGTGCCGCACGCCGAAACGGTGCATGGAACAGACCGCATTGGCGAGTGGTGCGCAATAATCCTTCTGTGAGAAATTTCGCTGCAGTCATAGCTGTAGCGGAATACAATAATTTGGGGGGGATCTTGTATAAGAGGGCAACGGTTGCTGCAGGGAATGTTCGGGTTTCCCACAGCATATGTCGCAGCGATAGGGCCCAAAGTTTCCGCCAACTTGCCTTTTATTCCTGCAAGAACGGACTTCAATTCAAAACCCACGCTTTTTTTGCTTTCGCCTTTTTTTGCTTTCAACGGACACCTTCATCAGCCAATAAGACGTAAGATACAGCAGCCTCACGCAGCTGGCTTGCACGTTAATCCGTCCCCGAGTCTTATCTCCGAACCACCCCAGAGTGGGTTGGCCGTTGATATCAATGCCTTTTTTTTTTTTCGTTTTTGTAGCGGTGGCTGGATTAGCATGAAACAGCACGTCCCGAACATACGCCAGAATACTAGACAGAATCGTCGTCTACCATACGAGGAATGGCTCTACCAAAAGAAGGGGTAAACCCTCTCCGCCCTTACTATATACCTCCCTCTATCGGCGATACATCAGACCCGGCCACCCATAGCCGCCCTCTCCCAAATGGCCTTACACGAGGAAATACAGTGGGGGGTTACACGCATAAAGCGCGGGACATGTTTGCAGATATCGACTACAAGGAATATCTGGCAGATCCGTCGCCATCTGCTATGCAGTCGGTTCGGGATGTTGTTGATGACCTCATCTGGCGGTACACGTCGGTCCTGATGGCACAACCCTTCGAAGTGGCCAGGACCATACTTCAAGTTCGCAGCCATGACGACGTTCTCGCTGTTGCGGTCCCTGACTTGGAGCTCGCAAAACAAGAGATAACACCTTCTTATGAAAGCGTTATGCCAAACTCTGTTAGCATTGTCTCCAACCGTGCCGTGAAGGAGCGTTGTGCAGCTTTGCTAATGTTGTATGCTAGTTCGCCGGCTATGATTCCGATTTAGACGAGCCCAACTATTTTGCACCGAACGTGCCGAATCCCTCGTCCACCTTGTATCCGGCTCAAAGGCAAAGGAGTTCACCTTCATTGCCGCCGTCACAAGTTGCCAACCCAACGGTGCCGCTCCCCTCTTACAGACTCGAACTTCAAAAGGCGAATTCTATTGTCGAGGTCATATCGCAGTTGTGGCAGAAAGAGGCTGCTTGGGGTGTCTGGAAAGGGACCAATGCATCCTTCCTCTACACTGTTGTGCAGTCCCTCCTTGAAAATTGGTCAAGGAGTCTACTCAGCGCTTTGTTTAACGTCCCAGACCTAGGTCTGAAGGATGACGTCGACCGCTTGATCGATATTGCGTCTCCATACCCTTGGGCGTCTCTATTTGTTGCAGCGGCAGCAGCTGTAACCACAGGCCTGGTTTTGTCGCCTCTGGACCTTGTCCGAACAAGGTAGGTAACGACTTCTTTGCTATTTGCCAACGCATCGTACACGGGATTCTTGAGCATGGCGCTGTCGTACTAACAAGTGTGGAAAGGCTCATTTGCACACCAACATATCGCCAACCGCGACGAGCACTCTCTCTTCTCCGCAACTTGCCCTCCCTCGTGTGCTCGCCGGCACTGGCCATTCCCACTATTCTTCACTCTCTTATCCACCCCCTTCTGACACTTTCTACACCTCTCATACTGCGATCGCAGTTCTCGATTGATAGGGTTGCATATCCTTTTACGTTCTCAGTTGCAAAATTTTGCTCATCATCTTTTGCGCTGTTCGTCAAGCTGCCCCTGGAGACCGTGCTGCGGCGAGGACAGGCTGCCATTTTGAACTCGCCAGAGTATGTGCAGGCCCTTGAACCGGCACCGACAACTGCTGGCAGCGAAATGGCGCAGTCGACGGGCATGGAAACTATTGTGCCACTAGGCAAGTACATGGGCATTTTCGGAACCATGTACCACATTGTTTCTGAGGAGGGCCGCGTGCCTGTCTTGGACCCGCTTCAAAAGATTAAGCCCCATTCGAGGAAAGCGAAGACAAAAGTCGCCCAGGCTGTGTACCGACAGGGCCAAGGCATGGAGGGCTTATGGAGAGGCTGGAAAGTAAGCTGGTGGGGATTGGTCGGGCTGTGGACAGCGGCTACAATCGGCCATGGTGGCGACGGCGAGTTCTGATGACAATGTATGCATACCTGGCGTGGTATCTTCTACTCACCAAGACTCAGAAGATGGAGCTTGGGCTGACCAGCGGGAGTTCATTGCGGCCATCAGATTACGATACCATGACAAGGCAACGGAGTTACGAAATCTCACCTCTTGGAAGATTTTGAGTGGTTCGTAAACATTCTTGCTGCTTATATCAAAAAAGGGTTACGTTACCATACTTTCATCTTGTTTTTCGCCAATGCGAGAACAATTGTGCAATAGCGTTTATGTCAGCCAATTGACTTTGCAAGCTTGGATATTGAGGCCCTATAGTTCCTCCCCCCTTCTAGTGGTAGTGCAGCCACGCAACATAGACGGTGCAAGCTCGGAGTTTTGCAGTTTTTTTATTTATTGTTAATCGTGCTCTCACGTAACGCCAAATCAAATACCCAGTGATCCCCGAATGTGATGCGCCCGTAGGACAGGGGTTTTCTTTTGCAACCGAGTCGACTCCGGGGCACTCCTCAAAGAACACTATGTACCCCGACTTTACAGGATACCAGTGTAATCACTACGGCCCTTTTTTGACGGCTCGTAAAGTGGAATATGCCGTTCCTCTGCTCTATGCGACCAACTCAACAACAGCACCGGCCTCCTTCAGCTTGCGCTCGGCAAGCTTGCTGACGTAGCGAGCGCGAACAACCAGTGGTATCTCGGGGAGACGGCCCTTTCCGAGGAGCTTCGAGTAGCCGAAAGGGAGCAGGTCGATGACGGGGGCGGTGTCCTTCTTCTCGCCAGACAGGTACTTCTCACGGACCTCAGCAGGAACAAGCGTCCAGAGCTAGGTAAAGTGTCAGGAAAACCAGTCTCGATGGGGCAGTGGTGGTGCTAGAATATGATGGCTGTTGAATATTGCTCATGCATGCTGTCAAACGTACCTTGTCCAAGTTGATGACCGGGTTCCATTGGTGATTTCTCAGCAGGTGGAATCGGCGCATGCCCACCTTACCGAAGTAACCGGGATGGTATTTGTCGAGGTTCGTGCGGTGGTGGTGCTGGTGTAATGGACCGTGTCAGTTATGCCGGCCTTCGAGTTGATCGAATTGTGATTGATACATACCATACCACCGGCCATACCACGACCACCCGGATGCTTCCTGTGCTTTCCAACGCGACCCTTACCGGCACTGACGTGGCCGCGGTGCTTGCGTGTCTTCGTAAACCGGGTCGGCATCTTGGTGGTTGTCGAGATGTCGTGGTGATTTGGGGTGTGTATGTTTCGAAATTGACTATTAATTTTCGTTTTCTGTTTTTTTTTTCTGCTGATGGGAGGGGATGCTGCCAAAAAAGTATGGGTCAGGGCACAAGCACGTGATAGGGCAAAGCTAGAATTTACTGGGTTGCTGTGCATTCGTACGGAGTGCGGTAGTACAGCTTAAGTAATGCACATCCGATTTTTAAAAAAAATCACCCTATCGTCCGCGTTGGTTTATCCACAATTGCTCTGTACGGAGTAGGCGGCTAAAACAATTAAGGTGGCTCATCGCCCTGGCATACGGAGTACGGAAACAAACATTCATAATAGTTTCTTGACTCACCAACTACAACAGCCGTGTCAATGACAAGTGCGACACTGGACTGATGATCAAGAAATGCATTGCGATGTACCGGATATGCGACTGTTCTTACTTGCCAATGGAATTGTAAGTTATAATACTCCGTAAGGTATGCTCATCCAGGCTGGTAACGATCCTCGATCCAATTGTTGTTGCATTGCCATCAGTGTACGGAGTAAAAAGCGGTATCTCCACCTTGTCTCGCAATGCCAACCTGCTTACTCCGTACTATGGAGTATGCACCTTGCCTACTTACGTCGTATGTAGTACTCCCTAGCTCGAGTGAGTGCTACGTGTATGCCTATGGAGTACGGAGTAATTGAAGACGCAATCCACCCAAGCCCGACAACGATTGGGGTTGCAGCAATAACAAAAGAATCTCTGGCCAGGTCACCGTATTTTAAGCGCATATTATCCTCCTTCCAGGACTGGAAAGCGCTAAACGATTGTATGATGGCTCTCGTAAAGATATACACCCGTTGCACTGCCGACCTCCGGGGTAGTTAGCGCCTACTTTCAAACCCGGAATATTGCCTAGGCAGACCGGAACGGAGCCTGGATAATAGAGGTAGCTGGCGAGAATCTGGTTATTGACTGCATACGAGCTAGTGCCTTACAAGCTAGATGCTGCGTGTAGTTGTTTGCAAGCATATAGCCACAACGACAGGCATTTTTGCCGTTACTTTCAGACGCACTTCGGTGTCGTAAGGGTTGTGCTGGCGTAGTTCGATCTCCTGTCGTACTCTGTACTCTGTAGACGATTCTTGCTCCCAAGCTGGGCTAACTCAGTCAAGTGGGTCAGCAAGGCTGAGGATTTGCTTATTGGGCTCCGCCACGACACAGCAAACAATGCCCAACTGTGCCAGGCTATGTCGCTACTAAAATGAAAGGCGCAGGCGACTTGCACGTCCGTGGAAGCACAGTGGATCTAGAGTCGCCTACGTTGTAAGGTTGTACCCGTGTTATTCAGTGTGGCCGACATGCGGCTGAAGGGTAAAGGTATAGCCCCTGCCTCTGCTGCAGCCAATTGTTTACGAGTGGAGGCTGCAATAGGCGCCTACCCTCTATCTAAAAAGCTATCATTTGAGACTCTTTAAACCCCTGCTTTGCTTTTCTTCCGCTGCTGTCTCTAATCTGTTAATCTCAAACTCTTCATACTGCCTCAATATTCCGGATAGCTCCCAGAAGTCTTATCCTAAGATGGCGTCAAATTCCTCTTTTAGCCAGAGCTCCAGCCAGGGCTCCGGCTCAGGCTCGAACTCGGCGGACGACCGCATTAATCTCATCATAGCTGCTATTGCACTAGTCATTTCCGTTTTAGCCATGTTTATCACGACTTTCCAGGCCCTGCAGCAATACTTTTCCTCAGCCGCCGGCCAGTCCTCATGCAGCAAAAAGGTCATCGGCTTGTGGTCCGACTATACCAAGCTGCACTTCACGGCGTTTCGCCTTGAGGTCAGGTTCCGAGCGCCAGTTCTTTTTGTAGCACCACCGAAAAATGACAAAGGGCCGCTCGGAAAATCTGGCATCTTGCAATTAGACGGTTCCAATGAAAGCTACACTGCGACTCATACAATGCAGCCTGTTGAATATGCCGAATGGAAACCGCAAGAGAAGGAAAGCATCCGTACTGCCGACAACGAGCAGGCGACGTGGATATCTCTCATGATGGCCATCCAGAAGATGGAAAGCGACTCTCGCAAGTGGCAGCAAGATATTTACAAGAACTACAAAGTAAAATTCGAGCCCACTATGACTGTGGCAATGCAGGAGAAGACCCGCTCGTGGGATACCATGCCGGACGGCCTCTTGAAGCCATACGCCACCAGCACAATTGCGCACTTTGTCGAGATGATGGCCATGTTGGGTGTCCACTGGAAGGAGTTTGATCGCAACAATGACAAATACCGTGCACAGGGCAACGGTTTCAGTGTGTCCGGATCGCTGGTGCCCAATCTGGGCATTGGTTTCACTTTCCAGAAAGTGGGAACAGCTACGTACAAGGTGTCCCGCATCGTTCCGAATGACTCTGTCAAGGAGCTCTGCTTTGGTTTCTGCCCTACAATCTTCCGGGACCAAACAACATACGCTGATGAACCGGATAAGGGTGTGCTGCAGCTGGGCACAAGCGCCGAGGTAGCTGCAACTTTGAGCTCCTTCGGCTGCAATACAAATACAGTCAACTATTTCCGCGTTGGGAACGATCAAACACGTTACTCGCATCTGTTTCCTCGTATGTTATTTTTCCTCTGTTCCTGGCTATATGGCGATGACGCTTCATGCTAACAATACCAAGTCCCCTTTGAAATGGTAGGCATGGTGGGCCACGTTCTACAGATAAAGGACACGGCATTTACCATGCTACCCAATCCCACATTCCTCACGTGGGACAAGTCCTCGTTTTCTTTACCCAAACTCCTCGCGTGTTTCCGGGACGCTCTGGACAAGATATCAACAGCCAAGGGCTCGTCTAAGCAATTCATACTTGTCTTAGAAATGATTGAAGGCGTGCAGGAGGCTGAGAGGCGGGAGTCTGCTACTAGACGGAAGGCAAAATTACAGGCCACGAAGGACAAAAACAAAGCGGCCGGTCCCCCAGCTTTGGACGTGCAAAGATCAAATGGGGTAGATGGTCCATCTCTAGCGGCCCATAGGACAGTTCCAGTCTGGGCCCAGCTGAAAAAAAGGAGCACTCTGCGGCCAGATCGTGCAACGACTCGGAGACCAGAATCACCAGTGCCACAGGCGGAAAATGGCCCCTTGGATACGGCTTTGGCAAATTCAGACGATTTGGAGAACCCTCCCCGGAAGTTCCGGAACCTTGCTAACTTCGCCAAAGCCGCTTTAATTTTCAGGCAAACAGCGGCTGGAAATGGAAGACCAGCGCCGAAGGCACAACCAGTAGAGAACGACCCCGACGACGCTACGTTTCCATCATATATCAGATCCTTGCACTCTGCAATCGAGGTGTGCGACCAATTTTTGAAACGGCCCAAATTGTTTCCTGTGGTCTCACAGGTCTTCTGCTTGCATTTCCAGGAGGTTCTCAAGTACCTGAACTCTCAAGAGAACGCCAGAGAAGGCGCATCCAGCACTCATGCTGCAGACGACAAAAAGCTACAAGGCGCCCGTACTGACACCGTGACCGGTCCGAGAGCTTCCCAACCTGCTGATTCCGTATTCTCGACCAGCAGCCACGATGGCTACATTCCTCTGGAAGACCTCAACTCGGCACCATCGGCTGACCGGCACCGCTTGCTTGCAAATGTGTATGTGAATTACATACGCAATCGCATTATAAAGATCAAAATGCCACCAACGGAGTACAACCCACGAGAGAGCCAAGATGATGCAGACATGCGAGACAGACCTCCGACACCTGTCAGGCTTTCCAAATACCAGCCCACAAGTGATGACGTTGACGATATATGGTGTAGCCTCATGTTCCGCATGCTCTGTTGGCTCATGCTCCATGATTTCGATAAGAAGGACATTCAGATTAGCAAAAGCGACGTATTTGACTCGCGGTTGCCGGTTTATATATTATAACATTAGCTAGTGAGCGTGGCTTTTTGGACAACACGAAGTCTGCAGTAGTACATTTTGTCTTCGATCTCAGTCTGTTTTTTCAAAAACTCCTAGAACGCTATCTTATTTACGATCATCCGATTGTGCCTCAAGCTTTAATATTCCTTGTCACAGTAACAATATAGAAATTAGCAGGGTTATGTTCAAAGATGAAGAAGCGTACGGAAATTCTTTTGTTCCTTGGAGAAAGTACGTGTCTCACAGGCATGTTAATTGCACGGAATACTCCGTACTACTTGGTTATGTGGTCGTGCAAGATTAGCCGCGACGACGAATATGGCCACCGGAACGACCCATTTAGCCTTCATTTCTACGCCGGTCTACACCCTATGTGAGGAATGCGTTGCAGAACCTGTTTGGTATCTCTGATAGTACTCCGTAGTGTCGTAGTTTCAGTCCCGTCAAAAAATGTGGCTAGTACAGGTCCAGGTCGCTTTAGTTCTAAAACCCTTTTAGGACGTCGGGCACTCCCGATCGTACTGCGTATGAACGTTTTTGTCTGAACCGCACGTGACTTCAGGCACCGGCTGGGAGCGATGTCAGCCTTTTATGGCCAGCATCTTGGGTCTCTTGTTATTACTGAAAAGCACCAATAGCTGCGAATCGGAGATTATGTAAATGACAACTGAACATATCTTACAAATTTAACGCCGTTCATTTTCCCCAGCTGGAGACAAAGAACCAGCACTAGTCGTATCTCGGTGGCCGATAGCACAACTAAATGGTGGAATACTTATCCCTGATCAACTCATCCCACTTGACATCACCAGCCGAACCATTGTAACTAACGCCAATAGCATAGACGCAAACAAGGACACAAAATACAACACCACGTCGCCCCGAGAACGCCCTTCATGCCTACATATTGTATAATTGGAACAAACCGTGGCATGGGGCTCGAGTTTGTGCGGCAGCTCTCCTTGTCCCCCGAAAATACCATACTTGCCACCACACGCCCGGGTGCCGATCTCAGTGATGTCCGGGCCGTAGCCTCGGCCACCACTCGCTTCTTGGATTGTGATGTTTCCAGTGTCCCCTCAATCCACTTATTTGCGAACAAGGCTGCCCGAGTTCTTGATGGCAAGCAGATCGATTTTCTGGTGAATAACGCAGGCATCAACAACACACCGTCCAGCGAGACCAGTCTGTCGCTAGACCACACCAATTTTGCTCAGCAGATGAGCGCCAACGTTGTGGGTCCTGCAAAGGTAGTCGAGTTTTTGCTGGACCATAAACTACTCGCCCCAGCCGTCCGCATACTCAACATGTCTTCTGGTTGGGCAAGTCTGGACTCGAGCAGCAAGCTAAATCAACGCGCTTGTACCGGTTACAGCATCTCGAAGGCTGCCCTCAACATGCTCACAGTCCACCAGGGAGGGGATATTCGCAATCGCCTACCGGAAGCTGTCGTAATTGCCATGGATCCGGGCTGGGTGAAAACAAGGATGGGTGGCGATGGTGCCCCGTTGGAGGCGTCGTTTTCTGTTTCAGGCATGCTGAAAACCTTACAGTCGCTCAAGGACGAGGACAACTGTCTTTTTTTTGCATACGATGGAAAAAGGCGCCCGTGGTGATACTGTGCATGGGTGGTGTCAGGGGCAGACGCTGTCTGCCTGGGATTCATCAGTAATATGACGCTGGCAGAATCCATACAAGATTATAGGACCCGTCGTTCTCCCCGGAACGCTCGTAATTCTTTGTTAGATCAGGAGAGTCATGCTACTGCAATCCCAAAAGACCATGATAGTTTTGCCAGTACCGCAATGGCATTGAAACAAGTCTGGCCCATAGATGTCTGCGAAGTCCTGCGAGTTCGGGTCAGCCGTTGTACATTCCAAGAGCAGACGAAATGACTAAAGAATGGGGAAAGCATTAATAACCGGACAGACATCGTATGCAACTTTTCCATCCGGCTCGGCTGTGCCTTCCATTTCGGTTTCGTGGCAGTGTAGAAGTATCGTTATATTGGCCTATACAAGGAAGGTACGTAAGGCAAGGTTAATCTCTTACAGAAAGCATCTTACTTCGCCTGTCTAAAATTCTGCTGCATACTCTCGCAAGCTCCGGTTACCAAACATCACAATAGCTAAATCCTAGAGATCCCAACAGCACTTCCTTTTGAGCAGTTTTATCCCTTCCTATTAGAAGAATTACAACCATGAGTCACCGATACGAGCAGCCCGAAGTGAACAAGCTGTCATCTTCCAGATGTCCCGCTCAGGCAGTGAAGCCGGGCCTGTCAGCAATTTCTGGACTGGTATCGTTCGCTTGGCTTTAGTTCAGACACTCGACGGTTGATATCTTGACCATTTTAGCTACTACAACATTAGCTTTGATCGTGCGTAGCAATTTACCCTGTCCCTTCACTCCTACAGCATCTCAATATATTTCCCTCACGATGATCACAGGCTGCTTTAAATAAAAACTCTAACAAGACTACAGATTTATTTGGCCCCGCCTCTCCCATCTCGGTCCTTTGCAGTAACGACAACAAATGGGGCCATTGTGTACCCCGAGTTTGCCTATCCTCTTCGCAAAGAAATTCTTCCCGCTTGCCTATATATTATTTTAGGGCCTGTTCTCCCCGTTGCTACCCTTCTAGGGCTACAGCTGTGGGTTAGGTCGTTCTGGGATGCGAACAATGCTATATTCGGGGTTTTATACTCTCTCAGCTCTTCAATTCTCTTTCAAGTTATCATAAAATGGCTCATCGGTGGACTGCGCCCTCATTTTTTAGATGTCTGCAAACCCGATATCTCACGAGCCAACAAGTCGGCTTTAACGCCTTATAATGCAGCAGGCTTTCAGGCTATCTATTACACTCGCGAAGTATGCACTGGTGATCCCCGGAAGATAAACGACTCCCTCACCAGTTTCCCATCAGGCCACACTACAGCTGCTTTCGCCGGGTTTGTGTATATTTATCTATACATCAATGGAAAATTCAAAGTTTTCGCTAATCAACACACGCCTATGTGGAAATTGCTGCTGATCCATGCACCGATTCTCCTCGCTGTGCTTATTGGTGGGGCTTTGACCATTGATGAGTTTCACAATTGGTATGACATCGTTGCCGGTGGCATCATCGGAACCGTTATGGCTGTCAGCTCATATCGCATGACATATGCTTCTATTGCTGATTGGAGATGGAACCACATCCCGCTCAATCGATCGGTGCCATTTGAATATGATTTTCCCTCATCGGAAAAAGGACCCAATTATGCTCTTGCCGACGGAAATCCATCACGAGTATTGTGAGGGTGAGCCCGTATATCGGTGGAATTTTTTTCAGCAAGAACCAATCAATGGTCTGCTACATTGACTTGAGGCTGCCATGGACTAAAAGACTCTCGTTGCAGGATTCGAAATTCAGGGGTCTACCTTAGATACCTCCTCTTTCGAGTTGTTTAGATCGTGACCTATAAACTCATTGTTCTCCCTTCGCCCGCCCAAAACTGGTAACTGTAAACGGTACCATAAGAGTAAAACATTCCAGACTATTACGAGCGGAAATGCAGGACTATTGCCAACGGGACTAGGCTATGTTCTTGAGGCAGCTGACATAATTCTGTAGATGGCTAATGGGAAGAGTTTCTTGAGTTGAAGTTGAGTGTAGAGCTCTGACTTCCCGGCAGTTTTCAGCGACAGGTCTGCCCATTGTCAGATAGTCTTTGCAAAAATGTACAAGCAAAACACTGTTTTCCGCCTTCGTCAACACAGCAATAATTTTCAATCCAAGTCGTTAGCTAAATGCTTCCTCGGCCTTGAAAAGCCAACATGACCAATCGCGCCACATGTATACCCTTTATGAACAGACCTGAAAGGAACGCGGACAATCACTGTCCTAGTAAGTTATTGATGGCATCATCAAACAAAATTCAGTTAGTTGTTGCGCTGTGGGACATAAATGGCAAATACAAACAGCGCACTCCTATTTGCTGCATACGTGATGTTCTAAGGCGTTGTTGATATATTTTACCACTAGCATCTAATATTATCTTAGTACGGAGCACGAACGACATTGTTTTATTGGGGCTGAAACTTGGCATAGCTAGCCTTCCGGGAATATTAGACACAAACCGTGAATTTCGTGGCGGCTGTGGATGTAAGTCATCGACAATCGCTGTTCCTATGCCAGCATGGCACTTGCATCAAAACCTTTATTATTTACAAGAACGCCAGCTTTTCGAAGAACTTCAATGCATCCATCGACAGTTTTCAAGTTCACGCCGCGGGTTGCTGTTGGAAACCTGACCGTTTTTAACCATGCCCGAGCATCCTCCTCGGAGTAGTCGAGCGATGTGCTGATGTAATGCACAGCTTCCTCTGGATTTGTTATGAAGTAAGAAATGCCGGCATCGAGCTTCGAAAAGAAATCCTCTAGGCGGGAGTCAATAACACCGTTGGCGACAAGAGGAGTTGAAGCAACAATTTTCCAGCTGCTCCATGGGGTGTAGATCTCGCCAATCTTTCTAATTTCATTGCTGTCATAGTATTTCTTGGACGTGAAATGCTCCCACATGAAGAAGTCGGCACTTCCCGAGTTCACGGCATTTCTCAGGTTTTCAAACGTGTTGAGTACGACTGTGTCAGAAAATGGCTCGCTGTTGGAGCCATTCAGCCAACCCTGTTTATCGGCGAGCACGGTGCCCATGACGAAGCTTCCTGAGCCCATGCGAGAAACACCGATTTTTTTCCCATGTAGAGAGGTGACGGAAGTTATGTCGGCACGGTCATATCCCGTCGAAACAGCCCAGCCTAGTTATAAACCAATGCAGTCAGCAATAGATACAACCAGGTTGAAGTTGGACGCTCGTTAAAAAAAGGAGCCACGAACAAAGGGGTGTCTCCACATATGTCCCGACAATGCGGTAGCCGCCGTCGCCTTCGACATTGGGATTCCCTAGACCAGCAATCCAAGCTTCAGTGAGGCCTATTCCCACGTCAATATCCCCAGATCGGAGAGCAGCAATCATGTGTCCGGTGCCAGAGCGATACGGGACTGTCTCGGCGTCCAGACCGAAGTGTTTTTTTGCAAAATAGAGAGGGGTCGAAAAATGCTCTGGCACATAGCCCACACGGAGTGGTGCGGACGTCATGATGATTGTCCGAGCAGAATGCAAATGGCTGCTTACGCTCTTAAAAGTGCGACAGAAGAGACGTTTGAACTGATGCAAAGACGTTCTGTGCTTTTATTATTAGCGCCGCTTGTAAGCTTTTCGCGGGGTAAACGCCTGCTGGTGGAGCCGGCCTTTTTTCGCGCTGCCTCAATCTCGGATACAGAGTGCCTCCCTCAAGCTTCTGTCAAGTGCACCGTGATGCTGGCGTAGTAGGCATGAAAGTGCTTTCTGAGACATAGTGAGAAAAAAGAGAGAATTTCATAGGCTAAACTTACATAGTTGCTCTTTCCGCTAAGAACATTGACGAGCCATGTGCTACAGGAAAAGGTGCTGGAACTGGCGTGAGTGATAAGTGTAAGTCGCAACGTCTGCAAGTGGAAGGCGCGAGCAGGCGCGAGCGGTTTTTATCCTTACATACTCTCGTCTGTGTTTGTCTAGATTTCTACATCTGCATTCTCCTCTTCCCACAACAACTCTCCTTCAATGCGAACAATATTGATATCATAGCTATCACAATAGAACGGTATCATATCTCATACATCAAATTCCTGAGAGGCAGAGAAGTAAGAGATCCTCTCCGGCCCCTTGAGAAAACAGTAATAACTTACCAACTCCAAAAAAAACCACAGGAGATATTCCCAGGCACACAACATATCACCATCCGTGTTGCCTTCATCGAAGTTGCTTTCATCGACAATTAATTTCTCATCTCCCGATCTCCACGTGCTTTCCGATCTCCTTCCTTCACTGTGACCAAAATGCAGCCTTGGCCAGTTACAGATGTGGCCACTCTCGCTGGCCTTTATACAGTAACATTCTTTATGGTTTCTCTATGCTACATCATGTGTGATCCTATCGGCGGGACTTCACCCGAGAAGCGTCCAGGCGCATCCAGACCAGATGTGACCCCTCTAGCTGCTGGCTACAGGTCTTGAAGACGTACTATATGCAATCATCATTGGCCTGCAAAAACAACGGTGTCGGCCGCAAGTGGTTCACAGTGTACGCTTGTGTCAAGTACCGCAATACAGGTGGCGGTGGGCGTACGGGCAAGGCGAATAAATTTGCATGGTGCTTCCGTAACATTCAATAATTCTGTGGCTTGAGACAAGGAACTTGATAGTTTTACAGAAAGCAGACAGGGCATTGAGAGTGATCTTCGCATATAACACAGTGACTATGTAGAAAAAAAGACAATAAAAAAGAACCAGCATCTCTGCGTGAGAAATAAAAAGATATCGGACGTCCTTAAACATCCAAATTAAACCGATCGAGAGGGGATTCGAACCCCCAATCTCTAGAGCCGAAATCTAGCGCCTTACCATTAGGCCACCCGACCACTGAATTGTAAAGCTGACTATCACTATCAGCTATAGCCTTAGCCTCTGTGACAATTTTCGGCTGAAGAATTGAGAAGCCCGCTTGCTCCCTATACCTCTCCATTATTACCGTTCTGACATCCTCTATTTGCGGAGTATTGTTGCGTGTTATTCTAGGAAAGACAAGATAATTAAATGATTGGTCAGTCTGCACTCCATACTGACATACGGAGCAAGCTAAATTACTCTTAGATACAATTTGCGGTTACCGGGGCTTCGCTAGCATCGCCGAATAAGCACATCACTGTTTTGAAGGCTCTGTGTGTCACTGTGTGATTCGGCAAGACTCAGGTACGGTTTAATAGCCTAGCCGTTGGTGTTTCCCTTTTACATTGGCGGCACCGCCCGCCCTCTATATCGAAGTTGCTGATGTCCAACCAAGGCGGAATGTTGCGAAGGACGCATACATAATGTCTGTCTTATGTCTATGGCAGTAGTAAAATACAATTAGAGCGTTGTTAAGATACAGTAGACCAAACGTGTGCGTCAATGAGCTTTCATATCGACTTCGTACTCCGTATATCGAGTGTTCGGTGGGGAGATATGATGCGGGGAAATGAGAAATGACACGCTCAGGTAGTTGGAGAAGATGCATTGGTCAGCCCGACTTCGGCCTTGCCCGTTATTACCGGCCGGTGGCACGCAGAGCACCCGAGGCTTTAAGCAGCAAGAACGGCCCATGTGAGGGAACAGGCTGCACATAGTTGTATATTGCTCATCACACTCATAATCGACCCGCTTCACAATCATGTCCTTGTTGCAGAAGAAGTACCTGATCACGGGTGCCGCTGGCATGGTTGGGTCCAACCTTGCAGCCCGCCTGCTACAAGACCCTGAGAACATTGTCACCCTTACCGACATCATCGAGCCACCCATCCCAGTAAGGGCACGATATCCCGAAAACGCACGGGCTTTGGCGGCCGACCTTAGCGACGGCGATGCGTTGGTTAGAGTCGTGGCGATGTCCGTACCGCTGACAGCCGTCTTCGTTTTCCATGGCATCATGTCAGGCGCCTCAGAGGCCAATCCATCACTGGCATATCGGGTAAACTTCGACGCCACGCGGGCGCTGCTCCTGCACCTTGTCGATGTCCAGCGCGGCGTACGCATCATCTTTGCTTCCTCGAATGCCGTTTATGGCCCGCCACTGCCTGCGATCGTGAGCGAGGCTACTATGCCTACACCGACAGGTGTTTACGGCACATGCAAGTTTATGGTTGAGCTGCTTATTAATGATATGCACCGCAGGGGCTGTATCGACGCCTTCTCAGTACGCTTTCCAACAATATCTGTGCGCCCAGGAAAGCCGGCGCCCGCTGCCAGTGCGTTTCTCTCTAGCATCATTCGAGAACCTTTAAATGGTCAACTCTCTGCCTTGCCGCTACGAGACCGCAGCTTCAAAGCCACACTCTGCAGCCCCCATACGTGTATAGAGAATCTGATCCGCGTAGCATCGTGGAAGTCAGATGTCTTGCCCCGACATCAAAGAGCCATAAATTTTCCCGGTATCATCGCAAGTGTGCAGGATCTTCTGGACGCGCTCGCAAATGTGGCTGGGGAAGACAAGCTAGCTCTTGTTACCGACGAACCACACGAAGCATACGAGGCGCTGCTTCGAAGTTGGGCCTGGAACCTGGATTACTCATTGCCACTGTCACTGGGACTGAAGAAGGATGAAAGCGCGGAGGGCCTAGTGCGGGAGTATGTCGAGTCCATGGGAAGTTGAAATTATCAGTTTGGGGGACGCCTTTCACAATGTATCTCATTGTTCTGTGGTCGATTAGTAAATTATGAACGCGCTATAACAAAAGGCGGGGTATTGGAATGCATGGTTTTGCCCAGCTTCACCGCCCGATGCGCACGAAAAGGCGACATAGAGAAAACAGCTGGGACGACTAGCTATCATCAGCAATTAGCACTGTTAACCTTTCTAAGATTATCCTGTGTGTCCAACCCATAGCAAAGCCATGGTTTTGCAGGATCTTGGTCGCCGCATCAACGCGGCCGTGTCGGACCTGACACGGGCCCCGAACATCGACGAAAAGGCGAGTCCTTCCCCAAGAGATGATAGGAAAAGCCAACTACTTTGTAGGGTTGCAATATGTGGCGCGCGATGCAAAACAACTAACATGGTATCCGTGTGCCTATAGGCGTTTGACTCGATGCTCAAGGAGATAGGAAATGCGCTTGTCGAAGCTGACGTCAACGTCAAGCTGGTCGCCCAGCTGCGAAAGTCGATCAAGGGCACAGTCAACTTTAAAGACCTGCCTCCCGCCGTGAACAAGAAGCGTCTCATCCAAAAAGCCGTGTTCGATGAGCTGGTGCAATTGGTAGATCCACACTCTGAACCTTTCAAGCCGAAGAAGGGAAAGACAAACGTGATCATGTTTGTGGGCTTGCAGGGAGCCGGCAAGACCACATCGTGCACGAAGCTCGCCCGGCATTACCAAAGTCGCGGATTCCAGGCTTGCCTTGTGTGTGCAGATACGTTTCGAGCAGGTGCCTTTGACCAGCTGAAACAGAATGCGACAAAGGCCAAGATTCCCTACTACGGCTCGCTCACGGAGACGGACCCTGCCGTCGTGGCGCGTGACGGTGTCGAGAAATTCAAAAAGGAACGATTCGACATCATTATTGTTGACACGTCGGGTCGCCATCGCCAAGAATCCGCGTTGTTTCAAGAGATGATTGACATTCAGGAGGCCGTCAAGCCGGACGAGACTATTATGGTGCTTGACGCCACGATTGGCCAGCAAGCTGAAGCACAAGCAAAGGCGTTCAAGGAAGCCGCCGACTTCGGCGCTATCATCATCACTAAGACAGATGGCCATGCCAAAGGTGGCGGTGCTATATCTGCCGTAGCAGCAACTCGGACGCCCATTGTATTCCTGGGCACTGGCGAGCACATGCTAGACCTCGAGCGCTTTGCACCACAGCAATTCATTCAAAAGCTACTGGGCATGGGTGACATGACAGGCTTGATTGAGCACGTACAGTCGCTCAAGCTGGATCAGAAGGACACGATCAAGCATATAACGGAGGGTATCTTCACCGTACGAGATTTGCGCGATCAGCTGCAGAACATTATGAAGATGGGCCCCCTGTCCAAGATGGCGGGCATGATTCCAGGCATGAGCAATATGATGTCTGGTATGGACGACGAAGAAGGGAGCCTCAAGCTCAAGCGTATGATCTATATCTGCGATTCGATGACCGACAAAGAGCTTGACTCAGATGGTCGCCTCTTCCTGGACCAACCGAGCCGCATGACACGCGTGGCCAAGGGTTCTGGAACATTTGTCCGGGAAGTTGAGGATCTGCTTACCCAGCAACGGATGATGGCCGGTATGGCCAAAAAGATGGGTGGTAATATGAAGAATATGCAACGTGCCCAGTCGGCAATGACCGGACCAAACAAGCAACAGCAGATAGCCGCTATGCAAAAGCGACTACAGAGCATGGGCGGTGGTGCTGGGGGAGGCATGGGTGGACTTGGGGGTATGATGCCGGACATAGGAAACCTCATGAAAATGTTTGGCGGTGGTGGTGGTGGTGGCGGTATGCCAGATGCAAACGAGCTGCAAAACATGATGCAACAGATGGGAATGGGAAAGATGATGCCACCTGGCGGTGCTGGTGGTGGCCGAGGGGGGCGGAAGAAATGAGAGAGGATCACGGTCGCGTTCATGATGTGCTGCTACGAAGCATTGGGTTGGGTATGAAAATTATATTCTTTCGACGGAAAGTTCATCAGTCAAGGCGTTCGGGAACACTTAACAATCACTTCACGTCCATAATTAATCAGTCTGGAAATCTCGAGAGCGAGTGAGGACAATAAGCTAATAGAATTGAAAAAATAACAGCTCGACAGCTTCTGCTCGTAGAACGACAACTGTATTATAGTAGCCATTCTCCATGAAACCTGGCTTTTGTAGTATTCACATCTCTCCGAGTTATGTTTGATAGTGCACTTGAGATAGATAGCAAACTAACCATGGCTGTTGCTATCAACACTTTTGAAACCCTATTCCGTAACTCACTTAGCTAACAGCTGTAGCTCAGGGGCACAATCGCTTGCATCTCGCAACTTTGGTAACTGGAGTCAGACACACGTCTTTCAGGTTGCGTAAAAAACTCAAAGCATGTCATAATAATGAGAGAAATCATAAAAGTTTTTGCAAGTACAGTCAAATAGCGAGAGCTTGGTTCGTGGCACTTTGACATCTTGCCGTCCTTCGATAGCCCCTGAACTAGTACGGTGCTTTTGTCGCAGACCCGACGTTAGAAAAGCAAGCCAAGGCACCACTGTCCGTCACATAGACACCGCCATCTAGTAGGTTTAGAGTCAGTCTAGACAATTGTATCAGGAGTGGGGGAGGCTGTACATACTAAGATCAATGCTGCCACATGAGCAGTCGAGATATCGTGTTTCACGCCAGCGACTTTCACAGCCACGGCATGAGGCAAAGGCACTACCCCTATAGCAAATTCAAATATCAGAGCTTTAGCCATACTAACGAAGAGAAAGGAGAAAAATATACAAGGAGTGAAATAGTGCTTACATATTTGCCCATGCTAGAGTGTTGTCGTAGTTGGCGAGGCACTGATTGAGATCGAGAGTACTCTTGACTGCCGTGCTAGGATCGGCCGGATTCGGATTACACGTGGCCTGCAGATATCCGTAGGCCTCCCCGTGATTCGTCACCTCGTAGAGGATACAACTGTCAATGAAACCACCATACAAAGAAGCTCGGCGAGCAACTTCGGGCAAGGCACTGCACGTGGGAGTGAGAGTTAGGCACATGGCCAGTAATAGTGCGGGTTTGAGTGTAATGAACATTCTAAGTGGACGGGATATGCTTTCAAAGTGGAGTTGCGGTTGTGTTATTTGATAAAATGAGAGGTCGAAGTCGGTTTTGTTTAAGTGCCACGATTTGAAGACAAGGTTTGGGGAACTGTCATGGGATACCGGACTTTTATCTTTTGATTGTGAATGTGATATATTTGTGGCATCTTATATGAGACCGGAAGCTTCTCGGCCTTTTCTATCAAACGTGGCGTGGCAGAAGAGTAAAGAAAGCAAACTCGAGCGGAGTTGTCGACACTTCTGTATATATCTTTAAGACGACAAAGAGTAGAACCTCCAAATTGAAAGGGGAAAACGAATTTGTCCACGAGCTGTCTAACTGTTCTTTTTTTCGACTAACAAAGGAGAACCTTGCTTCTTTTTTTTGTGACAAAGACCCATATAAGACAAAGCTTTGAGTTGCAAGACATCCCACATTTATCGAAATAAAGACAGACAAATTCTATCATATGTTATTTGTGCCATATAAGTAGCAAAGACAATAAAACCCCAAAATTGGCTTCACAAAGGGTTCAATAAAGGCGAGCATCACGCATACATTGTTCGGCTCAAAGCACCTACTTCGTGGGCTACAAGCTGGTCGATTCAGGCCTGGAACTTTCCTGTCTTTCTTTTTTTAAGTTGGTCATGAAGATGCTTTAGTCTTCCACCTTGGACCAATCCCCACAATCCCAACCACGGCCGCTTCCCACAGAGGCAGGATTGAGAGGCCAAGAGACAACATCATAAGGACTTACTCGAAAGCCGTGGAAGCTCACACTGGTCCACTTTTTTCTCGGTGTCCTAACTCATGGCCAGGAAGAAGGCAGTTAGAGTGTTGAGTGACTTGTCGTTGTTGCAGACAGTACCAAGGGTCAGCACTGCATCCAATCTGGGTGTTTGATGGTTTATTTAGAAACTGGTAAGAGATCCACGGGTCAATACGGGTCAGTTCAAGCGAATGCAGTAAATGGCATCAAGCAGAGCTACTGCCAAGGCAAAGATCCACCGACATGGTATCATAGGTATGGTGGATACAGTTCTTCAGGAGTAGGCTGTGTAATCATATAAGAAACCCAAACCCTGGAAAGATATTATATACCGTACTAGCAGCATAAGTGGCAACCTCAAAAACTTTGTAGATCTCTCCTTGCAGTCCCTCTTTCAGTACGAAAGAAGCTAGGACTGCTCCGGGAACTATTCCTGCTTTCATGTGCACATACGCAAGTGCCATGCACTCGATCTGACAGCTTCGCATTATAGAAGTCTGCGACCTACACACTTTCACACGGGTAAGAAACAATAAAAAATCATACTGACATCTTTTTTAAGGGTGGTCTCTCTCGTACAATGGACAGACCCCTTGATTTTGCGCATATGAAGCATTGCTCTATTAGGCACGCACTATCTTGTCAGGCACTGCATGCTATCTCGTTGTTTATGATCTCTTCTATGTTCGTAAAACAGTCCATTTGTCGAAATGTTCGCTGCATAGATCTCGCCACTTTGGAAAACGCTTCCCCTGAAAGGACAGCATTGATGGCTATACCCAGTTGCTCTGCATTCGGATGTGCAGTAGCTAGATCAATGCCAAGGCCACTGTACTGAACCCTTTTGCCGTTTTCTGGTTTGTCCTGCCCGTCACCTGCTATCACCATGGGTACTCCGTGTGCTATGCCATGCATCGTAGCGCCATACCCACCATTATGAACCCACAGATCTGCAAGCGGCAGGACGGCGTCATACGGAAGATAGTTTGCTATACAGGCGTTGTGTGGCAGTTTGATTCCCTCTGGTAGACGTGCGCTTCGCGAGCCAAGGATGGCGACTGTCAACACATCTTGTCTGTTGGCGAGCAAACGCAGCGTCGGCAATATAAGTTGAGCCGGATCCATCTCCACGGTTCCCTGGGCAACCACCACCACTCGAGCCCTCTCCTCAAGGCGTCTCTGACTGTTTAGTATCAGTTTGTTCCACCATGGAAACTCGGGAACAGCCGTAGGTATTGAGGGTGGTACGATGCCGGCAAAACGGAAGCCGCGTGGAAAGTCGCTGCGCGGAAACTCAAACTCCGGGATCCCGATCTGGGCAATGGCATCATGACACGTATAGTTTGAGCCGCCCAGATAGATGGCATCATCCAATCCGCTGTCAATAGCTGCCCCAGCCTCATACATCTTCTGTCGTAAGAGCGCTGTCAAAGGTGAAGCCCACACCATCCACTTCTCCCACAACTTTGCATTTCGCTGTTGTCCAGCGGCAGAAGAGTCAAATGGTTCACGTACTCCAAATGGGGGTATATCAACGCTCCGGATATATGGCGCCGTTATGGATATACAAACAGTATTGGAAAGCAGTGCTGCAGACACAGAAGGAGGTAAAATAGCGCCAAATTTGAGTGGCATCGACCCGTAAAAGAACGCCTCGCTCACCAGCATTAATCGTTTTTCTGGGCATTGGTTGACTAAAGCGCTCATGGCCGCTTTTAAGCTTTCCCATTCTGCTGGTAGTGCGTCCAACGTTTGGTGTCGTAGATCGGTAATAGACTGTGGGAGATCCTCTACATCGATAGAGCCAAGTCCCCCTACCTGTTCCGAGCCTTCGTTTCGATCGAAAAGTTTGGTATCATCCAGGTCAGCAGCGCCTAGCAGTGGCAGAAACTGCAAGCCGGCGGCTTCAATTCGAGGTTTGAAGAACTCCGAGCTAAGAAATGCAACGTGCCAACCACGCTGGCGCAGGGCACCAGCAATACGCAGGACTGGAGTGATATGTCCCGTCAATGGGTGGCAAACAAACAGAAGGACGGGTTGCATATTAGCATTTGGCATCGGCTGTTTGTACTGAGCACAACACGCAAATCTCATCGATTTTCGGGCTTGACGTGATATGTAGCCCCACTGTATGCGATTGAAGGGGCACTTCCATGAGAGCCTCGTAAGTAATATGCATCTAGTAATTCATTATCCGTAAAAGCAGTACAGAGTTCTTCGCGCATTGTTAGGTTTTCTTAATACGGAGAACTTCGTACTCGACGTTTGAGCAAGGCGCTAGCAGCTGATAGTGCAGTAATGATTCAGGAACGAGAAAACTGCCACAATAAATTGACTACAACCCAGTTTGTGTTTAGCTGCGATAAGTTTGAACTTCAGCATACACATAATGGCGGACAACGCTTTTCTTAAACCTATGAGTGCATTTCTGCATTGGTTTAAAGAATGGCCAGGCACTACATTTCACCAAGACATTGAAATCGCTGATCTGCGTGGGCGAGATGCTGGCAGAGGAATTGGTGGGTAAATGGTCGCAAACCAGACATGGTGACAAATTTCGAACAGAGGCTTACTGTCTGTGATAGTTGCCAAGGCAGACATTGAGCCAGACACGGTTCTCTTTACGATTCCTCGCAGTGCCGTTCTCTGCTGGGCTACCTCGGAACTTTCTTCGTTGATCCCTGCCGTAGTGCAGAGCAACGGAGCTGATGATGAGCACGGCAGCGAGAGCGGTGAAGAGGGCGGCCGCACTTCCCAGGACCCATGGACCTCTCTCATTCTCATCATGATCTTCGAGTTCCTCCGCGGCGATAAATCACCATGGAAGTCGTACCTGGACGTGCTACCAGCTACGTTTGATACGCCCATGTTCTGGACGGAAAACGAGCTACGCGAACTGCAGGCCAGCCCAGTAGTTGAACGCATTGGGAAAGTCGAAGCAGATGAAATGATCACAAAAAAAGTACTACCGGTGATCAGGGCGCACAGCGGCGTATTTTTTCCTAAAGGGTCTCAAGAAATATCAGACGAAGACTTGTTTGGGCTTGCCCATCGTATGGGAAGCACAATATTGGCATACTCGTTCAGCTTGGAAAATGACGATAGCGATGACGAAGAGAAAGGCGATGGTTGCAAAGACGGGTCTGGATGTGCATGTCATGGAGGCGACAAGATGGTACTTGAAGACGAAAACGGGGATGCCGATGCCGATGCCATTGAAAGTGAAGATGATGATGGATGGGTCGAAGACAGAGAAGACCAGCTTCCTTTGGGAATGGTGCCCATGGCCGACATGCTGAATGCAGATGCCGAGTTCAACGTATGTTTACGCGATTGCTCAAAAAGACGAGGACACCAAGCTAACAAGCCACCGCTTCTTGACAATATATTTTATCAAACAGGCACACATTAATCATGGTACTGATGTTCTGACTGCTACATCTGTGCGGCATATCAAAGCCGGAGAAGAGATCCTCAACTTTTACGGACCTTTATCGAACGGCGAGCTTATGCGACGATATGGTTATACGACTGAAAAGCATGAGCATTTTGATGCCATCGATATTCCATGGAAGCTTGTCTTGGATGCCATCGTGTCAAAGATCGGAATGAGCCAAGCTGGCGTTGATAAAACGGTAAGTTGTCCGATTCTTGTTTAACAGTGCTGAACTCCCCATCTATAACTGCCGTTCTAACCCTTCCTCCTAGCTTGAGTCGTTCGACCCAGATGATTTGGAAGATCCCCTGATGATTGACCGGGAATTTGACGAGGACGAGGAGGCTGGACGTCTGGCTACACTGAAATCCGGCAAGATTCTTTCAAAGCTGCCGCCTGTCCTACGGAGGCAAGCACGCGCTTTCACTAAAAGAGCACTTCGAGAGCAGAAAAAGGAAAGACAGAAAAACAACCAGGTTCGCGATGCCCGCGAAGGACAAAATGATGAAAATGGAATTGCTATGGCTGCAGTCACAGATGCTATTACAGCCAGGCTATCGGCATATCCAACGACATTAGAGGCAGACTTGGCATTGTTGAGAAGTCTAGAAGAGAATGGGCCGACGCCAACATCCAGCCGGCTGCGCATGGCCTTGAGAGTCCGGATCGGCGAAAAGCGCCTGCTCAACGAAGCGGCAGTTTTAGCACACGAGGCGATCCAGGCCGGGAGTAATAAAGCAAAAAAGGGTCACGAAGGGTCTGGGCTTGATGAACAAAGAGGCGCAAAAAGGCAAAGAACACGATATTGAAAAGTCGCAGATTTGGGCAGTGGAAAGCCTTTAGCAGTAAAGATGACCCGATCTACCCACTGGATCTGCACTAAATTAACATTCTGCACAGAAAAGGTGCAACTGAAACCCTAGCCCTTCTCGACAAATGTCCCTGTTCAGAAGCAGAAGCCGCTATAAATCCTAACCAACATGCCTCAGGCTGTTTACAGAATCGTGGATTGCTTTCGTGTTAGACCGGTATCGAAATTTGTCACTGGGTTCGCACACAGCACGTTGTTACTGCTTTTTTTTCTTTCTCCGAACGAGGTCGCTTCCCAGTGCATTAACCTCTCTTGGAAAGTCCGCAGATGCCACATCGCTTGGCATCCTCTTTCTTTTCGGGATGTCACCGGGATCAATGACTCCAATAGCCTGTGATGGCTCGCCTTGTAAAAGGCTTGGATCAGCCTCCCTTTGGCCAATTACTTCAAGCCTCCAATCGGATCCCGTGCCCGCCTCCCTAATCCACCTCGAGGTGCTTATGATGGCTTTCTCCAGAGTTGAAAAATCTAGCTGTAAAAGAAGTTCTACGGTGCGCTTGTAATCGGTTTCTTCAACAATGCAGCTTCCTCGCCCCTCCGGAGGCCAGAAAAAGTATGCGGTTGATTGTGGTCGGTTACCAAGAAAACTGCGTTGCCCTGTCTTAATTCGTGGCAGGCGTGCAATGATGCGTCCCTCCAAGGCCTTCCTTTTCTTCTTGGCTTTCTTCTTTGTGTTCACAGGTTTCGGTTTCCCTTGTGAAAGTTGGTCTTCTGTCAGTGGCTCTGCAGACGTTGGGTCAAAAACTACCCAGATGAAGCCAGTCAACCGCCCGCTGGAGCACTCCTGACGGAAAGCCATCATCTCCCAGAACTGTTCCAGCGTTTTCACACTTTTCCATGCCCCACCCCCTTGATCTGATCTTTCCGCCTCTTCATCTAGCTCGTCTCGAAATCGCGATTTGGGATCGTCAGGATACTGGGGAATCAGACAGCGTGGTGGAACATCCCCCAACTCACGGACGTAGTGGGAAATTTCCTGCAGAGGATGGCCCACTGTCCACCTTGTAGCAGCAGGGGTCCGAGGAATGTAGGCTTGCGTCTCGTAGCGATCGAGACCTGGGACGATCAGATATCCTTTGACATCTCGCCACTCCTGTTCTAGCGCCCTGCTCTGCCCTAGTAGAGGATTGAGCACACGACACCACCATTTTACAAGGCCACGGTCGTCCAAAACATGCTTCCCGGGGTTCTCCACACTCCGGGGGAATAGGTATTGCGACTGTGCCCTTGCAAACAGTGTGACAACAGACTGTACATTATTGCGCCGCCGTTGCTCAACGAGGTAGGCAACAAAGGTTGAACAAATTTCGCGGATGGGCGAAGGTGTGCCTTTGGGAGGCCTTCGGAGATGAAGATAACCCGAAGAATCGGCCTTCGATACGAAGAAAGTGCTAGAGTAGGCCGTTGTATATATAAAGATCTCGAGGGCGAAAACGATAACCTGTCGGCTTCCTTCCGATAGCGTGTCTGGTTTAGAGCTGGCTTCAATAGTGATGGACAGAAATTGGCTTTCGCGATAAGTGCGGTCAAGTCGACCACCTATTGGGTTTTGAAAGAGAGCATCTGATTTTGTTGGCGGCGTTGATAGATGGTAGATGCCAAACTTGTGGCTTTTCGGCAAGACAGCCGCGAGCTGTTCTAACAACACAGTACTGCTCTGAAAGCGGCCGTGCTCGGCCTGTGGAGGAACAGGCATTGTGTCCCGATGTAGTCAGACTAGGTCCATCAGTTGATCACTTCATAACAGCCTGGATGGCGAAGGGTGCTGCATCGTCGCGATACAGGGAGAAATGTCCCTGTTCTTTGGAGAAGCCCAGCTGTTATCTTATCGCACGTGATCGCAACGCGAAGAAGCGGCGGAAAAAAAGTTTTGTATCATAATTGCGGCGGCTGTGCTGCACAAACTTTAGTGCCTGAGCATCGACCTAGACAACAACCGATCTCAGCTGTGTGCCGTTTTCGAACATTGCCGCAGTGCTTTCGGATACGTAAACAGATCCGCAATGCACATCCAAAGACAGATGCTACGAAGCAGTCGAGGCGGTCGTGCATGGCGGACATTTTTGGGCTGCAGGCCATTCGCATCGTCTTTCCCACGGAATATTGATAGTGCGACGAATGAGGTGCTGAGCACATCACAAGCCCAGGATACTTCGTCGTCGTTGGAGGATGGTGCGGCAGCCGGACGCCCGAGATGGTCCTATACACCCCACCGCATGAAGGCGCCTTTTTCCTTGCAACAACCAAAGGACCCGAGGCGGTCGATATGGCAGGTCAACGAGGATCCAGAAAAACTCGACCGCATGTACGAGAAGCTGGTCGGTCGCGACCTGACGCGGACTCTACCGGACGAACTCAAGTGGCTGGCGGTGACGCATAAGAGCTTCGACAACGGCCGGCGTGGATTTAACACGCGGCTGGCTTTCTATGGTAAATAGCACTGTGCTTCGCCTGGCCTTTTTTCTGTCGTCTAGGAGCCGCGGTTAACAGATGGGGAGTGAAGGGCGAATGATTGTGGCATTGGAGGCGACACGAGCAATCATGGGATCGCCGGCAGAAGGCATCGAAGCACCCGACCCATACGGCAGACAGCCGTTTGAGAATGCTGCCCTTAGCAACGTGGATAAGCTCAATGTCTTGCAGCCCCATCATTATGCCAGTCCAGACAAAGTAGCCCAGCTAGCCAAAGAAGTTGGCTTGCCAGGGGTTGTTCGGTGGAAACCGAGATTGGTACCGCTCTACCCCTGTTCCTTCTCTACTACCCTCGACTTCAATCGATATACTGACGTGCTACCAGCCGGAAAATCTCGAGAGCTCCGGTATCACAGTGGTCCTAACGTCCACCGTTTTCTCGATCATTGGCGCGGTATCGTTGCACCATGGCGCCGACGTCGCCAGCCGGGTAGTTGGTGAGAGGATCTTCAAACGCATAAGCGTGTAAGTAGCTAGATGTCTATGGAAGATGAGCAATCAGCGGGCCTGCTGTTCTGTATAAAATGAGGAGATAGAGTGGCAGAAACACACATGACGGAGGAAAATGAACTTGTACATTATGCATCGGCCGGCGTCATACGTTGCAACAAGACAAAATACAAAAACAGGGCCGTGACTTCGCTCACAATGCAGCTTTCACATGGAACTCGTCGGCACCGGCAACATATTTTTCGTCCTCGAGGTTATATGCTTTCGGACGCATACGATATTACCCACAACGAACAGGCACATACAGACATCTATCCATGGCGCTTGCTATAGTCAAGCCCGTCACCATGTCTGACGACGATACAGGCTAAGAGGATCCTCGCTGCCCATTCGCAGAAAATCTCACAGGAAGAGCGGCTGAAACGGCCTTTAAGCAGACGGACAAGGGCCACTGGGCAAGGACGTCGACGTAGTGGAAGTTGTGAGGCAGGAAGGTCATGTGCCAAATGTATAATCGCAGCTCTGGCGGCCCAGAACGGCAGAAAACTGAGCGCTCTGTGGACAGAGTGGAAATCGCAAAGGCTGTGATCTCAACCTGCTCAGCTCTGCCGATCGTTCCGCTCTCAGCTGGCAAACTGACGCTTATCTCCGGCATCTCGACTCATGCAAGTCGCCTTTAGTCTTTGGTCCCCTTGCACGTCTTCTTTCCATTGTTAATCTTCAGTTTTCCATTTGGTCATTATCCCGAAAGAATGAAGTCCCGAATTGCCCATCTTTTAGCTCTGGCCAGTTCTGGCTTTGCTGCCGCAATTGCTGCTACCAATGGCCAGCATGTTCTCACCAGCGGACAGGTTCCGTTCAGATGCGAGCTCCCGCCAGTGGTAGCACCAAACGGCGATGGCTTAGCATCTGCCGATGAGCTTTTCTCTGGGCCAGAGGCTCTGAAGCTTCAGGTCCAGAGGCATTCGGCCATCGTCCGCGTTCCGTCCGTCAGCTACGACGACTTGGGAGAGGTGGACGAGGATCCGCGCTGGTTGGTGTTCCATGAGCTTCACCGCCTCCTCGAAGAGCTATTTCCAGCAGTGTGCGTCCAGAGTGTTGCAGCTCCCTTTCCTTATGCTCTTTTAAGTTCCCTATTAATATATGTCTAGCCATGCAAAGATGTCACTGGTCAAAGTAAATCGGTTCGGGCTAGTCTACACACTGGAGGGCAGTGACCCGTCGCTGAAACGGCTTATGTTGGCAGCCCACCAGGACGTCGTGCCTGTTGCTGATGCCTCCACGTGGACGTATCCCCCCTTTTCCGGCCACTTTGACGGCAGGTGGCTCTGGGGTCGTGGCGCCTCTGACGACAAAAATAGCCTAACCGGTCTGATGTCTGTCATGGAGACGCTGCTGAGCAACGAGACCTGGGTGCCGCGCCGTGGAATTGTCCTTGCCTTTGGCTTCGACGAGGAATGCTCTGGTAGACGAGGAGCCGGGATCATTGCCTCCTACCTGGAAGAGCGCTTTGGCCGCAACTCGATGGCCCTTATTCTCGATGAAGGCGGCATGGGCATTTCTGCTGGCGGCAACAATACCCTCTATGCACTCCCAGCCGTCATGGAGAAGGGTCACGTCGACGTTATCTACGCGCTGCATGTTCAGGGCGGGCACTCGTCCATGCCGTTTCCACACACGGGAATCGGCATCATCGCAGAGATCGTCAGCACGCTGGAAGCGCATCCGTATAGTCCTAAGCTGATCTCCGGTTCGCCTGTCCACAACCACCTCATCTGTCGAGCACGGTACTCGCCTGCTGACGATCCGGAGCTTACGCATCTGATCGCTAAAGGCGACCTTGCCGCGATCGCCAAGCGGCTGGCAACCAGCGATCTGGCGACAAACTTTCGTCTGCAGACGTCACAGTCTGTCGACCTGATTGCCGGGGTACTTCTCCTGTTACCTGTGCGAACGTTCTGTCTCTGTCCTTGTCGTTAACAGGGTTGCAGGGTGTGAAAATCAACGCAATGCCCGAGCTGATCACCCTTGGTGTCAACTATCGAGTGTCGCCTCATAATTCGATTGACGAGATCAAGAAGACTACGGTCAAGCTGATCCAGCCAATCGCGAGCAAGTACGGCCTCAGTCTCAAGGCTTTTGAAGATACTGCCTCGAAACCGGCGGCAGGCTCGTCCGACAGCATGCTAGACCCAGGCTATACTAAGACAGTTCATCCTCTGTATGAGGTTGATTACAGCGGAACCCTCATCCTTACAACACAGCAAGCCACCCCCGTAGCGCCTGTTTCGCCCACAACTGGCCCTGTCTGGGATCTGTTTTCCGGCACTATACAGCACACATTTTCCTTTGAAAACGGCACAGTTGTTCCCGTGGGCGAGATCATGACCGGTAACACTGACACACGACACTATCTAGGTAGCCCCCCAACCATCATCTTTGTGCAAGCCATAAAAGCACTGCTAACGCCAGGAAGACCTCACGCCCAATATATATCGCTGGGTTCCGGTACGGGATGGTTACAGAAAAAACATGCATACCATTGACGAGCGTGTCGACATGTATGCCCATCTAGAAGTTGTCAAGTTTTACTACAACCTCATTCGCAATTTTGATGCATCTGTTGCCTGAGCTGAGGACATATTGCGTATATGATACGGATTGATATACAGGATTAAAACGGGTGTTTTGGTCCCCAGACCCCGTCTATACTTAATACAAATGTGTCCCCCCACGCTGGACCCTAATTTCGCCAAAAGAGAAAGTAGATGTGGCAGTTCGTCGACACATACGATTCTTGGTCACTTGCTGTTGTGAGAATTGATCATCAATAGCAAAAGATTGCCTATGAAGGCATCTGCTGGAAGACCTAAAGGTTTAGGATACACGAACATCACAATATAAACCTCATTTTCTTCAAGTCCCTGGATATTGATAAATGTCTCATGCTCATTCCATCCCAGCCGAACACATCTCCTCCCTCTCGAAATAAGAACTGAGGAGTACGGTTGCTCTACTTCATTACAACATCAACTGCGCCAACAGTTTTGCCACTCATAGGCCCCGAGATCGAATCCTTCGCTATCAAATGACCGCGCTCTTCTCGCTTCTTTTTCCCTAACCGTTCGCACCATTCCTTGGCGCTGACGATAGTCCCATCCAGCACGCCGCTGACTTGTGCCATCATATCCAATCCTTCTCTGGCCAGCACCAGAACTCGTTGGGCGTTCTCTTTGAGCTCATTGTCACTCGCTGCATCCTCTCCCTCGGATGCCATTGCATCTGTATGGTTGGCTAGACGGAAGCGTTGGGGGAGGCTCGTCAGATGGCGACGGACAAGATCTCTTGCGTTGTCTGGAAGTGCACCACCCGCGTACTTTGAGACGGTGTCGATGACCCCCCGGAGAGTTTGAAGAACGTCACCTCTCAGCGCAGTGATTCTTGCAGCCAGTTCGCTTCGCTCCGATTGTCCCGTACCAGCTTCAACTGGGCTCGGTGCATGTGTGTGGTCGTTCGACGCCCGGTCGCCACTCACCCTCTCCAGTCTGCTCGCTTCCTCTGATTCAAACTGCTCCAGCGTCGACTTTAATGTATTTATTGTGTTCCCAATGCGGTCGTTGGCCCATCGCAACCAATGGAGGCAGTATTTCAAACTGCGCAGACTTTCCTCGCTCATAGCGATGCTTAGACCAGACGTCGACATGATCAAACGAGACTGCCAGGCTGCAGGCGGAAATGTACGTTGCCGTTGGCCTGTTCCATCATGATCTGATTCCAACGGCCGTGGGCATTCTGCAAACTCGGTGTATGCTGGCGAAGTTTGCTCGTCGTAGGCTGGTGGTGTTTCAACGGTACTTAAAGAGGGCCTTCGCTCTTTGGTGAAGCCGAATCCATCCACGTCGGTCTTGCCTTCAAACTGAATTAACATGTCTGTGTGCGGGCCCCTCCACGGCGCAGGTATTGTTCTCTTTGCGTTTGAATCCAGGTCTAATCTCCGCCTCTTGTGATGGTTATTACTGCCAGTTTCAAGGTCTGACGGCCCAGAGCGCAGGTGCCGTCGACCACCCTTCAGAAACCACCGGACTCCATTCTCGACGCCAGTCACTCGGCTGACCGAGCCCAGGGTATTTCCAATCGGTGTCAAATAACCTTCGACATACTCAACACTCGATTTAAATCTGGGCGAGAAGTTTTTGGAGCTATTATATGCCGAAGTGGTACCTTCGATCGTTTTTGCCAGAAAGGGATGTGAAGTCGTTAGAAGGGAAAGTATAGGTTCCGAAGTTTGCGATAGCCGCGAGGAGGTCATTGCAGCATGTGGGGGAGAGGATACAAAGTCTAAATCAGTCAGGACCATCAGTCATAAAGACGAAAACTACGGTGAGCAGGGGGGAAAAAGGCAAGCAAAAGCCGTATACCTGCTCGAAGATCTCCCAATGCCTCAGCCGCGAGCCGAACATCCGGGTCGTCGAGGCTCACACTGCTAGCCCTCCCATCGATATGATATTCAGGAGACATTCCACCTGCCGTGCCCGTGCTGGTGCTGCTGGCATCGGCATCTGTCTTCAAGGGATATTCGACCGCCTGGACGTATCCAGGAGTGTAGTAGGCGGCTAGTGGATTGACGCTTGGCCAATGGCTGATTTGCTGATGAGGTGCAGAGTGCAGAGGCGCCTTATTGTCATGTGCTGGAGAAGGCGAAGAAACAGCCGCCGATGCCACCACTGTAGAAATGGGAGGGAAATGCACGTGTTCGACTTCTACCGGACTCGTAGAGCGAGGTAGTGCGTTGCTTGGTTGTTGGCCAGGGCGAAACAGGGCGTCCGACTCTCTTGAAGTCGAGTCGAATGAAGACCTATTCGAAGACATCGGCTTAATTGTCAGAGGGCCACTGGAGATATTGGGTTGCTCAACGGTGCAGTGAGTTCTCTTGGGCAACTTTTTGTCATCGAAAGTGTCGCCAATTTTATAACAGCAATATGTTTTTGCGGGAGCTTTTGGTCCGGGAGAGGATGCTGCCAATCGCACAACCGTGATGGCTACTTCGGGGGCATAGCCATCAAAGGTATGTCCAAGCGGCTGCGTCTGAGTCTGCTATTCAGTCTATGGCGAGGTTATAGAACATGACAGTGGAAAATCCGCCAGCAAACAGATAACGAAGAGGGGCGAAGGTAGCGCCTTCCCCCCTTTTAGGCATTTTTGGCTTTTGACTTTTGCACGTGAAACACGTGGCTGGCCAGGATGCCCAGCACGTTCTGATAATACTCCGTACTCTACTCTAGGCAAGACATAGCAGTTCATGCTCGTTATAAAAGCGCCTCTATTAAGGCCGGTCTGAGCAGGGCTCACCAGCAGTGGTCTTCATATGCAAGAAGTTGCCGAAACCTTATCAATACCGGACCAGAACGCATTTGCATCTGCATCACGACAACGTTCTTACATACAACCAGCCCATCCTCGGCAGGCAGACCCAAGTTGGTGGCAGCCCCGCCGCTAAGCAAACGCCAAAGCACATGCGATGACCGACGCGAAACCTGACTTCTTTCAGTAAAGCGCTTCTGCCTGTCACATGTCAGTATTCGTGCCGCCCGAACAGAGAATTTTATCCTCAGCAAAAATAAATATAAATGTAAAAAGGGAAAAGGAAAATAGAAAGAAGAAAAAAAAAACCCTACGAAGTACGCCTCTTGCCAAATGAAGTACGAGCCCACTTCCTTGTCAGAGGCAATCAGGTAATATACGCTCTAATTGTCTACACCACGGAGTACGTATAATAGTATTAAGATGTCTGGCTCCTCTGACGCCGCCTAAGCAATAGGAGCGATGCCACAAGGACGATCGCATAAAATGCAAGGGCAGCTCTTATGGAACCAGCAGAAATGTTTTCCTTCTTCTTCGCGCCAATGAATCGCAGACTCGTCCACGGCGATGCGGTTTGAATACCTGCAGAATGCTGGTTCCATTTGCTTCGCGAAAGGTCGGTCTGCACTGTCTAAGAAGGCGCGTGAGGAAGAAAGAGGGAAATAGTAAAGATAAAATAATTGTAGTTTCTTTTATGGTGCACAATCGCAGCACGTGCGCTCTGGCTCCGATACGTTATTCCATCCCCGTGCATGGTCCGTGCGAACCCCACTGTAAGCTTGGTTGAATCAACAGTGGACAACAACGTTCAATTCATGGGATGCAAGGACACTGCACGCGGATCTCCACGAGTCGCCGTCTTCCCCTTTCTAGCTCTGAAAGGCTCGCTTGCCCATTATATCGAGCTTCTCACTTCGTGGGAACTTTCTGGACCAATATCACCCACTTGTACTCAGTGCCCCTCCCTGCTACGACTACAGCAACGACGAGAGGCGCAATGGCTTCCGCCGTCTTCTTTCTCGACTTGAAGGGCAAGGTAGGCTCCCCTGCATATTGCTCATGGTTTCCATGCTCGTGTGCCTCTTCTAAGCTTACTTTTCATCTGCAGACCCTTCTTGCCCGAAACTATCGCGGGGACATCCCAATGTCAGCTGTCGAGAAGTTCCCCATCCTTCTTAGTGAGGCCGAAGAAGAGTCGTCCGCTGTGCCACCTTGCTTCTCCCACGAGGGTGTTAATGTTCGCAAGCCACTGCCTGCCGTCTAATCGGCGTCTAGACTGTTAACAGCCTTCTCACAATATAGTACCTCTACATACGACATAACAATCTCTATCTCCTCGCCCTCACAAAGCGGAACACAAACGCCGCTGAGATCCTACTTTTCCTTCATAAAATTGTCGACGTCTTCACCGAATACTTCAAGGCTCTAGAAGAAGAGTCCATTCGTGACAACTTCGTTATCATCTACGAGCTATTAGATGAGATGATGGATTTTGGATATCCGCAGACAACGGAATCCAAAATTCTCCAGGAGTACATCACGCAAGAGTCACACAAGCTTGAAATACAGGCCAGGCCACCCATTGCTGTGACAAATGCTGTTTCCTGGCGCTCTGAAGGCATCAGATATAGGAAAAACGAGGTTTTCCTAGATGTCATTGAGTCGCTTAATCTCCTAGTGTCAGCCAACGGAAATGTCTTGAGATCTGAGATCCTCGGGTCTATCAAGATGAAATGCTATTTGTCCGGCATGCCTGAATTGCGTCTTGGTCTGAATGACAAAGTCATGTTCGAGACTACGGGGAGGACAACTCGCGGCAAGGCCATTGAAATGGAAGACGTCAAGTTTCATCAATGTGTCCGCCTGTCGCGATTCGAAAACGATCGCACAATATCGTTTATACCACCCGATGGCGAATTCGAGCTCATGTCATACCGCCTTAACACACAGGTCAAGCCACTCATCTGGGTAGAGTGTGTTGTGGAATCCCACAGTGGCAGCCGCATAGAGTACATGTTAAAGGCAAAAGCCCAGTTCAAACGGCGAAGCACGGCGAATAACGTGGAAATCATTGTTCCCGTCCCAGACGATGCCGACTCGCCACGGTTCCGAACAAATATTGGCACGGTCCACTACGCTCCGGAACAGAGCGCAATAGTGTGGAAAATCAAACAGTTTGGCGGCAACAAGGAATTTTTGATGCGAGCCGAGCTGGGCTTGCCGAGTGTACGAGGTGACGACGAGCACGGTGGCGGTATGACTGGTGGCTTTGGTGGAAGTATGGGTGGCGTTGGTGCCCCTGGGAAGGGGGCAAAACGGCCTATACAAGTCAAGTTCGAGATACCGTATTTCACAACCAGCGGTATTCAAGTTCGTTATCTCAAAATAACAGAGCCAAAGGTATGTTCAATTCTAGTCCACCCCTTTGTCCCCTTTCATACGCGTTACATCGCTGGAGCATAATTAACTTGAACTCGCAATTTTTCCATCTTCTGTAGCTTCAATACCCGTCCTTGCCTTGGGTTAGATATATCACACAGTCTGGCGATATTGCCGTGCGGCTCCCGGATGTTGCGTGAGATGATTTTCGACAGCGACGGTTCTTTGCAGGGTGGGTGGGAAGAATGGTTTAGACACTGGAGCTTCGTAGTGCTTGAAACGCGTCCAATGCAACTCAGAGGCAGTTACTAATAAGTAAAAACACCATTTTTCACTCTCCGGGTTGGTGCAGCAGACAAGGGACTCCGTTAGATGCAGTATGGAGACCAAAGCAGATTCCTTGGCGGCTTGTATAATTTTTTAGATCGTGGTACTGTACGCAGACCTGCGGACTGAGTCACATCTTGATTCAGCCCTGAGAAGCAGCTGGACTGGTGGGTAAGGCAATAGTAATGAAATGGAGGACTTAGTTACCACTGTTCCTCCTACGCCCCAGTTTACTTCGTTGCTCGACTTTACCATCTCTCTTCCCATCTTTTTTTTTGTTTTGTTCACAGCAGTTCCGTACACACCTGCAGTAGCCATGCCGAGGACTTCCGGGACAAAGACGTGTACACAGGGAGCTGAAGACTTTTAAACCTGTGCAATCTACGACACAAAGTTACCGTCCAGGCTGTCTAATAAGTGAACAGAAATCCCGTCCTACATTTAGCGTATTAGGTCTTTGGCGCATGCTGATAATTACAAAGGATGGGCAACAACGACGCGGCGTATAAATGAAAGGTGCGGCGATTTGTCGTAAGCTTAACCATGACCTTCGGTTGTTTTGTATCTGCACTAACCTCTTTAGAACCTGCTGGGTAGAATAGGTAGATTTATCTCAATCCTGATGTTCTACCCTGTCGTTAAGAGGCGCAGCGAACAGTCACGTGTAAGTTTGTCTAGCTAGACTGTGTAAGTATGGCAAAGGCTGATTTTATATGCAAAACACAAGCGAGAGGGTGACTGTAGGTTCTTACAACAGCTTTTATAAAAGTGATTGACTAAAAAGTTACCAAAGTGGACTGAGCGAGATTTTCATCTCGCAAGAGCAACGGCCGCAGTAAATTTACAACCCCTTTATTTAAAATTTATATCATTTTTGCTAATATTCAACGTTGCATTAGCACCAGCAACTGCTACTCCGAGTACGTTAATTTCAGTATAAGACGACTGAGCCACAAGCTGACCAGCACTCTAAGCAGTACAGCGCGAGCGAGTCGTAACCTACGACTCGTAAGGCATGCTTATAAAAAAGTCTTATTATTACAGTCTGACGTATAAATGAGTTGCTCTTGCTACGAGGCAGGCGGCCTTTCATGCCGCAGAAGTTCAGTATGCAGCCTATTACAACGACGACGACGATGACAACGAGACGACAGCTGCCGCGTTGATTGCACTGAACAGCAGCCATTGATTAAACTTTTAAGCTAATCATGATATGAATGTCTATCGTGCAAATTGCAAATTGGGTGTGTGACAAGAGACACAGAAATATACGACTATGAGTGAAAGTATAGAAGAGAGTAAGACGTGATCTGTAGGTGTTGTACAGTATCGACAGGCAGGTCGGAAACCGACGCTACAGAATCCAGTGATGAAAATGAAGCAAACAGATGGTATGTAGAGACTGACAAAGTAGATAAAAGTTGAAGTGGCAGTCAACTATTCCGTTACCAGGAACAAGGCGTTTAGTTTTCGCCAACTCTCGCCTCACCATCGCCAACCCAATCTTCTCGCTCATAGAACCGGAAAATCAGATCATAGTCTTCAAAGTCGTGCACGATACGGTCAATACGGCGGTAGCCCGGGATGCGCTCCAAGCGAGGTTTGCCGACCGTTGTGCGACCCTGTCGGCTGCTGTCATCGGCCAGGAAGTACTGATCTTTGGCTATGTGTTTAGCTTCGAACAGCGTGACACTGAACCGGCCCGGACGGAAAATATCAACGACGTGCTTGACAATGTCGGCCGTCTGCCTTCCGTTCTGCCCCCCGGGAACATTTGTCTCAAATGAGGCAAAGGAGCAGTTGGGCTCCGGCGTCACATGCACCGTGAAATAATGGTTTGCCCGGCTCGGTGAATTGCCGCCGTTGTCGCTCGCCTGCTTGCTTTGCACTGGTGCAGGTATGACACCGTTCGCGGAAAAGCCGCAGGGTGCGAACATGTACGCATCAATGCGAGCATCTGGGTAGACAGACGAAGGATAGACACCAGACAGACCACAGCTATCGGATACCACAGTACCCAGCGCATGTCCTTCCGTAGTTTCGATATCGACATTCTCCTGCTCGCTCGTAGGCGTGAGCGTGCCACCAGTATCATGAAGATCCTCAACATCAAAAATATCGTCCATTCCAGATGCACTGATAGACCCGTCCGATAGTCTGCGAACACCATCCGCCGAAGACAACCGGGTTTGACAGGGTTTGAAAGAAAAGCTGTCTCGGGCAACAGCACCGGCATGCGAGAGATAAAACTGCTTTGCGTTTTCCGGGTCAAGATCGGTCATCAAAATTTCCAATGTTTCGTCGTCTACTTCGGTGTCTCCGTCGTCAGGATATTCGAAGATGCCGGTAGGAATCTTGTTGGACTGACTCGACCCATTCGCGATATTCTCCCCTTCAGGTGGCTGGGACGAAAGCTTATTCGTTTTCGGTGAGGTGATATAAAGATACCAATGGTCACCGTTCATCTTTCCCACCATGTAGGCACTGCCACCCACGAACATGTCGTCTAGATATTTGACTTCTTGCTTCCAGCTTCGATGAGGCCCCTGCTGCTTGTCGGGAAACAGGAAGTTCTTGCGGCTATAAAAAACACGGTAAGGAGTGGCTGCGGCTCGGATATCGTCGAGAGACGGCGCATTGTGAAATGCAAATCCAGCTTCGACGGCTGCGATGCGAAGCAAGCCCGGTGAAGGCCAAGCAGCAGCGTGGTTGTCCCACACGTTTTGAGAATGATTTTGTGTGGAAAAACGAACATGCTGGACTCGGATAGAAGATATGCATCGACCGTATCGGAATGGATCACAGACAAAATTTTGCAGTTCACCAGGTCCAGCATGCCAACCCAGTTGTCGGACAATATAGACTTGAGCCCATATTCCTTCACGCCATGTGGCAAGGCAGACGGGCTCGGAGCGAACCAGACTTCCAGTAGCTTCTCGGGGCCTGGTTAGAGGAAAACTCCGTGTTAGCATTTTGTCATACATGTTCGATAAACAGAAGGCTTATGACCAAGTATGAGTAAGTACCTTCAAAGGCGTTGCTGGAGTCCAAGTCGTCCACAACATTGTGATTGATAGTTAAATGTGGCGTTGCCAGTGACGGCGAAAACGTGTATTCATTGGGGATCCCGAGGTTCACCATCTCTTGACGGCAACTGAGAAATGCGCTGAATCGTACTCTGGAGGCGGACTGGAGAGTATGCTTCCGCGGAGCGCTAGCTGCCACTCAAACGAACGCTGCAGATGTTCGCTTGAGAGAGTAGGCCCACAGGACGGTGGGTTGGTGTAGCTGCTGGCGGAGCCAGCTACAGTGTTTCAAGGTAGGCAAAACGTCTTCCCAAGGGACGTTATGGAGGTCGAGCGGAGAGGGGAAGAGTGAACACCTGCGAGGAAGGAATGTTGACTGCTTTGAGAGGTACGGTATGATGAAGCGGCCGATACCCGGAGTCAAGTATCGCTTTGGGAGCCGGAGTGGGATGGAAGCTGGGAGTTGGGGATATGCGTCGGATAATCTTAATCAATGTTATCGAGGTCTGTTTGACAAAATACAACGGTTAGTTGCCCGACACAGAAGTTAAGCTGGAGACATCAGTAATAGCTTGCCTTGCGGGCTTGGAAAGAAAGCGTAGCAGATCCGAGAAGCTCATGGATTGATAGGGCGTAAGAATAGAACAACGACACTGTTATGTGGTGGCAAGCATCAAGGAGACCAGAGAAGAGAGGCACAATTCCTTGAAAGTTGTGCGCATATCGCGCGTCGAAGACAGTTTTGATATTGTCCCGTTTGCTGGCTAGCTTTTCGGTAGCCCCCCGTCAGCCCTAGTTTATCTCAATTCATGTGCAAAATTTTGTGGTTGGGGTGTAGTCTGCAGTCAGAACTGGGAGAGTAGATTTTGTCAAACAGTCGAGAGGGGGGGGGGATTATAAGTAAAAAATGCGAATCTTGGTATACACCCACATAGCACTAGGAAAAGGATATACTGTGCGCATAGAGATTTTTCAAGTGGGGGGGGGGGGGGGGGGTGCGGATATTTATTGCCCCTAGGCGGTGAACTTTGGGGGTGGCAGTAGAGCGGGGAAAGGTTCCACTATTGCGCGTTCATCGAGATTGCCTTCTTGCGCCTACTAACGCTGCCGCTACCACTTCTGTCGCGATCTGCTTGAAGATGGGCGACAGAGAACAGGATTGGTAGCTATACACCAATGCTCCGGACTCACTGGCTTGACCACCATTCTCGCTGACGTTTCCGGCCTCATGAGTTTCGCCGGATGAAAAGTCCGTTCCGAGCACTTCTGTCCCTGCTGGGTACTGTGGCACCCGTCCAGACTCTACGAGCATGAGAAACTGCGGATCAATGGGCACGTTTCCGAGAAACGGTACCCGAAAATCATCTGCCATCGTCTTTCCGCCTCCACTCATGAATATGTCGGTACATTCTGAGCAGTTGGGGCAGACAAATCCGCTCATGTTTTCTACCACGCCCAGGATATGCAGGCCCGTCTTTGCGCAAAAGTTCAGCTCCTTCCGCACATCTGCTGTCGCCACGGCCTGAGGCGTTGTGACGACTACAGCTCCGGCCACCTGTCCCGGTGTTGTACTGAGCAAAAGGGTCTCCGCGAGGGAGATATGCTCGTCGCTCGTTCCAGGGGGGGTATCAATCAACAGGTAGTCTGTTTCGCCCCAGAAGACATCACTCAAAAACTGCCGTACCATGGCTGTCTTCTTTGGGCCTCTCCAGACCACTGCATCGCCTCTTTTTGGAAGGAGGAAGCCCAGGCTGATAGCGCGCAATGAACCAACACCCTTGGAAGGATTTGCCTCGTGCACGAGAACCGGCAGCCAGCCTCCAGCAGTTTGGGTAACTTTGGCGCCTTCTATTCCAAACATGCGCGGCATGGAAGGTCCAGTGAGATCGACATCAAGAACGCCAACAGAATAACCAGCAAGAGAAAGAGACAGAGCCAGCTGCGTCGTGACTGACGATTTGCCCACGCCACCTTTGCCTGACAAAATCTATCATGTACGTGAAAGACACCGTCAGTGGGCAGTTCAGAGACATGTGGTCATAGTAGAAGGGCATGTGGCGAACCAAAACAATATGCTTGACTCTAGAGAGAGACATTGTGCATTGCGCCTGTGGCTGTAACTCGACGCCTGATAGCAGTAGGTTGGCTTTAATGTGTTAATATTCTAATTGCAGCGATATTTGGTGGGGGCAGCAATCTTTTTGTATATGCATAATACTCTTCTGCATTATGGCGTAATCGAAGATTCGCATTAATAATACGGATATGACTTGCCGGATTAACAAACCCCGAGCATTCCGGCTAACCGATTTATGACCACGACAATTCAGTTGTGCAGCATTTTCTTTAAGCGATTATGATGTGCAGCTAGCTTCTACTCGAAGTCGCAGCATTGTCGAATTGAAACTCTTTCACAACACTCTAATTTCAAGTATGCTCGCCGCCAATCGTGATGGATGATCCTTGGGGCTCGCCATGGACATCCACCGACCGAAGCACCGAGGGTTCTTTCCTATCGGCGAACGCTCTGTTGCCATTCAAGATTAATCTGCCTTTGAAAGCCGGAGATAGCATACTGTCGCTGCCGGCACAATCCCCCTGGGCCGACGAAGAGGACGGGTTTGGAGACTGGGCAGTTGCTGATGGCTCTGTAGCCACTCCCCTTTCCTCTCCAGTAAACCAAGAGCTTCCACCCGATAATTTGTCTGTTTCAAAGAGCTCTGCACCTGCTACCACAACGATATCTGTGCACTCGAACGCTGAGCTGCGTTCGACTTGTGATACATTCGTCTCAGACCCGGCAACTGATCATCAGGACGGGAACTTAAACTCGGCCAATGATGGGTTTCATCAGACAGTAGAACCTTTATCTGAGTCCGGAGATGCGAGGCTCCCTGAACGACCGGTCGCCAACGATGATGAGCATGTCATAATTGAAGTTCCAACGGATCACTTCACAACAGAAAAAATCCATGATGGGGGGCCTCCAAACGATGGCAACGAGCCTAGCTTGAACCTAGATAATACTGGGGCTGTTGGAGAAAACTCGCTCCCCAAGCATGAAGTCACGGCACGATGCGATACCGAAAGCGGAGAGCAAGGGCGATCAAGGTCTTCTATTGATAACCTTAAGATCGAAAATCAGAGAGGCACAGATGCGGATACAACCCCCTCAAATTTTGAGCAGGTTCTATTGCTGGAAACAAAGGCACTTCCGAATTTCGAAAAGCTCAGTCAGCTGCAGGACGTTTTCCCACCAGAAACAAACAAGCAATATCTTAAGGAAACGACCGATGAGAGGACTGGGGAGGCTGTGACAGCTTCAGGTCAACTGGCTTCAGTTGCACTTGACTCATGCTACAAAGAACGCTTGTTACCGGACGGTGATAGCATCTCTTCTACTGCCGAAAGTGTTCCCGAATGTTATATCTCGGCGACTGCGAATTGCATTACGAGCGCTGAAAGTCCTACAGGGCCTGGTGCTAGTACAGTAGACGATCACGGGTCAATATGCTTCGTTATAGATCAGGAAAAGGTTAATTGTCTGTTTGGTTCCGAACAAGCTAGTCCACGGGAAAGAGAAACTAGCATAAAAGAATCCGACACTTGGGACTGGCGTGTATTCGACCACGTTATCACGGATAGTTTTTCGACCATCGGAGAGCGGAAGACGTGGTATCGGATATCACGTAAGGGAAGTGCTAGAAAAGCTGGAATGGAGGATGAGGGCAATTACCGCACCGTATCGTGGCAGGGATCAGTTGTTCGTTCCGAGACGGTCAAAATTGTACGGAGATGGATGGAAGAGGATTCGTTTACAGGAAAGCCGGTTCTTGGGCTCAGTGGAACAAGAGGCAACTTGTTTGGATGGGACTCGACAACAGAGCCGGTTGCGCTGAACGACGTTTTCAAAAGAGTCTCGCCAACATCTCCGAGATCATCTGTCGCGTTCTCTTCGATCGGTGATCACCTCCATATGTCTCCTGTTGCCGAGTCTAGCAGCCACATGTGCCCCTCAGAAAAGCAAGGAGCAGCTACGGGCTTCCCCACAGTTCACGAGGCTGTTAATCGTGGCGAATCCCCCAAGAATTGCTCGTATATGGCTGACGCTTCGATTAGCGTCATAGCTGGAGCTCCGTCTCAGAACGCCGGGAACGATGTGTCTGAGACTGTGCCAAGCCAATGCAGTGGAAACCAGGATATCCCAAGCGCCAGAGAAGAAGACGAGTGGGGGGAAATGGTCTCCCCTGTTGAAGATACCGGTGAAGCCGTCCTTGAGGGTGCTTTGCCACCAGTTTCAAGCAGAATCGAATACTGGCAAGATGTCGGTGGAGAAAACAGCATGCTATCTACCAGAGGATCAGAAATCAAACGAATTGGATCACCCATCAACGACCCAGCTATTTCTCTCAGCAAGCGAGACAGCTATTTTTTTGGATTTGGCCGGGAGAATGTCTTCGCAAACGCGATTTCCACCGACAAGCCAGCCGGGGTGGCATGTTCGCCACAACTATCAAACGACGAAAGCTTCCGAAGCAACGAGGATCTGATACAACGGATTGTGTACGGCCTGCCCGACTTGTCGTATATGGAAAAATAAGCAACTGTTATTTTGGGCTGGCTGGGCTGTGGAGGACCTTTGACACCGCATAGATATTTGCAGAATAGATTCGAGGTTTCCGTACTATTTCACATGTGCTACTGCATACTTCATAAGCAATACTGGTTCCCATCGCATAATCACACCAACATCATCTAGGCACCTGCGATCTAGGCTTAGAGATGATACACAAAACAATACAGCTGCCAGCGGCGGCGGAGTCCAGCTGCGAAATGCATCTTGGTTCCAGTCAGCGTCACAGCCACAGCGGTATTTAACCATACAGTCGATGTCCCTTCGGTCGCTCCTTGTGTGCCAAACTTGCTCGCCTCGTCTTCGTTCGACTGATTGGCGAGTTATCCTTACAGCTACATTATGGTCTGCAGCTTTCGGGCCTGGGACACGTCCTTGAGTATGATGGTTTCACTGTGAGCAAAAGCCGAGATATGCGTATGAAGCTATACAGAACTTAGTCGCTGCTCAGGCTGACGTCAACGGTGGCGGCGACAGCGTACTAGTAAAGGAAAGAGCCGTGTTGCTTTCCTGACGACAACTTTCCGGAGCATGTATCGTACATATCAGGTAATCGTCTCGATTGTCTCCCGAGCTGACAGGGCTCGCAAGACCTGGAATCCGAATCCGGTTGCCTCGTCTTCCCCCTCCCCCCCTAAAAGGTGCATGCGATCGCTTCGCAGCAGCCATATATTCGACAGATCTCCTTTACCAAGAGCTTGAAAAATCTGCTGTCGGCCAGTCGCCAGAGAACCAATTAGCAAAATCGCATGGTCCAAAGCCATCAATATCTAGGTCGAATGCGTCAAGCGAACCACCTTGCGCGGCTAGAACGGTGTGCAGAGAACCTGTTGCGGGCGCAGTAACGGCAGGGGTCATAGGGCTAGCGGATGCACATGTGGCGGGACCTTCATATGTAGTTTTCGCTCCTATTGCTGGTATGTCATTTTCAACACGCAAAGAAACAGACGAATCTGTCGCAATGAGATCAGATTGTACCTGCGCCATTCGCAGGTACCCTCTTGACTGATTTTGGCAATGTCCTGCTGTTTCGGTTGTCTGAGTTACCACATCACTGGCTAAGGGAGGCTGGAATAGCCCAAGTACCATGCCATCCATTTCGGCATCCGTGATACCGGTGTGCTCCGGTACACTTGGCGCCAACTGCGCAAGTTCCCGGCCGATGAGACTGCCGAGGTTCTCACGCTTTCGAGCCCAATCGTCGTTAGCGGCACTCTTCTATGCTACTTTACAGTAAAAATGGCAATGAATAGCGGAACAGGCAACTTGAGACTTACGATGCGCAGCGTAGCAGGAGCTTTGATGCAGCGGTCAAGAACTCTGACGCATAATTGGATACTGTCGATAACTGGCTCCTGCTGGAGAGCAGTAGCTTCATAGAAGTCTGTCTGGCGGAAGTAATGCAGCATTCGTGCACATTGATGTAGACAGATTGGAAGGTCCAGATCTGTGACTGGAATACCGCTGTCAAGAGCCAACAGCAGCCGAAAAATTCCCACCATGGCCATGGCATGTTTATACGTCTGACGTCGGCAGTACTGAACAAAGTCCGGGCATTGAGCCTCAAGCTGGGCAGCGTAAGGTGCGGGCAAAGCTCCTTCCAAATTTGGAAGTGCAAAGCGATACAAATCAATGAAGCATTGCTCCCACCAAACATGTGTCATCAAAAATACACAAAGCCGCGGTGAATAAGTTCTAAGCCGAACATTCGCTTCCGACCACCGAAAGCTGGCTGGCAGTCTTGCTGCAAATGCTTCCAGCTCCCCAGCCAACACAGCACAGCGCGTCGGGATGGATGCGATATCGTCGACTTGGGGGTTTTGCACTGCATTTTTCGTATACTGCAGGATGCGACCTCGCAGAAAGTGGATGCGGACATGGAGGGCAAGAAATCCGGTGCTGTCGGGTAGCGGAGGTAGGGCTTGGCTCGCTGCTGTTTTTGGTGGCCGTAAGGGCTCCGATAATTCGGGAATATCAAACTCGAAATTTCTCTCATTGCAGGGCAGCTGGATACTGATGGCGTCGGATTTGTACATCCAGAGACTGGAGTCGATCTGCGAGCTGGCCATGCTGACATCAATCATATAGAGAGCCCACATCAGCCGTCTCCGTGACTCTCGGGCAAGAAAGCAGAGCCGGTTGTCTTCGTGCTCCAGTCTCAGAGCTGATGCCAATCTGGAGGCCACTCCATGCAGCATAAAGGCAGAAGAAAACCTGCCAGATAGGATGCGATGGTGCACGACAAACACAAGTGTCTGCAGGGCGAGCGTTGAAGGCCTTTCCAATCCACCCAGTGCCAACGCCTCCGCTTCGGTGATGCATCGCGTGCCAAGATCTCTTGTTCCGGGCCCAAGATCGGTCATAAGCGATGTTACCCCCACGAGAGCGAGGAGAAGAGATTTCTCGACGAGGCCGGCATGGAACCGCTGCATCAGTGAGGCACGGTGCAAAAATGCAAACGTGGGTATGTGATGGACGTAACCGAAGAAGTTATCGAACGTTTTCATAGCCATGGATTCCAAGATATCGACAGACAGAAGACGTGTCTCTTGCCCCGCGCCATCAATGCTTGTAACACCCGGCCGACAAGAGTCTGCCTCTGGTTGACCAGGCGGTCGACATTGGCCACAGTTGGATGCTGCAAGGTCATTTCCGCTCACATCACCACCGGTGGCTGATCCGGACACCGACCTAATCCTTGACCGTTTCCCCATACGATAAACGCAGTTGATTCCGAGAGCTTGGCACCTGTTACATACGGGCGTGCCGCCGCTGCAACGGGCTTTTCTCGAATGGCAGTTCTGGCAAGCCTGCCGTGCTCGCCGCCTCGGGACGACTTGGCCATCGTCGCCGAAATCACCTCCGGGACCGGTTATTGCGCTGGTCAGGTCCTGGGCCACGGCTGCGCCACCATCGTACGAACAGGAAAAGCCGAGCCTCTCGCAGTTGGAACACATCGACCGCCGGCCGTCACAGCGTACCTTCCGGGCGCGACACGTGGCACAGGTTTGGGACGCTTTTTTGATCGGTAGTGGCAGACCAGGCGCGGCATTCTGTGTATGCGCTGATATTGCTGAAGTATCCATTCATGTCAGTGGCTGATGGAGTGGTGAGTGAAGCGGACGGACTGTGGCGGCATCAGATGCTTTTCGGGTGGCTTTAAGAAGACGCCCGAGCAGTTGTGGTGGGTTTACCGACAGCTGGACCGTGTGAAGGGCATCTTGCCATCTTGGAGTGGAGAAGCGAGAATTGATGGGCTTAGTCCGCAAGCCAGCAGTCCACTAATACAGCATCTGGTTGGCCGGAATGTCGGGTTTCCGACTACATGTGCATGCGACAAAATAATATGGAGTCCTGGCCGAAGACTTTCCTTGACATGTTTGATGCGATACATGGCTGACTAGAACAGCAATTATCGCGCCCTCTTTGCAGACGGCTAAATGGGCTTGGGGTGAAGATATTCTTCATTCCAGATGCAGCCATGTGGCGTTGCCCTAGGCAGCGACCGCGGTGATCGGCTCTCTGGAATGTTGCCAATCTCGGTATTTGGTCTCGTACACTTATATATCAATGTAGCCATTGTGCAGCTGCGGACTGTATTTATATGGCGTGTGTATGTACCAAACGATACTACAGCACATCATTATCGTCATACGGCAGCCCGGATGGCAAAACCAGAAGTTACATCTGGCGATGGCCAATCGTCCAAGAAAGACGAGTTTTTGCTACGAGTACTCCCCCATGTGGTGATTGCGGCTTTCGGCTTCATTTTGCTTTTCGTCGTTATTGCAGTCGTGGTATCTGGTCTTGTTATTGGTGGCACAATCCAGGTGGCCGCAAAGGCAATCGGCCTGACACAGAGCCTCGTCCTCTTCTCGGCGAGTGAAAACTATGTGTTATCGCAGTACCATTCATATACTAACAACTGTGCTTCTTAGTCCATATTCGGTGTAATGTACGTGGGCTTGCACACCTACGCGGCAAGGAAGGCACAATTCGAAATAGATCGGCACCACCGAGAACAAATACCACCCTTACATACGACTGCCGTTATTCTGTCCCGAATTACAGTCGGGTTTTGGACAACAGCTTTGGTGGCAGTGGCCATAACGCTGGGAAGTAATTCTACGACAACCAATTACTCGTCAATAGGGGCACTTCGGGCAGACCTCGCGGCCTGTATAGTGAACTGGTAAGCAACTTCGAGCCAGGTCAACTAGATGATCTGCACCACGGTCTAACACCACTGTAGTCTGTGTATGGCCGTGGTAATCCTTGTCATCGAGCGAACAAAAAGGCCGTTTGTCCTACCCTGGATTACACCGCCCACACCCGAAGGTCAGACTTCCTCTGCGAAAGCTTTCATACGAGATATACTTGTTGATGGAGTATCTGGACAACCTTCCTCTGATACCATCGGCAGCATCGGAGAAAGCACAACCCTCGTTACCGAAGGCTCCACTCGCCGAGCCTCTTTAAATAGCCAAGACACTGCAAGAGAACACATTTCGAGCCCTGACGTCACGAACGGAGCAGAACCTGAGAAACCCCCTCGAAGCACACCGACAGAGCGACAGCACCTATGGAACCAGGTAAACGAGGGTGGGAAAAATAGCCCATCACCCATACCACCTATACATTCAGCGGCAAAGATCGGTCCACGGCCAGTGAAACACCAGTCGTACCACAAAGGACAAAGGCATTTCCATCCGCTACCCGTGAATTTTTCTGAAGGGTCATCCTCCCCAAGGGCAACACCCAGAATTAGGGTGAAACCTAAAGTACCTACGAATGGTCTTGCAGAATGTTCCCCGAGCTTTACAGACTCTGGAAAAGAGCGATTGGTTCCAGGCGAGAACGCAGAAGGAAAAAGGTTATTCAACAGAGCTGTCGAGGGACTGAGACTTTCTAGGGCCAAGGGACAATCCGTATACGACGACGGGTCGAACCTGAAAGTGCCGGGGTCGTTTGCTGAATGGTAACTGAAAGGGAGACCACTGAGAAAAGATGTACAATATAAATGTGGAAACGGACGTTTATTAGCGGTTAGCAGTTGGCAATACTAACAGCAATCACCGAATGGGAGCTGTCCCAGACTGCGAGTGCGGCTGTCTGGAATTGCTTTAGTACATATTTTAGGCAGCTAACACCCCTCCCACTTTCTTGTCCCGTCCGACTTGGGAATTATATTTGTCGAAAAAAGCTTCATGCTTTGCGCACGTAACAGGGGAAAATGGAGTCTACAACTTCTAACCCGATGGTTTGTCTGCCTATTGAGATACTGCTTCGGATTACATCCATGCTCAACACCACAGAACTTGGTGCCATGAGGTTGACCTGCAAACACATCGAGAGGTCGCTTTTCAACTCGTTCGGTTACGAATTTTTCCGCAAAAAACAGTTCATGCTCAGTGACGAAAGTCTGCAGACGCTCATAGATATTTCACGTCATGAAGCTTTATCGCCTCTACTAAAGCATCTCATCATCGGCCTTGACCGATTTGACCCCTCGATGTCAACGTTTGACAGTGCCGATGCAGCGTTGTTTTACCTGGTGTCAACAGGCCGACAGCTCAGCCTTGTCAGAACTGGAAGAGCTGTTCGGATGCTCAAAGAGGCCTTTGAAAATTTGAAAAACCTGGAAACGGTCAGCATCCGAGATTTTGATGGACAATACAGGACTCGAGACGGACCAAACGCCCGGTGGGGGAGCTATGGGGCCTCAGAAATTCGTCGAAGGATTGGTCGTTCTCTCCCCATCTCTAATACAATCGCCGACGACCATGCTACGGTGGTTTTTACAATCACTCTGGCGGCATTGGCCGAGGCTGGCTGTCGTCTGAAGAACCTAGAGGTTCTGCTGCGGTCAAGAAACTGGGGGTTGAGAGACTTCGGGTTTGACCTCAGTTCTCAAACCTGTGGGACGACAACAGCTGTTGTATCGAGACTTGAGAAGCTTCACCTTGATGTTTACCTCAACTTCGTACAAACACGGGTAGGAAGTTTGACAGGACACAACGTGGATCCAGCCATACCTGGACTGCTACTTCGCCGATTTCTTGCAGAGGCACATCAGCTGACCTGGCTTCGGCTTAACTTTCAAAACTCTTTGGTTTCGGTGTCTGACGCGTTTATTGAAAACCTCGGCCGAGGTGAGGCCTCAATGTCCTCTTCCCAGCTCCTAAACCTGAAACGGCTTGATCTGGGAAATGCCAAATTTTCTTCCTCGAAGTTGGTCCACGCTCTGGCAAACTTTGCTTATCTGACTGGAATCAGTATCTGGAAAGTGAATCTCCACGATACAACTGCCGATGATTGTTGTCCCAATCTGTGGTGTGACGTTTTGAAGCAGTTTGCAAAGATGCCTGCTCTGAATTTTTTGTCAGTAGGACTTGCCAGCCAACAAAAACCCAGAAGTATTCGCTGTCCTGTAACATTTGCCGGGAAGACAACTTTCAACTATACGGATAATGCAATTGGTCAATTTTTGGAGAGCCTTATAGATGTTACAGAAGTCCTGCGGCCACCAACGCTAGCTCACGTTAATGACGACGAATACGAGGAAGGTGACGGAGCTGATGACGACGAAGAGGGGCCCGAGTCTGACGCGGACGACAGCTGAATGTGGTCAAACAGATAGTTGCGAGCGCATTTGGCGATATGTCTTCCGATACAGCGCGTCAAATCTGATCATTGCATTCGTCTGTGAGTAGAGTGCATCTGGTCCACGTACAACAAAGCCGGTAGCCTTGGACGGCCGCCAGACCACGCAATGACTGTCAACTTCCCCTCCTCCGGATCGTACGAACCCATGCGGATCATTTGGAAGCTTCTAGTATATCGTATGCAAGCAACCTGGTTTCGCTCACGCATTGTTCGTCGGACATCATAGCAATCCCTTCCTGGCTAGCTCCACCTTTCTAGCAGCTTCGCCTTCCTTGAAACCTCCTCGAGAGACGCATATCATGCTGCCATCCGCTAGTTCGAACTTGTCTTCCAGGGCAGGGAATGGACATGGACAATGATGCGGGAAATGAACGCAAGCTATAAAGGTCGTTAGTTCACATTCATCAGTCTAGGGGAAAGTTGCTGCATCTTTGGGATATGGCTACCTAGTGTTCCTGGGCAGAGATATTTGTCGCAATGTGCTTTGTCGACATTACTTTGATACCACGAAGAGTCACTGGGCACGTTTCGTGGCTGCTCTGGCTGTTGCTGTTGCTGGCCGCCTCCAAACATTTGATCGAAGAAACCAAATTGCGCAAAGCCGGAGGAGAAAAGGGCAAAGGAAACCAGATATATGAAAAGCGACGCCCCCATTTTCGTGTTTGATCGGGCCTTACCAAGACACAGAATGGTATAATTGTTGACTCGTGAGATCCTTGGGATTACTTGAAAGAAATGTGGTCTTAATACGGAGCAGCTGTAACGGATTGTAAGGACAAATTGTCTTATCGGTATCGGCCACAATCACGTGCTCGAGCTCACAAAATCTACTCCCCGCGGAAACTTCAATGATCTTCCCTCTATCCCAGGCTTTTGCAACATACGAGCGGCCCAACCCGAAAGCATATGCAATGCGCCTCCCAAAGTTGCAAGTGTCAGCAATGGCATCCCTTTTAAGTTGTGCACTTACGAGGAGAGTTTCCCCGTCAATATGGTCTCGAAACCCGAGTGATGTGCTTTCAATTGTTGGGGGACACCGGTTCGCCGCTGTCAAAGCGCAAGGTGCTTACCGGCTGAAAAACAAAAAGACGCTCCCGAAGAAGTTGGGAGCAAAGAGGGTGGGAGGTATGTGCTTGTTCAATCTGCTTTGCCTGTTTGAAAGCATGTGTATGGCGCTGCCAAATATCAGATTCAGTTATATTGCGCGACGCCGTACAAAAGCAAGCTTGTACGCATGCAATGAATCACCATGACTCTACTAACAGTTGATCTTAGATCAATATGTTCTCCCAGGAACAATCATATACAAGCAGAGAGGCACGCTCTGGCATGCTGGGGAGAATTCAATACTGGGGAGAGATCACACTATACATTCGGCCATCGCAGGATTTGTGAAGTACTACCGCGACCCAGCAAAACACCCAGATCGTCAATACATCGGCGTCACATACGACCGAAACGATACACTACCATACTCCCCACAGGAAGCTCGGAAGAGAAGGTTGGGCATGACTGCTATACCACGCAAATCCAGTGCTGCTTTCGAAGTATTAAGCAAGAGCGGTATCCCGCGAAGGGTTATACGGAAGGAGGGTGTTCTGGAGATGGGTGGCGCAGTTACAGCCGAAGACCCGACAGCCGCAGCCGTTGAAGCGGCTGAGGCTGCTGCAGAAATGGCAGACCCTTCTGCCGACGGAAAGAAAAAGGCAACCTCAAAGGCTAGTCGTGCGGCGCGACGCTGGAACGCATATGTGCGGACCAAGAGGTCGAGCCGGATGCTTTACCTGGGGAAGAATTACAGCTACCAAGAGTCTAATTTCCAAATTGGTCGACTCATGGGTACGCACAAGGGGAAAACGCCAGGCACTCAACGATATGGCAGTCGCCGGAGCATTCTACGCCACAGAAGGAAAAAGAGAGATGAGCAGCTTCGTCAAGTCAGGGGGATGGAGAGGCAGGAAAGGGAATTGGCGCTTGAAAAGGGGCGACCCCGCAACAACACTGGAGCCACAAAGAAATTCGAAGGAGGGAAGAAGCCTAAAAAGGGAAAGAAAATGGCCAAGTGAAGTTTTGGGTCATGCACAACATATGTATAATTTTCTAAGACAGGTAAAATACAACCGTGTTGAAAGCCCAATGCAGTTTACACTATAGCAGCAGTACCGTATATCATCACATGGTACAGGTGGGAGTAGATTTGCCTTGTGCGCGTCAGCGACAGTGGCGAGGATCTGCAGCAGTCGTTTCATACTCCTACACTTAAATGCAACGTGCCTCGTTTTCCCTTGCACAAGCAATTTTCAATAGCAAGCATGTATCGGGAAGAACGAGTCGAGAAGCATAAGCCGCCTTGCATCTTTTGTATTTGTGATTGTACCGAGTGCTGAAAGTTTCTCCTCACAGACAAAACTGGGATCCACGACTTCCTATCGGGCTAGCAGTGAGATATCTGAACTATCTCCGCAGCCAAAGAAATGCATCGCTTTCAATGTTCGAGCATCTTCTCGCTAGCTTTCAGACAAGTTGTTGCTGCTGTGGCATGACCCGTCATGTGCGTAATTCACCGGTTTAATGTCTTTATATGCCTTACGCACCCACCTTCTCAACTATCACTATCTATTATTGAATCTCTGTCTTAAGGTTAGTTATGCAAACAAATCCTGCCGAATACAAATTGCCCAAGTAGGTTTCTGCCCTTGCAGATAGCTATCAAATCCTGCCCGATTCAACTCACTAGAAGCTTCTTGTAACAAAGCTTTCAATAACAGAACAAAACTCGAAAGCTTTCTAGCCTGGTAAAAGGAGGCCTTCATCATGGTTGACAAGTGTGACAATGGACGACTATCTTTATAGGTCTTTGTGCTGTAATTCACAATTTAAAAGGGGGAGGGGTCTAAGTCTTATACTGGTTTATATATCCGTATAATGAAGTAAATGAACGGAGGAAAGAAAAGCAAGGCAAACCTTATTAGACTGGCAACATAAAAAAATATGGGCTATGTATCCTAGGACACATATCGCGATCATCGGATACGAACGGTTCAAGATGAGGTGAAGATAGGCTTTAACGCTTAGTTGAAGCCCACAAGAGTCGGACTATGACTGAAATATCACATTGGCAGCCAACCAGCCGCATGAAGACACGAGACAGTCTTTATCACTAATGTTGCAGACGATGCATACAGCGCTATCGTACTCCGTATATGTAGCTAGTCAGATACAATTTGGCTGATAATAAAACACATGTGATGCTCGGAAACCGTACATGGTACAGAGTGCTCCGTTGAAAAAAAATAGAAAAACAGTCGAAACATCGTTCCTGGCTAGAGTACTCGTGCATAGTACGAAGTACGGAGTAAGTCACATATATCTGTCGATTTACACGGATACAAGTACACAGTACTCGTGCGTCGGGGGCAATAATTGGCAACCATATTAGCTATCGACGAGTTGGTGTGATCTGTTTACTGGCTTTTACGAATACTGTGCAGCTTTCTAGCAAAGACTTGTAGAATGCAAGATGTATGCTGCAACGACGCCATCGCTGAGCGCCTTCCAACTATATAATCGAGTCGGGTTCTATCGTTTATGTCGAGGGACGCGCGAACTCAAGCTGCTCGTAACACGCGCGTATAATGTAGTAGCTACTCCGTACATATGCCGAAGAGACGCGTTGATTGGCCCACTTATAAATATCTAGACCAATGCACTAATGCTTACCCCTTTACTAGAGCGAATAGAAACGCGTTCTGACCCCTCTCATGACACGACCATTCTGTAGACGCAGTGCGAGGATATTCAACGCGACCGACACCAATTATCTGAACCAATCCCACCCATTTCTTCCCGCCCTTGGCTTTGTTGTCTCGGTTCACCCCCCTCGCACGTCGTTGTGCTGCCATCCACCAAACCGCTACTGCAACCTCTTTCCGCGACCTGCGCATCCTCTCAATTCGTGTTTTTTCTCTTGACCCCCGGGTTTCCTGCAGCGTACTCCGTATCCGTATTACGGGTAGAAACAAGCTGCTTCATTGCGGACCGGAACCACTTAATATCTCACACTCGACTGGCTGTCTGTTTTTGGAAAGGGCTGCGTACTTATAACCGTGGCTGCAGGCTGAGATTATAGGTCCCATGCCACCAACCTGCTCATATCCTGGCAGACGCAACTGAGTCTGGAAGGGATAACTCCGTGTCTTAGATTGGACAGATACGACTCGGCTGAAAAGTACCCACTTACGGAGTAAGATACATCCTACGACAACGGGTGACGCCTGACCCAAAATCTAGACCCAGGGATTCTTAAAATCGGCGCGGTCTCCTCGCTAGAGGTCGCTTTCAATTTCGATTTCCCATCTTCCATTCCCATCTACCCCGTCTACTTCTCCTCCTTCTCAATCCCACGAACACAGCGCTTAGTTCTCATACAACGCATTGTCTTAACCACGCAGATAGAATGGCGTCTGTTGTTCGGAAACCATTTGCTCCTCTTGACGGAGGCCGCCTCCAGTGCTTAACGAGCGCAAAAAATAGGCAAAATAGTACGTTGCATATCCATGTGTGCGCAGCTTGCCCCCGACAGTCTGTCGTCAATGTGTAGTCTTTTTGGCTCTTCACCCTCTGTCTTTTTCGAATGATCATGAATTTGCGCTGTCGCGAGATTTGCTTCCATCATTGCTATGTTGCTTTGTCGCATTTCGTACCGATAGCAGCTAATTGGTAGCAGCGATTCTATCTTCTGCCGTAAAGAGAAAAGCTTCGGACTCTATTATCATCGAAGATTTGGAAAATGTCGACCCTTCTTACTCCTCCAAGCGGCCCAAGGGCAGTGATGGCTTCTTCTCCGCCAAGGGCAACTTGAAAAAACAAATATTCATGGCGCCCAAACTTCACCCTACGCAATACCGGCCTGCCTTAAACACATTGCCCACAATGCAATCTAGGACAGTGCTCAAGCCGAAGGCGCCATCTAGCAAGCTCAACCCAGATACAGCACGTCGTTCATTGCCAAGTTTCGCCAGCAGTGATTATTATGTCCGCGGTGTCGGTAGAGGTGGCATCTTACAAACAAAGCGTCGTACCACCACATCCTCTGCTCGGCGAGAACCCTCCTCCAAACTTGCACCCGCCATTCCATTTTCCATTGATGCGGCCCTGAAGGGCACCCTGTCGGCTTACGCATCTTCCTCGCCAGCATCTGCTCCAGCCTCGTCAGCCCTTATTTTGGACGAATCTGAGATGGAAGCATCGTGGTTCTTCAGCATCCATGAAGATACACCTGAACAAGAGATTACCAATCTGCTCCAACACAGTACATGCGTTCTGGATATCAGCAGCGATGAAGAATCAGAACAGAAGGCTCGGCATGCGAAAGCGGAGGGTAGGGATAAAGAGAACATCCCTCCAGCCAATGACGCCAGTCAAACAAGTCGGTCACGGTTGGAAGCAACAGACAGTATGCTTGTGGACAAGACACGCAACCCGCTATCGCAATTGAACGCTGCAGATTTCTACGAAGCGGGTTGCGATGAGACATCCATTGTGCTCGTCTCGTGCGACGACTTGGAAGAGGACGGATCTGGGGACAAGCTGTCGCGACCTGTCAAGTCATCCGCGGAAACTGTGACTACGGAACCTACTTCGATTCCTATAACCGATGAGCCCACGGCCGGATCAGTTGATGCATCGGTAGAAGAACTTATGGCTTGTCGGGGGGGACCAGAAGCAGTCGTCACCGTTGTTAAATCAATTGACGGAACATGCCAGAATTTCGATGTGTGGGAAAGCGGAAGCTCCAGGGAGGAGAATTTGTCGCCTGCACCACCGCTGTTAAGTGAAGGTGGGGTTTTAGAATCTAACTGAACAAGACGATGCCGGGTGGTCATGGTTTTTTTATGTTTAACGCTGTCTGATTACGCTATTTGATGTTTGTGGTTTGTTTGGCGTTGTTTTACAAAGGCGTTGCGGCATTGTGGTTCCGGCTTTGTGTAGGATGTTGGCTAGCTTCCTGAATATAAAAAGGACTGGTGGGACCAGAACAATGTGACACTTGAACCACGTGATTTTTTTTTTTTTTGGGGGGGGGGGTGTTATCTTCAACTTATCATGCCCAGGCAAGATTCTACTGAGTATAACGTATTCCGACTGTTACAAGTATTAGTGTCACTACTGTCAATCGCATAGGCTCGGCTACATTATCGTATCTCAATCATGGATTACCAAGACAAACAGACCGGTGAATTCTCAGCACCAGTGCGGGGAGCGCTGGTTGTTTTAGAAGGATTGGATCGCAGTGGGAAAACAACACAGGTGGAGCTGCTCAAGGAGCGCCTTGAGAAACTCGGGAGAAATGCCCAAGTTCTTCGGTTTCCAGGTAAATACAAAATCCCGACAAGATAAGCACGCTGATCGCTGCTTTTGCTCATAAAACTAGACCGAACAACTCCCATTGGACAGATGATAGACAGCTACTTGAAAAGTCAAAGCGAAATGGATGACCACGTTATACATCTTCTTTTTTCAGCAAACCGGTGGGAGGCTGTGTGCGTTACCACAATTATCTTACTACTAGTCACCTTCACATTCTCAACTGACAAAATTCTGCACGGGCTTAGAAAGACTATCAGTTCTCTGCTTGAAAGGGGGATTACCGTTCTCTGTGATCGGTATTATTACAGTGGCATGGTATATTCGGCAGCTAAGAGAAATCCCACTCTGTCTCTATCTTGGGCACGTGCTCCTGAGGTTGGTCTCCCGCGACCAGACCTCGTACTGTTTCTCGATCTGGACGAAGAGCAAGCCAAGAAGCGAGGTGGCTGGGGAGACGAGCTCTACGAGAAGGCGGAAATGCAGCGTAGGGTGAAAGACCTCTTCTGGGGACTGAGTTTTGGCCGCATAGATGTCAAGGGTGCGGTGAAGGCCGGCGAAGATCACGCAGATTTTGCAGTGGGATTGACATTCAGACAGGAAGAAGAAGATTTATCGGTTGTTGACGCATCGGCAAGTGCCCATGACGTCGCGGACGCGATTTGGAAAATTGTACACCCTCGTATTTCGGCCGTTGATAGAGGCGAAGCTGGTAAAGTCGTTAGACGGGTTTCATGAAACAGGAAGTGATGGCTGCCGTACCTTTAAATGGCTGCATTGCTTCACAGTCAACTATTAGGCCGGCTGATGCTCGATAATACGAAGCAACTACGGAGTGAATGCAGAAAGTTATATAGCTAATTCAGAAGTGCTCAGAAGTACTTTATTATGTCGTACTCCGTACTCCGTATATATCGTAAAAGGCTCCGGACTCCGTATTCCGTAGTCTGCTCACTAACAGCTGCGCTACGGAGTGCGGACTAAGTCACTTTTGGCATACCCTGTCATATGACTAAGCATTGCTTCTATGAACTTTCGTGTTTCCTCAACTCATTATCAGCCAGCTTACAACTTTCACACTCAACGATCCCGTTTCTCGATATAAGCACAGCCTTTTCTACTAGCACTTCTACTATGCCAAATCTGAAGCGCGCTGCTGGTGATGGACCGGCCACCCCAGCACTAAAGCGTCGCAAAGGGTCGATAATGTCCGTCGCATCTGCTACCACGACGCATCCTCTTCGGCAGACATCTTTCCCTCCCGAAGACAACGAAACCCTGTTTACTGCGCGATCACCATCAGCCGACATAGATAACGCGAGTTTTGTCAGTGGCAGTCTGAGCGCTACTGCAGCACCAATTAAGAAACGGCGTGGAAGAAAGCCAAAGGCAGAGAAGTTGCGGGAACAGACCCCGAGCCTTGCGGGTGGCAGAGCGACGACAGCGGTGAGCAGCACCGGCGGCGCCAAAGGCAGTAGTGTTGTACATGGGGATGCTGGTGTTGAAGAAGATGACGGTGATGGCGACGTTCCAGACTCTGGAGCAGCAGCGGCAAAGAGAACAGACGAAGAGCGCAAAGAAGAAAAGCGGTTACGAGCTGCACTTGTCGCATGCATGGATTTTGATCAATACGAGCGAATATCAGCATGGAGGGCGGCAAAATTGCCAGATGCAGTCATTCGAAGAGTATGGCAAATCCGGTCCTTTCCTCAGTGTGTAGCTAACTAACAGATTGCTTGCTGGATTGATCTTATAGCTTGTCAATGCCACCGTATCCCAGTCTGTACCCTCGTCGGTAGTCACCGCTGTTCGGTCGGTCACCAAGTATTTTCTTACAGATCTGATCACGAACGCACAAAGTATACAAAGTGAATGGATTTCAGCCGACAGGGAGGCACAAGCCGACGAGGAATGGCCTGGTATGGTTCTTTCAAGAGGAGAGCCAGGGATAAGGGACATCTACGACAAACAGTCACGGATGGCCATTCCAGAGTGGGAACCGGAGACTGCCGAACACATATTGAAAGAGCAACCGAAGGGCCCACTGCGGCCTGATCACCTTCGGGAGGCATGGCGCCGATATAAATTATCTGTGCAAAGCAGATCAGCAGGAATGATGGACCTTTGGCATTCGCAGCAGCATAACGGCGTTGAAAGGTTTCCAGCACGAACAGGTGGAAGAAGAATCTTCAAGTAGATGTGTAATAACTAGTGTCAGGCTGGCTCGCCACTTGTGTGATGACAGCGCCGTCTGTCAGCGTGACGGGAGCTGTTTGACGACGTGCGCGTGCTTTAATAATGAAATAATGAGCCGGAGGAGCTTGAGATGTAGCCTCGAGGATCACTTTAGCAGTACTCCGGCGTAGCAACAATTCAAAGAAGCGCGAGACAGTAGCCGCTCATTTATTTCTTCGCAGTAAATATCTCGGTAAGATGCTCGCATGTTGTGTATCAAGGTCTTGCTGGCTAGCTGCTTGTGGTATTGAAAATAAAAGTAGTTAGCCTGAATGTTTGCACACGTTCGCCTGCATAATCATACATGCGCCATACTCGTTCTGCTTCCGGTTCCAAGCTGAGCCGATTTTACTACGGAGTGGGCTTTTGTAGTCAGCAGAGGTGCAAGATTGTATCGCGAGTTAACTAATACCATTATTGTTCATTGTCGTTATCTCTGCGCATTTTCCAATCTGTATTTACCTGCCAAATTTCAGCCCACCCATAGCTGCCCAGTTTCTCACAGCCCCCTCTCAAACTTCAAAGTGCCGTCGACCCGTGGCGACTTAGGCATGGCGGAACCATTCAATACTCCCATGCCTTCCACCACACCTGTGCCTGGCGCAACACCACGATCCACATCTCCTTCTCTCCAGCCCCTTGCGATTGGAACTTTGGAAGCAGCCATCGCAGCCATGAAGGCCGGTGTGCCCAGCCCCAGGCCGAAGCCAAGGGTGCTTCACATTGGTGATCCTGTTTGCTACAATGTCGATACATACATTGCTTTTTCTGAACAGTTCGACGTTATCCGTCCCAGCGCACAAGAGCGCGAGCGTCCCGAATTCATGCGTGCCCTGCGTAGCGGCAGGTGGGGGGATTTTTGTGCCATATTTCGGCCCTTCTGGGGTAGTGGTGGTGAGATGGGGTGCTGGGACGCCGAACTTATCGCCCTGCTCCCCAACAGTTGCAGAATTTTTGCAAGTGCAGGCGCTGGGTTTGACTGGGCTGATACGAAAGCCTTGGGCCAGAGAGGTGAGATCTGCAAGCTGGGCAGTTGTCGGATGCGATGCAAGAACCTGGCGCCTAACTGGCTCTGACTGTTTCTGATGATAGGTATTATCTATTGCAATTCTGGGCTAGCGGCTGCCGAGGCAGTTGCCGACTTTGCCGTGGCTATGGTAATATCAACTTTCCGTCATCTATCATGGTGCATGAACGCCGCCACATCCCCGGCCTTGTCTCCTGAGGAAGCCAAACAGGGGTTTCAGCATTGCCATACATTTGCAACTGGAGTATCACACAATCTTCGGAACCATGTGCTCGGTCTTGTCGGGCTTGGGAATATTGGACAGAATATTGCGGCCAAGCTTGGCTGTTCTGCATTTGGTATGAAAATTCACTACTTTGACACCACGCGGAAACAGGCAGACATTGAAAAGGAGCTGGGAGCCACCTTTCACGACACATTGGAGGGCCTTTTGGCTGCTTCAGATTGCGTCGTGATATGTACGCCCGCATCGCCGGATGGCAAGCCTTTAATGACGAAGGAGCGCTTTTCACTGATGAAACCACATTCCCGATTTGTCAATGTTGCACGGGGCTCTCTTGTGGACGAGGAGGCTCTTGCCGATGCCATTGAAAGCGGAGGCCTTCATTCAGCCGCTATTGATGTACACTCAGCGGAGCCATGTATCCATCCTCGGCTCCTGCAGCTGGCCCGTCTCACAACAAGTGGCAGTATGGCCCCCCCTTCGATAATGCTGACTTGCCACAACGCTGGTGGAACGGTAGAAACACATATTGGGTTTGAGGAATTGAGTATGCGAAATATCATGGCAGTTATTAAGGGTGATGGGCCAGTCACTCCTGTGAATATGCACCACATTAGTAGCATCCTCTAAGATTTATGTTTTGCTCTAGAACATACGTCCCGAATACACTTGTTTCTTGCTGCAGTTACAAAACTTGCCAGGGCATTCACTATGAACTGATCTTGTTTGCAGAGTGTGAAAGACTTGAAAATGTTCAGCTTGCGGACCATTACAACACGGTATGTAGTATAACTTCAATACGTTGGTTCTGCGATCCCTTGCAGCCCGGCGTACTTCATTGTACACCTTCATTCGCAGTAAACGTACAAAATGATATGAACAACACAAACTGTAGAAATTATGATTTACATGATGACGCATTCCCCACCCATCGGGCTCTCTCTCAGGGAACAGCATACTGCCATGTATGCAACCCAGCCCTTCAAATGCGAACTCTAAAGAGATACCGCAGTCGTATTTGAGACACATCATATACAATGTACTCGTTGTATAGAAGGTGTGCGTTGGGGTGTCCTGTGGGCCCAGGCGAAATGGCGACGTCCGGCTATTCGAGAATTGGTAAAGTTAGTATTGAGTGTAGGCAAAGTTTGAAACAGCAAAGGAAAGAATGAAAGCGGACCATCTTAACACCAGTCAGATCTTCATGAATACAACCGGCATCCTTCCAGGCCAAAGGGCCTATCTGGCCCTGTCCTAGAGTGGAAAACAGGCCCTTGGCCTTGGCATCATCCCCAGCCGTGTACGAGGCGTTGATGAGCTCTTGTACCGGATTTCCCAAATCCGCCTCGCAAAGCAACAAAAGCGCTGTACCACCGAAAGCGCCCGAGCAGCAATAGTTTGCGGATTTGGATGACATGTCGGCTAAATATATGCCCTTTCCAAACATGTAACCAGAAACCGGAGCTTCTGGTGGTGCTATGCGCAGTCCCTGGTTTAGTATTCCTGCGAAGTTTGTCACTCGCGAACCATGCCATAACAAACGCTTGTTTTTGGTCGAACCAGAAACAACAGAAGCATCGAAGCGAAGCTTCTCGTCTTGTCTTTCGATACGGAATATTTCCTCAACTTCATACTCGATGCTGTGGGTTGATCCTCGTGATGAGAAGAGGTAGTTCGCCAACTCATGAAACTCGGTGCTGCCGTGGTCGAGTGTGGTCATCTCCTTCATGCCTAGTTCTTGGTATAGCTTATCTGTTGGGTGCACATTGGGTTTTTGTTTTGCTTTCTCTACTTTCATGAGTAGTTCTGCGTCTTTCATGTCGCTCAGACTCTCCAGAAGCTCGACTTCTTTCTTGAGGAGAGCGTAGCCGTTGATGATGGGTGGTCGAAATCGGCCGAATGCGTGAGGTATGACAGAATAGTAGAGGTTGGACAGATTCTGTATGGCGAGAGGCAATGCTTCATTGTACAAAGATCCCGCAAGATCTGGATCATCTAGAAGAGCAGATAGGTCCTTTAACGCCTGGAAGCCACGGCTGATAGTAGTCTTGCTAAGTTTCCCCAGCGGAAGCTTGTTTGCGTCGTAATTCAAGGCCGTCATCGTAGCAGCAAAAAATTGACGATTAAATATCAAGTCCATGAGACCCCTGACAGCCTCAGGAAGAGAACATGGAGGCGGTTCGTAATCGTCGACCACCTGGATGTCACGGCCATCGGGCTCCATGTCCTCGTCGGAATCTTCTTGGTAGTTTTTTTCAACAAAAGCATATTTTCCGGGTTTCGGATCCTCGCATCTGTCTTCCCATCGAAGTCCAGACTTGTCTTTGAACTTCTGCTGGAACTTTTTCAGAGCGTCGTCGAGGCTGCCATTGCCTAACATGCTATGCTGCCCGTTCTCTCCAACGCGGCCCCATCTGGTCCAAGTCTGAAATCTATTTCCGACGTCAAGTACCTGGGAAGGCTTAGTTTAAGATAAGAATTCGTATTGAAAACAATTGGGGAGTTACCTGGATACGGTAAAACTTGTTGTTGTTCTGAACGGAGTTTGTCTGGTTGAGGGACGCATCCCATATCACACTATTGTCATCCACGTACACAGCTGCGACCCCAGAAAGAGGGCATAAGTCATCCACTGGAATATCGAAGCTCTGAGCTTTTGCCTTACGGGCCGTAGATTCTTGCTTTGGCTTTTTCCGCGTAGGTTGTTTAGGCTTAGATTCAGAGTCTTTCACATCTAGCGACGAAGCTGGTCTTTTCGTTGGACCAGACGCTAATGCAGTCAATGTAGGGGAAGTAGAAACCGGGGCAGTTTGTGCAGAGGGAAAAATGTACGATGCTTCTGGTTTTCTCGCGTTGTCCGAGGCACAGTCGAGAAGCCACTGTACATTGACAATGTGGATCCCCTGTTGTAGCGCGGCCATAACTTTTACGGACGGTTTATTATAGCTGTCCAATGTAGCAATAAGGTGAGAAGTATCAGGTGTGATTTTGGCAAGTGAGTCTGCCCCGAGCTTTTCGATGTGTTGCTTCAATATGCTATGCGAAGCATTGGGAAAGGTGCCACACAAGACAATTTTGGCGCCGCTCAATGGAGGTGCCGGAGGCACACCCACCTTGGCATTCGCTATTTTTTTGCGAGGAGGCATGATGAAAGTTTTGTTTATGAGTCGACAAGTATTATAAGAACTGGAACATGTAGAAAAGGTGATTGGAAGCAATTAAGTACTTATTTAGACGCGACAGTGCGCTGAACAGCAGGCAGCAGTCCTCCTGTTACACGGAATAGGCAGCATATCACGTGATAAATGATACCCCATAAAGTGGGGCCATTTAGCTCCACCACGATGGAAAGGCTCGCAAAGCAAGCCGTATTGGGAAAACCTGAAGTAGATGGTGTACAATAATAGTACTAGGGTATGAAGAAGTAGTGTCCAGAGTGATACATGAAAAGGGTCCTTAAAATGGAGATCAGCGTTCAAGAACTGTCTGTCTTGGGCAGACGAGGAACAGGGGGGGGTTCGGTAGGGCTGGATGCATCACTGCCTTTGTCTTCGTCGTCTGCAAGCTCATCCAACTCCTCTGGGTGGCCTAGAAACTTCGCAACATTTCTCATCTCATAATGTCTCTTGCGCATCTGCTCAAAGCGAAGATGCTTCTCTCGCTCCTCAGCACTCATGCCAATCATATCATCATCGCCGTGCACACTTCCAGCGTCATCGACATGAACTTTGCTTGGCCGTTTCTCCACATCTTCAGGCACGGCTTCTTCAGGCTCGCCAAGTGACAGCCCTGGGATATCGTCCTCAACGCTTTCAACGACTTCGTCATCGGACGGATCTTCGGACGGATCATAGTGTTTGACATATGGTGTTTTTGGTTCGTCAATCTTCATCGTTGCGGTGCGCTCCTGCTCCGTAAGGTACAAGTTTACTTCATCCCACTTTAGCCGGGGAGAAGAATCGTCGTCGTCGTCGTATATAGAAGGAGTCCGGCTTGATATGCGCCGGGATCCACTGGGCCGTGTGGCCGAAGACGACAACCGGCGCAGTCCAGCATTGAGGTGAGTGTTATGGATGGTCTCTTCCTTTTCGGTCCGCTGCTGTCCGCCATCATCCGGTGTTGCGGTGGTTGGCAATGGTGGTGGCGAACTGCGAGTCGGGTGCTTGAGAATGCCTGACAAGTCAGTTTGGTGGTTAGATACAAACTACAAGGCTAATGAACTGAAATGAAGATATACCTTTTGGCTTTCCCGCATCGGGTTGCAATGGTGCCCGAAGAGCTGGGCTTGGATCAGCAGAAGCCATTTTCGAATAATTTGTTGTATCAACGGAAAGATCTGGAAGTAAAGCGGGGAAATCCTGACGTATATGATTTGGAGGTGGGTGGTGTTTACATAAGCAAAAAAAATACAACACTCGACGTTCAGAGCTTGCGGCCTTTGGTATTTAGTATCTTATATCATAACTTTTTCGATAATAAGCAAATAGTTTTCAATAACTTCTGGGAACAGGCATGTGCATGGGTTTTCTTATACGTGTCCAACTCAGCATCTTACGAGTGAGCGAAGTATGAAGTACAGAGTACTTTGCAGACCGCAAGAGCGCGTAGTAGAATTAAAGAACTAGACACATTAAAATATCGCTAAAACTATGAGCTATTATACTCCGTACATGGGTTTTATTTACCCAAACCCCCACAATTCTATCAAGAACCCTAAAAAAGCAGACATTCACCATTACCGACATATGCTCCAACAGTCAAGCACGAACTATGGCACCCAATCCGTATATCATGGCGGCTGAAAACAGTCCTGATTTACTTCCACTGCTTCGTGAGCGATCGGAGATTGCTTCTGGGCAGGATGAACATGGGTACTCTCTCATCCATGCTGCTGCCAGTTATAATCACCTACACCTTCTGCGAACTCTCGTGCATGAGCTTCACGTGCCTGTTGACTTGCGGGACGAAGATGCCGAGACAGCTTTGTTTGTGGTCGAAACAGTTGAAGCGGCCCGCTGCCTAGTGGAGGAGTTGGGCCTGGATGCCAGCATTCGTGGGGATGAGGGCATGACAGCATACGAAAAGATCGCCGCCGAGGGGGATTTTCCGTTGGTTGCCGAATATCTTCAAGGCCTGGCTGAAAATGTGATTGGGGATAGAGTGCTGGTGGCTGAGGACGTGTTGGCTCCTCCACAGGGCGTTTCGATTGCCGTGGAAAGTTTGACGGCTGCTGAGGTCAATGCTGGCACTATGGCAGGCGCCACCACGGAGCCAGACCCAGAATTTCGGCGGCGGATTGAAGAGCTTGCGTCACGAGAGGACTTTCACACGCAAGAGGGACAGGAGACGTTACGACAGCTCGTGGAAGACGCCCTATCCGGACAGAATTAGACGGAAGATAGCAGTGCGCGAGCCCGGCAAATTCAACCTTTGGTCGAATTTTGGCGGCCTCCCTATCCGCTCGATTATTCATGACCATGGATTGCCCAAAGCAGAAAGTCACCGGAGGCTTTCTGAGGCTTGAACAGTGTACACTCGGCTCCCTCATTTGCGATGTTTTTGGAGCTTGGAATACCTGATGCGGACATAGCAAACCACGACTTGGCTGAAGGAAAGGCGAGCATCGCATCAAGAAGGGTGTGGCAGACCCATGATGGTGAAAAAAAACCGCGCCAGCTGATCGTGCACACATCTCCAGCAGTAGCCTCATCTGCTATGGTGCCGGGTACCTCATAGCGGCTCAGGTACGGGTCAATACTGTCGTTGGCTCGGACACGGGGACTGCCGAGGCGCACAAGGGATATCCATTCATACAGCTCAAAAACAGCCTCTTCGGCCTCAATCGCCGAATTGTGGCTATTTTCGTTGGCGATAAGGCTGGCAGGGCGTTCGAGAGGTGGCAACTTGACATTGGTGTATGTTGCTATGGTGGGTATAACAGTGCACACCGTGGGACAATATGGGGTTAGGGGATCCGGACTCGGGGCTGGAAAGAGGCAGTATCAGCATGTGATTATTGGGAGTGACGAACGGAGAACGAGACGTAAAAAGCCTACAATCTAAAGAGCTGTGGAACAGCCATGTGAGCGGTTTGACGAACACGTGGTTGCAGGCATATATAAGTCGGTCAAATCCGTTCTTGCCGGGCCACATGGACGCGGCCTTGAGATCAAACTCTAGTACTACACGGTGTTAGAGATCAGCGTGTTAACATGCCATGACATGACGGAGCTCACCCCAACGAGACCGCAGTCCTCGGCCACCCTTGGCACCATGTGGCCGGCCCACTAAGCCTGTCCGCTCATAAGATTCTCTATCGAGGAACATGGTCAAGAGTCCATTTCTGAAAGCAAAGACATCGTCCTTGTTGACATAGCCTTGAGATAGAATATGAACGTTCCCTGAAAACAATGGCATTAGATACGTACCATGAAAGGGAAAAGGCTTTGGCAGCACATGCTCACCTGCTTTGATGTAATTCTTGAAAAAATCACCCTCGAGAATTTGGCCAACTGTCATGACCATGCGCATAAAACAATACGAAGGACGGGCGGCTACTAGCCTCTTTTGAGCTTCTTCTGCGCATTCTTTTGGTAGCACCAGATCTACTTCAAAGACGTAATCAAGATCCTGGAAATTTGACCATGGCTTCTTGACCTTGCTGCCAGAGCCTGCTGTGGCTGTGGTCTCGATAGTCGGAGGCCGGTCAAGGTCCAGATGCCCCGTAGTCCCGTAGGAGAACGAACATTTTTCCGTCTGAAAGACAGACGTTGGCTGCGCGAAAGGAAGCATTGCATAGATGGACAAACAAAACCCTACGCAATGCTATTATTGGTGGTGCTGTTTATTTCCAAGCCGCTTTTACTACGAACAAGCTGCCGCCTCTCACCGCCTAACCTTAAGGGCGATGACATTGGCCAGCGGAAAAAGGTCGAGGATGGACGACTGTCTTGGTTCTATTACTTTTTTTGCGCATGCAGTATTTTGAATCACTGTCTTCTTCTATGTTTACTTCTCTCTTCCTGTAAAGAGGTCGTTGAAACCAAGCCGTTCCCGCGCAACAATGCAGACAAACAATGGATCATTACCTAGTTCGCTTCAGCCATTCGCACGAGACCTTTCGGCTCCCCGAGCTGCAGGCGTTGGCAACCCTCGAGGGGCTTGATCTTGAGGTTGTTAAATACAACCCGGAGGTGCGTCCAGCCTCCATATATCTATATTGGACACCGGATCGAGTTGTTAACACTTGAACAGTCTCCATTCTGCGTCATACGCGTTGCTAACGATGCAGCGGCCGGGGCTGCTCTTGTCCGGCGCTCCCTGATCGTTCAGTCTGTGCATTCCCTCTGGGGGATGGCGGATACCCTACCAGACTTACATGCAGATGTGGCTCAGCGCGCTGCTTCTCTGTGGCCACCATTTATCGCCTCCTCCTTCAAGATGGAGATCGACTCGTTCCAGGGCAGACGCACAGCTGCTGCTCGTCTAAGTATCATCGATAGCTTTGGCAAAACGCTTCCTCTTGAAGGGCCTATCGACCTGCATGAACCCGACTGCCTGCTGACTGTTTTTGAGCGCTGGGTTCACGACGCCATGCAAAAGCAGTTGACCGAGCCTGAGGAGTACTATCTGGGCCGTTATATTGCTCGCTCCTCCCGCGATGCCATTCGTACATTCGATCTGAAAAAGCGTCGCTACATTGCAACTACTAGCATGGATGCCGAATTGTCGCTCCTGACTGCCAATCTGGCCTTGGCTGCACCGGGAAAGCTTTTCTACGATCCATTCGTCGGTACCGGTAGCTTTCCGCTGGCTGCCGCGTACTGGGGTGCCGTTACATGGGGCAGTGACATCGATGGCCGCGCTGTGCGCGGCTCGGCTGCAGGTATCAATGGGGCCGGCGGCCTGGGAGGCTCCCGTGAGGGCCGCAATGATGTTCGCGGCAACTTTGAGCAGTATGGTTTACTGTCTGGCTTTGGCGACTTGCTCATTGCCGACTTAACAAATACGCCTCTTCGTCGAAGTGGCGGCAGCAGTCGCTGGATTGATGGGATAGTGTGCGACCCGCCGTATGGCGTACGCGAGGGCCCACGCGTGCTTGGCTGCCGAAACCCGACCAAAACGCCTTGGGTAGTGGAAACTGGGCGTCTGCGATATAGGTAAGGAACTCATTGAACCAAAGTAGTCTGGGCTGTGACCGTCTCTGACGCAGTGTTCCGGCAGAGAGCCAACCTTTCTGGTACCGAAACAGCCATACGGCTTCATGGCGCTGCTCCATGACCTGTTGCAATTTTCTGCCGATACTCTTGTCGATAACGGCAGGCTGAGCTTCTGGATGCCAACGGCCAATGATGAAGTGCAGGAGCTACCTGTGCCTACGCATCCATGCCTGGCTGTAGTGTCTGTCTGTGTGCAAGTTTTTAATAAATGTGCGGAGTGAACACTCTTCTTCATATATCACTTCTGAGCTTTCGGTCATTAATCAGATGCAGGGTCTCGTCGGCTTATAACATATCGCCGAATTCCAGATGCGGAGTTGGGTACAGATGTGCTGGCCACAACGTCAGCATCAGTCGAATCGTCAAAGTCCATAGGACTGACGGCTAACCAACTCAATCCGTTCCGGCGGGGCTACTTCAGTAAGTTTGTCTCTGCAGTTGCAACGACATCGGTACCTTCAGAAGCTCCCTTTCCCTCAGATACGAAGCCGGAAGAGTAGCGCCATCAGCCATAGACATCGAAGGCCGTTGAGTACGGGTATATTCTAGTTGAAGATGTCAGTGTGGGTGACTTAGAGCAGCCGAGCACAAAAAAGCAGTGGGATCAACGTTCACTACAGTATTGTTGCCATACAGCTTTCTGCACTGTGTATTGCAGGTCCTTTTCAAATTATTTTCCCCCGAATAGTACCCTGAACTTGTAATTGTTTATAATTTCCAATCAGCTTTGGGCTAAACAAAAAAGATGAGCATCGATGAAGTGAAATAGCCACCGAAATAAACAAAAAAACACGCTCTGCCAGTTGCGCCACCTTGATACGGAGGCTCAGCAAATACGATAACGCCAATAAAGGATAAGCAAAGATAGAACACATATCCTTAATAACCTTCCCGCCATATGCAAGGTATCTGACCTCCGCGTTCGTAACATTCATTCTTGTACTCTTGATGTGTAGCCGCTGCAAGCTACGGAACTCTCGGTACCCCGGAGACTTCTGCTCAGTTGTAATGGCGTCACCGGAACTCCACGGCGCTCATGCAGCCCCGGTCTTCGACATGTTTGAGCTCTAGTTGCTGGAACCTGTGCAGCTTTGTTAGTGCTTGTTGACACGAGGAAAGATGTCTGACTGAAAACGTACTTTTCACTCTTGGAATGAAAATATATGCCATGCACAACTCCTTCGACTTGGTTGAAGCAAATGTAGTAGAAACCTTCAAAACTTGCACCGTGGATTGTTCGCACCCGATGGTCGGGGACAAGAAAGTGCTCTTTCCAACGCATAAATATGTTTTCCTTTTGCAGATATTCTTTAATGACTAGGTTGCCTTTCTTTGCCTGGCGCACAAACGGATGAAATGCGGCAAATTTGGCCCAGTGCGACATGTCAATGCGATCATTGGCACCCCAAGACTTGTGCTTTGTGGTGAAACCATATTTGGAGCCGATGATCTCGCCTTCAAAATACGTTGTGAGTGTGGGATGATCCTCGGTTAGGCCTGCAACGAAAGCAGGAACTTATTAGCACGAATTTTGATGTCAAGATTTTAAAACGCCTAGCTCCCATATACAAACAAGGTGCCATTGGCGCCTTTGGTAATTGGCAAAGCTCCGTACCTTGTATTCGTAAGTAGCCACACAAAAATGACTCGCGAAGGTCTACGTGCTTGATTTCCACTTGGACATCGTAGACCTGCCGTTCGGACTGCTGGGTACCAACAAATCGGCTGCCTGGACGAAGGTAAGTTGATGGCGGTATTGGTATAATCTGAAACCTTTGTCAGCTCCAGCCGTCACACAGCAATGTCAGAATGCAAATACATACTCTGGAGCTGGTTGGATCAAATCCCATGTAACCCTCCGATATGCTATCCAACGCGCAGTGCTCGCTGATCCCATGCTCCTCCAACTTCTCAATGTCCATGCTAGACGGGGCTAGTGCATCCGGTGCCCGAATGGTGCTTCTCTCACGTGGTCTGTTGATTCCCTGGGTTACGCCATATGGGTCCCAGACGTCTGAGCTCACGGTGCTTGACGGCGTCGTACTTGTGACAGTTCCAGCACGCCGGCTGCTCCTGTTAACAGTGCTATTGCTTTGGGCATACTGAGCACTGCTGCCAGCAGTAACATTGTCAGCCGCCATATCCAGATCCGTTTCAGCCGGTTTCACGTCGTCATCCTGCTCGCCCGTATTGAAGAAATCCGTATCATTTGTTTCGGTTTCGACCGTGAGTTCTCTGCCAGGTCGAGCGATGGGCGACATTGTTGGCAGAGACAGTGGCAAGGCCAGTCCTGCAGCAGCACTTGGCACCTGACCGCTACCGGCAAGCGTATCTTCTCGTCGTGGCCGGTCGATCTGTTCGAATGGTGTCGGAGGTTGGTTCCAGTTGGATTCCGCATGTGGCGCTTGGTCATCTGGACATAACGAAGTAAAAGAGAGCTCCCCGTCGTGCCGATGAGATGATGGCGTGGGCATTCTTCCAGGAAAAGGCCACGGTATGTAGTGTCGAAAATCGCTTGACAGGAAGGAGATGGGCCCAGGTATGATTAAACGGCAGTGACAGCGTGCGTATATCACGCAATGCCCTCGTTGTCTCGTCGTTTGGCAAGGTTCGAGGTGTGGTAGATCTATGACCCCCAATATACGCTCTTCATTGAGCTAAAGTCGCGATGATGGACTAGAAGTGGCGGTGACGTCGAAATCACTCGTTGTTGCATAAGAGGTCTTCAGGAATACAGAAGGACGAACGCGCAATTAAGTCGCGGTGCTAGCGAATGTACTTCGTACGAAGAGAGATAAACTTGATATACCGTGTGTGAGCCGTAAATGCCACAACAGTCGATTTGCGACAAAACGGCCGATGTCTAGATTATCGAGTGTCCTGGCTTTACCGTGCTTTGACGATGCTGTGCTGTATGTGGCAACCGAAGTCGCTGTTGGAATGTAGTGTTGGGTGGGATTCTGAATTATTTAAATAGAAAGGAGATAAGCTAACAGGCTCGGAGCGGATAATGCGCAACCGGCGCAGGGCTCGTTAGCGTCAATGGGTCTAGCTTAGGTGTTAACAGATGAATCAGCGGGGAAAGTGATAAACAGTGCCAGAAGCAAACAGAAAATCGAAGACTGACAATGTATGGCGCCTGATTTTGGCGTATGGCGTATGGGGTAATTAGAGTATTGCAACGGTAGTATTGTAACGATTATAAAAAAATGATCTTAAACTCTGCCTAGAAGGGATAGATGGAGAGCAGAGCAAAGGACGCCAACACCACCAACGAAGGTGATGTGAGGGAAACTGCCAAAATAATAGAACATTTATCGGTGAAAATGGAGCGAAAGCGAAAGGAACAAGAGAAATGAACACTATAGAATATAGACGAACTTGGAATGTGCGACCGATAAGAAGAAAGAAGGCCCGGCACATCGTCACATTAGGTCTTGACCCGTCTTAGTAGCATATCCCTTAGGAGAAGCGGTTGTGACATGCATTCAGAGCACGAGTAACCACTAACTTGTATCGAAAGGGGGTCTCGCATTGGTCCTACTTATCACTGTGAAATACATCTCATGGATTAATCTCACGAAACTGACCACAAACGGCTTCGAACTTGCAGTGAGTGTCAAATTCACTAGCCTGGCAACTGGTAGGTAATACTCAATGTCTTTCAAATTGGCAGGATCTCCGCCAGGAGAATATGCGACGAAACACCAGAGATGGTTCACTCTGTACCCCGTATGTTGCAGCCTTCTGGCGATCTGCAGTCACGGCCGCTTGTGATCTACCGAGCAAAATTGATGTCATCTTCACATCGCGTCACATATGAAACACACAGCATCAACCTGTTTCCAATAAATACCGGCATACTTTGTATCGTGGGATAATACTCTGTAGCGATTGACTCTTCTAGTGGAGCAACATTGGAAGACAGCGATGCGGCACATCTGAGCATAGGCATTGTGCAAGCTCTTGCGGATATTGGCCTAATATCAATTTGCTGTCATTTCAAGAGCAAAACATCACTGCGAGGCAGACGCAAGGAGAACATACCACCAGTCTCATATCCTCCAGTAGATCAGACGGGGTTCCACTCCCTTCATAGTCTCCAATTTTCTGCAAGACACAGATCGAACTTGCCAAATTACCCGTACAAAAAGCTTGTTTCATCAAACATTTTCTTCCATGCAGAGGACTTCTAAATCGGCTTGATTTTGAAGTGCAACGAAATCAGGCTGAAAACAAGGGCCTTCAGGTCCTGCACTAGATAATAGAAAACTCTAAGACCTTCAGGGTCAGCCGACTCTGTCACGTCGACAAGCGAGCCAATTTTAGCTGTCTGCAGGGGCCGTCAGCTTTGAAACCTTTGGAACATGTCCTTCTTCCATACGCATGGCTTTACCTCGAATGAAATGTGATCGTTGCCAATGCGTAGCTCCAGTTCTTGCCGTCCGTCTTTATTCTTCTGCGGCCACTTCGCATCGTCTTCTCTATTAACTTATGTCAGTATGCCCCGCCGATACCTAATTTCACTGATAATGTAGCAGACTAACTTTGCAATTTCGCTGAGTTTGACTATACGCTTGATCTCTTCAATAACCAACGAGCTCACGTACACTGCACGGTCCGTTAGATGATGTTTTATAACTGTGCGTTGGAGGCCAGTAGGGCCGGTAGGAACGAACTCTCTTTGCGGATGAGACTGTCGTTTCGGTAGTTCGAATTGTTGGCATACCGTGCAATTGCACTTCGACCGTCGCCGACCACACGAAAATCGAACTCTAATAAATGGTTGGTAACTGTGACCGACTACGACAGGGAGAACAATGAAGGACTTACCAAGAAACTCATGACCAAAGCGACCCGAATGGCCGGAGCTACATATGATATAGTATTAGTAGGACTGTATTTTCCCTAGCCTCTTCAAAGACATACTAGTATCGTAGATAGAACTGCTCGTTTGGCGCCGCCATGTTGATGGTTACCTATTTCTAATAATACTGTGAAGCTTCTAGGACGCGGATTATCTAGATTTAAACACGTGATACGTATTTGCATTCTGCCACGTAGCCCACCACTCACCGCCCTGCTAGCACAACTAGCAAAGGGGGGCTCATAGCGGGAGTATTTGGCACGCTGTTCTTATTGCAGCTACACAAACATATTCACAACACCAGCAGCAGCATCACCACAGCACTGCATCACCGCAATACTGCAATACCGCAATACCAGAAAGCCGCAAGCTTCTGCTCACCATAATATACGAAATCACTCATCGCGCCGCATCTTTGGTAACAGCTATCCAGGTTGCGGCTCTAGGGTCAAGCGTGTAGCTGAGGTCTCGGCCTACGCATGTTTGAAGCATTTTAGGACCACCTTACAATTCAAGTCTACCGCTACAAAGACACCTGAAGCCGTCTTGCAGCACTCTCTCACCATGTCGTCACTTGAAAATTCTTACAGCTTGGTTCACCAGGACAATGCGGCCGACGTGCCGTCGCTCACGGACCTCAAAAACCAGCTGGAAAAAGGGACGGACGAGTCGAAGCAAGAGACCATGAAGCGCGTCCTGACTATTATGCTCAATGGGGATCCCATGCCGGGACTTCTGATGCACATCATCCGCTTTGTGATGCCTTCTAAGTCGAAACCGTTGAAGAAACTGCTTTACTTCTATTACGAGATATGCCCGAAGCTCGACGCCGGCGGTAAATTGAAGCAGGAGATGATCCTTGTTTGGTGAGTGTGGCTGAAGTGTTTGCGTCGCACTTGGCTGGATCTAATAGAGGAAAAGCAACGGAATTCGAAACGACCTGCAACACCCGAACGAGTACATCCGAGGCAACACCCTCCGATTTCTCGCCAAGCTTCGCGAACCGGAACTAATTGAGCCTCTTCTTTCCTCTGCTCGATCCTGTCTTGAACATCGCCATGCATACGTCCGCAAAAATGCCGTCTTTGCAGTTGCGGCGATCTTCCAACACTCACCTAGCTTGATTCCGGATGCTGCAGATCTTATCGCGACTTTCATCGAGACCGAAAGCGATCCGACTAGCAAGCGGAACGGGTTTGCCTCTCTGGCCTCTATTAACCACGAGCGGGCTCTGGCGTATTTGACGACGGTATTCGATGGGATTCCGAACGCAGAGGAGCTATTGCAGTTATCCGAACTCGAATTCATTCGCAAAGATGCCGTGCAGAACTCACAGAACAAGGTGTGTGTAGGTACCCTCCAGAAGGAGGAAGGTAGACTAACGTATCCAGGCTCGGTACTTGAGGTTAATCTTCGATCTTCTGGAGGCGAATACCTCTACAGTGGTGTATGAAGCTGCTTCATCGCTCACGTCCTTGACAAGCAACCCAGTCGCCGCGAAAGCTGCAGCTGGGAAGTTCATAGAGCTGAGCATCAAAGAAGCGGACAACAATGTCAAGCTTATCGTTCTTGACCGTGTCGACCAGTTGCGGCGGAAGAACCCAGGAATTCTCGACGATCTAGTCATGGAGATTCTTCGCGTGCTCTCAAGCCCTGACATTGATGTGCGGCGCAAGGCTCTGGCGATTGCTCTCGATATGGTCTCGAGCAAGAATGTTGAAGAAGTCGTGCTTCTTTTAAAGAAGGAATTGTCGAAAACCGTCGACCAGGAATATGAGAAGAACACCGAGTATCGTCAACTCTTGATTCACTCCATACATCAGTGCGCCATCAAATTTTCCGAAGTCGCTGCCAGTGTCGTTGATTTGCTTATGGACTTTGTTGCCGACTTCAATAATGCATCCGCTGTGGATGTCATCAACTTCGTGAAAGAGGTTGTGGAGAAATTTCCGCAGTTGCGCCCAACAATCGTGCAAAAGCTTGTTGAGACTCTCGGCGAAGTCCGTGCCGGCAAGGTGTACCGTGGGATTTTGTGGATTGTTGGCGAATACTCGCTGAATGCAGCTGACATTCGCGAGGCCTGGAAACGGATCCGTGCCAGCCTCGGAGAGATTCCGATACTGGCCTCTGAGCAAAGATTGCTTGACCACGCCGATGACGGAGAAGTAAAGGAGCCAGAGCAGTTAAATGGCCACAAACAATCCGCACCCACAGGGTCTAGACGTGTGTTAGCCGATGGAACCTATGCTACAGAGACCGCACTCACAAGCCAAACATCTGCCTCCGCTGCAAAGCTGGAGGCTGTCAAGGCGGCCCAGAAGCCGCCTCTGAGACAGCTTATTCTCGATGGCGACTACTACCTGGCGACTGTTTTGTCTGCTACGTTGACTAAGTTGGTTATGCGCCACTCGGAAATTTCAGCAGATGTTTCCCGGACCAACGCCCTGCGAGCAGAAGCCATGTTGATCATGGTGTCGATCGTGCGTGTCGGCCAGTCGCAATTTGTAAAGGCACCAATCGACGAAGACTCCATTGACCGAATCATGACGTCGGTTCGCAGCCTGGCCGAATTTAGCGAGCACAAGGATCTCGAAACCGTTTTCCTTGACGATACACGGAAAGCGTTTCGCGCCATGGTGGTTGCAGAAGAGAAAAAGCGGGCTGCCAAAGAAGCGGACGAAAAAGCCAAGACAGCAGTGCAGGTTGATGATGTCGTGTCTATCCGCCAACTTAGTCGAAAGAATGCTACCGACGGTATTGATTTGGCCGAGGTGGATTTGGAGCGAGCGACTGGTGGTGATGCTGGCGCGTCCGAAGACCTCTCGAGTAAACTTTCTCGCGTCGTGCAGCTCACAGGATTCTCGGACCCAGTATATGCAGAGGCGTATGTCAAGGTACACCAATTCGATATTGTACTCGATGTTTTATTGGTGAACCAGACAACAGAGACACTGCAGAACCTGTCTGTAGAGTTTGCCACGCTGGGCGACCTCAAGGTGGTGGAGCGACCGACTACTCAGAATCTAGGTCCTCATGACTTCCATAATGTGCAATGCACAATCAAGGTGTCGAGCACGGATACGGGTGTGATCTTTGGCAATGTGGTTTACGACGGCGCCCACTCAACAGACACGAATGTGGTTATTCTCAATGACCTGCATGTGGACATCATGGATTACATTCAGCCAGCAATGTGTACAGAAACCCAGTTCCGGTCTATGTGGACAGAGTTTGAGTGGGAGAACAAAGTCAACATCAACAGCAAGGCGCCGTCCTTGCGCATTTTCCTAGAAGGACTAATGAAGGCGACCAACATGAACTGTCTGACACCCGAGGCAGCGATGAAGGGCGAATGCCAGTTCCTGAGCGCTAATCTCTACGCACGCAGCGTTTTCGGTAAGCACTTTCGCTATGCCTGGCATATTTTCTCTTGATCACTCGTTAATGGAATTCATTACTAGGCGAGGATGCCTTGGCCAACCTCAGCATTGAAAAGGAAGGTGAAGCTGGGCCGATTACGGGCTTTGTGCGGATACGCAGTCGGTCTCAAGGTCTGGCGCTTAGCTTAGGCTCTCTGAAGGGATTGAGCAAGATTGGTATAGCAGCATGAACCAACGATGATAATTATGGTTGTGCAACGATATTCACGGGGGACAATCATGTTCTCCACCTGTCTCTTTATATTACTACTAAATGCCGTTGATAGCGAAGCCAAAGTCTTCGAGGTCAGCAGCAAAATCGAAAACCCCCTATTTTGACATATGAGAATATACTGGCATTGTGTGTTGAGGAGAGATAGTGTTCGCGAGACGGCACAACTACTTCTTTTGCCTCTGGGACACATGGCACCTATTATGGCTTTGGCTATAGCTGGGTAAGCGACAAAGGTGATAGACGCAAGACATATCATTGAGAAGGAATCAAAGACATCAAGATGATAGGCGAAATGTCTTATGAGTCGAATGTTGTGCCAAAGCAGCAATACGAAAGTACAAGATGGGTATTATATAGCAGAAGGTGGCCGTAAAATGAATAAATGCACGAGGCTCCCAAAATAAACCGCTCAGCGTTATCATAGGTCAAAAACCAGAGCATTTACAACATGACCCTCTTGCCAGCCTTGTGCTAATAGTGGAGAGTTGTCCTTGAGGATTTTGCCTAGGTATGCAATCCGGATGCGGGTTTTACGTGGAAGCTGCAGATCAAAAGTGATTAGCGACGGCTCAGGCGGAAGTTCATGAATGATCATCCGGCATCGACATACCTTGGCCTCTTCAGAAATGTGATGCATCAGGCTGCGGACAGTCTCCTCACGTCCAAGGTGAACCACTACATCGCGTGCAGTTGCGCTCAAGCGTGCACGCACAGCAATACGATCAATGGACACGGCCACGGCCTTTCCCTTCTCCATGCGTGAGCGGCGTCGTAGGCTGGGCTGGTGGACATGCTGCTGTCGATTGCGCCTAACGTCACCGGTATCATCGTCGTCTTGGCCGACTTCAGAGGTATAGCTTTCGTCATCCACATTCTCGTCCTCTTCGTCCTCTTCACCCTCCTCGGACTCATCATCACGCAAGTCAATCTGTGAATCGTCCAATTCGTGTGGTAAATCGTTAACGAGGTTTGTCGGATCCGATACGATCCAAGCTGGCAGCGCATAAAAATTGCCCATGGCATCGTATGCGCCCTGTGCCAAGTCACTTGTTGGTAGGGTTATGGCCGCAGCATCTAACATGCTCTGCGCAGTGGCAAGCGCTTCTTCCTCCTCGGCAGTGACAGCAAACTTTGCGGCGGCACCAGATGTGACAGCGCCAGTAGCAGCATGCCCGGTGGCCTTTCTACCGCTCCGTTGTGCAACCTCCCCATCTGCACCTCCTCCCAAATAAGCGTCTTTTTGTCGCGCAATGGCTGCGGAGTCTGCCTCCCACAGTACCTCCAGTGCGGCTCGCAGCGTGTGCCATATCTCCGGGTGTCCAGTAACGCGAGTGTCAAAGAAGTCGATGCGCTCGCGATCGATGGAATGGCGTGTCCACTCGCGGCTGCGTGAAGTCCAACGCCGCCTCCGGAGTGGTTTGTTGATGTGCTGGGCAAGACCAGGCCGCGGCCGATCTTGTGCGCTTCTAGACTGGCTTTGTTGCGAAGCCGGGTGCCTTCTCCGGCCAAAGACGGAGGGCGACGAAGAGTTGGCATCGTTGATAGGAGGTGCCACTGCAGTGGGTTGGAGTGTAGGCGAAGCAATAGTGGCAGGTATAATGATAGCACGAGCCGAACCAGAAGGTCCCCCACCCGGATACGGAGAGTTTGGACCCTCGGAGCGAGAGAAGCAGCAGCCCTGGGACTATGTCAATTAAGGACGGGCAACAAAGAAAGTTAGGCTGACCATTGTATCGCGAGTCTGTTAGGTTAGCAGGTTAATCTGCGCAGCCCTCTTTCCCTAGAGTACCATAATTTTCTAGCAACATATGAGGTCACTGAGGGATTGTCAGAGCTTAGAGCGTTGAGGCCAGATACAGGAGAAAGACAGTCCGCTGAGGGCAAAAAAGCCTAGACAAAACAGCGCCGGTCAGACGAGCAGAAATGCGTCCTCCAAAGAGAAATGTAGTGCTGGACGTGCAGACATCTGAGCGGCGTGGTTGGGTAAATAGCGACAGAGCGTCGTACGCTTAAAGAATAACGGACAAGGGCACATGTGGTCCGAGCTTTTCGGCGAGGGGTGAATCCACGTTATCATGTATCTTAGCAAGAAGCCCCTCTTTTTTTAAGCTAGCACGTATTAAAGAAGGGAGCATCACCAGAACAACTCCACTCGCAAGACATCCGCATTGCGCACACACATGCCAAGATGATATTGAAGTGGACTGCCATTGGGATACTTTCTACCACAGGTATCTCCGGCACTTGTCACTCTTACAGAGACACGGTGTCATGTCGTCTCGCCTTGATTTGTCACGTGCATCTGTGTCCAGATCTTCTAAGCCATCAATGTAGTCAAACGTGATTTCAGCGCCCGCAGGGATATCTCGCACTGCAAACAGAGCCAGATCGTGGATATGCTTGTCCGCATGGTCGCCGACGCGTGCAAATATGCGCATATTAGGGTCGCAAGAGTGGTTGACGAAGCGTGTAGGGCCTGAGAAGAATTCTCCGTCGACTTCCAACGGAGGCCCCGCCAGCCGATGGTCAAGTGAGTCCGGGTCCGAGAACTTGTCCAGGGCGAACAGGTAAACGTCTTTACGACGAGCCATGGTGGCGTTGGCGCGACGCCTATTAGCCTCGGCGGCTGTTATGATCTCGCCCAAGTAGCGGTCGACGAACTGCCCCTTGTCAATGTCAACCAACGTTCGTACGCCCCAGCCACGGTCCTCTGTGCGGAAAATCTGTAGCGGGATACGGCGGCCACGTTCCACCACCCGGTTCGGACATGTCTCGCGCTCACAGCCACAGCCGTCGTGGCATTCGTAAATGGGTGCGCGACTGCCAAGGTAGCGACTACGCAGCAGCCCAGCCCGCGGGCCGTTGCTGTAGTAGGCCAGTTTGGGCTTGTTTTGGCTCTGACGGTCTTTCTTTGGGCGTTGAGAGCGTTGAAGTCGGCGGTCGACTTTGTGGCCACTCTTCGTCTCATGCTCGCCGTCGCTGTCCGATTCTGTCTCGCCCTCTGAACCCATGTCTGAAAGGCATTCACAGCCGCCATACTTGCAATTCTCCCCACTGGCACATGCACAGCCGCTGCGGAAGCTATCCTCAGCGGCCTCAACACCTGGCATCAGCTTGGATTGTGTAATAAACCGAAATTTGTTCGACAGCCCTGCCCCATCTCCTGTCTTGTTCACGATCGTGACAGGATACTGCTCATGCGTCGGAAACTCGCGAAGCTGACACCAATGGCACGAATCGATAATCCGGCGAAGAGGCGGTCCCTGTCACGTCATAAGTATTCGCAATGAGTTTTGGGGGCATCGATCTTACTATTTTCCAGTTGTGATTGAAAAAATGATCTTTCAACGCGTCAACTTGGGCCATGTCTTGGTATATATATTTGTGCGCCGAAGGTAAGTTGACGGCTTCGAATTGTATTAATGGCGGAAATGACGTTTATGTCTACGTCTTTAATATCCCTAAGCTACCATGAATACAGGTCGCAAGGTTGGCGGGACTTCGTCGTAATAAGACATAGAAAAGCTCACGGTACTAGCTCCCCCGCCTGAGTCGCCGTAATTTTAACGGCAGCTACGCCACAGCTTGACAACTATATCGCACGGGCCTTGCTATCACGTAAGCGGCCTTTGGCTTAGTAAAGACACATATAGCGCCTAGCTCCACTTACACAAATCGATGGAACTAAATTGTCCACAGAGTACGGCTACGGTGTACTCCGTAAGGACTTGTCAACCACACTTTCTCCACATTGTATCTTACGTCTATCCTGTTGAAGGTCAGACTTAGGTTTGTATAACCCTGCCTACTACCGAAGCCCAGTGGTCCGACTCTTCGAGGTTGAATTCGCCAAGTCTATTGGGTAGTCAAACCAGGTGGCTCCTACAGATCTCGTCCCTCGGAGTAATCTTCCCGTAGTCCGAGTCTCTCTCAAGCATCTAGCTTTCCGCTTCTACAAACGTAATAAGCGTCTACATCTGGATCTTGATGCGCTCGTTGGGGATGGAGCACACCCAGTCGATTTATCTTTTTTTTTCAAATTACCTGAACTGCTGACACGAAGAAAGCTCGACAGCCAATACCCTTTCTGTCGCGGAGATCGAGGAGCGCCTGGCTATCGCTAGAAGCTTACGACATCCTGTGACGGCTATACGAGCTGCGGTCTTCATGACCATCCCCATTGATCAGCTCCGGAACGCGAAAGAGGACAACTGGGTCTATTCTATCCATGCTGAATCTATCCGACAATTTGTTCGCCTTTTTGAACAAGCTCCCCTTCTCCTCTATTTCTTTTATGTTTTATGTGAAGATCTTGATTAGCAGGTGTCTGTCTTTAAAAACCTTTCCGCTGGGTCTCGGGGAAAAGACGAGCCTGATGACAATGCTTCTGACGTACTAGAGGTATCGCCAAAGAAAGGCAAGCCAAGGCCTTGGTAAGCGATGAGGTTTACACTTCAGGATCGGACGATGAAAAATCAGAGTACTCTCCAGGTCAAGAAATGGTGTCTGGAAAACAGAGAAGCTCTCGTAACGCTGCCGAAAGCAAAGTCGTGCGGTGTTTTTGGCGAAATGGGTTAACTTTTCTGTTGCAGGTTGCTGATATAGAACACCGCAGTGACTGGGCCGCGATGGCTCCAAGTGCGTCCTCCTCCAGACGGCAGATCCGGATGTTTGCCATATCGTTTCATTGAAAATTAACTCGACCAGTGCAACTTTGGAAGAGCTGGAGCGCTACGTGGATCATATTGCCGTTTTTTCTACACCAGCAATTGGACTCCCATTGAAGCGTATAGGCTGCTCCGATCACGCTTGGAATATTTCTCACTTGTATACATTAGCAAAAAAAAGAATCAATGAAGCCGCCGAACCCCGACCCCGCTAGCTGGTATCTTCCCGTTGGTCCCCTTGCCGATAACCTCCACTTCACTTCTGCTCGTTGTCCTTCTCATCTAGGCAGATGCACAGGGCCGCGATCACGGCCAGGTCGACGCCTGGCGCGACCAAGACAGCGTACGTCTGCTGGCCGAACAACAGCTGGCGGCCGTTGCACAGCTTCCGGTCGATGCGGGCGACGGTACAGCCGTTGCTGTCATCGAGAATACTGGCAGACGTGTCGAACCAGTTGCCGCTCATGGTGAGAGACTCAGCCTTGCCGGTGGCAGGGGAGGTAAACGTGGCGGTGGCCTTGGAGCCAAGGACTAGAATGGCGTTAGAGAGTTGGAAGATTGGGAAAGAGAGATGGAGAGAGAGGGAGACGGAAGGACGTACGCTGGAATCGACTGCGTAGCTCAAAGAATTTTTGGCCGCTGGGGTAGAGCAGCACGTAGGTCATGTGCAGATGCATCAGCTCGCGCGCGATGGTGAACAGGTGGCTGCCGGCCATGTCGTAGCCATTCTTGCGGCCGCTCAGCGAGAAGACAGTGCCCTGCACACGCAGCACTGGCTGCCCGCTGGCCAGTGTGATGTCGAAGCTGTCGCCCGAGAGCGACAAGACGTGCTCCTTGAGCACCAGCGTCTCTGTCTTCGTGGCTATGAACTGGTCGAACATGCCGATCGGCCGCGGCACGGGAGCGAGCTGTGCGGCCATGGTTTTCGGGGCTGATTGTGAAGCTCTTTCCTCTCTGGTTTCTTCGATCTCTGCTCGCCCTGACGGGTATCCGGCGTATTTAAGCATGCGGTATCCAATCTAGTAGCACGAGGCAACTGGGGTACATCGCAAGTGTTTCCCAAATCGAGCTTAGTGCTTGCCGTTGCACCGTGGCTATGCCGATCTGCCTGCCAAGCCCTCTATGTGGAGCTCTTTACGGCGTGGTGAAGGAGTCCGGGAAGGCCATTCTTAGAGCCAGCACGGAGTCCTCAAGGCAGACTACTATGTAAGATATAATCCAGCTAACCGTTCTTAGGAAATAAGCACACATGACAAATTGTTGGGCTAGCAAGACGTACTCCGTAGGGTATCTTACTTCCAATAGTGTCAACCTTCGTGTAATTCAGCGGCACGTACTATATATCCACATGTCAAAAAATAGTAGAGGGGGTGATCCTATGAGTGCACATGATCAGGCTTGCTATGAGTTGTAGAACTGTCTTGATTCAGGAGTCCGTTGATGGTTCTTGGTACCAAGTCTGGGCAGATGTGGTACTAGAAAAAATTAGCTGAAGTGGTAGAGTCTAATGTATTCTGGCAGACTTTCATAGTTGAAACACTGATTTAAAGAGCAAAACGTCTGCGAATCTACGGCTATGTCAAGAAATTTTGGGCTCCAACATTCTTACCACACTAGACACATCCACGAACGAGAAAAACAGGTTGTGCATAGCAGGGATGTTCCTTGCCGGAACCGGGCGAGCTTTGCAGTATTTTAGACGGGTGTTTAGCTACTCAATGGACGTCTAGATTCCAAGTTATTGTTCGGGCTGTGATGCCATCATTCTTTGTGATATAATTCGCACACCCAGTCAGTTTTAGGTTATGAAACCGTGGTAACTGATCCGGGGCGCCGACAAAACTGCAGGGACAAGGACAGTAAGGAAGCAAGGCGTTTCGATGAAAAAAAGTAGTCTAAGCAGAGCGGCGTGTACTAGCACCGGACAGAGAGATGCTCGGTGCCTATCTATCTTTCACCTTCCAAATCGCAGAGGAGACTATAGGATGTGAGGTTGAGCAAATGCGACTGGGAGGGTCGTTAATGGGCTTGTGGTCAGGCTGCACTGTTTTCGTTCGGAGGCGAATGTGTAAGTAGTTACGCTCTTAACCGTGCATTATGAGACACACAGTCATGAAATAGTGTATATAGGTGCTACTGCTCGCACTTTCTTTCACGTACGGCCATAGATACTGGAAAGCACGGGATCCCGTCCGCTCTCCCCTAGTTAAACCAGTAATCGGCGGATTAGTAGTTGGGTCGGTGACGACCAGCGAATACCCGCTGCTGTACGTTTTTTTTTCGCGTGTTTTTTTTTCTCTTTGCTCTCTTTCCCCGTGCTTCTGAGAATGGAGGACATGTACTCCGTACTCCGTAACAAGGTCAGACCTCTAAAAGAACGAGAAGAGAGATCAAGTGCACCGTGCGCATTAGAAGAGATTACACCACGTGACGGCCCCTATTGGAACTGCCGGCAACAACGTCATGCGTATTTCCCGGTCTCGACCAGGCCGTCGCATTCGATAGACAGGGGTAGCTCTGTCAACGCGACCTATGTATCTAGGATGAGAACTCGTTGGCAGTTTGAGGCCATCGATTCGTGATGGATTACCAATGGCCGCAGCAGGGCGGGCAAGCGATACAGCGCAAGGCGATATCGAGGCGACCAGTGGCTCAACGGAGCGCAGATGTGCCGGAGAAGTCGCTGTTGCGGACGCCGGATGCGACGAGCGATGCAGGGCCGCGCGTGGACGACAGTGAGCTGGCGGGCCCGAAGCCGTCGCAGTTTCTGACGCAGAGGCGACAGCAGACGACAACGATGACGATGGGTTCGTCTGCCTCCAGCACACCCACATGGGCGACGACAGCGTCGACGATTTCGACAGATTCGACGGCAGCCTCGAGTGTGATGACATCGGGGTCATTATCAGCGCCTGTCCTGGCGGAGCGACCACGAACGGCAACATATGTGGGACAGTACGGGCCAGGGTTTGGGCAGACGGCAGCGAGCAGCCACAGTGGCCATGTATCGGACGACGAGACAGGCAAGGGCAAGGGCAAAGACAAGGACAAGGGACCATCGTTCTGGAAGACGGCACTGGACGAGACACGGTTCTTTGCAGGTGGGCTGGTGCAGAAGCCGTTTGAGTCGACGAAGCACTACACGATCATGCGGCACTCGTCGTGGCTGATCCTGTACCGGGGGCCGGCGACAAGCGTAGCTGTGACAGTGTTCTCGACGGCAAAGCACGCGCTGCCGGCAGACCGGACGGTGTGGCTGCAGCAGCGAGGTTTCTCGGGGGACGCCGGGCTGCGGCTCAAGACGCTGGTGGGAGCGAGTGGCAGCTGGCTGGACGTGACGCCCGAGCGGGAGGCGACGGCGAGCGAATTGCCGGCAGTGGACGAGCGAGGATACGAGCGAGATATCAGCCGGCTGCTGAAGCGGGCAGAGAAGCACGGCGAGAAGGCTCTAGCAAAACGGCAAGTGCGTGAGACACTGGTGGTGCGGATTCCAGCGGCAGCACAGGATGGCTACTTCCGGCTGGTGGTGTGTTCAGGGGGCCCTACGACAGCAGTTGGTGGTGCGGTGACGAAGCGCAAGGTTCTGTGCGGATGTCCGGTGTTTCGAGTCGCGAGCACGTCGACGGATGCGAGCATCTTCCGGGGGGCCAGCCTGCGGACGCTGCCGCTGGAGGCAGGGGTCAAGCTGGTGTCGGTGATTGGCAGCAATGCGGTGGCGGCGTGGACGGAGCCGGTGGTGACGGTGGTGCAAGACAAGGTGCAAAAGTACCAACCGGGCACGGCGAGCACGCTGGCGGCCACGGAAGCATACGACCAGAGCGGGATGCAGCAGCGGTTGGAGCGGGCGGGCGAAATGTACAGCGAGTCACGTGAGACAGCATACAGCGTATGGGGTGCTGACAAAGCCAAAGAGGGTGAAAAAGGAGACGAGGACGAGATGCCGGACATGGTCGGGGCCGATGCAGGACCAGAGAAACCGTTTCCACAATCGATACAGGGTCGTGTGGTGCGCGGGACCGGACGCAGCAGTGGCGAGCTGGGCGTGCCGACGGCGAACCTGGACGGTGTGAGCGACGATGTGCGACTGCGCATGCGCGGGCTCTACTTTGGCTGGGCGACGGTGCGGCTGGGCGACAAGGCGGGCGACGAGGACCAGCGGGTGTCACACGACTGGATCGAGGCGCTGGTAGTCGTGGGCCCGTCACCATGGGCACCAGCCGCAGCGGTGGTACCGCGCAGCGAGGTGGCCGTGCATGTGCTGTATGATTTTGGGGGAGCGAGCCTGCTGGGGCGGCGGCTAGACGTGGTGGTGATGGGGTTTCTGAGGGGCCTGAGCAGTGGTGATGGTGGTGCTGCTGCTGCACTGGGCCATGATGCCCGGGTGGCCGTTACGAGCCTGAGCCGGCCGCGGTGGGGACAGCAGGCAGCGTTGGCACAGATGCAGTCAGAAAAGGCACGCGGTCTGACGGATCGGATGGCCGAGTCGCGTGGCCGATTCCAGAAGCAGGTCGACCGGATCCCAGCACACTGGGTGGGCGTGCGGACAGCCGGGGGCGAGATGCGCGACCAGCTGTACGGGAACGGAGGATTCTTTGTGAAGAGAGGCTGAGGCGAGAGACATGGGTCGACAGGAATAGCAGCGCCTCGTATCTGTAGTGTGGCCAATGCAACGGCCATCTGCCCCTGACAGAAGCAAGGATGGCAGCTCCCCTGCCAACCCACACACACACACCGATCCCCACGAACAGGAACAGATCTGCGACCAACCGCACTGTTGGATTGTTACTCCGTAGATTGAGAGCTGCTTGTTGCTGCGGTTTGTGACCTCAAACATCTGCCCAGCGCTGTTTGGTCCTTTCTTCCCGACCGGATGAGTCGAGCCCTGCGAGCACGAGCAGGCCGGCTGCAGACGTGCTCCATGCCATGGGTGTCGTGCTTGGCTTGGCCGAGACGCCGGCTCGTCTGTGAAGCTGCCAACGTCAGAAGAAGCAAGCGGGGCGCTAGCCAAGGGCACGTGCTTTGAGGTGATACTCCGTACAGGCCGATAGCGTCGATGGCGCCATTGGCCCTGCTGGCTCATTTGCCGCCCGATAACGCCATCGGCCAGCTGTAAGCAAGTTGCGTGTTTTTTTTTTCTCTGCAAGTGCGCTATAGTGCTGTCATGGTCGGCTTTCCGTCAGTAAAGTCCAGTCATTCGGCCTCGACATTCGACCACTTTTTCGCCTTCTGTCTCCATTCGCCGGCTGCCATTCCCCATCGTCAACCGCTTCTCTCGCCGGCCTCGTTCGACATTTTCCTTTGTCGTCTCTTGCGTCTTGCGTCTTGCTTTTTCGCCTTCCGCTATCGCGCCGGCGAGATCGTCTGTCCGGTCTCTCGTCCCCGTCTCAGGCCTCATTTAAAGGAAGACGGATCACCACAGCAGCTTGCTCCCCATCGATCACATCTTACGAGCACTCGCGACCGCCCCTCCCCGACTCTGCCGCCCTTCCCCCCCCCCCTGTCTTCCAGCACGCCATCCCGTGCTTTCTTGACCTCAGCTACCTGTGGCCACGACATCCCCAGCGCTTTTCAATGTCCCAAAGGGCCTGGCCGCGCATATCGTCTTGTTGATCCATTCCACCATTTCTGCGACAGTACTCGCTCGTGCCCTCTCGACATATTGACCGCCTCCCTGCCGTGACGTGCTGCCCTCCCTGCCTGGCTTGCCTGCAGCTACCGCCCGCCGTTGCCAAAACCGTGCTGTGGCCCTGTGTCAGCCTTCAGCTCCCAATGGATGACGCCAGGCCCAGCAGTGGGCTCGTTGCACTGCCTGGAACGGCTCGATATTCGTCTCCGTTGGGCAGTGACAGCAGCCATATTGTCTTGCCCCCTCCCCATACCTGTGTCGCCCCGAAGACGTCCTCTTCTTCTGTCTCTTCTCATGGCCACGGCACTTCTCACGACCATCACGATCACGATCACCACAACCACTCCCACAGCCATAGCCACGGCCCCGACCACACCTTCGACCACTCCCACTCACCACATTCCCACGCCCACTCCCACATCCACACCCCCGTCCACGGCCATTCCCACGCTCACGGCCACTCCCGCCCCCACGATCTGTCCGGACTACCGCACACACATCGCATACCGCCCCCCTCGTCTGACGACGATGAGCGGCCGCCTGTTGTGACAACGACGATCAGCGCTGACTTCGACTGCGACCGGCGCCGGCCCGAGGAAGAATCCACCCAGCGACGTCTCACCATGTCTTCCCAGCTCATGAGCAAGACCGTTACTCCCTTCCTCAAGGACCACATCCCCGGCGTGTACTCCCCCATGGCCAAGCGCAACACCATCGAGTCGCTCCAGCGCCAAAACGCCGACCCTAACAGCCGCTACTGCTACCGCCACCGCCCCGACTCCAAGTGCCATCGCGCCGCCGACGAGGTCAAGATGGCCAAGATTCAGAGTGTATGCTCTCTCTCCATCTACCGTGCGAGATTCTCCTGTGACGTCCGGCTAACCCCCTGCCAGGAGCTCGAGAACCTGAAGCCCGACGACCAGCAGGCTATCACGCACGTCTGGTCGCTCTTCTCGGCCGCCCCGGCCAAGCACCGCGACCTGATGCTGCAGGGCATCATGACCCAGTGCTGCTTTCCCCAGCTCTCCCGCGTGTCGCGCGAGGTCTCTGACCAGCTCAAGATTGACTTTGTCACTGCCCTCCCCCCTGAAGATAAGTCGTCTGGTCTGCATGGTCTTTTGTCTGCCTGCTGACCGTCTCTTTACTGGGCTACAAGATCCTGTGCTACCTCGACCCTGTCTCCCTCTGCAAGGCTGCCGTCGTCAGCAAACAGTGGCGCGAGCTCGCCGACGACGACCAGGTCTGGCTGCGTATGTGTGAGCAGCACAGTATGTTTTTTCTTCTCTGTCCCCTCTCCCCCTCAGTCCGCTAATGGTTGTCTAGTTGATCGCAAGTGCACCAAGTGCGGATTTGGCTTGCCATTGCTGGAGCGCAAGCGCCTGCGCGACTGGACCCGGAGACAGCAGCTCTCGCAGGGCACGCGCGACAAGAGCGCGCGGCCGCGGATTCCGGCACTGCCACCGACGCTGCCGCCGCCCAATTCGCTGCGAGACCTGGGCCTGCTCAAGCGGGAGGCGAGCAGCGAGGCATACGAGGCGCCGCAGATGAAGCGCGCCTGCACGAACCCGGTGTCTGAGAGCAGCGGCCAGGGCAGCGAGTCACCGCAGCGCGCCACCGAGCTGGAGCGTCGCAGCCGGCCATGGAAGGCCGTGTACCGCGACCGCTTTCGGGTGGGCTACAACTGGCGCAACGGCCGCTGCGCCATGAAGATCTTCCGCGGCCACACCAACGGGGTGACCTGCCTGCAGATCGACGACAACATGATGGCCACCGGCTCCTACGACGCCACCATTCGCATCTGGAACCTGGAGACGGGCGAGCAGACGCGCGTGCTGCGCGGCCACAGGCAGGGCATCCGTGCGCTCCAGTTCGACGACCACATCCTCGTCAGCGGCTCGCTCGACGGAACCATGAAGATCTGGAACTGGCGCACGGGCGAGCTGCTCAACACGCTGATGTGCCACAGCGGCGGCGTGTACAGCGTCAGTCTGGACGGCGAGTGGCTCGCGTCCGGCTCGGCCGACAAGACGATCAAGGTGTTCAACCTCATGACCAAGGAGTCCTTCTCGCTCAAGGGCCACGCCGACTGGGTCAACCAGGTGCGCATCGACGGCACGGCCGCACGGACGCTGTTCTCAGCATCAGACGACTGCACAGTCAAGCTGGTGAGTGACCGCGTCTATACTCGTACACCAACTCGGGCTAACCGATCAGTGGGACCTGGAAACGAAACAGTGCATCCGCACGTTTGAGGGCCACGTTGGCCACGTGCAACAGGTGCTGGCGCTGCCGGCCGACTTCGAGCCGGACGACAACCCGGCCGACACGCTCAAGGACCGGGCAGACTCAGGGTCGGTGACGAGCGGACGCGGCACGTCGCCGTTACGGGGCGGCCGAGTTCCATCTCCACAGCCGGTGGTGGACGAATACAACCGGGCAGCTTACGGGCTGGGGTTCCTCAACGATGCCGACCGGCCGCTGCCGCCGCGTTACATTTTGAGCGCGGCGCTGGACAGCACGATCAAGTGCTGGGACACGGCCACGGGTCGCTGTGTGCGGACGTTCTTTGGACACCTGGAGGGCGTGTGGGCGCTCGACGGCGACACGCTGCGGGTGGTGTCAGGAGCCAACGATACAATGGTCAAGGTGTGGGAACCGCGGTCGGGCAAGTGCGAACGCACGTGGACGGGCCATAGAGGGCCAGTAACGTGTGTTGGCCTGAGCGACTCGCGCATGGCCAGCGGCAGCGAGGATGGCGAGGTGCGTCTGTACTCGTTCCAGGACCGGTCTGGCTTGGAGGAATACGGCACGCCGAGCTGATGGTAACAGGTTGATTTGCTTGCTGGTGTTTTTTTTTTTTTTTTTTTTTTTTTTTCATACTCTTTCTCGTCAGCAGGAGCGGGCATTACTGGCGTCGTTGCGGCTCATGTAGACGCGGTGTCTGGGTTTACTGTTTAGATACAAAAGCCGGAAAGAAAACGGGACGAGGGCCTTCGGTGTACGGATGTTTACTACCGGAGAAAATCATAGCATGTGGACAATCACGTGTTGGGATAGAAATTTTTGCAGTGATGAGTCAGCACCTGGCCAGCCGGGTGTTTTCGCGGGCCAGCGCTGGACAACGCGCTTAAGCCGAGGCTGGAGAGAGAGGACAGGTACCGATGCGACGACCCCACAGTGGACGGAAGAGCGTGCAGGCTAAAAACACGGGGGCAGCAAGCAGGAGAATCACAAGCTCGGTTGGCCGTTCGGCTAAACGCGTTTCGGCCACGAGACGGAAAAAGCATAACGTCACTTTCACAAGCTTTTTTCCTGCTGACTGTTCGAGGAGAGGACAGCAGGCAGCCGAGCTTGCACGAGCAGTCGCGTGGTCTCTCTCCAGTGTCCTGTCCGTCCTGTCTTTGGGCCATTTTTTCCTGTCCTCTCTCCTACGAATACCCCATGACGCGGATCCGGTTTCTCTCGTAGACAGGCCCCGCTTTTTTGGGAGGCTCGGGAATCAAGTACCTCGCAGGCAAAAATGGCAGTGATGGTACATGGGTCGGCTGCTAGGCCTGGCTCCCCCCCCAGTTCGGCACCACCCCTGCAGCCCCAATAGAAGGGTAGAGAAGGTCGCCTGGGAGGAGCTCCGCTGCGCCGAGCAGTCGGCTGAGCAGCCGGAAATGGCCACGACAAAAGCAAGCGACACAGAGATCAGGAAGGAGAGAGAGAGAAGAAAGGGAAAAGGGAAAAGGCAAAGGTAGATATAGACTCGGAGAGAGAAATCTGCCGACAACTGCTTGCAGCTGCACTGTCGAAACGGCGAGGCTTTCGGTATAAGACCCTGGCAAGGCGTCGTCTAATTGGGGGGATCCGGCAACGAGGTAAGATACGGAGTACATAGGCACAAGCCGCTTTCCCCCCCTCTCTAGTCTACGGAGCACTGCCCTCCGGTCAGTTGTGTGCTCCCCTCTGCCGGGGCGAGGGATGATGGTGTTGCTGGCACGCTGTAGCCAACGTGCTTGAGTCAGCCGACATGCTCCGTGCAGCCGCGGATCGGCCACCGGGGAAGCCCTCGCTCGCAGCTCAGAAGCATATCGAGAGACCCCCTAGTGAGCTCTCTAATTTCTGGACTGGCCCCTTTCGCCCAAGAGGAACGGCAAATAGCGGAGCAGTCTGGATGCCCGGGAGAGGACAGCTCGAAAAAACGCCATTGCGCTTGTGACTCTTTCCGTGCTTCCCCTTCTGCGGTACCTTGAAATAGCAAGCTTGCCGTACTTTTCGTCTTGTGTCTTCATCTGTTTGGCTTCCTTACTTCCTGTTACCCCCACGCAGCTATCCCGGTGCCTTCATGATCTTCGTGTCGTCAAAACCTCCTAGGATACGGAAGGACGAGTTTCGGATAGCTACACCGCGGCTACGCTGAGAACTGCATCTCGGTCTACCTTGGTCTCCTGTCCTGTCTAGTGACCTCTGTCTATCCTCTCGTCTCTCGTCTCGTCTCTCCCCATCCCCGACAGTCATGGCGTCAAAGGAAGGCCAGAAGAAGCCCACCTCGGCAGCGATCAACCTGGTCGGTGAGTGTCGGACTCTGCCTTTTCACGTGACCGCTGCATGTCCATCCTTGCTAACCTGACAGCTGGCGGTGGTGCTGGCATGATGGAGGCGCTGGTGTGCCATCCTCTAGGTAAGACCCCGTGCCGTGACAGCCGGCCTCTGGCCACTGCTGACAGGTCATAGACACGATCAAGGTGCGGATGCAGCTGTCTCGCCGGGGCAAGGATGCACCACGACGCGGGTTCGTGCGCACGGGCATGGAGATTGTCAAGCGCGAGACGCCGCTGGGCCTGTACAAGGGTCTGGGGGCAGTGCTGACGGGCATCGTGCCCAAGATGGCCATCCGGTTCTCCTCCTTCGAATGGTACAAGACGCTTCTGGTGGGCGACAGCGGCAAGGCGGCGGACAGCAGCAAGATCTTTGTGGCCGGGCTGTCGGCAGGCGTGACGGAGGCCGTCGCCGTCGTCACCCCGATGGAGGTCATCAAGATCCGGCTGCAGGCACAGCACCACAGCATGGCCGATCCGCTGGATGTGCCCAAGTACCGCAACGCCGCACACGCGCTCTACACAGTCGTGCGCGAAGAGGGCTTCGGCGCGCTCTACCGCGGCGTCTCGCTCACGGCCCTGCGCCAGGGCAGCAACCAGGCCGTCAACTTCACGGCCTACTCGTACTTCAAGGACGCCCTGCGCCGCTGGCAGCCCGAGCTCGATGCCAGCCTGCCGCTGCCTGGCTACCAGACCACGCTCATCGGCCTCGTCAGCGGTGCTATGGGCCCTCTCAGCAACGCCCCCATCGACACCATCAAGACCCGTCTGCAGAAGACGCCTGCTCAGGAGGGCGTCAGTGCCTGGCGCCGCGTCTCCCTCATTGCTGCTGACATGTTCAAGCAGGAGGGCTTTCATGCCTTCTACAAGGGCATCACCCCGCGCATCATGCGTGTGGCTCCCGGCCAGGCTGTCACCTTTACCGTGTATGAGTTCCTTAAGAGCAAGCTCGAGAAGAGCGGGCCGCTGTCCGTCAAGGCCGACCATTATGAGGAGTAGGCTTTTGTTTGGCTTTGGACTTGGTATATAGAGCAAGAGGCATTGGGTGTGTGCAGTCATAGCATTGCTTAGTCATGATGTGTCTGCTATGTGCTTTTTCTGGTTTGTCTGTGTGGCCTGTTTTTGTGTGATCTGTTGATCTGGTCGACACAATACCCCAAATCCCGACCCTCCGTTTACCGGCCTGGCCGCTTGGGCCGGCTAAAACCCCGACGCACCTCCACCTGTGGGTGCAGCTCGGCCAGCACGCCAGCCTCGGTGATCTCGGCCGGCTCGTCAATCTCAAACTTCTTCTCAAGCGTGAGACCAGCCTGGCCCTCGGCCACGTCTAGCACGGCCCGCTTCATCAGCGGATACATCATGCGGAACTTGATGGCCCGCGAGCCGGGTGTGGCCGGGTTTGTGTAGAAGAACAACAGCGGGCTGCCCTTGTAGCCACCGTACTCATGGGCGAACCGGAAGAAGGTGAAGCGCGGCTCCGTGGCCGAGATGGCCTGGGCCAGCTGCTCGATCGTCGTCGGTGCGGGCGAAGGGGCTGGTGCGAGCTCGACCACCTCCGTCTCGGGGTTGATTTTCTGTTGGTCAGAAAGAAGAAGAGAGAAAAAAGAAAAAGAAAAAAAGAAAAAAAGAAAGAAAGACCGATAAAGGCCACCCACCAGCATCACCACCGTGGACCCCTCATCGAGGCTGCGCAGCGCCGCCACTGCATCCGGCTCGACCGTCAGCTTCAGGCCCCGGCTCAGATGCACGTCGCGCGATCCGGTGCCGTGGCCAGCTTCCTGCTCGGCCCGCTTGACGTCGCCCAGCGTGCGCTCCTCCTCGGTCAGCGGGGCCTCCATGGCGTTGTGCGCGTCATGGCGCTTGAAGCCCTGTCCGCTCAGCTCCTCCGCCGTTGTGGCAAAGATGGTCTCGCGGAAGTGCTCGCTGCCGAGTTCACGGACCAGCGTCAGCCGCGTCGAGGCAAACAGCATCTTCTGCCGCACCGGCGCCGCGTCCGGCACATATGTTGCTGCCACCAGCCGTGGTGCCGTGTCGTACCGCCGCAACAGGATGTACGCCGCCTCCTTCTCCTTCAGTCGTGGCACGAGGACGGTGTCGACGAGAGACGAAAAGGACGTCGACGACGACGGCGCCGACAGAAAATCGACCGGCGTCAACGACTCGCCCGTGATCGTCACCAGCAGCCCAAAGTGCTCACTCGACTCCAGCAGCGTGCCGAACTGCGCCAGGAGCTCCTTCGATGCTGCACCCCCAAGCCGCGTTAGCAACAGCCACAGCTGCAGAACAATTGGGCCGGCGAGAGCTTGCCTGAAATTCCGGACTGCATCGCGTCGACGTTGCACCGGCAGACTTGTGCAGACGCACGGCAGACAGGGCTGATTCAATAAAAGTATACCAGCTGAAACACAAACCGGTCCAGCCGCAGTCCGTCTTGTCGTTGTACCGGGATAGCTGCCTTTGGTCTTCCAAGGCGCGGTGTGAAGCTACAGAGTACAGAGAACGGAGTACAGAATCATGCGTCGCAACCCCGCTAATCACACAGTCTCCACCTGCAGCAGCTGTCCGAAACCGGCTGCCAGCTGGCATATGCACACTACCGTTTTAGGGAGTCGACCCACTATTACGCTGCCAGGTTGAATGAGCTTCAATGCTTTTTTCTATGTATCTGAACGTGTAATCCGAATTTGCCCTCGCTTGTACTCCGGTAACTAGAAATCGATATAAAGCAGCTGGTGATGCGCCCTTTGAATACAGCGTGCTGCCGGACCACGAGCACGCCAGACCGGCAGCCGCCTCCCAGCCTCCCGGTGGCGCACGCCGTGTTCGTCCAGCAGTCATGGTGGTAGGGGCGTGCGTAGCATCCTGATGATGAGGCGATGTCTGGGGTATTGTATACGCCCTGGCCCTGTGCTTCAGACGAGCAGGATTCTGTGGTCCTTGTTAGCAGTGGACCCGGAGGATCGGGAGGGGGAGCGTGCACGTACGCGTTGACACAGCCGTCGTTCTCGGGGTTGTCTGTGATGCTGTCAGTCAGTCTGTCTTTTGTCTTTTGGCCCGTTCGCCTGTCTTCTGCAGCGGCAACAACGTACTGGTGATCTGCGCCCAGCGGCCCCACACGACCTTGCCGCTCGTCGTCGTCATGCCCAGATCGCTCACGTTGACCTCGATGATGGTGCCCTTGGTCAGGACGCCCAGGCGGGTGTACATGGGATCCTGTGGGTTCTTCTTGACGCTGAGGATCGGCAGCTGCACCGTGACGGCCAGGCCGGGATGCGTCACGTTGGCCCGCTTCTGGCGCAGCGCCATCGGCCGGATGAACCGCTCTAGCTTGACGGGGCCGCGCACAAAGTCGGGACCGACAAACGTCGGCTTCGTGATCATCCGCTTCCACGCCTTCTTCTTCATCTTCTTGCCCGTCTTGACGACCGAGAAGATCTCGGCCTCGGATATGCCCCGCACCTTGGGCAGCGGCACCGCAAACCGCGCCGCCTTCTCGTTGCGCTTCTGCTTGATCGCCGTGCTCAGTGCCTTGGCGTTCCGCTCGCCCGCACGGTCCAGCAGATAGTGCGGCACCGCCTCCCGGTTCTCGTCGTCCTCCGGCGGCGCGTCCGACGACTTCACGTTGCGCGCCTCGTGCGCCCGGATCGTCTTGCGCATCTGGATCTTCTCCTTCCGCCGCACCTCTTGCTGCATCTTGGCCCGCAGGCCCCGCAGGTTCTGTGCATCGCGCGAGTGTCGGTGGCCCTCACGCGCCTGCTTCTTTCGCGCACGCTCCTCGTGGTCGAGGCTGTCGGAGAGAAAAAACAATATCAGCCGAGAGAGCAAACAGAGACACATGTCCATTTTCGTATACATACCGCCTGCCGTTAAGCTTCACGTGTCTCTCAATGTAATCGTTCTGTGTCTGTCAGAAGTCGCCCATCCAGCTCTGGACCGTGTATCGGACTACCCACCTGCGGCATCTTGACTGTCAATGTTGGCCGGTTCGATGCTGTTCTGCAGAACTTGCAAGCGGGCAGAAAATTTACTTGCTTCGAATTTTGCCAGTATCTTATCTGACGTATCTTATCTTATCGATAGCTGGTCACGTGATGTTGTTCTTTGTACTCCATATTGCACGACTTTATTCCGTACGGAGTACTTCGAACAGTACTTCGCACTCCGCCCTAAATCACGCTAATGCTTCCTGTCTATATCATCTTGTGTATTGAATACCAACATTGCTCTACAGTCCCCTAATCCGACAGGAACTTCAGCAGCTTTTCCTTCTCCTCGACCGGCATGACGCGCATCACCTCGCGCACGCCCTTCCAGGCCACCTCGTCCTTCTTGTTCGCGCGGATCAGCTCGCGGATATCGGCCGCAACCGTGTCGGCCTTGAGGGCCTCCAGCTTCTCTTGGATCGTTTTCTTGTGCTCCTCGTACCACAGGGCCACCTCGCGGTCGGCCTTGTCAAAGTCCGCCACGGCCGACCACGACGCCAGCAAGTGCAGGTGGCGTGCCCGCAGCTTCGCCGCCGGGCTGCTGCTGCTGCCGCTGCTGCCTGTCCGGCTGACCGAGAGAACACTGCCGCCGGCCACTGTGGCCATCTTGCGCAGGATGTACTCCTCGTTCAGCCGACGACGCGCCCGCCAGTAGAAGAAACGCCGTGCGTTCGACCACTGCAGCACGTCGCGCACGACACCCTTGGCCTTCATGCGGCCGGCGTGATCGTGCAGGTCGGCAAACTGCGTCGCAATCTGCTGGTAAATCGGCAGCAGCTCTTGCTCACGTGCCGTTAGCTGGTCCCGCAGGCCGTCCAGCACTTCGGTCGTGGCGCCGCTCTTCTGTGCTGCCGCAAGCTGCTTGCGCAGCTCGCCGTACCGGGCGTCCAGCCGTGCCATCGTTTCCAGCTGCTTATCCTTGCGATACTTGATGCCAATCATGCCGTCCGGTTCCAAAACGCCACCACGCGCTTCTTCGTCTGCGTACATCTCCATCGCGGTCGGGTTGATCGTCGGGTCGACCACGACCCACGAGCCGCCACGCAGCTCGCCAAACGGCGGAATGTACACAAAGATGGGCTGCTCGAACTTGACGAGCGCGTCCACGATGAAGCTGCCGTACTTGAGAACCTCGTTGTACATGTCGCGCTGGCCGCCCGAGAAGCCGCGCCAATTGGCCAGAATCATCAGCGGCAGCTGCTCGCCGTAGTTGAAGTCGTTGATCGCCTGCGCCGTCTTAAAGGCCGAGTTGGGGTACCACACTCCACCCGCCTCGTTCGTTACCTGCTCCATCGAGTCTGGGTTGGCTGGATCGGCTGGCGTGGTGTTCTCCACTGCTCGTGTCTCCACGCCGATCACGCCCATCGGAATGCCGCCCAGACGTGCCCGGCCAACCACCACGGTGCGCGCCCAGCCACCGAGCGTCTCGACAAACGAGTCTTTGTCGAACAGACCCGGCTGGTAGTCGTCTCCCTCCTGCCGGCCCGCAATCATCCACCGCACGTCGTACGGCTGTTTCTGTGGCGGCGTGTAGGTTACGTCGCGATTCCACGAATCGGTCGAGATGCTGATCGGGACCGGGTTGTTTCGCTTGTCCGGCACGTACGACATCCACTCGACGATCCGCGACACGCCCTCCATGTCGTCTCTGGCCGTCATGTGTGTCACGCCGTTGCGGTACATGATCTGCGTGCCGCCAAGCTGCAGGTTCGACGTGTACACCTCGCGACCCAGCAGGTTGTTGAGCGCCGGCGCACCCGTCAGGATGATCGGCTGGCCTTCTACCTGCACTGCCCGCTGTCCCAGACGGACGAGATAGGCACCGATACCTGGCTTGTCAGTTGACCGTGAAAAACAAATCGAAAGAAATCAAACACTCACCAACAGAACGGCACGTCACCAGCGTCACCGTAAAGATGTCGTTGTACGCTCGGCTCGTCGCGCCGGCAATCAAACCGGAGCCGCGCAGACATTCGACGCCCAGACCGTCTTCGGCCCCGATGATCGTCACAATCTTGTTGCGCTTCTCGCCATCTTCCGTCACCTCCTCCGTGATCACGTGCTCGCCAAACTGCTTCTTCGCCGCGTCGTCGAGATAGAGGTACTTGAAGCCCTGGTGCTGCCGAGTCGCGTCGTTCCACGCAACCTTGAAGTACGGCATCAGCTCGTTGGCCAGGCCCAGACGCGCACCCGAGTTCGCCGACAGGTAGATGCGCGGAATTCCCAGCTTGCGCGCCAGCTCCGTGCACTTGTTGAAGAAGTTGTCCTCCTTTGGCCCAAACGACCCGATGCTGTACGTGATGTCGTTGGCCACGATGATGAACTGCCGGCCCTTGGCGTACTCGGGCGTGCGCGCCGTGATGATCCAGCCCACCATGCCGCACGTGTTCAGGCCCGGATCGCGCGATACCTCCGTCAGGTTGTCGTGGTCGTCCAGCACCAGCTCCGACAGGTCGATGCACTCACCGGCTGCCGGCTGCCTCTCGCCCAGGGCTGGGTTGTGCTTGACCACTTTGACCCAGCTGTTCTGGAAGGCCTGGCGGAACACCTCCGGGAAGTCGTACACGTACTGCGTGCCCATCAGATGGGCCTTGTACCGCTTCGGTTGCAGCCAGTTCTTCGTCGGGTATGGGATCGACACCGGCAGCAGGTGCATCGAGCCCATCTTGGTCGTTCCGCCGATCGAGTAGAAGAGCCACTCGCCCTTCTCCGACTTGCGCTCCGCGTACATCTCCACCTGGATCACGTAGCCCGACGTGTTCGTGATCAGCACGCGCAGCGGATACGGCATCCCTGTCTCCGGGTCCGTGCAGATGATCCGGATCTCCACCTGTGCCACCCGAAGCCGCCAGCCACGCGGTCCAAATCGGTCCAGGAAGCCCTGCAGAGTCTGCTCCACCTGCTCCGGCAGCAGCGGGAACACGGGCGTGAAGTTGAGGAACATGTGGTTGAGATCGGAGTTGTTGTTGCCGATGATCTCGAGCGCATCAAAAATGTCGTTGACTGTCCGATCTGCCTCCGAGACCAGGTACTCGGCCGTCGGGATCTCGTCGCGAACTCGGCCGGGACGGATTACCACCCGCGTAAAGTACCGCTTGTCCGTCTCCACGCCCTTGCCGATGGCCTCATACACGTGGATGCTCTTGTTCTCCGTAAACACTGGCCGGATCTTGAACTTGGCCAGACGTGCGAGCTCGAGCTGGAATGCAAGCGCGGGCTCGCTGTGGCGAATGCTGTCGTCCTCCTCGTAGTCGGGCCCCCGGAACGTGTAGTAACCCGGGTTCGACCCGTCCTTGTGGCCGCCGATAAAGGTGATTCGCCGAACCCGACGGGAAAACAGCTCGTCCTTGAACTGCTCCACAATCGGCTTGATCACCTTGAGTGCCTCCTGGTCGTCCATGTTCTCCGAGTCTCGGATCGCCACGTTGACCACGGCCGAGAGCTCATCCACCCCCGTGTCTACACGAGCTGGAACTGGCCGCCGCTTGCCCACCAGTCCGGACGCCAGCGTGCTGGAGCTACCGGCGCCTGGGCTCCGCTTGCGAAGCCTCGAGCCGCCAAACGGCAGTGTATCCAGCGCTTTGGAGAGAAGCTCCTCCACGTCGTCCAAGTACCGACACGGCACGATGACACCCCTGCGTGTCGGCTCCTCCTGCGTCTGGCGCGAGAGGTACGACATGTCGCTGATCGAGCTGATGCGCTTGAACCCATAGTCGGTCGGAGTGGCTGGCGTCGCCGGCGACGACGGCACGGCCGAGTGCAGCGGCAGGCCAAACTCGGACTGGCCAATCTTCCGCAGCGCAAAGTCCCAGGTCATGAAGAGCGGTGCCTCCGACTCGTCGCTGTGATACTCGATCTTCTTGAGAATGTATGCGCGGTACGACCGCCGGATGTAGACCTCTAGCGCCGCAATCGACACCCACGTGTCCTCGTTGGCAAAGAACATTGGCAGCACGTCAAACACGTTGAACTTGGAGTCCACCAGGTCCTTGATCACGTCCTGGTTCGGCTCGCGATGCTCCCAGCCCGACTCGCCATACTGCGTCTCCACCACGGACGACCGCAGAATCAGCTCCATCTGCGACCGCCGCTCCTCCAGAGATGGGAGCGCACACTGGATCAGGATCTCGCGCGCCTTCAGCGACACCTTGGATGTCTGCCGCGACTCGAGCTCCGTCAGCTTGCGCAGCACCGGCCGGAGGTACTTGCCCACATTGCCCACGTTCGGCTTGTTCGGCCGGTACTCGTCGATGATGGCCAGCACAAGTCCGTTCTTGGAGCTGACCCGGCTGTGAGACAGCACCGTCTGCACCACCGTGAGTATGTCGTCCTTGTGCTGGTCCCGAAGCTTTAGAATCACCTCCTCGTCCTGCAGCCGCCGCCCGGAGAACAGACGCTCTGTATCTGCGTAGATCGACAACAGCGACGAGATCACCGTCAGCTCCCGCACCTTTTGCCCGTCCATGTACAGGTTCAGCACATCGGTCAGGGGGGCCAGCGTGTCGCGCAGCAGGGCTGCGTCTGCCCGCTCGACGTGGTCGTCCACAAACTTCTGGAACGCCCGGAGCAGACTCTTGGCCGGGAACTCGGCGTCGCGTGTCTTGGCACGCTCCACGATCTGCGTGAACTGTGCATCCAGCTTCGCAGGCATGCGCGCGTGCAGCGCAGAGAACTGCGCGTTCCACTCGCTAAAGGGCAGCGACGGGTCCCGCAGCACCTCGACAAGCTTGGTCAGCGTCTGCACCATGACCATCTGGTTGTCGTATCCGCGCAGGATGTTCTCGAGAATGCTGTACAACACCGCGAACCGCTGCGACGGCTTGGTGCCGACAACAACGGGCGGGCCCAAGTCGGGCAGCTTCTCGACAAAGCTCTGGGCTTGCTTCACACGACTCGGGTCGTCCAGGGCTAGGATGCCGAGGATGTCGCCGGCTTCCAGCGTCGAGCCAGGCTGCTTGATCAGCTGCACAAAGCCATCCTCCTGTGCGACCAGGGGCATGTACATCTTCATCACCTCGACCTCGGCAAACGTCTGGCCAGCCGACACATGGTCGCCGCTCTCCACCGTGTATTTGACCAGCTTGCCCGGGCTCGGCGTCCGCAGCTGTGTCGGGTCGTTCTCCTGCTCCAGCAGACAGGTCTTGCCGTCGACGGAGAGGCGCGTGGCCCCGACTTCCTCCTTCCAGTACACGTTGTGGCTGCGGCCGTCGACGAGAATGAGCAGGCCACCGTCGCTCAGGGCACGGACACCGACCAGACACCGAGAGCCGTTGATAAAGAGGGTATAGCTGTCCAGGCTGGACCGCGTCACGGTGAACTTGTACCGGAAGCCTTCGTAGATGAAGTCGACGGGGAAGACGGTCTTGAGAATGTCCTTGGACGGGACCTGGCCCCTCTCCAGACCGGTGCGGTACTCGGCAATGCAGGCTTCGCTGGCAATATGGGCCTTGGTAGTGGCACCGCACACCACGGCCAAGACGGGGTCAGGCCGCTCGGCCGTGAGCTTCTTAGAGATCAGCTCGTCGAGCCAGCCGGTTGTGATGGTGTTGTCCTCAAAGGCTTCTGTCTCGAGCAGCTTGATCAGGTACTCCACGGTCGTGCGGAAGTCACCGCGAATGCTCAGCTCCTTCAGGGCCACGACCATGTGTTTCCGCGAGGCCGACCGGTTCTCGCCGTACGCAAAGATGTGGCCGAACTGGCTGTCGGAGAAGCTGTGGATGCCGCCAGCCGTGCCGACAGAAAAGTAGCCCCAGACGTTGGAGCTACTGCGGAAGTTCAGGTCGTGCAGCACGCCGTTGGACGGCTTGAAACCCTCGCCCGGGTCCTCGGAAGTGATCCGGCAGGCGGTTGTATGTCCCTTGGGCGTTGGCCGGCGCTGGGTCTTGCCGCTCTCCTCGTTCTTGAATTCAAAGTCGATCTCGGTCGTGGTCTTGGGGTCCACGCCATACAGTAGCCGAATGTCGCTGATCCGGTGCAGTGGGATGCCCATGGCGATCTGGAGCTGGGCGGCAGGCAGGTTCACGCCACTGACCATCTCCGTGGTCGGATGCTCGACCTGCAGACGGGGGTTGAGCTCGAGGAAGTAAAACTTGTTGTCCGAGTGCGAGTATAGGTACTCGACCGTGCCGGCAGAGACGTAGCCGACAAGCTTGCCAAGCCGCACGGCCGCCTCTTCCATGGCACGGAAGGTGGTCTGGTTGGCAATGGTCACGGGTGCCTCCTCGATGATCTTCTGGTGGCGACGCTGGACGGAACAGTCGCGGCCAAAGAGCGAGATATTGTTGCCGTACTGGTCGGCGAGCAGCTGCACCTCCAAATGCCGGGCATTGCCGGCCAGCTTCATGATGAAGATGGGCGAGCCGGGAATCTCGCTGGCCGCGGCCTTGTACAGCTGCTCAAAGCCCTCTTCGCTCGAGGCTTTGCGGATGCCCTTGCCGCCGCCGCCCTCCGAGGCCTTGATCATGACGGGGAAGCCGATCTGGTGGGCCTTCTCCAGGCCCTCCTGCCACGAGTTCACACAGCCCTTCATGTAGACCTCGTCGACCACGGTGACCAGGCCGCCTTCGCCCACTGCGACCTGGTCGACACCAGTGCCGGACCATGGGATGCAGGGCACCTTTGCATGTTGTGCGACAATGGTGGAGGAGATCTTGTCGCCCAGCGAGCGCATGGCAGAGCCTGGTGGCCCAATAAACACGATCTTCTTCGGCGAGGCAGCCAAGGATTCTGGCAGCTTCGGGTTTTCGGAGGCGTGACCCCTGTAACGATGATGTCAGCGTCGCAACGATGGAAAAATCAGAAGATGGGTCACGATCAAGTCTTACCATCCGGCCCACACCGCGTGGACATCCATCCGCTCCGCCACATCGACGATCAGCTCGACATTGGCGTAGTTGTGGTTGTTGGTGCCACCGGGCACCTCGACATAGTGATCGGCCATGCGGATGTAGTCGGCGTTTGCCTGCAGATCCTCAGGAGTAGCCATGACGGTGAACTGGATGGCGCGCTCGTCGCCGAACGCATCGTAGGCCCATTTCCGGACAGAGCGGATCTCCTTGACGGCAGCAATACCGTTGTTGGCAATCAGGACCTGGACTGGGTTAGCTGGGCTGCCGACGGGCTGGAGGGGATGGAAGCGGGCGACGTACGTTTGTGATGACAGTGTGGCCGTCGTGCTTGGCGACAAAGTCCTTAACCTTGGAGTCGGGTGCGCTGTCCAGCTTGTTGCCGCCGATGAAATGGTCGGGCAACTTGCGCGTCGCGGTGTACGATGGCTTGCCGTTGGCATGTGGTGCTGACGAGCCGTTCACGGTGCCGCGCCGGGATTGCGAGGCGGCGCTGCTGCCGCTGATTTCTGTCATGGTGAAGGTGGGAGACTCGAGCAGGATCTGCTCATGGGAGGAGAGAAGGAGGGCCGAGGCCAGGACTTCTGGCAGAGACGACAGCCGGGGATGAGGCGACGGGGTGGTCCTGTCGGTGGGTATCGGAAGCGAGGCTTGACGGGAAGCGACCGGGTCGGCTGCAAGGTATATCGGTCGTCCAGAGATATACAAGCCGAGCTGGTCGAGAAGAGGGGGGGTATTACGAGGGGCAGAGGAAGAGAATGCGGGTTAGAGCTCCCGACAGGGCGGATAGACCCGTTTCGTCTAGTCGGATATGTGGAATAAGAGGAGCGGAAAGATTGGGAAGAACGGGGAGCGTCCAGACAGCAGGGAAGGGCAGTGAAGACGGACAGGTGTTTATGAAGGACGAGAGATGCATTTGGAGCAATTCTTACGGGTGTTATAATGAAAAATAGCACGGAGCAGGAAATGGAGCTTGGAGCAAGAACGAGTCGCAGGCTAGCGCGAATTGGGGGTACATTGGGGTACCTCGGATGCCGAGCCTGGCGTGGACAGGCCGGCGGGCGAGGCGCTGCCAGCTGGGGGAGGGCAGAGGTCCTATTGGCCAGGCTGGCCAGTAGCCCAGCGGACCGTTACGCGTTGAAGGTCAGCTGGAGGTCACGAGCAGGTACCTGTCGATTCCTGGTGGATCCCCCACCAGACCAGCCGACTGCCCGCACTGGCCCAACGAAGAGAGAAATATGGGAGCGTTGGGGAGGTCCCCAAGAAGGCCTGCGTCGTCTCGCTCTCGATCTGGCGAATGCTCACGGCGAGTTGGATTGTCCCAATCAGGGCAAATGCCATCCGGACTTTTGAAAAGCCCATATCCCAATTACAAATCGCATCCTGTCAGACACCCCTCCCCCACCTCGTGGATCTAGGCCGTTTGGCAGCGCCATGCCCTGTATGATTACGCTTCTCGTCGTCCGCAGGCAGAGGCTGACAGAAAAACTTCAGGGCTCGCTATCCGTGTCCACCGTGTGCAGCCTCCTCTACCGACATGCGCAGAACTGGCCGTATACTTTCTCCTTGCAGTACCGACTGTTATGTTTTACTTTCTGTATAATTTAAATTACAGAAGAATTCAATTTTATTCCGTTCTGTCTACTCCGTGGAATTTAGTTCTTTTTCCCCTTCTCTTACTGCTAGCCTAGGGCTTCCCCCAATTGTTGAGAAAAAAGGATCGCCGTTGCCCCGACATGAAAGCGCTAGCACAGTGGAAGTGCCACCTGCAATCTTACCCTTGTTGGTTAGGCTCTGCCTCGATCTTCAAACCTGCCGTCGGTCCAAAATCGTCGCACATCCCCAACAGCTTGTCCGCCGTTCTGCCTTTCCTGCAACAGAGCCGGCAGTGCGACGGCCAGGGCTTCCTTTCTTGCCGGACCTGCTGCGCCTGTATCTTACCCGTGGCGCTAGCGTTCGGATTTCCGCTCACTTGTCCTCTTCAGCGTCAGCTCCGAGCACACGAGCTCGTGAATCCGGCTGACGTGTACATCACTCGGCGCGCGCATCTATACTCGTGCTTCGTCAACACACCCTTGGCTCGCAAAGCATTGTATTGATCTATATACAGCGCGGCGTACTCCACAAGCCTGGATTATGTAATCATACAAACCGTGCACCTCATGACAAAGTAAAAGTAAAGGTTGAAAGCCAGAGTCCATCCCGGTCCCTCCAGTCCACCCGGTCAGCTCGGTCATTCTAGGCAGGGAGGGGCGGCGTAGGGCAATTCTGGCGGTAAATAAGGGGAGGGGGGAGCGCCAACACGATCAAACCAGACTCCGTGATGCGCAGGAACAGTGGTATCTTTGGAACGAAAGAAACGGGAGCGATGGGGTGCGGACATCACTTTGTGCTCATACTGGTCCGCCGGCCCGACGGCATTGGCAGTCCGCTGTTGGGTCCGCCGCTCTGCCGCCGGCTGCCTGGAAGTGGAATGCCGCTGGTGGGCGTGGACAGGTGGGCGTCGAGCCCATGGTCGAGGTCGTAGCGAGAGTAGGTGCCGCGGCGCACAGGCGTGCGATACTCGTTCGTGTCGACCTCGTCCTCGGGCAGGCCGATGCTCATCGAGTGGCCGTGCATGCTGATGCTGCCACCGAGCGACGTGCGTGGTCGCATGGGCGTGCGGGCGCTGGAGAGCGACGTGCGCGACATCGGTCGAGGGGGGGGCATTTCGCGGCCGTCATTACGGCTGGCCGGTCGGGCGTAAGACGAAAAGCTGGTGCGCGAGCTGGGTCGCGAGTCGGTGTCGCGACCGGGCAGCGGTCCAAACGACAGCCGGCCGACGCCCGTGGTCGACATGCGGGATCCCGAGACAGAGTTGCTGGCAGTAGTCCGCGTGGTGCCGGTGACGGAACCGGAGACTGACCCTGTGGGAGTGGAATAGTAAAGATGGTCATCGCCGACAGCACTGCCGGTGACAGACGAGGAGGCCGACCCGACGGTGCGCTTGCGCGACCGCACCGCGGCCGACGACGGGGCCAAGGCTGTGGGGAGGCCGCTGTCCAGCGCAGACGTTCGCGGCGATGCCCGTGGCGGTGTGGTCACGGGAGCCGGCAGCTTGGACCGCACCGAGTGCACGCGGGCCTCGAGGCGCTGCATCTGCGCCGTCAGCGACCGGATGTGCGAGAGCGAGTTGGACGACGGCAGCCGGTGCGCAGTGGCGCGCGTTGTCGTCGTCGAGGGCGGTGGCTTGGCCGCTCTGGTCGGCTTGTAGGGCACGGCAGCCGAGCTGCTGGATCGCGGGCCGGGTGTGCGTGTGGTGGTGTTGGTGGTAATGGTGGAGGGGGTGGTCTTGCCCATGGCTGCGGCAAAGGAGGACGAGGAGCCAGGCGTGAAGCGACTGCCGAACTGGCGCGACGCCGACGACGACGACGGTGACGAGTAGGCCATGGCCGTCTTGGGCCGCGGTGTCGTCAGGTGTAGATCGGCCGAGGGCAGCCGGGACCGACGGGTGACCAAGACGGGGGTCCGGGCCGTGCCCAGTGTCTGAGTGCGTTTGCGTCGCGGCGCTGATGCGTCCGACATGGGCGGAGACGGCGGCTCTTGTAGCTCGGCCAGCGTGGTACCGCCGTCGGCTATGGCCTCGAGCCCCTTGCTGTCGAGAGGTGTTGTGATCAGTGGCGAGCTCGCAGTCGAGTTGGGTGACTGGTCAAACGTCGGCGACGCCGACACCGACAGGTCCTCGGACGAGAGCGTCGATAGGTGGTGCTGGCGCGTCCCGTGCTGCTTCTTCAGCTTGTCCTGCAGGATGTCTGCCTCGATCTTGAGCTCCGACAGCTCTTCGCGCAGCCTCTGCGCATCCACCCGCAACATTTCGCGCTCCAGCTCGCCCATCTTGATCTCCTCCTCCAGTAGCACGCCGCGCTCAATCGCCACATTGTACTTGGACTCCAGGTCCTCCAGCGACGACGTCGTGTTGCGTGCCTGCCGCTCAAAGTCGTCGTTGGCCACCTCGATGTCGCGCAGTCGCAGCTGCAGCGTTCGGTTGGCGTCTCGCAGCGTCGTGATCTCCTTCTCTAGCTGGTTCTGTGCTGCGTTCGCCTCCGTCTTGGACTCCTTGTACTTCCTCTGTCATCGTCCGCCTGCTGTCAGCATCGTGGCCTGGTCTGCACGCTCGCACTCGCCCCCTCATACACACCTTCCACTCGTCCACTTCGTAGCCCAGCGCTTCCGCTTTCTCGCGCAACGTGCGCTCTCGCTTATCCGCCGCATCCAGGTCCTTTTCCAGCTCCGCTTCCAGCTCGCGGCTCGATTCGCGGAACTCGATCAGCTCGTGCTCCAGCTGCTCATACTGCACCTTGTACCACGACAGCGTCTCCTCTGCGCTCGCATCTCCACCCGGTGGGGAAGAAGGTGGTTCGGTCATCGCCGCTTGTGTCTGCGTGTCCCCCTCGTCCGATCAATCGTCTCTGAATGCGGTGCCGCCCCGGGACCCCTAGCGAAGCCCTGGCCGGAAAGAGCCTGTCGAAAATCGAACGGTTGATCGAAGGCGGGCGAAATGCGAAAGAGCGGTGTCGACAAAAAATAGACCGGGCGCACCAGCCCAACCGGAACACAGGCTTCTGCTATGCGAGACGGGGCTGCCTTTCCTTTTGTCCTTCGCCGCTTCTCACCATGTGCTCACGGCCGCACTCGCATCCGATGGATGATGTCCGGCTCAGGCGGAGAGGGGCATCCCCTATTCGACCAAACCGAGACGCGCGTTTGTCCGTGTCGGAAGCGGTGGCCACGTGCAGGCGGTGTCGCTGGAGCTGGAGCTGTCGTCGCTGTCGTCGTCGCTGGGGGACTGTCTCGTCAGTCGCCACACTTACCGCTTCGTGGGGCCGTCAGGACGCCGTTGCCGGGCGTGCGTTGTCGATGACCTGGAATGCCGCTGCTGACCTCTTTTTTGTTTTCGCTTTGATGATGGCTGACAGGCCGGCCACACAGGCCCAGTGAGAACCGAGCTAACCCACAATCGGAAATATTCGCTACCACGGGCAACCGTGCAGGCTAGCCGGCCTGCAGCCAATTACAGGCCCATGCACGGGCCTCTGCTCGAAAGCGTTAAAGAACTACCGGCCTCTTGCCAAAGCCCAGAGCAATGAGATACGAATACCATGGCCGTGCCCCCCGCTGCATAAAGGAGACCACGTCCATGTGCTGTTTCATGTCGCATTTGCTGCCTAATTCCACGGGCTAACATACCCGGTCGCATTAGACCTGCAGCCTGTTGCATCCTGCAGCTTCAGGCGATTGGGCACAGGTGGAGATCGTCACTTCCTGCCAAAGCGTCGTGCCTTTCACTTCCTCTTTAGACAGGCACTGCTCTCCAAACATGCGTCCATGTCCATTGAGCTACGGAAGAAGTGTCCATAAGTTAGAATGCGATATATTTGCCCTTTGTCACAGCGGTAGAAAACGGAACAGCACGAACACTACAATTTCCACAATATGCATAAAAACATATACTCTTTAACATTCAACCCAGATTATCCTTCGTCATACTCAGTCACGCACTCTCGTTTAACATAAGGTAGGTAAGTAATTCTTAACTCAGGCACTGACAACCTTTTCCTAGTCAGGCAACCCTCGATGTATTCCTCGTTGCGGCTCGTCGAGGGCGTGGATATGCTGTTGTGGAATGTTGTCTTGGCCAGTCTCAACGTGGTCGCCCTGCTTGCATTTTGCTTCCCTACCTTTGGCTATCTCTGCTGCCTGGCCGTACTCACACTGCTTATCATCAACGGCCTTTACGTCGTCGGCTTCCTCATGCTATATCACTTAACCGAGGTCTGCCTCAATCCTTTATTCCATATGATTGACGTGATGGTGTCGCATGCATAAGACGACCAAACCAAAGAAGTTTTGTACCCTGATTTCCATGCATTCGAAGCTGTCACGGGCTTCCGTCCAGAGTCAGAAAAATAACTTATTTGCCGTAAACGCCCTAAAATTTCACGCTCTTGGGACTAATTGATGGGTTTCTCGGTACTCCATAGTCCTCTTGCAAAAGCCTTTTTGCTACGTAAATCTTTCTAACAAAATATTTGCTATCCGCCAGACATTAGCCAGCTCATTGATTCTAGCTTACGGAGTAGCCCTGCGTTCTTTCATGACTGATGTTTTGTTTGACGACCCCTAGTAAGTCCAGGCAGGGGTAGAGAATACGAATATTAAAAAAATCAAGATGATGTGACAATGTAAAATTGAACACTGCTGGCCTACCATTTGTTCCGTATCAGAAAAAGATTGATAAACAGGCAAAATCAATATTCAATGGAGCAACTCGGGATCGAACCGAGGACCTCCAGCTCTTCAGGCTGGCGCTCTCCCATCTGAGCTATTACTCCGGATATAAGAATTTTGCGTGTAAGCTGTTTCATGAGACGCCATCTCTTGGGATAAACCGCGTGCTCTCATAGAATCCAGAAATACTAACAATCAATCTATCAAATATTTATAACAAGTTTGACGTGAACCCAGTTGAACCGTATCGTGACAGACTACGTCGCATTACTAAACGGAAGATACAACCCTGAAAATGCAGTTTCGGTAGCATGCGGTAACAGTGCACCAGTAATGGTAGACCATCTGATTTCCCCATATCTAGTCCGAACTCCGTAGTAGCATTTAATAACGAGTTCAACGCTCTACTTCCACTCATCCGGTCCCGTCTCAAGTCAGTATCCTAAAAAAGAATATCCAAGATGAATGCGTGTGCCCGTACACCCTCTTCGCCACTGGAGCTTCTCGTTGGCGATCTCAGCAGACAAGCAAAAACGCTTGCAGACTATTTCCAATCCAACGGGCTTCCCGAGCCCAGCTTTCAGCGCGATGCGCCAATCGATGTTTTATCCCCAGAGGCACCCAAGGAGATACAGGCTGTCCGGGACCAGCTCATGGACCATGCTCTACAGCTTTTCCAGCTCGTTGCTGGCCCCAGGGAGTGCTTGGAAAATGTCCAGACAAACGTGAGTATGTCTTGGTCTGAGGCCGGGATAAATTCTGACAATACAGTACCAATATATGGAAGCTCTCCGCTGGTTGAATTATTTCCATATCTTCGAGCTCGTTCCTCTGGAGGGCAATATCTCGTATGCCGAGCTGGCTGGAAAAGCTGCCGTCTCGGAGCTGCGACTAAAATCAATTGCTCGTATGGCAATGACCAACCATCTCTTTGTCGAGCCGGTACCAGGCTTCCTCGCCCACTCGGCCACCTCTGCGGCATTGACTGTAGACCAACAGCTTGTCGACCAGAGGGAGTGGCAGGGAAGAGTTTTGGCCCCTACGATAGCCTCCATGGTCACGGCGCACAAGAAATGACCCGATAGCACAGCACTCAACCGCACGGCATTTAGTGTCGCATTCGACACGGAACTGGCCATGTACGAGTACATTTCCAAGCAGCCCGACCTGCACACTCTCTTTGGTCGTCTTATGGAAGGCGTCGCCGCCAGCCCAAAGAGCAGCCTTAAGCACCTGGTTGACGGGTTTGCGTGGGGGGACCTTGGGAAGGCCACGGTCGTCGACGTAATGGCAACCATTCCTAGTAAAAGATCTGTTTGATTGAGTTTCTGATTACAACCAGATTGGTGGCAACATTGGACATAGCTGCGTGGCCCTGGCTAAAGCCTTCCCATAGCTGGAGTTCATCGTCCAAGACAGCGCGCATGTCGTCAAACAAGGCGAAGTTGTCATCCAGCAGAACAATGAGGCCGTTTCGAAGCGCATTCGCTTCCAAGAATACGATTTCTTCCAAGAGCAGCCCGTTACGAGCGCCGATGTGTACCTCTTCCGGCAAATCCTCCACAACTGGGACTTTTCGCACTCTGTCCAGATCTTAAAGAGCACCGTGAAGTCTATGAGCGAGGGCTCGCATATGCTTGTCATGGACTTTGATCTCCCTGAACCGGGCTCTGTGCCCTCGGTAAACGAGCGTGTGGGGCGCTCTCGGGACGTTGTCATGATGCAGTTGTTCAACTCATTTGAGCGTGATTTGTCTGACTGGAAACTCCTTTTCGCAGCCGTTGACCCACGGCTTAAAATCAACGCTGTGAATACGCCATTTGGCAGTTTCTGTTCGGTCATTGACTTGATTTTGGAGGGTTGATTCATGAACTGTGGTTACAGGACGATGTATGAAGCTACAGCTCGACCCAGCGGTGCATGCTGATTTATCGACTTCAGTGTCCACAGCAAACGGCTCGTACTGACAGGACTTGGGGTCGATTTTAGTGCTATGGTATACCAAAGCCAGTGTGTTTTCAACGAATGCACTAACGCAAGCTTTCGGTAGAAATGAGGGAAAAACCACTGTGTGGTACGGATCTTGGGAATGCTCTATTGTTTTTGTTCTTCGGGTACTGGATCTGATCGATATGCCGATTTCTTGTTTGTAAGCATATTCTGCTTTCAATCAGGTTGGAACAAAAGCAAGGAGCTTCTCCCTTGCTTTTGTACTTTTACAAAGACGACCATTTGAAGCTCTGAACGTGACTCGACCCGATCAGACTGCCTATCGTCAGCATTAGCTCCAGTGCAAGACGTAAGACACTTCAACACCTGCACTCCTGTCACCTCGGCATATCACGCAATTTCCCCGCCATATTGCGCCTTTTCCAGCCGAACCTCAATATACCACCCGTCCACGAACTGACCACCAACAGTCCGTGACTCGCTCGTCGTGAAGAGCGACAGCTCAATTCGCTGGCCGTATTCAAGATCCTTTTCTGAGACCGTTTCCTTGGCGAGCAGAACAAGCCTAAGCCGCGGCGAGAGCCTGTGCTGTGGCTTATCCGGGATGGCCAAGTCCCACTCGAACTCTGCCGTTTTGTGCAGAATGGCATCGTATACACGACGCAGCCGATCAAGCAGCACAGAATCAGCGACATAGATCGTAACTTCAGCCACACCGATGGCCGCTGAGGGATGCCGGGCCAGGCTGCCGCCGGCAGAGGCGTAGGGGACACGCAGCTTGCGCTCAGTCCGGTCGAGACACCAGAACGGGAGCAGACCGCCGCTCAGGTCAGATTCTGGCCCTTTGGACCCTCTTGAGATGGCCGCAGGCGAGGCAGTGGCCCACTCGAGGACCACGCCGTCGGGGGTGGTACGGCCGCCAGCCACAAGGTCTTGGTACACGAACCCGACATCGGCTGCGCGAACACAATCCTGGATCTGCTTGAACTCTTCGTCGGCTTCTTCAAACGACATAGCGAGGCTCAATGCCCAGTCTATGATGCGGCCCTCGGGCTGTGCGCCCCAGCGGTGCGATCGGCGACCAGAGTCGCCCTCGCCATTGCCTTTGCTGACAAACGCAATTAGCTCAAGGTATATGCCGTCCTGGAGCAGGATCAGCTTGTTCTCCGTCACACCACCGGCATGCTGACCGCCATCGATCACCGTAAAGGAGTCGGTCACCCAAGATGGCAGAGCATGCAGTTGTGGCCGGGGGACCAGTATCACGATGTGGTCGAGAGTGGGACTCATTGCGTATTTGGACAGTGCGGCACAAGTGCGTGGAAAGAAGAGGGGTTATGTACTCCGAAGAAATCAAAATACGGAGTATTCCCTATAAATTGATCTGTACTCCGTATCTGGCCTGCTTCGATTCATAAGATTTCGCCTCGAGACGCTGCGATTTGATGGAATCACGCCATTATCACTAACAGTAGCCCGATAACGGAGTATCTTTAAAATCATGTTGGCTTGATGGACTACGGAGTACTCTGTTAAAAGCTATTTTCATGTGATTTCAACCTTGTTACTTTCCATTGTACGACGTACGAGCACGGAAAGGAGACAGACCCTCGCTGTTTAGGATCATGTAGTAATAGCTGTTTCGCCTGACTCAACACACAGCCTGGGTGCGGACGAATATGCCCAGCGGCGCATGAACCTCCATCCCTTCGACCATCTTCGGCCCAATCTTCAGAACCAGGACTTGTATACGTCTCCAATCTCCATAGTGTCTCGCTACCAGCCGTGCCAGCGAGTGCTATCTGTGTACGTGCGAGTCCACGGAATTTCTGACGGCACTGGCGACTCTCTGGGCACTCTGAGTACAAACTGGAGGCAACTTGGCTGCGGCTCCGTACCTCAATAGCTTAGTTGCGCTTCACTTACCGCTTTTCTAGTTGCTTTTCTCGTTGCGTAACTCTTCTCTACTACTTTTTGCTTTTGTTGTTATTTGCTCTCGCTCTTTTCCAGAGAAAACTGATTCGCGGTGGTGCACGGACCATCTCGTAGACTTTTTAGCCTAGGCTCTCACTTTTAGCTTCCGAAAGCTCCTGAATACGGAGTACATAAGATACAACGATTTTCGCCCGTCATCCGTCCCTCCAACTGGAGGTGATCCCGGTCTGGGTGTGAGAGAGACTGAGAGAATTCATTCGTTGTTTCTGTCTTTGTTGAGGGGTCGGCGATGCTCCCCCTTTTGTTGATTGTGCCTGGTGCTGGGCCTGAAAGAGGGAGGTGTGAAGGAGGAAGATTGGTTATGGTGAGAGGAGAGGTATCCCCCTCTCCCTAACCTACTGAATGCAAGCACCCGTTATTGATCGTCGACATCACCCCCTTCTTTCAGCTTCTTCTTTGTGTGTGTGTGGAGAGGTCATTACAGTCCTGCGAGGGAGGCAAGAGAAGCTAGTAGCTGTCTTCCTAGAACAACGATCTTTGCCTTATTAAATGACACCGTTGAAGATGCGGGTAGAGAAGAGAAACTTCTTTCTCTTGAGAATAACTGAAATTGACAAGCTGTGATTCAGAACCATCGTTGGTGTTTGTTTAGCCTTTGGCTCTCCAATTGCTTTCATCACTGTTTATATTCACGAAAGACATACCACAAGGCGAGAATGACGGAGGCCTTTGCCGCAAGCACAGCCGTGAACAATGGGCACCTGTTGCCCTGGGAATACATTCTACAAATGGACAAGGCTACACAACAGATTCAGAAGCATTGGTGGGCCAGAGTGTTTCGCAATACAATATCAGCCAAAGAGTAGCGAGTCCTACCGATTTGTCACTGTGTCAATCTGTCAAGGCAGTTCTGGGTAGCCCGCCAAAAGCTCATCATTGTCCGTGCTGAATCGAGTGTTGCGCGGCGAGCCAGACAAGATAGTCTATGGAAAAGGCAGTTGCCTACATCTAGCCATGAGTGTGCAATCCATGCTGCATATGCAAAGGTGTTTCATGCGAAAATGGAAGAAGCCGCCATCGATTCCGCTGTAGCCGATAAAAGCAATCTTAGTTGGGGGTAGTAGCAATTATTTTTATAAAGGTACAAAAACTATTGTACATAGTGGTTCATCTCTACAGCTTTCAGATTCTTCTTAGGTTTTCTTTAGATTTGCCTCTTGATTATTCCTAAGACTCCTCTTACATATCTTTGCTATTAACCGCCAACCCTCAAACAAAGTCTTTGCTAATGTCACAACTGATGCTTATGGCAGGGGTAGCGGTGCACTGTATGGGGTCTGAACGGTGTGGCTGATGAAGTGCGTGATGTATCTAGCTAGAAAGGAGTACTCCGTACATGGCGCGCCTTCATTGGTGCAGAGGTTTCACTGGGGCTAGTCCCCAGTTTTATCTGTCTGACCAATGAGAGGCCGCTTTGCTGACATTAGTCAGAACGATCACAGTGCGCTCCATTCTAGAGCTTCACAGCTAACAGCGATAGCCTAGCCTAGCACTATGGTTCTAGATGCAGTTGTAGTCGTTGGGACTTGGCATGTCGGACCAGCGTAAGGACAATAACAGTTGGCGGTGACTTTCCAGAAATGGGTCCCAGCCATCCTGCCACACTGCCTGCACCAGCCCTCGGGATGGCCTACGTAAGGAAGACGTGATTGGATAAACAGCCTTCGCTAATAAACTAAACATAGTCTTTAATCTTATGCATGCCTCTGACTGCTTTACTGGACTCAATGTCTTGAACGAGCTATTAGGAAAGAGTAATTATCTATGTAAAGCAGGCATTCTCCACAAAGACACCCTGTACGTCGTACCAGTGTGCTTCCTCCCTCACCAGCGTGTAAAGAGGTAGTTTCGTTTCTTCCGATTGGCCCTCTAATCGCATGCGGCAACTGGAAGGCTCGGTAAAATCGCGCGACATATGAGCGCTGTCTCAGTGGACCCGTGAACTGGCACCGACATGTAATTGTCCTGGGTTGTTACTGCTATACTCACCAGGGCCGGTCCCTTGTCGCTATCAACACGGACAAATATGCGTCCCCCGGCCATGGCGGTTGTCACAAGCGGCGGCACATCGATAGAGAAACCTTTAGTATCTCTGCATTCGAATAACATTTCGAACGGTCCAGATTTCTCCAGATGCATGCGCGTCTCGTTGCGCATCAAGACGGCAATCAGAATCTGAGGATCGATTTTGGTCACCGACACCACCTCACTTATAGAGTGGCAGACGACTTGACCTTGCATAAAGTCACGCCAGGGCCAATTCTCCACGTGTCGCGACTTGAGATAGACCATGATAAAGCCGGCTGCCGTCCACAGCAGAACCGTCAAATTGGACGGGTCCACGCCTGTGATGCGCTGACCCAACGCCATGAGCCCAAGTCCACCCATAATCAACAAACCAACGAGGCCTAGGACGGCATACGAGTACCAGACGCTAGTGATGGTGTTGCAATTTCGATCAATGGTCCATTCGCCGACCTGCTCAAGTGCCTGCTCGTATTTTTGGTTTGTGTCATCGTAGTTTTGGCGGCGTTTCGTTTTTAGCTGGTCGTCAACTGTCAAGGCTTACGCTCTTTCCTGTGCAAGCATCGTTCCATAGACCCCTTCGATGCGAGATTGGAGACTTTTTCCTGTCTGACTTTCCTTAAGTTTTCTCGATGTGTATTTGCCTGTACAGATGCGCGATGTCGCCAGGAAGACAGATGGTAGGTAGAACGTAGTCGACTGTGTTAATGGTCTGGAACGCATAGAAAGGAAGCAGAAGTCCGAGAGACGAGAGACAAACTGGCCACAAAACATAGCGTGGGGAACCAGAGCGGTAATGACATGCTTCATATCGACCAACGTGCGACTCTGCGTCTGCACCTCCCCCTTTGCATTCTCCGTCCAGCTCCAATCTAGGACTGCGAGACCGGGTTTTGGTACGCTCGTATTTTTCAATTGTGTCCATACGTCCTTGCACACATCAAAGGCCACCCCTGCACATCGGACCGCATGACGGCTTCCTGTTGCCCCAATTCCACCCGTCAGTTTTCGGCAGAGATGGCCCCGGGCAGGACGGAATCCAGTGTGGTATATGATAGCGCTGGCCTCAAAGTCATCGCTGCTTTGATTTCTCTCTGCACCCCATGTAAGCTCGGACAAGATGTGCCAAAACAGCAAAGACGCATTTTGGGCAAAAAACATTTTTGTCATGTAGTAAAACCAGCCTGGCAGATGCCTTCTGTCATTCCAGGCTCGACCGTGAGGATTTTTGACGTCTTGTTGAGTATCATCGTTATGCTTGTGAAGGGTTAAACGTCTTTGCATGGATCTTCGAGTGTTCAAAACATCCGAGATTGCTCCAGGAATGTCATTTCCAACGACTTTTAGCTTTGCTGATAATCTAGCCAGACTACCCAGACAGTTTTCTACCCATGTCAGATTCTCGGCAACCCGGATGTAAGTCCTCGCGAGGATAGCTGTAATGTAATTGACAATTGCGTGGTAGGCTTCCTTGTTGTTCTTTACAAATTCTCCTATACTTTTGTCCCGAATGCTATCCGCATCGGAACCACCGAATATGGAGCTTTTCAGCTGAAGATCACGTATTCTTTCGACAGAAGCCAATGCTGGCCAGTGCTTTAGAAGGAGAATTTCCATGTCAAGTCCACAAACAATATTGGCAAGGTCTAGTGCCCATACTAGCGTATGTAATCGGTTGTATCCACCTTGGTCAGCATGCCCAAAGAGCTTTGGGTCGCCTTCCAAGGTCGGCGCATTGGCTTGCTCCGCTGCCTGAGCCAGCCGTTTCAATTCAATCTGCCACATAACCATTTCGGTGTCTTCATCGATTTCGTAAGGTCCCAAATCGTCAAACTTGGCTAGATCTTTGAGCTCGATGCCATCTTCAGTCCAGAAGCTTTTGTGGTCTCGAAGCTTTTTTAGGCCAGTGGCGATATCAATTTCCATTGGTTTGAAGGGCTTCTTATCAATGTCGTCGTGGTCGTCTTCAGCTTGCTCGACTTTGCTCACTCGTGGCTTTTTGGCTCTTACGTTGTGAAATCCAGTCATTATGGAGAACAAGAAATGACGATAATCTTGCAAGCTGTTGGCTGCTATTAATAACAGTATGGAAAATGTACAAAGGCGAAAGTAGTTACACAGGAGACAGGAGAAGCAAGAGAATACAAAAGCGTAAGCAAGCATTATATAGTAGGAGTTTGCAAGGGAGCCTACGCACAAATGGGGTTTTTTTTTTCATTTAGACTTAAGGCAATAACTCCTAGTTACCCACCAATAATAATACATAAATCCTGCACCATCGGCGCCTATATCTCATCCAAGGCAATGCCAAGGCAAAAAAACAAGGCGATTCCAATATAAGGCGGAAGCTACTAGCCTCCGGCCAATAATACCACATAGTAGCTTAGCCTTGTCTCCCACACTTGCGCCATCTTGTATTTAGTACATGTTAATGCATCTCTTAGGCAGAAATGAGAGGTATTCTATAAGCCTAATTAAGATATAAAGCGAGTCTATTCCTGGGAGTAAGTCCTCTTCTGTTTGCTTTCGTCTATCTTATTTTCGCGCTAAACAGGAACAGAAAATGGAAGAACCTCAAGGTTTTAGCCAATATGCCGAATACTTGTCGCGTCAAGGCCACAACGCAGACAATTTTAATGGCAAGTTCAAGGTTATCAGTCAAACTCATATTGACAACAAAATTATAATCGCTCCCTCCACAGAGAACCGTCCACAAGGGAAACGGCCAGGCAAGAGAAAGTATGGCGAGTTCTCTGTTCTACTCCGCCGAATTGTCATAGTTAGGAAGGACCAAGAACGTGTTCATTCACAGTTGGAGATTCAGTTCAATGTGCTCCGCTTAGAGTTTCGCAAGTTGGCGTCGCATCTAACAAGCATAAACTTGTCTGGCGGTACAATCTTCATAAGTGAGCCATACAAAGAGCTATACTACTGTCGAGATAAAGTGAGACATGCTTTGGAAAACTCTCATAATGAGGCGGTCCGTTGCGAGCTGCAGCTTCTGGAAGATTTTCAGACCAATCACATGCAGGAGACATATCAAATCATCAACATATTCAAGAAAAGTGGAACAATTGACTTTGCCTATCTATGGGCGCTCTTCTTACCCGGAGCTCAGCTTGTCTACGAGAGTCGCACAGTACCGGGCAGTCCAAATCCCGTAATAGAGGAATTGGTCTTTTTTGAAGTACACACCAGAAACGACAATGTATTCTGGTCCATAACAACAACGTTTACCGGATACAACGGTCGAAATTTCGGGAAGATTAAGAAAAACACAACGCATTCGGCATTTGCAGGAACAATAAAGATAATCGACCTTCCAATATATCCTCTAGAGTTCTGCGGACACAAAGACGAAGTCCTTCGGATAGCAGAGGAGCGTGGCCGAAAGTTTGAACAATATTGCATATCTAGTTCAGAGTCAGCTTCGTCTCCAGCTGGGACAATTATGACTTACGATGGCCCAATTTGGACCCCTCGTACTTGTACGTACGGCAACCTGAGTAAATGCACGGTCAATGACCTTCCATCAGACTCGGTAAGCTCGTATTTGCGTCTTTTTTCATTTTCATCCAACAAGCGGGGATTTGCTCTGGTCGATAAATTGGAGACTGTAACATGGAAGACTACCGTCATCGAGCATCTACAATTCGAAGAGAGCACTAAGGTCACACTTGGACAAATTGTCCGAAATCATTCTTCTGGAGTGACTTTGACGATTTCATAAGTGGAAAAGGCCGTGGGTTGGTCATTCTTCTTCACGGACCACCAGGATGTGGCAAGACAATGATGGCAGGTATGTACTTACAGCGTATTTTCATAATGAAGGGGTTTGGCTCCATCTAACATTTTCAAAGAGTGCATTGGAGAAATGAAAGCAGTATACAATGTAGCCGCAGGCGATCTCGGTTCGTCTTCCCAAGAGGTTCAAAAAACCCTCCAATCAGCATTTAGATGGGCAGAGCGTTGGGACGCAATTCTTCTGCTTGACGAAGCCGATGTCTTTATGGAAGAGAGACACTCGCAAACCCCGGAGCGTACTGCTGTGGTTTCTGGTGCGCGAAGGAGCCGTGCCCCTTTCCCTTGCGTCTCTTCAATATCTAACTAAATAAAACGCACAATAGTCCTTCTACGGTTGCTGGAATACCAAAAAGGCGTGGTTTTCCTAACAACTAATCGAATCGAGAATTTTGACAAGGCCATCCTCTCGCGTATTCACGCCACGGTCTCTCATCCAAAGTTATCGCAAGATCTTCGCAAGGTGATCTGGACCGAATTAGCAAAGACGCGAAATTGCGATTTGTCAGATGACGAAGTCCACGAGCTTTCTCAGTTGGAAGTAGATGGCCGGAAGATCAAGAACATACTAAGACTCGCCTCCTTGGTGGCTAAGGACAAAGATGTGCAGTTTGCAGATATCAGGAGTGTATTATCGCTAGCAATTGGTAAGGATTAAGAGATGGATAAAAGCACGGAGCGGGGTTTTATCTTTTTAAATACAACGCCCTCGTTTTTTTATTCGCAGTAAGCGTGCTAGACGTTTTATAGTACACAATGAAAAGGAAGCTGCTTCGAGTGACGACGGTGTCGGTAGGAACTTTGTACTAGAATAGTAACGAAGAATGGGTTGTGTTCAACCTCCCAGTTCGTGCTCCACCCGTCACCTGATTTGACGACCAATCCGAAACACGTGACCATTATCACCCACCCACTTGCCTAAACAGGAGTGCAAGTCTCCGCGATTTCGCACAAAATACCGCCTCTCTTTCGCAACCTCCGGCAATCGGGAAAGCAAATGTTCAAGATGTCACAGCGCCCGGTTATTGCGATTTGCGGTCTTGCCTGCGAGACGTCCATGTTCACGCCGTCCCGCACGGGGGCAGCTGCATTTCACGCCAAGACTGGCGAAGCGGCCGTGGGCCTCTACCGCTTCCTCGATGCAGGAACGCCACTAGCAGCGGCAGCTGATTGGCGGGGAGCTCTGATCGGACGGGCTCTGCCAGGCGGAATGGTGACGCGGGAGGCATACGAGGAGCTGGCGGGCGAGATGGTGTCGCGGCTGGCGGCGATAGTGAGGAGCGTGGCGCTGGACGGGCTCTGGTTCGACATCCACGGGGCGATGGTAGTGAAGGGCCTGGACGACGTGGAGGCCGATCTTCTGGAACGCGTACGTGCGGTGGTGGGTGCGGCGGTGGTGGTGTCTGCATCGATGGACCTGCACGGCAACGTGTCGCGGGCGCTGGCGCACATGGTCGACCTCATTACGTGCTACCGGCTAGCACCGCACGAGGACGAGCTGGAGACGAAGGAGCGGGCGTGCCGCAACCTGGTGAGCTGCCTGTCGAGCTCTGACAAGGGCCGTCCGATCAAGGCGTGGGTGCCGGTGCCGATTTTGCTGCCGGGCGAGCAGACGTCAACGCGAGACGAGCCGGCAAAGCACGTGTACGCGGCCGTGTCCGTGGTGGAGGGGTTGCCGGGGATTCTGGACGCGGCCATCTGGGTGGGCTACGCATGGGCAGACGAGCCGCGCAACCGGGCGGCCGTGGTGGTGACGGGCTGGGACACAGAGGCGGTGGCTGCGGGTGCCGAGCGGCTGGCCCGGTTGTTCTGGGCAGCACGCGCCGATTTCCACTTTGTGGCGCCGACCGGGTCACTGGACGAGTGCCTGGATGTGGCGCTGGCATCGGATGCGGCGCGGCCGTACTTTGTGTCGGACTCGGGCGACAACCCAACAGCCGGCGGATCGGGTGACGTCACCTGGGGCCTCCAGCAGCTGCTGGCACGTCCCGAGTTCAACCCGCAGAGCAGAGCTGATCCGCCGCTGGCACCCCATATCAAAACGGTCATTTACGCCAGCATTCCCGGGCCGGAGGCCGTGCTCGCAGCCGTGGCCGCCGGCGTCGGCAACACAGTCACGGTGACGGCCGGTGCAGCCGTCGACAACCTTCACGCCGGTCCCATCACGCTGACGGGACGCGTGCACGCAATCCGCCACGGCGACCGCTACGCGCAGATCGAGGTGGTCCTGCAGGTGGGCCGGGTGTTTGTCATCCTGACAGAGCTGCGCAAGCCGTACCACTATGAGCATGACTTTACCAACCTGCGGCTGCAGCCACGCGAGGCGGACATTGTGCTCGTGAAGATCGGCTATCTGGAGCCGCAGCTGTACGACATGGCGGCTGACTGGATGCTGGCACTGACGCCAGGCGGCGTCGACCAGGACCTGCGGCGGCTGGGTCATCGCCGGATCCGGCGGCCGTTGTGGCCCTTTGACGACGACACGGCCTTCGGGGTGCCGCCAAAGCTGTCGGCACGCATTATTCCACCGTCGACAGAACCGCTGACCGGACCGGACGAGTAACGGACTCTGGACGCGATGATGCGAAGGACACGTATATACTTACGAGTGACGTACGAAGTTACTGTCGGTTAAGCTGAAGTCAAAATATACTATGCATCGTGCAGGGGACGGATCCACAGTATCGGCCGACTAATGCGTTTATGCTGACACTTCCGGGTGAAAGGCAGAAAAGTTCTCGCGCTGACCCACAGTGGATCGACTATTAGCAGATCTAACCGTGCCAAGTGCCGAACCAAGAATCGAGGCACTGCCACACCCAACGTCAGCAGCAGCAGCGCCAACTAAGATCAAAATGCCTCCCAAAGGTGGTCGAGTGATGAAGCAGGTGCAGGCGGCAACGCGTCGGAGCAACCGCAACAAGAGCCTGGCTGTGCGGCTGCAAAAGCAGCAGGGCGACGATGTCGAAGGACAGCAGCGACAGAAGGAGGAAGGCGAGTTGGTGGACGAAGGTGAGGAGCCACAGGACACGATTCGCGACGAAAAGAATCGAGATGCCATTGCGAAGCTGTCGAACGTGCCCCTGTCTGAGGAGCAACAGAAGCTGCGGGATCACGTGCTGCAGTTCTGCCGCGACAGCCTGCGGTCGTACACAAAGACACAGCGACCGTCAGTGTTTGTGATCCAGGGCGATGCTGGGACGGGAAAGAGTGTGGTGCTCAACGCGCTCTTCAACGAGCTGCAGCGACAAGCTCGCGAGACGGGAGAAGGAGAGAAGGAGAAGGAGGAAAAAACGACAACGACCAAGGCGACCAAGGCCAAAGACGGCAGCACGCTGGTCGGGACGGAAAACTATCTGGTAGTCAACCACCCGGAAATGTTGAAGCTGTACCACCGCATCTCAGCGCAGTTCCCCTTCATCCGCAAGACCGACCTGGAGCGGCCGACATCGCTGATCAACCGGCTGCAGAAGGAACGGCCGCGTGGACGCAGTGCAGCCGATGCGGCAGCCGATGTGATTCTCGTGGACGAGGCGCATCTGCTGCTGTCGAAGAAGAACGCGTACAAGCGGTTCTTTGGCGACAACCAGCTGGAGGAGCTGCTGAAGCTGGGCAAGGTGCTGGTGATTGTGTTTGACGGCAAGCAGTCGCTGCGCTTCGACGCCTTCTGGGATGACGCCAAGCTGGAAGACTTTCTCGGGGGATTGGCTGGGGGAACTGCTCTGACGGTTGAGCGCCATCAGCTGGGTGAGCAGTTCCGTGTGGCTGCCGCGCCCGACATGCAGCGCTGGATCCAGGCGCTGTCAGTTGAGCGCACGGTGCTGCCGCGGCCACGCATCGACGCTGATCGACGAGCGGCCGGTGATCTCGATGCGTTCGACTTCCGCATCTACGACGATGCGGGCGAGCTGTACCGCGCCCTGATGCAGCGCAACGAAGAGCAGGGCGGTGGCTGTCGGCTGCTCTCGACGTACGACTGGCCCTATCGCCTGCCCAAGCCCGGACAGGGTGGTGCTGCCCAGAAGGTCTGGCATGTCGACTGTGGCAGCTTTCGCATTCCCTGGGACAAGTACCTGCCGCAGATCCGCGAGCCCTGGTCCGAGCAGCCCGACAGCTATCGCTACTGCGGCAGCGTCTACACCATCCAGGGCTTTGATCTGACCTATGCTGGTGTCATCCTCGGCCCCAGCGTCGGCTACGATGTTCAGACCGACCGAATCGTCATTCACACCGACCGCTACGAGGACCATGCCGCCTTTATGGGCCGCAAGAACGACGAGTCCGCCCTGGCTGACAAGGAGCGCATCGTCCTCAACTCCGTCAACGTCCTGCTCACCCGCGGCGTCCGCGGCTTGTACGTCTACGCTTTCGACCCCGCCCTGCGGAAGCGTCTGCTCGCCTGCTGAAAGCTAAAAGCCGGATGCGGGATGCGGGAGGCTGAAAGGCCGGTCCCAAGATCCGCTGCGTGTTCTGTTCCTTTACTCTTATCGTGCCCCACTTGCACGGCCAGTATATAATTATGTTACGTAGATAGATTCAGTGCCTAATAAATCAGACTGTTAGACAGGCATTCTTTGTTTCTTCTGCTAGCCTTGAAGAGGTAGCACACGCACTCGAGATTTTCCGAGGATTGAAGATCTGCAGGCGGTTCTATCGCCCCATTTACGCCTCGGCTGTCACATGGCTGCTGTCATGGCTCCGAGATGTTCGCGAATTGCGCATAGAGCAATGGCATCTATGCGACTTTCACAGTATGTTTCCAGCCGTATCTTGCCTGCTGCAGGTGAAGAAAAAGGCCTGTCTTTGGCCTCGACTAAGAATGCTCGCCCTCACGGACAGCTCTCTGGCGCACGATAAGCGTGGAGACGAGATCATTGCGACTGCAGGACGCATGGCCCTAGAGATGCCTAAGCTCGAAAGCTAGGAGTTGTGGTTTACAGAGAACGGGCATGCCTTCTTATTTCGCCATGAGACCAACCCGCCACAAATCACAATGGCGGGAACGTGGGATGTCCGGCCATTCTGGATAGATCCATGCCGCAAATTGTGGACGACAACGGCCCAACAAGACCCCAATCATCAGCTTCAAGTACAAATTGGCCGCTTGCCAATCCAAAGATGTATAAAGGCCTCGATGTATAGCGGCCTATTAAGATATCCAAAGTTGCGTGACAAGATTGTGGTCTAGTTTCCCGCTACCAGATGGAAGCAGAAGGAGGCCGTCAGCATAGAGCCACATGGTACAACACGCTTCCTCTCTCGAAGAGTATTGCTTGTAGTAGTAGACAATACTCTTTTTCTAGGTGCTTTGTGCATTGCTTAATGTTGTATAGGTGGATGATCTCACGGCAAGCTCCAATAGAGGACGATCTTCAATCCTATCGAGTTTAGAGGGGTTCTACATAAGACTCCCCGACTATCGCTATGTGGTTAGACACTACAAAAACGGCGGGTCTGACCCACCAGCCTACCAACAATGGTGTCTTCGGGACGGGAAGATTGTCAAGGTCGGCGACATGGAGATTGCGGGCGACTATATCCACTGTGTTTGTCTTATCTTACGTTCTTAGTATATTTTTGTTTTCGTTTTTTCTTCGTCTCTCCTAACACACGTTCTACAGAGAAGCCCTTACTTGTTTTCCAAGAGACCAACCATCAGCGATGACAAGGGCCCCCCAATCTCGTCCCCATCTAAGGACACGCGATCGTTCTTTCGAACCGTATATAATTCGGAAGTAGGGAAAGCGGTGACGTACTGCGAGAAAGTTGGCAAATTGCACTGCCTCAAGGTCCGTGTTAGATTGCCTCTGTTATTCATACGAAGGCGCATGTTCTATACAGCGCAAAAATACCAAAGAGGACTTGTATTTCATCTAATAAGCTACGATCCCTCACTGTTAATGAAGACACACTTAAAGAACAAGAAAACAGGCATAGGTATGCTTAGTGGAAGAATTATGAAATGAAACTAGTCTACCTATCCAATCAAGTGAGTTAAACGGCCCCGGAAATACCGGCGCGCTTTCCCGGGTTCTCTAATGTCTATAACTGTTACTGTGGAGCTCTCTCTAACGTGATGTAATCACAACTCTTCATGTACTCCGGCACTGGCTAACTTCCTGTCCTCAGTCTCCTGCCCTGGTGTCACAATCCCCCGCTGACTCTCACCGTCAAGACTGCCGTCGTCTAGTTTGATGGCCCCACCAGCGTTGCGGCTGCTTCCTTGGCCAAAAGTGCGGAGGTGGTAGGAGTCAGAGGTCTTGGAGTTTGACTTTCCACCCGTACTTAGGTCAGAAAAGAAGCGAATCTTGCGGAGAAGCGGCCGTAAAGCAGCCATCGCTGCTGCCAAGATGCTGAAGGCGATTTCGAGAATAGAGCTATAAGAGTCAGTGTGGGATGTGCCAGCCAGCCAGGCTCTGAAAAAATAGAACTTACTAAATGGTAGCCTCGAGGTCAGTATTGATAAGGTCAGCCGAAGAGAGGCTGTCGTTCCCCTGCATATGCTGTATGACGATAACGTACTTGAGACGAATGATAGTCGCCACAGAGGTCCTGGAAATAGATGCAGGTTAGATCAAAGGACATGTACTTTCCAGTCCCAGGCAGTGGCACGTACAAGGCTCCCAGTCCAAGAATGACGATGGTAGTGATCTTGACCTTTAAGGGAATGCTTGTCTTCCACAGCGTGTAGACAGGAAGAAATTATGGACGGTTAGCGGATCGAGGGCGGAGGATCGAGGCGAAATAGCAAGAGAAGACGAAACTCACGGCACTGAACCAGCTACTGACGACAGCCTGAGTGGACAACGCCAGTGCAGCCTTGCCGATGGTGGATGTACTGAGGCATGTGCCCGTGCCGACGTCCCAGGCTACGGAAAACGGCCGACACTGCAACGAAAAGACGATAGTGGCGCCGATGGTGAAAACGGCGACGACGACAATGACGACAATTAGGATGACGCGTGCCACGTACATGTCGGAGTGCTTCGTCAGGCGTAACAGCACGACGGCCACGGCCAGCTTGGTGATACCGGAGGACAGAATGTAGAGAATTTGCGCAATGGTAAAGTACTGATCTGTCAGTGACGCGAAACTGTGAGAAGTGACCGATTCGAACCCACCATGGCGGCTTTTAGCATGTCGGAGATCGGCTCCAAGGTGGTGGAGCCAATCCCAAAATGTATGGCCCTCATCTCCATGGCACCGAAGATGACGAAGCCGACCTTGACCATGTCAGAACGAATCTTAGCGACAGCACGACCGTGAACGGAGACATACCAGAGCTACCACGATTAAGGCATCGTCGATGCCGAGCGACTTGGTATCTCTGCGCGTGTACACGCGCAGAGCGACAACGATGGAGTCGAGAACTATGAAGGTGATAATGTGCGGATAGTAGACATCGCGCACAGCCATATCGGGGAATTCGGTGAGTTCGGGGTTTCGAAACTTTCGGGGAGCCGGGGATGGCTGTCGGGAATAAAGGTGCCGAGAAGATGTGCCGGATCAAGCGATAGTTGGTACGGAGTAGAAAGAGTGACTACTCCCAGGGAGACGGGCTGGTATTTCTGTCTGGCCTTCTCAGACTTTTACTACTATGTATGTGTGCTGCCAAGTCCTCCCCTTCTGATAAATGAGTGCTTCTTATTGCCTTCTCACGGTTACTTCCAGGGGCCAATAAGAGCCATTGCTAATCGTACTCTTACAGCCTGACACAACAGAGAAAAACGGCGAGAAGAGATATGCGCATCTCCAGACACAAATTGGGCGCTTCCTGCGCAGAGCGGACTGCATACGACGTACGTTCATATTCCGGTAAACCCTGGCAGACACTCGGTAAGAGACTCGGACTCGTATTTGTTCGTAGTCCATAGTATGGGGTATTGGGGGCAGATTGCCTCGTAGGGACATGGGTCAACCCCACGAGTCTGTCACCGGCTTCCCAATTGGGTCTGGTCGAAGCATCTTAAAACCCCCGAATATATATCAATGCGGCAGCGCAGTGCAGAGAAGGGTCCCTCTGTTGTGGACCAACAGCCCCCTGGGCGTTAATGCCTCCGTGCACAGTAAGGCCTGACTAGTCTGGCCACCGCTGGATACGTCGTACTCCATTGTTCGACGCAAGGACCTAGGCTTTATGGTGTGTTGTCCCCATTCTCCGTGGCCACACGGATGAGGAGCCGTCTGGCTCGACTTTTGTTTCACGGCCAGAAAAGGTGGATCCGGTGAGCATCACTACTACGATGCCGGCGAAGCCATGTAACCCCGGCTTTCTTGTCCGTAGCGAGAGGCCTTCTGCCCAAGAGTGGGGAACTGTGAAACTGACTGCTGCCTGTCCTTTACCTTCTCATATATTCTTGGACACCACACGCCGCAACTGCCGCTGTCTCATTTTCGCTTTCCTGTCCCTTGTCTAGCTTTCTCTACTTAGTCAGCCGGAAAACAGTACCAGGAACAGCTGCCAGCATGGCTTCCAACGACAATTTGGCTCTGGTGATGCCCAACACCCACGAGGAGGTTACGCTCAGCTGGCTGCAGGCCATCCTGGATGACAAGACCATCTCGGCCTTCAACATGACAGACAAGCGCATGTTCGAGACGACCAGCAAGCTCTACATCACGCTCTCGTACGACGGCCAGGATGCAGCCGCAGACGCGCCCGCGGGCAAGCCCAAGCACATCCTGCTCAAGGGCGGCTTCAGCCCGGCCATGTTTGCCACGCCGGGCTACAAGGCCCTCCTCCTGCGCGTCTTCACGCAGGAGGTCGACTTCTTCAACGGCTTTGTCAGCACGCTACCGGCCGACAGCCGTCTGCAGGTGCCCAAGGTCTGGTGGGCAGCCGCCTCACCAGACCAGGCCATCCTGGCCATGGAGGACCTAAGGCAAGCCGGTTTCGTGTTTGGCGACCCGACCCGGACGTACGGCCTGGCCTCGGCTCTGTCCGGTGTCGAGCAGCTCGCCGCACTGCACGCCGCCACCTGGGCCTGGACCGGCAGCGAGCACGCCTGGCTGGCATCGCCCATGTACGATGTCACTATGCGCAGTCTGTTCGCTATGTGGGAAGACCTCATCCTGGCCGACGGCCGGCCGGTGCTGCCTGGCATCATCCGCGACGACCGCGCTCGCACAAATCGTGCCATGGAGACGTACCTTGGCTCACGCAACCCGCGCTTTCGCTGCCTCGTCCACGGCGATCCGCACAGCGGCAACACATACCTGAACGCCCAAGACGAGTCCAAGGTGCGGTTCCTCGACTGGCAGATCGTCCACGTCGGCACCGCCTTCCACGACGTCGCCTACTTTGTCACCAGCATGCTGACCATCGAGGACCGGCGTGCCCACGAGTGGACCATCATCGAGCACTACCTTGCCGCCCTGGCATCCGCTGGCGGTCCTGCCCTCACCGTCGATGACCCCGAGGTGCGGCTCGAGTACCGCAAGGCCCAGTTCACCGGTCTCGGCTGGATGCTGACCCCCTACGCCATGCAGAGCAAGGAACGTGTCGTGGCCATCGTCGCTCGGTACGCCGCCGCAATTGTAGATCACAAAACCATTGAGTTACTGTCAGAAGAGCCGCAGGATGCTTGAGAAGTAGCATCCTATGTCGCGTTAGTGAACCGACTATTGCTCAGATACATTACTGCCTTGTTCGGTCTCCATTATCCATGTCCAATGCCTCCCTCTTACAAAGCGTGGACCTTTTACTGATGGGGAGAGAAGTGAAGATTGGCTGAAACTTCTGCGATAAGGTGGTCCGGGAACCATCGTACTATTTTCTTATTAAGAACCTATGTCAAAGTCCAATAGCATTAGGAGGCTAGATAGTTTGAAACAATTGATAAAACTTTACAAGGGCGCTATAATGTCATGGCCCATGGTATTATTTCGGATTATTCAGCTTACGTACTCCGTAGTGGTAAAGCCACTGCGGAGTTTTCGCGGCTCTGCTTCTTCGCTCGTTATTGGGCATCTGCATCCCTCGTTTACATCGTACTGCGTACAGCTACTACGATGCTTCCTCGGATTTTTTGCCGTAAACTTACCTCGATAGCGAATGAGCGAATGAATCTCCTTCGCAAAGTCTATGCGCCCTTTTGGGACATAGAGAATGGCACGCCTGAGTACATGGAGTTGGCCCGCTCTGGAAAGGTGTGGGAAGATTTTCATCGGCCTCAAGACAGCGATAAAATGGGGTACACGAAACTGAACCGGGTATGCTTTTGTTGGTTTGAGTATGAGCTGCATGTAAAACTAAGAGTGCTGGCTAATGCGTATACTAGGAATGCCAGGATACATTGCTGGAAATCGACAAAATTCGGAAGTCTATGAGACGACCGCCCAGTCTGATCGCCAAACAGCTTGTGGCAGAGTATGCACATCAATCGGTCCGTATTGAAAACAATCACCTTGGTCTAGGAGACAGTCACAAGATCTACGATTTTCTTGCGGCAACAACGTTTCGAGACATAGATATGGCATCTACCTCCTTGCGCAATCTTACGCAGGTCAACTTTCCTAGTCCTGCCCACCTCTTTCCCAAGGCCGACCAAAACGAAGTCCTCGAGTTGCGGAACCATATTGTGGTATCGCAGTGGATCGCAGAGACGGCGCTTCACTCTTCCGGTACCAGCGGACTTGACGAGGAGAATGTCCGTCTGCTTTCCACCCTAACGATGAAGGACTTAGGGCGAGATGGTCTTTACCCGTGGTCCTTTGGGCCGAGAGTTCCTCTAGGCAACTACAGAGAAACACCAATTGGTGTAAAGAGCAACCCACTTCGTATCTTCCCTTACCATATTGAAGTTCCTGCATGCATGCAACGCTTCTTCCAGTGGAAAGAGAATGAGCATGAGAAACAAGAGCTCCATCCTCTTATCCTTGCATGCCAAATCACCGCATATTTCTTGCATATACATCCCTTCCTGGATGGAAACGGCCGGGTTTCCCGGATGATAATGCACGACTACATGGTTCGGCAGGGCTACCTGCCCGTCATTTTTCAGCCGATGGAACGCGAGGACTATCTTTCTATGATCAGTGACGCGCAAGATGGGAAGCCTGAAGAGTTTGTCTGCAGAGTTGTTACAACGCAATTGGAAGCACTGTTCAGCTTATCACTTGATGGGTGTTAGATCTCTTTGTTTTGCCACGTCTCTGTTCTCTACTGTTGGCTTCTCTTCTTTTCTTCTGTCTTCAGATTGTTCTCGGCCCTTCCCACTCCTAATATTTATGGTGGCGATAATTCGTACTATTCCGTAGGGGCGGTGTTTCGAGTGAGTGGTGGAGCAAGAGGTAGTCGTATACTGCTTTTAATATGCATGCTTTCATCAAATGACAGTAACGAAGGCGGCGTTTGCACCCCGCCAAAAGCTCTGTCGTATCTAAAAACTGGCGCAGTAGTCGAGGATCCACAACGCGAAGAACAGATGTAGTTCTGCGGTAGCAGCTAGCTTTTACTCTGGACAATATAACATAATTATATTGACGTTGCCTTTCGGCCAACATAATTAGGACAAGAAGACGGAGCTCGCCGAAAGCAACAACTTCACACAACGTTACAGACGCGAGCACGCCGGTGAGCCAATATACGACGCCGTCAATAGCTCGGAGGAACATTTTCTTGTCACGAGGCCAGAGGGACCTTGCCTGCTCTCGGCCTTGCCGATGACCGCCAAGTTGCCGCCGCTGTGGCGATAGCGGCCGTTCTGAATTTGAACAAATGGAGAGACGCTCTCTCCATAAGACCTTTTTGACTATCTTTGGCAATTCTTAGCGTGCCAATCAAGCTTGGCGCGGCCGTCGATCAGCCGACATTTTGGTATGTAGACCAATAAAGAGCTGCTGTTTTCTCCAGGGACTTGTCTGCGCCTTCGTACGGCTGCATGATTGGCTAGCGGCATCACGTCTTGGCGCCTTTGGTTGACGGAAGGCTTGACTTATAAGCACGCCTCAACCTTGCCACTTTCTAATTCGCTAATCCTGTGACACGAACAGAAGTGGAAGGTACCTTTGTCTGCATAAATTCGCAGCAGTTTGGTGTGCAATTTCCTGCATATGCCATTCTAGTGTCTTTATCGTCATCGTTCCAGTCGCATTCGAAAGCTCGTCTCCTTATGACCTTCCCCTCCATTTGACACCTTACCGGACCCAATTTCTCCTACCATGATTGCAGCAGTAGCCTGTCAAGATATGTACTTAGCATTCTTCTGTGTGGCGGGCTTCATGCTTATAAATGAAAACCGGGGCTGCAGATCTCTTTCCTCGCCGGTTGCTTCAAGTACAAATGTTTCGCTGTCAGGCCTGCTCTGTATCGACGCACTTACAATCAGTATTGGCATTGATGAACCACCTTGTCGCATAATGTCTCTGTTCCGCAAACCTTTCAGCCGCAGGGCAGAGGAAACCAGTGTTGGAGACGAAGGTGCCCGCGTGATCTCAGATGGCGGCCTTCAATATGTCATAGAGAAAGCCGACAATGGCTCTCTTCCCGCCTACCAGGAGGCCACAGGGGCTCCGGTCGAGCACCACTCGCCTCTGGGCTACGGTGTTGGGCCCGTGACCATCATCTTTGTCAATATCAGCATGATGGTCGGGACAGGCGTCTATTCTACGCGTGAGTGCCATCGCGGAGAGTTTGCATGAAAACAAGGCATCGAAGTATAGACAGAAGAGGAGACAGGAAAACAGCTTTCTGACAGCTGCAGCTTCCACCATCTACAAGGGCGCTGGCTCTGTCGGTCTCAGCATGATATTCTGGGCATTGGGCTTCTTTATGTCGCTGGCGTCCATGAGCGTCTATCTCGAGTTTGCTTCGTACTTTCCCAACCGCTCTGGTTCCGAGGTCGTCTATCTCGAGCAGGCATTCCCGCGCCCGCGCTGGCTGTTCCCCACTACATTTGCCTTCCAGTCCGTGGCCTTGTCGTTCAGCAGCGGCAACTCCATCGTGTTGGCCCAGTATCTCTTCAAGACCAGCGGCCACACACCAACCAACTGGCAGCTCAAAGGCGTCGCCGTTGCCGGCTACACGGTCGCGACACTATGTGAGTATTTCATCAGAATGACCATTACGACAAGGCAGGTCACCGACTGACAAGTCGTGCTTAGTTGTCATCTTTCACACGCGAACCTCGTACATCATCTCCAATGTGATCGGTGCCGTGAAGGTCCTCACGCTCGTTTTTATCGCTATCACAGGCCTCGTCGTCCTGGGCGGTCACACTCGTGTTAAGGACCCCCATGCTAACTTCGTGGACTCGTTCACCGGGCACACCTCGGCGTACGGCGCCACCAACGCCATATACAAGATCATCTTCTCCTATGCTGGATACAACAACGCTTTTAACATGATCAACGAAATCAAAGTACGTGTGTCAACCACAGAATCTCTTGCTGTATCGAATTCTGATCGTTTTCGTCTCTTAGAACCCCATCAAGCAGATCCGCCGCAATGGCTTCATCTCTCTTGTAGTCGTGGCCATATTGTATATATTTGCCAACTTAGCCTACTTTGCCGCAGGTGAGTCTCCCACAAAGACTGGTCTCGATCCGCCTAAGCATTGAGCCTTGATTATTATTTACATTGCTCCTGTAGTGCCCAAGGCTGAGCTCGCCGCGGCCAAGCAGACAGCGGCCAGCCTCTTCTTTTCCCATGTTTTCGGCGATAAGCACTCCGTGCGTGGGCTCAACATCCTCATCGCCCTTAGCTCGTTTGGAAACCTCATTGCTGTGCTACTTGGCACTTCGCGACTTCTCCGCGAGTGTGGCAGGTTTGGAAGCCCTCCCTTCAACGTTTTGTTGTCAGTGTCTGACCCTCTTTAGACAAGGTATTCTGCCCTTTCCACGCTTCTGGACATCGACCCGTCCTTTTGGAACGCCCTTGGGCCCTTATATCGTCAAATGGGGCTTAACTATGATCATGATCCTTGCCCCTCCGGCTGGTGATGTTTTCAGCTTCAGTATTCCTGCTACATTGCTAATCGCGTTGATAATGCACACAGAATCTCTAATTTGAACCCTCTTTTTCACTCTAGTCACCGACCTGCAGGTGTATCCTTCGGCTGTCTTCAACCTCCTTCTGGCTTTTGGCCTGTATGCAGTGCGTTGGCGTCGCCGTCGTCTAAACTTGCCAAGACCGGTTTTCCGTGCCTGGGATGTCGTTGTAGGCTTCAGCATTCTCGTCAATGCCTATACCCTGGCAATGCCGTGGTACCCACCTCCAGGCGGTTCTCATGCCGGTGATGTTAGCTTTTGGTATGCTACGTATATTGTGACGGGAATTGGCATGTACGTAACCTATTTTCTCTCCATCATTCATTTCCTTGTCTTGTGCCTGCTGACAATTGCAGTCTTGTCGGCTGCGGTCTTTACTACGCGACCTGGGTATTCATACTTCCGCACTTTCTCGGATATCGCCTGCGTCAGGAGGTCCTGATTCTCGAGAATGGTGCCCAGTCGCATAAGCTTGTCAAAGTGCCTACAGAGGATGTGGCGACTTGGGACCGTGAGCACGACGCTGTTGGGCGACGTCTGAGTGACGGTGACGGGATCGCTGTTCAGCTTGCCGTGGAAGAGAAATTCGACGGAAAAGATGACATAGAGAAGCTCCATTGATCGAAGTTTTGTACTAGAGAAGTGTGCTCAACCAGAACCCAATCTTCTGTTTAATTTCCCGCATGTCTACCTTCCGGCGCACATTCTCTAGCTTAATTCTCGTCGGCAGTCTGTGTGCCTATCTTTCTCCGTGTGGTACAAACATTCATGTCGCTCTGGATGAAGAATGCAGCATTAAATGATTTCCAGGGGTGGGCTGGGTCAACCAGGAGAATATCAAAGCGGCGAAGGAGCTGCACGTTGTTAACTACGCTGGAAATAGCATCGCCTCGTACGCAATAGACAAAAAGAAGCTATGACCCACCTCTACGTAGACCTTGTTTAGCTCGATCAGAGCGACGTTCTTTCCCAAGCATTCGTAACGACTACCACCGGCAAAGTCCAGCATCAGGGTCTGGTCCATGAGTCGGTACTTTTCAGGGGAGATATTCAGCCAGCGTTCGGGACAAAAAATTTCTGCATCTTCACCGAAAATGGAGCGGTCGCGCATGACAGACCACACGGCCCAGGCGACACAAGTGCCGGAAGGAATGTGGTGGCCGCATATGATGTCGTCATGGTCAGAAACTTTGGGAAGCAATCCGGTTGCAGGCGGCCACATGCGTAGACCCTCACGGATAACGGCCTGAAGGTATGGGAAAGCCCGGGCCTCGGCATCGATGATGGGCGAAGAAATGCGACCGGCAATAACGCCTGCATCAATCTCGCGTTGTAAGCGTGTGTATGCATGGGGGCTGGATATCAGGAAGAGAAAAGTAGATCGGATAGCAGTGGCCGAGGTGTCAGAGCCAGCAATGATCTGCACAACAGCCTCGCCCTCAGCGTCAGCCTGAGAGAGCCCATGGGAAATAAATGAGCCGAGCATGTCTCGTTTGACCACAGGCGGGCTCGCGTAGCGTTCGCTGACGGCGTCGTGTGCCAGGTTCATAACAGTTCCAATACCAACCATCTTCCGGATATCAGGCATGATTCTTCGTAGCCATTGCGTCTGCATGAGGTCGACAAGCCCTGGAACCAGCGCAGTCGTCATCAGTATGGGCATAGTAGACTCGGTGGTGTGGATATACCCGAATGTGTCTGCATCAGCCTTAAGGTAGTCGAAGCTGCGTCCAAATGCCAACGACGAGATCACATCCAGAGTAAAGAACTGTATCTTGCGAGCAAGGTCAACTGTGACATAGCGAGACTTCTCCGTCCCACCCTTTTCGATGATAGTTTCGTCTCTCCTTCCATCCACTGACAGGTACTTGCTCTCAAGTAGGCGAACGAGGCCCAGAACCTGCTCATCATTAATATCATGGAGGTTGTCGACGTCTTTCCCGCCGTAGCCGGGCAAAAGCTTCGTACGCAGGTCGTCGTGTACGCATTCGTCCAAGGTAGAAAATGTGCTGTCTCGGTATGGATCCACGCGCAAGCCCCGGTACCAATATGCCCTCTTGTAGTCAGAATGAACGGACCAGATACGGCGAAGTTCGTTGGGGTCGCTACACACGACCCAATTTGGGCCAATACGGGCGAGAGGTCCTAAAGATAGACTTAGTAGGGAATGGAGGGGAGAATGGGCACAGTGGACAAGGGTCAAGAATCGGAATGACCGGAAAACATCAACAGACGTACCATATTTTTTATTAACGTCGTACAGTTCAAAGTTGAGTTCACCACCCAACTGCCGACGAATCAGCCACAAGTCTGTCCACCCTGTCCAGAATGGACCAGGTATGTGTCTGAGGCGAAAGTGGTTCTGAATACGCTTTGATACCAATATGTCAATCAACAACACGGCGCCTAGCGACACTAACGACCAGGTCATATCCCACAATCCCGCCGCGAAATCCTATCACAGCGACGATCTGCTGGTTACAAACTGAAGGGTAGTTCGGTTTGTCTAGACGATAACAGCTGGGTGCTAATACAACGATTAACTGGTTATGCAGAGTCCTTGGTATCGATTGAGGAGAGTTTTTGACGACAGAAGATCGCGAGAAACAGACCCGGCGAAGGTGGCGTAAAGGGGCAAGAAACCCGATCCAATTCGTTTGGCTGGTGCTAGTCTATATCAATAACATAAACTAAAGGATATTTTGCGTTATCAATGCATGTCGCGGATGTTGATGTGAATGTGCCCGAAAGCTATTAGGAACCGGTGAAGAAGAAGGATGGTTGGGTTGCGAAATGTGCGGCAGTATGGAATTACATGTCTTCTTTCAGGCCAATACGATATCTGACTGGGCCGTCGAAACACTATCTATTACACGCGCCACGAGGTAGACAGATGTGACAAGAACACATGCCAGCGAAGTCCCGGAAAGAAAGGTGTAGAAGAAATGCAATAAGACCAGTAATATCATCTTGTCGTTGAAACATGGAAAGCTGGGCCCCCGTCGAAGAGATCCTTTTCGTAGACCAAGGACAGAGAATAGATAAAAGGATGGGCCGAAGATATAGCGAAGGGTAGAACAGATATACGGAATGTGTACTCCGTACGAAGTAGGCCAGTAATGAAAAGGCAGCTGATATATGTTTGGTACCGAGACTGAAAATGGATAGTTTAGACGTACATGAAACTGGACTTTCTCACTCGTGTGACGGCCTGCAGTCATGGTAATCGCAGTGGGGTTTGCTGGACAATCCACAAGAAGTCTGAGCCCGAGATAGGACAAGAACGTGATACTGTGAAGGGGACGGTTTCAATATCGGACAGTTGGTCAGCTGGCCGTGGCAGACTGATGAAATAGCTATGATGTTCCGGCTTCTTCGGTCACGGGCCATGTAGATGTCATAAACGCCTTGATAGGTTGCCGCTCATATTGGCACCGCTTTAATGACGAGCTGGCCATGCGCAGCTGTCCATCTAGCGGGAACGATATGATAGCAGGAACAGAGAAACGCAAGCAAACGAGAACGGAAATAAAACGGGCGGATAGAGAAAAACGCGGCATAGAAGACGTACGATTAGACCGGATTGACGAAAATGAGCCGTGGCCAGTCATAAAAGGGGTGTGCCTGTGTGGTTCAGCTGCGCCAGGTTACGTCGAATACATTTGACGATGCAGAGACGGCGCAGAGCCGACTGGCCATGCAACGGAGGTGGTTGGGGGGCATGTCACGAGAGAGCTGGTAGGAAGCGCAAAAAGAAAACAGAAAGAAAACCGGTAGAAAACAGGTCTGAGAATCGGGCTGACTCAAACAAAAGGCGCCCGTTGGCCAATACGGTAGCTGCGTTGGGCCGTTTGCGAGGGCTGGTCCTGCCGTGGTTAATTGAAATTTGAGACCCTCCCCATTCGCCGACGGTGTGTTACCGCGGAAGCACAGGCTGCGATAATCCGACGCGTCACAAGAAACAGCCAGATGAGGAGAACAGGTAAACAGAGAGTGCTGAAGCGACGATTCACCCTCTACTAGTATGCAGCCCCATGCAGCATTCCGTTGGACGCGCCCTGAAAGCCAGCTGCCGCTTTTCGTGTCTTTCCATGTCTTCTCACCTCTCAGTTACCTCCCGCGCTCTCATATTCTAGCTCTTTTCGTACGCCACATAGCTTCTGAAATACGCGCTCTTGAATTTCACGTACTCACCGTCCTCCTTCCCCATATTTTCCTTTCTTTACGTTGCCATCCTCGTTTATCGTGGCCGAGCATCGTGTCCATCACTTATTCTTACATTTCCATACCTTGGCCAGACCTCGCTTAGATTTGGTGTTCCCACGCTCTTCAACTTCATTCCCAGGCGAATAATCCTCCGTACTCTGTCCCAGACGTTCACTTGCCGTTGCGAAAGTCAAAGCACACCGCTGCGCTTCGCCCTGTCAAATGGCCAGCCTTCCTGCCGAAGCGCATACACTACTACAACCGGTGGCCGGTGAAGAGCTCCTACCTGCTTCCGGTCTCGCTCAAGAAGAGCCAATTGTGAGCTTCCGCCTTCTACCTTTCTTTTAATCATTTCCACAACAGGCACGCCGATCCTGTAGCCTTACCGTCGGAACGAGCCGCGAGAGGGATTGGCAAGACTACAGGTCGACGGTAGATGGGCGTGCTACCTTTGCACGAACCAGATATGCTTACGGGGTTTAACGATGTATGCCGCACGCAATAAGCATGGCTTTAAACAATATGGGCGAAGAGCGCTAATGCAACGGCCCATACCGGAGTAAGGATGTGAAGCGGAGTGGGGGCCGGGAGAGGAAAGAGACAGGCAGTTCAAGAGACAAGCAGAAGATGCAGAGAGAAAGAGAGAGAGAGGGGTGACAGAAAAATGAAGCGAAGCCAGGAGAAAACAACTGGGTCTCACCTCTCCTTGTCTCCCCACCCACTCACAGGCTTGCTCCATTTTGCCGTTTCCATTTCTTAGGTTGCCGATAATGACGATGACGGCGATTCTGCAATCGATGCAGTAAGTGTTGCTGCTGATTCGATGATGATCAGCACCTGGGAGGTTCCTTCAATTCTGCCGTTAATTGCTGGCCGTCGCGCCTTTTCCGTGGGCCGGGGTGCGGGGCTGTAATTTTCCAGATGCCTGAGCTTGAGGGCTCGCCCCTGCTGGAACTCACTCATACACTGACTGGGTCGGACCGTCACGCTGCTCTACAGAATTAGACATAACAAAAACGCGAGACAGGAAACAAGAACGAGGGCAGAAAGTGGAAACAAATGCGGTCAGCATAGATTGCGGGAAAGCTGACATCTGCAGCCATTTCGAGAATCGTTGGCCTCACTGCGGTCCAGCATCTTGGCTTATCAAGAGGAGAATGGCCGCACCTATCACGCGTTGAGTGCAGGCAGTATGTCGCCCCGTCCTTGTCTTTTAAGACCTTTCTCCCGGTCTACCTCTCAGACCTTCGTCTGCCCTTTTCGTCTTGACCGACTGCTGACCGGTGTGAATTCCGTGCGACCGCAGAATACTTCTTGCCCAATGACGAGGTGATACTCTGTCCTTCTTGTTTGGTTTGCATGTGGTTGGCGCTGATTGTGTCTGTGTCTGTCTTAGGCTGAAATCGAGCGTCTTGGTGAGTCTCTCCTACCAAATCAACCTGGCCGTCACACCCCATCAACGACTTGGGCAAATTTTGGCTAATGCGACCTCCCTCAACCTTTTTTTGCCGCTGCTTGCATCGTTGCCCGAACAGACTTGCAACATCATGTCATGCGCCTTACAATCGAGGGCAACTACTGCCTCTGCCCCAAAAACGATGGCGCAAAGCGGGTCCTCGACATGGGCACCGGAACGGGCATATGGGCTATGGAGTACTGTGTGTCTTCCCTTGCCGCTTCGAAGCTGACTCTTTGCTGCCAACTACTTGCAACTAACTCTTCACCAGCCGATGCCCATCCTGATGCGGAGGTGTCTCTCCCTCCCCTTGTTTTTCGTCTCGGTCGCTAACGCAGACTTGTGCTACCAGGTCATTGGAGTCGACCTGAGTCCTTTGCAGCCAGAATTGTGTGATGCGCATTGTTTCTTGCTTTCTTCGCCCCCCCCCCCCCCCGGGGGAAAGTTTCGTCATCAATTTCTAGTGAATTGCTAACTGTTACATTTCAGTGTCCCACCCAACTGCTCCTTCGAAGTGAGCCCAACTTACTCAAATCCTCTGCCGTGTCACTTGATTGACTTTCACAGATCGACGACCTCGAGAAACAATGGACCTGGAACAGACCCTTCGATTTTATTTTTTGTCGAATGATGGCTGGCAGCTTTTCTGATAACAAGAGCATCGTGCAGAAGGCTTTCAAGTACGCCTGGTTACCACACATGTCCGATTTACCACAGAAACTGCAAAACTGACACTTGGTATTTCCAGTCACTTAGAACCCGGGGGATATTTTGAAGCTCAGGATATGAGGCTACCTCTCGAATGTGACGATGGAACCCTCAGAGAGGACTCAGATCTGTGGATCTGGATGAGTCTGGTCATGGAGGCCATGGAAAATCTCGGTCGACCGGTCGTTGCTGCGCAGCAGTGGAAGCCATTTATGGAAGAAGTCGGCTTTGAGGGTGTCGTCGAAGTAAACTACAAATGGCCCATCAACCGCTGGCCTCGCGATAGGAAATACAAGGAGCTTGGCACCTGGAGTCTCGCCAACATGGACCAGGCCCTGGAGTCATCTACTTTGGCTCCGCTGACTCGCGGTCTCGGTTGGTCCCGCGAGGAGGTTCTGGTACTCATCAGCAAGGCCCGTAAGGTCTTACGCGACACCAAAGTGCATGCCTACTGGCCAATGTGAGTGATCTCCCAACCTTGTCTTGTGATCTTCTCGAATTACCCTCTGCTCTCCCCTCCTTTCATGGCCCCATCTTCTGACTTGAATCACAATAGGTGCATTGTCTATGGCCGTAAGCCCATGACTGCTAGTATTGACGAGAACCTTGGCCAATTCGATGTGGTGAACTCACCTACATCTCTACCCCCGTCTCCACTACTCCCCACAAGTCAGGATTACGAACCGATAGTACTCCCGACGTCCTCTTCAACTCACCAAGCGGGGGTGTATCCGTCCACTGCTCGAGAGTTGTCTCCCATGACAGAAGTACCTCTGTCCCCGACAGATGCTATTTTGTCTCTTCCAACCTACTCTAGGCTCCGCTTTACGTCAGCTTTGACAGAGCCTTATGAATCACGTCCGTAAGGATCTACAGGAAGGAGAAAGGTTGTCCAGACTCTCAGAACACACAGGCCCTTTGAATATAATACATAAATATAAGCACTACTTCCAATACATGAGTGCAAATCCGTTAAATTACGACCCAATCTATAATAGCAAAGCTGTTACATGATAAACTGAATCCTAAACAACAAAGGTCCCGCAAATCCATCCCTGATATTTATTTACACGTTGTCGGCCGGGAAGTATGGAATCTAATCTCAAGCCAATTGATACGAATACCGAAAATGGCGTGTCCTGTAAGCTACTTTTGTGGTAGGACCTGGCGCTCATGTAGAATTCTCCTTTTTGCTGGAGGAGAGGCTGAGCCTGTCTCGAATAATTTGTACAATATCTCGCCAGTCGGCCATAGCTCCTTGCCCAACGTCTCCACATGCCAAAGCCTTGCTGTGGTTTTGTTTAGCCGTCGACAGATCGAAGAGGGGGGAGTGGTTGACGCACCTCTGTGGAAGGAGAACTTCGAACCAGCTGGTCACAGAAGCGCTGTTGATGGTGGCCCCGTCTCCAGCCGTAGCAGCAGCCGTAGCAGTGCCCCAAGCGTCTCGCAACGTGGTTAGCTGGCGTGCCGTCAGCGGATGTGTCCACATGAGCGTGTTCATAGACGGTGCCACGAGGATACGTTTTCCGGCGGCCGGATCTGTGTCCCATGCGCGGATGACACTCGTGAGAAGCGAATCACAGAAGCCGTTGGTGACCTTAGCCAGCAAATTGGCCGACATGGGCGCGATGACCAACAGGTCGGCCCAGCGGCGCAGCTCAATGTGCAGGATGTGCGCATCACGCACCCAGGGCGGACTCCACTCGTCAGCGTCCCGGTGCACTGAGGCGACGTGAGGCATGGCTGCTAGCTGTGCCACTGGAGGCTGCTCGGCCGACTGGCCGGCGAGAAAACGCGCCGCATTGTCTGTCAGCAGAATGCGGATGGAGAGATTAGGCACATTGCCGAGCGCCGCTGCAATGAGGGGAAGCTTGATGGTCGCTACCGAGCCTAGGACAGGCTGTCAGAACACGAAACAAAGAGCCATCAGGTGGAAGGCAAACTCAACGGCCGGCCGAAATAGAAATGCGGGCTTAGTCAGCCTGATAGCGCGCTTACCACTGGCTGCAAGCAGGAGGTGTGTCTTGCCGTCGTTGAGAGTGCTTGCAACTTCGGCAGCAGGCGAGAGCTTGGTTAGGGCGGCCGGAGCGTTGATCTGCGATGCAGCGGCCATGATGCAATGGAGTGTCTGTGACGGATGTAGTGGATGCAAAGTGCTGAGATTGCGTAGGGAAGCCTGTAGAAAATGTGAGCCACTAAAAGGCAAAGCATTTGTCAGGTCGTCCCGCCTTCGGCTGCGGTGGCGCTAGCAGCTTAGTTCGCCTGTCGCTCACATGGCGGCTGCCACCTGCATTGGCCGTAATCGCGGGGCTTTCACGGGTATCACGCATTAGTAAGAACGGACGCTGGTATCAAATGGAATGCAGGCACACGGGCAATAGGGAGACCGAAATAAGTCTATATTTCTGTCCAATAGCAGAGCCCTCAGGACAGCTGTCACCACTTGCTGATGCGGTCTTCTGTGAGAGGCGTCGTCATAGACTATTTTGGGGTGAACCAAAGTGCTCTTGCTTGCAAGCTACACTGACTGTTAGTCCAAGCATACGTCAGCCATTCTTTCGGCCTATGGCCACGTCTGTCGATGCAGAATCACACAGATGAGTTAATGATTGAAGGAACAACAAAAAGGAGCTTCCTACGGCTAGAAGCTCTTTCCGTTGTGTCCCTCGGAAGCCAGTCTGATGAGCAGAGGAACACAAGAGAATCACGAGAGATGACGCGTTGACAAGGACATAGGGTCGGGGAGGATGAGCTTCTGTGCGCCAGGGGACATTTTGGATGCGGTTGGATCATCACACCTGGTGTGACCGTACACACAGCTCGATCATGGCCTGTTACCGAGTGGGTGTCATTGGCGCACAAAGTGCTTGCCGGAGACGTGTTCATGTGGTCGCTTGTGCGCATCACAGTCATCCTACGTCTCTGGTTTCATGACATGCCGTACTCTCAATGCTTGCGTGGCATCTGATAGAGCCAAGATTCAGGATTGGGAGGATTTTCTAATTGAACAAAAAAGCACAACAAAGAGCAACAATTGCCTCAGCCTCTTCCCTCTTGGCGAGAGAAGAAAATGACAACGTCATTGTGAGACGGTCAGATGTAGCAGCTGTTAGAGAGCAACCTCTCGATTCAAGGAGAGTTGTTGCACGATGTCGAACGCCGGCTCCTCATTCCCTTCGTGTTCATATTCGCCGTGTCATCACAGCGCGTGTATGTGAGATGCTGTCCGGTAGAAGGAGTCAAGACAAGTAGGAACGCGTGATGTAGGTGGAAGAAAAAAGTATATAAAGCCGGCGTGTCCTCTGCTCTTTCGACAATTTCTTTCCGTCCATCTCAGACTCTTTCTTCTTCTTCCACACACGCGTCTCTAAACTTTCACTTTTCAACATCCACTACAACCATCATCATTTCAGGTCTTCGGAAACTCATTCAACATGTCTGAAGCGCACACTATCTGTAGGAGAATCGTCTACTGCCCAAGCTTTCTGGCTTAACATATGGCCCATTATTAACACAACGTACCGCAGACTATAGCCCGGCCCTTGCCCGCGGCTCCGACGGAACGACGTACGACCAGCAGTCGATCGAGCTGGCCATCTCCACGGCCCTGGAGCTGCTTAAGGCCGGAGCCCAGGTTGGGGAGGGCAAGTATCCGCATGCGTATAAGAGTACGAAACTTCGTGATTCTCCCTTTTCCCGCCTATATAATGAGGCTAACGCTCCTCTTCTGTACAGCGTACCCATACTTCCACGTTGAACATGCCGTGACACCCATTTTTGAGTTCCCCGTTCTCAAGGAGCAAGCCTACGACGGCAAGGCTAGTGCAGGGATTGACCGTGTGGTACGTTGAGACATGCCGCCTTGTTCAGTCTTTATTCTATCAAGCCAAGTATGCGTCTGACTCCAAATACCATCAGGTCTTCGGCTCTGTCTCCAAGGACTACCTTTCGGCCAACTACATTGGCATCGTTGGGTCCAAGGACGGCAGCGTTCGCTACCTCCACAACGACCTGTCGCTCAATGGCAAGACTGGTGTGGGTGAGCCGTTTACGGCGCAGGAACTGGCTGAGTTTGGTGGTAAGCAGGTCCTTTCGCCGCCGGCTGATGCCGATACTATTGGCAGCGGCGACGTGAAGGTCCATTATCATAACTAGGGCCGCAACGAGAATGCCGGCTTGTGCTCATAGAGAGAAAAAGAGCCGCAGGTGTGCATGTCATTGAACTGTCACCGGCCGGAAGATTGTTGGAAGGAATTCAGACAACTTGGTGATTTAGAAAATAAGAGGGAAGCCAGACACAAAAAGAAATACACGCGGCTCATCTTCCTCATACAAGGACCCTCGTGATTGCTTATCAATGTTTTGTTCCAGTAGCGTATTTGCAAAATGTCTATCTTGGCAACAGCCAAGAGAGAATACATGCATCCACATGTAGTCCTTTGCAACCTTCCATATTCTACATATTGGAGCGTGGCCTATCTCTAGTATGCTTTAGTTGGAGTTGCTCTCCTCAAACTATACACTAGGCAGGGTCTCTACAGCCTGACCTGGTCCGCCAGCCTGTGACCGGCCTCGTCAAAGTAGATCTTCTTGCCAGACCGCAGGCTTTCCTGCAGGAGGGAGCCAATTTCCAGCGCAGAGACGGCACACTGGAGCCTGGTGGGCAAAGGAGTGTTGTCGAGGCAGCAAGCGGTGAATTCGTTGGCCTCGGTGATAAAGGCTGGGCGGAAGCGGCCATAATAGTCTGGAGGGATCTCCCGGCGGATACCGCTGGCCTCCCAGAGGTCGACGAGTGTGTTGATGGGGTTCTGGTTAATGGTTATCTTGCCCTCAGTGCCGATGATCTCGGTCATGTCGTGCTGGCCCGAGGCCATCATGCGGCTGCTGTAGAAGTAGGCAATGCGGCCACCCCAAAACTCGACCACGCCGACGCCGTTGTCGACATCGCCGTGCTTCGCCAGCTCTGGCTGCACGGCTGTGATTCCCACGGCTGACACGCTCTTGATCACGGCGTCCTCGCCAAAGAACCAGAGGGCCAGGTCGATGTCGTGGATGTTGCAGTCGACAAAGATGCCACCCGAGAACTCGGCGTAAGCCACAAAGAAGCCCGATGGGTCCAGCTTGTCGCACGTCTGGGACCGTAATATGGCCGGCCTGCCCACGCCACCAGCATCAATCTTCGCTTTGGCATCGCGGTACGATGCATCAAATCGGCGCGAGAAGCCGCAGAGCACCTTCTGACTGGGGTGTTTCGTGGCGACGTCGACAACGTGCTTGGCCTGAGACGGAATGTCAGCATAGGTGAGCATACGGACTCAATTTCTTGCGCTTCTCACCGTATCTAGATCTGTGCTCAGAGGTTTCTCGCAGAGAACGTGCAGGCCAGCTTCAATGGCCTGAATGGTCTCCTCGGCGTGCACCGTGGTGGCGGTAGCAACGACGATAGCGTCAAGGCCACCGGCAACATCAAGGCTTGTCAGTGGCTTTGTCTCTGTCCCCAGAAGATCCTCGTAGTTGCTGTACAGCCGGACGCCAAACGGCTCGAGGTGTTCTTTGGCCCAGGCCAACTCAGAGGGGTCGGGCGAGAATGCGGCCACCAGATGAGCGCGCGGTGTGCTCTCGAGAAAGTGAAGAGCATGTCGCTTTCCCATTCGACCAAGGCCGGCGCAAGCTACACGGAGACGACGAGAGGTGGCCATGCTTGCAACTTGGTCGTGATGCGGTAGAGGCACAATGGCAAAAGGCTTGAAACAGATATGTCGGGGCACAATTTGGCAGCAGGTGGTAGCTTCCGTATTTGTGTTTATAAAGAGAGGAAGAGTAATTCCGAATAGCAAGTTTATGAAGCAATAGGAAATCTGTGTAATACAAGAGATTTGTATAGGGTATAAGAAAGAAAAGCAGTGGCCCGTCCAACGATCATGGGAACAATAGGTGGAGACGGATGCTCACATATGTAACCGGTCACGGATGAGCTATGGCTTTCCGACCAGACTATTGAAACAAGACTCCGAGGCTGTATCCAGGACGGCCGGGTGGTCATGCCTGCGCATGATACATCAGGGCATCAATTCCGCACCGTTTCCGCATTGAAGCATCCAGAAATGGTAACTTGTTCCTATTGGTCGCGGCGACTTGCGGCTTTCGGGGCCTTAGCGTGTCTCCGCAGTATATTTGTGGGTCAGCTCGAAGCTGTACGGAGTACTCTGTACGAGTACAGCACTACTAAAAGAGACGTCTGCAAAAATCATCTCTTCATTCAACATTCATTTCTAGAAAGCTGCGCAAAGTCAATATGTACTAAAGGACTGGGTACATGGGCTGGCACGCAAATTCTAATCACCGATCACTAGGATTAGTCCCTGAGAAGCTTTCTGGTAAAGAGGGCCAATACTCCGTATGGAAATAATTTCCTATTGGGGCAGAGCACAGCTGGTCAGGAACTCAAAATGTACTACTCGTATGTACCGTGTTTCCGATTTTGCACTGTCACTTTGCACTGTTACTTTGCCTAGTTCTTCTCCCCGTCCCTGTTGTCCCAACCCCATGCAGCCGACAGACGTTCTCTGGCCGTGTGTGTGCGCCAAGCACAAAGCGACTCTGTCTCTTCAAGGAATCCCATGATGGACTCCTGCTGCCAGCGTTCCTGGAAACGCTCACCGGCCATGGCAATTCCCATGCAGGCCGACACGAAGTTGGGTCGACAGTGTGGGTTACTTTTTGCAATGCCGACTAAATTGCGCACCTCGGAACGGATTCGGCCATCTTGCTCCCGGGCAAACTGTGCGCGTTCTGGTCCGATCCGCGGTGCTCGCGGATCGAAGGCAGCCAGCAAGATCCGTGAAAGGTGATAGTGCTGCAGCCCAGTGGCTACAGTGTCAGATGTGAGCCATATCTCGGGGAAGAGGATGCTTCCGACATCGTTTAATGTTGTCGAGAAGTCTGCCAGGAGATCTTTGTAATATAGCGGTAAAAAGCTAAGTGGCTTTTTCTCGTACCAACGATGGCTGTAGGCCACAAGCTGGTCATAACGGCAAAGACTGTCATCCAGCGGCACTGGCTGTTCTTTACCGTAACAGAAGCGCAGAACATCAGCTAAATGAAAGACAGCACGGTTGGCCCAGTCGCAATCATTGCCTTCAACATCCAGGGAGGGATCCACAACAAAGGGACTAAATGATGGACAAATCGACCGCTGCGACACGAAGGCGGTGTAAATTTCCTGACGGACGGCTACCAAAAACGCAGCACGTCTCAGACCGGAGAACAGAATCGGCGCAGACAGCCCAGCCGAGTCGTGCAAGGTAGCCGATGCCTTAACAAAGAGACTGTTGCCTAGGAGATGTGTGCTCGGGTGTGCTCCGGCGAGAGGGACTTAATTGTTAGAAGAGATACAACGAGGAAAATAAGCGAAGTGAACTATTCACCTTCTATTTCCTCAAAATTCCGCAAGATCACTGCAGCTGCAAACAAGTTCTCGTCCACGAGGGCGCCCTTATCATTTAGCATCGGCCGCAACGTCGCCAAACAGCGGTCATAGTAGCGGTCTGAGATGCTCCTGTTGAACGAGCTGATAAGGCTAAGGTGTCTGGCGCTGATTGCAAAGATGGCATTCATCAGCGGGGCATGAAGCACCGCCCGGCATGGCACCACGACGGCAAACGTGCGTTCTTGGTCACAGAGATCAAACCACTTGGCCGACAACTCAATAAAATAACGGAAAAGACAGGCTTCCATTTTATTCTCGAGCGGCCATGTGGGCAACTCTGGCGGTACCACTCTCGATGACATCTGATGATGCTGTTCCTGTTCCTGTTCTTCTGGAGGGTGTATGAGGGGGTTGATGCCGATGCCAGCATAGGCTGGTCTTGTAGCAGCATTAGCCGCAGCCGCCGCGGTGACAGAAGCGGTGGTGACGGCCGCAACGGCAGCCGCCGCGGCAATCGAGGCCGTTTCGTCATTATATCTAGCTATCAATGTAGACGATTGTGACGGTGACTGGGAGAGGGAGATGGGAGACAGCCAGTCCAAGTTCGACGGCTCTTTAGCAAGCACGGCCGTATAGCTTCCAGATGCAACATCATTATTTTCTGGGGGACTGAGCAGCCCCGATGGCTCTTCTGTTGTTGTGGTTGCTGCTTCTGCTGCACTTTCTGCTTCGTCGTCTGAGAGACCGTCTTCGTAAAGTGACAGCAACTCACGATTCTCGTTCACGAACGTCAGCGGCCGGCGTGTACGACACCATGGCTGGTCTGGTTTAAAGCTGTACGAGAGGGCATGTGTAGTCGCCTTCCCATTGTGGCCGCTCCGTATTCTGGACAACGGTCAGAGAGGCCAGTCGATGAACGCAATGCAGTTCCTGTCGACTTACGACGGATTCCATCTGTGCCGAAACTGCGTGCGCAGCTTCCGGTTGCATGTTCTGCCCTCAGTCATGCAGGGTTGGCATGAAGGCTTGCGGTCATCGCCTACAGTTCCGCCAAAGTCAGTCAAGAGTCTTTGCACGGAAGCACGAGAGAAACCAACATTTTAGATGCCTGCGCAGTGGACGGGGTAAACACAGAATCAGTTCCACCAGTCAGGATGAGTCCCAACGGTACCCGACATGCGCAATCTCACCTCAGCCGGCAGTTCTGTCGAATTGTTGATGTGTTCAGCGCAGGTTTGATTGAAAGGGTGTCAGGACCTAGACCCACCTCACAGCCATTTATAGCCCGACGTGAGCGTCGCTTCTGCCGCTCTTGCGTAGCCACCATAGGTTTCGCCGACATATGGTATTGAGGTGGCACAGGTGGACGCTTGTCACTCAGCAGGAGACTAGGGGATAGAGGATCGTCGGGCAAACAGCGGGAAGCCCTTCCTAAATGCTTGAAAGGGGATGTTTCGAGCTATCTGTTAAAGGCCAACACACTATTCGCTGCGGGGTAACGCTGAACCCCAGGTTTGCGGGGCAATAGTAGCCTTTGTAGGTGTTGTCGAATGAACCAGACCAGAATGGGAGAAGCGTGCACGATTATGCAGTGTGATGAAAGAATACATGTACTGTGTGGCGCAGGGGGCTATTTAGTACGTGTTTTGATGCACATCGGCATACCTCGGGAGTACCTAAGAATAACAATACATTTACGCTCACTCGGCACCCATAATTTGACTGGTGTGGGTCGGCCTAATTTCCTCCGAACGCTAACCATACTTGGCACCGCCACAGTGCTGTGCAGTGCAAAGTACAATTCTAAATAATTCATTGTGAAGTTACAAGCCATAGCAACCAGATGCACAAGCATTTTGCTTTGGTAATGCCTGAAGTTTCCAGTTAGGAATAGCTGGCAGAGTATATTCTCTGACCGTTCGCTTTTCACTCGGCAGGCCATGGGCCGTGCACAGGCAATGTCGCAGGAGGGGACTTCTCGATCGTGGTAGGTGGTGTCCAATTATCGATAAACATCTGTCCGGTGAACCAGTAATCTTCTTCGTATTTGTCTGTGTTTTCAAGTGCCCTAAACCTCGCACCTTTGGTGAGACTGTTAGGAACACTCCAATCGACTCCTTCAAGAATACTTACTTTGCTGTTTAACCAAGCTTGTGATGTTCTTAAGATGCAGTATCTCTTTCTCAGTCACTTCTCCGAGATATTTGTAGGTCATCGGATTCTGACTACTCCAATCCAAATCAAACGGCTTCTTTCTGCAGCACACTATATGGTAAAAACCTAGAAGTGTCTTGGCGCCCGTAAGAGCGTCTATGATCAACTCCATCATGCTGTAGCGTACTGGGGCCTTCTTCGAAGCCGCATAGGCCCTTTGTTGGCGGAAGAGCAAGCGGTACGTGTCGAGAAGAATATATGTGGCAACAAAGATGACAAGCCAGTTCTTTCTCGCCTTGTTGTGTGCTAATTTATGCAGCTCTTTAAGGATCTGCTCTCTGAGGGGCTGAAGGATAGATTCGGCCATGATGGCAGAAAATTGGTAGTCTATAAAAGGCGCCTTTGTAAATGGCACTCGGTCATACCTACCTGGATCTAGACCGAGAAATTCTTCTCCAGAGAAGTGCCAGTCACCCTCTAGAGTCCGGGCAGCCGTCCACAAGCGCAGGACGCTTGCGATAAACCCGTGGTGATTCTGCCATAGGTCAGCCATTGGTATCAATGTTGGAGACTTAGATGCTCACCCCTTTAGCCCGCACAATATCAGTGGCCAGATTGAAGAAGCTCATTGTAAGCTGGTCTTCTTGGTCGACTTTGAGCTGTATGTACGAGTGTCCATTTCCAATCACGAACTCCCACAGTGTTTTCTTCAATTCGCTGATATCCGCAAGAGCATAGGGGTGGGAAAAGAGCTTTCGCCCAGCCTCTGTCGATTGCTGAAGACTACCTGCGTCAAACCGCCTGGCCCTCAGATCCAAAACGGGGCCTTGTGTGCCCTGCCTGATCGAAAACAGTATAGTAGTACTTCCGGGATCGGAAATTTGGAGTTGTTGTGGATTGCAGATGCAGTTGTTGAGTGTCAGCTCGCCATATGGCTTGTCACTTAATTTGGGATCGGTCATGGTGCGAAATAACACGACTGTGTGAAGGGCGAATTTGAAGCAGGGTTTGTTATTGAGAGTGTCGCAGCCCTGACAATTTATACAGATGTTCGGAATGTCGCTTTGTTCACACTGAAGCGGTTATTTCGAGCAGGACGTATGACAACAATCAGACTTTCTCACCTTTTTATGTTTTATACTGCACCGAATGCAGGTTTTGACCGCCTCTTTCCCCAGTGTCTTTCTTCTTTTCTGGGTATGATGTCCTTGCGGGGGGTCTTTGCAGGGCCTCTTTGTCATCGTCATCGGGTGTAAACTAACGGCTTCCGTCTCTGGTTGCTGAACGTCGAGCGACGTCGCATCATCACAAAAGGGCCCAGACTTTGAACTATCAGGGATAGTTAAGAGATCGTTCAAAACAGGCCAGGTATAATCAAGTTGTGAAAACGAATCAGCTTGAGGGTGATAGGGAAGGTGTTCATGTGATTGGTCAAAGGACAATTGGGGAGCAGACGCAAGAGTCTGGCCTGGTGGTCGCACACCGCCCCATTCGAAATCAGTATCGTCAGCATGATATGTTGTGTCGTATGGGCTTAAAATTAGATCGCCGTTTTCATGAAAACCAATGCTATCTTCAAAGGGGACATGCAATCCCAGGTCACTGTTTGCCGTCCGCATTTCACTCTGGAGCTGTGGAACATGATCCCCAACAGGATTCTGAAGCATCTCGAGCGTCGAAACTTGCGTTGGAAGTTTACCCGTATCTAGCTGGCTAGATACATCTCTATCGGATCCGTTGTCGGCGGTGGATGGACTGTTACTATAGACATCGGTGGGTGGCCTCGGGAACGAGGACATCTGATAGCTCTCGCAAAAGTGCAGCAGGATGTAAAACTCGCAGCCGATGATCCTGGCCGCGTCTATAAGAAGACTAAATTCTTCTTTTGTCCACGTCTTGTTCGATTTTCCATGACAGAGACCGGTGCCCGACGTGTCATATGAGCGAAAATTAGTCCCGAACTCGAGAAACTTCGACGTGTTTATGCTAAACATTTGTGCGGCAGATTGCAGTTGAACGAGATCATCGGGCATCCAATCTCGGAGGGGCGGCAGCTGTGCGAACTGATCGCCAATGGGACCGCAGCTGCCATTGGTGTCCATCTTTCGTGTCTTCCCTGATACCGAAATTTTTCCGATCCTTCTTCCCAGATGACTGAGATGCAACGGTGTCACGGACAGTGTTGATGACACAAACGGTCGAGCTTCTCGGAATTTTGAGTGGGATTGTCTCCGAAATAGTGTGTCTTGCTATAAGAGTTGTCTTTCAGGTTTTCTAATCGAAAGATAGATTCCGCCCTTTACGCCAACCAATGAAAGCAAAGTCGGACTTGAGAGTGGGGCCTTTTCAAAATCCGATATCCTAAGTACTAATAGGCATCTAAGCTATAGTGCCGTTAAATTTCAGAGGTGTTATACCAATATTTAACATGGGCACCGCCGATGTACCAAAGGGGATTAACATCTCTGACAACTTTCGGGCATACTACGTCTTTCCCTCTGCCGCCTACATTTCGTTTCCTGATACAGGTGGGTATATCACGTATGTCAGCACGGACGACAGCACGGACGACGGCACGGCGGCCTCCAGGGAGAGAGGTTGGGTCATCCACTACGCTCGGCTTGGCACATCCTACGCTACCATACCCCACTATTTAGGACCAATCCCGCCTACTCGCCTCGATCTGAACATCCCAGATCAGCTAGACTGGCCGCCACAGCTATGGGACAAGCTTGGCGCCCGTGACAGTGTCCATGTTGTCGGCACACGCATCAACTCTCTGGGCATTTCCAGGCATCTTGTAGAAGGCCTCGAATGTTGGTCTAGCCGTACCAAGGACTTTGATCGAGTTTACCTGGAGCAGCCATTTGGATCGACGCTCTTCTTGCGTTCGCTGACCGTATCTCCCGCCGATATGGAGTTTGAGATCCGCCCAAATAAGACCTTCAGTCTCCCAGGAGTCCTGCTTTCGGCCCAGGAGCTGCAAGTCATGTGGGGCTTCGATGCTAAGACGATGCCACCGACAATATCGTACACGAAGCTGCGCTACGAGAGGCAACTGGCCAATCAGGCCATTCTTGTCTCCCTCCTGCCTGAAGGTGGCTGTGAAGGCGATCGGCAGCAACTGGTCTTCAAATCGTCTCGAGTCTCTCCATGTACCGTCTATCACGAGATCAAGGTACGGCTGTCGATGTGCCCGCTGAGAACCATCGTAGAATCTCCAAAGTTCTTGGTCACCACAGATGTGCCCGGAGCAGAGCCGCAGCAGCGCGTGTGTGGCTTTCTCACGAGATATTACGAAAATGGCACATTGGCCGACGCTCTCACCTCTCTGAGAGATACTGGTCGTCTGGCTCTGAAGCAGCAACTAGGGTGGGCGCGCGACTTGGTTTCGTCGCTCATCCATATCCAGAATTCTCCTGCCCGCTTTTACTCGGACCTACGTCTAGACCAGCTCGTCCTCGATGCGAATCTAGATGGCAGCACGACAGCCGTTCTTCTCGACCTTGAGCAGGGTCGCAATATCTACAACTGGGCTCCACCTGAGATCTACTATCTAGAATGGATAGCCGAGCTGGGTTATTGGGAATTTGCACGCACCGACCAGCTGCCTGGGGATGTCATGACAAAGTATCGCGCCATTCTTGAACACTACTTCGATGCTCGGGGCTATTCGACTCCGCTCCATCGCATGGGCTTGAAGTACGACAATCCTCCACACGGCTGGTACTGGCCTTGGCTACATAGCAGTCCGCAGGAACAAGAGGCCGGGATGGTCTACATGCTGGGAAAGGCGCTCTGGTGCATTTTCGAGGGTATAGGCGACGCCGACATTGTGCTGGGTCTTTCCAGTACCAGTGATGGTGGTCAGCGGTTTCCCGAATTCATCCGCACCCCTCCCGCTCTGCAGGTGCTCATCAGAGCCTGTACTCAGGGTGCCCGCGAGTGGATCGACGGTCCCATCAAAATCTACCGGAGAGGAGGAAGGATTTTTCCGTTGGGCAAAACTGGCCGCAACGGCGAGGAGGAAGGAACAGCGGAAGAAACCGTGGCTACCATAAAGGATTTTTGGCTTAACGAGATGCACAAGGCCGAAGCGTTTGTTGCGGCCCGAATTCGATACGTTAACAAAGAAGCTACCGAGGATGACCTGAAGCTGCTTCCTTATCTGCGACGCCCAACGCTCAAGGATGTCTGGACCACATTGGATGACTTTTTGGCCTAAGCGGGATCACGAATGGCTAATAGAGCGGCCCCGTGAAGTCAGGTGCGTCACTTCGTTCTTCGGTCCCTCAACACATGTTTTCATGTTGCCTGATTTTATTTATAAAGCTTTCTCAATCTTACTCTTGCCCAATCGCAGGTCGCTGATACCCAACCCACACTTCTCTCCAGGATGCAAGTATTGTGTTTCTCGCACAATGGGGGTGGGCCAGTGGCTGACAATTCGCGATAAGGTACCGCCTGTCCTAAAGGAACCAATCTGATACATTACGGGGATTTTGGGCTCGCAACAAGCCGTCTTGATTTCGACCACGGGGTCTCTTGGGGCTCTGGGCGGATCTTCGGTTTTTTGGGGGGGTCCTGCTAGAATAGGTATAAAAATACGGCATATGGACCGGCCATTTGTCTGGATGGTTTTGACAACGCTTCGCTTGTGAATCAACAATTGTGTATACGCAGCAGCATGGTAACCCCGTTTGATCCTAGTGTCGACTACTATCCGCCATCAATCCGTCAGAAGTACGGCCTTGGCGACTTTGACAATGTGAAGTCTCCGCCTGCCGAAGCCGTGCCGTCGGCTGATATAGAGTGGCTCCCGGACTATTTAAAGTTCGTGGAACGAATTGAAGCACATGTCAGGGACGTGGATTCCAATGGCGCCGGGTCCAAGTGCCGGGCCGTCGGTCTAGATTCCCCTTTGGCATGGAGTGGACGAGAGCTGCAGTTGCAAGACAACATAGTCCCGCTGGACGAGGCTGACGTGCAAGAAATTCAGTCTGCTATGGAATTCTTTAAGGGTATGTTTGGCGTCATGGGGAAACACTGCGGGACTAACCCAGCCAGCAAACGAAGATTCAGATCTTTCGTCTGTGAAAAGGGATACATTTCCGCTGCCTAATCTGGGCCCTCGACTTAAGAAGCTATGCTCCGGTGTGTACAACAAGAAGGGTTTCTGTATTCTCCGAGGGTTGTCTCCAAAGTCCTACTCCCGCGAAGACAATGTAATAATCTATCTCGGTATTTCCAGCTACTTTGGAGAGCAGCGTGCAAGGCAGTACCCGGATGGATCCAGCATCGGTACGTCTGTAGACAGAAGAGTTGGGCAAAAGGAGAGAAAATTCTGACAGGAATTTACAGCGCACATCACAGATGTCCGATTCGACGAGGTCGCAGACAATAAGCGCAGGCCTGCGTTCACCAATGCTGTCCAGGCAAGTGAACTTCGTAAGAATCGCAGTTCCTATGCCATCCTGACCGGTGCCTGCAGCCCTTCCACACGGACTTACTTTGTAGCTTGTTGGCCATGTACTTTCTCGATACTGCTGCCAGCGGTGGCGAGATCCGTCTGGCCTCTTCGTTTAGGGTTTACAAGGAGATTGCCGACAGGCTGCCAGATCTCATCAACGTTCTTGCCAGTGATGATTGGGTCCATGACACGTAAGAGAATGCTAAGAGTGCAGCACGTTTCTGTAGCTGATCTTCAGATTTGGACGCAATCCGCCCTTTCTCCGGAGGCCGCTGCTCCATCTTTGGCAGGACAAGCCCGTCCTCATCTTCTCGCGCCGGAACCTCACTGGCTCTAAAGCGACACCGCGCTCCTTGGAGATTCCGCCGATGACGGAAGCACAGGCCGAGGCCCTGGATGCAGTCCATTTTATAGCAGAAGAGCACTGCGTCACCATCACCCCTCAGCCTGGCGATATGGTGTTCATCAACAACTTTGCCGTCATGCACAGCCGCAATTCATTTCAAGACAGCCAAACGTCCAAGCGCTATATCCTGCGGCTTTGGCTGCACAACCCGGAAGTCGGCTGGGATGTACCCCCTGGGCTACGCTTGGCCTGGGACCGTTTATTTGAACGTGTCGACGAGATCGTCAACTACTGGGATATTGACCCGTACTCGGAGCGAGGGCGCTCCCTCTACCGCAAGAATCGGACTTTTGGTGCTACAGACGGCGGCGAAGGCACTGGTGGAGGCATTAGTGGAGGCGGTGGTGGTGGTGGTGGTAGTGGCAGTGGTGGAGGCGGTGGTGGAGGAGGTGGAGGTAAAGGTGGTGGCTACGGCTATTCCTCCTCGTGCGGATGACAATACGGACTACTCACCATAGTTTGTCATTACAATTGGGTTAGCGAATACATCTGTGACTTCCAACCTGTTAGTTGACTAGAGGGTGGTTGAAGAAAATAAGGGCTATCAGGTTGAAGGAGTAGAATTGCGTCATTTTATAAGATCGGGGTTTTTATCATAATATGGCTTTCTATGCGAAGTCAACTGGGCCCTGTAACTTATAGGCTCGAGATGGAAAAACTTAGGCAGCTACGGTCTTACGCTAAGAAGTGGTTGTGTCGAATGAACCAGACCAGAATGGGAGGCGTGCACGATTATGCAGTGTGATGAAAGAATAAATGTACTGTGTGGCGCATGGGGCTATTTAGTACGTGTTTTGAGGACCTAACAACAACAATACACACACGCTCACTGGGCACTGATAATTTGACAGGTTGGCATGTGACAGCATATGTCACCCGTCCTATCATCCGTCTGATTGTGCCCTAGAAGCAGGGGTAAGTGCGAATAAATCCAAGCTCGATGCCCATTTTGCACCTACATCCTTCGTTTAATAAAGGCGAAAGACAGTCCGATTAGTAAAGGATCGCGGGCCGCCGACGGCAACGCCATAAAAGCGGGCGTCATCTCCCCACTCCACATTCCGTTAATATTATGTTGTGAGCTAAAAAGTCGGGGGATGCTACATAATACGACTTTTAGCGAAGCTAGTTAAAGGGAGCCGTCCGAAATGTAAGATTCTATTACGGACGGACAAAGCACGTTTTGGCCAAATGATTCTCCAACGTCCTAGTCATTGCAGCTGCAACCTTCGCTAAATTTAAAAAGCGTATCCATCTAACAGGTGCAAATCTTGGATGCTTTGAGTTTTTTTTAGAATTAAAAGGGGGGAGGGGACATAAGTTAACCGGTCGTCACCGAACATCGTTAAGCTATGACCCGAAGCACGCCCGAATTGAAATCGGAAATCGGAGAGTACCCCCCTCTACGGTAGGTTTGATGCACTCGCTTTAAAATGGACAAACCAGAACCCAACACGCCACATTCTTTCTTGCTACACAATTTATTCTTTCCTTGCAAGAACTGGTAGTACGGGTAGACATGGTCCAGCCTACAAGCACACAATCGATGGGATACAGCACCAGAGAAGAAAATTTCCTCGGTATAGGCTCCCAATTTAAACAAGAAACTTACGACCGCGTTCCTCCACAAAGCGGCGGGGCATCGGCAAGACATGGAATACTGGGACTGCCTGGTGATGCCTTGTTTAAGGACTGCAAGTGACTACATGCCCGCACCCCCACAGAAGATAGCTAACACTTGTCCAGGTATACTTAGTAAAGTACCCGTGACTACTCCGCAGTCGACATCTTCGTCTATGAAGGTCAACGTCGGCAGTGTACAGAGCGGTTGAATTTCGTGATACGTATCTCACGGCTTCTGCTGGTCCGGTTTAGCCTTAAAGCCTGTTCACAAATAAATTATGGGGGCTCAGTATGCCATGAAAGAGTGTTAAGCTAGCATTATAGCTCTCCGTTCTTTGTATTTGGGCGCAAAACCCAGTAATATATTCACTATATTAAACAACGGGTCACGCATAGTTCGTAGACAAACCTTACGAGTCCTTACTAAAGCTGTTACCAAAACTTTAGGCTTACGGCTACTCTATACTAACGGCAGTATGTAGCAAGTATCTTAAAATATACAGATACAAAGAACGTTGTTAGCGTTTGTCTGCTAACATCCCTCAACTCCTTCACCGTCGATTCAAAGAATTTAAAGGCCTGCTACAAAGGGATGCACCCTTACCCAACCCCCCATCCCATTCGGTGGCTCCCTTTCAGTCTAGTCGCTTTCTGACTAGTTGCTATTGTTCACGCAATATCTACTCCGTAGAGCAGACGGCCATTGCGCAATTCCACACCACGTGATAGGCTGGGTTGTTGTGCAGGAGACCAATTGCCAAAAACTAACGATAAGGCATTAGTGTAGAGTGTATCTTACAACGAAGGCGGTGAACACTTTCTTCTGTTTTATTGGTTTCCTCCTACTCGTCGTCCCGTGTCAGCCAATGCTTCAGCACAATCCTATGGCAGCCGCCTTCTCCATCTCCGATCTGGCCGCCAGCGCCTCCTCGCCGACGTCGTCTGCCAATCCGGTCGGCACCCTGACGCTAGTCCCAGCACCACCACCTTAGAAGAATCCCTGAAACCATTGTCTGCATAGCCCAAGCCCAGCGGCGCTGGAGCTGATCAACAACCCAGAGGATGGCGTCAGATAGTCTCACAGAACTAAGCTCTTCGGGAAGTGCTGTACCGCGACATTTTCTGAGCGCTAGGCCAAACAAATCCGGTCCTCCTGCTAAGAGGATCTAGAATCTCTCCTCACTCTCTTGTTGTCCACCCAAAATTGGACATCGTCCCAAGACGTGTCCTCCTCGGACTCGTGCACAAACTCATCAAATTTGTTCAAATAATCGTCATAGTCATCGGCGTAGTCCTCGTCGGATGCCTCCCCCGCGCCAGACATAGCTGCGATGCGCAACAGATTCCACTGGAGTCCGAGGAGTTCTAAACTTGGCAGGTCTTCTTCCTTGTCTGCGGTGATGGTGAATGTCTGGCCTGTTTCGAGGGGCAGGCCACTCTCGCGGAAAGCCATAGGTGAGCCCCAGGCCGGATCACGCACAGCTTCGACGAAGCAGTCGGCATCAATTGGGTCCTTCGGTTTAAAGACTGGCCGCTTTAGCCAGTGAAATTGGACCACGACTTCCTTGTCAGTCTTTGACAGTGGCTTCAGGCCAAAAAGTGCTCGCCCCCACCAGGAGTGGAGTTGATGGTTCATGCATAGAAGATTTTTCGGTGACTCTGTTACCGCAATAGTCGTATACAGTCCTATCAAACGACTAGATTCGGACCTCCAGAAAAGCATCAGGATATGATCCAGCGAAACTGTGTTCGTCTTGCTAAGGGAATTCGGAAAGATGTGCGCAACAGCTGGATGGCTGGTACCCGTGATGATGCACTTTTTAAGATCCCTTTTTTGAGTCTGCGATATTGTTAGCAAAGCACAGGTGATAAGTCTGCCTATTTCAATGTAAAGCTAGCGTTGTATACTTACGCGGTAAACAGCGCTCTGGCTTCTTGTGTTCGATGACAACGATGAAGCAGGCGGCAGGGAAGGCTCAAAATCTGCAGCTTCACTCGCACCAGGCTGATATATTGGGGTATCTGAGATTGCCCGTTCATGTCTCGCAGCGGCCCGTCTTTTGGCTGGGCTAATCACTGCTGAGCTGGACGGGCTGCTTGAGGCTGGACGCTTTCTGATTGGAGTGGATGGCGGATTGCTCGATTCGGTTTCGGAGACCCGCTTATTCCCCCCCCCCTTGTGCTAGAACTGAACGGGGGAAGAGGTGTTAGCATGTATTGGTATCATTTGTGCCAGCAGGGCTAACTGCGGAACCCCCAAACCTCTTTTCTAACATCCTATTCAATGAAAATATGCTGTATACTCACACAACCGAATGGATGCAATGGCATGATCGCCTGCTGTGTACAGCAGGGTGGAATGCTCGCAGTCATTATTCCCGAGAAGTTCCATTTCTGTTTGCAAGACGCTTATGGGAGCGACCATGAAAATGGCCGCAATCGTGGCATTGGGCTTCCGGATTGAGTTCTCCGCACAATGCCGACAAAGAAACCGGAGTAGCTCAGCCCGCACGTCCATTTCGGTAACATAATCAAGCACCGGCTCTCACTGCTGTGGTATGTCGTTACTCATGGTAATAACGGCAGCTGGCTTGAATTCCGCGAGCTGAAGAGCTGCATCAAAAGCTTTGGCGTTCGCGGTTGCGACGCGCGCGGCTCGCCTCGCACGTTTGAGAATGTTTTCGTCCACAGCGGCCGCGTTGATGCCAAGTATTGCGGCAGCTTTGGCAGCATCGTTGTGCCCAGCTTCTTCCGAAGCAGACATGATGTACACGACAAGTCAGCAAACCCGGTGATTTAAGGCAGCTGTTGAGACGGAGAGAAAAATGAGAGAATCGTTCGCTGATGGCAGTGGCAGACCCAATGTGATGTTTGCGCCGAAGTTGGACAGTGTGAAATGTAATGAACGGTAAAATGGCTGACTACTATTTACTGAATTTATTTTAGGCAGACGTTTTAGTAATGCTAACCGCTAACCCACATGAATTGGCTTGTGTAACTGAACCTTCAGCATCTTGTCCACATTAGACAGCAAGACTTATACCACGCACAAATCGTAGAAATAGCAATGAATTCTTGTGTAGAGTATGTACATTATTGATGTGTTTCGTCAATTCTCAAACAATTGCGAAATGAGGTTTCCAAAACGTTCTTGATCAACTTTACGTCAGCAATGCACGTCCTCGTTATTGAAAAAAACTCTTTTAGAAACTAGAAGCTTTCGCCCGCAAACAAAACCAGGACTTGTGCTCATATTTGCAAGAGCGAGGACCTACGTATCGATAGCCGCGGACGCTAGGCCGATCAGGTTGATCTTAAAAGCATGGCGCTGCAAACACTTTTTCCTCTGGTGAGCCGCACGCGCTTCTAACTTGCAACAATTCCCATTGACAACCAACTGTAAAATCTCCGTCATAGACAATCTAAGGGGGGATCGTCCTCGGTCAAAGTTCCTCGAGCAGCACGACCGGGTACTTGGTCAGTTGTTCAAAGTCGTGCTTCTACATTCACACCAATTTCAGCTCGTCAGGCGGTGCATCAATAGCGTCTATATCATACGTGTCCTTTTCGTTCCAGAACATCTCGTTCCATGCAGGGGCTTTAGCAAACTAGACGGTCAAAGTTACCGGCGTGCTCGTACACTGTCGTCGGCAGGCTATATGCCTCTCCAGGTCACTTTGTTTCTGGTGTAGATATCCCACATCATTGCTACCAATCTATAGTTGGATCAGAAGCCCTAATAAGGTGTGTTGTTTCTGAAATTAAAATAAAAAAGCATTGAAGAGAGAAGATGTACACACCCGGGACCACCAGGAATCTTAGCACCACCTTCTTTAGAGCTAGTACATCTTAGGCCAGGGTTGCACGGAATTTTCAATGCTCTTCGCATCAGAAAGAAAGATCCCGGGCGGGCTATTTTATTACCCAAGTGTACTCCGTACGCCCCCTTCGAGGATGCAAAGAAAAAAGGTACCACTCCGAGGCAGCCATATAGTAGAAGCCCCTAGATAAATTTTCATCAGCAAACCAGGCAAGATGGCGGAGTGGTTAACGCGCTGGCCTGCTAAGCCAGTTCCTTCGGGAGCGAGAGTTCGAATCTCTCTCTTGTCGTTTTTTAGCGCTAAGGATTTTTTTTTCCCTCCGTATTTCCACCAATGCTAGACGTCCATAGCAAAAGAAAACACGTGGGTTGCTGCATTGGCACGAAACACACCTTGCTGTCCTTCTTGAACGTAGTGGCGTAATGATGCCCTGGTGTGCCATCGAGGTCCGCGTAGGCGTCTGGTCGAGCTTTTTAGCAATTATAGCGGAGCACCGTCGTAGGGTTCGACATTCCTTTCGAAGTTATTGGTGGAAATGAACGGCTATGGGCAAACTCTTACTTGACGCAACCTTATCTCTGATGCATTGTGACTTTTTGGGGGGAGGGGTCCTCGAGCCGGCAATGCACAGACTACTGAAAAACCAATCCCGGCTTCCATCTATTATTAACGCTAAAATTCCTCGGGATTTGCGCACCTGGCAACTAGATTGTGTTCACTGCTTGTCCTTAGGATAGGTCAAACCGATGGCGCCTGTCGATTCACTGACAAGGGGGTATCAGTCCATCGCATATGTAACACTTACTGTGTGTGGACTACTGACGGCAACAGGCAATATGAAGCGTTTCCGGTAGATTGAAAACGCCGACACAACCAAAAGCACCGGCATCAATCCATAGCCGGTCCTAAGAGCAACGGCCCAGCCAACGTCCATCTTTTTTTTGCGATTGCCCTCAATGAACCACCGAATCATCCCCAGTCCGTGCAAGGGACAACTCTTATGGCTGCATTGTCGAGTGGATACGAGAGGCAGCCAAGAATTTCGTCGGGCGTCTCTAGACTGCTCTGTCTACATACAGAGACCGAGCGACCTGTTGAATCCGGTCCGTCTGAGCTTCATCAATGTTTTGGCTCTGAAAAACGGAACACATTGGGTATTCCGATTGTGGACTTGTGCAGCGACGACATGGTGTCCCCGTTAAATCTTCATGGACCCGCACCTTCTACTTGTAGTCCTACGGAGAACAGGAGCCCTGGTGGCGACGCGCAACAGCCTCCATCCTACCAGTCTGCAGAGGACAATAATCCACCACCCATATCGATCTCCTCCCGATACCCCACCTGCGAGACAACATTCCCCAAAAAGTCGAGGCAGGGACCATTGACGAGGATGCCTTGTGCTACGATCTTCTGGGTAACAATGAGATGGATTGGACCCGGGCGCCCCTCACAGTCTAGGGAGATCGTGGGATGCGTGTGGAATTTTTGAAAATGAGAGGCACAGTTCCAAGACTGCCACGACGCCACCAAGTCAACAAAGCGCTGCAGGACAGCGGGGCAAATTGATCATCAGCTTCCTCGTGGACGAATAGCCGGCATCACTTCCCATCAAATGGAGTACAGCGCAGGTCAAGTCGAGATGAATATTTTTGTCGTGCCAGTAAAACCGAAAAGTCACGCCAACACTAGCTTAAAGTTGGGTCCGGATCCCTAATCGAAATTTGCTGAAGACTCCTGGGATTGCCTGCGGGTACGAGTACGAACAAAACATACCGGTCCCGAGACCCGGGACTGGCTTGTCCAAGACAAGGGCTTTCTATGATACGGTACTCCGTACTCCGTACAGTCCCACGGATACGCCTGACCATATCGTTCCACTTGGTGTCAAAGATGTGCAAATCTTATGATATTGCTACGTACGGAGTACGAAATACTGTAGCCAATTAGTATCTGGGATACAGTGCAGCGTCACGTGGTGTCACTCCAGCGCCCGCGGCAGATCTACAGGGCGCGGTACGCCACGAAGGCCGCTAAAACTAGATTTCAACAGCGCCGAAACAAGCTCTGACTGCGGCAGCCAGGTGCCCTGGCAGTTGGAGGCAGCCCTACTCCGTACTTGAAGGTTGTTGGAAGGTGGGGTAGGGTGACATCCACCATCGTCAGTCCCCTGTCTCGCGTCTGCGTATTTTCCCATTCGCGTCTGGCGTTGGTGCCACCGTCACTCTGTCTTATTTCGATGGTCTTCTGCATATTTCCCGTTTTCCCCATTGGCCCTTGCCCCTTTATTCTGGGGAGATCTGCCCGTTGTTTTTCTCGTTTTTCTTGTTTGTTTTTCTTCCTTTTTTTCTGGTACGTCGTCCGCTTCTCGTACATTCCTTTTTCTACACTGTTTCGGAAAGAAGATGCTCTTTTTGCCATACAGACCGTCTCACCGCCGACGAGTGCCAGGACCCGACAGAGCTGCTCGGTCGCCCCTCCGCTTCCCCTGATTGTGACACGCTCGCCGCGGGAACGCACGGATTCTTTTCCAATCTCGACGAGGGGGTCGTCTCCGTCCCAGAAAAACGAAACAGCGGGAATCTGTCTTGCTACCATCGGACGAACTACGAGAGCCGCCTTTGTTCCTGCTGCTTGACGTGCCACGCAACCGCTCGCACCAGCACGATGGACGATCGCCGCCAGAGCCTCAAACCGTCCGGCCTGCCACGGCCGTCTCGACTGCCCGTTGCCTCCACCCCATCATCCATTTCGACCTCCCACTCAGCGCCCTCGTTTTCCGCAACCACGAACAGAGCCTTGCCTCTGCGGCATACCCCATCCAGAGGATCTCTGTCAGGAGACGCCCTCGGTGGCCAGCTGCGCAACCCGAAGCTCCGAGCCGTTCCGTCGCGAGACCGCCTCAGCCCACAGCTATCCTCAGGCTCGCCTGCCAACTCGGGTCTCCAACACCCATCTCCCCGTACCCGTGCCGTGTCTGGACAGTATGTCAAGGGGGCGAGAACACCGCCGGGCCCCAGCGCGCCGAACTCGCGGCCGACCACGGGTGACACAGCCAAAAAGCTGTTACCAAGACCGCTTACTCGACGTGCCTCCTCACAGCAACTGGCGAACACCCCTTCACCACCGACATCACACTCCGTAAGCCCCGTGGACGACTTGTTTCTCGATACCGTCAGCGAACAGAGTGTAGGCGATGCAGGAGACTCGCTGCATCCTCGACGGCTGCGTCCACGTCCATCCCTGACCGAAAGAACGATGGAGACGCTGTCCCAGATCCCCAACTCGCCCGCCGTCAAGGGGAAGAGCTTTGGCTTTTACGACGATGCCGGACGTCTGGCACAACGCCGCCGCGGCAGCTCAGCCGGGAGTACCTCTCGGCCGGGCTCTAGCTTTCAGTCCGATGGGTCTTCTTCCCGCCCACAAAGCCGGCCAGGTTCGAGTTTGCGGCAGGATGACACCAGCACCCCGAATCCCTACACCGCGGTCAACGCGTTCCGATCTGCCACCTCGTCCTTTGTTCCTATTGATGAACTGTCGAACCCAAGTCGCATCGCCAGCCCACGCACCCTGAGAGCACCGCCTTCCCGAACCTCGCTGAACGCGGCCTTCCGGGCGGCGCCGAGAAAACAGACGGACCTCACGTCACCACCCAGTGACTTCCGCGCGATCAGCCCAGAAAAGTCGCCTGTTGCTTCGCCTGTGCCGGGGAGGTTTGGTTCTAAGACGATCGCAGCTCGACCTCTTATATCCCGCCCGTCCATCAGCCGTCTGTACAGGAAACCGTCCATGTCCAGCCTAGAGTCATCGGTGGCTTCGCCTGCCCCTGTGAAGAAGAGCGTAATTCCACCTCGCGCCTCGTCCACGTCCCGCGAAGGAGCCAAGCCGTCTAGGTCCCGCGACTCAGACTCAGCAGACTCAGCACAGGCTGCAGCCGACAACAGTCGGAAGTCATCTGCGGCTCTGCGGGAGCAGATTGCAAAAGCCAAGGCAGCGAGGCGGGCTGCGGCACAGCCGGTGATAGAGGAGAGCCCGGTATCGACTGCTGCGTCCGATCCAACAGCAACAACCGTATCTACATCGGCGACCAGCTTGAGCGAGGCCGGCGAGGCGCCGGTGATTCCGACAGACAGCACGTTCGACTTTGGCCTGAGCACAGATCCTTTCGGTCAGGGCCGGACCAAACAAGCACACACAAAGGTCATACAAGCCCGTGTTGATGCGGCCCGCACGAGCGGCCGGCTGAATATTGCGGCCATGGGTCTGCGAGAGATTCCGAAGGAGGTCATGGACATGTACAAGTCGAATTCGGGCGGCTCGTGGGCGGAGAACGTGGATTTGACACGGTTTGTGGCGGCGGACAATGAGATCGAAATGATCGAGGACTCGGTGTTCCCCGACGTCGATGTACAGGAGCTGGCCGACAACGAGGAGGGCTATTTCAATATCTTTGGTGGGCTCGAGACTCTGGATCTGCACGGCAACATGCTGATCTGTCTGCCCATGGGACTGCGGAGGCTGCAGATGTTGACGTCTTTAAACTTGGTAAGCAGCGAAGGAGCGTCGTTAACTTTAATGGGCGAAGACACGAAGCTAACATACGGTGACAACTTTAGTCCCAAAACCGGATCACAAACAATGCATTCGAAGTGATCTCGCAGATCACGTCACTACGCGACCTGAAACTTGGTGGAAACCTGTTCTACGGGCCGTTGGACCCCTGTTTTGCGAAACTGGAGAACCTGGAGAGTGCAGACCTGCACGGCAACAACATCTCTGTGCTTCCGGTGACTGTCGGCAACATGGCCAAGCTCCGGATCCTCAACATTAGCGAGAACAACTTCGAGAGCCTGGTGTTCGAGCCGCTGTCGAAGCTGCCGCTTACCGAGCTGATTGTGCGGAAGAACAAGCTGAGCGGGGTACTGATCGAAGACGCGGTCTCGAGCTTGCCACATCTCCAGGTGCTAGATGTGTCGTCTAATCAGATTACGCACATTGTGTCAGGGTCCCGGACAGACAGTCTGGAGATGCCAAAGCTGCACAATCTCTGCGTCTCGATGAACCGGCTGCAGGTATTACCAGATGTCAGCAAGTGGAGCAGCCTGGTGACTTTGGCGGCCGACGAGAACAACATCAGCAGCGTGCCGAGCGGCTTCGAGACGCTCCCCAGCCTGCGCCATGCCGACTTCTCCAGCAACGACATCCGGGTGATCCCGTCAGAGATTGGACGTATGGAGAGCCTGGCGCAGCTGCGTCTCGGCGGCAATCCGCTGCGGGACAAGAAGTTTTGCACAGCGACAACAGACGAGATCAAGAGCGTGCTGGCCGGCCGTCTCGAGCCGGAACCAGAAGCAGATGGAAAACAGATGGCCGGCAAGGGACTGGATCTGACCGCGGATGAGCTGCAGGACGAGCTTCGAGACGCGGTGACGGAGCTGTCCGTAAAGACGTCGTCCCAGAGCCGACGACGAAGCAGCAACGTGGGCCCAGGTATGGACGACAACATGAGCGAAGGACGGTCGGAGGACGTGTTTGCGACGCCGCCGACGTCGGCTCCCCACACGCCAGCGCGGTCACGGTCTCATACGATATCGAACCAGCTGTGGCCGGTCAAGGTGGGCGGCATACTGGACCGGTCGGAGACGGGGTCGGCAGCGCTGAATCCGCTGGTGGCATCACGGGTGGCGCAGGAGCACCAGGTGCGAGAAATGCACCTGCAGCGCAACATGTTCACAGCGCTTCCGGACTCGTTGTCGTTTTTTGCGGAGACGCTGGCGGTGCTGTCGCTGGCACGCAACGCGCTGTCGGGCGAGTCGTACCTGGGCGATGGGGGTGCGAGCGAGGGACTGGACCTACCGGTGCTGCGAGAGCTGAACCTGTCGTCGAACCACATTACGGGGCTGATGCCGCTGGTGCGACAGCTGCGGGCGCCGTCGCTGCGAAAACTGGATGTGAGCGTGAACCGGGTGGCGATGCTTCCGGCAGGCGGCCAATTGCGGGCAGCCTTTCCGGAGCTGTCGGTATTGCTGGCGAGCGACAACCGGCTGTCGGAGCTGGATCCGGAGAGCATTCGGGGCCTGCGCATCGTCGACGTGACCAACAATGACATTGAGCATCTCAATCCGCGGCTCGGTCTCCTGGGTGGTGTTGGCGGGCTGGAGCGGCTCGACGTGCTCGGTAACCGGTTTCGTGTGCCGCGTTTCAATGTGCTCGAGCGTGGCACCGAGGCAACTCTTCGCTGGCTGCGCGGCCGTGTTCCCGTGGCTGAGATGGGCATCTGGCGTGAGGCCAACCGGAGTAGTACGACCGGTGGTGGTGGCGGTGGCAGCAGCGGCAGCGTTGTCGAAGTCGTCGACGATGAAGTGGATTGAAGGGAGAAGGGGAATGGCACGTGGCGACGTGGCGACATATATTACGACTTGTCTTTTCTTCTGCTCTCTGGCCTTGCTCTATCCTCTTTAATACCATATACCACTTTTCCAACTTTTCCAACTTTCGAATTCTTGTTCATGAACCGGTGGTTTCTGCCTGTCTGCTCTCCCCTTTTCCATTTCTTTTCCTTCTCCGGTCTAGCCAGACTGTATTATTATCATCATCATCCAGCGGCAGCACTTAATATTGTAATTCATCCTCCAACAAAATACTGTGTGATAGCCTCGTCACGTGCGCTTGGCTTACACAACCAACTCTCTCGACATCTCTTGTTATCATCGCCCATTGCCCTCACTTCTCAGCATCGTGACTCCACGGCTTCTGCTTCATTCTTATTCTTTCGGGCGATTCTGCCATCCCGTGCCTCTCCTCTGCTCGCCGCCACCTGCTCTCCGCCTGCTCAGAAGCATAAATAGCTGCCCCCCCCCCCTTCTTCATTTCTGTTTTTCGTCCTTCTCCTCCATCACTTCAAAAAATATTTCTCTGGTTCCAACTATCCAGCTTCGGCACTTTTGGATTCTGCCACTCTGTTACTCAGTCCGATTCTTTGCCACTTATTCTCCGCCTGCTGAGAAGCATAAATATCTGGTACTTCCCAGCACATTTCTGGTTCTTCTTCTCTTCTCCATCACTCTTACCACACACTTTTCAGGCTCTGCTGCACAACTGCCGCTCAGTCATCAACAATTTCTGTGAATACCATCAAACTTTCACTTCTACAGCCTTTTTCAAACAACCAAAAATGGCCATCTCTACCAAGACAAAGACAGCCAGCAAAAAAAGCGGCATTCTCTACAAAATCACACAGCAGATGACCATCCGTCTGAAGGGGCATTGCTCCCAAGACAAGAAGTCAATCAAGCCGTCAGAGACAAAAAACATGTCCCAGCTGTACCAACTTCCCTGGATTCCTGAACCTGAGGAGGAGGTTGTGGACATGGCAGAACAGCGTGTCCTGCGCCGCAACGCGGTGCAGGCCGTGACATCATCGCTGCAGCAGTGTCAAGGCACTGAATCGTTTGCTCGTGAGGGCTCCAGTCTGGATCTCTACCCGGTGCAGCCTCACGTGCAGACACGGAGCAGTCGTCCATCTCAGGCGACGCTCCAGGGTCGCCGGCCTCGGTCTTCACACCAGGTCGTGCCTTCCCACAACACATCTTCCACGGCTACCCGCCGGTATTCTTGGTCACCGGCGTGGTCATTCGAGGTGCAGCCACTCTTTGCACCGCCTCAGTCTCATCACGCCCAGTTTTCCTCGCCATACGATGCAGCTGCACAAAGTCTAAGCAGCAGCGTGGCATATGAGGAGACGGCACCAGAGCCTGACAGCGATACTGAGTCAGACTTTGGAGATGACGATAAGGAGGAGGATGAGGATGAGGATGATGACGAGATCTATCTCGCCCATCCAGCTTGGAAATAAAGAGCTTCATGTACCACACTTCTTTTTGTACTGCCATATTTGCTCTTATTGGCCAGATTGCCTGTATCATATGATATCCTGTACTTAGATATACCCAATACAATTTGACACATAAACTCATTGATATCAATTTGAACGTGTAGACTATGTACATTTCATGATTTCTTATTCCCTTTGGTTTCCAGGGTGTTGGTAGTGCTCGTACTCGCATTGTGACCATTGTGTCTTACATAAGCATACACGTGATCGTGTTAGTTGCTGCTTATTCACGGACAAACAGGGCAGCCATGCCCATGCCGGTGCCGATGCACATGCTGGCGACGCCGATCTCGCCACCGTCACGGTGCAGGCCGTGCAGCAGAGTGGTGGCCATGCGAGTGCCGGTAGCACCGAGGGGATGGCCAAGAGCGATGGCACCGCCGTCGGGGTTGACGAGGGCGCGAGGACGGGCATGGGGGCTGGCCTCGTCGTACTCGGACTCGGCCCAGGCAGACTCAAGGCCAAGCTGGCGGAGGCAGTAGAGCGTCTGGCTAGCAAAGGCCTCATTGATCTCCCAGCGGTGGACATCGGCGGTGGAGAGGCCGAGACGATCGAGGAGGGCAGGGATGGCGAGAGCAGGGCCAATGCCCATTTCGTCGGGGCGGCAGCCGACGGTGGCGGAAGCGACGAAGCGACCGAGCACACGGGTGCCAGGCGGGAGGTGCTGGTCGACGGTGCTGCGGCGCATGAGCAGAAGGGCGGCGGCGCCGTCGCTGACCTGAGACGAGTTGCCGGCCGTGCTGGTGCCATCGGCAGCAAAGGCAGGCTTGAGGCGGGCGAGAACCTCGGGCGAGATGTCCGCACGGATGCCGTCGTCAGTGGTGACGGTGATCTGCTGTTCCGGCTCGAGCGGCGTGTCCTTGGGAGCGCCCTTGGGCAGCAGTGGCTGGAAGCGCGTGGCGACGGGGACGATCTCGTCGACGAAGCGGCCAGCAGCCACAGCAGCAGCTGCTCGGCGGTGGCTGTGCAGCGCCACATTGTCCTGGTCTGCACGGTTGATGCCGTAGCGGCTGGCAACGTTCTCGCTCGTCGTGCCCATGGGCATGACGCAATCACGGGCATCGGCCACGGGCGATTCGCGCAGAGCTGGCCAGAGGTCCGTCGGGATCGCACGGCTGCCGTAGTTTCGCGTCATGCTCTCCATGCCGGCCGCAATGCCAGCTTCGATGGCGCCCACGCGAATCTGTGCGGCCACAGCAGCCACAGCCTGCAGGCTGGACGCACAGGCTCGGTTGACGGTATAGAGCGACGTGGCGTGCGTGTCGAAGCCGACGTGGTTCAGCGCCGTGCGTGCCGCCTTGGAACCGCCCAGCTCTGACAGCACCACGCCGACAGCCACGTCCTGGATCCGGCTGCGGTCTAGCCCCATCGCCGTGCCGCGTTCCAGCGTGCGGCGCAGCACCGTCGCCAGCAGCTCTTCGGGGTAGGCGTCCTTGAGATTGCCACGGTTCGCCCGGCAGATGGGCGTCCGCACCGCCGACAGCACCACCGTGTCGGATGGCGCCTTCTTCAGCAGCGCCGACAGACCGCGTGGGTATGGCATCGTCGTCGTGTGGCTTCGGAGAGCTTCGGGAGAGCTTCTGTCAGCTGTGGGCTTCTCTTCTCCGGCTTTTGCTGCGAGCTTCGGGGCTTGAGCTGTTCGTCAAACTGTCAGACTGCAAAACTGTCGAGCTGTTTGGAACTGTGTTAAGATAGCAAACAACTCCCACAACCGCCGCTGCAGTCAAGCCTTTCGGCCGTCGTCTGCTGCAATAGCCGGCTTGCGGGGCCACTTTCGGTAGCTATTGGCGGTAACCACTCCAGCTGTGCTTTCGGGTATTGCAGAAATACCCACCCGTCGGGAAAAGAATCACCCAGTAGCGCCCGTCCTCGGAATTGATCTCATCACGTGATAGCTTAGTAAGCGGCTCTGTCTTTAGTCATGAAGCTGGGTCATTAGTCAGCCGACGGCCTCTTTCTTTGCCCCCAACTCAAAGTGCATCACTCACTGGTATTCCGTACCACAAGTAAATATTGCATCCTTTCCTACAACTTCATGTTGCGTATGGCCTGGCGCTGCACAGGACAGTATCTATCAGTTCTCTCATAAATGTCACAATATTTTGAACAACCTGTTTCAATTATGTTTATCTCAAGATCCACATGCATAAGCGTGTGCATCCATCTGGCTTTCATTTTGGCGAACTGACGTCACAAGCACGCTGACGTCACGTAAATATTGACAGCACTAACTCCAACAAATGTTTTCTTTGTCGTTGTCCCATGTCCTCAACTCTCACGCAGTACCAAGTGATCGAGCCAGGCATTGGCTAGTATGGATTCCAAACGCAGTAGATTGTCGGTGAATCCGATAACATTGGGGTTCCAAATCTGGCAGCGCGCACTCGACTGGACTCTGTCACCCAAAGCTCCTGACCCAAACACGAAGCTTCACCGGCCCAGAGTAGCCGTGATTGGAGCTGGCATCACTGGAATAACATCTGCAGCACACTGCATTGGACACGGATTCGATGTCGCCATTTTCGAAGCTGGGGGGGAGGAGAGCATTGGAGGCATCTGGAGTGTAAGCATCCCGAATCCATTTCATTGAAATCATGGCTGACAAGTGCGCAGAAAGTCAACGATACCTCCGGACTCCAAATCAATGCTGCCATGTATCGCTTCCACCCTTCCGTCAACTGGTCGCGTGGCTATCCGAACCGGCAAGAGATCGTCGAGCAAGTCAACATCCTTTGGAAACGCTATAAGCTGCCTGCACGCACACACTTCCACACGCCCGTCAGCAAGGTGTACCGGAACGAAGCAGGACAATGGATCATCAACGAGCCGGCCAACGGGACCTTTGACGGCGTCATTGCCGCCGTCGGAACATGTGGAGACAAAAAGATGCCACACATTGAGGGCATAGAGAGCTTCAAAGGCTCTGTCTTCCACTCGAGCATGCTGAACGGGTAAGTTCCGAACCCTGACCCAACCGCCCTTCTTGTTCTGAATCTGTACTGCCACACAGGGAGTCTGCAAAGGACAAGAAAGTGGCCATTATCGGCGGTGGTGCGAGTGCGGTAGAAGCCCTCGAATTTGCTAGCAAAACAGGCGCAGCAAAGACGTACATTTTGTCCAGGAGCGAGAAGTGGATCATCCCGCGCAACCTCTTTGCCGACATTCTGTTTTCACTCAACATCTGGGGCCAAGAGACGATTCTCTCCTGGATCCCGGAGACGCTGCTGCGCACGTTCTTCTACGGCGACCTCAAATCCATCGCGCCTCCAGCCGGCTCAGACTCGGGCATCTTCACCAACACGCCCATGGTCAACTCGGACATCATGGAAAAGCTGCGGGACGGCACGGCCGAATGGGTTCGTTGCGACATTGAGCGGATTGTAGAGAACGGCGTCGAGGTCAACCGCCGCGCCCAAGGCGTGCCCAAAGGCGGCCCCGGACGGCAGCAGGTGGTCGATGCCGACATGATCATCATGGCAACCGGCTTCAAGCGGCCACCGCTGTCGTTCTTGCCCGCAGACTGCTTCGAAGAGCCGTATGCGGCGCCCAACTGGTATCTCCAGACCTTTCCGCCGAGCCATCCGTCTGTGTCGGCTATTAATTGGTAAGCCGCCTGTGTGCATCGGCCCCGGGAGACAAGAGTGAGACCGCTGCTCTGTTTGCTGACCACGGTTGCAGCACCTATGTGGCCGCCATCGGGACGGTTGGCAATTGGCACATTGGCATCTACACGCGCATCCTACTCATGTTTCTGGTCGACCCGCTGACACGGCCGAGTCGTTTCTGGATGACGCGCTGGATCGATATGACCTGCTTCCTCAAGGGAAACTCGCCCACTAAGGCTTTCGACTTCTTCACGTACTTGGAGCTACTGTGGTGGTTCCTGTTCTGCGTCGTCATCAACCCCTTTCGCTGGAAGTGGGCAGTCTTTGTCTTTTTCGGCATTGGCCTGGGCCTCCCAAAGGCCATCAATCGAGCGGAAGCGCGCATTCTGGCACGTGCTGGATACAGCAAAGATGAGCGTCGCGACCAAGGGAAGAGCCTGTGAGGCCCGAGCGATGATGGCTGGAGGGGCAGTAAAAATAAAATGGTTATTTACGAGGCTATGATGTAATTAAAGTGTCGCGCATCTCTCGATCCAAGCGTTGTATCAGGCTAAAACCAATGACGTCAGCGTGTTTACTGCCTCTGTACTCCGTAACCTCGCGCCAGAACTGCAGCCGAGCCTTCTCAGACACGACACAACATACGCGCAAACAGAAGCCGAAATGAACAATCCTGGTACGAGACACGGCCGCGCCGTCATTGCGTAGTAGCTGACCATTGCGCAGTCAAGGAGATCCCTGCCGTCATTCTATCTCTTTGCACTCGGCCGCAGGCAGAGCAGGAGGCCACCATCGACCGATACTTTCTGAAAGACGCCTCGTTTGTGCACCCGTTCTGCTACGTCCCCCCGATTGCGACCCTCTACGACATCGTGCCCTGGCCTTTCTCACCAGTCGTCGGGATCACGGGCGATATCAACTCCCGTCGCATCGTTCGGGCCATCTTTCGCTGGTACAAGATTCTTAGCCCGGACATTGATATCGCTATTGACTCCATCGGTTCGTTCGCACACACACACCTGCACGGCCTTCTGCCTGGCTGACTGACCTCCTTTAGCCTGGGACGAGGCACAATGCATCCTGTACGTGAGCATTCACCAGCGCTTCGCTCTCTGGTTCGTCCCGTTCTACGCGGCCAAAGTCCATCTCATCACTGAGCTCCAGCTGGAGCCCGTAGGCGAGAGCGGCACCGAATCCCGGCCGGTCTACTACATCTCCCGCCAAGAGGACCACTATCAGCTCACCGAACTCCTCAAATTTGTCCTGCCCAAAGTCGGTCCTGCTTCTTGGACCATCTGGCAGCTTTTTTCTACCTGGCTCTGCTATGTCGGCGTTTTGTTTGTCGACGCAGTATTGGGTCTGTTCGGCAAAACGAAGCTTTTGCCTTGGCGGAAAAACCATGTATGATAGAGACGAGTTGTGGTCACTATTGGGGAACATCGCTTGAATTCCAAGATCTTTGTAAACTATGGCCTATTCATCGCATTCGTTAGTAATCCAGCGCCCAAAACGGGCCGCATTTTCAAGCCCAGCCCATAATGATCAGACAGAAAGAAAGAGGAAAATAAGGATACATGCTCCAGTTGGCTCCCAGGCCTCGGCCTTTACAAAGATTCATTTCCTGCCACTCTTTCCAGCCGGAAGAAAGAGAAAGAAAACAGATGAAGATAAAAAAGACAACGTTTCCGAACCCAAACTGAGACATAAGACAATCCGAATTGTAAACCAAACATAACCAGTGAACTGAGAGACCCGCTTGCCAAATCACCAAAATGAGCCGAGAACAGCCTTTGATCGCTCGTCATTCCTAGTTGTACTGAATGCCCAGGCCGACACGTGGCAGCTGTTGTTGTTGCTGCTCCTGTTGTCGCTGTTCCTGCTGGTAATGGTGGTGGCGCCGATGGCTGTCGTCGGTATCCCGTAGCGACGGAACCACGCGGACTTTCTTGGCCGGGCTCAACTGGTGACCGTCCAAGCTGCCTGCACCACCGGCACTGCCGACTCCGCCTTGACCGGAGCCGATGGCGCCGCTGAACTTGCGCTTGTCCACAGATGTGGCGCCGACCTTGTTTAGCCCGCCAAAGAGCCTCGCCTGCAGCTTGGCCGACTTCTCCGCGAGCCCCTGCGACGTCGCGGGTGTGCCGTCACGCAAGTCGTCTGCCGAGCTGGCCACCTCGAAGCTCTCGCGCGCGTCTCTCCGCAGCATCGCCAAGGCCGCCTGACTCGCCTGGCTCTCAAACACGTCGTCGTCCGGCCGGCTGTGGAAGAACGACAGAGACTGCGGCTGTGACTGTGTGTGCGCATGCGCATGGGCACGCGGCTGCGAGAGACGGGGAAAGCTGGATGCCGACGACTGCTGGTGGGCCTGAGTTCGCGCGGCCACTAGTTCGAATGCCTGTCTTGCGAGCTCTTCGTTGGCATGTCCACTCCCGGCCTCCTCGTCGGCCGAAATGGTGCTCTCACGGCTCGGGTCTCGCTCTTGCAAGTCCGGGAGCCGGTGACGATGGCGTGTCGGAGTTTCGGGCGGGTTGCGATCGCGGCCGGTGCTGGCTTTAGCACCAACACTGGCGCTCAGGCTGGGCACACCAAAGTGTCCGTTGAAGCGCAGTGTCGCCGGTTCCGTCTGGGGAACAAGGTCAGCCGATGGCAGCAGCCCCGAGTAGCCGGTGCGCGGCCGTCCTGACGGCCCCAACGGTGTAGTGGGAAGCGATGACATGGACTGCACATTGCGCTGGTGCCTTGCCACGTTGCGAGGCGTCGGACGATGGCCGGTGATGGGCGTGTTGGGCGCACTGTTGTTCTCCTGGCTCAGAGCCTGAAGCAGAGCCGCGATCGGCTCGGCGCCGTGGTCCCTGGCCAACCGGCCGCTGTTTGCATTGTTCGTCTTCGCTCGTGGGGTCTGGTTCGGCGTGCCGCGGGTGTGGACAGGCGACGTGTTGGTCTTGGGAGTCATGGCACCATGGAACATGCCGCCAGGGCTGCAGAGCAGGTGGAAGTGCTCGCGGTTCTCACGCAGACGATTGAGCAGCAGCTCCTTCTCGTCTCCCAGGTTGACTGTCTCCTCCTCCTTCTGCTGGATGAGGCGCTTGGCCAGCTTCACCCGCTTCTGTAGGCTCTCGTTCTCCTCGACCAGCTCGTCGTACGCCGCTTTCAGCTGCAGGTATTTGGCCTGCGACGACTCGATGGCGCCACCCAGGTCGCGACGGGCCTGCCGGGCGCTCTCGGCCTGGCGCAGCGCCTCCACCTCCCGCCGGGTCATCTCGTGCTCAACGGCAGCCCGCTTTGCATCCTCGTCAGCCTGCAGGTTCAGCAGGTTAAACTGCAGCTTGTGGTGGGCCGTCTCCATCTTCAGCCGCGTGTGCTCGCCCATGCTGGCCTGCAGCATGGCCCGGAGCTCGTCCGACGAGGCGGCAGCGATCTGAGAGGTTGAAGGGGGCACATACTCCATGGTGAAGGGGGATGCAGCAGATCCGCGTCGGTCTCTGCTTGCCGAGTTCAGGCCTGTGACGGGGGGAGATGGGATAGCCGAGCGCTGCGAAGAGCTGACGTAGCCGCTCGCTGATGTGGACTGGCCGTTCTGGCCTGTGTGGATCAATTGGGGCAGTCGTTGTTGATGGTGGTTTTGTATTTGGGAAGACGGAGGAGGAGTCTGGGAGATGACGGCTGGCAAGTCAACGACGTTGCTCTCGTCGATGAGCTCGGCGCGGAAGCAACGGTCCTCGTCCGTGGGCGAGCCCGGCCCCTCTGTTGACAGGATGGACTCCTGCGACGTAAGGATCACGTCGGCCGGAGGTGGTGTTGACGGCACTTCGACGGTGCTTTTGGCCAGGTCTCTTTCGTCCATTTCGGCCTGGAGAAAGCCGTTCACGCCACAAGACATGTTCACGTGCGGTGACGGTGTGTCGGATGGGGAATGTCGGGCGGTATGCTAGGGATGTTCGGGTCCGACGCCGGCTGGAATTCGCGCGTGGTGCCCAACTGAATACAGGCCTTGAAAAACAAGGGTGAGAAGAGGAAGAAAGACGGGGCAGCGCAGAGGAGAGCTGCACGCGCCAACGAGCACAGTCGTGCAGCGATCGGTGAGAGAGTGGAGGCGGGGGAGCACAAAGGATACGATGTATCGCAAGTATGATGCAGGAGGAAGCACCGTCGCACGTCGGATGGGGGCTGATGATGATGGTTGGCCTTTCTTGGCTTGGGGCGAGAGGGGAACCCTTTTCTGTCGTTGCTGCAGTGAGGAGAGGAAGCGGTCAGGGCACGGACGTGCCCAATAAAAGTGGCTGGCTACGCCTACGCTAGTGTGGATCCGGATTAGAGCTTCGCTGTTCTGCCGTGTCTCACCGCCAGACGATCAGGTACCAAAGTCTGTTTGCAGCTGCAGTTTTTTATCTACTTGCCATTGTTGTCTTATAGCAGAGCCAATCCCGCCACGCCAACGGCCGCCGCCATTCCCACCATTCCAGAGACTTCCATCGCCCTGACTGTATCGGCCGCACCCGTCACTGCCGCGCTAGCCTGCGTGGACTTGCTCGTGGCCGTTCCTGAGCTGCTGGTCACCGTCTTTCCCGGCAGGGTCGACACGTTCGTGGATGTGGTGAGGTCTTTTGTCATAGCAGATGTCTTCTCTTTGGTCGAGACGGTGGTTGATGATGCGGTAGACACTGGCAGCGTGGCCGGTGCAGTTGTCAGGGAGTCTGCCGAAGTCGTGGAGAACGAAGAGGTCTCTGTCAATAAGGACGACGACGACGACGAAACAGCTTCTGTAGCAGAAGGCTGCGACTCTGTCGATGTCACAGATACACTCCCCCCAGCCGTGGCTCCGGTCTCAGCCGCCGCACCGAATCCGGGCAGAAAGCTGGGCGTCACTGTGGCCGTTCCCGTGTAGCCATAGCAGCCAGGCCGTGTCGTGATGGGCGGCGCGCGGCCACCGCCGCAGTCGAGGATCGAGCAGATCTCACCCGTGTCGGGGACGTACCATATCAGACTGGCACCACCGTAAGCCACAGTGGCCTAGGAGATGCAGCCTTTGAAATCGGTGCGGGCCAGGACGGCAGGCAGCAGCAAGCCGGCAGCCACGTCGAGAGGACGGAAAAAGAACATGGTGAACGTTGCCAATAGGATGAGAGATCGTAGACCGAGTCAAACGAGCGTAGACGGAAAAAAGACCGAGAAAATGAAAGAGACCGAGAACTTAACCTCTGCTGAACGAATGCGGAACGGAATGGAGATGGAAACGGCCAGATACTTGTACAGGACAAGAGACAGGGTCCCCTGGCGAGCTCTTCGCCCAATACGGCTCTCTGTGCGGCTGGCCTCAGCTCGTATTCAGCCCCTGGTTGCTGACCCGAGAAACTGTTTTAGCTCCAACACCTTCACCTTAACTGTATTGCGTAATACTTTGTACGGCAGATGGGGCAACAAAAGGGGCCGGGGGCCTTAGGTATGGTGGTATCATTTTTGCCGCCGAACTTCCAAAACACGACCGTGCTGTCTCATTTCCTACAGCCGCACTGATTGGCTGGAGAAGATGAATTTCTCAGATGCTCATTTCTTCCCCGGCGCCCTACTATTGGGTGCCGCGTTAACATCTGATTCAGTCTTTGCGCACTGTCGTAAAAGGATAAGACCTGTCTGGCTGCCGTCGTGGCTAAACAGAGGTTGCAACGGTGTCCTCGATCTGGTAGCCAATTATATCTTGTAGGCTGGTTTTGCCATAGACAGGCGTTTGTCGTCGAAGGTCCTTCAACTTGGACAGTGGTTCGCGAGAGTCGAAGTGAGCACCTTGTAAATAGACGGTGTATAAGTCCTAGGCATGATGCGAGTCCAAGTCTACTGCTCCCGGTGTCGTATACGGGCTCACAAGCCGACATGTCGCTATCGGGTCACGTCTGGCTTTTCGACCATGACTTTCGTCATCGTGATCACAGCGACAGCAGGAGAGATAGCAACGACCACTTCCGGCTGTATTCTGGTAGCCTAACATCGATCCTTGATGCCTCATATCGGATCTTTGTGGAAAACTAGGGAAGCTCAAAATCAGAACGACAAGTTGGGGCAGTTGCAAACTCTCCACACGGATGTATCGACAGTGATGGGGCTCGGGACCCTAGAAACAGATCTGGCCGTAGATAGAAAGGGAGCAAGAGACGTTTTTCTCTCGTTATTACTTTCGTCACCCCAATCCAATGGATTATGGACGATATGAAGAAGTTCACCGAATGTGAGCTGGAAATATTGTAATGCTAATAAGTGACTCAAAAAAGTATCTGCCTCCCGCATGCATGACAGCATGTATCTCTCACCAATGTGTCCGACTATGCGATCTTTAAGCCTCATTCGGTTCTTCAATTGTTCCCCGTCTTCCTCTTTTTCGCCGGTGCCCTCTTCTTGGGTACCACCTTGACCTTTGTGTCCTCTCCTCCCTCGTCCCGAATTCTCTTCTTGTATACGCGCCGCTTCGGTGGCTTCGGCGGCTCCGGTTCATAGGCCCAGTCCTCCCCATCAGAGCTCAGGGGGTCGAAGGTCGCCCCTCTCGGTTCGTCGACGTATGTTTTGGGGATGGCCGCGTCTGCAAGTCCGGCCTGCATTCGACCAATCACGTCGGGAAGCTTCCAGTCCGTTTGCCACTTGATGACCAGTGGTGTTGCGGCCTTTCTAAGCTCTAGACCCGTCGATCTGCCTGTCTCGACGGCTGCATCACTGTCTTGCTCTGCCTGGGCGATCCTCTGGCAAATGGCATCGATCTGGTTATCGATCTTGGCCAGTCCATCATCCCAGATGGCATCCAGAGACTGCCGGAAGTGGTCCATGTTCGCCATGATTTGCTGATCCATCTTCATCATTGCCAATTTGACCAGGGGCGTCGTGTTTTTGTCCGCGAGCTTCTCGAAGTGGTTCTGGCGCAAGCCGAACGAGCCTTTTCCTGTAGCCAAAGTCAGTAACACTAAAGAAAGGCGCGGCACATCCATGCTACCTCTTGCTTACCGATAATCTTCCGTGCGTCAAAGAAGCCACGGCTCCAATTCTTAGATAGAATTTCTCCCACAAGCTTGTGGATTTCGGCAGCCTGCACAGCAATGCGAAACATTGCGTTTTCCACATTATGAGCCACTAACTGACGAAGCTCCATAATGGCAACCAGCTGTCCCGACAGGTACTCAAGCTGCGTCGGAAACAGTGCCGGCAGTGCCCATCGGACCTTGAACATCGACCTGTTCCAGATTTCCTCAATTCTGCCCTTGACCTTCTCTGCCTCCGCAGGAAGCTTGCTGTGAAAGGCTTCGTTCCACATTTCCACAATACCAAGCAGTACCACGTCGGCCCTGGCTCTGTGTCAGTGTGTGGGCATCACAACTACGAGGAGATTGGAAGGTCCAGAACAGCGTACATGTTGTCCATCCATGCGTAAGTAACTCTACCTGCACCGGTGCTGGTGTACCGCTTGCCGTTGCGACGAATGATAGCTAAATGAGTAGCCCAATGCATCTTTGGGCTACGTGGACGGCTGGGCCACAACAAGTTCCAGGTCTTTACTGCCTCTATGACATTTGATCGGCATTGTGGCTTAAACCTCTGTTTGGGAGGAATAGCGAGCGGATTGCACTGCTGAACGCGCGCCGTGAGCTCGTCGCCATACTCGCCGAGGTTCTGTTGTGTTGCCCGGTCTGTTAGCCCAAGTGCCTGCTATTCCAACCATGTAGCTCACCTGGCGAAGTGTGTTCTTGAACTTTGTGCAAAGCTCCTCTAGCCTTTCTTTTGGTGAGACCATGTCGCGGCTGTCGAGGCTTTCTTCCATCGACCACGTCCATAAGACATTCAATACTGCATTGAGACGATGCAGAATCGAGAGCGCGTGATTCTGTCGTGCCGGGATCGTGGCTCTGTTGATCCAGGCGCGCAAGGCTGGAATGCCAGTGTACTCCACCGCAGGAAACCCGGGGCTGGGAGTTGATTCCGAGTTCTGGAGGTTCCAAAACGAGCTAGAACTGACTGGAAGAACATTTATAGCCTCCTCGGTGAATGGCCCTGTCTTGTTCTTGCGAAATCGTGCCTTTTTCCGCCTCATGTCCATGAGGATCTTCTTTTCTACCCTAGCGTTTCTAGCTTTGATGCAGAGAAATGTCATGAGGCCTTTGTAGTAAGTCAGCCGTGCTTCGAGATTGCTGTTCCGCTGTGTCAGCTCGGCAAGCTTAGATCTGGCACTCGATACGCTTCCTTGGACTCGTGCCTGTTCGTGCCCGTCTTCTAAGCATCGGCTTATGTGTTAGTAGTCGGCCCGCGTAGCAAAACGTGTGAAAACATTCTCACCCGCGCATTTGAGTAGAACCTTCCTGTCAGCCCTTGCCTCTTCCAACTCTTTGTTGGCCGCGCCCATTTTGGACTTGATCTCTTTCAGCTGTTGGCAGATCTCCTTGTACGCCTTGTGTGCCGTGTGTATTTCCGTTCCGGCAGCAGGCCGTAGCGTCTTTTTCAGATATTGTTCCCAGGGAATGTCATCCATTTTAGATGGCACAACACAAAAATTGTGACGGGTAAACTTCCCATCGAGCTCCATTCGGAGAGCCTCGTTGTCGCTTATAAGCTGTGATGCCAGCTGCTCGTCGCCTGCCCGAGAGACGGGTGATACAATGATCGCGATTTCCAACGCCGTGAACCTCTCTCTGGCCACATTCGCCCGCATCGTCACTGCATCAGACAAGCCTGGAAGATCCTCGATCACAACTCCATTTTTCAAAATTGGCGACGGGACATAGAGATCGACACGCTGCACGAGTGGCCACACCTGCATTTCTCCTCCATTTATTGTCTCCACGCCTGGAAGTGGAGTGCAGTCGAGAAACGGCTTGATCTCGTCGGCAAAGGTCTCTAGATCTTGGCAGCTGATCGACTTTGTTGTCGAAAGAAACCCTGTTGCAGGATCTGCCTCCGTCAAAATGTCGGCCGTTGTCATACTTCTGAGATCCTCTTCTTCCAACTTCCATACAGCAAAAATTGGATCCGTAAATTCACTGAAATCATGCTCCAAACCTTGGCTCTCATCGTTTGCCTCATCATCCTCGTCTTGGCCAGCACTTCCACTGGCATCCTTGGCACTGCTTCCAGAAACCTGGGTCACCTCGCATATCAGGACGTCATCAATGTCACTATCAACGCCATCAATATCTCTTTCATTATCACATTCTTCCGCGTGCCCTTCGTTCTTGCCTGAGGTATTATGGAAGTCCCGGAAAAACGTGTCCAGCCACTTTTTTATCTCCGACTTATTTTTGAACCTAATCCGGGCGTGAAAACGTGGTCTCTCGTTCTTGTTTTTGTTCTCATGCACGACACAGACGGTTCCTGTAGATGCCCCTTCACTTCCCTGCGGAAGCAAGTCATTATGGCCAAGAAGAGCATTAATGATGGTTGTCTTACCGGCTCCTGTCATTCCGCAAATACCGACTGAGACATGAAACTGGTCATGTTCACCGCAGATATTCTCTGTTTTTATCGGCAAGCTTGGTTAGCTTTTCAATGGAATAAGACTAGACAACAGCATGATAGGTCCAGGATCGACCAACCAATTTCAGACACCACAGATGGGGGGAAGGTCGCTCTGCCCTCCACTTCAAACTCCTTCACCACATTCACTAATTGTTTTCCGCATGTGATGGCATCCATAACGGCGTCTTCGAGAACTCCAATGTGCTCTTCGATGGAAGTACTGCCTTGATTGGCCCAAGGGTATGGCGGAGCTGCTATCAGCGAATTTTCGACTTCACCAGCATCTTCTTGAGCAGCTTCTTGTGAGGATAGGACCTCTTCGTAAGGCTGGAGAAAACTGGCCAGACGGCCAGCGTCCTTCCAATTTGGTGAGTTCATTTTTGTCACGGGAGAGTATGAAAGCTGCAGTGGTATTTTCAGTGTCACCCCCGAACGTCAGATTTAGTTTCTCCTTTGAAATTCTGTATTTCTTATTTGAACGGATGAAGTGTGTAATGGGCAAGCCGATGAGGGAAATGAAGAAGCTGATGTATGTAGAGGGCAAGTAAATGTAGAAAGGCGTGGCTAGTTATGGGTCTAACAAGGCACCTGTTTTTGGTATGGAAGAAGAGGACCGACCCACACTTTAGCTAGTGATGAGAATTTGATCTAGCTATTATCCGACTCACATCAGATAGACATCAGATATTGACATCTGCTGCACTTCTTTAAGCCTCTCTTGTGACTCGGCTCCGTCTTAGCTTTACCTTCATGTCCGGCTCGCTTGTATTGAGTGATGAGGAAAAGTGCACCCCCAGGAACACCTATTCCGGCCGCACGGGATGACAAATCTGGACCCTCGCGGGATGCTATATCGTCACATGACCTGCTCCATTTTTCCTGACCAATCAGATGTGGAACAATTCATGCCTTCTGTCACCACTTACACACTCTATGTATATAAAAACCCTCTCCTCCTCCCTCTCCTTAAAGAGAGGGAGAAAAAAAGAGACACAGACACAGAATCAATCAGTTGCAGAGACATACAGTACACTCGTGAAGCACAGACTACGCCCAAGACTTCGCTGGGCGGGCTCGTCTTGTCATCTCTTTCGGGATCACAAGGTGAGCCCGCATGGCTTTCTTCCTCCTTCCCTTTCGGACCAGCCACATGCTGCCCCTACCTTCTGACGAAGGGAGGTGCTTCATGGCACCTCTCTTCGTGCACAATTACGTCCGTACGTTGGTAGGTGTGTGTGTTGTTGTTGGTTCGAGCTGAGGCCTCACCCTACCTCCGCTCTCAGTATATCAATTTACTCTCTGCGAGTTTTAGAACATGGCACTTCATAAGACCGGGATGTACGGAGTACGAAGCAGTGCTCCGTGCAGACCCGCAAATTGTGGCACATACTCCGCCCTCGTACGGAGTGATGCGCCTTATATTCCGTACCCTGTTCAGCAATCCTTGGGGCCCCATAAAGAGCCTCAATCTCATCTTTTCGAAGAGCCTCCACCGGTAATACTACACCCCGAACATGGATTAACCAAAACCCCGGCTCGAATCAACAAGTAGCGAACTCAGCCACTATTTCAAGTATAGTATGGAATACTAAAAGTATGACTTACACGAACAGTACATGCAAATGCGATCATGTTTCACAATGAAAAAAAAAAATGTCACAATCTGCACAATATTGCGATGGCAATGAAAAACATCAAGCAAGTTCTCACGCCAAGTATCTAGTGCAGCGTGCGGTGGCTATCTAGCTTGGTCGTGTTATCCTCCATAACCTTCTGGGCCTTCTTGAGAATATTGTTGAAGTAGCTCTTCTTTGGCTCTGCACCCTCTTCCGTAGGTACGGGGAGGCTTCCTGCCGCCTCGCCTTCTTCAGCCTCCTCGGCGTCCATAGCGGCAGCGGCATCTTCCTCGTCCTGTGACGGATTATCGATGAAGAGATCGGCGATGGTGCCCTCGCCGGTAGCTCGCTGGTAGATAGAAAAGCTGGACCCGAACTGGCGGTGCTTGCCGATCTGGACGGCGTCTAGCATAAGTAATGCAAAGTTTTGGCAGTTGTTGGTGATGAGGTTGTAGCCAGGGTGTTTCTGGCGCATGTTAAAGATGACCATCTCGCCTGGTAGACTGTTAGAGGACCGTGTCATACGATAAAAGCCAATACGACGGAGGTAATATAGCAAAAAGGCATACCTGCTTGTCGAATGGCTTCGTCGTTAAAGCGCGTCTTTCCGACCTCATATGTGTGCCACTCGTCGTGCTTAAGCTCCTCGTTGATGTAGATGACGTCGAGGCTCTCGTCCTATTGTCTATCAGATCAGCGCCTTTTTCTGGGGGAAAGAAAGTACGAAATCGAGTCAATAAGAAGTCCTCGATTCTACCCTCCTCCACTTACCATCCACAACTGGTGCACATAGCCACCAACAAGCACGGCCCAGTGCTGCGTCGGGTCGGGGTACTTGTTGATCTTCTCCGTGATCAAGCGGCCGAGGCCCGTCTTCTCGGCAAACCATTTGCCGGCAAGTCCGGCGACCGGGTGCCAGCCTATTTCAACCACGCGCTCTTCATTGGAGTGGATTTGCGCTTCGCCCGCCGGGATCACGTTCGGCTTTTGTCCCAAGCCCAACGAGTGCTCCAGCTTCAGCTTGCCTTTCAAGAGTCCATCGCCAGCTTGGTGCAACTCTTCCTTCCTGCACGCCCGCGAACCCCCTTGAAGTCAGCCTTGGACGAGTCGCAGTACAGAGAACAGAGATATTGAAAAGTGGGTGACGGTGCTTGCGGAGCTCCATACAGAAATGTTTTCATCCGCTCGCGCTTTGACAGCGATGACGCGTCCGAGATAACGGAGTCTTGATCGGCCGCTGTGCTTTCCATCGTGCTTTCTCTCTTGCAAGATACGGAGCCCAGACGACGAGAGAAGACGTTCACCATGGAGTCGTGTAGTGCGACAAAGATGACTATAAACAAGAGCAGTGCTACATACGACCTCCTTAGAGGCCTCCACAAGATAGATCTGGCTGCTACAATGCGCGATAATTTCCGAGTTTTCGCGAGACATGGCGCCGTTTTGCCTTTTTTTCAGCTGGCCTGACACGCACGTGACTGTAGTTTTTATACATTGCGATGTCCTGCCACCGGATTGCCTTCACCGTGCGATGATGACCACGTGACGAATGTTTTCACAGTGCCACTTCATAACGAACGAACGGAAGAGGCCTTGGAATCGATCAAGCAGGACGGACGGACGCGCTTGCTGCAGGACGCCATACGGCACAAGACTACGGAGCACTACAGTAGGTATGTCTGGTCTCGCTCTGTCCAACAGTCGTCTCGAGAGCAGTATCGCCGCCACGTCAATTGTATACATTTCTAGACCAAAATCCGTTCCAGTTACACGAGTTTGGAAACCAAAGGCCTTGCAAATATCGGCATTGCTTGATTATACTGGTGAGTTGGGTCGAAACGTGTTGCATGGTCAGGTGACCTAGAAATGCACACGGGATAATCACCGTGCACACAACCCGAAAATAATTGCCTTTTGAAAGACTGTGTCTGTCCTTGATACTTGCTAGTTAAGGCCAGTCCTCCTAAACTCTTTTGTTTAGTTCCGCACCATCCTGACACGCCATGCGTTTCCTGTATAGCTTCGGTCAGCTTGTGGTTGGCCTTGGAACAGCCACTGCCACTAACGATTGCAAATGCTTCCCAGGCGACGGCTGCTGGCCTTCGACAGCCCAATGGACACAGTTAAACAATACTGTCGGTGGTCGTCTGGTTTCCACCGTCCCATTGGGAAAGCCATGCCATGGCGACGACTTCAACAAGACGCAGTGTGACTTGCTGAAGGAGCAGTGGCTTTTACCGCCTATCCAGTGAGTAATCTGTCCTGCGAGCAGAAGCCAATAGCAGCACGAGCCCCTGCTAACGAGACGCAGCTACGAGTCGTCCTCCTCGATGATGGCGCCGCTGTTTGCCAATGCCAGCTGCGATCCGTGGCAGCCCGTCGAGCGGCCATGCATGCTGGGCAACTACGTAGACTATGCCGTCAACGTGACGTGTGCAGGCGACGTCCAGGCCGCTCTGGCATTTGCCCGGACGCACAATGTCCGTTTCGTGATCCGCAACACCGGCCACGACTACCTGGGCCGCTCCACGGGCGCGGGCGCTCTGGCCGTGTGGACGCACCACCTCAAGAGCACCGAGATGGTCGACTGGGCCGACGAGTTCTATACAGGCCCGGCTCTGCGCATGGGTGCCGGGGTCCAGGGCTTTGAGGCCCTCGCCGCAGCCCATGCCGCGGGCTATACTGTGATCACGGGCGAGTGTCCCACTGTCGGTGTCGCCGGAGGTTACGTGCAGGGTGGCGGCCACTCGGCCCTCAGCAGCAGCTTCGGTTTGGCCGCTGACAACGTGCTGGCATTTGAAGTTGTCCTTCCAACTGGCGCACATGTCGTCGCCACGCGCCACCAGAACGCTGACGTCTATTGGGCGCTAGCAGGCGGAGGCACCGGAACTTACGGTGTCGTCTTGGCCGTCGTCACCCGGGCGCTACCAGATGCTGTCATCAGTGGTGCCAAGCTTGCCATCACGACGCCCGCTGACCGTCCCGAGCTCGTTTACGTCGTCGTCGACGCATTCCACGCAGCACTACCCGGCATCGTCGAACACGACACCATGGTCATCTACTACTTTGGCACCGGCTTCCTCAGCATCCCCGCTCTCACAGCCTACAACAAGACGCGCGTCGAGGTCGAGTCTATGCTGCAGCCGCTTCTCGCGGCCTTTGTGGCGCTCAACCTCACCGTCGTGCCGACCTACACCGAGTTCGACAGCTACTACGACCACTACGGCCATTACTGGGGCCCGCTGCCTGCCGGCAACATCGAGGTCGGTGCTAGCCTCTATGGAGGTCGCCTCATCTCGGCCGCGCAGGTCGCCAGCTTCTCGCCCACTAGCCGCGCCTTGATCGACCTCGGCGTGACCCTTATTGGTGTCGGGCTCAACGTCAGCCGCTTCGCCGACGGCAGCACCAACGCCGTGCTGCCCGCCTGGCGTGACGCCCTCGTTTCTGCGTCGCTGACATACAGCTACAACTTTACCGCACCCTTCTCCGACATGCGGGCGCTGCAGGATCATATCACCGCCGTGGTGCAGCCTGTCATCGAGGCTGCCACGCCCGGCTCCGGCGCCTATTTGAATGAGGCTGACTTCCAGCAGCTCGACTTTCAGGACGTGTTCTACGGCAGAAACTACGACCGTCTGCTGGCTATCAAGAACGCGCTTGATCCCGACGGCCTGCTGTACGGACACACGGCCGTCGGTAGCGAGATGTGGGCCTTGGCAGAGGACGGCCACATGTGCAAAACAGTGTAAGAAGGGACGCCTTCATTTCTGGTACTGTCTGCTGGTACCGTAGCAGTTACAGCATTAAATTATTTATCTTTCATCCTAAGATACCAGGCTGTGTTATAGACTAGTCATGCTTTGGACTATAATCACACACCGACCTGCTCATTCAATGGGTTTTCGTCCTGCAACGTACCACTCCTCGACTCTTGAAGTATACTCAATGCCGAAACTGTGTTGGAAAACAATGTCTTTTTTCTTTACATTTTCTGTCCTATTCTGAGTTACTGAGTCGGTACCGTCCCCACCTCCTGCAGGTTGTGTAGTATGTTTGCGGGCTGCATACGGATTTTTATCGTGGTATCGAGTCACCCATACGGTGTGAGAACGGAATACAGAGTGCTTAGCATGATTCGAACGCACAAGCAACAGCTGCGAATATTTCGGTACAAGCTTATAGCCGACCAGCGTCTTGCTAATGAGGCTCGAAACACAATTTGTGAAGATCCTGAAGAGCCGTGCCTTGATAACGTCGGTATCAAGGGTTGTTTTAAATCAACATTGGAATTTGTCGTCGTGTAGCCAATGCCAGCCGGCTTATGGGCCGCGTCTTTAAAGAGAGCGGGTTCCATTCGATAAGCTGTGCAACGCCACCTGATTGGTCCTAAAAGCGCACCCCATTTTACTCTTACTACCAGAGAATTATTCCAATCCAGTTAGCGTCGGTGGTTTAGTGGTAAAATCTGTCGTTGCCATCGACAGGCCCCGGGTTCGATTCCCGGCCGACGCATCTTTTTATACTTCAAATATGTCATACAGGCTATACATCAGCGAGAAGTGGTTGCACTGTCAGGGTCTGGATGCTGTGGCTAAAGCGTGATGTACGGATAATCAAGCTAGAAAGAAGTACTCTGTACATGGCGCGCCTTCTAAGGTGCAAATGCACCGCTAAGGTCCTCTTTTTCAACCGGTGAAATTCAAGCAGACCTCCATCTTTCTGCTTCTACGAGCGTATCAGTAGGAATTTGCGGCTCTTATCGAGCGTCCCAGGAAGCGAGACCAAACAGAACGCCAAATCGCATGTAGAAACATCACGGTAACGACATGAGGTGTGAAAGATATGGAATCCACTTGCCAACAACAACGTCACATCTGCTACGCGCACTTCCGATTGACAGACGGGTGTATTCAGCGACTAAAGTAGCAAAAGGTTTTCGTGCGGGTTTGTTGTCGACTATCATAGACCCTTATTGCCGGTTGGGGGTGCAACAAGCATTTGCGGTCATAGGTTGCGCTGTATATGCGAGGACCGCTCTTAGTACGGAGTACGGAGTTCTCCGTTTTTAGCTTGTATCCAACTTTCCAAAGGAGCTGCATTGCTATTAGATAAGATGGTACGGAGTAGCTTCGAATAGACCCACTAGCTGCCCGACGTGGAACTACATAAACGCGGGAGTCGCGTGTATATGTGTCACACCTACTCGAAATCTCGCCACCTTTTACTCTTAGATACAAACCGAGTACGAGTACTGGCACCAGATCGTTAGGGGTATTAGCAGGTTGGGAAAACACAGAGAACGGGCAGGACGAGATACACGCCTTCCTTTTTTCAAAGTCCACAGCTGTTAAAATTGATCTCTCAACAATGGGTTATGTTTTTACTATGTTTATCATTAGTATCCGATGCACAGATTTTTTGAAAGGTCATATAAAAGGGGTTACCGTGAAATCGAATTTTAAGGTGTACACTTTCATCTATTTCCCTTTTTTCTTGTTCTATAGATTTGGTGCGGTAATTTGTTCTAGCATTTATTGTTTGTTCAAACCCCTACTACTCTTGATACAAAACGTAAACATAATATCTACTCCGTGGGCTGCTATGGAAATTTAAGCATGCGGGTAGCTTCCTCCTGGTACCGTTCCTAATATAGGCTGGTACCGGTCTGGTTAAACATGCGACGAGATCATTTAGTTTGAAGACGCTTTCCTCATTCGTTGTAAGTAGACCTCGATGCTTGGTCGACCAGCTTCAAAAATAGCGTGGCTTTATCATTCCAGACGGCATCCGCTCCTAAATGACAACAGCAGAAGTTCCGATCACAACAATCACCGCAATGCAGCTACTAGGGATTTGGTATCGCACGTCGAAGCTGCGCTTACGGCTTCGTTCGCCTTCTTCAAGTGCGTATTTATTCGCGTTTATTGCCACTTGACTGGCGATGGAACAATGCATGCCTCTTCTTTTTTGTTATACATTTGATTTTGTTTAATAAAATTCTATAATCTGAATCCTCAACCGGCTGTAAAACCCCCCCATTATAAATACGTACAATGAGCGACTATCCGAACTAGGTATAAGTTTAATGGTATTCGTTTTTTTCTTTGGAAATGTCCAGCCGGGGTGGATGCACCCGTCTATGAATGAAAACAACCCTATAATATGCATGATAAAATGGAAAACATTGACAGGTCACACCATGCGGATGGTGCTGATTGTCACAATTCTAGGCAACTCGTGATGTGGAGCGAAGAGGGAAATGATATTAGTGTAAATTCGTTGATGATTCGGATGCAGTCGATTGTGGTATTGGTATCGTCAAGGGAGAGAGAAAGTTTTGTGTTGTCGACTAGTTGGGGCGACTATTTGTCAATTGGTTTTGATGAACGCCATTGCAAATGGAGCCGATGCAATGAAACGCTTAGTGAGCAGGTTCAGCCTTTTCGGGGTCGGAGTCGCTGCCACCAGACTTGGTCGGCTCCTCATCGTCGTCACCGCTGTAGGCATACTTCGACCGCTGCCGAATGCGGGCACCGAAGAACCAGAAGCAGAAGGGGATGGCACAGCATGCAAGACTGATGAAGGCTAGAAGAGATCCGGCCCACTGGTCATTCAGGCGATGGTACATCTGCTCAGTAAACAAGACGACACTGGCACCCCAGAAGGACCGAATGCAGGTCTTGGCTGCTAGTGCAGAAGCAGCCTGGTGCTGGTAAGAGTCGACTAGGTAGTTGTTGGCGGCGTTGTACAGGAAAATGAAGCCGAAGCCGACAGGGAAGCCACCCATAGCGGGACCAGCCCAAGAGATGTCGGTGTACGAAGTCCACGCGAAGATGAAGAGACCGATGGGAATGAACCAGCAGCTCAACATCATGGGAATCAGCCGGATCTCGGCTGGCGGCTTGCCATTGTACTTATGCGACATCTTAATGTAGTGGTTGTTGACGAAAGGGGAGCATGCAGCAGACGCGATGACCTATAATGCTGTTAGCAGCTGAGATTTCACGAGTATAAACACCGCGCAGGAGGCAACTTACACCAACGGCAACCGGGATAAACATCAGGCCAGTCTTGCCAGAGTTGTAGCCCTTGCCCTCTTGGTAAATAATGGGGAAGGCAACGAAGAACATGTACAGAAGACCGTACAGGACAGACATATAGAGAGAGATCAGGAAGACGATCAGCTCCGTGAAGAGAAGCTGGAACGGACGGGCAATGAAGACCATGAGACGTTCCGACATAGGGCGCGTGTCCAGCTCCTGCTCGGTGACAAAGTCAAGCTCGCCAGTCTCCTTGCGCATCTTCTTGGCGCGATCCAGGAGAATCTTGGGCGCATATGTCTCAGGGACGGTGAAGGTAAGCAGACACCAGACAAAGCCAGCAAGGATAAGCTGCAGCCAGTACAGCCAGCGCCATCCCTTGGCGTCAGACAGATAGCCACCGACAAGAGGACCGATGGCAGGGCCAAGGAAGGGCGCGGCAGAGAATGCAGCCATGGGGACACCACGCTCCTCATTCCGCCACATGTCCGCAAGGGTGCCGCCGACGAGTGTCATGGGTGCGGAGAAAGCGATACCGTCGATGAAACGGCAGACAAGCAGTGTACCAATGTTCTTGGAAACTGCGCAGGGAATGATGAAGACGACTGCGACCAGCAAGGTGGAAACGCTTTCGAAGGTTAGCATATAATTGCGCTGATGCAAAGGAGCGATTGATGAGACTTACTAGATGATCTTGCGACCGTAGACCTCGGACAGGGGAGCAAAGGCCATGGGACCAACACCGAAGCCGATAACGAATAGGGTGATAGTCAACAGAACCACTTCCTCAGAAACGTCAAACGTGGCCATCACACCGCTGATGTCAGCAGTGACGACACTGGAAGCGAAAGCCACGACGAAACAGGTAACAGCAACGACCATGGTGATATACCACTTGAAAATCTTGCTCCAGTTCTTCGGGTTTCCCGGGTCATTTGGCTCGAAGGCGACAAGACGGAAACGGCGAGACTGATTGGTGGGCGCACGACCGGCGGCCAACGATGCACGTTCGGCCTCAGCAGCGAACTCTGGGGGCTCTTCGGGACCGACCATCTCACCACCAGGCACCTCGCGGCGGTATTCATCCATGTTTGCGGTGGTGCTCAGGGTGCGGTAGGGCAGGTTGATATCGAGATCGGGATCCCGCCGGGCCTTGGTGGCCTCGTAGCGGGAGCCGGTGCTGGCCTGGCTGCCACGGCGGGCGCGCGATGCATTGGCGAGAGCAGTCATTGGGCGGCTGATCGAGGCAGTCCGAGTCAGATCGCTGTCCCGGCGTGGCTGGGTGGTGGAGGCGTGCACAATGGAGGAGTATTGAGACTCGTCTGGCGCGAAACCGCCATCAGGGGCGGTTTCGGGTGGTAGTCGACTCGACATGTTGTAGAATGGTGTGTGAAAAGATATTAGGTTGAGCAGGAGAGATGAGCAAGTGTATATATTATGAGCTCAGGTAAAGTTGCTGTCCAATAGTGGAAAGGAGTGCGGAGAGGCACTTTGAAGAGGATGTACGGAGTACAGTAAAGTAGAACACAACAAGCAATTTACCATTCGATCACCCTGCAGCAGACACAGGTCCTTATATAGAATCGACCATCCTGCCGAAAACAGGTAAAACAAAGCACGAGCGCGAGGACGAGACGAAAGGGCTAGAAAGCGTCGTGCTGAGAGCTCGTTGTTTCGCTGGTAGTTTTCTAGAGGCGATCTAGAGCCCGTTCTTTTTTTCCCTGTCTAGAGCGGCGAGTAACCAATCAGGGAGTTGTGGATACCCCATGCGGATCCACCCTGTCCGGCCTTTTCCATACCAGGCCTAGGGTGGATACAGCATACTGTTGCTGGGTGGGTGGGCCGTTACAGGGGCGTCATGTCCTCTGCGGCCGAAAAATTGCAGGGATGCGCTGTAAACCGTGTGTGCACGCTGATTGCTCGGCCTACTGGTCGTGGTACGGAAGCCCATTAAAAAAAACGGGGCTCGCTCGCTCTTTCAAACAAACACGAAGACGCGAAGCTGGGCCTGAACACGATCGCGATTTCGATCTGGGTTTCTCTGGTTTTGCTCTTCATTTTCCCTTCTGGGCATTATTGATGCCCAAATGGGCTTTCTGTTTAAAACCTTTGTACTGCAGCAGTATGACGCGTTGCCAAGATAACCTTTTGGTTCTCGTGCTCTTAATCCCTCTTAAGCCAGGACGAGAGTCCCAGACACTTGGAATGTAGGATATCTTATCTCGCTCGTAGAAACAAGGATGCTGCATTGCGTGCTTTGGCTCCTGTTGAATCCTGCTCCTGTGCCGTGTCGCATTTTCAGCCAATCTCCCGCCGAACTCGGAAGAATGTGCCTTGACATGTAAGATACTGCGTGTTGCATACTACGACTTATGTGAATTCTGTCCCGACGTGTGGATAGGCGCTCCGCAGCCTCGACCGTCCTATCTTCGACCGCCAGCTTCCCTCGACGTTCCTGATTGTTTCCACTGTTTCCAGCCTGCCATTTACAAGTAACGCCAGGTCCCAACTGCCTCTTTTCCGAATACGAGAGAGGGACAGCTCTTTGGCCATTACCAGGGCTTAATGGTTGCAATGGGTGTATTGGTGCCCAATTCTATCACTTTGGTCAGTCATATCTCAAAACTTCTCACGAGTACAGCAGGCCCGTGACGAGTCCTACCGCCTTTTGGCTATTTTGATCCCCCCCTGCCGCTCAACCCCCACTGGCTCTGCATGTTTTTTTTTTTTGACTTCTTTCTCCCTCTCTTCTCCCGGTCGCAGTGGCGATATGCGCCCTGAACGGGTCTATCCATGTCCTTGGTTACCTGTCAATATGCCTCCACTCACTACTCTACAACGTAGGTCCATTCCGACTCTACACGTACGTCGTACGACGTATGTAAGGGGCTCACAAATTCAGGCCCCCCTCCCCCATTACCACCACCGCTTGTTGCCTATCTTCACGCCTCTTCTCTTTCTCGCATGGCCCATAAAAACTGGGCGAGGCACTTAGATTCTGTCGTATGCGCTAGTACGAGTACGGCGCGACCTTCGCCATAAACCTCGCCTTTAACTAAACCGTTCCTAGTTCACCCGCTGCCTGACAGTTAATACAAGACGGAACAAGATGGAAGCAAAGGGCCAGGCTGCATGCATTTTGCGCAGAGACAGGCAATTTGCGCTTCCTTGGGCGTGACGAATTGTTTTATGGGGTTGCAAGAAATCTTTTCCTTGCTCTCAGCCCCTCAAATCTCCCGGGTTTTTATCGTTTTACGGACACAAACTACGTGACTCGCATCTTTCCCCTTTCAACGGTCGATGGATCAGTAAGATACCATAGTGTACTAAAGCATGCAAGCTCCCAAAAACCGACCGGCCAGCTGCAGTTATCGCTTTCAAGACTAGGTTCGCGAGCCCGAAGGGCGTATGTAGCCGCCGACATATGAAATGCCAAGTCCGTGCGGGTAAGCGCTTGGAGGCCGAAAAGGTCCATCGAAGGCCCGCCGGCGCCTGTGAGCAATTGCTGTGAGCACTTACCGTGGAGTAAATCCGCAGAGGCCCGGAGGGTACTGCTACGGCCGGACCATGTGCCAAAGGGCTCCATTGCGATAGCTAAATCTATCTGACGTCAGATAGTCCACTCCCTTCCTCGACTTCCGCCCTCTCGCGCATCGTCATCTAGACACATTAAGCATCCGCTGGCATGCGATTGAAGAAGCGGACTAGTCGATGATGATGATTTTTAACCCGGACTAAGATACTGGTTCTGATCCACATCCCCTCAGTAATGACAGAGATGAGGCGATTAGCATGTCGCGTGCCTGATGGACCTGCGATGTTGAGGTATACGGAGCACATGCTCATCGATCCCTACTCCGTAAAAGGCTTTCCAAGGGTCTCGAGCTATGACCTCACCATGCAGTGCGTTGGGGCATTGAGACAAGCGGCTAGCTTCGGGCTCCTCGTGCTGCGAAAATCTGCCATCGATCTGGCCTAGCAGTTGCAGCAACATGACGATGATGCTGTGTGGCTTACTGAGAACAGCCTCTACCGCTCCATATGGCAGTGTAAATATCGTGGCATTTCTGGCATAGAGATAATGGTGGATTATGTTTCTGCAATACACCTTTTCAAGTCAGCAAATCTGCAGCTTACGCGGGTGGGCCGGCAATATGGCCCGTGCGCAACCTGGAAGTCCTTTGTATCTCTGCAAGCTAGTCCAGATCTGGAGATGGAGCTTTGCCCTGTTAGGTTTCTTGCAATCTGGCAAACTACAGTAATCCAAAGGGATCGCGACTTTTCTGGCCAGCCTCAGACCGCGTCGCAGCTAGTCCAAACGTATCTTACCACGCTACCTCCGCCTGTCTCCTGCCTGTCTCTTTCACCAGGCGCGCTTGCACACTCGCTTCTCTGCATTCTCCGTTCTTCCTTTCCCCAGTTGACCGCAGCCGAGCTGTTGCCAGAGACCTCATTGACGTGTCTGACCCCCATTCGAGCTACGCGACCAAAATGACCCGTGCCGTCCAGACCATCTCCGTGGCCTTACTGGCCACGTCTGTACGTGGGCCGATTGGATGGACGCTGCAGACCGTGGATGCCAATGCTGACTGTTGACCAGGTGTACCTTTCGCTGTATCTGCAGCTGATCCCTCTTCCTCTCATCGTCCAGGAGGAAATCGTGCCTGTGGTAGGTCTCCGGACATTTGCCCCTCCCCGGTGCCTCCGCCACCCCCGCTGACAGTTCAGATTCCCTTCTGGTTTATTGTTTCCCTCGGCGCTTTCCTCCTCGGCCGCCTTGGCTGGGGCATCGTCTCGTTCAACGACTGCCCCGACGCGTACCAGGAGATCCTGTCCGAGATCGACTTGGCAAAGGTCGACCTGCGCAAGGCAGGCGTTACCGTGGATTGATTAATATACGAATAGCACGCATTCGCTCCAAAATAGAGGGAGATGGGAATCTAGGACGGTGGCACAAAATCAAGAAAGACCTTATTACGCAGAAGTTGCATCAACCTGCAAAAGACCTGCCTGCAGACAACCGAGCTGGTGGTCTTCAATACAAGAAAAAACGTGAACAGGCCATGCCTACATGTGTCATTGAACAGGTATGTTGCGTTCAGAATGATGCTTGAATCTGACCATGGCTGGCGACGCTCGGGGCCTCCCAATTATGCACAACAGCATTCCACACCCATCGTCTCCTTCCTTGTTTGCTTTCTCCCATCAAATGAGAATTAATACGACCCGGTACTCTTGGAGATGCATCGAACGCCCCCCCATGCGCGCCTAAATAACCCAAACCAACGCCCAAACCTTGCCAATCGAACGGGGGTATCGTTACCGCTCATACACTATCATCATCGCCTGCTAGCAGAGCCACAATTGTCTTCACGGCCGTTTCCGGGTCCTCGCTTCCATGGACAAGCTGGTCGAACAGCTTCGGCAGGCCGGCCAGACGGCCTCTGTCGTCTGCTTTGTGCCCTGTGATTCGCGACATGTTAGTTTTGTGATTGTAGCAGATGATGCAGTGGCTATACGTACACTTCCCCGGCACGCCCAAGAGCAGGCCCAAGTCGCTTTGGGCTTCACCAGTCCAGTCAAAGTCAATGCGCCACTGTATGCGGACGGTGGGTGTAGCATCGTGTCCCTGGCCATTTTGGGGCAGTGGTATGTCTACATCCATAGCTGTTCGGCCCAGATGAGCGTGAAGCTCAGTAGCTGAAAATGTAGAGCTTTTCTGCGGCACATCGCCACCAAGCTCGTCGTCATCGTCAGTATCGCTGTCGTCCCGTCGCCTGTTGTTATACCTTCGCTTCTTGCGTGCGCGGAGGGCCTGAATTGCATTGTGGAGGGCCTCCTTGTCGCGAACCAGCTGGTCCAGAGCACACCATAGCTTAGCTCGGCGGACGGCTACCCGCACCCACTCGCCCATGGCCCACGTTAGCACAGTGACGTTGCGAACCAGTGCACTGCCGGCATCTTTCTGGTGGCAGAGAGCAATGCGGTCGATAAAGGGCCGCAGCTCAGGAGCTGCTGTCGGGTCGATTTTCGGCACGCGGAGCTCTGCTATGCGCAGAGACTTAGTGTTGACGATCATCTCTATACGAGCCAGGAAGACGTCGGGTGGAGATATGGACGTGGCAGTGATGCAGTGCTTTTGCAAGAGGGGTGCATCCGGTTCTGCAGGCGGCAGCACGATCACCTCGGAACGGAAGGAGAGGGAGCTAAACGCCTGTAGATATGGTAGCTCTTCGGCAGCCGTCATGGGTATGGGGTGGTGAGAGATGGGTGGGTTCTCCTCGGCAGTCCCTTCTGTCTGCGGCTGGCCAAATGTGAAGAGTTTGGTCAGTTGCGTCAAAGGCTGGCCAAAGGGCAGAAAGGCAATCGGGTTCGTGGCCGCCTGCAGCCAGTCCGCCGTCGGGTCTGGCGCTTCCTTCTCTGGCGGCAGCACATGGCGACGAAGAAAGCTGACAATGTCTCGGTGATTTTGGGGCGAAGAAGGCTCGAGTCCGAGCACCGTGGCGCTATGTATTCTCTCGTTCTCCGCCGCCACGAACGACAGGTCGGCCTCGAGCTGAGCGATCTCGGCCAGCAGCGAGGCCTTCTCGGCCAGCAGCTCCGCGTCCGGCTGCATAGGCTTTATGCCACGTGCGACATGACCGCTACGCAGTCGTCGTGGGCTGTGCCTGCCAGAGCTCTCCGTGTTGGCTGGCCGTTCCTTGGTCCGCTTGGCGGCGTCTTTCAGCCGTGCCCCTGCTTCTGCTTCTGCAAGCGCTGTTGCCTTGAGGGGCGTCTGCTTCAGCGGCGAGCCGCTGCTCGCCCTGCCCTTCTTGTCGCGGCCCTTTCTCCTTCCCGGGTGTTTGGTGGGCGTGCTGTTGTGGATGCCACTGGGTGGCGTAGCCATTTCGGGGTCTGGGCGTTCTGGCGTCGGCGGCAGCTCCGGCTCGGGCGGCTCATCACCGCCGCGAAACAAGTCCAGCCCCGATCGCCGCCTGTCGAGGGCTATGAGCGGCTGTAGAACATCCTCGCTGCGCTGTGGATCGGGGGGTGGAAGCGGGCGCGGAATTGGCTTCACGGGCGACCGTCGGGGCGGCTCCGACAACGTGCTGCCAAATCTCCGCGTCGGCGACCGTGCCGGCGACCGTATAGGCGAGCGAGCAAGTGGTCGTATGTTCTGTTCGCTCTGCGCCATGCGGATTTCACCGATGTCCCCAACGGCTCCGTTTTTCCTAGCTCCCCTTTGCGCGTCCGAGTCTGTTTCGGCGTGGCTGGATGGAGGAGGCGCTGCAGAAACGACGGTTGGGCCCCCCCTTCGGCCGTTAGCCTCGCTGCGTGCCATCGGTTGCCGCCGGTCGAAAGCGTCCTGGTTGTGTCTGGCGAGACTGGCCTTGGTGGGAGACGCGAACGATGGGGGCCGGGATGGCGACACAGACGGTCGTGGAGGATCGGGCGGGGTGGCGGAAGCAGCCGTGTTCACATCGTACATGAGACTGTCATTTCCAGAGGCACGGTCGGAGAGTCTCGGAGACGTCCTCCGCCGCTTTTTTGGCGGGGAGTCCATGGTGCTTGCTGCCGGTGGCCGTTGTTCACTGCTTGGCGATCGTGCAGAGTCGTTGGCGGATTTGGTCGGCCCAAAAAGGCAAGCCACAGCTGGCAAAAACACGTACCCCGTTGTGGTAACACGCGACGCGTGCTGAAACGTCATGTGATCGCTTCCAGTCCCATCGTCCGAAGTGTGGCGAAAAGTCGGACTGGGGCGCAGCAAGTTCTTGCATGATGACGTAATACACGTGGGTTTAAAATCGGCCGCATTACGGAGTCCAAAGGATCGCAACCGAGAGTAGCCGTAACCGAGTCAATGCAGTCGCTATAACGCATGGAGAAGAGGTGCATGGCGCGGTGTGCAGCGCAACTGAAAATGAGCAGGATTTTGCCAACATCGCGGGCTGCGGCTCGGCGGTTTCCATTACAGGCGTCCAACCGGTGGCAACCACCACCTTCAGTGGCCCTGCTCTCGACGTCACAACCATTGTGCGATAAGATCCGCCAGGCACACCCGCGGGGCGCCTACTACGACCTCCTCCTCACCAGTCCTCCGCCGTACGCTGCTGTCAAGAGTGAAGAGCCTCCTACCACGGCAAAGTCAGCTCCTGCAACTCCAAAGACGCCGGTGCCCGTCTCAGCGTCCTCCTCGTCTTCCACGCCAACGAAGCCCGAAACTGTTTCAGAGCGTGCTCGCATTGTGTTTGGCTCGCGACTCGCAGGCCCGGCCGAGCGTGCCGAACGGCTGGCCCGGATCCGCGACCGCAGCCAGATGATTGCGGGCGTGCTGGTACCGCCGCAACCTGAGGAGCCGGAAAACTGCTGCATGAGCGGCTGTGTCGACTGTGTCTGGGACCGGTACCGGGACGAGATAGAGGGCTGGGCACAAGCGAGTGCGGAGGCCAGCCGAAGACTGCAGGCGCAAGAGAGTGGAGTTGCGGCCAGTGTGGGCACAGGAACGTCGCCTGCAGGCGTTGCTACCACGCAGGGACGTACGCCCCAACCGGGCGCCGTGAGCATGGATGATGACGGTGGCGGATCCAACACCAACTGGGACCTCGGGCCGCCGACCGTATCAACACCGGTGTCAAGCAAGGGCGACAAGGACTTCTGGGACGACGAGCTGTACAAGGGCCTACCGGTGGGGATCCGGGAATTCATGAAGCAGGAGAAGCGCCTGAAGCTGAAACACATACGAGAGGGCACGCTCGGCGGTTGAATGGGTGGTAGACCGGATAGACCACGAGGACGGATCGGCATTCTGGATAAGCGGGATGATACCATGAGAAGCCGGTGGCTCTAGATATATTAGACACAGCATACATTTTCAAGGCAACGTGAACTGGCTCTGTGATCATATATGTGTGTACATGCGAAGAGGCGGTCTCGGTTCGGCTCCTCTGCGTCTATGAAAAGCTGCGTAACGTGGCAATAACAGAAAACAGGACGAAACAAACAATACTGAAAACCCACCCGACGCCTGTGAAAAGGGATGTATCGCTTCCTAGTCTTCTGTTCTCTCCTGGTGTCGCTCTAGTTCTGGCCGTTGGTCAGCTGCTTCCGGGCCGCCGCGTCGTGAGCCTCAATGTCTGTTGCCTCCCACGGGTAGCAGATCCAGACGTCACCAACGGTGCGGGCAGCAATGTAGTGGCCCGAGTCCATCATCTCCTTGGGGAGGGCACCCTTCTTTGCCTTATCCTTATTCTGAAAGGGAGAGGGGAGTGTCAGCCCAGATGATCTGAAAGGTGATACAATACAGGGAAAGAGGACACGCACATGGAGGACAAAGATGCTGAATTCGGTCTTGGCGGCGTTGGGACCAATTGCGAGCCGGGCTGTCTCGACGTCCTTCTCGAGCTCCTTGACGGCGTACTCGAGCGTGGTGCGGGTGTCGTCGACCTCGTCCACGATCAGGATGCGCTTGCCGACCAGATTGCTCATGGAGCCGAGGCTAGACAGGTCGAGCCACTGGGTGCGGGTGACCTTGGTGCCAGGCTCCTCGGCGACGTCGTCAGTCGGCAGGCTTTCGTAGAGCGACAGGCCGATGGCTTGGATCGGGATGTTGGGCGAGCCGGGCTTCTTGAGAAACGAGCGCAGGATTCGTGCCGGCACGTAGCCACCACCGCCAATGGCGATCATGAGCTGCGGCTGGAACCGCTCCAGGATCGGGCCTGCAGCCTCCTGGCAGAGCTGGTGCACCTGTATGCGGAGAAAGGAGGCCAAGGGTCAGCAACATCAGAAGGGTGGGCACTTCTTTGACGGCCAGACACAGCGCAGAAGAGAGAGAGAGGTGCCCTGCAAGCGCTAGCGGCTGCAGCAGCCCTGTGCTGTGTTCCGTGCACTGTGTGCCGTGCGAGACCAACAGCGGCAGGTGTCGTGGCACGCGCAATGCACGACACCTGTGGTGGTGCCATGGCCCGGGTTCGAGTTTTTGTATCTTACCTCATTGTAAGTGACGTAAATTTTCTCCACCATCTTGGCGGCTTTTCTGTGTGTGCGTGTAATAGGCGGGGCAAAGAAAGACGGGGAAGGGACAAGCGATTTGTGCTGTGCACGGCGGTCCTGGGCACAAGCAAGAGCTTATCGAGGGTGGTAAAGAGGCAAAGTTCAGCGAGTTTAGAACGAGTATCGCGACGCGGCCTTTTTAACCTTTTGGGGCCAGTCTTACTCGAGCAGGGCAAAAGAAAAACCTAGGCGGCAGAAAAAAAAAAGTTTCTGCGCCTTCCTCGTCCACTAACCCCCACCACGAAGATCAAAAACTTAAGTGGGCCCGGCGCGAACTAGCAGCACCTGCGAGTCGCTTTTCTTACCGCACAGCCCTTCTATAGCTTAGAGGCATGCTTTTCCTTAATTTGTCGAGGGCGGTCCATCTGGCCCGCACCGGAGTTGGCCGGACTTCATAATCCGAGGTCTCACTGTGACAGCAGACTGTGCCCATTACGACGACTCACTATGTACAGGGTGCAGCAGCCAGTCCAATTATGTGGCTTATACACTAAATGCAGATTACTCACGTGCGGGCGATCAGCAGAAGGGCATCCTCATCAGCGAACAAGGCCAACTTGTGCGGCTCGGCCAATGCCGAAATTTGCATTGCAAGCGCCGGCCTTCTAATATACACTATATGCACTATATACACTATTAGAGCAGGCTACTCGTACGTTACTGGCCCGCAAGCATATCTTGCAGTGGGGGTGCAATGCACGGAGCCTGTGGGGAATCAGGCTGAACAGAGCCAAGCCGGGCTCCAGCGAGTCGAAAGTTGCCGTCCGTTTCAGGAAGGCTCGTCATGCTCGTCATTCTTTGTGGGGGCTTCGAATGCCACCTCAATGCGTGGAATAGACAGGTCATTGGGTGGAAACCTTTTTGCGGCAAAGAAAGTCCCGTACTCGTCTATGAGGCTGCATGAATTAGTGAAGTGAATGTGCCAGTGCGCGCTGAACTACATGGTAAAAGCATTGGGCTGAGTCGTGTCTCAAATCACGCCCGAGGCGCCACTGTTCGTGCGTGGTTTGCTATGGGAGGGGTTAGGTGTTTTTTGCACAAGAAATTGCCTTGCTGATGATTGCCTTGAGGCGAAAGGAAAGTGCAAAGCGCTCCAGGCACCATTACGGAGTGGACTTCTTGTCTAAAAGTAGGATACGACTTTCCAGATTTCAATGAACTCAGCTTTATTCGTCACGTGTACTCCGTACCCGTAAGTCGAAGCTCCTTAAAATGGCATTTGAAACTTTCGTCATTCTTCCTCGCAATCAATGTTCTGCCCTCACGTAGACAACTTTGGCATCTTCAAACTCTCTCTGACTACGTGATCTCTCTACTACCTCGTCGACCATGGTCTCCGACAAAGTGATTCAGGCTTCCAACTCGCTCATCAGCGATACCTCAGTCCCACATGTCGCCGTCTTCATCGGCGGCTTGTCCGGCATCGGAAAGTCTACGGTCCGTGCCTTGATTGCCACGGGCACGAGCATGCGAATCTACCTCGTCGGACGCAACAGTGCTGCAAAGCGAGTGGCAACCTTCATTAAGGAACTGAATGCCATCAACCGAAAGGCAGAAGTTGTCTGGACTGACAGTGAGGTCGCACTCCTCGCGGAGACGAAAAGAATCTGCGAAGTCATCAAAGACAAGGAATCCAGCATCGGCCTGCTGTTCTTTGGCACGGGATATGATCTGCTCAGCTCATACCCGGAAAAGAGCGAGGTCTCGGAGGTCACCCAGAGTCTGGAGTACTTCCAACGGATGCTGTTCCTTCTCCATCTTCTGCCCCTCCTTCGCAAAGCAGAGAGCGCCAGGGTTATCAGCATTCTGGGCGGCAGACCAGGGGCGTCGAAGATCGGCGATGCACCGTTGATCATGTATAAGGGATTGGGCAACTTCAAAGCCATGTTTCGATACTCGGCCATCCACATGACAATGCTAGAGAAGATGGCCGTCGAAGATCCTGCTGTGACCTTCGTTCACTCTTGGCCCGGGTGGGTCCGTACAGAACATACCAGACGAAACATGGACTCGGAGCCATTCGTATATCGGATCCTCCGACTGATCTTCCACTTCATCGTGGGCCTGTTTTCGGTGTGTGCAAAGACGAGCGGGCAGCGACATCTGTTTATCAGCACGAGCGCTGCGTTCGGCGGCCACGGTGTGCCGTGGTTTGGTAAGCCGGGCGTGAACTCGCTGGGAAAGCAGGAGAATGGACTGTTTCTCGTCAATCACCAATGCAACTGCGCTCTGATTGCGAATGCTTTGGATCTGCTTCGAGAGAAGGCACAGAATGCAATTTGGGCTCATACCCAGGAAGTTCTTGAGCCATACATGTAAGCGAGAAAGTAGGTTTTCTTTTTTTTTGACGTTAGCATGGACATAACGTCTGCATGCGGCCGTATCTATTTATTATGGCTATGGCAAGCGACAGGTCATCCATAGATAATCCGATTTTACGATGTGGGACATTGCTCGGTTCGATGAAGCATGTTGCAGCTCACTTCGAAAACCGCTGGGAGGTGGTAGAAGACCGTACAGAGTATATATATATCTCCCTTACAAAGTGCATTTAACGAGAGGAATTCAGAAAAGCCTTGTTATATATGGACGCACCGAAAAAGAGAAAAACCCAAATGAGTAACACTTTCCGTATTCAAATGAACGTAGCGGCATGACAAGTAACTTGGCTTTAACTTCCATTACCACGCAGCAGAAAGAGCTCATACATTAGAGGTGAAGCGAGAACCTGAAGAGGGATTATTGACAATTGCCGGTTGTCATGCATCTCGCCCAGGACGCTCTAATTTAAGCTGTACGCTGATGGAACAAAGCTCTATTTCTGGGGGGACCCAGGTGTCTACAAAATGAATGGCATCCAGTACAGACCCGTTTACTTCACGCCTGTGCTAAGACAGCTTTTATATTTTTGCGATAATTTCAATTTTGCCTTCTAAACGAACATTATAAGGCGGATCGCAGTCTTTGAGGGACCCAAAATCACGAGAACCTTACCAAGTTAATCTATCTAAGAGTCAAGCCATGCCATTCGTCAAAAGGGGTCAAGATGACACCCTACATCTAAGAGGAGGCATTTAATCGCTGAGAGTGAAGCTGGTAGGGCCGTTGTAGCTCTCAACGTTGGCAACCTTGTCGTTCGTGGTAGTAATCTGGGACAGGGGAATAAGGTGCGTGGCCACCTGGTTGCTCGCGGGGGAAACCATCTGGGTCACGGCGAGGGTCAGGCCGGCGGTGTGGTCGCGGGTGACGGTGAAGGTGCGGTAAGAGTTGTTGCATTTGCCGTCCGTAATGGCGGGGAGGGTGTTGGAAGAGACAGCCGAGGCGGAGCAGATGTTCGCGACTGTCTCGCCGGCATTCATCTGCATCACATTGAAGGAGTACCTAAGGAAAGTTTGTAAGAATAAGGAACGGAAGAATGATGCGTGGTTATCGTGATACTTACTTGCATTCGACGCTGTGCGGGACGCAAGCGGCGGCAAAGTTTGTGACTTGGAACACGGCGTCAGCCGAAACGACGGCGGCAGCGAAGAGGGCGGTGGCGAAGAACTGCATCTTGAAGGTTGGTTGGGACTGGTAGAGTCGTTTGAAAGTGAAGAGTTGGAAGGTACTGGTGATTCTGGAGATTGTAGAGGTGATGGGCTGAAGTAAATCTTTTGGCAAGAGAAGACATCAAAGGACTTTATATACTCGAGCTCGAGAGAGAATGCTATGTCTGACTACCATTGCTAAGCTTTTTTTGCGGGTAGGTTAGCCCGTGTATTGTGTCGATCTTGATTTAGGTGGATCTCGTGTTGGGCAGGTGTTGTGGGGAAGACCAACCGCTCTTCTCGTATTGACCAAGTTCCGGACTAGATTGACTCCTCAGTATGTCGTGGTGATCTCACCGCTAGAGACTCCGTCTCTCTCCCACAAGAGTTGGGCGGTGAAAGACCAGATTGTTTCAGAACAATGGATTAAAGATGTCACGACTCAGGACGGCAAACATGCCACGTATTTCGTAGTTCAGACAAGCATACAAGGAAGTGCGCCGTACGAGAAAAAACTGCTTATGTCTATTACCTGATGTTTCTGATCGTAGACTCTGGCGACTGGTACGCCATGCGCACGACAATTGTCCTGTATCTACGATACTTGCCTGATTCTCAAGGTCCTGTACGAATGGGTAAGGGGTCAGAGCTGCATGATGTGGATCAGCCGAAGCAGAGGCCGGCTGTGAGGTGCCGGACCGGGGAGCGATGTTTTGAGACAAGCAAAGGCTACATACCCTTTCTTTGTTTCCAGCAACGATTGCCGACGTCCCGGCCTTACCGACAGGGCCCTATTTACCGACAACTCGTAGTGTGGGGACGAGGTTCTGTGGATAACTAGCCTTGGAAGGAAAAGTATACGGAGTACGGAGTACGGAGTACGAACTTGCCCAAACTATCATCAGTAGAGTGGAGCTGCCAGGTACATTTATGGACGATCGCCAGTAGATCCCTTTTTTGTCCCACAGGGACTACTACGTATGTTTGGCTCAACAAAAAACATACGGAGTGCGGTAAAGTACGAGCTATATCCCTGCTTGCACGGATTATATTCTGGGGATCTACTATGTAATTTCACACAAGGGATCCTACAGGGGAGGCACGAGGATCGAGTATGCGAAAGACTGGTCTTCTCTGAATACGGCCCTGTTTCGCATACGGAGTATACTCCTCTCCATGAAAATGAAAGGTCGTGACAAGAGCGTCCAGCTGCTCACACCGCTACTGCCCAGTGACATTCTTCCATCACAACAAACTTGCGGTGGAGACTGGCCAGCGAACGTACGTCGTAAAGGAGTTGGGCTTGAGTGCAGACTGTGGGAGGGTCGAGCGTACGCGTACAATTTAATGCTAACGCAGTGCTGCTTGATGACATTACTCTACTTGCCCGTGACGAATTGTTATACATGCTGTGGTACTCCGTAGGCTGTTGTCAAACTGAGGACGTCGTATCGGATAATTAAAAATTCCCAAGAACATACGGTTACGAGTAAGGTCTTTGGAAAGTCCCGCTCCAAAGACGATGCCAAAACCCATAACCGAGCTCTGGCCCAAAGACGTCGTACTATGAAAATCATGAGATATGACAGTGGGGGTTGGCGGGGTTGCAAAATTTCTCGACAGACATCCGGATGCCTCGATATCAATGGACAGAGTGACTTCGGCCTCGGTAATTCGAGATTAAGTTCCTCAACTTGCCACCTCATCATCATGCCTTTTGAAGCGAGCAGAGCTTATCGCCGTCGTGGGTACCACGGCCAATCTTGGAAATTTGCCACCGTCGATGCTGATGGACGTTGGGGCTTCTCAAGACGGACGGCCGATGTTCTCAAGGCATGATAGTTCTGCAGCGGCGCGACGGGCCGTGGCGCTGAGCATTGCGAGACAGACCAGTGTGAGACAACGTCAGCCAGACACATCCGACTTACCACTCCTTCGGACAAAAATGCGTTTGAGGAAAAACGCGCAATCCAGGAGGGTTCCCTGCCCCGAAATGCAGCTTGACAAGCCGTACGAACGCGGATGTTGCAGGACGTGGTGCAGTATGTCTGAGAGACCAAGGTAAAGTATGATTTCTGGGTGGGCGACGTGCACGACGTGAAGCTGGTGGCGCACGTGACGCGGACGATTCTGGCGGGCAGCGCACACGGTAGCGCAAAGGGCGGTAGCGTCACGGGACCACATCAGTGGCGGTGGACGTGGCGGTGCACTTGGCCACCGGAAATGTCAGCGAGCGTATGGCGCGCATCTTGATGGCTGGGCCGAGGCTCAGTGGCCAAGAAGGGTGTGAAATGGTGCATTGGCATTTTCGAGACGATGCCGCATTTCTCAGGACCACGTCTGCACCTGTGGCTGTGCGCGGAAGTTCCCCAGTGCCAGTTCCGGGAACACAGTTATACGCTGGTCTTGGCATCAGCAACTAGCTCAGTGATGATGCAGACAGGTCGTTGGGCCGCCTCTATCGCTGCTGTTTCTGTCCAGGAAAGCGTTGCCCGTCTCATTTGGGGTTCATCTTGATATTGCGAGCGTTGCAATCCTCCATCTACAATGTGGGATTCTGCTTCTATCGTTATATTTTCTGTACTCTCACGAAAAAGTACACTGAGAAATGGCGCAATTATCTGGGTTGTCGATGTTGGTCCGAGGTACGAAGACAACTGAACCCAACAGTATCGTGCGGAAGCTGACTTGTGTATTCCAGCCACGGCCATCGTCATCGGCGCCACGGCCGTCGCGGCAGCGGATGTTGACGGGTCCCCGGATACCCTAGCCAAGCGCTACTACGGCCCCTTTGGCAGTGGCAGCTATCCATCTAGTAGCGGAGGAGACAGTAGCGGTAACGGCGACAGTGACAGCTTCTTCGGGAGCAGCAACGGCTTCCCAGGCATTTCTGGCTCCACACTCGAAAAGGCCATACATTACCGCACAGTCCACGGCATCCTGGCATCTCTGGCTATCGTTGTGCTCATGCCCGTAGGCGCCATTCTGATGCGCATTATCCCGGGTCGCTTCGCCATCTGGATCCACGCTATCGCTCAGGTGCTCGCCTACCTGCTCTTTGTTGCTGGTGCCGCCCTCGGCCTCTATCTCGTCAATACTGTCCGGTTTCCCTTTTCGGGAGGCAGTCTGGTGCGTGGTCTCCCCCTTTGTCTCTGCTGTGTATCTCTGTTCCGGTTGCTGACAGTGTCGCTGCAGCTCAGCCTGTCGTCTACGAACGCGCACCCGATCATGGGTATCGTCACGCTCGTCTTACTCTTCTTTCAACCCATTTTGGGCTTTGTCCACCATGCGCGCTTTAAGAAACTTGGCCGCCGCACTGTCTGGTCGTATCTGCACCTCTGGAACGGCCGCATCGGCATCTCTCTTGGCATCGTCACCGGCGGGCTCGGCCTGCGCCTGGCCCATGCCTCGCGCTCCGCCAAGACCGCCTACATCATCGTTGCCGCCATCGTATGGTTTTTCTGGTTCGTCGTCGCCGTCCTCAGCGAGTTCCGTCGCGGCCGCCGGAGCCGACGTGGTGGTCCCACTGCTGGCGTCACTGTCTCGCCGCGACCGTCGTCCCGTCGCCGCGATAGACGTGTCAGTCGGGATGGATACTATGGCCACAGTTCCGACGGCAGTCCCGTGATGTCTGCGGTGGAGCCGTCCCACAGCAGCCGCATCCACCGTCACCACTCTCCCAAGGCCAGCGAGTCACGGAGCCGAGGGTCCAGTGCTCGTCGGTACGTCTGAGAAAGACCAAAGGCTGGAGGACGGCGTGACTGGCTAGTTCCGGCATCAAACTCGAAGCTCATCTGTCGCCTTATCAAGGGGTTCAATTGGACTACCTGCTGATGTTATCTGCTCAAGCAGCATAGCAAAGACCTCGACGTGACCGAGGAGAGCTGTGTAGTAGGACTCACCTATAGCTACTGTACGGAGTATCCTCGCTCAGGGACATACCACAAAGTTGACGCGCATCAAGTTGTGCCTGTATTGTACTTTGGGCTTCTTGTCACATTAAGGGTCGCGCCCAGAGTTCCGAGGCGTAAGAGAACAATCTTGAACCATGAACAGTGTATCTCGTCCTGTTTTGGCCAAGAATCTGCTCGTACGGAATGTTTCTCTGCCTGTTCTAGTATCGTAACGCCGAGTCCCGGAAGCGAAGCACGCCATTGCCTCTGCTCTCGATCATCCAACAGCGTCTGCACAACCTGTTCGGCATACTGCGAAATGAAACCATTTTTTCCGAATATTAGTCGTGTCATCGCCTCGTAGCAGGCTCGACAGACACTGTAGGGTCTGGCCGTATTACAGATTTGCTCTTCCTCAACTTTTTGTGAATGATATCCAGCAGCTGCAAGAATTGTGCGTGTACGAAGTACTACTTCGTTAGATACTATGTAAGATACTTCATAGAATGCCAAGGCAACGTTGAAGACAAGCTGGGTACTCCGTATGGAGCTGGACAATTCAACCATACGGAGTTCAATCCGCTGCCCCACCTGAACATTGCTGACCAGCCCTGGAAGCATCAAATAGCATTCGTCGTACGCGGGCTCTGCGCTGCTGTAGGTTAGAAGGCTGAAAAACTACTCCGTTTTCGTCGTAGTCAGTCACTATGTCCACTTATGACCCCTGTTGTGATCATGTCGAATGACCTACTCCGTACGACGTACGGAGTAGGCCGAAGTGGTTAGAGTGTGCACGATTGTGCCGTGTACTCGTTATGGAGATGTACATATACTGTGTGGCGCAAGGCGCTATTTAGTATGGGCTTCATGCAGGTCGGCATAATTCGGAAGTACCTAACCACAACAATACTTGCTCACTGGGCACCCATAATTTGACAAATCACAGGTTAGCGGGGTATACTCCGCGTTCTCCGTGGTTGAGTTACAACCCTGGCTTGTCACGATACGTCGTATGTGGCCCAGTACTCCGCAACTACCTTCGGGGATGTGTACAGAGTATCTCGTTTTGCAGTCTACCTCTGAGCTATACCAACGCGCATAAAATACTCTACGTGCCCTGCGACGTAGTGTGGCGCAATCTCTTTACTCGTAGGCCTACCTTGAACAAAACCCGGGCTTGCCAGATATGTACGGAGTAACTATACAGCTAATGCTTCATGTAATCCTGCCCGTCTGAAGGTGATAAGGAGCGCCTATATCTGCTACGAAACTCATAGGTAGAACTACTCCGTACGTACGGAGCAGGCTAGAGGAGACCCGCTCTTTACAAAGGATACCGGCTGTTTAGATTGAACTTTTGAAATAAGCATACAAGAAAACACCAGTCATTTCGTAGACAGACGTATCAAGACAGACAATTCGGTGCATTAAGGTGTTGGCTTTCCAATCGAACATTAAAAGACCATAAGAGGTGCGATCGCATACCCAAGGCCTATGCCTATTCTACAGTGTTTCTTTTGCACGTCGATGCCACTCGCAAATGTATCGTATAATAGATTTGTCTAGGAACACAGCTTCCTTATTCTCGCCGCACAGAAATGAAAAACATAGCTCGTGCTTTGTTACAAGAACAAAAAAATCGACGAGACATATGGAGTTTCCCAGTTTGTCTGGCAGGCAAGAAACCTCGAGGCTGGAGTTTTTGGGTATGTTTTTTTTTGTAAACCTCAATAGCAGCTGCAAACCCCACTCCTCGACCCAACCAGTAATAGGACAATACTCCATAAATGAGAGAGAGACTTGCAACTTCCAATTGGTATACTGTCTAGACTTCTCTGTGCCATGTTTTCAATCCGTATATGTCACCAGTGGTGCTTTCTGACTGTGAATAGGAAATCGTCACCACATCTGTACGTACAATGCTGTGGTCTGGCATCTCCGTATGGCCACCGGCGTTAGGCTTGTCCCGATTGCTCTGTTCTTGCGCTGAGCGCAAAATCGTCTCTTCGCTTCCGTCTTTGTCTAAAAAGGTGAGGCCCAGTGGATCCCGGGGCTTGTGGCGGGTACTTGCTAGCTCGATGTCGGAGGTGCCGACACGGCCGTTTGTACGTGATGTGCCATAGTTTTTGTATTGCTTGTGGTCGTCGGAGCTTCCAAAGAAGCTGGAGCCAAGGACACGGTCGGCTAAGGGTTGTAATATTGGAATGCAAGATGCAATGATAATGGTATTGCCTTCGATACTGGCTATGTGTCAGCGATTTGGATGCTTGAATGTTCTGGGACCGAGACATAATGTCCATACCACGTCCACATGAGAAGGTCAGACGTATCGAAGGAGAAGTCAGGGCTCGCGAGACTGGGAAGTCGGGTAGTTTTGTAGATAGAAACAACAGTGGCACTGGCATTGAAGGTTAGTAATTGTTGGTTTGTAAAGGGCAACATTGGCATTGGAAGGTTACTCACACAGATCCGATCCCTAGAGCTACTATGAGCATGATCTTCTTCTTCAGCTTCATTTGTAGCTTGTAGAGGACAACACCAGGATACACGGCCAGGTATAAATCAGTCGTCGCAGATAGAACTAATCCAGAACCATGTCAATCCATAGAAGACCACCAGCAGAGGCAGTACACAAGTATATACCATACCTCCAGCGAACATGGCGAAGCGAACGAGCACCCACTGGCTCCAGCACGTTTTGTTGGCGATTGAAAAGTCCCACTGTGCTCTGCTTGGCGTGCACTGGCCGAACAGAAGGCCGATGCAGATGAATAGGCTGGTCATAGTCAGGCCGGCCAGAAACCAGAGAAAGATGAGATGACGGCGGCTGGGGGCCAGAAGGCGTGTCAACAGCGATACGACTGCTAGCTTGGGTATGCCAAAAGACATGACGCCCGGGCAGAACCCAACCATTGTCCAGAAGATAGCACCGGATTTCTCGCCGGAGCTGAGGGTATCAAAATGTTGACCTTGACCTGAGTGTACGGCCAATATACCAAATGTGACAGAAAGCCATCCGAAGACCTGATAGGTGAGAGAAGGCCCATGTCGGCATATGTCAGACGTCTATGTCTTACCGGAAAAGTATATAGGACGGGGCAAAAGAACAAATGTCCCATACCGTAGATAGAAAAACCAACCAGTCATCCATCTGCAAGTGGCCCAGAATACGTCCACGTGTATACAGCCGGGCCAGACAGAGCAGCGTAGAGATGCTAGTGACTGTGCAGATCACTGCAATAATCGTAGGCCCCTTGTCTTCTGTCGACGACATTCTTGCCGACACGCAATCGAGCTGACTTCAGGAAGCAAGGCAAGGCAAGACAGAATATCGAGGACTTGCGAGACTTGGAACTACAATAATGGCATTGCAGAGTAGGAACCGAGAGAAGGAGAAGGTCACCGCCCCCGTCTCAAGGTAGCTTGAAATCCTCCTGCATCTAGACAGGGTATGGCATAATACGGACAACATTCTAAAGCGGTACTGTGCCGTGAACAGGGAAATGTTCACGAGTGGGCCATCAATGAGAGAAATTTACCTCGGAATGCTCCGGGAATTCAATGCGACAGGAAGCAACACGGTACCGTCTTCCGTAGTTTATGGTACAAAGATAAACAGTGATCATATGCAGTACAAAGGAGCAAGGCAACGAAGTATGCATGTGATAAGAACATGACATTTAGTATGTATGATCCTACTTACGTTTGATGGTTCGATCATACTACAGCGCCAGTGTGCAATGGTGCATTACAAAAGGGTACGAGCAAGAGCCATCTGTGCTTATACTCTCATTTCTTGGAGAGCTTGGTTCGGTCTCCGCTGAAGTATACGGTTGACAGGCCAAATACTGGCAGGCTACTTGGCCAAAAGAAGCACGCGTAGACTACGACGTGTTCCCAAATGAGGATGGCTCCATCCTGTTATGCTTGTATTGATATTAATCGACTATCGCCGGGACTCGTGTATGCAACCAAGACAGAAAGCGCTTAGGGCTCCACTAAGTTGGTAGTTCGTCCAGTCGGATGTTCCGCCATGCAAAAGAGGTCATTTCCCGATCCACACTACATACAACGTAACGGGCCATGAAACCGACTGCCCCCGGATCCGAGAGCTCCAATAAGGCACACTCATATCCCACAGGGAGGATACGAGTCCTGCTTATATGAGCGCCGGCGACTGAAGCAGACGGGCGTTGACTAAAACAGGAAAGTGGCCACGGGAATAAGAGCCCACATTAGCCTGGTATATGTCGTTTTCTTTCAGACACGGCCGAGAGGTTATCGGAGGCGCATATCGTTACATCTCCATTCTACTCCGTACCAGTAGCATGCACTGCGGCGGAGCACGTCGACGATGGGATATCTGTTGTAGCAAGAGTCGTACCACACCGCCAGAAAACAGGACGTGGTGTGGTCCTGTTCCTCTTGGCTTCAATGGCCTACGTACCAAAGTCTGTTTCTCCCAAAAGTACAAGAACTCCACCTGGCGGCCTTTTTGAAAGGACGCAAGCCTTTCTCTTCACAGCAGAGGCCACATAGATTTTGTAAAGTCTACCTACTACCTGATCAGCAAATAACACATCATGGGCTCTGTTCAGCCAGCAAAGGGGGGTGTCGATGTCTCGATCGCTCTGGCTCCCTGCAACATAGACGTCGTTCCGAAGCTGATAGAAGAAATTTCGCGGCGGACTGCCTCGGCAACTTCTGGGGATGAGGCCGCTCGCCTGGAGCTGGCTGAGAAGGCCCGATCGCTTGTCAGGGCCCTTGAGACACCGCGAGAGACGATGATCAAGCATTGCTGGGCTCAGGTGCGCATAATTCGGGGCTCACCTGAAAGGGTTCGCCATGCTGACAAGCCGGAAAGCCTACGGTCTTCACAGCTATAACGTTCGGGGTCGATATCGGCCTCTTCAAGTTGCTGGCAGAAAGTGACGACGTGCACAACGCCTACGACCTGGCAGAAACGCTCGGTGTCGATCCCCCTCTCCTCTGTATGCATTGGACTCCTATTGCTCCATATTGTGATACGCAAGCTGACCGGGGTCGGTCTTCCCCTTTTTCTAAGGCCGACTCCTACGCCATCTCGGCACGATGGGATACCTCACGGAAGTAGGTCCCGACCAGTATCTGGCTACCAATTTTGCAAAGTCTCTCAGCATCCCCATCATCAGCGACGGATACCCCTGCATGTAAGATTGCGCTCTTCCGACAATGATCTAGCCCTTCGTCCGACCCCTAAAGCAGCTGACAACCTGGTAATCTTAGTGGTGGCGGGCTGTCCCAGTGCATCTTCCGTTTCAACGAGTTCGCAAAGCACAACGGCTACAAGACGCCCACAGACGTGTCTAAAGGCGCGCTGCAGTACGCCTACGCCACAGAGAATAACTTTTTTGAGCATCTACATAGCCATCCGCCCTACGGCATACAGTTCAACAACCACATGGGTGGCTACCGTCAAGGCCGTCCTTCATGGATGGATGACGGCTTCTATCCGGTCAAGGAGCGTCTTGTAGACGGAGCTGACACCAGTCCCGAGGCCGCGTTTATCGTGGATATTGGTGGGAGCCTGGGCCACGACATTCGGGAACTACACCGCAAGAATGGCAGCCTTCCTGGACGTCTTATTCTCCAAGATCTGCCTGTTGTGATTGGTCAGATTACGGATTTGGATTCCCGGATTGAGAGGATGGAGCACGACTTTCACCTGGAGCAGCCCGTGAAAGGTAGGTTGTGTCGTATTTCACAGTAGTATTTGCAGACACTAACGATATGCTTCAATACAGGTGCCCGTGCTTATTACATGCACTCGGTCCTGCACGACTGGCCTGATGAGGTTTGCGGGAAGATCCTGGGTCGCATCAAGGAGGCGATGAAGCCGGGCTACAGCCGGCTCCTAGTCAATGAGAATGTGATACCGCCTGTGAAGGCGTCATGGGAGGCGACAGCACTTGATATCATGATGCTGACACTTTTGAGCTCGCGCGAGCGGACGGAGGCTGATTGGCACCACGTTCTCGAAGATATTGGTGGGCTGAAAATCACCAAGATTTGGACGGCAGCCAATGGAGTGGAGAGCATCATCGAATGCGAGCGGCCGAGTGCATAGAGTAGGGCGGATTTGTAGCCGATTATGCATTACCATTTGACCAAAGTTATGACCATGTGCTTACGAAGATGCGTTGAGCTACTGCAAATATGGACACCTGCAGGAGGTCCGTTGGGTTGGAGCGAGCCACGGTCCGAGCCTAAGAGGCGCCAAAGTGTCACTTCACAGGATTGGAGGGTGCATACGAACATCAAGGTACATAAATAAGTAGAGAGGAGGCGCCACGCAAAGTTGACCAGATTTCTGCCGAAGCGGTGAGCTTCGGGATTACTGTTGCTCTCAACTTTTCAGCCCTAGCTTCCACTTTAGTCTCAGATGTCAGCTGTCTTCGCTGAAACCCGATCTTCGGTCATCATGTCAAATCCCGATCCGGTTAGCGTGCGGTCGGCCGGTCCGCTGACTCACGTGGCGATAACGGAACGGCGGATGAAAGAACGGCCGGGACAAAAAAGGACGGCCGATATGGGCAATTTGCCAGTCCCCAGCTGTCATAGCTTCTGCTCAGCACTTACGCGCGCGACCAGGACGTTGCACGGCTTACCGAATGAGACCACTACACGCCTACAGCTTGTGACAGCCGTCCTCACTCTCGGACCCGATCTTTCCCCCCATCGTCTTCGGAAACAACGCCCGATCCGATCTATCCCCCCCCTCTTCTCCCTTCCCCTTTCATTTTTCCTAGACCCACCTGGTGGAAGAGTTTAGCAGACGTGGCCGACCGGAACGTGTGGGGTTGTGGTTTTCTGGGGTGGACGTGCATGCATGGCGTCTGAAGCACGGCCAGACGCGATCGCGTCAGCATCGGTGCCGGCGTCCTTGTCGGCGGCAGCGGCGGCCAGCGGGCGCAAATACCGATCCAAGAAGCAGCGGCCGTGTGACCTGTGTCGATCGCGCAAGATCCACTGCAAGGTGGGCATCAGCGACGCCGTGTGTGAGTGTTGCCGACGGCTGAAGCGCGTATGCACGTTTGAGATGGAGCCGCTGAAGCGACGTCACCGCCCAGAGCAGCCGCAGGGTATCATTCCACAAAACAGCCTCACGAGCGGTAGCCTTGCGGGGTTGCAGGGGCTGTCCAACCTGCCGGGGCTGCCGCCACCACTGCCGGTACACACGTCGATGGCAGCCGATGGCAACAGCAGTGGCGTGGTGATGCTGGACTCTGGGCAGATGGGCGGCGGTGCAGCCGACGCGGCCATGGCGCTGGACATGGGCACGCCTTTCTGGTTGAGCAGCACGGGCAGTGGTGGTGGTAGTAGTGTGGGCAGCGTTGTCGGAGGTGGAGGTGGTGGTCATGGACACGACGGGCCGACGGCATCGGAATTCTTCAGCCCACGTGGACTGTCTGAGATGGAGCAGCTGCTGCTGCAAAGTCCGCTGGCCGTGATGGCGGCAGCAGCAGCAGCAGCCGAGGAGCCGGGCACATCGCCGTGCAGCGGGACCGAGGGGACCAGTCCTCCGGCCCGGAGCAACAGCATCAGCATCAGCGGCAGCAGCAGCATCCGCAACGGTGTGGAGGCCGTGCTGGTGGGCTCCAGCGGAGAAGCGGCAGAGCACGAGACGCTCGGCAGCATCGAATTGCACGCCCTCGGCTCACATCAACGGCCGGCCGACAGCCCGGTGGCGCCGTGGGTGTTGCCGGACTGGCCACAGGAGTTTTCGCTCGAGGGCCGGCAAGGCTACTCGAACCACTACATCGGGCTCTCGGGCGAGGCCGACCCGTTCCTGCTGCGGTTTTACGAGTACAACGGCCACGACCTATACACCATGTTCCGGCTGGACTACCGCCGGATGCTGGACGACGCGACCGTACAGCGGTGGCCAGAGCTCGGCGAGACGCAGCAGCAGCAACAACAATCGCAGACACAGCAGCCACGACAGCCAAATCTCCCGCCAGCCGGCTACATGCCGGTGCAATTTGCCATGACGGACGAGGAGGTGCTGCAGGACGGGGTGCAGGAGGCAGAGCGGCTGTTTGGGCCAAGCGGCACAACCGAGGCCGATGATATTGCGCTGGTTCGACGGCTGGTGCCGGCGGATGTGGGCGAGCGGCTGGTCCGGCTGTACTGTCGCTGTGTACACCCGCGCTTCCCGGTGCTGGCCCTGGAGGATCTGGCGGCGATTCAGGCGGTGGGCCGGCCGGATGACCCCCGAGAGAGCCGTGTTTCCGGGCAGCACGTTCCGGTTGGCCTGCTTAGTGCCGTCTACGCGCTCGCGATGCCCTTCAGCTTCCTCGACGACGAGCTAAGCTTGCTCAAGGGCTACGTGCCCGTACCGACCGACGAGCTCTGGGCCGTGACCCAGCGCAGCCACGCGCGCACGGCCGCGCTGTCGCACCTGTCGCTGCTGCAGCTCAGCTTGCTGCTTCTGCAGCGTCCGCCCTACAACGACGCGGTGGCCTCGACGGCTGACATCTGGTCGCGCTCCTGCGCCGCCGTCGCCGTCGCCGAGACCCTCGGCGTCAACTGCGACCCCTCCGCCTGGCGTCTGCCCCGCCGTGAGGCGGCCCTGCGCCGTCGTCTCTGGTGGCTCACCTACGCTCAGCACGTCTGGCATGCCGTCGGTCTTGCCCGGCCCTGCCATCTACACGCCGACTGCTGGGATGTCGCCGCCCCCGCGGCCGACGACTTGGCCGACGACCTCGCTTTTGCCCCCGACGACACCGTCCGCCAAATTGTCACCGCCGAGATCCCTGTCCTTCTCGCCCACTGGCGTCTCAGCGTCATCGCAGCCGACGTGCTCAAAGAATTTTAGTAAGTCACGTGCATTTGAACGGTGTTAGGCTGTATTCGCACTGTCCTTACATCTCCCTTCTCTCCTCTTCCCTCGCTCACCATTAGCACCTTTCGCTCCGTCCGCGAGTCTGCCTCGCTCAGCGTCCTCCTCAGCCGCGCTCAGCCGCTTCGCTCGCGCATCGAGAGCTGGAGACAGACCCTGCCGCTGCTGTCGCAGCCGGCTCTCCACCTCAGCGAGGACGACCTCGTCGTCGGTGCGTCGCTGCGTCTCGCCCATTTGACCCTCGAGGTCCTCATCTTCCGCGCCCTGCTGCGTCCGCTGCTGCATGACGCCGTGCCTGTCGATGAGGCCGGCGCAGTGGCCGAGCCCATGTCTACCATCTACGACAACTGCTACACCTGCGCCAAAGTCGGCATGGAGATTGTCGCCTCCATGAAGGGCAAACACTTTGCCGTCTTCTGGCCGTGCTGTAGGTTCTCTCTCTCCCTCAGTTCTTTCGTCTCAACCAGCTATCTTCTTTTCTCACACGCACAGACGTCCGCTACCAGCTCTGCTACATCTCCAGCTTCATCTTGCTGAGCCTGGCCCAGTCGCCCACGAGAGACAATGCTGTGCGCAACCGCGATCTCCTCAACCGCTGGCGCGACACTCTGCGCATGCAGGCCCGTGCCTGGCCGCTCGCTCGACTGGCCACCATTCGCCTCGACGCCATCTACTGGAAGGGCTTGCCGGCTGCTGTCTTGGGTGTCGGCTCCGAGAGCCCAGCCGTGCAGCTACTACGCGAGAATGAAGCAAAGCATATGTGAGTAACAGAGTAGAGGAGAGGAGGAGACAAGAAAGGGGAGAGACGAGAGAAACTGATAGACAGAAGATAATCTCGCGCACTTTCATGTAGAATAGAACGTGGCAACTTCACTGATGACGTAATGGTTACACTTGTTTGTATCTACAAACGCCTGCTGGCATCAAACCGCAGAGCCGCCCCGAAGAGCACCTGCGCGCCCAAGATGCAGTCTTCGGGGCTGCAGTACTCGGTGGGCGTGTGGCTGAGGCCGTCGCGCGTGGGCGTAAAGACCATGCCGGTCGGACAGTGCTTGCTGGCATTGCAGCTGTCGTGGCCGGCGCCGCTCCAGATGGACGTCCAGAGCTTGCGATGACCCGAGATGGCGCTGTCGGGCCCGACCTCTTCGTCGGCAGCCTGCTCGATGGCGGCCACGCAGTCAGGGTGGAACACGACCGGCTCGTTCTCGGTCAGACAGGTCCAGCGGACATCGACACCTTGCTCGCAGTCCTCGGCGGCGATGCGCGCAAACTCGGCCTGACAGCGAGCCACCATGGCCGCCAGCGCGTCGGCATCGGGGTGGCGCACGTCGACGGTGAAGCGGGCCACCCGCGCGATCGTGTTGATCGTGGCCGGCTCGACACGCATCACACCCGTCGTCAGCACGCCGCCACCCGACTGCTTCGCCACCGTGTTGCCGGCCACGATCATGCGCGCGGCCGCCAGCAATGCGTCTCGTCGTGCCGCCAACGGCGTCGTGCCTGCGTGGCAGTCTCGTCCCGTCACCTCGACCTCATACCACGAATAGCCCTGTGCTCCGGCCACCACGCCGATCCGCAGACCTTCTCGCTCCAACACCGGCCCTTGCTCGATGTGCAGCTCAAAGTGTGCCGCCATCGGCGTCGCCCGGTGCGACGCCTCTCGCTCGCCCAGAAAGCCGATCCGCTCCAGCTCTGCTCGGAATGTCTGTGGCTCGCTGCCCGCCGGCGCCGTGATCTCCACACACTCCCATGCTGCCGACAGCGGCACCTTGCCTGCCCACACCCCCGACGACATCGTCACCATCGGGAACCGTGCACCCTCCTCGCTGCTGCCTGTCAGTATTGCGTCCAACTACAGCCACATCACTACCACACCTCACAACTCACTTGGTCCAGTTCACCAGTCCCATCGGCCCCTGTGTCTCGTATCCCGTCTCGTGCAGCGTCCGCAATGCTTCTAGCCCGGCCATCACTCCCAGAATTCCGTCGTACCGCCCGCCCGTCATCTGCGTGTCCAAGTGCGAGCCAATGTACACTGGTGCCACGTCCTTTGTCCGTCCTGGTCGCACGATAAACATGTTGCCCATCTGGTCTACCGTCACCGTGCAGTCGATCGCCTCGGCCTGCTCCTTCAGCCACAGCCGAACCGCCTTGTCGTCGTCGTTGAGCGACAGCCGCGCCATGCCCGTTTCTGTGTGGTGACTGTCCTGTTAGCTCAATTCAGCTGCATCGGCACAGGACCGTCTGCTACTCACTCGCCATAGCGATGTGCCTTTCCAAATTCGCATGTCGAATGGAGCGAGTCCATCAATCTTTGCCCGTTGATCCGTGGTGTAGGCCCACCTGCGCCCGAGCTAAACGCTTGCGACGACCCAGCCTGCATTTTTGCTGCCATTGCCAATGTTGCTGCTCTCTGAATGCTGGGCCGTGGGCGAATGAGGCCGAACGCGTTGGACTTTGGGAATGAGTAGAGATGTCGGCCAATTTGCCCGCGGACGACAGCTGCTATTTGATGCATCCTAGGAAGGCGCGACAGATAAGCAGGCGATTTTCAGCCCGGATTGGTAGGTGGATGATGTAAGCACTCGAAACGCCTGAATCGGTACGTCTTCCGGGACAGAACTCGAGGGGTGGGAGCACTTGACGGGAAATGGCCGGCCCTCTTCGACTGTCCCAGCCGGGCATCCCTGTGCGCCCAGCGTTTCTGCCGTCGGCCGCTACGGAGTCTTTACACATAGCCTCACTACGAAGCTATTTTGCATGCACGGCGGCTGATAAGACCTGCTTTCCAAATTAAAATTGTGGGCCGTCGATCTCGGGCAACTTCGCATCGCCCGACTTCGGTCGCTATCGTTGCCTCAGCCTTGTCGAATCCATTAATAAAAAAACTAGAAACTCGTTCGAAGACAATGGTTTTAAGACTTCTACAGCCGTGGGGTAGTAGCAGTTTCAATCAAGACCAGATGTCGTTGGGTATGCCGACATCTCATCTGTACCGGAAGATTGAAAAATGGCTAGAATCGTAGGTTCTGGCAGGAGTTGCTCGTTGGCACATCCGCCTCTTTCGTCTTCTTTCTCTGTAGCATAAGCATACTGGGCTGCCACCCCTCCCACTCTTATGTTAACAAGCACGACCCTGGGGAAATCGTATGACCATCTGCCGGCCGTTCGGGCCGCTACGACTGTGCGTACTGCCCCCGGAAACCTCTTGTGTGCCGCCTAGTACACCATTGGCCAGACATCACGTGCCCGGCTTCTGCCGTAATGCTTCACCAAAAGGCAGGCAAGGTGAAGCCACGAATGAAAATGGGCAAATTTTACACCCACAAAGCTGCCCTCCTTCCACATCCAGCCTAGACGCACTAATACGACTTGGCCGCAAAGCCATGGCCGCTCGTAGCCCACTTCGATACGCCCGTCTTATCGTCACTCTCTTTCCCCGGCTCGTCCACCAAGATGCGATAACACTGTGACCGACTTTTTGGCCCGGGCCAATAGCTAACTTGCAGCCGTCCCGGGCCAACTCTCCAACATCTACGGTCGTCTGGGTTCTTCGACCGAAAGACTGTGTTATAAAACGAAACAAGCAAAATTGGCGAACCAGTTTTGGAAGTTAAGATTGGTCTTGCTCCAAATTACCGGATTGATTACTAATTATCCCCTCCACCACCATACCATCACAACAATGACGCTGACCAACGGCGCCTCCAAGCCGGCAACCGCCATCCAGGCGGAGTACGACGTCGTGATTGTGGGTGGCGGCCCCGTCGGCCTGCTCATGGCCTACCAGCTGAAGCGGTTCGGCATCTCTGCCGCCGTGTTCGAGCAGCACGAGAAAGAGACCCAGGACGCCTATGGTCGAGCAATTGCCTTTTTCCCCCGCACATTGGAGCAGCTGGACCAGTTGGAGCTGGTGGACCCCATGCTGCAGCTCGGCTTTGCTTGCCGCAGTAGCGTGACATACAAGGACGGAAAGCAGATGTAAGTGGTCACGAGAAGCCTTGACGCCGCCCTCTACAAGAGCTAAGTGTCCGTCTAGCATTCCCGGTCGCGTCTGGACATTTATGGAGAACATGTCGGGCACGGCTTTTGACTTTACCCTGGTGCTGCGACAGATGTACAGCGAGGAGATCCTGCGGACGAAGCTGGAGGAGATCAGCGCTCCGTACTTTCAGGGCATTGAGTGCGCAGACTTTGTCATTGACGCCAGCGCGGCCGACAACGACTATGCCGTCACCACGTCGCTGCTCAACCGCAAGACCAAGGAGACGCTGACGGTGAGGAGCAAGTACATCATCGGCACAGACGGAGGCCGCAGCTTTGTGCGCCACCACGCCGGCATCCCCTTTGACGGCGACACGTCCGAGGACAAGTGGGTGCGCATCGACGGCATCATCGAGACGGACATGCCGATCACGCGGGCATACGGGTGAGTGCAGTCGCAGTCGGTGCAGTGTGTGTAGTGTAGTGCAGCAGTCCACCTTCGCTGACACAGCCAGTGCCATCGAGAGCAAGACACACGGCAACGTGCTATGGGCGCCGCTGGACCACGGGGCCACGCGCATTGGCTATGCATACAGTGCCGCCATCGCGGCCAAGTACCCGGGCGGCATCACGCAGGAGATTGCCGAGAAGGAGGCGGCCGAGAGCATGAAGCCGTTCCGGGTGACCTTCAAGGAGACGCACTGGTGGACGCTCTATGCGATCGGCCAGCGGATGGCCCGCGAGTTCTCGACCAAGGCCGACCGCGTCTTCCTCTGCGGCGACGCTGCCCACACCCACAGCAGCGGTGCCGCCCAGGGCCTTAACACGGGCACGCACGACGCTGTCAACCTGGCCTGGAAGCTAGCGCTACGTATCCGCGGCCTGTTGCAGCCGGCTGCCCTGCACACGTACTCGGACGAGCGCAAGACAGTAGTCCAGCAGCTGATCAGCTACGACCGCGACATCGCCACCCTCATGTCCCACAAGTGGCCCGAGTGGTATACTGGCGACCGCGATGCCGACCCTTACGTCATCCTCGGCGAGATCTTTGAGCGCGCCACCTCCTTCAACACCGGCCTCGGCATCTTCTACCCCCCCAACCTGCTGAACAAGAGCCACGACGGTGCCGCGCCCGCCGGCTTGACCGTCCAGCCCGGCCATCGGCCCGCCGACGTGGCTCTCGCCATGCCCGGCACCGGCCAGGTCGTTCGCCTCCAGCAGGCCACGCGCAATTGCGCCTGCTTCTGGGTCGTCGTGCTTGCCGGCCATGTCGCCTCCACCAAGCCCGCGCTCGAGGCCTTCGCCGCCTTTTTGGCTGCCAACCCGGCCTTGACTGCCAACCCGGCCGTGCGCTTCCTCACAATCACACCCCCTGGCGTTGGATCGCCGTTCGAGGTGCTCGGCGACATCAAGCCGTTTGGCACCACGTACTACGATCCCGAAGGTGCCGCACACCAGAAGCTCGGCGTTCCATTGGACACAGGCGCCATTCTCATCGTGCGGCCAGACGGTCTTCTCGGCTCGGGCGGCCCCGTCAAGGGCGAGTTTGTCAAGACATACTTTGCAGATGTTCTGACCAGCTAGAATGTGTATCATGTCATCTGTTTTATTCCTGCGTTGTATATATCGGCATATAGGACTAGTGTATCATACGTACATAACAAGTTAAAGTACAGCTGCCTGAACATATTAATGACTGACTATTGTGTCGCTCTTAATGTATAGTTCAACAACTTCAGAGTCCCCAGAGCAGAATAAACAGCCTAAAAGATTTACAAGAATCTTTTTATTTTGGCACCAATGCAGTTACCTATTCAATTTTGAGACAGTATCTGCCAGAATATGAGATGCAAGTCGGCGGTATTTACGCAGTACTACGGCTGATGGACCCACTTTAGTGTGGTCACGGGACTTTCCCACTGGATTCTACACTAAAAGCAGAAATACACAGCAAAATTTTCAACAATACTCCTGATGGTGTAGTTGGTTCATCACGTTCGGCTGTAATGGTTATCCAATGTTACCGAAAGGTCGCCGATTCGATTTCGGCTCGGGAGATTAAGTCAACCACTTAATTTTTTTTTCGTCCTGCCTGCAAATGCCTATAATCTGTTGTGTCGCTCTGCTGGCCGCAATAATATACTCTTCTGTTTTATGCTGTTGTAACCCTGCCTACTGGTATAACTATTCAATATTTGCCTTAGCTTGCATAAAAAACGGGTAGTTTGCAGAACATGAATCGCCGTGGGAGCTGCACACAATTGTTTTTTCTTGTGTCGCCAAGACATGCATACACGCCCACAGTACACACTGCGCATTCAGCCCTTTATTTTCACTTGTAGCTCACTCTTCTTTCACGTACGGCCATAGATACTGGAAAGCACGGGATCCCGTCCGCTCTCCCCTAGTTAAACCAGTAATCGGCGGATTAGTAGTTGGGTCGGTGACGACCAGCGAATACCCGCTGCTGTACGTTTTTTTTCTTGTGCTGGAATCCGAACAAGGTTCGGTCGACAGACGACTCCTACCACGAGCATTAATTTTCATAATTTCGATTGTTACCTAAATAATTGAAAGAGTAAAGTTTTAGTTCTTTATAGCCAAGGGTGTCCATTTCAGCCAGGCTGTTGAATTTTTTGCCAATTCTACTGGTATATTTCATTCCTTGATATTACCAAGTTCTGAAAATCCTTTTGACTTCTTTTCTGGCAACGACCGTATACGCGTGAGCAAAATAGAGATGGGAAAGATATACTGGAATCAACTCGAAAGTGACTTGTTTGCCCGTCTTATATTAATCTAACTAATTGGTAGCTGTTCGTCATATAGGGGGTGACATCCGTTGCGTCTTACACACGGAAAACAGAGTGCTTGGAGTCACAGCCCTTTGACTCCAGTATTATCTAGTAATGTTTGAAGTCCTCATCCTTGTATCCTTGACCCGCTAGAAGAAAAGCGTTAGTAGGACGTACAGTTTACACCTATACTTAGCCGCGACGACGGAGTGTAGCCTACTGTACGGAGCAAACTTTGCTAGCTCGTCCCATCGCTTGTTCTCTAGGTGGTCGTACGCGGCATGCATAGTGCCCTGGGGGAGGTAAATACTATGCTCGATGCCCTTGTCATCCGTATACCCTAAGCAGTTTGGCTGTGCGCCCCGAATAGGTTTCACGTTGGCCAGATCCTCGGTGATGGGCTGCTTTTCCATTACGCGCGAAGTCTCCGTGGTAGGCGGTGCAATTGCTTGTAATCTGTTCTCAGTGATGACGGTTGGTAATAAAAGCAGTACAGTGGAATTGTGGCGATAGAAACAAATCCAGCTTACATTCAGAGGGAGGAGCCCAATAAATACGTGTTTGACAACGGCTTTCACCCCACCTTTTGGACAATTTGTCACTTGTAGCTGTAACGTTCTACCTACCGGTTATAGTTAGCTGTTGTATTGTGACTAGGCTACATGGGTTTGAAGTTAGGTCCTGTGACGCAGGATAAAAAGATATATACACCCTGTGGCGTACCGCGCCCAGACCCACCTATCTAGTAAGAGTTTAATGCCAAGTACTATGTACAACAATTAACGCTCAAGAGGCACCTATAATTAAACAATAGTCTAACCGATGTCTCTTAGTATATGCACAGCTCTATAACAAACAGTACAACATGACAAGGTAGCCAAACTAGACTTTACTTCATAGTCTCATCCATTCAGAACGTTTACGACGTTGGCGTGCCATCAGTCGCCGGTCCAAGGTAGGCACCTGCCCATTTAACGGCAAACGCATCGCCGTCTGCCATGTTGATAACGTCGTTCATAATGGCTAGCCGGTCCGGGCCCGTAAGGTCGTAATCATGTCCGTTAACTGTGGCCAAAGTCAGCGGCACCGTGCCGTTGCAAGGCTCTTGAATGGCCTCTGAGGCCGGCAGCTTGAGCGAGGTCGCGTCGAGGTCGCGGCGGCGCGAGCGGCGGCACTGCGTGATCGACGCTACCAGAATGGTCTCAAAGGGGCTGTTGAAGTAGCAATTATTGATGGAGCCCGTGCTGTGGCAGAGACCACAGCCGCCGGTGTTGGTAACCTCGGTAAACACCACGATACCGACAGGGCCTGAGCTTGTGACACGTGCGTATGGGAAGCTTGAGGGCGATGGCGGCTGTTCGCAACACTCATACGAGTTGTACCCGAAGCATGCCAGCGAGCGGCCGCTGCAGCTGTAGCCACTAAACCAGGTTATGGTGAAGGGACCAGCCTGCACGAACGGGGCAGAAGCTGCTGCCGCAAGGGCGGCCAGAAGGGTGCGAGTGGTAGAGAATCTCATGATTAGGTAGAGGGAGGATAAAGAGTGGTTTATTCTTGTGAACAGTGGAATGCTGGGATGTAAGCATATAGAAAGAGGCAGGATGCATATTTCAATACTATGTTCTGGCATTGCAGTCTGCGGAGGCCTCTTTTATTATATATTTCATTACGGGCCTGTGTTCCGAGGCTCAGAATCTACCCACAAGGCGAATAAAAAAAATACGTAAATGCAAAGCGTCGACAACATGTACGGCTAGGCACGGGCTATAGGTCGTTAATAAAAGTTGACTTGTCATAAAAACCGGCAAGCCGTGTAGACGCCAAGACGGCATGATAGCCTTATGTAAAAGGTATATATATATTTTAATGCAGTTTTGAATATTGCACGATTCAATGCAGCAGAGAAAACTCTGCACGGTAACTTACGGACACTTGGAAGTGCTTCCCTGCGCCTTTCTGCTTGCACATATATATTTGGGTAACTGGTAGCTTTGTGTGGCTCGGTCAACGTACTGTCTTCCTTGTAAGCAGGGTAAAATAGAAAAAGAAACTGGAAAAGCCTCCCGTGCCTCTGTGCTGCTACCCGGGTTTTGGCATGTGAAAAGTGCGGGTCTCTTGTCCGTCCGCAAGAAAATTTGCAGTACTCGATGAGTTGTAATGGCTACTCGTTTGAATGTATCGTGCACTGCCCTTTGGAAGAGATTCAAGAATGGTGCTTCTGCCACGCGCTGCTGCCTTTCGGCCTGCGCCGAGGCCGTGCCTATATTTTGCGTGTTAGTCAAAGTGGGACGTGGCACGATTAAAGGGACTGTTGTTTGCTTATAGGTGGTCCGATTGTAGCAGATGTGCAATTTATTCTTAGAGAATCCTTCAACTTCAGCTGCATCCACGTTAGCACTTGCACATCTAGGCATTGTGGAGCGTCAGCAACTATACAGTAATATTCTAGGCTTCTGTTTTCCCACCAGTGTTATTGTCCGCCTGTGTTATTTTCTACCAGTCATTTCCTACAGAATTTGATTAGGCAAAACGGCACACCGAGAACTTCCTTTTCTGTCTTAGGTAGCCATGCTTCCTACAGTAGAAGGTCGTCAAATTGATAAACGGTGTATATATGAGCCTCGTCTGCTGGTCACCGACTCTAGAACTAAGTATAGCAAAGACAACTTCTACCAGTACCAGAATCTTTAAAGACCAAGCGCACTATCTTGCACTGTGACGGCCGCATTTGTCATGATTAGTGTCTTTGGTCACTAACAGGAAATTTAGAATGCGAGGCTCTTGGCGACAGCCTTACCTGCATCGCAACGTAAGGAGAGGAGAGAAGATGCAGCAACGGTAGTTTTGCTCAATGTCAAGCTTGAGAATGGTACATACTATGTGTTTTGCGGCCACTGTCTTACGGTCTCGTCCGATCTCAGCTGGCAGAATCTCACGTGGTCGAACGAACATGGGAGGCAACATGACGTCGACGTTCCTCAGTACGTAGATGATGTATTATTGATCAGAAACAAGAAAAACCACAATGCTATATACAGCCCAATGCATGCCCGTGTTCTACTCCTTGTCAAAATGCCGTGTATCTCTGTCTGCCGGATTGCGTATACTGCTATCCTTCAGCATCAAGCGAACCAATTTCCCGACGGCCCGCAGGTTTTCCAGATAAAGAGCGCCACTGGAGAGCAGCGTCTTGGGCTCGAGGGGGTGGGGAGCCTTTTCCTGCACGGCGGGCGGCAACCTGGCGTACAGGTCATTGTAGAGCGAGCATGGCTGTCCGTCCTCACGGCCACGGTCCTGAGACGGCAGGTCCATGCGGCGGGCCAAGTCGTCGCGTAGCATGGTGAGGGCATCGAGCAGGATGCGCGAAGAGGCGGCGGCCTCGCGGCCACGGTCCTTGACCTCGCGGGCGACGACGAGGGCATTGCGCGCAGCAGTCAGCTGCATGAGCTGCTCCGGTGGAGCGCCGCGCAGACGGGCAGCCTGGATGAGCGTCTCGATGTAGCTGATGAGCGCGCTGGGGTCGTGGAGGAGGGCGGTGCTGGAGAGCTCCTCGGTCAGGCTGGCGAGCACATGGATGTCGGTCGGGAGGTCCTGCTGGGTGCGGAGGTAGTCGTCGAGGGCGGCGAGCAGGGTTTGGCGGCCGTTGTCGCTGCTGCTGCCGCTGCTGCTGCCGCTGACAAACGTGTCGAGGCCGAAGAGGACACTCTGAGCAGCGCCGGCCGTCCGGATCAGCTTCTTCTCCACAAAGGCGCACTCGGCCTCGAAAGCGAGGCGGCTGACGGTCACGGACGCGCTCGCGGCCGTGAAGACAGGCGACATGCCCAGCAGCATGCGCATAAGGTCCTGCTGGCCACGCACGGACATGGGCCACCAGTCGCGGATCTTGTCGCGGTTGGCCGAGTCCAGTTCGAGGGCAAAGGCTGCGTTGTTCACCTCGGCCTCGCCGCTGGCCACCGGCCACGGTGGAAGCAGCTCCTGCAGGGCACGGCGGGCAGGCGGCGCACCGGCGTCGCTGAACGTGTAGACGGTCCGCAGACAGCGCTGCACGTTCTTGGCGAAGAGCGAGCCGACGTAGGTGGCGACGGGGCCGAGTACCGATGCGCGGTTCTCGCCGGCCCGCACCGTCAGCAGGACCGCATTGATGTGCTTGACCTCCTTGAAGAGCTCGTACATGGCCGCCGTGACAAAGGCGTCGCGTTCGACGCCACGCGCGTCGCCGTAGCCGGGCGTGTCGACCACCAGCAACGTCTTGCCCTCGAACAGTGGCGAGAGCGGACGAATTCGGTAGCACGTGACTATTTGCGTGACCCACTTTCCATTGTGACTGCTGCCGTTGCTGTTGTCGTCGATGACGAGCACGCGCGCCGCGTCGTCGGGCTCGCCACCCAGCAGATAGGACACAAACGCATTGATCTCGGTGCTCTTGCCGTGGCCGCGGCTGCCGACAAAGACGACCACGATCGTATTGTCAGGATCGTTGATGTCGGCCGCCGGAATCTGGGGCCGGAATTCGGGCGCCACGTCGACGACCGCCAGGGCCGTCTGGTTGCGATACCGCTTGTCAGTACAGGCCAGTCGCCGGGTGGGCGTCTTTCCGAGCACGAGCGTGCTGCGGCCGGTGGCCTCGCTGAGCGCCCAGGGTCCGGCCTCGTTGCGCGGCAGAGTCAGATCGGCCTGGTGTTCCTGGAAAAAGCGGATCATCTCGGGCACAACCGACGTCAGCTTGATCGTGCGACCGACCACGGGTGTACTCCAGGCCGACGGCCCAATGATGGTCTGGCAGCGCAGCTGAATGCTGTAGTCGCAGTCGGCCGCCAGGGGACCCAGGACTGCACTGGTGGCTTCTTTGCTGTCACACGAGATCTCGCAGTATTGCTCCTTCTCGGTCACGTGCACTAGCGGCCCGTCCTTGAGCGGATTGGCCTGCGATCGGTAGCGCACGGTGTAGCCGGTGGTGGGAATGGCGGCCTCGGCGTCTGGACGGCTGCGTGCGGCCCAGGACACGTTGATGGTCTGGCCGGCAATGGCCAGCACTGGAGGCTCGGGCGCGCGCGGGATCATGTCGGTGACGATCATCAGTTTGGCCTTGTAGTCCAGCACGATGGCCCCGACCTTTGTGCGCACGCGCTTCTTGCGGCCAGGCCGATAGGCCTTGTCGATGTCGGCGAGTCCAAAGACGGCCGGTGCTGTCTTCTCGAGCGCGCACTGCTGGCGCTGCTGGCGCAGAAGCTCGCAGGCGTTGCGTAGACTGGCGACCGTCTGCGGGCTGTCGAACCACTCGTCCGCCTCGCCGTCATCGTCGTCGTTGTCGTTGCTGTTGTCGCCATTAGCCGCGTCGTCTACATCGTCTGCGCTGTCGTCGTCCTCATCCGAGCTGTCGTCGGCCGCGCCGATCTTGGTTGACTCGATCTTGGCCTGCAGTGGGTGATGTGTCCGGTTGATCGAAGGGCCCCCGAGCGAAAGCAGCAGTCGCGGAACCTGCGTCTCGGTCAGCGACTGCTTCGACAGCCCGCTGAGATGGTCTTCAAAGCCTTCGGCCAGCAACGACGCGATAGTCGCTCGCAGCACCCCCACCTCGACGTTCTTGCGGTCGATAAACTGCTGTGCCAGTCGTGTTCGCTGCTCATATAGCGTCGCCGCCGTCTCCAGACTTTGGACTGCTGCACTCTCGTCCGTTGTGCCGTCGCGTAGTTGCGGCAGCAGTCGGCGGGCCGCCTGGATAAAGTCGGTGCGCACGCGCGCAAATGCCGTCCGCACGTTGGTGATCTGCTGCTTGATGATCGGGAACCGCTTCTCAAACAGGTCCTGGTTCACGAGGTCCTGCAGCCGCAGCTGCACCATGTCGCCGGCCTTGAGCGCTGCTGCCGTCTTCTCGACCAGGTTCGCGTCCAAGTCCCGGATCAGATGGCTCACCTTACTGTCCACAATCGACAGTGGCAGCAACTTGTACTGGATCGTGTTCAGCTGCCGCTTCAGCTTCTCCGGCATCTCGTGAGCCACCCGCAGTGCGTCGTCCAGCGTCGTCACGCTCTCGGCCATCGCCCCGCTGTATGAGATCTTGACGCCCTCCCATGTCGACGCGTTCTTGCTCTTGTGGTCGATCTGTGCCTCGCCACCGATCGGGATCCCCACGATCTCCGCCTTGAGCTTGCCCGTCACTTCCGTTGCCTCCTCCTTGGACGCGCAGTTGCGCACAAAGCTCAGTGTCGCTGCCCCGCCCTCCACCACCTCACCGACAAAGTGCGTAAACCGTGGGTCGTCCAGGTGCCGCGTGTGCTGCATCGACGACAGCGTCTCCTGTGGGATCCTCCGCGTTCTCCGTGCAATCGCGCATGACGCGTCAATCCGTGTCTCGTACGTGCTCGTCTGCTTCGTGTTCAGGTACTTGGCCGACCCAGACACCTTGACCACTTCGAGCTCCAGGCTCAGCGACGCCTCCACGTCCAGACCCGCGTTCCTGCGCGCCTCCTCGAGCGAGTACGAGTAGATGAACTCGGCGTTCTGCACCTGGTGCTCGTCCAGCGCCTGCTTCTCGTTCACAATCGCATTGTCCCACAGCGACACTCCCCCGTAAAAGTGCGACGTCCGCACATCGTACAGCATCCCCAGTTGGATGTCCTGGCCGAGTGCCGGCTGCGTCAGCACGTCCGAGAGACCCATGGCGGCCGAGCGAAGCTGCGCTGAAAGAGAGAAAAAAGGGCCAAAAAAATGTCCAGCAGTCGGAGAGTCTATCTCATTGGTCAATAAGCAGCTGCTTTATACCTGGTCGCCAATCGCCTGTCCGTCGACATAGTATTCCTCCATCAGGCAGCAAGAGCTCGTCTTTGGCACCCTCTGTCCGTGTGTTGAGAGAGCAGAGGACAGCAGGAATTGCCAATACCCATGAAAACAAATACTCTTCCCCGGTCTGGACTAGCGCTGGAGTCTTGTTGCGTTGCCGCCGACGACGAGTACTCGCCAACAGCCTCTGCTGAAGACAAGGAAAGCCAGGCCCGCATTGGGCGGCGCCGTAGCGCCAAAATATGTGCCCATTGGTGCCCAATGCCACTCGAAAATTCCACTTTGCCGTTGTGGATTCCTGCCAGCCAGGCAACTAGGCGGTCAGGACTCCGACCTGCACAAGTACAAATCACTCCTCCTAACCCATCTTTGGCTGCTGCCGGAAATGACCAGATGGCCGCCCGCTTTGTCTGCTGTGCCGCCAGAGCACTGCCACAAATCGTTGTAAGGCTCCATCCAGGTCGCCTGGGCATCACAGCCTACACCGTCTGGACAGACAGGACGGTGTAGAACTGGCTGCGTCTGCGTACGGAGTCCTCCTGAGGGGTACAGAGTGGGCACCCATGCCCTACTCTACAGGTGGGTCGGGTGGCCTGTGCCACACAACAATGTTTTGCTGCTTCTCGTCCTCTCGCACAAGTCCGGCGGTAACTTCTCTGACAATGGTGTCGCAGGCGGATTTCCTCCGTCTCATTTGCGCCAGCAGGCACAGCTCGTCCCATCCTGTGGCAAAATCACGGGCGATACGCAGACAGCAGCACCGGAACTGGCTAGAAGGACAACAACACGTCCGTGTACAACGCATCAGTCACAGCCGTCGCTCCGCTCTCAGTCTTGTTGCCCTCGGCTTTTAGCGCGCACGCGCCGTAAGTGATCCTTGCTGACAGCGCACATGTTGCCACGGTGAAAGCCAGGTGAACACCTTGTTGCAAACCATGAGTTGGAACTGCCTCCACATATGTCGTTGCAGCCAACTCGTTAGCGAAGCCATGCTCCACAGACTTTAATTTAGTCCTGTTGACCGGCTTATTTTGCCGGCTTCTCCTTACTAGTCCACCGGCATCGTGTCCGACATCCGGTCTGCTAGACCCAATCCAGAGCATTTCCGTCGATCTCCCGCGCGCCATGCGTGCCGCCATTCTTGGAGTGAACAGCTTGTCGCCGGCTCTGAGCAGCCGCCGAACGTGGTCCTGGGTGACGCGCATCTGCTTGGTCGCATGTAGCACGTTATCGGTTGTATGTGTCCGAGGCGAAGCCCTGCTCGGCCGGACACTGCTGAATGTCGAGCTTATGGACCTGCAGCGAGCGCGCCAGCTCGAAAAAGCTGGTTGCTAACGTCGTAGCTGCCGAGCTGGCTGTGCCCACTCTAATCTTCAGCACACGCAGTGTCGGGTGGGTCCTTGTGTGCCAGCTTGTCCATGTAGGCTGCATGTGCTCGTAGCACCGGGCGATATATGTCGTACAGCAAGTCGCTCTTACTCTATGGTGAAGCAGAGCATGATTGGTCGCGTCTGGTGATCTCCGTCGAATGGGGACGACTGATCCGTCAGTACCCTGGGCATCTCGACCGCCGTGCCGGCCGGCGCCAGGGCCAGTAAACTCGTCTGCAGCGCGCAGTCCAGGGTGGCCGGGTGGATCAAGTAAGGGTGCTCGAATCGGTACGGCATACGTCACGTGTGTGGGCAATTTTTAGACGACCAGCCTGGCCCATCGTCCATCTGCGATATGTTCCATCTGCGATATGTGCGGAACGTCTCGTCGTATGAGAGCCTGACGCAATCGTAGGCAATGCAGCCGCGCGAGTACTTGGCTCCGTCGCTGTCGGAAGGTACATCGATACCAGTTCGCGTCCCATGGCGAGCCACTGCGCTCCCAGTCTGCACCCCCCACCTTGCCGAGCTGGATGTAGGCCATCAGCTTTATGCATACCTTGCCCGGCGAATCGTCATTCTCGCTTGACAGAAACACCCGCCTCTGTCCTGTCCCGTTGGCCTGTCTGCAACTTGGTTGTGGTCGGTCTTTAAGATAATTGCATGCCTGGTTACGTCGTCAGTTCTATGAGGACCAGGAAGGAAGGAGGGTCCAGAGAGAGAAGAGCGTATACAGGAAAGAGCAGTGCAGCACTTACATTATCCAAGGTCATGTGGACATTCGTCCTACCTTAGCCAAACGAATTTCGCCGATGCTCGCCAAAGGCATGATTTGGGTCATGGCTGTAGCTGGGGGAGCTCTCACTTCAGCATTGCATTCGCTTCGTGGGTGGTCCTGCCCTCCTTGGGCAGGCTCGTAACGACAATACGTTGATAGTCGCGTGGCAGACCAGACCCGTCTCGTTGTCGTAGTCCCCTGAGACGTTGAGTCCCCTTCCTGCTTCCTTTCTAGAGGATCACAATCAAGGAGCAAATTCCCTACATGGTATGTGGTAAGCCTCCGTTCCTAGTCCGTTCTGCCGGAGGCGGCAACAAGTGGATCCCCTTTATATGCTCGTATGTAAAGAGTAAGGAGTAAGGAGTACTCCGTATTGTCTAGGGCTTGCAGATGCAGTGGGGTCGAAGGATCTAAAAATGTGCAGTCTACGAGTAACTACGGAGTACGGAACATTGTTACTCCGTACTTCTCACCTATTCTCCCCTCAAAATATGGGGTAATACTATGTAATACTATCAATATTAGTACGGTGACGCGCGCCAGAGCATTGTACAACTTCCTGTAATCTCTTCTTAAGCAGTAAAAATGGATGTATTGCTCCGCTAAGCGCCATCAGCTAGATATTGCTAAAGTCCATTTCTGTACTCCGTACGTAAAATGCTTAATACTGTGTACGGCCGATGTTGCATAGCATAGAGCTTTTGGTATTACTCCTCCTTACGCAATTGCTGTGAGTCCGAAAAGTACCATGCCTATGCCGTATCTCTTAACCTAGAGATGCAACTTGTCTAGGTCTAGGTGGCCTGGGCCTGCAAGAAATTCGCCGAGGAGGATGACCAGCAAATCATACGACTGCAGCCGCGAGAAGATCCCTCCGCTAACGCCTCCCGAAGAACTCCGGGAGAGCTTTCTCTTATAGCCGTAGTTCCAGGCCTCTCTTGCATATATTGCGTCGACGGCGCACTTCTCTTATGGACCGTCCTCTGATCTTTTCCATTGCTATAGCAGAAAATGACGCCATCCGACTCGGAACCGACAAATTCGGCCCTGCTGCCCGGACCGGACAGCCTGCCTGCCCGTCGCATCCTGGCCGTTGTCACGACCGGTGGCTTCACGCATGCAGGTAGCCGCTTCCTCGATCTCTTCCCCTGTTCTGTCTTGTACTGATCGGACAACCTCGCAGCCCTGTGCTTGAGGTGTGTCGACTGCTGGCCGCCCGCGGCCACACGGTCGAGTTTGCCACTCTGGGCGGCTAGGAGTCATGGGCTCGCGACTGTCCATTTCTGTCGGCCGTGCACGTCGTTGGCCACTGCCCGATGGACGAGCAGACCGAGGCACACTACAGCCGCATGCTTGGATGGGACCCTAGCCAAGGTCTTGGCCCTATTATGCAGTCCAAGTACCTTTGGGACTCGTTCTGGACGGCCGAGTACGCCGGCCTAAAGCGACTTGTCCGCCCCGATCTGCCAACCCGGCCCCCGACCTTATCCTGGCCGACTTCTTTGCCGAGGCTGCTGCCAAGGACATGATGGTCCAGTTCGGCATCCCGGTCGCCGTTATGTGGCCGCAGATGCCTTTTCTAATAGCCCTGGTGCCTTACATCCCCGGTCAGCCGGGCTTCTAGGTCGACATAACCCTTACGTCCGAACACGCTTCTGTCTGGTCGCGGCTGCGCAACGAGATGGTTGTTGTTGTAGCCTTGCCCGCTATCCTTAAAATGGATGGCCTAGACTAAGCGGATGCGCCGTGCTGCTGGCGTTACTTGGTCTTTGCCCGCCGATCCTAAACCTGCCTACCTTGTCTTGGTTAACCCTTTCTTTAGCCTTAAGGTGCCTAAGGATCTGCCGCCCTTAATCGCCCCTGTTAGCCTTATCCTCGACAATGTCTATCCACCGCTATCGGCTCTCTTTTCCGATTTTTTTCGCGCGCACGATCGCACCCTCTACCTTGCTCTTAGCACCTACATTTTGCTGCCTACTGCCGCCCTACACACTATCCTTTACAACCTTATTATTACCTTTAACGCTGGCTATATTAACGGCGTTATCTAGTCTATCGGCTAGTCCCTGCGCGAAGCCTTTAATCCTACTGCCTCGTTCGTCCGCTTTAGCAAGCATAAAACGTCCTAAATTCTCTGCGTTAAGAGCCTTCTCGATGGAAAGCACGCCGACGAGTTCCTCCTCCCGCTGTTTGCGCCCTAGCGCGCCATCCTTAACCACCCCCACTGCCGCCTCTATCTTACCCACGGCGGCGGGTCGTCGGCCAATGAGGCCTTCTTCCACGGAACGCCCGTCCTTACGCTCGGGTTTTTCTTCGACCAGCTTTGTTATAGCGCCCGTCTGGCAGCCGCCGGCGTTGGTCTCCAGCTAAACAAGACCGACTTTAGTTCCCAGGAGATCTGCGACAAAGTCGGCCTGATTTTTAACGACGTCGTAGACGTGGACGGCAACTCGCATAGTGCTATCACCCGCAATATGGAACGCATGAGGCTCATTGCCCGAGTCGCATCCCACAGGAAGCACCTCGCGGCCGACCTTATTGAAGAGGTGCTTTACGACACAGAACTACGTGTTGATGTCAATGGCCACCAGCTGCGGCCTATGCACCTGCAGATGGCCGACAGCCGCATGTCTGTCTGGCGGGCCAAAAATTGGGATCTCTGGTTACTAGGTGGCTGTGCCGTCGTTTTGCCTCTAGGCCTTGTCTTTGCTATCGATGGTGTCCGCGCCAGAAAAGGTGACGTGCATTCCGGCCTAATGGCTACTTGTAAGTAGGACTCTACATATTTTGTCCATCCTTTTTGTAGTGTAATGCAACCACTGGATTTGTGCCAGGATGCTCTCAAGCTGGTGACGAGCGAGCTGCAACCATATTAGTCACTTGAACAATGACGCCGTCAGGCTTGGGAAGGAGCGACTCTGTCGGCATGACCCTGTTTGCCAGGAAACCTACGGTGTAGCAAATTCCAGCGTGCCTCAATACACCCATTTGTTTTTAGTGTCGCACAAGGCAATACTTAACTCGGCAAAAAAAAAATCTCGTTTTCTCCATCTTTATTTACTTTTCACCTCCTATCCTTGCAATTTTTTGTTAGTCGAGCCGAACAATTTTATCTTCATCGTTCGGCTCCAGCTGCCTTCCTTCTAGATTTTGTCTGAACCTGTTCTGCTCTAACTATCCCTTTTTTCGCTCGCTTTGTTTTCAACAATGGCAAAGAAGGCCAAACACAGGAACCCTCAGGCGGAGGAGGCTGTTGTTGAAATTTGAATCAGTCATATATAACCCTGCTTACCACGATGGAAGGTATGGGATCCCTACTTTGGCACATGGTGCAGGTGGTATGACAATTCAACAACTGTCAAGAAAAAAAATTATTCTTTCCGATACACAGATAGGGAAACAGCCCGAGGAGCGGTAAGAGGAAGAACGAGATATGGAAAAGCACTCGTTTTCTTTCGTACTAATGACTTCCTAGGCCAAGAACCCCCGAGAGAAACCTCCCGCAAAACTTCTTTGCTCTCCTCCGGGATATCACCTCGTCTGAGAAAATCCTTGGATTCGGACGTGCTTGGCAGCTTACCAGCGATGGCGAATTTCACCCCTGCGAAAAACACCGTTTTTTTTTTTTTGAAAGTCGCTTAGGGAAATTGGTTGATGCATACAAATCAATCTGCACCGACTTGTCGCAACTCGAGGCAACGCTCGAGCATGTCACAAATAATATTGCATTTGCAGACGAAAAGTGGAAGAACGGTGCCGTCTCTCTCACCTCTGCTAAATATAAGATGGAACGCACAAGCATGCTACAACATCAACTGCAGTTGATGACACGCGTATCTATCTTACGAACTCAAGGGTCCGAGCTAGTTGGGCGTTGGGGAGACGACCTCGCCTGGGGCACTCGAGCAATTTTCGACGATTGGGCATACATTGATGCTGCTATCCGGTGCTGTCCTGGGATCTCAAGGGCAACAAAGTCTGTCAAGTCGAAGCGAACGCCTCAAAAGAACAACGCATTTCGTAAAGCGCTAATGAGGGCGTATGACCCGGAAGATAACACCACTTGCTTCCTGTGGTGTCCGATTTCCCAAAGCTTTGAGGCGGGCGTCGAATCTGCCCACATAATTAACGCTAATTTGGGAGAAAGGACAGCTCAGGCTTTGTTCGGTGATAACAAAGAACACATTTGGGACACTAAGAACGGAATGCTCTTGTCGAAAGCTGTCAAGCATGGGAATCCGCCACAGTGTAGACCTTCTGCCCCATTTGGCAGTACGGTCCTGTGGTTGGTCAGAAGTCACGAAAGCGGGGCTTGGCACTAGTATTAATACGGACCCCCAGAAGGGTCGCGATGTATCTATTTCTTCCTTAGTACGGAGTACACAACACACATCTGCTTACACTACACCCAATTCAGCCTCATGCTCCTCACAGTGCATATCACCTATATTACTCGTAATTCTGCGCAGAAGCTCTAAGCCTGCACAAAAGCCTACGAATCTCTCCTAGACTCGGCAAAGGCAGACATTCTGCCTATCAGCGACTCCCCGGATGAGACTGAGTTTGAGATTTATCTTTCAACAAAAGACATAGGCCGTCCAAGCGCTCGTGTATGGGGTGTGGAAAACTTACACCGGTGTAGGCTCAAGTTGCGAAACGATTTTCAGCCGTCGAAGAGGTACTTATACTTCAAGTTTGTTATGTCCATTCTTCGCCGACGTCGAGGAGAGGTACCCTGCTATAATGAGGACATCGAAACCCTTCCAATTCCAGGTAAAACATTTTGGGCCTCGCCTGGACCGTATATACGGCAATCGATTCTTTACAAGTTTTCCCGACAACTCGGCTGCTTGTCGGCAAAAGAGGCTAATAGATTTTGGGGCCTTGATGAAACACCTAAAGAGCTTCCGGAAGAGGACGAGGAACTAACAAAGACAATCGGCATATTTGCCAGTACGTCAGTCGCGGTACGCGGCCGGCAGTCCTTGCCGGTTGCCGGTGTTGACAGTGATGGGAACGACGACAGTGATTGTGATGACGATAGTGATGGGAACGACGACGGTGATGATGAAGACGATGCCTATGGGAATGCCGAAGTTGACGAGGATTTTGGCAGTGGTTAAATCGACGGTAATAATGTCGAGGGTGAAAGAGGACACGAAAATACTTACGACAGTATCCTTTAGTGTCCTGCAATTTTACGCTCTCAAGTCTGACCGGGTTGACATACTCTGATTGAGTGATAAGGCAACGTTTGGCCATTGTGGCATTAATACAGTATACTTATAAAATTGAGATTGTTATCAAAACCCTACCGTACAAATGTAAGATACTTCTTACGAGGAAAACAAGAAAAACAAAGAGACAAAGGAAATGGAAACGGAACAATGTCACCCTCCTGAGTAAAACCGCCAGAACGGTGGACCCAAGGTGATAAAAAGGTGGATCCTAGGTTTTGATGTAACGAGGGTTTGGACTGGCCATCTGCCAAAGCGAATCGCGAATATCAAGCGGCATTGATTCTGATTCGTAAATTGTCGCTGGGGTACGGAGTAGATTTGCGTTGCAATGAAAGGCTGTCAGCTTGCTTCCGATGCATTACAGCTGTCAGACGCCTCCGAAAAAAGCGAATTTTTCCGAAGCTTAACGAGTTTTCAGGCACCTCCAGGTCCAGTGGGATCGACCCCGCCAAGGGGCCCGTGCACTTTAAGTGGGTACGGTAGCGCTTGGATGCGAATCACGCACTGTAATTGGTGGTAAAACTCTCTGGACATACTTCCTTGGTTCGTCGCATTTGTGCATTTGCTTGCGAACGAGCTGAGCTTCGTTTTTGGGTCTACTATCCTTTTTCTTCGCTTCTCTTCCCCCCCTTTCTTCTCACTTACTTCGTGCGATACAACTGGATCGTCTCTTACTATGGGCGCTGGAGACTTTCTGTGCGGGCCCATGCCGAAAACCACACGATCTCAGAAGAGCCCCGTTTTCAGCGACCAGAAACATGGCCGTTTGGCTCTCGTCGGTCACATGCAGAGGTGCGGCCAGGCTTCTGCGCCATGAGCCTCCGCACACTATTCTATATACAGGTCTGGCACCATCGAGAGCAGTGAAAGCCACCCGACTCGGTCTGCTGTTAGCAAGACCGTATTCTACCGCACCGGCCTCTGTTTCTGCCTCAAGCAGGGAAGGGTCCGTGTTCGCAGCTTTCTGTACTGCATCGGCCGTGATGACACTCGCATATTATGCCTGTCAACGATCATATATTCGGATGGACAGTGACAGTGAAGCTCTGATTGAGCCTAATGGCTTGATCCCGTACGAAGAGGTCCAGAAGCACGTCACAGCAGATGACTGCTGGGTCATCATAGACGTCAGTGAGCTGCTGTTGCCGCTGCTGTCACAACCATAAAAACGTGCTGACACCTGATCCCACTCTCTAGGGTAATGTCTATGATGTGACATACTTCCTGAAGTCGCACCCGGGTGGCAAGCAGGCCATCCTCTTGCGTGCCGGCAAAGACGTTACGTGAGTCGGAAGGACTGCCTGCTTTCTCTAATAAATCTGCTGACTTGTAACGACAATCGGCACAGAAAGCTCTTTTCGCAGATCCATCCGACCAACGCTCTGGCATCACTCCGCCCAGAGGCCTGCCTCGGCACCGTTAATCCGGACACCCTTCCTGCGCTTGATGCAAAGGATGAAGAGGATGAGATTGAACGACAGGAAGCCCGCAACGAAATGCCACCCCCTGAGGATCTGTTGTTGATAAAGGACTTTGAGGAATGGGCGGAGCGTGTGCTCAGCAAGACGGCTTGGTACTACTACCGCAGTGCGGCAGATGAAGAGACGAGTAGGCAGTACTTCCACTTTGTCTTTCAGCCGTTCGGTTTCTCATGCCAGTCATCTTTCTGACCAAGTGTCCACTCGATACAGCCTTCCACGAGAATAGAGACGCGTTCCGGCGGTACTTCTTCCGTCCGCGCATGCTGCGTGACCTGACAAACGGAAGCGCCGAGACGACGTTTGTGGGTATTCCGACAGCTCTGCCCATTTTCATCTCTCCCGCCGCCATGGCTAAGCTGGGCCACCCGCTCGGGGAGGTGAACATGACCCGCGCTGCGGCAGAGTGTGGCATTGTCCAGAGTGTAAGAAGCACAACATCTAGACCAGTACAATAATATGCTGACTTGACCGACAATGGCAGATCTCGGCAAACGCAAGTTGCAGCCTGGAGGAAATGTTTGCCGCCCGGGAGGACAGCCAGCCGTTGATCTACCAGGTGTACCTCAACAAGGACCGGACACAGTCCGAGTCTATTCTCCGCAAGGTCGAACGCATGGGCGCCAAGGCAGTTATGTTCACAGTCGACACCGCCGGAGACTCGAAGCGCACTCTTGACGAACGGCTCAAAGTTGCGGCGGCCGCCAAGTTACGTGAGGACAACGGCAAGACTACCAAGTCTGAACCACTAGAACCATTAGCCATCGGCCACGCCATCTCAGGATACCAAGACCGCAATCTGACGTGGAAGGACATTGGCTTTATCAGAGTGAGTCGAGGGTGTATTTGTTGGGATGCAGCCGCAGCTGACTAATACACATTCTAGAAAAATACGAAACTGCCCATCATCGTGAAGGGTATCCAGTCAGTGGAAGACGTTCAGCTCTGTGTAGACCACGGTGTGGAAGGCGTTATCCTAGTAAGCTAGCACCAAGGCTGAAGAAGAAGGAAAGAATCAATCACCTGACCTACATCTCTCGTAGTCGAACCACGGCGGTCGCCAGGCAGATTATGCGCCGGCACCCATCGACGTTCTTTACGAGATACGGGTACTCCGGCCGGACCTGTTTGACAAGATCGACATTATGATTGATGGCGGTGTACGGACGGGTGCCGATGTGGTAAAGGCAGTTGCACTGGGTGCCAAGGCCGTCGGCTTGGGCCGGCCGTTCCTGTATGCCAACGGGACTCACGGCCAAGAAGGCGTGCGGCGCGTGATAGAAAGTGAGTGCCGATGGTGACAGGGGATGCAAGAGGAGTAGCCGCTGACATGACAGTTCTCCACGAGGAGATTGTAAACACGATGCGCAACATTGGTGCGGCGACAATTAAGGACCTGAAGCCCGATATGGTAGGCCCAGCAGGGCCTTGGGTTGGACACAACCGACCGATGTATGTCTCTTCTGGGGGCATCGATCAACGGAAGATATAGTGAGAGACGGACAAGTGATGTGCCAAAGAAACGAGGCAAGCTGCAAGATCCCAGACAAGACTTAGACAATGCATACAAAGACATATATTTTTATTGATCTATAACATCCGACTGGACTCTACTTGGGAATTTGGTGCTCGCTAGCAGGCACACCTGCACGCCACTGGAAAGAAGCAGCCACGTGCTCCTTGAGCGGGTGCGCCTGGCCCTTGGTCTCATAGAAGTTCTCACGATAGGTGCCGCCCGGAACAGCATAATCATCCCAAAAGAGGCCGCGACGGCGCAACTCTGGGAGGAGCAGATCGATGATGTCCTTGAAGGATTGGGGGAAGAGTGCGTAGGCCTGTTGGTGTTAGAATGGGATAAGAAGAGACAAATAGCGAAGGAAACGGAGGAACAGAGGTATAGAAAGAAAAAAAAAAAAAAAGCCCCTACAAAATTGAAGCCGTCCACGTCGGCCTCGGCAACCCAGGCCTCGAGGGCATCGGCAACCTGGGCAGCGGTGCCAACGAGGAGGGGCCCATTACCGCCGATGCTGACGTGTTCGGCAACGGTGTGCTTGGTCCAGCGGCCGTTTGTCTTGGCGCCATCAGGGCCGATGGTAGGGGCGAAGCGGGCGTAGCCCTCGACGGTAGAGCGGACGGCGTTGCTGTCGACCTCGCGAAGTTCCTGGTCGTCGCCGTAGCGGTCGAGATCGATGCCAGTCCAGCCGCCGAAGAGGGCGAGAGCGCCGTCGGCGTCGGCATAGCGGCGGTAGTCGGCGAGCTTGGCAGCAGCCTCAGCGGCGGTGTGACCGAGGATAGGAGTGACGAGGGCCAGGACCTTGATGCGGCTGGGATCACGGCCATAGTCGTCGCGGGCGGCACGGCGGACGTCGGCGATGCTGGCAGCCACGACGGCCGGCGCATGTGCCGACACAAAGATGGCCTCGGCGTGCTGGGCGGCAAACTTGCGGCCGGCCGGCGAAGTGCCGGCCTGCAGCAGCAACGGCGTCCGCTGCGGGCTCGGGTGCACAATGTGTGGGCCTGGGACGTTGAACCACTGGCCGGCGTGGTCGATCGGCCGGACAGCGGCCGGATCCGTGTAGATGCCAGCCTTGCGGTCCAGACGCACGGCGTCGTCACGCCACGACGACTGGAACAGCTTGTACATGATCCGGATGTACTCCTCCGCCTGGGAGTAGCGGTCGGCGTGCTGGGGAGAAAGGTCAGCGAGATAGGCCGACGGAAAGGGGGAAGAAGAACGCACAGCAGGCTGTTCGGCTCGGCCTAGATTGCGGGCAGCCGAGTCAAGGTAGCTGGTGACGATCTGCAAGAGTTAGCCGGCCGTTGTAGAGCTCAGACACACACACACACACGCATCACGCACATTCCAGCCGAGCCTGAACAATGTTAGCAACGCACAGCCAAGGCAGACTGGAGGCCATGCTCACCGGCCCTTGGTCAGGTGGTCGACAGTCGACAGGCGACGAGCCAAGTGGTAGGGCTGCTCGTACGTAGTCGAGACGGTCACGCCAAAGCCAATGTTCTTGGTGACGGCAGCCATGGCAGACACGATCGACAGCGGCTCGGTCACGGGCCATTGGGCACCAGACACGATGGCGGGCTCGAGCGAGTGCTTATAGACGTCGTAGCCGCCCAAGACGTCGGCAATGAAGATGCCGTGAAACTTGGCCTCCTCGAGCAGCTTGGCCAGCTCCACCCAGTGGCTGATCTCATCAAAGCGCGACGACTCGTCGTCTGGGTGTCTCCAGAGGCCGGGCGACTGGTGGCCGCTGCCTGTCGTTTGGCATAAAACGTCAGTACCACCTAAGACGAAGGAGGGGAAGAGACCCCACTAACACATCTCGACAAAGGCATTCACAATGAGCCGCTTCTTGGGGATAACGGCAGCGCCGCTCTGCTGTGACGCCATGATTGTGTGATGGGAGATAAGGGACGGAGAGACGGACAAACAGGCGAATAGGACGAATCGAGGGAAATCCGTTAGATGCGATGGCGTGCAAGTACGGTGCCTTTTTCTGGCATTCCGGCCCTTGCAGACATAATGTACTTGGTGCCAAGACCTCCCAATGGCCGGCAGTCGCCGCTCCGAGCGGGTACGTGCAAAAAAGTTGGCTTCGTTGACGTGACATGTCGCCATCGAAGTGCCGATGGCGTTCTCTCTTACACGCACATCGCGCTACATGGCAGGCGGTCTAGAACGGCAGTTTCAAGAGCGGACGAACGGAAAAAGCAAAAAGGCGAAAAAAATGGACTTGCAGGGAATCGAACCCTGGACCACTCCCATGCTAAGGGAGTATTATACCACTAAACCACAAGCCCGTTCATTGGTTGATGAGGTGTTAGGCAGCAGAAAGATATATATGCGCAGATCTGACAGAGCGCCAAATGACACTACTACGGAGTACTGCTTGCGATAACAGTACGCCCAAAATAGTCATTCCAGTCTTGTTATGCTTGAATTGTCTACTGCGTTGTATATTGTCATCAACTCGTCTCTAAGGCAGATCCCACCAGACCTCGTGCAAATCCTTAAGCGCCACCTCGCCTGGCAGCTTGAGGTACGAGACCAGGTCAGCCTCGGGGTTAGACTCGTCGCGCGTCCAGCCATTGCCAAAGTACCAGGCGAAGCGGTTTGCGTCCGCACCTCCGCCACCGAGATAGTCGTACTCCCAATCCTCCCACCGTGGGCTGCGCCGCACGACCGAGAGATGGCCAGCACTGCCAGGCCAAAGGCCGTGGACGAAGCTGCCGGGTCGCCCGCTGTTGTACCAGGAGCTGCAATTGTCCGTCAGGACAGTGCGGTCAAAGAACGAGCGCGCATACACGACAAAATCGTCAGCCGCCCGCGTGCTGGGCATCATGGCCTTGATGCCCTCGCGGCCGATCTTGCGCAGCACCTGGGCCACGTACGTGAGCTGGGTCTCGACTGCATGGGGAACCGTACCGCTGGGACCAGCCGCATGGGGTCCCTGGACAAAGAACAGGTTCGGGAATCCGGGCGTGGCCGCACCGAGGTACGTGTAAGGGAAGCCGTAGCTGCCGGGAGTCCCGTCAGCCCCCCAGACCGTCCGCAGATCCTGGCCGCGTGCTCGCACTGCAAAGGCCGGCACCATGTCGACGTTGGCCCCGGTGGCACAGAAGACGGCGTCGACGTCGCGCTGCACTCCATCAGTCGTCTCGATCCCGCTGGCCGTGAAACGCGCAATGGGCGTGCGCACGTAGTCGACGTTGTCGGCCGTGAGTGCCTCGAGGTAGCCAGGACCTGGCGTCAGGCGCCGGCAGTTGGGAGCAAAGTCGGGCACCAGGTCGGCCAGCAGCTCCGGCTTCCGGTCGCCGATACGTCGTCGCATCACCTCGGAAAACGCTGTACGCAGCGCCTCGTTGTCGCGCCGCCCGCTTTCCGACTCGTCGTCGCGCAGAAACGTGCCAAACCGCCGCCAGTACTTGGCCTCAAGTTCTTTGCGGTACCGCAGATACGTCGCAGCATCGCCGCCCAAAGCCGCCTTGGTGCTCTCTTCAATCGGCTGCGGCCCCGGCGTCCGCTCGTCGCCTGCCCACGACGTCGCAATCCATGTCCGGCTGCGCGCGTAGTGGTCCACCCGGACCGCAATCTTCTGCAGTGCCGGCACCACCTGGATCCCGCTCGCCCCATTCCCAATCACCGCCACCCGCTTGCCTGTCGGGTCAAACGATGGATCCCAGTCTGACGTGTGTCGCAGAAGCCCCTGGAACTCGCTGATGCCCGGGTAGTCTGGCAGCTTCCATGCGTTGAACCGGCCCACCGCCGTCACTACTGCGTCTGCCTGCACCGTCGCCGTCCGTGTGCCCGTCGCCACGTCCTCGATCGTCAGCGTCCACACCCCCGCCTCGTCGTCCCAGTCTGCCGCCTCCACCCGCTTGCCAAACTGCGCGTACTGGTACACGTCGTGCTGCCGCGCCACTCCCTGCCAGTACTCTCGGATCTCTGGCCCGTACGAGAACTGGTCCGTCCAGTCTGTCTTTGGCGCAAACGTCGACTGATAAACATGTGACGGAATGTCGCAACGCACTCCCGGATACTTGTTCTCCAGCCATGTGCCCCCCTGCTTCTGTTAGAGCTGCGTGTGAGCTGCGGGGTCGCAGAGAGATGGCCGACAACTCACAAAATCCTCGTTCTTCTCGTAGATCGTCAATTGGATCCCCGGCACCTTTGCCGGCAGCAGGATGCCCGCCGTGATGCCCGTCAGTCCGCCACCGATCACGGCTACCCGCAGAGGCCGCGGCTCGTCAATGAACCGATCCACCAGCTCAATGCGCCGGTCTAGCAGCGGTACGCTGTCCACCCGTTTTGTATCGCCGACAGAACCCATCTTACTTGTCACTGTCGCTGTTGTGATGTAGTAAGTGTTGACCGGTCAGGATGTTATCGTATTGTAAGTCCCTCCTGGCTTTAAGATGGGCATTCCATGAGCCCACCTCGAGCTCCTCTTCAATCGCCTCATGCCGCACTGATATCATGTAATTCTCCTTTTCCCATCCTCGTCCTATGAGATGCGCCGCCCAGTGTCCATTATCGCCGCCTAGCCTGTCTTAGGGTGTGGATCGTTGAGCACGTCAACGGCGTCCGAGCTGTCGTCAGCCAGCGCTAGTTGAGCTTATTGGCAATCTTGGCAACAATCTGGATCTGGATCGACCAGGTTATGTACGCACAATGGCAGAACGGCATTGTTATTCTTCCGAGGCACAAGATAAAGCGTCGTCTGAAAAGTCCGATTCCGGTTTCGGTAGCTCCAAAACCTTTCCGTCTGCACTCCACGGCATTCCGTCGTCCAGTATCAAAGCCTCGCCGCTTAGCACATCCGACACCTGTACTTTAATTGCGGGAGTGAAAGTCTCAGGATCCTCAGTATCTTGGGAGATAGCATCCTGTCTGCGAGAGCTTCTGCCTGCTCGCGCATGTCTGCCGTCAATTCGGGTAATCCTACGTCAGGAAGACCGCATCGGTTCGAGCGGGCCGCCGCCGTTATACCTAGTATATCCTCAAGTAAACTCAAGCTCACAACCACCTCACTCAATCGTAGATCGTCGGAGTATTGGGGTTTCAATAATCGGGGCAGATTCTGCGCATACGAATATGGAAGTGTTTCGAGAGTTCGAAGCAGGGCACTGAACTTGGGGCAGATGTGGCAGTTGTTCTCGTCCTCTCCCGATGCTATCTGGAAGCCGACAGGTAGTTCTAGAACCAGTGTGCTCATATTGTCGACGGAGAGCAATGTTTGCATTAGGTGCAGTGACAGATAATCGTGGAGACTGTCGAGGGGTTCCAGAGAGCGAGGATGGGAGGCATGTATTCGCATTTCACGCAACTTGCGAGATCGTTAGGCTATAACGCTAGGCTAAGATGTGTCGTGGTCTAATGAAGCTTTCCATGTGTCTAGCTGATTGAATATAGAAACCTCAGTCGGGGCGGGCGTGTTCGATGCATTTAGCTCTGAAGGATGGTCTTGGAGACGGAGTGTGGAGATCTTTGGGTGCAAATTTTCTGCTTTTTTCCTCTGATAATATCAGAATTCGTTGAGATTCTTGAGAAAGCGTAATACATCTGAAGCATATGGGATGAGCAAATTTCAACCACTGCTTGCAAACTGTCAGGCGCCCCAAGTCACCATGGAATATTGACGGGTCAAGATAGCCGAATATTTGAACTAGAGTCTCGAAGGTAATTGCAGAAGGGTCATCTTGTGCTTTTGGAGTCTTCACGATTGTTGTGAACATTGAGCAGGCAACGAAATCTCCACATTTGTCCACGAATCGCCCGCAATACGGAGTACGTTTCACCGCTATGGCAGAATGACCCCGGTTGGCGCACGGCTTTGACACACGCAAGTCAGAAATAAACGTCTTGTGCACCTGCAACTGTAGCGATTGCTAAAACTAAAGGACTATGACTGTTTCGATGAGTACTATAGCGCAGGACATATATCGCAAGTGTCTCCAGGTCATGGTTCTTCGACATGGATACGCATGGATACGGAGGCGCTCTCTGGCTACATTGCTACTTCTATCACATTGATTGAGCTCACAGTGGGCTTCATCAAACACAAGACAAAAAACAGCTCTGCAAACACATTGATCACAATACCAGCATCTTGGCAATCTTTTACCTCCAACGTACACTTTATTAAACTAGGTATGGTTACTACACGTTGTAGTGACTAAGAATTGTAAGTTGGGTTTGAATCTCCAGCCCAATTGCCTGCCGCAGAGATGCATCCTCGCGAAATAGATACAATCTCGCGGCGCAAGTCCAGGCTACGCCTTCCTTTGCTTGTCTTTTCCGTAGATGGTTTTAAAATTGCAATTAAGCAATTTACAGGACGGCAACGACACCGACAAGAACGTGACCGACGATCGGCAGGCAGACGGCCAGCTTCAGGACGGCGCCAAGAGCAACGACAAGGGGCGAAAGGGTGGCGGTGACGGTAGCAACAACCGAGGCGCCAGTGGCAAGAAGACCGGCAACGCTCAGATCTCCGGTGACGTCTGTGAAAGTGTGAGCGAGTGTTGAAGAGATATCACGGTTCAGTAAAGCAAAGGGACTTACCAGCCACAACGGTCAGAGAGTCAACGAGGTTGGTGACGTCAGTCAGGAGCTCAGCCAGCAGACCGACCACAGTCACGCCCACAGCAGAGACCAGAGCGTCGACCTCGGTGTCAACGGTGAGACCGAGGCCCTCGAGGACAGAGACAACCGTGGTGAGGGTGGAGTTCAGGACGACCAGGTCAGACGTGAGAACAGACAGGTTGGCGGCGACATCGACGTTGGCGCCAATGTTGAGAAGACCCTTGACATCGGCGTCTGTTCCGTGTTAGTATGTGAAGCAACGGCAGCTGGAATATGGGAAACTAACGGATGGTGGCAGTCTCGGTGATGGCCGTGTTGAGGGTGGTCTCAAGCTTGGCGATCACGGCAGCCGAGACATCGCGCTTAGCCGGAGCAGCAAAGACGTTGGCAGCAAAGCAAGCCACGGCAGTGAAAACGGAGAACTTCATCTTGAAGGTTGGGTTGGGTTGGGTTGGATTAAAAATTAAAAGAGAGTGGTCAGTTGGAAGTTGTAGAGAGTGACTTGGCAGCGAATGAATTGGAAGGTGAGCCGATGAGGGAAAAAGAAGTTGATTTTGAAGAGGGACAGAGTTCATGGTTATATACCTAGACAAGAGGCAGCATGGATCGTGTCAAGAACAAAAAGGGGTGAGAGATGGAGATGAAAGATGGGGTGCCTTGTGCGGTCAGTCCACACGGCGCAACGCTCCCAAGGATTCAGTGTACATTCGTACGGAGTAAGGAGCGGATTACCGCAACTTTCCCAAAGCAGCACAGCAGCACAAAGCCCAGATGCGGTAGTCAGAAGTGTAAATCGGCCGCTGCCTGCCTTCCGACGGGCCTTCTCTCTGTGGACGCCCGCCTTGTACGGAGTACATGTTAGCGGAGGGAACGTTAGGTTGTAAGATCGCCGTACTAAGCGGAACTGCCGGGCGATACCCACGGTGACATCTGTACATGCCACCATACGGAGTATAGGGGTACTCCTATACTACTCCGTACAGCAGCGGTGTGGCAAATGCACTGTAGCATTGTTTGTAGATCGCTGTAAGAATTACGAGGAATGTGTAAAGTAATAAGAGGCAGACCCTTCGGCAGTGCCTCTAGAACTTTGTAACCAAACTACGATCGGCATCTACTAGCCCACACTTGGTATAGTGTGTCCGGACTGTTGCTCTTCCCATTTATACTTCCCTGTACGTTGTATTCCGTACGGAGTGATCCGTAATACTCCGTACCAGTTCCAAGGTCTCTGCAATCTTACTGGTGGCCCCTCTGAGAAAGTTATTTTCCCGTGTGGCGCAGGCCAACTAGATCAGGGCACCCCTGGCATCCGATTGAGGTATCCCGGTATCCATTACCTCCACATCCGCAAAAAACATCCGCTACCTCCTATAATGCTCCTTTGTGTTGAAAGATCTGCGTAGACCCACAATGCAGCTATTATGTATGGAGTACGGAGCATACAGAGTACATGGTGTACACGGAGTATTATTTATTATTTATGTACGGAGCATACTCCGTATGCTAAGATACATAATACTGTTAGCACCACGCGGGAAAAAACAAGATCAATCAAAGAGCTCTGCTCGCTTACATGCCCTGCCACGACGTGTGAGAATGCGAGAGCGAGACAGCGATAATGAAAATGGTAAAGCATCTCGGAAGTTTACGCGTAAGTTGTATTGCGGTCGTCGTAGGAGGGCAACTGCGAGGCAACACCAAGACTTACACAGGGACTAGCATAAAGACGGGCGTAGACTGGCCGGAATGGCTAGGAGAACTGAAGCTGACTGAAATACCCGTAATCATCAAACGTAGCCAATCACAAGTCGCATTCTACTTCGAATAATCAAAAGCAAAAATTCAGCTGAGTGGATATCCTGCTAGCAAGAGTAGATTCCACCGCTATTTTCGCGTCTCCATCTTGTCCACACGCCAGCACTAATCCGCAAGCCTCGCTGTCCAAGTACGACGTATGTCGAACAATACTCCGTAGAGAACTTCTCCTACTTACGATGGACAGGTTGATTATTCTGTCCTTGTGTCGCGCCGCTTTATCACAATAATGCCGCTGTGGTGCGCAAAGGCAACCCAGAACGCATTCTAATATTGGTACCATAAGTTTTTGTTGAGATAAAAGTCGGACTTCTCCTGTTACGTACAAGATGAGTTGGCCATGCCATTCAGTCTTTCCATTTATTACGAATACGACACTTCCGCACATCCGTTATTTACACAAGTCTTACTCCGTACTTTACAGCCTTTACCGGCCGGTATCGTATAGTCATGTCTTGAAGAAATGGATGCATTTACAAAAACCTTGATAGTACTCTGTAGACATTTTTTTAATTTATTTCAAATCAATCTTGTAGTCTAAGCCAATCAAGCTACACAATAAAGTTGGGGAACTAAACGAGGAGTTGGAGGAACCTTGATCCACAATATCTACAACTTTTCACTGGCTGACTACAAGGCAGAATCAGATGCCTTGCAAATACGCGTACGAAAGTTCTTTTAAAGAAAGAGGTGAGTCTCAACCAACACCCGTAATCTACATTTCCAGAAAGGCGCCCACCGACGAGGCGTCACTGGCGGAGCGGACGGGGACATGTTTGCCGGGTCTGTACGGAGTGTACCGGAACCGCGTCGCCGAGAAAGTCTGGCTGTAGTCACAGACGTGTCCGCGATAAGGTGCAAGGTCATAGTCCATTCCTAATTAGAATCTTGCGGCGCTGTGTCTAGAATGGCACGACAAAAGACGTCGCGCATAGTAGCACTAAGCTGTCCGAGGAGCGTCACGACATCGTAGCCGTTGCGCAATTCCGTCTGGATATGGCAATGCTTGCAGAGGACTTCCTCCTACCCGTCGGCCTGCCGTTAGGTGAGCTGTACTCGCGCGCCAGCAAGCATATTTTCTTCACCAAATTCATGTCAGCTCTCTTTCCAAAGCCCAAGGAAGGTCCCGCTTCCAACACGATTCAAGGCGTATATGTCAGCGGACATCGCCAAGGCCCAGCTTCTTAACGATAGGATGGCTAATGACGTAAAGCGCGCCTCGCTTTACATTGAAGAGACGGCCGGGCTTTGTAGAACGGCGGAGTTGAACGACCTAATAGTGAAGCGTCGTGGGGTTGCTTGGTTTGGAACCTTGAGACAGTAGGCATATCGCAAGATTGACCGTCGTCTGTTAGCAAAGCGCGAGGACATAATCTTTAGTTCGGGGCGATGGGGTCTGGAGGCACTGAGGCGCAGATGGAACTTTCAAATGATCAATCTGGCTTGTCGAGTGTTTTTGTATCTTTAATTGTTATTTTACCAACTAATTATCATACGGTGATAAGGCAAATAACTTGCCATCGAATACAAACTACATAAAACGGCTTTTTCGCAAAGTATTAAGACATAGCACTTTGATTGTAGAAGTTGCTCAGTCCTTACCTACCAAATAATAAAAGCCTTGCTGCAGCTGCAAGAGAAAGCTGGGAACGAGAAGAGAGGTGATAACGATGCGATGAGAGCGTTTCCGTCAGAGCCTGGCGGGGTTGCAAATAGGCATTAGATATGCAGCTCCTACATAAGGCGATGCTTGTACGAACTACTACATAATAGTATGTAGGCAAAAATGGGCGGGTTTGAAGACTGGTGCGCGTGGTGGAGAACTACATGTAGTGTGGCGCAGGGCGCTATTTATGTTAAGTAATCACAAGTCATGTGACATATGGGTGAGCCCTGATTGGTCAATCAGGGCTCCACCCTATGCAGAGTTTTATCCCTCTAGAATAGCTGCATCTTCTCCTCTACTCTACTTTAGTAATACAACCAACTAAGTCCTGATAAGTAACCAACGACTTCATAATTTAGTAGGTGATTTAATGCGCGACGGCTTAGCTCGGAAGTACGGAGTACCCAACACAGCAGTACACGCTCTTTGGGCATAATTCGACAGGTATCTTTTTTACTGCATCTTACAAAGTACTCCGTATTACAGGGGCAATTCTTTCGCCTGTGACCGTCGTAAGGAGCCACTACTTGTACAGGCCTGTACAACCTAGCCTAGCCCTATCCTTGCATTTTAACCATCTGAATGAGGCAGTGGCACGGACTACCGACTCTGACTCTGCCTTATGACTTGCCGGCCTCTTCGCTTACTTAAGGTTTTTTAGATTAGTACTCCGTATTCCCGCGTTATAAACGGTGCACAGAGCCGTACAACTAGCGGTAGTCGTACTATACCAATTTTATACGCAGTACAAACAGCACAAATTATGCCCGATAAGTACTCCTCCGTACCCCGTGTGGCTTCTACTCCGTGCACCACTAGTCTGTCACGCACGTTCTGCGTGATCACCAGTGTAAGACCCGTACGGTAATCCTTGTGGGATATTCGTCCGGACCGGTTGCACGTATCGTAGTAAGCTCTAAGGCCTTCAGAAGATCTAGTGATGGTATTTCGTTCGGTGGTTGACTCATTGAAGACCAGACTGTGCGCAGTATGCGCGCAGATCAGGGCTTCGTCTTATCTAGTAATTTCGGCGGCCGAGGTCAAGTCAGGTGACCTCGGGGAAATCCACACCCTGATCTGAGCGCACACTGCGCACAGTCCGGAGCTCCAGTCAACCACCAAGCGAAATATCATCACTAGATCTTCTGAAGGCCTTAGAGCTTACTACGATACGTGCAACTGGTCCGGACGAATATCCCACAAGGATTAATGTACGGGTCTTACACTGGTATTCGCGCAGAGACTGCGCGTACAGACTAGTGGTGCACGGAGTAGAAGCCACACCCGTATGGAGTACACGGAGAAATTACAAGCTAAGCCGATAGGGCTGTGTTAGCGCCTCGTAACGGTTAATATCCATTTTCTCGTTGTAGGGAATTACACTAATGCTTGCGATTTTCGTCCGTCTTACCACAATCTTAAAAGTTGGAGAGCGGTATATGTTTATAAGCTCGAACAAACTAGAGCAGAGAGCAGAGAACACCATGGGGCTGTATTCGCGTATAGAAGAGCCCGAGGCACTCTAGGCTTTCTCTTTTACAATTGCACACGAAAAGGGTAGCAATGTTGGCACAATTATGTTCCGCCCCCTGGCTGAGTTAGAAATGCTCATTAAACACCTCCTGCCTCCTCCGTTGCATGCCCTTAGGGAGGCGTATTAGTTCTAGGGGCATAGCTCCTTGAATGGCGACGTTAAAACGAATAAATAGGTAAGTAAATATGTTAATAAATAGATAGCTAGAAATGCCCACAGCTGGGCTATGTTCATCCTTCGTGGGCTTCTCGACAAGACTGACAATAATGAGGAGTGCTCCTTCCACGTCAGATATGTTCGCAAAGACGAATTGATAGTACAGTCATCGTACTGTGACCCTGATTTTGAGGATAGATTACGCGACGAGAAGGGCATCAATCCTTCTCTATCTGATACTAGCCCAAGCAGGATATTTCCCCGAAAATTAAACGGCAGATTATCGTTCTATCCCTGTAACTCGCGGCCTTTTGCGGCGTCAGCCCTAGTCAGCCTGAGACACTCTGGATTAGCCTCAGCGGAAGCGATCATTTAGGGCAAGCTGAACTAGGGATAGGAATGCTGATAAGCACTTGATCCTTCAGGATCAAGGACCGGAAAGACGATTGCTGTAGCGCGTGGCGCAAGGCAAACATTATGATGACTTTGGCGAGACTCTTGTCTTATTCGGGAAGTGAGGATGCGAATGACCAAAAAGCTCATCAGGGCCCGTTGCATCGTATATAAATTGACCAGTTGCTTACCGTATTTTCTTTTACGAAGAATAGAGCTGAACTGTATCTGCCCACATCCATAACAAACAAAAAAATCGCCAACTATTATATAGTTGACGACGCAGGGCTCAATATGTCCACGACCAACGACGCGGCGGTGGACTACCCCAACTTCACTGGCTACGATCGGGACGAGCCTGTGGTTGTTTACGGTCACGTCCAAAAAGCGTTGCACGGGAAGGATAGTAACGGCATGCCGATCAGCTTGCTTGTGTTTCGCTGGCACCTGCAACAGCGCGCCCCCAACCGTCGCTTCATATCAGCCTCGATCCGGGTGGTATTCAAGGATACGTCTGGCGATCAGAGTGGGAAGACATCATCTGATGACAACCTTCACGTCAGAACAGTGGCACCAAATGGCACCTACGGAATGGGCCTGACACCCGACACCATCACGCGTACATTGGCCTTGAACGAAAGCCTTGTAGCGGGGGTTACCGAAGCCACTAACACCATGGGAGCCAACTTCACGCTGATTTCGCAGGTAACGGCAACGGAGCAAAGTTTGTGATCAACGGCAATGCGCGAAGCCTATATGGCGACGGACTTTTGAAGAGACTCGACAAAACAAACAGTGATGATAGCGCCTTGTGAAACTGCGGTAAAGACCGCTGCAATGCAGCCGAATGGAATTTGTTCGAGAATACAGCCGTCAAAGGCGGGCTTCCGTCTATGTTCCATACAGTCGTTCTGCTCGAGAGAGGCGAGCTCAAGAAAGGTTCCACAGACAGGACATTCCAGGCCACATTTACGATCCGCACCCGTACAAACGGATGGATGAATAAGTTAGCGGTGTGGAAGCGTTACGGCTTCGTCTCGCCCTGCAAGCCTGTCACCTTCAACACCGGAGTACAGTGGCAGGAGAAAGAGTCGACGGAGGACAAAGACTGGACTGAAAGGCTTGGAAATGCGGATTTATTTCAGCTGTGCAACTTTTATTTGTTCCACTTGGTTCCGGCGAACAAGAAAGACGCAACACCACCGAATCACCCAGTCCAGACCCCGGCAGAGGAAAGACATCCTGTATAGTTCAGAAGTGCGGGAGAAGAGCGTTTCTGCCTATAGGTCCTTATTTTGGAGCCTCGTGGTTTACGGGTAAATCATTGGCTGCATGTATCAAATTTGTATTCGTTGTTCGTCCTATTATATTACTAGCTCTTGATGTGTATTTCCCGTTCATGATTTGTTTCGCTTCCTAGATCATGGGTTCTGAGTCAGTAACCTCCTCTCAGAAAGTTCATATCTTCTCAGCCGCAGCAGATCCAATATCCAGAAGTGATGGTCCCCTCATCCATTCCTTTGTAGCCGCCGAGTGGTTTTCAAATCCATCTATCACTAACTCGGCCTGATTCAGATGCCGAATGGTGCTTCGCATTCGGAGTACTCTGTACGGAGTGCATACTGCAATTAAGAGGGATTCGCATTTACTCCGTAAGATGAGTTTGAACGACTGTGGGGTCCCACCCCTTTTGGGATAATTTAGCAGAAGCATCACGTGCAGATCATCGCGTCTTCGAGCTGCCAAACAACAGCAATTTTGCGACCTCCATCCATTCTTTTTCGCTTGACATCGCGCTCACATGGCGTTAACTCTTCGACGACATACCTGGCCTGGCCGGCAATAGAAGCCTCTGGCCATCTCTAACTCTAATTTTACACGAATCTTGTCGAACGGGAAATCTAAAAAGGGATGTTCCCCGATCACATCGCGTCGCGTTGCTACCTGGTACGCATCGGGTGAGTCCTCAGGGACAGCTGTCAGATTGTCGGCAAGCTGGGGCTTGGAGCCAGCTCAACTGTTTTGTTGGCGCGCGACCTGTAGCGATCGTCGGCACATGATGTTATCGGGCCAGGCGGTCGCTACTGTAGGAGAGCGCCTTGGCTTTCGCAACCTTATACGGAAAGTACCACCGGTAGTTCTCGCCGTAATTCTTCGTCGCCTCTTCCTTACTTTAGGCTTTCTGCGTACGGAATGTTAGAATATCCACACGGTGCGTATCTTGGGTCTTTTAGATCTGGGACCTTTCCGAGGGTGGCCAGCTGTTCACGGGACACATCTAGACCAGATGTGTCGCAGCCGGGTATACCTAGCCGAGATCATCGCGTTGTTTAGGCAGCCTCCGCAGTCGCTACTCCTTCGCGCAAGTCGGGCCACAAGATTTTCACTGACAAAGTTCTGCTTTACATGAATCTTTTGGCCTTTATTCTTTGTTCCGCGTTGCTGCTAAAGCTTGCTGTTATACAGGGGAAATTCGTTCAGAAACCTCGCTCCCAGACAGTGTCTCTCTCAAGGAGGAAGATACTACTTTAGAGGGGGAAGATGCTTCAGTGGGAACCCTCAAAGCGCTCCGCGGCGAAGAAACTGACCGAAGACGAGTAGATCATGGAACACTGGTATTTTAGTACCAGAACATGTCTTCTATGTAGAGTTAGGAGGTCTTCTGTTTCCATAAACTCAGCTCGGTGAGACTGTCTCCCGACGGAGGGACAATCCCCGAGATAAATGGTCTTCCCGACTCCAAAGCGCAGATAGAGGTTCTAACCTCACGGTTCCTTCATAAAGCTTCATTCAGCCATTTTCCAGTAGCGAGGAGCGGACCACCGACGTAACTCCTTGCCTTTCCATATCATCAACAGGAAAGTTAGGGTGCATCCCAGAGACAGGAATCCGGCCATAATGAAGCAGTTCTGGAGGCCCATATTGGTGTACCACGGCGTGATGGCGTAGGATATGCCGAAGCCGAGGGTGTTGCGGACGATGATGATGCCTGTGGTGGACTCGCCGCTGATGTCTTTGAAGCTGTCGACATTGTAAGAGAGCGCGATGCTGCCGCCGGTGACGACGGAAAAGGTTAAGATGCCGAGGGCAATGGCCAGGCCGGACCAATTGACCTGGTGGGCGGCACCAACGCCCCAGGTGATGAGGCCGACGCAGGAGAGGATGGAAGATAGGGCGAGTGGCCAGAGGCGCTGCTCAGGCTCGCGGATGCCGCCGTTGCGGCGGGCCAGCCAGAGAGTGATACGATCGGCGACGACACCGGCCCAAAGGCAACCGACAGCGGCGCCGACGATGGGGCCAATGTAGATGGAACCAACGAGGCCGCTGGACCAGTTGTAGGGAGCGGCGCTGAGGACGGGGCTGGCGGTGCCATTCATCACGTTATACCACGACAGATTGATGCCGTAGATGAAGCCGGCCCAAACGACGGAGGGGAAACGGAGGAGGATCAGCAGTGGCGTGTACATGGCGATGAACATGTCCTCGACGCTGGGACGGCCGGGCAGGTTGACAAACGGCGCCAGCTTCTGGAGGTAGTCCTTTTTGGCAGCGAAGGAGTGGGTGGTCTGGCGAGGCTGAAAGGGGACAGCAGCCAGTTCTGGGTCTTTGCTGGCGGCTACAGCTGCAGACGGGTTCTTCTCGTCGTCGACAAAGAGAGGGCCGTCGGAGAGCGGCTGGTCGTCGGGTTGCTCGAGGCCCTCGAGCGTGGTACGGACGTACATGGTCTCCTCGAGGAAGAAGAAGAGGATGACGAGGGTGAGGGCGACGACCATGGCGCCAAACTTCATGCACCAGCGCCAGCCGTAGGCGAGGCCGAACCAGCCGGCGACGAGGGGTCCGAGGAAGTTGGAGCCGAAGAGGATGAAGACGTAGAGGCCCATCCAGGCGCCGCGATTGTGGGCGAAGAAGACGTCGGGCACGGAGACCTCGGGCAGCGACTCGATGGGCGAGAGGAAGATGCCGATGAGGATGCGGGTGGCGTACCACTCGCCGAGGGAGTGAATGTAGGCAGACCAGACCATCATGGGGATCATAGCCAGGGTGGAGCCGAGATAGACGCCGCGACGGCCAAAGGTCAGGGCAACGGGCTGCCAGAGCAGACAGGCCCAGCCGAGGAAGAGAAAGGTGAGGCCGGAGCCCTGGACGAGCGAAGCGGTGGAGATGCCGGTGTCGATGGTGATGTCGGCCAGCAGGGAGTAGTGGAAGGTGCTGGCGAAGCCGGTGCCGAGTGTATAGACGACCATCATGGCGGCCGAGAGGCGTTTCCGGCGGTCGGACCAATTGAGCGGGTCCTCGGGGTCATCGCTGGGGCGCGGGATAAGCTCAATGTCACCCTTGGCGTGCGCCGACGAGAGCTGGCCGGCGACGTCGACCAGGTGGACAGTGCCAGGAACGACGGGCAAGGGGGTGTCAGCCATGGTGGACAATTCGTGGTTGAGGTCGAGAGGCAGGAGAGGAGGAGGATGTGTTCTAAAAAAGACGAGGAAAGACGGGATGCTTTAAGGAAGAGCGATCTGCAGTCAGTCATCGGCTGAGCTGATAAGGCGGACAGGGTGGCCTGTGATATGTAAAAAGTAACAAAGCTCGGCCGGAGATGTCTCTACATGCGACATGCAGACGACAGCTCAGCCACTTCACCGCAGGTTGTGCGGTCTGAGACCTGTGTCTTATCTGTGCGCTGGGGGATCGGCACAGCTTGTGCAGATGTCATTGGCCGGGCCAACGGGCAGCTGAGGATGTAACGTATTCGCTATCGTCCTGTTGGCAGCGCTTGATAAGGCGGAATTGGACGCAGCCTGACGATTGTTCCGACTATCGGGTGGCAACCGGGTATCTTGTTGTACTTTCTTGCATTTTGTCTCATTTCTGGCTACTCATCTCCACAACCTCAACACTCTACTCGCTGCTATTATGGTCTCTGCGCCCTTAACCATCATCGAGGCCGTGTCGGTGCCGACAAGACCGCTTACCAACCACCGTCAATCGATCAACTCGATTCCGGATGCACTCTACCCCTCGCTGGTCCCATGGCGGCATCGTTGCGCGACCTCGACTTCTTCGTGACGGTCGTTTTGGCCGAGAAGCCGAACTTGCTCGGCCCCAGGCTGATGTCTTCATCTGACTGGCTACCTAGCAACCTAGTTTGGGAACTGCCTCGCCGGCACCACACAGGTGGACACACAAAGTAAACACAGCATCTGGTAATTTCTGTAGACTTCCCACTTCTATGCATCTAACGGCTTCTGCGCGTAGGCCAGACCGCCGTAGATGTAGGCATGCACCTTCAGCCCTCGCATCTCCCGACGGACATGGGCTGCGTACACGCTAATCTGCTCGGGGGTCCATCCAAGCGAGGTGGCCATCATGCCTACAAAGCCCTCGGTATCATTGGCCAGGGTAACATACATGTACCGGCCAACTTCGTGCAGTAGCGGGTCATCTGACCATTCCGAAATGGGGAGCTACACCGGCTTATTAGCAAGATCTCTTTGGTGAGAAGACAATTCCGACGGACCTTGTACGCCTTCTCGGTAATATTGACAAAGCCCGCTTCAACAAGAGCCTTATGCTGCAAGCCTTCCTTTATAGGATTGAAAGAAACGTTCATGCCCAGCTTCCGGGCTCCTCCTTCAAAAATTTGACTCCATTGTGATATCGCCGTCTTTTCTGTTACGGTACCGTCATCCGACGTGATGTGGCCGTCAAAGTCAAAGGTTTCGATGTAGCCACCGGGTTTAAGCACCCTGTAGGCCTGTTTGAAAAGCTCTGTCCAGTTCTTTACGGAGCCGCATAACCAGCGTAAGTGTACGAAGTCGACTGAGCTGTCCTCAAACGTCCACGAATCCGTGAAGTCATCGATTTGGCTGGCATGTTATGAGTTAAATGTACAGAGGGGAGACACGACGCTAGAATGGGAGGAAATACAAGGACAAATTGGGCGGAACCCATTCTGGCTGGATTGGAGACAGATCGGTTCCGATGACGTTCGCCTCAGGGTGCTCGTCTGCAAAGTCGCTTTTCTTTCTTAGTTTATACTCGCGATGGAACAAAAAGAAAGGGGTGACAAACATTGCCCAAATGCCAGTTCCTGTACCAATATCCAGGACTTTCTGTAATAAACCACCGCGTTAGGTATGGCGAGTATTGGCGCTTGTGCTTTGGCAAATCCTTACGTCCATATGGTCTGGCAAAGGTGCGTGGTAGAGTTTGTCACCCATTATCATGGTGAGTGCATGATGTCTATTTCCATGTCAGCTTAGTATTAGGACTGATAGTCTAGACCAAAAATTTTACCCAACGTCAAGCGTATTGTTCTGGCGGTCGTCATTAGGACCCCTTGCGTTCTGCATTAGTGGGGTGCACGCATTGAGACACGATTCTTAGTCTTCCGAATACTAGCATACCAGTAAGTGCCTTCCGTGCGCTCGCGGTGGTATGTGCGCCCGTTAAGTTCGCGGTATTGCAAGATGCTCGATCTGACAGACTCCGTAGAGCTAGCTATGTCTCCGCCAAACGACGAGTCGTTCTCATCCTAAAAAAAAACATTAGGACCAATTTCTTTCTGAGATAATCTCCGCCCTTTAAGCCATTGCAATACCTCTGAAACCTCCAGACTCGCCCAGACCTCTGGGGGTTGCAATTGGCTAGAGAGATCTGCCGCGGGGACAGTAGCTTGTGTTGCTCCAGGGACCGAAGCTACTTCTGCGGTCGGCATCTGTTCTTCAGTATCCCGGGGCTTAGCCATGTCGATGGAAGTAGTGGTGTAGGGTCGACTTTAACAGAACGTGAATGGAAAAGGGTTTGTTTTTCTAAGGGGTTGAACGAAGAGCAAAGGAGAAGGTGGGCGAGCAGACGCGAAGTAAAGGCGGGCACAAGTACTGCATACAACCCCCCCTCTTAATGACTCCTCCGCCACAAGGTCGCATGCGTTATCGTATGCTCATCCATACAAGATGTTTTTGGTTAATAACCCGAGGCCTGTACGGAGTAAACCCCCTCTATAAAGTACTAAGGTGTATCTAGCTAGCTTGGACCCGCCAACGGCCCGTTAGCGTCTTCTTATAGGAAGGCGCTCGCCGGGATGCATTCCCCGTTAGTATCTAGGCGCCGGTGTGTGGGCTAGACTTAGCCTGTTTAGTAGGAAATATCATGCACGTCGGCACAGCGCGAAGGTATACTCATACACGCGCACAGAGAAATCCTTCAAGTACTCCGTACCAGGATGGCTTATATGACAGCGACCAAAGCAACCATGTTGTTATGGGTGTTAGGTTATCTAGACAAGTTATACACTTGGCCATAATGCCGATGCTTCTCGTATGTTCTTCGGTCGTATTATTTTGTATATAAGGCTTATTAGAAAAAGGCCATCAATCCCGTCGAAACTTGGAGTTTGTAATTATCTCGTAGCAAGACACCGGTCCCTAAGCTACGTTATCGTTATGCTTCAGAATGCACGACCTTCAAGCGAGTACGATATGGTATCAATATATCAAGGTTGCGTGTCAAAGCGATTCTTATCCTGATGATAAATTCTGCTCAGTTCTTTGTGGATCACATAGCCTGTATTCCGTAGTAACCATATTTATAGAAATGGTAGTCGCAAATACAGACGGTTTTTATGTTACACCCTACTCCGTACATCGGAAACATTTAGTACAATCAGAAGGAGACCGTAAAGACGAAATATTTAATATATTGTACTTGTTCCTCTTTCACTAATTAGTCCAGCAACTATACATACTCTGCACTTTGCCATGCATTATTCCGTACATACCGTCCTTTGGTCTGTTAGTAATCAATCACCTGCTCTGGTAATTAGTCGAGATCAGAAGCACGTGATGTCGCGTGAACCCCGCTTTGTTTGTCCCAAAACACGTCCCAGGACACTCGTATCCTTTTCAAAGACTGTTCACCTTCCTTGCAACCAATTCAGCGGATCTTCACGTCAGGATGAATGCAATTCGGGAGTCGTTAATGCCACCGTTATCAAGGCAAGAGAACAGACGATCTCAGTCCACTATTTCGCCTATCCTGGACTTTCGCCCCTACTCTCATTTCTAACCTCGGCCGATGGAGGTTTTGCCTACCAGACTGCTTTGGCTGCGTGCTGTATCGTCGCCAACTGTCCCGTGGACAAAAAAGGGGTTCCTATGTCATTGACGGCAATCAGCCAGTCAGAGAGCGTGAATACACACCTATTCGTTTTCTGAAGATGCATGTTACGCGGAAATTGTTATTTTTCCGTGGGAGATAACGGTATTTGTGATTCTATATCGTGCCTATTTTTGTCTTGCATGGGCTAACGGTTTCTCTTGTCGCTATAGACCAGGGATACAACTACCCTATTGTCCCGTCATTCGACCACTGGCGCTTTCCGCACGATAATTTACCAGCTTCGTGGTCTGCTGTCCACACAATCAGTGACCAGACACGAGAGCCAGCTCCTCGAGATGCTGTCGCCTCGCGCGATCGAAAATGCCGAGTTTCGGGCTACTATAACGGAAATGGCTATGCCCACATAGTTTTACGGGCTTCAGCAGCGTGGTTTGAGGCAGACGGAATGCGTTTCCTCTTAGTGCTGCAGCAATCAACGACAGCCGGAACGGCATGCTACTCCGGCGCGACATACATGGCCTAGTCGATAAACGGCGCCTTCTTATCGTATTAAAAAGAAGGCTTGCACTCCATGTTTTGGGAAGTGCCCCAGGAGGTGTTGGTGAGCTGTTTGAACTCTATCACGACAGATACACACAGCCGCTCGAGGGAGTGGCCTTTGAATGGTTTTTTTTTTTCTTCCACGCTTTGCTTGGGCTATACTTTGCAACGAATACCTGGCGTTCTTCCGAATGGGAGTACAGCAGTTCACAGTGCTGCTCTTCGGCCTAACCACAGGCTCGTGCCTCCAGCGCGATGGTGTCTCCGGCCACAAAATCGCTGGCATTGCTAACATTCCACCCTCTGGTTCCAGACTCCACAGTGTAAGCCCCAAGAAGCCTCAGCGCTCAGAAGACTCTCGTCGGCAACAGGATTGGAAAATGCTGTCGAAGTCTAAGCAGCAGACGTAGCGACAGCGATGGCATCAGTCGTGGGTGATGGCCTTGGTTGCGCAGATGACAAGAGGTAAGCCCGAGGACGATCCACTTGTAGGATATCCTCCACGAGGACGGCGCCCGAAACACCACTACAGCATGGACGACGAGTCTCAAACTTGTGGGTGCGACTCCCGCCCTTTCGTCATCGTTCACTTTGGTGGCGGCAGCAGAGGAATTTTCAAATGTTGTGGTCGCGCCAGAGCCTGGTGCTATTACCTTACCTCCACTAGGGAAGAAACCCTGCTTTGAAATGCCCCGTCCTGCCCCCTCTTCCTAAGTATACCCAAGACAAGGGACAGTTGCTTCTTTAGAGTAAGCGAGAGTATAACTGTGACGAGCAAACCCGATGATAAACCGTGCATTTAGTTTCTGAATGACTATTATAAGACAGATTAAGGAGTAAATATTTTCCGGCATAGTTGGACCGGATATACGGAGTACGAATAGGAGAGAAACCGGATATATCAGCGATGCTAAAACCCACACCATGTCGGGCTAATTGGGCTGTGATAATCACCCTCAACACGAACGGAAGTCTAAAGAGGTATGGCTAGTTATGTTGCCTAATATGCTGTCCCAGGCATTCTCATTCAGCCATCCGTAAGGGAAAGAGCGTAGAAGCAGGAAAGCATTTGTGGCAGAATGTAGTGGCTCCATTACTGACAGTCAGAAAAGTATGACGGCCTCGCGCCGATCAATTCGCATGTATCTTTATAGTAAGCTGCCTGCAGGCTAGTCTCATGCACCCAAGAAGCGTATTGATATATGCCGCAAAGTGGAAGATCTCGAATCGAAATATAGGCACGTATTCCATCCGTGTTGGAGGAAAACACCGTCACAGCAGAATCGCGCCATTCAAGGAGGTTGAATTAGAGGAAGCTTTCTCCAACAATGGGTTCCACCAATAAGACAGACCGGACGGACGTGGGCCACTCTCATCTGTCCCCTATCTTTGCCCCCAAGCGCACGCTTTCCGTTATTGTGATCGGGGCTGGTGCGTCGGGCTTGCTTCTCGCCTACAAGCTACAGCGCCACTTTGACGATCTGTCGCTAGAGGTGTATGAAAAGAACGCAGACGTCTCGGGAACGTGGTATGAGAACAGATACCCAGGGTGCGTACACAGATTCCAGTGCTCGGTGTTTTCTTCTTACGACGTACTAACAAGTACGTCATCAGATGCGCGTGTGATGTCCCAAGCCACAACTACACCTGGAGCTTTGAGCCAAAGACAGACTGGAGCGCAAACTATGCCGCATCCAAGGAGATTTTTGCGTATTTCAAGGACTTCAGCGCCAAGCACGGCCTGGAAAAGTATGTAAGATTGCGGCACCAAGTCGTCGGGGCGCGTTGGGACGACGATGAGGCGATGTGGCACGTGCAGATTGACGACCTGGCACACGGCACTCGGGTCGAGAGGACTGCGCAGATCTTGATCAACGCCGGCGGAATATTGAACGCGTGGCGCTTTCCCCCAATTCCGGGCATCCAAACCTTCAAAGGGCCGCTCGTGCATTCGGCAGCGTGGCCCGAGGAGGAGCTTGACCTAGAGGGCAAAACCGTTGGGCTGATCGGCAACGGATCGTCAGGAATCCAGATTTTGCCTGCCATCAAGGATAAGGTGGGCAGCCTGGTGACATTTGTACGCGAGGCAACCTGGGTGGCACCACCTCTAGGCGGGGAATTTCATGCCTACACGGACGAAGACCGACAGCGCTTTTCTACGGACAAGGACTCTCACCTGGCCATGCGTAAGGAGACCGAGAAGTCGGCCAACAGCATGTTTGCCATCTTCCACAGCGGATCACAGCACCAGGCCGGGTTGCGGATGTACATGGAGGATCTGATGCGCAAGAAGCTTGCCAACCCGGAGCTAGAAAACGTCCTGATCCCAGAGTGGTCGGTGGGTTGTCGCCGTCTAACGCCAGGCACAAACTACCTTGAGAGTCTGGGGGACCGAAATGTGCAGACGGTGTATGGTGAAATCACACAGATCACGCCGACCGGCGTAGTTTGTGACGATGGCAAGGGAGAGTATTCAATCGATGTGCTCGTCTGCGCAACCGGATTTGATACGACATTCAAGCCGCGCTTTTCTCTGGAAGGTACCCAGGGTGCGAAGCTAGAGGAAATGTGGAAGGGTAGGCTCTCTCGGCGGCGGCATGTAGTATCCTATCTGTACAGGAATGGACTAACGAGATCAGATGAGCCTCAGGCATATCTAGGCATGTCCGTCGACAGGTTTCCCAACTATCTCTTCACGTTGGGACCCAACTGTCCGATAGGAAATGGCCCCGTGCTCATTAGCATTGAAGCCGAGGTCGAGTACATTGTCAAGATGCTGTCCAAATTCCAAAAGGAAAATCTTCGCTCATTTGAGGTCAAGAGAGAGGCGGTACGCGACTTTAACGAATGGAAGGATGTATGGATGAAAGAATCTAGTACGTGTCCTGTTTTCCCTCCCTGGTTTCGTGCTAGTACTGATGATAGCAGTCTGGGCAGAGGCGTGCCGATCCTGGTACAAAGCTGGTTCGGCCTCAGGCAAGATTCTGGCCCTGTGGCCCGGCTCGACGCTGCACTATCTCGAGGCCATCCATGAGCCCCGTTGGGAGGATTGGGAGTTTAAACAGGCAGCTGGCGGGAATCGGTTCGGGTTTCTGGGAAATGGACACAGCACAGCCGAAGCATTTGGGGGTGACTTGAGCTACTACATCCGCGATCGCGATGATTCGCCGGTTGACCCTGTTTTGAAACGCCTGTAGTGGAACGTACGGCTTAGCCGTAGTAACTAGTGAATGGCTGTTGTCAGCCCTGAACAATTTTGCACTTATGAGATCAGGATTTGGGATAGTTGCAATGCCAGAGTGCAAACCCTTTGCGGGGAAGATGCGGGGAAGAAGGCTGAGTCCTCGGGGAATGTGAAGTGTCCGAGCAGTCCGGCACATGCGTCTTGTACTTCGAGTGGGCAGCCAGATGCCGAGAAAAGGCACTCCTGGAATCCCAAGGAAGCTAATCTGTACCTTAACGTATTGCCTTGTATTCCTGCCATTTCAACGCAGATAGCGATGCCACCAAAGAAGACGAAGAAGAGCAATGGACTCGACACAAAAGCTGTTAGTGGTGGTGGTGTCAAGAAGGCGGATGGTGCGAGGAAGCGGACGCAAAACCGCATCGCGCAGCAGTGTTTGCGGGAGAGACGTGCGGCCAGCAGCCGCCACATGGACACGGTTTTTGAGACGATGCGGTTCGTTGCCGAGACAGACCAGTCGCAGCGTTACGCCATGCTCTTGGACGCGCACATGAAGCTGGCTGCCGAGAATCAGGCGCTGGAAGAAGCCCTCTTTCGGTTGCGTAAAAAGCTGCTAAGCCTGAGCAATTCTGCCGCCATGGCTGCCGACGATGCCGTCTACGACATGATCCTAGGTCGCGAGGGTGGTGACAGCCGTAAGAGTCACCCAGAGGCCTCGCCGACCGTCGAACCAGTCGACTTGACAACGGATGCGCCAAGGACAGTCAGTAACGAGAGTGAGGCCGGGGTTGCCTTGTCTTCGCCAGCTTCTGACAGTAGGATGGCTGAGCACGTCCACACTGATAACATATCCTTGCACGGTGAGGAAGTCGCTCCCAAGCAGCTGCAGCAACAGCAGCAGAGTACAATTTTGTGGGACGATGTGGCATTCCAAGCATCGACCTGCGACCTGTTCTTTGCAGACACAGAAACCCTGGAAATCCCGGAAATGGACCCTGGGACGGACATGCGATTCGACCTGGCTGAGCTGATGAGCGTGGTCCTTCCAACGGAAGAGGTAATGCCGCCAACAGAGCAGCAGGAACAAGTACATGTCGCGTCGCCATGGGATCTCTGCTCGTTTGCGCCACCACAGACGTTGACCGTTCAGTCCGGCAGTGCGTTCAGCAGCAAGGTTCTCCAGGCAGCGACGCAGTGCATCTCGCGGGTCCAGCAGTCGGGCCTGGTGCGCCATCTTGTTACCGACCAGATCATCGAGCAGGTCGCCGTGGCTTCCGTTCACTTGATCTCCAAGGCATCTGGCATGCAGCAGTATCTCTATGGTATGGTGAGTAATGCCCGGGTTTGTCTGGTTTCTTCTTTTCCATTGAGCTCCCCTTCTAGCCTCCTTCTCCCCTTCTTCTACCCCCACCCATACTGACTCTTCACAGAACGGTGCGGCTTACATGGAACGCGTCATGTACTGGCGTCTTGCCACGGGTGCCCGTGACCTGGTGCCCAGTCCGTTTCGGCCCACACCGCTGCAATGCGGCGTCACCGTGCCCAATCTGGCCATTGACTTTGTCAACTGGCCCGAAATCCGCGACCAGCTTCTTCTTGCCGGCAGCACAGTCGATCTTGATGCCCTGTTACGTGACATTGTGCTGAACACCGTCATTGACATTCCCCATCGCGAGATGGCCGTCAATGTCTTTGGTCAATACCATAGCTACCTTCACAGCGACAGCGGTACAAGACACAGGTCCGACGACACAAACAGAAACAAGAAGGACACAACAAACGGCACGCCGATGTGTGCTATCGATCCCGGCTGGGTATTCTATCAGATTACCCGCAATGACAAGGATTTTCGGCCCTGGGCCCCCGATCCCGTTGAAGAGGCACTTGTGCGGGAGCTCTGGCGCTGGGTCCAGGGACTCAATAGTCACTACAGTCGGCGTGGGCTATCGCTTTGCTCTCTGGCGCAAAGCTTGGAAGAACCAGAAGACTGCGTGGTGGCAACAGCGACGACGGCGTCGCCAATCTCGCCACTCGGCCTGCTTAGTGCTAAGTACTGCAAGGAACGGTCGGTAGCCTGCCGTCCATTTGCAAACACAAAGGACTGGAAGTTAAGCAAGGAATTTGCTGCGAAGTATCCATTTTTTGACTGTTCGTCGGGTGCGTATCTTATGTCTCCCGACCCATTTATTTCGGACGTATACTGACTTGACAGCTATCGCTACCTACGAGACCAATAATGCATACCCCGGTGCGTGAGATTGATGGAAGAGTTCAAAGAACACAATCAAGGGTCAAGAGACGTTTTCAAAGTATGAAGGTGTGGGATAGACAAGGACTTGTGAAACTTGGAGAAGAGAAGGACGTAATAATTGGGTCACTGCGCGGAGTGTCAACTGCCGCGGTGCATCGTGCACTAGTTAGTGCATGAATATACGAGTACTCGTACTCGTACAAGCACATTTCAACATTGACAGAGTGTCCACCGCATGCTTTCAGTTCCAAAACAGGGTAGGAGAGCACTCCGTTATCCGAATTATGCCTATATGCATAAAACCATTTGGCGGTGACGTGGGGCTAGCGCGTATCTATACTGCTGCTTGGCTTGTTAAATTTACACAATACTATTCCGTAAATCTGCTGTCATCTTTTTCTGACCATGATCTGCTAGATGCGTCGCGCTTCTCGTAAAGGGGACATACAGCATGAGGACTACGTGAATCCCAAGATCTCCATTTCGGCTAGCAGGCGCCACGCGCGGCGAGCCCGTGTGATTGTTTGAACAACCAGCAACGTTCGTTCCAAGAAAAGTTTCACCGTCCGGGATTCCAGCCTGCAATCATGGCATGCTGTGCAGTGGCTGCGTACATTGTCTGGAGGTTGGTCAGCCTTCATGATCGGCTCTTTCAGATGTACACTAAATCAGAGGAGTATCTGTGCGAGAAGGAGAAGCAAGACAAGAGAAACGACGCTAAAAGGCCTTCACAACAGTACGGAAGATGCATTTTAACAGTCCGGGGCCTAAGCTGCAGTTCATGCGTTCGCCAGATCGAAGCAGCCCTTCAGACCCTCCCAGCTGTGAGATGCGCACAAGTGTCGCTGGTGCTCCTGAGGGCAAGTGTGGAATACGACCCACGACACGCTTCATCGGCGGATCTTGTTGCCGCCATACACAAGGCCGGCTATGAAGCTCAAGAGGACGAGCGAGCGACTGCAGAATATGGCCCCAATGGCCGTCACGGCTGTATCCGGGACATGGTCGATTCTTTCTCTGCGTCCGAGGCCACCTGGGAGCAGAATGTTGCACAACACCGCCACGACTTCAAGGTCAGTGTGACACTGGCTGCTGTGTCTTGGATCGGCAGCAGTGCCTTCGCGTATATGACGCAAGCTTTCCCGTCCTCAACATCGGCTTTGCCAGCCTTGCTTTTGGTCTTGCAAGCAGTGGTGGCTCTGGCGTGTCTGGCTGTGTCTAGACGTGTCCATATGCACGCCCTGCAATCTGTGACTGGTCGCAGACCGCGGACGGTGGAGACACTGGCCTCGGCCGGCATGCTTACGGCTATGGCAGATTATATTCTAGTATGGTGCCGTGAAGCCTGCGGAAACCGAGAACCGCATGTGTTCCCCCGTCTCGGAGGCATAACTATGTTGTGTACCTCCATACTGGGTGTCCAGCTCCTAAAGACGGTGGCATCGCGGCACTCTCTTGGCCAAGTCACCCGCCTGGCCAGCTTATTCCCTCATACAGCGGCCGTCCTTACTGCTTCCAAAATCACTGAATCGACCTATGTCTCTGTGGACCTAGACATGTTAGTGCCTGGGGACACGTGTCGGATTGGTACGGGAGACCGACTTCCAGCCGATGGCCACGTGCTGTCGGGGACGGCCTGGATAGACGAGACCTGGATGACAGGCGACCATCAGCCGAAATCTGTGGACGCGGCCAGCGGAGATGCCGTCTTTGCCGGTTGTACCATTATCCAGGGCGACATCGTGGTGTGCATCGACAGTTGTGGACCCAAGAGCAGACTAGGCCAGCTGCTCGAACGTGTCTTGGCCTCAGAACAGACCACCGGCTCGGTCGAGCACGGAACCGGACTGTTTGTCGATACCATCCTCCTGCTGGTGATCGTTGCAACAGCCACATCGCGACTCGTCCAGGACTTGTCGTGGACAGAGTGCCGCCAGAGCATGACCAGCATGCTGGTGTGTGCTTGTCCTTGCACACTGGAACTCGGCGAGTCCATCTCGCTTATATCCGCTGCCGGTTCGTTCCCGTCTCATTGTTGGCCATCCCTGCACATGATCTGACATGACAGCATCTGCGGCCAAGGCGAACATCCGGCTGCACACGAATCCCCGACGGATAGAAGATGCTGGTCGGGTCAAGACGGTGCTGTTGGACAAGACCGGAACTCTGACAACAGGGGTGCTGAGTGTCAGCTGGTGCGGCCTCGCACCTCACTGGATGGAAACAGAAAAGTCCAGGGCCGAGTGGTGGGCACTGGTCGGTGCCGTTGAGCAGCACGACGATATTGCTGCGAAGCATCCACTGGCTCGAGCCATTCTACGGGAAGCCCAAGTGCAAGCGGCATCAGCCTCGGCAGCCGACAGCCGTCCACGCGTATCGGTAGTACGTGCGGACTACGAACCAGGAAGAGGCGTGCATGGCTGGCTTGTCTTGGGTGATAACACTCCTGCCATTCCAGGCTCTTCCATTAACGCCCGCCATGTTGTCGTGGGCAGCCGCAGCTTCCTCGCAGCTTTGGGTATCGAGCACGACATGTCATCCGTTCCCGAGACAGCACGCGCAGATGTGGCCACGACCGTCTGTGTGGCCATCGACCGGAAGCACGCGGGCACTCTGGTCTGCCGCGACGTTGTGCGGCCTTCTGCGCTAGAGCTCGTGCGCAGGCTCTCACAACAGGGCGTGCGCGTTGGAATGATCACGGGAGATGCTTGGAGTGCCGCGCTGCGAGTCGCTGGTGCCGTCGGCATCTCTGTGGAGAACGTTCATGCAGAGCTGCTTCCGCTGGACAAGGCCGGCGTCGTTCTAGCGGCACGGCGGCGTGGCCCTGTCGTGGTTGTTGGTGACAACCTCAACGACACGGGGGCGTTTGCTGAGTCATCATTTAGTATCTACGTCGGTTCGGATACGGTCTGTGCTGGCGAAACCGATGCGATGCTGCTGTCCGGGCAGACACGAAACGACGCGGCCCATGTGCGTGTTGATCTAGAACAGATACAAGACGTCATTCTGCTGGCCAAGACAACGATGGACCGCATCCGACAAAACCGGTGGGCAAGCCTGGCCTACAATATTGTGGCTCTGGCTTTGGCGTCTGGCCTGCTGCAAAACATCCATCATCGCCTGTATTTCTCGCCGTACGTTGCCCTGCTTTGATTTGTGTTTATAAGACACTTGTTCTAACACTGCCCTCTAGCCCGATGGCCAGCCTGGGAATGGGCCTCAACAGCACACTGGTTTTATGGAATGGTTCGAGAGTGGAATTGGCTTCAGACAAGAGACAAACGAGCGTTTCCCGGGCGATCGGAAAACTTTGTAAGATTCAGTAGGTATCCAGCAAGAGAAACGACCCCCAGTTCACTGCCCCTTCATGGGATCGTGTGGATGCAGATCTGTGAAAACGCCGACACTAGCCGTCTGCATCGCCACCCGTATCCAATCTGGCAGAGCTCGCACGATGGACAAGACAGACGCGGAACGTGGCACGATAGTATGCTTGGACCTACCGCCGTGGAGTATGTCGGCAATCAGGGCGCCCAGGTCTTCCGGTCGCAGGGCTTTCATACCCAACCCCAGCTTGATGCCGCTGAACATCTTCGTGTCGACGGCGCTGGGCGAGACGCACGAGACGCGGACCGAGGGCGCCTTGTAGATATTCTTCACTTCGGCATGGAGACCCTCGTAGATGGCAATGGCGGCCGCCTTGGTGGCCGAATAATCGGTAAGGCCTGGTGTGGCCACATAGCCCGTCTGGGAGGCCACGATCAGCAGGTGGCCATGATTCTTACTGATCATATTGGGCAGAAAGGTCTTGGCCGTCCAGAGCATTGCCAGGTTGTTGACGGAAAAGGTGCTGGAAAGAAGAGTCAGCACCGATGGGAATGTCAGATTTGCGGACGGAACATACAGCTCAATGTCCCTCTGGGAGGCTGCCAAGATCGGCTTGCCGCGACAGATCCCCGCATTCGCTACAACCACAGTAGGATCACCAAGGTCTCTGGGTAGAGAGTATGTTAGCGGCAGCTAAAAGCAGCTGGGAGTAAATATGGCTTACTTTCGGATGCGTGTCGCCATTGCCTGCAACTCGTCGTAGTTGGTCAGGTCGCACTTGTAGTAGTATACGTTGGGGCCTGCATTTTGTCAGCGGTCTCGCTGCCTTGTATTCGTGTTTTGACGTTTCGCGCGCACTCTTCGGGTACGACAGCGGGAGCACGTCGAGGACGACCACTCTGGACCCCCGGGCTGCCAGTGTTTTGACTATTTCGGCACCAATGCCACCAGAACCTCCTGTGACGACGATGATTTCACGCATCCAATCAAACTCTGCCAGTGCATTGCCATTGTTCAGCGCCCTGTCAGTCAGCCAGCGGTTGAAGAGCCAGCCGAGACCCAGAGCCCCGGCCAAGAAGCTGCCTGGAGGGAGCGCATCGGTGAAGTTGCGAGCTGTGGTGCATGCTGCCCGGATAGCCTCGTTGTCCCAAGTGGAAGTGATGTTGAGAGATTCCATGTCGAACAGGCATTGCGGACTGTTGCATATACGGCTGTAGCAGTGAGGAGCTAAGAGAACGTGCCTTTATACTGCATGCATGGCTGCGTGTCAGATTAATCTGACAGACCCCCACTCGATCAAGGATCTGACCCGACATACGCTTGTATTAAAGGACAACCAGAATTCCCCGCTTGCTCTTCCGCTTGTATGAGCAAGAAAACACAAATACAATGGCGATCTCTGAGGAAGCAAAGTCACTGGCGGCATTTGAGCCGTCCGCCTTTGGCGCAATCCATGCAGAGTTGCAGGCGACTTTCAGCTCGGGCAAGACCAAGGCGATTGCCTGGCGGAAGTGGCAGCTCAAGCAGTTCTGGTGGATGGTCGAGGACAACGAGCAGGCCATACTGGATGCTCTGGCGGCCGACCTGGGACGCCACGAGATGGAAGGTCGGGCGGCCGACCTGTTGGGTCTCAAGAGCGACATCCTCGAGCACCTCGGGCATGTGGACGAGTGGGCGGCGACGACGCGTGTGGCCGACGCGGGCCTGCTCTTTGGCGGCCTCGGGCGTGCACGTCTGCGCAAAGAGCCGGTCGGTGTGGTCCTCGTGATCGGGGCATGGAACTTTCCCTTTTTGCTGACGCTGCAGCCGGTGATAGCAGCCATTGCAGCCGGCTGTTGCGTCGTGATGAAGCCGTCCGAGCTGGCGCCGGCATCAGAGCGCGTCATGGCCGACCTGGTGCACCGCTACCTCGACCGATCGGCTGTGCGGCTGGTCCGAGGAGGCCCTGAAGAGACTACTGCCGTCCTGCAGCGGCGGTTCGACCACATCTTCTTTACTGGCTCGTCCACGATCGCCCGCTTCGTCACCGCCGCTGCTGCTCGACACCTCACGCCCACGACGCTCGAGCTTGGCGGCCAGTGTCCGGCCATCGTTGCCCAGACGGCCGACGTCGATCTCGCTGCCCGGCGCATCGCCTACGCCAAGTTCCTCAACGCCGGCCAGATCTGCCTCTCGGTCAACCACGTGCTCGTGCACCCGGCCGTCCATCACGCCTTTCTCGCCCGCCTCGAGCACTGGACCCGCACGTTCGCCGCCTCTGGCCACATGTGCCGCATCATCTCAGACCGACACTACGACCGGCTCGCGCGCATCCTCGACAGCACGCAGGGAACGGTCATCCGCACGGCCGAAAGCTCGAGAGAAGAGCGAAGACTGGCGTCTGCCATCGTCTCCAACGTGACCATGTCTGGTGTGCACATTCGCCACCTCTGCCGGAACTCCTGCTTGCTAACACAATCACAGATCCGGTCATGAGCGAAGAACTGTTTGGCCCTATATGCCCCGTGTTGAAGACCGATACCGTAGATGCGATTGCCGCCGTCAATAGCCTTCCACGACCTCTGGGCCTGTATATTTTCAGCGCGGACAAGGCGGAAATCGAGACAAGTAAGGTGACCGGGAGATCACAGACGTCCACTTGCACTAACACCGAGAAAAGTCCAGAACCAGACGCTTTCCGGTGGTCGACCATCAACGATGCCACTATGCACGCCGGATGTCCAGGGGCTCCCTTTGGCGGTGTTGGGGAATCTGGAATGGGCTATTACCATGGCAAGTACGGCTTTCTGGCCTTTACACACCTACGTACCGTGGTTGAGCTGCCTACCTATCTGGACAGGGTCCTGTCGTTTCGTTATCCGCCCTACAACACACGCAACAAGAGCTATGTTGCCGTGAAAAATACGCTTGGCTTTCGGAGGGGTGAGACAATGCACGACCAGAAGTCCGGGACATCTTGGGACCTTGTCAGCCTTATCCGACGTGGCGTTGTAATGGCGGGCATGGTTGGTTGTGTCCTGTACTGGCTGGATGACATTCAGACCGCTAAGCTGGTCGTACGTAGGAAGGTGTTGGGCCTAGCTTAGTGCTCCCCTGAAGTGGAGCGTAGCACGGTAGAACGGGAATAGCACTCCACTTACGAAGTACATAAGCAAACAAAGGCCACATATGTACATCGCCTTTGTGCCATAGCTGACACTGTGTTTCTGGAGTGTACAAAGTGTCACCTTTTTCTGACAGTGTGTAGTTCCGCTTGGTTCTCCTTTTCCCCCCGGCCCACGGGAAACTTGCAAGTCACGTCAATAGTACCGTGACAGGTCAGAGTAGACATACGGAGAAAATACAACTTTGCTAAGATCTCTTTCTGTGGTTTTCTCATATGGCCTCGTTTTGGCAAATTGACAACGATGCAGAAACAAATTGACGTCTTGCCTAGCAGTTCGACTAAGAGTGTGAGGGGAAAAGAAGGCCTGTAGTAGTCCTAAATCCTTGCTGCAGCTGGCAAAGAGCTAACACTATCGAACCAGATGTCTTTCTGCTGGAACAGATACCGCCTCATGTGGGCATCGGCTCGCATCGCCATCTCGTCCAGGCCCGCACTCTGGTCGTCTGGCTCACACTTGCGGGCATCGGTGTGACGACCTTCTACCAAGGCCATGTGAACCTGGACGTCCGCATCCGAGCAGCCGGTCTGAGTCTGGCTTTCCCTGGGGCAGGCTACATCGCCAGTGCCAACCCGATGGGACTGGTCCTGTTCATCTTGACGTGGGCGCTGGTTCCTTTTACACTTCTTGCGGTATGACGGCATCTCGTTCACGTGGGCTCGTTCTGTTCGCTGACCAGATGCTCGCCCAGTGGTTTGGTGCCGGTGCTCTCTCCGTTCCCCTGCTCCTTTGGGCCGGGTCGATTCCAGGCGCTTATCTTGCGACAGGCGACCGCATCTGGCCGAAGGCTGGTGTGGTGGCAGCAGCCCTTCTCCTGGTCCTATTTCTATATGCCAACCGAACGGCGGCCGCATCCCGGCGCCACGGTATCGAGCAGAGGACCGCTCGCAACGCCATGATCGAGAGCAGCCTCGGCGATATTGATGCACGGTTCACAGCCGCGTCTTCGCGAGGAGGTGGCCGTGAGCTGGACCTCGCCACGCTCCGACATCTGCAGCACAGCTTCGACATGGCCCTGCAGCCGCCCTCAGACTGGTCCTGGTTCACGCGGATCGACCAGTTCCAAACGTCGGCGCTGCGTTACCAGGTCTACGAGATCATGTATGCCTTGGGCACGTACCAGGGCATCTACACGCCCAACGCCCATGCTTACGTCAGCGAGGCTTTTCGCCGCATCATCGCACGGTCGCTGACACCCGACGTGCTCGGGTTCTGGAAGTGGGAGTCGCTGCTCGGCCGCTTCAGCGCCGACTTCGACCCAGTCCTCCACGACAACATCATGGTGACCGGCTTCCTGCTGCAGGGCCTGATGCTGTACACCGCCAACACGGGGGACGAGCGATACTGCCGCAAGAACAGCGTGCGCTTTCAGGTGACGAGCGACAGGACCTATGCCTACGACCTGCACTCGATCCGCGACAGCGTCCTGCATCAGTGGCAGGCGAGCCCATTCTGCCTCTTTGCCTGCGAACCCAACTGGATCTACACGCCCTGCAACTTCCAGGGCCTCACAGGCTCCCGTCTGTACGATCGCTATTTTGGGAGCTCCGGCACAGATGTTCTCATGCCTGTCTTCGAGGAGTCGCTCTGCCGCAACTTTTCCGAGACCAACGGCAGTATCCTGCCGATCCGCTCCGAACTGACCGGCTTCACCATTCCCGGCCTCTGTGGTGCCCTGGGCGATCTCACCGTCGTCATGTTCGCCCGTGGCACCATCAACCACCTCTCCCGCCGGTTCTGGGCCATCTTTCTCGGCGAGAAAGTCGTCTTTGACCGCGAGACCGGCCAGCTGTCCCTTACCGGCCTCGTCGGCGCCGACAAGATGGATGCCGGCAACTATACGCCCTCTGACTACGCCATCTACCCGCATCTGGCGCAAGCCGCTGGCGAGTACGGCGACAAAGACTTGCGGGCAGCAGCCCTGAAGAAATGCTACGACGGCTTCGGCCAGATCACCACGCCCACCGGCGCTACCTGCTTGGATCCTGCCAAGGCATCGACCGCTACGAACCTCTCGGTCCTTCGTGCTGAGCTGATGCAGGGTGGTGACTGGAGAGACCTGATCACAAAGGGCCCGCCGCCGACTGCTCTGTCTGGCCCTATCCTCTCACATGCCCCCTATCCAGGAGTCCTGATTGCAAAGGCATACTCAAACGACTCGGTCGACCTGGACATGGTTCTGTATCCATCTGGAGACAGTGGGACCTTTTCCTTGACTGTCTCGCGTCTTCAACCCGGCAAGACATACAGCTTTCCAACCGAGACAACCGTTGCCGATGAGATGGGCGATGCAACCTTTTCTGTCCTTGTCAATGGCAGGACACACGTACACTTGGTCTTGACCGACGCAGAAGATACAGAATGACTAATTTGTAACAGCTACTAGCAGTATATATGGACTAAATGCATTGTACCACCTATTCAAGGCCACTCTGGCGCATACGCTCCAAGGAAGCAGCTTCCGACATCGTATCCAAGGCGAGTTGCATCGTAGGTGGCAGCGGACAATACATACGTCAGTGTCTCCGGTGTACCGTCGTCGCCACTGAGATTGCTGACTATGTGGCTAAAGTATTCCGGCTTGAACAGCTGCGGCACCGACCCGTACATGCTCCTCAGAACCTTGCCTGTCAGTCGCGTCATGTCGTCAAAGTGGCGCGGCCCGAACTGAGGATGCAGCGCTCGAAGATGCCTCTGCACTGCCGGAGTATGAGCCCCTAGCTGAAGCAGGAACTGATTGTACTGGTTCAGAGACACGTCGACCGTGTAGGAGCCGCCCTCGGTCGCACGCCTGTCGACTGCAGCCATGATGCCGATGAGGCCGGCGAGGCCGGTCTGGTAGTCGGAGTTGGGCAGCGGCGGCACGACGGGCTCATCGAGATCGAGAAACCGGCCCATGGCCCAGGCGACGCCCGTGACGCAGTCAGAGATCTGCTGCCAGCCAGCCCGGTGAGCCCAGGGACCGTGCCAGCCGTAGCAGTTCTCGCGCACGACCACGATGCCACGACCACGCCGTCGTGCCAGCGTGTGCAGATACGCGACGCCAAAGCCGAGCCGCTCCAGTGCTCCTGGCCGGTAGCCATCGAGAACGATGTCGGCGTCAGCGACCAGTCGACGAAGCGTCTCGCGACCGTCATCGCTCTTGAGGTCCAGGCTCACGTCGCGCTTCCCGAGGTTGCCATCCACCAACAGCGGGCCCATGTCGGGCTGAGAGGCGCACGAGACACGTATCACCGTGGCGCCAAAGAGGGCCGCCAGCTTGGCGATCGTCGGCGCCGCAATGACCCGCGAGATGTCCAGCAGCTTGAGGCCGTGTAGCGGTCTAGCCGTCCTGGCCTGCTCGTCCGTTTGAACGAGTGAATACGGCACCGGTGGCAGCGTATCCTTGTCGAACTGCTGCAGCAGGTACAGCCCGTCGTCGGCCGTGGCACGACCCTGCTCGCTGGCGCGGAACTCGGCCTCCGTGTAGCAGATGCTGCCGGCCTGGCGCCAGTACTCATTCGCCTCAGCGTCGAGCCAGTCCGAGTCCAGCTTACGCATTGTGGAGATGTATGCCTGCACGATGCTGTCTTCACCCTTGGCGGTCAGGTCGCTGTCCGTCTTCGGAAGGCCTACCATGGCCAAGGATTTGTCGGCATTCATGCTGCCATGCAGATGAAAGAAGCGTCCGTCTCGAGTGGGATAGATATTGGTACAGAGACGTCGATATGGGTCTGACATCCGGCCCAGATCATACCTTTGACAGCGTGACAGAATGCTCGGATCACTGATGGGCTTTCCGGAAACACGAGCCAGAGCGCAGGACGCGAGAAACAAGCTAGCTTTGTCAGTGTTGATATGTACGTTCTGCGTCATGCCTAGGCGGTCTTTGACAATGGCGCTACCAAACGTGGCCGCGAGAGCCCACAAGGCTGAGCTTGACTCAGTGATTTTGAATGGCACCGGCAAATACGGCGTATCCACGGTGCCCAACGCATCAAAGAATGTATGGTGTGCCAGTTCAGAGACCTTGGGAGGCAGTTGGAGCCGTGCATCCGTGAGAAGGATGTCGCGAAAGATTCGCTCAGATTCCCGTCGTAGGGAGTAGTTTTCTTCAGAAGCCATTTCATACATACGCAACTTGCACAGGCAGCCTGAAGACACCAAACTTCGTCACGAGAAAAACAATTGTGTACTCGTTTATACGTGTTTTCTCCAGCCGAAAGCAGCCCTTCAGCCACACCCCGCAAATGGGGGTAATGTCAGAAAAGCATGACAAGTTGGGGCTGGATTCGGCAGCACGTGTGGAACTGGAAGTCCTTTGGTGGGGAGATCATATATAGCTTGCATGAAGGAACAAAATCACGTTCACTCATCGCAAACACAACTCAGTCAACATGGCCACAGAACAGCGCCCTGTAACGATTGCTAACACTAGCGGAGCCACAGGAGATGGACCCCTTGCACTTCGCCGTGTCGTCCGAGAAGGACCGGTCGATGTCGTGACGGCCGATTACCTGGCCGAGGTCAATATTGGTCAGTAGGTTTTTTTATGCAGTGGCACGTGACTTTAATAACCGAGGAGCAGCCTGGCTTGCCCTAGAAAAAAAGCAGGACCCGAACAAGGGCTACGAGAAAAGTTTCCTCCGGCAGCTAGATCGAGACACAGCCCATATCGTTGCGGAGAAGGGCATCAAGATCATCCACAATGGCGGGGCACTCAACCCCAAAGGTCTCGCCCACGAGGTTGAGAAGCTTCTGCAGTCGTATGACATCACGACGCTGAAAATAGCCTACGTCGAGGGTGACAATGTTATCGGGAAGCTGGAGACCCTTCAAAAGCCGGGCTATGCTCCCCATCTGGACGTCCAAGGCCGCGATCTCTCTCATGTCGAAAAGCCGGTCCTCAGCGCGAACGCTTACGTGGGAATGGGCGGCATTGTTGCTGCCCTCAAGATGGGCGCAGATATCATCATCTCAGGCCGCTGTTGTGACGCCAGTCCCGTCATGGCTGCTGCAGCCTGGTGGCGTGGCTGGAAAGAGACGGACTATGATAGGCTGTCTGGGGCGCTGCTTGCAGGCCGTAAGTTACCCTTCCATCAGCAACTAGCATTTGTGTATGCTGACCTGCAGACTGCATCGAATGCGGTTGCTATGCTACCGGGGGCAACTTTTCCGGCTTCAAGTCCATCCCGCATAACTGGAACCAGGGCTTTCCCATTGCCGATATTGCCGCTGACGGCACGTTTGATATCTCTCTCCAAGAAGGTGCCCATGGTCTCGTCAGCAGAGACACTATCACAGCCCAGCTTGTGTATGAGATTCAGGTAGCCAATCTTGCAAAAAAAAATAAGGTTCAAATTCTGGAGAGCAATTTCTCACATCAATTGATAGGGCCCGTTTTACCTCAACCCGGATGTAGTCGCAGACATTCGTGATGTCCAAATTCACCCCAAGGGGAAAAATAGGTCCGACAATCCACTCTACACTCCCCGTCTTTTCTTTTTATATGCGTACTAACCGGTTACCCCAAAGAGTCTCCGTCTCGGGCATCCATGGCACGCCACCACCGCCCACCACCAAACTGGCCATCTGCACCAGTTCCGGCTTCCAGCTAGAGTACTACATGTTTGCCGCAGGCCTGGATATTGCGGAGAAGCTCTCTGACCTCCGATCGGTTCTTGACGAGGTCGTGCCCAATCGCAAAGACTACACCGTCCTCCGAGTCGACCAGTACGGCACGCCGCAGCCAAATGCGTCTAGCCAGGCCCTGGCGACCTGCATGTTCCGCATTTTTGCCCAGGCAGAGAAGGTAGAGACCCTCAGCACGCTCCGGCAGGCTATTGGAGGCTACGGTCTCGGCGGCTTCTGTGGCCAGCACGGCTGCATGGACTTCCGCATGCTGACACCGCGGCCTTTTGTGAGCTACGAGCCGTTCCGCGTTCCTTACTCTGATGCCGAGATACGGGTGACCATGGGCAGTCGCACAGAGTCGGTCACCGTGCCACACAAGACACAGATCTTTGGTGGACAGGTCAGCTACGACTCACAAGACAATTATGCTCGGGCTTCATTTGGCACCACTGTTCCCGCGCCCTTGGGCTCCAGAGTTCATGCACGATCCGGCGACAAGGGCTCTAATGCTAATGTGGGATTCTGGGTTCTGCAAGACGACGAGTACGCTTGGCTTCGATCGTTTCTCTCTATTGAGCGACTCAAGAATCTGCTTGGCGACGACTATCATGAAAGCTACACGATTGAACGCTTCGAGATCCCCCACCTCCGTTGTGTCCATTTTCTGGTAATCGGGGTGCTGGAAGGCGGTATCAGCTCTTCGTACAAGCTCGACGGGTTGGCTAAAAGCTTTGGCGAGTTCCTCCGTACGTAAACCTACATCCTCCTGCATGACATGGCAGAGTTTCACTGACTCAAGTTGAATATAGGGTTCAGAGAGGTGGACATGCCGAAGAGTTTTCTCAATAGGGGACGGCTCTAAAACACTGGACGGGTGGGAAACGTCCCTGTTGCCACTTTACTTCAAATAGTATCTGAATAAACTTATCAACCTGACTTCACATTGTGGATTTCCCCGAGGTCACCTGACTTGACCTCGGCCGCCGAAATTACTAGATAAGACGAAGCCCTGATCTGCGCGCATACTGCGCACAGTCTGGTCTTCAATGAGTCAACCACCGAACGAAATACCATCACTAGATCTTCTGAAGGCCTTAGAGCTTACTACGATACGTGCAACCGGTCCGGACGAATATCCCACAAGGATTACCGTACGGGTCTTACACTGGTGATCACGCAGAACGTGCGTGACAGACTAGTGGTGCACGGAGTAGAAGCCACAAGGGCTTCGTCTTATCTAGTGATTTCGGCGGCCGAGGTCACCTGACTTGACCTCGGCCGCCGAAATTACTAGATAAGACGAAGCCCTGATCTGCGCGCATACTGCGCACAGTCTGGTCTTCAATGAGTCAACCACCGAACGAAATACCATCACTAGATCTTCTGAAGGCCTTAGAGCTTACTACGATACGTGCAACCGGTCCGGACGAATATCCCACAAGGATTACCGTACGGGTCTTACACTGGTGATCACGCAGAACGTGCGTGACAGACTAGTGGTGCACGGAGTAGAAGCCACAACATCATACTGCGACACAAACTATTAGTGTTGTCACGTGATATACTACTAGACGCCGAATATTGACTTACTTGATCCATATCGACTTTGGCTCCGTGTAGTGTCGCAGTGCATACTCACCTAGCTCCCTGCCGATGCCACTGCTCCCGAAGCCGCCCATGGGGACCTGAGGGCCAACTACAGCGGCACAATTGACCCCGACTGTTCCAGCTCGCAGCCTGGCACTCACTCGGAGGGCACGTTTGGTCGTTTCCGTGTAGACGGACCCTGCAAGGCCGTACTCTGTATCGTTTCCCATCGTGATGGCTTCCTCTTCCGTCTTGAATGTCTTGACGCACAGGACGGGACCAAATACTTCTTCTCGGTAGATGGGATCATCATCCTTGGGGTTCAGGAAGATAGTTGGCGCGACGTAATAGCCCGCCGTGCTCTTCTCGTCCTCGATGCCTCCAGTGATCAGCTGCGATGTATTCTGTCCAGAGCGGATGTATCTCTGAACTTTCTCGTACTGGAGCTTGTCAACCAGCGGCCCATATGTGGTGGACTTGTCCTGCGGGTCAGCGCCCAGGGTTGTCGCGATGGCCTCAAACTGGGATTTGATGCGCTTCAGGAACTCTTCAGCGATGCTTTCCTGCAGCAGCAGCCGCGATGTGGCAGCGCACACCTGCCCTGAATTTGCCGTGATGCTTAAAACACACCAGAAGAGAGCGGTGTCGAGATTGGCGTCGTCAAAGACGATGCCGGGGCTCTTGCCACCAAGTTCCAGCGTAACCCGTTTGAGGTTGCTGCGTGTGGCAGCCTCTTGGATCTTGCGCCCGGTGACGCCGGATCCGGTGAAACTGATCTTCTGGATGTCCATGTGGCTACTCAGATGCGCTCCAATCTCGCCGCCTCCAGCAAGAATCTGGAAGACGCCGGGTGGAAAGCCTGCGGCTTGGATCAGATAGCTGGCAGCCATCGTGCCAAGCGGTGACTTTTCCGACGGCTTGATCAGCACCACATTTCCGCAGGCCAGTGCAGGGGCCGATTTCCACGACAGAAAGTGCAAAGAGCCGTTCCAAGCCGTGATTCCAGCACACACGCCGAGCGGTTCGTGCCGCACAATCTTGTAGAATCCGTCGTCAGCCACGTACGCGTCTCCCTTGATCTTGTCTGCCCATCCTGCATAATCTACATAAATTAGGTTTTAGCGTCGAGAGCATGAGAAAATGAACCGGAGGACCTTTCTCACATCTGTAGACGGCTGAAACCCTGGGTATCTCAGCGACGACCTGTCCAAGCGGTCTTCCGGAGCAGATGCTCTCAAAGTACCCAATGGCTTCTGCGTATTCATCCAGAAGATCTGCAAACTTATTCAGACAAAGAGCTCGCTGTGCTCCAGAGTATGTAGCCCAGTCTCCGTTCATAGCCTTTTGGGCTTCTCCGACGGCCTGGTCAACATCTTCTGTCGAGACTCCATTTAGAGAAACAATAGAGCTGCCGTCTTTGGGATTGGAAAGCGACAGAGTAGGCCCATGGCCTTCGAAGGACTGATAAACGTCAGCCGCGCATCCATGCAGACACGATAAAGTCCCTCTACCTTGTTGCCAACAATGTGACGCGTCGGGAAGTCTCTGATGTTGAGAATTGTTCCTGCCATTGGTATAAAGTAAGACGAAACGCAGTCCGCTTTTAGTTTTGGTTGGAAATGGAAGCTCGTGTGTTTGCTTCTCTTCAAGTTGTGGCTGCTTCATCAAGAAACTTTCATTTCTCGAATCTCTCAGTCTCCACCCGATTATGTTAGTCTCCTGGAATTAGCCAGAAATATGATATGGATGGCTGTCATGTTTTTCTTACTCGGAATATTCTACAAAACCCCTCATCACCAGAATCGACTAGGTGCCATATGTCCGAGGCAAAAATGTCACAGGAACAAGTACAGAGGTAAAATGATGTTTTAAAGTTGATTTTCATGTCGGGACATTCCGCTTTTCAGGTCCAGCTATTTCCATCGAGCATTCAAAAACCAAGCATGACGGACGAAGACGTCACACAGCGGCAGAAGCTGATGAAGGCTGCTATGATACTCGAGGCAAGACGGCTCCTGCACCCCTGATCATCTCCATATTGACGTCTGCTGCAGTACAACTCCCCGTACACAATCGTGGACAACATCCCGGTGCCTGATCCGGGCCCGAACCAGATTCTTGTCCGCATCACGGCCTCGTCGCTCTGCATGAGCGATGTCATGGGCATCCGAGGCTACACGAACAGCCCATTGCCTTACTGCGGAGGCCACGAGCCAGTGGGCCTGGTAGAGCAGGTCGGCCCTGGCGTCTGTGGCTTCAAGTCTGGCGACCGCGTCGGCTTCATGCCGGCATCCCGCACATGTCAGGACTGTGCAGCCTGCCTCTCGGGCAACCACCGGTACTGTGCCGAAAAGGTGTCGGTTGGTTTCAGCGGACGCTACGGCGGGTTCTCGCAGTACTGCCTCTCGGATCCTCTGTCCACGGTCAAGGTCCCAGACGGCCTCTCGGACCAGGACGCAGCACCCTTATTCTGCGCCGGCGTCACCGCGTACGGTGCCGTAAAGAAGGCTGCCCGCAGACAGGTCGGCGGGTCCCTGGTCAACATTGTCGGCTCCGGCGGCGTGGGCCATCTGGCTATTATGTATGCCAAAGCCATGGGCTTCCGTGTGCATGCCTTTGATGTAGCTGCGGACAAGCTCGACCTGGCGCTGCAGTCGGGAGCCGATGCGGCCTTCAACTCGGCTACTACAGACCTGGCAAACGTCGAGAAGGCTGCATCAACGATTGTCATCAGTGGTGCCATCAAGGCTTATAGCTTTGCCATGAAGATCACCAACACGTGTGGTGCCGTGATTGCCGTTGGTGCGCCTCACGAGCCGTTCCCTTGCAATGGTACGGGACACCTCTTCTTATCTTCGTCTTCATAAACACTAATCAGAACAACTTGCAGTCACCGAGATGGTCTTGAGCGAACTCTCTCTCATTGCGACAAACCAAGGTACAAAGCAGGAACTCTCGGAAGCTGTGGCACTCGCTGCAGAGAAGGGAATCAAACCCGTCACCCAGACATGGCATATCGACGACATCAACGCGGCCATGGATGATATGCTGGCTGGAAAGGTGGCCGGAAGGATTGTATTTCGGATGTGGTAGAAATCATTGTGTGAACTGCATATCGTTTCATCCTACAAAGGAGTTGATATTGGAGTAGTGTTGGGGGCGCAAGACTTTATTCAACGAAAAATCGATATTCAAAGAACTTGTTAAAAGTAAACCAAATTACAACGTGACGTAAAACAAAAGAAATTGCACCAAAGCAGCGGTTGTATCCTCTAAAAAGCCCCTGTGGCGACAATGGCCTTGGCAATTCCGTCAGCACCAGCCATCACCCCCGTCCCGAACTCTTGCGCCAGGAATTTCTTCTCAAGCTGCACCGATTCCATCAGCTGCCAATCATGCGCTTCGCCGTCCTTGACGTCAAAATCAACCTTCCGTCCTGCAGCTCTGGCGACGGACACGAATCTCGAGATATTTTCCAGAAACATTTCCCCTCCTCCTGCAGATACCCACGTATACGATGGAAGAATATCTGCCAGGTCTTCCCGTCCACCCGCAAAGTCAAGGTACGTATGTACCTCAGAAATATCCGCTCCTCCTATCTCCATTGATGCCCACTGACGCAGCTTCCCGATTTCAAGAGCATCTGTGGTCGCCTTTGCAGCATAGCCTCGTTCGCTAAGAAGGCTCACCCACGGACTCATAAGGTAAAGACCCCGCCCCGGGTGTGTACGGTCACTCACTGCTGGAACCCTGGCTAGCGGACTCGCCATATGCGCCAAAAAAGAGAGACAAAGAGATCCCCCGGCCGAATCTCCTAATAAGGCCAATTTTGAAGTCGAGATACCCATTTCACCCACCAAGTACTCCCAGCATGCCACCATCTGTCGTAGCTGGCTGGGAAATGGACTCTCTGGGGCAAGAGAGTAGTCCAGAGCAAAGACAGCAACGGTCTGGCCCTCTGCCACGATTCTCTCGGCCACATGGAGAAGAAGGGTGGCGTACAAGCCCGGTTGGCCGATGACGTAACCCCCGCCGTGAGCGAACAATATGACCACATCAGCCGACGACGGCGCATTTGCGCTGTCCACGCTCTCAAACCCGGGCTTACAGAGCCATACACCACTAAGGTCCGGCCTGTCCACTTTTTCCACCAGCCGGGCGACGCGCTGGCCGTAGCGTTTGGAGGCCAGAATATGGTTGATGTCTGTGGGGCGTCGAAGAATCGAATTGGGCAGCCAACCTAGCATCCTAAGAAGTAGAAGATGTCAGAGTTGTACACAGAATTGCATTGCACTGAGAAGGTAGCGTACTTTCGCAAAAGAAAGATCTTGAATTCTTTTAACCGTGGCGTCGGTCTTGAGCGACGAAAAAATTGACCGAGGAGGAAGAAGATAGCCTGAAGCGACACGGCGCCTAGGGCTCCAAGGGTCTTGACGACATCGAGAAGCGAAATTCGTCCGAAACCAGGGTTCGGGTCATGTAGTGAAACGTGGGCCATAGCTATGGTAGTTGCTAAGCGCGGAGTGTAAGGTGATGGACAGCTCAAAACGACTATCACATAGAAGCCCAAATCCCGAGGACGGATGACAGGCGTCTGCCCTCGATCGAAATCTGAAAGGACGGATCCTTTCTTCCCCCATTATTCATCGGCATGGTTCCGCAATTTGCGCAACATGACCGGCACCGTCTGCTGGTCATAAAAGTATGACTGGGAGTAGTATATACAATTAGCTCCACTGTATAAGGTAAGGGGCCCACAACTGTAATCCCCGTGGAGAAGTGGAGAATCACACGCTCTTCGGACTCCGCTCTTATGTACTGCGCCCAAAGAAGGCATATCTGTGCAGTAGCGTACATCGTTACCAGCCAATGCATTACTCTCCAAATGACCAAAAACGGAAGAAGAGGCCCCGGACCAAGGGCTCGTTTAGACGCCCCTCTCCATAGAAGCCTGCAACAGGGCCAAGCCGGTGGCTCATGTTGGGTCTATGATGCGCAGAACGAGCCGATTATAAAGTCGAGTGCCGGCAGCCGGTTGTATGGTAAGTTACTGGATGTTGTGATGTTGTGAGCAGACCGTTCTTCTCAAGTCATTGGTAGTGTCAACCCAATTAGTAATCGAACGATGTCAGGACATAAGGACGGTGTGAATCGGGATGCCATTGGCTCAGCAGACGACAACATGAAGGAACAAACCAGGCCCGAGGCTGAAGAGGTGGAAAAAGCTGGTGCTGTAGATGGCAGCAGCTCCGAGACAGAGGACTCCGAGAACGAAGACTTTCGGATGACCTGGGCCAAGGGACTAGCCATGGCCTCGTTCCAGCTCGGCTATCTGTCCGATGTCTTTGTCCTGACCATGGCTTCCACGTTGCTGCAACAGATCAACCAGGACATTGGCCCCAGCAACGACTATGCGTGGATGGCCACGGCCCAAGTTCTCGGTGCGGCCGTCATGTCGCCGTCAGTCGGTCGGCTGAGCGATATCTTTGGTCGTCGGAACTTTCTCCTCGCCGGCAGCGTGGTCGCTGCCGTTGGCTGTGCCGTTGCAGCCACAGCCAAGCAGGTCAACACGGTCATCGGTGCCGGCGCCATCATCGGCGTCGGCAGCGCTATGCACCAGCTGGCATGGTCCTGCCTTGCCGAGCTCGTGCCCAAGAAGACCCGATTTCTCGCCCTCGGCATCTTCCAGGCCACGTTGGCCCCATCTTCGGCTTTCGCGCCCGTCATCGGTAAGACACGTCTGACTTTCTGTGCATTCTTCCTTGTTGCGTCCTGCAAGATGGAACACTGACCATCTTCTGGCAGCATACAGCTTCGTGGTGCATACAAAAGCCACCTGGCGTGGTGCATACTGGCTGCCCTTTTCTCTTGACGTTGCTGCCCTCGTGCTCGTCTTCATCTTCTACCGGCCGCAGAATCAATACATTCGCGTCCAGGGAAAGACCCAGCTGCAGCAGCTTCTGGGCCTCGACTGGGTCGGAAACTTCCTCCTCGTCTCCGGACTCGTGCTTCTTCTCATGGGCATCTCACTCGGCGGCTCGCGGTTTCCTTGGAAGTCGGCCGGAACCATTGCGCCTATCGTCATCGGCTTCATCTTGCTCATCGCTCTCGGTCTGTGGGAGACTTACGCTTCGCTAGAGTCGCCCATCTTCCCTCGCGCCGTCTTTTCCAACGTCCGCGGTTTCACCGTCATCATCATCGGCGTCTTTCTCATCGGAATGCTATACTATTCCACCGCAGTGCTATGGCCCCAGCAGATCATCTTCCTGTACACGGAGAACCTAATCACCTCCGGCTGGTATGCCTCGGCCATGGGCCTGGCAGGCTGTGTTGTCGGGCCGCTTGCAGGCTGGGCCTTTGCTAGAATAGGACATTCCCGACTGGTTCTCACGGCCACGATTGCTGTTTTGGCCGTCTGCTCTGGCGCACAGGCTATTGTCAGTCCCACATCAAACGTAGCATCCACGGTTCTTGTCGCCCTCGTTGGTATAGCCGTAGCTTCTGCTACCATTGCAACAACTACAATGATCCAAGTGGGCGTCTCTCATGAGTACATTGGCATTGCCACGGGTCTCGCCATCACCGCACGTAGCGTTGGTGGCTCAGTCGCCACGACAATCTATTCAACCGTCCTCAAGTCCCGTTTCACCACCAATCTCATCGATGACGCAGCGACTCCCTTGATACAGGCGGGTGTTGCGCCTTTATCTGTTGGTGGTATTATTGAGGCTTTGCTAGGAGGCTCGCCGGAAGCGCTTGTGGGCCTCTCGCCTGACATTATCGCCGTTGCCGAGACGGGAATCAAAAAGGCATTTGCACATGCTCTGCGAACTGTATACCTTGTTAGCATTGCGTTTGGGGTGGTTGGCGTTATTTGCGTGGCCTTTAGCGAAGATGTGAGCCATCTCATGACCAACGAAGTGGATGTTCGGCTTACGACAGAGCAACATAAAACACACAGCAAGGTTTAAAGAGGGAAATATTTGTCCCAAACTTTGGTAAATGAAACTTTGTCCCTAGTCCCATTACAGATATGTAATATTTTGTATATTGTGGTAAAAACCCATGTTTATGTGCCCGGCAATTGCATGGATTTCCTATTTTGCTTCGCTTTGACAAAATTATACCTTGTGTCTTGATGAGGTTGCGCTGACCTTAATCTAAATGACAGAGCGTCATGTGCAGAACAACCAAACAGTAGCTTAAAACTTGCATTCTGATAAATACCTAGTAAGTAAACTCTCTCACATCATTCCTTCAGAAGCGATAGAGCATGGCTTTGCTATGGAAACTGATGACCTGCCAACTGGCACGTTGTCGAGAGGTAGATGTTTTCGGGGCCTCAATATCTACCCTGGATCCCAGAACCTCTAAGCACGTTAGAATATCGGAAGCTATAGATCTTGTTCCAGTACACCCGTCGCTAACCCATGAACAATCAGAAACGCCTGTCACTGGTAGCCTTGGGCCACATGGCTGGTGCCAGCGAACTGGGTCTGTCTGTCGTATCGGTAGTTTGCGGGCCTCGCCGTTGGTGGAAATCGCGGCATGGGCGCTGTGTTGAGGACAAAATTACCAGCGACCCTGACGTCTGCCGGCGTGAAGTGTCTAGTCCTTGTCTGCGATAGCACTCTCGCCCTAGCCGCTTCCGTGGCAGCTGCCGCAGTTGCCGCAGCTTCCGCTGCTTGGGTTGCCTCCAGTATCGCCTGCTCTCTTTGTGCTGTACGCCGCGCGTCTCTTCGATCACGTCTTCCTCTTCTTCCTCTTCCAGTGTTCATCGTTGGTACTATCTGCTCTAGCGATGCCTCCATGTCACTTTCGTGTGTTGCGTATCGGGCAGAGGTCGCGTAGTGTTGTCGATGGTCATGTCGCCGATAGTGTCGATAGCAGCGGTTGTTTGTGACGCAGAAACAAACGATCATGAATATGACCACAAAAGCAACGACTCCTCCCAGAATAGCCCCGATTTCGGCTTGCGACATGCTCGATCCGCTGCTTGCGACGTGGAAGGAACGATGGAGTGTGGGTGGGCGATGAAAGAAGGACGGCTTGCCTCGTCGCTTCTGTTTGCTGGATGGGATGCAGCATATAACAGCATACAAACAAAAGCCAACATTGGGGTGAGTTGTCAGCAAAAATAATCAAATAAACAGGCATGATTCTGCGCCTAAGGGCGCAAGGCGCAAGAAATGCTGGTCGCCCTTTTGGCAGTTTGTGACCACATGGTGTCAAGAAATTAGTGGAAGAAAAAACCAGGCAATGTAGACATAACTATTTCCGGGGACGATAGGCAGGCTTGTGCACAGCGGCAACTTGCAGAACTAGACAGCAGCGAGCAGAAAGCAGCGAGCAGTGTTGTAGAAAGGCCGGCAGACTTTAGTCACATGCGGCCCATTACGGCGCCTTTGCAGCACAAGACTTCGCGATACCCACTCACACCCCCAAGCATCGTCTCACATGCGTCAACCCTGCCATTCTGCAATCGTATGCCTCAATAAAACCTGGACGCCTTCAATGATTACAGCCTTCCATTTTCAGACTATTCCCGAGCGCATTCTGCATCAGTTTCGCAGGCCTGACTCCGTACACTTTCACCCGCATAATATCTGAACCGAGGACCTTGGGCGGTGAGTGTGGGCAGAAACCGTTGCCTTTAGCGACGCGACCAGTCTACCCCGCAATCGTGGAATTTGCAATGCAGACGCGAATCACAACTACTGTCGCTCATATTTGGTCTTCGAACGGCATTTCTTTTCGAATCACCGATCTCAGGCTGTGTTTTTTTCTACTAAATATAAGACTTACAGGTTCACTCAGGTCCAGGCTGATGGCAGACTGTGTCGATCAGCCAACGCTTTGAAATCTGCTTTGAAGTTCGATGTACACCGTACGCTCTCCATTGATCAAAACCAGTCACGATATCCTTTCGAATCTTACTCGTGCACCGGCATTTTTTGGCGTCCGTCTAGCCACCGACCTATATATACATAAGGGACGTACGGTAGTACTGCCCGAAATGATCAACTACGGCAAAGCTCGCCCCGATGTCAATCATTTTCTCTTTCCTTTACGAAAAATGTTTCACTCCTTAGCAAGGAATACTTCTAACAAAGTCTATTTGCTTCAGGATAGTTCAAGCCCATTCACTGCACTCATCTCCTTCCTCGCCCCACTATCACCGATCTGCTCGCGGCGCAATCGTTCAAGCCATCCATGCCGGCTATCAAGCTGCTCGTCTCACAAAGCCCCGTCGTACTAGGGACTCTTCCGACACGCTTCATCAAGACCCAAGCATTCTCATCATCACATCACGCTGCGAAAGCCCAACTAACGACGGCCATTTTGTCCACCCTTTCGCCTCTCCACATTTGACTCACTGGTGGCGGCGAGGTCGAGAACATGCCCCAGTCCAGACAGGCCACGCGGACGTGTTTGGGTTTCGAGACTGGGGCGGTGCTGACTGCTACTGCTTCCCGGGGAGTCGCTGTCAATGATTTCGCGCATTGACCACCGCTTCTTCTTCGGCGAGAGTGATCTCCGCACATTGCGGCCGACCGACTTTGCCCAATTCCGTCCACGCCTGCGCAAGTTCGGAGACTCTGCGAGAACCTTCGCGGCATACAACATGTTTGCCTTGTGGATGTATGCCCCGACTTGATCCGCCAGGACTTCACAGTCCTCCTTAGACTTATTTGTTGCCACAATGGCAGCCGCCAAATAGTAGGCTGGGCGCCTAAAGGGTGGACCTTGGTCCTCATTGCCTCGTGTGATAAAACCTCGACGCAGCAGAGACATAAACATTTCTCCATGTCGTTCCTGGAAATCCGTTCTGCCGGATTTCCACAGACTTTCAAGAAATTCGAAAGAACGCCACATCAGGCAGGGCTCCCCGCCTGGCATGGGAAGGCGCAGTTGCCGAACTATGTCATCGGTCATCAAGGCAAAATCCCAGCGAAATTGGATCCAGCATATAATTTCTGCTGCCGGTGGGACATTGTCATCGCCACAGATCAGTCCTCTCAACGTGCCAGTAAAAAGCGGACCGTAACCTTTGTCGTCATCACCCGGGCAGGTCTCAAGGAACGCAGCAGCCAAGTCTATTGCCCTTGAATGCAACATGGCGAGTGTCACCCGATCTGTGATGTCTGAGTATGCTCCACCGGTCCGAACAATAACGTCTTCTGTAGCACTGTCCTCTGAAAGCATGGGGTTGTGGGGGTCTTGGTCTAGACGACTCGGAGCTCCCGAATAAGGACAAGATACCAGTTTGTCCCACCGGTCAGAGAAAAAGGCTAGAGGAATACCTGTCCGTTTCATCCATGCAGACTCCCAATCATCATTCTGTGCACTGAATGTCAAATGATGTGCAAAGGAAAAGCGTGTCTTAGTCCTCAGCGTGTCAACAACTTCGTGACAGAATGCATTGTATGAAAGAGTCTGTTCTTCCGTAGGTGTCTCGGGCTGTAGTGAACCAGATGTGGATAGTGACAGACACTTCAAACTCAGATCATCGGGATTCTCTGTGGCGCTGCCAGTTTCGACTAGAGGGCTCGCAACGCTAGTCAGGGTGCCGATCAGACTGCTAGCAAACACAGAGCCACAGTAGCGACCAATGCTTCCTGAGGCATTCCAGGAAATAGACTCGCTTGTTGCATCAGCAGCCGCCATGCTGGTATTGTTCAGGTCTGGGTGGACCACCCACCCGCCTGAATAGCAGGCCGATGTGATCAGAGTAACTCTTGCGCTGGGATTTAAGACGTCTTTTAGATCCTGAACCTCAAGTCCACGATGTTTGCTGTGTAGCATCATCCGGCTTGAGCCGGCTGGCGATTTCATTCTGTCCGCTTCCATACCATGACAAAACAGCATGAGAAGAAGGGGTGCATTGGTTTGGACGGCAAGTTCAGATGCGCGCTTCGCTTCCTTGATGAATTTCTCTTGCAAGTTGTCTTTGACAATAGTGACAGCTGTCAATTCTTTATTGTCCAGCAATTCATTACTCAAGACAACCTTCCGGTCTTTGAAGGGATTGCCGTGCAGATAGTTGCCGAACTTTTTCACGAGTATTCTAGGATCCTGCAGCCTTTATTAGAAAAAAAAACAAAAAAACATTGCGACCTAATTCGGAAGTAGGCCTCTACATACCACCTTAGTCAACCACACCTGGTGCTGTCCTAGGTTCTTGAAAATGTAGTTAAAAGCATAGAAATCACTTATGAACCACCCGTCTTGCTTTTGGTCGGAATCATCCAGAACCGGGCTCGTGGCCGCCACGATGATGGAATTGCTGTAGATGAAAGGGGGGCATAATGTAGCAAATGTTTCTGGAACATTGCCCGAGCGGCGTAGGTGCCCACCGGGCACCAGCTGCTGCTTGTCCAAGGTCCCTGACATTCTTCTTCAATAGCTTCGTTTATGGCAAAATTTCCAGCGATGTGAAGAAAGGCTTAGGGCGATAGATGTAGGAAATTTAAAACAGCCAGAAGACAAGAACGCCCAAGTTTCTGTGAGTCGTAAAGATACAGAAAGGTGAGAATTGAGGAAATATGGCACAGAGACGGGTTTCTTGTGATTTCGAAAAGCGTGACGTACAACGCGAAGAGTGAAAAAAGGTGAAGAGTAAAAAAAGGAAAAGGGAAAAAAAGTATCGAGGGACAAGGGCGAAAAGGGTAAAGAGAATAAGAAGAGTGAATAAGGTGAAAATTTGCAGGGACAAAGGACTCAGAGCAAGGGTAGTAACTGCCTAATAAGGCAATTGAATCACAGGTCATGGTTATTAGTCACTGCCTACCTAGCATCTGACTACTTAGTATTTCGATTCTATTGAAGTATACACAAAATTTATCACCCTTGTTCAAAACCATGTATTACACTGCCTCGACTCCCTTTTTATGTCGTAACCCCAAGAAGGGGCTATGCGATCATGGCCCAGATGCTCGTTGCCTCGTGCCGGTGTGGCTTCTACTCGGTGCACCACTAGTCTGTAAAGATGATACCTTCGCGTGATACCAGTATGAGGCCCGCACAGTAATCTCTGTGAGATATACGTCCTAGTCGTCCGCACGTCTTGTGGTAAGCTCTACCCGTGCCACGCCCCACCTAAAATGGTCACGAAAACGTGCACCACCATAGGTGGTGCTGGACAGATTTTAAATCAGACAGATTCTTAATCACCCCCCTATTTACACCAAAAACAACAAGTTTTTAAAATTCTAGATCTAATTAAATAAAAATGTAGTAACTAAACGGTTTAATATTTTAAGTAAAGTATATTTTTAAGACTGTAACTAAAACTTATTTATAGGCTTACTTATATTATAATATATAAATATAAAAGTTTTACTACTTTTTATTACTTTTATTAATAGCTTTATAAAAATATACCTTTATAATGCTTAAATTATATATATATATACTTTAAATACGTCTATAAAAAAAAATATACTCTTAAAATCAAAGACCTTTTTTATACAGCTATTTTTGTTAATTAATTATAGAATTCTTAAAAATGGTTGTTTTCGGTGTAAATGGGGGGGTGATTTAGAATCTGTCTGATTTAAAATCTGTCCAGCACCACCTATGGTGGTGCACGTTTTCGTGACCATTTTAGGTGGGGCGTGGCACGGGTAAGCCTTCAGAAGATCTAGTGATGATATTTCGTACGTGGGCACTTATAAATCTATTGCTACTCCACCGAGCAGCAATGTTTATGCCAAAAAGAAAACCGCGGATTGCATCTTTGGAGCAACTCGGGATCGAACCGAGGACCTCCAGCTCTTCAGGCTGGCGCTCTCCCATCTGAGCTATTACTCCATTTTATGAAGAAATGGGTACAAGCTAGCACTTATCTGTCCGCCACTCCACTAAGGAGCCGACTGTCTTCGAGAAATCTCAACAAGGGACAGACCTACGATTCAATATAATCGTTCAGTAACCCGTACGCCCGTACGTCTTACCTTTTTCTGTACCATAATCCGTTCTTCTGAATCCGTTCATTTTAGTAATAATTTTAACGTCAGAAGGAGAGTGAGTGCATAACGAGCATTAGCAAGCTGCAACACAGCCAGGTACAAGCTTGTCGGCGTACTCAGCATATCATGGCGCTTTCTGATTCTTGTCGAGCTACCGTCGTCATTTACCTAAGAATAAATCAATTGAGTTTAAGACAAAAATGACTCTCGGCCGGAAATGTGTCAAGCATTGGAATCCGCCACACTATGGCCCTTCCGCCCCATTTGGCCGTACGGGCCTGTAATTGGTCAGAAGGCACAAAAGCGGGGCATAGCACTAGTATTAATACGGATCCCCAGAAGGGTCGCGATGTATCTATTCTTCCTTAGTACTCCGTACACAACACTCTTTCGCCCACACTAGACCCTATTCAGCCTCCTGCTCCTCACAGTGCATCACGTTATATGACCGCTACGTATAGCCTCCTTTAACCTTCACACAAAGTTGTAAGTTTTTCCCATTTCTAGCTAGTGGCCGTCCTCAAACATTCCCTTGCATACTCCGTACTCCGTACGACTTTACGGAGTACATAATAGAATCAATCACACTTCGGGAATATTTCCACGCTACGGCACTTTAGGCTGCTGAGAGCAGCTAGAGAAAGTAAGATATATTCCATCTTTAGCCTTTATACGTCGTATGTATCTTACGTACGTCGTAGGACCATACATAGGAGCTACTTGTCACGTGCCGTAAGGCTAGCCACCTTTTCGAGGGAAATCCTCCCTCTTCGGAAGTTCTTAGACTTCTAAATGTATCGTCGTACCTATTGAAAAGCCCGGCATAGCTCTCCAACTCCTCTAATTTGTTTGCCAAGGCTTTTCTTGAAAATGTCTGCTGGGGTTTGTGCCCTTAGGCTCGTAAAGCTTCAATTCGACTGGTAAGAATCGATCATTCCTAGCCAAAACATAGTCTACCAACCATAAACTCTGTCGTAACGTCAGACCGCTGCACTTGTTTGTATCATGCCTTCTCACGACGACAATGGAGATGGTGATACGAGGCCAGTTTTCACAAGATCCGCTATTATTTTCCCGATCAACAATCGCCGGCCATTTAGGACCAGGGGCTCACCGCCACCTACAGAGTAAAGTCGTATTCGAAACTGGCGGTAAGGCCGAAATGCCGGCAATTGGTCCCCAGTTTTTACTAAAAGTGTCTTAGCGTCTAACGGGGGCAATCTACGGAGTACTCCGTATATGGGAGTGTTTGCTTCTTGCAACAATCGGAGTGTAAGCATGTGCTGTCATGGTAAATAGCTGAGTAAACTTAGCAAGCCAATGTAATATTTTAAAAAAAGGCTGAGAAAGCGTACTGTGTTCACATCGTAGCACATCGTCATCTCTCTTAGTTCCCTGTCTCGCGGTTTACCCAACTGTTTACGTCGTATTCCTACCACTCTTAATTCAGCCTGGACTTCAAACAATACCATACGACGTACGGAGTATACGTCATACCACGTACGAGTACAGCTTGGTATGCCACATCCCTGCCAAATGGCACAGAATCGTGCAGTGGCAACTCTATACGTACTCCGTAATAAATGAACTTGTACGAGGTTGTTATGGAACCAATCTTAATTTAGCAGCCAAAACTTGGTCGATACGAGCGAATGATCCCCACTGCATACGTATCACGAGATCCACTACAATTAAGATCGACACCAGAGGACACGAGCTACTATGTCGTAATCTGTCTGCCCTAAATCTTAACCCGATTAGCCGGGAACGACAATTCGCCTCCACGTCGAGTATATAGATACCATTGATGTCTTCGGTTTTTAGACAAGAAAGCATCTGGCACCGCAACCCATCCTTACAACTACTTCATCTTCCACAATAACCATATCACCCAAAGTCTTCGACTTTCCGTCAAAATGAAGTTCATCGCCGCCGCCCTTTTCTCTGCTGCCGTTGTCTCGGCCGACGCAATCTACAGCGTCACGGACTTCAACGCCGGATGCATCCCCCACAGCGTTGAGTGCAGGTAAGCAGCCTTACAGGAAGGCTTGATTGATTCCTATTCTCTAAGCTAATCTCTTTCACAGCTACTCCTTCAGCGTGGTCCATGTCAACAACGGCGAGTTTGTGCCGGTCAACTGCACGGCCTCGGCCGTCTCCGACAACACTCTGCCGGCGGTCACGGGCACCTGTGAAGAGTCTTCCCGCACCTTTGTCATCGCCCGCAACAGCACCGGCTTGACCCTGACCGTGACGCAGCCGGTTTCCGTGGTCAGCTACGAGAGTGGCTCCCACTTCATCCCCAAGGATGAGATTACCACGAAGAGTGACCAGGTCGCCACGCTCGAGATTTACGATGGCCCGACTGCCTTCACCCTGTTCGACTAAGCGTTCAACTCAAATAAGGGCTGGGTGCTGGAATGAAATGGTTGGACGCGATTCGGTTCGCGAATTATTGAACAAATCTTTGTAATCAGACTCTTGCGGTACTGCAAGGCAGACTTGTATGACAAAAGCATTTCGCCCCATTTGGAAGGCTTTTACTTCGTACCGTATTGTGAAACTGGTTTCCTACCTATCTAGACACATGTGGAGGATGGATCGAGATACGACTAGCCCAGAGTTGTGAAATAAAATGCATGGGGTGTAATTGTCGAATGAGCCAGACCAAAATGGGAGGGGCGTGCACGATTATGCAGTGTGATGAAAGAATACATGTACTGTGTGGCGCAGGGGGCTATTTAGTACGTGTTTTGACGCACGTCGGCATACCTCGGAAGTACCTAACCATAACAATACATTCTCGCTCACTGGGCACACATAATTCGTCAGTAATCGTACATTCTATTGAGTGACTATGTAGTATCTTACAAAACATAATTATGTGAGGTCTTTGTTTGGTCCATCAGTTAGACATTTAGGTACTTAAGTATACGATGATGCCATTCACTGTATTCTGTAGGACCTCTATTCCAACTACAAAATGTTGATCGATCCTGATCCAAACAAAAATGAAATAACAAGACAAAGGCGGCCACCAAAAGCCCTTAAAGCAGAAAGGCAGTCGCCATATCTATTCTCGCCTGAGCCCCTTTCCAAGGAGCTCTGACCCAACCTCTGTAATTAGTTTCTCGTCAGAAAAAGTATTTTTCTTCTGTAGTATTGTGCCTTCCGCATCTAGTGCTCTTAGAAGATCTGCAAGGTCTCCGCCTAGGTCTGCACCATAAACAAGGTGCCCCAATGCCGACAACATCCCCTTTAGCGCATCGACCGATGTCTCTTCTTGACTGATGGCCTCTACAACAGATGCTGCCAACTCAACTTGGTCCTCTTCTGATAAAGATATCCCGGTGTCTTGTCTTCTAGCGAGCTGGTTGGCCAACGCCATATTGAATAAAAGAGATGCAGCAGCAACGCGGACACTGGTGTGACTGTCATCCAAGAAGCTGGATGAAACAAGTTGTACAATCATAGCGCGGAGCTTGGCATCTTTGAATATTTCCTCAGGGAATAAGGGCGTCGAGAAAAAGTTGCATGCCATTTGCAACGTCACGAGACGAAGGGCGTAGGGACAGGCCGCATTTCCATTCACGGTGCCAAGGACACTGCATACTGTCTTATGGTCGGTCTCAGCAAAAATTCCGCTAATTCTGGGATCAGAGAGGCTGCACCGAAACAGGTCAATGACGGTGAACAGCGTTGTTGAGGGCATAGACTGAACGGAACCCTGAACAAAGCTTGACAGATGGCCTAAGTCTGGTATAATAGCAGACTCGAGACCAGACTTTGTGCGCTCTTCCAGATAATCTTTAAGAACTTTTACCTCAGATCTCTTCGAAACATCATCGCCCATCTTGCTGATGAGTTTATCTAGCGGGGGAACCTTGGCATAGATGACCGGCTTGGTGTTTGGATTAACGAAGCTTGGCAGTCGAAGTTTCTCGTGAGGATGGAGGGGATGAGCCATCTCGACGAGTAAGCGCAAGTTTCCTCGCAGCTTAGCTGGATCAGCGCCAGCCCATTCGTTTTCCTTCTGACCCTTTACGAAAGTGATAAAGGTTGGCGTAGCATGAACGGAGTACTGGCTAGCGATAATGCTCGCTTGAGGTAAAGATATGTCGACCTTGATGAGGGTAGCCTTGCCACCAAATTCCTGCGCAAGCTCCTCAAAGACAGGATATAGAACTTTGCACGGTGGACATGTGGCGGACGTAAAGAAAATCACCGCACAGGACCGTCTCGCTGCATCCAGCAACACAGATAAGTCGGCAGGGGTGGCCACATTTTTCACTGCTTGCTTCGGAGCAGGTGTCAGGCTTATCGGGACCTGCGCGCTCTGTTGGAGACCAAGAATTGAGCCGTTCTGCTGCCGGCCAGCATTGACACACTGTGTGAGTTGCGAGACAAGCATCTGCCCCATTGGCGTCTCAAGAACAGCCCGGGGCATATTAGCGATGTGTTCCGGGATGCCTTTGCCAACGAGAAAGTTGGAAAGCGTGTCACTAAAGTTGTTGCAGTTGTGGTGGAAGAGATCGTAGGCCTGATAGCCAGTCAGAATTCAGCCAGAAGTTGCAGTAGAGAATTGCTGCATGGGAGACCTCCTAACCTCAACAGTAAAAATGGGACGTAATGAATCGAGATAATCCTCAATAATATTCATAGGCAGACTCGTTGATCCAAGCCGTATCATCTCCATGGGCTTGCCGAGATGGGAAGATTCCGGCGCGATTGCAATGATGCTGCCATCATACACATATTCCCTGCCGTTGACCTCAATGGATGTGTGGTAGACGGCGTCTAGCTGAAATCCCAGCAGGCCCATAGACATCTGCCGGGCCAAACCTCTGGACAGGTCGTAGACGAGCAGATGAACATCCATGTTTACTTGTCGCCGCACGTGAGACTTTGTCTAAGGTGGTAAGATATATGGTTATACAGACGAAGAGAGAAAGCGAAACTTTCAGTCGCGATTCTCCGTAATTCTGGATGGTTCTGACCAATTAGTAAGGTTAGGTGGACACAGCTGCTACGCGGCTACGTGTACCTTTGTACCGTATGAATACACGCGTGTGAGTAGACTATACGTACTGTATGTTGGAGACCACCGATTTCTTTAAAAGTGGGCCGTGAGCCCAACGTCTCTTTACTTCTTACTAAACCCAATGAAACATTTCCGCCCAATCTAGGGATCAGTCACGAAGTCAGTCGGCAGCCAAGCAATTACCAGGATGACTTCCACAGTTTCAACGAGGCCGTCCAAATCTGTAAGACGAGTATCCAATTGGGAAGTGGCCGGTATGGCTGTATCGCGGTGCTGAAAAGGTCTTCGTAGAAAATACCGAGATGTCATACGTACGATGTGAATGATGAAGCAGTTGTCAACCATTTAGGCCCCAATTGCCCAAATTGCCGATGCTGGCTCTTGACACCATCCTGATACCCCCACACTAATGCAGAAACATTGTTAAAGGTCGCGAACTTTTTTATGGGGCCATTTTCTATGGCTTTTACTTGCGGACCCCTCTTGCGGACCCTATTTTTGCGGCTCTTACTTGCGCACCGTGCTGCGTGAATTACTCAAACAAGGCACTATGCTGCCTGGCTTCCTAGGATGCCAAGAGACGGGAAATGAAATGGGGATGTGCTTATAAGACTGCCGCTCTCCCTCAATGGCATAATATGATGCAATCGACCATCAGCCGTCGTGTTCCAACTTCAAGATCTAAAATTATGGACATCATTTTGTTTTCAGAACTTCTAAAGAAATACGAGACTGTCGAAGAGAAGAAGACAACATGCATTGACATCTTCAACTACTCTGTGAGTTTAGTTCATCCTAAACATTGCGGTGCGGATGCTCATCCCCCCTTGCGATTCCAGGATCCGACCAAAAATCAGTATGACCAACAAAAACTGAGCAAAGATGACTTTCCAAACTACGTGAAGCGAGCGGTATGTTACCTTGGGAAGACCGTGCTGTTTGAGAGTATGGCTGATCATTGTGCTCATCACCGTCACAGGGTGTTTTTGCGCCGCCAGCTCTCAAAGGTGGCCTAGAGTTTAAAAATGGCATACGATTGGTGTATGCTCTTTTGTTCACTACTGCAACAAGAAAAATCCCAACAGAGTAGCTGACTACTTCCAAAGTGTTCAGGACAAGGCAGAATGTCCACACACCTTTGGTTCGGGGCATGTGCCTTTGCAGAAAGATCACTACGAATTGATGGTCCGTGAGATGCGGCTCCCATTCCTTTGGATCGAGACTACAGCAGCAGTGGGCCCGTTTTTCTGGTGGACATATAGCCAAAGCCTCGGAATCATGCGTACGTATTGCCAAGCACTCGACACGAAGTGAAGCCAAAAAATCTGACTATGTGACCTCAGAGCTTATATTTCGAAAATCCGATGTGATGCGCAAAGATAATGTCAGCAGGGGCTGGGAAATGGCGCTGTCTTATTCTTTCGATTCAAAAATCACCTCTGGCTTTGCAAAAGGGACAGAATCGGCGGAATTGGCTGCTGTCCTTGGCCAGATGTCTGCATGTGCATCTCCTACTGCGCACCCCCTTCTCCTTCCCGTTCTAATGCTATGCAATGAAATCTCAACTAGCAACGACTTAAGGCAACGCGACTTAAGGCACGAGCTTCGCGAAGTAGAGACTGGGATAAGCAACCGTTACCCGACAAAGGAGCAACCAGGCCCAGAACAAAAAGCAAACCAAATAAATCTAGACACTCTCCACAGCCGGCTAACGGAGTGCCATTGCAATATTTTGTGGAAAAACCCCAAAGCGTGGAAAGGCGTGGCCACTGAATTAAGGAAGGCAGCGAAGCTGTTTTGGAATACTATTCCTGTTGAACAGAAAGACTTGGGGTTTGCGGCCCTCCACAAAGAGCTTCTAAACAGACTAGATTTCGTGTCAACCAAGCTGGACGGGTTGGATTGCTACAAGGACGTCTCTATCCAGAGGCTTGATCTTCAGCGCGATGTTGTATGTCCTTGTGTACTCAATATCTATAACACTGGTTGTGATGCCATCCTGACTGGTTGCAGATGAGCAGTATCATAAGCCACCGAGAGTCGAGGATCAATCTGTTGATTGCCATCCAACAGCAGCAGCTAGCTAACTCTAGCACGCGGGACAGCCTTTCCATGAAGACGCTGTCGTTTCTGGGAATGTTTTTCCTTCCAAGCACATTCTTATCCTCTTTATTTAGCATGCCGTTTTTCAGCTTCGCTTCTGGTAAGAAACTCATGCTAGCATTTGTGATATCAGATACTAACATCCGTGGCACAGATATGCATGGTTCTGTCTCGGGTAGACTTTGGATTTACTTTGTCGTCGGAATTCCGCTAACTGCCGTTATCGTTGGACTTTGGTATTTCTTTGACAGGCGGTCTCAAGCAAAATTCCAGCATGATTTTGAGATGATTGAAACCGAAATGTACAAGCTAGAGGGACGTGTTGCGGAAGACATATTCAAAAAGCGGAAGGTGAGAGTTCTGACACTAGATTCAAGCTCTTCTACAATGGAAGCAAAGTCTCCTGTCTAGTAAATGGCCTTTTGAATTGAGTATTTATGCGCTTTTTTAAAGAGGAAAACGAGCTGATCCTGTCAGAGTATTGTATTTGTAGCCAAGCGTTCGTTACTGACAGAAACTAATGTCAAGAAGGGACCGGGTTTTTAAGACCGCAAATCTGCTAATTCTATTTTTCGAACAAACGGCATATGCACGTATGAGTGGACGAGTCTTGTTCACAGCTGCAGAATTGAATATGTGAAGATGGGCATCACACGCATACCGACCATGTTATAATTGAACGAGTCGATGCCCAAGCTGCTCGAGGCTCAGCCAGTCAGTGCACGAGATTCCCACCAGATGATGCGGAAGGTGCATAGGCTGCGTAATTTCAACTTTTTCTTCGTCACCTGTCCCGTCATATCGCACACGTCAGGCTATACAGTCCAATGTAGAGAGCAACGCCAGCTGTAATCTGCGGGGAAATAGTTGCAAATAAATCAAGCCACATTAATTCGCACCGTCAGATAGGATTGGGGTCTGCCTCTGCCAACGCGAAGATATGACATGTCATCTGTCTATAATTCGTTTGCAGTGTGGTTCGACCGCAGCCACTGAAAAGTGCTTGTTTGTATGACAGTATTCTGCAGTCTGTTGATGTGTTACTTTTCAAGCCCAGGAATCCCGACTTCAAAGTACGTTCCTTCTTAACAATGCAGGGCTTTTAAATATACAAGGTAGGCACGCGCTACCGCAATCAGAAAAAAACACATGCAAACGCACATTCTACTGGTTGCCTTTGCAGGAATGCCCGTGTGACATTTTTGGCACTATATATAGGTGTCGCTGAAATTGACCAGCTGCCCTTTTTCTGTCCCGTGTTTATTTAAACTCTTTTCTGCATCTCAAAACGCGAGCATTACACATTATCCGGCTTCTAATGTCTTACGGGCAGGAAACTCTTGGTTTCGGGCCTCCGCCTGCAGACGTCCAGAGCAATACCCAGAAGACTGAAAGCCAGCCACCCCTTGTCGACCAGAAGCTAGAACGTGCTAGCAGTCTGATCGTGCCTTATTTGCTAGATAGGGTCGCAGAATACCGAGACCTCAATGTTTTGCGGCAAGCAGTCAGTTCATCAAACCTCAATAGCAGTCATGACACTAATCATCTACTCGAAAGGGATGGAACAATCCACAAGGAGATGCGTTTTTTAAGAGACAGCGACAAACCGCCGACACCTGCGATGACAAAACTGCGCATTATTTTTACGTTTTGATGAAGAATATCGCCGAAGAGCTTCAGAATGACACAAATGCGTTTGGGCTGCACCAAGGTACTGACAACGAACCGCCTCGCGTACTGGACATGTGCATGGCCCCAGGCGGCTTTCTCGAAACGGTACTAAAATATAACCCAACATCGCGCGCCCTGGCATTTAGCTTGCCTGTATCAGCCGGAGGACATGCAGTTCTTTTACCGGCCTGTTTGGGTGTGCGGACACGATTCCTCGACATCACCATGCTTGCTGAAGATATGGGCGTGGGTGGCATACCCCAAGATCATCCGGATGCGGGAAATTTCATGCCCCGACAGTTTGAGTCTACTGATGTTTTCGATCTGGCTATTTGCGATGGCCAAGTCCTTCGGACACATATACGCGCCTCCTATCGGGACAAACGAGAGGCACAAAGATTGGCGTGCTCACAACTGGCTCTCAGCCTCGAGCATCTGAGATCCGGGGGGACGATGGTGGTTCTTCTTCACAAGCTCGAGGGGTGGCACACAGTGAACCTCCTGCGGACATTTCACCAATTTTCCTCCTTGAGGCTTATGAAGCCACAAGCCGGTCATGCCAAGAGGTCATCTTTTTACATGATCGCATCTGGGGTTCAAAGCGACCATCCCGAGGCTACGAGGGCCATTGCGCATTGGAAAACACTTTGGAGAACGGCGACATTTGGCTCCGATGAAGAGTGCTGGGAGGTATTTTCAGACCGTGAACTCAGTGTGGAGCAAGTGCTGGAGCAGTTCGGGGAAGAGCTCATTCGTTTGGGAAGAGGGGTGTGGAAGGTTCAGGCAGATGCGCTGTCTCGCGCACCTTTCATACGTGGAAGAGTAGGTGTTTCTACGCCGCAAAGTCAGTCCTAGAAGCTCTTTTCACCTAGAAAGGCCTAAATTCTCCTCGTTTTGTTTTGTTCACGAGATACAACAAACTGCAGTCCATTTTCCGCTATCAGACTGTCGATATTCTCGGAGATAGGCTGCCAGAGTGCTCGACCAGTAATGTAATCCCGGGTACCGAAACTTGAGGACATAGTGTGAATAAAATATGGATAGCGATCGAGTGGTAGGAAACCGTCAGTGTACAATGCAGACGGGTCAGACTTTCGGGAGCACTGTTTCATTGCGTCGTGGTCGCCGAAAGGCTAGTAAACGGGACGTGGGAACTAGAGCGAATACGGAGCACTAGTACGCTTTTGGGTATACAAATTGCTCGATTAGGACACGTCTGCTTCCTTTTTCTTCTGGTACGCCGACCTCCCTGCATGGAGTATATCAGCAAAGTCCCCGCTCCAGCTGACTCGGTGCACCGTCTTGCTGCTTGGTAATGCGGCCGTTGAGGAAAGCCGATCATTCTAATATCGGCGACGATGACTGACTTTCAATCTGACGCTGATGGCCGCCGAGAGTCGTGTATATAAATGTCTTCCTTCTCTGTTTTCCTCTCCTGTTCTCATACTTGCGGCAACCATCCTTAAATTCAGCTTCAGAGTATTGCATACGCACAATAGGGCCATTCAGTGATCTGTGTGGCAAGCTGTTGACTAAATCCTCTTTTTTGCAATGGAATTGCCATCTACCTCTGCCGAAGCCTCTGGCTCATCCCTTGACATCGAAATGGGCTGCATTGGAAGCAATAATCTTGCAAATACAACCATGGACACGTTCAGTTGGAACAAAATAAATGTCTCGGTCAAGGACCGCACGACCAAGACACCCCTCTCCCTCCTCTCTAATGTGGCTGGTCTGGTGCGCGCGGGAGAAATGCTGGCCATCATGGGGCCCAGCGGCTCCGGAAAGACGACCCTGCTAAACGCTCTGGCCCACCGAGTGGCTGCCGCTGGCGCTACTACCACGGGCGAGATATGCGCAAACGGACAGCAGGTGACGCGCAGCAGTATTCGCGCCTTGTCGTCGTATGTCGAGCAGGAGGATGCCTTGATTGGAAGCTTGACCGTTCGTGAGACGATGATGTTTGCCGCACAGCTCTCACTACCAAGGTAGGAAGATAGACAAACTACGACCAAACCCAAGGCATGATGGAAGGAGCCACTAATTCATTCGTCTAGAAATGTCAGCAGGAAGGAGGCCTTTCACCGGGTGGACGACCTGATCGCTAGTTTTGGTCTTCAGTTGCAGGCCAATACCATTGTAGGCACTCCTTGGAGCAAAGGTCTGAGCGGTGGCCAGAAGAAACGTCTCAGTGTGGCCAGCCGTCTTGTTACCAACCCAAAGATTATGTTTCTCGACGAGCCTACAAGCGGCCTCGACTCTGCCCTCAGCCGAGAGGTGTGCAGCTACATCAAGGCCATTGGAAAGGCCAATAACGTGAGTTAAGCGTGCGTTCACGCGAGCTTCTTCTGGTACTGACCCTTTTGCAGCTCATCATCATTGCCTCTATCCACCAGCCGTCCTCGACCACATACCATCAATTTGACAAACTCTGCTTGCTATCCGGTGGCCGAACGTGCTATTTTGGTGGGACTGCAGAAGCGCCTGCGTATTTCTCGCGCATCGGCTATCCAGTTCCGTTGGACTCTAGCTCTCCAGAGCACTTCCTCGACCTCGTGAACACTGACATCGACACAACCGGAGAGATTCGGCGCCGCACAGATGGCATCTCACGTGCCTGGAACACGTCCGATCTCGCTGCCGGTCTGCAGATGGACGTTGACCACAGGGACAACGACGGTCAGAGTAGCCCTGTTCTCGACAACTACAAGGCAGACGGACCAAGACCGTGGGTGGTGCCGGTTGTGTTGCTGCACCGCTCATGGATCAAATCGTATCGCGACGTCATGGCCTACGGAATTCGCTTGGCCATGTACCTGGGTCTGGCCATACTGATGGGTACCGTCTTCCTACGTCTCCAGCCAGAACAAAAGTACATTCAGCCTTACACCAATGCCATATTCTTTGGCGGGGCCTTTATGTCATTCATGGCGGTCGCTTACGTTCCGGCCTTTCTTGAGGACCTTGGCACTTTCAAGCAGGAGCGTGCCAACGGTCTTGTCACGCCCTTGTCCTTCTTGGTGCCCAATTTTCTAATTGGCTTGCCCTTCCTCTTCTTCTTCGCACTGGTCTTCTCAATCATCGTTTACTGGCTTTCCAACTTTACTCCGAGCGGCTCTGCCTTTTTCAGATGGGTTCTCTGGCTTTTCCTCGACCTGATTGCTGCCGAGTCGCTGGTGGTTCTCGTATCGTCTATTTTCAACGTTTTTGTTCTGGCACTAGCCGTCACGGCTTTTGCCAACGGTCTTTGGATGTGTGTGGACGGATTCCTGGTGCCCATGTCAATACTGAATGTGTTTTGGAAATACGTCTTCCACTATATCGACTACCAAGCCTACGTTTTCCAGGGCATGATGGTCAATGAGTTTGAACACCGCGAGTACTGGTGTGCAAAGACAGATGGCGGCCTGTATCAGTGCAGCTACTCTAGTGATCTCAATAACGTCGGAAAGATTCGAGGCACCGACGTCCTGAAAGAACTCAGCATCCACACGGGACAGGAGGGCACTTGGATTGGTATCATGATTGGAATCATTGCGGGCTATCGGCTGTTGGCCTATCTAGTCCTGGTGATGCGCAAGTAATTGAGCTAGACTTATGTTGTGATGAGGCGAAGAGCGTTGTATTCAAAAGGAAGACAGCTATCTGAGGCTAGAGAGGAAGTCTGGGCTGAAACTCTGCACTAGAGGTGGTCCGTGCACTATCGCGCAGCATGTTGTTCTTCGGATCATTCCATTTGGATGAATATTCGGTCAATCGCAGACAGACCTTGTTGTTGATGCAGTACCGTTGAGACTGCCAGGGTTATATCTTATGTGACTACTTTCTCACACAACTGCTTGTGGTTTGCTACTGGTGTGCTTACTGGAGTGAAATTTATCGCAAAAAATGATAGATGTCTCAAGAACATGAAAATATAAGTAAAGTCTCTCTGTACGGAACATGGTCTTCCTTCCTGGTGGCCTTTCTGCAAACCAACTTCTGATACGATAATAGCACTACAATAACCGCTCTTATTGTGTGCGTATTTCAAGGCGAGATCCTTTTGGCAGTTTCTGCCTTATGCCAGATCTACCTGTTTTGTCCCTTCGATACTCGATACTGGATTCCCTTCGACTTCGCTACTTGTCTGTGAGCTTTTGCCAGACATCGGAGGCCAAAGAAACTCACGGATGGTGCCATTTTGCTTTGTGCTTTTTAGAATCGAAAACGATCTCTGAATTCTGGTGTAATTTGACGAACTCGGAGAACAGTTCGGCCGCGCCGACCGCATTTGCTTTCGCCAATGGAGAGACCCAGAAGAGGATACCATTAGTCAAAAGGAGGACAGTCAACAAGACGGGTATGGTGATGACAACGACCAGATTCAAAGCGGTGATCTCTGGCGTCCAGACAACGAACTCAGCCACGCCGGGATCCACCTGGCCCGAGGTGTTCTGAACTCTGTTGACAACCTTCATGCTGGCACCGTACGGGTATAGAGTCGTAGTGGTCAGAACATTAGTGGTGGCGACATAGGCAGCGACAACGAGCCGTTCGATATCTTGCGCGAAGCTGTTGGCATTGGCATCGATGATGGCCCCGAGGGCTGCGTTGCCGGAGATCAGATTGGAGGATCCGAGGTCTATTCCCAGCGAAACAATCATTGGCCCGGTGAGGTAATGCTCCAGGACTTTTTTCATCCCGTCGGACAGGTGAATGCCTGGAAGGGTTTCGAGATGTTCAATGCTGGCTGATTTCCCCTTGTGCGACCAGACACTGTCTTCCCAACACGACAGCGCAGGCCTTCCCGTCACGACGGCATACGCGGTGCCCGTATCGTTGGTGGGCTGCAGCTCTGTGAGATACCAAGGGTCTGTTCCAGCTGTGTAGCTTGCTTTTCCCACAGACGAGATGATTGCCGCCCAGGTGCTGTTGCTTGTGGGAAAAGAGCCGGACTGGCCGATTAGCCCGGGTAGGAAAAAGGCCATTGGCGATCCGCCAGTTAAAGGGGACGAGAGAATAGTACGGCTAGAGTTGTCGAAGGGGTGGTATATGTCCTGGTAAAAACAATTTTCGTATGCACTGTAGCCTTGATACCAGTTGTACTCGGTGAAACAAGAACCTTTGACCGAAAGGACCAGTTTGGGGTACTTCTGCAGCCCCATGTCGGCACCTGTGACATTGTAGCTATACGCAATCTGATAGACGGGTTCCTGGGTTCCGTTGAAGGTTCCTATGAGGGTTTCTTTGCTCACGCTGACGTATTTGCTCAACGAAGCAATGGAGGCTGTGGCCGTACCAAGTGCACGCAAGGCCCAGGGCACATTCAGGACGTGCGTAGCGGCAATGAGGCTGTTATCTTTCTCAGGAGTTGGGACGTATATGGCTTCCGGATTGACGGGGGCAGCAGTGCCAAGGATGACTTTTGCTGAGACCAGGATGCTCATTGCCTTTTGTCCACAGTATAGTGCAAAGACGATCAACACGATGACCGAGATAATGACGGCGCGGTTTTCTATGCTTCCACCTAACAGCTCTATACTTCGGTTCAAGACAGCGGACATGAGGTCGGACTTTGAATTCCACAGATGTGGCATCAGGGTTTTGAAGACGTCGTTGTTCACCTGATTCTTCTTGCGGTGCAACATTGTGACAATGGCGATGCCGATAAGAAGGCACCAGAACTGTGCGGCCAGCATTTCAACCATCAAGCTGTAGGCAGAGTTGATCTGCTGTGCCGCTTTTGTGGGGACAGAGTAAGCCCATTTTGGGCCAGAGGGATCGGGATAGTAAAACGCCTTCCATGTGAGCCAAGTGCCGTTAAGCTGTGGACCGGTTGTTACAACCATTGTTTTTGCCTGAGAAGGTCTTGTGTTGGGAAAAAATAGTTCTGAAGAGAGAGGACAGCAGAGGAAAATTTGAGAAAGAGAGATGGGTTGAAAAGGAAAGTCAATCCGGTGGAAAAAGGGCGAGACGACAATGCATCACAAATCACTGAGGCTCTGTCCCGTGCTGATGGTCGCATCCCAAAGGAGCAATACGGCACGCGCTGAGCAAGCTGAACGAAACTCCATGGTGATGATCGGCGATGATACATTGCTCCGACGAATAGAGGGTAAAGCATCTCACCGTGATTCGACGACACGAAACTAATAAAACATGCAGAGCCAATCGGGGTTTCAGCTTTGCCATCCAGCGTTGCCTTGTTCGTGTGATTACTATTTGGTTTTAATAATATCACTTCATATGCATGAATATTGCCAATTTCTGCAGCAGCACAGCCTCCGAGGAGACTCCTCTCCAATGAAATGCAGACATATGGATTGAATCGCCGGCTTATGCCAGCTGCGATGAACGGCACAAACAAGACAAAGTACAAACATATCTTCCTGTTAAATACCACAGTCGCTGCATCGTATCTTCCACTCAGCACAACACCAAGAAGTCCTTCTGCCATGTGCTGTTTTCTGCTCCTACACACACTTTGTTCACCATGCGCTACCAGCCGTTCTTTTCTGCCGTTCTTGTGAGCGGCCTCACGTCAGCCACTACAACTTCTCTCCCGTCTCTGTACGATGCTCTCGTGGCAGCCGGTGCTTCCAACTTTGCCGCTCGCATCCAGGCAAGTCCCAATGCGTCAGAGCTGTATAGCTCTGGTGCTATCAAGACTGTGTTCGCTCCGTCCGACCAGGCCATTGGCTCCTCGAGCTTGGCCCGGCGGGCTGACGTTAGTGAAGGAACGCTGGTGTACCAGAGCTGTCTGGTAGAAACGTATCTACAGCAAAAGACCTTGGGCGCCCAGGGTGGTGAAGTGTTGGCCATGGGATACAAATCGTCTGGTTTGGTAGACACGTCGCAAAAAATAGTAGCAGATACGCGACCTGTTAATACCACCGTGTCCAAGCGGCAAGTCTTGGGAGTCCGAGGGCCGTACCGACGCTCTGCCAATGCCACATCGCTGCTGAGAATTGAGTCTGGTCTGGGGACTGTGTCCAATGTCATTCGGGGAGACATTGCCTTTGACGGCGGGCTTATACAAGTCACCGATAGGTACGATTCCATTGTTGAAAACAAGGAATTCAAAAAAGAATACAATGCCGAGGAAGCTCACTCACATTGTTTCAGCTATTTCACTCTCCCCGAGTCGCTTTCGTCCACGGCTGCTCAGACGGGCCAAACAACATTCAATAGCCTTTCCAACAAGACCAATATCACAAGAAGTCTCGAGCAGACGCAGTCCATCACTGTGTTTCTGCCCTCCAATGAGGCCTTTGCCTTGGCTGGAAACAGAACTACGAGCACGTCCACTCTGATCTCAAATCATGCTGTCAGCGGCTTTGTCGGCTACCTTCCAGACCTCACCGACGGGCTGGTTCTGACAACGAAGACTGGCGACACCCTGACCATCAGTATCCGCAACGGCATATGGTACATTAACAACGGAGCAATCACGCAGGCAAACCTCGTATTGCAAAATGGGGTGGCTCACGTCGTTGACCAGGTACATTCCCCAATCCCTCCCACTTACTTTACTGATGGCCTGTCTAACTGTTCCAATAGGTTCTCGTGCCGACCCCTGCCAAAGCTGTAACCTCATTTGGACATCCGTCCGTCAATCTCGGGCTGTCTGCCCTCCTGTGTGTTCCTCTGATTTTACTAAGCCTGCTGTTCTAGACTTCTCCTAGAACGGGTGACGTGTAAAAGGGTGGGTTCAGCCTTTGGGGTGACGGGAGCGAGTTGCGGGATATGATTGGTAGTCTAATAGTCGTGGGGAAATGAGGGATCGTTGTAACTGCTCTTGTTTGTGCATATACGAGTCTTATGACATTCAGGCCAGCTGAATTGTATTGGTGTAATATGACTCGTCACTTGCTTTCACGAAAATTAGAGGAGTGAGTGTGTGATCAGGCTTCCGGCACAATATGATGTCGGGCGTTATTATATTTCAGCCGCATTGCAACGACGGCCTGTGGCAGTGAGACATGGCAACTCTCCACACGGCTGCGGCGAATCAGGTCTTGTAGGCTCTAATTGTGTAAACAGCTCGGTACTGCGTCGCATATGCCAAGCAAACCTTTCTTCAAAGAGGGAAAGTCTGGTTATACACGTCTTGGCAGGCCGGTTTTACCTTCTATTCTTGCAAGACTCGGAGCTGCAGTGCATGGCCTAGAAATCGGGCGTAAAAATTAGTTGACGAGCATTTCCTATTTTGTCTAGCTGTGCCACGCTTTACTTCCCGGTGTATGCATCTGTTACAAGCCAGCTAAGGGGTTCTCTCTTACGACGTTGCTCCTCGAGATGACGTGTGCCGTTATGGTGGGCTTGACTTGTAGGGGGATCTTTGGAGCTTCTGCTTTGACGTAGTAATCTTCAAAAATAGATAAAATAGAAAAACAAAAACCCGACAGCTCTGTCCGCAGCGGAGTCTTGTATCTAGGTACAATCTATCGTATTAAGGGTGCCTAGAAGTGATGTGTATAGCTATTTTACTTCCGAACTACGACGTGCATGAAATCCCCTACTAAATAGCGCTATACGCCACACAGTACGGAGACAGACGCAAGGCAATCTTCACACCCCACCCGGTAAAGTCGGGGAAGGCTGCTGGAGGCTCAGGCCCTAAGCAAAAAGCACGGTGATTTGCACCGGGCAATTATGGGGCCAAATCATTGTTTTCGAGACCCACGAGGCTCCCTTCCAAAGACAGCATGGCAGGTCGACGAAAATCATTAGCTTGCAGCATATGTTTGTATTTTGTGTTTTAGGGTACGAATCATAGCATAAAACCGTTCATGCCCCATCTTGTGCAGTAGTGTACTCAGTTGCCGCCGAGTTTCAAGTGCTGGGGTTGCGTCTTTCTTCATACCCTCCTTTAGATTCGCCAGTAGCTGTCGTGCAATGGTCTCGCCAGTATTGGTCATGACTGCGATTATGTCGGTCATAACAGACGCTATGGCCATTTGATCACTTAGCCGAAAGGTTGGAGCCAAAAGCAGGCTAGGTAGGCTTTCCCATACTGGGCGGGTGACGCGGCCAAGAACCTTCTCGCGCTTCCAACACCTCTCAGTTTACCGTTTTTGCGCGCATGCAGTTTCCCTAATCAATTTGCACATAACGACACATTGTCGAGTTGATGATGTTCCGCCATCGTAATCTAAAGGGAAGGCTACGGTAAAAAACGAATCACTTGCATGGACAATAGGGCATTGTTCCCTCCTCTAGTTCCTGATTAAAATAATGTCCATGCTATCAAGAAGTGTATGTTATCAAAGGTTGTCTGTGTAGGCTTCCCAACAAGCGATGTGAAGTAGCCATCAAAGAAAGTAGCAGGTTGCCTAGACGGTGCGACATTAGTATCGTGGCAGTATCGTGGCGGGGTGTCACTGGCTTTAGGGTATTGACATCTATGCTGTAAACGGACATGTTTCTCCAGGGGGTTAGATAAGGCGGGCTGGTCAATTGCCATATTAGGCATCTGGATAAAACTTTGATCAGGCATACCCTCCACAATTATCTGCCATCCCCGCCTGTACCTTGCGGTCGTCTCGTGCTTACGAATGTTAGCTGCAAGAAGGCTCGCGATTAGGTCTATATAGACATGTTCATCAAAGCTCTTCTCTCGAAAGAAAGTGGCTTCAAACACGCACTCATCATCTTTAGCTACTGCGTACGGAGTACTCTACGAATTTCACATGGAAGCAAATATGCTATCCTTGTACTCGTACGTAAAAGTGTGGATTTCCTGCCAGCCAGATAAGACACAGCCTAGGCCCAGGGCACAAGACAGGGCTGGTAAATAGCCTACGGTTACATTTAGCTGGCCCTTGCCTCTGGTAAGATACTTTCGGGGTAGAGCCGGTATTCCTGTGAATATACGGAGTACCGCTGTGCTAATCTTCTTGAAGGCACTCGGGAATAGACGCCACAGATGGTTAGCTCTATCCCTCACTACTATGTAGCACTTACTCTGTAGCGCGGAAAACGGATGAAAGCCGCTGACTTTGCGCTAGCCAGATGCATCCTAGTGTTTGAATGGTTGTGCAAACTACTACGTCGTATTTACAAGAATGCTTCGGCTATTGTCCAGAGTCGTATGGATGGAGGAATGCATGCCGTATCTTCCGCGTACAAGTAACCGAGAGTTTCGTATCTGTCCCACTTCCCCTCCTCGTACGGAGTACGTTAGGTCGCTATTTCGTAGTAAAATCGCTCTTCGTCGTGGTGTTATATCTTTAATCTGGTCAGGCGATTACTCTTCGCCTTCCACCATTGCCAGTATGACCGAGATGGAGGAGAATGTTAATTCAGCTGCTGAGACATCGGCCGCATTTTCGGCAGCAGCCCTAGCGGCAGTAGAGCCGGCTGCCTCTTCGCCTGCTCCTCCGGCCGCATCTCCGGCTGCTATTTCGCTTACTCCAGATCCGCCGACCCAACTCCAACTCCCACACACCTGGACGGGTCTAGAAACTCTAGAGGTACTACTTTTCTAGATAGATTTAGAAATGAGATTGGATACGATTTGACGCTCTCTAGGACGATGGTGACTCCGCGCTAGGTGAAGATATCGCCAGCTCCACGGCATCCATCACGTCAAGCATCCTGAAGTTTCGCGTACTCAATGGGCGTACGTACCACCACGAGCTTGGCGAGAATCATTACTGGTATGCCGACTGCAAAAAGACTTGATGATCATTGCTAGCACTTGGCTAACGGAAGCTCAAGGGCCCCCAACGATGACCGCCAGAATAACACGCTCGATATTGGGTAAGGCTTGGTTACCTGCTAATCATAAGATTTGAGTTTCTAACTTACCACTAGGCATCACACCTACACGCTGCTTATGGGTGGCAAACTCTTTCTCGCGCCCTTACCAGAGCATATTGATGTAGGTAATTGCAGGTTTCTAATAGAGCATCACTAACAAAGTGTTGTACAGAAAGCCGTTGATATTGGTACAGGATCGGGAATTTGGGCTATGTATGTAACCTCCCCATTTAGCACCGCATTTTATCACGAGGTCTCTTTATCACAAACGACAAACGAAGGCTAAGTAGAGACAGCGATTTCGCAGATGAACGCCCTGACACAGAGGTCGTGGGTACTGATATTTCCCCTACGCAGTCGACTTGGGTGCCTCCAAATGCATATTTGTAATCAACTCTCTCTTTGTCCTGCTGCTTCTAAACTTTTTCTTCGTTCTTACTAATGACCGGTTAGCGAAATCGAAGACTTTAATGAGCCATGGACGTTCGGCGACAACTCGGTCGACTACGTACACCTTAGATGGCTGGTTGGCTGTGTACAGGACTGGACGCAACTGTTCAAGAATGCATACAGGATTCTTAAGCCTGGTGGCTATATTGAATCCCTTGAGGTGGACGGCAGCCTCGACTCAGACGACGGCACCGTGACAAAGAAGACGGCGTTGTCCCAGTGGGGACAAATCTTTCAAGAAGGGGCACGAAAGCTTGGCTCGCTCGCTTCATTCAACCCTGTTATGGAAGGTTTACAGCGCCAAGCTCTCAAAGATGCAGGGTTTATCAACATTACGGAAACGCCATACAAGGCACGCTAACAGCCTTTATCGCCTTGCTGCCACATCTCGCTAACATGGAAATCTAGGTCCCGTTTTCTGAATGGTCGGAAGACCCGGTCCTGCACGAAGTCGGTCAGTTCACTCGTGCCGCCATTTTCAATGACATTGAGGGACTCGTCAGCGTGATGGCTACCCAGCTCGGCTGGACTCCAGAGGAGATTACCGTCTATGCTGCCCATCTGCGCCGGGAAATGCGGGGCCTTAATGTGCATGCGTATATGCACGGCTGTGTAGCTTATGCGCAGAAACCACTGGATGCGTAGTTGGCATGTACTTTCATGGATGTTTGTGTGGGAGACGATGCAAGAATATGGAAGATATCTTTGAGATTGTGCCTGTACACACCTCGTAGAAGGCAGCAGCTCAATTCGATCCATACTGGATCGGCAACACTTCCACGTGACTGCAACTGTTGGCACGTGCGTTTCAAAAAGGCCATAGCTCGTCATTGCAGCTCTTCCGCGTCCATCTCGCGGCTCGACTGCAGCGTTTCCGTCCCATCCGCAGCAATGCCTCGATCTCGGAGCAGCACGGCCACGATGACGTCGTCGTCACATGCCACCTCGCGGCCCAGCTCTCTGTCGCAGGCAGAGGCCAGGTCGCGCAACAACGGCCACGATAGCGACGAAACCCATCCTGACGACAGCCACGACAGCCACGACAGCCTCGACAACGACGATGGCGACGACGGCAGTGCGATATCGGTACCGGTAGAGACGCTGGTGGAGCACCTGCTGGCGGCACGACGGGCGCTCGGGACGATCAGCCAGGTGCTGCGCGGCAACGAGCTGGCGACACAGGCACACCAGCTGCACGCAGAAACAGTAGTGCTAGCAGCACAGACGGCATTTCTGCGACAGGGAATCCGCGACCAGGTGGACGTGCTCGTGCGAATGCGCAGCGGCATGGGGCGGGCATACGAGGTTGGGCGGCGGGAGTTCCGGCGGCTGATCCGGACGCTGGACGCGGCCAACGGACAGCTCGAGCACACAATGGCCATCTTGCGGGCGACAACGGTAGCGGCCATCTTTCGGCCGGAAGGCGAGGATCCGCGGAACCTGCTCGACTTTGTGGACGAGTCGGGCGTGGCGGCGCTGCAGAACGCGATCAAGGAGAGCATCGCCGAGCTGCAGGCTGCCCAGACGTCGTTTGATGGCGACCTCCTCCGGTTCGACACGGATCTGCGAACGCTCAACAAGACCATGGCGGCCGCCCCTACGACGCCTCCACCACTGCCACTGCTGGTCACAGCCGAGGACACAGATGGGCAGCAGGGGTCAGGGCCGACGATGCCGCATCTGCTGGCGTCGCTGACGACACGGTCACACGCCATGGCCGAGAACCTGTCGTCGCTGACGCGGCATTTTGACATGTGTGTGAAGGCAGTGCAGACGACCGAGGGCAAGTCTGCCCTAGAACGATGGCAAGCAGCGCAGTCGCAGGAGGGGGCAGAGGAGACGGAGGAGGGGGATAGCGGCCACGGCAACCACGACAACCACCCGGTCTCGATCTCGGGGGTGATTGCCGAGCAGGAAGCAGCGTCAGGACAGGGCGGCCTGACAAACCTGGAGCCGATCTCAGCACAGGAGCGGGCCGATATTCTGCAGGTGGTGATGCAGGACGCAGGCGAGGTGGATTATGCGGTGGGCGACACGGCAAATGAGCTGCACGCGGCCGAGGCCGAGTTTGCGGCCGTGCGGGCACACCACGAGCAGACGGCAGCGGCCTTTGCGGCGACGGCAGCGACACTGCGTGTGCTGGACGACGTCGGCGGGCGGCTGCCCAGCTATGCGGCAGCCGAGACGGAGTTCTCGGAACGCTGGGCCCACGAGCAGGCGGCCGTGGCCGACCGGCTCGCCGACATGGACGAGCTGCGGGCCTTTTACGAGGGCTATGCCAATGCGTATGACACGCTCATCCTCGAGGCCGAACGACGACGCAACGTCGAGGCCAAGATCCAGGCTGTCTGGCGCAAGGCCCGCGATGCTGTCGACCGTCTCGTCGTCGCCGATGCCGCCGAGCGCGAATCGTTCCGCCATGACGTCGGCGAGTACCTGCCTACCGATCTCTGGGCCGACATGGACCGCCCGCCGCGCGGCCACGACCTGTTTTCCGCTGCGGCTGCTGCTGCAGCTGCTGCTGCTGCTGTTGCTGCCACGACAACCGCGGCTGTCGGTAGCAACAAGACAATGGACGGCACAGACGAGTCCGGTCCCGACCCGTCGACCAGCAGCAACGGCCCAGGCGGAAGCAGCACCAGGACAGTGCTCGGACGCTAGATGCCGTCGCCGTCCCCTCGGCTCTGCCCTCTTCTCCTCTTTCTTCTCTTGTACGGCGCGTGGGACGGATTCGGCATGGCATGGAAACAGGCGTTTGGCACAGGGTCTCGGATCGATTAAATACAGCATGGCCGAAGACGGCCAGACGACCACAGAGCGGCATGGCATACATAGGCAGTGCGCAGGACATACACGTGCACTATGTGGCTTCAACTAGAAGCAGAAGTCCTGGACGGATTTCAGTGTTTCTGGTGTGTAGCCGTTCAATGCCATCGGCGCTTCTGCCGCTTCTCATTTCAGCTCAGTGATTTCTATGCGATGGCTGCTATTGGCTGGGCCCTTGTCTGCGCCGGCAGGACCGACAAGTCGAAGACTGGCTCTCCGTCATGCTCGTCGTCTCGCAGAGCCAGCACGTGGACTCGAGGGCGGCCGCGATTGGGCTGGAGACTACTAGGGTCGGCAGCCAATGAGCGTATCGGCATTAGCTTCGCCACAGCGCTCTCTTGGCGCCTTTTTCAGTGGGGCTCGCCGCTATCGTCGCTCATCCTTCTTGCCCAAAGCGGCCTGGCTTTTCTGTCGGCATGGCCATCAACATCGAGGCAACGCGATAAAGGCCAAGCCTACACTGCACCTCGCCCAATCAGGCCTCTGGCCAGAGACACGCTCGTGCGCAGGCTGCCGGGGTCCTATCTTGTCCAATCTGACCTACGAAAGCTCGTCTGTCATGGCTGTTTTACGCGCGCGATCAGCTTCCCTTCAGAACTGCTCCATCTGCAGGAAAAGACCTGGACGACATCAGCCCGAACATGAACATGCTCCTGGACACGGTCGGCCTTGGCCATGCTGCCTCGGCCTCTTCCTCGTGCGCGCTTCCTCGCTATGTGCCCCTCGACAGCAAGCCGGCCGGTCGACGGCTCTCGATCGACGACGCCGAAAACAACGACGGCAGCTCGGCCTCGCACGCGGTGCGTCACCGTCACAGCTGCCGTCCTCGCCAGCGGGCTGCTTCTGCTGCTGCTGCTGCTGCCGCCGCTCTCCCATCGGCCAGTAAGGCTCGCCTCATCCCGTCCTCGCGCCGCTTTTGGGCCGACTTCACCCTGGGCTTTGCAGACGGCCTGACCGTTCCTTTTGCCCTGACGGCCGGCTTGTCGTCCCTCGGCCAGACGGACACCGTTCTGTCTGCCGGCCTGGCCGAAATCAGTGCCGGCTGCATCAGCATGGGCATTGGCGGCTATCTGTCCGCGAGACAGACGTCGTCCGAGCCGGAGCCTGTTTTCCCCGACGGTGAGGAGACGGATGAGAAGAGCCCAAGGCGCCGGGAAGACGAGCATCTGGCCACTACCGTGGCCCACCGCTACCTCGAGCCTCTCGGCTTGCCGCTCGAGCTGCAGCAGCTGGTCCTCAACCACATCGCCGACCAGCCGCACGTGACCGACAGGTTGGTCGCAACAGCGCTCGACCAGGACGACGATGAGGACGACGACAACGACAACGACGATGGCGATCTCGTCTGGCCAGTGTCTGCCGGTCTGTCCGTGGCTGGCGGCTATCTGGTCGGCGGCATGCTGCCCCTGGGGCCCTACTTTTTTGTCACCAGCGTCGGCGACGGTCTGCGCTGGAGCTTCGCCGTCTGCATCCTCGCCCTCTTTCTCTTTGGCTTCGTCCGCGACTTCTGCCTCTCGGGCACCGGCGAGACTGCCCGCCAGCCGGCCATCCCATGGCGACGGCTCTGGAAGAGCACCTGCGAGGGCCTGCAGATGGTCGTTCTCGGAGGCATCGCCGCCATTGCCGCCGTATTGTGTGTACGCCTGTTGGAAGACGCCAAGAGCGGCCAGGACAGCAGCTGAACGTGTGGTGGAATCCATCCGCAAGGAAGGCCTGTGATAGTAGCGAATCGACGTCAAATACATTTCCCGCGTGCCCTTCTCAATGGTGAGCAGGCCAAGCCCCAGTGACCCATATGCAATCCTACGTATTGATGCTTCCACTGGTGCCAGCTGTACATGTCATAAATTCTTTGCATGGAAACCAATCACATGAAGTGGCACGGCACGTAATTTAAAAGTTCGCATCATTTCTAAGAATACCATGAGATAATAAAACATTAAATGCCACTGAAACTGATCATTAAGTTTCTTTTTTTGCCTGACCTGCGCGCTCCAAAAACGAACAAATAAAAAAAGCGAAAGTCCCATGCTAAGCCTAACACCATCGCCCGAACCCACCAATAATAACCGAACGTGCCCGTGTCGTGTTTGCCTATCGTATACTGCTTTTGCCAAACTGCACTGGAATAAAAAGACTTGCTGATGCAAAACGCCAGACTTTGTTTCCCTCAAGCAGACGAGAAGAACAGTGAAAAATGCGGGAAATCGAATCCCCCGGGAAAAACCCATGGGGTTGAGAAAAGCCAGTCTACAGCAAGACAGTGTTGTTGGTAGGATGTTGTGGAGAAGTTGTGAATATCATGCAAAGACCGCCGCGCATCAACCCCTAATGGCCGTTGCTGAATGGGCATCCGCGCTGTTGAAGGGGAAGCGGTCCTGCATGTGCTGAAATGCGAGATCTGCCGACGGAGAGTCCAGTGGCGAGCATACGCCGATCATCGAGCCAGGAGAGCCTGCGCTGCTGCTGCTTCTCGAGTTGGGCGCAGAAGCCATCAGCCGTGGCTCCAACTGGTACTGCCTCAAATCGGCCGATGTCGGAGGTGGAGAAAACGGCGTCTGTTGTCCCCGAATCATAAGACCACCCCAGCTCCCAGACATACTATGCCTGAGGGCCGTCGCTGGGTGCCGCTGCAGGCCGCCACCCATCAGGATTGGGCTGCCTTCAGAAGATGACGGCGGCGTCGAGTTGGCCAGGCTGGCAACCTCACCGGCAGCGCCATTAATCTGCCCAACCTGTGAGGGTGCGTCCCTTGCTTGAGAGATTTGATTTGGTACATACTGTAACAAGTAAAATGCTTGGTCAGTTTCTTTTTCCTGTTTTTGTTGCATTGGAGAGTTGAGAACGGTGGTGAGATGTTCCGCTCGAGGTACGTACGAAACAATACTTGCTGACAATCTCGTCATACGACTTGGATGCGATGCTACCCTGACCATGCGCCGCAGCTGCAGCAGCGTTGGGCGCTTGTGTAGTCTTCACGTCGCGGACCGTTGGGCCCGCAGGCACCGGCGTCACAAATCGCTCCTTCGAAGCCACCACTGGCTTTGCAGGAAGCGATGGTGGAGCAGCAGCAGAAAAGTCAAAAGTAGTTTTAGGTACCGAGACTTTCAGCTTGCGATTTGGCTTCATCGTCAGCTCACTGGAGCTGGGCAGCGAGTCCTTGGCTGCCTGCATGACAGCGCTGAGCGAAGCGCTGAAGTCGTAGCGGTTGGCGAAGGCCAGCCCGCTGGGCACTGACAAGTTGCTGCCCAGGTTGTCGCTCGGCACGTCTGACGTCGGCGCTGACGACTTTGGCGACTTCAGTCGCAGAGCAGGGAACGGCTCGCCGAGGTAATCCTGAAGAGAGCGGTCGAACATCAGATTGGCGCCGTCATTGAAGTCGTCCAGACTGGCCGGCATGGAGATGGGACGAGGAGCCGCCACGGAGGAGCTCGCCCGCCGTCTGCTGCGGGGCAGCCCGTTGGATGTCTGGAGTCCGGCCTTGCCATTGACAGGGAGCATCTTCTTCTTGAAGTCGACTTGGAAGTTGCTGCCACCGTTGTTGTCCCAGTACTCCTTGCCGCCGACGGTGTACCTAATACAGAAGAACAGCGTCTTGGACTCGAGGTGTGCCATGTCAGACAGCCTGATCGTGAAGTTGAACCTGTCGTGGCCAATGGTGGACACTCGAGGAACAATCTCGGCCGAATACTCGGCTGCAACCTCGGACGTTGTCTTCCAGTAGTCAAGCGTAAATCGGCAAACAACCTGTTTGGAAAAGGCAAGGTTGGCCACAGCCACAGAGCCGTGAAGGCACTTCTGGTCCGCCGACAACCAAACACGCTCCAGTCGAGCAGGCAACTCCATGCGGACAGCCGTCTCGGCGGGGAACTTGGTCAGCGTCATCTCCCACTCATGCACCGGGCCATGGCGCTGGCCCTGTTGCTTCTGCATCCCGATGCTGCTGTTGAAGGGGTATTCCGACTCGCTGTCGTAGGTGTCGACTGGCGAAGAGCCTGCACTGACAGCAAGCGGCCGATCGACTTGGAGGAAGTGGCGAACATGTTCCAGGTGGGAGTCGAAATGAACAGCCTTGGAGAAAGTCGGAGTCCAAGGCACACTAGAAGGTCTGCGGCCAGTGCTAAAGCGAAGGGCCGGCCGTACCAGCTCGCCCGACTTCTTTCGTACCATTGGCGGCTTGTGCATGTCCAGATCGTTCTCATCATCAGAACCGATCACCGAGCCCCCGGCCGGTGTCACTACCACGTTCGGCTCCGTTGCAGAGCGGACATGAGACACACGCCGGCCGCTGCTGCTGCCGCTGCGCTGAATCAAAGCGCTTCTCCGTGCGAGCTGATCTAGTGAGCTGGTGCTGAAGCTGAATGGCGCCAGGTCCCGGCGAGAGACCTGAGCATCGACACTTGATGTATCGCTGGGTGAGCTCTCACGGCGCTGCTTGGGCAGTTGGCTGATAGCTTCATGCAGTTGCTTCAGCTCATAGGTGTTTTCGATCTGGCGGCCACGCACACCTTCCCTCCGGTCTTCGTCATCGCTGCTGCTGTGTGGTGACTCGGGCGGAGAAAGCACGGCACCGGATGGCATACCCTGGCGCTCCCCCGTCACTGGTGGCGGCGACTGGCAGACACTCCTGCCAATGTAGATGTCATCTTGGCCGTCAGGACGGCATACGGAAACCATGCCCTTCAGATCTTCAGAGGTGTCTCGTGGGGTCGGTTGGGCAGCAGCACCAATGGTAGGAGCCGAAAGTGCCCGTTTGTGCCGTGCTAGATAAGAAGAGGAGCGGGGGAGGCTCGGACGGTTTGTGTGAACGGGTCTGCTGTCATTGAAAGAAGATCGGCGGCTCACTGTCGGTGTCGAGGCAGCGGACGAAGCGGGAGAACGTTGAGGAGGCGTGTAAGGCATTCCCGTATAATGGTTACCAAAAGCACTATTGGCTGGTTTGTGGGGATGATGATGGGGGGGGAAAAAAATTGTGCGAGAAGAATACTGCTGAAAATCGGTGTCGGCAGTATTAGAGAAATGCGAAGGTGTGGTTGGGCGTAAAGAGAAAAAGTCTTTGACTGACGTGTCAGTTTATGATGATTCGAAGTGGGAAGGTGCGATGGAGACGCCGGACAGTCGAGTCGGAAACTCACGGATTGTAGGAATGTGGAGAGAGGGGAGACGACGAATGGTACAGGCAGTTGTTCAGGCAATATTCCAGCAACTGAAGCAATGGTTCTGTGGATCACAATGGGGAAGTCGTATGAGTAAGGGGGCCAGAAGCAGACAAACCCCAGTGCGGTTGTCTGTGACAAGACCGGGTATTTGTCGCCAGCGACTGGTCTTCAAAACCCGTCCCCAAAGGAACGAAGGAGGGCGAAACAGGTAGACCGAGAGGCAGTTGGCCTACAGAAGTTGAGGATTGTGAGAGGAAGAATCCAACGCGTGCGTCTCTTATCTCTGTGACAAGAGCAGGGAAGATGGCGAGTGTATAGGTATAGGAAAGAGAAGAAGATAAAGAAGTTCCGGAGTCCTGTGGCTTGGCTTGGCCCGTTTCGACAACTGCGATGTGGGAGGACGGCGGGATGATAGTATCAACAACAAGGTTATGCTGTGAAGAGATAAAAGAGAAAAGGAAGGGGAAGAAGAAGCGGAGGGGACGAGATGGTTTTCAATGTGCAGACAACTAGGCTGTCGGATGGGGGGACCAGGGAAGGTGGTGTAGTTTTTGGTGTAAAAGACGGAAATGGTGGGTAGGAGGTGTGGATTTAGCGTGACGGAAATCGTGCGCTTACCTCTTTGACTTTTTTTTTTACTTTTTTTTGTCATCGCCGATACCGAGTTGCAGGGGGGTGTAGCCATACGCCCTAGCCGCATTTGGCTCCGTTTCAGCGCAGACAGAAACGGTACGACTGCGAGCGGCCTGTGAAAGATGACTGGAATGTAGGCTCGGAAAGCGGTGAATTTTCTCGTTCCCAGTCGTACGGCATCTGCTGAGACATTGCTGGAAAAAAATTCTCGTTCGCAGAAAGACGCCACAAAAAGGAAATAACCACAAATGAGAAGAAGGGAGGGAGAAAATATAAATAAAGAAAAAAAAACTGCGGGGGACGTTGCTGTTGGGGCCAAAACAATAAAGCTCAAAGTGAGCTGACTTGTAATTGAGCGCTATTCGTACACCAAAAGAAAGGATCAGACGTGTAGAGGCCCTCGTAAGATACGAAAAACGGACCAGCAAAGATGAAAGAAGTTCGCCGCACTGGAAACACTTGGCTGATGGAAAGCACGGCAGGCCGTATGTCGTAGCGTACTGTCTGTTGGAACTACGAGAACTCCGTACTAGCACGCTTTGGCTTAAAGCCTAGTGTGGCCCTGTTTCGACATAGCCAAAACCGGGATAGGGCCCCGGAAGAGGCATCTCGACTAAGATACTTGACCGGGCTCGTAAATGGTCGCTGAAATCGGGCGGGCACAGCAGGAAAGGCGGTTCCTCGAGCACAACTGTGCGGGTGGCCGCATGGCAGAACCCTGGCATTTATGAGTGTTATGCACCATTGTGCCGTGTCTGACTATTCTTCTCTGGTTTCATTCTATTGCGTCCCACCAGGTGGCTCTGCTTTACAACAACGTCGCCAGAATATTCGCTCGACTCGCGCCAGCCAATGCGGGAGGTAGGGCTACCATCCACAATTCGCATCCTCTTTGACTGGATGCCCAATGCGGCCCATTGGCCAGGAGTAAACAGCGGTCGCGCCACCCTGGGCCTGCCCTTCCAATGGATCTGCTCAATTACAGAGCTGCATTATCGGACGCTGCGACGCACTTTCTCCGTGGCCAATGACACCCAACAAAATCACCGCCAAAAGGCTGTGCCCAGTGCATTGGTTCACGAAAAAAGCTCATTAACTCGTTATTATTCTCGATGGCTATTTTTGCCCCCGCCAACATGGCGATCCTCTAGGGCGAAATCCTGCTCGGTATTATTTTACTGGATTTGGCAGTTGCCACTATCGGTGTGAGATTTTTCTTGTTCGTCGTGCTGCAGAATACACTCAGAAATTGCCTTGGCGTGTGTACAGCATCCGGGTATACGGATAACCTGTTTACTTGATGACCATTGTGTCAAACCCGTGTGCGTGGACGAAACCTGTCTCGCCGGTGCCAGAAATGTTTTGGCAGCACTCGTATTACGTATTGCCAAAAGAAACCATCCCCATAGTTGAATACGGGCAGTGCAAGAGAAATTACAAGGCCTTCCTTGTGCTGTGACCTGCGCCCTGCGTGCTGTGACCTGCGCATGCAGCAACTAGGGGAAGTCAGCCGGGGGTGGAGAAGGAACGAACGCTTGCAATCCTCATTGTTGCAAGTAAGACAGGTAAATTGGTGGCTCGGCACCCAATGCATATTCGTAGTGCTCCGTACTCCGTACGTTTTGTACGTATTGAGTACGAATGCTCCGTGCCTTGCCAGTATTGCGTCGTACAAATTCTACCGGTCGTGTCTGATCATTTTAGGCGAATGCAACCCCATCTCGTCATCTCAAGAGGAAAATCATTATCTTACCCGTACGGAGTACATACGAGCCATTGCAGAACATGAAACGGAAAGATTCATTACATTGTCACAGCACTAAAGAGATAAGAGCTTTGGCAGAAAAAAAGTAGTGGGGCAGAATTTTCAGCGACTCGGCGGAGGGAGAAGTCGGGGTTGACCGACAGCCCGTCTAATTGGCTTGAACGAGACGCTGCAAAAGCAGTCCAGCGTACATCGTAGAACGGGGGACTTGATTGACAGACAATCTGTGCCACACTGCGCAGCCTTCTCGCGCGTGCGAATGGAAACGCACTACTGCGGACGGAGAAACTCACTTGAATTACGTGTTTGTAACATCAACGAGAACCTCTATGGCGACATCGTCGAGTTAGAACATGATCTTAGCCTCTTCTGTAATCCTCGTATGTCGTGTCGTCTCCAAGGCACCTATGTCCTTCCAGACCTAAGCCGGCCAGTGGAGCCGGGTCTCGCTCTAAAATCTACGAGTAAAATGGGTCAGGCCATGCACGACAGGCGTACGGCACCCACCATTCAGCCGCTATTCGCTCGAGGTCTATACTCCGTACTCCTCTAATGCCGATTGTAACTGCTAAGAGAAAGCATTTGCCCCCTGAGCTTAGAACGTATCCAGTTACCTCGCGCTACTCGTACGCGTACGGAAACAGAGTGCACGAGGCTTTATCGCAAACGAGTACTTTCTGATGCATGTATGGTATTTTACTTGATAGCTTCCTGGCTTCCAACGAGCTTCGTATTGCGTGGGGGGAAACATTGTAGCTCGGTGAGTACTGCCCCCAACATGTACGGAGTATGTTTTTTTTTTTTTTTCGGAATGGCTGGCCGAAGGCGACAGGCTTTATCTGGACCCTCCCAACTTGGAAGCCCAAATAAAAAGTTCGACCTTCCCTGCCAAAAGCTAGCGTGGGTCCAAAATCAAAGCTGATAGGGCACTAGTCGGTGCACAGAGCCCGGTATGAAAAATCCTTTGCGAGTCCGAGCTGTGCCACAGATCATCGCCCCCCTTGCCTTTCCGGCGCACGCTCCCTGTAAGCTAAACGGAAGCCTCCCAACAAGTTGTGACAAGCTCCGTTGCGTCTTATCGCCTCAACAGCGGGAAGGGGGTTCCATTACGACGTCCGAGTGGCGCGGTCTGCTATCCATGGCCGTTTTGTAGAAGCGGGCCTCGTTTTAAGCTATGTACGCCTACGAGCGCGCGTCCTTGGTATATACAGCCATACAGTAATAAAGGATGCGTGGACGCCGTGCCCCTGACTGTCTCCCAGCCTCTCTCGTGGCTACTGTCAGCAAAGGCAAAATGGGAGGGCAACACCATCCATTATGAAAGAAAGAACGCCACGCAGGCTGTGTGCAAAGAAAACAAACCAGGGTTGCTGGTTTTCGTGGCTGTGGCCATACTCGTACGAAGTACCCCGTACGCGAAAATGCAGCAGTGGAGCCATCCCTTACACACACACGAGTGGAGAGGACAGAAGCTGTGCCAGTCTTTCGTTTTCGGTCTCACCCTCTGCCCCCCAAGGGGTAGTGGGCGAACAGGAACCTCGATTTTTAATTCATTAATCACCAACTGGCGTTACCGGCCAGCTGCCATGGAAGCGGTGTGCATGGTACAGCCGTTTAAAATTTGAAGATGTTAAATTCATTTGATGAAAGTACTCGTTAGATCCAAGCCAGTCCGAAGGTCCAGGTTGTCCGAGACCGGACGAGTATCTGTCCACTACGTCTTATCACTAAATATAGCGGAAGATGGAACCGCCAATAAATATTTGGAGTAGCACGCATGGGGAGAAACGCGACGAAAAATCACCGTCGTGTAATCCGTAAAAATTGGAGGCTCGGCATTATTACATACTCCGTAGTAACAGTGGCCCCCAAAATTGACAGTAATCAGATAGCCGGTACGAAGTTCCCAAGGATGGATCTCAACTGTTCCGTTTAAGGTTAACGCCGTTTCGCTGGTGGGGTTTATGATATCATGAACTTTCAACCAACGGGTTTATCAACGAAGCAGATGAGGCCATCTTACTCATTCGTACACAGAGGGACGAGAAAGAAATAGAAGGGGGGCAGAAAGAGTAAGTACTTCGGCTGTCCGGTACGCTTTGGATCGGTGATTCCTAAGAGCCCGGATGGCAGTACGGCCATCCTCTCTCATGCCATCAATGTCCGTCAGCGTTCCGGCCTTTCCGAGCTCGCTCACGAAAAGCCATGGGCAAAAGCATAGGCCACTTCATCCATGGGATCTTTCGTGCACCATGCTGCCAGTTTTTTGTGTGTCCCTCCTGCTCATCGAAGATTGATTTTCGGCTGTGGACGGCCGGTCTCCGGTATGGAACAGGTCGCCATGGCCTGGACTGTATCTTACATAGTATTTAGGAAGGCTGTGCCGATGAGATTCCGAAAACCGGTTGCATTGAAGATCAGCCTAGCATTGCGTAACGTGCGGCGAATTAAACCGTCATCAGACAAGTAGTGTATGCGTTTCATCATACAATTCTCGCGTTATTGTAACCGGCAGCACGGAAGCAAGTGGGGGTGCTGTGAGCCATAGCTGCAGTGGTATGACATGCGTAGGCCTTACTGCATCTCGTTGGCTGCTCATTCGTCTTCCTTCTTCGACGCGGGGAAGTATCTGTTAAAAAGGAGATAAGGGTAGGCCAACAAGCCCCCGCAAAGCCCCGGGTTGCAAGTAGAGCTGAGACATTGAAGGGGGGTGGGGGGCGAAAAGGGAGGGAGGTGCAAGATACGAACAGGATAGTGTGATTCTTGCCCTGACCGAGTATATCCAGACACTCGTTGCACATCCCTTCGGTGCTGCACCACTCAAATATCGCTACTACTTTCCCAACAACTCTCATCCCCGCGCGAGCAGCTCCACTGTGTCCTATTGGATGGTGCGTAGACACCATCTACGAGGTACAGAAGATCCTGTTTAGTTATGAAACTTCTCGTTTATTCTTGCCGTTTCAATGTCGCCACATACGCCGTGCGAGCATCACTGTTTCTACTCGTAGATGATGGTAGAGTGCATATTGTGTATGATATTGATATCCGACAGATAAGCTGCCGAAGGCTGCTGAATCGGCTAATGACGAGAACGGATCCATTGAGCGTCTCCGTTAGCATGCCTTGGTTTCTAGCTAACCTTCCAGCCCACTTGGAAAAAACCGTGTAAGCTGGTAGGCATAAAAATTGCGGAAGATGCACCCCCCTTGCACCCTGCAAGCTGCAGTCAGGAGGCACACCGCAGACAATTGTGCACATTGCATGTATGATACTATGTACGGAGTAGGACGAAGTGCACCGCATAACGCATGTTCCAGCTGCAGACATATTTTAGCTCGGTCTGAGAATTCTGCGCGGCCTCTTCATATGTGCAGGATGAGAAAGTTCTGTAACGATATCTGGGCGGCACAAAATGAATTGCACGACTTCTGTTCATGTCGCCTACTCCGTGCCTCGATCGCCTACCTGCGAAAGCGGTATGCTTCCTTTTTATTGTCTTAGATGCATGCAAGCGATTCCTTCGACGCACACCGATGCTCCCGTAGCAGTTGCATTGTGCTCCGATCCGCATCTCAGGATCACCTCGTATTCTATTTTTTTTTTTGGTGGTGTGTGCGCCAGAGTTGCGTGTTATTGTCGGAACGTCAAGAACGTTGAAACCAGACGGGTGAGATAAACAATGGGGGCAAGATAAGAAACGGGCAAGCAGGGGCCTTGATAAGGTCCGTTCGTGGGATATCTAAAGAGATCGGACCAGGAGCAAAAAGTTTTCGAATTGGCCAATAGAATAGGATTGACAAGCAAGCGCTTCCAGTCAGCCTTGCTACTGTGGCTTACAAATGAGAGCGAGGCTGGAATTGGACGCATCTAGGGAAAGAGGCTTGAGGTCCCACACTTGATACAGCCTTGTGCTGATCTGTCACATTTCAAAGTCTAGGATCCACATGCCCTTCCGTCTTTGTCATGACGATAGGGTAGAAAAACAAGAGACAAAAATGTTTGAAAATGCCACAGCCGGATCAGCTGCGCCACACATTGACAAACGAGGCAATCCTGCGGCACGACCACATAAGCGGTAGTCTGATGTAGGCAAAGAAACCACGCTGCTGGCCTGATCAATGTTCCAGAACCATGTTTGGAAGACTTGCCTGCATTGTGGTGTGGATATCTTTTGAAAAGGCAGGTTTGCACCGCGGCGAGTTTGGAGGAAGGATTTAGTGCGTAAATGTCATGCATTTCGTAGTTTGCGTGCGCTTTGACAACGTACTATTTACATCTATCTGTACAGCATGTAACATATGTATCTGAAAATGATAAAAAATTGGTTGTAAGATCCTGATACAAAAAGCAAGACGTAAAATCGGTATACGTATACGTTCGAGCAAAGTTGGCAAACATTTGATACGAGGTAGAGCTCGTAAAGCCCCTGCTATCTGACGTAAGAATTTCTTTCACGACGTCATGGTTCAGTACGGAGTATCGGAATAGTCAAGAAACGCGATGAAAGGGCATGTGGCAAATCTTAAGCTGGGACAGCTTCCCCGGATCGAAGTGTAATTGGAAGCCAGCAGGAGTCGTCATATGGCCAAACCAAGCCATGATCAGAGCGCCAACGCACAGTGCAAGTGTTCGCCGAGGCGTCCGGGCGGTTAGAGTTCGCGTTCTCGGCTGCTAGTTGTGAGACAAGGCTGTGCAGCGTTTACCTGCAGAAGTGCCCAAAGGACGCGCGACGGTATCGAAATGGCGCGCGATCAAGTGCGGCCACTCGTAAGATGCGCGCATTCATCAGGGCAATGGGCAGGTTTTGGGGGGCGACCGATCGATGTTTTGGCATTCGCATCGGAGTTTCTGGCGACTGAGTCCCATAAATTCGCCCCTGTCAGCCCCGTAGCATTATTTTAGGGGCGCGTACTCGTAAGACAAGACCTACTGTGTACTTGCGTGCTAGGGAAAGGTGCCCGTATAATTTACAGGGGGGTTGCCCTAACGACAGTCTACCATCGGCGGATCGTCGCCCGGGACGAGAACGGCCTACTACTCGTATGTATGAGCATCCCCACTGCCATGGGAAATGCCTGTAACCTGCACATGGAGGAGAATCGCGGCAGCGCGACAGCAAAGAGCGCGAGCACACGGCCGGAAAAATGCCGTCGTTGCCAGCCAGGGGCGAAAGCGACGGTAACTGGAATGGCTCTCCACGCAAGCCCCTATTCAGAAGGGAATAGCACGAAGCCCGCGGAGACCGGCGATACGCAGGGAGGCCGGGGGACAAAGAAGAGGCAGGGGCTATCAAGAGCCCGTCGACTACGGCGCAAAATGGCGCAGTTCGGCGGCCGCGCCTGAAAACGGCCAAGGCGCTACTACGCGTATGTAATTGTGCGAGCACGCTATTACAGGAAGGCTCTTGCTGTTTATGGCTCCGTTTCGCCGCGATCCTTCGAGCAAGTCTGCAGAGTGGATTTGAGAGTCAAGAAACGGTGAGAATGAGGCCTCAGCCCCTGGCCGCCAGTCTGTTTTAAGCCGCCCACGGCTCGTAGGCTACCGAGTACGAGAAACTAAGTACGGAGCGTTTGACCTCCCCCACTAAATGAGGAATGGTATGAAGCGTGCCGTGGCAGCATGCCACTTTTCCCAGTCGGCGCTGAACTTGGCTCGCAGCATCTGCTCTTCCTGCCGGACCCGCAGGCGGCCGGCCCAGGCGAGGGCTGAGACGGCGACGGTGGCCAGGGTCCAGGCGAGCGTGGTGGCGGAGCGATGCCAGGCCGGGGGGATCCAGCAGGCGAGCACGCCGTCGGTACGGCAGAGAAGGGCGGCGTTGCCGACGAGGAGGACCTGGACGCCGACATAACTGGGATGCTGCAGGTAGCGGTAGAGGCCGGTGGTGATCAGACGGTCCGGCTGCGCGAGGACAAAAGTAAAGCTGGTGCCAAGCGAGGCATAGCTGCAGAGACGCAGCGGGATGCCCAGACAGAGGATGAGGGCCAGCGAGAGAGTCGTGGCAGGCGACCAGGTGATGCATCCGGATGCAACAGAAGCAAGCCGGCCGCCAGGATGCCGCAGCACGGCCGGGTAGCAAAGGGCCAAGCCGGCCGTGTGCAGGGAAAGCAGGCCCAGCGGGGCAACGACGGCGTTGGTGGTGTTCTGAGAGGCCAGATGCAGCCGCTGGAGAGCATCGCCAGTTGTTGTCGGCGGTGACGCCTTGCCGACGTGCGGGGGAGAGAGTGCGACGTAGGTCCCCACGGTGGAGGCGAGCACCGTGGCTGCCAGAGCGGCCTGGCTCAGAGACGTGGCAGCCGACATGGTCAGGTCGACTCTGCCAGTCGTTTGACCCGGACAAGACGGAAAAGGGAGGGGTATGGACCGTATGGTTGAGTCAGTAAAATACGTATGACTAATAACAAGTCACGGAACAGGCAGGATGCCCTATCTGACAAATCCGGGTCTCTGCCCTGATTGGCCCGTGCGGCTGCTCAGCATCTTTCTGTCAGTTCGTCCATCTCACCACCCGAGCCTGCGACCACTACGGACAAGACACGACGCAACGGCGTCTTGTCTGGAAAGGCCTCTCCTGTTCGAAGCACAGCCAACAAGCGGTGTGCGAAGCCGCTGTCTGCTGAGTGAAGGTGAAGATGGGGAAGTTGCTTCGTCGATCATACATACGGAGTAGGAGCAGGATTTCTGTGAGGCGGGGGGGGGGGGGGGGAGGGGGGGGTCGTCTTCGCCGCCAATCACCCCCCCTCCTTTCCGCATTGGCGTGCCTTCAGCTACCCTGAAGCCCTGTGTTGCATGCCGGGGAGTCTGAGGGATTATGGGTGTGGTAATTTGAGGGGAATCGTTGGGGAGAGATGCATGGCAGCAATACGAGCCACTACTTGTCCGCTAGCCTGATCGGCCTGTTCTTCTCCGACCTCTTGGTTGTCCGGACAGATATGGATATTTTCTGCCTTCCGTCAGGCGACGGCATGCATGCCTTGCTCGCCTACAGCAGCTCGTACGAGCATCCTCACACACCGCTCGACCCGGACACGCATCCGTTTCCACAGCACATCGCTTGGCCGTCCTGTCCAGTGACCACGCCATTCCTCCGGCGAGGTGCCCTACGAGCATTCCATTCTTCTTCCAGACGCCAGGTATTCTCCCACCTGCCGGGGCTCCCTTGGGATCTCCACAGCCCCGCATACGGTCTCTGAGAAAAGTCTGGGGATCCGCCAGCGAGGCCGCCTCGCTCCAGGAGCAGAATTGGAAGACAGAACGTTCTGCCCCGTCACGGAAGCCTTTCCAACAACGGTGGCAATTCGCCCAACATCTTCGGGGCTTTGGGCAGGAGCCTTGCCGCCCGTGGCGTCTTGGCTTTTTCTTTCTCGCCGGCCAAACGCCGGCCAGGCAGGGCCAACGCCGGCCGTTTCAACCTAGTCGGTGATTGTTTGGCGTTCTGATGGCTCGATTGCGTTGGGCCCAGCCTTTCTTTCATCCCCGCACTGCTGCTCTGTCTCCCTGTCCAACGACCACCACATCCCGCCCGTTCGAGTTTTCATGGCCACCGTGTCGAGGAGGGGGCGTACATATTTGCCCCTCCTTCAACAAACTAGAGCGATCGACATGTAACCTGGCTTGACACGAACAACAGGAGCGGCCGAGCGACGTGGTCCAGATCTGTGCTATCGTATGCCTTTTTCAGCAAAGGGGGCCACTAAGACGTCCCGTAAGAGACGGCGAAAACGGCCCAGCATCGGCATCTGCTGCCAACTTTTCCCGTCTCTTGCTGCTCCTCCTAGCAAATAGCAACATAGTAGGCAGATGACCGCCAGGCGTGCCACCCTGCTAAAACCGGTATCTCAAGCCGCTCGAGTCTAATTGCGCTTTGTTGTATGTTTCTGTGTATGCCCAACCCCGCCCGATAGCTCAACACGCGTACTCTCCAGAACGGCAACGAGGGCCACCCATGAAGCTGGGCCAATGGGCACGGCCTACGCCGCCTTGACGTTGCATCGGGAATCGATACCCAGCTTCTCCCTGTGGAGTGTGGAGGGGTTGGGGCCCAGGAGCTCCCAACCTCACGGCTGCATTCACTCGTCTGATGAGAAAACTCTTCCCTACGAGACTGTGCATGTATTGCAGCCGTTGGCTGCAAATGGAAAAAGTGACACTTCTCATTATCTACCATGTTCCGACTCCGCCGACTGGAAATACGCCGATACGTGGTCTTCGCTGCCATGCTAGCTATGTGTGCCTCACACCCCTCTCGAGAAGCTCTTCCGACCGTCTCCTACCGTAATACACATACCGTCCTGGGCAAATCCTCCGCCGGGGTCGCATCGGCGCAATGCGCCACAACCAGTCTGCTCTTCAGTCGTAGCAGGTCCACTCTTTTCTGGTGGATGCAAGCAAAAAACGGGACGGCCAGGTGTTTTGCAGCCGGAATGTATTCTATATGTAGCTACCTGCTGACGACAGATGCAACTGATGCTTGAGCCAGAATCATGTGGCTTCCTCGCAGCTCTAGCTGCCTGCATGGTAGTCTCCGTCCTGATGTGCGCTTTACGAGTAGGTTGCCCTACAGTGGAATCCCCCGGATTACGCAACCGTCTCCGGGACGGGTTCCGACCGACGATCGTGCTGATGGTGCTACAGGCACGCCATTGCCGGCAATCAGAGTACTCCAACTCGTACGAGCGACGTTGACACAGCCGTTACGCCAAAGTGGCAATAGCTCCAACGTCATGATCTTCACATCGACACCGCCATATCTTGCCGCGATAGTATTGTCAACCAGAGATGTGACTGGAGATCGGCGTGCTCAGATATTCGGAGCTATCCTGATAACACCTGTTCTAGTGGTGCTGTCTGCTCAGATTGTATGACATTGTGTGATGGAGGAGGCAGACGTTGCATAATGCGACGCGGGAAGCCGTATCTATACCTAAGTGGCCAGATTGCGCACGCAAGAAATGACAGCCAAGCAAGCGTCTGGCAGAGCCAATGCGAGCAGAGCATGGATGGGTCGTAGGTGCTACTGCATCAGGTAAGATAGTATACGGGCGTAGGCGTGGAAGCAAACGGTGTCACAGAGCGACGGTAGCTATGTGGCCATGGCTGGATAACTTCATGATGGGAGCAGCTCGGGCGCTAAACGCGAATCCGAATGCCGAAGCTGACATACAGGATGCGCTATTCTGCTTTCACCTTGTTCCGTCGTAAACTGCACTTGACCGTGCACTGTCCGTACCTTGTTCCAGCCTAGCTGTGCTTCGATAGGATTCCGTTAAGAGCCTGGAGCTTTCTCACGTTATGTGTAGAGCGTAGCGTCTATCGTATAGTCTGTGCTGGAGCTAGGGGCAACTTCATGATGTTAAACCCCCCCAAGGCTACATCCTGCCTATTCCAAAATAGTGGCCCAGGACTAGGCAACCTTCGTCTTGCCGGGCTCCCTCTTGAACCCGGCCACGGACACAGGCATTGAGTGCCTGAGAAGAACCGAGCGAGAGCCCGTCGGAGTTCTTTCTCATACGGGACAGCGGATATTATCTCGGTAACCACGTGCTCCAAGATTGACAGAACTGCATGCACACTCGTACGATCACGAGGGCTCGGGACTAAAAGAGGAAAACTGGATGAGGCTGTGCGAGTAGTCACGGTTGACCCACCCGGGCCTTTGGGACATGAAAGCAAACAAGCGCCCTTGATGGCCTCAGGCCAAGCGTCTTTCAAGCAAGCAGACCCAGAGCAAGCGCTTTTTGCTCAAACTGTCGCAATAGTGCATGCCGTTAGATTATAATTCAGTTTACCAGGCCCTGTCCAGCTCAGTCCTGCTTCTCTGCTCCATGGAACAATTTTGTTTTCATGATATGATATCCACCTTGATGATAGATCTAGCCAACAATAATATTACCAACTTCACAAGATGCTCGCCCCAATATATTATTTCCTAAATGTGCTTTCTAGACTACATAGCAACTACGTATAGCTACAGCATGTACGTTGGTTTTTAAAAAGGCAGAAAATTGGCATTCGAGATCAAATTATCATAGCCCGTTTGAACTAAGTATATAGAGATGCGTATAGATGCTAGCGTGGAAAATGCTCGAGAACATGTTTCAGAGAAGACGGCAGTGTGCTTTCCAGCTCCTGGCTGATCCGGTACAGTCTGGTTTTATTGCGAGTCGTGTGCATTTACGAGGTTGGAGCGGTACACCAGATAGACAAACTTGAGGATGGCGGTGTCCAACCTTATGCACGAGGCGCCTCTCTTGCAGTGCAAAGGATCCCATCTTTCTCTAGCCTTGACACTCTACGGACAACTTTGCCATGCTACTATAACTTTTCTGCGTAGGCACATTTACGACAAAGAGTTCGAGGTGCACCATGAAACGATACTTTTGGAATGATGGCTACTAATTCTACGCGTGTGATAGAGTATTTACCGCTGAATATACAAGCTTCCTTAGATTGCAAAGCATATATCGTGAGCAACATCGGAAGCTGTGATATAACGCCGCGACGTCAATCACCCTGCTATGTTCTAATAGTGAAAGTATTGCGTTCCGATATAAGTTTTCAATAAGATGATTGTAGACTATAAGATGAAGCCCAACACTACGACAAGCAATACGAACCAGATGCGAGTGCTACTTCCTCCTTGTCCACGTACAAATAGTGACCACCGAAGCCACCGCGGATATCAATTCAAGTGGCCTACAATCCAATCTCTCGCGTGCGCTGCCCGCAGTGATAACGCTGGTCATGCGGCAGCAATACGGCCAACAGGCGGTCGAGGTGCTGAACAAGGCCGGCGACCGATTTCGGCCAGAGACTCTGGAGCCGGGATGCTTAGTAGATAGCCTCAGCGTTGCCATCCGCTTTGTTTGTCAGCCACCCTATCGGAACAAACGTCTTGCAACGCGTATCCTCACATGTAACACTCGCCAACCTACCGAAACACGGGCTGAAACTGCTGTCAGACACTAACAATGCAAGTTCAAGACTCTTTTTCAATGTACCTTTACGTACAAAATAATATACAGTTGAGTGCAACATATCAATATATTTATAAAAAATCAGCAGCCCCAGCTTAGCTAGGGAGACCCAGTCAAGCAACCCAAGCTCCATCTATCTCCACTCTAATAGTAGTCTGCTGCCCATGCTCGCAAGAAAAACGTACATCCCTCCCAGTGCCACAGCCGGAGCAGGCAGGCCAGCACAGCCGTCAGCCCGCGTCCGACTGCGACCCGGTTCATTTTTATTAGCCGGCTGTTTAGGAGTCGTTCTCCAGAAGAGCACGCTTTGCCCAGCGCATGCTGTTGGACAGAAGGTCCCGTGCGTTGTTGTTCTTGCCCTTCTTGGTGCCCGTGCTGGTCGCCGAGGAGCCCTTTGTCTTGGAAGCCTTGGCAGAAGATGATGTCGTGGTGGCGGCCTTTGGTATGTTAGCAAATGTGTTTGCAGATCTCGGGTTGGGAAAGGGCTATCTTACAGCGGCAGTGGCATCGGTCTGCTGGACGGCGAAGCAGCCGCCAAAGGGACCGGCAGCAGCGTTGTTGCGGCAGCGAACAGTGCACACATTTCCGGTAGAGCCACCGCTGCAGTTCAGCGTCGAGGGCATGGTGACGGTGATGTTGAAATCCTGCTCCTTGGCCAGCGACAGACCGTTTGTGCCGGGGATGTTGTTTGCCACGGTCAGGTTGTGAGACATGACGCCAGAGTCGCTGGCCTCGTCGAGATCGCAGCTGTAGGGGCCAGCGCCGTCGGCGTTGACCTGGTGGATGGTGATGGTGAGCTGAGAGCCGGCAGCGACCGACGTGACAGCACCAGAGCTGATGGCGTCTTCGGTGCTGGTCTTGACGTCAATGTTGCCCGTCAGCTCAGTCCGGCCACACTCGGTGACGGTGCCGGCAGCAATCTCGGCATCGCGGATCAGCGTCGTGTCCTGCTGGCACGGCGAGATGGTCGTGCAGTTGCGCGGGAGGGCGTTGTTGACTGGAAGACCGCGTTAGCATCGATTCGGCCAATTTTATCTGGCATACATCACGTACCCTGGAAGCCAACACTGGCGGGCGAACCCGCATCACCCTGAGCAGCGAGGATAACACCGTGTGCGCTCACGCCAGCCAGGAAGGCGGCAACAGACATAAGAGTAGCGGAGTGCATTTTCGTTTTTGTTGGGGGGGAAATAAAAATAAAAAAGGACCGGCCTAGGATATAGAAAGAGCGAAAAGGGTTAAGAGCTGCTGAGAAGGGAAAAGAAAAGATCGTCAAGACCTGTGAAGAAACGAAAATGAAAGTGATGCAAAAACAAAGAATCAACTTCAAGTGATGATGTGCAATGATCTTTTCGAAATGGACGTAGATGAGACGGCCGGCAGACTATATACCTCCTCGCCCATCCTACTTGTGTCTGTGCACAATCCGACGAAGACCACGGGCATGGCACACGTAATGCCGGCATCCTTGAGACAGGAGCAGCGATGGTGGAGCAGGAGAAAATAGCATATTCTACAATGTACCCCCTCGAGGGATAGGGGAGCTGTTGGAAACATCCTAGCCGGCCGAACTGGCAGAATAGGCAAAATAGAGCTCCGTGTTGTTGCTGAGGCTGGACCCAGTTATGCATGACAGGGCCTTCTGAGTGGCCAGCCTCGATCCGCCGCCCGATACGATGCCAGATAGGAAGGTATCTGACTTAGCAGCGTCTGGCTGCAAACAGAGGGGGTCGGAGATTTTGCCTTTTTCCCCACCAGGGGTGGCCCAGCCTCAGAGGCCGGCCCCCTGTTCTTACTTGGCAGGCAAAACGACGCCAAGGGAGATTTGGCACAGCAATGGATCTGAGGGTACGGAGCACTCCGTACGGTTAAAACCGTAAATGGGAGGGAAGGATTCTGCAGAAACAATGGAGCGCGGCTACGGAGAGTGTCCGCAGCCCGAGAGAGTAAAAATATTGCCTGGCGATGTCACTGCCATGGCGAAGCGAAATTGGGGCGGATGAATGTAGTCAATTGGGAAAGACGACCGATCTGCTTCAGCTTTTCGTGTGCATGGCCAGCTCGGGAGAGAACTGACTGGTGATGCTGTTTTTAGCCCGAGATCTGGCATTTTCTTTTTCATTCATTCATTCTAGCATTCTTCTTTTCTCTTTTCACTCTTCTTTCTCTTACTGCACACTCCTGTCTTCACCTACTTGCACAATGTGAAAGGGTTTGTCCCCTTCATTGCATTCCCTTTTGAGATCGACGAAACCAAACCAGGTGTCAGAGAGCCAGGCTAGCAGGGGTTGTCTCCAGCACTTTGCTGCAATGCGGCAGCTGCAGCGCTATCTCTTTGCTATGTAAAAGACTTACCGGTTCCAGCGTCGCAGCCAGAGCCACTCGGCGTGGGCCGACTTCCTTTCGGCGACATTAGGGCCCGCAGGAGCCGTTGAGGACAAAAACGAGCCAATAATTTTCCACTTTGCGAAACGGCCGGCCAGCCGTTGCTGCTTCAGTCGGGCCTCCTCGCCTCCAGCGCTTCTTTTTGCGTTTCAGTCCGCCAGGCCTGTGCCATGGACGTCTGGGAAAGAAGAAACCCACGGCGTTTCATTCCCCGTCATCTGCCCCGTGCTTTGTAAAGAGATACGAGCGCGCATCGTCGCGAATTTCAGGCCACCGACCTTTTCCCCCTTTTTTCTACCCATCTCAGCGGGCCTTGCAGGCCTTCGACGATGGAGCTTGGATACATCGGACACCTCGCCCGACAGCTCTAATTTCGGCATACGGATTGCCTTCCTATGGCAGCTTTATTTGCTCTCCGCATGTACCGATCTACGGAATAGATGGCAATACGAGTACGGATTTAGCCTTCCCCTATTATGCTTCTCGACAGCGGGATCTACGGAGTAAAGCCAAATGAGATCGTCCAGGCCTGAGCTAAGCAATGATCCCTCGTTTCTGAAGCTATGAAACCCACCCACTTGGCAGCAGCTGAGATCGCGGTCTCGAATATCTTTACTAAGCCATGTATAGCATCTTGCAAATACAACATTTTCTCCAACGGCAAATTGGACTTGCACATAATATCTCCACATCAAACTACTCAACCAAGTCCTCGTTCAGCATGTCGTCTGCATATGTGTTCTGTCAACACATATGGAGTACGAAGAACTCCGTACAGAGTGCAGCCAAAACAAGCAGACGGAAACCACGTGACTACCACTAACAGACGAGCATCTCCAGTCTTATGCATGACAGGTTCAATTACTATGTGCATACCCAAACAACAGCGCCTTCACGCCAATATAACCCTAATCGCCTTTTTTGTATCCCAGCCTTTAGACTTGTCGTCCAGGATGTCCTCAGAAGTCTAGTGCCGCCGTCTTGCTCGGGTACTCAACCATCTGCTTCATCTTCTTCTGCGGCTGCTTGGCCACCTTGAGCGGCTGCCGGACAACGCGGCCACGCTTGCGCTTGTCGCCCGCCTTGGTCTTGCTCTTCTTCTTTGTGGCGCTGTCTTCCGAGTCGTCCTCATCCTCGTCCTCGTCCTCATCGTCCTCATCCTCATCATCGCTGCCGCTGTCGTCGCCGTAGCCGTCGCCGATCCAATCCTCGATATCGCCGAGGTCGTCCTCGCTCTCGTCCACGTCGCTGACGTACTCCACGTCGCCCAGCAGGTCATCTTCGTCTCCATTCTGCACAGCCAGCTTGTTCGTCGCCTTTGACTTTGCCTTGCCCTCCAGCTCGTAGTCAAGCTCCTCTTCCTCTTCGTCCTCGTACTCCTCGTCCTCCTCTTCCGAGTCGACGCCCTTGTCCATGTCCTTGTCCCGGACCGCACCACCTTCCCGCTCCATCGCCACGAGGACCTTCTTCCAGATGGTCTCGCTCACGTTGAGCGGCTGGTGGCCGTAGGTGCCAGACCGCAGCCGCTCCAGCAGCTCGCGCTCAATCGTCTTCTCTAGCTGCGCCGCTGCCTCCGCCTTGCGCTCACGCGCCTTCTCGCGGTGCCGGACCTTGGGCGCCAACTTCGGCACCAGCCGCTCACCCAACCGCTCTTCTTCCTTGGCAATACGGCGCATGCGGATTGCCACCTGTGTCAGCCGCGTCAGACGCTGCTTGCACTTGTGTGTCATGAACTTGGGCCAGTAGATGAGCCGGGTGTCGATCTGCGATAGCGCCTCGGCATAGTTCTGAGACAACCGTATCCGTTCCCACAGCTTCGAAGGCAGATGCGCCCGCTCCACCGTCTTCATGTAGAGGTATATCCGGCCGGCTAGCAAGAAAGAGCGGCTGTTAGATGCTTGATAAGATGGAAGACACCGGGGCTGGAGAGAAAAAAAACACACATTCAGGATCCGCTCGGACGGTGGCATATCGAGAGTTGGCAAGCGGGCAGGACTGCCGCGAGCAGATACCGGTAACATCTGGGAACGGCCTGTTAGTCGGGGAAAAAGCACAGCAGGATCGAAGTTTGATATGTGCAGCGTAGACGTACTGAATTCATTGTGGCAGAAACCCTGACCACTTGGAGCTCTAAAATGGGAAAGGAATATCAATTAGCATTCGGATTTCGTCCATCCGTTTTGCGGCGGAAAGCGAAACGCACTTGAGCTTGTACGAGCAGAACTGCTTGTCAATAATGCCCCAGATGATCTCGTCGGACGCCATGGCTGTGGAGTGCCCCCAATTGTCGGGTGTAGTGCTGTCCTGAAGGTAGAAGCAAAGCGAGATGGCAGATAGATGCCTTGCAAATTTCCACGCAAAAAAAATATGGGCCTGCAGAAAAAATGTTAACAAAAATTGGCGGTAACATATTTTGCCGGGCGGTGACACATGTTAGCGTGGGACATGAGGCCAATCGCGAACACTTACCTGGTAGCAGCTGGGCATTTCCAATATTCTGTTATGTGATTGGCAGGATGATAGAGACGCTCCAACAGACTGAAAGGACCGGGAGAAAAGTCATCATCACAAACCATGAGTATTCAAAGTTCAGCGAGTCTAAGCAAATGAAGACAATCCAATTTATCTACAAGTCCCCAAAATAGCTCAACTCAGTCGGGGTAGCCTGTACTGTTTTGAAAGATATGCATAAATACAATGCGCCTTCGTCTCTCAGAATCTTGGTTCTCGTCTGAACTGTATTGTATGAAGACATACTAATATACCTCACTCTGCACAACGCCTTGAAATGCGTGATTGGCCTTGCGTTGAAGACTCTGTCCCAACATGTTTGATTCTCATATTACTTGTGAACTATTGCAAGTCCTAACTCTCAGACTGTCAACATACTAGCAAGCAAATCCATGATTATCCAAGATTTTTAATGGCCTATAGCATAGGTCTGCAATTGCGTCATGGAACAAAACTAGTCCGAATGCTACTCACAATTCCAGTACGAAGCCAAAGCTCCGTATGATTGAGACAAAACAGGACTGTGCTTGATACTGTATTTGCTCTTGGACAGTTTGATTAAAACATAAAAACCAAAGTCAAGCAACGAAAGATTCAAGCAAAGGTGTACCTCTAAAATTGAGCATAAATGGAGGAGCTTTCCTGTTGTCAGAGAAGACTGAATGCTGTTAACACCGCCTGGGAGGGGCTTCCTTTGGCGCGTTTAGTGGACAGAAGGCGGTGAGTTCAAATGCCGTCAGCGGGGTGCACACTGTAATGGGGGATGGTGGGGTTCGCTTCAAGGCGGTTGCTAAAAAAATGAGTATTGATTTTTCTGCCACACATTTCAGCACAACAATTCACAATCCCCACCGACGACCACCGACGATGGCGACGACGGAGGACGGAATTGCGACGCTCGCATCGAACGTGGCGAACGTACACATACAGGATGGCGGCTCGGGTACGGGCACGAAGGAGGGTGGTCGAGGCCGAGGCAATGGCGGCGGTCGTGAGAAGGCGGACCGGGCGACGCGCGACCAGGTGCTGGACCAGCGGACGGAGATGATCCTGCTGCAGATGATCAATAAGGGACTTGTGAGCGAGCTGGAAGGCGTGATCAGCACGGGAAAGGAGGCCAACGTGTACGCAGCAGTGCTGCGGCCGCTGGGCGACAGCGCGGACGAGCCGGCACCAGCGACGATTTTCCGGGCAGCCAAGGTGTACAAGACGTCAATTCTCAGCTTTGTGGACCGCGAGCGGTACATTGCGGGCGAGCATCGGTTCCGCCACGGCGAGCACAAGGGCAACAACCGCAAGATGGTCAAGAAGTGGGCCGAAAAGGAGTTCCGGAATCTGCAGCGGCTGCACCGAGCTGGTATTCCCTGTCCGTTCCCGATCCAGCTCAAGGTCAACGTGCTGCTGATGAGCTTCCTGGGCAGCGCGCGGGGCGTGGCCTATCCACGGCTGCGCGACGTGGAGCTGCAGCCGGAGGGCGATCTGGGTGTTGCGGGCGGCGACGACGAGGCGGCCTCGGCCAGCGTGGCGCGACAGTGGCGTGCACTCTACCTGCAGCTGGTCAGCCTGATGCGGCGGCTGTACCAGGTCTGCCGGTTGGTGCACGCGGATCTGAGCGAGTACAACATTCTGTACAATGCCGGGACGCTGTACGTGATTGACGTGTCGCAGAGCGTCGGCCACGACCACCCGCAGACGTTTGACTTTCTGCGCATGGACATCCGCAACGTTGGCAGCTTCTTCCGGCGCAAGGGCGTGGACACGCTGCGTGACCGCAGCGTTTTTGACTTTGTCACGGCGGCGACCGGCCCGATCGAGGGTGCCGAGCTCGATGCCGCGCTGGAGCAGCTGATGGCGAGCGAGCCGCCGATCGATGGCTCGGCCGAGGGGCTGGCAGCGCTCGAGGTTGACAACGAGGTGTTCCGCAGCCAATTTATTCCGCAGTCGCTGCAGCAGGTGTATGATGCAGAGATGGAGGCCGGTGCGATTCGGCCGGGTGGTGCTGTCGACCGGCTGGCCGGTGCCGGCACGGACGAGGACGACAACGTGTACAAGAACCTGCTGGCGGACAGCGGTACCCGGCGGAAGGGAGGCCGAAAGACGCAGAAGGCAGATGACAAGGACGCGAACGAGGACGAGGACGAGGACGGGGGAGAGGACCGGGCGGACGATTCGTCGGACTCAGACTCAAGTGGCAGCGGCGTGTCGCTGCACAACTCAGACGAGGAGGAGTTTGGGCGGCCGCAGCCGCGGGGGAAGCGGTTTGAGGACAAGGACGTCAAGCGGGCGCACAAGGCGGCGATCAAGGAGGAGAAGCGACAAAAGCGACAGACCAAGATGCCGAAGAAGATGAAAAAGCGGCTGGTGTCGTCGACGAAGAAGGCATGAGAAGAATTATTCCCGGAATTGGGCTACCGGCAGGAGAAAAGGTTTAGAGAAAAAACGAGAACAAGGAAAGAGACAAGGCGAAGAGAGGCGAGGGAGAGGATGGTTGCCGCGATCGAATGATGAAGGCACAAGGGCCCAGAGACGCGCAAGACGGCCGACGTATCGGTTCTGGCACGACAGCTCTCGGGCGTGGCCAAAGCCTCTGGCGACCGGTTCTGCGCGCTCTCGCACGGGTCATCCGAGGGCAGTCTGTCCCGGTCCATCACGGACGCGGCGGCCTGTCGTGAGGAACAAAGAGAGCCCTGACGATCAGTGGCGGCAGTCCTCTCCTCTAGAGTCCCTTCTAGGGCACTGTACCTTGTATTTTAGTATGATGTGACAGCGCGCTACAGCGAGTCCGACGAATTACAGAAGGGGCTAGCCGAAATGCACAGCGGCTGGCGGGATCTAAATGTCTTGGCGTTCCCTGGACGGTCGCTCCTTTTGGCATTGGAACAGATGACGGAAGAAGTCAAAAGTAGAGACTGTAACAGTTTTTTAGTTTTCTATTCTCTTACGATATGACATGCAACTGTGACAACATCCAGATGCCGCTGGCAGCGACGGCTTGTGTTTCAAGCTGACACAACAGGACCCTGTCTGCGTGCATGGGCCGGCGCGCCCGTTTGGGTAAGCGGATGGGGTGCGAGATGGAGACGGGCAGTGAAAGAGTGTGGAGGATGGAGACGGAGAGCGAGAGAGACGAGAGAGGCCGACACTGAGCATTCTCACGACAAGACACACCACACATCACACACCACACACCACCCGGCAACGATGACGCGCAAAAAGGCCCTCATCATCGGCATCAACTACACGGGCAGTGCCCATCAGCTGAACGGCTGCATCAACGATGCACGCAACGTGCGGGATTTTCTCGTCAGCGACCGTGGCTTCTCGGACTCGCCCCAGGACATGGTGATGCTCACGGACGACGCCGACAACGAAGGCACGCCGTACTGGCCGAGCCACTCGAACGTGATGGCGGCCTTTGGCTGGCTGTCGAGCTGCAACGAACCGGGCGACGCGCTCTGGCTGTCGTACTCGGGACACGGCGGTGGGTTTGGGCTGGGACTCTGGTCTCATCTCTGAAGAGCTGTTTCTGTCTGGCTGACGATGTGGCCATGCAGGCCAGACGAGAAACGCGCAGGGCGAGCGGGCGTCGGGCTACGACGACACCATCTGTCCGGTAGACTTTGAAAAGGCCGGCCAGATCGACAGCACGACGGTGAGTCTTGGACTGGTTCCGCTTGCCGTTTTCTTTCTTCCTTCTCGCTCGTCCTCCCGGCTAACCTCCCAGCTCCATCGCGCCATCGTCTCGCCCATGCACCCCCAGGCCCGCCTGACGATCCTCTTTGACTGCTGCCACTCGGGCTCGGCCTGCGAGCTGCCCTACGTCTTCCGGCCTGACGCCGACGGCAACGTCAGCATTGCCGACACGGTCCAGCGCGGACTCTCGCTCTTTTCCGAGGCCCATGGCCTCATGCGCGGCGGCTTCTCGCTCGACAAGGTCTCGGCGGCCGAGCAGCTCTTCGCCAGCACCTCAGACTTCTTTCACAGCCTGCACGCGCTGCGCAACGGCGACAGCGCCGACGAGAACGACGGCCTGACCACGCAGGATGCCCAGTGGGCATCGGAGCAGAAGGACGTGTGGATGTTCTCGGGCTGCGCCGATGATCAGACGTCGGCCGACGCCACCATTGGCGGCGCCGCCACCGGGGCCATGTCCTGGGCCTTTATTGGGTCCATGCGCGAAAACCCGGACCTGAGCTACGTCGAGATCCTACAGACGACCCGTCACCACCTGGCGAACAATTACGCGCAGGTGCCGCAGCTCAGCTGCGGTGGCCTCTATGACCTCGACCAGCGGCTGGTGGTAAGTGCTTTTATTTATTTTTTTCCTTTTTTTTCTTTTTGCATTCCCCCCCGCTTACCGTGACCAGCTTTGATCGTGTAGTAGAGATGTAGAGATGTAGAGGCGAGAGTACAGTAGACCAAGCTGAGCGTTCTGTATTTGCCCATTTGCACTGATTTTGATCACGTGATGTGCCCGTTGTATCTTACAGTTTCTCGCCGAAGCTAAGCATCGCCGGCTGCAACGTCCAGGCCCGCAACACGATATGTGACGAGCCACTGTCCCGCGCATGCTCGCAAAACGACGTACACCACACGGCCCAGGGCAAAGCTTTTTGAATACAGCACAGCAGCCGTGATGGACACCGGCCCAGCCCTGAAGGGCGACGTGACAAACCTGCTCGGTACGATTTAGCTCGTTTGCTGGTGTGAGAGAGGGGTTCGTTGCTTTGGGCCGTTCTGCTGACACGACGACGGCAGACCACGAGGCCAAGTTGATTGCCAACATGCTGCAGCACTACCGCGAGATTGCGCGGAGCGCCACGGTGCGTGTGTCGAACCGGTCGACGGTCGGCGAGGCTGCAGCGAACCGTCTGCGGATGGAGACGGAGGCAGGCGGACTGGTGCGTTCTGTTCTCCTGTTTTTTTTTGTTTTTTTTCGTTTTCATCAGTCCTGACTCCCCAGATCCAAACGGCCGAGGACCTGCTCAGCCTGACGCGGCGCATCCGCGAGCTGTGGATCATCGGTCCGCTGCGCAAGGCCGGCGAGGGCGACGTCGAGGCCGAGACGCGCATCCGCAGCGAAGTCGTGCCGGTGGTAGATCAGATCGACGGCGAGCGGGCTGCTCGTCGTGCCCGGCTCATGGGCACGCATGGCACATACCAGGCGCGTCCGTGGCAGCCACCGGTACCGACATCGTCGTCTGCGGAAGCAGCAGCAGCAGCAGCAGCAGCAGCAGCAGCAGCACGACCATCTACACAGATATCGGCACAGCCAGCACCATGAGCAGACCCGAGGAATACAGCACGATAGATAGACGACTGAATGTACCTCATTCTGCTTCCTTTCTCCATTTTCTCCCTTTCTCTACCTACATATACACACAATATGCACCCGTTTTGTCTAGCCGTCACCCTCCTCTCCTTCGGCAACCTCGTCGCCTTCGTCCCCGGGAAGAGCAGCCGGCTGTGGTCCAGACAGGCCGTGGCCGAAGCGCTCAAAGGCCGCGTCGAAGCCGCCGGGTATGGCCCACATGTAGTAGCTGGTGTTGTAGTTGTCCAGCTGGTGGAAGAAAGCGTGGAAGCTGGATGGTCAGTGGCGAAAATGGAGACGAATACGCAGACAACAAACACGAAAAACAAAACGTACAGGTTCTGGCTCTCCTCGACATCCCAAATCCGCGCGTAGATCTGCTCGTCTTTGAAGGTGCGGAAAGCAGCGCCGTACGAGTCAAAATCGATGGGCTCCTTGCCAAAGTTGGCCTGGGCCCGCAGGTTGTAGCTGTCAAAGACGGGTCGCTCGAGCAGCAGGCCGAAGCCGGGCGCCCGCGGAATGCTGATGCGCCGCGGCCCATAGCTCAGCTTCATGGCCGGGCCTGGCGCCGTGCCGCAGCGTGTCAGCATCACCGCCATGGCTACCATCTTGCGGATCTGGTGCATCATGAAGCTCTGGCCGTGCACGCGCAGCGAGAGCCACTGCGTGTCGCGCATCTGGATCGGCTCCGGGTTGACCACAAACGACTTGATGTGCCGTTTGGCCGACGCGTCCTTGAACGACTTCTGCACCGTGTAGTTGTGGAAGTTGCTCGTGCCCTCGTACATCGACAGCGCCTCCTGCAGCCGTGCGAGCCGTGTCGGCGTGATCCGATACCGTCGCTTAGCCGCCACATAGGCCGTTTTGATCTCGCGCAGCACCTGGTCCACGGCCGCCTTGGTCGGCGTCTCGGGCGCCGTGGCTGTTAGTTCCGCCGCCGGTTTTGCCGCTTCTTCGACCGTCTTCTCAATGTCGTCTAGGCTGCGGTGTCCAAGCGTGCGGAAGTCGGTCGCGTGCAGCTGCTCGACCACCAGCCGCCGCACTTCGGCGTCTAGGCCGTCCAGGATGGGCGTCACCACATCGCGCTCGACGTCCGACCAGAAGTCGCGCACGTCCTCGAGACGGTGTACCATGTCGTCGTACATGCCGCCGACTGCGCCCTCGGCCGCGTCTGCCCGCCGTGCCGACGCCACCATCTCGCGGCCCAGGAAACTGTCCGGGTGTGGCGGCAGCAGCGCGTAGCTCGGCAGCAGGTACTCGTACCAGCGCGAGTCGCACGCCTGGTAGCAGCTGAAGCTGTTGATCGTCCGCTGGATGCCCCAGACTCGGATCTGCGGCGGCAGGTGGGCGTTGATCCGCTCCACCACGTCGGCATCCTCCACAATCAGCTTGAGCGAGATCACGTTGCCGGCCGCGTGAACCCCCTTGTCTGTGCGCGCACATCGCACCAGGCTCGACTTCTTCGGGTCGTCTGCGTTCGTCTTGGCAATCGCTCCCGCCGCCACAAACGCTGCAAACAGGTCGCCCTCAATCGTCTTCTCGTCGTGGTTGATCTGCATTCCCCGGTACCCTGTCCCGGCATATCCAATCATCACTGCCACCTTGCGCTTTGGACGCCGCTCCTCTGCCGCAATCTCTTCCGCGCTGAACGGAATTCTCATGTTCGAACGTCGCTGCTCGCCTTCACCTCCCTCGCCACCTTGACTGCCGTTGCCGCCGTTGCCCCCCCGGTCCTCCCACTCGAATCGTGGCCGCTTCTTCGGCCGCCCATCTCGGTCGCTCTTGTTCCATGTCCCGTTGCTGTCACGACCTCTCCTCGGCTTCTTGCCTACATTTCCTTGTCCCTGCTTTCTGTCACGTTGTCTGCATACCTCAGAGTCAGCCAACAAACCACAGAACACACAATCGTCCTTCTCCAAGGATTTTCTGCTGCCTACATACTGTCCGTCTCTCCCCCCACTGCTCTGCCGCTCGTTGCCTCCCCGCTGAGTCGAATCGCGCTGCTCGTCATTCTCTGCATTGCACTTGGCTGTTGTCGCTGCTGCTGCCGTGTCTGCAGTCTTGCTCGATGCAGGCACACCAGCGGTGCCTGTGGCACTGAGGCTAATGTTGTCGGCCTCCATGGTACAAGTTTGTGAACCAACCGCATCCCTGGCTTTTGCTGCCGTTGACTCTGTCGCTTTTGTAACCGTTTCGCCGATGTACCGATTCAACTTTTTTGCATTAGCGCTGAAACTGCCATTTCTGCTTAGTCATCCCATTCACATCGACAGCACCTGCTCTGCTTAAAGGGTGAAACTACCACATTATTAAAGATAATGTAAGAATAAACACTTTCAAAAATACGGTTATATATCGATTCTCTGCTAATATCTGTGCGTTTGTGCTAGCTGCCTGCAACTCGAAGTGTCATGTCGAGCCGATCATGTGATAGGAAGACTCCAGCCAATATAAATACAGGTTATCTCGATTATATCACCTGTCTGCTTTCCTCCTATGGTGAATCTCATCCCTTTCCCTTCAATTGGTGCAGAGGCCACTTCCAATAGTATCCGCTCCTCTCTGCTTCCCCAAAACTATGCCGCCGCTTACGAGCGCATTATAGTCTGGAACTGCCCCTACTTATTGTGACGCGAGCCTTGAAGGCCACGATTCCGTACAGGAGCTGGGCGACTATGTACGAATGTCAATGACCATTATACCAATACATTTCTTAGTTGACCACATACCTGTCAATCTCCATAGGCGTTGCCTGACTCCCGTTCGACACTTTGGGTGCGAGCCAAGGCCGGTCCCAACGCTGAACCATGAACTCATCAAAAGCAGGTGTAGGCTGAAGCTCCTCGCATTCTTCCCTTGTGACCTCTCGAACCTGTGGGGGCTCTTCCGACCAGTTCCAGGTTACAGCCTTACCGGCTTTGTTGATTTCGAGGGCTTCCCGCACACCTTCAAGAGCATTGGGAGGGACAAACATACCTCTCTCGTTTGTACTTTCACCTCCGGAGTTGGGAAGCATCGCCTCAAATCCCATCTTACTCCCTGACAGAGACACATCACCGAAGGCGTCAGACAGGAGATCCGCGTTGCCCGACATCGGATGGGCCGTGCCCCTATTGTATTTTTCTTGCACATGCGCCAAGGCAGATGGAGAAAAGTCAATCAAATCTTCCGCCAGCATCCTTGCAGTATCTCCGGGAGTCGTAGTCTGGGCCATGTTCTTGTCACGAGGCTGTAGGTTCTCATCTGAGTTATAAAACACGTCAGTCTCAAAACGGCCTATGTTGGGTGTCACCTCAAGTACGAGGCTCAATCTCACCCGGTTTGACCTGAGTACTATCTACGTTCAAATTGCTGCCACTGCGAGGCTGGGAACTAGCATGTGTATCTTTCGCTTGGGACTCATCGCCGTAATACGTGATCATAGGTTTCCAGGTATCGCTAGACCGCTCGCCAGCGGCCGTCTGTTTCTTCTTAACCGGTGCTGGGCCCATCGTTCCGGACTGCCTGCTTGCAGGTGAATCGATCTTTTGTTTTTTTTCCGGTGTATTGACTTGTGGCTCGTACCTGTGAGTCGTAGCAGTGTTGTTTTGCACACTCGAATTGACCTTGTTGTTCTTGGGAACAGATACACTGTTAGTAACAGCTGTCGGCTTGCTGGAAGCGTATGAAGACTTCGCAGTCTGCATTGGAACCGTTGCAGGAACTGTGCCTGTGGATGTCCCTGGCTTTGGTGCAGACCGAAGCTTAGATGGAGGATGAGGATGCAGGATGGGCCTTCTATCTGACGGAGACGGTGCTTGGTTACGGCTGGTTTGTCTGGCAGAAGAGAGACTCGCAACATGCGAAGCCGCTGCGAGAACGTCTTGGGAGACACCCAAACCTATGTGAAAAAGTTTATGTGAATTCAGTTACAATAAGAAGACTACAAGGGGTTGATGATGAGTTTTTTACTCTTAGAAGGCAGGGGTCGACAAAGTCCGTCTTGCGGACGCCTCACTGGAGTCGTAGGCTGCGTGTAAAGCGAGCCGCTTGAACGGTAACCTGCCTGCAGTTGTTTGGCAAGTTCCAGCTGCTCTTTAGTGAATCCTCCGCCGCTCATGTCGAGCTTCTGTGCTCATGCACGTTTTCGATTTTCGCTGTTGTAAGAGCTTGAGAGAGATACGATAGGTGATGCTTCGCGTTCAGCGGAAAGGTTGCAAGATTATATTGCAGTCTTAGAAACGGGAAAATAAAGGAGGGACGTAGTGCAGATATGGATGTAATAGATTTCAAGGGGAGTCGCCTTGTAAGGAAAGAGCGATGGCTTGCACCTGCAGTTTACACCTGTGTTGCTCGAGAAGCCGACCGACATTATCGTGGGTATAATAATCGGCCACAGGGCAAGTAAAGGACCGAAAGTGAGACAGGCCGATGATTTTTGTGGCCTCTATCAGGACTAAGGAGCATGCTTAGGGTATTTCGCTTTGCGTGTATAAACATGGAGCCCTTTTACATGAGAGTGAACATAGAGGAGTGCAGCTTCGGCATACTTTTGTGAAAACAGCATAGTCATAAGTTGCACTTCCGTCTCTGGGCCCTAACAGTATATTCTATACTATCAAGCGAAACTTATACTGGTACGTGAAACCTATTTATCCCAATATTAAGTGAATATAGCTCTATTATAATGTACCTGCATTACAATGCCTTCGGTCCGTGAAGAGGGATCCTCTCAAATCCCCTCAAACCTTCTTCTTCTTCGGACCAACAGTAACCTCAGCCATGTGAATATGCGTCTTACGGTAATCACCTGCCCGTGCCTCCTGCAACCATTGAATCTCGACTGGCGGCACGCGGCCACGAACAAAGTCAACCAGCCCCTGTGACTGCGTGGCCCCAGCCCGCAAGGCGATACTAGATACATGTGGAATCCCAAGACAGGCGCTTAGTCTGTCCTCACAACCATGCGAGAACCCAACAAGGCGAATCGGGTCCATTATAGAGGACGGCGATCCAACACAGGCATCAAGGGAGTCGGTGCTGGTTCTCTTACGGCTGTGTGAAGCGACGGCCACCATCTGGGGAAAGTGAGAGTAAAACACAGAGGGATGGCCCGACCGGGCAACAAAAATAATTGAATATGGCGACAATTCTGGGGGCTGCGTGCTCGCGCTCTGCGCTGCATGTCCCCCGTCCTTGTCTGTCTGTAAAGATGGACAGGCGTTCTCCGCTAGTACCCGAGTGATCTTGGTCAGTCCAATGTCGACGAATGCAGCCAGCTCTGGAAGTGGCGGCACATTTTCTGGCCTAGTTGGTTGCCCTGAGGGTGCTGCTGGCCTGGCTGTTACATCTGGAGTGTCTCCCGATTCGGCAGCTCCTTGTTGCTTCTGCCGTTGTCGCCGCCGGTTGCGTTTGCCCTTGGACGGCGGGACATGGTTTTGGCGGTGTTGCCCAAGAGGAGCCAACAAACTATATACCCATAAATGGCTATTAGAGCAGATCGGAAAGGCGTCCGATGATCTAAATACTCACGTGCACAGGAGCTCAAGAATAGTATCTTGATCTTCAAGCGATATCGCCGGCCTGTCTGTCAGTTCTCAATTCTTGACAAGACGACAGGACGAAAACATACCATTCTACACTGGAAAATGGCGTGTCGAGCTCGGCTACCCTTTTTTTGCTCATTTTTCTGCTGAACGGGTCTTGCTGTTGAGGCTTAGTTTGCAGAAATCTCTACTATGTACGGAGCTTGCTGCCTGAGGCCGAATATGTATGTGGTCGGTGCACCTCCACTTTACATATGATCTGTCGATTTGCATCTCCCGTTGAATTGACCCGTTCGTGTGAGTTTAATTGCGTTTTTGGATACATATCGAGATGGGTTGTACCCATACAAACTCCTTTCAAACATTTTATCTAGAATCGTCCGTCTTTGGCGGTGCTGACCAATATACAGTGCGCATACGGTGTGCACTGTCACTGACTGTGCTATGGACATTACCGTTTCGCATGGCTCAGACCGGTTTAATGTCTGAGATCTGAGTGGGAGCTATGTAATATACGGTGGAACGTTTAGTGGGCTTAAACGCCGCGCCCGGGACGGACGCGGATCTCTCGCAATTGTGGAAATTCAGGAATAATCACGACAAGGGACGAGTGAAAGTGGGCTGAAAAGAGCGAGCAGTTTATACAAAATATTTACAGAAAAAACTCTAAGATTAAATGAACATCGTGGGACGGATTAGCAAATGCACAGGCTAGAAACAGAGGGCGGGACAAAAGAGCAGTGAATAGCACGTGCTCCAATTTATCGAGAAACTTGAAAAAAGGATGAGATCAGGATTCACTGTCAGCGAAGACCATTTCTTGGCCTTAAAGAAGCCAACAGCCTTGCAGAGCTGGCTGCTGTTGCCTAATAATCGTCTCTTGCCTGTCTGCTGCCCACTCGATGAGGTACCTCTATTTGCTAGCGATGCTGCGCATATGAGAAGTCACTAGAGCCCACTAAACTGTTAAAACTTGCCCCGCATCAGACACACCTTTTTAATTATCCTCTCTTTCCCGCGTCATACCGCACTAAGCTGCTTCCAACACAACATCTGCGAACACCAGCTGTGCTTTCAGTACGTGCTTTGTGGAAAACAGACACCAAGCCAGCTGCGCTTCCATTCTTCCCCGTTCGCCCATTATCTCTGTATTTTCACTCAGACCTTTTATGCTTCTTGGCTTATTTTGTTTCGTCTACTTGCCGCTCCACCTTGTATTGTCTTCCTTGGCGGCCGCCTGCAGCTTTAGTCACCCACGTCTGCTTGACAGCCTTGCTGTACTGCCAATCTGCCCATTGCTTTTCTGACACTCTTGCATTCACCAACAGCCATTCCTATGAATCGCATATCTGCTGTATTCTATACCAGTTGAGAGAGTGGGAGCGCGATCGGGCTTGGGGCAACGACCACAAAAACGATAAGCTGGTGGCTACAGAGCTGCCTCAAACCCAGAGAGACCGAACAGGCCGAGTAGAGCCAGCGCACCAGCTCAACGCACCGTGCGTTGTTCTCGTGCGGAAGAGCGAATGAGTACATAAACAACTGTCCCCTTAACGATGACCACACATGGGTTTACCGAAGCTAACTGCCAACGAGTCTGTTCCAGGATCTGATATATATTGCCCCCAAATTCTTGGTGCTTTTCCGACAGCCCACAGCTTTCAGATCTCGGTATCCCGATGGACCGAGACTCGAGATCCCCCGAGATAGAGACGAGGGAACGAGCTGTCTCGTCTGAGCCTACTGGAACTAGGCCGAACCCGTTCGAGGACGGCGACGAGAGCTCAAGAAAGCGACGTCGAACTTCTACAATAGCAGGCTCTCGCAGTCGCTCAGTAGAAACGGTTCATTCATTAAAGGGCTGCGAAGCTGGCTTGAACACATCCCCTCCAACCACGGCAACCTCCAAGTCTCCACCCACTGCTACTGAGGACGGCACCATGACCATCGATACAAGCTTGGAGAACACCCCTGAGAGCGCTCCTCACACCCCGGACAACACTGCTCCACCAGCCCATGTTACGCTCAGCCTCCGCAACTCGGCACATCGGGTCCTGGACACCATCCCATCCTCTCCTTGCTCCACTCCACAGAGCCCCATACCTGCTCTTCCTGTCTGGCCGTTAGGTGGCGAAGCTACAACTCTTGAGGCCGGGCCGTACGACGCTGCCCCAATGCAGCACCCAGCCATTCTCGGGATATTCGGGGCCCTCGGATCAGATAGGGCTGCAGATTCAGACTCTCTGCGAGTTTCCCGTTCCGACACCACCAGCCCGCCAGTTGAAGTTATTGGTGGCCAGCTAGAGGATGATGCGGACTTTGGCATCGCACAGACGCAAGTGATGTTGCTTCCAGATGAGCAGGACGAACAGGGGGGCATTCCCGCCGATCCATCTAGCGACTTCCCTTACCAGAATGCGACTGAAACGCACGCGGAAATCATGGCAAAGCTGATCAATTACATGTCAACGGGTAGGTTGCAAATATCCTATGTTTCTAGCCAAAAGATATCTCTGACTGATCGGACTTCAGATGTGCACGTGGCTCAAAACATCAGAACATGGATAGACAGTTACCTCCTCTTCGCCAAGGGTGCGCCGTTTGACATGGTTCTTGCATCGTATCGCCAACACCGTGCGCTTTGGTTCGCTCTTCCGGACTTGGTCTGGGGTGTGCCTAATCTGCGCTCCCCCACCTTTGCGATTCTCGACGAAATCTTACGTGAACGGCTCCTCGACTTCTGTGAATCGTTTGCTAACATCACCGCGTATTTCGTCGAGTTTGATTTCGAAATCTTGCAGCAGAGCCGGTCCCCCGATGAGCTCCAGCCAAGGGATTTTATCTCCTCCCACTACCTCATTGCTCTTTCCAGCATCACCAGAAGGGAGGTGTCGCCAAGAGACGACGATAGGATCCGTGTGCCTGAGCGCGATGAAATCACCGACATCATGGACCGATTCCTTTCTTTCCATGATTTTCCCCCCTGTGGCACCCTTCTATTGCTAGATAGGCTCCTACAAGCGCAGATTGCAATGATGCCGACTACCCCGAGAATCATTGAAAACTTTGGCCAAATATGTGTCATGGCTTCTTTTGTCATCCGGGAGGCCGGCCGGAAACTGGTGTTTTCCAACCATCGGCTGCCTGGTGCCACTGTGCTGAACAGCCGCATAGCATTGGGCCACGACATCTTCAAGACAGCATCCGCTGCGCTGTCGACTATCATTGAAAACCACATCACGCATCTCACGTACGATAATGCAAGCCAACAGATCTCGGCTCTTGGAGACATAATTCTCCTGTGTCTTAAGGCAGACAACACGGAGGCTGCAGTGGTTATCGAAGAGTTTCAGTCAGCACATCCGGACATTCGGATTGAGTTCATACCCGATGTCTATGCTATGGAATGGCGCTTCGGCATGTTTTGTCGCCTCATCATGTGCAGCCAAATGCAGCTGCGTGTCATGGCCGTCACAAACCTTTGTCAGGAACTTGTTTTATGTTGGCGCCGGTACGGAGAGCATCTTCCCGAGTCTGCCCGCGGAGCCCCCGTGCTGAAGTTGGTCTCGAACTTTCTTGCTGCCACGGGTGTCGTTGCCTATCTTCTCGGGCCCACGTGTCATCCTGAGATCACTGCCGAGAGTGGTAATATCATTGGTTTCTTGGCCGTGACGCGAACATACACAAATGAACACACCGATCTGTTCTGGCAGACTGTCACCAACACCCAGGACCCGAGAATATCCGAAGCACTGCTGCGCATGACCTGTCGCATCACGCATCTTTTTTCCTACGATGCTGTCATCTACTTATGCCAAAAGATGCTTGAGCTCCCAATCTCGGCCTACAATCAGACGATGCGGGAGTTCTGCGATGCCATCCTTCGTCATGTATCCAGTAAGGCCCCATTGGAAGGCCCCCCACTGGACACGATACCGTTTGCAGTGTGTCTTCACATCCTTCGCGAGTCCTCAGTCCCTGGCCTAAAGACCCCAACGGCATATCCTGAATTGCAGAGCTTTGCTATTGAAAAACTAGGCGAGTTGCTCAAGAGCATTGGAATCGAGCCAGATCAGCGCCAAATTTTGTACCGGAGCTGTCTGTCAGACATCAGAGAAAAATCGCCGACAACCCTGGGCAGCCTCTGTGCCATCAACATCATCAATCGTCATTTTGGAAGCCGGGACCTGGCAGTGTTGACTACCGAAAACAATCTGACAGAGCTTCTTGTCAATGACATTGAACACGCCGTCATCGAAGGCCGACAACTCGGCTCTCCTGCTGTTATAAGTGGCAACACAAATTCTCCACGCCGAGACACAATATTTCAGATTGTTGTATCTCATGCAACAACATTGACGCCTGAACTCAGCGCCCGTCTTTGGAACTTGATGGTTGGACCAGGTGCCGCTTGCGCAGATGACAGGACTGCATCCTGGAAAGTTCTTATTGCTTGCATAAAGCGGAGCCGGCTTGAAAGCAACCCTTTTCTGTCTCTCTGTTTCAGCAAATTTCTTCCTGTTCTGCCGCCGAGCTGCTTCTGCGAGGGCTTGCTGGAATTCATACAGGATAACCTTATGCCATTGGTCAACGACGTTAGCAGCATTGTATTGGACGACGAAGATATGAACGCTGATCGCAGCATCCTGGAGCAACTATGGCGGATCGTCCTGACAGCTCCTCCTGGAACGATTGAACTGGAAGCTATTAGCTTACTGGTGAAGGATGTCTATATCGAAAGCCGATTGATCTTGTCGTTCCCCCATCACAGAGCTCGCAAGGTCCATCTAGCCTTAGTCAACCGCTGTTTAAGGCATCTTTCCTCTGCGGCCAAGAAATTGAAGCTATACAACAACGATGGTATATCAAGCGGAGACGACGATTCGTTGGTTGTGTTGCCCTCTGGTTCACAGATTCAGGAACAAGAGGCTTTGTTTGTGCGATCCCTTTGTGTTCTGAAGGAGTTTCATCGCCTTTACCGCACAAAATCCAATTTCTCCGCTCCTGATCTGGGCTCGTACCTGTCGGAAAGTCCTGAGAACATCAAAGGTGAGCCGGCCCAGCTGAAATACCAATCATTCGATGGTGTCAGCCAAACAGAAGTGAAGCCACTCAACATTGGACGGCGCAATACTGCCGGATCTCTCCTTGCCAGCCTCAGAGAGGCAACAGGTTTTGACAACTACCGTGTCTTCTATCGAGGCCAGGCTTTCATGCCTCGGGAGAGCGATATCTGCAGGCCATTAGAGGAGTTGCGAATTCACGATGGCCTCATTCTTGTGAAAAAGGAGTCCGATCCACAGACACCACCGCCTCAGGTACGGCCTGGCACATCCCCAGTCGACATTGAAATTCTCGGGCACTTCAAAGAGCTGTGGGAGTACCTAAGCATGGAGGAGAAACTGGCTCGAGAAATTCACCGATTTTTGTCTGTTCTTCCCGTTGAGGGCAGCTTTCTGCAGAAGTTTGGCAATCCCGACCTGTCATATAAGGATATTTTTCCGATTGGACAACCCTACAAATCGCTCTACGCAGTCTACGGATTACGGGAATATCTTCAGCTACATCGCCGGGCCGTTGGGCCTATCAAGGGCGTCACCGGAGTTGGCGGAGAGACTGGAAGCAGTGGGTCGCATGAGTTGGCGACGGACGATTCCCGGATAACAGGGACTGTCCCGGTCAGTCTAAATGCTCAGGCTCCAAGCGAAGAGCAAAGTTCCGTGAAGGCCTACAAGGAGGCACTTGCTACGGCAAAACGACTGTCGATTGCGGCGATCTGTGATCCGGACGTCACTCAGTTCTCTACTAGTGTCGATCTGCAGATATCACTTTCTTCAATGCTGATTGATATTTTTGGGTTCATTCTCAACGAAACTCTGAGTTGCCCTCCCCATGCCGACCTCGACGGGACGCTCTCAAATCGCCTGATGAGCATCCTCCGCGTCGCAATAGACGCGCCGTCCACCGAGTCGTCGGTCCGACTGGTGCAGCTTTCTATTGAGGCCATCATTGATTCCTGTGCTGTGAGCAGTTCGTTTTGGGAGGCTTTTAAGCAAAATGAGTCCGTCAGCCAAATCTTCGGCCAACTCCTTCTCGAGGACCAACGGCAGCACATCCGCCAGCTTGTGGCAAAACGGATTGGGGGCCAATTTACTGACCAGCGACACTCCAATGCTGTCAAATCCTCCGAGTTCCGCGACTTTTTCTGGCCAATCATTGAAGATCTCATTCCCAAGGCAATCCATCACCCTGAGAAGTGCGAGGACATCTTCGGATTGACATGCCGACTTTTTCATATGATGCGTGGCAGCAAATCCTCCGTGTTAAATATGCCATCGTTTTCGGCTCAGATCAGCAATCTGGTGCTGTCATATACGACCTTCGAGGTATGTTTCTTCCCTTGATGGTAGCAATCGGCCAAAGAATTGGGGTGGTCCCAGACATGCTGGACGGCATTTCTAATGCGATGCCATAACTACAGGATGTCACGCAGCCCGACATTACAGACAATGCTGCCTCTGGACTACTCCAGGTTCTTTCCGCCATCATTCGCACTTCCAAGAAAACGGATTTTAGGGATTGGTTCCCCGCGTAAGAAACATGCAGGTTATCCTAATCTCTTCTCCGGCTGACTTGTATACAGAAACTTTGTCAACAAACTATTCTGGAAACACCTATTTCCACCTTGGCAATATAAAGCCGAAAATGAAGAGGATGGCGTTTATTCGAGCCAGTCAACGTTTCCTCGCGTGCTGATAAGCCTAGTGTCGAGAACAGAATTGATAAGCATCATTTCTGAGCTCATGGATGCGGATAAGACCCAACTTCCGGCCCTTACTCAGAATCTAGATCAATTGGTCCCGTGTGAAAAGTCGGATGACGATGAACCGTACCACTACGATCTTCCTCAACAGTTCGATCGAACCAAGGCCCTCCGGGCACCATGCGGTTATGTTGGGCTGCGAAATCTGTCAAACACATGCTACCTGAACTCGTTGCTCACACAGCTCTTCATGAACGTCGAGTTTCGGCGGTTCATGATGAATGTTGAGATCCGCGACGAGACTAACTCCCAGAAACTCCTGTTCCAGACCCGTCTACTTTTCAGCTTCATGCAGGATAGTATCCGCCGTTACGCGGACACGCAACAGTGTGTCGCCAACATCAAAACTTATGACGACACGCCCGTAGACATTCACAGCCAAATGGACGTGGACGAATTCTACAACCTCCTGTTCGACCGATGGGAGGGCCAGATGGTTTCGGCTGAAACAAAACGGGCCTTGCGGAACTTTTACGGAGGACAGCTGGTGCAACAGGTGAAATCGAAGGAATGCGAGCATGTTTCTGAACGACTGGAGCCCTTTTCTGCCATTCAGTGTGATATCAAGGGAAAGGCTAGCCTACAGGAGAGTTTGCAGGCATATGTTGATGGAGAGATAATGGAAGGCGGTAGGTTCATCACAACTGTCCCGAATCTTTATCTAGGTTTTTTTTTCAATGGCCACAAGACAACAAGTACAAATGCTCCACATGCGACCGACATGTCGATGCTGTCAAAAGGTGGTCCTAATACATTCCAGTCCGTTTTTGGGCCATCAGAGTGCTAAGAATTAAACAGGGCGTGTCTGAAGGATATTCCGGACAATCTCATTCTTCATCTGAAACGATTCGACTTTAACCTCCGGACTCTGCAGCGCAGCAAGATCAACGACTACTTTTCGTTTCCGCATGAACTCGACATGCGGCCGTACACTATTGATCAGCTGAGCAGTCCATCGGAGAAAAAGTCGGCGGACATTTTTGAGCTGGTCGGCGTTCTCGTACACTCTGGGACAGCTGAGTCGGGACACTACTATTCTTATATCCGCGAGCGTCCGTCATCCGGCCCGGAAGCAGGCTGGGTCGAGTTCAACGATGATGTGGTCAGCGCGTGGGACCCGTCGCTCCTGGAGTTGTCTTGCTTTGGGGGCATCGACCGCAGGCCAAGCCATTTCGGCGGAGACAGCAGCGGAATAGCAATCGACAAGCCGTACAGCGCTTACATGCTCTTCTACCAGCGGGCGTCATCACTCGCCAAAGAACAGGAGGCTCTTGCAGCTTCGAAGCGGTCGAGCCCGGTCCGTATGGAGGTACCGGCTGCGATTGCAGACCACATCCGCTTCGAGAACACGTCTCTTGTGCGGAGACACTGTCTTTATGACCCGCAGCATATTCCGTTTGTGAACAACGTGCTCAACAGCGTCAGCAGGAAGTGCTCGGCCAATCACAGACTGGAAAGTCTATCGATGCAGATGGCTCTCAGCCACCTCGATCAAGTCGCATCGCGCAACCGAGACCTTCCCGACTTCCAGTCGCTGCTCAACAGCATATTGATGGTTTGCCAGAGATGCCAGAACTGCTATTTGGCCGTATTCGAATACTTTGATGAGCGGCACGATGTCCTGAGGCAATTGATCCAGCGCAGCCCGGAAGTGGTTGTACGGCAAGAAGTGAGCAACTTCTTGATACACACTATTCGGGCGATCAAGGAGACCTTCCCTGAACGGTATGGACTCGTGCTCGGAGCGGAGGATATCGCCTTGTCTTCGGAACAAATGGAGCTTGATCAAAACAATAGCATTCTGCGAAGCGCCGCATACATGATGCAGACGCTCTGGGAGCACATCCACGTGTCTCTACGGTCGTGGTATGAGACGTTTGGGTTTATGACTGCGTTTGTGCGAATGGGCCGTCCAGAGCTGGCGGTCTTCCTGGACATTGACGGCCTCCGCCGTGTCGTCATGGCAATTTCGGCAGACAGCAGCTTGTCGATGGAACCGCAGTACGTTCGCATGCTGCAGGCAGTACAACGCCGACTTCCGAACCGCCCTCCCTCGTACGAGAACATGATCGCCCTGGCCGACACCTTACTTGCAGGCATGTACCCTGACCGGGCGGGAACGCGTTCCCGAGAGGAGCTGTTCGTGGACGACAACGTCAGCCGGTTCATTCTGTCGCAGAAAAGTGCTGATGGAGACCTGCCGATGACACGGACGGAACTCATCCTTATGGGTCGAAACTGGACGAACGGATACGGCAATATCTTTGTGGAAAAGCTGATCAGCATCGACCAGAACACGATGGCGGCCGACTCGATCATCATCCGCCTGATGGCGTCGCATCCGCCAATGGAGGGCAAGGTCCTCACAACGCTCATGGCGAACATCTCGTCGGACGCGGCAGCGCATTACCAGGAACCGTTCCTACGTGTTGCCAAGATCTTTCTGCGCCATGCCAAGTCAGCCGATCTGGTGTTCCAGCTGTCAAAGTACATTTCGGAGCAGTGCCGCGGGCTCTCCAACACGGACGGCAGGGCCTTCTTCGAGGTTCTGGGCGAGCTGTTTTACGGTCGTGCAAACAGCACAGATGGGATGGACCAGGCAGCCCTCATACGCGGCCTGCACTTGCTTCCATTGTGGGCTCCCGGACTATTGGGCTACTATGACACGTCCGTTAGTAACGACGTGGAGATCTTCCTGCGAGAAAACCTGTTCCAGTTTGGCACGACGCCGCAGTTTGAGGACAGCCAGGGAGGTGCAGAACGTGCCCTGGCCTTGACGTCGGCAGCGAGGCAGCTTGGTCTGGAATGCCTGAAGTACATGAAAATGTTCTTTGTCGACCGTGGTGTGCAAGTCAGTGCCAACGTGGTGACCGCGTTTCAGCGGGTCGTTGCACAGTGCAGGCCGTACTACCTTGAAGACGATGGAGAAGACGGCGTGGCGGACGAATTCCACACGCTGGACTCCAGTACGTATTTTTCGTTCTGACGATCCGGCATTCTCAAGGGCGACAGCTAACAGATGCAGCCGTGCCCGAGCAGCTGAAACGGCTGGTGGTCGAGGACCTCGAAGAAGATGTTTCCGGTAGGTCGACTCGGCTCAGATGAGCATCAGAAGAAAGACGGACGAGCAGCTGACCGTGTGAGGGCTTGACGATCAAGATTGGAACAGCTCGCACTGCTCGTCGGAGCCGGTTGACAGCCTTGGCGATGTCAGCATGCAGACTGCGGCGGACCTGAACGACATGGACATGCCGTAGTCTGGATCCATACCATTCTCTCTTTTTATTGTTTTCTTTGTGAATTTTTGAACTCCAGTGAGGCTGGCAGCTACAGCTGGTTGGGAAAGCCTGAGGTTAACGACGCTTGTGAGGAATCGGAATAACGGCCGGAAGGGGGCATGAGGCAGGATGTGACCGTTTGGCCCATGTGTTTCTTTGTGTTTTTGTTTCATTTTGCAGTCTTTACGATAAGCGGCGGCGTCTTGGTTCATAGCTCAGCAAAAGAACGGAGGACTGGGAAATGGAGGGAGGCGCAAAAAGAAACCGGCCGGTGCGCTTATTTCTGCTGTGACGACAGGGAATTGTACTGAGATGAGACGTTGACTAAGCCAGAAGTGCCAGTGGCTATTTTTACAGGACTTGCGGTATTTTCCCGTGTTATTTTCAGCCTTGGCTTATGTTGACATGACTTACCGCAGATATATCTTTAGCGAAGTGGTCGTTGATTTTCGAACCCCGCTGATCAGTGCTTTGTTTAACCGCCGGTGTGTTGTTGTCACCCCGCATGACAGGCATCTGGCCAACCAATCAGGGCGAAGGAGCGGTCCCGCCTGTGCGGGTCATAGCTAAAAATAAGATCAGGGCAGAAGTGTTGTCGACCAGGTCAAACGGCGGCTGGGCGAATCAGGCGTGTGGTTGTAAGCGCTGGCCTGTGGCCTCGCAGACGTGTCTGTGCCGTGAGAGGACAGCCATCGATGCGGGATGAAGTTGCTGACTAGACGACCGGCCTCTGGGCGGGTGACCAATTGCAGGCCGGAAACGGGCGCAATCGGACTCCATTTCAGTTGGATGATTGCTGCCAGCAGACGAGATTTGGTCTCTCTCTGCTTTCCCTGTTTCTTTTTTGGGGAGCCCTTTTCGTGGCCGTTCTATTTTCTGCAGCAGTGACGGCGCCAGAAATGATTCGGCCTCGTGGGTTTCAGGACGGCGCGTTTCACGTTTCTTTCCTTCCTCGTGGCTTTTGGTCTTTGGAAACACCGCACGAGCGCCTTTCCCACAGTCGGCCATCACACCCCCGTTCCAGCTTCTATGCATGTATGCCTTGTCTGTGACGGTGTGAAAAGCGGAACGTGCTAGCAGCCTGCCTGACTGCCGGAGATTGTCGTCAGATTGAAAACGGGGGGACAGCCCACTTTCACTGTCGCTTTCACTCTCTCTCTCTCTCTCTCGCGTGTCGGCGTCATCGCTCTACTCCGTACCCAAACCGGAATTTCCCAGGCCAGGCGGAGAAGAAAGGAGAAGCAGACGGAAGAGCACACACACACCACACACTCTCTCTCTTCTCTATTTCGCTCTGCCGCAACGAACCGACGAACAGAAGGACAGACGGACAGACGGACAGAGCACTGGATCAAACATACGCCATGTCGCTCAAGAGTCTCATCTCGTCGCCTCTCGAGGCCGGGCCTTCTGTGCTCGATGCCCACCGGCTACCGTCGCACCTGGACGCGGCCCTGGAGTACGCATCTCGCCGGCTGGCGCGCCGCAATTTGTCCATCGACCTCGTCGTCGTCCGGCGACAGTACCAGCTGCCCCGGGCTTGCAGCACCAGCACCGACGACACGATCATCCGAGATTTGGCCGACGACGACAGCGGCAACGTGCAGGCCGCCCTTCCGTGCTTCCCGCCGCGACCGGCCCAGGCCAAGGCCCTCGGACTCAGACAGCTGCCACCACTGCAGCCACCAGCGGGACGATCCCGCTTCACTTCGGCCATCAAGAGCCTCGTGCGGTCCAGCACGCTGCCGAGCCTCAAGTCGGCACCCCATCCGGCCTATCTGTCGGTCCACACGGTCTCGCCCCATCGCTCTCCCTCGCTCGGCTCGGCCTTCTCGCCAACCAGCTCGGCGCTGCCGTCACCGTCCTCCTGCTCCGAGTCCCTGACGTCCGCCTCAGCATACCCTTCGACGCCGTCGACGCCGGGCACACCGGATACGCCGGCCCTCACGGTGGACTCGTCGTCTGGAACGAGCGCCATGACGTCGGCCGTCGGAGGCTGGCGGCCATCTGGCCACGCCGACACGTTCATCCGGCTCGTCCATGCCGACAACCTGATGCCCAAGGAGGAGAGACAGCTACACCAGGCCTTGGACAAGGCAGCACGCAAGTTCCACCTTTGGTAGGTTTGCGTCTTTTTGTTTTTGTTTTTCTGTCTTTTCGTTCTCCTTGGTTCGGGTCCTCTAACGCGGACAGCCCCCATCAGCTGACCTCTCCGGTGGCTGCCCATACGCTTGGCTTGCCAGATGGTTTCCTGCGCGCGTCGGTCGAGCAGAACGAGATGCTCCTAGCCGGGACAGGGGGACTGCGGCTGCGCTCGGCCGATCACCTGTACACGTTCAAGGCGGCCCTGTGCAGCTATGCCCAGACGGGCGACCGGTTCCGGCTCGAGGACGCCGTGGACGAGCTGCGGCGCTACGTGCTGGCGCGCGGTGGGCAGCGACTGGCCAAGCGCGCGCTGCTGCGCAACTACCCGACGCTGCGCTTTGCCGAGTCCGATCTGGCCGACGTTCGACATATGTACAGCCGCGCGTACGGAGGCGTCGAGCGTGACTGCGGCATTGAGGCTGACGGACTGAGCTCTTGTCCGCTAGACGATGGCAGACCGGTGGCCATGTTCTTGGGTGGATGGCCGGATGGCAGTACAGAGGAAGATGGTGATGGTGGTGGCATTGAAGCGAATGGAGAGAAAAAGGGCGAAAACGGAAATGACGAAAACGACGAAAACGACGAAAACGACGAGGAGCAGACAACACCAACAGCCATGACAGCAGATGGTGCAGCCTCAGCCTGCTCGCCCTCGACGTTGTCGTCGCTGTCGTCGCTGTTCTCGCTATCGCTGGCATCGTCATCCGTCGTCCTCGGCCTGGCAGCACAGCAGCGACGACGACAGCGCAAGCAACAGCTGCCCCTCGACGAGGAAGCGATGGAGGAGAGATGGCAAGCGGTGGCCGAGGAGCACACGTCCTGGTTGGAGATGAACGACGACGACGGATACGCAGAGAGGAGCGAGAGAGAAGACAAGCTGCTGGAGAGCGGCAGTGTCAAATCACGGCTCGTCCTATCGGCCCCGTTGCCTCCACAAAAGTCGCCCCTGCTGCCCGTCCTACGACTACAGACGACCTTTGACAACAAGGGACAGACCGGCCATGGAGCTGGCAGGCGCAGGGTTCCGGATCCTGCTTCGGCAAAGGCAGCGGCTGTCGTCCGAGACAGGACGAGAGACGGCGAAGAGGAGGACGAGGAGGAGCAGCTGACGGCACGGCCTGACAGCCACAGCCACAGGAGTCCTGGCGGCGGTAGCAATAGCGGGAATAACAGCAGCAACGTCTGGTGGGCCGTGGCGAGCATCGGCGAAATGCTGCAGGAGGAATGGAACAGCAGGAGAAGCGGCGGCAGTGGTGGCAGCTTTGGCAGCCCGGGAGGATGCACAGCAGAACTGGTTCCGCCAACGCCAAACCGCTACGACGACATCTCGCCCATCACGCGCAGCGAGTGGGGGTTTCTGATGGGCGGTCAGCAAGGACGTCAGGTCGCGGTGACGACGACGCTATTGTAGAGATTCGGATGGAGTACGGAGTATAATAGACTGGTTGCAGACAAATGAAAAGGGCGGATCGGTTCCACGCCTAGTCACGTGCACACTGGTTTTGATTCTGATTATATAATAATTAAATAAGCATAAGCCCCACTCAAAGTAGCCATTCGTTTCCATCAGATCGAACTGCCAACCATCGCGTTGACGACAAGCACGTACAATCATGGGCCTGGTAGACTACGACTCGGACTCTGGATCCTCAGAGGCCGAACAGACGGCTGCCGCACCCAAGGTGGCTGTGCCATCAACGACCGCGACAGCTGGTGCCAGCGGCAAGAAGCAGCCGTTCCAAAAGCTGGTCGACCGCGCGAATCCCGGAAAGATTGTCGTCAGCCTACCGTCGACGGTGGCTGGCGAAGATGCGGAAGCAGAGGACAACGAACGGCCAGCCAAGCGGGCGCGTGTGGGTGCCGTAGGAAGCAGCCGGTTCAGCAGTTTTGGGTCGTTTCTGCCGCCACCGAAGAAGACGGCAGCGACTACGAAGTCAACGGCAGGAGGAGGAGAGCTGCCCGGGACAGCGCGACAGAGCGTGAATCTCAAGACGAGCTCAGAGGCAGCCTTTAGCCGACAGCGAGCGCAGGCGACAGCGGACGGGTCGGACGGGTCGTCGTCGTGCTCTACGAAAATGACACTCCCACCAGCGAAAGCGCCGTCGATTCCGGAGGGCCAGAAGGCGGCCTCGGATGTGAAGCTGGTGGGCAACCCGCTGATGTTCATGCCGTTGTCGGTGTCGCGCAAGCCGGGTGGCAAGAAGAAGACAGGCGGCAAGGGAAAGGGGGCTGCGGCCGGCGAGGCGGCATCAAAGGCCGGCGCAGCAAGAACCGAAGAGGTGCCGGCGCCGCCCAAGAAAAAGGTCTCGCTCTTCTCGCTGGAAGCGAATGCAGAAGACGAGGCAGCGGCCGATGGAGAGGGCGAAGAGGTGCCAAGCGCAGACGGCACATACCAGCCGCTCTTTGAGACGTATGAGCGGGAGGGACAGGAGGAGCAGCCACTGCAGCTACAACAACAGCAACAACAACAACAACAGCTGAGCGGTTCGCTCGACGCTCTGGCTGACGACCTCCGGCTGACAGCACGCGAGCGGCGCGAGCTCTTTGGGCGGGCCGGAGCCGGAGCCGCGGTGGCGTCGGCGACATTCAACATGGATGAGGAGTACCGGCACAACGAAAAGGTGCGGCTAGCTAGCGAGGCAGACCAGAAACAGCAGGCCCACAACCCGGTGCGCGCGGTGCAGCCAGGCAAGCACAGCCTGCGGCAGCTTGTGACAGCGGTGCAGACGCAGCAGGACGCACTCGAGGAGACGTTTGCCAAGAACCGGGCAGCGCAGCGGGAGTCTGGCAGCCGGTACGGGTGGCGGTAGGGGAGAAGAGAGGGGTGAGGGGAAAGAGGGGGTAAGGCGAGCAGGGCTGAGGAGAGCAGGGACGTTTTGACGGGAGGAAAGCGTGATATCTGGCTGTACAAAATACGGAGTACCCTTCATGTCTGGCTGGAGTTTGGGTGGTTCTGTCCTATGGGAGGGACGAGAAGTAGTATGCAGTACATGATGATACATTAATAGAGTGCATGCAGTTGTACATAGTACGGAGTAGATGCACGGAGTATTCCGTATGCATCGAAGCTGAGACAGTGTCGGTACAGTGCTATCTATTTTCCCACGGTCTTATCGGACACGAGCTGACAGTGGAGCGGCCAGGCACGTCTTCGGCTCTCTTTCCAAGCTTCAGTCGACTCCATGCTTCATTCATCGAGCTGAGGAAGCTTGACGCGGCCCTTCCTAGGGCCCCACACAAGCAATCGACGACTACCTCATTCTCGACTGACGAGCCCCGGCTCGTCTGTGATTCGACCATGTCGGTGCTCCAGATTGAAGAGTACGTTTGAGTTTGGTTTCTGAGGGGCGCATATGCTAACAAGACGTCGGTGTCGGTGCAGTCTCGTGTCGTACCAGCTGCGGGCGTCGTACCTGAGCGAGTTTGCGGATGGCGTGGGCGAGCGGTTGATCACGCTCGACGAGAGCATTGTGCACTCTGCGCCCTTTAAGGCGGCAGGCTGGCGGCCCAACCCGGGGCTGATCAAGCGGACACACTCACCACCGATCCCAACAGCGGTGGCATCGGAATATTTCCGGGCGCCGCGGACGCTGGGGCTGACTCTGGAAGATGAGCCGGACAACAGCAGCGGGCTGCTCGGCGGCGGGCCAGGAGGAGGAGGATTTGGGGGGGGAATCGGGGGGATCGGCAGCGGCGGCGTGAGCGGACAGATTGGAGGGAGCAGCAGCCTGATGCTAGGCGGTGGTGGCGGCAGTGGTGGAGCGGGCGGATCGTCATCGGTGGCGGGCGGGTCGTCGATAACGGCGGCAACGAAGCGACGACGACGACGAGAGCAGATGGAGGAGGAGGAGGACAGCAGCGACCTGAGCGACGAGAGCGACGACGAGGGAACCGCCGAACAGCGGGCAGCACAGCAGATCAAATTTGCCAAGATGCCGACGCGATTTCGGTCGGGATCGTCGCCGTTGCAGTCGTCGAACCTGCGACAGCCGCCGATGGGACCGCCAGACTCGCCGACATCATCGACGACGACGACAGCAGGGGCAGGACCGGGAGCCGGGGCTCGACGCGGATCACAGTCAGCCCTGGAGGCGGTCAAGGAGCGAGCACGACGAGACACGGTGACGAGCAGCGAGATGTCGTCAGAGAACGAGTTTGACGCGTCCGGCTTCCAGCGGCTACGGGAGCAGGGGGACGTGGGAGGAGGCAGCAGCAGCAGTGGGCGATCGGGTCGGACAACGACGACGACGACGACAGCACAAGGCCGATCTCGAGGTGGTAACAACAGCAGCAGTCGAACGGCAGCAGCAGCAATGGTCAAGCGACAGGACAGCGATCTGCTGGAGGAGGAGCAAGAAGACGAAGAGGACGAAGAGGACGAAGAAGGCAGCGAGGACGAGTCAGAGGGCGAAGACGGACTGGACGGACTGGACGGCGACGATGGATCGGACATGTCGTCGACGTTTGCAGGCAGCATCGAGTCAGCGTCGGCATCCATGCTGCACGCCGGGACGACGAACCCGCTGAATGCGCCGCCGCTACGATTACCGATCATCGGGACGCCACCACGCGAGTTTACGCGAACAGCGACGGTGCGACGATCGCAGCGACCGGTGGCGCTGCTGCCGATGGGCGAGCTGCCACCGCCACGGCCATTGAGCACGCTACGGCCGGCGAGCTTGGCGGCACCACCACGGAGTCTGCTGTCGGCGGCACTGCAGGCGAAGAAATCCGGGGCAGCGATGCCGTTTGACCGGTTTGCGACGCTGTCGGGCAAAGGCGACCCAAACCCGATCATGGTGCGGATCTACGCGCCCTTCTCGGCACAGAGCACGCGGCCGTTTGAAGTGCCGATCCGGCGGCTGGTGCAAGAAGGAGGTGGAGGGGCCGAGCGAACGGTCACGGTGGCCGACCTGATCGGACTCAGTCTGTGGCGATACACGGAAGAAAAGCGGGAGCCAGCACTGCCGGCGAACCGGCTGCACGTCAACTGGTGGACGCTCCGGATGGTGGAAGAGGGCGGTGAGGTGGACGACGACTTTCCGCCGCTAGAACGGACACGACCGCTGGCATCGTTCACGACGGCCAACAACAGCAGCAGTGGCGGCGGCAACATGAGCAGTGGCGGCGGTGGTGGTGGTGGCGGACGATTCCGGGCGAACTCCAAGGTGTACGACGACTTTGCGCTGGTGGAGGCGAGCGCGAGCGAATTTAACGAGAATCAGCGGACGACGCCACAGTTTACGGCCGAGAAGGTGGGCGAGATGGGCGAGCAGATCGGAGGAAGACCGAACGAGATCAGTCCGAGAAAGGAGACGGACAAGGAAGCCGACAACGACGGAGACCGGACGCCACGCAACGCGACACCACAGCCGGGCGCCGGGCGCATGCTGATGGGCGGACGGTCTTCGTTCCAGCCGCTGGATCAGCCACGTGCCAACCCGATCATCACGACAATGTTCCGTTTCCACGGGCCACACGCCGACGACCCGGCAGTGCCAGCGGCGACGCCCAACACGGCACGCGGCCGCAAGAAGCTGCTGCGCGTGCACGTGCACGTGGCCAACATGCCGCCCGGCCAGATGGTCGCGCTCGAGGTCGCCACCGACACCTATCTCGAGCAAGTCCTCGACATGGTGTGCAAGAAGCGGCAACTGGACAAGGCGAGTCACGTGCTCAAATTACCCGACAGTGGGGCCGTCGTGCTGATGGACCGCACCGTGGCCTCGATCGGCGCCCTGACCGACCTGGACCTGTACCGCAAGCGGTTTGCCGACGGGAGCGCGACAGGGTCGCTGGCGAGCAGCAGTGCCGCCGCTGGGGCTGTGGGCTCCGTCATGGGCGTCGCGTCGGGAGCGGCAGCGGCTGCAGCGGCTGCAGCCTCGGCAGCGGTGGCAGCAGCAGGTGCCTCGCCCAAGCTGATCCATTCGGGCTATGGATACGGCAGCAGCAGCACGAATGGGCGACACCGCGGCGTCGTCCATCCGCTCGCGCGCGAGCTCATCGAGGCCAGCGACGCCAGCTACAAGAAATACACCGTCTGGCGGCGCCAAGGCCTCAAGCTGATGGGCTCCAGCGAACGCGTCGTCACCATCGACGGCGAGTACGTCCACATTGGCGGCGCCTCCACCGGCAAGGTCACTACCGTCCACTTTAGCAACGTCGTCGGCTGCAAGGTCTCGCATCGCCACCCGACCCACTTCAAGCTGATTGTCTACAAGGCTACCGAGAGCAAGCGGTACGACTTTCTGGCCAAAACGGCCGACGAGGCCGCCGAGATCGTGTTGGAGCTCAAAAAGGCCATGTCGCCGTACAGGGACGTATGATGGACAAGGGACAAGGGACAAAGGACATGGGACATGGGACATGGATGGACCTCTTGTTGCTTGTGCACTGCTTAGTCATGAAATTATGTATGGAACTGCTTACTCATCACACTGCTGAATCCTATCCTACATCGTGCTCACCGACGCGTCCGCGCCTCGGCCCAGAGCTTGTCGACGACCTGGAAGACGGCCGTGACGTCGCGCATGACGGCCGCGTCCACGCTGCCGCCGAGCCGCTGCTGGATCTTATCGGGGTGCCAGCGCACGCGCTCGTCGCGCAGTTGCCGGAGGGCCGCGTCGTCGTCGTCTTGGCTGCAGGAAAAGAAGGCGCCTGCCTCTTTGGCCAGCTCCTCGCCCGTCGGTCTGTTCGTTCCACCATCCAGAACGACCGGCCACGGAATGGTCGTCGCCGACGGGGCCGCCTCCCAGGCGGTCCAAGCCTCGACGTAGCGGCGCTGGCGGTCCTGTATAGCCCGTCGTTGCCGTCGTGCATCGCCACGCCGCAGGCTTTTCTCGACATCGGCCCAGCGACGGCGGTCGGCGTCGGCGTCGGCATCCTGGCGCTGTCGTTGTCGTTGTCGTTCTCGTTCGCGCTCGCGCTCACGGGTCTCGTCGGCCGCCTTCTGGCGCTTCTGGGCCTCGCGGGCCTCGCGACGGCCCTCGTGCGAACGCTCCCACATGCGGCGACGCACATAGTCGACGTACTCGTCGTCCGTCATGGCGGCTAGGCCATCGGTGTCTGGTCCGGCCGTCTTCTGCCTCGCCTCACGCGCATACTCGTGCACCGGCTGTCCGTAGACGGCCTCCCAGTAGGCCGCGCCCTCGTCGTCGGCCATGGCGTCAAAGAGCGACTGGCGAAAGGCCGCGTCCGGGTCCAGCGGCGGGTCCGCGTACGGATCCTCTTCCTCCGCCGCCGCCGTGCTCGGACGCCCGTCCTCGCCGTGTCGACGCTTCCGCCGCCGCGACGGCGACCGTGAACTGCGCCGCTTCGTCCGGTGGTGTCGATGCTCGTGTCGATGTTTGTGTCGATGTTTGTGTCGATGTTCGTGTCGGCTGCTGCGGCTGTCTGTGTCGTTGGGCTGCTGCTCCGCATCTCTGTCTGCTTCGTCCCCTACCCTGCTGCCTTCTCGGCTACCGTCCGCCCTTCCATCCGTCTCGAGTCTGCTTCGACGCTCTCGCTGGCCAGCATCCTCGTTTCTGCCTTCGCTCGGGCCCTGAGAATGTCGGCCGGCTTCGTCCTCCCGTCGTGGCCGGCGTGCACTCGTTTCGACAAACGGATTGATCGATGCCAGGATGTGAGCCCGCATGGGCTCCCGCCGTGTGTCCCCCATTTCGGTGGAAGAAATGGGGTTGGTGGAAGAGAACATGGGAGTTGTGAAAGAAGTGCTGTGGATATGTTCTTATCGTTTATTATCACGGTAACGCTAATCCGGAATAGGATCACCGCCTATTCTGCCAGTCACTTTGATTACTAATCACAATACTCAGTACAGAACCAAAAGCGCTTGACCTTCCAGGCTTTGCAGAAGTGTAGATGTACGCTTCGAGACATACTTTTAAAGCGTCAAGTTCTTGGTAGGATCAAATTCATGGGCATCCTTGTTCTTTCTGTCGGCCTCTCTTGCCATTGCCGCACTGCCAGGAAGAACATAGCCTCTCTGTTGGCTCCGCCGTCTGCTCGAGGTGCTACTACTTGTGATCACATATACTGTACGGATAGAGCATGCAATTTGTTCACCTGCCTCGAAGCTAATTGGTGCAAATTATGTAATCAAAGTCACCTTGAAGCTATTCAAGTACCCGACCATCTACTCGTACACACATCGTCTGCCTTCTTTATCGTTTCTATTGTCACCTCCGTCATGACTCGTTATACATCTCCCAATGCAAGGCGGTCTTAGTGCCACACACCCCCCTAATCAAACAGATCGTCGTCCTCGTCCATGTTCTCGCCCACCACCTCTTCGGCCGCTTCGTCGTCGTCCATCAACATCGAGTCCGCGTCCGACTCCAGCTCGCTGTCCCGGTGGTTGCCCACGACCACAATCTTGTTGTCCGACAGCTCCACGTGTGCCGTCTCGCCGTCGCGGATGCTGCCGCGCAAAATCAGAATGGCCAGCCGGTTGAGCACCTCCTTCTCGATCAGCCGGGCCAGCGGCCGCGCGCCGTACGCTGGCGAGTAGCCGGCGCTGCCGAGGTAATCCTTGGCCTCGTCCGACACCACAATCTCAACGTGCCGGTCGTTGTCGTGCAGCCGCTTCTGGATCTCGCTCACGCGCAGGTCGACAATCTTGCGGATCTCCCGCCGCGTCAGCCGGTTGAAGATCACGGTCGACGAGATCCGGTTGAGGAACTCGGGCAGGAAATAGTTGCGCAGCGCCGTCATGACCAGCTCGCGCGTCGTCGGATCAATCTTGCCATCCTTGCCCGCCGGCCGGGCCAGAAACTCAGCACCCAGGTTCGACGTCATCACCACGATGCAGTTCTTGGCGTCCACCATGCGGCCCTGACCGTCCGTGATGCGCCCGTCGTCCATCAGCTGCAGCAGCACCGTCAACACCTCCTTGGCCGCCTTCTCGACCTCGTCGAACAGCAGGATTGAAAAGGGTCGCCGCCGCAGCGCCTCCGTCAGCTGGCCGCCCGCATCGTGGCCCACGTAACCCGGAGGTGCGCCGATCATGCGGCTCAGCGAGTGTCGTTCCTGGTACTCGCTCATGTCGAACCGGATCATCGCCCGCGCGTCGTCAAACAGAAACTCGGCCAGCGCCTTGGTCAGCAGCGTCTTGCCCGTGCCCGACGGCCCGCAGAACAGGAAGCTCGGCGGCTGGTTCGGGTTTGACAGCCCCGATCGCTGCAGCCGGATCGCGTTCGAGACCGACTGCACTGCCTCACGCTGGCCCACCACGATCTTGCCTAGCGCCCGCTCCATGTGCAGCAGCTTCTCCTTCTCCGACGTCTTAAGTCGTGTGACTGGGATGCCTGTCCACCGAGCCACGATCTCGTTGATCTGGTCGGGTCCGACCACGTCTGTGACCATTGAGCCGCCCGCATCGGCTGACGTGCTGCTGAGTGCTGCGTCGGCAGCTGTCTTTTCCTGCTCCAGCTTCTTGATGATCGCCTCCTGCTCCGGGATGGCGTAGAACTTGAGGTCGGCCGCCCGTCCGGTGTCGCCTACCCGTGCCGCATCTTCCATCTTGACCTTGAGCTGATCCAGCTTCACCTTGGCCTCCTGGATGTCTTTGCCGCGCTTCCGCTCGCTGTCGTACTTTTCGCGCAGCGGCCGCAGCTCTTCCTCCACGTTGCTCGCGTCCTGTTTCGCCAGCACCAGCCGCGACTTGGATGCATCGTCCTTTTCGCGTGACAGCGCGTGAATCTCGATCTTGAGCTGTTGCAGCCGTCGTTCGAGCGAGTCGATAATCTCCGGCTGCGACTCCCGTGCCACCCGCACTGCTGCTGCCGCCTCGTCCACCAAGTCCACGGCCGAGTCGGGCAGCCGTCGCGATGTGAGGTAACGTGCGGCCAGATTCGCCGCCGACACCAGCGCGCTGTCCGTGATGCTGACACCGTGGTGCACCTCGTACTTCTCCTTGAGGCCGCGCAGGATCGATACCGTCTCCGGAATCGTCGGCTCCTTGACAATCACCTGCTGGAACCGTCGCTCGAACGCGGCATCCTTCTCAATGTACTTGCGGTACTCGGCCAGCGTCGTCGCACCGATGCAGTGCAGCTGTCCGCGTGCCAGCATCGGCTTCAGCAGGTTGGCTGCGTCCATGCCGCCCTCGCCCGACGAGCCAGCACCCATCAGCAGGTGAATCTCGTCGACGAACAGCACGATCATTTCCTTAGACTCGGTAATCTCCTTGAGCACGCCCTTCATCCGCTCCTCAAACTCACCGCGATACTTGCTGCCGGCCACCAGCGCGCCCACATCCAACGAGAGCAGCTTGCAGGCTGCCAGGTTGTCCGGCACGTCCGCGTTGACGATGCGCTGTGCCAGGCCCTCCACCACCGTCGTCTTGCCCACGCCTGGCTCGCCGATCAGCACCGGGTTGTTCTTGGGGTGCGCCGTGACAGGATCCGGATCACCCGCCGGATCTCCTCCTCTCGTCCGATCACCGGATCAATCTTGCCCTCGCGCGCCATCGCCGTCATGTCGATGGTGAACTTGGTCAGGTTCTCGTTCTCGGCCTCCGTGTCCGCCGTCTTGGAGTCCACCCGCCGCGTGCCACGGATCGCCTGCACGGCGTCCTGCACCAGCTTCGGCTTCGGGATGTTGGAGTCCTTCAGGCTGACCTGCACCGTCGGGTCTTCCGACAGCGCCGAGATCAGGTGGTCGACCGCCACGTATGTGTCTTTCTGGATCTTCTGCAGCTCCGCCGCCTTGCGCAAAACCGTGCTGAGCGACGGCGAGAACGACACCTGGTCCGGCGGCGGGTCTTGGCTCGGCAGCCGCACCAGATTCTTCTTGAGTGCCCGGTCAAACAGCTGTGGGTCTCCGTGTGCCCGTTCAATCACCTGCCGGAGAAATGTGGTCGTGCCCTTGGGGCCGTTCTGCTGGTCCTTGGACTCGTCTGGAGGTGGGTCCAGCAGCGAGACGGCCAGGTGGATAGGAACGACCTGCGAGTGGCCGTATTGTGTGGCCAGATTGATGGCGTCCTCGACAGCCTTTTGTGCCCGGTCTGTGAATTCCATCTTGGAGTTCATTGTGGGGAAAAGTGGTGGATGTGGATTTGTTTGGAATGCAAAGCAATATGTTCTTGTCGAATGCAATGAAAGAAGAAGCTTCACACGTTTGTCGTGAAGCTAAATGCGATGTGCTCGTCTTGATGTAAGCCCTCTCTGGTTCCGATTATGTTTCAATGGTGTATGATGCAGAATGGAGAGAGAAGAAAAGCGAAAGCGAAGAAGCCGGCAGGAAGTCTGGTTATATGTTTCTGATCGGGTGGAGAGCAAACTCGGTCGTCCACGCTGGCACATTCCTGATGCTCGGAGAAGGAGAAGTGGGATGATGGTTTCGAACCCAATGGGTGCCCGGAGCTCCTTCGCGGAGCTGCTCTACACTAACAGAACCATCGAGAAGACGCAGGAAGCCGTTACTGAAACTGGTTGGGCACCCAATTTTCTGGTGGGGCAAACGATGGTGCTGACTCAGGCCAAGTGGGGGGGGGGAAGTGAATTGAGTGTGGGTGATCACGTGGTGCATCTCAATTTTCCGTGACACCCGACAGAAGGACAACGGCTCCGGGACAACGATTCCGGGACAACGACGCCACACAGCACGATGAACGACCTCCCGATACGCTGCCTGCGCCGATTGGCCATGAGCGGCCGGCCGACGGTGACCATGGCAGCCTCTGCGACGTCGTTCCTGGGCGCCCGGGCGGCGTCCACGTTCAAGCGCTTCCACCGGCCCAACATGGAGCTGACCAAGTTTCCCGACGGCCACGGCGAGCAGATCTGGATCTTTGACAACATTGCGACAAACCAGGTGGTGTACTCGCACACGCCTATCTTGCGGGTGTGTTCTCTCTCTCTCTGCCTCGGACCGTGTACCTGGCCTGTTCGCCCTAACTCCTCAGAACAATCGGGCCCTTCGGCAGCTGCCCTTCAACGGCAAGCAGACCAAGCCGGTCAAGCTTCGCAAAGACTACTGGCGGCCGCTCGCGCTGATCCAGTTTGACGCCGGCGCCGGCGTTGTCGGCCGCTCCGTCTTCCAGAAGCTGCGCGAGTTCCGCCGCCTGCACGAGCTCTCGTGGGGCCACCAGGCCTCCGACCTCTACGCCATGGACCGCAAGGCCCGCGGCGCTGCCCTCTGTGACCAGCGCGCCAACAGCATCGCCGACATGGCTGCCGTCCTCGCCGGCGCTGGCCACGGTAACCGCATCCGGCTGTCGGCCGACAAGGACCAGGCTGCAGCCTCTACGGCGCCGGCCACCCTCACCGAGGCCACCGTTTTCTGGGCCAACGACGCCGACATCCAGACCGCAGAGTCCTGGTCCAAAAACGTCGTCCACGTCGCCGGCATCCCGACGCTGAAGGCGGCACCGGAAACGGTGGAAACAGCTTGAGCCGGGAACGAAGAAAATCCAAAAACAAGAAAAACGAAAGAACAAAGAGCAAAAGAAAGCAGGCATCCAGGAAGATAGCGAGCATGTACAACATTGTATCTAACAAACGTCTTTACGGATTTATTTGACTTGGTCACGGTTTCTATTGCTGGCCAGATACATCCCAATACACCTGTTCCAGGCTAAAACTTGAGTGAAAAGGACTTGAGGTACTCATAGTCTTCCGTATTGGCCGTGACGCACTTGCGGATGAGTTTCTGGCCCTTGTCGCCGTACTTTTGCTTCCACTGCTCGTCCTCCTCCTCCTCCGTAAGCTGTTTCTGCGCGTGGGGTACGGTTAGCTGTGGCAACGAGGACACGGGCGGAACGGGCTGTCGCCCGACATACCCGATGGCTGATCCGAGCCTTGAGCCCAGTGCTAGCGAGCGCGTCGTCGTGGAAGCCAGCCCACTTTTCGAACGCGGTCGCAGCGATCTGCTGGTTCTTGTCGTCCTCCCAGCGCATCATGTCGGGGGTGAAGTCGAGGCCGACGTGGCGACAGAAGGCGTCAATGGCCTCGGTAGGCCGGTCGAGCAGGTCGTCGGCGTCAATGACGACGATGGGGACGTCAGGGCCGCCGACGACGCGCTGGGCGCGCAGGTAATCGAACAGACGGCGCAGCTCGGCGTAGCCAGCCTCGCAGGTGAGAAAGTCGTGGAACTCGGTCGTCTGGACCAGCGGCGGGACGGTGCAGCGGTAGTAGGACGGGATGGAGTGACGGGGATGGCGGATGAGAAAGGCAAAGTGGAAGCGGCGAAGGATGGCCAGCGGGATGACGGACGGATTCTGGTCGTGGGAGCCAACAGAACTGGCAGCCAGTGACGGCACCACCGAGGCTGACTGGCTGTGAGGAGGCATCAGGTAGTAGGCCATGTCCTTGATGAAGACGCGCTTGTGGGCATTGTTGCTGTCGGCAAACCGGTCGAGGACGTCCTTGTAGGTGACGTCGGCAAAGCCGCTGCGGAGGCGCGACTCATCATCCTCGGCGAAGCGATGGCCCAGGCGCTCGGGCCCGTAGTAGAAGGCATCGCCAAAGGGCTCATGGGCACAGGCGATGTCGTCGGAACGGGTCAGAAATACCTGGTCTTGGTCAGCAGAGACAGAGTTCTCGGCAGGTTGGAAGCTGAAGCTGGGCGTACCCGCTCAAAGGCCGTGGAACAGGACCGCGGATGGGTGGCCACGAAGATGGGACGGCCAGACATGGTGGAGGTGATGAGAGAGATGAGACGAGTGGAAGCTGGAAACGAACGGTAGAACGGGCAGAGAAGAAGTAACAGTCGCTAAAGAGGACAGGTAATGGCAGCCGGCCTCGTTCTGGTCGGCCAATCGGGCAGGCACATTCTACTTATGAGACCTGTCTCATCCCCCACGCGAGGGATGGCTACATGGCCTGTTTCGGCAGGTACACCTAGGCAAAGCTCTGCACCAAGTTTTCGTTTTTCTCTTGCAGCAGTGGACCCGCCCATCCAATCCGCGCGCCGCTACGTCACCGGTGGCCGTGACAGAGCGCGACGAGGTGTCCGCTAAGGGACGCTAGCAGTCAGCGAGCAGTTTCTGCTGTTGGATTTCTTGTCCCGATCGCCCTTCATCCTCGCTACATCACCAGATATGTCCGTGCAATCGCCATGGCTGCCTTCTGGTTGCCTGCCAGCAGGTAGTACGTCCGCAGGTTGTAGGCCGCTTCCGTCCGGAGGTCTGGTCTCAGCTCCAGCTCGCCGTCTTTCCCCGTCACAGCCTCATCGTCGCCCGTTTCTGCCAGCACCTTGCCGTAGTACTCGGCCGCCAGGGCGTGCAGCCCCAGCAGGTGGTATGTGCGGGCGACATTGTAGCAGGCCTCGCGGCGGGCGTGGATGGCCGATCGGGGGTTGGACCCAGCCTCGCTGCACGTCCGCCGTCCGACATAGCGGAAGATGAAGCCGAGCCCCTGCATCAACAGGTACTGGCGGTTCTCGGCCTGTCGCTTGAGCGCCCAGTGCACGTACGAGAGCCCGATGCAGAGGCTGATGGCCGGACTGCCCGGGTCGACAGCCAGGGCACGCTGGTAGTAGTTGAGCGCAAAGTGGTAGCTGGCCGACGCGAACAGGATGTGGCCGTAGGTGACGAGAAGACAGACGTCTAGGCCAGCAGCCGCGTCTGCGCCGGTCGGGTCCAGTCCGGCCTCGCGGGCCTGGCGTGCCAGCGTCTCGTCACGCTGCCGGATCTGTCGCAAAATGTACTTTTGTGCCGGACTGGCGCTGAACCAGGCCAGAGACGAGGCCGATGACGAGGTGGAAGACGAGGCCGATGAGGCCGACGGCGTAGACGATCGACACAGCCGACACATGGCGGCAAACAGACGGTAGCAGTCGGTCGTAAACGGCCGGTCGCGCATAAAGTAACGGGCCACAGCCACGCACGTCTGCTCGTCACCAGCCCGTACGGCGCACGAGGCCCAGGTCAGGTGGATCAGAAAGGCGCTGTCGTGCTGTCGATACACCGTCGAGTCGTGGGCTGCCTGGCAGACCGCGTACGCCTCAGCCGCCCGTCCATTGTGTGCCAGGCCCAGGGCATACTCGAGGAAGAGCGCCAGCCAGTCGTCAAACGGAATGCCACGGAAGTCGCGTCGTGCTGCTGGCGTCTTGTCAATGGCGTCGGTTGGGGTGAGATCTGATTAGTCAGCATCATCGTTTTTTTCGGTCCCTTCATTCTTCCTTCACTTTCTCGATCCACTCACTCTGTTTCAGCCTCTCGGCCAAGGCTGTCAGATCACTGCCTGTGTCTGTCCCTGCTGGCATAATTCCTCCCCCCCCTCCTCCCCCTTCCCCTTCTCGGTCCTGCAGAAAGTTGTTGTACCCCAGAAACTGCACGTACTTGTCCCACGTGTAAAACTCGCGAAACGACCGGAAGTCGTCGATGAGCTCCTGTGCTGCCTCCATCCAACGTGCTGTCGCAGCCGCGTCGCCGCCGTCCGCCCGCGCCTTGACCTCGCGGCAGAGCTGGTAGCGTGCCCGCAGCCGTGCCGTCGTCTCGGCCTCAAACTCGGCCTGAGCTGCCGGACTGGCAAAGAAGCGTCGAGCATGACCTCGGACCACACGGCGATGCGCTATCGGGTTGCCGTCCGCGTCAACGCCGCCACCACCGCTGCCACCAGCCGCGTCGTCGCCGTCGCCATCGCCGCCGCGCCGTCGCCGTTTGTTTCCATCGCCTCGTCGGTACTTTCGTCGTCGTCGCACCACTTTGCCATCACCATCCAGAAAGACCCGATAGGCGGCCGTCTCCAGGCTCGCCGCATGGCCACGTGGCCGTCCGCCCGGCTTGCTCGTGTTGGTGTGCAGATGGGCGCTGGCCTGCACGTTCGTGTTGCCGTTGCCGTTGATGTTGATGTTGCTGCCACTCTTCTCTGGACCTCCTCTCTGGGCTTCTAACGACAACGCCTCGTTCACCAAAATAAACGCCTGTTCCTTCTCGTGCACCTTCTCGTACATCTTGGCCAGCTCAAACCGTGCATCCACATTCTCCACGTCCGCCTCGATCGCCGCCAGGAAACACTCCTCGGCTGCTGCCTGGTCGTGCAGCTCTAGGTTGCATTTGCCCTGCACCACCAACGCCTCGGCGTCTTCGTCAAATCCGTCGTCACCGCCAGTCCCCCCACCACTGCCCTCTATCACATCCCCGTACTGGTTGTACTCCACCGCCCCCGACGTCATTGCCGGCCGGTTCAGCATCCGGTACAGGTCCAGGTACTGCAGCGCTAGATCTGATCGTCGTGCTGCGTGTAGCTCCATGCCCAGGTCTTTGAGCAGGTGTGGTGTCGCCCGCATCGTCTCCGTCGTTCCGGCATCCTGAGGGTCCAGCCACAACAGGTGCTCGATCGCCTCCTCCTCGTGTCCCAGCTTGAGTCGATACACCGCCAGCTTCGTCCGCAGGTCCGTCGGCAAACCCTCGCCGTATGTCGACCCCGGATACCGTCCGCGCTGAAATCCGGACAGTCTGACCCGACGTGGCTCGTCCTCTCGGTCCCACTCGCAGTCGTCATCGAGCTGCTGCTGATGCTGTTGCCGCTCCCAAAACGCCGCCTCGTCCGCTGCTCCCCGGCCCAGCATCCAGCGTGCCAGCCCCTTGAGCGCCGTTATCGCCTCGTCGTACCGTCCCATCGCTGCAAACAGCTCCACGTAGATCGTCACGTCCATCCACGAGAACACCTCGCCGTCTTCACCTTGCAGCTCTGGCACCTCTACCAGCTGCCACTGGTACTGCCCCCCTCCTCCTCCTCCCACTCTCCCTTCCGCCCTTCCCTCTTCCGCTTCCGCTGCTGCTGCTGCAGCTGCTGCCGCTCGGCTTCGCCGCTGCAGGTTCCCAATCGCTCGTCGGTATGCCGCAACTGCCGCCCGGATCGTCTCTTCCCCCCGCACTGAGTCGTACGATGCCTCTGCCAGGTTGCGAATCACCTGCAGCGCATACGGCCGTCGCTTTAGCACCCGCACGTACTCCGTCGCCGCGTTTGTCGCCTGCCCAAATTCTAGGCATACGTTTGCCTTTCCCAGTCGCGCTGCAATGTTGTCCTTGTCTGCCCGGATCGCCCCTGAGTAGCAGAGCCGTGCGATCTGCAGGTTCTGCAGCCGCCGCTTCTTTCGCCCCCCTCCTCCTCTCCCACCTTCCCTCTCATCGTCCTCTTCCCCTAACCCTTCCTCTTCTTCTTCGTCTTCTTCCTCGTCTTCCTCGCCGCCCGCCTCTGCCAGCGCGTAGTCCGCTGTGCTCAGCCATCCCGCCACCCGCTTCGGCTCCAGATGTGCTGCAAACACCATCGCCATGATCGCCTCGTCTCGCCGCCCCAAATCCTCGTTGATCGATGCCAGCAGCGTCCACGCCGAGTGCGTCTCCGCATTCACCCGGATGATCTCGTGCAGCGCATCGAGCGCCTCTTCGTACCGGTGGTCCATGAACAATTGGTGCGCCTGCTGTAGCCGCAGCTTGACCTCCCCCGTCGGCTCCGCTGCCTTACGTGGTCCTCGTCGTCGTCGCACCGCGACGCCCCCGACGCCGCCCTTCTCCTCGTCTGACGGTCGGTACGAATGTCCCAGGTGCTCCGACAGAAACGCCTGTCGGCTCGCGTCCAGTCGCGCAATATCCGCCTGCAGCTCTAGGTAGTCCGAGTCCGCGTCCGACACGTCGTCGCCCACCTCTTCCCCCTCGTCGTCATGCATCGTCGAGTCTCCTGCTTCCATGTATGTGGAATCGTCCATCTCCATGTCGTTGTCGTCCATCGTCGCTGCTGTCTCCGTCAACGCTGCGTCTTCGCTAAAATTTGGTCACTGGATACCCAGAGTTTGTCGCTTCTGCCGCCCTTCACATCTTTTGCTTGCCGCAGCTTGTGGCCCCGTCTTGCACTGCCAAGACTGCTGTTAGGACCTGGGAAACAAAGTTGACGTTCAAATGCAAAAAGCGGGCCTTCTATTATGCGTACGGCTAGCTATAATTGCTAGCCTTGTCGCTTACTAACATCATCACTCCGCACTCTCTGCAGCAACTCACTACATTCACTATTGCACTTCTAACTTCTAACCCAGCACGTCAAGACGCCGTCTCTCGCGTTCAGTCTTCGAACTAGGCCTGCGGTGCCTTCTTCCTTCTATACACTGTTTTCATCCTCATCCCTTTCCCATATCCTCCAAGCATGCAAGCATCATCCTGCGACCTTTTCAGCCTAGCTCTCCCACCCTATCCTCTTTTAATATAATAAGTGCATTCGAATCACACGGAAGCGTCAGAGATTCTGAAGAAATTCAACTGAAATAAAATTCAAGCATCGCAGCATGACACCGGCTTTGGTTGGCGTTGCTCTGCAAACTGCCTACGGTCTTGCATTGCCAGGAGAGCTCGCCTACGACGAAATCTTGCCGTCCGCTTTCGCCTCTGCAACCAGTTAGCCAATGGTCAAGTCCAAGTCCACACAACCTGTGCCTACAACGTACCTTTCACCTGCTCAAACACCTTGAGCATCTTTCGCCGCGCCCCGAGCGCGTTCACGCCCCGCTCCTCCAGCTGTGCGTCATCCAGCTCGATCAGGTCCGTCCACTTCATGTCCTTAAGGTTGTCCGTGTACTTGTGCAGACGCAGGCTGCGGAGCCAGCTCGGGATATCCTGCAGCAGCGTCGGGTCTGTCGGATCCTCAGGTGGCTTCGAGCTTCCACGCCGTCCACGCGGCGACCGCCCACGCACCATGTCCGAGTGGTCCGAAAGGTATCCTTCATGGTGTCCTCCCAGTCCGAACTGCGACAGCCCCAGAGCCATCCCACCGGTCAGGAGCGGCGATCCATCGTACGCGCTGAGAAATCCATTGTTTTGTGGCGACGTGAACGGCATCCCACCAAAGCTGCCCTGCATCGCAATGCCCGGTGAACTGGGCCGCGACCGATGGGCACCAAACCCAAGCGGCGACTGCGCCTGGAGCCCAATCAGATTGTCGCCGCGCACAACCTGGCCGTGCTCGTTGACCATAACAAGCGTGTTGCCCGGCAGGTTGAGCATCGGCGCGCCCGGAGACAGCGGGTTCTGCGCCCCGGGCGAGTCGTTGGAGCGCGCACGGCGGTATTTGCGCACGTCGTCCAGTGCAAACCGGTTGTTCACCGTAGACAGCGCTGCAAGCTTCATGGCCGTCGCGTTCGCAACCATGTCGGCCTGGTTGCCGCTCTGCTGCGGTGTGTTGAAGTTGGCCACCATCGGCGTGTTCACCATCGACGCCCAGTTGCCGCCTCCCGTATACGGCGACAGCATCGGCAAGTCCGGCTGCTTGTCGGCCGAAATTGTCGTGCTCTGAATCTGTCCGCCCGACGTCACCGCAGGCCGAGGGGACCGCAGGCTGGCCGACGGCGGTGGCTGCACGAACTGGCCCATCGGCGGCTGGCCGGGCGATGGCGGCGGGATGCTGGGAGCAGCTCCCCACGGCGAAGGCGGCACCTGGCCGTTGGCAGCTCCACCAGCCGCAGCACTAGCAGCTGCCGTCTCGCCGGACGTCGTGATCGTCGGCGCCACGAGCGAGTTTCTCGGATCCACCGTGCTGTTCCGGTTGGACACAGGCGGGTTGCCCGTCTGCTGCGTGAACTTTGCCTTCTCCGTCGCGATCGCAGCAGCCGCATCGGGAAACATGGCATTGATGGTCGAAGGGTCTAGGCCGGACTGCCGTCTCGTCGAGAGGACTGAGTTGCGCGCCATCGAGTTCCTCGTCGAGTCCACACTAAGCCTGTTCATCGCGTCACTTAGCCGGTTCGACATGGGGTCTGTGGGCATCGGTTAGTCATAGATTGCCGGCGGAGGATAAAAAGGGGAAATAACCAACCCCTGTCAAAATTGGACGGCGAGAGAACCCCAGACATCGGGTGGTTCTTACCCATCTGCCGCAAGACTTGGATGAAGAACCGGATCTGCACCTGGGTCGTCTGCTGCAGCAGGGCATACAGCGCAGCCGTACGCTCGGCCTCGCTCAGGACACGAAACCACTGTTCGATGGCGCTCAGCTCGTCCTTGAAGTCCTGGTCGAGTGTGGCCGCAGCCATCTCCTCCAGCGTGGTCTCGTACTGATCGATATCGGCAATCCACTCCTGGGCAAGCTTCTCCTGAGGATCGAAATCCCCGGACTGGCTCTGGCTAGGCTGCGTCTGTCCATAAAAGTCAGACGATGGCCGAATCCGGCTGGTTGCGCTGGTTCCGGTCAGGGCAGCCACATCGGCAGAAGCCCGCAGGTGGGCGTTGCTGCCCACTGCACGTGAGGACGGCGGCCGCAGCGTCGTCTGGCTGGCCTCAGGTGTGCTCATCCGGTTGCTTGCAAGGTTCGACATATTGTTCATATTCGACAGTACCAGGGTCGCCTTTGGCAGGTAAGGGAGTGGAGCGACGGTAAGCTTAGCTTGGCTGCTCCAACAAGAAAGATGAGATGCCAAGGGTATAGGGGCAGAAGAAAGTTGAGATGACGGACGCTGGCAGCGTAGAAGAGATAAAGAACAAAACACGGTATGCAACTCGTAAAAAGAGGAGCCCAGAAAAGAGCTTTGGCCCTTTGGAAACCGACTAAGATAAAGGCCGATTCGCTCGCAGATGAAACAGGACCCAAGGGCTGTTCGCACAAAGAGGAGACGTTGGAGTGATCAGTGGCCTGCGAGAGGCAATGTGCGTTTCGAGATTTTCCAAGGATCAATGCTCAACAAATTACCGGGTGCGCGGACACGATCGCACGGTCTGCGGACACGGGGCTTGGAGATGAAAGAAGCGAAGTTGATGAAGCTCGGATTCCGATCAAGACCGGAAGAAAGGAGTTGATAAAGAGTGTTCGAGACTTAATCCAGCCGACGTTGCGGGAAACGAGGAGGGAATTGGGACGAATGTGTATATGGCAGCAGGCTGCTCTTTTTTTGGTTTGAGTTTTTTTTTCAATATTATGACGACGTCTTGTTTTACTTCGCTCTTCGGTCTTCAGTCTCGTTTTCGAAAGCGTTCTTGCAGCTCAGCTGCCCTGCGCACGAGAAGATGGTTTGGAGGTGTAGAAAGATTCTAGGAAGAAGAAAAGGAAGGCAGAAGGGTCCGAGTTAGCGAGTACGACTTCTCGCTAGGACTGTGGACACCAGATGGCGGCTGAAGCCAACCAAAGCCCAGGCACAGGAGGCCACCAGGGTGGGAAGGAGAAGCGGAGACCGTATTGGAAAGGAGGTAAGGGCTGGTCGGACTAGGGTGGAATCCCGTGGGTGCAGCCGCGCCGGCCAGTTCACAGGGCAAAACGAAAGAGCAACGGGTGATGCACGTTGCGAAGCAGACGACTTACAGGACGATGAGCCAGCAGCCAAGAATAGGCTGATTAGTATCTCGGAAGCTTCAGCGAAACGCAGGGGATGCACGAGACGGCGAGGTGGGGACAACTGCAAGCTGGTGAAAATGAAGATGCCAAAACGGAGAGATGAATCTCTAAAGCCCCGTCCAGGAGGAGGAATGCGGCATATAAGAATCGGGACAAAAAGATAAAGAGGGGGCGAGGGCGGGGAAGCCAATATCCAACAGGACTCGCCGCGTGAACAAGAAGCAGGAGAGGACAGCTGGAGGAGAGAACCCGGAAGATGGATGCAAAAGAGCACGTTGCCTAGTGGAGAGAAGGGGCAGTCGGAGAAAAAAAATAAAGACTCCAAACGGTGGGCTCAACGCCGGTAGACCGCCTATTAGAGCGCCTAGCGCACAGAAGAGGGCCCTGAATTGCTAGGGCGCTCAGCCCGATCGTGGACAGGAGGCAGACACCCCCCGATAACAGGCCATACAGCTCACCACACGAATACGGCGAACAACGTCATGTCTTGTATTGGAATCTTGGAAACAAGCGTGAACAGGGGTCAAGGAAGTGAGGTAGCTTTCTTCCTTCGAATCTGGAAGGTTTCAATACTTTGCCGAGTACTCTGGAATTATAGTTGGGGAGCTTCCGTCGAAGCGAAATATATCTCTACAAAACCCAGTTTGCACCGGGCTCCGAAGTCCTATTTAAAGAGAGGCTTCGTGATCGGCTGCAGGTCGAACCGGCCTGGCTTGAACTACATAGTTTTTGGACGTCGTGGAGCCGGTCTCTGGGCGGGATACTGCACGATAAATAGCCAGACCGCTCGTACACTGACGGCTTAGCCAAAAGCTTTGATTGTCCCCCGTCATTCATGCACCCATTTGCCGATGGGAAAATATAGCAAGGGTGTTTGGTAATAGTCGGGAAGAGTTTCCTCTTAATCTTGGCACGAAGAAAAATCCTTCAGCATTGAGCAAGGGAAATGAAGCTCGCTGCTGTACACACTAATGCCGTATGTTCTCTTCTCACATGAATGAGCTTTCTCCCCGAGCAGAATTGAAGGGTTCTGCGAGAAGAAATGCGTCGGTGAGGTAGATAAGGGACAAGGGAAAGGGGGCTTGGGATCGCCTCGCAACAGCCAGCCAGTCCTCTCAATCCGACACTCGCTTCGAGGGCAAAACGATGCCGCCGCTGAGAGACTGCTGGCCGTTGCTCATGGTCACGGTCTCGTCAACGCTGCTGCAAGGCACGCTGCGAGGAACGGGATGCCACAAAAGGAGGGAGGGCCGCCTTCTGTTGATAATTTGTTTGGATTCTCCCCCTGGGTTCTCATCGGTACCGTTCCCGCGCAAAAGAACTCCCAAAAAAGCAACGAACTTTGAAAAATTTTCCTTATTTTTTGTTATTCACTTCGGTATCCGTGCACAGTCGTCCATCTCGTTTATGCCGACTCCCGCTTGCCCTCCTTAAACTCCTTCTGTGAAAATGGTTAGCAAGACAGCTGTCTTTCCCGACTCGATAACGCTATTGCGGGACATTGTCGAATGAGAGGGTATTCTCGTACCAGAGCGCGGGCAGTGCCGTGCAGAGCATGTCTGTGGTTTCTCCGGAACTTGGGGTCGGTACCGTTCAGCGACGGGTAGCGAGACGTCTTCGGCTTCTTGATGCTGCGAGGTGAAGTCACCGGTCAGTCTTTCATTCTCGTCCCAATGTTCTCTCCATTTCTGTCCATCATATGCTTGTCTTTCGTCCTCCTCGCATCAAAAATCGGCTCCAAACATACCCGTTCCGGTGCGCCTTGCGCGACTGGTTGTGTTGCGACGAGTTCTTGGATTCTAGAGGAGAATGTCAGTAGACTGGCGTATGCAGAAATTCGAGCGTCTTTGATGCACGTACTGGCCATGGCGACTGTCTTTTTCTCGTTCCTTGATCGAGAAGTGTGAAGAGCGTTATGTTGAAAGGAAGTGAAAGACTAGGGCAGAATATGGAGGAGAATTTTGATTTGTGCGAGAAAAGGGCAAACCTCGAAATTCGTGTGGCTTGAAGCGGGACAGCCACATATGTCACGTGACTACACGGCTGGTCGGTTTTAGCCCTGTGTGGGGAACCGACTTTTTGTCATCGCCCTTGCTAATATCCCATCTTCAAGTTATAAGACATAGCTTGCTCGCGTTATTTCTCTACTATGTAAGACTACGGAGTACGGAGTAATGAAACTAACCCACTAACAGATGCCCAATGACCGTGACCGGACAAGCCACGATATTTATACCATCCCAATTCCACAATACGATTCAGCCCCCTCCATGCCGTCGAATCCGTCCTAATGTACATGCGTTTATTTGGTGATGCTAATGGGTGCAATCGTGTTCTTTAGAGCAGCGGCAGCACCAAGTCTAGCGAGCTGATCAGACCGAAGCTTGCGAAGATACCGGACAAACAGAATAAAGAGAAGTTCCACCCTGCAGCAATGTTAGCGACCACGACAATAAAAGCTGCGAAATACTCCATACCTCTCCTTGGCCATCATTAAGAAGCCCTGGACCAAGAGGCCTTTGAGAATTTGGGGGCCGATGCCCTTGAACAGGCCGAGTGGGCCCTCGTTGGCAATGATAAACTGCATCACCTCGACAAAGCTCTTGAACGGCTTGCCATTCCGAGCCGGTGGTGGCTTGGACTGCAGGCCAACCTTTGCCACAATAAGGGGTTGCGTAGCAATAGTGGCCAGGGCCTTGGACATGGCGCCCAGGACTGTGACTGGTCAGCAGGGCGAGGCGAATACGAGCCCGGACGAAGCTAGAAATGGGACCGGACGCACCAAAAGCCTCCCATGGCCGGAGGCTACTCCTGCCAGGAAACAAGACCTGTTTTAACCGCTCGTAGGCGCCGTAGGTAATGGCCGGGTTGACGACGAGGACGAGGCTGGCCTTGAGGCCGCGCCACAGGCCAGAGACGCCATCCTCGCTCTCGATGACCTCCTTGGCGGTGGCGAGCAGGCCCTTTCGCTCCTCCTTGGACTGCGTCTGCTGGCGCGTGGTGACGACGGCCACGGGGATGGTGAAGATCTGCGCAATGGCACCGGCAGTGGCGCCAAGTGACAGCTCGACGGCGGTGGACGGCGACGCGCCGGACTTGGCGGTACGCTCATGCAGCGCCCGCACGATGGAGTACCAGTAAAAGTAGGCAAAGTTGGTCGAGGCGACACCGATCAGGGCGCCGTTGATGCCGGCATACAGGCCGAGGACACCGTCCTGCTGGACGATCTTGGTCATGGCATCCCAGGTGGAGGCGTAATGTGGTGTCACACTGGAGCTGGTGGTGGTGACCTCTTTGCCTTTCTCGTCATCCTCGATGGTCTGCTTCACCTGCACCTGCAGCCGGGTCTTGACACTACACGCGGCGACCTGTCAGCAGAGAGCGGGCAGCAGCATGGCGGACTAGCTAGCTAAGCGCATACATGTCGAGGGGATACACCAAGGCGTTGGCAACAACAGCACCAGCAGCACCGGCCGTCGCCTTTCCCCATGGCCCTATGACCGCCGGCTTGGAGTGGGCAGGCATATGCTCGGATCGTGCTCGTGCGCGTTGGTCATGTAATGTCTTATCCAATGAGATGGCAGGTGAAAGGCCTTGCGTAGATGTGCCGGAAGGGCGGTCCGCAGAAGAATTGTCAACTGCCGGAGAACAGAAAAAGGGATTCTTGAGCAGGACCCCAGAAGGGAGACAACGTAAATAAAATAAATAAAATAAAATAGAAAAAGAAAAAGAAAAAGAAAAAGAAAAAGGAATAAAAGCAGAGGGATACGGGCGGGTAAATCAACCGAGGAGTATTATGGCAAATCGGCCACTAGGAGCATCTGGGAATGGGTGTCATCACTGCCGCGAGACCTCGGCCATATCTCACATGTGGTTGGGGTACATATGGATGGGCGCTGGAGCCCCGACCTCCACACCTACGCCATAGCATGGCACCATTCCGCTTCGAGTTCCAGTGCAGTACGGAATACGTGGGATGACTCAGCCGTGCACGGTTGTGCTTCCCCGCCACAAGCCCCACTGAAGCAGCGTCGCCGTGCCCGGAAACAACGCGTAAACGGCATTGTGCCTCAGTGTGGCTCCGACTTGGCTTGGGAAGGCGCAGTCGTTGATTCTGCCCGGTGGCCATAATCTGCACCCAAGGACACAAGGCTGGAACCTAGCAGTTTAAGACTTTAAATGATTGCAAGCTATACGCCTTTCCCTATCGACGCCAAGAGAACAGGAAGTCTGGTAATGCATCATCCTCTCGAACCTGCCGATGTCATGTCAACAATACCGGCAACTTGAGCTGGTGTCATTTCTCTTCCTCAATGCCACCGGACGTTAATCAACCTCAGAGACGATGTTAACGACACAAATAGAGGCACAAGCCAAAGTACGCCCCCGTTCCTCCGCGACACAGAGCTCTAGCTGACCGTAGAGCAGGAGCGGGAAGCGCTGGCGAGCCAATCTGTGGGACAGACGGCATTGGATCATGTCATTACTGCAGTGGAGCTTTACATGAAAGCCGTGCAAGAAGCCACGAGCCCGGTCGAACGAAGCCGTCTCCGGCGGAAATGCAAGGAGCTCATGGCACATGGAGAGCGCCTCAAGGCGGCGGCAGCTCCGGTAGAAGCGGCCATGTCGTCGTTGTCACTTAAAGGCGCTGCATCGAGCTCGGAGCCCAAAGACCCCAACCCAAGACTGTCTCGGGAGCTGTCAAAAAAAGAGCAAATCATCCTCCTCCGATCATCTCGCCTTCATGGATCTCTGTTTCCGCCTTGGGAGACAGAACCACCGAACGATATGTTCAGCCTCTCTAATTCGAGCAGCGCTCTTTACGAGTATGTTGGCATGAGCCTTGCAGGGCTTATATGGTAGTTGTCTTTCTCTTGGTTCTAACACTCTCTCGGCATTGTTGACAGGGACAATGTGGAATTCTCCATGTCAAAACAGCAATACAAGGTGTTTGCAGGCTGGAGACGGCCAGCTGAACTTTTCCCAGAGCACAGCCAAGCCGACGAACAGCTTGCGCAAGACGCGCAAAGCAACATGTTTATGCTGGCAAACCAAGAACCCGACTTGGTACAGGACATCACAACGGACTGTTCCGTCGTGGCGAGCATATGTGCAATCGTAAGGCATACAACGGGCCACAGCGACCGGCCATCGCTGCTGTCAAAGATTATGTACCCGTACGACCACTCGAATGACTGGCCTCTTCTTTCGGAGAACGGAAAGTACGTCTTCCGCATGTTTTTCAACGGAGCCCCCCGCCGAGTGGTTGTGGACGATAGGCTGCCGTCATCGACATCGCGAACGCTTTTTGTGGTTGACCGGCAAAACCCGACGCTGCTCTGGCCAGCACTACTGGAGAAGGCGTACCTGAAAGTGCATGGCGGTTACGATTTTCCCGGAAGCAACTCAGGAACGGATCTCTGGGTCCTCACGGGGTGGATTCCAGAACAGATCTTCATCCAGAGCAAAGAGGAACAGCCAGATCTTCTCTGGGAACGCATAAAAAAGGCTTACGACAGCGGAGACGTGATGCTGACCTTGGGAACGGGCCGTCTTTCGGCCGAGGAAGAGGGACTCGGCCTCGCCGGCGAGCACGACTATGCGGTCCTGGACATACAGGTGGACATGGCGGGCAACCGCCGGATGCTTGTGAAGAACCCGTGGTGCGACAATCTTGTGTGGCGCGGGATTGGCATCTCCCCAGATGCGGCACTGCCTGAAGCGACCTCCTCGAGCACCGTTCCGACGGCGGCACCGATGACGGGCACGTTCTGGATAGGATATGAAGACATCTTGCAGTACTACGAGACGCTGTATCTGAGCTGGAACCCAAGTCTCTTTTCCCATTGCCAGCACCACCACTTCAGCTGGACGCTTCCGTCCAAGGCGGCGGCACATTCGCTCGCACACAACCCACAGTACGCGTTTCAGCCTGCCGACGACGGGACGGTGTGGATTCTGCTGAACCGGCACTTTCAGGATGCCGATCTCGATTATGCGCGCCAGAAGCGATATTCAGAGCAAGCCGACAAGACGCCAGAGGATGCGGCAGCCGGCCAGCCGGGATACATTGCACTCTACGTGTTCGCAGTCGACGGACAGCGGGTGCAGTTACCGGACCGACCGCGGTGGACGCACCGGGTTCCGCTGGTGGACTCGCCGCAGACGCTGCTGCGGTTTGAGGGCCGCCGGGCCATGCGATACACAGCCGTGGTTTGGCACAGGCACAATTGCCGCTGCCGACGTACGCCTTCAGCCTGTCGTTCTTCTCGACAGTGCCGCTGCAGGTAGAGCCGGCCGTGGATGCGCTGGCCTACTACCAGGAGGTAGCGGACGAATGGTCGATGGAGACGGCCGGCGGCAGCGCAGCATCGCCCGACTTTGTGCGGAACCCGCAGTATGCCCTGACGGTGCCGACGGCGACGCCGCTGTCGCTGCTGCTATGTGCCGAGAGCGACGACGTGCCGCTGCGCGTCGACCTGGTGTGGGCCCGAGGTCGTCGCGTGGCCTCTCTGGCGGTGCGCGATCTGGTCGTCTCGTCGGGCGAGTACCATCGCGGCTCGGCGCTGGCGCTGGTGATGCCGCGAGGCGTGTCTGCCGGCAGCGTCCGTTCTGGTGTCGGCAGTAGCATTGGCAGCAGCGGCAGCGCCGGATTTGGGCCGGGGACCGTCGATGCCGGCACCTATACCGTGGTCGTGTCGACGTTTGAGCGCGGCCAGCAGACACGTCTTGTCCTGCGCGTGGGCTCGGCCGTTCCCGTGACCTTGCAGCCGATCCCAGCAGAAGACTCGGGCAAGCTCCGCACCTCTCTCGAGTCGCTGATGCTGATGCTGGACGGCAGTGATGACAATGGCGATGGTAACGGCAACGACGACGACAACACGCTGCGCTGGAAGGCCGTGATGACAGCGCCACGGCTCAGCACGCGTGTCAGCCTGATCGTGCAGGCCGTCGAGAGGGCAGCAGGTCGCACGTCGGGCACGGCCGCAGCCACGACCACAACAGCAGCTGCGGCGGCCGCGGCCAGCACGACACTCGTGCGAGTGTCGGTGGAGCGGGTGGCGACCAGCAGACGGGCCCGCGGCCACGAAGTGCTGGCATCCACCGGCAACGGACAGCTACTGGCCATTCCGGTGGCCGGACTGCGCATCGGCGAGATTAGCCTCGGAAGAGCCTCCTCGGCGGCATACGAGGAAAGGCTGGGCATCGGCGTGCCGACTGCGACGACCAAGGCAATGCCCGAGTTCCGCATCGTTGTCGAGGCCCGCAGCAGCTGCAGCGGACGGCGGCTGCAGCTACGGAACGTGGGCATCCGGGTAGACGTCCTGAGCACCGATCGGGTGCAGATTCAGCCCTGGACAGCTGCATAGCAGACGAGACAAGCAACAGGAGAGAGAGCGGGACAGAGTGAGACAGAAGTACGTAAGTTGAATCATTATTGTCATTCCTCATGGGTAACAGGATAAAGAGTCGGAGAAAGAAGGAGGGAGAACCTAAAAGAACTCCAAAACGCCGTAACCTACCCGTTCTCAGTGCCGTTTCCAAGGCATGATTGCCGCCTTTTATCTGCGCCATGGCTGTTGAATGGCCCAGACACCAATCCGCATCCCAGAAGAGAATAAAAAAGAAGAGAAAAAGTGAAGTGAAGTGACAGAAAAGAAGTAATAAGACACCAAAGATGTTTGTCACTATATACACCTGAAACATTTGCGATATGGCGAGTCTATATGGGAAAAGAAGAAAGAAGATGGCAACTGGTGAAAAAGCGAGGGTATAGAAGACGCGTATCAATGGCCGCCTGCCAGAGCGGTATAGGCGCATGACCTGAAATCAAAGAAGCATGGGGTGAATGTAAAAATGTACGAGTACAAGAAGGAAGAATGGCAGACGCATCAGGCAAGGCGCCGCCGTCGTCTCTGAGGCGCGCCATCTGGTCGCTGTGCCAGGACATCTCTCAGTTGCGGGTCATCCTTGGGCTTTTCTTGGTGGTGTGCTCGAACATGTCTGCCATTAAGTTAGCTGGGAATCCTCAGGAGGCCGACAGGACAAGAACACACCTCTGCAAGTTGTCCGGACGTGGGTATTTGTGCTCTCGATCCGGACAGAATGGGCAGATGTAGCCAGGTGAGTCGTGCACCAGTCCGTGGCGAATCATCTCATTTTTGCGCTTGAACCCATAGCCTGGTCGGTTGCGTGGGCACCCATTCACAGGGCAGTAATGCGGTCGCGCCGACGAGTGCACGTTTGCGTGGGAGTTGAGCAGGTACTGCGTCTGAAAGGGCGGCGCTAAGCAGCCCGGCTCCCTGCACCGAAAGTTTCCTTGTGCCACATGTGTTGTCGTTTGCACATCGATGGGCATCTTGTCGCCTTCCGAGGTGCCCGGGGCATCTTTGCCTTGTATAGCTACCTGCCTCGCTGCTTGTGCTGGTACTGATGATGATGCTGATGCTGGGACTGGTGCTAGCGTCAGCGCTGCCGTCACCCCTGATGGTGCTGCCATGGCCGGAGCCAAGACCGGATGTGCTTGGCTGGGTGCCGGCCTCACCGAGCCCGTCCTGTATATGGCCGAGTTTCGTCGGTCATAATCCGCTCCTGGTGGTCTGCCAGTGGTGTATGCAGGGGCATAAAACGAGCCGCCGCCGCTGCCCGTAGTGTTGTTTTTCGGCGAAGTCAGGTCACTGTTGCGACGGAATGTGGAGATGGGCGAGATCGGGGGAGAACGACTGTAAACCATTGACGACAGACTTGGTAGGCGCCCGAGAGAGTCGGACAGAGGAGTAGCACCGATCCGGTGGTCGTCGGAAGCCGAGTCCGGTCCGGGTAGGTGTAGGTCGCGAAAAGGCGGAAGGACCGTGGCATTGTCGCTAATGCTGTTGATGTTGGTAGGACTGAGCGGCTTTATGTTGTTCTTCGCGTCGGTGTATTTGTACTCGCACTGCTGTTGGATGGGAGGCAGATGGTTGGGCAGTCTGGGCGTTGTGAATCCGGGAGACGCATGTGGATATGCAGAAGGATGCTCGTTAGGGGAGCTGATGGAAGATGGCGTCGCCCACGGCAGCGGGCCCTTGTTGACCACCGGCCGATCACCCCGTACCGCTGCCATGCTGGTAGTATCTTGGGGCGTTCCTGTCGACGCTGGCGTCCGCAGCTGGGTGTTTGTCTCGGGATACTCGCGAGCATACGGGTGGTTGCCACCATCCAAAAAGTGGCAGCCGGGAGTGTCCGTGTCGCTGACGGGCGAACGTTCTTCAATGCTACCCGGTTTCTTGTTGTCTTCGAGACTCAGCGCACCCAGGGCCATATCTTTCAGTTCGGGCCGAGCTGTCGGGGCCGCAATGGCACAAGGCTCGTCTATGACCATCTCGTCCTCATTATTCATTGCGTCTGGGTCTGGCCTGGCTATCAACTGGCGTGCAGTCAGGGCTAGTGTAGCTGTAGCCACGGCCTGCATGCTGTAGCTTCCAGGAACGCCATTCCCCGTCAAGGCTTGTGGGGACGCCGTCAAAGCAGGCCCGTCCAGGTCGGGCCTGTCGTGCTTGAAACGGGGCTCTTTCTTGATATCCACCGGGCCCATCAACCGCTCGCGTATTAATGTCGGCTCTATCTTCCGGGTCTTCTGTGCTGCATCGTCGCCCTTGTCGGATTCGTCGCTCATGCGGGCATCTTCTTCCAGCTCTTGTTCTTCGTCTTCATCGCCGTCGCCAATCTCCTGTTCGGCACCACTATCCTCATTGTCCTCGTCCACCTCATCTTCCGAGCTATCCGACAAAGGCTGCTCACTAGCCGCGTTACCAATGTCATTGTTCCGGTAGTTGCCCATGTACTGTATCAGCACAGCATCGCCGCGGGACGGTTTGACCTTGCGCCGACGATTAGATGTGCTCTGCCCGGGGCTTGTATGTAAGGAGTCACTGACTTGTGTCGGGTCCGGCGATGGGCTTCTCGACACGAAAAGCTCTAGCTTCCGGGCCTTTAGCAATGGGCTGCGCGGTCCTGCTTCGTCCAGATCGAAGAGGGATCCGAGCGTAGCGGCGCCATTTGGGAAATCCAAAGAGCTCATTGCTTCGCGATTTGTGAGAGTTGTGTGGTGTAGTCTATCTGGCAAAGGCGAGCCGTCGGTGTAAGGTTGGCTCTAACCATCCATGGAGGGTTCAAGAGGGCGAGCGAGCGGGAGATTTGGGTTGGTCGTAGAGGGGGCAGTCTGAAGAGCGGCACGACGCAGCGCATGGGTAGGACGAGAGGCAGGGAGCGTAACAACGGCTGCAGCAGCAGCATCGGGATGCCGCCGGGAAGGTATGAAAGAGCAATAGCTGAGTCGAACAAGGACTAAACAGAGGGTGGGCCAGACGAGCCAGACGGCAAAATTACTGCTCGCGTACGCAGCCCTGTCCTGACCCTCGCCTGGACCGAGGCTGCTCGCAAGAGAATTCCAGTGTTGTTTCTGCACTTTGATCACCAGGGTGTATCCGTGTCTGCGTACGAGACTCGTATGCGGCTCACTTAAAGCGTGTAGTCGGGGCAGCGTGTGGTAGGTGGTGTGTAATGTGGTGTGCAAGGTGGTATGCGTTGTGCGTCGTATGCGCCGTTGCGATTCGTGCTTTGTCGTGTTATGGTCGTCGGCAGATGTTCAGGGTATGGCTGGCAGTACGGAGCGAGACCGCCAAAGAAGCAAACAAAGGTTGGTAATAGGCTGTCCTGTGGTTTCAGGTCACACCAAACGTACGCGGTACGCGAGAGACGGTGCAAGATGGAGCCAGACGGTGCAAGACGGTGCAAGACGGTGCAAAAAGAAACGATCCCTGTCTGGTTGATCCGGGGGTTGCTTTTTCGTATACTATCGCGGATCCGCCGTTAACACAGAGGGGCGGATGGGGGGGTTGTGCTTTACGATTTGCGATTGGGGATCGAAGTCCTTCGGTTGGACCCTTGTGGGATAGAGTAGTGGATGATCCTCAATCTCTGAAGCCGAGAATGGAGAAAAGCACAGGGTCCGTAGCGCCAGACTGTGGTGCAAGGTGGGGACGGATAGCTCTGCAGAGCCCCCAGATGGCAGGTGCGAGCAGTGTATTCGTATACTCGAAGTCGGTGCTGAGGTCGTGCCGGCCAGTATCCGAACAGGAAAGAGCGGAACGTTGGGCAGTGGAGGGGCAAGAGCGGTGGTCGTTGTGGATATTACGGTGAGATTGTCAGATTCTCGGGCTGTCCTGGAGAAGGAGCGTCGTGGACTCGTGGGAGGAGGGGAAGGTGCGGATGCGATACTGGTTACACGTGTTGAGAAAAAGAAAGAGCAGGCAGGAAGGCTTTGACAAAAAAAAGAAAGGAGAAGGAACGCAGAAGCAGGGGATGGGGAACCGCAGAAGAGCCTGTTGGAGGGATTGCGATGTCAAATGACAAGACGGCACAATGCGTAAGACGTAGTCTCGCAAGGGAGGTATACTATGGCAACGCATGATACGTACTCGTACATAGTATCCACGGGGCCCCAGTCTTACGTGGGCGTGCAACGTACTGTACTTGGCACGGCATGGTTAATATTCTTATAATCATTACTCCTACTATGTCTTGACTACGAGTAGACCAGTCGTGTCGTGCGCGGAGAGGCTTAATTACGGCGGTTGGGCATTGCTACTATGTATGCATGGTAGAGAAAGAGGATGATCATTTTCACGCTTGATTCCGTAACCAGGTACGAATCGTTGCTGCAGATGGCACCTATATGACATTGTGCAGCATCAGAGAGAGGCGGCCAGGCGGCAGAGACCAAGGGGTGTGTGTTATACTATGTAGTGTGGAGCTGATATCTACTTCCAGTGGGGCACTGAGCCGCTGTATTCGTACATACAGTAGTAAGATACATAGTACGTCGTAGGGGTTGGGCAGAGCGCAGCAAGAAAGATGGAGTCGTACGCAAGAAAGCACTAACAGTACGTCGTAGGCACTAGCGGCTCTTTCCCCGTTGCGTGTCGGCAGGCGGCCAACTGTCCATCTTGCCCAAAGTGAGTGGCCAAAAACAAGAAAGCCGGCGGCGGCCGCCCGTTTGGTAAGATAAGGGCGCAGGGCTTCGCAGGTACGTATGTATCTTACTCGTACAGCAAAGGATTGGACAGTCTGCCGAGGGAGTAAATTACATAGTAACGAGAGGGGGCGATGGGGGCAGCCAGGGGCCACCATTGGACTTGCTTGCAGGCCGCGAGTCAGCATGTCCTTACTACAAGGAGAGTAGCGGCCAGCTGACACCGAAGACCTCTACGATGTACATAGTAAATATGCAGATTGTAGCTTCAAAACGAGGAGATCGGCAGCACCGGGCGCAAAGCGAAAAAGACACGGCCCCGTGTCCGAAGAAGCTGCGAGCTGCGTTTTACCGACGAATCAACACAGACGTAAGACAATCTCTTGCGGAGTGTTTGTATACGAGCCGTCGTAAGATAACCTGTATGTCCAAAAGGGTCCACACTCAGTATAGAGTACTCCGTGTGTTGCGGCTCATTTGCTCGAATAAATACGGAGCCTGTGCCCTTCCTGCCCAAAGTAAAGCAGCGCGGACTCTTTACCTGTGCGCGTCTGCAACTCCACCGTGACGCTCGGAGCTGAAAACCTGGCATCTGGCAAGAGCAAGTTAATTGATTCTGCGGGAATAACAACGCCGAAACAAGAACGAAAACGAAATAGCATCAGATAAACAGCGCCGCCACAGAATCTTACTATGTACTGTCGCGCGCTGGGCAAACCCTAAAACACGATACTTGGGCCTGTGACCGCCTTTTCAGACGAGTCAGGACAGGGAAAAGAAGGCATCCTGGGATCGGCCTGGCCCCCAGTCTTTCCTCTGTCGATCGGGGCCTCGTGGTAGCGACTAAAGAAACGAGAAAATACGGTCAAGCGAAACAAGGTCGAGCTTTCTTGGTTCGCCATTTTCTTTTGTCCCCCTCCTGCAAAAGGCGATTTAGCTTGCCATGAACAAGAGGGCGTACGAGGCAAATGCACTTTACCTGAAACATCCTAGCGCTGCAATGAGGACATGCCAGTGTTGTGAGAAACAGCACAATGTGGGTGCACATGCAGGTCAACCTTTAAGCCGCAAGCACGACTGCGTATACGATGGCACGTCAATCGACCGACGACCGGAGGATGCCTTGTCTTTGAGGAAATTGCCCGGACGGCGGATTTTCTGCAATTTGAAACATTTTAAACCTTTCCTAGGTGGGGATGGAGACTCGTAAGAGACCAGCAAATACGAATTACGAACTTGGGCTGGGGTTGCTTACGACGCCGTCCCCATACGGAGTAGCAGCGACTTTGCTACGGACAGCGTCCGAGGAAAAGCCCTCAGCCGATAAGAATGAGAAGGAAGGAAGGCGGGCAGGGATGTGGCCGCACTTGTTTCGTTCTTGCACCACGCATACAGGTAGGTACGCCCGGCATCCAGCCACCGCCCGACAGCTGGTGTCCAAATGTGCTTAATACGGAGTTACTATTGCATGAGGTGGACATAAGCCGCACGCCTCGGATATTTCTTGCTGAACAGAACGCGGGCCGGATAGAGCCCCTGTCAGCTATCCGACTGCAGTGCAAAGTGCCCTGTCCGTCCCGAAAGGTTTCCCGTCTGTTCACCGGTCTGCCGGCTACCATGCTTTGTGCCAGTCTCGACCGTCGCAGGATTACAGGCCCAACCTCGGCAGCCAGCTTGGGCGAAAAACAGTTAGACAAATCCAGGGAGACATTTAGCCGCGACTAGTTCCGAAAGCGGAATGGCTACAGCTTCAATTAGAGATATTCCAAGGAGGGGTCATGGGGCAACAGTGATGACATAAGCATCAGGCAAGAGGCTTTTTTGAGCTCTATTTCGTAGATGAGGGAGAAAACAAGGCCAGGAAAACACACAATCCAACTGCCCGCTTCGCACGATGACAGCAAAGACCATGAAGGCAGTCGTCTTTGACGGCCCGCACAAGATTTCTGTGCAGGATCGACCGGTACCGCAGCGTAGGTCCTCCGTCCACGTGCCGCTGCATCGGACAGACAGATGCGCTTTCCAAGTACGGAGTACTAACCGCCTCCCTTCTGCTGCAGTGCAGGCCGACAACGACGTCATCGTCAAAGTCCAAGCCACCGCCCTGTGCGGATCGTATGTCTCACGCCGGAAGCGGCACTTCTGATTGGGACCTTGTAAGACACATTGTGCGGACCGACTGACTCAGCCGTGTCCAGCGAACTGCATGTCTTCCGCGGTCTCGAGAAGGCCACGCCCGGCTTCATCATGGGCCACGAGTTTGTCGGCACTGTCGTCGAGGCCGGCTCGGCCGTCAAGACGGTCCAGGTCGGCGACAAGGTCGTCTCGCCCTTTACGACGTCCTGGTAGGGTTGTGTCTTTCTTTGCACAGCGCCGGCATCACGATCCGAGCATTCTGACACGCCCTCCAGCTTGGAGTGCTTCTACTGCCAGCACGGCTTCTCGTCACGCTGTGAGCACTCCGTCCTGTTCGGCTGTCTGCGACTGGACGGCGGACAGGCCGAATATGTCCGCGTTCCCTGGGCCGATGGAACTTTGCTGCGGGCACCGGCCGAGGTGGACGACCGGACGCTCGTCCTGATGGCCGACATCTTCCCGACCGGCTTCTTCGGCGCCCGCAGCGTGTTCCAGCTGCTGGCGCCCAACGTCGCGCCAGCCGAGGCCGTCGTCGTCGTCGTTGGCTGTGGGCCCGTCGGCCTCTGCGCCGTCATTGCCGCCCTCGAGCACAAGCCTCGACACGTCTTCGCCGTCGACAGCGTTGACAGCCGTCTCGCGCTGGCCCACCAGCTTGGCGCTGAGCCCCTCAACTTTGCCACCGACCGTGACGGCATGGTTCGCCGCGTGCTCGAGGTGTCCGGTGGCCGTGGTGCCGACGCCGTCATCGAGGTCGTCGGCCTTAGTCCGGCTCTGCGCACGGCCTACGACCTGATCCGCCCCTTTGGCGCCATCAGCTCCATCGGCGTCCACAATGCAGAGGCAGGTCCCGTGACAGATGTACAGGTGTAGCTCGATCGGTCCGCTAACATGCCGTCCACCCTCTTGCTCAGGTCCCATGGTCGGCAACTGATGGATACGAGTGGGTTTCTTTCATTGCTTTCTTCTGGCTTCTCTTCTTTTGGTTACAGTCGACACTTTCGCATTCGTTGCTCACACTCTCTCTAGCAAGAACGTGCGTTTCCAGCAGGGACGCTGCCCGGTGCGCTCCATCTTCCCGGACGCGCTAGAGGTGCTGGCAAAAAACCAGGAGAAATTCGGGTATGTCTTCGCTGTCCGCTTGTCGGCCGGAAAATGTGTTGTGCTGACCTGATAACACTAACGCCAGGTTCATGTTCGACAAGATTATGCCGCTGACAAGCGCTGTGGAGGGATATGATCTGTTCGACAACATGAAGGTGCAGAAGGTCGTCTTCACGCCGTGAGCAGGCATCGACAGCAGGCCTCAAGCGGAAAAGACGTCCCTTGTAAAAGGAAAAGAGGGGTCGGAAAGGTGTACTCCGTAGTTGGCTGTAGGATAGGCTGTGTCATCTCTCTCGTGGACCCTCTATGCCCCTCAATTCAGTTCTGTCTCGGCTTCACGATGCCATCCTGCATGACATAATAGACCACCGTCGAGTCGTCCTGAACGATGGCCAGCAAAAGGCGCTTGCTCCGTTTGGCGTTCCGCCACTTCTTCCACTGGGCTGCCGTCTCCTCTTCCTGCCCCTCGTCGGGAGATGCCGCTTCGGCCTCGACTGCTGCGGGTGGAAGTGGGTCGATCGAGTCGAAGATGGCAGCAAACTGGCTGATCGTGGGCGTCTCGGCCAGATGCATGGGCAGCACCCACTCGTGCTCGGGTGGCTGGGCGATGCGGCGGCCGTTGCCAAGAGCTCGCTCCGCACGCATGAGCTCGATCTGCTCGTCTGGGTGGATGTACACTCGCCGTGGCGGCAGACCAGAAAGCAGGATCCGCTTGCCGCCCGTTCCGGTACCACTGCCACTGCCACCACCGTCGTCCTGCTCGTTGTCGGGTTCGTAGTCATCGCCATGGGTCTGCAACTGTGTCCAGTCCTGCTGGTTTTCCAGGTTGTTCCGCACCACGTTTGCCAGCTGCCGAAAATGGCTTCGAGAACGTCCGGCTGTCATTTTAAGAGACGGTGGCAGTGTTGCAATACAGCAAAAGACTGGCCGAACCGACTCAACGATAAGAACCAACTCGAACTTGGTCAGATCTTCTCGCGGGCTAACCGAGATTTCTTAGCAGCATCACGTGGCTGGCCTACTGTAAGAGTAGATACGTACCCGTTGACGTCAGGGCGCATGCGGCGGAGCTCACAGGGGTAAAGGGGCGCCGGCGTACGCCGTGCCCACGTCTGCGGTAGGTTATCTGTTGTTCACGCAGCAAGCAGCGAATCGTTACAGCGCTACGGAAGGTCCCAGCGCAGCATTGTCATGTGCTAAAATTTCTGCATTCCTCGCAAATGGAAAATCGCCTTTGTCCATTGAGGTCGGAAAAGAAACAGGCTGTGAACACAAATCCCGCGGCAACCTAACATCGTATCCGTTCTTTTCGGGGTGCATTTCTTTCGCATCCTGCTGCGTTCCATTTGTCTTCTCCTCTGTTGCTCTGCTCTGGACTCCCCGTTCGCATTGTTGCTCCGCACTCAGATCTCAGATTGCGCCCCTTATTCTTATTTCCTCTGTCAACCCACTTATTTCCCGCCGTATATTACTCGGAACCTTCCAGTGCCATCTCGTCCACAGGCTGCCTCTTTTTTTCCGCTGCACGCCACGCATACGAGTAGTGTCACGGAATTTGACGGCACAGACGAGAAAAGTCGCCACCGCGCCATGGCGACACCACCTGGCTCTGGCTCGGGCTCGGGCTCAGCCTCTCCGGGTCTCGACTCGTTTCCTCAGGTTGCCATTGAGATGACCTCGACGCCTAGTACGGCCAACCCTGTGCGCGAACGACGATTCTCAAACGCCTCTTCCATCCCTCGCCGGCTGTCCAAGAGCTTTCAGGAAGCCGAGCTGCCCACAGGCTTTCTCGGTGCCACAGCAGATATGACATCGTCCGTCTTTGTTGCCGGCCGCACACGATCGAGCAGCGGCCGCACGCGGTCGAGCACCGGCGGCCGCACTCGGTCGTCTGTCTCCAGTGCCAACGACGACAGGACGCGGCCTTTCACACAGCAGCGACTGGGCGCTATCCGGACCGAAGACACGACGTTGGCGATCCTCGAGGAGCCCCAGCGTATGTCCGTGTCGTTCGACCAGGCTCGCAGCCGAGGCGAGGGCGAGAAGTCGATTGCCAAGTCGGATGAGCCGACAATCGTCGCAACAAGCGAGTCGCACGATGCCTGCAGTGGACCGGACGACGGCACTGATGTCAGGCTGGGTGCCAAGATGCCCGCAGCCAACGCTGACGCCGCCGAGGGCAGAGAGTACGACAACGGCTACCACTTCCCGCCGCAGTACTCCAAGAGCGACAACTTTCGCCACGCCGCCATTGCCTTTGGCAAGTACATCCGCACGCCGGTCGGCTTTCTGGTCCTCATCTACGGCCTCAACGTCGTCGCCTGGGGCGCCATGCTGTTCTTTCTGCTGCTGGATGCTAGCCCGGCCATGTGTCATCCGAGCTGCGGCAACATCAACTCGCCGCGGCGCATCTGGGTCGAGATCGACTCGCAGATCCTCAACTCGCTCTTCTGCGTCACCGGCTTCGGCATGGCCCCCTGGCGCCTGCGCGACCTCTTCTTTCTGCTGCGCTTCCGTCTGGCCAAGAACCTGCTCAGTCTGCGCCGTCTCGCCGGCGTTCACCGCGGCTGGATCCGTCTGCCCGGCTCCGAGAACCTGCCGCTCGACGTCGGTCCTACCAACATCCCCGACGACACGCCGCGGAGCGTCCTTCCCTTCCCCGAGTCCAAGATCCCCGACGTGCCGCTGACGGGCGAGCGTGCTCCGCCGACGGCGCTCTGGCGCGTCGACTTTGTCCTCTGGATGAACGCCGGCAACACCTTTTTGCAGTGTGTGCTGTCCGGCTTCATGTGGGGCATGACTCGCCACAACCGGCCGTCCTGGGCGACGGGCCTGTTTGTGGCGCTCGGCTGCATCTCCGGTGCCGTCGGCGGTCTTGGCATGTTTTACGAGGGCAAGCGGGTCAAGGGCATTGAGGGTGTGCCGTTGACGCACGAGGATTACGAAAAGCTGGCACAGGATCGCGCGTTGGGGATCAGCCACTACAATAACCTCGACGGCAAGAAACCCAAGGAGAAGGTGATAGACCTGGAGGCGGTCAAGGAGCCGGTCAAGTAGTTGTTTTTAGTGGCATTTGTCAGAGCGAGGCGTTGGTATCTGCTTGCGGTGGCCTTCTACTTTTTTTTTTTTTTCGTTCGTTCGTATAAGTACAAGCTAGTTTATGAAAAGTTGTCATGTCAATGCTGCATTGAGCAAGGGCGAGTCATCCACAGACAAATGTAATGGCTCTTGGGCCATCATGTCTGTACCGAAATATACTTTAAAGGTGGAGATAGGGTAAACCGTCGCAAATATATGTAAAGGGCAGCTTTGTCAATTTTTCGTTGTTGCAATATGTTAACGCCATACTCGTATGTCTTTTTCATATGATTGCTTTTCTAGAGTGACGTGGTTTAACGTGTTTTTCAAGGGTCGTGATTGCAGGCAGCAGCTTTTGAGTCCAGTCAATATACGGAGTACTCTGGGTATAAATGGTATGGTCTCAAGCCGTGCGAAACATGCGATTCAAAAGTGTCCAAGGTATAAGCATGGCTGGATTTGAAAGTATCTCATTTAACAAGGATATTAATTTAAAAGGACTTCAATTCCTAAAATAACTGTTGCGACTCATAAACATAGAACATTCAGGGAATTTCACTATTCAAGGTGCTCATAAGACGACGGGTACTACCCTTGGATAGATTGGTAGTTCGAGTACTCTAACGAACACGGGACATCCTACGAAACAGAAAAGAAGAAGTCTTAACGATTGCTTGTGACAGCCTGGTGACAATCGATCAAGTCCATCCAGGTTCCCGCCTTATCGCTTAAAGTGGCTCGGTCCCACTTCAGCCACACTACGAGCGCCATGTGACCCGTTTCGGCCATCTTATGCTCCAGCCAGCACCTTTCCCCCAGCTCTCTCCGTCCTGCAACACAGGTCGCCATCAACCGGGGATCTGGTCGAATCTACAAGACAAACAACAACAAAAAACAGACACCGGAAGAAGATAGCGCGACAGTGCCAAGCAGGACTAGGCACTCGCTGCACAAAGAGAAACTGATTGCGGCCGCTCCTGGTCGCTTTGTCGCTTCCGCTCCCTTGACACCCTTATCGAGTCCTATAGAAGCTCGCTTTTGCTTCCACGCGTCATCACTACGTGAAGGAGGATATTTTCCTCCTACTGTCCGTTCATCGTTTCGGGCATCGAACAATCCCGTCATCATGGCGTCCAAGCCGTTTGTGCCCGTCCTCGTGGCGATGATGCTGCTCACGGGTGTGTGCAACACGCTCCTGACCAAGTACCAGGTTGGTAGTTTGGAGAGAGGGATATGTGTACAGCACAGCCATCGAGAAGACTGATTGCTGACAGCCGTGTGCTCGCTATACAGGACAACCAGTGCGTGCGCAACTGCGACGACCCCGACCCGAAGAAGCATGTTCTTTTTGAGCAGCCGGTGCTGCAGACGGCGCAGATGTTTGTGGGTGAGATGGGCTGCTGGCTCGTGATCGGGCTGATCTCGCTGTACCGGCGCTATGTGGACGGCGGGTTGGCGGCGACGGCGGAAGACGGGTACGAGCCAGTGCAGACGGCGGACGAAGGTGCTGCCGACGACAGCGCCAGCATCCACTCGACGACGGCGCTGAATGGCAGCAAGCCGGCAGTACGGACGGTAGGCGAGCTGCGCGGTTTCGCGCTCCTGCTGCTGTCGCTTCCATCGATCTGCGATATCCTAGGCACGACGCTGATGAACGCCGGACTGCTGCTGGTGGCGGCGTCGATCTACCAGATGACACGGGGCGCGCTGGTGCTATTTGTCGGCCTGTTCAGCGTGCTGTTCCTGCAGCGACACCTGCACCTGTACCAGTGGCTTTCGCTGGCGGGCGTGGTGACGGGCGTTGCCGTGGTCGGACTTGCAGGCGCCATCTCGGCCGACACGTCGACCGACGCTGAGAGCGGTTCAACGATGACAACCGCGGCGGTGGCCGACTCCGGCACAGAGGCACTGCGGGTGATCACCGGGGTGCTGCTCATTGCGGGTGCACAGATCTTCACGGCGACGCAGTTTGTGCTGGAGGAGTGGATCTTGGAGCGGTCCACGGTGGCGCCGCTCAGCATGGTCGGCTGGGAGGGCCTTTTTGGACTGTCGGCCACAGTGTTGGGCATGGTGGTCCTGCATCTGACGGTGGGCCGCACCGAGGCCGGCCGGCTGGGCTACTTTGACATGGTGGCGGGCTGGCAGCAGATGACGGCAGACCCGCGGATCCTGATGTCGAGCGTACTGATCATGGTGAGCATTGGCGGCTTCAACTTCTTCGGCCTGTCGGTGACGCAGTCGGTTAGCGCGACGTCGCGGTCGACCATCGACACGTGCCGGACACTGTTCATCTGGCTGGTGTCGCTCAGTCTTGGCTGGGAGACGTTCAAGGGCCTGCAGGTGATGGGCTTCGTGCTGCTAGTTTACTTTACCTTTACGTTCAACGGGATCGTAGAGATGCCGGGACGGATGCTCAAGCCGCCGCGGCCGATCGAGGAACTGCTGCCAGAGGAGCCGGTGGAGCACATGTAGGGGCTGGTGGTAGAGGCAGTACGCGGCGAGGCAGAAGCAGACGGGATCGAAGGAGAACAGATTGACCAATTGGCGGACCGACAGATGTTGGCTAATAGAGACAGACGGGCATTGGCAGAGAAGACGGGGCGGAAAGATGAACAGACATTGTATAGTAAGTAACACATGTGTGTCTAGTTGGGCGTGTTTGGATAGATAGGACTGGTTTACAGTTGGACCCAATCTAGATCTGCGTTAGTACAGCTGTATCTAACATTCGACACTCTTGTGTTTCACCCGGAAGGTGCGCAGGTGGTTATATAAATGCAACAGCTCGCTCCTTCCTCCACGTACGGCCATAGATACTGGAAAGCACGGGATCCCGTCCGCTCTCCCCTAGTTAAACCAGTAATCGGCGGATTAGTAGTTGGGTCGGTGACGACCAGCGAATACCCGCTGCTGTACGTTTTATTTTGCCAGTTGACCCTGCAAATCTTTCCCCAGGTTGTCTTTTTCCTCGCGTTCTCCATTCTTATCCCTCTCAGTCCTCCCTTGGCGTGCTGTCACATTAATTTCGATTATGCGTCTGGGTTTCCCATTTTTGCCCCTATTCTTTCACATTCCTCCTCGTTGGCAAAACTGATAAGAGTACTCTGTACGGAGTAGTCGTATGGTCTGGCCCATGCCTTGACTGTCTCCATAGGTCGGAAATACCAGTCTACCGGGACCGAACGCTCTGAGATGACCGGGCAGATTCCCTTTGCAGGACTAAGCTGGATGCGGGCTTTTAAGGTTAAGCTGTCTCTTCTCTGTCGCTCATTCGAAAAGCCAGGGATGTTTTGGCGCGTTTCACCAGGGGCAAACAGTCAGGGGATGCGCCCCTCTTTTCGGGAAGAAGCTGAAAAGCAAGCTGGACAAGACGGGAATCTTGCCGGACGCCAGGGTTTTCTGGACCGAAACCAAGTCATGCAGCACTTTCTTGGACCTCCCTTTCCAGCCTCAGCTGTCGGACAGGTGTCGATTTTCAGTGCAACCTACTATGTATCCGAGACAATTAGCAACCAGGACAGATATCGAGTGGAGTCATCTCGGGGGTTTATACGCACGATGATACCTCAATCCTGAATGCTGCAGAGCAGGACTACAGAGTACATGCATAGTATGCCGGACATCGGATTACTTGTAAGATACGAGAATACGTGAGGGACCTTTTGTTGCCGTCCGAAAGATTCCCCTGCATAAGAAACACGGCGTGCTTCTGTTGGCTTTCTTATTCTTTCTCGTTATTTTGGCGCCAGCGTCTAGAACGAGCCCCCCACATCGCAAACGACGGACCGTTGTCGATATCCACCCACATGACAAACATAATTTTGCCCTCATTGGCTGCCACGCCGTGTTACCAGCGGGCTGAGAAGGCAGGATGTCTTGTATCCTGCATGTCTGTAGGATGTGAGTAGTCAGGAACCCGCCGCTTCAGCTTAGCCTATCCATCTGCAGGCTGCCAAGTCTTGATGGCTTGCTTGGCCTCCCTTCTTATTAGTCCATTTTCCGTTCTCTCTCGGCGCCCTCGCTCTTCCTCTTCTCGTTCTTCTTCAGGTTTCAACTTCTCGTGGCTGGCCCTTTTCATTCTCTCGTCCCTCCTTTGACATTTGTTCTCTGCACGTCGTCTTCGTCTTCCACTGTGCTCACTCCTTGCCAGCTTGAAGCGAAACTTACTGCCTTTTTTGTTTGTATCTTGATATCTTGTTGGGCATCATCTCCTTTAGCTGAACTGCCAGGCTTGCTTGTCCAACCTTACCTTCTTTCTTTCCGTGGACTCTATATACCAGAGAATTATAAACACACCACCAACACTAGGAGCACTGTAACGATCTAGAGAATCTGACACCCCTTTCACTCGATCTTGATTCCTCCAACATTTTAACAATGCGACTTCCAACCACTCTGGCCCTGCTTATGGCCACATTGGCTCCCATTGTCTCTGCCAAGGACTCACGCACGTTTGCCGTCCTGCACTTCCACGGCGATGGACCACTGACGCAGGGCCGATCCGACCCCATCGTCAACCCGGGGGTGATGGCGTTACACGTGCACACGATCCATGGCGGTAATGCGTTTGGCAACTCGGCGACGGGCGAGTCAATGCTCGAGTCGACGTGCAGCACGGCCGATATTGCGGCGGACAAGAGTGCGTACTGGATGCCGTCGCTGTACTTCCACGACGCCAACAACGGCTCGTTCGAGCCGGTGCCGCTGTTCTACATGAACGTGTACTACTTCTTTGAGGCGACCAACGACAACATTACGGCCTTCCCGGTTGGCCTGCAGATGGTCAGCGGCGACCCAGACAAGAAGACGGCGCCGGTCACGGGCAGCAATGTGTTGGACCCGGCGGATGGCACGATCCAGCCAGCGCAGTTTACGTGTCCGCGGTCCAGCTTCGACCCGCCGTCATATCCGGTCGGCTCCAACGGCTCGATGGCCGGCATCCAGGACACGGGCAACAAGGGATCGGGCGCGGGGTTTCCGTTTGCCGAGTGCGACGGCTACGCCTCGCCGCTGCGAGCAGACCTGCACTTCCCGTCGTGCTACAACCCGGAGGCCGGGCTGACGAGCTTCCGGACGAACATGCAGTTTCCCACAGACACAGGCGATGGCAAGCAGGACTGCCCGACCGGCTGGGTGCACACGCCACATCTCTTCTTTGAGATGTACTGGAACACACCGCTGTTTGTTGGTCGTTGGACGCCCAACGATGGCACACAGCCGTTTGTGCTGTCCAATGGCGATGCGACCGGCTTCTCGCTGCACGGCGACTTTCTCGCTGCGTGGGACACGGACGTGCTGCAGCACATCATTGACACCTGCGATGCTGGCGACTCGGGCATGGACAAGTGCCCTGGAGTTGAGACCGTGCTGAAGGGCGACTGCAGCATCTCCAACCCGACGCCGGAGGAGATTGGCGGCTCGCTCGCTGCTCTGCCGGGAGACAACCCTGTTTTTGGATGGCAGTATGGCACGGGCTCGGATACCAAGGCGAATTCCACAACTGCCAAGTCCACGGCTGTTACGACGGTAGCTGCTATTGTTTCTTCTTCTTCTTCTTCTTCTTCTTCTTCTTCTTCTTCTTCTTCTTCTTCTTCTTCTTCTTCTTCTTCTGCTGCTGCTTCTGCTGCTTCCACTTCTGCTTCCACTTCTGCTGCTTTTGCTACTTTTACATCTTCTGCTTCTTCTTCTTCTGCTACTTTTTCTTCTCCTACATCTACTTCTTCTTCTTCTACCACTCCTACCTCTGCTGCTTCCGCCTCTTCTGCTTCCACCCCAACATCATCAGCTGCCACTTTCTCCGCAAGCCTCTCTTCGTCGATCACATTCTCAAACGCCAGCACCACGTCGACCATTTTCATCGTCGTCGGCCCGGAGACCTCCAGAACGCTGCCCACGTTTGCGACTCACCACCATTTCACCAATACGTCGTCACCTGCGGCTGCTACCAGTAACGAGAAGCACCACAGCCAGAAGAGCAGCGGCTGCCGGTCACAGCCCACAACCACGGTGACTTACACCTTCACGCCGACGACAACGCTGACGACGACGGTTCACCAGACGACAACAACGACCGGGACTCACACGCCGAGTGGCTCGTTGCTGAAGGCACGGCAGGAACACGTGCGCCGCCACAAGCACCTGCACTTCTGAGCAGTGGACCGATTCTCCTTCACTTCTGCTCTGTATTTGCTACTTCTATGTGGCGTTCATGATGTCATGATCTTGGTCGGTGTCTCGCCTTCCAGTAGGAAAGACAAAAATGCTGGTATAAGGGATCCGACGCCCCCCTTCTGGTTTTCTCTTCTCGCGCTCGTTTATACGCATGTTCCATCTAACCCCTTGAGGGGTGTTTCTTCTTCTTTTTCTTCTTCTTTGGCCCCGACTGGAGGCATTATGTTTGGATAGTTCCGTTTGTTGGATTACAATACAAAGCAACACGGCCTTGCCGGAGGTGACAACAGACGTAAATGGACCGTGATTGTTATTGAATGTGTTTCAGTCGTCGAAGCCGCTCCAGTCGCTGTCGCTGTCGTTTGTAGCAGCCACAGCAGCCGCTTCATCGTCCCGGACAAAGGCAGCGACAAAGAAGCCCATGATACCGCGTTCGATGTCGTCTGGGTATGACCGAATACAGGCGTCGGCCACGGCGACGGAATTGATTGTGCTGTCGTCAACGCCGTCAACGTTCTGGGCGGCAGCAGGGTCTCCACGCACCGGCCAGGCACGCATGCCAGCGACCTGCTCGTCCCGGCGCAGCAGACGCCAACCGAAACGGGCGGAGGCGGAAGTCAGGGCGCGCACGACAACCTGCTCGTTCTCCTGGGCGTGGACAGAGCAGGTGGAATAAGTGATGCGACGGGCGGCCGGGAAGCGGAAGGCGTGCAGCAGCAGTGTGAGCTGGAATGCGGCCAGGGCAGTGAGGCGGGCCGATTCTGTTTCGGACTCGGTGACCGCATTTTCAGCAGCAGCAACGATGGTGTCTGCAGTCTTGGCGAAGTCGTGCTTCGCCGTCTTGTCGTCTGGCTGTCGGCCGGCAGGCCGTTTCCGTTTCTTGTTTGTCTTTAGCTGTTGTCCGGCCGTCTTCTCGGTCCCGCCCTTGGGCAAGTGGAGGACAGGCATGGTATCGCGACCAACAATGCCACTGCCGGAGCAGCTGGGGTCGAGCAGCAGTGCGCGGACATTGCGGTAGAGAGCGGCGGCGGGATCGACCTGCAAGAAGTCCTGGGCGGCGCCGATGGTGGTCAGATCGAGGGCTCCGGCAGTCTGCAGCATCGACTGCAACGTCTTTGCGCGGCGAGGGTCTTTTTCAAAGGCAAAGATGCAGGGCCGCGGTCGTTCTAGCAGCAGCGGCCGTGTGAGGGCAGCCAGGTGGCTGGTCTTGTTGCCAGGCGCAGCACAGGCGTCGACGAGGTCGACATCCTGGTCGTCGTCAAAGACAGAAGCCGGGTCGAGTAGATAGGCCGGGAAGCAGGAGGCCTTGTCCTGGAAGATGATGGCGCCAGAGCGGTAGGCATCGGAGCGGGTGGGGTCGACGGTGGGCGAGGCAGCCGAGGACGTCGACACGGGCACGGCGACGAGATCGGGCACGTTGTCGTCGATAAAGATGCGGGCGTTGTTGTCCGACGTCGTGTTCGAGGTGCTGTCGTCATCTTCCCACAGCTCCGGCAGGCTGGCCACACGGCGGTAATCGGCAAACGTGGTGGCCAGCTGGACGGCGAGCGTGGTCTTGAGCGTGTTGATGCGGATCCAGCGCGTGGCCGGAGCGCCAGCGTGGGTGCGGGATGCGCGTGCAGCGACCTGCTCGACCTGGCGGCGCAGATCGTCGAGCGAGGCGGCGTGGCGACGCAGGCGGGCGCGTGTCAGCTCAGCGGTCAGCCGGGCCTTGTGGCGCGCCACGGCTGCGTGAAGGCCGTGCTCGGCCGGCAGCCGCACGCCAGACCGTGACAGCAGCAGATCGTGCACCAGCAAGAGGGCCATCACCGGTGACGGCAGCCGGCGACGCTCGAGGACCAGCAGGCCGGCTGCATCGACGATTTCGCTCAGCACGGCGCTCCACTTGGTCGTCTCAATCGCGAGCGCATAGACCTGTGCGGGCGGTGCTTTCGCGGCGGGCTTGGTCGCGCCGGAGGCAGAAGTGGCTGTTGAGGCCAAAGACGATCGCCCTTTCTCAGCTGCCTTCCGGGGGTCAGGACCGCTGCGGGGCCCGAAAATGCGCGTCTTCAGATTTCCGCCGTCGGCCGCCGGGGCCATCAGGGCAGCTGCCGCCTCATGGTAGAGCGACATTGTCTGTGTGGTGGTGCGGCCAGTTATAAGTGGTGGCAACGAAGACTTGATGGCCGTTTATCGCGAAGATGAACTTTTTTGATCGCAAGATAGCTACTTTCCAAAGACGGACTAGCTCGCAGAGTGAAGTCACGTGGCATAGAAGAAATGCAATAGCAAAGCCTATAATCACGTGTCTTACTAGTATAAGTGTATCAACTCCTGTGGCAGTCTATTATTCGGCTATAGCCCACTCTATGTCTGAATCTATTAAAAGTGTGTATCCACGTACATGAGCTGTCTGATCATCACGGCGCCCTTTCCCCTCCCGAGTCCATGTCGACGCAGGCCCGAGCAGGGTATTGTACTTCAGTTCTTCCATCCAAATAACGCCGGCTGTGCAATACAAGAAACGTCTATGCTGTCCCGTCGCGAATCTCGGCGGATGCTCCAAACCAACAAAGCAAGGATAACATAGCCACCCGACCGTTTCCCGCTGACAAATACAAGACAAAAGAGAGGAGTGAAACGAAAAGGCAGAGGCGGACTGAAAAGAGGAGTAGGGTATGGTTCGAATGAAAGGAGGGATGACCGCTTAGGCGTCCGACTTCTCGTTGCTGTTGATGGCCTGCGAGAGGCGGCGGCTGATGCGGCTGGCTCGGCTGGCGCGGCTGGCGTGGCTGGCACGAGTGAGGCGGCGCTCCAGCTCGTGAGCGTTAACCTCCTGGATGGCGGCATCCTCATCGGGCGGTGTGACAGGAGCGGCGCCCTGGCGCATGCGAGCCAAGATGGCAGCAGCCTCAGCAGCGAACTTGCAGCGCATGCGAATCTGCTCGCCATAGCGCATGAAGAGGAAAGGGAAGGGCAAGCAGGCCAGAGCGAGGAAAGCCGGAATAGACGCAGCCCAGTGAAGACCGAGGTTTTGGTACATGTCTAAAAGGTTAGAACGGGAAACAGATGGGAGATGGAACGGGCTGTAACTCACAAGTGGTAAACAGCGGGAAGGCAGCACCAAAGAGCGAACGCAGGACAGCATTGGCAGCCAGGCAGGAAGCAGCAAAGACGACGTAGGTGTCGACTAAGTAGTTCATCAAGCTGAGGAAGACGAGCACAAGGCCGGCAGCGAAGAAGCCGGAGCCGATGATGGGGACAACCCAGTGGACGGGCGGCCGATTGGTCCATGCGAACCAGAAGAGGCCGACAGGAATGAGGACAGCACCGATGGCACCGCTGAAAAGGCGAGCCTCAGGAGGAGCAGCGCCCTTGTGGGCAAGAGAGATCTTGGCGTAGCGGAAGTGGTTGTCGAGACCGGCATAGAAGACAGCAATGACCATACCGACAGCAATGCCGAGGAAAGCAAGGCCACCGATACCAGCCGACCAGCCACGGACCTCCTCAAAGACGATGGGGAAGGCATCAAACATCATGTACATGGTGCCGTAGATGATAGCCATGTAGAGCGAGATGACGAAGACGATGGGCTCGGTGAAGAGCAAGATCCAGGGCCGGCAGAGAGCAGTGCGGAGCTGGTGGCCGACGGTGGGCTTTGCCGGCGGCGGGCTGCCATCCTTGCCGGGGGTGTAGTAGTGGGCGTCCAAGCGGGAGACGTAAAACTTTCCGGTGCGGCGCGAGAGTTCCTGTGCACGCTTGCGCAGGAGGTAGGGGGCATAAGTCTCAGGCACGATGAGCGTGCCGACGATCCACATGACACCTGTGAAGGCAGCCATGAGGCCCTCGACCCAGCGCCAGCCGGCCGCTTCGCCGAGAAAGCCGGCGCAGATGGGACCGAGCGAAGGGACCCGAGAAAGGGGGCGGCAGCAAAGATAGCAGTGGCCATGCCACGCTCGCTGGCGGAGAACATGTCGGCGATGACGCCACCGGCGTTGGTCAGGGGCGACGAGCCGAAGGCACCGGCGAAGAAGCGCAGGATGATGAGGGTCTCGATGTTCTTGGCGCCAGCACAACCGGCGTTGAAGGCGGTGACGATGGCGTAGGTGCCGAAGAAGAGCATCTGGCGACCAAAGTACTCGCTCATAGGGGCCCAGATGAGTGGGCCGACGGCGAAGCCGAGCACGAAGAGCGACATGCCCAGGATGGCAACCTCGTCCGAGATGTGGAACTCCCGGATGATCTCGGAGATGCCACCGGAAAAGGCTGAGCTGACAAAGGCGATTGCCAGCGTGGCCGTGGCCATGGTGAGGGTGTAGAGCCACTTGCGCCACGACGGCAGCGTCTGCGGGTTGTGGGCGTCGACATCGAGGAAGAAGACAAGGTACGGCGACTCGGCCGTACCCTGGCCAGGGTACTCGTGCGCAAGCACCTCGGGCGTCACGCCTGCCGGTCGGAGCAGCGTCTGAAAGTGGCTGACGATCCGGTGCGCCGGCTTCGACCCGGCTTCCAGGTCCGGCTGCAGCGCCGGTCCGGTGCCCTTCTCTGGCAGTGCGGCCGCCGTGCCCGGCTCGGCCGCCGTCAGCGACGACGCGCTAGACGGCTGTACGGTCGTCGTCATGATGGGCGTGTGGACGTGAGATCGTGAGAGCGTGAGCGTGAGATCGTGAGAACCCGTCTGCTGTCACTGTCTTGTCGGGTGCTCGTGCTACAGGCCGATGATAAGGAACGGATCGTGCGGCGGACAGAAGGGAGGGAAAAAAAAAAGAGACAGACAGACCGGGGAACAGACAGGCAATGTGTGTTATATACACTCTCTCTTCTACCATGTATCTTACTAGTCCAGGCCGCCTAGTCGTGCTTGTGGAAAAGTGGGCCGCCTTCCGTCCCCATTGAATTTTTAATTTCTGCGGACATGGCAATTTCGTTTTGCCAGCCCATCGCCCTTTCCAGAAGGACCAGGGCTACGACACAGCGCGCTGTCCACTGGCGCATAGGCTCTTAGCGCTACCCCCAACAGCGGAGTTCAGGCCGATTCCGAATCCCTACCGCTCTTGCGCCATGAGCTACTCCGTACAGTCGATGCAGCCCACTTCTATCTCCGTGCTGCACGCACCCCTGACGTATAGCGCCACCCCTGGCAAAGTTGCGACGTCGCTCAAGCTTCAGGTCCTACGACATGCCAAGCAAAGCACGTCGCGCATCCCTCGTCCGCCGTGCTCAACCCCCACCGGTACCTATAGCACATGGAATCAATCTGTATCTGACTAGCCGGCCTATCTCGCACCGTTACCATGGCCCTGTCCTTGCTTACCGGCCCTGCTTACGACGTACTATCGTACACATAGTACTCTACACCTCCGATCTCGCCACCACGTTTCCTCTCCTCTGTCCCTTATTTCCATGGCTGCCCTCCTTCGCCCAAACCCGTGTTAACCGGGGTTGACAGAGAGTCAAGCCCCACTTGCGCACAAATCAGCCCCACCAGCATGTGTCGAGCCGAGGTCCAGGCACGACGGGATTCAGAATCGAACGTGTTGGCATCAATAATTCATACTCTGTACGACGTGTACGACGTAGATACGAGTGGTCGCAGACGTCATTGCCCGTGCTTTCTTCTTTCTTCTTCCGTCTCGACCGTGTCGATCGTGTCTCGATAGCGAGACAAGACAACAAAATCAAGAAACAGCCTGCCTGATCGAAGGAAAGCAAAGGAGCCAAGAGATAAGAGCAAGTGGGGCACATGTACGACGTATGCTTCTGCAAAACTCTGGTCCGAAATCCGCCTTCATCTACTCCCATTTCCCCATTCCCCAATGATCTATTCGCGTTTGCCATTGGCCGTGTCGGGCTAGACAAGCTGAACCCGCTGCACACACGGCTCTCGGACCTTCCGTACACTCGCACAGTACTGGATCCCTGCTTCAGATGCCATCCTGACGAACACAATTGTACACCGGATCTGGGACCTCCGAGTGCTGCCTGTCTGCCCTTTGACGGGACCGAGGCATGTACGTCGTAGATACATACGAGCATCAGCTCGAACCATCTCCGTGCCAGGGAGCAGACCCCTCTTGAGGCAGGAGAAAAAAAAAGAAGCACTGCCACTAATTTAATCCTCACCGGGACATCCACATCGTACCATCTCTCGCCCCACTCTTGGCCGGGCGGAGGCCTTCTCCAAAATAAAAGCAGACAAAAAACGTGTCGACCAGCATCAGCACTCGGACAGATTACAAATTCCCGGCTCTCAACCCAAACCCTTTCGGCGTACCAGCAAGAGCCTCCCGGCTTACATACGTACTCGTATTTCAACGGTTCCCTCTTCAATTGATCATACCATGACAACAGGGCGAACGCCTGATATCTCGACCACTTTGCACGCCCTAATCGACCTCTAGACGCCTCAAACGTTCGTCTTCGCCCATGCTCCCCGAAAGCCTGCGGCGACATCCATACGACTAATAACGGACGGATCGGTGGGCCTGTCAGACTTCCGCCTTTTGCCAAGACATATTAGCGCACGCGAACACGATCCTCCGGACGGTGTGCGAGTACGAGCACTCCGTAGTATTCGTAACGACGTGCGGTTGTGCAGAAGGCGCTGGAAGCTGCCGTTCCGTGGTGGGCTTGTGAATGCGTTGCAAGGCCAACCCGCTGTCAGCCCATGATGGCCACCCCTCCACACCCCCCTAATCCTGTTCCCTTGGCGTTCCTTACTCTTCTAGGCAACCGGCCCCGCCATCCTGGGAACGTGAAGCGGCCAGCCAGACAACAGTCATGCTTGATTCCGAAGCGATACGGAGCACGAGTCCTGCCGGTGGAGCAGGGTGGCTCTTGTTTTGTCTTAACGTCCGGCCCGTAGGATTAGTGCAAGTAAGACAGCCGTTCCTACTCAGTATTCAATGGGCTGAAATTCCAGGGGTGGATTCCAAAGGCGACCGAAAGGGACAAAGGAGAAAAACAAACGATAATTACAAAAGGGGGGCGACAAAACAGGAAAAGAGGACAAGAGGAAAAACTGACGTGCTCAAAGCTTAATGCGCGCGCTCTGTTTACTACAAGCATAACGTTGAACTGCTCGCAGATCTCAGTCGGTAAAGCGTCTGCATACATATGTATATACGAGAACTCTGCGTGGGCCCGCGCGTTGATGACTAATACACTTCAGCGCCTGCTCAGTGCTGTATTGCGTCGTCTGTCACAGATCAGATCTGTGGATCGGCAGAATGTTCATCCCACTGGAAGATTGAGATGGCCGCTCGGTGCCGCCCTCGGGCACGAGCAAACGGCTGCCCGTCGTCGGTCTGTGCTGCTCAGCCGCTCGTCTGTCCTGAGCGACTGCTGGCCGTCTTGGCAGCCCGCAAGGCCCGCCGCATTTTGAGGAGTACGGAGTACGGAGCACTCTTATCTTACGTCGTACATAACGTACTGCGCCGCAGTGGCGCATTGACCAAGCGTGCCTTCCATGCCCGGACTCATCTTAGTCAGCCACTGTGTTCAATACAACGGATACATCGACATAAAATCATCCTCATGAGATTCCGATCCCGCCACGCCCTGCAGGATTTCGGAAGTTCCCTTGGCAGAGCAACTCTACAGCATCTCGACATGGCCCCACTCATTCCTCGCATGCACGTCTTTGAGATTGACGACCAGACATGGTAAGCGAGCGAGTGGGAGCAAATGCAAGGGCCGAAACCGTGTCTGATTGCGCCCCAGTTTTCCATCCATGGCTGCGCGGCCGCGTCCAGGCCGCCCTGACTCGCGCCTGGACGACACGCGTACCGGTCCTGCAGTACGCATCCCCGGCCGAGGTGGCGGCTGGTGTTTTGCGGCAGGAGGTGTTGGAGGCTGTTTCGGAGGATGCTGCCATCCCATCGCGACCCTGGATCATCATCGACTTTTGTGCCGGCGGCGGCGGACCGACGCCGAGCATCGAGCGTATCCTCAACAGCAGCAGCAACAAGAGCAAAACCACATCGCCGACGCAGTTTGTCCTCACCGACCTGCACCCCCACATCGACGACTGGGCTGCAGCCGCGGCCCAGAGCCCCAACGTGCGGTATGCAGCCGAGCCAGTGGATGCCAGTGCGGCCGAGCCGGCGGCGATTCTGGCGGCTGCCGGTCTGGGCCCCGAGACGACGGCGGCTCATCCACGGGTCCTGCGGCTCTTCAACCTGGCCTTTCACCACTTTGATGACCCGCTGGCCCGAGCGATCCTGCGCAACACGGTCGAGACCAGCGACGGCTTTGGGTGAGCTGTCGTGCTGTTGTGTAGATGTGTTCCTCTGCTGACTTGCCAGCATCCTCGAGCTCCAGGACCGCTCCGTCTCCGCCTTCTTCACCACGCTCGCCTTCGGGCTCGGCATCCTGCTGACGGCACCCTACTACGCCTGGCGCTGGCGCTCGCCCATGACGCTCGTCTTCACCTACCTGCTGCCCATCCTGCCGTTTGTGCTCGTCTTCGACGGCTGGATGTCCATGCTGCGCACCCGCACGCCCGACGAGGTCGCCGCCCTGCTGCACTCCTGCGGCGCCACCCCGGCCGACGTCGCCCGCTGGGAACTGCACAGCGGCGAGATTCGCCATCTGTGGCCGTGCGGCTACCTCAAGTGGATCGTCTGCGTCAAGAGACAGGAGTGCGAGGCGGTGAAGGCCGTCGAGGCGGTGGGAGCCGTAGGAGCGGTCAAGACCACGGACCAGTCTGTCCGCCATCGAGCCACAATCGATGTAAAGGGGTAGACGAGGAGTATACGCAGTATTACGTACGGAGTACTGTAACTCTCAGTGTCCATTTCGTTTCATTCAGCCTATGACCCTTCGTGGGCTCTACTGCCTCACGATCTTGTAGCTTATCGCCCATATATATATATACCCTTTCCGTAACGGAACAGGAAGGCGACGCCTCCCGGCGAGGTCGTCGGCTTCGTCGCTATTATGATAGGAAGCACACACAAAACAGAAAAAACAAGACCTAAAACAAGACAAACAGACGGGCTCTGGATCCCGGGCGACAGCCGTTGGCGACTGCTGCTCTACAGGATGGGGCCGGCCTTGACGACGTCCTCGGTAGCCTCAGACGCGTACTTCTTGAAGTTGTCAAGGAAGAGGCCACCAAGCTTGCGAACCTCGGCATTGAAGCTGTCGTGGCCGGCGGTCCAGGCGCCCTTGGGGTTGAGCAGCTCGGACGGCACGCCGGGGCAGGTCTTGGGCACCTGCAGGTTGAAGATGTCGTAGGTCTCATACTCGACCTTGGCCAGCTCGCCCGAGTGCACGGCATCCAGGATGGCGCGCGTATACTTGAGCGGGCAGCGCTTGCCGCCCTGCGCGAACCCGGCGCCGACCCAGCCAGTGTTGGGCAGCCAGGCGCTGGCCTGGTGCTCGTCGATCTTGTCGGCCAGCATCTGCGCGTAGCGCATCGGGTGCAGTGCCAGGAACGGCTGCGCGAAGCAGGACGAGAACGTCGCCTCGGGCTCGGTCACGCCGACCTCCGTGCCCGCCATCTTGGACGTGTAGCCGGAGATGAAGTGGAACATGACCTGCGCCCGGTTCAGCTTCGAGATGGGCGGCAGCACACCGCGCGCATCGCACGTCAGCAAGATGATGTTGCTCGGGTGCGACGGCGAGAGGCACGGGATCTTGGCGTTCTGGATGTACTCGATCGGGTAGGCGCTGGAGCATGATGATTAGTAATTGGCCTCGTAGTTATCGTACCGACACAACCCGGCATGCGAGCACTCACCAGCGCGTGTTCTCCGTCAGCGTCACGTCGTCGTAGTCGACCACACGGGTCTCCGGGTCGAATACCACGTTCTCCAGCACCGAGCCGAAGCGGATGGCCCCAAAAATGTCCGGCTCCTTCTCGAGCGTCAGGCCGACACACTTGGCGTAGCACTGTCCTGCTGTCAGCGTCTGAAGATCTGAAAACAAAAATACCCCATCCAGGAAATACTCACGCCTCCCTCAATGTTGAACACGCCCCGGTCGCTCCAGCAGTGCTCGTCGTCGCCGATCAGCAGCCGGTTCGGGTCTGCCGACAGCGTGGTCTTGCCCGTGCCCGACAGGCCGAAGAAGAGGGTGACATCGCCGTCGCGGCCCTCGTTGGCCGATGAGTGCAGCGTCAGCACGTTGTGCTTGATGGGCATCTCGTAGAAAAGCACGGTGAAGACGCCCTTCTTCATCTCGCCGGCGTACTCGGTGCCGAGGATGACCATCTCCTTCTCGGCAAAGTTGATCGACACCGACGTGCCCGAGGTCATGCCCGAGGTGTAGCGGTTGGCCGGGAACGAGCCGGCGTTGTAGATGGTGTAGTCGGGGTGGAAGTGCTCCAGCTCTTCGCGCGGCGGCCGGATCAACATGTTGCGCATGAAGAGCGCGTGGTATGCGCGTGCGCACACCACCCGCACCCGGATACGGTACCGCTCGTCCCAGCCGGCATAACCGTCAATCACGTAGATCCGCTTGCGTGTGTTGAGGTAGTCAATGGCCCGCTCGCGGTTGATCTTCCAAACCTGGACATCCTCGTTAGTCATAGCTCTGAGGTCACGTGTGCAAATGGGGCTTGGTGGATCCGGCGGAGGCATGGAAGCACTAGCTCGGCTGTCGTCGGCGTGGGGTAGCTGCGATCTGCCTGTGGACAAGATGCGCTGCAATCCCGCGGCTCAAATGCGGGGAAAGGGAATTCTCGGAACCTGTCCAGGAACCCAATGACAACCGAGACAATTAAATGGAAACCCAGAGTTTGCCCTGACGTAAGCGCCATTCCGCGGGGATACGGAGAAACAATGCATGTCCCGAAATGTCGGCAATGGCCGAGGTAAAAGGCATGAAAAGAAGAGATGGAATGAAGAAAAGAAGCAAGTGCCGGAAGGACAAGCAATTCTTACCTCAGGCGTCATGGGCTTGTTGACAGGTCCCCACCTGGGAGAGTCAGCAATGAGATCGATGCCAAGAATAAACGAGAGTGAAGCTGCTTACCAGATGTTCTTCTCGGACTCGGGGTCCGTGACAATTCGCTTGTCAGAAGGCGACCGACCGGTCTTCTTGCCAGAGTAGGCAGTCAGAGCACCGGTGGACGAGATGCCAGAGCCCGGCTCGTACACCAGGGCATCCTCGTAGAGAGCGGGGACCGACGGGTTGGGGATCTGACGTCGCATGAGCAGTTGGCTTTACAAAGAGAGATAGAAACAAGGAACGAAACAAGACGTACAATGGCAACACGGTCATAGTCGATGTGGGCCTTCTCGTAGAGTTCCTCCTCTGAAGCAATTGTTAGTACGGATCGTGGCAATGGCTATAAGATGGCACGGTAATGGTCTGTCATACCGAGCTCGGTGTGGTCGTGATGAGGCCTAAATAAACCGGGTTAGCAACATGGACGGGACAGCGACAAGAATAAGATGCTGTTCAACTTACTCAACACCGCTGGGGTGAAGGCTGGTCTTGTTGACGGTGGAAGCCACTATGACGAAGCAATGGTAAGCGGAAAGGTCCAGTGGACAGTCTTTGACGAGATGGCTTACTTTTGTTGATGTTGGGGGGGTGTCCAGAGGTACGGATCTTGGATTGAGGTCCTTGAACGGTTGGGTCGATGTAAGGGGAATCAGTACGCTGAACAGGATCCTTCATGGCTGATATATATAGAGACCAATATCGAGGCAACCGGACTACGATGGAACAAGCGATAAAGAGTCGGCTGCTGGGTATCGTGTTTTGTTTTCGTTTGTCGGCAACGGGTCAACTACGGGACAGAGTACCGGGATGTGTTTTGTCCCCTACACGGTGCAAGGCAGCCGTGTGATCTGTCGCAAGAATGAGCAGCGTCGAACTGCACTTAGCGTATCCTAGTTTCGACGGGGACGCCAGGGATGGGAGAGCGGAGAGGAGCAGAGAAAAGGGGGATCTGGTCCACAATACCGATAGAAGAGCTGGCAGGCGGCTGGTGATTGGAGAGCGAGGCTTGTCCGGCTTCCATCAATCGACGAACGGCAGCTGGGACTTGCAGCAGCCCGCTTTTATAGCAAGGACCTCATCGAGAAAGGGTCATGTCCATGACTAAAGACACGCCCCAAATCGCCCTCTTTGCCCCTCCTCCGGCCGCTCTCTTAGTGAGCCAGAAGACCGCCTCTGGACCGAACCCGAGGATCATACTAATTCCCCAAAGCTGGGGTCTGTCCACAGGGCGATCCCGGGAGCAGACCCGGCTTGTTTTCGGAGACCAAGCAAATGCCATGGGCCAGACGTACGAATACGCCTCTTACATAATCTCCCCGCCTCGTCCACCAGAGTAACGGTTTATGCCGGGTTGGACGTAGCAATATTGCTTTGAGGCTGCGGCTCCTGTGGCCTGTACATTGTACTTTCTCGTGCCGATCAACTCGCTTCCACCGTATCGTATAAAACTTGCCTTTGGCCCGACCGATCAGCTGTTCCCGAGCCTTGCTCGTGTTCGTACTCAAACGCCCACATCGGCCGACGTCTGTACGTCGTATACAAGCCTGACACCTGGTGGAGTTGTCTAGGTTCCGCGCGCAGACTGTCTGAGAAATGCTGCCAATCCTCCGGCTCGTTGGCATCTGCAGGTTGACTTACACGCGATCACAGGCCGGTGCCAATGGACGACTGAAATGAATTGCCGGGCGGTGGGCCGAAGCTGCCCCCAGCGTCGAACAAAAGCACCTTTCCTTACACGGCGACAGACCCTCCATTCCTGCCACCCCCCCATGTCTCCGACCAATGCAGCTAAGGCTGAACGTCATAGCAGTCACCCCCCCTTCTCCCAAGGCGCAGTGCAATGTGCTGCCCAGCAGCACCTTTTTGTGCCAGGACGTCAGATAGGAACATATCGGGACCGATGACGGGAGCGCGTGCCCGTTCGCCGTATTGGGCCTGCATTGCCTGCCTTGCTCCATCACACCTGCAGGCGACAATGTCCTGCCTGCTCGATCGCCAACGGCTGTGAAAGATACTCGGGACGGCCTCCTGCAACTACTTTGAATGTACGGAGTACCGAAGGATGACGCCAAAAAGCACACAGCACGACACACTATTCTGTACCCGTACGCCCCCCCTCTCCGATGATGCCTGATGCACACGAGCTTTTTCCTGTCCAAAAAGGTGGACAAAGGTCCAGAACCAGTTCCCCAGGACGGCAGCGATCCCCACTGTTAATGCTAGCGAGCCCCACTTCTCGGAGCACTGCCCCGCCATTTCAGCTCTTCCGGTCTTTTCCGAGGTACTTCTGAAATGCCATGCTGCCCCGCAAACATCTGTGGTCGGGGAAAGTACCGGCTGCTCGCTTCCGGACAAGAGGCGTGGCTGACGTAATCATTTCCTTCGTGACCTACGCTCCTGCTAAAAGCTACCAAAGGAGCACATGTGATGCTCTTTCAAAGGGGGGAAATTTGCAGAGTTTGCACCCGGAGTGGATAGAGACGGCCAGCTGATCTCCGGCTTTTTGCGCAACAAATTCGGATGTGCCAGAACGAACCAAATGAGCATCTTCATCACCGGTGTCAGAGGTGGCCGTTCTTTCGAGAGCATGTATCTGTATCTGCGGATGCGAAGAACACGAAAACAATCCGGAACCGCGCCTTGTTCTCCCCACGCGGCAACAGTACTGTCCATTTTTCCCTTTTATTTTATTTTATTTTATTTAAATTTTACTTTATTTTCTATGCCGCTATCCCTTTTCCCTTCGGCCGCTAGCAAAACCTCCTAGGAGCAAATGAAAACGGCCACAAAGGTATTATCCGACTGCAGCTCCAAAACCGGTAAAACCTCTCTCCACTCCTCCCACACGCTGCCCACCCTGTCTCCGCCGCTGCATGGCTATGCTGTTTCATTCTGCGACCGCTTCTCCGACTTCAGCCGACAGCTGTGTGCCTTCCGACACCTCGGAACGGCTTCGGGCTGTGCTTCGGCAGATTGCCACACCATTTGCCAGCGTCGGTCTTGGCACGGCGGACATACGGCTGAAGGATGGAGTGATAACCGATAGCAGAATAATAGACGGAACCAAAGCCAGGAATCGCTGCATGAACAAAGATTGTTGCCACGAATATGCAGTAATGGTGCCAAACATGCGAGCCGACTCCTACTCGCGCACCAATAACCTCACGACACTGCAAAAAGGATCATGATTGGAATTGCGTCGCGATCGTCGCGCTCTTTCCCCGGACAGCCAAGGAGCAGACCGGAGCCCGAGCATTGCAGACCGGCACAGCGAAAAGGCAGAGAACCAAAAGTTGCATTTTAGACAAAAAAGGGATTAAAAACATGTTGCGTAGTAGCCTGGTATTGGAAATGAGCCGGGTCCTTCTCTTGGCAATGCAAAGCATCCGGCTGCTCGCGCTCTTGCAGCCGATGACGGCCTGCCTGCTCTCTCCGGTCAGCACAGAGCAGTGTCCCCGTCACAGCTGCCGCTTGGCCATCATGACCTTGACAAATTCCTCTTCGTTGATACCTCTAAAAGTGTGTCAGCATGATGTGACAGCAGAAGGAAGGCATCGCGGCAACTTACCCCTTGCCGTCTGCGTCAAATTCCCTAATCATTGCCGCGAGTTCGCTCTCCTCCATCGACTGCCCGATCTCCTTCATCACCCGCCGCAAGTCCTCCACCGTGATCACGCCTTTGCCCTCGGTGTCAAACAGATGGTAGGCTCGTCGGCACTCGGTATCCGGGTCGCGCTCTGCCATCAGCTTTCCGGCAATGCCCTGAAACACGGGTAGAGTGAATTCGCGCCAGATAGGCGCACATTCCTTTTCGCGCGGCCATGCGGTCGGCGGTATTGCGTACTTTGTCAGATACGAGAACGTCTCCTGCTTGGGTAGGTCGAAACCGAGCGCGCGGAGACTGAAGCGGAACTCGTGGTAGTCGATGCGGCCGTCCTTGTCGGCATCAAAGACAGTAAACTGAAGCAGATGAGTCAGAATTGGAACCGTCCGGTTTGCCGGAGCTTCTGAAGTTTCGAGAAACTCACCGCCTCGGTAATCTGGTTGCGCTGGTCTTCGGACAGGCGGTGGAACTCGTCCCGCGATGGCTGCTGGTGGACCAGCTCCTTGCCGGATACCCTTGATCCCATCATCTTGTCGGATTTGCCAGTGCTGTCGCAGAGCGGAAAGACGAGAGTCGGAGGTCGAAGTAGAGAAGATGAAGGCCAAATTGTATGTCAGCGGGAGCAGCTGACAGCTCTCTGATGGTCGAAACAGTGCGGCTGTGACGCAATGCAAATTTTTGTGCAGTAAAAGACGCCAAAGTATTGGGAGACGGTTGTGCGACTGCGAAGGTATCGCTTGTTGACTTTTGATACCCGTTAGCGATAGTCCTCTTTTGACGCGTTGTCACGCGTTTCTAGCTCTTTTGCGACGCTTGTAATATCTTTCAGTCCTCCCCGCAACGCGTATAGTGCCTGCAGTAGCTCTGACCGGATAATCGCATATGGAGCTCGCGATAAGAGATAACGCGATACTGCGACACCGCGATATAATTTTTTTTTTGAGAAGCTCATTGTTGAAGCAAGGCCATTGCTGTACCGACTACCAGCCGCAATTATGCCGAAAAGAAAACTGACCGTGGCGAAGCAACAGGAGAAGAAGCTGCGAAAGAGGCGAGAGAAGGTGCGAAAACTACCGGTACCACGACCAGAAATTGCCGTGAAGCGGTTCGAGCGAGGACTACAAGATGTCCTCCGAGCGCTGAAGAAGGCCAAGAGCTTCGAGCGGCAACGGCTGGCGAAGCGGATCATAACCGAAACGAAGGCGTCCGAGAAGTGGAAAAAGAAGCAAGCAAAGCGGAAGAGTGGCAGCACGGCAGCTGATGGGAAAGATGGCGACCGTCCCGACGGAGCCGCTCAAAAGATAGAGCGACTGCAGCGAGAGATGCAGGTGCTAAAGATTCTGGATCTCGAAGTGGCGGCCCGGGTCCATCTGGCCAACTGCATGCTGCGGACCAAGGACATTGTCGAGGCACCGGGACCGCTTGCGGCACATCTCCAGGCCATAGCCGAGTTGCCAACAGACAAGAAGCAGCGCGGCGATGCGGCCGATGTCCACAACGTCACAAGTGCGCTGTACAACCGGACGGATGTGCGCGAGAAAGTGTCAAAGGCTGTTACGGGGGTGTGCTTGCTGCTGTGTGTGCCGATTCCGGAGCGGTATCAGCGAGAGGAATGGACAAAGGAGGAGCGGAAGAACATCAAGTCTGGAAAGGCGGATGACGACGACGACGAGTTGGAGATTATTGACGGCACATCAGACGAGGATGAGAGCGATTCTGTTTCTGGCGAGGACGAGGCCGAAGCCGAAAAGGAAGAGAAGGAGGGTGGAGAAGAAGAGGGGGACGATGCCGAGCCAGATACCGATGCAGAAGAGCGGGCATTAGACAGATTTGAAGCACGACTGGGCGGTTTATCCGAGGACGACGACAGTGAGGATGAGGACCTGGAGACGCTGCGGGCCAAGTACAAAAAGGCACTGGCAGAGGGTCCTGTCGAGGCAGACGAGAGCGAAGAAGACGAAGAAGACGAGGAGGACCTTGAGATGAGCGAGGAAGACGAGGAGGGAATTGAAGAGGGAGTGGATTTCTACGTCGACGAGGGACCATCCCGGAAGATTGGGGTTGCCTCGTCCGAATCTGGGTCAGACGAGGACGACTTGGAGTCGGATTCGGATTCGGATTCGGATTCGGACGGCACAGACGACTCGGATGAGGACGCCGTCGAGCCGCCACGCAAGCGCCGCGCCACTGCTGTGCTGCCGGCCAAGGACAACCGGGCCGCGGCAGCCGACTCGCGTTTCCTGCCCACGCTCATGGGCGGCTACGTCTCAGATGGCGGCTCGAGCGACGGCGGCCGCCGGGACGACGATGACGCGGCCGCCACGCGGATGCTGGCGCAGCGCAAAAATCGGCGCGGCCAGCGTGCGCGACAGGCAATCTGGGAAAAGAAGTACAAAGAGCAGGCACGGCACGTCAAGGAGGCCGGGCAAGCTCAAGCTGGCAGCGCTAAGACGGGGTGGGACGCTAAACGCGGTGCTGTCGGCGCAGATGAAGGGCCTCGCTGGCTGCGGCGCAAGCTGGGCAGACAGACTGGAGGCGGCGGTGGTGCCAAAAAGACCGGCGACATGACTGCAGCTGCGGCTGCGACTGGATCCAGAAAAGAGACCAAGAGGAGCAAAGACGATGCCGGCCCACTGCATCCCAGCTGGGAGGCGGCCAAGGCGGCCAAGGAAAAGGCACAGACGGCAACATTTACGGGCAAGAAGATTACGTTTGACTAGAGGGACTTGGTCATGCATGTCGTCACCGACAAGAGCGTTGAAAACGGAAATCCCCATTGGTTCATTATACCACAATAATGCTAGCTATATAGAGCACAATTTCAAAGGCAAAGCAAGCCAAAGTCAATCGCACCAGCCGGTCTCGCTTTGGCCCATTTTCACACAGGAGTCCATCGCAAGCAATAACAATGTGCAGCCGCGGAACAAGAGAGAAGAGAGAACAGACAGACAGACGGACACGCTTACGAGGTCGGGGCCGTCGGCGGGGGGTCGAACTTGGGCGCACTGCTCGGTACGGGAGCGCCGGTGCTGGCAGTGGTGGCAGCCGGGACCGGAGCCTCTGAGGTGACCGGAGCAGCGGACGAGGTGCTGGTGGTTGGTGGAGCGGCAAACTTTTTCTCGTCGCCGAAGAGCTTTTCGAGGCCGGCAGCCTTGTAGGCGCTGCCGCCGTGCTCTTGCTTCTTGATCTCGGCGAGACGGCGGGCCTCCTCGTGGACATCCTTGGCCTGGCGCTGGGTGAGGGTATAAAAGTCGACGACACGCTTGCCGGTCGGCGAGTTGGAAGCCTTTTCAAAGTAGGAGCCGAGGCCGGTGAGCAGGGTGTTGGCCCGCTGGGTGAGGTTGTACGACTGGTCGGCCGTCTTGGCGCGCTCGGTGGCGTGGTACTTGCTGTTGAGGTCGTTCAACTTGCTGACAAAGCGCGAAGTCACGTTGTGGCGGTGGTCCAGATCGATGGCGCGCTCGAGGGCGGCGTCGCCGATGACGTAGCCATGGGCCAGGTACTCGGCAAAGATGCGCGCCCGCGGCTTCTCCTCCTGCGTGAGCTCGCCGCTGTGCTGCTCGACCGAGGCATCGCCCTGGGTTGCCGGCTCCTCGGGCTTGGCCGTGCCCGCCACACCGATGTGGTTGGGGCCCAGCTGCGTGTTGTTCAGGAGCAGCGCCGTCTTGGCGGCCGTGTCCTTCTCGAACTGCACCGTGGCCGACTTGGTCTCGCCCTCGGCCGAGACTTGGATGTCGACGATCTTGCCACTAGACAGGTCAGAAATGAAGCGGAAAGGGGAAAAGAGTTGGATCTCTTAAGCACGCACCAGAAGCTGAAAAAGTCCTGGACCTCCTTGTCGCCAGTCGCAGGAGCAATGTTCGTGACGGTGACGGTGGTGGGGCTCGACATGATGACGGTCGTTTGGCTGGATGGAAAGAAGAGAAAGGGGACAGAAAGACGGGGGAGACTGAGGGACAGAGGACAGAAAGACGACCAGACCACATAAGAGGACAGTTTTTAAAGCAACGGGGGCACGTAATATGTACGCGCCAAAACGGGCAAGCGGCCAGGCCCTTACACATGCAAGCTTGCGGCAAGAGCGATGGAGGGGCAGAGAACAACGTCATCCTCCCCGAGCGAAAGCGGGTCCTGAGACGTGTCGCCAGCAGTTAGTATCAGGCGGGCTGCAGTGGCTGTGCAGCCGGCGTCATGACGCGTGCAGCCCACAGGGCCGTCCACTAAGCGGCAGGGAGTTTCTCTACTTTGGAGCTCTGCATGGCGCCTCCTGTCGACAAGGTCGCACTTTCAACTGGCTACTTGGACCGTGGGCCCAGTTGAGCGTCACTGGGAGCTAATCTTGTTCATTTGCTCTTCCTGTACTCCGTATCTCGTCTACTCGCGCAGTTTCCCGTCAAACTTCTCCTTCACCACGTCCTCCAACGGACCCTTTGGGTTAGATGTCAGGTTCTACATGCGAGCCGAGTTAGCTCTCTTGCCTTGCTTTCTTTTTCGGCGCCTTTCTCCCGTTTGACTTGCCTCCACTCCGGTGCTGCTGCCAGACTGTTCCGAATGCTTGTTCGCGTCATGATCCGACGAAGTCTGGCCGGATCCCATCACGTCGTGCACCTGTGCGCCGGTTTGGCGCTCGGGCTCGGGCGAGTTGCGGCCTTCAGGCATCTTGTCTGCTCTGCTTGTATTATATTACTTTGCGTTTCGCGGACTTGTTTCAGTTGAAGCTATTGTTGGAGACTCAAACTCCAAACCAAGCTCTTATATATGACTACATGTACGACCAGCTTCCTTGAATGTTTCGTCATGGCCAACCATTGCATCATCTGTTCCATCTCTGCCATCCTTTGTCCAATCAAGATGGTACAGTGCGAACACAGTACACATCTGTTACTAACACTCACCACTGTGCCCCTGTAAATAGTGGGGCCTATCGATCTGGCGAAGCCATGTTCCAGGCTTCACACACAGTAGCACCGGTTTACCAACGAATCCATTCGTCCATTCTCTGGCTGCCCGCGGACACAGACAGCATCAACATTCACTCGACGCGCATCCGAGCACTGGTGTTTCATCCGTATGCAGCTCGGAGATGCAGTCTCGTTGCGGTCTGCACTCCCGTGGTCCCTCTCTCCTTTATTCTCCATCGTTGGCTGAAGAACGACATCAGGCCTCTGACAGGATCGCTCTCATCCTCGCCTCACACTCGTTTCACTCCTAATCTCTCGCTCCCACAGCACGTGACCCGCATCCATCGTCCGAGATGCCTGATCTCAACTCGGTTCCGCCGTCGCCTCGCGTGCTCGCCACCAGCCGACAGCCGACCTCTTCGACCATGATACCCTCCTCCTCGACGACAAACCAGGGACACATGCCTCCACCGCCGCTGCCGGCCTCGCCATCGTCCATGCACGTCTTCCCATCGAACCAGATGGCCGTCAGCCAGGGCACCGCCCAAACGGCCGCCCTGCCTTCGCCCTACTTTCCGCCGCCGGCAACATTCATCTTGGCCAGTCCTCCGGCTGATGGACCTGGAGTCGGCCCAGGTCCGGGCCCTCTTCGTCTCCCCCGGCCGCTGACGGCGGCAGAGCTGCACATGCAGCTCGAGAAGGAGCAGGAGGCTGTGGTTAACCGGCTGACGCGCGAGCTGACGCTGCTGCGCGCTCAAAACGCCTCAGTCGTGTCCAACGCCTCGTCCACGTCTAACGGCGCCGTCTCGGATGCATCGATCCCCTCGTCAGCTCCCGTCCAGGACGCTCACTCGCTGCTCTCTGGCACCACCGGCTTCTCCATCCCCTCTTCTGCCGGCCGCCATAGCCGCACCTACTCCAACACCAGCACCCGCAGTCAGACCGCTGCTGCTGGCAGCACGCCGTCTGTCGTGGCCATCACCTCGCCGGCTCCCATTCGTCCGGCCGCTCCGGTGCCCATCCGTCCGGCCGCTGCCCCTGGCCTGAGCCGCCAGAACAGCGCTGCCTCGCGCCGCAGTCACACCAACTCGCCCGGACCCCCGTCGCTGTCGCAGTCTTACAGCCACTCGTACCTCAACGACCCGCTCATGGCCGGAAACTTCCACCAGCACCAGCACCCGCACCAGCACCCCCATCAGCACATTCACACTCACTCGTACTCGCACCAGCAGGTGGCCCACGGCATCCGTGGGGCTACGCCGTCGTCCAATGACCTGTCACCGTCCATCGTGCCTGGGACTGCCCGCTACGAAGAAACGGCCTTTTACCGGGCCGAACTGGAGAACGTGAAGCGCGAGAACGAGGCCCTCAAGCGCCGCATCCGGGAGCTGGAGCGTACCGCAGCAGCTGCTGCAAGTGTGGCAGGAACACCAGCCTCGTCGGCCTCTGCTACGGTTGCTTCCTCTCAGCTGCAGCAGCCACAACAACAACAGCAACAGCCGCTACAGCCACCACAACCACAGCACCACCATCACCAGCCACGGGGACGACACGAGCGCCACTCCAGCGAGATCAGCCGCGGACGAAGCGAGAGCGTCAGCACCACGGGCAGCCTGAGCGCCATGCCGTCTGGGTCGGTGGTCGGCCAGCCCACTGGATCAGCATCCGTCCTGCCGGCAGGCTTTCCCGGACCGCTGGTGGGCGGCGCCGGTATCGCAGGCCGGCGCGAGAGCGTCCGGGAGCGGGTCACCAGCATGCTGAGCATGACCGGCAGCGTGGCTGGCAGCGTTGGCGTTGGTGTGCCTGAGGACGAGCTGCAGGTCGGCGAGAGCGCTGCCAGCGCTGGCCTGAGTGCTCAAGAGGCCGGCAGCAGCGGCCCGCCGGTATAGTGATGCCCTGTCGGTCACCCGGCTTTTATCTTTCTTTTGTCGGTTGTGCTGTGTGGTCGCATCTCTGCCACCAGATGGGGGAGCAAAAAGTATGGCATAGATTCGGATTGTGATTGTCACTCGTTTTATTCTACTTTAATAGCTTGGGAAATTTGATCCGTGGAACGGATATCAAAAAGACTGTTAGTACTTGCAGGATAATAAAAAACTATGGCACTGTGACAGCTACGACCGAATGGCACAACGCTGCAAGACGTATTCTGTTTTTGTGAACTGTTCCGTATTGATAAGAGGTGCATGAAGCTTCTCCCCTGTCAGATAATCTCTTCCCTGTTCCGATCCCGATGGTATTCCCCATTTGTTTTTTGCCCCAGACGATGCAATACTACTGCAGGCCCATTGACTCCCAAGATACAAAATGCATAAACCGGCGTTTGTCGATGAAGATGAAAAGTGCAAAAGTTACGGCTTGTCCTCCGGACATGAGCCGGAACCCCTTTACTTGCGCGTCGTGAAGTCGGTCTCGTTGGACGAAGCGCCGGCGCTGGTCTCGCACGTGCAGGCGCCAGCAGGCCGCTGGCCGCAGCTGCAGCGGTCGCCTGCCGTCGAGTTCTCTGATGCAGCCTTGCTGCAGTCGCACTGGAGCGCGGAGCGCTTGCCGCAAGAGCAGGTCGCCTTCTGGGCTATTGTACGGGTCAGCGGGAGAAGAGAGGGAGGAGAGGTGTTGTCAGAGGGAAGAGTGTAAACGTACCACAGATGCACTCAGAACCGCCCTTGCCGCAGCATGTAGAAGGAGCCATTGGGAAGAGTGGGTGTGGTTGTGGTGGGTGAAGCGAGGCTGAAGTCAAGCAGAATAATTTCCTAATTAGGAGAGTTTAATCGTGTGAGAAGAGGAAGTTAGATTGCAGTCTTGGCCAAAGATGCTGGTGCTGGATGTGAACTGAACGAAAAGTAGTCTCCAGAGAAAGGGACGAGAGCTCTATTTATGCTGTGACAAAATGCTGGGCAATCATGCTGGGTTTTTCTGGGACGTTCGACCACACGACCAGGTCCCAGTCCGGAACAGGCCATTATTCATCTTTGTCATGATTCTAGCCAGGCAAAGTGGTCATCGTCCGCCCTGGGATTGGCTGCAGATAGTTTTGCCGATAATCTCTGCCCAATAAGGTGCTGCATGATTACCACTGCCCACCAACCAGAGCGCTGCTATTGTCATTTTGGTCAGCGTCTGTAATTGCTTTTGTCCCAGTCGGGTTTCCGCCACTGAGCCTCGTTCTGCCAGCCGGCTGCCTGTTCCTGGGCTTACGTGTATCGCACTAATGACCTGGCCTGTTTCTTGATAAAAAAAAAGTGTTGCCTTTTAATTCGTTTCTACTACATCTATCGTCTAGATACATACGATCGCATCTGTATGTACACTTTAAGGCGATACCAATGAACATTTTTCTTTGGTGAATCGCATTATTCGATAGCCAGCGGCTCAGTCACCGGAGGCGCCAGTTTGCTGCCGTGAGTGTCTGTGAACTTATTAATCCATACAATGACTGTTCTGTACCAGTGGAGGGAGTTGGCCGGCTTGACCACGATATGGCCCTCATCAGGGAAATTTGAGAAATCTCGAAGGGATGCCCTTCAGCTGGCAGACGTTGTGGGCAGCAAGTCCATCAGGGATTGGACACCGGTAGTCACAGCTACTATGAATGATGAGTAAGGTGTTGACCAGTTCTGTGTAAAGCGTGTTGGATCATTGCGATCCCAAATCTCCTAGACCTCCCATGGCATGCAACGCATGGTCTTGGCAACATCGCAGCCAATATTGGATCCAAACATGCCATAGCCACTGATTACTCCGTCGTGACAAACGAGCGCGCGAAACTCCTTGGCAAGTGGTTGTCCTGCTATCCAATTGATCAGGTAGCCGCCATAGCTTGCACCGATGGCTGCGGCACGAGACAAGTCGGCATAAGGCATCGTCCTCTTTACATGCTCGAAGCAGTTCACAACATCGCCATACGGACGGCCGCCCCAGGCACCCTGTATGTCGTCTGTGAAGGCCTTGCCGAAACCGGTGGATCCCGTCGGATTCACCGCAACCACGACGTACTCTTGCTCTGCATAAAGCGGCAGATCAGACAGCTGAGAAGAACGCAGTCCGAGAGTCGCACCGCCCTTGGTGGCGCTGAAAAGGGGATGGAGCTGCTTTGTGCTTGGGTCCATAAGGACGAAGATGCTGCTATCCAGCATTGTGCTCTTGTTAATAAAAGATGCGTATCTGTCGCGGCTTTTCCCAGACAATAAATGCTTGAGACTGAACCATCTCGGCTCAAGAGGGTCGGAACAGCACGGATCGATTTCGTCGTTTCCGAAAGATTCAGTGGGATCGAATAGAGACGGATGCGTGCATCATGATCTGCCGTGAAATAGAGCGTACTCGAGTCGTTTGACCAAATGAAGGAACTCGGACAAACATCCCAGACTTCTGCTTGGCTCGCGTCTGCGAAGAGTGTGACTTTGATCGGCTCTTCCAGCTCACTGATCGATCTTATGATGAAGAAGGTATTCCAGACACCGTCTCGGCTGTCCTCTCGCTTGAAAAACGCGGCAGCATTGCCGTCCGGCGAGAAGTACACAGACGACGATGAACCCGCCCAACCAGGAACCCGGATGCGACGCCAGCGTGAAGCAGCTGGTTCGTTGAAGCTCGGGACCGAAAGACAGTACAAATCATCGGCCATATCTCGAATAGGCTCTCGTAGGTTTGGGGCTGTCAGGAGGATGCCTGTGGTAGAGATATCGTAGGAACCGCCAAGAATGAATGGATTCTGAAGAATGGAGGGGAACTCAATACCAGTCCCCTTCGGCGAGTTGATCGGCTGGCGTGCAGACAGTTTGTGTCTCTCAGCCAAAGCGTGCTGCGCTGTAGCATGTAGTACTTGTCGTAGTAGCAAACGAAGGGAGTATCGTACTCTCTGGCTGACGAGGATGGCTTAACGTCAGTTGCAGAATCAAACATAGTGCCGTCAGAGTTTGCAAGAGCAGTGAATGCCAGCGCAGCTGAGCCATCGGGGAGTATTTTGGTCTTTACATTTGCCACGGAGGCAGATGCAATCGACTCAGCGACATATGCCCTTGAAAGTCAGCGTTGGCACCAGCTTGCAAATATCAGTCGACACGAGGCACCCTTTTTGTCGTCCTCCCCGGCGGTGCCAATCCAAATATTGGTCTGATCCCGGCTGGCGACACGTTGCAACTAGAGGACCTTTCTAGCGACCAACCATTGCGGTGCCTCAACTTGGTCGCTGTCCGAAAATAGCGTGCTATGGCCGGTTCTCACGTCCAACACCTTGATTTAGTCAAGTCAGCTCCGGTTTCAATGGAATATGTTGAGACAGTATACAAGGCATACGTGCCCTCGTCATTTGGAGCAGCAGGTGAGTAGCGTGGTGTCGAGATCAACAGCCTGAAGCAAGACAAGGTTATCAGCCAACTCGAACCATAGCACTGCATATTCAACGGCGTAACGATTGACGTACTCGGGGGTGAGGCTGGGGTTAACAGGGACAAGCAGTTTGAGAATTCGCCCGTTTCGGTATATAGAGGTGGTTTAAAAAGTGTCCAGCAGAGTCCCTAATCAGACAAAATACATATACTACTGAGCTTGCAGGTACGAGATTGGTGTAGGATGGCTTTAGGCAGACAGTCCAAAATAGGAAAGGCTTCGGAAGATAGGAAGCTGTCAGAAAGCTTCCAAGAAGCTGCTCGGAAGATAGGAACCTGAAAATAGGGAGCTCCACCCAAAAACAAACTGGGCGACCCGGCCACATCCGTCACAGCTATGACTCGTATGTACGGGGCAGACGGCTGAGATCTGGAGCTATCTTCCGTGGATGAAGCCATATCCCTCTAGTCCACCTACAACTTGATGAATACTTAAGTGTAGGCTAACGCTACAACGAATCCGCATACAAGGCCTACCCTCCTGTATTTGAGTTCTGGGAACGATGGAAGGGCTGATAGCGGACGAAAGTGACATACACACTAAGATGATAGCTAAATATAAAGATATTTCGGCATGGTGGGTAGTGTCATCTCTTCTCCTTCTCCTCCGTTGTCGACAAATTTAGATAGACTCAAGTTCGCAGCACCTGGACGGCCCTGTTCAGGCTTTCCACCTCCCGCATCAGAACCCGGCGCCGGTTTCTCGAAATTGTGCCCTCCCCTGCAATCATGTTCAGCTTTTCAGCACTTAGTTCCAAGAGCCGGTCGGCACATGGCATTTTCAGTGGGCTCTTAGGACCTATAAGAAGATTGCAATAAATAACTTGTTAGCAAATCGTGTTGACAAAGCGCTTCTGAGCTATCTTAAAGTAGCTCTCGACAGTGTCTAGGATATATTCACACACTTGCTGCACATTGTCTATGTCGACAACATGCTTGCCGATCCGGCCTATAAAGAAATATTGTTCCTTCCACTACAACGTTTGCACGCGTAGTCTTGAAGGGACTCAACTATGCGACCACCGCGCTTTTTCTGCAAGTCCGGGCTGAAATAATGATTGAATGTGACGGGCAGGCCACAGCGTTCGATGTCAAGGATAAAGTGTGCACGTTCGATAGCACACTTGTACTTGTTACACAGCTCATCGCGGAGGATGCTGTCCCAGATCTGGTCCCTAACTGCTGAGTCTGAGCAGATTGCAATGAGTTTCCAGGAACATCGATCACAATAAGGTGGATTTGCTGCGAACAAGTTAGGAGACAAAATACAGTACGACCGAGTAGTGCTGCACTTACGTTAATTCCACTGATTTCTATCTTCACTATATCCTCACTAAAGGCTGAGAGGCCTTCAGTCTTGGAATCTATGTCCGTCCGAATCCCCATAGTCTTACTTGCCTGCCACATCGCATTAGTGCTACTCAGATTGGTACATGACACATTTCCTGAAAGATCTTGGCAAGGTTTTCATCTTGCATCTCCCCATCTATCTGCCTGCGGAACGCCAAAAGGCTCTCTTTGAGAGTATCGCCTGCATCTGGTCGCGAAATAATGGAGATGGAGATACGTTCTTGCGTCTCTCGGGCTAGGTGATCTGAGTAGCGTACTGCGTACATAGGCCGGCAGCGCGAGGAAACGAAAGCCCAGTCAAGCTTTCGAAGACGGAGCTATTTCCAGGCAATTGGTCACCTACCATATTATTCTACGGTTTCAGTATTAGTTGTGTATGGTGAGTGGATTCGTGTAGGTATAGTACTATACATGAGGCAGTGGGATAATTGCGCCGACATTCGTCTCTCGGATATTATCAATCTTGGTCAGGATGGCCTGGTTCTCTAGGTTGGCTCGGGCGTCTGCCATTTTGCTAGATGGATAGATGTCTTAGTTAAGGGAAGGCCGGGGAGTACCTTTAGCTTTATAGAGAATTGTTGTATATATATAATTGTTGATATACTGGGTAGAAGCGGTGATCGATTTATTCTGACTTCGGAATCGGTGAATAAGGCCACGGGATGATCAGCGGGGTGATCATCTCCGGCCTAGATCTTACATTTTTGTAAATCATTGCAGGCATGTGCTTCTCCTCCCAATGAGGCCGCTTGATAGAAAAATGTATATTATGCAAGGATAAAAGGTACACTTCTATCGAAGTCTTTCTATGATAAACGAGTCAACGTATGTTGGCATTATAGCTAGCTTCCAATAAAAAAGTAGTTAGATCGGGGGTTCCTGTTTTTCCAAGACGTTCTGTTCTATTCGCACTATATACGGTACAAGATGTCTGCATTCAGATTTGTTTTTCCCAGCTAGTCAAAGCCTTTCTTAGCCGTAACAGATCCCTCTCCCTTCTAATCTTACCGCCTTTTTGCATTATCTGCGCCTCTAAATATATTCTAGCAAAACCCCTTTTTCAAATCGCTGCTTGGTGATCTAAATCTCTACCAAAATTCAAGCAGAAGCTGAGACTGGGCCTGTCGAAAGTTACAACAAAGCACATTCTCTGTACAGGTTAGGGTCTTCCTATTCTGATACTTATCCAGCTATGTTTTTGGGGGGTTCAACGCCTCGCCGGCATGCTCGTTTGCTTGAGCAGAGGCCGTCTCCTGGGCGCAGGGTTTCTTAGCTGTACTCCGTACGGTGTATTAGCTGATCCCACGTATGTTGCTTGTTGAGATAACAGTGGAGTCTATCTGCATGATGACTTAGTCAGCTCGCACCGGAGCACAAAGCATCCCGAATAGTTGTGATCACCGAATAGTTCCAGCTCTGACTGGTATCAGATATCTTATTGATCATCAGAGGCCTTTACACCCAGATTAGCAAGTAGACCATTCTTCAGTTCATTTCAATACATTCAAGCCATATGACAGATGCTTCCTTTAACATCACCAGTCAGCACTCATGGGGCAATCCGTACGGAGTTCAACAGCTAGCACGACCTGCCGATCACCAAGACACGAATTAATCTGTCTCGTACTCCGCACTCCGTAGGCTGTTCATGAAATCCCGAGAGCACCACGGAAAAGAAGGGGACTGGTGATAGGGGCAAACTTCTGTCGTGATCTTGCTAGACCGAACTAAACAGGAAAGGTCTGCCAGCTAGTCAAATGTCGGCCGAAATGAAGTGGGGTTAGAGGGGCTTTAAACTCGGCAACAAACTGTCGCCGTTTTGTCGTTGTGCTTTCTTGTTTTTGGCCCCCGCTCATATTTGACAGAAAATAGGGAAATATGACGGAGCAATCAAGCGCGGTACCAGAGCCGCGTGCATTCCTGACAGAGAATCCTCTGCAGGCTGACGATGTAAGACCCCTCTCTGTGGATTTGATTCGATCCTGTGCACATGCTGACTGGCGGTGAGTCCAGGAGGGTTTTGACGACGGTGCCTCCCTAAATTCGTACGTTTTGGCCGGAGATGGCAGCGGTGCCGGGAAAGGCAGGCTACTGACAATTCTGCCACTTCTTGCTCGATTATAGTGCAAGCTATATAACCTCGCTGAGCTCTAGCATCTACAACTACAAGCAAGTCCGGCCATGCAACCAGTCCGTTCAGAGCGACAGCAACTAACCTGAGTCGTCCAATACAGATACGAGGTTTGATCCCTGTGACCGAGGTCTCTTCGTCGAGTGTTGCTGCTGACTGCCTAGAACGGCCGTCGCTATCATGCATTTCGCGAGGGCAGCTACTTTGTGGTATGTGTCTGGTGGCTGTCAGAGGAGTAGAGACCGAAGACCAAGACTGACATCGGCGTAGCCCAACGACGAGGAAGAGCAGGGCCGTATGGATCTAGTCCACCACATCTACCGGCTCATACTCGGAGGAAAGCTGTACTTGTCGCCTCTGAAGGACCAGGTCGGCCGCGTGCTCGACATGGGCACTGGAACTGGCATCTGGGCCATGGACTTTGCCGAGTGCGTGCAATGCTTTTTCTAATCATTTATTTGCTGTCCGAAGACTGACGCTAGCTTCTTTCATTCGCTCTGCAGTGAGCATCCAGAGGCCGAAGTGCTGGGCACGGATCTGAGTCCTATCCAGCCGAACTGGTAAGGAGTGGCCGATTGCATAAGTAATGCCCTAGCTGGCACACAAAGGCCTAACAGGGCGCTAGGGTCCCGCCTAATTGCATCTTTGAGATCGAAGACTTTGAGTCCGACTGGCTCTATGGCCGTCCGTTTGACTTTGTCTTTGGTCGCGAGCTGGAGGCCTGCATCGCCGACGACCGGGCCTTGTTCCGCCGCGTCTTTGAGAATCTCAAGCCTGGCGGCTACTTTGAGATGCAGGGCGTCAACCCGGAGTTTCTGTCCGACGACGACACGGCGAAGAAGGCCCTCAACGCGAACAAATGGATGCAGCTCATGGTCGACGGCGCCGCCAAGTTTGGCAAGCCCTTTGACACGCCCATCCACTGGAAGGAAAAGTTCATCGAGGCCGGTTTTGTTGATGTGAAGCAGGAGGTTCGCAAGGTAAGTAAAGCCGCATGGATTTACAAAGCAAAAAGGGCAGGCTGACCTTTCGTTAACCTGCCGCATTGTGTAGCTCCCTATAGGCGCCTGGCCGAAAGACCCCAAGCTCAAGGAAATCGGCAGGGCGCAGTCATACCAGGAGCTGCAGGTCATCGACTCGTACACACCGGGCCTGCTGTCACGTGGTCTCGGCTGGTCCGCCATTGAGATCAACGTCTTCATGCCAATGGTTCGCACAGATCTCAAAAATCCCGACATCCATCTCTACCTGCCCGTCTACTTTGTCTGGGGACGGAAGCCCTAAAGCGGAGCGAGAAGCATGTGTCTTTCTTCTACCAAATATTAGTCCATAGTCCAGTTTACAATCTCATCAAAGCCTTACCCAGATTGTTCCCAGAGTCCTGACAAGTTCGAGTGGATACGAAAAACAGTAGTTTTGGCTAGAGGCGTATAAAGTCGACACACTACTATCAAACTTAGGCGCCCCGCGTAGACTAGTTATAAGCTTCCCTCAGGGGCGTAGTTTGTAATAGGCCTCTAAGCCAACTAATTAAGGCCCGCCCCTACTATGTGTCACCCTGTACGGAGTATATATATGGCCTGTATCTATTCAACGACAAAACGCGGCATGGCTTGTTAAATAACGTATACCTAATGTCTAACTGTTGGTTGTATTAGGTACAAAAGGAACAGGGAGAAGGTGCGGCCTTTTCTGTCAAAAGGGGTGGGCCATGATAGGTGTGATGCTCATTGGGCTACTCCGTACTCAGTATAATATTCTGACAATTTCGACCGACAAGGAGAAAATTCTACATGGTGGGTTCCTGAACGGCCAATAAGGTCCAGACTCGTGCTTACTTTACACAGCCATAGGGCTACGCTACTACGCACAGCTTGGACCGAGTATATATCAAACGGCAGTCACCTACTAGCTCATTGAGCTAAAGTCTTAGTTATCGTACAAACAAGACATTGCCATCGATTTATGCATTGCACCATAACCTTTGCACTTACTTAGCATGAGCATAGCACTTAGAACTGCCGCCTTGCTACGGGCTGATATTCGCCTAGCGCAGGCGGTTTCGCTTTTTGAGGCTGAGCTCTCTGCCGAGCAGAAAGCTGCTTTCTGCACCTGCCGTTCGCAGTCGTGCAAAGCGCCCCCGGATGTTAGCGATGTTATGTGCATTACAGCCGAGGTTGATCGTCGCGTCTCTAGAAATGCAGGTGGATCGCGTTGCTTCGGCCCTCGCTTTACTTGCTTCCTTGAATCGGTTCAAAAGTTTGCCGCTCTTGGTGACATCATCGTTGGCGCATCGCAAAACATGATCGCCTGCGGTGTTTGGGCTCTTGTGCGGACAACGTTGCTTGTCAGTCTGTGCCTTCTATTATCTGTCGCCTTAGCTAACGTCCTTGAGCTCATGGTCGGCTACTCTTCTTGCCTTGATCGACTATCGTCTTTTTTTATGGTCGCTGGGCGGTCAGCACCTCGTTACGAGCAACTGGCCTCGCTTTATCCACAATCTAGGAAGCTACAGTCATTCCTCTCAGAGTATTTCATCGTGATTGTCCGTCTTTGCCACCGATTGTTGAGAGCGGCCAAACAGTCAATCCTTGGACGGCTCATGTCGACTCCTAGTGACTCCGAGTTAAAAGGCTACGAATCCGAACTAGCCGACTGGACATATCAAATTCGCGAGGAGGTAAAACTGTTAGAAAACCAAAGCATCAAGGACCAGAGCTCCCACTTGAAAGCTCTTTTTCGGACTTCAGACTCCGAGTCACGCCGTCAGAAGGAGAGGGCGCGCGATCGTGTGCTCAAATTTTGCTCTACATACAAGTACCAGTCAACGTGGCGAGAGATCCGAAAGGTGGGAAGCACAACGCTACTAGATAGCATGCCTAAATACCAGCAGTGGAAAAATCGGTCAGATTCTTGCACACTGCTGTGCACCGGAAAATTAGGATCTGGAAAGTCTGTTTTGCTAGCTAATATGGTCGACGATCTCAACTTGCACGCCAAAGAGGCTAAATGCCCGGTGGTGTATTTCTTTAGCCGCCACGACAATTCAGAGAGTTTAAAGGCGACTACGATAATTGGTTCAATAGCTCGACAATTTCTACACTCTATTGCCGACTTATCAGAGGTGGAAGGAACAATAGACACTTCAGTCTCAGTGCCAGACCTTGAAAGCATCTTTGCGTTGCTTAAACATGCTATCTCCCCCGACTTCAAAGCGTATGTTGTCCTGGATGGATTAGACGAGTGTGATGAATATCAAAGACGGACAACCATCGAACAGCTCCGGAATCTCCAGAAGCACTTTAAGCTCGTCATTTGTGCATCGTTCCGATTAGAGGCCGACAATATTCTAAGGCTAGGTCCGGAAACATTTCTTCATCTGCAAACTATTGCGATTCAAGACGATAACCCCGACATCAAGAGATTCATCAATGCCGAGCTGGTGCGATGTATAAAATCTGGAAGGCTCATAGTTGGCGATCCCACGCTGGTGATTGAAATTGAAGATGCGCTGCTCCAAGGCACGCGGGGCATGTTCCTCTGGGCCACTCTCCAGATCCAGTCTTTGTGCCAGGCGAAGACGGATGAAGCCATTCGCCAGGCTATCACAGACTTGCCCAAGACCTTGGCAGAAACGTTTTCCCGCATTTTATCCACCTCAGCCGCGCTTGGAAAGAACTATCAGATGCAGATCTTACATTTGGTTCTAGCAGCATCCCGGCCCTTGACGACAAAAGAACTTTGTGAAGCCTTGAGCGTGGTTCCCGGCGATGCGGTCTGGAATCCGGCGCGCCTACTGAACAATGTATATACGGCACTAGCCTGCTGTGGGAGTCTGATCACGGTGGAAGAAGAGGATCTCTCGGTGAGATTGGTACACCACAGCGTTAAGCAGTTCCTCTTTGGCGACTTTACCCACTCGTCCGCTTCTCTCTTTACCGTTGAAGACGCAGCGAGGACGATGGGCGATATTGTCGTCACGTACCTCAGCTATAATGTTTTCAACACAACGTTGTCCACGACTGTGACCCCCCAAATTCCTTCGAGGAGCACACCTGCCAGAATCGTCAGCTCAATAGAGTCGGGCTTTGTCCGCAGCATGGCCCTGATGCATTTACAGTCGCGACAACAGCCTAACTACGATATGGGCCAGGTGCTCGCCGAAGCTAGTCGGACAAAACGGCCGCCGTCTGTGAACGAGTTTCACTTTTACGAGTACGCCAAGCTGCACTGGCCGCACCACGTCGGATGCATTTCTGAGGACAACGAGTTGATCTACCGCCAGCTTTCGCTACTTTTGCAAGACAGACTTTCTCAAGACCTGAACGTTGTCAACGACAGGGGCCGGACACCGCTTAGCTGGGCGGCTGAGTACGGCCGAATTAAAGTGGCTAAGCTGCTCCTTTCTCACGGCTCCGACCCTGGGCTACCAGACAATGACGGCCGGACGCCTATGATATGGGCCGCTAAGAGAGGACATGCGAACTGTGTAGATGTGCTTCTGAGGAACGGTGCCGAAGTGGGCAAAGGGGACAAGGACAACCGCACGTCACTTTCGCATGCTGCTGAGCACGGTCACAAGGACACCATAGTACGGCTTCTTGAGGTGCAGAGCAATGTTGACATTGGCACGGCGGTGATTCACAGAGCGGATCCGGTAACATGCCGGGCGACGCTCCACCACGGCGATTCTGTCAGCATCGTGGTCTTCTCACATAACTCGAGACTGGTCGCATCAGGGTCGTATGACGGTACGGTCAAGATCTGGGACGTCCCGTCCCGTCGTACCGTCTGCACACTACGGAAACATGACGGAGCCATCCGAGGTGTGGCCTTTTCCCACGACTCGCTCCTGATGGCATCTGGGTCCTCCGATCAGACTATCAGGCTGTGGGATGCCGCAACGGGCCGATGCATCCAGTCGCTCGTTGGCCACAACCACGACGTCATGTCGGTGGCCTTTATGCGTGAATCAGCGTTTGTGGTGTCGGGGTCACGTGACTGTAGCGTCAGAATCTGGGACCTTGCTACCGGCCAGTGCCATCAAACGCTTGAGGGCCATACTCGGGACGTCCAGTCGGTCGCGGTGTCACATGACTCGCGCATAATCGCATCTGCGTCCCGCGACTACAGCGTCAGATTTTGGGATCCCGTTTCTGGACAGTGTACGCGGACGTTGAAAGCTCACGACGACTACGTCTGGTCGGTTGTTTTCTCCCACGACTCGGGGCGAGTCGCCACGGCATCACGCGACCACAGCATCAAAATTTGGCACGTGGCGACTGGCGAATGCCTGCACACCTTAGAAGGGCACAGCCACGAAGTCGGTCTCTTGGCCTTTTCTCATGACTCGAGGCTGTTGGCATCTCCGTCCAACGACCTTACGGTAAAACTCTGGGATACTGCTATTGGTTATTGTGTTGAAACGCTTCAGGGACACACGGCGATTGTCGAGTCAGTGACCTTCTCGCCCGACTCGAAGCTGTTAGTGTCGGGGTCGCACGATGGCACTATCAAGCTTTGGAAGGCCTCTGTGGGGCTTAATGGGGTGGACATTGACTGTACTGACAACCTTGGTTTGAGCCCATTGCAGTGGGCCATAACAAAGGGACATAAGGTTGTAGAGCAGCTGCTTCTTGAGAATGGCGCAATTTAAAGCGTAATTGAGTATTTCAGTACGCTTCTGAAGTACAGAACGGAGTGAAGGAGCGCTACGAGGGTACGGAGTACAATACACAAAACTATGTATAGCAGTGCTGTAGTTGTCACAATAGGCTAAATCACGAGTTACAGCGAAAGGTGGTGCACTGTATGGATCCGGAGGCTGTAGCGAACGAACCGTATAATGTGCGAATTACAGAGTACGGAGCACGGAGTAAAGAATTGCTAATCATAAGATGCTTTTCTTACTTATTATCCTACAGTATCCTAGGTGGGGACCTCCGTACTTCGTACAATACACCCAATTCAGCCTCCTGCTCCTTACAGTGCAATATTATCTTTATAAACCCTGCGCCTTAGCTATACGCTTGCAAACATACCTGTACTAATAATCGTACACTTTTAGATAAGTGTCAAGCATTGGAATCCGCCACACTGTGGCCCTTCCGCCCCACTTGGCCGTACGGGCCTGTGATTGGTTAGAATGCACAAAAGCGGGTCCTGGCACTAGTATCAATACGGATCCCCAGAAGGGTCGCGATGTATCTATTTCTTCCTTAGTACACAACACTCTTTCGCCCACACTAGACCCTATTCAGCCTCTTGCTCCTCACAGTGCATCACGTTATATGACCGCTACGTGTAGCCTCCTTTAACCCTCACAATAAGGCAGCGTAACATAAACGGCCGAAATACTCTATTTATAACTAGAGTGTTATGGCTTGGACTAGTGCTGACCTCATCTCCTTACCATAATATTAGCGTCGGTCTAAAATATTACAGAAATATTATGTGTGGTCGTGTTGGCAGACTTACGGAGACAATTGTCAAATTATGGGTGCCCAGTGAGCGTGTATTTATTGTTATTGCCAGGTACTTCCGAGGTATGCTAACATGCGTCAAAACACATACTAAATAGCCCCATGCGCCACACAGCATGTATACCACACAGCGTAATTGTGCACGTCCCTCCCATCTGGGCTTGGTCCATTCGACAACAAGGCCTCCGTAGAAGAGTAAGGAGAGCAGTGATGTGTATAAAGGTTGGCCTGTTTGCCCGAACAGCTTCGCAACTATAGCCAGTTTCCCTCATCTCACAAATTAAAAGGCTTTTTGAAAAATGGCCAACTACCAAGGCAAGTAAGAATATTAAAGAAGAGCTAAGGAAACCCCTAGATTACTTCTCTAACATGGCCTTAAACAGGAGCTACAAACTTCTCCATAGCAATCGATCAGCTTTCTAGCCGGTCATGCAAGAACGATAGTTACCCAAGGCCAGATCTCGTAAGCCTGAGCACATACCTAAACAAAGAAAAGCCCTATTCATCGCCAATCGGCTCCTACCACCCCGACCGCTTCCCGCCAGCAGGAATCGACAGAATCAACGCCATTTTTGTCGTCGCGCACGACATACTTACTAGGAGAAATGACGAGTATGAGGCATCACCAACCGGAATAAAAAGGTTTGTGGCGAGGAGTTGCGACTCACAAGCGTCACTCCTTTTCCTGCGCGGCTTCCCCTCGCCACAGTGGTTGACTGCCGTAGGGGACATGCACATCAGAAACATGCGCTTGTGTGTCCCAGCTGCATCCCTGGACATTGAGGGCTTCGCAGTTCATCGCCTGCAGTCAAAGATGCAATATGCCGACTTTTCAAACGAGTCTACAATCGAAACTATCTACTGCAGCGAGCTGGAGGACCACATAGTCAAAATGACGGGGGCTAAGAACGTCCGCGTGTTGGACTATCAGGTGGGCCAATCCATCTCATTCTCTCTCCTTATCTGACACGTCCTACTGCTGTTGCAGCTCAGACGAAAATCTCCTAGCTTCCCCTACTTTCAGGGAAAGCTTCCCCCCCGACCGCAGCCCAGCCTTGTAGCACACGTCGGTATGATGTTTCTTCCTGTGGCAGCTACTTCACCTCGTCATTCGTAACACTGCAATCTCCAGATCTCACGCCTGAGACGGCCGAAAATATTGTTCGAGAGTTGTACAAAGATACAGCCGAGCAGATCCTACGGTCAAGGTATCAAATTATCACGTAAGTCTCTGCCTAGTCTGTCGCCCAGATATCACACACCCGACATTGTTAAATCTATAGAAAGTATTTGGAAGCCATTTCGCTTCCCGGTCCACGACTGGCCTCTAGCACTTTGTGATGCCACCAGCATTGATAGAAACGACTTAATTCCTATGGATATAATGTACCCGAATTATTTGGCTGAGAACTTTATGGTCTGCCATAACCCAAACCAAAGATGGTACTGGTTGCCGGACCACCAGACCGACGAGATACTTGTCTTCAATGCATTTGACTCAGAAGCCCTAAGCTCTTCGCGTGAGTTTTCATATCCTCCAGAAATCGTGCCGATCTCGCACTAAGTCCTTTAGCTTGTGCCCATGGCGCATTTCCGCTTCCCGGGGAGCATGGAGACGCACCGGCCCGGGAGAGCATCGACGCGCGGTTGCTCGTCATGTATGCGGATATCAAATATCCTGCACCTCAGCCGCAGTCAATCTGAGCTTTCTCTCCATTTTCTGTATCTAGTTGAGGATTTCTGATGTAGGCAGCATCTTCCAGGGTGTTTCAGAGTATAAGCGTTCATGTAACAACTCGTCTGATTCATAGCTATATATCCAAAGAAGTGCAAAATAGGCCCCAGACTGATCCAGACAACGCTTTCGCTATATTCAATAATAATGTAAAAGAGCAAGCGAACGTGAACACTGCACACTTGAGACGTCACTATATACGCCAACGTGCAAAGGCAGAAGATAAAAATAGAAGGCACAAAGTATCTGACCATCTATCTAAGCTGCACAGTATTCAAATCCCAGTTTTCCATCAGACTGCCAGCTGCTTGATTCCATGTCGTATAACTGCCAGAGCCGTCCTAAGGGCAGCATGGAGAAGAGAAGCTCATGTTTTCCCCGTCTCTACTCTTCGGGACTTGTGAGATTTTCCGTTGCGCTGCCGTCCTCCTCTGTCTCGTGGGCGGTTTTGCGGTAAATAGGGCGGCTGACTGAGGAGCCAGAGTTGCCCGAAGTGTCATCACCGCTGCGGAATTTTTGCAATTTGTTCAAGTCTGGGTTGGAATCTTCACTGAGAGTCTTCAGCGCCTTCCAAGGCTGGATTTTGGGGACTTGGGCATCAGTCATGATGGTGAGTGTAGTTGTCGCCGTGTTAGGATTGAAAAGGGCAGTTGTTATTTGGGGGCTTAGTTGGATGATGACACTGGGACGAAAAGCTCACTGAGCCCATGCTGAGGGAAATCATGCCACATATATAGGGTCTTGAACACAACAGCCAGATGCCTGACGCCACGAAATTGTGCGGTTCAACAGCCAGCGTCATATTTTCATGCAGATATCTCTTAACCAATGAGGTAAACATTTCGTTCCGTAACCTCACACAAATACTTCGCCTTTCTAACATTTCTGGACCACGAAGTACACTATACAAGATCCATGTACACTACACACGCACCCTAGGGTGCGAATATGTGCACTGTCATTTCTTACTCGTACAGTGCGAACATTTTGGATGCTAAAGGAGGGGCGCCCCGGCTTGCCAATTGCTGGCACTGCACTGAGAATTTAGTACGCCACGCGGCCAAATCTTACTTCAAGCGCCACTTCCTCAACATCTCACAGCACTACATATGGCCCAACCCCCCCGGAAAATCACCGTAAAATTTCCTGGCCGAGGAAGACTTACAAACAATGAACTATCGTAATAGTGGTAATCGGCAGGGAACCCCGGGTACGGAGACTGGGGGAGGTGGAAGTACGGAGACGATTAGCTCCGCTGATCCGCACAAATCTAACCTGATGCTAAGCAGTGAACGTTCACGTCAATGAAAATTCAACTTTGGAGCTCAAGTAAGTCGATTGAAATCTTCTCGTGGTTTATTCTCCGAAATATTCTGAAAATGAGAACGTTTCTGAAAACGATTTCTTGCAGCATAGTTGCCATTCCAGGTTTTGGTACGCCGGACACGTCTACTTGGGGACTAAAGTCTGAGCTATGTGAAGCAGCCGCACAAATAACGTCTCTGTCTCGGATTCACATTTACACATATCCACTGTCGTATGTACCTGTAAAATATTTCTCCTGGAAAGAATTTCTCAAGACTGGGAGTGATCTTGCTGAAGAGCTCGCACGCCTCACAGACAAGGTGAGAAAACAGTGTGGCGGTTTGATTATACCAGTATGTTGGAAAGCTGACCGGGCCACATCCTAGTCTCCAAACCGGCCCATAATCTTTATCGCGCATTCCATTGGTGGTGTCCTTGTCAAGAAGGTACGATAAAACACCCACCTGCAGGGCCCAACAAATATGCCATTATAACCTACTGACAGGCAAACTTACAACCAGGCACTGCTTTTGGCCCGCCAAAATGTCCACGACCACAGGTTCAAGCTAGCCATCCGGCTCTTTTCAGGCATTATATTCATGGGAACGCCGCATTCCAGTGGGTCCGATAAGGACACACTCGTGCGGTACAATCAGGTCCTACATAGCTGCACCAAGACTGTAGCCCCAAAGCAGACCAAGAGGCCATCCGAATATGTGCGGCCGCTAGCAATTCTTGCCATGGAGTTTAAGAACATTGCCGATATTCCCATCCTTTCAGTGTACGAGGATACGGCAGACCAAGATCAGCAAGCCAGAAGGCCGAAATACTTTGGAAGGAAAGCCAAGGTAATTACCACCCGCCCGCATGATTCTAGACAGACCTCCCCAGCTAACACAATTCTTATCAGCCCCAGTCGCTAGTAGACCAGCAGCTTGCCAGGATAGAATCTAGTACGGAGCAGCTGCTGGGGGCAACTCTCCCTCATGCACAGCTGTGCAATCTACCTAAGCTCACGAATGATAAAGGCTCAGTACGAGACTTTATTCAATTATTGCTTAAAGAATTGGAAGGTATTACTGAAGCATGACAAGAACTATAAAAGCAGACAAAAAACCGCTCTTCTGACCCTCCAGAAAAACTGGGACACAAAAACAAAGAAACGACAGTTGAAGCCAGGCCTACTCATCGAAGCTCTACCAGTCATCCTCGCATCACGTCCACTTTGAGCACCTCGGGGACCAGAGTGGCACCATACTCTGGGCTTCCGTTGCATCAGCGTCTCACGTCCAACAATGGCCGCACGAGTCTGCTGGACACTCGGACAGCTAACTTGCCCTGCTTCAAAGTGTCCCAGTTGCCCAACCCCTACTTCGTCGGACAGAACGACATCTTGGAGCTGATGGACAAGCACCTTCTTCCGCCGGTGCAGCCAAGAGGGGGCTTTCAAGACGGTGACGACCGGGGGCACATGCGCCGATTCGCACTTTGTGGTATGGGCGGAATCGGTGAGACTGATCTCGCCATCAAATATGCCTACACTAGGCGGGAAAAGTTTGATGCCATATTCTGGCTTCAAGCCGGGGGGGACTTACAACTGGCGTCTGATTTTGGCAGTGTATCAACGCAACTCGGACTACAGATGCCAGAGGAGGCAGAAAACCTTCAGGCAAACATAGAGGTTGCAAGGGTGTGGCTAAATAGGCCGTGGAACCTCGACAGGCGAGAGAACGACAGCTGGCTGTTAATTTTTGACAATGTCGAAGAGCTTGAGACGATAGGGCCCTACCTTCCTTCCAATGGTAACGGAGCGGTTCTGGTGACGAGCCGTAACCCTGCTGCGAAGGACTTTCAGCCCCTGGACGGACTAGGCGTTGACCTGGAGCCCCTACCTGAGACAGATGCAGCAACCTTGCTATGCAGGCTAACACAGACACCAGACAGCTCGTCACAGAGTACATTGCCGCCGGACGAGCGTGCCGCGTCTGAGGAACTAGCAGCGTACCTGGGAAGCCTACCGCTGGCCATGACACAAATGGCCGGGTTCATCCGCCGTAGGCGCTTGTCGATCCGTGAGTTCATGGACCTATACGCCAAAGACACTCGCTACACTGAGATACACGACGCTGGCAGCCCACTACAGAAGCAATGCTATGGTAACACCCTGGCGACAGCCTACAACTTTAAGGACCTAAGCCGCCAAACTCTCGCCCTCCTCCGCGTCATGGCCTTTATGAATCCGGATAACATCCGGGAAGACATCTTTGCCGGGCCATCAGGGCCACAGCAGATGCAGGCCAATTCCAGAGAGAGTCTACGGTGGACCATCTCGGACTTTGAGAAAGCCCGCCACGAGGCCTCTACGTCGTCCATCATCAAGCGTGACATGACAAAGAGGACGTTGCAGATTCACCGCATCATTCAAGCCGAGATTCGCGCCACTATGAAGGACGAGGAGCAACGCTATTGGGCTTTCCGAGATGCTGTGACACTGCTGGCAGAGTTCTGGCCACCCGGCGACCATAGCAGCCAAAAGATTGTCCGCTGGGACCTTTGCGGAAGTCTGAATGGCCGCATCTGGAACGCTTTTATTATTTTTACGTCGAGTACGAAGAGACCTGGAAAACATTCAGGGTAGACTCAGCCTTTCCCAAACTCCTAAATGAGGCAGCCACGTAAGCGAATAGATACAGACAGCAACGAACGAGGCCAACAAGCCAAAACGTGACGGCGTCTGCAGCTCGTCATACTATGCCATTCTGTTAACTGTCTCAACAGATACTTGCACGAGCGAGGATTCTCGCACGAGGGCAAGCAGTATCTGGAGCTAGGCCTGTCCCTATGCAGTCGAGATGGCATTGTGCTTGAGCCACTCATCAGCGACATGCACCTTTGCATGGGTGCCTTGTGCAACGAGACGAACGACACCGAGGCCTGTCTCGAGCATAACATCAAGTGCCTCAATATTCGCAAGGAGGAAGCCGCCCGAGGTAAGCCACCAGACCTACGGCTCGCATTTGCCCATAGCCAGATGGGTATCGCCTACATGATGGTCCGCAAGTTCGCACTCGCCACAGCCTACTTTCAACAGAGCGTTGATATGCTGAAGTCCATTAACGTGGATCCCGACGAGTTCGGCTTTCCTGCATGTAATCTTGGACTGGCATATTGGGTCCAGGGCGAGATTGACACTACAGATGATATCCTTACAAGGCTCCTGGCTCAACGAGAACAGCTACACGGAAAGCTGGACCGGGTAATTTACAAGTGAGTAAGAAGCGCAAACTCTAACGGATTCGTAGCTGGCATTTGCTGACCATTCCATCAATCCTATGGTAAAGGACTGGACGGGTTCTTCAAGCCCTTGGGAACGTGCGCGCGAGCAAGGCAATGCGACTTGAGGGCGAGGGCAAGCATGAGGATGCAAGAAAATTTTGGGAAGAATCATTCTTAATCCACCAGAACTGTCTCACGCAGTACGAATCCACTCTAGGTGAATTTAGTCACCGCACGGCTGACGCTTTGCACAAGCTTGCGGAGCACCACATCCGACGAAAGGAACACGTAAAGGCTCAGTAAGCCCCCCCCCTCCTCCTCCCCCGCCTGAACAGGAATTCTTAGACAATAAGTATACTTACCTATATCTGTCCAGGAGTTCACTTGAGAGAGCTTTAAACATCTGGGGGGACCGGCAGTGGTACAGGAACGAATATGCTCGTTCCTCCTATCTAAGAGGCATCCATCTTTTGTCGATGGGCGGCGAAGCAAATATCTAAGAAGGAGAGCAGTGGGTAGGTCGGGCTAAGCTGATTAGGCGTGCGATTTTGCCCAACGAGGAGGAGCTGCAAGATCTTGACACTGTTGACTTTGACGATTTGGTTTGTTTCTGGTCTATATAAGAACTTTAGTATACTTATATAACCTTTAAAATTAGACGTTATTATAATTAGAAAGTGTTCAGCGTTTTCTATATAATTTACAAAACATTTATAAAAGCTAGTTATAAATTTTATAACCTTATACATAGTGACGCTAACCTAGGTGCATAGTGCATCTAGATGCGTAGAGCGCGGTGCAAAGTCATCGTAGCGGTGCCTATAGCAACGCATGTCCTAGGTAGCGCTAGATGTACAGGTTACAGGGTACGACAGTCGCTTATAGGGACTTCGATCAGGTTCCTTAGCAAAGAGTAGTTGGAAGAGGAAGGATTACGAAGTCTTGGTAGGTGCTTGATTGCCTCTACCTAAAGGATGCGCTGTGTTGGATTAGAGTTCTCTTATATAGAGTAATGCGCGATACGCCAAGCAGACTGCGGCGCGAGACGTAAAGGATGAAAACATAGAGATAGAAGCGGAGTGCGTAGGTACGATGATACTGTGTTCATAGTAAGTGTAAAGCTAAGGAATAAAGGCACTGTGGTTGGCGAACTTTCCACAGCGACAAGTACAGCGACTCGCAATACTTTATGCCTAATGATGACCGGCAGCAGGAGTGTATTTACATCAGGTGCGACTAACCGCATATTAGTCTTCCAGTAGCTTGCCGACGCCTTTGTGCATACTGGCAACCACTACCTGACGTTGCTGCTGGACGGCGCATTATTTCTAGCTCCCATCTCGGATACTGTTTATGTTAGTAGGGAGCGTGTGCTGCCAGTAAGAAGAACTAAGATACATGTTAGACGCACTGAATCGATTAGAAGGTGGTCGATATTGGCACTGGCACTGGCACCTGGCAATGTAAGGAATCCCCGCCATTACTACATTAAACCATGACTCTGATTGGGGCAGAGACTTTGCCGATCAGTTTCCGAATGCAGAGGTAATCGGCACGGACATCTCGCCCATTCAGCTGAAATGGGTGCCGGCCAACGCCAAATTTGAGGTTGACGAGGCGACAAAGCCGTGGACGTGGACAACAACACGTTTGACTTTGTCCATATGCGCTACATGACAGGCGCCATTATCGACTGGAAAGGGGTGTGCGGAGGCGTACCGCTGCTGCAAGTTGGGCGGCTGGTATGAGTCTGTTGAAGTAGATGTCGAATTCCAGAGCGATGACGATACAGCCAAGCTGGCCCCAGTGCTGCAGACCTTTTGGCAGCTGGTTGTCCAAGGCATCGGAAGGCTAGGCCGGTCGGGCCGTGTAGTTAACGACGGCCTACAGGTTAAGTCGATGGAAACGGCCGGCTTTGTCAATATCCAAGACAGGAGCTTTATGCGGACCATCGGCGGGTGGCCAGCCGACCCGAAGCTGTCCGAGTGGGCCGGTATGTCCTACTAGGGGTTGATAAACGACCTTGAGGGTGTGTCTTGATTCCTTTCTTCGAGTGCCCTGAGACGATGCTAAATACCGGTAGGATATACGTTCTTTTGTGGAGCGAAACCATGAAATGGGGCACGTTGAGTACCAGATGTTCCTGATGGAAGTGCGCAAAGCCCTGAAGGACAAGGGTGCACACGTACTACACGGTACGGTTTGTGTGGGGGCAGAAGTCGGTGGATGGGTAGGCAGCGAATACTTGGAAGAGCAGTTCACTAAGTGGACCACTACTGCAGCTCCGGGCAATGTGACCAAGTTTAAGCGGAGTTTAGCCGGGCGGTCGGGTAAACTTCGGGACAGACGGCGTACTTAAGCGTTGTTGAAGCACCCGGATCTGCCACAACTCCGGGAGCGAGCACGTATTATACACAGTCTGTAGACAAACGGCAGTCCATCCACTAACAGAGCGAGAAGATGGCCGACATTGACGTGGAGCACGTACTGGGGCGGCTGAGCGATGAGGAAAAGGTGTCGCTGCTGGCGGGGATTGATTTCTGGCATACCAAGGCGCTGCCAGCGCACGGAGTGCCATCGCTGCGGCTGTCGGACGGACCAAACGGTGTGCGCGGCACGCGGTTCTTCAACGGGGTGCCAGCGGCGTGTCTGCCGTGCGGGACGGCGCTGGGGGCGACGTTCGACACGGAGCTGCTGACGGCAGCCGGCACTCTGATGGCGGCCGAGGCCAAGGCCAAAGGTGCACACGTGCTGCTGGGCCCGACAATCAACATGCAGCGAAGCCCGCTAGGCGGCCGAGGGTTTGAGTCGTACAGCGAGGACCCGGTGTTGGCCGGACTGGCAGCGGCGGCGGTGGTGCGCGGGATTCAGGCGAGCGGCGTGGTGGCGACGATCAAGCACTTTGTGTGCAACGACCAGGAGCACGAGCGCAACCGGGTCGACGCGCTGGTGACGGAGCGGGCGCTGCGCGAGCTGTATCTGCTGCCGTTCCAGCTGGCGATCCGGGACGGCCGGCCCAAGGCGCTGATGACGGCCTACAACAAGGTCAATGGCGAGCACGTGTCGGAGAGCCGGCGGCTGCTGGCGGACGTGTTGCGCGGCGAGTGGGGATGGAAAGGGCTGGTGATGAGCGATTGGTGAGTGCTGGTGAGGTCAAAAAAAAAGTTTGCAATGCGCGATTCGACTGATGCGATGCGAGCATTCGTCCGTTAGCTAACCCAACCCAGGTTCGGCACGTACTCCACCACCGAGGCCATCAATGCCGGCCTGGACCTCGAGATGCCTGGTCCGTCTCGCTGGCGCGGCGATGCTGCTCTTCTGGCGTCGTCGACGTTCAAGCTGCAGCCCGACGCTCTAGATGAGCGGGCCCGCGCCATGTTGGAGCTGGTGCGCGACTGCCACGCTTCGGGCGTGCCCGAGAATGCGCCGGAGGGCACTAACGACACGCCCGAGACGACGGCGCTGCTGCGACGACTCGCGGCCGAGTCGGTGGTGTTGCTGAAGAACAAAGAGGCCGTGTTGCCGCTGAGCAAAGAGAAGAAGGTGAGTGTGTGGCTGTGCTGTGGCTTGTACTCCGCGCTAACCGGTCCCGACAACAGACGCTCGTGATTGGCCCCAACGCCAAGACGGCGACGTTTTGCGGCGGCGGCTCGGCCTCGCTGCTGCCCTACCGCGCCGTGTCGCCGCTGGAGGGCATCACGGCCAAGGTCGGCGCGGCCAATGTGGCCTACACGGTGGGCGCGTACGCGCACAAGGATCTGCCGGACCTGGGGCCGCAGCTGACGACGACAGCGGACGGATCGAAGCCAGGCTTCACGTTTGTCGTGAGCAACGATCCGTTTGTGGATGACGACCGGACGGAGCGAACGGTGATCGACTCGCTCGCGTTTGCATCGGCCAACATGATGTTTATGGACTACAACAACGCGCGGCTGGCGGCGACGTGGTACGCCGCCATCGACGGCTACCTGACGGCCGATCGGACCGGCGACTTCGTGCTGGGCCTCTGCGTCTACGGGACCGCACAGCTCTTCCTGGACGGCCGCCTGCTGATCGACGTGACCGAGCACCAGACACCCGGCTCGTCTTTTTTTGGCTGCGGCACGGCCGAGGAGACCGCCACGGCGCCGCTGGTTGCCGGTCAGACGTATCACGTGCACGTGCGCTTTGGCAGCGCCAGCACCAGCCGACTGCGCCGGTCCGGCGTCTCGTTTGGCGGCGGCGCCATCAAGCTGGGCGGTGCCTGGCTCATGGATGCCACAGCCGAGATCGTCCGGGCAGCCGGCCTGGCGGCCGAGTACGACCAGGTCGTCGTCTGCGTCGGCCTGAACCAGGATTGGGAAAGCGAGGGCTTCGATCGACCGGATATGCGTCTTCCAGGTCACGTGGACGCCCTCGTGACCGCCGTCACCGCCGCCAACCCGCGCGCCGTCGTTGTTGTGCAGTCGGGCACGCCGGTCGAGATGCCCTGGCGCGACCAGGCTGCCGGCCTGCTGCAGGCCTGGTACGGCGGCAACGAGACCGGCCACGGGCTCGCCGACGTGCTCTTCGGCGACGTCAATCCGGCCGCCAAGCTGCCGCTCTCCTTTCCCGACCGCGTCCAGCACAACCCAGCTTACCTGCACTATCGCTCTGAAGCCGGCCGCGTACTCTACGGCGAAGACATCTACATGGGCTACCGCTACTACGACTCCCTCGGCCTGCCCCTCGCCTTTCCCTTTGGCTTTGGCCTCAGCTACACCACCTTTGCCCTCGGCCCGCTGTCCGTCCAGCTGCAGAACGACTCCCTCCATGCTGCCCTCACTCTCACCAACACTGGCGCCCGTGAAATGGCGCCGAGGTCCTCCAGCTCTACGTCCGCCAGCACGACCCCGCCATCCGTCGTCCCACCAAGGAGCTCAAGGCCTTCCGTAAGGTCGCCGTCGCTGCCGGCCAGCTTGTCGATGTCGCCCTCGACGTGTCGCTCAAGTACGCCTGCAGCTACTTTGACGAGCGTCGCGCCCAGTGGATCTGTGAGGCTGGCCGGTACACTGTCTACGTGTCGACCAGCAGTCGTCTGGACGAGGGCCTCTTTGTCGAGACGTCTTTTGAGGTGCCAACCACGTTCTGGTGGAGTGGTTTGTAGGCCTGTAGATTCTTGTTCCATATACCATTGAATTGCAGACTTCACCTCCCATACAAGTACAGCTCCAGCTCTTCCTTCCCTCCTGGCAGCGCCATCGTGCTGCTCGCACTCAGCTGCCAGCCCTCGCCCGCCAGCAGGCCAAACAACGCCTCCTCGTCCGCGTGCCGCGGCTTTCGCGCCAGCAGCACGCGCACGCCTGTAGATGCCGCCGCTTGCAGTGCCGACAGCGTCTGCACCAGCGCCGGCAGCATGTCCACGTTGTACGTGCAGTCGCTCAGCACCACCAGGTCCCACGGCCGCCCGCCAGCCACCTTGGCGCCGAACCGGCCCTGGCAGCCCTCGTCCCAGTCGAGATTTTCGTAGTCCAGTCGAACCTGTGCCGGCACCGTTGCTCGTTGCATGTTGGCCGTCGCCCGCTCTTCTGCCTCGGGCAGGTCTGTCAGGAGAACGGAAATGCCGTCCTGTTCGTCCTGTTCGTCTGGTCCGCCCCGGCGCACATGTCCCAGAATCGTCGCCAGCCCGATGCCCAGAATGCCGACGCCACTCCCCAGCTCGAGAACATGTAGGCGGCCTGGCTTGGTCGCCAGCAGACGGCGCAGGTACCCGGCCAGACCGTCTTGTTCCTCCTCTGTCCGGCCCCGGCTGCTTCCCATGCACGTGTCGGCCACAAAGGCCACCGTGGCCAGGCCGGCATCCCAGATGTGCCGCGCAATGCTCTCGCCAACTTCCTCTTCCTCTTCGACCCAGATCGGCCTCTTCTCTGGCTGTCTGTCATCGTGTCCGATGCAGAGCCTCCGCACGGCCACATGGCGAAACGCCTCACTGTCCGTCGCCGGCACGTCCACCCACAGAGGCACGACCGAGTACGAGCCTGTCGTGATCACGTCCGTGGCCGACACGATGGACAATCGGCGGTCCAGCATGCTGAAGCAGATCCGCCTCCGCACCACCAGCGGATCCCGCAGCCGCGCCACGGCCTCCTGCGGCACCACCAGACCCATCTTCAGCACCCGCGTCCCGGAGCTCCAGGCCAGCGACTGCGTCTTGCCGCTGCTAGCTTGCTTTGCAGGACAGTCGATCTGAAAGAAATGCTCCTCGGTGCGTGCAGCCGTCGTCTCGACCGCCTCTCCGCTCCCGCTCAGCTCTTCGCTGCCGGCCCTCTTTCTCTTGCGGCTGGGAGGCATGACATCACTGTACTGGTTCGTAGCCGAGTCCGACGGACTACTTCCATCGCTGCTTGCTGCCACTGCCGGCTCGTTCAAGCGCGTCTCGGTCTCCAGCCTGACCGAAATGCCACGAGGTCCATCGGGACTGTAGAACGAGTCGCCCAAGTCGGTCGTGATGGTCAGCACGAAACTCAGCACCGTCTGCTTCCCTTCCACCAGAGATGGTGGCCGCAACAGACGGATGTAGTGCATTCTCTCGCACACTTCTCGATCGAGGCCGCACGTCCTGCTGGCGATAAATTGGCCAATGTCCGAATCGGAAGTCGCCGTAGGCGGAATTGCAAGCGAGCTAAGTCCCTTCAAGTTGCAAGCAAGCGGCTGTCTCCGACGCTGTCATTTCCAGAAGGAGATCGCACATCGATACATCTTAGGAGCAAATCCATTGCAGCCACCAGAGCTTGCAGACGGAACCATTCGATTTTACAGCAGGAAAGTACGATCGCCATCTGCACGTGACTGCCGAGAAGAGCGGATCAATTTACAGGCAGCACATCACATCACAGCACAGACACATACACACACTTCGACGGCATGGCAGCGACGGCAAACACGCCGGCCGACCTGGTGGCGCAGCTGCTCCGGGTCACCGAGGAGCGAATCGTGCCGCTCACGCGCGCCGGGGTCGCGGCCGGCAGCAAGGTCTTTGGTGCTGCCGTGCTGGCCAAGGACGGCCTGGCGCCGCATACGGTGGCTACCAGCGACGAGCGCGCATCACCGCTGCTGCACGGCGAGATCAACTGCATCCAGGCCTTCTTTGCGTCTCCCGCCGACAGCCGGCCGCGGCCGAGCGACTGCGTCTTCTTCTGCACCCACGAGCCCTGCTCGCTCTGCCTCAGCGGCATCACCTGGTCCGGCTTCGACGAGTTCTACTACCTCTTCACCTATCAGGACAGCCGTGACCTCTTTGCCATCCCCTACGACATTGACATTCTCGAGTCCGTCTTCCGCGTCGCCGCCCCTGCTGACACCCCCGACAGCTTGGCTGCCCGCCCACTCTACAACAAGACGAACAAGTTCTTCCGCTCCGCCAGCCTGGCCGACCTTGTCGGCCGCATCGCCGACCCCCAGGACCGCGCCCGCTGGGCTGCCGAGGTCGACCGCGTCAAGGCTCTGTACAATGCCCTCAGCCAGACGTACCAGGACGGCAAGAAGGCCGGCACCGAGACGTCCAGCGTGTGGAAGTAGCTGGACTGTAGGAACGTCGTGTCCGCAGACAGACACTCGACAAGACACGATGACGCTCGAGCCAGCGCTCTCTCATGTCTTTATTATGTCCAGATACTTGTCCAATGCATCTTCTCTTGTTCGTTCTCCAGTGATTCGTTTCGTGCCCTTTAATATGGGTCTTCGTCCCAGCTGCTGTATTGGATCCGCCTGAACAAATGGCTAGACCGGAGTCTGTCGGGAAGCCAATGCTGTAGAGGTGTGTGGTGCGAACATGTCGGCCGGTTTCGCAATGCGAGCGAGAAAAAGGTTCTGCTTGTGGCCAGAGCCCACCTAAAGCTGTCCCGGTCACATGACAGAAGCTAAATCAACAGACCCCGCCTCTTCTCAGTAGACTGTCAGCTCTGTTGACCAACCAAGGTCAGACCCAAAGACCACGTCTCTGAACTATGCAAGAGCCGTCTCTGTAAAGACGAATGCGAGGCACAAGGGCCTTGGAAACAGCCTCTCACTTTGTTCATTATGGCTTTTAAGCCAGATCATAGACTGGACCTCAGGCCGGAGCAGTACCCGCCTCTTTTTCGGCCGCTGCCAGTCCTTTCACAAGCCAACCAATTACTGACTGGCCTTGCTCAGCCTTATCACCACTGGGCCTATCCTCAACATGCAGAGCCGGTCTACTTCTCTCCAGATATACATCGCCAAGGGGTTTCTCCAGGGCTGCCGCTGTCAGGAAACATGGGTGCCTTCCCGCCGATTTATGGCCCAGAAAATGGTGCTCCTGTTTATGTTCACCCGGGACCTTGGAGTTTCGACGAAATGATCCCCCCTCGAGGCAACACATTTATTGATACCGGAAGGTCACTGGTTCCCCAGAATGCTGAATATGCACACTTTCCCAGAGGAGCCTACCCCCCAATCTATCTCCACCATATGGAACCAATGTATCCCCAAGCTTTCCCGAGTGGGAGCCACGCCCTTGAAAATCACAGCATAGATTCCCGAAACCTTTACAACCAACCCAGAGAGCTACGCCACTATCAGGACCAGAATAATAGCCATCATCAGGGACATCCCCACGGGGGCTATCAGTATAGCTTTTATGGCCAGAGTGGCCAGAGTCAATATGGTCGCTATAGTGGTGGCCACGACAGCTAGAGTCATGGTCGTGGCCCCAGTCGTGGAAGACCTTTGGACGGCTACAATGCTGACCAGCCATCAAGATACCTTCAGCATGGACATGTCCCTCTCGACAACCGCCAAAGATACCAAGCAGGCTTGCCGCTCATCGCGACAAACCGCTACCGTAGCAACCAGTGCCTAGGAAATTACCGAATTCGACCCAGGGGGCTGGACGAACCTGAGAGGTGGGCTGAGACAGAGAGATTGTCGAAAACCTATGTCCAGCTACCGCCCGAGCCAGCTGGGCAGACCGAGAAACCTGAGCAGCTCGAGCAGCCCACGCAGACTAGCCAGTTGGGGGAAGTCGAGGAATCCCAGTCTGCCAGTGACGCTGCCCCGGTTACAGCTTCCATTACGGAGGACCCATTCAAGAAGTATCTTGACAAGATCTTGAAGCGAGTGCACGGGAAGAGGCGCCGTGAACTCAGCCCCACCAGTGGAGGAGCAGGGTCGCGGCGGCCGGACGTGTTCTCAGCAGTATGAACCCCTGTTAATCACACCCGCGGAGAAGATATGGACACTTTGAAAGTGCTTGCTAAATTGTAGAAACAGACCATCTGCCAAGAGGACAGCTATATGCACAGCGACACCGATTCTGACTTGGACCACCGGTCGGTCGTCTCGACGGTATGTCTCTTGTTTCGGTCTCCCAAAGTAGAAAGAGAAGTTGACTGATACTGACATGTGTTTAGCCAGCCTCATGGAGCCATGCCGTCATATGATCAAACCGCCCAAGAGAAGGGAGTCGCTCCATCCGACTAACGACGCCTGCAGAGACGTTTGGAAGGCCGTAGTGGCGAACCTTTTTGGGAAACTTTGAAGAAACTCAGACCAAGATATTTGTCCTTCCTACTTCGCAAAGGAAGAAAGAGCGTCGGCGCGAATGGGCATATGAGGGGCTAGAGAGGTTAGTGGGCATAATTATGCGGAAGGGCCGGGCATTGTTCTTCTAGTCATATTCTGTGTTCTTTCTATTCTTGATGTAAATGAGGGATGCCGTCGTTGGTGAGATGCAATACCAGGCCAAAAGAATCAGATTGCACCAGGCTAGATGCAAGTACAGAGTAAGATACAGCCAATGGCTGTTGTGATCAGATACAGGTAGCACTACGCACTGCTGAAAGCCGTTGTGTTTTGCGCACTGGCCACGTTTCCAGCCACGGGGCCAGCACAAACTAGCCCAAAAATAGCCCATCGGAAGAGGAGTGAGAGCAAGGCGATGTGCATGTATGCGTGCCCGGTCCCTTTGTCAGACAGCCTCGACAGCTTAGTGTTTCTAGAAGGGGTACGATTTTTTACGAAGTGCTGTGTATCTTACGAGCAACGGCCGGTCTCCCGTATTCGTCAGCCGGATCAGTGCGACCGTTTAGAATATACATAGCAAGATACATTGCGTCTTAAAACCACGCCCCTCTTCCCCTCCTTCTGTTTGCGGACTCAACCTGCACTGATGGCATGTAGCTCTGATTGGACCGTCGAGGTGTGACGGCGTGGCTGCACGTCTTAAGCGCCGGGCAGGTTCTTCGCTCTTCGTTCTCGTCCGGATGCGCTGGGTCATACATAGTAGCTGTGCCCGATGTGACAGTGACGAGGACGGCGGGTGTGTGAGGCAGAGGATCAGATGGCCAGGCTGAGTCACCTGAAAGAGGCTAATCATCGCACGAGCAGTCGACCATGTAGCAGCCCGACGGATGAAAGCAAATTTGCTTGCAAAGGCCAAAGGCTTGAAGCAGAACGAGGACGGGACATTGCTGGCGATGCTTGGGGAGGGGGAGGGGGAGGGGGGAACCGTTTGTTTTCCTGCATTAGCCGTCAGATTTCTCCACCGTCAGACTGGGAAGATGACGGGCTGATCCAAGCGATTCTGCCTCCCATCCGGCCCGCGGCTCTCAGCTCAGAGGGGAACTGGAACCGATCAGATAGGGCCTCTCCGACCGGCACAGCAATCAGGCCGTTCGATTCGGCGGAAAGACAGCCGAGCGATGCAGGGCGACGAGCCAACGACGGCGGTGCGGCCGAAAGGAGGGATCATGAACATGTCGTGCTCTTTGTTCCCGGCGGAAAGAGACAGCGCTCGAGCACAAGACGAGTCCATGAACAGGCTGCAGCAGAGGACCCGGCTCGCTCAGAGACCGAGGGCCAGACCGAGAACAACTGGACAATGGCAAGAGGCCGCGAATGGTGGCCGCACAGACTGCCGACACTGCACCGGATTGCCTGCTTCGGGGGCGGGGAGGGGTGCTGCAGGTGGCCAGCCCTGTAAGCGAGAGCCCTATTGCGAAGATATGGGTACTGACGTCGCTGCGACCCCTCTCAACCGCTGCTCCACCCGCTGCACTAACACCTCTACTACCACTAACACCACTAACACCACTACAGCCATCACCACACCACCCGCTGTCCACTAACCACACCACACTGTTCCGCACACCCTCAGCTTGCCGGGCGGCTCGGCTGTCACAGCGGTCGGCCAGTGGTATCTTTATGTACGCGCGCAGGCAGCGATGATGCTTTGCGTTCTATACCGAGTCCGAGTTGTGCACATTCCCCAATGCCTCGCCAGAGACACGGAGCCGCATCGCAGCGCATGCGATCTCGACATGGGAGCGGATGGCAAGAGCCGACAGAGGCCTACCCTAGAGAGGCACCCCAGAGCGGCCATTTCGCTGTGATTTTTCCACAGCCATGCCATGTATCCCATGTAGCCGTCCTTGTAGCTCTCGGTGCTGCCCAATGCCTTCTCCTCTTCTCCCATCTGACACCACGGCCCAACTGCCCCTCAACGGCACAAAACCCGCCATTGAGCCGAGCAGTCGTACTCTGTACATTGCTGCATTTAAATTGAGATAGAAAAAAAGGGGGAAAAGAAGGGAAAAGGCCCGGCTTCCCTCATGCCGTCACCTGTTGTCGCGCCAATTCAACGTGACAAGAGGAGCAGCAGACAAATCATGCAGAGGGCGACCACATTGTTCTACCGATCACCATATCGTCTCCCGCTGGGTATTGCTTTTGTTCTTCGGCTGCAATGGCCGCAAGACGACGATCATACTCCGCAGACTCAACTTCGGCATAGCGCGGCATGCAACAAAAGCAAGACGAGGAATACAGGGAGAAAAATTAGCGCGCGCGCACAAGCGTCACATGCACCCGAAACGAGGATACTTACCTGCGCAAAGGCGTGCCTTTATGAACAGGAAGGGGGAAAATAACACGCCAAAGTGCACGAAATGCACTAAAGCAACCCGCCGAGAAAATCAACAGCTGCAGAGCGGTCCGTCTTCCGTCTTCCGCCCCGACGTTAGTGCATTGATACAGCGACGTCCACTGGCCGTGCTATGCAAAAACCACGCCATCACCTTGTCTGCTTTACCTTCAACAGGATAGTCAATGAAGCTGCTGCAGATGCGGCTGGGAGGGGGCCTTGTGCACAGGAGCACGCTTATTTGCCTACAGGCCCGTTGTTGCGACATTTTTCTTTTCTTTCTTTTTCCACGGCTGTGCGTAAACTATGCAGCTCTGCCGCGTTAGGGCTTTGTCTCACCATCCCTGGCAACACCGAGGCTTTTTCTTGGATTTTCTCGCTTCTTCATACTCGTCGTATATTCTTCACATTCTACCGAGCACACATTCCTCGCTCACAAAGTCATACTCCATGCCCATACTCCGTACACAGTAGTCTTCCACTAATAAAAAGATTAAAATCCAATTCCCTCCCGTCCTGTCTAATAAACTAGTATTGAGAACCCGACCTGACAGTGTAAAGGAATGGGGTATATCCGACATCCGACCTGCGACACAAACGAAATGAAAACCGTTCCGAACCAGGGTAGCTAGACTCTTATAGACGAAACGATGAGTGCGCCCTGTATGCCAACCCAAAAAGAGGCTTTTCCAGAACAGAATGAAGAAAGTGCGGAGACGCCCAGCGATGTCCAACATGAAAACATGAAAAAACCAACAATATCCAAAACCAGAACCGAAAAAAAAAAAAAAAAAAAAAAAACTTCAAACCCCGAAGAAAAAAAACTTTCTGTATCCCACACAAACCGGCCCCCGAGAGGGGACCGGCAAGCCTTGTTCGTAAAGACTTTTTCGTCCGCACCTGTATTAAATAACAGACATGAAATCTAACAAATTAAAATAAAACCCATATTCCTTCTACTCTGTGCACGCTCACAATTCAAAATCCAAACTTTTGGAGAATCCGTTATTTCTGCCGCCCGTCCATCCAATGCACAGTAGTCCCACCAATATTACAAAATCTTATCAGCCGTGCGTCGTCAGGCTTGGTCGTATTGCTTCTGGCTCGGCAATTCGGTCCAGTATGTGGAAGACGAGAGAGAAAGGAGAAAGTGGGGAGGCTGACGTGAAAATCCAAATTCGCTTGCCACGGAAACCGGAATGCAGGCATCTCGTTAAAAAGATATAAGCCCGGCAACGTTGCCGTTACCATCAGGCGACGTGGTGTTATACCATCCAGATCTAAGTTTTCCGGGGCATAAAGGGGGGGGAGGGTGGAAAAGAAAACAAGAACTCCTTGGAGTTTTGGTCATCCGTGGCGTGGAAATAATGCCTCTGGAAAATCCAAAATATAATACACTGTGGGTTGTAAATTTCAACCAATGTTGGTCGTAGTTTTCGTTTTTTTTGTTCGGTACCGTCGTTCGATGCCAAGTGGACCGGAGGAGTCCCGGAGAATCCAAATCCAATCCATGTCCTATTTGGTGGGCTGACGGATAATGTCCTCGCAATTTGCATCGAAGCGGAGATTCCAGAGCCGAACGGACTGCATGAAGCGCTCTGTCTTCTCCAGCTCTCGCTCCCGACCGAACAGAGTCTCAACAAATTCAATGCCGGCGTTCTTGCCCAGCTGCGTCTTCTCCCGCTTTCCCGTGCGCAGCATGGGCTGTTCACAGGTCTTGAGCAGCTTGCGGAGCTTGTCCGTTAGACGCTCACCAGAAAGGATGAAATCCTCGAGCATCTCGCGGTTCTCCTTGGTGCGGACACGGCACATGACCTCATCAGCACGCTTGATCTTGCCAGCGAGCTGAATCAGCAGCAGCCACATCTCGCCAGCCACCTCAGCGATTGGCGACGACGGGCCGTGGTGGTAAGTGGTCCAGTCGTAGATCCACTTACCCAGCGAGTTCGCATCGAACACACTCCCCAGCAGCATGATGGGTTCCTCCGAAGGGTCCCAGTTCTTGAGAGAATAGCCTGCTGGGATGTGGTGCTTCTTAGCGTCGGCCTCGGTTGCCTTCTGAGGTGCAGGCGATGCCGAGCCACCCGATTTCTTGGACGACGCCATCGTCGCCGGCGGAGGTGGCTGGTGAGAGCTCGAAGGCCGCGCGGTAGCGGAACGCTGAGGGATTGGCATGGTCGTGGAGGAGCGGCGCGAGTGCCCGGTGGGTGTGGTATGGCGGGTGTCGGAAGTCGGCTCATGATAGCGAGGCGACTCGAACCCGGCGCGAAGGTCCTTTTCCACGAAACCGTAACCGCCCTGTGGGTAGTATTGGTGGTTAGTCCGGTACGGGCCTGAGTAGTTGTAGTCGTCACCGAGATAGTGACTCTTCTGCTTCCTCGGTCTTGAACGCGCAGGCAACACGTAAGTGATGCCGTCGATCTCGATGAGTTCGTCCTCGTCGGATTCCCCAATGGAGTCTGAGGCCCGATAGTAGGAGAATGAAGAGCTGCGTCGCTCACGCCCGGGGGCGTTGGGACTCGACCACGACGTTTGTCTCCGTGTCGGGCGCGAAGAACTCACATTGGCTGTGGCGTAGTGGCCATCGCTTGTGTACCGCGGAGAGAAGGTTGGCGGCCGCGACGATGGACTGGTGTTGAACTCGTGAAAGCCAGTGCCACTGGAGCTCATGTGCCGGAAGTGTGCGCGGGTCGCCGGTCGCTGCTGCTGCTGCTGGGCGTAGTAGTAGGCCGGCCCGCGGGGCGAAGGCGTCGGCGATGGGCTGATATAGTCTTTCTTTTCGTAGTAATAGTCGGCAGTGGCGGCAGGCGTCGCCGCGTAAGGGGAGTAGGAGGCATTCATGATGGGATGTTTATTCGACGAGCGGCTTGCGTAGGCCGGATCGTCTCTGTAAATTGTTTGTTTTTGTGAAGATCTCTGTTTTGGTTTGGGAGACAAGAAAAGTAGAGGAATGATATTTGACAGAGTAGACGTGGAGCGATGCCGTCGTCGTCCAGTCGGAGTAGTCGTGGTGGCGGTTGTAGTCGTGGCCGTGGCCGTCGATGCGGTCACGGTCGCGATCGCAGAATGGGAAGGGCGGCGCCTGTGTCGTGACGCTGCAGGTGTTGGAGATGACGCCAGTCACCTTGGTATGTAGTCGGTAGAGGGGGAGAGAGAGAGCCGACTGCTGTTGGAGTACATGTCAAGGTTTGTGGCGATACAAGGAAGATGCTCCTCTTCGGCGCAAGAGACAAAAATTGGTCATCAAGGTTGACCAGGACGTCGTGCTCTAAGAAGTTCTGGAAGGGACTAGACAGTCCGACTGGTCCAGGACAGTGGAATTGGGTATATTATAAGCGAAGACGAGACGATCGAGCTTGGCCGATGAAGGGTCAGGAAGCGCAGAAAGGTTTTATGCGTTGTTGGCGAAAAGCCAAGTGGTATCAAAAGGGAAAGCCCAAGAAATGCAGAAGGTTGGGTGGGTTAGGCCCGTATGTATACTAATACTTCCAACGTCTGTACGTGTTTTTTTTTTTTTTTTTTCCTCTGTAAACCGACGACAGGGGGTTGAACAGGGGGGGGGGGTCAGAGAAAAACAGGGTGGCATAAGAGCAGGAAAGGTACGGGAAGCATGTATTTGGGCTCAGGCAAAAGTGTCAAAATGGAGGGGGGGGTGGCAATAACGTAGAAGTACCTTTTGGTCCCTCTTTTCTTATTAGTCACACCTTGCAGGCCGTGGGGCGCAATGTGCAGTCTTGGCGCAGCCACACTACTCGTAGTAATTCCTGTGGGAAGGATGGCACTGTCCTTCCGCACAAGTGGTCGGTATTATGGTATTTTATTATTTGGCACCGTATTCGTACTCCGTATTGGTTGCTTCTTCTGTGCAGGTTAAATCCAGTCGAGGCCTAACAGCCTGTCAGGTCGGCCGAGCCGGATGCTCAGCTCGTGTTGGTTGCGGCGTAGGACGATGGAATCGACGAGATTCGTTGGAGTCGATGGGATATGATAGGAGTCCTCACTCGGTCAGAGCGAATGGCCGGCTTAGATTGCGGTCGTCGCACGACAGGCGTACGAACAGGGCGAGCACCGCTGTCTCTTGTGGCTGCTCTTGTTTCTTAGCCTTCGTTCCGAGGGAGCCAACAAGACGTACGACGTAGTCTTCGCTCGTCTTGGTTGCGTCAAGGGAACTGTTCCGGTCTGGCCGAGGTGTCTTGAAAGCGGGTCTCTGTTAGGAATACGATGGCAACACGAATTTCCGCAAGCTGGATTGTGGGTGTTGGCCGAAATTTCGCGACTGGGATACGTGCTTGCGCAGAAGGGAGCACTGGTAGATCGATGGCCATGAGGTACGAATATTCCCTGGAACCAATTTACCAATATCCCTGTAAGCGAGATTGTGGATTTCTGCCGCTCATAGAAATTGGCAGTTGCTTCCGGTGAGAGCTTTCCAGTTCATGCTTCTTCTGCCGTTCTCCAGGACGTCCCGTCCGCTAAAGCCAAAGGTCGAGTGGGCCGCTGGCCTGAAGGAGTAACAGAAGATGCGAGACCACTTGCCGTCTGCAGAGGTCCGCCTCAATATGTAGCGTGCGATGCAATTTTGTGGAAAGATGCGCACGCAAACAAGGTACCGCCGCGGCTCTTCGGTCGGCCGTTGTCTGCTGTTCGGGAATGGTCGGTTCGTGTTTCGTCGTGCAAGCCCCTCGTCGTAAGTAGCTGCCTGGATAGCTGCCTGCGAATGTTGTATTCGCCGGCTGGCCCGTTGACTGCTGCCTGCTGCCTGTTATCTGCCGGTGTGGGAGTGCGACAGGAACCAATTGATGTTTGTAAGTGACAGAAATGATCATCAGGGGTCAGTACAAGCGCAAATATATGTACCTCGTGCTCAGGCGGCGAATGGATGACGAACACTGCGAGGGCAAGGCGTTTGGGTTCGTACGAGTACACATCATGATGGGGTAAGCCAACGACGCGCATTCTCGCGATACATAAAGAAGTCGGAACGATATGAGTCGTGCAGGCCGGGAATTGCAGTCACGAAGCCAATGGCAATAGCCCCGAGGCTGCGAAAGCCGACGTCACGTCTTTCTGCCTGCCTATTACTGCCAATTCGCCACTGCTATCATCTCGTGAAGAGCATGGGGGAGCATTGCTCCTTCCGGTTCTAGACCTTGGCCTACTACGGTACTCGTACTCCGTACAGGCTGCCGTTTACGCCCCCTGTGATTCGGCGAAATCATCTCTGTCCTTCTCTTCTACTCGTACAGCGTATCTCGGTTTGTGCTCAGGCCAGTCACTCCTTAAATTGCCGCTGAGCAAATTCGCGGAGCTCTCTGCTGCCCGTGCAATTGGATCATGCTGTGGCCACACGCCATACACAAGTGTCCCGAACGTGGATAGCGGGTGCAAACGTCTCCTCCCAGATTATCTGTCGTTACACTTTCTCCTTGGGCGGTTCTTATTACATAGTATGCCGACGCAGGTGCAGGGATCGCTGAAGGTCGTCATGCAGCCAGCCAGAGTCGAGGAAGTGATCGATCCGTTCGCAAGGTTCAGTGGAGGTGTTCGACCCACGCACTAAAAAGCGGGAGTGGCAGGCAGGACACTAAAGTAAAGCAATATGCAGCCACCACGAGGCATCAGAGCCCATCTGCTAAGATGCTTGTGACCGTCCCTTTCTGGGGTACTCGTATACGTAAGACGTATATTTTAATTTGGAGACAAGGAAAGAGGTTGACCGAACGAAACAGCCAGTCGCACGTGTGCTGACGAAAGATCGAATGGGATTGGTCAGCAAGTCTTCCAATCAGGTCGCCGAAATGTCTGGCCTCGTTTACAAGATGCCGTGCACGGCGACGGTGCGGCGATGGCATCGGACGGCGATCGTTGAACGCGCCCAGACGAGCACAAACATGAGCACATGAGTGCACAAACGCACGAGTAACGCACGAGTACACGAGCTGACACCATCCACAGCCAGACCAGGTGTTCGTCATCCATCAACCCGCAAAACAAAACAAAAGAATGCACCAAAGGCAGAGCAACAAAAGTACATTGGCAAGCAGGCTTACGGAGTAGGCGCATCCGCTTCCCAATGACAGGCAACAAATGGGAGGGGCTCCATGCTGCTTTGCACGGACTCTTGGGAAGCCCACTCCAAATCGATCTGGGCGCTCTGTCCATCTAAGGCGGTGTGTGATTCGCTGCTGCAAGCACTCACGGGCCGCTCGTTATTACTAGCGCACCATCATTCCGCTGCGGCTGTCCTTACTGGTGGCTTTGACACAGCCTCTGGCTGGCATGCTGGGGCATCAATGTCTTGCATCATGAAGTTCACGACGCATGTGTCCGTGTCCCGTGTATTACAGCCACGCAAATTCGCAAATGGGATTGCCACCAACACAGCAAACAGTAAGCGTTTCCATTGCACAGCAGGTACTCCGTACAGCTCCGGGACCTGAATGTGGCAGCAAGGCGAGCTGCGGCTGGACGCCGGGCCTTTTGGGCCCGGCCAACTTTTCTTGTGGCCGGCCAGCCTCTGTCTAGCATGGGGAGTGCCGTGTTGGCTGGCTGGGCCTGAACGCGCAGTCACGGAGAGACATGCATGACTGATGCGAGACAAAGACACTGCAAGCAAGACACAAGCCGGTGTGCTTTGATTCAGCTTGATCAACATTAGTGTGTTTCTCTTTTTCAGCCTCCCTACGGAGTGATCCCCACTGATGCAACCCGGTGATACTTGTATCTCGTACGATATGGGTCTCGGCTTGCAATATGTACTCATACTCCGTACGTCGTACTTTTCGGACGAGGTCGAGTTGGACGGCTTGCTAGCGCCAACACTGACAGAGTGGGAGAACGAGGAGCCCTTTTGCGCAAGCTACTGCGCGCCGTCTCTTCCTGCCCCGGATCCGTCTGCCGCCGTTCGGACGGGAAAAGGCGCTGTTGCAAGTTATTACGGGACTTTTCATTCATACCGGGTAGTCTCGCGGACCGCTTCTCCCATCGACGCTACAGAGTACGAGCAAGATACAGAATCGGTCTGCAGAGTGTCGGTGAGCGGCAGTGAGACACACGCCCGTCGAAGCCGCCGCAGTAGCACGATGAAGGCGTAGACGACAGTACGGAGTAGGAAATATGGAACAGAAAGCAACAGAGCAAGTATCTTAGCTACATTGTAGCATTTCCTTAATCATTTTTGTTGTTAGCGTGGCGTTGGCTACTCCGTATGTCCAAACCCCTTGGACCCCTAGCTTAGCGGTAATTATAGTGGGTCCCAATCGGTCCTGCGACAGAACCCAACGTTTTTCTAAATTGTTATGCCTTGCGAAATGGAAGGGGTGGGATCGGTAGCTCTGCGGTGGCTCTCGTGAATTGGACTTCTCGTCCTGTATTCCAGAAGCGTAGAAATACAGACACATGGACAGATCTGGCCAAGAAATAGCCGTGTCTTGTGCCATGTTGTCATCGTCTTTATAGGCACATCTCGGATCATTGCTTCTGTCCCGTATTCTTTGCTTTTTTATCCTTGGACAAAACCCTTGTTGGCAAGCATGCGTGCTCCTTTCATTTGGCTCACCGTGAAAATTTTTCTTGCCCTATCCCCCCCCTTTTTTTTTCTTGCAACATCACACACAGGCCGCATGGCACGTCCACACCTCCCCTTTTTCTGTCAAAAACAAAACAGATTGTCCGTTTACGACGTAGTCTTCATTTCCAACCCGTAACGCAAATAAGAGGGGCTGTACCGAGATGGGGGAGGGGTGTGAAGGAAGAAAAAAGAGCCCGTCGCAAAGTACCTATCAAAAGCGGGACCCTCCTTTTGCTCTGGGTATGTACGGAGTATCTTACATAGTATGACGCACGACAACGGTGGCCGGCAGAAGAAAAGACGTACCGTAGTACTCCGTACTCGTACAGTTTAATCGGAGAAAGAGATGGAAGGGGAAGGAAGAGAAAAAGGAAATGGAATGAGCAGAGAATGCGCAAGAGATGGATAGGAAATGGGCGTGGATGACGGGGGGAAAGGCGAATTGTTTTGTCTTCCGCCGGCGTCCCATCCTTCATCTAGGCCAGTGACCGGTCAGCTGATTGGCCGGCCCAGCACATGGAAAAGCAGCCTTGTTATGCTCTGATGCCCTACGGATGACTGCTGCCACTCTATTTTGCTGCGTTGCGGTCCAATGCAAAGGTGAAAAGTGGAGAGGCCGAGCGAAGCAGGGCTGCTCACCGCAACCAGAAGCAAGGGAGAAGCCAGGTCCTGGAAAAGCTAAAAGGTCTCTTACACGGCCTGCTGCTCTGATTGGGTGTCTTTCTGGCCATCGCCACTGCGCGTGGGAGACGAGGGCCGGACGATTTCTCTCCTCCGCTACTCTGCCGCTGTGCTTTGCTGGCATTGCAAGAGACTACGGAGTACTATGTGAGTATATCGTGTGTGTACGGAGCATCACCTCGTAAAGGGAAAAAGAGCAGGGAGCAGTTGCGGCTGCGTCGCATTGCGGGCCCTGCTTTGGCCTTCTCCACCTGGCCTCTGTTTCTTGCACCTCCCGGCGAATACGCAAGAAGCCGAGAGAGCCAAACGCAGAACACGGTTGCGCTCAAGGTGCATATTCCACCCATTCGGACGCATACATACTACTGCTGCATGGACCCATCATGTACACTCCCTGTTGGGGCCGATGCTCGTACGAGCAGGTCCGCGGACTCCTTGCTCACCTTGAACAGTACTCGTCATAGTAGTCTGAAGCCGTCTGGAGCCGATGACGTTGAGGGCGCAGCACACAAAAAAAATACTTCCTTCAAAACCAAAATAGCAACCATGGCCACGCTTCCAGGGCCTTCTTGGCAGCAGTTGCCTTCTTCACCGTCTGTTTGCTTTGATCTTTTTTTCCTCACCGACTCGTCCATGTTCCGACAACGGGGGAGGCAAGAAGCAGAGCTGTGTAGGTCTGATTTTGGGTACTCTGTCTGCCAGCTGGCAGCTCCATGCACGAGCCATGAAGCTTGTAGGCCATTTTGGACACGGCCGCTCGCCTTTATCTTCTTCCCGGGCACGAGAGAGCCCAATTGTGCCTTTGCCGTCTGAATGACCTTGCTTATATTCTCGTTCTGGCATGTCAGGCAGTGAAGAGGCGAGACGCCCGCCGTCTTGCCGGCTCCAATAGCAAGACAGGGCCGCTTCTGAAGCCAGCACTTGTTGATAACGACAGAGACGACAACACCCCCAATTTGCCCACTTCTGGTGGCTCATCCGGCAGGGCGGATGCCAACAGGAATGGTGCCTGGCCCCTGCGCCGAGTGAGAGTGAGAGAGAGAATATAAGAGAATGAGAGAAACGCTGGCCAGCCCATCCGAGCAGGCCGGGAGCTGCATCATGACAGCAGTCGTGCGGCCTCCCGGACCGGATGCGAGTGAGGCCATAGCCGGACGTGCATGCTGCATTGATACGTCGGACCCTCGCTCTCAGGGCCATGTAGCCACCTCTTTTTGTCTGTTCGCAGGAGGCGCGAATAGGGCTCTCGCGCGCGCCGCTGCTGCTGCTGCTGCTGCATACGCCTTACACGAGCCCCGGCCTAGCCGTATCTCCAAGCACACCCCTCTCTGGGCCTGCCTGCCGCCCCCGCCCCGGCTCTCCGTACATCGGAGCTATGCCCCATCTGTTCGACGAGCAGAAGGCGTCACGACCCAACCGGGAAAGGCGAGAGGATAGGCGATGCCCGGTCGCGTGCGCTCTCGACCGGGTGGGCCATTGATCGGCTGGCTCGCGGTGACTGCCCGGCAAAAGAAACAGACCAGGCAGACGGGCGCCTTGTTTCTCGTTTCAGAAATTGCCTCTGTGACTGATGGAAGTTGCGTCGAGAAGAGGACCAGGTTTTCTGCGAGACCTGGCTCCCCAACAAGTCGACTTACACGAAAAGCGAGCTATGCTTGGGCTGCTGTTGTGGCTGAGCTCTCCACGTGATCGTTGGGCTGTCATGCAGCAGCCTCCCCCATCGGATGGGCCCGCCAACCCAACGCAAGGCGTAGCCGCTGGCCGTTATCGCTAACAGCAGCGCTCCAGCTTCCACCGAATTCCAGCCAGCTTTCCACCGACATATTCTGACAAATTTTCGCTGTCGTGCACTCGACACTCTGCCTTTGCCTTCCCCCTGTACTTGTATCGTACATGCATAGCAGCAGAGTTGATGGGTAATTTGAAACCCGAGATGTAAGATACTTGCGGTCAGAGACGTGGGAAGGGTGTCAATCTAGTGACTAAATTTCTCATACTCTTACATACGGAGGATGTTTGTAATCTCTCCCTTCTGGTCGATACCGGCTGACCGACTGCACGTTTGAAGCGGTCGCAACATGCAGTCGGGGCACTACCTTTCAAAGGCAAATTCACCAGCCGCCTGTGGGATACGTCGCGCACGTACCCCTTGCTTATTCTGCCTTGCTTGCTTTTCACGGATGGTAGAGAAGCTTTCCGATCTCTCATCTCGGTACAAGGGGTGTACTTCCTGTCAACGGTGACTCACTCGGCGCACGTCGTCAAATCTGGCACGTCTTCTGTCTAATATTGGCTACGGCGTTAGACTGCAATTCTCTTTCGCTCCAGTCGCCCAATTCTGTCTGGGCTGTGATGTCAATTTTTGCCACGCATCCCCCCCTCTTTCGCTCTACCTAGTATTAGGGGAGACAGGCAGACCAGAGTGCTAACATACATTTCCAAAGAAACTCAATTTGCCCCCACCCCTTGTCGTCTGCGCCATGTACCTTATCTTTTCATTTCTTCTTTCATTGCAACTCGGACATCTTCCGCAGGCAGCAGCCAAAAAAGAGGCAATAAATGTAAAAACGAAGGCGAGTTAAAAGGGGGCGGGACAAGGACTGGTGACTAGTATTCATGGCTGCCGTTCAGGTAGGAATGTATTGGCTGTGAATATTTTATCTGCCCAGCCAGTAGGCGCCTCCATCAGGCGGCTTGATGACTCCTTCTGCACAGCTCCCAGCCACGCGCTGCTTATTGGCTTAAATCGATTCCTGCGCGTGGCGCATCCAGCCTTTGGCATCGCTGTTTCAACCTGAGCCGCGTTCCCTCATGCAATCTCTGACACACTCCTGTATCTACCAGGTGCGAGGCAGCAATCCGTTCTATGTCGTCGATCGGCAGCACGAACAGCGGCTTTGCTGTGACTCCGTCTGACGTGGTAGACTAATTTGCCCAGATTAGGCATTTTCATGTTACGGTCGGCTGACCACTCATCTTATACATGCGCATATCAGAGAAGATATTGTGGCTGTCGCTTCCTAGTGGAACAGAAAATGTGATTTGATGCTACAACCCCTTCTGAGCTACAAGAAAGCGCCGTCGAAAGCCCTTTTTTTTTTTTATTTTTTTTTGTTTTTAAATGGCTTAGCATCAGGTTGGGGTAGTTGGTGACCATGACTGGATAACGAAGATTCACCAACTTGATCCTAAATCTTAGTCCGATGTTCCGCTGGGACAGGGAATTGCTCTAGTTGCGAAGATGACTGAAATCATAGGACTGACACCCGTGAACAGCATGTGGTGGATTTAGAATTATGACGAGGTGTGCCACACTCGGAAAGGCGCAGGAAGTTGTGCTCACGGGATACATAGTAGTAGAAAATCAAAACCTAGCCTCGTAAGATAACACTAGCATTACGTGCAACCTGAAAATATGATATGTAAGATTTGAATTTTATTCAATCCCGAACACAGAAAATGACCGCGTCATTTGGAAGCCGGCTTTGCTTCCATGCTGTTGTTTTTAAGACGCAGGATTGAATAGCTGTTTCTTCTACACTGCCGAAGATCGTTGTGAAAAGAAGTTGGCACAAGTATAATACTTTTTCAAGTAGAAACATCTCCATTCTGAACGCCGAGACCGTACTGCTGATTTTTTGGTTGATTACGGCGGCATTTTCCCGTAACACATGCATCCTCTGTACAATACGGAGTATATCAAAGGCACAACTGCGAAGTAGACATATCATAGCGAGGCATTGGCTGGCTGGGCCGTTGTGGAAATTACTGAGGCAATGTGTAATCACTTAATGAGATCATGCTGCCTGTCTTGTAAAATATGCTTCCGAGCCAATTACTTTCTCATCAACGTGGGCAAGCAGGGAACACACGTACATAGGCTCATACACATTTCACCCCTGGCATGTATCTATAGGTGCGCCAGAAGTATGGGCGTCGATAGGGCCGAACAAAGCCATTGAAGAGTTTTTTGGCATTGGAAGATGTCGAGGTCATGACAACAGCGACAATACCGAATTGAATTTGTGAAATCTTACCTTTGGGAGACAGTCGATCCAAGACACCATAACCTTTCCAAAAACATACTTGCTTAACTTGGAAAGCATGACCGAAGAGTTGCACGGAGACTTTACAGACACAAGTTGGCAGCAGAATGTCTAAAACTTCTCTACCTTTGTTTCCATATAAGACGGATTAGGAAATCAGGACACAAATAGGCAGCAGAGAAGGACTGGAAAATAAGAACATAAACTGAAAGTCACGTCATTTTGCTGGCTTCTCCCCGCAGACATGCACCTAACACATTTTATACAGAACTCTCTCTTTAGTTGTTTTGGATTCTTTTAACCGAATGGTGTGCTTGAAGCGCCGAGGCGCCTTTTGAAAATATATGGGTAGTATTCACCAATTCACCACCGGTTTTGTGAGAAACTTGACCAGCTGCGGGTAACAAGGTAGATTATGACACAATATTGATTCAGTTAAAGCAGAAGCAAAGGGGGTGTGTCAAAGCCCTGTCCAGCGGTCTCTGATTCAATGCTAGATAAATAAAAAGCAGAGACAATTTTCGGGTGGGAAAGTGCACGGCACTGATGCAGAAAATTCCTCTCGGGCAATATTTCAACAAGACGTTACTTACTTCTCGCACACTGAGAGGTTTCAACGCACTGAAGATCTGACAGAAATAGTACTCCTTCAGCACATATCAAACCAGTTGAGGGATAGTTGCCAGAGCCGCTGGTAGTCTTGCTAACCGGCTTGGTTACCAAAAGACGCAGCAGGTACCTCGTTGGATACTGGATTTTAATCAAGCAACAAGAAAACTAGGACTGATGACGGAGGAGATATTCTAAGGGGCTTTAGAGACCAGTACAAGTCAGAACTGGAGGTGGAAGGTGCTTTGTGGGAGCTCTTTCCTTTTAGGGGACGAAATGAGGGGAAGATCTGGGGGTGGGGGGGTTATTCCATAGGACAGTACAGCAATTTGCAACTGGAGATTCCCATTCTCGCAGACGAAAGCTAAAATCACCGACACACAGAAGCACTGGTTTATTAGCCATATTCATAACGCTGAAACAATATACGTTCCTTACGATTGACGCCAACAAGTCTAATAGCATATGCAATTCCGATAACAATTTTCTAGCCTAAGCGAACCAGCGAGTTCGTACTGGCATCCCAAGTTTATTCTAGGAATTTATTACGATACGATTTGCAAATTGCCTGCATGAGAGAAGGCAAGATACCTGCTCGATGACTACGATGTGCAGACGCTATCAACAAACCTGAGTTGTATGTGGACCCTCTGTGAAACGCTTCAAACAGTGGCCTCTACGAAGCGGTCGACTGTTATTAGATACAATTATTGGGGACGCATCGTAGTACGGTCGGAACGATGTTTGCACAGGCGCCAATCAGTTGAGGTTGAGTGTGACACTATGTAGCTTGTGCTGCCGATGTTGCCGACCAGATAAGGGAAGACAAGCGATTGGTCTGACCAAGATAAGCAGGAAACAGAACGTTGGAGTAAGACGCAGAGACTCAACGAAGGGCACAAACGATAAAAGCCTAGCGATGGACGAGAGAGCTCGAATTCCAGTGACGCTGCCGCGTGACGGTCCAACGAAGCCATTCTGGCAGGACCCGCCGGACGCAGCCATTGCGGACCTGCAGTCGACGCCAGAGCTGCCGAAGTCGGTTGACATTGTGATCGTGGGTAGTGGCATCACAGGGACATCGATTGCATGGCACCTGATGGGAGAGAAAGAAGTTGGGACCGGGAAAGGATTCCCCTCGATCCTTATGTTAGAGGCACGACAGGCTTGCTCTGGGGCGACGGGCCGCAACGGCGGGCACACCAAGGCAGCATCGTACCGGTCATTTCTGGACCACGCAGAAAAGCACGGAATGGGGACAGCGGTGCAGATTGCGCAGCTGGAGCTGGACGGGATCAGGGCGGTGCATGCGATGGCAACGGGTGAGGGTGGTATGGCGCCCATTGCGTGCGACGCGTTGGCCTGCGAGACGGTCGACATCATCTATGACCCGGCACAGTGGACGACGGCACAGAAGGCGGTAGCAGCGATGCGGGCAGCGCTGCCAGAGGGCGACGCGGTGGCGGACTACACACTGTACAACCGCGAGGAGGCGCTGGCGGCATTTCCGTGCAGCGACGACGGCGTGGCAACGCCCATCTGCGGTGCTGTTCGCTATGCAGCCGGCAGTGTGTCGGCATACCGGCTGGTGGTGGGCGTGCTGAAGCGCTGTCTGGCCGGCGGGCTGAACCTGCAGACGCACACGCCGGCTCTGAAGCTGGAGCGGACAGAGACTGACCTCTGGAGCGTGCAGACGGCTCGGGGCACTGTCACGGCTCGCCATGTCGTGGTGGCCACCAACGGCTACTCGGCCTTTCTGATGCCGCGGCTGCAGGGCGTGGTGGTACCGCTGCGTGGACAGATCACGATGCATCGGCCAGGGGCTGCGATGCCGGGTGGCGGCAGCCTCGAGACAACGTACAGCTTCATCTACGCGGACGGCTACGAGTACATGATTACGCGACCGCCGGGATCGGTCCATGCGGGCGACATGGTCATCGGCGGCGGTCTCAAGTTTGCGGGAGGCCACAAGGACAAGAGCAGGCTCGGTCTCTGCGAATACGGCACGACCGACGACACGACGCTGAATCCGGCCGTGTCGGCGTACCTGCGCGAGACGCCCGTGCGGTATTTTGGCGGGCGTGACGGCTACTGGGGCGACGACCACGTGGACGGCCGCCTGCGCGCCGAATGGACCGGCATCATGGGCTACACGCCGGACGGGCTTCCGCTGGTGGGCGCCATGCCACCGTCGGAGCAGGGTGCCAGCGACGGGCTCTGGCTGTGCTGTGCATTCCAGGGCCACGGCATGGTGTTCTCGTGGCTGTGTGGCCGGGCGGCTGCGACCATGGTGCAGGGCCGCGACGATGCCGAGCTGCGTCGCTGGTTTCCCGACTGTTTTCGTGTGCGGGAGGAGCGACTGAAGCATGGCTTTGTCGGAAGGTTGCATGTGTCGGCGAAGACGGAGTAGGTGGCAGGACGAGAGGACGACGACGACGACGACGAAGACGAGGGAAGAGGACGGAGATGACTGAAGACAAACACACAAACACACGAGCACACGAACAAGAAGTAAAGATTAGACAAGACAAGAACAACAACGAGAACGACAACAAGACGTGAACAATTACTGAATAAAAATGCACACCGATCCGGAGACTTTCGACTCTGAAAGAGAATACTCTGACAGAGAATCGAAACAGCAAACCTTGGACAGCCGCACCAAATACCCACCAGCATGGGTAGACATAACAGGCGACCGCCGCCGGGGTGGACGATCTGCTGGGATTTTGCGGGACAGCGAGGCGGTGAGCTCTGCCGCCCCAGGCGCCCGGTCCACCCCGTCAGGCAGCCTGCAGGGCGGCGGTTGGTCGTGCTACTCCCTCGGTGAGCGGATGGCCAGGGCAGCAGGCCTCGATGTGAGATATCACCTCGTGTTCTCTGGTAGCGACGGCTGTGCACCTAACTATTGTAAATTAGCCGGCTGGGGCGTTGCACTTCTCTGTACGATTGCATGGCTGCTTTGTGTGATTGTGCAGAGTATGATGGCACGATATGACTGCACGACTGCACGACTGCACGACTGCACCTGCATGTCTGCACGACTTCTCTCTCCACGACTCCGTCCACGACTCCCCATAGACAATAGGCCGACTGCACGACACGATGGCAAAGACAAGTTGCCGGAGCTTCGCATCCGCTCGGCGATGAACCAAAGCAGCAGTGCTAATTTCACGACTTCTCCACAGTGGACCGACGCTATTTTCCAGGCTGCCAGCCCACCGGTAGCGCTCCAGACCCCCGGAACAATTGCCCTAAAACGGCAACCGGCATTGGCGGCTAGCACGTTATGCGCTCGGCCGGCCCCCCTAAAAATAGGTTGAAAGCAAACCTGGACGCGAAGGCTCCTTGGGAGAGGGGGGGGCTCACCCGCCTTTTCTATTGAATGCGAACAGACCCAGCAGACTGGTTTGGAAAGCTGGATGACTTGCAGCCATTGGTGCACGACAGCCAGCAAGCTCGTTGCTTAATCTTGTCCGGGGATTTTTTATATATATATTTTTGCGGTTGCCGCTGGCAAGGGCCAAAACATAACCCTTTCTCGATTTTGCAACGGAAGTCGCGTGTTCCTCTTTGGGAAGGCCGCTGGCGCTCTGAACCGCGGCTGACATTCCTGTAACTACTAAGGTAAACTCCGTACATTTGAGACATAATAGTATGTAGAGTACGGAGTACACTTTGCCCTTTCTCCTGAGCTCATCGGCCGAGCTCTTAACCGAAGGATGCAGGATATACGTATTTCCGGAGCGTTTCTTCCCAAGGGGAGGATCGACCCGCCCGATTTCATGCGAGCCAATGGCAGCAAGAGAGAAATGCATAATAGAAGCAATTAAGGGGGGCAAGAAGGAGACAGACGGGTTTTGCCATTGTGGGATGGGTACGTCCTGACGGCGAGAAGCGATGTGTGCCGCGAGAAGCGAGAGCAATAAACGAGACACAGCTGCACAAAGCAGACGTAACGGGCGTCCTGGCTTTGTGAGAGGGTTACATTCTGTTGGAAAATTTCGATCCCCCCACCCTTTTTCTCTTTTCTCTTTTCTCTTTCCTCCTTTCTCCCTGCTCTCTCTCGTTGTCTTTAGCCTCAGTAAGCCAGGCAGCTGCAGCTACGCCGGGACACTGCAGGCACGGGCAGACATAGTTTGAACGCGCTGCTGGGACACGAATCCGTGGCGCGACGACAGGACGACCCGCCAGCTGGCAGCCGCGGATTTGTTCTTTCCTCTGGCCAGGTTTCATTGGCCGTGCCGGTGAACTGGGTGCTACGGAGAAGTATGTACGCTACAATGTACTTTTGTACACACCTAGTACATGCGACATACAGTCGCAGTGGTGCTAGCATGCCCTGACGACATGTAGGGGAAAAAAGGGTGTTGATTAAGGCTCGGGAAGCCAAAAGGCCATAGCGTCGCATCGGGGCGGAGGGACGAGCGAGGACAAGGAGAGAGTGACAGGGGGGCAGCGCTAACTGTCGTGTTTCGTTTCCTTCTCTGCGCCGGATTCTCGGGTCATCCACCCTGCTGGGACGTGATGTGATATCTCGGTTTCGCTTCTTTCTTTCCTTGTCTCCCTTTTGCTGAGCCATGTATGACTCTGTCTGCTGGTCGCGTTGACTGGCCTTTTCTCATTTCGCCTCGTCTCGCCTCGTTTCCAAACACTCCCCGTTTCCCATCCCGTCGGCCATCTGCTGCTCACCTCCCTTAGCGACACTTCTTTCCCCAGATCCCGGCTGTCCACTGCCGGCTTGGCTCTATTGCCTTAATTTCCAGTCCCAGGTTCCTGGGCCCTTACCTAGGTGGCCTGCTCACGCCCATTGTTTCCCGTTTCGAGTGTCCTCCCCCTCGCTCTGTCTGGCTCTCTCTCGCCCTCGGCCCATTCACCATACGAGCATTACATACACCGCTTCTCCTTTCTTTATTCCTTCCTCGTTCTCTCTCGTCAGGAACCCCCAACCCGAAACGCCTGCTGTGGGGTTTCCCAGAGTACGACGTACGGCGAAACCGTGGAGCTCGCTGAAAGGCCCTCGATCCCGGGTTCACATCCCCCCCCCAAACCTCTCTGCTTTCTGCTCTAGCCTCCTGGCCACCTTTTTCTCTGATACCGTCCACGTCGGCCGTCAGCTGGCTCGGTCCTGCATGCGGCACTGCATAGGCCCCCCTCTGTCCTAGAAACCCCCACCCCCTAGTTATCGGTCTGTCGGACGTGTTGTAGGCTGGATTTTCAACTGAGTTCATCTCCGTGCCGCCTCTGCTGGGCGGCTTTATATTGTTGTCCGTGCGTATTCCTTTTCTTAATTTTCCTTTTTCCGGTGTTTTGTTCTTCTTTCGTTCTACGGCCCCCTTTCTTGCTGGCAATGCTTGCAAGCTCCTTGCACTAGTCCCCCCTTCCCACTACCCCCCCTGGTCTCATAGCGCACTACCCGAGACGGTCTCCGGACGGACACCAGGCGGGCCAGTAGTCGTCTTGGCACCAAGCTGTCGGGTCCCATCGGTCGGACCACCTCAGCACTGCCTTGCTAGAGACAGTCAAGGGCCAACTTTCGCGTCCAGTAATCAGAAGGGAAGGAGAGAGGGGATCGGCTGGTTACTGCTATGTACGGAGTAGAACCGCTCGCATGGGACCGCAATTTCTCGTCGGCTTCTATTACTTGTTTCTCCATTCTGACCACGTGCATACAGCCCACCCCCATCCGGCCTCTCTTCGAGCCTGTTACGTTACAGAGGGACAAGAACGTCAATCTGTCTTTTTAAATGTACCTCTGCCCCCCCTGTCACTTGTATTTCGTACAACGACCCTGTCTCGTCTAGGGCAAACCGGACGCTTACACACACACAGCTGCCAGCACGAGACTAGGACAGAGAAGGTCGGTAAACCGGCCTGGTACCCACCTGTTCTGGCGGGAGGACGTGTGTGTCTCCCAGAGGCGGAACCGAGTTTTGGGTTCGCAAGGGGGGCGGATGCCATGCTCGTTGTGGTAGTATTACCCGTACTTTTCTAGTTCCAGTATTCTTATCGTCTGCGGCCCTGCTATTTATACTGTCCTACTCGCCTCTGAGCAGCAACGATCCTGTCGATTCAGCAGCAGCATCTGAGCGGCATTTCATTCCTCCGCGGCAAAGCAGATTCGAATCTTGTATCCCGACCGACACCATGAGTTCTCCGGGTAGAAACCATCAGCATGAGCGCGGACGATCGTCTGGGTCTGAGCAGCCGGGCTCACCGTCACAGCCGTCGTCGGCAGCCCGACAGCCGCAACAACCACAGTCGATGGCCGAGTACTACGGCGACCTGGTGAACAACAAGTACTACTACAACTACTACCACGGTGCCAGCTTGGAGCAGCAAGAGGACGACCAGGACGAGGACGAGGACGAGCCAGAAGACGGCCACGAGCTGCTGGCGCGACTGGCACCACCGACAGTCGGTGGTGAAGAGGGCGAGGACTATGACGATGACAACAACCAGACGGACTCGGACTCGGACGAGCTGGACGAGGAGGGCGAATACCGGGCGTCGGTGACGAGCAGCGTGCGGGCACACGTATACGAGGGCGGGATGCGCTTTCACGCGTACGAGGGCACGGGCAGCAACGCGCTGGCCGACGGGGAGACAGCCGGCGACGGGACGACGACGAGGCCAACAACACACAGAGGCCGGCTCTACGTGCTGCCCAACGACGAGACGGAACAGAACCGGGACGACATGAAGCACGCGGTGTCGCTGCTGGTGATGCGGGGACAACCGTTTTATGCGCCAGTGCACGAGCGGCTGGTGGAGGGCGGTGATGTGTATGATTTGGGTGAGTGGTGGTGGTGATGGTGATAGAAAGTGGTGATGACGAAAGATGCTAACAAGACAGGAACGGGAACGGGAATCTGGGCGATAGAGCGTGAGTTTGGTTTTCCTCTGTTCCTCACACTCGTCCAATCTCTAGTCCTATATTTTCTTCCTCTCTCCTCTTTCCTCTCTCCTCTCTCCTCTCCTCTCTCCTCCCCTCTCCTATCCTCTCTCTCCACCTGCTAACTCTCTAGTCGCTGACAAATATCCCCGATCAATCGTGAACGGCGTCGACCTCTCGCCGATCCAGCCCAACTACGTGCCCAGCAACGTGTTCTTTGCCGTCGATGACTTTGAAGATGACTGGGCCTCGCCGCCAGATGCCTTTGACTTTGTGCACATGCGCCACAGCCTGTTCGCGGTCGAGGACCGGCCGGCGCTGCTGCGTCGCATCTTCCGGCATCTGCGCCCCGGTGGCTTCGTCGAGTTCCAGGAGCTGCTCACGGCCGCCCAGAGCGACGATGGCTCCCTGACCGAGACCACGCCCTATGCTCTCCGCGACTTTTTCCGCTTTGTCGCTGCTGGCATGCAGCGGTCGCCGCGGCTGGCCGGTGGCGATCTCATGGGGACGCCCTGGTCAGCTGCTGCCTCGGCTGCCTTTTCCGACCGGCTCTGCGCCCAGCTGCGCGCTGCCGGCTTCGTCAATGTCCACGCTGCCGTCCACAAGTGTCCTCTCGGCACGTGGCCGCGCGATCGTCGCCTCCGCGGCTGCGGCCTGCTCATGCGCACCGCCCTCATGGACGGCCTCCGCTCCTGGGCTTGCCGCCCGCTCGGCTCCTCCGCTGGTGGCCTCGGCTGGACCAACACCCAGATCGAGGTCTTTCTCGTCGACGTCCGCAAGGCCGTCATGGACCCCAACATCCACGCCTACTTTCCCCTGCACGTCGTCTATGCCCAGAAACCGGAGCTGGCCGCAGACGGCATGGACAGTACCGCCACAGGACCGCAGTAGATACCCTTACACGACGTCACGACCGGGATTAGACAGGCTTGGGATCGCATGGAGGGACTAGAACTGATGGAATAGCTTCAGATGAGGCAAGGACAGTGCGCGGACAAATACACACAGTATGAGATACAGTATGCCGTACATATGCCAGTCACGTGCTGCTCCCCATGTGCATCGCCCGCACGCGCCGGTCGACCCAGTCGGCACAGCGGATGTCGGGGTACTTTTTGGTCTCGCCAGGGCCGACGCAGGTATCGAGCACGCCGCAGACCTCGTTCCGGTTGAAGCCGAAGAAGAAGGGCATGCTGACGCGCTCGCGTCCGCTGTGGTTCTGGGCACGGTGGACTGTGCTTACGTAACGGTCGTTGGTGATGCGCTGGAAGAAATCACCGATGTTGACGACGAGGGTGTCGGCGAGGGGGGGTGCAGTGAGCCACTGGCCAGAGCGACTGAGGACCTGGAGGCCACCGCAGTCGTCCTGCCAGAGGATGGTGAAGAGCTGGAAGTCAGTATGGGAGCCGATGGAGACATCCGGCGTCGTGGCAGCGATGGGGGGATAATAGTTGAGCGCGAGGGCGGCGTCGGGGTGGGAGAAGCGAGCATCGAGGGCGGTCTCGGGCAGACCGAGCGAGAGGGCAAAGGAATGTAAGAGGGCGCGGGCGAGACCGAGACAGGCCTGCCAGTAGGCGACGATAGCAGTCCGGAAGTGTGGCAGGTTTGCGGTAGCGAGCCAGGGAAAAGCCTCGCCGCGCAGCCAGACGGCAATGGCGGGAGGGATGCTTGTTTCGGTGGTCTGAACGGCCGGATCGTAGGCCGGGTCGTAGACCCAGGAAAAGGTCTCGCGCACGTCGACCGACTCGGCCGCGTTGATGCGCTGTGTCTGCGGCGACTTGTAGCCGTTGAAGAAGCGCGATTTGGTCGCGTCAGCCAGCTGCTTGGTCGCGAGCGGCTGCCGAAAAAAGTCCAGACAGGCCGTCCGGGCTGCCTCGGTCACGGCGGCCGCGATGCCGTGGCCGCGCATGTAGAAGAAGCCTGTGCCGGTGGCGGCGGCGTGGATTTGTGTCGCCACAGCTGCCCGCTCGGCGGCTGAGCTGCTGAAGATGCCGGCGATGTCAATCACGGGAATTTCGGCGGCCGTGGCATCGCGTAGCGGCGTCTGAAGCACGGTGCGGTAGACTGGGCCGTCGCCGGAAGACAGTCGGATGTGTGTGGTCATGGGTAGAAGTGGTTGTCTTGTGTATAGGTTGTTTGCCTTTATAATGCTATCCGACTGCTGAGAGTGAAAGACAGACAAAATGGGTTGCAAGTTCCATCGTACACACCGTTTAGGATCTCTATTGCTCTATCGGGCAAGTGCAAGCGACCGCAATGTACTCTGTAACTTCGTAGATAAGCGTTTCCGAAAACGAGAGACTATCAGCTCCGAATATACAGTCGCCGATCCAGCTCATCAGCTCATCCAACACATCTCTCCAGCGACCCGATGGCTGCCGTTGGTGCAGCTGCCGTGAACAGAGAGGCGAGTGATCTGGAGACGGACCGCATCGCCGTCCCTCCGGCCCAGTATGTTTTTTTCCACGCCGGCACCGAGGCCGCTTTTCGCCGCATCGCCGACCGGCCGACGTCCTTCACGGCCATTCCAACCGTCGACCTAGCCGACCTAGATAGCCAGTCGACGGAGGCGCGCCGCGTCGTGGCCCGGAACGTCGCCGACGCCTGCCGCCGCTGTGGCTTCTTCTATGTGGAGAACCACGGGCTGTCGGCCGGGCTGATCGACGACACGTTCAGCCTACTCGCCCGCTTCTTCGCCCTCGACCCGGCCGTCAAGATGGATGCCCACGTGCACAAGAACCCGGCGATTCGCGGCTACGAGCCCGTGCGGGAGACCCGGCTGGACCCACGCACAGCCGGTGACGTCAAGGAGGCCTTTACCATGGGCGACTGCGCCCTGGAGCCGGAGCAGGCGTATACGGCCAAGACGGGCTGTCCACCGCCCGGCCATCTGTCCCGCCCGCAGAATCTCTGGCCGGCTGCCGCGCCTTGGTGGCGTGCCGGCCTGTATCGCTACTACGGCGCTGTGCTGCCGCTCGCACTCCGGCTGGCACGCGTCTTCACGCTCGCCCTGGGCCTGCCTGAGTCTGCGCTGGACGACCAGTTCCGCTTCCCGATCACGGGCTTGCGCGCGCTGTACTATCCGCCGACAGAAGATGCTGAGGTCGGGCTGGGGGCACATGCTGATTTTTCGTGTGGGTATTGCTCTTGCTTCCTCTTCACTCACCCTCTGCTCACACCGGACAGGGCTCACTCTTGTCCTCCAGGACGACGTCGCCGCCCTCGAGGTGCTCAGCCCCGACGGCGTCTGGGTCCAAGCCCCCCCTCGACCTGGCACGCTCGTCTGCAACGTCGGCCAGTACCTCGAGCGCCAAACCGGCGGCCTCTTCCCCGCTACGGTTCACCGTGTGCGCAACCGCACCGGCCGCGCTCGCTACTCGCTGCCGTTCTTCCTCACCATGGACCCTGACGCGGTGGTGGACGTGCTCGACTGCTGTCGTCGCGACGACGCACCTAAACCGGCAGCCGAGCCGATCAGCGCCGGTGACCTCTACATTGGCCGCGTCCTGCCAGCACGGCCAAAACACCCGACCAGCATCCGTTACGCCGACGTGCCGCAGGAGCAGTGGAGCTACAGCATGCTGCTGTCGTAGGAGAGATGACACGTTCCAATGGCGAATCCGTTTCTGCTTGGATCTTAGGCATCTGTGTTGCCTGTCTAGAATAATTAGGAACGTGTTCTTTGATCAGCCTTTCCTTCTTGCCGTTCCTTCCTCTTTGTCCTCGCCATCCTGCCACCTGGCGTATGACGTCGTTCGGCTCCCCACTCACTGCTGGACCGTTTATAGGCTCCCGCTATCGCTATAATATAGTGGGGCAGCTCGCCCCGGGGGGTCGACCTGCAGCACGATAAGAGCAAGCACTGCGGGGCTGCGACAACTGCTCCTTCCTGCCTCGACTCACTTTCCTCGGACCTCCCATTATTTTTGCAGACGGACTTGACTTTGGCTTCCAGCTGTTCCTCTCTGCTTCAGCTGCTTCTTCTGTCGCTCTGCTCCCCGAGGGCTACGATCTCTCCTCCATCCGTCCAGCATCGACGGCCATGTTTGACATCTTCCCCCGGGCTTTGGCGTAAGTGTTCTTTTTATTCGTTTCCTTCTTCCCATCCCCAAATCTTCACCTCCTCGCCCTCAGACCTCACATCCTCACATCTTCTCGCAGCTCCGTAGCCTCGGTCCTCTTCCCCATCTTCGCCTCCTACAAGGCCCTCCAGACCGCCGACCCCGCCCAGCTGACACCCTGGTTGATGTACTGGGTCGTGCTGGCCTGCATCACCCTGGTCGAGTCCTGGACCGGCTGGCTGCTCGTCTGGATCCCCTTTTACCACTACTTTCGCCTCATCGGCATGCTCTATCTCGTCCTGCCCCAGACTCAGGGTGCCCGCGTTCTGTATCAGACCCAGGTCCACCCCTGGCTGCAGCACCACGAGAGCCGCATCGACGACTTTATCGGCTCAGCCCACGACCGCCTCCGATCGGCCGGCATGGCCTATCTTCGCCAGGCCATCGCCTATGTCCGTGCTGCTCTCGGTCTGCCCGAGGCCGTCGTCCCGTCTGCCGCCTCGTCGTCTCCGTCACCGCCCACGACCTCGCCCTCCTCCTACACACAGGCCCTGCTGTCCCGCTTCAGCCTGCCGAGTGCTCGCTGGCCCGGCGGCGCCACCGTTCCCGACGAGGCCACCGCTGCTGCTGCTGCTGCTGCCAGTCCTGCCGGCCTCTACAGCCTCTTCTCTGGCGCCATCGACCGCGCCCTTCACGCTACAGTCGAGCCCGGTGCTGGCATTCCTGCCACAGACGGCCAGCGCGACGTGCTGCGCGACCGCCTTCGCTCGCTCCTCACCGCACTCGAACGCACCGAAACAGACGACGCCAGCGAGCTGCGCAAGAGCCGCAGCGAGCCCGACTTTGAACGCATCGACGCCGAGAGCGGGGCTGAGGACGAAGGCGGCCATGGTCGTGCCCCCGGCCTGCGCAAGCGGACAGTACCGGCTGCGGAACAGAATCCTACCAGTGGTGGCGGATCGTGGATGTCGTGGGGCTGGGGTGCTGGCGCCGGCGGTCCAGAGGAAACGGGCACCAGCTCCGCCACATACAAGTGATACGTCTGCCTGCGTCTGACCTTGGCTGCGTTTGTTCCTGTTTTGCCTTTTTCACTTCGGCCTGCTTATCATATCATGGTTTTTACAAGAGGGCCACACAATCTACGATAGACAAACGAGCGGAAACAAGGTCACTTCTATGTGTGTGCGTAAAAGACTATGTTGTGATTGGTATCGTGTTGTCGTACATGCTATATTACAGAAGGGCTCCTCTGCCGTGTCCCCCTGTGTTCCAGCTAGAAGACCCTGTTCGGCGTCTCCACCCCATTCAGCCCCATTCGGCCCCTCAGCGTGTGGGTGTCCGCGCCGGGGACGAGGACGGCAGGGCGTATGGATAGGTCGGGGGGCAATCCTTGCGCAGCCAGATCTGGCGGCGCTTCTTGGTGGCGACGTGCTCGACCCAGACCTCGCGGCAGTGTTTCTGCTTGAACTGGCGAATGAAGCGGGGGTCCCAGAGCTCGGAGGCGATGCCGATGTCCTTGCAGCAGCGCATGAGCGCGTTGGACTTGCAGCCCTCACCGGCGGTGGCGACGCCGTCGTCGCCAAAGTACGGGCACTCGCCCCGAGCCTGGCCGACGAACCGGCCCTGCACCACGAGCGCGTACTCACGCGAGACCACCTTCTCGCCCACCGTGAGCTCGCCGCGGGGCGCCAGGCCCCAGCCACCCGGCCCAAACGCCCCGTTGAGGATGCGCCGGTACTTGATCTCGGGCAGATACAGGATCCCGTCCGGCTTGACCTCGACGTCTTCGGGATCGAGCGGCGTCATCAGCTTGGCCGCCACCTCGGGCGCAAACGGCACCATCGAGAGCCCATGGAACGACGCCGACCAGTCAATAGCCGGGCCCGTCGGTGCACCGGTCTCAGGCACGCCGGGCAGAGGCGGCAAAAGTGGTTCTGCAGCAGCAGCAGCAGCAGAAGCAGCTACCGCTTCGGCCTCAGCCTCAGGCGTCCTACCGTTGGCTGCCGCTGCCGTCGGTCGTGTCGGCGCCGGAAAGGCAGCTCGTGCATGTGCGTGAAAGAGGCGGCCAGTCGGCGGCTTCGCTGCCCATGTCGTCGTCGACGGCTGGCGACTCGCCATCAGAGAGAGGCCGGCCAGCGGGAGCCGGCGAGACGAAGCCCGCACCGGCGACAGCACCCGGGTCACTTGCGTGGCGGCCATGGCAGAGTGAAGGGATCGTCGTGTGCGAGGAACAAGGTCGACTGTGAGGGCGGGCGTGCGTGTCTGTTCGTCGCCGTTTGTCTGGTGGGAGGTCGGAAAGAGGGAATGCCCAACGCTGTTTTCATTCGTGCTTGCGGAGTAGAGGAGGAAACCCGTGACGAGCCCCACTTTGGATAAGCTGTGCCAAGCAGGTTTCTGCCGCTGAGTGCAGACTGCTCTTGCCTTGTACTCCGTACAGAAGGAACGACGTGCAAGAACGTCAATTGAGTAAAATCCAATTGCCTGAAACTCCTAAATCTATTCCTACACTCTTGTCTCTCCAACTTCACTTTTCCGGCGCGACATCTTGTGTAAACGTCCTCTCGTCGTTTTTGTGCTGCTTCCAGCACTGTCGAAACCGCTCCATCTGCAACAAAGCTTCGTTAGCAGACGCTGCTTCTCCAGATCTCGTGCTGCGGCCCTACCTCATCTTTGCAGGCTCGCCAATCCTTCTTGTCAAAATAACAGTCGGTCATCTTTGCGTTCTCGTCTGCAACTGTCAGTATTGCAATACATGGCCGCTATGTCTGCCACACACCTGCACAGCCTGTACTGAAGATGCGCTTGTCCCTGTAAAAACGAAATCACGACGTTAGTCAGCAACATGTGCTCCGGATCGTCTCTTTGTTCATGTGTTTTGGTTTTCTTTTGGCTGCCCACCATTCATCCGGCTCGTCATCATCGTCTTCCCTCGCCTGCTCGGCGGCATCGCTCTCGTTTTTCGACATGAGCAGTACTTGTTCGGTCGGTCAGCACGTCGGTGGTTGCAGAGAGAGACAGCTGTTTCACGCCATAGTTGACCAACCGGCAGCTCAGCTCTTTAGCACACCAACCAAGGCGGTGAGGCTGCGGCTTACTGCCAATTGACGGCTGGGAGAAACAACGGCAACAAAGCATGCCGTCTTCCACATTCAAACGCAACGCGCCAGCTCTGCGCCATGGCCGCACGGAAGCTCAACGTGCTCGTCTATTCGGGTGAGTCAGTAACAAAAAGAAGGACTCTGCATAACTGCTGACTAATCAATTGTGTCCCTCTGCAGGTACCGGCACGACATCCGAGTCAGCCCGGCACTGCCTGCTGGCGCTCCGACGGCTGCTGTATCCGAACCACGCGGTGATACCGATCAACGAGGCCGGCTTGACCAAGGAGCCATGGCCGGCGACGTGTGCGCTGCTCGTGATGCCGGGCGGCGCAGATCTGGGCTACTGCCGGGTGCTCAACGGCGCGGCCAACCGCCGGATCAGTCAATATGTCCGCGGCGGCGGGCATTACCTGGGCTTCTGCGCTGGAGGCTACTATGGCAGTGGCGTGTGCGAGTTTGAGGTCGGCAACCCGGCGCTCGAAGTGGTTGGTCGGCGCGAATTGGTCTTCTTTCCGGGAATTTGTCGCGGCGGCGCCTATGAAGGCTTCTCGTACCGCGACGAGTCTGGCGCCCGGGCTGTGCAGCTGGCCATCCATACCGATTCTTTCGGCGCCGTGTCCGACACGTTGCCATCGACCTGCTGCAGCTACTACAACGGCGGCGGCGTCTTCGTGGACGCGGCCATAGCCGCCAACGTGCAGGTGCTGGCCAGCTATCCCGACGACATTGCCGTCGATGGCGGCAGCAACGGTGGCCGGGCAGCCGTGGTTTACTGTGCTGTCGGTGAAGGTGCGGCCCTGTTGACGGGGCCCCATCCAGAGTAAGCAGGCAAAAGGAGCAGTCTGCAAATTTCTCTCGCTCACTCTTGTCAGATTCGAACCCGCCAACCTGTCCGAGCAGCCCGACCTGCCTGGCTACAGTGCCATTCTCGCAGAGCTGCGGCACGATGACGAGCTCCAGGCGCGCTCCCGCTTCCTCCGCGCCTGTCTCGTCAAGCTGGGCCTCGACGTGGGCAGCGGCAATGTTGCGTTGCCGCGTTTGACCTCGCTGCACGTGACCTCGCTTTACCCAGACGAGGCTCAAGAGCTGGTGCAGGCGTGGGACGAGGTGCTGACGCGCGAGGGCAACGACATGTTCTTCCGCGGTGGTGACACGTTCCGCGTACTGCAGCCCGACGTCGGCACGTCGGCGTGGCCGGCAGCCCTGAATACGGCCGTTGGCCCGGGAAAGCACCAGCCGTTCTGCACGGCCATGCTGATGGACCTGGCCGACCGGGCGCTGCGATACCCGAAGCTGGCGGCGCTGATTAAGCGGGTGGCCGCCATCAACAACACATCTGCGCCGGACGAGGACCAGAACACGTTCCGAGCCGTCCTCGGTGCCGTGGCTGCGCACGAAGAAGAGGGAGGAAACCCGTCAGCAGAGCGAGGCGACAGCAGCCAGCGACGCGCGCTGTTTGACGACATGGTCGACGCAATCCGCCGAGCCGTAGCGCAGGTGCTGCCTCGCGATGGAGCCGGGGCCATGGTGACGATCCCGGAGCTGGACCTGGCCGTCCGACAGGAGATTTGGGCCGGTCCGCAGCACTCGGGCACAGCAGAAGATGACGATAACGAAACGGTCCGCCGGCTGATCGTGTACGAGGCTACATGGCCGACGCGCGTGGCCGCCTTCGACTACGGCACCTTCTACCGGGCGCTGGAGCACTACCGACAGACGCTGCCGACATCAGCCACGGACGGGCACGAGTTCCAATGGGGCAACCAGCTGATGTACGGCCGCGTGGTCGGCAGCACCAACACGCTGCTGGAGCGCAACGGGCGACTGACGGCGACGCTGCCGACGGGCTTCACGCTAACGGCGACGACACAGCTAGCAGGCCGTGGCCGCGGCGCCAACGTGTGGCTAGCACCCGACGGCCAGCTAATCCTCTCGACGGTGATCCACCACCCGCTGCGGTTCGCCGCGGGTGCCGACCGGCCGGTCGTCTTCCTGCAGTACCTGGCGGCCATTGCGATCGTGGAGGCGGTCGAGGCATATGGCCCCGGCTTTGACCGTCTGGGCGTGCGGCTCAAGTGGCCCAACGACGTGTACGCGCCCGATCCAGACGCGAAAGGGGGGTCAGACGCGCCGTATGTCAAGATCGGCGGGATCCTGGCTCACTGCTCCTATGCCGACGGTCATTACCAGGTCGTGCTGGGCATCGGGCTCAACGCGACGAACGGACGGCCGACGACGAGCCTAGCAGCACTTGCGGCTCGCCACGGACTCGGACTCGGACGCGAACAGCCCGCCAACGACGCGGTCGTGCTCGAGCGGCTGCTGGCCTGCCTCCTGACCCGGCTCGAGGCCGTGTACAGGCAGTTTTGCCGCGACGGCTTCAGCGGCGACCTCGAGACGCGCTACTACCGCCACTGGCTGCACGCAGACCAGGTAGTCACGCTCGAGGCCGTCGTGGGCCAGCCGCGTGCCCGCGTGCTCGGGATCACACCTGACTGGGGGCTGCTGCGCGTGGCCGAGGTGGTGTCGGACGGGCCGGGCACGACTGAGCGGTCGACCGGACGGGTGTGGAAGCTGCAGAGCGACGAGAACAGCTTCGACTACTGGAAGGGCCTGATCCGGACAAAGACGTAGGGGGGTAGGGGGGTGGAGGCCGGGAAGCCGGCCGCACCTGCATGTGGGACTTGGCGTGGCAGAAAGGCTGATCTGGCCCGAAAGAAGGCCTGATCGACAATTTTCCACCGCAGCAGTCGCCAGGACAGGGGCGAGGCAAGAGGACAGACAGCGGAGACGTGTGCCACCTGCCATGCCTTGAACCCTGCCATTTCCTTGTGTGCATCTGTTTAGTCTCTATGTGCATGGAGCCGTGGCCGTCCGGGTTGTGTCCCTGCTGCTGGTGGGCGTCTTTTGGTGGCCAAGGTTGGAGAAACTCTAAAGTGCTCTAAAGCAGGTACGAAAGTCGACGACGCTGATGAGACCTGCTCGTGGCAAAGACTGCACAATTCGGAAGGCAAAACAGATTCGAGCCTCAGAAATGCAGATCTTTTCGTGTTCCATGGTTCGCCCGAGTCTGGCATCGGGCATTTTGCACAGTCCGGATCTCCTGACTGTCTGGTTTGGCTCGATATCACATTATCCACTTTTGAGTGCGAAATTGGTCGGAATTTCGATAGACAGACAGCTGATCTACATAGTATTGACGGAACATCTGCCCACAATTGGAAGGCGCCAGGATTGTACGAGTTCAGCCTCGTGTCGGAATGTAATCACGAAGCGCGGCAAAGAACAAGGCCTTAAGCGCTCGGCCCCGAAGTAAGATCTACAAGCACGTTGCAGAATCCTGTTTTGGAGTCACGCCATCAAGGTACGAGTACGATGCCGTACGAGAGTGCATTGCGGATACGCCACCTGACTCGGAAGGCTGAGGAGATGCGGGAAAGGACGTGCGGAAAGGTTAGATACAGTACATGCACGACCGAGCGACTGTTGCTCTTGAGCGAAAAGTGGGATCGCCGGACAGGGTTTTTCTTCGCCTCCGCCATCCATCGGCAGCGATGGCCAAGGCAGGCCTACTGCTACATAGTAGGATTAGGCCTGCGCAAGTCAAGCCTCTGAGAAGCTTGTCAGGTTTTCGCCTCTCCGGACTTTGGCTACTTTAACTTTTTGGATTTATTCCACTGCCCGTTTAGTTTGCGTCCCCGAAAGGCGGATCCGCTCAAGTGTAGAAAGGGCGTACGAGTACGGAGTACGAAGTATACGACGCAATGACCGTCATTTTCAGAAAGTGGACCATTAGTCAGCAACGCTAGCAGGGCGGAAATCGGTCGAAGATGAACAAAATAATGGCGCAATGGAAATGAGCGAAGAGAGAAAGAGTCAATTAAGCGTGTAAATTGAGGAGTTACAACTATGTACGAATCACGCTATTGGAACTCTGCAGGTCAGCCACGGACCTAAGCAATGGGAGCATAGAAGCTGAAGCGGCCGTTGGGGTCGTAGGTCTTCTTGAGGGACTGCAACTTGTTCTGGCGCCAGGCGACATCGCCGTACCAGGAGTCGGCAGTCTCGTCACCGTAGGCATAGTTGACGTAGGTGTGGAGGGTGCCGGTCTCACCGACGACGCCGCCGTTGGCACCGGCCCAGAGAGCATCACGAATCTGGGTGCCGAGGTTGTAGGAGCGTTCCTCAATGGCGCTGCCGGTGTCGGCGTAGTTGATCATGGGAGCGCCGAGAATGTTGTCGCTGCGGTAAGCAAAGGCAGTGGCAGAGTCGCCAACACTCTTGACACCCTCCTGGGCGTAGCCCTCGAACATGAAGAGGGAGCCGGTGTAGGGCGAGTCAGCAGCGCTGGTGGCATTGCTGAAGAGGTCGTAGGCCTGGCGAACAGCAGTGGTGTTGAACTGGGTCAGGTAGATGGGGAAGCGCGGGTTGGCCTTGCCGGTCTTCTGGCAGGGGGTGGAGTCCAGGTCGATGCCGGTCCAAGAAGCCAGATCGAGGTAGGTACCATTGGAAGGCGTGGAGATGATGGGGCCAATAGCCTCAAAGGCGGCGACCACGGTAGCGTTGACGGCATCGACGCCCTCCTCGATGAGGTAGAGGGCGATGACAGCGGCGGAAGCATCGATCTCGGACTCGTAGAACCAGTAGGACCACTGGTGGAAGGTGGCCGGTTGGTTGCTTACACCACCAGGCAGCCAGAGCTTGTTGGCGAGGGCATAGACCTGCTCGACCTCGGCGCCGCTGAAGATGATGGTCTGGAGGGCGTAGTTGGGGTGGACGATATCATAGATGCGCGAGGTGACGGAGGTGACGATGCCAAAATTGTGGCCGGCGCCCTGAAGGGCCCAGAAGAGGTCCGGGTTGGAGGAGGCGGTGACGGTGATGAGGGTGCCGTTTGCGAGCACGAGGTTGACAGACAGGAACTGGTCAGAGACGAGGCCGTGATGGCCCTGCAGCCAGCCGTGGCCGCCACCGAGAGCTGGGCCGAGATAGCCGACACACTCGCAGGTGCCGGTGACGGTCTGCTTGTTGGCAGCCCAGAGAGCGTCGGTGACGTTTTTGGAACGCACGCCGCCGCCGACGGTGACGGAGCTGCCGTCGCTGGCGATCTTGATGCTAGCCAGCTTCTCCAGGTAGATCTCGATGCCGGTGGTCATGCGGCCGAGCGTGGTGAGGGCACCATGAGCACCGTTGGTGGCGAGAAAGGGCACGCTGTTGGCGTTGGCAAACAGAACCGTCTGGACCACGTCCTCCTCGACGGCCGGCACCACGATCACGTTGGGCGTGGGTGCGTCCAGCGTCGACCAGCGCAGCGCCGTCTCGTTGAACGAGCTGTCGCTGGGCGAGATGATCTCAGCATCGGCCGACAGCTTGGCCTTGAGGGCGGTCAGATCAAGGCCGCGCGGCCTGCAGGCGGCCAGCGAGCCAGCCACGAGGGTGACCAGCTGGAAGAGCTGGGCGGTGCGCATGGTGACGGGCGGTATGATGATCGAGGGGGAGACGGGATCCAAGGAAAAAGGAGGACAATGGATGGCAGCGTGTAGCTGTCGAAAGAATGTCCAAGGGGCACCGATGGCGTTATATAGGCGGAAGCGGAGGCGAGCGCGTCATTCGCACGTGGCCCGGAGGCCGAGCCGCCGTAGCGCGTGGGCAGAGCGCGTGGAAAGCAAGCGGGCGGGAGCAGGATCTTGTGGACAGTGGCGTGGACAGCAGGCCGGAAAGTGGACAGGTTCGTTGGATGGATCTAGGAGCAGACTATCGATCTGGACTCGCTATGAAGGAGCTTCCTGACAGGCTGGCGGCATGCTACTACGTACTCGAACTCCGCACATGCTCCGTACTCAGTACATGGTAGTACGCACTCCGTAGTCCAGAGTAGAGCGCACGACGACTCCATCGCACGCCATCTCCACCTGTCGCAACAATGCTGTGCAAGGATCCCGGTCTGTCGGAGACAAAACAGCGGCCACAGCTGCTCGATTCGGCTTAGCCCCGACTCTCGGCGCTTTGATCATTTCCGGTTTGGGCCCAGTGGGGGCTGTTTGGGCATGCACGGACGGCAAAGTGGGTCTGCCATTTGGCCCCCATTGCCACACGGCCTTGCGGCTTCTCCGCCCCCAATAATCGCTCAGAGGCCGAAATAAGCACAAGACGCATGCCAGATGCTACCGTCGCACCAGATGCCATTGCTCGCAGCAGGCGGCTCAAGCCAAGAAACAATAGAAAACAGGGGCGAAAAAAAGGCCGCTCGTCTTCGTCTTCCTCTTCGTCCGCCGTCTTCGTCCTGAGCTCCGTGGCGTCAAAGCGGATTTTAGACCGGACATCCCTGCTGGCTGGTCTGTCTGTCCTTTCCTTAATCTCCCATGAACAGCTCCACCGAGCTCTAAAACGGCGTCTCCTATCAGAAAAGCGTTCAGTTGGCCGGGGTTCTCTGGCCACGGTCCACCGACGAGAAGGCAATAGTCCTGCGCACTAAGGCGGCCTCCTCGTACGAGCTTCCACTAACGCTCCGTAGCCTCTCTCGGCAGAGAGCCGAAAGGGGTGCAGGATGGATGAGAGAGCTTGCCTGCAATTTCTACTATGTACCCAGGGCCCGAAGGCCAAGAACTGCCAGCACCGTCTGCGGATCATCATGGGGACTAGCACGTCGTACCGACAGAGCGGACGTACGGACAAGGAAAGTTGAAGAAATCGTGGTGGGAAAAATCCAAGAGGGATTTTAATTGGAATTAAAGATAAAAAGATAAAACGGGAAGAAGATTTTTTTTAAAAAAAAAAAAACCAAGACGGACCGCTCAGACGCCCTGACACCGGCAGATTGCCACGCCGGATGGTAGCGAGCACTCCTTCGTACTTTTCCTCTCCCGCTAAAATGCCAGCTCGTGTCAGACACCTGCATGACATGGACGACGTGCTGAGAAGCTAACAGATCCTGATGCGGTTGGCCGCAGCCCGTCCTCTTCGTTGGGGGCCATTTTTTTTCTATTTTGTCTTTTTCGTCTTTCCCATCACTCTGGCCCGTTACCATCCTCTCCTTCGTCCTGGCGCACTGTAACCTGCCTATCGAGTCCGACCAGGGGGGCCAGTTGCACATGTCAAGGAGCCTCGTTGCATCTCGGCCGCAGATTGGGCAGTCTTGTCCAGACCAGACAATAAAACAAAGTCAAAGCCACCGCGCCTCTCCTTTAGGCCCTCTTGTCGGGATATCGTCCATTCCTTGCATTTCCTTTTTCGTCTGCCAGTCCTTCCCTTTCTCCATATCTCCTTCTCCATTCTTCCCTCTCCATTCCCTCCATTCTTCCCTCTCCATTCCCTCCATTCTTCCCTCTCCATTCCCTCCATTCTTCCCTCTCCATTCCCTCCATTCTGTGCCGTTTTCCCCAACCGTACGATACCTTCGGTTCGGATCCGACCTCTCGTCCGTCTTGATCTCACCTCCAGCAGCCGCTGCTGCCATGTCTGACCCGTCGTCTTCGGCCGCGGCTGAAGCTGCGGCAAAGGCAGCTGCCCATGCCGTCGCCAAATTCAACAAGGAGCTCTGGACGCTTTACGGCTTCGGCATCACCTTCACTCTTCTGCGCACCTATGCCCGCGTCAAGGCCCGCGGCTTTGGCGGCCTCGCCATTGACGACTATACCATCTGGGGCGCCATCGTCTTCTACTCCGCCCAGTACACCCTCGCCTTCTTTGCCGTTAACCATGCTGGCGGCATGGCCAACAATTCCATGACCGATCCCCAGCGCGCTGCCCTGGACGTCAACTCGACCGAGTACAAGCACCGGTATGGTTTTCTGTCTCTGTCTCTGTTTCTCTCTCTCCCTCTCTCTCTCTGACAAGCCTAGTATTCTTGGCTCCAAGATCCAGGTCGCCGGCTGGACCATGTACATCTGCCTCATCTTCCTGCTCAGAATGTCCATGTTGGTGTTCTACACCCGCCTGACGGAAGGCCTGGGCCGCACGTACCGCATGCGCATCAACATTGGCTACCTCATCATGGTCTGCACCTTTATCGTCTCCATTGTCACCATGTACAGCTCCTGTCGTCCTCTGCGTGGCTACTGGCAGATTAGCCCGAACCCAGGCAGTAGGTTTTCTGACTCTCCTGTCTCTGGAGACAGTCATGCTGACAGGCTTGCCCAGAATCGTGCCAGGCTGCCATCTCGATGCCCATCGTCTGGTCCACGTTCTCCTCCAGCATCATTGACGATCTGTACCTGATCATGATTCCCCTGCCGATGCTCTGGAGCACCACCCTGAAGCCCATCAAGAAGATTGCCTCCTCTTTTGTTTTGGGTGCTGGTGTTTTCGTCCTGATCTGTTCTCTGCTCAAGACCGTCTTCGTCATGACTGTAAGTGTTGAGTGGAGAAAAAAAAGAAAGCAAAAGAAAGCAAAAAGAAAAGAAAAGAAGAAAAGAAACGAAGAAAAGAAACGAAACGAAACGAACAAAAAGTAAGCCAATCTAACTCTTCCTAGGACAGCGTGAACGGCGCGACTCTGGCCGGTTCTTGGGGCACCCGCGAGTCCTTTGCCTCGGTCATCATCACGAACCTGCCGATGGTGTTCCCGCTGATACGATCGCTGCTGTCGCCTGTGTTTGGTGGCCTGCTCTCCACCCAGAAACAGCAGTACAAGACCCCCGGCGGCTTCCGCACCATTGGCGGCGGCACGTCCAACATCAGCGGCCACACACGCAACGGTCGCACAATGGCCGCTAGCGCTGGCGGTACCAACCTATCGATGAACGAGAGCGAGGAGCACATTGTGCGCGGCATCCGCATGGACAACATGAACGTCTTCTCCGGGCAGAGCAGTGCCGACACGACCGTGCCGCACAAGGGCATCGTCATGACCAACGAGTTTGAGGTGACGACAGACCAAAGCAGCATCAAGCACGAAGTGTAACAGCCTTCTTTTTCCGATACGAAGAGTTATGTGTATATATGTCCGACTCGTACATGCTTATTGACAGATGGGATTGCAACCCGGTCCTCCAACCGATTGGGCGGCTGGTCAGGAAAAGGGACGCGAGCGTGTTTTGATTACCGAGAGAGAGAGAGAGTGTATGCAGCGGGGTGGCGATCTTGCGAGCGGTTTGTTTTGTTCTTGTATTCGAGAACTGGAAAGCGTATGTGTGTATGCTTTCGCGTTCGGGGCAATGTACATTTTCTATATCCCACGCCCCCTTTTTCATTCATACATGCGTAGCTAGAATAGACATTCAGCTAGATGGGAAGAAGAGAGAGAAAATCCGAAATCCGAAATCCGGAATCCAAAAGACAAACGCCCCAAGCTATGCTACGGCCAGTCGTGCAATAAAACAGTCGAGTGAAGATTCGTTTTCCTTGTTCCGGCGGGCGTCCTGCCGCTCACTGGTCCTTGTACATCTTGGGCTTGAAGCCGGCCTTGACCTCGGCCTCCTGGGCGGCCTGTTCAAGCAGTGGTCCGACCTCGGCCTCGATCCGCTCGCGTGCCCGCAGCACCTTGCTCTGCAGGTAGAAGCTGCCGCCCTTTTGCGGATCGTTGGCGTCAAAGAGCCGCCGAAACCGGCCCATGACCTCTTCCATGTTGTAGTCGCGCGCACCCGCGCTCGCCGGCGGTGGCCGCGGCACGTTGAGGATCTGCACAGCCTCGTCCAGCGTCATGCCCGTCGACAGGTTCGCCCGACCGGTGGCTCCGCCGCCGACAGCACCGCCGGCTTTGGCTTGCGCGCGGGCATACTGGCTCGATGCATTGGCCTGTCGGTAGGCTTCGGTGAAGGCGCGGCCTAGCACGCGCGAGCCGATGAGGACCACCTGCGTGATCAGGCGGTAGGCCTGCGCGAGACGGTCAGCTCCATGTCTCTGGTCTTCTGGTCTCACTGGTCATCCGGTGCGATGCGACAAACCATTTCTGTAGAGTCCTCTCCCGTAGACGGTGTTCGCTCGATCTGGCTGCTCTCTCGGACACTCGGACAGTCAGAGACACAATAGACCTGGACGACGGTCTGGACACCTGGCGGACGGCTGCACGGAGCGAATTGGTATCGTCGTTTTGCACATTCTCCCGTCCAGAAGCGCATCGAAAATTCTCCCGGCTCGTTCGCCCCACTGGCCGATGGCGCAGAACGGCAACATTGTTTTTCCGCTGCGCCACACAGCCACAGCTGCCAAGACAGGAGCGGCCAGCTGTACGGAGTGCACAGCTTGGGGAAGCTCTCGAGAGACACATATCATCGAGAAGGAGGGAGAGAAAGAAAGCAGCATACGCGTCATTCCGTGACCGACGCCCCCCCCTCCTGTCTTCTCTTTATTTTACTTCCGCTCTCTCTTTTGTCTGTCTGACCTGTACCGTCTTTTCTCTTCTCCTGCTCTGGCTCGCCTTTGCCTCTCTTTGCCTCTTCTCGACCACACATTTGCGCCTTCAGCTGCGGTTCGACACCATCTCACTCCAACGTTCCCTACTCCCGCTTCCGGATCTCTCCACGACCGACGGCCGGCTGTCTGATCTGCACTGACCCGCTGCCGATCCTTTCTTCAGAATGGCCCAGTACTATGGCGGTCCGCAGGGCGGCAACCCCGCGTACGGAGCATCTGCACAGAACCTGCAGTTCTACCCGTCAACCTACTCACCCGGCGTGCCGGGACAGGCGAGCTCTCAGCAGGGCGCCTATGGCTACGGTGCCCCCGGAGGCAGCGCGCCCGCCTACGGAGGCTTTGGCGGCAGCGGTGCCCCGGGCGGTGGAGCCGGCGTATCGGGTCGAATGGGCGAACAAGGCGGACTTCGCACCGGTTGGCTCGCAGCCTTCTCGACTGAGGGTTATGATGGCGAGCCGCCGCTGCTGGAAGAGCTTGGCGTGAACTTTTCCCATATTCGAGCCAAGGTATGTCATCTTTCGTCCTTGTCGTCCTCTTTCCTCTTTCCTCTTTCCTCCTCCTCTAACCCTTTTACTTCCCTCCTCTAATCTCAACCTCCCAGACTCTCGCCGTGCTCAACCCCTTCCAGCGCATCGACCAGCATCTCATGGACGACTCCGATCTTGCCGGTCCCATCATCTCCTTCCTCCTCTTCGGCACCTTTCTGCTCTTCTCTGGCAAGGTCCACTTTGGCTACATCTACGGCCTAGCTCTTCTGGGTTCCACGTCGCTGCACATCATCCTATCGCTCATGTCGCCCGACGGCCACGTCGGACCGGCTGCGGCTGCTTACGGCGTGCCCCCGGCGACGCCCTCGACGCCCGCCTATCCAGACACCGGCGGCACCGGCAGTGGCGGCCGCATCGGCAACAGCACGGGCGTCAGCGGCAACATCGGCAGCGGCAGTGGTGGTCGCGGCGGCAACAACAACGGTGGCAGTGGCGGCAACGGCGGCGTCGGCAAGCACGGACGCAGCGCCAGCCTCAGCCACCTGTCGAGCACCCTGACGTTTCCGCGGTCGGCCAGCGTGCTGGGCTACTGCCTGCTGCCGCTCGTGGCCACAAGCCTCGTCGGCATCGTCATGCCCATGGACACGCCGCTGGGCATCGTCATGACCACGGCCGCCATCTGCTGGTGCACCTACAGCGCCTCGAGCATGTTCTGCGCCGTCGGCCGTATGCGTGGTATGCGCGGCTTGGTCGCTTACCCGCTCGCGCTCTTCTACGTCGGCTTCGGCATCATGGGCGTCTTTAGCAGTCGTGGAAGCGGATCCATGGCCAAGGTTATCGGTGGCCGCGTGGGGGGCGCGTGAGAGATGGAGAGCGACCAAGAATGGGAATGGAAATGGAAATGGAAATGGAAACGAGAGCAAGAGCGAGAACGAGAACGAGAGCCCGAGTCACTGCGAGATTTCAGCAAAACGGGCACTGGTTTCTTCTCTGGCACGTCTTGTATGTCTAGCATAATCTATTGTACGAAATACACAAGTTCAGGAATTCAAGCAGCAGTACGGGGTACAGACAACAGACAGGAGACTACCAAACTCCAACAGCGGCCATTCAGCGTTCCCCCTTTCCTTCGCCTCGATCGCCAGCAAAGAAAACCTCCCAGAGCCCAGAAAGAGAGAAGCAGAGGTATACGACGCACACTCTAAAATTACAATTTCGATAGACAAAATAGTAAAACCACAAAATTCCTTCAGGCCTCGCTTGCGAGCAGAGAGAACTGGCCGCCGGCACTGGCATGCACAATCTTCTTCTCCCGCACGGCCGTGTTGTCGATCAGCGTCGGCGTCTCAATATCCTCCGTCGTGCCCTGACCAGTCTGGTATGTGCCCGAAAAGCCCCAGGAGTAGACCTTTCCATCCTCCGTCAGCGCGAAGCTGTTGTCCGTGCCAGCGTTGACGTGAACCACAGGAGGGATTTCTAAGTAGTTAGCGCTGTCTCTTTCTCTCTCTTTTCTTTCTCCCTCTCTCTCTCTCTCTTCCCTCTATCTCACTCACCAGGAACGATAGTCGGCTCCTTCAAAATCCGAGGCTTGCCGTGCTCATCAAAAATGGCATTCTCACTGTTGAACGCCCCGGCATCGAAACCAACCTGATGACCATCGATACGGCCCCAGGTCAGCAACTTGCCGTCGGCCGTGCAGGCCAGCGAGTGGTGTTCGCCACCGTCCACGTCGACAATCTTAAAGGCAGCCAGTCCCTCGACCAGCGTAGCGTCTAGCACGGTCGCGTCCGTGTCACCCGCGCCCTGCTCGACGTTGAGCTGGCCAAAGTTGTTCAGGCCCCAGGCATACACCCGGCCGCCATCGTCGACGGCAAAGCTGTGATACGAGCCGCACGCAATCTTCTCGATCTGCACGCCGCGCCGGAAACCCACACCGCCCGGCCGCAGCGCCGACTCTTTGATGTCCCGCTGCACACAGCGCCGGCCCAGCTGGTTCTGCTCCGGACAGCCCCACGTGTACAGCTTGCCCTTGGTGTCCAGCGCCAGAATGTGGTTCGAGCCCGTCGCCAGTGCCTTGACCTTCCTCGGCTCCGGCAGCAGCGTCGGCGTCCGCTGGATTGACACGTCCTTGGAAAAGCCCAGAACACCGTCGCTGGCCCGGAATGTGCCCCAGCCGTAGATCCGTCCGTCCTCCGTCAGGGCAAACGTCGCGCTGTCGCTAGCCACCACCTGCACAAACTTGGTCCCGTTGATCAAGCCGTCTGTATCGATCTCCGTCGGCGTGCTCTCGAGCGGGTTCAGCCCCGTGTCATCCTCATTGTCGCTTTCCTCCTCCGCGTCCGCATCGCGTAGACCACCCTCCCAGTTCGTCTTGCGGCCCAGTGCGCCCTGGTCGTTGACGCCCCACGTGAGGATCCGATTGTCCTTGGTCAGTGCCACCGCGTGCATCCCACCCGCCGCGATCTGCACCACATCCACTCGGCCGGCCGCCAGGTTGTGGTTCAGCCGTGGCCGCTTGACGTCTATCGGCTTCTTGCCCTCGAACCGGACGCTTCCCAGCCCAAGCTCGCCAGCACCACCCTCGCCAAACACAAACACGTCCAGCGGCTTCGTCGGCGCCTCGTTGATCTTGACTCCGACCTTGCCAGCTGGCTTCTTGACCACTGCAACAGCAGTCGCTGCCGTGGCAGCAGCTGCCTCTGCCTTTGCTGCTGCCTTTGCTGCCGCCTTTTCAGCTGCTGCCGCTGCCTTTGCCTCTGCCGCCTTTGCTTTTGCCTCTGCTACTGCTGCCTTGGCCTCTGCCGCTGCCGCCTTGCCTGTCGTGGCATCCTTTGTCTTGCGGGCTGCCTTGGTCGGCCGAGCTTCTGCCCGCTCTTCCTCTTCTTCCTCCTTCTCCTCCTCCACATCTGAAGCCTTGCGTTTGGTCGTCTTGGCCTTGGCAGGCACTGCAGCCGCCTTGGACACCGCAGGGGCGCGCTTCTTCTTGTTGTCGCCGTTGGCGAGAGACGTCGCGTTCTCTTTGTTGTCCACAACGTCCGCCTTGGCCTTCTTGGCTGCTGCGGCAGTCTTCTTTGCAGCCGCAGCAGGAGCGGCCTTCTTGGGCGCAGCCTTGACGCTTGTGCTCACACCGTTTTCCTTTGGCGCCGCCTCAGCATCGCCGCGCTTGCGCTTGGCCACTGCAGTCGTGCTCTTCTCTGTCTTGTCGGCCTTGTCGGCCTTGGCTGCCGTTGCTGCCGTCTTCTTGACTGCTGCTGTCGCGCCGGTCTTTTTCGCCGCCGCCGCCTTGACAGATGCCGCCGCTTTCGCGTCGGAAGCTGCCTTACTGGCAGCTGAAGCTTTCCTGGGAGGCATTTTGGTCTTTCGATAGGAAAATACACTGAAAAGGGAAAGGGGAAGGCGTCTCGTATGATGCTCGATGCGATGGGGCTGAAAAAGGATAGCTCACGCTCGCGTTACGTCGCGCGACAACAACACTGCCTTTCTTCCCTATCTCAAAAAGAAGTGAGTGAAGCACCTGAAGCACGGTCCGTGCCTTCGATGAATACTCGTGAAAGTGAATAGATTATGTGGGTAGAGAGACCTAAAGCTTTTGGGCTTGGGTTGCGGCAGGTTGGTTGTTTTTTTTCAGGTCAGGACTTTTAGTCTCTGCCGCGATGATTTGTTGTTGTCCAGGAACAAGGCGCTAATCTTGATGCGGTAGACAGTGGACCCTAGTGCCACTTCAATACCGTTGCTCTCAAAGGGGAGCTTCTGACCGCCTGCTTGGAGCTCGGAGCTTGAGCACTGCCGCAACTGCCTATCTTGTACTCCGTACTCCGTCGAACGCCCAACCACCTGCCTTAATATGGCAGTTGCAATTTGGCTTTCTTTTGCTCACATCAATAATTACTATTGTCATCGCATTTCATACAATATCCTAGTTCGGAGGGCGTCTCCTTCGTGAACTTTCTGCTGGCAAGAATTCTATTCGATTGAGTCCTGGACCCCCGTCGGAATGCACTCCACCATGCACAGGACTCACTGATGCGCTGGCCTATCGCAACTGCCTTTGTAGCGTCTAGGCTGAACGCACTCTAGTTGAGTTTCCAGTCAGGCTGAACGCAATCATAGTAGGCTCACAGCCGGGCTGTGTTCTGTGTTGTGTCAGATTCAGATATGGCGGTGGGTGGAATGGTTGGGCCGAGTCTTACTTCGTTCCGTACACAAGATTTGTATATAAGCAATCGTGCTTAGGACTTTTGAAGTCAATGTCCTCTCTCACACCACCATACTTGGATCTGAATACGTGCTTCTGTTTGTTTTTCTTGCTCTTTTTTTTTGGTCGCAATCAATTCCAGTGACTTTCCAAGATGACTTCCAGCTTCAAGAACAAAGCTTGGGGATGGAGATGCAAGGTGCTCGGCTCCAAGGACGAGAAGTCCCTCTCCGATTTCTCCAACAACAGCACCGATTCGGAGAAGAGACCTGCCGCGGTCAAACCCGTCAAAGAGACCAGTGGCGCGGCTCTTGTTGTCAAGACCATGTACGAAAGCGACATGCGGCATGGCATTTACAGCTGGTCGGATTACCCTCCCCGCCAACAGAGCAAGAGGGACCTCAAGAACCTCGACCGCGTCGCAATCAAGGTGTACAAGATCAAGGACATGGATAGGCCTGTTATCGACGGTATGCATTCCCTGAAGCACCACAAGATCAGCATCCACAACCTGGCGCTCGTGGCTGCTCTCGACCCCATCTTGCGTGCCGAGGACTGCCACCTCGACACAAACGAGCCTGCCGAGTTCGAAGCACCCTTCCAGCCTCTCTTCTTCTGCTACGATGCCATAGTGGCCGCAATGCGCAGCAGACCGGATGCCGACCCGCTGAAGCCATTTCTGCAGCTGCTGGTCTGCGTCATGGACGAGGTGTTTGTCCACACGTGGAAAAAGCGCCGCCAGCTGGCCGACAAAGGCCTCATCTCCTTTGAACATGCCTGGACATACTTCCAGCGAGGCACCGTTGTGCGCAGCCACGGCACCAACAGCGACGTCATCAGCCGTGTCGTTAGGACAGCCTATGTGGAGCAGATGTGCGAGCGTGTCCTTGCCGTGACCGTCCAGGCGCTGCGCTTCAATGGCGAGGCTTTTGAATGGGCTGAAAAGGATTTGCACATCGCCAGCTTTCCGGGCAACCGTCCGCTGTCCAAATTTGACCACTGTCCAATGTCACACGTCAAGGACGGCAAGTTAATCATGGAGCACATGGCTCGACGTGGCCGCCGGGTCCTCGACCTGCAGGGGTTGACGTACTGCAACTACGAAGGCGTGGGTATTTTCGATGTGCCCGAGGGCCATACAGAGAAGCATAACGTTGACGGCCGCATCCTTGTCGACGTCGCCGGCTTCAACAGATATAAGCTGGCACAAGGTTCGCGTGAAGGCAAGGACAGCGTGTCAGTGCAGAAAGTCGTCGAAGGCACGGGTCGTATCACAGGCGTGTCTCAATACAGAGGTGATCTCATATTTTCCCGTTCTATTCGTATCTGTTGGTTTTCCACTCGCTCACATAACACATCGCAGGCACAGTCGATCTTACTGAAGACAATCTGACCCCTAAAAAGGACACGCCCCTAAAGTCAGCAACTCTGATGACTGGCCGACTCAGCGAGGAAGAACAGGCCACGAACAAGGCGACGATGCTTACTAAGCCCGAGGACCTCATGTTCATCTCCCCCCTGATCGAAGCGTATTCGCTTAAGATCAAGCTCTGGTGTATGTCGAAACACGCCAGAAAATGAGATTGGGCAACAGCGGCTAACCGTGAGGCTGCCGCAGTGATGGTGTATGTTGAGGACATCCGACCGATCAGATGGAACGACCAGGCCTACGACCACCTCGTCTATGACGAGCAGCAAAAGGATCTCGTCATGTCCTTTGTCGAAAGCCACGGCCACACGAGAAGCAGAGTGGATGATGTCATTCTGGGCAAGGGTAGGTCTTGTCGACTAGGGTGACGTGGTGCTTGTGGGTTGATGTTCTGATGCTGACGAGCTGCAGGCGAGGGCCTCATCGTTCTGCTGAGCGGGCCTCCGGGAACAGGAAAGACGTTGATGGCGGAAGCCGTAGCCGACCGCACACACCGGCCGCTCTTGTACCTGCAGGCAGAGGACCTGGGCATCAGTGCGGCAGTACTCGGGGCCAACGTCAAGAAGTTCTTTGAGATGGCCACCGAGTGGAACGCCATCATCCTGTTGGATGAGGCCGACGTGTTTATGGCAGAGCGCCATCCGCAGGACATTGCGCGCAACGAGCTGGTGTCCATCTTTTTGCGCGAGCTCGAGTACTACCGCGGCATCATCTTCATGACCACCAACCTGTTCAGCTCCATCGACAAGGCCTTTCGCAGCCGCGTCAGCTTGCACCTGTTGTTCAAACCGCTGCTGCCCGAGGCTCGCTTGCTGGTGTGGCAGAAGTTTCTGGTGCGTGCGACGGCAGCCCGGAAGGAGATGCTCGAGATGTCGCGTGTTGTCGAGGTGGGCGCCGTCGAGCATACGGCTCAGGGAGATTGGCTTTCGCGTGGCGTATCGGGATCGTCCATCAGCAACGATGATCTCAAGGAGCTGTCGGCCTGGAGCCTCAACGGGCGTGAAATCAAAACGGCTGTCACCATGGTGACGGCGTGGTGCGAGCACAAGGGCCACGATCTGACGCTAGAGCGGCTGGAGCACGGCATCCAGGCGACGTCGCCTCACGCGTCAAAGGCGGCGATGGCAGAAAGCGACGAGTTGTATGATTGAGGGTATGCTTTTTGTTGGCTTTTGGTGTGAACTTTTTTCCAGCTTCTTGTCGGGCATAAGTCGGGACACGTTGAATCACATTAATGAGAAAAAGCCATGTGTTCGTACCCGTCGATCAGTTCTCGAAAGCTGACGGTGGCATTTCCAGTGCAAAGGCCACCCGCTTACGTGGCCGCCGTGCTCGTACAAACGACTGCAAAACGACAGAAACGGCCCCGATCAGGACGAGCAGGGCCTGGACGCCCAGAAGCACGATCCACACGCGGTTTAACAGGCGCTGCTCGTCTCCAAAGAGGGACGCAATCCGGAGCATGATCAGTCTGGGTATGGAGACGTGGCAAGTGGTTTCGAGGATTTCGGGGTTGCTTCGCAGACTCGAGCCGAGTTGGCAATTTCCCATCCCTTCTTTTAACGGTTCAAGTAATAATTTCCACCACCATAGAGTCGTCGAGGCTTTGTGCGATGGAAAAGGAGGACAATCGTAAGGGAAATTTGACGGATCCGGATCGCCGCTGTCCGTGTATGTCGTACGAGCTTTGATCGATCGTTTTCGTAACCCACCTTTGTTCCTCCGTGCTGTCTTCGTCTGCTGCTTTGAACTGGATTTGAGCCACGATGACTGTCAAGACTGGAAAATTACACTGCAACACCAGAAGAAAAGCAAAGACGACCCTGCACGTTTTCCCAACGGCAGGCCCGCCTTGACGCGTAAGGGCACATCGGCTCATGTCGATTGGACTCGTACACAATAGTCGCGTGATTTTCGTCTCGTTGCATCGCTCCGACACCGGACCTTGTTGCCAGGCATCGCCCGATGGCATCGGATGGCCTTCCGGGATTCTTCCAGGTCCAAGCCAGCGGCCTCAACGCCGACCTTGTGCCCATCCGGTTTAGCAGTCCTGTGTCTCGTCTTGACCAGCCTGCGAAGCGAGACCATGCACCTGCTAAGACTGTGCCAGAAGCTTCCGACCCGCTTTCCCCAGTTTTTCCCCAGAATTTGGCCTGTCCACTGTTCCCGTGACCCGGTGCACGCCAAGCCGTTTGAAGCAAAGCTCACGCCGTTAGGTGGTCTGCCTGGCTGCTGGGGCTGGGGGCCTTACTCGTACATATAGCATGTCACGCCCCGCGGACCGGCGACCGGGTCACGCGATTCCAGCCCAGGGATGGCCAGACAAAGCCAGCCGGACCTGACACGCTCGCGAGCGACACAGCTCCTTCTGTCGTCAGAGCAGGAGCAGACACTCCACCCCCCACTTTGCCGTTTGCCAAATCACCTGCTCGGCCTGCTGCCCGCACCTTCCGCAGCTTGCATGAATGCTGAGGCGACGTACTGCTACCGTATCACGACTCCTCTACACAAATACTCGCGCTGGAACAGCACCGCCTTTCTGGCACGTATACGAGTAAGATACCTCCCGCCCAGCGTCGCATTACGTACAAGTACGATGCAGCCGGGTCGTCGCTTCCACCGGTACGTCAGCGTACAAAGGGAAAGTGCGCTACCAGGTGACCTCGTGCACACCAGCGCGTACGATCGACCGAAAGGGTTCCCCGTTTCCCTCCATTCAGCAGTTAGCTGGTGACCTGCTTCTCTGCGAGCAGCAGCCGGCACTCGTGTGAACCCGGCTAACCGCTCGACTGGTGGTGTGTTGTATTGCCTGGAATACGTCAGAAGAGCTACCACCCTCGCTGCCGAGAGGGCCCCCTCACCTCTTTTCTCACAAGGTCTCGCCTTTCGTGTTCCTGCCTTCTCTGGCCACCCCATCATTCCCCCCTTTCCCGCTCGATCGCTCGCACCTTCCCCCTCTTTATTTGTTCCCTCCCGTCCCCGACCAAACCTCCTCTTCTCTTCCTTCTTTTCTTCTCACCCATCATCTACTTAAGCCCAGCTTTCCCATCATCATCACAACACTCTTGCATACAACCGCCTTAGGCAGGTCGTAGCTACTGCAACATATAACGTGAGTCTACCTTGGTAACCCTTTTATATATCTATCATCGCCTCTCTCCCTCCTACCGGCAATCTTCAGCTACTTATCCGTCCGGTGTCCCTGAGATCCTCACGCCATATCACCTGCTAACTAATATATCTGGTTAGCAACCAACACCAACCATCCATCGAGCTTTTCTCTTTCGAAGAACTCAAAACAATCCCATATCAACATGGCAGAACTCACAAAGGTCGACTCCGCCGTCCAAGGCCTGTCATCATCCCCGCCGAAGCTCTCCTCTTCCCCACCAAAGGAAAAGGGCCACCGGAGACTGAGCTCCCATGGCAACCCTGATGTCCGGAACATCAATGATCTAGGTGTGTTCATCATGACACTGTAGGTTGGAGACGACTAGAACCTCGAAACTAATGCCCTTTCTTATAGAGGCCGAAGGCATTGAGATCAAGCTAGCTCCGGAGACACAGAAGACGGGATGGTAAGTTCTACGTCAGACTACCTGCTTGTCGTTATGAAGCAAAGGCTGACGGTCCAGGAAAATAAACTCATCAACGGCCACCGTTGAGGACAAGGAGATCCTCAAGAAGTACCTGACGACCCCACCAGTAAAGAAGATTGACCTACACTTCCCATTGGGACTGGAGGTTACTGCACGGAACATGCGGGGTGTGACCATCAAGGATGCATTGGACGCGATTCACAAAGCATTCAAGAAGAGGGTGAGTCATCCTACAATAGACGGAAGTACGGGATAGATCGACAAGACTGACACTCGCTACAGGCCGACGATGAGCTGGACAACCCATACCTAAAGGGCTTCGAGTGGGATAAGGAGGAGAGCTGGACTCGGCTGGTTGTTCACCTGCAAAAGCAAAGCACCATCACCAGCGGCCCGTCAAAGAAGAAGAAGAAGAACCACGGCGACGACGAGTAATGAATGAGACTCCTACACGCCGTCGAAGGACGGTATGGCATGTATCTTATTACGCCTCGGCATTTTGGGGGCCTCTGGAAGGCCAGCATCTCCACATGTAACACAATACTACAGGCCGCGTCGGATCGGCTGATTTAGGCAGCGAGACTAATTTTACTCGCTACTAAATCGACGTGGCTATTCGTACCTCTCATATGCGTGTCTCCTATGTCTTGCTATGTGGTGATTGTATTAAGCACTGTACTCTGCAAGAACGTTAAGAGGATCCACAACAGCTTGACTTGGCTGCATCCGGGCTGTTATGCAGGCAGATCTTCGAAAGCTCCGAAGACTTACACCAACTAGCTACCCATGGGGAAGTCGGGGACAATGCGGGATACAGTGTGAAGCAGAGCGGAGCGAATATGCTTTCGGCTATTGTCGGCCACAACGACTGCATCCGCTCAGCCCCAACCCCGCTGTGAGACAGATATCCGCATCATTGCACCAAATGACATGCCTAAGCCGGATTGCCTCTATGAGAGCAGAAGTGAAAAAGAAAGCATGGCGCCCGCTGAGCACGACCTGAGACGGTTTCTTTACTGAAAAAGACAGATCAACAAAGACCAACCGCCACATGACCTTTCACGATGCCTGCGACCGAATTTGACTTTGGGGAGAAGTACTGCTACCAAAACGGCTTCAGCTCATACCTCGAGTGAGCCTCGGCAAACCACAGTGCTTTTGTTTAACTAGTGACTGACAAATTGACTTTCAGAACAGAAGCAATCACCGGGGCGCTTCCGGTGGGCCAGAACTCGCCACTGCAACCGGCGTACGGACTCTACACAGAGAAGCTCTCGGGCACATCTTTCACAGCACCTCGACACGAGAACAAGCAGTCATGGCTGTACCGAATAACACCGGCGAGCGCTTTGGGCCGCTTCAAGGCCGAGGGCGACAGGCCTAGAGGGAACGGTCAGTTTTCGTCGGCAGACCGCCTGCTCTACTTGCCAGATCAGTTCCGCTGGGATCCCTTTCCAGATCCCACGGACCCGACTGACTGTGTTGATGGGCTGCGTCAAGTTGCCGGGAGCGGTGATCCAGCCCAGAAGCAGGGACTGGGCATCTTTGTTTTTGCAGCCAACAAGTCGATGGACGGGCACACGGCCTTCTACTCGGCAGACGGGGATCTGCTCATCGTGCCGCAGTCTGGGGTGTTAGACATCCGCACGGAGCTGGGCTGGCTGCTGGTGCGCCCACTCGAGATCTGCGTGATTCCTCGGGGTATTCGATTCCAGGTGCATCTGCGAGGGAACAGCAGCAGCCCAGTCTTGGCCCGCGGTTATGCCTTGGAGCTGTACCAGGGTCACTTTAGCCTTCCGGAGCTGGGGCCAATTGGGTCGAACGGCCTGGCCAATGCACGTGACTTCCAGGCTCCAGTGGCCTGTTTTGATGACGATGACGATGGGGGTGGCGACATCAGTGGCAAGGCTGTGTCGATGTATACCATCCGCGCCAAGGTGAACCAGCGACTGTATCGCGCAGAGCAGGACCACACGCCCTTTGACGTGGTGGCGTGGCACGGCACATACTTTCCGGTCAAGTACGATCTCGGGCGGTTCAACGTGATTGGCAGCATCAGCTTCGACCACCCGGACCCATCCATTTTCACGGTGTTGACGGCGCCATCAGACCATCCGGGCACGGCAGTAGCCGACTTTGTCATCTTTCCGCCGCGCTGGCTCGTGGGCGAGAACACGTTCCGGCCGCCGTGGTACCACCGCAACACGATGAGCGAGTACATGGGTCTGCTGGCCGGCGCATACGACGCCAAGAAGGCCGGTGCGGGCGGGTTCGTGCCAGGTGGCGCTAGCTTGCACAACATCATGAGCGGACATGGACCTGACCAGGCCAGTCATGATGCAGCGCGGCGCGAGCCACAGCCACAGCAGCCCGCCAAGGTGGGCGTTGGCAGCTGCGCGTTCATGTTTGAGAGCGCGCTGATGCTCGGTGTGACCCCCTGGGCACTACATGCGGTAGCAGCCAGAGAAGGCGGAGGCAGCGACACAGACACGGTGCTGCAGCAGGACTATGTCTCGCACAGCTGGGGCAACCTGACGCGGTACTGGAAGCGGCCGGCTGGCATGGCCAAGGCTGACGGGCACCTTTTGAGAAAGTGATTGGGAGTGACAAGATGGGATGATGCCTATTTGGCTGATCGGAGAGGCTTTTGGGTGGGATAAAGACTGGATGTAGACAGTGAAAGCCAGTTCGCGTAGCTGAAGCATTGAATCCGACATGCACGATGCTGCACATCTGGCCTCCCAAGAGAACAGGGCCGTAGGCGATTGCGGTGTGAAGCTGACCAATGGCTGTGGAGAACCTGAGATGCGGCAGGCGGTGTTGGCAGGTGGAGTGACTGAGCAGGCGCAAAAGCGACACATAAGCGGACATGTGGTGGTGCATTTTGCGCTCGAGAGTCGGTGACACGTGGACGCGCTATGGGGCGTTGTTGTACCTGCAGTGCACGCATCCGAGGAAGGCGCTTCCGGCCAGCGGCAAACCCAAGTGGCAATATACGAGGAAAGAGCGAATCATGCTGGCTTCCACGTACCGCTACTTGGAAGTGAATGTGACCCTGTATCAGCAGAAGCGAGTTTCGCGTTCGCGGCGGCCAGAATCACAGCTGGAGACGAGGCGGCACTACGAGCAATACGAAGTACTCCGTACATAAAGAGCGCGACAGGGGCCACCTCGTCCGTCGCGTGCCGTCGTGAGAGGCGGTCTGCTTCCATCCGACATTTCTTCCACATTCCACCATACTGATTCAACCATGTGCATCGCCCTCTTGACGACAGCCCATCCGGACTATGCGCTCATCGTCATCGACAACCGCGATGAGTTTATCCTGCGGCCGACGTCACGGCCCCACTGGTGGTCACCGACCGGGGACGACCGTTCTGGCTCCCGGCTGATCCTCTCGTCCCGCGACCTGCAGCGCAACGAACACGGCACCTGGTTGGGCATCACGCGCGACGGCAACATGGCGGTGCTGACCAACTTCCGCGAGGAGAACTGCAGCGACCAGGCCCATCCGGTGCACGGCCAGCGCAGCCGAGGCGGCATGGTGACGGCCTGGCTGACGGCCGACGCAGCCTCGACGACGGAGCAGTTTGTGCAGCACATGCTTGAGGGTGAGGGCGTGCGGGGTGTCGGGGGCTTCTCGCTGATCTGTGGCAAGCTGCGGCGGCGGCGGGGAAAGGGAAACGAACACAGACAAGACGGCATCGAGCCGCTGGCCATCATCTCCAATCGGGCCGACGAGTTGGCTCAGGTGCCCTGGATTGCCGGCCGGCGCGGCGAGGTGTACGGGCTGTCCAACGTTTGCTACGATGACCCCGAGGTCTGGCCCAAGGTGCGGGACGGCAAGGAGGCGCTGCGCCGGCTGGTGGAGGCATCCCAGGACGGACACAAGGACAGACCAGAGTGTCAGTCGGCTGACGAGCTGCGCGCGGCCCTTTTTGGCATCCTCGACCGCGACACACTGCCCCAGCGGCCAGACCTCTCGTTCGAGGACCACATCCCGTTGTTGAAACAGTCCATCTTCGTGCCGGCCATCGGCGACGGGGCCCATCGCGCAGCCATGACGGCGGCCATGGCCGGAGGCCCACGTGAGGCGCTCTCGACGGCAGCTGCCATTGCCGGCGCTGACGCCCAGCTGGCACACACCGAGCGGCCAGACGAGCAGGGCGGCATGGGTTTCATGACCGGTCTCTATGGCACGCAGCGCCAGACCGTCCTGCTGGTCGACTGGCACGGTAACGTCTCGTTTACGGAGCGCGCGCTCTGGGATGCCAACGGTCATACGATCCCACGCGGCAAGGGCGATGTGCAGTTTGACTTTCAAATCCAGGGCTGGGACGAGGACGACAAGACAGAGACGACGGAAATTACAAACTTGGCATGACGAACACACGGCGGCTACAGCGAGCTGCAACAAGGAAAGGATATGCGTGAGGCTAGAGATCTGCCATGATCCAATGCCAGGGGATAGTCCTCAAGACAGGAATAGGCACATTTTGTGTATTAGTCATGCAACCGCTTGCTCTCCATACCAGCAGGTTCGGCAGCCGTACTGCGACATTACAACAGAGTGAATGAGAAGAGTGAACGGGAAAAGAAAAAGACAGAGATTGGGAAGAAACGAGAAGAAAACGAGCAGCAGCCGCTTGCTGGTGATTTGCCGCTGTGACCACTAAGTGCCGCTGAACGGTGGCGTGAGGAAACTGTGGTGCTGAGCAAAATGGCACTCGAACTCGTACAGGCTTTCGCGGGCCTCGACGGTGATGCAAAACGTCTCGAGCATGCGAAAGAGGCGGAGGCTGGTGGCTTGACGCCGCTCGAGCGATTTGGTCGAGGTCCCGTCACTGTCGCTGTCGCTGTTGCGGTCATCCACATCACTGGCGCCATCACGGTCCTCGTCGTAGTACTGGCAGCCGTCGTAGAGGCTGTCGTCGCTGTCATCGCTCATGGCGTCCCGACTGGCGTAGTAGTGGTAGTCTGAGGCGCCGTCGTTGCACTCGACTTCGGACTCGGCCTCAGACTCGGCATCGCTATTCTCCTCGTAGTCGCTGTCGGGTGGCGGCGCATACACATAGCAGTCGTAGAGTGCCAGGTAGCGGTTGGTCCAGTAGTGGATCGACTGGGCCGAGTCGACAACGCGATGGTGGCCAGCGATGAACGGCAGTTTTTCTTCCTGCGGGTCGTCGAGGAAGTTGAAGCTTTGAAAAGTCGCCGGCAGATACGCAAATGACTTTTCTTCGAGGTCTTCGTCCTCGTTCCCGTCTCCGTACAGGCGACCATGGTCATTCTCGCTCTCGGCTCCGACCTCATCTTCGTCCTCGTCCCCGGTCGCGCCTCGGCCCTGCTCTCGCACATGCTCCTCCGCGAGGGCTGTGGTCTCGTCGGGCGACGTCGTCGCCGCGGCGGCCTTGCCTAAACAGAGAGCAGCGGCGAGCCGGACCGCCTTGGCCCGCACTGTGGCCAGACGACTTATGCCAGACGGCTCGGCCGCCGGCTCGGCGTGGCGAAAGAGGCGCAGCGGGCTCTTCAATTTGGCGAGCAGGCGTGCGCGTCTGTGACCTGGCGGCGACGCCTTCTCGCCGCCATCGCGACCGCAGCCGAAACAGCTAAAGGCGCCGTCAGGTGTCGTTGTCGCGTTGGGAACATGGGCCGATAGCTGAGCGTATGGCTTGCCGGCCAGTGCGTCTGTGAGAGGCATTTCGACCTTGTAAGACTGGCTTTGTCGCCACTGTAGCTCCGGAGCAGAGAAAGCTGGAGTGCAGCCGGATGGCCTGGGTTTGTGTCTGTGTTTGCCGGGCACAGGCCAGGTCGGGAAGGCGTATCGATGGTGGGAGAACTGAGAGAGCGAAAAGGGAGAGAAGGACGGAGAGAGCACAGGATTGCGACAGGCACTTTGTAGAGAGCATTCTTTTTTTTTCGAGAGTCGATTACTGGGCGAACGCGGTAGAAGTGCGTGTCTTGGCGCCATCACTTAACGGCTCGGCGGGCAGTGCGAACCCTAATGCTGAGTGAGGCCGTGAAGTGATTTGGGTGGCAAAGCCTCGCATCGAAGGAGAGGTCGGTCAAGTCAGCGACCCCTGGGCAGAAGCACATGACTTTCAACGGACCAGCAGAAAAAGACGCACAGCGACACAGTGCCCAAAGCAGGCGTTCGGGAACATCCGAACCAGCAGCGAAACCTGGCGATTTCGCGGCAAAACGCCATGATGCACAATGCGACATGCCAGGATGAACACGGAAGCCGGACAGCACAGGGAAAAGAAAAGGGAATGCTAAGCCTGGTCGGCCTTCTTGCGGGCCTTTAGGTACGTCACCAGCTGCTCGTGCTTGGTGACGAAAAAGTGGCGCTTCTTGTCGTTGCGGTAGACGAGCACGCCGATCTCGTCGGCGTACTGGGCCAGCATGTCGTACTCCTTGGCCGAGTCAAAGTCCTTGAAGAGGAAGCCCTTGTGCGACTTCATCCGCTCGTTCTCAAGCTCCCACAACCGGATCTGGTCCACGACCGTCGGCGGCAGCACCGGCCGGTGGTTGGCTGCCGCGTACTTGTGCATCTGCTCGTGCGCGTTGGCCGCCAGGTAGCTGATGATCTGGTCCGACGTGATGCCGTACGAGATCGCCCGCCGCACGGAGTCACGTGTCAGCTTGCCGGCCACCATGCCGGGAAACCGCTGACTCAGCTTCGAAAACAATGCCAGCACGGCAATCTGCAGTGGCGACGCCGTGTACGCGTACAGCCGGAAATTCGTCTCGAGGATGACGCTGCCGCGGCCCTCGGTGGTGGCCGCGCTATTGGCCGTCGACGCCGCCCCGACATGGTTGTTGTTGGAGCCGGTGCCGGTGCCGGGCAGCCCAGCCGCAGCCGTGCTGTTGGCGCTGGCAGCCGCAAAGCCGGTACTGAGGCTGCGCAGAGCGGCGGCACCGCTGCTGGTCAGCGTGGTGGCTAGCCGGGTCGGAAAATACTGAGAGGCGCGGTCGTGTGGGGGGATGTAGATAAGGCCAAAGTCCATGAGCGACGGCAGCATGTTGCGACGGGCCTCCGTCAGCGCGTTGGTGTCGTAGGCGCGACCCAGTTCCAGCGTCGAGAGCATGAAGAGAAAGCTGAGCATGTCGACGCTGTCGACGGCACCGCCGGCCTGGCGCTGCTGGTCGACGGCCTCGAGCCACTGCAGCAGCAGCGTCCAGACCTGGGCGTTGGCCGCCTGCAGCAAGAACGTGAAGCCGGTCTGTGTGATGCCGACACCGCCTGGCCGTCCCGGCCGCGACTCGACGAGATGGCCGGCCAGCAGAAGCTCCTTGACCGTGTTCTTGGGCCCCTGTGAGTCGTGGCCCGGCCCCGACGGCAGCCCGACGCTGTTGACGACGTAGTGCAAGATGTCCTCCCACTTGCGGCGTGCGAACCGGTCGAGAAAGGCGGTGTCCGTCTCGGCCGACACCGGCTTCTCGCTCGGTACGCCAAAGCTGTTCTGGCTCCCGCCGCCCTCGAGCGCGAGCCGGAACGAGTTCTTGAAGTTGGCCGTCAGCATGATCTCCTGCGGCCGGTCGCGCATCGCCGTCGTGATCTGCACAATGTGCAGCGCCCGCAGGATCGATAGCGCCTGGTCGCGCTCGCGCTTGGCCTCTGGCACCACCATCGTGTCCAGCGTGTCCAGCAGCAGCGGCCCGTCCATGTAGAGCAGCATGCGTACAAAGCTCTTGGCCAGCGACGGCAGCATCCGGCGGAAGATCGCCAGCGTCGTCGACGGTTGCTGGTAGAGCCGCCGGAAGCTCGTGCCCGGCTGCTTCTCGAGGTAGTCTGACAGCGTCAGCGACGGTCCGGTCGGAGACGCCATGACGCGTGGTCGAGAGGACCGATCGTCAACGGCTGGGAATCGAGGTCGAAGAGGGAAGGGTAAGGCGTCGGGGCTGGCAGCTGGCCGTTGAAGCACACGTTCGTCCGCTATACCATGGCAGTGGAAGAAGAAAAACTCAAGACCGAGAGACTCTGCTCTGTCGGTGGTGATCGACGCCGGCTGCCCGTGTCTTTGTGTCGCGTATCCTGTCAAAAGGCTGAACGGAAGCTGATCCAAACCAGAAAAAAGTCAGCCCGCGAAGCTCCCTGATTGGCGCGTTGCTGGCTGCCTTATTTGGCCCAAACCGGTTAGACCGCGATTGGGCGAAAGCTAAACAGGACGAGAAGGAGCGGCTGGATTGGTGACGGAGACGCAGCTTGCTAAAGAGGTCTTTTCGCTCCGATTTGGGGGAGAACGGCTGTTGGGTTGAATTGTGGTTTGGTCTCCTTGGAAGGTCTGGTGCTGCTTGCTATTCTTCTCTTGCTAAACGCTTCAGCCACAGCTGCAGCTCTAATTTTACAGATATTCTGACTAATCATTCTGGAGGTCCTCCTGAAGGAACTAACTCCGACTTGTCCCCAAATTCTAACGTTGCAATACATTTTTTACATCTCAATCGACGTCGTCAAGGCGCTTCCAATGTCAATTCTGATATCCCCTTAGACCCGGCATTGATATTTCCTTATTATATTGCCTTGGCCTTCTTGACCTAGTGCGGAATCCTCTGTTATGCGTACATTGTTTTTGCCAGCTCCAGTTGCAGTGAAAACCCCTGTCTGTCTTCCCTCGTCCTTGTCGGCGATCCCACGTAGTCTGTGTACCTCATGCGTCGTAAAGCGTACAGCCCTATTTGATCTAGGCACGTATTGAAGTCGATGAATAGTATATTGACGGTACAGGCAGCCTTGTTCGTCTACAATATGGGTTTTCTTTCGATTACCAACTCCTTCTGTTTAAGAGCGCCTAGGCTCCACCATTGTAGTTTTGGCAATCTTCCCGCGGCCTTCCGTTGATCTTTTCAGCAACGTTATATCCAATCTTCAAATTTCGGCCATTAGTAATCTGTTCGTATCGGAGACTTGGGACGGAAAAAATGGACGTTCCGGGAGCTGAAGCACTTCGTTCCACTTTTCTTTAATGCCGAGGCAGCCGCCAGACATCGCCGAGGGCCGGAAAGCCGTCTGCAACGTCACCGTACGCATGCATCGCGGCTGTTCTCTTCCTTTTTATTTCCCCCTCCGCTCGGCAATTGATTTGAAATGGCGACAAGGAAGCTGACCCCGACCAGATTTGTGCGGGCAGTGAGTAGACACAGGTAGCACCGAAAATCAAAGTGTCTTTGTTAATCGCAGTCGCACAGGTGCTAAAAGACTTTATGAAGGAGTCTGGTCTGGAGCCTCAGTGCGTAGTCTCTTGAATGCGTTCTGCCCCATTGACCTGCATGCTAACGGCATTTCGGCGCGGCTAGGCTGTTTGGGTCCCATGTTAGTGGTCATGTACACCTCGTCCGAAGCCGGGCAGCCTCAATGACTGACATTGGCGGACCAGCTCCGGGTTTTGCATGCCTCACCGGGAAAGGTTGACTTTGAGCTGGACATCAAACAGCAGCACACGGTACGGCCAGCTCAGCTTGCTACTGACTGTAATCTTGCCTCTGCGAGCGTGCACAACTGACTGCTTTGTCCACAACCAAAAGAACCGGCTAAAGATCATCCACGGCGGCACCATCGCCAGCATGGTCGACCTAGCCGGATCGCTGGCCGTTGCATCCCACGGCCTATTTGCCACCGGCGTATCCACCGACCTGAACGGCAAGCACTCTGAACCTCTCTGATCTGTAGTCACGGCGCTCTGCATCGTTAACACAGAACAGTCACGTATCTCGCCGGTGGCGGCATAGTTGGCGACACGCTTAAAGGAAGCGCTATCTGTGATAGAAGTGAGGACTTCGTTGTTGCTAGTCCTGTGCTACGCTGACAGCAGCTGCAGTTGGAAAAACGCTCGCCTACACCTCCATAACCTTTCACAACCAAAAGGGAGAGCTCGCTGCTCGCGGCAGCCATACGAAGTAAGCCTGATTTTGACTCTTTATTGATGCTTGTCTGCCCCTACCGTAATGCCGTCTCTAATACAGGCTACCTAAACGCACATAGATTCATCGCCAAGGCCTGGGGCAAAAACGAGCCCTACACAACTGACCGTGCATTGGACGAGGACGACGAAGATGCTGCCAAAGGCGAGTGAAGATAGACAAGAGAATTCAAATCAGCTTGGGGCACATTATGCGGCAAAGTATGTGTGCTTTAGATGTAACTCCACGCATTTCATTCGAATAGACGGTAGGCTGCCTCGCGTCGAATTCATTCTTCTCACTGCACGTGCCACCGCTCAATGCATTATTGCTGTGTTTGATGGGTGAGTGGTACGACCTGGAGGTTTTCCTGTAAAAAAACAGGGCATTTTAATTTCACGATACATTAACAGTAGACCAGAGGCATTCTGTTGCGAATTAATAAGCATTGAATAGTTTTGCAAACGTAGGAACGTACTTACGTTGGGAATACACAAAGAAACAAGAGAGGAACCATAATTTCAGCGGAAATCACCGAAAGCAAGGGCGCTAAGAGAGGAGCCAACTTATTTAGAAGAGGAAATGACTAGCACAGAGAGGTACGGTGCGTTGTGTACGGAATACTGTAAAGTAATAGGTTTGAGAAGAAATAGGAATTAGTAAAGCTTAGCGGGAACGCCAAACTCTCTAGGCCGCTGTACGCAGTCTGATAGGGATGAGCCCTTCAAGGCTGTCGTGGCAGGTGCTATAAAATTTAATACACACCACGCCTCTATTTTCACAAGACTGGTTTCTGTCTTCGCCTGGTCTCAATTAACTGATGCGCCACCAAGTGAGTGGTATACTTGGACGATATGTCCGGTTCCCTTGGCACGGGCTGCCATCTTGCGAAGTAGATTATCACGCAGCAATCCACGTGACGAACGTCTTAGGCGCCTTCCCAATGCGGCGCTCATGGGCGGGTCAGCCGTCCCTGCCCCCATTGCCATCGCCGGCGTCCGCCCCAAAACACCCAAATCAACATTTGGCAAGCAGACGCTTCTCGATGGGCGCGTCGCCGCGATGGACCAGCTCGAATCCCAGGCGTCCGACCTGCGCTATCTGAGTGAGGCTCCGACTGCCTCCATGGCAGACGGACTGTCGACCCAGTCAGAATGGCCAAACGCCGACACGTCCCCACGTCAGCTAGATGCCGGTTTTGCCAGGCCAGCGGGTTCCGCACCAGCCGGAGGCAATTCCGCGTTCCCATCCACACGACTGTCCCCCTTCTCACCTGATGACCAGGATGGCAGCAGCAGCACGCCCAAGCGGAAGCCGGACCCAAACGATCTGGGCCCGAAGCAGCAGAGGAGCAAGCGCAATCGGGTGAGTTGGACCGGTCTCTCTCTGTCGTCCCACTCTTCTTTTGGCCGCGGAATTTGGTCGTATTTCCTTCTTCATTTCACGGCGTACCTTTTTTACTTTTTGCATTTGTACCTTCGTCCACTTCCCACCCACATTGCCATTAGCCCCATGTCCATCGGTTCCGCCCTGTTCCGCTCTGGGCAGATCCAATCGTGCTAACAGGTCTGATCCCCGGTCTAGTACATCTCTATTGCCTGGTAAGACAAGCCAAGCCCCTGTTCCTCTTCCAAGCCCTGAGACCCAGGGTGGGCCATGTCGGTTGATGCCGTCTTGGACCAAGACTGACGCTCCCACTCCTATACAGCAACGAGTGTAAGCGGCGGAAGATAAAATGTATGGACCCCCGTTCTGTCCCCTCCCTCTCCCCCTTCCGTGCCACCCTGCCTGTCCAGACTAATTCTGTAGGCAATGGCGAGGCCCCGTGTCAGCGATGCGGCAACCTTAGTCTGGCCTGTCTGTACTCGGCAAACTGCTGTTCCAACAACTTCAGGGAGTCGGACGAGTACAGACAGATGACCGACAAGGTTCGCTTTCTTGAAGGCCAAGTAGGAACGCTCTTTCAGAATGTCGATGTCCTTCGCCTGGAGACTCAGCGGTTGGCTCCGCTGCACGACCGCATCCTGCCCATGCCAACATCGACCGTGTCACCGTCGCCATCGACCTCTATCCTGTCTCTGACCAAGCCGGATCTTGCGCCCCTCCGGCCGCCGCCCATCTATCGAGGGCCGACCAGCAGTGCTTTCACCGTCGACGTTGCCAAAAACACGCTGCATAATATGGGTTACAGCGGTGAGACCTCCGAAGACCATGGCCATGCGGATGGGACGTCCCGCTCGTCGACGGCCGTACCCTCAGGTTCGCATTCGCATTTGCAGCACCAGCAGCAGCAGCAGCAACATCAACACCAACAGGCGTATCAACACCAACGCTATCATCCGCTGCTGCAGCAGCACCAACAGCATCAGCATGAACAAAGCCATCAACAGCAGCAACAACAGCAGGCACAGCTTCCGACGGACCCGCTCTGGGAGCTTGATAGAGACGAGATGGTGCGGCTGTGCCGAGTGCATGAGGACGAGGTCGGTGTCATGTACCCAGTGGTGAAGATTGAGACGGTCATTGCCCATGCGCACAGTCTGTGGTCGTGGATGGAGGCATCCCGCAAGAACGGATACATGCAGCAGCCGGAGAACTACGAGGACACGATGCAAAGCGTGCCGACACTGTTGCTCAAGATCATCATGTGCAGCGCACTGGCCGTCGAGGAGCACGGCCACAGCGAACGGGCCATCCGCCTGTACGACAGCATGCAGACCATCATCAACCGCAAGCTGATGAGCGACCCCAGCGAGATCGGCAACCTGCCGCTGCTGGCTCTGGTTGCCGGCTACCGCTTCCTGGCCAACGACGAGGTGCTGGCCTGGCGCATTATGGGCCAGGTTGCCCGCCACTGTCTGGAGCAGGGCCTGCACCGGCGCGACGGCCTTGCCAAGATTGTCGACGAGCAGGACCGCAAGAACGCCATCAACACGTTCTGGTCCGCCTACGTTCTAGACCGCCGCTGGAGCTTTGGCACGGGCCTGCCTTTCGTCGTGCACGACGACAAAATTGACCCCGAGCTTCCCTTTCCTGTATGCAATTTGTCCCTCTCTAGACCAGCCGTTCCCGTCTGCGTGTGCTAACAAGACGCTCTGTAGGACCAATATCCGTACCTGGTGGCCATGATCACCTACTCGCGACTCGGGGCCAAGATCTGGAAGCTCGTTGACTTCTTCGAGCCCGCCATTGTCCGTGACCTGCAGCGAAACGAGGTCGACGCGCTCGATGATGAGATTCTCCAGTGGTACGACAGCGTGCCGGCGGAGGTCAGGATCAGCGCCTTTGACCGAGACCTGCCACTGCCGTCGACGCCGTCATACAACCTGCAGCGGCTGCAGATTTGGACGCGGCTGCGGCTCAACCAGATCCGCATCTGGTTGCACACGCCGGTTCTGCATAGCGCCAGCAGCATCACCGCCAACATGGAGCTGGCCCAGAAGGCTGTCGACCTGGCCAAGGAGACCATCCGACACCTGTCGCGCCTTAATGACAGCAGCAACCTGTACCGCCGCCTTCAGGTGTTCTACCACCAGTTCTTGACCTCGGCCATTGCCGTGCTCTTCCTTGCGTCCACCCATCAGCCGGTCGTGTTCAGCGGCCAGTGTCGCGGGGAATTTTATATGGCCCTCAACCTCATCAAGGACATGTCGGCTAAAAGTTGGGTTTCCCAGCGCCTCTGGCGTACCGTCAGCTCACTCAAGGCTTATGCGCCGCGCGTCGGCCTTGGCCTCGAGCAGATGGACGAGGAGTCGCAGCTTTCGGGTCGTGGAAGCAGCAGCGACAACAACTATCCCTACCACCATTCTCAACACCACTATCATCCCCACCCCCATGCCCATCATGCCTTCTTGGCAAGCAGCGGCAGCGGTGGTGACGGCACTCCATCGTCGAGCTCGTCTCCATACGAACAGCAGAGCGTGCAGAGCAATCAGAACGTGCACGGCACTCACGGAAACGTCCGGATTGGCGCCTCTGGTGGCCAGTGGACACTCCCGCCACCACCGCCACAGCCACTGTTGTCCTCCTCCTCCCCGTCTTTGTACGGTCGCCCACAGCTGCTACCACCGCCGCCGCCAAGCAGTGCCGGATCGCCGGCGCAGAGCCAACCCCCCGGCCAGAATGGCAGCTCCAACGGCTTGCAGTTGCAGACCGAAATGTCGCGCATGTTTGAGGGCTACATGGGCATGAGCGGTATTCCCCACCCACCCGCAGGCCTGGTTGACAGTAGTCCCAGCCCGTCCGGTGAGGCCCTGTATGAACACATGAAAAACATGTTTTAGACCCTTAGACGGCGGCCGAGGCCGCTTGTCTGTATCTGGCCATGAGATGTTGAAGTAACCAGGAGTTCTCTGTATGATGCATTTAATTAGGACTCGCATGGAACAGGAAGGACAATTAGGTATCAGGGAAAGCAGTTTGAAAGCATGGTTGAAGGACATAATTGAGGTCAAAACACCAATCCTCTGGAAAAGTGAGCAAAAATAATTAAAAGGATAAAAAGTCGAAATTGACATAAAAAAAGGAATCTCCCGAGCCGAAATCGAATCGGCGACCTTTCGGTTACATTGATTACCATTACAGCCGAACGTGATAAACCAACTACACCATCAGGAGTTCGTTGGTGCGTCACCTGTTTATTTTGGACTAAGAGGGAGGAGGGCCAGCTGTCACAGGCAACTGATGTGGGTCTGCCACAAGGAAAGAAAGGACCCACGACTGCACACTTTCCTTTTCTTTCTCTTCCAATACGTGTCTGACTATTACTTCCCCCACTTGCGTTTGGCTGGGTTGAAGCTCTTTAAAGGGTTTTCTAGTAATAGATCAGTAACTCTGCGATTTTGATACTTTTTTTCGTAGTGTTTCCCTTACAAGCTGTATGGTGCTGATCAGAACGGTTGAAAGACTGTCTTGGGGATGCAGCCAGTGGTTTCGGGTCTATCGGATCGTCTGAGTTGATGCTTTCTGAGAAAGGAGGCCTTAGAAAAAAACATGGATAGAATCCAGTCTCACGCACTTATTCAGAATCGCCCTCCTCGGTCCTAGTTTTGTTTAGGACTCCGTACTCCGTAGAACATGGGCTTATGAGAAATTCGGCTTGACACGCTGACGGAGGGAAAATGTTCTGAGAGAAGGTGAACCCTCTCGCAGCTGCCTAATTGGGATAAAGCATACTCTTACCATATCTTGAGACTTGCTAAAATATCGCTCTGTTCATCTTCAAACAGACACAAGACCAAAATTGTGGTCTTTGCTATTGTCGAATGTTGTTGGATCGGGGTAGTTTCAACTACTGTGCATTATCGCGACAATGACATCTGAGAAGTGGCAACGCTTACTGCAACGGTCGAATCCAGACAATACACGCCACAGACACCACAGCAATCGATTCGGAGATTTTACAGAGTGCTCAAAGCATATAACGTCTATCCTTCGCCATGTCATAGAAAACGGACTGCTCAAGCTTGCAATAACTGGTCGCTAGCAAGCATCACCGGCCTTTGCCGTACTTGAGACCTTAACGGGCGGTGTTATCCGCGCGACTTATGGCCTGAGGTGTGTCCAAAAAATACTTTCCAGGCCATTGGAAGCTATATAGTAATACAGCCAGTTGACGCGACAAAGAAGACCAGTACACAGGTGGCGTACATCGAAATATTCTACCTACCGTGCAGCCGGTCTTCGGTAAGTGCAAACGGGGATCCACTGCAAAAATACCCGTTTCTTAATAATTCCGCCGCACCTCTTAGCACAAGGACCCAAGACCTTGCAGCCGCATCTGCACACTGCCTTCTCACATCATCCTCGCCAATAATGAGTCAGCTGGCACCGCGCCTCACCAACTATGCCGCCTACGTCGACCCTGACACAGGCCGGCCGCGCATCGGCCACCTCGACCTGGCCACACGGGCTGTTCAGCCACTGAGCTTTATCTCCGGCACTCCCGTTGGTGACCTGTACCAGGTTATCGCGACCAGTGCCGAGAGCATTGTGGCAGCCGGACGACCGCTTGCGTCTGCCACGATCCTGCCGCCCATCTCCGGGCGCGACGTCCTCGCCGTGGGTAAGAACTACATGGAGCACGCCAGGGAGTTCAACAGCTCGGGCTTCGACAGCTCCGACAAGGTCGATCGGCCCAGCCACCCGGTGATCTTTACCAAGCGGGCGACATCGATCGTGGCGGACGGCGCGGAGATTGAGCCGCATGGGAACTTCACGACCACGCTCGACTACGAGGGCGAGCTCGGTGTCATCGTCGGACGGGCAGGTCTGCACATCGCCCTTGAGGACGCCTGGGACTACGTTTGGGGCTACACCATCATCAACGATGTGACGGCGCGCGAGCGGCAGCGTGATCATAAGCAGTTCTTTCTCGGCAAGTCAGCCGACACGTTCTGTCCAATGGTATGTTCGAAATGAATAGGTAGATGGGAGACAAGAGGTTGCTAATTGGTCCAACAGGGTCCCATTGCCGTCCCTAAAGAGGATCTCGCTGCCACGCTACGCGTACAGACTCATGTCAACGGCGAGCTGCGCCAGAACGCGACTACCGACGATCTGATCTTTTCCATTCCAGAATTGATTAGCACGCTTTCGTCTGGTATGACCCTGCAGCCAGGCGACGTGCTGGCCACAGGAACGGTAAGCCAGTCCATTCTGTGGTCTCACTGCTCCGGTTGTACCCCTTCTAAACAGCCAGCCTGCTGGTGTCGGCCTCGGCCTCAAACCTCCCGTATACTTGCAACCCGGAGATGAGATCTCCGTGTCCATCGATGGTCTCGGGACGCTGCGCAATAAAGTCGCCCAGCCGCAGATCAATGGTGCCAAGACCACATCGCGTGTGCCCCCAGCCGACGCCTTTCCCCTGACCAACGCTAATCGGTCCCTTGGTGGTACCATCGGCCTCACCAGGATCAACGGAAAGCCTCTACACTACCAGCATCGTGGCAGCATAGGCACAGGTGTTGCTGATGGTGATCAGAAGCCCATTATCATCTTTGTACACGGCCTCGGTGGTACCCTCGATGTGTGGACACCTATCATCGACACGCTGGGGTTAGATGAGTCCTCACCGAGCAGAATTGGCCAGACATCAGCATCCTTGCACCTGTTTGACCTCGAGGGCCACGGCCTCAGTCCGACTCATCCCCTTCGGCCTGTCACCATCGCCTCATTGGCGGCCGACATTGCTGGTGTTTTTTCCGAGGCGGGTGTGTCGCCTACCCGCCCTGCCGTCATCGTTGCTCATTCGCTGGGCTGTCTCGCCGCCGTCCGCTTCGCCCTCGATCACCCGGACCACCAGGCTTCCATAAAGAAGCTGGTCCTGCTGGGCCCGCCGTCGTCACCTCTGCCCGCCTTCTCCGCTGCTGGCTTGCGCACGCGTGCTGCCCTGGTGCGCCGTCAAGGCATGGGCTCCATAGTCGATGCTGCCGTGTCAGCGACAATATCGACCCACACGCACACGAAAAATCCTTTGGCTGTCGCTGCAGTCCGTCTCAGCCTGCTCACCCAGGATCCAGAAGCGTACGCCAAGGTATGCCAGGCGCTTGCCGCTTCTGAAGCCGATGCGCTGCCTTTGGAAGACCTGCAGGTGCCGACACTTGTCGTAACTGGCCAAGAAGACGAGGTATCACCGCCGGACGTGGCCAAACAGTACGCCGAACGTCTCCCTCACGGCCGACATGTGGTTCTGCCGCAAACAGGCCACTGGTCCATGTACGAAAACATTGAAGGCGTGGCACAAGCCGTCAAGGCGTTCGTCCTGTACTAGGGAGATACCTCTTACGCCTGCAGTATTTAGCACATGTCACAAATCGACATTAAGGTATTTAAAATATCAGCGACCGCTTCGTGATGTTAGTCTGTGGTAAATCAATCTTTTGCTTGGTATACGGAAAACTATCGGTTTGCAATCATGATGCCCTTCTCCAGTCGCTCGGCAGCGGTGTCCTCATCGCAGGATGCTGTGAATACGCCTGTCTGCTTGCGGCGCTCGTCTTCCTCGATCTCGTCCAATGGATAGAAGTCAGGCGCGATGTTGAACATGGGGTCGAACTTGTTCTTGATGTCGGTCGGCAACACCGGCGAGAGCTCGTTATCACGAAGCCAGACGCGTAGCAAATGTCTTGGCTTCGAGACGTCCTCTGTGAATCCGCGACGGGCGTGCTGGTGATGCAGATTGTTGACCCTTCTTTGTTAGACCGACCCTCCCCAAAATTACACAAATTACACAATTGGGAAGAGGGAAACATGCTTACCATTCGATATCGCCAATCTGCAGCGCTGTTTCGAGCGAGTACTGCTCGGCAATCCATTGCCACCCTCCAAAGGCCTCGCGCTCTTCCAAGGTGAGTGCCGGATAGGACAGGTCGCGCTCCGGAAGCTGCAAAATCAGTACATACTCAGTATACTTAGGGACGAAGAATCGGGAACGAACCTCGCCATAGCCGATAAACGTTCTTGTCGAAAAGTTCAGATACAGCTGCTCGTTGAGCCAGTGCAGCAGGTTCACGCCCGTGTCAGGAATGCCCACGCTGTTCGCATCAGCAGATGTTCAGAGAAAACAAGAAGGAAACGCGAGAGTATCTTACGCCTTCCAGCGAAACTTGCGCTCGGCCAGGACGCGCAGGATGTCTGGTCTGTGCTGGGCCAGGTGGTTGTACACCTGCCAGCTGCTGGCCACGGTCGACTCGCCACCCGATTCCGGCAGGGACAAGGCCATCAGCGACACCACGTCCGAGCCGGCGTCGCTGTGGTACATCTGCGCATTTGTGTCCTGGGCCGAGACAAAGACCTTACCGCGGATGGATGGATCCAGGTGGGTGATGCTCTAAGCGAATGTGTCAGAGACCGGAGACAGACAGCAAAATGAGGCTGGACATACCTTGATGTGGCAGACACCACGGCCGATACCCTGGCTCAGCCGTTCATCTCCCACCCAAGAGTTTATGCCGAGAAAGATGCGGATTTGCTCCTCCTTGTCATAGTTCTGGATGGGGAAACCGCGCAGCAGATTGAGCCCGGTGCCCTTGTATATGTTGTGAGCGACGCCCCGGAGCAACTTGCTGACGGTAGGAAGAGGGAAGTTGGAACGATTGACGGCCGAGAGTGGAAGAGAGAGCTTTGCAAAGGACTGGCGACGGTTAGCAGGCGGTTGGGAACATCCCCCCATGCAACGCGCAAGTGTTGATCTCACCTTGGATGCGGCATCGATCTCGGCTATCTGGCCCGCCGTGAGAACAGTCACAAACTTCTCCGCTGTGAAAACAGCATCAGCTTGCGGAACTATCAACTGCCGAGTTCAGGCGCGTCTCTCTTGCGAACTTACGGTGCACCTGCAGGTCTTTTCCATCCCAGGCCAGCGGACCCTCAAGGCGTTTGGGCCAGCCAGCTGGTACGTCGCCAAAGTCATGGCCGGCCGGGTGCGCAGCATTGGCTTCCTCCCATTCGTGCTTGACAAACAGCGTACCCGGCGCGTCCGAGTACAGCTCATAAGGCAGGACTTCAGTCATTGTGAAGATAAGGACAAAGATGAAGCTCGGGTTGATTGATCAAAGCAGATTCCAATGAGGAAAATTGACACAGTTGAGTAGGGAGGGCGGGCACGCAATATCATCTGCCGTATTAATATGCCACATGCGGTGCCCGGTTGCCGGAACGTCATGTGGCTAACAACCGGCATCATGCACCATCGACACGTGGTGGGCCGGCTAAGTGCACGATAAGAGATGTCGTGATGCAAGCTTGAATCACGACAAGTCTTTGACAGGCCTAGGCGCATTTATTTCCCATACTACGCCCTAGGAAAGTCTAGGGAAGTGGAACTTCTAACCGCTATTGACAACCATATGAGCACGACGTCGCGATATGCCTTATTCCCTGCTGACGATGAATCTCCGGGAATGCCTTGGCGTCAAATTGCGTCGACAATTGTGGGACGGTTAGATATTTGTTGAGGTTGCCTACTCTGCACCGATTCTACCAATAGCCTGGTCAGGCCTGGCAGCACGTCATTCACAGAATTTTCGGCAGACCCCATTCATGGACATTCTACAAGTAGCTGCCCAGTCTCGCGGTCTGGCGGCCATGGAAAGTCGTACGATATCGCACGGAGAAGCGTCTTGCTTACATTTTTCATCACTGCCATGGCTGCTTCCGACCCCTACAACGTGTCCAAGGCACCAGATGCGACCGTCGTGTCCTCTGATGGCGAGCGGTCTGTAGAGAGTAGGTCGACCAGCTGGCTTTTCTTCTGGAAAGGGCCAAGGTCTGCCGAGCAGAAACTCCTTTTCAAGCTGGACATTTTTATCATGTAAGTCGAGTCGTGGCCTAGAACAGCAGGTCTTGGCACTACTAACATGTCAGGACATGGGCGTGTTACGGATACTTTATCCGTCTGCTGGATACGAGCAACATGACAAATGCATATGTTTCGGGCATGAAAGAGGTAGGAGCTATTTCGATGCGACCAATGGCAAAGAATGACGTGCTAATACGCACGTGGCAGGATCTAAATATCCACAAAGACGAGTACAACTACTTTAACACTTTCTGGACTATCGGCTACATTGTCGGCATGATCCCCTCGCAGATCATCATTACTAGGACCCGGCCGTCCTACTGGCTGCCGGCGGCTGAGGTGGTCTGGGCCATCATCACCTTTTGTTTTGCTGCCGTTAAGACGGTGAAGCAGGTCTATGCCATGCGCTTCCTGATCGGCCTTTTCGAGTCTCCTTTTTACGTCGGCGCCATGACGCTGCTGGGAAATTGGTACACGCCCAAAGGTGAGAACGAGGCTGCCCCATCAAGTCTCTAAGCAGCAATCCTTTGCTGATGGGTGTATCGAACAGAGCTGGCAACACGTGCTGGCATCTTCTACTCAGCCTCATTTGCCGCCAACATGTTCTCCGGCTACCTGCAGGCCGGCGTCTATCACGGTCTCAACGGCCACGGCGGCCTGGCCGGGTGGCGCTGGTTGTTTATTCTGTGTGGAGTCATTACGTGTCCCGGGGCGATATGGGGCTTCTTTGTAGTTCCCGACAGCCCGTACTCGACAAAGGTGTTTTATCTGTCCAAGGAGCAGGTGGCGCTGGCTAAAGAGCGCATGGTCAAACTGGACCGCACCGGGTTCGAGGGCATCAACTTGAAGACATTTAAAAGCATCCTGATGAAGCTGTTTGTCTGGGTCTTTGTGATCAACTACATGTAAGCTGCCGCTTCTTGCCTCGCGTCTTTCCGCTGCAGTATCTGACCGGACAGCTTTTTCTGCATGGATACCTATTCGCTCAGCTTCTTCGCCATCTACCTCAAGTCCCTAAAGCGGTTTAGTGTGGAGCAAATCAACACGTGAGTGTTTCTTCGTCCACGTCGGCTCTTTCCTCTTTCTGACAGCTCTAGCATCCCCACTGCGTCTTACGGCTTCGGCTTCTTGTCTACTATCTTTTTTGGCTACATCTCCGACAGGTTGCGAAACCGGACTGGCGTCGCCTTCGTCGTCACGCTTCTAAATGTTATCGCTTGCTCGGTCCTTGCCGCCCATCCTCACACAGCTGGCGCCTTTGTGGGATATATCCTTATGGCAGGCACATTTGTCTACGGCCCGCTTATGATTGTGAGTATTGCTGGAATTTTCTGGTTTCACGGTGGCCAGACTGCTAACCTGACGCAGTCCTATCTGGCCGAGACCTTTTCGAGCTTGGCCGACGAGCGTGCCTTGATCCTGGGTATCGCACAGACGCTGGGAGCAACCTTCACTGCCTGGCTGCCGCTTCAGATATTCAATACCGGAACACAGGGGCCGTTGTTCCACAAAGGATATCTCACCGTCAGCATTATGTCGGGCTGCCAGGCTATCGGTGTTCTGCTGATGTGGTACTTGGGGAGCAAAATTACAAGGGAGTCCAGGGAGGCCGCAGATCGACAGGCTGATCTGTCACCGGTAGAAGAGAAGGGAGAGGGAAGGGAAAGTTTTGCATAGAAGACGGCTTTTCAACTTATTCACGAATTGTACTTAACATCCGAAGCTTATTTGTACGCCCACAATGTTCAGAGTTTGCATCGACAAGAAGTGGTCATCTTGTACCTCAGGTTGAATTCTATAAGCTCGCTACAGTCAGCCTAAGGAAATGTTCTCGGCTGGCTCGCGACAGGACTTGGCGGTCGGATGTTGCATTCCACACGGCATCGACACGCGAGGCGACAAGGTGTGAGGCCATCTGCCACTCAGCCTGCCAGGTCTTTAGGTTTTCGCAGCAGACAACCGCCATCGCGAAGGCCTGGTCCGATTCGCGTGTTCCGTCGGGACTAGAAGAGTAGAAGGTCTTTTGCGTTTAGACTTAAGACACGTCTAATAGTGTCTAACAGTGCCTCTACGCGAATAAACTACGCTGACGTAGATCCGGGTAATGGGTCTTTATCGGACACGACTTGGGCCTCGACGACCTCTATCTCTCTTACGTCTATGTAAAGTCTACCGGCGTCCGGTGCTAGTCGTTTATTAAGATGCTTGCTAACAGTTAGACAGATATCGTCCTAGATGCTCTGAAGAGGCTAGAGTTAGCAATATTATAAACAACTGCATTAAAGAGATTGATTCTAAAATGATTGATTCGCGTACTGCAGTTAATACACTCCGTCCGTCGATTACTAGATTCGCCTTGTCTAGAGTTTATAAACAAACTTAAGTAAAATAGTTATATAATATTAAATTATATCTATATGTAAGTTTTTTATAGTAAAGTAATAAAGTGTTGGTAACTAAGTTTAATACTCTTTTAAGTATAAACTTATAGCTACTTAATATAAAAAAGATATACTAAGTATAAAAGATAGGTTTATTACTCTTTATATCTTAATATTTAGCGTTAGCTTCTTAGCTTATTTTATAATACTTTAAAGCTATTTTAACCTTTATCTAAAATAGTCCTTTAAAGTTATATTCCTACTTATAGCCTAAAGCTTAGTAACATTTTTAGCACCCTAGCTCTAGTACACACCCTATAAACTATCGGCATAGCTTGTGTAGACGTAATTAATTAAGTGCCTGCCGTGCCTAAGAAGTTTTTTCTACGCCTGCACAATGTTAGTTATAGTAACTCAGACCTTCTTATCGTTAGATGCGTTACTATACGCCGCCGTCAAAAGCCCCACGACGTAGTCGGTCTTGCCTGCCACTAGGCCGACTTAGGTTTTTCTATTGGTCACTGATTTCGGTTGCGTCAAGAACTCGATAAAGAGCCCATCCACGTCGGCTTTTGCGCTTACGTCCTTCTCCTAGATTTCAAAAAGCTCCATATAGACCTCAGCAGGGGGGTTTTGAAACAATCAGTCGAGTTGGAAGGCGCTAGAGTACCAGAGAAAAGGCGAGTCAACAGAGTCCCATTTTTGAGGCCATGCGTAAGCTACGTAGGTAGGTTTTTTACTTATCGCGAGGTTGCGGTTGGAGTGTCACAACGCTGGTGTTCGGCAGGAAAGTCATCACACACCTTCAATCGTATTAAGAGTATGCAAGAAGGCTCTCCTACCTTGCGTAGTTAATAGCTTTCTTGGCTAATTTATACCCGTGCCTTTATGCGGACCCTTTGGGATGTGTTTTGTGACATCTTATGCAATACTCTTTTTTCAATTCAACGTGCATTCAAAAGTGGTATAGCAATTTTCGGTGCCAATGGTCAAATTCCTTCGGCAATGTAGAAAACTTTACTTTATTCAATGCAGCCAGCTTGAGAGCAGTAACACGTAGCCATGCCACTCCTGGTTTTTCTTACTGGCCATCGGCTACATTGGGCACATCGAACACCGCATTGCGCCAGCCGTCCCGCTTGTACTCGTGCACTCGCTCGCCAGCATGCGCCGCCTCCTCCTCCCACACGCGCGCTAGGCTTCCTGGGGCGTACACGCCTGCAAAGGGGCCATCCGCCATCGGCTGCAGGCCCACGCGGACGCTCTGGTCGGGGTTGCCGTTCTGACCCTCGCCGTCGGCAAACCGAGCGGCGATGGCACGCAGGAACGCGCCAATGTCGTTTGGGCTAGCAATGCGGGCTGCTCGCAATCGCTCCCGCGCAAAGACCAGCTCGCGGTTCAGCACGCGCAAATTCTCGGCGATGGCTTCAGCCAGCTGCCGTTCAAGCGTCCGCCGCAGCAGAGGCCGGACGACGGGCGTCAAGAGCCAGGCAAGCCATGAGGCCCGGCTGCGGCGCACGCGAAAGCCGACGTGGTGAATGTGTACCTGCGTCTGCCGGAGTGCCAGAACGGTGTCGGCAGAATCGCGCACGACTTCCACGTCTAGATGCACGTCGACGCCGCGCTCGTCGAGGTGGAAGGAGACGAGACCCTCGTCGGTGTATCGCAGCAGCGGTCCCGCATGCAGGCGAAGCACGAAGCCCACGTCGTCTGCCGCCACCGACAGGCCGTCGATGGCCATGGATGCCGTCGTTGCGATGCCCGCGGCCGTGCCGAAGCGGGCCTTGCGCACGTCAAAGTCGTTGCGGATTTGCAAATGAAGACGGAAGGGCAGAAAGGACGAGTGGCGCACAGTCTGGCCCGGCTGCAGAACCAGGTTCTCCAGCAGCAGGTCGACATCCGGTGTGGCCACCTCTAGTCGCGGTATTGGGACGTACTGCACAGCCTGAATGATCTGCGGTAGGAAAATGCTAGCGGCATCTTCGAGGATCTCGGCGCTGCCGTACTGTCCACCGGGCCACAGAAGATCCGCGATGCTGTCAGAGGTGTCCATGAAGGTGGCAACATCGTGGTCCTGGAAAGCCGACTGGATGGTGACCTGCATCTGAGAGAGCAGAGCATCGAACTCATTTTGCACAGACGAGGATTCAGGTGTGCACGAGGACGCCGATGAGACCGCCCCATCCAGCTCCTGCACCATGTTTCGAAGCTCGTCCAGGCGGCTGCCAGCACGGGCAAAGTAGTCGGGATCGGTCAGCATCTCCTGCAAGGCCGTACCCAACTTATGAATGAAATCCTTGAGCTGCTTGTCGTTTTTGCCTCTTGCGCGGTCAAACAGACGCTGGAAGCGGGTGCTCAGCTCTTCCCAAGCCTCCGTATCGCCAAAAGAAGAGACAAACGTCCAGAAGTTGTGCAGCGCTGCATCTGTTTCGTCGTTGGTCTCAACTGCTTCCGCCACGTCCTCAACTGTGTCCACCAGAGTGCGTGTGTAGATGGTCAAGCATCGCTCCAAGAGCTGCGTCAGCATCGATACGGACTTGCTGTAGTCGGGCTGCTGTTGAAGCTGCTGCACCGCCTGCCGCAAGCGTGAAAGCAGGACATCGCGCGTGTTGTCTTCGTTGTCCACCAGCTTGCTCGATACGCTATTTTGTGCTGCTTCTGCCACCTTCATCGCGCCGCCCGTCACTTCATTCGCAATGTCGGCTACGTTGTCTTTGGCATCTTGTAGGCTGTCCTGAGCGTCGTGCTCGTCACCCTGTCCTTTGCTCCCTCCCGCTGTCTCGGATTCAATCTCAGTTTCTTTCAGCACTGCAGACTCGAGGTTCGATGCCGCAGTCTGCGATGCGTTTGAAAGCGCAAATGCTGTGTCGCGGAACACTTCCCGTCCAACTGCGATAACGTCGGACAAGAGGAGTCGTACGCTAGAATTGGACAACAATAGTGACCCAAACGTCTGAAGACTCTGCTGCACTGAGAATTGGTGGGATAGATTAACATACCATTTGAAGAGAAAGGTTTACCTCGGAAGCTTAGGAATTGCTTACTTGCTGTACCGTTTGCAGTTCCCAAATTCTTGTGCCGTACGTCCTTTAGATCCACCGATACAGAGGAGCGCGAGACGTACCACGCAAAGTCTTGAATCTGATCACCGCCGTTCTTGTTCCGCAACAGGTCCACCAGCTGCGTTGACCATTCTCGACTGAGCCGCAAAAGCTTCTTCCCCGAGGGGCTGAGTCGACGAGCAACGTCCATTTCTGGATCTTTAAGTAGTGTGTTGATGTAGTCTGTCAGCTGCTTTGTGGAGGGAAAATAACCCTGTGTCGTCGCTTGCAGCATTTGAAACGTTTGCAGCTTCTGCCGGACACGCTGCTGAAGAGCGGTATCATCGGTATCACCGGGTCCGTTTCCAGGAGACAGAAGCGGCTGACGTTCGTTATCCGGCGCATCCTCCACGTTGTCACCGCATAGTCCACACGAATTAAACAGCCACTTCATCTTTCAAGAGTTGCTGGAAAGATCGTGACGGAAAAATAACGCGACCATAACTGCAAGGTTAACGTGGTTGTGGAACCATGACGTCGACTGAAGGTTGCTTAGTGTCCCAAATACGACATCACAAAGCTCTACCCCGGAATTCTATTAGCGCAGGCCAAGCCATCAAATGAAGTAAACCGCCATATTTGTGCTAAAGAAAATAGGTTAGACTGAAGGCGATATATGCCATGTTGAGCGGAGCGTGAAAATCTTAATTGATGGTTCTATCTATATGTCTTCGTCTGTAGCTAGAAAGAGAGAAGCCGATTTGAGGCGGGGCAATCGTGCGTCTTCCTGGAAGTTTCATACCGCCACCAAACCCAAGTGTCACGTGTAAATGAACTCTGTATGAACGCAAGCTGAATATTTATTGTTAGCCTACAGATCAAGCCCTTCTTTCTGTTCAGTCAATTTTTTCTCGAAGTAAAACTGGCATCAATAAATCATAGACCACCCAAACTTCCCACCGATTCTGAGAGCTGATAATGGCCCTCACCCGCGCCATGCAATTCTTCATTTCTTGCGAACCGAATTAGAGGCTCACCATCGACTACTGTGAGTTTTCTCTACAATGCCTGGTTTTCTATGATAGCATACAGTAGGCTAATGCGACTACTCAAAGCACATGTTTCTATGCTACCCGATATCCCCTGATGTACGAGCCGCAAATCTCCCCTCCAGACTTTGACATCCCGGTGATGCTCAACGCCTTGGAATTTTGTAACAAGACAGTCCCTCTTTATGTGTTGCGCGATCTGAATTCGTCTTCGGAGCACGAAGAATTACTATTGTACTCTATTTACAACTACGTCTATGACAAATGGTTTGTGCCTTACCGGAGCGAGATTGAATGGGGTCAGCACATTTTCAAAACCATTGCACCACAGACAGGTGGCATTTCTTCTCACATCAGCTACAAAGATGCCGCAAATCTAATCCCATCTGTGAACTTGGAGGCATGCAAGAAAGTTGACGAGGATTTAAATTTGCACAAAGCTTAAATCAAGGGTCGTCAGTAGCACCAACGATGGAGCCCAGGACATGGAAATTCCTTTTCGGAGGGTGCCCCCTTTGCAATCCCAGCTGGATGCTCTCAAAGCTCGAGAATTTCGTTCTCAAGCCAACGTTTCGGGCTATTGCTGTTGTTCTCCTGGCCAGGGAGTTTGACTACAAATCTGAGGGCATTGGCCAACTGCCTGTCCTTATTGTCTACACCGGTATCACCGAGGGTCTGAGCCGCCCAATATCCTTCAAGTCTATTGCGCAGAAAGTGGACTGTTACTACGATGTCGGCGATAGCGAGGACGGACGAAATGGCGCAGCAAAAACAACAATGGAGACAGCGATTGGCTTTCTGATGGAGCTAGACCAGACAGAACCGGATGTGTTTGGCCTGACACCAGACCCGGATATCTCGCTTCAGAGTGCCCTAGGCTGTGATCGTGAATGTTTGATAGCCAGATCGGCACGTCTTCTCTACGATGCACGCGCTCTTGGATTGGATGACAAAGAGGACAAAGTGGAAGGACCCAGCTCCCAATGGGTCGACACTAACATACACACAACCTGGACTGGCCACGGTGCCCTATCCGCATCATCTTCCCTAGCGACAGAATCTACTTATCGAAAGCGGTATTACAATTCTATGGGGCTAGGGAGTCTAACAGTTCGGGACCCGACATTGGACGCCTGCCCAAAGAAGATCAGCCTTAGAAATGGCGTCCTAAAAGGATAGGAACCATGGACTGAGTCGACACCTTCACTACCAAGGCCAAGCACACCTGGAAGACATTTCGACAAGAGAAGCATGAAAGGCAAAGTGTGTTCGGAATCTTTGAGCAGGGCCAGAAGACTGTTCGAAAGAAACCAAGCGTACTCGAAATATTTCAGCAGGGTAAAAAGACACTTCGAAAAAGGCCGAGCATGTTCAGAATTCTCCAACAGGATGAAAATCCAACAGGATGAAAAATGAGTCAAGCGCCAATGTCTTTTCAATACATTCTAGCTAGGTGAATAAAAAGAGGTAGATCGGCCCCTACCAGTTAGGCTTAATAGGTGGTGCGGTAGAGGCGGTTCGGCTACAGACGATGCCTTTTTAGCTTCTACTGGGTACCGTCCATGGCATGGGCCCGGCAAGGATGTTGTTGTCTTCCCCAGAATGTTCGGCCGCAAAACGATTGTCGGGGCGCGTCTCCCTTTCAAGCCTGTCTACAGCTTTTGCTGGAAACTCGCACCGGTGGGAACGCGTAGCGGCCGGGCTCTTCGTCGCGAAAGGGGGGAGGCATGAGAAAAGGCGCAAGTCCTAATATCCACCCGATCCCCTGTAGTGGTGTCGGGCTTAGGTGATTAGAACTTGAGCTGCAATGTGCGAGGGATCCAGTGGGAGGTTGGCTGAGTCTTTGCACTTGGACGACGAAGAAAGTAGTGCGGTCTGACTGGGAGATATGCGGAGTCGCAAGGCTGGGCCACCTCCTCCGTTATTATTCCAGCCAGACCATAGCTCCCCTCTTCGGAGGGACACCTATACGCTTTCGCGCGTCTGTGCCCTGTGGGTAGGGCAGCCGCGATAGGTGACCAGTACCCTTAACTAGCATCGCCTCATCAATCATTTCGAGGTACCTATTGAAGAAAGCCTAAGAACCAAAAAGGCTTTGAATCAGAACATCACCAACAACAAAATCGGTTCCTGTAAAGGGGAAGTTAATTAACGAACTCACAACAAAAAACAACTGCGAAACAATATGAACGAACTCTCCAGTGCACCGGCATTCTCCAGCCAAAACAGCCGCAAGAACAATCGCCATATCAACACTCCTTTCGTGGGATATCCCGCTCATATTTAGGCACCTATTTGTCATGAAAACCACATCAAATTCATGTTCTACGCTCTCAAAATATATACAGAGCCACAGAAATCAAGATTAGGAACACTGGGTCCCACTGCCGCCGCAAGGACTTTGGATTCAACCCGGTTTGAAGTATTTTCAGTCATCGGACCAATAAAATGATCTTATGCAGATGTGAGTAAAAACGAACAACACGCAGCGTTTAGTTCCTTGTGCATTTCTAGATACTGGCAAAGAGCTGACAGTACCTGAACGAACCAGACATTTTGCAGGATGATGGTCATGTGTGAAGTCATCGAAGTCTTCTGGGAATTTTCCGACTTTTCTCGTACAGACCAGACGGATCGACAAAAGAAGTTACCCCATGTCTTGCGAGGGAGCGAAGCTAAACCTGCCACGTCTCCCGCTCTTCTCGCGCCATGCTCAAGACTGAGAATGAACAAGAAACAACGGCCGTGATCTTCACAAGTCGAATTTTCGGGGTACATTAGAGATCACTCCCAATATTCTTTGCAATCATTGCGAAGTACGCCCAACGGTATTTTGAAATGAGACAAACTTAGTAAGTCGTATCTCATATAGAAAGGAACCAGGGTGAAATCATAACTAACACGCATTCTTTACAGATAGATAATCCATTACAATACTCCGAACCCTCGAATATCATCGAAACATGCCCTGTCCCATATCAGCACTTCGACTTTAAGTCAGGCCCACCAACGACCGAATAATGTGGACCATAGGTGGAATTGAAGAAAAAACCACCGTCACAGTGCCAAATAGGCCCATTGCAAGACTGGAAATGGCAGCTGCACGGGGATCCGTCCTCAATAGTAGCGCAGTTCCCAGTGCAGAAGCATTTGCGCCGAATGTCACACCTCGTGTGATGTAGTCGTCTGTTGAGACGATGTCAGATTCCGCGACGGAATAGCGATAGTTCCACAAGCTTCGAGAACTTACCTTCGGGGATTCGCAACCATGACAACAGCTGTCGGCCGATGAGGACACCAAGAACGCCTGAAATAAGGGCGACGGCAGACACTGTGTTCAGATCACCTCCCAGGTTTTTTACAGCAGGCGTCGCCAAAGCAAGAGTCAGGCTGCGTGAAGTGAAGGCTAGACTGCGCTCGGGGCTGATCCCAATGGCGTGGCACACAACCGGGTATACAAACAAAGAGATAATCGACAAGACGATATTGGGCAGAACTATGGCAAAGAAGTGTCGCCGCAACTCATGCCTATACTGATACATAGGCAAGGCCAACGAGACGATGCTTGCATCCATAGCGCTGGAAAGGATGTCCCCGGCTCCAGGGCGAGGGAGAGTGTTTGCTTTCTCAGTTCCTGCCGCGGCCCACAGCTTCAGATACGTCGATCCTGTGCGGTAATCCCCCAACACAGACGATAGTGAGTTGTCGCCATGAACCCGTCCAAGCAACCAGACGATCAGAAGGGTGGAGAAAGCAGACACAATCACGGGGTGAAGCAACTGGCGCCAGCTGGGCGGCAGTGCCATGGCGGAAAAGAACATGAGGATATTCACAGAAAGGTGCAAAGGCATGGTATAACCTGGAGAGGAATAATACGAGGGCAGGCCAGCAAGCAGGAGGACACAGAAAAAGAGAAAAGTGTCCGCATGGCCGCCAACAAACTCAGCCCAGCGCTCGGCCCGCGGCCGTGGTGGACGGACAGGAATGCTGATGCGAAAGTGCGGCACGGGCACATCGCTAAACGAGCTCAGAGGGTCGTCGAGATTTTGACCACGGACCGTGATGTACGCGGCAGCATGTGATCGAGGCGGCATGGGGGGAAGAGAAGTATGCGGTGACTCTCCCGACAGACGAAGCGGCGTCAGCTCTTCGCGCTCTCTGCCGTCATCTCCAACTGCGTGATCTGGAGACTTGCGAGGCGAGCTGAGTAGCAACTGGATAGCCCTTGTCATATATGCGGCAAACATCATCATGGCGAGAAAGCCAAACACTGCCGACGCGTAGTGAGAAAAAAAGCAGACGAGAGGGCGAATAATAGGGGAGCAGCGCCCATACCAAAGACAGCGATTATCTTGCCAACCTCGGAAGCTGATATGGATGGACTCAATGGCAGCATGACAAAGGCCGGCGTGAAAAAGATGTTGAGCCACCGAAGGGACCATCCGCCCTGCAGAAATATAAGCAAGAGAAGTACCCATGGGTGGCGGCGATCTCATTTCACATACAGGCACATTGATGATGTGCACCAACTTCTTTGTTCGACGCTCGCCCAAGACGAAGTCGCATAGCAAGAGTGCCAAGAACAAAAGCACAAGGCACGCCACAGATGCTGGGAATGAGACACCACCGAGATCAAGAAGGCAGTGAACTCCATAGCAGGCGGCCAGCATGGCGAAAATGCCGAGTGGGACATAGAAAAAGCAGCGGAGTAAGCGTGCTCGGTCGGACCAGAGGACCTGTTGAGGCCAGTCACGTTAGGCAAGGACGGAAGTGGTGAAGAAAGGGGAGAAGAAGCATGCCAGCTTGACGGCGATTGCAGCGTCGCGGAGGACGGGAACAATGTCGGTTTCGGCAGCGGACGTGCCAAGGGAGGACTTGATGGCCATGGTTCAGCTCATGAGAGGCAGGTATCGTGTGTGCTGGTGGCAGTGGCATGTGCCGTGAGAAAGATGTGGTTTGGTCTGTAATATGAGAATCGTTTCGCTAACGTGTATCTAGAGCTCTTCTGCCAAAATGCTGTGGCAGCATGGACACGGTTGAAAGGGGAAAATCGACATCCGTGACTCTTGGCGATTAAACCGGCACGCCAAAAACAGTCGCATCGAATGGGAAATTTTCATTATCTCATCCTTATCAGTTGCGAGATCGGCCGGCTCAATTCACTTAGCTCCATAAACCGAACCGCGAATGCATCACATGCTGGTAAAATGAAGCACTTCACTGCCAATACTAGAGTGACGAGTACGAGTACTACTGATAAGGAACTATGTCAAAGTATACGAGAATTTTATCGAGCGCCTGATTGTCGCAAGGCACATATGGCACCGTGGGAGGCTACAACACCTAGCTGAGGCTGTTGTAAGGAGTAGCAGGTTCTTCGACCCAGATGCAAAAGATTAAAAACAAGTTTGTAACCCTTTTCAATGAAGGCTTCTGTTCTCTTTATTCGCATTATATTTCCATGCCGTGTTTTCACACTCTATGCATAAATGTTGCTCTATAGCAGGTTCTAGGTGCCCCGGAAAACATTCGAGATTTAGTGGGGTGAATTCGTGTACGGAGTGTTGCCACTGCTGCTGACCGCCTAAAGCCCTGGCATTTACGAATACGCTTTCTCTTGGCACGTGCCTACGTGAAGCAAGAGCACGTACTCCGTAATACTAGCACCTTGGCCACCTATTAACCAAAATCCTTCGGGCGCTAAGGCCCCTGCACAAGAAGAAATCACGAGCTCCTAATAAATGGTGGCGCAGGTGAGGACAACGCGTCATGGAATGTCGGCTTGGAGCTTCAGCCACGGAGGCAACGTATGGATAATAGTATTCCGTATGGCGACCCCCTTTTCGAGGGGCCAAGCTGCCTGGGTAGCCGCCTATCGGCCTAGACGTGGCGACTGGAATGTCCAACTAAATTGGCAAGGTTAGCCTCTCTGCTAGCCCGAAGCAGTATTAAGCTTGCGCGGTTAGGACTAGTAAGACATGGTACCAAGTAAGTAGCCAGGTAGAATAAATGGAGAACTGGACGAACTGGAGATGGGACGGGTGACGTAAGTTGAACGAGAAAAGATATAAGAGAGAGGAGAGAGGACAAGGACGCATGAAATAACGAATTGCTTTCCGAAGAAATCAAATAATCGGAAAACAAGATCAAGTTCTTTGGAAAGTACAGAGAAAATTAAACATATTGACAACCCTCCCTCACTACTACGACTGCATCCTTTCAACATGTGTTTCGGCTTCAGCAGTCGGGGAGGCCCGCAAAACTACGGTGGCGGCTACGGCCCACGTCCCGTATTATTAGGCGGATTCGGCGGTGGTGGTCACCATGGCGGACGACATGGCGGGCATCACGGGGGTTTTGGCGGACCAGGTGGAGGATTCGGCGGTCCTAGTGGTGGATTTGGATTTGGCGGCCCCGGCGGAGGGTTTGGTGGTCCCGGGGGTGGATTTGGGGGTCAGGGTGGTGGTCCTGGGGGTGGCTTTGGCGGCCCTGGTGGTGGCTTTGGCGGTCCTGGTGGTCCTGGTGGAAGATGGTGAGATCTGATTATGTACACATTTTGGATGTTTGAGTTGTCGGTGAAACGGCCAGTCTCGCCATGACCTGGCGCTCTTGTCGGGGGAGCAGCCTGACAGGTCAGTTAAATACCCGCATGATAATGGCGTCCCTGTGGCAACTGTGGTAATATTAGAAGTGCTGCCTTTCACCTCCTTCTAGCCAGGGATTATTTAACTTCATTGAGTCATCCCCCATTAGTATATATACGACTCATTGCTACATCCTCGCGATGTAGTGTCTCACTCTTACTCAAACACAATATATGCTGCTTATTATATCTATGGTAGATTTCATTATAGCTTGTCTATAAACCAAAATAGCTCAGACTCCAAACAATCGTCAGCGTTCAACAAGCTCCTTTTATGCTAGTTTCATTTTTCTTTTCTTACCCGTCCTATCCCATGTACGACTTCCATTTATTCCTATACGATGTCGCTGGACTTGCTCCCAGCCAAGCTTATAAAACTAATATTCTCTTATCTCGTCCCGAAGAATTAGAATATATATTGTCAACATGTAGAACTCTACCAGGCTCGGCTAGTTTGTCGTGTGTCAAAAATAGCATTTACTTTACATTCAAAAGCCGACTTTACTGACCAGAGGAGCATTTGACGCTCTTCTTTCCCGAGAGCTCCTCTAAAAATAAAGTAAGTCCGACCTCGTTAAAAATCATCGCCCAGACTATTGTGATACAGTCTTGTGGCTGTTTATGACAAAATACCCTTCAGGCAAAAATCACCGCAGTGACGCCCTGTATCAGGCTCATATCACACTGCTGTCTCTTTGTCTTTGGAAACACTGGCGTCTTAATAGCTATGATGCAAGGCAGTATGTCAAAGCTGTCTGCCACTCTATAATAACACACAAAGGGGTTAACTGGGCGATCGAGGAGATGAAAGAAGAAGCAGTGCTCCCGTACGGCATCCTGGACGATACAAGTTTAACAATTTCACACATGAGCAATGCGTTCCTCGTTGCTACTCTGAAGGAAGAGGTCTTCTTCATACGATGCGTTTTCGCGTGAAATATCTTATATCTCATTACTTTTAGACGTCTACTATGATCCTGTGTTCCTTAACGTACCGCCAGAAGTATATGGGACGGAAGGACGATATTTTGGCAGCCTTGCGGAGAAGAAGAGATATTTGGTTGTGAGGAAGTAGCACAATTCTCGAGGGAAGAAGGCCGCAGAGGCAGTCACTATGGTTCTAGGGCTAATGGGAACCTTATCTATCAGGGCACACAAGACTTCCCACTTATGGACACTTCCTCTGCGTTCTGCGACAACTGCGATGGTGATAGTATATTGAGCGACTTAGGCCTTTTCTCCCGTGAGTCTTCAGATTATGCCACCTACCATCAAATGCTTAAGCGGTTTGACGCAGCCGACCTGATTTTGATTACAGGGCTCCTTCGAACATCTAGCTCGCCAGGTTTCGATTTAAACACCGCAGAGATAGGCAGCACGATAGAAGATAGGATGGTGATGCAAAGCATTCCGTGAAAGTAAGTATTGCGAAATAGTCTTAACAAAAACCACCGAACTAGCAATATGACTGCCGTTCTCTGTCCCATCCTAACGTAGCTTAACCTCTTTAAATGGCTCTTCGTTTATGTGGTCCTGGAAGAAAGCTGTCGTATCAACCACAGCGATCCTCTCTCCCTCTACAGTCGTGCCATTAACAGGGTTCATCATCCCGCCGTTGGTGCATACACACACTGTTTTATTATTCGGCCTTGCCAAATGCTGGTGCCACATGCCCCACCAAGATCATCTTGTCTGGGAAGCCCACGACATACGTTGGTTATCTGTCTAGGACGATGACAAGCAGCCTGTTTTCTGAATTGAGCGCTGCCCAGATAGTCTTGTTGCCCTGGGGCAAAAAACAAAAGGTGTCCATATAGACAGGACGATTCTATTTGACCTCGCTCTTTACGTTGGCTAGCGCACTCCCAAGGCCTGTTATAGGGGATGCGCCAGATAGTTTCCGTGTAGCTAAGGGCCCAGTAGAGAAAGCTGGCCTGGAATCGCAGGCTACAGATGCCGAAATGGGTGCTGAACCATGGCAGCCATTCCTATGTGTTTGTCCTGGATGGCCAGTTCCTATGTGCGCGAGACCGTGCCCATTCTCCATACTACGCCCATCATCATGTCGGCCACGAGCAGGCTGGTCGGGCAATTTGGCAACATGTCAAAAGCTACCGATGAAGCCGGCCTCGGGCATGTGCACAATCTCTTGGATGGAGATGTCGCCAATGCAAGCACCTCGGCTGGGCCGCAAAATAAGCTCCAGCATGTCGAAAGTGCCGTCGATCCCCACGCCGAACGAGCTCTGGTTCTCACCCATGAATGCGAAAACATCCGGCTATGTTTCAAAATTCCAGTGACGGCATTGATCTGATCGAACGTGTGGACGAGGCAAACGTGGGGTTGTCGGGTACAACGTTAGTCAGCACGTATATGGACGCATTTTGGCCAGACTGTCGTCACCAAGAAGTCGCCACTAGACCGGACGTAGAGACGGGACTATTTCTTGTGCCTCGAACGTAAACTACAATGACAGGTGCTTGAACACTGTGCGGGTACGTTAACTAGGCTAAATGCCGGTTATAAACGTTGTCTGTTTCTTAGGCCTTCTTTTGTGGTCGACATGCGTCTTCTACCGGAAGCTCCTACCGGACTGCCTACTTTGAGGGTAATCAGAGTTGCTATCCCTTCAACTCCACCGGGATTGCCTGCCAAGCTGCATGAAACGGGTAAATGGGTAAATGACACAGAGCCATCGCGGAGAACATCAGACGTTTTCTGCACCCCGCACAACTCCGCAATTCATGGAGACATACGACGGGCCGTAAGGTTGGCTTAGTATATGATATGGCTATGGTGGACTGACAGACGTGAGTTATGGAAAGCCAGCCAAACAATAACTATCGTCATGCATTCCATTTTTTTGTTTCTTCTCCAAGGTACTGCAGCCGCCGTTCTTCCAGGGACGCTCGAGCGGCGGACGACAGTCTCGGGAACGGCCGTGGTAGATCTTGGCGTGTCGACTGGGGCACCACAGCAGCTGGCGTCGGGGGTTCTGTACGGGATCCCGGACGAGGCAAGCCAGATACCCGACCATTTCTACACCGACATTGGCTTCAAGTATTGCCGCGCTGGTGGCGCACAGCTACCAGGCCAAGGATGGAGCGAGTCCGAGGCGGCGTACGAGACGCGGTTCCAGTCGGCGCTCAGCAACTACCAGACGACGCGCAAGTACGGCGGCACGTTTATCCTGCTGCCGCACGATATCTGGGGCGCGGACGGGACGCAGGACTCGTCGTTTGTGTACCCCGGGGACGACGGAGACTGGAGCAGCTACGACCAGTTCCTGGCCCGTCTGATTAGTGACCTCCGGGCCAACGACATGCTGGATGGCCTCGTAATCGATATCTGGAATGAGCCAGACCTGACGGGCTTCTGGAACCGGTCGCAGGCGCAGTATCTAGACCTATGGGGGAGAGCGAGCACAGCCTTTCGGGCGGGGCTGCCGAGCTGCACGATCTCGGGCCCCTCGTTTGCAGGATCACCCAGCACGACCAACTCGTGGTGGACGGCCTGGACGGCCTTTGTGGCCAGCAACGGCAGCGCACCGGGACAGTACAGCTGGCACATGGAGGGCGGTGGGGGAGACATGCAGTCGTCCGTGGCGGCCTACAAAAGCCTGCTCGTCGGCCAGGGCCTGGCGACCGATCGGACGGTCAACATCAACGAGTACGCCGTCTGGGGTGAAGAAGTGGCAGCCGGCAGCGCCTGGTGGATCGCACAGCTGGAACGCGTCAATGCCTATGGGCTGCGCGGCAACTGGCTCTCGGCCTATGCGCTGCACGACCTCCTGGCCAGCCTCGTGTCCAAGCCGGGTGCCGGCACGTCTGGATACAGCTACACCCAGACAGGCTACTATCCCACCGCCCAGTGGCTCGTGTACCGTTACTATGCCCAGGACATGGGCCAAGGCTCGCGGCGCCAAACCACGCCGACCGATGACCTGCTGGGCGACGTCTTTGCCGTCGTCGGCGAGGACCACACCGTGCGCATCCTCATCGGTGCACGCGTGGCCTCGGGAACCTTCAACGTCGAGATCCGCAACCTCTCGGCCATCGGCCTGGCCACGGCCGGCTCGCTGCGCGTGCACGCAATCGGCTTCACCAGCTCGACCGACCACTATGCCGAGCTGGACGCGCCGGCTGATCTCGGCTATGTTAGCCATTCATACAGCGGCGACTCGCTAACCCTGCCGGTCTTCCAGACTGACGACAACACAGCGTACGCGTACGAGTTCAACACGACGGCCTGAATGCATACGGGTAGGACTTCTGGGATGCAGTTGACACATGGGTTGCAAAATGCGGATGAAATCACGAGAATGGTGCTTACAGAGAAACTTGTAAAGTTGTTTCTAGGTACAGCTACCTGCATAGTATAGGATCTTTCATCGTAGTACTGGGCTTAGAAAGAAAACAGTTCTGTCTTACAATCGAATCTTTGGAGACAGAGGTTGAAACATCCATTGTTGTCGCACAGCTCGTCTTCTAGGCTCGGGGTAAACTGGACCAGTTCCAACCTTGGTACGGAGTTCCAGCAGGCTCTATGCCTATGTCTTTATTTTAATGAGATCCTCGATTATAAAAGTCTCAGTCTAGAGGACTATAGAGGTATGCGTAACGATACTATACGCCTACAATTGTCAACTGGAATAGAGTACAGAGTATAAATAAGACTAGATTACTCAACTTTAGGGCCCTTCCCTCTTCTTAAATACTTTGACAGCACTAGCTTGTATATGATATAACGAAGAGACTACATATGTGAAAGAAAGGACAAAATACCACTACTCCTAACGTTTCCTGAGCCGACGCTTAGCGAAGAGAAACTGTGCCTCTCTTGTATCCCATCAGGTGGCTGTACCAGGGTTTGCAAGTCTAATATGCTCAACTAAGATGCTCAACGAATTACTTAAATGGGGTGCGTACAGGAATATTTTGCGAGAGAGAAACGAGACAGCAACCCCTCAAAATTTAAAACCCTGTAATTCCGCCAAGATGCCTCGACGCATGTGCAGAGAGGGGCCCGCTACTACCCTTACTTGCTATGTGGCTTCTGCGCCCAGACAACTTTGGCCAAAATGTAGCTATGGATACTAGGATTGCGAAGCTCCTTTCGCATATTGGCTGCGTAAACCATAATCTCTTCTTTCGACCAACCGAGTTCCGTAGCACAGAGGCCAACAAGACCTTCGACGTCCTGGTGAGCGACACGCGTGAAGGTTCCAATCTCCTTTAGCTTCGGATCATCGGACCATTCCGACGTGGGGACCTTGATTATTTTTTCGTGGATGTTGATGAATCCAGCCTCCTCGATCGCTTTTCTCTGAATATTTTCATCAACAATCATAGTACGAGCCTCGAAGCCCATCTTCTCAAAAGCCTCTATAAAAATATGCTTGTACTGGTAGAGGGCCATATTTTTAGTTAGACTACCGTCATCGGACTGGTAGCCACCATTGTTGTCGCAGGACTCAACCCAGCCGCCAGGTTTTAGACTGGCGTAAGCCTTGCTGAAAAGGCTTGTCCAATCAGTAACGCAGCCAACTAGGGTGCGTAGGTGCACGTAGTCGTTATCATCACCATATAGCCACTCAGCGTTAAAGTCGTCAACGAGACTTTCAAGTTAGCTACACCTTATGTATAAACGACGAAAGACGAAAGACGACAGAGGGTACAGACAACTTAACATTAGGCGGAACCCATATCGGCTGGATAGGCGATAGATCAAAGCCAATTACTACAGCCTCCGGGTACTCGTCGGCAAAGTCACTGCATGCATGTAAGTCTATGGCCATATGTCCTATCAGTAGAAGACAACTCTTACATGGCCCAAATGCCCGTTCCCGTACCGACATCGATGACTTTCTAAGCCGAGTGTCAGTGTAGATCACATATAAAAGATAAAGAAGAGGGTTTATATATGTACTCCTATATCATCTAGCAAAGGTGCTAGGTGGCTCTTACCATCAATGGCAAGGGTAAAAGCATGATGCCTTGTTTCATTTCAGTCCAAAGCCAACAAAACCAATGCCTGCATCAGAAACATAAGAAACTAACAGTATGTCAAGAAGCTCATTTTGCTTCTCATCGTTTGAAGCACTACTTGCATAAGCAAAGAAAAGAGAAGAGGGGCAAAGGGGGAGAGAGTTTCTGTTCATACTAATATTTTCCTGTTCCGCGCTCGCTGTGGTATGTCCTGCCGTTCACTGTACGGTACCGGAAAACGCTGCTCGAGAGCGACGCCGTCAAGTTCGACAAGTCGTCACCAAACGCGGAGTCACCATCGGCTTCCTATGCACAGATTCAGATGGACTAAGTGAATTGCAGCAATTAATGGGCGAGTCGTGTAGAACGCCTACCTCATGAAGTTCCTGGTTAGCCCAGGCCTGTAAGGGTGCAGTTTCTGGAGGTGATACCGGGCCGCTTGCGTCTACGAGTGGTGCTGTGGGTGGTAAAGGCGAAGACATCTTAGCTGAAGTAGGCATGAAAGGTGTTGCGTGACTTTAGCGGGGGGATGTTTTCTACCAGAAGGAGCCGTACGTTGCTTATTTTATATTTTTTTTACAGCGGGATATGCACCCTTCGCCATACGCTTTACGTCGTAAAACGACAAGTCGGAAAACGGTAATCAGATGTGTAGCACTTGAACTGGAGACGGTCCTCACACTAATGGTTATCGGGAATCATGGACAACACCCGACTGGACAAGATTTTATGAATCTTTCTTGCTGTCGGTCGTGGTTTGGAGGAAGGCAAGGGAGCCCCTAAAACACGGCGATGTGTACAAGATACTCACTATCGATCTAAATGAGTGCTAACTACCGAGCTACCAGTTTCTCTTTGACGGTTTGCTGCTCAAAGTCAATGACCGACATAAGCGCTGCGGGAAAATTGATTGTTATTTTTGGTGGTGGCCCATCGCCACCAGACGACGAAGTCGCAAAATGGGGCCCTCCTGTTCCAAACGAATAGGCTTGGATACTCGGACGCGCAAGATAGGACAGGTTTCTGGACGATGAGCAATGAAATCGCTGGGTCACGTACTTGTGCGCAATAATGTGTGCTTAAGAAGCAGATCGGGATGCGTGTGTCAATCCGGACCAAAAGCGTGCAAGGCATTGTCTTGAGCAAGAAAGACAAGAGGTCAGACGGCAGATGTACACAGCGTAAGATAATGTTAAGAAGATGACGCTGTTTATCACTTCATAATCTTGGGCAACCTAACCAAACACTCGTCTAACGCATATCCCTTTACGTGCTTATCAGTGCTTACCTAGGTTGAGACCTCCTGCTACATCTCCCCTTTCTCACCAAATTTCCGGCTTTGCCCTTGCTTTTCTTTAAATCGTCCCAGTCGCCTTTCTAAGTCGAGTGTCGTGTTTTCTCCATTTTCTTGCGAAATCGTCATACCATTCGCCTACCATAGAGAGCCCTGCAACAGCATTATGGGGCCTGTGTTATAGCGACGCAGACTTGGCGAAGCTCAGACGTGGCTTCATGCCTTGAGATATGGATGACAAATGGCCCATCAAGGCCATGACGGAAGAATAACTCGCGAATGAAGCATCGGCAAACGGAGAAACGATCGACGAACGGAATGATAACAAGCAGCCACACCAATACCAGATAGACGACGATATGACGACTGATGAACTTCTGGTAGATAATCCACGATAGATTTGGAGCAGACTGGCAAAGTCTCCATCCGTCGGAGCTAGACAAACAGGGAGATCTACAGGCTGATTGTCGAACCACGCAAGGGCGCCACAAGTGCGCAATTCGAAGCTATCACTTGGGAACGAAACCGGAGTAACGGTATATCGGAAGAGCGAGCCAAAACAGACGCCGCCAGACTCTAATCTCCTCCAATATGGTCTTGCTGCAGCTCCAGGCAATGAGAGCCTAGTTTTTTTTTAGGTGTTTTGTCCGTCTGTTGCTGTAGGTAGCAAACACGGCTGACCAAAGCGGCACGGACCAAGCGGCACGAACCAAGCGTCACGGGGGCGAGCTGTCAGCACATCTTGCCAGGCCGGATGAGCAGGAAACGAGGATGGCGCAGGTAGCCACAATTATCAGGCAGACAGTCCAGAGTAGTTCATTTCTCTGGGTAAACCAAATCTTCAGTCCACCATGGTTTATGCCAGCTTCCAGCTTGTAGCCTTGGTCATCGTTGAGAATGTGATCATCTTCTTCTTAGTTTTTTCCTTAGCTTTGCCGAGACTCCAAAACATGAAACAAATTGGTCGCTCCTTTATACAGCAATGTTTCGTGTTCTTATATGGCTGCCTCTTGTTTACGGCCTGGCACAATCGTGCGCCAACAAGCAACCTTAAAGGGAAACAAATTGGAGTAAAACCTTACTCCCAAGATAGATGCGCCAAAGTCGAAGCGCTTTCTGATTTCATTCTTTACTCTATCACGACTTCGCTCCTCTCGAGACCAGCAGTTCGACTATCTCAAGGCGATCGCTCCCATATCCTTGCGCAAACTTGAGCGGTGTACCTCTACCGCCAAGAGCGTTGATGTCAGCACCAACATTAAGGTACTTGGCAATTGCGTAGTGGTTCTCTTCAATGGCAAAGTGCAGTGGCGTCTCGTTGGTATCACGCCTTGCCTCCTTATTCGCACCGTGCCGCACAAGCAGCTTGACCAGTTCGAGATGGCCGAAGCGGGCAGCCAGGTGCAGGGGGGTTCGGTTCCAGCAATTGGTGGCTTCTATGTTGGCACCAGCCTCTAGCAATGCCAACGAAACGTCGACGTGGCCCTCGAGGGAAGCCCAATGGAGGGCTGTTCCGAAGCTGCGGTCGGTCCGGACATCGATCCTCTGCATCTTTGCCTCCAGGGATATGCCGGCGTTGATTAGTTCCCTTACTCGGTCTATGTCGCCCTGCCAGGCAGCACGGTGAAGTGGTGTCTCTCCGTCATCACGTTCGCGTTTGAAGCAAATGCATGACTCAAGCGACTTCAAGCTCTCGGGTTGAATCCCGTTCGGACGTCAGGAGGTACTCGAACCTTATGAAATTCGCGAAATTTTGACTTACATCTTAATGAGGAGCCCTAACAAAGCATGAGGAACTCAAAGTTTTTTTCGAAGCGAGGTAGATGCGAAGATACACTATACGATCCTGAAAGTGGCGGGTTTGCTTAATATAGACGGATGAGGCCGGTTTTCGGAAATTTGAGAACAAATGAGCTGTTCCTATGACAGACGTACACGTATGGTAATGAATACTCCACTGCGATTGCCGTTGGACAACAAACAAAAGAGAGACCCATTATGCACCTGTTTGGCTTGGAAGCTTCCCCAAACGGTAGATCACAAGGGAGCTGAACGGCGAAAAAGCGGGAACAGCGCTAAATTGTGGATTTGGGGACTTCTGCTAAGCCTAACTCCTTTGCCCAACCCTTTTCGACAGCTGAAACGGTGGAATTACAAGGCTTTATAATTCACTACAAATGATTGAGGACTCTAGGTAAGAAGTGTGAGATGTTAACCGCACAATGGAACTTTAGACAACTCTTACGCTAATACTCGCCACGTAAGCATGAAATCGCAACGGTAAAAAGTAAGTAGATATGTTGTAACCATCGCCATTGTGTGTATTGATAGTCGCTTTTCTACCCAAAGGCATATATGTTGTATACAGTAAGAGAAAAGATTGGGTGTGGCCTCAGCTCGCACCAACAACACATACCTACTAATATACGTACCTGTACACTTTATCACAAGCCAAGGTGGTGTAAGATTAGCCCAAAAGGTAAGGAGGAAGGCCTTGCGGGCTCGTCTTAGGATCCCGCAAGGGAAGACATAGCGAGCCTGCCCGGCGAAGGCGTAGGCGTAATGTGCTTGCTGCTTTAGGTGTTGCTTTTCTTTACAAGTGCATTGTGTATATGTGTAGGTGATTGCTTGATTCCTGCAAGCCTGTCCTTCTATTTAAAGAGAGGGAGAAGAGAGTGTTTTATATACATATAGGTGTGTAAGTGGTGACAGAAGGCATGAATTGTTCTACATTTAATTGATTAAGAAATGTAGGACTGATCATATAACGCGCTAGCATCCCGCGAGGGGTCTTGACAATTATCCCGTGCAGCCAACATAGGTGGTCTTAGGGGTGCACTTCTCTCATCTCTTAATAGTTACGAGGCTTTTTGGTTTTAGGCTGCAAGGACTACGTTGGGCATAATCTATAAATGAATGGTTACGGTGCTGCACTTAGTCTCTTTGTATAAGATTTTAGTAATAAAATTATAGGGCTAGGACAAATGTCCGGATAGTAAGGATTGGGTAAAATAATATAATGGATTTTGTTCGAATTAAGACAATGCTCTTACGGTTGTATACTTCTCTAGGCCGAGAATATTGCCTTACAGGACTACCACATATCAGTCCCTCCTACCAGTCCTGCTTTTCCTCCAAGCACAACCTGTAGATAACGCTTGCTAGAAAGATCGTTGCCGCAGTCGACAATATTCGGTGCCAGCACACTGCCATTCCCGTCGCCGGGTCCGCTGTCTGCCACCACCGACACCAACAATTGACACACGAATAATTTGCGGATCTGGCAGCACAGCTGAGTGCCGATGGCCGTACCGCCGTTGGCCGTGATTGCGTTGAGGCCTACCTTGATGCCTTTGAGGTCGGGCGAGAGGGACGTATCGGCCGTTGGCTTGTTGATAGAGTGCAGAACAATACCGTCTATATCGGCAGATTGCGTCATAGTCCGGGCTTTTCTCAAGGCCAGGTTTCGTTGATCCTCCCAGCAGACCTCGGCGGAACCCTTGTGGTTTGTTTTGGAGCTGCTGTCGTCTGGACAGCGTTAGCACGCGGTGGATATATAAGTTAAATGGGAGAGCCTCTAGACCTACTGCAGTAAGTCACCTGTTGGTGAATCGTCCCTTTAGTCCACTCTGGAAGCGATCCTGGTGTGGCTAGGTTTGTGGTCGGAACTAACAAGTTTGAGGAGAATTGAGGCTATCTTTTGTGTGAGCTTACTGTCGTCTTTTAGAAAATGTCTCGAGCACAGGTGTGTCCTTAACGTGAACTTCCATGCTTCAGTGGACTTCAAAGTCCGGAGTTTCTGCTTCTCAGTGCTGGGCGGGGGGGCGGGGAAAATCAAACAAACAAGGAAAGTTATGGACGCCGATGAAAGAAAATAAAACCCACACACTCTAGCTTACCTTTTTAGTGCTCTATAACTTCTGCCCTCAGAAGCTCGAGTCTTTTCTGCATAATGCCGGTAACCTGGTCGTCCACTCACGAGGTAATGTACCACGTAAAAGACAACAAGTTTAACGCGATACACGCAGCGCCGGCTGCTCCAGGTCGAGGTATAGCGTACTGACCAGCGTCCGTCAGCCTATGTTCGTTGCCACCTCGAGCGTGCCGAAGTACTTGTCGTTGCGCACGTCTATTGCTGATGCGTCTGCTCGCACAAGCAGCCGCACTAGAGTTAAGATCAAATATGAGCGGTGCGTTGTCACGCGCGCTATCGCACGTCTCGTCCACCGTCGGTGATCCACGCTTTATTCGCTTGATTTTGCATCACCAGGGGCCACTCCATGTGCGTCTGCCTCGATGCCAACAGCAGTGTCGCTTTTCCATCGCGGCAGCACTTGTCTGAACGAGCACGATTGCTGAACTACGTGCTAAAGTGGACGGACCTTGTAAAATAAGCGACAGAAGCGCAATAGTACCAGATCTTTAGTTGGATCTACGGAGGCCAATCTAAAAACAGTACTTCCGACCCCATGCACTAATCATGACATGGATGCGTCTTTGAATAATGCGACTGGCTCACAATATACCTCCTGAACTGTATACATACCAAGGCCACCAAGCCTCTCTTCAGAGTCGCTACCTACATGGTGTGATCGCCGGTATTGTCATATCGTTTTCTTGTCTCACACCGCAACTTAGCCGCTGGAACTACGCATATTTAAGTGGACATGTTGAAAGTTGCTCATATATGACAGCATTGATGGCTTTGGCATTCCGCATGTCTGTTTCTCGTAAGTTGCGGCATCCTGCCACGGTCTGATTTCTGAAGACGAATTATCGGCGATGCCGGAAAAATCCAGACAGACACTCTTGTTTCCATTTCTGCATAGCCCCAATTACACGACTGGGGGTCGTTCTCATAATCCGTAGACAGGTACCACGGAATTATCGACCGGTTTTCAGCTACTAACGGAAGAATTGTGACAGAAGTGCTCAGCCCATCAGATTGTGGACACTTGCAGTTCTATGAGACCGGAGGGTTTCTTGTACCACGAGCGCTTGCGCAAAGTATGCATTTCATAAAGTTATGATCAATAGGAATGACAGATAACCTCCCTTTCGGGGATTCTCACGCTGTACCAGGTTCCGAGATGCCGGAAAAGCCGCCGATCTGAAATGGCATCGTATGGGTATGAAGCTATCTGTGGAGCATCTGAACATCAGTCTTTGCCAGAGGAGTATCGATAAAAACAGATTCGGTTAGGAAGAGTACAAAAGGCCGATCTTGTCCCTCTTGTGTTGTATGTCTATTAGAAATTCCAATCTTCCATCAACACCTCTCCATTCCAGAAAGCAGGCTTTCATAATACATTTCTATACCACAGGAGAGCAGGCTTTCCAACATATTTATACTTTCCCGGCCTTTCTCTTCTTGCCTTTTTACTCCCTTACAGAATATATACATACAGACTATCCCGTTTGGAAAGCTGGCTTTCCATCACGTCCCTTTCCGACTTTGATTTCTTATCTACTTCTAATTGCAAAGACACTGGTTGTTCTCAAGCACGGAAATTACACTACATTTCCCCGTACAATTTTTAATCAACAAATCAATCAACAACATACAAGATGTCCGGAATTGACGCCCAGAGCACAACCCTCGAAGGACAGGAAACACATCCCGTTGTTCAATCACCGGGAAAAGCCATTCGAGTGCTAACCAACTACACGAACTCAGCATGGCAAGCAGCACATAGACTGGTGCCGGTAGAGGAGGCTGGCCTCCTCGAGAGCTTTGGCCTTCATGTGGACACTAGCCTTCTCGACATTGAAGCGAGGATTCTGGCACTGCCAGGCCTTCAGTACAAGAACTTAATTGTGCACCCTGACGGTATCGGAGCTAACTGGAGTCTGGCAGACGTGCAGTTTCAAAAGCCGGTGGAACTGAAGAGTGATTGGCAGTGCATTGTTCTGGCAGCCGAAGGGGAAAAGATTAGTACAAAAGTAGAGCGAAGAGTCCAGGGTCTGTGCAACCTCCTCAACAAATGCGGCGTGGAAAACAGCAACCCGGAAATTAGCCGCGCGCCGCTAACGGAACTCGAGGCACAACTAATAAAGGCCAAAGAGGCAGGAAGGCGACTGGTGCTTGTGGTACTGCAGACGCAGTTTCCAGAAGAGTATGCCCAGGTCAAGCAAATCAGTGATATCCGCGTGGGTGTGAGCACAATGTGCGTTTTTCGCGAAACTCTGAAGGGCAGGGAGGGAAAAAAGAAGATCTCGGCGGCTCAGCTCGATACAAAACTCCTCCACATTGCCTCCCAGATTAACATCAAACTGCAGGGGTGCAACATGACCCTGACCGAAGCTAGTTCTAGAGATGGTGACAGCGGCAACAACAGCCGGAGCAGTAGCAGACAGAGTCTCGACAGCGCATCCTCCAGCGTGTCTGATCTTTCTGCAGTCCGGTCACTGCCAGCCCTCGACCTGGTGTCGACCATGATTGTTGGAATTGACGTAACGCACCCATCAGAGATGTCGGTGGAATCAGCGCCCAGCATTGCGGCCGTTGTCGCCAGCATGGACGCCGATCTTTCCCAGTGGCCAGCAGAGCTTCGTGCACAGAAGGGGAACACGGAGATGGTGGCCGATCTTTGCGACATGATGGAAGCGCAGCTGCTCCGGTGGAGAACCAAGCACAGGGGTGGCCGACACCCGCTTCCCAAGACCGTGCTTATCTATCGCGATGGCGTGTCTGAAAGCCAATACGAAAAGGTTAAACAGCTCGAGGTGTCCCAGGTAAAAAAGGCCTTTGAGAAGGTGTACGGCGAGAGCGGGGACGATCTGCCGGAGCTCGCCGTAGTGGTCGTGGTCAAGCGCCACCACACGCGCTTCTATCCCGTCATGAGCGCAGCTGGTCGCTCCGATCGGGATCCTAGAAATGGAACCACTCTTCCTGGAACTGTTGTGAGCGACAACATCACCTCTGGGACGTACACAGAGTTCTTTTTGCAGCCGAACCGGCCGAGGAGAGTCCTAGTCCGGCCGGCGCGCTACGTCGTTCTCATCGACGACATCTTTCCCCACCGTTGCAGCGTTCGTGAGCCGGTGAAGTGCAAATCAAAGACCGGCGTAAATCTCTCGTCCCCTCGCCGCACCCACAGTCGGCCGACGACGCCGCTCTCGGCGACTGACGCCCTCCAGGCCATCACGCTAGCTCTCTGCTTCATCAACGGCCGTGGGTCGTCGGCGGTCCACATTGTGACGCCCGTACACTATGCCGATATGGCCTGCGGCCACGCCCGCCACTACTTAAGAGCAGAGTACGTCACCCAGAACAAGCGGGATGGCAAAAAGGGCAAACGGCCAGCGGCGGCAGACAGTAGGGAGGAAGCAGCAGAGCAACAAGAAAAAATCACGGTGCATGAAGATATAAAGACTACTATGTTTTATTTGTAAAGAGCTGCTATAATCGTCTTATTAACAGTGTAGAACGTGGAAAGTGAATGAAGGTTTGTGAAAACATGTGACACAATTTGAGTCACGTGAGTGAGATCACCTCGTTACATAGTATGCTTCGCCAGGCATCCCTTTTGGACGCATAATCGGTCATACGCCATGTCGCCAACACTTGAAGACCTGCTGCGCCGGATTGCGGAATTGGAGGGGCGTGCAGAGAAGGACAAGCAGCAAATGCAAACTCTCCAGCAGCGCACGGAACCATCACTCTTCCTCGACTACCTGCGCAGCACTGAGGAGAACCTTTTCGCGACATTCCGACCCCCAGTGCCATCTACGACCACGACCAAAACATCGAGCCAGACGACGTGCGTTAATGGAAAATTCTACCCGCGCCGACTGCGGCCGTGGACAGAATTTGAAGACGCCCACACCGCTCAGTTCAGGACGCTGACCGATGCTCTGGAAGACCACGCCGTCTTCCCGGCGCTGACCGACGTTTTGGGCGCCAGCCGCGACCTTAGTCCTACACCCAACGGCGAGATGGACCTGCGCCCGTTTGTCAGGGCGTCCATCGAAAAGCCAGCCGTGCGGATCATCAACGCGTACATGAGCCTTGCGGACAACCCGCCCTTTACAAGCATCAACTTCCAAAACAACTCGTACGGCCTCAACCTTGCCGACACGCCGGACGATGAGCTGCAAGAGGTCCAGGGACCTGCGGCAAAACGCCAGCGGTCGCCAGTAAAGCGCATCGGCATTCCGGACCGCTGGTGTGTGGGTGTACTGCAAGACGGGAGCTGTGCGCACGTGCTCGTGGGAGAGTACAAGGCCGCACACAAACTGCCTGCCAGGAAGCTGAAGGCTGTTCTGTCGACGGCGCCGGGCGAAGACTTTTTTCGTCCAGGCTGTGAAGAACAAACGCATCGAGCCATTGCTTACCGCAACGTCTGACATGAAGTCAGGGGCGAAATCAGACGCGACCGGCTCTCAGCGTAAGGCTGTGCCAGGGGATGCGTTCGTTGCCCGCGTCCTCTGTCAGGCTTACCACTATATGATCACCTCAGGCCTCGAGTTTGGATACGTGGCATCGGGCGATGGCCTGGTGTTTCTACGTGTCCTCAATGATGATCCCCAGACGCTATACTACTCGTGCTTTGTCTTTCCCATCCCGCTTCCCCCGAGCAACGGGCCCGAGTCCGACAGAGGACACCAGAACACTATCAACATTAACAGACGCGAGCCGCGAAAGACAGCAGCAGCCTATCTTGCTAGCTTGTGCATGCTTGCCCTCCAGTCAAGTCCGCGCCCAAAGAGCTGGATTGATGCACGCGATCACGACCTTGCGCGATGGCCTGATCCGTATGGTGGAATTGTACCCTTGTCAGAGATGTCCCTACCGCCACCACCACCACCACCAGATGCCGGCACAGACGGTGGGAGTGCTGGCGGCTCGGGCAATAGTTCCGGAAACGCCAGCAACAGCGGCCTCAACACGGCGAGTCTGCCCAAGCGGCGACGGTCTGATTCGAACCACACACAAAATACGTCTCAGCACGGATATACGGCGCGTACACACTTTGTTGTCGAACCTCCAACGCTGCCTTACTGCACCCAGGCCTGCCTCCGTGGTCTCTGCAACGGCGCGCCACTGGATGACCGCTGCCCCAACGTGGCTCTGCACCGCGCCGCCTGGCTGTCGTCGCCAAAACGCCGCTGTCGCCACCTGCTCACAGCCTCTGATCTGCGTTCCCGCGTTGTCGCCCAGCTGGCCGACAACATGGATAAGGATTGCGAGTGCCTCGATCGGTGGGGCTGCTTTGGTCGCTACGGCGTGCTTTTCAAGATCGTCGTCACCGGTTACGGCTACACGCTCGTCGCCAAGGGCGTCCAAGCTGTGCACCGTCACATCGTGCAGCACGAGGCCGCCGTGTATGCAGCGCTGGCAGAACGAACCGGCCCGCAGCTCCAAGGTCGCCTGATTCCCGTGTTCCTGGGCATCGTCGGCCTCGAGCGGCCCCTGCCGCTGCACAGCTGCGCCCGTGTTCCGTACTTGATGTTGATGTCCTACGCTGGACCGACGCTGGCGTCACACAAAACGCGGCAGGCGCTGCTGGATGCTGGCACAGACTGGGAGGCCGAACAAGATCGCACGCTGCTGGAACTCGAAGCAGCCGGCCTGTACGATGAGGACGCGCGTCCAGCCAACTTGGCCTGGAATGCCGAGGCAGGCCGGGTCATGCGACTCGACTTTGGCCAGGCCTATGTGGAGTCGCTGCCGGTGCAGACTTCATCACCAGTCCTCGCCAAGCGAGACTTGGATGCACACTGTGGCGCTGGCGACCACCACCAGCCAGCTCTCAAGCGGATGCGGACCGGCTCAGCAACTGTCGCCGACCCTATGCATGACTAGGCCGCCGAATACGGCTGTGCGTTGACGCCAGATGTTATGGCACGTCTTCCGAGCGGAGGTCCTACCTCAAGTGAATCTTGTACAAGCTGCGTATTCCTCAGCTTGGTCTTGTATCGCAACAGGAAGCGCTTTCGCATCGACATATTGGAGCCGGGCGCTGTGGTATTGGCCCTTAGTACCCCAGCCTCGCTAACGGCTGGGGTCGTAGACTGTCTCGTTAATCGTCCGAGCCTCTCCTTCTTCACCCATTCGTACGTAATGCATGGCACTATAACAGGTATCGGGTCTTAAGTGGGTACCCAGATGCCTAGCACCTGCTCCCGGTGATGTTTGCAAGAGATTCGTCGACATACTGCTGTTTTTGCGGTTCTGAACTCGATCATGGCAACGGAGGTTTGATGAAGAGGACATGGGTTGCTGTGTTTTCGGAAAGGACCGTGTCTGTGGAGCAATTCTATCGAGGTGATAGCGTGACACACTCATCGTAGGATGAAATTGCGTGTAAATGAAGGCGAACAACTAAACTGGCTTGGAAGTGACAAGCAGAACATTGCCGCACTCCATATAAATGCTCCATACGCCCACCTCGCTCGAGGATCCACGTTCAACTACGCAGCAAAGGCTTCTTACAGCACGAATACATAGCAAGACTGTCGAGCCACGATGAAATGCTTCTTATTGCCCGAGGTGGATAGAGCAGAGAACGAGTTGTTGAATGGTTTTCTACGTATGCGAATCGGCCAATTCTACGTTGAATTTCTACGAATAAACGCAAAACCGCATGTTGCTTTTAAGATTAATTTATCACAGCCTTTCACGTACGGTAGTACCTCATACTTCGGCTGCCGCTTAGAAATAGTCTATGTCGGTGACCCAGGGGACTTTGTAATCTCGCTGGTCAGTTACATCAGTCCAACCCGGACGGCTGCTGTTTCTTTTCAGTTTACCGTCACTCGGCCGTACAGTATAGGTGATATTCTAAACATCCTCCGAGGTCGTTATCGTTCCTGTCGAAGAAGCCACGGAGGCGACTTGACTATGTTCTCCTTCGAGGAAACCCATAACGGCGATATCGTTGGCTGTCGCGATTTTATGTAAGTCACTCCCTCCCTGGAAGTTGCTTCGCGTGACACTGACGGAAGCAGTACCCAATGTATGATTCGGCTGAATCATTTTCACGTGGTGGAGTGGGAGTTCCACGGGCTAGCAGTTCCCGGATTGCAGTTTCTCGAATTCGAGCATTTTGTACCTACGAGCGGATTTCATGACCTCATAGGCAACAATTTCTGTCCCGACCACAACCCCTGTCAGGATAGCCTAAGTCATCCCGGCCGTAATCCATGTGTCATATACCGGCGTCCCATGCGCAGAGGCCTCTTCCATGACCCACACTTCAAGCACTATGATGAGCACCTCGGGCACGTGCTCCCGTACCTACCTCTGTATTGATCTCACGCAGATCCTCCAATTTACATAGTACAAACATTTGCTACTGTAATTTATAAGGATGCACGGAGTAGAGCTACATGGTATTATCGTACACGGGTGGCTGGTGTGAAGCTTGTTGCGTGCGCCTTGTAGAGACTTTGGCACACGGCGATTTCAGCATGTCGGGAAGAGCTTGCAGGTACTCTGTACTGTCCCATATAATACACACACGCTTACTCCGTACTGGTTGCTTGTGCGGCAGTGGAAAGAAATACGACATAATTCCTCCCTTCTAGAAGAGCTAGACTGTAAAAATAGTTACGTTACATCTACTTTTGTTCGCCTCGAGCTCTGATCATTTGCTAAAGTCTGCCTTGCAGATAAGTTTTAGCACTGCAGTTGTTACCCGGAAGCCAGGAGCCTCCAAGCCCGATGTGACGATGTTTTTTTGTTTTTTTCGATATTTCCTAAACGACCTAACAGAAACCTCGTTACGTAAATACCTTCGTACATAAGCGGACTAGTGATCGAACAACTAGGTCTATTCAGCACAGATTTATTATGTTAGTACAACTCTCCAATTTTCTCTTAATAGTAGATCTCTTACCCCGACTTAGTCCTCGCTAACTAGTAGCTTAGGCGTTAATTCACAACGGACTTACTACAATAACCTTGACAAGAAGGCCAAGTCGGTATGTAGGACTGTAGGGATGCTAGAACAAGACTAGAGCGGGATTTGTGTTCGCTGTAGTGTGCTATCAAGATCGGCTATTGCATCTAGTCCTGCTTCGATGCGACAAACCTGCAGAACATTGTAAAGTGTGGCGTGCAGGTGGACTTGGTGTTAAGGAAAGAGACTCTTCAGTTTGGATGGATTGTACAAGCAGATGATCCGTCATAAGCTGATTATAAATTCTAAACCTTAAAAAAAACGAGGTGTTTGACTCTCCACGCGTGCTGTAGCAGCAACCTCTCCGCGCTAGACCGCAACTAGAAACTGCTTTAGCTGATACCGCAAGTACCATGGTTCAGTTCGCTATATCTCGTATTTCAGAATCATATGACGATCTTCTTTGATCCTGATACGATAACAACGAATATATCAGGTGGGCACAACTGTTGTATCCGTAGAGCTTCTCACGACCTACTAGATAAAAGGAGGCTTTGATTTTGTAAGATATGTACGGAAGTATGTAAGTAAACATACGCTTGCATAGAATTGATACTTGCCAAATATTGCTTTTTATTGTGAAAGTTTTTATCTATTACATCCTTCAAACAAATGTGTTCTTACGAAGGTTAGACTTATGGCTTTGAAAGGCATTGGCGCGGCCGTGGTCAAACATTTTTTGATTTGCAAACGTATACCTCTCACCCAACATATGCCATTCTATATACTGATTTCAAATGCAATGTGCTTCTTACAGTATAGGCCTGCTAATATGATAATTACGTTTATCTGTTTGCCAACAAAATCAATGAATTGCAACGCAAGCCATATGCACACTCTTACAGTCTAAGCAGACCACGAGGTGCGGCTTGGGCCTCTTTGCGTGGAGCTCCGGCTAGGGGTCGGCGGGCTAGCAATCTTGTTGTCGGTGCCGTAATCGACTATGAACTCCTCCCTGACGGTGATCTTTCCGTTGTGGCTAGGGCCAACGCCGCTGGCACTGAGAATGTCCTCCTGACTGCCGCTGCCATGCACGACGGCGCTCTTAAGGACATTACTGTGGGTAGCCTCGCGCAGCTTGTTGAAGCTGAAGCCGCCAGCAGTGGCGGTAGACTGGCTGAGGGGAGCAGAAAAGGGTGATAGTTCGTAGTGTGGCCGTGCCGTGGAGCTGTCGCCGAGGTAGGGTTTGAAGAGCGGACGCAGAAGCGGAACGGAGCCGGCAATGTCGACGAGCGTGCCCTCGACGACAATCCAGGCAAACATGGGGACGGTGTTGTAGGTGGCATCACCACGATGAGACAGGGCTCTCAGATAGACAATCTTCATGATAACGCCGACAAAAGCACTAGAACGCAGTCAGAAAATGGGGGGTGGGGGGGGGCGTGATGGCAGGGCCAGATCTCTTACAGGATACTCATGCTAAGGAGTACGGCGACGGAGATCTTTATGCGCAGCTTCATCTGCAAGTTCCAGATCATTTTTAGCGGCAGCACAGTCAGGATCAGGTCAGTCAGGGCATTAAAGCTAGTGTGGCCATAGCCAATGTAGGTCTGGACGTAATCTGGCCAGCAGTCGGCCACGACAGAGTGGTTGTAGAGGGCGCGGGCATCGGAGCACTGCGCATAGATGCAGATGATGGCAACACCGTTGGTGATGCACTGCAGCGCAAAGAGGACCCAGAGGCCACGAGCAAGGCTCTTCTTGAAGCCGAAGAGCTGAACCATGAAGACGATAAAGGAGAGGCGGCCCAGGGTCGAGCCCAGGATTCCAAAGGACTGGCTGGTGATGTTGAACTTGAAGAACTGGACAAGATCGGCATCGTCCACATAGGCCTGGTGGCGGCCCCAGCCGTAGTGGTATTGCACGGATATGAGGGACGCAAAGGCGGTGATGATGATCTGACTTGGTTGGCAGGCGTTTCTCGCGCGCGGCCTTGGGCTCTCGTACATACCACGGAGACAAGCATCAGGTAATCGCTGAGGCCGTACTGGCCAGTGATCCGTGCTTGCGTATAGAGCCGCAGGAGCACAATGAGCCAGGCCAGAACGACCATGGTCCAGATAATGCCGAGACCAGCGGGGCCTTCATTGTGTGTTAACGTTGTGGGCTTGCTCGTTCGTTCTCGGCCTTTTGTCTCTCTCTTTGCGCATACCATTATTCACAGAGGCCTCGTCGGTCTCTCGCGCTATCAGAACGGAGGCGAGGACCCGAAGCAAGTCCATCCCTGGTTTCGTATGCTGGTGACCAAGGCTGCTTGGTTGCTTTCAAGGATGCTTGCGTTACTGCATTGTCGTCCGAGCCATCAGACAGGTCTTGTATAAATGTATTTTCCGGGAAACCGGGATTTGTGGGCCACCGGCTGTCAAAAAGCAAGTTCTGCATTTGGTGGCGAGGTAGGACGGCCATGCGGATGATAGGTCAAGAGCAGCAGAATAGACCAGGGTGCCAGATTAGGGCGTAGGAGAACGAACATGCACGAGTGATTGTACCTGCAGGAGGGCGTCGTAATGCTGCCAGAAGGGGCGAGTGGAAAGGAACAGAGCGGCCTTGGTGGAAACTACGACGGCGACTACGATTAAGATACATCAGTCTCAGAAATCTGGTGGTGGCCCAAGCCAAAGCCACACCAAAGTTAGCAGCGTATAGAGTACAACAACATGCCACACGCGGTCCCATAAAGGAAGGACATGTGTCTTATTTCACCAGTCGACCAACACATTAGATCCATACTATGTACTTGTCCACGTCGTCTCCAAACGATGCATGCAAAAACGTGGGCGTGCCGACCACGAGACACGGCCTGTTACGGAGTTGAGCATGCACAAAAAAGAAACGCCACGGTGGGTCACTGCAACCCGCAATCCATCCTGGGCCATTGTCCTAATATTACAAGTACGAGTACACACTCCATAGTACGCGCCTGTCCTATAGCATGGCTTTAGAGGCCCAGAGCGATGCGCACTCCGGGGAAACGGCCTGTGAAGGCCCGGGGGTCCGAGATTGACAAATCCTCTCTCGTCCCTTTTTTTTGAATACGTTCCCTTCTCGCTTGGGGCCAGAAGCTCGGACAGGGCGGGAAACGGGCCCGTCTGATCGATGTAACGCTGCCGGATGCTGAGTCTGGAGCTGCCCAGAAGAGACAAGGGCTGTTACATGGAGGAGAACGACCTAGCCGGAAATCCCGCTCTGCTCGCCATACAATGTATATACGACGTCGTAGTCCGTCCATAATAGTATGCCAGGCACTTGTGGGGAATGCAGACACGGCCTGCACTGCAACCCTGCACGGCCGAACGACGGAATTCGGAGGATGCGACGCTGCGCGGCCGAGCCGAGGCCAATTGAAAGCTCGCTTGGACCGTCTTTCTGCAGATGCAGCTTCTCCTTGCAGACAAGGCTACCCAGTCCTGCAGGACATCAAACGCAACGTCAATCGGGAACAGGCCATATTCGCATGGCCGGCCAGGGTATTTAGCCCCCGCTCCCTCATTCTTTCTGCGTCTTTTTCTTCGTGCCAATAATACACATCTTGGACCCCATGCAGCAGTCGATTTGCCCAATCGTCATTGTGAGCAATCCGGTGTGGCCCACGTCTTCGGCGCCTGCCGGATTCTGTTCGTAATGTAGTGTGACTTACTTTGTACGGAATAGAGCATTACTCCATACAAAGTAAGCGTCTGGTCCGAGTTCGAACTCTTCAGCCATGTCAGGTTCAATTTCCGCGTCCTGTGAGACAGGTCAGGCTCCACAACAATAGGACTGTAGCGATTCAGAATGGGTTTTCAGTACTCGTACTCTGTACATACCCTGTACCGAGGACCATGTTATCAATGGCTTAAGAAGCGTGCTAATAATGGCAATATTGGAGCCGTGACAGTTATCGTAGTCGTCTACGCGAGCGTTCCGTTTATCTCTCACTTTTTCTACCGACGCATTCCGGGACTACTTCAGTCTCACACACCCTCTTTTCTGCCGACCTGCTGACTTGGATTGTGTGCTTTATTCTCCGTTTCCATTTTCATTCCTCGCTCTCCGCCCCTCCTCGTCACCCTCTCCCACACCCGCACCCACCCTCCTTCTCCCCCAGTCCTCCCTCACGCTCTTCCGTTGGCCCACCTCTCATACCATGCAACTCCTCTCCGGTCTTCTTGGCCTGGCCGCCGTCGCCTCGACCACGCTGGCCGCCGTGAGCAAGAGCAGCCCGCCGGCGGCAAACGTGTCCGTGCTGACGACATTTTCCTTTCCCAGCTGGGCCGAGAACCTGGCCGTGCGCGCCAGCGGCGAGATCCTTGTCTCGCGTCTGGAGGCGCCCGCCGTCTACCAGATCGACCCGGCCACGGGCGCTGCCACGCTGGTTTATGCCTGGGATGCAAGCGCGTACAAGGGCTGTCTGGGCATTGCCGAGATGACAACCGACGTATTTTACGTCATTACGTCTGCCTTTATCGACGACGACTTTGTTAAGCAGAGCGGGATCAACTCCATCTTCGAGGTGGACATGCGCGCCTTTGTCATCGGCAGCGACGGTGTCGTCACGACCAACGCGACCGTCCGCAAGCTCGTCGACGTCCCCGAGGCCGACTTCCTCAACGGCATGGCCGTGCTGGATGACAGCTACATCCTCGTATCGGACGTCTACGCTGGCGAGATCTACAAGATCGACACGGCCACGGCCAACTATAGCGTCGTGATCAGCGACCCCCTGATGAAGTTTGACTACGCTTCCCACCCGCCGACCAACCTGGGCTCCAACGGGATCAAGATCCATGACGGCTGTCTCTACTGGACCAATACGGCCGCTGGCTTCCTCGCACGCATCGCCATCGACGCCGGCGCCAACCCGATCGGCAGCTCTGCCATTGCCGTCACCGGTGTGCCCAAGGCTGACGACTTCTTCATCCGCAGCGACGGCGTCGCTTTCATCTGCCAGAACCAGATGGACACCCTCAGCGTCGCCTACCTCGACAACTCCGCCTCCACTCCCGCATACGCTATTGCTGGCAGCAACACCTCCACCATCCTTGCGGGCGTCACCGCTGCCAAGTTTGGCCGCCGGTCTGTCGACGAGTCCACCCTCTACCTGTCGACCAGCGGTGGTAAGTTTCCTCTTCTGAATTATTGTGTCGTCCACTTTGTGTTAACGAACAGCCCTTGCTTTGGCCATCAATGGAAGCGTTGTCGTCGCTGGTACCATCTCATCCATCGACACCACATTGTACTAAACGGCCTTGTAAGCCAGTTCAGGGTCTACAAATCGGATGCGTTGAAAATTGACTGACTAGCTAGGCAACTCTGTCTGGGCTAGACTAATATAAAGGCTTTGTATATAAAATGATGTATTTGGCCATTAATACCTTCCCGGACGAAAATAGTCGATAATCTGGCGAATTCTTAGCCTTATGGTTAGATGTTAGACAGACATTCGGACGTAGATTTTTTCTTTCGACAAGATAGGAGGCATCTTGACACGTAATAAGAGACAAAGCGGTAGCTGTCGTATCAAGCATAAAGTGTAGTTGTTTTATCTCGGTTGCATTGGATGAATCGAAAGGACGATTGCAAAAGTGATGGAGTAGCAAAAAGGTGTGGTGGAATAAAGCCCCGGTACTGTGATTCTGAGATAAAGAAGATGTAAGGGCAGACACGATCTCATCATACTAGACCTCGCAAGTATAGGCTAAACGTCAAACAGATAAAAATGGAACAAACGTTATTCTGTTTTTTGGACTGCAGAGGATACCATGACGCATTGGGTACTCGTCTGTGCGCCTTGCCTGTAGACTCTCGCACCCTAAGTTCTACAATTATTTTTAGTCCATGACTATTACCATTCAGTAGTTTTAGCAGAAGACAAAGCTCACAATATCAGACACCTGGCACGGGAACTCAATAATGTGTTCCTTCACCCTCTTTGGCACCTTCCATGATAACAAGTAGTTAAATATGCGCCCTGATATAGCAGCAACAAAGTGTGTACGAATAGAGGTTCGTCAAAGTTTCGTAATGTGTTAAATTCGAACGGAAGAACATTGAGGAGTTCAAAAGCATTACTAATTGGTGTGCTGCAAATAATCGCACTGAAGATACGTTCTCTCTCTGAAGCGCATCTATCGGATCGCAGTATTGTATCGACAGAAACATTACAGGGTCTCAAATAGAATTTGATCTCGTATACCGTAAGAGTATTAATGTATAAGGTGAGATGGTTTTGCTTTAAACAACTGCCGTAAGTCGGTATGGTGGCCTCTAAATCGGTCGCCAGCGCATAGGCGTCGCTAGTTAGCAGCAGGTTTCTAGGTTTTGCTCTATCTAATAGTCAAGCTAAGCGTTAGTACTCCGTAGTAGTGTAGGATATAGTGTTGTCCTTTATTAGGGCGTTAAGTTGAGCCTTTGTACTAATACTTCGTATTTTACATGCGTCAAGCATTTGCTGCCAAATTATACACCGCGTAAATTTGAAGGGCAATATAGTGGGAGTACTCCACCAGGAGTTTTTAGCATCCAATTTATTTTAACCTTAAATCAACCACAAATGTATCGGCCATGTTGCGTGCATCACACGATCTACGCAACCCCCAGTTCGTCTGTCCAGTCTGTCTCGTTTTGAATGACCCTCCTGCACAAAGGCGGCTGCCTTGCGATACTTTGTGTTAGTTTCTCTTATAACTGAGAATCGGCTTTTTAACGATGGCATGACCTTTCCCGCCCCCTGGATTTGCCAGACAACGATTTCACCATGGACATGGAGTTTCATACTTTGTTAGAATGAGTCTATAGTAAGGATCGAAGCCCGATCACAGCTTAGCGCTGAACCATCTATGGCATTCTTTGTCAGACATTTCCAAGAGCGTGAAACCGATGATTAAATGGTGAGTGAAGTATATGGCCTAGGCTATCTTGCCTCAAGGCTTACATCTTCTTTCTGAGCCACGTTTTAGATCAAACACATAAGCGCTAAACACAACTCCTGACTGCAGAAACATTTTAATTGCGTTGAAGTGGAGATAGTTCCCCTCTACTCTTATCTCAGTCCCAGTAGTACGAGTGGATGTTCAGGCCAAGATAGTCATCGGCGTAGGACTTTGCGGCGACGTCGCCAGCAGCGCCGGCGCAGACGATGAGCGGCAAGAAGTGCTCGGCGCCACCGTTGGGGTGGGCGATGTAGGAGTCGGGCCAAGTGCGCCACTGGCGAAAGCGGGCGTCACGCTCGCCGGCGTCGGGGACGGCGGCCGCAGCTGACACGGCGTCGTTCCACACAGATAGGCGAGCGTGGAGGGTAGGATCGTGGGTGAGGCCGCTGAACATGAGGCGGAGGTTGTGGAAGCTGGCAAAGCCGGACCCGACAATGGCAATGTTCTCGTCGCGGAGGGCAGCCAAGGCGCGACCCATGGCAAAGTGCTGGGCCGGGTCCTCGCTGCGCAGCACACTCAGCTGGACGACGGGGATGTCGGCCTGTGGGCGCACCAGCAGCAGCGGCACGAACACGCCATGGTCCCAGCCACGGGTCAGGTCAAGCTGCGGGTCGAAGCCAGCGCCACGCAGCAGCTCAGCCACGCGACCGGCCACCTCGGGCGACCCAGGCGCATCGTAGCGCAGACTGTACGCCTCTTCGGGGAAGCCGCCGTAGTCGTACAGCAGCTTGTGCATCGGTCCCGCCGAAATGGTCGGCTTCGTCGTTGACCAGTGCGCCGTTACCAGCACGATCGCTCGTGGCCGTCGAGCGGCGTCTTCCAGCCCCAGAATCGCCGGCACCCGCGTCCGCATACTCCCCGCCAGCGCCTGAGAGTCTGGGTCCCCCAGCACCGGCATCGGCCCGCCACCATGCGAGAGCGCCACCACGGCTGCCCGTGCCATGCTGAACTTGTCCGTTTCGTTGATTCTGTTCACGTTTGCCGTCCAGCTGCTCGTCGACAGAAACGCGCTCACGGTCGTCGTCGTCGGCACAAACCGCCGTGCCTTGTATGCTAGCAATGCTGCGCCCGCTGCCGTCACGAGAATGGCCGGTACTCGGAGAGATAGACGCATTGGCAGAAGAGAGAGAGAAGACGGACTGAGACGCTTTTAATACGGCTGTCCTCTTCTCTCTACACAGCCTCTTTGGTAAGCTACGATCTAGCGCTTTTGTACCGCCTGCCGTTTTGGTTTGTAAATCCGTACTTCCGCCATTCGGCCGGTCGTGTCCTTTTTGCGCCCTGATTGGCCCCACCACATTTGCTGACCCGCTGTTAGGTAATGCTGATGAAAAGTGTTCGGCCGACCTACGGACGGCGAACATCACGTGCGTAGATCGGGCACATTGGAGTCGACACGTAAAATTTGTGCACGTTTGGGGAGCCGGAAAATATATAGTGAGTTGCCTGTGTGTACGGAGTACAGTGTACACAGATCAGGCTTGGCGGTCGCTACGGAGTATACACACGCTGCGTGCGCCGAATATAGACGCGAATAAATACGAAGTTTTAATAAGCAGATTGTGCTTTTTTAGGCGGCGTTTGTTCGGCGCACGCAGCGTACATAGTAGCGGCCGCCATTAGGCTTGGCTTTTGGACAAGCATAAAAAGTCTGATCCACGGCCGCAACTAAGTGGGTTTCGTCAGCAAGGAGAAAAACTACTCCGTACCCAGCCGAGTCCATGCACGATGCTGTGGCGCAGGCCACCTTGCACCCCCGCCCCTGAAGTAAGAATAACTTCATCCAATCCTTCGGCACCACCCTACAGCACTAGCAGGTTGTGTGGGGTAGAAAAATTACAAACACCTACTGCCATAGGCTGGGGCGATATGGAATGGAAACAAGGTAACCGCCTTGGCAGCTCGTGCCTATCTAAATCTCACGTAAGCCCTTAACGGCTCCATGGAGCATGCTGTGAGTCGTATTATAGCGGTATGTGGCATGTAGAAAATCACGTTCTCTAGCTGCCGCCCGTGTTGCAATTCTAGCATGCAAAAGGTCCAGCTGCTTGTATCGCACCAGAAGTTACTGAGCTATCTTGATTAAGCTGGCGGTACGACGTAGTTTGTATGCTCATATCTATTTTGGGCAGGATCGCCCTGACACGCAGATAGCAAGTCTTTTCCCACAATCAGATCACGCTTCTCGGAAAGTTGAGACGGAAAGGTGGAACCTGAGTAAAAGTATCCTAATATACCCCCCACTCGTTGATACATAGGCTATGCGGCGTACGAGTACAGGGTCTGCAAGGGTGCCCGTCGCATCAGAATTGTATCTTACGACATATACTCCGTAGCCTGAACTAGTGTCCCATGCAGGCATAAGAATTACTTCACCAGATATTTGGCTTTCCCTTCGGCCGTCTGCCCTTTGCTAGTTTGCTCACGAGTCTTCTCCATATTCTTTCAGTTGCACGTCTAGTTAACCTGGAAAGCAGCTGTCCTGACAGCCGCCTCTGTCCTCGGCAGCCGTCATGACGACCGCGTCTCGCACAAATCTCGGGCCTCTCACGACGACCTTTCGCCCGCCGTCATCCTGCTCGCTCGTCGGTCGCGACTGTGCCACTTGCGACTATGGTTACCAGGCCCAGACGTGCAGCGATAATTCGGCCAACACGATCGGCATGCAGGACAATGCCAATTGCTGGCCGCCCCGGAGCAACCTCGACGTGGCCACGCCCGCCGCTCTGGTTGGCTGGGGCTTCTACTCGCCCGGCCTGATCTGTCCTACTGGCTACCAGACTGCCTGCAGAGCCACCGGCAGCGTCGACGGCGGCTTCGGCTTCATGTTCTCGCCTGCGCCGTCCGAGACTGCCATCGGCTGCTGTCCTACGTACGCTGATTCTCGAAATTCATCATTGTAGCTACGTACACACAGGCCGATTGACTGACCGATTTCCCTCTGTAGTGGCTACACGTGCCGTTTCGATCGTTCCTATGAGGTCGCCCAAACCTGCGTTAGCATTGCCACGGCAAGCTCCTTTCCCACACTTCAATGCTCCTCCGGCTTCATTGTCACCACTGGATCTGCCACCGTCCCCATAAGTGTCACGATCGTCGACAGCGGGTCGGCCTTAACGACCTCAATCACCGCCCTAACCCTCGAAGCTCCCCTGTTTCAGCTGATGGTGCAAGCCACCGACCGCATCACCACAAACACAGACTTCTCGTCTTCAGCAACCTCCATATTTCCGACTTCCTCGTCTAGCTTGTCTGCCACCTCTTCTCTCACCCATGCTCCTACGACAGGACTAAGCAAGGGCGCCGTAGCCGGCATTGCTATCGGGTCTGTCGTGGGCGGACTCGCACTGCTCGGCGGACTTGCCTATCTCTTCTACCGGAGATACAATAAACATAAGAAGCTAGGTCCTGGAGCTGTGCAATATACACAAGCGCCCATGGACCCACATACGGACAAGCCAGAGCTGATGGCCGACATGTCAGGGACAAAGTATCCTACACCGGCACCAATGTATGAGGCACCGGTGACACCAGCACCAACGGCAGAGCTGCCATCACCGCCAGACCAGCTATATACACTGCGGTCAGAGTTGCCATGATAGGCAGGGACGTTTGTATGATGTTTGTGAATTGTGAGACCATTTGTAGTTTTTTTCGAGTATTAGTAAATTAGATCGTGCAGATTTTGAAGACACCTACTACAATATCTATTTGGTGTTGTAACTGATCTAACAGACTGTCTTGATGTGTAGGCTACAGAGAGCCGCGAATCACGGCTCGGGAGATGACCTGACTTCATTTACCCAGTTCCTCAGATCAGTCAGTAAAGCTAGAAGGTCAGAGGCATAACGGGCAAGCTGGGCTCTTGCAGCAGGCGTGTCCTTTTAATGTCGTTTGCATGTTGATCCACATCCAATGCCGCCATGTTCATCAGCTGGTTAATACTACTATGTAGCATAAAGACCCTCTACCGTAGCGGGACCGATTGTAGTGTGCTTTGAGTTATCAAGCAAAATGACAAAGACCACTAAGGATAATGAAACTTTCCGAAGTCTGTGGAGTACGGAGTAAGAGGATTGATTTATCAAAGTAGAGAGCGGGTATTTCGCAGGGCTCACTATGAATCTCATGACAAAATATGCCTACCCTTCCCGGATTAGACAAGTGTAATAGACGAAGGCATGAACATACTCTGTATATCGTAGTACTAGGTCGTGCCTCTGTTCGGGCACAGATAATCTGAGACTGTCAAATGACAAGGAGATGAAGTGATCCGATATACAGACAGTTGCCCCGCTAGCAGTGGAATTGTCTGATGATATCAAGGAACTGGGTATAAAGCTTCACTATACACTGCGCCAGGCTTTCATACCGCGCACGATGTGTATGTGAAAGACTTGACTAGCTCGATGGCAGCACTTAGTATAACGACGATGGCGGTGTTTTCGTATGGCCTCGACATAAGAGAAGACTTATCAGGAAGCCCGGACTCTGGTATTCGTCTTCCCGGAGCACCTTCCGCAGCATCGAGTGTGCATCTCTACGATGACGCACACTCGATGGGACCCGGAATTCACTAACTGTACCGACCTGTATATCGTAGACGACACGGGACCAACAACACGTATTGATGACAAAGCTTTTCATGTTGGATTTGATAAACAGCATAGTCTGCCCTCCGGTCGCCTCCATGTCATAAGCTTATCTGACACCTCCCTTTTTCCCTCTTGTCTTGTCTGCAGATCTTATCCCGGACAGTCTGCATCCTGGCCGTTTGAGCTTTAGCCTACGCATGCCTGCCCATCCTGGCCTGTCTAATATCGATGCCGTCGGTACTCCTCCTAGGCGGCGTCCGTATAAGCAGTAAGCCTAGGCCACCGCCGCCGTAGTGCCGGTATTTGGTGCACTGAATTCGTCTTCCTGGCTAGCGGCCCCTAAACAAGGCAGTGACACGGGATGCCTTTGCGGACTTTTGTCTTTGCCTCCTACATATTTTGTGCCGCCTTTGCCGCCGGGGGGGGGGATTCCGCTTATATCACATACATCTTTATTCCCGTGATTCTCAACGGTGTGCGGTGTACAGCTACACCCGGCTATGAAGACCCAATTTTCAAATAATTCGTATACGACGTGAGACTTTTGATAGTGTTAATAGGAACTAGTTTTCATGTCTGAGAAAGGGGGCTGTTAACTGCGGGCCGTCTCTCAGCATGGCGTTTCGTCTCTAATTAGGAAGTGCAATCACTTTCGGTAGCTGAAGGTCTCGGTCAATTGCAACGATAAAAAGTCATACAGATGGTCGGTCTAGACATTGTACTATAAAAAGAACTGTGAGGACGCCCATATCTTAGCAACAAGAGTCCACCAATTCTACATATTCGGCTATATCACGCCGCCAAAAACATTGCGTAGCAGGTACACAGTAGTACTACATCATCGTATATTAGCTTCATTTTAAACGCCTACCCGTTCTGAGCGTATATTTGTATTTTGTGACAGGGGTCGGGTCATCAGGGCTGAGAGAGGGGAGGGGTGTGTGAGTAAAACGTAGCGTGTTACCCGTGTGATTGTCAGAGCAGCCGTTTCCGATCTTATAAGTAAGGTAATTCAGGCTCTTCAATCGATGTGTACGGTGTTTTCTTATACACCTGAATTGTCTCGAGGAAACAGACCTGGTCACAGTCTCTATTCATGAAGCAGCAGTAAATCGAACTCCGAAAACCATAGCATTGCAACCATACAATGGCGTTCACCCCTTATTCAACAGTGATCATAATAGGTGGCGGCTTCGGTGGACTGGCGATGGGTTGCCAGCTGAAGCGCAAATACAACTTGGACGACTACACTATCTACGACCGCCACGAAGGATTGGGAGGCAATAGCTTGGAAGTTGTATACTTACCATCGAAGTCCATATCGAATAACACCATCCGCATACGTTCCGCCTCCTGCCAGTCAGATGGGAAGTCTGTAAAGGTGTTGACTGTTCAGCCGTTGGATCCCGGATTTTACACCCGTATAACAAACTACTCAGATGCACGAATTGGCTTCGCAAAAGAGCTAGAAGCAACTGGAGAAGAGGCAGACGAATCAATTAGCGCTTTGTCGACATCGGACGCCTCTATTCTGTCTGAAATGCTGTCATGCAAGGCCATAAAAATGCCAGTCACGGAGAGATCAGACGAGAGATCTGGTAACTCTATTCAGAATTACGTGAACAAAAAGCGTGGTATTTGTATCATGGATGCATTCGTTCTCAACTCGGAGACGCAAGCCATGCAAAACACCTATTTCTCTTTAGTCGCAAGGGATTGGGTTGCGAATCGTTTCTTCTTCGGATACTTGGGTCTTTTGAACATGTGCCAAGTCCTGGCAGTCATTGGTGGGGGAGTGTTTTCTTTGATGGTGGCCGGGTCTTCTCATCGACAATATGTGCGGGTGTTTCAGAGGCAGTATTGTTTGGGGTTGTGTACTTTTTCATGGGGAGAATATCGAGGAGAGTCATATCATTATAAACCGTACCGGCGAAACTGGTGCAGCGGCCATTACCTTGGAAGTCTTGCGGATAGCCTTGAAGAAGAAAATATAGACAAGAATCAAGCAGTGGAGCTTCATGGCATATTGTCCTTGTCTTAAAGTGTCAACAGGTTTGCCAGGTAAAAGCAACTGCTAAAAGTACCTTACATTCTGGCTCAAGACACTGAGAATCGGCCCACCAATTTTCGAAATCAAAGCATAAAGACTCAGGCAGGCAAACACAACAGACTCACAGATACACGGCGCTCAGCACATCCGTCACCATGACGTTGCCTTATCGATTACCGGCCCGATCCGTAGAGCTTTGCGTGTCTAGAGTAGCCTTATAATGTGTTGGCTAACCGCTCAGCTCACAGCTTTAGAAGTACCTCGCATTTTTCCCCAAAAAGGACACTTTTAAGATAAAACAAATGCGTAATTGTATGACTTACTCCGCAGTGGCAGCTAGAGTTACGACTGAAAATTACGATATTTCTCAAAGAGACAGAACAGAAAAAGCACACAGTCAGTAATACAGACCCGATACATCTAGCTTCAGTCGTTTCTAAGCATCGTTTTTCATTTGTTTTCATTTGCTAGCGGGAGTATGAAAAGCGCAGCCCCAAACCTTTCCACAACTATCGTGACTGAAAATCCTCGGACTTTGATCCGGTCTTGTCAATGTGAAAGCCTAACTGCCTTTCTTCCACTCTGCCCCTATACCCAAAAATTGCAAAATTGTCACTGTGTATGCCGTTACCATGCACCAGTAGACCTATTTGTTCCAACCTTCACTATCTGACAATCAAGAGCGAGTGCATGAGTGCTTTTGTGGGCGATGACGTTACCCCCTGGTACAACCCTTAGCCCGCAAACAGTCCCGTCCTGGTCGTAAGCGTACAGTGCAGCCCTGTTGCCTGGAAGTTGCTCTGCCACAATACCATAGTTCGTATTGTCGTCGTACAAACAAAGCTTGGCCGGTTCCCAAGACAAGCTTATGTTTTTGACGATTTCGCCTCCCTCAGGAGTGACTTGAAGGCCTCGAAGATAGCCCTTGTCTCCGATTGGCCAGCCTTGATTCGACCTGTTGTCGCCGTCGAATCGTTGGTAGGCAAAGACCATTCCTTGTCCTGCGGGCACGACCTTGACCAGAGTTCTCCCATTCGGGGGCGGCTTCCCGCTAGGATAGTTCCCTTGGTAGATGTCGCCGAGGCCAAGCTCGCTTCCATCGGCAAGAGATATTTTATACCAGTAGCCCTTGTTGGACACAATTTGGTTGCCATCAATATTTTTGAGGTCCTATCGTACTCCATTTAGCCAATTTCTCGTTGAGCAAATCCAGTTTTCAACATACCACCATGGTGACAACGTAAGCGTATTTGACTGGGATGGTACAGATTGATGTATGTTGTGTCGGGATTGGAGAAGTTGGCTGCTTGATGTTTGGGGTTTTCGATTTTACATGGAAGTTGAAGGAATTAAATACTTACTTCAAGTGAATATCACACACCGCCACTTCTTTCGTTTTTGGCTTGGCTACATGGAAGCATCACAGGACTGTCTCGATTAGGTTTACAGCAACTCACTGTTGCGCTGAAATCGCATCGCATTGCATTGCATCGCAGTGCATCACAGCCCCATTCCTACCAGTGGCCAATTATTGTCAAGCCTAGATCAATATGTGAGACTGTTTGTAGGAGTTGCCACGTAGCTTGAAGCCCGTTGCCTAAACATTGATCATGCGCACATTTACCTGCTCCGAATGATGCCTTTCAGCCAGCAGTTGGCTTTCACACTAACCGCATTCGGACGGCTTTGTGAAGTCTAGATTCGTACTCCGTACCTGTGAGCTGCATATCATCACGGAGTACGGAGTACGGAGCTTCATACAGAGCACAACGCCGGCCAATTAGAAAAGCCTGGGCTGCATGTTTAACACGGGAACTCGCCACAATATAGATCTTCTAGCAAACAAGGGCCATTCTGCCCTGATTGGCGTGAGGGTGCGACGTAGAAGGTGCACCATGTATCCTAGCTTTTTCTTACCTAGTACGGAGTACTACATGCAAAATGCCGTCGATGTAAACTCGTCATTTTGGATTTCAATGCGAAGCAAGCAAGAGTCCTCTACAATCAATCCTAGATCTCCGATCAGTGGCTGTAAAAGACATTGGCTAAACTAAAACACTCCTTCTTTTCGTTTTTCCCTAAGGCTTTGTTATAGTCGGCTAATGTAATATCTAACAAACCCTCCCGCCATTGCTTGCGGGGAATCTAGCTGATTTCCTGCGTAAGATCGAGACTAGCCTAAAGCTCTGCCAGCTTTAGTAAGAGCAGATTTAGGCCATTTTCTTGGCCTTTCTTTAGCAGGTAATCGCGTTCTAAATCGGCGATAGTCTTAACCTACTTGGCTTTTAAGCCTGCCTTAATCTTTGGAAGCAGTTGAACAACCATTCCTCTCTGGCCGGCCCTTGAAGCCCGACACGGAAACAAACCTTTCGTGTCTGTTCTTTAATCACTTCACTCTGTCCCTCACACATCCTAACAACGTAATTGTCAATATCCTCCAGATATTCGTCAGGGTCCTCCCCTCTGCCTCCTGCAAATGTGCCCCGGAAGTCCGACATCTTCGTCTTCACTCGGTCTTCTGATTCACTCGTCACAGTATCCTCTGTTAGATTACTTCTCGATCTCTCTTTCTTACTTATCTCTTAAAAGCTTTCCTCCAGTCTAGCTAGCACGTCTGCCCAGTATTGCAGCTGCCCCAGACGCGTCCTCTCTTCCTCAATGTATTCCTGCAGTGCGTGTTCTCTTATATGCCGGTCAATCGCTGTCATTCGAAGGGGTTTTCATCGATCTTTTCGGGTCTCAAATGTAGGTTTTTTGGTCGAAAATAAAGTAACGGAAAGAAAGGGGTGCTTTAGCAGGAGAAATAGCCCTCGATCCCTGCCTGGATCGCCAGTGAACAACCAACTGATCAACCACCACGGAAAACTCTAGGAAAAACGGCCTCGACGGCTTTCGTAAAAGGGGGATTGATTCATCTAAGTTTTCTACTGGAGAGAGGCACCAGAGGAGGGGTAGTTGATATCCCTCCTTTGCCCTCCCTCGTACCTTCCTTTTTGGCACGCCCAACACAGTCGTCCGTGTATAAACGCCATGGCTGGTTTGAACAGCTAGAATACAGCAAGGAGAATTCCAGCATGTGAAAGAAAGTGACAGTGAAACGGTAGGTGAAAGGGACTGCTTCCTGCTTTTCTTTCTTTAGCTGGTTGTTATTTTGTGGAGGACTTGAATTGTTGTGTGGGATGAACGAATGGCGGTGCTTCGGATCAACTTATCATCAGATGGCAGTGCTTTCATTAACAGAAAGATCGAAGATTGTCACGACAGGCTATATAACAGCGAAAGGGTGGTATTATAGATCTTGACACAACTAGCTGTTAAGGCAGGGGAAGGGTGCACTGTATAGGGCGTCGGTCTTGTGGCTAGTGATCTGCGTGATGTATTTAGCTAGAAAGGAGTACATGGTGCGCCTTCCATGGAGCAGAGTTCACTGGGGCTATTCTCCACCTTTATTTTTCTGATTAATGGGAGTGCGCCCCGCTGACATTAGTCAGAATGGTCACAGTGCGCTCCATTCTAGAGCTTGACAGATCTAAAGCTGTGGTAGAAGTTTTGCGTGTCCGCAACCCTTACAATACTACGAAGACCATTAAGTGGACTAGACCTGATAATACTTAAGCTTGTGTCGGGCCTCGAATTTAAAAAGGTACAAGGGGGGGGGGGGGGCGGAGGAGGGGTACGTTGACCCCTCCTCTTATCTAGTTAAGAGACTCAGTCGAATACACACGTTTTCAACTTTGGCGTAAGTTAGAATGCTGGTGCCTATTTTATCTTGCCTTCTTCTCCTTTCGTCCTATGTCGCCGTCGTCACGACAATTGAAGAACGTAAAAAAATGTTCGTTTATTGGCATACATACGATGCCGCAGAGGTTTGCTGGATAACTGGAACAACTTGGGCTTAATAGAGAAAAACTAACAGTTTCTACGAAAGCATTTACCACGGCGTAAGTTTACGCCCAGGAACTATTAAAGATGTTCCTGCGATATTACGGCTCATGGACATCGCAACGACTTGGCTCGTGAAGAAAGGGCAAGCTGGACAATGGGGTACTAAAAGACAGTCGGACAATCCTGCCAGGATCAAGCAGGCAACAGAGAAAGAAGAATCAGGCGGGACGTGGATTGCGGTAGATACCAACTTGTTGACTGAAAGCCCATACAACTCCACAGACAACTCTGAAGAAGGCGCGGACCTTTCCATAATTGATGGCGTGGTTGGGGCCTTGACGGTTGGCCAAGCGAATTCATACGTCCATGCAGCGACCGAACCAGAGCTGTAAATTCAGTTCCTCGTGACAGATCGGGCTTCTAGCGGCAGAGGAATCGGCACTCTTCTATTGGACAAAGCGAGAGCACTGGCTCGCGAGGCTGGCGTAGCCCTACTTCGAGTCGACTGTTATGCGGGTGGAAGCGGGGGTTTAGTTCGATACTACGAGTCTCAAGGATTCAAGCGGATGGAGGCTTTCGAGGCCAACGGGTGGCCAGGGCAAATCCTCATACAGAGGCTCGACAAAGATGTTTTACCTTCTGCCCCTTGCAGTTGACTACAATAGTGCAGATAGGGCCAGTCAATTATAAGGACAAGATGCGCATATGCTGACATGGATACCAGAGTAGTACCGTACATAGTAGTAGAGGACGACAGCGATACAGGATTACTAAGCAAGATATAAGAGACATAGCAGGACATGCTCCAAGCTACGACTTTGTCTGGGTAGCCGTACGCTTCTTGATGATGGTTGAGGCCAAGTTGGTGAGCGAGCCGCTGGTCAACAGCTCGAGGACCTGCAGGTTGGTGGCCAGCTCCTTTGTGATCCAGTTGCGCAGCTCGATGGCGTTGAGGCTGTCGAGACCGTACTTTGTGATGGGGGTGTCGGGGTCGAAGTCCTCGGCGGGCACCATGAGGATACCGGCAAGCTTAGAGACCAGGCCGGCCGTGACGACGGCCACGGCCTCTTCTGGGCTGGGAGCACGACCGAGGGCGACGGCGAGGGAAACATGCGTGGCTGCTGAGTCAGCACCAGAGGCAGCCTGGGTAGCGAGCACGGCATCGCGCAGGTGGGTGAACCTGGCATCGGCGGCAAAGTAGGGCATCTGGTCGGCGGAGGAGCCAAGCTTGAGGCCGGTCATGCAGTGGCTGGCACAGGTGCGGTGCAGGTCGCCGGTGAGGGCGGCGCGGAAGAGGGCGAGGATCTCGGCCTCGTGGATGGTTTCGCCGCCAAGATTGCGCAGAACCTCGTGCTGACGGGCGGCATCGGCACCGTCGACGAGGTAGCCGACATCGGCCACGGCAGTCAGGTCGAGGGCAGTGGCCGGCAGACCCTGCTGGAAGCGGTGACGTGCAAAGGCGTCGAGGAAGGTGTTGGCAGCAGCATAAGCAGCCTGTCCTCGGTTGCCGACGATGCCGGCAGCCGACGAGAGCAGGACGAAAAAGTCGAGCGGTGTGTCTGACAGAATGTGGTGCAGGTTCCAGGCGCCGGCCACCTTGGAGCGGATGACGGCATCGTAGTCGTTCCAGGTCATTTTTTCAAAGAGAACATCCTATCTGGTCAGTGTTTGTTCTTTTCCCTTTTCTGCGTGTCTCTTTTACTCTTTGAGTGTGAACTTACCCGTAAGACCATGCTCGCGTGCACGACGCCGGCAATAGGCGGCAGCTCCTTGGCGCAAGACTGGACGACACTGGTGAGACCGGAGCGGTCAGCCACGTCGCAGGCGCGCACGACAATGTTGGCGCCTTGGGCGGCCATGTCGCGGACGAGATCGGCGACGGGCCCATCGACGAGGCCGCGACGCGAAAGGAGGACAATGTGGCGGGCACCCTGGGCGACCATCCAGCGAGAGAGAGAGCGGCCGAGGCCACCGGTGCCGCCGACGAGGAGGTAGGTGGCATCGGGACGGAGCAAGCGACGGCCATGGATGCGGTCATGGTGACGAGACGGGTGAACGGCGCGGACCTGTTCACCTGTCCGGGGCACGACGACGAGCTTGCCGGTAGTCTTGCCGCTCTGCAGCAGACGGAAGGCCGTCTCGATCTGGGCGACGCCATAGACGGAGATGGGTCCGATGGCCGAAACGGAGTTGGCGGCAAAGAGCTGCATGACGGCCGAGAAGGTCTGGGCCATCTGGCGGGGCCGCTCGGTCGCGAGGACGGTCAGGTCGACCGAGTGGAAGGAGGCGTTCCACTGGAAGCGGCGCATCTCGAGCCGGCTGTTGGCGGAGATGTCGCGCTTGCCGATCTCGATGAAGCGGCCAAAGTGCGCCAGACAGTCCCAGGATTCGCGCAGAAAGTCGCCAGCGAGCGAGTTGAGCACGACGTCGACGCCATGGCCATCGGTGGCCTCGCGCACAGCCGTGCCAAAGGCCGTGTCGCGGCTGCTGAAGATGTGGTCGGCCGGGATGGCATAGCGGTCCTGCAAGAAACGCTTCTTCTCCGGGCTGCCGACTGTGGCAAAGACCTCGGCTCCGAGCAGCCGGGCCAGCTGGATGGCCGCCTGACCAACACCGCCAGCTGCTGCGTGGATCAGCACGCGCTCGCCAGCTGTCAGCCGGGCCAGCTCGATCAGCCCATAGTGCGCCGTGCAGTAGACAACCGGGATCGAAGCTGCCACGTCAAAGGCCATTTCATCGGGAATCCGGGCTGCACTTGTCGCCAGACACCGCGCCACACTACCGTAGGCCCCCTCGGTCATCGCACACACCCGGTCACCTGGCACCAGGTGGCGCACAGCCGTGCCTGTCCGCACTACCACGCCGGCACACTCGATGCCCAAGTATCGACTCGGCAGCTGGCCCATGGCAATCACCACGTCCTTGAAGTTCATGCCCGTCGCCTCGACCCGCAGCTCAATCTCGTCCTTGCCCAGCTCGGTCGGCTCGTCCTCGGCAAAGTACAGCGTGTCCAGCGCTCCCTTGGTGCCAATGGCCAGCTTCAGCTGTCGTCCTGGCTGTGCAAAATCCTGCGTGTATGGTGCTGACCCGTACAGCTCTCGGTGCACCAGCAGGTTCGTCTCGACGTCGTCCACGATGCGCGGCACTGCCAGCCCGCCATCCTGCTCTGCGTACTCCATGTCGGCGTCCTCGCCCTCCGTCGTCGGCCGGAAGATGCGACCAAACGCCTGCAACACTAGGCTGACCTGTCGCTCCGTCTGGCCTGACGGCCGTGGATCCAGGTCGATCGTGGCCACGCGGGCGGCCATCTCTGACCGCAACGTGCGTGTCAGTCCCAACGCCATGCTGCCGGTCGGATTGGTCGCCTGCATATGGGCGCCTCGTGTCACCCACAATAGCCCGGCGGCCGTCGTGGCCAATGCCTGCAGTCGGCCAAAACGGTCGGCGTCGAGCTCGGCTAGCTGCGGCCGGTCGAGCTCACACAAAATCACGTGACTGTTCTGGTCTGATGTCGCCTCAGCCAGTTTCTGCACGACCGGCTTCTTATTTGTCTTTGTTGCGACAGCAGCGACGAGACAGGCAAGCACAGGATCCGTCAATGGCATGTCTGACACGATGGACACGGCCATGTCGGCCCAGACAGGCTCGCCGCTGTCGTCGTCGTCTAGCGGGGCCGGGACCGGCGACACGTAGCCGCTGTCGGTCGAGTCAATGGACGTGTCCGAGATCCGTCGACCAGCCAGCGGGACTGGCTCCCACTGCAGCTTGTAGCAGAGCTCGCGCGGCGTGTCTTCGAGCGTGGCCTCGCTCTTGACCGGCACCATCTGCAGGCCGGCCAGCTGGATGACGGCCGCATCGTTCTGGTCGACAGCCGTCATGTCAAACTCGGCCGGCGCTTCGTGTTCGAGGTCGAGATCCGGCTCAGTCTCAGCAGCCATCCGCAGACGCGATCCCGGCAACAACGGCGACGTCGTGCCGCTCAGGATACGAAGCTCGCGCATTGCTGCCGGCATGTACAGCGTGCGCATGCCACCGCTCCGACCGGCACCCAGCAGCGGGAACGACAGCTGCAGCACTTGGTCTAGCAGAGCCGGGTGCACGTGATATGCGGATTCGTGTTCCATTGGCATCGTGGCTGCCGTGTCGGCCACGTCGACGATGGCCGCTGAACAGACGTTGCTGGCCCGGACATTGCGCAGCCGCCGAAACGTCGGTCCATACGTTGCCCCAACATCGTCGAGCTCGCGGTAAAAGGCGTCGACGTCTACCTTCTCGTCTGCTGCTGTGTCAGCGCGCTGGAAGCTGCGCCAGCCCATGCCGTGATGTGCCGTGCTGACGGGGTTCGTCGAGCTGTCGCCACCGGCTCCGGCTGCCTTGCGTGTCGACACCAGACCACGGCAGTGCTCCGTCCATCCAGGCCCCGATCGCCACGATCGGATGCGGAACTCGTCCCACTCGTCCGAGTAGGCCCGCATCGACTCGGCGTACGGTTCCATCGACAGCATCACCTCGTAGGCCGTCTCGTCGTCCATGAGAAGCGGCCGGGTGACCTGCACCTCCCGCAGCACGAACTCGCAGCCCTCGTCGGCACCGGTCTTCCGCATGGATGCCCGCTGAGCCGCGGCCTCTACGGCCATCGCCACAAAGCCGGCAAAGGGAAAGGTCGTCAGCGACTGCATCGTGTGGTCGCGCAGCCACGGAAGATCCGCCGTCCGCAACACGTTGCGCCACGTCGGCGCCAGCTCGTTGTTGCTAAAGTCGGCCAGCAGTCCCAGCAGATCGTGTCGCGCAAACGGCTTTCGCCGGTGCTGCTCCGACATGCGTGACTCGCTCCAGTACCGCTGTCGCGACCAGCCATACGGCGTCAGATCCGACAGCAGCGTCGGCTTCCCGTCCGTCACCTGCAGCTGCTCCTCGCCGTTGATCGCGTCAAAGTCCACCGTCTGTCCGCGCATGCACAGCGTCGCAGCTACCTGCAACGCCGTCGTCGTTGCGTTTTGGCCACGTGACAACGCTGACACGTAACCAATCTTGTGTCCGTTTGATGGCTGACTAAGCGTCTTTAACGTCTGCTGGATCGGACCAGCGAGAGCGGCGTGCGGTCCGATCTCGACGAGCACGTCCGGCCGGCAGTCGGTGCAGAGTGCAGCCAGGGCAGTCGAGAAGCGCACCGGACAGGTCAGGTTGTCGACCCAATAGGCTGGCCCGAGGCTGTCGAGGCCGACCTCGTGGCCCTTCAGCGACGAGAAGAAGCGGACGTCCGACGAGGAGGACGAGGCCAGGTCGCCGATCATCTGAAGGTACTCATCGGCCACCAGCTTCATGTGAGGCGAGTGGTAGGCCACATCGACCTGCAGCTTGCGGTTGAACAGCTGCAGAGCCTCGACCGCCGCTGCGAGCTCGTCGATAGCTGCTTCGTCTCCCGAAGCCGTGACTGAGCTGGGAGAGTTCTCGCAGGCCACGACGACGACGCCGCTCTTCATGCGCTGTGCCAGCGGCAGTACCGTGTCGGGCCCTGCGCCGACGGCCATCATGGAGCCGCGCAAGTGGGGGAACCGCTCCCGCAGCCGCAACACCACCTGTCCGCGCTGATAGGCAATGGTCATGGCAGCCTCGAGCGAAAGTGCTCCTGCTGCATAAGCCGCACCAATCTCGCCGCTTGAGTGGCCTGTCACGGCCGTCGGCCGGATCCCCCACGACCGCAACAGGTCCGTCAGGCCCAGCTGCACGGCCGAGCAGATCGGCTGGCTGATGTGTGCCTGGCCTACGCGTGTCGTTTCTTTGTCGCGCTGCAGCTCCTCCATCAGAGAGAAGTCAGCACCCAGTCGCTGCAGGCACGCGTCAGCCGCCCGCACTGTATCGCGAAAGACCACGTGCGACTCCAGCAGCTCGCGGCCCATGGCGTGCCACTGTGCCCCCTGGCCTGTGTACACAAACGCCAGCTTCGGCGGTTGCTGGGGCCGGCGCACCGGCTTCGTCTCGGCTGCGCTCAGCACCTCGACCAGCTGTCGTCCTGACGATGCCACTAGGCCGACTCGCCATCCCAGCTGCGATCGTCGCTCGTTCAGCGTGTAGGCCAGGTTGCGCAGCAGCTCCTTCTGGAACACCTCCGGGTGTTGCTCTAGATACACCGTCAGCTGTGATACCGCCCTCCGTGCCGATGCCTCGTCGTTGGCCGACAGCACAAACAGCCGTGGCCGTTCCAGACCCGAGCCCAGGTTCTTCTGCGCCAGCTCAGGCCGGCCGCTACGTCGTGGCGCCGGCTCCAGCACGCAGTGCGCGTTGGACCCGCCAAAGCCAAAATTGTTGACGCTGATGTAGCGCTTCTTCGACGGCCATGGCCGCTGTCTTGTCGGCACCTTGGCGTGCCACTCGTCAAACGGAATGGCCTCGTTCAGCTTCTCAAAGTTGACGTTGGGCAGCAGAAACCGCTTGTCCAGCATCAGCGACGCCTTGATGATCGAGATCACCCCGCTGGCACTCTCCAGATGGCCCACGTTGCTCTTGACCGATCCCACATACAGCGGCTGCTGTCGCGTCCGTCCGTGGCTGAACACGTTGCGGATCGCCGTCGCCTCGATCGGGTCGCCCACCTTGGTACCGGTGCCGTGCGCCTCCACAAAGCCCACGTCCTCTGGCCGGATCCCTGCAGACGCGTACACCTCCCGCATCAGTCCCTCTTGCGCCTCGCCACTGGGTGATGTGATGCCTTTGTTGTCAGCACAGCTTGCAGTGAAAATGGTGGAAGAGATACATACCAACCGTCCGCCCATCCTGGTTGACACCCGTGTTCACAATCACAGACCAGATCCGGTCATTGTCGCGGATGGCCTGGTCGAGAGGCTTGAGAATCAGGGCCCCGGCACCTTCGCCGCGTGCGAAGCCCGACTTGGCCCGGTGATCAAACGCATACGTCTTTCCCTCGTCTGAGAAGAGCCTGGACAGCGACATGGACACCCAGTCGCCCGGCTGCAGGTTCAGATGGCAGGCCGCCACGATCGCTTGTTCTGATTCGCCATTGCGGATGCTCTGTACCGCTTGGTGCAGCGCGTACAGCGACGACGAGCAAGCCGTGTCGACTGTAAAGCTAGGTCCGCGGAGATCAAAATAATGCGAGATTCGGCCCGACTGGATCGACTGGTGGCTACCCGTCGCGTCAAACATCGGCGTCTGCTCCAGGTCTCGAAGCGTGCCAAGCCGGTAGTCCGACGCGGCGCCGCCCACAAACACGCCGACCTTTTGTCCGATCAGCCGCTCCTTGGGTATGCCTGCATTCTCCACTGCCTCGTATGCACACTCGAGCAGTAGCCTCTGTTGGGGATCTGTGCGTGTTAGCCGATGTTTGAGACACAAGACGAGCGGGCCGAATAATCGAGGACGGAATGAAAGATCAAGCAAGGAAGACATGAAACAAAGAGATAAGCTCGAACCAAGGAGGTGACAAAACAAAACAAAAGGCAGACGGAAAACAGACACGGAGCGTACCCATCGCTTCGGCCTCGGCCTGCGTGATATTGAAGAAGGGCGCATCAAACATCGCTGGGTCTTGATCAACAAAATACCCCCCAATCGTGTTGAATGCCCCCAGCTTGGCCGGGTTGGGATGGTGGTACGCCTTTTTGCTGAACCGCTCATCTGGCACCTCCGACCAGCCACATCGTGCGCGAGCCAGCATCTGCCAGAAGTCATCCAGCGACGACACATTGCCCGACAGACGGCAGGACATTCCCACCACCGCGATGCGCATCGGCGACGCCGGCAGCTTCTGCTTAGTCTCTTGCATCCTTATTGTCTGTATCAGAGCAGCGTCACACGATTGTTTGATGGTATAATGGTATAAACGAAGTAGAGTAAATTTGCTCGCTGTTGTGCTCTCCAGACTTGTCAACAAACAGGTTCTAAAGCAGCGAGGAACTCGTCTTTATATCCCCGTTCCTGGACAGCGACCTAACTCTCTAGGCATCACAAAAAGGCGCACATACCTTAACTCTTCCTTGCCGCTACTTGCTAACTCCTGTTTCAACCAATCTTCCATTTCTCCGGCTAATATTCCCATCCACATCCCTCATCTCATCCTCATCCTTATCTCCAACCGTTCCTCTTTCTTCATGCCGTCATTGGCTTTGCTTCTGCAGAACGAAATCTGCCGGCCTGCGCCAGACCCAAGTCTCGTCTCACTTTATTCAAAACAGCCCGATCGATGGTGATAAGGGGATCAGCCGATGTTCAGCCTAGGTACTGCCCATTCTGGTTCATCTGCTCCACCCTTGCTGCAATGGCTTCGTCATCCTCATCGTCCAACTTCCATCCGACATTCCAAACCATGGGCGGGATAAGCTCTGAGACAGTCGATCTTAGTACGATACAACGTAACAACTGCTACTACGGGCCAACCTCGGACATAATCAAGACAAAGGATCGCTCAGGTTGGCGCCGTGCACATCGTATCCTGCCTCGTAGTTGCAATATATAAGCCTTCATCCCTGGCCTTAACGCTAACTATTTATCTGTCCTTCCTGTATCCTTGTTCCCACAACTGAGTTCGTGACTGTTCATTCAGCCGGGGCATTCGAAACGCTTATCTCTCCTCCCCCTCTGAAGATGAAGTTCCTCTGTCTCCCAGGCGCCTTTGGCAGCGCAAAGGTTCGTCAAGGCTGGGTTGTGCTCTCAGAATTTGCGTACTAACTCAGTCCTCAGAATTTCAAAATCCAGCTGGACCCCTTTGTCACAGAGGCGGAGCGACAGGGCACTGCTCGCTTCACATGGACGCAGGGAACGACAGAGGCGATTCCGCCTGCCGGCTTCGAGGACTATTTCGGTGCCGGTCCTCTGTATCGCTTCATTGACTATGACGGCGTCAAGGCGTATGATATTATGGAAAGGATCCGATACTTTCCGGAAGCAGAGACTGCTGAAGACACCATCAGATTGCTGATGGATGACTTTACCGGGAATGCCATTGACAGTGTCAAAGATACAGTGCAACGATTGATTGATATAATCGATGCTGATCCTGAAATTGAGGTAAAGTACACACGCAACTCAATTCCACTTCCGACAAGACGGCTCACAAAGTGACTAGGGCATCCTTGGATACTCCGAAGGAGCAACTACAGCTGCCACTGTCGTCCTGGAGGAGCGACACCGGCTGCAGAACGAGGGCAGGCCCAGACGCATCAAGGTGATTTTCAAGAGAGACCTTTCCCCGTGGAGGGAACCCCGCTGACACCACCTTGCAGCGCGCCATTTTCTTTGCAGGATGGGCCCCACTGGCTATCGTGGACGGCAAGGTCAAGGTCTTACTGATGGATGAGAGCGAGGATGTGATAGACATTCCCACTTTGCATGTGGTCGGATGCAACGATCCATACATCCAAGGAGCCATAACCCTGTTCAACATGTGCGCCGAAGAGGAAGCAGAAATTTTTGATCATGGAAAGGGCCATACAGTCCCAAGAGATCAAAGAACAATCTGGGAGCTCTGCGATGCCATCGGCCGACTCGTGAAGAAGGAATGCACCTGGGGCGAAGACAACATCACCGCGACCGGAATTTCTCTAGACGCTCTCCAGGCTGATTTGGCCAAAGATGTCGCCGTGACGAGAGAAGGTGTTGTTGTTTAGTAATAGGCTGAAGTGGCATGCTCTGAGCTTAGTGTCCTCTGATTCTAGTTACCCCCGACTATAAGATCTTGCCTTTGTCTAGAAAATGTACTCGAATATTGGTAGCGAGCACATAGGACGTGAGCAAGATTGGCCTGCGACTCATGGTACGTTTTGTGTATCATCCATATGAATGACGCAATAAGTGCAGTGCCCCGATAGTAAGATACCACGGCGAAATAGTGGATAGTGACGTTTTCGGTGAGGATCTTCGGTTTCGATGATGATGGCATCTTGCTAGAGCATTAAGCTGTGTGTCTCATTATAATTTTGATCGCAATCTGTGTTTCCACCTCATCTCCTGTCTCACCATAAAACATAAGCACCTTGCTGGCTACATACTACTCAGCTCCTCCGAGCAAAGCAACTAGATATCGCCTACGATACCGCCTACAAAATCAATCTTCGCAGCTATAGACGTATAGACTTTTCAATCTACGCCACTCCTTGGTCCTCTCAATAACCTAAACAATAGTTTGAACTAGTAATAGTGGAGGTCGGGTAAGGCTTTTAGCTTTGACAAACTAAACTACGGAGTACACCTTACTAACTGCCGGTCTACCGGTCCACGTACTACCCGTATCAACCCCACTTTAATGGATACTCGAAAACGCGCTCCACTAGAACACGTAAGGAGAGTGCTCCCTTACATAGTTAGATAGTTAGGAAGGTTGGCGTTAGGTGGCTAGCCAAAAGAGAGAGAGAGACTATGCGGAATTTTAAGCGAGATCTGCTTACTTATTGAGATGCTGTTTTCGTACAAAGACATTGCGCAAGACTGTAGATGATTGCTTAGTTTCTATGTGAGATGCGCTTTTCTAAGCAAGAGGGACGGGAAATGCTCCCCTTGCATACATAAGTATTGAGTGGGGAAGGCATAAACTGTTCGGCTTTGATTGGTCAGAGAGTTAGGGCCGTTGTATGGGACTTGTCCTGATTTTATCACTTGCTGGCCGATTTAAGACTATGGAAAAGAAACTTTCTACCGGCTATTCTTGCCAATTGCTGGCTAACGAAGCGGCGTTACAAACGCCGGATGTCAAACGTCGGTGCGGTAACAATGTTGTCATAACAGTAGCCAGTTAACTCTACGTAGTGCACAAATTAACCCAGAGCGCAAATATACCAAATTATAGGTGCCTAGCAAGCGTGTGAGAGTACTCGTATTGTTGAAGTTAGGTACTTCCGAGTTTTGCCGACGTGCCCGAAAATCCCCTCTAAATAGCGCCCTGCGCCGCAGAGGATTATAGCCGTTATAAAGCTGTCTTTAGCGTTGTAAAAGTAGCTAATGCCTCTTTACTTAAGACGAACAGTTGCGTACCAGTTCATTCTAGCCTAGTTCGTCCGAGAAAAAGCACTTGTACCAGAAACTCCGTACATACTTCGCTTCACAAAGGATGCCAGCGCATTCCGTCTTAAGCACTGACAAGCGAATCAGAGCGGCAATGTCTTTTCATTCTCTCATCAGTTTAGAGGCATCACAACAGCTCGCTAAAATGTCAGGATCACTGCTATTAATTCGTATAACAGGTATCCATAGTACGTAACCTCTTGGCGCAAGCATCTCCTCATTTATTGGACAGCCACATAGTCGCATCGAACCAATTACAACCATGCAAAAAAGCACAGCCCAAAGTACCGAGTAAATGCGAAGTATTACGACATATGCGGCCCGAACACATCCGCAAAGTCCGTTTCTATCTCACAAACTACAAAAAGCGAGAAACTAAACGTCATCAACTTATCAATGCATGTTGGTAGATCATCCTCCATGCGTCTCTACATTCTGCTAGCCTGGTGTGATCTTTCAATTGTTCTTTCGCAGACTTAATCAGTTCAGCCTCAACACATCAATACCCACAACATGGCATCGCAATCCGCCTCTCGAGCACTTACAATTTCCGCCCTGCTGGCTTGTGCCGGTTGGGGTGGCTACAGCGTTGCCATCACGGGGATACGCAGTGGCATGTTCGCAGCCATCGAAGCCAGCATTGGCCGTGCTGACCCATACATCCCGGGCGGCCCGGCGCCATATCGCACACACTTCACCGGTATTGCCGGCCTCGATCGACACCTGCTGACGCTCGTCTCCTTCTTTACGTTCATCATCGATGGCCCTCAGACGTGGTCCACTACACTGGCCTTCTGGTACCTCTGGGCGCATCTCTGTGCGGGCTGGTGCCTCATTGCACTCGAAGGCCGTCGCCTGGGAAATAGCGGTTTGGCCGTCCGTTGGTTCGTCTTTGAACTGCCTTGGACTGTCTCCTCCTTCTTCTGACCATCGCTAGGACCACCGCTGTCGGCATCATCTTTCAGAACATCACGTACACCGTCACCGTACCTTTGTACCTTGTGCTGCACATCCTCACATCGCCCATCACAGCGGCCTCATCGCTTCCAGCAGATATCGTTGCGTCCAACATCGCCGTCGACCCGTTCGACTCCGCTGCCTTGCCGCTCTGCAACGTCTTGGCCTATGTTGTCCCGGGCATAATGATGCTTCTGCCTTCTCCAGGCCTCGTGCACCCCCTTGCCCACTACGCCTGGAATTCAGGGTGGCAGGTGTTTCCTGCCACTCAGAGTCTCTTCCACCGACTTCTGCGTCTCACCCTGCTGCCTTCTCGCAACACCAGCACGATTCTACGTCAGAAGACAACGCCCGACTCTACATACCTGTACGTGCTTTTTGTCAGCCTGCTCAGCCAGATGGCACTCATCGCCGTGGCCGTCACGCCTGCGCGCGCTGTGCCCAACGCGTTGGCACCCGTGTTTGCTGACGTAAGTCTGGCTTCGGCGTTCGTGCCCTCCTGGCCGAGCAACTCGCCTGTCATCGACACGACTGCGGCGACTATCGCACCCCACGGCTTGGCTGAGGCAGTCAAATTATTCCTTCAGTGGGATGTTTACTGCGGTGGTACGGCTGTCTTAGTGTGGGCAATATTTGTACGTGGCCAGACTCAGGCCAAATTGAGCATTGCGTCAGTCTTGCCAAAGGTCGCGTTCTGGACAGCCTGTGGTGGACCGCCGGCTGCTGCTGCAATCTTGCTTTGGGAGCGGGACAGGGAAGCTGCGGCGGGTGAGCCGAGGAAAAAGATCCTATGAAAGGGGGATGTGGCTGACTGCTACGGACAAAACAATTGTATATATGAAGGCCTAAGCTAAGGCTGAAATGCTCAAGCTGGGGCATTCCTATGACTTGGGTATCAAAAGTTTCCCCCAAGGCTTATGCAGACATACTCTAGGAGGACTCAACGTTCTTTGATTCTGATTGTCTCTCTTCGATTTGGCTTGACGAGCAATTATAGTAAGCAGTTGTTCGAAAGCCCTTTGATCTGGAGTAAATGACAGATCACCAAATAAGTCACGTCGTTCGGCCAGTTGCAAACATACCACTTCCGATATAGCCTAACCATCCACTTTGCTTTCAACCGCTCTTTTATGTTATGCACAAATAAGAAACACAAGAGTGTCTAATATAGCTAGTCATCGATCATGGCTTCTTGCCCCAAATGAAATAGACAGGGAGATACAGATGGTTTTCCGGGGTTTCGAGGTCCTTCTTCACCTTAGCAATAAGAACAGCAATCTCATCCTGCGTCCAGCCAAGAATGTTACAAAATATTCCCGGTGTGTATGAATCGATGACTTTCTTCTCCTGAACGATCTGGTATCTGCCGATCTCTTTTAGATGTGCGTCTTTAGGCCAAGCACCTATTGGAATCTTCAGGCGTATTAGTACTGTCGGGTCCGTAAAGAGGAATTTTTCACATACTATCCGAATATCCTGCTGGACATCAATAAAGCCCGCTGCTTTGATTTTCTCAAGCCACTCCGGTGTCGAATCAAGGGGCTTCCCAAACTTTCTTGCGCCAGCACAAATATTTTCCATCCAAAACTGCGCATCTTTCGCCTGTTTATCCGTGCCGTCATAAGAGAGAAATTTTGCGTAGACAGTCTGTATTTCAAAGTGTCCGCCTGAAGTTAGGTTTTCGAAAGCCCGGCGGAATAGCTGGTTGGCATCGCCTATACAACCTCCTAATTCACGGGCATGGATGTAATCAAACTTTCTACGGTATACCCATTCCTCTTCGAAGTCATCCACCTCGAAGGTGCAATTAGGAGGGGTCCTACAATGTCAGTATCACTATAATGATGAATATGCGTAAAAAGTAACCACTTAAACATACCACCGAGGCTGAATGGGGCTTAGATCTGTACCGATAACTTCTGCGGATGGGTACTGACTATAGATCACGACGTAGTCAGTAGCCTAAACAAACTTTAGACTTCAAGTCTTAGAACCTAAGTGACTAACTCAGCAAAGTCCATAGACCAAATGCCGGTGCCAGTGCCTAAATCAAGAACGCGCTGAGGGTGTTCGCCGATAGGTGCTAGGTGGAGTTCGCCGTTAAGAACTAGCCGGTAGATGTGGTGTCCTATATCCATTCTCTCTTGTTCATCATCATCGTTGGGCTAATAAGCCGCATGTTAGGCAATAACCTTATTTTTAAAAGAAAAGGGAAGCGCGGGGCAGAATATTACCACTAAATAAGAGCCCTCTCGAAAGGCATGATAGCGACGACCGTTCTAGACCGTAATGCTTCATGTTAACGTTACAAGCAACGTGTGCTGCGACGTTTGCACGTCGGTTCAGAGGACGGACCTGAAATCTTTGAAACGATTAGCCATTGATTATCTACAGACTGTAGTCATTTATAGCGCCCCAATGCGATATACTTGTAATTCATAATGCTCGAGTTCAAGGACGAGACAAAACTGCTAGATGCCTGACTAATGAAATGGTCAGAAATGTTTCACCAACCTATCGACACCAACACTTACGAAGAACCGTCATCGTAACCCGGGTCATCGTCACGTTCCTAGAGGGGTAGTGAGTGTCTGCGGCTAGGGCTCACATCAGCGGCTGTAGTAAAATCGACCCACGTCATCAACCTGAATTGCCTCCTCCTCTTCAGTGGTGCCTTGTGCAACGGCGACTGGAATCGGACTCAAGGCCATAGCCAAAGTCGCGCTCGTGGTAGGTACGTCGGTCATTGTTGTACAAATGAAAATGTGCCAGAGAGAAAGCAAAAGGCGGTGGAAACCCCGATATGATTAGGCTGACGCACCTCTACAACTATATGGGGTATATATGTTATTCCACCACGAGGTGAGGTAGGATGAGATGGGGATCAGGCGTTTAGTAAGGATACAAAGTCCGAGGTCGGGAATACGATGGCGTGGTGTATGAACAACAGGGACGCAATATTTCACTGGTTAGGCTTAGTTCAAGGACAAATTTATGATATGTTCCAAGTGGCTTGCTATACGGACGGGATTTCGGGGTGGATAGCTTGGCACTTGCTTTTTATGGTAAGCTACTCCGTTATCCTAGTCTTGTTCCGGGTCCGAGCTTATCCATTGCTACCTGCCAACGGTCAGTGGCGCAGTTGAGGTGCATGCGAGACACGATATACTGTTGACAGGTCAGCCGGACATGCTGACAAAAGAGGCTAGATGCAGCCACTGCACGGTCCTAAACCCGGCATGTGAATTTCATCCTCTATCCTTGTGACTAGGCCTGCCTGAGATGAGGGTGAGCCTGTCGAACGGACAACGCCAAAATGGGTGGGGTGTGCACGTTTGTGCCGTGTACTTGTACTTGTAATGGGTGAATATATGTAATGTGTGGCGCAGGGGACTATTCAGAAAGCGTTTTCATGCACGTCGGCATACCTCGGAATTACCTAACCATAACAATACACACACGTTCATTGGGCACCCATAATTTGACATATGCTACTGAAGATAACAACCTGTGGCACAAAGATACGAAGAAGGAGCCGTAATTGTAGAGTAGTTTGAGACCTCTCTAGAGACTGAAGGAGATGATATTGATAATACTGAAATTCCCCTTAACCACATCAAAGCGTAATAAACATTCCCTATTTTCTGAACAGAGATTAACAATAAGTAAGGTTTACAAAGTAACCCGTTCCAACACTGAACACAGCGAAGCGTCGCAGTAACACTCCTAAAAATCTCTGCATAAACCGGAGATTAAAAACATCGCCGACTTTACTCTTTGTTATACTCTTATAAGCTATCATCTTCAACCTCGTCGTCGTTGTCGTCGTCGTCGTCGTCGCCGTCCTCCTCCTCCTCCTCCTCCTCTTCCCGTTCTTCATCCTCAGTAATACCCGTGGCGGGAAGCCTGAGAGCTTGTTTTCTCTTGCTAATTGATTTAGCTCGGTTTTGGAGATGCGTCTCGACTCCCCCTTCTCCGTCCGTATTTAGAGCTAGACGGAGGCCCATCGATAGCGTCTCAGACACCTCGTCAGCCTCACTGTCAGCATTGTTGAATGCTGTTCCCCGGGGCATACCCCAGAACTCGGCTGCCTCTTCTGAAGTCAAGTTTCCCACTTGGCGTGCTAGTTTAAGTAGCACCGATCCTGTCAGATACGAGCCTGGGGTCAGCCAAAGTTCTTTGGCCTTTTCGGGGAGCTTGCTGCGGTCAAAGGCCGAGCCCGACACCTCAGCCCGTTGGCGGTGGAGGAGAGTGACGGCCATCTTGAAATAGAGATGCCGCTTCTGCGGCCGAAACGCCCCCCCGAAACTGAAGTCTGCGGCCGTCCAGTGCAGTCCCGACAGGAATGGAATAGTCGATCGCATCGTCAAAGGCCGACATGTCGAGGACAACAACCTTGAACTCGTTCTCGGCATCGTCGTCCGGCACGATGACGATCACGCCCGCATCCAGCCACATTTCGTAGCGTCGATTTATCAGGAGTCCATTAGATGGCTGCCAGATATGACCTTGGGAATCCGTTGTCTCGCCAAAGAGTGCTTGCGCTACATTCTCGCCCACATTCTTCTTAACGATATGGGCGGCGCGCATCATCAGTCCATCACAGAAAGCACCCACAATAGGACACCATAGAGACTCCATAGGCTTTTTTGCTGACTGGGCCGCCTCGTACTTGTGGGCCAGCGTCTTTCGAAAGCGAGCTTGAGTGTTACCGGGTCTGGTCGATTTTATGGTTTTGGTGGCGTTGTATGGATTGCGGAGGGCACGCAAAATGCCATCAATATAAGCCCAGTCATTTCCGACTTCAATGCGAAGCAAGCGAGAATCATCTACCATCATTCCTAGAATTTCCTGCCGGTGGCTGCGGATCGTACAGACATTGGATAGAAAAAAGTTAACCTTCTTCTCGTTGTCTTCCAAGGTTTTATTGTAGTCGGCCACTGTAATATCCAACAAACCCTCCCGTCATTGCTTGCGAAGAATCTAGCCGATTTCCTCTGTAAGATCGAGGCCAGCCTGAAACTCTGCCAGCTTCAGTGAGAGCATATTTGGGCCATCTATTGGCCGTTGACTGGACAGCCTTCCTGGCTGCGTAGAGTTGGGCACGAGTGGTGCAGACTTTTTCTGGCCTTTTTTCAGCAGGTATTTGCGCTCTAACTCGGCGATAGTTTCGATCTGCTTGACAGTCAAACCTGCCTTGATCTTTGGCAGCAGTTGACCAGGTGTAGACGTCATAGCTAGGCCTATTATAGGGGATTGGGCAAGGGGCAACTGGCTTTCAGGAGAAAGTGTCGGCGAAGCAGCAGGCGAGGGGGTAGATGGCTGTTTCTTGCCCTTTTGGCTCTTCCGCGGTGCCATGTGTTGTGTACTGGAATCGTCGGGCAAGTCTTGATTGTAGGGGGTAAGGGAAGGAGGGTGGTTTTTGTTAGATTTCGGTTTCTCAAACAACGAGAAAAAAATCGAAGTCTTACTTATTTAATGCAGTTGTAGTATCGTAGTGGCTAGAAACAGGCAGGTGGCAAGGTGTCAAGCATAGGAATCCGCCACACTGTAGACCTTCCGCCCCACGTGGCCGTACAGGCCTGTGATTAGTCAGAACGCACAACAGCGGGGCCTAGCACTAGTATTAATACGGACCCCTAGAAGGGTCGCGATGTACTCCGTATCTATTTCTTCCTTAGTACGGAGTAAACAACACAGATTTGCTCACACCCAATTCAGTCTCCTACTCCTCACAGTACAGGTAGCCATTGTAAAACTGTAACAATACGCAACATATTATACGCATACCCCCCTCCCTTCGAGTTAACAGAGATGCACATGAATTCTATTCCTATAAGAACTCCTGTAAGAACAGCATAAGCCAGCTGTTCTATCAAATACAACGAATACAATCCCAGAAGAGTGTCGTGGCTGTATTAGAAACTATGTATAGCACTCATATCAGAGTAGAACGTGCCATTGGCCAAGTCTCGTAGTCACGGAAAATGCATATGATTTCTCACAACGGCTCCCGTGTATACAGGATCGAGTCGACTCCTTCGATTCTATCGTCTGGAAGAACGACTTGACCGACATTGTTGAGCAGCTGCCGCAGAATCTGCTCAATGTCGTCCTCCACGTTGGCGCTGGCTGCAAAGCCCCCAGGTTTCGGCCCCTTCAGGACCGGGAAGACAGATAGAGCGAAGCCGGCGGTGACCACGATGGGCAGACGACCTGAGCGTGAAGGCAACCATTCGTGTGGCGATCCGTCCTTTCCCGGCTTACCGCGGAGCGAGATGTACATACCAAAGACCTTTGTCGTTTTCAAAAAGGGCAGCGCGTGTTCGGCCATTTCCATCGACCCCCGCGCATGGGCACACATTGTTTTCGTGAGCGTGCCGTTGGCCCGATTTTTGACTTGGACGAGCAGCGCACCCATGCGCTGTTCAGCACGCAGCCAGACGGGCACCAAGAGATCGGCCCCCGCCATACCTTGGGGCAAGATGAAACCTTGACCGAGGACAAAGGCGGAAATGAGGTGCTTTGCGGTTAGGGACTGATTGCCGCGTAGGCGAAGTCGGTTGAAATGGGTTAACAGTATTTCACCGTCGGCCCACTCGCTGTCGTCGCCATTGTTTATGTCACCCAAGAGCGTGGTCAGAAAGGCCGACAGGGACACCGTCTTCGGATGGCCAGGGTCAAGATGTGCGTCGGCAGCAAAGATGAGTAGGAGAGAGGCGACAACCTCGCCACAATCGCCAGCGTGGAGAACACCATGCAGGTGCATCTGAACAAAGTCGCGGAAGGCACGACAGCGGGTCTTGTGGTCTAGCAGCTTCTGGGCGGCAGCCAGAGCAAGCACGGGCTCGCTGGGCTGGCAGGTACAGACCCAGGTGCGATCCATGGCCACGTAGGAAAAATAGTGCATCCATCGCGCGACTAGGTTCTCCGCAAGCCTATGGTCCTGTACATGAAATTGAAGGCGATACAAAAGCAGGGCAATGGAGTTGTCCGGCGTCGTGCCAGTCAGTTTGTCGTATGCCAGACTGCGTATGTGGTCCAGTGCTCGCTGGAAGATCCGGTCCTTTTCGTCACCCATTTTTGCGTCTGTTGCCATGTCGGTGGCAGTCGTAACGACAGATGCCCACAATGGTCTTCCAAATCGAGCCATAAAGACCTGATGGTCGATCGAGCCATCCGGCCCATGTGCAAGAAAGTTGGAGTCGTCGTTGCCATCGTTGCGCTGGCATGCAATTTCCAGCCAGGAAGGCTTCTTCCCCTGGCTGGGAGGGTCGGACGCAAATACATCCCATGTTTCAAGGTAGTAGATCGGGCGCAGTAGTTTGTGGAAAGTTGGGTATTTCTGGCTCGCGTCCGTCGATGCTGGTGGCGCAAAGTCGGTGATGTGGGACGACGTGTCAAGAAGCAGTCCAAGCACCGGCATTGTTCCCACTTTGTTCTGGCTAAAGCTTCTGAGCGCACTGCGGAAGGCTCGAAAAGATATTGACGGCCTATACCGACCGGACGACTCGTCACGGTCGTCAGGAGAAAACAGGTCAGTGGCTTCATCGATGCAAATGACCGTCAGAGACTGCGTATCCCCTCTGATTGTCGCATCACCGAGCACGGGTGCTTTGTTCCAGCCATTTTCTACAAGGATGGGCATAGCATCCTTGACAATGGTCTGTAGTCGATTGGCTATTACTCTGGGACTGGATCTGGGTTTATCCAACCTTGCCTCGTCTGCCACCAAGTTTGCTAGCAGTTGCTGAGCACCATCGAACGCACTGTGGTATTGCAGGTAGAAATGCGCCATCGGTGTGATACCACATCGTCGCGAAGCCTCAATCAATTCCGTGCTTATCCGAAGGTATACCTCCCAGAATGCGTGATTCCGTTCCTCGTTTGATTTATTCTGCACAGTCCAGGCAAGAGTAGAACGTCCCGGCACGGCTTTCGATGAGGGTCCTGCTAGACTGGTGTAAGAAACGTACAACCCGTGGACGACTGCCAATTGCTTGACTGCAAAGCTTTTTCCCATCCCCGATGGACCCACAAGGGACGTATATGGGGAGAGAAAGCCTCCCGCTTGGTACGCCTTGCTGCACTCGAGCAACAACTTGTACAGGCCCGCGCTTGGTAGGTTTCCTTTAGGGCCCATTCGCTCACTAAGTTCGAATGCGCGTTCTGCCAGAGTTTTCCCATCCACTTCCGCCTGCGTCTGTTGGACTGGTGGTTGTATTGGCGATGCGAGCTAGTGCAACGAATTCAGAAAGAGAAGTCGGTCACTGCCAGAAGCAGACAGAAAATGCAGATCGGAAGTGCCTGTGTCCGTGAATATTAGGAGCCAGAGAGCGACGGCCTCCAGTGTGGTGATGGATAAATATTCGCTATCATCGTCACCTAGTGGAAACGGCCATGGGAGGTTCTGTTCTTTGGCGGTGATCTCCTTAACAGTTTTGCAGTATTGCGTAGCAGTCAGCCGGACCCAGTCCATATATGAGTCGTCTGTCGCGCCACGAGAAAACAAGGCCCCATATATGCTGCGTATGGCTAGATTGTGGTCTACCAGCTTTTGCCAGTCGTCATTATTGTCCAGAAGGTCTCGCAGGCCAGGCCAGGATACTGCTACTGCAATGGCTTCCCCCTTTCGGGAAAATTCACCGTGACTTCGTTTCATGGTCTCGAGGAGGCGTGGATGAGGATGCCGGCATTAAATGTTGTCTAAGGAACAGGGTTGATTTGTTAGATATTAGGTATATACTTCTTAAGCAGCTTGGATTATTAAAGGCTTACCTTTTTATTTAACAGAAAGAGCCGAAGCGAGAAGTGGTTGACTTTGTGGGAAACAACTTGCCAATTTGTAAGACGAGAACAATTTGTTGAATTGTTATACTACCTGCACTATGTGCAAGAGTAGGGATCCCATACCTTCCATCGTAGTAGGCAGGGTTTTATGTAACTAATTCGGATTTCAACAACTCCCCTAGGTTGCAGCGAGGCGGAAAGCTGATTGCTTCAGAGAGACTCGAAATCAGGCAGATTATTGCGAGGGATGCTGAGTTTACCCGATAGACTTGCCGAATTTAACCTGAAAGAGCAGGAGTCGGGCGACCTCCTCCATCCGCTGTGCGGCCGTCAGCTTTATCTCCGGCTCCCGCCGGTACTGATAGAGCACCCCGAGCCGCAGCGCCGCCCACTGGGCGGTCTGAATTTAACCTGGAAGAGTCGGATCAATATTGCGGGCTTCGGTAGTGTTACTATATATGCGGTAAACTTCTGATTTGGCGTGGGCTCGAACGCCGCGGCTTTGTGCGATGGGGGTGCGAGCAACTTGACTTTTGTGCAGGGAAAAGCGCAACCGGTCTTATGACTGTTGAAATGTCATACTACCTGTACCATGTGCAAGAGCATGGATCCTATACCGTCCATCGTAATAGGCAGGGTTATATATTACTGATTAGATTTTAACACAATTAAAGATTCGAGGGTGTAAAGAGATTGGCAGAAGAAACATCATGCGGGCACATAGTGTCCAATTCCATTACTTGTGTAAAAACCAAGGCGAAAATATTAGTCATAAGGGAAGGTCAGAGAACCTCGTGGAAGAATTCAGAAAATACAAGCAGGTTGTTCCGTGTCTGTGTAACGCATGACGTGTAACGCATGACAGATAATGGGCTGGAAGTGAGCTAGTCACAAAATCTGTACTGGCGAAAGGAGTTCCCTCTTTCACTCATTGTGTATTATAGCCATACGAATTGAAAGTATGCATCGTCCTGATACCGGACTTCACCCATGCCAAGTTCTCGGATTTTGGGGTGAGTAGGAGTGAGTAAAAAGGTGAGCGAGGACTGAGCAAGCTGAGCCGATGTGAGCCGAACCTGAGCCGAACCTGAGCCGAGCCTGAACAGCCCTGAATGTTTCCTGAACAAAAGCGGCATTGTGTTATGTAAAAGTATGGGTCTGATGGCGCCCAGATTGGTGTCATAGAACAGTGAAGCTAACTTGCCCGATTTAAAACACTATGAGTGCGTACCTCCTATGCACGAGAGCGATAGAGGGCACAAAAACACCTCCGCGGATCCTGTTTCGATACTTTGAAGCCGCAGAAGTACCGTTGACTAGATGAAGGAGGCTGGAAGACGGTGATAAACGACTTTTTTGGTCTATTGTGTGCCATGGACCTGGGAGGAGGCTAAGGAAACTGTATAGCCGGGTCATAGATTTGGCTAGGACGTTCCGCAGGGTTACAAAGTCATGATGTCCATACCAATCCCTCTCACACCGTGCATTCGATCTGGCGTCTATTCGTGTCTGAATGTGAACTAGCAGTACCTGTGTATAACTCTGCGCTACTTAACCAGTGAGCCTCTCAGTTTCTCTCGGCATTTTCATCAGCAGTATATTGGATCGTCCTGCGAGCCTTGTCCACTCCCCTACGACCACCTGTAGCGTTGTTGAAAGCTCCCGTAAACCACGGCCCGTCTTGATTCTGGCACTGCTCCCACAGCCCGTCATCATCGCCTTGATAATAAAACCGTATACAGCTTCCACCATCCCACTGGAAGGCCGCGGTACACCTCCCGATTTCTAGGGGCTCGAGGACTGTGCCGTCCGACGTCCACTCTCCATTCCACCTAAATTCCGTGATGCTCTTTCGGGAGTTGTGGCAGTAAACACGCAACCGTTCTCTCGAGTCATGCCATCCGACAGCCGCGATTGAAGAACGACGGGGCATTTTATCGGTGTGAAATTTACCTGTGGTTGACTTAGTAAAGTAGATAGTGACCCTTTAATAACGATAATAACCTGCTTACCTGACGACCAACCCCCATTACAACAGTGCTCTCTCATAGTCCTGTTGGGAGCCTGGTAGTACACCCGAATATGGGTTCCATCCTGCGAACATACGGCGGCCAGACTGGTCCCCGTGTGAGCGAGCGGGAGTACGGCACCCTTCACCCAAGATGCGGCGTTATAGCAGTACTCCTGAATTTTATCCGTATGCGGTTCTACACTTCTGTCAGATGTGCAATCTCAGGGGGTTCTCTGCCGCACCATACCTTGCGCATAGAGTCTGATATTCGGTCCCCCGTTGGACCAACACACTGCTGTAAGCTTTGTATTCGCCGCAACACGAATCTTTGATTTAGTAAGGTCTCCAGCTTCCCAGTCACGACCATTTGAGCAGCACCATTCCTGAAGATAGTCTTCGTCCGAGACGCAATAAACGTGAATCTGGTTTGTGAATTTTGCTTAGAAACATTCTCGTTTCGGGGAGAGAATTAACGAAGACGGGATTCTAAATAAAATATTGCTTACCTGCTTGCCCAAATCAAAGCTGACGACAGCCAGAGGACTGAACATTTTGGCGCTGAACGTCGGCGAAGTTGTGACCGACCAGCCGCTGTCGTTGACGTACTCGCAAATTACCCCTTGAGCATCTTGGTAGTAGACCTTGCATTTCATTGAGTCTGTCGCAGTGACGGCGATGTCAGTTCCACGCAGGGGCCCCGACGTACCGTCAATGGTGATGGGGTAGCTCCACCAGCCGCTGTTGGCGCACTCGAGAGCCGTTCCAGCACACGTCCAGCTTTCGGTAAACGACCAGGCCCCTCGCTTCCGTATTGCAGCGCGCCTCTTCCCATCGCGTATAAGCGGCGCCAGGGCTTGTTCTCCTTGTGCGGATTCCAGAGTTGGTGCGTGCGCCCATGCTCCGTAGCTGTATCTGCTGGGTTGTTTCTTTTTCTTCCAAGCCATGTAGACCTCGTTAGCGGACGTCTGCAGCGCCTTCACGCAGCGCCTTTTGTTCTCGTCGTTCTCTGGGTCGAGGCCGGATTTATCGCCATAAGCAGTCCATGTCTCACCGTTGGGGTTGGTGACGGAGAGACCGATGGCATTGTCTTCGTCGTACATGAGCTTTGAAACTGTCAGCTCTTCTGGTCGTATTCAGCTGTTCTGATCTAGGTTGAATTCTTACTTTGGCACAATAGTCCGGTATGGACACTTTGTCTGAATGCAACAAACGACGTGGAGTTCTGAGGTGACCTGCCGAAAACAAGTCTTCCAAGAAGTGATCGGCAAAGGCGTTCATAGCATATGCCTTCTCAAGGTCCCCAGCGATAGCCACCTCGAGAGCTTTCGAATGGCCGGCGTTATACGCTGTTCGAGCATCTTCGCCGAAATGGTCCCAGTTGCGCCAGGCTAGCCCAAGATAGCTCGGCTGTCCCCGACGAAACATCGTCAGCTTCTCATAGGCCCAGGTCTCGTCAGGAAGACTGCTGTACGCTTCGGATGGATTCTCGTGGTTAGCAATGGCATCGTTGACAGCGCTGATCTCCTTCTTCATGATCTTGAGGATCTCGATGGCTTCTGCTGGCTGGCCTGCATAGCGGGAAGCGAGCGTATTGTATGCTTTGACGAAGCGGTCGGCTTGGTCCTCGTCGCTAAAGCCATCGCTGATGGGCTCGTGGGTTCCGTAGAAGTCTCCCGCGAGACTGCTGATTTGGCCGTATGTGACAGTCAACTGGTTCTCGAGAATGAAAGCGTGATCCTTGGCCGTGACAGTACTCTTATCTTGAAGAGTCAGGGTAATAGTGTCTCCAAGGTAGCAGTGCTCCGCATATTCAAAGCCTTTTTAGTCTGTTAGCATCTACCGCCTCTATCTCAGGATGCCTTAGTAGTATGTTAGCTTACCGAGATTGTCCTTCGTCATCTTCCCAGGCGTCGCTGCAAAACTGGCACCACGTTTAAACGCAGGCCGTGTCGTTATGGTACGCGCGTTCGGTCTTCCGTAGGAGTCTCCCGGGGTTTCACAGTTGGCAAGCTGGTTGGTCTGGGTCAACTGTTCTATAGAGTCGAAAACTGAAACTATCAGTGCCTCCGAGAGCGGCGAATAGTTGGCGGTATTCGCGTTGTACGAGACAGAAGACACGACTCCCGCAATTCTTCGTTTGTAGTATGCAGCGGGCTGGTAACTGAAGAGGAGTTCGTAGCCGTCGTAATGAATGCGAACGGAAATGCTGTAGTTTGACCCAACAAAGGTGTCTCTCAACTGGAAAACCTCGTCGGGTCCCCAGTTTCCGTCGACATGCCGGCTATTGAGCACGACAGTATTCCTTGACTGGCGCAGTGATATGTGAAGCAAAAAATCGCCTGCATTGTTGTGAAGGTTGAGTGTTGTGTTGTCGCTAACACTGCGCGATGTATTCCATTCCCAGTAGGAAGACTGAAATGAGACCATACCTCCAGTCTCAACTGGCTTCAGCAACTTCACTGTCGTTCCCTTGATCAAGTAGTACGGAGTTCCAAACTGAGACCATTGTGGTAGTGACTTGCGAGGCGTCTCCCCAGCTGCCATCAGGAAGATAACCCTGACACCGCATTGCGCTTTCTTGGATCGCGTTGCCTCTGTGTCGTTTGACCCAAAGTTCACCAGCCACATCTGCGGTGAAACTTCAGAGGCAGGGATGCTTCTGCAGTTGTTTTTAGCAAAGCCCCCATTCTCAGCACGATGATCCACATCCATATAGGCCTTTGTAAGAATCATGGCATTAAAGCCATCTCGCGCTTTGATGAATCCGGCTAAGCGATTGTAAACGGCCTCGCATATTGTTTTCTGGTTTTCCAGCTTGTCGAATCCGTTTCTCTGCAGACATCTGTCGACCTGCTGCCAAGCCTCCATCCTTTCGGGGTAGCTCTGGTCGAGCTTCCTGCTGTAGCTTGCGAGGCATAGGAACAAATTTCTGTGGACTTCGCCGAACTCTGGTGGTCGAAGGTGTGGCGCTTCCTCTGTTACGGTGATCTTTTTTTCTTGCATCAGGGTCCAGATTAGTTGTGGAAGAAATTCGTAGATGATAGTAACGTCTTCAAGAGCGTCTTTCTGGATGCCCTTGGTGATGTACTCATTTCCTTGCTGCAGACTCTTGGCCCAGCAGATATCGTAACCAATCCAGAGAAACGATTTGATGGTTTCCCAGTCAAGAGCTGACCACGGCTCTACGTCCTCCTCCTTCCAATATCTGATCGCCTGTTGTACGTCAGTCTAATTCCCTTCCTACGCGATTAAATCACTTACACGGCTCATGGTCGCTACCGTTTTTGTTGCTTGTCTTGATGGTGTAGCTGCTGGTTTCGTCCACAAAATAGGCAGATTGCGGGTCCAGGCCCTATTTCATATTGCATAGAACGATTTGAGGTGATAATCCAACGTAAAGGTTACGAGGGAATAAATCGGTTCTGCTGCTTATGTTTTACTGGGATTGATTCCAGTGGATTGTCTCCCTCATATAGATCTTTGATAGGTGGAGTCCTCAGCGTAAAGGTGATTTTTTAATAAACTCTTAAAAAGCCCCATCAGGTGTTTAGCCCAACCCTGGCTCGTCCGTATTGTTGCGAAGTCCTTTGTTGATTGGCTTTCTTACAGACGACGGGTCTGAAGCTTTGCGTGAAACGTTTTGCATGCACGAAATCATCCGCAAGATCTAGTTGTAAATTTGCAATTCCGTATGAACCAAAGTGCAAATCGAGATCGCAAACTCCTGAAAGACATTTCCCAGAAGCGAGATACTTTCGATAAATATGCAGCCCAAATCTGCCACGTACCATCCCAGCCAGCAGTAACCCATCGCGATCAATCTAGAAAGCAGGTTGCCAGTACTCCGTAAAGGTGCTAGAACTTATCATTGCAGCAGCTAAAGGAATCCAAAACAAGGGCGGATACCAAATTGCTTCAGCTGACCAAACCAATGCCCCACGGTGGTATTGGGCGTGAATCTACTTGAGTAAGGCCATCTAAGAGCTAGCAGCTTATCATAAAAGACACACGAAGGACAACTGGCTCTAGTTGCCAGACTGCATGATATTTGTGTGCATCGGCACGGGCAGTTTATACGGTCACATTCGAACACGTCGTCCAGGTCAGCGTGGCTATGATTATAGCAACCACAATATGCGAAAAGCACACCACTGCGCAAGGTGATCTGTGTTCTCAACCATTCAGCGGTCGTCAGAGCTTATGTTAAGGCCGCATAATATGCGCTACTACTTGCTACCTGCAGGTTGAGAGGTCGTCACTGATCCACATATCTAAAAATCAGAAAGTATCTTGATTACTTCGAACGGTGCCGAGCTGGCAAATCGACAGGAGATAAAACGGAAGCTATGGAATATTTCAAACCCGTATGGAACAACTCACAAAATAGATGTCGCATATCCAGTGATGAATATTCAGTTTCTTTACGGCAGAGATCACGATATAAGCTTTTAGCGCTCTTTTTCTTCCATCTTTTCATCTTTTTAGAGCACGATGATCACGTGCTCGATGTATGTGTAGGTGATTTGTAGTGGCCTAGCTAGAGTACACGCAGCTAGCATCCAGGAGCTACCTTGATGTCGATAACTGCACTTTGGCCACTCAGTACAGAGTCCACAGCCTGCTTCAGGACGGCCTGGAGCTCGCTTGTCTGATCTACTCGTGCAGTGAACAAGTTGCCTCCAGCGGCAGCCTTGGCTATGCCAGAGTAGTCTGGCGATGGATCAAATGAAATATTAATCTCTTCGTTGCTCGCCCCGGCTCCCAGGCCATCTGGATGGACGAGCAAAAGAGACCGTCGCGGTGCATTCCAACCTGGAGCAAAACTGTTAGCGCATACTCAACAACCTGGATTAAAGATGGCTCTGATCTCACCCTTGTTGTTCAGCACAATCGTCAAAACGGGGATGTTGTAGCGCCGAGAAATCCAGTACACGCTTCCTGGCACCGAAAAGAGAAAGGTTCCGTCGCCAACAATCTGGCAAACAAACTTGCCCTTGCCCGGTCCGCCGTTCTCATAATCCGTGGCCAGCTTGATGCCCAAAGCACCGCCACCAGACCAGCCCAAACCACCTCCACCACAGTTGATCCACTGTCCTGGGAGGCTGGGCTGCAGATTATCGTGCACAAATCCAGTGCTGGTGACTGCTTCAATGGCCCAGATCGTATCGGTAGGGCATGTGTCTCGCAGGACGCGAGTCAAGTGCCCAACACCAAATCCACCGTCCGCAAGCGGCTTCGCCTTACTTTCATAAGACGCCAGGAGCGCCTTGTGGGCTTGGACCCGAGCTTCTTTCGCTTCCGCATCGACTTTCGGGCCCGACTTCTCCAGATAGGCGCTGATCTGCTCGATAGAAGCCAGTGAGTCGGCCAATATCCGCTGCTCGGCTGCAATGTAGAACACTGGCATCATCCTCTTCAGAGGATCACAGTCGATGTGGAAAACACGGGCATCCGTAGGTGGAGAGCACTGGGTTGGGATCCAGGGCACGTCACAATCAAGCACAAGTATGACGTCGGCTGTGCGAATAGCGTCGTGATTTCCGAATCGGAGGCCCAGCCACGCCGGATGATTCGCTGGGAAGCACATGTCACTGCCACCCGTGTCCAATACGCGTAGTTTCGGCACTGCGTCTGCCAACTTGACCAGAGCTGGTGCCGTAGCTTGATTGCGTCCAGAGTAGCCAGTGATGATAAGCGGCTCCTTGGCTTTGGACAGTGCCTCAGCAATGTCCTCCACAGATGATTCCGGCAATCCGCCAAGCTGAACTGGCTTCCAGTGGTCCTGGTTCAGTTCGTACGGCTGAATCTCCTCCTCCATGACTTCGCGTGCGCCGCAGAGATACACCGGTCCAGCCGGTGCGGAACGTGCAAAAGACAAGGCGCGGTTGACCATCTGCTTCACGTTGCGGCCAGTCTTCAGCTCGGCAGTATAGCGGCAGTACTGACCGATGATCTGCTTTTGGTCAGGCACATCTTGGATCCAGTGGATGTATTCTGTGCGCGTGCCACGCAGCTCGCCGTCCAGGGTGAACGGACTAAGCCCAGCAAACACCAGCACAGGTGCACGTCCAGTGCTGGAATTGTGCACGGCAGCACCGAGTCCCTGCGTCCCGACGTCCACGTGCACAATCACGCACTGTGGCTTGCCGGTCAGACGGGCATATCCATCTGCCATGGACATAGCGACCATCTAGACTGGTTAGTATCTCGTCGTAGAGGTCATGCATATTCCCAACACATGCACCGGTCGTCGTACCTCGTTAGGACAAGTGATGAAGCGGGGAAATTTTCCTTTCCGCTCCCTTTGGCCCTTGACCATTGCCTCGATGATGCTGGGATGGTCCGAGCCCAGATTGACAAAGCAGTGGGAGACGCCGGCATCCCACAGGGCCTCAAAAAAGGCAAATGATGTGGTGTACATGTTGGGGTCAGGGAAGGTGCTTGCGGATCCTGCAGAAGCTGTTTGTAGCTTTCTAGTGGTTTGCGCTTTCAATGTCGACAAGGACACGAAAGATCGCGCTTGAATTGCTCGATGTGCCAAAAAGGGCCGGGCAGCGTTCTTGAATCCGTACCGGTCCACAGACGTGGCATTGACGGCGATGCAGGTCGAGAAACTAGCTCGGTTCGACGGTGACGAAGAATAGGCTCGAACAGGGGAAATGTAAAGCCGTCGTGCCGACAGTCCGCGCTGCCTAGCCATGGCAGATAGGTGGGGAGATAGATGCGGGGCTAAAGGCATGTTGGTAGTATTTTGTTTTCTCGTCTGTCTTGTCGGTTATTCTGTTGGTCCCAGTGCAGGAAGGAGAATCGACTAGGTCCGTGGGCAACTCGGGCTATCGGCCGCAAAACAGGGCAACAGAGCTCGGACGATGTCGCGGCGTACCTCCAGGCGTCTTCCACGGTTCGTTGCAGTTTTACGGTCGAGTCTTGTGATTTCAAAGGAGGATGTATTTGGCCAGAATAATGTGACTACTAAAATAAGTGAAATGTGTTCTTCTCAAGAAAGCAGCTGCTCGGGACCGCTCTTTCCGCACCAACAAATATGGTGGGCCTCTTTGTCAAAAAAGAAGCGGGTGTCACTTCCTAAAGGGGCAGGCAGCTCGAGCCCAAACGGTCTCGGCAAGTAAAGCCGTTGCTGACATATTCTTCTGCCAAAACGTCCATTTCAACTTCTACGGCTTCTTCTCTCAATTCGTTCACGAGAAGTATATCTCATTGCTTCACATTTTGTATTGTTATTATCCCTTGACGTGAAATATTTCGACCATCGTCTTTTGGTACGAATTACGCCGTTTCAGAGCACCCGCCGCTTATTGACGGCATACTACTTGACACTTCCCCGCATACGATAAATAAAGTGGATCTGTACGAGACACGGTAAGGCACGTCACTTTTTTTCCATCTGGGGGATCTAGTTTCAGAGCAAGGCGATTTCAGCTTTGATACAAACTTGGAGCCCATGTAAAATGATTTGTGTATATCAAAAAGCAGATGTGTAAAATAATTTCAAAATTAAACGATTTCAGGCAGTGTACTAGTGCTTGCACGAAAAGCATTTGGTTGGAACCTGGCTAGTGGCTCCTTATGGTATCGAGTCGTCGTATCTTACTTTCAAGTCTTTTTGAAGTTCATCTTATCCAGTCATGAATCCGGCTTCGACAATTCCCCAGCTTTGGATCTGGTGATGTAGCTTCGATCGTACTAGTCTTGTTTTGATTGATTGCTAGTCATACACTGAGAGACAGATCTCCAAGGGCGCATCAAAGCTAGAGTTACTACATAAACGTATGACATCTTTATTTTACGGGTTCGACAACTATGTTGATTGATAACTGAACACCGGTCCGGGTACTGCAAATGTAAGCCTTTTAGTCCCCCTGATAAGCGATTTCGGTTACGTATATGTATCGGATAAGTATCTTTCCCGACTTCTTTTCCGACTATTTTCCGACACCTTTTCCGACATGTATTTCGACATCATGTGCAGCCCAGTAAAACATACAAAACTCAGTCTTTGCGTCTAGGTAAGCAATCACATGTTCTTCCCAGAAATGCTGTCTCTCAAGTTTCCTTAACATGACCAGACCTCTCTGTCCAGGTGCTTGCTTTATAACCACGTCTAAATAGAGTTATAACACACCAGCGGTTGGTGAGCGTGTGTGGGGACTATTGAGTTATTTCGTGCCCGACAAAACTGGGTTTCGGAAAGCATCATACGTAACGGATACTCTGTACGTCTGTTCATATCTTTGCCTGGGGCGGAAGGATGGCCGAACACTCTATCTCGACCTTGGCCCCCAGAGGAAGCTGGTAAACGGCAATCGCAGTTCGGCACTATGGATACGTATCAACATGACGCTCAGATCACCCTCGCGCAGTTATGCGGCGGCGACTTACCGGCTTAGGCACGGTGTTGCAAAACGCCTCGTCGTAGGCTTCATTCAAATGTTGGAAATCGTCCATTGTTGTGAGAAAGACGTTGACCTTGACAACGTCCGCCAAGCTAGCACCACCAGCTCGGAGCACTGCAGAGAGGTTGCCGAGTGCCATGCGCTTGTTGATTGGTCAGTCGCCCGGTTCGATGGCTTCGCATTTCAATGGAAGCAGAAAAGATTGGTAGCTTGGTGGGGGCTCACCGTTTCAGCCTTGATTCCTCCGTCGACAAGTTTATTCGTCGCCGGGTCGACACCGATGTTTCCCGAACAGTATATCATGCCATTACACTTGATAGCCTGCGAGAACTGTGGCAAGGGCGGGGGTGCATCCGTAGTTAGTACGGCCTTCCTCGACATGATGGTGTATATGCGCTGGGTTGTCGTAGCTGATGGGTGTCGTTTCATCTGATTTGTTATCGTACAAGGCAACGCAGAGAAGTCCCTATCTTTATATATCGGGTCCATGTTTAGACAGTATCAGCCCAGGCCCCACAACTTTCTTGGCCTGGGCGATGAACAGGTCCAGTTTAGATAGAGTCCTTGACATCTTCCACGGGCAATCAATACGTAGATACGACCCTGTCCAGCGGGTCTCGTCCTAGAACGTGCTGCTGATAACGGAGAATCGCGTAGCCGACAGGCCTTCCAAGCTAAAATACATGATTGTATAATAAATACGAGCATCTTTCTTCCCAGAACCAGGCTTTCTGTCCTTGTGATTTCCGTCCGACTGTTCCGCCCGGGATCATATCCCGTATACACAGACGAAACCCCGAGGGAGAATTTCCATCTCTTCCGTCCACACACCGGTCACAATGGCGACTCTCGTCGACGAGGAGAAGAAGGCGGAGCGCTTCAGCATCAGCGAGCCCAAGCTTGACCTGGAGATCGGCGATGTGCACGACCTCGACGAGGCCGAGATCTTCCTCCGCGACAACGGCTATGGCCCGGAACGGCTGCAGGAGCTGCTCAGCGACGAGGCCGGGGTCAAGAGGCTGATCCGCCGTGTTGATCTGCGGCTGCTCCCCCTGCTCGCGGGCACCTATGTGCTGCAATACATCGACAAGCAGGCGCTGTCGTACGCGGCCGTCTTCGACCTCTTCAGCGACACGGGCATCAACCAGAATCAGTACAGCTGGTTTCCCAGCATGTTCTACCTCGCCTACCTCGTGGCAGAGTATCCCTGGAGCGCGCTGGCCCAGCGGACGTACATGGCCAAGGTCGTCTCTGGCTGCGTCGTCGTCTGGGGCGCCATCCTGATGCTCACGGCGACCAGCAGCAACTTTGCCGGCATGGCCACCTGCCGCACCCTCCTCGGCGTCTTTGAGGCGCCTATCACGCCCTGCTTCATGATGATCGTGAGCATGTGGGTATGTGACTGCGATGCTGTCTGATTCCGTGCAGGACATGTCCTCGCATGCTGACGTGTGGTATCTCGGTCTAGTATATGCGGGACGAGCAGCCCTTTCGGGCCGGCGTATTCTACAGCTGCAACGGCGTGGGTGCCATGATCGGCGGCATCTTGTCGTACTGCATCGGCCAGATCGACACGTTCCCGGTGTGGAAGGCCATCTTCCTGCTCTGCGGTGGTCTCACGGTGATCTGGGGCGTGGTCATGTACTTCTTCCTGCCCGACGACATCATGTCGGCGCGCCAGTTCAGCGTAGAGGACAAGGCCACGCTGATCGCTCGAGGCAAGGTCGGACGCACCGGCATCCTCAGCCGGAAGATCAAGTGGAGCCAGATGCGCGAGGCTTTTCTCGATCCGCAGGTCTGGCTGTTGTTCCTCTTCACGCTGCTCAACGAGGTGATCAACGGCGGCATCGCCAACTTTGGCAAGCTCATCATCAAGGGCCTGGTGCACGACGCGCTCCGCACAACGGCGCTGGGCATTCCGCTGGGTGCCTTCCAGATCGTCTGGATCCTGTCGGGCACCTACATCGCCTCGCGCTTCCGCAACGTACGCACGTTTGTCATGATGGCCTACCTCGTACCCACGATCATCGGCGTGGCCCTGATGTGGAAGCTGGATCGTCACCACCAAAAGGTCGGCGTCCTGTTCGGCTACTACATCTCGGGTGCCTATGTTGCTTCCCTCGTCGTCACTCTCCAGATGCCGGCGGCCAACCTGGCCGGATACACGAAGCGAACCACGGGCACGGCCATCGTCTTTGCCGCCTATTGCATCGGCAACGTTATCGGCCCTCACGCCTTTCTCGACTCCGAGGCCCCCATCTACCAGACTGGCTGCAAGGTGTGCATGGCCTGTGCCATCTGTCAGGTGGTCGTGGCTGTTTGTCTGCGCGTGCTGCTAGTCTGGCGGAACAAGCAGAAGGATGTCGCACAAGGAGCGGTAGCTCTGGACGATCCGGTTGTTGATGAGCTGACCAATGACATCACCGACTTTGAGGTACGCGTATACACATGTTTTGCGTGTTGAATAAAACGCTAACTTGTTGTCACCAGAATCCGCGGTTCAGATATATGCTTTGATGATTGCATTTCGGCAGCCAGCCTTTCATTTCCTTTCGTCGTAGTCCTTGCAATGATATGTGACCGCCGGCAAGTGCTCGACAGCCCTGCTCTGCACCTGCATCTGCACATGCGCCTGCACATGCACGCATTCAAAGCACATAGTCCACTATGGAGACCCGATAAGCCGGGGTTTGCCGCGGCATAGTTGGTGGAATATTCAAAGTTGGGCACCGGGACTTTCCCCGCCATATTTTACTGATTCTCTTGCTCGCTTATGTTATTGGAGAGAGCATTTGCCGTCAGATCGTAAAAATGCAATGTTTACTTCTTGGTCACGCCATGTCTGGCTCTCCTTCCCCGGGTGGCAAGGTGTTGCCTCCAGACTTACTGTCGTGCTCGCAAATACGCGTACGTGCGTCGTATATAGGCAGGCTGGTACGACCCATGACACTTGAAGGGTCACACGACAGCACCAGGCCAATTGCACGGGAAGAACGGACGATGCACGAGCCAGGAAGTGGTCAGTGGCGGTCACAATGTATCCGAGGGTGATGTACTGTTACATTTGACAGACAAGATGTGCCAGGACTCCACCCGTTTGAACGGTGAAAGACGGCTGGAGAGGCAGAACCGCGACATTGCGTCCTCTGGCAACCTCGATCATCGTTGCCCTCAAAACCTGGGGTAGTGCTGGGGGGGTAGTGTCCGGGTAAGCGGGTGGGGGACGGGATAGCAGAGTTGAAAGGGGGGAGTGGCTCCCTCTGAAATGAACATCGACGGAGATTGTGCTGAGAGTGACCAGTGGAGCGCGCCGAAATGAGAAACGAGAAATTGAGCGGTCGCCGCCAGGCTGCCGAATATGACTAAGGCACGCGTAAGTGCTGCAGACCGCTGTTGGACGGATTGGGCGCCCAACAAATGCGGGTGCCTGCAACCATCGGATGCCCTAGTGGAAAACTGCGCTGGGGCCTTGCAGCAGGGCTAGAAGAGGGCTGGCCGGCTCCATCCATTCGCAATTCCGCCAGAGACGGGTCACGTTACCCAATAAAAATACGAGTACGAGTAGATACGAGAAGGCGCCCGGCAAGCCACAGTTCACGGTTGCTGCTTGCCTGCAAAGCTGTTCCAGTCCGCCGGACGGCCTTGCGACCTTGCCTTTCTTTGTCGCTGTCGCTGCAGATCGGCACATGCGAAGAGGTAAGCGGCACGCTAACCGGACAGCCAGCCCAGAGGCTGCGCGCCCTGTTCTTTAGGCCGCGGCCGAGACTCGTCGCACGCTAAGCTCCAAGCAAGAAGCCGCCCCGCCAGCACCACTCTTTCCCAATCCCACGCGCCTTTCACCTCGCTCTTTTTCGCCTGTCCGCCTGGCCTTGTCCCCTCTTTTCTTACAGGTCGGGCCTTGGTCACATTCTCTCTCTCTCACCTCTTCACCTGCTCTTGTCACCATACTTTGTTTAAAGATGCCGCCGGCCTTCCCCTCTCGGCCGGCTCCTCCAACCACGTCCTCCTGATTGTCCTCCTCCTTGCTTCTCCTGCTTTGTCTCCCGTCGCCTGGCCCATCGCCCTGGCCCTCACCTATTATTCGTATCCTGTTCTCTTTCGACAGTACGACTACGAGCCAGCATCGACAACGGCCCGACTCGACCGCGCTGCACCCTATAACCCCTGTCTACGGCACGCGCCTTTCATCGTAGTCGCCTCACTCGTCCGCCACAGGCCTAGGGGGGAAAAAAGATTTCTTCCTGGCCATTGTCACGAGAGACGATGCGCCCTGTCTGCCAGAGAGGCGGGAATCTCATCTCGGCACAGCGGCCTTAGCAGCGTCGCTCACAACGCCGCCCCGACCTGCAAACGTCGAACGAGCGAGGTGCAGCTCCCCCACGACCGCCTTCACTGTTCTAATCTCCGCCAGCAGCGCGCCTTTTTTCCTCTTTTTCTCTCCATTTGACTCTGGGTCCATCTCTTTCCCCGTCTTCTACCGATCTCCGTCTCTCTCCTCCCTATTTCATATCCTATAGCCTCACCATCCTTATCATCGCCATGGCCCAGACTGAATCCTGCGTCGTGTCTGGCGCGAACATCCACCTGGACGGCGTGTCGCCCCCACGACTGGACTTGGAAGCCGACAGCATCTTCGACATTAGCCCGCTGGTGGCACTGCAGCTGCTATGCGCCAGCGTCGAGGCGCTCGTGCGCATTACCGGCGACGTGCCCCCGTCCCCGCCGACATCAGGGATATCTACCGAGACCAACATGCGCGAAATGGACGCTGAGAAGGCGTCTATTGTGCGCACGCTCAGCGCCAACAGCCTCGCTCAACTGCGGGCGCAGGCCGAGAAGCTGGACAAGTCGGCCGGTGTGCAAGTCCACGAGAGAAGTCTCGACATGTCCACGCCGTCTGCTCGGTTGAGAATGCCACCGACACCACCGCCCGTGCGACCGATCGTCATGGAGATCGACGGCGTGCATCTGAAGCAGTCATCCCCCAGCGGGCCGCCAGAACGGGAGCCGACACCCCTGTCGCCTAAGAGCATGAGCACGTCCCCGTCCGCGGCAGCAGCAGCGGCTTTCACGCCCGTGCCCTATATTATCATTGGTGCCGACTCGCAGCCGTTAAATGTGCAGCACTCAGCCATCTCGCGCAAGTTTTACAGCAAGGCGGTGCCGCCATTTAGCATATCACAGTACCTGAAACGCCTACACCGCTACTGTCCCATGAGCACGGCCGTATACCTGGCCACGAGCCTGTACATATACCGGCTCGCGGTTATCGACAAGGTGATTGCCGTGACGCGGCGCAACTCGCACCGGCTGCTGCTGGCCGGCCTGCGCGTGGCCATGAAAGCGCTCGAGGACAGGAACCATTCGCACTCCAAGATGTCCAAGGTTGGCGGTGTCAGCGAAGCCGAGCTGGCACGGCTAGAGATACACTTCTGCTTCCTCGTTGGCTTCGACGTCATCGTGCAGGCCGACCAGATCCAGCAGCACTGGCTGCTGATGAAGAGGGGATCAGCTCTGGGCCCGCTCGACCTGGACGAGACAGTGACCATGACGGTCATGGCGTCATAGAGCCTGGATCGTGCATCGCGAAAAAGTACATATAATATCCTGAACACCATGTAAAAACAGACACAAAGAACAAAACCCAACACAACGGGCTAGAACGGAGGAGACACCGTTATAACTTAGTGGCTGTAAGATAAGATAAGACAAAAACGTTCTCATGTGCCTGCCTATTTGAGTGCCGTTTGGAAGAGTTTTGCTTATCCTTTATCGAGAATACCCCGCTGTCGCTAATAGCGGCAGGCCACTCTCGGCTTAACAAGCTTTTGGGCATTGGCTGTTTCTTTCCCTATTATCAGCAAACTGGCTTCAGGGACTTCGTATTCCTTTCTGTTGCCCACCATCATCTCATGTGCCTCGCTCGACAACCACAGCGAGCCAGACAATTCAGCGCATTGTTACTGATCTTGACAGGCAGCCGACCAACGCAGCCGCCCGGGAGCTTCAGCAGAGCTTTTTCTTCTTCTCTTCCTTCTCGACGACCGACGGCCTCGAGCTTCTGTTTGGCGAGCACCCGTCTCTTCTCGCACTCGGCCACGACGACCACGATGACTGACTACGACGAGGTTCTCAGGGGCAAGTACCCGGCCAAGGCGCACGCGCAGCGGGTCGCCGACTACATTCGGGCCAAGGTGCCAGCGGCGAGGGCGAAGCACGGGGTGATCTACCTAGAGAGCAAGGCGACACGGCTGCTGGAGGACAACGACGAGCCGGAGCCATTCCGGCAGCGGCGGCCGTTCTTTTACCTGACGGGCAGCACGCTGGCAGACGCGGCAGTGGCGTACGACATGGCCAGCGGGAAATCGACACTCTTCATCCCGCCTGTGGACGCAGACACCGTCATCTGGTCAGGGCTGCCGGTGACGGCCGAGGAGGCCAAGGCGCGCTGGGACGTGGACGCGGTGCGATATGTGGAGGAGGTAAACGGGTTCCTGGCCGGACTAGCCCAGCGGCCGGGTTCGGTGGTGTTTGCGATGGCCGGCCAGGTGGCCGACGGGACGACCTTTGTGGGCTTTGACGAGGCCGACATGGAGCTTCTGCGTGAGGCGGTCGAGGAGGAGCGAGTGGTCAAGGACGAGTACGAGCTGGCGCTGCTGGCCCGGGCCAACGCGGTGTCGAGCGACGCCCATCGCGCGGTGCTGCAGCGGGCACGCGGCGCCGCCAACGAGCGCGAGCTCGAGGCCGTCTTCCTCGCGCATTGCGTCGCCCACGGCGCGCGCGAGCAGTCGTACAGCAGCATCGTGGCCAGTGGTCGGGCCGCCGCTACGCTGCACTACGTGCGCAACGACCAGCCGCTTGCCGGCAAGCTCAACCTGCTGCTGGATGCCGGCGCCGAGTGGGACTGCTATGCGGCCGACATCACTCGCACCTTTCCCCTTGGCGGCCGCTTCTCGCCCGAGTCTCGGGCCATCTACGACATCGTCCTGCGCATGCAGCTCGAGTGCATCGACCTCCTGCGCGAGGGTGTACTCTGGGACGACGTCCACCTGCACGCCCACGCCGTCGCCATCGACGGCCTCCTCGACCTCGGCATTCTGCGCGGCGACAAGGCCGACATCCTGCGCGACCGCACCAGCGTCGCCTTCTTCCCCCATGGCCTCGGCCACTATCTCGGCATGGACACCCACGACGTCGGCGGTCACCCCAACTACGCCGACAAGGACCCCATGTTCCGCTACCTGCGCGTCCGCGGCACCCTCCCGGCCGGCAGCGTCGTCACCGTGGAGCCGGGCGTACGTCGATGCCTTCTGTTTGTCTGCTTCTTCTGCTGTCCACCTTCTAATGCCTGCAGATCTATTTTTGCGAGTTTATCATTCGCCCCTATCTCAAGGACCCTGTCCACGCCAAGTACATCGACACGGACGTGCTTGACAAGTACTGGGACGTCGGTGGTGTCCGGTACGTCTGTTCCTGCATGTTCTCTCCATCTTGTCTCTGCGCTGTCTCTTAACACTACATTAGAATCGAAGACAATATCGTCATTACCAAGACAGGATGCACAAATCTTACACCCGCCATCAAGGATCCAGAAGAGCTCGAGAAGATCGTCAGCGGGTCGGCATGAAGGAGGAAATAGCATTGGCCGGTTTAGCTACAAATTATACACATAATTCGGTGCGCCATGAAAGTGGGTGTCCTCGGCTGTGTTCCGATCGTACTTGTTCACTCCAGGTAGCCAATGTCACATGAACGGCCACTAACACAGGATAAGTGTGCCAAGTCGTTCTTTCCCAACATGTTGAAAATAGCTGCCAATCACATGAAAGAAGCAAGACAAAACAAAGCAGAGTTATTCTCCCATTCTTGGCTGCTCCCAAAGATATATGCGCATGGCCTATGTGAGCCACTGGATGGTCTGTTGCTTTGAGGTCCTAGTCATCAGGGCCATGGTAAGCCGAATGGGTGGTTTCAAGGTATGTCTATGATGTCACCGTGATCAAGGGGCGTCATCGTCGAAACAATATGGTCCATCGCCTGATGTTTCGGCAGGGGCTGCGGCCACACCTACTCTATTGTCGATGAGCCCACAGTAACTGCCGACCTCGGTCTTGTATTTTTAGACTGACAGGCCGCTCAGCTATGTATCCCGACAGCGTTCAAGACTGTTGTCCTCCTCCGTCTCGATTTTGTGGTGTCTTTGGCAATGCAGAGACTTGAGAGCTATCGCCTGCACCGCCACCAGCTCCTGGTTTGCTAAAGGCCATTGCATCTTCCGAGACCGACGGGGAGCACGAGATTGCCAGTTATCGTCGTCTTTGCCACACCCAATAAATTCGTCATAGGCCTCCACCGCGATCTGGCCTTGTTTGCCGATTTGCCGCCATATTATGCAGAGTAGCGGAAGCGTCTGTGGGCAGTTTCCTTCGGCTCCACCTCACCTGTTGCATCCGCAGCAGCACGCAACTGGCCTTTACCTGGAAGGCGCCGACTGCCCTCTTCCCACACCAACTGTGCTTCCGGTGTCTAACTCGGTGCAGCCGACCGTGGTGATAGATGATACGAGCAAACGCATAGCGGGTTGCGAGCTAAGCGACGATTGATCACTGTACAATGGGAGTGGCCGCGACGGTTATCGCTCCAGTGTATCAACCCCTGTGCTCTGCGAACCGGCTCGTCCCAGCCGAACAGCAGGCCAAGATGCGCCGCGCTTTTTTTGCCATTGTAGCGGGTCGCCTTTCAAAATACAGCCCGATGCCTCCACCTCTGATCCGATGCTGGTCCTGCAGCGGACCATGCTGTCTGTCGAAGACCACAGCTTTCTGACGGAATTCGTCCTGAATAGCTTTATGTCGTGGAGATCCGCCGACAGCGGCATGTCTGCTGATTATCTGGCGCAGCTCTTGGATATTTGGGATTATGCTGTTTTTCTGTTCTCGACCAGTCCCAGTCCCACTATCAACGGGACGGCACAGGACAACGTGGACACCTCTGTTGCCCCGTCGACCTCTACCGCTGTCTGTGACGCCCGGACTATATCGCTAGATCGTGTGTGGTCTGATGTCGGCCGTGGTGCTCTAGCAGCCTGTCTGGTGATCGGTCTTCTGTGACGTCTGGATGCGGAAAGAGGTTGTCTACCTTTTGCCTGGGGAGCCAGAGCTGCAGTTGGGCCTCTCGCCCTTACCAGTGCTAAGATGCTCGTGAGACCTACGAAGCTTACCCGTATTCACGTTTGAGACAAGTGTTTGCCAAAGAGGCATAAACCCTTAAGAACCGTAGATGTAGCCTCGTCCGCGAACTTTCCTTGGAGGAGTGCCATGTCCTCAGGCAGGGGAGCACAGAATGTCTTGAGCCAGTCGAATTTACCAACAAAAATCTTCTAGCTGGGCCATTCGCGCAACCGTTAAGGGCTGATGTTTTTTTTGGTAGGATAGTGCGACCAAGGTCAATTTCCTAATTCGGCACCTGGCCGTCAAAGCCTCGTCTAGAGACTTTGCCTAAGATGGCAGAGAGGATATAGCTCTAGCAGGCACTATATGCCAAAAACATAAGATAGCACGTGCAACACAGATGAGCCAGTGGTGTATTGGTGCCGACGAAACAGCCTCCATTCATTGTCCTTTCTACACTGGCAGTTAAATGCCATCCGTCCTTCATCCTATGCTGCCAGCGAATAGGCTAAGAACCGCTAGTGTCCAAGCCTCCTCCTTCCCAGCCAAACAAAAGGGCTTTGCATCTTTTAGTATCTATGCCCTATTCCCACAGTCCAGACCTGTTCTTCTTCTCGCCGCCTCAGCTCATGCTTCTCTTCCCCGACTATTAGCTCCCCCGCCCCTCTGACGTATTGTATGTGTGCACGCACGTATGGTGTGTGTGCGCGTCTGTACTGTCCCGGCTGTGTCGTTCTTTAAAACGTCTCCTGGTCGTCGACTGCGGCCTCCTCGGCCGGGATCTCGAAACCCTCCTCGGTGGAGTACAGGATGTTCTGGATGTGCTTGATCAAGCCGTCTTCCTGCTTCTCCAGCTCCGGGTCCTCCTCGACGGCCTGCTGGATCAGGAGCTCAATGTCGCGCAGCTTGCTAAAGTAAAAGTCGCGCTCGCGCTCCAGCCCGACAACGGTCTCCTTGAGCGTGGCGTTCTCCTGCTGCAGCGCCGCGCTGGCCACGCCGCCACCGATACCGCCGGTCTTGCCCAGCCGTGGACCGGTCGTTGGCGGCGTGCTGCCGGTCCTCCGCGCGCCCGCCGACACGGTCGCCCGAGACCCGCCGCCCGAGACGACAGGGGCGCCTTTTCGCCGTGCGACCGCGTCGTAGTCGCCGCCAGGGTAGTGCTGGTCCCAGTACCGCTTGGACCACTGCAGAAATTCGAGATTGTCCTGCATCTTGCACTTGACCAGAGCCTCGACCGGGATCGGCTTGTTCACCTGGTGCTTGGCAAACGAGTCTGCAGCGAGAACAAACAGGTTGCGGTTAGCCAGCCTTCCACGCATATATTTCCCCCTTCACTGCTCGGATCGACTGACTCTGTAGAACTTTGAAATTTGTTATATAGGCATATTCCGTGTTCACGTTGAACTTAACCCGGGACATGGGAATGTCGAGGAAGATGCTGTCAAAGACCTGGCAAAGGGCAGCTCTGCAGGCGACGTTGTTTGCGGTCAGCTTGAGTGGCTATACGTTCACGATACACATACGGGCATCAGAGGGGGAAACAGGAAGAGGCCCTGCCATGCCACCACGCACCCGGTTCCACACTGCTCGACTTTGGTGATGTTGAGCTGGAGCAGGCTGTTCAGCCATTGGATGAGTTCCTGTCTGGAGGTCGGGTCTCAGCAACGAAACTCCACGAAGCAATACCGGCTATGCAAGTCCTACCGTGATTCGCCCATGATTGCGGTTTGCGGTATCGTGCGCCTAGCGGACGCTTTGTAATGCTCGGACTGGTGACAGAGAGACGGGAGAGAGAGGATAGGGGCAGGTATTGAGGCGAGAACGAAGCGAGTTACAGATGCGGTAGGGTCTGATGGATGGTTCGTACAGGGGCGACCGTTTTTCTGATCGTTCCGTATCGATATGCGGGAAGGGAGCTGGTAATATGGAAGCAGACAAAGAGACACGCGCCGAAAGAAGCCGTTAGGTATTTTGCCAAAAGGATTTATTTCGTCAGTCGAAGTCTGCAAGGAGTCGGTCCAATCAACATAAACACGCTTCCTTGGTGGGGTAATTTTGTTCTATTCGCTTCCCGTTGCCTGTTGTTCAGGGGGGCAACGCCCAGTCGGCGGTTATTGGCCCGTGGGTCCTGCGGGACTTGCTTCCAGTCCCGTGACATGCTGACCTCGCCGAAGTCAGTCGCATAGTGAAGGCAGATTACAAGCAGATGAATGTCTAGGTTTTTCCAGCCAGCAGGCTAGATCGGATGTAGATCTGCCAGGCTGATGGCTCTGTATGATTGCATACAAATTTGCCCAAAGGGTGCCATCTGGGAGCTGCAGTTAACTCGTGCCCACTCCTGCGCAGAATACATTACACTGCCCAACCCGTGTGGGCTATCGCCACAATACTCCGTACTCGTATTCCCACTTCCCCTTTTCACGCTTTCACGCTTTCACATGCAGTACTAATTTCTCGCCAGCTGATTACTATGTCTGCGAAATGATCTTTGTATGATTGCTCGACTCTGGGAAATCCATAATATAAAGCTCCACCAGAGGCGCTGTCCATCCAAATGACTTATTAGATGCAAGTGTGTACGCAAAAATGTCTAAACTAAAACTAAAAAAAACAGAAGCCCGTCCGTGGTATAGGATAAGAGACAGAGAGAGAGAGAGATCAGGCGTCGGGTTCGCTTGCTATGTATGCCTTGGAAAGGTAATAATGTCGGAAAGCCAAAGGCAGAAAGCAGAGACGATGGTGAATGTGTTGTACAGGCGAGGTGTCGCATATGGGGAGTAACCGACCAGTCGTGGCTCTCATCGTCAGCACATGCGGGCCTAGTTGCCGTCTGGGACCTCAGCCTAGACGTCTGGTGCGCTCCTTGGCCACCCTGACCTTGTTGCTGACGCGCTCCGTGTCCTCATCCAGCTGTGTGAGCATGCCGATCTGCGTGTCGACCTCCTGCTTGATGGCGAGTCCGAGCTGGCGCTGTCTCTGCACGATCCGCGCCAGCGCCTCGACGTCCTGGTCCTGCTCGGCCATCATCTGTTTTTGCAGCTGTACGACGCCGTTGTTGTCGCGCTCGCGTGTCCGATCCGTCTCCGGCAGTGGAGCTCCGAGCACGCGGCCGCCAGCCCGGGCAGCCCCCCGGCCATTGCTGCTGGCAGCCCCTGAAAAGAGCGAAGCGCGGGCGCCAGTTTCCGGCGGTCCCATCCGCCCACTGCTGCTGCTGCTGCCAGCACCAACAGCGGCACCAGGACCACTGCCACCGTCGCCACCAGCAGCACCGCTACGCCCGCTGGCCAGGCTCGCGCTGAGCGTCTCGAGGCCGTCCTTGTCGACGCGTGCCGCCGCCACGAGGTCGCGACGCCGCCGCAGTTCGCCGTCGCCGAGTCGCTTGGCCTCCTGCAGCGTCTTGAGCCCAGTTGTCAGGGCGGCCAGCAGGCTGCCGGCCTTGACCAGCTCGCGCTTGGCGGCTGCACCGGCAGCGATGGCGGCGTAAGACGACGAGCCGGCCGCCGCCGACGAGCCAGACACGGCATCCGCTGCTGCATCGCGTCGCGCCAGCTGCAGTCGCGCGTCGTGCAGCGCCTTCTTCATCTCCTTGTGCAGGTCCAGCCAGGTGCCGGGATCGCCGGCAGCGGCGGCATTGGCAGCCGTCAGGCCAATGGCCGGCAGCCGAGACTCGAGCGAGCTGCCGTTGGTGTTTCCGCCGCTCGCCGTCGAGCCCGCGCTTCCGTTGACGACGCTCGGCAGGTTCAGAAAGGCCCGCCAGGCGCTCGTGTCGCGCCACCGGCGGTCCGGCGACTCTGCAATTGCGCGCAGGTACGCTTCCAGGCTCACCCGGCGCTCTTCCGTCAGCTCGGGCGAGTCTACGGTCCGGCGGAACCACGACTTGCCCGGCAGCGGCGCAGGCGCGGCCTCGCCGACCAGGTCCGTCAGCGCGCTGTGTAGCATGGCAAAATCGGTGTAGCGCTTCTGCACGACAAACGAGCGCAACGGCAGCCGCAGCGTGATGTTGTACAGCGTGTACGGCTTCGTGCCAGCCGACGCAGGGGCCGTTGACGTCGTCGGGATGGAGATCTCGACCGGTGGAGCCATGGCTCGTGGTGGGAGAGATGGTGGGAGCAACTCCCGCAAGAACTGTCGAAGGAGGAGATGGGAGACAGATGATGGTTTGGGATGCGCCGATTGAGGGCCGTCGACCGTAGGTGCCCGTGTCTTTTCGCCAAGACAATACCGAGTCGATGGCAGAGAAGGCCCAGATAGCGTGGCGAGTGAGACAGGTGATGCGACCGCTTCGTCGAGGGATTTGTCAAAGTATTAAGCTTGGTTGACGTAGGCAGCCGGGACAATTTAGAGATCCAGTCACCCGTTTAGCCCCTGGCTATGGAGCAACTATGGGCGTCAGACCGCTGAAAATGATTAGATATGGAGGCGGTGTCTCAGTTCACGTGACTCTTCTTGACCGCTGGATCTTATCTATTTTGCGCATACGGAGTATTACTCAGCATTATTCGCGGTTGCCTGTAATTTGGGGATGTATCTTACTCCGTTCGCGTAGGTATCTTGTCTTACGCGTAAATAACGGTAGAGGAGGCCGAATTCGTATGGAAAGTCCATGTTGGTTTGTCTGCCTCTTCGCTACTCTATACGAGTGCTCGCACGAGACATTCTTTTGATTGCCGATTGCAACCCTCACTACCCAGCTTCTTGTCGTAGGTAAGATACATACGGATTACACAGTAGTATCTGAAGAAACACGCCCAAGCTGTTCAGGCATCATGTCTCAATTCTTGTTTACGCGTCACACACGGAACAAATTACAACGTAGATATGGAGTACTCACGGAGTGTCAGGTGGCGCGTTCCCGTGGGATTACCTCCGCCTCGTCACATCCACTCCAGTTTCAAGGCCTATCATGAAGTCAGTCATAGACAAGCGCGTGCGGAACAATTGTGAACGAGATTGTACTCCATATGGTGTAAGGTTCATGCGCCATAGCGTACTTGTGCTACTACGGAGTACGTATGCGGTTGAGCATGCGGCTCTTCAAGACAAGGAGAAGGCGCCATAAAGACATACGGAGTACAGTTCATTTAACTTCTGGAAGCCTGGCCCGTTGTGCTTGCGCCCCACAAGTGCTCTTATTGCGAGGCTGGGCTGGGCCCGTTCGTCAAGGAGAGTATGCTGTACGTCGTACGCTCGTATGATGCATCGAATCGCCGATCGTTTTCTCCCTCTCCTTCCTCCTACCGTAAGACATCGTTCTTTAGAGCCAACGGCGGAGGGACGAGCCGGCTGTCTTGGCTCCTAGGTCCGTTGCTAGGCAACCTGTTTTATGGGGTCCACTACCCCTCCAAGACTTAGTGTGACACTGTACTATGTACGAGTACCGCTCTGTCCTCTTACTCGTAATAAATTGGCTACAGACCAGACTACTTCCGGGCGTTTCTGTGGACAAACACGAGGGATATTACCACCTATCGCAGCAATTGCAGCATGCGGAAAACGGACTTGAGTGCGAGCAAGGATGTCGATCTCGTTGCAGTAGCATGCACTGCCGTCACCATGCAAGCACTTTGCGACCCTCCTGTTCGCTTTGCGGATCCTAGCGGCTCATCACAGTCGTCAGATGGCACGGTGTTTTGACTGGACCAGGGTTCCAAAACTCGTCAAACTCGTCACAGCCAGTCGCCACACCATTGCTGCTCGGGGAGCCGGAAACTGGTCGCCGCTTCACGTTGACTGGAGAACAACAGTCGAAAAGGACAGGGAACCAAAAAAGAAGACAACAAAAAGCAAGAAGAACGAAGGCAAGCAAACAAGAAGTTGTTTCTGCCGCCGATGTAACTCACCGCTTCTTAATTTGTTTTAAGTAACCAGTCACCTCGCTTGTCTCGCGGAGTGGTGGGGACGCGAAGCAACAGAACCAGGTCGATGTCTTGGAGAGGAGACGCAAGACATTGGACAACACTGATATCCCGCACATGCGTGTAAGATACGATAATACGGTTACGAATTGTTACAGTCGGCTCGAGCAAAGCAACCAGGCAGGGGCGAGAAGGAGGGGAAATCCTGGATAGAGACGGACGAGGCAGGCAAATAAGAACAGTATGTCGTCAACAATGACACGGCGCAGCATTTCCACCGTCAAGCAAACAGGGTTGGACTGACAGCTGCCACTAGTAGTAGCACCCAACAGCCGCCAGTCTACCATCCACATTAACAGCACGCGGCTCTTCACGCTAGTAAAAGACGGCGCTCCCGGGGGAAAAATCTGCCTAGCAGTATTTTGCAAAACGAAGACTGTCATTTCCCAACAGAAGGTGTGTGGCAGCGCTTGCACAGACGTCGTACGAGAGATGAGCGACTTTCACCCGTACGCTGCCATTGCCCGCCAGACATTATTGCTCCGGACTTGGTATCTTGCACCCGTCCTGCACCTGCGGCCGGGCAGATGCATTGGCGACTACGTCGTACACGCATTTTCCGACGGCCTGGTCGAGTGATGACCCAGGCTGTTGAAGAGGCCATTTGTTTTCAGTGGGTCCTCTTTTCAGGGGGGCCAAGGGACGTGATTGCCCACTGCAGCGGCAGGTTTAGCACGCCCGTAGCCTGTCGCCCACAGGAAAAAGCTCCACGCGCTAGACCTAATCAGAGCGACTAGCTCCGCTTTTCAATTTCGTAATCCGAAGTAAACACAAATAACGAGGGAAAAACGTCTTTTGGTCAAGGCTTCGACCACTCTGTTGCCGTCAGGGCTGGCCGCCTCCTAACTGTGCCATTGTGAGAACTGACACTTTCCCGCATTCTTGTCGTTCCCGCTCCCCCCGGCCTTTCTCTTGCATTCCTCCCCATGTCCTATCGCCCCTGCGCATAATACTCTGTACTTCGTTTTTGCTGTTTTGCTGTGTTTCTGTCTCGCGCCTCTGTCGTCGTTAGATATAGGTTATGTTCAAAAAGGGGGCTGAGCATCTCTTCCGTTTCCAACTCGGTCAGTTTTGCCCACAGTTCTGCCCACAACCCGGCCATACCGGCGCGCACCATATATGGCTGACGACGAGGACCACCATAGCCGCCAGTAAGATACGATACGATACGATACGATACCTGTAGGTCCCACTCAACAGGGGATGTGGTCATTTACCATTCTGTGCTAGCCTGGCACATCGTCAATCGCCACCGTTCTCTTCTCGCTCCTACTCGTATGTAAGATATTTGTTGACATCCCGCCTAGAGTTTTTTATCGACGACACCTTGCACTTTTCCACAGCCAGACACTACAACATCTCGCCAACCCGCCTTGCATTTGTGCAACGAACGAGCTAGCCTTCCTGCTTCGCCCTCTTTTCCATTCTTACAATTGCATCAGCGCCTGGCGTTCCCTGCTCTGCGTTACCTCTGGTATATCTACTACCCTACTCTGCAAGCACGTCTTTCTGCATAATGTATGAACTGACATTCTTCTCCGATCTCAGGCACTGACGACCTTAACGACCTGCTTCTCGCGCCTCCTCTCCGCATGACTTGAACGAACCATAGACCTGTCTTCTTCTGCTCACCTCCGATTCCCAGATTCGACTCCACCGTTTGCCGACCTCCTGCTATAAGACACACTTCTTCCTCGCCCATTGCCCGACTGCTTCGGCGTATTGTCCTCACTTCGCTTCTGCCGCATACACCCACCTCAGAAACTGTCGAGGCATCTGTCGTTCTGGCTAGGCTCCATACTCCTAGAGGATGAGCGCTCCGCCCCCGCCTCCGCCCCATGGTGAGGCCCCGAAAACCACGGGCGGGAGCGGACTGCCACCGGGCAAATATGACATATTCGTCATCCCAGAGCACTCGGCCGGTGCGGGCTTCCTCTACCTGCCATCGCTGCGACCCAATATCAACAGCTTCGTTGCCGGTTTTGCTAGCGCCTTGGCCGTTGTTGCTGTTGGCCATACTTTGGCACCAGCATATAGGGTATGGTCGGCAAACTACCAGGGAATAGGAGACTTGGGGATGATGATGCTCGTGGTCGCTGTCGGGCTCGGCGCATGGGCACTTGGCCGCATACAAAACGACAAGTCGGGGTCCGGTGCTGGGACAGGCTTCAAACGAGGCTTTGATGGTTTTGGACAGGGCGGTGGGGCCGGCGCATATGCAGCGGGTGGTAACGCTGGTTACACCTCCGGCTCGACACCACAGCAAGGTCCCAGTGCGTCAAGTCAGCCACCGCCAAACAGCGGCGCACACCCTCGCTCTCCGCCTTCCGGACAAGGCCCACAGTCCGGTCCTGGGCAGTCGTGGTCCGACGATGCCAAAGCCTCTTGGCAGAAACATCAACAGGAACAGGAAGAGGAGGAGGAACGGGAACGGGAACGTGAGCGCCAGCAACAAGAACAGGAAGAGCAAGAGCGGAAGGTGAAAGAAGAACTCAAACGAAAGGAGAAGGAGGAGCAAGAGCGCAAGGACAGAGAGGAGCGACAACGAAAGCAAAAAGAAGAGCAGCGGCGCCAAGAGAGGGAAGAACGAAACCGGAAGGAGAGAGAAGACCAACAGCGAAAGGAAAAAGAGGAGCAAAAGCGCAAAGAGAGAGAGGAGCAAAAACGGAAGGATAGGGAAGCGCTACTAAGGAAGGAGAAGGAAGACCAACAGCGGAAAGAAAAGGAAGAGCAGCACCGCAAGGCAAAAGAAGAGCAGCACCGTAAGGATAAGGAAGAAAAGCATCGCCGGGACAAAGAAGAGCGGCAACGGCGGCTCAAAGAAGAGAAGCTGCGCAAGGAAAAGGAAGAACAGCAACGTCGGGAACTGGAGGAAAAGCTGCGGCGGGAGAGGGACGAGCAACAACGTCGGGAAGAGGCACGACTGCGGCGAGAGAAGGAGGAAGAGGAACGGCTGCGCCGTGAAAAGGAAGAAGAAGAACGACTGGAGAAGGAGAGACGGCAGCAACGGGAGAAGGAAGAGCAGGAGCAGCGGGAGAAGGAAGAGCGAGAGCAGCGAGAGAAGGAGCGCCTACAACGGGAAAGGGAACAACAACGACAGCAAGCAAAGGGGGCTTGGGAGAAGGCTCGCGAGGAAACGAGACGGCGGGAGGAAGAGCGAAAAGCACAAGAGGCGGAGAAGAAACGACGAGAGGAAATAGCGCAGAAACTAAAGGAGATGCGCGAGAGGGAAGCACGGGAGCGGGTGGAGCGAGAACGACGCGACAAAGCAGAGCGGGAACGACGGGAGAAGGAGGCGAAAGAGCGACAGGAACGAGAGTTGCGAGAGCGCTTGCAAAGGGAGCTTCTGGAAAAGGAGACGAAGGAACGGATAGAGAAGGAGCTGCGTCAGAAGATTGAGAAGGAGTTGCGGGAAAAAGAGCAAAAGGAAAGGGAGCAGCGGGCAAAGGAGCAGAAAGAAAGGGAACAGCGAGAAAAGGAGCGACGGGAAAAGGAGGATCGCGAACGGGATCAGCGAACCCGAGAGCTCAAGGAACGGATGGAACGAGAAGCGCGGGTGGCTCGCGAGCTGGCCGAGAAGGAGCGGATCAAGAAGGAAGAGGAAGAAGAGGAACGGAAGCGAGAACTGGAACGACTGTCGCGCAACCGGAGCACATATGCGTTTTCAGCAGTCGGCGAGCGGACGAACCCATGGCCCAACGGAAAGCCGGCAACAGCAACAGCTTCGAGCGTCAACGGCGCAAGACCAGCACCATCGCCGGCAGCTTCGAGTGTCAACGGCGCTCGACCGGCGCCGTCACCCAACAGATCGACAACGGCCAAGCCGGCGGCCCCTTCAACAGCAGCTCCTTCGTCGACAGGTGGCAGTGCCCGAGGTCCAGGACCGTCAACACCAAAACCGGCAGCCAAGCCGACAGCAGCAAAGCCATCCCCGGCCAAGGAGGAAGAAGAGGCGTACTCGTACCGGCCATACGACAAGCCGAAGCGACCAAATGCGGCACGCAAGAAGTCCGTCTCGGAGATGTCGGACACGTCATGGGCGCCATCACACTCGACAGCACGCACAACACCACCGCCATCGATGCGGTCGCCATACACGACCAACGACCCGGACAAGATCATGATCCGGGCCGTGTACGGGTTCTTGAACCAGTTTGCCAAGACGCCGTCGTCGCAGCTGCTCTCGGGCGTGGGCTCGGTGACGGACGGGCTCATTCTCCGGATCACGACCGAGGGCCTCTTCATCGACGACGACGTGCGCGGCGTGCCGCAGCGCGAATGGGATGTCAAGGCGTGGACGCTGAAGCTGGTAGAGGTATGGTGCCCCGCGCATGCTGTTGCTCTTGCGAATTCTGCGGCCAAGGAGAGTGAGGCGAAGCCGTCGGCGGCCAACGCGGCCAGCGGGACATACACGCATCGTTCAGCCTGGCGCAAGGCCACGGACGGCGTGCGTGGCGACCCGCGGCCGCTGACGGACGAGAGCGCTGATGCGTATCTGGCCGACCTGCTGCGGGAGTGCCAGTCGCTGTGCAGCCTGGGGCTGTGCGATACCGCGACCTGTTGTGCATTTGGTGATTCTGCGTCGTCTTCTGCGTCTGCTCATGAGAAAGCCTCGGGTTCGTCCACTAATTTGCGCAACCACGCACAGACGGGAGACTGGAAGGCCAAGGGCCTGCACGTGCTGCGTGCCACCGTGCGTGACCAGGAGGGCAAGCGTTTTATGTTTGTCGTCGGCCAGGAGGAGGCTTGGAAGGTCGGCGTCGGCCTTCAGCGTCTGCGTCGGGGGACTCAGGTGCGGTCGCTAGGCGTGGCCAGCATGAGTGCCCTGGAGGCGCGGACGACGCTTGAGCTGATGGGTTGGGGGTGAGGAAGGGGAGGGAAGAGGGAAGTGAAGGGTGAAGAGTGAGGGAGTGGACGGTGAAGAGGTGAGTGGAAAGATGAAGGAAAGAAGGAGGAAACGAAGTTATGTTCATGTCTTGTCTCCAGATACCCAATGTGCGTCCGCATGGCCCCAGTTGTTTGCCATCTGGAGTTTATATAGCCGCATAGCCAGCCAGTTTTTTTGTTTATGCGCAGGCCCCCGGCTGGAATGGTGGCGGGGGCATTGCTAAGAAGAAGGATAAACCAAAGAATAGACTGCCACGCATATTCAACTACCTCTGGAATGTGTCTGAAGTGGGTGGCCGGCTCGGTCGTAGAGATGGCTATGTTCATGCCAGTGTAGCGTCTAGTTCAGAGTCCAATACAGAGTACGGAGTATGCCAGACAATTATGCAGTACAAAAGCAATATGTGTGAAGACAGAAATATGGTGGCAATTATTCTGAAAGCAGATGAATTGTGTGCGTACTCTTTGCATTAGTAGCAGATACGCACAAGAGGTTGGTATCATCAATATCGCAAATAAGTCTAGCACCGACAATCCGGTCTCGTCTATCCTGATACCACCGGTCACGACCCTCCATTCGAGAGACAACTATCAAAGTCTTTCCGGACGTTTTTGAATGTTCTGGACGTTGCTATATCAATACGGGTCCGAAAGAGGTGGATACATATGACTAAGCAATATGGGCGGGACACCGCCCTTTTTTTTGTGGCAGAAAAAAAAAGCTCGATAGCAAGATGGATTTTTTCCTCGTCTTAGACGATATGCTGGGTCGGGGTGCCATACTTTTACGAGCCGAATAAATAACCGGCAATACAGCACAATGGCGTCCCAAAAACGCAAGGCGAGAAGCGATGATTTCTTCTACTACACACTCGAGGATGAGGAGGTTCTCGGCGACGCAGACAAGCCTGTGTCAAAGAAGGCCAAGAAGGCAGACGCTGTAGACGAAGAAGACGAGGGTGACGACGAGTTCGACCCGGGGTTTGAGTTTTTCGACGGCGGATCCGATATTGGATTTGAAGATGAAGAAGAAGCCCCTGCCAGTCACGGTCTGGAACTGAAGGGAGCAGAAAGAATTGTTGACCTGAACGAGCTCATCAAACAAAGACGAGAGCGGAAGGAAGAAGAGGCGAAGAAAGAAGCGGAAAAGAAGGAGAAGAAGGAGAAGAAGGCATCTGCCATTACCAGCAAGGACGATGAGGATGACGAAGAGGATGAGGATGAGGACGTTGACTTTGACGACGCCGACGATGAGGTGCTTGCAGCCGACGGATTCGGCATGGGTGCCGACTCAGACGAAGAGGAGGAGGAGGAGGAGGAAACAGAAGGCAAGAAAGGAAGTGACGAGGAGGAGGGGAGTGAGAAGGAGGATGAGGAGGATGAGGACGAGGACGATGCGGCATCGGACAACGACTCGGTGGCCACGCCGGTCGGTCATCCGGACGATAATAGTCGGGACGACGATGCATCGTCGGTGTCGTCGGATGAGGACATGGAGGAGCGAGCACGACAGGAGGAGTACTTTGCGGCAGGCGAGAAGGAGAAGAAGAAGAGCGGGTCGGGCAAAGGAGCGAACGGAGGAGCGAACGGATCGGACAAGACAGCGATGTCGTTCCAGGCGATGCGGCTGTTCTCACGACCGATTCTGCGGGGAATTGCGGCGGCCGGATTCGACACGCCGACGCAGATCCAGGCCAAGACGATTCCGTTTGGCATTGGGGGCCACGACGTGGTGGGCCAAGCAGTAACGGGATCAGGCAAGACGGCGGCATTCCTGCTGCCGATTTTGGAGCGGCTGCTGCACCGGCCGACGAACGTGCCGAAGACGCGGGTGGTGATCCTGACGCCGACGCGCGAGCTGGCGGTGCAATGCCACAAGGTGGCGGTGAAGCTGGCGGCGTTCACGCCGATCACGATGGCGCTGACGGTGGGCGGAACGTCGTTCAAGTCGTCGGAGGCAAGCCTCCGGTCGCGGCCGGACATTGTGATCGGCACGCCAGGACGGTTCATCGACCACATGCGCAACTCGCCGAGCTTTGCGGTGGACGGGGTAGAGATCCTGGTGCTGGACGAGGCGGACCGGATGTTGCAGGACGGGTTTGCGGACGAGCTGAACGAGATCGTGCAGACGCTGCCGCGAGGCCGACAGACGCTGCTCTTCTCGGCGACGATGGGGGCGTCGGTGGACCAGCTGATCCGGGTGGGGCTAAGCCGGCCGGTGCGGATTCAGGCGGACGACAAGTCGCGGACGGCGGGGACGTTGACGCAAGCGTTTGTGCGGCTGCGACAGGGACGCGAGGACCGGCGGCTGGGGTACCTGGTGGAGCTGTGCACAACGCTGTACCGAGACCACGCGATCATCTTTTTCCGGGAGAAGCGCAGCATCCACGAGGCGCGGATCGTGTTTGGGCTGCTAGGGCTGACGTGCGAGGAGCTGCACGGCAACATCAAGCAGGCGGAGCGGATTGCGAGTCTGGAGTCATTCCGGCGCGGCGAGGTGCAATTCCTGCTGGCGAGTGACCTGGCGTCGCGTGGACTGGACATCAAGGGCGTGGAGACGGTGATCAACTACGAGGTGCCGAAGAACCTGGACGATTACATCCACCGGATCGGGCGAACGGCGCGAGCAGGCCGGCGAGGTCTGGCGGTAACGATCGTGTCGGAGAAGGACCGCAAGTTTGTCAAGGAGGTGGTGAAGGCGATGCGGGCGGGAGGGGACAAGGAACAGAAAGAAAAGAAAGGCAAGACGGTGGGTGAGACAGGGTTGCCGATGCCGCAGCAGGTTCGGATCCGCAGCCAGCAGGTAGACCCAGCAGCAGCAGACCGGTGGCAGGCCAAGATCGATGCGATGGCTGAGGACGTGGCCGAGATCGTGGCGGAGGAGCGACAGGTGCGAGCGATGGCGCAGGCAGAGATGGAGGTGACGCGCGGAGAGAATTTGCTGAAGCACCGGGACGAGATCATGGCGCGACCGAAGCGGACCTGGTTCGAGAGCGGGCGCGACAAGGAGGCGAAGCGGCAGCTGCAGCGGCGCGAGGCGCAGGCGGAGCGGTCGGACGAGACCAAGAAATCGACGATGGAGCGGCTGCGTGACCAGCTCAAGGCAAAGCACGGTGGTAGTGGTTGGCTCAGCCGCAAGGACACCAAGAAGCTGGACGCCAAGAAGGACCGGCTCGAAGGCCTGGGCGGACGCAAGTTGAAGCAGGAGAAGAAGGAGCTGGGCGCCAGCGGCAACAACAAGGCGCGCGGCAAGGTCATCAAAGGCGGCAGCAAAAAGGTGAGCATGGGGCCCAAGGTGAAGGGGGGGAGACCGGGAGGGAAGCCGGGGGGAAGACCTGGAGGCAAACCAGAAGGCAGACCGGGCGGCCGATCTGAAGGGCGACCGGAGAGGTCAGGAGGAAAGCCAGGTGGGAGGCCGGGTGGGAAGCCGGGAGGGAAGCCAGCTGGAGGAAAAGGTCGAAGATAGAGGTTGTTAGTGGTAATGAGGTAGAAAAGAACCAAGATCAAGGATCACATGACAATACTCGTGACTACAGAATGTAACGCCTAGACTTGGGGGTAGTCCAACACTAATCTGACAGGCACGTACGGAGTACCCGTACTTGCGGAAGGAGCTTATGGTGGGCCTTAGGCAACAAGCTCATGACAGCTTCCCCTCTCTTTTCTCCACAGCAGCAAATACAAACGGATTGGTTAGAAAGCAAAGCACGCAGCGCCTCTGACAGCGGCTTTACGGACGACTGCAGCAGGTCCAGTGCACAGGCGCCCGCGATGGAGGAGCGCGGGTCTCGACGGCGGCGGCTGGCGGCAATGGCGGGCACGGTGTATCGAGCAGGCGTAGCGGCGGCCAGCGAGATCCGGGAGCAGTACAACAACAGCTCATGGGCACGAGAGGGCGAGGACGGAGGTGATGGCAGCAGCGGCGACACGGGCTTGGACGATGACCGGCCGCCGAGCATTCCGGGGGCATTTCCAGACGTGGCAATTGCGACGAGCGGCGACGCCCAGATGATCTTATTTCCCAACTACTCGATGCGGCACACGAGGCGATTCCGGGAAAGCGGAGTAGGTATTGTTGATCTGGACAGCAATGGAGGAAACGGGCTCGGGCTCGATGACGGAAGCATGGACTGGCACTACGAGTTTGCGCGGCGCGAGGACGAAAAGGCCGTGGTGGACGTGTATGTGCACGGCTGGATCTACCTGCCACAGCGAGGGCCGCTGAACCGGAAGAACCGGCTGCTGGTGGGCCTGGCACGACGGCTGAGCGGGATCACGGCAGCCCAGCAGCAGCAGCAAGTGCAGCAGCAGGCGGCCTTGGCGGCACAGCAGGCGGGCGAGCAGCAGCGGATTGCGCGCGAGGCGGCGGCAATTGAGCGGCGTGGCCAGGGCGAGAAGGAGGTGGCCACACGGGGAGGTTACAGCGAGACGGCCGAGAGGGCAGCACAGTACGACGACGACGAGATGACAGAGGCTTTTCGTCTGAGCAGCCAGACGGGCTTTCGTTCTCCTTCACCATCACCATCGCCGCCGACAACGACGACGACGACGACAAACTCACCGGCAACTGAGATGAGCGAGGCGGAGCTGGCCAGGGCCAACACGAACCTGATGGCGCGGCTCAGTCCGTTCCTGACGACGCCGGTAGTACAGCAGGCGGTGACGCTGTTCTTCTATAGCGCCACACAGTCACAGTCGCGCACGTTAGAGACCAGCGATGCCGGGCACTTTTCGGCCTGCACGCCGCTGGATTTTGTGCCGACGCACGTGCGGGTGTTGGTGCCGACGCTGGAGGGGGGTAATTGGGGTTCGGGAGGGGGGGCGAACGGGACCGGTTACGGCACCAGCAACGGGACCGGTTACGGAAGCCGGTCGCTGTCAGACCGTCCTCTCTCGGCCTCGCCCCTCTCAGCCGTGGCGCCCGTCAACCTGGTAGAGGACCGTGGCGTCAGCCTGATCAGCGACATTGACGACACGATCAAGACGTCCAACATTGCGCTGGGCACGCGCGAGATCTTCCGCAACACGTTTGTGCGCGAGCTGGACGGCATGGCCGTCGACGGGACGCAGACGTGGTACGGCCAGCTGCGACGGCTGGGCGTGCAGTTCCACTACTGCTCCAACAGCCCATGGCAGCTGTTCCCGATGCTGGCCACCTTTCTGGCCTGCAACGGCCTGCCGGCCGGGCCGCTGCATCTCAAGCAGTACAGCGGCATGCTGCAGGGCATCTTTGAGCCCGTGGCCGAGCGCAAGCGCGCCACCCTCGAGCGCATCCTGCGCGACTTTCCGCAGCGCCGCTTCCTGCTGGTCGGCGACTCGGGCGAGGCCGACCTGGAGGTCTACACCGAGCTCGTCCAGGCCCATCCAGGACGCGTGCTAGCCATCTTTATCCGCGACGTCACCACGCCAGAGCAGCCGGCCTCTCTGGAGGTACAGTCACAGTCACAGCCACAGCTAATACCACCACCACCACCACCACCACCACCACCACAACCAAGACCACCTCCCGGCCCTATCATGGGCACTCTCATCGACCTCGACGACGACCCTGGTGTTCGCACGGCTAGCCCGGCTTCGTCGTTGCGGCCACCCGGAAGCCGCAAGCCCGTACCGCCGCCGCGGCCCAAACCCGCGGCCCTGCGCGGCTCCATGACCGTGTCGTCTCCCTCGGTCGCAGTCGCCGTCTCGCCCGCCTCCCGTCCACTACCACCACCACCACCGCCGCCTCGACGCACCGCCACCGCCGGACCATCCGGCAGTCCCGTGCTGGGACCACAGTCGCAACGGCCGCCCCGACGTGTCCGCACCGGCGGTCTTGAACACCCGTCACCACCGCTCGGACAGGACGTGCCTCGGATACAGGCTCTCGCTCAAGAAGCGTTGCCAGCTCGGACACAGACCCCTCCGACCCAGACCCCCAATCGCAAAGTCGACCTGTGGCGCCGTCGGCTGGCCCGCGCAGAGGACGTGCTGATCCCCTTGGGCGTCGCGCTGTACACCTGGCGGCGCGGCCAGGACGTTGCCGCCGAAGCCGTAGGCATCGTCAGGACGGCACTGGACATGAGGTGAGAGTACGTAAGCAGACAGACTGGCTGCATCGACGAGGAAGGCGCGGGACGCGCACAATGGGAAGGCGCAACACATGTACATAGAAAAGGACACATTGACTCCATGGCCATCGTACGCATCCAATACAGTCGATCAAACACTCACATTACCGCTCCCATTCTCCCTTCAACAGTCCAACACCCCAACACCCATCACTGTCTTGTCATCCAACCCTAAATTACCTTTCTTTGTACTACGCAACCATGATACAGATCCAGATCGGACGCTCCCGCCTCACATCTTCCCGTTCAGGTCGTCTGCCAGATTCATCCCCATAATCGCCTCATGCGCCCAGTCCCCTTCGGCCTCACTCGACCGGCTACCCAAGGGACCGCCCATTCGCCATTCTTCACTCGTCGTCGGCCGTCCGTCCACGCCGGGCAGCATGATCTGCGGCGGCAGCTGCCACCCACCACCACCACTACCACCACCACTCGATCCAACCGTCGGCGGCCGCTCAAAGCTGCTGCCACCACCTAGCGAGTCCATGCGGGCTTGTGTCGGAGTCCGCCGGCTGCCATCGTTGCTGTCTTCATCGCCACCGTCGCCATACTGCGTGCCATACGCCACCTCGTCTGCCGGCATCTCAATCGCACCGCCCGCTGCATAACCTCCTCCATAGTAGCCGCTGCTGACGCGACGACCATTCTGGCCGCCACCATGCTCATGCTGCTGCTCTAGCTCGCGCTGTTCTAGGATCTGCGGTGGCGTCGGCGTCGATGGCGTCATGTCCAGGTTCCGCACGCTCGCAATCCCGCCGCCCGAGCTGCGCACGCTGTTGATACTCGTCCGGTGTGCTTCCAGCCCGCCGCCTGATGCGTCGTGTTCCGAAGCGTCTCCGTCCTTGATCGCAAACTGCGCCATCGTCCGCATCTTGCGCGACACCCAGTTGGCCAGGATCTTGCCGCGCTGCTTCTCGCCCAGTCTCGACCGCGGGAAGTCGCCGCGGTTGACAAACGCCACAATATCTGCCACCACCTGGTGCTCGTTGAGGATGGCGTTGACAATCACCGGCACCATCGATGCCAGGTACGACTTGCGTGCCACCTCGACGAGCACAACCAACAGTCCTCCAGCCTGGAACACAGCACTGTCTTGGTTAGCCTTGATTGAAACCGGAAAACAGAGCAGCAGACAGAAACTCACCATCCTCCGGGCACAATACTGCGGTGGCAACGCTCGACCGAGTTCTCAATATCCATGGGAAAGTGACTGAGCCCGTTGATCTCAAATGTCTCGCCAATGCTGCCCAGCACAAACAGCACCTGCATGTCGACCAATGCGCCGCTCGGCCCGATCGGCCGGCTGACGCTATGCAAGAAGCCCATGTCACCGGTGCGCACATACTGGATTGTCGGGTCACCATCGGCTGTCCGGCCATCGAACCGGTCCGCGTCAAAGGCGTCGCGCGAGCGGTAAAACGCCTTGACACATGCCTCCGAGTCCACCCAGATCTCACCATACTCACCGTCCAGACACAGCAACCGGCTCTCCGGGTTGACAATGGCAATCTGCGTCGACACCGGCACCATGCCCGAGTCCTGCACCAACAGCGCCCGTGGATTCGTATCTGGGTCTACCGGCAGCACCAAGCCGCGCCGCAGCGCCTTCGTGTCCAGCCACAGCTCGATCGGCTCGATGCACATGTACGACCGCGACGCGATCATCGGGTTCAGCACGTGCGAGTATACCGTGTTGATGGCCGTGCGGTCCAAACCGGCCGTGGCAAAGTGCAGCCGCACGCGCTGGAACACGTCCACGCGCGGCCGGCCCTCAGCCGCAATCATCATGTTCTTCATCTCGTGCATGGTGAAGCCCTTGCCCGGCATCACGGCCATGGCATGATCCAGCATCTGCGGCGTCGCATACGTGTCCTTGATCTTGTACCGCGACAGGATCAGGAATAGCGAGATCGGACTCTGGGCAAATTCCACCGGCGACAGCAGATACGTCGGCGTGCCAATATAGATGCCCATCAGACACGTGTGCACAAAACCGAGTCCGGTCGTGCTGCGCACGCAGCCCAGCACCGGCCGCGAGCTCGTCATCTGACACGTCTCCTTCTGCACCTTGCACATGCCCAGGATGGTGTCGTGGCTCAGCTGCACCGCCACGCGCCGCTGGTCCGGCGTCCAGTACGTCCAAATCAGCGCCGGGAAGCCCGGCTGTACCCAGGCCGGATCCATCTTCAGTCCCAGGTCGCGCATCCCGCTGCTCTGTTTCGACGGCCGCGACGTGTTGTACACGCCTGGCACCGCCACCTTGAGCACCTGCGCCGACTGTTTGATGTGCTGCGACACTGCCTTGATCTTCAGCAGGTGGTCGACGTCCTGGTTCACCAGCACCGCCTTGACCGTATAATCCGATACGAGGTGCAGGAACGCCGGCACATCCTCCGACAGCCGGTTCTGGTCCATCGGCGCCATTGGCACCACCACGATGCCCAGGTTGAAGCATGCGTGCACCGCAAACACAAAGTCCTCCGAGTGCGTGTACATCAGCACCGCATGGTCGCCCGCCCGCAGCTTCACCTTGTTCTTCAGATACACCGCTACGGCTGCCACCCGCGTGTCGAACTTCTTCCACGTGATGCCCTTGCCCTCTTTACCACGTCCGTCAATGGTACAGTACGCGAGCTCCTCGGCCTGGCGCGCCACCCGCCACTGGATCAGGTCCGTGATGCTGAGGAAGTTGTTGAGCGGCGTCGACGTCTTGTCGTCCATCACCACCTCGCGCCGATCGATGCCTGAGTACTGGTTGTCGGCGCCCTGCAGAATCTGCGCCCGCGAGTGCGACGCCAGTCCCGACCAGATCCCGCCGATCGGGTCCACGCCAAACGGCAGGTTGAGCACTGCGTGCTCTACCGCAAACTTGACGTGCACACACGCCAGGTTGCCCAGATCAAACTCGCGCCGGCACAGCATGTTGCCAATCTCGTGCCGGCCGTTCTTAAGCACGCGCGGCAGTGCATTGGGCGCCGTGATCATCACGCAGTACACCCGCAGGTTCTGTATCTGCATCAGCACGTCCATGCAGCGCTCGGCCAGCGAGTCGAGCAGGGCCGTGTCCAGCTGTCGCGGCGGGCCGCCCTGCGTCGCCGGTGCCGTCGAGGCCGCCGACGTCTCCAGCAGCACGATCGGCAGGTGCTCGTCGTTGACAAACACGTCAAAGGCCGAGCAGTCAAAGATCTTGGGCACCGACCGCATGATGGTGAAGACAATGTGCTGCACGAAAAAGTATCGGTACTCGACCACCTCGGCATCGCGCTCCACCCACTCGACCTTTTGCCGGATCCGGTCTTCGTACAGGCCCAGCACGAAGATCTTGCCCTCGATGATCGTGCCGAGAAGACCGGTGCGCAGAAATTCAGGCTCTACCGCCGTCGGAGTCGGGTGGCCGGGCTCGAACTTGTACGGCCGCGCGTGGAAGATCTGCTCCGTGTGTTTGGGCAGCGCCCAGAAGCCGCCCGAGAGCGAAGGTGAGTCCACCCAGATCTCGCCAACCGTGTGTGGCGATGACAGCAGGCAGTTCTCCGGGTCGACCACCGCCAACGTGGCGTCGGGGATGGGATAGCCGAAGGCTCCCACGCGCACCGTCCCGGTCTCGCTCTGCCGCTTGCGCGCCTCCTCGCCGACGGCCAGCACAACGACCTCGTTCGTCTTGAGCGCCTCGCTGTCGAGCAGCACCTCGCTCAGCTCGTTCTTGGCCCGCCGCTCCTTCTTGCTGGTCGTGCCGCCGCCGGCGAGCAGCGTGTCGAATCCGTTAGCCGGCTGGTCGGCACCGTCGGTCGAGGCGGCCCCGTCGCTTGTGTGGCTCGCATCGACCGTCCCCTCGCCCGTGTTCGCGCCATCGCCGACATCGAGCTTGAGCGGACAGCCCATGCGCTCCTCGCCGCCGAGCCAGTCGCGCACGCCGATCACCATGCCGCCGTGCTCAGGCAGGCACAGCATGGGCGCGACCACCTCGCGGGCGTGCAGATTCCGCAGTGGTCGCAGCCAGCGATCGGCCAGGACTTCGTGGAACTCGGGATCGACCGTCAGCGTATCGATGAGGCACAGCTTGACCGCCTGGAAGTTGGGCTCCATGCCCTTCTTGTAGTTGCGCGTCGTCATCGGGTCCTGCTGGTAGTTGTACACTGCCCGCTTCAGGCCGGGATAATCGGCCACCATGAGCGTCGCCCGATACTTGGAGATCAGGTGGGCATACAGACCGGCCACCTCGGTGGCCTTGTGCTCCATCCAGACGACGGTGTGGCCACCATACACGGCAAACAGCACGCCGAGGATCATGCCGATGCCCTGACGCGGATCCAGGTACGACAGCACGATCTCACTGCTGGCGCCGCCACCGATCAGCCGGCCATTCTTGTCGCGCAGCGAGCCGTTAAACGTGTCGGCCGGCTGGTTGCCCGGGACCGTGGACACGACAGCGCTCAGACAGGCCAGCTGGTGCATGATGGTGCGGTGGCTCAGCACGACGCCGCGCAGGTCGCCCGTGGGCGCCCGTGAGAACTCAATGTAAGCCAGGTCCGGCACCGACAGCGGCGCGGCATCGTCGTCTCTCTTCTTCGGGTGGTAGCTGCCAAATTCGTTGGTCTTCCACCACTCGACGCCCTTGGGCCAGGTCAACTTGTGCGTCGTGATGTCGCGCTGGAAGGCCTTGAGGTTGTTCTCCGTCGTCAGTGCCAGATGGGCCTGGGTCGAGGTCAGGATCAGGTTCAGTCGCTGGTAGTCGTTCAGCTCGTTGATCGGCACCGCCACCACACCCGCGATGAAGCAGCCGAGCAGGGCGATGGCGAACTCGATAATCTCCGAATCGCGGTAGACCAGAGCCACACGGTCGCCGCGGTACAGCGAGCTCTTGTCGCGGATCACCTGGGCCACCTTTTCGGCGCGCGACGCCAGCTTCTCCCACGTGATGGACGCGATTTCTTTGCCGCGGCTGTCGAGCACCCAGTACGCCGGCTTCTTGCCAATGATGTGGCCGCGGTGCCGCAGCACGGCCGCGATGTTGTCAAACCTAGACATGGGCGTATTGCTGTCGTGGGGGTCGTCGATGGCGAACGGTACCTCCCGCGGCTCCAGGGGCAACTGGTGTTCGAGGGCGTCGGCAGGGGGCAGGTCACGGGTCGTCAGCATGGGCGGTGCCATGGCCGCGGTTGGCGAGAAGGCGTCGCCGGTGGAATACCGCTGGCCAAAAAACGGCTCGCCGGCCCCGGAATAGCGCTGTGCACCGCCATACTCGGCTGGACCCTGGTCATAGGCCTGCTGGCCGGCAAAATCGGAAAAGTATGCCTGCGAATCCATCATCGTGTTGGAGCGACTGTCGTAGGGATTCTGCATGCTCTGCAGGCTCTGCAGGCGCGGATCGACAGCCCCTGAACCGGCATATCCACCATACTGCTGCTGGTCCGGGTTGAAGGCATAGTCTGTCGACAGCATGGTCGTCGTCCGGGAACGTTCGCTGCTAGCGGTGCCAGGCGGTGCCAGCGGCCGGCTATTCGGTGGTTGCGGCGTGGAAAAGAAGAGCGAATCATGGCCGCGGGAGTAGTCTGCCTGCTGGGCAGCAATGGGGCCTCCGGGGACGAGCAGAGCTGACGGATTCGGAGACGAGAGTCGGCCGGATTCGGACGCTGAGCTCAGCGACTGGGAATAGGGTCCGCCGGCGGAAGAGGTCGCATTGAGAGCGGCGTAGGAGGCAGCACGATGGCCAGCAGGAGAGACCTGGCCGGAACCGTCGGCGGAGGGAGTTTGTGATACTATGGAGGCGCGATGGTCGGAGAAGCCCAGAGGGCCAAATTGTGAGAGCAGCTGGGTTCGGCGCTTGTTGTACCTGGAGCGAGGCGAGATGTGAGCAGACGGATCGGCGGCAATGGACAGGCAGAGCAGAGCCAGACGGCGGCATCGCGTACGAACCCTTTTTGTGTGATGTCGCCCTCCTGTGCAGTTGCGGTCCGTTGTTAGCAAGAAGGACTAGTCGTCGGTGTTCTCGTTGGTTCTGCAAACGCACCTCTAGTTCCTTATCCAGCTCGTCGAGCTGTAGCTGCAGCTGCGGGTTGGAGCTCATTTCCGACATGGCTGTTGCCGTTGCCGTGGGCGGGGGCCAGGAGTGGCTGGCGGAAGCGAGATTGGATGCTGGCCGTCGCTGAGGTCGCAAAAGAAAGACGGGAGAGATGTTAGCGAATGACGAATGGACGGGGGTCGCTAGTAGAAAAGGCGCCCTGAAGGCAGATTGAGTCGAAATCCGTCTCACGTCTGGGCAGCGGGTGGGCCGGTGGTTAAGCGACAGTCAACGGGCACGGGTGGAGAAGAGGCGGAGAGAAGTATCTTACGGAATACAGGTATCGTTTCTTGGCAGACGAGACGCCGGCGAAGCCACGGAAACGAAGAAGCAAAAAGTGGCTCCTCGCCCGGTCCCGTGACGTAACACGGCGTTGGTCGTATTTATAGCGCGTCTGGGACTTTACGGTGAGGACGGTGGGGTAAAACGGGGAAGCCTGTGGCCTCTGCCCAATAGACGATTGGGGGCAGGGATGGGCGTTCGTTGTTTCCTCGTGTTTGCTGTTTGCGCCTTGCCTCCTTGTTGCAAAACCTGTTTGTTGGCAGGATTCTGCAAGAGGAATCGCGTAAAGTTTTGTGATGGGCCACGGTTGAGGTCTACGAGCGTTCATCCATCCCGTTGCTCGATCTGTTGTCTGATCTCTGCAACGTATTTAGCCTGGCCCCGATCGAGCCCGATTCGCTATGCGCACGTCATGGTTCCTGCATCGCCAGCGCGAGGAGGGGGGGAAACGGCCATTCTACGGGCAAATCGAACACGGCCAGGGACCGGCACCTCGAGGCGTCTGTAGGAAGGCTCCTTGGGGCACGGCAGCGGTCCGAGTCCGGCTTCCGCCGTGCCATTGACAAGATGGCCAGTGCTATTTCTGTCAGCCGAACGCAAAGGCCTGTCAGATGAAAGGGCGTTGTTCATCTCTTTCAGACCGAACATCTGGTTTGAATGAACAGCCCCTTCTTGAAAGGCTGTTGTTCACCTCTTTCAGACTTGGCATCTGGTCTGAACAGCCCCTTTCTCTGCATCTACAATGGCATTGGCAGCTTTGTCCGTCTTTGTTCTTTGTTCATCCAATTCAGCTCGTCCAGATGAACAAAAGATGTGTTCAACAATGAGGTTGACGATGGCGTTGACGGTGGTGTTGAACTTGATAAATATATCTGTTCTCCTGCCGTCAGTCTGCCAGATTGATCATCAAATCATTCAGAACCTCATCCAGCATACCTCTTCAGTCTACAGGCAATAGTTCAGCTGTGCTGCTATTACTTCCCTTTTCATTCGCATACCATTCCCAATCCCACTTTCCTTCATCCAGAGTTGTAAGTTGAAGACATCCTTGTTGCCTTTCCCTAACTCTCTGCCCTCATTCGGTTCAACGCCCCGACGAGTTCACTTCAACCCATTCCTATATATGCCATGTCTTTCAACAACAACATGACGAACAACGGCAGCCCCACGGAGGATATCTTTGGTGAGTTCTCCTTCAACGACATCAGCAGCAGCCCGTATGCCTTTGCTCTCCCGGAAGTGTCGCCTGCCACCCCAGTCTCTGCACAAAGATACGCGCTGCGTTCTGGAAAGGTAGCACAGGCCGCCCCGTCTGAGGAGCCGATCACCCGGACTGCTATTATCACGCAGTCCCAGGGGAAGAGCAACCCGCCGCCGAAAAATGCAAAGGTAAGTCATTCTCGCAACAAGTTTTCGGGCAGCCGGATTACCGACTACGAGTGGTACGACCGCTTTCCGGTGCGGAGCAACTGGAAGGCAGGCCACGTGCAGATCCGATACACCGGCCTAGGTGAGCTCCGGCCCACGCTGACATTTGAACGCGACACACTGCTGGCCTATGTGCACGGATGTCGGGAGCAGTCGATCCCGCTCCGGTTTTGGATCCAGAACCCGCCGACGATGCAGAAAGAGCGGTACATGACGCAAGCATCACACCTGTGCCGGTATATCGACTGTCCTGTCCCGTCCCGGACGATCATGCGCGGCATGCTCCAGGTGAGTATGGACGAGCATCCGACCGCGACGAGCAACGGCCAGCTCGACCCCTTCTTCACCGCCGGCTGCTTCCACCTGCACTGCTTGGAGGAGATGATCGCACTTCCCGAGCTGATGCAGGTGGCCGACGTCGAGGCGGACGTACGGGATCTGCCGCTCGAGGAGAAGAACCCGATGAGCCTGAACCGGGAAGAGAGACTGAGCACGGCTTACAGCGAGTGGAAGGCGGAACACTTTGACCAGTACGTGCGCAGAGGGCTGGCCATCCCGACAGAGCAGCGCCGAAAGCAGCGGCTGGTCTGGTACCTGATGCACAAAAAGGTGCAGTACCAGCCGAGCACGCGGCAGCGGAAGCGCCAAGAACGACGCGGCAACGATCTCACGAAGCACTGGGGCGATCTGCACAAGTTTGTGGCGCTCAACATGAAGGCTCGACAGCAGAAGAAGGACAGCACGGCAGCAACACTGCCTAAGCGCCGCCGTGCTCACGATTCCTACAACGGCCGATCCGGGAAGCGGGCTTGTTTCGACGAGCCATCACCCTCTCTCCTGGGCTGGCCGAGTCCGCTCTGGGCTGTGCCGCCGCCTCTTCCGACTTCAGGTATGTATGTCCCTTATGGCGTCCTGCCGCCTTACATGGCCAGCGCCCAGACATTCTACCCGTACCCATGTGACTCGTCGTATTCTGCTGCTCCGTATGATTTTCAGCACGTGGAGCCCTTTTTGGGTTCTGGGCAGCTGAACTTTACGTTCTTTGACGCAGAGGCAGAAAAGGGGGAGCTGGAGTGGAGTGAGGCCCAACTGGCCGGCAGCGACTTGATTATCGACCCATTACTGCTACAGCAGGACTTGGCTGCCGCGATGTCTTTAGAGGGAACGCCCCTGGCCCAATCGGCTATTAGCACGGACGACCTTGTCTCTGAATTTGGCGACCTGCTGGTCGATATGGAGTAGGCAGCCATGGGCGCGGCCGATGAAGAACGTGCAGGCGCGTTTTATCGTTCGGCTGGCAGTCAGCCTGTCGTCTGCTTCCAACTGCCCAAACGAGTGTTCTCGGACACGCCGCCAAGGTCGCGTGCGGAGGCGCCAGGCACTGCAGTAGTGCGAGGTGAGTAGACCCGGGGTGGTAAGATATCACTCTCCGCCAGGTTTGCGCGAGAGTTGCATTTGTCTGTTTTTGACGCCTTGGACTTGTCCACTCGACAGCGTCTCGTCCCATTTCTCGTAGAGCCGTTAGCAGTAGATACCCAATATAATGAATGTCTGGTCATACTTAGTGCACAGAATAATTCCCGTCTCTCCTGTGATTCGCGGCTACGGGCAAAGTTAAGCTCCATGATCCACCTTCGGAATAGCCGACAGAACTCCACTGACTAGCCATGCTGCCTGCAGATATTCCGGGGTCGGTCTCGTCAACTTGCTGCTGCTGTGAATCGCGCGGAGAAGCTGGTGTTTGTAGCTCGGCCCGTAGCTGGTATCTTACTTTGTATCTTACCTTGTGACGAGCTCATAGTTTGCAGCTTGTATCCCGCCTCTTATGGCAGTTGATGTTGCCTTTGGAGCATCAAAGGCTCCGGCTCTATTATTGTCAGATATAGCGCAGCCAGTGCTTTTCGGTCTGGGTGGCGCACTACAGCGGAGTCTTGTTCGGCCTCACCGGATTCGAGCCCTATCAGTCTTATTGAGCGCTTGGCGACATGTGTCCGGTCCCCAGCCAGACGTGCCAGCCAACCAGGGCCCCAAGCTGGCTCGTGCTCGTGGCCGCTTCTGGCCCAAGGTCAACTCGTGTTGTAGTTATCTTCCACGCTAACAGAATAGCCTTGCCGCCGGGCACTTTGTTCGTCGCACACACCACACACGCAGGCGAAGAGGTCCAGGACAGACCAGATAAGGCCGGAGGCGCAGGCAGCCCATAATGCATTGTAGTATATAAAGGATTACATGATTCTCACTCATTTCCCCAGGCGCTCGGTCGGCCTGTTCGTTCCTTCCTTCCGACCCCTCCTGTCCCTTCCTACGTCCACACGCCATGAACCGGCTGCGATGACCACGAGACGATCGAATCAGGCAGGCGCTCGCATCATCAGGCAGACGGCAGTCGCGGCCGCGGAGCAGAGCTTAGAAAGCGCAAATCGGCATCTCAGCCCCAGATCTCGAAAACGCACAGTCGCCGTCGCCCATCTCTAGCGATCATCGCGCCCCAATTAAACCTGCCCTCCTTCACCTTGCTTTTTGCGTCCGCCCTTGCGCAGCGGCGAGACACGACTGCACACAAATCGCGTATCCGCCGGGAACAGAGATCTGAGAAGAGGCAGCCATCCTTGGACGCCCGCGGCATCTCGACCGCAGGCTTGGAAGGTCACCGACATCAACAACACGCGTCGTGCCCGACACAGCACAGACCAGAGACAGGCACAGACCAGAAGCGCACACGCCCACTTCAAAATGAGCCACGGCAAAGGCGCCGATGTGCCAGAAGCCCTGCCCTCGCCGGCGCTGCAGGTGATTGTCTTGGTGAGCTGCATTGCTGCGCGAAAGCTGTCGGGAGTACGGAGTACAGACAGATGAGTTGTCATGCTGACCTCACAGGGGGCTGGCGGCGGCCCGCAGGAATCGAACACGACCGCATTCCTGGTGCGATCGACCGCAGAAGGATGGCGGCGTGGATCGATTGTAGCCCTGGACGCTGGCGTGTTGCTGAGCTCTGTTACCCGGATCCTCGAGCAGACCTCGCCAGCAGACCTGGGCAGCTCATCATCGTCGCTGTCTCTGCCGCATACACTGACCAGCGGTCCCTTTGCCGGTCTGCAGGTGCCCAACGCCACGGCGGCGGCGAATGCGGCGCACATTCAGAGCACGCTGATCAACACGTATCTGATCACGCACCCGCATCTTGACCATATTGCCGGCTTCGTGATCAACACGGCTGGGCTGCCGGGCTCGCGGCCGAAGCGGCTGGCCGGACTACCGTCGACCATCTCGGCCTTCAAGCAGCACATCTTCAACAACGTGATCTGGCCGAATCTGTCGGACGAGAACAACGGCGCCGGCCTGATCACGTACATGCGCCTCGTCGACGGCGGCTCGCCAGCGCTCGGCGTGGGCGATGGTCGCGGCTACGTCGAGATCAGCGACGGCCTGGCCGTCAAGGTCTGGAGCGTCAGCCACGGTCACTGCATCGAGCGCCACAGCCATCGCGGCAGCGGTGTCGGCACGCGCTTTGGGAGCGTCGATGCCGGCGGCAGTGGCGGTGGTGGTGGTCTGTCTTCCGGCCTCACGAGTCCGCGCCTGATGGCTCGCCAGACCTCGTTCGGGACAGGCCTCTATTCGTCACCGCTTGCACACCAGCTCCAACACCAGCACCAGCACCAGCTGGCACCGTCCCTGCCGCGACGCGACAGCCACGCTGTGCTGTCGGGCATCGGTGGTGGTGGTGCGGCAGCTGCTCGGCGGGCCAGCCAGTCGATCGGCCTTGCCGCACAGCTGACGGGCGAGACTGTGTGCGTTTACGACTCGAGCGCGTATTTTATCCGCGACGTGGCGACGGGCCGCGAAGTGCTCATGTTTGGCGACGTGGAGCCGGACTCGGTCTCGCTGTCGCCGCGCAACATCCACGTGTGGCAGGAGGCAGCGCCGAAGATTGCGGCCGGCCACCTGGCTGCCATCTTTATGGAGTGCAGCTACGAAGACACACATCCGGTTGATCGACTCTACGGCCACCTCACGCCACATTACGTGGTGGAGGAGCTGGCCAGCCTGGCTGCGGAGGTGGAGGAAGCCCGGGTGATGCTCAAGAAGCAGGCCGAGGAGCAGCAGCAGCAGCAGCGGGACCGGGAAGGCCGGAAACGGAAACGGCGTGCCGCAGACGATGACCGTCTGGTCGTCGACGTGGCGACTGGCTTGCGGACAGGCAGCCACAGCCGACGGAAGACAGAATCGGTCACGTTTGCGTCTGTGCCACGTGCACCAGACGACCCTGTGTCTCCGAGGACGGTGCATCCTTCCTATGCCGGCACGGGCGTTGCGGACGACTCAATGGTTTCGGCAGTTTCGACGCCGGCGACTGCAGGAACGACGGTCACTCCACATATCTCGACACCGACGGCCGATCTGTCGCTGAGCGACGCAGACCCGCTCGACAGCCTGGAGACGGGGGCGGCAAACGTGGGCAGGACACGAGAGCAGCACTGCCGACAACCGCCGCTCAAGGGTCTCAAGGTAGTCATCATACACGTCAAAGAGACGCTCAAGGACGGACCGACGGCCGGGGAGGTGATCCTGGAGCAGCTGCTCGACTACGAGGAGCAAAGCCAGCTCGGCTGCGAGTACATTATATCGTATGCCGGCCAAAGCCTGTATTTTTAAGGGAAGCGGGTCGGAGAGAAGACCGGCGTGTTTTGATAGGCGAGGAAGTAAGTGTATGAAGATTTGTTTAACATGTTTGTCACGTGTGCTGCTGTGGTGTGTTTGTGGCTGATCACCAGCCACAGGTGGCGGGCGATAAGGATAAAGGCAAAAAAAAGCAGGAACCGAAAAGGGCAATTTGCAGAGCAGCAGCAAACAAGGCCAGGGAAGAGATTGAAGCAGAAAGTGAATGGCCAGCCAGAGCGTGTGTGCCGAGCTTGATGAACCGACTATTAACCCAGTCATACACGCGGCTCCCATCACCAACACCATCCGTCCGTCTTGGGTCTACACTTCCTTGTTCAGGGTTTTCTTCCAGGGCGTCCGGAGCGTCCTCGTCCCCTTCTCGCTCCAAGCGAGCGATGAAGAGACAGCGAACGAGTCAGCAGCACGCCGACAGTTCTTTGGCAGTTCCAAGCCGTCCGGTTAGCCGACATTCGTTCCACGGAGCGGTGCTTCCGGCAGGACTCTTCTCCAGCCGGACGACGGTGTTGCGAGCATACCGCTACAACCGGTCGAAGAAGTGTGCGGCACGGTTTTTTCTCTTTGAGCAGTCGGCCGCAGCGGCAGACAGCAGCAAAAGCAGCCGAGCGCTCGAACGTCGCCGGCCGCCGCCACGCCCCATCGCATCAATGCTCAACTACGTGCAGATCCTGACGGCACCGTCAGCAGACACACCGGGAACATGTCTGGTAGTGCATCACGACAACCGACGGTACCTCTTTGGCAACGTGGCCGAGGGTACGCAGCGGGCGTTTGTGCAGCAAAAGGTGTCGCTCAGCCGGACGGAGGAGATCTTTCTGACCGGCTCCGTCAGCTGGCACACGGCAGGCGGACTGATCGGCATGATCCTGTCGGTGGCCGAGGTGCTCTCGTCGGCTCGGGCAGCAGCAGCGGCGGAGGAGGCACAAAAGGCACAGCGGGCACAGCGGGCACAGCAGGCACTGGCACAGAAGGCGGCCAAGAAGAAGGGCAACCCGGCTGTCGCACCGGAGAAATCGTCAGGAGGAGCAGCAGCAGAAGTAGCAACAGCAGCAACTCCAGAGCCGACGGAAGCACGGAGCCTGAGCATCCACGGCGGCATCAATCTAGCGCATCTCTTGGCGACAGCCCGACGTTTTGTCTTCCGAAAGGGAATGCCGATTCGGGCACACGAGGTGCGCGAAGACGGAAGCGACGTGGACGGGATGCGGGAGGCGGACTGGGCGGACGAAAACATGATGGTGTGGTACGTGCCAGTGATGGCAGAGGGAGGAGGTGAAACAGAGGCAGAAAGCGAGGCAACGACAGGAGGACGCAAGCGGAACCACGACGCGGTGGACAGTGACCAGGAACGAGACGAAGACCAAGACCTGGACAGAAACACCTCTCTGGCCGACCGAACGATGGTGGATGCAGTATTGAAGCAGATGTTCGACTCAGACTGGAAGCTGGACGCGCTGGTAGAGACGACACTGCACGCGGTCAAGATGCCGGCGAAGCTGTTTGTCAAGGACGCCAAGGGCCATCTTCAACCGTACGAGGGACCGCTGCCGGGCGAGGGAGCGGAGCGGGAGCCAGACAGGCCGGTGTTGGTGCGACAGCCGTGGCCGGCAGCACTGATCCAAGCATTGCCACGAACAAAGCCATCACGACAGTCGGTGAGTTACGTGGTGCGCAACCACGCGCGACGCGGCAAGGTGGACGCGGCAGCAGCAGCACGGCTGGGCGTGGCTAAGCGAGACATCCGGCGACTGGTGGCCGGCGAGAACGTCACGGCCGTGGCAGCCGACGGGACCAGCCAGACGGTGACGCCAGAGATGGTGGTTGGGCCGTCGGTAGAGGGTGCAGCCTTTGCCGTGGCCGATCTGCCGGACCGTTCGTTCATCGAGGCCTTTGTGGCGCGGCCAGAATGGCAGCAAGCCAGCGGCGGTCTCCTGGCGCCGGTCAACACGATGTTCTGGATCCTCGGACCTGGCGTGGCGTCTGACAGCCGGCTGCTCGCATTTATGCGCAGTCGGCCGGCCATCCGCCACGTCGTCGCGGCTCCCGACGCCTGTCCGAACCGGCTGGCACTCGGTTCGGCCGCCACGCTGCAGGCTAAGCACCACCGCATCGACCCCGATCGCTTTCCGCTACCGCAGTTCGACAACCGGGTGCCGGTGGTGGAGGCAGAAGCAGACGACAGCGACAGCGGCAGTCTGCCCTACGAGCCAGCACGCGCCGGCTGGGCCGTCCGTCTGGCCCCACAGGTGGTCGAGGAGGACGGCAAGGTGTTTGGCAACGTGGACTTTGGCGAGGCCTTGCGCGAGCTGGATCCGGCCGTGTTGGCACTGGCAGACGAAGCGCGAGGTGCTGCTGTTATTCCCGGGGTTCCTGGGATCCCCCATCCCGACACAGAGGTGATCTCGTTGGGGACCGGCTCAGCGATGCCATCCAAGTACCGCAACGTGTCGGCGACGCTGGTGCGGGTTCCCGGCGTCGGCAGCTATCTCTTTGACTGCGGCGAGAACACGCTCGGATCGATGCGGCGGATGCTGGGCGCGGCTGGTCTGGCCGACATGCTGCGCGACCTGCGCATGATCTGGATCAGCCACCTGCACGCGGACCACCATCTAGGCACTGCTAGCGTGATCCGAGCATGGCGGGACGCCACCCAAAGACGCGACGGCACGGCCGAGTCCCGGTTGCTGGTGGCCTCGCACGTCAACATGCTGCACTGGCTGCGCGAGTACGCCGAGGTGGAGGACTACGGCTTCGAGCGGCTGCGCCTGGCCGAGCTCGACAGCAGCGCCCGCTACGAGCGCGTCTGCCCACCCGTCGTCCTGTCGGCGGCCGAGACGGCCGAGTTTGGGCTGCAGCGCATCGACGCCTGTCGCGTGGAGCATTGTCACGGGGCGCTGGCCGTTGTGGTCACGTGGCCGGTCCGTTCGAATGCAAATACCCCGAATACCCCGAATACCCCGGCCGAACCCCTGCGCGTTGCCTACTCGGGCGACTGCCGTCCGTCGGCCGACTTTGCCCGCATCGGTCGCCACGCCACGCTGCTCATCCACGAGAGCACCTTTGACGACGAGCTCGCGGGCGAGGCCGCCGCCAAGAAACACAGCACCATGGGCGAGGCCCTTGCCGTCGGCCGCCGCATGGCCGCCCGCCGCGTCCTCCTCACCCACTTCTCCCAACGCTACCCCAAGATCCCCGTCTTTGGCGCTGACGGCGACGGTGACGGCGACCCAACTCCAGACATGCACGTCCTCGTCGCTTTTGACCATATGCGTGTTCGGCTGTGCGACTTCCAGGCCGCTGCCGCCTTCCTGCCCGCGCTGCAGAAGCTGTATGATGGCGAGGAGAGAGGGTGAGGGGGCATAATGATACGTGGAAATAGCATTGGATAGAATGAATAGAACTATACGTTGGACCTTTTCACATGGCACTTTACGGAGTACAGAAAGGCACGAACTACATAGTATGTCCTCATCCATGCATTGACTACCCAATACGGCTTACTCATACATTACGTAATCCACTCACATGGGACTCATCGTCCTCGTCCCGATGGCCACCTTGTCGTGGCCGTGTAGTCAGTCTCGGCCATTGTCGGCGCCTGTGACGTCGTCTTGGGGGCAGCGGCCGGCTGTCGGTGTCGTGGCAGATCGCGATGCGGTGGACGGCAGGAAGCCGCAGGAGGATGCTTGGAGCTGCCGTTCTTGCCAGCATTTGCCTTTCCGCTGTCCTTTGCGCTGGCTTTTCCGCTGCTCTTTCCACCACCCCCCTTGTCCCGCTGTCTCTGGCGCTCCTCGCGCTCCCGCCGCCGCTCTCGTCGTTCTGCCCACTCACGCTCCCGTTCCTGCTCGCGCACCTCCCGCTCTCGCCGCCGGTCCATCACGCAGCTGATGGAGTCGTCCGGCAGCACCGTCGAGGCGGTGTCGTCGTGATGCGTGCGTGCGCGGTGAGAGTACGCGGAAGGGGGTGGTGGTCTGCATGCCGGTGGTCTCGCTGCCGACACTCTCGTCGACGCCCTCGTCGACGTCTTGGTCGCCCCCTCCGCAAATGACGCTGTCACGTCCGCCTGCAGCGCCACGTACGACGCCGGCGTCACCGGCCGCCGCACGCCCGCTGGCGGCCGGTAAGTCGACGTCACGTGTTTTCGAGAAGTCACGTGCTCCTCGCCAGCCTTGTCGCCCTGGGAGTACACGCTGGACGGTGCTGGCACCACAGACACCGCCGCTGACGGCGATGGTGGCGGCGTCGGCAGCTCCATGATCGGTGGGACAACAGCAACCTGCCCTGAGGGTCCGGCCTCCGTGTGAACGGTCATGGTGACAAACGAGGCCTGGTCATCGGCGTCGCCGTCGCAGGGAGGCACCTCAGACCTGCTCTCGAGCACGTGACGTCGATAAGCTTCTTCCCATTCGGCCGGCTTCTCTAGCTGGTGGGCTGTGCTTTCTGCGAGGCTTCCGGCCAGATTGCGTCTCTGGTAGACGCGACTGGCCCGGAGAGGCCCCTCGGCCTCAGCCTCAGCCTCAGCCTCCTCTCGGCCCACAGTCGCCTGCAGATCAGTCAGCCCGCTCCAGGCGTCTTGGCTGCTTGGCAGCAGCGGCAGAGGCAGCCGGTGGCCATGCTTGGTGGCCATGCGTGCGGGATTCTTGCTGCTGCTGCTGCTGGCTGGCCCGCTGCCGCTCTGATATCGTGCGTGCAGGTACCGATAGTGATGACCAAGGCGGTTCTGGTCCAGACGGCGACGTCGTCGACACTCGCACAGCCGCACGACGTACAGCTCTTTGGCCAGGGTCTGGCTTCGTCGCCGGATCTCGGCCGCGTCGTCGTCGCCAAAGGCCGTGACCCACGACTGGACAATTTGCCAGAGATGAGGGTGTTTGGGTTTGAAATCCTTCTCGGCCTTTTCCTTCTCTTTTCCCTTCCCCTTTCCCTTCCTCTCTCGCTCCCTCTCTCTCTCTCGCCGCTGCCCGTACGCATCCAGGGCCATCCGGCTGAGCATCGACGCCTGCAGGTCCACCAGCGTCTGGCTCTGTGCCGCCATCGCCGCCAGCACGCACACTTCACACGGCAGCTGTAGGTGTGGCATTCGCTGGCCGGCCTCGATGTGTCGCCGTGTCGCCGTCGCTGCCGCTGCCGTCTCGGTCGCACTGCTCGTCCCCAACGTGCCTTGCTCGAGCCGACCAAAGGTGTGGCGATCAGACCAGAGCGCGCAGACGCCCAGCATCCGGTTGCCCCAGTCGCGCACCGTTACAGACCGACACATGACGTATTCGCAATCCCCTCGGCTGTGGCGTCTCACTGGATCTGCCCGGTCTGCCACCTCTCGCGTCACGTAGTAAAACACCTCCCGGATCAGCGCCGGGTGCATCTTCCGATGGGCCGGACAGAGGACAGTGGGCGCTGTCCGTGGCCGTAGCCTCGCCTCTAGCCGCACACCCTCGCTGGCGGCCCGGGCTGCCAGCGCGTCGCCGCCGCCTGACACCCCCATGGCTACGCGCTTGGCCATCTGCGACGCCTGCACTGCCCAGTTGAGCGGAGCCGGCGGTCGCAGTAGTCCGCTGGGAAGCTGCGCCGTCAGCGCCGCCTGGTCCGCCAGCCAGCTGCCCGACGGCCGCACCATGCCGCTATCGACGCGGTCGAGGTGGTCCGTCGGCAACGACAACATCGCTGCCAGCGCGTCTAGGTCGCTCTGCGGCATGTCGTGCAGTGAGATGCCCATTGTCGTGGTGTGTTTTTGCATGTATGTATGTGTGTGTAACTAGTGTCAAGCATTAAGTCAACGTGCAAGAGGACGTCCTGTTTGCTCACCTCGTCTGTCTGTTTGTAAGTTGCTGGTCGCAATGAACAAAGAATGACCGTGCCGTTACTGAAAGCGATATGTCGTTTGTGCGTAGATATCGTCGTAACCTCAGGGTACCGTGCAGCCTTGTAGTTTGGGAAATAATCTTGCCGCAGGATCGGGAGAGCACCCGCTGCCCAGAGTATTAAATAGCACATAGACAGCACAAGATGAGGACGACGACAAAGACCTCTGTCCAGTCTTGGGTCGTCCTTGTTCACAGTCATGGACAAAAGCCTTTCATCGTCACAAAGGGCAAAAATGGGGGCCGGCAAAGGACCGTTCTCGTCCTGTTCGCCTTTGTGTCACCCTATTGCGATCGATCCTCTTTTATTCGTCTCCATTGTCGCGGTGCTGTTGTCCCTGCTCCGTGCCCTGGTCAAATCGATCATCTGTCTTCGACCATCCAAAACGTTGGCAAGTAGAAAAAACCACCCGGTGACATCCATGAATTAGGACACATCGCATACTTGCTGTCCTCGGCTCAATAGCCGTGCTGGTATAAAGGCTGGCCGTCTCGGCCAAGTCAAAATCAAAATCAAAAAACAAATGGTGGCAAACAGTGACAACATGGCAAGCAACAAATAACGCCAGAGAAACAGTCCCCGGATTAGCCTCTTCGTTTCCCGCCCCGTTCAGGTCGATACGCCCCCTGCTAAAGCAGCCATGATCGTGTTCTCCGTAATCCCTGTAATCCTATGCCAGTACTTTTCCACATGTCCACATATACAACACCAGCTTGTCGTGCCCTTCGCCAAACGCCCAAATCGCAAGTTGCCAGCAGGTGCCAGGCCCAACATTCTCCGTCTATCCAACCGGGCGCTCGCCGATGCTCGTGCTCGTGCTCGTGCTCGTGCTTGAATGCTCGAATGCTCGAATGCTCAGATGCTCAAACGCTCGAAATGCTTCAGCTGGACGCTGCCGCCCGCTCTTGCCGGATCTTTGCCGCCACCGTCCCGTCGTCCTGAAGCGCCACCTCCCGGAACCAAGGGTGTAGCAGCGCCTCCTTTGCCGTGATCCGCTTGGCTGGGTCGTACACAAAAATGCGCTTGAGCAGGTCCAGGAACTGCTTCAAGAAATTATTGCTGCGTGGGATGATGTCCTGCACGAGCTGGTCAGCCGACACCGTCCGCCTCCTGTCGTCCGTCCAACCCGGCACTCACATTTAACCTCTTCATAGCCTTGACAAATCTCCGGGATGCCCGCGTCGTTTCTGTCGTCGGGTAGTTAAGCTTGGCCCTTTTGAAGTATCTGCAACTGTCAGTATACAAGAGCAGCCAGCCAGAAAGAGAAAGACAGCACTCACTTTGACGCCGGGTTGCCTCCGTGTCGAGGTGATTTGGTCACCTGCTGTACGAGGTGCGCATCGATGCGGCAGTCGCACACCGCTTCCATCATCGCTAGATGTTCGAGATTATCGTGGGTCTGGAAGAGTGCATCGCCCGTAAAGAACTCCACAAGAATGCAGCCTATGCTCCAGATGTCGCACGGGAACGACCAGCCGAGGCCGAGTATGATTTCTGGCGCCCGGTAGTGGCGCGTCGACACGACAGAAGAGTGATATTCGTCTTGGAATGTGGCAGACCCAAAGTCAATCAACCGTATCTCCGTGTCCAGAAGCACTCTTCGCTGTGAGGCTTGCCGCGCTACAATCGTAGAAGACGACGGGATTTTGCGGTTGTATGTAAATGTCTGGTAGTTTGCGTCGACGAGTAGGATGTTCTCAGGCTTCAGATCCGTGTGGATAAGTTGTAGATCATGCAAGACTGCAGGTTGTCGGCTTGTCAGCAGGGGAAAAAGGACATGGCGATTAAGCAAGGTGCACCACTCACATGCAACGCTGGTGAAGAGCTGCCGTGCAAAACTCTGTATCTGGCTGTTGGGGAATGGAACAAACGTGTTGCCCTTCAGAAAGTCAAAGATGCTCTGGCCCAAAAGGTCCATCACAATGCAAATGTGTCCGCGGAAGTCAAAGCATTCGAACAGGTGGATGCAGCGGTTCCGGTTCTCCCGGTCGTTGGCTTTGAGCGTCTCGAGAACACGTAGTTCTATGCGGGACGCATCACGGTATTTCTGCACAGATCGAATGATCTTAATAGCCACCAGCTTCTTGCTCCGACGATCACGGGCCTGCACGACCTTGCCGAAAGTGCCTTGGCCGAGCAGCTTGACCAATTGGTCTGCAAAGTATCAGTCAGTCGCGGCTGTGTGCTAATCGAAACGGGCGTATAGGGCAGGAGACATACAGCGTTCGGTCAGGTCGGCGTCTGGCACAACAATGTAATGGCCGTCCTCGTCGTCGACCTTGACGCTCTTGTCGTAACGTGCCTACATATGTCAGTAGGCTGCACAGATGGAGATGGACACGAAATGGAAACAAAACAACAAGAGCGACAACAGTAGATAGATGATGTCGAAAAGCGATGCGACAAAAAAAAACGTACGTCATGGATCACTTTGACCTCTACCTCCGGTGCCTTGACGGGCGGAAGAGGAGGTGGGCGATAGTGAGTAAAGGCAAGGCCCATCACAGTCATGTCCGGGTCTCTCTTCTTGGATTCGTTTGCCGCCTGCTGGCGGGTGGTCCTCCTCAGCTTCTGGCTGGCAGCCGTGGCCTCGTAGGCCGCCGGGTAGCCACGGGTTGACGCGAGCGACGACGTTGCGGTATTTGCGGCTGTCGCGGCAGCGTTGGCGTACGAGTTGGAATTGGTCCGCTCGCTGGACGCTGTCGACCCGCTGGGCTGAGGATAATTGTAGACGGGGTCGTAGCGGCCGCTCGCGACCAGCGTGCTGGTCGTCGACAGCGACTCGTCGAGCCGCCTCCGCTTTTTGGCCGAGTGCTGTTCTCCATCCACGTTGGCCGCCTGCGTTTCGCTGTGGTAGGAAGCAGCCGCGACAGGAGCAGCCGACACAGAGACAGCAGAGACAGCAGAGGCAGCAGAGGCAGCAGAGGCAGCAGAGGCAGCAGAGGCAGCAGAAACAGCAGAAACAGCAGAAACAGCCGCAGGAGCATTAGTGCGCACCGCAGCGCCACTGCTGCCGTATGCAGCCTGTTCGTCTCGCTCAGGCGTGTCTTCGATGACAATCACCTCCTGCGGCAGGCCGTTCTTGTAAAATGACTCCCAGTCCGGAGGGCCAGACCGACGTCGTTTTCGCGAGAACGTACCCTCGGGCGACCGTGAGGGTGCAGCCGTGGCTGTGGTGCTGGTCTGTGTCGGGTTTTCGGCCAAGGACGTGCCGTGTACTGGGCCTGGCCCTTCGATGTCTCTTACAGACGCGTAGTGCGACTGCGACGAGCTGCTGGAATAGAGCGGCGCCCGAGCATGGCTCGACACGGCCACCCCGTTCGTCATCGCTGCCGGTGGAGGAAGATGGATTCCCGTCGAGGTCGAGACCTGGGAATATGGAGCAGGTAGAGCCTGCAAGTAGGACGACTGGTGTGAAAACGGGTGGAAGCTGGAATATTGAGGCAGCGTCGCAGTGGCTGTCGTCGGTGTCGACATTGTGCTGAAGCTGCCGCGTGTTGTCGTGAATTGACTCGTCTAGCCGAGACGAGAGACGAGAGAGACGAAAGGTAGAGCGAGAAATGAGAAGGGCGACAGAGGGGGGGGCGTTGTGGGGTGTGCGTTGCCTGTATCGCCCCGGGGATACAGCGGCTTGTCGACGACAAAGGCGAGCGTTTAGCGGGCTAAGCCCCAAAAGGCGAAAAAAACAGGGCCTGATCGGACCTCTGGCTGCGGATGTCTGGATTTCCAGAATCTCTCTCGAGGCCAGTCGACTGTTTCGGGCCTCTGTCCACAAGCCAAAGGGCCTCTGGAGGTCAGGACGCGTGCAGAAGCAACGGCCGGCTCGTGGCAAGCAATAGGAGCAGAAACGGGAGCGAGTGGAATGACGGGGTGTCGGCCGGGTGTTGGCGTTTTCCCGACGTCCCTTGGGGGGCAGTAGAAAGGCAGGACAGCTAGACAGTAGGGACGAGCAGAGAGCGATGTGAGTCGGAAGAGCAAACGCCAGGTTTGAGAAGCAGGAGAGGGAGGGAGGGGAGAGGCAGACGAAGAGAGGACAGGAGAGGCCGAGAGTGGGAAGGGAAAATGCCCTAGAGGCCGGCCAGTAGTTTGCTGTCGTGGTGTTGCGTGCGTCTCGCCATACAATTTTGCAGGCGGAGAAGGGGGGCGCGGCTGGCTGGCTGGGGCGGGTGTTGGCTGGGAGGGGAAGGAGCGCTGCTCAGACGGTGCAGAGGCGGCCGTTCTTATCTCTCGTCACGCCGCATGGCACGCTGGCTGTCGGTCGGATGCCCTCTTGTCCTGCTTTTTTTTCCTCTGCTCTGGCACCGCCGGAATCACGGCCGACTCTGCCCTCACCCGGCCGTCTGAATTTCCCGTCTTCTTCTGCGTCCTACCAATGTCGTTTGGCTCTGTTTGGTCTTCCTTTGTCTCACTGTGCGAGTTTGTGGAAGCACTGTGTCCGGTAAATCTGGAAAGAGCCCTGTGTCAGGTGGAAAATAGCAGCAGCAGAGACAGCTTAAGATGATACGAGACCGTCGGTTCGAAACATCACAAAGGGAGAAGAAAAGCTTCTGCGAGTGGCAGAGGGCGAGAGCAATCTACGTGCAGCGCAGCCGGTGCCTTGCTGTCTCTCTTACTCACATCCATTCACTTTTTGTTGAACCGGGTGCCCACACTACTCGTCACTCGCTACGTAACGAACTGCATAGGTTGAGATCCCATTCTGAGTGCCTCCACTGAAAAGAAGGTTGTCGCAGCACGTTTCCTAGCGCCTACGCGCTGTCCACCCTGCATTTCTGACCCGACACAGAACGCCTGTTATTAAAAACCCCCCTGGCAGGGACTTTTGGAAAGTAGAGGGAGGCCCTTGTCGCACTGCCGGGTAATATAAGACGGCCCTGTCTCCAAAAAAGAAATAGACAAAAATAAAAGACAAAAACAAAAGACAAAAATAAGAGGAAAAAGTTGCCTCAGCAGTCGACCAATACGACACGTTGTCGTGCAACAGAACAACGAGTAACAGAACCGATACTATGTAGAAAGATCGCCACTGAGAGGCCCAACGGAACAGGGCAAAGAGTCGAGGGAAAACCTGAAAGGTCTGAAAGGGGATGCCGAGCACACTGCGGCCTCTGAGATCAGAGCAGGCCAAGCAGCCAGCCAGCAGGACGAGGAAAAGGAAAGGCAAAGCCGAGGGTGGCGGTCCACTCGCGCCATGCCTACATAGTCCTACTCCGTACGCTTGCTAGGCCAATGAGAGGCAGCAATCGGCAGCGGGTTGTCGTATCTCACCTCTGTAATACTGAAGCACTCCGGTGTTCAGGCTCTGCAGACCGGCTGGGCCAACTTTGGGTGTGCGTGTGCGTGTGTGCCCAGGGCGGAGGAGATTCTCCAGGCGGCGCCATGACTCCGCAAAAGTGGTTCTCAGACTGCCTTAGCTGCAGGCAGAAGCCCTCGCTCTGCCCTCTCCAACCCGGGCACTCGTGCGGATCCTGCGGCATCTGTTTAAGGGCTGATACGTAAGATACCGCCGTGGCGTGCAGCCCTCCTGCAGGCGGCGGGTTCGATCCCCTTTCATCTGTCCGTAACGTATCTACGACGTAAGTTCACGTCTGTGCCACAGAGTGCACGTTTTGTGTTTTGTGTTTTTATTTGGGAGACGGGAGATTGAGGATTTGCCTGCCAAGATCGGCCGTGCTTTCTGCCTATTCCTACCATTCTCGTGCAGAAGGAACGGACAGGCTAAACCGCCCGCGGTCGCTCCCAAACGGCGCTACTCCGTCCGGAGTTTTACGAGCAAGATCTGGCGCCGTCTCCTGCCGTTTACACCCGTTTTCGACGTAGTGTCTTAACGTCTGACCCGTTTTCAACCTCCTCCGTTCCGTCCTAACGGAGTATCTTACGTTCTGCCCGAGTTCGAAAGAAGATACCGTCTCGGATCGAGTCAGCCGGTCTTCCCTAGCCATTCACGTCTGTCTGACCAGCCATGTGACATGATGGAGCCTATCGTTTCCGCTTTGCCTTTGCTAGTCCATTTTTCGGACGACCAGGCTGTCGATCTTTCGCTGTGGTTGAGATGAGTAAGATACGGAGTACATAGTGTTTTACATGCTATGTATCCACCACCGGTTGCTACCACTCCTCCGTCCTAGATGCCCCGGTTGAACTCGACCAGGCCGCCGGCACCGCCGCGGCCGTGGAACTGCGGCTCCAGCGAGTCAGCCGCGATCTTCTGGCGCTGCGGAAACGCGGCCAAAGCCAGTGGCAGGACGGCGAAGCTGGTGGCCGTGATGAGGCCGAGGTTGACGGGCAGCGTCAGACGCGGCCGCTGCTGCAGCCAGGCGGCCCGCTGCAGCCGCACGAGCAGCAGCGCCGGAATCACCATGACGGGCGAGCTGTTGAGCACGCGCGAGAGGGCGGTCTCGCCGACGGCCAGGACGGCGGCCTTTTTGCTGCGACCGAGCGACTCGGCCGCTGCTGCGACCCCATCCTCGCCAACCGGATACACGTCGATGCCAGTGCGCATCTCCTCGCCGCGCATCAGAAAGACGTTGAGGGCGCCGGCGCTGGCAACAGCAGCAAAAGGCACCAGGCGGCCCAGCACCAGGCGGGTGGACGGGGCGAGGTGGCGCAGGCGCGGCACCAGGCTGTTGAGCCCGACGGCGACGGAGCACGAGGCGCCGACGGCCAGGCAGTACGACTGGGCCAGCTTGCCGTACGTCAGGGGCGACGATTTGTTGGCGTTGGAGCTGTTGACGGCCACGTTGACCGACTGGTTGGCAATCTGCCACAGCACCGTGCCCGTGGTCTGACCTGTCAGCGTGGGGAAACTGGTACGAGGAGAAGGTGGGATGAAGTCAGAGCGAAAGTGTGTTCGTTTATGGAAGAGGAAGAGGAACAAGGCACAAGGGAAACAACACAACACAAACCACTCACCCCGAGACCTGGCGTCAACATGCCAGCCGTCACCACCAGATTCGTCAGAACAAAGCAGGACATGCGGAACGGCAGTAGCACCGGCTCGCCCGTATCTGTAGCCTTGTCAGCTCGATACCCGGCCATCTCTCTCTCTCTCACTGACCTGGGTGCAGCGTCGAGTCGACAATCTTCTTGGCCTGCCACAGCTCTGGCGTCATCTCCTTGACCTCGCCCTGCTTGTAGGAAATGATGGCCCTCTTGGCCTGCTCCAGCCCTGCGCTGCCAACCAGTAGAGTCCTGGGATCGGTGATGCCTGCCGTGTGCTGGACTCGTCCCCAGTATGTGTTGAGGTCGTACTGCGAGGCGGGCAGCTCTCGGCTGCCGGGCAGAGAAGCCGACATGGCGGGGCGTCCTGGCTCGAAGACGAAAAGAGGTGCAAGCGTAGACCGGCCTCGAAATCGCTCTGTGGTGCGGCGCGCGTCCTACGAGAGAGGCGAGCGAGCCGACTGACCTCATCAGGATCAAACGAAAAGAATATTATCGCCAACCAGTGGGCGGTGAAAGGCCCAAAGCGGCTAGGACAGATAGCCTGTCGCTTCCGACCTCGGCCGCCGCCGCAGTGCAGCACCACAGCACTATAGCATGCCAGCTGCCCTGAAGAGCCCCGCGTCCAGGCCTGGTCTGGCACTCGTACCACTGTAGCAGGAACGACGCTAGCGCTCTGCTTTTTTCTCGTAAGTCCTTAAGTCCTTCGGAGCTCAGCGTGATTTGTATGGAGATGTAGAGAGAGCTCTTCGTCCGATACGTAAGATGGTACTCCGTATAATAGCGGCCATTCTTGAGACGACGCGACGATCCTCTCGCGTTACTCGCCAGCATTCTTCCCTCTTCCTTCTCCCTTTTTAGCAGACAGTCAGTCCACACTCAAGCAAGCTGGTCTGGTTTCAATCTGACCATTGCTCCGTCTCCTCGTCCGATCGTCTGGCCTTCTGCCTACCTGTACCTTTATTTACTTTCTCTCAGCATCAAGAGCTCTCCGAAGTTGGCACTCCCCCACCAACACCACCACCATGGCGCTGTCCATCATGCACAGACTGCCGTTTGCGCGGTCGACGACGCCGCTGCAGGCGGCCACGTACCTGTTGGGCATCTCGCTCTTCTCCATCTCCTTCCTCGTCTTCCTCAACAGCAGCATCTCGTTTGTCATCACAGACCGCATTGGCGTCAAGAATGGTGTGGGTGACATTGTCGGCACGCTGGGCTTCGTCGACGAGCTTGTCGCCCTGGTCGCCTGTCCCGTCTGGGGTCTCGTGTCCGATCGTCTGGGCGTGCGTCTGGTTGCCGTCATCGGCTATGCTGTCATCGCTCTCGCCCTCGTCCTGACCGTTACGGCTGTCAATGTGTATCCCCAGCTGCTGCTGGCTCGTATTTTGTTTGCCATTGGGGCCACGGCAGCGTAATTTTGATCTTCGCTTTCTCTTCTTTCCATCTCTGCACTCCTTACTAACTCCTCAGGGCCACAATGGTCACAGCTATTCTGCCGTCTCTGACGGCTGAGACGGCAGACACGTCCCAGAACGACGATGCCGCCAACAGCCCGCCCAAGACGAGACGCAACCCCCGCGACAGTGCGCTCTCGATGGAGTCCCAGCTGACCATCACGCCCGAGCGTTTTGCCGAGAGCCAGCAGCAGCAAAGCCGTGCCGATAGCGACGACGATTCGCAGGCTGCCAGCAAGCCTGGCAAGCTCGCCGGTTTTGTCGGCGTCTTCACCGGCTGCGGCGCCCTCGTGGCCCTCTCGCTGTTCCTGCCGCTGCCGGCGCAGTTTGGCCGCGTCGACGGCATCACCATGGCCGAGGCCGTTGCCCACAGCTTCTACGTCGTCGCCCTCGTCGCCCTCTTCATTGCCGTCTTTGTCTTTTTCGGTCTGCGAGGCCTACGTGGTGAGGAAGGCAAAGGCTGGCACATGCTGCTCGGCCATCCTTCTGCTGCAGCCCCTGCTGCTACGTCTTCTCCTTCTTCATCTCGCCGTCGTACCGACTTGCTCAGCATCGACGAAGTGCTCGCGGAAAGCCGAACGGAACAGCCCCCCTCTTCTTCACCCGTCCCATACTGGCGACTGCTCCGTGACTCTGTGCGGCTCGGCTTCACCGACGCCGACATTGCCCTCGGCTACCTGGGCGGCTTCGTGGCCCGTGCCTCGACCGTGGCCATCTCGCTGTTTGTGCCGCTCTTTGTCAACGCCTTCTTCATCCGCAACGGCTACTGTCAGGGCTCGCCCCACGACTCGTCGCCTGAGCTGAAGGAGGAGTGCCGTGCTGCCTACGTGCTGGCGTCTATCCTGACGGGTGTCGCCCAGCTGATGGGCCTGCTATGCGCCCCGCTCTTCGGCTACCTCTCGAGCCACCGGCCTGGTCGCGTAAATGTGCCCATCGTCGTGGCCAGCCTCTTTGGCGTCGCCGGCTACCTGCTCTTCGCCCTGCTGCCGAGCCCTGAGTTCAGCGACGAGGCTGGCCGTGGTGGCTCGCCCATCGTCTTCCTGGCCGCCACCCTGATCGGCATCAGCCAGATCGGGGCCATCGTATGCAGCCTTGGTGCCTTGGGCAAAGGCGTCCTCGCGTCTGGACACAACGACATCACCACCGACGGCCCTGAGACCGCTCCACTCCTCGGCGCTGGCCTTGACGGATCTGCCTCCTACGACGGCGTTGATGCCGAGGCCACCACCAGCCACCACCGGCGGCTATCCTCTGTCCCGGGGACGGCAGCCTCGCGCATCCGCCTCAAGGGATCCATCGCCGGCATGTATTCGTGGTGCGGTGGGGCTGCCATTCTGCTGCTCACCAAGCTGGGCGGTTATCTGTTCGACCACTGGACCACGGCCGCCCCTTTTTACCTCATGGCTGCCTTTAACGTGGTCCTTCTTGTGGCCAGCGTCAGCATCGATGTTGGGGGGGCCGTCCGACGGTTGTCGCGGTAAAAGGGCATGTATGTGTATATATGTATCATTTGTTTCTTCATTTGGGCAGTACTGCATTTTGTTAGCGGCATGTAGCGATGGGCAAGCATGACTTTTTGTCTACGGTTGTTTCTGTATTTTAGGCTTCTACTCTTATCTCATCGGATCTGTCTTTCTACTGCTCTTACTTTGTTTCTCACGTAAGCAGTCATGACGGCCGATGGCCACAGCTGATGCAGTAGCACAACGGCTGTCTGTGTCAAGTCGCCGTCCTCTTCGAGAAAACACAGCTCCAGAAAAGAAATAAAATAGAACGCAGCATCTACTAGAGAGCAATAGACAAACCAGAGAGAAACAGATCCCCATTCCTATATCAGGTACACCCCTATTTTTCTTTTGTGACCCGAGAGCCCTTCCAATGAACAAAACCCTTTTTTCGTTTTCCTCCACACATCCCATCGCAAATGCCACCGGCCTGAATCCCACCATCCGCTTCCCCTATTCCCCCGGAAGGTCGGAACGATCTTGCATGCCGCATCTCATTAATTGCCAGAAGAGAGACAAAAAAGGCATCTGTTTGTTTTTTATTTTTGGAGTATGCTTTTGAAGTATGAGTGCCCGTGATAGGACCGTTTGAAATCCCAAACCTGGCCGGAAATCCAGGCACCATTCACCATTCGACTCGCGCCTCTCGCCACGCACCCTCTGCCATCTCGTCCGCTCGCCCCGTCTGCTTAGGCAGAGGCGACCGACAGCAGCAAGCGGCACGTCAGACCTAGTTGCTGCCCAGGCTGGGGAAGGCGTTCTCGTCCTTGGGATTGAGGTCAGCGCCCCGGATCGCGCCCTGGGGAGCAGCGGCACCACGGAAGGCACCGCGCGGCTCACCACGGCCACGGCTGCCGCCACGAGGACCACCACGGGGACCTCCACGGCCACCGCGGAACTCACCGCGCTCAGCACGGTCGCCACGGTCAGCACGGTCGCCACGGTCGCCACGGTCGCCACGGTCGCCGCCACGATCGCCACCACGGGCGCCGCCACGGCCACCACGGCCGCCACGTGCACCGCCAAAGGCCGGCCGCTCGGGCTCGACGTAGCGCTGGTCAATCTCGATGACCTGCTTGACCTTCCGCTCGCGCTCGCGCTTGGCCTTGCCGCTCGAGCCCGCGATGAAGTCGTCGTCGTCCTCCTTGACCAGGGGCTTGGCCGACGACCACTTCTTGTCCAGCTTGGTGCCCTCGTTGGCCTGGCGCACCGCCAGCTGGGCGTCCAGGCTCAGCTTCTTCTCGGCCTGCTGGGCGAGGTAGTCATCCAGCGTCACCTGCTTCTCCTCGGGCTCCTCGTCGACCGCAGCGGCATCCTCGACCGCGGCAGCCTTCTCGTCGCTCTGAGCGATGGCCGCACCAGCATCCTCGTCCCGCTTCTCCGCATCGCCCTCAGTGTGGCCACCGGCGTGCTTCTCCGATGCACTACTTGGTCAGCAACACGATACCAAGCCACAGAACAGGCAAATACATACCCAGGGAGACCCTTCGAGTGCCGGTCATCGCGCTCGCGGGGGAAACGGCCGCCACGACCACCACGGACACGGGCTTCCCGGCCACCACGAGCACCGCCGCGCGGCGCCTCCTCTGTTGACTTCACCCGGTTGCGGTCGCTGCCGGCGTTGCGGTCACGGAAGGCTGGCACTACTTAGCGGTCGTCCAGCCAAATTGACAGCAGCTGTCCGGGGGGAACCTACCGGCATCGTTGCCAGCCGTGCGCCGAGGAGCAGCCTGGGGCTTGGCATCCTTGGTGATCCGACCAGCGGCCTGTGTGGGAGCTGCGTCCACGTCACCATCCTCGTTGCCTAAGGAAGACAAAATGCCATGTTAGTTGTCTGTTTGCAACAGCGAACATCGCGATGCGCTGCATCTAGCTGCATCTGTTCGCTTTTCCCTTTGATATGCGCTTCGTCCTCCCGGTCCTGTGCTGCCCCGACCAAACGCCACACAGCGCGCAGATGGCCGACTGGGGCTTGCGATCGGAGAGCGGAGGCATCGCGGGGTGAGGTGGAGAGGCGAGGTGGGGCTTGGCCTTGCTTACCGAGGAGGTCATACGGGTTCTGCAGGGACGAGTCGACAGTCAGCATAAGCGTCTGCAATTATACCATCCAGACAGGCATTGACTGCTGCTCCATCCGCAGGCACACCCCATCGCCCACCACTTGGAGAGCAGCAGGAGAAGCCGGCGAGATGTATACGCATGCCGACCGGCAGCCCGTGGCCAAGGGCACAATGTTGTCGGCCGGCTGCGCATACAAGCAAGACGAAGCAGATTGGTCGACGAGGGCGATCTTGCGATGGACGTGCATCGGCCACCGAATGCGATTCGCGGAGTAAAACGGAGAGCGAAAACAATTGCCTGCAGAGAAACGAGACAAAGTACGAACCTTGGACGCGACAGACATCGTGTCGCCTGGGCCTATTCGCCTTTCAAGAAGGCGAAGTTTCTATGGCGGCAATGTTGTGTGCGGGTTTGCAATATTGCAGATGCAGGATGTAAGAAAAGCGAAGGAGAGGAGATGAGGGGACTAAAACGAAGAAAATGGGCGGGAAGCACAGCGACGGCCAGAAAAAATTATTCGGAATATTGCTAGGCGCACATGTTCCACTCTAGTGTTGGCCACACGGCTTTTCCCACCACAGATACTTGGGGGCATATCTCGAGCCTCTGGCGGGGAGAATGGGCGGAGAAAATCGCTTCTGCTTTTATGGCATGCATGTGCCCCATTGGGCATATTCCCTGCTGTTGTATTTCACTGCAGTCCGGATTTGTGTGTTTCACGATCTTCTAAACACTGTCTGCAACAACCCAATCTTCCACAGCCCTTTGACGTCGACATTCGCTAACGCAGCCCTACACTCTTTTCTTTACGCTTTTCCTAGATGCGAGAGCACGTTTTTTCTGCCCAAATAGGAGCTCGGCAGCCTTAGTGAGCGCTGGCTGTTAAGCAAGCATGTATACAGTGTGTCGCGAAAGGAGCTGTCTACTTCTTTTCCCTTGGTTTTGGGACCGTCATCCTCTATGGAGCTACTCATAATATTACTTGCTCTCTCTGAGCCCCACAAATGTATGTGTGTGATTTATTTTTGCCTTTTTTTACATTAGGGCTTCACAGCTCTTCGTCTACTGTGCGTATACATTTCCGTACAGTGTGTGTGCACGGACGTTGCACGTGGAGCTGAACGGACTTCCACTTGGACCCACAGCCAACTTCGTCATAGACCTCGGCGGTCGGATTGTGGTAGACCGATCGGCGTTTTCTCCAGTACGGCGTACTTACTTACTGACCCTGGATCACAGATTCAGTAACGGCGAGGCGATTCGATGAATAAGTTCTTCACGACAAAGTGCACTCAAGTAAGCGCCTGCATCACGAAAATACATCGGGGTTGTCGCACATTCGTGAAACGGGATCAACTTCAGATCGTACTTATTACTTCCATGCATTATACCTAGCCCCTCTATCTAGATCCAGTCAATTGTAGAGTCTGAGCCTTTCATCTTGTTTTCTACAAATTGCTCCGTTCAGTACGCCACACAGACATGAGATCATGGCATCTGAGCAAGATCTTCCCATTCAGGTTGGAGTGGCTCGTCACTTGCCTTATGGGGCTCCATGCCATCATAATAGCCCAAAACATTCCACTCTTCACCCCGGATTTCGCTTTCGTGTTTGGCCGTGACTGATTTTTCAGAAAATCCGCCAAGTCTAGAAACCCAGTGGTATTCTATAAATTAGCATTTAGTATATTATGAAGACATGTGAGAAGCAATTGCGAGAAAGTACAAAAAACAAGGAAGTGTAGCAAAAGGCACACACCGTTGTCGGCCTTGTCAGCTAGGACGATTCTTGGCATTCTAGCTTTTTTTTTTTTCAGGGGCTGGGCACTGGCGTTTGATGCACTTTGTCACTGGCACAGAGCCGGACTTGTAGCAGTCGATAAAGTTTTCAATATTCACAAGAATGTCGTCAAATGAAGGGTTGAAGATATCAGGTGAAAGCTTTGTGGGTGGATATCGGTGCTTCCATGTCTTCTCTTTAATCTTTACCGCCTTTGCAGAGCCTCCCACGGCAAGGGTCACCGTTTCTCGGTCCCGAAGGCCCTCTTCATAGGCCCAAAGCTGTTTGCGAGAGTAGAGGAGCCTGCCCGTTTCGATGTTTTTGGTCAGGCCGTCATCAGAAAGGACGGAGAAGGAGTCTTCATCGTCGTCATCGTCTTCGTCTTCCACCTCGACTTCGACTACAGCTTCTTCAAAATCGAGGTCTGCCGATCCAAAGTTTTTATCGAAGCGTTCGAGATTGCCAGCAATTCGCACTTCGATATCAGCGGCGTTCCCTCCAAGGTTTGATGGTATCTCAGCGAAGCTGTCTTCGTCTAGCTTTCTCTGAGAAGGATGGTAATGGAAAGGGTCCCAGGCCGAACGGTCAGGTAAGGATGGGGCAGTCAATCTGACGAGGACCATGGTAGCGTAATTAGACGCTTTGAAAAATTTGTTGATCGAAGTGAAAGATGATTTTACTGTCCCCTTTGATGATGGATCTGAGTGGTAGATGAACGTTTGAGCAGGGGGAAATGGCTTGGGAGCCTCTGTATTTGATATTGGACAGAGTCTTGTGGAATTGCTTCAAATAAAAATAAAAGAGAAGGGTTGTAAAAAATATAGAGACAATGGCCATCCAGGCACAGAGACCAGCACCAGTATTATTTAGATCCCAAAATGGAAGGCACGCGAAAATTGCAGTTCTTGGCCGCACCTTCACATTTCGGGGGAGACATAGACTTATAAGTATGAAGAAGTTGACGTTTATAAGGGCGGGAACTACAAGAAAATGGCAATACTTCTGTTCCTGCGATGGCTATATATTCTCCATGCGAGTATCACAAAGCTCACGGTTATATACTACACATTCCACGGCATCACGGAGTGACTTGGTATACTAGGACAAACTGTAACTCAACAGATAATATGCCTTGTGGTCCACCAGTGGACCTGTAATGAACTCACTGAACAGCAATTTTCTATGTTCAGGAGAAAATTATCAATACTCCGTGCAACGTTTGGTCTGTCAGCCATCATCATAACTCGTGCCACTGATTTAAGTATATTTCAGGTCCTCGTAAAAATATAAAATATAGCGAGTTTTATTTGCCCGTACGTTCACAAGCTTATACAGAAGAAGAATTCTGTCCAGATGGATAGAAAGTGTCGAACGCGGACCAGCCATTGACCGGACATATTATGCCTTTTAGAAACCGAGGGGGGTTTCCATTGTTAACTGACATCAATCAAAGATCCACCATCGAAGCCGCATCATAGCTGCGCTGTTGTACAGAAGTCGTAGAAGTAGCACAGAAAAGATCTTGGATTGGGTTACTACAGTGTTAGAAAACCGGAGGGTTCGTACTGTGCCTTGATTAAGGGATAAAGGGGATACAATGCACCACTACAGATTGCAAAGACGAAGCCACCACAGCCTTTGCTAATTACATTGTATAACGATCCCTTTGGCAAAGGTCAGTGTGTTCTTCACAACCTCGTTTCTCCGACTCGCAGCCGGGTGTGCTTGCTTCCACAAAAGGCAAACGAGCGGACAGCTGTTTCAACCGTCTCCATCTGGCTCGCGCTCATCGGTCGGTTGGTCGCGTGCTTGCGTGCTTCTGGACAGTATCCACGAATAGCCGAGAGTACGGAACCGCCCCTATTACCCGACCTAGTATCTGCCCATTCCCTTGCCAAGGAGCACGCCAATGATGTCAGGTTTAGGCAGTCATCTGGCTTGCACATATGGCTGCTGGCATGCACGCAGACCAGTCCACACGGCCATGTGCTCCAAACTTTCCGTCATATGGCTACGCTCGGGATTGGTTGGCTTGTACGTAATAGCGTCACCATGGCCTCTTCACAACTCCCCATTTTAAGCTACAACGGTCACATTCGTCTTCAGAAAACACTATATTACTTGTGCACTAGGTTATAACGCATGCGAAAACAAAACAATAAACGAAACCCCTGACCTACCTGAAAACCTACCGTACTCGTACGTCGTATAGGGTTGCGCTGAACAGCCGTGCACATGTCCATGAGACTTGACCCTTGCATACACGCACTCACGCACACACATTCGCACACACCCGCGTGCATATGCACCATCCATACATAGGTACACGGTATACCCAAACCGGCGGCTCTCGCCCCCAAGCTGGGCTCCTAAGAGGAACAGTGACATCAACACCCGCAAAGAGAGAAAGGTAAGTGAGGAAGAAAAACGGAAGGCCTGTTAAAATGAACAGCAAAACAGAAAACAAACAGAGCTAGCCGTGACGCGGAGATGCTGGATCTGCCGCGCGCCGAGAAATGATCCTTGGCACGGCTCCGCCTGAAAATAAAAACCCAAGTCATGGCACTTATTGACTGACTTGCGATGACCGTTGGGTGCCCTCATTAATCATGCCTGAGGCTTTGCTTCTCCCTTAAGACTGTTCAACCGTTTGATTTTTCCAAAGCATGGCGAGAGAAGTTTCGCCGCCGCCCGCTTTCTGCTCCTTTCCCAAAGCATGCCACAGCACATGGAGACGTTTTGTCCAAACCGAATCTCTCTTTGGCTTCCTTTTATCGGCATTTTTCCGGCATGCAAACCCCAAAGAAAAAAATCATAACTCTTGCCGCCGGGGGGTCACATCCGAAAACCGAGACCCCTGTCCTTTTCCGAATTGGCCCATGATGATTGTACATAAAATGCAGAGTAAAATATGAATCGCCCCTAATTCCTTTTGAAAACACAATTCCCTTTGACAATGACACTGTCTGCAGTCCTGAATTGAGGAAGCAATGACAAAGACGGACGAGGCAAACAGGGAAAAAGGGGGGTATCAAGAAAATGCAGAAAAGCACTAGGTATATGATAGAAGGGGTGATATGTGTGTGCGTGTGCGCGCGCCAGGTGTGTGCGTATGATTGTGCGTGCGTATGCATTCGAATGTCCATAATCGTGCTAGGACAATGTGCCTGCTTGAGGCAGGAATCCTCTTCAATACGGAAGAGAGAGAAAAAAAAAACAGGGGTGGCGAGAAGCCTGTATGGCCACGCCATGTGGTCGTAAACCTGAGGCGAGATAATTGAAGGACGGTGATCAGACGAGCTTCATTGCCACGTTCACCTCGTGTTACTCGTATCGAATGAGAACTGAGTGGGGAACTGCATGCTCGCGCTGAGACCGAAAGGGTCCCAATCCAGAGCAGGGTCGAGAAGCTGCGTCATAGATGGATATCCGTTTTGGCCGCCGATAACGGAAGATGCTGTCGAAGGTGGGGCGCTCGCGGCCGGACTCGCGAGACTCAACGGCGGGGGACCAGTCGAATAGGCGTGGTTGGCGTACGGACCGGCGGGGGTATCGGGGTTCTCGTTCGGGTCTTCGATCATATCGTCGGCGGCGTCGTATTCCTGTTCTAAAAATACAGAATGAATCTAGGACGACAAAGCTCTGATTGGGGATGGGGCTGAAAGGGGGAGAGGTCAACTTGCCCAACTGCTCAATATGGTTCTGGAAAGATGGAGCTGGATAGAACGACGTCGAGCCAACGCCCCCAGACCGTGGTGTCACCGGCTGCGGCGAAGGCAGCGGTGCATGTTGTTGCTGCGGATGCGACGAGGGCTGCTGCTGGTGCTGTATGTGCTGCGGCACATGGTGCTGAGCAGTGTGGTGGTGCGGGTGCTGTTGATGCTGCTGATGCTGCTGGTGCTGCTGGTACTGGTGCTGCTGCTGCTGCTGTTGCTGCTGTCGTTGTTGCTGCTGCCGTTGCTGCTGAAGCGTGCGCGAAGCTCCTACCATTCCCGCCATGCCGGCCAGCTGGCTTGCCTTCATAGCTGCCACAGCTTGGTGAGCCTGATGCGCCTGGTGCGCTTGCATCATCTGTGGAGGTGGCGGAGGCACAGGGAGAACAGGTCGGATGGAAGACGAAGGGTCGTTGATAGAAGCAGCAGGCGATGCACCGTAAGCCGAAGTCGAGGCGGTAGGTGAGGCCGAGTGAGACGATGGTGTGGGCCGGCTCTTTGGTGATGCAACCACAGACGTAGGAGTGGGATGGCCGGGCAGGGAAGCTACGCCAGGTTCGAGCTTCGGTGCGATGCTAGAGTTGGATCTGCGCGCATGGTGACGGTTCAAGATGGACCGGGGAATTGGTGGTGGTTGCACCATGTTCTGTGGCATATGCGTGGGACCTAGACTGGGACTTCCTGTCTTGGCGCGAAGCTCTGCTTGCACATCGATGCCTACAGCAGAACGGGATGTCAGAGATGATCGAGGGTACACAAATGCCCAGGGGACGACTGACCCTTCTCGAGCAGGATGCGCTCCAATAGAGAGTTCTTGTACCGCAGCATAAGACACTCGTCGGCAGCATGCCGGTGGGCCGTCTGCAAGTTGTGCAAATTCTGCTCGTGCACCCGGATAGTTTCCTCGAGCTGCTTGATGTACTCAGTTCGTCTTTCGCGGAAGGCGGCCTGCGCCTGGCGGTTCCGCTGCTTGCGCTCCTCTGACGTGGCGTATATCTAGAGAGTCGTCAGCTCCATTCCCAGACCGTCTGCCAGGCGGCGCAGTAGTGCGCGTTTCTTTCGACTTACCGGCTTGCGGCCGCCCTTGCGCTTTACCGGCTGGCCATCCTGCGAGTTGGATGCAGCGTGGTTGCTACCGTTGGGAGCTTGCATGCCCTCGTCGCCCGAGTCGAGCGAGTCATCAGAGTCATGCTTGATGTTGTCGTTCTTATCCATGGACATTATGTCTGCCATGGCCTTGGTCTGCCGGTGGACGGCAAGCGCCTCGAGCGGGGGTGGATGGGGCGAAAGACAAGATGGCAAAATAAAGAAGAGATGCTGGAGGTAGCACGCGGACGAGACAGACGTATAGCAATAATCGGTTGTGACGTCCAGGTGTTCGGTGCCGGTAAAAGAGGTGGGTCTAGTCTATCGACGTGCAGCAAGCGATAGAGAAGTGCAGATACTGGAAGAGAGGCTAATAAGACCTCTACCAGTCCTCGAACAAACACAGACCTAAGATCTGTTTGGGCAGTTGCTTCCAACCGGGCTCTCCTCTACAGGGCTGGTGTGTGTGATCTGCACTGAAACGTCGTCTCTCCTTTCTGCTTCCAGCAAGTACTTCCCGTTCTCCAGGACCGCCAATCAGATCAAGACAGCCGCAAAGCTGGGTCTCTGGAAGAGCAGAGCTAGGCCGACCTGGCCGGCTGGAGGTGCAGCGAGGGGGGACAAAGTGACAGAAAGGTAACGAGTTGACCAGAGACAAGAGAGATAAAGTGGGTGGCGGCGGTACCAGGGGAAAACGATGTGTAATGAGAATGCAGTGGGAGCTGGGGAAAGAGCCGCGCAATGTCGAGTGCGATTGTGTGCTTGCTTTGACTTGTCGCGAAAGATAAGAGCGATGGCAATGACAGGCCGTAAGGGAGGAGAAAGGAAGAAATGAATTGGTTTTATGTAATGTGAATGAGTTTGAGGAGAATCCAACTGTCAAATAAATTGACCCGGGGGATAGAGGGGTTTTGGGGGCGGGCTGGTTCTAGAAAAAAAATAAAAGCAGCAAGTACGCGCCCTTTCATTTTTTCTGGTCTTTCCTTCCCACCTCCACCTTTTGTCCACCCTTTGCTGGCGATAGCCATACCACCCACCGCTACAAAGGTACGCCTCCAAGTATCTTACTCGTCACCGGCCGCTCTCCCCACCCCTTCTCTACAAGTGCAAGTGCCTTTCCTGCCCATTCAAGGTGTCTATGCTCCACCGACAGGCAACCCCGGGCAATCATTCTGCAACGGCTTTGAGCACGTAAGACCCTTACACTCTCGTCGGCGCCTGTATAATGGCCGGATTATGGTAAGGCCTTTCATAAGACGCTGTTGCCAGTCTCGCTGGCCTGGGCGTCCAGGCAGGCGACTTTGGATACGTGGTCGCCGCTCTGCTCTCCCGATCTGGGCGAGCAGGTTTTTTCCCCTTGGTGCCCGCAGCTAGAGACTGCTCGGTGGCTAAAAAGGTGCTCTTGCAGCGGGAGATGGTTTGCGAACATCGCGGGACAGCCCCACCTGTCTCCCCTTTCCACTTTTAGTGCGCTCTTGCTAGCCCCGTCGACTTTGCTCTCTTTTTGGCCATGCCGAAATCGGGCTTTGCTGAATGAGCGATGAAGAAAGGCGAGTCCAGACGGTCTCTTGGAAGCGAGCTAGCATTGTTATCCTTTTGGGAATTGCCTCCGGTATATGGGGCTCTCCAGAACCCACAGTGCTGCTATTCCGGCACGGAGGCCGTCCTGTCATCTGCATCCATCTCGAGCTGCCGTGCGTCCAGTCCTCTGCTTTTGAGTCCGTAGAGTCGGAAGTGCCGACGTTCGAATAGGGAAATTTTCTCCCTCCAAGTGAGAATAAAGAAAATAGGCCAGGGATTTTTCCAATCACCTGAGCCATTTGGTGGTGTGGGAGAAAGCCGTTCTTGGCGTCGAGCGAAATGGTCCAAGCTTTTCGGAGTCCACCGAAGCGCATTAGGCCGGCAAACTAGACGGCAAACTACGGAGTAGACGGCAAACTCTGCTTGTTGAGATACCCGCACCATATTACGAGTACTCCGTACAGGTATCTGACTCCGGCGCTGCCTACTATGTAAGATACGCCGTAGGTTCGCGCGCAAAATGCGGTATGCACATGTACCGTAGTGTGCGAGCGTGTCTCTTCTCCCCTTGCTTCCGCATGCAGGATGCCAGTACATAGTACGAGCACTTACGAGTACGATGCTCGTGCAAAAATACGCATTCGCGATGGATGAAGCGTCTCCGAGGAGCTGAACGCGGTCGAGTTTGCAAGTGCTCCGTTCGGCGGACAGTCTGTCTGCATAAAACTGCCACTGTGGCGCAAAACAAGGTGATGCACAAAGACAAGGTATCCATAAATTCCGCGAGACCCGCTTTGTCCGCGACGTACGGAGAATTGCCTGCAAGATACATACATAGTAGTACATAAGATACCCTGGTGCTGCATCCACAGCGATCTGCTGCGTTTCCGTCGTTGCTGAGCCAGACAGCAGTTCGGTCTAGACTCTGCGGCTCGATCTGGCGGCCGTCTCGCTGCTATAAGACGACATGACTGAGCCGAAGCAGGAAAGGGAAAGGCAATACGACCAGCTCGTACGGTCAGCTCTGCGAGTACTCGTACGAGTCGTGGAATACATAGGAAAGGTGTACAATACGCCTTTTAGGCCCACTGCGGGCACCTTCTGGAAAAATTCTAGCGCGCGATATGCCCGAACCGGCACACTATTTCCTCGCCTCCTTTTCCACATAAAATTAAGCCTGAGCGTCTTGGATGACGCGTTAACTCTTGACGCAGGAACGTCCTACATAGTACGTTGGCTTTCTTTGTTTCCACAGAGTACTGGATGGAACGGCCTCCATCGACATTGCTCGTATCGGTGCAGGACGGCGGCCAGGACCAGGGCAGCTGAAAGCTTGGCTCGGATCCATTACCATCTTGGGTGAACAATGGGTTTCAGCCAGGAAGCACGGATTCACTCCGTACGGAGTATTGTCCCATCCAATTCGTCCAGATTTGGCAAAGGACCTGGCGAGTCTGTGTGGTGACCAAGCAGCCACCGTTCGAGTCGGTCGGCAAGCCCTGCCGCATTCAGCTTCTTCGTACAAGTACAGATTGTCGTGTCGTCGTGCCGCTTATTTCCCTACGACTATGAGCCGACGACCAGGTATTGCTAGTGGCTTCCTGCTGCGCTTGCAGACTCCTATTGACGGCCCTCTCGCCTCTGCCCTTGGGCATATATTTCTGCGATGAAGCCACACGATGAGAAATTTGCTCATGTAGGAGCACTTGTGGTCTTTGACTGGAAGATGTTTGGCACGTCTGTCATACGAGTATAACGAGTATAAAGCATGTGTTGCTCGCGAAATATCACGAGTTGCTGTAGCATGATCATGTGATAGCAAAACGTGACTAGAGCCGTGCGAAATGTGCACACTGTATCTACTCACTGTGCTGCGCTGTTCAGGTGCTAGTGCAGGTGGAGCTTGGGCCACCAAAAGTAAACAAAGCCACCATCTCACGCGCCCTCACTTCCCGTGTTCTACTTCCTGTCTTGAGGAGAAAAGAAGCCTAGGAATGTCAACGACACCTCTTGTTGGCGCGTGCTCCGTGGTCAAAGATCTCCTGCCCTTGCTGCCGACATCACCCCGGAAGAATTGACATCATCGCTCTTTATCTGTCGATAAGACAACATCATTGTTTACCCCGATCCTTTTTTACCGCCCATTTTGCCCCAATCCCATACGAACAAGACGAACAGTGACGAAGACAAAACTACACAAAGGCATAGTCAGCACCATGGCGCCAATGACGCGGCGCCGTTCGGCTCGGATAGCTAGTGCTTCCAAGGTAGGCAGACCGAGCAGCAGACCGGTGCAGACCGAGATTGCTGACGCTTGCACTCTGCAGATGCCAGCCAGAGGCACACCCCACAAGAGTCTTGCTCCGGTCAGTGAACGGGACGAGCATGTGGCTATGACGAACTCACCGGCCGCCCCGCGTACGCCGGCCGGCTCCTCGCCCAGAGTGCCGTCCAATTCGGAGATGAACCCGAGCAAGTCCCACAACTCCCTGCTTCCACCGTCGTCCGCAGTGCGTCTGGGCTTCGTCGACATCCCGTCGGTGCGCCAGGATAGCGTCCGCAAGAGCGCACGGCCTGACCGATACGTGGCAGAATCGGCCGAAGAGACAGCGGCTATGTTGCAGCAGACGCCGTCCAAGTCGGCAACAGCGCCGCCGTCGTCGTCCTTCACGTTCCGCTTCACGCGCACGGGCGAGCCCAAGACGGCCGATATGGGCCTCAGCAAGGAAGCGCTCCACTTGATGGAGGAGCTGCGCGAGGAGACGCTCAAGATCCGTGCCGACATGGAGGTCGAGCGTGCCGAAGAAACGGCCAAGGAAGAGGCCGAGGGACATCAGTTCGATGCCAACGGACGCCGGATTGCCAAGCCCAAGAGCCGGGCTGGGCGTTTCAGTGACGTGCATTCAGCCGAGTTCCAGAAGATGGACTCGATCGAGAACCACCCGTCGGCGTTCCGTGCGGTACCCGGTCGCTTCACGCCCGTCAAGACGCCGACAGCACCGACAACAGCGCTCTCCAGCGCCAAGCGTGGCCTCAAGCGAACCCAGTCCAAGGCCAACCTGGACGAGACGCCCAAGCAGGCCGGCTCCTCTGTCATGGCCCCGTCGACGGGAAAGAAGGTCCAGACAGCACCTGCTGCTGCTTCTGCTGCCAATGAGGAGAGAAAGGTGACTGCGTCGGCACAGAAGGACAGGGCGTTCCATAGCAATATGCCCGTGCCTAGTGCCAAGCGTGTCAAGCAGAGCGTGCACGATGATGCGTCTAGCAGCCGGCCCATCTCTCGCGATGGAAGCGCGCTGCCACGCCCAACGACAACTGCGCCTCTGACTGCTTTTGCATCTGTTCCGACTCCTGCTCCTGCGACCAGCCTCCCTCGGCCTCAGATTCCGTCTGGTCTCATGACACCGACCAGATCACTGCTATCTCGGTCGACGAGTATCAAGACACCCGGCACAGCAAAGACGGCAAGCAAATTTTTGTTTGCATCGGGTATGAAGAAGTCGGCGACAACGAGCAGCTTGCAGGCACCTGGCGGCTTCGACTTGGCAAAGGTCAAGCCGGCATCCACCGTGCGTCTGGTGGAGGACGAGACAGGCAGCGAGAACAAACGACCTGTGGTGACTGCCAACACGGTAGCGAAGAGGCGTGCACTCCCTATGCCAGCAATGCCCACACTGCCGTTTTCCAAGACACCAGCGCCTCCCCGTGTGGCCAAGCCGGTGCTGAAGTACGCGGTCACGACGCCAAGCCGGAAGCTGACTAAGCATGTGGCTTTCACGCCGACAACGCAGCGGGCGGTAGTCGCAGAGAAATCGCCGTCTCTGTTCAGATCGTTCATGCCGCGAACGGGATTGAAGCCGAGCGAAGAAGGAGCAGCCGGGATGGACGATCAATCGACTGCATCGACGCCGGCGAAAGAGTCGCCCAGTGTACGCCGTTTTGGGGCTGTTTTGTACCCAGACCTGTCCAAGCATCCTCTCCTGTTGGGACTGGATGGAAATGCGGAAGCTCCGTCCACAGACGCAGCCACAGAGACAGACAAAGTGACAGCTGCAGCCACGGCCGGTCCGCCGGAAGCTCAGGCGTCGGTTCCTGGAACATTCACATTCCGCAGCGACAAGACGATTTGCTTTGGGGAGAAGCCGCCGGCTGGGTTTGGGGCCTCTCCAGGCCAGGCCAGCGTGCGTCAGGTCCGGTTGTCGACGGCCACTGGAACGACGCACCGGGTTCCGGGTAGCTTCCCTGGAGGCGGCGCCAGCAGCGCCTTTTCTGGGGTGGTGGCCACAGCCGGACCGAACAAGGAGAATTCGCGGCCGATGGCATTGAACAACATCCCGCATGGCATTGCCAACAAGAAGCGTCACCGTGTGAGCGAAGCGGAAGACACGGCGGAAGAGGAGGAAGCCGAGCGGACGGCCAAGCGGCGGAAGAATGAGCGTGTGCCTGAGGGCGAAGCCCTGATGGCGCCGCGACTGATGGGAAAAAGCGGTAGCGGCAGCGTGCGAGGCACACCGCAGAAGAAGGCGCAGCCGACGGGCAGCTTTGCGGCAGCGTTGGCCAAGACACCGATGTCGGCAGCGAAGACGCTCAGCATGGCGTCGGCCAAGACGCCCATGTCATCGACGAAGAAGCGCCCTGTACTGACCATGAGCCGGCTTAACAGTCTTGCGCGGCCGAAGCTTCGAAAGTAGGAGGCGGGAAGGCGGAAAGGCGACCAAAAAGCATAGAGCGCTGTTCAACCACAGCTGCTCGTTTACGATTATGCCTGGTGTTGTAAGATATGACTGGCAATGAGGCGTTTTTGGAATCTGGTCTTAGGGGAGTTGTCCATGTTTATCGAGCTATATTGGCCGGGGCCTCGGGATAAGAAGGTGGCAACAATGACGAAGCGGGCGATCTCGACAAGACAAGTCCATGGAGCAAAGGATGCATATAGCATAGGAACAAGAGATGGAGCGGAAACTAGGACAAGATCCGGTCCTGAAGCTCAGAGGACACGAAGTTTTTATCAGATAGGAGTTTGTCTGTTGTTCTGTTCCAAAGTGCAAAATGGTTGAAATTTCAGTGCAGGCAAGACTGATGTGCATACGTGAATGGCATAGCATTAGTCATCCATGTGAGGCAGCTGTGTATGTGGCGCTAATCCTGTTGTGGAAGCGACGTTGTGTTGTATCCGCATCCCAGAAATCCGCGGCATCGTTATCGAGACACCGACACGCTGTCGTTGTTGACCAGCAGCCAGTTTTGCGCCTCCACGTCTCTTCTTCCAAAGTGCTGTTCTGACGCGAGCGACAGCCATGGCGCCGATTGAGCCGTCCCCGACGGCGCCGGCCGAAGGTGTGTCTCGTGCTCGCCCTTGTGCCCATGTTCGAGGCGTTTCGTGGAGTTTCCAGTGCTGACGTTTCTGGCAGCGGCCATCCGCGACACGATCCAGTCGCTGTACAACGTGATGCTGCACACGAGCGCGTATGACGCGGCCGGTCCGCAGACGACGCTGGACGCGCTGGTAGCCGAGGTGCAGGTGCTGTCGCGAGCGCTGCAGTCGGCCGCAGCCGCGAGCAGCACCACGACCTCGACCACGACCACGACCACGACCGCCCTGCCGTCCGTTCCCCGCGACCTGGTGCAGTACGTCGAGGCTGGCCGGAACCCCGACATCTACACGCGCGAGTTTGTCGAGCTCGTCCGCCGGACGAACCAGCTGCGCGCCGGCAAGCGCGCCGCCTTTGCGCAGTTCCGCGACGTGCTGGCCGGCCAGATCCGATCGGCCCTGCCGGAGCTGCAGCCAGACGTCGACCGGGTCGTCGAGAGCACCGGCGGCGGCCGAGGGACAGCGAAGACATCGGAACACGAGCCGGGACAGGAGTCGGGACAGGAACCCGGACGAAATGCAGTCTCCGTGCCCACGACGACAACCAACACGTCAGCTTCGACTTCCACGCCCTCCACGGCTCCTGCTCTTGCTTCTTCTTTTGCTCCCTCCTCCCACTCGGCTCCCACATCGGCTCCCGCTCACACCGTCTCCCTGACCAACCGCTCCATGTCCGCCTCCGCTTCTGCCTCGGCTTCCGCTTCCGCCTCCGCCTCACCCCCTCTCGGCCTCACCGGCGGCACGCCCGGCTCCGATGCCGGCGGCAGCACCATCGACATGCTCGGAATGCTGCCCGGAACGCCGCAGACCAACACCGCTCTCCCGCCCACCTCCAACACCGCTGCTGCCCCAACGTCAGCCGCCGCCGGCAGGCCAGACGGCAACGCGATGCAGACCACCTGAGAACGACGATAGGGCCAAAAAAAAACAAAGAAACAAAGGAACTTTTTTCCTTTTCCTTCTTGAGAGACTCGCCTGTCGTGTCGCTTTCCTGCCACCGGGCCGTCTAGACTGACTAGAGACAGCTACACGCTCGCGGACATGGCTCATGTCAGGCAGGCTTCTACGTGACTAGATCTAGACGACTATCTACAATCACGGACAGGTCGTCTTGTCCCGACGGCAGGACGACATGTCACATGGGGGCACACCAAGTCAGCTAGACTCCACGACACGGTGCTCAGGGATCATATAATAGCAACGAGACAAGCTTAGTAAAACAGACAGTTTCGCTTAGTCACCATTCCATGACAGACGCCTTGTTCTTCCCTCCCGGTTTATGCATTGTATGGCAAACCGACGCCGTCTTCCATGCAGTGATTCCCTCTCCAGCAGCTGAACAAAGGCATTCTTTGCTTGTTTCTGTCTCTCTGATAGGCACTACCTACCAAAAGAGAAAGCGAGAGGCTGTCCCAAGAAAACCCCATTTGTAAATAATGCAAGCAATACCGCCCCCAGGAAATGCAATCACACACAAGACTTCTAGTCCGCCAAGGCCTGCAGAGCTACCGTCAGCGGCACCACGCGCAAACTGCGGCTGCGCTTGATCGCCACTTGTTGCACCGCTCCGACAGTCTCGGTCGTGCGCGTCGGGCTGGCATCGTCGCGCCATTTCCGGAACACGCTCTTGAGATCCCGCGGAATGCCCTCCAGCACCACCGTCGAAATCGGCACAAACGGCCGGTCCTCTACGCCCGCAGCCAGAATGGCGTACTCCTGCGCAAAGTCCAGTGCATTCCGGAAGCTCGCATACTGCCCCTGTGACTGGTACCCCACAATGATGTACATCTCGAAGAACGCATCCAGCACGTAGATCCCGCCTGCCGATAGGTCGCGCTGGTCAAACGAGTGGACTTCCACAACCTGCGAGCCTTGGTCAGAATCCCCGCAATGTTCAGACAGCTGGCCGGGTACACTCACCTGATCGCGGCTGCCAGCATCGGACCGGAACAGCCGTCCGCAGTAGCCGTCGTACTTGGGCTTCAGGCGCCAGTGGTCTGCAGAGCCGACCTTGCTGCCCGATCCGCCAAACAGCGTCCAGAACTCTTCCGCCTCTTGTCCGTCCTCCACCTCGATGAGCTCGCCCTTCAGCGCCAGGTCCATACCAATCAGCCGTGCACAGCTCAACTCATCCACGTGGCTGCCCTTGCCCTTCCACAGGTAACAGTCGCCCTGTTGCGTAATCAGGAACGGGAAACCCGAGCACAGGCTGGTCGTCGCGAAATCCACCTCGTCGAACACGATCTGCCCGAGGAATCGCCGTCCGCAGAGCATGCTTGGTGCCAACTGGTCATACTTGCTGCTCGTTTCACGCCGGAATGTCACCACACCGCCCAGTGCTTGCAGAAACTCCGCCGTCTCCTTGCCTTGCCGCAGCTCCACCAGCTTTCCGCCGAGCGCCCGTGCCTCCTGGCCCAGAAACAATTGTGTATCCTCCACCATCGACTGTGGCACCTCGTCGCCTGCCCAGAAGTACACCTCGCTCACTTTACAACGCCCCGCTCGTCGACAAACGTGTGTGGGCAGAGATACATCTCGCCCTCGAAGAGCACCCGCTCATACAGCGCAGGCACCGGCTGTTTCCTGCCATCGCTAGATACCCGGAAGAGCTGTGACGAAATGCTGTTGACCTTCGCTTCCCCTGCTGGCCGCCTTGACAGTAGCCCTCCCACGTCTGCACGGTATGTGCGCCGGGATCGATCCGGTCCAAAAAAATCTTTCAGCATCCCCGACACTTCTTGGGCCTGCTTCGCTGCCGATCTGTAAGGCGATAGCAGAGGTGGCGGCGTCGTCGAAGGTCGCGGCGACACGGACAAAGGCCGCATCGACAGTGGTGCAGGTATCGGCGACTCCGCCCGTTTTTCCGGCCCCGGACTCTCGAGCTTGTTCTGCTGTCGAGGTGAGAAGGCAGGGATGCTCGCTGGAGCAATCGAGTGCTGTGGTGCCGCAACCTCAGGAGACACTGGTGCTGGGGGCAACGGCCGAACATAGCCTCCCGTCTTTTGAGGGGAGAGTGCCCGCGGTTGAGGCAGAGGCCTTGGACCTCCTGTCTTCGATGGCGACAGCGGCCTTGGAACTTCAACTGCTGGCGCCGCGTTCGGGCTTGGCACTTCTTGCAAGAACTTGGACATCCTCTTCACGTCCAGCTTCCGCGGAGAAGAAACCGGCGAGGTCACCGTCTCTTCTGCCGGAATGGCCTGCGCACCTCTGGCGGCAATGGCAGCAATTTGCTCGTGGATTTTCGTCGGAGACCGCGGCCGCCCGCCAACTCTCGGTGACTCCAGCGGCGGAATCGCAGCCCCCATTGGCAAGGGCGTTGTCGACTCTGCTCGTTTCCTGAACGAGTCGACGAGCGGCAACACGCTGCTTCGGCCAGCGACAGTCGGTTCGGGACCCATTTTCTTCGTCAAATCGACCAGGGGAGAAGGCTTCGTGCCCGTTTCAATCTTCTTGGGCATAATGGGTGGTGGAGACAACCTTTGGGGGTTATCTTCCGTCTTGGCCGGTTCTTCGGCTGATTTGCTCTGCTGTAAGCTTGACGGGGCCTTTCTCTTCGGACCACGGGCACGACCCTTAGTCATGTGTGTCAGTTGAGGTCCTGGCCCCTGTGGTGCTTCAGCAGCGGAAGACGACGGCCCGGAAGACGCCGTGGATGCTCCAGGTGCCGCTCCAGGAGGGCCACGCGCCAACATTCCTGCCAAGGACGAGTTGAACCGATTTGCAAGAGCGCTCCCACCTCCCAGCTGAGGGCCACCGCGGAGAATCCCGCTGTCCCTGGTGGAAGGCGTAGTCGATTCTTGCTCTGCAGAAACTGAGGCGGTATTGCCAGTCTCTCTCTTCGAGACAGTCAAGGCTCGACTTGTGCGGCCGAAGACGCCAGCCTCTGCCCGACGAGCGTCTGCTCCTGGGTTTACTTCCGAAGTCGCTCGATTTCGTCGGGTCGGTGAGATTGATTTGGAGCCCGTACGGCTCATCTCCAGCCTCTTCGCCAGACCCTCAGGGAGAACAGGCTCGTCATCATGGTCAAGAGCATTGGCCATTATGCCACGACCCTCTGACTTTGCCTGCTGGAACTCGGCCTTTTTCTGAAGTATGGCATCCTTGAATTCATCCTTCTTCTCCCGCGGTTTTGGCCCGCCTGTGAAGTTGAGCGACTTCTTACCACGAAGAATGTTGTCCTTCAATATATCTGGTGCCTTAAAGTTTTGTGTCTTTGCACGCCGTAATGAGCCAAAAACACTCTGAAGCTCGTTCTCATTACCATCGTCTTTCTTCGTGTCCGTCGGCAGTGGCTGGCGAGGCTTCAAGTTGGTCCGGAAATCCAGGCTCGTTGGTGTAGTTGGCGCCAATGGCAGCTCGATCCCACTCTTGCCGGTTATACTGCTAACAGACGCCGAGTGCGTATGAAAGCCACCTCGTCCGCTTCGGCCAGGCACAGGTACGGAGATAGGGAGAGGCACAGAAGGCTTCAATGCGGCGGCTGCTGCAGTCGCACCCATTGGCGACGACCTCATCAGCCCACCAGTCTTTACTTCATGCTTGTGCGTTACAGGCGTTGGGGGTGTCGCAATTTCGGAGCCGGTAGTGCTCCCGGCCTTCTGCGCCTTTTGCTTGCTCAACTCAACCATCCATGCGGGCTGGTTGTTCAGCGAGGCTGCCATCTTAGGTTTCGGTAAGTCGGGCTTGTTGAGCGCGGCTTCGAGCCAGCTCGATGTTTTGTTCGGGCTCCATCTCCGCGGATCCATTGTCTTGGATGGGCTTACGGGTAGGGATGACGTCTTTTCTTCATCTTCGTGGCCCGCGTCAACATGCTCTTCTTCAGCTGGCGCCGGGGCTGATGCGCTTGCTGTGTTATTGCTAGCCTGAGCCTTGGTTGGAGAAGCCCGACCGTCCCTGGATGTTGGCCGGGACGTGGTGGCCGGCTGGGGGCCTGTTCGACGCCCGCCCTCAGGCCGAACAGATGCAACGTTGTCGACTCGCTGAAGGCTAGGGGGCGATGTGACGCTCCATCGCTTCACGCTGTCGCTCCTCTTCATCATGGCGCTCTGGACAAAGCCGCCAGCACCCTTTGTAGGTGACCGTGGCCGCGTGGGCGTTGACCAGCCGGAGGCAGGCGGCGACGAGAGCGAATCCACTGGAGGGTCCAGCTTTTGGGTGGGTGTCATGGGAGAGACAGTACCGGTCGGGATGGTGCCGGCTTGTAGGGCGGAGAAAGACGAAGTGGAGGGAGATTGTGGGGCAGGCTCGGGCTCCGTTGAAGGGGCACGAACCATCCCGGGCAGCTGAGTAGGGGCGGCAGTCATGTCCTGGCGGTCGTTGTCCTCAACCTGGGTGCGGCGATACGCAGCAGAGTTGAGGCCACGATCGGCTGTTTGGCGGAACCAGGACGGATCTTTGGAAGACAGTGCATGCGCAATCTGGTCACGCGAGACGTCAGGCTCAGCATCAGGCTCGGCCGATTCGCCGCCAACACTTGTGATTCCAGGGGAGCCAACAGAGACGACCGACGAACGAGCAGCAGCATTCTCGGCAGCAACCATGGAGAGAGGGCGTATCTTGGGCCGGTCAGAGGCCGACACGCTGAGCGACGTCGGCCGTCTCTGCCACGAGAGCGTCGGGGTCCGTCCCGCACCAAAAGTGGCGGATGCTTTTCCGTCGGCATCAAAGGGGGACTCGTTTTCTTTTGTCGACGAAGACGAAGGAGTGCCCATAGCATCAGAGCTCGATTCCAGGGCAGAACCACCGGGACGGTTGTTGGAACGAGATGAGGGACTGTTGTAGGGAGACGCCGGTTTCAGCACATCCGACTGCGAGCTGTTGTAGCGGTGATGAGACGAGGACGGTGGTGGCGTGTTGGCGGGAGACGATTTCTGAGGGGAAATTGATCTGGCACGTTCTGGAAGGCATTAGCAGAGAAAACAGGGAAAAGAGGTGGAAGGCCTTCCAGAAACCTGACGCGGCCCAAGTTCAGAAGCAAGAAGGGAAGGAGCTGCCGGCCGGTGAGGAGGCCAGCTCCTGCCCGAAAGGGATGTAAGGCATCATCGACGCAACGCAGTCAAGACCGCCCAATGACAGCCTGGAAAGCCAGCCTCTACGACCGAAAGACACAAGGAACAGCCAGGCCGACTGAACGGGCCATCCCACGATCACAGTACTGGACTTATCGTACCTTCTCGGCGCGCCTGGCGCTCCCGCTTCTCTTGCAGGATCTTCTCCTCGAGCTCGCGCGAGCGAGCCTCATCTTCCTCCAGCCGCCGATCCTTGAGCTGCTCGACCGAGCGCAGGAAGTTGGACACCTCGTCCGACATGGTTCGTTCTTCAGATCGTGAGACCAGCCAGGTTGCTATTCGTCGGCACACCGGAGAGTCGCAGACATGACACGTCCGGGCTGGAACTTTTCGGATACAGCTAAGGTGGCCGAGTGTGAGCAAGAGCCAGGAAGTCGTGCGGTCGTGCGGGTGTTGCAGTCGTGCCGTTCAGTTGACCTGTGTCGGGAGAAGCGCAAAAGGAGCGGCGGGATGATAGCCAAGGGGGGTAGCGGGCGATGGAAGAAGAAAATCATGGTTTTCAAATATTGGCCGCTCTTCCAGCGTGTTACGGGGTCAACAGTAGCGGCGTTGTGCTCTTGTTTACAGTCCGCCAATCACGGAGTTTTAGCGTCCGTTTTGTTCTGTGCGGGCGCGCTGCCATTCGCTGCTGAGACAGCCCCTAGCGCCCCATTTTACATATAGCGCATGAATGTGGTTACTGGTCTCACATTTTGCACGAGGCGGTTGAGTATGAGCATACGCATGCATCCTCACGTCAACAAACAGTCCGGACTTTCGTAAAACCTGAGCCGCCTAATCCGTAGTACCGGAGCTCTTTGCTGGTGCTCCATATTAATTACATAACCCCCTGAGATATGTGGTGCTATGACGTTTCCATCTTGTGAGCTCAGCTTCTGGCCCGCTCTATCTTACATAGCACCAAGTATACGGAGTAATACACACACGTATATCCGAGCCACAGTACTTCGTACAACGCGCTTCGTCTACTACGGAGTATGTACATGTAATTCGACAGAATGGGTTCTGTTTTCTTTTAATGATACCCTGCCACCCCCCACCACTGCCGATCGAACAGCCTTGTGTACCGCACAATGCAAAAGGCGGACAACCAACCATCATTTCGGCACCGCTTGACTTCGGTTACCGCCAGCAATCGGCACATGAGACGGTCAGTACAGAAACAGCCGAGCCTTTGCATCGTCCACCACCCACGCTAGTCCTTCCTTAAGGTTCTCCCCAGTCATCGCGCTGCACGGGAGAATCTTCCACCGATGGGTCCGAATGTCGTGAAGCTTCAAAGCCTAATACTATCGTCAGCAGTGCTCTCTTGAGAAAAGTACGTGAGGTAGCCACAGATACGCACGTTCGCAATTTCATCGCTCTCCATGCAGCCTCGGACGTCTGTCTTGTTGGCAAATACGAGCAAGCTCGCTCCTGAGAGTCTCTGTTTTCTTGGTGAGTCTTGACGCTTGCTTTTCTAGACTCTCCCAAAAATCAGTCACCTACCTCCTCCTGTAGCAATCCGTGCAGCTCGGTACAGCAGTCATCCATCCGTAGCCGATCCGTAGCGTCCACAACCCAGATCAGCGCATCCGTTTTCTCAAAATAGTTACGCCAGTATGATCGCAGCGTCTTCTGGCCGCCCACGTCCCCTTGATGAAGTGTTAGCTAGAATGGTATGGGCAGAATTGCCGAGCTCGGGCAAACCAACATATATTCAACTTGTAGCTTGTGCGTAGACAATTAGCTAAGGTATCTTTGAAGCAGAAAAACCTAGAAGAGCTTGACGTTACCCCTCATAGTCAATGGTTTTTATAATAAACCCTAGAGTCGGACTGACAGTATTGACATCTTCTCCCATGATCTTTTTGACAATGGTTGTTTTCCCAGCATTGTCCAACCCACTTCACGTGATAATCTACGTCAGAACAATCGTCCAACGCAACTCAACAGGAAGGCAGGTGTTGACAAACAGCATCAAAATGCGCAACTCCTTGTCCTTGAGTCGTGCCTTTCGTAATATAGACAACATTATGGTTCGCAGTGCTGCCTTCGGCTCAGTACTGCACGTATCGGTGGTTGATCTTGGACGAGTTTGGGCAGCATCCATATTAAACTCCGTTTCTTTAGCATAATGTTTGCTTATGTCAGCATGGTCGGCACCAACAAACGAACAAGCACGGCAAGTCGTGGTGAAAGCAGTGACTTCCTCGCAACTGTTCCTAGTGATCTAAGAACTTTCCTGTTCATGGCGCTTTGTGAGTACGCTACCAGACTTCATCTTTAGCAATCTGCAAATAAAACAAGTAAAATGTCTGATTGATTGCGGGAATCTTGAGGCATACAATGCCTCAATTAAAAGCGTACCAATAATAGCCCCCCCCAGAAGCCGGAAGTGATGCATACATTTCATTTCCATTTCTTGTGATACCCTGCAACACGCATACGCGAGAAGCTGCATCGCGCCTTCCGTCTCTACTTAACGCTCTTTCCCATTTTGTTGACGAGTGTTTACCTTTTGTTGAAACTGAAAATTCACCGACGTCCTTCATAATTCTGCTGTCTTGCCCAAATATCTTCGTTTGCCGTGGGTTTCGTCGCACCTACTTAGGTCAGACCTGTATGTTCGTGATCTGAATTCCGTCTCTATATAGGATCAGAGGGCCATCGCTCTTTACTTCTACCTCTATTTTGGCCACTGCTAGCTCCTCCTCGGCTGTCTGTCAGTTGCAACGTGAGTTCACCGGCCTCGTATGAATTGATATGGGCGCAATGCCCTGCTAACATGCATTAACGGGAGAGACGTCGCCATGGGACCACATACTGGTTCAGTGGCTGCTTCTAGCCACTCCACAGATTGGAAACCGGCAGATCGGCATGACTACTTGCGTATTAGAGCTGGCAACGATTACCACTTTTCGTACCCGCGTAACGGATCTAGGCAAGTGAGCGGCACTCATTATGGTGGTCAGCTCTGCGGGCCTGTAAACACCCAGGGCAATGGCACGACACAAAACCAGGAGAAAGGCCACAACCTATCGGCCGAAAGCCTCACTCCGTACCGACAAGCAGGCACTACTACACACATCGCTAAGAAAAGCAAAGAATCGCAAAGTCTCACGAAGGCATCTCCTATGGCGGTAACACAAGCATGGAATAAAAAAGGCACAAGCCCGGTTGAAGCGGAAAATTTTCGCAACTCGGATACCGTACTTCGACCTGAAGACAGTGTTTCCGCCGTTTGTGGTAACATTGTAGTGCCACCAGAAGATATTGACACGACCGCTGCAAGGCATGAGATGACGGAAACCTCTGGCGCCGACTGGAAGCGAAATCTATCAAAGCGGTTTGCAACAACGACAGGCTTCTCCAATTATGTCAGCTCATGGAACAGTAGAATTATCGAGAACAAATCGGTGCCGCATTTCGAAGATAACGGGAAATGGAAGCATTGGCAATGTGCAATCGATGCTGCGAATGGAAAGCTGCTGGATCCGGTGACATTTCCTCAAACGCTACGAGACGACAGCCTATTGGAAGACGATAAAGCCAGAATGCGACGCCGGACAGGAACTGCCATCTCGGCTTGTAAAGCATACATCATTCTTCATGGAGACCAAATTGAGGATGATCTGACATACCTTAAGCGTGAAAACACCGACACAGGACCCACGATGGAACAGACGGTGGCATCCAAGACGGATATTATATCTCCTGCTTCACCAGCGTCACCACAAAATCTGGCCATTGCTACACTCAAACCTGCATCGTCAACATGTTCGGCTTCGTGCCCATCTGGTCCCGTGTGTCCTCGGGCGGGTTGCTACTATATTCGCCCGGCCAAGAAGTCCGATATGAAAGGTGTGCGGGAGATTTATAATTTGGAAGTCTTAAAGGGAACACAGGCCACAGATGCGGAGCCACTTGATCTCGAGGACATCTCTTCTATCCTCACGATTTGCCGCAAATCTATGCTGCCGTTCATTGTCGCAATTGCCGGCCAAAACGATACCGAGACACCGGAAGAAGTTATGGGATTTGGCTTTCTTTCGATATATCAGCCCGGATTGGCAGGCGGCTTGAATGGAACCAGTAGGTATTCGGTCAAAGTCAACGTCTTTGTGCATGCAAACCACCGACAGAAAGGGGTGGGGAGTACGATTTTGAGCAAGCTGCTCCAGCTCTGCTCGCTTAATTACAGCCCAAAGAAGGATTACGGAGCGCAGTACTTCCATTCGGACGACACGGAGCTATACCGCTCATGTCACGAATCTCCCCGCCAGTACCACCAGGTGTTTGCCGAAGTACTTTGTGGAGGCGAGCGAGGTATAGCTGAGATGTGGTACGGGCGGGTGCTCACGAGCGACTTTGGATTCCAGCCTCTGGGAAAGAGCATAATGGGGGCCCATTGGTCCAATGTTGGGCAGTGCTGGTTGGGAAAGCTCGTCTTCCAGCATGACTGCTATGCGGAGAACGTGTTGGGAGACGATGATAACGATGACAACGACGCGGCAGTATCAGGGGATACAACGGCCGACCACGCAAGGTCACATGAAAAGGGTAACGAAGAGGAGGTAGACGGATCGCCCCCAAATCGGTCATTTGATACGAGCGAGCCTGTCAGCTCACAGGTGAACGGTGGTGTGATGCTATCAGGCAACGCAAAGGATACGCATACGGAGTATTGGTGAAGAATGAAATGGGACAGAACCGTTAGACGGTTCAGTGCAGGGGTTTTTGAAAACGTGGCTGGCGGACCTGAGAAGGCAGTTTATACGGAGTAGGCATCCCCAGCCACCAGAACCTAAGGAGCAGCGAATATAGAGCGAGGAGGAGACAAACATGAGCTTTTGCCGTTCTCGTCGAATTCTACGCCAGCCACACCTCGTGGCGGGATGTTTCGTCCCGCAGGGCGATGTGACCTAGTGGGGGCTTCTGGGAGCCCCTTCCGACCTCTTCCTTTTTCCGTACGACTTCCAGAATACTTCGGAGTAAGCCTGTCCGGCCAGGCCGAATTGGTTCAGTCGGGTTCGAGCGGCTTTCAGACACTCGACTCAGGCTGTTGTTGTTTTATCAAAGTTCTTCTTTGACCGAATCCGTCGGAGCCTATGTTGTGTATCTTGCATTCTTTGAGTTTTCAAGCGTCTTTTGTTCACCAAAACCTTCGAGCATGAGTACCTCGTATCTGGCTACTCACTTGTAAATACGAGTAGCTAAGCCAAGCCACGATTGGTTCGAGTGGCCGAAGAGTCGGTATAGATGGTGCCTATGGTCGATAGCCTACCAGAGGGCAGCACGGCCTTCTTGGCGTTCGCTTGGAGCGCATCTTATCTCAAGAAGGAGCAGCCGATGGAGGAGTTTTCAGAACATGCATATCGTTCTGCGGAGCAGACTGCAAGGCAGTGGAGCATTCGGAAAGGGACCAGCTGAGTCAAGTGTGTTCTTTGGTGCGTCTTACGTAGGCAAATACGAGGGTTCTGTCGATCGTCACGGATGATCTGCTGTTTACACATATGTAGGACTTTCTATGTCATTCTTTTTGCCTTGTTTTCTTGATAGTAGTCGAATTGACAAGAGCAAACGTGCAACGGAGTGTTTTGCACGCCGATCAGCTCCTACGTTAAAAGCGGTGGGAGGTAGTGCCAACAACAATGGATACATAGTAATGGCGCGTTTCAGGTCTGCCGAATATCACATAGTAGAGAGCATTCCAGTGGTGCCTGGGGTGTCTTAATTGGCAGGTGATGCGTGCCACGGAGCTCGTTCGCTTGGCGCAGCTTACATACGACGTAGATAGTAAATAGAAAATAGGGAAAAAGGCGATGGCTAGGCTTCCTGGGGTGCTGCAGCGAATAGCGGCCTGTGCTTTGCTTTTGCCGACCACTTTATTTTGGTGTCGGACGGAATACGAGCACAGGGTGCCTATTTTTGCTCTTGGCCTGCTGCCAGTCAAATGATTAGCGACCTTCAAGGGTCGTTGCATGGGGAACTGCTTCGTTTCGACCAGTTACAGGCAACCTATGACGTCGAGCCTCGGAAGTATATCAAGCTTTCACCTACAAACTAGCTCTCTTGGCCAATTTTGCTGTGTTTTCTTTTTCAGCTCCACAAGTCAGAGCTCGGAGGGGCTAAGTAATCGCCTGCCAGTGGTTCGTATCCCATGTGCCGTACGCCGCACTCCGTACATAGTATTGTGCAGGATGCGCCTTTTTCTGGTGGATGTTTTATGCGGGAGGCTGGTCTTTGTTACGGAGTAGCAGTACTCCGTACTTCGTACTCCGTACGGAATACGTATGTGCGACGTATTGTCGGGACGCTCGATCCCAGCATCTCGGCAGCACTTTGGATGCAGTGTACCCCGAGTGCGGCGCAGACCAATTAGCGGCATGTGTCTGACAACAGCCCAGATCTTGCCGCTAAGGAGGGCGAGAATGGATCCTCGTATGAGTGAAGTCGTTGCCGTTTTGGGGCAAAACTCGCTCGTGACATCCGCTCACTTCGTCCCACAAAAAGTAGGTAAAGACAATGGCTGGCAGCCAAGGCAGGGCTGGTGGCTATCGGTGTGCATATAAGAAGGAGTCTGCATAGCTGCAATGTTCCCGCATTCCCCCCTGATCTGATCGTTGCCCGAAGTGTCGAATATAAACAAAACACAAGCATACACGTTCACTCGTACCTGTTACAAATATCGCCTTCACTGCTCAACCACTCGACAAATCACGTCAACTCACAACCACCACAATGAAGTCGTTTGCTGTCCTCCTTGCTGCCACCCTGGCCATGGCTTCGCCCATAAAGAGAGAGCTCGGTGGAGTAAGTGATCGCTTCAATGTCAACGTCTGGTAGGACCAATCCGCTGACCAGTTTTGCTTCAGGTCCTTCTCTGCAGCGGTGTCAACGCTACCGGCTCCTGCGAGTATGCCGTCCACCCGCTCAAGACATGCATCAACACACCAGTGTCGCTCAACGGCACGACCAACACCTTCGCAGTGGACGGCGAAGCGTTTGAGTGCTACCCGTATGTCCAGAAATGCGGCGGCATCTGCACCTCGCCAGAAGGCTGCACACTAGGCGCCATCGACTTTGGCTACGCGCACAAGTACAACCTGAGCGCGGTGGGCTGGGGAACCCTGATGGGTTCGTATGAATGTCGCGCGAAGAAGTAGAGCGGCCGGGCGAGGGCGATGCGAGATGGAGTGGGACGCATGCTGCAAAGCTGAAAATGCGAATACGGCGCCCGGAAGGAAAACCACATTAATCAGGAACTGGGACCCCTTTGGTTTTGGGGGCGGAGTTTTGGCCTGGGACTCTTGCTGCTTTGGGAATGCTTCGAATAATGCCTGCGACGTCATTCTAACGTTCATGCATACCTACTAATATCCAAGTACTTACATTGTAATAGACTTAATATCATTCTTTGTCATCACAGTCGTTGCATAATGCTGAGGCCAGCAAATGCGGGGTTCGGCGATGGGTCGGCATTTCGCACTTGTCGTCAACGGCCCCTCCTCCCCAACCCGGTAAAAGTACACGGCCTGATAGAGCAGCGTAGGGAAGGTGCCAACCAGCCGTCCGTAGAGTTAAAACACGCCAATTCTTCTCGACTTTTCCACCTCACTTTTCTGGCTGTTCTTCCGTCTCTCTTCCACGCTGTTCTGCAAGGCAATTTCTATCCCATCGTCCACAATGTCGACCTTTACCGTCAAGGCGACCATCGCCACCTTTGGCGGCCGCCTTTACAAGCTCTCGCACACGTCGGCGACCACCGGCACGCCCATGAACGTCAACGTCTTCCTCCCGCCCCAGACGATCTCAGCCCTCAAGAAAGTCCCCGTGCTCTACTACTTGTCCGGGCTGACCTGCTCGCCCGAGAACTGCTCGGAGAAGGGCTTCCTGCAGGCGCAGGCGGCACGTCACGGCATCGCCATCGTCTACCCGGACACGTCCCCGCGCGGCCTCCAACTGGCGGCCGAGCACGAGAGCTGGGACTTTGGCGAGGCTGCATCGTTCTATCTGGATGCCACGACTGAGGGTTACTCATCACACTACCGCATGGAGTCGTACCTAACCAAGGAGCTGCCCGAGGCGCTCTTTGGCAGCGAGCAGTTCGCCGCCCACCTCGACCAGGACCGCCAGTCCATTACGGGCCACTCCATGGGCGGCCACGGTGCCCTGACCCTATACCTGCGTCATCCCGGCCGATACCGGTCGGTGTCGGCGTTTGCCCCCATCTCCAACCCGACGCGCTGTCCGTGGGGCCAGAAGGCCTTCCGCGGCTACCTGGGCCCGGCCGACGTTGAGATCACGCCCGAGTCGGCCACGGATGCGTCGATCCCAGCGGCCTGGAAGGAGCACGACGCCACAGAGCTGGTCAAGAAGTGGAAGGGCGACCTGAAGATGCTCATCGACGTGGTAAGTGGGGTGTGGTGTCGTGGCGTTGGTTTTGTGGCGGATGTGGTGCTAACACCTACCAGGGCACGGCAGATAACTTTTACAAGCAGAAGCAGCTGCTGCCAGAGAACCTGGAAAAGGCTGCTAAGGACGCTGGCCTGACAGGACTTACGGTGCGGTACCAGGATGTAAGTGCTTTTGTGGGAGGTGCTCTATGCAGTCTGATTAGAGGTATGGTCACTAACACGCACTAGGCTTACGATCACTCTTACTACTTTATCTCTTCCTTCGGCCAGGACCACGTCGACCATGCGGCCAAGTACCTTTTGGCCTGACCACAGGAACGACTGTGAGAAGGACTTGAAAGGGTTCTGCATGCTTAAACAATAAGGTTGATGGATATAGGCTGAAGGCAATAAAGCAGAAAACAAATAAAACGGGATATCGAACTACCAAACAAGACACAAAATATACATGAAGAGATTGTACAAGCACTGCGCACCAAAAAACCCATGCATTTTCTCTGCCGAGCGACAACTGATCACATTTGTCTCATACCCGCGTATACATACGATAATCAAATCAGGAGAAAACCCGTGAAAGCTCAGCACTACACGCCGCAACCTCTCCGTAAGAACGCCGGTTTGCAACAGAGATGACGGAGATGGAAAGATGAAGACGGATGAGAACGAAAATGGCTGACATGCTGGTGACCTGCTCTAGCTGGAGCGCGGATCGACGAGGACGGTGTTGGCAGCAGCAGAACTGCCACCATTGCCGCTGCCATTGCCAGCGGCGGCAAGTGCTGCTGCGGCGGCGGCAGCCTGGTTGACGAGGCCTTCCTTCTCGAGCTTGCCGCGCATCTCGGCGTCGTCGTCGCGGCGGATGCGCATGTAGGCCATCTTCTCGAAGCGGCTCAGGCCCTGCCACCAATGGCGGCCGGCCTCGTGCTCGCTGATGCGCTCGAGCAGCTCGGTCGTCTTGGTGCGGACGTCCTTGTCCCGGTGGAAGAGGCCGAGGGCAACGTAGAAGAGGCCGCCGTGCGACTCGGGGGCGACGGAGAGCAGCAGGCAGATCTCGTCGTACGAGTACACATGGCGGGACAGGGTCAGGTAGATTTCGCGGCTCTGTGCCGGCGTCAGGCGCTGGGTGCGCAGGCGGTCGTGCATGTGGTGTAGGTCGAGGCCTTTGAGGGGGCGAACGGTGATTTGCTGAGCGACGTCCTGGGGGTGTTAGTAGGAGCGGGGGGAGGAAAAAAGAAGAGGAGAAACCCACCTTGATGAAGCTCAGGTAGCTCCTGGTGTTGCGCCAGCCCTCGACGCGGGTGACGTTGCCGGCCAGCTCACGCTGCTTGGCGTTGTCGTCGGCCCAGACGTAGCCGTGACCGGTGGAGGTGGCGGTGAAGCTGTTGTTGGTGGGAATGGCGGCGGTGGGCGTGGTGGCAACGGGCGAGTTGGCAGTCAGGTCGGCGGCATAGTCAGCGCTGTCGGAGTTGAGGACGCTGGCACCATAGACGGACTCCTCAAAGGCGGCGGCGATGCGGGTAAACTTGACGACCCAATCGCGCCACTTGGCCCGGATGGCGCGCTCGCCGAGACGGGCGTGGATGCTCTTGAGAATGTCGGCCATGAAGGCGTTGTCACCAGTGAGGTCGGCGCTGGCAGTGGCAGCCACAGCTGAGGCCGAGGACGAGGCCGGAGTCAGAGAAGTATTGACGAGGGCAGCATAGGCCGGATGCTGCTGCTTGAAGGAGAGCAGGCCTTGGGTGATGGGGGCGTCTTCGATGCGGGAGCTGATCTTGATGCGGCCCGACGGCAGGTCGCACAGCAGGTCCCACCATTCGGGGTGCAGCTCAAAGGTCGGGTTGGTGACGCCGGCGATGAAGCCGGGGACCAGCAACAGATCCTCAATCTTGGTCAGGTCCGTGTAGGGAAAGGCGTGGCGAGTGAAGCCGCGGAGAACGCCGCCAGAGGCGAGGGCACAGGCTGCCAGCACGGCCTCGGCCACCTCGCCCGACGGCATGTTGTGGCCGAGGAAGATGATGCGCTTCTGGGTCAGCAGGGCGTTGACGAGGACGATGATTGGATGAGTCAGCGGGCCGCTAGTTGTGAGATGGGCGTGTGCTGCAAACGGCTGTGGCTGTTTCGCGTGCGGGTCGGCAAAGTTCTGGATCAGCTTCACGAGCGAGAAGTCGCCGACGTTTTCGGGCATCACGGCCACCGGCACCTTGATCGGGATCGGGATGCCCTTGTAGAGCACCTTGCTCTCAAACTCGTGCGTGTCGCGCGGCACCGCATAGGCTGTTGCGTGGCCCTCAAAGTGTGCCTTGGTGCCGGACCGCAGAATCGCGCCAGCCGGCTTGGGCGGGCTGCGGCTTGCGTCTAGCGGTTGGCCGGCCATGCCGTCGCCGCGTTCGGCCGCGATCCGCATCTGGATCATCTGCTCAAACTTGTCCACAAACAGGTCCTTGTTCTCGCTCGCCTGCAGCAGGTGGCGCTCCAGCCGGCTGAGCCGCGGCAGCAGCGACAGGTCCATCGCATTGACCGCCTCGTACAGCATCGACAGCGTCTCTGGCACCGGCGACTTGAAGTACTCCTCGAGTGCGAGCAGGAGCAGCGGCTGGTTCGTACTGTTAGTTGTGTGACAGTCACGTGATTTGATGGGAGGCTCACCTTGTATATGTGCAGGAAGGGATGGCGCGTGCAGATGGCCATGGACTTGACCACAGCGCCACGCTTCTGCGTCTTGTCCTGCTTCGTGTTGACAAGGTTCAGGACATAGATCAGCGGGGCGCCCTCGCCGCCCTCCGGCTCGCTGTCCGTCGACATGCTGTCCTCGTCTTCATCGTCATCGTCATCGTCGTCGTCGTAATCGTCGTTGTCGTTGTCGTCTGCGTCCTTGTCTTTCTCGGGCGCTTCTTCGTTGTCGGCATCCGACTCGGACAGCCCGTTCGTCTCAGTCCCGTCGGTTGTTTTGATGTTGTCGGTGGTGGCAACGTGGCCATGCTTGCGCCTGCGCTTCTCCCGACGCCGCGCCTTCTCGAGCCGCTCCTGATCTTCCTCCTCGGGCGTGGTGTCCTTGTGCAGGAAGAACATGGTCCAGTCCTGGTTGCGCAGATGGGTCTGGTCGGGCAGCATAAGCTCGGCCAGCATGTGCTCGTCACCCGTGATGGCCACGGGATACTGATGCTCCATGATGGGGCCCTTGTCGATGTCAAACGAGGCCACCAGGATGTACTCCACATGGTTTTCGGTTGCGCCTCTGGGGTACTGTGACCGCAGCTTGCGCGGCGGGTGTGCATCCGGGTTGGAGTGGCGGGCGGCCACGGCGATGGCAGCAGCGCCGGAGCCGGATAGTGACGAGTGCTGCGACGAGACGGCCGTGTCGGTCGAGGGTGCGTGCATGGACTTGGCGCTCTGGTTGGACGTGCGGTCGACGTCGGACGAGACCGGCGCCGATGCCAACGCTGACAACTGTTCCGGGATGGGCGGCGGCTGCTGGGATGGTGGCCGAAGCAGTGGCGTGCTGCTCGACATGTTGGGCTGGGCAGCCTGCACCGCGAGAGAGGCCCGGCCTGGCTTCCTCGAGAGAGAGTGCGGAGGACTGCCCTGCGTCGACACGGAACTGCCGCTGATACTGTGCTGGCGCGACTTGGTCGGCTGGGCGACCTGGATGGATGCCATTGGCCCTGCTCTTCTCCCTTTCCTTCCCTTCAATCGAGTGAGATGTCCGAGAGCCTAAGCCGAAAGCCGGAATCAGCTGGTGGGGGATGCGACAAGTGTGACGGGGAGCTCGCAACTCTCACCGCGATCCAACGCGTGTCAGAAGGGCGACCACGAGAGACATGACCCGCCAAGGGGGGATGGGCAAAAGGTGGATGATCTTCTCGACAGAGAGGTGGCCCGCTCCAATTCGTTGGGACTTGCTTTCTGGGGGCCCCCCTTTTTTGCCTACTTGCCTATCTGTTGTACTCCGTACTTTGTACACGGCCGAGCACAACAGAAAGCCGAAATCGTCGGGCGGTTGCCAATGCCTTCTTCTGCGAGTGCTCTCGTACTCGGATTGACCGTGATTTGCCAGAGCACTTGATTTGATGTGCTAGTGCCCCTTCCAGCCCCCTTTGCTCGTCTCTGCACGAATCGACGGTTTCTTTTGCTTGGCCCCCCCTCCTTTGTTCTATCTCGATGGAGACTCGCGCGGTTGTGGAGGCTAGCTTGGCAAATCCGAAACGAGCGCTGGTCGCAAGACTGGGAAGTGGTGCCGACCGATTCCTGGTCCGCCCTTTTTCGTCTTTCTCGGTACATACGTCGTAGCATGGGAGAGGGGAGAACGATGGAGGGGCAGCGGGCTTCAGCCTCAGGGCCTTTGCCACACCTCAGCACGTATTGTTCAGAGTAGCGCCCCCCACCCCCTGTAATAGCGGCCGTTGCCCAGGGCATGCTGTGTTTACTATGTGTGTTTACGTGGGCGAGCAGGTGCTGCCGGGCTGCTGTCGCTGTGTGGCTTCGCCGGGCGGTTGAGCCACATGGGCACCTGCCACAACGGGCGACAGCCATGCCTGCTGGGTTGGGTTGCATTGCCGACATCGACTTCTTGTCCGACTTTCTGCTGCCGTCAGCACATTGCCAGCGCGTCTACGCCGTACGTCGTCCCGCGCGCTCTTCGTCCGTATCGTGCACCGTACGCAGTACCGCGTATTTCTTCTCGTCTCGCCAGACCCGGTTCCCCGTCTCGAGTCCCGCACGCGAAACCATGGTCAGTTCTCCACAGCCAGGGCAGAAATCCAGCGCGCCGCCCGTCTTCTGACTCGTTTAAATGCAGGCCATGCCCGCGGGCTACAAGCCGTCGCCCCTGGGCTACGGCTCTCCACGCAGCTCCCCCTTTCGCAGGCCCGAGTCGCCCGTGTCGCCCACACCGCTCAAAGGCACACCTGGAGGCACAGCGACGTCGCCGACCGGAAGCTGGGCTTCGAGGAACCAGATACCCACGTCCACGTCCACGCCTACACCCACGCAGCCGGCCGTCTCAGCCCCGATCGGCGGCTCCTCCTCCCTCTTCTCGTCCACACCGCCGGCATCGTCGTGGCCAGCCCCAGCGTCGGCCATGTCCCAGAGCACGGCGCTGTCGCAGCTGCTGCCTGCACAGGTGCGCGCGCTGCGCGAGGTCTTCCAGATCCTTGACCGCGACAGCGACGGCATGGTCAACCGAGAGGACGTGGTCGACATGCTGAACCAGCTGGGTGCGTTTTTTCCTTTTTTTTTTTCTTCTTCGTTTCCTTTTTCTTTTTTTTCAACCCCGTAATTTGGCTTCGATCCCCTAACCCGAACAACCTAGGCCTTCCTTCCAAACCGGCCGATGTGTCCCCGTTCTTCCCACCGGCATCGCCCCAGACGATCGCCATGGGCTCGTTCCTCAACTCGCTGGCAGCGGCTCTGGCGGCCATGTCCCCGAGCGCCGAGCTGCTGTCGGCGCTGTCGGCCTTTGACGAGGACGACAGCGGCCAGGTCGACCTGGCCGAGCTGCGCGACGCCCTGCTGCACACGGTCCCGGAACCGGGCGAGCGGCAGCTGACCGAGGCTGAGATCAACCAGGTTGTGCAGGGCTTCACCGGCCGCCGGGCCTTTACGGCCAAGAGCAAACCGGGACCGAGCTTCGGCAAGCGCGGCGAGGTGTTCCGCTACCAGGACTTTGTCCAGTCGATCGCCGGCGGCGCACCGGGCAACACGGCCGAGACTGAGGCGACGAGAGAGGCATAGGACGGAGGTCGGGCAGGTTGCAGATTCCGATTGGCACGATGGGATGGGAATTGGGAGCGACAGGTCAGACAGCAGACTGTTGCTGCGGGAACGGCGTCTTTCAACTGTACTGTATTGATCATGGGATAGGCGGAACTACGAGTAATCAGTGGCTCGCAAGAGCCCGTTCTTTCTGCTTGGACGCGATTTGAGCACAGTCGTATCGAGCCGTGATGGCACCAGACTGACCAGTCACACGGCCAGGGAAAAAGGTGATGTGACGGGCTCTGCTGCAACACGGCGGCGGTGCAGCCTTGTCAGCCGCATAGGAATGCCTGTTCCGCGGGCAACGCAATTTCTGCCTGACCCACGAGCCTTTCCATGTCTGTCTCTGCCCCACCGAAGCTTCGAGAATCGGACAGTGCAGGAGCGCCCCTCACGTTCTGCCGTGGGAGGGCGTGCCAGGCCCCTGCAAGCAGCCTGCAAGGCCTGCGCTGATCTGGACAACATGCGGATGCGCTGTTTTTACAGAGCGGGAGCACTGGGCGGGAAGCCCCTTAGGGGCAGCCGACCCGCTGCCGGCGTCTAGCGGGCGCTGTAGGCTGTAGGGGTAGCGTTGGCACAGTTGCCCGCACTCCGTATTACAGGGCTTACGATGCCTGGGTTCGTACGGGGTACGTCGTATGCAAAGCCGGCAAAGCCGCTGGCAGGACCTCGGCCAGGGAGTCCTGGGCGGTCCTGCAATGAGCGGCTGGCTCGTGTGCGTGCGCGTGTGCGCTCGTAGGGCAAGCTTCAGGGCCGTGCTCGTATCGCGCTCGCACCCGTACGCGATGTCGTGAATATGAAGGCATCTCGCAGCGCCTATACGCTTTCACCCCTGCAGGGCCAATCGCAGGACACGTGTACTGGTGACCTTGGCGGCAGTGTGAGCGCCCGCTGTCCCACAGGTAGTCGCTACCGGCCTCGACAGTGGGGATACACGTAGCGAAAATTTCCACAGGCTGCTCTCTTGTCTGCTCGGTCTCTCCTATTATTCGATAGTATCCCATCCGGTAAACTGGAGCAGAGCGCAAGAGCAAAACACGGCAGGAAGAAGGAAAGCCAGAAAAAGGAGAGCGATGCCCTTTCCCTCCCCCCACGAATCAGAACCCTGCTCCGAGCCGATCTGCTTCTGATCCGACCGTCGTCCAGGCAGACATCTTACCGTTCGAAACACCTCTCTCGCCCTCGCCGTCCGTCGAGCTCTCTGCACGCTCGTCCTCTGCTCGCCTGCCACCTCTGCCATCCAGCATCCCCGTCCCCGTTCCGGTCTGCCAGCCGTCGGAAGGACAGAACGCCCCCTCTCTCTCCTCCCCCCCTCCCGGCTGCATGCAGCAGAGCCAGACAGCAGCTACGACGCTGTTTACTGCACCTTCCGGGCAGCCGCTACTGTGACAGGCAGATTATTCCTATCGCCGAAACACGCGCCATCGCCCCTAGGCCGCCGCAAGAGTTAGGAAGTAGGAAAAAAAAAAGACCCGGTCGAAAAGGGATTAAAAAAGGGCCGCCTCAATGAAGAAGTTTTTTGGAAAACCCAAAAACCACGCCGCCAACGTCTCTTCCTCGTCCGACGCCGCATCTGGCGCACACCACTGCGAAGACGACCCAGTCTACTTGCCTTCGCCCGTCCGGTCAGAACCAGCCTCGCCGCGAATTAGCAGGTCGCCCACGAAGCACTATTCTGCCTTGTCTTCGTCGCCTACCAAGACCACAGCCTCCTCGTCTCCGTCCGTCTCCGCCACCATCTCGTCGCGGCCGCGGCCCACGTCGCCTTCCCAGCCGCCCCAGCTGAAGAAGAGCAGCTCTGCGTCGTCCTCGTCGACCCGTCGTCATCCCTCTTCGCGCCACCACGTCTCGGCCACGGTCGATCTGAATCCTCTGAGTCCTCTGAGTCCTCTGAGTCCTCTGAGTCCTTCATCGTCTCGCCGCAAGAAGCCCGACCCCTCCGCCACCCACCCGCTCAACCTACCGCCAGAGGAACGCAGCAAGCGCCTGTCCCACCTGTCGTCGGTGCCTATCGCCCGCGCTTCGTCTCTGGACACGGACAGGGACCTCACGCCCGGCCTTGCCTCTGATACGGCCAGCCGTCCGTCCTCGCCTCCGCCGTCTTACGAGTCTGTGTCCCCCTCGCCGCCGAAGCGGTCGTTCAGGTCGAGACAGCAGCGATCACAGTCGCCCCCTCAGATGTCCTCGCCCCCAATGCAGTCGTCCCCGTTGCCGGACGCCGCCGCTGGCGCCGCTTCTGCGGCTGCTGCACCTGTGCCGGCTGCCAATGGCTCCGCAGCCAACGGTGCTGCTGAGAGCGTGCCCGTGCCCCCACCCCACAAGACCCCGGCCTCCTCGGCCATCGACGAGGCTGAGGCTTTTAAGAATGCCGGCAACTCATTCTTCAAGGAAAAGAACTTTCCGCGTGCCATTGCAGAGTACACAAAGGGTATGTACACGTGTTGATGCAATGTCGTGCCTCGTGTGTCTCGTGTCTGTCGTGCTAACTGTCGTGCAGCTGTCAACCTGCAGCCACTCTCGGCCACGTACCTGAGCAACCGTGCAGCGGCGTTCATGTCGGCCGGCAACTACTCGGCCGCCCTGGACGACTGCCAGCGGGCTGTCGAGCTGGACTCTCACAACGCCAAGATCCTGCTGCGGCTGGCGCGGATCTATGCCAGCCTCGGCCAGCCCGAGGATGCGGTGCTCACGTTTGGCCGCATCCAGCCACCGCCATCGGCCAAGGACACGGCGGCGGCCAAGGAGATGCTGCAGCACGTCAACGCGGCGCGCGACGCCCTGAAGAACGGCACGGCCGGCTCTATGGTGCTGCATGCCCTCGACATGGCCACGCGGCTGCTCGGTCCGGGCGCCCTGCAGCCGCGTAAGTGGCAGCTGATGCGCGGTGAGGCCTACCTCAAGATGGGCGGCGAGAACAACATTGGCGAGGCGGCCAACATTGCCATCTCGCTGCTGCGCTTCAACAACAAGGACCCCGAAGCCATCATCCTGCGCGGCCGCGCGCTGTACGCCCAGGGCGACAACGTGCAGGCCGAGCGGCACTTCCGTCGCGCCATCGAGATGGACCCGGACCTGAAGGAGGCCATCAAGTGGCTGCGCATCGTCCAGAAGCTCGACCGCATGAAGGAGGACGGCAACAGGGAGTACAAGGCTGGCCGGTGGCAGTCGGCCATTGAGAAGTACACGGCGGCACTGGCGGTCGATCCCAGCAACCGCAGCATCAACGCAAAGCTGCTGCAGAACCGCGCGCTCTGCAACCTCAAGCTGAAGCTGTACGACGCCGCCATCGCCGACTGCGACGCCGCCGTGACGCTGGACCCGCAGTACGCCAAGGCACGGCGGACCAAGGCCAACGCTTACGGCCAGGCCGAGCGCTGGGAGGATGCGGTGCGTGAGTGGAAGGCCCTGCAGGAGCGGGAGCCCGAGGACCGCACGCTGGCCAAGGAACTGCGGCGGGCCGAGCTGGAGCTGAAGAAGAGCCAGCGCAAGGACTACTACAAGATTCTCGGTGTCGCCAAGGACGCCGACGAGAAGGAGATCAAGAAGGCCTACCGGAAGCTGGCCGTCATCCACCACCCGGACAAGAACCCGGGCGACGAGCAGGCCGAGGCCCGCTTCAAGGACGTGGCCGAAGCCTACGAGACTCTGAGCGACCCACAGTATGTCACGTGATACTTTCTTTGGCATGTCCCATCAACTAACCATCGGCAGGAAGCGTGCGCGCTACGACAGCGGCGAGGACCTAGTCGATCCGTCCGAGATGTTTGGCGGTGGCGGCGGCATGCATGGCGGCATCGACCCGGAGATCCTGTTTAGCATGATGGGCGGCCAGGGCGGTGGTGGCGGCGGCTTTGGTGGTGGAGGCTTCGGCGGCGGCTTTCCCGGTGGTGGTGGCGGCGGCGGCTTCCACTTCAACCAGTCGGGTGGCTCCCGGCAGCGAGGCTTCCCGGGCGGCTTCCAGTTCCAGTGACAACCCGCCGGGGAGGGAAGCAGCAGCAGCGGTGGTGATGACGACAGTGACAGTGACAATGGTGGCGAATGGGATAGCGATGGCGATGTTGATGGTGATGATGACGGTATCGAGAGAGAGTGTGGCGAGAGCAGATCTGCTCAGCAGCAGCAGCATCAACAGCAGCAGCAGCATCGACATCGACATCAGGAGCGAGCACGGTCTCGAGATGCGGCGTCTGGGAGATGGCATCACTGCGACACGAGGCGGAGCTGTCTCGACTGCTGCGAGGCGGAAGACATCATGCATGTGGCCGCTGCGGCGGCAATGGAGCGACGGGAACAGCACATTGCGGCGGCGCGGCGCATCGGGCTCGTGGCCCTGGCCGTCGTCGTCTTCCTTCCCCCCGGCCTGGCTGTCGTGCTGGCGGGCGGTGCTGGGATGTTGTATTTGTTGTGCTGCATTTGTGCTGGTCGGATCATCCGCATAGGGCACTGGGGTGGCGTTGTGGCTCCGGGATAGACAACACTTTGTTTTTCCTCTTTTTCTCTTTACCTCTTTTCCTATTGTTCTGGTTGTGTTCTCTCCCATTTTGCCTTTGTCGTTTCCTGTCGTCCGTAGAGAAGGGGAGAGAGAGGGAGAGAGAGGGAAGAGGCAAGAAAGAAAAAGTAAAGCACCCGGGATCCTGTCCTTTTCGACCATGTTTTCTCGCGTCTCTGCTTTGTTAGACGGCTAATTAGGTATCTACTGCATTTACTCTCCTCCGTGCAGCTTTCAGCTGAGACCGTGCCGACAATATGCGCACTGTGCGAACCGACAATTGCATGTGCGTTTTAGCGCAAGGCACAGTCCAAGCACAGTAGCCCCTCCGCTCGGCAGCAGTCATGTTGTAAGCTTGGGGAAGGCCACGATTTCCTAAACCTAAAATAAAAAGAAATGCCACGACAGTCTCCTCCGTCTTCTCACCACATACCTCAACGACGACGCCAACTTACGCGCACGACTGTACCGGCTGCCGCATTCGTTTTTTGGGGCCGCTTCCGTCGGTCCGTTCTCGTTCACTCCATCAGCACGAGACACCACTGCATCTGTCTCTTTCCATTGCGCTTGCACTTTTGTACTTTTCTTCATCCCTGCTCGGCTCTGTCTTCAATTCTGTTCCTACCATTCTGCTCTGATTTCTGGGGGACTGGTCCTCTGGTGACTGCCCACCATGAGCTCTTCGTATGCGTACGATGAGACCGGCCAGTTGTGGCCGTTCTTCGCCTTCACGCTGTCGACCATTATCACGGTCCCGCTCAGCTACATCCTCGTCAGCCGCGTGGGCAACCCGGCGGCGGCGTTCCCTCGCATCCAGACGGACTACCGGCCGCCGCAGGCCAGCATCATCGATGCGGAGCGCGCAAAGTACCGTCGCAAGCAGCGGCGCATCGGGTTGATTTTGGCCGTCGTGGCCGGTTGGGCTGTGATGGCCTACACGATGTACCTGATCTCCATTGCCGAAGCGCCCGAGGAGCAGCGCGTCTGGAACCCTTACGACATTCTCGGCATCGCCGATGTAGGTGCAACGGGACCGACGAAGCACTGGCCGCTCTCTTGCTAACCCGTTGTCTAGTCTGCCACCGAGAAGACGATCAAGCGGACGTACAAGCTGCTGTCGCTCAAGTTTCACCCCGACAAGATCAAGCCGGACGCAGCCAAGAACGAGACGCTGGAGATGCTCAATGACCGGTACGTGGAGATCTCCAAGGCGTACCAGGCGCTCACGGACGCGGAGGTGCGCAACAACTACATCCAGTACGGCCACCCGGACGGCAAGCAGACAACGAGCATTGGGATTGCACTGCCGCGGCTCATGGTAACGGAGCCATACGGCAAGTACGTGGTACTGTTCTACTTTCTGCTCTTTGGTGTGCTGCTGCCGTACGTTGTCGGCTCGTGGTGGTACGGCACGCAGAGCCGGTCCAAGGAGGGCGTGCTGATGGAGAGTGCCAACCGGCTGTTCCACGAGTACGCCGACGACATTGACGAGGCGGCCTTGATTGCGGCGCTCAGCAACGGAAAGGAGTTTGAGAAGCTGCTGGCGGGCGACAAGGCCGAGTCGGGGCTGGCGACGATCGAGACGCGCATCACGGCGCCGGTGCCAGCCTCAGACGCGGAGAAGACGGAGGGCAGCAGCGACGAGGAGACGGCAAAGGCAGTGCAGACGATTGCTGGGCTGTCAGCAGCGGACCGGGAGAGGCTGGACAACCTGGACAGCGGCAGCCGGCGCAAGGTGCTGGCGCTACTGTGGGCCTACCTGGGGCGAGTCGATCTGGGCGACGGGGTGCTAGAGAAGAGCAAGTTCGAGGTAGCACCGGTGGCGAACGCGCTGACGCGGTCGTTCACGGCGATTGCGCTGGCGTACGGCAACACGACGCCGGTGCTGGCGTCGATGGCGGCAGGGCAGCTGATCATGCAGGCGCTGCCGCCGAAAGCATCGCCGCTGCTGCAGCTGCCTCACGTGACGGCAGCGGTGGCACGGGCGATTGAAGGCGGCGACGCGACGGTGCACATGTCGGTGCAGCAGCTGATGGACCTGCCGGAGTCGAAGCGGCGGCGGCTGGCGGTGGGAGCAGACCGGCTGAGCGCGACGCAGTTTGAGCAGGCGGTCGAGGTGGCGCGCCAGCTGCCGTATCTGCGGGTAGCCAAGGCTTTCTTCAAGGTGACGGGCGAGAAGCACATCATCCCGTCGTCGCTGGTCAGTCTGGTGGTCAAGGCCCGGTTTATCCCACCGGGCTTTGCGGCTTCGGCGCCGGCGGTCAGCGAGGCCGATCTGCTGGACGTGGACCCGGCCGAAGACGACCTGGACGCGTTGCTGGGGCGCAAGCGGCCGGTCGGCAAGAACCATGACGGCAGCCCGATCATGGCAGACCTGGGTCAGGACCAGCCGCTGCTGGCACCGCTGGCCTACGCGCCGTATTACGGCCGGGACCACTCGCCGCGCTGGCAGGTCTTCTTGACGGACTCGAAGCAGGGCAAGATGGTGGTACCACCCTTTACCTTTACGCAGTTCGACAAGCCGCTCTTTGAGGCCGACGGACGCACGCCGACGTTTGCGGTGCAGACGCTCAAGGCCCAGTTTGTGGCGCCGCAGGAGGCCGGCCAGTACACGTTTGCGCTGCACGTGGTGTGCGACTGCTACGTCGGCTTCGACACCAAGACGGAGGTGATGTTGGTGGTGGAGGACGCCAGCCGGGCGGCGGAGATGACGGCCGAGGACGACATTAGCGAGCCAGACGAGGGTGAGTGATTGTGTGGGACTTGGTCTTTTTTTTTCTTCCTTCTTCTTTCTTCCTTCTTCTTTCTTCCTTCTCCTTTCTTCCTTCTCCTTTCTTTCTTCCTTCTCCTTCTACCCTCTCCTTCTTGCTTTCTCCTTTTCTCTCCCCCCTTCCATCGCTAACTCTACAGACTCTCTGGCTGGAATCATGAGCGCGGCAAAAGGAATGCCACAGCCGGCCAAGAAACGCACGGCCGCAGACGAGGACGACGAGGACGACGAGAGCGGGACCGAGGAAGAGGCTGACGACACAAGCGACACAAACACAGACACGGAGCCGGAAGACTAAGGAAGTAGCAGTGGCAGCAGGCACGTGTCGGGGACAGACCGTGCCGGTGTATAATATAATTGATCGCCTTTCCTTGGATTCGCCGGTGAAGGACAGTGAAATTAAGCCAGGGAACATGCTCTCAGGCCGGCGTTTTGTATCATACCCTGTGTTCCGGCGTGCAGATCCACCAAAGCTAGATATTGATTCTTGATCTACCAGTAGCAAGACCAACCCAATCCCACGCACTTGTCCTCGTCCTTTTCGAAAACAAAACACAAACAGAACGCCGTTCGCTAATGCAGCCCGTCCCTGTCCTCGGATGCGCCCTGCCTACTGCAGCAGCTCCTCGCACGTCCAGTCCTCGTAGAAGCCGTCGGGCAGGTAGCGCCGCACGATCAGGGGCACCTTCTTCTCGCGCAGCTCTTTGATGGCGATCTGCAGCGGGTCGGTCTCGCCCTCGAGGTCGACCAGCACGGGAGCGTTCATGCTGGGGGGACGTTAGGACAGCCAATACGAAACGGGAGGACAGATGAAAAATGGGAGTCAATTACGCACCTGATCTGAAGAGCACGCGTCCCGAGGATGCGCGCCTTCTCGTACTTTGTCAGAAACGGCGTGGTCGACCGCTGGTCGTTCGGAATCTTCTTGTCCTTGTGCGACTTGACGTTGTTCCGTGGGCCGCTGGCCGCGTTCTTCTGACTCGCCATGGCCGAAGGGTCGTTTGCTGGCAGGATGTCCACATCGTCGTCGCCGCTGCGGCCGTTGGTCCCGTTGAAACCGCCTTCCTCGTCCTCGGCCGGCACCTCAGGCTCAAAGTAGTCCTGGCCCTCGTCCTCGTCGTACAGGGGCTCGTCGCTGGAGCACGGTTAGCCGGGAAGCGCTGTTACGCAAGGTCACGTCCAGAGTAAAATACACGTACTGTCCGTTGCCCCCATCGTCGTCGCCGTACTCGGACATGTTGAAGTTGAAAGCGGTGCAGAGAAGCGGTAGAAGCGGTATAGGAACGTTCGCACGGTTCTCTTCAGTAAGAAGTGGTCGCTGGCAATGTCTGGGAGCCTGAATGGATGCTTCTCTTGGAAACAGGCAGGAGGTCAGAAAAATTGCGAGGCTGCGAAGGGGAAAAAGTTTGGAGGGGCGGCCACTGATTGGCCCGTGCGCCGGAAGAAATGTGGCTGAAAATGTCTTATCGATAAGGGATTGGCTAGAAGTTATTTCATCGCACAGTTTCCGGAGGCAATCTGTCTTGGAGAGAACCAACAAGAGTGTGCCATGGTTGTTTGTCGACACCATATAGGATGAAGCGAAAGGCGGAAGAAGATCTGGTCTCACAGAGGACGGCGCCATTTGTCCGAACAGACGGAAGTACAGCACAATTCAAAGGTAGGCAGTCCCACAGACGATGTCGATGGACGTTATCGATGAGATGACGAGATGCTGACGTTTGGATGCAGGTCCTGCGGCACCAGAGCCAGAGGATGGTGTTCACGACGGGTCGACGGTCGGCTCGCTCGACGACGGGCAGACCGACCAGACGGACAGGGCGCCATCGACAACGCCGGTGACGACGGCCGTGTCAACAGCCTCACGGCGGTTTCCGTCGGACCTCAAGACAATCAAGTGCACGTGGCCGGACTGCACGAAGACGTTTAACCGGCCAGCGCGGCTGACGGCACACCTGCGGTCGCACAACAACGACCGGCCCTTTCGCTGCGCTGACTGTGCCAAGACGTATATGGAGGAGAAGCACCTGCGGCAGCACATCAAAGGCTCGCACAGCCAGGAGCGTCGCTATGTCTGTGAGGCGTGCAGCCGGGCCTTTCTGACGGCTACCCGGCTGCGTCGCCACGCTGCCGTGCACGAGGGCCAGGACCGTTTCCGCTGCCGCGGCCACGACGCCGCCTGCACCCGCACCTTCCGCAAGCACCAGACGCTGCAGCGGCACATCCGCGTCGACCATCTGGGACAGCCGGCCTTTGCCTGCAGTCGGGACATCGACGGGTCTGCGTCTGGCTGCGGCGCCCTGTTTGAGAGTGCTGGCGCCCTGCGGCGACACGTGGCCCGCGAGCACGGCACGGCCAAGTACTGGTGCGAGGAGTGTCTGGGCGAGGAGGATGCGGACAGCAGCACACTCCCCCCGAAAGCCGGATTCGCCACCAAGGTCCTGCTCGAGGCGCACATGCGCCAGGATCACGTCAGCTGTCTCTTCTGTGATGTTCGCTGCGCCGGCCCGGCCGCTCTGCACCGTCACATTGACATGTACCACTCGGGCAAGTCGCTGGCCGACCGCAAGACCACCGTCTGTCCGCACGACCGCTGCGGCAAGACCTTTACGCGGCGCGCCAACCTCAACGTGCACGTCCGCGCCGTCCACGAGGGCCTCCGGTTTGTGTGCGGCGACGTCGACGCGCTGAACAGCTTGACCGGCGAGGACGAGCAGCCCGGTCCGGAAGACCCCCAACTGGCCCTCTGGGACGCCCGGGCCAATGGCTGCGGCCGCGGCTTCGTGTCTAAGCGGAAACTCGAGGAACACGTCCGGTACGTGCATCTCCGACACGAGCGGCCGCCACCGATGGTCGTGACAACGCCCGGAAATCTGCTCGCTTCCGACGCCGGTCAGCCCGCCCCTGTCGCCCTCCTCGACGACCTCGCCGGCATCCGGCGCACGCTCGCCTGTCCGCTGGCTGGCTGTGCTGCCCGTTTTGTCCGCCATCACGACCTGCATGTGCACCAGCAGCAGAAACACGCAGATACTGGCCTCGACATCGACGGCGACCCGCTGCTCATGCTCTCTAGCGCTGGCAACGACCTCGGTCAAGACGGACTCTATCTCAACACGAACCCCGACCCAGACGACAGCTCCAACATGTTGGACATGTACCTCGACCTCGGCCTCACACCGCCGCTGGAAGATGGCGCTGTACCGGCCGATGAGGGCCCCAATGGCAGATGGACGAGGCTGAGATGCGTCGTCTCATCGGCGATAATTACAACAGCAACGACGGGTTTCTAGACCCGCAGCTGTTTGCTTGATTGTCTTGTCTTTTCGTTTGTTCTGCATACTGTCACGTGATACCCCAAAGGATGGCTTGGAATAAAGGTTTTATTCAATTTGCTTGTACTCCGTACCTTTTACTCTATTGCGAATACAGTTTCGACGACAGGACAAAGTTTGTGTGACGAATGCACAATGATGACGCAAGTCCCAAAGCATTGCTATCGGACATGCAGAATGGCTACGCAAATCCCAAGCATTGCTACCAAACCAGGTAATTTTAATGGACAAACACTGGCGCCGATAGAAAAAGCTTCCCGAAAATAGGCCCCTCACTTCACCAGCGCGTTGCTGAGCCCCAGCAGCAGCATCCCGACGAAGCCGAAGCCGATGCAGAGCTGCCGGTTGTGGTGCAGCATCAGGCCCTCGACAAAGAGCTGCAGCGCCACGGCCACCATGATGCCGGCTGTCACGCCAAAGAGCAGTCCGTAGGCGGTGCCCTGGCTGTTTTTGTCATTGTCGCTGTCGCCCCGACCGAGATACCACAGCCAGATGGCGGCCACGCCGGCACCCAGCGGCTGGCTCAAGCCGCCCAGTGCCGACGCCCACGCGATCGCCCGCAGACGGCTGCCCAGAGCCATGTACAGCGGCAGGGCCATGGCAAAGCCCTCGGCCACGTTGTGCACCAGCAGCGCCAGGAACACGTTCAGCCCCAGCGCCGGGTTCGCGTGGTTCGTCGCAAACATGATGAAGCCTTCGGGAAACTTATGCAGCCCGATCGCGAGCACTGTCTGCACGCCGATCGACAGGAACGCGTTGGTCGGCACGTGGTGGTGATGCGGCGGTGCAGCTGCAGCCTCGAGATCGGTGTCCGCATCGGGTGGCGCCTGCTGGCTGCTCGCATCCTGTCTGCTCTCGTCGGCTCCGTCTTTGGAGCCCGCAATGGACGCCGTGTCTGTGCCGGTCGACAGCTCTGCCGGCCCAGCCATCCCGGATGAGCTGCCGGCGTCCTCGATGCTGCTTCGCTCCTCGATCGACACTGGCAGCACCGTCACGTTCTCCGAAGAGAGGCTCCATGGCGTCCGATGCAGAGACGACGTCACCTCACGCAGCGGCGCAGGCACGCGCGTCGCTAGATGTGTCTTGCACTCCTGGCCGCACGGATCCGAATAGCCGTAGCACGGCCCAAACTCGTCGCAGTTGGTCTTCGTGTCCTTGACAAACGACACCAGTCGATCGCGCACCACCTCCTTCATCGATTGCCGTCGGATCGCCGCCGGCCGCGGCAGCGGCTGGCTGTGCTGTCGTGACAGACTGAGCGTCGCGGGAAACTCGTCTGAGGAAGATGTCACGTGACCGTTGCTGGCCGCCAACAGCAGCGGTGTGGACTCGGTCATGTCAGAGCCACCGTCGGCCCCGGTGTGGCCAGAGGATCGCCGAAGGGACGACGGGTGGCCGTTCTTGTGGCCTTTCTTGTGGCTGTGATCGTGCCCGTTCTCGTCTGCGCCGTCGTCCTCGTGCGAGTGGTCGCAGTCAACCACGTGCGAAGGCATGAACCGGTGGATGATCCGGGACACCACCTGGATGCCCACAAAGCCGACGACAAAGGCAGCCATCATCAAGAGGCCGGCCCGCTGCTTGGGGACGCCGTCGGCGATGAGGTAGCGCTTGGAGGATGGCAGCATGCTGAAGAGGGCCGAAAATATCTGCGGTGGTGTGAGCAACAGCTGGTCTGGCCGAGGATGAAGAGAAAATGATGAGATGCATACCATGACGCCAAAACTGAGGCTCAGAGAGCTGGCCAGAAACGCATTGCTGTCCTCGATGCGAAAGTCCTTCTGGCCAGGAAGGAGACGCACAAAGACGTCAACGCAGATGAAGCAGGCACCGAAGATACATGCTGCAAGAGTCAGTCAACGATCAGTGGGGATACTGTCGACCGTCACCACATACCTATCGCGCTGACAACACACAGGATCCAGCCGCGCCGATCGTCCGGCACGGCACGGACAACAAAAACCATGGCAGCCGTGTCTTTTAGCTGGCGGACAGACTTGAGGGCTCACTCACGCAGCCACAATCATGACAGACTTACGAAAATCAGCTCTTGCTCTACCACGCGGCAACTGGTGCAAAGTCGTCCCCAGAATAAATTACCAGCGCAGAGCCGAACGAGTCGAATACAAAAGACAAGCAGTCTGTGGATCAGGATCGAAGATGCGGCTCTAAGTCTTGGAAACATGACTGGACAAAGCGCCTTGGCAGAATTTCCAATGTGCCACGCCTCACCGCCCGAGACCGATAAGGTAAGCCTATTGAGGTTGTTAATTCCGACGACAATTGAAACCGGAAGACAAGGGCTTGTGGGGCCGAGCTCGGCGCGTTACTGGAATGGATTAGCGCAACGGGAATAATCCAGTCTACTCCGTATTTGTACCCCGTAATCTCTAAATAAATCTTCCCTTCACAGCCATTGTGCGATGTGTATACCCATCTGTACTATTTACGAGTACAAACCTTGTATTGATTGGCTCTGAGAAATCGACAGGCGAGGATATCGGCTCCAGAGACGCCGGCGAACCGGAAAGAAGGAGCTATGTTATGCCGGCTACCGTTGCAATTATGCTGGCAAGCATATCAGCAATTACATCAGCCCGTATGCCACCTCTGTTTCTCCTTCGACGGTCAACGTAGTAGCCAAGATGGACCACCACAAGACGGTAAGCGGTTTCTCCATCACTGTGCTGCGTCCTACGTCGTAGCCATGCAACGATGGTCCGTCTTTGATAGCAATGTCGTCCTGCCTATTGGTCCTGGAACGATTGCTCAGCTGCGCTCTGTATCGTTGTGGGCCGAACGTGACTCCTTTTGTCCTTGTGTCCGACAGCAGCGGATGCCGGTTATGGGACTATGGGGAAGCGTGTATAAAAAGATGTGAGGCGTTCCGCCCCCTCTCTCTACGAAAGAGTCCAAGACCATGAGACAATGCAAACGATGATGGAAAACGCTACCACCGTGCAGACGCTCCTGGAGGTCGCGTCCAAGGACGTCGATGGCTTCCCTGCCCTGACTGCAGCCTTTGCCATTGGCACGCTTCTGCATCTGTTTGCCTTCCGCCTGGGCGAATGGGACCTGGCCACGGCCAAGATCATCCCCGGCTTTGTCCTGGCCTTTGTCGCCACTGCGGCCAGCATCGCCTTTCTGCAGCAGGGCAGCGAGCTGAGCCTCGTCCTTGGCCATCTCGCTGCCGCGTCCAAGACGGCGCTACAGCTTCTCGCCGGCGTGATTGCCGGCACATATGCGAGCATCCTCGTGTACCGCGTCTTCTTTCACCGGCTCAACCACTTTCCGGGTCCGTTTCCGGCCCGCATCTCAAACCTTTGGATCTCCAGCAAGATCATGCCCCGAATGGAGCTGCACAAGGATGTTCAGATTCTGCATCAGAAATACGGTGACATCGTTCGTCTGGGTGAGTCGTTTCTGTCTGTTTACTTGATTGCTACGTGGTATTTTTTTTCTTTCTTCCTTCTAACTGCCATCGCTCCTCACAGGACCCACGGAGCTCTCGATCAACAATTCCAAGGCCATTGAGATCCTGCACGCCAAGCATTCCACCTGCACCAAGGGCCCCTTTTACGGGCTGCAGCAGCCGATGGAGTCGCTGCTGATGGTCCGCAACAAGAAGGACCACGCTCGCCGCAGAAAGGTGTGGGACCGCGGCTTCAACGCCAAGGCCCTGCACGACTACGAGCCACGTGTGGCCAGATACACGGACCAGCTGCTCGAGCAGATCGACGCTCACGTCGGTCAGACCTTCAACCTGGCCGACTGGTTCAACTTTTACAGCTTCGACGTCATGGGCGACCTCTCCTTCGGCAAGAGCTTCAACATGCTCCAGCATGGCGTGCGCCACTACTTTATGAAGTCGCTGCACTCGGACATGGACAACCTCGGCCTGTTCAGCCACTTGCTCTGGCTGTTCCCCATCTTCAAGGCCACGCCGATCCTCAACACCGAGCACCACCGCTTCTGGGCCTTTGTCAGGACCCAGGTGCACGAGCGAATGGAGGTGCGTCTGCATGCTGGCAAAACAGACAAATCAAGGCTAATCCCGTGCAACAGAACAAGCCAGACCATCCCGACGTCCTCTCGTGGCTGATTGACGAATATGAGTCTCTTGAGAAGCCGACGCGCCAAGACCTGCTCAACCTGTACGGGGATGCATATCTGATCATCGTGGCTGGAAGGTAAGGCGCGCGAGATGCACCATCATCGATCTTCCCTCTCCTTCTGCTGACACTGCCGCAGTGACACAACTGCTGTGGCTCTGACCAGCATGTTCTTCGAGCTGGCTTGCCACCCTGGAATCGTCGAGAAGCTGCGGGAAGAGGTTGACGGATATTACCGCCAGCACGACAAGCCGGACCCATTGTCCCTGGGCAAGCTCCCGTATCTGCAGGCCTGTGTGGACGAGTCGTTGCGCCTGCACCCAGCCGTGCCGTCTGGCCTCCAACGTATCACGCCTCCGGAAGGCGTGCAGATTGATGACATCTTCATCCCGGGCAACACCATCGTCCAGGTCCCGACGTATACTGCCTTCCGTGGTACTTTTGTCCCTTCCGAAGGACAATGAGAAGGGTCGGCTGCTGACCGATACCAAGACGAGAGAAACTTTGCCAGCCCCAATGACTTCATCCCCGAACGCTGGACAACGCAGCCCGAGCTGGTCCGCGATATGTCGGCCTGGGTGCCATTTTCAACAGGTTCGTGTAAACGTCTCATCTCCTGTGACACTGTTTTGCTGAACGTCTCCAGGTCGGACCTCCTGCGTAGGCAAGCAGCTCGGACTCATGGAGATCCGCTATGTGGCCAGCCAGATTGTCCGCAAGTACGACTTTTCTTTTGCACCTGGACAGACGAAGGAAGCCTTTATAAACGGCCAGAAGGATGCCTTCATTCTGTCTCTACCGGCCCTCAATGTGGTCCTTACTCGGAGGAAGTAGAGTAGACACTGATCGTGTACTTTCTCTGGCCGTTTATCCCTGATCTACCAGATACGCTGTTGTGCTGTACGTACGGACCTCGTAACTTGGGAAGCGGACAGGAAAGCCAACTAGGTATTCAGATCTATCTCCGCCATCTATGCGTATGTATTACCGCGATTTGAACCCAAATGTAAATCAAGAACCAGGTTAGAGGTACGAATATGTCTCGAAGGACAAATTATACTACTTGTTTGCTGAAGTGGTCCAAGTAGGAACAGCTCGATTTCTATGTATTCAAATAAAGCAACTAGTTGAATCATGCTTTCTCTATTTCCCTCTTTTGCCAACGCACAGGCGGCCACATAACGATGAAACAGACCTATCTTTTCGACAAAGCGAAGGAGAGGAAAGGAGATGAAGATGAATAAACCTAGACAATAGATATGGTCGTAGAGTTGATGGATGTGTCCGCTCCAAATACTCTATCCTCCAGAAAGGCGTGATCAGCCTAATCATCCAGAGAGAACTTCCAAAATCCTATGCGTTGATAGTTCTCAGTATGACTCTGTTTCTGTAGCACAATCACTTCCAAAACTAAGTAAAAATGGAAGTCATCACCACGAATATGCCATCGAACGAGTAGGAACTTCAGATCCATTCTCTCGGGCATCTCATTGGTATCAAGGAGAGTGTCAGCACGAAAATGATCGCCGAGAATATCGATACCGCTGTCAAATTTGTACTCGATATCGCGCGGCCTGATGAAGACAAGCCAGAACGGTCGGAGCTTTCCTCGAAGGATGAGACCCCACCGCTCACTTGGGCCGTGTCGTCTTTGCCAAGTGGCTTGGTGGTGGCATCTATAAAGTCAACCATATACTCCACCCGCTGTAGCCATTCTGTATTTGCAATGTCGTAGATTGTTTTCCCTAAGGAGTTGCAATTGATAGGCTCGTCAATAGATGCCCATGACCACGACAGCGCGCGATATACGGCCGGCCGCGCTCGACTCCCTTGGTTGTGGTCACCTCGTCTTTCCCAGTAGAGAAGCTTTAGCAGGTCAGATTGCCACATAGCTGTATCCCGTGGCTTCTAATAGTCGCGTCAGTATTGCCGTTGGCATCGCCAGCCAAAGTCCAAAAACACCCCAAGCTTAGGCCGCAGCTGAACATGCTATATTTTTCCCGCGATACAGAGGAGAAGGAGGAGGGGACTGAAAAGGATACCCCATACGGCCAACTCTCGCAAGCAAACAATGCGGAACACTGCCAGTACACCTGTAACCTGTTAAAATGGATGGTGCGAGGGGCCAGCAATCGCTCCTGAAAAGCCCAGCCTCTTTCGGTCAAAGGCGCCTCTTCGTAGTTACGTTCATATTCTTTTTTGTTCCAAATGAGGTAGCCCTCTTTAGGCCCGTCATCCCATTTGGCACAGGCAAAGGCTGACTCTAACATGTGTGCATCGCGAGCATGGGACAGGCTAGAATGCGGGCCGTCGGCATGTCCAGCTGCAATGTTGACGGCAGCTCCACTATAGATATGATGCATTCTCGGCGCCTCCTCGAGCCAATCGTCATGGCTGTCCGGATATGGGCACTCCCTCCGTAAGTTTTTCCTCTGTAGAACCGTTCAGCTGCAAGAACGGCAATGAGCTCCAGCGGTGGCTCAGCGTGACATAGCCGAACGATAGAGACTCTAGGCTTGCCGGATGCGTCGCCATTCGAACCCGGAACTCTTTGCTTTGTGCAGGCCCGACATCGATGAGCCTCGCCGGAAATTGTACACTGTTTTCTGCACTACCGGAATCAATGCTGCGTCGCGAGCACTCGTGGTCGTGCAAGCAAAGGTGGTACCATTGTTGTATGCATTGCATTGTGCTGTCAGAGCCTAGCCTGGGAGCGACCTTTGGACACAATAGCCTCGGGTCTATGTTCGGCACTGTCGATTTACAGAGTCAACGATATATGACGCCTATTAGAGATCGGAGTATTTACCTATTATTGCAGGAGCTACAACAAACGTAGGCCATTTGTCAATGAACCTATCGTTTTCATGACCTATCCACCACTCTACTCGATATTCAGTGCACCTGGGTACAAGGAATATTTGGGTTGCAATCTCGCGGTAAAGTGCGTCGTGTTTTGAGGAACACCAGGTCCTATTTCTAGACAGCAAATGATCCTAGCACAGACAATACATCCAGATTCGGCTCCATCCCGAAGCTGTTCCAAAGAGTCAATAATTGTATAAGATTCAGGAAAAAATGCAACATTCGGAAGATGCCGTCAGTGCAGGTGGTGCACAGGCGATAGCTCATTTTTCTTGTATAAGAGGGGAGAAGTAGAAGAAACGTCAACAAGTAATTGATTTCGTAGGATGCAATGTTGGGAGAAGCAAAGCGACTCTGCACGGAGTACTTCGTAGTCAATAATAGATATAGTCTTGTGAGGGGTTCTAATGCCCCGGCATCCTTTTCCATTCGTAAAAATTCGTTATAAGATATAATTATACTCGAAGGAATTGGGTTTCTGTTACGAGTATACCGACCTGTCTCCGATATTTGATTCAGGTTCGGACAGCTGTCATTGGTTTGTAGGCCCAAACTGTCCAATCAGGCTAGCCAAAGGTCCGCGCCTTCTGAGCCAACAGGCCAGGCTTTAGGTCTTTAGCGTGCTGTCAGCTGAAGCTCAGTCTAATCCAACCCGGGTCATCATCACGTGATACAGGTACACTACCGGCTGTGCCTGGATTTGGCAGAACTAAACTATCAAAAACGTCGATCCGGTCAACTTTTGCACTCCCATTCCGATCGACGTCTTCCTGTCGGCCCTCTTGCCGGGCTGCTCTCGCTTTGACACCAACATGTCCAAGACAACCATTGCAGTGATTGCGGCCGTCAGTGCCGGGTCGGGAGCGGCCATCACGGCGGCCATGTACTCCTTGCGATCGGGCAAGCCGGCGGACCTGCCGGCGACGGTCCCGAGCGTGGGCAGCGCGACGACAAAAGTTCCGGGGCCGATGGCCTCGCAGGTGCGGGCGCCACCGCTGCCGCCACCAGCGGCAGCCGGAGCTCGGAAAGCGGGCGCGGACGCGCCGGTCGATCCAGCCGGACTGTTCCAGTACGGGTTTCCGGGTCCGGTGTCGGATCTGGCAGTGCGCAGTGCGCTGGTGTCGGCGTACGACCGGCGGCTACGAAACCCGCACTGGGTGGCGGAACACATCACGGCGGCGTCGCTGGAGAGCCGCGAGGGCGACCGGCAGAACAGCACGTTTGTGGAGGACGAAGCAATGCCGGAGGCATTTCGGGCGCGGTTACGCGACTACTTCCGGTCGGGCTTTGATCGCGGACACCAGGTGCCGGCAGCCGACGCGCGCTGGAGCCAGACGGCCATGGACGAGACGTTTTTCCTGTCGAATATGTGCCCGCAGGTCGGCCAGGGCTTCAACCGCGACTACTGGGCGCACTTGGAAGATTTCGTGCGGCGGCTGACGGCACGCTATCCCAGCGTGCGCGTCGTGACCGGACCGCTGTACCTGCCGAAGCGCGACGAGACCGACGGGAAGTGGTACGTCAAGTACGAGATGATCGGCAGCCCGCCCAACGTGGCCGTGCCGACACATTTTTACAAGGTCATCTACGCCGAGACGGTCGCGGCTGGCTCGCCCGCTGCGGACGCCGCACCCGTCGCTCTCGGCGCCTTTGTGCTGCCCAACGCACCCATCCCCAACAGTCGACCGCTGATCGACTTCGAGGTCCCGCTCGAGATCGTCGAGCGCGCTGCCGGCCTCGAATTCGCCTCCAAGCTGCCAGCCTACCGCCGTCGCCGCCTCTGCGCCGACACGACCTGCTCCCTCGTCGTGCGCGAATTCTCGGACCGCCAGAAGCAGCAGAAGAAGAAATAGGTTGTGGGGTGGTGGGTGTTGGTAGACATGGGGTTCACGACTTGGAAGATGATCTCCTTGTTGCTCACGTAATCTGCACGTGCAATCCAAAACGCCCTATGTGCTTTTATCGTACATATGCAGCTGACCTGCGTCCACCTTTTGTCTGTCGTAAACGCCATCAGCTCATATGCCGGCCGACAGCCAAGCAGACCAACATGAACAGTATCTCTGAAAAGAGCAACCCGCAAACAAACAGTCCAATCTCGCTCATCGCCGTTGTGTGTAGTGGCCCCTCTTCTGCTCTTCGCGCAGGCTCTCCTCCTGGCTTGGCAGCGGCGCTCTCCGCTTGTCCAGCGACTGCTGGTGGTCCAGGCTGAGGCCCGGCAGAGCTCCCATCCCGGGTATCGACGCAGGGAAGCCCGGCGGCAGCCCAAACGGAGCGGCCGTCCCACTGCCACCGGATGGAGCAGCCTGAGACCCAGGTGGCGGTGGTGGTGGGATCAGGCCTGGAAGCATGCGCGAGCCGCCGGGCAGTGGTGGTGGCGGCAGCTTGATGCCGGCCTTCTGCATGATCTCGAGCATCCTGGCCGGGTCAGGCGGGTTCCTCGGGTCGACGCCAGGCAGCGCAAACGGTGGCGGGGGAAAGGCGCCACCGGCGGCCAAAGCAGCTGGCGGTGGCGGAATGTGACCATGACCATGACCGCTGGCGTTGAGGCCAATGCCAGGAAGCGACAGGCCAGGCAACAGGGGAGGAGGAACGCCGCCGTTGGCCGCGGTAGCAGCGGCAAAGGCAGCAGCAGCAGCGGCCGATGTGGCTGGCGCGTGCTGCTGGTGTTGATGCTGGCGAAGCGGCATCTTCTGGTCGACCAGGCCCTCCATCTCGTCCTCCATCTCCTGTTCCTCGTCCTCCTGGCGCTGGCGCCGGTTACCACGTCGGTCCCAGGTGCCCTGGGCCTCGGCTGCGGCCTCGCCGATGTGATAGCGGTCGCGCGAGATGTCCTCGCCCGGCCGGGCTCGAGTCCAGAAGCGGGTCAGCCGGTCGTTGGAGCCGGACACGAGGATGTGGCCGAGCGGGTGCCAGTCGAGCGACCAGATGGCAAAGTCGTGGGCGTAGGGCAGGCGATGGGCCGGGAAGATGCTCTGGGCCGGTGCTGTGGAGGGATCGGGACTGTCAAAAGGGGCCTGCGTCGTCGGCTGACCTGCCGGCGTGTTCGGCTCGTCCAGCAGGTAATGAAACAGGGCACCATCGCTGCCACCGGTGCTCAGCAGATTGGCATGCACGGGATGCCAGGCCAGCGTGGAGATGTCCTTGTCGTGTCCGCGCAAGAGGCAGATGTCGCGCATCGTGCGCAGGTCTAGCACGCGGGCTGTCTGGTCGCGGGCAGCCGTGGCCAGACACATGCCGCGCACACGCTCAAAGGCCGTCTTTGTGATCGTGTTCTTGTGGCCGTGCAGCGTGGTCAGACAGCGGCCGGAGCGCGGGTCCCAGAGCTTGACCAGGTGGTCCTTGGAGCCCGACACGACCAGGCCTTTGGTCGGATGCCAGTCGCACGTCTTGGCGTCCCAGCCGTGGCCGGCCAGCGTGGCCTCCGGTCGGGCGGCTGCAAAGTCAAAGATCTTGAGGGTCGAGTCGTCCGAGGCCGTGACAAACTTGGCGTCTGTCGGGGCAAAGGCCAGGTCGCGGATCGGCTCGTTGTGGGCTGCCAGGCTCTTGACGTTGTTGAAGTTGGGCTGCCAGTACTTGATCATGCCGTCGTGGTCGGCCGAGATGAGCCAGTCGTCGCTGTACGAGTAGGCCAACGCCCGGATCGCCGAGTCGTGTGCCTGCATGATCGTCTCAAAGTTGAAGCCCGTCCCGTTCCAGAGCGTGAACTCGCCGCTGCTCGACGCCGTCAGCAGCCGCCGGCCCTCGGGCGTCCACCGCACCACGTTGACCGGGTGCTTGATCTTGTTCTGCGACGAGTGCAGGTACCGTGTCGGCACGCTGTCGGCCGCGTTGGTCACCCGCGCCGCCGGTGGGAGCATCTAACACATCAGCCGCGAGAAGGGACGCCAGATCGACACACAGGACGCTCACATCGACAATGTAGCTCGCACTCGGCCGCTCCACCTCGCCCGTGTAGGCGTCTCGGTACTTGGGCTGCCGGTGCCGCATCCAGTGCACCAAGGTCGCCCCATAATCCGTCACAGGACCTGTTCAATGTCGACTTTTATCAGTGGCTGAAAGTAGCGGCAAAGATGTCGAGGTCGCCTAGCACTCACGTCGTCCCCGTGCCCGCACAAATCCTGCAGCACCGCCGTCCTGTCCGTAGTGGCCTCCTCCACCACCACCACCCCCTCCACCACCTCCACCTCCGCCTCCTCCTCCATAGTCCCCTCGCGGTTCGTACGCCATCGTTGCGCTCTGGCCGTCCGCCGCTGCAGCCACTCGAAATCAGCCGTCGCAGTCGGCACAGTCGGGGAGCTGGAACCGTAATCAATCCGATCTCATTTCCTCGGACATGCACGGCGCGTCGTCGCTATCGCTGTCGGCCAAAGTGTCGTGTCTTGGTGCTGAAGCTTGTCGGCTGCCGTTTGCTCGATCGTAGAAATCGCGTTTTACGGAAGAGCTAGCTCTTATGCAAAGCGCGCACGGACCATCTCTTCCGTCTCCACATCGAGTTGGCTTCAGCGATAAGTGCCAGTGGCTTGTGTCGTAGCCAGTTTACAATAAGCACATTGCTTGCCAGGTTATTATTCTCAGGCGTGTTGTTTTTTGTTTTGCTACTAGAAATTCGAAGTCTATTGGAGCGAGGAGCGATTTCTCTGCCTGGTCTTCGATGTGGGGGTTACTGGCCACTAAAATGGTCTGTGATTTTATAGGGTAAGCAACAACTAATTTCCAGCAGGCAAATGCGAGTGTGTCGATAGTACAGAGTACAGATATTAGAACACGAGGCTTCAGGCAAATATTTCCACAGCAGAGACGGCCATCTTGGCGCACACCTGTTCCTTTTCTTAGGCAGTCAGTATTAGATGGTGCATGAAGTTATCAAGAACGTCATACAGCCAGGGGTTGTACTCGGTAACCTCATAGTTTTGGAAGTACCTGTAACATGCACACTTCGAGGAGGGTCTAACTTTTGGTGAACTCCTTCCGGTGAGCACGCAGACAGGTTCAGAACCCATGACTACTGCATTACGAATAGAAGCACACGACCGAGTCAATGACGAGTATCACATCGAAGAGCACGTGACAGTGGCGCAAGGACAAATCAGCCATCCGCGCCGAAGGGGCCGATGGCTGTTGGTCCTGGCAGCTCTCCCCGTAATCCACAGACATGGCCAGAATAAAGAGAGAGATAGGACGAGAAACGAGGGGAAGCGGGAGATAAGAAGGGCGGTCTCGGGGAAATGCAACGCAGCCTACAGATGCCGTCTCCGCCGGTCTTGGCCTCGTATGATGTTGCGTTTGGCTCCTCCCTCTCCCTGCTCCTCGACTGTTTCCCTGTTGCGGTGCATCTATTGTGCTCTAGGGCATGCCTGCAGCCTGCATGCCACCCCGCAGCCAATCGTATCTTACGGGCAAAGGTTCTCTGCTGTGTGTGCTCCGTATGCATGGCGCTATCTCGAGAAGGCTGGCCAACAATCGCAGAGAGCTGTCCGGTCGGGGTCGCATAGTCCAATGCTAGAGCTGGCTTGCAGAATGCAGCAGCAACACTCCGTACTCCTTCGCACTCCGTAAATGCTCCGTGTTCCAACAGGCCCATGCCACCCTGCATCTGCTGTTCGACTCGCGTTGTCGCTGTGATCCCTGAACTATGTCTTGTCCACGTACGCGTATATATGGGCAGACTTGGCACTTCTTTCCGGCTGACTCGCTCCTTCTTTCCCCCAAGGCCCTTCCCACATATTGCCACCTTCCAGTCTGGGCGTCTTAGCTGCGGCCCGCTTGTTCTGACTAACACACGTATACCTCTTTTTGCGGAGCCTTTTCTCACGTCATGTTTCAAGACGTCCAATTCTCGGCCCCCTTCCTCCAGCTCTACAAATCCCGACGCAGCAGCCTACGACCTCCCTCTGCCCCTGTTCCGCCCGGCGATGGGCGAATCGCCATGGACGCGGCAACGGTGACCAGCTGCCAGGCGTCCGCCGACAGCGGCTCCAACAGCAACAACACATCATCGCTACGTCGATCCAAGACAGGAAAAGATGCAGCAGCAGCAGCAGCATCACGACCACGACTACCACCAGCTGAGGCGGGCACGCGGCCAGCGGGCGACTCCCCGGCCATCCAGCAGCTGCGCAAGGTGATTCGCTACAAGTACCGTCACGTCGCGGCCTACCACACGCAGTCACAACCGACGTGTCTCAGCACCGACAGTGCTACCTCACCCAGCTTCCTGGGCTTTCGAAACCTGATGGTCATCGTTCTAGGTGAGTGGTGGCGGTGGAGATGATGAGTGTGATGGATGTCTGTGCTACTCGTGCACGTGCTGACACGACGCCGCAGTGGTCGGAAACCTCCGTTTGATGCTGGAGAACATCCAAAAGGTGAGACATTCCCAGATATGCATCGGGCATTGGGCATCGAGCATCGAGCATTGGTTTTACTACCAGCGGGCCCCCGGATTTGGCTGACAGTCGATCTACAGTACGGCGTTCTGATCTGCATACGCTGCCATGACTTCCGCCCACACGACGTGCTGCTGGGCCTCGTGCTGTCCCTGGCCATCCCGCTCCACCTGCTGTTCGGCTACCTGATCGAGCTGGCGGCCGCACGCCAGGCACAGCTGTGGCGGCAGCGACAAGCCAACAGCAAGCGGGCCAGGCTCGGCGGCCGCAGCCCAGACACGGGCACGTCCAGCCCAACCGAGGACGAGAGCCGTCGGTTCCGGGCGATGTGGCACATGGTGGCATGGCTGCACGCAATCAACGTGACGCTCGCGCTGGCGGTAGCCTCGTACGTGGTGTACTTCCATATCCACCACCCGCTGATCGGCACGCTGGCTGAGGTGCACGCGCTGGTGGTGTGGCTCAAGACGGCGTCGTACGCCTTCACGAACCGCGACCTGCGACACGCATACCTACACCCGGCCCGCGGCGAGCGCGAACAGCTACCAGCGCTCTACGCGGCCTGTCCGTACCCACAGAACATCACGATGGGCAACCTGGTGTACTTTTGGTGCGCGCCGACGTTGGTGTACCAGCCGATATACCCGCGCACCCCAGAGATTCGGTGGGTGTTTGTGGCCAAGCGGCTGGCCGAGGTGTTTGGGCTGGCTGTGTTCATCTGGTTCTGCAGCGCGCAGTACGCGGCGCCGGTGCTGCAGAACTCGCTGGCCAAGATCGCGTCGCTGGACCTGGCGGCCATTGCCGAACGGCTGCTCAAGCTGTCGACCATCTCGCTGGTCATCTGGCTGGCCGGCTTCCTGGCCCTCTTCCAGTCGTTTCTCAACGCCCTGGCCGAGGTGACCCGCTTCGCCGACCGCGACTTTTACGAGGATTGGTGGAACAGCGCCAGCCTCGGGGCCTATTGGCGCACCTGGAACAAGCCGGTCACACATTTCTTCCGCCGTCACGTCTACTCGCCGCTCATCGGCCGCGGCTGGAGCCCCATGGCCGCGTCAGTCATGGTCTTTTTCGTCTCGGCCCTGCTGCACGAGCTGCTCGTCGGCGTGCCCACCCACAACATCATCGGCGTCGCCTTTCTTGGCATGTTCCTGCAGCTGCCGCTCATTGCCATCACCGCCCCGCTCGAGCACATGCACACGGCTGCTGGTCGCATGCTCGGCAACTGCCTCTTCTGGGTCTCCTTCACCGTCCTGGGTCAGCCCTTTGCTGCCCTGATGTACTTTTATGCCTGGCAGGCCAAGTATGGCAGCGTGAGCCGCAAGCTGGCGGCGCAGTGAGGCGAGGAAGGTGGAATGTAGCAGGATTTGGTTAGCCGATCTAGGTCTTTGCGCTCTGCTGTGGTCTGGGGTTTTGGGGGTTGATTTGCTGTTTATTGTTTTTGAATAGGAACGAATTTGCTGATCACACTTTGGCTATCATTTACATGTTTCATTGCACAATTTCAATTATATCAACATTCCCTGTGCATCCTCGTGTCCGTCAGATAAAGGGCATCTTGGTGCCGACGCGCTTCTGGTAGCTGACATAATCATCGCCAAAGAAGCGGATCAGCAGCTGTTCCTCGTGGCGGATACGGCGAGAGAAGAAGCGCCAGAGAACGGCAGCGTAAGCGGCGAAGCAGACGAAGTTGCCGAGGACGAGCTGGGTGCCAAGGGCCCACCAGAAGAAGCCAAAGTAGCTGGGATGGCGGAGATGGGCGTAGATGCCGGTAGTGACGAGGGCATGGCTGTGGGCGCGGCGCCGCTGGATCTGGTGGTTGAAGCTGCGGCCAGCCTGGGTCATGGCGGCGGAGCGGACGAGCTGGCCGATGGTGACAACGACGAGGCCGATGAGGAGGAGAGGCCGGGCGGGCCAGAGGGGCGCGAGGTGTGCGAGCCCGGGGAGGTGGCTGCCCCGAAAGACAGTCAGCCGCACGAAGCACTCAGCAAAGGCGGCCGTGTGGGCGATGGCGTAGGCGGGCCAGTTGGCCGTCAGCAGGAACGAGTCGACCGAGGCGGCCGGCGTGTTGTGGGCGGCCGTGACGTAGAACTCGAGGAAGTGGAAGGCGGCCAAGGCGGCGGCGAAGAAGGGCAGGCGCCAGAGCGGTGCCAGCAGGGCGACCGTGTCGGCCGAGAGCAGCACCGGTAGCAGAGCCAGCAGTGTTGTCAGCAGCATGCCGGCCGCCAGCACGGCGCCAAGCATAAAAGCCCGGGCAGCGATGCCGGCGAGCGAGCGGTCCTGGCCCGGGAACAGCGACCGGTCCGGCGGATACTGTGTGGTGGGCGAGCCCAGCAGATCCATGGCGGCGGCAGCATCGTGCGACGACACGGCAGCGGACGTCGTTATGGGGTTGGGGCTGGAGGTGGTCAGATCGGTTCGATCGAGAGAGGAAGCAGACGAGAGGCGAGAGGAGACGAGAGACGAGAGATGAGGAGCGATAAGAGACAAAAAACAAAAGCAAAAAGCATGCCTCACCTGGAACGACGCTGGCTCGCCACAGCGGCACTGATATCAACAGCCGTGGCACCGTTCATGGCTGAGGCCTGTCGAGCGAAGTTGGTGATGGATAGAGAGACGATGCAAAATCGACAGACGGGTTTCTTCCTCACGACTGCAAGCTGTGTTCGGTGCGCTTCGTGTCGAGGACACGGACGACAACGCACAGAGGACACATCCACAGACGACGACGACGCTCCGCCAGCGTTGGGCGGCGGCAAGGCAGGATCTTCCTTGGTATTGTTCGACCGTGCTCAAAGGCACAGGAGCCGCAACCGTGTTTTTACGTGCGATTAGCTCGCGCAGCTCTATAGCGGGCCCTTGCGCTCCTGCGGGGTTACAGAGTATATGGGGGGGAATAATATTAGTAATTATTAGTGCACCGCCTGTACGAATGCGGCTATCTGCATCATTACTCTGTACACAACCAGGTATCCATAGCCAAGGACGACTCTGTGCCCTCGCCCTCCGTCCGAATGGCTGCCCCCAACGACATTGACCAGGTCGAGAACCGGAGCCGGATGCAGCGTGGCGACCTGTACTATGCCTTCACGCCAGACCTGATCGAGGAGCGGCGACAATGTTCGGCAGCCGTGGCGGCGTTCAACCAGGCCTCGCAGCAGGACAGCACGCGGCGGCGTCTGGTCGAGCTCTGGATGAGGTGAGTCGCTCGCGGTGCTTGCTGCTTCTCGCTCTCGTTTCGGCTTCTCACGCGGGTGGCCCATCAGGATCACGCACGACGACGGCGCGCTGCCAGCGGCAGCAGCCTCGGCCTCGACGGACGAGGCGCTGCTGGAGGACTATCCCTGGGTGGAGGCGCCGGTGCGGATGGACTATGGGCACAACGTGCGGCTGGGGGCCAACGTGTACGTCAACGCCAACAGCACGTGGATCGACACATGTCCGATTTCGGTGGGCGCACGCACGCTCATCGGGCCCAACTGCTCCTTCTTTGCGGGCACGCATCCGCTGGATCCGGCGGTACGCAACGGCACGCGCGGGCCCGAGCTGGGCAAGCCCATCGTGATCGGCGAGGACTGTTGGCTGGGTGGCAACGTGATCGTGCTGGCGGGTGTGACGATCGGTGCCGGGTCGACGGTGGGTGCCGGCAGCGTGGTGACCAAAGACGTGCCACCGCGGGTGGTGGTGGTGGGCAACCCGGCGCGGCTGCTGCGCCCGATCAAGTAGGGGTAGACGATTTGTGTGTTGTGCTCATAGACCACCTTGGATAGAAAAGGACGAGATCAAGATGACGAGCACACAGGCCCAACCCCAGATAAAGGGGATCCATGTGGACATCCAGAACGGGCCGGAGATGTAGGCGGCGCCGATGATCAGGGCGACAAAGCTGCCGGCAAACACGGCCTGGATTCCGGCCACGACGGCATACGACACCGGGATCGTCCAGAGGTAGCGCCAGTAGGCTGGCCGACCGGAGAAGAGCAGCTGGACCGACAGCGCGACGGCCGCGACGCCAATGTGGAAGATGGCGTACAGGATCAGCGTCCACAGCAGGGTGAAGCGCCAGATGTCGAACAGGTAGTAGAGGCTACCGGCGCTGTGCGTGTCCTGTGGCGGCCAGTAGAGCGACGGGAACGGTGGCGTCGTGTAGTTGTCGGGCGGTCGACTGTATTTGAGGTACGATGTTCTAGCAGGAGACAGGGAGCCACGTTAGCCGGGAATGCGCAGCAGAAACGGTGGGAAGAGGGTCACCACGCACGATCGCGCCATCAGCACGGACGAGAACATGGTCGCCGGCGGCTCGCAGGAGGCCGGATACGTCCTGGTAATGATGCTGGGGTTGGCTGGAAAACACGATGCGCCAATGTCAGGAGCTCGAACGGTTGTGCGCTTATGGGGGTTCCATTCTGTTGACACCATGCGCTTATGTGCATGCTCAAGGGACCTCGGCAACACCAGGGGTACGCGCTAAACCAGTATTTCCGCAGCTGAGCACATGGCTGCACCTGCCGCCAGGAGACACCATTCTCTGTACTCTATACCGACATCTTTGTCAACAGCAACGAACGGATCCCTTGCCATCGCCCTGAGCAGCGCCGCGATGGCGACCGAACCGTTGCTCCGCGCGACTCTCGCGCTCTACCACGATGGCGGCAACCCGAACGCGGAGCGCGTCTTTGGCAGCACGGCCTCGCTGCTCTCGAGCCTGACGAATCCGCTCAACGTCAGCCTGCTGACGTCGCACTTTCTCGCAGCGCCAGCTGTGTGGGGGATGGCCGACGATAGCGACAGTCCGACGGCGGCACAAACGTGCTACCGCGTCATCAGCGTCTACAACACGGCCGCGATCCACGTGCGGCGCCACGAGCTGGAGGACGCAGCCGCCGTGAAGCACGGGCTGACTGCACGGCTGCGGCACTATGCCGGTTACGGGACGGCAGCAGCAGCAGAGAAACAGCCGCTCACGACGGACGCGTGGGCACAGGCCGTGGCCCAGGGCGCCGACGAACGATCGCCGCGCTGGCGTCACCTGCTCGTGCTCACGGGCGTGCTGCTGGGCCTCGAGAGCGGCGGACGACAGTCGCTCTCGCGCGGACGACGAGCCGCGCTGGAGCAGGGCGTCGTGGCGGCAGCCAACCTGGCTCTGGCAGCCTCGACGACCCCCGCAACGGCCACACCGCTCGACGCCTACGCCGTCGTGCTCGGGCTCACGTACGCGTTCCCGCTGCTGTCGACACACGCGCGCGCCGGCCTGCACTGCGACCAGCTGCTGCCGACCGCCGTGGCCCAGATGGCCGGCCCCTACGGCTTCCAGGGCGGCCACATCCTGGCGGTCATCGAGGCTGACCTGTCGTCCGTCTCGGCCGGCGGCAGCCATCTGCACTGGCCGCCCACGTCGGCCTCGTTCCGCCAGCTGCAGCAGCTCGATGGCCAGCAGCCGCTCGTCGCCAGCGCCGGCCCGGCAGCCACGCTGACCGCCTACACAGCCGGCCGAGCTGCTCCTGGAGCCGTGCTGCTCGCCCTGGACACGCTCGTCGCCTTTTCCGCCGAGCTGGCCCAGCGCTGGGTCGCTGCACGGCAGCTCGCCGCCGTCGACACGGCCACCGAGGCGGCTTGGCTTAGCCCTGAAACTATCCAGGTCACGTGGCCTCAACTGTGGCAGCACCTGCGCAAGGCACTCTATGCCGTCGTCGCCGTGCTGCAGGCCGTTGTCGGCCGCAGCCTGCTGGACCGCTCGCTCGCCGGCAGCAACGTGGCCGCACCGCGGCTCGCCGCCACCGTGCTGCAGGTCCTGCACGGCTTCTTCTTCGTGTCGTCGCGCCAGGGCGCCGACAGCTTCCAGGCCTACCAGTTCACCTATCTAGCGGCCATCGACCTGCTGGCACGCTATCCCGACGCCGCGGCCGGCTTCCTCGACCGCCTGCTGGCCACATCACCGCCCGTCGAGGGCACGCTGTCGCCGGCCGCCGCTAACCCGCTTCGCCTCACGGCCGACCTCTTCTACCTCAACGTGGCCGAGCACTTTGCTGCCGGGCTGTCGCCGGCCGCCTGCGACCGCCTGCTCATCCAGCCGGCGTTGCCGTACGTGTCGCCTGCCACAGCTACAGCGACAGCGACAGCAACAGCCGTCTTCTCGCCGGCTGCGCGCGCCGTCTTTGAGGCCGCCCACAGCGCCATGCTGTCGGCGCTGTCGTGTCCGCACAATGCGCCGATCGCGGCGTCGCTCAGCCCGTTTTACGCCGAGGCCCTGTTTGCCTCGTTTCCCGGCCGCATTTCGGCTCGCCAGTTTCGCCTCGCCCTCAAGACCCTCATTCAGATTCTCTCGCCGCCTTTTCCCGTCTATGCCACCCACCCGGACCTGGCTGAGACCCTGCTGGAGATGGTGCGTATCCGGGCGACATCCGGCAGCGCCAGCACGGTGCCGCTACGGTTGGCGCCCGAGAATACGGAGGCTGGTCGGGACGATGAAAACGAAAACACGGCACCCCTCGTCTCTGAGCAGAGTGCGTTCGTGCTGACGCTCATTGACGCGCTGCCGTTCCTGGCCCTGCCCGTGTTGCAGGACTGGATGACGACGACGGCGACGACGCTGTGGACCATTGGCGGCGATCCGGCCCTGCGCCAGGCTGCCCAGCACCGCTTCTGGGAGGTTCTCGGCAGCGGCGAGATGGACGTCGAGCGCGCTGCCCTCGGTGTCGCCTGGTGGGGGAACGGCGGCGGCTGCGCGCTCGTGCTGCAGGGGCCGGCCCTCGGCACACACAGAGTCGGAGGACCGTACGAGCAGCCCATGATGAGTGGCGCACTGCCCGACGGCCAGATCCTGTCGAGGCTGTAGACAGCTGTGTGATGGAGGTGCTGACTAAGCAAGAACGGATGTAAGATAAGAACGATACGATACGCAGTACACAGATAGGGTAATGACGATGCTAGCTGCAGCGAGGCCACGCGTTCCTGCACAGCCAGGGATAGGACGGAAACGGAGTGGGTGCCCTGTCCAGCTGAAGCTGTCGGGATGATGCTACATAGTACGTCGTGCATGATGGAGTGGGTTGCCGATGATTCCGGACCACAAAGAACCCCTCCTTTCTTCCAGCTGCTGGAGCCGAAAATGGCGTCATGGCCGGTCGCCTTCCTCAGCTTCTGGGCAGTCCTTCGTCCTGGGCCTCTGCCTTTGCCACGCCCCTTCCTCCTCTGGCTAGGCTCCACAGATTGGCTCCACCAAACCCTCCGCCACCCCACCTCTGCTAGATCGATGCGAACAGCAAGCCCCAGCCGATTAAGCTTGAAGCTGTGGGAGGAGCTCAAGACCGAGCCGGAGTGGCACCAATTCGGACAATATTGCGCCGCCTTTCAATGGCCCGGTCACAATCACATCGTCCATCTAGCGGTGCTCGTCATCCTCTAACGCCCTCTCGTCATTTCATGTCGAATGGGGACCAGCTCGTGCTTCTGTCGCCAGGTCAACTCGACGCTATTATGCTGTGCTTTCTTTTCCCTAGGAGAACATACGAGAAAGTCTGTTTCTCGTCGAAGCGGTGAGGACAACAGACAACTCCCATCCCTCTTCCGACGTCTGCCTGCAAGCTAGACGAAGTGAGGGGCGAAGCCATCCGGGCTCAGGAGCATAGCCGATCGGCAAGACATGGGAACTTCAATGGAAAAAGGCCCGGCCTTGCACACCCCTCTCGCCACCAGGACCAATCTGGCGAGGCAGAGTGGATACGATATCCAAAAGCAATATACGCAGAGTACATCGGGAGACCTCTGCTGTCCTTTAGGAAGTCGCTAGCTGGTACAGATACTTCTACCTTCGCATCTCTCATATATCTTGCGACGTACCGCTACATGCTGAGACCCTGGGAGGCCCCTCCTCCTCAGGCCAGACTGCAATTGGAATGTGGGGTCTGCTCTACAAGACGATTTGCCCAGGGCGAGCGATCAATGGCTTGGTCACAGGCTCGTGGGATACATAAAGCCTGATATATCCTCTGTTCATCTCCCTTTTTCTTTTGATCATCTCATCCAAATCGTCCTTTCACACATTTTCCGTTCACACATCTTCATCATGTCTTACAACGACGACAGCGTGAGTGCAGTCCTGTTTTCTCCTCGGGGCAGGACAACTTACTGACATATCCCTCACAGTACGGTTCTGGTGGCGGTGGCCGTGGCAACAATGACGATAGCTACGGCAGCTCCGGTGGCAACAGCGGCGGCTTTGGCGGCTCCAGCGGTGGTGGCCGTGGCGGAAAGAATGACGACAGCTATGGCAGCTCTGGCGGTTCCGGCAACGATAGCTTCGGTTCCAGCGGCGGCCGCGGTGGCGGTAGCGGCAACGACAGCTATGGCAGCTCCGGCGGCTCGTCCGGTGGCTTCGGTGGTTCCAGCGGCGGTGGCCGTGGCGGCAACGATGACAGCTACGGCAGCTCTGGCGGTTCCAGCGGCGGCTTTGGTGGCTCGTCCGGCAACGACAGCTTCGGTTCCAGCGGCGGCCGCGGTGGTGGCAGCGGAAACGACAGCTATGGCAGCTCCGGTGGCTCGTCCGGCGGCTTCGGTGGCTCGTCCGGCAACGACAGTTATGGCTCCAGCGGCGGCCGCGGTGGCGGCAGCGGTGGCGGCAGCGGCAATGACAGCTATGGCAGTTCCGGCGGCAGCGGCGGCTTCGGTGGAAGCAGCGGCAACGACGACAGCTTCGGCAGCTCAGGCGGCCGTGGCGGCAGCGGTGGTGGTCGTGGCGGCAATGACAACAGCTATGGCAGCTCCGGCGGTGGCGGCGACAACTACTAGGGTGACCCAGCTAGCTGTGAAGAGTAATGAAATCCATGCAAAGCACAAGACTGTTGTCTGCTTACGATCAAGTCTGGCTGAAGCTTCGTGATTTGGTTGTGCAGCACTTGTTGCGTCGTAATCGAGTGCTAAAGCCATACTCGCAGATGGAGATGGGAGTTTACAGTAACAGTCATGGAGGCATATGGTGAGGTGCCATCACGAGATTGAAAGCTCCTCCCTACTTCCGCAAAACTTCTTGTTGTGCTATTAATTTGTCCTGTCCTGCAGCCACGCTCCAAATCCCACGTGTAAATAAGTAATCGTACAGCTGCCACAGCTCGGCATCCAGCGGATACACTGTCTTTGAATCTCGACCTAGGTTGCCCGCGTGAAACAGAAAAAAAAAAGAGAGAATCTCTCATAGCCAGCCACTTTAGGCGTTCTTGGTAACCGCCACTGCCGTCGCTACAGCTACGGCCAGCAGCGAGAAACCGGCGGTTAGTCAGCAGATCTTGAGCCCACACACCTCGATGCCCTTGCCCTCGACCTGAACGCCGCGCCGGCCAAAGTACTGCAGCGCGACGTCGCGCACGAAGCCGACGTCGGCGGGACTCCAAACATCGAGGCCCATACGCACGCGCGCGTCGCTGCTGATGCGGATGCTGGTGGTGCCGTCGGCGGCGTGCAGATGATCACGTGACCGCATCGGATGGTGCTGGTGCTGCTGTTGTTGCAGCTGCCGTCTGTCTCGTTTCTGCACGCCTCCACGACGCCGCAGCGGCAGCGGTGCCAGCCCGCTGCGTCGGGTGCCGAGAAGACCGATGTCAGCACGGCTGCCGCTGCCGCTGCCGTCAACGCCGCCACCGCCACCTCCGTCGCCGTCACCGCCTCGTCGGCCACCCAATAGTCCGTCGCTGCTGCTGCTGTTCATCTCCTCGTCATCCTCGTCGTCCTCGTCGTCGTAGTAGTAGCGGCTACCGGCATCCCGGCCGTCGTCCTCGTCGTCCTCGGACCCGCTTTCGACAATATCGGCCATGACCGACAACATCTGCGTCGTCAGGCGGTGGAAGTAGGCGATGATAGCCAGCTCAATGCGCGCGCGGTCTTCGTCCTCGTCCTCGTCCTCGTCGTGCTCAGCCTCGACTCCGTCTTCGCCGGCCGCATCCGGCGGTGCTCGACGCGCCGTCAGCGAGGACACGGAGTCGTGCATGGCGCCGCTGCTCCGGCCCGCTCCCACAGACGCCTGCTGCTGGTGATGGCTGTGGAGATGGCTGTGCATCGGCGACGGTGCGTTGGGCTGCAGCGCCAAGTCCGCCAGCAGCGAGGCGTCCTGTATGGCCTCCTCGACGTCCTCGGCGCGGTGCTGCTCGCCGGCGCTGGCCCACCACATGAAGCCGTTGTAGGCCAGGGCGGCCCAGGTGACGGGCTCGACGATGGACTCGGCCGCGTCGACGAGCTGGGCGTCGGCCTCGTCGCCGACAGCGTCCGTCGTATCCTGGCCAGTAGCCGTTGTCGGCCGGCTGCCGCTGCTCTTGCTCTTGCTTGCTTGCTGCTGCTGCTCGCTAACCGCGACAGGCCGGTGGCCAGCGCACGGAAGCGGCGCAGATCACGCTGCGTGGCCTTGATGGGCACGCCATTCGCGCCTTCGACAGTTGGCCACACCATTTTCTCGGCCACGCCGGCAGCAGCGGTGACACCGGTCGCGCGAGCCGGAGGCATGGTGATCAGCACGTCCCACAGCTCGCCCTTCATGGCCAGAATGCTGTCGGTGGTGCAGGCAATCCAGCCAGGACCGCCATACGGCCCGACTGGGTCGCCCTGCACGGCAGCGAGGGCGGCTCGCTTGACGGCGGCGGCGTCGTCGACGAGAAAGGGAATATCGTTGACGCCAATGGTGAAGAGTGGCCGGATGCGCTGCTGTGGCATGGCAGCCGGCTCGAGAATATCGAAGACGGAGATGGGGATGTTGGCAAGAACGGAGATGTTGTACACTGCAATGTTAGCGGCCTGTAACGGCAGCCTGCATCAGCCACTTCACCTACCAAAGTTGTTGACCTCACGCACAGGGGCGTGGGTTGAGATGAGGATGCGCTTGCGCAGTAGGGCGGCGCGGTAGATGGGAAAGACCAGCGGGCCAAAGGTGTCGAGCAGCGCCGTGAGGCTCCAGGCAGGATGGTGCGGCGAGAGGCGGTGGCCAGGCGGCAGCATGAGCGCTGTGCCGTCCGAGGCAGACCGGTTGCGCGCGTGGCGGTTTCTGAAGCCACCGCTGCCACTGCGGCCGAAGCTGGTGGCCATGGGCGAGCTCAGCGGTGAGTCGCTGAACGGCAGCCCCAGCGATGGGCCGCTGTTGTCTCGCCAGTAAGCCTCCAGCAAGGGGGTCTCGTTGTGGTCGGCCGCCAGTTTTCTAACGGTCAGCCGAGGAACGAGAATGAAAACAAAAACCACAGGAACACGGTCTGCTTACCTCGCCATCGCCATCAGTGACTCGGCGTGACGCCATGCCCGGCCCAACCGACCGTAACTGCGCGGCACCAGCACACCAACAGCAATCATGCGGGCAAACCGGGCATCGGCCTCATCTGTCGGCAGGTTGACAAACGCGCTCAGTCCGGCATAGCCGCCCTCGGACGGCCCAGCTGTCAGGTCACCACCATGGCCACCGCTGCCCGTCTCGTCCTCGTGCACAAAGTAGATCAGGTCTTCAGCCACGGCATGCAGACCTGATGGTAGGCTCTTGTACTCGACAGCGCCGCCGAGTTCCAGGCCCGGCGCCGCCTGCTTCCACGCAATTGTGTAGCCGGCCTTGACGTCAAACTCAATCAGAAAGAGCGCCGCAATAGGCGGCCGGTCGGCCAGCAGCAGGTTGTTTGCTGCGCCGTCTGGCCGCGACGGCTGCTCAAGTCGGGGCGAAGTCGCTGCCATGGAGTGTGTTGCTGTTGTCTCGCTCGGATTCTCCTTGTCCTTTGCGTTGTCCTTCTCCCTTATGCCGCTCTCCCCTCTCCTTGTTCGACCTCGTTCGACCTCTCGTTCGTCTTGGGCTTCTCGCCCCTTTTCTTGCTTCGCTCGCGTCTTCCAGCAGCAGCGTTCGACAGGTCCCGGGATAATCTATCTCGTCTTCAGTTGCATCTTCGGGACCGATGCCAGATTCGCAGCGGCGGCGGGCAGACAGGCGGACGGACGTATCGAGAGCACGGTGTAGGAGTCTTGGGCTTGCCGTCGATGCTACTCCGTTCGTTTATCTATGATTGGAGCAGTGGCAGTGCTTAGTATATCATGTACTGTGTGCACACTGTGCTTGGCGATAGCGCGACTTCCTCATTCGCCAAGGCGGCCTAGACCACAGCTCTCTGTCGGCTCTGCTTTCACCCGAGCGCAAACCTGCACGCGTGGAAGCACGTCAGTCTGATGACGCAGACGTAGACAACCGACGGGAGAAGGGCCATTCTCTGTCCGTCTGACCGGCACTCGTATAAAGTACTCGGACTCGCCTCCGATACTCTTTGCAAGGCTGGCGAAGAAATATGCAGTAAACAACAGTCGGGTCGGTATGCATGTAAACGAGACTTTGGAGGGACCGCAGACGACGGATTCTGGCCAATGAACATGCGCTCTTCAGCATCCTAAATCCTCCCCCACATGCAGAATTTCCGATGCTAAAATGGATGACGAGCGTAAGCCGATCTCGACGATCTGACAACCTGTCTTTTCCGCATTCCAGGGCAGCCAGCGCAGTCGAGCCAGACCCAGGGTCAAACACACGGGACCGCATCGCACACAAGAACAGACAGCACATAGCCAGTCCTGCCGTGGCGCCGTCTGCCGTCGAAACAACCCAGACTTACAGACGTGATTGATTGCGCTCGGGTCCGTCTCAGTTGTCGAGCCCCACCGGGAGGAGAAGCCGAAGGCAACGGGATCAATACGTCTCGGAGAAGAGAAGGAAGGCGACAGGCCAGGACAAGACAAGACAGACCGAGCCAGGATAGACCAAGCCAAAGGAGACCAAAGAGAAGATCTTGGATCGGTCTTTTCACCGACCACTCACCGACGGCTCACAACCCGGACAGACACCTCTGTTCCCCTCTTTTTCGTCTGTCGTTAGTCGTCCATCGTCCGATACGATGGCCTCTGCCGTGCTCGGCTGGGCCGCCGCAGCCGTGGCCTGGTTCCTCGCGCGCTACGTGGGCGTGGTAGTGGTGCTGTACGCGCTGTCGACGGCGAGCGAGCTGGCCGGGTTTGCGGCGCGCGTGCTGGTCTCGTGGCTGGCGCTGATTCTGGTGGCGCTGTACGGGGTCGCGACGTCAGTGGTGCTGCGGCTGACCGGTGGCGACCGGTGGCAGTCGGCGCAGTGGGCGACGGCACGCGCGTTCAAGTACGTGATGGCAGCAGCGGCTGGCATCACGTTTGTGGTGGACGACCCGCGCGACGTGCTCCTGACGACGCGGCCGGCCGTATTTGTGGGCAACCACCAGTCGGCGCTGGACGTGCTCATGCTCGGCTGCATGTTCCCGCGCTTCTGCAGCGTCACGGCCAAGGCCCAGCTGCGGCTGTACCCCTTTCTCGGCTGGTTCATGCGCCTCAGCGGCACCGTCTTCATCGATCGCGCCAACAGCCAGGATGCCCGCCAGGCCATGAGCGGCGCTGCCGACGCCATCCGCTCCCGCCGCCAGAGCGTCTACATCTTCCCCGAAGGCACGCGCTCGCACAGCGTCGAGCCAACCCTGCTGCCCTTCAAGAAGGGCGCCTTCCACCTCGCCGTTCAGGCCGGCGTGCCCATCGTCCCCGTCGTCGTGGCCAACTACAGCCACATCTACTTGACCGCCAAGTTTCGCTTCCGCACCGGCCGAATTCCGGTCAAAGGTGGGTTTTTTTTCTTCCTTTCTTTCTTCCTGTCTTTCTTTCTTTTCTTTACTTTCTTTCTTTTCCTTCTTTTCCTTCTTCTTACTCCATCTCCTCTCTTTCACTTGTCCTCTATCCACCCACTAACACTCCTAGTTCTCGACCCTATCCCCACGGTTGGCCTCACTGCCGACGACGTCGCCGACCTCACCACCCGAGTCCGCGATCTGATGCTGCGCGAGCTCATTGCCCTCACCGCCGAGGCTCGCAGCCTATCTAGAAAGGATGCTTCGCTGGCAGCACCCGTCAAGGCCGAAAAGGCCGTCTCCAGCAGCATCAAGGTAGCCGCAGCATAGCAAGACTGTCCCTGCTATTTCATATGTATATATGACGGTTTCACCTCAGCTACCAGCCAGCTATGTAGGCATTGGAAGTGTAGACTCATGCGGCATTGCATTGGCAGAGGAACTTGTCCATCAAGCCAGGCTCTTCTTTATTCTACTATCTTCACAAATTTCCTGCCCAGGTGCTTAGAGATATACGAGTCTCAAATATAATGATAGTGTGTGAAAGCTTCGTCACTGTTCGGCTGACTAAGACAGAACAATAATTATCACGTGCTATGTCAACAGTCCTATTAGACTCAATAAGCAGCCTTAGATGAGACTTTTAAATGCTGTGAAAACCAAAAAGTAATTCTCACATATATGCTTCCAATATGGACGAATTCGTATTACAGGAGGATCCTGTCCGACCAAGCAACTCCCATTTCCATAATCTAATAATGACCCTTCCCATATTGCCCAGCCGATTATATACATCATCCCCAAAATAAATAGTGAGACATTAAACGACTCGTCGCAATAGGACGAACGCATATATCTTGAGAAGAAGAAAAAGTCAAATAAATAGGCAACCAACTTGACAGTTGGGCAATGCTAACCCAAGCGGTTGTACGAAGATCGCCAAAGAGTAAAAGTACACCTAGTCGGTACCGCGACTGTTACAACATGGGAACACATTGCAAACCACCAAGCTCCGGACCAGTTTAGAACAGGGCCAGAAGACCGACCATGCCGACAAGGGCGGCGACAGCCGGAACGTTCTGCTGAGCACCAGCAGTGACGACGATGCCAGTAGAGGAAGGGATCGTGGTGACGATGGTGCCGGGGGTGGTGGCCTTGGTGACCTTGGTGGCCGAGGTAGCAGCAGTGGTGCCAGGAACAACAACCGGGGCGGTGGTGGTGCCAGGAACGACAACCGGGACAACGCTCGTCACGCTGGCACCAGCAACCGGGGCGGTGGTGGCAGGGACAGCAGTGGTGCTGACAGCAACGACGGGGACCTATTATTATTAGAAAACATTCTACACTGTCGGTTCTCGTCTGTGGGTAAGACATACCGTGGTGGAGTAGGTCGTGGTGCACGGAACAGTCACGGTCGTGCTCGAGGACGACACGATAGTAACACCCTCAGACGTGGTGGTGTAAGTGACCACGGGGCAAGATGTCGTGACGTAGACGGAGCTGCACTCTGGTTAGCCACAGGACTCTCGAGGAAGGACTGCTCCATCACAAACTTACGTGGTCTGGTAGACGGTGGCCGGGACAACGGTGGTGACCGAGCTGGTTGTCGTGTAGGTCGAGTACGAGGTCGAGTTCTTGGACACGTAGGTCGACGTGACGGGGCACACGGTGGTGTAGTAGGTCGTCAGCTCGGTGGTGGTACCAGGGGCGACGTCAGTGGTGGTGCCAGGCACAACAGCCGGAGCCGTGGTCTTGGTGCAACCGCCCTTGCAGCTGGTGATGGTCAGGGTGGACGTGGTCAGGGTCGTGAGCACGACGGGCGTGCCAGAGACGCTGGTCGTGGTGGTGAGCGGGCAGACGGTCGTGGTGGTGTAGGTGACCTCCGTGTCGGTCTCAGTGACGGGGGCCACCGGAGCAGTGGTCTCGGGCACGGAGGTAATGGTGACCGGAGCAGTGGTCTTGGTGCAGCCACCCTTGCAGCTGGTGATGGTGAGGATCGACGTGGTCAGGCTGTCGATGTTAGCATAGAGCACAGATGTGGAGTGATTTCAAAAACATACGTCGTGATCACGGTCGGGATGCCAGAGACGCTGGTGGTGGAGGTCAGAGGGCACACCGTCGTGGTCGTGTAGGTGACCTCCGTGTCAGTCTCAGTCACGGGAGCGACCGGGGCCGTGGTCTTGGTGCAGCCACCGCTGCAGCTGGTGATGGTGAGGGTTGAGGTGACCTCGCTGTGGCAATGTTAGCAGGCCAGCCACAAGACGACAAAACGGAGCAGGCAAGACATACGTGGTGATCACCGTCGGGACGCCAGAGACGAGCGACGTCGTCGTCAGCGGGCACACGGTGGTGGTGGTGTAGGTGACGTCCGTCTCGGTGACGACAGCCGGGATGCTGCTGCCAGTCACGTTGCGGGCATAGTGGGCATTGTAGACGTTGCCACGGCGGACAGGGGGCATGTTGCTGGCCAGCGCAGAGGCGGCCAGAGCCAGGACGGAGAATGCAGCCTTCATAATTGCGAGTGTGATATTACTGTCGGTAGACGGAGTAAGGTTGGGGCTGGATGTTTGACTGTGCGTTAAGGACAAAAAACCACGAGGCGGAACGGCGGAACGAGCGAGTGAATGCCTGAGGAGAGAAACGAGTGATAAGGTCGAGTGGGAAGAAAGTTCGACTGAGAGAAAGATGGGAAGGACGGGTGGTGAGTTATATACATGTAAGTACGTCGCTTCAACAGGGTTAAAAGCTTAGGCTTAGCAAGAGACACAAGAGAGCGATGCCAAGACAACCCCCCCCCCCCCCTATTGCATACGAAGTAAGCAGTTGCATGTTGGAAATGACATTCTTGTCTTGACTGTCGACTCCACGCTTCGTATCCTGCCGGTTGGTAACGTTTACTCGCCCGAAAACTCTTCTGTCTAGTGTAGGTCTAGCTGACCTGGCCTCCACTCTGCTCGTAAAGATCCAGATATCGATCCTGATGGATAGACACTGTGCCTGTGGAGTACGGAGTGGCTATAGTAGGATACCTTCCGTCGTAACTTCCCGGTGGACAGCGGCGGAGAAAAGTGGAATACGATAATTACTCAAGTAAAATGGACACCGTTTTAGCCCTTCCAACGAGTACGAGCTGCAGGCTACGGGTACTCCGTGCTGAATCTCGGGCGAGTCTGGAGGACAGCCGCTTGTATCTCACTCGTAGAGCCAGCGTACTACGTCGTATCTTCTGCGTCTTACGGCCAGATCACCGGGGGTGGCTCTAAGCGTGCTGGCTGCTAGAGGAAGCCGATTCCGACGGGCACCAGCACCTGGCAGGCTTGATGCAGGCACCAAGACGAGACGGATCCCCCTTGCAGAAGTCGAAAAAAGCACAGGAACAGAAGGAAAAAGAAAGAAGAGCTGAGCCAAGCCTACAAAGACGCGAGATACGAGTAAGATGCACACTATCATCCACAATCGTGTCTGCAGTTGGGCAAACGTCCGGAAGAGGCAGCTGGCAATCATAAGATCCTGACACTTCCATCGCATGAAGGCGGTTCGTACGAAGCGAGACAGAATGGACGTGCTGCATCTATCAGGTCAGCGGCCGTGTGCGGTGTCGAGAAGCGGAGTGGGAACGGTGGGTCGACTACAAGAGCGGGCTATGCGTGAGATGTGGGTGTTAGCCCGTGGCCAAGGTGCTGCAGGGGTTGAGGAGAGATCGAGGCGAGCATTCCCCCATTTACCCCATGAAAACTTGACATGTTCTCTTTTGTCACGACAGCGGTGGGCAAAATCGGCCTTCTTTTGTACGAGGTACCTATTAATATATACGCACAGGGACCAACCACATGGAAGCGTGGGATCGAACCTGTGTTGCTTGGTTGACAAGACCAACCCTTGTGCAATGTCGTAGTAAGAACGTTGCCTGAGGGGAATATCACTTGTGCAGATCAATCACAAGCGCCTATTGGTGGGGACAACGTGCATATGAGATAGCAGAACGGGACGATGCCTTGTACTGTATGATTCACATACATACGAGTAGTACTCATACTCTGTACATTGCTGCCGCGTTTCCGAGCATTGATGGCCTGATAATTGGGTACCCATGAGAAGTGGATATCGCAGAGTCGGACGGCCTCTGGCTCTGCACACCGTACTCTTACTTTTAGGAAGAGAAGATGCTAGAACTGGAATGGCCCAAATGTGGAAATACTGGCGGGAAGAGGTGGGTCTGCCAGCAGTTCTATTCTCGGCGAGCCAATGGAATGTCGAGGAGATGACGACCAAACAATATTTTTGAGTCAGAAAACGTGATGTGCCTGGATTAGCCACCGCATCGACTGAACTTTCTCAGCTTGCAGTACGACGTACTCGTACACAGTACGGAGCGTATGGGCTCTTTGCTTTTGCCGGCGGTGATATCTCTGCCCCTGCATGCCCCTGCATGTGGTGTTCTATGTAGGATGGACAAGTCCAGCCCCGTCAGCAAGTTTGGGTTGGGCCTTCCAGTACCTGCATTAACCCTTGCTTGGGCCACGCTTGTAAGCAGGACTTGCACTTTTTTGCATGTTGTTGGCTACCGACAAGCCCGTACGAGTACGAGTACTGGCGTGTCACTGGGAAAAGGAGCGCTGAAAGCAAGAAATTATCCCCATTCGGCCATTCGGAAATTTGTCCTGTCCAGAAATGCTTCTGCGCCTTCCGCCGAAGACGAGGAACCCAAGATAAGCTCTACGCATACGCGCACTATTTCAGGACATGCGGAATGCATAACACAGGGTGCTTTTGGTGCGTAGCGTGGCCAGCTACCAGAGTAGATCGGCCGGAAGCCCGTCCGGCGACAATTGGAAATATCACCTTGTCATCCCTGCGTACCAGCTCGCTGGACTATTCCGCTGTGAGTACACAGCCGCTACCGGGTCTATTTTCTGCGCTAAACGGCCTTGCCGAGAGAGCCCCGCTCGCCAGTAAGGCACATGAAGCATCTTACGAGGACCGGGCTTTTTGCGAGTACTCCGTAGCCGGCAGTGCACTTGGTTCGTGGTCCAAGCAGCCGCTTCCTACGACGCTACTCTGCTGGCGGCTTCACCGGCCTTGCTCGACTGGATGGCTACGCCCAAAGAAGAATAGCTCGTCTGGCTGCTAGTTTCTCTGGTTTTGGCTGATCCGATTTTTGGCTGATCCGATTTCTGGGCTTTCGAGCCTGACGGAATACTTTGTACTATGTGTAAATGGCCGTGTTTACTTTGTATGGCTAACACACGTATCTTACTCCGTACAGTATCTCGATTCTGTCAGAAAACGTCAGCAGGTAATACGTGACACGTGCGGCCAATCAACCCGGTTGCAACAGCCCATATACTTCCTCGTACCCGAAGCGGATCCTCTTCTTTGTCCATCATCTATCGGATTGTTTACCTTCATGCCAACCGTTTCTATTTTTGATCGATCCCATTCTTGGCTCCCTCTTTGCTTATTTTGTTCTCCCTTCTTTTTGCCTTGGGCACAGCCAGCTCGTTTGCCTCTTCGCACAATCATCTGCTTTTGAAGAGATTTCGGTACTTCCATAGAATACATAATACACTAAGCAGGATACGAGCATGCCTGTAGTTTTGTGCCATGTCAGATACCACCACACCTCGACAGCAGTGATCAAGTCCAATAGCCCCCCCCCTACCTTGTCGCCCCTGCTCGTATCGTCCCGCACACGAGACACAACTTGGCCTGGTTGCCTCCCAACCCCGCTCTTGCTAGTCAGTGAATGGAGTAATGAGAACTGTGATGATGTCAGGCGCGGTGCTGAATACGGGAGAAGGATCCGGAAAAACTACTCCGTAGCGAGCAACCTGGCCGAGCTGGACTTTGTGTGCATTCCAAGGGATAGAAGAGTGTCCATGTAATTTCATCCTCAGCTTGCGAAGCAACATATTTGGACGAGGCAGCTGACGTATGCACTTTGATCATGATTGTCGAAACTAGGCTTGCATACGAAGTACTCTTGATTCTACATACCATCCCACGCTGTAACAAGTGTGATCATGCCAACACACGCACGACCAAACGTAATTCATAGATGCCTTGTTATGTGATGGTGCGGGCTAGAGCATGAGGCATATTGACTGTTGTTGGAGATACTATCTGCAATACGGAGTAAAGCAATTACTTTACTCCGTACTGTGGTAGCTTAGCCTTGCCAAGGACTTCGTCATACTCCAGCTACTTACTCCGTACAGTAGCAGATGCACAATGTTCTGCTGCAATCAGGCTATGGGATTCTGCGCTCATGCATGCAAGTCTTCGTAGTTCAGGTTAGCTCCCGGATCTCAAAGAAGAAACGAGAGACGCTCTCGCCATTGCGGGAGGCCTCGCTAGGACCCGGTGCGATTGACATCCTTTGTAAAATCCACGCCGATGATTCAAGATAATGTCAGTATCAGTGGTCGCTGGTCACAGCCTGGTGCGATGCAGCAGGCGAATGAAGCTGAACTTTGGCAGATGTTTCAGAGGAGTTATGCCGACCAGGTCAATGACACCCAATTAGACTGTAACAGCAGCTGAGATGGATTAAGAGAAATAAACCATTTTTTCCCGTCTCGACCGGGGCATCAGCCGCTCTGTCATGGAGTACGATGCACGTCTATTCACATATCCGATAGCTGCCTGCTTCCTGTTCTGGAGCGATCGGTGAAATTCAACTCCGCTTTTGTGACGCGACGGTGGATCTGAGTATCGAGCTTCGCTGTCCTCAAACGGAAAGAGGCCCAAGGCATCTGTCACGACCCACAGGAAGGAGCAAAGGAACAACGGAGCAAACAAAGCGGAAAGCACGACAGGCAGACATTATACAGCGTGCAGTCACGTTTGCGAGAATAGACGGCGAAGAAATTAGAATCGCATTTGTATCCAAGGCGTGCAGAGCAACGATGTCGCAGTCACCAGAGCAAGTTGGGGGGGCCGGGTCACAGACGCCGGCGCCGGCGCCCGATGCGTCCACGCCGGGCTTCGTGCTGGAGGCATCGATGTTGACACACGCAAGCCGCATTTTTAGTGCGCACGCCGACACAACGGACAACAAATGGTATCCAGAGCAGGTGGCGACGTTTCTGAGCCATGTCCAGGGCGATGAGACAGCCGCTGCAGGACAGCAGGGCATGGACCTCGCCGACTTCCTGCGCTACATGGCGTCGGCAGCTACAGATGCGCAGGGACCGCTGCCAGAAGCTCAAGATGTGGATGATTATCCGCTGTCGAGCTACTTTATCAGCTCGAGTCACAACACGTACTTGACGGGCAACCAGCTGTACAGCGCCGCCAGCACGGACGCTTACCGCATCGTGCTGGACCATGGCTGTCGGTGCATCGAAATCGATGTGTGGGATGGGGACGGGGATTCGTCGTCGGACGAGGATGAATCGTCAAACGACGAGGTGGAGGAAGGGGAGGAGGTAGAGAGCAAAGATGGTATAGAGGGCCAGCGCTGTCGACGCAAGAGCGATGCAAGCAACAGTAGCAGCACCAGCAGCACCAGTAGCACCAGCAGCAGTGATGCCGATCCAGTGGCACGCGAGAAGAAGATGGCAGAACGCCAACAGATGGTAAAGCGAGCCAAGGCGAAGCTGCCGTCATCACTGGCGTCGCGGCTGGCCCGATCGACGCTGGGACGGCGGCTGGAGCACTACGTGGAGAGGAAGACGACGATGACGGCGACGACGAGCGCAGATGAGACAACAGATACGACAGCTGGAGCTGCCAATGCTACTATCACCACTACCACAACCACCACTACCACCACTATCACTGCTCGCTCCCAGGCAGCAGAACCGCGTGTGCTCCACGGATACACGCTCACGAAGGAGGTGCCGTTCCGCGACGTATGTGCAACGATCCGCGAGTACGGATTTCGCACGACAGAGATGCCGCTGATCGTCAGCCTCGAGGTGCACTGCAGCGCGCAGCAGCAGGCTGTGATGGTGCAGATCATGGAGCAGGAATGGCAGGGTCTGCTGCTGGCGTTGCCACTGGAGCCGCCACGGGACGGTGAGGTAAAGGCACTGCCATCGCCAGGCTCGCTGCGCAACAAGATCCTCGTCAAGGTGAAGCATGTCCCGGCCCCGGTAGCGACGGCAACGTCGGACAGCAACAGCAGCAGCAGCACCATCGGCATCACGTCCCAGCTGGCCGACATGGCTGTCGAGACGGAGACTACCGTTGCCAACCCCCCCAAAGTGTCCAAGATCACCCAGGCACTCGCCCAGCTTGCCGTCTACACGCGTGGTGTCAGCTTCAAGAGCCTGGCCCAGCCCGAGGCCACGATGCCGACACACGTCTTCTCGCTCTCGGAAAAGGGCGTGCAGGAGGTGCACGCCAAGGACGGTCCGGCCCTGTTCCACCACAACCGACACTACCTGATGCGTGCATACCCGTCGGGCCTGCGAATTCGGTCGTCGAACCTGGACCCGGCCCTCTTCTGGCGCCGCGGCATCCAGATCGTGGCGCTGAATTGGCAGAACTGCGACGAGGGCATGATGCTGAATGAGGGTGAGAAGTCCCGCCAGTAGCCGTTGATGGAGCTCCGGTTTGCTAACTAGACAGCCATGTTTTCCGGCTCGGCTGGCTACGTCCTCAAGCCTGAAGGTGAGGCCTGACGTTTTGCTGTCCCAGATCTCTCCTACTGACTGCATCACTCTAGTCTACCGCGGTGAAAAGTTGGCAAAGCTGGCGGCCGTTGCTGCTACGTCTGCCGATGCCGTCGCCTTGCCCCCCCCGGCAACGGCATTCTGCATGCTCAACTTGGCCGTTACCTTTTACGCCGGCCAGGCGATTCCACTGCCGAATGCCGACGACGGTGATGCCGACGGTTCGTCCACGCCGACGTCCTCCAGACGGACGGTGCGACCATACGTCAAAGTTGAGCTGCACGTCGACGCCGACCTGACAAACATAGAGATCAGCGACGAAGCGGCAGCAGCCACCAGCCGTGAAGCTGAGGACAAGGAGGGCGAATACAAGGCGCGCACGCGAGTGGCCAAGGAAGGCACGGATCGAAATCCGGACTTTGACGGCGAGGTGGTGACGTTTGCCAACGTGCCGATAGTCGCGACGGTAGGGACGGAGGCCGCCACGTCGGCAGACACGGCAGCCAGGCTTTCATTTGTCCGCTTCCTGGTCAAGGACGCCACCGGCGCGATGCGCCGCGACGTGCTGTTGGCCTGGGCTGCCGTACGTCTGGACCGTCTGCAGCCGGGATACCGCCTAGTGCATCTGCGAGACGCCGTTCATGGACGGCCGACAGGCGGCGTGCTTCTGGTACGAATTGCTAAGAAGGTGGCGCAGGCCGGGACGGTGGATGCAAGGTAGAAAAGGACAGCTGCCGTTCATTGCATCCAGGACTATGTTCTACAGCGTTTCTTCATGTCCGTCTCCGTCCAAAAACACCGTTGCACCGTGAGAAAAGAGAAAGAGAAAAGAGAAAGAGAGATCAGAGAGAAAGATGCACAAACAAGCAAACCCAGTCGTAAACAGTCTTTGGCCTCCTCATCTTCGCACTCACCACTGCCACAGCACCTTGTGGTGCAGAATGCGTGGCCCCAGGAAGGAGTACTCGAACGGGGTGATCCAGCTATCGTTGGTAGTCAGCTTGGCGAACACGCTGGCGCCCTTCCAGACGACGACCTGCTCGTCCATGTCGCGGGCGCTGCGCGAGACCAGGATGCGATCGACCAGGTCCGCACGGCGGGCCTTGAGCCGCTCCTCGAGGTAGGTGGTAAAGTGCGGAGTCTTGGCGCCGCCACCCACCACCATGATGGAGCCGAGAAAGTCTTTGAGCTTGCGCTCGTCGCCTTTGGCCGCGTTCTGGATCGACGTCATGATGGCAATGTCGAGCGGCGCCACTGGCAGCACCGAGTCACGCTCGGCCGCGATCTCCTTGGCCGTCCGGTGGAAGAGCGGGTCCATGGGAAAGAGGCCGTTGAGGCCGTTGAGGCCGGGCGCCGGAGCCCCCACTGTGGCTGTGGCTGTGGCGGTGCCTGGTGCGCCACCTGTGGCTGGGGTGCTTGTGGCGGCAGCCGATCCACTGGGCGCCGGGCTGGCCGCGCCGTTGTTGACGGTGTCGCGACCAGCACCAAAAACATACGGTGCCGGCACGGGTGTGCTGGTGCCCTCAGGGGCGGGAGACGGGGCCTTGGACGTAGAGGGCGTGGCACCGCCGCCGCCGGCAAGATCGCGGGACAGAAAGCTGAACGGCTGCGTGCGATCTTTGCTCGGAGTCGAGATGGCGTCTGCACCGGTGCCACCAGGTCCGGGCGTGCCGAAACGGGGACCGTTGGTGGCCAGCGCAGGCGGCAGCACAGATGGATGATCGAGGGCCAGGATGGCGACCTGGGCGGACGAGACCGGATCGTCGGGAATATCGACATCATAGGCGTTGTAGGTGCGGTCGATCAGCTTGCGGCGGCCGCGCAGCTTGGTGCTGCTGTCGAAGATGGCCGGCTCATACAGGCCCAGCGGCGCCAGGAGGACCTCGTCGTACGTCTTGAACTGGTAGCGGTACGTCGGCTGGTGGGGAGCCCGCAGGTGGAACTGGTACAGCTGGACGGACACGTCGGCCTCGTTCATGGTGCAGTGCTTCAGCTTGAGCTCCTCAGCCAGGAGGAAGTCGTAGCGGCGGCGCAGGTTGATGTCCTGGTAGGGAAAGTGGTCGAAGAGCAGCATCTTGACAAAGGCCTCGGTCACGTCGCGGCCGCCGTACTTGACGTTTACGCGCGATTCCTCGACCACCAGTCCGTCTTCGACACAGGCCACCGACGTCTTCTGCGCGCCCACGTCGACGACGCAGCCCTGGCTGTAGCCGGCTCCGCACGTGGCCGCGTAGCTCTCCTGGATGAAGCACACCTTGCCAAACTCGAACCAGGTCATGCACAGCCGCAGCAGCATCTCCACGTACGCCTTGTCGTAGAGGTCCGGCACCACGAACACGCAGCTGTACTGCCGGCACGACGACACCCGCTGCAGCCCGAGCTCCTGCAGGATCGCGTGCGTCACGATCGCCTCAAAGTCGCTGTACAGGCTGCTGACGCTGCCGTAGTCGTCCTCGTTCAGCCAGCCGTGCTGCATCGGCCACCGCAGCCGGAACGTCGGGTTCGAGTCGTCGGGAATTCGCAGCGCTTCCTGTCCGTAGAACGCGGTAGGTGCCGATGGTGGTGACGAAGCCGGCGCCCCTGTTTTCGTCGCTGTTGTCTCCGTGTCTGTCGCCGTCACCGTCTCCGCCGCGCCGCCCTCAAGCAAGGCTGGCGTCCGTATCGCGTTCACGTCCGTCCACTCGACCTGCAGCGGGTCGTTGTGCGTGGCGATCACCTCGGCCTCCGTCCGCCGATTGTAGTTGATCACCAGCTCCTTGGAGTTGGGCAGCACCTTGCGCTTGTTCTGCCGCATGTCCTGCTTCAGGTCCTCACTCATCTTCTTGTACTTCTTTGACCACTCCTCGCCATACTGCTGCTCGGTCTTGGCTGCCTCCCGTTGTCGTCGTGGCAGCGCCTCCGCCTCGTCCGACTCAGTGTGGTCGAATTGCGTCGCCAGACACATCGGCACCGTCTTGGGCAGTACGTCCGTCGAGAAGCCGATCCGCAGGTACTGGCTGCCCGGGTGAATCACAATGATCTTGGAAATGTCGATGCCGTCCGTCGGCAGCGGAAAAAGTCGCCCGCCTGCTGTTCCGGGAGCAGAAGCGGCATCTCGCCGCGGTTCTGGTTCAGGGCCCGGTCGCGGTCCTTGGCATTCTGCACGAGCCTGTCACGCGTCGCATCGTTCTGCATCCGGAGCGCGAGGATCTGGTCATCCCGCTTCATGTACTCCCTGTTGGAGACCGGTCAGCAAAACGGGAAACGGGAAACAGGAAACAGATCCGTTCCCAGGGCAGCACAAATGTACGTGTAGTAGTTCTTCTGGTTGATTGGCGTGACTTCCGGCCAGCTCGTCTGCTTCATCCCATTGTCGGTACGTTCCAGCCCTGCACACAGATCGCCGTCAGCATGTCTCTGTCTGCTGTCCGTCTAGACAGGTGCAATACATAAACCAACCTTCCCTCAGGAGGACGCGCTCGCTGACTTTGCCAACCATGGTTTCTGTCGTGCTTCACCCGTGGGATCTGATCTGTCGTATGCGTCTGTGTCTAGTTCTGCTCCGACATGCGCATTGAAGAACCCCGGAGCGTCTCTGTCACGTCGCCGTGGCAAAAGGCGGCTTGCGACTGCTGTTCTTTTTGCATTCGCGATCCCCAGCTGCAATCGTGAGCATGTGCAGAGCTATTCCTTATTTGGTTAGCTCTCGGCCGTCGGTGGATCACTTTTCCGCGAGTGCATCCTACTCAGCAACGAGGTGCGGCATGCTTTGAGAACTGAGACCAATACGAGTTGAGGTTCCAAAGTAATAAATGGCAGTTTCGTATGGAAAGCACTTTTTGGGCTTAAGTTTTTTTTTACTTTCCGTATGTGTCTCCTTAATTGCGTTGGTCGTCAGTCTGCCCCTGCATGCATCTCAGCGTTGCATCTACAAGGAGTGTCCTGTTACAAAGAGGAGTCTGTTACAGACAGCTACAGAACAAATCACTGGCTTTGGTAGCGGTTGTAGGGGCAGTTTCGCCTAATCCGGCCGTCGTTGCCCGTTGTCTCACTTGTATTGCCGCTTCTGCCTAGGTAATAGTCACCTGACAGCAATGACGTCGCTACCTCATTTCTACAAACATCTTCCCAGGGGACACAGCAATCTGTCCTAATTCTTGGAAGCTCTGTTTCTCTTTTTTTATATCGGCTGTCAATTGATTGTTTCTTCTTATATTCGTGTCCGAGGCCATATCATAACAAATTTGCTTTGGCTCTGACCTCCATATCACTACCATCTTGATAAAGAGAAGGCACCAGACAACGCATCATGGCTCCTATCCATATATACTCGCAAAGCCCAATCAATGCGGCCAAGCCGGATGGAGTGACTCCGCAGACAGACGGACCGACCGACGAAAAAGCTCCCAATGCGCATCCTGCAACAACGAGCGCTGCCGTGTTTACCGGAGCTGCCAGTGGGGGCCCTCCTGCACGACCCGGTGCAGTTCCAAGCCTGCCACAGCCAACGGGAGCCCCTCGAATCAACCGCTATCAGCCTGTCCAGCCCACGCCTACCGCGAAAGCAGCCAATGCAGGCCCTCCGCCTCCGCAGCCTGGAGCCGTGCCTTTGCCACCCAGCAGAGGACCACCAACAGATGCACAAATTTTCCCAAATCCCGCACAGCAGACACCAGTCCCGTCTGCAGCTGATGCAAGTGCTGCTCTGCCGAACCAATATCCGCCACAGATGTCCATCCCCCCTTTGACATCAGCAGCCTACCCACCTCCCCGCGGCACCTATACCTCAGTACAGCCGCAAGCTCCGACCGGTACCTGGCCAAGCATACCACAGCCGACCGGGGTTTTTGCGGTGCCTCCACCTGTTGATGAGCGATATCTAGGCCACCCCCCTGGCTACACGCAGAACGCACATGCGGGTGACATGAACAGCTCCGAAAGGGCTGCAGCCCAGGCAGAAGTCTATGGCAGCGAGGACAAGGACGGCGTATGGGATGTAGCCAAGAAGCTTGCAAGAGCGGCTGGCGACCGAATCTCAGCAGCCGAGACAGAGGTCTGGAGGCGGATCAACAGCGAGAGCGGTTAAGGAAAGGATGGATGCTGGCCGTCGATCCCGGGGTGTAACACTGCTACTGGGAAACATAGTCTCTATTATTAGATGATCATCGCATAGATTGGTCGAATGGGAAAACCCTTCTGAGGGGTTGTTTGCTTTGTTTTACCATGCTGATAGAGTTTACATGTGACCACTTTTCGTACAGCTGCCTACGAGGTGAGACAGAACAAGTCGGGGAGCAAGGGCACCGTTTGCAAACCAATCTCCTGCCACTCGGTCACTTTCTACAGACATGTTTGCGGCATTTGATCCTCTTGCCGACAAGTACGAGTATGGCTGTGTGTATGGGTTGAGGTAAAATCTCTGGATACGATCATCAAAATTACCTAAAACAGTCGACTTTGTCATGCGTTAAGATGTGCAAAGCGTGTGGATAGGGGGGATAGCCTCGTGAGAATGGGACAGCCGTACGTGCTACTGCGCCTAGCTGGACTCCCGTTCATGCTTATAGCCTATTTCCTTTTGGATCGTACGTCTGGTTTATTTTTACTTGCGTCCCCTCTTAGCAGATCCCGATGCCTACTAAGCTAGGCTGGAGAAGGGGATACATCCCTGGAGTCAAGGAATAAAAAAAGAAAACACTGGCTAACGCCGACAAATGCCGGGGCGCATGAATGTGTTTGTTTCCTCTTCGGTGACGCCTTTTTTGATCTGGCCCTAGGCCTTACCTCGTAGTATTTTTTCCTGTCGACATATAGGGTGGATACGTCTGGGAGTTTAGCGACGACAATTTGTTTCTATCGGTCGTGTTTCTCTTTGGCTTCCTTGTGCTATAGCAGTGAAAGAAACAGATAACAGAGCCGGTTAACGAAAAAGAGGCTTGGAAGATGACCCCTGCGCAAGATCAAGGGAGCGTGGGGCACTCTAGATATATCGAGGCAATTAGTGAGATAAGGCAGGACCTGCAGTAAGCTTGATTCGGCCGCATCACGAGATCGTCTAGTTTCTTTTTTACAAGCAACAATGACCACGATCTGCCGTGACCGAAGCTGGAGCAGATGGAGCAGAACGAGCCGCTGCTAATGCACGTGCGCCGCGCAACGCACGTACGAAAGTAAGACGCACACGTCAGATACGCACTCGTCATGGACGGGAGCCAATATCAAGACTAGATCGAAAAGAGCAGCGCCGACATCCCACCTCGACCCCGGCCCCCGCCCGCGGATATTGTATCTTACTATGTACATTCATGCAAGCCCGAGCAGCCGGACAGCGTTCGGGGGCCCCAGATGTGGTGAGAATCTAAATGTGGCCCACGCGATCAGCAAGTTCAGCCTACAAGGGATCAGGCGAAGGCTTTGTCTTAGCGTCTGCGTGTCTGAGAGTACGAGCATCTACCAATGCACACATTCAGAGCTGATAAGGTCGCATCGCATTCCCGCTGCGACCCTGCACAGATGCAAAGTGGCGAGGGCGCATGGCAGCGGATGGCACGCGAAAACTCTTTATTCTCGTCTCTAAATAGAGTTTCGGTCTCGCCCTTGGCATTCTGGCGATGCGCTCTCGTGTCGGCGTGTCGAGGACGCTGATCGCCGACGAGAGTGACAGATAGACCCGCCGAGCCGCCGCAGCGCCGTCTGGAACGTGGCTGTGAGAATAGGGGCACATGCATCTTTGTGCGCGTCTGCACGTCGTCCTGACGGCGTGGCACGTTGGGGGGATGAGGGAAAGTGATGTGGGCTGCAAGGGTTTGCGGGATCCGTGGTCTGGTCGAAAACGGGAAGACGACGAGACCTTGGCCTCTCTACCATACTCTGTCCCGGTTTGGGTCGTGTTCCCCCCCCTTTTGTACACACGTCGTCGTAGCGTAGCCAAGCCATTCGTCCGTTCTCTCAGGGGAACGGTGGGAGTGATACGTTCAGTCACGCTCGGCCGCACTGGGCCAAGAAGAAGGCTGTCAGGCCAGCGGGGAGACACACTGAGAGAAGAGAGACGGGGAATGAGAGGAGACGAGAACAGACGATGGTGTGCCGGCTCTTTTGCTGGATCGCCGGCCTGTTGTATCATGTCTCCGACAGAGTCCACATACGGTTTTTGCGGAGACGCGAGTCGGCGATTGCGGTCAGACATCCCATGTTCGATGTGCATCTTGGCGGCTCACGAAAAAGACTGCTGACAAAGGCCCAGCAGAGGAGTCGATTCGCGATCGCATCCGCAGCATGGCCAAAACGTCGCGACGTACGGAGTAGCGCGCGACCAGACATTGGGCAAGAGAGGACAAGCGCGCATACATACTACATACGGAGTAGTAAGATATCTTACTACTCCGTATGTACTCCGTACTCCGTATCTTACATCGGCTCGTCGCATCGGCAGGGGAGCACTCTCGTACAATGAAGATACGACACCTCTCTGGGGCTAAGGCTCCTGTGACAGATCTGAGACGGCAGACCCTCCCGCTCCCCACTGTTTCTGCTCTTGTAGGGGGCACTTCCAGCGCAGGCCTCTTGGCGCAGACGCCTGCAGGCAGTCGAGGTAGCAGTACAAGCCCAGGGCGGCTGTCACCTGCTGCCCCACATCCTTCCGTCGTCGGCTGCTCCGTCCTGCGTGTTCAGCGGGTCGCGCTTTCCTGACAGCCCCTGCCGATGGCCAGGCTCGCGACCAATCAGGAAGCGGCTTGGTCAAGGCAGCCCCGATCTCAAACGCCAGAGAAAGTCTAATGACGCGCCGTTTTTTCCCTCTCTCTTCACGTTCTTTCTGACGAAACCGTGCCTCCACACCGTCCGCGCGCGATGACAGTGCAGCAGAACAGCTCATTATCGCCGGCATCTTGCTCTTCCGTCTGGTCGTGCACCCGAAAGAGGCAGTCCTGTCGCTGGGTACCATCGGGGAGGTGACAATTGGCGAAGCAAGTCTTCTTTTTCCGTCACCGGCCCGGCCTTGTTTTCGTTTCGATCAGTCCCCAGCCCGGCCTGCTGACGGCTCTTGCCAGAACTGCTGGTCGGTGCTCGGGTTATACGACGTACTCCGTAAGAACGAATACGAGTACTCGCAGACAGGACCTCGTGAGTTTGAACGTGAGCGTGGGCGTGTTTTGTGTGAGTATATTGCCGCGACGGCGAGCACGGACACGGACACCGTGTCGACAGCCCCGTTGTTAGATGTTCGTTGCAGGAAGCTCTGGTCGCGATGCTCACCCAGCCGGACCTTTACACAGCTGCGAGGCCGATTGCTCGGCTGGCAGGCGAATTGGCTCTGCCTCGTATTTGGCCGCTTTGGGCAGTGACAGCTCGGGCAGATCGGTTCTCCGGCTGCACGATCTCATTGATCGAGTTCGGGAACGGAGACTTGCAGCCAGATTGACGCCATCTGCAGAATACAAATGCAGAATGCAGAATGCAGAAAACACAATACAGAATACACAATACAGAATACACAATACACACAAATGCAATGCCGCAGATCCGTCTCTGATTTCCTGACAGCTGGAGATCGCTTCTCCTGATCGACAATAAGCTCTTACTTCTCCATTTTCAGCATCGTCCACCGTCGCTCTCGACCTTTTCTATCTTACTGTGTACCTCATTCTGTCCACTTCTGGTTATTCCAAATTGCTCGACACAGGGATCCTGCCACTTGAGACAAACCACTTCCTCAGAAAAAAACCCCTGTCTCTCCACCGTCTCCATCTTTTCACCTTCTCTCTCCCAAACGCCCCATTCACAAACTGATCCTCGCGCACCTACCGTCTAGTCCTATCCCCTCCGTTTCCGTTTTCCTTGCTGCCCCTCTTCAGCTATCCATTGCGGGCCGTCGTTTCTGTGCAGATTCACACAACTGTTCCGAAAACGGCCTCCGTCTGGATCCGCCGCCCTGCTCAAACCTTCCCTCCTTCTTCCTCCACATCCTCTTCTGTTGACGACTCTCGACATCATGCTCCGCCTTGCCGTCCCCTCCTCTTTCCCGGCCCCCTTGACGGCTCTACCCTTGCCACCCACACTCACAAACATCTACACTTAATCCCAAAGACAGCGGCGGCCCATTGACGTGGCAACCTCGCATCCTCGCCGAGAGGCCCCTGTTTCCCCGTCCCCATCTGAGCCACTGGGCGCATCTGTTGCTTGTAACAGGCAATCCGGCCTAGCTCCTACCGGCGTTCCGAACCACTGTGTATGGCCGTGCTGAACGTCCGTCCTCACGGACGAGCCAGACGGCCTGTCTAAATTATGTAGCCACTTTCACATCATGTCTAACGTGCTCCTGGTCCCTCCCACCCTGCCATAATTTTTTCTCAAATACATCAGGGCGCCTGCACTGCCTCTCCGGTTTCCTCTGCTGCTTGTTCTCTCGTCCCACATCTCTTGAACCCCCATTCTGCTTGCTTGCTGCTTGCTGTCGGACCCGAAGTCCACAGCTCTGTTTCTCTTTCACCCGTCGCTCCTTGCTTATAATTCCCGTCTTAATTCTTCAAGCCTGGGATCGGATTTACCCATATTTTTTCCTTTTTCTTTTTTTTATCTCCCGCCGCTCTCTGAACCCTGCTATATCACATCCTCTGGTCTATATCATACCAAGAGCTGGCTCGTTGATTTTTCCCTCGTTCTTTTTCTTCTTCCCCTCCCTCGTCCAGATTTGTTTATCTTCCGAGCGTGTCCTCGCTCTTCACTCCTTAGTTCGTTCTATATACGGCCCAGCGACCAGATACCACGTTCCTTGCCTTGCATACGCGTACCAACTACAACTTACACCCCACACCAGACACTCCCTCTGTTGATATACGCAGCAAGTCCCTTATATCTTCTTCGTTTCTGTGCTCTGTCACCCCTCTATTCTCGCCTGTCCTTTTTGCTCCATATTACCATCTATCTTCTCTACCGCCTGAGGCGCTTCGATCCTTTATACTGTACAAGACAGACAGCAGCAACACTAAAAGTGGAACACTACCTTCTTTGTATATCACCAACGATTTCGGAAAGATAACGCACAGGCGCGCCTGTGATCTAGCGTGTCATGGATACTGACAAGATGCACATGTGAGTGTCTGATGTGCGCGCTGGTTTGATTGTCCGACTTGGACCCGTCTTGCTTACATGTATGCTCCCTCCTAGGCAACAGCAAATGCAGCATCTGCAACCAACGCCGACGTTTGTGTTCAGCAGCAACGACACCGGAAATAGCGGTTTCGCGGCATGCCGATCGTCACCGCCGCCTGGACTCGCAATGGGTGGCAGTGCTATCAACGCACCGGCAGAGCCGGCAGCGACCATGTCGACACCCCCGGCGGGCACGTGGATGACGCCCACGTCGCAAGGTTTGCGCCCGCGACCGGCCACCATTCAGGAGGGCTTTTCGTACTCCATGGGCGAGACATATGGCAGTTTGACGTCGTGGGATTCGGCGACGCTGCCGATGCAGCTGACACCCAGCGACACGACGATGTCGAGGCCGATGTCGATGCACCAGGAGTTTTACCCGGGCAGCAATGGTAAGTCAAGATGGTGACACAGGAGTGAGGCACAAGGCCCAATGCTGACACAGGATGGCAGGCAACTGGATCCAGAAGCCGTGCGACGACAGCCTGGACTTCCATCTGGACGGCGAAATGGGCCTTGGACAGGCGTACACGACAGACGAGGCGATCCCAATCCTGGACCTGCGGTACGCTGGCGGAGCGGCAATGGACGGCGAAGGACTCACGTTTGACAGCGGGCTGCGCCCACGGCGGATGTCGGGCTCGTCATTCACCATGTCGACGTCGGGCGGGTTGTCGGACATGCCGTCATACGAAGACTTTTCGGCCGCGCTGTCGGATGCGCCATCGTACACGTCTGACTACCGACCGCCGTCGAACCGAAACTCGCTGATGTCGTCGACGCTGTCGCCAGTGGCCTCGCCGCGCATGACGCCGCAGAGCCGGTCGGAGCTGGTGCGTACGCAGAGCCGCGGTCGAGCATCGCCGTCGCCGCGGCCGACAGTGCGATCGGCGCCGTACAGCGTCGACGGCTCGCGGACGAACAAGCGCTGGTCGACGGGGTCGTACGCGACGATGCCCAGCCGTCGGTCGTCGCCGTATGCCTACTACGGTACGCCAACACAGGCGCCAACCAGCAGCTGCAGCAACCACGAGCCGTTTGGGCCGCGCTTGGCACCGCCGTCGTTGTCCTCGTCGCCGACGATTGGCGGCGGCCAGCTGCCGCTGAGTCTCGGCAACCTGCAGCAGGCCACCGTGGCCGCGGCTGCGGCGGCAGCAGCAGCAGGCTGCGGCGGCCAGCCGTTGTCGACATCCTTCTTCCTCCCGAACAGCGCGCAGACGACCGCAGTACCTGGATTCGCGCGGCACAGCATGCTACTGCCGACACAGCTGCCCTCGCAGGCCGGCGCCATGGCCTTCCACCACCACCCGCATATCCTAGACGGCAGCCACGGCAGCTTCTCAGGCGCCCACCACCTTTCAGCTGCCAGTCACGGGATGCACCACCACCAACATCAGATGGTCCCCAGCCAGCACCAGCTGCAGCACCAGCTTCAGCACCAGCACCAGCTCCAGCTCCAGCACCCATACCAGCACCCACACCAGCTACTGCCCCACGCCCACCCGCTGGGCCACCCGCACCATCTGGGCAGCAGCAGCAACACGAGCCCGTTCGACACGGTGATGATGCCGGGCAGCGCGCTCCCGCACGGGCTCTTCCGGATGCTGCAGAGCAACGGCGACCCGCACACGCTGCATGGACACTACACGGACCTGTCGGACCCGCCGGACCTGTACTCTTCGCTGCACGAGGAGCAGCTGCCGCCACCGCCCGAGGACATGAACCCGGAAGACCCCGACATGGTGCCGCACGAGCAGGAGCTGCGTTTCAGCGGCGACCTGTACACGCCGCGGTGGGTGCGTGGCCACGGCAACAAGCGTGAGGGCTGGTGCGGGATCTGCAAGCCGGGCCGCTGGCTCGTGCTGAAGAACTCGGCCTTTTGGTATGACAAGAGTTTCACGCACGGCGTCAGCGCAGCCACGGGCAACCCGTTTCAGGAGCCGCAAGAGACGCGGCGCATGGACGGGAACCCAGACGTGTGGGAGGGCCTCTGCGGCAGCTGCAACGAGTGGATTGCGCTGCTGAGCAGCAAGAAGAAGGGCACGACTTGGTTCCGACATGCTTACAAGGTGTGTTTTCTTTCTTTTTTCTTATGTTTTCCTTCTCTGTTTCTTTTCTATTCTCTTCTTTTCTTTGGCTCTCTCTCTAACACAACCAGTGCCACACACATCAGAAGATCAAGGACGCCCCAAAGAGACGACGCGAGAGCAACCATGCGAGAGCCACTGGCGGCCTGGCTGCCGGTATGGCCAAGCAGCCGTACGACAACCAGATGTCCGGACAGACGCAGGCCACGTCAGCTCCACAGCAGCAGCAGTCGCAGGCCCCGTTGACGCCACAGTTGACGCCGCAGATGACACCTGCAACCACCTCGGCGGCCACGTCGACTATGTCGCTGCCGTCAACAGGCGAGCAGCAAATGGCCACACGGCAGCAGCAGTCGCCGCAAAACTCTCCCCAACAGCAGAAACTGAGCCCACAACGGCAACATCTAATGCAGCAGCAGCAGCAACAAGACAACCACCACCAACAACAACAACAACAACAACAACAACGGCGTCTACAACAGTACACGCGGCCTCCACCGCCACCACCGCCACAGATGCGGCAAATGCCGATGCCCTTGACTCACATCGAAGGCCTGGGCAACATGATCTAGCCCTTGAGGGCTCGCTTTAGTTTCTTTTTCTTTTTTGTTTATTTTTGTATCTGGCTTTCACTTTTGCACATATGTACCTCCTCAGTCGGCAGGTTTCAACCTTTCCCCTTTCCTGTTTGTTACACGATTTTGTTTTCCAAGAATGGAACGGCCTAAAGAACCCAATATGAGATACCACCTTCTCTTCGTCTACAATTGTTTCTAGTTTTATCATTTTTCGACGACTCGGCGTCAGAGAGCAGCAATGGAATTAAAATACAGGGAAATGAAGCTGATGCCAGCAAGAAGTAGAATGAATAGACCCTTGAGCCCAAGAGGACACCTCTCCATATTTCCCATATTTCCACAATCCCACTATCCTGTCTCCTACAACATGTTCGAACAGGGAGACGTACAAAGAGCGTGATGGAATGAAAGGAGAGCCGAACTGCTCATGTCTTTCCCGAAGCCAATAGCAATAGCACTGTATTTGGTGCATGCTAGGGAAACAAGTCCCTACTCCCGATAGTTCTGCTAATGTTCAGACACGTCAATGGCCAAACCTGGCCTGGCTTCATTCCAAGCTTACGACTGACACTACTCGGTCAGCGCTTGTGCTCTCAGCATATGTCTTCTGCCGCCCTTGTGCAGATCGACGGCGATCATAGCCGGTGGCGGTAAAACAGAGTCTCGAGCCCGTCCGAAACATATAATCGGGATACCACCGGAATGCTCCAGCAACTGCAGGACGAGCAGCCCGATTTAGGCGATCGTGTCGATGGCCACCAGATCAGGCCTCGTGCTCAAGCAAGTAGAAAAAAAATATAGAGGCTGCGTGGCAAGCTGGCAAGGGAGGGATGGAGATCGGTAGACAAGAAGAAAAACAGCATTCGACGGGTCTGGCGTTGCCGGATATCTGCTGCTCGTGCATCTTGATAGTAATACAGAAAAGCCACCAGTCAGAGTAGTGAGACAAGACGGAGGTGAAAAAGAAACGAGCATCTGTTGATGCACATCAGACATCGCATCGTATTGGAGAGACTCCGCTTTTCTAGTTCATTGCCGGTTACCTGCTTTCCGGAGGTCCTTTCGGGAGATGCACTTTGGCACCGAGAAGACGATGTCGATTGGCCGGCCCTGTGCCGAAGCGGCTAAGCAGGCAGCATTTGTAATGGAGAAGAGATGGCCGGGCCCTTGTGCAGCTGGTGACAAGGAATGGGGCGGCATATTGGCCCTGGTCCGTGGCTCTTCTTTTCCTCCCTCTCGCTGGCCTCGGCCGAGGTGAGACAGGGCGAGAGACAGTGCGTCGAAAGCGATCATGTCCGTACTGCGAGCGAGAGCTCGTGCTCGAGCAGACGAGGAAAGCGAGCAGTAAAGCCGTGTAGAGAAGGCTCTGCTGCCCCCGGCGTTTTAGTTTGAGCCAGATGCATGCAAGGTCCTTTTGTTTTTATACAGACCGGCCGATTTGCATCTCGCGGCCGGTAACGTCATACAGACCGTTTGCTTCGACCGGAAGTGCCGACTGTCTCGTCCATTGCTGGTTGGAGGATGGAAGATGCCGGGGGCCTCTGGCTGCACACCTTCTCGGAGGCTCTGCATCTGACCAAGCGGTTCCCGGTCATCCCGCATTCCAAGGAGTCATGCTGTCAGACATGGTCAATTGGCCGACGAACCAAGGGCCTCTTTTCTTCTTTTAATTTATGTATGAAGGTCCCTACCAAAAGTTCGTTCTCACCGCTTCGGCAAAATGGAAAGGTAGGTATAGTGCTAGTAATTTATTACTACTGTATTTAATACAGCAGTGTTAGCGTAAGTACTATGTGCGAAGCATCCTGTAAAAATATTAGTAATCGGATTAGATTGGCGACAATATCCACTAAGTTCTAGCGTACCATCGCTAATAACTTTCTCCGTATGATTTACACTCTGCACTATGTATTGCCGCAGTTATAGAAAAGCGGTGAGAACGAACTTTTGGTAGGGACCTCCGTATGTATTGAGATTTTGCTGCTGGGTTTTGTCTGCCTGCCGGCCGTCCTCTATAAAAGCAGCGAGCGTACGGAGTACGGAGTAGATCGATGCGGCATCCCCACCAACGCATACAAGTAGTCCGTAGGCCAGTCCCTTAGTCCAAGTAAGGGGATCTTATTCTCGGCCTGGGCCCAACGGACTGGATCGACTCGCAAGTACTCCGACCAGAAGACGTCACCGGTCTCCAGAGGCAGAGGCACGGAAAAGGGGCGGTGCTGAGCGCACGCCAGCGGAGATGAGATGCAGCCAACGAGCCGAGACAGGCCAACAGCCAGATGAGCCCGGCCAATGGATCTGCCCAGACGAGGCTTTCCCTGGCGGCACAGTGTCCACTTTCCACCGAGATATCGCTGTATTCCTTCTTTCGCAAGCCGGGGTGCCAGCTGCCAGTGCATCGCTGCACCTGGAGCAGAAAGGCCGCAGAGACCGGCTGCTGGCCCGCTCTCTGTACTTCGGGACGCCGGCCAAGAGGGGCCCTGTGGCTGCTACTATGTACGTGGACGTCTGCCCGACTGGGCTCCGCTTTTGCCGGGAGGGAGGCTCGCGCAAGTCGCAAGCGAGACAGCGCCGACGGCGAGCACAACCGGCAGACGGTCCTTACGCGGCGACGAGCAGCGTGGTGGAAGAAGCAAGCTATTGTCGGATCCTGGCCAATGGTCTGGGCCGGACAAATCGACGACAGCTTCTTCGTCTCGGACAGACAGGGGTTTTGGCGCTATTTCCAGGGAATGTTGGGTGCCTCCAACCTGTTCAGCTGGCCTGGGGGCTGCTGCGATGCATTACGGCGTCCAATGCAGACATCTTAGCATTGTGTCGTAATCTGCCGCTGACCGGCCGACCACGGCCAATCGACGACGCCTTCTGCCTCCATTCTGCAGCGTGCCTGCAGCGTGCCTGCAGTAGGGCAGCGCCTCGGCGTCGTATCGTCGCACATGCCATGTATCCTACTCCGTACAGCTCGATCGTCTGTCTGCGAGCACTCGTTCTCGTATGATCGCAGAAGGGGGATTTCCCCGCTAACCAGACTGGCTGTGGGTACGTAGTACGCTCGTAACGGCCACTCCGTATGCTATGTCATACATAGTAGTAGAAATCCTACCGTGGCTCGCAGGTGTGAATACGTACAGAGTACGGAGAAACAGCATGGAGGTATCCACAAAGCGCTGTATTTCTCAAGTATTGCTCGCTACAGAATGTGCTAGAATATATTAATACAGGGTATCCCCGTCTGAACTTTCCCACCTCGGCGCGTGCTATGCTTACGTAAACATAGCCTTAGGGCCAACCTCGGTTGGTCCCAGCGCGCCTCCCAGGGGCAGTCTAGTGGCGCCCCAGTGGCTGGCTAGCGACGCTTCTTCGCTCTGGCACCGCCCAGGGGAAACCAACGCAGGACACGAATGGGCGCAACGCCTTCGAAACGGCTGCCAACCAAACTCCGCAATGGCCTTCGTTACAGAGGAGCGCACACGCTGGCTGTCTTACCGCATTGCGTGGAAGCCCCACTGAATAGGCCGTTGGAATAGCCAGACACATGTGCTCCGTACTACAAGGCGCCCGAAAAAGAAGGAAAACAAGAAAGAAAAAGGAAACACAGCAGGGAAAGGCGATGGAAAAAAAGCCATCGCCGCGATCACGTATGCAATAGATTGCATCATTCACAGGCCCTCCTACCCAATGCCTACACGTAATCCGCACATTCTCAAAGCGGCAAGAGCGACGTTCTGACTCGACCTGACCAGAAACCTGCTGTCTTCTCTCGTCCTGCCGACACGCTGGCGCTGTCCGGCTGTTGTCCATCGCACCTGCCGATCCCGCATGTGAGATACTTGCCGTATGCAGCCGTGACCTGCGTGTCGAGATGGCTGCTCCTTCCTGCTCACTGCGTGCCTCGTTGTCTCAGCCCATGTCTCTTGTTCGTAGGCCTTTATTTCCTTCTTCGCACTTTCGTCCTTCTCTGGCGCGCTGCCTCTTATTTGTCTTTGCCTCCTCTCTTCTATCGCTTCTCTGGCCTTCTTACCAACACTACACAGAATCTTACCAAAACCACACGATCCTTTTGTCTCCTTGCATGCTAGCTCTTCCCAACAAGTTACCTCCGTCCGCTAACAGCCGCCTGCCTATCGCAACTAACACCTAACACCTCCTCCTTCGGGCTTGTCTCCCATTCTCATCTCGTCCTGTCCAACCGGCCAATCAGACCCCTGGTCACGAACCCCAAGCATGCCTTCCGAACAATATCTCTCAGAAGTCCGGTCCCCCCAAGAGCTATAACAAACATATCCTATACGAGTACCGCCCGGGTGTGCAGAGTTTCACGCGCAACCGTATCCCGGCAGACCGACAATTTGCCAGGCTTCTACGGAGTATCTTCTCGCGATCCGCTGGCCTTGTGCCTGCTTTCCCGCTCAATCCTGCCGTTTGCCTTCGTCCTCCCTCTTCCATCCCTCTCTCCGACCACTCTCGTTTTTCTACTCGCCTTCCAAACTTGTACATCAATGTTCTGGCTTAGCTACCAGACTATTCCCGTTATCATCCCTTTCGCTATCTTGTTTTACTGCTCGTGCGTGCCAGTTTCCACTGACCGGCCCCAACTTATGATCACGGCTGCTTCGTCCACTTCCCGCCACGGCCATTCTTCTTCTTTTCTCAGACTACCATAGCTTTAGCCATTCTGATCTTCCCGCTCGTTATTTTCCTCGCCTCTTTCTGTTTCTTTCTTTTTTCGTCCCACGAATGACCCCGGACCACCTACGACTGTTATATATTCCACTGCACACGACTACGCTCGACGCATCTGCATTGCATTACTGTCACTGTAGCATCACTCTGGGATCTGTGGCATTGCTGTGTTATTGCCCTTACCCGGGTGAGAATTTGACTCCATTTCGAAAATCTGCTCGAAATAGCCCACCAGGCCCACGCCGCACAATACACCGCTTTGCAACGACACACAAACTTCTCCGGCTTTCTCTGTCTCTGAGCCGCCTGCCACAAGGGTTCCAACTCGTCCCGTCAGTCTTACGAGCGGCCACCTCTCTCAGACTCGGCCCTGCCGTCTCTGCTATGGTCTTCTACTGCCATTGCTTGCAATAGGGCCAACCTTGCAATCTGCTATGAGCGGGGATCAATCAACAACCAGGCAAGCTATCACCGGTTCTCTTCCTTTCTGCCTCCGCTGTGCTGTCCACTCGCAATCGCCATGCGCGCTGCTATTGATCCCCTCCTTCCCTCTTCCTCTTCAGTGCTCATGTCCGCCTGCCCCGCCTCATGTGCCTCGCCGTGCTCTGTATCTTAGGCTGTCGTTGAGCACCGTTTGCTCTTCGGGCATTACCCATATACCATCTTCCTGCTCTCGTACATCTGCTTTCTCGCGTGCTTATATACTCGTGACACTTTTTTTCAGGTTTTTAGCATCTTTTTCCAGGTGCTTGGTCCACATCAGTTTGACTAACATTATTCTTTTTTTCTCCGTGTCCACAGTTTTGGCGACCCGACCGCTCAGCCACCTACGCCCAAGCTTACTCCCTCAACCACCTCCTTCTTTCCGAGCACGCCCACGCCCGGGCTGGACTGGACTCCTCGTTTTGCCGAGGACTTCTGCGTCTTCGACCCTTCCCCAGGCAGCCTTCCGGGCTCGCAGGGTTCATTTGCCGACTTCGTCCCGCCCTTCTCTCCCAACGTTGGCCCGCCAGCATACCAGCCAACGGCCTCCTTCCCGACGACGCAAAAACAGCACAAGCGGCCGCTATCCGTGGGCAGCCTTGCGGCAGAGGTGGCAACCCATGTTAATTACGTCCCATCCAACCCCAATCTACCTCTGCCACCCGTCGAACCTTCTCGGCGGCTTCCCTCCTCCCCCAGCCCGCTTATCTTAGTGGCCACTACTACTGCAACGACTGCTGCCGGGACCGACGAGGAAAATAACGGGGAGAACTTGTCAAACAGGCAGTCACTGCCACCTCCGGGCGGCCCGGGGCTTCCCAGATCGTCCAAGAAGCTACGCCGGAACTCGGCCGTTGTCGCTGTGAAAGAGCTACAACCGACGGGCCAGACTGCCACACCGCCGCCTTCGGTGAAAAAGACGACTCGAATGCTCGCACCGAAACTGCACGCGGACAGTATGCAAAATGAGCAGGGCTACGGCCACCAACCTCAGATGCCACACCCCGACTATGTCGCCGCGTCACAGCAGCAACACATGTCCTTTGTGGCGAGCCCGACTGACATGTTCGGCTACCCGATATCAGCACCTGCCTCCGCGTCGGCCTATGACCATGCCAGGACGTTCTGGGGTAACAATGACACCGGTGTGGGCGCCATGGAAGTCGATTTCTCTGTTGCCGGTGCTCACGTCTTCCAGACGTCCGCGGCTGTCCAACAACAGCTCAACTCGTTTGACTGGACACAGGCGAATCAAGACAACCAGATGTACATGGTGGCAGCGGGATCAGCTTGCGCAGTACCTCAACAGCACCAACACCAGCACCCGCACCACCAACAACATCACCAGCAGCAACTGCAACAACTGCACCATCAGCACCAGCAACATCACCAGCAGCATCAGCATCAGCCCCAGCATCAGCCCCAGCATCAGCCCCAGCAGCACCGGCTTCAGCACCAACAGATGCACCAAGCGATGGGAGGGGATGCGAAGTGTATGATGCAGTCCAGTCTCGACACGACATCCATCGACCAGGCAGCATTGTATGCAGGCACTTATCCCACCCCAGTCGATGACCCATTTGGTGCTAGCAGTCCAAGTGGAGGGGTAGATCCCGGCCTGCTCTTTAGCCGGCCGCCGTCGTCTAGCATGGATGCAGTGGCTTCTGGGCCTCTCGGCGTTGCAGCAGCTTTAACGGGTACCACTGGATACGCCGCATTACCGCAGCTTTCTAGCTCGTCTGTTGCCCTGCATGCGATTCAGGCATCACAGAGCAGTCCTCGACGCGGATTGACGGCAACAGCCACCGCCGGGGTGCGGCAAGAACTCCGCCGTAGTTCAAGCGTCAAAGAGCTCGCGCCACGGAGGAAAGCCAGCGACCGGACATTGACAAGCTCTCCAGTCAAGTCTCTGAGCCGGCCTGGACTGTCGCGCAGCTTCAGCGACAGTCGCGGCCCGCGACTTCGGGGTCGTGCCTCCCTGCCGACGCTGGCACCAGCTCTGAAGCCAGCGCCGGCGACAGCCGCACAGCCAGCACCAGGGCTGGCTAGTCTGGGCACAAGCCTTGGCATCACCCGGTCGGCTACTGTGGGTGGCGGGCGGTCGACGGGGAGAAACTCTCCGGTCAAGATGCACTACCAGAGACAACAAGTCGAACAGTCGCAACAGCAGCAGCAACAGCAGCAACAGCAGCAACAGCAGCAACAGCAACAGCAACAGCAGCAACAGCAGCAACAGCAGCAACAGCAGCAACAGCAGCAACAGCAGCAACAGCAGCAACAGCAGCAACAGCAGCAACAGCAGCAACAGCATCAACAGCATCAACGACTTACCAATCTTACGTCTATCCCCGAAGTCAGTACCCCGAGGTCACGGAACTCGGTCAAGTTCAGAATCGACTCCAATGGCCGTGCTCGGGTCGAGCCAGCTTTCGAAGGGGACCAGGAGGCTTCGCCGTCAACCCTTCGGCGCAACCAGAGTGCGCGGTCTCTGCACAACAAGTCGCAGTGGGACTCGTCTTCCGAAGGCGACTCATCGTCAGCAGACGATGAGCCTATCATCATTCCGAGTCGGACGTCCTCTTTCGCTCTGCCGGACCCGGCCAAGCCAACAATCGGCCGCGGTCCGCTTCATTCCTCACAACGTAGCGGCAGCAGCGGCAGCAACATGTTTGCGTCGATGCGCGTAGACGACCCGGAAAGCGAAGCGGAGACGGTGGTAAACGACGTGCCGAAAGGTGCTGGTGATGCGGCGAGCGAGCTGGAAAAGCTCCGACAGCGGCGACAGAAGCGTCCTGGCTTGACGGGCAGTAGCAGCATGAACAACCTTCTCGGCAGCGCTCAGCGAGGCTTGCGATTCAACTCGATCAGCGGAGGCGCCGGGTATCACGGAGGCCTGGCCGCCTCGCCGACAGCACTCACAGACGTCAGCATGCTCACACCGACATCCATTTCACACAGCAACGGAGTCCGATGTATATGCGGACTGCCCGACGCTCCTGTCGGGGACGATGGCTTCGTTGTGCAGTGGTGAGTCTCGTTGCCTTCTGCCCCCTCGATCTGCAGGCACTGACTAGTAATAGCGAAAACTGTGAAATGTGGCTGCACGGCCGGTGCATCAACATCACCAAGCGCACGCTGCCTTCAGTGTACGTCTGTGCCTATTGTGCACAGACTCCAAGTGCTCGAGGCATGCGGATGCCTCCACCAGGCGCGGGCTCATCGCCGCTCGCCCACAAGTCGTTGAAGAAGTTCCGGTGAGCTAGACCTGGAAGGGTGTAAAATGGATACTGGATGGGCCAGAATCTGTAACTGCTTCGTTCATCCACATCCGCCTGCTTCAGTGCGGGCTTGCAAAAGGGAAGGACCTGTAAGAGGGACGATGATAAAACAATAGGGACAGGAGACACGGAAAGTCTCTTTCGGCGGCAATTGTGTGTATGTATGTACTCGTAAAATTCAAATCAAGCGGCAGCGAGCCCAATGTACTGGCATAACGAACAGTATGTGAGAGTATAAAGGCACGTCATAGTCGATCCGATCGAGATGTCGCCACAGCTCTTCGCAGCGACTTGCAACGGCCGACTTCGGCAGGCGGGGTCAGCTAGTTTCGCCTGTAATTGCTTCTTTAAGAGCTTTGCTGCAATTTTTGCGGGGTCTCTCCCCTTGAACTGTCGCTTCTTTCTCTGCTCACCTCAATTGACTCTTCCAGACACTTGTCTTTCTTTTGGCACCTATCTGACCGGTATTGATTCTTACACGATGTCGGCGTTCAACATTGTTGTGTTTGGTGGCGACCACTCCGGTCCGGAGGTATGCTTTCCGGACAGCGGTGATTTGCTGGATGTCCATGTTTCTGGCTGCTGACACGAGATGCAGGTTGTGGCTGAGGGCATCAAGGTACGAATGCGCCGGCATGCAGTTGGCTTGGAGCGACTGAATTGACACGATGGAACGGCTATAGGTTCTCAAGGCGATTGAGGCGTATAGCCCGTCGAAGCCCAAGTTCAACCTGCAGGACCACCTGCTGGGAGGTGTAAGTTTGCCGTTCCGGTTTTGGTGTGCTGAAGCTGACGCGGGCTGCTGGCAGGCGTCGATCGACAAGACAGGCTCAGCGCTGGCGGACGAAGCGCTGGAGGCGGCACGGGCGGCGGACGCGGTGCTGCTGGGAGCGATTGGCGGGCCAGAATGGGGGCCGGACGCAGCAGTGCGGCCGGAGCAGGGTCTTTTGCGGATCCGCAAGGAGCTGCAGACGTTTGGCAACCTGCGGCCGTGCTCGTTCGCGTCGGATCAGCTGGTCGAGTACTCGCCGCTCAAGGCGGAAGTCTGCCGCGGCACCGACATTATGATGGTGCGCGAGCTCACGGGCGGCATCTATTTCGGCGACCGGCGCGAGGACACGGGCGATGGCACGGCACTCGACACGGAGCCGTACTCGCGCGCCGAGATCGAGCGGATCGCCCGTCTTGGTGGCTACCTCGCCCTCGCTGACGACCCGGCCAACCCGAAGCCGGTCTGGAGCCTGGACAAGGCCAACGTCCTGGCAACGTCGCGGCTCTGGCGCAAGACCGTCTCGGACGTGTTCGCCCGCGAGTTTCCGCAGGTCAAGCTGGGCCACCAGCTGATCGACTCGGCCGCCATGTTGCTGGTCAAGAACCCGCGCGCTCTCAACGGCATCGTCATCACGAGCAACCTGTTTGGCGACATCATCAGCGACGAGGCCAGCGTCATCCCCGGCAGCATCGGCCTCCTGCCCAGCGCCAGCCTCGGTGGCATTCCCGACGGCAAGGGCAGGTGCAACGGCATCTATGAGCCCATTCACGGTATGTCGTCTCCTTGCCTCCCTTCTTGCTCTCTCTCCGTCGCTGACTGCTGCAGGCTCTGCTCCCGACATCTCTGGCAAGGGCATCGTCAATCCCATCGGCACCATCCTGTCCGTCGCCATGATGCTGCGCTACTCTCTGCTGCTGCCAAAAGACGCTGCTGCCGTCGAGGCTGCCGTCAAGGCCGCTCTGGACGGCGGTCTGCGCACAAAGGACCTCGGCGGAAACGCCAGCACGAAAGAGGTCGGCGATGCCGTCGTGGCTGAGCTCCAAAAGCTGTACAAGCAGTAGGGCCTGTAGTGTTAGAAGCAAAACAAATGTGCAGAGGAAACCGTCAATCAAAAAAGTCAATTCGTAGTTAACCAGCCATTGCTCCTATCATACGCAAACATGGGTGAAGCCAGCGCGAAGCCAAATCTCGAGAGCTTTATCAATCATACATTCGTTATCGCCATTCGTCGTTGTGTCTGTTGTTCGTCTGGTCTTTCCTGGGGCGTTTTGTTGCTCGTTTTTTATTCGTTGCAGCTCGTCTCTCGGCACTGTCGCCGCCTCTCTTAACAAGTGTCCCATCGTTTGGTGTCTATGCTGTTGACGCTGTTGATGCCGGTCAGACCGGTGCGCTTTTCCACCAGCGACAACACGAAGCTGTTCTCCATGTGCGGCACCGCCTTCCCGAGCGCCTCTTCTTCGTCGGCGAACTTCTTTTCCCGGGTCCTGTCCCACCAGAACCAGATGCCGAGCACGATCAGCGTCAGGGGGATGGTGATGGCAAAGTAGATCCACAGCGTAGGCGACACAGACGCGCCGTTCTGAAAGTTGAAAAACGTCATGGAGAAGAGCGAGGCCAGGTATGTGGCCGGCAGGAAGATGGCGCCGACGACCGACAGCGCCTTCATGCTCTGGCTGTCCCGCTTGGCCGCCAACGCCAGCACTCCTTGGTGGTGCGCCATCTCGAGGTTGAGCTTGGACTCTTTCTGTGCGATAATGTTGTAGAGCTGCGGCTGTTAGAGAAGAGAACGAGAGAGGGACAACAGAACAAAATGAAAAAAAACGAACCGCGCCTAGCTGCACCTCCAGCCGCGAGACGGTCGTGTAAGCGTAGTGCTGCACGCCCTTGAGCTTCTGGTTGAAGAATTCAAAGCGGCCCTGCATGCTGCGGTGCAGCTTGTGCAGAGAGTCCCGGACGGCCGGATCGGCAAGGTGTTCTGGCAGACAGCCGTCCCGCAGCAGTTTCTCGCGCGCGTCCCGGAAACGGTTCAGGGCCACGCCCACCTGGGTGAGCATGTCGAGGTAGGCCTGCGGGCGCTTCCACAGCACCTGGCCGTGGCACTCAACCAGTGACTGGTTCATCTGGTCAAGGTCGATGTCCTTGAACCGCTCGTTGGGGTCGATCTCGTTGCGGAACGTGATAGCGTGCTCCAGCTTGCGCAGCTGGTGGCGCGTGTTGCGCTGCCGCTCGTCCATGCTGCTGTCCAGCTCGTTCCCCAGGATGATAGACGGCAGAAGCAGCGGATGGCCCACCAGCCCGGCGCACGCCCGCAGGTGCGTGTCGATGATCACGTCCAGCCTGCTCGACTCCGTGCCTTTAGCATAGCCCGTCGTGATGCCCGACCGGAACTCGTGACTCAACATCAGCTCCCACCCACGCGTCAGACCCTTCTTGCGCACGTCCGACTTGCGAAACACCACATGCAGGTGCGGGTTGGCGTCGTCCAGGTCCAGCGAGCTCCAGAAGAACGGGCCCACCACGCTGCTGCCCTCGATCGCCCGGAACGGCAGATGCAGCTTGCGCACCATCTTGATGTATTCGCCGTGCGTAAACGAGATAAACTTGGACGTGAACGTGTCGGCCTGCTGTGCCTTGAGTTGGAGGCTGGCACGTTGTCAGTCAGGAGCACATAAACGCAGCCAAACAGCTAAGAATACTCACATGAGCCTCATGCCGCTGAGAATCTTCACATCTGCCGCCTTTTTTTCCGGCAAAAACACCCCCTACACCGCGAGTCAGATAGCGCCCCGTCGATTGAGGCAGGCACGCGACCATTACCTGCTGGTTAAGAAAGTTGTCGAATTCGCTTGAGGGCAGTGCGCCCTTGTCAAAATACGTCTCGCCATTCTTCGTGAGGCCGCTTGTTAGCTGAGTCCACCACGCCGACTTCCAGTCCGGGGGACGTACTGAATAGTTGAAGATCTCCAGAAAGCTCATCGGCTCCTCAACCGTGTTGCAGCTCAGGACGTGGCTCTCGAAAAGATAGTCGTCCATCTTCGGTTGTTGGCGGTGAGCACGATATACAGCCAACAAAGAAAGATTTTAAAGGGCGGAGCAACGTCGCCCAAAGCCGGCCGGTCACTGTCTCGTCTCAAGTGGAAAAGGCGGGATGGAGCACACCTTATTTGTCGGAGCAGGCGAGGCTGGACGGAACAGAGCGCTCGTGTGGTATTGCAAAAAGGAGAAGATAAAATGGCAAAAGGTGAGAGATAAAAGAAGCTGTCTGATTTGAAATAACGGCAGTCATCCACACTCAATCGATCCTTCCCTGCACGCTTCTCACATTCGACAGCTAACACAGTGTTACTCGTAAATGAGCGGACCCTCTCTTCCCAGCCATTCTCCCCACAACCACTCACACTCGACTTCCACTACGGGTCTTGCCATTGGTAGCGGTGGGGGTTATACCTGGTAAGGCGGGAACGCCACCTCTGCGGGGTGGATAGCTCGAAACGACCTGTCTGAAAAGAATAGGAAAAATTGCGGATGGACGGTGAGAAACCTGAGGCTGGGATCGTCCTCGGCCTGGCCCAATGTGCGCCTCGGTAAATGAGGCAGCAATTTTGCCCTTTCGCCCTTTTATCTTGCAGAATGGTTTGTACCTTTCTTCGCTAGCCTCTGTATGCATCGCGGGTAGCAGTATAAAAAGCCTGGGCCAAGGGTGGCTTAGCGGGTGTAGATGCATCTGCAAGCTGCAGGTTACGAGGCTTAGATAACGCCATGCAGTTAAGCACTCCCGACCAATGGTAAGCAGAAGTATCTCCAAATAGTGAAAGCGAGGCTCATAGAGCTGTTGTCGCATCAGGCTCGGCTGCTAACCGTTCCTGCTTGCACCAAAGTCCTATTTGTTTGCATTTGTACCCCCAAGTCGGAACCGAAACGTGTTTCCTAATATTTGCGTCCTCAGCCAAGGTCAAATATGTAAACCTATAGGCATGACGATTCCTCCCCTCGGCTGAAGAAGAGAAACCAAGAAAATCATAAACCAATGTGAGCGGTTGTTCAAAGCTATTGGAAAAAGGAGTATCCATCTCCAGAACCAAACCGTGCTGTATCTAGTGGAACGCCGGGTAGGATGGAGCAATCTCCATATTACTCCAGTGATAAGTCCCCTCAACTGGACATGAAAAGATAAGAAACCCTAAAATTCTTCGAAGAGGTGTCCGTATCTAAACTGTCAGCATAGGCTAGCTGTCGACTGGAATCTCGGCTTGACTCACTCATCAGCCCCAGTCTGTCCATATCTTTCTGCCTCCTCGGGATAGCGGTCAAACTGGCTGGCATCACCCGCACCGACCTTGACCGGCGGTGTGTATGGTGCGTCGATATCCTTTCGCGCTAGTCGATCCCACGTCACCTCCGCAAACCATGCGTGGTTCTTGACGTCCTCTGACCCGCCGTAGAGATTGCCCAAGCGCTTGGTCAAGTCCGGAGTTATCAGCCGCTCCAGAAGGTCTTGTGCATCGGGGTGCACGTAAGCCGGGTACTTGACTTTCCCCTTCAGGATGTTCTCGTATATCTTCATCGGGCTGCCGCTGTCCCAGAATGGCGTGAAGCCACAAAGCATTTCGAAGATCAAGATCCCAAGGGACCACCTGTTTGGTCAATTGATGATCTAAGCGGATCTCTGATCAATCAGATTCGCACGTACCAATCCACAGATTTATTGTAGCCCTTGTTGGACACCACCTCCGGGGCCAAATAGTCGGGTGTTCCACAAAGTGTCCATGTCTTGTCAGGAACTCGCTTGGCGAACCCAAAATCCGTGATCTTGAGATGGCCGTGGTGATCGAGAAGAAGATTCTCCGGCTTCAAGTCTCGGTAGATGACGTTGCGCGAGTGCAGATATTCCAGCGCCAGTGTGACTTCGGCCGCGTAGAACTTGGCCACAGGGTTTGGAAAGCGCTGGCAAAATGTCAAACTCATGTCAGTCCTAACTAAACCTCATCTCCTTTGAAGACAAGTACTTACCGCCGATTTACGCAGCAACGAGAAGAGCTCGCCTCCCTCTACAAAGTCCATAACCATGTAAAGATTTTTTGCATCCTGGAATGTCCCCCACAGCGTGACGAGAAACGGGTTCTTCACCTCAGCCAGCATCCGTCTTTCGTCGTTTGTATGTTCGACTTGCTTCATCCGAACAACCTGAGCCTTCTTCAAGACTTTGACAGCATAAAATCTTTGGTTGTGCCGTGACTGTACCAGATGGACACGCCCAAAACTACCGGTCCCAAGGGTTCGCTGGATCTCAAAATCAGCAAGGGAATACTTTCCCTTTGTCACTCTTGCCTGATCAGAAACCGGCTGTCTCTGCTGTGGTATTTGCTGCTGCTGCTGGAAGGTCGGCTGCGCTACGCCTGGCTGTGCTTGTGGTACCTGTTGCTGGCTCGGGACGTCTGCTGTATGTGTTGGGGTGGCCAAGGCAGCTTGAGGGACGGCGGCACCATTGGCTGGTGATGCTGCATACGCAAGCTGTGGTGCATTCGATTGGTAGCTCTGTGCCGCCCCTTCGACTTGGGGGGCATTGATCAGGTTGGAGATGGTCGGCAAGTGCTGCGTGTCTGTGCCTGAAGACAGCGTGGACATCGGCGACGCGGGTTGTGCCTGTGGCACGAGTGTCGATTCCATGGCCTGAGCTGGGACAGACAAGGCCGGACTTGTGGCTGATTCTGGCTGGACAGCTGGGCGGGGCGCAGCAGACTGGGGAACGGCTGAAGCTGTCGACGCTGTGGCTGTGGAGGCGGTTGTCGTGGACGCCGTAGTTGTAGAGGCTGAAGTTGCAGAGGCGGTGGAATTGGACGGACGGAACGCTTGTTCGAACGTTTTTGTGGCTGTTGGTGTAACAGGACTCGTTGGCTGACTGCTAGAAGGAGGATCTGGATGGGCCTCCCTTGTCCGCTTTTTTTTCAGGAATCCTAGACTAGGCATCAAGACGGATATATAGCGCTGATGCCAGGACCAAGGCTAAGCAAGAATTGAGTAGAAGGGACCAGACGATCGAAAAGTCGACAAAAAGACAGGAACGTGGCAGCAATGCGGCTGTGCGAATGAGAGCAGTCGGGTCGATCCTAAGCGGCGTGGTACGGAAGACTAGAAATGAAGGAAAGCTGCAATGAGAACAGTGGAGGTCTATGATCCCGTCCTCTTCGGTCAACTATGCGCGTATAGGTCCTCAAGAGAGGGGTGGTAATGATCGGCGTAGAAAGAAGGCTGTTTTCCTTTTTTTCTCCTTTTAAATCCCGGAATGCAATCCCGGAATGCACGTATGTGGCTGGTAGAATGTCCGGGAGGCTAGGCAAAGGAAAGACACTGTTTGCTGTGACGTATCGAGACGTGGGCCAAGGGAATAGAGACAAGTGACGTCTGGCTTCGTAACGTGGTTTCGTTATTCGTTAATTCTGCAAGACTCGACGTCCTCTCTATACCTAGCTTGAGCTGGAGAAATGCGCGGGATCCAGGGGAAAGATTGTACGTGGATGTCCGACTTGTTACGAGTCATGAAGACCGATTGGATTGCGCAGATAGCGAGAAGAATAGAGAGCGTGGAAACAGAACAAAGGCGCGGCGAGGATGGAATTTTGCTGGGTGAAGACGTAGTTGGCCCAAAAGATTTTGCACGGTTGTGAGGCAATTCCTTCCACGGCTTACTTCAAGGTGGGCTTTGGCAAGGCAGAGCAGGAGTGAAGGCTGTAACAATGAGAGATAAGTACGGAAGGGAGAGGGGGATCCAGATACAGCTGATAGAGGATGCGACCGGCCAGTAGGAGAGCTATGGCGTCGTTGCGAGAAGTGGTGTCGGGAGGGGGAAGGTTCCGGAAATGGAGGATTTTATGGCCGAAGCAGCTGCTAGGTCACAGACTGGGGCAATGGCAGGAAGAAAGCTGTGGCCGGGGTGTTTTAGTTGGACGAGGCAAGAATATGGCCTGCAGCTCATCGCCAGAGGTGGGATGCTTTCTTTTTGTGTGTGAGTTCGGCTTTTCCCTGGCGCCAGCTTTGCCTGCTGTTGGGAGGGGTTGGCCGGCAGAGCACAGCTCTGATCGATGTGGTATGGATGGAGTGCGCCAGCCTGGTATGGGAACATAAAAGTGGGCACCGGGGATAACAAGTGGCCTAGAACTGGGGGTCGAGGGGGACGATGGGAAGAGTTGTCGGTTTGAACGGGAATGGGAAAGCCAATTGACCCGTTGCGACGTTGCAGTCTGTTGAAAAGACCTGGGGCCAGACCGGAAGGACGGCTCCGAGCTGGAGATTGAGCAGAAAGGCGTCTGGGCTTCGTCGGCCGTACGGTATCTTGACTACTCTGGTTCGTGGTGGCGAAGAGAGTGAGAGAAAAAGACAGAGACAGAGCGGAGTGCTTCGGCTTCACCTGAAAAAGACACCAGGCCAGGCCGTACGATATCCGTAAGCATGGTAGAGCCTGCCTACCTGCATTGAACCAGCAGCAAGCAGGGACAAACAATGAGGGGTGATCGCTGCTGGAAAAGAGGGGCACACTAAGTAGGCGGACCAGGTCGCTCCTTCCGGCGGGTTATTCGTATCTTCACAATGGTACTTGTACCATCCACGATGAAGCTACTGCACAAGCCACATAGTACTGCAGGCCCTCTTGCGTATGTCTGCTGCTGTACGGAATAAGATATCCTAACAGTGCGTGCGGTCTTTAGGCGATGTGACCAATGCCTCTGGGCTCAGCTATCAGCAACGCCTGCGCTGCGGCGCAACGCCCGCGGCCTTTCCAAGCTTCGCATCAACCATCTGGGATAAAGGCCGACCGTAAGGCCTGAAAGGAAGCAAAGAAACTTTCACCTTGTCGCTTACTCCGTACACACATATCTGACACCACCTTGACGTAGCGCGATCATAGATAAGCTAGGCAAAGATCTACCGATATGCGCCCAGGGCAAATCAGAACTCCATGGGCCCTCGTTGACCAATAGTGAAGCTCTTGGAACAAAAAAAAATTGGAATTTCAAACATATATACGTATGGCAAGAACCTAACGCCCTTTCCTTGGTATGCAGACTGGCTTTTCTGGGTACATTCACTCTCAGTTTTCTCCCGTCTTCTCAGTCTCCCTGTCCTAATGCGTATTTGGCTTTTAAAGCCGCCCGTTCGTCAGACTGGACGCAACTCGACCCTAGATCTGCTTCCTATCTCTGCGTAGGGGCACCTTTTGCGAATCTCTCTCAGAAGCGGTGGGACCGCTTGTTGGTGCGATATGCCGTGTAGCCGATGTATGCGCCGCCCATGATCACAGCGACCATGATGATCTTGGTGAAGAACCAGAGCCAACTGCCTCCCTGGTTGTCCTGCGACTTGCCAGACGATGACCCGAGGCTGCCGCTGCTCGACTTTCCATGGTTGCCGGTGCTCTCGGTAGGCGGCCCGTACAAGCTGCTGACCGCGATGGAGATGATGTCGTGGTTGTCGCTGAGCTCGCCCGTCTCGGCGCTGAAGCCGAGGTAGGCCACGTGTGGCAGCGTCGGGGGCTGAAACGTCTCAAAGCACAGCGACCATTCGCCCTCGACCTTGTACTGCAGCTCGAGCTTCAACATCTTGTCCTGGAAGTAGGTGAGCCGGAACTTGGACGGGACCTTGGGGCTGCGGATGCCGCGCGCCGAGCAGCCGGCGAGCTCGTTGGCCTTGCCGTCTGTGTCCTTCTCGTACGACGTCTTGCCGTCGCCGACCATGGCCATGACATAGGGGAAGATGGTGCCGGGCCGGTTGTTCTTGTACGTGTCGAAAAAGACGCCGAGTCCCTCGAAATTGTCTGCGCCACCAAATACGGGGCCCTGCTGGCCGCGATCCTTGGTGAGCCACATGGCGAAGCCGTCACCGAATAGCGTGTTCTTGCCGTGAATCTTGAACTCCACCTCGATTTCCCAGTTGGTGGCTGTCAGAGGCACGCGCGAGTACAGCCAGCCCATCTGCGATGGACGGTCAGCCGTCAGGCGGATATATCTGCAGAGGCAATGTGTCAGATTCGAAAAGGAGTAGGAGAGAGAGAGGAGGGCAAAGGGATATTCCGTACTGGTCCGTCCGAATCACAGTGTTGCCTCCAAAGTCATACCACCGGCTCTGCATGTCCGAATCGAGGTAGGGCTGTATTGAAGGCAGATATCGTAGTTAGTTGATGTTCGCGGTTCAGCTGCCGTCATCTTTGGGCTTGCGTACCGTTGCCAGTGAATGTGTCCTCAACTGCGCAGACAAGGTGTCAGTAGCGTAACTCGCTTTCCAAGACGGAGAGGCCTTTGACATACCCCAATACTCTTGAACTCCTCGCTGTCGCCAGCCGCCTTGGCGCAGGCAGCCAGGCCCAGGGAGAGCAGATTTAAGAGCCGCATTATGTCGATGCTCGCAAACAGCACTTGGAGGGAGCGAAAAGAGAGAGCAGAGTATAGAAAAGGAGCGCGGGCGTTGACCCTGGAGAGTCGAGGCCAGCCGAGAAGACGCAGGGACGAAGAGAAAGAAGAGGCGCTAGATCGCAAAGGAAGGTATACCTGTCTTCCAGATCAATGGGAGAAGGAGTTCAGACAGCGTCGCGACGCGGTCGTGCAGGATGAAACAGTGGGAACAGAGAAAGGAGACAGAACGAAACCAGTCTCGAATACGGGAATGTGTATGTGGATTTCGATTCCAGAGGAAGGGACAGCCCACATAGGCCTGAGAGCGCGATTGTGTGTGGCGCGGCGAAGATTGTAAGCTGGCCTCTTCTCATTTGGCGATCCAGAATGGAGCTTTCGGGGCCTGTGCACCAATTGCTGTCTGGTGGCTTGTCCCCGGCGGGCAGCTCTTTTTGTGGAGAAACACCGCCACATGACGCCGATAAGATACCGATTTTTTTAAAGCCTATGCAATTGTGACGCTTTTCAATTTCTGTCGCCGGGTCCGCTTCGGATAGACGACGACATATCTTACCACCTTGCCTTTGTTGAGACGCACTGCTCAGGCCACCCCGTACGAGTACGAGTACCGTGAACATGTTCTTTTCCTCCAAGCCAAAGGAGCAGGCGGGCTCTCCCGACAGTCTTCCGGCCAGCGCCACCGCGCCTGTCGCTCCCGTCGCTCCCGGCAACATGGACTCCGATGCGGTCAAGAAGGCCATCATCCAGCAGGTTCTGGTGGAATCAAACACGAGCAACGCCCGGCAGCTGATTGATGTGAGTCTGAGGCTGGAAGCACGGGCCTGAGCGGTGCCGGAGGCACGATTGTCTGACAAGTCCCAGAACATGAACCAGCACTGTTTCGACAGCTGCATCCCGAAGCCGGGCCCATCCATCTCCGGCAGCGAGCAGACGTGTGTCAGCCAGTGCATGGAGAAATACATCACAGCCTGGAACCATGTCAACACGACGCTGATGCGCCGGATACAACAAGAGGTTGCCAACGGCAGCATATAGACCAGAGAGACGCTCGGTATCGTATGAGAACCCAGGGGGTGCTCCGTGATGGGGACGGCTGTTGGGCAGCTGCACATGGAATCAGGAGTTCATGGGAATGCTTATACGGAAGATGCTCCATGGCCTGGACGGGACACGTAGCAAAGACTCCTTACTCTGCAGTGTTTGAGCAAACGAAGAGAAACAATGAAATCACCACTTTTCACCTGGCAAAGCCAGACAGACAGCCAAAGTGTATCATCTCACGGCAAGCCTCGCAAGAAGCCGCCCTCTACAGCGTACACGGTCCCCCCGTCCCGAGCAGCCACTCGAACCGATATTCATTAGAGGTCCCCGGCCTGCTCCAGCTTCTTGGCTTCTGCCTCGGCCCGCTTTCGCGCCAGGTATCGTTCCTTGGCGCTCGAGATGTCGGCTGCTGTCTTGCGCGTCTTGGCTGCCTCCTCGACTGCCTTGACCTGCTCTTCCTCCTCGTCGCGCGTCCTCTTGAGCGCCTGCTCGTACTGCGCCTCCAGCATGCGTGACTGCCGATCGCGCATCGCCTGCTTGCTGCCGGCAAAAATGGCCTGGCCGCGGCCACCACCGCTTCCTTGGTTGCGGTCGCGGTCGTTGTCGTTTCGGCTGCTCCGCTCCCGCTCCCGCTGCATCTCAGCACGTTTGCGGCTGCTGACGTTCAGGCCCCCCCGCAGCAGCTGCCGCTTGTCGACGACCTCGCCCTCGTCGTTGACGGCAATGTCGCCGCCACGCGCATTGATCGCGCGCGCCTTGGCCATGCTGGCACTCTCCAGATCGTCTTCTCTGTCCGCCTCGGCCTGTTCTGCCTGTTCTGCCTGTTCTGCCTGTTCTGCCTGTTCTGCCTGCTTGGCCGGCCCCTGCTTGAGCGCCTCCTGTATCGCGGCCTGCTGCTGCTCGTCTCGGTCGAGCAGCTGCTTGTAGAAGCCCGTCATGCCGCCGCCGCGGGCGGCCGCCTTGCGCTCCTCCTCTTCCTCGCGTCGACGTTCCTCCTCTTCCAGTCGGCGGTTCTCCTCCTGTTGCTGCTTGTACGCCTCCGTGACAAACTTCTCCTTGTCGACAAATTCGTCGCCCTCAGCCTCGCGCTCCCGCTGCATCTTCTTGTCCTCGGCCATGCGCCGGTCTCGCTCGCGCAGCTCGGCCATCTTGCGCACGTTGCTCATGTACTGCGGCTTCCGGCCTCCGTCGCCATCGGCTCCATCGCCGCCCTCGCCAATCGCCTTTTTCTTCGAGACCGCCTTGAACGCGTCGTAGGAGGCGTCGTAGTCGTACACGGATGGATCGAGCGCTTCTGCTTCGTCGGCATACTTGCGTGCCGTCAGAGTGGTCGCCAGATCGCCGTCGAACCGGGCTGAGCTCGACTTTTGCTTGCTCGACAGCGGCTGTATTGGTGGTTGCAGCGGGTTGTTTTTCCTGCGTGGCCCTGTACCTCCTGCGGCTGACCGCTTCCTCTCTTCGCCCTTGTCGGACGAAGGTGCTGGAAAGGACAGAAAGTCGTCACCAAGCTCACTGATCTTCACCTCAACCGGTCCGTCTTGCCCTTTACCACCAGAAGTCGCGTCGTCGTCCGATCCATCGTCAGCACCGCCAAAAATGGCCTTCCGTTTTGGCAGGCCGTTTGGTTTTGCCTTTCCCGCATTCTTCGACAGTTTCAAGCCGTAGGAAAACTTTGTCGGGTTGCTCATATTTGTGTTGTGAAAAACAGGGAGACGGCAATCGATTTCGCAAGGTAAGATGCCTACAGTTTAAGCTTCTCCTTTGTTAAGCAAAGGCCCCACATCGGTCGAAAGAGCGTTGCACGTTCACATTCCTTGCCATATTCTAGTTTCTTTGTTTCCACTCCATCCAATCCAATTGTCTGCTAACAAACTTTCGACATTATCACTATTCTCTACATGTACATGAATATTTCGTTCCGCAACGAGAGCCTCGTGTTTCCCTTGTCCATCATGCCCGCCGCCAGTTGAATAGCCTGGCAAAAAACGCACCGATCCAGTCCACAAAAACCAGTCTAAAGAAAGACGCAAGCCAATTATCATTCCCAGTCACCTTGATGCCCGTAGAAACAGGACTCGAAAGCTGTGCTTCATCTGTAGCCTCTCCGTCTTCGACGCCCGGAACATCAGCGGGTACCACTGCGGCCTCGACTGCTTCCAAGGCTCTAGGAGTGGTCTCCCGCTGTTCGGAGTCCTGATCTTGTTCAGATCCAGCGAGCTCGGGTTCCTCGGCCACATCAATATCTGCCTCGCTTGGATCCGACGCCTCAATGCCCGCAGAAAGGTGTGTGTCCGGTTCGGGCACGGCTGCGTCATTCCCAGCACTCTGCGGACGGCTCGGAACCTGTTCGTCGTCGCCTGTCTGTTTCTCGACCGCATAAACATCGACTGCGGGTAACTCGACTGCAGATATCTCGACCGCAGAAATCTCGGCTGCAGATAACTCGACTGCAGGTAACTCAACTGCAGAGAGCTCGACTGCAGATATCTCCACTGCAGCTTCCTCGACTGTAGCTTCCTCGACTGCAAACTCCCCGACAGACTCCTCGACTGCAGATTCCTCGACGATGCAGTGCAGCGACGCACCAGAGATCGACGGTCGAAGGGAGTCTCTGCTACGCGAAACTGTGTGGGACTCCAGACGGACTTCTGACCGGTCTGCGCCCGAGTCGGTCGGCAGCATATCAACAACGGGCTCGTTGCTATGTCTCCGTCCGGGACCGACCACGGGCGACAGCGGGATGCCGTCGAACGAGGTCCGGTCTTCGTTCAGACCAGTCTCAATCGTCCGGACTTTCTCGAGAATCTCATCCCGGTTCGACGGGAATCTTTCCAGAGTTGGGTCATTCGGGTCAAAGGCCTCGTCGATGGCTTCCTCCGATGCGGACACATGTGAGAGTGCCTTCTCGCTCAGGACAGTGTCATTCTCGGCTGCGAGTTCATAGGCAAACATGGGGGCAGTGCTGCTACGACCATCGTCGGCGCTTGCGAGATTCTCGTGGCCTAAACTGGGGCCGATCTCGATCCTATCCCAGCCAAGAACGTGGGGCGGGGGAGAGTCGGGTGGCGGTGTGGGTGGTCTCTCGACGTGAGCGCTACGTAGACAGTTAGCAGAGGTGAAAGCAGGTAATCGGGCAGAGATGTCTTGCCTTTTCTGGTCGACCAGCGTGATTGTGTTGTTTTTGTTGCCCATGCTGTCGGTGGCAGTCGGAGCGGTTTCGTCCAGAATCCACCAATCACCGGTGCCAACTCTGAATTTGTACTCGACTATGGTGCCTGGGGATCCCTTGATGGTCTTGGTGAAAATCTGCTCCCCATTTTCCGTCTTTGAGTGTTCCATTTCCTGGGGCGTCCATGGCGGGCTCGAGTATGAGCCAGCTATGAAGAGCGGCGGATGGATCTCGGCCGACTTGTAGGAGATCTTGACCGACGAAGGTTCGGTATTCATTTTCGCTTCTGTGCTCGGGAAACTGTGTGCAGAGGGGATGAAGCACGGGGACGAGAAGCCCGTACGGTAGCAGATATAGATGAAAATATTTCGCTTCCCGCCGTAGGACGATGTCTCACTGCTGACTGGTCCTGCTTCGAGAACCAATGACGTAAGGGCGATTATGAGACAGTGCAGAGCGGAAGGGTGATGGAAGCAGCCGGGGAAGGCTAGAGGAAGGGCAGATGTGTAAGAACAGAGGAAGCAGGAGTCGAGAAGGACGGAAAATGAAATATAAGGTGAAGGACATGTAAATAGTCTGTTTGGTAAGGTAGGGGTTGATTTCCGGCAACGTCACCCAATACGGAATCTGATGATTGGGAGATGAAAACATGTCCTGGCCGCACCGCCTTTCCTGTCAGTTCCGAATGCGAACAAGCGCGGGAAAGGCCCTCAATGGTCGTATCGTATACGTGTATCCGAACAGCACATTGTGTCTTCCAACTGCTATGTAGGTAGCTCCCGTTTGTGCCAGTCGCAGCGACTGATCGGGCCACCCAAATGGCGCCACATATGCGGCACGCCACTAAGGATGGCTATGGTTTCGTTCCCATGTACGAGTACTCGTAATATTGCTGTGCGTTATTGCCTCGGCCCTATAACTGACCAAGTATATGTCTTCCTTCTATACTCCCTCCGCTGCTTCCTCCACTGCGATTTCGCTATTAGGGTTGGATCGCCGTGTTTCCCCTCTTTCCAGCGCTTGGGGAATATGGGCAGTTGACCTTGTGTACGAGTGACCTGGCGGAAAATCCGATACGTCACTTCGGACTATCCACCTTTGGTGAATGGGTCACGTGGAGATATGTCTTGTTCTGACCGACCTTCGCGTCTGGCTTTAAGTGGCTGCGGCAGATTAGATAAGAAAGAAGGCCAGAAAAATTCTCAATATGTACATATGTACATAGCATTTGCTGCATCCTCTCCACGGCTTTCACGATGTGGAAAGCAGCAGTGGGCTCGATCTGTCCGGTTTGCCGGTCAACGGTGGTGCTGGCAAGCCAAGTCCGTCCAGCACTGCCGCAAGTATGGCTCAGCGTGCAGACTCGTGGTCTTTCTGTTCGTCCGAGGCGCAAGACGCCGTCTCGCATGGTGCTGTCCGACACAGTCGCACAGCCACCACGACCGCCACAGGAACGGGGCAGCAGGCCACGACGCGGGTCCGACGGGCCCTTTGGCGGAATGAACCGCACGGTGGCCAATGTGCGGGCGCCTTTGCCGCAGACGGAAAGCAGCAGCAGCAAGGCCGACTCGTATCGGACCAAAGACCGGGGTGGCGACAAGGGGAAGCGATCGTTCAAGGCGCTGCGGATGCAGCAGTCGCTGGCCACGATCGGCTACGGGCAGCGGGCGCACATCAAGACGCGGATGCAGGAGGTGGAGGAGTTTGAGCAGTTCAACCTGCTGCCGTCTATCCAGACGGCCGTGACGTCGGACGCGCTGAAGGGCATGATCGACGTGAAGCCGACGCCGATCCAGCGGCTAGCGATCCCAGCCCTGCTGGGCCAGACGACAGACCGACGGCAGTCGCGCCAGCTGGCTGCGGGCGAGCGGCGTGACTTTCTTCTAGCGGCCGAGACGGGCTCGGGCAAGACACTCGCCTACCTGCTGCCGGTGATCGACGCGCTAAAGCGAGCAGAGGCTGCAGACGCCGACATTGCGGCGTACCAGCAACGAGTAGCCGAGGAGAAGGCGTGGCGCGACGATCCACAGCACCGCGGGGCGCCGTCCGAGCTGGAGCCACATCCGACGACGGCGCGGCCACGCGTGGTGATCCTGGTCCCGTCGGCCGAGCTGGTCAGCCAGGTCGGGGCCGTGGCCAAGGCGTTGTCGCATGCGGTCAAGTTCCGGACGGATCTGCTGTCGGCCAACGTGGCGCCCCGGATCATGGAACGCAACCTGTTCTCGCCAGCGGGCATCGACGTGGTCGTGGCCACGCCGCTGCTGCTCGCGACCATTGCTGAGTCGGATCCGAACGTGCTCTCGCGCGTGACGCATCTGGTCGTCGACGAGGCTGACTCGCTGCTGGACCGCAGCTTCTCGCCCGCCACCACGGCCATCATCGATCGCGCCCGGCCGTCGCTGCGACAGCTGATCCTCTGCTCGGCCACGATTCCTCGTCGCCTCGACAGCCTGCTGGCCGCTCAGTTTCCCCATATGCAGCGCATCACGACGCCCAACCTGCACGCGATCCCGCGCCGCGTCCAGCTGGGCGTCATCGACGTGTCTCGCGAGCCGTACCGGAACAACAAGAACCTGGCCTGTGCCGACGCCATCTGGTCCATCGGCAAGGAGGCCGAACGCCACGACGTCCACGGCCTCGCCGACAAGGACGAGACCGATGTTCGCCGCATCATGGTCTTTGTCAACGAGCGCGACAAGACCCAGGAGGTCGCCGACTATCTGCGGGCCAAGGGCATCGATGCCGTCGCCCTGCACCGAGACGCCGCCGAAAGCCGCCACTCCGACATGCTGGCCGCCTTCACGTCGACTGAGCCACGCAAACCCCGTGCTGCCACGGTCGAAGAGCCTGCTCGCGTCGTTGCTGGTCGCTCGCTGCCCAACACCAAGGTCATCGTCGCCACAGACCTCGCCTCGCGCGGCATCGATACCCTGGCCGTGCGCCACGTCGTCCTCTACGACGTCCCGCATACCACCATCGACTTTATTCACCGCCTCGGGCGCGCTGGCCGTATGGGCCGCCGTGGTCGTGGCATCGTGCTCGTCGGCAAGGAGGATCGCCGGGACATCGTGGCTGAGGTGCGCGAGAGCATGTACATGGGCCAGGCACTTGTATGATCTCTTTCGAGCTTTTTACTCTTCTCTGTCGTCAGTAGACGAAGCGAATAATAATAGCATCTCCAGGCGTTTATGACGTTCATCTTGTTGTGCTCCGCTTCTCGGTGATAACTGCTGTCTCCGTGCTAGTAACCATATCCATTGGTTCTGTTTACTTCTTTCCATCTGCCCTGACTAGCTGTAAAGCTTCTTACACTCCGGTGCCGAAGCGCATAACGGAATTAGTGGCAATTTAACCCCGTCGTATAAGCCAAAGTTTTCCGTTGACATTCAACTCAGCGTAGACTATAAGTTTGTGTCCCGCTTGCTAAGACGGTTGAGCCCAAGATAATTGAACATTGACATCTTCGGTTCTTCTTTCCTTGCAATCGACCATTCGCTTCTCCTATCTTCGCAATGGCAAGTCCAGCCTGCTGTCAACGCCCTCCTGTCACGGTCGAGTACAAGACCCAGGGCCGCTGGGATGAATTTGCAGGACTGAAGACATGTGCGGCCTTCCATAATATCCTGTCTGATCGTGTCCTTTTTTAGCCGCTGACGTGTCCGGCAGACATTGTTGGTCCCGAGAACGCCACCAAGGCCGTCATTGACATCTATGACGTCTTTGGCATGTGGCCCCAGACCCTGCAGGGCGCTGACCTCATCTCGGCCCTGACGGGCGCCCTGGTCATCGTGCCAGACTTCTTCGAGGGCTCGGCCGCTGGAATCGATTGGATCCCGGCCGACACTCCGGAGAAGCAGAAGCTGGTCGGCGAGTTCATCCAGACCAAGGCTAGCTTTGACAAGAACGTGCCCGCCCTGATGCGCGTCCGCAAGGCTCTTTCTGGCCGGTACCCTGCCGTGGACGACCACATCGGCGTCTTTGGCCTGTGCTGGGGTGGCAAGGTCGGCGTCCTGGCATCGGGTGCCGACAACGAGGGTCCAGGCCGGCGCTTCAACGTCTGCGGAACGGCACATCCTGGGTACGGCATTCTTTCTCTTCTTTCTCCTGAGATCGACCGCTAACCTGCATGATACAGACGTCTTGATATCAAGGATGGCGAGTCTCTCACCGCTCCATACATCTTGCTGGCGTCCAAGGACGAGCCGGCCGAGGTCGTCGAGGAGTACAGGACCCTGCTATCACAGCCTGGAAAGATCGGCGAGGTCGAGACGTATCCCGATATGCACCATGGCTGGATGGGTGCAAGGGCTGATTTGGCAAACGCCAGCAACGTGAAGGAGTACACGCGTGGTTATGAGCAGATTGCAGCCTTTTTTAAGAAGCATCTCTAAAAGAGGTGAAAGAGGAGGGTAATCGTTGAAGCTATCATGCCAAATACTGTGCGCGGACGGACTGATTTTGACACGCACGAGAACTGATGATGAGCACGATACTTTCTGAGAACTGTCACACCAGAGAGAAAAGAACTTTCAGGGGTTTAGAACCTCTAATATAAGCTGCAACAAATACAATGAATTGCAACGTGCTTGAATCCAGGTTACAGAATAGTATGAACACTTCTGAATCTTCGGCAATCTTACGAGAAGTCGCTCCTTTCAAGAGTTTGAACGAACTCGCCAATCTGGTCTGGAAGCTGTAGGGAGTTTTCGTATTTTAGTGGGGCATCTTGGCTGGTAGCTTTATCGATAAGAACCTTTGACAGAATTGTGATCTCCGTCACCCGTCAAAATTTAGGACTAACCTCCGTATGCGCTGTCTTTTAACGGGTTTAATTGTCTGCCACCCATACATTTCTGCTCATTCTACCCTTCATAGCAAATACCGATTATTTGCACTTGGTTCTTATTCAGGTTTCCTGTCCGCAATTTGTCGCCATGTCTCTGCCTCCACAGCTGATCCACGTTAAGAGAAAGCGGACCGAAGAGGGTCCTGTGCCCTCGTTTCTTCGTAAGTCTTTCCTCGTATTCTCCGTAGACAAAGCCTAACGCGCGGCCAGGAATCGAACAGACAACGAAGCGCCACCGTCGTGATGCCTTCCTGTACCGACGCCACGATCCGGTAGAAGCGGCCGCCCGGGCTGCCAGAGCCGCAGCAGCCGAATCCGAATCCGGCACTGCTGCAGGACGACCACCTGTGATTCAGACCAGCCCGAGTGCTGGAAAGAAGAGGAAGAAGGCGGACGAAGCCAGTATTGCCAGTATCATTGCCCCCCAGAAAGAGGAGAACGAGGCGGGCGACGTTCCGGTGGCCACCCTATCTGTAGAGCCGCGCCGGTTTCACCTGTCACGAGAGACGCTGCTAGGCTCCAAAGCTGGAGGAGGTTCAGCACCGCCTCTGGGCGTATCTGGAATTGCTGGGATCCGCAAGAGTACGCGCTACAGGGGCAGATCGTCATCGACAGTGGATTCGGTGGTGTTCATCGAGCGAAGCAAGCGACGACACAGGATAGGTGCTTCTCGTGGGAGCATCAGCAGCAGGACAGAGAATGTGGCAGGAAGTGGCCAGCCGGCCAGCGGCGGTATGTCGCCAGCTGTGATGGTGGAGGCGCCGTCTCCGGTCCGAGCGTCGACGTCTACATCTTCTGCACCGTTTGTTTCGCGTCTCCCCAAGCGGCCCAGCTGGCGGGGGCCGCTCCGGTCTGCCAGCGAAGCGTCTGCCGGGGCGTCAACGTCTCCGGCTGGGGAGGTTGCTGACGAGGTTGCTCCCGGTTCCAGCGACAAGGCCCCAGCGCTGCCACAGACGGTCTCGAACCGGCAGTGGGACACGGACATGGACCGGCTGACGCAGGAGATGAACAACTACACGCTGGAGATCATCGGGCGCAACCTGGCACGGATGGACCAGGAGGCCAAGACGGCAGAGACGCGACGGGAAGCAGCAAAGAAAAGGACGGAGACGTCGGAGATGGTGGCGGTGATCGCTGCGGAGAAGAGGAAGGCTGCGTACGCCAAGTACAAGCCCAAGCCGGTTCCGCGTTATGCTGAGCGTCAGGCGCTTGCCCAGGACGGCGCCGACAAGGCAGAGGGCGAGGACGAGGACGGGACAGCCTCAAACAGCGACAACGGCAGCGAAACCGACGACGACGATGACTACGTCACCGAGACATATGTGCGCGTTCCTGGCCACGAGGTGAAACAGACCGGCGACGCAGAGCCGGGCAGTGTCGGCCTGCTCGTCTTCGACAACGAGCCGGACATTGAAGTCTTTTACGGGGCGGAAGAAGAGAGCTCGGACGAGTTTGACGACGACGAAGATGAAAACGGTAGGCGTCTCCGATGCGCGGCCGCACGGCCAAAAAGAAAGCCGCATTGCTTACAGTCCTGTCTTGACAGCCGAGAACTACTACACGCACGACTACCCCGAAGACGAGGTGGCGTCGGACGACGAATTCGACCGGGATGCGTACCACTACCTGACGGGCAATGCCTCCGATCTGGAGGAGTTTGAGGAATCCGGCGACGAGGAGACGGACAAGGGCTTCAAAGGCAGCGTCGAGAAGCTCTTCCCAGGCGCTCGGTTCCCTGGTGTTGACGGCATCTGAGCTGTACGTCATCCGAGTATACTGCTACCTCGTCAGTTTGGCCAAGCCTGGGTATGCTACGGAAAGTAGATAATGGGCCTTTGTCTCTATTTGATATCTGCTACTCCAATTCGAACAGCTGTCTCCAGCCGTCACAGAAAATGTGCTGACATAAGTGAGACACATGTGCGATAAGATAAAAGCCGAGGCACATTCACCCCATAGTGTTATGATGAAGATCATGTTCCATCGAAGAGCGGTGAGCTCTATTCCTGCGCGACATATGCAACATCCTGCTCATTCCGAGACATGCCGCTGGAGGTCATCTACGTTGTGAGGCATGGGGTGAGTTTCAGAAGAAGGACACGGCTTGAAGCAGGGCCGCGGTATTGACTGGTCAAACAGTTCCGGTCCAATTGGCTGGTGGACCCTTCCACAGGCGACTACAAGGCATATGTGCGGTCGCCGACCGGCATTGCAGCAGATCCAGCGCTGACGTCGCACGGCGTCGACCAGGCGCGCGAGCTGGCAGCGCATCTGGCCGCCACGTCAACCGATGGAGCATTGCATGGAGCTGCCGGTGATGATGATGTTGCTGCTGGAATGGGGGGCCGTCCTGCTGCTCTGCCGGTGGAGCGCATCTATTGCAGTCCGTACTACCGGTGTCTGCAGACGATCCAGCCGTTTGTCCAGGCGATGGCCGCGCGAGAAAGGGAGACAGCCAAGACGACAGCCGAGCGTACGGCCGACAGCAGCAACACGCACAAGCCTCCCTGGTGGGCCGTCCGCTGCGAGCCCGGCCTGGTCGACTGGTTTGGCCCGGCACCGTTTGAGCACCCGCAGCCGGCCCCGGTGTCGGTGCTGCAGAGCCGGTTTTTTCCCTGGATCGACGTGTCGGCATCGGCGTCATCCAGCGTCGTGCCGCCACGCCACGGCGAGACCATGGCCCAGCTGCATGCCCGCGTGGCCGCCTGTCTGGACCACATCGTGCGGCAGTGCGACGCGGACGGCGTGCGGACCGTGCTGCTGTGCTCACATGCGGCGCCGATCATCGCGCTCGGCCGCGTGCTCACGGGCCGGCTGCCCGACGACGTGGCCGTCGAGGACTTTGGCGTCTTCACCTGCGGCCTCAGCCTCTTCCGGCGCCGGCACCAACGGCAGCAGCAGCTGCGATCAGACGACACAGACACGTGCAACACTGAACAGCACAGACAGGAGGCGAAGGGGCCTGTGCCCTGGGACGACCGCCAGCACACGCTGGCAGGCCAGGCCTGGACTCACGGACGCGGCATCGCTGGCGGCTGGGACTGTGAGGTCAACTGTGACTGCAGCTTCTTGAGCGGAGGCGAGGAACGAGGATGGTACGTAGGCTTCTCTAAACCCCCTGCCTTTTGGTTTCTTTTTTTTTCTTTTTTTTTGCTGCTGCTTTGACTTCGTCTTTGTCTGGTCCCATACTCCGTATTCTCACCTTCTTTCCCACTACCTGCACAATCGCTCGGCTACTCTTGTTGCGTTCTCTCCTGTCCTCTCAGGCGCTCGCCTATTCAGACAGCGGCTCCCTCAGCCCCTTTTTCCTGCGTGTCTCTGTTCGGTCGCCCCATCTCCCAATGCAAATACGTGCTCTGTTTCTCTCTCCCGTCACAGTGCTTCATACTCCGTATGCATTGCACGGATTACCCGGGGGGAGGCGGTACCTGCGTCCGATGTCAGACACGCAGGTGGCTGATGATGACGGATTTGCGGCTTACACCAGTACAGGCGATTCAGTGGTGATGATGAGGCTTATGACGGAGTGGGACGGCAGGGGACCCCCGTTCTAGATGCCGGACTTGAACTTGGTGCTGTGGTGCAGGGACGCCAATCGGACAGCACTGCTGATCCGCATTCAGCCCAGCCGGAGCCACGAGCAAGCAGGGTTGACCATGGCGATGGAAGCGGAGGGGAAGGACGAGGAGGAGGAGGGGGAGGAGAGCGCGGCCGGGGCAGTGCAAAACCCCGGCTATAATGTGCAGAGCTGAAGAGGCTGCATGACGGAGATGCACGATATGCATATGCGAACAGGGGAAATGCACACGACAGAGTGATGGCATTGCTTTCATTACGTGTTACAATCTCTGTTCGTCCGCTTAGCTCCCTCGTCCGTCTCCTTATTTGTGCTTTCTTTTCTCGTCTACTAGGAGGCATTATGCTGTCTGTGCATGCATTTGTGAGACAACGTGTATGCACGGGTCAGGGCGTCTCTGAGGACCACTCTCAATACGGAGTCTGTTGTGGCACTCATCCCGACAGGCCAATCAATCTTCAACATTACCACTGTCCTGCATGGTGTCCGGGCTCGTCTTCCTGTTTCGCCCCTGCTCTTACTATGTACGACTAGCAGAGAGAAGGGCAGGGTGTCCATAAGCAAGGGGAGATTGGGGACTGTCATGCTTTCGTCGCTGCCTCTCTTCCTGGTGGACGGAAGCCACAAAGGGAACTTTCACCTACGCTGTTAGCCGGGTCTGATGCAAGGGATCCTCGGTTGTGCTGTATCCCGCCATTCTATACACATCTTTCACGGCTATCGACATGCACGCTTTTGGTGAAGAACAGCCCTCCCTTGCTTTCCCTTTGTCGGAAACCCTTCACTGACAGGAGAAAACGGTGCGGTGTTTGCTTTTGCAGCGGGCGAGACGTGCTTCCTTGTCATGCTGAGTCTGAGAAGCTGCGACGATCGGAGCAGAGCTCTGTTGCGTCTCCCCGATCGGTAGGAAGATTGGCCGCCGACTAGATCGATGAGCACAAGCGCTACCACCCCATAGCACATCTTGCCTTGTTGACACTAGGCTCTCGGACCTGAAAGATTACCAGCGATTACGACAGACTTGGGGCGAGCGGACGAGCTGCAAGGTTGGCCCCAGGGTGCGATGGTGACAAAGGAGAGGAGCAGTGCATAGACCGCGTTACCGGACGGTTCCGCCTGCACCTCCTCCCTGCATTCTTCTCCCGGCTGTCAGTCAGCACGAGCGGTCTCAACGAAAAATGTCTGCACGCTAATCGTGTGGCGCCTTTCGCTTTCTTTTCATTCCCGTCTTCTACTTCTCCTCTGTCTGGGCGTACGGGGGTAGGAGGAGCGCTGGTGGAGGCAAAGTCACGGACTGTTGTTTCTCTGCGGGCGCAGAAATGCCCCACAGATCGAAGGTTCTCCATGCAAGCGACGTGCCATAGTACTGCCGGCTCGTTTCCTAGTATGCACGCCTTTTTTTTTCTCGCTTTCTTTTTTTCCAACCCTCACGCCTCCTGGGTGCCTATGGGAGCTGAACGCCCACAGCACGGGTGAGACGGCCTATACTCGGGCTGGGAAGGATCTGCGGACGGCCAGTCAACGGCGCCCCTCACCTGCGCCAGTATGCGCCGGTCCAGCGAGCCAGCGAGCCAGCCCCGTTGCTCGAAATAGACAAGCCTGGCGATCAGAACACTGGTGGCTCACCTGGAGGCGCGTACGGATGTGACTGATCAGATCAAATAGCATCCTATGCAATGGTCCACAGGCATGCTGTAGCTCTGACTGACTCGTCGTGAAAGCCATGAACAATGGGGCGGCTGAGATGCTCGCACGTCCGGTAGCTGACCGAGCGCTGACAGGGCGCACTTGCTCGGGCATCCAATCAACGGCAAGATGCTGCCTGTGAGGGAGCTGCAGCTGGCTCGGTACAGATACATAACACGCACAAGCGATGCTGCTGTGAACTTTATTTTGCGTAGAGATACACAGGGAGCACTAACACGTAGGCCACATAACCTGATTGGTGGACATTTCCCAGCGGTCTGGAAGTTGTGGATCCGCTATTGCGGGAGCTTCCCTATTGGCCAGCCACTGGAATGGCGCACTCTCACCATCAGCGTATCATCCCTCTGTCTCTGCATTCTCGCACACGGTCTGCGACACCGAAAAGTGATGCAAAGGTCGAGGACTTGCAGGAATACTTGCACATTGTGTGTCGGCCGCCCCAAGACCGCCTCTGCTAGTCTTGGCGTCTGTCACTTATCATCTCCTGTTTTGGCTTGTGTTTCGCGAGAGGCTTAGAGTCCGGCAGTACGGCTGAGGTGCAGTAGCATTTGGCCGTAGCGTGAAGCACGGAGAACGTAGCCGTACTCCGTAACCCGGATTCTTCATTGTTTTGGAACCACGGATTAACTACAACTAGCAGAGGCACCGAATGCAACATTACGACACGACCATGTTACCGACGAATTTCTGTGCATGGGCCAGCAGCCAATAGAGCATGCCTGTACGTAGTAGTGCGTAATGCCAGGGTAGGAGTGGTCGATAGCAGTGGTAAAAGAGAAAGCTGGTCTAAATTTCTCTTCAGCTCATTTCGTTAATGCTGGGGTTTGAGACGGGCAGCCTCTACTCCACCTCTACTCGGTTGATCCGGTGAGAGCGATAGCCGGGGGTATGTAAGCTAAGAGAAATGCGAGTACGTACCACGGAGTATGTAGTCCAAGGAAGGTAGGGGTAAGGAGGGGATCTAGTACTATGTACTATGTACGGAGTATTGCGGAGCACTCCGTATGTTCGTGCAGAGCCGGCCGTTGTGTTTATGCATGCTGCGAAGCACAAGTGCCCCAAGGACCTCAGCAAGTACTCGTACTCGTGCAGCAGTGAGGTATGTATCTTAGTACTCCGTACATGCATCGCACAGTGGCGGGACGAGGGAGAGATCCTAGCAAACAAGGTAAGCTTTGGTGATAGCAGAAGACGCTAGGAGGAATGCTAAGCCCAGAAAGATTAGCATATGTGGAGAAGGGTACTTGACTACGGACCGGTCCCGCCGTACTTGTAGCTGATGTTGTGGCACACGCTGACCTGAGTGGCCAGCTGCTCGGGCAGGCTAGCAGGTTCCCAATCTCCAGCAGCAAGGGAGAGAGGGGGTGTTGGGGGACCGGCCGTGTAAAAACCGGGTGAAGACGCCTCTGTGATGGAAGTTGGATGCCTCATCTTTCCCTTTGTCTCTCTTCCTGGCGGGACAATGCACTTATTGGGCAGGTCGTACATGGTGCTGCAGCCCGTCCCAAGCCACGATCTGCGGCATGCAAGTGAGATAACGGCCGGACATGCATCTTGTGGCACACATCCTATGGAAAGAGGCGCACGAGAGCAGGATGTGTTGGGGCCTGGACCCGAGGAAAGGTTGGTTCTGCCCCGGTCCCTGTAGAGCGCAAATCGGGTAGACGCTAGCAGGCTGGACCAGGTTCTGGCTCTATACATACTCCGTAGGACTCCGTAAGTAGGCTGACAAGCTAGCCGGAGTGGGCGATGGCGCGTTGCCCCGGAGGCAGGCCAGAGACTTCCGACGATGCTAAAACATTCAAAAACCTGCATGGAGCAGCTGGTGTGCGAGCTTGCGTGCGTCCGCGTACATACACCGTCACGACTGGTCCGCAGAACTTCCGCAGGCATGGCATTTCACGTACTGCGGTGTGCCGTGTCCCCTGGTTCTTCATAGACTGGCCAGCAGGCGGGATGCAACGACAGGACCGACGGAAGGTAGACGGGTAAAAAGGGACCAGACGGACAGGCGGCTGTAACAGGTGCTTGGGATGATATCGTACCATACGAGATACGAGACAGATTGACAGCGGCGAGCGAGAGCTGACATGTGACAAGTGACAAGAGGCCCGAGAGAGGAGCGGCGAGCTGCGCCGCCGTCTACCCGACGGCAGGTCAGATCTTGATAAGCCGGCAGGCCTGGAACACCATGGTGGCTGCAGCGTGCAAGTTTGCTCATGCGGGTGGGTGCGGGCACGGACTCTCTCGGCTTTGCTCCCCGGCTTGGAGGTCGGCGATCACACGCATCTGGCGATTTGGCGATTTGGAATTGGTGGCAGCTGGTTGTGGCAGCGGTCTGTCCATATGAGCATCCAGGTCAATCTGTCCATGTGGTCTGCTCTTGTCCGATCTTGAGGTCGGACTGTCGTCTGAATTGACTCGTCCGTTCCAGCAGACAAAGCCAGTAGACATATGTAGAATGATGCACGGCAGACAAACAGCAGACGGCAAGCGAGTATAGACACACTCGCACACATTCGCCTACTCTCCCCATGACGTACGCTGAAACAAACCCTGCCCTTGCATCACCGCCGAGCAAACATCCCCTCCAGCCACTATCCAGCAGCACTACCGCCAGCTAGGCCGTTAGGCTGTTCCTAGCCCGTTCCTACCCATCAGGCCAACAAGTCCAGGCACCAGATCCATCTTTGCAGCGGCCGACGCCGCAATCCCATTGGCCCGCCCGCTCCAGCTCGCTCCTTCCTTCTGCTCGTCCTCCACTTCTCCATCTGCACTCGACCTGTCTCTTTTGGCCTCTCTGCATTTTCCCGTCCTCTCTCGCCGCCTCGCTTTTCCGACCATCGGCTTCACCTTTCCTGCCAGGCTCGGCCGGTCTCCTTCGCTTCCCCCTTTCTCCTGCCCTCCCCCCATCACCTCAGACAGACCTATATCGTCTTGTCCGTTGCCCCCCACACACGAGCCGGCATCTCCACCTCCGACCGTGCAGCTGTGCCTAGCATCTTGCCAATGGCCACCTGCATTGGACTTTGCCTCTCCGGCAGCCTCTTCTCCACTCCGTGGCGTGCATGATGACTACTCGTATACTATGTACGAAGAGGCACACCCTCGGCTCTGACACGCGTTAGCATCCCACCTGCACGAGAGAGCAACTCCCACTCGACATTACCCAACAATGCGGCAAATTCCCATTCCCATTTCCCACCCTTAAATTCCCACCCCCTGGACCGTATGGCAGCCCTGGGGGACCCATCATATCTGCAAGATCGCTACAACTCAATATCCTGGTACCGGACTAATAGGGGGCCACTCCCAATGACGCGTGCGCAGCCAACGAGGATCACGCAAGACCTGTGTAATGTCCCCAAACCTGCGACAGCGTGGAGGCCTGTCGGGAGATGACAAGAAAGCACATCGGAAGAAGCAATCTGGGAGAGAGAACGACAAAAAAAGAAAAAGGATATTTAAAAAAGATGAGGGAAAAAAGGGAAAAAAGGGAAAAAAGACAAGATGCAAAAGAAAGAAAAAAACAGGGCACACTCGACTGTCCCACCGGACGCCGCTTTCTTTCTCTTCCCAAATCACAGCACAACTAGGCTGTCTGTCCACTGTGAGACAAGATAGAGACAAATCAGAGGACGAGCGGAGGGAGGGGCCCAGACAGACACTGAAGGTGGCAACAGCCATAAGGCTGGGCTCGCCAATGGCCCGTCCCTGGCTGGTTTGGCTCCTCTGTTCCGGCCGGACTGCAGGCCCTCGCAACCCCAGATAGAGGCCGTGGACTCAGACTCTGACGCTCAATCCGTCGTCAAGCTGCCCATGCCCATTGGCGTGCCGTTTTATTGCTTCGTGTTGCTGCTCCGTGGCGTCTTTTCATCTTCCGCATGCTTTTTTGTTCTTTTTTTTCCTTTCTCTCGAATTCTCGCGACCTCGTCCTTCGTCCGTTCTCCCTCTTACTTTGCTCTGTCCCCGTACCCACCCATTCTCATTCTGTCAACCGCCCCTGCAGATGCCTATACTTTACGCTCTTCTTTCCATTTGTCCTAACATCGGGCAATTATATCGCCAGACTTGCTCGCCGAAAAGAATGAAAAATACGGAGTACGCCCCTCTCTAATCCCCCCCCCCTTAGCTTCTCGCTTTTTTTAGTCTGCCTGTCGATCTCCATCCGATCCGCCCCTGCTTGCCTGACTCCCTCTACTTCGACCCCCGGCTCGTTTTGTGAGCTACGACCACAGGGACCCATTCCTTACGTGCACACCATGCTTTCGTGCTCTTGATGTACCGCTCTTCCTGGTGGCTACTCGTCTCGCCCGTCTCGTTCCTGGCGAGTCCACATCGTCTTGTCTGCAATTTATATTCTTCAGGTCCGCCTCTCCCTTTGCTCCCCCTCTTCTCTCCATCGCTTGTCTTCCTGTCTCTCATGGTTGTTTTGGTTTTGTTTTTCCCCCTTTGCTTTCCTCTCTGAATCATCATCTGTCTGCTCTTGTCTTTTGCACGCCATTGTTCTCCCTTGGGGTTTCTACACTCCACTTTCCACGTTGCTGAAAGAAAGATTAACGTGCTTTGACGTCAAACGTGCCTTCGCGGTGTTCTTTCCTTCCTCTCTCCGTGGACTTCGTTCCAGTCCGGTTACAGTCCTGTCCTAGTTCACCATACCTGTTACTCAGTTCCAGAGTTGGCTGGCCTCATCCCTTGATAACGGTCTTGCTATTGTTGTTATTTCTGCCGCTATCATTCCTTTCATACTGCCTCGCGCAATTCTCGCATTCCAGCAATGGCTATGAAGACCACCGTTGCTGATGGCGTCCGCCGCAGCCTCCGACGACGTCACAAGATGCAGATGCTCAGTACCCTGAAGATGCGCAAGCCCAAGTCAGCCACCATCCTGGCCGCAGCCAGGAAGGCAAAGAACGAGCGCCGCCAGGCCACTAAGAAGCAACAACAACAGCAGCACGAAGGTGCAGGTGCCTTTGGCTGCTTTGCTGCCTCACCCGGCTCAACCACGTCGACGTGTGAACATCCCAAGACGCCAATGGCCGATATACATGCGCAGACACTCTCCCTTCCGCAAGCTGGCAACACAGACGGTCAGCATTACATCTTCGGCCGCTACTTCGACGAGAACGATCGGTCAGCTGCCGATATCCTGGCCACCCTTTACTACAGCGGTGTCCTGGATGGCAAGTCGCCGGCATCATCATGTCCCGGCATTCGGGGCGTATCTGGCTCTCCTCCCTTGTCTCCTCGGTCTGCTCTCGCCATCAGTGAGTAGCCACACGCCTCTTTCTCTTACATACCTTCCTTCTTAGTCCTAACACAATCAGGCGGAGACAGCGTCAAGGTCTGCGATGTGGCTCTGCCTAGCATGCGGCAGACGAGCATCATGCTGAAGAACTGGCACGCGGAGTCCCAGAAGACCCGCGGCATCAGCACGGTGGATATCGTCCACGACGATAACACGGACGATATTGGTAGTATGGACGTCGATCCCGACATGGACGGCGAGGCCGACTCAACCTACCCATCGACGCCAGAGCTGTCGTCTGGTGGCAGCAGCGCGCGTTCCTCCTTCTCGACGGAGCCCGCCTCCGGCCACTGGAATTCCCTGTTCAAGGTCTCCGATGCCTCCAAGACCTGCAAGACCCCGTTTCCCATGTCTCCTTACTCGCTCGTCTCGCGCGGTATCTCTCCCGCGTCGCTGCCTCCTCCGGCATACACGGCTGCCGAGCTGAATACAGCCAGCGAGCAGAAGACAGCCCCGACTTCCTCAACTGTCACCACTGCTTCTCCCTACAGCGTCCTGCAAAAACAACCCTTCTCCACCTATGAGCCAAGCTACTTCTCCTCGGAGACCCGCTCTTCCACGGCTGATCGCGGCATGCCATCTCCGCCTCAGTCTCCCACCTACTCCGGCCGGAGAACCGAATACTGCTTCCGCACTGGCCATGTTGCCTCGCCGCCACCCACCTATGAGGCGGCCATGCAACAGCAGAAACAGCAACAGCAACAGCAAACCACCCCTTCTTTTCAGCAGACTTCTGTCCAGCAGCCCCCCTTCCAACAGTATCAATTTCAAAATTACCACCAGCAACAACAACAACACCTTCCATCGCCTCATGATGCTTTTGCTGCTTCCGCCTCGACTTCAACCCTCCGTCCGACCGACAACATTGCCACGACCGTTGTGACACTCCCCTCTGCCGGGTTTTCCCGAGGGCCTCCGACGCCTATATCGCCTTTGGCTGGCCCCCACAATCTCTACAACACGCACAGCCACCAAACCCTTCCGGCAGCGGCAACGTTGATGGCACCGACAATGGGCGCAACGCCTGGTGCCGACAGCAGCAAAAAGGAGCGGCAGCTCAGCCGTACAGGCGGGCTATCTGGAAGGAAGTCTGGCGACACATCGGTGCCGCGGCCACATTGCAACGTCAAGTACGAGACGGCTGAGCTAGACTTTATCATGTACCAGCGCTGCACCAAGAACAGGGCTTGGGATGATGTGACGGCCTCGTTCAACGCTGCTCTGCCGCGCCTGCGCCAGTATGCTGAAATGGACTACCTGCGGATGAGCGGGGCCAACGGTGTCATGGGCAACCCAGTTGGCACGCCCGATGCCAAAGCTGTCATGGACCGCTACCGGCCGCGCCCAGAACGCACGACGCCAGGCCTGCAGGCATCTTACTATCGCCAGAGACTGGCTCTGCCGCTGCTCGACGAGGCTGGCCGTCTTGTCTTTGACAAACAGACCGGTAAGCAGATCTTCACCGAGGTCATGGTGCGTGACGACAAAAGCCGCAAGAAGATGCGGCGTCTGAACAACGGCGTTGGAGTGGCTGGAAGCAATGCCGGCAGCAGCAGTGTTTCCGCTTCTCACACAGCTGGAAAGGACGATGCTCGCGTCCATTTGGTACTCTACTTCCCCGAGCGTGTGGCCCACTACGACTACTGGTTCGTCACGGCCGAGGACAAGGCCCTTGCCCGGCAGCGAGGTAAGCCTTTCATCTACACATCCATCTCTTGTCATCCTGAATTACCATACTGACCAATATCGCCAGCCTATGACCGCAATATGCAGCGTGCCCAGCGCGGCCTTGCTGCCTGGCACCCTGGCAGCGATGACCCGGAGACGGGCATCCTCATCCGCAACAAGGAGTAGCTGAAACCCAGCGAAGAGGCGAAATGACGAATACGAAAAGCTCCCCTGGGAGATGGAAAGGAAATGGAAAACTAACACACGAAACCAGCAACAAAAAAGCCGAAAATCCTCTTTAAAAACATATATACGCTGGCTTGATAAGCAGCGTTGAAATCAACATACTGTACCAAAATCGCGCCATTTTCCTTTACAGTATTATTCCCCATGTCGAACTGCTTTCTCAGCTGGCGGAAAAAGCTCTGCTGCCTCTCCTACGAGCCTCATTTCCTTGTCGTCTGGGCCAACAGGACAGACTACCAACAAAGCGGACTGCCTTTATTGACGTTTTTTTTTTGCTGTGTTTGCCGGGGTTTGATCGGTGTTTAAACAAACTGAATGTGTATTATGGGAGCGGGTAACTGTTTTTTATCGCTTTATTGGAAAGAGCGCACGAGAAGGAAAGATTTAATGTACGATATCTTCGCTGTTATGGAGGAAATGCTCAGTCACGCTATTGATTTTGATTTTGGGTATTTCATCAGCCTTGATAAGTCCTTTGTGTAGGTGGTCTCGCTGACTTTTGCAGTCTTTACAACATAGCACTCGTGATTTCGGCGTCCTGACCCCCTTGTCCTAGAGGCTTGCCTGTATGCATATGCACCCGGGGACCCTTGTTCGACAAGGCTGAATCCTTCCCCTTTCTTACCTATATATGTTACATACGCAAAGGCCTAAGACTCGATGCTACCACATGATAATAAAACCCATACCGGAAGAAAAACAAGCACGAGATAGTTTCTCCATCGGAGAGTCTTGGGGGTATCTGTCAGAAGAAAAACATAACTGAGATCAAAGAAAGGCCAAAAATGAAACGGAAATGCCTCCGCGAAAGATGCTAACCAACCATCTCTCTCTTTTTTTGGTGCCTCCCGGGCCTCCATTTTCCATGTGTGTCCGACCACTCGGCTCTCGGCCCTCATCCTTGATTCTTCGTCTCCGGTCCCTCAGTCCTTCTGGCACCACGGATGATCCAACACTTGGACAATGGAGTACCGCTGAGCCACATCGCGGTCTAGCATGTGGCGAATCAGGTCGATGCTGTCGTCGCTGATTGTGTACGGCACCCGCAGATCCCGGTCCATGATCTCGTCGATGCTGTAGAAAGGGTTCTCTTTGTAGATGATCGTGTACAGCAGGATCCCCAGCGCCCATACGTCCTGTTCCTTGCCACCGTACGGACGGCCAGCAAGCACTTCAGGAGCGGCATAGTCTGATCAGTCAGCAAAGGAATATGGATATATCAGTACTGATTGGCAAACTCACCGATTGTCCCCACAAAGACGTCAAACGGCCCGCTCTTGATATAGGCCGCGCTACCAAAGTCAATCAGCCGAATGTGGCCGTCTCCGTCCAAGACCACGTTCTCGTCCTTGATGTCCCGGTGCACCACCATCGCCTTTGTGTGCAGGTGGTGGATCGCCTGGGCCACCTGCACAAAGATGCACTGGCACTCTGATTCCTCCATGTTGCGCCGCAGCTCAATGTAGTCGAACAAGTCCATGCCTGGCAGCCCGTGGGGCACCATCTCGATGTAGTAGTTCACATCGTCCTCGAAAAAATCCTCCATCTCCACGATGTTGGGATGCTGCAGCCCGTCTCGTCGCAGGTAGTCGAGCACGTGGATCTCCAGCGGTACTGTGCCCAGCCGCCGGTCACGTGTCCAGGTATCCACCAGGATGCGCCGCTTTGTCACGTACTTGATAATCACCTTCTTGCCTGTCGACTTGTATCTGGCCAGCTTCACCTGACCATACGCGCCCTGCCCCATCTCCTCGACAATAGTAAAGTCGTCAATCGTCTTCTTGTGCTCTGACCCTGTCGATCCGGGGCCCGTGGTCGCGGTTGTCATTGTGGTCGCCATCGCAGAAGCGGATGCAGTGGGCACAATTGTTGCCGTGCTGGCGGATGACTGGCTGGTTGCCGTCTTTGTCTTCGCCGTCGCGCCTGGCAAAGGCAAAGCTGGCATCGACCCTGCTGCTGCCGCCACCACCGTAGCCTTCGGTGTCGCACCCTGCACCGACATCTGTGATAGGATCGACGGCATCGTGCCTGGCTGGTCGCCTTCCCGGGCCGTTTTCATCGCCACATCCTCCAGTTGGCGAGTCAGCGCCTGCGCCACTGATTTTTGCTCGCCAAAGCTCCGCGGTGACATCTGCAGGCGTCGGTCAATCGTCGTCTGGGGTGACATCATTTCGGTCGGTGAGTGGTTCGGCGTTTGTCCAGGCGATGGCTGATGCAACGGAGTGGCAAAGCCCGACAACAACGGCGAGGCGATGCCCAGGTTCTGCCGCGTCGCATGCAGGTGTCGCGAGTACGTGATCCATAGGGCGTACACCATCTCTGACTGAGACACTGTGAATGAGGTTTGGGCGGAATCGCCGGTAAGGGAGGACGACGCGGTTGTAGACTCGTCTTCCTCGTTTTCTTCATCTTCCTCCACCACCGTCTCCTCGTGAATTCGCGTCCGCTTTTCGCTCTTGACAACTCGCATCTGCACGTCAATCTTTAGTTCGGAGCCGTCCCGGTGGTGTGCCGGCAGGCCCTCGGGGCGCAAAAAGGCCGTGCTAGCATCGGGTCGTCCTTCGCGCAGGGCCAGGAATGCCGACGCCTTTCGAAAGCTGTGCTCCGGGACCACCATGCCATCAACCAAGTGGATGTTGTCTACATCGGTGAGGATCTGCAGAATCTTGTCGAAGTCTGGGATCAACTGGTTGATGGGGTAACCGTTGAGCATCTCGTAGCCAAACAGAGCGCCGGCAAAGACCGAATTTGAGCTCCTGATAGCCAACGTCTTGGTCGACACCACAATGATACCCGCAATGTGCGGGAAGCTGGAGATGCGCAGCGCCGACTGGCCGGACACGCGCTCGACTGTGGCTGGGATGTTGATGCGGTCGCAGTTGCGACAGGTATAGTATTTGCGCCGTTCAACCTCGGCAAAATCAACTGGGCCAGACCATGTGTCGAAGCCTAGCCGCGGGATACGAGGCACCAGCTTGCCAATGTCCACGCCGGGCTGCATTGTCTCGTCGCCCCAGATCGAGCCGAGGGACCCGTTGACGTCGACGACACTGCCGTCGTCGTCGACCACGACCGTGGCCACGTCCTCGTGGATCTCTTCAAGGACCCAGATCAGGCCGATGCGCTTCTCCTTCACCCAGAGACTGGCCGAGCCGGTTGCCCCGTTGCGCTTCTGGATGGGCACGACATCACCACAGAGGAGAACGCCACGCGAGTTGGTGTGGTGATGGTGGCTGCTACCGGCCGGTTTGGGCGGCTTCGGTTCACCGCCGTGTATAGTGTTTGCACGGCGGGCCTGCAGTAACCGTTGTTGCTCTTTGCCTTGTAGAGATAGGAGCCGGTGCTGGCTGCTGCCTTGTGGAGTTTGTGTCCGGGAGTTCGGCTTGCTCAAGAGCTTTGCTGTAATACCGCCTCCACGAGATCCAAGTATGCTAATCGAGGAGCTGGCTGATGACCGTTGTTCGGTCAACATACCATCGCCCTCATCCTTGATCCCGGCGATGTCTTCGCCGGGATCACCAAGATCGCCAGGATCGTCAGGATCGGCATGCAGCAGCTTTTTCTCCAGCCAGGCTCGCCGCTCTTCCTGGACGACCTCCAGAATGCCCATCTTACGGACCTCTGCCTTTGTCACTCCAAATACAAGACACGCAAGGTCGTTGGCCGCAATGATCGTCCATGGCGGCTTCGCCTCGGTAGTGAAGATGGCCTGTGCTGCGGGCACCCAGCGCGAGGTGTGTGAATGGACCGCCGACCCCAGATTTCCAGGCATGCTCAGTGGAGAAGCCAGCGGCTGGAGAGATGCATGGGGAGAGCTCGCCAAGTCATATGGATTCTCACCAGGGGTCGCTAGCACGCCGTAGTTTGCAGTCGTTTGTGCTTCCACCGAGCCAGGGACATATGACCTGGCCAGTGTGTCTATCAACCTCTGCTGCACGACAACAGGTGCAATGTCTGTCATGGACCGCCTGAGCAAAAGACTCGGGTGCCGAGAGGCAGGTGGGGACGTCTTCTGCGTAGTGCCGCTTTCATTTGTTGGCGTGCGCGAAGATTCGGCCGAGTCTGAGGCCGCAGAGGCAGTATATACGGAAGGGCCAGAGGTCTGATTCGCGGCCACTTGCAGGCCACCGCCGCTGCTGGGGCTGATGACGGGACTGGCGACGGGACTGCCTTGCAGCGGGGAAACAGAGTTGTCCGCAAAGGCCGTCGTCCTCAAGAGCACAGGGGACGGCAAGGCAGAGTTCGGTGCTGTTTCCGATCCAGAAAGCTGCTCTGGGCTGGCAGTCCGGGGAATAAAGCTCTTGTCGAAGACGTTTTCGTTTGTCAGCGAGGGCGGTCCACTCAAGGGCCCTATGATCATGTTTGGATCCGAATTGGGCAAGTTGCCGGCACCGACAAGCTGGGCACGCGCCAAGAGGTCGAGCATATTCTGGGTCTCGAGGTCGCCGGAGGCGCGGGCTTGGGCACTGGCCAGACCAGCATTGGAGCTGGCCGGCCAACCCATGCGGTCCTGCATAAACTCGACGGAGCGCTTGAGGACGCTTTGGCGGTTGTGCAATAGCTCCTCGGACTGGTGAGCGAAGCTGAAGGAGTGCAGGGACTCGGACGAGAAGCGGGACAGGTCTTCCGTGAAGGCCGTCGTGAAGGCCGGACAGGAAGGCTTCGGAGAGAGGGTGCGCGAACTTTGGAGCATCGTAGTCATGGAGGAGGAACGAGGCAGGCCAATGGACGACGCACGAGAAGACGCGCTGGACGGAAGGGTTGGGGCTCGCATAGGGACGTGTTGACGGATACGGCGAAGGCCAGAGCGGCCCAAGCCATGATCATGGTCGGTCATGATGGGAGAGCTGTTGATAGTGAAGGTTAGCAGAGAGGCGGGAGACAAAAAGACAGGGAGCAGCCAGTGGCTGTGGGCATACTGAGCCATGGCGTCGTAATCGGCAGCAGCTGCGCCAGCATCAAAGGAGAGTCGGAAGCGAGCCTTGGCCGGGGTATCGACAGGTAAGGCGAGATTGCCGGTGCTGCGGTTCTTGGGTAGGTGCAGAGAAAGGCTGAGCTGGCTGCTGCTGTCACGACCGAGCTGGCCATCCTGGCTTGTCCCATGGCGATAATCGTTGGCATCTAGCAGAGGGTGTGAACAAGAATGGATAAGCAAGGCGGGGGCGGGGGCTCATACCAGACTCCGGATCCTCCTCGTAAATATGGAGCATACTTGATAGGGCGAAGTCTATGAGGGAATGAAGAACACACTCTCTCTCTTCGCCGGGCTACGCCTGGATGCCAGTTGCGTGCGATGTTGAAGGGATCCCGGCAAGAATGGTGGAGAGGAGCCCTGTTCTATTTTGTATAGTCTATGGGGGAAAGAGGAGAGGGGGGTGGGATGTGCTTCAAGTCTCTGCCGAGCTGATCGAGAGGTGAGGGCAAATTAGCTGCGGAGGGAAAAAGCAGGGCGAGAGAACGAAGAAAAAGGCTAGATAGCAAAAGAACAAAGGCTGTGCGGCAAGAACAAAAGCAAGGACAAGGACAAGGAAAAGAGAAAGGACGGACAAGGCGTGGTTGTGCGGGAAGCGAGAGTTGTCGGCGGGATGGGCCAAGACGACACGAGGATGATTGGAAAAAGAGGCAGAAAAAAGCAGGCTCGGCGAAAGGAAAAAAGTGTCGCCTTGGGCTCTTTAGGGCGGGGGCTTTTGCGAGACGGACAGCGCTTTATAGAGGGTGTGGGAAAAGCGGGACAATGCAGGGAGAAAGGGAAGGACAGCGGGCATGACTACAGGAGAAACAGCAGCTTACGAGTCTGGCGGACAGTGCACGGTGGGCAGTCAGCAAGGATGAGCCATTAAACGGGCAGGGCGGGAAACAGGGAAGAAGAAGCGGGAGGCTGCATCAGCGAGACACGGAAGGCACGACCTTCAATCCGGCCGTGCAGATTTGACAAGTTCCATTTCAGGCACCGATGGATCTGGGCGAATAGGCCGCGATAGCGTCGCCCGTGGCGTGATGCAGAGGATGGGATGAGCAGGGAACGGCGAGCGCGAGAAGACGCCCACTAGCCATTCGCCAATCTTCCATGTGGCCAGAGCCCTTTTTGACTTGGCCTTCCCTGCTCGCACGCCCAGCAGAGCTCCGAGGTAGCTAGACCGGTGGGGGCTAGTTATTTTCGGTAACATCAACACAGACAGGTATAGGCCGTACGACGTATAGGCAGGAACGACCAGCAAGGTGTGAATGGCTGCTTAGCTCACCGCCTAGAGACCCCCCCACTCCAGACACAGACTCGTACTATGCACGACTTAGTGGTCACATGGCCCGGCAAATGGTGCGGTCAGCCGGCGCTGGTTGTGCGAGCAAAAGCAGAACCGGAGTCTGTTGGACGAGTCCTGTCCTCGCACGCGTGCGGAGCGCGTCGTCAGGTCCCGTCCTGGCGGCCGGCTGCACCTGGCGTCCTATCTGACAGATGGGCGACGTCTGTGGCGGCCAGAGGCGCATGTGTTCTGCAGACGGAGAGAGGCCCGTATGCAGGTCAAGCTTGATGAGGTCAGCTGCTGGCTACTCGTCCAATCAGCGTTCGTCTCGGTCCTTTTGCTTGTTTTGGGCAGCCAGCCTCGTCCGCAAGACAGGGCCGCCAGAGGACCAGGCTAAGATGCGCCGCTGATGATAACGAACAAAACGCGATGCTCGGCCAGCAGCCAGACGGCCACACCGCCTTCTGCTTCGGGCAGCTCGCCAGCAACTGCCGTGGCTCAAGGCGATAAGAGTGGGCCACGAGGATGATTCGTCGCTATCGCCCAACAGGAAAGCGGGGTATCAGTGCTGCTGCCGGCGCTATTTGGCAGCGGCAGTGCGCTATAACAACGCCGTGTGGCGTGCTATTGTTCAGTGTCCGGCCTTGATTGCCCTCTATTCCGTCACCTGTTTCGCTTTGGGCCATTGCTCCTTCCTTGCTTCTCGCTCGTATCTCACATAAGATACTATCTTGTATTGGCATCCTTTCCGTATTCTGGCATCTAGTCTCGTATTTTTATCCCATCGTGCCTCTTTCCCCTATTCTCCGGCTCTCCAGTCGTGCCTCTCTTCCCACTGTCCCATTTCTTTCTCTCACCACTCTTCTTCCTCTCCTCCACCCTCTCATCCCCCTCCTCGCACATCTCTTATCTCATTGTTCATCTCACCGACCAAGTCGACGAAGAGGATCAACCCCTCCTGTCATCCTTCAGCATCTTCGTATTCGCAACCATGTGCACAGTCTCCTGCTCCCGTCGTCTCTCGTTCGTCCACGCCATCTAGGTCGCCCCACCGATTTCCACCTCGGACAACGCCACCCAGCTAACGCTTCTCCTCCGACGGTGCTTTGTTAGGCCACACGCTGAAAGAAAGGGGGAGGCCAAAAAAGTACCGCTATCTCGATTCTGACCGCAACCGAGAGCGGTCTCAATCCCGTTCTTTTTTGTCTCGCTTATTCGTTTTGCGTTACCTCTCAAGACCTGCTCTCGGCCATGGCTGCGGCGTCCCTACGATTCGATGGTCCTGTGACTATGCCAGCTCGGCCGGCTGGCCGCTTTCAGCAATTGCCCGAAATCGTTATCACAGAGGAGCACACGCAGACACAACCATCACAGCACCTGCAGATAGACGATCGGGAGCACCCCGGCGGCATCGCAGACATGCGGCCCAAGCACAAGGGCCGCGAACGGTTTCTCCGGGGACTCTCTCGCATGGCATCCTCGCCCAGTCTCGCCCAATCAGGCCGGGCTCGTTCTGCCAGCACCCCTTACACCCGTTCTGGTGTCAGCCTCTCTTGTGTCAGCCTGGCACCGACTCAGTCGCCCTTTGGCCCGTCTTCTTCCAGTGCGAACGGCTCTGCCTTTGCTTTTTCTCTGCTCGGGTCGCCTGAAAACTCGCCGCTAGCATCATCACCAGCGCTTGGTGCCATCCGGAGGGTCGACCTGAGTGCGGATGGGGTTGGCACAAGCGGCGTGAACACGGTGTCGCTGCCGGCCGATCTGGCCCGGTTGGCGTTGCGCCCCAAGAAGAACTTCTTGGAGCTCTGGAAAGGCGTGCCGCACGAGATCCAGGTGTATATATTCAGCTTCCTGAAGCCCAAGGAGCTTGTGCGGCTGTCGGGCGTCAACCGTGAGTTTCGGCGGATCTGCTTCGACGGGCAGCTTTGGACCCGGTTCGACGCGTCGGAGTTCTACCAGGAAATCCCCATGCAGTCGCTCTGCAACATCATTGCCAAGGCCGGGCCGTTTGTCAAGGATCTCAATCTGCGCGGCTGCATCCAGGTTAAGGGCTATGACGAGGGCAAGGCGATGTCGCAGGCCTGTACAAACCTGGTGCAGGCCACGCTGGAGGGTTCAAACATCAACTGCGACAACCTGGAGACGCTGCTGCGCCAGAACAAGAAGCTCGCCCACGTCAACCTGATGGGCCTCTGCTGCGTGCACCTGCCAACGTGCATGACGATCGCGCAGAACTGCACGCAGCTGGAGGTGCTCAACCTGTCGTGGTGCAAGAATGTGGCGGCTGAGATGATCGTGCCGATTATCAACAGCTGTCCTGGGCTTCGCGATCTGCGCATCGGCGAAGTCCGCGGGCTCGACAACCTGCTGCTGGCCAAGGCGCTGTTCCGGACCAATCGGCTGGAGCGTCTCGTGTTGAGCGGCTGCCAGGACCTCACGGACGTGGCCCTGTGCACCATGCTGCACGGCACCGATCCGGAGATAGACCTGCTGACAGACCGACCCAATGTACCACCACGGCGGCTGCGCCATCTCGACCTGAGTCGCTGTCGGCGGTTGACAAACCGCGGTGTTGCCGCTCTGGGCTACAGCGTGCCCGATCTCGAGGGTCTTGTACTGGCTGGCTGCACGGCCCTGACCGACGGGGCGCTTGAGCCGATATTTGCTTCGACGCCACGGCTGGCGTACCTGGACCTGGAGGACCTGAGTGGACTGACAAACGGGCTGCTGTCGGGTCATCTGGCTCGTGCGGCCTGTGCCCGCAGCCTGACCCATCTGTCGATCGGCTACTGTGAGAACCTGGGCGACGCCGGCGTGCTGCCTATGATCCGGGCGTGTACGGGACTGCGCAGTGTCGACATGGACAACACGCGCATCTCGGATTTGGTGTTGACTGAGGCGGTCGCCCTGGTACGCACACGCAGCAGCAGCAACAGCAGTAACAGCAGTAACAGCAGAGTCTTTAGACCCCGGCCGGGCCTCAGCCTGACCGTCTACGACTGTCCCAGCATTACATGGACTGGGGTGCGGGAGGTGCTGTCCCGCAATGCTGAGATGCTAGTGCCACGACAGCAACAACAACAGCAGCAGCAGCAGAAGGTGCCTAGCTTTCCGTCCGAGATCATCATGCTCAAGTGCTTCTACGGCTGGCAGATGACGGTCGACGAACACACGAAGCGTGTTCTGCGTGGAAACTATGTGGCGGCAGCACGACTGGAACGCAAATGGGGCGACTACATGCAGGCCAACGAGGAAGCTGGGGCTGGCGGTGCCGGAGTGCGACGGCGACGGCGACGCGCACGTGAGGCGCAGCAGGTGCACGCGGACGAAGCAGAGGTTGGAGCTGGTGTGGCCGGTATTGGTGACGGCGCGGGTGCTCAAGTGGCGGCGGGTGTCGGCGGCACAGGCATCGGTGTCGGGCGACGACGGGCACGAACGACGGCCTGTGCCATCATGTGAAGGCGGGTCTTTTATGCGTCCTTTACACATTTCGCTCATTTACGAAACACTCACGAACATCTCGTCTTTAGCTTGGCTTTTCATTTTCACATCTCATTAGATTGGCGAACTGGCGCATATTCGGAGGGGGTTTTCTGGTTCCTGTTTGTGTTACTTTCCTGTCCTTTCCTGTTTCTCAATATCTGGTTCACCGGCGTTCAGCTCTAGGAGATGTACAAATGCACTTCTTACCTGTCTCGAACTCTTGCGTATGCTATTGCGATGTCTATATAGATTCTATCGCTTCAGGATGTAGATAAGCTGAATTATATGCAAACATATGCAGAACACATGATCCCATGCATCTTCCTTCTCCCCGACATGCCTCGTTTTACGGCACGACACGCCGCAGCGGTTCCAGCCCAAAGATCTCGTCTGCCGAGCCGGCCGACCGTTTCCGTGCGCCGGCTGCTGTGGTTGAGCTGTCATTGCCGTTGCCGTTGCCGTTGCCGCTGGCCGGGTCTGTGTCTCGGTCTCTGCCGACGTCTCCTCCTACCAGCGGCGATGCGCCAACGACGTCGCCAAACAGAAAGGCATGTCGGCCGCGGCCGACCGGACTGGCACGCGGTGCCCGCCTCTTGGATGTGCTGCCGTCGGGGCTGCTGGCCGAGGCGGAACCGTCGCTGCTGTTGCCGGTCGGCGTGTCCTCGGGCTCGAGCATCCAGGCAAAGGACGACTGGGCCAGCGTGGCACGACTGGGGATGGAGGACGGGATGGCGGCAGGCGGGAGCGTCTCTCGTGGCGGCTGCTGCTCCGTCTGTAGAGAGCCTGTCGGCTCTTCGGCTGGACTGTCGGTCTTGGGAGCCTTCTCTTCCTTCTCGACTGTCTCGACCGTCTCGACCTTGTCCTCTTCCTCTGCCTTCTCAACCTTGTCCTCCTTCTCGGCCGTCTCATCTCTGTCCTCCCTCTCGACCTCGACCGGCTCCTCGTCCAGCGGCAGGGCCAGGCTGCCGTCCTCGAGGTGTACCTTGACAAACTGCACCTTTGCCGCGGCCAGCTCGACGACGTCCAGCCACGGGCTTTGTCTCTGGCTCTCGGTCGTCTCGTCTGTATCGCCCGCCTCGCCTGCCTCGCCTGTCACCAGCGACCGCAGCGACTCGACCGTCTCGTCCAGCATCACGGCCAGCTGTCGGTTCCGCTGTTCCATCCGCTCCATCTCGGCCAGCACCTGCAGCACCTGACCGGTCGGGTCTGTCCCCTTGTCAATGACACCGCCACCACCGGCTCTTCCTCCGACCCCCTTGGTCACCTGTCGGGCCTCCTGTAGCCCCTGAATCATGTTCCGTCGGATCTCGCCGACAGCGTCGCGCACCGCCTGGTTAAGGCCCAGCTTCTCGCCGCGCTCCATCACGCCCTTGGCCCCCTTGGCCGCACCGTGCAGCAGCGCGCCCACGCTCTCACGACCGGGCGCCAGCGGCTGTCCTTGGCCCCCCTCTGGGCTCAGCGCCCGCAGAGGCGACCGCACCGCCATTCGCGTCCGCTGCCGCAGGCTGTCCAGGCCGGCCGCAAAGCCCGCGCCGGGCGTCGATGTCCGCGGCGTGCCGCTGCTCCCAGCCGCGACGCGCGTGCCGGGAGCCGAAGACGCCCTCGAGTGCCCGCTCATCGTCGTCGTCATCGTCGGCGTCGTCGGCGTCGTCGGCTGCGGCTGCGGCTGCTGCTGTCTCGCTGGCGCCCGTCCGGTGTACTTGAGCACCAGGCTGGCACCGCCCTCAACATCGCCGTGGTCCCGCAGAAAGAGCGCGTCGTCGACAAAGGTGTGCGGCCCGTAAGGCGGCCCCGGCGGCGGATACTTGAGCAGCAGCGGCAGAGCCACAGAATAGTCCGCCTCCAGCACTAGCTTTGTCAGTGCTTACTAATCAAAAAGAGAAAGTCGCCCACCCTGAACGTACGCTCCCAGCGGATGCGCAGCAGCATGGCCACGCAGATGAGCGGCACGAGGTCCAGATCGGGGTCAAAGGCAAAGATGCCGTCCCAGAGGACAAGGTGCTGATCAGAGGGGAACTCGCGCCCGAACAGCAGGCGGATCCAGCGACTGTTGGCGGCGTCAGAAGCGGGCCGGCCAGAAGAAAGAGCGAGCGGACACGTACATGAGGAAGATCTGCGGCAGGACCTCAATTTCCTTGAGGTGAACGGCTAGCTCGGGGTCGATCTTCATGAGCGTGCCCTCGTGGATGGCCCGGCTCATCTCGACGATGGCGCTCTGCTCGACGACGCCGGCAGATGGACTGAGAGAAACGGGTGAGGCATAGAGGGCGTCTCGGAGGGGGGCGATCTTGCCCTTGTTCTTATTGCTGCTGCTGCTGCTGCTCCTGTTGCTGTTGCTGTTGCTGTTGCTGCTGCTGCTACTACTGCGTCTGGCAGATCCACCGGAGCTGACTTCATAAAAGGCCTGGGCCTTGTCCATGATGGCCGAGAAGAGGGCGTAGGCGTCGTGGGCCAGATAACACACGTCCAGCATGGCCATCATAGAGGCGTCTTCGGGACACGTTTCGGCCTCGGCAGCGGCCACGTCGACGGCGTCCTGGCCGAGCACGTAGACGATGGGCGCCAGCAGCTCGTGCATGCCCTGGCGATAGCCGCCGGCGCGCGGGTGGTGGCAGCACCAGACGAACAGCACGTCGAGGATGAGGGTTTGGATGTGGTCCTGGTGGTAGAACGGCTCGTCCGGCAGGCGACGGACATCCTGGAGGATCTCGCCGCGGACCACATCGTCGCGCCGGAACGTGTCCCAGGGCGACTCGGGGTCATCGGCCAGCGGATCAACGGCGAGCTCGGCCAGCCGCTCGGGATGCTTGATGTACTGCAGGTACCGCTCGCCGAGGACGTCGTAGTCGGTCCTGGCCCGCCGCAGCATCGGCAGCCGGTCCGATGGCAGCGCGTCGCGGAAGAGGAGGAAGATCTGCGGCGGTCAGCAGTGGAAGTGGATGCGTAGAACCAAAAACATACCTTCCAGCACACAGACCGCAGGCCGGCCTCACACGGAGTGCCAGGTCCGCCCTGTCGCACCGCCCGCTGCAGGGCTGCAATGCTGGCACTGCTGCCGGCTGTCTCGATCCATCGCTGTCTGTCGAGGTGAGCTCTCTGTTCAATTCTCATCTTTCTCCTTGTCTTGTCTTCTTCTCTTTCTCTCTCCTCTCAATCTCCTCTCTCTTCTTCTCTCTCTTCTTCTCTCTCTCTCTCCACTCTCTCCTTCTCTCTCTCTCTCCTCTCCTCTCCCTTCATTGCTCACCTGCTCTCAGAGAGGGACCGCATCGCGCGCCCGTGTGTTCAGTGTTCCGGTGGTGCAGACAGCAGAATCCGGGGAGTGGCCCTGCCGTCGGATGCTGTCACGGGGAAACAGCTGCCCCGCCCTGCTGCAGCTAGCGGCCTTGGCGCGCTTTCGCGAGCCCCTCAGCCTCTCACAGGAGGACCTGCCTGTCCTGCAGCCAGAGGGCCACAGCTGTGCAGCCTAAAGGCCACGGCTGTCTGCACCCTGTTCGGCCTCGTCGTGACACCTGTCTCGTCCGTCCCGGACTTTCCAAAAGGCTGCCGCATCTCTGCATGGGCGCCGTACTACGACGTACGACGTGTCTTACCATCTAACCACGTGACAAGGAAACGACACATCACGTGGCAACGTGCATCTCTCCCGAACGGAATCCTTGTTCCTTCTTGCGCCCCGTCTTCCCAACACTCCCACACAGCAGCACCATGTCGGCGGACCTGTTTGCCCAGTTCGGTCCGTTCTCGCCCGGCAGCCAGGCGACGAGCTCGCCGTCGGCCCAGACGCCCGCCCACCGCAGCAGCAACAGCCGGCCAGCCGACGACCCGTTTGCCTTTCTCACCACAGCCCTGTCGCAGACGCCGGTCGCTGCCACAGCACCTGGACCAGCCTCAGCTCCAGCTCCAGCACCAGATACCGACGACGATGACGCCTGGGGCGACTTTGAAGACGCCTCGGCAGTGCCGGACGTGACGACAACCAGATCCATCTCGTATCAGGCCTTTCCACCCGCTCCTCAGCTGCAGCCACCACCACCACCACAACAGCCCAAGACGCGCGTGGTGCGGTCGTCGACCATCGATCTCATGACCAACACCCTCATTCATTTTGACAGCACGCCCGCCACACAGACACCTATACCTGAGCCCACCATTGGCCGGACTGCAGACCAGCTCCAGCCGGTCCCGACGCTTCCGAAGCCACAGCGGCCTGCCAACTCGAACGTGCTCTTTGACGCCGAGGACTACGACGGAACCGAAGGACTCGATCTCGATGACGACAAAGACGACGACGACGACGACTTTGGCGCCTTTGAGACGGCACAGCCGACTGCCACGGCTCTGACAGACCTCCTCTCTCTGTCGGACGCAACCCCAGCAGTTCCGGCTGCCCGTCAGAGGAAGCAGCCACCGGCGCAGCTGCTGTCTGTGGCGAGCTTTGGCGACACCGCCTCGCTGGCCAGCCCTCTGGCTGCCTCGGCCAGCTACCCACATCCGCTCAAGTCGCCCTCTTTCCGGGACCGTAACCCGTTTCCCGGTCTCGTGGTCACAACGCCCAGCGCGTCTGCCTTCCCGACCGAGCAGGTGGCCAACCGGACACCGTCGCCCATCACCGTGTGGCCGACCCTGGACAGCAACTCGGCCCTGATGGGAAAGGACAAAAAGGACAAAAAGGACAGAAAGGGACGGTTGGCCGGCCTGCCGGCAACAGTCGACGACTGGGAGGCATGGGAGCTTGCCGACACGCTGGGCTCGCCCAACACGGCCAGTGCCTTGCAGTCGGCCTCGCCAGCCTCGCGGTGGGACTGGGGTGATGTTGCACCGGCCACAAAACCGGCACCAGCACCAGCACCAGCACCAGCACCAGCACCAGCACCAGCACCAAAGCCCGTGCTTCCCATTCCGCCCGCGATAGCGAGCCCACCCGCGGCCAAGACGATCCCCGACAGCGCCCCCCCGCCCACCAACGTGCCACCGCCGTCGATCCTGCTGTCGGCGTTCCCGGCGCTGCTAGCGCTGCCGGACGAGATGCTGCTGCGGCCGCTGGCCGGACAGCCGGCAGCGATCCGCAGCCAGGTGCTGGGCGACGCGCGCACGATTGCCTTTTTGCGCAGCTGTCTGCAGCTAGCCATCGTGGCAGCGCGCATCGTGGCCGGCCGCAAGCAGCGCTGGCACCGCGACCGATTCCTGGCCCAGAGCATGACCATCTCGGCGGCCGGCAGCAGTCGTGGTGGCGGCATGAAGCTCACCGGCGTCGACCGGGCCCAGGGCCAGCGCGAAGACAGCGAGGCTGCCGATGTCATCGCCGTCTGGCGCCGACATGTCGGCAAGATCCGCAGCGCCGTCGCCGTCGCCAATGCCGCCATCGCTGCGGCCAATGCCGCCGGTCAGCTGCGCCACCAGCAGCCGCTGCGCATCCCCGACCTACCTGCCGAGACGCTGCTGCCCGTCACTGTCGCCAAGAATGTGCCGACCGCCCCCCGGCCCTGCGTCGTCTGCGGCCTGCGGCGCGACGAGCGCGTCCGCGGCGTCGACCCCGACGATGTCCCCGACAGCTTCGGCGAGTGGTGGGTCGACCACTGGGGCCACCGCGCCTGTCGCAATTTCTGGGCCGAACACGAGGCCGCACTGCGGTCACGGTGAGCCCAGGGGGGCGCTTGCTCCTAGGATCGTACGTTCATTGCATAGCGTCGGTACTGCAGCCTTGATACAACAAACTCCTTTGCTACCTTGGTGTCCATATGCATGGGAGCCGTCGTTCTATTCAGAGAAATTGATAGGTGCTTACTGTGACGCTCACACTGTGCTTGTGTAAGCCTGTCTACAGACAGGCTTACACGATGTATAGCAAAGCGCCTACACCTGTCCGTTATCGTGTGTGCAGTAGATCTTAGTGTTAACGCCAATTGGCCCGCTTCGTACGAACTACCACTAGAACACCAATTCTAGTCTCGTACGCGTAATGTATCCGGCGCATTCGACGATATACTGCTTGATCGCCACGCTTTATCCCTACCCCAGAGAGCCTTGTAGGCAACTTGTAGGCAAGGAAGAATAGAAGCCTGCCAATCGACACGACGACATGATGTGTAAAGACCAGAACGGAAAAACATCGGCCCGTAGACTTAGTCATCCTTGCGACAGGCCCCGTAAGTCCATCTGGCTCTGTAAGATCCGACTGCCGTGTATCTGGCCAATCAAAATGCTGTCTTGTCCGTTCACCCACGTTAGCTGTTTCCCAGAGCCACTCCCCACTAACCATCTGCCATCCCACACAAACTCTTCTCACGCGCCGCTGCCAAAAGGTCCCCTCCTTTTTTTCGCTTTTTTTCCTTTCACGTTTCCTTCCCAAAAACTACCACCCCTTCTTATTCTCCCATCTCAACCCTCGACAACCCCCCTCCCCTCTCTCGACCCTCACCCCTTCTTCCCGCTCTCCTTACCTTCCCCTTCCTCGCCCCCCCCCCCTCTTTCTCCTTCTACCATCTCGCTTCCGGTTCCGCCTTCTCCCTCTCTTCCCCCGCTTCTCTCACCCGTTTCGACACCCCTACCAACCTCAGATCGTCCGTCTTCCCACAAGCCACCGGCCGATCCCGATCCTTCAACTATGTCTGCTCAACAGGACATTTCGCCCAACGGCAACGATGCGGATCTTTCCGACCACATGAAGATGGATGACGAGCCGCGTCTCGGCCCCGACGGCGAGATCATCCCCAAAACCGACGAAGAGTATGCCCAGACCCAGCTGACCCTGCGCGCGATTGTGTCGTCCAAGGAGGCCGGCGTCATCATTGGCAAGGGAGGCAAGAACGTGGCAGACCTGCGTGACGAGACCGGAGTCAAGGCCGGCGTCAGCAAGGTCGTCCAGGGCGTGCACGATCGCGTCCTCACGATCACTGGTGGCTGCGACGCCATCTCAAAGGCCTATGCTGTTGTTGCTCGTGCCCTTTTGGAGGGCGTTCCGACCATGGGAATGGGCGGGATACTCCAGGGCAACGGCACCCACCGTAAGTTGCCACGTCGGATCGAGAAACACCAGCCGCACACTGTTGCCATCCCTTTGTTCGCTTGCTGACCGTCTGCAGCCATCAAGCTGCTCATCTCCCACAACCAGATGGGTACTGTCATCGGCCGCGGTGGCCTGAAGATCAAGCACATCCAGGATGTGTCTGGCGTACGCATGGTGGCCCAGAAGGACATACTCCCGCAGTCCACCGAGCGCATCGTCGAAGTCCAGGGCACGCCAGAGGGCATCCAGAAGGCCGTGTGGGAAATCTGCAAGTGCCTCGTCGATGACTGGCAGCGCGGCACCGGCACGGTCCTGTACAACCCCGTTGTACGCACACAGGGCACCTCGCCCACTCTCGGCAGCGGCAGCATCGCACCCACGTCCAACTACAACTCGGGCGGCCGCTCCGAGTATGGCAACTCCCGTGTGACCCGCACTGGAAACGGTGCCGATTTCAGCAACGGCGCCTCGTCACGTCCAAACAACCGGCGCTCCGACTCGGACGCGGCTGCCCGTGGCCCTCCCACACACGACGAACAGGGCAACGAGATTCAGACCCAGAACATTAGCATCCCGGCAGACATGGTCGGCTGCATCATCGGCCGGGCCGGCAGCAAGATTAGCGAGATACGCAAGACGTCGGGCGCTCGCATTTCCATTGCAAAGGTAAGGAAGGATGGCTCTCCGAGGAGCTACACAATTGTGCAGCAGTGCTAACACGCGCAGGCCCCGCACGATGAGACCGGCGAGAGAATGTTCACCATCATGGGCAGCGCCAAAGCGAACGAGACTGCACTTTTCCTTCTGTACGAGAACCTCGAGGCCGAGAAGATGCGTCGGAGCCAGGCTGGACCGGCCGAGTAGATTGTGACAACATACCCCTCCCCCCGGAAGATCCAGCTTTGTTGATCCTTCCTGTCACTCTATCCCGGCGTCTTCTCGATAATCGTTATTAAGCTCAGATTTGGCAAGCCTTCGAAACTGAGGAATATCCAGATCTAGCTTGCCGCAAGGCTGAAATTTGCACTTTTACTGGCGGACGCAACGGTTCAGAAATGACGACACGACGAGACCTTTCTTTCTTTGTTGTTGTTACATTTTTTAGTTATGCTTTTATTTGTCTTAAAGAGAAAAAGGTCGCCGCCACCCACTCGCCTTTCACGTCCTCGAAATCTCGAAATCTCGAAACTTTTCTTTACTATCTCCCTTCCAGTCACACGGTTTCACTCCTTTCGTCTTTTTCTGGGTTGGCGGCCGGTCTCCTGTACATCCGCATAGCGCTTTGCAAAGCCGAGTCTTTCGTTGTCCTCGACAAAGGCGGGCGGATATGGACGGGGAGACAAGGTCCTTTTGCGTGTTTATTTCCTCCCTCGGCGATGATTTATGACGGTATTGTTTTCTGATAAGGAATGGAAAAGGAAAACGGGTTCTACAAGGGGTGCACTTGAGTCATCGACATTCTCGCATCTCGCATTCTCTCTATCCGCCTCGCTTCATCTTCCGGACGCACGCCATCAGCTTCCATTTTTTCCTAGTCATGAAAACCTCCTTTTGAGAGATCCTAACCAAAGCTATCCGCAACCAAACGAGAATCGCCCCAATCTCGTTCGCTGTCATGTCGTTCTGATTACCTCGGCCACACCTTTCTCGACCACCACCGTCCTGGATCTCCTTCAGCACTAATTTCCTCCCTCGGCGTGTTCGGCCGAAGAAATCAGACGCCACTGTATCCCAAATTGACTATACATGCTGTCCCCCAGCTCTTTTCTGCCGCTCTATCTCAGTCTACCTTAGCTTCCTGCCAGGCCATTGACAGTCCATAGAAGCCAAAACACTAGCCGTAACATTTGCGCGTCTGCGAAAGATGGCGGTATATTCGTGTTCAGATGAGAAAATATATGAAATAAAGAGCGTTCTACCGAGTCGGTAGTTGCAGTTCGTACGAGTGCTCTTGGCGCTGTGCTGTAGTATTGAATGCTGCTGAAAGGAAGTTTGCGTGTGATTTCGCTAATAAACCCCGTAGTGTTCGTTGTAAGGTGGTTCTTTGCAACCATACTCTTTAGCAAGTACTTTTACATCCGCACTATACACAGCGCTTTCGTCTACCTAATGTTTCTTTAAATGGACCAAAGGAAACTGTTCTGCCCCTGCTTTAGGACTCCATTGCAACTACGACGTACGGAGTAGTTCCTCGTGTATACGCTACCCGTAAAAGATACATTATATAAGCAGGAAGCTTACACCGCCTGCCGGAGTTGGTTAAGGGGCCACCTTGCTTTATATCGTAGTAGCCAGATTGCCCGTTATTCTGGACCCAAACCGGCATAAATCGAGCTTGCGTCTCAATTTCACTGTCTATCGGCCATGTCTGCTTGCAAGTCGTTCTTTTAGGCCATTCTTTCGTCGCATTTGCACTTTGATTTCTTCTTGGTCGTCACCAGATTGCTACTGCACTGCATCCGTCTTTAGTGTCGGCAGACTATTCCCTCTCGCCCAGCCAAAGCACGACATGGCACGAACAAAGCAAGCGGCGCCCATTCAGCGCGAACCGACGTCCGAGTACGTGGGCAAGGAGGAGCGGGCGGCGGCGCTACGATCGAAAAGCGAGAAAGCCAGCGGCCATGGTCGAAAAACAAACGAAACGGGCGAGGTGTCTGTGGCGGCTGCAGGGATCCAGCAGGTGGTCATTGCCGTGGCCGGCATCTACGGGTCGTTGTAAGTGGTGCGAGAACAAGACAGGCGCGAGAATGGCAAGAGAGAGAGAGAGGGGCGAGACATGCTAATGCCAGGTTGCGGAACCACGACGACAGCCTGACGTGGGGCTATCTGCAGGAGAAGCTGACGACGACAGCCCACGCGGCGCCGATGACGACAGCCAGCAGCAGCCGCAGCAGCGAGGTCTTCCACTTCCCCGTCTTTCTCAACACGGTGCAGTCGGCCATGGCGGCCGTGACGGGGCTGCTGTACCTCTGGGCAGCGACGCCGCGTGGCTGCTTGGTGCCGCCGATCGTGCCGTCGCTGCGGCTGCTGGGACCGCTGTTGCTGGTCGCGCTGACGTCCTCGCTGGCGTCGCCCTTTGGCTATGCCGCGCTCGGCCACATCGACTACATCACGTACATCCTGGCCAAGTCGTGCAAGCTGCTGCCCGTTATGTTTCTGCACGTGACCATCTTCCGTCGACGCTACCCGCTCTACAAGTATCTCGTCGTCGCGGCCGTGACGGCCGGCGTAGCCGTCTTCACGCTGCACACCGGCAGCCGTCATGGCAAGTCGTCCTCGTCGGCCTCGGGCCAGCGCTCCTGGGGTCTTCTCCTGCTGGGTGTCAACTTGCTCTTTGACGGCCTCACCAACAGCACTCAGGACTACATCTTCGATGCTTTCCGGCCCTTCTCCGGCCCCCAGATGATGTGCGCCAACAGCTTGATGCAGACGGCCGTCACGGGCGCCTATCTGCTGGCTGTCAACCCGTGGCTGGTGCACTCGGGCGTCGGCGCCTGGCTCGGCGCCGTCGACGAGTCTGCCGCGGCCACCGGAGGCGAGCTGGCCGCCGCTCTCGCCTTCCTGCAGCGCCACCCGTCCGTCTGGCGTGACGTCCTCGGCTTTGCTGCCTGCGGTGCCGTCGGCCAGATCTTCATCTGTAGGCTTCTTCCCGATGCGCAAACGTTCTGTGACTACTTGCTAACCCGGCTGCAGTCTATGCCCTCTCCACCTTCTCCTCCGTCTTCCTTGTTACCGTCACCGTCACGCGCAAGATGTGCACAATGATCCTGTCCGTGGTGGCCTTTGGCCATCGGCTGTCGCACATGCAGTGGCTCGGCGTGGCGCTCGTCTTTGGCGGCATTGGCGTAGAGGCGCAGATTGCACGCTCAGAGAAGATGAAGAAGCAGGCCCAGAAAACAGCCAAAGCTCAGTAGGCAGATGTCTGTCTGGGAGACCTGTCTGGGGGACAGGAACACAGAACTGCGTTTTTCATATATGGGCTTAGAAGTTTACAAAGAGGGAATATAGATTTATAGCAGCATCTACTTCGTATGTCACTTGGCTTTCACTTCTCGCTGCACCCGTGGACTTGGAGCAGGTGTCACTTGTTAGATAGACATCTGAGGTACATGCGGCTGGAGAATACACAAAAGGAGAAATTATACATTTCGATTGAAGTAGATCGAGGCGGTCCCGACTCTGATTGTCACCCCTGAATATGGAAGCCTACCGTTCGAGTCCACGGAAAGCCTTGTCGGCCGCACCGTGCTCTCTCCAGAAAGAATAACACATCCAGGACGCATAGAGCAAGAAAACACGTGCGAAAAATGAACTGCGAAAAATGAAAACCCCAAGCTCGTTGCCACCCACCCCGGCTTCCAGGAAACAGGAGCCCTGATTGTCCCACACACCACCGTTGCAATGCCTTTAAGATGACAAAAAGGTGCAACAAATTTTCCATATATGCCTAACGTCGGAAGGAAGAAAGCAAAGGTCTCGTCACGCCTGCTTCCCGCGCCTATCTGGCCTCTTCTTTGGTCTTCTAGACGGGGAAGCGACATAAATGCCCGAGAACGAATCATATGAAGGGACAAATGAAAAAATGAAAACAGGAAAAAGTGAAAAGTGAAAAGTGAAAAAGAAAAAGGAAACAGGAAAACAGCGGGGACAGGAGAAACGGGGAAAAAGGGGGAAAGCAAAAAACATAGCAAAAGAAAACGAGAGCCAAACAACAAATAAAACAAAAACTCCAGGCGCGTTTGGATGCTTGCGGCAAGCGGGGAATTCGGAGATATGGAAATCGCTTAGTCGCAAAGAATGACAGTGCGTATCAGCGTTTTCTCTCTTGCTCGTCGTGGATGTAGAGAATATATTGGCATCGGTATGTCGGCTGACTAACCCTATCCAAAACTGTTGTACACGGGGAACCTGCTGCGCGTCTTTGCTGCGCGCCACGCACGTCCACCCCAAGGGAACTTGTAAATGATGGGAACGATGTGATTCAGAATAGAAAGGATATAAAGGGCAGGGTTCGTTGCACCAGGCACTCCCTCCCGCTTCCCCTCCTTCACCGATCGCCCATTCATTCATAGCAGGTCGTCAATCGACCTGACAATGGGCATTTCGCCCTTGGTTGGCGGACTGCGTGGATCGGCCACCTGAGCAGGCCGGCCGAATGGGATGAACGAGTTGCGCGAGAACATGGTCTCGCGCGGTGACAAGAGCTCGTCCTCGCCCGGAGTCGGCGGCACCTCGACAAACCGCAGGCCCGTCATCTCGGAGAACGGCTCGTGCAGCGGGTTGTTTGTCATCGTCTCGGCACGGGGGGACATCAGCGCGTCGTCTTCCGGCGGATAGTCTTCCGCTGGAATCTGCGGCAGCACCGGCAAGTCCTTTTCGCTGACCGGCTGCTCCAACGACACCGCTGGTCGTTCCAAAAACATGGCTGGCCTGTCAATTGACATGACTGGTAGCTCCTGTCCTGTGCTGTGGGGCGGAAACATCGGCGATGGCGGCGGCCGGAACATCATGTCCTCCATGCCGAGGCTCTCGCCGAATCCTGCTGGTGGAAGACCAGGGCTAAACAGCGAAAACTCGGGCAGCTCGGGCAGAACCAGAGCATTCGGTTTACTGAACATTATGTTTTCGTGCTCGCTGATACTGCTGATGCTGGGATTGTGATTGTGGCCGTGGCCGTGGTTGTGGCTGCGGCTGCTATTGTTGCTGCTGCTGCTACTGCTCCGGCTTCTGCTGGGGTCGATCCCAGGAAACTTCCCAAATCGGTGGGCGGCGAAGCCGGGAGACGGCGGCGGCTTGGACGTAGATCCCGGAGCAGCCATCAGTCCGAATCCCAGACTGGGAGGCGCCCGAGCCTTGCGCGTTGGCGGTCTCGTGAGGGTTGGAACGTCGGTTGGAGCCGGCGCCAAACTTGTCGAAGCATAACTTGGCGGGAAAGACGGCACGAAAGACGGAGCAAAGGGCGCCGCAAAGGTCGACCCGAACGACGGCTCCATCGTTGCGGCAATGGTCGGGGCATCGTTTGGAAACCGGCCAAACCTCTGTCGGTCATTCTCGTCCTCCTTCTCGGCCCAGTTGAAGCTCGATGGCGCAGATGCTGGACCGGGAGATATGGCCTCCCGGCTGCTGGGTGTCGAGTTCCCCCGTAGTCGCATGGGACTCCGTCCCGGATGCAAGAACGACGAGCCGGCGGTGCTGCTCTCTTCGGCCGGTAGTGGCGCCGAGAGCGGCTCCTTCGGGGCAATCTCAATCGCATCAACGGAGAGAGAGTTCCGGTGCCTTGTCGGACTCCGGCCAGACCGAGGCCGCAGAGTGGAGTTCGGCGTTATCCGCTTCTTGTAGATGTCCTTCTGGAAGTCCTGCAGGCAGTACATGAGCCGCATGTTGGGGCTGATCCACTTGCTCTTGGACTGGGCCGCATAGTAGGCGTCGTTGACGCTCAGCTCCGGGTTTTGGTAGATGCCGTACGCAATAATGAGACTGGCAGAACGGCTGGCGCCCTGTTGGCAGTGGATCAGCACCTTCTTTCCATCCTTGGTCTTGCTCTCAATCATTTCGCAGAGCCGCATCAAATCCGCTCCGATATCCGTGTTGTGGTCCCACGGGATGTGGATGTACTCGGGCTCTTCCAGCTGCTGAGACGCCTTTGGTGTTGCTGGCGTAATATTGACTTGGGCGTATGTAAACTGGGGTGGTTGTAATGGCAGTGGTTGTACTTCCGCCTCAGCCTCCGGCTCCAGGATGGGCTCTAGGACGGAGATGGAGCCCCTCTTGGGCGGCAGCTGCTGTTCCTGTTGGCTGGGCGGCTTGCCGGCCTTTTTCACCGCTCCGGCTTTGAACGGGTTGCGGACTTCGCGAGCCACGTTGATGACAACGTCAAACCGCGAGGCCTCTTCCGCCGTCGGCTCGAGGTACAGGAAAACATTGTCGCCGTAGATGGCAATGGGGCCATCTGGATAGCCAGGCGTCTTCTGGTCCTCGTTATTCTCCTGTTCGTGGTACGGCTCGAACTCGTAAGCAGCGCGGTTCGCGATCTGCGTTTTTATTGGCGAGTCCTGCTCCAGAATGGTGGAGTCATAACCAGTGGATGATGCGCCTGGCCGACTGGGTCGCAGGAACTCTGATAGGCCGGATTCGTTGCGCTCAAGCACGGTCGGGACGGTCATGCCGCCAGCCGGACCAAAGGTGGCCGACTTGATAAATGACAGCATGTGCGGCGACGACGTGGAGTGCTTCAATGCGCGTCGCTGAAGGATTGGTGGCATTGTCAATGAGGGCGACTGGGGCATTTCTAGTGTCGTAGACTTGACCAGGTCGTTGCTGCTCGTCTTCAAGCTCAGCTGGCTTGGCTTCCGCTTCATGGCAGGAATCTGCGGTTTTATGAATGAGGGCGACGAGGGCTCCGACAGCACCGGGGACGACAGGGAGGGAGACATGAATGGCGGCTGGATCGAGAGACCCTTCATGTTCCGGCGACGCGGCGACGGCGAAGTCACCGGACGTTCCTGGATGCGACTGCCGCCGCTCGAGGCCAGCACCGTCATGCCAGGCAGTCCGCCGAAAGTGGGACTCGAAAAGGAAGCCAGCGGAATCAGGTTTACGGGTGAGTCAGGAGAGGATGACGGCGACGGGTCGGAGAGCGACGAGGAGTCGGTGCAAGACATGGTAGTGGTCGGAGATGAATCGGCAGAGCCGGACATCTGGGTGGATGTGCTGTCGTGGTGGCGATGCGACGGGTCGCAGGAGATGGAAGGGGACTCCTGAAAGGAGGAAGACTGCTGCTGACCAGAGTGGCTGGTCAGCTTGCCATCAAAACTGGCACCAGCAAAGCCGATTATCTTGTCGTCGACAACGGTGACAGCGTTTTGGTCGTCAAGAGCGTCGCTGCCAAGATCGAAGACGGACATGAAGGACGGTATCTGGTCCTCGTACATTCGTCGTGCGGCGGCAGAAGGCATCGTGCGAGCAGGAAGAGGCCGAAGCGAGGCTGCAGTCCACACCGGTTGGCGTCGTGACTGGGTGGTTGTTTCGTCTGGTATTGCTGTCGCGTCCGTGAGAAAGAGACTCGGGCTGGAATGTGAAAATGCTGGAAAGAAAGAGAGGCGCGGAATTGCAAGCTTCTTTACGGCGCTGCCGAAGAAGGGAGGATGTCGCAGGTTTAGTAGAAATAGAACCAACGACAGACTCGTTCGGTTATTATGTACAAGTCGGCACGGTTGCAAAGGGCGACGACGCAAGAATGAAAGATAAAGCGAGACGCGAAGAAGAGAGAATTAATGAACGTTCTTGTCGACCAGTCAACACATCGTCGGGTATAGGGTTCGTAACCGCCAGACAGGCGCCGCAGAAATGATGGGGGTGACGAGTGTCGAGAGTGACAGAACGAACAGATTAGAGGAAGGGGGGATAGCAGTGCTGAGCGAGTCGGTGTTCTCCCTAAGCTCTCGGGGTCTCTCTGAGACTGAGCTGTAGCGGGATGTTAGAAAGGAGAAATGAAAAGAGAGGGCAAGGTGAGCAGGATGGTCTGAGAGGAAGGGAAGGAGGGAAAAGGAAGAAAAAAAAAACACTAGGATTCTGGCGATTGTGGAAGAAAAGACGGCTTGGGAAAAGACAAGGGAGGGGGGACTACGGAGCGACTGTGCGGCAAGCGGATCCTGACCGTCCAGCGACAAGAAAAGAACAAGACGGACAGGGGGGCTGCCTGGGAATTGGAAGGGAATATGGGTGATTGGAGGGTCTGGACATATGTGTGGGGAGTGCGCGATCTGACAGTAACACTTGGTGGTCGTTGAAGAAATGGGGCGGCAGATGAGAGAATGAAAGAGAGATGGGGGGAGTCAGAGCAGGTGAGGACGAGGTGGGACAAGAGAAGCAGCAGGTGTGCGAAAGTGCAGAAGAGACTGACCAGTAGCGGGTTTGACGATAGAGAGGCACAGAAACAGGTGAGGCTCTCGAGCTGGTTTGGGTGAAACGCAGAGCGACGATCAGGATGGCCGAAGATCAGGTCGAGGTCGGAGGAGGAGAGAGGAGGAGAAACAAGTCACATCCAGGGCGCTTCGCTGAGAGGACGTGTGCAAGAGACCCGCATTCGCGAACAAAGAGGGAGGATGGAAGAGAGGGCGAGAGAGAGGGAAGCTTGCCGTCTGCTCTGCGAAACAGGCGAAAGAGCAGAAAAGCGGGACGAACGTAGGAAGTGGAAGGCTTTCTTTTCTCTCTTTTCTGCTCCTTGCGGGAAGTCACAGCACCAAGACGGCCGGTTAGTGCAGGAGCCCCACTTGAGAGACTGGGTTGGCCAATGGGGCGGCAGACAGCATGCGTCTGGGACACAGCGACCCAGTGCTGGCCAATCAGCGGGCGGTGCCCTGATGGAGCAGCGTTTCGACTCGTTCTGGCGCCTAACTAAAAAATAGAATGCCCGGCCAATGGGAGCAGTTGGTCCTGCAAGTCGACGATTAGCATCTTTACATAGTCGTAGTACGGAGTACGGAGCAGGGGGGCGGACCAGCCAGGAGTTGTGGGTCTTCTCTCCGCCGCTTTGGAAGCGTTGAGGCCTTTTGCCCCTTGGGCCTCGACGGTGTCGTAAAGCGTGAACCGTAAAGCGTGAACCGTAAAGCGTAAACAGGCACTGCTGCGTATGTTTCTTGGGGTGGTGGTTTCTGGTACTCCGTACGGAGTACTGCTGGTCAATACGAGCAACGCGCGTGACTCAGCCGCATGACGTCCTGCCACAGCGAGACGGGTACCGGTACGGAGTACGAGCTTGCTTGCCTGCTCAGGCACTGCCCTTACTCGTACGTATCAGCTTCTTGCGCCTCTCTGGCTGCGGCATGCCTGGCGGAAGCGAGCAAGTGCTCGTGTGGGCACGTCACGACGAATAGCTTCGTAATGGGTTGTGCGTCATTAGTGTCTTTAATCTCTGACTGTGTACGACGTGCTCGTACTAACGAGTATCGTATTACGAGTACTCCGTGCCTCCTTGGACCCCCTCCTAGCTGGCCACTGCGTCTGGGATCATGTCGCAGGATCTCGTCCCATCCTGGCTGCCGCGTCTTGCTGACCTGGTGTGGGCTAACACTGGCCGTTATGCTTGTTTGGCTGGCCGGGCAGGGACCTTTCGGATTTCCATCCGGTCTTTTTCTCTGGGTCCTACGCGTGTTGGCGGCATGGCAGGAAGACTTCGCAGAGGTCCCGAGCCCTGACTCGCACACGAGCATGGACCGATGCACCGCACTTGCCAATCTCCATGGAAACCGGACGGGGCCAAGCGGCGAGAGCCCCGTCCCCTTCAGCTCTCGTCTCGTACTTTGGCGAGCGTCCGTAAGATACTATATACGGCCTCAGCAGGCACGATACCACGGCTGGTGGCAATAGCACTCCAAAATACAGCCGCAGAGACGAAGGATCCCGGGCTGCGCACGTAATCAACCGGGACTTAGCACTCTCTTTCTCCGTACTGTCATGCATCGTATGTAAGATGTGCATGCCTGTGTCTTGCGTAGTACGTGTGCAGTGCTGAACAGCAAAGGCGCCGGAACAGGGCACCGATCCTAAAACAGGAAACGGCTGTGCAGCGCGTTCAAACAAGCACAGATTCTCCCTTGAGCAAACCTGAAACGCCTCCAATTTGGCCACCCCCAAGAACTGCATCAGCCTACTGCACAATTCCATACTTGTACCCACAGAAATTGACTAGCGCTCCCGGCTCGAGAAAGTTGTGCGCATGTCTTATCCCCGGTTTGGTTTCTTGCATTTGGCACTATTCTCTGCGTTGCGCAACACAACCGCGTCGCGTCTGGCAACGAAGGGTGCCCTGTCCGTAATTACTCGTACGCATTATACCTCGTATTTTTAAATTGAGCTGCGATGCGAGCACGCGCACAAGGGAGCGCCCCCTTGCAAAGACCCATCTTACGCGCATGTTGTGTCTGTGTACGGAGTACTCGAGTCGTCGCTGTTGACGGTCTTTATAGGCTCCGTACGTACCGAGACTGCGAGGTATATGGAACACCAACATGCCGCTTACGGAGTATATATAGCGAGGCATGGGAAATGAGATGTGGAAATGTGGAAATGTGTGTATGTGTTAATAGTACTGGTAATGGATATGCGTCGCATAAAAATATCTGCCAGAATTTGCAAGAGGCAGAAGAACGAGAAGACCTGTCGTGAGGCACTCAGTTTCAAAATATGTTAATGCTGCCATCCACTCGCCGATCCCACGAGTGCGGATACAAAAGCACGTTACACGGGCATATCTTCTTCATACGTCGTACTCGCGCTGGCAACAAGAAGCATAATTTTCCCTTCCTCCTTAGAATTACGAAGTAGCATTGTAGGTCGCGTCGAATTTCTTCTTTCAGGACCTCCTATCTCTTTAATATCGAGACTCCTCTCTGGCGAGGCCTGAGCCGCTCTTCACACGCCGCTCTGCGTCCTGTGCAGAATATTGGTGGCAGAATCTTAATGTTTCTAAGAAAGGTTTCTGGGTCGTGCTCCATATACGAAGTACTCCGTACTTTCTCTGTATTATGTAGCTTCCAAGTGGAGACGGCGAAGTGTTAGGAAATCGTGCATGCCAGATACCTGTACGAGTTCCCTCAAGCACTCGTAAGTCGTCATCATCGCCGGTCCACCTGCTGTGTGACGATCATGCCTCGCGTGGGCTATATACCGTAGGCACGATGAAACATGCATCGACGAACCTCCCCGTTATTATGGCGGTCCGTTGCCACGACAAGTGCAGGCAGGATACAGAATACGCATGGACGTCTACGCTGGCAGTGGATGCTCCTCATGCACGTATCGTAATACTCGTATGGGCCCAGCTGCCCTGGACAGCATTCTCATTAGAATGAAACGTAAGATTATGTCATGTGCTTTGACTGTGTGCGCGTATAAGACATGAACAGATGTGCTGGGTGACGGTCTTCCGCGCATGAACAACTCGTACGTGTGCATAGCTTCTTCTGCGCGCAAAAGCCTCTCGGTCTAGCTTCCGCCATGGCATTTCACGCGTTTCTTCCTGCAAGGCGGATGCCACATCAATCGTCCGCACGGTAGCAACCCGTCGCCAGATAGGACGACGGCTCACTCGGTCGCGTATGGAAAGTAAGATAGCTGGCGCTCGTAATTCGGCCTGCATCCCATTCCCGCTCTGGGATCGGTCTCCACCACCAGAGCAACGGACCGGGGGACTAGCCAGATTGGCAAGCGGGCAGACGACTTATATGTCTGGAATTGAAAGGGCCACGCTGATTGGCCTGAACTCTGTAGCCCGGGCCTCGCGCGATGCAGCAGGGTAATCAAACCAATACAGTAGGGACGGAGGATTTTTCAGTGGTCCACGTCAGGGTCCAGAGTAAACATGGCCTGTGGAGGAGTGGATTGGAGCCCTGTCTGGACATCTTACGAGCGGTGCTTTCTGCAGCTTTAAGCCCTGTAACCCCCCTTTATTGTTTGAGGACGATGCCTATTTCAGGGCCCTTGCCTGCATATCCAAATCATTGTTGGTGGGGCAATACTATAAGCACCATGTCGCTGGCAGGGCTTGACGAACGGAGTGTTTTTTCTGTTTTTTTGTGGCTGCCCATTTTGCGATTCGTCACCGTCGAGCTTCCCATGTCGGCCTCGGCCGACGACTGGGAACGGCCTAGGGTGGCCGATGATTAAAGGACCCTAACACAGACGAAAAGACAAGGCAAAGCTGCAGCCCCTAATTCAGGGCCTGGACGTCAGCGGCACTTGTGTGCTACCTGTCAACGGCATTGTAAGGCGACGGCAGACGGGAATAAGAAAGTACAGTGTGCGGCGGTGAAGGATTTTCTTTTTCTTCCGCTGCTGAGCTGGCACGACAAAAAGACGGCGCACGACAGCTTACCAGAAATAAACCCAAAGAACCAACCTGCAGGGAAGGAGGGACGAGCGGGGAAATGAGAATGCTGAAGCTGTAACGCTGTACGGAGCAGACACGCTATCTTTTACCCTCATTCGCTCTCTCGCTTGGGCCAACGGCCAGGGTCGGGACAGGGCCTGGAAACAGAGCAAATAGAAATGGCAAATTGGGCCGACAGTCCCTTGATCGGGCTTGCTGAGGAAGAAACGAAACGGCCTGCACCTTGCATCGCTAGCTGCATCGAAGATCGTAGTGCGGACCAACCACAGGATATCGCGACGTGTCCATGCTTGCAGTCGCTTGACTCTGGCTTCCATGTGTTTCTTTCCCGGTACCGAAGCTCAAGCCACTCGAGCCACTCGAGCCACTCGAGCCACTCGAGCCGCCTCTCAAGCCTCTCAAGCCCTCACGATCCGCCCCCTTTCCGGTGTGTGGGACCCCTGTGATGAAAATGGGCGACTCGACCGACGTCCACCCCTCATATGCGACTTTGCGCCGAAGATTCCCTCATGCCGATTCGACGTTTTGCTCTGGCCGTCTGACTCCGGCTCTGCAGGCTGCCCTCACCGTAGATGATCGCCTGCTCCTGCGTCTTTTACCTCTTCTCTGGCCGTGGTTGTAAGATACGAGTACTCTCGGCCCCCCTCGTTCTTCGTACTCTCCCGGTACTTCTGCCCCGTGCGGCCTCTCCCAGATCGTCGTCCCTCCCCTCTCGAGCCCTGACCCGGACCTTGACCTAACATTGCCTGTTTTTGTTAGCGTGCCAGGCCTTCCTCAGAAGAGAAGGGCCGGGAACCCACACGGAGAACCCATAGAGCCCAACCCTGGACGCGGTGCCTTTCCTCTGCGGCCCAGTTGCTCCGTCGCAGCACTCCTCCTATTCCAACGGTCGCGATTTATTTTGGCAGTGGGCTGGCTTCAACCGGTCGAGCCAGGCGAGCTCTCTTCTCCCCCTCCCCTTTCTTGCATACCTTCTCCCTCGCCGATGGACCCTTTCCGCGTCCTACGAGCACAACCACAAACTGGTCATACCGAGCTGAGGCGAACCGGTGTCGCCTATCAAGCGTCTGCAAGGGGGCGGACGGATAAGACTTAGTGACAGACGTCTCGTGAAGACAGGCGAGAAGAGCCGAGACACGAGTCAGGAAGACAGATCGGGAAGTAGTCAGCCAAACGGCGCAACGTCCCTGCCGTGGCACCAAGAGAGAAGGTGCGGCCGGCCAGCAGGCAGGAGAGGACATTAACAGCAGGCGCGCGTGAGAGAACAATGGCTTCCGTCGCCATCGCCGGCCATTCTTTCGCTGCCAACACAGTGACCCCCCCACCACCAGCAACTCCGGCGACGAACAGGACGACGACGACAGCCGTGGCCGGAACAGCCTCTCCCGCCAGCAGGCGCTCTCCACCGAATTCCGCCCCTGTGGATAGTGATGTGTCGCCAGCGCCATCTACATCGCCAGCCTCTACACAGATACAGTATCCACAGTCGAGGACAGATCCGCATCCAGACCACCGGCTGCAGACGCCCAAGTCCCAGCAGACGCCAACCCATCATCCTCTGCACGCGCACCGACAGAACCACAACTCGTCCAAGCTGCCGGCCTTCCGGTTCGCCGATTTGAGGAAGGACTCGCTGGTGCTGCCATCACGACCACACCACAGTCCACCGTCGCCTGTCTCGCCTGAGCCGCCCTACGATTCGGGGCTGCAGCAGCAACAGCAGAAGGTGGATGCACTGCAGGGGGCCGACTCTCAGCAGAACCACTGCCAGTACGACCAGCAACAGCGCCACCAGCAGCCGACACCCCCTACTCCTCCCACTACAGCAGACGCTAATTTTACCGCCCCCACCACTACATCGCGCTGTAATAGCGCTGGGAACGTGCACAACAACACTGTTTCGGCTACCCGCAGTGACTTTCCCCTTTCGCCCACATCTTCCTCCTCGGCGTCTGGCAACACCCGTCCGAGTCAGCCTGCACGATCCCGCCCGTCGTCGTTTCAAAACCTGGCGCCGCCCCCGCCGCCGCACCAGCAGCAGTCTTTCTCGCCTTTCTCGTCTTCCTCGTCTTCCTCCACGGCTGCCGCCGCCTGCTCGCACAGCACTACCACTACCACCACCACCAACGCCAAATCCGACCACAACAGCACGCCCATTGCCACAATCGCCACCATCGCCACCACGACCAATAACATCACGACAACAACGCCGACGACTACGTCTGACGACCTCGCTGCCAGACGGCCTGCGTCATTTCCAAACTCTCCACCCACCGTCGTCGTCTCCGCTGTCAATACCACCCCTCTCGCGTTCTCGTCCAGCCCAGTAACGGCCAGACTCCAGCGCACGCTGACGGACCCCATCCCGTCGAAATCGACATCGCCATCGCCATCGGCAGGCGCATCGACATCCGCATCGGCGGCGACCACGTCATCGTCCTCGCAGCCGCAGCCGCTTGCCTCGCTGGGCAACGCAAAGACCCAGTCGCTGCACCGTCGCGCACCCGCCTCCTTCAGCTCCCACGGCCTCGAGACGTCACGCGGCCCACCCACCGCCTTCACCGCCAAGCGCATCCAGGCGGTGAACGTGCAGGCTGCTGCCGCCCACGCTGCTGCTACTGCCCAAGGCTCTCGCCCCAGCGGTTCTGCGCCTACGACTACGCCTGCGCCAGAGGCCGCCACGGAGCGGGTCAAGAGCCAGCGCGATTCCGCGCTGTCGCCGAGCGAACCGTCTTCGCCACAACAGTCGGCTGATGACAAGCGAAAGCCCGCCACCATCACCTCCCGGCCTCCCGTCTCGTTCCGTGCCCCCTGTTACGACAGCTCTTCGCCGCGCGGTGCCATCCCCCCCATCCGCTCCTTCCGCTCCTCGGGCTCGCGAAAGAGCCTGGGCCTGGACATGAATTCCCGCCCTTTCGGAGACTTTAGCGACGCCGATTCTACCGACGCCGGTGGTCTGAGTCCGACGCAGCACGGTCGCTCCCTGCGTGCGCTCGAAGGCTTGACCGACGACGAGTGGACCCAGCGCGCCTTTCACGACTCTACGTCTACGCGCTCAACACTGCCCGACACCGACACCGAAAACACGGCGGACATCTTCATGCGCATCGCACGGGAAGACACGAGGAACCGGTCCTCCGACGAGGATCGGCCCTCGGACAATCACAGCGTGGCAGTGAGTGAACCCTCCCCTCCCGTTGCCGTCCCCCTTGTCATATTGTGTTTCACGACGCCACTTGTGTGTCTCGGAGGCGTGTGGGCGTTGCATCGGGACAATGGGTTGAAACGGGAAAATTTTTCCTGCTTGTCCCTCTTTTCACAGCACTAGTTTCACATCCCATTTTTTGCGTATTAACATGGATTCTTGTGCAGGCACGCGCAACACAATCAACCTCGCAGCGGCGACCTTTTTCCGCCGCTGTTCCCTCCCACCAGCCGGCTTCTCCGACCCAAGTTGCCCGCCGCCTTTCCGATCAGCGCGAGACAGCACGGTCTCGACGTGCCGGCGAAGAGCTGGCGGTCCGGACCCACGCCTTTTCGCATGAGCTCAGCCAGCGTGCTCTGGCAAATGATCGGCTGACGTCCAGTCGGGCCAGCGGGACCCAGAAGCCCGATCCCGTCCGGACAGCACGAACGGTCATCTCGTCGGCACGGCCGTCTCCGAGCACGCCGCGAGCGTCGGCCTTTTTCGATACGGCATCGGAAGTAGGCACGAGCTACGCCCGGAGACGACCGTCGACCGACAACAACAATAACAACAACGGCAGCACAGCACCGCCAGCACGGACGTCTTCCATCAAGCCATCTCTCGCATTTGCGCGCACATACAGCTCTTCACCACTCGTGCCGAAACATACGAGCGAACCGCAGCAACAAACCGCACACGAGCCGAGCCATGGGGTGGTCGAGGGCACGGAGTCGTCGGGATCGACAGCGGCGCCGTCGACGGTCTGGGACGAGCTGGACGACCTGAAGTCACGCATGCGGCGTCTAGAGCTGTCGGGCAAGATTCCACCGACGTCAGGTGCTGCCATGTCACGGGTGTCGGACGACCGGCCACGCACGGCGACGACCAATGCAACGACAGTGTCGGCTTCACCCAAACGCGGAGCCAACAGCAGTGCTCAGGCAGATGCACGCAGCACGACGTCATCACAACTACACCACCAGCAGTCGCAACAGCAGCTTCTGTCGCTGTCGCTGCAACAGGGCGCGCAGCCATCCCATGCCAACCTCTTGACGGCTCTGCAGAAGGTCAAGGCACAGACGAGCGACGACGTGTACAAGGCCATGGAGGCCATGGCTGCGGAGGCACTGGCGCTGGCGCAGATGGTGGGCGTGTCCGGGCAGCCAGGGCCGATCTCGAGTGGTGCCAGCACGATTGGAGGCGGCGGCCCGGCGACGGTGACAGACCGACAGCTTCGGCGCAAGGCCGACAGCATATGCCGCAGCCTGACGGAGCTGTGTCTGACGCTGAACGAGGAGGCGGTGCACAAGAAGACGGCGGCGACCACATCGGCTTCGACAGCCCTGACGACCATGACATCGATGACAACCATGACAGGAGCGGCGTCCACAGCAGTGGCACCGGCGATATCGCAGACACACCTACAGGCAATTGGGTCTCGCGAGGAGGCCGAGGCGATGGCGAGCCCGGCCACGAGCAGCAAGCCATTTTCACCGATGCTGCGACGGCCTACATTTGATGCGTTTAGTCCGTCGATACAGACGAGCCCGAAGGCGGTGTACCGGTTTGAGGGCCGGCGGGACGAGCGGCAGGACGAGCGACGGGCGTCGTTGATGATGCCGTCCTCGCTTGCGGGATCGCGGCAGTCGCTGGGGCCACCGTCGACGGCAGACAACGTGGGGCGCAGGTCGTCGCTGTTGATCTCCCGGACACGGCGGGCGGTGACGGAAGAGCCGACGGACGACAGCCAAGGATCGGGACGCCGATCGTCGATCTTGCGAATGCGGCGAGCCGGCACGGAAGAGCCGGCGGAAGAGGGCGGACGCAAATCGTCGCTGCTGCTGCGATCACGACGGGCAGTGATGATGAGCGTGGAGGACGACGACGACCAGGACAGCGGGATCCGGTCGGCGCGGTCGCCAGCACGCATCATCACGGAGACGGCAGTATCAGCTTCGGGATCGCGACAGCCGAGGGAATATGCCGGGCGCGAATACCTGACGGCGCCGGGCGAGACCAGTCCGCTGGGCTCGTCGGCGCTGCCGCGACGACGACTGATTCCGTCGAGTCTCAGCTCACGGCTGGTGTCGCCACAGCTGATGGCCATGACGGCAACATCCACGTCGTCACCGTCGTCGTCGTCGCAGGCGCTGCTCTCCAGTCGGCGGTTCCTCGGACGGTCAGGCGGCGGCAATCGAGACGGCGGCAGCGGAACGCCAACCAAAACCAGCGAAGACCGGGCGCAGCAGCGACAGCTCTCACTCGGCCAAACAGCCATGATGAACCGCACAAGCGTGTCTTCGCGACGGATGACCCGCGACACGGGCATCTCGAACATGCCCTCGGCGGCATCGCAGGTGGGCGGCTACCGATGATGGGTGGCTGCTTTCTGCATCGAAAACACTCGACTACGTTCTGCTCCACGTCTTGGACAGCCTTTTCTTTTTTTAATTTCACTGTATTATACACCCCCTGCATCACGCTGCATCACGTTCCATACGCAGGCGTTCTTCCTTTCTTTTGTCATCCATGTATGTGTATTTTTAATATCGGTGCGGCGGATCCGCTGCATATCATGAAACTATATATCCAATGACCACTGCACGAATGCATCTTTTATCTTTAGTATGGTAGCTAGTCTTTTGAGAGGGTTGAATTGAAGTGTGTGATTAGTCCGTGTCGAGAATGTACATTGTTTAAAAAGTTAGACCAGTCCATCAGCACCCCGCAAAAGGGTAGCCGGACTCTAAAAACAAGCTTGCGAGGCTGAGCAGACGTTTTGCTCATGGGATCGTTCCTTCCGCATCCGGCGTCTCGTCTAATTCTTTTGCGTACGGGCACAATTTTGAGGTGTTTGACAGGAGCAGCATTTGTGCCAGCAGCACAGCAGCCAGACAGAGGCAGCACAGGACGGTTCATCAGACCTTGGCAGCGAGCAGACATGGACGAGATGGACAGCGCCGACGTGCTGGCGGCGCAGTTTGCGGACCGGCTGTCGGAGCAAGGGAAGCACAGTGCAGGTGGCCAGAGAGGAGGCAGCAGCAGGCGTCGAGGCGGTGGCAACGGACGAGGAAAGCGAGAAGGCGGCAGCAGCAGCAGCCGGGCGGTGGATGTGAGCCGGGCGCTGTCGAAGCTGCTGCGCCACCAGGCGACGAGTGCGGGGATCGTGCTAGACGGCGAGGGCTATGCAGCGCTGGACCAGGTGCTAGCCTGGGGGCCGCTGCGATCGATGGGCGTGACGGCGGCCGAGGTGCGCGACGTGGTGGCGAGCAACGAGAAGCAGCGATTCGGGATGAAGCGGGTGGATGGAGACGGGATCGATGAGGTGGAGGCCGACATCGCGAACCCGTCTGCCTGGCGCATCCGGGCGAACCAGGGCCACAGCCTTCCGCTGGCCAGCGACGGTGGCCTGCTGCAGGCGATCGTCGACGTGGCGTCGGCACCGGCGATCGTGTGTCATGGCACCTTTGTGGCCGCATGGCCGCAGATCGAGGCGTCGGGCGGCCTGCGGCCGATGGGCCGGAACCACGTGCATTGTGGGAGTTGTGAGGGCGGTGAGGGGGAGGCCGACATGGACGCAGACGCAGACGCGGACTTGGACACCGCCAGACTGGCCCGCACCATTCCTGGCCTGCGCAAAAACGCCGACCTGCTCGTCTTCCTCGATGTCCGTCGTGCCCTCTGCGAAGATCCCTCGATCCGCTGGTGGCGCTCCGACAACGGCGTCGTGCTGACCGAGGGCAATGCCGACGGCGTCGTGCCCGCTCGCTTCTTCCGCCGCGTCGTCACCACGGCCGCACCCACGCTCGTCCTCTGGCGCGACGGCCACCGGACGTCCGAGCTGCCGGCGGCACTGCTGGCACGCGCGCGGATGCCGGGCAACATGCGGGGGGCGGCCGTCCGAGCACGAGCCAAAGACGGCAGCAACAATACCGGACAGCAGACAGACAGAGGGCGGACAGAAGGGCAGAAGACTGATGGAGAACAGACAGACGGACAGACAGAATAAGACCTTCGAATAGTTACTATGACGTAATCCACTGTAGACAGCCTGGTACCTTCCTAAACTGCACCCCGGTGCCTTCCCAGATACGCACCTCCCAGATTGGGTGCTTGACATACTATCGCACCTTCCACATCACAACACGTCTTCGCATCTCTGCTCTTCTTCACGATTCTACCAAACTACTGTACACATCCAACCTCAGCCATCTACGCATAGTTCAGCTCAGGATTCGCCCGGAAATTGCACCGACAGCGACACTCCGGCACCGGACACTCGGCATGGCGAGCGAACCACTGGCGGGCGTGATCCAAGTGCAGGACGTGGTCGCACTGCAGACAAAAAGTCGGGAACTGGGCCGTCAACCGAGTGTCTGCATCGGCCGACGTCTCCGGACGATCTGACCGCGGCGTGCCGACGATCTCGAGGCAGACGACGCAGCGCGGCAGATGACGCTTGCAGTTGGGACAGCTGATGCCGGCCGTCACCAGCTTGGCCCGCAGCTGATTGTTGGCCTCGGGAGGTGCTGATGAGGCCACAGAACCGGTTGAAACGCCGCTGCCACTGCCACCTCCACCACCAGCCGGCATCACCACGACGGCAGCACCGGCAGGGGCCACACCACCTGGTCCACCGGCGCCGCCAGTCACGCCGCCAACACTGCCAGGACCACCGGCACCGGCCAGTCGCGTCTGGGCATCACAATAGACACATCGCAGCGCAATCTGGCGAGCTGGTGGCACCAGACGCGGCCGGCCGTCGGCCGTGCCTTTGCTGCGCTTGGTGCTCTCGACCTCGAACTTGGCCCGCTGGAAAAAGGCCCGGTGCCGCTGCAAATACGCCCCGTAAGCCCGTCGCCACGCTGCACACCGCACATCGTCAATGTATCGCGGAGCTGCTAGGGCTGTCACCAAGGCAGCCGTCTGCACGTCGTGGAACCGGTCGACATAGCGCGCCCAGATGTCCACGCCTGCGTCTGTCAGCCCCGTCAGCACCACACCCTCCACGTCGCCCGTCCGCACCGCTTCCACCCGCGTTTCTCGCAGCCAGGCCGTCAGCTGGCCGTCGTCAAACGTCCGCACCGCCACTGCCACCCGTTCTCGCAGCGGCAGCGATGTCTGGTGTGCAATCGTCATCCAGTCGCCGCCCGTTGCGATCAGTGACGAGATCGCCCGCAGGTATGGATCCGTCTTGGATGCCAGCGCTTCGTCAAAGTCTAGCAGCCGCCCTCCCGCGCCATCCGACTCGCCGCCCCGCTCCATCAGCTGCAGTGCTAGCGACACAAACAGCAGCTCCGGGTGCTCGCCGCTGGCCATCTTGAGAATCCGCACCGCCTGCTGGCTGTCGCCCCGGAACAGCGCCTGCGCTGCTGCCATCGTGTGGAAAGACGCCGCTCGCTCGCCCGTCTCGTCGCTTTTGTTGTTTGGTGGCCGACCCCAGCCGCAGATCTCCAGACAAAGCTGCCGGTGGTGTGGCCGTCGTGTTTCCACCCCGTCATACGGCGGCAATCCTCGGCGCCGGCAGATTGCCGCTATCGCCCGCTGCCAGTTTCCCGCTTCCGGAAACGACGCCGGCAGCGGCTCCGAACTGATGATCCGTGTCTCTTTCTTGACCCCCAGATCCTCCAGCCAGATGCTGCCCACGCCCATAAACGACAGGTCCAGCGAATGTGCCACCATCCCGCCGCTCTTGGCCGCAGCTTCTGCGTCTGGTTTCGTTAGCCTACCGTCAGATCGAGTCAAGTCAACTCTTCCGACTCCCTCACTCACCTCCAATCCACCTCCACACATCGCGCAGCCACGGGTCGTCGGCCACCACCACCTGATTCACCTCGCTGTCAAACAGATACCGCTCCTTGGCTCGCAGAAGCATTACGTGGTCTAGCACTACTTGTGCCTCCGATGGAAACCCTTGTCGCACCAACGTTGCGCTCAGCAGGCTCTCATGCAGCTCTTGGCTGGTCAGCGGCCGTCCTGACAGCGATGCTAGCGATGCCAGTGATGCTGTCGACTCTGTCAGGTCAGCTCGGCCCGAGAACGTCGTCACTGCTTCGGCTGCCGTCGTCGTCGCTGCTGCTGCTGCTGCTGCTGCTGTCGTTGTCGAGACCGCTGGCCCCCCTTTTTTGCTCTGCTGTGGTCGCAGATGGCGCTTCGAGTATGCTCGCAAGATCTTGAGCTTCTGTGCCACCGTCGTCGCCGCATAGAACTCATCCGGAAGCTTGGCCGGTGGCGTCCTCAATTCGCTGACCGTGTCGCCTGTCGTTGTTGTCGTTGTCGCCGTCGTCTCCAACCCGCTCAGCTGGGCGGCGCGTGCTTTTTGGGCCGTCTGCGTCGCTGCCTCGATCGCTGACGCATCCGCCGCAAAGATGGGAATGTCTGCAAGCGCCTCCTCTAGCGCTATCGGCCCGAGGATCTCGGCCGCCTGGTCCATCTCCAGCTGCATCATGCTGTGGTACGAGGAGCCTTCTGTTCGGGGGTCAGCTTGCTGCTGTATGCACATACACACACATACATATACACACACATACCTTCCAGACCACGATAGGGTGCCGTCCAGGGAATCAGCTTGAACGGGTACTCGGCCGTGAACGACGGCTTCTCGACAATGCCAAAGCTGCCGTTGGACCGCAGCACCAACACGCGTGGCCGCAGTGCCGGCGACCCGATGGTCACAAAGTCAAACGACACGATGCGTTCGCTCTTTCGCTTCGGATCCGAGTACTGGTTGTCCATCTCGTTGGTCCGCCGCACCTCCAGCAGCTCAGGGCTGCGGTCGGCCACCATGTCTAGCGAGCAGTATTCGTGTACCGTCTCGTACACCTTGAGCTGCCCGGTCCCCGAGAGCACACCCAGCATGCCGCGATGGTCCCGGCAGTACCGCAGCGACCGGATCACCGAGCTCTTGCTCTCGCTCATCGCCTGCTCCGACTCAGACGACACGGCCCTGTCTAGCCACAGGGCACCACCCCACGACAGCTCGTCCACGTCGACGGCGTCTAGATATTGCGGCGACGCCATCGCCCGGTTGCCCGCGCGCCGGTCCCAGATCATGATGCCCGGGTTGTCGAGCGCGGACGAGGCAAAGTAGTTGGGGTCCGCATAGTCAATGGCCAGGTTGTTGTTGCAGCGCGTCTGGAAACTGGGCATCTGCACGCTATGGTCGCGCAAGTCATGAATGCGCAGCCCTTGGCCCTTGATCCCGACCACGAGCGTGTTCGGGTTGTCTTCGAAGAAGCGCACGCTCGACACCGACACGCTCGGCTCGCGCACCTCGACCGGCTCGCCAAACGGCTCGACATCCCGGGCAAAGCCGACGCCGTCCTGTCCGCGCGAAGACGACTGCACCAGACGGTTGACGTCCCAGATGTGCAGACACCGGTCGCTGCGCACGCGGTCCAGCCCGACGGCCAGACGGTTGGCCGTGCTGAACGAGACCGCTTGACACGTGCGCGACATCTTGAGGCCCAGCTCCATGTACGCGTTGGAGTTGTCGTCGATCTTGAGCAGGTTGACCACACCGGTCGGCGTGCCCACGGCCACAAGCCCGGGGATGTTGGGCGCCCAGTCAAACGACGTCAGCGTCGGAAAGTCTTCGTGCTTCGATAAGTTGCGGTACTCGAACCGGCCGGTCTTGGCGTAGCCCGTCGGCACGTACAACTGCACAATCCGGTGCTGCAGGTTGATGTGCAGAAACGAGTCCACGCCCGCATTGGGCGACCAGCGGACGAGGCCGGTCTCCGGGCCGTCCATTGCTGAGCGTCTGTCTGATGCCGTCGCAAGGGACGTTCCAAGAAAGTCAGGTCTGTTATGAGGCCGTCTGGTCCTCCCGTGCGTGCCAGATAAAACGTGTGTCCCTTTCTCTCATGTGCAGCATCGTACGGATCTCGATCCCGCTATCATCTTGCGCATTCACACGGAAGCTAAGGCTTCACGGCTGCTGGAGCTTGAAGCTGCTTGTTGGTTGCGACCGAGGTGGCGAGCGAGTGCACGTGATAAGAGCGGGGCGCATGAGCGATAAGATAAGTCTAGTTGGCAGAAAAAAAAGAGAAATATTTACGGCTGCTAGTTGAGCCTATCCCCTACAGAGCATGTCTTCACTGAAACAGCTGTTTTCTTGCAACAGAACGAACATCACGATGGGCGAAAAACGCCAGCAGAACGAGTATGCCGAGGCGGAGCCGATGGCCAAGAGGCCCAGAAGCGGTGGTTTCAGTAAAGACCAGCATGCAAAGAAGCACACGGCCAAGCCGGACTCGTCGAGCTGGGCAAAGAAGCGGGCTCGTGCGATTGAGCGGCGCATGCAGCGCAACCCCGACACGCTGCCGGCGAACGTGCAGCAGGACCTGGAGCGCGAGCTGATTGCGCTTCGGCAGCAGCTGAACAGCCGGCAGGAGAAGAAGCAGCGGACGTACATGATCTCCAAGTACCACATGATTCGGTTTTTTGGTAAGCTTACCACGGGCTTGTCGAGCTGGCCGGGCATTTACTCACCTTTGCAGAACGGAAAAAGGCGATGCGTCTGGAGAAACAGCTGCGGCGACGGCTTGCCGAATCGGACGACCCGATGGAGGTGGCAGCCATCAAGGCAGACCTGCACATTGCCGAGGTGGACCGGATGTACGCGACGTACTTTCCGTTTATGGAGCCCTACGTGAGCCTGTATGCGGCGAAGGAGGAAAAGGAGAAGGAGGAGAAGGGTGGCAAGGGTGACGAGGACGACGAGGACGACGACAGTGAGGGCGGCGCAAAATCAAAGGCTGGCAAAACGGCTGGCAAAAAGGCCGGCAAGAAGGCCAAGGGCGAGGACAAGGTGGAGGCCAAGGCTGACAGCAGTGCGACAAGCAAAGCGGCGCAGTTGTTGCACGCGCCACGGCCACCGATCTGGGCCCTGGTTGAGACAGTGATGCAGTCCGGCGACATGAGGGAGCTGAAGCAGCTACAGGAGCGGCAGCCGAAGAAGACGGCCGAGAAGGCAGGCAGCAAAACAGCGACGGGAGCGAAGGAGGAGAAGAGGGAGGATAAGAAGGCCAAGGGCCAGGAGGATGATAGCGATGATGGTGGTTTCTTTGAGTAGGACTGATAGGCTAGAGTTTGAGACACGAACGAGTACTCTATACCCACACAAATATAGTAAGCCTTTTTGTTCTGTCTGCACGGACCTTTTGCGGCGTTAGGCTTGCAGTGTTCAGCGAGGCGGAGCAGATGCGGAGAAGGAGCTGGAAGCTGCGATCGCCTGAGAGGTGCCTGCCAATTGCGTCGGATTTAGGCCGGCTGCCTTGGAGTGGATTTTGCATCTCGAACTTTATATGTCGGCATTGTGCTCGACAGCAGTCGACAGAAGAACAGAGAACAGAACAGAGAACAGAACAGAGAACAGAACAAAGAACAGGAAAATAGAAGAAAAAGCGAAGAACAGACGGACAGAAAGACGAAAAAGGCCGACAACACGCAGCGCGATGTCATACAACCAGCTCCGGGCCTGGATCGAAGCCCAGGAGGCCTTTGAGCGGCAGAATGGCAGTCCGGCGCCGCTGACGGACGAGCAGCGCCGGGCCATGGCGGTGCTGGTGCCGGCGCCGATGGTTCTGCCGGCGGGCGACGGGGCGATGGAGGCGAGCACGGACTGGATCAGCCGTCTGATGCACTATGAGCAGTCCAGACCGTACGACGCAGCCGGCAGCCGTGCCGAGTTCATCGAAGAGCCCATCGCCTCACGCGGCGGCGGTCCACCATACTGGCGGTGCTGGTGTCGGCTGCCGCGCGAGGCGCCGTCGCAGCGATTCCCCGACGCAGACACCGTGGCAGCCGATCCGCATGCCGCCGTCTTCCTCCGCAAAAAGGACGCCAAGAAGTTTGCGGCCCAGTGTGCGGTCCGATGGCTGATGGCGCACCACTACATGCCGACAGCCGTCACGGGCAGCAGCCCACGGCCGCCGGTTTCGTCCACGTCCACAGCCGTCGCCAGACGACTGTCCTCGCTGCCCCTTCCCGTGCCATCCACCTCTCCGCCTTCTCGTCGTCTCGTCCATCAGGCGCAGCAGCCAGACACGACAACGACGACTGCTGCTGCACTGCCGTCTCCCAAACAGATCCTACCAGCTTCCACCTCCACCTCCTCTTCCCTCCCACAGCCACTGTCGTCCTCTCCCGACGAGGAGTCCACGCTCGCAGACTATCGCGCCCGTCTGTCTCAACCGGCTGACTCATCCGCCACCAACGCCAAGGTCTCGTCCATGGCCTCGTGGCAGTCGTCGTCGCCCTCCACCAAGCGCAGACGCGGCAGCGACGGCGACAGCACGTCCAACGTGCGCAGCCTCCAGGACTTGTGCCAGAAGCTGGGCATGGCCATGCCGGAACTCCGCGTGACCGCCTGCAGGGGCCCCAATACCGGCTTCTTCGACGGCGTCGCCGTCTTTCTGCCGCAGAAGAACAGACCCGCTCCTGTGGTCCTCCCGACTGGCGTCGGCTCTGTCTCCATGGTTTACACCCGAGAGGCCACGAAGGAGAAGCTGGCCCAGAGCGTGCTTGCCCATCTGGCTTCGGCTGCAGCCAAGGACCAGTAACATGCACCCACCCATTCGATAGGCTCAATCACGTTTCGCACCCGTTCACACAATCTCGCGTACATGTTGCTGGTCTTTGGTGTTCTACATTCGTCATGTCATAAAGCTCGTAACGCGGCACGCGCACAGTCTCCCCTACATCACCCGCCAGATGGCACCGGCTCGCGGTGCTGCCCAGCCGATGCTGTCAATGCTGCCAATGCTGCTGATGCTGTCGCTGAGCTGCCGCGATGTGCTTTCGCGGCCGTCCAGAGCCGAGTTCATGCGCCGGATCCATGCCAGCTCCTGTTCAGCTGCGTCCCGCTCAAGCTGCTGCATCACGTTCAGCTCTGCCAGCATGTCGTCCACGAGCCTGCGGCAGCCACCCAAAATCCTATCGAGACTGGACGTACCACCACCATCAAGACCATCACCATCCCCTTTACCTCCACCATTCATATTTCCATCGCCAAGTATATCGAGCTGTCGCTGCCATCCCTCCAGCTTGCGTGTCAGGTTGGCGCAGTCTGCATGCCACGCTGCATCCAGCACCAGCGCCGGGTCCTTATGGCTTTCGCCCGGAAGAAGGAGAAGAAGACTCGACCCGTCCTCGTCATCGTCCTCATCGTCCTCGCTCTCATCACCCTCTTCGAGGTTCTTGACCGCCTGTCGACGTGCTTCTACTAGTGCTGCTGTTCGCTCGGCCCATCGCTCAAACCGTCGCACCACCCGTCCATACCGGTTGCTGCTGCTGTTGCTGCTGCTACTGTTGCTGTTGTTGTTGTGGTAGTGGTGGTCACTGCTATCGACCATGCCGGCTCCTACTGCCAATGACCAAACACCAGCTAGCACCTCGTCCAGCGCTTGTACGTTCTCGTCGAGCGTGTGGATGCCGCCGCCTTTCCACCGCTGCAGCGCCGCCGCATTGGCCCGTTCCACCTGTACGGCAGCGGCGCGTGCGAGCTCTATGTCAGCGGCAGCCAGCATGGCGAATCGACGGCCCAGCAGCTCGCGGGCGGACGCGTGCCAGGCTGCAGTCGTGGCAGCCGAGTCGCGGTGCAACAGGTGCAGCTGCAACAGGACCGTCTGCAGCCGTGCCGTCTCGGCCGAGAGAGCCACGTTGGCCGGTCGTTTGGAGGGCGATGGCGGCGCCAAGATGGCGGCTGTGCGCGGCTTGGGTACCAGTGACTTGGCTGGCGAGTAGTGCTGCTGCAGGGTGGAAAAAGCCGGACGGGACGACGATGTCGAGCCAGAGCCAGAGCCGGAGGCCAAAACGGACGGGGCCAACGTGCTGCCGATCGTGGCAGACCGTTGTCGACGGTGCAACGAGGCAGGCGGCGTCGTCCGGCTCTTCTTGTTGGCACTGGTTGTCGTCGTGGCCGTCGTGGTCGAGCTGCTGGCCGAGGACGACTCGGCCGAGGGTGGCCGCAGGACTATGGCTGCTGTCAGGGCGGTGGCCGAAGAAGTCGTCTTGGCCGGTCTGCTCGTCCTGCTCGTCAGCGTTGCTGTCGTGGACACGGTCGACAGCGGCGACGGTCCCCGAGTGATCGTGGTCGATCGGGTGCGGCCTTGGTAGCCGCCGCTTGAGCCGGTACTGCCGGGACTTCGGGGTGCCGGCAGTGTGGCTGTCCGTAGTAGCCGGCCATGCGGAACGGCTGGACCGGACGAGGCTCTGGTGGGAGACGGCGGTTCGTCGGACGAGCTGGGACGCCGCAGCGCAGACGAAGACGAGGGCGGATAGTAGCGGGAGGAGGTCGACGAAGATGTCGAGGATGACGATGCTGCCGTCATCCTGGTCGACAGGGACCTTGCTGGTGCTGCTCGGGTCGGCGACGTGTTGGCCTTTGTCGTTGTCGAGGCCGAGACTGTCGCTGTCCGTCGTAGCCGCCCGGGCATCACGCCTGAGCCAATCCGTGTGCTCATCGTCGGCAACTGCTTGCTCGGCGACGGCAGCCTGCGTGCTGCCACGCCCGGCTGCGCCATCGATGAGCCGACGGCCGACACGCCGATTTGGGGCCTCCGCAGCGATCGCGTCCGGGCCAGACTCGTCGGCGCTGGTGACGCTGGCGGCGGCTTCGGCGAAGACATTCTGTGGCGCTGGTCTTGTGCTCGCTCGGCTGTCCTTTGTCTGCTTCTTTTTTTTGCTCGGCCTGGCCGTATTGTTGTGTCGTAACACGAAGATTACCACTTCGATCGATTATCTTACCAGACCAATCGGTCTATGGCCGAAAATAAGTACAACGAGAGCTCTGTCTTGTTCCAGGGCGGTGAGCTGGCCCCAGGGGCTTAGCGGAGCACTAAGCGACCCCAGCGCCCTAAGACGCCAGGCTCTCCACCGCGGCAGGTGCAGCCTTGCAACGCGCGACCGCGTGCCTGCCGGCTACGTCGTAGTTGCAGGAAGCTCCGTCACGCGCTCCTGCTCTTGGAGGAATGAGGATTCCTACTCCGTAGAATGACACAAAACGCAGACCGTTTCGCAATGCCCAATGCTGCCTGCGGAGTCCTGTCGTGTCCGCTTGGGCTGCTGCAGCACGCACCTTGGCCCATTTGCGACCACCTTCCGCCAATGATAGCAGCGCTCGTGTCCGCCTTGCTGGCGTGATGCTGTCCACGTCGTTTCTGTATAGCGTGTGTATTATACCAGATCGAAAGAAATCTCAGAAACAAACCATACTACAAACTACTATCCCAAGTACATATTGTGTTATTACCCCCTTGTATGTGTATATGACCGTTCGCAACTCCTTTTGTATCAGCCTCAAAAGACGCCGTCTCGTTAGAAAGCACATCCTCGAAATCGTAACCAAAGATGTGCAAAAACCACACCCCTCATCCCCCTGCAGTAGAAAGAAGCCAAGGAAGGCATCAAGATAAATCGTTCATCAAATCACGCCTCTTGGATCGCCGGCAGCTCGTAGGCCAGCGGGGATCCCTGCCCTATCGAGCCATACGGCTCCATTCCGCCACCGCTGCCCCTCTGTGCCAGCTGCGCCATCAGCCGCTCCAGATCGCCACTTATTGCCTCGCTCTGCAGTGCGGCCTGGCAACTTGTGCATACGCGCAGACAGCACCACTTGCACCGCCATCGCACCGAGCGGTCCGGCGTCTGGCACGCTTGACAGCTGAGTGGGTGATACGTGTTGCGGTCGCGGAACATTTCGCGGTGCCGATGCAGGCAGAGGAAGTGCACCGGGCCCGGTAGGGGGGCAGCGACCACTGTGCCGGGTGCCATCGGTGACATGTAGCCCACCGGGAACACGGGAAGCATGCCCGGCTTGGAAGGTGACGACGGCGGTTGCTGCATCGGCGGTGGCATCGCCTTGATGGTCAGCTGGCTGCTGGATTCGCTGACGGTGGAAGCGTCGTCGGGAGAGTGGAACTGGTCGCGAGGTGATGGCGTCGAAAACGACACCTTTCGCGATGAAGTCCGAGGTGCAAATTGCTGTGGCTGCGGCGATTGTGTCTGTCCAGGAGATGCCACCGTTGACACATTTACATTCTTGGCAGGCCGAATATCACGGCCGGGAAGAGCAGAGCGAAACTGTGGTTGTGCTGCGGGCCGAGGACTGCTCCTCGGTGAGATCTGTCCGCTGTCCATCCGCGCAAACGGTGCCGGTGGTGGCAGAATGCCGAGACCCAGCGTGGATGCCGGCGATGCGGTCGGCGACGTGGCCGGCGATGCGGGTGCGTACACAGGCGGCGTAGATGTCGCAGGAATGGCACTGCCATTGGAGGCGATGACCGCGCCATTTGTAGCCGTGCCGTTGAAAAGGGCGTGCTTGCTGCGATCCTCCTCGTCATCGTAGTCGGGGGTGGGCAGTCGCTGAAGGGGCGGCGCCGACGACAGCGACGGCTGACTGGCTGGTACTGGCAGCTGGGGCGAGGGCGATGACGAGACATCTTTCGCCGGCGAAGGCACTGTTGCGGCCTTAGTGCCGCTGACACTATTCTTGGGGTCTTTGCGCTTCAGCTTGTTCTCGACCTTGGCCTCAAATTTGGAGAATGAGTGGCCCATCTTGGAGAAGGAGCTGAACACAGGACTGGTGGCAGAACTGTTTGGGGTATTGAGAGCGGGGCTGCCGACGAGCTCTACCGGCGTTGCTGATGCTTCCGACGATGTTTCCGGAGATAACGGAGACTGTGCTGCCGAAGCCGAGTTTACAGACACCGGTGTCGGCGTCACAGCCGGGCTTGCTTGTCGGGAGGGCCTGATATCTCGCCCAGGCAATCCGGGCCGCGGCGACGACGCGGCGACAGCCGCAGGCGAGACGCTGAGGAAGGGAGAACGAGGCGGCGCGTGCAGCTGGTCTGTGTTTGTGCGGGCAGGCGGTGGTGGGAGCGGCGACAGCGGCGGCGGCAAGGCCGGCTGGTTGCGAAGGGTGCTGGGCCCCTGTGGGTGGCGGGAAGGCAGCTGTTTTTGTTGCTCGGCGTTGCTGTTGGCAAAAGTGGATCCGGACGCCGTCGTCACTGTGGACGCAAAGGTCAGGTCGAGCTCAGGCAGAGATGGGGCCCCGTCAGCATTTTCGATTCGGCGCTTCCAGAGCTCGGATGCAGGTGCTGTAGTTGCTGTAGCGGTGGGCGCATTAAACGACGGCTTCAAAGACGCTTCTCCGACCGGCAGAGGCGGTAAAGTCCTGTCGTCAGAGGATGGCACGGACTCGGGCGCAAAAGCTGGGTCGCGCAGAGACGTCGATCGGGGGGGCAGTGCCTGCTGCTGCTGCTGCGCCGTCTGGCCGTTCTTAGTGGGCAGTGGTGACGGTGGTGCGATGGTGGTGCTGACGTTGCTAGCATCTAGTGACGCGTGACTGTCCTCTTCAGGGTCGTACTGGCCGTAGTGGCGAAATAATTCTTCTTCTGTGACCTCGCTGCCGTCCTCGGCCTCGCCATAGTCTTCTTCCAGGAGGTACGAGAGCGGTGTCAGTCCGTCGTCCCCGTCCTTGGGGCCGGTTGTGCCAGTGCCCTTGAGACTGGGGGCCAGCCCAGCCAGATAGGACGAGTGATTGGTGTTCGCAGTGTCCTCGGATGCCGACGACTGCCCGGCATGAAGCGACGACTGCGAGTAGGCCGACAGGATGCTCGAGATGGAGGCGCCGCCAGGAGAGGCTGCTCGGGGCGGTGGCGACGGTGCGATGAGGTGCGATTTCAGCTGCGACGGCAGTGGCGGTGAGCGCTGACGAGGCAGCTGTCGTGATGGCTCGACGTCCGCCGACAGCGACGTGAATGCAGGCAGCTCGGGCAGGCCGAGCAGCGACACGGAGCTGGTGGGGAGGTCCGGCAGCTGTGGAGATGTTGACACAGCCACAGGGGAGCTAGACGCGAGCGGAGGCGACGCTGTCATGGCTGCCGTCTGCGAGGTGGAAGTGGTCTCCGAAGCAGCTCTGCCCACAGGCCGGCGACGGATGGCCCGGACAGGCGACAATGACGGCGACTGTGGCTGCTCTGCGGGCAATTGAGGCGGCTGGGGCGGCAGCTGCTTGGACGCCAGTCGGTTTGAAAAGGATGGCAGAGGCATCGTGGCAGACGAGACAGAAGTAGCCAATGATGCAGCCGAGGTTGAATTCATGTTGATGCCCGGCACCGGACGTCTGGTCGGAGCATAGGGTGGCTGTGGACCGCGAATGGCCGCTGTGTTGGCGCTGGACGGGTAGGCCGGATAGTTTGAGTAGTCCGATGCTGGCGGTGCGCCCGAAACCTGGGCAGATGGTACAAACGAGTATGTTGCTGAGTCCAGCAGGTTGGACGAGGGCGGCGGCAGTGGTGGCAGTGCCGGCTGCTCGGCGGCTGCGGCGGCCACAGACGACGACGATGACGAGAAGAGCCGGTTGAACGACGGCGTCGTAGGTAGGGCCTTGCCGAAGAGCGAGCGGCCAGGCGACTTTGGCGATTTCGGTGCCTTTGCCGTCCTGCTGGAGGACAAGAAAGGAGCCATGTTGAAGAGGAAACGTAGAGAAATAGGCAGACACGGGTCGACGTCTCTTTCTCGCACAATGCTCGTGTTTGCTCCTTCCCTCCGCGTCTGGTGATACTATGTAAGATATATGCGGTCTTGCTGGGAAGGAACCGCGTCTAGAGCTCTTGCCGCTTTGGCTCTGCCGTCTTCTGTGCGGTGAGAGAGCCGAGGCGTTCGCAGGAGATTTCGGTGTTATGTCGTGTTTATGAAAGCACAGTAAGTCGGCCTTCCTGTATGAGAGAATGGAAGATAGTTGGTTGGACCGGCCAAGTCGTGTCGCGCAAGTCTAAAGAGAAAATTACCGGCTGCTGCAAGGTACAAGACTGGGGAATGCGTGTTTTTCCACACTCTAGATCGATGACGGAGACCGACTTATCTTTTACTGGGTTCTCGCTGCCAATAACGACAGTCCATCTCAAGTCCCGCGCGGTAGCCCTCTTTTTCTTTTTTTTCTTTTTTACTGTTATTTTTTTTCTTTTCTTTACCTTTTTCCCTGTATGGAGAAAGATGAGACTAAATTAGATGGGATCGACCTGGGGGACACCCCTGTCTACTACATAGTAGGAGGGCGAGACTACGACGTAAGATACGTCCTCATTCCCCACCCCCTGTCTTGGTAGACAGCTGAAACAGCTGGTCGAAAAAGAGAAGGAATCCTGGTGGTGTATGGAGTACGGAGTACTCTTCGTATTTGAAGGTCGCCTAGAAGAGGCCACAGGGAGCATGTTCATAGTAAGATGACTCGCGGAGAAGCAGCTGCGCTGGAACCCACTGCTGTCTACGTCGTACAGAGTGAGATACGAGCCTAGGCCTCAGAGGTGGAGAACAGATGGAAACAGGAAAGTACGACGTATCTTACATAGTAAAGCATCTCACCTCGTCGGATCCACAGGCCCGTGAAAGAAAAGAGAGAAAAACAGGCAGTCACAGCCAACGGGCTAGCCAGGGAATGCCGCCTCTGCGTCAGCCACCCATAACCGGATAGCGTCCTCGCTCGGAAGAGGGCGCAGCCGGCTGGCGTCTGTTCCTGTGCCCGTCTACTACTCTGTATGTACAAAGTAAGGAATCTGGGATCTTGCTCGTAAGATTGGCAGCACTGGCGCTTCCACATGCAAGCAGGCGCGTGCTGGCGCGTCGAGACACCGAATTTGCTCGCATTCCTGCCTGCTTTGGGCAAATGGCCTCACCCAGGCGGGAACGCGTTTGAGCTTCTGCGTCGAGGATGCCGATCACGAGCCCGAGCAAGGATGGCGCCCTGCGTTCTATGATCAATGCATGTGGGCGCTGTGCCGATCAAGCGTGCGGCGTGCTCCGCATCGTGCCTGGCCGTTTCACATCGGGACAGGCCCCGAGATTGACAGGAGCTGCGTGCGCCCTCTCGTTCAGGCTGCCTTCCTGCGAGCCCTCTGTCGTCTCTGTCAAGGCTAGCATCGCAGATCCTGCCAGCAAAAGTCGTCTGTCTGTCGAGGATCCCGCACAATCACAAAGTACTCCATACGTCGTAGTGATTTCCCACCTGCAACTAGAGACGCGCCTGAGATTGCTTCGCGCCAGGACAGACGCCATTCCAGCAACCAATTGCTTCTCAATGCTCTGCTCCGTACCTCGCTTGCCTCCTTGCATGGTGCCGGGCACGGACAATAGGCCAGCTGTCTCCGATCCACTTCCTGTAGCCAGCCGCTCCGATATGCAGCTAATGTCGTCAATCGCCGGCCATGGTCCACAAGCACATGGGCACTGCTGTATATTACGCTGTATTGCTGTGCGTTCTATTCGCGTCTATAGATCCCATTCCGTCCACTAGGTGCTATCCTGCAACTACAATCGGAGTTTGCAATGTCTATGAAGCATCAAAGCCAGGAGGTATCTTTGATTGGGCGAGTGAACGACTTTCTATATAGCCCTTTGTGCTTCCAGTGATGGACAGCTTTGCGGATAACGATCAAGTTGCAAGGGACAGGAACAGCAGTAGGCATCGTGCAGAAACAAACAAAAACAGACAACTCCAGGGCGGTGCCATAAAGAGAGGTGCAGCAAGAGAAGATGTCGGGTTCAAGCCCTGGTGACAGGAGAGAAAGGAGACAGCGGGGGGGGGGGGAGATAACGGACGAGGAGGGAAACGTGAAGAAAAAGAAAGGGCAGAAGAAGTGAATGGATGCTGGCGCTGCCAGAAGAAGGAAAGAAGAAAAAGAAAACGACGACGACGACGACAACAATAAAATAACCGGCTCTCTGTCTCTTTCTCGCCCCTCCCCTCTCTCTCTCTTGCTCTACCTGCTTCTCACACGAGCACCCGCGCCTCCCCCCCTCAGAACCTCTTCTCCCGGTGCTCTCTCTCTTTCGTGCGCGCGCGCACCTACAGGTTGAACCCCCGCTTCGGAAAGCTGACGCCCTCGACGGCAGCGTTGTCGACGAACCAGCTGCAGCGGTCGCCGGCGCCGTCGTTGACCAGGGCGCACGGCAGGCCGCCCTCCTCGTCAAAGATCTGCTTCATGATGGCCTTCTTGGAGCCGCCGGTGGCGACAAAGGCCACGCGCACGCTGTGAGTGACGACGGGCAGCGTCAAGGTGACCCGGCGCGGCGGTGGCTTCGGGCTGTCCTCGATGGGGGCCACCCAGGCACTCGTCTCGCGCAGCAGCTCGTGTCCGGGGAACAGGCTGCATGTGTGGCCGTCGGGTCCGCAGCCGAGCAGCAGCAGGTCAAAGATGGGCAGCCGCACGCTGTCGCGGCTGGCAAACGACGCCACCAACACCTGTTCGTATTGGTCAGCCAGCTCCTGCGTGTCGGCGAGCAGGCTGGTGTCGATGGCGTGCACCACCGGCTGCCCGGCTCCCTCGGGGATCTTGTCCAGCAGTTCTGCCTTCAGCAGGCCGTAGTTGGAGTCGGCATGATCCAGCGGCACCGCGCGCTCGTCGGCAAAAAAGATCTCCCACTTGTCGAAGCGCACAACGTCGTCGCTGCTGCTGCCGGGTGTCGTGGCCCCGCTGGCCGACGTGCCGTTGCTCGTGCCGTTTGGTGTCGAGACCGGAGCCGAATTCGATGCCGGCAACAGCAGCGCCTTGGCCAGCGTTGCCGGCAGGCTGCCGCCCGACACGGCCACCTTGAAGGCGCCGTGGCGCGCAATGCCTGCGTTCTGGCACTGGATCACGTATGTCCGCAGGGCCGACGCCAGCACAGACACGTCGGGGAACGAGTACAAGTTCGTTTGCTTGCCCATCGCGTCGGTGGGAAGAGTGGTGAACGGGACAATGGGTTAAGGGATCGGTCGTGAAAAGGTGTATTTAGTTCTCTGCTGTCTCTGTGGTCTCGGCGGGTTCTGTTGTCTCTGTCTCTGCTTCGCTCACTCTCTTCTCGTCCTTCTGGGGCGTCCGGGCGTTTTCAGAGTGGATTTAGAAATAGGCCAAGTCGTAGACTGTCCGTGAGGCGAGCTCTCTGCAGACGGCGACCGGTCAGGCGAATACGATAACACAAGTGACAGCTTTCAATGGGCAGCACAGTTGATGGGCATGTGAAAACAAGACACAAGGTCGGCCAGGGTGGCAACGTATGTCGACAAAGGGGGGTGAGATAAAGTGTAAGGGCAGGTGAGCTGTGGTGGGGGTGTGGAACGTGGGAGACGAAGTGAAGGCAAAGAGAAGTCGGGCAAAAATTTGACGAGATTGGATAGAGACGCAAGAATGTTCCGATGTGTGGGTCGGCGGGTGGCCCAACGTGTCCCCAGGTCGAAAGCGGCGAAAGTGCCGAGGAGAAACGATATCGGGTCTAGGTGACGACGTGGGCGATGTTTGTTGTTTCGGCTTTCTCTTTTTTGGGCTGTCAGTCTGCCTTTCCTGACTTGCTCAGCGACTTTTGTTGCAGTGAGATAAGTAACGTGGCGGGGTTACCGTTTTTATCGATAGCGAGGCGAACCAGGCAGAACTAAGATAGAATGAGAAGAAAGAGGGACGAGGGCGAGGAACTTTAAGGCCGCGAAAGCCCTAAAAACCCGCAAGCTGCCTGATTGATTGCGCCTACTACCTAAACCAGAATGATAGATCGCTGACATATGGAGTATTGGGACAGCTACTCCGTAATTGATGCCGGGCAGACACAGGCGCTAAGGATGGTCCTTTGATAAACCGCAAGGTGCACAATGCCATGTACGGTTGTTGTTGGCCTCCCATGTGTCGTTTCAGCTTGTTCAAAGACCAGCTGGAGGCAAAAGAGGGTGTGCTGCATAGAAGTACGGTGAGAGACAAGGGCAAAAAGGTCGAAAAGGACAAAACGCGATTCTGCGTCATGCAGCGGCCATGCGGCTCTATCGGCCAGGGCTGGCTTCTGTTCTGTACTCCGTAATCAAGCGCGAATGCGCAAATTACGCTCGTAAGATACGTCAGCGAAATGGGCAAGCACATGGGGTCGCTAAATATCCGTTTGTGTAAAGTAGACAACGAGGGGTCCTTCCTTCTGACCCAAAATAATCAGCTCTCAGCATCTTTCTCTCTCCCGCCTCTCTTCGTGTCTGAAAGAGTGCATTTGTAATGGCCGGGCCCAAATACCTCAGCGGAGACGCCGCTGCCATTGACGAGTTTCTTGACAAGTTTGATGTGAGGCTTCGCACCCACCCGCCCTGGATGGTCTTCTTGTTCTGACGTGTGCCTACAGACATTCCTGCTGGACTGTGATGGTGCGAACTGGCCTGGTTGTTCTCTGGAAGCTCTACGAGCATGTTACTCATTGCTGTCGAATAACAGGCGTCCTGTGGTCCGGCGACCACGTATTCGAGGGCATCCCGGAGACGATTGAACTCCTCCGCAGCAAAGGTGGGCGATCTCTCTTTCCTTCTCCCTTCTTTTCTCTTTATCCCCTTCTCCCCTCTGACACTACAGGCAAACGAACGGTCTTTGTGACCAACAACTCGACCAAGTCGCGCGCAGAGTACCATGCCAAGCTCGCGGCCAAGGGCATCCCATCGGACACGGACGACATATTCGGCTCGGCATACTCGGCAGCCATCTATATTTCACGCATCCTCAAGCTGAAGGCGCCGCGCAACAAGGTGTTTGTGCTGGGTGAAGCCGGCATCGAGGCAGAGCTGCGCAGCGAGGGCATCCCGTACATCGGCGGGACGGACCCGGCGTTCCGGCGTCTGGGCATGGAGCCGGCTGACTTTGCAGCCGTGGCAGACGGCTCCGGACTCGACCCAGATGTCGGTGTGGTGCTGGCCGGACTCGACTTCCACGTGACCTATCTGAAGCTGGCCCACGCACACGCCTACCTGCTCGGCAACCACGACGTCGCCGGTGGACATGACGGCAAGGCACTGTTCCTAGCCACCAACACGGACAGCACGTTGCCGATGAGCGGCAGCTTCTTCCCCGGCGCCGGCTCGGCTACGGTCGTGGCACTGTCCAACATGACGGGCCAGCAGCCGCTGGCCCTGGGTAAGCCCAGCCAGGCAATGATGGACGCCGTCGAGGGCAAGTTCCATCTAGACCGCTCGCGCACCTGCATGATCGGCGACCGGCTCAACACGGACATCCAGTTCGGCGTGGAGGGCCGTCTGGGTGGCACACTGGCCGTGCTGACTGGCGTCAGCAAGAAGGAGGACTGGGACAAGGCTGACGCTCCGGCCGTGCCTGCATTCTACGTCGACGCTCTGAGCGATCTGCGCGGACCTGCGAAGCAGTAGGATACATGCATCAGATTGCATAGACAGCTCTAGACTACAGCGCAAAAGACGGCAACGTCCCGAAGACACCGGGTTTAGACAGGCAAGCATAGCGATTTGCAGACATCTCAAATGACGCACTTTCGAAGTTGTCCGCTTTGGTGTCAGCACTGTTTGGCGTCGGGTTTGGTGGCGTATCAAGATTTTTCCAGTTCCCCACAATCGGCCAAAAAAGAGAATCCTTCGCTCAACAGCCATCGATTCAAGACTTTTCTAAAACTGATTTTTTTCGAAAAAAAAAATATTACTTCCCCAGTTTTATTCGACTCTATCTAGAGCGGGAAAGTAGCCGTCAGCCTCGATGAGCATTTCCAGTGGTCCCGGCCAGCGGCCAGCCAATTCGAGGCGCGCTTCTCTTCTGGATCGCCGACAGCAACTGACGGAGAGCCTGGACGATGCGCCGTATGACATGATGCTGTACCTACGGCGGGCGGCGGTCTATGCTGATATGGGCTACCCGGATCTGGCGGCCGGTGATGCCTACCGCGCGCTGCTGTTGACCGACGAGGCCAACGACGAGAGCTTTGAGTACCATGAGCAGGCAGTCGAGGCCCTGGACGCATATGTGGGAGAGCAGCTGCCCGAAGTGCTAGAGAAGTATGCGATTGGGACTCAAACGACAAGACAGAACTGCTCGCGCGAGGAGCTGGTGGCAGCAGCGGCCGTGCGATGCTACCAGCTACTGTCACGCAGTCTGTTGCAGTGTGGCTGTCTGCGTAGCGCAAACAGCTTCTGCGAGCGCGGCCTGGCTGCGGCAGCAGGACCAGAAGACGAGAGGCTGCTACGAAAAACGCAGGTCAGCATCCAGACGGCGGCTCGGAAAAGGATGCCGCGTCGACGAGGCTCAGACGGCTCCAACGAGACTCAGACCATCAGCCCTGCAGATCTTCCGGACCGCGGAATCGTGCGGCGCGAGCTGTATCCCTGGAACACACACGAGCCAGACCGAACATCGGCCGAGGCGGTGGCCTTCTTGAATAAGCAGCTAGCAGCAGTAGCACCCAAGTGTACGGTACGGGCGACTGAGCTGCCGGTGCTGGCGGACAACGGCAACAAGCGGGCTAGCGATGCGGCGACGTGCTGGCAGCTGGGCGTGTTTGCCACAGAGCCGATTGCGGCCGGCGAGGCTGTGCTGCGCGAATACTCGCTGCTGACGGCCAACAACCGGCACAAGGAGTCGGTGTGCGATGCGTGCAGCAGTGAGCTGCCAGAGCTGGACGCCAGCAGCAACGGCGGACCGGTTGGCTGTCCGGAGTGCGACGACACGGTCTTCTGCGACGCCTTCTGCCTAGAGCAGGCGCAGGCGCGCTACCATCCGGCCGTCTGCGACAAGGACGTCGATGCGATCGCCAAGGACCCCGACGACGCGCGCGATGCCGACGATGCGCTGTACGTGCTGCTGCTGGCCCGCCTGCTGGCCATGGCGACTCACCAGGAGCGTCACCCGCTGGACATTGACGAGGTGATCTACATCTGGGGCGACTTTGCGGCGGTACAGGACGGCGACGCGGCCGATGACGAGGCCGACGACCACGACCACGACCACGACGATGATGTTGTCCCGCGCGGCACGCTGCCCTTTAGCTTCGACGTCAACATTGCCACACCGCTGCACATGCTCGAGAAGATGGACCTGGACGTGTTTGCCGAGCTGGCGCGCTACGACGTCTGGGTGCTCAACACACTGTACGCCAAATTCCGCGGCACGGCGTCGGCGCGCAAGAGTCGTCGCGACGGCCGTCCCGACGTAGCCGCCGTCCATCCGCTCTGGTGTCTGGCCAATCACGACTGCGACCCCAACGTGACCTGGGAGTGGGGTGGCCGCATGGTGCTGTCCGCCCGCCAGGAGCGCGTCCTGGGGCCTCGGCCGGGCGGCATTGCTGCCGGTGACGAGATCCTCAGCCACTACTGCGACGTGGACCTGCCGGTGCAGCAGCGGCGTGAGTGGGCTAGCGGCAGCCTCGGCGGATGGTGCATGTGCGGCCGGTGTCGAGCTGAGGCGGCCAGCAGCGGCGAGACTGTCTGAAGATGCAGGCATTGTCTTGAATCACGAACTTATGAATGGACGGATCGATCGAGAGTGGGTTACAGACGGAATGAGCATCCTTTCAAGTATACAATATATTCAAATAGATCCTGGGTATCATGCTGAATCCTGTAATACTCCCTACATTTTCAGCCATTCATCCAGGACATTGCCCGCGTCATAGTCCCTGTAAAACGCCTGACAGAGAGAAAGCAGAGCCGGACGAAAAAAACGGTAAAAATCAGACACTTCATAAGGACATCAAGAATGACGAGACGCAAGGCCCCTCAGGCGCTGGACAGCCGCAGCTCGGGGTACAGCGGCATGATGGGCGACTCCTGCTTCACAAACGTGCGTCCGGTTGTGGGTGGCTCCGGCATATTGCGGTTCCGGCTCTGCTCGTAGTCGTACTCCTGCCGTGCGAGTCGGTCCTTGACATAGCGCCGCAGGTCTTCGACGACCCGCACGTTATTCAGCCACTGGTCGTACAGCTCCGGCTCGCTGCCCGAGTCTGAGTCGGCTGACGGCGAGCTGACCGAGGCCTGTCTCTGCGACGGCACTTTGTCGTTGTTGTCGTGGCTGGCCTTGCGACTGGAGCTTTGCAGGATGCCGCCACGATGCGGCCGATCGTCCGACGTGAAGCTGGACCCGAGCTGCGCCGTCGCGGTCGACCCCGGATAGGCCACACCCGTCGACGTCGGCAGCTGCGGATACGCAATGTTTGGCAGCGACGACGGAACGCCTGTCATCGGCAGCTGCCGCATCGACGGCGACATGCCCGTGCTCGAATCGCCGGGCGAGTGGCCCGACGTGTAGGACGTGCCGCTCGAGGGCGGCGTCACCGCCGGCGAGCCACCGCTCTGGGAACGCTGCGAAGACATGGCCGTCAGCGGCGAGACACCCGTGGCTGCCGTGTTGCCGTAGTGGTCACCGATCAGCATCGGCCGGTTGAGCGACGTCGCATTGCCGCGCATGTCGAAGCCGTGGGCCGCACCAGGATTCGGCGACGCGCCCGAATTATCGTAGATCGTTGCCTGCATCTGCTCCAGCAGCACGTCCATCTCCTCCAGGTCGCTCTTCGTGCGCAGGCTCGGAATAGGTGGCAGAAAGTAGTGCTGCGCCATGGGATGTTGGGGGGCTGCCAGCATATGTGGAGGCTGTGCCGCGCCAATGAAGTCGGTCGCCAACCCGCCGCCACCACCATCGCCGCCACCGCCGCCACCGGCCATCAGTCCGGTCTGCAGAGGCCCGAGCGACCGGCCCACCTGCGTGTACGAGGACGGATTCACCTGTCCGCTCTTCAGGGCGCCAAACAAGTCGTTGATCACGTCCAGGTTGCGCCGTCGAGGATCGTAACCGTTGCCACCACCACCGCCACCACCGCCAACAGGACCGCTCGCCAGATGGTGCTGCGGTGGCTGGGCGTGGTGCTGATGGTGTGCCTGGTGGCTCTGATGGTTGCTTATGTAATCACCACGGGGATGAAGCGACTGCGGGAAGTAGATGTTATTGGGGTACGGCTGCTGCTGCTGCTGCGCCGGGTAGTAGCCCGGATGGCCGTTTTGGTGTGGCTGACCGAACGGGGGGGCGTTTGTGCGGATGTGGCCGTTGTGGTCATAGTAGCTGGACGCTGCTGGCCGACAGTGTTAGCAGTAGCAAACGGGTGAACTGAAACGAGGAGCGAGTCCCTACCTGGATGTGTGCGGTAGGCAGGGCCAAGCCCGGCCGTGGGGTCCTGGCCCGGCCGTTGTGCCAGCACGGAGTCGTCAGCGTGCGTCTTGACGTGCTTCTTGAGATCCTGTGGTCGCTTGAAGGTTTTGCCGCAGAAATCACACTTATGCGGCTTCAGTGGCACATGCACGCGGATGTGTGACGTGATGTGATCGCGCTTCACCGTCGTCGTGCGACACTGGTTCCACTGGCACGTCAAATTGAGGTTGTTGGTGCTCTTGCGGCCGACATGACGCTCGCAGATGTGATCCTGGGAGACAGAAGGTGAGGTTAGCTGGTCGTTTTTGCATTCGCCATTTTTCGTTTCCCACACTCACATAGAGAATCTCAGCACTGGTGAAGCGCTCGCTGCACTGGTTCCAGCGGCAGATGAGGCTGTCCTCGGGGCCGCTGCTACTGCTGCTGCTGATACTGCCACCGCTGCCACCCGACGCAGACGACTGCGGCGTGGCTGACGAGGCAGACGATCCGGGCACTGGTGTTCCGTTGTTGGACCCAGACGAATGGCTGCCGCCGTCCTGAATGGACGACATGGCCAACAAGGAGAAGTTGGCGGGATGTGGGGTCACGCGGGGACGCGCGCTGTTGCTAAACGCTTGCCTGTTTGGGAGAGCAAGATCCAGAAGGAGGCAGATCCAGAAGGAGCAGGACGCAACGGGAAGGAGCCGAGAGAGAAAGCCAAGAAGAAGAATATACAGAAAAGTCAGTCCAGAAGGCTGCGATGGCGTCACCTTGTCGACACGTTATTCTCGCCCGTTTGCCTGTAGACCGTTGGCAGTCGAGAGCGCGAGAGATCGTCACGGAAGGGCGGCGAGAGAAAATACAAGATCCTGGTAATGCGTGTCTGCTGCTCTATAGCCAACATGCGAAGAGAAGGAAGAAAACGGGAGATGGAGGAAGGGGCCACCATTCTTTTCTATTCCCCCCAGGGGAACGATATCATTCGTGTTACATGCCCTCTGGGTAATGCTTGCACGGCGTGTTCTTTTTTTGCTGTGCTTTGGTTGCGCCCCGCGGATCAAGTCTTGCTCTTTTTGTCCAAGACGGGTCTTGGCAAGTCGGGGCTCGGCTTCGACTCTGGCCTTCCCATTGGCTGCACCGTCTAGCTGCTACTCGCAGGAGTACCGATAATACTAAGTACTTGTCGCCGCGCCCTACATCACCCTGCCATTTAGGTAGCTTTTGGCCGAGTAACTTGTATGCCAAGAAATGCCAAGGCTTTGCCAAGGCTTGGCGTACTGATGAAAGGCTTGGCATTGGTCCACTTAAAGGGGACGTGACACTTTTGCGGCTTCTGGCACACTGCGTGTCGTGGAAAGTCGAATGCTCAACTAATTTGGAGCGCCTCTTCCCATCTCCTTTTTTTGGCCTCCACCGCTCCGTACAGATTGCGCTCCGTAAGAAACGGCTCCCTTGGTTACAACAGCACTTATGCCTGTATCTGGCCGGATCGGAAATTATGCAAGCAGAGCCTGCAGGCTCAAACTTTATCGGCTTTGCTGGGAAGAGACAATCACATGCACTAATGACAACACTAAACTACACAGCCTACCTACCGTCTGGCCCATAGACTCAACGCCTTCTTTGATAGATTATGCTTTTGGCGCTAACAGGAGCACCCTATTGAAATCCGGTTTGCAGCTTGGATGGGGCAACTAATGTATTGCCGTCTGGGGTACGGAGTATGCATTCCGTACTTCGTACTCCGTTTACCGACAGCAGCTCCAGCCTATCTACATAGTATGGAGTTTTAGGTAAGTTCTCAGAGTGGAATTTGATGATGCCTCGTGTACTCGTACTCCTTGCAAAAGCCGTTTCCTCGGTACATCCCCTTTCACTAGCCATGTCCAAGCCTTATCGCTTCAGAGCACGATACATTGGCCGAGATACCCGGAATCAGCGCCAAGATACGCTATCAATTGTGTTCCCATCACACCAACGCTTGGCTAGGTACTCCTATATCTAGCTCTCTTCTGTAGTTCGAAATGCTGGCTGAAGCATCAGCTTCGGCCCTCCCATAATGTTGAAGCGGGAGAACATCCCTGCAACACGGTCGTGTGTTGACACCGTTTTGGGTATATGTGTTATGCCGACCACGGTTTGTGAAAGTGAATAAACCGCCCACGAATCAATCCACCAGGGACACTAAGCGCATTTCTGACGGTATGGCGAAAATTCCTGCTCGAACCAGTCCAGTGCGCAGGGGTTACGGGCAGAAACATGATTTCGTCCCCTTGGCAGATTCTGACTGTCCTGTGTTGCCATCCCCGATTCACAGGAGGGAGAAGTGAAAAAATGTAGTGATTTAGCCGGATCGTATGTGTGATAGCTCAGAGTCTGTCCGCGGTCCGTATGCAGTCGTAAGTCTTTCTCCCAACCCGATGATGTTGTCCATAGCTGTCCCGGGGATATTGTAGCTGTGTATTCCCCTATCCGTCCCGATCCTCCCATCTACCATTTCCAACATGAATGCTGTTCTCTATTTCCGGTCCTCCCAACCTCTCTGCCAAGCCAGATGACGTGGCGCCCAGGTTAATACTTCCCCAAACCCCCTTCAAAAAAGCAAGACGAGGCTGCGCAAAATAAAAGGTGTAATAACGAAGAGTGTGGAACCGAAGAGAAAATAACGAACGCGCCGTGGTAGTAGCTGAACCGTGAACAAAAACGCCGCAATATGCAAGGGTGAAAGTATTATACAGAGCCGAGGCGAAGAAGGGCCTCGACCGCATCGCGTTCCTGTTCGTCTGACGCACTGCGAGCAGCCGCCTCTGCGTTTGCGTTGAAAGAGAACCGCTGCTGCTGCTGCTGCTGCTGCTTGCCGTCGTTATTCGCGGCGAAGCTAGTAAAAGAAGAGAACGGTTGCGAAGAAACAAAGCGGCTGCCGAATCGGCCTGCGGTGGCAGAGTTGGAATAGGATGCGGCACGCAAGGCGGCAGCGCCAACGGCGCCCCAGTCCTCGTCATCTGTGAGGTTGTCGGTGTCATCATTCATGGCAACGTCCTCATCCGGCGCCTCGGAGCAAGAGGCCGACGCAGGGCCGTCGTCGTACTCGTCGTCCATCGACATGTTGTCGACTTCCTCGTCCATCATGGTCACGGGAACATCGTCCCGCTCCTCGCTGAGACGGAAAGCTCTCGCGCCTTTGCTGTGCTGCCGCAGCCGGCTGGCAGCACCATTGACGGCCGGAGGGCCGCTCTTGTCTGCCGCATCTCTTCCAATGCCAGCAGCGCCACCGACAGTCCCGCTACTGCTTGCGATAGGGATGCCGAATAGCGGCTGGTGCGGTGGTGTAGGCCGTGCTTGCAGTGGCCGACTCCCTCCAATTCGCCGAGCGCCCCAGACGCCCCAGCTCACCTTCTCAAACTCCACATCACCCTCCAGTCCACCGACGCCACCTTCGCCTCCGCTGCCTCGACCCTCCAATGCGGCGACTACCAGTCTCCGGGACTTTGCTGGCGGTATGAAGGAAAAGCCGGGAACAGATGCTGTCAAGTGGCCGATGATGTAGCGGATGGCCAGCGGGCCATGGTTCAGCAGAATCTCGGGCAGGTGATACTTGGCGAGCATTGCCGGCGTTATCGCATCGGCCGACTCATATGGCGGCGACCTGTCACGGGTCAAGACGGCCGCAGAGGCCGCAGCCGCAACGAGAGCAGCCACACCGGAATGGCGAGCATCGTATCCGCCGTCTGTCGGGCCGCCGAGCGTGCCAGGTCTGCGTCGGCTGCCGGCAAAGCCGTGGTCTGCGTCGACGTCCTGCAGGTCTAGGTCCGAGTCGATGGGATCCAGCTTGCCAGCCTTGTGCAGCTGGGCGGTAAGCCCGTGCGGCGGCAGCGCTGGCGAGATCGAGTTGGGAGGCGTGGGAAGGGGGAGAGGGTGGCCTCGAGTCACAGGGACACTCCGGGCCGCTACACCAGTGAAGGTGTCTCGGGGGGAGGCCGCATGGATATCGCTTCCGGATGCAGCTGCCATGATTGCTGTTGTTCTTGCTGGTGCAGTGAGCGTGCTTCTTTCAAGTGTGGCTTCGCGACGTTTCAGCAAAGCTTTGTACGTCGTGGATGGTTCCTGAAGATGGTTCCTGGAAGACGGCGCGCCGGTATTAGTAGGATGCGGCAAGTGGGTATTATGGTATAAAATAATAGAATGGAGAGCGAAGAAAAGGCGGTGACACATGGTGAACAGCACACAAAAAACAACAACCGAGCGGCAGCACGATGGAGACGTCAGGAAAACAGCAACGGCGGTGAGTAGCCTAACAGGACACGGGGAACGGCCAGGCACCGGGTTGAGTCACTCACAGAAACGAGATCCAAAGTCGGGCGATGACGACGCGGACTAAGCTGCAGCGGGAAAGAAGACGGAAAGGAAAAATCGGCAATAGCGAGGCAGAGGAGCCGGAGGCGATGATCGTTCTGCGACAGGCGAAGGCTCTCGATGGGGTGGCGTTGCTGTCTCTTGGATTTGTTGATTGCTTTGAGCAAACGGAAAAGGAGGAGGGAAAAGCGAAAGGGGAGGATCACAGGTTATGAATGACATGAGTTGACGGGGGTTGGCCCGCGCTTTCCTTCAGTTGGTGTACATGCGCTACGTAGCCTGGCGCACTTTCTCCTTCCAGATGGTCGAGGGAAGAACACGGAAGTCGGGGCGTGCAAGTATGGACAGGGGTGTGGCGGAAGGAAGACGGTGCGCTAGGTCAGAGTACCTAACTCGAGCCACACAGGACGGCAAAAATTGGTGCCCGACAATTCTAGCCGTAGTCGCGCTACAAAGCATCTTACCATTTCTGGCTGGCAAGATAAGACACAGTGAATATGCCGCAATGCCATATCCGTCAACACGGCCACTGAACTGCTGGCAAAGCTGAACCGCTTGCTGCCCGGCTGCCCAGCTGCGCATAGCAAGACACATCTTACAGACTAATAGCTGTGGGCTGGCATTTTCAAAGATCTTTTAATATCAAAGGGAGGTCGCTAATGGATATCGGACCCTCTTCTAATATCGTGCATGCTACGGAGTCTATAGCGGATATGTAGTAGGCCATGCTATACACGGACCTCATCGAGATCTTTTGTCCAAGGCTATTCTGTGCGTGTGTGTGTGTGCGGAGAGCATGCCGTGTGCTTCTTTCCCTGCTTCAATGACTCGATTTGCCGACTTCGGGCATCTTGCTCGCCTCCAACCTCACCAAACTCGGCTGCTTATTCCCTATCCTCGCCCCCGCGCTCGTAAAGAGAGCCAGCAGACGGAAGGGGAAAGTGCACGTCATCCGACCGTCTTACACAACAAAGCCTGCCACTACTGCGCTAATTAGGGCATTGCCCCCTTGTGCCTTGTCAGACAAGTGCTGAACGATGGCGCCCCAGCACTGTTGTACATACGAAACTTAGCCCCAAAGGCTAATGGCTATCGTCATCGGACGCGAAAGAATACGGGCTCTTTCCCTTTACTTCCCCCCTTTGTCTGCCTGCCCTTCTTCCGTCGCGCATCACGTTGCACTCGCCTTCCTCATTGGCTCTGTGTGTGCTAGTGATTGCCCTAATGCCTTTTGACCAAGCACAAGGCCAGACGCTCAGCTCGTGTTCTCGTGCATCACATTCCCGAAGCCCCGGCGCAACAATAGCTTCACCCCCCAAATCGGACAGCGCGTGTCCCAGGCCATACATCTAATTGACTCCCCGTCCTTTTCCCCACATGTCTCCTTCTCATCCCTTTTCCCCTACAACCCGCCTCTTCGAGTCCGCGTCTCCCACGTTTCGCCATAGTGCGATGAGAAGTGCTGAGGTCAAAGAGACTCTTTTGGTCGTAAAATGTACGGACGTTTGCAGATCCGACCTGCAGGTAGGACGAAGCCGGGTAACGGCCAGTGTCCAAAAAGGATAAAACTGCCGGATATCGCCTGGGCCGCTGTCCCGACAAATAGAAACAGACAAACGGAGCTTGCCATTGATCCGTGCTTTCGTACGCCTCAGCCCGTTGCAGCCCGAACGCAAACCCCCCGATCGGCTACCCCTCTTCTGTCTTCTGTCCCTCAGCGTGTTGTTCTTCGACGGGTGTGTCAGTTGACCTGTGGCTACGCCTGGCCGAATGTAAGCCGGTGCAGTACGGAGTATTCGTATTCACTTCCAACTTCTCTCTTCTTATACAAGCAACCAAAGAATTTCGGTGCTGGTCGTGTTTGAAGGGGGCGTGTACACAGCCAAGGCTCGTAGACCTGAGTCGTATCGACCTTCCCAGCCTGTCCATCTTGCAGCTGTAAGCATACGCATGCAGACCCCGCTTTCACAAAGGCGCTGCCACTCCTCCATTGAATATGTACTGCCTGCAGGACTGTTCCCATGATTGATTCGGTCATTAGCAACTTTCCTGGCCACGGGAGAGAGAGGGGGCATGCATACTGCTTTCAGAACATCCAGCCGCTCTGACGACTGCTCAAACACACGGCGATACTGCCTCAGGTTTTCCTGCAACACGGCTGCCCTCGTCGTTCGGCCCTCACAGATGGCCTTCATCTGCAGCTCCATCTCCTTTCGGAGAAACGGCTTCCCCAGACTCGTCTCAAAGTTCATGCGGTCGAAACCTTCGATAAGCGCCACGCCAAGCTGCGTAGGCACAAACACGCGTTGGCCTCCACGGCCTCCCCCTCGGCTTCCGCCTCGACCACCGCGACTGCTGCCGCGCCCTCCACGCCCTCCTCGTCCCCCTCGTCCACCGCGGGCTTCCCCAGCACCACCGGCCCCCGCGCCATCGTCAGTGCCCCCATTTTGCTGGCCTGTTGACGACTGTACCGTCTGCACGTAGTTCCGGTCTTGGATCTTCTGAATGTGTTCCGCCATGGTCGCATCTGTGCCAATGCCGTTTGCGTCCATCAACGCGATCAGGTCTGCCTCTGTCAGATACCCGGGAGCTGCTGTTTTGCCCTCTGCCATGACCGCTTCAGTAGGCGTGAATATCTCACCGACCACAAATGGTGGGAGCTCTGCCGTGTCCGTCCAGTTCTCGTATGGGTACACGTCCAGATAGTTTCGTTCCAGCACGTGCACGCCGTGGGCCTTGAAGCGCTCGCTGCCGTAGGCGATCTCCACGTCCGAAGCCATGCCTTTCGCATCATCGGCGCAACATGCCAGGAACCGCCGCACCACAAGCTCGTACAGGCGGCCCTCGTCCGGGCCCAAAACAGAAGGTGCAGCGTACGTGATTGGGTGGATGGGTGGATGGGCTTTGTCGTCATGCTGTCCGCTCCGAGGCCATTGAAACTTGCCCTCGTCCAAAAGCCCACGTGCAAACGCTCCCCATCTCTGCGGGTCCTGTGTCTGTTTCTGGACGAGGGCACGTAGGTTCATACCTTTGTCGAACCGGTCTGTTTCTGTTCGTGGATAGCTGATGAAGCCCTTGTTGTACAGCGTTTCGGCCATCGTCATGGCCTGCTGACCCGTAACGTGGAGGAAGCGCGTGGCCATGCTTTGCAGCGTGACCGTGGTCAGCGGCAGCGGACGCATCCGCTTGATTGGCTTCTCCTGGACCTTGACCACCTCGGCTTTCTTGGCTTTCAGGCACCGCTCATATAGGACGATCACGGATGCGCGGTCAAAAAGGTGTCCGCGGGCCCATGTGAACGAGGCAGTGGCTTTGTCTTTGGTGTGCTTAACTGCGATATTCCAAAAAGGTTCGGGAACAAAGTTTCGGACCCGAAAGTAATTGTCGACGACAAATCCAAGCGTTGGAAATTGACAGGAACCTTCGAAATAGTTAGTTAGCCAGGCCAGGCAAATGTGTGAGCAAGCATCTTACCATAGCTTAGGACGAGCTCAGCAAGTGGCCCGCCCAAGGCCCGTAGATTGTTGGTTAGAAACCTTGTAAACGCAAAACCAATGCGCAAGTCGAGTTCGATGTGAGTAGATACAGCATCGACCTGTCTCTCATCCAGAGCAACAAGACTCCGCGCCGCGTTCAGGATGTGTCTGGATGGGGGGTCAGCGGGGCGTGGAAACAAAGTCGAGGGTCAACATTGTCGTACGCGCGCTCAATATTGCTGAAATGTGCCCGACGAACTTCAATCGTAGGCTTTCCTTTACGGGCAGCATCTCGTATTTCACTGCCAATGTGCTCGCCTTCGCGATCGCAATCCGTCCATATGAAGACAGCGCGCGAATAACGGGCCTGGCGCTCAATGTTTTCCGCAATGGTCTTTTTGTCCTGAGAAGAGTCAGCCGCATCTGTCAGAAGCTTGCAAGAGCTACCACATACATCTGGGACAATGGTCTGCACAGGCGCATCAAACAGACGCTCTGGTGGAGGATATTTCCAGTCCTTGAACTCAGAGCTTAATTCCATCGCTGTCATGTGGCCAGTCACGCAGGTCATTGTCACCTCGCAACTGCCATATGGCGGTCCAAAGTCAAAAGTGAACGCATAGTTTTTGATGTACTGTGAACGAGTGTTGTGCTGTGCAAGATTAGCCTAGCCCTTCTCAAGATGATTTGAGGAAGTCTCACCGTCTGGTACTGTCCTCCCGACAGATGGCCCGCGACAGCTTTTGATATGGACGGCTTCTCGGCAACACATAGAATCTTGGTCATTCTGGAGACGTGCTCAACCTACGATACCCTTCCCTCTGATGTGCGACCGACAACAGAGTTCAGAGCCTGCAGCTTTGGCCTTGACAGAAGGTTTTAACTCGGAGAGAACCCCGTACGGCACTCTCTGGCATAGGTATCTAAACTGCGCGTATCATACTGCAAGTTTGACGCGTGAATATGAGCTATGGCACGCTTTGCCAACTCTCTAGTACGGGCAATTGCTAAATGAGGTTGGAAAACGTAAATATCGAATCGAGGCGGCAAGCTCTTAGCCTTTTAAGTGGGGCGCCTCTTTTGCAGGAACCCCACATATTGCCATATATGACGACACGACAAGAACCGTGAATCACTTGCTCATCCTCTCGTCGTTTCCCATCTCACCTTTTCCCTCTCCGCTTCACCCAAGTCGGGAATTATTATTTATATATAAGGTATTCAAAATGGTGCTATACTCTCTGCCAACGGTCGAGGACTGTGCCAGCTTCTCTAATACTGTTGAGCCATATATCAACGAGTTCTGGGAGCTGCCTGTTTCAATTATCACCCGTGTCGGCGTCTTCATCCGTGGTCAAGATGGCCCGACTCTGCTTGACTCATACGTCAATACAAACCCGCTAGTTCTCGGGTTTGCGCTGTCTCTCTTAATGGGCTGCATATTCTTCGTCGTGTCAGAATTCAACGGCAACTATTCGCAGGTTGATCGCTGCTGGAGCCTGCTGCCAACACTTTACATTGCCCACTTCAATCTCTGGTCGCGGCTGTCGGGCAGGCTAAGTCGTCGCCTAGATGTTGTTCTTTTCTCTAGCATAGTTTGGAGTGTAAGTCCGGAACAGGCCTCCCGTCCGGACATGATCAGGATAAGTGTTGACTCGAAGACAGGCCCGGTTGACATATAATTATGCACGCAAAGGCGGCTATTCCGTGGGCTCTGAGGATTACAGATGGTAAGGCATCCGTTCAGTCACGAAGCAATGTCTGATCTCATGCTAACCCTAATAGGGCCATCGTCAAGAAAAACATACCAGCATGGTCATTTCGCTTGCTAAACTTGACATTCATTTCCTTTATCCAAAGTGTTCTGCTTCTCGCGCTGGCCGCTCCCGCCTACACCATTCTTTTGGCAAGCGACATTGAGCAGAGCATGACGGCGGCCGACTGGGCATTTGCTTCCGTGGAGATTGGCCTTGTCATCGTCCAGTGGTTCAGTGACGGACAACAATGGAACTACCAATCGGCCAAGCGGCAGTATCAGCAATCTGCAAAGGTGCCTGCTGGGTTCACCCGAGCTGCCATGGATCGCGGTTTCATCGCTGAGGGTCTTTGGGGCTACAGCCGGCACCCAAATTTTGCGGCCGAGCAGGCGATATGGCTTGTTCTATACCAATGGAGCTGCTATGCGACCAGCTCTCTCTACAACTGGGCTGGTGTAGGCTCAGCTGGCCTTGTCATGCTCTTCCAGTCCTCAACGTGGCTGACTGAGTCAATCACGTCTGGAAAGTACCCCGAATACAAAGAATACCAGAAAAAAGTCGGCACATTTGTGCCCACGAGCACAACGGCATATACGGCATCAGTCGGCCACCCACAGGTAATCCGGGCTAGCGAGCTCGCCAGGAGGCCACAGGAGAAGGCAGCAAAGTCCAGCGGTATTCAGACGAGGGGATCCGCCGAAAAGAGATGAAACCGGTGAAACCGGAAGGCCGCGCCGTTATTAGCAAGCCACGGCTGATGTTACCCCTTCCCGGATACGTTCGCAGGCCGGACTCTCAGCATGCTGACATATTATTATTGCGTCAACTGGGCAAATTTGCAAAGCGGCAGTGGCAAATATGCCAGCCTGATACACGTAGCCCAGAGCTTAAGGATTTAATTCAGATTCGTCAACGGGCTTTTTGGACTAGGCCAAGCCGGCCTCGCATCTTATACGGGACATCGCCGCAAAAAGTGCGTATCCTACCTCAAGATTCGGTCTTGTCGCTACTTCATTGTTAATGCCGACCGGCATCTATTAACAGATTCTCGAATCCACCCGGCTATTGGGGAACGCCCGGCCTTTGTAATGGCCCCTTTCGCCATGTCACTGTGCAAATTGGCCAATTTAGGGAGGCTGTACTCGCTTCAGTGACTGCCTGCCTGCCATTAGTCTGCTAGTCATAGCTTTGCTGGTTTTACTCCGTAGTAAAGATCTATCCCTGAGGCTAGGTGCCAATGGGCTATTTATGGCAATAATTGTTCTCCACAAAACATGTTGACTCAAACTCATATTATCTCATGAAATCCCTTCTTGCAGAGTTTGAGTATAAGTTTGCCTCTGGGATAATTCTTACTCAACAAAGCTCTCACTCTCTTTTCACAGAACTCTCACTTCTTCCTCACGGAATATCACTCTACTCTCACATCTCCAAACCACAGCCAAACACCATTTTTGCCATATATACGCAATCTGCCAATATGCACCGAGAGTACTTGCTCATAATGATCAACGACTGCGCCGACGATTATCCCTCGAACACCCCTGGAGAGGTTTTGTCTGCCACCATGACTTGCCCTACGTCTTCCAACGTGTCTTCGCGTCGCAGCTCCATTTCGACAAACAGCGTGCTAGCATCAGACATTTCTTCTGTCGTTGCTCCTCAGTCGCAACGACCAAAGCTGCAGCATTCCAACGACCCTCTCTCGCGCGCCTACCCGAAGCCAGAGAGGGAACTCGATGTGGCCGAGGCCTTGACGCGCACGCCCCCAAAATGGAGCCTAGGCTACTGGACGAAGAATGCTCGCGATATGCCGGCACCTCCTACATCTGTCTCGCGAAGAGGCCTGGAAAAGGCGAAGCAGGAGCTTCGCAAAGCACAGCTTGATATGTCGCAACAGAGATCTGCGCGATGAGCTTGCCAGGGGGGACCTCAGTAACAACATTATTATGAGGACGTGAAAGCTCGCCCTTTATGCCCTGAACTCGCGACAACGTGGCAATAGCAGATAATTCCGGTCTTCGCATGGGACTCCAGTCACCACGGTCGATAGCGGCCTTTTGACCTGGCCAGGCCGACAAGCAGCCGGCGCAGAGGTCGGAGGTCTGAGCGGTAACTGAGATTGGGGACGGGGGGAACTGGAGACTAATTGATTGGAACGTAATTTGTGTCGGTGCAGGCGTCGACTGTGGGAGCAAGCTCCAGTTGTGCGGTCTCAGGCAGCGACCGCACAGACAGCTGTGGAGATACACAACTTCGATTTAGCAAGCGCATTGCAATAAACTACACAAGAAAAACAACACATAAAAAAAAACCGACGAACCATCTCCCCATGTGAAACGCGTCGTGAGATGTACTCCGTACTCGCCAACCATTACTGTATCCGCGCCGACAGCGATACCCCGTAAATGAGAGTTGCGATGAAGCCCGCCAGGTTCAGCAACGTTGAAACCCCGTGGAGCTTGCCGAACTCCTTGTTAAGAGCCAACATCTCCTGCGAGTGTGGCGCAGGGTCATAGCTCTTTTTCCCATCTTTTTGTTCTGGGCAGCACATCAGCACAAGTTCTTTGCGGAAAGCTGGTGGTAATCTACGTGACGAGCAGTCGACTCACCTTGTGCCTTTCTCTCAGTCATGCACTTCTGCGTTGCCGGCAGCAAAATTATCAGGTTGGCCAATCCGCTCACACACATAACAGACAATGGCACCAAGAAACCAAGGCGATTGGTAGGGTTCAGGACACCAGCGAGGCCCGATTGGGTGTGGTTGGGGCCGCCTCCTGGATAGGTCAGTGCCATGAAAACGGGAATAGCCGATTGCATGGAGAAATATATCGGAAACAGTCTATTCTGCACAGCGGCGAACTGAGGCCGCGACAAGACCTTAAACTGGGTGAATCCATTGATAAACGACTTTTCTGTCAGCGAAACGGCGCAGGGCAGATCAAGCCTGGACTCATGCAGACTTACGTGAAAAAACGTAGTTCCTAGCAGTGTTCCATACCTAAGGTGTTGGATCACAATGTCAGCTTACGGCTGCAGAATTCCTGCAAGTGCCAGAGCAAGACGTACGAGATAATATGATAGGGGGCAGGTGATAGAAATATTGAGCCCGTCGCCATCTTTCTGTATAATCTGACGTAAGAAGGGAATATATGTGAATGGAATGAGATCTGGGCACAATTAGGAAACCTATGTTCTTATGACGAATTGAAATGTGACATCGAGACAACAGACAATTCGCACCCAAAGCGAAATAGGTTGCGTAGCCATTCCTCGGAGCTCGGACCAAAGTTATGACAGTCACGTGCTTTCGCGACGTCCCCCCCTCAGCTTGACCCGCATCGCTGCCTGCTGGTGTAGACCCACTTCCGACTACTCACCGGCACCTTCCACAAACGAGGTTCAGCTAATATCAAGTAGCAGCTTACCTGCTCGAGCAACCACCACATTGAATCCAGTAGCTGTGAGCACTCATTCTTCTTACATATCACGCATACAAGCACGCGGACGTCATGGCGGACAAGGAGGCCACCGTCTACATTGTCGATCTCGGCATCACTATGAGCGAGTGTTGTGGCGGCCGCACGGAATCCAACCTGGACTGGGCCATGCGCTATGTCTGGGACAAAATCAGCACTACGGTAGCTGCTTCGCGCAAGACATGGACTGTCGGCGTATTGGGCCTGCGCACCGACGAGACGCGCAATCCGCTGCAGGGAGAGGATGGTTATGAGAACATCGCCGTCCTGCAAGAAGTCGAACCCATGAGCCTGACGTCGCTGCGAGCTCTGGGCAGTCGCATTCAACCCAGTTCTACCAAAACCGGTGATGCAGTTTCTGCCATTATCGTGGCCACAGACATGATCAGCAAGGCGGCGCCCAAGCGACTCAAGTTCAATCGCAAGATAGTCTTAGTGACCGACGGACTAGGTCCGATTGACGGCGACGACTTTGACGATTTGGCCTTTCAGCTAAATGAATTGGACATACAGCTAATCGTTGTGTACGTTCACTACCCAATGACTATTGTATATTTTTCAGAGATTGTGAACAAAGCTGACAGGTCGCTTCAGGGGCGTTGATTTTGACGACGCTGAATTTGGATTCAAGGAAGAGAATAAGCCTCCGCTAAAGGTAAGTGCTATGCAGCGTGGCAAGGATCATACACCTGCTCGTATTACTTCGTTCGATCTAACATAAATAGATATACAATGAAAACCTTCTTCAGAGCTTGGTTGAAAAGTGTAGCAGGAGCGTGTTTGGCACCATGGCCGAGGCTATCAAAGAGATGGACAGACCGAATGTAAAGCCTTATCGGCCGTACAAAACCTACGATGGGCCCCTGACCCTTGGAAACCCAGAGAGCTACGAGAGTGCTCTATCGATTGAAGTAGAACGGTTCTTCTTAACCAAGGTGGCTCGTCCTCCTCCTGCAACTACCGTAGTGGTTAATACGGAAGCCGATGGAGCCACTCAATCAACACCGATAGATCCAATGGGCGGCATAGAGATTGGCGGCTCCGACTTCTCCAAGGTTCAAAACACACGCGTGTATTCAGTCATCGACCCCAGAGCCCCGGGTGGCAAGCTGGAAGTCGATTTTGACGAGCTCGAAAAGGGCTATGAATACGGCAGGACGGCGGTGCATATCAGCGAGACTGACCGCAACATCACTCAGCTGAAAACACTGAAAGGGCTTTCTATCGTTGGCTTCATCAGCCAGGACAATGTGCGAGCATCTTTCTTCGTTACTTTCTTTCGTGGTGCTCTAACATTCGCTTAGTACGAACCGTTTCTCAATATGGGAGAGAGCTGCATCATATTACCCCGGAAGTTCAGTGAGCAGGACGAAGTCGCATTCTCTGCGCTTATCCATGCAATGATCGAAACGAAGACATACGCCGTCGCCCGGTTTGTTGCCAAGGATATGAAGGAGCCGCAGCTGCTGCTCCTCTTCCCAACGGTTGCAGAAAACATAGTATGCTTCTACGACGTGCCGCTTCCTTTCGCTGAGGATGTTCGCACATATCCATTCCCGCCGCTGGACAAGGTTATAACGGCCACTGGCTCTGTATTGTCAAAACATCGACTTCTCCCCGACGACAAACTCAACCAAGCCATGAGTGATTATGTCGATGCTATGGATATCTCAATGTTTGGAACAGACGACGAAGGGTAATCAGGGCCAATGATCCGACGTGCTTTATATACACCTTTGAGATCTTTTCTGACACTGCCTAGGCAACCTGCTGAATACGTTGACCTTGCCGATAACTATTCGCCTATTATATATCGCGTCAATAAGGCACTCGCCTTCCGAGCCGTCCATCCCGACGAGCCCTTTGTCCAAGTGGACAACGAATTTGTGACGCGGTTCGATCATCCACCGCAAGAGCTCGTGCGTCAGGCGAAGTCGCAGATAGAGTCCCTGATCAAAGTAGCCGATGTGAAGAAAGTGCCACCCAAGGCGAAGGGCAGAGCCTCCCGCAATGCAGCGGCAAACAAGCCCTTGTCGGGTCTAGACGTCGACGCTCTCCTGGGAACACCTGCCGCCGCCAAAAGCGGGAAAGCCACCAAGATTTCAAAGGAAAATGCCATCCCTGAATTCAAGCAGGCGCTTGCTGGCACGGTTGACGTCAAGCAGATTAGTGATCTTACCGCGCAAATGGGTGAAGTTGTGCGATCGCTCATTACCAGCAGCACGGGCGACATCCATTACGCACGAGTGGCCGAAAACATGCGAGTTATGCGTGAAGAGCTCATCAGCCTGGAGGAGCCTGCCTTGTACAATCAGTTCACAACCGATCTCAAAGCTCAACTGGTAGCCGAAGAGCTGGGCGGTCCGCGATTGGAGATGTGGTGGACAATTCGGACGTCTGGCCTAGGCCTGATCACAAAAAGCGAATCTGACGAATCCGATGTCACTGATGAGGCAGCACGGGAGGTAAGATACAGGTGACGTCGCTTGCTTGTTGATGAGTTGGCTATTTGTGAAACTGACGCTCTGTTCCAATAGTTCGTGCGGCAGTTCAAGCCAAAGGAGGTGTAGGATACTGTCAATACAAATTTCGACGCTTGTATTATAATTTACTGTTCTATCGAAAACGAGGGGGCTGTTAGGAAATTATTGGAGCAAGTGGACGTTTTGCTGGCCAAGACGCTGGGTTTTCAAAGAAGCGGCAACGGAGATGCTGCTTGTCAACGATCTGTACTATGTTCGGTCACTCTTGATGCAAATACCTGTAGCGACTCACCTGTCATGTTTGCCAAATTGCCGTTACCTCTCGGTCTGTGCATAATTTCTGGCCAGCCGCCTGGCACGTCTGTGTGTACTAGACTGGCTGCCTGCTTTCCATTTCCCCAAGCGCGCTTTGCGCAACGACGATTCCGTAGGCGAACAGGACGCTTGTGCACGACTCTCATCCTATCCTAATCATATCTCGCAATTACAGGTTGCAGTAAGGTCTCACCGAGCTACGCGGCGAAACGAGACGCAAGATGTCCAAGGCTTCGCTGGCTGTACTCTCACTTCCGGACCACGGTTTCATCAAAGTCAACGCACCAGAGGCCTAGCATCTGTCGCAGCCCGCCATCGTCATATGAACTAATCTGTCGCTATTAGTCTCACGCGTATATATATGTGTGTGTATTTAATGACTTCATTTTCTCACTCCATTTGTCTTTAGTGGCATCGGTCGTTCCTTATTTACAATCTGGTCACTTTCTAGAGCGGGGCCCGGCTCAGTACAGCTTTAACCCTCAAAAGCAGTCAACAAACAGAAACCATCAACATCTGGCATCACCACACAAAAACAAATGATCCGGATAGAGCCCGAGACGCTACATCCGTGCTCATGCTTCACTCTGTCTAAGATTTAATCAAGCCTTCCAATTACTTTGAAGCCTGAGACATCAACGCGAACTCTTTTCAGGCTTAGCCAAGGTGACTCAAAACTGATGTTAGCTTTATGTGCATGTCCTCCATCTCGTAAATTTCGGTTCGGAAGGACGCAGGGCGCGGTCAGGAAGCCGAGCCATCCGACTTGGGTCATGTCTCTTTAAATTTACATTAAGAGGCTTCTCAACTCGCCATATCCGTCGATGTACTAACCTGCATATTAGATTGAACGACGCACACGTCCACCATGTCAGAGCGGACCCTATACGAACGTGTGGGGGCCCTCAATCTTTTGGACAACAGCGACACACAGGTTCCTGAGACCCCGGTAGTACTGCCTCTTTCTAATAAGCACAGCTGGCAAGCTCAGCCGAGGAACGATCTCAAATGTGGCGAGTCTTATAGAGGCAGAAAGATCTCGTTCTGTCCGTGGAACATTGTCACTCATTACCACGAATGGTTCGTTGGCAAAAAGAACGGCGAGCTCATCCGCCCGTATTTCGATGCAACCGCGCTCCTCCGGTGTAAGCTCTGGGACTTCTATTATGTTTGGCACCCAGCAAATGCCAAAAAGGACTGCTATGCCATTGTTGTCCCTACAGATCAGCTTGAGGATCTTATTTCCCGCATCAGCGAAACACTGGACATCCAGCTTTCCATCCCAGCTGGTGTGCATTCAGTGAAATTCCGGGTTATATTTGGCGACTTTGGCACGCCGCTGCCAAGGTTTCTAGGCCATGCATTGGACCCTGCCGCTTTCTCCAACATGGTCAGCAATATGCCCCCCAGCAATCCACGGGATTCTGTCTATGACATGTCACGCATTTCCCCGCAAGCTCAAACATCATATCTCAGGAAGGTCGATGGCCTGTTTGAAAACCACGACAAGGCCCAGCGAAAAAAGAACAAATCGGCAAAGAGTCTCCAGAGGACCCTTTACCAGCGGAGGAGCTGGGGGAGACAGACAAAACGTGTGCAGCGATATCTTGGGCTGCGTGATAAACGCGGCAAAGGCAAGCACCCTCGGACTTTCAAAACCTATCGAATGATACCCTAGGGAAACAACGGATGACTGACTACCTACTCCAGATGGTTCTGACGTGTTAAAAGCATTGAACCATGGAAAACCTACAACCTGTCTTGCCGAAGGAGGCGTGATATTTGTGGCAATGGACATTGAATCATATGAATTCAACAGTCGGATGGTGACAGAAATCGGGTTCGGAATCTTGGACGCGAACGATGTAGTAAGTGTGGCCCCCGGAGAACAGGGAAAAAAATGGCTTTCTCTTGTCCGTGGGCGGCACCTCCGCATCCGAGAACACGCACATGCCGTCAACCGAGTTCATGTGCAAGGCTACGAGAACAATTTCAATTTTGGGTGAGTCACGCTATGGACTAGGCTTCAGAAACGCATTAACTGACATCGGTGCATTCTGCATGCAGCGCGTCTGAGTTTGTCAAGCTGAACGATGTCCCCCAGTTGCTCGGAGAAATACTTCAACCGAGCACTCCTACAGGCGAGCCCAGACAGGTCGTACTGGTTGGCCATGGTATAAGCAGCGACCTCGAATTTGTGAAACATGTTGGCTTCGATATAGCCAGGGATGCCAAGTTTCTGGAGATTGTCGACACGCAGGACATGCATCGGCATCTCCGCATGTTGCCCCAGCAGGTAAGTCTGGCAAGGGTCTTAAGCGATCTCGATATAGAGAGCAGCTTTCTACATAACGGAGGTAATGATGCGGTCTACACACTGCAAGCCATGATCGCCCTCGCAGTAATGCAGCGGGATGCCAGCCTCCGAAGACATCACGAGCGACTACAGCCAAGGTAATAATTGCCAGCTCTGTCCAAGCCCGTGCCAGTAGCATGTTTCGACTGACAGCCTTTCAGTTTTCAGCCTGATCCTTCAGTTGGGGAGGGAGGTTGGGACACCAACGGGGAAATGAGCGACGGAGGGTATCCGGAAAATGAGCCAGAATGGAAGGACGAAGCTCCTGCTCCTGCTCCCGTGTACGAAGCTGTGTACGAAGCCAAAGTCAAGCAACCCAAGCCAATTGTCAAAATCTCAGACGAGGAAGCAGAAGCACGCTGGGGCGCCCAAGAGCCGGTCGACTGGCCCTCGAATTCGCCACAGCAAGCAGGCTCATCATTTGAAGGAGTAGAGGGCGAAGAGGACCTGATTTGGCTTTAGGCGGCCATCCGTGGATGTCTGGGCCGAAATGATTGACAATAGAGGAATGAAGCAAGGGAATGTGTAGCCAGATTATGGAGCAGAGAATAAGAGCACAAACTTGTGCTCCGTCATATGTGATGCTGTGTGAATACCGCGGCGTACTTAGTTGTGCTTCCAGCATGTTGTTCACCGCCGTCGTCCTTCCCACCCAAAGCAGAGCTACAAGCCCAGAACCCCCAAAAACGCCAGTGCTATGAAGTATTTTTTGCGTTCGTTGTTGTTACATCTGTATATGAAAGATTCCTTGGCAGCCAGAGGCTAGCTCATTGAGGAGAGCCAAACTGCCTTGTCGGCGGCACTAGTCTTATGAGGCCTGCTTCTCCAGCAGCTCCTTAGCTTCGTTGACCTTCGTTGCAAGGTATGGGCTGCCGCCACGATCGGGGTGGTTGAGCAGCATCAGGTTCCGATGAGCCTTGCGAACTTTGTCCTTTGTGACGGCCCGCTCACTGTAGATGACCGTCAGCACTGGAAGAGGTGTATAGGTGGGTGTTCGTTCTCTCGGGCTCACTTCAATGACAGGATGAGCGTAGCCTCCCGCTTAGACATCTTGGGCTCAAAGCCACCTTTGTAAAAAGCCTTGCCTAAAGCGCCGACACCGCCGCGCGACCGTCGCCATGCCACCAAACCTGCTCGACCCTGATAATGCGCGTTAGCGGAGAATAAACGGGATGCTGTCGCAAGATGCAGGGCGCCGTTGACATACGAGAAAAGCCGCAACGGCCACGCCTGTCCCTATAGCAATTGTGGAAGCCATCGTTGTACCGGGGGAGGGAGGTAGACAGTATGCTGGCAGAGGGGAATTCTTTCTACGGCTTCGGAGACGAGCGACAAAAAGTCGATTCGCAATAGGCGAAAGAAAAAACGTCGACTGCGCAAGCCGATTGGCCGGGCGGTCGTAGCCACACTTTCAGCCACACCTTTTTATTTGCGTGATAAGACCGATAAGGCCCCACCAAAAATTGGCGAGAACTTTTTTTTGTATCGGCAAAAAATCAGACCTGGCTCTCCGCCATTTTGTCCTCTCTTCTGCAACCACGACCGGAACAACCCAAAACAAGTGTAAGACGAGACCGTCTCCACAACCGGCAAGATGAGGTAAGAGATATTGGCATCTTCTGTTGAGAATAATAGGAAGGAAGGGTGCATGCTAACAGTGTTTCTGTGCAACAGAGTCGAGACTTGTTATTTCTGCTCCCGGTAAGGATATGCTGGAGATGAAGTTGGACAGCAGCTCGAGATGGCGAGGGAGAAGGCTAATACGAATACAGGCCCACGTACCCGGGCAAGGGCATAATGTTTGTGCGAAACGACAGCAAGACCTTTCGATTCTGCCGGAGCAAATGTCACAAGAACGTAAGTTGCTAGACGGTGGACGAGATGAGTTGGAGAGGGAGAGCGAGCAGAAAGAGGAGAAAAGAGCAAGGCGCTAGGTGGACGAACACGGGATGACTGCTGATATCGATTGATCCACGCTTTCTAGTTCAAGATGAAGCGCAACCCCCGCAAACTCAAGTGGACCAAGGCCTTCCGCAAGGCGGCCGGCAAGGAGATGTTGGTCGACTCGACGCTGCTCTTTGCGGCACGCCGCAATGTGCCGGTGCGGTACAACCGGGAGCTTGCGACCAAGACGCTTTCTGCCATGGACCGCATCGCGGAGATCCGGCGTCGCCGCGAGCGCGCATTCTACAAGCAGCGCATGTCGGGCAACCGCAAGCGCGAGCTGCTGGCGGCACGGAAGCTGGTTCTGGAGCATGGCCACCTGCTCAAGGAACTGCCGAAACGGCCGATCCACAACAAGGTGTCGCACAAGGAAAGCGAGAAGCAGTCGGAGCTGCTGGAGGAGGACGAACTGGAGGAGAGCTTGACCGCCGGCAAAATCAAGGCACGCAAGGTGGTGCGGCAACGCATCACGGCCGACGGCGACTTGGAGCTCGAGGAAGAGACCGTGGCCGACGTCTCTGGCCTGCTGGACGACGAGGACGAGGACGAGGACGAGGGCGAGGACGACGACATGGACATGGACTAGAGTGCAGGCTTGGAACTGCATCTCGCGCTGCATTATTCCTCTCCCATTGTGTTGTGTTTCATCCGCTTCTGCATTTATCTGCACAAAGTCGAGAAGAAAAAAAAAGAGGGAACAGGCTGGCGGCGTTTTGGGCGTACATTCATCCGTAAGGAACAGTTTGGGGCGATTCCCACGTCTTTATTTTTTTTTCGTTTTTTGCTCGTTTTCACCACCTTTTTGGCGCATAGAAGAGAGCAAGCACCAAGACAGAAATGTTTGTGTTACGACTGTCATGACCGCCAGTCTGATGGCATATTGCCCCTTCTGCAAAGCGTGACCGATGGGACATTGAGGAAAAGCGAGCGCAGGATGATCGAGTGCAGCAATTGGTATCATAGTAAATAGAAGGGAACAGCTTCGAACGGACAGAGCTTTTTGCACTCAACGCCCTTATGGCGCCCGACTCGTGAATTCCTCTTCTCCTCGTGTCTCTTTTCACAAGCCGCCTGCCGGTGTCTTCTGTCCGTCCCGTGCAGGTTTTGCATGGTAGGCTGGTGCCGGCATGGCCAGGCCAGCCTCGACGTCTTGGCGGATCTGCGCCTCCATCACGGCCTGTTGCTGCTGCTTCTGCCGCTCCTTGGCCTCCTGCTCCTGCTCGGCTGCCGCAATTGCTCCGGTCCAGTTGCCGGCGCCCCCGCGACCCGAGTACGCCGCCGGCTTGCGAGGATAGCCGCTGGGACTGGCGGCTGCCTGCAGGCGAACGGCCTCGTCTTGACGCTCGACAGCAACGGCGGCAACGGACTGGGAGTCAAAGAAGTTGCCGGCACCGCCACGGCCACCACGAGCATAGGGAGCCGGAGACGCTCGAATGGCCGCGGAAGAAGTGTCCTGCTCGGGGATCTCGATGCGATCCTCCTGGCCTCGCTGTTAGCTCCTCGCTAGACAGATTCGCCTCCGGGTTCCGTGCTCGGCCCTCTTTATACGCACCGGCTTCTCGGCTTCCTCCACGTCCTTCTTGCTGTACCAGTTGCCGGCTCCTCCACGGCCGACACGGCGGAAGACCTCGTCAGACATTGCCTCTTTTTTTCTGGTTCGCGCGGTCTTTCACAAGGCCCGCGCAATCTCTCGCAGTCGCTCACGGGGGGCTAGGGAGAAGTTCCCCTGAGACCGCAAGATGAGCGCTCCGTCTATGACTCCTCTCGAAAATTACGAGTAGTCGTCCTTTTGCTGTGGATTGTGGACAGGGATTCGCCGGTAGAGTTGGCAAGAAGACCCGCAGACGGTGGAGTCAATAGACCGCGGGATGTCTCCACCGGGGGGGTTTTCATGAAAAGTGGCACATATTCTGGCAAGAGTTATTTTTGTTTTTATTGTTAAGTTCAAGACCGGTAATGGGTCGTTCGATCACCTAACATTGCACGATCTCCCTGCGAGTACTATGTATTTAGCGGTGCATTGTACATGGCCTTACGCACTCTCTACCGAGTCCCTTGCATTCAGGCCCATTGAAAAAGAATATTCTTCTCGTTCTTCTCCCTTATTGCTCATGCCTGTTACGAGTAGAAGCCAATTCATAATGCCTGCTATGGTTTTCATGCCTAGAACTAATACTCTATAGACCTCGTCCTTTCACCGTCGCACATTTTTTTTTTGGCCTACGAGAATCCCGGAAAGATCGATAAGACTATTCCGCTCACAGGGGTAAAGCGCCCCATACCACTCCCCGCGTGGCTCCTTTAAGGGAGCTAGTGGGGTGTTGCGGCGTCGCTGCAGCCGCTAGTCTATAAGTATCACTTTCTCCGTTCTTGTATCTTGAGATATTAGCACGCGATATCGCGAAATCTTCTATATTGCTTGTAAAGATACGGAGCCTTTCTCTAATTACACTGATAGCACTCCGTTTCAGTCAGACAGCACACTGAATAGAGGAGAGGGCAAGTGTGGAACGGTGGACAAACAAGCGCCAGGAAGGAAAGAGCTACAGAGCCTTCCCTGGCGTCTTGCTCTAGGGTTGCCCGTTTCTAGCCGCTGCACTTCCTACTTTTTACTTTCGGCCTTAGCCAAGGCTTTATTGCCACAACACAGGCAAGACTGTCCTAAGTCTCGGCCAGTCTTTATTAATATCGTAGTATTCCGACACAAGATCCGCTATAATTGCAGGGCTGGGCCCTCTTCCCCTCCCTGCTTCTCTCATCATTGATGCCGCATATTTGTACATCTGTTTCGGGTTCTGGAATTGTACTCTGTAGGCTGTGGGCTGTGTGAGCACCGGCTGTGTCTTCCATGCGCTATTATGCTGCGGTGTTTTACGTAGTACTCGTACTTGAGACGATAGGACTGTGTCCCACAATGTATATAGACCGTGACTTTGTACTTGCATGTCCACCCCTATGCAGTTACACGAGTTTGGCCATCCGCACATCAAAACGCGTGTTCCCGCAAGCCACTGCGGTACGATGTTCTGGCACTGTCTTCTTGTACGCGTACGAGTTACTCGGCATTTTCTGTTGGGCTGCGTTCTTTTGCCAGGGTTTCGTGCTGGGTCATGCACATACGTCGTAGCAAGACCCTCCGCCTCTTACCGCAAATCAGGGTTGTAGCAATGGCGGTGGGCGACTCCGTGTTGCCCTGCTTGTGTTTAATTTGCCCTGCGTCCTGCACGGCCAACCGGCAATATCGATGAGGAATTGCAACTGGCGATCGCTGCTTCTGGATGTTTCGTAATACTCCATACACGTGTCGGTGTATGGCCGGCTGCTCGACTGAACCATGCCGGAAGCCTGCTCTTCGTCCATTGTCTATCGTAGCCGTCTCGTGAAAGGGGGTTGTGCCCGCTGATAGGCCCCCCTGTTCTTCTCGGGCCATTTCCGTACGACGTATAAATGAGCGTGGGATTTCACATCCTGGTATGCGCCTTCCCACTATTTCCACCCCCCTTTTCAGTCTACAAAGTATTCCGGAAACCAACATACGTCGTACTTCTGCCCTCAAAGCCTTTGTTGACTGTCTCAGCCAGGTCTCGCCTGCCAAATTCGGTTGCATCTGCTCTCGTACAGAATACGAGCACAACGTATTTTGGGCACCACAACCAGCATTTTGTGCTCGCGCCTTCTCCTGTAACGGAAGACAGTGCCAGAAACCGCACACTGTGTACATGCATTCTTGACCACGCTCGTTGCCGCCTGCCCTGCAGGTCATTTTAAGTGTGCGAAACAGAGAGAAGGGTTGGGAAGGAACAGTCGAATGTGGTGTGTGTAGTCGCTTACGTCGTCGGCAGAACGATAAGGTGTCGTGTCACTCTGAGCGAGAGGGGATTGAAAAGGCACAAGTCCTTTGCGGTATAATCCAGCAATCACGTTCCCATACAGACCGCTGAGCTGCTTTTGCCTACCCCTCTTCTCCACACCTCCTTTCCGCCTTCGGAATGGGCCTAACGCCCATACACAGCCCCTCACCACAGTGCGCCAATAATAAGTGCCAGCAGCGCTTTATGCCTCTCCTTCTTTTGGATTCTACGAACACCAAGGGGAGGAATGTATCTTACTCCGTAAACCAACAGGCCTTGCACTATTATGTACGAGTATTCACTTGTATTATCGTATCTGACTCTGTGCTCCGCCCAGGGCCTGTACTCGTATTGTATACTCGTACACCTCTCGTAATATGGCCTTTCTCCTTGCCATGATATCTGACCACCTGATGTGCTTGTCTACGCCGTAAACTGCTCTGTTCCTTCCTCCGTATGGAGTAGCGTGTTCCTTTTTACCTGTTGTTCTAGGCGCCAGCACTAGAAGGAGCGAACGGCTGACCGGGCGAAGCGTCTCCTCGTACGGAGTACGGAGTACTTACTTTTGTATCTTGCTACTTGATTAGGGGCTGGCCAAGTATTCGGTGTATAGGTCACAGAGACCCTGAAAGAAAACGGTAGAGTCCGTTCTTTTAGCACCTAGTATCCTATGAGTGCGCTCACCTAATACGTATCTTACTATCTCATACTAAGATACATCCCGTGAACACCGCAACCCGTGGTTTGCCTCCCCATTCCAGCTTTACTCACTCCGTTCTGGTCAGTGACTGCCTCCTTCGTCCCCCTCCACTGTATTGCACACACGCCACACTACCACCACACAAAACACGCCAGAATTTATGTTACTGCTTTTATTTTTGGCCGTGATCCTCCTTTCTTACGAGTACTCTCCGCTTTCCCAATACTTCTTTTCATTTTCTTTCTCCTTTTCTTGGTGCCTGCTTCCTTCTTCACACCCAAACGGACACGGACACGAAACAGCCAGCACACCAGCACATCCACTACGAGTTGCCTCACCCTTACTTTTTGGTCCCCCCTTTTGGAAGACTCAATCTGCCACGTCTCATTCCCCTTTCCCTCATTTCTCCCCCCAACTAAACGCCATCGGTAATTGGGAGGAGAGGTAGAAAGCATCGTCTGTTTGCTGCCGTTTTGTCGGGATTTTGCCACCACACACACGAGTCAATGGCATCGTCAAAGGTGAGTTGACTCATGCCTATTATATGCACGACATCCGCACCCCCTTGAACACCGAATGCGGGAAATCTGTGGGATCAAAGTCAAGGAAACCACAAGCGAGAGAGAGGGGGTTATCTAAGAGAGCGACCCTTGGGAGAGTCGAGCAAAGACGCTGAAGAACAACGGCACGGTCGCAAAAGAGATAGGGCTTCCATGCTGACAGTTTACACAATCGCCTCCTGCCAGGAAATGCAATCGACAGTCAGACCATTGACCCACCGTCCATCCATTCCCAGCGCGCCGAACGCGATCGGAGCCTTGAGTCCAGGCAGTTCCAATAGCCTCGCAACCCGACAGCCGCACTCACGAACAGGATCCCATTCGATTATTGGAGCTGCCCTAAACGCGAACCACCGAGTCAGTCGTCGGAAGAGCATGACGAGCCCCGGGGCCACAAACGTTGCTGCCATGGCAGCGCTGATACAAGAAGCGGATGCTTTGCCCGTTCCAAGTGCTGGAGCCGGTGGCCGTCGCAACACCGCGTCGAAAACCAGCGCCGGCACTATCAGCGGGTCGCCCGGCTTCTTTTCCCGCGCGCCATCGGCCATGGCGGCCGCTATGGCCATCGCAAACGGAACGATTGGCGGCCTGCCCCTGCCGTCTCCACCCGCGAGCCTACCCAGCCGGAAGTTTGTCACAGCCGATGGCAGTGCCATTGACGACGACTTCAACGATATGTCGGACGTGGAGGACGATTCGACCATGCGAAGCGACCTAGGAGCGAACATCTTCGACATGGCGCACATTCGCCGTGCCAGCGACGGTCAGCCGCTTGTCAAGGAGGGCCGGAGGAGCAGCACCCGTATGGACCTGCGCTGCGATAAGTGCGGGAAAGGATACAAGCATAGCAGCTGCTTGACAAAGCATTTGTGTGTGCCCACTCTCCTTACCCCGCCCTTTACCCGTCCTACCCATCGTGCGACTGCTTTGTATGCATGCCGATGCCAAGCGGCGCTGCCCGGGCCTCGATCTCGCAGACGGTCGGCGCTGCGCTGTGCACATTTCGGACGGTCATCGGCGGCGTCGGCACTCCCACCATCCGATCCTCTTGTCACCACCTCCTTATTCAGAATGTTTGTTTGTTGACTTCGTGTTTCTTCTTTTGTCGTTTCGCAGGTGGGAACATACTCCCGAATGGTCCTATACATCGAAGCTCCTCATATCGAAGCATCAACAGGTGCAGCTGCTCGAAGCCGCCTCCGTGCTGGTAGCAATGAACAACCAACACCCCAACGCCGACGTTACTGTGGTGAACACCCCGCCGGAGTCGGCTCGAGACTATACCAGTGAGCGTGACTCTGCATCACCGATTGCTTCGACGTATTTCGAACAGAACGACGGACACAGCTCTGTCGACACGACACCCCCTCCGCAACTGGAGGGTGCCATGAACATCGACGGGCCCAAGAGGGACCCGTCACTACCTCATTCGTCGCCACCGGCATCGCTGCTGGCAGAACGCCGCCACTTTTTGCAGCGATTTGGGCCAGGCAACGGCCATGGCGGCATTTCCCAGTCGTACCAATCCGGCCTCCCCGCTGGCCCTGTGGCTGGTAGAACGCTTTCTACTGGATCCGTCACGAGCGACGCATTCGCATTCGGACACCAGCCACACCGAGGCAGCCTTCGGCCATCGTCATCGGGTCGGAATACGACCGGCCAAGAAGACAATGAACTGGCAGCAGCGGTAGAGATGCTGAGCTGCAGCTTCAACAGCGCCGGCGGGGAAGTTCACGGCTTCGTGCAAAATATGCCCCCCGTGCCGCCCGTCCCGGCCATGTATCTAGGGCAGACTGCGCAACCCCTTGACGATACGAGCTTCATCAGCAGCTTTCCAAGCCGTGCTCCGGAAAGTTTCACGCGCGGCGATCGTTTCAGTGTTAGTGGCTGCGACGACGTCATGATGGAAGAGAGCAGCGAAAGCTTGACGGATGAAGACGACGATGATATTCGCTCTCGTGCTCGAAGTGACGACGACGACGATGGCGTGTTTGGACGCATGGAAGAATAGGCCGAACAAAGAAGGCAGTACCGGCTATGGCTGTCGGCCCGACATGTTCCTAAGCGATCGGAACAGGCGAATCCAAACGACCATAGCCTGGATGGTCACACCCCAACAACAGACCAGGATATTATGTTCAGGCCGGCACGGTTCGATATGTACATTTTCTCTCCTTATGTCGTTTTGGGGGATTAAAGACTCGAAGCTTTGTTTCACCGGTCCTCCGTCACCGTACAACTCAGCACCGAAGAGTGGGAGATGAACTTTGTCAGCATGTCAGATAGTACATGAAGAGTCTGTCCACGAGGTTAAAGTGAGTGTCGGCTGCACACGTTGAGCAACCCGATATACAACAGCAACAAAAAAAGTTGAAAAAATAATAATTAACCAGATAAGAAACATCACAACAAACAGCGTATTTATTTCATGTGCAACGGGTACATATAACCGTTTGGCGTCAACGCAAACAATACAAAATGTTGAAGCAGCCTCAGATGTTTCGTCCAATGTGTACGTAATGCTTCAATGACTGTCTGGTGACGTCTAGCGGCAAAGTTATAGCAGATGTAGAGAGAAACAAAGTAGTTCTTCGAGATAATCGGACGCATTAGACAGATAGTTTTTGAAAGGTAGGAAGACGAGTAAAGAAAATGGTACGATGTGATGAGCAGAAGAAAGGAAGGAGGGGCGCCCGTCTTAATGGGCGGCTCCTTCCCCTCTATATGGAGTCGTGGGAAGGAGGTGGGAAATATTGAGGAAGGAACGGCTGTCTACTGGCGCCGGTGGGACCATGCTTAAGCACGTTATAGACTTCTGCAGAAGCTGCTCATAGTGGGGCGTAAAGGGAGAGCCTACGTCACACATGGCTTTGAAGTGAGTGCTTCCGATCGCGTCTGTGTCAGCCAAAGCAATGATGATCAGGGATCCCTCTGCTATAGCTGCCCTGCCGTCTTTCCCCTCCTCTTTGGAATGGAATGCAAAAATAACCCGACTCGAACCCAACGCGCTTTCACCACCCAGTGTTCCGCCTCCTTTCAGTCAGAGAAACTCGTCTCGCCGTCTGGCTACACAAGCCTCATTGCCTTTCTAATGGCACGAATCAAAAATTCGGCCAAGTCGGCGTCGAAATCTGCGGCAAACAACGATGCGGCGCTCACGGCATCATCAACGCCGGCAACCCGCAGAACGGCACCAACTATAACGGTTAGAAGCGAGCCTAGGAAAACTAGGAAAACTAGGACTAAGGAAGAAACGGGTCAAACCAGTGGGAAAGGTCGACAGGACGTCAAAACCGACAGAACCTACAAAGTCGTCAAGCATAAACAGAAACCCAAAGAAAGCGATGACGAACAAGACGAACAGGACGAGGAGCAGGATGTAGGCGGGCAAGATAAGGAAACAGAGGAAGGACTAGAACATGCCAAGCACGAGTCTTCAGATAGAGACTTACACTCTTTGCTCCCTGGAGCTCTGTCGCCTTCTGTGGACACATCTCGTGCTTTGGGCGTCATTGCTGTCTGTGCCATCGTATCCTCAGCTCTCTCTCTCGCCAGCCATATGTTGGTTAACTGGATCACATCAACGTCGACACTGCCACCCCCATGGGCTGCCTGGACCTCGTATTTGGGCGCCATGGCCTTGCCGTCCGCCTTGACGCCAATATCGAGTCTTGCCATTCGCATGTGAGAATCTCCTCCTTCTCGCCCTCTGTCCACAGTATATTTTCTAGTAAAGTACCACAGTGAACAAGTGCTGACGGCTCTTTACAGGTGCAAAATCTCTCTTGCATGGGGCAGAATTACAAATGTCGTTGCCTTAGACGTGCTTGCCTATGGGCCAATGGTACGTGTGAAAGAGGCAGCACGTCAGACCTTGTGTGCACCAGCTGACAGTCATGTTTCATCGACTGCTCCTTTCAGGTCTACTTATTCGCGGTACTCCATTGCATTCCCCTGCCTGCTGCCTTAGTGGTGGCTGCGATCGACCTGATCGCAGATGTCTTACCTCTTCTCGCCTGGAAGCGGCTAGCTGACAGCACCACTTCGGATGATGATGATGATGACGGTGTCGACGAGGCCGGAACGATCAAAGCCGATCTCACCAGCGACTCTGGGGGTTTCGGAGACCCGGTAACCTATGCTTGCTCCGCCGCCTTCGCGAGTGCCCTCTACAGCTTCACGTTCGTGCAAGCTTGTCGCCTGTACTTGCCCAGGATCTTTGTCGTCCATTTTTGGAACATCGCCACCGTCAAGCCGGTGAGGACACTTCCGATATCAGCGACATTTCCGCCATCCGTGTCTGAGTTCGGCAAGGCTGTCTTTCTTGGCTGGCCTTCTGTTGTCCTCAGTCTTGTATGCGGCGTTGCCGCCTACAGTTTTATTTTTACTGGGACGAGCAGTCCGCCATCCGCCTCGCCATCCTACAAGAAATTTGTGGCGGTTCGTACTGCAGCGCTTTCTCTCGTTGTCAGCACAAACATCTTTCTGCAATGCTTCATGGGTGTCCGAGGCATCGATGTCGTTGGAGCTTTAACTTATGCCGCAGTCTGGGCAGCAGCTCCGCTGTTAGTGGGAGCTGCATTGGCGCTTGCTAGATCATAATCTGCGCAGAGGCAATGCCTAATTCTCTTTCTTGCATATTTACGTCCTTGTTGTCAGTCTTGCTCTTTCATTACTTTGAATTGTCTGTTTTACATCAATATTCCTAATTGTTGCATTTTAAATTAAACGAAGGTTGGGGCATCAGTGATAGTATATTCGGTTCTCTTCTGGCAAATCGCATAGGCCAAAATAGAGGTGAGCTTGGGTAATCTTCTCGTGCTCTAGCAAGGCATTGGCTCAGTAGAGACAAAGCAGATTGCGGGACACACCTAGGCACGCATATATGGACAGATATATTCATCCGACCCGTTCACTGCGCACTGTCCGTCTGGGAGGAATTTGTTTAGGCGAGATGTACTGGCAGACTGGCTGTATCCGCTCAGCCCCAGAGCAAGGCGTAACAGAGGTACGATAAGGATGTAGTACTCTGTATAGAAGGTGGGATCATTTTTCGGCATCTTATTAGCTAGCATGCTATAAGTTGGTACGCTGCATCTGCTCGTGGGTAAGTGCATGCATATGCTACTAAGGTATCTTCCAACTACAATTGTCGTGAGAGAGAAGCCTGGCTGACTCGACTCAGATTCGGGCGTGGGATGCCAAAAATCACTCTGAATGGCAAATAAAGTATGCATGACCGTGCCATCAAATTTGTTAAGGAGAGCGGCTTGGGAGTCACAAGACGTCAGCCGGCTCATTCATCTCGGTCAATATCGTTAAAACAGGTGAAAATAAGCTGCCAAGCAACTGATGCTAGTGATAGATTGCGAGGCTAAATGGGAGAAGCGGTACAAGGGCAAAAGTCAAGGCGCGCAAAAAGAAAAAAGATATCTGAGAGATGCAAAAAAGTGGTGGAAGGCTGGTGTCTTTCAAGGAGGCTGTTGCCTAAAGTGCACTGGTGAGTCTTACCCACCGTCTGCTAGGAATGCAGAGACTAGGCGCAAAGCGAAACTTTTGGCAAAACCCGTTACGAGAAAAAACACTGCCAAATTACATTCCGAGATCACCTTCCACCATTTCCGGGGCTTTCCCTTCTCCTTTGCTTTCTCGGTATCCATTATTGACGATGGCAGCCTAGGCTGAGGCCTTCCTGCCTTGAGCACGGCCCATCTCCCTGACATGGATCACAAGTCGGTCCACTCAGGGACGTCGCTGCTTGCTCCACATGACCTGGGCCAGCATCGCCCTAGGTTCCGTCGGGAAGACGAGCAAGGTCGGCTACAACATTTGCAGACGCAAATGGGACGAGTTCATCACGAGTCTGGCCTCCACTACAATGGGGGGGTGGATTGGGGCGGGAGAAAAGAGAGCAGAGAGAAGGCAGAAATGCTCTAGTCCTGGATATATTGCCTCATGCAGCTCGTGGAACCCAGTGGTTCCCCGAATATCTCATTCCGTGCCTCTGTTCTGCCTCACGTATATATACTCTCAATCCCCCCCTGGTACCGGCTTTGATTTATACTCGTCCTGTTCATGACCCCAGCTTGTTCTTCTACCCTTCTGCACATTTCCTTCCCAGTCAACTCATCACCTACCCTTTACTTACACGCCGTTCTAGGCATCTGACTACCTCATACTGTCTCTATTTACCTAGATGAAGGGATCGCTATCCCATCTTGCTAATAGAAATTAACGTTATCACACTTTCAAATTGGCTTGGAATTCAAAAGAAAGCTTCTATCTTATCAGCTCGAAATCCGTTGCTGTCGTGTTTCCGCCGAGGACCTTTTGCAAAGCCTCTCTCGGGTTTCCGCAAAGCTGCCCCCCACCTTAATACTACCAGCCCCCTACCCCTTCTTCTCTTCTATCATGCCAAGAGGAAGGTCCCATCGTCATGCCGGAACTGCAGCCACTTACACTGAGGGGGGGTCTGACAATCCATGTTTCTCGTACCAGCCTCCATCTGCTTCCAACGCCGAGTACGAGGATATGGTGCTCACCTTTGAGGAAGGCGAGATAGACTATAATTACCAGGACAGCTCTGAAAGCAGCGGCAAGCCTGGTGCTACAAAGAGGAAGAAAAGTGTCAAGTCGAACTCTTGCCTCGATTTGACAGGGCCAATGGAGGTGGACGGTTCTGTCAAGGCTATGGGCTCTGTCAGCTTTGTCGGAGAATTCTCTGTTCGGGACAGAGTTGAAGCATACGGGAACATTGCTGTCAGCGGAAATCTGACATGCAGGTATGTAGTTGGACTTCCAAGAAACCCTCTTTTGAGACCATGTGTATGCTAATGTAATATGTTGGCCCGGATTTAGCGGCAAGATCAAGTCGTTTGGAAATGTCGACGTAACTGGCTACGTTTACTGCGGGTATGGCTGTTTCACCCCTGTATGTTGAAAGGTATGACTGACATGGGGAACAGAAACAAAGTCCAGATATATGGGAAGCTCACCATAAACGGTCACTTTGAGGTCCAGGAGAGCATCGAAGTCTGGGGTGCCGTCACTATCCAGGGCTTCCTGTACGTATCCCATTAGTTTTTTTTTGTGAAATTTTCATCATATACATGGGCTAACATATACATTGCAACATAGGAAGTGCAATGCGCTCACTGCATATGCATCTGTTACTACTATCGGCGACGAGTCCTGCTATGAAGTTGTTGAGCCCGAGACCGTCTGGGGCGCCAAGATGGTAAGGCGGACATCAGCCGAGGCAGAAGGGATGCAGATCGAAGATACGTGGGGAGCCTACTCGTAGGTATGTATGTGCCTGTCTCGAGAGGACAGGTACGAACGCGATTTGGTGGGTGTATTGCACTTCTTGTTTGGTAAGCTCGGAGTATCGTCAGCAAGGCTGATTGTGTTGATTCTACTCCTATGTCACCATGTTGTTTCTACTACTGATTTTGGCGAATCTTTTGTACGGAGTATCATTTCTTCATTTCTTGTTTTCTCACCCCTTGGATCTTTTCTTTCATACCCCTTACATCGCACTTTCTTACATGGCTTGAATTTGTGTTAGGTGGCTTGGAAGAAGGTTTGAGTATAATGTGATATGACCTATTATATGTGCATTGGAATCCAGCCTGATGTCAGGATCTTTGTGTTGACGGCTTATGTTGTAACATTATGGGAGATACTTTTAAGTGGTATGAGCTGATGCTCTATAACAGAGTAGATACAGTACTCCGTATACCCGATAAATCCATGCCGATATGTAACAAAAAGAGTTGAGCGCCATACTATATCGCGCTAGGCAGATATGTGGCAAAGCTGAGACCCATGGTCGCAAACTGGCAAGGCGCATCTCAACGGCGGGAACGCGTGAGCCTCCACCTTACCGCGCCTGGCTGCCCTCATCTCCGCTCCAACCACGATGCGCACAGATAGGACAACGGCGCGTTCTGCATACTTTTGATTAACGTTACCGATTACTGTTCTTATTGCCAGTTCTACGACGCAGTCCAGTCACCATTTTGTTTCCATCTCTGCGATGGGAAAAGGGGACAGATAGAGGCACAAACAAAGCAAGTGCACCACCTGAAGGTTCAGTTTCCGTGCATGGCTGCTACGGAGTCCGTGCCCGTGATGGGCGACACCGAGACGGGCACCACGGCCGAGCCTCAGCGCAGCGAGGAGGCGGGCTCACCACGACAGAAAACGATGCGATCCTCCCTCCGTTCGATACATGCGTCCTCGCCAATGCAAACGATGAACGGTTTGGCAGTCGGGGCAGACGAGGCGGAACCCAGGGCGGCAGCGGCAGCGACAGTACTAGAGCCACACTACTCGTCGATAGACAGCGGACTGGAGTCACTGAACTTGCGTCCAGACCCAGACGCCCAAGCAACGGTGACGGACTTCCTCGACTTTACCGAATACCTGCCCTCAGACATTGTGCGGTCGCTCACGCTGATCGGCGATCTCGACCAGACGTACGTGGACGCATCGACAAAGGTGCACGAGCTCACAGCGCTCTGGGGGAGCTTGCCGACGATGGCAGCGGAAGAGCGACGGCAGCCGGTGAAGCTACGGGCCGATATATCAGCGAGCCTGCGCCGTGGTCTTAGCTCGCGGATCTACGCACACGACGAGGCCCAGCGGATGGCCAAGAATGTCAACCGCCACTACTACCGGGCCAAGACGATCCTGGAAAAGCTGCGGGCCATGCTGGAGAACTACGCAGAGGCAGAGGCGGAGCAACAGGAGCAACAAGAACAACATAAGCAACGAGAGCAACAACAGAAGCAGCAGCAGCAACAGCAGCAAGCAGTGAAAGGGGCAGCAGCGGCGGCTGCAGGGCGCGGACCAAAACAAGTGGGCGTGGCACGGGTGCATCGACAGAGAGTGCCACGCATTACAGTACCGGGCGAGGTGTTGGCGCCTTACGACATGGAATACGACGTGTTCAGCGACGACAGCGACGTCAGCTCTCCGTCGTCCTCGGACGAGTCTCTGGCCCTGGGTCACACGGCCGGATCGGCGGTGCAGCCGCGCATCAAAGTGTACAAGGCACCAGGCGGGGGTCTTTCGGCGGCTGGGGGGTTGTTGACTGGTTCGGGGGCACCCAAGCCGCCAAAGGTGCGGATGCCGCGGGCTCCACGGCAGCCGGGGCAGCCGTATTTGTCGACGAGCTCGGCGCTGGCGCAGCTGAAGCCACCACCGGAGAACGCGGTGATTGGCAGCGCGGACGCGCCGTGGTTGCAGCTGACGCCATATGAGCTGGCCAAGCTGCGGAAGAGAATGAAGAAGAATGCGCAGTGGACGCCGAGCGAGACGATGATTGCACGAGAGCTCAAGGCGCTGGGCCGGAATCTAGAGGCGTACAAGGTAGCCAAGAGGAAGGCAGAGGAGGACGGACGGCCATTTGACGGGTCGCTGCCGGAGGCGGTGATGGAGGCAGACGGCGTGGCTCGGGCGCCTCTGGGAGCGTTGAGCGTGGACGCGGCCCTGGCAGCAGAGCACAAGCAGCTGACGAATCGAGGGATGAAGCTGAATGAAGCAAAGAAGCTTAAGAACAACTTGGCGCAGCTGGCGGCCCAGGAAGCCGAGGAGTCTACGCGCAAGATGATTGAACAAGCACGGGCTCTGCTGTCGCCATATACGCAGCAGAATGCAGGGAGTGGTGGTGCCGGTAGCAGCGGCAATGGCACCGGCAGCGGAAGCGGTGGGAATGGTTCGACTGCGACGACGCCGGCGACATTGGTACCGGGGACGGCGGACCAGGGAAGCAGCCGACAGGGCAGTATCGCGGCGACGCGAGCAACGACACCGCTGTCACGGAAGCGGAAGCGAGAGGCCGGGACGGCCGCCGGGATGGCCGAGGGGACGGACGGAAGCGTGGAAAAGGTGGAGGGATCAATGGAGACGATATCGTCCATGTCGTCTCCAGCATTGACGGCCGTCGGTGGAGGATCAGGGTCGCAGTCGCAGTCACAGTCGCAGTCGCAGTCGCAGCGGCAGCTGTCGAAGCGAGTCAAGACGGAGACGCCAGTCCCGATTCCACAGCACGCGGCGAGTTTGGTCAGTGCGGTGCCTCCGTATCCGTCCGAGACGCCGGTGCATCCGCCAAGATGCGGCAGTACTCGACGACGCCGGTGCCGACGCCGGTGATGGGTCCGGAGCAGCCGACAGCGACAGCGGCAGCGATGTCGTCGTCTCTGAAGCAGACATCGTCTTCGACATCGCCGCTTTCGGTGGTGTCGAGCCTCTCGGTGGCGACGGTGACGACAACGGTGCCGCTGAAGCCGCCAGCCGAGACGCCAATCCCGCCGCCAGTGCACTCGCCTCGGAAGTCAACGACGCCGATCCACCCGCCGGTGAGAGAGTTGCGAGCACGAGAGATGACGCGGAGGGGGGAGAGGGGGGAGAGGGAGAAGGGGGAGAAGGGAGAGACGGGAGAGAAGGGAGAAAAGGGAGAGAAAGGAGAGAAAGGAGAGAAAGGGGAGAACAGCGGAGAAGAAGGGACAAGTCTACCAGGCCGGACGACATCCAAGCCACCGTCTCGAGCGGTGACGCCGGTTGTGCCGATCGTGATCTCAGCGGATACGAGCAGCAACATAGGAGCAGAAACGACGGCCATATCAGCGTCGATCACGGCCACGACGACAGCTACAACTACAATGACGACAAACATGACACGACGGCCGCAGTCTCGGGGCGCCAGCGTTGGCGGCAACAGCGGCGGCGGACTGGGCCAGGAGCTGGAGGCGACGCTGGCATCAGAGCGGCCGCGACGAACGAGTGCAGCACGCCTCACGCCCGGACCTGAAGCTGGGCGGACAGCGAACAAGCGGGTTAAGCGCCCGGCTCCAGGAGTGATCAGCCGGACGAACTCGGGCGGCAGCGCAGCAGTGGGACGACGCAAGGCGGCGCCACGAAAGAAACGAGGACCACAGGCGGCGGTATTGTTACAGCAGCAACAACAGGCAGAGACAGACGGCGACGTGGAGGTAGACGACGAGGGCAACGTGATTGACGCGGACGAGCCGCGATACTGCGTGTGCAACCGGGTCAGCTTTGGGACGATGATCCAGTGCGACAATGTTGAGGTGAGTGGGGATAAAGATGGATGACCGAGAGAGGATCCAAAGCTGACAAGAACAGAATTGCAGACAGGAATGGTTTCACCTCGAATGTGTGGGACTGACAGCTGTGCCGGCGCGCACGACCAAGTGGTACTGTCCAGACTGCCGGGTGCTGCTGAAGATTGGCGAGAAGGGCGAGGTCAGCGCCCGGGGCGTGAGGATGTGAAGAAGACGGTGTGGCCCGATGGGCAGCCTGTGGACTGAGCAGTGGGCAGTGAGGCTGAGTTCAAATTGAGGGAGTGAGCACTGTACTTTGGGAGCACTGCGAATTGTGAGCACTGTGTACTCGTAGACAACGAACGACGTCATCTAGGGGCACCACGAGACCAGTCAGCTGACGGGTCGCCTGCTCCAACCTGTGAGTCAACGGCAGCCGACAGGGTTCGTTGCTGGTTGTCAGCGCACGGTCCAGCATCTGGCAGGGGCTATTAGCGCCACGCCCAGGCTTCTGCTCGTACCCGTAAGAGCCAATATTGCGACTCCGCAACATGGGCCAGCCCCTCTGACGAGTCACGCCCCCCCACCAGAAAGCGCTATCTGCCTAGACACACGCCCCAGTCATTTAGGGGAGGAGGGGAGGAGCACACGTTCTTATCCTCTGGGCTTCCGCCGGCCCTCTGCTCGTGCTCTTTCCCGCCGGACTAATACCGGAAGAAGAGCAGAGGAGAAGTCGAGACATCAATACGACGACCAGAAAGAAGAAACGCGCCTGTCTGACGCACTGCCACGATCTGCATTCCGACCGCTGCCGCTTTGATTGATCCGTGCTATCTGCCCAAACCCCTTCTTGTCCCGTTGTGCCGGCCTGGATCCCTCTCTCCTGGATCCTCTCTCCTGGATCCTCCCTACACCCCTCTGAAGAAAGGACCCCTCTCTCCGACTTGTTGCGATACCGCCCTGCAGGCCCGTCCGCTGCTGTGCTGCACCTCGCTGGAGCGGCTGCATGCGCTGTCCAGTCACGGCTGTCTTGCCCCCCTTTCGCTGCTCTGATTGCTCCGTCTGTTCTGGTTCGCTTCCCCGCCTTCATCATTCTGCCGCCCCTTTGAGCCTTATTTGGTCGCCCTCGTTCGCTCTCTCTCTCCCCCTTTCCCATCTTGCCTCGTCTTTTCCCCCTGTCGAATCGCTGTCGAATCGCTGTCGGCTCTCTGTCGGCTCTCTCGCTCATCTGCCACGGCCTCGACGTCATCGCCCCTGCTCCGTCTGCTCCGTCTGCTCTCGCCGAACGCGGAGACAGCTTCATCCTCCTCGTGCCGTCTGACGGCCATCTCGGTGATCGGCTTGACGCGACCTCGCCCCTTCCGTCTCCCGGCCCTTTAGACGCTCTACCGCCATCCGGAAGGCGGTCGGCCTTGCTGCTTAATGCCCGGTAGGTTGATTCCTCCCTCTGATACGGCTCTGCTGCCCTGTCGTGCTGACCCGCTCTGTCGTGCAGGTCCGAAGAAGGCCAAGAAGGATGCAAGAGAGACTGGCGGCGTGGTCGCTGCGGTGACCAAACACGCCACCGGTAAATTCACGTATGTGCCACTCTTGCTTTCATCGCATTGCCTGTTGCTGACCCGTGTCCCGTGTTTCGCTCGGGCTACAGAAACGGAAACGGCCAAGGCTTCGCCTCGGACACGTCCAACTCTTCCGGCCCTTCGCCCGACCTGCAGGCTGTCGCCTCTTCTTCGTCCAATGGCAGCTCCTCGGTCTCGCCCATGCTGGAGGCCGTGTCGTCACCGGCCGTCGTGCCGACCTTCAACCCGGCGCCCAGAGCCATTCCCGCCAGGGTCGACTGGCAGACGCGTGCCAACGGCGGTTCCATTCAGCCTAGCATCGCTGGCTCGCCCGGAAACCTGATCAGTTTGATGGGAGACTCGCCACCGAGCCGCTGGTCCTCCCCTCGGCCCTACGGCACGAGTCACACGAGTCACACGAGCCAGACGAGCCACATGAGCCATATGAGCCATTTGAGCCATGCCAGCTATGTCAGCCAGGCTACCCATCCGACCAGCGTCTCGGTGTCGCCGCCAAGCGGCGGGATGGACATTGCGGGCAGGCCTGGCCGACGTCCCCTCAGCTACCACATGGATACCCGTCGCAGCTCGCTGCACTCGCATCTCGCCCAGTCCCGGGCTACGGCCACGTTGGCTGCAGCGTCGGCCGGGCTCTCATCCAACCCGCCCCTTCCTCACCAGCCACAGGCTCATTTCTACGGCGTCCCCGACATCGATCTGGACCTGCAGCCGCACCAGGCCGGCATCAAGCCTGGCCAGCGCGGTTACCATTTCTCGTTTGACAGCCTGCCGTCAGCGTACCCTGGACGGCAGGCCTCCCTCGGCACCGGCACCGTCGTCACAGCCGGCTTCGAGGGCGGGCTCAGAGTCAGCCTGGTATCCAAGCGAGGTCTGGAGCCGCTGGCCACACTTTCCGGCCTGCGCGGTGGTGTCTACGGCGCCAAGATTCTGCCTTGGATGGCTCCGGGCACGGCAGCCGAAGACCTGTTCCCGCTTGTTGCCGTCGTGGTGCATGGACCGGTGCTGCCGGAGGCTCTGTACCCCGAAGGCGAAGGCGACGGCGACAGCGGCGTCGGGGTCGGGCTGACGGATGGGGGGGCCGGAGCTGTTGCTGCTTCTGCTTCTGCTGCTGACGGCATCGAGACAGACGCGCGGGTCGACTCTGAGAAGCGACGGTGTATCGAGTACTACCAGACGTCGGTCGAGGTGTATTCGCTGAGGCACAGCCAGTGGATCTGCACGTTGCTCGAGGCACCCAAGATACCGCTGGCGATCCCGGTGACGAGTCCCGTGTTTCAGCCGCCGCCGCCGACGGGAGCCTTTCAGATCAAGGCCGACGGCGGGACAGTTGCGGTGTCGTCGGCGACGACGGGCGAGTGCTGGGTGTTCCGGCAGATGGCGGCAGGTAGCGAGGACGTGCTGCCGTTCTGCTGCGTGGCTAAGCTGTGGACAACGCTGCAGCAGTCGCCCAGAGGCTCCAAGGGTAGCAGCGAGGCTACTCCTGAGACCGAGCGCGTCCGAGCCGCATCCTCGGCTGCGTCTAGCCAGACGCCATCGCGACACAGTCCCAAGCAGGCAGTGCTGTCGCTAAGTGGCCGCTGGCTGGCCTACTGTCCGGCCAACCCGTCGTCACAGATTGCGTTGCGGGCGGTGGTGCCGGTGGCTCTACACGGACGAGCACCCGGGATCACGTCTCTCACTCCGCCGCAGCTGCCTCCGACGACGGCCGAGGTGGACCTGCCACAGTCAGAGAGCGTGATGAACAAGATCATGCGCGATGCCACGCAGGAGATCATCTCGGGGGCGAAATGGGTGGGCCAGCAGGGCTGGCAGGCCTTTAACAACTACTGGAAGGGCACGCCGGGACTCTCGACAGCGCAGTCCGCCCGGAGCGACGCGGCCCAGTTCCCGCCGACACACGGCGCGGTGACGCAGTCGGCCGTCTCGAAAGAGCCCGGGCTTGTGTCGGTGGTGGACGTGACGGCTCTCGGGGGCTCTGCCACGGTGCATCCGCTGGCGACGTTTTCGCCGCCGCTCGGCTGCAGTTTCCTATCGTTTTCACCGTCAGGCCTGTGGCTGTTCACGGCCAGCACCAAGGGCGACGTGCAGACGGTGTGGGACCTGATGCGCGTGCAGCACACCAAGGCATCGCCACTGCAGGTGTTGGGCGGTCCGGGAGGGCCGGGCACGCTGACGGGATCGCGGGTGCGACAGATTGCGCAGTTTTCGCGCATGACAGTGGCACGTATCGTCGACGTGGCCTGGACGAAGCCGAACGGCGAGCGGCTGGCCATGGTGACGGAGCGCGGTACTGTGCACATCCTGGACCTGCCGTCGAGCGCGTTTACGTGGCCGCCTCCACGGCGCCGGACCAACAGCACGGCGCCGGACACGAGCACGACGACGGGCAACAACAGCGGCATCAGCGGCATCGGCAGTATCGGCAGCATGGGTGGCGGCAACGCTGGCTCCGGGGGGGCCGACACGAGCACAGGAAGACCTGCGTCGATGGTGGCGGTATCATATGCATCCAGCGCGCTGAGCACGGCCTTTGACGCGGCACGACCACTGCTGGCACGACCCCGGCGAAGCAGCGCGAACGTGCCACAGTCGACGGGAGCGACGATTGTCGACCATGCCAGCCACGGCGGCAAGATGCTTGCGGCGGGCATAAGCCACTCGCTAGGAAAGACGGGCAACGCGATCAACCAGCTGCGACACAATGGCGAAAACCGGGTGTCGCTGCCGGCCGGTTCGTTTGCTCCGGGACCGGCATGCGTGGTGTGGCTGACGGGAAAGCGGTCGCACGCGCTGTTCGTGCTGGGCGACGGGCTGGTGCGCAGTTTTGCCAGCCGCAGTCGCCGCAAGACGTCAGGACAGCGGACGCTGCATCTCAGTCTGAACAAGGACTTCCGGCTGCCTTTCCTGCCGGACGACATGCTCGCGGCAGCCATCAAGCGTCTCCTGGAGCCGGACGAGTACCTGGACTTTGAGCACGGCGACGGCGAGGCCGGCAGCAACACGATGGTGCTGCTGGACAGCCGACAGCGCCTGACAATGCTGGAGTCGTCCATTCCACAGGCCGAGATCGAGTCGAGCGCCCCGTACCAGCCCTTCCACACGGACCGACGGGTGGCACTGTACGAGTTTGAGGACGGAGCCCACGTTCATGCAGCAGCAGCAGCAGCAGCAGCAGCAGCAGTAGTAGTGCCCGTGTCTCGATCGGCCACGCCGGTGAGCGTGACGGAACCGACCGAAGCGGGTGTTGTGGACGAGGACGGGTCTGTGTCGCAGTCGCAGCCGTCGACGAGGAAAAAGCCGAAGAAGACGGCCCGGATTGCCGCAGCCATAGAGGCCTTCCGAGCCCAAGAGGCAGCGGTGTCGCCGACTGTGCCGACGGCCTGGGCGTTTGGACAGCCGATTGCGTCGACGCTCGTGGACACGGGCTATGCCGGTCTGGCCGAGGAGAGCTTGTTTAGCATCGGGTTCGAGGAGACGCGGGCACTGCCGGCATCGGCCATGGAGCGGGTGCTGCAGCACGACGGCGAGAACGAGCAGATTGTGGTGACGACGCGGCGACGACGCGGTGGCGGTCGTCTGGCGGCCGACGACGGCGACGATGACGGCTTCTTCGAGGACGACTGCGAGGTGCTCGACTTTGCCGACCAGCGGGTGTGAAGGAGGTGGTGGTGACGATGTGCGACGATGTGCCACTGCGCTCTCTGCTCGCTCTTTTCCTTCGTCTCTTCCCATTTTGGCTAGCATTTTGTGTATATTTTTTAGTACAGTTGCAGCATGGCTCCTGGTTAGACAGGAGTCGGGGCAGACAACGCTCTTGGCCCAATACATCACTGTATAGAGCATTTGGATGTAGTTTGTTTGGCATTTGATTTGATGGCACTTTGATTTTCACTACACGGCTCTTCGTACATTCTCTTCCGGCTCGCCTTCACCTCGTCCTGCTCATCGGCAGCTTCTCTCCCTTTTCCCTGCTCAGGCCTTCTTCTTGGTGGCCGTGACCTTGGACTTGGCCGCCTTCTTGCGGTTGCTGCGGATCATGACGATGCTGAGGAAGGAGCCGACGACGGCGGTGCCCAGCAGGATGAGGATGACGGGGATGCGGATGGCCCAGACGCGCGGGGGAAAGCAGTTTTGCAGCGGATGGTCGACATCGACAAATGGCTGGGCCGCGGTTAGCACAGGAAGAACAGGAAGCACAAGAAGCCAAGGCCGAGACGGCGCAGCTGCTCACCATCAGCAGGGTCCAGACGGTGTAGTAGAGGAAGACGACGGTGGCTGCCACGAGCATGGCGAGGCCAACGAGCTTGTCGAGCTGGGGTGTATTAGCGGTGGGTGTGAGGAAAGAGGAAAGAGAAATTGATCAGGACCGAGAGACAGGACTCACCATTGTCGTTGAGTCTTGCTGATGGACGGCTTTGAAAAGGGCGAGGCCGACAGAACGTGCTGGCCTGGGAGAAGCACGACGAAAGCGGCACAGAGAGCAGTCACAGACACAGGCACAAGCGCAGGGCGAGAGGAGCGTCGAGAAGCGATGGCTGAACGGTTCAGATCTGGTCGTCTGGAGAGCAGGAAGCTGGGAATTCCGGCTCGGACGCGCAAAGTAGATCGTGTTCTTTCGTTCGCCCTGCGCGCCTATAGCGCAAGGACCCACATTTATGAAGCGTGGCGCGCCACAGGGGCAAGCCACAGTTGCTGGCAGCTGTCTCCTTGTCGTTTTTTTTTAGCGCGTCGGCGGATTCGCCTCTTTCTCTTCTTGTTGGCATCACGTTGACGTGATTTTGACGGAGTCACAGACGATGGGAGACTCCTACCGACCAGAGCGTGAAGGGCGTGAGCGTGGGCCACGATCGCCTCGGAAGCGGTCGCCTCGACCAGCACGACCAGACCGCTCTCCCGATCGTTCTCCCGATGGCAAAAGGATGAAGGGAGCAACAGAAGCAGGCGCGCCATCACCATCTGCACGACCGGCCGAAACGAGAGCGCTGGCTCGACGGGGTCGACGGACGCCGCCACCAGAGCCGACAGACGAGCAGAAGCAGGCAGCAGCCAAGGCAGAGTACAACCGGCTGCTGACGGCACGATCCGGAGGCGTGTACGTGCCACCAGCACGGCTGCGGGCGCTGCAGGCGTCCGTGCAGGACAAGACGTCGCGAGAGTACCAGCGGATGGCGTGGGAGGCGCTGAAGAAGTCGATCAACGGGCTGGTCAACAAGGCGACGGCAGGCAACATGCGGCAGATCATCAACGAGCTGTTTGGGGAGAATCTGGTGCGTGGACGCGGGCTGCTGGCACAAAGCCTGATCAAGGCGCAGTACGCGTCTCTGCCCTTTACGCCGGTGTACGCGTGCATTGCGGCGTGCGTCAACAGCAAGCTGCCGGCCGTGGGTGAGCTGCTGCTGCGGCGGCTGCTGCTGCGTTTCCGCAAAGGCTTCCGGCGCAACGACAAGGCGGTCTGCCGCAGCGCGGCCACCTTTCTGGCACACCTGGTCAACACGCAGGTGGCCGATGAGATGCTGGCGGCCCAGATGCTGCTGCTGCTGCTGCACAGCCCGACGGATGACAGTGTCGAGATCGCGGTCGGGCTGACGCGCGAGGTCGGCCACTACCTCGAGACGATGAACCCGACCGTGCTCGTGGTCGTGTTCGATCGCTTCCACCACATCCTGAACGAGGCCGACATCGACCGGCGGACCCAGTACGCGATCGAGGTGCTGTTTCAGAACCGCCGCGACGGCTTCAAGGACCAGCCGGCCGTGCGCGAGGACCTCGACCTGATCGAGGAGGAGGACCAGGTGAAACACCTGGTCGAGCTGGACGGCAAGCTCGAAGACGAGCCCACGCTCAACATCTTCCGCTACGACGACCAGTGGGAGGAGCACGAGCGCGAATACGGCCGGCTGCGGCGGGAGATCCTGAACGAGAGCGAGGACGGCAGCAGTGCTGGCTCGGGCTCGGACGCGAGCTCGGACGCGGGCTCGGATTCCGGCTCCAGCTCCGAGGACGAGCACGAGACCGAGCAGAAGGCGCTCGACATCAAGGACCGGACAAACGCAGATCTGGTGGCGCTGCGCCGGACCATTTACCTGACGATCCAGAGCTCGATGAACGCGGACGAGGCAGTGCACAAGCTGCTGGCCGTGGACCTGCCCGAGGGCCGCGAGGCTGAGCTGCCGTCGATGGTGGTGGAGTGCTGCTCGCAGGAGCGCACGTACACCAAGTTCTTTGGTCTCCTGGCCGAGCGTCTGGCCAAGCTGAACCGCCGGTGGGCCGGCCTGTTTGAGGAAGCCTTTGCGCGCTACTACGGCACCATTCACCGCTACGAGACGGCCAAGCTGCGCAACATGGCCTGTCTGTTCGGGCACCTGCTGGCGAGCGACGCGCTCGGCTGGTATGTCCTGTCGAGTGTTCGTCTGACCGAGGACGAGACGACGAGCGCGAGCCGCATCTTTGTCAAGATCCTCTTCCAGGAAATGGCCGAGGCCATGGGACTGCCACGGCTGCGTGCCCGCCTGGCCGAGCCCGAGCTGCGGCCCAGCCTCGATGGACTCTTTCCCGACGACGGCAATGCGCGTCACCTGCGCTTCAGCATCAACTATTTCACCAGCATCGGCATGGGCGCTCTGACCGAAGACATGCGCGAGCGCCTGGCGAATCTGCCGAAACCAGCACTGCCAGCACCGGCCGACCAGAACGCCAACGACAACGACAACCACCACTCGGCCTCGTCTTACTCCTCGTCTTCCTACACCGGCTCTTCCTACTCACGCTCACCGTCTCGCGAGCCGTCTCGTCGTGGCCGTCCGGCTCAGCGGAGGCCAGCTGGATCTTCGCGTTCGCGCTCGCCTTTGTCCAATTCTCGGTCTCGCTCTCGATCTCGCTCTCGTTCTCGCTCTCGTTTCGACTCCCGCTCTCGCTCCCGCTCTCGATCTCGATCCCCTGCCCGACGACGCAGCCGCTCCTACTCCTCGGTCGGCTCCTACTCTCGCTCGCCCTCACCGCCGGCCGAGTCGTCCCGTCGTGGCCGTCGTCCGTCTGGCAGCCGCAGCCCCTCGCGCTCACCACTACCGCCGCCAAGAACCGCTCCCGCTGGCCGGCCACGGAGACCATCGCTCTCGCCCTCGCCACCGCCAATCTCGGGCGCCCGTCGTCGTCGGCGCAGCGACAGCCTCTCTAGCCGCAGCAGCGAAGGACCGCCCAAGAAGCATCGGCGGGGAGGCTGAACAGGGCTTCGGCTACTGCGCCTCAATCCTGCTTTCCCCTTCTTCTCTTTCCTTCTCCGCCTCTTCACAAGTTTGTCATTTCAGGCGCGCTAATGTACTGTATCGTATTGAGCATTTCACGTATTATTTCATGGACGCCCCAACGGTTCTTGTCTATCTTGCTTTGTCATCTTATATCACGTGACCTTTTCTATGTCTCCTTTCCTGTCCTTTTTCTTGAGCTGGATGGCGCCCTTGGCGAGCGCCTCGGCCGGCATAGGTCGCAGCACCGGCTGTACGACCCACCAGGGCCGGCGACAGCGACGGAGGGCAGCAGCAGACGAGTCGGGGTCGTCGCGCGGGCATTTGTCGTCCTCGCCGTTGGCCTCGGCGAGCACGCGATCCTGTTCGGCCTGGCGGGCCTCATCGGAGGAGCCGGTGATGTCGGCGGCCTCGGCGGTCAGCGCGGCAGCCACGCGGTGTTCCAGCATGGCCAGGATGCGTTCGTAGGTGGCCATGTCGCCCTTGCGAGAGCGGGCCAGCGCATCGCGCACGTCGTGGTGACGGCCGACAGCATGGCGCAGCAGGTGGAACAGATGTGCCTGTGCGGCGACAAAGTTGGGCGACGAGAAGACCGCCGCCGCTGCCGACGACGAAGACGACGGCTGCATCTCGTCCCGCTTGCGCTTCTTGCGTCGCGGCTCGGCGGCATCGCCGGTCTCGTCCGTGGCCTCGCTCGTGCTCGGGTTCGCTTTCGTCTCCTCTTCCGCTGGTAGCGGCTCGTCGCCCGGCAAAAAGAGCGGCCGGCGTTGGGGCGGCACCGTCTCGTCCAGCGCATACACGTGAAGCAGGTCCAGATAGCGACGCATCACCGCGTCCACGCGCCAGCCACCGCGCTGGCCATCACGACTCGTCCAGTACTCGCGCTGAACATCGGGCGTAGGCCACCAAGCTGTGGCTGTGAATGTGGCTGTGTCTGTTTCTGCAGCATCGTCTGCATCGCCAGCCGGCTCACTCCCAAACAGTCCTGGGTCCGAGAGCAGCCCCTCGGCACTCATCACGCCGTCGAACCCGGTCGCATCCAGACACCGCTGCAGGTCGCGCGGCTGCAGCACGTTCCCGTTGGCAAACAGCACCGTCTCGGGCGGCAGGCTGTCGCGCAGGAACCGCAGCGTGGCCCAATCGGCAATGCCGGTCAGGTGACCTTTCTGATCGCGTCGCCGGCCGTGAACGGTCAGGATGCTGGCGCCGGCTGCCAACACCGCCTGCGCGTACTGCAGCGTGGCCTCGCGCGTGTCGAGGATGCGGATCTTGGCCGTCACCGGCACGTCGAGGCCCTCGTGCAGCGCCCGGATCAGCCGTACGATCAGCTCGCGGTCCTCCTGCAGAAAGGCTCCGTATCGGCCCTTGCGCGCGATTCCTTGCGGACAGCCTAGATTGAGGTCCACGGCGTCGCAGTGCGGCGCCACCAGCCGCGCCGCCGCCAGCAGCGCCGTCGGGTCGTTGGCACAGAACTGCACAAACAGCGGCCGGTCCACCGCCGGGTTGCCGTCCAGGTGCGGCGTCGCTGCCGCTGCTGCTATCCCTTCCGCTCCGTCCACGCCGCTCCGCATCGCCTCAAAGTGCGACTCCCGGTACCGCTGGCTGTCGACAAAGAGCCGCGCATGCAGCATCGGCGAGTACGCCAGCACCGATGACCGCTTCTCCGGCGCCAAGAACGACCGCACCAGCATGCGCCAGGCCTGCCAAACCGTCAGCTTCATCGCTCGTATCGCTCATCTCGCTCGCCAACCACGCACAAACTCGGACTGGTCCACCATCGGCGCTACAATGTACTTGGGGCTGCCAATGCTCTCGTAAAAGGCTCGGCCATGAAGCTTGGCTGCCCGCCCGTTGGCAATCGGCGCCGCCGTCGAGCTCGCCATCGTCCGCACAATCGATCCTCGACTCTCGAGCAGATGCAGCCGTCCACAGCCCAATCCGGCTCCAGACCAAACCGCTCGCGAAATTCCTCTCTCCAGCTTGTTCGTCGGCCAAACAGCAGACCGGCAGACGTCGTCGTATCGTGCTCTCTCCACCTGTTCGTTATGCAAGTCCTGGTTGGAACTCCTTTGGTAGACCGGAGAAAAAAATTCCACAAAAAAGGCAACCTCGCCTTATCGCGATAAGGCCGGCCTCTGACATACACAATAATAGCACGAGGCTGACCGCGGAAGCAGAACGTTAGCTTCAGAATGACGTAACCATAGCTAGAACATGTCCTTCCGGCAAGGTGCCACTTTCAAGTCGGTCGCACATTCCCGATAATCGCCGTACGGAAGGCTATCTCGTTCACTAGACATCGTCAGCTTCTTGTCAAAGCTCCGACAACGGCCGGCAAATACTACCATATTGAACTGTTCAAACACTCTTCCGTATCATTTCCAAGGGCAGTCCCGTACTCGTATGACGAGTGCTCCTGCGGCTTGCAGATTCGCCTTTGTATACTCTTCCGAACATAGTGTCTGCTTGCACAAATCACGACGTACCATCGCCGTCCGTAACAGCACAAGGCTGAAGTCAGTGACCAACTTCGCTAAGTAGCCTGATTCGCCGCTACAAAAACCGCTAACACCGGTCCACTAATACAATGCATAAATCCACATCTCCAGGCAAGAAGTCTGTGCGCTGCTGGAATAGCCTTTATACAGCATATGGGAGGTCTTCGTCTATTCCTTCCCCTAGACTGCCCTCCTGTTCCCCCACTGCAGCGAGAGGCCAGGCGATACAAACATAATATATAACAATTAAGCCGCCCGCAGCAGGGAAACAAAAGGCCAGTCAATATAAAATAACAAAAAGAATAGCTCGCTGCCAACGTCCTAAAAAGCAAAAGCCAGCAAACCAAATAGCAAGGCCGGGCAAAGAAAGAAAACAAATAGTCGCTGCCGTATGTATGTCTCAACTTTGCTCCTCCCCGTCGCAATGCCCTGTCTCTCTTTCAAGCCCATGCATTGCCACGCTTCTTCCCCTTATCTTGTTCGCCACAGGCACCCGCAAAATACAAACTGAATTGCTCCTGCCTGCCCGTGCCGTGCTGTCATTTGCTCTTCTGGTCCCTGGACCTCTCTGCCGTACTGCCTGGCTATCCTCTCCAAAAGCGTGTCGTACACCAAGAGCAACCTTTACCGAGCCCCATGTGAGCCGCTTTGCATCCGATAAATCTGTCGCCCTTGGCCTCTTGTTCACCTTTGTCTTGCCTCTTCCTGTGTCTTGCTTCCTGCAAAATAAGAATGGAAAATGCTGCTAAACGCCGTGACACCATACTATGCTGTCCGGGGAACGCCTCGGAAGAAAATAATTTGCAATCAATACAACTGGTGCGACTCAGATCCTCCACAGCACGCGCCGCCAACAAAAGCCACCTGCGATAAAATGGCCGGAACCCGACTCAATAGCAATTTGGCGCAGTCGTGCTCATCAGAAAAAATGTGTGTAGATCTTGGAGTTCTCGTGCACCTCCATTTCCTGTACAAGACATCATCGTAAGCATGTGCGGGAAAAGTACGCCCACGGACCACACAACAGAAGCACGTACCATCTTGAAGCTGTTCAGCTCCTCCTTGATTTGCTGTGCGAGCATCGGCGTCAGACGGTTGCACGTAGCAACCTCTCCGCGGCGATCGTATTCCTGGCTCGGCCACGTGTCGTAGAACACGATACGGGGGCTGAACGTCGCATTGCGCCGCATCGAGCCCTGTGGCGTGCTGTTACCGCTCCGGCTACCTTGGCGCAACCGAAGAGCAGACACAAAGTAGTCCTCGCCGCCAATCGCTACAGACCCCGTCCGCTTGTGCCCGAGCGACTCATCGTTCGGCGTGCTGGGCGCGCTGGACGCCGGCGAATCGTTGATGGGCAGTGGGCCCGGCAGTTCAAGGTCAAGGCTACGGTCCTCTGCCGGACCGCGGGAAGGGCTTCGGGAGCCGCTGGCGTCTATCAAATTCATGAGTTAGCGTCGCTTCTTCCATACTAGCCACAGCCCGCCACCACCTAGACTCACGCTTCAGGATGCCCTTCCTCACTGCAGCAAGAACCTCCGCCCGCTCCCTCTCGCCGCCTACAATGCTCTTGCGTCCCGAGTTGTCTGTTCCCGAGCTGCTGAGACGATCAGATGTCGCTGACCCCACCGAAGCGTCAACTGAGCTTCTCTGCAGCTTGGGGTATCCCGAGCCGCCGCTATTTGCAGTGCCACGCTCGCGGTCTGCCTCGGCCGTCACCATCGACACAGTGGCCTCTGCCGTGTTGGCCGTGCCGGACTTGCCTGACCCGGCCACACCAGACTCAGCAGCAGGCGCACCGATGATCGACTTGGGCCGGAAGAGCCCTACGAACGATCGTGTGCCCTTCTTCATGTTCCGACCCATCTTACGGATCATGATCGACGCCGAAGAGGCAGTCGACGATATCGACAGGTTATCCGTAGACCCAGTGAAAATCCTAGCGCCAGCGTAGATACTGCTTCCGATACCAGCCTCTTCCTGCCGTTGTGCGATCCGGTCCTGCTCAGCGTCGTAGATCTCGTCGCTGCCCGGAGCCGTGTGCAGCCTACTCGGTGCGAGAGGGGCAACAATATCTCTGCTATCTTCGTCTTCGGGCCCGGCAGTACGAAAATCTGCCGCGCTGCCAAAGGAAAACGCCCGACGAAGTCTCGACGTCTTGCTGCGCACCTTGCCGCCTTTCTGGTTGATAGCCGACAAGTGACGCATGGCCGGGCTTTCCAAAAGGTTTGGATTCCCCTTCGCAGCCTTCTGGTCCGCCGTAGAGCCGGCATCATCCTTGGCGCCTCTGTTGGAAGTCATGTTGGCAGCCACCTTCCTCTTGTCGCCATCTGCAGCCACATCCATCGCTTTCGGCCTAGACTGCGATACAGAAGCGGCGGCGCGATTGGCAGCATCTGAAGAAGAACCACGCTGAGGAATATGGACATGTTTTGAAGAGTCCTTGTTCTGTCCGGGTGTGTTGTTGTCAGATAGGGTCGTGGCTGAGGAAGCGGGGTTCACAGTGGGGGCTGCAGTAGCGCTAGAATTCCGGGTGGTAGACTAGAAAAAAAAGCAGACATTGCATTAGCGACAGACGAACATGCTGACGCTCGGGTGATTGGGTGTTGTAGATAGTGCATGCAGGGGGTCCGGAGAAGGGTAAAAAAAGGACTAGGCATGATAGGTGCAAAATAAACTCGTAACCACAGATAACAGGGGCAACACTTACAGCTGGGCGCGCTGAACTCCCACGGCTCGAAACACTCTCAGAGCTTCCATCCTTGTTTCGCATTATCGCGCTACCCGGAGATAGATTGCCGCCGGATGCTGCCCTCTGCTTGTCCTTGCCGTGACTTCGCGGAGACGGCTCAGGCTTCCTGAACTGCCCTTGCGATGGTGCGTGGTGGGTCAAGTCCAGCGAAGGCATGCTGCGGCGTCGAATTCGCTTCGCATCGTCCGATGGACGGTACAGCTGCATGTCATCGACAGTTGTCAACGCAGCATCGTGACAACTGTTTCGGCGATTCGAATTCAGCTGCTGTTGTGATAGCCCGCTGGAAACACTCGATCCGTAGAGGTGGCCAATGCTAGCCATCCCAGAACCAGATGGTGCGGCCGACGCCGGTTTCTGTTGCTGTCCCTGCACTGAGACAGCCGGACTTGTCACAGTCCGAGGCATTGCCCGTCGGTATCTTTCTGGCGACGCACGAGCAGACGCAGCCTGAGCAAAAGACTGTGTGCCCGGTGGATATGCCGCTGAAGTCTGAGAGGCAGCAACTCTTTTGGTGCCTTGACTTGTTGGCAGTGAAGAGTCATCACGGCTGCCAAAGGTGTATCGGCCACCGGACACGGTTGAGCTGGTCGACAGGTTGCTCATAGAGGCACTAGCAGGCTGCTGCACCGTTCTTCCAAGGTTGATCGAACTGTCAAAACTCTGCAGCTGAGGAAGGCATGGTGCGACTGAAGGCGTTCGCATTGTAGTAGGTTGAGGAATTTGTTGCTGTGGTTGCTGCCTCGGCATGTTTGTATGGAGACTAGGCGTCGATGTGAAGGCGTATGGCTGGATCGGAGCCGGTGTTGTGCGGTACACCATTTGAGTGCCCGATACGCCATTAGAACTTCCGTAAAAGCTTTGTCGCTGCGGCGACGCTGGGTATTGCTGTCCATGCTGTCCCTGGGGCATGGGGAGAATCCCACCCGCAGATGATGACTGTGCCTGCAGCATGGTAGCTGTTCCGCTTTGTTGGGGAAATGTCTGGACCAGCGAAGCCATCCGGGGCAATTGAAGAGAGGCGTTTGCACTGTCTACCAGTGCAGCGTGCCAAACCCCTTGTAATCAAAGCGACGATATATGGGTGTTGAATAATGAGTATGGAGAGAAATACAAAGGAGATCTGCAGTATAGAAGCTGGGTTAGCTTATGAATTGAAAACAGCAAGTGGACAGGGAGATGAAAAGGTGAGATCAGAGGTGGTGTGGACGTTTCAGTGAATAGGAGCTCGGAAGAAGCGCATGGCACCCACACCCGCACCCGAAACACATCGATTACAGTTCCGACCGCTCAACCAAGAGCAAGGGAGTGTTGGAAGTACGCCAAGTAACGAGTGTGGAACTTCCGGTGGGATCGAATGCTGTTGTGCGTAAATATCACAGATAGGGCTGGGTGCTAACGTATTCCTGACCCGTCTCGACACTGAGGACATGACACAAGAAAATTGACGGCGGACGTTTCGCATGGCAGTGTCCAGATGGAGGAGAGGAGTGTTTACGGCAATAGAGCTGTGGAAGGATTGGGTAGGGCCTACTAACAACCAAGAGTGAGGTGGTCGGAGTGTCCTAGTCGGACAACTTTCCAATGACCACGTTTGCGTGCAACGAGCCCAGCTTTCGGTAAAGGGGTTAAGAAGGAGCCGTGTGGTATGAGGGTGGCAGGGACGTTTGTTTGTGCTGTGTATTTCTGGATCGGAAGGGCTGTCGAGGCGGTACGTCGAAGGGTACACAAGGCAGGACAGAAATGTGCAGCCAAGAAAGAAACGTAGTGAAAACGAGAAAACCACGCTGACGAAACTGACACAAAAAGAAGAGCGACGAGACGAGACGAGACGAGACGAACGATGAAAACGAGAGACGAGCGGCGAGAAATCCGGTATGCTGAAGAGGACGAGCCTGGATGCGGAACGAGAGCTGGACAGGCCCAAAATCGAGAATCCGGAACAACCGTGTCGAAGAAAGGGGAAGTGGCCAGGAAAAGAGGCTGGGCTTCTCGAAGCTGTGGGTGACGAATAGAAGAAACAAAAGAAACAAAAAGACTAGACGTAAGAAATACGGTGAGGCTGCAGGATGCGGTCAGAGGGGAAGGAAGAGGGAGATCGAATGGCGTGCCAAAAAAAGAGCGAGAGAATAAGAAAGAGAAGTGAGTATACAGACAAGAAGAAGGAAAGAGGAGAGGAGATGGAAATTAACAGGGGGTCTGCCCAGTGCCACTGCTGCTAGTACGAGCACGGCAGGCTAAGGTTTTGGGGGTGATGGCGGTAGAATGGTGGTAAAATGGGGGGTGAGAGGTGGGAGACGGGGAAGCAACGGACAACCGGGGAATAAGGAGCAGAAGGTGCACGGCGCAAACGGTAAGAGACAGATGGAGGAATTCAATCAAGCGAGACGGAAATGAGCAGAGACAGAGCCGACATGGAGAATGCAGAGCAGTATTGAATGTAAAGAGCACCTGATTGGCCCTCCAATTACTCAATGGCCTGTGGGAGCCCGATGCTGCGTTCTGCAACAGGAATTTAGTGATTTAACATAAAGGTGCCGGGCCTAACTCCGTATCTTACGAGTGCATGAATACAGGTGCATCCCACCGTCTAGGGTCGCAACCTCGCGTCCCAAGCGCTACAGTGTCGGTGGGCCTCAGTACGAGTACTCCTTAAGATACCTGAGGTGCAGGACAACTTCCGAAAAGCAGGCCGGCAAGCGTCGCCATGGCGTGCACGCAAGGAAGTGAAAAAAGGGGGGATAGGCACAAGGAATACGAACAAGCACTATTACGGTTGTATGCCCTCGATCTTTCAACGCTAGTTGCCCAGCAGAAAAAAGCACGCCGGGCTGCGGAGAGGGAGGAAAGCTGATCAATCTTTTGCGGTGGTGATCAGCTCGCCAAAACACGGCCGTTTCGCTGTTTCGTACTGTTGCCCCTTTTGAAGAATAAAGCTAAAGTATCTTACATGACAGCCGAACGAGAAGAATGAGGACGTTAGATAAAGTAAGCATGTTTCATACATAGGAGGGCAGGCAAGGCGACGTCCTGGCAAGGATTGCAGAGTAGTTGGTGGGTCGGTGTGAGTGGACTGGCATGGGAGACAGAGGAAGTGCTGGGCAGCGCCAGACACGCGAAGTGACAGTGTTTCGTTTCAGATGTTTCTTTGTGCTGTTTATGCAGATTTCAGTCCTTGCTACGTCACATCACAACTCCCTCCAGCTTCGTTTACTCTCTCTTTGTCCTCTACTACACATGCATCGTCCGCCTTGTCCTTTCTGAGCACTTCATTCCCTTCCTTGATTCTTGTTCGCTTTGTGTGCTCAACCGTCCTAGAATGAATGCTCCGAGCCGGATGCGCTAATGCGCATGCACGAAACAGGGCTTTTGCACTAAACAAAAATTAAAACAAGGTCACTTATCGCATCTGTCCCTTCTGAAAAGCGGAACCCTTGCATCCGAGAAACAAAACCGAAGCAGAATAATACTTGTACAGGGTGCTCCATACAGAAATCAAAATAGATGTGCTCCGCAAGAGGCAATCAAGTCGCTGCACAGCAATATGTACGATGATATCCCGACAGGCATTCTGCAATCATCCTATCGACATGCATCTATACCGTACTCGTATTCAGTTCTAAACTCGGTGGCCGAGACGATGAAACGGCCGGCTTCTGGAAGTACGAAGAAGTAAAGAAAATTTTAGATAGTGGCCGTTGACGCAAAGCCTATCTTGTCGGATTACGTCGTAAGCGTGTCTTACCTGTGTTACAATATACTGATATCTGACTCCGTGCAAGGTCCACAGAATATTGGGGTTTTGCCCCAAGTCTTGCTATCTCCAGTCGAGAGGGTGTGCCGGTATCTGAGCTATCACCGCACATGGCGATACGGGAACACTCGCAGCAAAAGGAACTTGAACACACGCCAAAAGAAAGGGGGCAGCTGCTAAATTGGCAGGCGGGGATCCGTTTCTCGTAAACAGAACGTGAACAGGCTGGCGGAAATCACGTATCTTACGTCTATACGGAGTACGGAGTACGAGCGAGACAATAACAATAATAAAGTAAGATAGAATTGCCAAAACAACCCCCAGATGCATAGTAAACTTACGGAGGGATTTCGTACGGAGCAGCTAAAGAGCGATGCGTGGGGAGGCGAAGACAAAATCGGCAAGGGACGTTCGTGTTCTGCAGGGGGCAATCAATGCTCAGCGCTGAAGTGCACTAAAACAGAACAAGTTCAGTCAGCAAGCAGCTAGCTTTAGGCACAAACTCGGTTTGGATCGCCGTTCGCCGTGGGCAGAAGAATGGGGAGGTGGAACGTGCAAATGGAAACAATGGAAAGCGCGGAAGGGGCGCGTTGTCACTCAGTAGACACCGCTCTCGAGTGCCAGGTTCGAGGGTAGTGCGATGCTGCAGTGTGCTGCCTAGCGCATTCTGGCACAGGCTATAGAGCACTACTAACTACCTGTAATATGGGGCAGCTTTCGTATTTGCTTGCATGCGAAGGACGCGCCTCTGGGGCCCCCGCACACGGCAATCACCGGTGCTGATTGGCCTGAGATGTCTCCATTGCGCGTCGTAAAAAAGGGGCATCCCAAACATGACGTGGATGCTGATGGGCGGGCTGACGAATCTGTACAGAGTACTCCGTGCTTCGTAGACATGGAGTACTAAGATCACGTTACTCGTCCTCTCTCGAGCTCGAACCCGTTCTCTCGCTCCACCGCTGTGCCCTTATCGTGTCGCCGGACGATGTCGGCTGTGGTCTCGGACGGGCTACACGCAGGTGGACAGCGATAATCGCAAAGATCACAAGAACAAGGGAAGACATGCAGCGGACGTGACACTGCACAGCGTGGGCCGGCACACAGATGGTGTTGTCGGCAGTGCTGATGGGTTTGCTCGTAAATTTTTGGAGGGAGTCTGTCTTTTGGCACGACAGCATCACGCGGCCAGTGGGTGCTCAGAGTGCATACCAATAACAGCAGCGATGGCGTATAGGCCGCCACGACTGAGTGTATCTTATGAGCACGTGGGATGGCGAGGACGAACTGCTTTGCTGGTGAGGCACGGACTGAGGCAAGTGTTCGACTCCGTTTTGCCGGTAAAAAGCACTTGTCAGAAACACTAAAGTGGGAATCAGGGCAACACAAGACAAGACGGGGTTCGACACGTTATCTAAGGCTGCCGCCTCCGTCGCTGTCATGAGAGCGTCCGTTGTGGTCCTGAGCAGGACGTGCGAAAATCCCCTTTTCGGCGCCGTTCCAGGAAGCGAGCTGGACCCGTTGGCAGCTGCAGTAAATGCGGCTGTTTGTCTTCTTGATCCAGATAAGAGCGACTGATCCTGTTTTTCTACCCATTTCAAGTACTTTCTAGAACTCGAAGATTCTAGGAGTCGTATGCGAGTGATGGATGGGTTCCACTTTCCCGGCCCCAGTTGCCAAGAGCAGACGCGCCGATTCCGTCTCTCGGAAGTTAACCAATATTATCGAAGTTCGAGCCTGGTGAACCATAAATGGAGTGTGCCACTGTCCATCGGACAGCTGCTGCAGGAGTGCAAGATGTTCTAGGCAGCGCATCAGGCAGCTACGATGCAAGCTCTTTCCGGTTTGCATTAGTGGCTTGCATGGTTCACTTCCCTCCAGTCCTTGTTCGGGAAACAGGAACGTCAAGCCGATTTCCCAACACCACTCGTGAACGCTTTTTTTCATTGCCGACCCCTACCTCAACTATGCCTTATTTCTGTCTGGGTGTTCCCCACAGCCGCAGCTGGTCAGAAATTGCTGTTAGCTAGCTCCAAATTCTTGATATTCGGTGCCGAGTGCTCGGGCCTTGGCCAGCACAGGAGCGTGACAAGAAGAGCGGCAGAGACTTCGTTGCTGGCTGCAGTGCCGTGGAATGACCGGTTTTGAGGGAAACGGGAATGGTCGTCGCCATCACCGTTGTCTTGGTCGGCTGCCCGCAACCTCCGATGAGTGACGGTGCCGCCTCTACGATATTGACACGATGCCCACGATCCTTAACGTCACCGGCTGCTTGGCCGGATCGTCGTATGGGGTCGTTGATTCGGCCACGTGCCACGACGTCTCAGCACCTAGCCTTGTTGTGCTTTGCCCCTTGCCTCTCTCCCTTTACATGACTCACCTTCGCCCTCGATCGAGATTGACTCCAGCCAGGACTGCTTGTCTTGCGAGGTAAAGTGACAGCTCATCGTCGGCAATTCAGCCGGCTTCAGCGAGCGCCTTCATATATCTCTTGTCCTAGCAGGTATCATCTGCATCTTGTGCATGCTTAACATACTTTCGAGACAGCACATAAACGCGACAGCCACGTTGTCTTATCGAGCAACCTCCAATGTTGCTTAACGAGAGCAGCCACCATCTTTACTATCCCGGCTTACCTTTCGGAGTGTCGGCGGCATCGTAAGCCAGTGCCTCACCCCCAAGTCTGCTGACCTGCCAGCGCAGCTGTGGATACGCGCCCAGCTGCCCTGCCAAGAGTTATGTCTCTTCACGCCTAATATTAAGGTATCTTATCTTACATGTCCGATGGCAAAGCCTAACGAGTTATTTATTTTACAATAACGGGGAAACTGCTACTTCGTACTACGACGTATGCACAAGGACACGGATATACGGGGAAGATCAGGGCCAAGGCTCATTGATTTATAAAGCTCCACTGAAGTGGAATCAGAATACCGTCAAATACGGAGTACCGAGGAGACACTTCATAAGAGCAGCTTAGCTGGCAATAGACTGCAGCGCCCCGTTTTACTGACCGTGCCCCTGGTGGACCTGAGATGTTGTCGTTGGGGTGGTATGGGCCCTGCGTATGGCGATACGACCATCTGCGCCTGGAACAGCGGGTACTGGAACCTTACCGGAAGCGCAGTGAACTGTTGCCGCTGGCTATTTGGTAAGGTATCTTACTTGCACCGTCCAGCACCGCAATTTGTGGAAGGGAAGAAAGCGTGCCTCTCTGGTCGTGGTGTTACCGATATTGTATAGCATGCCAACTATCTGGTACGGATTGCTAAAAGCATGACAATGTGGCCGGAGGCGTTGACAGCCTAATAAGCGAAAATATTGGTATTTCACAAGATGACCTATACAACGACAACGGTTTTCTAAAAATATAGCACAGTAACATTGCTATAAAGGGCCGTCCTGGTAGCAATAATAGGTGGATTGATCCTATTGGTTCGCAGGGAGCCGCTGTCATGGTCCATGATGAGACGATATACGACGTAGACAATCGGTAAGATGAAAGCTCCGAGGGACGATAGATGTGACCTTACGATGATTTTTGAGGACGGACTGTAGAACACCTGACAAACGGAGTACGAATAGGGGAAGCATTGGCTATGTTGATGGAGTGAAGGGTAAAGAAAAGCTCCCTGCTCAAAGCTGAGTCCCTCTCTTTCATTTGGGCTAACAAAAGACAAGAGATTTAGACGACAGCAACAAGCGCATCTTACATGGCTATCTTGCTTTAAACATCCTTCATTCTATTTGTTTACTGCATCTAGCATAATCGGTGACTAGAGTCTAGAAATAATAGGAGGAAGTTCACAGAATGAAAGCAGGAGAGACAGGGCTGAGACTTGAATTGAAGTCGGCCCTGCAAGCAACCAGCTCGAGGGCATTAGCAATTAAGATGCCTGCATCGCAGACTGTTTGTGAGGCATGGTATGAACCAGCGAGGCAAGCTGATTGACGGGATTCCGCGTGACAAAACACGTGACACGGCTATTTCGTCTGTCTATTTTTCTCTCCAACAAAACAAACAGAGACCAAGCGGACAAGCAGACATCCCTACCGTTCGCCTATGTTGGACCACTTTCAGGATTCGTTCCATTTTAAAACTTACTGCTTGGAAGATTCCTTTCCATTTTTGCTTATACTCGTCCTCTCACATTCGCTTCACCTGTTTGTAAGTCGAGAGCTTAGCCAACGAGTCTCGAGAGAATGACGAAGTCTTTTTCACATGAATTGCTTTTTTGGACATCCCGGGCGCAAACCACGTCATTAACGGCAATATAGTTTACATAGCTTGCTGGTAACTTAAAAAGGCGCGGAAATCGAGATCATTCTAGGCAGGACAGTCCAGGAACCCGAGAACTACGACGCGCCTGAAGCATGGCACCATCTCTGGAGAATCGAGCCGTGGCAATGGACGAAGCACACGCAGACCAAAAGCCAGACGACACAAATGCGATCGAAGAGAGCCGCACCGAAACGAAAAGCCAGGCAGAGGAATCACAGCCATGCACATCGTCCTCCCCCCCGCACGAAGATGCTGCGGCCGAAAGCGAGCAGTCCGAGAACGGCACGGAACACAAGGAGAGGGGAGAGGTAAGCGAAGGCGAGGACGAGGATGAAAACGCGAAGTCAAAAGACGGCAGCGCAAAGGCCACGAGCGATACCGACGCAGAAGCCGCAGGCGAGGATGCGGCTGCGCCGCCACCTCTTCCGGACGAGCCCCTGCCAGAGGTGCAAGAGGACGATGGCTGGGATCCAATGTGGAGCGAAGAGCACAAGTCCTGGTTCTTCTTCAACCGCTTCACCAAGCAGACGCAGTGGGAGAACCCACGGGTGCCGACGGCCGACGAAGCAGCAGCAGCCGCCGCAGCGACAGTGGCAGCCAGCGGCGGCTACAACCCAGCCATCCACGGCGACTATGACCCGAACGCGTGGTACGCCAAGGGCTTGAGCGCGGAGGCTGACGCGAAGAGCGACGTTGTGGACGGAGCCGACGAAGACGCCGCCATTGCGGCAGCGGCAGCGGCGGCATCTGCGATCTTGAACGGCGGCAGCGTGGAGGATGCAGACGGCCGAGGCGAGTCACAGTTCAGTCACGACGCCAAGGCGCGACGACAGATGAACGCCTTCTTTGACATGGATGCGGCCGCAAGCTCACACGACGGGCGCAGCCTCAAAGCGGAGCGCAGCGGCAAGAAGCCGACGAGGGCTGAGCTCAAGGCCTTCAAGGAGAAGAGACGGGTGCGAAAAGAAGAGAAGAGACGGGCCTGGCTGCGGGACTGAAGCGAAGAAAGGGGGCAAGGCAGGAGGGAGGGGAAGCCGGTGCGGTATATTTCACAGTTAACACTTTACACTTCACATCAGGCAATGGCTGCTTTTATAATCAACATGGGACGGCGTTTTTCTTGTGGCGGGCAAGTCGGAGGAAATGGGAGGTTTTGGCTATCGGCACTATTGCTATTACAGGTTTCATTGTCAGACTGGCATATCTGAACAGAATCTTGATAAAACAGTCTGAGGACGAGTAAAGGCATGGCCGTCAATATAACACTTTGTTGTGCTCTACTTCTATATCTCTGCAAAATGTCCAAACTAGCGGCTCTTTTTCGGCGTCTACTCATTCCCGCTCTCCTCGTCATCTTCGCCGTCAAAAACCATGTCCAGCTGGACGCTGCCATCGCTGTCGTTGTCTTGGTCATCGTCACCAGCGTCGCTGCCGTCGTTGACGGCGTCCAGGGTCGTCTGCTTCGTGTCTGGTCTCTTTGGTGTGCTGGCTAGATTCTCGTCTTGTTCAATCTTCCGCTTGAGCGTCAGCGGCTCAAATACAGCTGTCGCCGGCTGGACAGCTGCCTCGTCGGCCGGCTTGCTCCGTTCTGCAAAGGCAGTCTGGAGGCCAAAGCCACCGGCGCCGTCTAAGGGCGCGGGCATCGGGCCGTCCTCACCGTTACCCATCAGCACGTCCTCTTCTCCGTTCATGATGGCTGCATCCAGGCCGGACAGCAGTCCTCTCTCGTCGTCGACTTCCTCGTCACTGTCGCCGTCCTCCTCGTCCTTGACAGTGCCCGGAGCTGCCATCGCAAAGATGTCGCCAAAGTAGTGGGGTGCCGTTCGCAGGTTGCTTCGCAGGACCTCCAAGTCCAAATCGTTTGGAAAAGCACGTGCAAGGAATGGGATGGTGTTGGCAAAGTACCGGCCGCTGCGGTCGACGTAGGGATGCAACACGCTAGACAGCATGGCCTCCTTGTTGGCACTGAGGATGGCGGTGCGGTCAAGGAGCGCCCGGTCCGCCTTTCTGACGTGCTGCTGGGGAAGATGGGCCAGGAGGGAAGACAGGAGGTCCTGGGCCGCGCGCAGGTGAGCCGCCTCCAACTCGGATGTGGAAGCGGCTGCGGTCGACGAGGTGGTGGCCTGGCTAGGGTTCAAGAAGAGGTCGGCGTTGGCGGTTGCCAGCTTATTCTTTGGTATGTTGACGGCGTTCTTAACCGGAGCGACGTCCTTCTTTTCCTGCCGCTGCGCGAATCCCGAGGCCTCCAAAATGTCCTGGCAGCAAGCGTGCACGACGACGCCCAGAGAGCCCACAGTAGCCCGGGACATGGAAGGGCCAACCGACGGCAGAAGACTCTGAACCAGTGAAAAAGTCACCTGCCGCATCAGCGGGACGTGGTGATCGGAAGAAAACATGCGCACGGCATCCTCCAGCATTTCTGGCGCCAGAGGCACGGCATGAGCACCCATCCTCCTGGCCACGCTCTGTAGCAGGCCCACGGCCGCAACGTGTATCTCTGGCAGGGCACTCCAGAGCTCGTCCCTCTCGTCCCTTCCGATGCTCGGATTGATCAGCGACGAATGGTCCCGCTCATTGCTGCCCGGAGCAGGAGGCAGGACCAGCGACATGCGGGAGACAAGGCTCGAGATTCTCCCCAGCGGCACGGCAACGGAAGCCTTGGTGGGGCAGCGAAAGACCTCTGTGATCGAGTCCAGGAGGCCGGCCAGCCGCTCGGCGCCGCTCTGCAGTCCCGTCCAGCTAGGAAAGTCGTCGGAGAGGTCGCTTCCACCCTCTGGCAGTCCTTCGTACGACACCTCGCCAGGCATGTATTCCGAGCCCGGATCTGTCGATTCCCGCACCGCCCGGAAAACCTGGTCGGCCGTGACATGAACGTCCTGGATGAGGCCGTTCAGCAGCTTGGACCACTCGTCCGCGTGGTTGTTCTTCGGAGCCGTATAGTGCAGGAGGACCAGCAGACGACGAGAACTCTGCCTGAGGGAGGGCGGGACGACCATGCTGTCCGAGGCAGTCGGTGCCACGTAGGCGCGGACGGCATTTCGGATCTGCACGCTGAACGGCCGCAGTGTCGTCGGATAGTGAGGAATCAGGGCGGCCAGCGCGCGGGTCACGGCCTCGATCACGCTCGCAGGAGCCTTGGGAGGCTTCCCGGGAGCTGCTGGCCGCAGCAGCTGCAGACAGGCCGTTGCGAACGACGGGACAGTGGGGGTGGCAATCTCGCGGACCAGCGTTGGGAACTCCTGAAGCAACGTGTAGATCCTTGCCAGGACTACCACACACAACTCTTTGGAGGCAAACGGATCAGGTCTCTTGGAGACCGTTAGCTTCAAGGGGACTCTGAGTGTGAGAGAGACGCGAATTGTCGCCGACATACCTGCAGAATGGACAATAGGCCGCGAACCCAGTTCTCGGATGTTCGTAAGCATTCCCAACCGCCAACGTCTATGATGGCCTTGGCCAGGACCATGCCAGCAAAGCGCCCATGAGCGTTCTTCCCATGAAGGAGGGCATTGACTTGGGTCTTCAGCTTGTGAACGAGCACAGAGGCCTCACTGGAACTGCTCTTGTTGTGCTGCTCGGCCGAGGCCGACAGCGGACTGCCACATCTGAGGATGTGGTTTACAAGAATAGGACATAAGGCCGGCAAGTCTCCAGGTGTTGTTGCTACCAGCTTTCGGCACAAGACCCGCAGGTCTGCAGGTACAGACATGACACGGTCTCTTTTGGTTCAGACGTATGACACCTCCAGGAATTCTGTTGAAATCAACAAAAAAAGGAATACCCCCCGCGATTCTTGAAGCCGGTTCGGAAGGAAAAAAAGCTACGATAACGATAGTAGATTTTTTCAGTATTTACGGAGTCCTCGTACTTTTTCTGGGGCTTCGGGGCCCACAATTCTGGGGGTGGTTACCAAGACGCTAAGATCCCACGTTGGAGGGCCCTTCTTCTTATTACATAGCATTTTATTACTGGGCCGCGCTGGAGTGCTCCGTAGACAGACGTGAAGCTCCACCGGTGTCAATCGCGTCGGCTGGCCGTCTCCAGGGGAAACTGCCAGGACACCGCCCACCAGATTCGCGCGCAAAGGGGATACCGCAACCCCAGCCCGCTTGCCCAGTCGCTCCTTCTTCTTGGCCGCCCACCGACACCGACCTCTGGATCCTTTGCCTCTATTTAGGAGTTGCTGTTTCGTCGAGCTGCTTCTGGCTGCGGCATTTTGAGACTTTCCTGAACGAAAAAGCACGAGAGGATGATCTCGACTGTCTCCTAGGATTTACGTCCTCTTTCTTGATTGCGTCACTCGGCCCTCTAGCTGCTGTCCTCCCCCCCTCCTTTTCGACAGACACGATGAGTGTGCGTCTCTTCTTCGACCCTGCAATCCTGCTCTGTTCTGCTGGTGCTGACAACCCGCAGCGTTCTCTCGCAAAGGCAGCAAACTATGCCTTGCAGCTCGACGAGGCCCGCTGCGAGGGCAACTGGGATGCGGTGCCTGAATTTGTCCGCAAGGTCAGAAAGCATGCGCCCGACCGCGTCTGTATGTGACTCCCTATTATTTCTCTCCTGCAGAGGCCACCCTGCTTGAGACCGGTTGCTGACTATCCTCGTGGGAAACAGGCCTCACGCTGACCGCCGAAACCGAATATGCCATTGACAAGGCGACACACAACCTCCCCCTTGCTAGTCGATCTGACACCGCCCCCGCCCCTATTGGGAATCTGGACGCTGCCGTCCAGCTGCCGAAGCTGATTTCCGTCATCGAGCAAGAGAATGGACGTCTCCAGGACCGGTATCAGGCAAAGGTCTGCGTCGGATGGCTGCACTGGGTCATGGGCGAGTACGACCTGGCCTTTAGTCGGCTGCCCAGAAGCCTCGAGCAGGAACTGGGCCAGTCGGATACTCCAACGGACTGGACGCGGGTCTGCGCCCTCAGGGCCGCATATCTGCGCGCAAGCTGCCTCGCCCGCAACGGCAACCGAAAGGAGGCCCTGGCCATCTTCGAGGAAGGTCTTGCCTGCCTCACGTCTGCGCACAGTGACCAGCAGGCTCGGAAGCAGCTGCGCCACTGGTCGGAGCTGTTCTTGACCGAGTTCTGTATGCTCTTCAGCCACACGCTGGAGCAGGGCGAGGTTAGCCTGCAGGACCCCAACTGCCTCGTCAGCCTCCGATCGTGGGCCCGGTACTGGGACAGCGCCAAGGGTGCTCCCTTGCCGGGAGGACATGGCTTCCGCGGCTCTGTCCCGCGCCGGAGGATATGGTTTGAGTACTATGCCGTTCTGTCTGCGCTAGTGGAGGACGACCTGCCGTACCCAGCCGTACTGGCTCCCGGCGTCTCGGGCGATGCCCCCACTCGCTCTGCCCGCGACCAGCTGCGTGTTGAGCTAAAGAAGATCGAGGCGACGTATGAGGCTCTTCTTCTGGACGAGACGCCCTTTCCGCGTGCCGATGAGGAGCGGGAAGAGGTGGAAGAGTTTGTCCGCCTCGTGATGCAGAACTGGTGCATCATGAAGAGCCGAGGCTGGCAGCCGCAGGACCTGGGACCGGGTGGAAAGGAGGCGCTGAGCCGCGGAATACTCGAGATTCTCTACCGTGCGGCGACCAAGACGTACCACTCAACGGCGATCTTGAGGCACTTGTCCAACGTCCATCTTTCCGTTGCCGAGTTTGACCTGGCCTTCAAGGCCTTTGACTCGTACCTGAGCCTCATCAAGAAGGGCAAGGCCCGCGTTGCCAAGACCGGCCACGACGAGCCGAGCCTGGACGACGACGCCACCGTTCTTGAGGCCGTCTCACACTGCATTATGGTCCTGTGTCGGTTTGGCGATCGGACTGCTGTTGAGAAGGCCCACGGCCTGAGCCTGGAGCTGGAGCAGTGCCTGCACGAGCTCAGTCACGTTCTGGCGGAGCAAGCCGACGAAGCCCACCCACAGCCGCAGACAAACCTAGTCGCCAGAACCAGCGGTAATGACATGCCCCCACGCGTCCTCGCGGCGTCCTGGCAGGCCGTTGGGCTTGCACACGCGCAGTGGGCACGCATGACATTCGACCCGCGGATCCGCCCCGACATCCAGGCAAAGGCGGTGCGGTGCCTGCGGAAATCCATGTCGCCAGAGTTTGGCAAGTCGGCTAACCTGCGGAGCGTGTTTTGCCTCGGCCTCTTGCTGGCCGAGCAGAGAGAGCTGAGCGCTGCCATTGACGTGGTCAAGGGGGCTCTGCTTGCCAGCAAGACGCCGGATGCCGACCAGGACCGGCTCAACGGGGTCTTCTGGCGAGAGCGCGCCATGATTCCGTTGTGGCACCTGCTATCGCTTCTGATGAGTGCTCGGCAGGACTACGTCATGGCGGCGCGGGCGTGCGAAGGTGCCTTTGAGCAGTTCAAGGACCCGACGATCCTCTTTGGCAGCGAGACGCTATACCGCAGCGAGCACCTGAACGAGGCGGAAGCCAACGGCGACGAGACGCGCACTGCTTCCACGCGGGGTGTTGTCGACGATATGGACGACTTTGAGAAAGAGAAGATCCTGGAGGTCAAGATGACGCAGCTGGCGCTTGTCGAGGTGCTGGAGAGCCCCAAGGTGGCGGTGAATGCCAGCTCGGAGCTGCTCAGTCTGTATACGCGGCTCTTTGGTCCGGTGCAGCTGACAGAGGCCAAGATGCAGCTCAAGACGGCGGACATGCCCAGGAGCTCGGCAGGCACGCTGCGCAGCATCCGAGGCAGCCTGTTTGGGCGTAATGGCGAGCGGAATGGACGCCCAACCACAAAGCACTCGGGTACGGCAGCTGGGCACCCGCAGACGACAAGCGACAGCAGAGACGGCGGCAGACAGTCTCATCGGTCGTCCAGCCGCAACGGGCAGCGACACCGAAGCCAGTCGGGGAAGCGGCACAGCATCCGCAAGGACCACAGCGGCAGCCGTCGGCGGGCGGCAAGCAGCGGCGCCGTGTCGCACCAGTCGGATCTTGCAGACGGCGACGCCCTCTTCACGCCTGTTGACGATGGCCGCGACGGCTCCGAGGTCTACCAGTTTTCGACCGGCAGACGGCGACTGTCGTCGTCGGGCGGCCCGCCCGTTTCGATGAGCCGGCAGGCTTCGCAGATCGAGTCGATGGCCTATGCTGCCCGAACGCGCAACCAGGATGGGCAGGAGACAGGCCTGGGCGACATTGAGCCGTCGTCGTCCCTGATGCCCCCGATCGAGTTCTCCAAGGACTTTGAAGGGCGGCGCCGAAACACGATTCTCATCGAGGTCTGGCTGATGATAGCCGGCTTCTATCGGCGCGCCGATATGATCGACGACGCCAAGGGCGCGGTGGCTGAGGCGCAGAAGCTGGTCGAGTCGCTTGGCCGGGACGGATCGAATGATGCGGTCGCTGGTAGCGGTACTGGTTCCTGCAGCAGCATCTCGTCCAGAGATGCAGGCTGGGCCGGGAAGAAGAGCATTGACGAACTCTGGGCAGACGTCTGGACCGAGGTACGTGACAGCCTTCTTTCCGTCTTATCTCCTTTCTATTGTTTGCTCTTATGATCACCATGTACAATGTACTGACTGTGCCTCAAGATGGGCCAGCTGTCTCTGATCGGGGACTCGGCTTACGCTGCCCGTCTCGACTTCGAGTCCGCCCTGACGCACTTCCCCGACCACCCGGGTGCCATCATCGGGCTCTCCAACATTCTCCTCGACGTCTATAGTGAGAAGCTGCTCCCATTGCCGGCCATCCCGAGACTGGAGCTCGCCGACGGCAGCATGTTCCCAAAGCGGATCTCCAACAGCAAACATGGAGAGGGCAAGGAGGAGAACGGTCCAGCCTCGCTCCCTTCGCAGCCGCTGGGTCTGGTGGTCCGGCCAAAGTTTGACACGGATACGTCTGGTGGTGCAAAGAAGTCCGCTTTCTGCGAGGGAGCCCACCAGGACGAAGAGCTCGCTCCGCCCTACCAGGTGACTTCTCTGCCTCTGGTTGACCGTCTGGCTGCACGCGACCGTGCCTACGCCCTCCTGTCTGGTCTGACGAAGCTGGGAAGCGCGTGGAACAACGCAGAGGCATGGTTCGTGCTAGCCCGTGCACACGAAGAGAGCGGGCAGCTGGACAAGGCCAAGGAAGCTTTGTGGTGGTGCGTGGAGCTGGAAGAGGCAGCAGCCGTGCGTCCGTGGAGCGGTGCTGCTACAGGTAATTACATTCTGTGAAGTTGGAAAGGAGAAGGGAGCGAGCGAGCGAGCGTGTGTGATAGAGCTGGCTTGAAGGGGAAGACATTTTGGAGGAAATATAATACTGGATATTGAATCAATAGTGGTGATAGTAGTGGTGGTGGGATACGATTAGTAATAATGAACGGCGTTCTACAGTCCATGGGTGGTCTGTGCACACCTATCGGAAAGGAAATTCGCATCCCCAACGGAGCTCTTATGCAGAGCTCCGGCGCAAGCTAGCTCTCGCTCCATCGTCTCCCGATTTCGCGCGATAATTCGACTATTTTTTCCCCTCGAGACCACCCAACCACGCCACCAGGACCGGAGCAGACAGTCGGCCATTGAGCATTTCCACTGTCTCCGTAGTTGAGAGCAGCTGTCGAGAAGTGGCCCGTTTGTGGATTTGGAAGAGAATCAATTCCGGATCTCCCCACTCCAAAGCACAAATGGCGAGTCTTGCGGCAGCAGGTCGTCTATCAGCCAGGCTGGCCGGACGGAGCTTGATGCGACCAGCGCGAGGTGAGGCAGGATGCGGACGGGAGGAGGGGATGTGAGAGAGAGAAGAGAGAGAGAGAGAGCAGGGACTGATCTGGCATACCTGCCTCAACAGGCTTCCGCACCAGTGCCCGCTATGCCGTGGCGCAAAACTTTACGATGCCGGCGCTTTCGCCGACGATGACGGAGGGCAACATTGCGACATGGCAGGTCAAGGAGGGTGACCGGTTTGCAGCCGGCGACGTGTTGCTGGAGATTGAGACCGACAAGGCATCGATGGACGTCGAGGCCCAGGAAGACGGCCAGGTCTTCAAGATCCTGCAGCCAAACGGCACCAAGGGCATCAAGGTGGGCACCCGCATCGGCGTGCTGGCCGAGGCCGAGGACGACCTGGCCAGCCTAGAGCTGCCGCCGGACGAGTCGGTATCGGCCTCGGCGAGCAAGAGCGGGTCTTCAGCGTCCGCCTCATCCGCCTCATCCGCCTCTTCCGCCTCTTCCGCCTCTTCCGCATCGTCTGCCACCACGACCTCCCGGTCCACGTCCAACCCCCCGCAGAAATACCCGCTTCTCCCGTCGGTCGAGCATCTGATCCGGGAGCACGGCCTCGACCAGGCCACCATCGTCAGCCAGGCTACGCCCACCGGTCCCGGTGGCCGTCTGCTCAAGGGTGACGTGCTCGCCTTTATGGGCCAGATCCCGGCCTCCGCGCCGGCCGACGTGGCTGCCCGCCAAAAGGCCCTGTCCCACCTCGATCTCAGCAACATCGTTCTGCGGCCGGCAGCGGTAGCGGCACCGAAGCCAGCAGTCCCAGTTTCTGCAGCAGCCCCAGCAGCAGCAGCAGCAGCAGCCATCACCACCCCTCCTCCCCCAGCCACCACGCTGGTCTCGCTTCCCGTGTCGCTGGCCGCCGTCGTCGAGGTCCAGGAGAAGATCCAGGCGTCGCTGGGCGTATTCATGCCCGTGTCGACGTTTGTGGCGCGGGCTACCGACGTGGCCAACGACGCGCTGCCCCGTGCTGGCCCGGCTCCGGCTCCGTCGGCCGCACAGCTCTTTGACGAGATTGTGGGCGTCGCCAGCAGCAGCAAGACGCCGAACCTCACCCGCGGCCACTACCGCCCTCAGGTCTCGGCGCTGCCGCCCGCCTCCGCCTCGACCAAGCCGAAGGCCAAGACGCCGGCTGTCGACGTGATCGACATCCTTACCGGCAGCAGCAAGGCAGCCCCGGCTCCCAGGAGCCGCCAGCTGCAGCCGCCGCCAGCCGTGTCGACCGGGGCCAACTTCTTCGTCCTCAGCGTGCCGACGGCCGAGGAGAAGCGGGCAAAGGTTTTTCTGGAACGGCTCAAGGTGGTGCTGGAAAACGAGCCCGGTCGGCTGGTGCTGTGAGGACCAGCCGGAAATGAACAGGATGAAAGGAGGGAGACGGGGCCAGCATTCATGTATACAAATCATGTCGTCGTTTTACGCTTGTAATGTTTTGTTTGATTTTCAGCTCGGCAAGAGGAAGACGAGCCTTTCAAGACTCATTTTTATTCTTTACAGGGACGAATCTGGCACATAACTCTGTCGTTCGAGCATCCAGACAAAGACTACGGAAGACTGGAAAGTGATTATGACGGGGTCTTCGTAAAAGAACACGACAAGGGCCAATAGACGACGGTTTGCCCATCAAGACTCTTTACTGCACGAGCTTCTACCAACGAGCGTTACGCCCTGCATGTCTATTTCCGGCATACATCTGGACTCTGGCCGCGTACGAAGTTACGTGGAAGAGGCAGACTGGGCCGGACAGCAGCAAGGTGGGTGAAAGTCGCCGGGGCGCCATAGACGCCCAAATTAGAGGATGAGGCTGTGGACGGGGTGTCAGCTGCAACAACACCCCTGTCTTCTTGACCGCTGACCGTTTCAAGGAAGCTATCAGCGTGCCACCCTGTACGTTGGATCACAATACTATCGCGAAAACGAAGGGAAATCTGTCAGCCTATATCAAGATTTCACCACCGGTAAAGAACATGTTGGGAGGTTCTACGCAAGGCATCCCGTCTTTTCAGGGAGCCGGATGTCAGACTCCGGGGGAGAAAAGATAGATGCTTCGACAAGATAGGTCCGACCTCGCAGACCGAGTCAGGCATGTCTGCATCTCTGATGAACAGCCCAATATGCCATTATATTACCTGCAGGAGCTCCTCTTGCCTTGAACAAAGAGATGCATGAGGCCAAGACGGCAAAGCAAAATGCCAGTATTATACAGAAGTACTTCCCCCATCCGCTCCTTCCTAGGCACACGAGGCAGCAATTTCCTTGCCTGACACGGAAGCAGCCCGTGTGTATATGTACATGCCCATAGACCTTACACCTTCTATAACGGTTCGGGCATGGTGTTGTCACACGAAGCTAATGTATGCATGCAAAAAATATTGTAGCATCGTTTCTCTCGCTTCCATCGCCTTCTCCTTTTTCTTGTTTGTTATAATTGTTAGATCAATTCAGCCCTTCCTATATCACAATACCACCCGTGATTGCCATGAGATACAGTTCCGATGCGTGTATGGAGTCCTACCCAATGCTCTCGCAGCCAACTCAGTCACACACATAAAACTGCGCTTGTGCTATTCCTCCACGAGGCCACACACGGAGAGACCAGCAGAAAGATGGTGTGAATACAAGCTAAATTTACCCACCGGTTTTCTTTAGCCTCCTCCGGTTGGCTGGCTCTGTTTTGCTTCTCGCTCATATAATCTCCCTCCCTGCAGCTTTTCCCCCACTTCCTGTTGGGTCAAGTAAAACGCGGCTGATCGAGGTGCAGGAAGATGGCACAGTGCTTGGTACACCGGTCGCGCTTCAATCTACTAAACGGCATTCTTGCCTTTTAGATGCTTGCCGGTCTCGTCATCGCTCGTGTTGGCTGAGTGGCTGTACCATGAAAGCACCGGATTGGATCGGATGGCGCGTGGAGTTGCCGTCCGGGAACGGCACGAAGAAGGGATCAACCTGTCATGACATGTTGTCTATCAACGGACATTCACCCAACCGAGGCTGTACGCAGCCCTCGTCACAGATGACATGCCCGGGGGTAGAATAATGCAACCTGGCACCAACAATTCTATGACTTGTTTCGACCACTGCCAAGTCCAACTACAACCAAACAGGCCTCTTGCAGAAGCAGCAAATGGAGTGCTTCCTTTCCTATCACCCTGCAGGCTGGCGTCTGCCCCCCATCCATTCCTATCTCACCTCCCACCACCACCAGAACGTTCGTCGTCAACATGTATCGGTCGTGGGGATTGAGCCGGAGGGCTTACGCTAGCTCTACCTACCACACCCCTTGGGATAGGAGTCTGTCAATATCAACCAGGCAGAACTCTCTGAATCGTAATTCTGCTGGTACTTATGTTCTCGCGCCTCTGTTCTGTCATAAAACCGGTGTGTGGTTTGGAAACCAAAATTGTTACCTGTTGCCTATCCTCCCCTTTACAGCAGTCGCTGTTTATAAACCCCAGGTCTGTACTTCGAAAACCTCTAGCCCTCATATTATTGTGTCAACTCTCTTTAGACTTCATACCTACTAACTGAGTTGGTCAATTCTAATACCAATAGGCGCAGTCTAGGTTGCTCGATGGAAAGTCGTGTATTACTTTCTCGGCCCAGTCTACCGGGAAATTGCCATATTAGCCAAGCGAAAAACGACTTGTCGTATTATCGAACACCAGTCTCTTCTGAACCAGATCAGCCTGTGGGTGAAGAGTAGCAGTGCCTGGTCTGGATAAGCTTTCTCCCCCACCTGGCCCAACTCTGGCACAATCCGACCTGCTGTAACAATCTGAGCAACGTTCCAGAACACTTCCCTGAGCTAGCTCGACCTGATCTACATCGCGGCACAATTTCATGACGGGCGTGACTCTCTATTGCCTTTACCCTCCCTGAGTTTCAACCCATACCGATTTTTACTTTGCCAGGCTTGCCCAAGCTTTACACTGTCAGAAGGCAAAAATAGCCAGAAATCTACTCGACAATTCTGTGTCCAGATACTTGCATTCTATCATCATTCCGTCCCATATACTTACCCAGAATAATCCAATTTATTTGTTAATGTGGGAAACAGCCCAATATGAGTCGCCCAAAGGTCCCTGAGCATCAGCGTCGACGAACTGCCAGAGCTTGCGATACCTGCAAAAGGCGTAAACAAAAGGTACGTGTTGTTCTGTTATCCGCTGCTAAGACTTGGTTTTCTTAATCTCTACGTGGACCACCCCATCGACTATTTTGGGTAATCAAGCAAACCATCCCCGACAGGAGTTTCCACCGTCTGCAGCTTTCTGACCCTGCAGGCATGCATTACGCCCAATCAAGAAAGAAGCCACCGTCCACCCACTACACTGTTGCTTTTACCAAATTCCCTATACCTGCTGTACGGTTGTCGGAGAGCTGACTTGTTTATCGAGCAGTGTAATGGTCAGAAGCCATGCCTATTATGCACAAAGAAAAAAACGGATTGTTTATACAGAGCTGCAAGGAAAGTCTGGACAGGCGACGAGAATCAGGAAATACTGCCGACACATGGACATACCATATTTCCATCCAATCCTCTGGGCGACAGGGGAGAGCTACCATGCCACCGGAGTGGTAGGGAACCCTTGGCTTTTGACGTGGACTCATCTATCTTGAGCCGTCGTCGGCCAGTCATCCCTCACAATGGCAGAGGCGGATACGAATTCGGCGACCGTAGACAGCACGTTACAAACGAGGGCGCTCAGTATGGGCCGTCTCCGAACAAAACCATCGGCACAGTAGAGGAGGAGACTGTTTTTGCTCCTACTGCAAGGATGCTGCAAGACGAAACTGGGCGTCTCTGTGAGAATCCTGCTGTTCAATACTCTTCGCTCTTTATCCGTTTCGAAGCGCGCTGAACATGTGTTCTTATGTTAGTGTACATTGGGGATTCGGCGACACTGTCCTACCTCAACTTGTTTCGCCGCATGGTTGAGAGCATCAACGGCGTGTCCGATTTCACAGGCGATACCTACAAGGAGAAAATCGTAGAGACGGTCATATCACTACCGCCAAATGCACAGCCTCCGTGCCAGCTAGCTGACCGAATGACAGCTGAGATACTGGTGAAATCGTATTTTGCAAATGTGATTGATACTAAGATCCATTTGTGACATGCTGTCTGGTCCGTATGCTAACCTGTCTCCAGACCATCGGCCTGGTCGACATCTTCGATAAGCAAAGATTTCGCGAAGACTTCGACACGTGTTATTCGAACCCGCTTTCTGCCAACAACCACTTCCTTTGCCTGCTTTTTCTCACCTTCGCCATTGGTCTGGTGATGGCAACGCCAGAGCCCGGGACGAGGGAAGAGGCCGTCATTCGCCACCTGCGCGGTGGGAATGCAGACGAGCAAGCCGAGCTGTTCTTTCGAAGCGCCAAACGTCTCGGCGACCCGTTAAACGGCTTTGAGGACGCAGATTTCTGGTCCATCCAAGCCCTCTCGCTGATGTCCGTCTACATGCTATCCGTATCTAAGCGGAATGCTGCATTTGCTTACCACGGTTGGTGTTTACTGCTTCGTCATAGGACTGCTTCTTCCACAGGCCGAGCCTTACTAATGGAAACAAGGCATGGCTGTGAGGTTGGCCATTGCTCTTGGTCTACATCGAAAGGAACCGATGGCGCCCTTTCAGAGCCGTGATATGAAAGTGCGTTGCAGCATGTGGAAAACACTGTATGTGCTTGACCGGTTTATATCCGCATCGCTGGGACGTCCGACGGCCATAAACAATGACGAGTGTACAGAAGCAGCCCTACAAGACGACATTGAACATTGCATGCCGTCGGCCGCTGGCTTCACTGCTGCTTCGTTTTCAGCAGAGTCTCCAGAAGAGCAGGTGCATTCCCACGGAATGAACGCATCTGTACGCAGCAGCCACATCGTTGGCACTATCCTTCAAAGAAGTGTATTCAAAACAACGAGTTTCCACCCAGGTCATCCGCGACATTCGACAGCAATGCGACTCGTGGACACAGAATCTGCCTGACTGCTTACGCTGGCAACGCCTTAAGCAGCCTGCCCTGCACAACAACATCAACAGCGGATATCCCTCACACGCCCACAAACACGGGTTGGCTGTACTGCATGTCAACCTGCTACATTATCACTCTATCATCCTGCTCACACGGCCCTTCTTTCTCTTCCTGATACAGAAAGACCATCGAGGGCCCGTTCCGTCGCAGCCACGTGCACGCACAGAGAAGTTCTCGGAGGTCTGTGTGGCAGCCTCCTACCAGACGATTTCGATGGTCCAAAGTGCCCGTGAGGCGATGTGCCTCCCTCAAAGAAACCCCTTCGTGATGTAAGTTTCTGGCTCGCCATCTTCTCCGATACGTCGTCCTGATTCTCCGAAAGGTATTTTTTGTTCACTGCGGCTCTGCTCATAATGAGCAACGAATTTGTGGTCCTATTCTACACGCCGAGCTACGGAGTGGCGATCAAGAAGGCGATCTCCATTATGGAATACTTCTCGACGAACGATCAGCAGGCTGCACGGCTCTTGTGGATCTTACGCGCCCTCCAAGATGTTGTCTTGAAGCAGGCGAATGACGGGGTTGCAGCCACGGGAAGCATCAACCCGTCTCGGTATTCGTATCATATGGGGGTTGGCAACGACAGCGCAGAACCGTTTTGTAGCATTCTTGCCAGAGCCTCAGTTTCTACCATGGACAACTCTGAAGCCGGTGGAAGCAGTCACTGGCAGGACAGGAGAGGCAGAAACAGCTCGGTTCCATGCCCTTGGTATAGTTTTCAGTCTCAAAGCCGGAGTCATCCGTTGCGGAACGAGTCTGTGGCGGCATATGGGGTGGGGACAGGTGCTCCACGTAATACACAAGTGCTGACACCTAGTCAAGAGTCACATAGTGGTCCGACGGGGCACTTTGGAGCGACAACTGTTCAGCCTCTATCTTCAGAAGGGCATCCGCCAATACCTCTAGCCCCAAAGCCGCCGACATATCGCCAGGGGCAGCAGCACCTGGATGGCAGCATATATGAACCGGTCGGCAGCGGTCCGACTGAGACGTTGGATACAGACACAGATGATCTCGACTTTGAGTGTCTCTACGACTGGTCTGGTGGCGAAGGGACGGAAGTTGAACGCGGGGGTAGTAGCACTGCGGACACGGTTGTTGCAGCTGTCTCATCATTCTCTCCAGGAACGCCACAGCGTCTTGTCCTTGGCGCCAACTGCGAGTTTCCAACTCCTCAGAGCACGGGAAGATTTGAGAGAGATGACGTGCCCAAGACCCCGCCGCATCCTCCACTTCAGCCCGTCTACTCCGACTACACCATGCACGCGAGTATCTGTGCCGGAGGGTGGAATACGACAGGGCCTAGTGCCAGCGGAACGACGATGCCGCACGATGTTTCATTGTACCGGACGACTGACACTGAATAGGGAGATGGAAGATTGTGTATCTCATGGTGAATGGAGGCTCTTTGATATTATCCACGCACGTGACACAACCAACGAGCTATCTGTCCCAGTAAATTGTTATATCTTCTCAGGCCCAGCTTCTGCCACACTCGTCTTGGGTGTCAGATAAACATTGTAGTGAGCACCCAGCGGGCCTGACGGTCGCCGTTCAGCTGCGAAAGGCTACCGCCAGGGAAGCCTTGACGGCGAAGACAGAGTCCTGCTGGAGGGTTTCGTCCAGTGCGACAAACAGCTGCGTCACAAGCGAGCCATATCCGAGAGCAGACACCCGACATTGAAAGAGGCAAGTACAACACAGTAACTCAGGAAGGAAAGGACCCAGACTCCCGGCTCTTTCCGCTTTCGTCGACGAACATGGCCCCTACATCACAATCCCGAAATGAGGTCGTCAGCCACGGAATGAGAAAGCAAGCTGAATTTGGAACATGGTAGATGCACTGGACGCTACGGGCTTCGCGTCTCTACATTGAACAAGGCCCCTTCTATGTTACACTACTCCAAAAAACCAAAGATCCAAGAACAGGCCAAGGGCCCGTAAATAAGCGATATGGCGTAAAAATCTAACAGGGGAAAGCTCTACCAGGCGGTCGGCCCAAAGAACTCACCGGGCGTCACGGTCTTCAGGACGGCGGTGTCCTTGTAGTCCATGGTGCTCGTGACGATGGAGTTTCCCCACCAGTCGGGCGCGTTGATGTCGTTGAGGGTGAAGGCGAAGAAGATGACCAGGGTGCTCAGGGCGAGGCCCAGGTCGAGGGCCGAGGAGGTCAAAAAGTTGAGACGACTCCACCAGGCAAAGTGGCGCTTGCGTATCCAATACTGGAAGATGAAGCCGACGATGCCCCAGCTGAGATAGTTGAGCGGCGTGGCCGGCGGGATCGACCCGGATCCGCCAAAGATGAGCGGCGCCATGAGAAACTTAGCGGGCGATCGCGGCCAGCGACGGGCGGCGTAGTAGATAGCGATGGGCACGATGGCGCCGAGGATGAAGAAGACGAACAGGCCGGCGTAGATCTGGCCGGGCGAGAAGATGCGGGCAGGGCCGAGCAGGCCCCAGATGACCGAGGCTGGAGAGATTAGTCAGCAGAAGGATGGTGATGAACAAAGCCGGCACGAAGAACTCACCGGAAAAGAAGACGCGGCCGCCCGGACAGGTAAAGTGGTCGGGCTGGTCGCGTTCGCACACGTGCTCAATGTTCTGCAGGGCAAAGTTGAGGACGGCGACCTGGATGAAGCAGGCAAAGGTGGTGGCGACAACTTGGGCCATGAACATGGTGCGGGGAGGGATCTTCATGTAGTGGCCAAACTTGAGGTCGCCGACAAAAGTGAGGGCCTGGGACATGGTGATGTAGCCGTAGGTTTTAAAGAGCATGAGGGCCAGCGGACGGCCAGGTTGGATGTAGCCGTAGATGAACTCGGTCAGGACATTAAGGCCGATCTGGTTGTTGGTGACGGCCTGAATGATGCCGATGGGCAGGGCGAAGGCGAAGGAGATGACGACGGCCAGGAGGAAAGCCCACCAGGTCAGGTTGGTAGGATAAGCGAGGATGGTGATGAAGCCGAGGACGAGCATCTGTAGTGTGAGAGGAAGAGAGAAGAAGGAAGAGAGAAAGAAAGGAAGGAAAGGAAAAAAAACAACTCACCAACACAAACAGAGAGAAATACCACCAGCTCGGGGCCTCTTTGTAGCGCTGCATCAGGCGCATGTGCACGTCGGGCTTCTCGTTGGTGCTGTTGCGGTACTGACGCCAGATGGTGCCGCTGTGGTGTAGGTACGTGTAGACGAGTAGCGAGGCGATAGCGGCAAAAGAGAGCCCGTAGGAGATGGCAAAGGTGGTGCTGAGGAAGAGGGGCGAGTAGGCGCGGTAGGCGGGTTCGTCGAGGGTGAATTGGGCGGTCAGGACGCGGCTGACGTTGTAGGCAGCGCCAGTGTTGTCGTAGGTGGCGGAATCGCTGATCGGAAGGAAGTGGCCGTACCAGACGTTGGAGTAGTGCAGCAGGATGGCGCCAAACATGTAGAAGACGACGACGCCGATGAGGGTGTTGGCGATGGCGTGCCAAGGCGGAATCAGGGGGGAGCCGACGAAGCCAGCGATCTGGGTCCAGTCGAGGGTCAGAGGCAGCAGCGAGAGGCCGGTCTGGCCGCCGAAGAGCTGGTTGACGATGATGCTGTCGGGGGCGAGAAAGGTGGGCACGGCCAGGACGCTGAGGAACTGGGCGAGGAAGCCGGGCACAAAGTAGTAGGCGGCAGCGGCCAGGGTAACGTAGGCGAACCAGCGATAGCGCGGTATAGAGCCACCGAGGATGGATGGGTCGGCCTTGGGCGACTGCTCGTACATGGCGTTCATGACCGAGACGGCGACGAGGTTTCCGGGCCAGATCATGGCGGCGGGATAGACTGGGGGTCAGCCAGGAGGAGGAGGCCGGAAACAGGCCGAGGGAGTGCTCACCTAAAAACTTGCGCATCAGACCGGCAATGCCGTAGCCCAAGGACTGCGACGAGACGACCATTAGCAGCTGAAAGATGAGGCCAAAGTCCTGCTTGTAGAAGACGATCTGGGCCAGGATGATGTCGGTGGCGTAGGCGACAGAGAAGGAGACGCCGGCCATGACGACGATGATGGCGTGTTCCTTGATGGTAAAGGGTCCCGGATTGAGCGACCAGACGAGACCACAGGTGCGGAAGCGACGACGTGGCATGACACGAGCCCAGCCGTGGCCCAGTGGCCAGGCGACGATCTGGGCCACCAGCGTCCCGATGCTGATCGACGGCTGTCGCAGCGAGAAGAGCGTGTTCATGGACGCACCAACGACGACGAGCGAGAGTCCGATGGTCCAGGCCCGTACCGTGTTGCACGGCACATCCTCGTCAAAGTTGCGAACGGCCGCACGAACTTCGGGATACGGCGAGTCGTCGGGAACCGAGGACGAAATGAGGTTCTGGTCGTCCTCGCCTTCCTCGCCATCCTCGCCCACCTTGGCCTCGGCGTCGTCGAAGCCTGGCCCATACTCCTCCGGCAGGTTTGGGTCCAGCAGCAGCTCGTACTCGGACCCATCGTCGTCGTCGTCACGTGCGTGATGCAATGCATCGTGGGCCATGCCGGCGGCAGACTCGCCCCAGGCCGAGAGACGGTGCGCGCGGCCAGCCTTGGACTGGACTTGCGTGTCGTCTGCGGCTGAGTCCGGGTCGTGACCACCGGCAGATGGCGACACCATACCATCACGGCTCCCCTTCTGGCCTGCCATAGAAGAGGAAGTCAAGGCGGCGAGCGAGACTGTAGGAACGAGGCAGTCCTGTGGGAGGGTCGATCCCTCTACCAGACGCCGACTAGAAAGTCAGATCGGACAACAGAACATGGATGCTACCGATAGGCGTAATCGTCGAATGAAAAGTGTGCGTATGAAATATCCAAAGAACTCAAGCTTCACAGGAACACAACGGACAAAAAAAGCAGAATGGACAGATCAGCCAGAGCTTTGCCCAACACAAGGCAGGTGCGAAGCTGTCCGTTCTCGGTGCTGAATAGAGCCAGTTGCGTCGTTTCCATCAGGGGTTAGTGTGTGTGTGTGTTAGACACTAGTATAGTATTGGTTAGCTCCATACGAATCAGATAAGATACACATAAGATATGTATGTATATATGTTCATACGATGTACAACACAAACAGCGCTAACAACGTCTGCAACCAGATGCAGCAGCAGCTTCTGCAGCATCCCTCAACGCAGCCGCCGGACCGGACTCAGCATGCTGCGACGGGTGGTAGTGACGGGAATGGGGGCAGTGACGCCACTGGGTGTGGGCGTGCGACCGACATGGCAGCGGCTGGTGGCGGGCGAGTCAGGGATCGGCGACGTGGGCGACCGGGAGCCGACGGCGCAGTGGGCGCAGCTGCCGAGCACGCTGGCGGGCGCAGTGCCGGAGGGGCCTGATGGTGTAGCGAAGAGTGTGTGGGCAGCATCAGACTGGCTGGCGGCGGCGGAGCAGCGACGAACATCACGGTTTGCGCAGTTTGCAGTGGCAGCGGCCGAGATGGCGCTGGTGCAGGGGCGCTGGACGGGCGTCGAGGCAGGACCGACAGGCGGCGAAACGACGGGTGTGTGTATCGGCAGCGGCATCGGCAACCTGTCAGACGTGTACGAGACGAGCGTGGCGCTGGCGGGCGAGGGAGGCTACCGCCGCGTGTCGCCGCTGTTTGTGCCGCGGATTCTCATCAATATGGCGGCCGGTCACGTGGCCATGCGACACGGCTTCCAGGGTCCCAACCATGCGGTCGCGACGGCCTGCACGACCGGTGCGCATGCCATCGGCGATGCTGCCCGCTTCATTGCCCTCGGCGATGCCGATGTCATGGTGGCCGGTGGCGCTGAAGCCTGCATCCATCCGCTGACCCTGGCCGGCTTCGGCCGTGCTCGCTCGCTCAGCACGTCCTGCTGTCGGCCTTTTGACCGCGACCGCGACGGCTTTGTCGTCGCCGAGGGCGCCGCCGTCCTGCTGCTCGAGGACCTCGATCATGCGCGCGCCCGCGGCGCTCCCATCTATGCCGAGCTGCGCGGCTACGGCTGCTCCGGCGACGCTCACCACATGACTGCCCCCCGACCTGACGGCGCTGGCGCCCTGCGCGCCATGCGTCGCGCCCTCCAGACCGCCGGCCTTCGTCCTCGCGATGTCGACTATGTCAATGCTCACGCCACCGGCACTCGCATCGGCGACGCCGCTGAGGCTGCCGCTATCGCCTCCCTCATGCGCCAGGACCACGTCCTCGACCTCGCTGCCGTCACCGTCAGCAGCACCAAGGCCGCTGTCGGCCATCTACTCGGTGCTGCCGGCGCTCTCGAGGCCCTCTTCGCCGTCCTCGCCATCACCGACCGCCTCGTCCCTCCGACCGTCAATCTGCAACATCCCGACGTCGGTCCCGCCTTCAACTTCGTCCCCGGCCAGGCCCAGGACAAACACGTTCGCGTCGCCCTCACCAACAGCTTTGGCTTCGGCGGCACCAATGCCTCCCTCGTCTTCTCGGCTGTCCCGTAGCCATGGTCGGTTCGCTGGTTGGACCAATTCCCTCTGAAAGAAGCAGTCACGTGACCACCTACGCATTTATCCGCTTCCCATTTTTCTTATCGCCAATCTCTTACCTTTTTTTGCGTGCAATTTTCCTTTCCATCACGACGTAGCCGTTTGAGCCAGCAGCAGCCAGCGACCACCACAGCAACCGCAACCTGTTCCTGCCGGTCACGCAATGTCCTGTCCAGGCTGTCGGTCATCTGCCGGCCTGCTCTCGCGCTGCGCTCGTCCGACCACGACGGCCGCAGCAGCAGCCGGCGCCAGACAGACACGCCTCCGGCCTCTCCATCAGACACCACAGCCGTCGGCAGCAGCATCCACACAGGCGCCGGTACGACCACGGCTACGACGGGCCAGTCAGGCTGTGGCCCACAATCTACACACGACAGCACCCAATGCGAGCATCACCGGCCGTCTGGGCGACATGGCGCGCCAGGCTATGCGGAGAACCGTCGAGCCGTACGGCGCCTTTGGTGTGACGCGGCAGATCTACCAAAAGTGCTCGCGGCAGGCCGCCTACGAGATCCCCGAGGAGCTCCGACGTGACGATGCCGTGCCAACGACGGAGGACGGCGAAGAGATTGGCGTGGGAGGGGGGATGTGGCACGATGGTGAGTGAGGGAGGTGTAATGGTGAGATGTGATGGTGGGGTGTGATAATAGAGGTGTGAGAGCGCAGAGGAACGTTTTAAGAGAGAGAGAGAGAGAGAGACGGAACAGAAGAGGAAAGAAAAAGAATTGAAATGCTGACTAATCACAGACTTTGGCCTCATGCCCTCCTTCAGCTCCTGGTCCCAGGTGACGATGCTGCACATGTACCTCGTCGTCACACGGCTGCGCTGCTTCGACAAGGAGACATACCAGCTTTGGCAGTCCATGATCACGGACCACTTTTTCCAGGAGGCCGAGGACCGCATGGACCGCGTTCACCACATCAGCTCGCGCGGCCTGCGCCAGCGTCACCTGCAGGACCTCTTTATGACCTGGCGCGGCATCATCGTCGCCTACGACGAGGGTCTCGTGCGCAGCGATGCCGTCCTGGCCTCGGCTCTGTGGCGCAACCTGTTCAAGGCCCGGCCCGACGCCGACCTGCGCGCCCTCGCCGCCGTTGTCGCCTGGATGCGCCGCTCCTTTGCTCTGCTCGACCGCATGCCCGACGAAACTCTGGTGCTACATGGCGGCAGCGGCATCTTCGCCTGGCCGCCGCCCACCGCACACCTGGCCGCCGTCGACGCGCCGGCCTCGCGCGAGCTGGCCGCCCTGCTGGCTCAGGTCCTGCCAGCAGAGCCGGCCGTCGCAGAAGAAGAGCAGGCAGCGACGGCATAGGAAGGCCGAGAGAACAAGAGAAGAACCAGGGAAAACTTGTACATATACCGGACGCTATGCCTAATCTACTCTCTCCCACATCTGAAACTCGTACTCTGTTCCGCTCTCCGTCTGCGGGCCTTCCGGCACCTCCTCGCCGATCCACCGGCTGTGCTCTTCGCGGCTTCGTCGCTGCCACCCCGTCTCTCTGCCCTCTGTCCCCCCCAGCACGACCGGGAAGTGTGTGTCGCAGTCAAAGTCTGTCGTCACGCGCGTCAGCAGCACACGCCGTGCTTCGGCTAGATTCAGCGCTGCCGCGTAGATCTGCGCTCCGCCAATCACAAACACCCGGCTGCTGCCTGGCTGTCCCCGCAGGTAGTCCAGCGCCGCCTCTAGCGACGATGCCTCGACTGGGCCCATCTCTGGCCCGCCCTCTGGCTCCTTGGCCACGCCCGCCGCAAACGACCGGCTGATCACCACGTTCAGCCGCCCTCGCAGCGGCCGGAACTTGACCGGAATGCTGTCCCACGTGCGGCGCCCCATGATCACCGCGTTCCCCTGCACGCACGGTCAGCCAAAGTCATCACGCACAGAGATGCGCACCCACCTCGCCCCTCTTGGTCACTCGCGCAAAATACGCCATCTCCTTGCGCAGGCCCGTCCACGGCAGCCCGCCAGCGGCTCCGATGCCCATGTCACGCGCCGTGGCCGCGACCACAAGGGTCAGCTCGAGCGGTGAGGGTCCCATAGTCAAATCAACCGGGAGTGCTTTGGGTCGTGACAAAATGAGGAATCTGCATCTACCAAGCACTAACTTGGCCGATTTGTGCTTGCAGTATGTGTCACGTGATTTGTTATCGGCTAGGCACGACCTGATCTCCTTCAGTACTCCGTACTGTAGGTAGTCTCTTCCTTGGTTGTCCAGAAGTTGCGCCTAGAAACTGAACAACGGCATTGGCCTCGTAACCACAGCAGGTGCAAGAGCCTTCGTCGCTTCCAGTTGTTTGTGGCAGGCGCGTTAAGTGGGTCCACTTGAACTCCAACGATCGCCAGACTTTTTGGGTAAAAAAGAGCAGACATTTAGCTTCATTTTTTCACGTTACCCGCTGCACACAGCTCTACTGCGGTTGTCCATTGCCTTTTGAGCAGCACCCCAGGGCAGACCAGCGGTTTTTCTTTGTTGTTGTTATTGTCTGCGTGTTTAACTCGTCCGACTGACGACTGCAGAAGCCGCCTCGCCGACCGGGATGGTGTCTTTCTCGAGGGGCCTCGCCGGTTTGGGTCATGGCATGGCCGCTCTGCGCTCGCCTTGCCAGCCCCGAGCTGGGTCTGCCGGCATGATTTATAAATCGGCTCACTCGTCCGCATCAGCCACTCGGCTGCTGCTACCGTCCTCTCCGGGCTGCCAGCTCTTCTCGTCCTTCTGCCCGCGAGCGGCACAGCGAGCAAGACCCAAGGTCAAGGCAGCACCGCCACCTCCGCCTCCATCTGGGACTGCACGCCGCTCACCGCTTCCGCCTCCGCCTGCTGCCAGCTCCACCTCTTCCTCCACCGCTGCCGCCATCCGCACGTTTGCCGACCAGCTCGGCCGCCGGGCCGCTCCCACGCTCCTGTACGAGGCACCATCGCACTTCTGGTTCCGGCTGTCGTGCACGAGCGCCGGTATGTTCTGCATCGGCTACACGATCGTCAACTACTGGTCCATCTACCTGCGCCCGCCGCCGGACTTGGTCTGGTGGGTACCGCACGCTTTTGGCGTCATCTGCGTCGTCATGGCCGGTCTGGGCGGCTACTTCATCCTCGGCGGCGCCCGCATCATCCGGTCGATTCACGCTGTGCCGGCCTCACGCATCGCTGCCCTAGCTGGGCCCAACTTCGCCGCCAAGGCGGCCAAGGCTGCCGGCAGCAGCACGCCCGCGCCCGTCTTCCTCGAGGTCGAGATCGGCCGCATGCTTCCGGTCTTGCCGGCTCGCAAGCTCTACGTCCAGCCGGTCGCGATGTCTATCCCGTTCCGCCTCGTCTCCTTTGGCCTCGAGGGCGAGCGCATTGGCGTCGAGGCCCCCGAGGCCGCTGCCACTTCCGGCGGTGCTGCTTCCCCTTCTACCGGCTACGAACGCGTTCTCGCCCGTCGCGCCGAAGAGGAGCGCCGCAAAAAATCCCACGAGTACGAGATGAACCACCTGATGACCGCGCCCTTCCGCCACGCCTGGCAGGGTGCCCGCGTCGCCTGGGTTGGCGTCCGTCGCGCCTTTTCTCGCGAGGGCTTCGTGCCCGTCGACGTCGACGGCCAGAAGTATAAGCTCGACGTCACCGGCGGCTGGGCGCTCGAGAATGGCCGCGCCCTCGACCGACTCGTTACCATCAAAGAGGGACAGCTGTAGCTGCGGCCTGCTAGCTCGCCACGTGTACGTTATGAATCCGGTTTGACAAAATGGGAAATGACCTCAATCGATATATCCATCTCTTCCGTCTTCACATGCTTGAGCACTTGGCGGTTAAAGACAGACCATCCTCTCCCAACTGTCGGTCACAGGTCACAGCTCCGGCCAGATCCGATGGCCGTATTGTGGCTCGGTCAGAGCTTACGAGCTTGTCTGGGTCTAGGTCGTAGAATGTGAAGTCGGGTTTTCCGGCTGCTGTTATACGGACACTTACGCCAAGTGAAGAATGCGGACCCGTGTAGTCGTCATCGCTGTGTCGGTCAGAGTCAGACGAGTGCATACTTGCGTGCGTACGTGTGCGCACGTGTGCGTAAGCAAACCAAGGACGTCGGACACAGAAACCGCCGCGTTCGGCATCTGTGTTCGCCCGTGTCATTTCTTAGTGGTCCTTTTAGCCCGTCAGCCTTGTCAGATTGTCGGGGAAGCCGTAAGATTCGGTCCTTCGTATATACCTGTATACCTACGTAGCTTATTGAATGCATGACTCTTGTCCTCTACTCTGGGAGGGTACACATTCTGATGAACTTCTTATAATAGTCTTGAAATAACAAAGGCATCATTTTGTAATTCCCACATCTCATCCAGGCGTCAGAGCATGCACACGGCAATATTTTCCTTAGCCCTGCTCTGTCAACGGGTTGTATTTAACACATGAACGGGGATTGCTAATCGCTCTTGTTTCCTCGCACCAAGGCACGGCGGTTTCGACTGAGCGAAACCACAGAAACAGCGAGGTAGGATGGAGTTTAGAAGGACAGCTTCTAAAATGTCTGAAATAATTAAAAGACCACCCGGAATGTTTCGGAACATGCTTCTGGCCTAGCCGCCTTCCTTAAAGCATACGTGTAGCCGTAGCACGGCCGTTCACATGCCGTGTAATATCAAGATGGAAGCCTTGCACAAAGGTAACAAAGTGTATCTGACGTCGTGCGCACATTTCACATGTCGTAGCTTTTTGTAGCTTTTGTAGCAATCATGCATGGCCGAGAAAGCCTCTTGTGTACTCGAACAATGCAAGAAGCCATAGAGCTACATGGCGAGCTAGAAAGAACACAGGGTGTGGCCATGCCTGCAGGGAAACACAAGCCGCGTGTTCTCTTCCAAAAAAATATGCGAGAAGATGGCATCGTTAGCAGCATGTTAGCAAGGACAGGTGAACAGTGCTCAAGAGCGTTACACGAAAAGACAAAACGGAGCCAAAATCAAGGCAACCATTGCATGTAACCGCCAGCCAAAACTTTCCATGGCAGTGCCCTCTGGTTCTCTGTCCCATGACACTGCCGAAGCGCTGTACGCTGCGCAACGCACACGCAAGCTGGTCGTTCCAAGCTGCAGTCCCAGCTGGCTGCACCACATCGATCAGGTCATCTTCGATATCAGACGGGCAGGTCGAGAATTGCACGGCCATGCAACGAGTGTTCTAGCCGAGATCGGCGCCCCCAAAAATGTCCGTAGACAGATTGACAGAGGTTAGACAGCATCAAAGCAAGTCTCAAGCATAGCCAGCCTTCAACGGTGACAGGTGCCCAGTGTGTCTGAACTAGAGAGACATGCAGATCCCGCCGAACTGCCACCATTCGTGATGGATGGCGGAGGAGGTGAGGTGGATACAGCACAAGCAGGATGCATGTGAGAAAACGAGGCGCATGTCTGTTCTCCCGTCTCAGAAGGCGAAGGTGTGTGATGCACTTTGGTGCCACGAAGGGCCGAGAATGCCAGCGAGTTCTGGGCAGAGGCCATACCTGGTTGGTTGGGTGGTATTGCAGCAGACCAGGAGCCCCAAAAAGTAAAAAGGTTCACTTTAATCTCTCTTCGCCCATTCATGCATGCAAACCAAGCCCAGCACACCGCACGGGTAGTACAGGGAAAGGCAAGGCCGTCTGCCTTTCTTGCCTAACAGGCCCTGATTCTTGGCGTCTTGTAGAGACCGCGCCCTACAGGAAGGAAGGGAAAAGTAAGACAAGGAAGCGGTGAGAAGATCCGAGAGGGAGGGGAGGGTCAAGCCATTGGCGTATCAGAAGTGAGAAACGAAAATGCACTTCGTCCCAATGCGTCCTGCTCAAAAAGGGCGGCTGGAGCGAAAGGCTAGGCCATGCAACACAGAACACGACATGAACGCTTGTCCAAGCACCAAGCATGGAGGCCGACGTGCTCGACGATGTTTGCAGGTCATCGAGGCCGTTCAAAGAGCGATACATCATCCTAAATGTGCCGCCGGAAGCGCGGGATTTGCCACGGCTAAGAGAGAGAGCGACAGATCGTTTGGCCACACCCTCTCCCTCTTTCGCTCTCTCGGATCGGAGCTATTCAAACAGCACTACACTACGCATGACAGGAAGCCAGACTACGCGGACTGGACTTGTTGCCCGTCGGGAAACCGGTTTGGGCCAAGTACGGGCACGTACACAGTTGGATGGGTGTTGAGCTTGTGGGACACGATATGCAGTATGGACCCGCTGCATTTCTTGATGGCTTGCCAGTAAGACGCAGGGATACTCCCTGTCTGCAAAGACGGTCGGGATAGTTAAACGATGGAGGGGGAGGGGTTGCGCGAGGGCCCTTTGAAACGAAGCAAAACTGACGAGAGGGACAGGAGAAAGAGAAGGCGAAAGTAAGGGGGAAAAAAAAAGAACAGAGGGAATACGACAGACAGACGAGATACGATAAGCAGCGTCGCCACGAGTGCAACGTTGTTGCATGATTCCTCAGCTTCGTGGCCGTCTCAATCCGTCAGAACATGGCAAAGCCAGAGGAAAAAGAAGAAAAAGAGAAATGCGGTAAGTAGCAGAAAGGTGGGGCACTTGGGGAGGCACACGGGACGAGAATCTGCTTTGTAGGACTGAAATCTACGCAGGCAACATGGGAGGGGAGAGGCTGTCCTCTTTTTCTGTCTGTGCAGTTTGGTTGGGTATGGCTCTGGTGGAACGCTGCAATGGAACCCAAAGGAGCGAACGGTGCCTGTGATTGGTCGAGATCATATCCAGTGGGGCTGCACATGGCTGTCACGACGAGAGGGTGATTTCCGCATCGTACAGGCTTCGACAGACCGACAGACACAAAGGCCGGAAGAGACAAGATACAGTATTTGGTGGCCATGGAGATGGAAGAGAGAGACTTGGCGACAGAAAAGCCCTATTAGCTGGCGTGGAAACCCACCCTTGCCTATTTAAGCAGGCGCGAAGCTTTGCGTGCCGTAAGATGCCGACACGAGAACTCGTCCTCAGGGTAAGCGCCTTACCATCGATGGTCTGACTGGGCGGCCGTACAGATTCGTCATCGGAAGGAGCGCGAACGAGATCTCTGCCATCGGCTGGAACGGGAGAGGGGGGTTCCCTTCCCCTCACGCAGTCGTGGCTGGCATGTCAGACATGGCCGACGCGCTTTGTAGCGTGGCCATCTGCTGTCTCAGCTGTCTTCCGAGGGAGAAGGAGGAGGGTGCATACTAGGCACGAGATGGTCGATGCTATTCGCAATCGCTGCCATGTCCCTCCATGAAACGAGCCTTAGCGCTTTGGCCACCGCTAGCCATGGTGGACCTATCCTAGACGAGCCCACTGCTGCGCCGAACAGACCAGGTCACGTTTGCTGGTCAGGATGGCGGGATGACGTCATTCACATCCCACGGACATACTCCATACTTCTGTTCTCTCCTACGGTGGAGCGGCTCCAACTGCTCGACAACGGCGCTTCTCGTCCAAGCAACGCGTACGCTGCTCCATCGGGGTTTGTGATCCGCACAGCCCACTTCTACCAAAATCTTCACCGATGTCTTCCACCTCCCTGTCTCGACTTCCCCAGACACAGGGATGTGATTGATCAGGACTGACACCCATTCCGCCTGGGACAATGCAACGGCTCGCCTTAATTCCTTGCTTCAGCACGCTTGCCGTCTCCGGCGCATACTCGTACTCGTACATACTTGAAATCTATGATAGGAAAACCCCAAAAGCCTAATTCAAAATCACCTACAAGATTGTTTAGTGCCTTTAAGCGCCATTCGAGCATAGTGTTGAACTCGTACGTCCCTTCAGAAACCGGCTCGAAGTGGGGGTAAGAGGAGACAGGGAGGGTGATACAGCCGAGAAATTCATACAACTGTGTCGGATAGAAGACGCTTATTGTTGCGTACCGAACCCATATGCCCACCCAACAAACAGCCCATGCGAATTACGACGGAGGGAAGGCTAAACGACAGGGGTGGACGGGAGGAGGGGTTTGTAAAGAGACACATCGGAAAATCATATCAAATTCGGTCATGAAGGGGGCCACGATTTGGTCCGTCCCCCGTCAAGGCATCGTTTGGCCTGTTCAAGTTCAAGGCAGGGTAAGGTAGAGCCGAGCCTGGAGCAGGCATACGACCCGTGTTGGAGATTTGGAGTCGTCGAAGCTGTGGGGTCCATAACCAACTTCTTCGAAAGAAAAAAAGGACAAATCAAGATTCGAAGCGCTTCAGCTGAAAGGCATCAGACCGAAACTAATACTTCTCGGAATTCACCGCTGCTGAAAGAAGGGGAGGGGCTGTCAGATTGGTCACGAGCTGTCGAATACGGGTTTTGGCGAGTTTTAGCGAGCCAAACCGACCAGTCGCAGTTCGCCGTCAGCCTTTCTTCAATATCGCCGTCTAATCGTCTGGCCCCGCCCCATGTCTCATTTAACGGTTGAAATCAAGCCAAGCTCCAGCGAGTGGTGGTGGCATCGTGATTGGACGTCTCTGCCGACCCCACCATTCAGCATATGCAGAAGTGGAATGTGATGGGCAACCTGTGCTGGACTGGCGATGCTACTGGGCACATTGTCGGATTCTTGCTTATTGTGGAGCCGTGCTATAATACCTGAGTGCGCCTTCGCTTTCTGGATGCTTTCCTGTTTCTTCAGAAGTGAGGCCTCGCTGCGTGCGTCTGCCGAGGGACTACAAGCAGGATTTTCTTGATACCTGGCTAACGTGGGACCACGAAGGAATCTTGTTGGAAGGCGGGTCGGTTTGGCATGTGCTTCTTTCGTGTTTCAATTCCCGCCCACATTCAAGGCCTGATGACATGCACTTTGCACCATCGTACATTCCTGGTGAGGCATATGTGAATGCACCATAATTATACAATCCACAAAAACTGGATTGGAATACTGAAAAAATGATAATGCAATGGCCGGCCACCGAGATCGTCTAAAGATGTGCGATCGCCGGTAGTATAAGCCACGGTGCATGCGCATCTTACGGAATACGGCCTCCGGGCAGCCGCAAAAGGCAGATGCATTGTGCCATACTCCGTACATGATACATCCCGCGGCTGGCAACCCCTCCCCCTCCATCAGGAAATGGCCAGGAATGGAAGATACGAGGGCAGGGCAGAAGTGTCCCGCCCTCGACCAGTAGCGAGACATACGAGAGCAGGCGCCGTTTGCTGCAAGTCAGATGAGCGCTTCCTTCACCGCTGATCGCCCACGGATAAAGCGGCGCAACCAAGCAACCAGCCGTGGGGATTAATTCCCATTGCCACGGCGTACCTTGGATCTGGTAAGGCTGGGGAGGGGGAGTCGCTTGCGAAATGAATTATTGTCAATATTAGCAGCCTTCCGTGTCTTTACTTCTCAGTATCGCATTGTTTTCCTTCTATTCTTTCCTTTCTAGCCTAGTCGCTGTTTAGTGCGAACAGGCCTCCAGTATAGCCGCGTGCAGGGCAAAATAGGGACTCGAAGCTGCCGGCCGGCTTTTCTTCAGCGAGAATGCGAGAATGCGAAACCACTCGAGTATGTGCTCGCACGCTAAAAATCCGGTCCAATTTGCCTAGCCGCACGCGATGTCTGTTGGGCGTGGTATTCCAAGGGATTCTTCCGTAGCGCATGTTGCGCCATGATCGCTTTTAGTGGACGTCGAGCGCGGGCTCGCTGCTATAGCTGAATGGTTCAGGATGGCGAGATATATGGACAAGACGAGCATGGCGCTAGCGTGCGGTATAACCCCACTAGCGACGACCGGACGCCTTCTCGTACAGGTACTATGTGTCGTACTCCGTACATTATACAGGTATGTACAAGAGTCTCTTGTGTGGCGCTGTCTTTCGCACCAGACGGTACGCGGATCGCGCCACGCAATCCAGCTATAGACCAGACGTCCATCCGTCGCAGTAGTGGTCGTAGTACCTGCACTCGCCTTTATGCCTTTTTGGCTAGCGGTGAGGCCGTCGCACGCTGCCACGGCACGGCCGACTGGCACGATACGAATACTTCCATGTATGTAGGGCTAAATGGCTTCTACGGCGTCTGGCTGTCGCTTGTCTGCGGCGGACGACGTTGGAGGGTGATATTGCATGGCAAGACTCGAATTCTGCCCTCTGGGATTTGTGGGAGACACGGGTGGAGTATCCAGGCGCCCCTAACTCCGTACTCCTCTCCCAAGCCTCCCCCTGTTCCCTGCCTATACGTGCATATGTAGCATTGTCCACAGCGTATGTACATGGCTACGTACAGTAGCGCGAGATACTCGTACTGCAGTGTACCCCGTGTCATTGCGTTGCTCTGAGACCGCATGCTGCCCCTTGCGAGCCATGGGGTTATATCAAAACCCACAACAAAAAAAAGACGTGGAAAAACGACCGGGGTCGCTTCCCAAATCCCATGCACCATCCTCATCCTTAGCCATTATTGGTTCTGAAGGCCATCCATCTCAAGCTGCGGCAGCACCGACGGGCGGCTCATCCTCTCCTATACGACGTGTGGCTTCCCCGAACTCCGGGCAATTTGCTCTGATCATGCACCGTCAAGTAGTTGTAGGCCTGCCGCTATGGGGCATCCTCCAAGTAACGCCGCGTTTTGAGATTGCTTCTTTTTCCATATTCCCAGCCTAATGCTGCTCGTTGCCTCTGACTGGCCTGCTTGCCAGTTCTTGTTTTCACTTTTCATGGGCTGTCCTCGTACTAGTACTCAGTAGGGCCAGTTTCCCGAGGATCCTTGGAATGAAGATCCCCACTGCTAAAACCCCCCCCACTGTCTGTCCCCTCGCCCCCTGTCAACGATTATTTACCCTATGGCTTTGGGCTTGTCTGTCTACCGCGCGCGCTACTTTTGACATATTAAAACTAAATCGGCCCCCCCCCTCTTTCGTCTCAATTTCCCCTTTTCCCTCTTTCTTCTGGTTTCGTAGACGTGATGCTCGCGTAGAGCGTCAACGACCAAGAGAGAGAAGAAGCAGAGGAAGGAGAAGCAGCAGCAGCAGCAACAGCAGCAGAAGCCGAAGGGAGACAGACACGACGAAAATCGTGAGAAAGGAACGATACGACATTCTGTGGTTGTCATTCTTGTACAAAGCTTGGTTGGCAGCTTTTCTGTGTTTCGACTGTTTGGATTCTACTACTACTATTTTCTCTATTCTCTTTTCCTCCCTCCTCATCCGTCTTTCGGCCTGGGCATTTTTGTGTCTTTCGCTCCTTCCGTGTGCTCGACAGTGTTTCCCCTCCGTTCTTCTCGACGCCCGATCTCGATGATTACAGGCTAGCTGCCCACGACCCAACCTCACGCATATAACGCTTCACGAACATATTGACGTTTAATTACGGCTCTACACCATATACAATTGTGAGTGGCTTTCACTTTTAATTCCACAGTTTCTGCCCTTTTGTCTGCTTTAGTGTGGGTGCTCTCTTTGTTTCCCGAACCCCCCGCGTCGTCTATTGTACTGGTTGCTCCTTTTAAACGATTGCGAATCTGCCCATTGCCCGCGGTCTCCGATGGTCAAATCAGCAACATCCCGATGAGGGTACAAATACCCTGCAAACGAGGAAATGGCATCAGAAAAGAAAACCAATGGATTCTTTGCTTGACAGCCTATTGCGTGTGTATTGTTTCGACCCAACACTTTGTACTGCGCCTTCCTCGCGTCGTTGCAGGCCGGTACCTCCGAACCTGCTTTAAAATTTCTGTCAGCTTCGTGGCTCGGAGAGCGGTCATCCTCCCCATGTGATCCATTGTCTGTACGGTGTCTGTTCTTTGTTTCCCCGCTGGAGTCTGCGCCACCTACACAGTTTGTTTTCTCTGGGTCCTTTTTGGTCCCACTGTGACATGGCCACCTCACATCTCGTGCTGAGGCCGTGGTGTTCATTCCTTGGGGTGAAATGCACTATTGCCAGGCAGGACATATACTTTCTTAGAAAGCAATGCTGCCTGCAGCCTTCTTGGCTGACTCACTTTCGCGGCTCGCATCCATGTGTCATTTCGTCCAGTGTCATGTTGTCACCAACTATATTGCTATGCCCGCCGCCTTACAGTGGCAAACTTGCAGAGATTCTTTGTTTGCACTCCCAAACCGAACTGTTATCAAAACGGTTGCCATTTTATATGGCCGGACACGGCTTTCTTTGAACTCCGTGTTTCATCTAATTGGGCTGTGGACAATAGCCGTTGACAGGCCTCGCTATCTTGCAACGGTTTCGGACAAGGAGCATTCTTGTTGAAGGCCTCTCTCTGACTTTTTTTTTTCCCTCGACAACCGGACCATTTATTTACTGTCTTGTGCTACCACCCCCTTTCGGGTTTCGTCGTCTGCGCATCCTCTTGTTCTCCACTGCACAATTTTGTTTATGTTCCTTTTCGTACTAGAAGAGCGCAACCGATGGGCTGACCTCCTTCCGTGCTACAGGCCCCCAACTGTCCCTCTACACGACAATACTTCGGTCGCGTGCTACGCTGTACCTGTCGAAAGTTGAAGCAAAGATATATATCGGTTGCTTGAGGCTCATCGATACACCCGGTTTCTTTCTCGGACAAACACTGTCCAACTTCCATATCCACAAAACCGACACACATTCTATTTCCCTTGCTGGATGCATTCATAACCGCAGAAATGGACTCGGAAGACGGCGAGCTGTTCGTCAAGGTATGTGATCCTCAAGCGGCAGACGCAAGATGGTGTCAGACAAGGGAAAAGGCAGGAAGACAATTAAAGGCTAATGGTATCCCATAGCAACTGGCCAGCTTTGTGCGGACTCACGAAAAGGCCCTGGCGAACGCCTTACAATTTCGGAGACAGAACTCACCTCGACATGGAGCGTCGCAGAGCGTGTCATCTATCCCGTCGAGTGCTATGTCTGCTTCGTCGCCGACATTCCCTGAGAGACCGGCAACCTCCTCTTCAACATCAAACACTCTTGCTGCTGCCCTCTCTCTTGGACCTTTGAACTTCACGTCCCATACTGCCAAGTCGGCAAAGCTTGCACTCACGGCACACCATCTATTTTACCTCCTATCACGATTTGAAGACCTGGGCATTCCTGTTGGACCTATGGGCATTCGCATCGAGAACCTTCATGATGCCGCTGCCTCGAGCAACTATGTCTCCTTTCTAAGCCAATCGCAACGATCCAAGACCCACGGATCGGATGTGGGATCCATCCGGTCTGTCTCAAGCATACGGAGTGTCATGTCCGGTATGTCAGCCTTGTGGGCCAGCTTTGGTATTGGGTCTAGCATCTCCGCTGCGCGGACCGAGCGGCAAAAGGCAGCAGTGCAGGCGGATCTCAAATATCTCTACTCGGCTTTCACAAAGATTCCGTGCCTTCGCCTGGCACCGGACTGGCGGGCCCGCCTGATCCAAGGCTACGAAGAGTTTCCATTTGATTCGGCTGTGCCGCTGTATGTGTTTAAAAATGTGCAGGCGTTGGAGGTCTGTGACATGGATTTTCGTCAGTTTTTTGGCTGGGACCGCCTTGCTGAACAACTGCGGTCGCTCACATTGAAGCGGGCTTCCATTGAAGATCCTGCAGAGATCCTGGTCGACATTGTGTTAGATGATATGGACAAACGACGACGACGCACATCGAAGTCTCAAGCATCGCCAACAAACGGGCCCCTAAGCAGCTCTAGCATGGGCTTGGGCACTAGTCCACGTCGCCGCAGCCCATCACTCCATCATGCCGAATTGCGTAAGAGTGCGTCTATGCCTGGATCTCCAGACCCTCGCGGCTCTGGTGTCGACATTCGTGTTGGGTCTGTCATCAGCGAGCCAATTCCGGATGGCGATGAGCACAGCGAGCAGATCAGTGACGGTGACCGCCCATCTCTTGGTCGTTCAAACAGCGATGATGCTGCCCCCGGAAAGCCAGCATCTCGTCCAAGAAGCCATTCTCCGCGGAGGTCATCGAGCTCGCGCAACGGCGGTACAACTTACGTGCGTGTTTCTCACAAGGTCAGCCGTTCGGGGTCCGGTAGCTCGCACTCAAGCCTGTCCGATTCATGGCACAATCGCCGGGGTAGTAGCTCAAACCTACTTTCTGTGGGCGTCATTCCTGCCTTCAAATGGCGGTTTTTGAAACACTTCAGTATCGCAGACAATTCTCTCACGACAATACCGGCACTCAGTCTCGCACCGCTCTCAAACACGCTCCATTCTCTGGACCTTTCCTCAAATCTATTCACGCAAATCCCTGACAGTCTGGCTACGTTGACTGCGCTTCGGGCCCTGAATCTTTCACATTGCATGATCGACTCACTGCACTCTCTGATACGCTATCCATTGCCGGCTATCACAGCCTTGAACCTGCGTGACAATCGGCTGCAGTCGATAGCAGGGATTGAGAAGCTATATTCGCTGGAGCGCCTGGATCTGCGGGACAACAATCTCACTGATCCCATGGAAGTTGCCCGACTCACTGGCATTCCCGAAATCCGGGAAGTCTGGGTCGGTGGCAATCCGTTTACTCGGACACATCGGGATTACCGCATCACGATTTTCAATCTGTTCCGAAAGACGCCAGGATATACAGAAGATATTTTGATCGATGCTTCCGGCCCCAGCTATACGGAGAAAAAGTACCTCGTTGATCGCGCACCCTTGGCTCCTGCCGTGCCCGTGATCAAGCCACCAGTCGCTCCTATGATGCCCGCTGTTGATGTCAGCAAGCCAGCGATCATATATGATGTACCACGGGAGCCTACTGTTCTTCGGAAAGAGAGGCCTGCAGCGCGGGCGGTGACCAGCGAAACCAACTCTAGTGCGTCTCGAAGGCGACGGGTGCCACGTCGCCGTATTGTTGATCTTGCAACCAACGACGGCACCGTACGTTCGGCAGTAGTATCGCAGCCGTCAGCGCCTGCAGCTTCCTTTGGGGTGGAGCTGCCAGCATCTGGGGTAGAAGCGCCATTGTCACCTGTGGCGGAAACGAACTATCGCGTGGTGCAGACAGCCGAACGCGGCATCGCTTCACCCACTTCACCTAATCCACCTGCCAGGGTTGTCTCTATGCAAGAGGCTCCAGAAACCCCACGAGCCCAGCTAGCTTTGCAAACGGAATCGCAGCCAAAATATTATTCGGTGGAGACGCAGACTCAGATTCAGTCTCATCCCGAGAGCGCTGCAATGGTGGCAAACATCCAAACACCACCTCAGTCCCCAATTATGTCTGTGGCTGCTCCTCAGACGCCGACTCTGCTGCCCATTCGGACACCGACAAGCCACGGCTCTGCAGTCACTGCAATCTGGAAAGAGCCACAAGACTGGGAAGTTGGTGCTGAGCTGTACAAGCGCAAAATCGAGGCGCTACGCGATCAGGTTGGAGAAGGCTACCTCAGCGTTCTCAGCGAGGAGACCTGGGATTCTGTCCGCCATCCACCCCAATACCACGACAATCCATTCAGTAATGCAACGGCTTCAATCTGTACAAGTCCAATTGCGCCCCGAACAGCGAATGTTCAGGCCATTCATTCCGGCCGAACGCTGGGATAACAGGCAGTTTCACGTTCACGTTGTCTCATTTTACAGATGTTCTTGCTCTGGCCGATTCCTCTTTTTCTCACTACCTATTCGGCCTGTTTAATTCGCGCACAGATGACTGGACTTTTCCAGGCCTGCTGATTCAGCCGACAAACACTTAAGCATAGCGTATTGGCGTCAACTTGGGCCGGCGTTAGACAACCATCTTCTCGGTTTTGGTGGTGGCTCCGATTCAGGGTAGGAGCCCCATATCATAATACCTCATCACACTGCCTATAACATCCGCTTTTTTAAGCAAGGGCTCATATTTCTTGCGGGGTGGGAGGTTTGACGCGGGATCTTATCTCCTGCCTGATCTATGTACCCACCCCATCTTGGCCGTTGTGGGCGATTAAAAAACACGCATTGTTACATTGCGAGCGTTGCAGCACTTTCTGACGTTTACTATCTCAATCGGAGGGAAATCCGAAGGGGTTTCGGGGGGGGGTGGGGGGTGGGGGTTTGCCCGCGATTACCGACTTTTGGTCGCATCTCATATTTGTCACTTTTTTCGACCATTTTGATACCTCAAATTTTGCGTTTGTACTGTTATCTCATTTTGCAGCCATGTTTGGACAAGGCGTTTTGGTATTTTGAAGGGAGCCATTGGGAAAGGACTATATCGTCTGCGGTAATATGGCCTTTTCAAGGCGACCAACATACCGCTGTTCTATCCTCTTCTCTGTTGGCATATCCACGCTTCGGTGGATTATCCCATCGCACATTTAGTGACAGGTATTACGAAAAAACGACTGTACTTGTGGTTTACACGATGTTTACGCGCAGTTGTGCTTCCAAGTCAGGGTTGATGATCTCCCAAGGCAGGCCCTGGTGGTCTACAAACTCTATGCTGCATCTGATCTGGATGTGATTTCATGATTTTGCCTGTGAAGCTTTGGATAGAAACGCCGGAAGTGGTGACAGTGCACGTCCCAGCCAGAGTATTGATCGGCGATGCAGGAACTCGTGATCTTTTGCCTGTGTACGTAGTCTGCAAATAAAAACTGATTGGACGACTGATTGGATGGAGTGGTCTAGAAAGACGGATAAGGGTACCCACAAACTAAACTGACAGCGGTCAGGCAAACTGGGGACAGAGAATGACTAGAAAGAGAAGGCATTCGCATACGACCCGGCAAGGCGGTACAGGGGCGGTATTAGCCGTTGGGCTTGGCTCTTTGGAGTGTCCACTCTCCGTGCTTTTCTCTCTTTGATTATGCGCTATACGTTCGGGAGCAGGCATCGTTTGCGATTGCATACAAGCACGGAGAAACAGGAGAAGCATAAGAACACGAGTCGTTTATTTGCTAGCGAGCTGCAGATGCGATGGGTTATGCGTCGATTAGTATCTGTTTTGCTATTGGAAGATTGATTGACTGAAGCGGGACGTATCTGGAAGAGCTGCATGCAGTCTCCTGTCGCTTGCCTATCCATTCTCACGCTGTAGCGAGCAACAACGAAAGTGAGCAGGTCCTGACATCAAGGACACACGGGGCATTAGTGAAGACGTACGGAGTACTTCTCTACATAGTCGACTTTTGCCTCCACAAAGAACAGGCAAAAAAAAAAAAACAGCACAAACCCCCGCTACCCCTTGTTTGGCGCTGACAAAAGTGGGCACACAAACATAAGCGCGCTATGCTGCATGTAGCTAGTGCGTACTGTAACCCATCGCGACGTGAACTTCAACCCACGAAGTCAGAGGCATTCTGACCCCCTCACAGCTCATCACCACACGCGCCATCCGCCAAGGCTCGTTGCTGTCGTCTCGTGCGCCACAGTCAATTTCTCCGACAGCCTTGTATATCATCTAGGGATCTTGTTTACTCTCCAGAGCGGCTCTCCGTCAGATGCTCGGCCTTCTCGCGCGGCTGCCGATACGCCACCCCCTCTCAACCTGACACGGATTTGCCTCGTCTGAAATTCCATCGAAAAGACAAACAACCGACGCTCGATCGCAGCGGACAGACAGTGCCGACGAACCAGGACCATACAGACACATGGCGCCGGCGCCTCTGACGCCTCGGCGGACGGCGACTGGCCGACGACGCGGCCGTCCGCCTGGATCGACCAACGCGGCACGCGCGGCGCGTTTGGCGGCGGCGTCGGCCGAGCCGCCTCCGAAGCGAAGGAAATACATACCCGGCGGTCCCGGCGGCGGCGGGCGGTTTGTTGACGAAGACGGGATCACGACCGAGGTGGTGACTCGCGGCAGTGGACGAAGCGCAAGAACGCCAACGGCGCGACGCGTGCCCCATGCGGCATCGTCTGGGATTCTGCCACGGCGCGAGAGGAGCACAAGAACGAGGACGGCTGTTAGCCGGTATGAACCGGATGACGAGGAGCAGTTCAGCTCGGCGGCGGCGGTGGCGGCAGCGGTAGTGCAGAGCGAAGGCTATAAGCCGCGCGAGGAACGCGGCTGGGAGGAGTTCCACCCGAATCTCGATATCGAGACGACGTTTATGGTGTTTTCGGCGGACGCCGTGGACGGGACGGCGATTGATCTTGCTGTGGGGACTGCCGTCGACATGTCCGCGTTTGCGCCGGTCTTGCACCTGCCCCAACGCTCTTCCTTCTCGGGGAACGGGATGGGCGGAACGGAAGACAGGCCGCCAACGATGGAGGGCTCAGAGCTGTGTGATTCTACGGTGGCCGTGGCTCTGGCGGGCTCTTCGGCGGGCGCATCGCAGGAGAAGGGGGAAATAAACGGGGTAGCAGCGACGGACGAAGCAACAGGGCTTCCGCTCACGCCACTTCGTCGTCGTCTTGGACGTCCGACTCGGGACTCTGTGTTGTTGGCTGCGCCGACGCCAAAGACGCCCAAAGTGCTGCCGATCCACAACCAGACGCCGAAGGAGAAGCTGGACCTGAAGCTGCCGTCGTACCGCAAGACGGACCGGATCCTGCTGTTCGAGGGCAAGACGTTTGGGCGGTACGTGGACAAGTCGATGATGAATGTTGGGTACCAGGAAAGCGATGTGTATCTGCGGCCGGAACAGTACCTGATCAAGGCGAGCGACGCCAACGCGGAGGAGGACACGGAGACGAGCCAGCACCCACATGTGCATGCGCATGCGCAGGCAGCAGGAAGCGGCGGAGGTGTGGGCCGGGTAGAGTACGACATGGACGAGCAGGACGACAAGTGGCTGGTCAAGTACAACGCGCAGCGGAAGGAGAATGCGGTGGAGCCGATCACGCGGGAGATGTTTGAGATCACGATCACGAAGATCGAAAAGGAATGGCACGCGCTGGAGAAGCGGATTCCAAAGCCGAACCCGAAGCCTCCGCAGACTCACCGGCCACGATCGAGCTCGGCGGCGGCAGTGAACGGGGAGACACAGGGTGGCGAGGAGCAGGACAGCAAGTGTGCGATTTGCGACGACGGCGACTGCGAAAACACCAACGCGATCGTGTTCTGCGACGGCTGCGATCTGGCGGTGCACCAGGACTGCTATGGGGTTCCGTTCATCCCAGAGGGCCAGTGGCTGTGCCGAAAGTGCCAGCTAATCGGCCGTGGGATCCCGGTACGTGTGTTTTGATTTTTTCCCCCAGTGGGGGTTGTATGTTCCCTTATCGGCAATCCACTGACGCGCATGCAGACGTGCATCTTTTGCCCCAACACGGATGGGGCGTTCAAGCAGACCAACTCGTCGAAATGGGCCCACATGCTGTGTGCGATGTGGATCCCGGAGACGTCGCTGGGAAACACGACGTTTATGGAGCCGGTGATGGACGTGGAGAAGGTGCCGAAGACGCGGTGGCGACTGACGTGCTACATCTGCCGGCAGAAGATGGGGGCATGCATCCAGTGTGGAAGCAAGGCGTGCTACCAGGCCTTCCACGTGACATGTGCACGACGGGCGCGGCTGTACCTGAAGATGAAGAACAGCCAGGGCGCTCTGGCGGTGCTGGACAACAGTATGATCCTAAAGGCGTTCTGCGACCGACACTGTCCGCCGGACTACGCAAAGGAGCACGCGGTGCACCAGGCGACACGCGAAGCGAAGCGGCACTACAAGCGGGCAATGCGCGGGCGCATCTGGGCAGACAGCCAGGCGTCAGCGTTGCAGCTGGCGGCCACACACCTGCAGACAGCACCGGCACAGGCGAGCGGCGAGCCGACGATGGCAGCGACAGCGGCCGGGTTCCATCAGGTGGGCGGAAATGCTGGGGAAGGCATAGGAAATGGGGAAGCAGCAAGTGCAGAAAGTGTCATTGCCATCCCGACAAGCAGCCCAGCAGCCAAGCCGATGTGGAAGCTGCCGTCAGGAGCACCGGTGATTCCACAGGCCGTGTTTGACATTGTCGAGACGGCACTGCAGCGGTTTATGCTGCGACGTCGGCGCGAGTTCGTGTCAGAAGCCTGTCGTTACTGGACGCTGAAGCGCGAGGCACGAAGGGGAGCAGCGCTATTGAAGCGGCTGCAGCTGCAGATGGAGACGTTCACGTCGATGGAGCTGACGCGGCGCAACTTTGCAGCCATGGGGCCGTCAGGCCGGTCGCGACTGCAGCGACGCATCGACTTTGCCGAGGTACTGATCCAAGACCTCTTCCAGCTGCGATCGCTGGCCGACGACGTGGTGCAGCGCGAGCGTGATAAGCTGTCGGAGGCCGAGCTGGAACTGGACTTTGTCAACACGTGCTACTTTCCCGTGTACCAGCTGCTGGTGCCGGTGATTGAAAAGGCGAGCAGCTACGACAAGAACGTGTTCCGGCCAGACCTTGTGGTCCTGCAGAGCCGACTGGACGAGCGGTACTACACCAATGCGCTCGTGTTTGTGCGCGACCTCTGTGCTGCCATGCACAAGAGGATCAACCAGGCAGACGAGCCCGAGTGTCAGCAGCCGACGCCGACGAACGGCACGGGTGAAGGCGTCAGCATCGATGCAGCAGCAGCGTCGTCGGAACCGCTGCAGTCTGTGCTTTCTGAAGCAGCAGCGACGACAACAGCGACGACGACAGCACGGGACCGGAAGAGGCTGGGCAAGCGGATTCTCAAGTCGATCCAGCCGCTGCTGGAGGCAGCCGTGCGGGCCGAGGCCGACATTACGCGCGTGCCATCCGAGACTCTGGTGAAGGAGATGGAGGCGCTGCTAGAGGCCAGCGTGGAGCTGCAGCAGACGTCGATCACGGTGTCACAGACCGAAGACGTCGTCATGGCCGACGGGGAGGCGGTTGACGATGAGATTGTGGTGGCCAAGGACGGCGTGGTGGCCGAGATGGTGACAGACGTGGTGGCAGACGTGGTGGCAGATGTGGTCAAGAGACCGGCGATGGTCGGCGCGTTTCTGACCTGCGGCGTTGGCACGAGCGCACCGCTGACACCGCCACAGTCACACAGCGGAAGCGTGCCGGGCGGCAGCATGGTGGCGGTGATTGGCAGCAGCAGCAGCGGAGACGGGACAGCGGAGAGCGGTGCTGGAGGGGATGGTGACGGTGATGGTGAGGGGGAAGGTGGAGACAAAGACAGCCCAACCAGGACGCTCGACAGCGGTGGCGTGCCCTGGTATCTGGACGGGTTCAGCCTGGACGGCACGACGGTGGCCGAAGAGCCGTGGTCGGGACGCGAGACGGCACGCACGCCCAGCGAAGAGCTGACCGAACTGGACGATGAGGCGATCAAGGCGATGGAGCTGGACATGGAAGACAGCACCATCACAGCTGGCGTGGAGGAGGTGGAGAGGGTGGAGGGGGCGGAGGAAGAAGCGACAGCGGCAGAACCGACAGAAACAGAGGCAACGGCAGATACCGTCATGGTGACGGCACCGACAGCACCAAGACGGAGGAACAACGGCCAGTTCCGCAAGGGCACTCGGTCTTCTGCGCGGCGACGGTGAGGTCGGCTGTGCTATCTCTTCTGGTCGTCGAGAGGATGGGTGTACGTGTACTATGTATGGACTGCGTGTATTGGACGTTTGTTCTTATTTTTCTCTTTCTCTTTTCTCTTTTTTCCTCTTTCTTTCTTCTTTCTTTTCGTCTTATCATTTCCTCTTCTTTCTCCCTTTCTTCTCCTTTCTTCTCCTTCCTCCTTCTCCTCTTCTCTTCTTCTATGTTCTTTTCTATCTCCAGCAGCAGCGCTCTGGCCGCGCTGGCTCGATATCTACTGTTTCTTCCACGTCGCGGCGTCTTTGTGTACTCGGATATAATATTACTAAGCCAATAATAGCGCCTTTTCCTGTTTTTGATTGCGGCCGGGATCTCGCGATTTGTCGGGAGACAATTATAGCCCGATATGCGCGGCCGCACACACGGCCTCTAACACGGATCCGCTTCTGCGCAGTGTGGGGTGGCCGTATATGCTCCGTGACGATGAAGAAAAGAGACTCGACCGTGTTGACTGCGCACAGTGCCGCTCGAGTCGGCAACACGGGCCTGCTATCTTGCGAGTGCAGCAGACGCGGGCTTTCATTCCCCTGACTGTGGCCTGATGCCGTAGCTGGAGCTGAAAAAGTGACTCGTTACTTTGGAGGGGAAGAGGGAAAAAATGGAGGGATTTTTAGAGGAAAAAAAGAAAAAAGAAACAATAAAATGTCTGATCAACAGGTGAGGTTGCGCGTCTGCGAGTGCTTGCACGCGCCGCAGACCGCACACACAGCGCCGCGTCCATGCAATGGCAACGGCCCTGCTGCCTCCTCTGCTGCTCTGCACTTCTGCTCGACGGTCCCCCCTGTTTCAGGCCCAGGCCTTCTTTTTGTTCCAAGAGCACCAGCCCACACGGGCGGCACTACAGCAGACAAAGGACGCGCTCTGATTGGCCGACCCGGCTGTCGTGGGCGACCAACGGCTCACTCAGCCAGGGACGACCAAGCGGGTCGCCCTACTCGGTGAGGCCAGGCCTGGCGCCGCTCCATTGGACGCAGCGATCGCCCGCAGAGCTACCAAGCTCGCAAAGCTCGTGTGCGCCCGCCAGCATACGGACAGGCTGCTGTGCTCGTACGAGTCGTGTCTCCCTGGCAGACGAGAAAACCGGTACTTGTAATGGGGATAGGCATAGGTGCTGTGGCGCAGGCAGCAGAACAGCAGAGCAAGAAGAATGGAAAAAGCAACGAAAATGAAAAAAGAAAGACCCTATTCACATAGTACTCTTACGAGCAGGCGCCATCCACCGAACGCGGCGTAGCGTGGCATGGTGGTGGCACCTGCAAGCTGCTCCCGTACAGCGTTTTGTGCCCTCGTATCAGCTCTTGGCAGCGCCTGGCCGGTCTTGCTTCTAGGCATCTAGGCCTAGATGCGCTGTCCTGTCGCCCTGCCAGATCCCTTCGTTCCTCCCCCCCTCTCTGTCGGCGCGCCCCTCTCTAATGCACCTCAAGAGTCTGCTGTACGAGTAGTCCCTTTTTTTTTTTTTTTTTTTTCACTTCCCCTTCCTAGTTCGTGTATCTATTTTGGGGGCCTTCTCCCCCCTTTCCCCTCCCTCCCTTTCCCATCCCGTTTCCTTCCCAATTCTCCCTCCTCCAACGACGACCGGAAAAAAATTACGAAAAGCGAAGCGCAGAGGACTCCTCTAGACAAAGACAAAAGACAAGAGAACCAGAATCAAGGCGAAAAAGAACACGCACACACCTACAGACGATCTCTAGTACCGTTTTTTTCCGGCTACTCCGTGCACAACTGTAAGATAGTCTTCTCTTTTCCGCAAAACACCCCTGTCATCTGTTTTTCTCGTTTTTGCCCTCTGCCTCTTCTGTGTTGCCCCTGGGCCAGATCGACAAACCTCGACCGACGCGACTGTCGACTTTGCGTCCCTTTTTTCTTGCTCGCTCGCTCGCTCTCCATCCCATCCTCCTCTTCCTTCTTCCCTTTGCTTCTGTCCTCATTACGTACGCCTCTCCAGCCGTGGTTGCTCTGCCGCATTGCCCCGACGCACTAAAACCCCGTTCTGACCGTCATCAGGATTGCGCGTCTCAACCCGCCCACCCATTTTCCTCATCCATCTCTCCCTCCCGCTTTATCTTCCATACCAAGGCGACAGACGATTATCGTCTCCAAAAAGAATCAATCCACCAGACGAATACTCCATCGACGACCTCGCTAAAGCGACCGCAACGAGCATCTCCAAACGAACCGCCTTTACGGCAGTACATTGAAGCCACAGAGCGTCAGCACCTTTCAGGCGACTGCTTTCCCTTCCCACCACGACGACACCAAAGACGGAACCGAGATTTGTCAGATAGCTCTCTGGGTCTACTGCAAATTCTCCACCTACCCTCTGCCGACTTCTCTCGACGCAACCCGGGCTCTCATTACCGCCCTACCTCCCCCAACCCAGCAAGCTATACGCATTGGGCTTGCAAGTCGCAGAGAAAGAGACGAGCCACACCGACTTGTCAAAATACAGCGATTATCTCCGGCATCTATCCAGCAGACTGCCTGGCTAGACAGACTGAAAGAAAACCTCATCTTTCAACCCGACGCTCGCTGCTTCCAGCTGCGAATTCCCTAGAAACGAGAGACCACTCTTTTCCTTGGTAAGTCGTCTTACCATCGTCCTACTCTTATGCATTCCACAACTGCACATCGGCACTTCCCAGAACGACGCCAGACTCGGGTTTCAAGCGGCAAAAAACACGTCGTGGCCTGTTCAAACGTCTGCCAGCGTCCCCTCTCATCATTGTTGTTCACTATCCTGTCTCCACATTCTCGTATGCAGCCTATGTGAGCACTCACATTCGGGATTACCGTTCCGGCCGTTCTATCACCCCCTCTTGTCGTTTTTCCTCCATCATTGTATTTTACGGGCTTTGGATTGCCACCCGATTTACTCGGCCCTGCGGCTCTTTGTCACGGTACCTGACCTAACATGCTATTCACTAGATACAGTGTCACATCACGCTTCCTGAGGAACATATAGTTGTGATCTCCGAGAGCGCACTTTTTCTTCCCCCCTCCCCCGACGCCCACAGATCCTTCTTGAGCCCTTTGACAGAGCTCAGGGGTTTGCGGAGATCCCAAGCTTCGCTACTTGACGTCATCCCTCGTTTATACGTAGACCGAAACAAAAATAACCACAGATAAACAAAATGGCCGATCAGCAACACGAGGTCGACCTCGACTCTATTATTGACCGACTGCTAGAGGTTCGCGGCAGCCGTCCGGGAAAGCAGGTTCAACTGCTGGAAGGCGAAATCCGCTTTCTCTGCACCAAGGCTCGGGAGATTTTCATCTCTCAGCCCATTCTACTTGAGCTGGAGGCGCCAATCAAGGTTCGTACATGTTCTTCCGCGCCGCAACGCTCCGTATCGCTTTATACTAATTCTGGAAACCCTAGATCTGTGGTGATATCCACGGTCAATATTACGACCTGCTGCGCCTCTTCGAATATGGTGGTTTCCCTCCCGAGGCCAACTACCTGTTCCTGGGCGACTACGTCGACCGTGGCAAGCAGTCGCTTGAAACTATCTGCCTGCTACTTGCGTACAAGATCAAGTACCCTGAAAACTTCTTCATCCTTCGCGGTAACCACGAGTGTGCTTCCATCAACCGCATCTACGGCTTCTATGATGAGTGCAAGCGCCGTTACAACATCAAGCTGTGGAAGACCTTTACCGATTGCTTCAACTGCCTGCCCATTGCTGCCATTATCGACGAGAAGATTTTCACCATGCACGGTGGCTTGAGTCCCGATCTCAACTCCATGGAGCAGATACGCCGCGTCATGCGCCCAACTGATGTAAGATCTGTTTGCTCAGGATCGCCTCTCGGGTTCTCAGAACTAACATGACGTAGATTCCCGATTGTGGCCTGCTCTGCGATCTTCTCTGGTCCGATCCTGACAAGGATATCACCGGATGGAGCGAAAATGACCGTGGTGTATCGTTTACATTTGGCCCGGATGTTGTGTCGAGGTTTTTGCAAAAGCACGACATGGACTTGATCTGCCGTGCTCACCAAGTCGTCGAGGATGGCTATGAGTTCTTCTCCAAGCGCCAGCTGGTTACCCTATTCAGCGCCCCCAACTACTGTGGCGAGTTCGACAACGCAGGCGCCATGATGAGCGTGGACGAAAGCTTGCTATGCTCATTCCAGGTACGCAAAAAGCACCCGTCCCGTATCATGTTCCTGCTTTTGGGCATTTGCTAACGTTAGCCTCTACAGATCCTCAAGCCAGCTGAGAAGAAACAGAAGTACGTTCCAGGCCTAGGAAGCAGAAGATCCTTTGCTCCACCCGGGAATAGCAAGAAACCTTGAAAAAAGTGAATTTATGCGAACGTCTCGTCTTTTAGGTTCGGCCGTCGATAATCGCCCTGCGCGTATACCTCCCGCTTCCGATCCAATCCGGTCCGGTCCTGTTCTTGAACTATCAACCTCTTTCAGGCAGCCATCTGAACTTTGACAGCTGCCTCGCTAGCTCTGGCTGAGTTAGCTCTTCGTCATGTCCCAACTCTCGAAGGTCCCATTCCCGAGTCCAGTCCGGATCGAACTCGGACGACCGAATCCGCAGACCTCTCTCCCGATGATAATGTGTGCAACCCGCCTCTGCACAATCAACCATAACTCGCTTTTGTCTATTTAGGTTTTTTTTACTTGTTTGTGTATGAGTGTGTCGGTGGGTAGGTGTAGGTGGAAAACGGGGAGTGGGTCGGGCCCCTTATACATGGCTTCCGTCTGTTTGCGTCTTTTACTTTGGAATGGTCTTTTAACTGGCCCTGGTGCCTGGTGCATTCGCCAGACTTGGACCCGTTTGCATCCCGTTAATTCAAGAGGCCATTGGGAATTATGAATGACCATTACCATGAACCGCCTTCTCATCTGTCTGACCTGAAACACATGTCACTTTGGCAGCAGTCCCTATTCGCATAACAAAACAGTGAAGCTATGCGTTCTCCTCTAGGCATCAGCAGACATCAAGTTGTATCATGTTTGGTAGTGCTGCCCGATGCTAGAACCAGCTGTCGTATGGGGCGTAAGGCTGGCCTATGAAACTCGAGGCGATACCCATAAAGGGACAATTTTCGTGTCTGGACGCCGTGTCTTGAGTCACGGCTCATGTCTGCAGCCATATACAGTGACTTGTCTATTCAGTATTTCACACCGCTTTCTAACGCAATAAAGAATAGCAGTGCTATATCCGTGCTACTGGCAGTCCTCACACACTTGTGCCGGCATATTGTTCTTCCTTGTCTCCGTCAAAGGCGATGTTGCGGCTGCTGTCGATTCTGATGCCGGAGCCGAAGCGGATATACTCTTTGCCTCTTTTGCTGCTGCCCGATCGACGTGCCCGAGATCTCTGCCGGGGGCAATGACGTCCCGCACGCGCCGCTTCAGCTCCTTTGTCTCCGGGAAGCCGCCGTCGACGGAGCGGTCCCAGAGCAGGGCCGGACTGGAGGCTGTATCTGTGCCGGTGGCAGTGCCTTGCTCAATGGTCACCCGAAAGACGCCGCCGGTGGCCGGCTGCAGGGCCACCTCGCCGAGTGCTGTGCCGAACGTGGACATCAGCTCCTGGGCATACTATCCAAGAAGCATGTCAGACAGGACAGGCGCTCTGTCAAAACGAAAACGGCAAAATAGGGAGGAGAGGCCTACGTAGGCAGCGCGCAGCATCCACTTGCACTGTCGGCATGTCAGCATGTCGGCATCTGGTCACGACTAACTCGTGCGTCTCGGTTGACAAAGGCTTACCTGCGTGCAGAACTGTATGGCGACACGGGGAAACTGAACCGGGATGGGGGCTGTCCCGGCAGAAGCCACAGGAGAGACAGGCGGCTTGACCGCAGGAAGGCCTGGCAGGTCCATATTGTGCAGACAACAGTGGCGAGAGAGCAGGACGTGCTATATGCAGGTTGCTTGGGGCAGAGGTTGGAATCGTTTTTAAAGGCTCTGTCTAGACGTTAGTCGATGTTCGGAACAAAAATGAAACAGTAAAGGGTCGGACGTTTAACAAAAAACTCACAGTTGCTGCGCTCGGGTTAGGTTTTCGTGTGTGGATGAGGGGCTTTGTAAGCACTCCGTAGCGGACTTATCTAGGCCGCGATGTTCGCTATACTAGAAACCTACTAGACCAAGACTTTCACACCACCTACCGAGAACTGTCTGACATCCTTACCGAAAGCTCCAAGGTATCATAGAACGAGGTGTGGATATGAATTTGTGGTACGATCAACGCAGTGTCTCTTAGGGAATTTAACACGTTTCTTTTCAGTACAGAACAGCTACAATAGACTCCCAAGAGCTATATATGAGAATATACGCTCCAAAATGACAGGACCAAAGACAAACAGTTTTAAGACAGGAATGGGACACATAGGAGAGCCGCCAGTCGACGCATAACATACAAAAAGGCTGACGGCAACAAGGCAACAGTGAGGCAGGGGGATCGGCCGTCTGTAAACAAGAAGGTATAAGGGTCAAGGATAAATTAGTACATTGCTGGTCCGGAGACAGGTTAAGAGAAGAGGGGGGTTGCCTTGGGGTCGTGTCCGGCGTGGAATCTCTGGAAGGGTCAACAGGTAAGATACAAAAACAGATGATAAAAAGTGATACCGCTCGTGGTCGAAGAAAAAAGAAAACCCTTCCCGTCCCCGGCGTGTGGTACCCTCCGAGAGCTTCCCGTTCATTGTTGGATTATTGTTCAGCATCCTTTCCCTCTTCTCTTCTGAGGCTGCAGCCTGCGCCAGTTGTAGGCGCTCGTCTCCTTGGGTGGTTGTTTGCTTGTTTCGTTTTTCTATATTTTATGATTGTCGAGGATCATCATCATCGCCGTCCCCGAGACCACATCCTCATTCGTATTCGTTTTGTCAGACTTGCAGAGGTATCGCATCACCTCTCTGCTGGTATCGGAAATATCTCGAGAAACAGATGTAAACGCTAGATGACCACCGTCATCGCATGGCTTATGCGTGAGTTTCACCTAGGCTGCATCCTCCACGCAGACGGCTAAATCATGTCGCTCACATCACTACACAGCATCCGCCGCTTTGTTGCGGTGCGTACGGGTCCTCGCTCTTCGGTACAAGTCCCCATACCGATGGAACCATGTAGTCCCGGGTGCTGTTACAATAGGCAATGATGCTGGGGCGGAGATGTCAGCACGAGTGAGTTCAGAAGCAGTCTGTACACAAAGTCGAACAGGAGAACACGAACCTCTTGGCTGCTTGACTGACGGGGATTCGTTCGCGCTCGAGGTCTTCCCGCAACCGGTTGTTGAGCTCTGTTAATCGCCGCAGCTTCAGGTCGGCCATGCTCTGTTTTGTCTTCTTGATCTGCGACGGGTCGCCACCATCGCGGGATGTGTACTGAGGCATGCTGAATAGAAAGCTGGAAAGCGAAAGAGAGACGGACGTCAACAATTTCGATTGCCGGTAGAGTATGGGGCAGGTGGTGTTCCGTGCACGATGGGAGAGTCGCACTCGAAATACGAAAACTGATGTGCTCAGAGAAGCAAGATGAAGACGAAAGTATCGCTAGGTGGTGCAGTCAATCGCGCGCGCGTTGGTGCTGTTCTCTGATGACGCCGGCTTCGCCAACTAAATGACGTCCGTCCTGCGCTTCTTCGAGATGTGTCAGTCGCGATGTAGCTTGAAGGTGATTAAGAATAAGAAGGGAAGATAAGCAGGCCCTGCTGCTGCCGTTCTCCTCTTGCCGCCAATGTCCGACAGCTTCGTCCAAGAAAAAAGAGAAAGGGATATAAGCGACAAAAAGAAAGTGTCAGATCGGGACTGCAATCGCGGCTGAACCCCTGTTTGTCTTTGGTGCTCCTTTTTCCGTGTTCTCGGAGCGCATCAATATAATACGGAGTAGTTGTTGAAGGTCACGTCCCGGTTCATTTCCTAGAACCGCGTTTCCAAAAGCCGAGTTTTCCCCTTTTATCTATTGACGTCTTTCCAGGCTTGGCGGGTTCGGCGGTGGTCGCGAGTCGTGATATGGTTGAAAGAGATCCCTCGAAAAGCGAATTTCGACCCCTTTTCCCGTTCTCCTCGGTCGAATGCGCAGGCTATCGGCAGACAACAGGAAAAAAAAAATAGCGAAGAAGCAACTTACGTATTAGAAATGCCGAGTGGCTGTGGGTGAATCCGTCGTTGGAAGAGAGAAGAGAAACGTCCCGATTGAATTGCTGATGGGCGAAATGAAGGAAAGGTGACGGGCGAAGAGGGAAAAAAAGAAACGAAAGAAGGTTGTCGTATGAGCTGCCAGGGAAGGAGAAACGGTACGAGTAGTGGTGGACTGAAAGAGCAAGGACTGGAAAAAGGGAAGACGGACGAGAGAAAGCGTCCAGCCAGGGGCCGTTGGAGGAGTGGGGTGCTGGTTGATTTGGCCGGTACGGAGTAGTGTGCTGTTAGGATGCTCGGAAAGGTGTCGAAATATAGGCCCCTCATCCCTGGCTCCCCGACGCCCCAGTAGGGAGGAACGCCTGCAGGAAGAGTGGAGACATCCCGGGATGTTTCGGCCGCTCATTGGCCTGATCCGTGCGTGCTGGAGCCTCTACGACGTCGTAAAATTGGCTGCTCCCCCCTTTCAAACCCGTTGCTGCGACCATTCCGTACTCGTGCAGAGCTGTCGCTTCCGACTTCTTCAGTGGCCTTTGCTGACTAGTCCGGAGCGAGATACAATACAACGTAAGATTTCGACGTCCCGAACACTCCAGGAGCCCCAGGAGCCCCCTCTCGCAAAAGATTGCGCCGCCCGACGCTGGCTGGTATCATGTCGTATTTGCACTACTCTGCACCACTCTCTGCACGACGGAGATTGACAGGGACAGACGTGCTCGCGACCATGCCAATGTGCCACGGACGCGGCGTCCAGTCACTGGTGCCGAGGCCTGCCAACGCCTTGTTTTGCATTTTACGCCCGTCGTGTCAATGCGGTGCAGGTTGCCTGTATCCCTCACGTACGGGTATCGTGCCCGTTGCTGCAACAGTTGCTTCTCCGCGCCCTCTGTCGCTCTCTTCGTCCCGTATACGATCCCCCAGAACGCGTCTCAGGTAGCGTCGATCATTTCTCAATCTCTGATCTGTCGGCTTCCTGAATTTCTGGACGCGTCCCAGAAAGGACGGGGCGTAGTCTGCTATACGGAGCAGGAGGCAGAGGACAAAGCGAGCACCGCCGACGATTTACAGGGCCAGAGCATCGTCCGATCCGATCTTGACGGCTAATTGTGCCGTAGCCTGTTGCTCTGGCATCCCTAAATTGCTTTGTGCCTCGTAAACATGTTCTGCCAAGTCTCGCCCTCCGTACAACCTGCTGTGCAGGATGAATGGATTGCAGCAAAGCCACCCTGGTCAAAAGTTTCTCTGGCCTGCCGTCTGAAATTAGATGATTTGACCCTACCCTTTTGTCGAGGGGCTTATGTATTATCTTCGCTATTACGATCTCCTTCGGACCCAATCAATTTTCACGGTGCGATGGTCCAATGACTAAGCCTGAATCGAGCTATGGTGCACGTGACCGAATTAGCCCCGCCCTCCACACAACGTCTCTGAACAACGAAAATTCTTTTCGCGACACCACTCAAAAATTGCAAACATCACACAAATCCTCAACCCACACCTCTCGTCACCTTCGACCCGTTTGCTCGAAGTGACGCTCTCCTCAGCGAATCTGTTTCCTGAAGAGTGGGTTGCCCATCATGGTATGTTTTTGAACAAGTCTTGGATTTCGACATGGTGACTTCTTCCCCCTCCATGGGTGCCTGGGCCTCTTCTTTGAAGTCTCCCTACCGTGTGCTAAAAATACCACATCTCAACTGTGATGCCTGAACTCGTTTGAAATCGGTGCATGACGACATTTCCATGTTTATCATTCAGTAGCAAGGAAACAAGGCTAACATCTAACCTCTTTTCTTTTTCCTTTCGTAACAGGCTCCGCCGCCGCACCAGAAACCCGAAAATGTGTTGAAGCGGGCAAATGAGCTCATCGGTGTCAACCAGGCACCGGCGGCTCTGACCCTGCTTCACGAGCACATCACTTCGAAGCGTTCTCGAAATGTGCCCATCGCCTCGCTCGAGCCGGTGATGGTCTTGCTCGTCGAGCTGTCGGTAGAGCAGAAGAAGGGCAAGATTGCCAAGGACGCCCTGTACCAGTACAAGAACATTGCCCAGAACACCAACGTCGGCACCATCGAGCTGGTCCTGAAGGAGTTTATTGAGCGCGCTGTCGCCAAGGTCACGGACGCCCAGAAGAAGGCCGACGATGTGCAGTCCACGCTCGAAGCGTCCCAGGCCCAGGCCGGCACCAGCAGCATCGACGATCTCGAGGCTTCCGAGACCCCGGAGTCCATCCTGCTCGCAACTGTGTCGGGCGAGGTGTCCCGCGACCGGACCGACCGTGCCATCGTCACGCCGTGGCTGAAGTTCCTGTGGGAGGCGTACCGTACCGTTCTGGACATCCTCCGCAACAATGCCCGTCTCGAGCTGCTGTACCAGAGCACGGCCATGCAAGCGTTTGACTTCTGTCTCAAATACGCCCGCAAGACCGAGTTTCGCCGTCTCTGCGAGCTGCTGCGCAACCACGTGCAGACGGCTGCCAAGTACTCGACGCAGATGCACGCCATCAATCTCAGCGAGCCCGACACGCTGCAGCGCCACCTCGAGACCCGTTTCCAGCAGCTCAACGTTGCCGTCGAGCTCGAGCTCTGGCAGGAGGCTTTCCGCAGCGTGGAAGACATCCACACGCTGCTGAGCCTGAGCAAGCGCCCGGCCAAGAACATCATGATGGCCAATTACTACGAGAAGCTCACTCGCATCTTCCTCGTGGGCGAGAACTACCTCTTCCACGCTGCGGCCTGGTCGCGCTACTACAATCTTCTCCGCCAGTCTGCCTCTCTGTTAGCTACCGGTCAGGGCAAGAAGTCCGACAACCCGTCGACCTCGGAAGCTGATCTCACCAAGGCTGCCTCCTTTGTGCTTCTCTCGGCCCTTTCCATTCCCGTCATCAGCACCTCGCGTTCGCGCGGTGCTATGGTCGACTTTGACGAGGCGAAGAAGAACAAGAACTCGCGTCTGACACACCTGATCGGCATGAACCAGGCCCCTACGCGTGCCGGCCTGTTCCGTGATGCCCTGTCCAAGGCACTGCTGCGTCGGGCCCGCCCAGAAATCCGGGACCTTTACAACATCCTCGAAGTGGACTTCCACCCGCTCTCGATTTGCAAGAAGATCTCGCCGATTCTGGCAAAGATTGGCGAGGACGAGGAGATGAAGCGGTACATCCTGCCGCTGCAGCAGGTCATTCTGACGCGCCTGTTCCAGCAGCTCTCGCAGGTGTACGAGACGGTGGACCTCGACTTTGTTGAGAGCCTGGCACAGTTCCCAGAGTCGTACCAGGTGACGCGTGCCACTGTCGAGAAGTTCATTATGAATGGCAACAAGAAGGGTGATCTCGCGATCCGCATGAACCACGCGACAGGCGTGCTGAGCTTCGACACAGACATATTCTCGTCTGCCAAGGCCATCCACGGCGGTTCTGCGGCAGGCTCGGCCGAGGCGGAGTCGAAGTCGGTGCAGCGGCTGCAGAGCACGCCATCGGAGATTGTGCGGTCACAGATCAGCCGGCTGGCCAAATCTCTGTACACGACGTGCTACTACATCGACTCGTCCTTCAATGAGTCGCGCATCGAGGCGCGGCAGGCTGTGCTGGCCCGCGCCAAGGCCGGGGCCGATCAGGAGCACGAGGATATTCTTGGACGGAAGGACATCATCCAGAAGCGCAAGGAGCAGGTGTCGGAGCTGCAGGCGAAGCGCGAGAAGGAAAATGCCAAGATCAAGAAGCTGCGCGAGCAGGCCCTTCTGGAGGCAGAGCAGCAGCGGCAGTTGCAGGAGCAGAAGGAGCGCGAGCTCAAGCGTCTGGAGCGCGAGCGCGAGCAGATCCGCCAGACCGAGGTGGAGAACATGATCAAGGAGCTAAAGATCGGAATCAAGTCCAAGGACATTGACACAGAGAATCTGGCCAGCCTGGACCCGCAGAAGCTACGTGCCATTAAGCTGGCACAGCTTGAGCGGGAGAAGAACGACATCAACGAGAAGCTGCGGATCACGGGCAAGCGGATCGACCACATCGAGCGGGCGTACCGCAAGGAGGAGGTGAAGAAGCTGGCGGAGGACTACGCTGAGCAGCAGAAGCGGGACCGGGCCGCGTACGATACGGTGAAGAAGGAGACGTTGATTGAGGCGAAGCGCAAGCACGAGGCGAACGTGGAGCTGAAGCACCGGCTCAGCCGGCTGGTGTCGCACTTTGAGGAGTTCCGGGCGGAGATTGTGGACCGGCGCAGCGACGAATTCGAGCGGCGCCACCGGGAGGCAGAGCGGGAGCTGGAGAAGCAGATCGCAGCACGCAAGAAGGAGTACCGCGATCGCAAGCTGCGCGAGAAGCGGCAACGGGAAGAGGAGGAGCGGCAGCTGCGCGAGGCCGAGGAGCGGGCAGCACGCGAGAAGGAAGAGCAGAAGAGACAGGAGGAGGCGCGGAAAGAGGAGATGGCACGACTCAAGGCGCAGCGCGAATCCGAGCGGCAGGAGATGGCCGAGAAGGCGGCACTGCAGGCGCGACGCGAAGAGGAGGCACTGGCAAGACGAAAGGCCGAGCGCGAGAAGCAGAGCGCAGCACCTTTTCGGCGCGAGACGGCACCGGTCGAGGCTGCCCCTTCGTCGGAGCGGCGGCCAGTGCTCAATCTTCCCGGAGGCAAGGGCTGGCGCGAGAGAGAAGCATCAAAGGCAACGACGGGCACTTCCGACGACAGTGCGACTCCTCCGGCATCCCGACTGCCTCCGCGCACGAGCACGCCGATGGAGCGGACGGATTCGAACGAGCGTCCGAGCGAGCGGTTCAGCGAACGCCCGAGCGAACGTTTCAGCGAGCGCCCGAGCGAGCGCCCGAGCGAGCGTTCGTCTGGGCCGCCGCGGATTCAGCTGGCTGGTGGCAGCAAGCCGTCGTGGCGTGACCGCGAAGCCGCGAAGACGGGCGGTGGTGGTGCGGATGGCGCCGGTAAGGACAGCCCACCGCCACGGTCTTTCTCCGGTCGTGGTCCTCCGTTGGCGCGGACAGGCTCGTCACGCGGCGATGTTGGTCGTGAGAACGGCCGCGACTCGCCGGCACTGCCCAAGGAGACACTCGCACCGTCTGGTGCACCGGGCAAATGGGTGCCGCGGTCTCGGCGTGGTGCTGAGTAAGCGAGAGGACGAGAAGATGAGCAGAAGACGACAGACCATGAGACGAGGCGATGAGGCGGAAGACGGACAGGGCAGTACGAAGAAAGAACAATCGGCATCTTTTCTGCGAGGGAAGAGGGAGGGTAGAAAAGCAGGCTGCATGCAGTTGTGTTTTCCTTGTTTTCTTCATTGATTTCGTGACCGGAGTTGGGCTTTTGTTTTTTTGTTTTAATTACTCGGTTCCATCTGAAACTGCCGCCTCGCCTCCTCACATCGTGTTATCTTGTCTATTTTCTGCACGCTCTCTCGTGGTGTCACTGGAAAGACGGACGAGCATCTTTCCAAGGTCAAGCCTTTGCATTCGAGCGGCATCAAACCAGCAGACGGAAGAGAGAAAAAGCACGTTTTACTTTAACCTCTAGGGACAGGACCTGGAGGTGTAGAGCGAGAACAGACTTCGTGGCATAGTGAATGAAATTGAATGGTTGTATGCGAAACAAGAATGTGTTGCTAGAGATGACGCGAAGCTGCCGAGCTTGAAGCATCGTACTTAGTCAGCGGATGGACATTGCTGTTTCATTTACTTGGGAAGGACCGAGCTAGCAGTGAAGCCTTCCGTATTGGTTTGATTGATACGAAAAAGCTGTCTTCACCGTATGATCAGATTTGCAGTATTTATTCCTCGCGAGCCACCATAAGCTAGGTTCTAAGTGTTCTCTTTTGTCTATCCGATTCACGCCTCAGGCCGCTCCACGCTCTACACGATCATGCGTCCGTTTTCTGGCCAGCAACGACGCCGAGAACCGGGCCCTCAGCCAGCGGGGACGCGGTGCCGAGAGTGCCCTTGTAGCGAGGTGACGAGTGCAGGGCCGGCGATGCCGGGCGGCTGTCCTTGGTGCGGAACATGCTGATGTGTTCGCGCTGGGCGATGTACTCGCTGGTGACGTAGCCGAGGATGCTGGCGATGTCGGCGCTGCGGTGGCCCTTGATCCGGGCGATCTCGGTGGACGAGTACTTGACGAGAGCGCGACCGACCTCGATGCCGGCAGCAAGGGAGGCAACAGGCGGCAACAGACGGCGGTCGACGACGACCAGCCGCACGGCGTCGTCCTCGGCAAACGGGCCTTCGACGTCGACGACGCCGACGGGCAGCAGGCCGGCGTGGTCCAGCAGTGCTTGGCTTGCGCCCTGGTCAATGTATACGGTGCCGTGGGGCTTGAGCCCGTGCAGGATCCAGAACGAGCGGTCACGGATCGGTTCGGGCCACGGCAGGAAGCGCGTGTGCAGGGGGACCTTGGCGGACGCCGGCGACGCCGACGACGACGACAACGATGGCGATGGCGATGAGGCACCGCCGGTGACGTGCGCCAGAATCTGCACCAGGTTGCCCGGCGTCGACGACCGCGTGATGATGGTGGTCACGCCAGCCGAAGTGGCTAGGCGCGCAGCTACAATCTTGGTCGACATGCCGCCTGTCCCCAGGGCAGAACCGGGTGTGGAGACTGTCTCGAGTCAGCAGGAAAAAGGGGCAACGGAAAACAAGGGCCCGGAAAAAGAAAGGGGAACAGGGAACGGGGAAGGTGAACGCACTATCCGCCTCCAGGGTGGAGATGTCGTGGACAATCTCAATGGGCTCCGCATCTGGGTGCTGGCGCGGGTTCTTGGTGTACAGACAGTCGACGTCAGTCATGAGAAAAAGCAGGTCGGCGTGGATCATGGCGGCCGTGATGGCCGACAGGGTGTCGTTGTCGCCAAACTTGATCTCCTCGACCGCGAGCGTGTCGTTTTCGTTGACGATGGGGATGACGCCCAGGTCGAACAGCTCGGCAAACGTGTTTTGCGCACGCAGGTATTGGGTTCGCTGGCACAGGTGTCAGCAACAACCGTCTTCCGTCTTCCGTCTCTGCAGGGGCACGCACGTCGGATATGTCGCTCCGGGTGAGGAGGATCTGGGCGATGGGCTGCTGCAGGTGGGCAAACAGCGAGTCCCAGAGGCTCATGAGGCGGCACTGGCCGATGGCAGCCAAGGCCTGCAGCTTGGCCAGGTGTTTCGGCCGGCTGTCAATGTCCATGCGGCGCAGGCCGACACCGATGGCACCAGAGGACACGATGACGACGCGGTGGCCATCCTTGCGCAGCCGGACGGCCGTCTCAACTATCAGCGAGAGCGTGGACAGGAGCGGCTCATGGCTGGTGGCATCGACAATGGAGCTTGTCCCTGCGAGGAGGTGTGAGCACGCTGTGCGCGGCGCCAGAACAGGATGACTCACCCAGCTTGATGACGATACCGAGGGGCCGCTGTCCCTTCATGGCTGGACCGGTTGTCAGAAAGAGGCAAGACGCAGCAGGGCAGAAGTGAGGCGCCCCGTCTCCAGAAACCAGGATACTGGTGTCTTCAGGCAAGCATCCGACAGGCCCACTTTCAAGGAGAGAAAAAATAGGATGACGCCCCAGAAAACTTACACGGATGGCCCTCTCGTGTTGTGACGTTGCCAAATATATCCATCTTCACCTCGCAAGGAAGCACACAACGCCCTAATCCACTGGCTGGGGTGGGGCGGATCGAGGGATCGAGCAAGTCATTACTTGGGCGCAGGCCAAAAAATGTCGAATTATGACTACAATCACAGGGCGTAGCGACTTGGTCAATGGGCCGAGTCAAAGGTCCCGACATCGGGACGGAGACTAGGAGGTCACGGGACATCGCCGACCGCCCTGACCGGGCTTATCGATAAGGAGTGATGCAGGAAAACATCGACGGTGCTTTTGCCGTGGGCAACGTCGCCGTTCTTGCAACGCCCGCCTACACGCGCACGCAGCGACCATGGCGACCGCACCAGCGCCACCGTCGGCACCAGTGACGGCAGAAGCACAGACGAGCGGCGGCACGATTGCGACAGCCCCGTCGGACAATGTGCAAAAGTACATTCAGAACGACCCGAAGCGGACCGGATTCGACCCGGCCACGGCGTGGTGGATGACGTATTTTCGGATCCTGACGGGCCAGGTGTCCTCGGAGGGCGTGCACCACTACCGCGAGTGGCGGTACCGGCAGAACGAGGAGCGGGACTGCCGGCGTTGCGAGGAGGCGCGAGACTACCTCCTGCGCTACAGTCCGATTATCCGCTTTCTATCGGAACGGACGACGCAACTGGGCGGCCACCAGATGGATGCGAGCAACATTGTGTGTGCGCGGTGTCCGGCGCGCGTGGCGGAGGTGGAGGTGGACGTCGAGACGGAGACGGAGACACCGGGACAGGAGACAACAGCGAAGACGGCACAGAAGCAGAAGCAGCTGCGTGTCGTGCGCCAAGGCGGCGGTTTTCACCCGGCATTTGGCATCCTGCTATGTGCCAATGAGATGCGTGACCGTAAGCACCTCGAGGACAACTTGGCACACGAGATGGTCCACGCCTACGACCACTTGCGGTGGAATGTCGACTGGGACAATTTGCGGCATGCCGCCTGTTCGGAGGTGTGTATTCATCTGCATTGGGCCTTTGTTTCGTCCTGTCTGTTTGCTGACTCTGCAGATCCGAGCATCGATGCTGAGCGGCGAGTGCCGCTACTCGCGCGAGGCCTTTACGCGCGGCAACTGGTCGCTGACGGAACAGTTTCAGCGCTGCGTACGGTCGCGAGCCATCCAGTCGCTGACGGCACGGCCACGATGTCGCGACGATGTGCACGCCACCAAGGTGGTCAACGAGGTGTGGGACTCGTGCTTCAGCGATACACGGCCGTTTGACGACATCTACAAGTAGCGGCAGAGGCCGTGCATGACAGAATATGCATTGAACGATGTAGAGTGTAAGACAAAGACAAGAAAATTCAGCTTCCCATATTCCCGGTCCCCTCTCATAATGAGTGGCAAGCCAGCCACGCTTTCCCATATGCCAGAACGCCTCAGTGCCGTAGGAAGGATGATGCACAAACGAAAGGAGAAAAACCCAGCAGAGCACAAGAACAACGTCTGTTGTCTGTCTAGTTCTTGGCGCTCTCCTTGGCACTCTCGCGGGCGGTAGCCCGCTCGCCCTTGACGCAGTGCTTCAGGATCCACGGGTGCTGCTGGACGTGGTCCAGCGACAGGCGCTTCTCGGGATCGAGGACGAGCAGCTATAATGAGTCAGCAAATCACGTGCTTTGTGTTCAAGGAGAGAGACAACAGAGAAAAGAGACCTTCTTGATGAGATCGCGAGCCTCGGGGCTGACAAAGGCGGGGATAGTCATGTCGGCACGGGCGATACGGCGATGGGTCATGACGGTGGTGTCCTCAAAAGGGGCCTCACCGACGAGGAACTCGTAGGTGAGGACGCCGAGGCTCCAGAGATCGACCTTTTCGTCGTACGAGTTATCGCGGCCGGCACCGGCACCACCGCTGCCGCTGCCGCTGCAGTACATGCGGACCATCTCGGGGGGGAGGTAGTCGAGGGTGCCGCAAAGGGTGGTGCGGCGGTGGTTGGGGGCATGGACGCTCCAGCCAAAGTCGGAGATCTTGAGCTCGCCGTGGATGCCGACGAGGATGTTCTCGGGCTTGATGTCGCGGTGGATGACGTGCTTGCGGTGGAGATAGCCGAGTGCGGCGGCCATCTGGGAGACGTACTGGGCCGCCTTCCACTCGGGGAAGCGGTTCTCGCGGCGGAGATGTTTGTAGAGCTCGCCGCGGCCGGCGAACTCGAGGATGAGGAAGATGCGCTTGCTGTCGTAAAAGTGGCCATACATCTTGAGAATGTTGGGGTGGCGCAGGTTGCTCTGGATCTCGATCTCACGGCGGACCTGCTTCTCCATTCCGGATCCGTGCTGCAGCTCCGACTTGTAGAGCACCTTGAGCGCACAGATGAAGCCGCTGCTGCGCTCGCGCGCGAGATACACCCGCCCAAACTTGCCCTTGCCGAGCGGCCGGCCGATCTCGAACATGCCAAGGTGGAACTGTCGCGGCTGCGCAAAGGCAGCCGCTGTGGCTGGTGGCCCGACCACTGACGGCGATGCAGCCGGGGCCTCGGACTCGGCCGTCGTGGTTTTGGTCGTCGACTCGTCCGCCGGCGGTGCTGCCCGGCTACGGCTCTTGGCCTTGGGTGGCGACGATGTCGTCGATGCCGTGGCTGTAGCGGCTGCCTTGCGCTGGTGGGCCGCCGCCGACGTGTTGGCGCTCTGCATCTGCAGGGCCACCTTGTACTGTGGCCTCGCCGTCTGGGACGAGGATGGGACGGCCTGCCAATCGTAGACAGTGTCAGCTGGATCTGGCCACACCACAGGACCGCTGCTACTCACCTTGGTCTTCTGATACGTCCGGCCGACGTCGTCGTTCTCGTCGTTCACCGTCATGTGCTCAAAGCGAGCTTCCAGCGTGCGGGCAGCCATTCTGGGGCCGGTGGAGGGCGCTTGTGGGAGCGGACAGCAGAACGGACACAGCTTGGGGGGCGAGGTCGATCGTCGCGAGGATGAGGGCACAAGGAGAACAAGGACCGGTTGCGAGTGTGGCGTCTGTTGCTGGGCTATTCGTTTTTCCAACATTTATTGGGCCGGCGAGCTCCACCGTATTTACGTCTGCTGGCCTTTTGTTGGCAGGACGACGGTGGTGTGGCGGTGTGGCAGTGTGGCAGTGTGGCAGTGTGGCGGCAGCTGTGCACCCCGCCTTAGTCAGCATGAAGCTGTAAAGCTCACTTTGGTCTCGATCCTACTAGATGTGCGCAGTAAGAGCTCTTGAGTTTCATTGATCTCTGCTTGTCTGTTTGGCGGTCTGTCCATTGGATCTGCCATCTCGTCGCTATCTGTTTTTCTGCACTCTCTGCACCTTGCACTCTCTGGCCCTTCTCCTTGGTTCATCTCGCCCACCGGCTTCATGCACGACGTGACGGACGTGGACGAGCCATTCCTCGTGGCCGGTTCGGCCGACGATGTGGCGCGCGCCACGCGCACACATGTGCAGGGCCACTGGCGCATCAGCGTGCGCAAGCTGCCGATCTCGCGGGCGGCAGCGATCGATGCACTGACGGCGCACATCGGCATTCCGATCCCGGAGATGATCTTTGGCGACAACGAGGTGGCGCTGTGCCACGTGCCAACGGGCTGGACGATACGGTTCTGCGCAGCCGACGCGCTCGATGCCGTCGACAAGACCGGCCGCGACCGCCTGCAGGTGGCCCACGCCGGCGACTGGGCGCGCAGCCGCGAGACGAGCGCAGCGGCCGGCATCGCCGACGTGCGGCCGTACGACTGGAGCTACTCGACCACGTATACCGGGACAGAGGGGTGGGAGGACAAAACAGACGGAACAGACGGACAGCCACAACCACCCAAACCGCACCTCTCGCCCTCTTCGGCTGCTCTCCCTCTCGACCTCCTCCGGCGCCGTGACCCGATCGTCTTCCACGACGACGTCATCCTCTACGAGAGCGAGCTCGACGACAATGGCATCTCCGTGCTGCGTGTCAAGATCCGCGTCATGCCACAACGGCTCCTCCTGCTGTGCCGCCTCTATATGCGGCTGGATCACGTGATCGTCCGTGTCCGCGATACCCGCGTCTACGTCGACTTTGCTTCGGATCGCGTCCTGCGCGAATACACCGCCCGCGAGGCCCCCTTTGCCGCCGTCCAGCAGAGCCTCGCCCTGCGTGGCCTGCGGCCCGATGCCGTCGTTGTCGCCATGCGCGATGCCGACCGCGTCGCCGACCTGCTGCCCGTCGTCCACCACAGCATGGAAGAGGTCGACCTCGGCCAGGCTGCTCTCAACGGAGACTCGTTCGGGCCACCCGAGCATTCTGGGACTGCATAAAACCTGTCTGCAAGCCTCGCACATACAGACAGCAACGGGCTTCTCTCCCCGAAATAAAAATCATGCATTGCTACCTCTGCCTCTGCTGAAGAGAAATCTCAATACAGTAAACAGTCGTGGGATCCGGTCAGGACTAAAAAGGATCCAAGAAAACAAGGCTGCCACCGCTCCACATCGTCTTCCAAACACAAACACCCTCTTCTGGTATCTTACCAGCTCTTGCTAGCGAGCTCCCACCGGCGACGACGACCGTGAGACGCTCTCAAACTCGAGCGTCCACCGGTCGACCTCCTTAAACTTCTTGGCTGCCTTTTCCAACTCCTCGCCAAAATGCCGGGGTGTCTGCTGCTGCTTCACGATCGTCTGAGCGTCCTCGTCCTCGTCCTCGTTCTCGTTCCCGTTCTCGTTCCCGTCTTCGCCCTCGTTCTCAAACGCGTTGTCGGGCAGCGGGCTCAACGTGCTGCCGTCTGCCTCTTGGTTCTCCTTGTCCGAGAAGCTGCGCGACCCGTACGTCCGCTTGACCGCCTTCTTCGCCGAGCTGGCTGCAGTCCGTCGGTTCGTCGATGTCGTCGCTGTCATGGCCTTTGCCCTTGTCGATGCTGCTGGCGTCTGCTGAGCAGCGCTCCGGCCCCGTCGAGGCCGGTGTCTGGCCGGGCCGTGGGCCAGCTCGTCGTCGTCCTCGCTCAGGAGGGCTGACCGGTCCAGCTCTCCAGCCTCGTCCTCGCCGTCGTCTGATGCTGACGCCTGCCACCGGCCTCCACGGACCCGACGCCGTCGCTGCGGCAGGAGAGCCGTCAGGGCCTCTGTCGTCAGTGGTTGCACCGTCTCTGCCTGCGCTGCCTTTCCTCTCGCCCGTGCCTGTCGGTAGTTGGGAGAGTGCGTCAGCGACGGCGGCGACGAGATGTCCGATCCGTCTTCGTGGCCGTCGTCGTCGTCGTCAACCACGAGTTCGGGCAGGTGGCGATGTGCTGATGCCGCTGCTGCCGACTTGATGTTGCCGCGGCGAGAACCGTTTGCCAGGCCGCGCAGCGATGGCCACAATGTCGGGCTCGCAGACGACGACCCACTGCTTGCTGGCGGCGCCATGATCTCCGGATCGACCTCTACGGGCGTCGAGTACCGCTCGCGCTCAGCTGCTGACCTGCTGATCTGTGATGGCGGTGTCGATGGCGGCAGCGACGATGCCATCTCGACAGACGGCAGAACGTCTGCTGTTGCTGATGCTGCCGTTGCTGCTGCCACTCGCTCGGAGACCCGTCTCTTGGGAAGCTCGTCTTCGCGATGGCCTTCCTGCGACTTGCGTTTTCTCGCCATCGACGTTGTTGCCGTTGCCGCTCCCTTCGTTCTGGTCGGTCTGTCTCGGATCCGCGTCATCAACACCGACGTTGTGTTGGCCGTGGCTGTGGCCAGCGACAGCGACGACGAGTCCTGCACCACATGGGCCACTGTCGCCCGCGCAGACGTGAACGGCCCGGCATCGTCGAGCTCGCTGGCCGACGTCTCGCCGCCCCTGTCCGTGTCACGGTCCCGACTGGCCTGCCGCGACGTGTCTCGTCGCCGCCGGCCCAGGATGCTGGGCTCGCGGGCCCGTCGTCGGAACGTGCCCAGGCTGAAGGCTGAGCTGATGCTGGGCGTGGCTGGCCCGCGGCTGCTGGGCCGAATCGGTGCATCGTCGCGGCTGTGCACGCTTGACTGCCGCGGCCGACCGCGACGGAAGAGGCCGACGTTGAATGACGACGCCGTGGTGTCGACCGCGGCTGCTGCGGCCGGTGAAGACGAGCCGAGGCTGTCCAGGTCGCCAAGGTCGTCGAGATCTCCTAAATCTCCCAGATCGCTGAGCCCGTGGTCAAAGACGTCGTCGTCGAGAATGTCGATGCCCGACTCGTCGGGCCCTCGCGTCCGCCGCGATGATGACACTGCTGCTGCTGCCGTCGCCGCTGTCGGACGCCGCTGTTTCTGCACCGATGCAGGTCTCCGGCTCTCCTCGGCTTCTGTGCTGGACATGCTGCCGCTGTTCGCCGTCACCGCCACCTGTCGCCGAGACGCCTGCCGCTTGACCTCGCGGTCGCTGACGCCGTAGAGGTCACTGCCGACACTGGGCTCCCGCACCGCCTCGCTCCGGCGGGTGCGCCGTCGGCTCTCTCCATCGTCCTGTGTCGCTTGTGTCGTCGTTGGCTTCTTCGACGCCGTTGTGGGCGCTGCTGCCGGTGCTGCTGTCGTCTGTGACGCGGCCGCGCGCGTCCTCCTCGCTGGCCGAGGCATTGCTGCTCGTGAGGAGTGTTTGTCCGTGTGGTGAGGGTGTACGTGTAAATAGGGTGCGCTTGTCGTGGCTGATGCTATCGCTTGTATGTATTGCGATGACTGAGAATAAACGTAGAATATATAAAATTACGCAACTTCGTTGCTGGGGGTCAGATCACGGCTACGGAGGAAAGAGCGTTGCGGGACATGACAAAAATCGGCGGGTTCTGGACGCGAGAAGCCCATTTCGCGCGTCGACGCGCCCGCCCCACATACAAGCCCACACAAACCTGCGCACAGGCCACAATGTGAATAATTGACGGTTTTCTGGAGATCACTCTGCTTTCTGCTTCGTCTTAAAGACCTCGTCTGCCGGGTACGAGGGCCCAGAAGCCTCCTCCTGCGGTTGTGCAGCGTCATTTCAGACCTCCACAAACCGTGTTCTTGCTATCTCGTAGCCCAAACCGCGTTCTTGGTATATACATTGATTCATGTACCAGCAAACCAACTCGCGCTTTTTCCCGTTGCCTGATGCACTATGCTGAGCGTAAACTCTCCCCATCATTGTATCGGGAAATGCAAGGAAGGACCCGCTACTCCGTAGGGCTTCGTGGAGACGCAGAGACAAAAGTCCACAGCGGTGTCGTTGACAAAGCAGACTTATGACGTCAGCATTTTAGTCTCAGAACATCCTCTTGGTCCTTGAGACAGCTGTGAGCCAGTTGCCCACTCCAGCAAACACGACTAGCAAACACATCCCATGGCTACCAACATCCTGTCTGCCTCCTGTCGCCAGAGCCTGCTCGGCCGGACAGCCCGACTCGGCCAGCAGACCCGACAGCTTCAACTCGTGCCCGGCACCGCTTATCGTCGAATGGCCTCGGAAGCAACCCCGGCTTTTCGTGCATCAAAATCGGCCTCGTCGTCGGCACGGAACCGGCACTTTTACGCCATGGCTGCCGCCTTCCCGCTGGCAATCTTCTCCCTGGATAGCCGTCCAGCCGGGCTCTCTCTCGTCCCCGAAGCATCCCAAGAAGCGCAGCGTCCCTCGCCCGGATACCATCTGCCGCTGAATGCGCAACTCGCCACCCAGATCTCCAAAGGCAGCCTCTCCGGCTTTCTGGCCGGCCTCCTGGTCAGCATCTTCTCTCGGAGTCTTGTGCTCCTCTTGGGTGTCGCCATCAGCTTGCAGGTATGTTTCTGCCATGCCAATAGCCAATGTCTGCTTGCATGTGCTGATAAATCGACGACAGAGCGTGGCTGCAAAGCTCGGCGTTGACCTTGTCCACACGCTGAAGCTCAAGGAGCGCGCAAACTCTTCCAAGATCCTGACTGCTCTCTCCAGAAACACGGCCTTTAAGCTCTCGTTTGGCATTGCCTTTACGTTGGCAGCTTTCGCACACTTCTAGGACGAATATTGTAGAGAATCGCTAATCGGACTGCTTTTCGGCCATGACAGAAAAGCTACATTGGGCAATCGCATTGAATGGCAGAGGTAGAGAAGGGCGCAGAATATACATGGAAACAGGGCTTGACTAAGCCAATGCGTGCTCCAGTGCGGTAAGCAGTGTAGACCTACTTCATCGCCGAACAGAAGTCTGGATAGCAACTCTCAGTGTCCATACCATACATTACGATGTGCACATGTTCTATTTCACGAATTCTATAAAATTCTACGCCCAACACCCAACTGGCCTTCTCGTTCTGTGCTCAAAGTGGCTGCGTCTCCTTCATCAACCATGCCAATGCCCGTTCGTCGTCCTGGAGGAGCCCTTGTGTCTTCTTCACGATCTCGGCATGGTGGTCGTTGAGCCATTTCTTCTCCTGCTCAGTGAGCAGCGTTGCGTCGATCAGGCTCCGGGCGTACGGCACCATTGTGACGTGCTCGAATCCAAGGTACGGCTTGTCCCCAAACGAGTGCGTCGTTTCCACCTCCTTGACAATGACCATGTTCTCGATACGAATGCCATATGATCCGTCCTCGTAGAAGCCCGGCTCTATCGACGTGACGTTGCCACTCGCCAATGCCACATCGGCATACTGCTTTCTGGTGCCAATGCCAATTGGTCCTTCATGCACATTCAGGTACGAGCCGACGCCATGACCGGTTCCGTGACGGTAGTCAAGGCCCTCTTTCTGTAAAAGTATAGCGTTCAATGTCAGACACTAAAACCAGTATCCTGTGAAATGATGTAACGGTGGACGTACCCAGAGAAACTGCCGTGCAAGTGCATCCAGCGCAAATCCAGTTGTGCCCTTGGGAAAGATAGCCACGTCGAGCGCAATGTTTCCCTTCAGCACAAGCGTGTACGCCTTCTTCTCGGCAGCAGTCGGTGTGCCAAAGTGAAGCGTGCGTGTGGTGTCCGTCGTCCCGTCCAGATACTGCGCACCCGAATCACACAGGTAGATCGCCTTTGGATCGATAATCGAACAGCTCCCCCGCTCAGGCTGATAGTGGATGACAGCAGCACTATACACGTTAGCAAAACTTCAACGGATCGGGAATTCCCAACTCGAGGTGAGCCCATACTTTGGTCCGGTAGACGAAATCGTCGTAAACGACAGGCCGACGAAGCGCTCTTGTTTTGACCGCAGTTCCTCCAGCTTGTCGGATGCTGTCACTTCGTCCAGCTCCACTCCACTCTGGAGCTGTTCTTCCAACCAGGCAAAGTATGCAATCAGCGCAGATCCATCGCGGATGTGGCACTGGCGCATACCCTCGAGCTCAGTATCGTTTTTGATCGCCTTGGCGTCGCCGATCGGACTCCGGACTTCCTCCACAGATTTTTCTCCTCCGAGCGCCAGATTCAAAGCCCATGACGCGGAGCTGGAAAGAAGGAACTTCTTCGGTCGTACCGATACGGTGCCGGCAGCCTCCGTCGCGGTCGCTGCTGCTGTTGCGAGCTCGGTGGCATCGGAAAAGATGGCGCTGTACGGCTTCACCGTCACCTTGTTTTCGGCGAGATAGCTTCGGCTCTCGGCCGTGAGCTTGGACTCGTCGACATACAGCAGCGCATTATCAGCCGTCACGATGGCATATGAGAAAAAGACCGGGTTGTAGGGAATATCGTTGCCACGCAGGTTGAACAGCCAGGCCACTTCGTCGAGCATGGACACCACAAATCCGGCAGCGCTGGTCTTTGCAAACTCTTTCCGCAAATCTGCCAGCTTGGCGCTGATGCTTCTGCCAGCATAGCTCCCCGCCAGCTGCACGATCGGCTCGGCCGGCCGTGGCGGCTGGTCGACGCCCCAGATGGCATCAACGAGGTTGGCAGAGATGGCTTTGAGGCCGCCGCCGCCGCTCTTCTTGATCTTGTCGGCGAGCTTCTTGGCCGCTGCGTTCGATATCAGCGTCGGGTCAACTCCCACGACCTTTCCACCCGCAGCCTCAGTCACAGTCCATTCCTGCCATGTGGGCACTTCCAGGATGCCTTGCTTCAGGAGCAGCCAGTTGCTGTCGAGCTGCTTGGAGGCCTGGTTGAAGTAGCGACCGTCTGTGGCCAGCGCAGCCTTGCTGAGCGTGACGATGGCACAGCCTGCCGAACCGCTGAAGCCGCTGATAAACTGCCGCCGACCGTCGCAAGGCGCAATGTACTCGGATGAGTGGGCATCTTCCGACGGGACGACTGCAAAAAGGCGGTGTCAGAACACTACATACAGGACAGATGGGTCAGGAATCTGCGAACTGTATATATCAATGTGGTGCTCGTTCATCAAGGTCCGCAACGCCTCGAGGCGTGCGCTCGTGTCGATCGTCTCAATCATGTCGTTTGCCGCGGTGTCACCGTGGGCTTGGTTGTAGCTCCGGCGGTGGTGTCTGACAATCCGACGATTGGAAGCCGCAGTCAGACCAGCAGCAAAGACTCGCGGGCGGCCTGATAAGTATGCAGCGCGTGACAGTGGCGACTGGACAGCACACGTGGAGAGGGCCTGGCTCTGAGAACCGGCCAGAAAGAGTCGAGCAGCTGCTGCAGGTTGGGCGCGAGAGGCGGCAAAGAAGCGCGGCAATAGTCCTGGGCCAGAGGAGGACGGGATGAACATGAGGTCGCTGGCTCAGAGGTATTGGCTGCTTGCGGAATTTATAGCACCTCGAGAAAATTGAAAGGGAAGGAGGAGACCTGTCGCCGTAACCCTCCTCCTAGCTAGGCTGATTTTGAGCTGCCCCACCGAGAGCTATAGCAGACACATCGCAAGAGCAGATACCTAATTCGGGAGGTGGGGTGGTTTCAGGCACGGCCAGCTTCGGCCTAAGAGCGACCTGCTTCCCAGTACGCCAGGCTTCTTTCGGCAGCTGTGAGGACTTGAGTAGGATGCGGCTTTTAGGCAATGACAAAATTGTCTGACAGGGACATTTCTGAAAACGGGTTCACCTGTCTTTCCACCTTGCTGTTGCACATGTCAATATGAGTCCCACAAAGCATGTTCAGTCTTCGTCCTGTACGGTGTGTACTCATTTCCGTGTAATACCGGTTTAAGTAATCAAATTGATGCTATGAGCGAGTCAGACATCCTCAAAGCTCCAACATCTGATGTAATCTACATTTGAATCGCCGAGCAAGAACAAGCTACGTGTCAGATCTCTAGAAACTATCGAACACAACTCCACAAACACTTGCATTTGCTCCTGCAATAGCACGATGTACGTACAGCCTTGCAACCCATCACGTGAAATTTATGCAGTAACGATGGTGGGGTTGAAGCAAAAGCGGTGAAAATTAAGCCGCCTAAACGCAAGCCGGCAACAAAAATATTGACGACTACCATTGCTAGCAAATACCCTCCACCACCACCTGTGCTACAGAGCGCAGCAAGCTCGTAGTACTGGACTAAAAGGGGGCTGGGATAACGGGGGACAACTGTTTACAGAGCGTCAAGAAGAGTTTCATTAATCTCACAAAACTGTGAACCAACCATTGTGTTCTGCTCGACCGGTCTAGTCGCCCAGTGTTCCATTCTTCTCTCATACGGTTCTCGCCCGACAGCACCGCCCCGAGGCGCATTACCATCTCACTGTCTTCTGATAAGACAAGCCTCTCTTGCAAATATCCTAGCCTGGCTCATAAAGTGGACAGAACAGCCGTACTGTTTATAGTGCCGGATCTCAGCGACATGCTCCAGCATCGGCCATGGATCAACAACCTCCATTGCCGACCTCGCTTGGCGAGGTAGAATCAGTAAGTAGGCCAAGCCTTCTCACTATGGACATCAAGCCCGAGTATAGGCTACCCCCGAGGCTTGAGGAAGACCTGAGAAGAAAGCTTGAGGGAATCGACTTTGCTCTGTTCTGACAACGGCTGCCGCCTTGCGCGCTTTGCTTCGTGTTATGTAGTTGATTTTGGCTCTTTACGATCCGCATACCCCACATACCACTATCTCAACGATTCAGGAAACCTTGCAACGCATCCAGAAATCCCCCGAGGGATGGCAGCTCGCCCAAGCCCTGCTGGACCGGCCAATCAAATCCACAACGGACGACCAGGTCAAGTTCTTTGGAGCTCTGACCATCATTATCAAACTCAACACAGAGAGGTGCGTTCTCAAACTGCTCGCTGTTATTTGTAGGAAATTTGGCCTAGAGCCCCCGTATCTGACCGTATGCCAGTTCCAATCTAGCTGACGATGATGCTCGCGAGTTGCTGCAAAACCTTATTCGATGGCTGATTGACTCTGCCGGTAATGGAGCAGGCATATTATCGACCCAAAAGCTTTGTCATGCCCTTGTGACTCTTTTTATTCACTTTGCATCTCTTTGGCCGAACGCTGTTCGGCATCTGGTCCTGTGCCTGCGAACTGGCTCCAACATACCGCCTAATGACCTTAGTCATGTACCAAATATTTCGGAATTTGCAAGCGGCCTAGACTGGCGCTTTCTGCGAGTGGCCCTATGGTTCATAAATACACTGGTGACTGATGTTGGTAGGACTGATATGCGGGTAGCTAAATTGTGAGTCTGGCCTTGATTGTGCACCTCGTAGAGGCCGAATCGCTCTGATGTCCTCAATTCTAACCGATCTCAGCTCAGCTGTTCACAGCCAGCTCCTACAAAATGCAGCCGACGTATCTGCGCTTTTGCACGCCGGTCTCACTTCGCAAATCTCAGAACCACACCGGACGTCTGACCTTCGACGAGAGAGTATAAAAAGTCTCCAGGTGAGTGAGTCGTGTGTATGTAAGGCCATCACTGTCGTGTTAACATCATATCCAGTCGTGGGTGCTGTATGCCCAGCGGTTGCCACAGGGTGGTGAAGTCCTCGTTGTACCTCTTCGTGCTTTGGTCGGTCCGGTGATCTCGTGTCTTGAGAATGAGGAGCTGTATGAGGCAGCTATCGAGCTTCTTATCGACATTCTTTCAAACTATTCTTCATTCTTTACCGGCGAGCACTATGAGGCCATTGTCTCTATCTTCGAGAGCCCGTGGGGCGAACAGCGTCTTCACCAGCTCGTCGGAGGCGATTTCGACTTTGAACCCCTTCAATATGGTTTACTTCTCCTTGCCTATGGCGACGCAAGAGTGCAGACTCTCTTGCAAAGTCCGGACGAGCGATCACAAAAAACATTGTCAGCGTTGTGCTTGCTGTTAACGGCAGCGGGACATCCTGTAGCTGAGGATCTGATATTCGTTCCGGCTCTTGAGTTCTGGTCGACCTTCATTGAGACGTTGATCGACACTATGTACTCTGACGAGGACGGGCACAAGCCCTGGCTCCAACCAGCTCTGTCATTTGTCATGCAGGTTGTGAGCCATTGCTGGGAGAAGATACAATACCCGCCGATCAAGGCATTTATGAGCTGGGATGCGTCTGACAGGGCCGGATTCAAGGATGCGAGAAAGGACGTTGCCGACTTGTTGCAAACAGTATTCGCTGTGGCTGGCCGCGACCTCTTGATGCATTTCTCAGATCTGCTCTTGAGGTCGATTTCAGAGAAGGCATGGTCGCACATAGAGGCAGCCGCTTTTTGCCTAGCAGCGATGTCAGACTGCATCTCAGACGACAGCGGCTATGATGAGCTTCTCAGCAGAATCTTTTCGTCGCCATTGTTTAATCTGCTAGAGCTTGGAGAATCTCAGCTGTCTGTTCGGCTACGCCAGACAGCCCTGACTCTAATCGAGCGCTACTCCGAGTACTTTGAGCGCCACTCGGACAATCTCCCGGCAGCATTGAATCTACTTTTTGAGGCAGTATCAACGGCGTCTCTCACGGCTCAAGCGTCAAAGTCCATATCGACACTCTGCTCGTCATGCCGTGCACTTCTTACCCCCGAGGCTGGCGCATTTCTCCAACAATATCAGCTGCTCCATGATAACCCGCAGCTGGATGCTCTCGCCGAAGAGAGAATTGTCAATGCAATAGCTGCTATCATTCAAGCAACGACCGACGAGGAGACCAGACTCGGATTGTTTGAACAGCTGCTGACTTTTGTCGTTCGTGACGTCGAGCAGTGCCTGCAGTTGAAGTCTGGTGATGGCAATTCTCTGGATGTTGAAAGCCCTCTTGTGGCTAAGGCGGCAAGGCAATTTCAGCAGCAACAATCACAGGAAAACCAGACTGTGCCGTCTGTTGATGATGTTCTACTGCAGGCCGTGCTGATTTCACTGCGGTGCCTAGCTGCTATGGCACGTGGCTTCCAGTCAACCACTGAGGCTGTGGATTTAGATGCCGATGATACAACAAACAGCCGAGAGGCATCTGCCTCAGGGAACTCTCGTCTGTTTAGCCTGCAGACAAACATCATGGCGATGATGGCTGCCGTACAGACCGCCTTTCCCAGAAGTGGCGAGGTAGTGGAAGTGGTTTGCAGCATCCTCAAAGCGGGCTTCTCTGAGACAGAGTCTGGCCCGTTTGTCTTCCCACCCGCGATGGTCACGGAGTTTCTTATACGGCAAAATTCGCAGACCCCATACATTGGTTCCATCGTCAATACGTCGTACTCGTTTGTCAGTTCTCTGCACAAGAGTTCCGACCATGAGGCTATGCTGAAAAGCCTGGGGTCTTTGATTCCTTGGGCAATTGGACTTTTGCAAATGCTTCCAGGTATTTTCAACTAAATCTTCCATTTTTGACCGGGCACTGTCGCTGGACTGGACTGACATAGCGACCAGAGCCCGATGTAGATACGGAGCTCACACAGAGGGGAATTGAGTTTATCGACCGTGTGCTTCGGAAGAGTCCGGCCATTGTGTTGCAATTGCAGCCAACATCACTGTTAGAGTTCTTCTTCATGTTCACCCTGAAGGTCCTCGATAGCCGTGAGCCCTTGCCAAAGGCGGCCTCCGCTGATTTCTGGGTAAGCAATAAAAATCTGTCGAGCAGAAATTTGATGTAAGTAGCTGACGAATGCTCTTTTTGTCCTTGCACAGACATCGTTTATTACTCTGAAACCAGAGGATACAAACCTACAGGCCGCTGTTGGAAATGCCCTAGAGCACCTGGGTCCATTGGTGGCACAGTCGTTGATGCAGAACATCGGCGGCAATGCATCTCGGAGCGAGCTGGATAAACTTAGCGAGCCGCTTAAGAAGCTTGTTGTTCAGCACCCTCGGGCGTCGACGTGGCTCGAACAGGCATTGATGAGCCCCTCATTTCCTAGTGACCGCGTCACGGCTGCGGAAAAGGCATTTTTCTTGAAAAAGATCATCAGGTGAGTCTGGGAAGAAGGCTCGGCAGTTCGAATGGGAGAGATCGGAGCTAACACATTTTTCGACATCAGTCTTCGAGGGTCTCGCCAAACAAACAACGTTGTAAGAGAGTTTTGGGTGGCAGCTAGAGGATCCAGTTTTGCCTATGTGTCCTGAGCTGTATTTCGCTCTGCTTCTGCCTGCGCTTTTCATTTCATGAGGATGTGTGTTGAACTATGCTCTTTCCGATCTATTTGTTGCTGTGGTGTCGTGATATCGAAATCATGTTCTGAGAATTGCATTGGAAAAAGAGAGCAAGTCGTTTTCATGGGCCGTGCAACAAGCCTGAAAAGGAAGTCCAGAGACTAGTTTTCCGGCACCTTTCCTTTTTCTGAAAATATAGTACATATAGATGAAATATATATAAATTGTAGACAGCTACAAACGTGGTGCCCGGAGGCTTCCACTGTAGTCAGATCACAAACCAACAGCCGCCCGCACAGCTTCCATGGTCTCTTGCGCATTTGCCTGGGCTTTCTTAGCACCATGGGCCGCCACGCGGTCCAAATAGGCCCCCGCGTCCCGCTCGAGGGCATCAACAAAGCGTTCCCGAATACCAGCGAGACGGCGCACCACGGCATTAGCTGTACGTTCTTTAAGGACCCGCAGCGGTTTACCATCGAGCTCGGATGCGATGGCTGCAGCCAGGGCCGAGACTTCCTGTTGAGAATCAGCGGATGCCCCGTCGCCCTCTCCCACTCCCACCAGCGCCAGAAGCTCCAGGAGATTGGCGACACCCGGCCGGCCGGCCGGATCATAGGATACGGCGTTTGTCGAGTCGGTCAGGGCGGCCATGATCTTGGCCTTTATGGTCTCGGCCGTATCAGTCAGAAGAATTCGGGAGCGGGGATCTGCGTGCGACTTGGACATCTTGAAGGTCGGCTGCTGGAGCGACATGACACGACGTGCAGGGGCTGGACACGGTCAGCGAAGATGCAGAAAGACGACACAAGCAGGAGAAAAACCGGTGGCATTGTTACATAGAAGGGTGGTCGGTGCCACGAGAAGAGGACCATGGGTGTGGTTGAAGTTGGTGGCACACTCGCGAGCAAACTCGAGATGCTGGGCCTGGTCCTCGCCGACAGGAACATGTGTGGCGCGGTGGACGAGCACATCGGCAGCCTGTAGGACTGGGTAGGAGAAGAGTCCGAGCTTGAGTCCGGCACGGGCTTTTTCATCGGCGAACGACACGTTGTCCTTTAGTTGGAGCTTGCTCTGTAACGGCGGGTTAGAAGCAACCTAAGACGGGAGGAAATGGTATGAGAGCTCACCTTCCACTGGGTCATCCGTGAGAGGTATCCGACAGACGCCGTGCAGCTAAGAAGCCACATGAGTTCCGAATGGGCCGCCACGGAGGACTGATAAAACAGTACGCATCGTTCCGGGTCGAGACCGATCGCCAACAAGGCCGCCAGCATCTCGCGACGACGTTGGCGAAGGGCGTCGCCGCCCCCGGTACTTGCGGTCGTCGTAAGCGCGTGTAGGTCTACCACAGAGTAGTAAAGCTTGGTAGCATTGTCGCCGACGCCAGCAGCATCCTGCAGCCGCACCCATTGCTGTAGAGCGCCGAGATAATTGCCGAGATGTGGCACACCGGTCGGCTGGATGCCGGAGAAGATTACGGCTCCGCCCTGAATCGGTGCCTCAGGAGGGGGCCGTGACTGTTCTAGTCTTCTGTTCTCCTCGGAAAAGCAGCGCTGACATGTCCAAGGAAGCAGTAATGGTGGTCGTGTAGGCGGCAATCTAAGACGGCCGGCTGGAACAGCTCCTAGCAGAGAGCGATTGTACCACATCGCATCTGTGGAGGTAAATGGCGAATAGGAGACGGTTGGACAGAAGTGTGTTATGATGACATGAGGAAAACGGATTGAACAAGATTGGTATAAATGGCAGCTGGGAGAAGAATTGGCATGAGTGAAATTGCCTGATGCCATCTACTCTAATTTTGGTGAACAATTTCGACTTTTTTGCTAGGTTGCGATTGCCGAATTGAGCCGCATGGCAATACCATCAAATGAGCGACGCTCTCTCCTACAATAGCCAAGCAGCCCGGCGAAACACATAGACCCCTATTGATGATGACAACAAACACAACATTTATGGTGTGCAATATTGGCAGCTTCCGTCTTCACTACATTGCACAAGCTAAAATAGCAAAGAAGTTGCTTGCAGTCATATACGTATGTATCGAACAGGATTCTCGTTAATATACACCTAAATATCCAGTCAATGTCGTCCTTCTTTGACTTCTTTGAAGCTCGTTTCTGATCACCGGCCACCAGTGACCTTTACGCGCTCCGAAGCCAGGAGCTCCTTGAGCTGCTGGACTGTTGCTGCATCGGGCTCCCCCGCACTGGCCAGGACCTCCTCCATCTTGGCTGTGATCCTGCTCTCACCCAATTGATCCCACCGCGACTCCATCAGGCCTTCCATATCCTCCGCCAGCTTGTCCATCTGCTTGCCCACGTCTGTGCCATCACTGTCAGCTTCTGGTGGCCGAGACGGCGTACGGAGATACGTCCCAAGAGGACTGGAAATAGTTTACCTAGCTTGCTGTACTCCCACACATTGGCCTTCATCCCCACACCAGAGTAGGCGTTCTTCTGGAGAAAGGCCAGCCACAGCTGCACTGTCTCCGGGTGGCCGTCGCGGATTTGAATCAGCCGGCGCACCGTGATACGCTCGAAATTCTCCTGTGACTTCTTGAAGATGAAGTGCGACTTGGGGACCGTCCACCGCTCTGTGATCCGCGGCAACGGTACAGGCCCAAACGCTGGCAGACCGAGGTAGTATGCAGCCCGCATAGCAAAGTCTGAGAAGAACTCTAGGCTGCGCTTGCTGTACGATCGCAGCTGCAGGTCGGCCGAGGGAACACCGTACTCGCATTCGCGGCGGAGCGGCCGGAGGTAGAGCGCCTGGACAGCACGCGGCATGCGGGGTTCGGCGCTGGCGTTATCGGTGGCATAGATACTAGAGAGACGGACGAAGTCAGCCGGTGGGCTTCTCTCTTGGGAATGGCGCAAAGATCCGGATGTGGGCTGACTTACCCGACCTTCTGTACCTGCTGCAAGCCCGTGGAGGCTCTATAAACAATAAGGTCTCATCAATTTCGAGCCCTTGAATATTCCTTTCGCTAGCATTGCATACGAGCCGGACAAGTCTTACAAGGAGCTATTCGACCGGCTGGATGCAGGTAGCATTGCTTGCTGCCACACACATCTCGTCGGCTGTAGAGCCTCTCGTCAGCAACCGCCCTCGTGACCAACTCCTTCCGGATATATCGGGATCTCACTTATAACATACATTGGCCGCCAAGCGGAGGGACCGTATTAATGAAGGAGCATTCATCTTTGTCGACTTGGAAGGCACGCTGTTCACTTCAATGCACATCCAGCACAGATTTGAAGATTTTTGGCGCGTTCACCGATAAGAACCTGCCGTTATCGGAAAGTTACCCACAGTGCATTACCACAGTGTTATAACGTAAAAAGTCTAGCTATTACTCCGTAGATGTACGGAGTACGGAGTAGGATACCAACGTTAAGTTGCTAGTGGTAGCGACGTTTTGCGGTAGTGACAGTTTGGACTTTCATGAATTATTGGTTTCGGAAAATTTCAAATCAATTTACTTTTCATACGCACAGCCATTCCAAGGCAAAACCACGCAACTATGTTGTCCTCTTACCTGGGCCTCCCATTGCTGTCAAGTTTTGTCAGGTAGCCACGCCTCTTTTTGAACTCGGACTCGTGCACGCGAACCGCAACAGCACCGCTTGCCGCCCGTAAATTTTGTGCTTCTGGTCATGGTTTAAAATTAACAAGAAACTCATTGACCGAATAAGTGTGGTCGTGGCGCCAAGCCAAGTGTGCACCTGTCTGTTCCTGACCACCTGGCAGCTCTTACAGCTGACACCGGCTTCCACGACGCCAGTGATCCGATCCAGCACATAAGATGCTACCGTAGCCATGTAATGAAGCACGCGATTTCCCAGTCCAAACGTGTTGCGGATAACATTCAGTAGGAGTAGTAGGCGGCGAAGACGGGCCGGCGACAGTATAGCAGCCTTGGCGAAGCACGAGAGCAGCGTAACACATAGGCAGGGGCATGACTGCACGCACGCGAAGCAGTAGCGCTGTGAGGTAGATAAATCCAGGTGGCTGCCGAACGCACCGCACCGGACACATTCATAAGCGCAGAGCGCCCCGTATAGCTTGTATAAGGCGATACAGGCCGCGATACCGGTGCGCAGCATGCCAACAGGGCCTGCAGGGCATGGGTTGTAATGCCGCGAAACGCAGGCAGACCCGCCACAACACCGTGGACTGTCCGATTGACCTGGCGAAACCGGAACGATGTTCCTAGATTCAAGTAGAGGCATAGACTGGCAAGATCTCCACAGGTAGGACACCGAGACAGGCCAGCGAGCTAAGAGCGGTGCCCGGTAGCTGAAAAGGCTGGGAAAGCAGCGATAAGAAGGCGCCCTGTTCGTGGGGCGCGGTCCGGATTACGGCTAGGTCGTAGTCGTCGCGGTGGTAGGCCGTAACGCGAAGAAAGCCTTGTCGTTCGTCCAGCATGTCGGTAGTATGTTGGTGGATGAGGCGCGAGGCGAGTTGGGTAATTATACTTGTCCTAACCGCCTGTAGTCCGTTCTCATCGGTAATTCTTTTGGGTGTCAAAGGAGAGACATCAGGGGCATAGCCCAGAAGGTCTGATATGGATCCATGCGATGCACTGTGAAAAGAATGAGGCCCCAAAAGCAGGAGAGACATTAGTTATTGCTGGGCTCTACTTTCTGATTAGCATAAGCTCCTAGGTTAAAAGTCTCCATGCTCCAAAGCGACGACTTTCTAGTCCTCCATAGCAGGCTTTCTTGGTTTGGGTGTAATCTCCGCATGAAGCTCTTCTTATTTATTATATGGTTGTTTCGAACTATACTATAAATCGGTATACTCCAACCAACAGATCCCTGACCTGTGACAGGGTGTACATCGCCGCAATCCAAGCTATTTCGGCCTTGGAGCGGGATGGCCTACTTCTGTGTCTGAAAGCATTGCTTCTGCTGCCGTAGGTGGCAGCTACTAGATGCAGAGGTGCCTGAAGCGGCTGGCTGGAGTCCTCTCCCTAGCATGAGCGTCGGCTAGACTGCAAAGCCAATGTGTTTGGGCTGGCATGCCACTAATGCAGATGTACTGCTGGCTTGGCCATTGTAGTTTTAGTTGCAACTGCGCATGTCCCTGGAAGATGTTCTTCATCCGTAGAACAAAGTCCAAGCTCGGCGCTCCTGACAACGTTCAAGGGCGGCGCCGACGCTGACCGACCAGCTTCTTGTAGAAAGCTTTCTTGCCACTTTGTTTCCGCTCCTGGATCTTGTCGTACCGTTTCCTGAAGCTGTCCTTGGACGTATGTGAAGCCAACACTTCTTGACTGATGGTTTGCTTCCTTTCTTTCCGTGTCAGACGAGCTCCCTTGCCTTCCATGGAGCCCTCGACAATGGTACCAAAGGCAGAGAATTTTGGGAACATATCTCTGCGCGTGTCTTTACGGAAATGGTGCTTCGTATCTATGACACCACGCATACGGAGAACCTGAAAGTCTCTCTTGGTTTCCGGAGTGAGTATAGTTTTGGGAAGACCAAACCAGTCTGGACCGGCGTCGTCCGCGGCATCCTATGGTTTGAACTGTCAGTTTCGATGCCACTCTGAATCAACATCAAGACAGGAAGAATGTGCCAGCCAGGAACAACAATCAGAGTAACTATGATATTATGAAATCATGCTTGTGCAGGTGAATCTCCCATGACGGGTTATCTCGCTGCCTCAATAAAAAAATGGGATAATTTTCATCACTTGTAGTTCTAGGGCAATAGGGCACAGGTAGGGGGTAGGGAGTTGTATGTACCTTCTCTTTCTTCTTCTTGGGCTCAGGCACACGAACGGCCACGTCGTCAGTCTTGGTTGGCTTGACGTCTTTGGTGGCCTCGGGAGTGATGCTGCCCGCGGGCGTTTTCGCCAGCAGTTGCGCAGTGATCTTCTGGCCTGGCCGTCGAGTTGAACCGGCAGATTTAGAAGCCAACCGCTCTTCCGCCTCTCGGAGGAGCGTGTCAATCTGCTCCTCGCTCAGATTGGACACTTCAGTAGCCATGGTTGGTGACCTGTCTGTGTGGAAAGAGAGGAAGATTTTCGGCGCCCAGTTTTTTTTTAAAGAAAATATCAAAGCTCTGAAAAATTGGTACTATACTAATCCCAAAGTGGGTCACCGCCTTTCACTCCACGTGTTTCAGGCACAAAGCGCATTGTTGCACAACGAACCCAAAAATGCGTGTATGCATGTATCCGTAATCCGCCAAGGCGCAGCGAAGGAGGCCACCACATGCCGAGTTGGGCGCGAGAGCCATACATAGGCATGCCGCTGATGCCCAACCAGCCATTCATATTTCACTGACCGCTCTCTTGCGAAAGGCAGGACTCAACAGAAATCCATCCTATTCCTCCCCACCCCATTGTGAATTCAGATGCTTCGATCGTGTTCTTGAATTATATTTTTGTCCTCTGGAAGCAAAGAGTATAGATAAGAACGAGAGACAGGTGAGCAAAGCAGCTGTCATCGTACTCGTGGAGACCGAGCCTCGTCTTCTGTTGCGGGATTTAAAGATATTAATAGAGGCAAGATAGAAAAGTCATAGAAGAAAGGACCAAAGCATTGCAGGTAAGTCGTCGGGCTTTTTTTTTGATCTACATCCTTGCGATATACATGTATCCCATATCCATCCTATCTCAGCATCCCGACTGGTTCGTCCAAGCAGCGATGCGACGGTCCGTTGAAAGGCCCCAATCGACTGGGCGACAGAGCCGAGCGGCTCCATTCATTTGTGGGCTGGGCCAGAGTTATCAGGCAATCAAATCTCAGAAAAGAGTTTCGGCAAGGGACGAGACGGAGGCGAGCGCCGGCATTTTCACTATTTTGGTGAAGATAGAGTTGGAAGGGTCTCCAACGATCTCATTCGCCCAATCCAGGCCCTGATTTATCCTGCTGGCCAATCATCCATTCCGCCAATCACGACGTTTACAGGACAATAAGGACAGAAGAGGAGGGGCGTGACTGAGCCTCGGACTCGGCTGTGGGTTACGCCAACAGACGAAACAGCTGCGGCGACTGCGGAAAGATGAGGCCAGCCACGCTTAATTAGGCATCGCGAAGTAAACAAACGACCACCGCGCTTGACCGCGGCTCTGCAGCTGCTGACGGACGCACCAGCCCCTCTGGAAGACGGCAGTGCTTGTCCTTTCGTATTCGTTTCTTCCCTTTTGTTCCTTTTTGGCTTGCACTTTCAGTTATTATTTCCTACTGTGTTGCTTTTGCTTTATCCGGCCTTACGTGTTGCTTACTCCGCTTTCGATCGCGACCAGGGACCACCCAAACGCGCAAACGTACCGAAACTGTACCCGATCTACTACTTTGCTCTTCTACAACCCTTTGTTCCGCGTCTCCTGTTGTCGCAAAAGAACTTGCTGAGTACTCCGTACTGTGAGTGGATATTCCTCGCTCTTTCGCCGAGACATCACCAGCCCACTCGTCCGCCCCACCAATTCGCATCCCCGCGACAAGCCGCTGTATACTAACCACCATGAACCTTCAACGTTAGACTTTTTCCGCCCATTCAAGCCTCAACCGCCATCATGGACCCCCACAATCCACCTGCGAACCAGGGACAGCAGCAGAATCGCCCACAGCCTGTTTATGACGTATCTCGCGGCGGCCATTATGGTGAGCTCCAGCTTCAAAGTCTCGCATTGTTCGGCATCACGCGACCGGACTGCTAACCTGCATTGCATCTACACAGGCGCCAGTGCGGCGGTTCGTCTTCCTCTTCTCGGACGACCCTGAACAGCTCTTTACGTGCTGGATTGCTAATACGCGAGACAGCTTTCGCAGCAGGGCTACGCCCCGTCAGAGCTCTACACGGGCCCTTGGGCAAATGTGCGTCCCCCACCCGACACTCGCTACCGCGAGACTGTTCGATGCGAGACATGCACTAACCAGCCTGGCTGCTTCAGGTACACCAAGGACTCACAGGATCGTACAAGGACATCCTGACGACGTACTGGCAGCAGACGATCACCCACCTCGAGAGCGACAACCATGACTACAAGCTGCACCAGCTTCCCCTCGCGCGTATAAAGAAGGTTATGAAGGCCGACCCAGAGGTTAAGATGATCTCGGCCGAGGCACCAATCTTGTTCGCCAAGGGCTGTGACATCTTCATCACTGAGCTCACGATGCGCGCATGGATACACGCTGAGGAGAACAAGCGCCGCACCCTGCAGCGGTCCGACATTGCGTCCGCCCTGGCCAAGTCCGACATGTTCGACTTCCTTATCGACATTGTTCCGCGCGAGGAAGCCGCCAGCCATGCGAAGCGCGGACCAGGCAATGCACCCGGCACCGTTGCTGGACCCGGTGGCGGTCCTGGTAGCGCAGATGCTGCCGCCGCAGCGGCAGCTGCAGCTGCAGCTGCAGCAGCACAGCAGGGAGTTCCGCCTGGAGCTTCGGCGGCCGGCCATCCTCTGGCTGACTACTCTATGGCGTCGCAGAACCTCGGCGGCGAAGCCGACTATCGACAGGCACCGAATATGTACCCGGTGCAGGGCCAGCCGGGTGCAGCTCCCGGATACGGTCAGCCACAGGGGCCGATATATGGCGAAATGGACCCAAGCATCTACAGTGGCTACACGATGCAGCCTCAACAGGTCGGTGATACAGTTATCCCGTGACAGGGTCCCGTGCGTGAAGGACCAGTCAGACTGACCCGTTTCGATTAAACAGAGCTCTTAAAAGTATGCAACAACATTGCGAGTACCCTTTTTTGCCAGTCGGCGTAGGCGGCTCGTCTGACTGAAAAACAAGCATCGGGATCACCATATTGAGGGATCGGCTACGATCCGGAAAGGGCTTATAAGCGGTATGGAATTTGCGGGCGTGACACGGGAGCAGACAGCTGGGAACCTGAAGGGATGGTGGCAACACCGTTGCTCTTTTGATCTGTTGTAAATGCTATATCCTTTTGCTTTTGTTGGTTTTGTATTGCAAACCGGAGAGTATGACGGGGTGGACGCCTACGCAATCGAAGTCACCGGCACCTTTTGCATTCTTTCCTACGTTAGGAGTATTCTATCACTTTATTTTATCGGTCCAATGATGCTATCACTCAACGAGGAATTCTGGTTGGGGCTATTTCCGTATCTGTGAGATATATAGCAACTAGTTGATAAAGCTTCCAGCTTTCTCTTTGCATTATCACTGGTGTTCCCTGTCACGGCACACAGAGGCCAAATTTCTAAACAAGATAAACTTGACTAAGGTGAGACTCTGCCTCGTACTGACACAGAAGACAGGTTATTCGGTAATCTGTTTATTATGTCGTTACATATGTGTGTATACAAAAGAGAAAGAAACCCTCAGACTGTTTAAAACGCTTGATCCCTCCCAAATAAACACGTCGTTTCGTTTCCAAGACATGGTAACAAAGGCGAATGCATACAAGTACACGTTCAGCTACCGCCGACCGAATCGGGACGAGAAGTTTGCCAGTCCCTGGGCTGCCTGGGCTGCCCGATTCGGGCCTTCTACCGTGTGTGTCAGCCTGTTTGGTTGGTTAGCAGGGACAAATATGGAAGTAGGACAAAAGCATATGTACAATGGCGACGCACTTTTCTAGTAAGATCGCCCCATTTTGGGCATTGACTCTCCCGTACTTCCGGTTTCGTGTTGTGATATCGTAAAACTCGTCTGTGTTGTCGGTCTGCATCAGGGCTACCGTCTGCTGCAGCTCGTCTAGGTTTTGTTCCAGCATAAAAGCATTCTCCAGGCTGCCGACAAATTCTGTCAGGGACTGGACATCGTTCGCCATAGCAGCTACACCGTTGGGGTTGATGTGTTTGACGTCGGGTGAGAGTGGGAGGTTCAAGATCTTGTCCGCGGCATGGCTGAGGGCATCGAAATAAATCAACTCCTTGATTTCCCGTGGCAGGCTGAGCAGCGTTGAGTTCATGATGTTCGAGAGGTAGCGCGTCAGGGTCTGGATATAACCGCTGGGCTCTGTCTGCGCCGTATGGGCCATCCTGCATTTTGTATTAGTCATACAGATACATTTAGTCATCGAGTGAGGGAGGTCTGCAGCACATACCAGTCGTACTCGGCTGTATCCACGAGATCGTCAATCTTGGAGTTCACCAACTCAAAGATACGTTTCTCGGCCGTCTTCTTATTGCTGCGGAACTGCTCTGTCGCTGTTAAGGTGGCAGGCCCGCCGGCTGAAGTGGATGACCGTGCTCGAATCAGCAACTGCTCGAGCTCCTGGCAAGCCGTCTCGAAGTGCTCCAAATTGATGAGAATTTGCACGATCTGGCCCAGGTATTGCGAGCTCAGACGCTCTACAAGAGACTGGCAGATTTTCTCATTTAAGAGTACATCCAGTGACTGTGAAGGTTAGCGAACAGCTGACATAATTGGAGGGGGCGAGTGGCTCTAACCTTGCGAAGCGTGTCGTCGATAATACTCGCATGCTGAAAGTGGTCATCAGAGAAAAAGTAGAATTGGTTGAGGAAATTCCGAATGTCGATGCAGCATAGAGGATACATCTGCGAGAAGGGCAAGACGCAGGGAAACGTCAACTCCGACAAGGGCTTGTCCTGCGTAAACCAGCTGACATTGACGACCTTCTCATACTCCTCCAAGGAGTTGATCGTCATGGGCATGTAATCATCCGTGGACACGATCTCCTGGAAGTCCTCGCTAAAACGCCGCTTCAGCAGCTCGGCATACTTGTCAAACAGCTTCAGCAAGAAGTTGTCCAGCATGGTGATGGAGTAATCCCAGCCTTCCATGGTCTGTATGAACAGGGCAATCATGCCCTTGACCTTGAGGAGCACCTCGGCATTGCCCACGTCCTTGAGAGCCTTCGCGATCAGGCTGATGGCCGTCTGGCACATGGAATCCCACAGCTCGTCCACATCGACAGACGACCGCAGCTGCGGAAGGCGCCGCATAGTTGCCTTTTCGATGATGGCAAAGCCCGAAATGCCCTCGAGCAGGCTGCTCAGCGAGGAGTCGGCGTCGTCGTTTTCCAGGTTCACCGATGACGGCATCAGGAGATCCTTCTGCTGGCGCCGAGTGGCTGCGTAGTCGGCACGGAACCGGTCGCTCTTGCCAAGGGCCTCATGGATGTGAAGAGCCTCGAACAAGGGCGTAAAGTCCACCCGTACCTCCTCGTTATCCAGCACATCAAACTCCTCGCTCTCGTCAAAGACCAGCTCGATTGCCGAGTTGAGCCTGAAGTGCTTCAGGAACTCGTTCTGCTCCACGCGCTCCCTCATGCGGGTTCTCCGGGTATCGGTGTGGTAAAAGGCAACCTCGCCCAGGAACTGCGACGTCTCACGGACACGGAACAGCCAGGTGTTCAGGTCGTTCATGACGGCCTCTGAGATGGTCTTTTGCGATGCCGGGATCGACTTCTGGATCAGGTCTGCCAGCTGATGTTGCGTGGCATACTTGTTCTGGATGATCGGCACCAGGTGCTCGTTCTGCAGGTCCTCCAACGACTTGAGCGCCCCATAGTATTTCTTCTTGCGAACCAGCTCGTGTGCATTGTTCACAGCGTGCAGGATCTTGAGTGATTCGTTTAGGGCGTCCGACACATCGGCAATATTCTGTCGCACCCCCCGCGTGTCGACTAAGTTCTGTTTCTGCTTGGCCAGCTTCTCCGTGCTCGCCTGGATGGACTGGTTTAGCTCCAGGATCTCGGCCGTCAGAGCCACCGTGCCCTCCCGCACTTTCTGCAGCTGGTTCACGGATCCGAGGAATTCTTCATGTTTGGTGAGCCCGATGTTCTCGATTTCGGATTCTCTGTCGTCCACGTATTGTGCAAGGCTCTGGTTCAGACCTGCTGTCCGGTTGTTGACAGTCGCATCTTTAAGAACGGGAATCAGTTGGTCGACAAAGTCGGAGTCTGACGTAGCCAGAATAATCTGCCCGAAGAGTCACATTAGCCTAGGTTACGCGGGAAGACGGGGGCTCATCCGTTCAGCGGTGTCCTCGTCAGCAGTACCTCACGCACGGCAGTGCCGTAGTCGTCGTATACCGGTGGCCGGCGCGGCATTTTGATGTAGATAACTGGATGAGAACGAAAGGAGAGTAAAAGCTCTCGATCCGGGCCGCGTCTAACAATTTCGGGAGGGTTCCATCCGCTGCAAGTACAGTTTCAGTTTCAGAGCTGGCAAAACGATAGGAAGCAGATGGAAGTCCCGCAAGTAGCAAGAGAGAGTAAAGTGGAGAAGAATCGCGAATCGTCAAGCCAACTTCTTAAACAGCTTCGAAGCTCCGCGATGCTCTGCGTCGCATCCCGGTTTAGTGGGGCTATATCACGTGACCAGAACCGTTCAACATCCCGCGAAGCATGACCGCTTCAATGAATTACGCTTCCTTCTTGTCTGTATTATTTAATTATTGCACATGAACTGGGAGCTCAAGGTCACTAAATAGTATGCTATAAATATTTAATGCGCTGGAAGTATTCAAGTGCTTTCATAGTATCTTTCTAGATAGGCTTACAAGTATCTATACTTTTGAGGTATAGACCACTGAATACCGGCATCTATGCTGAAGCCAGATTTTTTATCTTGGCGGTCCCATGTATAGCTGACTACATGGTTTAATGTGGTATGAAATCTAGGATGGAAATTGGCCTGTGTGAAGGCTGTGTATATTTTGCTATTACAATCTTTCATCTTGGTACGCTACACAAACAGTTCTTTCACTTCTGAACGACTTTAAAGGGTGAATGCATATGGCAGATAAAAATAAATCATATCGAAATGCGACTCTGTTATACAGCTTTATTCAAACAGACACAGGCCTAGGCAAACGTTCAAAAGACGCACTTCTCTCTCCCTAGTTGGCCGCAATCAGGCAACAGGAACGACCTTTGAAAACCACACAGCAGACTTGCCTTCCTTGCCTGATAAAACTGCCCTGAATCAAGGCCATAACACAGGGCTTTTGGCGTATTGAGCTTCTCGGTCCAGCTTCGGTGCAACCTGCATCGCGTGCTGCTGGGCTCTTTCCCAGTTTGTCCATATGCTCGGCCTTGCTGGTGGCTCCTTCCTCACTGGCCGCTGTCCCTCCTTCATTTTTTTTCTTGCTGCTGTCTCGTGCCTCGTCTTAGGTGATTTACATGTTTTCTTGTGAGCTCCCCTCCTCCTATCCCTCCGTTCCTCTTTCCCTCGCTCTCTTTCATTCTCCCACGCGGAAGATTCTCACCACTTATTCCATCCTCCTTCCTCTCTGCAAGAGAACATCGTGAGCGGCGTGAACCTTCCTTCCGTGGATATTTTGCCTTTTGTTTGCTCATTCAATCAAGTATCTTACAGAAGTGCTAGGTAAGACAGTCATGTTGCGCTCTATTTACTGTCTGTTTATTTATTTTTCATTCATTGAAAACTTATTTTCTTGCTTTATGCTTCTCCTCTAAAGCGCCCTTCTTTTCCAGCCTCCCTGCTGTACTGTTTATTTTTATGCTTCCATGCCGCTTTCTCCTATCCATGACACAGTTTTTCGATGCTCTCTTCGCGCGTCCCGATCACTTCCAATAACGCAGCGATACCCCTTCTTCCTACACTGCGTCCCAGCAGATCCTCATTTGCTTATATATTATTTCTTATATTCTCAAATACTCAACTCGCCGCTTGATCCTACACGCCTTCCTACCTCCATCTCGCTACGTTGTCGCTTGCGCATCATTCTCACGTTATCATCAGAATCCTAATGGAAAAGTAGGAAGAAATTCTCTGTTAGCATCGCTGCCTGAACTATGTCTCAGTTCCGGGACCAAGGCTTCCAGCAGACGTCACCATCTTCGTATACGGGAGTTGGCATCGACGTTGGCAACATCGGAAGCACACCAAACTCACGTACGATCGGGTACTCGCCAGGATCCAACTCGGTAAAGTCCGCTTCGAAGCCGAACCAGACCCCTGACCGTGACGGATCTGATGGCCAGCACTCCATCTTTTCCCCGACGGTTCAAGGAAGCGGTGGTGGCTTCCGCACAACGGGAATCCCCGTTGACAGAGACCCTTTTGTGACGCCATCTTCAAAAACGAAGACGCACGGCCAACGGCTGTCTGCCACAGCATCGTCATTTCGTCCATTTTATGACGAGCCGTCGGACGGGTCCGAAAGCAACCGATCTCGTGCCGGGGATGATTTTGACAACGAGCGTAATCAAGCCGCTGATAACATATCCCCGGCCCTCAGCACTGAACTGATGCTCTCCCGTTGCATTGAACTTTCGGCCTCGACGTCTGTGACAAGCGCTGATGCTGAGGCCTATTTGGCGGTATGTGGTTTATTTTCTCATCTTCGTCACAAGTCCGCTAAAACTCCCCAGAAACTGGCTTCACTTGGTTCCCCTTGCCAGGGACATAGGCAAATTTTCATCAAGAATTCTAAGGCCTACATTCGGTTCACTAACATCAGGGATGCTTGCGTCACCCACCGCAATATCCATCTGTGTGGTCCTGAATGGATTGCAAACTTCATGTCTCCTCCGAGTTTTGCACAGGTACACCCCGTTTTGTCCCTATCGCATGTTCTCCTAAGCTCACTGAACCTTGCAGATTATTGCACCGGGTGAAAACATAGCTGCAAATCACGAGGGACAGCTGGATCTACTTGCGGTTCTCCTCCACAATGCTCCTATGGGATTACCCCAGGTTGAGCCTGTTGTGTTCAAGCTACTTAGATCTGAGGGAGACCTCTTTGCATTCCGGAAGCATCACCGCTCTGAGGATGGGGCCTTGAAGGCCGTCATCGAGTACTCGGACATCAACGTTGCACTCAATGTAGCGGGAAAATTAAATGGAATCACAGTCGATGTATGTTTTCCTTTCGCTGTATACAACACTTTTGCGATAAAGTTAACCATTTGCAGGGACTTCATCTTCGTATCGATTTCTACCAGGCAGAAGGTCATGCTGGCCGGGCAGTCCCACTCAACGAAGGAATTACAACGCCCATGCCGACCCCCATGCGCTATCCTCCAGATGAGAATATGGGGTTTCAAACCCAAGCTATGGGATCGTTTCACAAACCGCAACAGCCAGGGAACAATGGACTTCTTCCTGTTCGGCATCAGGTAACCCCCCCTGCTTCTGGTATGGGCGGCCCTCCCCAAGTGGCACTGGTTCCCATGGTGCTTCGAAACCCATACACACCTGGTACGCCGCTTATTCTTGATCCATATGGTCCGCATGGACACAATATGACACCAATGCCCGGTGGAACTCCTTTGGTTTTTCCCCCTGGCGCTCCAGTCTCCACGATCATGGGACATCATGGATACGACAGGTCTTCGACTGTGGCTAGTCGCTATAACAATCGTCGTGGTGGGGCGCTGCGCATAGACAGGAACCTGCACTACAACCCAAATGGTCATCACAACCAAGTTGATATCAACCGCATCCGGGAGGGTGTTGATGTTCGCACCACTGTAGGCGGAGATCTATCCTTTCCGTTTAAAGCTCTGACATATTGAGATTCTGACATGTAGGAAGATCATGTTGCGCAACATTCCCAACAAGGTTGATCAACGGATGCTAAAGGCCATTGTTGACGAGTCCAGCTGGGGCAAGTACGATTTTATGTATTTGCGAATTGATTTTGCCAATGACTGCAAGTGAGTTTTACCTTGAGGCAGATCCAGTAAAACTTGCAATGATGTGTATGCTAATGTCACTGAAGTGTGGGATACGCTTTCATCAATTTTGCAGACGTGAGTTGCTAGAGCCTCTGGTCTTTCAGACTTGATGTACGACTTTGCTAACATCTTACAATGCAGCCTTTGGATATTATCGACGTATGTTGTCTATGGACTCGAGAACCTCCCTGCACAGTTTGTGATCTCAAGTTGCTAAAAAAACAACGATAGTTTGCCAAAGCGCGCGACAATCAAAGATGGTTTGTTCCCCGCTCACTTGCTTTCTTGGTGCAGGCTGCTCACATCTACTAGGAACTGTTTTCGCAGCGACAAGGTTGCCGAGATTTCTTATGCTAGTATGTGTTGCTCTACTTTTATGCGGTGTTACCATGATGCTGACGGCGCCATTAGCGATTCAAGGTAGAGACTGCCTGGTGCAGAAGTTTCGGAACAGCTCGGTCATGCTTGAGGCTCCTCACTACCGTCCTAAAGTATGCTGCCCACTTGTCGCTCCTTAGTACTATACCGAAGACTAATATCTGACTTGAAAAGCTGTACTACACAGTTAATGGGACGAACCCCGACATGGCCGGCCAAGAGGAAGAATTTCCTGGGCCAGACAATCCATCCAAGATGAAGCGAAGCTGTGAAAATGCAGAGCACGTTGGTGAGTTGCATAACAGGGGCTTGGTTTTTCCGGACATAAAGCACGCATACAATGCTGACTGCCCAGGCCTCTTTACGCCACATCTCAGTCAGTACTATCGCGACGAGCAACGCCGGCGGCGTTCTCAGTACGACCGGGGAACCAGAATGGCAGCTCTCGAGGAGTATGACTATGAGGCGACGCTTCAGCGGATGTATATGCCGCACTGATCGGCACACTTTTGCTCATTGGATTACGGCCATTTCAAGCGACCGTGAAGTGTTCGAAGATAGTTCTGTATCGCGTCTTGTTCCACCTGATCCACCTGCTTGCATGTTTGATTGTTTGATTGTTTGATTGTTTTGATTGTTTTGATTGTTTTGATTGTTTGATTGGTTTGATTGTTTGATTGTTTGATTGTTTGATTGTTTGACTGTTTGTATGTTCCGTTCGACCTCTGAGGGATATTTTCAGGGCACGACGACTGTAATTCTGGGGCGATGGTGTCTCAGCAGTCCGGCTTCAGTGTTGCGAGTTTGGAGACCGTGGACAGAGACATTGCCTTTGAAGACTCCTTGAACTGCGATGCAAGAGCGCGAGACGAACCCATCCCGGCTCTCATTATCCGTCTTTTTCATTGTTTCTCCTGTTTTGTTTTCCCATTTACGTTTCACATGTGTCTTTTCAGAGTGACAAGAAGAGGGGTTGGGCCAGGCCATGTATGCAACTGAAGGGCTTTGCGTCTTGTGTAGTAGTAACCAGGCGGACGGAGGGCAGTAATACTGGATGGAGACCCAAGGCCAAATCAAAGTGTATCTAGTTACGCTTAGCAGCATCTTTTTTCGTGGTATACTGGTCGGTGTGGGGTGAAGCTGCCAGTTTTCAGCAAGTCAGGCAAGAATACGTTTACCAGATTGTGTCCGGTGTCGTAGCAGGAGTAGTCATATACATCATTATCCATTAATTACATAAGCTGTCATATACTCTCACAAGCTGCACGTGCGCTAGCTTTCTAGCAAAGACGGCGATAGCCTTCGCCCAGCAGTCTGGCTGTCTGTTTCAGCGCTGCCTACCCGGACAGAGTCGTCGTTCTGCGAGGTCATTCGTGGAGGTGTGAGAAGACCAGCTTCTGTGTCTAGTCGGCCGGTGTTGCTGCCGGGTCGAGTCGGGGTAGCGACCGAGCGGCTGCCTTGCTGGCCGTCGTAGATTTGCGTGTGTGTTGTGGCAGTCTCCGCGGCGAGGTCAAGGAGTGAGACGGCAGAAGCAGCCGGGAGGTTGTCTGGCGGGTGGCAGTCGGGCTCAGGCTCAGGGGAGGGCATGGTCATGGAGACGGGCGAAGTAGGGGTGGTCGGGGTGAGCGGCAGGATCTTGTCGGTGTTTGCAGGCAGTCTGGACGCGGTGACGGGACCAACAGTGCGAGCGGCTCCGGGCGGTGGAGGCGGCGGGGAAGAGGCGGGGGAGTTGGCACCGGAGAGATAGGCGGAGCTGTAGGCGGAGTAGAGGCCGGGGCTGCGCAGGCTGTCGCGGAAATAGCGCAGGTTCCGGCGCAGGCCGACGGAGTAGGGTGGTGACGTCGGTGCGGACTCGGGCTGCGGTGGCGGACGAACGCCGGAAGAAGAGGTGGTGCGAGCAGGAAAGAGGTTCTGGTCGAAGAGCGGGTTGCTGCCGGCGATGGCCGGAATGCCGGCGACGGCGGCCAGGCCGCGCGAGAAGATGACCAGGGCCAGACAGCAGAGCAGCAGGACGGACTGCAGGATGGCCATGCGCTTCTGGAAGACGACCTCGTCGGCCAGCACGTTGAGGCGGTCGCTCAGCGCCACGGTCTCGCGTTGGTTCTGTTCGCGCTGGGTCTCGAGGGCCAGCACGGTCGACTGCCAGATCTGGTCGTACTGCTGACGCATCTGGCTCAGCTCCGAGAGGACGGTCCGGTTGAGCGTGTAGAGGAAGCCGTCCACCCGCGTGATCTGCTTGCGCTCCATCTTGCGCAGCGTCTCTTGCAGGAAGCGCGACTGGTCCTCAATGTACTGCAGTGACAACGATGTGTTGGACTCGAGCAGCTGCAGCCGCTTCGTGACTGACTTGAAGAAGCTCTCCTGCACCGTCGGCGAGCCTCCAGGCAGCGGTGCGCCTGCCCCAGAGCCAGATCCAAAGTTGGGCTTAGCATCGGCATGGATGCCGGTGGTAACGGCTGTCGTGACCGACCCACTCAACACCGACGGCTGATTGGTGGACGCGCCTGCCGAGATGGGTGTGTCGCCAGGTGTCGACAGCTGCGACGATATGGACCAGGACACGTGCTGGTTTGGGTTCGGGATGGAGGCTGCCCACGCCAGAGACTCGTTGGTGCCGCTGTCGTCGGACAGTGTCGATCGGGGCGCTCGCGCCAGCTGTGCCTCGGTGTGTGTGGGTGTGTGGGCGGAAGATGGCGAGTGGTAGGACGAGGACGGATTCTCGGCCGCGGCGCCGGCAGCCGTGGTGGAGGCTGAGGCTGTCTTGCCGCCGGAAACGGCTGCTGCTGCCGTCTCGGCCTGCGAGAGCGACCCGTTGTTGGCTCCGGGGGGAGACGGCTTGGGACACGTCGGGAAGGCGAACAGCTGCTCGTGCAAGGCGATGGGACGCCAGGACGTGCAGCCGGTCCCGTTGGGCTTGTTGCTGACAGCAAAGTCACATGACTTTTGTTGCTCGTGTTGCCTGTGTTGCTGCTTCTCCTGCTGTTTCTCGTGTTGCTTGTGCTGCTGTTCCTGCTGCTCTGCTGGTTGCTCTCTGTGCCCCCTCTGCTCCTTGGGACTGTCCTTGGCGAAGTCGTCCTCGTCCTCGTCCTCGTCGTGCCCGTTCTCAATCTCCTTCCACGAGTCCAACATGCGGGTGCCGTGCACGCGCAGCAGCGAGATGGGGCAGTAGTACTCGTTGCCGTAGTGAGAGAGGAAGTCGATGCGGATGTAGCGGGCCCAGATCTGCGGGTTCTCGATCAGGAACGGCTGGATGCCGCGCAGGTTGCGGGCCTCGTACTCGCCCAGCGTGCGCCAGCGGTCGGCCTTGGCTGGGTAGCGGTCGCTGACGCTGACGCGGAACCGCCGCACCATGCTGCTGAAAAACTCAAAGTTGGCCAGCACGACCGTGTCGACGAGGATGTCGTCGCTCAGCTCCACGATCACGCTCTTGTCCGCCGCATTGCACTCCAGCAGCATGTACGAGTCCTTGTTCTCCACCAGGATCGACTTGGCATTCTTGGCCCCCTTGCTCGTCTTCAGCACCGTCGCTCCGGCGTCAAACGACGCGAACGAGAACCGCTCTTTGCCTGTCTTGCCGGCATCCTTGCTGCGGTAGTTGTGTGCCGCCGCCGCTGCTGCCGCCTCGTCTGCCGATAGCCGCGATCCGTCGCTGCTACCACTGCTGCTGCTGCTGCTGCTGCTGCCCGACCCAGACGTCATCCCATGGCCGTCCGCCTGGTGCTGTCGTTCACGTCCGGGCGCCTCGGCCGCCGCAGAGTCTGCCATCTCCGTCACCTTCTCGTTGAGCACGTCAAAGTCTAGCGAGATCTCTCCGTCGTCCCCGATGCTGTCAATGTCCGCATGGCTGCTGCCACCACCGCCGCCCGACCCTCCTCGGCCGTGCTGCCGCCGCCGTGCCTGCAGATCGGCCGGGTCTTGGCCTGCCTTTTGCAGCTGCAGCACCCTCCACTGCTCAAACGACATGAACGTTCCGGTCGCCAGGTCTTGCCCGTCGTCATCGTCGTCGTCGTCGTCGTTGTGGCCGCCCATTCTTGTCTTCACTCCGCTCTCGCCTGCTGTCGTGCTCTCCTTTGCTTCCTGCTGTGCTGTTGCTATCGTTGCGGTCGCGGCTGACGTCGTGGTCTCTGTGGCCGGGACGGATGTCGTCACCACGACCGTCGGAACGGCACGGTCGCTCATGGCCGCTGCTGACGTGGCATTGGCACTCGACCACGCCGTCCGGAGACACTGCTGCGGCAGCGTGTGGGTGATGTAGTTGATCGTCTTGAACTGGCACGTCTCCGGACCCCCCATGGCAGCCGGGGACGGACTGCCGGTGGCGGCTGCCGACCAATATGCCGATGCCGGCTTCATCATCGTCATCGTCGCTGTCGCCGTCACCGCTGCCGCCTCCAGCACCACCGACGGCTGCATCACGGCCGGATCCGATGCCTTTGCCGGCCCAGGATGGCCGAGGCCCAGCAGCCCGACCACGGCGGCCGAGGCGTACAGCATCAAGCCACGGCTAGCCGTCATAGCGCTGTTTTGTCGCTTGGTTACCCCTCCTCTCTCTCTTTCTCTCTCTCGGTCGTATGCTTTCGTATTTCGGATCCGTGATCAACGATAGGCAAGCTGGAGCGTCTGTCGTGGTCGTAACCTGTCCATGACGTGGCAATCCCAGGACAAGTAGGGCAGCGTATCGCATATGGGACCAGAAGAATGCCGCTGCTTGAGCTGTCGTTCTTGGCTAATATGAGTGGATGTTTGTGTGTTCGTGTCGGTGTGGTTGCCCTCCTCCACCCATCCGTCTTTTTTCCTTGGTCGTTAGATAAGAATCGCCAAAAATATATTAGCGCCTGCCTTGTGGAGATTGAGGGGCCATCAGCTGACTACAGCACTGTGATTTCCCACCATTATGCCAAACCCGCATAATTTCCAATAGCAGGGAAAGACATTTCCGGGGTTCACAGCGCTTCTGAAACCGCATCTAGCGCTTGCTAGGGTGCTTGGCCCTCGTAAGAGATTCTCGGACGGAACGAGGCATTGTTTAATTTTGACCGCTCAGGCTAGCGAAGGTAGGTGGGCCAAGTGGTGCAATCCCACTGCAACCAACTGGGTCCCAGGAACATGTCATTATGTTATGCTATTCATTTTAGCGGATAAATTACTCAGTCACAATTATATGCTATAAACCATATGGCTATAGACCCCAATCCCATTCAAGGCTCTATGCCTGCTATGTATCTTACTTCCTCGTATGCAAAATAATATGCAAACTCCCTAGATGCCCATGAAATTCACAATTTATACAAAAAAGCATGCGACATGTCGCTGAGCTGTCCACTATGCATTCACATGTGCCCCTCGTGATTTTCCAGATCACGGACATATCGCACAAACGTCTTCTTATGGGCCTTGTTCATGTCAGCATGTACAAATAAAGACTAGCAGTTGGGCAGGCAGGACACTTACCATGCCGGCATATTGGCCGTCTCGGAGGACGCAGATGTACCGGAGCCCCAGCTTGGCAAAGCACTGGTAGACCAGGTCCATGGGTGACCTGATGTCCAACGCAACAGGGGCCTAGTAAACATCGGTTAGCCTGCGAGCAGTGTAAAGCGAAAAGCAGATGTCCTTCTTACCCGGTCGATGTAGGGCGTGAAGTCGGTCGGATCCACAACCGTCTCTCCATCGTCCGAGTCGTCGATGCTCGGCACATGAGCCATCAAGCACAGGCTAGTCGCCTCGTCCCGCAGGTTGTCCAGGGCAAACTCCAGGTCGGGTGCGGGAATCAGGCCGACGAGAATGCCGTGTCGCACAATGGGCAGTCCACCGTCCATCTCGCCGGCCCGGTGCACAATCTCGAGCTTCTGACGGAGCACGGTGGCCCGCACCAGCGGCGACGACGAGATATCAATAATACGCTCGCGGCGCACACGCGGCACAATGTCGGCCAGGTCCGACGTAAAGATGGGCTTGTGCTTGTTGTTGAGGAAGGGGTACGAGTTCATCTCGGTCAGCAGATCGTAGATCGACAGCGGCTCGATCGCGTCGGCCGTCCACTTGGCTACCAGAATGGCCAGCGAGAACGGCAGGACGTAATCCAGGCTACCCGTAATCTCAAATAGGATGACAGCCAGCGTCACCGATAGCCGGGTGACGCCACACATGGTCGCCCCGGCCGCGACCAGTCCGTACACGCCCGGCTGGATGCAGCCCGTCCCGCCTGCAGCCGCACAGCTGCTCCAGACCGCCCATGTTGGCGTCTGCAGCACAACCCATTGAACCACGTGACCGACCAGGCGGCCCATGAGGCCTCCCACAACCATGGACGGCACGTAAATGCCGGCGGGGACTTTCTACCGGCTGTTAGCAAATCAAGCACAGGTGACCGACAATCACAGGACGCAAGACGCATGACGTACAATTCCAAACGTGATGATCGTCAGGATTCCCTTAATCAAAAAGGCCCCAAAGAGCTTCATCAAGATGGGCGGGATGTCGTCCTTCTCCGACGGGCAGATGCTGAGGTCGTCCAGGTTGTTGTCGGTGACGTCGCACGGCGCTGCGAGGTTGTAGAGCAGCTTCGTCACGGACAGCTTCGTCAGCACGTTCCAGTAGCTGACGATGCCCGTCACCAGCGCCACCAAAACGACCTCGAGCAGCGGATGGGTCTTGATGAGCGGGATGCCGCGGAATAGCTTGGCCCACAGGCGTGACGCCTTGATGAAGACCGCGCCGGTGACGCCGCCCAGAATGCCGACAGCCACAAAGCTGACCAGCTCAAAGTACTCCCAGTCCATGTCGTAGTCGACCTGGAAGATGACAATCTTGTGCGTGCCGTAGGGGTTTAGGAACTTGAGCGTCAGGGCCGCCGTGATGCAGCAGAAGAAGGTGCGGAAGAGCGTCTTGGCCGGAAAGAAGTAGGCCACCTCCTCGAGACAGAACAGGACGCCGCCCAGCGGAGCGCCAAACGCTACGGCCACGCCCGAGGCAGCCGCTGCCGACAGGATCTCCCGGCGCTTGGCGTCGTTCTGGTCGTACTTGGAGAAGAGTCGACAGGCAATGTTGCCGACACAGGTGGCAATATGCACATAGGGTCCCTCCTTGCCCAGACTGAGGCCTGAGGCCACACTGAGCACGAGGCCGAGAGACTTGACCACAAGTGTCTGGAAGCCGAGGAAGCCATGGAGCACGAAGCCGCTGAGAATGACCCGCACCTCGGCCACACCGCTGCCAGCAGCCGTGTAGTACACCGTGGGGGGAGCCCGGGCAGGCTTGTTGACCGGAGCCGGAGCGTCGTCGATGCCGCCAGAGCTGCCAATCACGACAGTGGCCTCGCCATCTGCACTATGGTCGTCCTCGGTCATGGGAACAGGCTCGGCAGCCAGGTTCTCGTCCAGCGTGGACAGCCGGTACGAAGGTGACACAACCGTCTTGGTGGTGAGGGTTAGCAAGCACGAGGCCGAGGCCAGGATGATGGCGCCGCAGATGTACGCGCCGTACTCGGCCCATTTCTCGACGACGCCGCTGCTGCGCATGACCTCGCCCCATTCACGCCAATTTGTGCATGCGCCATGGGGACAGCATTGCTGCAGCCAAAGCAGTCAGCATATCAGCATACGCACAGACGCTCGCACAACAGGCATCAATGACGCACCTTTTCAGTGTAATACCACGCGGAAGTGCAGTATCCGTACTTGTAGTCAAAGATGACGGCCTCGGTCACGTCAATGGTGTAGGCCATGACGGCCACGAGAAAGCCGACCAGGGCCGAGAGCAGCCAGCCCTGCACGCCGTCGAACAGGACGTAGACGCGTCCCCAGAAATCCTTGCGGCTGCGCAGCGCCTTGACACGGTGCGCGTCGGCGATACTGTCGTGGACCCAGTCGGTCGACGTGAACTGGTCGTACCACACGCGCTCGTCAGACGCGAGCGACGCCTTGGACTCGACCATGGACGAGTCCTGCCGGTCTGTGAGCGCGTGTGCGAGACGCTGGCCCCACGAGCCAGTCCGACTGTGGTGACGCGAGTTGATGCTGCCGCCAAAGCTCTGAGATTGGACGATGAAGGGACGCCGGGCACTGCCATGCGTATATGGCCGAGATCGGACGCCCTGCAGAAGCGATGTGCGCTCATCCGGAGCATCTTCCACCCAGGAGCCGCGCCGGCTGGCCAGATAGCGTCGTGACAGGGTCGGCGACGGCGGCGTAGACGGCAGACGCAGACCGGAGCCGCCAGGCGTGGTGGAGTCACTCGTATTGGCCATGGCGGCTGGGTGTGCTGTTGTGGAATCCGGGCGGTGACAGAAGCACTTTGTACGGAGTACTCGAAATGAGCCGAGCGGCTGGAGGAGCAAGAAGGGGGGCAGCCACGTGAGAATGGTTCATGCAGACAGGCCCCTTGGCACATTCCAGTGACAGGTTCCCCCGTCTCGCGAGCTTATCTCCAGTCTGAAAGGATCTCAATCGTGTCCTTGATTTTCGGTTGTGCGGGTGGGTGACGGCTGAAATGTCTAGGATCGACAACGGGCGGAGAAAGAGCAAATAAGCAGCAGAGAGCAAGAAACACAGAACGGACAGCGCCCGGAAAAGAGAGCGACGGGAAGAGAAAGGCTCGTGGGGATGGTTTAGCAAGAAAAACAGACAAGATGCGCTGATGCTACGTACGAAGTCGGCAGGAACAAGGGTCAGCTCCTATGTACGGCAAGACATAAGACTCCTTTAATAATACAAAACTAACGCTCCTGCCTGCTTTCTGCTCGGAGTGGGGTCGCATCAGCAGACCCGCTGAAACGGACGGGCTAACACGTGTTTGGATAGATGGGAAGTCGTGCTTGAGCACCTGAACGGTCGCCGAACCAATGAAGAGCTGTTCTCGCAGGAACACTATGATGCCGCCCGAAGACGAGGCAGCCTTTGCGGTCGTGAAAAGTCAGCTTGGGAAACTGCATATGCGTTGGCGTGTCTGTGCCAAGGCGCCGCATCTGCGAGACATGAAACATGGATGGCACAGTGCGTATAACTATTACTTTGATACTGTGTCACGGGATACTGACTTTGGCGCCTTTCCTTTTCCATCCAGCTTCATCGGAGCTGTGACCGACCAAGCATCATGGCCTCATCCAGGCATGCGGAGAGGGGCGGCCGGACGGTGCCTTCGTTTGTGGCTTCGGCCGAAGCCCGCGATGATGAGAGGGAGCGGCGGCGGTCTCAGTCTAGACGCGAGGACCGGCACCACCATCACCATCACCGTCACCACCACAGATCGCGTGATGAGCGAGACTTTCCGGGACGGCGTCCCAGTCATCGGGAGGACCGCAAGGAGAAGAGCAGTAGTGGCCGACGAGAGAGAGGCCGCGAGACTCGGCATAGTCGCCCCGAGGGCCATGAAGGCCGAGCCAAAGGAGAGAGCAGCAGAGATGCAGACAGCACGCTCTTCACGGCCGATACGCGCGGCGACCCGCTGATCTGGCAATTTGGTGCCAACGACCGCAGACGAGTCCCCGTCTACTCTCGGTTCCGCGAGGGACGCTCTGTTCTCGGCGCAGAGAGCCGGTTCCGGTTCAGCCACGAAGGTGCACAGGAGTTCTTCTTTGTGGCGCCGCCAACGGATGGCGGCGTGCCCATTCTTCGCGACAAGAGCCACCCGCTGCTGGTCCGGGCTATGGCAGCCAGTGCGGCCAAGGCGCCACGGCCGCCAGCAGGAGGCAGCGCTGATGTCGGCAGCTTTGGATCCGACTTTGTTCCCCTGCGTGCTTCACGCAAGCGGAAGCGCAGCTCTGGCAGCACCGACAACGACAGCGATTCCGGCCAGTTGTCAGACTCGACGTCATCGTCATCCTCGGACATGGACGAAGAGGACGACGACGATGTCGACGATGGCGATGACGATTTTGTGGCGAGCGACGCGGCATCCGAGCAGCTGAAGCATCAGATGGTCGAGCTCTCGCGACGGGTCAAAGAGCAGCCCGGCGACGTGGACGCGTGGCTAGAGCTCGTCGATCTGCAGGACCAGCAGCGTCGTCTGCTGGGCAACTCGGATCTCGCGCTAGGAGGCAGTCGCAGGGCGCCGTCACAGGACGAGATAGCGGGCGTGGCCAAGGTTAAGCTGTCGATGCTGGAATCAGCCCTGAAAGGCACGACGGCGGTGGTAGACCGGGAGCGCCTGCAGCTGGCAGCGATGCGCGAGAGGGCCAAGATGGACACGCCGAAACAGCTGGCCCAGCGATGGCAGGACCTCGCGGCCGACAGTCCAGGTGGCGCCCTCGGATTTGCGCTGTGGAGGGCACGTCTCGACTTTGAGATGACCAGCCTGTCGAGCTTCACCGTGGATGGGCTACGGGCCTTTCTCGAGGCCCGTCTGCGGCATATGGAGGATGAAGCAAAGGCAGTAGCGGCAGCAGACGAAAAGAACAGCATGGATACGCAACTGGTCGAGATCTACGGACAGATGGTGTATGTGTTTTTGCGGGCGACACGCTTCCTCTACGACGCCGGCTTCAGCAATCTGGCCACAGCCGCGTGGCAGGCGCTGCTAGAGAGCACGTTTGCGCGGCCATCCGAGACAACTGCCGACACAGGTCTCGGGGCCTTTTGGGACAGCGAGGTGCGACGGATCGGCGAGGACGGTGCCCAGGGCTGGCGATGCTTTGCAGCCGACGTGACAGCCGGCAAGGACGTCGACAGTCTATTGCCAGACGGTGATGGACAGGTGCAGTTGCAGGTGCTGCCGACCATCGATCTGGACAGGATTGTCGACGGTGAAGACGCGGAAGAGCAGCTGTCAGTCTACAAGGCGTGGGTGACGGTCGAGAGGCAGCGGGCGGCGCTCTCAAGGCTGCCGGCGCGGCTGACCGACGACGTCGATGACGACGGCTACGACGACGTGTTCCGGACCATCGTGTTTGCGGACATGGAGAGCCTGCTATTTACCGTGCCGCTGAGGCTCACACAGTCCCTGCAGCCGCTGCTAGTCGACGCCTTCCTGGTCTTCTGCCAACTGCCGCCGGCCTTTGCGACGAGCAGCTGGATCGAGGCCGCGCGCAACGACCCGTTCCTGGCCATTGTGTATCTGGGATCGGACAGACCGGATGCCGATCTGCTGACAGACGTCGGCGGCCGCAGGCCACCAGATCTTGCCTGTGACGGCAGCCGTGTCGCCGTGTCGGCCGAGCTGCTCTTCGCACAGCCAGAATGGTTCTGCTACCTGCCCGACTGGCTGCGGCAGCCCGATGGCGACAACAGAGCCCCCGTGCCGCCACGATGGGTGGCCAACACGCTGCGACAGCTGGTGCGCTCGTTTGGCGTCGAGAACTTGGCCGCTTACAGCCTAGCGGTCGATGCAGCCGTGCAGCCAGATCACGTGAAAAAGGCCGCACGGGCGCTTCTCAAGCAGTACCGCACAAACACGGCGCTGTACAACGCGTACGCCCTGGCAGAACTGTCGCGCGGTCATGGCGATGTCGCCCGCTCCGTGCTGTCGCCGGCCGTGGCAGCCTCGGCCGCAGCAAGCCCTCCGGACGTGGAGGCTGAGATGACACTACGGCAGACGTGGGCCTGGATGGAGCTCGAAGCCGGACACAAGAATGCAGCCGTGCGCCGTCTTTTGCCAACAGACGCTGTCGAGGCTTCCGACGACAACGACATCCCCATTTCCCCGTCTCAGCTGCTCCGGGCTCGCCGTGCCATGCACACAGAAATGGACTACGGGCTCTCTATGGGTCACATCGACCGGGCTACACTGTTTGCCGAGTCGTCTGTGCTGCTCGAGTTTCTCTGCGCCACCGAAGACAGGCCTACGGCAGCCCGGTCGACGTCTCGCCAGGGAAACCTGGCTGCCGCGCTGACGGCCTCTGCCGCCTTTTCCGACGAGATGCTGGCCCGTGGCCACGGCCAGACGGCCGCTCACGAGCGCCTCTTGCAGTGGACGTCCCGCGTCCTGTATTTCCACGCGAGTCACGGGTACGAAAGACAAACCATTCCTTTTCCTTTCATTCCTTTCTATTTCCTGCCCTGCTGACCACGCTCAGACCATACCGGCCAGCCGAGCTGCAGGCGCCGCTGCGCCGCTTTGTCGAGCTGTTTCCGCGCAACGGCCTCTTCCTGCGGCTGTTTGCCTGGATCGATCCAGCCTCGGCCTCGGGGCTGTCACGGTTGCGGCCCGACGATCCGGTGCGACAGATCCTCGACACCGTCGTGCTGACGCGCGCGCACGACTGTCCCAGCAGCCGGGCGTTTGCCGTTCGCTTCGCAGGCGGCACGTCCGGCGGCCGTGGTGATGCCCACGCTGTGCAGACAGCCTTTGCGCAGGCGCTGGTCCCCCCTGACGGCACCCCGACGGCCTGCCAGGACAGCGCAGCCCTCTGGCAGGCATATGTGCACGTGACGGCTGTGGCAGCGCTCACGGCACGTCGCAGCCGCGGCCGGCTCGACCGCAAGGTGGTGGCCCGGGCCAAAGACGTCTTTTACCGCGCAGTCCGGGGCCCTGTCCCGGGGCCAAGGACGTGCTGCTGCAGGCGTTTGGACCCGCTACCGCACTCGTCGCCACGTCCGCAGCCACGGCCGGCGCGGCCATGACGCCCGCCGAGCTGCGGGCCGTCTTCCATACGATCGTCACAGAGGGATTGCGCGTGCACGTGGACCTGGGCCTCGTCCTGGAGCGGGCCGGTCAGATGGCAGAGCAGAGGAGGGCAGCCGCAGGCAGGGGCCGACAAAACGACACATAGGAGCGGACAGATGTTGGCGTTCTTGTTTTCTAGTTCATTGTTTGTTTACGAAACTACAAAATACATGCAGACATCAGCCTGGGTCGAAACACAGATTACTCATCTCGTCAGTTCCAGATGACTAATACCAAATCTTCAAACTGGACCTCCTTCTATGGTCGTTCTAGGTCGTTCTTCTATCTGTAGCCAACTTCAACTTCCATGCCTTTTTGTCATGTACGGCTGATGGCGTGGCGAGATTTCTCGCTAGGCTGATTGGTTCAAAACCGAAATGCTGCTGCATATAGGGGCTGCATCGGTCCCGTAATGTTCTGTATGCCTGTGTTGCCCGTCAACATTTGAGCGAGCTCGGCATCGAGCATCTCTGCATGTGTCTCGGCAAAGGCGGCGCCGAGCCCGGATTGCTCGAATTCGGAATTGTGCATCGCGCTGTTGTCATTCAAGGAAAGGTCATGGAGACCCTGGTTGCGAGAAAGGCCGGGTCCGGTGTTGTTGAAAAAGTCAATCAGCTGCTCATCGCTTCTTCCGCTGTTCTCCTTCTCCTTCTCACAATCGGGGCAGACTTCGTCGATGCTGCTCTCAAATCTCTTACAAGGCACCGGCGCTCCGGAGTTCTTTTTCCCTTTATGCGTGCTCCTTGGCCGCAAAGCCCGGACAGCCCGGCTGAAGGACAGGGTTGTGCCAGCCCGCGGGTCGAAGCCGGCACTGGCCCCTGGAGCAAGTTTTGTGATTTTCCTGCCTTGGCTGCACCGAAACAACGTGGTCACCTTGTGTCCACACTGGTACTTGTAGGTGACGGACTGACACATTGTCAATGCCTGTTCTAGTCTTTGTTCTTGGGTGTTTGTTTTCTTGAGGCAAGGTAGTGGAGCTTCAAATTTTCGCAGGTAGGAAATCAGGAAAGAAAGTGAAGAAAGTGCAGATGAATGGAAAGAGAACTGCGTTGGAAGGGAATGGAGAGGAGAAGGGGGATACTTATAGGCCACGGCAGTCCTGGAGCGGTGTTGTGTCTTCGTCAGTGCTGCACCCATGATCGTCCAGGTGCTGACAGCATGGCATACATGGAGATAGGTTCGGATTCCAACGACCAGAAATCTCTTTCTGTATTCGAACAGATGTCCTAAGCTTTTTGCTCATATGAAGGAATCTCTACGCGGTTGGCGCTACGAGAAGACGAAGACGTGGCGAAGCAGGTTGACGATCGACAAAGTCCAACATCGGAAAAGACAACACTTGTAATGACTAGCCGTGGCTTAATAAGCAAACATGTGTCATTTATGGATGACTAATACATAAACAACAACCAATACGTCGACCGGCTAGTCCACGAGGATCTTGGCCTCCAGACGGGAGTAGCTGCCGAAGAAGGCGGTGAAGAGCTTGATGCTGTGCTCGACATCGTAGGCCCCGCCGGTCTCGCGGATGCTGTGCATGCTGAGCTGCGGGTTGCCCAGGTCGAGCGTGCGCACGCCAAGCTTGGCCGAGAGCATGGGTCCGATGGTGCTGCCGCAGGACGAGTCGTTGCGGACGACAAAGAGCTGCAGCGGGACGCCGGCCAGCCGGGCGGTCTCCTGCAGCAGCACGATGCCGGGCGAGTTGGTGACATAGCGCTGGTTGGCGTTGATCTTGATCACGGTGCCCTTGTTGATGACCGGGTGGTGGCTGCTCTCGTACTTGGCCGCGTAGTTGGGATGCACCGAGTGCGCCATATCGGCCGACACGAGGAAGGACGTCGAGCAGGTCTGTTCAAAGGCCGTCGACGAGGCCGTCACGGCGCCGCTGTTGCTGCCATCCGCTGCCTCTGCGCTCGGCACCACCGACAGACGGCGCAGCACGGCCGGCAGCAGGTTCGAGTTGGCGCCCTGGGCCGACAGCGAGCCGATCTCTTCGTGGTCGAAGCAGCTGATCAGCCGGATGGCCGGCTCGTCCGCGAGGCTGTCGGGCGCAGCCACCGACCCGATCAGGCCCATCAGGCTGCAGTACGTCATGCCCAGGTTGTCGAGCCGGGCCGAGAAGACAAACTCGTCGTGCAGGCCGCCGAGGCAGGACTTTTGCGTGTCGTACAGCACGAGCTCAAAGTCGGCCACTTGGCCGGGCGCCACACCGGCCTCGCGTGCCACCACGTCGATCAGCACCGGGTGGTGGCGCTCCGTCATGGGCTGCAGCGGCTCGGGCGCCTCTGCGGCCTCATGACCGTCCTCGGAGCCCTCAGGCGTGGCCGTCTTGTTCAGCTCGGCCGAGACGAGCCCGGCAATCGGAAACAGCTCCGTCTCCTTGTTCGGGTTGAACTCAGACGACCGATCCAGGTGGATGGCCAGTGTCGGAATCCGCAGGATCGGCCGCTCGATCTTGACCAGCTTCGGCACGATCGTCCCGTCGCCCGTCCGGACCAGCACACGCCCGGCCACACTCAGGTCACGGTCAAACCAGCTGTGCCAGATGCCCCCGCCGTACGTCTCCACGCCCACCTGCAGGAAGCCGACGCTCGTCTTGCGGCTCACCGGCTTCAGCCGCAGACATGGCGAGTCCGTGTGCGCCCCGATCATCGCCACCGGGTTGCCCGGCTGCCACTTGGCCCCAATCGCAAACGCCACCACCGACGAGCTGTTGCGCGTCAGATAGTACTTGCCGCCCGGCTGCAGCTGGGTCGACCAGTCGTCCCGCTCCTTGATGTGCACAAATCCGGCCTTTTCGAGCCGCGCCACCGCTGACGCAACCGCATGGTAGGCTGCCCACCCGTTAGCCCTCACTCGCTCTGCACGGCCCGCATGCTACTTACGCGACGGCGACTCATTGACAAAGTCAATAAACTCTAGGGCAGACTTGGGCGGAGCCATGGTCGGACAGGACGCCGAGAAGAATCGGCGGTGGGGGAGAACGGTGACGGAAAAGTGTGGTGACGCCGGAATCAAAGCAGGGCGAGGCGCTGGTGGATGTGCAGACGAAGCAGACACAATCACAGATCGGAACAGACTGGCGGTTCTTCCCAGCATTTATGGTCCGTGGTTGCTGCGTCCAAAACAGCGTCGATTTTCCGATATACGTCTGTCTTTGAGACCAGCTGGCATCGTCATCACGTGAGCAGACAAAGTGGAGAAAAGTCAGTACGGAGTACACGCATATTAGTGCTCAAAAGCCTACTGGCCGTAATAATAAAATCAGTGAACCTAATGACACAAGACTTTGAGGCCGGTGGTCCCAGAGCTCGAATTGAGCTTAGCATCAGAAGCAGTCAGCATCCGCAGCTGTCGTCGTCGAGGGGATTCAGTTGAAAGATGATCTGCACGTGATCGGCGCTGGGTCCACCCGCACTTGTCGCTCACTTTCCTCTTACAACCTAATGCAAAGTTCTGTCAACAAGGTCATGCTAAATGGCTTCAAGGCTGTGGGTTCTACTTTACAGTTGGGTGGCATAACTTGTACCTTTGCTCTCTCATCTCGCAGGAATCTTGTCGAACTCATCTGCTACATACAGGTTTTGGGACGTCATCGGCTTGAGTCGGCTTATTAAGGTCGATCTGCTCCGAACTCCTCAGGCGCTTTAAAAGTCATCTGTGTCGGAGCTTTTTGCACAAGTAAGATACAGTTTCTCTATATTGCACTCATGCAGGAGATAGGAGGTTTTTCTAGCTGAAAGTGACAATATCGATCCCGCCAATTGCATAATGGGTTTCTGGCGCCGTGTAAATGACTCGCCTTCATGCGGTAACACGGACTGTAAGCTGGGAGAGTCCAACGAGCAATGCTCACACCGTCATTACATGTAAAGAGCGCAGTCCGTGCCTGGGTGTGTCCACGCCTTGTACGGGTGGTGAACCTTCAACGTTGTATGTATAGCATCCCGGACTGAGACGGAGAAACACAGCCAAGGTAGTATGCACACTGAAACCGATCGAGGCAGCAGGAAGGAAGCTGGGTAGATGTCTGCACACCACAATAAACTTGTACCTGCAATGCAGACTAGCATTTGGCGTTTCCAGGAAGAAGAAAGCAGAGAGGCAACCTGTGGCAGCGTCTGCGTAGTGTCTTGCTACATAATATCCCGTTTCGTCTAGAGCCTTCTGCAAGTCTGAAACAAACTGTCAAGGCGAAGGCGGAAAAAAGAAAGCACACTCCCCATCGGGCTGGGCCAGGAAACAGCAATCAATACGAGGCGCGTTACGCTTCACGGCGCAAAACACCCTGTCCTCTGTGCCGCGGGACGCTCGTTCTCCAGACACCCGCCCGTAGACAACAGAACGAAGCTCGCAACGGTCTGCCCGCCTGCACGAGGTGGGAGCCAAGCGGCTACCCATTATCACTTGTAGATACGGTGTGGAATGGGCTGCAATCAAGGCTAGACGCGTAGGGTGCCATCCACATGGACCAATCCAGGCAGAGGCGGCAAAGACGGCAGGCAATTCTCAATCCGAGGATTCGGCCAAGCTGTAAGATACATAAAGTCATAGATATGACTTACGCTTCAATTTAGATCCTCCAGTCTCTCTATGCACGGTACCACGGAAGTCAGTCTCTGGTTGCCGCTGTGTGAATCTTGATACAGTACTCCGTACAGAGTACTCCTTATGTCGTGTCTGACCAGCGGTGTACCTTACTTTGCCATTCCGAATGGGGAAAAGTACGAATGAGAAGAAGGGGGGATGAAATGCAATAACACGGCCAAAGAGACGAGATAGAGAGTGGCACGACAGAGTTCGTCGGGTGTTGCTGGCGTTGACGTGGTATTTCTCCTCTTTCCCTTGTTATTTTTTTCGGTCACGAGCTTTTCCATTTGTCTGCTGCCGCATTTTCCCGTCGGTCTTGCGGAGGGATTGGCGTCTACCAAGAGGCATTTATTATTGAAGAAAGTCCGACCAGGGGGTTCAGTCTGGTTGTGCACAGCACGGAGACCCTCTGTGCGCTGTATTACGCTGAATTGAAGTGGTCGATATTAATACATCTCCATCCCTGGCAGACGTGGAGACTGGGGGGACAGTTGCAGCCGGGCCGGGCAATCAATGGGCGGAATAGGCGGGGGCCGGAGGAGGCCATCATGAGAGCGCCACGACCTGCCATGTACCCATTTCTCTTGCCAGCCGTTGTGATTCAATGCAGCAGCTTTGTAGAGCAGCCACAACTACTTACAGTTCGTAAGATACTTGGCATAAGCTGCCGTGTCCAGTGTACGACGCAGAGCGAGGCAAATGGACGGGACCCAATGTCCAATTTAATTTGATTGCATAGTGATGGAACAGACAGACAGGGTATGTCAGATAGGGCGGGCACTCTATGGAATTCCTTGTGTGAAAGGATTCGCCTGGAGACGTGCTCCATACGCTCGCTGCACGCGGCATCAGTACGAGTACGAGTACTTGCAGTAGCTGCGTGTCTGTCATGTGTGTTGTTTGTTTTCCTTCTCGCCTGCTCCTTTCCTCTCGTTCTCTCTCTCCCTCTCTTACATGGCGTGAGCAGGGGTGCCACGGGTTCGAGCGAGGGGCTTTCTGCAGGGTCTGGCTGTTACTGTTTTGTTTTTGGAACAGTCATGGCGGCGGCCGGGAGCCAGAACTGTCCGTGGTACTCGTAGTGTCCAAACCGTGCGATGAGAGCAGGAATTTGCAGGCTCTACCGGTTCTTGTGCCTTCGCTGGTCTGCCATCTACAAAGAGGAGGATTTGACAATCTACGAACAAGGGCTGGATGGGGAAAAAGAGTGGGTATGCCAGTTGTTTTCGCCGTCCGCATGGCTTTGTTCTCATGATGGGTGTCAGAGTATCGAACAAGTACGAGTACTATGTACTCTTGCTCGTACTCGTGCAGGGGCGCCATTTTATCTGTTATTATGGACCGGGCGGCCGCTAAAAAAAAGAGGGGAGTGGGGGCTCACAATCTGGGAGAGCAGACCGAGGCCTCTCTCTGTGTCCTAAGCCGTACTATTAGAGCGCGAGGGATAGACAGGGAAAATGGTGTCTTACGACGTACGGGCCCTGCCTGCATCCCGCCGTCTTCTGGAAAGGGAACGAGAGCGCAGCGGTAAGGGCAGGAGTTGGGAGGGCAGCTTGTGCTTTCAGCTCGACAATAGAAAAAAAGGAGGCCATCTTGCAACGGCAATCGTACTCCGAAAGTGGGCTTGCGAGCAGAAAGTCCCCCTCGCTCCTTGCCAATCAGCCCTTCTAGGCCAAGACCAATATATTGACGTGTAAGCAACAGCGGGCACGACGAGAACGAGTGAGAGAACGCGAGAGAGGGAGAGAGGAAATGCCAGGTATGCTGAACCGGAGGAGTGAGCTAGATTTTGCCCAACCGAAAGCAAGGCTGACCAGTCGGCCGTGAGAGCTGGATGCTGGATCAAAGCACGCACAGCCCTCGCTTGCCTTGTTTCTTAAGATTGACTTTTTTTTTCAGTGGTCCAAATACGCAGCGCGACACATTTGTGATCAGGTGGGCGGTGCTAGATAGTCTGCAGAAAGCGCAAGCATGAGTACATTCGAGAGCAGGTGCATCATCTTACTCACGTCGACGGTACGGATACGATTGGTCCAAGGCCAGCCGGACAGGGGTCTGGCTAGCAGGAAGCGCTGGCAGCACGCACAACTGCTTGTGCCGTACGAGTATGTACATGATACATCCACACTGCCTGGAGGGGTAATGCTGAAAAAAAGAACGAGACGAAGAAACAAAATGGATAGAGCCTAATCGTGCCCCCCCGTCGCTGCCTGTTCCTGTCCGCTGCATGCTTCTCAGGCTGAAACGACGCTGCCAAAAAAATATGTCCCAGATTCGTGGCATGCTTGACGTACGTCGCATCTTACGAGTGCACATCCAGCCATGCCAGATACGGACGGCCGCCTCTGCTTCCCAATCACATGGGCTTCTTTTTATTTTCCCTTGCCATTCTTACGCCCATTTTCAGTTCCATCTTCCTTTTTGTTTCGCCTGCATCTGCTCGTCGCCAAATGCCATGCCAATGCTGTCGCAAATCCCTCATCTTCAGCGGTGTTGCGCTTCTGCTCCACTCAGCGCGAGTGTGAGGAGTGGCCGGTGTGAAGCTCTGCTCCCCAGAATGCATTCCTATGCTGCGATTAGCCAAGTCAACGGGCGACGGGGCGCGGCGTGGCAATCAAAAACCGGCGGGTGCATCAGCTAAGAAGAAAGGCTTCCCCGTCTCACTACTATGTATCTTACATAGTGTGAGGAGCTCCACCCAAGCCCAGCCCTCAACGATTTTCCTCTTTTCTGCGAGCAGACCGACAATAGTGCGAGCATTGGGCTGTTCCGTACTACTCGTACTATGTACTCCGTAAGATACTCCGTACGCCTTGTATGTTTCTGCTGCCCTGGTCTCTGAGCCTCCGATGGGGTCCAAACGGCCTTTTCTCTTCCAGCCTCGTCCCCCCACGACTCAGCCAGGCTCGGCCTCCCCGGTCAGGCAGCGGTCGAGAGTCGGCGCCAACGCCGTCTGGCCGCCGTCCCTTCCAGCACGGCTGCGCGGTTGTCCTGCCCTCAACTCACGCCCCGAGCCCTACTCTGCTCGGCCCTGGGAGGCCTTGGTTGTCGACACCTCTGCTTCTGCGCACGCCCCATCCACACACCCCTGTCACACTAGTGCCTGCACATTAACGCAAAAGAGGGAACAAGGGACCGAGAAACAAGGGAGGGGAGCCCAATCCAGTCATCGAGAGCCAATGTGTGTGGGGCCCGGCCAGGTACGGGTACATGCAAAGTACCGCCCCTCAGGCTTCGTCGCTCTGCTGGACCATGTTCTCTCCTGCACCGCAGCACCCGGACCAAGGCGAGCGGCCATCTCGTGCATCGTGCCGTTGCTCCTCCTGCCGACGTCTTGCCTCTGCGTGCAATCCGCACTCGTCTAGGGCCAATTCGCCAGCAGGTACGACGTAAGAGACGGAGCCACCCCGTCCAAGCGCCTTCTCCTGCCCATGTACTTGATAGGGCGGTGAATCTGCCATGTATGCCGCGTGTACTCCGTACTGTGAATCTCCGTGCATGGCTGAGCGCGTACCAGTAGTGCGAGTACGAGTACTACGCAAGACTACATAGTATGTACTTCGTACGAGTATTCGATAGCTCTGCGACGCCAAACTACACTCCCTAGCAATATGTACTAAAACCCTACTTTCCACTGTACGAAGCACTCGCTGTGCGAGTACTCCATATTACGAACACCTAAAAATACCACGCCAGTACAGTACCATTTCCACCCGTTGCCGTCGCCTTCCCAGCCCTTTTTCCCAAGAACTCGAGCTCGTCCCAGCACCACATAACTCTCTTCTAAGTTCTAACCCCCCCCTCTCACCCGCCCACCATCTCCCGCACCCACCCTCTCAAACCCCCCATCAAACCCAATCACCGCCTTCTTTTCTTTTGCCCCTTCTCTCCACTTTAATCCTCGACCGTCCTGGCTCAACTCATCCCAGTCTGGTACCCCCTCCCCCCGGTCTTTTTCCACCCTCTGGTCGCTACCGTTTTCGGTGGCTCCCACTCAGGCTCCGTTCTCTAAACTACACCTAACTTAACGATTTCGCTACTCGTACTCCGTAGACGCACCTTTTCTAACCTCCTCCTCAATCCTCCCCCTTCCCCTTCCCTATCACCACATTTTCCTTTGACACTCGGTGCTGTCTCTCACTTCCAGCCGGACCAGCCTTGGTAACTCTTCTTGCCCGTCCCTGTTGTTAAGCCACGCCAACTTGGCTTTCCGTCTCTCCTTCTCCACTCGCCTGCTCTGTGTCGTCGCTGGCCCGACCTCGTCGTTGTTGCGCCGTTCGTCCTCTCGCTTTCCTTCTCACCCGCACCTTGACCCACGACGATCCCGGATACCACGCTGCCTACTGCCTGAGTCCCGAATTAACGCCTTTTGTCCTGCAACGCGGAGTTTCGGACAACTACGTACCATCCGGCCGATATTCTATTGTCGCAACCCCGAGAAGCGCGTGTTCTTCTCACCATCAATTCTCAAAGTCCACCACGGCGGTGTACTCGCTTTCTGCCTTTTACTTCTCTCCTCCAACGAACTCGACCTTTGTTTTTTTGGGGCTGCCGTTCTGGACGTTATATCAAAACAAGACGCCCCAACGTGCACAGCTCCTTCCGCTTCGCCTCGTTGCCTAGCCTCTTTTCGTCCAACTCTCTCGCCCGCCAGCCCCGACTGCCTCTTACTGCTGCACGATTTCTCCTTCCCAAGCTCGTCTGGCCATGATCGACGTCCTCCTCTCGCCGCTTGACCGTCTGCACCGAGCCACCTGTTCCTCCTTCCAGCTCTCTTAGCATCGCCATCAACAAAGACACGCGCTTCGACGACCCGATCAGCCCACAGCTGCACCAGCCTTTCGAAATCTCGCAATCTCGCAACCTCGCAATCATTGTACAACCCGCCTCACCCGTATGTCGGCGTAACTTTTCCGTCCGCCTTCTCCCCTCCCATCTCGGCTGCCTGCAGACGATCAGTGGCTACGTGCTTCGTCCCCCAGTGCCGACTACAGCCAACAGCAGCAGTAGCCGACGGCACCGACACTGCACAGTTTGCGTGCTCCCCTGCCTCCTTTTCACCCGGCAGATTTCCGCTTCGCAGCAGCCAAGGCGCGCTTGTCCGTCCCTCCATCACCTGCGGCTATGGCCGCCAACCTAAACATTCCACAGCAGATGGGGATGCCACCACAGCAGCAGCGGAGGAATGGCATCCCCAGTCAGCTCACGGCTATCGTGTACCAACAACTTGTGGCCAACACCCCCGTTGTCAGCGGGTGGCGAGCCGGGGTACAGTTTCCTGAGCGTATGGGCAAGACTGTCAATTTGTGAGTTATCTGTATTCCTTTTTGTGGCCGCGCTTGTCTCCCTTTCTTCCTTTTTCTTAATCAAAATCCTTCTTGCTTTTTCTATTTTTCTTGTACTGGTCCCGTTTCCCAACCATTGCTTGTCCACCCTTCCTTAATTCAACCGGCGGCCCGTACTCTTCTAACAAACATAGAATCACAAACATCATACTCGCAAACCCCGGCATCGATTGGCAAAAGGCTGTGCAAGCGGGTCTCGATTTCGAGCGAAAGGCCTTTCTTGACATGCCGGACCGGGTACGTAGTCACTAATTGCTGTCCAACCTTGCAAAATAAATCCTCCCAACATTCCTTCCTCTCCTCACTTAGTTCTCATTTCCCTTTGACTGGCACAAACAGTCCTTCTTATACGGCGCTGCTTTGCGCTCTCTTCTTCTCTCAATCGCTTGCTCCCTTTCCCTGGTGTAGCCAAATTTAACAAACATGTCCCAGATTATGTACGATAAGCAAATGAACACCAAAATCAGCGAACAGTTTGTCAAACGACAGGTGAACGGACAAAATCTGCGAAATGACCTCAACAACCATCAAATTGCCCACGCCCAACAGCAAGCCCTTCAACAACAGGTAGCAGTTCAGCAGCAGCAGCAACAACAACAACAACAGATGCTCATGGCCGCCCAGAATCCGATGCTGCAGGCACAGCTGCGTGCCTTTGGACAGAATCAAGGCTTCCAGCACATGCAACATCCTATGCAGGGCACGCCCATATCTCAACCACAACAAATGGGTGTACCAATGGCTCCCAATACCGGCGGCATGCAGATGGCACCCAATCAGCAGCCTATGCAAATGAATATGAATGCCATGAGGCCCAATGGCAACATGCAGCATATCGACCTGTCGAAGTTGTCTGATGCCGACCGCATGAAAGTCAACGAATTCGCCCAACGCCTATACATGAACACAGACGAAAACACTAAAAGGTCAATGCTCGCATCTGTACAGAGCCGCATGAGTCCTCAGACCATTCATAGCCTACAGCGGCAGGGCAAAGACTTGGTCATGCACATGTTTCAGGTCCAGGCTCTGAACGTGCTGACAAACAAGGCACAGACCATGCGTGCGCAAATGCCTGGCCAGGACGTCAACCAAGCTCAGCAACGGATGCAGCTTCAGCAGAAAGCAATGGCATCGGGTGTGATGAATCCCGGTATGATGAACGTCAGTGGTTCCGGACAGCCTGGTGGTCTTGGCGGTGGTCCGACAGGTCCAGCTGCGGGGCAGAGCGGTCAGTACCCATTCTCCACCAACATGGAGACCATCATGAACGAGCAGAAGGCTGGTATGCTAGCTCAGGAAGCTGGTCAGGTGGTTGTTCCTGCCAGCAGCGGCCAGCCCGGCCGTAATGCCACCCCTCAGCCTCAGGGCTCTGCGCCCGGCGGTGCAGGTGGAGGAATGTCTGGCCAGAACCGACCCGGTGCACAGCAAGGCCAAAACCAAGGTCAGCATGGATCGCAAATGCCGCAACAGTTCAACATGCCGATGGGCATGGATGCTGTCCAGGCAAATGCACAAAACCAGCAACGAGGAGGCGTAGGGCCAAAGCAGATGCAGGCCCAGCAAGGTGCTGGCTTGGGCCATAGCCCTGGCATGGGCACAATGAGCACACCGATGGCACGCCAACCTACAGGCCAAGGTGACAGCTCGGCGCAACAGCACCAGCATCAGCAGCCACAGACACCCCAGCAACAGCAGCAACAACTGGCACAGGGCGGACCGTACAACGGACAGATGGATCCCCGATTCGGTCAGCGCCCTTCTATGTCTGTGCCTGCAAACCTCGGTCCTGCCTATCAGAACATGTTGAACAGTATGACCCCGGAACAAAGAGACAAACTCAGCTCCTTTCCACCGGATAAGTTGAACGAGCTGATGGCCAGATGGGTGCAAGGGCAACAGCAACAGCACAACCTTCGCACAGGGAAGCTTCCTACGGCGACAGGGCAAGCCCAGCTGCAGACGAGTCGCCAGGGTCAGATGGGCACTGCACAGCCCAATAACCAGGCGGGCGGCGCACCCGGCCAGTTTGGTGTTGGCCAGCAAATGCCTGGCGTTCCGTCAAATATGGCTCTTCTGCAGCAGCAGCGACAAATGATGCGACCCCAAGCTATAGACAATATGGATCTCCCAACCCAGGTCACAAGTCGGTTCGCTCTTCCGCCAGATGTCAAGAAGTGGTGCGACTTGAAGGCCTGGATAGCCCAAAATAACATCCCGGAAGGCGCCAAGAATCAGCTTCTCAATCTGCAGATGATGCAATTCAGGCAGATCATGGATAAGAAAAACGCACTACAACAGGCGCAGCTAGCTCAACAGCGCACTATACCTACCGGTATGCCCGCCGGTGCTCCTGGAGCCCCCGCCATGAAGGCCGGAGTTGCAAACGGTGCCACAGGTATGCAACCGGTAGCAGGGATGATGCCCAACATTCCTGCGCACCTGTTACAGCTCACGCCGGCAGAGATAGCACAAATGCGTGCCACCAACCCCAAACTGGCGAACGCGCCGGAAGAGGTGATCAAGAGATTTGGTTCTCGGATGAAACACGATAACTACATGAAGCAATATATGCAACAGCAGATGAAGAACAACATGCCGCTCAATATGAATGGCATGCAGCAGCAACAACCACCTACTACACAGCCGTTCATGCCACAGCAGCAGCAGCCCCAGCCATCTAACCAGCAGCAGCAGCAGCAACTCCAACAGCAACAGCTACAGCAGCAGTTACAGCAGCAGCTACAGCAGCAGCTTCAGATGCAACAGCAGCAGCAGCAACAACAGCAGCTACAGCTTCAGCTTCAAATGCAACATAATCTTCAGATGGACAATGCAAATGCTATTGCCGTAACGCAGTCCATGGGTAATACTCTCGCACAGCACAAGCCAATCAGTAGCCCTATGCCTGCTCCGACTGGGAAGAGCGGCTCTTTGCCTCTTTCAGGGCCTCAAAGTGGTGGTCTGGACCAATCAGGTGGCCCTTCCGGCGCTGTCGGTCCGAATGCAAAGAAGCTCCAAATGAACCGACAGGTCGTCAACAATCGAAAGCGCCCGAGCTCTGACGAGGTGACAGACTCTGAACCGTCAAACGCACCGACTCAACGGTCTGTAGTAGCGGCTCCAAGTGTGCAGCAACAGCAACAACAGCTTCAGCAACAGCGCCTGAGTATGTTGCAACATATGACGGCGGAGCAATTTGCCAAATTAACACCAGAGCAACAAGAGTTGGTTCGGTCTCGACAGCAAATGGTGGCTGCTTTCCAGCCCAATCAAGAAATCATGAACCACCTACTGGCAATCGGTGCAGAAGTTCGGCAGGACATACAACAGGAACAATTTCCAGATATTCCTTTGACTGCGACAGAAAAGGACGAAGTCTGGAAGAAGATCTTAGAGACGGCAGATCCATTGGTGAAGGTGGGCAAACAGCTCGGCCGTTTCTACATGGCAACACGGGACGAGGTCCGAACGCACAGATTCTTTAGAACTGTAAATATTTGGCCCCTTCTCCCATGTCTTTTTGTCCTCTTTTCGCTTATTTCATACTGACAAAAATAGCGGTACCGCATCTCTCAACAGTTCAGCAACCCCGAGACTCTGTCAGGACGCAGACCTAATTTTTCCATCACGGTGGACGAGATCGAATCGCATCGAAACCTGCTCATAGAGATGGGGAGAGAGGCTATGAACCATGTGCGAAAAGCCCAGGCTTCTCTGGAGGCCCTGAACCAACACATCGGCCAAAAGATGTCACAAATGCCACAGTCCCAATCGCAGATGCCGGGTATACCGCCGGCAGGACAGGCCGCAGATGTCAGCATTATCGGTGCATCATCGACTCAGACGGTTCCAGCTCCTCTGAACCAAGCGAACCTTGAGGAGAACAACCGGGTGCTCAATAAGATGCAGAACCGGACAAACAGCAAGAGCGGAATGCCTCCTGCTGCACCTACCACTGCTCAGCCTCCGTTCTCTCTCCATGCGACTTCTCCGCATGGACAGCCTGCTTACATTGGCAAGCCAGCTGTGACCCAGGAGAACTTGCACCTACCTGCGTCGAAGAGACGGAAAACTGGTGGCCAGGCCACAGCAGCATCTCCCGCGACAACGCACACGCCTGCTGCGACAACACCTTCGCAGAAGGTACCGTCTCCCGATGCTCGAAGACATGGAGCAGACGCGACCAAAGCACAGGCTCAGCCATCGATGACACCGCAACATCCCTCAAAGCCTCTCTTGTACTGCACGGAGGCTGACTGTGACACAAAGACAACTGGGTTTGCCACAGAAGAAGCGCGGCGTGTGCACATCGAAGAAGAGCATACGAAACCCAATGCCAATCCTATGAAGTTTGTCACAGAAGCCCTGACAGATGCTTTCGGACTTGATGCCGACGGCAAAGCTAAAGGCGCCAGTGCCTCTGCTGCTAATGGTGCTGCAGCTGCTTCCACCACCATGGCAGCGTTGGCACCCAGACAAGGCCCAGCTCCGGCGACACCAATGTCCAGGGTTGCGTCTATGAACCGTCAAGCGAGTGCAGCAAGCGGCGTCGGTAAAGGGGCCAGCGGGGGTCTCGCTGGGGGTATGTCGGGAAAGACCGGGTCAAGGGGAGATGCCTCTACTCTCAAGGTTTCAGATGGACAGCTTTCCACGGGCGCAGAAGGCGATGCCCAGTTACCTATCCAGGTCGAGGACCCGTGGGATCTGGCAATGATTGACCCACATGAGCTTTCCAACGCTTTCAGTTTCACTGCTGATACCGTGGCAAACGGTGCAATCGCTGACTTCAGCATTTACCTGAACTCACTCACACCGAACGACACCCCCGAATCAAAGGCTGATAGTGGCTGGTCGTCGGAGCCGACAAGTGATATTTCGGAGAGCATTCAGGTCGACAATGGGCTGGATCTCTTCACCGCCGGCGATGGGACAATAATGCCTTCTATGCTGGACAGCATGCCACGGTATTCGATGCAGCCGTCTGACGAGAACGATGCAGCAGACTTTGCGCAGATGTATCTGGGCGATGCGCCAGGCATATGTCCGCTCGATACGGACATGACCGAAATGTTCAGCAAGTCCAGCATCGAGCTGGATCCAGACCTGTACCAGTTCAGATGATGTGAAGGAATCAGCACAGAACCAACAGGGCTGTGCTATACTCTGTGCTTGTGCCAGAAGGGCTCAGGAGGGGACAATAAAGTCGGAGTCGGTTTCGTTATTTTCCGGTCTTATTGGATGGCTACGGGGTTTTCCACGACGACTGTTATGACAACACTACAAAATGGGCCGAGATAGAGCAGGCAGGGAAGAAAGGCAGCACGCGGCGTCTTCATTGTTTTTTTTGTTTTTTTTTTCGAATGTCGGTTTTATTCTGTCTTGTTTATCTTGCCCTAGCTGGCTTGTCTTTCTGATTTCTTATATCCTCCTTGCGTCTTTGCCACTTTCTTTGTCTTCAAAGACTTGTTACTCTTGAACCTTCTTGTCATTTCATGTGCGACGGTTATAGTTTGTAAATCTGGCAAATGCTTCCAGAGTAAGATACATTGTTTAGGGGTGGATGGACAGCTGCTACTCAGAGCGCGGTTGGTTGGCACAGGGGATGATACCCACAGTTGCGTGCTCGCTTGAGTGGGAATTATACTGTTATTTTATCTCTGATTGTTGCTTCGTCCGTGTTTGATTTCATCTCCAGCTATAAAATGCTAGCTACAGCCACTTGAAGCGCGCCATGTACAACATATCTTGTTTGCGTTCAATTGCGGATAGTACACGGCCCTGTTTGTAGTGAATGGGTATATACGACGTACAGCCGTTCGAGGTTAGATATGTTCAGTACATAGTTTACGGAGTACGCGTGCCATGACGTTGTACTCTGTACGGAGTAGTGGAAGCGTATTTGAAGAGAGCTTTGACCGCCTTCTTGATTCGTGCACGCGCTGAGAGCTATAAGAGACGAGCGCTAAATTAGCAGGACTACCCCGAGCGCGTGCAAGACCAGGGGCTGATAGGCATGTTTTAGTGGCTCCGTAGCGCGTGAGTGGCTGGCCTACCGCTGTCGCGTCAGCTAGCTGCCACACGCTTTCCCCCCTCGCAGGCCTGTGGGGGAAGGCATGTGCTAAAACACGCATCGCGACTCACTACGGCTTGTCAAGAGCCAGGATTTTAAATTTCTTTAACATTGCGTGGCAGCAGCTTTCTGACGTATCTTTTCTCGTCCCTCTGTCCCTCTCTCTTTCTCTTCTTCTTTTACCTATAAGGCGGTGCTTCCGTCTCCTCTCAAGTCCGGGCCTGTTGATTAATCCGCTAGTGAACGCGTTCCTTCTCGTGTTATACGCCAGGCGCATAGCCAATTTAAGCACGCGACGTTTCCCAGGTCACCATATACAGCTTCCGCTTCTCCTCCTTCTTTTATTCTCTTCCCTGCTCGCGTCACCTCTTTCTTCGCCTCTTCATTCCTCAGCTATGGCTTCTCCGGTCAAGAGACGCGCTCTGGCACCCCTCGACGCAAACACCACAGTTTCATCGCCACTTCCGGCCAAGAACGGCCTCGTTGGCAGCAAGCCCCTTCTACGGGGAGTTGAGGCCGCTCCTGGCTTGTCTATGCAGAGCGTATGTGAAGCGCCACGGACGCATACATCTGCACCTGCGCCTGAGCAGCCAAGCTCGACAGCACAGAAGCGTTCTCTCCCGCCAGACGACCCTGAAGACAAGGACCGACCCACCACTAGCACGCCGAAGAAGGTTTGCCTTGATGTGCATGTACCGGCTGGCGATGCTTGTTCTGTTGGGTCCGTGTCTGAACCAGCATCGGCAAACCGTCGTCACTGCTCTATGTCCCCCTGTCCATCCTCTGTCTTCGACAATTCCGGCATTATCGAAATTTCCCAAACCACCAACGTTACAGAACCAAACGTCCAAGCGACACGGGCGACGGAACCACACACGCCGACGCGGGAACAATCGAGACGGGTATGTCTTTTTGTGCTTCCCCACGGGCTGTGCCCCCTCTCATGCGTTGGCACATTTCTTTGTTAACAAGCTACCCTTAGAGAGCCGAGATACTGAAGCTCCGGCTTGGCCTGGCAAGCTACAAGCTTCGTACTGGCCAAGTCAGCGTGCCCTTAGACCAGCTGCGTATCATGCAGCCTACTTCTCAGTTGGCCAGAAGTCAGAGTTTCAATAGCCTTAATTCAAACAGCCGGGCTCAAAGCCGGCCTCGGATACTACTGCCGATGTCCCCGAAGCCAAAGCAGGCGACACGTCGGAGTAATGAGCAGCCACAATCGCAGCTGCCACGGCGACAGTGGACCGCATGGGACCGGAGCCGGGGTCTGGCAAGAGGTATGGGCGCGGTAGCCGCCTACAGCGACTCCAGCAGCGACGACGATGGGTTTTTCGACGACCACCACCGAGGAGCGAAACGTATGAACTTGGCAGCTGCCCCGCTTTTACGGAATCAGACGGGTAGCCATAACGAGTTTGACCGTATCGACAGGATCGAAGACAGTGATGGCCAGCGAGAGCGTGAAGACAAAGACAATAATCGCTATAATGACACTAATACCAGTAACAAGAGCAAAGTGGGAGTGGATGAAGACGTGCACAGAAAGATCAACGGCAGTCTGCCATCCCTGCCACAACCAATACAGCCTCGGGGTGTTCTTAGTGGAGGTGCATCTGGTGGACTGCTTAGCATATCAAGCTGAGGGCAACGACACCGGTTAGCTCGAGCACCATACAGATCGCGTGCGGAGCTTTGTATTTGACCAAAGGCGTTTTTTGCAAGGCTGGGCTGTTCGTTTTGGCATCGGGTTGCCCGTGGCATATGACTGGGTGGTTGTGTATTATATATCACCAGGCGTTATTGACACATTGTTTTATTCGGGATCTGGTTTTTGGCATACCTAAACGTATATATCGGCGCGAAGTACAGCGGCTTGTTACAATAGTATATATTTGGACTTTGTATTTAAATGTTCTATTTCCTTGGTTGTGATGCAGTACGAGTGATCATGAAGACCCCAATATTATATTAAAGATCAGCAATGGCTATCAGTACTCAGACTGTCAAAGGGGCATACTACCACATCAGAAAAAGGCAACAATGTCTGTACAGAAATCTCCGTACACGACCAAAGCATATCGTCTATTGTACACTCAGATAGACTTATGTACCCCCTTACCAATGTGCTGATGTTACAGCAGATTTAGGTGTGGCCTTTGGGGGTTGTGAATCCACCAACCTTTTCCGGTTTTGATCTGTAAATTTAGATGTTGCAGTTTGTTGTCGTTCCTTCCTCGGTAGGATTAACCCCCATTCCCAATCACGTTTTCTTGGTATTCATATCATTGTTCCAAATCGGGGTGGGGGTGGGTGACAATTGTATTTAGCCAGGCGCGAATATTGACTTGTCATAGCCTTTGGACAAGCTAGGACAACATTCCTACTCGTGAAATTACCAACTGTGATTGGTATAGCCTGCCGAGAATAGCAAAGAGCGAGCACAAGTTCTTCGATAATCCTCGCGTCCCTAGTAGAAAATTCCTCCGGCCTTGTTAGTGGATCTAGTCGGAACGGGCAGATTGTGGGTGAGTAGGAATCATAATATCGAGTAGTCCAGGTGTATAGAACAGCTCTTGCGATATATGTACTTCAGATTCGGTGAAATCTCCTAGGTTGATAAACTCAATATCCTCTGGTGTCTGCCGTCCAGACTCGCTCCTAGACGGGGGATATTCGGAGTATTCAGAGCATTCGCTATCAGGTGTGGGACAGAACGAGAGACTTGGCGTTGGCAGAGAACTACCACGCTTAGAAGAATCCCTGGTTCTGCATTTCACTGGAGACAGTCCATTTTCTCCTGGTGTGCTTCTTTGCACAGAAAACTCCCGTGTGGATATTGTATTCAGCGGGGTGACAGTGAGCTCGAAAGCGTCAGACTCGTCAGTACTGCGGTGTACGGGTGGCCGGTCTTCAGCAAGAAGCCGTTCGAGCCTCTCAACAAGAAGCTCTGCAAAATTGACCACAACTTTTCCAGGAGCGATGGTGACGCCAACTTCATTCTTGTGATAATTCTGGCCTTCGCTTCCCTTCGCAAGCCTGGCCATATCCTGGGATTCTGGGGAAGCCATGACAGATGTTAAAACCGTTGGCCAGTGTGCTCTGAACTTTGATGAGCCTATAAGGAATTGAAGGAAAGTTATATAGTAACCCCAATTTGGAAATGTGGTTGTCTGGGAAATGAGGGTTGCCAGTAATTCAAGCCGGGGACGGCGTTCTTATAGCCCTTGTAGTAGCCAAGAGGCGTAGTCTTAAAGAAAAATGCTCACACACCCCCGGTCATTATTAATGTTGGCTTCTTATGATCCTCATAATCGATATGTTGGCTTCTTGTGATCCCCATGACCGATATAAAGTCCTTCTAGGGTGCGAAGTTGGACGAGACCATGACTCGTGACAGCACGATAATTGCATTATACATATAATCAGTATTGGCTCAGTAACAATGAGTCGATCACGATGATATCTAGACATGAAAGTCTGGGACTTTCAGGTCTGCTGCATATGTATAGAACTTGCCTTATTTGGCAATGTCGATGCATACAGCATTGAATTTCACGATAAGCTGGCGAATGGCACACGCCCTCTACATACACATTCCTAATATTTTGTGCATACGGACATAGCCTGATCTCGGAAAAGTGATCCTGTATCGGGCCAATTGTTGATCACACGAATGTACCGGATATATCGTATTGCTATAGTTGAAACCGGCGATATTGAGGACGGGCAGCTTATCTAATGATTGTTTGCGATGTACTCCGTATAAACTTTGAATATATGATAGTCATTCGTACGGCGGATAGTGGAAAAAGTGGAGACACACCGCGGCTTGTTGCAGGTTCGGGTGGGTCTAGCTATTTAATGGGAGCCACTAGGGAGGCGGCGCGTCACCTGTCTGAGAGCGCGACTGCGAAAGCGTGGATTCTGGACAGCTTTTTTTCCGGCTTCGTCTTCGCAGCTTATTTGACCTCTAATTCTCACCGACAGCATCGCTCCCTGGCAACCGTCGCTATCTCTCACACTACCCCTAGTCTCCAATTCCTGCGATAATTTTTGAAGCATGGCTGCGATGTAGGTTTTGACATTTGCTTCATCCTGCGTTCTACTTTGGTGGCAAAGCAACGAACAAGCTGACCCGGTATCGCGTTTGCCTTTGCACAGTGAGAGCTTCGACAACATCTATCTAGATCTTTCCAAGGAGAACGGGAAATGCAGATTTGCCGAAAATGGTCTAGGATGGAAGCCGGCAGGCGGCGGTGAAGCCTTCACGCTGGACCAGAGCAACATCAGCGGTGCGCAATGGAGCCGAGCTTCAAAGGGCTATGAGGTCAAAATACAGCAAAGGAGCTCGGGAATCATCCAGCTGGACGGATTCCAGCAAGAAGTGCGCTTTATAATTCCAGTCGCACCCTGTGCGGCCCTTAAGGACAGAAACTAACGTCGTTTTTTTCAACAGGACTATGAGCGTCTCAGCAAGATCTTCAAGAATTGGTACAGCCATAACCTCGAGAACAAGGAGCACTCTGTGCGCGGGTGGAATTGGGGCAAGGCTGAATTCACCAAGGCCGAGCTCATTTTTAATGTGCAAAACCGCCCCGCCTTTGAGATCCCGTACTCCGAAATATCCAACACGAATCTGGCAGGCCGGAACGAGATCTCCATCGATTTCTCTCTGAACGAAGACGCCAAGACGAACGGCAAGGGTCCGATAAAGGGCAATAAGGCTGCCGCGGGGAAAGACCAGTTGATGGAGATGCGCTTCTACGTACCTGGCACGACAACGAAGAAGGAGGCCGACGGAGATGAGGCCGGTAGCGGTGCTGAGGAGGAGAAGAATGCGGTCACGCTCTTCTATGACACGCTCATGGAGAAGGCCGAAATTGGGGAGTCGGCTGGCGACACTATTGCCACCTTTTTGGATGTGCTACATCTGACACCAAGGTACGTATGCCACAAGCTCTCCCCTGTTTGCGCCGTCGTGCTGATTCTTTACCTTATTCCAGAGGCCGGTTCGATATCGACATGTACGACTCATCTTTCCGGCTGCGTGGAAAGACGTACGACTACAAGATCCAGTATGACGCAATCAAGAAATTTATGGTGCTCCCCAAGCCAGACGAGATGCATTTCATGCTTTGCATTGGCCTAGACCCTCCTCTGCGACAGGGCCAGACGCGGTATCCCTTTGTTGTCATGCAATTTAAGCGTGATGAAGAGGTGACGCTGGACCTTAACTTGTCGGAGGAGGAGCTGGAGAGCAGATACAAAGACAAGCTGCAATCACACTACGAGCAGCCTCTGCACCAAGTCGTGACGTACATCTTCCGAGGCCTGGCCAATAAGAAGGTGACCACTCCTGCAAAGGACTTTACTACGTACGCTTTATATATCCCCTGCTTCTTTAGTTGCTCTGCAACGGCCATATATTAACTGAAACCCCGTTTGCAGTCACCGGCAGCAGTTTGGCATCAAGTGCTCGATCAAAGCAAGCGAGGGATTCCTGTACTGCCTGGAGAAGGCATTCATGTTTGTGCCAAAACCAGCTACATACATCTCGTATGAGCAAACACAGTCCGTCACCTTTTCACGGGTCGGTGGCGCTGTATCTACGCTCTCAACCTTTGACATCACGGTGCACCTAAAGAGCGGTGCAGGATCTTCACAGTTTAGCAACATCAACCGAGAAGACCTCAAAGCCTTGGAAGATTTCTTCAAGCTGAAGGGTCTCCGCGTTAAGAACGAGATCGACGAGGATGCAAACTTGATGGCGGCTGCCCTGCGCGACCAGGATATTGATAGTTCTGACGACGAGCCCGGAGCAGCCAAGGCGGACCGCGGATCTGCCGATGAGGATGAGGAGAGCGTTGACGAGGATTTCCAGGCCGAATCAGAGAGCGATGTAGCCGAGGAATACGACTCGAATCACGAAAGCTCTGGTACTGGCAGCGATTCGGACGCCGAAAGTGATGTGGATAACGAAGTGGATGACGAAGATAAAGAGCTGGACGGAGAGGAGGAGGAAGAGGAGCGGCCAAAGAAGAAGAAGCGGACATGAAAGGCGTGGCCTGAGTTCTTTTTCGTTGCTTACCGGAAAGGGCTGGAGAAGAACTTCTCGGCTCAGGCGTTTTTATTGGTTTGTTGCAGCAGAAAATAGTTGGGAAGACAAAGCAGCCCGAGGCAATAGTATAAGCTATCAGAAGAAAGCTTTGCTCATTGACAGACTCGATATAGTATTCTGGCATTACAGCTGGACAACGAGTTGTGAAGCGCGCCGTAGTCTACTATAAGCACGTGAGGATCTATGCCTTTGGCGTCGGGCTGCGCTAACACACTTTCTATTGCGGGGCGTCGCTGTGATTCTACCCCACCAAGCTTGTGCAAAGCGGTGCCAGACAGTGAGAAGAAAAATAAAAAATAAACCTAAAAACTAAAAAACTAAAGCGGAAATGAATTATTATGTCAACAGAGGAATTTCTTAAAAAGAAGGAGGACACCGCCGCCACCAACTGACGTCTTGCCATACCTTATTCTCCTCGAGCAGCGGCTCTTGTGCTATCGAAACATTCTCGTCTTCCTTACTCGTACACCTTCCTTATTCTTACGGTGCGATAGCATAGTCCCACGTGCACCGTCATTCTCATCATTCCCCTCCACGATAAAGTGACAGGCGACCGATCGGCCTCACTTGTCCTTCTTCGTTGCCCCCACCCCTCCCAAGAGCTCGTCGGAAAAGTGGAAAAGTGTGGACAGCAAGAAAGGGGGTAAATCGTTGTTTGTCAGCCGTAAAGCAACCCCAGTCTACCGGTGCTAGGCATGCGTCGTCTATAGCGATATCTCTGCTTCCCCTCATCCTCTTCTCGCCACCACTAGGACCTTTCGATCGAAGCTGAACCATAAAGGCGGCATGCTGGAGACATCCTGTTCCAGAAGATAGCTGCCGTAGTCATACATCCGTTCTTTTTCTTCCTTTGATTTGCTCGACAACGTCAGATAGCCGGAAGACGAGGGAAAGAAGAACAAACTATGGACAACCAGGTAAGCTTTCGATAGACGGCCGTCTTCTGCGGCAGTATCTCCTCTGTTCCTCCTCTTTCTAGTCTTCCTAACGTCTTCTAGATCGAGAAGGCCATCGAGATCGCATGGAGCCCGACGTCCGACCAGGCGCTCAAAGGCCAGGCCTTTGACTACCTCCACCAGCTTCGCTCCGACTCCCAGGCGTGGCAAATCTGCGCTGCGCTCTTTACCCGATCACCGAGAACGTCAGAGGTTGTCCGACTCGTGTCCCTGGAGATTGTCAATAATGCTGTGCAGACTCAAGCTTTCGATGGCAACAGCCTCTCTTTCCTGAAGGACACGCTCCTCGAATACATCAGACGGACGTACGGCAGCGGCGATCCCGACCCTCAGGTCGATCCACCAGCCCTGCAGAACAAGCTCACGCAGACGCTCACATATCTGTTTGTGTACTCGTACCAGGAAGGCTGGGAGACGTTCATCGACGACTTTCTCGCCCTGACCAGCTCACCCAACGGCAATGGAGGACGTGACAACGTCGCCGGCGTGGTGCTGTATCTGCGTATGCTGGGCTCAGTGCATGATGAGATTGCCGACGTCATGCTGACGCGTCAGTCGGCCGATCTCAAGCGGAACAATAACCTCAAGGACCTGCTCCGGGACCGAGACATGCACAAGATTGCAAGGTCGTGGCAGGAACTGCTGGTGCAGTACAGCAACCAGAACGACCACATCCTTGAAATGACGCTCAAGATAATAGGAAAATGGGTCAGCTGGATAGACATATCCCTGGTTATTAACCAGGACATGCTCAGCCCTCTATTCTCGCTCATCGGACGTGTTAAACCCCATGGTGGCGACGACAAGGTGCGCGATGCCGCTGTCGACACCATCACAGAGATCGTGGCCAAGAAGATGAAGCCGGCAGACAAGGTCGACCTGATATCTTTCCTGAATGTGCGTGAGATCGTGTCGCGGCTCGTGGCCTCGCCCGCACTTCATGAATTTCAAAAGACGCCCGAATACGACACCGACCTCGCCGAGGCTGTGGCCAAGCTCGTCAACACTGTTGTGGCTGATATCGTGCGCGCACTGGACGACTCCAGCGTCCCGCCCGAGATCAGGGCGCGTGCTGAACCACTCCTGCAGGAGTTTTCGCCGCTGTTGCTACGTTTCTTTTCGGACGAGTACGACGAAGTCTGCTCAACCGTGATCCCTGCACTGACCGACCTCTTGACGTTTTTGCGCAAGATCCCCGATCTCCCGTCGGCCTACAGGGATATGCTGGCGCCCATTCTCAATGCCATCGTCGGGAAGATGCGGTACGACGAGACGGCCAATTGGGGCAACAAGGAGGAGCAGACCGACGAGGTGGAGTTCCAGGATCTTCGGAAATGGCTGCAGAACCTGCAGAAAAGCGTGGCTGCAGTCGACCAAGATCTCTACATCGATGTGTTGAGCAATCTGATTGCCAGTGCTTTTCAAACACTCGACCAGATTGGCTCAAACATGGACTGGCGGGATCTCGACCTTGCTCTGCATGAGCTTGACCTTTTTGGCGAGCTGTCCATACCCAACCATGGTCTCTCCGCCAAAAGCAAGCCGTCAACTGCTGCCCAGTCCCGGATGGTGGCCCTGATGGGCAAGATGATGGAGTCCGGTAAGCCGACGTAGTTGGGTGATATGCAGGTGGCACATGGCAGAGGAGAGCTGACAAGTATGTCCAGGTATTTCCGATTTTCCCCATCCTGCAGTTCTTTTGCAGTATATGGAGCTATGCAACCGCTACTGCAGTTTCTTCGAAAGCCACCAGGAATACATCCCGAGGGTACTAGAGACCTTTGTCCGGCTGACACACCACGATCATCCACGCATACGAATCCGGTCATGGTATCTGTTCCATCGCGTTGTCAAGCAATTGAGGTCCCAAGTCGGTAACGTGGCAGAGACGATCATCCAGTCCATCAGCGACCTATTGCCCATTCGGGCAGAAGTTCCCAACGACGATGTGGACGACGACATGTCGTCAGACGAGTCCGACCACTCTGCGGACGCGCTGTTTAATGGACAGCTGTTCCTGTTCGAGGCCATTGGCTGTGTATCGTCGACAAGTGCGACGCCTGCCGAGAAGCAGGGTCTCTACGCGCGGTCGGTGATGGATCCGCTGTTTGCGGACATGGAGCGGAATCTGCAGCGGGCCAAGGCGGGAGATGCTCAAGCCATCCTACAGATTCATCATATCGTCATGGCTCTGGGTACACTGGCATATGGCTTCTCCGACTATCAGGTGCCGCAAGGCAGTGGCAGTGGCGGCGGTAGTGGTGGCAGCACCGGGGGCAATCGGCCGGCACCGGACAAGGCCATTTCGGCCGAGTTCTCGCGGGCAGCCGAAGCGATCCTCATTGCGCTCGGTGAGCTGAACGGAAATTCGGAGATCCGTGCGGCCTGCCGCTCGGCCTTCTCGCGCCTGCTGGGCGTGCTGGGTGCGGCCGTGCTGCCGCAGCTTCCCCAGTGGATCGAAGGACTGCTGTCGCAGACGTCGTCGATGGACGAAATGGCCTTTTTCTTGCGGCTGCTCGAGCAGGTCGTGTTCAACTTCAAGGCGGACATTTACAACGTGCTGAACATGCTGCTGACACCACTGCTACAACGAGTGCTTGGAGGGCTGTCCGAGCCCATCACGGGGACCGATGACGAGATCCAACTGGCAGAGCTACGACGCGAGTACCTTACGTTTCTGCACATCATCCTGGTGAACCATCTCGAGGGCGTTCTGATCAGCGAGGACAACCAGGGCTTTTTCGAGACGGTGATTAACTCAGTGACCGCACTGGCTCGCATCATCGGACACGGCAATCTGGTGGCCAGCCGGCTGGCTTTCAGCGTGCTAGCCCGCATGACAGTCGTCTGGGGAGGGCCAGACGTGGTGACGATCGCGGCGTCGGCAGACAACAACACGAATGAGAACGGCAGCAGCAATAGCAACAACCAGTCGGCCAACAACGGGACTGGTGGCTCGTCCTCGCCGTTGATTCCGGGTTTCGACAGCTTCGTCATCGAGCGGTTCCATTCGGCCTGCTGGGACGTGCTGTTCGATCCGCAGTTTCGTCCCGGCAAAGACGCACAGTCACGACAGGTGCTCCACGAAATTGCCGGTTTGGAGCAGACCATCTACGCCAAGACCGGCGACGCGTTTGTCCAGCACCTGCAGGCGACGCTGTTTCCACGACTGGGCGGAATGGAGGCTGGAGCCGAGTTTGTGCGCTCCATGACGACTGCGGTGGACCGACGGGCGTTTGCGGCATATCTCCAGACGCTGCGGAAGAGCGGCTAAGACGGAGAAGAGCCAGCTTCGCTCGTGAGGGCAGATAGACTTATTTCCTCATTCGATTGCTTCGTTTTATATCTCGCTTCTGAAACCCCCAGGGCTGTCCTTTTCTCCCCTTTGGATGTTGCATACCCACCCATCTCTCTTCTCTTGTCCATTTATACACATACATCTATATTTTTTCCGTTTATGCAACCCAATTTCACAAAGGCAGGGGACGCATGGGCGGCGTTTTTCTGGGAAGCGTGATTGACAAAAAGAAAAAACAAAACAAATGAGTGTCCAAAAGAGGACTTGGAGCATACCAGGGCGGCAGAAGACGGCATTCACACATGACATTACTATAGATTCATTTTCACCCTGCTTATACCATGACCACCCGGCACGTTCAGATAGCTACCAAAAGAGGGGTGTTTTGGCTGGCGCCGTGCAAAAACAACGTGCCGCTTTGTATATGCTGGTGAAGACACGTCCGGTATACTCTACATGGATAAATATAAACGCCACTGCTAAGATCGGTTCTACTGTGCTGAAGAAAATAGGCAACGAAAAAGGTATAATGAGGCAAGGAGCGATCAAAACGGTACTGCCCACAAACAGACAGGAAAACAGACAGAAAAGCAAAAACACGCCAACATTTCGTTCCCAAGTGTGGGAGAACGAGGGATATCTGTAAGAAATACACAAGACATAAAGATCGAGACCGTGAACTGACGGAGTACGGGCACGTCAGCTCGCCGATGCTTCCTCCATCGGCTGACCAGCCCGCGATGCGACTGTGCTGGCTGGTGCCGGCGCAATTTCCGGGTCGCCTATCTGGATATCGAGCTACTGCGGCATTAGCTTGCAGGCCGTAGAGAGAGGATTCAAGTCAGCTTACCGTCATATAGCCCGTCTCCCGCAAGGGGATGATTTTGGGCGGAATGGGGCCGTCCTCAGCGAGGCCGCTTCTGCTGCCGTTCATCCCTGCTGCCATGGACTCGTTCCACCGCTCAACCCAACGTTCCAGTTGGGCCAGCCGCCTCTTGGCGGTCGTCATGCCCATGTCTTCCCATAGCCAGCCAGTCAGGAGGCCGAGGACGCCGTCGATGATGTTGTGTATGGTCCACGGCTCAAATATGCCGCACAGCTCCTTATTCAGCTTGTCGACGACACGCCGGAACTCATGCTCGGGCATTCCTGCTGGGTCTAGGATCTCAGGATACAGATTCGAAAAGGTCGGCGCCAGATCGCCTGCTATCAGCCAGTCGCGCCGGATGCGGATGATGCGTGTGGTCACGTACTCGGGCGAGTCCATGGGGACGTGCGGATTCCGGTGTGGAAAGCACGGGTGTTGCGGCCCCCATTCCTCGCCGGCGTCTGGTTGGGCCTCCGGGTCGCCCATGATGGACGAGTTGGACGACGAGATGGCCGAGCCGATACCGATCCCATCAGGCATAGACACAGTCGAGTTCCGGTTCGCGTGATCCTCCTTGTTCGCGCCAGAGCCTCCGTCAATGGCGCTCATGACATCGGGGCCTCGTTCCAGGTCCCTGGAATAGGAGCGACGGGTGATGGCCACATCTTCGCTCTCAGCGGGCGCCATTTTGCCCTTTCCCTTGTCTTGCTTGGTGGCCTTGATTGGCGCGAAAACGAGCCCGAAGGGTCCTCCTGAAGCTGGAGCCGTAGCCGAGTCGGGACGCGGGTGGCGGCCTGTCTCTGAATGGTGTGACAGTTCCGCGGCTTGCGGCTTGCTGGCGCTTTGGCCAAGTCTCCGCAGTCCTGCGATTTGAGGGCCTGGGTCCGGCGTTGAAGACGGCCCAGCAAAAGTAAAGGAAAATTGGCCGGAAAAACGCGGCGCGGCAGCACTAGCAATGATCCGCTCAGCAGCTTCGACGCCACGGTCAGGATCGAGGTCAGTCGTCTCAGCAAGCGAGGATTCTGGGTTCACGGCCAGACGCTTTCCGTCGTATGAATGGCGGAGAGACTTGGGCAAGCTCACCCGTTTTTCGCTTCCGGCACGCTCGACCTGCAGGCTGGCGCGGGTCGACGTAGAGTGGCGGACCTGGCGCTGCTCGGGGAGGGTGAGAAGAGGGTAGTCGGCGACACCGGTTCCAATGGGATCGTCGTCTGCAACGGGGCGAGTATCGTGCAGAACAGGATGCGAGAGAGCAACAGCAGGAGGCAGCGGCGTGGAAGGCGCCCGTCTGTGGGCTGGAGCGTGCGGCTGTGGTCGTAGCAGCGGCTGCAGATGCGAATGGTTGCGACGTGCCGATGAGGCGGTGCTGCGCGGAGTTGAGTTGGTCGGATTCCAGAGACGGGCAGCAGACAACCGGCGGAGGGGACGCTGAAAAGTCGTTGCAGCACGCGATCGGAAAGGCGGCTGGCCGTAGTTCAGAGGTACGAAAGGACGCGAGGACGAAGGCGGAGCGTAACGAGAGGCAGCTGCGGCAGCAGGAGGCGGATTCGGTGTCGAGCCTGGGTCGGGGAATGTCGTCGGAGCAGGTAAGGGTACATTGACAGGAAGGGAAGAGGGATCCGAGAAGGAAGAGGCTATGGCGGCCGTCGAATTTGTAAGATTGGCGGGCGGTGCGTGAGAAGCCGTGGGAACGAGGACGAGAGGGCGGCCGCCGAAACGGCCTCCTCTGGACGTGAGAGGTGGTGGTATAGGGGGGTCGGGCAGAGAATCCGGGGTAGAGACAGGCGGTCAATGGCGGGAAGCGCGGCGGAGGCGAGAGAGAGGAGGACGAGAAGAAGGAGGAAGAGGTCAGAGACTGGCGATTGCAATCTCTTTTGCCGCTCTGGCCTGGCGAATGAAGGGGTCAAAGAGTCGCGTCTGGCAGTGGCCAATGGCAGCGGCGCAGACAGTTTTGTGGGCTTGGCGACGACGGCGGCCGGGCGATGCTGGTGACAGTGACAACGAGAGTAGTGATAGCAGACGAGAGAAGATGAGTGAGAAAGACGGCGAAGAAGCGGAGAAGACGAGGGCGGAATCACAGGATGCGTCGAGCTGCAAAAAAGGGAAGGAGGGTGCGCCGTCTGCAGGCAGTCGCGATGGGACCGAGACAGGACGACGAAGCAGGCGCGACAGGGCGTTTGTCTGGCGGTCTTGGTGGCCGGAAGACGCTGCTGGACTGGTTGGCGGGCGGGAAAGACGCTAACACCTGTGCTCGTCCCAGTATAGTTTAGCGGCGTGGTAGCGGTCCAACGGCAGCCCAGCATTCTGAAATTGGTGGACGGGCAAAGACACTTTTTGGGTGGAAGAGGAAAAAGCAACCAAGGGCGAGCAGAGAAGTTGGATTATAATACATAATAAGGCTACTGCGAGACATCCACCGCACAGCCGTCCATCCCGGTCGAAAGAAGGGGAGGGGGAGGAGCCCAATATGTGAGAGGAGTGACGTGTGTGTGCAGCTGGGAAGGGTCATTTCGTTTTCCTGGATCGGATTCTCGTTTTATTATTTTTGCTCCGTTTTTCTGTCCTTTTTTCCTTCTAGCCCGGACCAGGCGGTGCCGGGGCAGTCAAAGGTGGGTTTGGACGGCGAGCTGGCCAGATGTATCTTACATAGTAAGATTTCTCAGCCCGTGTTCTGTACAAAGCACTCCGTAAAACCTGGTATGGGAACGCCGGCACTTGTGAGCCCGTGCGAATGGGACGCTATGGTCGTACTAGGGATCTGTCCTCGACTGTCTCAAACGGCCTGTCTGTCCCACCGAGTAAGAGAGCATTACTTCGAAAGCGAGAGGCCCTGTGTTGGAGAGTTGCAGTTGGCTGTCGCTGAAACAGAAAGCTGCAGTTCTCCGACGTCTGCTTGTGCTCTCTGCAAGACGGCGATGCACATCCATGCCTGGTCAACACCCATGTCTCCATCTTGGACTGTCGCGCTATTGCATCCGCTAGCACAACTGCCAGCCGGTCGGAACGCCTGCTGATCTGAACTCCTTACTCCGTGTTTGTAACGAGATCACACGTCGGGGGTCGTGTGATTAGCAATACTTCAGCCGCGTCAGGAACGCCTCTGGCCCCGGCGATGCAGGTAAAGCTTATCTCCTTTTGCGCTCACATACCCCAGCCTGTCGAAGACGCAGCCATTAGCAGCCTCCGGCCAAAAGGTAAACCGGATCTGATTTTGTTGCTGCAGCAAGCACCCACACCACTGTTCTCCGTACCTTGCGCCTCGGGCTAATCCGTACTCCGTAGCTCAGCTTAATGTTCAATGTGGGGTCCACCTTTAAAATACGCAGGCATCGGACAGCGCTTCTTGTGCAAAGTCCCTACCGTGGGAGCAGAAGATTTCTGCATGCTCCAAAAGCTGTTTTTCATCGTGATGCACTACTTTTCTCTAGCGGCCGAACTTCCTCGAAAAACGGCAGCCACATGCAATTACGCCAAGCTTGGGGCCTAGAGAATGCCTTCCTCCTCGGCAACGGTTTATTACGTCATTCCACGTAGGACCTACCACTTCTAGCTTGTTGTCAGCTCGTCACTTCCTCCCGCCTGCTGTTCCAATGAGACATATCACAAATGGCACAACTATCGTGGCGCATCGGACATCCGCTCGCGGCAACCTCTTTTTCACGATGCCCGACGGGCACTGCGGCCATCACAGTTCTCCTGCATTCTTGGTTGTCTGCACACCGGCACTAGCTCTCTGCTCCTGATGACGCGCAATGACGGTGCTCTCGACGGCGGCTGGCTGTCTCTGACGACCTCGCCGACCGCACGATCCACGACCGTGCCTGAAGTTGTTCCGGTTGCTGCTGCCAGGCGCTCGTCCAACAACAATTCTAGCTCGGGCTTAGGCTCAGGCTCAGGCTCAAGCTCAGGCTCGGGCTCGGGCGTGAGCACTATTCGGCAGCGGCGCACCAGCGCCGGCGGACAGCCCCCGGCAGCTCGTCGCCGGCGCAGCTCCAGCCTGTCCGACTACAGTCAGGAAGCCCGCGAACTGCTCGATCCCACGCCAGCCATGACAGCTGCCGATGCACTGCGCCAGCAGCGGCCAACGTCCGGCTGGGACTCGCTGCCCTTGGCTTTCGCTCTGCTGCCGGCAGTTGGCGGGCTGCTCGTGCAGGGAGGTAGCGCCTTTGTGACTGACTTGATGCTGCTGGCACTTGGGGCTATCTTTCTGCACTGGAGCGTGACCCAGCCATGGTGAGTCTATGTCAGCGAGACTCGCATCCGCATTGTGCTGACGTCCTAGGGTGTGGTACCACTCTGCGCGACAGGTTCGTGAAGACCAGCAGACAAGCGTGGACTATGCCGTCGACAGTGACGTGGACGTCGAGGGACACAACGACGGCAGTGGTGTCGACGACAAGGACACTGCCCGATCGACGAGCCCAGGCACGCTCGAAGACGTGCCCGAAGAGGGAGAAGAGGGCGAGGACGTAAAGAAGAAAAGGGAAGCGGCAGAGGAAGCGAAGAGCCAGGAACGCTCCCAACACGCTGAACGACAGCGATTTCGTGCCGGCCAGGAAGCAGCGCTGCGTGAGCTGCACCGCCATGAGGTGCTGGCGCTGCTATCGTGTTTCGTGGCGCCGGTGCTCGGAGCTTGCCTGCTGCATGGCCTCCGCGGCCAGCTGACCCGGCCGTCCGAGGGCCTCATCTCCAGCTACAACCTGACCATCTTCATTCTCGGCGCCGAGGTGCGGCCGCTGCGCCACCTCATCCAGCTCGTCCGCGCCCGCACTCTGCACCTGCAGCGTGTCGTCAACGCCAACCCCTACCGCGAGGAGGAGGAGCGCTACCGCAAGCGCCGTGCCGAGGAGGAGAAGGCCCAGAACGAGACGCTGGCCGGCGTCGTCCAGCGTCTGGCCGATCTCGAAGGCCACGTCCAGCCTGGCCTGGCCGGCCTGTCGTCGAGGCCTTCGACCTCCTCAAGAAGAGAGCACGACCAGCTGTTGCTCGACCTGCGCGCCCAGCTGCAACCAGAGCTTGACATGCTGGCGCGTGCTCTACAACGCACTCACAAGCAGCAGACGCTTCTGGAGAGTCAGTTGGCCGAACTGCAACAGGCAACTGACAAGCAGGTAGACGAGGCCGCGTCGCTGGCCCAGGCTTCAGGCCAGCAGAAACGAAACAACTGGCTGCGAAAGGCCGGCTTTTGGCTGCTCAGCATTGTGAGTGCAGCCTTGAATACCGTCCTGTGGCCGTTCCGGACGGCCTTGGCGGCTGTGCTGTACGTTCCGCGTCGGGTAGTCGTTCTGCTGCTGTCAGTAAAGCCGCCGGCACAGATCCGCCGCGCCGACAAGATCAACGGAGCCAGCAGCAAAAAGGCAAGGGGTGACGCCACATTTGATAAAGTTGTCAGCAGCAAGGGTATGAGCCGAAGGTGAAGCAGACACGAGATCAAAAGGTTGTTGACCAGAGGAAGACTCGCGTGGGTTGTAATTCTAAGAATTTCTACATGTTATTTCAGCTGCAGAAGCATAAAATGGACGACAGACGGAAACAATGTTGCATTGAGGTGGCAGCTGCTGTGTATCTATGTATTGGAAGTCCTTTGTACGGAGTAGTAGGGCCAATGTACCGAGCGAGAGCACCCTTGCTCCAAATACCAGAGCCGGAGCCGGATCCGGTCTCATCTGGCCATGCCGCCAACACTCCTGAAGATGCGAGTTTTCTCAGTGTTGGACCGGAGCCAAATTTGCAGGCCATCCAGCTACGTCTTGACGCCAGGATCGTTGTGCGCTCTCGGAAGCTGGGGCGTGGGATACAAGTTGATCTACGCGCCGAGGCCGCTGAAGATCTCGCAACGCCGCTCGAAATAAAGCATCTTGTATCCAGAGGTGACGATGAGGACAGACTTGAACTCTTTGCCTTTGAGAATGGGGTTTGCCATATATTTCTCATAGTGTCAGCACGCTGGCCGGCCACGTTCAAGAAAAAGCAGTTGCGAGTCGCAGCTTCCTCAGTTGCGCATCTACTTATAATGGCCGTCCCATGGTATATGAAGCTAAGCTGGTTATTTACAGCTGTCCTGTTCTAGAAGAAGGACGCGCACTTGGGCAGAGAATTCAGATGTAGTAATGTGTCCTGACGTGTATCAAAGGCGAGTTTCGTTTCATCTTTCTTTTTTCAATTCAACTACGGAGCATACACTCACTGACCATTCTACACAGCAAATAAATCAAGGGACGGACATGATTGTCATTAATTGCATTCGTTTATCCACAGACAGACTAGGATGCATCTCTTTCCGCCAGGTACGGAGCCTGTAACGCGGCATGCCACGTTCCAAGATATACGTGAAGCGGATGAACGTCCCGGAAAGATAGAGGCCGACTATCTCGAGCTGTTTGGGCCATTGGTGTGCTTGTTCACCATGGCTCTGGTTGCCCACGCCCGATGCAGAGTTCTCGGACAGGCGTCTGCCCTGTTTACAAATTGCTCCCAGAACGACGAAGAGCCATGACCTCTGGAGGCTGCTAGCATCAGAACGTGCCATTCTCTATTCTTTAGAAACATGAGCAAGCACCATAAGCAGGCTTACATCCACTGTTGCCAAACCTTTATGCATCCAAATCGATCAATCTTCAGCTGTAATCACGCTTGTGGGTAAATGCACTGGCTGTGCCTGAGCATATGGATACTCGTGCAGACCGAATCGGGTAGTTGCGAGGTTATTTTGCGGGGTTGTCGCCAAATTTGCTTTTTTGGCTTATGCACATAATTTCATAAGATTGATTTTCTACTATGCACGCGTCCAGTTTACTTCTTGTCCTTTTGATCTGGGGCTCACATGTAGGCTTTTTCAAAGGCTGTCAATCACTTGAGCAGAAAAAGAACACAAAGTGCTTTCTAAAGTCGCAACAATTTCGTTTCGGCGTTTTCATTTGCCGTTTTTGGTGTCCTGCCGTCATAGATGTGACTATTTGTGCCACGTGAAGAACACCGACGGTGGTTAGTCTTTAGCCCGAAAGGGATAGAGAGAGAAGAAATAAAATTGAACAGGGATAATATCGGACGATCTGTGAAATATATACGCTCGTACGAGTACATATGGTACACCGCGATATAAGATATGTTGGCATACCTATACACCGTACCGTTATCCTGCGGTTCGTCGTATCCACTCACTGTACGGAGTACTCCGTATGTCTTGAGACTCGATGCATGCTGACTTGGCATTTTTTGTGGTCTGTACGAGACCTTGCAAGTGTCCGCCCTAGAGGAGAGATGACGACATGAGCCCCGGACCCTCGCCGGAAGCATCTGTAGGTGGACGAGAAGAATGCTGTCCACCTAAGACGTGGGAAGGATCACATGCCGGCCGTTGTCTAGACATCACGCATTCCACAGGCGAGCTCCCCGAAAAGAAGGGAAGCGAGCGCAAAGCTTGCTTTTCCAAGCTTCGGAGAGCTGCTAGAATGCGACCAAACGGCGGCTTGTCTTCGTAGCGGCGCGCTGCTACATAGTAAAAACAAACGCAAACGAGCAGGTTCCTGACGCGAGAACTACTTCTCAAACTTGTCCGTTTTTGTCCATCGACGTGGCGAGGTGAGATAGTGTCTCTGCTGCCGAGCCGAGCACGGAGCACAACATGCACGTACACGTATCTTGCAGCCACGCAATTTGGCACATTGCAACTAGCTCCGGACAGATAGGGGCAGGCAGACCACGATTCCTTGCTGTCGGCAGCCCTAAGCCCCTCAAGGACTTCCTCGGTGACGCTGTGATTCTCCGAGGGGCAAAATGGCCTTGCGACCTCGCAATCAAGACCGCAAGCAGCCGTTGTTGTATCGAATGGCATGTACTCCGTAAAGGCCGCGACGTCTTGCCGTCTTGGTCGTTGCGAGAGCACAACATGTGAGTCAACAAAGCGACTGCTTTGCTGTTCGGATTTTGTTGGCGAGTATCGCCGTTCAATCCGGCTTTTTCTTCCATACTACAGGCACACATAGGACTCTGTATTTCGTATGTGCCAGTAAGACGCATACTTCGTACTCGGGTTCAAAGATCTCTAACTCCTACTAACTATACGGAGATCGCTTGTGAGACTACTGCACGCTGTGATTGCTTGTTCGACTTGTTCTGGATCTATCGTTTGGCGCTCTCGCGGTATACCTAAACGAGACGCTGGTAGAGAGAAGATTGGGGGGAGGGGAGGGAAAAAGGAAAAAAACCGTACGGAGTAAAAAAAAACCCTCACTACGAGTACTCCGTAGCGCTAGTGTCTGATATACATAATTATTGCTACAGGCAGTTTGACGCGCCCTGCCCACTTCAGGGACATCTCGGCACTATATGAGCTGTCGACCCGCTCAGGAGACGGGTACCTGAGTTAGTCAGGGGTGGAGGACTCTTGCCTAATCCGTCTGCGGCTGCTAAAAACGATGCGTCGGGACCCATCAACCGATGGATTCACAGTGATCATGTCTTCTTTTTACGGAGTGGACGCGATTCTCACGGCAGGCGCGACTGTCTGACCTTTCGCTTTCGGTTGCCTGCCGTAATCGTAATCGTGGCCGTACTTGCTCTTCTGCTGGCTCATGTGTTGTACTATGTTGCTTCCATCAGGATTAGCTTCCCATCTCATGATCCCAGCACACTGACTCCAGCAGCACCATTCCAGCACAGTTCGGCCTCGGGCAGCCAGCGGCTCTCTAGACGACAGTTTCACGTCCACACCAGAGCCGCCCGTGCATCACTTCGCTGCGTTTGGTATTCTCTCCACCTCGTACTGCACTGCGCCTCTCGTCCTTTAACCCGAGACACGCGCATGAACAGGTCCGGGTCACGACAGCCACTGTTCTACGGAACACAAACAGGGCATGAGAAAGAAAACGCTAGATGCAACAACATCCTGGCAAGCTCTGTTAAAGGTTCCGACAATCAGTTCCATGCTTTCCCCGTTAACCCCCCCTCTCGTTGACGGCCTATTTCCGATTGTCCTCGACAAAGCCCTCTCCAGTAATAAGAAAGTCCTTTCTCCATCAGTTTCTTTTTGCTGTGACGAAAAATGCACGGCTGTCTGCGAGTTCCGGCCGGACTCCGCTGGCCAACCAATCATCAAGCACACCCCACCCACCTCTTCTATACCCCTGCTTGGAGGACCCATCTCCCGACATGCCGTCTCTCGATCCAGTCGCAACAATGGTGTTGTAAGTCCTGCGTTGGCTGCTGCACTATCCTTCTTTCGGCCACACACGCCGCATTCTCGCTGATGCCGCCCCTCCCCGTTTGCAAATGCTGTCTGTCAGCTGTCTTGTCTTACCGCTATGATCCCTGATCCTCGGCGCTCTTTCTAGTCCTGCAGGAACCAACCCCATCCCATCAATCAGGCATTGTTATTCTCCGGTCAGTATGGGCCGCTTTGGTCCAATGTTCGGCCTCCCATACTGGTGCTCTGAAGCACTCGTACGTCGTATCTGTCGCCGCCGTCGCATGTCTTATTTGGTATGTATCCTCCGAGTATATCCTCTTGCTCTTGGCATGGATACGCTCAAACCTGCTTGTTCAACACCCCCTCTGTATTAGTCGATCGGCCAGCTGAAAATCCCCGTCACCCCCGTTATCCACGCCTCTTCAGCTTCAGACCCCTCGGTCTATGATCCTTGTTCTCTCATCCACAGGCCCCGTAATGGCTCAGTGCGGGCAGAGTTTGCCTTTGACGCAGGGCTATTAATGGCCCTGAGCAGTCTAATTTCTGGACGGACATATCCCATTCCCTCTGCTCCAATTTTTCCAGGTGCCACCCTGGCTGCTTCTTCCGCGTACTACTTTATGCCGTGTGAAGGCGGTACGTGCAGTAGACCCAATCTCCTGGTATCCCAGTCGCCGAGGGGGGTACAGAACGCGCAAAGCTTAGACAGGCTCAGCGAGAACGGTTTATGGGGAGCACTTTTTGGGACGGACTGTTCCTCTTTCCGACTTTTTCAAGTTTTATGTCGTCTATCCGATCTTTCTTTTCATACCTCCCTGTCTTTTCTCTTCTCTCTTTCCCCAGGTCAATTTAGCAGCAAGCAACGACAAGCTGAGCATCACACAGCTCCAAAGCCCTCAAACCTCCCCGGGATAACGCATTCGACAAGCCCTTCCCTCGCCATATTGTCGCCCCCACTGGGAGAGAGGTTCTTTACTGTTTTGCAGCTATCCAGCCAAGATGTTACCGCGGCGGCACTGGCTTGTAGCTCTTTGCTCGCTACTCTATGTCGACCTCGCCTTAGCCGGTGTGATTAACCCTCTTCTGCAACGGAGGGCCGAGCAAAGCACCACGGCTGCAGCTGCAAAAACAGAGGATGCTTCTTCTTCTGCTTCTCCTGTAGCCACATCATCAACAGCGGCGACAGCGACATCCTCCGATGGCGCTGAGAACAGAAAATCTACGTCTGCATCACATGCAACAACAACAGCAACAGCAACAGCCACTACGTCAGCGAGCACTTCGACCTTGCTGTCGAGCGTACAGGCTAGCTCCACAATAGTCAGCACTACGAGTTCCCTGAATCTGACATTTTACAACTGTGAGTGCCGATTTATTTACCGCATGGGCTTTCCTCCCTTAGCAACTAACACTACACGCCGTACAGCTACGATTGCTTCAGGCCAGTTGCCTCTGAAGCCGGAGGTAACTCCCGGCTGGGGAGTTGCTGGCGCCATCATGATTATTACAGGTGTGGTCTATGCCCTCATCGGCATCAAGAAGCGCTCGTTGCACATATGTCTCTCTACTGCCTACATGACTAGTCTTGGCACTACGGTTCTGATTATATACGTTATGTCGCCACCATTCAGCCATGCAGTCCAGGGCGGCTTTGTCGCGGCTGCCGTCTGCACCGGACTCATCTTGGGTGGCGGCGCCTTCCTCTTCAAGGAAATCACCGAAGGCTTAGGCTGTATGCTCGGTGGTTTCTGCTTCAGCATGTGGCTGCTGTGTCTTCACAAAGGTGGTCTGCTGCCTCACAGCACCGGCAAGATCATCTTCATCGTCGCCTTCACCATTGGATTCTTTGCCTTCTACTGCTCTCACTGGACTCGCCAGTACGCCCTCATTGCCTGCATTTCTTTTTCTGGCGCCACCGTCACGGTTCTGGGCATCGATGCATTTAGTCGCGCCGGTCTCAAAGAGTTCTGGGCCTATATCTGGAACCTCAACAACAACCTCTTCCCTCTTGGAGCCGACACCTACCCGCTGACAAGGGGCATTCGCGTCGAAATTGCAGTCATAATTGTCATATTTTTGGCCGGCATTGTCTCTCAACTGAAACTATGGCACATCGTGCAAGAGCGTCGTGCGAAACGAGACGCCGAGCGTGCTGAGGATGAGCGTGCTCTGCAGCTGAAAGACGAGGAACAAGGTCGTCGGTTCGAAGAAACCAACGCACGTGAGCGGAAGGAATGGGAGGCCAAATACGGAAACGGAGAAACTGGAAGCAACAAGCACAACTCCACGACCGATTCGGGCGTAGGAGACATGGGGACCGAGAAGGGCGTGTCCATTGAGAGACCATCCCGGCCACAATCACGGATGCAGGGAGCTGAGGACGATTTAGAAGCGGCATCGGAACCAATCGAGCTGGTGGATATGCAACCTCAGCCCAAGGCCGCAGCCGAGATGATCCTGGAACATGATGCAAAGGACGGCGCCCTCACGGTTTGCGTGGCGGCTGATGACTATCCCGAGGGCATGCAGCCGTCCGAGACAGGTGTCGATGGTGTCGCCCCAACAGCGGATGTAGCTGCAGGGTCTACCCAGAAGTCGATCAGAAAGGTCTCAAACGACTCGGCAGGCGTATGGGCCGCTGGGCCGGAAATTGTGCCGCTGCCTTTCAAGATCCCAACAACCGTCCACGAGGAGGAAGCCGAAGCCGGAGAAAATTGCACAACCGGACAGGGCGATAACGATGACCGATCCTCCGTGGCCACTTTTGCCGACGAAGACGAAGTCATAGTGTCAGCGTATCCGCACCGACGCTCGCTTGCAAAGCGTCTATCCCAAGGCTCAGCCGATCTCCTGCGCGGCCTATCGAAGCGAGCAAGTCCAACGCAGATAAGAAGCAACGATGGCACAGAGCGAAATGAAAGCAAAGAGGAGCTTTTGAGTTCGCCGCAGTCTACCGCCCTGCTTCAGGACGAGAAGGATAAGGATGACAGCAGCTCGTTGGCTGCGACTATCGATGAAACCAGCTCCAAGGACAGCTATTCGGTACGGGATGAGGAGGAGGATGTCGACGTAATTGAGGAGCAATCTCCACACAACAGCGAAGTGCACACAGAGCTGTCTGTAGCTATCGAAACGGTGGAACCGGTCGCCACAACGGCCATCCAACAACAGGAGACGACAGAGCTCTCGGCAGCTGATTTGCCGACTAAGATCCAGCAAGACGAAACGATGCCAGAGACACCGAACCGCAAGACACCATCGGCCGCCTCAGCCGAGTGGACGCCGGTCAGCCTCACCAAGGAACGGCTCCCGCCGTCCTTGTCTCGCGTTGCCATGTCATACCGCACAAACGAGTGGACCAAACACCTCGGCCATGCAAAGACACGCCAGAACCAGATGCTCTGCAGCTTCTTGAAGCAAACCAACGGCCACAACCGGTCCAGGCCGTCGAAGCAGTGGCCGGTGCAAAAGAGGAGGAGGCCACGACCCCGACTGACAGTGCAGCACACGGCAACGAGACGCCGCGGCCGGTAAATGTGGACGAGCTACAGCAGACAGCCGAGACCGGAACACCGGCGCCCGCCGCTCCACGGCGGTCATCTCTGCCGGTCGCGTCCCGGTCTGGCTCATACCAGTCTTTGGGAAACATGCCTGCGGCAGTCCGGGGAAGTGTGGGCGGTGGGTTCCGAAGCATATCGAGCGGTCACCTGGCCCGGCACACGTCGGCTCTGCATAACGAGCCGATCGCGGAGGAGGACGACGCAGCATCGGCAGACGCAGATGGCCACTCGCCAACCAGTCCCACTTCGCCGGGTCTGACGCCGTATTCCGGCCCACAAACGCTGATTGGGCGACGCGAGATGCTTCTCCGGAGCAAATCCCAAGGCTTCTACATCGGTGGACCCATCACGCAGCATATAGAGGCCAGCATGTCGATGCCGGTGATCCCATCGTCGGGGACTAGTGACAACGGCAGCGGGTCGGCACATGATCTGACAACGGCCGACCTGGATGACTTGCCGATGAATAAGCGTCATGAGATAATGATGCGGCAGCAGAGCTATGCCAGCATTGTCGGTGCGGATGGCAATGGTGGCTCGGTGGTCCAAACGCCAATGGCTGGCATTGTCGCCTTCGACAGCCACCAGCCAAAGCGCGGGCAGGCAAAGATGGCGACAAATACAGCGCGCCAGTCGCAGCTGGCAGCATTCCGGAGCTCGGTGGCCCTGGATCTAAACGGTTTGATTCAAGCCCCGGCCCAAGCTGAGACTGGAAGTCCGAGACTACGCGAGTCCGTGTCTGCACATGTGCTGCAGAACCGGTCGACGTCGACGGCGTCACTGATGCCAACACCACAGGATGTGGCCCACGTGAAGCAGTCGATCGAGCAGCAGCGGAACTACATGCTGGGCCTAAGAGAAGCAGAGGCGCAGCGGCGGGAGATAAAGCTGCAAGACAAAGCGCGTACCGAGCGTGCTTTTGAGGAGCGCATGCGCAAGGGCGACCTGATGGCGGCGCATCGAGACGCTATGCGGCGGATGCAGGCGTCGGCGCGCGAGCTGTGAGGCTGACACGGACTTTTTCTTCCTCTTCATTCGCCTCGTTTTTTTCTTACTCGTCTTATACCTGTTTGCATTACCACATCCATATACACCGTCTTTCAGGACCGGGGCTTCATTCTCTCTTTCGTTTGCCCTCGTCTTTGTTCTTCGACCTCTTTATTTGGGCATGTCATCGGAAAAAGGAGGCATATTTTATCATGAGAAACGGGTTTCTCTCTGCTTAAAACATCGGACGGCCGGTTTATACCTGGGTTAGGTTTTATTAACAACATACTACATTTATGCCCGTCTTATTCTTATCTAGTCGGCATCACATAGTTCATAATACTAGTCATATGCATACAAGATATCTCGCATCCTCGCCGGACGTGCCTAGCCATCCCAAGAGTCGGCAAACTAGGCAGCCTATGTACGAAGTATGACGATGTGAACTGGCCGGCAGATGTCGTAAGAGTGGGACCATTGATTGGGCTTACTAGACCGAGCTCCACCCCCTCTCTCCTCTTTTATTTAAATGCCTGCTTTCGTTGCCTTCTGTCCCAAAACGCATGATCCAATCCACGGTGAAATTGTGTATTTTTCGTTTGCCCACACTGACCGACTTGAGATCGTCGAACCAGCCTCTTTACGACTCTCCCTGAACGACGAAGCGTCCGGCGTGTCCGATTCTTGCCGACGTCCGTTTTCGGAGAGCTCAATTGGCATCTGGCCTCGCCTGTATCTGATCCCCGAGCCTTCCTGGGCCTGCCGTCAACTTCGTCCGCCTTGTTCCCTTGGGCTCTCACTATTCCTGTCGTCATGTCTCGCCACGCCATCCGCGGTGGCTGCCGATGCGGTCGCAACCACTACATTGTGCAGCCACCACCGGATGCCACCGAAGCTGCTCGCGTCCTCTTCGCACCGGAAGAGGCCCACCGTGAGTTTTTTTCCCGGCTGCAGCGGCGTGCAGGCTCGCCGTCCTCGCAGCAGCAGCAGTCTTGACTGACCGTGCAGGCTCCTCGCTTGCCTCGCCCTTGCCGGCCTTTCTGCGCGTGCCGCTGTCGTGGTACCACAGCTCGACGACGTCCTTTTACGACGACGAGACGCCGGCTATGATCCACCGCGTCTACGAGCAGGCCAGTCCGGGGACGGTCTTCAGCCAGCGCCGCTTCTGCGGCTTCTGCGGCACGCCGCTGTCCTTCTGGTCCGAAGCACCCCGGCTCGAGGCCGACTACATCCGGCTGGCGCTGGGCAGCCTGTACGCGCAAGACCTGAACCAGCTGGACGACTGGGGGGCTGTCATCGAGGGGGGCGAAGAGAGCGACGAGCAGGACGAGCAGGACGGGCAGGACCAGAGCCCGTCTACTTCTACATCATCCTCCACCGGCCTTCCCTGGCTCGATCGGTTCGTCGAGGGCAGCCGGCTGGACCGACAGCTGCTGCTCCAGCAGAAGTCACAGCGAATCAGTGCCGCGCGAATCCACCGCCACGACGTCGGCTCGGCCACGCGGCCCGACGGATCCGTGGTCGAGTGGGAGGTGGTTGAGTGGACCGAGGGCGACGAGGACAACAGCGATGTGGCCGACGACAAGACCGTCCAGGGCCATGCAAGCCCAGCAAAACGGCAGAAGCAAGACGACGGCACCGTACCAGTCTGATTCGAAAGGGGATGCATATAAGCCACGATAAAAATAGTATAAAACATAACACCAACTGGGAGTACGGAGCTGTGACGGAGAGGGAGGAGGGGCAAGGTGGGATTCTGGCCATTCTCGATCTTTTTTGCTCTTCACATGTCTTAACATTACGAATAACGCATACACGGAAACTGGTCTTTTTTTCTTAGTGTATTCTTTCTTACATCTAGCTTCCACTGGAGACACTCCGTCAACAGAGAACCCATGCCAAATCTATAATATACCGCATATTTGCTGTTACGAACCCTTGTAGCGAAACTAAGCGTAAGGCTGCATGTACGGAGTACGGAGTACAGGTGGGCCAGTTATGTTTATGCATGCACAACTTCATCATGGTTATGCATGCTCGTTTGGGACAGCCAATCATCTTTGGTGAGCAGGCAGTTGTGGATAGTTCCTTCCAAAAGTAGCAGTTATCTAACGATCAGTATCCGCCGGAGAAGTTGAAATACTGTCAATTCTGACAGCTTGCAATTCGCACCCAGCAGACGCACGTTCCATTGCGTATCGCACTTCTGACAGCGGTTCGTGTCTCCGACAGAGCGAAATACGACGTAAGATATATCCTACTTCACAAGCTGTCACATCTGCATGCCTGGTGGGGCAGCTAGCGACAGGTACAGCAGGAGCACCACCAGCATTGCTAACTGCGGCCTAGCTATCATGTCTCTGCCAGGCAATTTTCTTTGGGGCTTTGCCACGGCCTCGTAGGTCTAGGCCTTTCTGATCCTTCACCCGTATCGATCACTGACCCCTCGACCTCAGGTACCAGATCGAGGGCGCCCCAGATGAGGATGGCCGAGGCCCGTCCATCTGGGACACGTTTTGCGAGATCCCGGGAAAGATTGCAGACGGCAGCTCGGGAGCAATTGCTTGTGACTCGTACCGCCGATGGCAGGACGACGTGGCACTGCTGAAGTCACTGGGAGCGCAGGTGTACCGCTTCTCCATCTCCTGGTCGCGGGTGATACCGCTTGGAGGTCGCAACGACCCGGTCAACCACGCAGGTCTCGACCACTACGTGCGACTTGTAGATGCATTGCTGGAGGCTGGGATCACGCCTTTCATCACGCTGTTCCATTGGGATCTCCCGGACGGGCTCGAGAAGCGATACGGCGGGCTGTTGAGCCACGACGAGTTTCCGCTGGACTTTGAGCACTATGCACGAACGGTGTTTGCGGCGATTCCCAAGTGCAAGCACTGGATCACGTTCAACGAGCCGTGGTGCTCGTCGATCCTGGGCTACAGTCTGGGGGTGTTTGCGCCCGGACGCACGTCGGACCGCAGCAGGTCAGCTGTGGGCGACAGTGCGCACGAACCGTGGCTGGTGGGCCACAACCTGCTGGTGGCACACGGACGGGCAGTGCGAGCATACCGTGACGACTTCAAGACGGCCAGCCCGGACGGCGAGATCGGAATCACGCTCAACGGCGACGCGACGTATCCGTGGGACCCGGAAGACGGCGAGGACGTGGCGGCAGCACAGCGCAAGCTCGAGTTTTCGATTGCATGGTTTGCCGACCCCATCTACTTTGGGCACTACCCGGAATCGATGCGGGCGCAGCTGGGCGACCGACTGCCGAGCTTCACGGAAGCAGAGCGGCAGCTGGTGCAGGGCTCCAACGACTTTTACGGCATGAACCACTACACGGCCGACTATGTGCGGCACCGGCCGGGAAGCCCGGCGGTAGAGGACTTTGTAGGCCACCTCGAGACGCTGCCGGTGTCGAGGGCGGGCGAGTGGATTGGACCAGAGACGCAGTCGACATGGCTGCGACCGAACCCGGGCGGTTTCCGTACGTTGCTGGGCTGGATCAGCCGGCGGTACGGGCGACCAAGGGTGTACGTGACGGAGAACGGGACGAGCATCAAGGGCGAAAACAGTCTGCCGACGGCTGAGGTGACCGACGACGTCTTCCGGGTGCGGTACTTTGACGAATATGTGCACGCCATGGCCGAAGCGGTGCGCGACGACGGCGTGGACGTGCGCGGCTACATGGCCTGGTCACTGCTGGACAACTTCGAGTGGGCCGAAGGGTACGAGACCCGGTTTGGCGTCACATATGTCGACTATGCTGGCGGCCAGCAGCGGCATCCAAAGAAGAGCGCGCTCGCGATGAAGGCGCTGTTTGCCAGTTTGGTGGAGCACAACCAGATACCCCAGACTTACTCCGCACCAGCAGTGGAGTAAGACGGCGATCAGTACGCCTTGGCACTCTGTAGCAGGGGTCAGTCTTTTTCCAGTTATTCCCAGCTACATATATAGCCTCGGCCGGCAATACGGTTTCCAATTCGGTATTAACACGCCTTGGCCTGCTTCTATTTGTCCATTCTCGATATTGCCGCTTGCTCTCTACAAGCTTGACGTTTTCTACCTATTTATCTTCCTCTCTTCCCATCTCTCTGTCCTCAATCCTCTCATCTTCTCATTCAATCTCCATCTCCCCCATTATCCCCCATCATGTCTGGCCCCCAGTCTCGTCTGGGCTCTGTCCTCAGCCACCTGGTCGGTTCCTCCTCGAAAGCCCCCCACACCAGCGACACCAGCAGCAGCAATGGAGCCGATTCGCCACACAAGCACGCGCTGACGCCGACCTTCTTTCTCGAGCGCGCTGCAGCCATCGAGCCAGACGCCGAAGCGATCGTGCACATTACAGCCAACGGCGGCACACTACGACGCAGCTACAGAGACTTTGCCGAGCGTGCCCGAGGATTGGCGTGGTATTTTATGCACCACGGCTACCGGCGCATCGGCATCTTGGCACCCAACACGCCGGCCTTTCTCGAGACGATCTTCGCGGCTGGAGCCTGTGGCGGTGTGCTGGTGCCGGCCAACTACCGGCTGACGCAAGGCGACATCGCCTACATCTTCGACTTTGCCGACGTCGACATTATCGTGGCAGACGCACAGTTCGCAGCGCTGCTGACGGAGGGCAGCGGCAACTTTGCTGCGAGCCATGCGGGCGTGCCCATCCTAGTGGACGCGGACATGGACGCGACCGAGGGTGAGCTGCGTGGCGCGTATGACGCAGCGGTGATGGAGGGTCTGCGGCTGGAGATGGCGGGCGGCCACCACCACGAGCAGGGCCCGGGCAACGGGTGGGCCGCGCTGCGGACGGCGGTGGCAGCAGTGCGTGGAACGGCAGAGCTAGATGAGGATTCGGTGATTGCGGTGCCGTTCACGTCGGGGACCACGGCACGACCCAAGGGCGTGGAGTTTACGCATCGCGGGGCATATCTGGCGGCGCTGGCCAACGTGGCCGAAGCCGGACTCAACATGACGGGGGCGGACGAGTCGATTATGGCGTCGGGTCCAGAGACCAAGGATCCCGGGCGATGTCGCTATCTCTGGACGCTGCCGCTGTTCCACGCCGTCGGCTGGACGTATCCGTGGGCCGTGTGTGCAGTGCGCGGAACCCACGTGTGTCTGCGCAAGATCGACTACGCGCTCATCTGGCGGCTGCTGCGCGAAGAAGCCGTGACACACTTCAATGCAGCGCCGACGGTCAACACGCTGCTGTGTGCGGCGCCCGAGGCCACACGGCTGGTACGGCCTGTGAGCGTGACGGTGGCGGCGAGTCCGCCGACGGCCCACCTGTTCGAGAAGATGGTGAATCTCAACCTCCGACCTGTTCACGTGTACGGCCTGACCGAAACCTACGGCCCCATCACACGTGGCTATGTGCTGCCGGTCTGGAACCAGCTGCCGACCCATGAGAAGTTTGCACGCATGGCACGACAAGGCCACGGGTTCCTGACCAGCTTACCGGTACGGGTGATCAAGCCGGCTACCGAGTCAGAAGCCGGTACGGCGTCCAGACCGCTAGTCGAGGATGTTCCACGCGACGGCCAGACGATTGGCGAGATCGTCTTCCAGGGCAACATCTGCGCGCGCGGCTACTACAAGGACCCGGCGGCGACGGCGAAGCTGTTTGCCGGCGGGGTGCTGCACTCGGGCGACCTGGCGGTGTGGCATGCTGACGGCAGCATCCAGATCCTCGACCGGGCCAAGGACATTATTATTTCGGGCGGCGAGAACATCTCGTCCGTGGCGCTTGAGAGCACGCTCGTGGAACATCCTGACGTGCTCGAGGCTGCCGTCGTGGCCGTGCCCGACTCGCACTGGGGCGAGCGGCCCAAGGCGTTTGTCACCGTGCGGTCTGGCGCTGCTGCGTTCGACCCGGCTGGCTTCCTCGACTGGGTCAAGCACCAGAGCGGTATCAGCCGCTTCATGGTCCCGCGTGAGGTCGAGGCCGTCGTCGAGCTGCCCAAGACCAGCACCGGCAAGCTCAAGAAGACGGTGCTGCGCGACTGGGCCCTCAAGGGGACCCCGCCAGAGATGCGTCAGACCTGAGATCTACCTGTATTACATGTGTTTGCGCTTTACTTTTTCTTTTTCTTTTCTGCTCGGCTATCGCTTATGTAAGCACGGCCTTATATACAGCATGTGCGCATGCGCTTCAGCGCTCAAAAACAAATTACAATGATCTATTCTGCGAGTCGGGATATAATCGTGAGGCAACTAAAAAGGACAAAAATATAATAAGAAGTACAATATAGGGGACAGCGCAAGGAAAAGGAAAGGCGGCGAAACGGACATGCCTTCAAGCTGGGTTCGCTGCTGGCGGGAGATCGTCGTTGGCCGTGTAGTCCTGCTCGCCGAGGACGTCACTGCGGGCGTTGACGTTCTCGTTGGCAGGACTGAGACCCGGAACGAGACCCGGACTGGGACTAGCCGTCTCGGGACTCGTGTTCCGCCGCTTGCGTCGGGTCCAGAACAGACCGCCGAACGTGTTGCTGAGACTACGCGTCCGCTCGCGGCCGTGCTCCTTATTTACTGCAGTCGCCACCGGCTCAGCCTCGGCCAGCGTGGATGCTTCGGCCGGCTCCTCCTGAAGCTGGAGTGGCAGTGGATGCTGGCTCTGATGCTGTCCCCAGAACGGCTGCATCAGCCACTCGGCGTCGGCATCCAGCTCGTCCTGCGGCACAAACAGGCTGGACCGCAGGCCCTGTCGCTGTCGTCGGTTGGACAGCCGTCGTGATGCGTGTGGATGTGGATTTGCACCGTCCATGTGTTTTAGAATCGTGTCGGCCATCACCGTGCTAACGGTCGACGACAGCAGCGGCGACGGCGAAATCATCGGGCTCTGGAAGTGCGACGTGTACGGCCGCAGTGATGTTGCCGGCGTCACTGGCCGATCGGCCAGCGGTGGTGCTGTCGATGGTCCGATGCCACCGTCCATTCCCGTCCCGGCAATCGTGGCTGCCCCCGACATCGAGCCGCCCCGGTCCTCTCGCGACAGCCAAGACAGCGTGTTGTTATTGATGGCATGCAGCACAGAATCGGCGCTGATTGCTGGCGCTCCGAGAACTGGTCGGACCAAGTGTGCATCCTCATCGTCTGATGCTGCCACTGCTGTTGACAAATCCGAGTTGCGCCACGGGTTTTCCAGCAGTGGCAGCACCTCTTCGCCCTCGCTGTCGGACGTCGACGGGACCGGGAAACGCTGTGGCATGCGGGCAGAGGGAACGCCGGTATCCGACGGCAACAGGGCAAACGGCCGGCCGTGGATGCCGGAGAAACTGACGCGCGATGCCCGCGACGATCGCCGAGAGCCTCTTGGGCTGAGGATCGACCCCGGAGTCTGAGCGCGCGAGCCGTCGGCACTGTGTGGTTGTGACTCGGCAGCGAGCATGTCGGACTCGATCTCAGCCTCGCTGCCGTCTTCGTCGTCGTCGTCGTCGTCGCTGTTCGCTGGCGGCCGGCCGCTCGTGATGATGAAGACGCCGAAAAAAGTCAGCAGACAGCCGCCGACAAACTTGGCCGCCTGCTCGGCCGTGGTGCGCTCAAAGTCGCGGTACAGCACGGCGCTGCCGATAATGACGGACAGGGTGAACATGACGAACTGGATGGGGATCACCTGGGTCGAGTCGAAGCGCTGCAGCGCCTTGTTGACGTATCGCACCTGCATGACGGCAGTGCCGAGCAGGATGACGATCAGCGTGTACGTCATGGGCGTCATGAAGGCGCCAAACAACGTGGACGACAGCATGGACGACACGCCCTTGGTCGCCAGCACGGTGTAGGCGCCAAAGAGCCCGACCAGGCCCAGATCGATCAGGATCGTGCGGTTGCCGTAACGCGGGCTGGCCCACATCAACAGCGCGATCAGGCTGCACGTCACGGCCACATAGATCTCAAAGGCCGGCGTCGTGATCGCGTCCCAGACATCGTGTGGCGCCAGCTTGGTCTCCTCCTGCTTGGCGCTCAGTACCACTGTCACCGCCCCGCCAACGGCCACGACCACGCCCCAGAAGTCGCGCAGCCGGAACCGCTCTTTGAACAGGATCGGTGCAATCACGCAGTTGGAGATGAGCGCCACCACTCCGAGCGGCGACACGATCGATGCCGGCGCAAATCCATACGCCAGAAAGTTGCCCGACTCACCCACGGTGATCAGCACCTGGCCAAGCCACCAGGACGGCGACCGGAGGTATGATGTCGACGCCCCAGACGATGACCCTGCCTCTGACCCGGCCGTCCAGCGCGAGTCGTCGCTGTGAAAACTGGCTACCAGCGGCTGCGACTCGTCGCCGTCCATCGCTGCCACGTCTTCTCGGCTCGCCTCAACCTCGCTTCCATTCTGTCTCGGTGACGGCAACCAGCCGCCCACTGCACCGTAGCTCCTTCCCGTCGTGTCGGTCGTGTCGGTCGTGTCGGTCGTGTCGGTCGTGTCGGTCGTGTCGGTCGTGTCGGTCGTGTCGGTCGTGTCGGTCGTTCTGTTCATTCCGTTCATTCCGTTCATTCCGTTTCGCTCGTTTCGCTCGTTTCGCCCGTTTCGCCCACCACCTCGGCCATCTCCGTTCCTTCTGTCCTTGGACGCTCGTCGGGTCCGCTCGCGGCTCTCCTGTCGCTGCCGTTCCAGCTGGATGTGCGCATACCGCTGCACGTTGAGTGCGAGTGCAATTAGCACGTTGCCGATGATCGCCGTCACGATTCCGATGAGCGACGACCAGTTGTTTGGCAGCTCCACGCCCGGCTCGCCAGTCGTCCCGTTGTTCTCGAACGCGCCACCGCCCGGAAATGGCGGCCAAGATGCCAACAGCCCCGATGGCGGTTGTGATGGCGATGCGATGTACATTTTTGCGTGTGTCTTTCGCTTGCTATCTCTCTGCCCGCCGGTGTCACCTCGCTCCCGCCACCGTTCGCCTCACCGTGTCTTGTCTCGGTTGACGGGCAGACCGTCGGTCAGAGCTGTCTCGTCAACCCACCCGTTCCCATCGACCAGACCCAGTGCGCGGATTCCGTCTTTGTGCAAAACCGCCAGCAACTCGTAAAGTGATGCGTGGTCATTGGAGGCAGAAGCATTCGGCAGTTCGGCTATCGGTGGCGACAGCGACAAAGCGGTTTTGCCGTGGAGATGCTGAGCCAGAGCACCGACGTCGAGATATGTCGTCGCCAGCTAGAGACACCCTTGGCAGACGTATGGAGTCAAGGCAAAGGGGCAACTGACGGAATAAATACGCGGATAGGAGTCTTTGGCGGTCCAGAAAAAAAGTAAAAATGCTTTGCTGCCTATTCCGCATCAAGGCCGGTCGCTCCTACTTCATGATAAACGAGCACTTCTACGGAGCCTTTAGTAGATAGTTGGACGCTAACAAACCACACTATTGCTATTATCGTGGCGCTTCAGCGGGGGCTCGCTATCCGATCTGCTTAGTCATGCCATGGGCTTTGTGCTTGAGCCATAATATGCACTTTGCCGTAGCTTCCGGATCCGCCCCGCTTCTAGACGTAGAGATCGCCGATAATATCTTACAGTGTCTGGTGACCATTTCGGGGCATTTCGCGCCACTGGTAATCGGAACTGCCTATTTCTCCTGCGATACAACGACTACACTTGGAAGAACCGACGACGACGCGCACCCAACCCTTGATCGAATCCAGACGCAAACATGGCTGCCGGCGACAATGATCCGCCCAAGAACCCGTTCGTTCGCTGGAAGCAGCACGTCGACGCCCACATCGGCCTGACCCTCAACAGCCTTCTGGGCATCCCTGCCATAGTCACCAAGAACCTCAACATCCGCCCGGTCGAAAATGACGGCATTGGGGCGGCTACCCCTGTCAGGGCCAATACTGCCAGCAGCCCTGGCAGCCCGCAGGCGAATCCACACGACAGCTCGTCTCCCGAATCCGACAACGGGCACAGCGACATCCTCGACGATGTCGATGCTGCCCAGCTGCTCGAGTGGCACAAGTTTATATACTACTCGCCCTACTCGCCGCTCAAGCTGCAGCAGCAGCAGCAGCAGTACCATGTGCTGCCACCGCCCGTCCCGTGCGACGCCCCCTTCGGCGTCGACCCGTATTCCTTCACCTACACCGACGCCTTTGAAGACCTGCTGCGCGCCAGCAGTGGCCGCCCGATGCTTGACCTGGCCACTCGCTCGCGCCGAAACCTGCACTACCAGATGCGCTACGGCAGTTCCGTCGAGCCGCCCTACGTCTTTTTCCACCGCATGCACGGCGAGAAGCTTCTCGATCCGTATTTCCCCAGGACAGCCGTCCCTGCAGGCAGCAAGCCCACCGCCGGCGAGGCTCTCTCGGCAGACACGACAAACGGCCGCGTTGTCCAGGCTGTGGCAGCACTGGCCGACCGAGAGCAGCGGGATCCGTGGTACGAGGCGGCGTACGATGCAGGCGATGATGGTGATCTTGACGACGACGACGACGACGACGACAACGACAATGAGTGGGACCAGCAGGCCGATCGCAGCCAGGATACCGAAAGAAGCTGGTTTCCCGGTCGGCAATTTCACCAGGGTGGCCTCTTTGACGAGCTAGATCGCGTCTTCCGTGTCCTGAGCCGCATCATCGACGAGGACGCCGGTGTGGCCGGCAAGAAGCAGGACGCCGATGCTGGTCGCGATGCCGATGCAGAGGACGAGCTGTACACGGCCGTCCGGTCCGCCTACTCCAACGCCGAGAAGTCGTTGAGCACGTTTGTCAAGACGCTGTCCGGCATGTCCGACGCAGCCGCAGGCGCTGTGGCGACAACCGAGAAGGCGCCCGTGCAGGCCGATGGTCGCCAGGGTGAGACCATCCAGACAACCGAAGACTACACCGACATGTATGGCAACCGGCACGTCAAGACCGTCGTGCGGCGCCTGGATGCCGACGGCAACGAGATCGCACGGGAGACGTACTACACGATTCGGTCTACCGATCCCTCGGAGCAGACCGTTGTCGCAGAGGACTCGCCTAGCAGCCAGAAAGACGAGGACGTCGCCGGGACACCGCAGGGCGACCGCCAAGCAGACGGCAAGACGGCCAACGGAACAAAGCCGAGCGGCTGGTTTTGGAAGTAAAAAACGGCTTGGACTGGGAATGGACTGGACAGGCAAGGTAAACAGGACTGCAGGATTGGGATCTATTATGAAGCGCACAAAGGGAACGAATCGGCCATGCCTGCCTGACACAAATTGGATAGTTGACACTTATTCTGCTCCAATAGTAGCTATATAGGCAACATAAGCACAATGGCATGTCATTGTAAGCAACTCTATCTTATCTGGCCGATTAGTAATACATAGATCATGGCCACGTGATGTAATGTATATAACGATGCTTGGATTTTCCTTCTCCAGAAAATTCTGCACCTTTTCGCATCTCTGACCCGCATTGGTTGTTGGCATCGTATTACGTCCTGATGGAATGCAGGTTACCTCTTCAGCCTCTGTACTCCTGTAATTAAGGTCACAAGGCTCAACGGTTTGTACACACCTCTCTTTGTCATTCTCTTTTTCGTTTGTTATACCGAACAGTCTTTTGCCAATCTCGATCATTGAAACCATGGTTTTCTGGTCTTGAGCTCGGATACGATCCTACCTTTCTCGTCTGTCTTCGGGCAGGGGATGGCGGTAGCAGCGTACAAGACAAGAAAAAATGCTACTTCAACCCTATTGAGTGCGGGACCTTCTCTTATTCGCGTGAGGGATTTCGCAATTAAGGACTTGTGACAAGCTGTTTTGGGGCATCGAATGAATGCCTCGCGTATTCAGAAGCCATCATCATAAGCGCCGCTTTGTTTGCCGATATGACTCTCTTGAAATTGGCATTCCATAGCAGATGCTCAAAGGCCAAGCTCTATCCGTTTGTTAACAGAATACATTATCAAGTCGCAAATGCGTGACAAACTCGTCTTGCCGCCCAATGCACATGGCTTAAATACATATCTTCTTTCTCGCCAACAGACACAAAACATTATCTCTCGAAAACATAAAACCGGCACATGGTAACGGAGCTTTCTCTGTCTCGACGTTGCCTCCACCCATACAGGGTACTCGCCCTTCCCCTTCTCCAATGGTCCATGCCTGCTGGAGGAAGCACTTGTCTTTTTCCAATCTCTCGTGATCTCAAAAGGCTCGCTTCCTTCTCAGTGCGGCTTTTGGAGGTGCAAATAAGTACATAGTTTGGGGGGGATAGTATCGCCGCACCCCGTAGTAAACGATTAGAAAACATCGCTGCGACGCCCCTTAAGCTTGTCTAATAGCAGCAGCAGCAGCCCTGCTCGCTCTTCGTCGGTGCGACGCGCTCCCTGCTTGGCCAGTATGTGGCTAACGTAGACATTCGTCATCCCTCGCAGTTTGAGCAGCTCGTCAATTCCCAGTGCATCACAGATCCGGGTTGACCGTTGTGTGGGGAAGTATTGCAGCATCTCGGTCTGTCGCTGTGTCAAAGCTGTCGTGGTGGCCTTGGAGATGACTATATGTATTTGTCGTAATTTGGGGCACGATGCGAGCAACGAGAAGGCCAAGTCAGCCTTTGGGCCGCACCAGTGCACCTTAACGCTGCGGATAGAGGCCTGCAACAGCTTGTTCGTGTACAGGTGGGAATACATGTCACAAGTGCAGCCAAATGAGAAGAACTCTTCGCTGTAGACGAATTCGAGAAATTCGTTCCTGATAGTTTTGCACGTGCGTGCGAGGGCTGTTGGCAGATATTCGGAATGCTGCATTGGCTTCGAGTAGCAATTGCAGTCGCTGTTCGATATACTAGGACAGACTTCCTGGCAGCCACTATTTTTATGGTTGATGTGGTACTTGTATATCTGGAGCCGTATCTCCTTTGGGAACTTCAGAAAAGGCAGGCAGTTTACTTCCCTTGGCTCATCTACTACCAAGTCAGCGATGTGCAGAACTAAAGAGAAGGGAAAGGTGTGTTTTACCAGCTACCCCGAGGATCTCGGTACAGTTCTGAATGAGTGCAATGCAGTCCTTCATCTCCCCGGGCTGCTTTTCCATCACGGCGGCGCATTTGGTGATAATTTCGGTCACTGCTTTTCGGTTGTTTCTGGACATGCGAACGATACGGCCGAGCTCTGCATGATCGATAATGCCAACATGGAAGTCATCGAGTGCCTTTAGCAGCAGGACGGCATTTCCGCTAAGGCTATACCGGCTGTGCAGCCGTTTCGTTTTCTGCACGTAAAACCCCTTTGACGACATGCTGCTGCCTGGTGGTGAGGCAGAAAGAGGTACGAACAACGGAAATAGAGCGCTTTGTAGGGATTATCCCAGTACAAATTGCATCCGCTTCAAAGGCCGGTGAGCGACTCCTCTATCTGCCTTTGGTTGATATAAGGCGGGTAGAGCCCGATACAAAGATGTTCACGATGATGCGTTGCGCAATTGGATGCGTCGTCCTCATTGAAAGCTCTCAGCTCTCAGGCTTTATTTGGCGTTTCTTGTTTCGTGTCAGTACTAAAATGTTCACAGATTCAATGTTCGGTAAGAAACGTATCTCGACTCCTTGGGCATAAGATGTCAGGGAAGGTGCAGCCTTACCACGTGACGCGCAGTTGAGACTTCCCTAATGGGAGTTCGGTGAGGTGAAAACGTGAAGTGAATGACCAATTAAAAGAGAGCAGTGAGGTGAAGTGGATAAGGGGGGTTATGCACAACACAGGACCTCACTCTGAACCTCGATTCAGTCACAGAATCAAGCAAACAAGGTTGAGAGGAACGCGGCGTTTCACGATAGGAACAGGTACACAACTTTTGATAACACTGCTTTACCAATATGGCACAGATAACAGCTTCATTAGCCACCAGGTAGTAGGAGCAGCTGGCCAAACTGAGAGGCCATAACTGTTTGCGAACAGGATGATAAAGTCGTAAGCTTGTCTCGTACGATTACGCGGCCCGTGATTTTTACCAAGCTGTCTATAGGTCGGCATTGTACTATACCAAATGGGGCAGTTTTTGGACGGGACAGTGCGGTGTAAACACAGGTCATACGCAGAGTCCATATCTCGTTCGTGGCGGCCGCAAAAGTTGCGGTTGTATCAAGTACGTAGACCTAATCAGCTTGTAGAAGAGACAGCGGCACTTGAACCTCCAAGTGCTTTATAGCATACAGTCGTTTGTGCTGTCTTAAACCCAGTTGAGGACGAAGAGACCGGCTGCTTCAGCCGGTGCAAACATTAGCCAGAGTTAATATGATATACCTCTACTTGGCCATGTGTGGCTGCAGAAAGAGACCCCCTGCTTGGAGCAGCTCAGTCAACAGCCTATACCCTGCGCGTCTGTATTTAGAGGCAGCTGCTCACAAAGGGAAAAAACACGTATGCAACAGAACACTGAAGCTACAGCCATGACCATAGAACATAACGCACCCGTGTAAACTGCATCACTGCAAGTTGATCAAGTGCTTTGTGAATTCGAAAGGAAACACCGGCTTGTGATTCGCACATACAACAGCCATGATAGGTACCAGATATCTTGCCCCACGAACAACCCGGAAACGTAAGATTGGACAGCGACCATAATATACACAGGACACGCACGCAGAGCGCAGCACGTAGGCAGTATTAGCAGAGCCAAATCCGCTGGGAAGCAGAAATCAGGCCACCGTTTAGCTGGTCAACATTTCGTACACCCCCTTCCCATATTTACTGTTTCTGGCCCTCCACGAAGCTGAGCGCTTCTTCTGTCGTCACACAGCCGATCGAGCTCGTCTTGTTCGTAAATGTCACACCGTAGCACTTGTCAGCCACCTGCACGATTTCCGGCCGGAATGTCGTGCAGATAAACTGCGTCCCCGCGTCCTGGGAGATTGACGACAGCAGGCCAGCCACTGCCGTTCGGTATTGTGCGTCCAGGTTCGCATCCACCTCATCGAACACGACCATGGGACTAGGATCCGTCTGCTGGATGGCAAACACCAGACACAGCGCACAAAGACTCTTCTGGCCACCGCTCAGCTGCTGCACCTTCTGCTGCTCGTCCATGTCCTTCGAGTTGAACGACACGCTGATGCCAACACCCGTGTAGCTCTCGACACTGCGACGAGTGCGCCGGTTGTCATTGTCGCCTTCGCCCTCGCCGTCTTCCTCCTCGTCCTGCTGGCCGCCGCGCCGGTCGTCCCGTCGCTGGATGACTAACCGACCGTGTCCTGCTGGAACCAGCCGCTCGAATATCATGGCAAACTCCTTGGAAATCTGCTTGAACGTCCGTTCGATGGACTCGTCCTTGACACGATCGAGATGAGCCACAAGCTCTTCGATGGATGCCTGTGACTCGTCGAGCTCCATTCGTCGTCCTAGCAGCTGCTCCTGCTGGTTCGTGAAGCTGTTGTATTGCTCAAATGCCTTCTTGTTGACGTGGCGGTACTTCTTGAGAGCTTCTAAGACGTTCTTGAGGCGCTTGGAGATCTGCACATCTGTATTAGCCTCTGCCACGAGATATTTCTCGTTGTCGGTCTTGTGAAAATAACGTATAGAAACAGACTCACTCTAGCTGGGTCCATCCGCTCGTACTTCTCAAACGCCTCCTCCGGAAGCACGCCGAGGTCACGGATGTTCTTCGCCGCTTCTGCCAGTTGCTGTGTCAGAAGTGCTCGTCGTTGCAGGTTCTTTTCCATCCTCTTCTGGCTTCGCTCCAGGTTTGCGGCTATCTCCTGCTGCCTCTGCTCCAGCTCGCCCTTCTTTACCCGGAGCTCATTGATTTGTATTGTTTTCCCGTCAATGTCGTCCATCGTCTCACGGAGCTTCGTCTCCTTCTCCTTGAGACGCTTCTGCAGTTTCTTGAGCTCCTTCTGGGCCTCAACATAGTTGCCGTCTCCACCTACAGATGTCATCGTATCAAACACCTGACTGGTAAGCTGGTCCTCCTTCATGCGCAGATTCTGCCGCAAGTCCACTTCCAGGATCTGTTTTTGGCTCTCAATCTCTCTGCGCCGGCTGCTGGCTTCGTTAAGCTGCCGCTGGAGCGTCTGCACCTCGCCGTTAAGCGACTCCAGTTGCATCCCCTCTGCCGCCGTGAGCGCCTTCTTGAAGTCCGACTTCTTTTCCGCCTCAAACGACTCGACCGACGTGGCATATTCGTCCATGTTCTTGTTGATCGAGTCGTATCGGTTGCTGAGCGTGTCCAGACGCGCCCGCTCCCTCTCTAATTGCGCCCTCTTGGCACTCAGCTCCGTTCGACTTGGTCCGAACCCTTCCTCCAATTGCCTCACTTGGTGAAGAACTTTCTGCTCCTCTCCTCTTGCGTTTGTCACCTCCTGCTCTTTCTTGTCCATCAGGTGTTTGATCTGATCTGCCTGCGCCACCAGGTCTTCGTACCTGCCTCGCCACTGATTGACTGCTCGGATAGCTTCGAGACGAGAACGCGACGGATCGACGTAGCCACCCGTCATCGTACCAGTGCGTTTTGTAGTGTCACCGTCGGGGGTGATGCCATCGACACCGTGACTGCGGCCGTACTGTGCGGCAACGGACACGCTGGGGCAAACGACAGTGCTGCCAAAAACATGTTGGAAGGCCTTCTCGAAACGGGCGTTGTACTGTATTTTTTCTACAAGAGGCAGAGCATCCTTGACACCCTTCGGGAAATTGGCTGCGCGTGGGCGTAGCTGTTCCAGCGGAATGAACGTGAGCCGTCCGCCATGCTGCTGGTACAGAGCATTGGAAAGCAGAGTACTCGTTTCCTCGTTGTCGACAACGTAGTGGAAGAGGCTGTTTCCAGCGACCACCTCCGCCGGGATTCTGTAGGCCTCGCTGACTTCCATCAGGTCGGCTAGAATGCCGTAGGCTCCCGGGATATCTTGCTCTCGCTTCAGACGTTCAATCGTGGCTAGGCCGCGTACTGTGGCATTATCCATAGAATTATTGAGAGTGCGGTTCGCTCTGTCCCTCTCCTGTCGTGCGTTCGAAATCTCGGTGTTCAGCTTGTCATCTTCACGTCGGAGCGCCCGCCTTTCGTCGTCCAGCTTCTGCACTTTGTCCTGAGCCTTAGACAGGCTCTCGGCGAGCGCCGTACGACGGGAGCCAAACCCTTCGATGCTTTTCCATAGGTGCTCGACATCTGTCTCTAGAGACACAATGAAACTCTTGGCTTCCTCAGTCTCTTCGGCAGCCGACACACGGTTGGCCCGGAGGGCACCAAGGGTGTTGTGTAGCTCAGACAGCTGTCCGTCGATCCACCGATCACGATCAGCCTTGTTTCTGAATCGGTCGCCCTGAGATTGCTTGTTGAGAAGCCGCTGTCGCCGTGCTTCTGTCGTCTGCAAGGTATGCCGAACCTCGGTTTCAGCGGCCTTCCGCTTTTCGAGGCCAGGGAGAATATGTGCCAGCTGGCCTTCTTTGGACGCAATTTCTGAGCGCACCGCCTTTAATTCGACATCGTGCTTCTGCTTGGAGAGTTCGACGACATTCTGGCTGTCGGCAAGACTCTTTACTTTCAGCTCTGCCTTGGCCTTACTCCGAGATATGTCGCGGGCGTCGTTTTCGTACTCTTGCCGGTCCATATTTAAAAGATCGAGCGAGCGCTGTAGCTCTAGGAGCTCGCCCTCAATCCTGGAAATAGCTTGTTCGCCGCTGAGAAACAGCTTTTGGTTTGTGCCAGAGTTGTCGGCACCGTCCTGACGCGTGCGGTCAATCTCCTCGAGAGCTTCTGTCAGAGCAACCTGGTGGTGGTGGTGAAAGGCGTATTCCAGACATCGTCGCTCCCGGTCCTTTTCTTGAAAGCCACGCAGCTCTTCCTTCTCCTCCTCCAGTTCGCTCATGCGAGACTTGATGTACTCAAGCAGCTCGTCGATTTTGGCTCTTTTGTTCTCTGTGTCGCCCATGATCTTGAGTGATTCGGCACGCCGTGCTTCGTAGCTCTCCGTACCAGCGACCTCCTTCAGCAGCTTGAGCCGGTCAGACTCCTTCATGTTGGTCAGGGCGGTCACGCGACCCTGGGGAACGATGTAGTAGGAGTTCTTCAGGGAGAACCCGGCGGTATCCAGCATGCTCATCACCTCGCTGCGGGTTGACACCTTCTTGTCGACGGCGTACTCGTCTTTCCGTAGACTGATGGTTCGCCGGAGCGAGACCTCCTTGCTGTTCGTCTGAAAGCGGTTATCGCTGTTGTCGAAGATGATTTCCACGTAGGCAGACAGCACGGCAGATCCAGAGCCCTCGTGAAGAAGAGCCTGGCGCTCCTCACGACTCAGCTGTGTGTAGGCATCGCCAAGAACGAAGCGAATGGCTGCGAAAAAATTGCTTTTGCCGGAGCCGTTGCGGCCAACAATAACGTTCGTGCCAGGAGAAAAAGGCTCCATGACCGTTTGGTCCTTGTAGCTAAGGGAAACTGTGTGAGACAGACATTCAGGTCACGGTGGCCAGATGAAGGTGATAGTAACCTTTTGAAGCCCTGGATGATGAGCTGTTTGATATACATGGTGTCGGTCGTTCGCTGCCAACGGGCAGCGGCGCTGGTTGGGAGAGGTAGAGAGAAGCTGCACAAAGCCACGAACCACAGACACAATCGCTATACAAAGAGTATGGGCTAGATAATGGGGCAGTTTGCCCTCTTGTCGATATTGTAGCGTCGCGACTGGTGATATTTTGCTAAATGGGGAAGCGACGCGTCGCGGGCGCAAAGGGACAAGACGTGTGCCCTCGCGCACGGACCACAAGCATACAACGCGGGGCACATACTCCGTATTTCTTACAGCTTCGTGCTCCATTATTAAGATTATTTAACTGGTCGAGAGATACGACCGTAAGGCCGCACACGGCAAGGTATCGTTAAAGCTGACGGGGAGACATCCACACGTTCAAACGTTCAGGCTGGGATTGTGATAAGCAGAATTGCGGCATGTATCTTATCTTACGTGAAAACGGTCGCGGTTGCCTTTTCGGATGCTTGAGGCCCACGTGATCCGTTGATCAGGATGGTCTTGCTTACTTGCATGGCACATGCATCCTCATAGAAGCTGATGTGTCTACATAGAGCTTCCGCTCTGATAACGCAACTCGATAGTGCAAGCACGATTTCTTCTTTTGGTCAAACAGCAGCAACAGACCGGATCGGTCGGGAGAGATTGCATTATCTGCCGCCTGGTCTGATGTTGGATCTGGCAGCTCTGACTCGAATGTCACACTGTAGAAAACGGAATAAATCGACTTTGGCTGACTTGAGGAACAAAAAGCTTTCTGCCCTCGTAGTACTGTTCTTCGTGCCAAGCGATCGACCACTTGCAGCAAAATAAAACTCTGCCTAGTGCGGTTCGAATCTGTCCTTTGGACGGCCCGTTATTGGCTGTGGGGACACCCTAGAGAAGTCACTTGCATTTTGTGCGGCAGTGCTGGTTGCGCCTTCCTGACAGTTGTCCGGAGACATTTTGCCCAAGGCAGCCGCCCTCGTGACGGGGAACCACAGGCAACAATCGCGAAAAATGATGACAGCGAGTCACAGGACCAGCGCGCACGGCTGGTTGCATATCAAACAGGCGCACTTACTTGCGACAGAGTAGCGGAGAATCTAATCGCACACTGCAATGGCTAATGCAGGGGAGGGAACACGGGAGACAGGGAGCGACTACCGAAGATTAGACACCGAAGAGGGCATGGAAGGACGAGATGCAACATGGAATGGAGGTGCAGGAGAATGCGGGAGCAGGGAACGCGACGTAATGGCAAGATAGCTGCACATGCTCCGTGGTAAGATACGTAGCTGTACGTAGTGCTGGCTGAGCAAGACGGAAAAAGAAATAATAAAATCGAAAATACGGAGTAACAAGATGAAAAATGGGAAGCTTGGGAAGTGGGGGGCGACAGAGCCACAGGTCGTGCGCGGTCCAGCCGGGTGCTTCAGGGGAGGAAAGGGCAAGTGAAAACGTGTATAAAAATACGCATTGTCATATAGACCGCCGCCTGCCCACTCTTTTTTCTTTCGCCCATCCCACCACCTACCTTGCCACGCATGGTGGCTCTCAGCAATAATAACTTAATCAGCAGCCTGCAGCCCAAACCACAACACAGCGGACTAGTGAGTGCCAATATCACACCACCCCCAAAAAGGCCGAGCTCCAACTAAATTTACGTCGGGAAAGCTCAGCTTCAAGTGCCGTCTCAACAGCCCAATCAAATTCGACAGCACTCCGGACTGACTTTATCGAGCCCGACCTTTTGAATCGGCACCACATTGCGCAAACTGCGAGAGATCCCGTGAGTAGTCGCATTTCCCGCATTAGCAAAACATGCAACACGTCATGGGCTTCGGCTTAGTACTCGTTCAAACGCGCTATCTACCTTTTTAAACCCTTGTATATTCTTTGATCTCTACCGCCCAGAAATGGCCCTGTATCACAGTATTACACAGCTCCCGTCGTGCCAGTATCATTTATATCGCCTTCCTAATTCCGCTCAGCGTCCTTCATCTATGCTTTCAGCCTCGGGCCTCTGCTGACCGTCTTTTCGCACTTGCAGCACGGAGATTTCTGCGGCATAGCCGATGCAGATCGCCGTTTGATTGGCTACTTGCCATTCTTTTGTTTTGACATGAAGAGTCGATATGGCGTCCAGGTAGGTCACGTGTCTATATCTGACCGCTTACTCCGATCGCATGCTAACAACTGCACAGACTTGACCGGCTTGTCACGTGAGTTCAATGCGACCACAGCTTCGAGCACTCACTTCTTGCTTCGCTTTCTACCGTCTGCTAACTTCGCTACAGAATCCTGGAGACGGGCAGTACTCGCCTGATCCGGGATACGGCCGTCAATCAATTGGCTGACTGGCAAAAGCAACATCCAGAAGAGCTATTCAACATCATTGGCCGAGTGGTTCCCTACTTGCGTCACAAGGACTGGGAGACGCGAAGCACAGCCGCCAAAGCATTGGGAAAGATCATTGAACATGCCGAGCCTTACGATCCAAATGCTGACGAGCAGAAGACAGAGCCTGTAGAGCTCAAGGAAGAGGACGAGAAAGCCAAGAAGGAAGAGCCGGAGGACGAGCCTGATGGTGTATCTGTGAAGAAAGAGGAGCAGAAAGATACGCTTTTTTTACAGGAGGAGTTCTATGCTCTGGACGCTCTCGACATCAACTCTGTCCTAAAGTATGGTCGAGAGCTACTCCGCGGAGGCAACCCTGACCTAGTTCTTGCTGCGTTGGGACCTCAAGATCGCTTAACTCACCAGAAAAAGACACTGAATGGCCGTCTGGGGCTTTTGGGGCGGTTGTTTGAGGATGACGAGATCCCTATTCCAATCGATGCCATAAAAAATGGCAGCAGTGGCAACGGCGACGAGAACGCCCTCTCAACACCACAGGAGTCATCCGGCGCCAATGGACACGGTCACCACGAGAACGGGGATGCAAACGGGTCGTCGAATACGACGGGCCAGCACTCGGACGAATACGGAGGACTAAGCTCCCGGCAACTGAACGTTTTGAAGCGCAAACGGAAGCGCGAGCTCCAACGGGCAGCCCAGGGAAAGAGCGGATTCGGCGACCTGTCACTTCGTCGTACCGCTACAGGAGGCACCGAGGCGTTTGGTGACGAATCCCTTCTTGATGGCGATATGAAGAAGAACGGCAAAGTCACAGAGTACTTCAACCTCGAGAGGCCAAACGATGTAGACGAAGAAACAAAGGTCGTTTCGGAATTCAAAGGCCCCGTGGTGCCCATCAAGGCAGAAATCGATGTTGACGAAGGCGACGGGGGGGTGGAATGGCCGTACGAGCGTCTGTGCGAGTTCTTGAAGGTCGACTTGTTCGATCCGGGCTGGGAGACACGGCACGGTGCTGCCATGGGCTTGCGGGAGATTATCCGGGTCCACGGTGTCGGTGCTGGTCGAGAGAAGGGCAGGACTCGCGTCGAAAACGACGAGGCCAACCGCAAATGGCTAGACGACCTTGCCTGCCGACTCTGTTGCGTCTTGATGCTCGACCGGTTCACTGATTTCAGCTCGGACACATCGGTTGCACCGATCCGTGAGACTGTTGGCCAGACGCTCGGTGCGGTGCTCTTCCATGTGCCGGCAGAGTCGGTGCACTCCATCTATCGCATTCTCTTGCGCCTGGTCATGCAGGAAGACCTGCAGCTCGACCGCCACGTCTGGGCTGTATGCCACGGCGGCATGGTCGGTCTGCGCTACGTCGTGGCCGTGCGCAAAGACCTGCTTCTCCAGCACAGCAGCATGATCGATGGCGTTGTCAGTGCTGTGATGAAGGGCCTTGCGGACAACGACGACGATGTCCGGTCTGTCAGCGCTGCGACGTTGATCCCAATGGCAAAGGAATTTGTCACTATGCGGCCGTCTGCCCTGGATGGCCTCATCAACATCGTGTGGGAGAGCCTATCGAGTCTGGGCGACGATCTGAGCGCGTCAACTGGCAAGATCATGGACCTACTCGCCATCCTGTGCAGCTTCCCACAGGTGCTGGATGCCATGAAGACTTCGGCGGAGAAGGACGAGGAGCGGTCCTTCACGCTGCTCGTGCCGCGGCTGTATCCTTTCCTGCGCCACACCATCACATCCGTCCGGCTTGCGGTGCTCAAGGCGCTCATGACATTTGTTCACATCGACAACGAGACCTCCCAGGGTTGGCTCAACGGCCGGATCCTACGGCTCGTGTTTCAAAACATCATTGTGGAACGAGACAGAGAGACGCTGTCAGCATCGCTCGATCTCTGGTCTTCCCTCGTCCGGTGTCTGGCGAAAGCGGATGCGGCAGCGCTGGCTCTCGAGTTCCATCCGCATGTGGATGCCATGATGCAGCTGACGCTTCACCCTATCGGCGTGTCGCGAAACCCGATGCCGATGAAGCCAGGGCTGTTCCTGAAGCCGTCAGGCGGCGTGTATGCAACGCCCAGCAGCTGGACCCCGAGCTCGGCCCGCAAGGCGTCGCCTCCAGATAGCGTCGAACGATCGGTCAAGCGACGACGGAAATCTACGCGGGTCGACGACACGCCGGTCACGACGAGCTCCCACGACGTTGACGGTGCGATGATGCAGGGTGATGTCGACGTGGTTGGCATTGAAACGATGGTGCGGTCGCGCATATCGGCAGCGAAGGCGATGGGACTGCTGATGTCCTTGGTGCCAACGGCGGAGCTGGAAATGTACGACGCCAGCATCCTGCCAGGGCTCACATCTGCACACTCGACGACGCAGCTGGCAGCGTGCACGGTGGTGGAAGAGTACGCAAAGGGCTGTGGGGAGGCAGCGGAGAGCAAGCGGTTTGTGGAGCCGCTGCAGAAGATTGTGGAGACGGAGCGGCCGTCGCACTACAGCGATCTGGTCAGCTTCATCCAGCGGGTGCGCTCGCAGTGCTCGCAGCTCATCCACATGTTCCGGGACCACGGCAAGGTATCGGAGGCGCGGGTGCCCCGTCTGGCGCCGCTCTGTCAAGGCGAACCGGCGGCCGGTCCGGAGGCGTTCTCGGTCACGCATGCGGAGAAAGTTGTGAAGGAGGACTTTGAGAAGCTGAAGCGTATCATGGCACCTGGACAGCGGCTCATAGCCAGTCAGCACCTGTCGGAGGCGCGGGACTCTGCGATAGAGGCCATCAAGGAGGCCAAGACGGCCAAAGAGAGCCGGGACATTCGAATTCGGGCGGCGGCAGCGTGCGGCCTCGTGGCGATGAAGATTCTTCCGAAGAAGCCGAGCCCGCTGATCAAGGCGATTATGGACAGCGTCAAGACAGAGGAGAACCAGGACCTTCAAAACCGGTCAGCAGCGACAATCGCGCGGCTCGTGCAGCTGTTCACGGAGACAGGCCGCCGCGGACCAGCCGACAAGGTGGTCTCGAACCTGGTTAAGTTCTCGTGTGTCGAGGTGGCTGAGACGCCCGAATTTCCGGTGCATGCGGCCAAGCTCACTGTGATCCTCTCGATGCACAAAGAGGAGGACCGTGTGGACCACGCGGACGCGGTGAAGTGGGCCAGGGAAGCCAAGGCGGCCCGTGTGACGCGGCGTGGTGCCAAGGAAGCACTGGAGAGGCTGTCGCAGAACTTTGGGCCGTCTGTGCTGGAAAAGGTGCCGAGCCTGCGGACGTTTATGGAAGAGCCGCTGCGACGGGCGTTTTTGGACACTCTGCCAGATGAAGCACGTGACCCGGAGCAGACATTTGGGCAGGAGATTGTGGATGCAATGTCAGTGATGCGGATGCTGACGCCGACATTCGACGAGGCTGTGCGGCCGTTTGTGCTGGAGATGGTGCCGCTGGTGATCAAAGCACTGCACTCGGAGCTGTCGGTGTTCCGGTACATGGCCGCGAAGTGTCTGGCGACGATCTGCAGCGTGATCACGGTGGAGGGCATGACGGCGCTGGTGCAGCAGGTTTTGCCGTCAATTAACAACCCGGTCGACCTGCACTACCGACAAGGGGCGATCGAGGTGATCTACCACCTGATTGCGGTGATGGGCGACCGGATCTTGCCGTACGTGATCTTCCTGATCGTGCCGGTACTGGGACGGATGAGCGACTCGGACAACGAGGTGCGGCTGATTGCGACGACATCGTTTGCGACATTGGTCAAGCTGGTGCCGCTGGAGGCAGGGATTCCGGATCCGCCGGGGCTGTCGCCGGAGCTGCTGGCGGGCCGCGACCGCGAGCGGACGTTCATCCAGCAGCTGCTGGACCCGAAGAAGATCGAGCCGTTCCACATTCCGGTGGGCATCAAGGCCGAACTGCGGTCGTACCAGCAGGAAGGCGTCAACTGGCTGCATTTCCTCAACAAGTTCCACCTGCACGGGATTCTGTGTGACGACATGGGCCTTGGCAAGACGCTGCAGACAATCTGTATCGTGGCGAGTGACCACCACCAGCGGGCGGAGGAGTTTGCGAAATCGGGAGCGGTCGAGGTGCGGCGCATGCCATCACTGGTGGTGTGCCCACCGACGCTGTCGGGTCACTGGGCGCAGGAGATCAAGGCGTACGCGCCGTTTCTCAGCGTGGCGGCCTATGTCGGGTCTCCGGTGGAGCGAAAGGGGCTGCGAGGCGGGCTGGGCGAGACGGACATCGTGATCACGTCGTACGACGTGTGCCGCAACGATGTGGAGGTGTTGGAGGCGCACAAGTGGAACTACGTGGTGCTGGACGAGGGCCATTTGATCAAGAACCCGCGGACGAAGATCAGCATGGCGGTCAAGAAGCTGCAGAGCAACCACCGGCTAATCCTGACGGGCACGCCGATCCAGAACAACGTGCTGGAGCTGTGGTCGCTGTTCGACTTCCTGATGCCGGGCTTCCTGGGAGCAGAGAAGGTGTTCATGGACCGGTTTGCCAAGCCGATCGCGGCCAGCCGGTTCGGCAAGGCTTCGTCCAAAGAGCAGGAAGCAGGGGCACTGGCAATCGAAGCGCTGCACAAGCAGGTGCTACCGTTCCTGCTGCGGCGGCTCAAGGAAGAGGTGCTGGAGGACCTGCCGCCGAAGATCCTGCAGAATTACTACTGCGACCTGAGCGAGCTGCAGAAGAAGCTGTTTGACGACTTCTCGCGACGCGAGTCCAAGAAGATTGCCGAAGAGGCCGGGCGGGACGACAAGGAGGCCAAGCAACACATCTTCCAGGCGCTGCAGTACATGCGCAAGCTGTGCAACTCGCCGGCGCTGGTGATGCGGCCAGGACACCGGATGTACGACGAGACGCAGCGACTGCTGGAGCGACAGGGCAGCAGCATCGAGGACCCGAACCACGCGCCGAAGCTGACGGCCCTGCGCGATCTGCTGGTGGACTGCGGCATTGGGGTGGAGGGCGACGGAGACGGCAGTGACCCGCTGTACCAGCCGATCAAGCCGCACCGAGCGCTGATCTTCTGCCAGATGAAGGAGATGCTAGACATGGTGCAGAACACGGTGCTAAAGAGCATGTTGCCGTCGGTGTCGTATCTGCGGCTGGACGGGTCGGTGGAGGCGAACCGGCGGCAGGACATTGTCAACCGATTCAACAAGGACCCCTCGTACGACGTGCTGCTGCTGACGACAAACGTGGGCGGACTGGGGCTGAATCTGACGGGTGCCGACACGGTCATCTTTGTGGAGCACGACTGGAATCCACAGCGAGATCTGCAGGCGATGGACCGGGCGCATCGCATTGGGCAGAAGAAGGTGGTGAACGTATACCGGCTGATCACGCGCGGGACGCTGGAGGAGAAGATTCTCAGTCTGCAGCGCTTCAAGATCGACGTGGCCTCGACGGTGGTGAACCAGCAGAATGCCGGCCTGGCGACGATGGACACGAACGAGATCCTCGACCTGTTCAACCTGGACGACTCGGGGCCGAATCTGCTGACAGACAAGGGTAGTGGTGCGGGTGGTGGAGACGGGGGCGGCGTGCGGGAAGAAGACATGGTCGACATCGAGACGGGCGACGTGCGCCAGCCGGGAAAGAAGGCTGCCTGGTTGGAGGAGCTGGATGAGCTCTGGGACAACCGGCAGTACGAAGAGAGCTTTGACCTGGACGGGTTCCTGCAGACGATGCATTAGAGGAGGGGGAGGGGGGAAGAGAACAGGGAAGGGCAATAAGGATAGGAAGGCAGAACAGGGGAATGACAGGGAAGACGAGCATGAAAGGCTGGAGCGTTGGCGTTTTGGGGAAGGGCATCGGCAATGGCAGTGTGCAGGATGGATGGAACAGCTTGTATCTTTGCTGGTAGTGATTTGCAATGCGGAGTCTCCACTTTTTTTATGTCCAAAAGGTGGGGATGTTCTTATCGATAAGAGCAGGAGACCCCGCTGCGGTTTCTAGGGTGTTCTGTAGAAGGGCAGAAGGGCAGCAAAAGAGCAGCAAAAGAGCAGCAAGAAGCATCACCATCACCACACATACACCAAACAGTCAAGATGCCGGTCGACTACAGCAAATGGGTAAGCAAGGGGGATCTGATGGCAGGCTTCGTATATCGGTACTGACCAGACAATGACAGGACGCGCTGGAGCTCAGCGACGACTCGGACATTGAGGTGCATCCGAACGTAGACAAGCGGTCGTTTATCCGGGCGAAGCAGAACCAGATTCACATGGAGCGGCAGCAGCGGCGGCACCAGATTGAGACGCTGCGGTACGAGCGGCAGATCAACGACGGGCTAGCGCGGCGGATCGCGGGACTGCTGGCGGTGCTGCGATCGCACGCGGACGAGGCGCGAGCGAGCAGCGATGTGAACGCAGCAGGAGCGGTGGCGTTCCGGGCCGTGATGGAGAACGCGTCGCAGATGAAAGCAGGCGAAGACCGGCCGCCGAAGCCGCCGGCGGGGGTGCACGCGGCTGTCGAGCAGCCGGAGACGTACACGAAGATGATGGCGGCGCTGCTGGACCAGGTCAACAAAGCGCTGGCAGAGCGGCAGCTGGAGGGCGCAGCACGCTACGACGCCATGGTGGCCGAGATCGAGGGCCACGGGGACAAGGTGGCCGACCTGCAGCGACAGCTGGAGCAGAAGCTGGCCGAGCTGGAGCGCGAGCAAGCGCGCAAGATCACCAGCGACAGCATCCACACGGGCTTCAACAGCTCGCACGTGACCAAGGCGACAGCAGAGCCAGGGGACAGCGGGGGGAAGACGGAGCTGCTGAATCCAGGGTATGGTCTGGGCGGCAGCACGGCGACGAAGGCAGCCGAGAACACGATGACAACAACAACAGCAGCAGCAGCAGCAGCAGGCATCGACGACGACGACGACGAGGTTCCGTCGACGTCGGAAGCAGCACGGCAATTTGCCAACATTCGGCCGGGCAGCCACGCCGAGAGCCAGGCATTTATCCGGACGCATCCGGAGCTGGTGGCATCGGACCGGGAGCTGGAAGGCATCCTGGTGATGGCGTTTGACGCCGAGTTTGCGGGTGACAGCGAGGCAGCGCGACGGTTTGTGCACCAGGCGACGCTGCTGGAGTTTTGTCGAGCGCTCGGCCGTGACGGCGTGCTGCTCTTCTTCAGGCGCATGGCGACGGCCGGCCACCAGGCCCAGGACGTCTTCCGCCGCGACGTGCAGGAAAAGTACGGCCGGATCCACGAGCGGGTGCGCGAGATCAACGCGCAGAAGGCGGCCAGCGCGGCCAGCGGCGTCGACGGCGTCGAGCAGATCCAGCGGCATGCCGTCGAGCCCGGTACCGTCATCAACATCCACATCCCGCCGACCGGCAGCGAATCCGACGTCAGCAGCGAGACCTTTGCCGCACGGCGCATCTTTGACGGCTTCCGGCCCGAGATGAAAAAGGCCCTCGAGTCCGGCAGCCTTGACCGGGTCAATGAGGTGTTGGGCCGGATGACCGTGACGGATGCGGAGGCGCTGGTCGGCCAGTTTTCCGAGGTGAGTCCGGACGTTTGGGGCTCGTCTAGGCAGCGTCCTTGTGCTCACATCTCACATCCCAGGCCGGCATCCTCAGCATGGAGGACGAGATTATCGACGCGACCACCGAGGAGGGCCGACAACAGCTCAAGGAGATGGGCCGGGAGGACGAGGACGAGGTCGAGGACGAGACGCCGGCCAAGACCGAGACCAAAGAGGAGGAATACCCAGACCCGGAGTAAGACGGGCTGGGCTGTTCCGGGGGGCTTGCATATTTGTCGGCTTAGTCAGCAGTTTAGTCAGTAAGTCAGTATAGCAGAACATGTTCTTTCCCTGACTGTACACTGTAGGAGATATTCAGTTTGTTTCTTTCTTTTCTCGCTTCCACTTTGTCTTGTTCCTTCTTTCTCTGTTCGGGCCTCAGACCCGCTTCTGGAAGCAGGACGTGCAGACGGCCTGGCCCTGGGCGCCGCCGAAGCGAAAGGTCGGGTAGGCGATGCGGCCGACGCGAGCGAGACGGCCGGCGGTAGGGTCGGGGCCCGGGGCAGTCATCCAGGCGTCGAGCTCGGCCTCGGTCCAGTTGCAGCTGGTGACGAGGAAGCGGCCGCCGGGACGGAGCAGCCGAAGGACCTGGCCGAGGTAGAGCGACTCGACGGTATCCGTGTCTTGGGTGGAGGTGGTGTCCGCGTCGGCGAGTCCGTGGCCGAGGCTGACGGCATCGAACGTGCCCTTGTCCAGGACGACATCCCAGGAACCAGCCGGCAGACCGAGCGCGTCCGCGTCGCCGCGCAGAACGTCCCACTCGGCCAGAGCGATGGCCGGTCGCATCGTGTCGTCGGTGTCGTCGGTGTCGTCGGTGTCATTGGTGTCGGCCGTCACCTGCCGCGCCAGCACGATGCTCGCTGCGCTGTAGTCCACGCCCAGCAGACAGACCTCGCCGGCCACGATCGTCCGCTCGGCCAGCTCGTCGCGCACAGCCCGCAGCAGAGACCCGTTGCCGCAGCCAAGATCAATGACCCGCAGCGACGGCCGCGACGCGGAACCGTCGCTGCTGCCGTCGGCGTCTGCCTCCAGGAAATCTCCCAGATACGATACCATGCGCGTCTCGGCATCGACGTCGTCAAACCACACCGTGCCCGTGTCCGCCGGGTTGCCCGCGTGGTTGGCCAGCTCCGTCGCATAGAGCGAATCCCAGCTGCAGACCCGTCAGCATCCACTCGGCTCTCTCCATCCACTGCCACTGCCTGTACCTACTACTCCTTCGTCCCCAGCTCGGACGGCGCCAGGTGCGCCGGTTTGGGCGCCATCGCTTCTTCACACGGCTGGCTGTTGTTGTCAAGCCGTTGGCCAGCGGCAGAAAAACGGCAGAATGCAGAAAACATCACCAAGGCGGTGAAGCAGGCACTGCACATACTACGTACATTGGTCCTCGCCACAATTCGTGTCAATTCATCGTAACAACCGCCCTATACATATCCATTTCTTCTCCCGGGCTGTGACCTCTGCTCAGTCTTCGTCCATCGCCTCGACCTCTTTTCCCCGTCTTGACCGCGACCGCGACGGCAGCGATCGATTGCCACCACGACCTCGCCGCCCGTCTGTAGGCGGTCTCGTCTCTGTCTCGACTTCCTTGTCCTCTACTTCCTTCTCCTTTTCCTCTTCTGCACCCTCCACCTCTCCACCCTCCACCTCTCTGCCCTTCTCTCTACCCTCCTCTCCACCCTCCTCTCCACCCTTCTCCTCTCCACCCTCCTCTCCACCCTCCACCTCTCCATTCCCCCCCTCTTCCTCACCCTCTCCTCCCTCCGAGTCGGATGCCTGCCGCAACGACTGTCCCCAGACGCCGCTCGTCGCTCCGTTTCGTCTCTGCCGACCTTCTGTGCCTCGCCGACTGTCGTCCTCGTCGTCGCTCCCCCTAAGATACTCCCACTCGGCCACGCCGTCCAGCATCTCGTCGTCGTCTTCGTCCGAGTCGCGCTCAATGTACGACTGCTGTGCCCGTCCGGATCGGCCGCTACGCCTCCGCTCCGAGTCTGGAATCGTCCGAGTCGGCGTTGTCGTCGGCTTGGCTGTCTTCTTCGGCCTCGGCGTCCTGCTGCTACTCGTGCTGCTCTTCTTGGGCCCCGACCCCGTCGTCGTCCTCTCTACCCGTGGCTGCGACGGCCGTGACGTCTTGGCTCGCTTGGCCGCCTGCTGCGTGGCGTCGTGCAGTAGGTGGTATTCGTCGGTAGATTTGCGCTTCTGTTTCGTTAGTGATTACTAAGCATGCCCCCTCTCGTCATCACCCACACACCCACACTCACCTTCTTTCGCTCCGTCGCCTTCAACAGATCGTCAATCTGGTCCTCTACTCCCTCCGGCACGTACTGCTTCCGTGCAATCTCCAGGGCCACTTCGTGCGACGGCAGCGGCGCGTACAGCCCCTGCGGCACGCCCACCTTGTCGGCGTGCGGCTCCAGCACCCAGCCCTTGCGCTGCTGGAACCGACGAATCGTCGCCTGCGTCAGGTCCGACAGCAGGTACAAATTCTCGCTGCAGCCAGCGTCGATGCCGTCCAGCGTCTGCTTGACCCGCTCGGCATACTTGTTGATCAGGCCCAGATTCGCCTCCGTCGCCACGTTGCTGAGGTAGAACAGCACGTAGCGCGCGTGGTCGACCTGCTCGTCCGGCTCCGTCGTAAAGTCGGGGTGGTGCGCCAGCAGCGAGATCAGCCGTGCCACGAGGCCCTCCATGACGGCCTGTCGTGCTTGTTGGAAATGGCGAGCACGTGACCGGATCCACGTCTCGACCTGGTGTCGGAACTCAGCGTTGGGCTCAAAGGCTGCCAGGAAGACGATGGTGTAGAAGCGCGGCCGCAGCCGGCCCAGCACCAGGTACTTTTGCAGCTTCTCGATGAAGCCGTGCCGCACCTCGGGCGCCGGGTCCTGCGTCGTCAGCGCCAGCGCGTTAAAGTCGGCCGGCGACAGCAGCTCGTCAAACTGCCGGTTGGCACAGATCTTGAGGACCGCCTGGGCAGCCGCCAGCCGGAGCCGTGCTCGATGGTGTGCTGGCGTCTCGCCCGTCCGCGACGCCTCACCATCCTTGGCCACAAAACGGATCAGCAGCCGCAGAATGTGGCGTCCGTCCTTCTTGGCCTCCTCACCATCCTCCGTCCCCAGCAGCTGCTGCACCAGGAACCGCAGACACAACACCTTGGCCCGGCCCTCCTCGTCCAGCTCTGCATCACTCGCCCAAGCTGGGTCGCCCGCGCTTGCTGCTGTCCGCACGTTGCGCAGCGTGTCCATAACCAGCTTGCGCACGTCGTCTTCGGTGTCTGCAATCACGGCCGGCGCTAGTCGTGCCAGCTGACTAAGCGTCACCAGCTTGTTGAGGAATCGCGGCCCATCAAAGCCCAGATCGCACGTCGCCTTCTGCGCCAGCTCCGTCGCGCTGACCATGCTCGTCTCGTCCCGCGTCGCCAGCAGGATGTTGACCGCATACTTGGCCGCCTTTTCCGGCCGCCCGTACAGCGCAAAGCTGATCCACGCCTGCGCAAACGTGCGCTCCCGCGGCACCTCCTGCGGATACTTGGCCGCGTACGAGGCACACGCCTTGAGCGAGTCCATCACCACTGGGTCGTTCTCGCGCGTCTCCGTCGGCGCCTGTGTGGTCAGCTCCTTGCACAGCTCGCCGATCGTCGTCTTGAACAGCCCCGGGTTGCGCTGCGACACCTCCTTCAGCATCTCGTTAGCCGTAGCTGCCAGCTCAGCCTGTCCGCCCTTGGAACACTCCAGAATCGTCGTCAGGTGACTGCGGTTGAACATGATGCAGCCCGACCGGTACAGCAGTGGTAGCAGCGTGTCCAGCACCCCGCCCGCCCCGACCGCCTGCAGCTTCTTGACCAGCTCCTTCATCGCCCGGTACATGGTCGTGAAGTCGTGCTCTGGCCCGGTCACAAAGCGGATCAGCTGGTAGCTGCGCCGGTCGTTGAGCCGGGCGAACTTCTGCAGGTCGGCCTTGACCTTGGGTCCGTCCGGGAAGAATTGCGCCAGGTACTGCATGCTCTTCTCGAGTCCAGGCCCGGCCTTGCGTCCGTCTTCCCCCACGCCGCCGTTGTAGGCTTCGCACTGCTTCAGGAACCCGTCCACGATGCGGGAGAACTGTGGCTGTCGGCTCTGCAGCGCAAAAAACGCCCGTTTGGCCCCCGCGTCCAGCGACCGCACCAGCAGAAGAATCCGCTCCGCCCGCAGCGCGTCTCCGTCCACGCCGCTGCCCGACGCCGATGACACTGCCGCCTTCTGCTGGTGTGATCGCCCGTTGGCTGCCTTGGCCGCCTTCTTGACCGCCGGATACGACAGCGGCACCAGGTACTCGTACGCGATCCGGTCCACCAGCAGGTTGAGCTCCAGGTCGTTGGCGTAGATCGCGTTGAAGATGCGCGACGGCACCGCCCCCAGAGCCGTCGTGACCGCCTCGTCGCCCGCTGCCAGCTCGCCTGTCGCCGCTGCCCAGAGCTTTCCCAACAGCGCCATAGCCTCCACCCGCACATGCGATTTGCGGTCGCGTCCGCGATCGGCCAGGTTCGCCAACACCGAACCCTCTTTCGACACGCCGCCGTGCGGCGCCAGCTTCGTCATCACGTCGCGGAAGCTAAAGCACTCAATCGCCTTCACCGCCGCCAGCCGCACCTTCTCGTCGCTGTCGTTGAGCTTGTCACCCAGCCCCAGCACCAGCGCTGTCTCCTCCTCGCGGCTGAGCCCAATCCCGCCTGCAGACGTCGACAGGATATAGCCTGCCGCCGTCACCCACGCCGTGCGGATCAGCCCCGACTTGTCGTTCTTGCGGTTGATGAAGCTCTGGTAGATGTGCGCATGCGTCTGCGCAAACGAGTGCGGCGACGTCGGCGTCGTCAGCACGCTGTCCGATGCCCGTGCTGTCGGCTCGTCCGAGAGTCGTGGGGCCGGATATGCCGCCGGGTCCAACGTCGGCGGCGCCGGCGGTCCCGCTGCCCCGATCCCCGAGATCATGTCGCCCAGTGTTTCCGAAGCCAGCTTGCGCAGGTACACATTGTCGGCTGACAGCTCCGCCTCCAGCTGTGGCACCACGTTGCTGAGCACCTGCGGCGCTGCCCGCCATAGCTCGCGCAGCAGCAGATGGGCCTTGCGCATCTCGCGCAGGTCCGCGTCCGACGGCCCATTCAAGCCCTCGTCCTCCTCCGCCTCCTCGTCCGACTCCTTGCCGCCCTTGTGTCCGTTTGCCCGGTTGCCACCGGCTCCAGGCCCGCCGTTGCCGCCTCCCACACCCGAGAAGTCGATGATCACGTCGCTAAAGTACTGCGCCACCGAACGCGTCATCTTGTCCGCGCACGTCAGGCAGATCAGCTTCGCGATCTGGTATGCCGGTGGCTCCTCCTTTAGCAGCAGCGTTGACTGGTACCGGTCCAGCTCCTCCTTGTCCGGCACGCCCTTTTCGCGAAGAACTCCTGGTGCTGCCGCTCGCAGGAACTGGGCCATGATCACGTCTACCACCTTGGGCGGCACACTGGAGCCCTCCTCGATCAGACAGATCAGAATGTCGCTGATGTCGTGTTCCACGTCCGTCGGAAGGCGGCCCCCCGTCACATTCTTGGGCGCCGACACCGCGTCGAAGAGCGACGAAAACAGCTGCAGCTGCAGCGCGTCGCTGTTGTCGAGGTCGTTTAGCAGCACGATGCTGCGCACCTCCGACAGCGAGTGCAGCACGTACTTGTGTTGCGCATCGTACGTGTTCGACGGGTCCTGCAACGCCGGCAAGATCGAGTATATAAAGAGCCCAAACACGTCCTGCAGCTGTGTCTGGGTAAAGGGCGCGTTCGGTGCACAGAGGCACAGGATGTCTACCAGACACGCCGCCGCAAACGCCTTGACGCCCTTGTCCTTGTGGTTGAGGAGGTTGTGGTTTGCCAGCTCCTTCGACACCTTGGTCAGAGACTCGGCATCGAACGTCTCCTGGTCGAGATCCGAGAGCTCGCGGCTGAGAGCATCGAGCCGACGGATCAGCTCCTCCGTCGCGATCGGTTTCCCCGGCCGCCATGAGAGAGGCTCGCTGAAGCTCAGCACGACAGGCCTGTCGCCCTGGCCTGTTGTTGCTTCTGCGGTTGCCTCCTCTTCTACTCTGTCTGCTGCTTCTTCTTCTCCCTCTTCTCCCTCTTCCTCCTCTGCCTGTTCTTCTGGCTCTGCCAAGGTCTCCGACTCGGGCTCGGCCTGGCCACGGCCGCCGCTCTTCTGTGTCCTTCTCTGTCCTCGGCCTGCGGCAGCCTGGCGTGATGCCCTGGTTGTGCTTTCTGGTGCTGGTACCTCGGTCTCCTTGGCAGCCACCCCGTTCTTGGCCGCCGCGCGTCGGCGAGCAGGAGCCATGACTGGCTGCAGCACAGCCAAAATCTTTCGAGACGATTGGGCCGGTCGTCGGGAGATGCTCGTCGAGAGATTCCTGCTGCGTTGGCAGACGATCGTGATAACCTGAATTCTCTGGCGCAAGAGACTGACGCGAAATTCGCCCCGGTGAGATAAATTCGTCCCGGCAGCAGAACAAACGCAAGCTTGAGGGGCCAATTAAAGACGAAAGCCGGAAATATAGGAGTGAACCGGCTGGATTGTCGCTGAATTACCAGGCGAGAAAGTAATCGTTGGGTGCGCAAAGGAAGAGGGGAAGGTGGTTACGCGATGAAATACGGTCTTCATTTATTATGTTCCTTTTTTTTATTAGGGGCGCGACGGTTCGAAGAGCAGAGGCTGCAGGGAGTCACTTCCCCATAACACGCGCCGCTTCCAATAGCTCTGAATTCGCACCACGTCGCGAAACGGCCAACGCTTTGGCTCATTGGCTGGATCAGCGGTCAACAAGTGTCCACAGGTCACATGCTCGTCACGTGATGATATCGTGCATCGACCGCCTTGCTTCGCACTCCAACTTCTGATTTCACTGTGCATTGCAGACGCTTTTTCTGCTGCATTAGAAATATAATATGACACCAAAGTGCTGAGCGAACGCTCGGTCTCATCCAAGCTATAGGCCGACTGGCACCTGGACTAGCACATGAACTAGCATAGGGGCTGACCAGTCAAGAGACTGGCCGGGAGGTATGGACTGGCTATGACAACCTATAGCTAACTAATCTACCCTTGAACGTGGCCAAATACACGCCGCATTTATTTAGTAATTATTTAATAACTACGTTTGCGAAGCAGATGGGTTCCTGCGTGTTAGGAAGTTTTAAGACCTTGCTTGAATCTACTTGATATGTATAAGAGGCTCCCCGATTTTTATACCGAAATAGATGAGTATACCTGATTCCTATATGTCTCGCATGCAACATCTGATCTCTCACGTATCCTGGGATTATATGTTCGTCTTATTATATTACCGTCGTTTCGAGCTTTGGATCATGGATCTCTCATACTTCTACGACTGGATATGGATATCACTGTCCACTGTAATTCGTCGTGATAAAAGTAACCAACGCATAGATAAAGGCATACGTAGGGTTTGTGCTATTATATCAAACAGGCCTGCTTAGAGCTACTAACAACAGCCCCCATTGCCGACAGAAAAACAGACGTCTGGAGCATCACGGCCGTATTTCGCTTCGTTTTGTCGACGCGTCAAGGCCGTCTAACTCGGCTCTTCTTCGCGGTTGAATTTCGCCGAGACGCTTTTTGTTTGTGTAGGTCCGATTCCCATCTCCGGGCAACGGTCACCTCGCAGGTTCAAACAGCTATAAAATAGCTCCTCTTCTTCCTCGTCTTTCCCTTCTATTCTTCACCTCGTTCTTCTTCACCCCCCAAAACATCCACACTCGTTTTTATCAACCCTGTCCCGCCCACCAGCAAATATATTCAGATATCCTGTATCCCCTCATATCTCTTATCGTTAATATAACTCTACGTTCTTAATATCTGCTTCAGGTAAGTATTCCGGGCTTCCAACCGTGGCAGCCATGATACCCTTCCTCCCAGGACCCCTTGCTTCGTTTTCATTACCGTTTCTCGAGCACAACACATTCAAATTCACCAATTGCCAGCCCTCAATATCCTGTGGCATGCTTCGATCCGTGTTCCAGTATTTTTTTGCTTTCAATAACCCAGGGTCCCTTTGTTTCCAGTCGGGAGCTCTTTCGGTGGAAAAAAACTGCAAATTTGCGTTCCTTCCTGATCCTTTTCATTTAAACTCAGTCCGTCGTCACTTCCGTCACATCTATATCTATATGCTATTTCTTCCCTTCTCAGAAAAGCGTCTTTCATTTCATCACCCCACGTCTACCAGCCCGAACAGTCTCAGCTTGCTTGTGTCTAATTTTTTAGGAGACCTGTATCGCTCTAACAAAAAACAGACACCTTTCAAAAAGTAGGATTACCTGTTTTTGAGTCAACAAAATGGATGCCACTATGGATCAGAAAGCCGAGTATCCTACCGTCTACGTTGGTGAGACCCGTGCTATTGGCGGCAGGGCGAAGCTTCGCCGTTTCACGATGACCGGCATGAAGCTTGTCTTCATGTCCCTCTTTCTGGGTGTCTGCCTTGCCTTGGTGTACAAGACAATTTCAGGTACGCAGACCTCACAGTGTTGCATCGAGATTCCGTTGCTGACCAGCAAAGACAAGCAAAACTACGACAAGCTCCTGGCCAAGTACAACCGCGTTGTTCAGGATGGCCGATCTGCAGACCAGCTGCGTCCTACCGCGATCCTCCATCGTGCTGTCGAGGCCGGTAACTTGTCGTATACCTATACTACGACCACTTTGACTAAGGGTACGACAGTTACTCTGACCACGACTCCGTCAACTACTGTTGTGGCTACTACAAGCTCCGTCTCTAGCACGGGTGCCAGCGTGAACAGCAGCACAGTCAGTGGCTGTGGATCGATTGTCCCTCAGATTGTCACTGTCACTGTGCATGATTCAATCGGAGCTGCTTCTTACACTGCATCTTCCTCGGGGCCGGCTAGCATGGCTACCTCCATCATTGCTTTGTCCCCGAAGCCATTCTCGACCCGCGTCACTACGACTACAATCTTGGTCACTGCCAGCAGCTCAGCTCCGCCTGAGACACAGACTGCCACACTCACCTCGACGGCTGTGATTGTAGTGACCGCCACGGAGCTGGCTACGGCTGGTGTGTCTGCCAACAGCGGTGTCTCGGCTAGCACTGTGGGTAACATGTTTGGTAGCTTGTCTGCACCCAGCCACTTTCCCAACAGAACCAGTACAGCATATGGCAGTGCTTATGCCACCACGGTCAACTACACGATGACTGTGCCCCCTATTGGTACAGGCACAGCAAAGCTGCTCACGACGCACGGAACAACCACCAGCCGCAGCGACCCGGTTCAGACGGTGATGTCTGCCTCGGGCGACCGCAAGGTAGTTTGCGGAAGTGCCATCATGCTGTCCGTGGTCCTCATGGCCTTCATTGGCCACATCTGATTTATCTTTGACAATATTCTGGTCCTTGGTACATGGGTGCTTGCCGAATGCTGATTTTGGGACGATGATGAAAGATGCGAGGGACAATGGAGGGATATGCCGCATCATGAAGATAGCTAGGTACCTGGGAGACATTGTATTCAAAACCCATTTATTTACGACCGTCACGCAGAGATGAATGATGTATTACGTCTTGTCTATAGACCAGGCAACAGAAGAGACATCCCAGAAGCCAGCCTACGACTGTCATGTAGGTATACCCAGTTCGATGATTGATATAGTGAGTGCGACGGTAAAACAAAACTGGTATTGTTGCTCTGTTAGAGCACCCTGTGCTCTTGACGACCCATTCCCTTTTCGCATTCTACCTGGCCGCCCAGCCAGAAGAGAAGATAAGCAGAGGAATAGAGCAGCGGCCAACGCCATACCCAACCTGATTGGTGTCATGCTGAACCCCGAAATGAGCGCGACAGAAAGCGGCAGTTATTGATTAAAATACAGAGTGGAAAATAGAAGAACAAGATGCGATAACGCCTTTGGGGCTGCAGACCGGCCCGTCTCGATGAGCATTGGCTTCTTGCAGCATTCTACCCGTCAAGATCATCGTCGTGGTTGTTCGTGCTGCGTCTGCTGACGGGCGCGCCAACCCTCCTTGAAGCTCTTGGCAGCGTCCATGAGTTCCTCTTCAGAGACGCTATCGCGGATGCTTTCGAGGACGCTCTTGACGGTGCTGATGTGGTTGGCCTCGGGCTTGTCGTCACGGAAGCGGTGGATGCGCCAGCGCTGCTGGTCGTCGAGGGCGCACTCGACGACGCGATTAGAGACGGGGTCGCCGGTGGACCGGATGGCGTCCCACTCGTCAGCGGTGAGGTACATGGACTTGAAGAGTTGGTAGGGCTCGGGGTCGCTGTCGCCGTGGTAGGCGAGCAAGTTGGCGGTCGGGAGGGCATCGTAGTCGAGGTCGGGGAAGCTGAGGTCGTGGGCGCTGCTGCTGCTGCCGCTGTTGATGGTACCGCTGTCGTCGTCACCGTCGTCGACGTCGCTCTTAATGGCGGTGGCGCGCGGGGGAAAGGTCAGCTCGATGCGGAAGTCGATGGTGTTCTCGGCGACGGGCTTCCACTTGAGGATGTGGGGATCGGTGCCGGAGTGGTAGGCGGTGTTGCAGCGGGTGAAGATGAGGCCGTCGTTGCTGTGCTTGAGGTTGGGCAGGACGGTGCGGAACATCATCTCGATGCCGTAGCTGTACTGCATGTTCTTCATCTCGATGCCAAAGGCCTGAAACTGACGCTCCTCGGGATATTTGCGGAAGAGCGCTTGGTACGGCTTGAAGACGGCTTCCTTAAAGTAGCCCAGGCGCTTGTCGAGCGTGCGTTCGGTCAGGTCCTTGTTGTCGAGGATGAGGCAGTCGAAGACGAGAAAGTTGGGCTGGGTGTTGCCATGGCCGAGATCGTCGACGACCAGCTCGCCGTCGACGAGCGTCTTGACGTGGAAGCCGGCCGCGTCGTCGGGGCGTGGCAGATGCAGCGATCCTGGTGGTAGGAACCAGTAGTCGTTCTTGCGGTCGATCAAGTACTGCACCTCGTTTGCTCCCTCGTCTTCGGTCAGGTAGAGCAGGTAGCGGATGCCGTCTGTCTTTTCGCAGACATAGTAGCTGTGGGATTAGCTGGGGGCGAGGAGAGAGGGGAGACAAGAGAGTAGGGGAGAGCATGGGAGAAAGAACTCAAGGACAGAAGGGAAGAATGGGAGAAGAAGAAAACACGAGCCAAGGTGAACGTACTCCTGCTTCCGAAGCTCGTCCATGTGCCTGCGCGAGAAGCTCACGGGTTGGGCTCCCGGAAAGCCCAGCTGCTGGCGATGCAGCAGGTTGGCGACCTCACGGCGCATGTTGTGCAGCACGGCGCCCTCGGCGCGAATGCCGGGCGCGTCGATGCGCTCCAGCTTGTTCGCCATCGTGTCGGTCGCTCTGGGTGGCAGAGGTGAAGTCGGACGGGAAAAGGCTCCAACGCGACAGTCGGTGGAACGCTGGCCAGGCGCTTGGGCCCTAGAGCAGGTACGAGTACTATGATTGTGGCAGCCGCGTCCGTGCGTGCAGGCAGGCAGGCAGCATGCTTCCCAAAACAGGTGGCAAGAACCAGAGCACGCTACCACTCTTTATTCCTGCGGCCTGGCTTGCGACATCTAGGGGGCTGCTCTAGCCCCATTGGGCGCTATATACCGCTAAATGCGTCATTCTCCCTAGGCTTCCCCCCTCTAGGGCTCTCCATTCTGTCCTGCGTATTTTTCAATCCGGAAAGAATCCATCACCAGAAAGTCGTCCAAACTTATCCACAACCTCCACACCTGCACACCTGCAACCTCCCATGACGTCTCTGCCTGGCAAGACGACAGCCACCTGCTAACAACTGCAGTAAGCCTGGGTCAAATCTGTGTCTGTCCGCTCTCCCTCGTGCTCGCGCTTCGTTCCATGTTGCCTCGAGACGGGCCAGCTTGGCCGTCCGCTCCCTGAGCCCTTATCACTCCCGTCGACTGCCGGTAGTCGACTCTCTTTCTCTCTCTCCCTGTCGAACACGCACAACTTCCGATCGCATCCGCACGCCCGCCATGTGGTTTGCTGCAGTCAACTCGGCCGTGCAGCTCGCAAGTATGGTTTGCTTCCCAAACGGCTTCCAGCTCCAAATTGACTTGCCACTTGCTGATCCTGGACTGCTAGAACGAGCTGCCGACGAGACCGACTCTGAAGGTGCGCACAGGGATGGATTGCGCAGGGCCGTGCGGCTGCGGACGGGATTGTACTGACGTTTTTCTTTTGCAGGCCCCGACTCGTCCGCCGAGAAGGAGATCTACGCATCATGGGCCATCTTCATTCTGATCATGCTGCTCATCGTGGCCTTCTTCACCAGCTACACGCTGCAGCGGATGAAGGTCACGGCCGTGCACGAGACGGTGGTGTCCATCTTTGCTGGTGAGTGGACAGGCGGCTTCTGTTTGGCAGCCGCGGCTGACTTCTGCTAGGCATGATTGTCGGGCTCGTTCTTCGCCTGAGTCCGGGCGATAACATCCGCGATCTGGTGAGCTTCGACTACCAGATCTTCTTCAACCTGCTTCTGCCGCCCATCATCCTCTCGTCGGGCTACGAACTGCATCAAGGCAACTTCTTCCGCAACATCAGCACAATCCTGACGTTTGCGTTTGCCGGCACGTTCCTCTCGGCCATTGTGATCGGCGTGCTCCTCTGGCTGTACACGCAGCTGCCGCTGGAGAGCCTGACGATGGATTGGATTGACGCAATCTCGGTGGGCGCCACGCTCTCGGCCACAGACCCGGTCACAATCCTGGCTATCTTCAATTCGTACAAGGTGGATCCGAAGCTGTACACGATTATCTTTGGCGAGTCGATCCTCAACGACGCCGTGGCCATTGTCATCTTCGAGTCGGCACAGAAGTCCAAGAACGGGGCGGCCAGCTCGTCCAGCATCGTCAGCCTGCTCAAGGTCGTCGGCATCTTCCTCAAGGACTTCTTTGGTAGCCTGATCATCGGTGCGCTGGTCGGCATCGTGGCCGCCCTCTGCCTCAAGTACACCTACGTCCGTCGTTATCCCAAGATCGAGGGCTGCCTGATTGTGCTTATTGCCTATGCGACCTACTTTTTCTCCCAGGCCATCAAGATGTCGGGTATGTCTTTGCTCTCTCGCTCTCTTTCTCCCTCTCTGGAGCTAACAAATCGCTAACAACGGGTAGGTATCGTATCCCTTCTGTTCTGCGGCATCACGCTCAAACACTACGCCTACTTCAACATGTCGCGCCGCACGCAGCTGTCGACCAAGTACATCTTCCAGGTGTTGGCTCAGCTGTCGGAGAACTTTATCTTTATCTACCTGGGGGTGTCACTCTTCACGGAAAAGGACCTGCAGTACCAGCCGCTGCTGATCATCGTGACGGTGATTGCTGTGTGCGCGGCGCGCTGGGTGGCCGTGTTCCCGCTGTCGTGGGCGATCAACCGGATCACGCACTACCGGCAGCGGCGGCGCGGCATCATGAACGCGCCGGACGAGCTGCCGTACAACTACCAGGCGATGCTCTTCTGGGCCGGGCTGCGCGGAGCGGTGGGCGTGGCGCTGGCGGCGCTGCTGACGGGCAAGGACACATATGCGCTCAAGGCGACGGTGCTGGTGGTGGTGGTGCTGACGGTGATCATCTTTGGCGGAACGACGGCGCGGATGCTAGAGATTCTGGGCATCCGAACGGGTGTGGTGGACGAGATGGACTCGGACGACGAGTTTGACATTGAGCCGATCGGCAACGGCGCATATGCAAAGCAGTCGGGCAGCGGCTTTGGCTACGATCCAACGCGTGTTGCCGGCGTCGGTGGAGCGGCTGCGAGCTCGTCGATGCCGTTGGACCGGATTGGACGACACGCAAACGGCAGCAACAGCAGGGGTGGCAGCAGAGATGGAGGTGGTGGTGGCGGTGGTGGTGATGGTGGAAACAACAACAGCTGGACGACAGGCATGCGACCATCGCATCCTGGACTAGCAAACGGCAGCAGCGGAATCGTGGAGCGGCCGTCGAGTCTGAGCCGGAAGAACTCGCTGCGCGATCTCGACGCGGCCGAACAGGCCGAGCTGCTGGGCACCGCAGCCAGCGCGACCAACTCAGAGGTGGGCAGCGACATTGACACGTCCGACTTGCCACCGCCGGCGCCGTGGAGACGGCCGAGTCCGTTGCCGCCAGGACAGACCAGGGGGCCCGGTGCAGGTGACAGCAGCAGCGGCAGCAGTGGTGGTGCTGCTGCAGGGGGCATGACGGCCTCGGCGGCTTTCCGGCAGCTGTTCAGCACAGAGGACGCGTCTGCGCTGCTGCAGCAGCTTGACGAGGACTATATCAAGCCGAAGCTGCTGCTGGACGGTGGCAACGGCCGGGGCAACGGCGGGTCGCCGGTATAGATGACTGGTCGAGAGCTGACTGGGCTCGAGAGATATTCTGATTTTTCGGCTGGTCCGCTAGTCTAGGCGTTCCTGTCTCCTCCTTTTTTTTCTTTTGTTTCTCTCTCTCTTGTTTGTGTGCTGCGAACAGCCTGCGTGATAGATGGGGAATATGACTCCTTCGTATCGTATGTACTGTATAAATGATGATCGAATATACTGTGCTGCTCTGCTCCGCCGGTTGCGCCTGCCTGCTGGGGCGACAAGGCGGGACCCCGCGTGAACAGTCGTGCTTACGTGCAGCACAGCCCTCCTGCAAGGGGTGCGGCCCAATCAGCGGGCGGCGGTGGCAGGCCTGTCTCTTCTCGTAGGCGCAGTCGGATCCTTACGTACGCAGGCATTCCAGTTGCTTGGCTTGGACGAGGAGGCCTGCTGACGCTGTGGGAAGGAATAAGGAAGGAACGCTGGTGCCTACATAGTAGTGTTTTTGTCAGTAATTTATCCTCGCTCTTTGCTGTTTTCTACTCTTCGTTCTCTCGTCTCGTTCGTTCTCTACTCCTCGTTCTTTCGTCTCTGTTCTTCCTTCTCTGTCGCTTCTCCTTTCTCTCCTTTCTCTCCTTTCTCCCCTCCCATTATCGCGCTCTCCTGTCTCGTAACATCCTCTCCTTCTCACCCTCCTTCTTACCTCCACCTCCATCCCACACCCCCCACAATGCTCGACGAAAACCTCCCGACCTTTCTCTTCCGGCCCATGCCGGATACTCCCAGCAGCGCCGTCGTCTACTTCACCCGCAGCGGCTCTGACCCGACGCCCGAATACGTCCTCCGTCTGGCCGATCCCATCTCCAAACCGGCTTGCCGTGGCCTCTATGCCGCCGCTCTCACCGACCCCTACAACTGCGGCGACGTCGTCTACGGCGAGGTCGCCGTCAGCCCTCAGTGGCAGCAGCCCGTGCTGTCGGCCGCCGAGCTGCGCGATCTGCGTGGCCGCCAGGGCAGCGACCCGACGACGACGTCCGCCACCACCTCCTTCTCCACAGCTGCAGCCCCTATCGCCAAGGTGCCTGACTCCTTCTCCGTCCAGCTGTACAACCCCGATCAGGCGGTCGTCTTTCGCTGGAACCCTGGCGGCTGGAACAAGACCGACTCGTGGGAGTTTGACGTGCCCATCCAGAGCTTCCGTCTGCCCAGTGCCAGCCGCCTCGACCGCGAGCCTGCTAGCAGCAGCACCGCGCCGTCTTCCTCTACCGCATCCTCGACGCCCGGTCCGGCCTCCACAGCCGCTGCCCTCGTGCCGCGCTCCACCTTTCGCTGGAAGCGCGATGGCCGTCTCGGCAACAAGGACATGACTTGCTACCTCGTCGGAAAGACTAATGCCGCCTATCATCGCGGTAACAAGGAGCCTGACATCACCATTGCCCTCTTCAAGCACGGCCGCGACCGTGCCCTGACCATCTACGAGCCCAACCTGCACCGCGTCGACGTTCAGGACCGCAAAGGCCTCGAGCTGCTCCTCCTGCTCGGCGCTGAGGTCATTCGCGACCTCTACCTCGTCCCCCGCTCCGACCCCTTCAACCTCGAGGGTGCTGCTGCTGCTGCTGCTGCTTCTACTGCTGCTGTTGTCCGCCGTCAGGACTCGCGAGACCCGGCTCCACCACCCGGACGGGCATCCACGATTCCTGCCTCTTCTTCTGCCGCTGCCACGGCTGCCGCTACACCCTCTGCCGCCGCCATCGACGCCGAGACAAAACGCCTGCAGGCCCTGCTGGAGCGCGAGGAGCGTGAGAGAGACCGCCGTCTTCGCGAGGAGGAAAAGCGCATCAAAATGATGCTCGAGGCCGAGGAGAAGGAGCAGCGACAGCGTGAGGCCGAAATCGCCAAGGAGACCGAACGGCTGCGCAAGATGTACGGCGTCGAGGGTCAGGATCTGCCGTCAGACCGTCGCCCAGATGCCGTCCCAAGCCCAGACGCCTCTCTTCCCCCTCCACCGCCTCCACCTCCGCCAACTGCCGGCCATTTGGCCTCCCAGCAACAGTCCGGACCCCATCTGCCATCACGTCCCGTCAGCGCAGGCTCACGCCCGACTGCCCCAGACACACATACATCCCCGGGTGGTTGCAGTCGCACTGGCAACGGCGTCAGCGGCTTCCTCTCAGCCCATCGCAACCGTCTCGCGGCACAGCTAGAGGACGGCCGAAGTCGGATTCACAAGAAGCGGAGCGTACAGTTTTAGCCTGGCCGTGAGGGCATCAACTCGGACAGGATGGCGTTTGGGGAGCCTAGGCACTGGCACGGGACTCTGTCCCTGTTGAGATACATTATATACCCATGGATGGCACTTTCTTTTCACAAATGAATACAAGAGTTCAATGCCGTGTCTGAAGCTGTCTTTTGGCGCGAAATAGTTCAACAATAATATATAAAACACAGAATACATGAAAGTCACCGATAAGGGGGAATGGACAAGAAAATAACATGGTCACACCAAATCAACCCAAGCAAGATAGCCCACATCCAGCGCAAGCTCTGTCTCCGCTCCGCGGCTTTGCCGTCCTCCTTTTTGTCCCATCACAGCCTCACAGCTTCAGAACTCCACAGCCGCCCTCATCCCAGCTGCAGCGCGAGCATGTATTCGTGACATTGGGCGTAGAGACGGCCAGCTGACAAGCTGCTATAAGCAACGCACGCCCCTGAGCGGGCTCTTGATCACTTGCTCCGAGGCTCGTTACTGTCCCGGCTGGCTGCTGTCTATTGCTGGCTCTGTGCTTGGCTGTCGGTGCCTGCTTTCCAGATTCTCTGCTGTGTCTGACGCTCGCTTGCTCGTTCGTCCATGTCACTTGCTCCCGCGTCAAGAGGGTATTCGCCTTAAAGATGATGCTGCCGAGGCCGGTGTCTACCCACCATCCACCAAGGTCCCAAACCAACTTCTCCCTTCTCCCCTCTCCCTTCAACCGTATGTCCTGCTCGATTGGTTCCTTCCACCGCCCCACCGCCAAAAAAAGTATAAGTATGTCCCGCCGCTCATATGATACCACCCGGCGGATCATAGCCCGTTGAAGCGCCGCGGGCCGCAGCATTTAGGCCGGCACTTCCAGGTATGTCCGTCGGGAGGTCGACCTGCGCGTTTGCTGTCTTTCTCAGCATGAACATCGGCTTCTTGCCCTCCTTATCCAGCTGCTTGAACAGGATGAGTGGCTTTTCGTTCAAGGCCAGACAGCGCTCTTGGTCTCCGTACACGATATATAGTGCATACTGGTCCCACGGCGCGTTGATCTGGTAGCGCCGTAAAGCGGCCGGTAGCACCTTGTAGCACGGGTCATCCATGCTGACACGGAATGACTTGAAGATCTCGACAGATGCGTTGCTTCCGGGGGTGTCGGGCGCAGGTGTTTGGTTCCGCCGAGGAGCAGTGGCAGTATGTCGGTTATCGCGGGACGAGCCTGCGAAATTGTGTTCGCTCTCGGAAAAGGTGGTCCTGCCAGAGGGTGTCGGCTGGTCAGAGCGGTAAGAGCGGGAGGCAAGCGTCGTTCCGTTTGTCGACATGGGTGGTGACGTGGGAGAAGGCATATTGGGAGACAGGGAAGAGGGCGAGAGGGCCGAGGCCGTCTGGCCGCCGCCTCCGTTCGAGGCCGCGAGGTGCTGAGATGACAAGACAGCACGCTCGGCGGCGTTGGCTGGGTCGAGTGTCTGATCGACGATCGTCCGGTCGTGAGCAGTTTGCAAATGCGTGGGAGATGCTGTCTTCGGCGTCGCTGCTGGCACCACCTTCCGCGTCGAGTATTGCCGCTTGATGTTGATCGACTGGATAGTCGACTGCTGTGATGGCCCTGGCGGGGGAGATATGACCGTCTCGAAGCTGTAGGGCTGGTCGTTGTTCACCTGTGGAAGCGGATGTTGAGCATCCTTCGCGAGGCGCAGAGCAGGCAGGACGTCCTCGCGTAGGCGGCGGAAGTCGTCCGTCAGCCGTCGAAGGTCCTGCTCAAATAACGCCATACGCTCGTCTCGCAGGCGGAGCTGCTCGACCAGATTCTTAATGTCTTTGAGCGTGGCCATGGTTGATTGAGCCTCGTTCTCGGCAGCTGTGCGTCCATTAGTATCTGCCAGAGCAGGGCCGTACGAGCGGGAAAGCTCTTACTCAGAGGGACATAGTGATCGCTTTCTATGGATATGTCCTGCGCCTTCTTGACCTCGTAGACGCTCTTGAGGATGGTCAGTCTGTGCCCAACACTGGCGATTCCCATCTGCTTGAGATCGTCATGCTGCAAGGCCACGAGGGCCTCTCCGACGATTTCATTTTCTAAGCGCGTCAGCAAAAGCGGTGGCCAGTCGTAGACTCGACCGCGGCGGTGGCTTACCCAGAAAGCCATCCGTGTACTGCGGCAGGCCGATTGTGGCAATGAAGTCGGCACACTCCTCTGCCGTCCACTCGGTGATGTTGGTCTCGGGCAGGCGGTCGACACTGCTGCGATAGCCGTAGGTGGTAGGTGTGTGTTCAGCCGACAGCGGGTCTGTTTCGGTGGGAGAGATTTCGGACTCCGTCACGTCGATCGGTGAGCTGTCGTGAAGGTCGCGCTCGTACTCGTCATCAGCGTCCGACTCGGCATAGGCGGTGCCCTGTTGGAAGCTCATGGCGACGATTGGGACGAGGGATGGTCCGTCGATCGGCGGGCAAAATGGCCGCCGACAGGACGAGGGCCCTCGGGGGGAAAGGTTTGTGTCGATCGTTGGCAAGGCTGTGCCAGGTCCGGGGGCCACCCTATTCGTTTGTGTGTTCCGACTCGGGCGGTCTCCCTTTGTGTCTGCCGCCAGTGTCTCTTCTGTCCAATCGCTCGACTTTGAGCAACAGTCGAGAGCCAAAGCCGACACCCGTTATGCTGATGGGCAGTGACGGGAGGCGTTCATCGGAGCTCGATGGAAGTCTGCGGGTGCACGTCGGTCGTCTGTGGACAGCACCCTGGGAGGCAGGGGCACGGCCAGAAGACGGTCGAAGACAGAAAGATTTGCGAGGCCAAGCGCCGGCCAGCGCAAGGACGGCGACGAAGAAAAAGGCAGCAAATCGAATACCGGGATCGAATTTTTGAGGGGGTGCGGGAGGGGACAAAAGAAGGGGGAGGGGGGACTGCGTAACCCTTGTGTTGATGACAGTCGGCCGGGGGTTTTGCCGCGAGAGATCGCGAGCAGTTCAGGGGAACAAGAAAAAGATGAGGGTGGGGAGAAGGAGGAGAAGGAGAAGGAGAAGGAAAAGAAGCAGGAGAGGGCGGCCGGGACGACAGTACGGACGAGCGTCGAGAATGCGTGCCGAAGGGACAGAGAGTGAATGACGAATGGTGAAGGAGCAGCTGGCTGCACTTGCCTTGGAGCGGCAGAAACTGGAAGCGTCCAAGGAGAGGAAAGAACAGGCCTTCAGGAGCGGCAGAGTCTGGTTGGCAGAAGCGGTAATAGGAACTAGGGGGGTGGTATTATATTTAGAGTAGTTGCTCGTAGCGGTTAGCGCCATGAGGGATCGGGCGGCAGGGAGGCAGGTGCGAGGGGACCAGAGACAGGCAATTAAAAGAGAAAAAAAAGCGATAAGGAGTCTGAAGGGTGAAAAAAGTGGAAGGCGGAAAAAAAGTGGGAGAGCGAGGCTACCTCTGGATTCTGGCAGGACAGGGTAAGGAACGCAGGAACGCAGAAGCAGAACGGCACAGCAAGGTGCACACAGAATTAGACCTGGGAAAATGCGAATGGAGAGAGTCTGAGACCCCGAGAGGGCGAGGGGGCGAGAGAAGACGGCAAGACACGACAAGACGAAGACGACTTGGAGAACAGAAGAAAGACGAGAGAACCGGCGTCTGTTGAGCTCCACCAGCCAGTCACAGACGGAGAGCAAGCCACCTGCTGTCTGCGCATTATTACAACGCCTCCGTGTGGGCAGATCAGCCCGGCGGCTGGAGCACGTCGAGCCTGCAGATGGCTCTCCTGGCTCCATTGCAGCCTCGCCGTCTGCCGGCCCCTTTTTAGGCTTTGGGGGCTGGCTTTAGGCTTTCTGTCTGCAGGCCACACTGTCCGCACAGCTCGGTCCTTCTGTTGGTGTCGTTACAGCTGCAGTGGTGGGGCTCGACCAACGGCCCAGGACGTTCGATGCCTGTATTATCCTCGCTGCCCGCCTCCCTGTACTGCTTCTGAAGTTTGAGGTTGGGGAGCCTGTCTATGCTTTGAAACGCTGCTGCCCCAGCTGCCTCCGAATAGTTTCAGTCTTCTTTTTCGACACCTCGAGCAGCAGGCTTTTGCATTTCCATAAAAACGAAACACCCCTATCCCCCAGCGGGCCTGGACGCTCACGAATACCCGTCTCGTGCGTTTTATCTTCACCGCTGCTAGAAGAGCGTAGATCGATACTTCCAAGACTTGAGACCTCGTCTCGTTTATTGACATCCTAGCCAACATGTCCAACACTACAAGCCCTATCATGCACGAACATTACTGCGCCCAAACCGCACCGTCTTGGTCGATTTCGCCCGTGCGCCATCCAACAACTTGACAAAGTCGCCGTATAGCTCGTTGATCGTCCCGGCCGCCAGCCACCCGTCGACAATGCTGTGCACCAGCACGCGGCGCCTCCGCGGCTTCATCTCGTCGCGCTCCTGAAGCCGCTGCGGCTCCAGCTGCCCGTCCTCCTTCAGTTTCTCGTCCACCCAGTCCTTCAGTGCCCGCTTCCAGTGCAGCAGATCGTGCGCTGTCTCCGCGTTGCTGTGGCAAACGCCTCCAACAAGCCAACGCTGCGACACCGGCGCAATCGGGTTCCCGTGCATGTCCACAGGCTCTTCATCCTCCTCGCCGTTGCCCTCGCCCTCTCCATCTTCATCCCCGCCGTCGTCCACATCGTCCAGCGTGTTCAGGTCGTAGACCGGCCCGCTGAAAAGGACCATGTACGAAGCCGGGTGGTTGCTGCGGCCACAGGCGTGGCAGACGTCCGTATCGGAAGTGAGGCTGCCTTCAGTACCGCCAGAATACTTTCCCGGCCTCAAATTGTAGCTGTCCATGTAAGGCCTCGCCTGCAACGCACCGCGGAACGCCGGCGTCCAGCTCGACGAAATGAACCGCGACTGCGCCCGCCCGCCCAGCTCGCGGTCTAGCCGGTCCCAGGCTAGCCGGTATATCTCGTCGTCGTTTTGTGCGCCACCCCGGTCGATGCGTCGATGCACGAGCCATTCGATCGCGTCTTTGAAGTGGTTCTTCAGCGGCTGCCGCGACTGCGACGTGAACTGTAAAGGCATCTCACGACGCAACATCTCCTCGTCCGGCTCGCCGATGAGCCCAACATGGCTGTCATCGATAAAGTCTTCATCGTCCTCCTCGCTTTCGTCTTCCTGCTGCTGTAGTGGACTCAGTATGTTCTCGGAATCGCTGTCGTAAGCGCGACCTAGTTCCCCCACTGCAGGCTCTTTTCTCCTTTTGCCCCTTTCCTTCTGCTTGTCCTTCTGCTTGTCTTTCCCCTTGCCCTTTTGCTTCGGCTTCGCTGCCCTACTGGGCGTCGCGACATCGGCTTGTTCCCCCTCCTCCTCGTCTTCAAACTCAGACAAAGCATCGTGCTCCGGATCGGTGTCGTAAAGAGCCACCTGGGCTTCTTCATCCGAAGACTCGGTTGCCAAATCGCTCTCTGTCACCTTTTCTCCCCTTTTCCGTCGCCGTAGAAGCTCCATATGTCGCTGGCGCACAGAGCGTGCACTTTTTCGTGCAGACCGTGATCCTGCCGCACGGTTGACAGGGCTCGACTGCTTGGCTCGAGGGGGAGTTACCACGGCCTGGCCAGCGTCGTCGCTACCAGCATCGTTTCGATCGCTGTCATGGGGACTGCTTTGTTTCAAACTCCGACGCCTTCTTTTCGCAGGACGAATGTCTTCATCACTGTCGCTATCATCGCTAAGAACGATGATGCCGTTCGCAGGGCGGCTCGGCAAAGTCGACGATGAAGGCTTGTCTCCCTCTGCCTCTATCGTACCACCCGAGCTCTCGTTATCGGAGCTGAGGACTGTCCTCTTCCTGGCTGTGCTAGGACCCGGTGACGATCTTGCAACGATTTTTGAGGTTGACAAGCAGTATGGAGACGGTGCGTCTTCTGCCGGGTGGTTGTCCGACCAATGAATAGTATTACTGGTCCGGCGTCTGCGGCTACGGATAGGCAGGTCATCATCATCATCGCTGCTATCGTTGCTGACGTTGATTGCCGCACTCGAGGCATCTGACCCCAGCTGGGTGCCAGGCAGTGGTTTCCCTGGGCAGTCAGTTATGCCTCAGAAAACAATATATTGATGGGTGTATGCCTCTGTACCAAGCATGGCTATAATTGTCTGTTGCTTTGGGCTCTTCTTGGTGTGCATCATAAAGCGGGAGCCGGCCATTATGTCAAGGACTGCGTCGAAGACAGCTGATGAGATACACTTGTGTATGGCTGCCTGCTCAAGCGGATCGTATTATTCCAATATGTAGTCTGAAAATGAGAATGAGTCCTGCATGCCAATAGTCGTAGCTAACCTGCGGAACTTTGTTGGACTTTGCGTTGTCAGGTCTCTCCGGTTTTGGCTGCTACCACTCCCGCGTAGTTTGACGTGCCGTCTGCTCGTAGGGCAGGCACCAAAGCACGTGCCGCCGCGACAGCGTTTTCGTAAAGTCTACACGTAAAGACACGATTACTAAGTTTCGTAACACACTTCACTTTATTTCCATGTCCAATGGCTATTCTGTGCAGGAATCAACACGACAATACTCATCAGAAAAATCTCGAACATGGTTAAAATTTGTACTAGTCGTAAGCCCTGGACGCCCGTATATTAAGAACGGCTCCTTGAAATGTATACTCTGTATTATATGATTATCGCTCGCCTTCCAAATTCTCTGCCAGAATAGCCTCGATGGAAGAAAAATCCAACTGTTGATGTGGCAGTGCGAGATGGAAGCGAGAAAAGGTAAGAAACGAAAAGCACATGAAGACAGACACACGTATAGACAACCCCCCCCTTCCCGAACGCCCGATTAGCGCGTAGCACATTAATTCCCACAGCACATACCATTCACTATCAACTCCTTGTTATAAACCTGACTAGCTTCTGAAGTTGCTGCTCTATTCGCAACTCCCGCTGCTGTATGCGTTGCCTGTCGCGATGCTTCTGCGAACAAGGGGCCTACCGCAGTCGCTTCTGGACATCGTCTTCGCCAGCAGCGATGACGTCTTCGATCTTCCACCTTGGCGGGTGAGCAATGCCTTGGCGGCCATGCTCCCTCAGGTATTCGCGCTCCATGTCAGGCGTCACACCAGCCGGCAGCGGATCTAGCCCGCCGGCGATACCGGTAGAGAACTTGAGCTGCATGATGTCGCCAATCTCGTCGCAAGCCATAAGCAGCCGGTCCATATCTTCCTTGTTGTGCGAGGATGACACACAGAACCGTACACGTGAGCTGATAAGCGGTGTCGCAGGGTATCCAACGATAACAACAGAAATTTTCCGCTTGAGCATTTCGTGACTGAAGGCAGACATCTTTCCGGGGCTGTACAGAACAACCGGAATGATAGGGGAGTCGTCATGACCATAAACAATGAAGCCGAGACGCTTGAGCCCCAAGCGAAGGTAGCGAGAGTTGAAGGCAATCCGCTGGAGACGCTCCTCGCCCTGACCAGGAGCCAGCTCCCCAGAGATGATCTTGAGAGACGACATGATCTGCATCAACACAGCCGGAGTCGGCGCCTCACCAAACGTGGTCGCAGCATTCGATGCCTTGAGCTTGTCGATGATGTGCTTCTCGCCGCTGACATAACCGCCGTTCGCGCCGAACGACTTGGTAAATGTGCCCATGAGAATGTCGACATCGGCAGGGTCGACGCCAAAGTAATCGCAGACACCACGTCCTCTGCGGCCAACAGCTCCAATGCTGTGGGCCTCGTCGACAAACAGGAAAAACTTGTACTTGCGCTTCAGTTCGACAATGCTAGGAAGATCACAGAGAGTTCCCTCCATAGAATACAGGCCTTCGACGGCAACGAGGATCTTCTTCCACGGACGGTGAGTGCGAGGCTGGCCTTGCGAGATTGCGTCGCGGAGGTGCTTCTCAAGATCGACCATGTTGTTGTGCTTGAAGGAACGGATGACAGCACCAGAAATGCGAGCACCAATACGAATGGACGCATGGTTCAGCTCGTCAGACAGAATGAGGCATCCCTTGGAGACAAGCGCCGGGAAAGAGCTTGAGTTGGTGACGAATCCCATTGAGAAAACCATAGCAGCTGGCTTGCCAACAAAGCCGGCAATTTCGCGTTCGACATCCAGAGCCAGATCGTATGTTCCAATGTCCGAACGAGGGCTGGATGCAGAAATGCCGTACTTCCGGACGCACTCCTCAACTGCGTCCGCACAGGGCCCATCAGACTGCGCAAATCCAAGATAGTTGTAAGAGCTCATGTTTAGTGTCTCGGTGTAGGTGCCAGTGAAGTGGTAAGACCGGTTAAAGTCGTTCGACTTGCGGTCGAGCAAAGTGATGTAGCGGCCAGGCACGCCAGTGGTCGGACGAGCAAAGCAGTCGTCAAGACGTGTCTTGAGACGACGGACGTAGAAGTTGTCGAAGTCATCATTCAGCGGAGCGTAGCCAGGCTTGATCTTGACCGTGGCATTGACGTTCTTTGACCTGAAATGCCGTCCCAGAAAATCACGGGTGTGACCAAAAGCAATAAGCATGAGGTAGCTGATGTAGGTAACTAGCAGATAATAATACGGCGGCTCGTCCTCGACAGGTGGGTCCAGAGACCCTCCAAGGTGCTCGCTGATATAGCGATGCTTTTGGCTGATCAAGGGACCGAATTGAGCCTCTGCACGCCGGCGCTGCTCGTTCTCTGCGTCGGAGGGTGGCTCGAAGAGCGTGGTGGGTGGTTCGTCGGAAAGAGCCTCGCCGGCAGTAGCAGTGGAGAGGGAGATGGATGGAAGGGAGAGTGTAGAGGCCGTGATCTGTGGGGACGGGCCGCCCACTGCGGGTGAAGGTTGCATCGCAAGAAGAGACTTTTGAGCCGAGGGCTCACGAGCGGACTTGGAAGAAAAAAGCTGGGCGATGCGGTTGCCGCTTTTGGACTGTGAGGATTTGCGCTCTGAGGTCTTTTCCAACGACGGCATGCTGGAATAACTGGAAAAGGGATTTGCGAGCTTGCGCGGCATATCTGACGAACACACGCAGCCGAAGAAGCTGCAGGATTCGCGTCAGAACTCCAATGCTCTTCTTCAATAGCCTTCAGCTCGTTCTAGGCAGAATTGACCGTGCCTCGGGGTGGATTCAGGAGGTTGGACTCGTAGGAGAGGGAGGAAGATAAGACAAGGGGCAGATCGGAACACATAAAGGAGAGACGGGAAATAGGAATGGAGAATCAATCGCACAGCGTGCGGAGGGACAAGGCAATCCACCGCGAGAGATAGTTTGGCGATGTGTTTAAATGAGAGTTAAGGTGTAAGGTACAGAGACGCAGCTCCAATGGTAAATAAAGGGGAGGACGTGGTCGTTTCTTCCCTCCTTTTGCTGTTGGTCAAAGCGTCAGGCAATGCCGACCCTCAACGTGTACTATGTAATTGTAGTGGGGTGGCGCAGGAAAGAACGAGGGGGCGGGCAACAGCGAGGGCAATTGGACAGAGTGCAGATGAAGGTAGTAGGGACGACAATGTCTCGACCTCATTCCTTTTCTGCCGAGGACTTCCTCTGGGAGTTGCGACTTTTCGCGTGGGAACGATGAGGACGAGGCAAGACGAGAGTGTTAGACACGTACCGACTGTCTGAGCGGGCGAATCAGGTCCGCGTCCTTAGCATCAGGGGTATATGGGTGTTGGCGAAACGATACTTTCTGAGGATGATTAGGCCAGGGGTTCGCGAGAGAAGCACGGATGAAACAGAGCTTTGTCGTTCTCGGTCATCCACACACTCAGAGCAGGCAGCTCAGACAGCACCAGGAAAAGAAAGAGCAGAGGATGGAGATAAAAGGGAAAAAAAGAGCCAGAAGAAGGCGAGCCAGCGCTTGGAAGGGATAAAAATGGGAGAGAGAACGCGCAGAGGGCCAATGACACGCGTAGGAAAACCGGAGACACAAAGCATACGATAGAGTAATAACGGGCGCATAAGATGACAAAGCCAAGTAAGATAGCAACGCTAATTCAAGGGGGGGGCTGCTGGTTGTCTTTTTGGCAGCCCTTGTCGATCCGAATCCCGCCAATTTCGCTCCCTGTGATCTCTGGCACTACGACATACGGCGGTCCCACCACGACAATGGCCTGGCCCACAGTTTGTTCGCGGCGAAGAGGGAACGCTAAAGCTTCTGGTTCGCGCGCGAAAACCCGGGATTTCCGGAAATTGGGCCAGGAGAGGGGTGCATGTCAGAAGAGCAGTCCAACTAGATCCCGCCTTCACCCGATCGCAGTCGTACGGACTAGCGACTGTGCCGTCTTTATCTCTCTGACTTGGTCACTCTGCATGTTGCGCATCGACACATATGTACAGCATCGAAGGAGCTGAGGACAAGTCACTGCTGATGGCCCTATGGGTGGCACCACACCGCTTCGCCGGGTGGTTCGGATGGAACGGCGGCTGCCGGGCGCGACAACTGTGCCAGATGACACCGAATCATGCTCTTTCTGGCTTGGTCTTGCCTCTTTTTGCCTCCAGGTCGACGCCCGGTAGCGCTGTTGGGCGCACGGCTTACTCTAGCTCCAGCACGACCGGCCGGTTCTGGCAATGCATCGAGATCGTAATCGGAAACTCGAATGGCATCTACATATTCGAACGGTCCGATGCAGTGGCCGGGGCTGACTGTGCGAAAGTTCGTATCTTGCATGAACAGAAGCGAGAGGCGACATTTGCGACACCGCGAGTGGGGGCACAGCCCGACTTCGTCCCGGTCAGCCGTGGCAGATCGCAAGGCCAAGAGGCCAAGAGGCGGGTTGAGACTGTGTCTTGTGAAGTGTATCTTACTCCGTACTTGTATAATTGCTCCGTACTCCGTGCTGCACTGCTCTTTCCCTGGCCGGCCCAACTCCGAGTCACATGACATTAAATCAGCATGAAGACGCCGTCTTTGTCACCATAGCGGGTTTACGAGCAATAATCCATAGTATGTGCGGAGAAGCAGAGCTGCAGTCGTTTGCGCCCATTGGCGACAATGGGATGCCGCTCGCTCTGATTCCTGCACAGATTCGTCTTCTTCTTACTCGTATTCGTTTTAATCCTGGACAAAACAAAGAAATCGCTCACAGCTCGAGGCGCCTGCCCAATAGAACGTACAGCCAATTTTCGTCGTCCTGCTCTTTGGCTGCCAGCGGTCTGCCTTACTTTTTTTTTTTTTTTCTGGCTAGCCGAACATCGTCTCGCATCATGACGACCAGCGAGCTATGGCGCCACCCCAGCCCACGGGATACGCCCATGCACCATTTCCTCGAGGCTGTCAATGCCAAGCACGGCCTGGGTCTCACCGACTATGACGGCCTGTATCGCTGGTCGGTCGAGAACGTCGCCACTTTCTGGGAGGACGTGTGGCACTTTGTCGGCGTGGCGGCGTCCAAAACGTATGACCGCATCCTGCCCACCACGGCCATGTTTCCGCGCCCAGACTTCTTCTCTGGCGCGCGCCTGAACTTTGCCGAAAACCTGCTGTTCCCGGCTGGCGTAGAGGTCGACTCGACGGCGCCGGCACTGATCACCGTCACCGAGGCCTGGGACAGCAGCGATGGTGGCAGCAGCACGGCCACCGCGCCCATGGTGACGACGTCGTGGGCCCAGCTGCGCGATGCCGTCCGGCTGTGTGCCTCCGGGCTGCGTAGTCTGGCCATTGACCTGCAGCCGGGCGACGTTGTGGCCGGCTTCGTGGGCAACCATGCCGAGGCGATCGTGGCCATGCTGGCTGCGGCATCGATCGGCGCCGTGTGGACGTCCATGAGTCCGGACAATGGTGTCAGTGCCGTGCTCGACCGGCTGCTGCGCGTGAAGCCCAAGGTGCTCTTCGCTGACAGCGCTACCATCTACAACGGCAAGGTCTGGCCGAGCATGGACAAGACCCGGCAGATTGCCGAGGCGCTCAGTGGCAGCCTCAAGGCCGTCGTCATCATCTCGGCACATGACCCGGCTGCAAGGGAGAACGGCGTCGACCTCGATGCCCTCAAGCCCAAGACTGCCTTAGTGGAGCATTATGCCGCATTTTTGTCCAGGTAGGTTCTTCTCTCTGTCTGTCGGCGTGGCTTGATATGCTTGGAGTGGACGCGGGCACTGAAAGGAAACGTTTCAACTTCATAGCGCGCCTGATGCGCCTCTGAAATTCGAACAGCTTCCGCCCTCGCATCCACTCTACATCCTCTACTCCAGTGGAACGACCGGCCTGCCGAAGGCGATCGTGCACACTTCACTGGGCACGCTCATCCAACACAAGAAGGAACACGTTTTACACTGCTCCCTCGGCCCAGCGTCGCGCATGCTCTATTACACAACCACGTCGTGGATGATGTGGCACTGGAGCGTGTCCAGCCTGGCCGTCGGCACGTCTTTGGTGCTATACACAGGCTCTCCCTTCAAGCCTCAAGGTCCCCTCTCCCTTCCCCGGCTGCTGGCAAAGCTCCGCGTAACACACTATGGCACTTCGGCAGCCTACCTCACTGCGCTCGAGTCCAGCCACGTGCGGATTCCGTCAGACATCGACCTGTCTGCTCTCGAGGCCATCTACTCGACCGCGTCTCCGCTCCCACCCTCAACGTTTGCCTATGTGTACGCCACATTCCCCAAGCGGGTCCACCTTGCATCCATCACCGGAGGCACTGATATCATCTCGCTGTTTGGTGCTCCATGTCCGCTGCTGCCTGTAGTCGCAGGTGCCGTGCAGTGCGCCGGGCTGGGCATGGCGATTGCCGTGGCCGACTCGGCATCGCCATCCGACCACCCGCAGCTTGTGGCCGCTGGTGAGGAGGGCGACCTCGTGTGCACCGAGCCGTTTCCTTGCCAGCCGCTGACATTTTACGATGGCGACGCCAAGTACCGTGCGGCCTATTTCGAGCGGTTCGAGGGCTGGTGGCACCATGGCGACTTCGTCCGGCTGCAGGGCCAGTCGCTGGTGATGCTGGGCCGGTCTGACGGTGTGCTGAAGCCGTCTGGGGTGCGGTTTGGTAGCGCCGAGATCTACAACATTCTGACTCGATTCTTTGCGGCCGAAGTGGAGGACGCCTTGTGTGTGGGTCGGCGTCGCCCCCAGGACACTGACGAGACTGTGTGCCTATTTGTGGTTATGGCGCCCGGCGCAGCGGCTTTTGACGACACCGTGCGTAGCCGGATCAAGTCTGTTATTCGGAGAGAACTCAGTTCACGCCATGTGCCCGGCATTGTTGAAGAATGTGGAGGCGGCATCCCAAAGACGACCAACGGGAAGAAGTGGGTCCTCTCCTCTCCTATCATCTCATGCCTCTTTTGAGTTTCACGTTACTAATCAAGCCCAACCTCTTCAGGATCGAAGTCGCGGTCAAGCAGATTCTCTCCGGCATGGCTGTCAAGACAAACGCCAGCGTGGCGAACCCCGAGTCGCTCGATTGGTTCCGTTCATGGGCCAAGGCGCACAGCTAGTCAGACACCTCCGGCGTTTTGGTCCTGTCGGGCAATAAAGCAATAATATTGAACATCTTACGGAGTCCTATGGAGTCTGTATCTTACTTTGCGTATTTGTGGGCCTCTCCTCGCCATATGCCGAGTAGCTTGCATTTACGGAGTACTCCGTACACACGCGTGCGCTCTGGGACAGGCATCCTGATCGTGGACAGGCCCAGAAGCCCCTTTTGATGGTGGAATCCGACTGTTTTTCTTGGAAGATCATCGGCGGGTAGGTTGTACCGGGACGATTGATCGGCAGAATAAGAGGAAAGGAAGATAGGTTGCGTCGAATGCACGGCACATCACACGCAATGCCCAGCGATTGTCTCGCGAGCAGCAATTTGGTAAGGCCGATTCGCAGAGCCAGAGAGGGCATTATTGGGACAGAGAGCCCGTTCTGTAGCATAACTGCTGATAAATATCCCATTTCAAATGGGCTTCGAAAGGTGGGGCTCCTCTGGCGACTCTGCAGACACGAACGGGCAGGACTCGGGGACGCTAGGAAGCCGCACTCCGTAATTCGCTGCAAAGGAGCGGGGCACTTGTACTCCGTGTGTGTAGGCTGACATATCTAGGTTACTAAGCATGCATATGCATTGTACTTTCGACGTACTATGTGTGCGCCCATACCATTAGCGTACACTTCGCTGCTAAGATGAAGGCCAGTTAATACGACTACGTCGTATATTGGGGGGTCGCAACGCTGTGACTTTATCGGAAACCGTTATGCGGGTAGCGGCAAGGGAGAAACAGTCGCCGCATAAATAGTAGATGTTTTGACAACAATCTGATGTCGCTGTCTACCAGGATTGGCCACTCCGAACGCACGAAAAGGGGGCGACAGGATGACAGAAAGGAAGAAAAAAAGAAAAAAAAAAAGAAAAAGAAAAAACGGGAATCGACGCACAGACCCACCATTGCCATCGGCTCTCCTGCCGTTTTCCTAGCCCCTGACAGCTGCCTATCCTGGCCGGTTTTCTTGCGAACTACAGCACCGGTGGCAGTGCATCAGTGCATACTCCGTAAGAGACTATCCTACTTGCTGTTTTTGCCCAGGAGAGCAGTAAGACTGCTGAACTTGTCCCTTTATTTTCTCCACCACTTCCGCTTTAGGGCGTCCACCAGCACTGCGACATCCTGTATTATACTGCACGATGCAGCGCTCACCCTTGCTCTTGAGCCTGTCAACGGCCGCAACAGGACCGATTCCCTTGCGTTCGCTAGTGCACGATTAGTCCTAGTGCGCCAGCTTGACCACCGCCTTTGATGTGAGTAAGGCTGGCCGGCTGCCTCTGGGCGGTAGCTTGTTGCTGCTTAGTTCCCTGCGAGGTGAGAGACAATGCACAGCTGCATGCCGTCCGTGCTATACTGATCCTACGTACATAAGATAATATGTATGCATCGTAAAAGTACTCCGTAGACGCCGTGTTTAACTTTCCCGGCCGGCAAGCTGTTTTTGCAGAGAATCTTACATAGTACGTCGTACGGAGTAGGCCCTAATCAGTACAGTCGTATCGTAAGAAACATAGTACATAGTAAGATACACGGGCGATACATAGCACCTAGCCAGCAGGGATTCCAGACAAGGGACAGACGGAGAGTGTGTGCAAGAGTACAAGCATCGTGCATAGTCCAGAATGCTCGTAATTCTCGCACTTGTACCTGCCTCGGCCGCCGTGCATCATCCCAGCATCAGCGCTCCACGCATATGCAAAGTGTCATGTACGCGTAGGGATGCCTCGAGATCGAGCTTTGGCCCTGCATCCGGCCCTTCGGCCGCCTAGCTGGCGGATGCAGAGCACAGTCCCACAGTCCGTCGTTTGCAGATCTCAAAAGCCATCGCCTCCCGTCGCGAGCCCGCGAGAGTGTGGTGCGGTCGTGGTGGCTGCTTCTGCTTCTTCTTCTTCTTATTCTGCTGCTGCTTTTGCTGTGTCCGTATGACTCCGTAGACGTTTCGCGGCCGTTCGCCTGGCTCTTCTGTGCAACGCGGTCACAGTCGTGGCCTAGCAGCTAGCTATACTCCGTAATAGCTGCTAGCCCACAACGTATGGGGACTGCCCACTGGCGACAGTCACTCCGTCCCAACCCCACCGCACCTGCACATACTCGTAGTTGGCCAAATTTCCTGCCCCATCTTTCCTGCCTTTTCTCTCGTCTCCGAAACTCATACCTCCACTTCTTCCTCACCCAATTTTCCCCTTTCTTCCTAGCACCAAAGGCGCACTCTCGAACCACTCTCAACGCTACTCCAATCCTCATCTACCTCTCTCGTCCGTCCAGACCCATTACCGAGCTATACTACCCCCTACCCGCTTCGTCCCTCCCCCCAGCAAATCAGCATTCTTCCCTACTTGTTATCCCCGTCCTGCTTTCTCTCACCTCCCTCTCTTTCTCCTCTCCCTTTCCGTTAGCGTTTGGCCACTCTCGTCCTCTTTCTGCTGCTTCTTCCGGCCTTTCGTCTAACTCAGCCTCCCTTCTCGTCGCTGTCGGTCCCCTTCGGATTTGCTGTCGCTCTTCCATTTCGGTCTCTGCGGAAACCAGCGCCGCTTGCTATCGCCTTCTCTCCTTAATCTTACGGCCTCCTGTCGCCGTCGCCAACGGTTCACCGAAACGGAAACTAGCGAATCAAACCTCACATTCGCTCATTTGTTCATCTCATCGCCCGAAATTCGCTAAAAATCGACCTCCCTTTAGCATCTCCCCCCAACCTCGTTGTCGCCAATTGGTTATCTTCGACTTCAACCTCGGCCTTCTACGATCGACTCGGCAAACGAACCCGATTCGTTTGCTTCTTGTCCACTCCTTTCCGTTCATCGACCACACATCTTCATAGCCGATAATGGATTCCCAACGGCAAGGCGATGTGTCACCTGAGGCCATGCAGGCGAGGATCCAGCAGGCACGTCGTGAAGCTGAATCGCTCAAGGATCGCATTAAGCGGAAGAAGGATGAGCTTGCCGACACAACGCGTCAGTTTTTGTCTTCCGTCGCTTATGGGCTTATCTAATCCTACCGTATACGCAATACTGATAATTCTCCGCAGTCCGAGCTGTCGCTCAGCAATCTCACGAGTCGGTCTCCCGCAGCCAGATGATGAAGGCGAAGCGCACCCTGAAGGGCCATCTGGCCAAGATTTACGCCATGCACTGGTCTACGGACCGGAGGCACCTCGTGTCCGCATCTCAGGACGGCAAGCTCATCATCTGGGATGCCTACACGACGAACAAGGTCCACGCTATTCCTCTGCGGTCCTCGTGGGTCATGACCTGCGCCTACGCCCCGAGCGGCAACTATGTCGCGTGCGGTGGTCTCGACAATATCTGTTCCATCTACAATTTGAACCAGAACCGTGATGGACCGACGCGTGTCGCTCGCGAGCTGTCCGGCCACGCCGGGTACCTTTCCTGCTGTCGCTTTATCAACGATCGAAGCATTCTGACGTCTTCTGGTGACATGACATGCATGAAGTGGGACATCGAGACCGGTACGCGCGTCGTCGAGTTTGCCGACCATCTGGGCGATGTCATGAGCATCAGCCTGAACCCTACCAACCAGAACACATTCATCTCGGGCGCTTGCGATGCCTTTGCCAAGCTCTGGGACATCCGCGCCGGCAAGGCCGTCCAGACTTTTGCTGGTCATGAGTCTGACATCAACGCCATCCAGTTCTTCCCGGATGGCCACTCTTTCGTCACTGGGTCTGATGACGCTACATGCAGACTCTTCGACATCCGGGCTGATCGCGAGTTGAACGTCTATGGGGTGAGTTGGATCTGTGGCGTGATTGTGGCGTTAAGGACTGGAGCTAACAACCTATGTAGTCCGAGTCCATTCTGTGCGGCATCACATCCGTGGCTACATCTGTGTCTGGCCGGTTGCTTTTTGCTGGTTATGATGACTTCGAATGCAAGGTGAGAGCAGCCGTGGGGTCCTGATGTGATGGCAGTCTTGTTTCGAGAAACTAACAGTGACAAGGTTTGGGACGTGACAAGGGGCGAGAAAGTTGGCTCTCTCGTTGGTCACGAGAACCGTGTCAGCTGCCTCGGTGTAAGCAATGATGGTATCAGCTTATGTACTGGCTCATGGGATTCTTCGGTCAGTATCTTCTCTTATTGTCAGTTTCTCTTCAAGTTGCTTGCTAATGCCCGAAAAGCTCAAGGTTTGGGCGTATTGATTTGCTTTTTGCAATGATAACGAGACGATGCCACGTCGTATCCTCTGGGTTCGCTTCAGAACCAGCCGCAATCACGAAACGAACGGATCAAGAGCAGCCCAAAAACGAACACCTGACCAATGTCCTATAACAGAGGGGGAGACGACCGGCACTATCTGTCAGTGCTCGGCGACCAGCAATGAGCCGTTGGCCGCTAATAAAGCAGCAATTTGTTGTGTGGATGCGAGATGAGCCGGGATGGCAAGTACCGAACTATAGCTAGGTGTGGATGTCTGAGTTTGAGCTTGTTCTACGACATTTCCCGAAAAGCTTTATTTTTTCCGTTTTATAATCCCCGTTTTTTGAGACATTTCTTCGCCGCTTCCTATATTCGACGGCCTTGTTTGCGGAGGCGGTTTGTATTATGTCAGATCAGTCCTGTCCGGCCTTACCATACTTTTCCTTTCGTTCTGCAATATCTCATCTTTCCCCCCTGGACACCTACCAAATGTCTTACCGGCTAGTTTTCCTCGCCTATATAACGATATCCTTTTCCTATTTTCATCTGTATCTCTCCCTTCAACGAAGGCGCTGTCATTGGTTCTGTTCGCGATTGTTAAGTTTGACTTCGGGACTTCACTTCTTCAGTGCTTTGGTGAGGTCGGTTTTTTTTTGGCTGTTATTCTGAACTGGTTCATTGCATCTGTCTTGCCACCCGTTGGTCAAAGATACCAACCCAGTTGTGTGCTCTATCAACGATCAACCACTTTTGCTGCAACTGGGCAAGGCTGGTATCTGCCATTGCTATTTGGGTATAGAAACACAGCAGTGGCCTGTGAAGAAGTTGGGGATATTCTTTGTATGATTTTTTGTTCGCCCCCGTTCTTTTTTTTTATTTCAGCTTTGTCGTTTAATTGTTGGTTCTTGAATTTCTGGCTTTCATGACTGATAGCACGGTGAGGTCGTCGGGGTGAACGGAAGGAGAAAATGTTTAAAAACTAGCAAGCACCAAAAAAAAACCCAGAATAATGTTTGAATCTGACAATAGACCGTGTGCAGATGACCAGATAGTAGCCTGCTTTGTCGCTATGGTCAGCCCTTACCTCGTAGGGAACGCAGCTTAATATATAATACAAATTGAGTACTGGTTGATGGCATGCGGTGTGGCGGACACGGAAACTATCCGAGCAATTCAAACGTGATGCTGTTTATGTGTCTTGCCTAGGAAAGAGCAGCCCGGGTGTACGCAGGAGAGACAGCCATACTTGTACTTCGAACAAGACAAAGCAAGCTGGCATTCCGCCTCCCTTGAACAACAAAATCCCTTTCTCCAATAGACCTTTCTCCTTGTCTCGTTTTGACACATACGGCCAGTCACAGCTTGTGGAGGGGACCTAGAACACGGAGAACCGTTAGCGTCCATGTGTCGTCGTCCCGGAGTTCTTTGTATATCAGACCATGCCAATCCACTTTTGGTCTGTTCCCGTACAAGTGCATACATAGTATGAGTACTCCGTAGCTTTTCCCCTTTGCAGTCACGTCCCTAGATTCGGTACTTTTCCTCATCCCTTGTTGGACATCAGCTCTGTTTCTGCGGTCTCGTAATATGCCCTTGGCGGCTAAGCTTGAAGTATGTTTACCACGTTTTGCCTGTCAAGTGAAACCGATAGTACCTCGCACTAATGCACTGTCATGCTGTCCTCAGATGTTATGTACTCAATCACTGCAGGCACAGTTGTGCCTTCCTGGAAATCCGTATAGGCTTCCCGCCTTCTTGCTATATTGTGTGTAGGTGACCATCCCCTGTCGCCATGCGCCCTCCAACAGCGGGGCACCACCATAGCGATATCATACCAGCATTGTCCGGATGCGGCCTCGCACGGATTGCAATTTCGGCCAGTAGTAGCCCTTTACTTTGTACCATCGTCGTCACATGCCTCAATTTCTTCCAATCCAGCAGAGCATCCCATCTTCACCACTGACAAAAGCTGCCTTGCTTCAAGCTTCGCCTTCGAAAGCATACTTGTTCTTAATACGTCTTCGCCCACCCTGGTCAATCTGAAACGACCTCACGCAATCGAAGGAGCCTGGACGACCCGCCAAGAGGGAACGCGTCGGAAGCAAGAAAAATCAGGCGACAGCGAGAGGGTCTCCGATCCCGAGGGATTAAAGACGGAGCCAAAAATATGTTTTCGGTCTTGTGCTATGTACAATTTGTCCCATGGTCCCATTCGGCACACAAATGGACTTTTTGAATAGCCCGGACGTCGACTCGTACGGGCGTCTTTTCTCACCCTTGTATTTGGCCTTTTGACTTCCATTCTTTCGTCCTAGTACTCCATACTTTCACAGCCCCATCCTGTCCCTACCCCTTTACCGAAGCGTGGCTGTCCTTGCATCGCTGTGGAGATTGCTCCTCGTCCTTGCTTCGGGTTTTTCAGAGCATTTATCGTTTCCTATTCTAGCTTTTAGGACGCCTTCGACCTGGCCGCAGTCTACGGAGTAAAGACCTCGTCCACGCCCGTTCTCTTGGCCATGCCCCACTTTACGTACTCTACGCCCTGTCTGCATTCCCCCTCACAAGCTTGAGACAAGATAGTCGAGTGCCAACCGAACGCCTTTTCTTACATACGCACACCACAACCGCCCAGTCGCACGTACTCCTGACCAATCTTCGTGCTCCGTGTCGTCCCTACATATACACATAAACAGAAGCATCGCATACCTCCGGTCGGCTCGGTTGCTCTTCCTCCATTATGTCATCGACCGAAGCTCAGGAGGAGTTCCAGCGTTTCGTGGATAAAAATAACGAAGGACCAGCCGAAGACCGCAACCTTCATCCGGAAGACCGTTTTGATCGACAACGCGAGGCATCCGCTACTGCTACCGACCCCGACTACCTCAACGAAGAAGAACAATATCGTTCCCGCCAAATTGACGACGCAATGCGCATTCCTGGCAACAACGGTTTCAACGTGCAACTGCCGCCTGCATCCTTCGATTCTGGTCGCGCCACAGGTGTCAAGGGTGTCATAGCCGATGCTCGAAGCTACGAGACAGCCCGGCAGTCGTCTAGGGTGAACCGGACACGAAATGTCCGGCGTAGCATCTTTGGCGGTGAGCTAGGCTTCACCAGCAACGGCAATGAAAAGAGTGACTCTGAGGAGGACCCACTGCAAGAAGAAGAGGAGGAAACGTTTCTGGCCCAGTGGCGTGAGTCTCGCCGCCGCGAGCTGGAGGACGAGTCCCGATCAGGAAGTGCTGTCCGCACACGCCGCACGTCACCGAGTGTGCGCATCTACGGTCGGCTCGACGCGGTCGATGCTCTGGGGTACCTAGATGCCATCGAAAAAGTCGGCCACGAGACTGTTGTTGTCGTCTTTGTTTATGATAACGAGGTAGGCTATTTCTGTTACTGTCCCTTCTACCGCATGTCTTCATTGAGGCACGACTTTACTGACCGTCCCAGTGTCAAGTATCGTCCGCAGTCGAGTCGGCGCTGAGACCAATTGTCAGTGCGAACCCTACCGTGCGCTTTGTCAAAGTTCAATACGACGACATCGAGTTTGACAACGCCGCCGTTCCATCCATACTTGCCTACCGCAACCAGGGTGACCTTATTGCCAACCTGACGGGTCTGATTGAGCTGCTTCCTGGCGAGGATGACGATGCCTTTTCCAGTGATGCCCTGCGGAAGCTGCTGCAGTCACAGGGAGTGCTGTGAGGGCAGTTGCAGGTTGCCCTCGGCCTTCAGCTTTCCATCTTTGTATATTGGCGATTATATGATGCTTTCTTACGGTTTGGGTCTTGGGGAAAGGAAGGAGGTTATGTTATGAAACTCTGGGACATCAGTGGTTTGCGATTGCTTTCATGAGTGCAGATTTGTCGACTCGACTCGTACCATACCGAGTCAGTCCCTATGAGCTCTCCGGGACGGTATGCGGAATACTGATATACAACAGCTGATCGGTTGCGTAAAAGGACGGAATAAATATCCCGAAACCAAAGGTTACATTTAGGTATTCGGAGTCTACGAGTATACCCTACGATGTTCTTGTAATATGTATTTCCCAGCTTTCACTGCCTGGTCTGTATTTGCAGCTAGTTTCAGTAATCCCTTCACCAAGTTCTCGTGCTCTGGCCATATTTGTCAATCCGCACTTGGCTCAAGTGTTGAAGCCTAAAATGTCAATTTGTCCGCCCGACTGTACATGTTATCACCATGGTTGATGCGGCATTCCCGAGAACCGCAGCATAATTGTAAGCACTTGAAAGGCTCTTATCTTGTGCTGGTCCGTCCATTTCCTGGAGGTATGCTTAAGATAGTACTTTTTTCATACTACAGCATTGCGACCACGGCAGTTTCGTGGACAGAAGCACAGAAACGTCGCAGAGCAGATGTCGAGCGTGCATATTTGATACCGTAGATGGATGTCAGAACACGCTGCCACCAAGCCGCGAGTGAGAAATCACCGATATGGTCAACCTCACGGCTAAGACAGAAAACTTGGTATCGAGAGATGGGACGACATACCACGTAGAGCCGCCGAATAGACTTCGTAGTGTCTGACGTCATTTTACATCATCTTTGTGGCGACGAGGAGCTTGAGTCTGGTCGACATGCTCGCGCACACACTAGCAATACGAGAAATGATGCAGCCGATGCAAACAGCCAACTTGGGAACTATTTGCGACGTCGAAACAAAAAGCCAAGGGAGGCACAATTCATGATCGCCAAGACGCGTTCCTGGATGGCGGTCGCCCTTGACGGAACTCCTGCCATTGGGCTGCTGTTCCACAGAACAATGGAGGAGCAAATGCAAAGCATCACACAAGACAAGCTTTTGCCAAGAGGCAAACGGCATTAGTGGTTCTCCCTTCTTTCGACGTGTACCACTGCCACGGCTGCATGGCCAAGACGGACGAGTCAAGAATCTTGGCGTGACCTACTGCGGGGGACAAAGAAGCAGCACGAAAGCGAGATGGGAGAACGGCAGACGTCTCCGCGGACGGGAGCCGTGGACTGATGCCTCCGCTCTACCCGGTAGTGGCCAGTATTTTATCGCAGTCCCAATTTTCTTCATACTATGTACTATGACATCTGACTCGTATGATACGAATCTTACGGAGTAAGTACATATTTGCGAGTCCTTTAAGGGCCTCGAACCGGTTAGCTAGCTCTGTGTTTGTTGCTAGCAGGAGCATAGTTTCCTTTGCTGCTGAAGATTGCCATCAAAAGCTACATACATAGGATACATGTATCTTACCAGCTTTGCCTTAAAGCCAAGCACCTAGATAAGACATCTCCCAATTGGACCTGCAACACCCCTCTTTCGATACGATATAATCGAGTACGTGGACAACAGAAGCTTTTCTTCTGCTCTACTTCGTATATCTCTAATTCTTAGCTTATAGTAAGCACTCCGTACTAACGTCCCGCCCTTGCCTGCAGAACGGACTCGCCTATCGTACACGGTGTCTCTCCTTCCAGTGGCTCCTTCCCCATTTTCCGCCTCCACAAGCATCTTCTCTTTCCAGATACGAACAATACGCCCTATAATCGGCGAGAGACTTTGTTCGAAGAGGTCATCGCCAATCCCCCTCTTCCCCCCCATTATGCCCCTAGCCAGAGACAAAACACACTCGAGACATTTGCGCCGCAGAAACACGCGGAAACACACAAATCCGCCGTCAGAGCAGCGTCGCGATTTGCCTGCGCCGATCCCATCCTGTTGGCTCCCCTTTTTCTACACTCTTAAAACCAAACCCGCCATCTCACGCCAAATCTCTCGGCGCCGAACCCTTGCCAATTCTTCTACCGGTGTTCTCGTTCTCTGAACACTACACAGCCCATAGGCCACGCAATCACGTTATTCATCCCAATCAGTCGAGCCTTGTTTCTTGGCTTGGCCGTACTGGCACATCCGAATTCCGACCATATCGCCGTATTCCTTTCAGCCGCTGCCTCTAATTCACGATCACACAGGAAAGAAACTGCTATTTGAGGCAGAAGTATCGGCGACCGAGACTGCCGGCAAGTCCTGCAGCATCCGGTGATACTTTGCTACGCTTGCGACGCCCGCGACGGACACAACACACCCCGGGGCCACACGAGCGCATCACTCCCGCGAGCGCATACACGACCAGCCTCGGCCACCAAGCGTTATCTGCCACAGCAGCTTGTTCTTCATCTCCTTGCTGAGCAGTGCTTGCGCCGCGTACTCCATGGCGATAGGAACATAATCGTGGAGGACCGTTCACGTGGAGAGGGACACACCCTGTTCGGCTCCTGGATGGTCGCGGCCGCCCTTGGGCCACAGCGCCGCTATGGATGCTCTTGATCTGGTGGTGACGCTGTCCACGGCAGCGTCGACAATGACGACGACACCGACAGCCGCAGCTGCAGCCGCAGCCACCACGCATGCCCCCTTATCACCCAGACGCGTCAACTGTGAAGCCGTCAACCTGCCAGTTGGCGGAGTGATCATTATTCCTGGCAGCGATCCCATTACCCTGACTGCGAGCGCCGCCTTCCGGGCACCATGTCTCGCAACAAATACACCCAACATCTTTAGCAGCTCGGCCACAAACACGACCTCGGTAGGAACCAGCACAAATACGACAACAGGTTTGTCCACCGAGGTCGACACGACTGGGCGCACTGCTGACGACGCTACCACACCCCAACTGTCTGACTTCCGGGACCCGTTCTACGCGTCCACATTCCCGCAATGCTACGCCCTCTCTGCGACGACTGTCATATCGTATACACTCGTCATCATGCTCATGGTCGCACCAAGGTCGTTTCTGGACGGAGGCGTCGTCGTGCTTGGCCGGCGCGGCTTCACCAACGGTGGTTCCGGTGGCAAGAATATTGGCGGGCGGCCATGGCTGCAGAAGGTCGCCGCGCTGACCGTTGCCATCTCGCTTACTATCGCGACCGCGGATACGTTCCGCGTGGCCAAGAACCAGTATTCCTGGGGGATCCAGAACGCCGAGGAGATGCAAGAAGAGGTGATGGACGGCACAGAGCTCAAGGTGATTCGTATCATCTCAGACACATTTCTGTGGCTCGCTCAGGCGCAGACTCTCATTCGCCTCTTTCCGCGCCAGCGAGAAAAGGTTATCATCAAGTGGACGGCCTTCTCGTTGATTCTCCTGGATCTCATATTTGACTCCCTCAACAGCTTCCGTTACAGCTCCAGCGGCCGCACGTTTACGGATGCCGTTCCCGCCCTCAGTTATCTCTTTCAGCTGGCCCTGGGTGTTCTTTATGCCGCCTGGGTGATTTACTATTCGTTGATGAAGAAGCGCTACGCCTTCTACCATCCCAAAATGCGCAACATATGTCTCGTTGCTACACTGTCATTGCTTGCTATCCTTGTGCCTATCGTGTTCTTTGTCCTGGACATTTCGAAGCCCGACTTCGCAGCTTGGGGCGACTACGTGCGCTGGGTCGGTGCAGCCGCAGCCAGCGTGATCGTATGGGAATGGGTTGAGCGCATCGAGGCCCTGGAACGGGAAGAGAAGAAAGACGGAATCCTGGGCCGAGAGGTGTTCGATGGCGACGAGATGCTCGACATAATGCCGTCTGATTTTGCATGGCCGCGCAGACGACGGAAAGCCAACAAAAGCTTTAAGGACGACGACGAAAGTTCTAGGGGGGGGCACGCTCTCTCCTTAAGCGCACACTCGTCAGGCCGGAAGCAGATGTGGCCAGGCATGACGACGTTTGCCCATCGATACTGGCCTCGACCACGACGGCTGGAAAGGAGTGGAGAGAACGATGCAGGGCTACGAGAACCAACAAACGGCAGATATGGCGGCGACGACACCGATGACGACGGCAACATTGAAAACACCAATAACGGTGCCAGCGGTGGCGGCGGTGACTCGGCAGCTACACAGCATCTGCAGCCGCCACTATGGCCAGCACGGCCAGCACCAGCAGCAACACCAATCAGTCGTACGGATACGGCCAGCGCGGACAGCACTATATACGTGATGCGGTATCACCCGGTGGCTGACGGCAATGCATCTCAAACAACATCCGAAGCACAGCCATCTTCGGGGACGTCGATGGCGGCGGGTGTGAGGGTGCATCCTCACATGGCTGCTGCTCTCTCTCGTAGCTCCAGCGGCGCCAGTTCGGCGAGGCCTGAACGAGGTCCGGGGACAGCAACATCCTCTGCCTCTTCGCAGATCACCAGCGTTGGCAAACGAGGATCAACATTTGAAGTTTTGGAGGCGACAAGGACGGCGCCGTTCTCTCGAAAGCCGTGGCGAACAATCACAAAGTCCCTCCCTTTCCACCGGGGAACAGCACCTGGACCCGAAAACAGCGAAGCTGGTACATCCCAGTCGAGTGGGAGCACAATTGGGGGCTCACACAAGCCAGAAGACATTCCGCGTGATGAGGCAGGCCGTTGGGATATTCGTGGGCGGCTGGAAGAATTTGCCGTGACCCAGGCCGAAAAGCTCCGAGAGAAGATACGGCCCAGCATCGACACGACGGGCCTGCCAGTCATGGTGATTCCGGCACCAAATCGGCAAGGGCTACTTGCCAGAGTCCTAGAGGAGGAGGAGAACAACAGCCAGCAGCAGCAGCTGTCGCCAGGGTCGGGCCAACTCCAACGAAACGAGAGCAGTGCATCGGCGATGCCTGGCATCTTGATGGGCAGCTCGGCGAGCCGCGGTACTGCGCCAGCTCTTCGGCGTAGCAGCACCAGCGATGCATCGGTGTCCTCTGCGAGTGCGGACTCGCCCCGTAGTGGTCCCGGACCTATACCACAAGCCCGGTCGTCTCGTGATGGGCCACCTACCGTTGTTGCGGCGGCTTTATCACGTGCAAGCTCAGATAGAGAGCCGCCGTCGCCTAAGCCTTGAGCAGCTGGCTTTCATTAGCTGTCTAACATCTGTCGGTCCACAAGCGAAGTGCTTTCAGCGATGCATATGCATATACCGAAGCAAGCCGGGTTTGGACTTGGCATGAGGACTCTGTTTTTTTCCCCTCTTTTTTTTCGCTTTATTTTAGTGTTAATACCATGCATCGGATGCCGGCATTGGAAGGGCGCACTTTGGGACATGATATGCTATATTTGAGATATAAGGGTCAAGGAGAATTGGAGGTTCGTGTGGTAAGCATCACTATGCACGGTAGAATATAATGTCCTTATTCTTGGCCGGACGTTTGCAATCACATGACCAAAATATTACAAAGCAAAAAAAAGACTTGCCCGTCTCTGTCTCTTACGACGTACGGTGTAAGATACGTAGTATACTATACCGTCCCGTACGAAGTAACTCCGTATGACATGAAATTCAAAAACTTACGATTCTAATCATGTGGTTGAAAGAAAAAGCCGGGCAAGATTAACGAGCAATGGGGAAACGAAGAAGCAGGAGAAAATTTTACTGCCGATGACATCATACCGGAGAATGACAGGTCGCCTCTCGCTACTCCGTACGTGAAAACTTTGTGGTGATTGGTTGGCGAATGGGCAGAGAAGCAATGGAAGAAGAGGCAAGACTGCGACCGGAGTGGGCGGATCGGATGCAGCCCTTAAGATAAGAAGAGATGCAGGAGCAGCAGGTCGGGAGAACGGGGCCACCTGACTGAAGACAGAGCCACCCACCTGACCGTGAAAGCGAGGAGGAGCAGCCGTGGGTCGGAAAGCCGGGAGCTAGGCGTCGATGAGTTTGGAAGCCTCTAAACGCCGGCCTGCGAGGCTGGATAACGCCGGTCGGTGCAGGCAGGAGCTGCAGAGAGGAAAATACTGCGGCACGGAGTACGAGTCTTCGTACGAGAAGGAGCGCACGATGCACAGTGCGAATTAGTTAGGAGCAGAAAAATGGGACTGCTTTGCGTTTTAATTTGTCTACTAGCGGATGGCAAAAAAAGGGGAGGACGAGATGTAATAATGATATAAGACCCCTATAAAAAATGCTTGATAACACAAGAGAAAAAGAAAAAGCCAAAAAGGGGACAAGAGAGACGTAAAGCCATTGAAGGGAGAGCGACGAGACGACGAACCGGGAATGAGCGCGATCACGCATGCAAATGGAAGGTGCACCAGGCAGTCCTTCTGATTCTGACTTCCCGGACGGAGCAATAATAGACTTTTCCCAAGGATCCGCCCAGCCATCTGACGAAACGTGCCCTCCCATTGCTACTTCCATAATAATAATAATAATAATCGGCCGTACGTATCTTACTCCACCACGCGGTCGTTTTTGCCCTTACCACGCCAATCGATCGCGACTAGATTGTTGTCCGCACTCGGCTTTGCCTCCGTTTTTTTTCCCCCTTCCTCCTCGGACTCGCTCTTTCTGCCTCTCCACCCTTAATTACGACGTACATCTGCCCCTTCGCCGTGCCGACCGACTCCTGAATCACACCTTTTCCCTCCATCCTTCTGCGTAGACGGTACACGCATAAGAGAGTGAGCCGCCATCCAGCATCCATTATCGCGTCTTTAATAAAACCCCTCCCTCCTTTTTTCCTCTCTCCTCTTCTATTGGAACGTTTCCCTCTGCACTCTGTGCTGCTCTTGACAGCTTGGCAACATCCATCGGTCTGACGGATCAGTCCTCTCCTACGAAATAGCGTTATTGGGTGCACGAATAAGCAAGATCTCTGGAAACCCGAACTGAACAGGTGACCAGAGACAGTCGGCCGAACATAATCGTCCAATTGGTAAACAGCTTCTAATTCCACCATGCCGGCCAAGCTGCCAGTCTCGCCGGCCAAGGAGCCTTTCCCCCTGCTGAATGTCGACGCTCCCGACAACACAACCCCATCTTCGGCGTCACAGCATGGGGCCGTTCGTCGGTCAGGGTGGACAAGCGAAGGCAATGGCGCTCTGGCCACCAGTCTGGCCCATCTGAGCGGTGTTGACATGGCCGCGGGCAACAACAAGGTGAGTTTCGGCTTTTCGATCCTGCTGACGGAAGACGGTTAGAAGACGACGAACCACAGCAGCTGACACGGGTAGAAGCACGACTTGTCGCGGGACAAGCGGCTCTCGAAGCGACGGAAGGCTCGGTCGCTGGTCCGCCGGGTCAAGCAGTTCACCACACGCCACACTTGGATCTTGCCGCTGGCCATCGCTCTCGTCGTGCTGTCGGGCTACGCTGCCTATCCATCCGAGTCCAACCCGCTCTCCCACTTCATCTTCCTCTCGTACCGCCTGCCGCTTGCAGCTGATGCCGACCCGGACGCGTCACCACAGTATGGCAAGGGCCTCTGGGATATCGCCTTTGTCGTCTTCTACACCGTCGTCCTCACCTTCACCCGCGAGTTCTTCATGCAGGAGGTCTTCCGGCCACTGGCCCGCTTTGCCGGCCTGCGCTCTAGGTCAAAGCAGGCCCGCTTCATGGAGCAGATGTATACCGCCCTCTACTTTGGTGTGCTGGGTCCTGCTGGCCTTTACGTCATGTCCAAGACGCCTGTGTGGTTCTACAACACCCGCGGCATGTACGAGAACTTCCCCCACAAGACGCACCTGGCCATTGTCAAGTTCTACTACCTCTTTGAGGCTGCCTACTGGGCCCAGCAGGCTGTTGTTCTCATGCTGGGCATGGAGAAGCCGCGCAAGGATTTTCGCGAGCTCGTTGGCCACCACATCGTCTCTCTGTCTCTCATCGCCCTGAGCTACCGTTTCCACTTCACTTACATCGGCATTGCTGTCTATACCACCCACGACATTAGCGACTTTTTCCTGGCCGTACGTTCTCTCTTGCCTCTCTGTCGTCTCTGCCTTTCTGTCCTGATCTCTAACTCCCTCTCCAGACATCCAAGTCCCTCAACTACGTTGACGGCCCGCTGATGGGACCGTACTACTTCACCTTTATGTGCGCGTGGGTGTACCTACGCCACTATCTCAACCTGCGCATCATCTACAGCCTCTTCACCGAGTTCAAGACCGTCGGCCCCTACGAACTCAACTGGGAAACAGAGCAGTACAAGTGCACCATCTCCTTCGTTATCACCCTAGCTTTGCTGGCAGCGCTGCAAGCCCTCAACCTGTTCTGGCTGTATTTCATTGTGCGTATCGCGTACCGCTTCGTTGTCCATAACGTCGCCAAGGACGAGCGCAGCGACGGTGAAGAAGACACCGAATTCGAGGACTCGCCCAAGGACGGAGAAGCTTCGGTCGCCGAAAAACAAGCGCTGCTCGACAGCAAGGCCGATGCCGCTACGACAGCGGCAGCTTCGCCTCTTGCGGCCAACGGAAACACCAAAGTCAACGGTGCCGCCGCCAAGAAATAATCAACGCCCATTTGCTACCCGGGATTTCAGTTCAATCTGTTGATGAGTTTGCATAGCGGCGTTTATAGGCGGTAGAACTGTTAATGGGTGCATCATGAGAAAACGCGCTTATGGAACGCAGTGCTGTATGCCTCGGTCTCTGGTCTTTTTCCTGTTGGGTTTCATCTCTTGGTCGAGCCCCCTCCTTACGCCATGATTGATGTTGGCATACGAATGTCCTACCTTTCCTGTCCCTCTTTTGTTAATCCGTTCAGACGCATGACCACATCCCTTTTTATACTTTTACCTTTCATCTTATTTTTGGGGGCATGGGATGGCTCCGTCAGCTGAAGTCGGGACATGTTTTCTGGGAAGTGGCATTGCAGGAGGAGTTGCATGCGGGGAAAAAAGCAGGAAGTGTTTCAACAGGCACTTCTTCTTATCCGCCTCTGCTGTTCTGGTTTGTGTCCTTTTTTGGGTCGGTTGGTGCACCGCAGCACAGGCTGTTGTTGATCCCTTTCTTCAAGTTTTGTTTTATTTTGACTGTTCTGTCCTTCAGACTACGTCCTGCTTCCTCATATAATTATTAATAACGCGAAGACACCTTGAGACACGAACCTTGAGCACAGAAGTGCTTTTTTCATGCGGTGTGACGCGACTTATCAACTACCTCCTTTTGACGCACCTTTTTGAACCCTTTGCTGCCACAACAAATGATAGTAGATCCATAACATCGTTATAAAATATATAAAAACAGCAAGAAGCTCGTGAAAACTGGCACGAACCAGGCGCGTACAGAAAAATGCGGTAAGAGATAGAATGGAGTATTAACCCGCTGGCGCGTTCATATGCCGTCCCTTTCGAAGAAGCAAGAAGAGATGGAAAAAATAACATAGGTGAATGAGGCTGTGCATTATAACCTCGGTGTACACTCCCGCCCCGTTTTAGAACCCTCGTTCCTATCCGTGCCACCGGCCCCATCCATTTTGGCCTGCCTTGTCGTATTGTTCCTCCACCCCATCCCTTTCCAGATAATGACAAGATGCTCCCCTCACTGCTTGAGCTTCTGCACACCCTAAACGCCATCCCTATGTGATATGGTCATGGAAATCATGATCTCTCCGATCTTCTTTCGATTTGGCGGTGCAGTAAATAAACAAAAAAATGCAATGAAGTGGGTTGGGGATTAGCAGCAATGGTGTATCCGATTGAACACATCACAATGCATGGGTATATGTGACTGCGTGTATGCCAGTAACGCAGTCGCCTTTGAAGAACGTACGACGCCAGAACATATCATCAAAATGCCGAAGAAAAGAAAAAAAGAAAAACAAGAGTAAATGAACAGAAAACGCTATGTGAAACAGGAGAATTAGATTAAATGCACTTTCAATGTGCTGGAGGGCGTTGGTCGTCATCTGAGGAATCTGGGGACCGTGCGATGCTTCCTTGTCTCGGTGTCGTCGTCCCAGTCGCAAGGACGGTTGATGATGACAGACTAGTATAGCCATCCGAATTTTCATCACCACCGCGACGTTGTATAGGGCTGTTACTGATGTGTGCCTGGCGCAGAAGCTGATTCGCCCGTACCGTTGCGTCGCGAGCCGCAACTGCAGCCTGCTCCGCCTGAGACTGCTTCTCCCACATAGACGCGTACCGGCCTCTCAGCTCCAGCAGCTCATTGTGTGTGCCCCTCTCGACAATGCCCCCGGCATGGAGCACGATAATTTGGTCCGCGTGTGTAATGGTTGACAACCGGTGACTGTTCAACATGTTAGTCAGCTGGTATGGTAACTGCAAGAACATTGCAATGGAATCCACGTACGCAATGATCAGGAGAGTACGATCTTGGCCCAGGCTACCGCCACGGATCAATTTCGCCTGGATCTGCTGCTCGGTCTCACTGTCAAGAGCGGAGGTGGCTTCGTCCAGCATGATGATCTTGGGGTTCTTGAGAATGGTGCGAGCAATTGCCACGCGTTGCTTCTCACCGCCACTCAGCCGGGTGCCACGGTCTCCGACTCTTGTATTATAGCCGTAGGGAAATGATAGGATCCGGTCGTGAATGCTTGCAGCCCTGCAGGCGTCGAAAACTTCTTCATTTGATGCGCTGGGATTGGCGTACTTGAGGTTATACATGATCGTCTCATTGAACAAAATTGTGTCCTGTGGCACAACACCGATGTGACGTCTCACCGAGTCGATCGTGACATCTTCAACGTTGTTGCCGTCAATTTCGATGTAGCCTCCTTGGCAATTATAGTAGCGAAACATGAGCCGGAAAATTGTCGACTTGCCACCTCCCGACTCGCCAACAAAAGCCGTCGTAGTCCCAGGCCAGCAGTCAAAAGAGAGGTCGCGAAGAGCAGTGCGTTTTGCATCGTACCAGAACTTGACGTTCGTCCATCGGATATGGCCGCGGCACTGCGACAGGGTCTTGACGCCTGGGCGATCTACCACGGTTGGCCGGATCTTGAAGAGTTCTAAAAGACGCTCGCCAGAAATCATGGCTTGCTGGACTGTCCGATAGAACGAGCCAAAAAAATTGAGCGGGCCTTGCAACTGGCCCAAATAGGTGGTCATAACGACAAAATCACCCACAGATCGCATTCCCTGGTTGACCTCGACAGCTGCGACCATGAGCATGACCAGAATGCCACACATGAAAACAAGTGCCTGACAAATGTTCATGTTGTTCATGCCCCATGTCACCTTGGCTTCTGCGACTTGGAAGCTCTTGATAGCGTTGCGATAGCGGTTGAACTCAAAAGCCTCTGCGTTGAAATATTTGACTGTTTCGTAACTGGTTATGGAATCGTTCTTCACAGCTTCTTCTTCGCGGTCAGCGTTAACCATATCTCGCCGCAAATCTGCACGGGTCGATGCCATCTTGACAGTCATATGTAGGTAATAGACAGTGATGACGGCAGCAATGGTAGCATATATGGCGCCAAATCGGAAAAGGAAGTAGACGATGGCAACGAGAAGATCGACCAGCATCGGGAAAACCTGAAATGTGACCTGCTCCAAAAAGGAGTTGATGGCAGCACCCTTGTTTAGTGCAGATAGAACTTCACCCGTACGCTTGCCGAGATGAAAATCCAGCGAGAGCGAATGAACATGCTCGAAAGCTGCAGTTGTGAGAGCACGGTAGGAGTACTGAGAGACTGGGATCCAGATGAGAGACCTTACAGACCCTAGTAGGCCACCCTGACCTTGCAAGACTTTGTAGAAGATCAGGGTCAGAATCTCTAGCCAAGGCAGTCCGTTCTTCGATTCAAACGCATCAGTGATGTTTCCGATCTGGTTTGGAACAAGAAAGTTGACCACCCGCTGAATAATCAAAATGAAGAAACAGATGACTACTACGAATCGTAGTCTCGTAGAGTCGCTTGGCCAGAGGTAAGGGAAAAAGAGCGAGTAGCTTGTGACATACTCCCACCATGTCTTGTGGGGAAGTTTGTGCGGTCGATAGAACGCTACTTCTTCATGGTCGGTGTCGCTTTCATGTCCTTTGCCAGTTGAAGCAGTAGAACTTCCATCAGTAGGATTGTTGGGACAGTCTCTGACAGAGACTTTGCTAGAGGCTGTAGGAAAGTCGCTGGGAGCATCAGTGACAGCATCAATAATTGTGCTTTTCGGAGACCCATTGACATGATTGCCGACTGCTTTGGTAACAGCGCTGTAGGATGTCACATCTCTTCTTCGGACAAGTGGAGTGGTTTCGTCGTCCTCACTTGTCTCGTCCGTCAGTCGTCCATCCCGTTCTAGCTTCTCCTTGGGGTTTTGGTGTTTCGGGAAAGGGAGACAGAAGTATAGACGGAAAGGAGGAGTACAAGGAGAGCTATACGAATGGAGCCGATGATTATGTCGATATAATCCCACCGATCCGGACCATAGGCGGTAGTCCAAATATCGTGCACGACGCTTCGTAGAACTTGATGGCGACCAGTGACACGAATGACGTTGGTAGTATAAATGGCAATTTCTTCAGCGAGTGAGAGAGTCCAGAAAGTGGCCACCGGCTTGTTTGGGACTCTGTCGGCTTCCAGAAGATAGACAAAGACATAAAGGTGCATGAATATGCCCGATATGAGGTACACCTAGAATAATAAGTAACCGGAACTGAGAAACGCGAAATAGCAAGCGAACTCTACGACGGGTGGCAGTGGGGGAGGCAGAACAAAGCTGTCGACATACGGAAGTCTCTTCACCACACCACCAGCTGTATTTGGTATCGAGATTCCTTGATTCCTCAAGAGTGTGTGCGATGACGCTGATAAAGTTGGCTAAAAAAGAAAGTCCGACGCTGGAGCTGGCGTAACAGTATAGTCGCCTAATATGCCTGCTGATTTCCAGATTGGGCGTAAATGCGACGCTCGACGTGTCCTGGGACTTGCGGCGTGTCGCAGGCAATGGTCGCCCGCCGGGACCGGTTACCATTGGTGGGATGAGTTCCGCGCCACGGCGAACATCCCATACGCTGTGCAACGCGATAGACGATACAAACACCACCAACGATACGAGTCCGTACCACAGCTGAAGCTGTCCGAGAATAGCTTCCGGCCAGGACTCGGCCACGGTTGGAGCCATGGTGCTTTGAGGTGGGCGTAATCGTTAAAAAGAAGGGTTGTGGCACTTGTAAGAGGTTCCAGCAAATCTAGAATAGCGAGAAAGACAGACGAGTCAGAGAAACGTTGGCCAGGATGTAGAAGTCGGCGGCATAACTGCTAGCTTGGAAGGATGGTGAAATGAATGGTGTCTAACCTCCCCCGATAAAACAAACCTCCCCAACCGGATATCGGTGGATTTGTAGCTAAGAGAGTGCCTGGGACCAAGTTGGGGTCGGCATTGTAGTTCCAGCCGACAAGACGGCAGAACGACAGAGGATGTAGAGGGGGGAGAAGGAGGCTGAGAGGAGAACGCGGTAGGGGGGACTAGATGAGGCAAGACGAAAGGTGTAAGGAGGGAGATGGAAGCAAAGAGGTAGGTAGCACAGAGCAAAGTGCGATAAATTGGGGGCCCAAACACGGAGCAAGAAGCAAGGTGGAAAGAGTAAGGATAAGACGAGGCAGCAGCACCTTTACGAGAAGATCGTCTCCTGGATTTCTCTGAGGGTGGCAATTGGTGGAGACGACGCCTGAATGGAACACGCGATGTTAGTAGGCAGACGCTTCATTGGAAAATAGAACCAAGCCAGCCATCTAGTTCTCGCCTACTCGAGAAAATGACCGATGGTAGACAGTGGGGCAGGTGACAGAAACGCACCAAGTGGCGAAACCCACTTTGGCCAAAGACCCTGTCTAGGCCGAGTAAATAGGCGAAAGAGGGGGGGGCTCCTGGACGCTCGGCCTTAGGGTAGGTAGGCCAGTTTAGCGTGCGTCTAAGGTGAGATTCGGGGGGAAGAGAGGTGACGATGGTGGCTTGGACACAATCTATAAAAGCGGTAGCTCTTTATGGTGTTATTAGTTGGAAGCGCTGGAGTTGTCAGTCCCAGAAATGTGGCAGCCGACGAGAGTAGTCCACACGGGGTGGCGAGCAGAGGGGACGGAGAAGCGAGCGGTATGCCAATTGACGAGAGGAAATAAGATACGACGTCGCCCAGGTGGAGGGTGGAGCACGTCGTGATGCTGGGAGAGTGAAGATGGAGAAGATGCAGTTGGGAGGAGGGGATGTGAAGACTGGGATGGCAGAGAGGGGACAAGAGAGGGGAGAGAGGAAAGGAGAGAGGGGAGAGGGAAGGAGAAAGCAGTTCAATAAGAATGGAAGGAGCGACAAAGGAAGAAAGTCTACGGCGCAATACAATACCTGCCCTGGGCGAACACAAGCGAGAGACTGCTTGACGCGGATTAAAAATGAAGCGAAATAAAATGCTTATAGAACAAATATTATCAAATAATAAAAACATCAAATAAGTCGGTCGTGTGGCGATAAATAAACCCGAAAAAGAAAGAAGGAAGGTGTACTCCGTACACACGAACCATACACACAAAAGCCTGAGCAATGTTCACTAAGATGGAATTGTGTTTCCCGGCTGTCTGCAAAAGGAGAGGCCGTCAGCCCAGAACAACCAAGTAGCGGTGCAGGGTTGCCGTCGAAGCCAATGAGGAGAGGGTGGTGTCTCCCGAGGCACGAAGATTGGTCGGGTCAATACCTTGCCATTAAGGCCAACCTAAGGGACGCAAGGGCAGCATGGCATTTTCGTGGTAATACTCGATAGGAACGTTTGGATCAATGGGAAGGGGTGAGGAGGAGGGGGTGCGGGCTGTCGGAGGGCGGTGGAAGCAGCAAGAACGACCCGGTGAGAGCGTGTGACAGCCGGAGGATCTTGTTCTTGCCAGGGTTGAAGGAAGGTGCATGGGGAAAGAAAGCTTCCCTCCACTTCTGCGCTGCTTCTTATTTTCCCCTTCCCTTGCATGTTCTCTGTCGGTCTTTACATAATAAAGCACTTCTCGCCTCTTGGTCTCTGCTCGCTCGTGACGACTGCAGCTGGCAGGCCTGCGCAACTACATTATAGGCTGATTTCCATCAAACTCTCGGACGCAGCCAGTCACCAAGCCAGCTAGGCCAGACCAATTCCAGGGATTTTGTTGAATCGCACCCAAAGATCTATACCGCCTTCAGTGTCAAAACCGGGCCGCTTCCATCGCGGCCTGGCCAGCCCACAGCAGACAGCCCACAACAGCCACGCTCCCAGTGGTAAGAGACTACGGAGTAGCCTGTCGCAGAAATGTTCCTGATATGGAAACTCTGAATCTTGTGCCTTGACCGGCCACCCACCACAATGCACGTCGCCATGTTTTTTCCCGCCTGGGCGGCGGTACACTGCATTCGGCCGTTCTTGTTTCGTCATACTCGGTCCCCTGCCGCTCCTCTTATCCGGCGGGTGTGACATAGGCAGCTGCTCGGTCAAATGCAGACAGGTCAAGTGCAGGCAGACTCGGTGGTGCAGCCGTGGGTGCGCTTCCCTGACGGCGAGGACACGGCGGTGCGTGATGTTGGGAGGAGGAAACCCCCCTCTCTCGGCCCTCCACCATACGGGTTCTAACCTGCGTGCTTAGGGTGGATGTCGCTCCTGCATCTCCTTCCGGTCGCTAGCAGAGCGGTGAGAGCACACCTTCCATTCCTTCCGCGGCCATGGAGGGGGGGGGCCTTGGAAGAAGCCGGAGTGGAGAGGCGTGCAGCTATCACAACTTTGTTTCTTGCATGTATCTTACGAGTGGCACGGAGTACGAATTGGCTTCCCGGCTGCTTCCCGTCGGCTGCTTCACCTAACGCTTCCCCGGCACTAGTTTCACTGTTCCCTTATCCCTCACAGCTCGGCGTGCTCGAAGCTTGCGCTTCTTGTTTTGTCTCCTGCTCGCTCGGGCAGCTTTTCCACAATTTCGAACGCAGTCGCCTGCCCCATCAGCACAGCCAGCACGGCCAGCGTGGCACCCCAGTCTTGGGCTCCGCGTCGTTCGGGCAAAAAAGCGCATCTCGACTCGGCAAATGGGCAGTGGCAAAGGCATGTCTAGCAAGGATCTGTCATAGATAGGTCACCGTTATGTCATCGCTCTCTCCCGGCAGCCGCTTCTTCGGGCTCTTCAGGCCATAGCATGCCCATCATCTGCCCAGCTTACGATGCACACCCACTGTCGATGCGTGCCACCGTACCAGCCAACCCCAGTCGTCCAAGTCGCACTACTCTTCTTTGTATCTGGAACGGCAGCCCAACACGGCCCGATCGTTGACCGACTCGACGAACAAGTAGCGATAAGGGACGAGCCTTGACGACGCGCGACCAGGTGCTATAGTCTGCAGAGCAATGACCGACCGGTGTACAATAGCTTTCATGTGGAGCTGCCACTTTCAGTAACTTTTGCGGGATTTGCCTGCCGACCGCCTGCTCTGTTTCCAATGGAACTGTAAAATGGTCACATCTCACAAAACATCCACCTGGACAGTTCGCGATTGCCTCCTATGGGATGATGGCCTACCAAGGAAGCTCGTCGAGACCTGGTCAAGTACAGGCATAGCACGCACAACGTGGCACACACTCGCAGCCATCGCGGCCTTGATGCCTTGAGTGTGGAAGCAGCGTCCAAAAGTTCTGGACCATCTGACTCGGGCCATTCTTGGGCGAGAAGCAGAAGAGGAGGGGGGTGAAGATGGCAACCCAAAGAGGAACTATATGCGTTGCACGTTTCAGTTCGGATCCTGGTCCTCCCTTGTCGAGATTTTCCAATTATGCACGCTGCGATTGGTGACATCCTTGTCCTGCCCTTTCCTCGTTCCGTCGTCGGTTATAACCAATGCACAGTCGGCCCAGCCGGCGTCACATTCCATCCCATGACTTGTTATCAATACGAATACTTCGTGCAGGTGAGGGTTTAGTACTTGCTCTATACTCTGCTCTTCTCCGCCCGTCGTCTTCCCGCTCATCCGCCCATTGGCTTCTCAGCTCCCCTCGGCTCCTTGGTCGCTCAATCGTAGTTCGGCAGCTGGGTCTGTGCTTCATGCAGGTCAGTGAGAGAGCAAGACCGGCTGACTACACTTGCTTCGCTTACCGAGTCGTAGGGCTTGATATGCTGTTGTGAGGACCTTAAACGAAGCTCTTATGATTTCCTTGGACAAAGACATGTGGAAGCTCTGAAAAAGGCAGTTGTTTCCGCGGCTGCTTCTGCGGCCTTTTAGGCTCACCTTGTGAGGCTGCACTAGCCGAAAGTCACGATCGGATCCTACACAACAGAAATAAGCCAGTTTGTGAAGTCCTGCATCTGGGGAAAGTGTGGGGGAGAGCATCCATAGTGGGACGATGTTCTTCTGTTCCAAGGAAAATCCCCCACGCCTCTAGAAAACTAAGCCTACCGTCGTGGCCTATAGAGGACAGGATAAGCGTGCATATGCCGACAGAAGGATACGAGGTAAACGCCCCGTATGGGAGAGCGACATTGCGAATAATGTTCTTCAGATCGGCCAGGTGACTCTATCTCGCCGGTTACACGGCTTTGGCTGCACAGAAACCCGGCTCTCTCAAACCCGAGAAACGTTAAACCTGGGCGATATTGCAGGCAAGGCCAGGATATGGTGTGATTGCCTATGGGGATATGCTAGAAAAGAGCACAATCCAGATGCCTGCCACAAAGGGTTAGATAGAGGTCGTATGGTTTAGTCGCTGATTCTCCCGAGCTGCCGTTCCTGCCGCTTTCTTGTCTAGACAGTCTTTTCCGAGGAGCTAACGTTCAGAAGCCGCGAGTAGGACATGGCGACTGGACCGGAACTGCGGTCGCCACCCAAGACGACACAGCCGCCTTTTCCTCTTGTTTTACGCCTGTTGGCTTCATATTCTCTTCTCAACTCCCATCTCCGATCGGTCTGTGGTCTGTCGGGATATGCAGTGAAATCCCGGACATACGGACGCCACCTCGATGCAATGATGCAATCCCCTGCAGCCATAGCTCTCCTCGTGGACAACCTGTTGTAGCTGTACGACAGACCGAGAGGTGTGCTGCTTGCTTTAGCCGAAACCGGCCCATTTCGCTGCAGAGCTTCGCTCTATACCGGTTTATTATTGCATCAAGCAGGTTTCTATATTTGCGATTTGTTGCGGTCTAGGCCCTTCGGTAGTGACTAGATTCGCTGCTATGCATGCACGAATTTACTTTTGTGCTCAAAATGTGTATTTGACGAAGAAACCGAGTGCTATTGTGCTGGTTCTTATCTATGAAGGATTTCCAGATAGCGTGGTGACACAAGGTGGGCTATATTTTCCCTTGGTTATCACAGAAACACAATATGGCATAGTTTAATAACGGAAAAATAGGATTGGGTTACACGTCCCTCCGGACTACCACCACTCTATCTACCTACTGTGTCGATCTGCACACCGGAACATCATGTCTCACCCTGTGGTTCTAACCACGAGAATGGCCGTTTGCCGGGGGTTGCGTGTCGTTGCTGCAGCCAAGGCCACCTGCTGCCCTCCGTTGCATAGGATCTGCAATGCCTGATACTCGATCAAAGGTACTGGTTTGCCACTCTACCTACCCCTCTACGTGCATTGAAAGACCCGCGTATCCTGTCGTGCACCGTCCAGCCATTGTACCTAGCTGGGGATTTTCTGATCTCATGTCACCTAGATATGAACTTCTAGCTTGAGTCTTTTGCTTTGCTTGAATTTGAGGCGTGCCGCGTGGTCGATCTGATGAACGAGAGAGCCGGGCGTTGCAGACTGTGGGAGAGTGAAACGGCCTGACATGCGCTACGGCTAAAGACAGCATCTGGCCGGATCTGAGACATCGCAAGATAGTACGACACAGTCCCGTGGATATAGAAAAACTCAGCCCCAGAAATAGGACGAGAGCCGTCTTCCGGGTGGTAGATGCTGACGGCGTGCTGCCAAGAAAGCAACTCGAGGTAATAAGGACTTATGTCGTGTAACTGCACTAACGGATGTTGCTAACGGTATTGCTAAGAGTATCACTAACAGCTATGCTTTTGTGACGAGGGCAATAGTGTCAGATTTATACCTTGTGATTGTTAAATTGGCAACACGGAAACGAAACGCTGTTTTTACGAAAAGTGTAGGACTAGAGACGCCGTATGAGGCCTTGGGATACTTTGTTGTGAAGTTGGCAGCCCTGCTACAAAGTCTTACAGAAAGCCATCTTGACACTTTGGCCACTCGGGCCAAGAAGGCGGCATCACAGAAACGCTTGAGTTCACCTGCTTGAACCTTTTAGCCGGCATACGTAGCAAAGTACAATGACGTGCACTTTAAGGTCACAGGGCACATCATCTTGTTCTCGTACACACACGATAGTCATGTGCGTTCCACTACCATGCCATATCTGCTGTGCTTGATGTAAGAGATGACAATATGACGGCAATGGAGTATGCTGGTACATAGTATGACAGAAACTACGTGTGAGGCATGCTGCATTCCCATTAGGCAACAGGCCGAGCGATCTGTCTGACGATGATGACACAATACGAGAAGTTTTCGGGCTCATACCCTGGCTTCAGCAAAGGCAAGATGGTCAAAGCACAGTACTGAGAGCCGTGAGGTTGTTCTTGGTCTTGTATTGCTCTTCCCAGGGTTACTCGAGGGGATGAAGCAATGTATTTGTGACGGAAAGCGGGCATACGCATGCATATACCCGACACGCTGTTAGATTTGCATGCTACCCAGCTCGAACGAGTCGACCAAAAGAAATGACGAAAGAAATTGATCACGACAGGGAAGCATGAAACGACTTTCCAATGGGCGGTTCTTTCATGGAAGGTATTAGCGAGGCATGCTGCTTACCTTGGACGGCGAACCAGTAATCATCGTCAATGACCAGCGGAGACGGAATTTAGATTGCTTGTGTTGGAGCAGAGTTCATTCGTGTGACAGGAATGTCAGCTTGTCATTCAGCAACACCATGGCTATAGGGACTTTGTACAAAGTAAAACCAACTGATCTCAGGAGAGTCACGACGCGACGTAGTGGGTACTGGAAAATTGAGATGTGAAAAGTGAGAAGTGAAAACCAGAGTGCAGAACATGACACCGGCAAAAAGTCTAGAAGAATACGAGACTGAGCAGACGCTCACACACGAGGTGATTAACCGGGGGTGATGTGCAGAATTTCAGACGGCTTGCGTCGTTCTGAAGAACCGAGTTTACTGGAATGGTAACATGTGCCGTCAGCAGGCGATTTCGCGGTATGGTTGTAGAGCAGCAGGGTTCTCTGGCCTGCCTGGTTGTCTCTGAAACAGGAAAACCTTGACTTGATAGCTCTGCAACAGAGGCCGTGTTGACATTACTGCAGTCGAGAACGGCCGGATGCGGCGAAAGCGACGTCGAGAACATCCAGACCGGCCGTCTTGCAGCCTTTTTGGCATTGAGGCGGACTATAAGAGCTAGAAAAAAGCAGAGGAAAGGGGGTCAGCACTAAGAAGACGCCTAGCTGAGCTGAGCGAAAGAGAAGACAATACGACGTAGAGGCGCAAGACGACTCTTTGTACGGAGTAGTAGGCAGGGCCGACCGCCTCGAAGCAGCAGCTACCAGCTAACTGGCCAGTTGCGCGACTCGTGTCTAGTTGGTCTGCCCACGCGTGCCTTCGTGCCTTCCTCCGAACAAGCCGCCCCATTCCGTCTCGGTCCACACACACAGCTCGCTAGGCTAAGCCTGCGAGAATAGAGTAGAAAGGCATGTTGTCAGTGCCATTGATGCAATGCAATGCTTCCTTGCGTGATTACCTAGACGTGCTGTTCTGTGCTGCCGCTATCTACGATATAGCATTTATCTGTCCGTTGGTCGTTCTCGCATCTTGTTCGCCAGGCCTCTGCTGTCTGGCAGCTGGCCAATTAGCCTCTCCCTGCACCACCTCGCCCGAAGGAGCGCACCTCCACTATTGGCAGGAGCCGCCAGCGGCGCAACAGGCAGGACCGATCTTCAGCACAGCCCCTCTGGCGGGACCTCTGGCCAGCTACGAGTATTGGAAAACGAAGAGGAAAAACCAGCATCAAACAAGACAACCGTGGCCTCGAAAGTTTGAATTGGCGCAGCCGCCGCAGATTGACAAAAGACCCGGCCTGCTGCGACGTAGCACCCCGAAGAAACCGCCGGGCCAGCCATACACAGGAGACACAGCCCTGTCCCGTTCCGGCATCGATCCCAAACTCTCTTCCCCTCTTCCCCGTCTAACGGCTCCATCTCGACGAATATCGACTCATCTCTCAGCGGCCAACCCCTCCTGCGTTTACTGTCGTGGCTGCCCCTCCTAAGATCTCGTCTCATCTTCTCTGCGGCCTGCTTTTTGTTTCTCCATCTCCTTGTTTTCTCTTCTCCGGGCGCCTGGCATCTCCCCTTGGTATCATCTCCTCCCGTTCGGGACGCCAACGCATTCGAGCAACCCACCCCATCTCTTCAACCGCTTTGCTTCGTTTCACGCCCTCCCTATCTGCCAGGCTGAATACCCCTCCCCCCGCCCCCCTCCCCTCCTCTCAGTCCTTATTCTGTTACTGGACCCGGACAACTACAGCCTACATAATAATGCCTTCCTTTCTCTCTGGCAGACAAAGCAGTCGTCCCCAACAACAACCGCAGCAACAGCAGCAGCAACAACAATCGCCGCCACACGGCTTTGCTGACTCCCTTAATAGTGCTGGATCCGATCCTGCCTCTGCTTCTGCTTCTTGTGCGCATCTTCCCCCCCCGTCTCGGCTGTCCCTATCCCTGTGTCCCGTGCCCTGTGCCCTGTACTCTGTGCCCTGTGCTATGCGTCTGAGCTGACACAGTTGCCTCAGCCTCATCCTTCCAGGCCACAGACTTGTTGTCGTTCGCCCACCTCCAGAAACCGCTGCCACAACCGCAGCAAGAATTGCCCCAGCGCTTACATCAAGCCCAACCTCAACAGCAACAATTCCGGGCCGCTTCTTTTGTGCCAGGTGGAAACAACCCCGATAAGACTGTTCCTCCTCGAAGCTCGGCTGCCGCATCTTCGTCACCGGCCTTTGACCCTGTGCAGTCGAACTCAGTTTTGCCGACAAAGTCTACGAACCACGAGTACTTGGAGCAAGTGTCGCGCTCGCAGTCGCAGCGCTATCCCCCACAAGCATCGCCTTCCCACGCACACCTGCATTACACCTCGGCTTCCGTCGGAGCCATCTCCGCAGACGACCTCAGAAACACGCTACAGGGTGTCTCGGCACCCATCGGCCAGACCCCATCGAACCTGTTACAGGACCAGTATCTCCAGCAGCAGCCGCAGCAGCAACAAAAGGGCCCGTCGGCATCGCCTGAACCCCGCCGGACTACCCGCAAGCTTTTTAAGAGTTTTCTTGGCGGTGGCAGTTCGAGCCGTGGATCCGATTCCCGTTCACACGGAGGCTCTCAACAGCAGCAGCAGCAACAGCAACAGCAACAGCAGTCCGCCCTCGGCCCACCTCCTACATCTCAGCACCATAACTTTGGCGGGCTTGTACGCCGCCCCTCCAAGCGGCTCTCCAGCCAGCGGCAGCCGTCCCCTCCTCTCCGCACCGGCCCTTCGCAGGTATCCATCTTAGACCCGCCGCTAGACGAGTGGTCTGTCCAACAGCAGCAGCAGCAGCAGCAATATAGCGCAGGAGGACCTAGTGTTGCCAACAGTCAGCCGTCTCCTCTCCAGGGAGTAGGAGAGTTCGTAGCCGGTCCTCCTTCCATACGCCGCGTCGGCACTGGGGATCTCGAGCAACGAGATACCCAGCTGTACAACCCGGACGATATTGGCCAACTCGACCACCGTCGTGTTCCGCAAGGGGCCTACACCCCGAACCAAAAGTCGCAGCAAGGCGGTCTGTCGGACGGCACAGTCTATGGTCAAGGCCAACTGGAGCAGCAGCAACAACAGCAGCAATACCCCGCTCTTCAGTTCCAGGAACAGACCAGTAATAGTCCCCACCACCCTTTCGGTGGGCTGCCCAATGCTTCTAATTTCCAGCAGCCCCAATACATTCAGCAGCAAAACGCCGAGACTATCTCACAGCTGTCGCACGAGTCTCCGATTCCAGACGGTGAACAGGTCCCTTCTTCTGCAGCAGTAAGTTGTTCACCGCAACGACAGCACAGCCCACAGGATCTAGCGCCAACCCCGCCTCCACTGGCACCGCCTCAGCCGCACTCTGCACAACAATCGGCGTCGCCATTGGCTCAACAGCGTCAACAGACTCAGGCGCCATCTCCGGGATCGACTCAACAGCAGCAGCAAAAGCAACAAAACATGACACCACCATCGGGAGGACCACCGCCTAGCCGCCGATCGCAGGAAGCTGGCGACAGAGGCGGTAATGCTCGTGGGATGCCATCTTCCGACACGGCTCCATTGCCGTCAGGCCCACCGCCATCTTATCGGCACAGCCAGATAGGAAGTATCACTCCTGGAACACTGAGTCCTCTCCCCCCACCTCCACCGGGCGCACCTGGTGCCGGCAGCCAGAGTGCCGATCACCGGCCAGGTACGGGGTCTAGCCAGCGACAGTACGATGCTACTGGGGGCGAAGGTCGCGGCACATCGAACCCCCCATCCGGCGAACGCGACTCTGCGGCATCGGAGACCGACAAGGCGCTCAAAGAACTGGGTAAGTGCAGTCACCTGGCCCCTCTCGCGGCTCTTCACTGACGGCCGTGTCTCCTGTGCAGCACTCAAATACAAGAATGTCAAGCGGCTCTACTTTGAGGGCAAGAGCCAGATCGAGCAGCTGAGCAGCCAGATCGAACAGCTGCAAAATGCTCTTGCCAACCAGCGCATGTCCCAGTCGCGTACAGCCCTAGATGATAACGGATACATTGCCCGGTTCGGCCGTCTCAACGGTGCGATCAACAACCTCTCGTTCAACATCCGCAAAGACTGGGTGTCGCTGCCGAGCTGGATTGAGCCGTATGCGAGCGCGGATGCGTTGAAGACAGGCAAGCAGGAGATGACGGCCATCGGGCGAGCGGTGATTTCTCGCTGGCTGGTGGAGGCGGTGTTCAACTGCTGCTTTCACCCCAATCTGGAGGTCGAGCTGAGTCACCATCTGAAAACGATGGAGCTGAACATCCGCCGGTCAGCATACAAGACCAGCAGCCAGGAAGAGTTCGGAGCACACGTGGAGAAGGTTATAAACTGGCGGATGGTCACGCTGGAGGGTCTGCAGTCGATGCTGCAGGGCCACGAACTCAACCAGAACGGCGAGCTGTTTGTGCACAACGCCACGGAAGCGCTGACGGATTACGTGTGCAAGTATCTGAACGACCCGCCGCCAGCCGGGGTGAAGGGCAGCGCCAGCACGATAGTTGACCTGGCGGTGGGGCTTGCGTCGAACATTCCGATGGAGAGCCGCGACGTGGCTATATCATACCCGATGCCTCTAGACAACATCATCCCCCATCTGATGGATGTCGAGAAGGGGGGCCTTCCGCCACTCGACACACGACCGGCTGATGATGGCGGGGATCCTGACGACAATGCCAGTGGTGACGACGAGGGCGGGGGGGCGGGCAAGAATAGTAAGCTTCTCTGGTGATGTCGGTCGGTGCCTGGTCGAACGAGACGCTAACGGTGTACAGCCCACGTATTGGGCGACTTCCCCAAGATTCGGTTTGCCGGCTTTGTGGCGGTGGAAGTTCGCGGACGACAGGTATTGTCGAAAGCGCCGGTATGGACAATGTGATGGAGGAGAGGGAGAGAGGCCTTGCAGGATGGGTGCGTAGATACGTAACATCTGAAGGCTTCGTGACGCGACGCGGGCTTCATGAGAATGGGATGGAGGGGGGGGGGGGTATTGCGAGGGTGCATATGTGATGTTAATGATACGACGATGTGCTGCCGTTGGCTGAACTGGTTTCTCTCGGCCGCTCGTTGCTCATGAATAGAGATGGGACAAAGAGTGACACATTGAGGGTGAGAAGACGCAGCCGGTGTGGGCTTGAATTATATTTACACAGCTGAGGCATGGAGGTATATGACATGACAGAGCCGAAGAGGTCTGTAGAGAAGGGTTTATCCCGCCGCGAGTCCTCTCATTCTCGGCCCAAAAGGCGGCTTTTCGGAGCAGCAACAGTAAATAGGAAAGAGACATGAAAAGGAAACGGACAAGATGGACCGACGAGGAAGAGCAGAGAACACCGGAAGGACAAGATGACGGAAGAAGCAGTAAGCCCAGAGATCCAACACCGCACTGGCACCTAGCCCGGAATACATTAGAAGAAGCAGAGCCCGGCGCGGCCGGGTCAAGGAGAATCAGTCGGCTTCGGAGGCGGACTCGGCGGGTGATGACGAGGCCATGGACGCGTCGTCGTAATCGTCCTCGGCGGCCACGGAGGGCGACAAGGACTGCTGTGGCTGAAGAGGAGCGGGCGAGAAGGCGGACTGCTGATGTTGCTGCTGCTGTTGCAGTTGTTGTTGTTGTTGTTGTTGGTGTTGATGTTGTTGTTGCAGCAGCAGCGGCTGTGTCGGGGCGGATGGGAAGTTCTGATGCTGAATTGGGGCTGGCGAGGCGGTTCCGCTGGCACTGCGACCCGACGACAACGGTGGCGGCGGGACGTTGGAGGCGGTCGAGGTGGCTGTCTGCTGGCCGGACGGCTGTCTGCTGGCATCGCGAACGAGGCGCTGCTCGACCTTTTCGCGATGGAACCGGTTCTTCAGATGGACCTCGAAGTTGCCGACCGTCATCTCGGGGCCGGGCGTGTACAGCTTGCCGGGACAGTCGTGGCAGCGGATGCGCGGGAGATACCAGAACCTGTAGTTCTCGAGCGGTTCGCCCAGCCGCGGCGCCGGTACCAGCTGCTCTTCGCGGTTGAAGACACTGTAGCGCATGACGCCCTCGAAGGAGTCGTTGGGATATGCGCGGTCGCGCAGGCGCTGTAGGGCGTCGAGGAGCCACTGTGGAGGGGGTGGCTAGGGGTGTTAGCGGGGGTGGGTAACAGTAGAGAATAAGAGAAAGAAAGAAGAAAACGAGTGTGAAAAAGAACAACAAAGAAACAGACATACTGCTGGTGGTGCATCCGCTTCTGATGCAGGTGGTGGCGCTGCTGGGAGACGGCCCAGATGGCCATGGGGAATGGCGGATCGCGATGGAGCTGCAGCGTGGCGGCCTGACGGAGTGGTTGGTGGCGGGCCCATGGGTGTTGCCAGCTGTTGCTGCAGCTGCAGCTGCTGATGTGCGTGAGAGAGGGGCTGCTGCAGCTGCTGGAGGGACGGAGTAAGCGGAGCGAGCGAGGGAGTGCCACCAGGCGGCGGTCTGGCGCGAAGATCCCGCATGAGCTTGCGCAGACGGTCCTTGGAGACGCGGATGGTGACGATGAGGCGAGCAGGCTCGTCGACCGAGTCGTCGCGGAGATCGCGGGTAGTGCGACGAGCAGTGCGGGTCTCGTGGTGATGAATGGTGCTGGCCTCGGGGGTCTCGGAGCGGCCGATGACAGCCATGCGCTGCTGGGCAGCAGTGGCAGCACCTCGGATGCCACGGGTGCGCGCATTGGCAGCAGCAGCAGCAGCAGCAGCAGCAGCGGTGTTGGAAGAGCCAAAGTGCTGGGACGTGGAGGGCGAATCGGGCGAAGAGTCGTCGCTTTCGTCCGAGTCCGAGAGCAGGTCGCCGTCTCGGCCACCACGACGACGACCGGAAGCGCCGGCTGCACGTTTGTACAGGCGGCTCTCGTCGACGTCGGCGGCAGCACCCGGCAGCACGGACGACACGATCAGAGTGCGGATGGTGCGCTGGCGGTCCTTGAGATCGGGCAAGATGGGCCCGCCCCTCCGGTTGACAGAGCGTTTCTGGCGCCGCTGCTCGCGCGAAAAGGTGAGCTCGTTGCGCTCCAGCTCAGCCTCGCTCAGCTCGTACAGGTACGGGGCGTATTCCTTGGCCTGCTGCTGGGGCCGGAAGACGGCCGGCAGGGGCGAGGGTAAGAAGGCAGCGACGAGATCGGGGTCTTCGACCGGACGGCCGTCAAAGGCGTGGCCAACGCTGTAGAGTCCGCGGGTGAAGAGCTGGGCCTGCTCGCGGATGCAGTGGGCGATGGCGGTGGTGAACTCGCCCGAGAGCGAGAGGTCACGGGCCATGCCGGCAGCAAACTCCTCGGGCGAATTCATCGGGTTGTTGATCTCCCACTCGAACTGGTCGACGAGCGTGTGCTGGCCGATGGTGATGTTCAGCTTGACTAGAATGCGCATCTCGTCGTTTTTGTAGGCCGAGTAGGGCAGTTCGGGGTCGAGCGCGTCCTCGTCCGAGCAGACGAGCGGGTAGAAGTCGGTCAGCTGCTCGTGGATCTGCTGGCTGATCTGCTCGTAGACCTGTGTCGCGGCGGGCGGCCGAAGCCCGAGATCCTCCATCAGCTGCGTCGTGAACAGCTCGGGCGCCACCAAGCGGTCGTGCAAGTTCCACGTGAACGTGTCGCGCAGCTTGATCTTGTCCCACTCGACGTCGAGCCGAATCGGCACCAGCTCTTCGTGCTGCTCGGCCTGCTGCGCCATGTCCTTGCGGCTGTACTTGAGCGCCGGTGTTTGCCGTTTGCCCGGACGCGTTTTTTGCATCGGATACAGGATTCGCGACGGGCCGTTGACCTCTGTGTACCCGTTGCCCAGCCCGGCATAGCCCTCGCCGTACAGCTGCCGTGCCGGGAACCAGGGCCGGTAGTCGCTGCGCAGCTTGCGGTAGTCGTCGGCGAACATGTGCAGGCTGCGAAAGTCTTTTTGCATCTGCACCTGCGCTGCCTGCAGGGCGGCCGAGTGGATGCCGTCGCGCGTGACGTAGCGCTCCACCAGGATCCGGTCGAACGTGTCGCGGTCGCGGCCGACTGCCGGCTTGGTGGCCGGCGAGACCGGTGAGGCGTGGCCGGAAGAAGCTGCAGAGACGGAAGCAGCAGCAGAAGCAGCAGCAGAAGCAGAAGCTGCAACAGCTCCACCACTGTCGCCATCTCGTGACAGCCCTGCACGTGGTGAGGAGCCCGTCGACGACGCCGGCGGCGGCGGCGCTGACACCGACATGGACGTGTGCAACAGAAAAACGAGCACGAAAGACGCGATGAGATGTCGTCGCCCAGCAGCGACGACCGAAGCGGAGACGTCGCCACTCGCAGCGCGGGGCGCAGAGACGATAACGGGAAAGACACAGCGGCCGGACAGCGGGCTGGCGGCGGCGAGAACGTCGTGATGATGGCCGCGTATCGCGAGTGCCAGCGAGATCCCAATCGTGTTGATGGCTGATGCTGCAAAAAGGTACGAATACTCCAAAGGAGCAATCGCGGTTTCGGTCGTCCCTTGATCCGCGCCGGGCTCTGTGGCGAATCAGAGCTGGCGAGCGGGGCGCCAGACATTTAGGTACTGGTACTTGTGGCTAGTACTACTCAGTATTTGAGGAGCTGTACCTGGTACGGTGTTCCAGACAGCTCCGCTGGCATAGTGAGATACCTAGTAGCACCACTAGCCACAGCAGCCTCACAATGTACCGTCCTAACACGAGCTCAGCGGCCAGAACAGCTCGGCCAGCGCCCACAGGGCTTGTGCAAAGATCAAAATTCCCCCACCATGGAAGGGCCGAGTGGCCAGAGCAGGAGACTGCTCATTGTTCCCCCTCCACAGCCGAGCATCATTGCTGCTTCCAAAGACAGAATTCTGTTCCTGCAACCGAGGACGACCAGCTTTTCACCCCCGGCATTCCCACCCAACCGACACGATGGCGCCCACCGAAGAGAAGGAAGCTGGTCAGTCCGCCCGCGTGCACGAAGACGTTGCGCGTCTTACAGCGCGTCAGACACTGACAGCCTTGCAGACTACAGCCTCAACAACCCAGACACGCTGACCAAGTACAAGTCGGCTGCCCAGATCTCCGAGACCGTGCTGGCCGCCGTGTCTGAGCTGTGTGTTGCCGGCGCCAAGATCGTCGACATCTGCGAGAAGGGAGACGTGCTGATTGCCGAGGAGCTTGCTAAGGTCTTTCGCGGAAAGAAGGTCAACAAGGGTGAGTTGGACAGAGTTCACTCGGACAGACACTCTTTCGGACACTCTTCTCTCACTCCCTCTCTCTCTCCTTTGCTCACCCCCTCTCTCGTCCCCTCCCATCCCCTCTCATCCGCTCTCTCATACCTCTCCTACCTCTCACACCCTCTCACACTACATTAGGTTTCTCTCACCCGACGACCGTCTCGCCGTCGTCATTTGTCACGCCCTACACCCCCCTGCGGACGGACGAGAGCGAGGCCAATGCAGAGCTCGTGGCCGGCGAGGCCGTCAAGATCCAGCTCGGCGCCCAGATCGACGGCTTCGGCTCGATCGTCTGCGACACCGTCATCGTGCCCGGCGAGGACAAGACAGCGCCCGTGACAGGCCGACAGGCCGACCTGATCCTAGCCACGTACTACGCCAACGAGCTGTTGCTGCGGCTGATGCTGCCCGCCGGCCTGCTGGCTGCCGGCACCGACGAGGAGCGCGTCAAGGCGGCTGCGGCCAAGCCCATCACGCAGACCCGCATGACCGCCCTGCTCGATCGCGTGGCCAAGGCGTACGACTGCAGCCTGGTCGAGAACACGACCTCCTGGCTCTTCGGCCACGACGAGATCGAGGGCAAGAAGAAGATCATCCTGGCGCCCGGCGAGGGTTCCCGTGGCGAGGGCGTGCCCGAGGTCGGCGAGGTCTGGGGTGTCGAGATCGGCCTCAGCGCCGCCTCCGGCAAGGTCAAGCAGCTCGAACAGCGCGCTACCCTGCATCGCCGCACTGCCCAGACGTAAGGCCTCAAGCGCCCGACGTCGCGCAAGATCTACTCCGAGGCCCAGCGCAAGTTCGGCATGTTTCCCTTCAGCCTGCGCCAGCTCGACGACGAGCGTGACGCCAAGTCTGGCGTCGTCGAGTGCGTCCGCGGCGGCGTCTTCCGCCAGTATGAGGTTGTCGGTGACAAGGACGGCGCTCCGGTCGGCCGCCTGCTGACCACCATCGGTTCGTCTCTCCTCTTTTTCTTTTTTTTTTTTTTTTTTTTTCTTTTCCCCCAACGCTAACCACAACAGCCATCACCAAGAACGGCATCACAAAGCTGGGCAGTGCCCCTGCCCTCGACCTTGAAAAGGTCAAGTCTGACAAGAAGATCACGGACGAGGAGGTCCTTAAGATCCTGGAGCAGCCCCTGGCAAGGAACACGGGCAACAAGAACAAGAACAAGAAGAAGAAGAAGCCCACCAAGACCGAAGAGGGCGCCAGCGAGTAAAGCTTCGTGAAGCTGTCCATGGCAACGGGAAATTACTTGTGTATATACAGGAATCTAAAAAAATAACGGTCGGGCAAGTTTTGAAAAGCCCAATAACGTGTGCATTTTGGTGCGTCTTCTCACTCTGTTCTGAATGTCTTGCTGTGGATCTTGTTTGCTGCAGCGCAACTCACCGCTTCTGTGTGACTGGTGAGATACTATTCCTCGCAGCTCTCGCTCTCGCACTGGCTTTATGTGAGTGTTTTTTTTTTTGCCTACCATTGGGGCCGGGAAAAGGAAGAAGGAAAAAAAAAAGGGAAACACGAAAACACGAAAACAGGAATCCTAATTAAGTTCCCACCCGGTGGCTAGTGAATGATGTCTCATATGGAGGAGGCCGAAGAAAGCAGGGGAAGAGAAGCGAAGCGCGGTCTCGTTACCGGACCGGGGCTTGTGCTTTGTTGCGGTGGACCGATCTTGGCCGACCATCCCAGCGGTCAGCGGTGAAAAATGGAAAGAAAAAACAGGCCAGACGGGTACCCGGACAGACTGTTGAAACGATAACGAGCGCCAGAAAAGAGTCCAGATCGACGCCCTTGTCATTTCGTCACGATCAACGGACCCTGCTAGCATACTATGTGGGATGAAGACACTTGCAGTCACACTGTCACAGAGTGACTCTGCGTACGTCTTTCGTCTTTCGTCTTTGATTCCCGCACGTCTGTGAGCATCCTGCAGGTGAGCCAGAAAGGGGGCAGTCGCCACTGTGACGCCTTATTTTACCAGGAAACGACGTCACAGGAGAACTTGTTATTATGTGTCGTTTTCTGGGGTTGGAGACGATAATGTCTTATGTCTGTTGGCGAGATAAAGGGGAGAGGAAAGTCCTTCATCCCAATACGCACTTTTCTGTTATTGCAACACGTGATATAAAAGTGCTGGCGATACTGCCATGACCTGGGGAGCAGTCATTGCATTTTCCTATTGGTGTTTTTGTTCCTCTCCTAAGCAGTTTCATTAATTATTTCCCCCATCTCTGTTGTAATCTGTCACTTTACACGGTTGCAACCCCAAATTGCACTTATTTTTTATCACTGAAACCATAAGCAACCTAGAACATCTCACTCGTTCTATAGAGGACAGGTCTAACTTATGCTTATGCTTCGCAGTCGTCTCTTGACGAAATATGAGGTAATGTAAGCAGCCATGTGATTGTGCCGTATGTTTTTTAATTCCCATTTTCTTTTATTGCTTGGATACTAACGAATAATTACTAGGAGCATAAACAATAAACAGCAGTGTTAGAGTGTTGTGGCTTTAGCCACGGGTTAGCAAGGACCCTTTTACGTGGATCTACAATCGAAACACAATAATGACGAACCATAAGGCCGAACTTGTGCCTTTTCTCGGCTCAAAAACTGGAAGGGATATCTCGGAGTTCCCGAGAACACTACATGAACATCCAACACTTAATCGTATATGCTGCCGGAATTGATAGAGCGACGGGATGTGGCTCACGTTGGCGGCAGAATGCGCATAACGGACACACCGCCGTCTTTTATCAGCACGAGATGGCTTCTATCAACTCCTATGTACTCCGTACCCTCCCTCCTAAGAACGCGAAGTTAAGATGATAATATGAATTGGGAAGAGAAAATAGTATGATATTGACAATCAGTGTTATATTCAGTGTCATAAACAGTGGTTTTTACTGTCTATCGCCACCTACGCGATCCCAGTATTCTGCTGCCCGTGACCGCCAAAATAAGTCGTTCTATAATACTCCGTAATTTTGACCCATTTCTCTATCACTTCCCGGTTTTAACCAATGTTCTCTGCAGGACGAATCATGACGCCTTAGACCTGGTCCTGGATGGGGATTTTACCGTCCTGCGAAATTGCATCCACATCTCTACGTTCTGAAAGTGTCGCGGACGATTCGTTGTGTCTACTTGTTTTTTTTCTAGTTCGTGGTTTCTATCCTGTTTCGAGGCAGGGAATGTTAATAATCACTCCGTATATTTTACTTCCTTGTGATTACATAGGGAAGCAACAAGATCTGTTGATAAGTGTAGAACTGCGTTAAGAGGTATACTTGTCAACCATTCCTTTTACCGCGCCGACAGCGAGATTCCGTAAATGAGAGTTGCGATAAAGCCCGCCAAGTTTAACAGCGTCGAGACCTATGGAATGTCCTCGTCACTTTCTACTTTCATACATTTTCTTCACCAAGTTTCTTCACCAAGGCTATATAATATTTTCCCAGAGGGTTATATTCAAGCTTACTTTAGGCCGGCAAAGTCAGAGGCTGGCTTCATTATCTACTTCAAAACTAGATAACAGCGGAATAAACATACACATCAAACTTCTTGCCAAAGCCAGCAATTCCTGCGAGTGTGGGCAGCATACGCCTTGCTGCGTGGTGTCTAATCAGCAGCACGAGTACACGTAGTACTATAGGCCGTATTGGAGCACTGCTGCGCTGCCAGCAGGATACTGTGCAAGGGTTCGAGGTTCGCTCTGATCGCCCGCTAAAGCGCACTGTAACACCACTGCCCAGCTAGGATTGCCGTCTCCTTAATACTCCCTGGCCAGCTCGTAAATAATTCTCCCTAGTTCCTTTATATCCTATCTTGCAATTTTGCTCCCCTCTCTGTTCTTCTTCCCATCGCGACCTACACCATCACCGTGCCGAATCCACGCTGAACAAATCCTGACCGTGCCAAGGGCCCGTAGTCCTGTGCGTGTCTCTGCCTTTTACGAGTGCTGCTTGCATGCATGCTGACTGTCGGTGCAGGAGCTTGCATACAACCGCCTAGAGAAGAGAGCATCCCGGATTGAAACGCAGCTCAAGGCGAGGAACAAGCTCTCTCTCCTCTTGACACAATCTCCGGCCACCGGCTCAGATTCGCCACCCGCAACCGCGCAGCGCCCCGAACCTCGCGCACCACAGCCCTCTGCTGCCCTGCGGGAGCCGAATTGGAAAGCGAATCGGGTGCGTTTTTTCAAACGAAGCGCGACCGACGGACGAGCGAGGAAGCCGAAGCCGACGGCACGTCTGCACACTCGCCAGCTGGAAACCCGAGGGGGCAGGGAATCCAAGAGGGCACGTGGGAGAAAACAGCAGGACGACGGGGCCCGACCATGCCGCCCAAGGTGGCCGCCAACACGAGAGCGACGCGCTCGCGGTATTCGAGCCCCCAGCAGCCGACTGCTGCAGACGTGAACGGCAGCGGGAGTGGTGACAGCAGTAGCAGCAGCCATGGGAACAGCAGCGACACGCGGACAAATGGCACGACAAATGCCCAGCGAGCAATGATGGCACGCTGGCTGGAGCCGCCGGTGCTGAGCAGGTCGAGCTTCGAGGAGGCCGGCTTTCAGCGGCGCGGTGTGTTTGAGGGCATGGCTCCGCTGGGCACGCTGCCCAAGGCGTCGGCAGTGGCGAAACGGCTCAACGGCATGGCAGAGGAGAAGAGCTACCAGCAGAACGAGTCTCCCTTAGGCCGGAACAATCAGAAGCAGCAGCAGCAGCAGGGGGAACGGGTGCGAGAGCGGGAGGAATTGGTTCAGGAACAGGATCAGGAGCAGCAGCTGGAACAGCAGCTACAACAAGAGCGAGACCAGCCAAAGGAAGCGAAAGAGGAAGAAGAGGAGATGGAGCAGTCGATGGAGCCAGAGCTGGAGCAGCAGAAAAGGCGTACACCTCAGAGACGCAAGATCATCCTCAAACGGCCATCCAGCGGCAGACACGTCACGACACGTATCGTTGTGGGTCCTTCTGCGGATGGGGCGCCCGACGATGGCGAGGACGAGGCGGACGCAGGCGACATGACTGCTGCTGTTGGTGAGAACGACAGCGACAGCGACAGCGGCCGTCCTGGCTCTGGGGGTCGTGGCCGAGCTGCTGGTGGGCGACGCTCCATCAAGGCAGCAGCAGCAGACCGCACGATCGATGACAGCGAAGAGGACGCCGGAGATGCCGATTACAAGCCACCGTTGCGAGTTGCGGCAGCTCAAGTGCGGGCAGAAGAAGACAATAACCAGGGCAGGCAGACGACAAAGCGACCGGTTGGCCGTCCGCGGTCTCGACGGTCCTTGGCAGCAGCAGCAGCAGCAGCAGCAGTGGACAAGGCTGATGAAGTTGTAGCTATTGCTGCTACAGCTGCTGCTGGCGATAGCGCTGGCGATAGCGCTAGAGATAGCGCCATTGCAGGCATTGGTGCTAGCGCTAGCGCTGATGGTGCAGGCAGTTCTAGTGCTAGTGCTGGTGCGCCCGGTGGTAATGGCGCTGTGGCAGCAGCAGTCGGGGCCCTATCTGGCCACATTGGGGCGATGCACGGTCACGGCCATGAAAATGATGCCGATGCGGAGGGCAGCGACGATGTGATGGACTCGTACTCGGACGATATGACAGACACCGGGTCGGAGTCGGACTCAGACTCGGACGGGGCGATCATGTTCAACAGCATGAACCGGCTGGCTCGGTTCGGGCTCAAGCGGCCGCGGTCGGACAGCAACGCGACAGTGGTGAACAAAGAGGTGACGGACAAGGTGGTGGAGATGGCGGTGGATGAGGCGCTGAGTCACAGCCGGTATCCGACGGCCTTTGCGCTGCGCACGCTGTACGACGAGCAGTCGTCGAACCAGAGCTTCCTGACGATGGTGGAGGACGTGTTCCAGCAGACGGCCGATGCGGAGACGCTCAAGACGTTTGCCCGGCTGATCTACGAGCGCAAGAAGGACGGGCGCAAGGACGATAAGGGCTATTACTACTTTGTGCCGCCGAGCACGGAGAGCCAGTCGACACCGCCTCCACGGTCCAAGACGGCGCCGTACGGCCACCTGGTCACGATGCGGCTGCCTGGCGGATCTGGCAGTGACGAGACGCACGCGAGCAAGCGGGTGAAACTGACGAGCGAGCCGGCCGATCCTTGTCCGTCGGGCGAGCCGGCCTTAATTGTATTTGGCACGTCGTCTGCGCCTGCTGGCAGCAGCTCTGATCTGCCCGCGCCAGATGGCGCTAGCGACAAAACCAGGCCTAAAACTCCTCAGCCCGAGCTGGCAAAGATAGCAAAGACACACAAGACTGCCAGGACGCCGCAGACGCAGACGCAGCCGGCGGCGCAGACACAGAAGACGCCCAAGACGCCCAAGACGCTGCGGACGCCGAGGACGCCGCAGACGGCCAAGACGGCCAAGACGTCGATGTCGGCCAAAGCCGTGAAGACGCCCCTCAAGTCCAAGGCTGCTGGCGAGACGCCGACGGGCAGAGCTGTTGGTCGGACACCGTTCAGGACGCCCGGCAACAAGGCGACAGGCAGCACGCGCGGCAGGATGTCTACAGTCAAGGCGGACGCCAGTACGAATGCAAATGGCATCGCCACACCATCGTCCCGACACCGGCTGCGCAACCGATCAGGGTCGATGGTGAGCTCAGCCTCGTCGCTGTCGCCGACAACGTCGCTGTCGCCGCCCAACCGCACGGTCAGGGAGGACGAGGAGACGATTGACGGCGAAGCCACAGAGGAGGACAAGGGCGGGTTGGAGCACGAAGCAGGAGGCGGTGACGACGAGAACGGCAAAGACGACAACGATGGAAAGCCAGAGCGCAGGAGCCGACGAGTCGAGGCGGACCGTCGACGAAGCTCTGCCTTGGTGGCAATAACACCGGCAGAGAGCAGCGACAAGGGCGAAAAGGCCAGCACGAGCACAGGTGCCAGTGTCAATGCTGTCAGCAGCAGCAGTAACAGCACAGCCACAGCACCAGCACCAGCACCAGCACCAGCAGCTGCTGTGGAGGAAAAGCCAAAAGGCAAGGCCGGCGGCAAGAAGGGCAAGGCCAAGCCGGGCACGACACCGACGACTGGACCCGGATCAGGCAGAGGTGGACGACGACGTGGAGCCGGGCGACCACCCAAGATCAAGAGAGACGGGACAACAGCTGCAGCAGCAGCTGCTGCAGCTGCAGCAAAGGGCGCTGTAGCCAAAGGGTCGGCAGCAGCGGCAGCAGCGGCAACAGCGCTAGCGTCCAGCGGGTCCCCACCCAAAGCAGCAGCCACGCCAGCAGGGTCAGCAGGCCCGACAGGACCAATAACGCCAGCACAGCGCACAGCGACGACAACGCGAAACCGGTCCAGCAAAAAGGCGATGGATGTGGCGCCGGCTGGATCCGCGTTAATTTCGCCCACGACCGAAACACAACCCCATACACAGCAGCAACAGCAGCAACAGCAGCACGAGCAGCAACAGCAGCACCGGCACAAGCACCAGAACCAGCAGAACCAGCAGAACCAGCAGAACCAGCAGAACCAGCAGAACCAGCAGAACCAGCAGAACCATCCCAACATCAAGACATCTGCCGCGTCGGGAGCTGCGGCCGCATCGCACGCCATGCCTTCTCTGGTAAGCGACACGGTGTCGGTGCGGACGGTGTCAGTGGCCAAGCGCGCGGCGCTGCAGCGGAACGGTGGCGATGTGCTGTCGCTGGCGCCGAGCAGCAGCCTCAAGGCAGCGTCGGGTTTTGTGAGCCGGGCCATGGGTGCCGACGATCTGCGGGATCTGCAGGAGCGGCGAGCGAGTCTGCGCCGCGAGTCGCGCAACGTGACTAACGGCACGCTGGCCGTCGAGAGCTTTGCGCGTGCGAGTCCGCCGCCGGGCGACGAGACCGAGTCTGAGAGCAGGTCTGCGTCCGTGTCGGCATCGGTGTCTGTGGCAGCGTCGACGTCAATGTCCGACGCCGGCTTCGTGCTGCAGACGCCGCAGCCCAAGGGCCATGGTCAAGGCCAAGGCCAGGCCCAACGACAACTGCGCGCCTCCACGACGACAGCCCGGGCGACTCGCTCGGCGCGCAAGCGGACGTTTGACGAGGTCGACGACAACGACAACGAGAACGAGAACGACGTCTCGCCGTCCAGGGCCGCCTCCTTTGCGGCCGACGAGCCGCCACCACCGCCACCGCCATCGTCATCGCGTCTGCAGACGCCCGTGCCCGGCCAGCAGTCGGCTGCCTCTCTCACCGGCGCGTCTGCGCTCGACTCGCGTGGCGGCACGCCCGGACCAAAGCCCAAGAGGCCACGCATCGGTCCTCGGGTCAAGACTTCGTAAGTTGTCTTCATTTTCATCGTCGACGTGACGCCAAGGTGACGACAAGGTCGGATGACGGGTCAGACGAGACGAAAAGACGAGGAAGCGAGGGCGGAAAACGGAAATGGAAAACGGAAAACGGAAAACGGAAAAATCGGAAACTAGGACACGGTGAAGCTCTTGCTCCTATTGTTGTCAAATCCCGCTCTTCCTCCGTTTGGGCCCAGCGACCGTGCTCGGCTCCCTCTTGTCGTCCTCGTCGTTACCGTCATCGCCTTCATCGTCTTCGTCCTCTTTATCGCACTCTCCCCTCAACATCACCATGAAGGTACGCCGAAACGCGACGCAGATGCAGGTCTCGCTAACTACAGAATGCAGGCCGATGAAGCGCAAGACGGGCACGTCAGCAGGAATGCCTCGACCGAGCGGAGAGCGCGCAAGTCCTTCGGCAAATGGCCCTGTGAACAGTCTGGTAAGAAGCATCTACGATCTAGCCCGTCATTTCTGTCTATCTGTCTATCTGTCTATCTGTCTATCTGTCTATCTGTCTTTTGTCTTTTTGTCGCTCTTGCCCTTTTCGCGATCCCTCGCCTTTCTGCCCTGCTGCTCCTTCCCTCCTACGGTCTGCATGCCAACGCGTCTGTTGTTTTAAAGCCCCATTCACTGATTGGAGCCCTGGCTGGGCCCCACTGTTTGAGCTTGTGGCTGGAGCTCGCTTTGACCTAAAGCGTCTTCTCGCTCTCTTCTTTCCTTTTTGCCGATCTTTATCTCGTCTTGCCTGTCTTTCATTCTCTTCACGGCCACTTCTGCCGGCCGGAGCTAACAGCCGACAGCAGGACGAGAACGACGACTACTGTGCCTCATGCGGCGGCAGCGGTGAGCTGGTCTGCTGTGACGGCTGCACGCGGTCGTTCCACTTCAACTGTGTCGACCCGCCGCTGCAGGAGGGTAGCAATCTTCCGGATGAATGGTTCTGCAACGTATGCGCGAGCAAACGGAACCCGGCCGCCCTGGGCCACCACCAGGGTGTGCTGGGCCCGCTGCTCAACCTGATCGAGAAGCAGAACTCGAGCGCGTTCAGTCTTCCGGACCACGTCCGTGACCGCTTTGAAGGCGTCAAGACCGGAGCTGAGGGCGAGTACGAGGACATTGTGGCGCCAGGGACGAATCGGGCGAGGTATGTTTGTCTTCCTTCTCGCTTTCTTGGCTTCCTCTCTCTAACAAGCCCAGGAAACGGGGCTACGAGGAGACGCCGGACTTTTTCCGCATTCGCGATGCCGAAGGCCGTGCCGTTCTCTGCCACAGCTGCGATGGCTTCGCTAAGGAGGACCGGCCCATCATCCCATGCGCCTTCTGCAGCTTGTGGTGGCACATTGACTGTTTGGATCCGCCGTTGGCAAACCCGCCGGTCTTGCGCAACTGGCGATGTCCCGCCCACGTGGATGATCTCTTGGCCAAGCTGCCGGGGCTGTTGGGACCGGCCCATCGGTTCCGTAAGATCAAGGACGCCGCCGTCATCAAGACCTCCTACTCGCGCGGCCTGGCCAATAATGGGTTCATCGAGCTCAACTCGGACGACGAGTCCGACAGCAACTTTGCGTCTGGTGTCTGCACCTTTGGCCGCGTCCATCGGATCAGTGCCAAGGGTGTGAAGCTAGACTTTTTGGAACAGTACGTGATGATTCTATTACTTCTTCTCCTCCGTATTTAACATCGGTCCAGGACTCGAAAGGAACGCAAGGGGCAACTCCGACACGCACGAATCAACCGGCGAATGCGGCATCTGGCTGCTGATGCCACTGAGCATCGCGATCCTTCTGCAGGTCTGGCCCTGACAGCACCATCTTCCACCTTCCTTGCAGATCGTCGCAGCATCGACGAAGCTCAGGCTATCCACAACCTCTCAGCGCTGACGGCCGGCTCCGACATTCAAGTCGACCGCAGCGGCGAGCTGATCAACGCTCTTTTGGTGAGTCGATTTGGCATTCCTTCCAGCTATGTCCCCCCTCAAGCTGACCATCTTGCAGGCACAGGCAGATCCGACAGCCATCGCGATGATGGCCCAAGGAAGCGCTCTCAACATCGAGACTGGCTCAACACTGAGCCAAGGCGACCGGACAGCTCTTGCAGCCATGCGTGCGAGGATAGACAGGCTTCTCGGCCTGGACGTGGAAGCGCCGGAAATCGTCATGGCCGATGCGTCTGCTGGACGAAATGAGCCCATGACAGCCGGCGTCGGTACCAGCAACAGCGACTACGAGCAGCAGCTGCGCGAAAGCGACGAGGCTGCGTCCAAGAGCAGCCCGGATCAGATCCAAGAGGTCATGAGCCTCGTGTCCGATAATGGAGACAGCGATCTGGGCGAAGAGGATCCCCTGCCGATTGCCACGCCGTTGACGACGGTGCACGAAGAGTCGGCAGCAGCAGCGGCGGTGTGGCCAGGCGAACATCACAGCAGCGACTCGGTCGGCCGTCTGTCTACGGGCACCGACCAGGAGAAGAGCCCGATGCATGCGGCAGCAGCCATGGCCACGGCTCTGACACCGTCCCTGGGGCCCTTGAAACCGGCTGCGAAGCCGGACGAGATTGGCAGCAACGGAGCCAAGACTGTTTGAGAACTGGGAGGATACAGAGAGACAGAAAGATGGAACATTGGTATCTTAGACGAAAAGCCTAGGACAGGCTTAGCAGGGCTTTCGGGAAGGGGGATTGCGGCATGCTCTTTTTCGTCTTTTATTTTCTTGGTCCTAGTCGTCTTGTTTTTGGAGGGCATCGAGATCTCGCAGCGGTTTCTATATTTCTGCTGCTTCCTCCTTCTTGGTGGGGAGTTTCTTCTCTCACCATCCCCTCTGGCCAGCGCGTCTGCTCCATCTATATATACTCTTCCACATAATATCACTGGACAGGTCAGGTCAGCCCTGGTCCACTTCATAGAATCGGTCCTTGTATTGTTTTTGTAGATGGCTGGCTCTTCCTCCGTGCCTTTTCCCTCCGTCCCGAACCCGAATGGGGAAAGATCCCGTCCCCAGCACAGAAGAAAAAAGAAAGAGGAAAGACAGCCTTAGCCCCGGCCAGCAGCCCAAGACAAAAAAAGTAGAAATGGAAATATATGAAATGAACATGAACATGAGATATATAGCACAAAGAACACTGGAGAAGAGAAGGATCAAAAGAAAAGGCCCAGAAGACTTGGCCCTCTCGGGAAAGAAAGAAACGAACGGAAAGGACAGTCTCGCAGATATCCCTAGCCTGCAGAACAAAACTGCTTGCAACAAGTGCTTTTTTTCGCGCTCCCTGCCAAAGTGACTGCGATGCCCAAAAGAAGGGTTTCCAGAAATATCAGATCTATTGTCATTCCAGCTGCTAGATTCGTTCTTTCGGCTTGTTTGAAAGGCAGCCCATCCTGCAGCCGACCTTGCAGCCGACAATCTCACTCAGTATTGCCTTGGGCTGGCATCACGGTGAGGATTCCGCCCTGTTCGGCCACGTCTCCCACCAGCTCCGCCTGCTCCCATCTGCTCCGGCATGAAAGGACCCGGTGCAGGCATTCCCCCTGCATAACCATACGCCGGCCCCATTCCGTAGCCGCCAGAAATGTACGGGGCCTGCTGGCTACCCAGTACACTTGGTGGCATCGGCCCACCCGCGCCATTCGGCATGCCAGCATTGCGGTAGGCATCGAGCGAAGGAGGCGGACCTCCACCACCGGCATACGTCCCATAGCCGGTCTGCATCGACGGCGGAGGCGGATAGTAGCCGCCCATGGGCGGTGCCCCACGGCTCATGAGGCCCTGCTGGTACGGAAGCGGCTGGACGCCCAATGGAGGCACTGGCTGGTTCGGATGGCCGTACACTGGACCCTGACCGCTATACGGACCAAAGGGCGGCGGTGGCAGGCCTGCTTCCACCCCGGCACCGTTGTCTCCACGGCCGAAGCCGGGCTCGTAGCTGGCCGGGTTTGGCGATGAGCTGTAATAGGGGCCACTGTTACCGTTGAACGTGGACTGGCTGCCGTGAGGAGGCGTCACCTGCTGCTGCTGCTGCTGCTGCTGTTGTTGTTGTGGCTGTTGTTGCTGTGAGTGATGAGAGTGGTTTTGGTGCGACTGCTGCTGTTGGTGAGGAGCAGCATTGTGGTGCGGGTGGCCCTGGTTGTGGTGGTTGTTGGCCTGGCGTGACGATGGACGTTTTTCGTTGCTCGAGCTGTGGTCACGAGATCCTCCACCATTGCCGCCGCTTCCGCTGCCACCTCCACCGCCACCACCACCGCTGCCTCTCGTCGACAGGCCTACCTCGTCCATCAGCCGCTTGTAGCCCTGCGACGGCTGTGCCTTGATCCGCACCAGCACCGCCTTCACGCTGTCCACCACCTGGTTCCGCACGCTCTCCTCGAAGAATGGCGTCGTGATGATCTTGTAGATCAGCGTGGCCCCGCAGGCATTGTCGCTCAGGATCTGCTCGAGCACTTGGTCGTTGGCCGTGGCAAACAGTGCCTTCAGGATCGTGTCCCGAGCCTCGGGCTCGGTCTTCTGGTTGACCACCTTCAGCACCGTCAGATACGCCACCTTGTGCGTGCACAGGTGCACCAGGTACGGCACCAGCTGCGGTGCTAGTACCGTGCGGCGCTGCGGGAACGTGCACGTGTCCAGAAACCAGGTCAGCAGCAGCGCGCCGTTGGCGTTGGTGGCCAGCTGCACGCTGTTCAGAGCAATCGCCGCCGCCAGCATCCGCTGCTGGTCCTTGGTCGAGTGGTGGCTCTCCAGACACGCACGCATGGCGCGTGCTCCAAAGCGGCCCTGCGCAATCTCCCACAATCGACTCAGCATCGTCTCAAAGATGTAGTCGTTGTACGGAGCTCCAAACTTCAGGCAGCCCTGCAGGACGTAGTTGCCGTACTGGTCAAGGAACAGCGGCACCGTGTACGGGTGAATGTGCTCCACGATGACCGACATCTGCTGGGGAGACTTGCAGACATCGATGATCTTCTGCGCTGCCCATGTGCCGTTCTTGTGCACGCCAATCTCTGCCAGATGAGGCGCGATCTCCGCCAGCATGGCATCCCGCAGGTCGTCAGAACAGTGTTCAAACAGCTTCTGCACCACCGTGTTGCCCAAGTAGTCTGATGCAAGCTCGGCAATCTCCGGAAGCATCTCAACCGCAATCTGCTCGATCTCAGCCGTAGACAGGCTCTGGTTATCGATGCGCTTCCGGATGTCTCGCAGCTTGGGCGCATCGTAGACGCGCGTGTTGGAAGGCTCTGGGATGGGCGGAATCTCGTCTACAAATGTCGTGAATTGAACCGACTGTTGCAGATTGGACGAGATCCGGTACGAGTCCTCACTAGACGCCCCAAATTGAGACACAATTCGCATGATGTCGCCTGTAATCTCGCTGAGGGGAGCGGGAGCTGTCAGCAGAGGCAGCGCAGCCCCTGATGCGGTCCCAGCCGTCGCCCTGTCACCTTCGCCTGACACACCGCCGGCAGTCCCAGAAGCTCCCGAAACGGAGGCGCCTGCAGCGGCGCCGGCCGAGGTAGAGGTCAACGTCGACGATACTTTACCGTCGCCACCGAACGGGTCCGGGCTGGGAGATGGGAAGGTGCCATCGTGACCGGGAGTGTTGGAAGACGAAGGCGGCTTGGCAAAGTTAATGCGCACAGGACCGGCGCCTGGAAAGATTTCTTTGCCGTTCAGGCTCGCCTTGGCGTTAATGGCACTGTCCACACGCTCAAAGTTGACAAACCCGCAGTTCTTGAGGGTAAGCACGCGGGCAGACAGAATGGGACCGTATGACTTGAACATCTCCGTCAGCGTCGATGTGGTCGTAGACGTGGGGATGCTGCCCAGCCAGAGAGCACTCGTGGGGCCTTCGATGCCCGGTTCGTCGGCAGACAACAGCCCGTTAGCACCGTTGACATTGCCTACACCGCTGCCGTTGTTATTGTGGCCGCTGGAGTGGCCCAGTGACAGGCCAGCCACGGCCTGGGGGAGCTGGTCATCATAGTCTTTTTCTTCAGACAGCTGAATGTCTGCGGCCGTAAGGCCGCTATCCAGACGGGATGACGTTGGGAAGTAGCCACGTAGCATGCGTGAGCCCGGGGCATCCAGTACACCAGCAGTTCTGGCACGGGGCCGGCTTGCAGCATGACTGGCAAACGCCTGGACAGCGAGGTTGTGGTTGTGGATGGCAGCATTGGTGGCAGCAATCTGGTCCTGCAGGGCAGCGGCGTACTGGCTTTCGTAACTGGCATAGTCGGTGCCAAAGTCGTCCTCCTCGTCTTCGTCGGCATACTTGTCCTTATTGTTGACCGAATACGATCGGAAACGGCTCGCGGACCGGGTGAAATCAGCCATGTTAGGGATGTACGGCGTTGCAAGAGTCGCCCGGGGCGGGTTGGGTGTCTCGGCCAGGCCTAGATAGTCAAGGGTGCGCATGTGCACGTCGCTGTCGCCCTGGCCTTCTTTGGAGAAAGCAGACTGTGTGGGCGAGCTGGGACCGTTGGACCCGAGACTGGCAATGCTCGCCAGCGTGGATCCACGCTCACGGGTGGTCGGGTTCCAGCTGCTGAATATGGAAGGGCCAAATGGCGAGACGGTTGTGGGCAACTGGCCAAAAGGGACCCGTTGTGGCATGGAGCCAGCACGGAGACGCGATAGCAGGGTCGACGACGACGGAGGAGGGCCTGCTGACGACGTGTCTGTTCCATCAAGTCCAGGCGATGGGGACTTGAACGGGGTCTGGGAAGGCGTAGGACGTGAGGTCTTGACGGCTCCCCCCATTGCGGCGATGTTCAATAGGTTGTTGTTGACGCCACCGGGAGAAAATCTGGAAGGCACCGTTCCAGCACGGGCACGGCGACCGGAGGGAATCGGAAGACCCTCGGCGGCCGGTAGCTGTGTGAAGTCGGGAAAGCCATCGGTAGGAGATTCTGGGATGTTCTCCCTTAGAGGCGTGGAGTTGCCACTTGTCGGGGGACCGGCCCAAAGGTTCACGGGAATTCCGGCAACGCCTTCCTGAGCCTGAATTTCTCGTGCCCTGCAGGAGGAGAGACAGTTAGCCGGGTTTGCAAATGGGAGTCCGGGGGGATAAAAGTGTGTAAGAGAGACACGTACCTCTTGGGGAACAGTCTCGCAGAAGATCCCAGGTCGTGTGACGGTGAAACAGAGCCTGTTCGTGAGCTAGCCATCTTTCCAGGACCGCCCAGACCGGGAGGAGGCAATCCAAACGAGGGCCGGGCAGAGGCCGAAGCCGACACGGCGTCAATGGGCGACGGGATGGAGGTTGCGGGAGAGGTGGAGCGCTGCTGCTGGCCAGTGAGCTGCTGGAAATTGAGGGCCAGAGGATCTGTTCGAGAAGCTGGCATCGACATTATGAATTATGGTGTACAGCGTGCCCTATTCAGCCGCGGACGGATGTAGAAAATGGACAAGGTCTATATGGTCGATGCGAGTCGTGGCTGCTGTGGACTGAAAGAATAATGAGCGACAGGCAGAAGGAAGAATACCGAGTAAAAACGATCGGACGTCCAGGTTGATCTCAGAACTCTGGCTGGAGGGGGAGGGATCGCCCCCTACTGAGACGTTCGAGTGTTGTCGTCGCTGGACAAAAGCCGGCGAGAGGGTGATGGGTCATAGGTAGCTGTCGAGAAAGCCAGGCGAGGTGTGGCAGGAGCTTGCTTGCCAGCCAATTCCGTGTCCTCGACCAGTTCGCTCGTTCGCCCGTTTTTTCTTGCCGCTGCGTTGTCTTTCTCCAGACAAGGCTTTTGCTCATACGGATTGGGTTGTGGGGACTCAGTAGTAATGACAGGGTAGGAGTTTCATTTACTAGGAAAAGAACAGAAAGAAGTGTCGTGAAGGGAGGAGTAGAGTAAAGGACAGAATGACGTGGGCCGAAGGATTAAGTTTTTGAAGGGGAAAAACGGCGTAGACGGCTAGCTCGCTTTGGCCGAAGCTCGCTGTACCCAAGAAAAATAAGGACGAGTATTATTGTGTGGATGGGGTCGAGGGGACGGAGGAATTGACAGTCTTGTGTCTCGGGAGCAGGGTTTAAAAAAAAGAAGCAGGCGTGGCCCGGGGAAAGAGAGGAAAGGAGATGGGGGAGGAAGGGAAGGATAAGACGAGGAGGAAGCGTGGAAAAGCCAAGATGCAGGAAGGAGGGGGGTATGGCTCACTGACAGAAGCAGCAGCCAGAAGGAACAGCACACACAGTACACAGCACACACAGTACACAGCACACACGAGATTCGAGATACGACGTTGCGATAGCGTCCGCTGTAGAGTCGAGCAAGCCGGCCGCATTCGTGTGCTAGCAGGTTTCATCCCTGAGAGACCAGCTGGCAGCCAGCGCCAAAACAAGCCCAAACCCTACCGAGTTTGATAGGGGAGGGCCAGGTGGGGAAGAAAAGGGGGGCGCGGACGCGGGTGGGGTATCCAGGCGCTAAAGCCCAGCGGGCGGCACTGCTACAGAGAGGGCGATCCCCCTACGGAGCAGAGCATTGGTCACTACGGGGGACGAAGAGATCCGCCAGGGCAGCCGGCACGTCGCATCCAGTCATCGGTGCCAGGCAGTTCGTATAAGTCCCGGCGTAGCCGCAGGCCACCTGGTGGTCCCCAGAGGCCCCAAGCATCGTCAGACGCTGGGTGGCGGTGACGCCTGCGGGAAATCGGGGCCCGGAGACTGCAGAGTTGCAGACTGCTGGATGCTGCTGAAGGAAATCGCACGACTGCGGGCTGAAGACGCTAGAGACGGCCCTGCGCTGGGCGTCGGCTTCTCTTTTCGGACGACGCAGCTGGCCTCGAAACGCACCAAGGCCGCTCTGCCTCCACGTCTCATATGCGCACCCGATCGACGGAGCACGCCGTAAACATTCGCACGCTCCATACGACATACTCCGTAGTGGCAGCAAACATCGGTGGGGCCAAGTCGTCATTGGCCAGTCCACTCTCCATACCATGTAGCATGAGTTCTTCCGAGGGGCCGTGCCTCTTTGTCACCATATCGGACGTGCTTCTTCTATGTGGTGATGTTGTCTGATGCCAAACAGCATCTGGTCTGCCATTACTGACCATCTGCTGCTCCTTTTTTCTTCTTCTTTTCGTGTGACTTTTTTTCCCCTGCACCCCTTGCCTGGTAGTAGAGCGGTGCCAATCAGGCCGCATCCTCGGATCTGAAACGAGTGCAGGAGAAGGGGGGCGACGACATTCTTTTTCTCCTCCACCCTAAGCCCTGGAACCCTCCCCGCCCCTTTTTTACTAGAAAGAGAGAGAAAAGGCCTCGCAGGGCTCCAATGGCGTAGAGAAACAAGGGCATACGAGTACGTCGTACTCCATACTCCGTACAGATCAAAGCAGCAGGGGCGTGGCTGTGAATCGATCACACGCAAACACTGGCGGAGAAGCTGAAAAAATGGGCAACACATATTTCCTTCACAGAACTGCACATGCAACACAAGCAACGTCCCTCTTTCCGATTTACAATGCCGTGCTTGTCCCGCCGTATTGGTCCCATAGACACGTATATATTTAGGCACTCCCGGATGCATAGCACCCTACTCCGTACACATCCCTCTAATGCACGAGCTTTTCAGGGCAAGCCAGATCCGGGGCTGATTGGCTGTCCGCCAGCCAGCTAGGAGCAGGTGCATATTCGTAACTCTGTCACTCATCACCGCCTCCATCTGTGGCACGTATTCATTCCTTGGCCCTCCTCCCCGACGGCGAGCCGACAAATGATGGTGCAAGGCGAAGCTGACCGCAGGGACCCTCGTATACGTAGTTCTGGCCATTGGCCCGGGTGGACCGTTCACCAACGCAGCTTGGGTACTTGAATTACTTACGTAATCTTTAAAAGGGTTCGATTGTCTAGTGCTGCGAGTAGTGGACAGCGGGGTTTAGAGAGCAGACGATAGAAACAACGATACAAACGCGCAAACAACCGATGAGGGTAACAAAAGCTAAACACCAGACATCGTAAACCAACTCCGATCCTGGCCGTCCAATAATTCGCATCTCATATCATCCGGCTCTTGCTGAAACAACAGAGACAAGGGGTAACATAGAATATAGCATACAACGTGACTGGTCGTCAAAAATGACCCCAATACAAGACAAAATTATAGAAAACCCCGTACTGTACCGGCTATCCTCTCACTTCTCGACCTCGTCTCAGAAACTTCCAGCTGCTACCCGGCTCGCTTGCCGACGTCTTCTTCCATAGCCTAGAGCCAAACGAGTGACACCACCTGTACTTCTCCATCTGGCAGCCTTGATGGCTGTTCCTGTCTCCAGTGCCGCTTTGGGCACCAGTCTTCGCATTGGCCTTGAGTGCCTTCTCCGATTCGCGGAGAAATACCGCCGCCTTTGCCTCATAGTCGGCATGCTTAGCCCGTTGGCCATTCACCTGCATCCACCATAGCTTCGACGCAATCTGCGCCCGGAGCACCGCCAACTGCAGAGAACCGCGAGCGTGGTCCAACGGCAGTAGCCCACGGTCCAAAACGGCCCTGGCATCCCTCTTGGCGCTGTCGACGGCGCCCTCCAAAGATGCACTCATTTGTCCCTTTAGGTCCTGGGTAGCGCGGCTGGCCGTGTCGTAAGCTGCTTGGCCTGCATGCTTCATGGAATCCACCACGTCGGCCATTGACGTTGCTGCCATGGTTGCGCCCTGAAGTACATCGTCTGCGTTCGGCAGAAGATCAACCACGTGGTCGATGTACGGATGGACAGCACCCTCCGCTCGCATAGCTGCATCTAGCCAGATATTGGCAGCAGTCCGTGCCGAGTCTAGCCACGTTTTGGCTCCGATTTCTAGCACTCGTAGCATTGTTGGCTTTCCAAAGTCAACAGCGAATGTTTCGTTGATTTTCGGTCTCCGGGTCGTGACGATAGAAACGTTCATAACGCCATACGCGTCCTTCTTGTTAATTTCGATGATAATTCCTTCGTCTGTTGTCGATAGTCTAGACTTCAGAAGCTCTTGGCCACGCCAAACGTCAATGTCGATTGCACCCTTTGCAAGCCATGTAGTCTTCGTGCCAGAAGGCACCTTGACAAGGATCTCATGGTTGCTGTATACATGGATTGAGCAGCCCGTTCTCTTAATTTCGGTGTTTGAATTTGATGCACTGGATTGCCGGCTGGCTCTGTCCGTCAGGTACCCTCCAAATTGGACCGCTGAACTGCTCGACTCCGAGACTTGAAGTTTAACCGTCGTGGTGGACGTCAGGCTGATAGTGACAGTCGGTGTCAGAGAGGGAGCAAAGCACGTAGACGTAGATGTAGTTGCCACCGAAGAGGTACTGAGAACTGAGCTGGTTGCTGTGTCTGTCAGAGAAGACACCGTCGAGGCAGAGACGGTAGCAGCCACAACCGATTGCTGACCCGTGAATGAAGGGGATATGAAAGGAATATAAAGAAGGATGTAAAACCACATCAAGGCACCTATGGCCGCAACAACCATCGTAAACAGTCGGCCGGCACCAAGCTGCCCGCTGATTTCATCCACTGTTCGCGATAGCTTCGTGCGAAAGTAATTTCCTCTACAGAGGAAGCGCACAGCTGTGACTGCACCAGCGCGATATCCCTCTTTTTGCAGCTTGCCCACAGAGTCGTTTGTCATGGCCTTTGATGGTTCGTGCAAGCCCGTGAGGTAGGCCAAATTTCTGTTCATCTGGCGTGCATCGATGTTGAGAAACGACACCAGGTCGATTGGTAGGCGTTCCGGGATGATGAGACGTTCAGGATCGCGTGACTCTAGGCATAGATGCACGGCAGCTTGGTCGACGAAATCTCTCCAGCGGCCGGTGCCCGTCGGTTGTGAGAAAGACTGTGCGTGCGAGATAAAGATGGATGGAACAGCGTGCCGGGTCATAAACTCCCAAGCGGCGTTTCTCGTCTTCTCAGCCCGGTCGTCGTCGTTGCCAGACACGTAGAAAACGGCAACATGGGGCAGCGACCACTGAGGACGCACCGCAGAGCCGTGAGGAGAAAAGACGGATGCATAGGTCTCCTCATTATCTAGTTTGATCGAATAGACCATCTCGTTGGGAGAGGCTTCACCTTCAGAAACCGTCTCGTCCGCCTCGATACAACGCTCGACTTTGATGTAATAGTCAGAGACTCCCATGAGCTGGATCTCGTCAATTTCAGGAACCTTGGACGAGCCGAAAGATGAGATGGGCATGATGTTGTAAATGCTAGGGGTCGGGCTATGGTGCTCAGATCCCGGGCTGGAGCGATTGTGCGAGGCGGATGCCAGCAGAGCGGACGAGATCTTATACATGATGTCGTTGTATCCGGCCTCGCTGCCGACGTACAGAACCTTTAGGGGCTCACGGGTCGACAGGCAATAGTGCGACATGGTTTGGCGGATGGTAGCGGCCAGACGCCGTGGCGGGTCGGTCATATTCAAGGCCCCAGCGATGGCAGCCGACTCCGCATCACCAAAATCTCGGATCGTGTGCTTTACCGATACCTTATCGAGACAAATGTCGGACTCGCTGAACTCTATGGAGTGCACGAGAGGTGTGGGGCCGTTGCCATCCCCCGATTTGTCATACTCAAGATTCGATAGAGATTGCGTCGAAGGGCTACCGAGGACGTGCTCGGCGTATTGAATAGAGTCGGTCTGAGAGGATCGGCAGTTGACGGCGTCTTCGTTTGAGCCATGTCTGCCAGGGTATAGACGGCTGTTGCTGGGGGTAGACGTCGAGGCCGGCGTGCAGATTGGTTCATGGTTGGCGTCATCGTTCTCGGATGCGCTCTCTTCGTCCACGTCGTCGTCATCGTATGCGGCATCGTTGCCGTTGAGGCTGTGGACGTCATCGGCACGAGGATATACGTCTAGTGAGTCGGCAACGGAGTCGGTGCCTCTGCCGTCCTGACTCTCACCGTCAGTGCTGCTGATCAGCTCGTAGGCCGAGTCGGCCAAGCTGCAGGTCTCGTCAGAGACGCCAAAGGGCGCCGCCGTATCCATGGTGCCAGGGGAAGAGCTGGAAGTGACCCAGTGGGCCAGCAAACGACTGCCTTCGGGAGTGGGGAAACGAAGTGAGCTTGAGGGCGAGGACTTGGTGTTGGAGGATGACTGTGGCCAAGATGGAACTCCCTGGGAAGAAGAGGTAGAAGCAGGAGGAGGATGGGCGTGAGGATGAAAAGAAGACCGGTTGGTATTGGAAGGTGGCCGATGGAAGGAGCCAGTGTGCTCTTCCATAGCTAAATCAAAAGTAAAAGAAGGAGGGGAAGAAAGAGAAACACCGTGTCAGCCTGTTCTGTAGATAGGGTCACGTCATATTCACTGGCAGCTTATAGCGGTGCAGTAAGCGGGGTAGTGGGAGAGGAGGGCAACGGTGAATGTTTTGAACGGCACATGAGCGAGAAGGGACGCAATGGCAGGAGAGGACTTGAGAAGCGAGAAAAGCGTCAACATACAAAAGCTATTCAAGATACGCTCTTGACAGATGAGGTTGCTGATCTCAGTGGCTGCCTGCCTTGTTCGGCGATGGCGAGAAGGTGGGGTAGCGGACACTTTGCGATAAGCGGCGAGGCAGGAGGCAGATAGGAAGTGGAGCTCCCAAGTCTGTGCCGGACAGTGAAGGAGAGGGTAGAGAAAGAAGCAGAGAGAAGAACTTGAGGACGATGTCGGATTGCACCAGATATCTTGTTTTGGGTTGAGATAGAAAAGGCAGCGTCACAGAAGAGACGGGAATTGACACGAAGCGAGGATAAGCCGGAGAGGGATAACAAGAGTGTGCAGCTGACCAGTATTGCCGCTTGGGGCTACGATGAATGAGAGATAGCCCTATCAGAGCGATAAAACAGCCGCGACGACGAGAGGTGGGGTATTAATGGGCATCGCTGCGTTAGTGAGGGGCAGAACTGCCCGTCAGGCGTGCGTGGTGCTGCCTAAGTCGGAGGGGAAGCTGAGGTCGTTCTTGGAGCTGTATCTTACGTCCGCAACCTGCGCAAAGTTACCGCAGTATACGAGACGCTCTCTCCGCAACCAGCTTTGCGTGTAGATAGCCAGGGCAGGCAGCGCTCTCTGGAGACCACATGACGAGGTAAAGCCAGGTCCCAAATGCTACAGGGTACCTCGATAGGTATTTAAGCGTCCAGCCTTGTGGCCGAGTCTACAAGTTTCGTGCCAGGTCTTATAAAGTACTCCGTAGCATCGGAAGCTATGGGCATCGACAGTGTCAGCTTGGCGCGCACCCCAGGTGACCAACGGTAGCCTGAATCGCTCGCCGTCTGGCCATGGCGGCGTCGTGCATACACGTAGGCGTCGGGAGCAGATTGTGCGTTGTATCAGGCCGGACGCGTCGACGAATCGTGCACCCTTACTTAAGGCAGACAGGCTGTCACCGAAAAAGAACGCGCGTGGCTCCAATGCGCACTGGTCAGGTGCCTCCCAGGGGTCACTGCCCTAGGTCGTTTCAGGCTGGAAAGAACAAAGAGGGACTTGGGGAAAGGGGTTGCAGAACTAGTACGGAGTACAAAGTACACGTTCTGCGGAAACGCACTCCCCGATCTTGAAATGGCCCACCTAATATGTCCGGCCAATGGGTGCCTTTTCCCCTGAATTCCTTCCTCTTCTGACGAAGAGCATATTCCGTAGACGGCAAGAGCGACAAAGAGTACGGACCACGGAGTAGATGGAGAGCGGGAACATACGTGTTCGCGATACTCGCATTATCTTACATTCTCGTCCAAGCTTCAACCACTTTCCGTGGGAAGCTCGTCTTTCGGCTGCCGTCTCGTCATACCTAAATGACGCCGGCTCTAACAAATTCTGCACCGTCCACAACCCCAAACACGCTGAATATCCGGGAAATGCAACTGTCTTAATATTACGTGCACGAACAAGATATAAATCGCAGACTGCAGGCAATCCATCTTACAACAATCTCAGTAAACACCACCGCATACGGATATTGTAATAGTTGTTAATAGTTGTTAAGGCAGGCTGGGATGGTCGCTGATCCTTTTCATCCACCCTGGTCCAACCTCCTATATTGCAATTTATCCTCTGTATCCTATTCGCTCATAGCTGGCTTCCCGTTCCCACTCCTCAATGCTACCTTGTTACCGTCTGCTTTCCCTGCCTCCCAGACCCGCATAGAACGACCCGGCAAAGACGAAAAAAGAGAGGCACGCGCTGAAGGGTACCTGCCTCCCACGCGTCTAGATGGGACAGGCGACTCTGCACTTGGCGCCAATTGACCCTTTCTAGTATCGGCCGCAGCACAGACGAGCCCTAGAAAGTCCTTCGACCCGCGATTTCGGGGTGGTGCATTGGAAATAGGCCCAGAATCATTATGCCAGCCTCTTCCTCTTCTGCCGTCCGCCTCCTCTGATCCACAATCATGACCAGACCCGAGATTATTCGCGCCGGTAAGTACGGAGTGCATTCCTTACTTTTAAGCGTATGGGGCCATTACCCTGCTCCCTTCACGTTTTCCTACAAGTACTTGTCCTTACGTCGTGCTCCCTGCTGGAATTTTACCCGCTGTTGTTTTGTTCTGCGCCCCCTGTGGCTGGGATGGAGAACTAGACACGGGCAGACATTCCTTTCTTTCGTGGCGCCAGCTTGCTAACCTCTGTTTCATCCTTGCCCGTGCACTTAACGCGGTTCAGACTCTATTGACCTTCAGGATCCTGATGCGCCTTCTGCCGAGGACCATTCGCGACTGAGAGCCCCGACTGCGCAGAAGACTGCTTCCTCCTCCCCATCTTCGTCATCCTCCTCCGTGTCGTCTCGATCGCCTGTAGGCTCGCTATACAACAACCACATCTCTCCGCACCAGGCCGAAACACTTTGCGAAATCGCCGCAAAAACAGCAGAGGAAAGACGCATATCGTGGAACGGCGCCGATTTCAACGACGCCCATCTATATATCCCTGACTCATACACTGGCATCGCGGAGTCTCGCAACCCGGTGCACTTGCGGTCTAGCCCAGGCGGCGTACAGCAGATCAACATGGCCGCTGCCAGCGAGCAAGATGACCTGGCTGTCACCCAGAACGGCGGCTCTTCCAGCGCAGATGTCGAAGAAGACGTCGACGATGGCGATGAGGGCTTGGACGATGACGATGACGATGATGACGACGACGACATGGACAAGATCTCCAGCTCGCCGTCCATAGAAGATGGTGGGTACACCTGGAGCACTTTGCTCTCTATTTCCTTACCTCCTATTGCACCCCTGAATGTCCACGATTCTGTGCCCCTCCTGGGTGCCTTACCGACGACACCTGGCAACAGTCTGCTAGTTGCGAGTTGCCCAGCGATTACGACGTCAACAGAGATTTCCAGGACCTGGCTGGTAGTACCGGCGCACGAGAGCAACGCCCCTTTTCATGCTTTACGGGGCCTGCAGGCATGCAAGGCATCTGCTGCTTCTCCTTGTTGTAGACCGCATGGCCATCAGCTTGTCGCAAACATCTCGATGTTCCAGAAGGAACAGCAGCACAGGGGCTCAAACGATGCTGTGGCTGTTCACAGCTGTGGAACATTACTGGAGCCCGATGCAGGCGACTTCTGCAGGTCCATGACAATCGGCATAAGAACAGGACAATGTGGGGACGAATGCCAAGTGGATGGGCTGGATGCGAACTATGCCGACGCCAGCGACACCGTGTTGCGGATTCCCTATGACTGTAGTGACAGTGATGACGATGATGATGATGCTTTATTTTCCAGTTGTGAAACAAGATTTGTGGAGTCTGGATGGGACAGCGCGTGCTTACACAATACAGAGGATATCGACTTCGAGTTCGTTTACGCACTGCACACGTTTGTGGCCACGGTCGAAGGCCAAGCAAATGCGACAAAGGGCGACACAATGGTCCTGCTGGACGACAGCAACAGCTACTGGTGGCTGGTGCGGGTAGTGAAAGACAGCAGCATCGGTGAGCTCGTCGCCTATCTTGCCAACCGAATCTTTAGCTACTTACCTTTCTGCCAGGCTACCTTCCTGCTGAGCATATCGAAACACCGACCGAAAGACTTGCCAGACTTAACAAGCATAGAAATATCGATGTGCGTCAGAAGACGGCGTAATTCGATGCAGGATACCGTACTGACCGGATTTTAGTTGTCAGCAACAATGCTTGGTGACCAGGCAGAAAAGGTCAAGAACCCCATACGAACGGCTATGCGGAGACGGAAGGCGAAGAATGTCACTTTCGCAGCACCCACGTATGTCGATTACTCTGAGATCGAGTACTCTACCGACGAGGACGACTTGGAAGCCGAGTACTTTTCGCAAAAGCAGCAGGTACAGCAGCACCAAGGAGACGGCGACCAGAAGCAAGACCAGAAGCACGATACGGCCCTGCAAGCGACAGACGACGATGAAGATGACGACACGGCAAAGGTGGAGCCCCTCAAACCCCGGGCACCGAAAGAGAATGGCGCGGGCGCTGATGCAAGACAGGAGGACGCCAACGGCGATGCAAATGGTGGCAAGGGCTTAACCAGAACTAGCGAGGAGATTTTTGTGGCGTCGAAATCCGAGACGCCAGGACCTACGAAAACAAAAGACGGCACTGTCCGGGACTCCTTCTTCAAGGACGACACTGTGGAGACGAAGAAGATCACCCTGACGCCAAACCTGCTGAGAGATGATAGTGCGCCGCGGACATCGTCCGAATCTAAGGAGGCGAAGGCGCGGGTAAGCCTCGACCGTCTCGAAAGGGACATTAACAGCGTGCTGGTCAAGGACGATAAGAAGAAGAAGGATAAGAAGGAGAAGGACAAGAAACCAGGTGCCTTCCGAAGCCTGTTCTCGCGGAAAGACAAGAAGCGGAACGAGTATGAAGAAGACGACAGTTCGGGTAAACGGTCGATGGACACTGCCAGTATAGAAAAGGACGACGAGACCGATGAGCAGTCGAGTCCCGGCTCGACAGCCAGCCCGCAGAGGCAGCCGAGTAAGCTACAGAAGGCAAATCCCATGGGTCAGGCGGCAGAGACTTCACCAACAAGAAGGCCATCTGAGAACAGCTCTGGACACAGGGAGATTGGTAGGGCAGCTGATCCGTCCATTGGTTCTTTTGATGTAGCACCGGGCGCCAGGCCGAACAATGCTGACCACGTTCCTCCAGCTACCATGCGTCTCATCGAGCCGGAGCACGATCGAGAGATCAGCCAAGAAAGCATATCGAGTGTGCGGCCTCCTGCCAGCGCGCCGTCCAAGGTGACGGCATCAACTACGGCCATAAAAGCTGAAGATGGCCGACCGCCGATGGTGACAATGGCCAGCTCGCGCGCAGCGTTGGACGATTTCGACTCGGACGAAGATGATGTGTCTGCGCCGGTGTCCCAGCAACAAGGACCAGTGCCTGAAGAGACGACTAGGCAACAACAGCAACAACAGCAGCAACAGCAACAACAGCCACAAAAACAGGCTATTAGCGCTGCTGCCACCAACAGCAGCTCGGAAGTAGAAAGGGCGAGCAACCGTTCGGCAATGCAGCTGGAGCGGCTGTCGGAGTCTCCAGTACAGGTGTCGCCAATGCATTCCAACAACCCGCCGCCGCTGATGGTGGATACGTCGAGCCAAGACGACCGGTCGTCGCCGATCTCCTCGCCATCGCCAGAGCTCATTGAGGCCGAGGACGGTTCGGCTACCCATCACGCCCAGGACTCCATTGCGACGTCAACATCGGCCACTACGGCCAACACGGCGACGTGGAACGACGAAAACCTCAGGGCATTCTTCGACTCGGGCACCGATATTCGCGACCTCCTTGTCGTCGTGTACGACAAGACCGATGTTGCACCAGCCGGGTCCGACCATCCTGTGGTCGGCTCACTTTTCAGGGAGCAGACGGCCAAGCTGGCTGAGATAACAACTGTGAGTTCTTCCGCGGTGTCGTTTACTGTGCATATCTTGTTGTCTTGGGATTGTCTTGCTGATAAGCGAACTAGCAACTGGACAATATGCTGGGCGACTGGCTTGCTCGGAAGCAAAGACTCCGGGGTAGTGTATGATGTGATATTCTAAATCTGGCTCCTGATTCCCCGGTTGCATGGAGTTTATTCTTTTGTCTCCTTTTTTTCACCTTCTTTCTGTCTGTAGTTGTATCGGTACTTCTTTGGGCAGCCATATTATGTTTTCATTTAACGATCAAGGATTGATTTCCTGCACTCTACATTTTATTATCTCTTTTTTCCCCCTCATTTCCCTGTATTTCCATTCTATGTTTTGGCCAGGTTTGATTACCCTAGGGCTGGCGTTTTTCATTCATGGATTTGCCGAAAGCTGTGTGTCCTTTCGGGCACTTGATGCAGGAAGGACAAGTGTTTGTATGTTTATTTTTCTCCTTAGACACGGCCGGCTCGTTGACGGTGGAAAAGGAAGAGAGCGGTACAAAAGGGAGACAGGAGCCGCGCACTGCTCGCACACAAATATATTGCTACTGCACCAATGCACCGACGCACCAGCCGAGACACGTCAGACAGGTCGCACTCTCTCGTACCGTGCACATCGGCAGACGTCACATCTTGACGGTGCCAACTTTCTGTGGACCGTATCGCGCCGCAAAGAACTTACGAGGACTTCCAACAACCTCTGTCTGAGTAACGCGGCCGTCTTTCAGCTTCGCCCTTGCCGAGCCACATCGATGGCCTAGCCAAGCTTTCGCCGGTTGTCGGAACACATGTACAGAACACCAATGTTTTCGTGCCTGCTATGACCAAACGGTACCCCTTCACGAGTTGTTGCTAACCCGTCCTTCGGCCCTGCCACCCGTCCGTTGCCGCCCTCGTCTGCCAACTTTCTCCTGAAGGGCATTACGCGGCGAGAGACCTGTGGCCTGAGGCCTTGTCCCCGATGGGGAGGCACGTATATATACCTCGGTCACGGCCCTCTTCTCCTGCGTCCTTGTTGCTGTGCTGCACTGAACAAGACCGGTTTCGATAAGCTACACTCGCTGCTTTACCCGTTGCACTCGTTGCTTCAGCCTCTATCTACTCCCTCTTTTATTTCAGGCTTTCAATTCCCTCTCGCTGTCGTCATGATGCTCCTCGGCTCCGTCACGGCCACGCTGCCCCTGCTAGGTCTCGCTGCTGCTGGTGTGGCGCCACGGCTTGCTCACTGGTCAAGCTATGCGACGGCCAACACAACCTCCAATGTGACAACCACTGCTTCGGTTGCTTCTTCCATCCCGTCTACCAATACCACTACGACCGGCCCCAGACATACGTCCTGCGACATCCGCTACTGCCAGAACGGCACGTCGTACTGTCGGTACTGGGGCGGCTACACCTCGTTTGACATCAGTCTCAGACGTCCGGTGCCGGGCGAAACATACATGACCTTGGGCCTGTGCGGCAGCACGACCGCGAACTTGAGCAGCGTGACGGTGACTTCGACGCCCAGCAGCCTCTCGACTGCCAAGTTCGCTGTTGCAACTCCCACGTCCGACATATAAGCGACAAGCATCTCGAAAAAACTGTATTCTGGGTCGAAATGTGAAACCTAGAAAAGACGGCGGGAAAATAGGCATTTCCTGTATTCTACTTCGATGGCGTCGACATAGACAATATAGTCGTGGTTTCAATTTCTCGTCGCTTTCGAAAAACCTATCACAGTCTCCAAGGCAAATGTTGAGTAGAAGTAACAGTAAAGAAAGTTGCAGTAGTAGAAAGCAAAGGGCAGACCAGGAAAATAAGAAAATAGATCACATCCGTCAGTATTCTAGACCCCCGCTGTAGCTCGACCCGCGTGCCAGCGCTGCTCGGTCTTGACTCTCCCGCGTCAACTGCTCGCTGCTCTGCCGTCGACTAGGACATCTGTCCGCCGACACGTCAGAGGCGTCCTCTTGTGCCAGATATTCGTCCTCGCCGTCATCAACGGGCAGGTTGCTGTACGCCGCCTGTCCAGACAGCAGGTCTGTGGGCTCGTCCTCGATGCGGTGAACGAAAAAGGCCGCTACGAGCACAGTGATTCCGCCCAGCGCCATAACCACGGCGATGCTGTGATCGCCGGGCGTGCCACGCGGCTTTTGCAGGAACTTGAAGATGATGCTGGATCCCACGGTGGCGATCATCTGCGGCGCTGCGATGGCCATGTTGTGAATGCCGAGGATGACACCAGCCTGGTCAACCTCCTCCTCCTCGTTGCCGCTTTCCTCGTCACTGGGTCCATTGCCAACGAAGTCGTCTCCGTTTGCATGTTCTGCCAGCGTCTGCTGCTGCTTCTGCTGCTTCTGTGCCCGCATCCGCACATCCCGGCGGCTGATCTCTGCACTGATAATAGCCCAAGGCGCCCACAGCGTCAAGGCCCAAGTGATGCCGACGAGGCCGATGAGCGCAGTAGCCGCCGCCACGCTATGCACCAGCACGGTGCAGGACATGCTCCCAGAGAAGAGGAGAAGCGACAGCATCCAGGCGCGGCGCAGAGTCAAGCCCGGGATGACAAGGTAGTCGAGCCACGACTTCGGGGTAGAGAAGATGCTTGCATCGGAAACCAGAGCCGCCAGTTGTCGCTGCTGATCTCCGACGACAGGACGGGTGTCGTATGTTGGCGCGATAAAAAAGGGAAGAAACACGTTTGTGCACAAGCTCGTGATGGAATACACAAGCAGCGCAAATGTGCCGACGCGGGTGGCCTCTTCGTAGAGCCGATCCAATTGTTCGGGTGTCATATGAGGATTATCCTGCAAGAAGGGCTCGACGTAGATCTCGCCAATGTATGAGGACGTATAAAAGAGCATGGGAAAGAAGCCGACCCAGGCGCAGAACTGCACGGTGCAGACCCGCTTGATCTGGGGCGGCAGGCGGCGGATGGAGACAAATATCTGCTTGAAGAATGAAACGACTCCATGTCGGTGGCTGGCTGAGGCAGATGGCGGACCGTCGAGACGAGGGTCCCGCTCGTGGATGAGAAGACAGCTGATGAGGATGGTTGAGCCGAGTGCAACGCTGGCAATGGCACATAGGTCTTTGAACTGCGTGTCACCGAGCCACCAGAGGAACGTGGGTAGGTTTGCATAGCCTGCCACATAGCCGATGATGTTCCCGAGTCCAGTCATGCGGCTGGCCATAGCGTTGGCAGCCTCTGTTTTTGGGAGAGAGCCGAAATTAGTGTGACTGCTGTGGTGGGGATGAGATGCTCAACAAAACACACCTTGCTGATGGGCTGGAGCACAGTCGACGATGAAGGCCCGGATGGCTGCTTGGACTGTTGTTGTCAGTTTTTGGAATGAGGATGAAAGCGAGAGAAAATGACCAAGAAAAAGGGGGAGGCGAGAGAAAAGAGAAACAGGGCAGGAGCGACCCAGCTGTCCAACGTACCCGTGTTGATGGCAAAGTCGAGCACGTAGACCCAGAAGACGGCGACGATGATGATGGCCGTGCGGACGCCACCCGACGTGGGATCAGCGCCGAAGACGCCGTGCAGCGTGCCGGCGACGACCTCGCGCGTCCAGGCGAGGCACATGAGCGACACGATCGTAGCAGCCGCGCCGCCCAGCATGAACGGCTTCCGCTTGCCCCACGGAACGCGACAGCTGTCGCTGAGCATGCCGACATACGGCTGCACGAGCGTGCCGGTCAGCGGGCCAGCGATCCAGACGAGTGCCATGAGCGACTTGCTCAGGCCGAGCGAGAGCAAAAAGGGCGATCCGTTCGACAGCTCGACCGACCAGGCAATCTGCAGCCCGCCGATGCTGAGCGTCAGCAGCATCAGGTACCAGACCGACCGCGTTCGCTGTCGCTGGGCTTCGTCCTCGTCAGCAGCAGCCTCGTCGGCCGACGACCCGTGACCGAAGTGGTGGTGGTGCCGCAGACCGCCCGTCGCCTCGGACACCCGGCTCGCGTCCACGTCGGCCGACGGCTCGGCAGACAGCAGCGGCGAGTGCTCGCCACCATCGCGGTCGTCGTCCTGGTCGTTGCCACCATGGGACGTATCTACGCCCGGCAGCGTCGGCCGCTCAGGCTCGCCGCTGTCGGCCGCTGTCGAGATCGCCCCCAGAGCCGGCATAGGACCGGAGGGAGAGACGTTCGCTTGGTCAGAGGACCCAAAGGGGGCAGCTTTGTCGTAGAGACACGAGGAGTTCCCGGAATCCGTCGATGGGTTGAAAATTAGGTAGTGCTTCTTTCTATCGTTGACACCGGATTGTATCACCGCTTCGGTGAGGAAGAAGAACGCCAAAGTAGAGCTTGAAAGGCAATGTCGGGCACAAATGCTGCGTTGTTACTTGTTGTCCCGTGCCAAGTGATAGCAGGTGATCTAACCATACGATGAGAGGAGGAGACAGCTCCAGACACTAACTGTAGCGGATCCGGCTGCTCCACAACAGCTCTTCCGTAGCTGGTAGGGCTAAAGGCTAGGCGAATGACGGCGATTACGTAGCGCTACCAACAACCAGCAGGGATTATTCTCTATTCCATTTCACCGGCGCCTCTGTCGCGGGTATTAGGCCCATGCATGGCCCGTCAAATGACACGACTAAGATACTACAGAGTTATCGCATGCAGAAAACAAACACCAAGCCAAAAAAAACTACGACTCATCGATCTTGTTGATTTCTGCCCGTGCCTCTTCCCATGTCTCCTTGTTCTCTTTCGCCCACTCAATCTGGCTTTTCGCGTAGGCAATCTGAGAGGTGTCCCGTTAGCATTGCATATGCATCTGCATCTGCATCTATGCACCACATCAACGGAAAGCCTTACCATGTACCGCTTCAGATCGTCCTCCTTCTCGAGCTGGAACCGCTTCAGGTCGTGCAACACGCTCGTGCTGGCATCCTTGACGTCTTGAGCAGACGCTACTTGTGCCTGCTCCAAATGCGCAATCGACTCCCGCGTTTTCGTGATCGTGTCCCGCCGCGTTCTCTCCGGGTCCACGTCCACAACGCCTTGCACAGCATGTCGCAGCGGCCCGAATATCTTGTTGGTGATTGAGCTGCTGCTTGGCATCTTCCTGTGGCCTTGCGTCGGCACACTGCGCTCTGGCGGTCCGTTCTTAGCCGACGGTACAGATGAATAGTCGCCATGTGTCGGCGGGAAGTCAGAGTCGATCGATGCCGTATCCTCCTGGCTGCCATCCCTATGGTGCCGCCCCCCGCTCGAAGGATCCCGTGCACTGTTTGACCGCCGTGGTGGCTGGATCTGCTGGCTGTTGCTGAGGTATTGGTCGATGCGCCGCGCCTCTGCCTCGCTCCGCTCCAGCTGCTCCAACAGCGCCCGCTTTTTCATGAGATCCTCGTCGGTCATCTCTTGCTGCACCCGCTTCAGAATCCTGTACCGAAGCACCGTGCGCACAACTCCCGCAAACTGAGCATGCTCACGCATTGGCTCTGCAAAGCTGGCTCCGAGAGACGTTGCGAGCTCTTCGGTCGCAATGTATGACGAGTCCACTGCCTGTCCCACTCGCTCGATAGCCGGTCCTAGCGTTGGTGCTTGTTCCGAGAGTGCAAACGCATTGTACCGAGCGCCGAGCTCGGCCAGGTCCGAGGCAAGAGTTGACAGGTGGCTGAGCGTGCGCCGGTTTACCTTCTCCATCGGTCCTGTCAGCAGCTGCTCGAGCTCTTTGCTCGAGGCCTCGTAGGACGTAAAGTAAGGGTCAAGCTCCTGTTCGCTGAGTTGCGCCGACTCTGGAGGAAACCGTGAGACGGCATCGTCGCTAGAAGGTACACTGATCCCTGCCGGGACCCTGAGCCTGGCCGAGTTGGCTGGTATCGGTAGGTAGGCATGTGCTGGCGTTGGGTTTGCCGGATCTAACGGTGGTGCTTTCAAAATCGACTTGGGAATCGATGCAATGGGATGTGAGTGCAGTACCTCGTTCTACATGCATGCCAAAATTAGTACCCGCCCCAAATACTGCGCACAATACACCCTGGCGAACGTACCCAGCTGGCGTTGGGGTCGAGGAAGCGCCACCAGACGCCGTCCATGCGAATCTGTTCCATCCGCCGACAGCGGTTGAGAAAGACTGCAAGCATGCGCTTCCGTAGATCGATGATCTGCTGATCCTGTTTCGCATTCGTCGGATTTGCCGCGTAGTCGGCCATAGTGTGCTTTTCAGGTATTGGGGGAATGATGAGGGTCGGGTGCAGTCGCGTCAAAGCCTCGCGCAGAGAGGCAAACTCCGAGTATCGCCTTCGAACTTCGAGATCCTATTGACGTTTAGCCTCATCTTCGCTTCGTCATGCCGTCAATTACTCACCCCTGTCCGGATCGTATACACAATAAAGCGTCCGTTGTTTTCCGGGCTCTTTCCAGCATCTACAATCAAAATGGGGGTTTCGGGGTTTTCGTAGAGAATCTGTTCGACGCGGCTGTCATAACCGCCAGGCTTCCGCCTGGGCTGCAGTCCACTGGGGGCTTCTGCCGCCACTTCCTCATCACTATCGTCGTCGCTCGAGGACTTGCCATAGCTCGGAATGATATCCGGCTCATCGTCGGTGGAAGGCGCACTGTATCGGGCATCTAAAACAGGTATTGTCAGAACTCATCTGCAGCACAAGTACGGATAAGAGGCAGAAACACTCACGGCTATCCGGAGACGATGGAGCTACGGACGACTCAAACGAGTCCCTCCGATCAAAGCTGCTCCCGTAGGGATTGTTATCCTCGTCGTTCCACATGGTCACTTTGCGCTTCGCAGAGAATCAAGGGCAAAGCTATTTCGAGCGAAGCCGCGCCCGAGGTAAAGATAAGCCACAATCGCCTTCACCACAATGCCTAGACAAGTCCGGACTATAAGATGCCGGTGCGCAAAGAATGTAGTGGGGGAGGGGTTGGTAGCGGAAGCTCGGATTCGAACGTCAAGAGAAAATAGGAACAATTCGGTTAGGTGCTTGGGATTTCTCAGCGCACTTTTGAGGGCCGCCTAATACTCTGTAGGGATGAGAATCGGAGTTGCAGAGGCAAAGAGATGGCTAAAGGTACGATATTGTGAGGCAGAAAGTTGGAGGCAACAGAGTAGTGGAGTATTCTTGTCCCAGCCTCTTGTCGCACCTTCCTACATACGGAGTATGACGACTGGTGTGTAGACCCGCTTTTCTTCTGCTCCGCTCTCACCGAGGCAGCGAAATGTCGGTGCCTGGTTAGTCGTTCCGCAAAATCCTGCGTGTTATTGAATTTCCCCAGATCTAGGCTCCTGGTCACTTATCACACATGCTAAAATTGATTGCCTTCCTAGAATTCCAATAACCAGATCCACCCTTTCCACTCCTCTCGCGTCTTTCAGTTGCTTTCTGAATCTCGAAATCGCCAGAAGGACACATTACTGCCTTCTTCGTCCAAATTGGCGATGCCAGCCTTGCGGTTTGGACCCGTTGGGGTCCTATCACCGTGTTTTGGACCCGAAAATCCTAGGTCAGGCGATGGCCCTGCACCTTTTCGAACCTGCCTCGAAGTTGCTTCGGGAGTGCTTCTATCAAGGCCAGTTGGTCTTGCCTCGTCAGCTTTTACGTACTTTTTATGCAGATGCTGTAGTTGCGCGAACCTCTGGGTGGCATAGTGTTTACCTGCTTGACCTTCTATCCCTCATGTATGTCCTTTCACTTCGTCGGCCTCTACAGTCCATCTGTTTCGGCGAAGGCCGCAGGTTTCTCTCATGCGGGGGTTTTCGGCTTGAACGCAAAGCCTCTGATGAGACTCCAAGAGCGCTGAGGACAGGAGGCACCAACGATGACAAAATGGAAAGCCAAGAGGATTTTTGGTCAAGGCCGTCGTGAATATGTCGTGTTCTGTGGGTTAAGTAAGTATGAAGACGGTTTCCGTTTCCGATTTTAGATGAGTTTACCTATCGCGGTCCGGGGTGATACTACGGCTTGTTTCCCGTCTTCTCCGTTGAATTCGATCGTCAGTGTAGACGCGGGGGCTATGATGGTATAGCCGTCTCCTCCGTCTCTGCCGCTCCGATAGACGAGCACCTGAATCTTCATAATTGTAACGCTTCACATGTCTGCGTTCACCGCGTTGGTGCTGTCGGTTTCCATTTTCTAGATTTTTTGCTGCATCAGCTCGTTCAACCTTAGTTTTATTGCGCCTATACAATTTGGGGGAGTCCTTTGAATAGCCCAATACGGCGTTGTTTCCGGTGGATGTTTCCGATGGCAAGCACACCACAGAGGAACTTGCAGAACATGGGCGGCGGGTGCGGGCTCTTCCTGCTACAAAGGTAGAAGCAGCCTGGTAGGGATACCAAGGTCTTGGATGCTGTGCTGAACCTCCGATGTTCTCAAACTTTGCCGGGATGTCCTGCAGAATATTCCTGGGTACGTCGCATGCATTTGCTATCAGTTGACTAGGCATAGGTGGCGCCGAAGCGACTGGGTAGACTTCAGGTGGTATTCGATTCTCCGGAGTAGCTTTTGGCAGCCAGAACATCGACGACCCTTTAGATTCAGTAGATCTCACCAACGGTGGTGGTGGCGGTGGGAGAATGGATAAGATTTGCGGCGTATTCAAGACGAACGAATGCATCACCGACCGCTGAGACAATCCTGGCGGTAGAGGCTGGCGTCTAGCTTGATACTTCTGTGGCTTTGCAAGCCCGATCTGTGCTTTCGGTGCCGCCGATATATTTTCGCCTGCAGCCACTTCATGAGGTGGTGATTGGGGTGCCGGGCTAGATGTTGCTGCATTTTGGGCATGCTGCAATGGCACGGTATCGGAAGATTTCTTGGGTGTTGGTCCAATCTCAGGAGGCTGAGAAGTAGAAGCAACCGGGAGAGCCTGAATGGTAGGAGTGCTAGGAGAAGATGCCTTGGCGGGGGGCGTCGTTGGAGATACTTGTGGTGAATCGACAGGAGTATGATGGTTGCCCTGCAAAGACGACTTGCTCGAGACCTCTGGAGTTTGCTCACTTGGAGACCGTTCTGTTTTTATCTCTACTACCGGTGGCTCTACTACCGGCAGCTCTTCAGTATCTGATATCGCCTTTTTTCTAGGTCGGATTACTAGACACCAGTAAGTGAAGCCCAGCATCAGCGGAGCAATGATAGCAATGAGGACGATTCCGCTTTGCTGGGAACTATTGTAACAGCTCCAACCAGAGCAGCCGTGTGCATCAGGGGGCAGACTTCTCTTTTCGTAATGCTGTTTTAATACAAGAACACTCTTCGACGTATTGCATAGGCGTGCGAAGTGAAGCCGTGGCGGAGGCATGGTATGAAGCTTGATTGAAGGACTTGCGTGAAAAAGATGCCACAAGATAATCTTGGGGGAAATCTGAGATTGTATTCGTCCAGAGAAGATGACTACGCTTTGTTTCAGGCAATTTGATGGGTTATAACATGGCAAGTGCGGTATTCACTAATAAGGAAGCTACAACCCTGCAGGTTACACAGCTAAGAGCTTGCTAGATCGCGATGATGTCGGCGCGAAGAACGTGCGTAAAATGTGATTCGTCATACCCTTGTTTGTATTTAGAGAAAAGTGAATCGAAGACAGTGACACAGTGAAGCAGACTGACGAACTATCGCCTTAAAAACACAGTTTGCGAACCAAACAGTCCTGAGCTGGAAGCGGTCATGTGATCGTTCATGTGACCCCACCCGATTTGGACGCACCCTTTTGTCTCTGTGGAGCTAGTTCTGGTAGACGTCCGCCAAATTATTTTTACAACTGCTTCGCAACTTCAAATTGAACATTCACGTCCTCGAGTCGCGCAACTATCTAGCGATCACACAACACGATGCATAACTGAACTGACGAGGGGCCCCAAAACTTGACAATAGAGAGGGGAATAGCAGTACTGTCCCATCAAAAACGACTGATTCGACACCGCTAGAGATTCTTGGACGAAACGCGTGTGAGATCGCGCTGCCGTGTCTTCCTCGAACCTCCTCCCCCCAATAGCCAATTTACGGCACCATGGCATCGTCTGTGCGAAACGGTCACTACGATGGCGGTGCGAACGGAAGCTCGCAGGGTACGACCTTTGCGAACCCCGTCAGCAAACGATTCCTGGACGTGCCGGCTACCATCGATGTGCCAACGCAGGACGAGGATGAAGCTGTCGAGATCGGGCTCGAGAACCTTGTGGACGACCCGACCGATCTCTGCGACCTTTTTGAGAACGAGAACGCAGCGCGCACGTACTGGATGACGGTGTCCCTCGCGTACGCCAAACAAGGCAAGATCGAGAACGCGATCGAGATGCTCGTCCGCGGCGGCAACGCGATGCAGAACAACAACCCGAAAGAGAAGCTGAGCATTGTGGCCTGCCTGTGCTGGATGTACCTGTGGAAGAGCAGGCTGGCACCCCGGGTGGCACCGGAAGGGTCGCTGGTGTCGGAGGCCAGGACGAAAGAATACTACCTGCAACTGGCCACGTCATCGCTGAACGAGGCTTCGCGCATCAACCCTGCCTACCCTCCGCTGTTTCTGGCGCGCGGCGTGCTGCTTCTTCTTAGGGCGTCGTTGCAGCAGCCATCGTCGTCGGCTGCGGGTGGCCAGGTAGACGGCGAGAAGGCGGAGCTGCTCCGGGCGGCGATGAAGTCCTTCGACGACGCTTTGCGCGTGTCGCAGGGCAGGAACATGCTGGCACTGATGGGAAAGTCACGGGCACTGTACTCGATTGGGAAGTATGCACAGGCGCTCTCAGGATACCAGGAGGTGCTGCAGAAGGCGCCTACTCTCGTTGATCCCGACCCGCGCATTGGTATCGGCTGCTGCTTCTGGCAGCTGGGCTTCAAAGAGGACGCCAAGGCTGCATGGGAGAGGTGTCTGGAGATCAATGCGGACTCCAAGGTGGCTGATATTCTGCTGGGCCTCTACTACCTCAACAGCAGCGCGCAGGTGCCGAGCAACAGCCCCGACTTCATCCGGCTCTACAAGAAAGCCATGACGGAAAACACGCAGAAGGCTTTCAAGCTGGACAAGAACATGCCGCTGGCGTGCTCGACGTTTGCGGGGTATTTCCTGTCGCGCAAGTCGCTCGCCAACGTGGAGTCTCTGGCGCAGAAGGCGATCCAGAACACAGATGTGAACGCAATTGCCAGTGACGGGTGGTATCTGCTGGCACGCAAGGCCCACCTGGACGGCGACTTGGGCCGCGCAGCGGATTACTACCGACGCTCAGACGAGGCACGTGGCGGAACAGAACGAGGCTACCTGCCGGCCAAGTTTGGTGTTGCGCAGCTGTCTGTGGTGAAGAATGACCTGGGCGAGGCGAAGCTGCGTCTCGAAAAGATGATCCAGCAGTCGAAGAGCCTGGAAGCCATGGCACTTCTGGGAACTCTGTATGCCGAGGAGGTGTTTGCAAGCGAGCGGTCGTCGGTGAAGGAGGACAAGGCGGCAGAAAAGAAGAAGGCAATTGCTCTTCTCGAGAGCGTGAGGGGGGCGTGGAAGGACGCGAAGAAGAACTTGTCGCCGGACTCGGCCGTTCTCCTGAACCTCGGACGGTTGTACGAGGGCGACCAGCCGGACAGGGCGTTGCAGTGTCTCCAGCAGGTGGAACAGATTGAGCTGGACCAGATTGTGGAATCGGAGAAGGCGCCGGAGGGAACGGACGAGGCAACACACCGGGAGTCACTCCGGAAGCTCCTCCCACCCCAGCTGCTGAACAACGTGGGCTGTTTCTACTACCAGGCGGACAAGCATGAGCAGGCGAGCCAGACATTTGAGCTGGCGCTGGACGCGTGCGTGAAGAGCCAGAGCAAGGGCGACGACGAGACGGACGCGGACGCATTGGTGACGACGATCAGCTACAACCTAGGGCGCAGCTACGAAGTGCAGGGGGTGCTGGACAAGGCGGTGGAGGTGTACGAGGGCCTGCTGAAGCGGCACGGGGGGTACACGGAAGCACGGCTGCGGCTGGCCTACATGCAACTGCGGCAACACCCTAATGACGGCGGCCCGGATGCGGTAGCGAAGCTGTACCAAGACAACCCGAGCGACCTGGAAGTGCGGGCGCTGTACGGGTGGTACCTGGGCAAGGTGCATGCGAAGAAGCGGCCGGCGAACATTGCAGAGGATCTGGAGCTGCGGCACTACAAGCACACGCTGCAGAACTACGACAAGCACGACCGGTACGCGCTGGTGGGGATGGGCAACCTGTACCTCCTGTCGGCGCGGGAGATGCGGCGGGAGACGGAGCAGGAGCGGCAGAAGCGAAGCGCGACGTACAGCCGTGCGGTGGAGTTTTTCGAAAAGGCACTGCAGCTGGACCCGAAGAATGGATATGCGGCACAGGGCATTGCGATCGCGCTGGTGGAGGATCGGAAGGACTACCGAAATGCGCTGCCGATCTTCCTGAGCGTGCGGGACACAGTTCGCGGCGCAAACGTGTATGTCAACCTGGGGCACATCTACGCAGAGCTGCGACAGTTCTCCAAGGCGATTGAGAACTACGAGGTGGCACTGACGAAGGAGGGCAAGGGCAAAGGGGCAGGAGCGGACACGACAATCCTCTCGTGCCTCGGACGAACGTGGTTCAACAAGGCCAAGGTGGAGAAGGACCTGGATGCGTACAAGGAGGGTCTGGAGTGCGCGAAGAAGGCGCTGGAGGCGGCTCCGGAGCAGGTGCACTTCAAGTTCAACGTGGCTTTTGTGCAGATCCAGCTGGCATCGACGATCTACGGGCTGAGCGAGAGCCAGCGGACGCTGCAGCAGCTGCAGGAGGCGGCGAGCGGGCTGGAGGAGGCGATCAAGGCGCTGGACGAGATTGCAGCACACCCACAGACGCCGTACCCGAAGCAAGACGTGGAGCAGCGAGCGAACATGGCACGCAACACGCAGCGACGACAGCTGGAGCGGGCGATTGCAAGCCAGCGAGACTACGAAGAGAAGAATAAGGAGAAGCTGGCGGCAGCGCTGGAACAGCGACAGGCGGAACTGCGACGGCGGGAAGAGGAGCGACAGAAGGTGGTGGCGCTGGAGCAGGAGCGAAAGGAGAAGATCCGCAAGGAGCGGGAGGCGATTGCGGCGCGCGACCGGGAGCTGGCAGAGAAGCAAGCGGAGGGGCGAGCGGAGGAGGAGCGGTCGCGACGGGAGGTGGAGATGACGACAGACAGCGAGACGGGCGAGAAGGTGAAGCGGAAGCGCAAGTCGGCCGCGGCCAAGGGCGAAGGGCGAGCGAGCAAGGGACGGCCGCGGCGGAAGAAGGCACGCGACGAGGAAGACGAGGACGAGGAAGACAACAACGGAGACTACGGCGACAACGGGGACGAGAACAACGGATCGGAGGCCGAAGACAGCCAGCCAAGGCCGAAGAAGCGACGGCTGCTGTCGAGTCGAAGCGGCGCCAAGAGCAGTGCCAAGTTCAAGTCGTCGGAGCTGGTGCACAGCAGCGATGATGACGACGACGACGAGGAGGGCAACGAGGGGGCCAAGAATGGAGATGGGGATGAAGGCAACGATCTGCTGGATGAGACGGATGCGGCGATTGAGAGGCGGCGACGGGGTCGGGCGCACGACTCAGACTCGGACAGAGACCAGGCAGAGAGGTCGGACCGGATGGAGATGGACTCGGACGGCAGCGAGAAGGAGGACGGACGGACGTCGCAGCCGAGCAAGCGAGGCCGTCGGGGCGGACGGGTGCTAGAGGACGAGAGCGACGAAGAGGCGGCAGAAGACGAGAGCGGGCCACGAAGACGGGCAATGAGCGATGATGGGGATGAGTAGGGGGACGGAGAGAGAGAAATGGAGAGAGAGGAGAAGAGAGAGAGGAGAAGAGAGAGAGGAGAAGAGAGGAGAGGAGAGGAGAGAGAGGAGAAGAGGAGAGAGAGGAGAGAGAGGAGAGAGAGGAGAGAGAGGAGAGAGTAGAGGGCGGAGGAGAAGGGAGGAGTAGGTAGGCCGAGAAGATATCGAAAAGAATCTGTAAGATACGATATGAAGCAAATTGCCAAATGGACTAGGCGGTTTTACCGCTGTAAGGAGAGTGTTTGCTTAGAGAGTATGAGTGTCGGTTTACAGGCGTAAGAAAGTGTACCTGTGATAACAAGGACTCCGTTTTGCGGAGAGGCCACTAACTTACAGGCGGCTCTAAATGCACTCGCTAACCACATATGGATTAGCGTTTATTACGGTCATCTATCGTTATCGTGACGCCGCCAATTCTTTGCTTCCCCGCGGTCAGAAGCGTTCGTCTCGATGTGATCGTGCGTCACGACTGCGACTGCGACTGCGACTGCGACTGCGAATGCGACGAGTCCATGGACCACTTCAATGTGACGGTGCAGAAGAATGGCACGCTCGTGTCGACGCGGCGCGGACTGCAGGTGTCCAAGCACAAGCACAACGGCATCTCGTTTGTGAACGCGTCCGGTCCGGCCGTGTCGTCGACCGCGGGCGACAGCAGCAGCGTCGATGTCGGGCGGAGCAGCCGGGCGGCTGACGGGGTGAGGGTGGTCGATGGCGGAAGCAAGAGCGGCGTGGCCCAGGCGCCTAAGCCGACACCGACATCGACGTCGAAGCCGAAGATGCTGGCACATCGGTGGAAGTTTGTGACAAAGCCGGTCAAGGCGGCGGCGGGTGAGCGGAAGCGAGACGGCGGACGGCAGGCGGAAACGGAGACAGAAACAGAAACGGCGACTCCATCCCAAGCGCCATTCCCTTCCCAGATGCAGACGGCCTTCTCGGCCTCGACCAGCAGCAAGCGGACCCGGAAGCAGCCACAGCCACGGACCAGCAAGGGAACCAGGGCGTCCCGGAGGAGCAGCAGCAGTAGCAACATCATCAACACCAACATCGCCCCCACCATCCTCTCGATGCCCGCCTGGACCTGCCGGATCCCCCAGCTGGACGAGGCCCAGCAGCGGGCATTCTACCAGTCCCTGCAGCTGGTGCCGCGCAAGATCTACCCGTTCGAGGACCTGCTGCAGTACAACCCGGCACGGTCGAGCGAGTTCTACGCCATGGTCGTGCGCGACCCGGCCGCCGTCCGCTGCGTGCTGCTGTGCGGCGCCATGTTCCGGGCCGTCTTGGGTGGCGGTGGCGACTCGGGCGAGCTGGCCGGCGAGGTGGCTCACGTGTGTGCCATTGTGAGCGAGCAGCTGGCGCAGTGGACGGCAGCGACATCGGTGAACACACCCACAAGCTCAAATACACCGACAACACAAACACCCCCTCCCTCTACTCTCGAGTGCATCACCACTCTCGCTCTCATGGGCGGCTTCACCGGCCGCTACGATCACTGGCACGTCCATATGCGTGGCCTTCGCCGCCTCGTCGAGCTGCAGGCCGGCACCGACGGCCCTGACGCCTTTGCTGCCGCCTTTGGCCGCCTGCCGCCGTCGCTGCAGACAAAGATGCGCAAGACCGATCTCAAGGGTGCCATCGCCCTCGGCACCGCCCCCTACCTGCCGTTTGTCCGCTCCTGCGCCAACGCGTCCGACGACGTTCTCACGCCCGCCGCCCGTTCCTACATTGTCGCTGCCGTGGCTGCCCTGCTGGCGCCCTTTGGCACGGCCGACACGACCGTCGGCGTCGGCGTCGGTGATTTCGGCACTTCTTTCGGCACCTTCGGCACTTCTTTCGGCCTCGGCACTTTCGGCACCCCCACCTCCCTCACCCAATATGACTGCGACTACGACGACTACGACTACGACTACGACTACGCCGGCATCTACAGCTACAGCTCCGGCTACCACCACACCCATTATGGCTACGCCTATGGCGGCACCGTGCGGCCGCCCGTCATTGACGCCGTCGGCCAGCTGTGCGTCTTTGCCCGCGCCGTCCAGCTGACCGCCCATCGAGCCGCCACCAACGAACCCCTGCCGCTCGACCCCTACAGCTTCTCCGAGGAGCTGCACTGGCTGCAGCACCAGCTCGTCTGCCAGCCCGCCGCCCTGCGCGACTCCGCCGGTCAGCAGAGCGGCCTGTCGTTTGACTATGCCGCCCCCCCAACTCTGTTACCGCCTCCGCCTCCTCTCCTCCCCGTCGATCCCGCTGGCCTGCAGACGGATGACTTTGTGCGCAACCACCAGGCCCCCCTGACCGTCCCCTTGCCCGTGCCGGCTGCCTACGACAGCACCGACGGAACGCCTGTCAGCTTCCTCGAGCCGGCCTTGCGCATCTGTGCCCTGCTCTACCTCAAGGAACTCATTCCCGACTTCCCCCGCAATCTTGGCGGCTATGCCGTCCTGCTTCACCTTCTGCGCACCCATCTTCGCCCGAGCCTCTGGCTGGACGGTGCCTCCGGTGGCGCCCCTACCCCTACTGGCCAGCTGCTCACCCATGGCCGCGCCCGTGCCGTTCTGCTCTGGGTCTGTCTCCTCGGAGATGCCGTCTCTCGCATCGCCGATACCAACGAACGCCGCTCTGGCCCCGACTGCTACGACCGCTCTGTCTTCCGCGCCCGTCTCGTCGAGCTGGTCAGCAGCAGTAATAGCATTAGTAACAGCAATGCCAACATCGGTAGCACTGGCATCGGAAACGGTGCTGCTGTCCATGGCACCCTGCTGCCCGATGGCGACTGGGCCCTCTGTCACCTGCTCGATCTGCCCAAAATTCGACCCGGCGGCGAGCATGACCAGCAGGCCGTGCTGCAAATGTTGGCCGAGGCCCAAGAACCCTCACCGCCGATCCTAGACGGCGCTTTTATCCTTTGATCCGGACATTCGTCTGTGTATTTTTGTATTATGTATTCCACGGAAAATGGTTGGTTTTCTTTGGGCTTGGGCGTGTCACTATAGAGGCTATATGTCTGATTGTATGTAATATCATGGTTCTGGCTGGTTTGGGACGGCAGGCAGACGGATAGACGGAAACGTGGACCGGTTGTGCCACGATATGAGATCAAGCTATATATCACTCGTACTTGCTCTGTCCAGACGCTCATGTAATGCTGACTAATCGTGCTCAAATCGGGCAGTCCGGCAGACCCGTCTGCCAGTTTGACTTCACGTACGGCAAGAGGTAGTCTTGCGACGTGAAATTCTCCGAGATGTAGTACGTCACCATGCTGCTGTTGTAGGCCGATCCGAGGTAATCCAGCACAAAGGACTCGATGCTGCCACTGGTCAGTGCCCTTTCGCCCTCTCCTTTTGGTCTGTCGTTCACTTACAAGTCCACAAATATAACGTCCACCTTCTCCGGGTCACCTGACTCTGGGAAGCCGCCCGTGCCCATAAAGTAATTGGGAATGCTATAGTATGGGATCTTCTGATGCGCCGTGTCGTCACCATCGCTGCCAAAGTCGTCTGTCGTTGTGTAGCCGGCCGTCTCTGTGGTCACCTGGCGCCGCACAATGCCGTGGCCGTGATCGTGGCTGCTGCTACCGCTGATATCGTCACGTCTGGTCACGCCTGCAATCGGGTCGACACACGAGTCGCGGCCGAGCAGGGCTGCCGTGTCCGCCAGGGCCAGGGGGCCATCACGCTTGTCCACGCCGCCATTGTTGAGTCTGCAGGGAGTCGGTGGTCAGTCGCCTCCTGGTCTGTTTGCCTCTTTCACTCTTACAACGACCACTCACCCGTTCAGCAGCCCCTCTGCCAGGCTGTACGGCACGTCCGGGATATACAAAAAGGCGTCACGAAAGGGCGATACTATAAAGTTGTCGTCGTACGTAAATGGGCCCTTGTACATATCGAACCGGATGCCGCCTGTGTTGCTGTACACCATGCGGGCACGGTCGGCGCGGTCCGTGTTGACAACGCTGGTGCCCAGGGCGTCGCTCAGCGGCGTGAAGATGTTGGTCTCGTTGCCAAATGGAACGCACGTCTGGCAGTAGAAGTCGGGCACGCAGCCGTACAACTCGCCGAGCCGCTGCGACGACCGGTCGCGCCTGATGTCGTCCGTCACCGCTAGGCCACTGTGGTAGTCGAAGCCGGTGGCATTGCTCGAACCCGTGCCGACAGCGTGGAAGGAAAACGTGTAGCGGTTCCAGTCCAGGTAGCGCCTCGCATATATCCACGGGCCCGTCGCGTTGGCCGTCGCCTTGCGCGTCGGGTTAGGCACACCATGGGCCTCATGCACGCCGTGGTAGCCGCTGTTGTCGGTGTCAAAGCCGCTCATCGCCAGCCAGCCCACCGTCTCGCAGTACCGCCCCGATTCCAAGGCCGTGCTGGACTCATCCAGCACCGCAAAGTCGCGGATGTGGCTGTGGCCTCCAAAGATCTGCACCGGCTTATCCGCATGCACCGTCCGGATCGCCTCGTACACCGTCTGGAATGTGCTGCCGCTGGTCGTCGGCCGCGCAATGTTGTGCCCGATCACGAGGAAGAGGTCTACCGGCTCCGGCGCATTGACTGCCTCGACAAACCAGTCCTGCTTCACCATCGTCGCCGCCGGGATCACCTTGGACACATTGGTGTTGCCTAGTGCCATGTACTGTGAGTATGCTGGACAGAACTCGTGCAGAGTCCGGACACTCACCCTTAAAGTCAAAGAGAACCCCGAAAGCCATGATCCGGAGGCCTGCATATCTCATCAGCAAGCGTGTCGTTTCGCCTGTCAAGCGGTCGCCCTTACCCTTGGGTGTTGTGAAGTAGCGGTACTTCTGGCCAATGTACTGCCACTCGTTCGTCGTCTGGTTGAGGATCTGCACGTTGGATGTGAGATACTTCTCGCCCCAGAACTTGCTGAGCTCGCTGAACGTCTGGTACGCCACTTCAGCCAAGTATAGCTCGTGATTGCCTGTCATGTATTAGCCATGGAAAAGAAAAACAACAGCACAAGGTCGGGTTAGAGCTGACCGATCGTCAGAATATCATACGCGCTGAGCTCTTCGAAGATCTTGTTGGTAAGCTTGCCATCGGGCGTCGTGGTGTCGCTGAGCCCGGTGCCGTCGTGGAGATCGCCTGAAAGGCTGTCAGACAAGGACTGAAGAAAAAGAAAAAAAAGACAGAAAGAAACAAGGAAGAAACAAAGGAGAACCCACCCGTGTCGACCAGCAACAGGTCGACACCCATGTTGCCAGCCTTGTGCTTCAGGTGCGTGGCAAAGGACACAAAGTCGCCAAAGTCGGCGCCATCTGTCTCTGGTCAGCCTGCCTGCCACACATCGTCTCTCCGCCAGCTCCGTCTACACCCACAGTTTTGCTCCTTGATGTGGCCCTCGAGCCAGCCGTGCGTGTCCGTCTGCCAGATGTCAGCCAGGAGAAGAGGGCGCGGTTGATGCGACAAAGACAAGACTCACCGTGTGCATCACGTTCAGCTGACCCCATTCGAGCGGCCGTGTCGGACCGTACGTGGCCTCCTGAGCTCCTGGCTGGATGCGCTTGACGTGCCGGACATGCTCGACCGTGTTCGTGGGACCATAGCAGCTGTCGCAGGCGACAACCGCTGCCGGTAGGAGTGCTGCCGCAACCGCGGAGGAGGCAGATAGTCTCATCGTGATTGTGTCTAGGCAGGCTGGCAATAAGTAGCTAGCCGGTAGGACTAGAAGAACGGTCAAATTTCGACGACGGTAGATGAGCTTGGCCTTGTATTTGTACGGCCTTCGTGCGAGTTGTGCCACAGACCAGGAGTCAGCGCCAAGGGGGAGAAAGAGGGGATTTTGGCGAGGCCGACCAAGCAAGCTTCGAGGCCAGTCGATGGCGGGCGAAAATAGCTCGAGTTCGTTTTCGTCTGTCTTCTTGCTGCAGCTAACACGACCATAACGTTACAACAGAGGTCCGCGCCAAGGAGATCTCGGTGAGGCCGATCAAGCAAGCTCTGGAGCCAATTGATGGCCGGTGAAGATAGCACGAAAATTTGTCTTCGTCTGCCTCTCTGTTGCCCGCCTGAAAGCCGCATCGCTGCGCAATTGCTCGCGCCTGGCACCTCTGTCTCTGATGTCTCGTTATGGGCCAACTTTCAGCATACTTCCATGCTTTGTGCTGTTGCCTGCATGTTCGCCGAGCCCTTGATAATGCACGTGGGCCGATTGAAAGGTCAAGCACGCTTGATAGCTTCCTTCCCGGGGGTGCTATTGGCTGCCGTCACCATCGGCGCCTTCCGTCTCCATTGCGAATGCAAAGACCTGCTTCATTGGGAAAGTGTTAGAACTAATGATAAGCTCCGAAGTGCGGAGTACGGAGTGCCCTAAATCGTATCCTACGTATCTAACATTGCACCTGCACAATGTCACCTAGCCTTGAATGCTGTTGTGCAAGGTATACAGGTAATAATGCTTGTTCACAAAAACTCCTTCTCCTACTCCGTACCATACTGCCATTTAGACTGCCTTCTTCAAAATTCACATAACGCCAGAAAGCAGCCCATTGGAGACCGGCTAATCTAAAATGCTTGTACCCTTGCCCACAACTCATATCTTCAGCATACCACCTCTCCCAACCATGACTATCCTTGCAGATTCACCAGAACCCGAACTTCATCATCCATCAGCATCGCTTCGTGCACGCGACACACTGCCCGGTCCCACTCCCGGTCGTTCCCAACTTCTTCCAGTCCAAGAAGAGTGCAGACAGCCACCGATGCCACCTCGTAGCCCATCGCTGTGCATCGACTCGTCAGAAAAGAGTACCCAGCCGTGCGCATCCAGTCGGTGTGGCCGAGCACCAACCGAGGAAGTACCCTCTCGCACCCTCGCGTGATGTTGATGAAGTACCGAATCGTTGCATCGTCGGGCGCCTTCGCAATATAGCACACGCCTGTTGCGTTGGCTTGGTGCCTCTTCTTAGCAAGCCGATGCTGAGATGTCGCCTCACTATCGCAGACCAGGCCGTCCGAGTCGCTAAGGTGTAATGGTGGCGTTGTACATGTCACAGAGGATGCTGGGGATTGTGCAGACATGACAGCCGATACTACAGAGGATGATCTGGAAATCGAAGACTCTGTCGATACCGGCTCGTCCAGTTCGCTAAAACCACGCTTTTGGGCTGTCGCGAGCCGCTCTCGAAGACACTATGACACGTCTGATTAGCAATTTGATAACAGCAGGAGAGAAAAGAGCGGGAAAAGGGAACCCGTAAACTCACCGATGGAGAATCATGCGCAAATCCCGTCATGGAGAGGGCTGTGGACGACAAACCAGAAGGCGTGTTCGCGGTAGGTCCGTGCTTGGGACGATAGACCTGACTGGGCTTCCGTCTATCTTTGATTTCCTTGTTGCGTTGAAGCTTGTACAGTAGCTTGACGAAGAGCAGAGTCAACCTGGTCGAGTCCGCTGGCCAGACGTACTTGCTTCTGGGGTTCATCAATAACGCCTGCCCGAACCATCGCTCACCCATGCCCAACTCGGACAGAAAAGCGAGCGAGCTCAAGAGAATGGTCACCTTGCGTGTGCGCAGAGCCACGGGATCCTTACTGCCGCTTGAATGGATTGCATGTTCCGGTTTGGTCAGATACTGGCGACACTCATGTTTTATCAGCCTACCCGCAGAAATGCTGATGTCAAGCATAACGTAGATGGCCTGGAGAGAGATCTTTGCGTCTGCAATAAAGGAAAATTAGTAAGGATCGAACCTCGCGAATGGGAGAGAAAGCAGTACTCACCGAGCTGCACATATGGCAAAAGCTCTTCGATGCTTCGCTCACGTAGGTGAATGCTCTCCGGTGGAGGACCATCTGGGCAGCGAGGTCGCAGTTCAAGGTAGTGCAAAGCTGGCATCACAAATTCTGGAGCCGCACCACATCCTGCGGCCATCCCTGGATGCAAAGCCTGGGTCTGTGTATTTGCCTTTGTCTGGCCCATGAAGATAACGTCGTCGTCTTCATCGACTCCGTCGGCGTCGACATCGTAGACAGTCACGTGGTTCTCGCCGCCTTGGCCGGTTTGATCGGGCCAAGAGGCCGGCTCCGACGATAGACTTGCTTCACTATGCGGAGTGTCAATGGGTTGTTGCGGTGGGCCCTCCTGGCCGCTCTGATGCTCTCCATCCTCTTCCTCGTGGAGCTCCCGCTCCCGCTCCTGATCAGCAGCCAGCATCTGCTCCAACTCGCGCATCTCGTCTTCTATTTGATCAAGATCAAGATTTGCGGCTGATGCTGGGTCTGGGAGCGGGAAACCCCATAATTCTCTGCACTGCTGAGGCTCTGGGAGAGTACTAACGTCACTGTCTCTTTGCTGGGTGCAAGCCGCTGCCGGCTCGGCAGGCACCGCCAGCTGAGTGTCTGGAAGCGCAAGCACACTCGTCTGTGGATATGGGCTCAATGTCGACAAAGGTGTCGAACACTCATCATCGCCCCCAAAAAGGCTTTCCATGTCCTGGTCCTCGCCTTGCAAGAGCGAGTCGCAGTCTCCGCCATCGCAGAAAAAGGAAAGATCCTCCATCTGCGAGTCGGGTGCTCGGACGGTTGAGAGCTCCGTAGAGTTTGGACCAAATGTTTCAACGAGGCTGAAAGACTCGGGCTGTGATAATTGAGGCGCCAATCTTCGCTCCTCCACAAGCATTTGCACGTCTCGAGAATAAAAGGTGGAGATTCAATGTGCGTCTATTGTAGGAGAAAAGAATATTAGGCTTCATAGTCTCATCCAACCCTTGTCGTCGGACATGCTTGCATCCCAATAAAAGAAGGAAGAGCTGTTGTTGCCAAGTTCGCGTTCGCAGGCAGAAGTGTTCAGGAATTTTGTGCATACGAGACCCACACAGTGCATATTAATACATTACTGTATTGGTACTGTTTTGAGAGATTGTTGGATCAACCCGTGTAAGCCTCGTTTTTTGCACCTCTGACCAACTATCGTCTTCTTTTGCCATTTTTTCAAGATCTAGAATCCAGAAACTCGTTCGTGATGGAAGGCCCCTTCTTTTATCAATGAATTCTTTAAATCATGGTGAAGATAGTCCCCACTGTCGTCGCAATAATAGAGATGCAGTGATTACTTGCAGTATTACATACATATACGAACTACCTAGAACTCTGCGCTAAACCCAGATTTGATTTAGAATATTTTGACAGCGGCGCCTGGAATCTCTATACGCTTACAGGCGGTAACTTACAGTATTGTGCTTGCTCATATGTAAGATAAGATACATATGTACATACATACGGAGTACAGTACGGAGTACATCTGATTTTTCCAACTTTTTCATAGCGGGGCAAAAGCACGTTTTGGCCCACGAGCCAATCATAGCTTGCAATGCGCTTCTGCTTATGGCAGAAATAGATAAAACGGCATCACTTCCACTCCCTCGTGAGTCAATGAAAGCAAGGGTCCAAGAAACGATAGTCCATAGACAGTTTAAAAGAAAAAGACAACAGCCATTGAATATGAAGGCCTACCTGTACGACAACTTGCCAGTACGTTTAGAGGAAGGGTGAGATATGAATTATGGAGGCCATCAGCACTCTCTGCTAACACTGCACTCCAGGGCGATCAGCGCCTACCACATGACTCGGGTAAGGCTGTCGATGCCGAAGCCCTCGAGCGTCTCGGCGTGATCTATCACCGCGTTCCAGATATTGCGGCTGTTGACCAGCTCGCAGCCGAGCGGGGCTACAAAAACCGCGACGAGATTAAAATCTCGCCCCAGTCGCTCGGTGACGCCTACGATACCAAGGTAAAGAGCTTCTTTAACGAGCATCTGCACGAGGACGAGGAGATCCGCTATATTCGCGATGGATACGGCTACTTTGACGTGCGTAACAAAGGCGACGCGTGGGTGCGCATCCAGCTCGAGAAGGACGACCTGATCATCTTGCCGCCTGGCATCTACCATCGCTTCACTACCGACGATACGAACGTGAGTCCACCGGTATCTCCCGTGCTTCTCCTGCGCTCACTAACCCTTTGTAGTTCACGCATGCCATGCGGCTCTTCAAAGACGAGCCCAAGTGGACACCACTTAACCGCAGCAGTGAGGTCGATGAGAACGAGCAGCGCAAGAGCTATGCCTCCCAGTACCTTAACTGAACCGCCACTTTACATAGATGTGTGGAGATGTAGCGTGCAGGCGTGTTGTTTCTGGGAGAGAGCTTGATAAACCTGTACATTTTGCTTAATGGAAATGATGTCCTGCTTAACCTGAAAGACCTTACCACTAGTCGAGTTGACTGACTGGCCGATGGCATCTTGAGCCTTTGGTGGAACGTTTGATACTGGCGCCGTGGACACGAATGACGTAGCTGGTTTTGCCTGTAAGATATGTGTTCAGACCGAGGTATCAGTACGCTCCGCTCGGACTGAAAAAGGCACATGTCATATTAACATAACACTGTGCTAAGTGTTGACCAACTGCAAATCGATCTTGTGATCAACTTCATGAGCTCTGAAGCCAGCTATGACTGCTGCGCCAGCTATCATCGATAATTCAGTATATTAAGCTGCATCCACACGCCTAGTTATGATCAGCCAGACTCAAATACACCGCTGGCGGTCTTCAGAGAGTGGCACAAGATCAGAAAGGCAGCATATAGTCTAACCTTGACGAGGTTCACGAATATTTAGCCATGGTATTTGTGCTCGCTTGTCATTGACCGATAGTTTGTGCTGAAAGTAAATTAGGTCGATTTCTGCCAGGAGCAGGCTGTCAAATGCAAGGACAAGCGTGAGCTCAACGAGTTGGTACTGGAGCTAGTTTTAGAGTTGGTGATTGAACTTGGGCCATATGCATGTACAATCACGACACTAATATCAACAATACCGCCGAGTCAGATGGTCTCCTAAAGGCTAGCTGGAGTTGCGCATGCAAGTCCGAAAGACAGTATATCGCAATAATGATAGCAACATATCAGGTCCGCAGATTGTCGTGGTGCTTTGAGGGCCCTCGTCCAACATGAAATTGAGGATGCTCTCACGGCCTAGACATCCCACTTCCACTCGTGCGTCTCAGTACCACTCTCGCCTCTACTAAACAACGCGCTCAAGCGCCGACCAACTTTTGCTGTGGGCTGCAAATCATTGACTGCTATAGTAAGCGAGAGACGATAGCTGGGCGTAATTGGGACACCTTTAGGCACATGCACAGGTCACCATTGCGGTATAGGACGTGGCTTGCTAAAAACTAAGAGCCAATGTCGACGACTACCGAAGTCTGGATGAGTGCAATTTTGCAGGTATGCGTTTGCACTAGTTACGGCAATTGCGATTAGTATGCACAATATGGTAGAACGTTGACGACATGAACAGAGGGCAAGCACATACAAGTACGAGCAGATGACGGTTCTGAGTGGCGGAGCGATGATGGCCAGGCCGATAGATGTCATGCCTAGTTCACAACGGAAAGTATATGCGTCGATAACATGGCTACGTGCCGTGCAGATTTAGAAAGAACCCAAACAAGCAAGACATCATCTCAGTTCTGGAATACGCTCAGCGCGCGCAGCAGCAAAGTCTTGGTCGACGGCTCCAGCAGTCTCATCAACAGCTTGCATGTCGTTGTTGGCTTGTGGCCGCTGGCCCTCAAAAATCCACCGCCACCAGCTTGGTGGTGCCAACGGCTGCACCCCGTTGTGCAGTGGCGGGTACACGTCTGTGAAAAACCAGTAAACATGGCCAATGACGACACCCATAATCTCGTCTCGGGGAATGCTTCCGTGGAGAACCAGGCTGAAGCACATTAGCACCCACGGCAAGTAGGGTGCGCTGAACGTCATCAGACCAAGAAAGCTCAGACGTGTGTTATGATTCCGTCGAGACCAGATATAGACGAGTGTCGATGACAGCGGCTGGCCTAGGAAGGGCATATGTATGAAAGATGATATGACGAGCAGGAAGGCCATAGCATAGACGAGTAGCCAGGAGAAGACGGCGGGGGAACGACCGGCTGATTCCTCGAGTAGACGCGAGTATCGCTGAAGGAAGTATATGTGGAAGACAAGGTCCATAGATATGGGGCCAAAGTAAAGGAACGTCGAAAGTAGCCGCCAGTACTATATAGGTATTAGACTCCATGCTGTCAGAAAAAAAAACGACATGACGACAAAACCTACCTGGCCCTTGGCAAACACAGAAGAATAGCTATAGAACAGCTGCCATGGCGTGACAATTTGGCACTGCACTAAAACACTAATGGCAAATGTTGTCGTGGTCCACCATCGTGTGCAGAAAGGCATTTCCCAGAACCATTGTTCGAGCGGGAATCTCCCGCCGTCCATCACTTGGTCCATGATGTGGTGTAGTTGATCTCTTTTTCGTGCCACGCAATTCGAGGCTTCGCTTCGTTCAACTAGACCTCTCAACCGGTCGTCGGTTGTCGGCCGCCGGTTGTCAGAGGCGCAAGGTAAAGATGGAGGATGTTGATGGGGGGCAATGGGACGTGGTGGGAACTGGCGAAGTGGCCGCTAATTTTTGGGCTGCTCACTCTTCGGCAGAGAGGTAGAAAAGCTAGACGCTGAAAGATGCGAAGGAGTATGGCGCTTGACAAGACTACCGAAAAGCCAAGTTAATTGATGGAAAGGGCAGGCGACTGGCGTAAACCGTTGTCACAAAAAGAAGCGGGCAGCCTCGCCGATTTCTAGATGCTAATGTTGAGGTGGCCTTTTTCAACTCAGGCGAGCAGCGGGACAGGCAATTCACGCAGGCCACACAAGCTTCCCCCGGCTTTTCCAGGGGACAGCCCGCGACGCCACCGCCTTAGTCACTATATAATCTTACATAACCGCTGTAACAGCTGCTCCACTGTCCTCATACTCCTTCCGGTCAGCTAGGGTGGCTCGTGCCCCGTCGTTAAGCGTGACATTTTCTAATTAAAACGCGCTGGTCGCGCGCGCGCGCGTGGAATTTGCGCGCGCCCATCGCCAGCCACCCCAATTTCGCTTTGACCCCCCTCCCACCCCTTCCGAGGGAAGGAGACAAAGAAAAGGTCGATTAAGCCCGCTTTCCACGTACTTTGCAAGTATATTGACCTCGCTCTTTATTCTCTTTCGACTAACACACTTCATTGCAGCTCGACATTTCTTCTCCCACCCGCCTTTACCCATAATTGAAGTGCTCCTAAGCTCTTGCGCACGCCCACGCTGATCGAAATCCAGCTGCTGGCAATCCGGCCGCCACTTTGCACAAATACCACGACCTCTCCTGAGCTGCCACTCACTGTTGCTCAGCACAATGGCTCCGAGAAGAACATCCGGTGGTGGTGCGGCAATGAAACAGAGCACCCGCGCTCCCCGGCCTTCCAACGCTGGCAGGAGAAAGTCTCGACCAGGAGATGTTCAGCGTACGTCTCTTGCCACTGTATGGTTTCGCGTTCTTACGCTAACATGCATTGTCCAGCCGGCGACCCGATACCCCAAAGAAAGGCCCGTCGGTACCGGCCTGGCACTGTTGCGCTGAAGGAAATCCGACGGTATCAAAGTAGCACAGAGCTTCTGTTGCTCAAACTGCCTTTCGCCCGACTTGTAAGTCCCCTCTTCCGACGTCCTGCAGTGGACAACACAGTCGCGCAAGTTCGCTCCATACTAATAGCCCACAGGTTCGCGAAATTGCCCTTACCATGCGACCACACGACGACGGGATGCGGTGGCAGTCGCAAGCCATACTAGCGCTGCAAGAGGCGGCCGAAGCTTTTCTCGTCCACCTGTTTGAGGATACGAATCTGTGCGCCCTGCATGCACGGAGAGTTACTATTATGCGGAGGGATATTTGGCTGGCGCGGAGAATACGCGGCCTCTGGGGTGGTGGTGGCCGGTATTGATGGCCAATATACGGAGTATAAAAAAGCATCCGGAAATGGAAAGGGAAGGAATTGGACCGGTTGGTGTTTATGGGATATCGATACCTTGGGATCGGCGTTCAGGCACGGTTTTGCGCTATATTGCTATTGCACATATAATCACTTTGCGAACCTATTTATCTAGTAGCTGCCCTGCTTGTCGTGGTTTCATACCCGAGCCGCTGAATATAAAGAGCACACTCTGTCGATTTGCTTGCTTGCGTATAAGGTCAACAGCGACCTAACAAACGTTGACGTGCATACTAGGTGTACTCCGTACAGAGTGCTACGTAAGTATATGCGAGTTAAGGTTGCTATGTGTAATGTCTGCCTGCAGCTCTTTCCTTCATGGAAAGGAACGACTTTCCATTCACCAATTCCCTTTGGGGCCCAATAGAAACCTTAGATCACAGCGGTGTAATGTATATGACAGCACATGCCATAATTTTGACGGGATTCTGTAGGCAGGAACCACGTCTTGTACAAATAGATGTCTTGACTATTCGGCTTGCTACATGTTTCGGACCACCAGTTCGTAATGCATGCTCACGCGCGTTGGATAGTGCTAACTACCTCCTGCTTACGATTGGCTGATATCACAACTAGGCTGTCGAAGGCAGCGTCGCTATACGTTGGCAGCAGATGAATAACTAGCCAGTTGAGAAAGAAGGAAGCCTGAGCGCCTATTCAGGAATACTCCACCATATTGGCCGACTTATAAAGGGGCTGCAAGCTGCTGAAGGATGGCACTGTAAGATACTTTTATTGCACGGTTGAGAGCAGTTGGGAGCCATAGGCAGCACGTCTGTAGCCTGTGGAGCAATAATGGGATGTAGAAGAAGTGCAATAACTAGCCGTAAGACAGCCAATGTCCGGCGATGTTTGTCAAGAGACACTTGTTCTGTAACCATTTTTTTCCAGTCCTCGGAGCAGAACAGTAGTGACAGCAGCATAGGGCAGATTCTAAATTATCTTTGCAAGTATCATTGGGGTTGAGTCTATATTCGGAAGGAGCACCCGTGGTGCTATTTTGCTCGTCGCTACTTCGCTCCGTTGGTTGCTGGTAGTCGATTGCTTGGCACTTGCTGGAAGATCCCCGTCTTTTCTCCATTCCCCATTACCACACTGTCCACACTGTCTGCTATTTTGCCTCCTTGCCATTTCCACATGCCTGCTTTTCAAACTTGCGCATATCAGAGCTCGTCTATCACTCTTTGGTCTGCATTCAAGAAAGTCCGTTCCAGCCAGAGGACAAGCCGTGTTAAAACCCAAAGCAAGCCGATTCAGGAAAGCACCCCGAAGACAACCGAAAACAGACATCGATCGGAATGTGAAAAGAAAATACTGCAGCCATGCTGCATCGACGGATCTATGCTTCCCGTCTCGATAACAAACCTCTCCCTTCCCCCAGAAGCCGACCCTTCTCTTCGAGTCGACAATGACGGTATCGTGTCCTTCCAGTCATGACATGTCGTTAAGGGCGCTGGGGGAAACTATCGTGGCGCCTTTGTCCAATCCGATTTCCTCACGCCGAGCTTTTTATTCTCCAGCCATCTGTGTCGATTCAAACCGCTTCAACTGCCCTTGCGTCAGTCATCCATAACACCTTGAGCGGATCCGGATTCTTCGATAAGGTCGTTCTTCAATTTTTCCACGGTCTCTCGCAGCCCATCTCGTTCACGAGCGAGCAAATCCCTCTCCTGTTCCAGGTTCTGAATGTGCATTCGGGCCATATCCAGGACTTCGGCTTTGCTGATCCGTCTGTCCGCGGCGTCGGGATTGTTCGCCTCGCCGAACTCTGCGCTTCCTCCTTGCGACTTCAGAGTCTCAGGGAGCGCACTCATCAGTCCCTCAAATTGAGCGTTTAATCGGTTTCGATACTGTTTTTCAACCAGGTTATGGGAGCCCTTTGTTTTGCCATCCTCTGGTATTTCTGATACCCGGCTTGCTATATTCGTCATGGCCGCCGTGTTCGCCAAGTTGTTGGATGCGCGCGTTGCAAAACGCATCTTGCTTCCTGTACTGGAACGAGTGCTACCTCTGGAGCTCCCAACGACCGATGCAGGCATAATGGGTGCCAATGCTATCCCCTTGGCATTTGCAGAGCTGTTGGCAGACATAGACGAGGTCTGACGTGATGTGGTCTTTGCTCTTTTGATATGTGGTCTGCCCTTTGTTGTCTCGGCTGCATCGCCAGGCAGTGAACTGGTTCCATTTCGTCCAATACCCGACTCGGAGTATTCGAGCGTCTGTCCGCTGTGTTGGTCCGGATACGATTCGGCACTTTGGTCTGTGCCGAAAAGCCCCAGAGCTGCTCTGCCAGCTGGCGAGGATTGATGAAATCCACCGATCTCGGGCTGCAAGTTTGCTGGGTTCACTATGTCCCATGCGTATGGGATCGCTAAGTGTGAGGTGGCTATTGGCGACGCGACATAGCCGTTACTGAACATCACAGCCTGCTCCTGGTGTTGAATTTGATCGGTATCATCGCTGTACTCTTGTTGGAAATTGAAGGGGTTCAGGGACGAGTGGGCAGCCATTGAACCAGCCTCGTCGCCGCTATAAATGGGACTCTGATCAGAAGAATGCCAGCCAGGGCCAGCGTGGAGAGTTACTGGGTCAAGATTGCCCGTTGAACTAATGCCGAATGTCGTGGCCTGCGATGTCATGTGTGTGGGAGCTGTCGAAGATGGATAGGGAAAGACGGACATGTCATTGTCGGTATCGTTGATGGCACCGGTGCCCGCTGTTGTGCCATGTGTCCCCAGGACCTGCGCCACATGTTAGTGAGATTCCAGAAACGAACTATACGTCTTGCAGCATGGTTGTTCTTTTGCTTTGCATTCAACTTGGGGGGAGGGAAATGGCCCATGGGCGTGGCTGCGTCTTCAAGAAAGAGACGGCCAGTATGTAGGCCAACGTCTGCAATATAGGATCTCTTCAACATGGCGAGAGAACCGACGAAGTGGTTACTGAAACTCATACCAGGTTCAAGACTTGAAACGCACCTCGGAAATATCATCAGCACTCCCATGATAGTGTGCTGGCAAATGGTTTTCTTGATAATCCATGGCATTGACTGCTGAACAGCGTGAGACAGGAGCTGTTGTACTGGCGGCACGGCCGTTCTGAACAGCCTGGGCACGAGGGAAGCTTTCGACAAGCTCTTGGACATGAGCTTCTCGCGCTGGTGTTATGTACCACTGGTCGACTTGGCGGACAGTAAAATAGTCGCCACTTGCTTGCGCATTCACCCAATCGGTCTTAACGGCTTGCGGTTGGCCTGCACAAGTATCCATGTAAGTCACCCCGAGTCCAGGCTCAGGGACGGTGCCAAATCACAGTTCATTGAAGGGTGCCGCACCTTGCTGCAGGCCTTCCGGCGGTAGCGCCTAAAAATCACACGTTTTGGCGCTGCGCCGCTGAGCGGCGATAACTAATCGGTAGTGGCGCGAAACCCCTAGCAGGTTCGACGGCTATCCCTCTTCTTCCTTTGCGACAAACGTGCCCGCCTCGGTATCCTCTTGTTTTCCGGCCGTCTGGACTTTGCACTCGTTGCTTGGTGTTGCTGTCGACCGCAGTACAACCGGTTGTCGTGGCTGATGATGGCAGCAGGCAGCTGCAAAAGAGAAGCTGCTGCGCCTCGGCCAATCGCTATTAGTGTCTCCCCCAAAAACTGGTGTTTTGCCCGTCAGCCCACGCAGCCGTGAGGAAGGCGGATGGGAGGGGGATGACGCAACAGAGTACTGGCCGGAAGACAAGTTGTCAATACGGCAATTCTGGTAAGGTGGAAAACGGCGCGCACAGCTTGGAATTGAGGGGTGCAGTCTCACCAGCTCTTGTGGGATGGACCGCATCCCTCATCAGTGGCATTGTCGCAGTCGCTACCATAACAGTTCTGTCTCGGACAAGGAAGCGGCACTTGCCGTCTCGGCAGCATGGCTCGAACAAGTCTGGACAGGATGTGAACTCGCTGCTTTTCTTCAGAGCTCACTGTACGGCGTGTTTCTCTTGGATACGTTGGTCAAATTGGATGCATACCTAATAGCAGTTGTCCATGCAGGCTAGGCCATGTTGCCTCTCATGTTGAAGTGGGCTCCCGGTCTACCTTTCAATCCTTGTCCAACAAATAGACGAAAGCGCGATCGACAAGAACTTATGGTGGTGGCAAACTGGATGGCTTCTTGGCTCGCTGCACTTGCGTTAAGAATCCGAATGCAACAGACAGGGGGCGAAAGCAACCGATGGAACCGCTCAGGTACAGGCAGTCTTAAGTCTTTCGGCGTCAATCTTGAGTTGTGGAACTACAGAGATCTCGATGCAGATGCATCAGAGGTTGCCGCGTCCTAGATCGCTCTGAATCAATGGAAAGCAGGACACCTCCAGGTCGAAACAACTTCCTTCCACTGCGGTCGACAGGCAACTTTGGAAAGTCGCTGCGCAGTTGAGAACCCGTCCTGCTCAGTCGTATTTCGCAATCGCAATGATGTCGGGTCCTAGAGGCAACGATGATTGCTGCTTCTAATTGTCGGCACCAGACACTTTAGCCTCCGCTTCTGTGCCGCTCGATACTTTTGAAACTGATTAGTTCTTCCCTTTTCTTGAGAAGACCACGTCGGGTTGTGGTGGTTTGGATTGGAAATAAACCCAAATCTCGGAGGCGCTTTGGTATTAAGTATGACCAGAGGGATGTGGGTACGAGGAGGGAATACAGCGCTGTTCCTCCCCCTTTCTCCGTGCTTGTACTTGCAAAGTTACTGCTACTGCAGGCCTAACCCAGAGTACTGTTTTAGGAATGCGGCTATCGGGATTGGCCTGCCGGTGTTCTTGTGACCAGCGAGACTACAGCATTGCTCTTCTAGTCGACCTTGGATGTCCCCTTCGACAAGCAGAGACACTTGGTCAAGCTGTTTCAGCTCCACCGGAGCTTTCCCTTGCTTAATAGTTAACCTGGCCGGAGATCTGATGTCTCACCATGACTGAACTATCGTATGGACGCCCAGAGTTGTGTTTGCGCTTTTTGTCTGCCCTGCCATTGCCACAGTTGCGTTACTGCCCAGTGGCCAAGGACATCAGAACGGGAGACATGCTCGTGATTGGGTATTCCGCAGGCCTGTTCAGTACAAGTGTCTGTTGTATGCATTAGCTTTGGCGAAGGAGAAGGCTGGTCTGTCTAGTTCAACGAAACGGACGCAATGGTCTCTTGCAAGCCACGTCACATTTCTTCTAGTCATATTTCTGCCATCCCAAGACTAGGCAGCATGCTTGAAAGCCGGGCTTGCCAGGTTCTGCTTGTACGGGGTTGACACAATAATACTTTATCTTGTTACTAAAGGAGCGGTCTCTTCTACCGCTCTTCTGAGCTGCCTGGGCTGCTATTAGGTGCATAAACCAGTCCACATAAACCCCGTGCCCACTCGTCCTCCCTCCCTCCGTTCTATGTCACCCAAACCCACCTGTCCCCTGCTCTCTTTTTTCTCCGAAACAAGTTCCTTTGGAAAGAAACGGCTTCTTCCTGCCCGCCAATGCCTGCCTAACGCCCCTCCCCTCGCGTCTACTGCCGTCTGCTGCAGCACCTATCAGCTCCACCTCCATACGCATGGATGTATCTTTCTTGTACCATTGACCGCATGGGCGGAGGTGTTGTATTGGCATTTGGTCTTGACTAGTTTTGGCCTAGCAGAAGTGCCCCTGCCCCGAAAGCCTCTGATTGCTTGGTTTAATATAGGCAGGAGACTGACTACCTAATCATTCGTCTACAACCATGCATGAATTGCACAATCGGCTGAAATATCCGATCATCCCCGATCTTATTTCGAGAAGTGCATATACAAAAAATACAGAGTCTTTGATTTTCTTGGTCTTGAAAGCTGTCCTTCGGAGGGTTTGTTTCCGGCATCGAGCCCTACAGACTCGCACTCACCACTAGACTTCACAAATGATCCATTGTCAGTTCCAATTCTGTTTTTACCCCGAGACCGTGATGCTAACGGCGTATCGGGCATGGGCAGAGTACTTTTCCTCTGTGTGGGACTGAATAATGAGAGCTGCCTGCCTCGTGCCTCTGTTTGGGTGAACAATGGGCCACACCCTTGCCTGGGAGCTGCCGTTCGTCCAACGGCCGTCTCTGTTTAGCGTGGGGCTGTCTTGGTATCATGAAGATGCTAACGTTACCAGACAGCGGAGACTGCAAGTGCCAATATCCCATTTAGCTCACCGTCCCACAGGGCCACCCATGTCCTTTACAAGCTTGTTACCCGTAGTGCAAAAGAAGCAGCTTCGCTACAAAGAATAATCGTGCATACTGCCACTTCAGTCGTAGCCTTCAGATTCTGCGCGGCTTCATCCGTCGTGACAAAACGCCACCTAAGAGGACAGAGATGTAATTACACACGTAGTAACGTACTGCATAATCATGACATAGAGAACCGATGGCGACCAAAACGGGTGGCAATGCACTCGTACAAGTACGAGTAGATATGTCTACAGCCTTGCTTCTGCCACCCCTTTCACTCTGCCAACATCGCGCCATGTGGCATTTCTCCTGGATTTTGGGGCTTATTTGCCACAAAGCACAAGTCACGCATACGCAGGGCGATCCGTATGAAAGCTAAAAGCCATTGACCAATCACTAGAGTAATGGTCCTGGCTCCTGCTTGTAACCAATTGTTCTAGCGAGGCTACCAAGGTCACTCTCTGTGTCGTGATATCACATATCAACCTTCAGCTGCCCCATTTCGAAGCTCACACGGTCGACGCTTACCTAAAATACTCCGTAGGCACGAGTCGATAGGGAATATTGGAAGCCGCCACGATGGCTCGAATTTTTCAAAAAGCAAAGCTAGAAGGTCAATTGGCGTTAGAGGAGTCGGGCGGATTGGAAACCCGAGAAGTCCAAGCCTTTACCATTGGAGGGCTAGGCAGCCGGTGGCAAGATCTTTCCTGGGTGCCAAGTGGCCAGATTCGACCTCCTCTTAGCTCTGTCCTCATCTAGAGGCCTACTGGCAGTCTAGCCATGTGCTCTTTTGAGAGGGGACGAATCCCGGCCTCCGCTTTGAAGATCATCTGTCCACGGCCTTGCCGGATTGGAAAACCTGTAAGGTCCAATGACGTCCCGAGTGGTAAGAAAACAAAGGGAAAGGCAGTAGTGCTGTTCGAAGATCGCATGTGTTCTTGGATCTGGAACATCGTAACACACATATGGAAGGCGCTGGAAAGTGTCGAGGCGTTACTCGGACATTTACACAAACCCGTTCTGCACAAGACTAGGCAGATGAGAATGGAATGTGCCAGAAAAATCAAAAAGAAAGCATGGACGCCGGTGATGCCTGATTTGTGGCTCTGCAATGGGATCGCCTTGGATGAGGTTGTGGGCATGTGACTAGTTGCAACGTGATCTTTGGTGGCTTGCTTTTTGGGAAAAGGGGCTGGAAACACGATATGCGGGCATCCCCGCAAGCTAATGACCTTAATATGGGGCACGTGACGTCCTGTCTCAGCACAAGCAGGTTACGCCCCACATACATAGCCTCAAAAATCTGCTGACAGGTCTCACCTGACTTTCGTCGACCTATTCACTCGACTCGCTGTGGTGTGACACGCAGCTCTTACTCCGTAGACCCGACGCAATCATCTCATGCTGGTCATGAATCTGTCTCAGCATTGGCAAATGGACCGACAAAGTTGCCGACGTCTGAGCCTCGCGTAGCGATCGCTCGCGTACGTCGGTTGCTGGGCTGTCCCAGCACATTGGAAACTTTTGCGGTTTGGGGGTTGACAGGCCTAAATCTCGATCTGAGGTCCCTAGTAAAATTAATTTCTTAGCCGATTGAGTTCCAAGGGCGTTAATAGTCCGCTCCTTCTAAGGAGGCAGCTACGGTGTCGTGAAGTCTGTCTCTGGGCTGAATGCAGTGAGTGACCGAACTGTACAAGTAATCCCCCCCTAAAAGGTTTACCACTCCGTACGAGTACACATTTGCAAAACATCTTAGGTTCGTACTGCTTGAATATTTACGTACTCAAACAAATGCCACAGAACTGCAATTCCAGTGCTTGGAAGATAATTTCCTTTTTTATTGTTTATTTTTAGATTTCCGCACATTGGCAATCTCTTCTTTTCCGCTCCAAGGCTGTTGAGCCTTTCACTTTTTTTTACACAAGAGTACAAAGGGAGGTCATAAAACTTCGTGTCCGTCAGTGAAGAACGGCTGCAGAATCCACTGCGATCTAGTCTACCAAACAAATGAAATGCAATGAATGCAACGGTATCAGGAACCGCCAGTGCCTCCGATGGCGCCGAAAGAGTGTAAACAGTGTAGACAAAGGAAAAGTGCCGTAGTAATGACAAGTACAATGGTGCGTTCAAGTAAGTGAGTGTAAAGTTTGATCAGAGATCAGAAACATGCGGAGCATCCTCTGCTTCGGGCTTCACGAGGTCCTCAATAGAGGCGGTGCTCATGGTGAGGTGTGTGATATCGGTAGAAGTTGAGGTGGTTGAAATATGACGCCTTGAGAGAACCGAGTCTCGCGATTCGCAGCTTCCGGTAGTCGAGGCACAGGTGCGCGAAGTGAAGATGGAAGAGTTTTCCACGCTCATCCGGGCCTCCTTGTACGGAGGGAAGCAGTCGTCATCGTCGTCGGCACCAATGGCAAATCCGATTTGGGAGCACGACGGGCTTGTTGCTTCGTAATAGTCCGAGCCCGGAATGAAGAAGGAAGGAGAGAGGTTGAACCCATGCGATTCCTTGAAGCTGGACGCCTGAGATGAGCTGCGGGCGTGCAGATATCTCTGCAGTGGTCGCACATCCTCCATCGATGCCTTAGTCTGGATTGTCAGACCAGGCCGGCGCATCGTTAGACCGGTCGGCGTAAGAGCCTCGTTCATTGATGCGATTGATGTATGGCTTCCAGGGCTGAGAAACGGTACGTCGAAGGGCATGGGGCTCAGTGCCGAAGACGAAACAATGCTGCCCTCGTCCTTTTGGGTGCTGCTGTTGCTACCGCTGTTGCTGCCGCCGCAACCTTCGCCAGACTCTAGCTCGGCCAGCACATCTTCACGAGACAAGTCTAGCGAAGGGCGCTCCCACATGTAGTCGCAATCGGCCTCAACGGCATGTTCGTAGCAGTAATCAATGTCGTCCTCCCAGCTCTCCTTTGGTAGAGAATCCACATACTCGTCGTCATCTGCCGGGTATAGGGCTCTTTGTGCGGCCAGTATGTCGAAGGCACCGAGAGTGTCCGAGGCGCCGCTTGGTGGCCGTAGTGGAGAGGAATACTGGACGTGCGATAGCTGCCGCAGCAGCGGCACCGATTGGCTTCCACGGAGGGAGGAGGAATTGCTGGTGATGCTGACGCGAGACTTTCGTACGCTGTTGTGGGTGGCCGGATGCTCCTCCTCTTCGGGAACGCCTGGCAGGATATCAAAAGCGGCTGCAGGTGTGGTCATAGGCATGGGCATAACAAGTGGCCAGTTAGCATCGTCTACAGGCGCTGCCTGTGGCACCATCGAAGCTGGCACCTGCGGCATTCGGCGGTAATCTTGGGACGCAAGATTCAGATTCAAATCTGCAGATTGTGAGTGGGCGTGAGTTGGAAGGCGAGGCATATCGTCCGCTAGAGACAGCGGCGATGGCAGCCGGGCCCCACCGCTGGTCCGAGGACGATCAAATGAGAAGTTATCAAGCTCGGCCAGGGAGATGCGGCTTGAAATTCGAGGCGGCGCTTGCGGAGAGAAGGATGAATCGAGGGGCGACCGGGGTGGTCTTGGGGGAGGGATGCGCAGCTGGTCCTGGGATAGCGTGTGGAAGATCATCCGGGGCGGAGAAACAGCTGACACAGAAGCGGCGTGTTGTCGTAAAGGCAATCTGCGAGGGGGGTTTGGGAGAGCAGAGTCGTCGGTGATCGGAGGAGCCTCGGACGCGAAGTCGGCAAAGAAGATGTTCTCAGCGTGACTCCCCCGCAAGATGCCTTCGGGACACATCCGGCTGTTGCGATGCAGGCTGACGTTGGGATCTTTCTGTGTATGGGTGAGATGCTGAAAGTTATACGGGCCCGATATCTGCAGCTTGGTTCGGGTTTCAGAATCCTCGCCCACGGAGCCCGACTTTGTGCTCCGGCGGCGGTTAAAGAAGGAGGTTCGCACGGGGCCGGGTGGACTGCCACCACTGTTGCTAGGCAGACCATGGGAGGTTGCCGGCGGCAGGGGCGGAGAAGCGAGGCTGTTCTTATCAGAGAACATATCGGCTGAATAGAGAGAGCTGTTGGAAGAGCTCTGGGCGCTACTCTCACGACGCAGCCTGTTTCTCTTGCCGAAAAGGGACCTGCCGAAGATCTGGACACTGTCATGGCGCTCACGAGGCGGTACGTTGCTGGTGATGGATCGGCCTGACGACTGCCTTGATAAGCTCGAAGCAGATGTGTCAAAAGTGTGGTCCCAGGACGGCCGGTCTGCAGAGGTCAGAGAGCGCAGTGAAGAGGAGCCAGACGAGGTGGTCTGGTGGCTCTGACGGCTATGCTGCTTGTCAGAAGCATGGCGCACTTGGTTGCTGAAAGCCCTTATGCTCCCTGGTGAAGGGGGCCCGTCAATGGCCGGCTCGAGAAGCTCGGCGATGTTGCCGGTGTGGCTGATAGAAGGAGGCATTGCTGCGAAAGCAGACAGTGTAGCTGCATTAAAAGAGTGACAGGATGGTTTTGATGCTGCTGTGGGGATGGTCCTTGAGTCGAAGGGAGGGTGGGATGGTGTTACATAAATCAACAACGCGGAAACAACAAGAGCATAAGGAGTGACGAGAGGCGAGTAGAGATGGGCGGAGAAAGAGAGTGGGAGGAGAGAAGGGGGAGGAGAAGAAGTTATGGACAGTGATGATGGAGGGAGTAGCGGCGTTTTTCAAATAGACGGACCCGCTGGTGCTGGTATCGTATCTTACATGGCACAGCAGTCCGACAGGTATAAACGTTTTGTGGAGTGGCAGTCCACACTGGCGGTGACTTGTTTGGGGGGTAGGGATACCCTTGGGGCGGACCACGCTAACTAGAGGCCCCGTCCGATTCTTGGCCTTTCCCTTTTCCGTTGCTGCAGTCATTTTTTCCTGTTCTATTTTTCTGCTTCCCCTTGCTTGTTCCAGGGTTGCTGCTGGCTCGCGTTGTGTGGAGCCTCTGTTCTTGGTGAGTGAAGCGCGTCCAGGGGGAGTATTTGCTGCTGGACCACAGAATCAAGATGCGTTCAAGCCAGCCGCAAGCTGATGGAGCACGATGGGAAACGCCGCGCACGCAGCTACCCATACGAGAGCCGTTTGGGTTTGAGCCATGGTGTTGGGGGTGGGAAGATGCGCGCATCGTAGCTCCATTCTGAAGAGGGGGGAGCAGCAAGCAGTGCCAGATGGACCGAGGACGACAAATCTGATGGACGTGAAACCGAGGAAGCTCACAGGGACAGGGTGCGGAGAGCTGGCTGCTGGCTGCTGGCAGAAGGCAATGATCAAACACGCGATTGTGATAGTGCACACAGAACAGGAGAAGAGGGTTGGCAGAAGAGGGGAAAGGGCCAGTCGTCGCACAAGGCCGTTTACATGTGGAAGGCGCAAGGGGGGGCAGACTGCAGAACTGTTGTTCGGCCTTGTGCTTTCTCCACCAACGGCGAGGCAGATACGGAAGATTGTCGCAACAAGAAGGAACGAGCGGCCGGCAAGCACGACCTCCAAGGCAGCGACGACGGCGACTACGTCGAAGTCCCCACCCAAAGCTGCAGCAGAAAACGACTTTCCAGGGGAGGGAAAGGCCTATTCTGCTTACGACACGCCACCCAGATTACATACGTACGAGTGCTGTGCATCTACCTGTGCAGCGTTGTGCGGAGACCTAGGAGGCCCTCCAGGGGCAGCAGCCACCCGTTCAGGAACAGCCTCAAAGGTCAGATGCGCCGGTCGGTTTCCACCGTGCTCGTACTCGTAGCGGACGGGCCACTTCTAGTGTCGCCCAGCAGCACAGCCGCTGCGGTAGCGAGGCCGCGTGCTGGGGCGGATGTCCGCCAGATGTCGTTTCGCCAAAACGATCGCTCCGAGTGAGGGCGCATTGTATCTTACGGAGCAGGTGCAGATCAACTAGGCCGTGACGGAGTTCTGGGGAGATGTGCAAAGGAGTTGTGCCTATCAGGCACGAAGTACATAGTACGGAGTACTGCGCCCGTATTGCTGTAGACTCCGTAAGGTTGGTGATGACAGGTTGCATGGCCGAGGAAGGCGCGGCGGCCAAATTGGGGACCTTCCCCGCCGTGACAGAGTATTGGGATTGAGTCGTACTCGTAGACGAGAGATTTGACGTCTAGCACGCCCATCCGCGGCTCCATATTTGCGCGGGAGTGTGGTGGGAACGGTAGCCCGTAAAGGAAAGTGCGCCCGTACCGATAGCATCCTTCCCGTATGGCGAATACTACGTCGTCCATAGCAATCTCGAGAGTAATGCATGCACATAGCGACCAACACAGAGCCTAATATCCTATTAGCGGATGCAACTTTTGAACGATCAATCTTCCCGGGTGCTGTGTGTCGCCCAACAGCACAACAAAAATAGCGAAATGAGCGGCAGTACGGAGTAATAAAAGCTATCCACCGGTCGGTAGCCAGAATTCCCTAGCCTTGCTTAAACGGCCCCTTGTACACATTAGTTCAGCACGGGTGGGCTCCATTCTTGCATAGTGCAATAACGCAGCTGCACACGTTCCTGCGTCTCCATCTTACATAGTATCTTACAGCACCCGCCGGCATCGGCCAGGGGATGAGCCCATAGGACAGCCCCCCAAATGGGGCATCTTACGAGCCCCAGTATCAAGATGCGTGCCTCCTACGAAGTATGATATCTTACATAGAACGGACGAAACACCAGGCGCGCGAAGGAGAGCGTTCTGCTACACAGATGCGGTTGGCGGTTCGAGCTGGGATGGCACCGACAGTTTTTCAATTAGCACCGCTACACGCGGATAGTACGATATCACGGCGTGGCCGACTGAGAAACAACAGAGATGCTATTTGTATCGAAGGGAGATGCGGATCAGCAGCGCGTACCCTATATAGGCTCTTTGTATGGCGCTATTGGCGTCTGTAACGTTGGGAAGAGGTTGAACACAGGGCAGCAACGGTTCATTGTAGCCTAGCCACAATGTGGATTGAGTCGTATCTTGCTATGTCAGATACGGCGCACGGAGTCCGTCGCAGAGGATCGACAATTCATCAACACGACTTCCCGGCGGAGAGTTGCCGCATTGTTGCCGGTCGGACGTCGTTCACATAGAAACAGATCTGACAAAGACAAGGTCTGCACGGCAGCTGGACTTTGCGTTGTCTTGTCCAGAACGCATCGTGGCGCCACCGATCGCATGCTCGTCATATCCGCTCTGCAATATCGACAGGCATGTTTGATTTGGCACTCATGCCATGCAGGCCATGAGCTGCGAATAGGGAAGCCTTGCTTGGGTGGCAGGCCGGCACGAGATGCACGCGCTTTGCTTCTTCTGGCCGCCACATCTTACGACGTAAATGGTCGCCGACTGCCATCAAAGCAGTGACCAGCTGGTCTCCCTCCCAATCTCCTCCTGGCCTCCGTTATCAGCCCTGGAGGCGTGCTGTAATGAAGGTGCGAGGGTGTGTTTCAGGCTTTTCGGTGCGTTATTTTAACTCGGCACTAGCCTCCACAAAAGATGGCCGAGAGGACGGAGGAACAGACACACAAAGCCGTCGGTGACTTCCGTCTGCGTCGGGGGCAGGACGAGTAGAGAGAATTGCCCGACGGTTATTTAAGATACCTTGTCTGTGAAGCTTGGCTGCAAGATGCCAGTCCCGGATTATTCCACCCGGCTGCTTGCCAGAGCGCTAATCAAACTCCAAGCTTAACCAGCGACACGGCTCTGTAGAAAAACAATTTTAGTGGCAGCCAGCGCGACCAGTCGGCGCAGGCGAAAGCCCCTATTTCCTTTCTTCTTTCTGATGATCGACCTTCCATCCATGATCAGCGCTCTCGATGCCATGGCTCCGTACGTCCGTACGGAGTATTCCGTACGATTAGGGCAATACCAACAAGCTCAAACAGCTAGTGCGCGGCCACTGCCAGAAAGAGAAAGAAAGACGGCGCAAGAGTTGCAAAAGCAAGGCCAGCAACGGTGAACGACCCCCCACTCCCCCGACACGGCATGAGCGAGTTTTGCTGCCGGTGCATCTCTCTCCACAGACGGCCCACAACGGTGTGCGAACAGGCTCCTCTTCGTCGAGACACACGTCGCGCAGGTGAGGTACGACGTACTTCCACCTCCGGCAGTCGGCAGGGAGGAGGAGGAAAAGACCTGGCGCCCTGCGTCCCGCCCTGCGCAAGTGCGACTAGTCGGACCCCTGTCGTACCTCGATGAGCAAGTATCGTGTACCTCGAGCTCGACCCGTCCCCAAACGCTCGATTACGTATGCCAGACGGGACGAAAAAGAAGTCTGCAAGGCCGCTTGTCTGAATGGCCGACTTCTTGGCTGCCGCTGTGAGCAGGGCCAGAACGGCCTCAGCATGCAGGCCGCTGTGTACGAGTACAAGTATCTTACAGCGGATGGGCGGAGGGTGGAAATGCATCCACCGTCCGTGTGTACTCGTATCTACATGTACGAGCGCGATACGTGGATTCTCATCGCCCCGACACGATCCAGGCACGGCATGCTGTTTGCGAGAGTGGCTTGCTACATACTCACAAAGGTCATCGATACGCCGTTCTGAATAGAACAGGACATGTCGAGAGAAGTGAGCGCGAGAAATGCAACAACAGTGGGTTGCAGTTCTTTGGGACGTCCCGATTGTCTGGGTCTCCATTTTTTTAGTGAGACGTGTGCTTCCACCACTGTCCGTGAGCAGAACAAGAGAAATAAAACTGATAAGGAATACGACGTACGGAACACGGAGTACTATGTAGTGTCTCCATACACCTCACCACATGGTTACAAGGCATGGATTCCACACTGCCCGAGTACTCCGTATCCGTACGTCGTATATCCCGGCCCCAGAGCAAATCGTACTTGCATCTGTCTGCAATCAATGCGAAAGCAACGAATACGAGCATCCGGCGATAGCGTACATACGACGTACTCGCAGACGATGGCGGACGCATCTGTAAGGAGGCCATTCAATGCCACCTTTCCAAACGGCGTACGCCGTAGGCTTCCGTCCTCGTGGGTCGACACGCGCAAAAGAGGGCGAAAGCACGCTCAGCAGTCACATGCAGGGAGAGGGGAAAAGGCCAGACTAAGCAAAGGCCGTTTTCTCAGTTATTCCTCTTCGTATCACGAGCTGCAGGGCCGTAAGGGGTCAGACAGTGAAGGACAGGTCAAAGTACAGACAACCCTGATGGCCTTCCTAGTCGGGCGATTTATGCTATGGGCACAGTCGAGAAGATAGACGATCGTGCTACCAGCCAAGGTGAGGAAACGAACGCCGTTCGCCCTTGGAACCTGCCTGCAGATAAGACTACGACGTAAGCAAGGCTTTGCTGCAGTGTTTGATACACGAGTACAAAATATACGGCGTAAGATACTATGTAGAATTACCCAATCTGTAAGTCCCCCACGCCAAGGTGATCCTCTGAAAAGACCTCGAGCAGCAGCAGGTACGAACAGGCCCCGGAAGAGGGGTGTGCCGTATGCGTTCTTTTTATTTTTATTTTTATTTTTATTTGACTAAGAGCCGGACTATCCTCTCTTTTCCGGCAGAAAAGTACATTGCAGAAAGGAGACGAGAGGGAAAGAAAAGGAATGAAAAGGGCCCGAAAAGTGAGGGAAGCCTCTAAGATCGTCAAACAAGCCAGATGGAGAAAGAATTTATGCAGACTTGTGAAGGAAGCCGTTTGTGCTGTGAGCAACAGAAACCGTTTCCAACGTCCCGCACCAAGACGGCTTCCTATTAGTCCGCGGAAAGCAGGCCGGCAGGCTAGCCCTCTTGCTTCCCAGGAACAGGGGCATGTATCTTGGGACTTGAGACGCGATGAAACCCTGGTCCACCTGCAGACGAAGAGAGGGGCAGTCACAGAGAGGGGACAGCAGCCCACACAGGCAAAATGAGCTCGTTTCTCGGGTGCCCTGGTCATTTCGCCGGGCTGTCCTGCCCTCTCAGTGGTCAATTCGTCCAGAAGACTACGATGTACGCAGTAGAAGGGCGAAGAATAAAAAGCGGGGCCTCGGAGAAAGAAGAGCCAGAGGGCAGGGTGAAGGGGAAAAGGGCGGCTCTGGAGGCGCGCCTGTTCTTCAGCGCCGCGAGCACGAGCAGACTCGTACTATGTGCGTATACAGACTCGTACCCGGTGGACGAATGAGGAAAAGGAGGCGGCGATGACGGGCTTCAAACAGCCAACACGCAACCAGGAATGGCCATACACGAACTCTTCCTTTTGCATCCTAAGATACAAACAGAGTAGTAAGCCACTATCTTGCTGCTAGCTTTCTTTCCCCTCCCGGAGTCTGCTGTACGGAGCTGTTATTCCGACCAGAAAGGCCACTGAGGGTGGAGATGACCGGATCGCAGTGTTTTATGGTCTGGGAGGGGACTACTCTGTACTCGGTGCACTCTGGTCCGTAATGGGACGCGCACGTTGTGACACGGAGGCGATAGCTGTCAGCGAGGGCCACTCCGATGCGATGCACAGTGACGAGGCCGTCCTTTGATGCAAGGACATTCTTCAGCTGCTGCCCAACCCCTTCGTGCTGCCCCTCTCTTCCGCCGGGCTTCCCTGCACCCAGGAAACTGAGTATCTATCAAGCCGGTGTGCTATCTGGCAAGATCGGCATGTGCACATACATACATAGTATGCTCGTCAGATTTCCATGTGATGTGCGGACGGAGATGCTTCAACGCGTGGAAATGCAGCCATTCTGCAAGTCCTGAGGCTTTTTTTTTCTTCCTTTCCTCTGAACAGTGCAGTCGGGCACGACAAGAAAAAGAAGAAATCCCTCTTTCTTTTTCCTTGCAGTTTTCGAGGGTTCTTTTCGTCTGAAGCTGCATGTTTCAAAGACTGGACATTTCTTGCAAAGGTTACAGGCTGCCTTAGCAGGCGTCTCGACCGTCTGAGCAGTCTTTCCCGTCTGCGATCATCTTTCCTTTTGCGGTGGTATTGCAAGGACTGCGTCGGTCCCGACTGTGAGCCCGAGTCAGCAAACTGCATGTCTTTGTAAGCATGTCGCCGAGAAAAATCGCCCTCGCGCGCAGCCTCGCGAACCGTCTCACGTGCAATCGTCCGCTGAGACAGGCTCAGCCGTACTAGATGGACATTGTCGACGAGGCCAATCTAACGACCGACACAGCAAGACTACAACCCAAGCATCGTTCGCTGGCCCTTTCCTCCGAGTCCTCCCGGGCTGCAACCACAGACACGGCTGGCTGATGGCCTCCGTTGATTCCGGGCTCTTGTCTTCGATGGCCTGTCCATAACGCTATAATAGGGTTGAGCTATTATAACTTTATTGCGAATAGACATCGATATTGTGTCGTAGTCTTTCCCATCTTGGGTTGCATTGTTTTATTGCGTCGCATCGCATACGCTCGGTCATCTTTTTCCAGTTGTTTCTCTCTTAGCCTTCCAGCAGTGCAGCATTCTAATGCAGGGTTTCTCCTCTTCCTTCTCGCAGCTGTTCTCTGGTTCAAGACCACCCTCCTCCACCCCGTCGGAGTCCTTTGGAGAGTCGCTTACGACATGCGCATATCTTTTCAGTCTGCCTCTGTCGATTATAGCACGTCCTAGTTGCTCGGTAGAAGGTAACGTCGGCCCGCGGTCTGGATGGAGTAATGACATGTCGTGGCGATACGCTGGGAATCACCACGAGGCAGGCGAGAATCCATGCTGCTTCATGACAGGCACTCGTACGAGCATTCTGCTCGCAGGATGTTTACTACCTTCAAATACTTCGGACTCTGTACTTGACACCAGAAATGTGCGAAACGCCTTGTTGCAATACTTTCAATCAAACTCATTCACCGACCTCCCGGTCTCGTTTGCCGGCCTTTGAGCCACCGTGCCGTTCCTACTCTGTATTCCTCTCCCTGCAGTCGGTCAGATCCTTCGCGGCAAGCTAATTGGAGCCCTGTCCTTCTCTCCTACCAACACGCTAACGCCAGGAACAGTCGTTCCTGCAGGGGCATGACCAATGCAGGCAAAGGAGGCGACGCACGACGTACATGAACGGAGTACGGAGTACGGAGTACTCGTACAACTACACAAGATACGAGCACGCATGCCATCGCTGCATGATACGGGGCCGTGTGGCCAGAACCAGACCGTCCTCGTCCCGGATCTGTGGAGTGCTCGTATTTCGGAGGGGATCCATCGCGAATGCTTGCTTGTCGGACGAAACTTGTCAATCGACTGTCCGAGAAGAGGTTCGTGCTGCCAATTGCCGGCACTTACCCGACTGGGAGGAGGCTGGACTCGGTGGACTTTTGTCGCTGCGACGCGACTGGACGCTGACAAACTGGCAAACTAACTGGAGGAACCGTGCTCGAAAGAGGGATTAAAAAGACCGCGCCGCCGCACTATGAAGCAACATTCCGACTGGTGGACGCATTCGTACGGGGCTCGCAGCTCGGTGATCGGCTCACTCTCTTCACGGCGAGACTCCACAATTTCTCCTTGTAACTTGGCCACGATGGGGTTTTTACGGAGTATCAGGAACCACAAATTAGGGGCCTAGATCCAACAGCTGCACAACGCGTCGCATACTGCATACGCCGTAGCATGCATGTACTCCGTACGCGCAAAGGCCCAGTCATGTGCCGCCTAACCGCCCGTCACTGTGATGAGGCCCTGTTGGCTGACCATCCCATACTCCTCTGGTAAGCATGCATTTATTGTTGCCTCTTTTGCAATGAGCATTGTGGGGCTTCAGTACTGACAGCATGAACCCAGCAAAAATATTACAGCATACTGTACTCCATAGTAATCCTGCGATATCCATCATATGCTCCTAGGAAAAATCCAGTATACAAACTATACCTGTGACCAGACGGTCATTTCATCTTCCAGCGGGCATATCGGTGACGATGCACCGATCCACTCGAACAGTCCCCTGCCCGGATGCAGCAGCTGGCCGACTTGTGCCAACTGTTGAAGCTGGCACTGCTGCTCCGCCTGTATTTTCCAGCGTATGTCCCTGTTGATCCATGTGCTCCATGGGCTCCATGGGCTCCCCTTCTGCCCACACCCGCGTGCTCACAGTGGCTCCTTGGATGACAGTGCCGTCGAAAGGCTTGGGTATGGCCCGGTTTTCTCGGAGGGGCTCGATGGTCAGCTCGTCGGTCAGCTGGTCTGGATCGTCGATGACAGGGACCGCCGACTGCGGTGACGGATGGGCTTGGCATGGCCGTAGCGGTGGGTTTGGTTTTGTACGGGTGTCCGGGGTCGTCTGTGCCGAGGAGGCCTTCCGGAAGGAGGACATGGCGAGAGCTGGCACTCTGGGTGGCGCAGACCAGTTGAGCCCAGGTCTGAAGATCACAGAGGCTGCCGGCTGCCATGTCGCGGCAAACGGGGCCGCGTTGCGTTCCAGCTCGAGCTCGTCTGCGGTATTGGGGGACGACGTACGCGTGGGCCACATCCTGGCCTTCTGAAGGCGGCTTCGCAGATCGGATCGCCACGAAGACGGCGCTGGCACAACGGTCGTGTCGCCTCCCCCTTCCTGGTCCTCTGTCCCGTGGCTGCTTCCGTGTGCCGAGTAAACCCGACAGTATGTGGGGACAAGCGATTCCTTGCGAGATGGACTAGATGTGTGTCAGTGATGTTCTTACCAATGCACACCGGGCAGGAGGCCCGTCGCGTTACCTTGCAGATGCATTCAGCGTCGAAAACTGCGTCTGCGTGCCCTCACTGAAGCGGCCGGTCTCGACACGGGTGCGGTCTGGGTCGTACTCCAGATTGAGTGTTGGGAACAGACGCCCCAGACCAAAGAACACAAGCCATCTGCGGTATGTGTTGATGCCCTCCTTGGACGTTCCGAAAAAGGTAAAAATGACAAATGCAGTCACGATGGGGATCCAGTTCAGGTTCATCTCGCTGAAGCTGACATGGTCGTAGCTAATTATGTAGATGGAATTCCACGTAGAGACAATGCCGGCAAAGTGGACATAATGGAAGCTCGTCGGGCTGTTCCACGGCCAGCCCATCATGATGTTGATGGCACAGAAAATGGCCTCAATGGGGGCGTATGGAAGCAGGATGCTAAGGGCCATCAGATACAACTTCCGTCGGGCCCGCTGGCTGCGAGAGAAGGCCACACTGTTGTTGCCGTTATGGGCCAGGCGCGTGCTGGCCTCAGCCAGGCGAAACTTCCTGTACGTCTGGTCTGAAGCAGTCAGCTGAGGGCCCATCCCTGTCAAGAACCGCATTACTCACATGTGTGATAGCATGCTGCCGCCGTGAAGATGGGCGAGGGAAGGACGAAGAAGACGAGGTAGATGGCATTCCCGTAGTAGGCCTTGTTGCAGCCGTTGACCGGAGCGAGCATGTAGCGTTGCCCCTGGACAAAGATGGTGAAGATGACCTGCAGCAGCGGGACGGGAAAGATGATGAGCATCTGCACCAGCAGCTGGCGGCGCTTCTCGGCGCCGGACAGGCCGGCCACACGGTTCAGGCTGACCTGTATGGACAGCCGTCGCATCATGGCGCAGATGCTGGCGCTGTAGACGGTCGAGAGGGCAAACTGGATGTAGATCTGGAAGTCGCACCAGCCGTAGCCGAGCCACCAGTGGTCAAAGTCCTGGTCGTGCCAGATGGCGGCGTTGATAAAGACGAGCAGGACGGTCAGCCAGTTACTGGCGACGAAGACGCAGGCCGGAAACTCGCCGTTCTTCCACAATAGCCGCAGAGGCACACAGGATGCCAACAAGGCGAGCGGCCCGAGAATGAGACGCAGGACAAGGTTGGCCAGGAGCGAGCTGGTGATGGGCAAATGACCCGACTCGCCCATGATGAGCACGCCGGTGCTAGAGTAGTAAACCATTTTCTCTCAGTCTTGTAGGATATAAGAGACGAAGACGAGAGATATCGAAGCTGTAGGAGCAGAAATGCCACGGACGGGAACATGAGATATATATGAACAGGCAGGGCAAGAGAAGAGACAGACAGACAGGAAGCGACATCTGAGCAGCAACAGGCCCGAAGCCAGTCATGGCACACATGCACAGCAAGCCGGGCTCATCCCTGGCAGATGATCCATCGTGTCCTTCCATAGCCACTCGGGCGTCATGGATGGCTGGGGCATGAATAAGATATTGGCATGCCCAATAGGCCAGGGCGTAGCAATCAATCCCACCAAGCCAAGCCAAGGAAGGGGAAAAGTGATCCGCCAGACGTAGGTCAGATATATGACCGGTACCACGGAGAGACGAAGGCGTTTTGGAGACGAAGAGTCCAAGCACGGCCGAAACGGACGTTTGAGCGCTCAATAAGAAGTTGAGCCATCAGCCATGATGAATCTTAGGGTCTCGTAACAGGCTAGATTTTCGCTTATCACTTCCCCCTTTCGTCGCAAGAGTTGTCTTTGGTATGTGCTTCTTGGTCGATGAGGCTGGCCAGAGCCTTATTCACACCCGAAAAGGGAAAGGTCGTGTCCCGATTAGGAGGGAAATTCCTCCCTTTTTTTCTTCCCACCCTTGTAGGGCTGGCAGAGGGACATACCCCATGGCGACCACTATTGAGAGCTTGCTTTCTGCTGTTTCAATTGGATGGAGCCTGGACGCTCGTGTTGTGATTAGTCGCTTGCTGTTTGCGTACTTTGTACTCCGTACTTTCGGTGTACTTTTTCCGACGTAAGAGGGATGAAGACGCACAATCGTGTGCGAGACAGTCTCAGCCACAGCGGCGCACCGCCACAGCCACTAAAAAAAGCGCGACAGCGGTCGCGATGCGCGATTCTTCCCCTCCCTTTGATTTGCACCACCGTCCGATCGAACGAAAAGAGCGATTGCGTCTCTTATTTGTCCACACTCCAGCCCAGCACCCCAGCCCGCTCCAAAATGTCTTTCTTCATGCGCCGGGCCGCCCTGTGTGCCGCCCCTGTTGCCCGCTCGTTCAGCACGACGCCTGCTCGCCGGGTTGCCCGCATCACCATTGTCGGCCACCTGGGCGACACGCCGGAGCTGCAGACGACGAACAGCGGCTCCGAGATGCTTAGATATGTGGTGGCCAGCAGCAGCGGCCCGCGCGACAACCGCCAGACCAGCTGGTTCCGCGTGGCGAGCTTCCTGCCCGAGGGCCCGCAGCGGGATCTTCTCCGAAGTCTGCCCAAGGGGTGAGTTTGACCGAACAGAGAAGGGTGAACTGGACGCATTGGCTTACCCGGACAGAACACTCGTCTACGTCGAGGGAGACGCCACCATGAACACGTACTCGGACGCCGACGGCAAGTCCAAGACCCAGCTGAGCATCCTGCAGCGTACGTCCCGTCGACTTCTTCCTCTTCCATGCTCCTTTTCCCTCTTACTGACGGATCTGCGCGTGCAGGCAGCATCGAGGTGCTGAAGCGTCCGACCCCGACGGAGTCGGAGTGATCGCCGGACAGGCTCGGACGACTGCGGCCGTCGTCTCTCTGCGCTCTGTTTGCTTCAGGCGCACCGATCTCTCCACTCTACAGAACGAGGCCGGAAGGAGGAAAGGGCTTATTTTGGGTGCTGTCATAGATGCAGCGCATGTCCACGTTCGCGTTCACGTTCATGTCCTATTTATGTCTTCACGTCTGGCGAGGGGAAAATACAGGGAGGGCGATGTTGACACGACGTCTACCGCGCTGCTAAACTAGGTTGACCGAGTCCATGCATCCGAATCCGGCAGCCACGCCACCCTCCTCGCTCTGGTCACCCTTGGTGCGCAGCAGATAACCGGCCGTCTCGTTGCGGACGATGGTGTCGCTGCCGCGGCCGCCCGCCGCCCAGATGCAGGTGCCATAGACGCCCAGCTCGCAGATGACGCCGCCCTGTTCGGTCTGGCCGTTGCGCAGGATCACGTTGGCCACGGGCGGCGGCGTGATGAGCTCCATCAGGATATACGACGGCCAGTGTTCCTCGGGCACCGCCTTGAGCTGGGCCGGGATCTTGTCCTTGTAGTAGTTGTTCCCGCCGCCTTCGCGCTGTGGCTTGAGCACAAATCGCCGGCACGCCTCGACATCCTGGGCCCAAATGCGGGCCTGTCGGCCAGCCGCAGACGTCGTGTCCAACGGGTAAATGTTGGTGAACGTGCGGCGGATCTGGCGGGCCTTGTCGCTGTCCTCGGCGACGAAGCGGCCGAGCTCCGAGGACCCGGACCCGGACCCGGACTCGGACCCAGATTCGGATTCGTTCACCGGCGTGGCCAGCACCTGTTGCACTTTCTTGGTGCCGGCTGCCTGCGTCAGCACCGTCGGGCACTTGATCGCGGCCGTCCGCTCAATGTGGTAGCGGCCCTCCCAGGCGGCCGCATCCGGGTAGTCGGATGGTCCGTAGCCGGCGCGCAGATACACGACGGCCACCTCGAACACGCGCGACCGGTCTGTCGGTAGCGGGAACAACAGCTGGCGCCGTGGCGTGTCGGCCACGCGTGTGCTTTGCAGCACGGCGCTGAATGGCACCCGAAATACCGGCACCCGCCCGCCCGCGCTGGTGTGGTACTCAATGTGCCGCTGGTCAAACACGTTGCGCTCGCCGTCCTGCACAAGGAAGAGCACGCAGCGCTTCAGGCCCAGCGTCGCCGGCTCCGAGCGGTCGTACACGTCAAATGCAGCACGCAATCCGGCTGCAATGTCCTGGCTGCTCGTGCTGGCCGGCAAGTCGTATCGCGAGGGGCCGGTCGGCTCGGCCTGCAGGTAGCCGTACTCGGTCTCGGCGAGGAACCGGTGCAGCTTGGCCGCTTGCACCGACAGCCCGCCAAAAGACGCTGCAATGGTGTTGAACTCGACCTGCTTGATCGGCAGCTGTGTGCTGTCACCATCGCCTGCTTCCTGGTGCACCAGATAGTCCGACCGGAAGATGCCCAGCGAGTGTTTCTGCAAGCAGCTTTGTCAGTGGACCGACACAGAAACACCAGGCAGAACAAGGCGGAAAAGAAAATAAAACGCACGTGTGTGTAGCCCTCCTTCTTCACGCGCAGATGCACATTCCACAGGCTGGCAGTGAAGTCATCGCCATCGATCACCCTGGCAGCAGTTAGACACGGGACCTGTACGACAAAAAACACAAGGCACAGCGTCGGACGTACTGAGCGATAATGCGGCTAAGGAACTCCTCGTCCTGGCTGATGCCCGCATACAGCTCGTTGTAGGCCGTCTGCACCGCCTGGGCTTCGTGGAAAGCCGCCCGCGGAAACGGACTGGGGAAGAGTGTCACCGGCACCGGCATGGCCAGCGAGCTCGCAAGATCGCTGTCGCTGGCCGTCACGGCCGTGGGCATCGGCCGGACCGTAAGCCCATTGGCTATGCTCCAGTCCTTGATCACCTCGACCAATCGCTGGCGCTCTGGCTTGGCAATCGCTGGCGGGTAGGAGGACGCCATGGTGTCAGACGTGCGGATGCGTGTGCTTCTTGGGATGCGTCGCTTGCAGAGTCTTCCTGCTCGTTCTGTGCGAAGCCGATCTCGGAAATCGGAAATGTGAAGCCCACTCGCCAAGACACGGCCATCGGCCGGCGCAAGTCAAGCGCAAATGAGCAAATCGGCAAAAATAGCGTCACCGTCGCAATGACAAAGCATGACTTTTTGCACCATCCGCTCTGGGGCCAAAAATGCGTCGGCCGGGAATCGAACCCGGGGCCTGTCGATGGCAACGACAGATTTTACCACTAAACCACCGACGCTGCTGCTTATTGGCTACTTCTTTCATAGAGACGTCCATACAGTATTCTGTACTAGCTGCTTATTAACGCCATCTAATAAAGCACAGGCTGACCTTCAAACTCTCCTATAAAGCCCTCTTCGTCTTTATATCTCTCATCAGCCTAACTCCCCCCACCAAAAAAAGTTACAAACAGCAACCTCTTCGCTGCCATCCGGTTCGTCCGACCAGCCGGACGAGTCGCCTTACCGCTCACATACGGACTCTAATTGCGATGGCATTCATGTGCCCTTTTCGGCAGCCGCCGATCGTCTCTTCTGGCCACTCGAAGGCGATTTTCCCGCCGCCATTTCGGTTATGAAAGGCCTCTGCCAGGCCAACGAGCTGGAGCCCTTTTTCGAGCCCAGTCCCAATGCGGATGGCAGCAGCATTGAGCATGAGATTGCGCGGCTGTCGCTCACTGTGCGAAAGGCCTCTTCTCTGGAACGTACGTCCAGAACCTCGACCAGTGGGAAGCGGACTGGGTTGCTTGGCACAGCGAGCACGACGAGCATCTCGACGTCCCGGAGGGCGTGGTGTACGGCAACCAAGAGTTTGTTACGTACGGCGACCTGAGAGGCGAGGACCGGACATACACCCGGGAGCCGAAGCCTCTCCTGGGATGGATGTGCTAGGAGGAGAGGTTGTGGGCGTGGTGATGGGCAGGACTATGCTATGGCCTGTGGTAGAGGACGATCTGTCGTTGATACTGTTGCAATGGAGTAAGCCGCTGGTACGATGCAGTTTTCAAGCTGGCATACGCCGTATCCGCAATAGGATGAGCCAGTACCGCATTACCCGTCGTCGTTACAGCAGTCACCCCAAACGCCCGCGCATTGCTTGTAGCTGTGCTGTCTGCCGCACTCGCCGTTGGTGGAAAAGACCGAATCTCCCGCCTTCGTAGCAAGTTCCGGCGGCACAATCTGCTTTGATAGATGAGTAAGGTGTTTTTTTCCCTTTTTGTCTCTCCTAAAGATAATCCCTGTCTCCAAGAAATATGCACATAGAATCGCCACAGGTAAAAGTGTTGGCATTGCAGCACTGAAAGGTGGTACCGAGACGTAACATTGTTATTGGGCGGACCGCAGAGTCTTTCCTGCTGCCCACGTAGACAGTTCACTTCGCCGGCGGTGACATTTCCGCCACGGATGAGGGGACTGATCACGGTGGCGTTCCATGTCGGTGCCGCGCTCGCCACGCTGGAAACAACGATGCTTTCAGTGGACGAGGAAGTCGGTGTGGCCGCCGGGAGAGCCCGGTTTTCAAACTGCCCCGGTTCCCACTCGCTTTTGGCTTGCACTTGGCACGCAAAATAGATGGCCATAGAACCCAAGATAAGGTGCCTGAACGGTGGGTTGGCCTCCCAAAGTGCTTTTATGGCTGTTGTTGCCCCTGTTGAAGGAAGCGGAAGTGGATGACGGAAGTTTTGGAGAAATTTTTTGCTCGAGTGATGCTCCTGATGTCAGAGAAGAGGGAAAAGAGGCTGCTCCCAAGGAAGAAAGTTGCTTGTCTAGATGGACTGTTCAAGAAATGTATCCCTTTAAAGTTTATCTCTTTGTGTGGTGAAGAGGGCTTCAGAAACATGAATACTACTTCGTTGGCCACGCTTGACTGGAAGTAGAAGGTAAGCCGATGTCTTCCTTTCTTTTTTTTGCTTATTCGCAAGAAAATCGCACGTCGTACTCGGCCCTCTCAATTCCTTACAAATGGGAGGGGCGGCTACTGCGAAGACGAGAGTAGCTAAGCTCACTTAAACCAAACGTCCACACGTTGACAGACGTATACGACATTTCACCGTTTGGAAAGCAACCCTCTTCATTGAGTAGCTGCACGTCGGGGCAGCACCCCGGGAAAGGACCTCTTTCGTCCAGCCCGTGTCCGTCTCTGAGCGGCGTGACGCGTTGCAACAAGAAGAACCTTTGAAAAAAAAGTAGCGTGATACGGGACGGCATCTAACTGTGGTTGTGAAGTATCCGACTCTTGAGGTGGGATGGAGTGCGAGGCAAGCCTTCCGTTGGTCTTTTGCCGTCATCTGGACTCCGCGCGAGCACAGACCCAGGACCCTTTTCAGTTCTCTGAAGGTGACCCGGCTGTGCCGCGAAAGAATGTCCGGAGATGTTCCCTTCATTTTCGTGTCAACTTGGCAGCATGACAGCCTGGCTGGACCTTCCCAGCTTTGCCTAGTCCGTTCCCGCAAGCTATCAACGACTTCATCACAAGTATATATCGTTCCTTGGCAAGATTCTCCAGAGTCATCCTGACTTGGTGTTTCGAACCGCTCTGGCTCTTTGCCTTTTCTCCTGTGACGAACGAGCGAACCTCGTTCTCTTGAGGAGATGACGGTCTGGCAGCCTCTTGCGCTTTGGCGCCTCTCCTCTCTCTCTTCTTCCCTCTCGTTGTCGAGGCTCTATTCTTGCAGGACTACTTGCAGGATGCTGCTGATCCTGGCCAATACTTGTAGTAAAGTTTTGTTTTGGGGTTTTGGGGTTTTTCTTTTTGTATGAAAAAAGCACAGCTACGGATAAAACCTTGTCTATTTCGACACAGAGGTTTCCAACCTACCAAAAAAAAAAACGAAGAGGAGAAAAACAAAGAATGCTGATGTTGTTTCGAAAGCCAAGATCTCATGGTCAATTCTCCATGGCGAGTGCTGAGTACTTCCCCTACACGAGAGATATATGCAAAAATGCGCAAAACTTCTATGCCACCCCACGAGGACAAAATCGGCACACTAGGAGTGGTCTCTCCGGCTATGATCTGGCCACCGGCGACGAGCCAAATGTCCCCAAAAGCCGACAGGCATACTGCCGTGATAATTCCTGTCCAGGAAGTTGGAAAAACCATCATACCTGTCCGGAATCAAACCAACAAAAGCCCATGCGACAAGACGGAGAGTGGTTTACCACCAGCCTCGAACCAGGCACACCCACGAACAATTTGAGGAACCTCCGTAATCCCCCAACTCAACAGATCATCAAGTACTCCCACATCCAGTACACTTAGATTGTAACACCATTTTTCTCAATAGCTTCTTCCGTCTTCGCTAATATTTGACTTTACTACATACGGCCAACACGGACCACGCCATAGCAACTGTAACAGAAGGAGCACGATTCCTCTGAAAAGTTGCCTCTCTCAGTAAGGTAGCCGTTAGCAGGCGGCTTTATCGGAAGTGGGGTCAGGCCGCGCAGAGGAGACCGTCATTCAGCACACGCTGTCTCTTGAATTGACACTGATGGCAAGTCACATTGGCGTCACGGGCCTTCTCATCCGTGGCAGTGGATGGTTGGTGGATAATAAGGGCCTATTGAGCCGACCGCGTTGAAACTGCAGATTACAGGCCACCACTTAGAAGGCGGCATATACAATCATGGGCATGCGGCTCAGAGACTCTGCATATGGCACTGATGTCCGTGCCAGCCTGGTGGGCTGATATTGTGGCTGCTGCTTACTCTTGCTGTAGTCGCAGCTCGCCTTGAGCCAGACACATCCTGGAGAGAGCGAGCAGGGCCAGCTTCAGGGACTACCAAAGAGCATCCAAGACCAATGTCAGCCGTGATAGCGGCCCTCGGCGCCGTCATCGGCTATCTCGGCGGTGATGTGGCACAGAAGAGCACCTTTGAGCGGCTCCTGTGGCCGCAGCGGTTCCACAACCACCTCGACGTGGCCACCGGCGTCAAGCTGGCATTGCTGCACCCAATGAGTGGCCCACTGCAGTCGGCAGCCCTGGCGACGCTCGACGACTTCCGCGACAACGGGCTCTACCGCGGCTTCTTGCGCGGCGACATGCTGGGCACCGCCTTTTACGGCGAGCACCGGGACGTGCGCTACTTCCACCGCACGGCGGCCACACCAGAGCAGCAGCGGACTGCCGACAGCGTCCGCAACGGCTTCTGGTACCAGGTGCTAAAGGAGGTGGAGCGACGACATGTCCTCCGGCCGGTGGCTTCGGGCGGCAGCGGTGACGACGTGGAAAAGACCGCGGCAGAGACCACGACCGATATCACAGTGCCCAGCCGGTCCGTGAAGCTTCTCTTTCGCCTCAGGCTCAGCGTCCTCGACAACGAACCCGCGCCGCCGGGCGCCAACGACGTCGTCGAGACGGACTTGACAAAATGGACTTTCCTGAGCATCGTCACCAGCGAGCTGTCAACCATCTGCGTAGCCGTCGCGACGGGCCTCTGGGCATTCCTTGGCAGGAATGCGTCCAACGGACCCGACGCCTGGCTGGTCGGCTATTTCCTGCTGCCCGTCGTCCTCCGGCTGCTCGCCGCCATCTCCTCTGTCAGGCGCGAGGACGTATTTGCCGGCGGCGAGGCCATTCCAACGCTCTGGACAGAAAGGACTGATCCACAGTACAAGGAGGTCTTTGAGATCTACGACTCGGCGGTCGGATTCATACTTGGCTTGTCCGCCCCCCCGGCAACAACGGCCATGACCCAGTTCTTTGTGCACTACGGTCACCCTATACGACACACCGTCATAGACAGAGTCCGTGAGACTCTCAGCATCGCCATCGTCTACATCTTTGTGCTCTACTTTCCCGTCGGCCTCTTTGCCCTGTCCTGGATGAAGACGAGGTCGCAGTACATCTGGTTGGGACAGCAATTTTACTGCATTCTGGCCATGCACATTCTGCGCATTCTCGGCTGGGAGGGCTGCTCGAGGACGGAGGAAAAGGTTGCCAAGATACTGTACAAGGATCGCTGCGCGTGTCTCAAGGGAAGGAATGCCCGCGTGGAAGCTAGGCTGACGATAGACCACGTTCTGTCTGTTCGTGCAGGAAGAGAGGAGGTGAAGCAAATGCTGGACAGGAACATGGGCTTTGCAGCGGCGCACTAAATCCGATAAGAGATGACATGTCGTCGGCCCTGTAACGTCTTAATACTGGACTGCTAGCATGCTTAGCCCAACACAAATAGATGCCCGATGAGACCTCAGCCTTGTCCTCCTCATCGCACTTGGCTAACCGAGTTGTGTCTCTTCAGATCTATGCTTTCTGTATGCTGAGAGGTAATCTGAGAAAATGGTATTCAGATTCCCACAGCAGGCCTTGAATGCTCGCCATCGTTGCTAATCTCCACTGCTAGTCACCTCATACGTTTAAGCTGGCCGACGACTACTGGCCGCTCCGACTGCTCCACATCCCAACCAGGACATCAGTACGGCGGCACTCGGCCCACGACTATCGCGACCCTACGGGTAAGGTGCATCAGCGGCCTCAATATAGCATTCTCTCATATACCTGGGGCCGCTTTAAGGTGGACGGGGGGGAGACGCTCGCCGTAGAAGGAGTGGACTGGCAGATTCCAGCCATCAATCCAGAGCACTTTACGGCCGCAGCGTTCCAGAGGGTGATCGACGAGCGTCTCGGCAGTGATGCCATCGAGTGGGCGTGGATCGACGTTGCCTGCATCGATCAGCGCCCCGGCAACCCCGACATGGCCATCGAGATCGGCAACCAGGCGAGCATCTTCAACAAGGCGGCCCACGCTTTTGTCTGGCTGACGAGCATCGTCGGAGGTAGAGAGACAGCCATCAAGGATATTGTCAGCTTTGGCGTGGAGCTGCGCAACTTCATCGACCACGGCAAGACCGACAATGGCCTCAGCCTCTTAGATGTGGTAGCACGCCTGCGGACGGCCTTCGATACCGTCTTTGAAGACCCGTGGTTCTCGTCGCTGTGGACGCTGCAGGAGATCGTAATGCGCAAAGACGCCATGGCGATCTCGTTGGCGGCCGAGAAATTGACCTGGGATGGCACGGACGCTATGCACTTCTTTATGTTCGTCAACACGGCCCAAAACGTGTGGCAGGATGTGCTGGCCCTCATCGACCGCGCCGGAAGGCTGCGATATGCCGACGCGTACGCATACAAGCCCAGTTCACCCGTCCATGAACACGTCTCGCGGATTCAGCAGTGGCTGCTCTCGACCGGATTCTACTATCTGGACACCGACAACCCCAACGTCCAGTACGGCACGGCCAAATACCGCAATACGGAACACGACGAGGACCGGATCTACGCCATCATGCAGCTTTACAGCCTCCGGGTGGGAAAGGCAGCCCAGCCGGATCTCGCCCCGGAACTCTATCCCGGCTTTGCCCAGCTCGAGCTTGAGTTCGCAGACGCTATCAACCAGTGCTGTCCCATGCTCGGACAGATGTTCACGCACACCGCATGTGATGTACCGCGGCACACGTGGTGCATCACGCGAGACTCGACTGTGCCCGACAGCCTAATGGACTACCGAGATCCTAGGCCGCTCGGCCGCATCTCGCTCGTAGAATCGGGCACCGCTGTCGCGCACGGCAGGTGTTGCCTACTGGCGGACCTGAACGAGCTCCTGACAAGTCCTGGACGTCGGGATCTCTCGTCCACCAGCGCACAGCTGCATCTGGATGAATACATGCGCAAGGCCCTCGATCCGTCACCGGCGCTCGCCTGGCACATCCGCTGGGATAATACGGTGCTCATGCCCAAACTACTCAGACGTTATGGCCGAGAGAACCTGGTACTCCTCCATCTGGGAAGTCTCAGGTGGCCGGAGTGCGGAAAGGAGGAGCGACGTCGGCAAGTGGCGCTGCTCCTCAGTCCTGTCCACCCGACTACGCCGAACGCTGTCATCGGAAAGACGTACTTTCGATACGGCCTGTATACGTGGATCGAGTATACCACATCGATGACAGACCAAGTCAGCCGGCTTGCATGGGAGACGATGAGTCTGCCCGTCACCTAGATACCACCCAGACAGAGCAGGGAAAGCGTCTACACGCGCAAATTGAGAGGTTGTTTTCATACTGCATAACACATCAAATAATCCTGCGGCCGTTTAGACTCGTTGCCATTCGTCTTTTGTTCGCTTCAACGCACGCTGTCTGTTGTGGATGTAGTCGGCGCTGGTCATCCAAGGTCCTACTTAGCCTCACTCTGATGGAGCAGCTGTTGCATAAAGTTTCTGCCCTCTTCGTAACGGCGGAAGTACGTGGTCTCGGCACTGGCTCTGACCGTGCCGAGTCCGTCCCTGGCTTGTCCGAACAGGATTGTCTGCTCCTGGGCCGTGTCCGGCCGAGGGGCCAGCAGCTCTCCGATACGAGACTCTGTCGTAGTGCTGAATCGGGCCAAGGAATAGCGACCGACACACATGGCCGCAACGATGTAGGTCTGGTAGCAGAGCCAGACGTACTGGATGTGTGCAGGCATCCAGGCAACGAAGCAGAAGATGCTGATAGGGAAGAAGCAACCGAGGGCCGCGACTGTCAGAAACTGGACCACCTCGCGGCAACGGTTGCGGATCGGGTGGCCGTAGTGGCGGAAAAACTGCAGCACGAGGCTGGGAGGGCCGGTGATGAGAAGAAATCCGCCCAATGACTCGGGACAGTGGATCTCAAAGTTGCGGGGCGTCTCGCCGAGCGACAGCGACAAGTCCAGGGCCGGTTCGCGGTCGAGCGCGAAGAATGCACTGACAAGACGTAGGAGAAGGGGTATGAGCCAGAGAGCAGCCCAGACAGAGCGGTATAAGCTCCATATGCCGGCTGCGGTGAGGATGGCCGTGGCTTCAGCGGTAACGATAGCGAGGAACACGTGACGGCTTGGGCTGCCGGCATCTTCGCTCACGAGGGGCGTGTCTTGAAAGCTCCGATGGCCAGGTGACGGATGTGCGAGGGTCAGGTGGGTGACAAAGGTCTGAGATCGAGTGGGCGAGTTTTGTCGCGTGATAGCAGTGTCTTTCTCCGTCTTCACAGTAGTGACGCGGTCACGTCCGGCGCCAAGGACGGATACAGATATACGGCAGAGAGCGCGTACCCAGATGCAGTTCCGGACCGATTCGGAGTGAGGAGCATAGCCGTGGCCGTGACCGTGCAGGGTATACGTCCAGTTGGAGCGACAAAAGAAGATGGTATCGAGCATGTGGCCGACGAGGGGGCCGACGAACAGGCCCTGAGTGAACATGCCATCGAGAGCATCAAGGGCAACCTTGGACAGCGGCCCTCCCATGGGCAGCAGCAGACCGACGACCAGGGCCCGTCTCGGACGGTAGGCTGCGAAAAAGCGCTGGGGATAAAGGAGGTTCTCCAGCGGAAACTGAGCGGCGGTTTCGGCGCCAAAATAGGCCACAATCAGCCCTATGATGCAAATGACGTTGGTTGCAAACGTGAAAGCGGCCTGGTCTTCCATGATGACAAGCCGAGAGAGTTTCACAAGTTGCTGGTGAAAAAAAAGACGAGGACTTGGCGGGAGATAACTCAAGGTTGGAACATGATCGAGATATCCTTGGGTTTGCCACTGTGCTACAACGGAGCACGGAATAATATGCTTGTGATAGCAGCGGGTCAAATGCGCCCAAGTCGGGAACACCGTTTCTAGTAGTGATACCCCACAACGTGGTGAAATAGAGTGTTTGATAATGCAAGCACCCTCGATTCTGCCCGGTCTAACCACTGTAGCTGTATGGAGTAACGTGGTGGCGTTGTCATTCCCACATAGCGCCAAGACGTGATACACGACGAATACGATTTGTCTACTCCGTACTCCAACCCGATATCGTCTCTTACGAGTAGATCAGCGTGAGTTCTTCCCGGTTGCCCTCGAATGCTTGCGTGATTCCAGTGCTACGTCGTCTGCTGCGCCCCATCTCCGTCGCCTTTGTAATCGGAGAGGGGTGGAAGAAAACAGGATGTGTACTCTGTACTCCGTAGATAATATAAATGGGGCTTGGTGCGGACGCCTGGCAGTATCCTGGAATTACAAGTTTTCTTTGAACATCATTTCGTGATAAAAGCAACATTAGAAACGTGTGACTTGAAGCAGTAACACCCTGTGGGTTTTCGCCACTGGGTGTATGGGGTGAGGATAGATACTCGGCCTAGTCGATTCCGCGTATCACTGAGTTGCTCCGGCCGATTGCGTTACTAGACCAGACCTAATCCCACAACTTTACGCCGAATGAGACACGACTAACTGCCTGACTTTGGTACAGCGCATAATACACGTGGCCCGTTGCCGTTAAAGGCTTGTAACGGCACAGCACCGGGCGGAGGTGCGGCATTAATGGGGTTAGCCGGCGTGGCTAGCAGGGTGACCTGCCGGAAAACAGGGCTAGGGCTTGTTGCACTGTTACGGGGTCCATCCTCGTAACGTGCAGGTGGGAGACAGCCGGCTTCGCCAAACTAATAGAGGGGGAGAGTGGTGCTGGTGAGGATGAACAGGGCGACACAAGATTCCGTTTGCTGGGTATGTTTTTCTAGGCAGAGCTGAATATATGTGGTGTACGCTGACAGATGCAATTCAGCTCCATTTGCTTACTAGGCTTATGCATGCCACTTTCAGTGATGACGAACTGGTCAATTAAATTTTCCTCGCTGTTTGGCAACGTGCAGCACCTTAGCATTTTTGAGCAGGTAGATTATATCATTGATTAGGGGCGCGAGAATCGCTACCACAAGGGGCAATTTCAACCTGTACGGAATACTTACTCCATACGGAATAAGCTTTCCAGTGGACCAAATGGGACTCCACTGATCTAAAAACGCTGTCAACTATACAAAATAAGGCTTTACCTATTCCGGCGCGATATGGCGCAGGTGAATGGTTCTCCATCGTCTTTGAGACCGCTGTCAGCCCTACGGACTAACACTTTAGTTCGGGGTAAGACTGTTGCGTATAATTTCTCAAGCAGTTGTAGGTATTCGCAATCTGGTACTCCATACGGAGTAGTACGCTGGCGATTAAGGGGCTAAGGCCGTTTACAGCGTTCTGGCCACTAATGATTAATATCGCCTGGGCTGCAGACATATCGTTGAAGTGGCGTACGGAGTACTGCGCAGCTTTACGTCTTGGTATATTTTATGTTGGTACAGATCGATCTCTATCATTATATGCAAACATGCAAGAAATGGAGAAGACCATACAGAACATATCTACAATACCCTGATTGCCTGTTAGTGCTAAATCGACGGTATGTATCGATCAGTTCAAAAGCGATAAAACCGTTTCGTTTCATCAACGGATGGGCGGTGAGACACGGCAGAACAGCGAGGTCAAGTCGCGTGAAGGCAACCCGTTTTTCCCTGACCCCCTCTCACACGGCGCATATTTCACTCGAAGCCTGCACAAAACGACCGATCGACTTGAGCCACTTAGCCACACATTCCAGTATGATCTGCTGACCAATACGCTGTACTCGCGACTGCACCCAGCAAACCATAGAACTCGTCGGCCTGGTCGCTGCAGCTCCTTTCGATCCACATTCACATTTGCTCTCATCTGGCTTTCAGAAGCCGACCCTATATCGCAGCAAATCATCAGTGTTTATAATATTTCTATATTAATGTGCCCCAGCCTTTGGCCCATTCACCTCTTTATTCTACCATCAAGTATACATTCCTTTATTGCTCAAGTCGGCACGTCAGTTGGGCAAGACATAATTGGCTCTGGCTTTGGCGGGTCTCCGCGAACTGAGACGATATCATAGTCGACAGTTGAAACCGGGTGGCTTCACTCACAGCGGTATTCGTGAAAGCTCGTATGGAACTGGCGGATGAGTTCCGGTTTCGTTCTTAGCACCCGTGGCCCACGTGCATACGATCCAGCCTTTCAGAAAATGGCCGAGTCTTCGGAAAGTTCCGACCCTTTTAAATGGTCGACGGAGCGGCTGATTCAGGAGCTCTACCTGCTAAAACGATCTCGAGATGCAAGACCGGCAAACAAGTGGCCAGATCTTGACAGTCTGGCAGGGATTTTACGAGAACACGAGCTAGATGGATATGATTTGCTCACATCCGATGACCTAGGAGGGGATTACCCATTTGATTCGCTGTGTAAAGATCTCAAGATTAACAAGATTCCTCACAAGAATACTCTTCGCTACATTCTCAAACTGTTCAAGGAGATCAGTCCCGCATACCAAGACTGGAAGACAACTGAGACTGAAAGACATAACCACGTTTCACTTCTCGACGCACAGAGTCGACATGGAACAGAAGAAGCGGAACCCTCTCATTCACCGGGCGGCGATGCAGGAGATGCTATGAACTTGGAGGAAACAGAAACAGTATCTGAGCACCCCCTTCAACCAGCTGCAGAAAGCCTTGCAGATATGCAAAAAGATGATAATTCTCTCGCCACAGCAACCGCTGATGGGTTGAGTGATCCAGGCGACCTGGCGCTTACATCCAAGAAACGAAAGAGAGTTGCCCCTGTCAACATTTCTGGCTTGTCAGATCCTCGGGCTACCATGCGCTTTTTCCGAGCCCAAGCAGACATCGAGACAGATGCTACACGCGAAAAGTTATGGCAAGCAAGTGTGCCAGGAGCATACCTCGGTAATTGGAAGCTCTTACAGGAAGTATTGTTACAAACGCAAGACCCCCTGAGCCAGACAAATGCCGTCTTGGAGATCTCCGACTTCAGCTGGGCTGTTCCAAAGCCCATCCCTGCAGGCCGTCGACTTCAGGTAGAGCGGATTCTTAGAAGATATTTCAAACCTCAGAGGTCGAAGATGAATCTCGGACGACGACAAATTCCGAGCCCCGGCACAGACACTGTAGTCCAAGAAGAGGATGACGTGCTTCCTCTTCTAGGAGATTCGGACGAGGACGAGGAATATGACTCGGAGACATGGGCAGAGATGGAACAAGAGGCCAGGGAACGAGCCAACCCGCAGCCTAAGAAAGACGCATCGTTATCTGGCGAAGCTGTTGACGCTGTCATTAATGAGGCTATACGCGACATGGAGATCAAATGGGCCCAGAAAAAGCTGCCTAGGCTGCAGAGAGATATGCATACCCTTTGGACTGATGCGCGACGGTCCGGGTCGCTGAAATCAAACGTGACTGGAGAGCTTGCCGTTGCAGAGAGGCTGGGGCGCCGCATCGCTAATATCACAAAGGCAATCCGGTCAGATGAATGGAGAAGCGAAGCCCAGATCCAGCGTCAGCTTGGCGTCCTTGAGGCTAGCGTCGAGGACCGAGAGCGTGCCTTGTGGAGGGCGAAAGTCTTTGCATCTCCCAACCAGCCAGCAAAGCCTACAATTACACGGACATCAGCGCCTCGTACTCAGCAACGAGCCATCCGCGTCTTGGTCGTGGACGACGGCGATGAAGTCCTAACGAGCGCTTCTGAAGAAGAGGATGATGTGCATGATTTCATTGTTGATGATGATGATCCGCCTGACGATTCACATGGAGTTCCTCCGCTGGGTGACCCGATGCTTGTGGACATTGACGTGCCCGTTACAGAAGGCGATGCCCACGACTCTGACGGCGCAGGCGACGCTGGCAACGACGAAAGTAACAACAAACAAGATCTCGCCGTAGCATCGCCACGATCCACGGCGAGCACCCTCTCGACTGGGTTGGAAGATGGCGAAAAACTACCGCTAGATGACTTGGAAGCCATCGTGCAGAAGGGCGTCGGGTATTGGGAGAAATGTGGTGATGTCCAGCGGCTTCTTTGCACGCTACTCTCTGAATATGACGTCGCCCCCCTGCAGCAATTGTTCGACCTTATGGGCCAGGATGAGAACATGATCTGGAACACGCTTTGTGTCCCGGCAATGCGCAGGACGATCCTCCGCGGGGAAGGCGTCGAAGAGACTTCAGAAGGCACCCTTTCTGATGTTGCTGGCGCATTTATCAGATTATTTGACATATTCATAACACGCCACAGCATTGGCGCTCGTGAGTTCTTCCCCTTGAGTGATGAGACACGCAATCGGCTTGAGACAAATCGTGGCCGTATCGGAGAGTTCTGCGTCAAATTGCGAATCTTGCAGCCGTATTTTGACTCGCTCCTCCGCGCTAAATCTTCGGTTCCGCCCAGAGCCACAGACAACGGAGCGCAGGTCAATGGACCGGAGTTTATCAAAGTGGAGAGCGAATCAGTGGAAGAAGAGGAGGATGACGACGATAAGGACGTTCGGCCATCCCCGTCTTACCGGCGTCGCCGGCAGATTCGCACGGATAAGGAAGCCCAGAGCTTGCGCGAGAAGGACAGGGCACGGGCAGAGGCCCTGGATCGCCGACGTCAGGCTAACCGCAACAACCTGGTCCTGTCTGGGACCATCGACCGTGATAAGACACGACTCATTATCAACGATGCGAGGGAAGATAACCAGAGTGTCATTTACGTCAACCCTGAAATCGGCCTCCGCATCCGTGACCACCAGATTGCGGGAGTGCGGTTTATGTGGAACCAGCTCCTCATCCCTTCTGAGATGCGGCAGGGCTGTCTCCTGGCTCATACAATGGGGCTCGGCAAAACGATGCAGGTCATCACACTGTTGGTGGCAATTTCTGAATCCGCTATCTCGCCTGATGAGAATATTGTTGCACAGATTCCTGTTGATCTGCGAGAGTCGAAAACGCTGATACTGTGTCCTTCGGGCCTCGTTGAAAACTGGCTGGATGAGATTAGCTGCTGGACACCACCTGGGCTCCTGGGTGTTTGCTATCCATTGACGTCGGAGCTGAGCAGCGAGGAGCGATATACAACGGTCAAGCGATGGGCCGACAATGGAGGAGTCATGATTATCGGTTACCCTATGCTTCGGAAACTGCTCGAGTTCTTCGGAGATGAAATGAAGTCTCTTCTGGAGGACTCGCCTCACATTGTCGTTGCCGACGAGGCCCATGCGCTCAAAAACCCCAAATCAAAGCTTCACGAGGCGACAGCCAATTTCAAAACGACGGCGCGAATTGCCATGACCGGTTCTCCCCTCGCCAACTCGGTAGAGGAGTACCACTCGATGATAAACTGGGTGGCACCAAACTATCTTGCAGATCATCGTGAGTTTGCGGCCAAGTACGCGACGCCGATCAAAGAAGGCTTCTACCGAGACAGCACGAAGCAGCAGAAGAGACAAGCCCTGATGCGGCTCAAAGTTCTCAAGGATACAGTGGCTCCGAAAATCCACCGAGCCACGGTGGCCACGCTCAAAGGAGAGCTGCCGCAAAAGAAGGAGTTTATTCTTTACCTGCCGCTTACGGAGCTGCAGATGCAAGTATACGAACGCTTCATTGATATTGTCAATGACCCGGGGATACTCAGCGACATCAACAACACAGTGCAGCTCTGGAACCTGCTCTTCAACCTGACACTTCTGCTGGCACATCCAAAGGTGTTCAAGCTGAGACTTGAGGAGATGAAGTCGCACATCCGGGAAGGCCAAAGGGAAAGAGACGCGCATCATCCGTCATCAGCCTCCCCTTATTCCGCCACACTTCCGCTTGCAGTGGTTCAGAAGTTGCTGAGCATAGGGCAAAAACGGAACATTGACGACTTGCACCATTCCTCCAAGGTTATGGTGCTCATGGGCATCCTCGATGAAGCCCGTGAGGCCGGCGACAAAGTTCTCATTTTTTCCCAGAGTAAGCTCGTGCTGGACTATCTGGAAGACGTCTTTCAGCGGAAGAAACGGCGGTATAGCCGGCTCGACGGCGATACAGTGGTGCGTTGGCGGCAGGGCATGGTGAAGAGCTTCAATGCGGGGCGAGACGAGATATACTTGATCTCGACGACTGCTGGCGGTGTGGGCCTCAACATACACGGGGCGAATCGGGTGGTGATCTTTGATTTCAAATGGAATCCGATGCATGAGCAGCAAGCTATCGGCCGCGCCTATCGGATCGGACAGACGAAGCCCGTATTTGTCTACTGGCTGATCACGGGCGGCACATTCGAGACTGTGCTGCATGACCAAGCCGTGTTCAAGACCCAACTGGCGTCACGGGTGGTGGACAAGAAGAACCCGCAGGCGTGGGCAGACCAGATACGAAACTACGCGGCCAAGCCGAGCAAATGGCCGCTGGACCAGACGATGGCGCGGTTCAAGGACCAGGATGCGGTCTTGGCAGCACTCTTGCAAAACAAGGAGCTGGGAAACCACCTCTGCCGGATCGTATCAACGGACACGTTCGAGGAGGAGGAGCCGGAGGACAAGCTGTCGGCTGAGGAGATCAGGGAGGCCGACGATATGATCCTGATGGAAAAGATGCGTCACCAATATCCACACATGGCACAGCAAGCGGCTATCTATTCCGGGGAGCGCATGATGGTAGACGGGACTGTGTTCGGGCCAGCTGCCTCGGCACCCGTGGGCTTTCCGTCAACCTTTTTACCGGCCTACCCGGCTCCGCACCTTGGAAACGGTCTTCGGCCACTAACACTGCCTTTATTTGGCTCACCGGCCGGGCCGGGTCAGGCGGTGGTGCTGCAAGCTAACAACAGTCATCCAACAGCGGCGAATCTGCAGCCGATGCGGATCCCATCCTTGACCACCGGGTCCACGGGCGCGGACATGCACGGGCCAGCAGCACAGGGTGAACCTACCACTAACAGCAAAGACCTTCAGGCGCGGTCGCTCATTTCGTCTCTCGAGCACCTTGGAGCGGAGCTGCGAGACAGACTTACCCAAAGGATCATCGAGTCAGATGGACGAAGCGTCCCGTCTGCACAGGGCATGGCACAGAAGCTGGTGTCTGACATACGGACAGACATCGGACAGCCCAGCGTGCCGACGCTGGCGCAATGGACACGGCTTCGGGACTTGGTAAAGTCAGACGCCGTTTTTACAGCTGCGATTGTCTCTGGACGCATATCGGCGAAGACGCTGGCGACGATGAACGGGCCGGAACAGGAACGGCTGCTCGCGGAGCTGCACGACCCATTGACGGTCCAATCAGCGGTCCACGGTGGCGACTCCCGGGACGACAAGGAGACCAGCAATGCGACAGCGGCTACGACTGTTGCCCGAGAACGAAACAAAGACCCAGATGTATGGCCCTTTCGCTTTCCCCATTTCCCGTGTTTGTATGGCTACTTTGAGTAAAGAAGCACCCAGTGGCTACCAGTCTGCCCTCAGAACATATTTGATCGAAGCACCGACCCCCTGGCTCTCCTAGGCGAAAGCGCAGTGGAATCTCGGAAAAGAGGCCGACAAATAGAGAGATGGAGAAAGTTTCTGCATCTCCCTCCCCTGTCTCGTGAGAAAAGGGCAGCTGTGGCACCAAGGAAATGAGTGCTCACCATAGGCAACAAAGGCTAACCAATTCTGCAACTTTTCTTTTTGACAACTGCAGCATATCAGAGCACATGTACGACGTTCGTTGAATCGGGACGGGCGGCGGAGAAACGGGGGAGGAGGTGGGCATCGAGACATAGTGGAGCTCGTGGCTGTGCTGGACCGGAGGACAAGCAGACAGTCATCAACAGCAGCGAGATCAATAGGGGCGTCCGAAGACGGAGCAGGACCGCGAATACCGGCGGGCAACAACGCATACAACCCTCTTGTTCTGGATTGAAATGCTGTTGTTGCTGGGATTCTAGTTGCTTTTCTGTGAGCCGTTGCGGGGATCTTGCATCCCAAAGCATTTAGTGTATTTTTAAAGTGGCAGGGCTGTGCTGACGGAGTACGGAGTATAATGTGTCGTAATACTCCGTATACTGGTATTATTCAGAAGGCGGAAGGTCCGCCGGCGGCGTGGTGGCCCAATCAGTCAGCAAGGCTAAGCCGGAGGTGTGATTTTGCGGTTCCGAGGGTCAGGTGAACAGGCCACTTCACGGGCGGGTTCACCGAAGCGACTGAATCGAACGATGGACTTGCCGAACACCGAGCGAACGAGAAGAGAGGAATAGTAATATGGGGCGAGACCCGTCTGGGGCATCCGGATGGCTGCATCGGCTCCCAGGGTTGTGTTTGCCAGAGAGTCGAGTCAGACGTCGATCCGAGTGGCTGAATGGATCATTCTGGCCGGATTTCTTGGAAGGGGGGCATGCAGAGCAATGAGAACACGCTGTCCGACCGGCCGGGATTTGCTTGATTTGGTCTTGGGGGCAGCAGCTCGTAGTGTGCAGTATCGTTGCTTCCCAGTAAATTTCGGTTGAGCGACTGCCTAAAAAGGGCACTAAAAAAAGTCTTTAGTGCGACATCGCCCCCTCTTTCTGACGGGTTTTGACACATGTCCACCAGCCGTCTGCTGCTACGATTGGACCTCTTCTCTTCTTTTTCTCTTCCCTTTTCACTCTCAACCGTGACTGCGACTCTCTTGCACCGCCAATTGATCATTCCCAGTCTCTCTGTCTTTCAGTCTCTCCATCTCTCCATCTCTCTGCCTCTCTGCACGACCGATCTTCTCTGCCTTGCCACACAATGGACGCCGTTCTTCGCCAGTCCAAGGCCGTGTGCCCGTTTCTGAAGAAGGCGTCGCCGGCCACGCTGCGAGCGCTCTCGACGGCGACACGCGTGGCAGTGCCGGAACCTACGTCTGCGCTGGTGGCGGTGTCGTCGCCGTGCGGTGGCACGCTGTCGAAGCTGCAGCTGCTGGCGCACCGCTGTCCGGTGATGGGCAAGGCGATGGCTGTGCAGGTGGCACGCGGCAGTGCGGTGCACGGCGGGATGGGTGTGCGGCGGGTGGCGGCGACGCTGTCGGCAGTGCTGTGCACGGGACCGACCTCGAACACGGCCCAGGCTCTGCATCGGGGCCGGACGGCGCGAACGGCACGGCTGCACAGCAGTCGGCCGCAGGATGCGCGAGCCGTGGACACGCCGATCTTTAGCGACAAGGCACCTCCGGCTGCTGCTCCTTCAACGGCCCCGATCACGACCAAGGGCGGATTCGACTACGAGGCTTTTTACGAGGCCGAGCTGGACAAGAAGCACAAGGACAAGTCGTACCGCTACTTCAACAACATCAACCGGTTGGCCAAGGAGTTTCCGCGGGCCCACATGGCAGACACGGAGGAGCGGGTGACGGTGTGGTGTGCCAACGACTACCTGGGCATGGGCCGCAACGCGGAGGTGTTGCGGACGATGCACGAGACCCTGGACGAGTACGGAGCCGGGGCCGGAGGCACGCGCAACATTTCGGGACACAACCAGCAGGCGGTGCTGCTGGAGGCGGCCGTGGCGCGGCTGCACGCCCAGGAGGCCGCGCTGGTCTTCAGCTCGTGCTACGTGGCCAATGATGCGACGCTGGCCACGCTGGGCGCGCGGCTGCCGGGCTGCGTCATCCTGTCGGATAGCCTGAACCACGCGTCGATGATCCAGGGGATCCGGCACTCGGGCACGCGCAAGATCGTCTTCCGGCACAACGACCTGGCCGACTTGGAAGCAAAGCTGGCCGCGCTGCCGTTGGCGACGCCCAAGATCATCGCGTTCGAGTCCGTCTACAGCATGTGCGGTTCCATTGGGCCGATCGCAGCTATCTGCGATCTGGCCGAGCGCTATGGCGCCCTGACCTTCTTGGATGAGGTGCACGCTGTCGGCATGTACGGGCCACACGGTGCCGGCGTGGCTGAGCACCTCGACTTTGAGGCCCATCGTCAGGGCCGTCCGCGTGGCTCGCTGATGGACCGCATCGACATCATCACCGGCACGCTCGGCAAGGCCTACGGCTGTGTGGGTGGTTACATTGCCGGCAGCGCGCGTCTCGTCGACACCATCCGGTCTCTGGCCCCGGGTTTCATCTTCACCACGTCGTTGCCGCCAGCTACCATGGCCGGGGCCCGTGCTGCCATCGAGTACCAGGCTGCGTATGACGGCGACCGCCGGCTGCAGCAGCTGCACACGCGGGCTGTCAAGGAAAGTTTGGCGGCACGTGACATTCCCGTGATCCCGAACCCGTCGCACATTGTGCCGATTCTGGTCGGCGACGCCGAGCTGGCCAAGCAGGCCTCGGACCTGTTGCTGCACGATCACGGCATCTACGTCCAGTCGATCAACTACCCGACCGTGCCGGTGGGCCAGGAGCGCCTCCGCATCACCCCGACGCCCGGCCACGTCCGCCACTACCGCGACCGTCTCGTGCTCGCGCTCGACACGATCTGGGACCAGCTCGGCATTCGTCGCACTGCTGATTGGGCCCGCGAGGTCCCCGGCGGCTTCCTCGGTGTCGGTGCCCCCCCTTCGGTCGAGAATGCCCCCCTTTGGACCGACGACCAGCTCGGCATCACCCAGGCCGTCCGCGAGCTTCAGCAACAGCAGCCTCAGCTGCCTGACGGCCTGACCAACGCCCTGCTCGAGCGCGAGGCTGCAGCTGTGTCGGCTCGCGCTTAGGCCTCCGGGAGAGAGAGATCTTTGCTCACGGCCATCCGCCACCTTTCCTTCGTCTGCGCATCTCTTGTGCATCCTCTTACCCATCGTTCGGCCACCCGGACAGACCCACGGACTCGACTCCGCTGTCCATAGCCATGTTTACCTGCCAATGCACACATTCTGCCACTCGGCACACTTCTGTGCGAGTCGGCCTCCAACAACCGACTCTGTCCGATAGGCTGCTGTGACTTACGTAGGCGCCAACGCGCTGCTGTGATTTGTAGTTGGGTCCCTCCGCGCTTAGTCACGTGATCGGAGTCCCGCCCTGTGACTGGCTGCCTAAGCGAATTACGACACGGAGTCGGGGCAACAACAGTCGTCTTACTAAGGTCCAGATGCTGAGGCTACTCGTCGCATTCGCATTCGACCATGGTGAGCTTTCCGGTTCCCTCTCGGAGAGCACAATCGTATTCAGTCTGGGCAGGACGGCATTTCTCTTCTCGTGACACCATTGCCGATTCAGCAGCCACGGGCTTCTACGATTCGGCCTGATCGCCATGCTCGCACCCAACAAGCCCAAGGGCCCGAGGGCCTGCCTCACGTGCGCCAAGGCGAAGAGCCGCTGTGTGCCCGGCCCCGTTGCCAACGTCTGTGAGAGGTGAGTTTTCTCTGGGCTGGCGGCTGGCTTGGCCCGCCTGACCATCTGTTGTCGTGTTCAACCGCAGATGTCAGCGTCTCGGAAAGCCGTGCGGATCGCAGACGCCGGCACCACAACGCCGTCGACGGCTGGAAGGATCGACTGGCGGCACCGATGCTGCCACTGCTGCTACTGTCTCTTCTGCTGTAGGGGTCGCGTCGACCGTGGCCCAACGCCCGAGAACGACCAAGCCAACTCGGGTGTCGGAGCTCGAACGTCGTCTTGAAGTCCTCACCAGCCGACTCGAGACGGTGGGCCGACAGCAGAAGCAGCAACAGCAGCCGACGACGGCAACTTCACCGCAGGACGACGCTGGACAAGGGGACGAATCGGCAGCAGCAGCAGCAGCAGCCCTTTCGACCTCCCACTTTGTCAAGAACCAGCCGATGCCATACTACCCTATGACCCACATCTTTGAACCCAGCAGACAGACTACGACAGCGGCAGCCGATGCAACGACAGCCGAAGCCGAAGCCTCGTCGCCGTCTGTGAGCAGCAACAACAACCAGAGCGGCAGCGTGTCGGGCCTGTCGTCGTCGACGGCGGTATCGGCGCCCGACCTGGACACAGACGACCTGCGGCCATGCCACTTTTTCCCGCCGTGCCAACTGCGACAGCCGCACACACCGCCGACAGGTGCGACCGACACGGCCGACGCAGCCGGCGACGTTTGGCCACAGGCCGAGGAGGCCGAGATGCTGCTGCAGGAATTCCGGTCGCACCTGATGCCGCTACTGCCGTTTGTAGTGGTACCGGACGGCGTGTCGTCAGGCCAGCTGCTGGCGGCACAGCCGCTCACGTGGCGAGGCGTGATGATGACGGCCTGCCATCTGGACGGCCCACGGCAGATGCTGATGGGCAACCAGCTGCTGGGCGAGGCGACGGGCGCGGCGCTGCTACAGCCGCGGCGGTCGGTCGACGTGCTGCAGGCGCTCCTTCTGCTCCTGTCATGGTTCCACTACAACATCAACAGCTTCCAGCTGAACAACCTGCTCTTTCTGGCACGCGGCATCACAGTGTCGCTCGGCCTCGGCGAGCCGCATCCGCCGAGCAGCAGCCCAGACGTGCCAGACGGATACACGTCCGAGGTGCTGCAGAAGATGCGCTGCTTTTCCGGGACGTTTTATCTGGCAACAGTGTGAGTGATGGTGGCTGTCGGGAAGGTCTGAATAGCTATTAACCGGTTGCAGCGCGACTACCAACAAAAAGGCTGACACGATGATGAACTCGCCGTACCTAGACACGTGCTGCCAAGTGCTCGAGCGACGGATGGAACAGCCTTCGGACAGATTTCTGGTGCAGCTGGTGCGGATCCAGCAACTGAGCCAGGCGATTGTGGTGGCGTTTTCGCTGCGCAATGCCGGGATCCAGATGGATCTGTCGACCAGCTTCATGGTGGAGAACTTGAGCCAGCGGATTGCGCAGTACAAGGCGCAGCTGCCGGTGCACTTCCGCAACGACGGTGAGTCTGGCTGTATGCGTGTTTCCTAGCCACGGATGCTGACAAGCCAGTGTCGATCAACTGCCACATGCATCTGGCTGAGGTGTTGCTGTACGAGGTCGGGCTGCAGGATAGCAACGGGCTGAACAATGGGCTAAGCCTGCCGGTGGCGGAGCGGCTGAATCTGCTGTCGGCCTGTATGCGGGCAACACGCGACTACATGCAGAGCCGGTTTGCAGAGCCGGTGCAGGACCAGCCACGCTTTGTGTGCCTGACGGCGTTTGACTTTATTTATGCCTTCCTGACGGCGCTCAAGCTGATGACGTTCCAGATGCCGGGATGGGATCCACGGCTGGCGCGTGAAGAGCTGGCCTTTGACTATGTCGTGAGCCGGCAGATTTTTGACATGCAGCAGCTGGCACGGCGACGGGGCATGCGCAGCCACAAGGCCAGAGGCAGTGAAGCCGGTGCGGCAGCCGGTCGAAAAGCCGGATCTAGCGAACGTCGGGATCCGTTCCAGCGGCTGGCGACGCGACTAGTCGAGCTCAAGGCGATGATATCGCGGGAGCTAGACCAGCTGCCCAGCAAGTCGACCGGAGAAGTGGCGATGTCGGCAAATGAAGAAATGCTGTCAGCAGTAGCAGAGGCAGCAAAAGCACCCACACCCACACCCGCACCTGCACCTGTACCCGTTGCAGAGAGCACCAACGCAGCCATGGCAGACGCAGAGCTGATGACAGACTTGGCGGGTGACTTTGACATTGGCATGATCGACGCGGCGCCGGCCATCTTCAGCTTTGCAGACGCAACGATGGACTACATGCAGAATATGGACGGATCGTCGTGGCCGGACCTGTTCAACACACCGGGGCTGGACTCGTACATGGACGTCAACCTGGGGACGCCGCCGTTTGATTGGGACATGTGAGGAGGAGGAATGATCCGTATGAGCTCGTTATGTATTGTGAATGGAGTACTTTTGGTAAATCGAATGGAGGACAGATTGTCGATAGGAAAATGGTACAAGAGAAGGCGCCGTGTGCCGAATGCGGCAGGGACGAGCGACCCACGTTTGCGCGAGATTTAACGCCGTGGTGACGTTTTCGCGCTACTTGCAGAACTCCTCTTTTGAAGAAGCATACGATTACCCCATCATCATCACCGCCATTCAGCATCATGGCAGTCCAGGTGCGGCCGGTGGTGGACTACTCGGTGTACCTGGTGACAGACGGGACGGCAGCGATTCTGGGCGACGGCCGGACGGTCGAGGGGGTCGTGCAGGCGGCTCTGACGAGTCGGCAGGCGAGCGAGGGTTCTCAGAGCCGCGAGAGTTCCCGGAGCAGTGTGGGCATCGTGCAGCTGCGAGACAAGCAGTCGGACGCGCGGGGTCTGTTAGCTTCGCTGGCGGCACTGCACGAGCACACAGCGGCGGCCGTCGTGCCGCTGGTGATCAACGACCGGGTCGACGTGGCCGCCGCAGCGATGACGGGTGGATTCTGTGAGGGCGTGCATCTAGGCCAAGACGACGTCGACGTGGCGACAGCACGACGGCTGCTGGGGCCGGCCGCGCTGATCGGCGTCACGGCAAGCACGGCAGCCGAGGCCGTGGCCGCCTGTCGTGACGGCGCCGACTATCTCGGACTCGGCACCGTCTTTGCCACGGCCACCAAGACCGATACCAAACACGTCGTCGGCACGGCTGGCCTCCGTCGCATGCTGGCTGCCATTGCCCGTGCTGGCTTTGGTCACGTGCCGGCCGTCTGCATCGGCGGCATCGGGGCTGCCAACGCCCGCCGCGTCGTCTTCCAGGGAGCCTGGGAGGGCGACGACGTCCAACAGCTACCCCCGAAACGAGTCGATGGCATCGCCGTCGTCAGCGCCATCATGTCGGCCCCCGACCCGGCTGCTGCCGCCGACCAGCTCGCCCGTCAGGTCCGTCTCGGCCAGACCTGCGGGCCCACGGCTTTCTGGGCAGCTCCGACGACAACCACAACAAGAAGCAAAACGACCACCCGCTCCATCCAGCCCATCCTCGCCGCCATGCACCGCCTCACGCCCCTCTCCCACAACATGACTAACCTGGTGGTGCAGAACCTGGCGGCCAATGTGGCCCTCGCCGTCGGGGCGTCGCCCATCATGGCCAACAGCGGCGCCGAGGCTGCTGATCTGGCCCGCCTGCCGGCCAGCGCCCTGCTCGTCAACACCGGCTCCGTCACGCCCGAGAGCGTGGCTGCCTACGTCCAGGCCATTGCGGCCTACAACGCGGCCGGCCGGCCGATCGTCTACGATCCCGTCGGGTGAGTGTCTGTGCTGTGTGCCTGTATCTCATCATCGCACAATCTCGTTTGTTCTCACACCTTCAGCGCTGGCGCCACAGACGTCCGTCGAGCCGCCGTCCGCACCGTCATGGCCGCCGGCTACATCGATGTCATCAAGGGCAACGAGGGCGAGATGCAGGCCGTGTATGCCGCGGGCAGCAACCCGGACGATGGCGACTGCCCAGACAGCTCGTCGGCCCAGCAGCAGCGCGGCGTCGACGGCAGCAGCCGGCTCGACGGGACAGCGCGTGCTCGCCTGGTTCGCCGTCTGGCCGCGCGTGAGCGCTGCGTCGTCGTGCTCACGGGCCCCGTCGACTACGTGGCCGAACCGACAGGTTGTCATGTCCTCGCCGTCGCTCACGGCCACCCGCTGCTCGGTCAGGTCACCGGCACTGGCTGCACCCTCGGCACCGCCATCTCGGCTGCCGTCGCCGCTGCCGGCGTCCTGCGCGAAGAGGCCACCGATCCCTCAGCTGCATCCGTATTTTCCACCTTTCACGCCGTCGTCGCTGCCCTCGTCCTCTACGAACGCGCCGCTGAGCTCGCTGCCCAGTCGGCCACTGTCGCCGGCCCCGGCTCCTTCGTGCCCGCCTTCCTCGACTGCCTCGCCAGCTGCCGTCACCGCGCTGCTGCCGGCGACATGGCCTGGGTCCAGGACAACTACCGCATCACAGACGTTTAGAGACACATAGAGCCTGTGGCTGTAAATTCATGAGAAGCGTTGGAATGTCCTATCTGGGAAGGTGCACGTGCTCTCGTTCTTGCCTGGCCCCACTTGGTCCCACCATATCATTCGTACTCAGATCCCATCATCATTGATCCTCCATCTTCATTACACATCACCATGTCTGCCTACTGCTGCACCTGTGCAGCCCCTCTGCCCATCGGCTCATCAGAGAAAACGCTTCCATGCATGCCTGTCGCCCGGCAGTTGCCGTGCTGCGACCGCTTCGTCTGCGGCCGTTGCTTAGAGGCAAGTCCACTGCGTCTTCTGTCTCCCATCGGCTGGCTGACGTTCTTCCCCTCTAGACAAACCCCCCCTTCGCCTCCTACTGCCCCTACTGCCAGATTGCTTCTGCCGCCTCACCCGCTCAGCACCTGCTGCCTCCCGGACTCAAGCCTCCACCTCCATATCGGCCTGGCAGAGCCCCCGCTTCATCTGACGCTCCGCCGCCTTATACGGCTGTCCCGCTGACTAAGCAGACCATCGTGGACGACACGCCCATCCTCCACCATCTCGACCACGACCGCGACTCCATCGCGTCACTGTCCTTGCGCTACAACGTACCTGCGGATGTCCTACGCCGCACAAACCGCCTGGCCGTTGATCATCTGTTGCTGGGCCGTCGCGTCGTCGAGATCCCCCGGCTGTCCTCGTCCTCTTCGCCCGTCTCCCTCTCTCCCAACCCGGTCGAGGGTGAGGTCGAGGCTCTGCGCAAATCTCAGATCCGCCGCTTCATGGTTGCCTGCAAGGTTGCTGACTACGACCTCGCCGTCCTCTACCTCGATCAGGCTGCCTACGATCTCGCACCCGCTATCGCTGCCTATCAGGCCGACGAGCTGTGGGAACGCCAGAATCCACAGGTCCGGAACAAGATCAAGACCAAGACCAAAACCTATAATCGCACCAGCCTACTCTCTCTTGTCAGACCACGTCCACCACCTGAGACAGACAAGCATTAGACACGCACTCGTGCACGCCCTTCCATTATATCCCCGATCTATATCTGATCGAGATGAAGATGACACTGCCGAGAAGCAGCCGCCTTGGCGGAGTCCTTGTATACAATTGATATATCAACATAACGCCCTCCCCGGTTCTCACCGTGGCCCTGTCCTGAATCCGCATCCGATACGCCCTCCCGCTGGAGAAATGAAGAAATGACAAGGCGGAAAGAGAATCAAAACGTCAAAACGTCAAAACGCCGATCGTGTCCGGAAGTCCTGCACAATATGAGTCAGCTAATCTCCTTCACTTTGTCTTCTCCATCCACACGAGCACTCACCGAGATCTTTCGTTCAATCTCCCGCACCGACCGGTCCAGCTCGCCCGCAATCATCTGCTTCTTCTCCCGCGGCAGCAGGTTGAACCGCTCGCACAGATCACCGTCGATCACCCCCTTCACCGGCACGTAGTACGACCGATACATCAGGTGGTCCCGACCGGCCAGCGGCGCATCTTCTTGCCGCATGTGCGTCTCCAGGTTCTGGAAGAAGTCTGCGTCATCCCGGCTGACAAACGGAACCAACGCCCCCACCGTTCCCTGCAACCCGCTCCACACCAACACCTCCTGGCCACCCACCACCAGGCTGGCCTTGCAGATGCTCATCGGCACGTCTTGCGTGTACACGTGCGCCATCAGCGCCAGCCGGTTCGGGGCTCCGTGAAGATAACCGCGCGCATGCACCAGCTGCAGCTCTGATCCCGGCTCATCGGCGTCTTGGCTGGCCTTGTCGCTCACTCGCAGGATCCACAGGTTGCCAAACTTGTCGCCGCCTGCCACTGACTGGTAGTCCACCATTGTCGTGCACGTCGTCCATCGCTTGATCGTGTCGTCCACAAACGGCAGCAGCTTGTTGATCTCCGGCTTGTACACCACGTACGTCACGCCCTCTTCCACGTCGCCTACCACCACCCGGCTGCCCTGTGTCTGCAGCGACACGATCAGCTTGCTCGACACTTCCGACTGGGCCTTGCGCAGCATCTGCTTGATGCCTAGATCGTAGATCCGCAACACGTTGCCGATGCCCACCAAAATCCGTCCCTGAAATGCCAGCAGCGCCGTCGGCGGCTCTTCCACCTTAGTCTTATGCACCAGCTCCAGCTGCGTGCCGTCCTTGACGAACCGGTACGCGTGGATGTATCCCTCCGAGAACTGCCGCGGACTGAGGATCATGTTCCGGCCCGTCCCCACAATCAGATAGCTCTCGCCGCCTCGGCTGACAAACGATGCCACCGCCATGCATACCGCCGCCTCATTGCCCTCCAGCTCGATCGTCTGCGTCACTCCGGGGTCTTCGCCCACCGGATCGACCACGCTGATGCACGACGCCCATCGCCCGTTACCCCGGGGGTAGCCAAAGTCTTCCGGCGGGAGGACCGACGCATCACCATTCGTCACGCCAGGTGCTTCGATAAGCTGCCGCCGCAAGTCCGGCGACAGCGTGTTGTTGTCGGCCTCGATGGTGTAGAAGATTCCGAATTCCGGGTGCTTCACCAGTCGTCTGGGCGTGTATGTCAGGGGAAAGCTCTTCTGGATCAGGGCGTCGCCGAGCTTCTCAATCGAGAAAATCCTAGATTCGAGTCGTCAGAATCAGAGCCAGACACAACGCAACCAAGAGTATGAAGGTTAAGAAAGTGGCATGTCAGAAGGAACAATTGATATCATGTAAAATGATACAGGTCCTCATTGCATAGTAGCGTAGGAAAATTCCCTTGTAAATTCTCATCATTTGCCAGGGGGGTGAAAGTGCACTGCCAGAAGCAGAAAGAAAAAAGAACGTGAACGTACCGCAGAAAATTGCCATGGATACCGACCATGCCCTCTTCGCACTGCTCACTGCTAAAGTTCCAGCCCCACTCGAGCTCACTGTAGTCGAGCCTTGTCATGGCAAAGTTCTTGGCCTTGCTGTCGTCGTAGCCGAGCCAGGGCCGGGAGCTGAGCGCCAGCACGCAGACCCGCCGCTGCACGGAGACCTGGAAGAGCCGGACCAACTTGGGTCCTAGGAAGCGCTGCCGCGTGTCGGTGAGCTCGCCCGTGACCTCGTCCAGGACCGTGCGCAGGTACACGCCCGAATGCAGGCCGATGTGCAGGTACAAGGCCGTTCCGCCGGCCGAGGAGTCGTCCATGGCCATGATCAGCAGCGACGAGGGTGCGGCTGTCAGAGCCTGGATCGACATGTTGTCCAGCGTCGTCTCCGGGTCCAGGCTGAGGATGCGCACCGTGCAGTCGTCACAGCCGACGGCCAGGTATGAGCTCCGGAGCCGGCCCTCGGGCACGGCGCCTAGACTGAGGCAGGTCACTGTGCCAAACATCTCCTTCTTCTCGTCGTACTCGGCGAGCGAGCCGTCCGTGTCCATCTCAAAGTACACAATCTCGCCCGAGCTAAGCGCCACCACCACCTGTCTCTCGTTCGTTGCGGCCGCGACTATGGACCGGTGCTGCGGCGCCGCCCACTCGTTCACCCGGCCGTCGCGAATATGGCGGATGCCCTTGGGGTGGACCTGGATCAGACCGTCGTCGCCGAGCTGCTGCACAGCCAATGTCGGCACGGAAGAGAGGAAGCCTGTGTCGGTCACCTCCTCGACCGTCTCGCCGATGCTCAGGACAAGCGTGCCGTTGTTGAACGACAGCACGATGAACGCATCGTATTCCTCGTCCCGCCGCACCTTGGTTGTCCAGACGGCCGTCGGCGTGCCCGGGAGCTGTGATGCCACAATCTCGTTCACCTCCAGGGCGTGTTTCAGCATCCTGAAGGTGCTGCGGGCGCCATTGCCGCAGACCGAGTAAATTTGCGGCACGTCGTCGTCCGTTAGGTTAGCCACCTTGCAGTCCAGCATGGGGTTCATCGACTCGATGCTCTCGACCAGCGCCAAATTTTCGGCCGGCCGTGGGTAGAAATAGACCGGCTCATAGGGTGCCTTGGGCTCGTGCGGGAAGTTGTCACTCGAGAACTCGAGCTCGTCGTCGTCGTCTCCCAGCTTCTCAAACTGGTAGAACTGGTGGTTGCCAAACTCGGACGCCGAGAACAGGAAGCCGCTCTTCAGAATGCAGAGACTTGACGCCACCGGAATGGTGTCAAAGTACTTAATCTTGAGCCGCAGAACCTCGCCAGTCGGATTCCCGTCATCGTCTTCGACCATGTCCAGGGTCAGCTTGAGCAGGTCGCCGTCCTCGGTCTGGAGCAGGAAGAAAAAGGCGCCCGCACTGCCTTTCAGCTTGTGCATGACACCGGACACGATGGTGCGCTTGCGGTTCGGGTCCTCGGTGGCACCGCGTCGCCGGGGAATGGGCACACGGTAGGCCTCCTGATTGGAATGCCGGTAGGTGATGTTCTCCTCGCCACAGACCAGCACGCCGCTGGGCCCATCGCTGCCGCCGGGGACCTGAAACAGCATAGACGCGGTCGAGTCGACGGTGTCGGACCATCTCCGGACGACGTGATTCAGACCGAGATCCAGCTCGTAGTAGACAAGCAGAGTCTCAGCCTCACGGTAGGCTTCGCCGGTCGGGTCCTGGTCGGACTCGGCGTAATCCAGCTCCAGAGCAGCAAAAACGGGATTGGCATAGCCAACGTCCAGGGCGACGAGCGAGATCACAATCACGCCGGGCTTGTGGGCTTCCAACGGAGACGAGATGGTAAGCTCAGCCTGGGCGTTGCGGTTCAGGACGTATACCAACTTGTTCTTCTCGACCGAGGCGATCAGACAGGCACGACCCTTGGGGTCGGCCGCCAGATACTGTCCCGGCACAACACGGCGGACACCCGATTTGCCAAACGTCTCCAGATGGATGCGCTGGAAGCGGTTGTCGGCCGGGATGTACTCGATAATGGTGATCCTGCCAGAGTCGGTGGCAAGAATGACATAATCTGCGCGAAGCAACCAAGGAAAAAAGCCCATGTCAGTCTCCTGGTTCATACAGCTACAGAGCTAGGCAGCCTAGTCTAGTGGACCAGCACAACGAGGGTGCCTCGAGCACATCTAGACTAGCTTGGTGTCACTATGTGACTTGCCTGAAAGAGAAGCAAGGGGGGGTAAAGAAGGCGAGATATAGACAGAACATACCTTTATTGCTTCCAGCCAGGCGGAAGGCGGCAATGGAGCGGATAATGCCGAAAACGTCATGGGTGAGCAGGGTGATGACCTTTCCCTGAGACGGGTCCGGACGGAGCAGCGACAGACGCGAGCCAGAAGCTGTGAGGATCTGCTGCTCCTTGGTGCCAGAAAACTGGCCGAGGATGGCCTGGTTGATGTTGGTGGGCGGCTGTAGCGTCAAGGAATACAAGAACATATTCGAGGTGGTGGTGGCCATCTCTGCGGTGTTGCTATCCCCGCTAGGGGGTTCCTGCGCGAGCGCGCCGTTGTATAGAAGAAGGGTAGGATGGAGGGAGCGTGGACGGCTCGGAAGAAGGAGAGAAGGCTCGGGGGAGAAGGAGGTTGAAAAGAAGGGGATTGGGCGGGAAAAAAATCAACAAAAGCTTTTGCTTGCTTAGGCTTGGGCAAGGTATCTTAGGTAGCCGGGACGGAAGAACGTTGTTCCACTGGAGCCAATCAGCGAGGTGGAGTAGATGCGGAAAAAACGGGTTGCAGTAGAATTTGCGAAATTGGTGAGCAGAGCGAGGGGGGTGTGGATTTCTCAGGCCACCTACGAGCTCGCGATTGCGCATCCATTGGGCAAAAGCAGAGCAAAATCATGGTAAGGTCAGAGCCGACGGTGCGGGCGATGCTCTCGAGCATCTGCCGTCAATGCAGGCGGCCGACAGGACAGCGAACGCCGCAGCCGGCTGCACGACAGCTGGGGGGCAGCCGAGGCGAGTCGATGTGGGCACGGGTGGCGGCGGGCGAGGCGAAGAGCGCAGCAGGAGCCGGTGGTTCCGGTGCCAGCTCGCCACGGCCGGCGCTGCTGCGGCCACGCTGGTCCGAGGAGGAGGGGGTACACCGGACAGCCGTGACGGCACAGCGGCGGAAGTCGTCGACGGCAACGACGACGACGACGACGGCAGCTAAGACCAAGGGCAGGACAGAGCGGGTGTTGGCAGCCGATGACCTGTTCCACGCGTACAGCAGCTCGCCGATTGCCGACATGCGACGACGGGCGGCCTTTATCAAGATGCACGCACACTGTCCACACCCACACCACAAGCACGGAGTGATGGGCGAGACGACAGCGGCGGAGCCGGACTCGGCAGCAGCGCCGCAGCTGAAGGCGCTATCGCGGCTAGAGGGCGGCGAGCTGGCGCCGGCGCACGTGGACTTTGAGTGTCCGGACTGCGGGGTGCCGGTGTACTGCAGCGAGGCGCACTGGATGGACGACTACGAGGCGCATCTGCAGATCTGCGACACGCTGCGGCAGATCAACGAGGACGACCACGACCTGCGGTCAGGGCGCGACTTTGCCGAGTTCGACTACCCGGGCGAGCAGATGGCCGAGGCGCTGGTCAACATGACCAGCTGGGACACGTTTCTGTACACGCGCGGCTTCTCGGCCGTCAACGACGACCGGAGCATGCGCCAGGTGACGCGACTGCTGACGTATCCGGTCACGGTGGCGAGCGTGCTGCACGAGCTGAGCCCATACAACATCCGGCGGGGTGGCCGGCTGACGGCCGAGGGCCTCAAGAGCCTCAGCGCCCTGCGCTACACGCTGCACCCGCCGCTGGCGGGCGAGTCTGACAGCGTGCGCGGCATCCGGCCACAGGCCCCGGCCGTCCGGCTGTTTGTGCTGGGCGCGCGTGCCGAGTCGTCGCTGCCGCGCGATGTCTGGGTCCAGCTGGCCCATCTCTTTCCGCGCGCGCGGCTGCATGTCGTCCTGATCGGCCCCGAGAGCATGGCCAATCGCGACGACGAGTTTCCGCTGCCGGCGCGCACGGCGACCAATCCGTTTGGTGCCGTGGTCGAGGACCGTGTCTGGCCAACCATGAAGATCACCACCATCGTCGACTACTTCCACACCGTTCACCAGACCGGCTACTTTGCCCCGTACGACCCCTACTTTGACTGCTTCATGCTCTTCCACCCCGGACTCGGCCACCCGACCAGCTCGCACGAGTGGGCCACCACCCTGCCCATGCTGCTCGAGACCAAGGCCCCCGTCCTCGTGACCGGCTACACCCAGCACGACATGGAGCGCGACATCGCCTGGGTCGGCCGCACGGCCGCCGGCGAGTTCGACCTGCTCATGGAGCCGGGCGAGAACATCTTCCGCAGCTTGCGCTGGGATCTCAACGACCTAGACCCCCAGGACATTAGCTGTGGCAACTGGGGACTGTGGGCTTTCCGTGGAAAGAGGTGTGTTTTTTTTCTCTCTTTTTCTCTTTCTCCTTCCTTTCCCCTTTCTCCCACTAACAATCCAGATACGAGGCTACGCATAAACCGTCCGAGTAGATACTTTGCGTGTAAAATAATCCAGTCCCCATTTCAGTATCGCTTGGGTAGAAGCATAAGCGGCGTTGGCCACGATGAAGGAGAAAACAGCCGTCACTTGTATTTGGGGTGTCCTTGGTTGCCGGTAGATAGATGTCTGAATGCCATCCTCTCTTCACGTCTGTCGTGCACGTGCACGTGCCCTCTGCAGCGGGTCGGGAGGCTGAGGGTCGCATATTCGGCCGCGGATAACGTCCGATAAGGAAGGAACGCGCTGTAGCCCAACAAAGCGCAGACATCGTCTTCTCTTTCCGCATTCGACCTTTTGCTCCTCGCCACGGCGACCTTGCCGTGATCCTCTTCTTCTTTCCTGTCATCACACTCTCGCTTCGCCTCTTCATCCATCCTCTCTCCCCCCCCGGCCACGTTCCGGGGAGCGACATGCTCTCGGTCGGTCAGCCCATTCCCTGGCACCGGCCATGACGACCGCCACAGCCACAGCCAAAGCCATGGCTGCCACGCCGAAAACGAACCCGAAATCCTCTCCGACGACTGCCCAAAGCCTCACGACAGCAGCTGCCATCGCAGCCGCCGCTGCTGCGTCCATCTCGCCATCGCCACCGCCATCACCGTCTCCATCGCCACCACCACCACCACCACATACGCCTGCCACCGCCCGTCGAAGGCCGCCCGGACGCACAGCCGCTGCCGCCGTCATCGCCGATCCTCTCTCCGACAAGGCAACGATTCTGCTGATCCGACGGACCCTCTGTGCTGACGATGTCGGCCAGCCAGCTGCTCTGGGCCACGGCCAGCCCCCGGCTCCGGTCTCAACGGCCGCCCAACCTCAGGCTCTGACGCCGACGCCGACGCCGACGCCGACTGCCACGGCTACAACCTCTACAATCTCTATAGCTCCCACAACCTCCATCCCAACCACCACCACTTCGGCCACTCCGCCTCCACAAACACCCATCGAAGAACTGCTGCCACCGCTGACGAGCCGCAACGACGTCGACCTGCAGTTGTACGCCCTGCTGGCCGTCGTCGTGCGCGAGTTTGTCCAGACCTGGTATTGCCGCATCACCACCGACAGCCAGTTGGCCACCGAAATCGTCCACATCTTTGCCCACTGCACTCGCGCTCTCGAACAGCGGCTGCGCAAAGCCGACCTCGAAGGCCTCGTCTTTGACGAGCTGCCAGCCTTGTTGGATAACCACGTCCAGGGTGAGTTGTTGCGTCTTGCCCCTCTCTGTCTCCTCTCTCTCTCCTCTCTCCTCTCTCTCCTCTCTCTCCTCTCTCTAACCTCTCAGCCTACCGAATCGCTCACCAACGTCTCGTCCCACTGCCTGTCCAGACAGACCCTCGCGTCGTCTATCACGCTCTGCTCCCGCTGCCGGCCCTTGAGCCCGTGCCCTCCGCCAAGTCGGCCGAGTCCGTGCTCAGCCAAGCTGCCAACGAGTCGGCCTACCGCCAGCTGCTCGTCAGCGGTCTGCTCGCCGTCCTTTTGCCCACCGAGGACCTCGAAAACGAATGTCTGACATCGCTTCTTAGTCAGATCTTGTCCGAGCTGCTGCTCGGCAACGTCTTGGCCGGCCGTGTTGCCGAACCCTGGATGATGTGGGAGATTGTCGGCATGTTGGCTCGCCTGTTGCGTGAGAAGATCGACGGCGAGAACAACAACACTCTGCCAAATTCGACGACAAAATTGCCTCAGAAACTGCGCTCTCCTTCGCTCACTCCTCCGCCTACTCCCTCGCCTTCCTCCTTCTCGGCTCTTTCCTCCTCCATCTCCTTACGCTTCTCCTCCTTTTCCTCTACCATCACTCCCCTCTTCTGGTCGGCCCTGCGCATCGGCTTCGCCCTTTACGCTTCCCTCCGCTTTCTAGTTGCCAGCATCAGCCTCGCTCGCTCTCTGCCTCCACGTCAGCTCCAATTCTCCGACCAGTCTATGCCAGCTAAGAACAGCAGCCTTCCTGTCGCCCATTCCGCTGCTCATCTTCTTCCCTCTCCACCACCCGTCTTGGCCTACAGCCTGTGGCCTGCCGTCGCCAATCTCGTCGAGTTCAATGTCCGCATGCCCTGGCTCAGCGGCTGTCTGTCCATGGTCCAGTGGTTGGCTTTGACCGGTCCAGGTCGTATCGGTGCCTTCGACGGGCCTCTTGACAGGTAGGCATCTCCCGGATTATGTAATCACGTTTTTTCTTCTTCTCGCTTCATCTTCGCCCCCCAATCTCTCTGAGCACATCTGGGCACATCTCATCACATCTCATCTCTCGCCCTCGCTTTCTATTCCCCCTTTGGAAGGCGGCAATGTTGCATCATCCCCCCCTTCTTCCCTGCTTCCCCCGTTCAATCCGCATGTGCTTCTGGTCACTGGATTTGTCTGAAGTCTGCTTATCCCCTCGCCCTTCCGACGACGATGACATTCGTATGTCATATTTCGGCTCGGTGCTCTGATCCTTGCTCTATCTCCCCCCACTGATATCACACAACGTCGACCCATAGCATTGATGTCGATGAGACCGAGGAGCAGCTAATCCAGAGCGTATCATCGTCTCTGGCCTATCTCTGGTCTACGGCCTCTGCATTTTGGGCCAATCGCATCTCGGAGAAGCCGTTCTGGCTTCCTATTGCTCAATATCCTCCCCAGCAACACCCAACCAACCGCTCTCGTTTACGCGCCCAAATATAACGTTACACCCTTGCAAGCCCTCTTTTTTTTCCCTTATTACCCCCTTCACTTCAAGCTGCCTTTATCTTGTCAGGCAAAGGTCGCTTCGTACCGCCCCATTAGCCCTTCCGCCCTGCTCCTGTCGGAGCGGATATGGTGCTGGATGCTAGGCACCACCACTCTGACCATCACTGTTTCACTCTTCTGTTCTTTTTCGGCCCCTTCAATACTGCCTTGCTGCCGCAAGCGACAGATCCATCCGCTTCCCTCTTCCGCCGTCGCACTATCATTTTCCTCAACGGACACCCCTCTTCGTACGAGGCAAGGGGTGCTGTCGGTGCTCTGTCTGTGTCTGATTTCCCGGTCCGACCACCTTGCCTGATTCCACCGCAACCTGCATATGCTATTTTTCTATTCTTTTCTTTTTTCGGGGCCCTGTCAGTCTTTCCGTCTGTTGGACTGTTGGCTGTAGTCGACCTATGGCATATGCCCGAATCGCCCTGATACCCATCCTCGCCTCGTCTCGGCTCCTTGACTCCCCTCTCTTGCTGCATGCACACCGTCATCCGCACCCACGCCACATCCCTTACTTCCGGTCCGAGTCCCTATAGGACCGGATCAGCCTGTACAGTGTACGGCTTGCAGCTCTGAACCTCAACCCAAGACGCATCACAACCACCCTTTCCCTTTTTTGTCATTTTCACCGTTCCGCACCCCCTCCTTGCCCATTTCCGCCCCGAATGGATGGGGGAGTGAGTTTAAGGTCAAGTACCCGTGATGTGATCGCGACTCCAGTCTCTTTCCTCTTTTTCCCACTTTCCCGCCCAGTCTAAGCCTCTGTTTGATGGCCGATCCTTGCAGGACTGACTCTTCTTTCCAGGCTCCTTTCCTACTATCTGCGAAAATATGCCCTGGATGCTGCCCTGTTGCCGGCCCTGCTGCGCTCCATGCGCTCCGCCGTCTTCCCGGGCAACAAGTTTGGCGCAACGCCACCCACACTCGTGGCGCCAGCAAATGCCCACGAAGAAAAAGCCCTGAGACGACGGACGGCCGAAGCTGTGTGGGCTGTGGCCAATGGCAATCGGGCTGCCTCGGAAGCGACGCTAGCCGACATCGATGGCGTGCTGGACGTCTTCAGTGACGCCTATTGCAACAAACACCTGCTGTACGGCCTGCTGGAGGCTATCCTGGTACGCCTGTTGCCAGAGATGGCCGACACAGGTGTGCTGGGTCTCTGGGAGGAGCGCCTAAGCTGAGCAGTAATGGGCAGAAGCAGCAGCAGTTAGAGAACTCCAACAGATGTGTTCACCCCAAAAATGCGTACGTGTAGTGAATTATACCCACTGCGACCTTATTCTCCCTACCTCGTCAGTTTTCAGATGTCACAATATATGCAGCGATAGAAATGTCTAGCATATGCAAATGGCCGCCCAAAGCTTCATTTTTTTTTTGCCTGTTTTTTCTGCTAGTTATCTTCTCTTTTTTTGCGTTGTGGTGTTTTCTTTGAAAACAAATGGGGGGTCGCAGTGATAGGAGGCTAATAGATCGACCCCGTCTCGAAAAACTCTTCGAGGATGTGGAAAGTATGGCTCCCGTTTCCAATCGTTCTGATCTTTGAGCTGCCCCCTACCCTCTTGTCTCTCCCCTCTACCTCCCATGAGTAATAGAAAAATGACATAGCCGCCCGGAGTAAAAAAGCAGAAGAAGAAAAAAAAAGAAAAAAAAAGGACAGTTTACAAGATCCCTCCAAGCGGTATGACATCGGGCCCATTACAGCCCACATATTTCATTCCCTCCGTCAGTTCCTGGTAGTGCCGGCTAGGGGACATCCCCCTCATGCTGCCAGTCCAGTGCCATACTTCATAGTAATTTCCGTCGTATCTTAATCCAAGTGGACGTGGGTCCGATTCTTTGCTTTCTCTAGCCATGGACTTGCTGCCCTGAATATCGAAAGAACCCCTGTATAAACATCAAAAAATGCACGCAGAACTGAAGGAGATAAGTTAAACAAATATTGGTAGAAAAATAACAAAGCACGACGAAGAAAGAAAGAAACGGAAAAATTAAAAATGAAAATGAAAATGCACGCAGAGTGAACGTCGTATGCTTCCCGTCTCCCATGCTGGCTTTTGATGAAATGCTGCGTACGTATCTTCCCCAAATGTCGCCAACGCAGGCATCACTCCTCCATGCTGCTCCCCCTCTGCGTCCAGCACCCTGCCGACCCCCGATGCCTACAGTATAGGGAAAACAAGGATTAAGAACTCCGTAGAATCCAGATAAAAACACTGTTGCGTGAGCGGGTATATCTTCCTCGGAAAACAAATGTGTCAGCGTTGCTCCCTGCTCCTAGGCTTGTGGAAGCAAGCCGAGAAAGAGGGTGTGGATTGCCGATAGAAAGCAGAGTATAACAGAGTTTTAGGTCTTCTCTTGTCAACGCGAGAAGCTGAGATCAGGCACTCTCGAGAACTGGCCTGGGCCCAGTAACTGTACAGCATGTCGGCTTCCTCTGACAGTTGAGACGCCACGCATCAAATATGCCTTCTCGCCCCTCCGGAATTTTAAAGGAAAAGTATGAGGTGCATCGGTCGTAGTGATTCGCAAATAGCCCGAAATCGGAGATACAGCATTCGCTTGCTATGCAGTCATGGTAGTTCCCAGCTTTGAATGGCTCAAATCGCTGGCCATCTCCACGTCTCCTTCGGGAATCCGCGTAAGGCCGCCCATGCCTTGGGCTGCAGCAGTAGCCTTCGCTATATGCTGCTGATGATGATGGGAGCGTAGCTTCTCAGACAGACGCAGGAGCGCCATGTAATCATTGTTGTCGAAGTTGCTGGGAACACTCTGGATAAACGACAGGAGCGTTTCTGCCGCTCTCTGGGCGTCCTCTTGGGTAGGCGAACTTGGCGACGAGCCACCCGACATGTGAGACCCCATGGTTGAGCCGCCAATACCACCCGCCGAGCGCGGTATAGCCATCATCAGGCTGTTGCTGCTGCTGCTTCGTCGCAGCTGTGGCGATACAACGTTGCTTTCGATGCCGTAAGAGGTTGCTGACATTTCGGTCATTGGCGATTCCACCGCCGACGATGGTGCAGATGATGGCACGTGGTGAAGGTGGTATTTGGGCGTCATGGATTCCGGCATCGAGACCGCCGATGCGTCGTGGATGTTCTGAGAGTGAGTATCGTTCTGCGGCTGATTCAAGTAGTCCAAGTTGAGAGCCGGCAGCGTCTGACTGCGTGGTCGCTGGAAGTTGGAAGACCCTGGGGGGCCCATGGAATCGTGTGGGAGAAAGGACCCAACGTTCGAATCCGGTGAGAAGGTAAATGACATGGTCGGGCTCATGGCTCCTCCAGAGAAGGACGACACAGGTGTCTCCGTAAAGACGCTCGACAGTGACGTCGTGCTCTGGTTGTTGCCGTGTTTGTATGAACCCACCGCCATCCCCAGTCCCATCGTCAGGCCGCTACCCAGTCCCATCCCGCTATGCCCGGCGTGGCCAGTGTTCGGACTCGAGTCTTGTGAAAAGCCGAGGTAGTTTCCGGCTGCTGCTCCGGTGCTGACCGCCTCCCTCTCGTCATCGCTGCGGCTTGCTGACAAGGGCGAGGGTGACGGCTGACATGCCGGCGAGGACGGTGATCTAGCGTTGGGTTAGGATTTACTGGTGTCAGAGATGGGGATTCTATCGCTCTTGCAACAGCTGCGTCTAGACGACGGTCCGGGATGTTTGTCTCGGAAGCACGGCGCAAAAGCCTTCCTGCCCCTATTCCGTTCTTCTGCTTGAACTTCTCCAGCCAGCTGCTGCTGCTGGCTTTGAGGACGGTGTCTGGGTTTCCCGTGCTTGTTGCAAAGAATCGAAATTTTTCTTGGATTGCGTCGTCCGTCATTGGTGTCCCAGTCTTCTGTGCATTGCGTACCCAGTTCGAGAGCGCTCGTTCGATATCAGGAAGCTTGCCTTTGGCCTTCTTGTGTGGCGACTTGCTCCGGTCTTCCTTGTTGAAGTACTTTTCCTTGTTGCGAAGAACCTTTGACACGGTACTAAAATAGCATCTTGTAAATGGTGTGTCCTACTGCGACAAAGGAATATGAGCTGAGCCCTACCTTCTTTCTACCCCAAACAGGTTTCCAATGTCGGACTGCTTGACACCCGGGTTCATGTCGGCATATTTGCACATTCTCCGGCGGTCATCGTCCGTCAGCATCCTCCGCGGGGTCGGCTTTCCCTCCTTCTCGTTCGGCTTCATCGCCCTGCGGACGGGGATGCCGATCGATTGCCGTCCGTGGCTTGCACTACTAATGGTCGACGGCGCCGTGGAAGGGTAGTTTCCGCCGGGATTTGTAAGCATGCTCGGCCACGTTGGATTTGACGGCACCATCAGCATCGGGAGCTGGGGAAGGTGATGGTGGTGTGGTACCGGTTGTGCTATAATCGGCACCTCCTGCTGATGATGGTTCTGATGGTCCGACATTGGTTGTAGCTGTGACTGCTGCGCTTCGTGTTGCGATTGGTGATGATGATGCATCCCTTGAGAATGATGATGCTGTTGATCATGATTCAATTTTCCATGCAGATGTGGAGGCATTCTGTCAAGCGGTTCCGAAGGTAGGTCGTGTGTCGTGATCGGTGGAATGTATGCAAATTCAGCATTCCCATAGCCGGCCAGCGTAGACTGTGGATAGGCAGTCATGCCCGACCAGCCGTTCTGCCCATACGCTGATTCATCCTGGGCAAGTTGAGTTTCTGGATCCATGCCGGCCGAGGTGATGGCTGAATTATGCATCCCTTTTCAACACAAGAGTGCCTGTATTAGACACTCTTGTGTCCTTAGATAGTGAAGACCAGGTAGAGATGAACCACAAAGTAGACGTAGGATAGTAAGAAAGTATTAGCAGATGCCTGCAAGGTGTGTCAAGCGTGGCGATGACAGCAAAAACGAAAGCTGTATGTCAGATTTGTCGACGCATCGAACGGTTTCCCAAGGGCGGAGGCTGCTCAAAGGTCTCTTCTTGTCGTTGACTACTTTCAGCTGGCCCGATTATCGGTTGGGCTGTTCTGTCGGGCTGTCTCTTTGGAGTTCTGTTTCGCTTTGTAAAATGCTACGTTGAAGACAAGCTGGCAAGTGCGGTGGTCATATGCCCGACTGAGACCAACGTGTTCTGCACAAATGAGGTTTTGGCGCGCATGGCTCAGCCTCCAGCTTTCAGTCAGGATATTGCGCAAGGAGACCGCAGCGTGCGATGATGGGTCGGGACAGGGCCGTTAGCTGTGGGTATATCGTTTTCGGCAAGCCTCCCAAAACAGAAGATACCAATGCAGGCCCAGAAGTGATAGGCCTCCCAGGATGAGCTGAGAAGATAGAGGAGGGGGAATCAAACCCGAGCAGTGACAATCGAGTATTGAAGACGAATCTGTGACTGCACTAACGGGAGGATTCGGCGACGGTTTGAAATCGACTCTCCTGTCTCTGGGTCCTTCCTTTTCATGCAGTTGTTGTTTCCTTCCTACCCTGCTGCTCTTATGCTGCAAGCCACAATCGCGCTCGTCCTTGGTTTGCTATCTCACCTTCTCCGACACAAGTACAGTCCTCTTTCTCCACTTTGTCAAGTGTAATGCTGGCTCCCTCCCGGCTTCTTCTCAATTGCCTATTCCAAGGAGAAAGTTTGGGGCAGTTTTTCAAGATTGTGCAGGTGAAGAGGTGAAAAAGGGCCGCAGAGGTAGGTTTGAATTGGCCGGATAGGAGAAGCCGTTGTGCGGCGCCAGACGTTTTGGCGGGTGCTAACGGCAGGACCAGCAGAAACGGGAGGAGAAGGATTGCAGGTAAACCAGCCAAAACGTTAACCGTAGAGAACTAGCCCGGTACTAGCAAAGAACGGGAAACTAAAGGAGCGATGGAAATAAGAGAGGATTTGTTTGCAAGGATTTCCAAGGGCAAAATTCATCGACAAGACAGGTTGTAGACGTAGAAATGAGGCATGAAGCAGACAAGAATACTCAGGCACATGTTCACGGACATGAAGGCATCCAGGTTGTATGTATATGTATGTATCATGGAGAGAACCACACCGGTGAATGACAGTGGTGCGCAACAAGGGAGGGGGAGGGGGGGGGGTGTGGGAGGGATAATAGTGGCAAGCAAGAAAGGCTTAGGGGGGGTTGTATGGGATGGGGTATAATAGCAGGCCAGACAAGGATTCGGTTGGGAGAGGGTCAAGTAAAGAGAGTTAAAGAATATGGGCATTTGAACAGTGGTTTTCAGGAAGACAGAACTAGCCTAAGGCATGATGAGAGCGACTGGGCAGCCATATATGTAGACTAGGTTGCAAGGCACCAGGGTACTCCGTACAAAGAGGGGGAGGTTGACGGGGGTAGTGGGTAGAGGGTGATCGATGCTGTCGTTATACTTGTATGCAATAAGAGTTGCAACCGACTCGTATCAAGTCGTTACTTTTCAAAAGCCGTGTGTTATCGAATAATGCTACATGACATAGCGTGAAAGCGAAGAAGGGGAAGTGTTTCGTCTAATCTTTGCCCTGGCGCTGAGTCGTGTCTGGCCCTCAGATATTCCTTTTTTCCTGACGTTCTCGGTGAACACTGGGAGATGGGGAAAAAGCAAACTGCAGCCCTATATGTAAAACGTAAGACGGCATGTGGCGGTGAAAACGAAAAGAGTGCATCGAACCCGGGCAGACTCTAGTATTTCGTATACCCTGCCGAGAGCACCGCTCTTCTGGTGCAACAAGGCGAACAAGGCGCACGACTGAGAGACGGAGAGCGCGAGTCGTCAATCGGACGGTGCACTTGATTGACGGTTAAGTGGATGCCCGCTACATACGGATAGTGCAAAGTATGTAGCATTGGCATCGTGGATGATTGGTTGATAGACGGGCGGCATATTGGCCGTGCAGTCAAATTCTTCCGCTCACAACCACACTTTAGCGACCGATAGAAGCCAAGATCAACTGAAGCATTGAGCCGGCATCTCACTAACACAGACGGCGGCCATGCCATAACGAAGCGGACAGACTCGGCCAGGTGTGGGTTGCGAATCACAGCCCTGAGCGGGACTTTCGAAAAAGTATAGTCCCCTCGTGGTCAAAATGCCCCTTGTTTTCCGAACTTGGTCGGTGGGCCGACCATTTTTGCTCGACAGGGGTGTCTGCACATATGTACGACGTACGGAGTAGTAGGATAGGTGTGGCAGCTTGAGAGTGGGGCTCGGAATCCATTGTCTGTTAGGTTTTTCTGACGTCGCTTTGTATCATTCCCCAGCCTTTGATCCTCCCATCCAGTATGTAGAAGAAAGGCCGTTAGCAGGAGAAGAATCACGAGACACTAGCACCAGAACAGATACAGCAGGTCGTCGCCGACGCGGCGCGGCGCTGGCGAGCCGTCCAGGACCTTTCTTTGGCCGAAAGCGATGCAAGTCAAAACGGCGACAAGAGCAGTGGGCCTCCAGTCAGGTCTGTAGATTGATCTAGCGGCCATCCTGGCCATGCTCCGTATTGTCAACACGAGCAAGGTGTATGTATGACTAAGTCAAGCGAAAGCACAGACTGGTTTGTCCATCACCCCCCTGGCAACAGTCATTCTTCAACAGTCCGAGCACTGGGTATTGACTACCCGTTGGGGGTGATCGAAGGACGTGGAACGAAACCGGCTGTTTTGAGTGTGAGGATTCGCGTGCAATAATGTCTTGCCTGCTGGTCTCAACAAATTGCACCTGCTCCTATTTCCGTGGGGAGGTACGGAGTAGTAAAGCTGACAAGGATGGCGGCATACCACGCGAAGATCAATGCAGGCAGATGCTGAGGAGCCGAGATTTTGATTTGATTCTTGACGCACTGGCCCGCAGTAGTTGAGGACATACGGAGCTCGGGAGCGTCGAGTAATAAGGCAAGGGTGAGAATGGATACTAAGTAGCGGACGTAAAAGACCCCTGGACGAATAATGGTTGCTGACAATTCAAACGCCATTGGTTCTCGGGTAGACTGTGGCCACACTGTGACTACTCCGTATAATGACCTTGGTTGACCGTACGTCGTAGTGACCGTAGGGAACCTTTGCTTATCGGCCCCGACGCCAGTTGCAAAGATGAGCGACGCCCTAAGTCTAACTAGGCAGAGCTCTGACTGCGAAGGGCTTGGGGCAGCCCGTAAAATCATAGCTGACAATCTGCATGGCGCACTGCTGGACAGCCCCAAGGCCTGGCACCGGTAAGAAATATTGCCTGCTTCTCCGTAGCGAGAAGCTAAGCAATAGGTTAAGAGCATCCGTTGCGTTAATGGGCCGGGCCTCTCCTGGCGCAGGCTGGTCCCTTGTTGGCCTGCCCTGCTGATTTCTGTTGGTCATGGCGGTGCATTCGGGCAGACCCACGAGCGAAAGACGATCAGTGGAGGTGTAAAGTTGGCAGAGAACGGAATACGTCGTATGGAAACGGGCAGCACATTTCACTCCGTATCCAAGCACACGCGACGCAAGACCCAAACCACACGTTGCTAAAGCCCACTAAAACTCGGGTACAAAAAAATCGGCGCAGACCAATCCAGAGAAGAGAAAACACAGAAAGCAGCTGAAGGACCGATGGCTGCCAGGATATGCGGACCAACCGCAAGCCACACATAGACGATTGGCATTGTCATTGGCTGTAATTTCCGGATTGAGCACAGCCCGTGCTGAGCGATGATTGGACAATAATGTGAGATATATCAGGAGGTGGAGTTGTCTATGCGTGAAGAGGAAAAAGGCCCTTTGAGAGGAGGGTCGAGTGGCGCAGGCTCGTCATCCTCAGCGTCTCATGCCGTACGTAAGCATGTTGCTTTCCCGTGAGCCTCTACGACGTAAAATCCATACGTCGTACTCCGTACTCCGCATACCTCGGTCAGAAGGACAAGGTGCCTCGGGCAAGATTGACCAGGGTTGATAAACCTGAGTGTCATTATTGAGTTAGGTTCTAACAAGACGCACACCACAAAGGGCAAGGCACGCCCCACATTTCACGGTCTGTTTAAAATGACGGCCGAGATAAGTTGACGTCGGTATGGAGCAATCTGCTGTGATACCTTGTAAGATCTCCGATGTAGCCCACCTGACCGAAAACGACTTCAAGGAGTTAGCAATGTAAGATACTCTCAAGGCTCTGTCCGAAGCCATCCGCGCTCGCGCATAGTAAGATAGAGTGTAGTGGTAGTAGTAGAGGGCGTGGGAAAGGCGCCGTCTTTTGATGGGTCGGCCCAATTGTCAGATAATAGTGATGGAGAGGGGGGGAGGGGGGTGCGGCGCATGCGTGACAATGCTTCGTACTGAGTACGATGCCCCGGACGTATTCTCAGACTCCAAGTACATCGGAATGAGACAGAGGAAAGCGAGGAGGTGGTGTGGGTGGACTGAAGAGGCCTTGTTACTTTGGGGGCGTATTGGTAATGCTCCGTAAGACCAGGACCATCAGAGTCGATCTTGCAGCCGGCCATTGCTATCGATTTCGTCCTGTTGGTTCTCGTTTCATTCCCCACTCGAGAGGGTGGGAGGGCGGAAAGGGCAGAAGACAGGCCCCGAGCCAACCAGGCGAGTTCGCAGAGTGGAGGGTTGTCTGTTTTTCTTTTCTTTTTCTCTTTGTTTCCTTCCCAATCGGCGTCGTTGTGCCGCAACGACCGCGACAAATCGAAGACGCCGACACGCGGCTGAGCCACGGCAGCCGTTCCGCATTGCGCCTGTCAGGAGGTTTTCATGCCTATCTGCAACGTCGTAAGATGTTCGTGCTCCGTAGCCGGAAAGGAACGAGTGGCTTACACCAGTTACGAGAGAGCGACCAGGCTGTCGAAACGGATGCGTCTGTTCGCCGGAGACGAGACAAAGCGATGGAAGATGAGAGCCAGAGCTTCCAGGGTGCGTCCGCGGAAGACTACCGGAGACCCACCTTGAACGGGTGTGAGCTGAGTATCAGTCTTAGGAGCTCATACTCCGTACACTATTCAGAGGACGTTGTCCGCGTACTCGTGCATCGACCCAGACAAATTGGGAAGGGGGGTCAATCGGGAGAAGCAAACAGCTTGCATAAAGCAGGGGTGGCGGCGTATGTAAGATAGGAAAGTTCAGGGGTGGGTAGGGTAGTGTTGGCTCCGTGCGCAGGGCCTGGCGGAAATTGAGACTTGCCATCTGGCTGAGATGCCTGTTCGTCGAGAGGGTGAAGACGGGTCTAGAAAGACGCTGGGCGCTGGACATTGCCGTGATTTCTTTCCATGTGTTCAACGGCCAGCATCCAACGACTGCCTGGTGGCAGCATTAGTGTCCGTAAAGGGTGCCTCCTTCCCTCGGTGGTCGCACCGGTCGCATGCGCACTGTTTCCTAGCGGTTTCCGGAACGGGAAAGGAAAGGGCTCCCGCTGATCTGAGAAGGAGCGCTGCTCTTGACTGGAGAATGCTCCTCCATCCTTACGGAGTACGCCTGCAAATCCCCCAGGCACCTTCCTCTTTTCGATGCACCTTCCCTTCAATCGTAAGATCCTTTACGGAGCAGACGCGATGCAGTGAAAAAGCCGAGCCACGCGACTTGCCAAGCAAGCAAGCTGCTTTGTAAGAGAATGCTACGAGTACTCTGTAGCACAGTATAGAGTATGTATGTGCGAGGCAATCATGCACGGAGCCACTGCATTGTCGGCATTAGGGTAATGCTACCGTTCTGGGGAACCATATCGTTACAGGAAGGAACGCCATGCGCTCTGTGCGCATATCGGGTGGGTGTGAGCATATTCCGTCGTAATCGTACGGAATGGGATGTAATACGGAGTACGTAGTAGCTTGATATCTGGCTATCACTGACCGGCGAGGGGGGAAAGTACGCGTAAAAAAGCGCTTGAGGATGGTCCTAGACAGGGGTTGGGCAAGCTGCAGGACCGATGCAGCCGAGGAGAGGATGTCGGCGGCAAGAGGCGACTCTTGAAAGGTCAGATATGGCTATCCCCCCAAGATGTGCATGGACAAAGCGAAAGGACAAAACGGGGCAGCGAGCTAACGTTCTCCAGCAGGAGGATACGCGAGGCGTTGCGTGCCGGCCGTTGGGACGGCATGACGGTTTTCTTGCATCCGCTCCAGCCGTCGGCGTCGCAAGCCACCTGAGCCTCTTTGAGCAGTCGAGGCACTGTCTCGTCCCATCTCCAAGCTGAAGGCAGGGATTGGATGGATGCCGGGGACACCATACATGCACTATACTATGTAGTAGCCTTCGGCGGGCTCCGTGCACCCTCCGTACATACGGGAGAGGCCAGGAAGCGAGCGGTGGGATCAGCAGACGGCGTGAGAAGTGTTAAGCGCTGGGCCCCTTTTAAAGGAATGCCCCGGAACTCCGCCATCTGGCCAGGCCGGCCTGCATCCCACCCACGCTAAGTCGCCTAAAAACGAAATATCCAGGACGAAAAGGGACTGCCAAAGGGGCGCTGCCTTGGGACAAAGGGAAAAAGGGAAAAATGGGATGGAAGGATTACAGGGGAAAAAGAGAATACGGAAAATTGGGAAAAATGCGGGAAAAGGGGGGGGGGGTGCTCAAAACACGAAGAGGGCTGACGGTCGCAGATTAGGCCGCACCGACATTTAGCTATCCACCGTCACCCGGGTTTGACTCGGCCATGCAGATTGTGCTGTGCATCCACCGAGAGGCAACGGCGACGACATGTGGGGTAAGGCGAGCCTTCTTTCTGCAAGGCTCTCTCCCCTATCACGCTGTCAACGGTGCGGGGTGACGGTTGGACGCACTGCCTATGTGCGACGCCTCGTTCAGCCAGACAGCCTGAATGGATTCTGGCATTGCGTCCGTCCCAGCCTTGTCGATGGCCAAAACGGGAAAATACGCAACGGGCAATGGGCAATGGACAATGGGCTGCCAACACGGCCTCGTCTGCTGCCTCGCCTCGTATGCGAGAGGGCCTAATCCTCGCAATTCTCAACCGCGTGTCCACCGTCGCGAAAAGCGAGAGAAGTCACGATCAGGGAGGGTTGCAGCAACGCTCTGAAAAGGGAACTCTTGCCGTCTATCTAGGCTTACCGTTGCATGACATTTCACAAAAGGGGGGCCGACAGAGCAGGGGTCGGAACGAAAAACAGGCCGCAAATTTGGGGGCAGTCTGGGACCTCAGCTGCCGCCCAGAGGCTATTTCAAGGTTCGGAAATTGTGTCCGTAGAGACAGAGATGTTGCTGGCGATCCTGCTCCTCTTTCTTATCGACAGAAACTGGCTGGCTTTCCTTTCAGCGTAGCTATCCAAAAAGACAGATTCCCCATTCCCCCTACTCGTTTTCCTCCGCGCAGCCAGCGGCACGTCAGTCCCCCGGCTGGTTTGATCAGCAGACCAGCCAGTCGGTTCCTCGACGGCAATGCGCACCCAAAGCTGCAAGGAGACGTTGTAGGCGCTTGCGGCCGCCGAAGCTGACATCGCTGTCAGGGGGAGCCATTTCTGTCGTACTTCGTGACGCCGTGGCGCCGAGACACCGCGAAGATGACTGAAGCTTGCGAATGTGTTTTATCCAGAAACATATCGTGTTGGTGGCCCCCTGACTCTCGGGGAGAGCTGCACGCGACAAGCCGCATTGAGGTGTAGCCGTGGCCCGTATTGTGCCTGTTGCGGTCTCTGAGCATCACCGCTTGACGATCGTGACTAGTTGTCCTAGGTCAGCACTCTTCCACATATAGTCATGGTATGCAATGCGCTCAGCAGACATACCAATGTCCTCGTCTTCCAGCACGTGTGCCAGGCCAACCCGTTGTGGCTGATGCTTGACCGATTTCCCGTACACGATGGCCGACTTGAACTGCTCCAGGATGCTCCGATGGATGGCATTACACTAGATGTATTAGACAAGACAGAGCGTGAAAGGAAAAAAAGAAGAAAGAGAAAAAAGAAAAAAAAGAAAAGAAAGAAAGAAAGAAAGAAAAACTCACGAAATCCTCCACGGTGCATTTGCCGGACCGCAAAACCACGGGCGCCGTGTAGTCGGGCAGCCGTCCCTTGGGCTTGGTGTAGACGCGGACGAGGCTGAGCTTCTCCCACATGGCCTCCATCAGCTCGTCAATGTTCCAGCCGTGCTCGGAGCTGATGGGCACGGCATGTGGGATGCGGTACAGCAGGTCGAGCTCCTCGATGGTGATGGCGTCGATCTTGTTGAGCACGTAGATGACCGGGATATAGCTGCGACTGCGGGCCTCGAGCACGTCGATCAGGTCGTCGACAGTAGCGTCGCAGCGGATGGCAATGTCGGCCGAGTTGATGCGATACTCGCTCATGACGGCGCGGATCTCGTCGTGGTCAATGTGCGTCAGCGGCATCGTGCTCGTGATGTTGAGGCCGCCCTTGTCCTTCTTGCGGAACGTGATGTTGGGCGGCTGCTTGTTGATGCGCACGCCGAAGCCCTCGAGCTCGTTCTCGATCACCCGCTTGTCCGTCAGCGGCTTGTTGACGTCCAGCACGATGAAGATCAGGTTGCACGTCTTGGCTACCGCAATCACCTGTCGACCTCGGCCTCGGCCGTCCTTGGCACCCTCGATGATGCCGGGCAGATCAATCATCTGCAACGGCGCCCCGTTGTACGTCACCTGGCCCGGCACGCTCGTCAGCGTCGTGAACTCGTATGCGGCTGCCTCCGAGTGCTGGCCCGTCAGCAGGCTCATCAGCGTGCTCTTGCCCACCGACGGGAACCCGATGAAACCGATGCTGGCCACGCCCGTCCGCGCCACGTCAAAGCCCGTCCCGCCACCACCGCCACCGCTCGTCGGCATCAGCAGCTCGCGCTTGAGCTTTGCGAGCTTCGCCTTGAGCTGTCCCAAATGGTACGACGTCGCCTTGTTTTTTTGCGTCCGGGCCATCTACACACCGTCCTGTTAGCCTCGGACACAAGCCAGAGCACACCTGTCGCTGGATGGGCTGCAACATACCTCGGCCTCGACCTCTTTAATCTAGCAGCCACCATCGGGTTAGCAGTCGTCCACGCACACTTCGACACCAAGACCAGCCCTTCAACATACCTTCTCCACGGTCGTCGACATATTCGCGGATTTCGAAGCACTAGGCCTAGGTTAAAGTGCAAGCAAAGCGCAGGCTGAAGCGTGGGAAGAATGCGTCGTGTGTTTCGCAATAAGACAGCAATGTCGAAGCAAAGTGTCGTTGCAGTTGAAGCTGGACCTCACTTGCAAAATATTTTGGTGGGGCGAAAAAAGTCGTGGGGAAGAGGAAGGGTAAGATTTTCTTGTGCCGTTTTGTGGTGATTATTGTCTGAGGACGAGGCTGGACCCACTATGTCGAAAAAGAACTAAGACTACGGAACTACGGAATTCGAAGTACACATTCGCGAAGGCATCGGCGATGGAGGCATACAGTTGTGGGTATTTCATTTCAGGTAGACAAAAAGGATGAAGCTCTGCATCGTATCCCCCCCCCCAGGAAACCTTGCAGGAGAAGCAGCACGGCTATCCGGCCGCCTGTGCGCGCGTGTGTATATAACATACATGTATATATAAAGAGCCTCGACTCGCCGACAACCACCAACATATAATGTAGTCCCTGGATCCCACCCGTAAAGCCGCTGATGAACAGAACAACACAAGAACAAAACGAGTCGTTTCGGTCAGACAACCGTTGCCAAGAGGACATCATCATAAAAAAAAAGAAACGCGCCACCCGAAACGCCCTGATACCAATGAAGAGCCCAAATGTATGAGACCTTTCCGTCCAACAACTCATGTCTCCATAACCCCGCGAAGCCCTAGCTCATCCAGTAAAAGATAATGTACATATAGGGTATGCTGTGTTGTCTCAAGGTCGTTCTAAGCTGCAGCACCAATGCTGAACGCTTCCAGGCAAAGGGCGGCGAGCATCGCAGGTGTAACATTGTGCCACACGAAGCGCCTTGTCAGCTGTGCTGATGTAGTTATCGGGTCGCCTAGCTGTGCCCATTGATGCCATTGATGCCATTGGTGCCGTTGGTGCCGTTGGTGCCATTAATACCGTTGACTTGGCGAGGTGTCTTCTGTGCCGTCGAAAGAGGGCTGGTCTGCATAAGATCAACAGTGTCGCCGTTCAGACCATCTTGTGAGTGCGCCGTCTTGCCGTTGGTCTTGGCCGCCACTGACTTGGGGGAGAGGGCGACGCCAGTTGTGTGCACCGGCGACTGAGCATCAGAGGCCATGGCCACCGGCTCAATGCCCTGTTCCTTGCACAGACGCCTGTAGTCCGGGTCGTCGACAGACACTGCAACAATCCCACGACGACGTGGCACACGGACCTCGGGAAAAGGCGTCTTGCTGACGGCACTGAAGCCCGGCCGTTCCTCCTTGACCATCTGCCCATTAATGTAGTATTTGTTCCGTGGTGCGAATCCGTAAAACCGATCTCCATCCGGATCGTTCTTCCACTTCTGCGTCACCTTGAATGTCGACAGCTGCGCCTCGTCTTCGGGCAACTCTCGGTAAGCCATGACGAGCCGGACGTCGCGCAGATGGGGGAAGTTCGGGACGATGCTCATCACATCAGAAGCCTGTGAGTTGAGGTTAGCACAGCGTCCGGTCTTCGGCCACACGAGAGCGAGACAAACCTTGACAAAGAACATGTCCGTGGCAGAAAACTTTTCCCAAGCTTCGCCACGGAGCCTCTCGACCACCTGGTAGCTCATCGTGTCCGGATCCGATCCCTCGTAGTAGTCGGGCAGCTGCTTGCCCAAATCATACAAATCCGGCTCCGTCAACGCATACCGGTCCGTTTCGAGGCGCCAGATGATCCGCTTCGCAATGATCGACACCGGGGCGTGCTGCCACGACGGGTACTTGGCCAGGCTCAGGTCCTTGTCCCCGAGAATCAGGGCTGCCTGCGTGTTCAGTAGCCACTGCTCCCGCCCGATCGCCGCCCCGGTCGCGCTCGGATTGATGCAGTCGTAGCGGACGCCCTGCATCATGCGGAACTTGTGCGCAGTCGTCGACGAACGGCAGTTTGTGCTTTGGCAGAGCCACTGCAGCAGTGCCGGAAGCTTGGAGATCCTGACACGTTCCTCCTCCTCGACTTGGCGTCGGTGCACTTCCTCTGCTTCTCGCTCTGCGCGGACTCGTTCCCTCTCTTTCCGGTCGCGCTCTTGGCGTTCGCGCTCCTTGCGCTCGTCATCTTCTCGTTTCCGGCGAGCTTCTTCCGCTGCTTCCTTTGCCACTTGTTCTTGGCGCAGCCGCTCTTCCTCTGCGCGCTTCCGCTTCTCTTCGTCCTCTCGTCGTTTCCGTTCGACCTCTTCCTTTCGCTTCCGTTCTTCCTCCTTGCGCTTCCGCTCCTCGTCTTCTACCCTCTTGCGCTCTCTCTCGTTCCTTTCTTCCTCCTCTCTCTTCTTTCGCACCTCTTCCTCCTTCCGCTTGCTCTCTTCCTCCCGCTTACACCTCTCATCTTCTCTCTTCCGTCTGTCGTCCTCTTCCCTTTTGCGCTTCCCCTCTTCTTCCTGGCGAAGGCGCTTCGCCTCTTCCTCCTTCTTCCTTGACACCTCAGCAACTTGGATTTCCGCTTGAGCTGCCTTCCTCTCATCATCCCTCGCTCGTTGCAGAACCCGGATCTCGCTATTTGTTCGGACTGCGTCCGAACCGCCGGAGGCGCGCACTTCGCTGCCGGCATCCGTCATTTCGATATCTGTATCTTCAGATTTGACGTGAATGCTCTTCTCGTTAGCCAGTAGCTTTGTCGAGCTCTTCCGGCCACGATCAGATGACGAGTCCCGCTTCTTTGTCTTCAACAAGGACGGCAATCCTTTGCGGTCGTCGTCGTCGCGCCGCTTCGAGACGCTCTTCGGTGTGTCGCGCGATGAGGAACTAGGAATTGACCTGATGATAGCATCGTCCGACGGTCCATTAACTTTGGAAACCTTCCTCTCCTTCCCACTGATGCTGGCGCCGTCGCCGTCAAGCTTCCTTTTCTTAATAGGGCCTTCGACGGCATCTTTGTCTGACGAAGGGGTTTCACTCATGCGGTAGCGTTTAGCTAAGCCTCCGTCCGTACCAGACAGTGATTCCCTAGACTCTTCGCTCTTGAGCTGTCGTGCACGGTCGCGGTCGCGATCGCGATGTTTCTCGGCTCGGGCCTTGTCTGCTGCGTTGTCTTCGGAGCGTGACTCACGCGGGCTGGTCGATTCCTTTGACGGAGCCGTGTTTGTCGAGGCCAGACTTGCACGCCTTTGCTTTTCCTTTTCGTCTTTCAGTTCTCTTCCGGAGATTAGCTTTCTCCGTGGCTTGACAGTCTCGCCTTCCGACGAAATCGCTACCACCTCCTGGTCCGTCTTCTTGGACTTGACGTGCTTCAGATGGAGTGTTGGAGTATCGCGGTCGGGGCCCGGTACAGCGGAACTGCGGTCATCACGCCTGTGCTTCCCCGTCGGAACCGAGCCGGCCCCTGAGCGCTTTGGTGATGATCTTCCGTCCGCTTGTGATCCGGAGTGCTCTGACCGCTTCGGCAATGGTCGTTCTTCCTGTGGACTTGTCGAGGTAGCTGAGATGGTTGATTTGGCGCTGACCTTTTTGCCTCTGTCTTGCGATGGGCTCGAAAGCTTGCGCTTGTGTGCACGAGACAACTCCTCGCTAGGGTCGAGACGCACAACCCTCCTTGGCTCCACATCTTTACGGACAGGAGATCTGAGCTTTCCATCCTTGCCGACATGTCCTTTCTTGAAGTTGTCATAGGCGGCTTTCAGGAGGTCTTCTTCTTCCTTCCAATTTGGCCCGGCCCGTTGCCGTGCGATTTCGTAATAGGCACTTCCGTGAAATCTTCTCGTAGGATCGAAGCTGTTCTGCTCCAGAAGGAGGTTGACCACCTTAAGGTTTTCTTGTCCGATGGCAGCAAGCATCGGCGTCGCATGTTCGGCAGGTACTGAAGCTATCGGTTCCGGATCCGGATTGGCACGGCCAAGAGCAAGGAGGAGTTGCATGACAATATCATGGCCACCACGCGCCGCAGCAACCATAGACTCCGGGTCGTCAAAGGCCTCGCGCACCTGAAGAATCCGTGTGACTGTCTCTTCGTCACCCCGGCCGGCTGCCAAGCGCAAGGTCTTGTCGTCCATAGGCATATACAGCAGGTGGTTGCTTGTTTTCGTTGCTCGCGCGGTCCCGGCTCTGCGGCTGATAGCCACTGAGTGGAGGCTTGAAGACGGTGCAGGCGATCTCCGAGGGCTGTCAGGCCCGTGTGAGAGCCGAGGCTCGTCGTGCTCATGGCGGTTCTCTTCCGACGTGTGCCTTCGTTCCCCTTCCCTCTTCCTTGCGCTCACCAAAGCTGCTCGTATCTCGGTAGAGTTTTCAATGTCATCGCTTACCCGGTCTAACGGCTCTTCGCCATGAACATTTGCTTTTCTGGGGCTGACGCCAGCATCGAGAAGCAACTTGACAACTTCAAGATGTCCATTATCAACTGCGTCCAGGAGAGGAGTGTCTTTGTCATGGTTGACGCAATCTAGATTGCACCCGGCGTCGATCAGCAGCTTCACAATATCACCGTAACCGTTAAGTGCAGCAATCTGGAGAGGCGTATTTCCAGCGAAGTCGGCGACGTTCAAGTCCTCGGGCCGTTCAGCCAAACGCTGCTTTGCGAGGTCGTACTCGCCCCGGGCACAGGCCCGGGCAAGGAAGGTCTGCCCGTGTGCGTCGAGGTGCTTTTTGTGCGGTCCGATTTTGGCTGGGGACATGGTCGAATCAGCTGTAGCGGGAGTCGTAAGACTGCGCGGTTTGGAACTGCGAATGTGGGGCCCTGCGCTTGCCGAAGACTCATCCGAGTGGTAATCGGTAGACTGCAAAGGAGTAGGGCGCTTCTTCTTCGAGCTCAGTCCGTTAGACTGAGACGGGAGTTGGGTGGAAAGGCTGCGGTGATGCACCCTCCGTTGAGGAGAGATGGACCTGTTGCGTGATGGCTCCCTCTGCGGACGGGGTGTTGGTGGCTTGGTGTTGCCGTTGTGGCCACCGTGATGCAGCTGGCTTTTCATCACTTTGCCAGTGTGAGGGGTGCTGTCACCTTCGCTGGCGCCGTTTAATCGCTGACGACGGGCCTTTCGGTTTTCGGCCTCATCCTCCGATTCGGCCTTGGGGGCCTTTCTCTTGTTGGGTATGAGCTTCTCGGTGGGTCGCAGCTTGTCTTTAGATGGGGGCAGTAAAAGCATTGGTGACTTGGCAGCCCGACGGTCCGAGTCGGATTCGGAATGGGGGTTCGTCGAGGGCTGACGGCTGTGTGGCGGAGAAGCAGGCGCAGAGCTTAGGCTGCTAGAGGCGCGCTTAGCCCCTGGCAGCAACTGGTGATGACCGCTTTGGAGTTGTTTTTCCTGCAAGCATTTCTTTTTTTGCAGCAAAGACGAAGACGGAGCAAGTCCTCCTTCAGTAGACGCGCCTTTTTCATCGCCGATCGTTGTGGTGGGGAGTGCCTTTTCGACCTTGACAGACGGGTTCTCCTTTCTGTCAGAATTATGCTTGCGTGTGGGGACGGACTGGTCGTCGTGGGCGGAGATAGACGAGCCACAGTCTCCATTTCGCTTGTCCTCGTGTTTGATTACTTTGCGGTTTCGAGGCTTCGCTGGTGATCCGTCCTTTGACAAAACAATCGTCTCCGCCTCCGAGTTTCCATCTGTGCCGCCCCCCTCCTCGTCTTGTTTCTCGCGAGACGCAGTGCTAGATGCATCCCCTCTAAAGGACGACGACGCGGCTGTGATGGTAGCAGGACTTTTGGGGGCCTCTTTGGAAGGGAGTTCTTTGGACGACTGCAATTGCGAAGGCGTCGCTGATGCTGGCAGTGGCGGTGGCCTGGATAAAGAAAGCCTCGCATCCTTCGAGTGAGCGGTCGGTAGCCGAGAACTACCGGAGGCCTTGGCCAAAGTGGAGGAAGCCACCTTTGCCCGATCAGACTCAGAGACGTTACGCGATGACAAGGAGTCCGAGATGGAAGAAGCAATAGGCTTCATGGAGGCGGCCGCGGTGGCATTCTGCGCATCCATGTCATTTAATTGAATAACCGACTATTGCCTTGCACCATCATGAGAGCACTTCAAGGCCGCCCGCTGCTGGGCTAGAGACAATAGAGGTAGATAGGTGGCAAATCAGATCCGTGTTTGAGGTCCCTATTGACTCGGGATTGCGCGTCGGGGAAGGGAAGGATCGATAATGATAGCTCGCGAATGTTTCGCCAGAACTCGTGCAGAGGGTGGCACCCGAGCAGTATTCGAATGGCGATCAGTAAGCCGAAGGACGGGTATCTGGCAGGGCGATGATGTAGCAGTGGACTCCGAAGGGCGAGGACGAAGGGCGATAAGGGGAGTGGGAGGGTGGTGACAGGTGGTGGAGGAAGAAGAAGACAAATCCGCCACACGACCGAAGGAAAAACACAACACGAGACGACCCCCAGTACGAGTAGTGTATTCGGGATTCGCTAGAGGGGGGAAATAGTAAGGTGAGGGGCGGCGCGACGGCCTGGAGGCAAAGGATTGGCAAGAGAAAAATGGAGAAAATGGCGTAAAAGGAGGAAGAAAAGACAGGAGGCGAGGCAAGGCAGTCGAAGAAAGATAGAACTGGTTTCGGACCAGAGCGATCTGCCGGACTTTGCTAGAAGGAAAGCTCCAAAAACTCGACTCGATGACTCGTCTGTCCGGGACAGGATAGGAAAATGCGCTGGAAATTCAGATACGCCACGAGAGACGGAAAAAATGGTATTCGAGAGAGAGATGACCAAAAGAAAGAACCAAAAATAGTCGAGGTTCTGTCTGCAGAACATACGGAGTAACGCGCCGCAAAATAAAAGGGAAAAAACAGAGAGGCGCTACTAGTGCATCGATCTGTTGTGTTTTCTTAGAGCAGGAAGGCAAACTTTAGGGGCATTATGTCCGCCAGAACTGTGGGCAACTTGTGAGATCCTGAGCATGCGACTCTCGTCCTTGTCGGCCGTGCTGATTGGCCCCTTGGCTACTTACGGCGGGGCAGTAATAACTGCAGAAGAGCCCATCCTTTCTTTAAAGAGTGGATTGATTACAGTGGACACAAAGTGATGCGTGATTGGTTGTTCAGATCCTACGATCGACGGCACAGAGGAACACTTCTGCCGCTAGCGTGCATTTGTGCATCTATACGAGGCGATGCACAGCACAAGCATGCTGGAGCAAGTATACTGTGCCGGTTCGGTATTCACTGTGACATTGCCGCTGTGAGTACTCCCGTATTCTGTCTTACAGATTAAACATTATTTTGCCCCTCCGTTTTTCCTAATGACGCACAAGAGTCATCGAGAAACAGCTCGCGAAAAGCGTAGCAGGTATAATCGCCCGTCTTCAACATCGGCCGGCTTATCGTCGAAAAGAGAACACGTCGTCTGTTCTTGTCAGTCCCGCTATTACCAAGAACAAGATTACAGCCTGCAGAATCCCTGCCTCGTCAAATTACGGCGATCTTGCGACAAGCGACACGCACTATCTTTTCTCTCTTCCTTGCGAACCTGTACTCCGTATGAGTGCTGCGAACAGTTTGATCTCCACGCCTCACTTCCCTTCCAGAGCAGCTCAAGTGAATCTTTGGCACAAAATCTTCCTTTAACGTCATGGAGAAGCCATCAGATTTAGCTTTGCCTAGAACGTTAGAGCATGCTCGCATAAAAGCCCTTCCGGCGACGGCATACTACATCGCAGATTTCATCACAATAGAGGAGGAACAATATATCTTGCAAAAGGCAAGCGGGGTGTATAAACTCTGAGACTCAAGGGGGGAGACTGCTTACAAGTGCCCGCTCAGATCACAGATGCACCCAAACCGAAATGGAAGCATCTCTCGCACCGACGACTGCAAACTTGGCCATCTGATTTGCTGCACGACAAGCTACTCGATGCCCCTCTACCGGCATGGCTCGTCGAGCCAGTTATCAGGCGACTTCTCACCATTCCTGTGTCAGACGGTAGCTTTGTCGACGGCATGCCTGGCCATTTATTCTCATTCAGCCCACACGGACGCCCGAATCATGTCCTCATAAATGAGTATCCGCCTGGCATTGGTATCATGCCACACAAAGTAAGTCACAACCAGACCGCCAGCTGGGAAACACATTGCGGGCCATGGAGATCTCATTGCCGTTTTGTGCCTTGTTTCTAGGACGGATCTGCCTATCATCCCGTAGTTTGCACTGTGAGTCTCGGGGCAAGTTTGTGCCTAAACATATATGAGAACAAGGCCGACGGCGCATTGCACCCCGAACCTGTGGCAAGGATCCTTCAGGAACCGCGCAGCCTTCTGATTACAACCGGCGACCTTTACACTCAATATCTCCACGGTATTGCCGATATTGATGTAGATGACGGCCTGGCTCAGGATACTGTTGCAAACTGGGATCTCCTACGTAGCAGGGATTTCTTTGCCTCCGGGCACAACACACGGCAAACTCGCATGAGTCTGACGTACCGTGACGTTTTGAAAGTATCGAAGCTGGGTAACAAGTTCGGACTGTTGTCTAAGCGACCATGAGCCGGGACTCTGAGCAAGGCTTGGCGGTGGGAAAACGTTGCCACCATCTTGCATTCTGATTTTCAAAAGATGAACGGGATCATCTTCCACCTCTTGGCAACCCGGGCGGCACCAAATTTTTCAATATACCACTTCGTCGTCCGGTTTGCCGTCACGCCGAGGCACGCAACCACAAAGAACACCGATGGCAGAAGCGTCTGATTGAACAGCTGGCCAGCTGGTGCGGCAACGATGGAGAGAGCCAAATAAAGGGTGCACTCGCAGGTATAGTGAGGGCATACAAGATAGCGGAACATACCCTCTTCCGGCAAAGAGTACTTTACCAGGCTAGCAAGGTGGCCATGACAGCGGTACTGCTGCAGCCAGGCGAATAAGAAAAGAGATGTGCCAAGAGCGAGTTTGGCCCACTCGATGCCTCGGCCTGCGGCTGAAGCGTGTGGTGAGAAGGGGGGCTGGTCTCTGGTAGCAAGTATTGCTTCTGCAGCAGAGAGGATTAGGAATGGCCTGAAAAGAGACGAAATATGAAGGGGGATACGAACGCGACCCTTCGATCCACACAGCCACGCTCATGCAGACATAAAACGCCAGTCCGAGCGCCCAGTGTGTAAAGTTCATCTTTGAATTGGATGCCTTAAACACCGATGCATGTTCGTAAAGGCGGCGCGCAGCTTGTAGAGCTTCTAGCCCCATGGCCACGGACACCTGCATGAGAGACATGGATGTTGCCGACGGCTCTGACTTCCGGTCGGCCGTCCGCTGGTGTTCGGCAAGCCAGGCGAAGAAACCGCCTGACGATGCACCCTGCTGCCACAGCAACCATTGTGCTGTCCAGCCAAACGCGCACACAAGATATGCAATATAAAAACTGGAAAACCAGGCATGTGGCACCTGACTGTATGAAGCAAACGTGGCCACTACATATTCCAGGGTGTCTGCACCGATCGGATGTTTGGCAGCGTCACCGCCAGCATTGCCGATGGTCTTGTCATGAAGCACACCAGTACTCTTGTTCTCTCGTGCTCCATAATCAAGCAGGTATCGTTTTGTGCGAGCCGGTAACGCATTCACAGCCAAGACACCAGTGGCCAGAATTACGAAGACGGTTTGGCAATACTGGACTGGCGTCACACGAGCTGCTTGATCTCCTACTGACGCAAGCCAGCCGGAAAGAAGTGCTCCGTCCATCGTTAGTAGCTGTTTTTTTGATAGTCGAGGGGTTAGTAAACAATTAGAAAGAAAGTTGAAAGAAAGAGAAAGAAACGCGGCCGATGGGTATAATTAGTTGGGTCCTCCCATTGGTGACTAGCCAAGGAAAAAAGCAGCTAAGGCTAGTCTTACATTGAAGTTGTCAAGGCTTTTGAAGCTTTCACTCGATATCTTTGTGATGGCTACGCCATTATAATCTAAAGACACGAGAATTAATTCCGAGCTGTCCTGCACCAATCAGCAAGCGAGCAGCAAGCGAGCGAAACATTCTGAGGTGCCTCCAGATTTCCCTCCTTAAATAAAGCTGTGGCTGCCTCGCACTTGCTTTGGTCTGATTGCCTACGCACCCAAATTGCCTGAACGAATTACAATGGCTGCGCCCTACCCCCAGGTTGTCCTATTTGGGGACTCGCTCTTCGAACGCGCCACTGAAACCAAAGATGGCTTCTGCTTCCAGGCTGCCCTCCAGTCACAGTGTGGGCGAGTTTTCGACGTCGTGAACCGAGGCTTCTCGGGCTACAACACGTCCCAGGCACTCAAGATACTCCCCAAAGTCTTCCCGGACCCAGCGTCTTCACCTGGCCCGAAGCTGGCTTATCTGCTGGTCCTTCTCGGTGCCAATGATGCGGCTCTGCCCCGCTCAGAGAACAGCCAGCACGTTGACCTGCAGGAGTACGAGAAGAATCTCAAGACCATCCTGACCCACCCAAACATTCGGGCCCATAAGCCCAAGATTCTCGTCGTGACACCGCCTCCACTGGATGGCGTTCGGTACGGTCAGCTCTCGAGGCTGAATGGCGAGACGACCACCTCCCGCCAGGCTCCCATCACGGCACAATACGCAGAAGCAGCCCGTCGCGCCGGTGTTGCGGTGCCCGATGTCACCGTTATCGATTTCTGGAAAACGCTGATGGACCGGGCTGTCTCCCGAACGCCCGGCTTTGAAGCCAAGGATGGCGTCCTGCTTGGAGACGAGGCTTCAGGCAAAAACGGCTACCTCGCCAACCTGCTGGCAGATGGCCTGCATCTTTCTGGCGAGGGGTATCGGCTGCTGTTCGAAGATGTACGCCACCACATTGAACAGACTCGACCGGAGTCGTATGTGCACCCAACTTGGCAACAGGCGCCTTGGTTGTAGACGGAGTGAAGTGGGAGAATCCAATGGTAAACTTAGCTTACGACTTACTTCATCTATCAGACTATATTATCTAGATAAGCTACGAGTAAGCACCAAGTGAGTTCTGTGACAGAAGGTGCGGTTAGCATGGGCTGCGTATGCATTCGTGTTGGTCGTTGCACCTTCCTTGCTTGTGAAAATAGGACGTACTCCTTATGTTCATAGGCAATTCCGAGGTTTAGCCTTAATAATGCGCTTTGCAGGTAGCCTGTAAGATGCTGCTGAGGGAATGCAGTACTCCAATAGTGCAGTAGCGCATTCCAGTTCCTATTCCACAAGAAAATCGCTGAAACTCGAATCGCCGTCATCTACCCACAAATCGAAACGACCGCCTTCCCGACCTTTCTTTCATCTTCACGTTTTCACCAGGGATTACTTTAACCGCCCCCCTCTCTCACCCCGACAAACAAAATCTCCCATACAGCATACAACCTCAAGCACCAACGAACTTGCAGCAGAAAAGCAGCGTCTCGCTCTTTTCCCCTCATCGCTCTGCTTCGAAGCACCTGCCTTTATTTCCGTCAGATACCATTCGTACAATTGACCCCTGCCTAAGCTCACTTGGCTCAGTTTTACTCGACGGGGCCTCTTCTGGATCACCGGCGCTACTATACGGAGTACAACCCACTGCTATCGCCTGATCGTTTCTGCTCCTAGCCGGCCGCGGTCGAAGAGCACCCCGTCTTCACCTGTTCCGATTGCTTGATATTGGCCGATTCGGACGAGAAAGCTATACTTCAAGCCTCGTGCGTCACTAATTTTCGCTACCCAGCCTGGTCAATTGATCCTCTGCTCTTTCCTTTCCCTGCTGCGATACCCAGCTGGTCAATCTTACCTGTCACTTCCCGGCCCGCCTGACACGTCGTTCTATTTGAACAGGCTACGGTCAACTCTCGCCTTCCTTATAATACGAGCCCTAACTGCACCCCATCCAGCCTTAGTGACGACAGCGCCGAGATCTTCAGGCCCTCGAACAAGACGGCAATATACTCGCTTTCCAGTGACCAACACGTTACAGCCGACAGAACGCTCATTCTCGGCAGGCCGCCTGAAGAGACCAATTTCGAGCGGAATTTCTGCTTGGCGCGTTCGAGGTGGCTGGCCAGAGAGGGACAGCCGGCCGTTGCCGCAGGAGGTCTTGAGTGCGATGTGAGAGGTGGTGGAGAGCGAGACCAGACATTCTAAATTCGAGATACCGGGGAGGGAAGTATTGACACATTGTCGAGCCACAAGTGTGTTCAAAAGACGGCAGAAGGTTACGGTGGCAACAGGCGTTTGAAACGCGCAGATATTCGAGACCTCTGTTCCTCTACGCTCCATCCTACGATATCCCTTCCACCCTCTCGGTTGCCTTGTCGACTTTGTTACTCTCGCAGTCTCCATCACTTCGGCCGGATTCGGGCATGGATACTCGATTCGTCGTTAGTCGAGAAGAGTTCCACAATGTCCAGATGGACGTAAGGCAAATCCATGCCGTGCAGGCTAGCCAGAATGAAAGGCTGCTGCGGCTGGAGAAGCGGTATCAAGATGATTCTGCCATACGTTCCGCCTGGTCGAACTCGCCGTTTCCCAGCGCTCTGGTGGGTACGCCTCAACATGGTCAGTGCGTCTCTTTGAAGTGAACACAGAATTTGTGCTTACAATACCTTGGCTTATGCAGGCCCTGTCAGGATGCCCTCGACGGAAGCATTTGACTTGGACGAGCAGAGCCAGACGCTTGGGTCGTTGCATCTTGATCCCGATGACGAACCAGTTCGGCGAGCGGCTGCGGCCTCACGGGCCAATAGCGTACGCTTTGACGAGAGCGCCAACATGACGCAAAACGCGCGCCACTTCAGTGACATGGGCCCTTTCCGGCCCGGCAGCAGTCTCATGATGGAGCGCTCGCTCTCACATAAGTCTGACGGCAGACACAGCTCAGCCGGTCACTCAGTACATTCCATGGCATCCGGCCGCGGTAGCAGTATCGCGCTTGAGACGAACTATATGACGGGCGGTCACGAGCAGGACTCGCCCCTTGATATGCCCGAGCCGCCGCCAGTCTTTTTTGTCCTCGGATCCGTTCCCGCCATAATTCGTTGCTGGCTCACAGAAGACTTTGCCAGCGACACCCTCCTGTACGCTGCCGTGTGTTCGGGTGCGCAAAAATCCACCGTGGAGCTTTCGCTCATCAAAGAGCTCGGGTTGACGGATCTCATCTACCGAGATGTGGACAATGCTTTCAAGATACACCTGCAAACTTATCTTGCCGAGGCTATACCGGCCACAAGGTCTGCCGATCCCGTTCCTCAAATCCCCTCTTTGTCCATTAGTTTTGAGGTCGCCAGCCTGGATCAGACCACAGAGGCCAGCAATCGCAAAAAGGGCATTCGTATCATCATCGGCAGCGACACGCTACGAACCCACAGTGCCGATGTCTTGTTTTCACGGAATCTGTTGTGCATATATAGCCGCGAGCGAGAAAAATTGTCTGTGCCGTTTGTACGCCCTGAGGACGACGCCATATTTAAGAACTTATACACGTCCAGTGTCAATCCGGAGAAGCCGAAGCTTAACGCCGCAGCAGCTGAGTTCATCGCCGGCGATCTGAAGTCTCGGGGAAGCATCGACGATGGTTATGAAGAAGAGCAGCATGTGTCTCGAGAGCAACAAGCAATGGGCTCACAGGGAGGGCGACACAGACAGGAGGAGCAGTCGGCCAAGCAACATGATGATCTTGCATACCACAAGCAACTTTCTTTTCAAGAGCAAGAGACCGACGTCCAGATTGCCAATGGCAGCTTGACGGATCCGGGCGACGTTTCTCCAACGACGACTCACGTTGTACCTGCTACCAAGTGGCCCAGGGGCACGACAAACCTGTCGGATAGCGGAAACGAAGGTGAGAGGCAACCGCGACACTCAACCAGCTCAGAGCGTTCCGGAAAGGAGGCAGGCCCTACGTCTGGAGGTAGTCAACGTAATGCGAGTGCTATTTGGGGGTCTTGGCGCCAGGTTGGCTCTACAACTGGGAGCGATGGCGGCCATCGCGAGAACGGGTCCATAAGTGGATACCAGCCGCCCCGACAGCCAAGAACTATGAAAGTTTTGAAGGCGAAAACAGGGGGCAGCTCTACATCTGTTCGCACCGGATCGTCCTACGAGCCTCCGCTTCCATCTCGTTCGGGTGGTGAGCATCGGAGCAAGAGCCAAGCACCGTTTAACTCGGCCAATGACGGTGGAAATGGCGGCGGAGGAGGTGGAAACAGCAGCACGGCATCGAACGTGATCCGTTGGGAGTCAAAGCGCACGATAAGCATTAGCAATGCCGTGGCAAACAACGGTGTCAGCAAGGAGAACAAAAGCCAGCAAGGCCTGGCTGCACTCGAGCTCCGAAACAGCACCACTCCCGCGCCGCGGACTTCCAACCCTGTGGGTGGCGCCTCTGCTTTTGCATGGATGAAGCCGAACAAGCCAAAGACGCCAACTGCAGCGGAGTGAGTAGACAGCGGTCCCACACACCGCCCAGCATGGACCAATATTGAGAGGTGTCTACGTGGAAACTAGATATTACAGCAACAGCCGATTGTGGTGCCCGTTTCTATTTTCAGGGACGAGGTCTTGGCCCCAGTTGCTTGTATGGATGTCGGGATGTCCGGGCCTATTCAAGAAGCATAAAAAAAAAGAAACCCTACTAGAAACCCTAAAAAAAAAATACAATAACACTTGTTTCAACCAAAGGTGGCCAAATTCCTTTTGGCAAGCTAAATCTTGCCAGGGAGCAGAGCCGAAAGGGCAGTCTTCGTATCGTTGCTGGTGTCTTTGACGAGGCTGATTATGTTGCGGAATTCGGGCTTGGAAGCATCACCGACGTGCTCGTAGATCCAGCTTTCCGAGGTGGTCACCGTAGCACCAGCAGCACGCAGGCGGTCCAGGGCTACTGATATCTCCTGGGGGTTACACGACGACACGCCGTCGGCTAGAACGTAGACACGATGTTGGGCAGCCAGAAGGTCGAGGGCTGTTTGGGTGACGCAGATGTGCGACTCGATGCCGACGATAACCACAGCGGCGGACGGCGAGAACTTGTTCAGAGCTGCCTGCACTTCGGGCACATACATACTGAAGCGGGTTTTGTCGGCATCGACGACTACTTGCGCCAGCTTAGGACCAGCTTCGCGAGTGTCTGCGCTGTCAAAGGCCAGAAGGCTGGCCAGCTCGGAGACGGTGTTGCCGAGCCGGGCGCGGTTTTGGGTGGTGACAAAGACGGGGATGTCGAGAACCTGGGCGGCACGAAGGACTTTCCGGGAAGTTGAGACACTGCGAGAAGGTAGGTGTTGGCATTCTGAAGAGAAGGAAAGCGAGAAGGGGACAGGTCAACCTACACCTGATCAAACTGATAGATGGCGTTACGAAACTTCTCCTGGATGTCACAGACAAATACGGCCACTGGTCGCTGGTTGGGAGAGGCAGAAGACATTTTTCGACGAGCGTGAGGGGTGGAGAGGAAGACGTGACTATGGGAAAATAGCAGTGGTGCTGTTCGCAATGGGGAGGACAAGAAGAGTGGCCGACCCGCAGCAGAGGTCACTGCAGCTCGCGAGACAGCTGTACCACTTGATGCAATGGGGTGCATTTGGTCGGCTGGTTCGAAAGACCAAGTTGGAGCAGTAGGGAATTGTCCTTGTCTTCCGTCTTGCAGGAGGACGTTGAGACAACAGAAGATGAGGGGCAGGACAGCTTCCGTTAATACGGGCAGTCGATTGTGGGGTATTGCCGGCTCTAGAGAGGGGCCTCCCCTGAAGAGAATCCGGGGTACTTTGCCACTGATGTAGGACCATCATCGACTTCCAATGCAAGTGCTGGAAGTAATACATTATAGAGATATTTATTTACCCTGTTGCTAGTTATAAGGCTTTCTGCCGCGAAAAGCCGGACACAGACATGATAATAACTAAGATGCTGCCATGGTCCTCGCTTCCCTGGCGCATCGCTTTCCTCGTCGTAGATAGGAGGCTGGCCTACGTTATTGCTTACACCAGGAGCGTAAGAGTAAGTAGTTACCAAAGATAGCGGTCAACTTTACTACCCTAGTTTCCTTACGCTCTCAGCAGCAGTTGACAACGTCTTGAAGTGCTTCCTGACGATATACATAGAATCACTCGTGGCATGCAGTAGTCTTTCAATTGAACTCTTTCCTCCTTTTACATTGATGGCAAAATCAAAACGAACACAGTATTCTACACGAGAATGCCACGAGATACATATAGAAGGGGCGGAAGAGAATAATAGGTGGCGGAGCGTGAGGGAAGTAGTAGAGTAAAAAGGAAGGCGACACGCTTATTTCAGAACGGCCTGGAGAGACTCAAGAACCTGTATAGCGCGAATGTCAGCACAGCGAACTTGGCATAGGAAGCGTGCGGACCAGCCAGACAGCTAGCTGATGTTACCTACCTCAATCTCAATCTTGGCCTCAGCGATCTCGCGTTCGCTGCCGCTGCCGCTGGCAACCTTCTGCGCCTCAGCCAGCTGCGACTTGACCGCATCGACGCTGAAGTCCTCCAGGGGGTAGCCCTCGACAGCGTTGATGCTCAGGTGAGAGTTGGGCTGAACGACGGCGAAACCACCGGACACTGCACACGTGCAAGTTAGCCTGGAAGCCCCTCTATAAAATTCGGACCCTTCCCCTCGCTCCTCTCTGAAGCTCTTTGGGACGCTCTGGGAAGGCCGCCGGTCATCTTCTTCTGCTTACAGAAGTACTGCTTGCTGCCGCTCTCCTCAATGATCTCCAGCACGCCGGGCTTCAGCTGCTCGATCGACGGCACGTGGTTGGCCAGGACACCCATGTCGCCCGACTCGGCCGGGATGTTGACCTGCACGACATCCTGCGACTTGTAGATGGACTGTACGAAGAGAGCATCGAATTAGCTTTCACGTCACGGACTGCGATTACTGGGCATTGTTGTGATAACGAAAACGGGCTCGGAGGAACGGATTATCGCGCATCGTTCCGTTCGACGGAAGAGAAACATCAATTCGTACCTGGTGAGGCAGAGACAGGCTCAGGTTGATCTGAATTGGGTCGAGCATAGTTAGCCGAGATCGCGTCCCGGAGAAGGGGTGCTTGCGTCTTTTCCAGAAGCTCCGGAGTTGCATACCTTGTCCGGAACGGCATCGGCGTAGGTTCTCCGCTGAACAGCCATACGGGCCACGGCCGGGCGCACGCGCAGGGCAGCGCGGGCAATGCGAAGAGAGTTCATTTTGTAGGAGATGCGCGGCTGCGACGGAGACCGGGTCAATTGGTTCGTAGCGTGGTCGGAGAAGTCAGTATGGTGACGGGTGAGGGAGCTCAAGGGCAAAAAAGCATCGCCAGAAATTGAAAACGCATTCCGATTTTCCTTGATTGCCCGCTATCCGTTCCGGCTACAAAGCAAGTATCACGTGGTTTTTGTCACGTGCAGCGACACGTGACTTTGATCACTTTCATTTGACGCATCTATTCACAATTGATTCATAAATACTCCGTACATGTATTCAATGATCGCATGAGCAATACGGAATACGGAGTACTTTCTGCTTTCCTGCTTTCCATCGGCTGTAGCGCTACGCCGAGCATCACCAGCTTATTCCTGACGCGTGACGTGTCTCGCACCTGACCAGTGCCTTCGTGGCATCGCTGCCGGATGAAAGGCAGAGGAGCATTAGCCGAGTGTCCAGTGGGCTCTATGCGCCGTCGCCAATTTACAGAGGAGCGAATTGCATAATAAGTACTCCGTACAGAGTAATGGATTTAATAAATGCACCTGTTCCTATTAGGAAAATCGCGCAAGCGGCTACCACCATCCACGACGCACCAGTCCGCGTGTAAAAGCCAATGCGAATGAAGCCAGCAAACAATACGAGTAAACATTGCATCTCCTTCGGCTCGAAGGGGGCCACGTAAAAAATCGTCTGTTTTCGAAGGGGTGCATTTGTCTTCAGTTCCTTGTTGTATGTTAGAAGGCATCCTGTCCGCGGTTTCATGCCCATTCGAGCACTTCATTTCCGTTGTCATTGCGAAACAAAAGCCCAACGTACAAACAAAAAAAAAGAAAAAAAAGGGAGAAGTCCATCTCTAGCACTTGCAAAGTGCGATTCCTGCTTGCACGCAGCTCGTTTCATCCCCAACTCGCATATTTTGGCCTATTTCTCCGTATCTTGCTACATATGTTAGGGGGGGCGGCCTCCAAGCGGCATCCCCCTAACGCCGAGGTGGATAGCCCGTATCTTACGAGCAGTTTGAAACGAGGCGGCATGCAGCCAGCGGTACGGCAAATGTGCTCCGTACCCAGCTCTGGAGGCTTATACAAAGCCCGCACATGCACGAGCCACCGCACAAGCGAATAAACAAAAGTGGGTCAGTTTGAACTGGCAGGAAACGGAGAGCCGAGCAGGATGAAGGGTAACGGACGGGCCGTCTTCACCGCTTTGCCAGTCGATATTAGACGATACGTGCACTGTTCGCAGTAATAGTACGGAGTAAACTCGTAATCCTGCCCTAAAGCCCTTCTATACTCCGTATATCTTAGCTAGTGGGGTCCTGTGGACCAGGATATCTCATTTGCAGTTGCATCCAAAAATCTCCTTCAGCGCGGCATCAGCGCCAACACCAAAAAATGGAAGTCCGGCTTACTATGTGACGAGCGACAGTACTCGTACAACGAGCGACCACAATCCACAGGCCGTAGGCGGGGGCGATTTCGACTTGCATTGCCTTCCGCAGACGCGCCATATAGGCATACACAGGTGTGGGTGGGTGGCTGGGGTTGCGCATCTGTAGCCGCGTGGTTCCGGGGATGGCGCGGCATCTCGTCGCCCGTAAAGATGATATGTACGATGATGCAATAACTGGTCACATTGCCCACCTCTCCTGCTCGTTCCATCAATTTATTCTGTTATATTTGGACTTTTATTCAACGAGAGGGTGGATCTCGTCCACAAATTAGGGACCTTCAATTTGCACAGACCCAAATCAGGGCTCCGAGCTGCAATCAGGCTAGGGATTCTCACGTAATTAAGACACAACTAGAAGTCTTACAGCGAATCAAATAAGATTCGCCAATCTGTTTTACCTGGGCCGCAAAGAAACATTGGCCAAAATCAGAACGTTCGCCGACACAGGCCTTGCTGCTAAGTTCCATCCAGCCAGCCACCTAAACATGCCCGAATGCTAAGAGGTGGCGTACATAGTATGTAGCCAGCGTGGGGGTTTGCACGATAACGTGCAATCACTGCCGGCTCATCGTGAGCTCTTACTCGCTAGATACGATACACTTGCAGCAGACCCGCTTGAGGCAAGACAATATTGGACGTGCATGAGTACATTTCTTACACGTCAGAAAGGGGATTCAGCGTCAGCATGCAGCGAACGGCAGAGCCGCTGTTGGCCGTGTATTTCGTCCGTCATCTGTACATAAGATACGAGTAGTGAGATGCTCGCGTAAGATACGTTGCATTCCACTGTCCAAGACGGGCGCTCTGCAATCCACGCTTACGACGTAAGATACATCACCAACATTGCAGCTGTCAGCAAGGCCATTCGATATCGCCTCAGTCATTGTGGTCGCGGAACCCTCCCTGAAACTAACGGGGTATTGCCCTGACTTGCGAATATTACCCAGTGCTGGCTAAGCCAAAGTCATGCTTACGAGGACGGAGTACCCCATAGCAGCCCTGATTGTTAAGACAATCTCGCAGCCGTCCATCTCACCGCTTTTACAGGAGAATACAGCGAGTAATAGGGAGTAATTACGAGTAAACTTGCGAGACATGGGTTGCTCGGATGGCCGAGTATATTCCGTACGTTGTACTTACGGATTACGGAGGCTCCTATTCGAGAGCTGAAGTGAGAAGACGGCTTTCTTCTAGCTTGTACGTGCCTTCAGGGGGAAACAGGGGGGAATGGTACATATTACGTCGTATGTAGGGCTTTCCGGCCTTATGTACGTCGTACGCCTTAAATTCGTAACTAACGCCTCACCCGCACAATAATGCTTTTTGTTTTTGTATTTTACCTTTTCGAATCGTGGGTACGGAGTAAACAAAACAGTTTTCTGTCTAACAGGAGGGGCCGCAATATCGAAGCAACCAGCGCTAGAACGAAGGAAAAAAAAAACCCTTCAGGTGGTGTAGTTGGTCGCTGTACTGACCGCCATAAATCTTACACTTACGAGAACAAGGCGCCGAGGCATGGCTATAGCGCGACGGCCGACAGGCTGTGCACTGTTTGACGGCCAAACATTACAAACTCGTCCGTTTTCGTAAAATCGAGTGCCACAGTGTGCAGGGGCAAATAAGACAGTTGCAACCAGTCCGACGTCGGGATGACCGCACTCATTTCTGCTTACATCACAGTGCTGTACTGCTTGTGGGTTGATAGCGCACTGTACCCCGTTTCTTCTCTCCGCCACTTCCTCCGCATGTCATAAAGTTCTCCACCCACACTTCAGGGCGGCCAACTGAACGCCGCTATTCCTCACTTCCGTTTTTGTCCTGCTGCGGCGCGACAGACACAAAATAAAATAGAAAAAAGCAAACCGAGTGAGGGACACTCGCGCTATCCGCACAGAGGCGACTCTCTCCGTTCCATTCCCTCTTTGTCACATTACCCTCCCACCTTTTCTATCGATCTGCGTCAATCCCCACCGACCATGGACCTTACGTCCGGTTGTTCTTCCTCTTTTTAGAAATCACCTAAAAAATCCTGATATTTTATTCACAGTCTCTACTCCTATATCGCTTCCTTCCTTGGTGCCTCTTTCTCTTTCTTCCATTACCCGCAAATTAATTCTACCTTTCCTTCTTCTGCGGGTCTGAAATCTGGCTGTCTCTTGGTAACCTGAATCTTCAACGACAGCATACTCGACCAAAGGATCAAAAGTCAAGCAGACAATCCCCCAAACAACAAAGGACATCACACTCTTCTTTGTCTGCTATAGCCCTAAACAAACGCGTCCTGTTGCAGTCTTCTTTGTGTATACGCTCGACAAGGCAGATCCGCTGCTAGATATATCTAGCATATCTTCTCGCCAACTTTCCTACGCCGCAGTACGACGACCGGATATTTTCGGCGCCCAAAACCCTCCTAATAATCGTTGGCTTCTCCTAGCTTCTCGCATTTGACGATGTTAGACCGCTTATAGCATCACGGTCCTTAGGGACACCCGTCTGGAGTCAACCATCTTGCTCGCTTTCTCTAACCATTCAACCGACCTTTTGTAACAAGTCTACGCACCTCGTGTAGACTCTGGCACCTTTCGACATCCCACTTCTCTAAGGAATCACCATACTCTCACAAACACTACTTCCACTCTCCTATCATAACAAATTCGCAATCTATCCCTTTTAACACAAAATGCCGAACTACTCCAGACCTGATGGCGCCTCTAACGTGCTGGCCTGGAGCGCTCACACATCCAACATGCAGTCCCCCGCGGAGGAAGATGGCGCTGAAGTCGACGAGCCGCCAGATCAGTCGACATCGTGGAGAGCAACTGCTTCTCAGGCCTGCCACTCTTTCCAAAAGACACTTGCGTACCGCCCGCGAGACAACAAGCAGTCCCTGTTGACCAAGGCTCTTCAGAGTCAATCTGAAGACGAGAACGTCGATAGCAGCGTTGCTGGTGACCTCCCAAGGCGCCGGTGCTCTATGACCAGCAACACGAGCATGACTTCCACTGCCGAATTCACCAGTGATACTGGCTTCACCACCCCTCCACGGACGAGCTCACCCAGTCCTCGTCTACTGGAAACCGGGGCTACTCCACTACGCGTCAAATCCGCAATCAGCTTTGCGACTCCGACCAGTGCTGCTCACTTGAATGCCACGCCGAAACCAACATGCCAAAATCCTCCGGCTGGCCCTTCTGTCCAGACGCAGCAGAGGAAACGATGCATATCGTTTGCCTGCGCCAATCCCAAGCCTACCTCTCAAGTCGTCGAGGCAAATGACGATGCCAAACCCAGCAACAAATCCACTTCCACTGCTGCGGTCCCCTCGATCAATCTATCTACAAATGGGACCTCCAAGGCTGTGGCAAAAACTGGGGAGCTGCGGCGCCCTTGCATCAAATTTGCTTGTCCTACCCGCCCCTCTACTGAATCTCACAGGCCACATCTGTCTGCTTTGAAGGCCGATGGACCAGAGGGCCGGAAGTTTGTTCGGAAACCTTCACCGGCTCCAGAACCAAGATCTCCCACCTCTTTTCGGAAACACTCACGCGGTAACTCGTCTAATCGTTCTCCGAGATCCATGACCCGCTCAACTGCCTCGCGCCCATCGTCACATAGCCCTCTCACTCTCCGGTCGAAGAAGTACTTAACTGCCAAGCCAGAGGATCTGAATCGCGAATCGTCTCGCTTCCATGAGTTTGCTAGTGACGCGCCGCTGGAAGACGATTGGATTCGCCACGCAAAGTCATCTATGGGCCAGAGGATCACTATCAACGACACGCTGAAGAAGGAGCTTGCGATCCGCCTGTTGGCTAAAGAGGCAGAAGAAGAGGCTGAGCAAGAGGAAGAGGACGAAGAGGATGCAGCAGAAAATGACGACGACGATGACGACGATGAGGAATACGACGACGAGGATGAAGATGAGGATGATGACGAGGACGTCGATGAAAACGACACAGTTGACGGGGATGGTGACCGCCTTGACCTCAGCCAATACTCCGGCTACAACTTCGATACCGTGTCTGATGGTTACAACACGGACAACGAGGTTGGCTTCGCATCATCTGATGACGAGGACGATGGTCTTGTCCTCTGGACAGTTCGGCAGTCCATACATACCCGTCATAGCGAGGATTACCGCGATATTGGCCATTCGACATTGCACCAGGGCGGTAGTCCTATCTTCCGCCGCCTGTCTGTTGGCGAGCACTCTGACTCTTCCGCGTTTGTTGCCGGCCAGGCGATCCGCCAGGACAAGCCCAAGAACCGAGAGTTGGCGGGCAGTGGCCGTCCAGCAACCCCGGAACTGCCGGACAGCACAGACTTTGTGTGCGGCACGTTTGATGAGGACCGTCCTCTGGAGGAGGCATACATGTGTCACATGGCAGCTCGCAAACGCGAGAAGTATCAGACAATCCCGCAAGATATCGACCCGAGCTTCCCAACGTCGGATGTGGAAGGCGAGAGCGACGACGATCAGACGTCGAAGTACCCGAAGCAAAAGCAACAGCAGGGCAGCGCGGATGACCAGCTCTGGCTTCACGGCGAACTGGAAGACCTCCACGGAGAGCCGGACCGGTCAGACAGGTGCCGGAAGATGGAGAAATCGTCGAGACGGTATCGCTCTCCGCCGCCGCCGAAGGCTCGTGGCCGGTCTCCGGCTCCTCGTCATCTCTTTGATCGACAGTCGCCTAGCCGGAGAATGAGGTCTCCGGCGCCGAAACTTACACCAGCGGTACTTGCAGAACCACCTACCGCCCTCGTGTCATCTCGGACCTCGCCTGTGGAGATCGCTGGCGTAGGGTGTGTTGCCTACCAGGCGGTTGCATTTCGTCCGGGCCTGACTCAGACCAAGTCTCTGCCGCGGCCGGCTGCAATCTTCCGTCATCAGCAGCAAAACAACCAAGCTGCGGCAAAGCCAGCCCGTCGACCCAAGGCCAACGGTACGACCAGTACGAAGCCCATGCACATTCGCGGCGCTCTGGACATTGTGAAGGGCCTAGAGCAGAAGCGCCAGAGGCGTAAGGAGAAATTTCAGCAAAAGTATTGCAACCGTGCTCGCAAGGGACAGGCTCTTGAGAGACGACCACAACGCGGCGAAGGTGCCGAACGGATGAGAGAGTTGGGCCTCCTCATGGCTGGCAAAATCGGACAAGGACACTACGTTATTTCTGTCTGAGAAACGAAGGCGCATTGTTTACTAGTCTGCGGCATGACTGATTGTGTACTATTTCTGTCAATCCCAGGAGTTACAGGGCCTCAAGCATGGGCATCGAGAGGCTATGACGTTTTTTTTTTTTTTTAAAACACATGCCCCGTGTTTTATCTTCTTTTTGAGCAAAGTTTTTTCTTCTTTAACTTTCTTTGTACATAGTTTCATTTTCCTAACGGTGTGCCTGCGTCGTGGACCGATCCTTTTACTGTACATACACGTTATCTAATGTGCTTCCTTGCCTTTTTACAATGTACATTGGGAGGCGCTTAGACACTGTTTGAAGCAGATACCCATCCTTGAGGACAAATTGACTCGGATGAAAGGACGAAGAATGATTGCTCCAAATGCTGAAATTTGAACCACATGCTATGTAACAAGTCCGGTGATCGGTATTCATAACGTAGCGTCAGTCGCCTTCGTTGAACTGGCGATTTGCTCGAGATACCCCCACGTGTCCTATGACCGATCGTGTGAAAGGGCTGCCTGAATTGTAAGGCACAACACGTGATGACACTTTTACTCTAGCATGTGTCGAGTGTCTTTCTCAACTTCACCCTTCACTCCTCTCACCACCGAAAGTCGACCGAAAGCCGCAAACGCCGCCAAACACAGCGCTCGCAACCCGCTTCAATTCCTACCCCACAGCCTCTTGTCTCTATTTTCGCCTCGTCCGGGCTTCCAGTGCTGTTTTCAACCCGATTGTTACCCTCCTGCCCACAATGTGGATTGTCAACTGGTGTATGTTTCCGCCTTCACAGGACCTTCTTTGGGAAGATGGCAATTTCTTGGTTCTGTGCTGATCAAAAAAAGTCTACGACGTCTTGTCGTCGCTTGGCCTGCTGAACAAGCACGCCAAGCTGCTCTTCCTAGGCCTCGACAATGCTGGAAAGACGACTCTGCTGCACATGCTCAAGGTAAGAGCCATTTCAACGAGCGGCCAACAGGCCAGCTGTATGGATCTTGCTTCCTCTTTGTTCCGGGGACTTTCTCGTCTCGATTGTGTCAACTTCTGCTAACTCGTCATTCTGCAGAACGACCGTGTAGCGATTCTGCAGCCGACACTCCACCCAAGTTGGTTTCCTCCTCTCTTCCTTCATAGTCTGCTCGTTTCGGTCGATCTATGCCGCACTCGAATCTGCTCGTGACTCATCGTGACAGCTCGGAACGTCCATGTGGATCCCTCTTTACTGACGCGCGACTACAGCTTCCGAGGAACTAGCCATTGGCAATGTGCGGTTTACCACCTTTGATCTAGGTGGCCATCAGCAGGGTAAGTGGAGGAGAAGGTGGAAGAGTGGCCACGGCCCGATACTATCTTGAGATCATGAACTGATGCGACCTCTCCAGCCCGCCGCCTGTGGAAGGACTACTTCCCCGAGGTCAACGGCATTGTCTTCCTCGTCGACGCCAAGGACCTCGAGCGGTTCCCCGAGGCCAAGGCCGAGCTGGATGCCCTGCTGTCGATGGAGGAGCTGTCCAAGGTGCCGTTTGTGATTCTCGGCAACAAGATCGACCACCCGGACGCCGTCTCGGAGGACGAGCTGCGCCATCAGCTGGGCCTGTACCAGACGACGGGCAAGAGCAAGGCGTCGCTCGAGGGCATCCGGCCCATTGAGCTGTTCATGTGCTCGGTGGTGATGCGGCAAGGTACGAGAGCGGACCTGTTCTACATCTGTCTGCTTGCTAGGACGTCGCTAACTCATCTTCTTTGCTACTCTCTAGGCTACGGCGACGCCATCCGATGGCTGTCGCAATACGTGTAATCAGGTGGATTGCCAATCTCCGAGGTGCTTTCGAAGCGCGGGAAAGGGGTTGTGATGATAAAGAGAGGAGGTTTTATGCGAGAGGTAGATGTTTGTTGTGTTTATGCCGGGCGTGCGATTTCACGAGGAGGACGGAGAAGGAGAGGAGGGTTTGCTGGAGCTGAAAGAAGTCATTTCTGCTCCCAAAGCTGTGTCTGCTTTCGGATTTCCAGCTCCTGCTTCCGGTCGCCTCTTTTATGTCAACTTTAGCTTCTCTGGGGTTCTCTTTAACGACTTCCTAATGTGACACACACATACACACGCTTGCGCACATACGAAAGAAGAATTGTTTGTCGTGAGATCGAATGTTCCACCTGGTGCTGATCAGAAGACTGCGCCACTCGCCGGAAGTTGTCTTTGCTTTCGCGTGACCCCTTTGGCCTGCGGCAACCCACCGCCTATATCTCAGGGCCCCACCAGGCTATCTTCCCCAACAAATGCAGTTCGGCCGACGTCATTTCCCTTGAAAGGTACTTAATTTCAGATGCTTACATCCAGCCGGCGAAATTGGCAGTCAACGACTTGTAAGGCTTGCAAAAAGACTGCTCGCAACAGTCGCTGTCGCCGATATACCGGCCTTGATCCCCTGCTCTTCCTCTTTTCAATCGTCATTCTCACGGATAACGATCCAGTTTGCGACAGTCTTCCCCCTTGACTGCCTCAACTTCAGCACGCAAACTTATCGCGCGCTTATGACAGTCCCTTCTGACGCGCCCACAAAGACGAAAGCGGCAAGCCGGCGCAAGACACGAAACCGACCCTCGATGACAGCGAGAACGGACGGCAGCAGCCATGGGGCAGCAGTTGCTGCTGGCCCTACTTGCTATGGCTTTCCCGTCGAGTCTCTCGACGACGCATCTGCGCTACCCGACTTCTACACCGACTTCCTCCTGCCCGAAGACGTCGAAGCGTTTATCCAGGCTCTCGCAGGACCCGATCCACTGCAGTCGCCAGGCGCAACTGGTGCAGATGACGGCCAGCGCAGTCCTGCTGCCAATTTGGACCATCTCAGCCGTAGAGCAAGCACAACGGAGAACGGCAGCACGGCTGCGACCATTGGTGACGGCACATCCGCTTCAGCGATTGCGCCTACGTCTGCGTCGTCTCTCTTCATAACGGCCAAAAACGACTGGGCCCCGATCTACGAAAAGGTGGTGCCGTCTGAAGAGAGCCGGGACGCACCAGCAGCAGAGGCCACAGGCTCGGGATTCTCAAAGCCACAGCCATCTGCCTCAAGGCCTTGGTCGTTTCTGGGTCGCAAACAAGACGTTGCGCTCGCAGCGTCAGGCTCTATCCCGATACTGCAGCCGCCAGCACCGCCGACACTGAGGCGAAGACGGCATCTGCAGCAGAGACCGAAGCAACGGCAACGCGTAGCGGCAGCGTCAGCAGCATCGACGGCGGCAGGCAAGAGGTCGCGTGCCAAGACGGGACCGGGGCGGCGCACCCAAGACGAGACGCGCGAGGGCTATCTGTACGGACTCCTGAAGTGGCCGTTCCTGCTGGGCGTCTTTGCCTGGATCATCGGGCTTTCAATAGCGTACCTGGTGACTCGGCTGTACATCTCGTCGTATGAACAGCTAGTGACGTGGCGTGGGCGACGCGAAAAACTGCGGAAACAACTGCGATTTGCGCCTGACTATCGCAGCTGGGTAGCTGCGGCAGAAGAGCTCGATGCGTACCTGGGCAACGACCGGTGGAGGGAGGACGATGAGTTTGCCTTTTATGACTTCCGCACGGTGCGGCGCGTCGTTGAACAGCTGCGTCGTTGTCGGGCCCAGGCAGAGACAAAAGAAGCGGCCGACAGCGGCACGACGGTCACGGCCACGGCCAACTCTAGTGCAGCAAGACTGAGCCAGTCGAAAGAGCCGGTCGGCGATCTTAAGGCGCTCGTGGAGGCATGCGTAAAGAACAACTTCGCCGGTGTGGAGAATCGGCACTTGTACAGCCAAACGTACTATGGGACGAAAAACCTGGTGCAGAGGTTTGTCGAAGAGGGTAAGCGTATTATCCCTGGTAGATCTTCTTCCTGCTATCTCCCAGGGGCTCCCTGCTAACATGTAGCCAGTTGAGCAAAGCCTTCAGTTCCTCAGCGAGACAAATCAGCTGGACGCAGCCGAGAGGCGCGGCCTCTTCAAGCGGTTGCACGCCAACTATGGACGAACTGCACTGTGCCTGTCGGGTGGAGCGTCATTTGCGTACTACCACTTCGGCGTGGTCAAGGCGCTACTGGAAGAAGATGTGTTGCCGGACGTGATCACTGGGACAAGTGGAGGCGCATTGGTGGCAGCGCTGGTGGCCACACGGACCAACGACGAGCTGCGGCAGCTGCTGGTGCCGGCGCTGGCTGGACGGCTGACCGCTTGCCACGATTCGTTCTCCGTGTGGTTACCGCGGTGGTGGCGAACGGGCGCGCGCTTCGACTCGGTCGACTGGGCACGCAGGTGCGCCTGGTGGACGCGCGGGTCGATGACGTTTCGTGAGGCTTACGAGCGCACTGGGCGCATCCTCAACGTGACGTGCGTGCCGGCAGACCCGCACTCGCCGACGATCCTGTGCAACTATCGCACCTCGCCCGACTGCGTCATCTGGTCGGCCGTGCTGGCGTCAGCTGCTGTGCCGGGCATCCTCAACCCCGTGGTGCTGATGATGAAGACGCCGGTGCCGGGAGAAGCTGGTGGCAAAAATTACCGGCTGGTGCCGTATTCGTTTGGCCACAAGTGGAAGGATGGCAGTCTGCGGACAGACATCCCGCTCAAGGCGCTTAACCTGCACTTCAACGTCAACTTCACTGTCGTCAGCCAGGTAAACCCGCACGTCAATCTCTTCTTCTTCAGCAGCCGCGGGTCCGTTGGTCAGCCGGTGACTCACCGCAAGGGCCGCGGCTGGCGTGGCGGTTACTTGGGCTCGGCCTCTGAGGAATACTTCAAGCAAGACCTGCGCAAGTGGCTCAAACTGCTGCGTAACTTGGAGTTACTGCCCCGGCCGCTGGGCCAGGACTGGTCGCAGTTGTGGCTGCAGCCCTTCAGCGGCACCGTGACCATCTGGCCCAAGAGCGTGCTCTCCGACTTTGTCCATATCTTGTCCGACCCCAACCCGACCCGGCTGGCTCACATGCTGCACGAGGGCTGTCAGTCCGCCTTCCCACCGCTGAACTTTGTGGCCAATCGCCTGCGTGTCGAGCGTATGGTCGAGCGCGGTCGGCTTGCGTCACGCTTGCACTATGGTAGCGATGGTGGCGTTGGCGGTAGTGGTGATAGTTTCTGGTCCGGCCATCACGCCGGTGGTGGTGGCAACATTGACTCCATAGCCAGCGAAGACGAGTTTCATGTCTTGCTGGCTGGTGAGGGCCCGGCTGCCAGGCGCTTCGGTAGCCGCCGTGGTCGGGCCGGTTTGGGTCTCGCCAGCACGACGGCCACGTCAGACGAAAACATGTCCCTCTCATCATCGTCTTCATCGGACGTTGAAGCTGCAGCAGCTCGACCCAGCGTCGGCGACAAGGACGACAAAGCCAGTGAAACCAGTGGGATGGCCAGTTCGCAAAGAGCGGGAGAAGAGGGGCAGGAGAGCATAGTGAACTAATTACCAGAAAAAGAACACATAGGAGGCAGGTTGAATGCATAGCTTAGGCCAGAGGACATGTACCATATCGTAGACAATACACAACGGAAGGACGGCAGGTTAGGTTGGGCATTTCACGTGTAGTTATATTGATAGACTTTTTTTCGGTAAACGAGTGTCGTCTTTTGTTCCAAGTGCAGATGCTGTCATTCGACACACGAACGGTATAAAACCTTTGGTGCTGGCAGATATACTTTGAGAGTTGACAACAGACTGCGGCAGAAGACATTTTGAATATTAGTGAAAGCCGCCACAGCCAGTCAAGTCAGTACTACCTGAACACTACTTGCATAAACAAGGAATGGCGTACAGCCTAACGTAAAGTATCTTCGGCAAGAGGGAATATAATTTTGTTTAGAACGGGATGGAGGTGGTAAAGACAAAATATACGCCCAATGTATTTTGTTACTTAGTTTAGAAGCAACCCGATTAGCAAAAACTTAGATCAGTTGCAACAGCCACATTAAGAAAATAGGCATGTATAAAGATAGACGAATGAAGATGGGAATAGTCTGTTCCTGTTTCGTCTAGAAGGCTAGGAAGTTTGGGACCTTCGATCCCGTCGGTCTTCCTGCCGTAGTAGAAACGAACTCTGCCCGGGTGATTTTTGGGCGATGTACTCTCACGTCGTTGTCGTTTCTCAGGGCAAATGTGCTTTTGCCGATTGGTTGTACCTCCACTGGGGACAAATTTTCAGTCATTGCCTTGACTGCTGGAGCGACTTCCTGCCATCTTCAAAGTCGACGTCCCCGCTCGGGGGCATCGTGGAGGGCTTCTGAGGTAGGATATAGTTATTGGACAATGATGAACCGGAGGAAAGTCTGCTACCCAGAAAATGGCAAGTAGATGAGTAGATGAGTAGATGAGTATACATATGTGCTAGTAGGTAATTGCGCCTTCCTTTTTTAGCATTTACAATAGCGCAACTTCACACCACCTAGGCAGGTAGATATAGCTTTGACGGTCACACTTTCTCAATTTAGCATTGGTCCAGTTTGCAGACGTACATTCCATACGTGGGATAAAGCTTCTGGAGCAAGATTTGATACTGTATATCTAAGTTGCGTTTAGTACATTGTCGTTTTACTATTGTGATATCCTCTAATCGTCGAAATAGCAGCAGAACACAGCCATCACCGCTTATCGTCTGCACCTCTGGCATGACTTGCATGATTACTCTACTTCGGCAACTCTTATTGAACTTATTCCAGACAAGCTAGCACACAGCACAGCATAGGAGATGAAACGGCAGATATCAGAGCGATGCTTACTTTTTATTAACATTTGCATCACATTTAACAAGACACTTTGCGTTATTAGATAAGCTGTTTTTAAAAAAGTAAAAGCACCCAATATCCCCGTTCTAGAGCGGAGATACCGAGCACCCAAAAAAATGCAATTAGAAAATTAAAAACATGTTCCTATGCCGTGTCCAATGACTGCCAGACATTTCCGGGACTTAAAAAGTACAACATCGCCGAAGCCTAACTTTCATAAATGCCATAGCCTTCCAGGCTTCTCTAGGGAAAAAGAGACAAAGAAAAGAATTGCGGAAGACTTCTAAGTTATTTATGCGAGGAAGACAGCGACAAGGCCGGCAGCGGCGGCCAGGACACCGGAGAAAGCAACGTTGCCGGCACCAGCAGTGACGATGCTGGACGACGGGACGGGGCTCTTGCCAGTGGGCGTAGCAACACCGACGGTGCCGAGGGTGCCGACGGGGGTGTTAGCACCAGTGGGGCAGGCGACCGAGACGGTCTCGTAGATGACAGTCGGGACGACAGTCGTCACAGAGGTCGAGATGGTCTTGACGGAGTAAGAGCCGCAAGCACCAGCAGTGCCGACAACGGCAGCGGGCGTAGTGCCAACAGCAGCGACACCAGTGGTGGTGTCAACGGCCGGGACACCCGGGGTGCCGACGGCAGCAGCCGAGGTGACGGTGGTAGGAACAGCGACGGGGGTGGAGACAACGACGCCAAGAACGGCGGTGGGGCCGTTGGTTGCGACGGTGGTGTTGTAGTAGGACTTGCCGGTCGAGGCGATGGGGACAAGGGTGGCAGAGACCGGGATGCTCTCGGTGGAGTAGCCAACGGTGCCGGCGCTGGTCGTGGCGTACACGTTGGTCGAGTAGACCGTCGAGGACGTGACCGGGTAGACGGTGCTGTGAGTCCGGGCCGGGCAGTTGGTAACTTCCGGAGCGCAGGACGTGATCGTGACGAAGTCCGTGCTGTAGATGGTGCTCTCAGGAGCCTCGGTGCCGGCCAGAGCGGCACCGGCGAAAAAGACGGCAGCAGCAGCGTAACGCATTTTGATTGATTGGGAGGTTGGTGGGTTTGGAGCGGTTGAAAGCGGGTGATGAAAATGAATGTTTAGCAGATGCTGAAGCAAATAAAGAATGGACGACCGAAGTCAGAGCGAAGCAAGAGTTGCAAAAGTGTTTGTCTTTGGGCTGGGGAAAAAGGAGAATAGAAAGGATAGTGGACAGAGGGACATGGACGAGTGTTAAATAGATGTGAGAGCACGTCGTTCTGTCGCCTCCACACACACCCCTATTCACTTCTTGCTCTTTTTCCTCTTCTGTTGTACTGCCTGCCTCACTTCTTCCGGCTGCTGCATTTGCCTTCCTGCACGCCTTCATCTCCCACGCCCCCCCTCCCCCCGGTCAGCAGGTGAACGTCTTGCTGGTGTAGGCAAGCCATCTTGGGAAATTACACAACGCCTGCTAGCTGCTTCGTCTAGGGCGCTAATCCAGGGGCATCAGTGGAGCTGTGTTGCAAGAGCGCCAACTGTATGCCATGGGCAGCCTTGCTACCGTGTCCCATTGGTCGGTGCCCCAAGTGCCACAATTCGTGGCGACCGTTGCACCATACCTGGCCCAGTATTTACTCGTACTTGTAAAACTCCGTACATGCTCCGTACTACTCGTATTGTAAAATACATGCATAGTACGGCGTAGTAGCGGTCCAGTCGTGGTAGGAGACGAACAGAGACCCTACGATGTAGTATTCGGGCTTGGCTCATGTGTCAATGATGTTACGGGCAGACTCGAGCGGTACTTTAGGCCTTCTTAGGCATTCTGGTCTCTGATACACGCTCATTTGCAGAGAAAGCCAATCTCGCACCACGGTGGAAATGTCACCCGCCCGTGATCGCATTGAGTGACCACCTGGCAAATGAGGGCAAATTGTCGTATTCCGTTGCCGTGTTTCTTTTCGAGAGGGTCGTTGTTGTCGCCCCGGGCAGAGCGGTGACAACCACACACCAGAGAAGCCCCGAGGTTAGCATTGCTCCGTACCCGTACATAGTACTCCGTACACGTACGAGTATGGACAGATCAGCAGGGGACTGCGTTTAGGTCATTTCGAAAAGGAACACTGCTTGATACGGATGTGGGGAAGGGCTCCCTTCTCCGCTTGTCGCTCACCGACTCGAGGCCGAGCGTGGATGTTATCTTGCTGGGCCCTCAAGATTGGGGCCAAAGGGCTGATTGCCTGTTTCTGAGGGTGATGCAGGCATTGCTGTGACCATTGCTACTCCGTATTCGCCATCGTGAAGATCTCTGTGGGAGAATCTCTTGCGGTGTGTGCGCTGTTCGAAAAGTGTATCTTGCCCTTTTTTTTGCTTCCACTTCGCTCGAAGGGTCTCGGCGCTTCTATGACAGGCCGATTATCTAATATGGCCAGTTCTGAGAGTCCGCCAAATGAGGAAGTTGGTCGAGTACGGGCAACGAGCTGTACTCCGTATTCTATTGCATCTGCTTTCAGTCTTTCTACTGGTCACTCAGGAGCGGTCAGGACTGCCATACATACGGAGCAGTCGTACATGATACGGAGTTCTCCGTGAGCCATCTGTACATAGTACTCATGACTGGAGATCACCTTACATGGTGCTCGTAATGCTGAAGCGGGCCAATGGCTTGCGCTCGTATTCCGCAGTTTGGAAGTTACGACGTTGACCAGCCTTGATCGTCAGCAGTGTCGCCCGCCAGTCACCCGCCAGTCGCGGCTGCCGTTTTTGTTCCTGCATTAGTGCATTGTGACACGCTTCCGCATTGCGCCTTCTCCCAACCTGGGCAAAATACTCCGTGCTACTGGCCGTCACCGCCGTCTTCATCGTTGCCATCGCCACCACAGCCCGCCCATCTATGCCAATCGTTGAATCAGGAAACGCTTCAATTTCGCTCCGACTCCACCACTGCAATCATGCTCTGGTCTACTCGTTGCAGGAAGTGGGCCTTGTTAGCGCGGCGTCCTCTCCTTTTTCTTCTCTGTCGGCAGGGATTCTAATTGCAGTTCCGCAAATCGCAGCTGGTCAACACGACGGCGTAATTTGCTTGTCGCACGTACTGCAAGATCGAGGCAGACTCGACGGACCGTCCGATTGCCATTGGCACCCTGGTCCAGATACATAAATAGTAAAAGTACCAAGTGCCGCGTGTTTATGCACTTCGACGACGCGTGCGATGCTGTTCAAGCGCAAGTTTTCGCTGGCGATTGTAAGATAACTGGATGAGAAGACATGCAGACCCCTGAACAGCAGCAAATTCGCTTCTACTTCGTACGTCGTAGACTTCCTGCGTCCGGTGGGCCTGCAAAGGGCTGTATCGAAATTGCATCGTACAATTTCAACATCCGTGCCATGTTTACGCTCCGTACGGGTATGTACGAGCGCCTGGCGGATATTAAATTTAGACTACGACGTATCGAGGCGAAAGCGGCGTCGTATTCCATCCGTCTCCATGCAAATGAAGCTTCCCCTGATGGCTTCTATTCTCCGCAAAAAGAGGGAATTTGCAGACTTTGTCCTTGCAAGAGGAACATATTAGCTCACTTTTATTTTTATTTTTGGTCTATTTTTCCTGAAAAGAACGGAGTAAGTGTTATAATATTGAGTGTCTCCATATGCTGTTGGATGAGGGGCCACGACGGGGGGCATTGGCCTTGGAGGTCTACTCCGTAGGTCGACGAGACTTCCTTCTTTCTGCTCTGGCTTTGCTGGCTACGCCATACTTTCTTCTCCTTCTTTGGACGGTGCCAAAGACACACTCCATGAGTCTCGATACTTGCCGCCATTGAGCAAAATGGTCTAACATGTGTCACCCATAGGCATGTTCCCAGCATAGAACATCGAGCCTCGAGCCTCAAGCCTCGAGGATTCGGCCGAAAGACTCGAGCATATGCCGGCCGAGATCTCGCGATCCAGTGCTTTAGCCGCATACGACCCAGATGAGAACGAACATCTTCAAAGCTTGTTTAAATTGGACGGCCGGCTTGGCAAATCAAGTCCAATATAAACAAGCTTTTGTTTGGGATAGGAGAGACGTTCTGGGGACAGCATCCAGCGATGGAAGTTGTGATCATCGACGTGACGGCTGGCTCTAGGGTTGGTGAGATTCGGCCACAAAAGACCGGTGGATGTTTCTGGCCACGTCTGGCCACGACGATCGCATCGCGTGGTCCCTCTCTGCCTCGACTCGCCTTTCGAAATTTCGACGCTGGACGTGATATCCGTCCACTTTGCATGACGAACACGATGCCAGCCACCGCTTGCGAACAAAGGAGAAAGCCCTGGAGGATGTCGTTCGACACGCGCCGGCCACTCTGACCACGGGCGATATCGAGGCGCAGTTTTGTAACCATTATAGCGAGTCTGTCCAATCTGGTTTATAGGATGGTGGTGGTCTCTTGAACTGGTCCGTCATCTCAAGCAGCAGCTTCTGTCGAAAATCCGAAGTGGACCAGTGCCGTCTTGCTGTCATGTGATGGCCGCTGTCCCGCATGGACAATAGCAGGTAGGCTGTGTCAATGGAGGAGGGGCGGGAAGCGGCATTCGGTCCCGCGCCTGTTAGCCTCTGGTCAGATCATCATGACGACGAAAGCAATTGGCTGCCTCCGACAGCACAATCCTTCGTGACCACACCATGTCGCCGCAAGGTGAGATGGTTGACAGCCAATTGAGAGCGGCCAGACGGCAGGGGTTTGGCTGCAAGAGCTACAAGGGTCTGTCGCAACCAGGATGGACGTCTCAAAGAAGTCTGCCGGCCCTGTCTTTCGGCGAGAGCGTCGATTCTGCGTCTGATTTGGATTGTCCGCGAAGAATCCTGTACGAAGCAGCGACAGCTGCAAAGAGCCCTTGCTGTGTGGAATAGGCGCCGGCGGTGCATTGGCCCTTCAATCGGTCTCCCTTGCACAGCCTTCCAACAGCCCAACGCCACAGTGTTTGGACCACGATTGCGCCAATCAAGGGAACTGTGGCAGGCGCGATCAGATGTTCCCCTCGCAAGCGTGGCTCGCCTTTCCTTTGTGTGCCTTCAAGATCCATATTTGTATTCATGCGAGGGCATGTTTTCGGCGACGAAATGACACGTCCGTTAACGAAGGACTGACAGTCCTATTAGATTAGATGTGCGGCTCGGCGACCTGTCCCCAGCAGTCGTAGCCGCGATTCTATTCGCCTGCAGTGATCGCTCAACCGACAAGGCGTTCTTTTGTGGTACAGGAAAAAATGGCCGGCTTCGTGGCGCCAAATATGAGCAACTGTAGAGACCGGTTCCCTCTCCAACAATTCATTGGCCGCCCGTTACTGTACGGCTGTACCTTTTTTTCTCCTGGCGGGCGGACCGTGCCACCTTTTTAGCAAAGAAAGCGACCGTTTTCGCTCCGTAGCGCGTCATGTCCAAGACTGCAAGTAAGTTATCCTCCGTATGTACTGTTGGCAGCGGAAAGGCCGAAGAAGTCCTACATCGTCCTAGCACACTCACCGGCCCCCTGCCATTTGTCAATCCGCCGCCTGTAACGAGTCCTAGATAGTAAGATATATCCGATTGCTCACCAGATGGAGCCAGTGCTGAGGGATACATACTCTGTAGGGAGAAACGGCGCCCCGCCACGATTGAAAGAGGCCTGCGGCTGACCGTCTGCATACATAGTAAGGATATTATTATGGGGCTGAAAGAAACCCCGCCCACTCACACTCACACTCGTTTCAATGTATCCCGGACCTCTACGGGAGAGGCCAGCCACAGTTTGCCAGCAAGCAGCAGGTAAGCAGCAGTCAAACCCTCTTGCTCATTCGACCCTTTTTCTGCCCATGCTGGCGATCTCTCCCTCCCTCCCTAGCGGCGTGGGATGCGGACAGCCACCAGTCGGGGAAGACGACCCAGCAGAATGATGGCGAGTTTCTGAGCAGACGACTTGGCCATGTCCGACCCCTACGAACCACCTTCCAGGACGGATGTAGCAGCCGGTCTGTTCTCTAACCGCTAGGCCTCCCCGAGTGCCCAGCATGGCAACAGACCGCACATTGTCTGTGCAGACAGCAGATGACGGACATGGCGATACGGTTTGCGTCAAAAGCATGAATGCGGATTGGCCTGCTGAGCGGCGTCCCACGTTATCTTGCGCAATTATGGAGACTGGAGGCAGACGGAGCAGATGCATGGGGGTCTGGGTCGACAGGGGAGGCTCGCCCACCTCGGGAGAACAAGGACAACAACCGTTCTAGGCCATCCGCTGCCGGCAAGCAACTTGGGCCCAGTTTCTGCTTGGCATAAGCCGACAATAGGCAGGCCAGCTAGCTGAGGAGCAGATCGAAAAGAAGCCTTTGTGACAATCTTTGCTCACTGCCACGGTCGCTCTCGGAGCAGCCAGACAAAAAGACAAAAAGACAAGACTCCAGAGCAGGCTCTCTTGTCTGGTGTCATGTCCGCTTCTCTTCCGGGGAACAGCGTCTCGCTACCCGAGCACTACAGCAAGGTCTGCAAGGGCCACACGGTCCGGCCACCGACCAGTCTAGCATATCTTCTCCGTATCGATCATCGTTACGCTCAGCCTTGCTGTACAGCCACTGGACAGCTGTACAACGGGTATGTATCTCGATCCCCGCCCTCACTGCAGAACCCATATAGAGTGCAGCTGGCGAAGGGGGATTGAGAGAAAGCGTCGATCTGTATCTGAACCATCCTTTATATTCTTTCCTGCTCGCTCGCCCCTCCATTGCATATCTTCCCGCAGCACTTCCCATACCAAGTTCACTTCTCCTGCATATACTTCCTGCTAGCCGCGCCTTTCTACTACTGAATTGACGGACGACCTGCATAACAAGACGGCGCCTCTGCTCATTTATTAACCCCCCCCCCCCCCCCCCTCGAGTACTTTCTTTTCTTTTTGCATTGTCTTTCCTCTTCTGCCTCTCCATTGTGCACCTTTCGCCCTCTTGCTTCCCCACCATCGGCAGCTCCCCCCCTCCCCCCCCTGCAATCCTGCCGCATCTGCCTTCCAGACGCCTGCCAAATCCGGTTGCTGCATGTCGTACATCACTCCTCCTCTCCATATCACCTCTCCCCATCTTTCTGCTGAAAGAGCAGCTTGGACGGGGCCATACTGCCCCGTCTCTCTCCCCCGCAATATCGGTCTTGCATATCGACGTCCCGGACCAATTGCTGTGTCTATTCGCTACAAACAGCAGACACAAGACGAGCCGTCGACCCTGATCACTGCTGGGACAATGAATGACCCCTTTCACCAAGGATTGACCCCGCAGATATCTTTGGCTTCATATGGTATGTGCTTTTCCTTCGCCTGCTCTCTTGTATTCCCTCAGCGACTGACACATTGGCTTTAGGCCATATTGACACTACACTCGACAACCACCTGCAATCCGTCGCCCGCCAGAATGCCGACACATCCACCCAGGCTGTTCTGCCCTTTTCAAGTCCGGAGACCCGCACCATGATCGTGGCTACCGCTACCAGCAATGCAGAGTCCGTCAGAGGCGTCATCTGTCCTGACTGTCAAAAGCCATACCGGCGCAACTGCGATCTAAAACGGCACCTGAAGACACACACACGTCCTCACAAGTGCCCAGTTAGCAGCTGCAGCTACAGCACCACCGGCTTCCCAACGCCGCAGGAGCTCCTACGCCATAAAGACGACCGCCACTCAAACAAGCCGCCCGAATTCAAATGCCAGTTCGCACCTTGCTCGTACAGGTCCAAACGGGAGTCGAACTGCAAGCAGCACATGGCCAACGTCCACAGCTTGGCCTACAAGTACAGCCGGAAGAGCCACCGTGCCCGTGTTGCGGCTACAATCACGAAACCTGACTCCTGTACCCAAGGTGTCCGCCCTGGGGATACCGATCTGCCATATTTTGACTTCACCCTGTACCCAGACCAAGACCAAGACCAACAGCAGACCACCAACCATCCTTTGACTCCGGCACCCGATGTTGTGTATGGAAATGACGACACCCCCGTTGTCTGTCTGGGCGGAAACATCGCTGATGTCGGTGACGAGAGCGGCTCGAGTGATCAATCGATCGTGTCGAATTCTTTTGTGCCTTGGGAGTCGCCTATGACGCAGCAAGAGGAAATCCACAACATGATCCAGAATGTCGACAGCAATTTTGACCCAACGCAACCTGTCTATGATAGCAACAATTGCTCGCAATCCCAATATCCTCTATCAATTCGGTCGCCATTTATTGATCAGTTGAATACCGCAGACATGTCACCCCCAACCATGTCGCACCCGTCATCGTTATGGTTGCATCCGCTCGAGGCTGTTCAATCTTGTCAGGACCTGCAGCCATACATAAGTGTACCGAGTTTTGTAGACGGCCTGGGATCTGTTGGTGTCATGCAAGCTGCAGGACCCCGGGAATCTTATAGCAATCAGATTGTCTCGCAAGCAACTGAGCGAGTAGTTCTGTGCTCTCCCGTCGACGAGGTCGCTGCCGAAAAACGAAAGCGAGATAGGGACGAAGAGAGCGACGAGGACGACGATGAAGACGACGAGCATCGACGCAAACGACCGAGACCCGATGGCGAAACAGACGACAGCAGTCTCACGTGCCCATTTCGCAAGATGGATTCAAACTATTATAGTCGTGATAGGGATGAACGATACTCATCCTGCTATACACCTCACGTGTATATCTCGACGTTGGTGTGAGCGACCATCCCTGTTTTTTTGTTTCTTTGTTTCTGTCTTTGTGCCTGCCGCTAACAGCCTGCCTATGAATAGTCGACACCTTGGCCGAGCCGCACATGGGCTCTTGGTTACTCCGCGCAGCATCTCCTCGTTCGACGTTCTCGAGGAAGGATACCCACGACCAAGAGCTGGTCTCTGTCGCAAATGCTGGAGGCCGTTTCACGACAGAAACGACTTCGATACCCATGTCACCGCCCCAAATCAATGCGGCAAAGCCTCCCGCGGAAAACGGGAAAAGTACAACGCCATCATCAATGCGTTTTGTGTGCACGGAGATGGTTCTGATGTATCAGTATCTTATAAAGGACGAGATCTGCTACCTGCGCAACCAATCAGACGCAATACAAGATCAACTAGGCGCGATGACCAGTCTCAGGCACAAACCTCCACCGTCCCTCGCCTGTCCGTTGAGTTTGACGCTGCTCGTGGCACTCCGGATATCAAAGAATCACCAACTCAACAAGAGCTGAAAGTTCCACTTCAAACCGCCCACCTCGTGACTAGTGACTTTGTGCCACGCATTGAGTATCAAGGTCTTGAAAGGCGCGTCGAGGACTTGGAGGCGGCCATACAACAAATGACTGCCACAGGCCAAGCACAATCCTCCTCGACAGCACCGAGGTTCGGCCGTCAAAGTGACGGTGACCCAAGGGGCCGAGTCGTTCGTGATATCATCAGCCACAGGCGTCCTATCCGGTCTGCCACCTCTGGGACGGATGAAAGTGCACTGGAGATAGGAAGCCTGGGAGGGTGGATGGAAAGGCAAGAAAGGGTGGAAGAAGATGAGAGGGCGATGCTTGGGACAAATCAAATACCCGGCACCAGTGTCGATGAGTATACCGGCGCCATCCCCGACAACTCAGCTCAAGACCTGGCTGGCATCAGCAGGCCACACCGAACCTCGACCAACCTTTCATCACGTTCAGACACCTCTTCTTTACGTCATGCACCACCTATGGCTCTCCGTAGCGATGCTAGAAGCCAGGTTCCCTCGCGACAGCAACAACAAGTCCAGCCGCAACAGCAGGCGACCTCAAACACGGTTTTGGACTCGGGCTATGGCGGAAGCAGCAAGCCAAAGGCCTCCCAGCAGCCAGATGGCAGCACTGCGCCACCTGCCACGGCCCTTAACCCCGGCACTCCTGACACGGCCCCTTATATCTCCATGGATCGGACAGCCGATTCAGCTCTGACAGAGAACCATGTGGCGGAACTCCCGCAAGGAGGCTATCCGTTTGATGATGGTGTTGAGGGGCCATCCATGTTTGCCGAGATGTTCCTTACAGATACTGAAGGTGAAGTGCTGTTCGACAACTGGCCTGAATAAACAACTTCGTTAATGCTTGGACTCTTGATATGTCACGGGTACATAGAAGACGAGGATGTTTTGATAGATACTGGATTCTAGATCATGTTTCATCTCAAACTCTTAGACTCCAGACTTGCATATTTTAGGTGCAAAACGCTACATAGGCGATTCGGGACAGCCCACTTGTATCTTAACTCAGACACTTCTCATTGTCATGGACTTGTATACTAGAAACCACGTTTCTCTCTATTGCGGTACTAAGCCTCGATCGGCTATTTGGAAACTAGGTCAGGCTATGCGTAAAAGGTGTGCTTAGACGAGGCTACTCAACTATAGATAAGGTTGATTGACGAAACTGTGCAATGGAGAGGCTAAGTATATGCCTAACCTGTAAGCTAGGAAACAGCCAGGGAGCAAAGGCTGTGAAGGCGGGTAGATCGTCTCGCTAATCTACAGAGTAACGAGGACACTGGATCTGCCAGATGATTTTACCAATGCAGCAAGATCGCAGATAACGCAAAGCAAGTGCTATGTCTGTAATTGGCCGCAAAGCTGCATGTTGGGAGAATTTGTATATCGACGTGCTACATGCTGCGTGCAGCGTATAACGAAGACGCAGGGTTGACATTTCCGCCGTCTGACACAACGGGAAGCCAAACAGCTCCAAACAGCTTCCTGCAATGCTCGTATCGAATAAAAAAAGTTATATCCATACAAAGACCCAACACCCACGCCGATCTATCAAGATTCCCTCTCCCATATGTGAAGTGCACAAATATATAAGCCCACCAGTAAAAGTAATGATACAGAAGAGCAACAGGGCTGGTATCATAAAAAATGACTGCATTTCTAGAAGCCAAACAATGGAGGCAGCACCATATATCCTGGTCCAAGACCCTGTTTTCGTTGGGCTCGTATTTCTTCCTCTTTCATCAAGTGTGTCGCGTCCCTAGCTGCTCCGCGCCGCGATATTACCTTCGTGGTCGTCTCCTTCGCAGCGCTCCCGCTCCAGTTTCATATCCATGATCATCGCCAATTCTGGGCAGTAATCGAAAATCTCCTTCCGCTGGGCCTTGTCCTTCCATACTGCATCAGGGAGGTTTTGGCCGCTATTGGCAACGTGGAAGCCCATTGGCTTTTCGACGTAGACACCCTCGACAGCGAGGGCGGTGAGGCCAGAGGTGACCTTCTCACCGGGAAGCACGTACAGGCGACGACCGAACCATTCATCTTCGGGCTCAGAGTTGTTGTACCGAGCCTGGAAGCCGAGAATTCTGCGAATGGCCGCTACCTTGCGGAGCGACAGGCCACCGTTACCGGAAAAGCGGTCGTTGGGGTCCCTGCAAATACATTGTTAGATCAAATCAGAGATTGTGGAAGGAGGAAAAGCACAGAACGTACTTCGGCGCGCCTGCCCAGGCCCATTCAAGCCAGTCATTGAGGCTCTTTGGCGAGTTAGCACAGAGGATGCTGTCTGACTCGTATTTAAGGATCCACTCGACGCCCGGTAGGAACTCGTCGTAGAAGCGCATGTCGGTAAGCATGCGAAATACCATTTCCTTGTTGGTGATGGTCCACGGATCAGGCAGGACGAGAAGATCGAGTTTGCCGATAACCTGCTGGTTCTTGATGGCGTAAGCGCGGTTGAGGCTGTAAACACTCTCTTCGGAGCCAATGAAGACGAAGCGCCACTCGGGTGGGACGACCGAGATCATGTGTAGAATGAGCGGTACGAGGTGAGGCAGGGCGCGCGGTTCAATGATCATAGCCACCTTGGACGCATCAAAATCGGCCCGGGGCTCTTCCGGTACGGTCCAGTCGACTTTCATAGCGGGTACCCGCTGGCGGGCTTCTTGGAGGCGCGAGGTAACGGTCGTGGCAACGGCCGAGACTTGTTCGCGGATCGTGCTTTGGTAGTGGGGAAGGAGGTGCGCGAACCACCATCTGCAGCCTGTTAGAGACGGACGAACGGCCCGGAGGGTCGGAGCGGACTGGGACGAAGAGGACAACTCACGTGAAAACCAGCGAGGCTACTATCATCAACTTGGCCTTCGTGATGCCAAAGGCACCGCCTTGTTGGCTATTGGAGGCGGTCATGATGCACGTAGGACAATAGTCGTGGATGCAGAGATAACGAGCAATATGTTGGAGAAATGCAAGGTATGTATGTATCGAAGAGGCTCGGCCAACGGGACGAGAGGTGTCAGCTAGAAAAAGGAACCATAGAAACAACGTGTTGGCCGTGTTTGATTAGCAAGTTTTTAAGGCAAGTCCAAAACCCCCCCAAACATCGCAGGGCCGTTGGCAAAAATAGATGAAAAGGAACGAGGTGCCGGTGAGGGCGCACGAAAAGAAAAATCAGAATGTGGAAGGACGTATGGTGGCCGTGGCGTCCATTGCCAGTAAGAAGAGGGAGACGGGATAATGCAAATGTTGAAATCGCCAGATGCACGATCGAAAAGGAGAGCGAAAAAGAATGGGCCCGTGGTCTAAGTGGAAGACAAGAGACGAAGAAAGTAGCGTCAACACGCTTGGCCTGCATTAGGCAGGGAGACTGGCGTGCTCGGGGCGTTTAGGTTAGGCGACAGATACCCAGCGGTACTTTGCACTACCTGGTCCGTTCTGTTCCTTCCTTCCACAGCCCTTTCCAAACCCCCACCCACACCTGAAGAATGCACTATGTAAGAGACAACCCCTTATTTCAGAGGGATATGTTCCAGCCACATACCGCGATCTTTCGTCTGGAGGTGATTCGAGACAATAGATGCAGCGGGTGTAGGCATCACTAATGCCAGCGATGTCTGCTGAACTACTAGTATGTACGGAGTATGCACGCAGCAGTCTGCGCCCTCTTTGCGGTCTGGCTGCAGCGACAGGCCATTTTCGTAACTTGGGAGAAATTGTGCCCTAGACGTGTTCGTGTTTCAGTATTTCTAACACACAGCCACACATGCCTGATACGAAGTTGCATCGTATTTGGCGTCCGGAGAAGCTAAGACTCCGCTGCTCCTGTGACTGCCGTCTGCCATGCAGAGGCATTCGTATTCTCTGTTTCGGAGCCAAGACCCGCTGTTGACGACACGGTGTCGCTCTCCATTACGAATAGCTGCCAGGGTCGCCACGACGGCGCCACGCCGCTACCAATCTTTGATTGCTCGTGCCATGATACGAGTGGGGGACTCTGCCATTTGCTGGAGGCGCCACATTCTATCAGGGTTTGATAAGATAGCTCAACCAGGCAAGAGTACTGTAGGATACATGGTGGTACCTGCCCTGTACACGTCCCGGCTATTACCGCCTCCTTTTTATATTTTTCTGGTTTCGGTGATCCCAATGAGATAGACGCCTTTTGTGTTTTTTTGCCAGCCGCAATCCCGTCTTTCTCTTCTCTTCAACCGTCTTCTCCCTGGCCTTGCCTTGCATGGATTGACCGCTGGCATTACGCGGTGCCGAATCGCGCAATCTTCTCATAATCATTTCCGTACTTGTATCTTACCTTTCTCTGCCCTCATTTGACACCGTTTTAGAGCTTGTTGCAACTTAGACACGTTTCCGATCACGACACATTTTCCTTCGTCTCGTTACCTGCGAGCTAACCCCGAGTCATTTCGGGCACTGGCGACAGCGACAGGGACACTTAGCCACCCGATATTGTGGCACAGCTGTCTCTAAGCGAAACATTTGTTTCTGTCGACTCAATATCATACTCTTCTCTTGACACCCGTTTGTCACCGCCGCACGATCGGCGATCTACCCATACCCTCCTCGCCTCGCGGCAGCATCACACATCTACGGTTTCCCTCATACCACACAGCCGGCAACATGCTGTTTGCAGACGAGTCCGGCTGGAAGGAGCGGATCGCAGGGTCCCTCAAGAACTCCAATTTCAACGATATGAAGAACACAGCGTTCATGCTGGTCATGGCTCTATGGGCCAAGACCACACGGCGCATGCGGTTTGCCGGTGGGGTAGTGTTCTTTGTGTACGTTCTGCCTACTTCAGCCTTGCGTGTTACCGTTGCTAATGGTTGTTACTCAGCCTCACCATGGTATATTTCTCGGGTGCACTACGCCAGGCACCAAGCGGCATCGACTACCAGAGCCGTGCCCGGGCGCGGTACAACGAGTCCAAGGTCGGCCTGCTGATTGAGAACCGTTCTTTCCCGGTCCTGGCACCGCTTATGCTGCATTTCATCTCGGTGGTGCCACCCGACTGGCGGTTCCGCTTCATGGGTTCGATCGAGTCGGTCAAGAAGATCAACGAGTCGGTCGCTATCCAGGAGCAAGTGCGGGCGGGCAAGCTGGACCTGACATACATCCCGTCCAACATGACAACGGGAAGCCAGGAGGAGATCAGCCGCTTCCTAACGACGTTGTGGCTGTACGAGACCGTGCTCCAGCCGGCGGAATGGCTGCTGCTCTTCCAGACGGACAGCATTCTGTGTGCCAACTCGCAGAGGAATTTGAACGACTACCTCGAGTATCACTGGATCGGTGCCCCTTGGACCAAGGACAGCCGCTGGGGCGGTAACGGCGGCCTGTCTCTTCGCCGGGTGAGCGCCATGATCGACGTTCTGCGTGAGCAGGTTCGCATAGACGGCAGCGATCCGGAAGACGTCTGGTTGGCTGAGCGTCTGGGTCACCGGCCGAAGTCCAAGGTGGCTAACGGCACTGTGTCGCTGACATTTTCGGGCGAGTCCTTTGAGGGAGCCGAGACCAGGCTGGACAACTTTACGCTCTCCAACGCCAATTCCAGCGAGATCGCCGCTGCTGCCAAGGCTGGCAAGCTGGTTGACGGCGTCGACAACTATCGTGTCGGCTTCTACGAGCCGATGGGCTACCACACCGGCGGCTCGGGCAAATATCTAAACGGTCATGTCTGGGGCACGCCCGAACAGCGGCGCCACATCTGGACCTACTGCCCAGAGGTCAAGATGACCCTGGCCATGGACGCGGCCAAATTCGTGCCGGGCGAATGCGGTGCTGTTTGGAAGCGGACTGTCAACATCCCTGGCGCACATGGCGTTGTGGATGTCGGCTACGGTACCGAAATCATCGATGACATACAGTATCCGGTGCTGCCCCCTGGTCTGTATCCATGGTGAGGCTTTTTATCTATGGTCCAAATTGTACCATTTCATATTACTTGCTTTTGACCCTCTATTGTCTACACCTTCCGCCCGACTGTATAATGGGCGCTTTGGACATATTCTTTTTGGGCATTTCAAGCTCGTTGCAACCTGGATCTTTTTCTTGCGCCGTGCGGCAAAGTCGATATCCGGCCTGTATCAATAGACGCCATAGAGGCTGCGACGAGAGGTAGTGGTGGTTGTTTCTCGTTGCCCGTGTATTTAGCATGGCGGTGAAAAGGCGTTACGACAGAAGATGGATTTATGTTATTAATCTCGACTTATGTTTCCACGAAACTTTTGACTAAGTTGAAAGGGATTTATACTTGCAGGTTGCGTGGATAGCAGGGAACCAACGTGTATTTAATAAGCACAGAAGTTGAATATGAGCAGAGTAGTACAAGCGTTTATGGCCACTGTCTTTTTTGTCTTGCCAATAAGCAAAAAGGTGTGTCATGCGTGCCTTCCCAAAGTCCTGCCAGTTCCTTCCTGTACCGTTAATTCGAGTAGAGAGACGGAAGGGGAGATTTTTAAACGAAGAACACGATAGAACATGGAAACCCAGGACAATTGACATTCCATCCAACCATGGCATCATTGCATCATCTCACCATCTCGCCGACGACCCCGGCGAGCTCGCTGAACAGCACACCCCGGAAGACGGTCTCGCCCATGTCCTGGCCCCAGTGTCCGGCGTCCTGCAGCCGCTGCCGCCAGGCAGACTGCTGTGCGGGCGTGAGGCCGTCCCAGGCGACGGCCGGGCCGTGTTCAGCCTCGCTGTGCGTGACCACCTCGATGGTGTGGTCGGCGTCCTCGCCGCGCAAGAAGAGCACGGGTGGCGCGACGTCGTCGTCGTGGGCGACGTCGCCGCGCAGCAGAGAGGCCACGCTGATGCCGTCATTGTCGATGATGGGCGACTGGCTGCTGCTGCTACTGCTGCTGCTGGCGATAATCTTCTCGGGTCGCAGCCACGAGGTGGGCGACAGCTGGCGTGCGCCCAGCACAGACGGTGCGGCCCCGCGGATCTCGAGCAGGCTCTGTGACACAACGCCAATCAGGACGATCACGACAGCCATGAAGATGTACAGCGACATGCCGGACGGGCCTCGCGACTTGAGCGCCACCACGTAGCGCGACGGCGCGGCGGTTCCCGGCAGCGTCCGCAGCGGGATGTGGTGCACGACGACGGTGTTCTTGACGGACACGCTGGCCAGGCGGATGAAGGCCGAAGGCGAAGAGGTGGCCGAAGCAGTTGGAGCAGACGGCGGGACAAACGGCGACAGGGCCAAGCTCGTCATCTGCAGCTCGTGCACCTGGCGCAGGGTCCGAAACGGATACAGCTTCGCCAGCGCCTCGACGGACCCGACAACCTGCTGCTCGAGCGTGTACAGCGCGATAGTGTTATCGGGCGCGCCGGCGACAGCGACAACGAACTGGGCGTCGCCCAGGCGTCCACCAGGTGTCGCCGGCTGTGTTAGGCCGCGCACGGTCAGCGCCGTCGCCTGGGTCAGGATCGACCGCGGGACGGCAATGTGCACGGTGGTCGTGCGGGCAATGTTGACGGGCTTCGCCTTGCCGCTCCTCTCGCTGACAGGCGCGCTGGCCGGGAGGCTGTTTGGTAGTCGCAGGCCCATCAGCCGTACACCCGTGCGTCTGGGCATGTTGAGGGCCACGAGCACAAACTGTGGCGTCACGTAGCGGAGGGCACGGAAGACCGGCCGCTCGGTGGCACCGCTGGCCACGTCCAGCGGAATGGTATAGGCCAGGACGGGCTTCTCGCTGCCGCCGTCCTTGGCCGCCACGTCGTACAGGAACAGCTCGTGCTCGTTGCAAAAGGCCAGCTGGTACCGATCGACGTCCGTCTGGACGACATCCAGGTCGGTGGCCTCCTTGGGCAGCTGCTCGATGCGACAGCGCACGTGTGGCAGCGCCGAGCTGGGCGTCGAGCCGGACGCTGCCGGAGCCACGTCGAACAGCACGATCTGCGAGGTGCCGGCACGGGCCAGGCCTGTGGCACAGGCGCCCAACTGGGGCAGGGTGCTGCCGTGGCCGTCGGAAAAGGGCGCCGACAAGCGCACAAGGCGCTGGTATGTGTCGTCGGGAAGGTTGGCATGCTCGGCCGGCAAGGGTGCAAAGAACGAGGCGTGTGCCAGCTCGGTGATGTTCCCGGGGGTGTTGGCGTCCTCGGCAGCTGCAGCCGGGACATTTGTGTCAATGCTAAACACGCGGAAGTGCTCGTTCTTGCCCTTCTTCTGGTCCGCCGGACTCGAGTTCACACCAGCAAAGGCGAGCGTCGTTTGGCCAAATCGAGGCCCTGCAGCCAGGCTCGTCACGTTGTCTTCGTCCTTGGAGAGCTCGATCTCGGCGACTGTGGCGAGGCTGCTATTGCTGGCGGACGAGGAATCGAGCACTGTCTGTTTGTGATCAGCCGTGACGTCCTGCTTTATATGCACGTCTTCTCTCTCTCTCTTACAATGCAGTTTCCCACTCCCGTACGACTGGAGCCGCCACCTCCACCGACAACAAGGCGGCCGGCATCCTGCGCGTCAAAGTCGCAGGCATAAAGCGGGTAGGTCAGCTGGGCTTTCGAAGTGCGGATATCCATGACTGCTGGAGGTGCACAAATGAGCAAGGAAAGCTGCCCCCCATCGCAGTTGCTGACGCATTCATTGCAGAAATGGCAGGCGAGGCCACAGTGGCAGAGCTAGTCAGCAGCGCGTTTTTATTGGCCAGAACGACAGGGTGGATCATCGCTTTCAGCCTCGCCAATAAGCAGGTGAATAGACATGCTTTGAACAGCTCAGAGTCTATTTTTATCATTTCCCATTTCCTAACGTGCTTTGCATCCTCTAAATAGCAATCCAGGGTCTTATATACGATTGGCACGATGATATACATCTGCGAACAGTTTCGCATACGGGTATAATCCTTCATGGCAATGGCCAGCACTACGAAGCCTCCAGAGGCACGTCCATAAACCAGCTGGAAACACTTCAGCTCGCCTCCATGTTGATGTGGATGCTCTTCGACGTGCTGTACACCGCCAGGCCGGCCTCGCCGAGTTCCCGGCCGATACCAGACTGCTTGACACCGCCAAACGGCACGCGGAAGTCAATGTCATTGCTGCTGTTGATCCACACCATGCCAGCAACGATCTCACGGGACACGCGGTGAGCCCGGGTCAGGTTGCGGGTGAAGACGGCAGCACCTAGGCCGTACGTTGAGTCGTTGGCCATTTCCAAAGCTTCCTCCTCAGTCTCAAACTTGGCAATAGCCACACAAGGTCCGAAGATCTCCTCGCGGAAAATGGTCATGTTCGGCGTCACATCTGTGAACACGGTCGGCTCGACGAAGAAGCCCTTGTTTGTGTGGCCATCGTGTGCCAACGGGCCGCCCTTGGGACGACCGCCCATAACAAGGGTGGCGCCCTCGTCCTGGCCGACCTGGACGAACCGGAGCACGTTCTCATACTGGGCACGGGTGACCTGGGGACCCTGGAAGGTATCCTCGTGGAAGGGGTCACCGACGATGGAGACCTCGGAGACGGCGGCCTTAAACAGCTCGACGAAGCGGTCATGAACGGAAGAGTGGACGAGGATGCGCGACGTGGCCGTGCAGATCTGGCCCTGGTTGTACATGATGCCCGAGTGGGCCCAAGTGGCAGCCAGGTCGAGATCAGCGTCTGAGAAGACGAGCAGCGGCGACTTGCCACCGGTCTCAAGTGTGACGTTCTTAAGGTTGCTGGCGGCCATCTTCATGATCTCTCGACCGGTGGCCGTGCTGCCGGTAAAGGCGATCTTGTCGACGTCCTCGTGCTGGGAGAGGGCGGCACCGGCCTCACGGCCGTAGCCGTTGATAACGTTGATAACGCCGGGCGGGAAGCCAGCCTCCTTGATGAGCTTGGTCATGTACAGCATCGACAGCGGGGTCTGCTCGGCCAGCTTGAGCACGATGGTGTTGCCGCAGGCGAGAGCCGGACCCAGCTTCCAGGCGGCCATCTCGAGGGGGAAGTTCCAGGGGATGATCTGGCCACAAACGCCCAGCGGCTCGTGGACGGTAAAGGCCATCTTGTTGGGCCCGACGTCGATGACGTTGCCCTGGACCTTGTCGGCCCAGCCGGCATAGTAGCGAAGCGTGTCAACAAACTCAGTCACGCTGTCGTTGAGCGACGTCTTGTACGGCTTGCCGTTGTCAAGCGTCTCGATCGTGGCCAGGATCTCGGCGTTCTTCTCGGCCAGGTCAGCCAGCTTGTACAGCAGCTTGCCGCGCTCGGTGCCCGACAGCTTCTTCCACGACGGGTCGCGGAAGGCCTTGCGGGCCGCCTTGACGGCCGTGTCGACATCCTTGGCCGATGCGGCATAAACAGCGCAGATTTCCTCCTCGGTGCTGGTGTTTCAGTGTCAGCCGGGAATTTTGTCTTGCGTCCGGGGACGTGGGATGACGTGGGATGTCCGATGCAGGATGCGGGATGTAGGATTCGAAATTGTGGGATGCGTGATGCAGACAATGCGGGATGAGGGGTCGGGGATTTGGGGCTACGAGGAGAAAAAAGGGGAAAAGAAAATTACGAGAACTTACGTGGGGTTGATGGTCACGACCGTGTCGCCCGTGCTGCTCTTGACATATTCATTGTTGATGAACAGGCCCTGCGGCTGCAACCAGGTCTGGCCGTTTGGTGCAGTGATCTCAACCTCAAGGCCGGTCGGCAATGTTGCGGTGGAATACCGCTGCAGAGAGGCACCCGTCCGGTTGAGCTGAGCCCTAGGCGAGAAGGACGACTGTCTAGAAACAGCGCTAAACGCCCTGTGGCTTGGGGCACATCTGGGGGAAGCAGCGAGCACTCGGGGAAGACGTGCAAGTCTGCGAGATGAGGGGAATTTGGAGAAAACGGAGAACGACATTTGGAGAAGGGCGAGATTGCTTTGGGGAAAGGGAAGAAAGCATTGTTCGCAAAGATCCAAAGATCCAAACCTAGTGGACCTTTTACTTGTTTTTTTCTGCCTTTCTGCTGCTTCCGTTGAGCCATTCTGCCCCATCCCGTCGTCCGAAGGGAAGACTCGACGGACGACTTATTCTACATCGTTCACGACAGCCAGAGCTAAGAGTGCAACGCTGCCATAGGCCAGGGCAGCTTATCGCCCACAATGCTGCAAGCAGGTCGCCGTATGCTGGGAGCTGACCCAGGATTAACCTTCCTGATTGGGGCTGTAGCTTGCGGAGCCTCACAGCCCTGGATCGCCAAGCCTGTACTCCGTACTGATATGTAATCGGCCAAGGTCTGCACAGCTGTGTACGCCGTGTGGACGAGCTTCCTTAAGTCCGAAGACAGCACGGTAACGCCGCTTACGTAACGCCATGCGAGTCGTCATTCTCCACTAGGCCGCATTTGCCAATCTGCCGCTTCTGCCTCTCGATTCTCTAGTCTCGTCTCCCTGCTCCAGAATATCACGAGCGCCCGACAGCCGGCGTCTGCACACGGAATTTCGGACCTGTCAAGTCGTGCCTCTGGCCATACCCCGCTTCACCTCTCCACATCGGCCGAGCGTTCGATGGACGCCGTTGTGCCCGTCCACTGCCGACCATGTCGCAAGTCCTGTTCGCAGCAGCAGCAACTCCGAGCGGCGTCGGGTCCCAGGTGTTTGCCTGTCTGGCGCTCTTTGTGCTCTCGCTCGTGGTGCTGCTAGTGCTGCGCTACTACCTGCCGCTCCGCACGACGCCGGCCTACCTGCTGGTGCCGGTGTTTTTCGCCTTGTGGCTGCCGGCCAACATCATCCTTCTCGTGCCCATCGACCTTGCATCCAGCGCGCGGACCGATGACGAGGCCACGCGGGGCATCTGGCTGCCTGAGTCGGTTCTGCGCGTTGCCTGGAGGATCACATACTGGCTGACGTTTGCCCTGACCTGGTAAGTCCAGTGTGTTTGCGTTCCCGGTGATCCGGCCTTGTGCTGACCGGCCTTCATCGCAGGACCATCCTTCCGATCCTGGCCGAGTACTCGGACGCGGGCTTTCGCGAGCCCAAGGACCGGCTCCTCTACTCGCTGCGCCAGAATGGTCAGTACCACCTGATGGTGTGTGGACTGGGGCTGGCCGGCCTCGTGTACGTGTTTGTCACGTCAGGCGCGTCGTTCATGGCGCTCAAGAGCCTGGTCATGGCGCTGTCGTACTGCTGGGGCCTGGTGCTGGCCATCTACCTGATGGGTCACGGACTGGTAGCCATTCCGCGGCGGCTGCTGCGGACGGCCACCCCGAGCCGCCGACTTCGACGGCTGCAGACCCAGGCGCCCAGCCTGTACGAGAAGTTGGAGGAGGCCGAGATGGACCTGGAAGACATTGAGCTGCAGGTGTCGGAGCTGAGCCGGCGCAAGACGGGGTCGGCGCTGGAGTTTCGCGACTGGATCGACGAGCTGGCCGAGACGGTTGGCCAGCCGGGTGCCCATCTACGGCCGAGCCTGGCGGCGTCTGCACCGGCCGAAACCCGGACGATCCCGGCCGTGATCACGAAGAAGTACATGGCCGACGTGACGCGCCAGCTGGTGCGCAGCCGCCATGCGCGGTCCCGCTACCAGAGCGAGTGGACGCGGCTGCTGCAGCGGTACGCGGAGACGCAGGTCGTGCTGAGCTCGGTGACGTCACAGCGGCTTGACCGTGGCAGTGGCAACGGCAGCGTGTTGACGCCGTATACACGCTTCGTGTTGCACTATCACGTGATCCCGTACGTGCGAACAGCGTTGGGCGTGGTTCTGGCTCTGGCCTCGGCCGCCATCGTGTGGTCGGAGCTGGTCAAGGCGGCCCTGCCGGCCGCCTCGGTGGTCAACCTGAGCGTGGTGCACCATTGGACCGGCGACAAGGGTCAGGTGGGCTTTGCCGGCCAGCTGATCGCCGCCGGCTGGATCCTATACATGTGCACCGCCGCGCTGGCATCCGTTACCGAAGTTCGGGTGTGGCGAGGCCGCGCGCTGGTCAGGCGCAACACAGCGCACGAGTCGGCATTTTGGTACGCGTCGCAGGTCGCTCGCCTGAGCATCCCGCTGTCGTACAACTTTATGACCTTTGTGTCGCCCGGCGTGTACAAGAAGACGGTCTTTTACGACTTCCTCGGCCGTCTGATCAACCTGACACCGTTGGGCGAATGGTTCGACTACGTCTTCCCGGCCTTTCTGCTACTGCCCGTCCTGGCCACCTTGCTGGGGCTCTACGGCAAGGTGCGGCGTGTCTGTGGCTTCGCCGACCGCCTGCCCGATGGCGACGACGACGGCAATGGCGACAACACGCCGCACTACGGCACGGGATCCTGGCGTGAGGGTCGCGACCTGATCGAACGCGAGCTCGACGGCACGTCCATCCGGCAGCGGCGACAGGCAGCAGCAGGAGGAGGAGCTGCTGTTCGCAACAGTCGTCGGACCGGCGTCGACGAGGAAGCCGGATCGACCACGACGCCATTTGCTGTCTCGCCGTCCAACTCGGGCTTCCTGCCACCTCGGACACGGACTCTGGGCAGCGGCCAGCCGAGATCGCCAGCTGCTGACCGGTCCGCTCAGCAGAATACCGCCACCGCCGATGACGACAGCGACAGCGACGGCAACTTCTTCCAGCTGCTGGGTCATCGCATGAAAAACACCATTGACACGATCGAGCCGCCTCGCTGGCTCCACGATCTCGGCAACGGCATCAAAAAGCCCAGATGGATGGGTGGCGACGATGACACAGCATCGGCAGACGCTCCCGCAATTCGCCGTTGGTTTGGTGGCTCGTCTGGAGACTCGTCTGGAGGCTCCGACGGCCACATTCGCCTCTGATGCTGTAGCTTGGTGGACTTTTGCTCATTTTCTTTGTTTCTTATTTTTCCTTATTTTAGTACACGTAATGCAAGCGAAGCCTGGGACAGAACAGACTAGATATACACGAGATGAAGTGCTGCGTACAGGAAGGGTGTTGACCAAGGCCGTGCTGAACAATCACGAGTTGAAAGGGGCATATGTGAATTGCAAGCAGGTTAAGAGCTTTGAAGCCCCCTCCCTGGGCAACACGCCTTGTATATATAAACAATTGAAGATGGCATCATCTCGGTCATAATATTGTGCAGCTCAGAATCAAAGCAAACATTCAGCAGAGTCGGGAAGAGGGTCTGATTTTCCGGCTTTTTGGAGGTGATCTGTGTGATCAAAACAAAACTGGGTTGCCGTCATTGCTGTTTATTCAAGGAAGAATCTCTCCAAGTCTGGGACGCTTCCAATGGAAGTTAGCTGTCCTGGAAAGTTTACGAAAACAATCAAAGAGAGAACCCCCCTTCCTGCTAAAAAGGGTCCTCTGCAAAAAGGACACAGGCAACCATAAAGGGAAACTTCCACCCACTTTTCCAGGAAAGGAAGGAAGCATTCGTCTCCAAAAAAAAAACCCAAGCGGCTCTGAGACCAAAGAACCCTCAAGCTGTCACGAATACCATCGACCTCTACAAATCCCCAGCTGACGAAGAAACAGAAGAGTAACGAACCGGGAATTTGAAGGGCGAGCTACAGAGGTGTTTGAAGCCTCTGAAAGCATTCGCTTTGTGCAGAAAGCTGCTAAACCAATGGTCCCTCTATTGAGCAAAGCCCTGTGCTTCCCGAAACGAGCGCTACAGCTTCCCAATTCTACGTCGTATGGGAGCTTATGGAGTACGGAGCATTCTTCGCCTCTGAAAACCTTTTGCCTTTGATCTGAATAATTGTGAAAATTCAAAAACAATGGCCCAGTGCTGATCCTACACCGACACCCTACACCGTCTCTCCAGTTTACTACTCCGTACAAAGGACCCAGGAGAGAAGTTCATTCACCGCCGAACCCCGGTAGAACAACTGCATCATCACCATGTCCGTCGCTATGCATGAAACCTGGCATCCTTACCCTACAGGGGAGACCTGACACCTGCCATCTTAAGCCAGACGAGAGCGAAATGAGAACAAGCGAGAACCCTCGACAAAGCAAAGGCAGGAAGCACACAAAGAGGTGAAGCCGCAAGCACACCCAAGCCAAGGCACCGTGGCGCAAGACATCTCCACCTGCCCGTTTGACGGTGTGCGGCGACACCGGTAGCGAAAGTCGCATTCCTGGCAGGGATTCTCGTTTCCGAAGCATCAGGCCTGACCCGGGACTGTCCTCGTGACGAGCTGCGCATGACGCTCCAAATCTGCCCTGACCAACACCGAGACGAAATGTGCAGCAGAGATACGAAGGGCGGTAGGGGCCGGTAATCTCTTGCACCGTGAAAAAGCTGATCAGCAACAGGTATGTACGCAGGATACTTGGTCGGCTTCATCTCCTCAAGACGAAAATATCGCCACTGGGCGAAGCCCCACATGATCAGCAAGGAACTGCGGTTATTACATAGTATAAGCCAGAAAATGTGAGAGGCAAATTTAAACAACACCGGCCAGGCCCAAAGGCCGTGCTCTGCTCCCAGCCAAACGCACGACCCCGGTTCTCGTGAACCACGGAAGAGTCTGTTTCTTGCAGGGTGCACTATGTACGAATAGGAGCATTTGCAGAGACCAAGGCCGGGGAATGGCTGAGCTACCCGGTATGGAGACTGTGGCAATGCAGGCACTTGCAAGCCCACCGTGGAGGGTAAGATACCTGCCGGCTACCTGGTGCACGTATACGTGGTATACGCGCTCGTATTCTGCAGTTCCAAATGGCCTGCATGCTGCCTCTGGGTCAGCCCTATCGGCAGGTCGGATAGACCGATGTCAGGTGCACGTACGTCGTACACGTACGCAAGACGCCGTCGCTTTGCCGTGCAGAAAGAGGGAATAGGAGAGGGAATCGCTGCAGGTGTAACCCGTGCTCCGTGCTCCGTGCTCTGTACTCCGTACATACGAGCGAGATACCGGCCCATTAGCGACTGCAACGCTGCTGTCGTCTGCCGGTGGCAATTTGCCGCGCTGTCGTGGACAAGTAAGTAGGCGCTTGTGATCCCGAGGCAGCACCGAGAATGGCTACTGACTCGACGTTGCAGGAGAAGCTCCTCCCCCTTTCTTCGCCGCAATGTCGCCTACGGATTGAGACACAGGCGTCTATGTGGAGTCGTCGAAGCACCGTCGCTTAGGTGCCATGAGCACGCCGTGCATACATAGTAGCACGACTGCGAGCACTCGTACTCGTCAGAAAGCGAAATGGGCTAGTAGCATCGGCCGTGATGAGGGAAGCCCTAGGAAGCTTTTTTTCACGCCCGCACTTTTCCTAGACGAGCCTAAAATATACATCCACCCCACCCCGAGGACGCCGTGGCTTGGTTTCTCTCGCAGGGAGTCGAGACAGCGCTGCCTAATCATCCGTCGTGCCGGCTTCGTTGGGTGTCAGACGGCCGAACAAGCGTGGCCAGAAGGGAGGGTCGCATCTCATTTCCCCTGTCAATAGGCCTAGCGTACCGGTCATTCTCATGTCGGTAATTTTGCATGACTTCCCGGACGGAGTACGTAGTCGTCCTTCGATGGAAGCCAGCCGGCAAATCAGAATCCGTCGACAATGCGATTCGCTGGCTGTTATTTCCCCATGGACAAGGCCGGGCCACAAATAGCAGCAACGTTCTAGGCACAACGGCCAGCGTCCGGCTGCCTCGAGCCGGTGACCCCTTTTTTTAAGAGGAAACGGGGAATGGGAAGAGAAATGAATGAAAAGATGACGCTAAGGAGGACTCCATCAAACGGAAAAGTCTTTGGCATTGTTCTGTGGATCTAGAGAATGCCGGAAGAGCCAGGCCCAAGGTCCTGGCGAGCAGCCAATGCCACCCTCCCCCACTGCTCAGGTGTCCTTGTGGAAGCGGTAGGGAGGCAGCCCCTTGACACCGACGTCGATGCGGAAGAGAGCGCCGCCCAGCACGTCAGGCTCGGGCGTGTCTTCCTTGTTGGCGGCGGTGGTGATGAAGAGCTCGGTGCCGACGAACTGGGTGCACGTGATGTTGGGGGTGGGCGGGCGGACCTCGCCAACAACTCGGCCGTCGACGGGCGAGATCTTGAGGACGCAACTGCCGCCGTAAATGGCGTGCCAGATGTAGCCGTCGACGTCGACACGGAAGCCATCGGGCGAGCCCGGGCCGGGATGGACGTAGAGAGCGCGCCGGTTGGACAGACTGCCGTCGACGGGGCTGTAGTCGAAGGCGTAGAGCGTGTTTGCGGTCGTGTGGGTGAAGTACATGACGCTGCCATCGGGCGACCAGCCGATGGCGTTGGGGATGGTGAGGCCGGCTTGGGTCAGCTCGCCCGACTTGGCTCCGTCAAAGCGGTAGAGGGCGCCTGTGGTTGTGAGCGCGAGACGGAAAGACAGAGGATAGGAGACGGCAAAGACTCACCTTCCGGCTGGAACTCGCCCAGATCGAAGTCGGTCATGGTGCCGAGCCAGAAGCGGCCGTGCGGATCGGCGGCGCCGTCGTTGCCACGCACACGGTTGTAGTCAATAGCATCGGCCGCGACATCGCCGCTCGTGTTGGCGCACTCGCTAAACTTGCGCACATATTCGTACGAGCCCGTCTTGCGGTCCAGCACTGCGAGGCCGTGCTTGAGGCCGGCCAGGACCTGTTCGCGCGGATCGACGCCGCGGATGTCGGCCGTCACCGAGATGGCCAAGTCGAGCTGGAGGACCTGCAGCGACGATGGTCCGGCTGCCAGGTCGACCGTCAGCAGCTGGCGCTTGCGGATGTCGACGAAGCGCACGCTGTTGGACTCGGTCTCGTAGAACGGCCCCTCGCCCAGGAGGCAGTGCGCGTTCAGATACGGCTCCTTGACCTCCCACACCTGCCGATTGGTAGCCATTGTGTATGTGGTGCTTCCTGCTGCGTTCGTGATATACGCCGGACAAGCTCTGCACGCGGATGTTTGTTCGAGTGTGCTTGACTTTGTCTGCGAATTCTGGCGGCTGAGTCTTATGCCCACTTCCCCCGCCTGGTTCCACATTCTTCATCCTCTTCTGCCGGAATGCCGGGCCTGGCTCCCTCTAGGCTGGCCGCCTTGGATGGCTCTTGAGACTGTCACGCAGCCGGCGGCTATTGGTACAGCCGTGACTGGCCTGCATGTCGACATCGTGTAAGCTAGCAAGTCATGTGCAATGCCGCCAGCAAACCAGCCAGCAAAACCAGCAACGCCAGCAACCTGCGAATGCCAAACCCCACCTTGTCTCGATGACCGCCTTTTGGCACGTCCATCTTCATCCCACGGCGGACAACTCAGCAGCGTTGACGCAAAGCGGTGGGGGAGGCCCGATAAATGGCGCGAGTCGAAATTTCACGCGAGCCCCCAACTTTGGAATAATTATCTCGCGATTACTTGACTTTGGTCCCCGTCCCGTCTCTGCTGTCTTACCTTGCTTCCTTCCTCCCACGCGGCCTACCCACGCCTCCTGCCCAAAGGGGCAACTGTATGGGATTTGACTCGCCTGGACCTGCCCCGTGCTTTCCCTTTGCTTCTCCTCTCTTCTCTGCCCAGGCTGCTCCGTTTTGCTGCCTGCCCAAACGCCAGAGGCATCGCTTCTCCGTTTGAGCTCGTGACGGGACAAGAGAAAGCAGCAGCAGCAGCAGCAAATTCAGAGGCTGTCGGTGGAGAAAGCCCGTAGAACGCGGCAGCCTCGCACGCTCCCCCTCGCTCGCAGCAAGCGAGCACGGCCAGACAAGGGTATGGTGGCGAAACAGGAGGCCCTCTCGCAGCTTAAGTCGTGCCGGTCCGTAGGATCAGCCCCGATAGCAGCAACGCGCACAATGTCCGTATGGCTGGCTGTGCGACATCCACCGTCGTCGTGCTCATGCATATCTGCTTTGCCACATATTGCCCGGCCTGAAGCCTTCACGTTCACGCAAGAGCTAATATTAGTTTGTGGGCCCGTCCTCTGTCTTTCCGCTCATGCTCGCAATCTTCTTCGCGTTCCTTCTAGCGGAGCAGTGCCAATGTTCTCTGCGGCCTTCCTTGCGCTCTGCTGGGTTGCCGAATGGGCCTTTCTCGCTGCGGGTCTGCTTCGTCCCGAGGCTTCCTCTGGAAATTGGCTTGCGTAGTACTAGCTGTCTTCTTATTTGCCCCTGCCGACAAGGGCAGCAGCAGAGCAGAGCAGCAACAGCACACGAACACAACCAACTGTACCTCACTCGGCCTTCCAACACCGGCCACGGCTCTCTGGACCGGCTCGTTGCCCCTCCACAAAGTGCATGCAGCTGCTACTCATTTCCTAGCTGCAGCATGCGGAATGCAAGCCATGGTATCTTATCTTACATGAACAGCGGGCACTACGTTACCTCTACAGCCAACCGTCGCAAACCCGCCCTGACGGGCGTGGAGCTGGAAAAAAGAGGCAATACCTCCTAGACGCCCCACGACTGCGCCCCACGACAGCGAGCCTGCTTCTGTGGCTTCCGCCGTGATCGTGACAGAAAATCCTGCACAGGCCCTAATTTCCCCTTCTTCGCCGAGGCCGTCCTCGTGCTCGAGCGAGATACGAGTGCACGCCAGCTCTACTCGAGTCGAGCCGTTCCGAAGCCCTCCGGCGCTTGTCCAGGGCCCCGTTCGTATGGAGTACATGCGAGCTACATAGTACTCCCAGAGACGAAGTCATACGGACCGGTTATATTGGACAAAAGGAGGATCGCCAACACTACTCGTGTATGTACCTTACGGGTCTGCGCTAGGATTGGAACAGGGGCCTTCTTAGAGAAATGAAGCCCTTCCGTGTATGATTAGCCGTACTAAAAAAGACTCGCTAATGCTGCTGCTGCAACAGAATAGCACAAAGACCGCTGAGAGGCAGCCTGCGAGTACGAGACGACTAATCTTAGCAGACCGGTGGCAGCACGGCCGGTCAAGCTTTCTATTCGTCGCACCAGACACAGGTAATAATAGCAAGCACAGCCCGTCGGCGCCACTTTACAGCACCACTGCCATTACGAATGCCCGTAGCCCGTGTAAGTTGTAGCTCATTGTCTATTTTCCCTCCCTCCTCTCCTTCCGGCCTCTCATCTTCCAGTTTAATGAGCAGGACCAAAAGTACTTGCATCTTACCAAACGGATCGCCGTCATTCTCAGGCCGAATCTTGGCAGTGGGCAGTTGCGAGCAAGCGCGCCCAGAATGGACGAAATGAGCCATCCCAGCGCTTACGGAGTACTCTGTCGTGGCTTGCAGTCTGAGAGACTACATAGTATCTTACGAATAGTGCTAGCGTGGGGCTGCGAGATGAACAGCCGCCCCGAAGGATACGGCCGGAACAGCCTGCGTCCGTCGTGCGCGCTCGGGTGGTCTTTTCAGCTGATTGCAGCCGGAAAATTGCTGCTTGTGCAAGGCTGTGTGGAGAGCCCTGCGTGTGTTCGCCATTTTGAATTAAACGTGCATATTGACGGAGAAATGCAGCCAATATTCGTAAAGGCCGCATAAATCTCCGGCTTGCGTGATTGCGGATTTAGTGACCATGTCGCTGTCACCTCCGGCCTGCGAAGTCCTCGAATCACCCTCCACCTCCGTCCCCTGTGCCACAGGTGCTACAGGTAGTGTCACTTTTCACTGTGATGGCAAGGTGATCAGGTAATTGCAGTCGGGCAAGGTCAGCCCCCCCAGGTGTGTCGAATCTGGGGAAGAGAGGGAGATACGAGCAGACGGAGATATGAAATTAGGAGGCTTTCGCAGGACAGGAATATGCCTGCAATCGTCAGGCCAGCGTTTTATTGTCCGGTCATCACGGGGGCCAAATACTGGGTAGCAACAATGACGTGTCTCTGCGAGCCGCCGCTGGCAGGCCTGCGCAATATACGTCTTCCCGTATACCACAGGGCCTAAGAATAGCTGCGAGGCGTTGCAGTCCTCGAGGGCAAAATGGCCAAATGACCGTCCGCCATCCGGACGAAAGCCGGGCCAAGGAGATTGAATGGCACAACACAAGATTGCCTCCAATTTCATGTGTTACATACCTGTCTTGCCAGATAAGGCTCCTTCTATAGGCAGGCCACAGGCGGTACGTTTTATTGGCACGTCTTTCTTTGGGCAGCCATGTACGGAGTATGCTCTACGTCGTATGTAGGTATTGAGATCTGGAGATTACCTCAAGCCATCGTCAGCAGAAAGGTCCAGCCACACGAGCTTGGTGCTACTATGTATGTAGTTGCTCCGCGCCCACAAAAGCGACGTCCCATGGCAGTGGACTGGTCAGCCGGCTTCCTCTGCCGTACTCATCTCAATAGATGGCGGTGAATGGTAGCCAATCCTATGTGCAGGTGAGAGCGCCACACAGCTCGTCTGAGCCACACCTTCTTCAGAGAGCATGCGGGGCCACCTCTCTTTGAGGTGGTCACAGCTTTGGCCGCATGCGTCTGAGGCCATGTGTGTGGACCCGGCGACGACAAGTACTCCGTATTCGTACTTCACGGAGAAGATCCTGCGCTCGGCACGCCCATACGGAATATGCAGAATGACGAGTAGGGGGTGTGGACCCTCGCTGCTTAAGGCAGTACTTAGTTGTACATATGCATGGATGCATGGCCCGTCCACGCTCAGTTTGCGGGAGGGCTGACTCCCAATCAGCCCAAGCGAATGCTGCTGAAGACGAGCGAGTGCTCGTACATAAGATACATAGTAGCAGAAGCAGGGAGCCATTTCAGGCGCCAATGCGCCCATCTACACGCTGGTATCTTACGACTGCACGTCCCGTAGACGCGCATCGGCAGCGACAGCGCAGAGCTTAATATTGACAATCCCCCCGAAGAGGAAACGGGACAAGACGCAATCGCCCTGGCGATCCATAGTCGGACAGCATCACATGGCCTGAGAGTGGCACCGTCCTCCGTCTGCGTTCGATCTGCAGGCGCTCTTGGGCTGGGCATCGGCGCCGCTTTCGCTGTGGAGGCCAGAGGCACGATGTAAGCCGATTTTCTTGCAAAATACGCGCATGGTGGAGGATGGCGACGATGCTTAGCTGGCACTGCTCCGTAATGCGATACGAGCGAGCCCTCCGCAGGCGCATCGATGTCCTGTCTGGAAAGCGACTCGTACATTCCGGGTAGGCCGAGCGTGACGGGCGTGTTGGGCATCTGCCAGCCGCTCGGCCCGCGTCAGAGAATTGGAGCCCGCGTTGACGCCCAATCTACCATGGAGTCCTGCGTGGTCCCAGCTGTTTTAAGGCGATGAGGGCAGCACATGTCATGTCCGTATGCAGCTAAGGAGGATTGAACGCGTGCTTCTTAGCGCATGCAGGCCGCCACGCACAAACCAGGCACGGCTACGTGTCGGGAGGCGGTGACGTCGGCCCTGGTGCTCTGCAGCTTCCTCTAAACGGAAGCGGAAGGCGCCACTGCTCTCTGGCCCAATCTGGCGCGTGTGTTGCACGCTGCCAGGACGTGAGACATCACAATGTGCCATCCTCCGCGAGCACGCCGACCGGGGGAAGTACGTGTACGCTCCCGTGCAAAGCAAGACCGATCAGCCGGAAGGAATCTGCCCAGACAAGAGCAAACACGGCACAGGTGTGCATGTACCTAAGCTGTCACCATCGCATGCCGAACGAGCTATATGTGACCTTTCCCTGCCAGTTCGTCATTGGCCCCATCTCCTTCCTCATCTGACACCTAGCTCTGGCTCAACGAGATCGTGATTTCCTAGTCGGTACTTCCTGCGCTGTCACGCATCCACTAATTGCCCTTTTTGCCCGCTGTCGGCCACCTTATCTTTCCTGTTCAAACCGTGCCTCCCCAAGTATTGCACGATCCTCTCTGTATGCAGACAAGGATAAGGGTCTGTCCCCCCACATCCTGCGCTACAAAACTTTGCGGTGAAGGGCCGCCTGCCTCCTCTGATCACCAGCTAGCCTCGCCTGCAAGACTGGATATACCGTATTTTGGCAAGATAGAGTATGGAGAACGAATACTTTGTACCATGTACGGGGCAATGTGCGAGTAATGGCTCATCCTCGACACGCTAGCCAGGCTTCTGCCTTTCCTTCTTTCCTTTCCTTTCTTTTTCTTCTTTTTCTCTCTCTTTTTTCTCCTATTCTCTACCCCCTGCTTTTTCTTCTTCGTCCTTTACGAGGACCGCTTCTCCCACCTTTCCACCCGTACTGTCTTCCGTATTCCTGCTGTCTGTCCAGCGTTGGGCGTATGCCACTCGTACTCCATACTCCTGTGCCTCTCTTCTTGGTTCTTGGCAGACGCTCTGGGTTCGGCCAGTGGCACGCCTGTGCGCAATCGCCTGACCTTTCCTCCACACGCACCACGCAATGCAATGACGGGCCACTCATGGTCCCCTATCTTCTCACGCCCGCTAAAAGCAGTCTGGCCACAATCTTCCGTATTTCGTTTCTCTTCCAGACCGACAGGGACGCGCCTGTGTGCCCCAGCGCTTCAACAAGAACAGCCCCTGTACCACGTATACGAGCACACGTATCCTGCTCCGTACTCCGTACAGCCATCATCACCCACAGCCCCTGGCCAGCAAGGAGGGCCCACCCATGGCTCTCGTTCTTGGGACAGCAGCCTGGCTGGCTGGCCGCCAGGCCAGACCACTTCTGGACGGAAAGCGTTTCGCGGCAAGTCCATAGCTTTCCCGGAGGGTGGAGCCGTCTTGTCTGCTGGCCACTGTGCTCTATATTGGTGGACGCTACCAGGATTGGCCCTGCTAGCAGGCCTACTATGTACAAGTTTACGATACTCATCTAGCCCCGCCCCTCTCGCTTTCTAGTCCTTGGGAGTAGAACCAACAGCTCGGCGCCCGACGCGCTGGCACTTTGCTCTTTTTTGTGACAGGTCAGTTGGCCAAAAACGGCCAGGGACGAAATATTTGTAAGATGCGGTGTGCCTTGGCTGACGATGGTCTACGGAGTACGGAGTACGGAGTACCTGACGCCGCGTTATCACTGACGGACCGACGGAGGCGAGTTGCCAGGTGTTCGTGCACAAACACGCGGAGAAGAGAGACACTCTAACCGCTGCCCACTTACCAGCCGTCGCCTTGACGCTTAATCTGCTGTTGTGCATCGTTCTCTTAGTTCCCGTTCCCCCTCTCGCTTTCCTTGTCCTTCCATCCCCTCTTCCCCCCCCCCCCCACGGAAGTGAGCCGTGTCCCCCTTCCCACCTGTGACCTCACCACTGAATCCTGCGGCTCAGACGGTGAGAGCGCCCGGGGGACTCGGCGTCCTTCTGTGCCCCGGCAGCCCACCAACAGCTGGCCGAGGACACGAGGATCAGGCACGGCATCTCCTGCCGGCAGGGCAACGAGCACAATAAGCCCAGTCCTAGGACAAGTTAGGTCAAGCTTGGACAACCTTGGACAACCTTGGACAATAGCCTGCCAGATGCACACGATGTGCTGCAGCGGCACCCAGCCGGCTCCATCTCGTAGTACGTACTGTACACTAAGGACTCATTGACTTGCAGTATGCAACTACTCCCTTCCCCAGTCACTCTGGGTTAGGCCCCCCCCCCAAGAGATGGGCAGGCCCGCCCCCCGCCACTGGCATGATCCCTATTTGCCGCCTCCCGTTCGTACCCACCGGCGAGTACACTCTCGTCAAGGCCATACATCGGTGAGGAGGCAACGGCTGCCATGTCCTCGCACATAGTGCGGCCGGTGTAAGTTGCCTGGCGCCCTTCTTCGTACGAGACCAGAGCTGCTGCTTGTGTGCTCGGCACATTCTTCCACATGCATACACTACTAACTTTGTATCGTAACATGCCGTTTGCCCCTAGTATGGCGTGGCGCGCATCAAGAGTCCACTCCGCTGAGCTGTCTCGATTTCGGTTGGTCACCTGCCCGATGCCGCTGGCCTCGCTCACCGTCTCTCACCAAAAAACTCATTCTCCCAGCTTTATCCTCTCCTTCCCATCCGGGCCGCCCGTAAAGGCAATGCGGAAATGATAATCTTTTCCGCTCGAGCTGCCCCCGTCACCGCTGCCGCGAACGTTGCCTGCTACATACTCGCAGCCTGGACGGAGCACGGCCAGGCGGACGGAGTCCACGACGTCGTCTGTACATAGTATGCTGTCCGTGCTCGCACGAGCACGTCGAGCTCGTATGCTGCCAGCAGCCGTCCAGCATGTTCGAAATCCACTGTTCAGCCCGTCAGTGATGCCCATGTCACAGTACGCTAGTTTGCCCAGAGTGAGCGATGATCTTGTGGCCGAGCTCCCGCTAGGCTTGTCCATCTGCTCGTACTACTATTACACCGAAAGTAAAGGGTGGGTATTATCTGGCATTCCATGCACTGCTGCTATAGAGCAGGCATGCCACAGGGGATAGAGTGCCGGCTTTTAATTCTTATATTTGACGTCGTAAACGAGGCGCCCTGGCCGTTTTACTCGCCCATCTTATCGCGCTGCCCGGATTGTATCTTGAGAGATTTGTATGACTTGCACGCGCCATTTGGGTGGGGGTAATCACCAACATTACCCACGGCCAAAAAGACACGCGCCGGAAAGTGAGGAGAGAGAACAGGTACAGATACGGCGTGCTCTGAAAAAAAAAAAGGAAAAAAGGAAAGAAGAGAAGAGCCATCTAAGCCCTCCTCCCACCTAAGCCCACAGCTTATTACTCGGCGTGAGAGAAGGTCCAGGGGGAGGGGGTGATACATAGTAATGGCAAGCCCTGTCAACACCCCCCCTGTATTCTTGCAAATACTCCCATACCCCGGCATTGACTTACACGCTACCTCGCTCTGTCTTGATGATACTATTATTTTCTTGCCTCGTTTCCCTTCCCTCCCCCCCTGTTACCCTGCCACGAAAAGTACTCTGTATGCCAAAGTATCTGTATATAACGTATGACAGTCAATCGTGACGGAAGGAGCCTGGCTGGCATGGCATGGAAACGACGTGTAGCCAAACGGGTCCGTTAGAGAAAACGGTCAAGGTGCCGGGCGTCGAGTTGCTGCCTCTCGAGTAGCAGGCACGGCAGCTCTGGTTGCGGCTTCCCTGCTTGGCAGCGCCTGGTACATGGTAGCAGCAGGAGCGACCCCGTCCATCGCTCTTGCCTCCGCCCGCTGGAGCTGCTGGCCACTGGCTCGACAGCTCCTCGTAGTCGGCCAACTACGAACAGCTCCGTACAGTACGGAGCAGGTATGCTACATAGTACCGTATCCATCCTTTCTCCAGCGGCACTCTTGGGTCGAGCCCGTTAAAAACGATATGTGGCGACAGGGGGGGAGTTGTCTGACCCCCCTCCCCCCGAAAGGGCAACCAAAACGGGATAGTCCATTCCGTAGCAGCGGCACCCTTTACGGAGCACTCCCGTGGACTCTCTCATTCCCAATTTATAAATTTTTATCTTACTTATTATTCCATTATGTTCTTCTGTTCCATTTTACTTACTCCGTATGGAGTAATTTATTTTATTTTATCCTACTCTATTCGATTTTATTCGATTTTATTTCCTATTTCCTATTTCCATTTTGTTTTCTTGGACCTCTGCCAGCTGCGGTCTGCCTGCCTCTCTTGTCTTCTCCCACTTCGCATTACGAGGACCGGCGAGGACGAAGAGGATCCTGTTCGACAGCAGAGCCAAGGATAGGACGGGACCCCATCACGTCCTGTCACCCACTCTAGCGCTCCAGGCTCGGCTTCACTGGGAGCCCGTCATTGCGCCTGGCTACTATGACTGGTCGGCCTGCAGCGAAACACAAACATCTTGCTTCCTGATCGCCCGCCGCAGTCGACGAACGAGAGAGCGGCTTGGGCGAGTGCCACAAGCACCGGCATCCACTGCTCGTCCATACAGCGCACACCATCCGTCATCCTTACGAAACCTTCTAGCAGCCATCTGTTGTGCATTTCTACCGTATGCCGGTATGTCCACTCGTACCCCCCTGTCATCGTCTACCCACATCTCTGGCACAACTCTTCTCCATATTCAACGTCCCCCTTCACCTTCTTTTCCTCTGGACTTGCAGGGCCTCTTGTCTTTTCTTCTCCCGTCCATCACAAGCCCTCCCCAACCACGTCTTTCTTTGATCATCCGTGCATTGCAACTCTGTCGACTGCTTGCATATAACACTCCTCTACCTTGGCTATGCACCCAACCTGCTCGGCACATACTTGCTTCTAGTCCTCCCTGCCTTATCCCTGCTATACCCCCCCTCATCAGCTTCATACTCTCTCGTTTTGACGACGTCCTCTCCAGACTGAACAAGACCAGCAGACGCAACTACATTCAGGACAGCCATCGCCTCCAAGCTCGACAAGCGGTACCGACAGCCATCAGTCTGTCCGTGTCACGACATCCACCATTTTTGCTGCAGCCAGTACAGCCCGACTTCCGAGTCCGTCAGCGGTTTCTAGCCCGTCGTCTTCGCAGCTACTACCACGGTCATCGCTCTTTCTGCATCAAACTGCTTCCTCGTAGTGGACTCACCTCGTACTCTTGGGGAACAGCCTTCTTGTCTTCGACAGGACGAGCATCAAGAGCTAGCCAGTCGCACTAAGGCAACCCGGTTTTGCTAACCGGAACCCCTCTCGTGGACTTCAGCGTCTCCCGTGTTGACGACCTTCCTCCTGTCTTCTTGAGACAGCTGCGAACCGGAAACCTATCCCCGACTCGCCTTTGGGACGGGCTCGACCAAAATCGACCACCATTCTGTTCACTGCTGTTAAGGCGGTGTCAGAGTCACTCTTTATTTTCCCCACGGCACTCTTAAACCGTCGCCCTGGCGGTCGTCACAGTTTCCTGCACCTACACCGAACCCCAACGTAGCCGACCAGCTTCTGCTACCATCGGTGGTAGAGCTGGTAGTGGCACGACTGGGACCAGAGCTCGCCGTATCTCCACGATCACGGACGTTGGCAACTGTCTGAACTTGGCAGAAATCAAACAAGAGGCCGGGAGCGACCCGGCACAGTTCGCTCGCCTTTCCCAACTGAAACGGCCGTTTTCAGACGACTTCTCCGTGTCGGGAAAGCTGGGTCTCCGAGGGGACTTTGTGTCTGCAGCTGCATTGGCCGCAGCAACTTCTGCAGTCTCCGCAGTCGTTGGCACTGGTCCGTCCAACCAGCAGCTCGAGACGAAGACAGACTCCTCTCCATTCTCGGCACTCCAGGGACAGGGCGGTCAATGTCAGAGTTTGCGGGACCAAGACGCACGAGAAGGGGAACACCACAACTCGATGTCGCAGAGGGGGTCTGCGCCTCACCGTGCCTCGCATCACTCGTCTTTCACCACCCCTCCCTCGTCCGAAGAGGGCAAGGCTGCGGCGGCCGCCGGCAGCACTGCACCCTCTCACATCCCGTCTTCCCAGTCGTATCTCCGCGATGAGCCTTTCTCGCAACGCGAGATGCTGCCTGCCGATCAAGGCAATAGCAACGGCAACCGAGGAACTGGAGGTGGCGGTGGCGGCAGTGGTGAAAACAGAGGGAGCGGCATGCCTCCCACGATGGCGTCAGCCGGCTCGGTTGACGCACCGGCGAGCCTCGAAGACCGGGGAGCCCAAGCAACACCGCCGAGGGCGTTTGACGTGCTCAACATGCTCAATCCCTCTGATGGCGGCGAGGGCGGCTCCCGTCCGCTTCCACGGACGAGGCCGGGAAGTGCGAGCAGCCATGTCTACAGCCGAGCCAACAGCCGGACTAACAGCCGGACAAACAGTCCGTCTCTGGGCATGGCAAGACTAGGCAGCAGTGGCCAGCAGTTCTCCGGAACGTCGGCCCCATCGATGGCAGGTTCGCCGGCCGGTGGCAGCCATTCGGCTCTGGCATCTGCAGCCCTGTCGGCCAATTTCGACCGTGAATCGTCTCCGTCGATGGCACACCAGTACCAGCCGCTGGGGGCACCTCCAAGACGCATACTGACGCCAAAGTCTCCCCGGCGGGTGAGTTCTGGCCGGAATACTTCGTCTTATGGCGGGAGCCCATATGGCCGACCCGGCATGGCATCAGACCTGCCGCCAGTCCCACCACTTCCACAAAACATGCGGCCGCCAGCCCTTGGCGGTACGAGCTCGGCCAACATGGCCATGCCTTCGCCCAGTCTGTCTATGCCATCACTTTCGGCAACACCACCACGCTCATTTGCACATCCGATATACCCAGGCGGCGCAGGCGGTCCGGATCCAAGCAGCGGCGGCCCTGGGGGTCATCCCCATTCCCATTCCCATTCCCATTCTCATTCCTTTGACCAACAACATCACCATCATCAGCATCAACAACTACAACAAGGGCGGCCCTCACCGGGCTTCCCTCCGTCTTCAATGCATCGACAATCACAGAGCTTGTACGGATCTAGTATGGGTTCGGGACGAATGATGTCTTCCGGCGGGGGTGCTGGTGGACATCGGGGCGAGGGCTCTCCGTGGCCCATGTCTGGAATGATGGGCGGTGGCGGCATGCAAGCCGGGGGTGGTCCGGGAAGCGGTGGACACGGCATGGGCGAGCGAGGAGGCCGAACGGTCTCCATGTCAGAGGGACAGCAGTTCATCACGATCACGCCGTCTGTGGGCGAAGAAATTCATGTGCCTGTGGACATCCACCAGGCGTCGAAGCAGGCGGACGAGAAGAGACTCCGTAATGCCGGAGCTTCAGCGCGGTTTCGGGCACGGAAGAAGGAGAAGGACAGGGAGGTGCAATTGGGAATGCAGAGACTGGAGGCACACAACCGGGAGCTGGCAAAGCGTCTGCACGAGACGGAGATGCGGAGCGAGTTTTACCGCAGCGAACGCAACCGTCTGTGGCAGGCGATACTGCAGAACCCCAGCATGCGCGAGCAGGTTGAGCAAGGGCCGCCAAGTCCAGATTCGGCAGCTATGAGCACCACCTCTTTTGTGGCCGAGGGCAGTCCGATGTCTTCTGGGTCGATGCAGCAGTATTCAAGCTCGATGCAGCAGCAGCAGCAGCAACATCAGCTGCAGCAACATCAGCTGCAACAGCAGCAACAACAACAACAACAACAACAACAACAACAGCTGCAACAACAACATCACTCCCACCAGTCTCACCATGCACAGAAACAGCCACTGCCGCCGATGTCAACGAGTCCCCCGAACTCCGGACCTCTCGGCATGGGCTCGCTTGTTCCCGACTCGTTCAGCCTCGAACGGCCACCCCGGCGACGGCGTACAGACTCCGGCCCGGGGTCCGATTTCCATGCGATCTCCTACTCCTCTCCGCTTCCGACCACCCTCCCTCCCCTGCCACAGACCGGCTATCACAGCCTGACACCGTCACCGCTGTCCGGATCGCCCAACATCCCAAACCCGCGGTTGCCTCCGCTCCGTCTCGAAGCGGTCGGCACGGCCTCTGCTGGAAGCAGCGTTGGCCGCTTAGGCGGCGGAAGTGCAGGGGGCTACACCACAGCGTCGCCGTCACCGGAGCCGTTGCTGGGACCCTCGGTTCCTCCTCCGCCAGGGCCCTACCCCCCCATAACAACATCAGCCCCCTCGTCGGTGATGTACTCGCGAACCTACGAGACGGCCGGTTGGGCCACGGACTCGCCATCGCCACATCCGTCGCACGACCAAGGACACTTTTCGCGATAGATTCAAAGAAAGTGCAACGGTGCTCCAACCCCTTCTCTCCCATGCCTAGACCAAGGCACTCACCCAGCCGCGGTCCACAAACCAAAATCTATACTTTACGATCCGCAACTCCTGATACCTGTCCCTAGCCGGCAGAAGACGAGAAGGGCTGACGCCTGGGTGGAAGGCTGTTCCTGGACGAATCCGCTATTCCCTGTTAGAAGAGATGGCATAGGTTGGGCGACCGACCGTCTGGTTTCCGGTGTTCATTTTTGCTTTCCCTTTAAGCGAGCTTTGCTATTCTTTCCTTCGATCTTGCTTTACTCTATACTTTCTCACCATTTCCTTTGTTTTGCCTCCTATCAGATACTAATACTGTATTGCATCTGCCGACTGGACCCGATCGTACCGTCCATATGCTGCCGTCGCGCCCTGCAACTGCTAGTTGCCAAAGTCATACCTCATCGGATGTCAAGGAGAGCAGCAAGGGGGACTTTCATCTGCTGTTCAGCACACTTATCCTACTGCTTTTAATCACACACATCTCACTATACCCCCTTTCTCCCTCTTCCGGGATGACGGTTGCATCTGAACTTGTACTTTGGTTACCGGGCAGCAGCGTGCCTTGTGTCGGATTTTTGTTTTTGCTCCCTTTCTTTCATTGGTTTTACTCGTTGTTCGGCGAAGAGAGGGAGGAACAGCACCTTATCTTGGACCAGCAGCAGACACCTACCCCAAGGCAGGTCGATGGAAAATGCATATTGATTGTTTTTTGGGAGTTTGAAACCTGGTGTTTGAGGCATACGGGGATGGGGCAGGACATGGAAAAGAAGCGCGCAACAGGCCGGGTCAACAGGGCCGTGGACATAAAAACGAGATTGCCATTTCTGGTTTTTTTTATTTTTTGTGGATTGCTTGGAATGGGACAAGCAAAGAAACTAGACATATTGCATGGCGGAGCGGAGAAGGAAGGCCATGGGCTTGGGAAGCAAAATAAGCGAAGGGGATGGAGGTGTCTTTATCGTGGCGTTTGCTCCATTTGTTTCACGGCTTATCTTGTTTGCCTGCTTGGGTTTTGGTCTTCTGGATTTCCTCCTTCCAATTTAGGGCCGTCTCTAATACCGTCCGATATCCCCCTGTCAAGTTCTCGCGAGCCCTCTTAATGTTTCTACGCACACAGATTGATTACCAGCAGAATAAAAGAGCAATAGACTGTATTACGGAGTACTTGGGTGTAGCCTGTATATGTAAGCAGCGTCTAAGTGCACCGCACCTTCCGGCCCCTATATTTTGTCCCCCGCTTCAGGTTCTCCGCCTTTGTCTCCTGAATGGGAAACTGCCCCGTACTCCGTACATCTCCACGTTTCTTTCTTCCTACACCTGATGGCGGTCAGGCAGTCGCATGCCTCCGATCCATTCAGCTGAGCGATTTTGCTCGTCCGATACGCCCAATCGCCGGTAGGTATGGAGAACGATCTGGCAGCGGCCATGTCGGACGCGGACAGTGTGAGCGGCGCGAGCGAGGGCAGCATAGGCAGCACGACCAGCAGTCCGGCGGCTGGTGATATGGGAGGCGATTGCGCTGCGAACAAGGGCATTGGCGACAGCAGCAGCAGCCGCGGCTGCAAGCCACGGGTGCAGCTGCCGGCGAGCTGTGGTCCTCCACGAGCAGGCATGCCGACTGTGGCGCTCATCTGGATTGTCTTTGGAGGGACTGGCCACATTGGCCGATCTGTGGTCAAGAGCGCCCTGGCTCACGGTGACCATGTCGTCATGGTTGGCCGGACGTTTGAGACGACGCCAGCGGCCATGCTGGCGATGGCGACCGCGGCCACCGAGCATGCTGCCGGAGCGGGTGGAGCGACGGGGGCCGCGTCGTCCTGTCTTGGTCTGCTGTGCGATGTCCGTTCGCGCGATTCGGTCAACCGGGTGGTCCGGCGGACGCTGGAACGGTTCGGCCGTATCGACGTCATTGCCAACTGCTCGGGCTACGGTGTGGTTGGGGCCTGCGAGGACCAGGACGAGTACGAGCTGCGCAACCAGTTTGAGACCAACTTTATGGGCACGCTGCACATTATGCAGGCGACGCTGCCGGTGCTGCGCCAGCAGCATGAACAAGACCAGAAGAAGAGGGAGCAGAGGGAGCAGAGGGAGCGGAGAGAGCAGAGCCAGCAGAGCCAGCACCGTCACCGACACACGCAGCCGGGAGGGCGGTACCTGATCTTCAGCTCGACGTCGGGTGCCCTGGGCGTGCCCGGGCTGGGGCCCTACTGTGCGTCCAAGTATGCGGTGGAGGGCCTGATCGAGGCGATGCAGTACGAGGTGGACCCGTTCAGCATCAAGGCGACGCTGGTAGAGCCGGGATATGTGCGGCGGGATGACCACTACCAGCCACAGCAGGTTGGTGCTGCTGGCAGTGGCAGGTCGGCGACGGTTGCCAGCAACCCCCTGCCGACGTGGGGTCACTTTCTGATCAAGCCGCCGAGCGAGCCGTACGCGAACGCGTCATCGCCGGCCCTGCATGCGACCCGGCTGGTGCAGTGGCTGGGCGACCGGCAGCCGACGAGCGTGGTGCAGTGCGCAGAGCTGGTCTGGCAGCTGGCTCACTGCGCCTTCCCGCCGCTGCGGCTGCTGCTGGGGAGCTATGCTATCGAGAGCATCCGCGACCGGCTGCGGTCGGTCACCGAGGAGCTAGAGGACTGGAAACACCTCAACTTTCCGGTGCCGTCTGACGCGGCACCGGCAACGACGACGGCGATGACGGATGGTGCAGATGGAGAAGGCGGAGGACCAGAGAGAAAGGCAGCCGAAAAGGATGCAGACACGAAAGCGAGAGCAGATTCGGGCGCAACGAGCGCAATGGGCGCAGCAGACCAGGATGAGGACATGGACGATACAGAGTAGGCCGTCTAGTTTCGTTAGTAATAGCTCCAACTGGAGCATTCGAGGCAGCGACCGGCGCTAGTCCTTGAATGGATGGTGCTTTGTCATGGAGAAGGCTAGGACCGTGCACAGACGCGATCTGGCGCACGGTGTAGATACTAGCACACGACACACACGACAGCGTTTCCGTAAGGAACACGTCACTCGGTGCACAGTGCCGCGTAGACACGCGTATGCACGTTACGTTGCTGACGAGAAAGCTGTCCGCACAAGCGAGTTTTGCACCCCAATCTACGCGCGTCTTGGTCTCCCTTTTCGACAGCTGGCCCTTCTCTCGATTCATCACGCACAAGACGCACGTCCACACAGTATTGGTTCGTCCAATTCGCCTATCTCGTCCCAACGCCCTGCCGGGTTTTGCTGCGCGTTCCGCCTCCAAGATTCGCATATTATTTGCCGTCCATTTCCCCTTCCTCTGATTCGACGGATTTTCGACATAACAAGCAGACAAAGGTCCCCACCCCCTATTTTGTCACTTGCAACCCTTCGGTCCTGAACTCTTGTCTTCTTTTTTTTCCATCTTTTGGCGCCGAAGCGCTTCTTCGTTTTCTTCTCCTTCGTCTTCCTCGCCTTTCTCCCGTCGCTCGTTTCTACTGCTTCCTCTCTCGCCTCTCACGTTCGTGTCTTGCCAATCCCGTCCCGCAATCATGGCCGACAAGAAGAACGAGGACTATGTTGTCCGCATGCCGGAGAGCGATGCGTTTTCGGAAAAGGGCTTCAGCAGCCGGTCCAGCACGTATTCGTCGCGTGTCGGTCACGGCTCCGCCGCACCGCTGAACATCAACCAGCTGGACAACAGCCCGGGCCTGTCCATCCTGGCGTATTGTTTGGCGTCCATCAGCATGACCGTGGTCAACAAATACGTCGTCTCTGGCAGCGCCTGGAACCTCAATTTCCTCTACCTTGCCATCCAGGTACGGCTTCCTCTTCGTGGCCATTGGCGACACAAACGCCCTGCTAACCATTGCGTCCACAGTCCACGGTCTGCATACTGGCCATCCTGTTTGGCAAGCAGGTCGGCCTGATCAAGCACCTCTCTCCATTTGATCCGGAAAAGGGCAAACGATGTACGTTCTGACGACAAGACTTGCGGTGAACCGAAGAAGAAGGAGGCTGACCATACAACAGGGTTCCCCATCTCGCTCCTGCTCGTCGGCATGATCTACACCGGTGCCAAGGCGCTGCAGTTCCTCTCGGTCCCCGTGTACACCATCTTCAAGAACCTGACGATCATTGTGATCGCGTACGGCGAGGTGCTCTGGTTCGGCGGCCAGGTGTCCCCGATCACGCTGCTCTCGTTCGGCCTGATGGTGCTGAGCTCCATCATCGCCGCCTGGGCCGACATCCAAGCCGCACTCAACAGCGTCGGCCACACGGCCGCGGCCACCGAGGCTATCTCGACGCTGAACGCTGGCTACGCCTGGATGGGCCTGAACGTCTTCTGCTCGGCCTCGTTTGTCCTGGGCATGCGCAAGGTGATCAAGAAGATGAACTTTAAGGACAAGGACAGTAGGTGCTTCCGACGGGGATGGAGAAGCGAAACGCTCGCCGGACAGTCGCTAACCAAAACACCCACACAGCCATGTTCTACAACAACCTCCTCAGCATCCCGATCCTAGTGGTGTGCTCTCTCCTGCTCGAGGACTGGTCCAGCGAGAACCTGGAGCGCAACTTTCCTGTGGAGACGCGGACGAAGCTGCTGATCGGCATGGTGTATTCGGGGCTGGCTGCTATCTTCATCTCGTACTGCTCGGCCTGGTGTGTGCGCGTGACGTCGTCGACGACGTACTCGATGGTGGGCGCGCTGAACAAGCTGCCCATTGCCGTCAGCGGTCTCGTCTTCTTCGACGCCCCCATCACGTTTGGCAGCGTGGCGGCCATTGCGCTCGGCTTTGTCAGCGGCCTGGTGTACGCGTGGGCCAAGGTGCGGCAGTCGGTCAAGCCGAGCGAGTCGCTGCCGATGCAGCAGCCGGTGATGAGCGCCAGCTCGCAGAGCAGCAAGGACGCGTCGAACGCGTGAGCCGGCTGTGGAGGTGATCCGAACAGACACCCGAACAGACACGGGCTGCCTGACGCCATACACTTCTTCCAATATAATGCAGCCCATGTACGGTGGCCGTCTTCCATACTTTGCTTCTTCTTTTAACCAGCTTCTTCTTCCCTTTTCTTTTTTCTCCCTTATTCCTCTTGGATTACGTTCCGTTCACTTTATTCCTTTTAACTCGCATTCTGCTGTATCGAGCAGGGAGACGGGGCAACCGTCTTCACATGCACTTGTTCACATGATGATGCATTGAGAAAACCCCAACCTTTGTTATAGACATTTTGGAGGGAGGGTATCCGATTTTGACGCCAGTTGTTTCGAGAAAACAAGAGCGGGACACGGGACGGCGGCGGGCCAGAGAAGGACGGAGAACACGACTGGGATGGCGTTTGAGGGGTGGCAGCAGCACCAACGACACGCCCTCATTATATTTCCTGTTTTTGTGTTGTTATTATGCTATTTCTGTATCTCTGTATTTTGTTTTGCTTCCGTTGTGTCGCTTTGAGGTTCCGGGGCCGTTGGAGGAGTTGCCAGGGAAAGGATAATAAAGCGAATCGTATTGAACGAGCATGTATTGACGATGATCGTATTCAACGAGCCTGTTTGGACGATGCAGATGTACGGGAGTATAGTGTCTCGAAGCAGGCACATGCAGGCGTTGCCTGTGCTGATTCGGCGCGGATTTAAACAGGCGATGGTGGGGGCCCTGGAGCTCTGATTTAGGGCGGTTGCTCCTGCCTAGTCTTGACATTCCCAATTTTTTACGCCTACCTTCTCAACACTATTTTCCAATTTCTCTCGGCAGTCTTGTGTGCCGCTTCTTTTTGTATCTTTCGCCTCGTCAGTCCTCCCCTCGCTCCACCCGCTTCTCTCGCTCTCTCGACATATCTCCTCACCGACAGACCGAGGCCGATCCTGGGTGGGTGGTGCCACGTCGAGGACAGCAGCCTTTGCCGCTCGCAGCCTCAGCCTCAGCCTCGGCACGGACGACCAGCAATTGGCAGCAGACGGCAGGTCATCGGCCACGATGCTTCCCTACATCAACACGCGTGCGTTGCGGACGTCTGGGCTGTGTGTGTGTGTGTGTGCGTTTCGCTGACTGATCTGTGCAGCGTTTGTGTACGCGAGCGAGCGGGTTGGAACGTCTCCCGATGAGCGTGAGTACGATCGAGTCAGCGAGAGCGGATGTTTCTATACCTTTCTCTGCTGACGGCTGTTGTTCTGGCCCCAGTCAAGATTATCTTCTCCTTTCTCCTGTCGTACCCGCTCGCCGGCCTGCTGAAGAGGGTGCCTGATGCCCGTCCGGACGCCAAGAACCTGTTCATCATAGGGTAAGCTGCAGCTTCTGTCTCGGTTGGTCCTGTCATATTATTCACACTTCTGCAGCGTGGCACTCTTCTATCTCGTCGGGCTCTTTGACCTGTGGGACGGCCTGCGCACGATTGCCATCTCGTCGGGCGCGGCCTATGGCATCGCGCACTTTCTCCGGGGCAGTCCATACATGCCCTGGATTGGGTTCGTCTTCTTGATGGCCCACATGTCGGCCAACCAGCTGGCACGGCAGTCAACAGACGATCCGTCGACAGTGGACATCACGGGGGCTCAGATGGTGCTGGTGATCAAGCTGAGCGCGTTCTGCTGGAACGTGGCCGACGGCGTGGTGGACGACGACCAGCTGACGCCCTTCCAGCGTGACCGGCTACTACGCGAGCTGCCGTCGCTGCTGGACTACGCCGGCTACGTGCTCTTCTTCCCGTCACTGCTGATCGGTCCGGCCTGCGACTTTGCCGAGTACCGCCGCTGGCTCGACACGTCCATGTTTGCCGTGCCGGCTTCGGTCGATCCGGCAAAGCGGCCGCGCACTCGACGACGACGCAAGATCCCGCGCAGTGCCACGCCGGCTATGATCAAGATGGCCACCGGTCTGGCCTGGATTGGCGCCCTTCTGGTGCTCAGCCCGCACTACAGCCCCGCGAATCTGCTGGCTGGCGGCGAGGAGGCCGCGGCTGGCAGCCATGGCTTCATCGGCCGCATCGTCGAGTTTCTGCGTCGTGTCTGGACCCTCTATGCCGTCGGCTTCACCACCCGCACAAAGTACTACGGCGTCTGGTCACTGACCGAGGGTGCCTGCATCCTCGCCGGGCTCGGCTTCAACGGCGTCGACCCGGTCTCGGGACGCATCTCGTGGAACCGCGTCCAGAACATCGATCCCTGGGGCGTCGAGTCCGCCCAGAACACGCGTGCCTATCTGGAACACTGGAACATGAAGACCAACACATGGCTGCGCAACTACGTCTATCTGCGCGTTACGCCGCGTGGCCGCAAGCCCGGCTTCCGTGCCAGCATGGCCACCTTTTTTACCAGCGCTCTCTGGCATGGCTTCTATCCGGGCTACTATCTATCCTTTGTGTTGGCCAGCTTTATTCAGACGGTAGCCAAGAGTGCGTTTTTTTTTTTTCTTTTTTTTCTTTTTTTTCTTTTTTTTCTTTTTTTTTCTTTTTTTTCTTTTTTTTCTTTTTCTCCTTCTTTTTCTATTCCCTTTCGTCTTGCTGACTCCCACCCAGACTTCCGTCGATATCTGCGTCCCTTCTTTCTCGACCCCGTCACCCAGGCCCCGCTTCCCTCCAAGACGGTCTACGACGTCCTCAGCTTCCTGGCTACCCAGATGGCCTTTAGCTTTGCCGTCGCGCCCTTTGTGCTGCTCAACTTGCAGGACTCGTTGCGCGCCTGGTCACGTGTCTCCTTCTTCGCCGTCATCGGCGTTGCTGTGTCCACGGCTGTGTTTGCCTCGCCCGTCAAACCGGCGCTGAAGAAGCGGCTAGAGGCCCGAGCTGCTGCTGCTACTTCGGCTATGGCAAAGTCTGAGACGATTGCGCTTCCCGGCGGCGACACTGCTGCCAGTCTCAAGCCGCCGACATCGGCAGAGACCGACAAAATGACGATATCCGCGTCCGCGTCGCCCGAACTGCCGCCCACAAAGCTGTTTGCCGTGCCGCCTAACGTCATGGGCTCTGGCCTGCCGGCCGACCCTGAGGGCGAGCTGGACGACATGGTGGCTGAGCTGCGCAGCGACATGGAGCTGCTGCAGAAGCGGGCGGCCGAGCTGGCGGCCAAGAAGCGCTCTTGAGTTGTGTATGCGTGTCTATCTGCACAACTGTATAATCTCGTTTCAAACATAGAACCGGCCTCAGCCTTGAAGTGTCTCGTATCTTGTACTAGGTCATTATTGGTAACGCTGGGACACATAATAGAGCTGATCATTGTCATTTTCGTGTCATTTGTCATTGCTTGGAACCAAACGCAAATCGGCCACGAGACCACGAGACCAAAAAAAAAAAAAAAAAACAGAACAAAAGCTGTGCGACTGGTTCGCCATGCATAAACTCCCAGCAAAATCCTGTCCTCCCGATTCGCTCCCAAATAACATGAGCCGTCTTCATATCCAAAAATGAACATGGTCTAATCTAGCACGTGACGGAACCCCATGAAACACCGTTAAACATCGTAAGTGAAAAGGAGGCATGAAAGAAAGGTAGAAAGACGAAAGAGCCCGTTGGGGGGAACGGGAACGTCTGAAGGCTGCGTGTCGTTGTAGTTACAGTATTCGTACATTAGATAGAAGCCCGCTTTACTGGGCCCAGTGCTGCTGGACGCCGACGACGATCAGAGCAATGACGGCGCCGAGAATCAGCAGCCCAAGCACGGACATGCACCGGTTGAGCGTCCGCCACCAACGAGTGCTCTGGAAACGGACCTCGTCGGCCTGAGTGATGCGCTGTTTAAGCACCTCTGGCACGCCAAACTCGCTCTCAGCCTGTTTCTCCATCGCCCGTTGCGGATCGGGAGGCAACGGCAGGAAAGCAGCCACCATCCAGGCAAACGGAAAGATGAAGCCGACGGTAAAAGCTGCAATCTGTGTGCTGCGTCGGCTCAGCCGCGAGCCCGTCTCGGCACTCCACGACACGCTGGGCGGATCCCAGACGGTGAAGCGCGCCGCCCGTCGATCCTGGCCCAGATGTGGCGACCACAGCGAGCTGGTGATCTTGCGCAGGCCGCGCACGCGGTACTGACCGGGCACGAGAACACCGCCAGCACCGGCTTCGCCGCCCTCGCCCATCTCCATGCTGGCTGCGTCGGAAAACGGCCGCTCGCCAGCCGGGCCGCCGGACTTCCTCTCGCGTGGCCTTCGTCGCGCGTTGTAGATGTGCATCGGCGTCCGGCGGTCGACGCTCGGTGAGCGACGGAACATGGACCCTGGCCGGCTGCTGCTTGCGCTGCCGCGGCGGCTCCGACTGTCGCCGCACATGCTGCCGTCCGACACGCTGGTGGCGAGGTATTTGCGCTCGCCCGAGCCGTAGTAGACGCGGGCCCATGCCGGGATCGGGCTGTTGATGCTGCGCGAGCTGCCCGACGAGTGCAGGTTGCGCGACGAGCTGTTGCTGCTAGAGAAGAAGCCTGAGATGGCGCTCCGCGATGGCGACTGCCACAGCATTACGTCGTGGAGGTCTGCGAGGCCGTCGCCGTGCTCGTCCTGGTCGCGGACGACTGTCGTGCGCGGCATGCCGTAGGCTGGTTGTGGCCGCTCGGGCAGCAGCGGGTCGCTGCGTGGCCGGTGCGATCGTGCCTCGTCTAGCTGCAGCGCCAGCGAGCTCGAGATGCTCGGCATGTTGCGGCTGTGTGAGCTGCTGCTGGCCGCCCAGCCGATGCTCGACCGCCGGCCATGGGCACTGGCAGAGCCGGATCGAGACCGAGATCGAGATCGGGACCTGGATGCAAAGTGTGACAGCCTCCTGCTCTCGGCCTCGCTCTCGGACATGACCGTCGACAGCTGCGAGCTCCACTGGTGCGCGTGCTCTTCGGCCATGGCGTCGACCTGCGCGCTTCGTTGGGGCCGCTGGCCGGAGGAGGTTGCGGATGGCGACCACATCGAGGGCGTGAGTGTTCGTTCGCGGACCCGGTCCTCGATTGGGGGTGCAAGTCGTGACACGGGCTTGCGTCTGGGCACTGTCGTCGTGATCGAGACCGGAGGACCGCGCTTGGTCGCCGAGAAGACGGGCACCGGGGGGTGGGCGAGATTGAGAAAGGCCTGGCCGGCAAAGAAAACGCTAGCCGTCTCTTGGTTGAGGATCACAGACGAGATCGACTTGATCGACGCGGCGTGACGGAGAGACTCGCGCGATCGCGACTTGAAGTAGCCGAACTGCTCGCTGGGCTGCTTGCGCGCCGGTTGCAGAGGTCTCACTACCAGGCTCTCTTGCGAGTAAGCGCGCCAGAGCTGGCGCGAGGCGGCTGCGACTGACGATGTAACTGACGATGAGCTGAACGGGTGCTGGCGTTGTTGCAGCTGCCGCAGCTGTTGAGGTTGTTGCGGCTGCTGTGGTAGCTGCAGCTGTTGCGGTGGCGACGGCTCGCTGTACAGCACGTAATTGGGCTCGCTGTCTTCAGTCTCGGCGGTGTGCGGCGGATATGGCGGGCTGCTGGAGAGGTGGGCCTCGGATGAGCGCTCGTCGAGGGCGGGGCGGCGGAAGGGCAGCGAAGTCGGCGGGGATGATGCGCCGAAGACGACGATGTTGGGGCTCTGGTCAATGCTCTCCTCATACGATTCCACCGTTGTGAAGGTCTGGTCCGGATCGATGTTGCGCCGAAGCACAGGCAGCAGAGGTGGAGCTGCTTCGACGGGGGAGGACCGCTCGTGGATCTCGATGTTGGTCGTGTTTCCCAAGTCGCTAAAAGAGCCGGTCGACGATGGGACGAAGCCGAGACTGTCAGAGGAGTCGTGGGGGACAAGCGACGGGCTGTGGGCGTAGATCTCGTAGTTGGTGTTCGCAGACGGCAGGGAGGAGATGGTTGAGAGCGCACCGGCCGACTGCTCTGAGCCAAATGAAGTCTTCTTCCTCGGACGCCAATTGGCAGAGGAGGCGGCTGCGGAATTGTCGGCAGTGCTGGTAGTACCGGCGGAAGCGGGAATGGGGAGGGCTTCGGCGAGGGCTGGGAGGAGAATGATGGAGTTGCCAGCCGCCGAGAGTTGAGGAAGGTAGGAGTGATAGGCAAGCTGACGGTGGGATCGCTTGGGAGAGACTGCACGACCCTTGCCCTTGCCCTTGGGCTTCAGCTCAGGGGTGGTAGGAACCTGGCGCAGGCCGCCGGGCAGACTGTCGTCCAACGAGGAGGTGTCGTTCTTCTTGGCCTTGGCCTTGGCGCTTCCCCCAGAGAAGTGGGCGAAGGACGAGCTAAAGGACGGGGCAAAGGATGTCAGACTGCTGCGGTCGTGCGCGGTTGGGTTGGTGGACAAGAACGAGCTGTTGAAGTCGACGCTGCTGAAGACGTTGGACGAAAGCCTGTCGTTCGACACAGTCGAGCGAAGGGTGGGGGAGGAGAAGGTGAGCGGGGGAGACCGCAGGAAGGATGTCGGATCGGTGGCGAGAGAAGCGTTGGACGAGGCAGCGACCGAGGCGAGTGGGACGAGAGAAAAGGTTTTGTCGGAATGCACGGCGATCTTGTGGCGACGCGATCCTGGACGCGAGCTCGGACGGGACGTAAGCTGAGACGACGAGACGGAGACGAGAGACGTGACCGAAGCGGACGGGGAAAGTGGAGAAAAGCCTGTGGAGGAGATGTTGGGGGGAAGCGGCAGGTCGGCCAAGGCTGACGATGGCGATGCTGCGTATGCGGCAGATGCTGGCAATGTCGATTCGGGCGAAGATGGCGCTGGCGACTGGTCATATTCCTGCGGCAGAGCCAGGACCGACTCGTCGTCACGGCCATCCTGTGAAAGCTGGCTGTCCGGGAAGTCCAGGGGAAGCTGACCTGACGCACGTACGGGGCTGTGAAGGAGCGTCGTCCAGTTGGCATTTTCTGTGGGGCTGACTGCGCGTTTCGGGCCTGAAACATCGTTGGTGCCAGAGTTGGCCAATGGAGATCGGCTGGCTTTGATGGGCGTCGATACTACTGATCCCGGCTCGCTGGTTGTGTCGCCAGTGGCTGCTGCCGTCTTCTTTCCAAACCTACCACTCAACGTGCGGATGCTGCCCGTCCGGCTGGGCGTCCGGCTAGGCGTCCTCGACAGCAATGGCGATGCCAAGTTGACAGCGGCTGCAGCTGTGGCTGCGATCAGCGAACCCCAGCTGCCGCGGCTTATGCGCTTGGCCTGCTTGGTCCGTGTGCTGTCGGTATCTTCGTTTGCGTCGCCGTCGTCCTTGGCCAGGAATAGGCGGATCCGGGTGCTGCTCGAGGACGAGGCCGCGATGCTGCGCGTCTCCGCGTCAGCCGCAATGCGCGCCGGTGAGTAGGGCACGACGCGGATACCAGACATGCGGTTGTTCTGCGAAGGTGTGCGCTCGTGCAGCGGCAGAGGCGAGGGCGCAGTACGGCGGCCACGTCGACGCTTTGGACTGTCGGTGCTGACCATGTCGTCGGCCTTGTCGGATGCCACCGCCGGCCCTTCAGAGGCGGACTCGTCGTCCTGGTAGATCAGAGTGCCCGAGGACCGCACTCCGGCAGGCCGGTCGGCAGCGAAGTGCCATGATTCGTTCATACGTGCTTTCCTGGAATTAGAGTTGCTTCAGACCAGACGACTAGCAAGGGGTTGCTAGGGTCCAAGACGTGAGGTCGGAAGAGAGGTGGAGCTGGGGAGAGGTTGTTTGGGAGCGGATGTGGAGTGCGAACGTGAAGATGTAAAATAAATCGCATGAGGCGTGTGCTGCTCGTAGTAGCCGTGAAGTGTCATAAAACGTGTCGTGAGCTTCATCAACGGTTCAAGTGCCGCTGGAGGGAGATGACGGTAGCTTAAGGCGGGGAAGCGGAGACGGGAAACTGAAAGGGCAGACAATGGGATTATGAGCAACCGTCAAGCATTAGGAATACCAATTAGGATGGAGCCAGGTACAAGGCCGACGAGGCTATGGGTGGATAAACAGGCTGGCGATGGAGATTGAACAGCAGAAAGCGAGCGAGCAGGCCAAAGCAAGAAAGCAAGAACGAGAGCGCTGCATGGAAAACAAGACAGAGCCAAAAAAAGAAGGAGAGCAAGCCGCAAGGCTCACTGTGAGCGGGTACGCGTAGACGCCGAGGAGACGGTCTTCGGCCTGGCTGCTGGCAGCAGCATGACCATGAGACAGGACCGGCAGACAGAGAGCAGAAGGCTGTGCAGGTGTGGACGAGATGAGACGAGGGGCGAACGGCAGATGGCAGATGGCAAGGCCAGGGACGTTGAGAGATTGAGATCCGTAGGCCGTCAATTAGGTCGATCAAGAGGTCCAGATCGAAGGGGCAAAGGTGCCTGATTATATTAGAGCGAGTGTGTGCGGCCTTGGGGTGTGGCCAAGGACGAAAGAGTGGACGGACAGGGTCAGCGAAGGCGTGTCCGGTGGTGGGACGAAAGAGTGGACGAACGAGCGAACGAACAGAGCGGCGAAGCGAGCAAGCGAGCGGCAAGACGACGTTGGGGAGACGCGTAGAGAGCAGAAGGGAAGAAGAGAGGCGAGCGAGAGACAGACAGATCCAAGGGCGGCTCAGTCTGGGGTTATCAGAGCGAGGCGAGGGAAGGAGCGAGCGAGCGGAGACAGGCGGAGCGCACAACAGCAAAAGACAGAGCAGAGAAGCAGCGACCGAACCTGCTGCTGTGAGAGCGGTGGCAGCGAGAGTGGCATCGCAAGCCAGCGGCGCGCCGTCGATTGGTCACGGCCGGGCTCCGTTTGCATGCACCAGTCAGGAGCTGCGCTGCAGAAATGGATGCTCCATGTTGGCCCTGCAGCAGTTTAATTTGGCAGGGGGCAGGCACTACGAGCGAAGCGGGACCGCCATATACAGTATACAGTGGGAGCCTGCCAGACCTGTTCGAGTTGTACTGTTTATTCCTATTATTACGAGTACCGGGTGAGTGTCGAGGATCCATTCCAGCTGAGCTGCCGTGTGAAACCGTGGCCGCATTCTCTCCCTGTCTTCGCGATGTGGCACAAACGTAAACAAAACAACGGGCGCCAGCGGCAGGTCGAACAACACCAACACCAACACCAACACCCAAACACAACAAATAACAGGACTAAAATGAAAGGTGCGAAATCTTGGCTCAACGGAGCGGGTCGGTCGTGGATCCAGCTGGAGTGTGCGCTACTCTGCAAGATACATAGTACTTTCTGTTCGGAATCCAACTGCTAAACACAGCCACAGTCTCCGTGCCGCGCTGAGAAACGAAACATGAATGGAGGAATGCAATGCCCAAGAACAAGATGTGTGCAACAGCCAGACACTATCGTCCAGACAGCAACATCTGCAGCTATTGTCTCGCCAGCCGCCGGCCTGCCGGCTGCCGAAACGGCCGCCTCGCTCCAGACAACAGCTGTTCCCAGCCACACAACGCTGCACAGATTGCTTCTCCAGAGAAGGCCGGGGTGCTGTAAGAACCAGCGCTCGTATCTCGCTCGTACCACCACGCCAGCAGGGGTCGTTGCCGGGACTGTGGATGCGCTTCTGGACGAAGATTCCGGGCTAAGGACGCGTCCTATGAATGGGATGCGCGTTGTGCAAAAATCCCATGAGTCTTTTTTTTTGTGCTCGGCCAGGACCGTTGTGCGCACTGTAGAGCTCGGGCCAGCAGCAGCCAAAAGACGGTGAGCCGCGTGTGAGTCCACACTGGCCGACACGTGACACTGGCCAGCGAACACGACCGTCTCGCTGTGCTCTGGGCCTTTTCTGACTTGGGGGGAAAGAGGCTGAAAGGTCTTGCCCGTTTCGGCACATGCGTTCCATTTATAGGAACAATCGCTGCTAGCCTGTCATTCTTCTCTTGCCGTCTTATGCCTCCTTTGTTCTCGGCCGCCAGCAGCGCAGACGCAGACCAAACGCCGTGGCGCCGAGAGCAGTGAGGGCGACAAAGCTCAGTAGCCGCCGCTGGCTGGTCGTTTGCACGGAGTGCTCCGTGCTGCTCGCCAGTTTCATCGTCAGCATCTCCAGATCAGCCGTTCATCATGCCTGCCATCCGGGGCTTCATTGACAAGTACATCTTTCACAAGGAGGGTAAGCTTTCATCCTCACCGAGTTTCTGGATTCGTGTCTCAGACTAACGGTACGTCTCCAGAAATCCCACCGCCCATCTCCACTGGAACGGCTGTGGCCCTGCTTGTGAGTTGCCCCTGCGCCGTTTCATCTGATCTGTTCTGTCCGTTCTTCTTTCTACCTGTTTCCCGTTGTTTCGTCTTCTCCACTCGTTCACTTCCATTCGTTCTCACTCCCCTCTAGGCCCTCTACACCGTCGCCTATGTTGCGCCCTTTTACCTCTCGTCCTTGACCAGGCCCTCGCCGACGCTCTCACGCGATGCCCCGTCGGTCATTCGGGCCCGCATCACCTCGGTGACGCTGACGTGCATCGGCTGCTCGGCCGCCACGTTTGTGCTGCTGACGACGGCCGGCGCCACCGGCACCACACGTCTGCCGGCCACCGATGCACTGCATCTCATGGGCTATCTGCCCGTGGGCTTGGGCGACGCGCTGCGAGCTCTGGCCTTGACGGCAGCCCTCTTTGCTGGGCCGCTGCTGGAGCTGGTCCTGGTGGAGGTGCAGACGTGGCGGCTGCTACGATCGGACCGGTCGATGCTGACCTGCCTCGTGGCCTCGCTCGCCGACAACCTCGCCGACTGGACCGTCTGGCGCAACATTGTCGCTGGCCCCGTCACCGAGGAGGTGCTCTTCCGTGGCGCCGGTGTGCCGCCTCTGCTGCTCGCCCACACGTCGACAGCCTGCACGGTGCTGCTCTCGCCCGTCGTCTTCGGGCTCGCCCACCTGCACCACGCTTACGAGTTCGCCGTGGTGCACCCGCGTGTTCCTCTCGCCGGTGTCGCCCTCCGCTCACTCGTCCAGTTCGCCTACACCACCCTCTTCGGCGTCTACGCCACCTTCCTCTTCCTCCGCACCGGCAGCTTGCTCGCCGCCTGTCTCGTCCACAGCTTCTGCAACTGCATGGGTCTGCCGCGCTTCTGGGGCCGCCTCGAGCTGCCCCGCAACGACTCCGACTTCGAGACCGGCCGGCCCCGGAGCAACCTGCTCGCCACCCTGCTGTACTACGTCCTGCTCGTCGCCGGCGCCGCGTATTGGTACTGCCACCTGTGGACCCTGACGGCGAGCACGAATGCGCTGGTGTCGTTTGGCTGACGGAAGAGGTACCTTGCAAGGACATGGGGACGAAAAAGGTGTATATGCAGACGAAATTACAACAGAGATACAGTAAGACCGTATCGTTCATGAAAGCACGCTTCGGCCTGTACTCCGTACAATGGTGCCGTTGCGGCCCAACACCGTTTCCCCGTGTCGATGCAAATCCCTCATGATGAACTATCTATACACAACTCCGCTGGGGAGAACGGCTAGAGCTGCAGCAGACGGCAACGTGCTGTCTGTAGACACGTGTCGGCTGTCCGCCGCAGCGAAGCCGGAGCAGACTCTGAAGACGAGTCTGTGACTGTGAGTAGGGATGGTACCTCGACGTACTCATACAACGGGATCAGCAATCCGCTTCGGCCGTCCGCAGGACGGATCCTTTGCCGTAGGAATCTTCCCGTGATCAGCTGCAGGGCATCAGCATTTCGCGAGCGTCTGCGCATATGCTCTGTTTCTGTCGCTCTTGTCTTTATCGTATTCTTTCCTCCTCCCTACTCAACCGCGCGGATCCATCGAGTCCGGCAGCGAGCCCGGCATCGAGAATACGTCGTCGTACCGCGACCGCTGACGGTGGCGCAGCGAGTCCTGTGATGGCCGCAGCATGTTTGCCAGATGCGGCACCTGTCCGGGCTGAGCCAGGGCCACGGCCGCAGCTGACGGCAGGCCCTGCAGGTGTGGCTGCTGGTGCTGCAGCCAAGTCTCGGTGTCGGCATCGCGGCGTGGATCGCGCTGGTCTCGGGTGTCGCGCGTGTCTCTCGAGTCGCGCGAATCTCTCGACTCGGGCCGGCCACCGGTAGCGGCCTTGCTGCTGAGTCCTGCTGCTGTGGCGGCCGCGCTGTCGGATGCAACGTCCTCGCTGGGCGGTCCGCCCGACGTCTTTCCGTCTCCACCCCGGGCGTTCTTCATGCGCGGCCACAGGCTCGGCAGGGCAATCTCCTGGAAGCGCGGCTCGACGGCGCGGTCGTCAAACCAGCGGTGCAACCGCGACTCGATCAGCTGGGCGATCTTGGGCACGTCCTGCAGGCGCGAGCGGCTGCCCAACAAACTGCGGATGCTAAAGTCCAGACGGTAGTCGTCGAGAAAGGCAAAGATCATCCGGGTCGGCGTCGCCTGCGACGGGTTGCTCGGCACAAAAGACACCGACAGCGTGCCGCTGAACCGCACCACTGATACCGCCAGCGCCACCGGCAGAACCGCCGACAGCCGCCGCGGATAGTTAAGCAGCAGCCGCGTCTCCACCGCCAGCGTGATCATGTCGCTCAGGTCCACGTCCATGCGTGCCTGCAGCCGTGCTGCCGGGCTCGATGTGCCTTTGGGGCCGCCGCTGCCACCGGCACCACAGCCGAGGCCGTCCTCGTCGACGGGGATGATGCGGCAGTTGCTGAAGATGGGAAAATCCTCGCCCAGGCTCAGCTCGGTCACGCGGATCTCATCGACAAAATCGGGCCGCGAGTCGCCGTTTAAGGCCTTAGTCAGCGATGCCAGAATTGCGTCGTCATGTTGGGCGTCGTTGCGAAACTGCGCAATCGTCTGCGCGATCAGCACGTTGAACCAGTCCAGACTCTCGGGCTGGTGGCTGTCCACCCGGTAGTACGTCTTGCTGAGGATCGAGCCGATCGTCAGGCTCGGTGGCCGCCGTAGCACGCCAGACTTGTGCCTGCTGCTCGGCTGTTGTTGCTGCTGCTTCTGTTGGTCCCCCGACTGCTCTTCCCGGATCGAGCGCAGCCGGAGAAGCGATTCCTTGTGAGCCTCTGTCCGGGACCGTCGCTCAGCCGCCCTTCGGATCTCTATAGCCTCTGCCGACGGCGGGTCACCAAAGATGAAGAACTTGATAAAGGCTGCCACGAGCAGGACCACCGACAGCTGGCCGACGATCAGACCCTGCGAGAATGAGAGGCTGCGAGAGAGGCGGACAGTCAGCAACGATCAGACGGTAGAGAGACAGAGCCTGCATCCAGGCACCCAGTCCTCAACAGAAAAGCAAAAAGGACACATACGTCGGCTCATGTCCGGCCGGACAGTTGTCTGGCGCCATGGCAGCTGGTGTCTGGCGCAGTCGGCTCCGGCGGGGAAGGGGAGGAAATACGTCCAGCGACAGGAGCCGTGGCGCCAGCTGGGAAAGAGACGGGAGAGAGAAGGCGAGCCGGCCGGACGATCGTTGCTCAGCTTGTTGTCATGAAGCTTTTTCTCTGCTGTGGAGCCAAAACGTGCATTGCTGCTGCCAAAAGAAGCGATTTGGGGTTTTTGCAGCATTGGCGTCCAGGCTTTATCTTATCGGAAGGAGCACTGTACTAGTACAAGTAGCGACACTGCACCAGAGCAAATTTCCAGGTACCGTGACATCCGCCCAAGAGCTCCGTTGGTTCAGGTCGGCCGCTGACGCATGTGCTGAAGCTCGAGAAGCCGTCTTTCCGTCCGCATCACAGAGCATCAGCGACGCTGCAACACGACCGCTCTCGACCCGCTCTTCCGCTGCCGCGAGCAGGAGGCAGCCATTAACAACAGCACACAAGCGCCCGCGAGACACGATGGATCTGTTCCAGGCGGTGTCGGGATACGTCACGCGGATGGTGACGGCAGGCGACAGCAGCGTGGGAACGGGCGGACTGTCGTCGGGATCGTCACTGCCGTCGTCCGTGTCGGCCAAGATGAAGATTCTGTTGTTGGACCGCGAGACAGTGCCGATTGTGTCGACGGCGGTGACGCAGTCGGCACTGCTCAACCACGAGGTGTATCTGATCGACCGGCTAGACAATGCGGGACGTGAAAAGATGCGGCATCTGCGATGCTACTGCTTTGTGCGGCCGTCGGCAGAGGCGATCCAGCAGCTGGTGGAGGAGCTGCGGGACCCGCGATACGGCGAGTACAACCTCTTCTTTAGCAACGTGGTCAAGAAGTCGTCCATGGAGCGGCTGGCCGAGGCCGACGACCACGAAGTCGTCAAGCGCGTGCAGGAGTACTTTGCCGACTTTGTCGTCATCAACCCGGACCTGTTCTCGCTCGACTTCAGCATCCGCGGCCGTATGGGCAGTGCCAAGAACAGCAATAGCCCCATCACGCACGTATGGGGGGCCAGCCCGGATGCGTGGAACGCGGACGCGCTGCAGCGGTCGACCGAAGGCGTGCTGGCGGCACTGCTGGCGCTCAAGAAGAAGCCATTGATCCGGTATGCGCGCAGCAGCCTGCTGGCCAAGAAGCTGGCGACCGAGGTGCGATACCGCATCGCCCAGGAGGAGCAGCAGCTGTTCGACTTCCGGCCCGTCGACACGCCGCCAATTCTGCTGATCGTCGACCGTCGCGAGGACCCGATCACGCCGCTACTAACCCAGTGGACGTATCAGGCCATGGTGCACCAGATGTTCGGCATCCACAACGGGCGCGTGGATCTGCAGGCCGACGGCGACGGCAACGGCGACGGTGACAACAGCAACAACAACAACAGCAGCAGCGATCCGGCGTCGGGACTGCGCGAGACCGTGCTGTCGCAAGACCAGGACCCGTTCTTCAAGCGGAACATGTTCCTCAACTTTGGCGACCTCGGGTCCAACGTGAAGGAGTACGTGGAGCAATTCCAGGCGCGGCACAAGAACAACGAGAACCTCGAGTCCATCTCGGACATGAAGCGCTTCGTCGAGGAGTACCCCGAGTTCCGTAAGCTGTCGGGCAACGTGAGTAAGCACGTGCACCTGATCTCGGAGCTGAGTCGCCGCGTCAACGACGAGAACCTGCTGGAGGTTAGCGAGTGCGAACAGAGCATAGTCTGCAACGACAACCACGCGGCAGACTTGAAGGTGAGCCAGCAGATGGGTCCAAAAACCAGTTCCATTCTACAGGCAGCGCTGACAACCCAGACCATCCAGAAGCTGATCCAGAGCCCGACCGTGTCGTCGGCCCACAAGGTCGGTCTGGTGGCGCTGTACGCGCTGCGCTACGAGAAGCAGCCGCAGAGCGGGACGACCGTGGCGATGCTGGTCGAGCTGCTGACAGCGGCCGGTGGCGTGCCGTCGTGGCAGGCCGACCTGGTGGCCAAGCTGCTGGCCTACGAGCACTCGCTGCAGCACCGGAGCGGCGGGGGAGCCGGTGGCGACGACGGGGCTGGCGGTGGCGGCGGCATTGCCGAGATCTTTGAGTCGAGCGGCATCTTTGGCGGCGGTGCCAAGGCGCTGCGCGGACTCAAAGGCGTCGACAACGTCTACACGATGCACTCGCCCCTGCTCGAGACCACGCTGCACAGCCTCGTCAAGGGCCGCCTGCGCGAGCAGCAGTACCCCTTCGTCGACGGCGGCGGCGCCACGCGCGACAAGCCGCAGGACATTATCGTATTTGCCATTGGCGGCACCACGTACGAGGAGGCCAAGGCCGTTGCCGGACTCAACGCCTCGACACCGGGCGTGCGCATCGTGCTCGGCGGCACTACCGTCCACAATGCCACCAGCTTCTGGGACGAGATCGACAGCGCCGTGTCGTCGTGGCCGGAGCCGCCACCCAACACGACCGCCGGTCGGCTGCGCAAGGAGCTTGGGAGGAGGTGGAAGGAGGGGGGGGTTGATGTGTATTACATAATGATGAGTCAGCAATGAAAATGAATCGGTTTTCCCTAGGCTGCCCAGTCAGCAGCGACGTATTCTGACCTCGGACAAAAAAACAGAGAAAACACGACCGACGCAAACAGGCCCCCGGAACACGGGCTCAACTCACCCGCGCCGACCCCCTGGATGGCCATGTGTCGCCGCAGCGCCTGGCCACAATGCTGAGACTGACTAGGAGGACGACGAGGGCGGCGACGGAGACCAATGGCTGTGGTTGGGGCCGCAGCCAGACAGCAGCTGCCGTATCGACGTCAGCAGCCATGCCACAGCTGCCACGATCGTGGATCCTGGCACGGCGACGACAGGACGCTGCACGGCCGGTGCTGCTGTCAGCAGCCGCTGTCTGGAGGCGACCAGGCAGTCTGACACGCAGCTTGTCGGACAATTCGAGGTGTGTTTGGTCGTCTCGTTCTGGAGTCTCTTTGCTCTCTTGCTTCCTTTTTTTTCTCTTCTCTCTCTCTTCTCTCTCTCTTCTCTTTCTTCTCTTCCCTTTCTCTTCTCTTTCTTCTCTTCCCTTTCTTCTCTTCTCAGCTTTCATGCCTCATGCTAACCTCCCAGCCCATCCCGTCGCGAAAACATCTACACGGTCCCCAACATGCTGACGGTGGCCCGTCTGGCAGCCGCCCCGTTTGTCGGCTACTGCATCCTGCACGACATGCCCGGCACGGCTCTGGGACTTCTCGCTGCTGCTGGCGTGTCCGACCTGCTCGACGGCTGGATCGCACGGCGCTGGCAGCTGCGTACTGTCGTCGGCAGCATCATCGACCCCATGGCCGACAAGGTGCTCATGACCGTTCTGGCCGTCAGCCTCGCCGCTGAGGGTGGCCTCCCGCTCTGGCTGGCTGCTCTTATTCTTGGCCGTGACGCCGGCCTCGCTATCGCTGCCGTCTACTACCGCTGGGTCTCCCTGCCGCCACCCAAAACCCTCGCCCGCTACTGGGATTTCTCCCTGCCGTCTGCCGAGGTCCGCCCGACTACCATCAGCAAGTATAACACCTTCTTGCAGCTCGCTCTCATGGCTACCACCACCGCCGCGCCCGTCGCCGCCTCGGCCGGCCTCGATCTTGCTACCGGCCTGACCGCAATGCAGTACGTGCTGTTTTTCTGACATGTGCCAAGTCACGTGTTTTCGCATGTTCTTATTTCCCGCTGACAAATCACCCAGATATGTCGTCGCCGGCACCACCGTCTGGAGCGGCCTGAGCTACGTCTACAGCAAGGATGCGGTCAAGATCCTGTCGCAGGACCGGACGGGGTCCAAGTCCAAGTAGCCTGGCATGGTCTGCGTGTATACCAAAAAAGGAGTCAAAAGGAGCTGGTGTCTGCAGTGAAGGTGTGTAGCCTACGGAATATAGTAGGCGTATATTGTGAAATGTGGGGTTCTACATGGTATTACAAGTCTATCTGTGTCGTAGTTGTCGTTCAGTTGTCCGTTGTTGTCTGCTCGTGTCATTCTCGATCACACTGCCACTTTTATATCTTTCTCTTGTCTCCCTCTTCTCCCCTTCATCCCCTTCATCTCCTCCCTCTCCCTCTTCCCCTCTCCTCCCTACAGATCAGCCACCCGGGCCTCCGCATCCAACGTCTCCATGTCCTCTTCAATCAGCACTGCCGCCGGCCTGTCTCTGCCACCGGCCTGTCGCGTACGGTGCACGTGCGCCAGCAGCCGGACGCAGCCGACAGGCGTCATGCCCTCGACGCGGCGGGCCTGTGCGAGCGACTCTGGCCGCGTGGCTGCGAGGACAGCCTTCTCGGCGAGGCTAAGCCCTACCACGGCCGCGTAGTCGAGGTCGGTCGGCAGCCGCAGGGCGTCATCGCGGGCCACACGCGCGCGCTCGACGCTCTGGATCGTCTCGTAGGGCGCGTACATAGCCTCGATAGCGACACGACGGCGGATGTCGGCCGAGAAGGCGTCGACCAAAAGAGCATCGACACCGCCGCGAGCCACGAGGTCATCGATCCCGTCGACGCCACCCACCCGCAACATGTCGAGCCCGTCGCGCATGCGCGAGTCGTCGCGCACCGCGAACCCGAGCCGGCGCCACGCAGGCGCGCTGCGCACAGTCGTCTGCAGGACGCCACGCAGAGCAGCTGCCTGGTCGCGGTCGCGTTCAAAACGAGCCCAGCGCACATCGCCGACGACACCCCAGCGGCGGCCCAGCGGCGTCAGGCGAGCGTCCGCATTGTCGAAGCGGGCGCTCAGACGAAACTCGGACCGCGTCGTGAACATGCGGTACGGCTCCGAGACGCCCTTGGTCACCAGATCGTCAATCATCACGCCAATGTAGCCGTCTGCTCGCGAGGAGCCCGCACGGCTTCTAGTCCCTGGGCTGCTCGCCCGGCATTGATGCCTGCCACAACGCCCTGGCCTGCTGCCTCCTCGTAGCCGGTCGTGCCGTTGATCTGGCCCGCCAGATACAGACCTGCAATCGCCTTCGTCTCCAGCGTCGCCCGCAGCCCGCGCGGGTCCACGTAGTCGTATTCAACCCCGTAGCCTGGCTGCAGCATCGTCACGCGTTCCAGCCCGCCAATCGTCCGCAGCAGCTGCTCTTGGGCCGTCGCCGGCACCGTCATCGATAGCCCGTTCGGGTACACCACGTCGCTACCGAATCCCTCCGGCTCCAGCCATACAATGTGCCGCTCCTTGTGCCCAAATCGCTGCACCTTGGACTCCAGCGATGGGCAGTAGCGCGGCCCCTTGACCGACTCCCGGATGTGCACCGTCTTGTCCAGGTTCGCCCGCACAATCGCGTGTGTCGCCGCGTTCGTGTATGTCGCGTGGCACAACAGCTGTCCGCCTTCCCTACTGCTCACCGCTACCGTCGAGTCCATGTAGCTGAACGGCACCGCCGGCTCGTCACCCCTCTGCGCCTCCAACGCCCCGTAGTCGATCGTCCGTCTGTCCAGCCGCGGCGGCGTGCCCGTCTTCAGCCGTCCCAGCGCAAACCCGGCCTCTCGCAGCGACCGGCTCAGCCCGTATGTCGGCGCCTCGCCCATCCGTCCTGCCGGTCGCGTCTCCATCCCGATGTGGATTTCCCCCCCTAGAAATGTCCCTGTCGTGATCACCACTCGTCCTGTCCGCACCACCTCGCCCGTCTCCAGCCGCACTCCTGTTATCCGCCTGCTCGCCTGCTGCTTCTCATACCCATTCTCCTCCACTCCCCCCATCCTCCACTCGTCTCCCCTCGCTTCTGCCACCACAATGTCCGACACGCTGCCCTCCAGAATCGACAGGTTCGGGTACCCTTCCAGCATCTCCCGCATGTGCTGCTTGTACAGTCCCCGGTCGATCTGCGCCCGTGGCCCCCATACTGCCGGACCCTTGCTCCGGTTCAGAACCCGGAACTGTACGCCCGCCTGGTCCACCACCCGTCCCACCAGTCCGTCCAGAGCGTCAATCTCCCGCAGGATGATCCCCTTCCCAATTCCCCCAAAACTCGGATTGCACGAACACACTCCCAGGTTGTCCAGCTTCGGTGTGATCAGTGCTGTCCGTGCCCCTGCCCGTGCTGCTGCTGCACATGCCTCTGCTCCTGCGTGCCCTCCGCCAACAACCACCACGTCGAATGATGTCCGTCCGTCGTCCGCAATGCTGGCCAGTTCGCGCACTCGCTGCTGCCGATACCCCCGCCGTACCTGCAGACATACCCGTCTTGACAGTGAGCCAATCATTTGCCTGCGTACTGCTGCCATGGCCGTGGGGTCGAGGAGTCGATTCGTTGTCGTCTGCAATTTTTCGATAACCACTTCTCCGCGTCTTATCGCATTTTGCGACGCTTATATGCTGAGTCATACACTCGCTTACAGTGTGTTTACTGTGTCAATTACACTGTCATGTCTTCCACCTTCTAGTCTCTCACACCTCTGTGAAAAACCACGGCCAGTTTCCACCACCCATCTTGCCGCCGTATTCTGTACCCGGCAGAACCATTGGCACAGGTACGCTTTTGTCGAATTCACCCAGCATACCAGCACCTTCTCTAGGCACATTTGCCCGCCGTTCTGCCTCAGGCCGAGGTACCGCAGGAATCAGAACTCCGCATTCCCAGTTGCGACATGTCAGCCTGGGCTCCTTTGTTGCCCTGTCCTTCACCAGGCGTCCCCTGTTTCGTACGCAGACTCATTAGCTCTGGTTTCGATTTGTCGACTGCCTATAAGGAACTTCTTACCATGCGCTCTCTGACAGATTAGCACTTCCCAGGTACGTCCATGCTTGCGCAGAGCTGGCTTCCCGCCGCACAAATAGAAGCTTAGTATGCGCCAGAGTGCCTTTCTTGACATTCTGGTAGTCTCTCAATATCTTTCGAGGAAACTTGGCCGACTCCCACCAGTTTCTCCGGAAGCAAATCGTTCCCGCACCCTTCCAGTACCCATGTCAGCACATACGCATCGTACGCCAGGCTCCATCATTGGCAAACACTCACACGTATCCCCCCTCGGCTCCGAACCACTGTCTGGTGAGACGGGAAGTACACCCGCATCCTACTTTTCCAGTCCGGTTCTGAAGACGACGCTAGCACGCCCTTTTTCGGCTTATTTGCCCTGGCTTCGTACTCCTTCATCCCCGTGTCTCCTGTTTTCAGAGTCAGCCAGCTGTATGTCTAGCGGACGAATTATATCTGGCGGCATCGTACCTTGACATGCATAGTACAGCGCATTCAGGAGATCGTCACCCAAAGATCCGATAGATGAACACTGTTGCGGCAAATACTCGTCGTCAGCTTTGCACATCCAAGCAGCAACAATAACAGATCCGCCTTACCAAGTAGTCTAGCTGCAGCGGTTCTTCTGTTGCCCAGCCTAGCGACTTGATCGCTCTACCCAGACCGCAGTAGCCCGTGCGCTCCCAGGAGTCCTTTGCGTGTGACCCAGATCTACCGAGTACCGGCCGTTAGCATGGCCTTGGCCAGACATCTCCATCTTTTCGGCGACTTCGCTTACATGGTGTGCACGAAAGCGTAGCGTGCTGTTGCCGAAAAGTCATAGTTGTCAAGGCTCTGCACGAGAGACTGATCCACCGCCTGGGCCTTGAGAAAGTACGACAGGTCATCAAGGAAAGGAGTCTTTCCAGAGATTCGGCCGGCTTGCGCGGGGAGCCGTGGAAGGTCGATGATAAACACCATCTAACTCATAAGCCGCGATCAGTACCGTCCATTTTGAAAGAGGAGCGCGTATCGTACATTCTCAATAGTGCCCGACTCGCCCCAGTCGTATGGCACCAGGTTGCCCGTCGGCACAACGATGCGCAGGTAATCGGCATACTTGAGCAGCTGGAGCTTGGAATGCATGGCACCCACGGAAAGCATCGGTGGGAAGCAGAACCGGACATTGCTGTTTGGCACATTCTCGCGCATCTCGACTTTCTTGAGAGAGGGGTGGAACACGCTCTTGTCAGCATCGTATAGATCTCATTGATACCCTCCTACAGGCAGCACCTACCTGGTTTTCGTCTGCCGCATAGGCGATCAGCAGCAGCTTTGTCTTGCGCACGTCGACATGCTGCATCATCCACTCCTCGTCCCATTGGAACGAGCTCAGAACAGCCAGCTCCAGCCCGCTCTTCTGCCAGACCTCGTCGATGGTAATGTCATCGTCGCCTCGCGGCTGCCCCCGGATCCACGTTTTCTTAACAACGCCCTCGGGGAAGCGCAGTCGCTCATCTGCCGCAGCTGGGGCTGCAGACGCAGCAACACTGCTCCCCAGCTTCCGTCTTCTCGCTGGCGGTCCCTGGTCATCATCATCTGAGCCGTCGTCAATCACCACTACCCCGCTTTCAGCTTTTCGTTTCGCTGTCACACTCCCTTGCTGCACCTCGGCCGTGTTAATGTGTGGCTGGTCCTGCTTCTGCTGCTGTTGGCCCAGTTGCTTTTGGCGTCGGGCCAGACGCTCCGCCTCCATCGCTCGTCGGTCCATACTGAGCAGAGATTCTTCAGGAGCACCAGGAGCAGAAGGAGATTCGGCAGTCGTCATTGTGCCTCGCTCGTTGGTGACCTTGCTCTGTGTGATGTTCTCTCCGACACGTATTGACGTCGTAGCTATCCACTATTACACTGTCTCTAGCTCTTGAACCTCTCGACACTAAAATATAGTGTGTCCGTGCGCCTAATATGCTCTTACTGTCTAAAGAATAGGCTAAACATAGACAAAATGCTGCAACTATAAGACCCATATAACCAATGAGCGACATCGCAGAAAACAGCTCTATTTCCTCATGCCTGCATGAACAACCGCTTTATGTATATTTAAAGCAGTCTATACCCTTTCGGAAGCTTCTGTGGTTTTTGAGAATTGGCTTTACAATTTGAAACCTGAAAAGTTTTGGAGTTTGGAGTTTGGTATATCATTTTTAGGTGTTATCAAAAAGTAAATAAACAAACAATGAAAGTAAAATGCAACTTAACAAAACACACTTCAGATCAATGTCATAAAGTCCTGCTTATTTATGTGCAAATCACCTACAATGATCCACATTGCAACGGATCACCAACTGATAACTATGCAACATGACTTTGCTATTGTCAAGACAAAGCGAGACTTACCTTGGAAGAAATAACAGGATCAAAAGGTATGATCCAACAACTCTACGGCTCTTTCAGGGTTCTCAGAACAACGAAGCGGAGTGTATGTGGTTTTGACATTCGAGATCTATGACTGTCTACTTGCCCTTGGCGAAACCTCATACAAACCTCCCAAACTATAGGATGTTTGGTGTATGTTTTTTTTTGAGGGTTTTCTTTTTTTCAACACCTCTTCCGTCCCCGTCCGTGTGATCGTTTCCACTGTTCTTACACAATTCCAAAGCGCCAAAACCGTACTCATCTTTCCCCTTCACTCCCCATGACCCAGCAATGAGTAGGCATCATATAAACGAGGCCGTTAAGAGAACCAGAACCGACACCAGACCAGCCTATCGACACTCCAAAAGGCCAGCTGAACTCAAACAAATGAGACTGGCCACAGTGGTCAGAATACAGAACAGGTCCCAGCTAACGCCTAAACAGCATCTGCAAAAAGTGCGACAGTGCGGCCTCCCTCCGGTAGTTACCCTCCAGTGGCTATAGCACTCCTCGATGCTGAGACAAGTCTATATAATTCCCCAGGTATTGCATGACAAGCAGACATATAAAGAATGGCACGATAAAATACGTGCGTAAACATCCGCACTGCTTGAGAAAGTCGTACATGTCGAGTACTTCCTCACCCATATGACATCATGCCATTGCGCTTGGGTTGTCCAATAGCACAGAAAAAGGAAAAAAAGGAAAAGACGATGAGAGAGAAAGAAAGGGGGAGAGTGAGAAAAGAAAAGAAAGAAGAGTACAAAAGAAAGAAAATGAAACATGATTTGGACAAAAAAAAAAGGCGATGATTAAACGCATGTGGGTTATAACTCCAGAAAGAAGGCCTAAACGCCAATCGATGGCTGCCAGACACATTCGAGATGATCCTGTATGATAACCGCTTCTTTGAGACGTAACAACAAATCTTTACCTTAATGAAGTAAGGTCTGTCGCTGGAAACCGAGTGCCAATCATGAAAAGAGGATGCAAAAGAGTGAAATCGAGATGGGTCAAGTCAAAGAAAGCTGTATTTGCTTTGCTTAGTGGACTGATATGGTGATGCGAGTAGAACCTAGTTCCGGCAAGTATTGCCGGCCGGCGTTGCGCCAGAAGGCGCGCCAAGCTTCAAGACCTGACGCAAGGTGTTCTCCATGGCAGCGAGGTTGGCAGGCTCGTTATTGCTGCCGGGCATCATCCGCGCGGAAGGCGTGGCATAGATGTTTTGAAATGCTATTGGGGCGAAGCTAGTCGTCCGGGATGCTATCGCCCCGGAAGATGGCCCCCGGGTATGACGCGCAGCCATTGCAGGACTGGAGGTCAACCCCGGAGAGTTGCCGAAAGTCGTAGGGCCCGACGCAGATAGAGCAGTCTTTGAGAAGAGATACTGCTTGAGAGCCTCGCTATGGCTGGTGGTTCCACGTGACTGTTGGAGGTCACCAGGAGAGGCAGCAGATGCGGGGAGGTCTCGAAATCCTATCGAACCCTTGGCAACAGGACTATTGCTCTCAGAGGGGCGAACAGCCCGCATTCTTTCCTGAAATGGTGTGGCAAAGGCCGGACCAATTGGCTGGCTAGAATTGCTATCTAGCTCAGCAGCAGAGATACCCGAAGAGGGGTTCCGTGCATGGAGAGGCCTGCGCAGAGGATGCTGCGAGTTTCTGGGGAAGGTGTAGCTGTTTTTGTCTGGAAGGGTCTGTGCCTGTGCCGGTGGAGAATACGGCACAGACGGGCCGTTGAAGATGTTGGCGGTGCTGGCGCGGTGAGCCTTCTCGGCGCGATCAGCGCGGAAAAAGATATCCAGAGGTGACTCATGACCAGGGACGGAGGTCTCTAGGAACCGGTCCCGGAGCTGTTCAGACAATTGTTCCGAGTCGGACGGCGGCGGTGACGGCTCTTGACCGACACCGTTCGCCGACTTCACACGAGGGGTATCCGGCGAGTTGGGTTTCATAAAGAAGCTGGGAAGGGGGAGCGAAGACGGAGCGGGCGAGGCGTGAAAGGTAGCACCCGCAAAAGCGGTGGTGGCAGCCGAGGCAGACGTTGGCTTTGCGCCGGCAGTTTGAGGAGGCGTCCGCCGTCCGGGTTTGGCAGGGCCAGGAGAAGTCGATATGTTTTTGGGATAATTCTTGTTTCCGTTACGTCTGTTGGATTTGGCTGGAGTAGGTTGCGCGTTTGGAGCTGGGCTCTTTGGCGTGCCCTTCTTGGGGGTTTGAGGGCCATGACGGCGCTGACCAAAGTCAGGGTGGAAGTTGGGTTCGGCGGCAGCCGCATCATTCTCTGAAGCATAATTCTTCTTTGAGGATGGGCGAGCTGCGTTCGGGCCAGGCCGGCGACGGCCTGGCGTTTGCTTCACATTGCTGTTTGCAGGCTCCGGCATTGCGTGTTTACGGAGAGATGATCGTGATGAGTGGGCGCCTTAACGCTCGTCGAGGTTGACAGGAGTGTTCACAGGTTAATCTGCGTTGAATTCTTAGGTTGCTAGAGATCGGAGCGATCTGGGCGATCATATGCTGTTTAATTGGGTAGGATGCACTGCCCGGAAGCATAAGGACTGCTTCAATTGTGTAGGTCGGCCCAGCCTGCTGGCTTTGAAGAGATGAGGCGGAAACCCAAGAAAGAAATAAGGTCCTGGACGTTGAAAACCCTAGCTCGCCGCACACAGTGGTAATACCGTTGGTGTTGTTGTTGATGATGACCAGGCGCGACGATGTGGCAAGTTGGGTGATGGAAGGGAACTCTGCTGGGTTGTGGAAAATAGGGTGGGTGCGTTGCACATATTGTGGTAGGGAATTGAATACTAGAAGGGGCAGATTCTCTTGTGACGCGAGATGGGGGACAAGAAGATCAGAGAGGGCGCCGTTCAGATGTTGTATTTGAATGCGAATGTGAAGAAGAGAGAGAAAGTGGGAGGCAAAGTGGAGGGAGAAGCGAGGATAATGTCGGGCGGCAAAGCAAACAGGCAAGGCAGGCAAGGCGGGAGGAGAGGCAGGCGGACGGTGGGTTTGTCTGTTGCCGTGGAGCCACTCGCAGTGACGCACCTTCCTTTGTCTGGGTGGAGGCGCAGCCGCTAACGAGCGAGAGATGGGGTGCCTGATGGTTTCTTAGTCAAGGGCGAAACGTATGGCGGGGCTCTCCGTTTCTGGCGGTCCATTCATATTCTCACAGCCAGACGAGCAGTATCAAGCTCGTTTGCCTCGACAGACCTCCATCCCACCAGCCATATCTCAGCTCCGATCATCCTGCATATCAAGGCTCCAAAACCGGGTCTTTTTGCGAAGAAAGAGGTAATTACGCTGCCACATCAAAGGAGCTGGCTCCCATTTGCCGCGGCGTCTAGTTGTCTTCCCTTATGCTTCTTGCTAGCCATGGGTCCTCAACGGGCAGGTTCATGGATCCGAGTGCTGCACACCATCGCTTTCGATCACCCACATCTATCCTTACAAGGCTAACCACAACTTTGAGACCAGTTGCCTCTGCTTACTCTTTCGCCCTTTCCGGCCTGGCCTACGAAAAAAAACCGAGATACCCAGTCGACAAGATGGCCGACGTTGATATGGCTGATGCTCCACCCTCTGAGACCATCGTCAAGAAAAAGACTGTCTCTTCGGCTGATGCTGGAAAGGCTGTGGAGCTCAGGAAACGATTCGAAGTAAAAAAGGTGCGCCAGTTCAGTATACAATAACTTTGTTTGCCTCTCGGCCGGACAGACTGGTTGCTGGAGCGCACGCTGCGCCGGAGCTGACAAGGCATGGAAACTCATAGTGGAACGCCGTTGCCTTGTGGGCATGGGACATTGTCGTTGATAACTGCGCCATCTGCAGAAATCACATCATGGACTTATGTAAGTCGACCGCCTCTTGTTTTAACACATGTTTTGCATACAGTAACTGACGAGGCTTTTTCACACTATCACAGGCATAGAATGTCAAGCAAATCAGTCTTCGGCCACGAGCGAAGAATGCACTGTTGCCTGGGGCATTTGTAACGTGAGTTTTCCCTTGTTTGTGACCTATCGCACTGGCTGTCGTCGCTTACTGTAATTATAGCACGCCTTCCACTTCCACTGCATCTCGAGGTGGCTCAAGGCACGCCAGGTGTGCCCTCTTGACAACCGCGATTGGGAGTTCCAGAAGTATGGTCGTTAGAAGTCACGCACTCGAGGGTGGACGCGGCGGTTTGGGACACCGGCAAGAATGAAATCAAGCAAAGTTCACAACCGCTACAGCAACGCTTTGTGCAGTCATGCTCGGTTCCAGAAGTGACAAGACAGGTTTCCTATCAAAGGAGAGCGACGAACTTTATGAAGTTTGCCTGTTATTTGGGAAACGTTCATACACATGTCCCAGGCGTGGACAAACAGACAATGATGACGAACCCATTTTCTTATCTTGCTATAAGCTTCCTGACTTTCTTGTCACGCTTCAGCTCCAACTTCCTCGCGATGTATTGGTGTTGTATCGTGTGCCGTACTCATTTCTCGTCGAGGACCACTGTTTGGGGTATGCTGATGTTGCTGGGCTGCCCTCCGGCAGGTAGCCACTTCACGGGGTTTTTGTTGAAGAAAGGCCAAGCCGGAAGGACAACGAGGAATGTCAGAGCGGTGCCGCCGAGAGCGATAAACAAAGACAGTTTGATGTCCTGCAGAACGTAGCCGACAAGGAAAGCGATGGCCTGTCAAGCTCGCCTCATAGTCAGTTATCTGGTCGGTAACTTGGTGGGGGGGGGGGGATATCTTACGGCCACGGCAGAGAGGAGGATCGTGGCCAGCGAATCGCACAATCTTTGGCCCTCAAAGTCCTGTGTGATGGCAGTATCAGTCAGTGTCAATTACAAGAGTGTAGGCCGGTCGCTAACTCACGATTTGTCCCTCGAACAACCCATCCTCGTACCCGGTCGAGCAGTTGGTCTGCCATGATGAAACACGTTCTCTTTTGATTCTTCTAATATGTAGTCGTAGAGTCTGTATTCGCAGAGGGGAACTGCGAACAGGGTAGTCTAAAGTAGCTTAGAGAGCTTCGTGGCATGAGCTGTACATAGTTGGTGCGTTCTGACAGTAGAGAGCTAAGCCGCGGAAGACACATATCATTACACGTACACGTGACCGCGTTGTCGATGTATCTTTGTGTGTCTAACTGCAGCACAGATACCTAAGGATACTCGCTCCTTATACCCACCCACTGTGTCACCCCTGACACCTTGCGGCTGATGCCAAGACTGTGATAAGTAAGAGAACCTGCAGCAGATACTAATCTGCATGTCTTTACGACGTAGTTGTTACCACTGAATGCCATATCGTTCTCGACGCTGCCGACTGTCGATTAATACACCTATGTCTCGATACAGTCGCTCGGGGTTTCCCCCGACAGTTTATGATGATTCCGTGTTTGTACGGAGTAAGATACTCATTGTATAGCCAGGTCAGCGAATGGGTTGCCTCTTCTTTGCCACGGGCATTATGCCAAAGTAATCTATAGGAGGACGGAGTACTCCGTAGTTCCATTGTGCTTACGACGTACTTAGAATACGGGGTAGAGGATCAAATTTGTTATTTAAAAGATAGCATGACAGGCAGGGGAAATAGTGGCCAACATAGGACCGCTTTTCCTATACGGAGTAGGGACATGGAACATTGAAGGCACCTGAAAGAGGGAGAAAGGCCCAAAATACTTGGGGCGGGGCCCTTACCCGCCCCCCATCACAAGATTTTCTCACCTACGGAGTACATAAGCGGAAACAAAGAAAAATAAAAGCCTCTCAGTTCCTTCGCCGTCAGAGTACAATTCTTTTCTCCCAACCCTCTTAGCCTTGGCTTTCGCATACCACGCAAAACGCCTTCGACTATCTCTTTTACTCCTCCGATGCGAAGAATAATTAATCTCGCGCATTAGTTCTATCTCACCCACAGATCTCCTTGCGACTCCTTTTCAAACGATTTATCTTGGGACTCAGCTTAAACCAAAGCAACCGCTCTATATATCCTCGAAGCCAGCTGCCTTACAGCCGGTGCCTTTGACTCGCTCATCCCATATCGACAGATTAACGATCTATATATACATTCTCCCTGGCTACCTTACGGCTATTTGTGTCCTCCCTTCTCCATCCTTCATCTCCCCATCCACGACGACAACCTTCGACTCTCAAAGTGCGCCGAACCCCATCGCTGACGAAGAGTCCCGCTCCAACGCCGTCCCGGAACGACCCTACCCCTTTCCCGCTGGATTCCACACAAATCGCAAAGTTGGCGGGACGTAACGCGGCTCGACTCACCCTGTTCCGTTCACTCCTCGGCCCAAAGTTCTGGGCCTACAGCGGAGTGGACAAGAAGCCTCCATAACTCTACCGGCTTCCTCACCTGCCTTTGGCTGATACTACTCAACTCCTCACTTATCGCTTTCATATTCTCGTCTCCTACATTGCTGTGTTGATCCACACGCACATCGGACGAAACAGGGGAAACGAAATATCCCTGACCATTGCGGCGAAACGCCGCATGCCGCTGTCCGCCGGCACATCTCCTACGTGAATGGCTTCTCCTTAGTGAAATCCAGGGCTCTGTTTCGGAGTAAGAGAGCTGATCAACCTCTTATTCTGATCAACTTTAATGAAAATACGATTGTGGAAGCCCGATACTACTTTCCATAAGCACCCTATAATTAGATCGTCGATTTCCGGTTCGCGCAAGCAACAATATGTCGGACCACGAAGAAGAAACCGGCATGGATACTGGGTATGACACCCCTGTCCCGGAGCTGGACGACCACCGCAACCGGCTGCCAACCACACAGCGAACTGAGCGGCCTCGCCGCGGCACCTTCGACTCTCTATATGGACAGCATATGGAGCATGGAACTCGCCTTTCCTCTGATCACCAGGCCGGCGTACGTGTTCGTGACTTTGAAGAGGCCGTGGATGACGGTGATGCCCCAGAGGACTTACATGAGGCCATCGGCTCTCGCCGTCTTACCTCTGGAACTGTGCGCACGGAATCTCCGCCAAACTCTGTTAAGGCTTTTGCGGAGGCTCGTCGCCGGGAGCGTGACATGTCCTTCTCTGAGCAGAAGCCCGAGAAAGACGATAATGTTGAACCACCTCACCTTCAGAGGGTGGCTTCGGTTGCAAGCCGCCGCAGCCTTCGCAGCCGCGCTCATACCGTGGACAATGATGCGTCTAGTATGGCGTCTACCAACTCTGCAGAGGAGGACGTCTGCTTTCCCGTTTCCGACGAGCATCGGCGTGACCAGCTCCGCATCGACTATGCCTATCTCGAATCATTCATGCAAGAAGAAAGGGAAGAACGTGAGGAGGCTCGTCGGGACCTGGAAGCCCGCACTTTTCCCGACCTCCGGCCCCAGATTTCTGCAACTGATTCGATGAATCCTCCGCCGATGGTCACCTCCGACGGCGACTTTGTTGGTGCCACAGCCGGATCCACCATCGAGTATGAGAAGGAGCAAGCTGCCATCAAGGCAGAACACCAGCTGCCTGCAAAGCCGGTCCAACATGTCGACCCAAACCGGTTCAGCTTTTTCTCCTCAGCCTGGGAGTCTACCATCCATGCCGCGGACTTTTCAGACCTTGTGCTTCCCGGAGAGTCCGTCCGTGGCCTGTTCACCTTCCCAGAGGGTGAAAGTGACGGGGTCTGGTGGTTAAACGTCAACAGTCCGACCGAGGACGAGGCGCGAGCCATTTGTCGTGCTTTTGGCATCCACCCCCTCACCAGTGAGGATATCACCCAACAGGAAACGCGCGAGAAGATTGAGATCTTCCCTTCTTACTACTTCGCGAGCTTCCGGTCTTTCAACATTGTCAAGGATGAAGATGGCGAGATAGAGTATGAGCCTTTCCATACGTACGTCGTCGTCTTCCGTGAGGGCACTCTCAGCTTCAGCTTTGCACCCAACACGCACGCGTCGAAGGTGCGGACCCGTATCGCCCTGCTGAAGGATTACGTTGCGTTGAGCAGCGACTGGATTTGTTACGCTTTGATGTAAGACTGTCCATATCAACTGCCCCGTTGTTTTGACCGAGTGCATCTACTGACATTGGCTTCTAGCGACGACATTGTGGATTCATTTGCTCCCACCATTCACGAAACTGAGATGCAAACTGAGAGACTTGAAGATGAGGTGTTCGTTGCGCGAACAGACGACATGCACGACTTTCTTCGGAAGATTGGCAACACCCGCAAGAACGTCATGGGCTTGATGCGGCTGCTCGGTGGCAAGGCTGATGTTCTGCGTGGCTTTACGAAGCGCTGCAATGAGAATTACAACGTGACGCCACGCATGGACATCGGCATGTACCTGGGTGACATCCAAGACCACGTCGTCACGATGATGAACAACTTGATGCACTGCGAGAAGATGCTGTCCCGCACCCATAGCAACTACCTTGCTCAGCTATCCATCGACAGCATTTCGCAGGGCACAAACACCAACCGGGTTCTCAGCAAGATCACCTTCATTGCGTCCATCATTGTTCCCCTGAATGTTGTTACTGGCCTGTTTGGTATGAACGTCGCGGTCCCATTCAACAAAGTTGAAAACCTTCACGCCTTTACTACTATTGTTGTGTCTCTGGTTGGATTCTGTATCGTTTCCCTGGTTGTGGCGCGACGTATGAGATATATCTAAGCAACTCTTGTCTTCTGTTACTACGCGTTTTTCTTCTCCTATTGGCATACTCGTGATTCGGATTTTTCATATATCAGTCGGATGGGTTTCTTAAGAGGCTGGCTGTTTGGCTATGTCTCGTAATGTAACAGATTAATATGGCGGTGGAGAATAAGGACCATGTATAAGCTTTCCCCTTTGGCCGATGACTAGCTATTAGATAAAAAGAAGACATTAGATTTGGACTTCATGCTGTCTAACTTGTGTTATACTCGGTCTTACTACTTCGTAATATGTAAGGCTCACTCCTTTTGCATACGTTCCCGAGTCTCGTGCTGATAAGATAAGAAGATGTCGTCAATTTTTTAACTCGTCCGGTCGACAAACCACCAAGCGGCCACAAAAGTTACAACAGCGGACAAGAATTTTGGTTGGCATAAGAAGACGCAATTCAGGAGATCAAAATGGACGCCTCACCAGTAACTCTCGACCAGAGCAACCTCGACCGTCTCTCTGACAAAGACAAGACGGAGCTGCGCCAATTCATCGCCAACGAGCAGCAGCGAACTAGGGTGCAATCTCGTAAGTAACATACCTTTGTTGTCTGCGTACTTCAGCTTCAATTGATCTTGTTTCTGTTACCATATCTGACGCTTCTAGAAACCCATTCTCTTACGGAGATGTGCTGGAAGAAATGTGTCACTAGCACGATCAGGAGCAAAACCCTAGAAAAGGGCGAAGAGGCATGTCTAGCCAATTGCGTGGACCGGTTTCTGGACATGAACATTATGACGGCGAAGCACCTGGCGAGCATGCGCCGCCCATAATCGGCGATCCTATGGAGGCAACCGGACGGTTCGAGCGGCGACGCTCGCTGGCGCTGGCTTGCGTACGGGGACATGGTATATACGAGTAACGGCAGTGTAGTAGACGGCTATGGGTTCTTACCAACAAAAACCGGACTGCTAAGGCTGGTACATGAGTGGTGGGAGATAACACCAGCATAGACAAAGCGGTATCCAACTCACCTATAAATACAAATAAATACATATCAATTTACAATATTATAGCGCCAAGACATTGTTGAACGGACATCACATTGGGGACATGGATGTGAGAGGAAGAGGCAGTTGGTTCTTTATTTTGGTATCGACAACAAAAACCCTCTTAGAGCCATATTCTCAGGCGTGGTTTAAAATCTTTGAACAAAGAGAAAGCGTTTATAAACTTTCACATTCCGTACCGGGTCCCTTTTATCCATCCGACAAACGCTCACGCCGAAAATAACGCGGGAAAACACTCTCCAGGTTTCCACCCATTTTTCAAGTTCATTTTTCATTTTTATTACTTTGAGACGAAAAAGTGCTTACACAAGCGCCAGCTTGGTAGCAGCAATGTCGAGAGCATCGACATCGGGCGTCAGGCGGGCGTATGCCTTCTTGGTACCGTCGGGGCTATTGTTTTGTTAGAGCACATCCTTTTGTAGCCTCAGCGACCTGAAAGAGTTCTTACCGAATCAGAGTGTTGATCTTGACGACATCAATGTCGTACAGCTTCTTCAGGGCCAGCTTGATCTGGGCCTTGTTCGCCTTGATGTCGACAATGAAGACGAGGGTGTTGTTCTCCTCAATCTTCTTCATGGCGCTCTCGGTGTTGAGCGGGTGCACGATGACCTTGTGCTCGTCCAGACGCGGTGCGTGGGGGATGGACTTGCGCGGGTACTTGGGCGCGCGAGACAGCTGCAGGGTCTTGGGACGGTGGAAGCTGGTCGTGTACCGGGCCTTCTGGGCCTTGTGGGCGTGCACCTGCAATGTTGTTAGCAATTTGAGCTTTCGAACGGTGGGAAGTAGAGAGGCAACGTACACCCTTGAGGGCGGCCTTGGAGGCAGCAGTGGCCTTCTTGGTGCCCTTCGACGCTATGAACAACAAACCGCAATCAGCAATCGCTCTTGGAACAGAACTCGCAAAATCTGCTGCTGCTGTGGACGCAGAGGAAGGAAGTGCAGTATAGTTTGCGATCTCCCTTCCCCTTCCCTCCCCTCCAACCGATGCCTCTGACGACTCTCGATTTTCACTCCATATCCGGCAAAGGACCTGAAGTTCAACAGAAAAAACGTGTGCGACAAGTCGGTAGGAGGGGAACCGATGCAGAGCTTTCGTTTGGAGTTGATTTCACATGGCGGGAGTCGACGTTAAGAGGACGGTTTGGTCCCCGTCATTTCAATTATATACCTTTCTTTATCTCCTTCGGTGCCATCTCGAATGATTTGCCTGGGGTGGTTGTGAGGGTCAGTTGAGGTGGTCGAGAGAAGTTTGGTCAAGAATTGTTAGATTCCAAATTTTTTTTTGGCGAATTTCGATTATTTTCCCTGTAGTGGATTTTGGGCCGCTTAGGGTTGGATATTTGTTAGTGTGTGCACGTGTCGGACTTGATGACTGTACACTCGTTGGATGACTTGGTATGTACTAACCCGATGTGTCGACCAGGCAAATTTTAACAAAAGATCTTGGTGTCTGTCGGTACCAGTACTCCGTATTTGTATTAGTCATGTTTGATATGTCTGAGGCGAGAAAGCGACTTTTCATTTGACGTGACGGCTATCTCAGTCGTGAAGGATTGAGCTCAGTATTTCTGTCTCATGGGTGCAACACCTCGGACGAGGACGTCACAACGTCCCAAGAGCTTGGCTGCTGGCCGCCCGCCCACAGCTCGGAAGCCCAAGTCACTCTCGCGCAAGGCAACCAAAAGACTCATTAACACGCATCACCAACTGGAAAAACGGCGACAGCAAGCTTTGGCCTTATCCGACACGAAGACGGCAGCACACCTGGAGGCCGAGATTGAATCTCTTGGGGGTCTCTCAAAGTATCAGCAGGCCAGCTTACAGGGCCAGCGTCGTGACCGTGGCGGCGATAGTTCGCGCGTTCTTATGCAATGGCTCGGGGTAGGCGAATCCAGGACAGGAGTGCCAAAAGCTCCACCGGCCTACTTGTTGGAGTCTCCATTGCGGATGCTCGAAGTCGGTGCGCTCAGCCCTGATAATGCCTGCTCGGCCAGTGGCTGCTTCCAGATGGAGCGAATTGACCTAAACAGCCAGGGCCCCGGAATCCTACAGCAGGACTTCTTGCAACGGCCTCTGCCTCAGTCCGATGCTGAGCGGTTTGACGTGATCAGTCTGTCTCTTGTGCTCAACTATGTACCACAACAAAACTACCGTGGCGACATGCTTTTGCGCTGTCTGGATTTCCTGCACGAGCCCGGAAGGGTTTCGACGGTGGTGACAACGACCGCAACTTCAGGACCAGCATCCGCGATTGTGGAGGATGCTGACATTGGTCGGCTGTTTCCCAGTGTTTTCATGGTGCTTCCAGAAGCTTGCGTTACGAACTCGCGTTACCTGACAGAGGAGAAGCTTACGCGCATGATGAACGCTCTCGGCTTCGACTTGCTGGAATCCAAGCTCTCCCAGAGGCTGGTGTATTACCTTTGGAAGAGGAAGAGGCCAAGACCAAGTTCTATTCCGAGCTTTTCCAAGAAAGAATTACGATCTGGAACAACAAGAAACAACTTCTCAATCGTTCTCCAGGGCACTTGATGCTGTTAGTACGAGAGAACTCTTATCTCTTTCTCCATGGCGCTCCAATAACGAACCCCCTCATATTACTTGCCCATTTGGAGAGTATGGGTCAGAAGAGCTGAATGCTGAGCAAGAATCTCTCGCCCTAGTACCAGCACCATGTTTGACTGCACGAGGTGTTCCTCGTGTCTATAAGCCTTTTAAAGCAAAAACCATTCGCAGCTGTGTGATTAGATGGCACTATGCAACTTCTAATTTTTTTTTTGGTGTGATGCCCAAGAAGGTCGCCCAAACTTATATAACTCAATCCAACACAAGAATTCGAAGCAGCTACGGAGTACAACCTGTTATAATGTACGGCAATTCGCGAGTATCTGCTACTCGTCGCGAAGCCACAATTTTGGGCTTGTGCATTATCCTTGCACAAAAATTGACTCACACTTTCACCAGAACTGAGTACTAGCAGCGAGCATTAAGCTCTTCCCTTTTCCTATGCTACGTATATATTCGGTTTGCGCATCGAATACATGTGGGAGCCAAGGGTCGGCAGCGACAACATAGATTCGATTGGAAGCTCGCACGTCAGCGAGACCAGTAGAAGACCAGACTCGTCCAGTCGTTGTCCGACAGCTCATTTATCGAACGCCTGTCGCCGGGGACAAGCTTGTGTCTCCGTTCTATGGCTTCCCGGAAGAGCTGTCCGCTGTCCTGCTCGTTGCCCATCATTCTGAGGGCACGGCCCTTTGTCCATAACGCGCGAGCGGCTTGCGCGTCCCTGTGCGGCCCGGCCGTGAACGCCTCGATGGCACAGTCTAGGTTCTGTCTGCAGGGCAACGACAGTGATTAGTAAGCGTATTTCTTGGTGCAAGGAATCCTGCTGAGTACATTGCTACCGGCAGATCGCCTATCTGCATCAGATCCTCGGCAACGCTGTAGAAGGAGTCACCAGAGAAGTGGTGCTTGTCGCCAACGATTGCGCGAATGTTGGTGAGCGCGCGCTCGTGGTACCGGAGGGCTTCGGTAAAACGGTGCTGTCCTCTGCGGATGTGTCCCATGGCACGCCAGATGTGCCCCGACCTGGGAGCATTGTCAGCACGGGCCCGGGAGCGGTCTCTGGGAGGAGTCGGGTACCTACTCTGTAGTGGTGGTGTCGTCCGGGCCGAGATGCCGCTCGTGCTCGAGAAGGGTGGGCATCAAGTAGTGCTCGGCCTGGCCGGGTCTTCGCAGCAGCAGGCAGAGGAGGGAGATTGATATAGCGGGAAAAGTGCCGCTGAAGCGCGGAGGATCCGTGCAGGCGCGAAAGCCTGCCAGGCTTAGCTGGAAGCTGCGGAGGGCATCCTCGTACCGGTCCTGCCGGGCGAGGCAGATACCCATCTGGTTGTGTGCTGTAGCCAGGGCGAGCTGGTCGGCCGGCCGGCCGTACTTGGCGATGCGACCGCGCAAGATGTCCTGCCATATCTCTGCGTCTCGTGCCCCGGAAGAGGAGCCGGTGTGGCAAGCCGCGAGCGACAGGTTGTGGTGTGCCTCGCCCAGCCAGTGTGTGGTTCGCTCCTCGTCCTCGTCTTCGTCCTCATCACCGGCTCGGCCACCGGCCACGGCCTTTTGGAGAATGCGCTGGGCAAGAGACGAGAGCGCTTCCGTCCGGGCAGGGGCGCCGCGCTCGGTCATGTGCCATCCATAGCTGCAGAGGAGGCGACCGATGGTGGCGGTCCCGTTGTATCTGCCGTCGCGAATAGCCTGGCCCAAGAGCGCCTCCAGCCGGCAGATGTGCGGTGCATACCGTTCAGCCTCGGGCACCCGCCAGGCTTGGTTGCGGTCGGGATCCGTGCCCGAGACGTATGGCCAGGCCCTCGACAGCAGCACGGCCGCGGCCGCGCAGGTAGAATACAGCATGTTGTGGTCCATCTGGAGGCGGACCACGTCCAGCACGAGCCGGTGTGCGCGCAGCTCGCCTGTTGCCATGTTCCGCACGACCAGCGACGCGCGCAGAAGCTCGCTCCGGGCGGCAAAATAGCCGGCTGCCTGTCGCGGGTAGTCGGGAGGCAGCACGTCCAGCTCGGCGCTGGCGGGCTCGGTCTCGGTGCCGCGCAGCATGGATTCCGAGATCCGGTCTGGGTCCAGCACGGAGAGCAGCCGGAGCAGCGCTACGGTTGACTTTCCGAGCTTTTCGATGGCCCACGCCGTCGCGATCGTGGATCCGTGTGCCGTTTGTGGGCCCGCCATCGACGCCCGGAAGCCGTGCAGCTGGCCGGGATCATGCTCATACCACTGCTCAAAGTCGGCCAGCGTCAGCTGGTGCTCCCGAATGCAGGCGCTCATCAGAAACAGCGCCTGTGGCACGCCGCCCAGCACGTCCGAGATGCGCCTGCTGGCGTCGACCGCGCCCGCCTCCCCCCCTCGTCCGGACAGCTCGCTCAACATGAGGCCGCCGACCGACGGCGCAAACGGCTCGAGGTGCTGGCCGCGCTGCAGCCGGTACGCACCCTCCTTCACATACGGGATCCGGCTCGTCACTAGGATGCAGCCCGGTCCCTGGTCGGGCAGCCACTCGTACAGCACATCCGGCTGCTCCGCATTGTCAAGCACCATAAGCCATGTGCCCACATCCGCCTGCACTGCCTGGCCGTGCTCGTTGCGATGACCTGCTGGTGCGGCCAACCAGCCTCGGACAATGTCTCGCGCCGATACGTCGTCCACGCTGTCTGGCACTGGCACGTGACTTAGCTCCTTGGCCAGCACCGAAAACTGAGCCCCCATCTTCTGCGCCGTGTCGGCATAGAGCCAGATGACGGCATCGAAGCGATCGCGTCGCGAATACAGATACTCGATGGCAATTTCTGTCTTTCCAATGCCCGCCATGCCGCTCAGGGCATATGTCTTTGGCGTGGCAAAACCCTCTGCCTCTTCGTCTTCTTCTTGTGCTGGACGGGGCGTCAAGCCAAACGCACAGTCTATGGCCTCAAGTTCGGCTATTCTGCCGTAGAAGTTTCTGTTCCTCGTGACGGACCCGGTGTGCGAGAACGGGAGTCGTACCTGCTGCTCCAGTATCTCGCCCGCGCCCGTCTCTAGGTCCAGAGGGGCCTGGCTGGTGACGTTGCTCAGCGTGCTCTCAGGAGTATAGATCGCAGGCTCGTTTTGTCCCGACGACTTCATAGCGAACGAGCTGACGCTGCTTCTTGTTCTCAAATTTGCGTTTGCGTATCGGACCGTCTGTGCGGCCGCCGGACGAAGGGCGACCTCGACTGCCTTGGGTGCCTGCTGGACAAAGGCAGAGAAGAACTCGACCACTCTACCGTACAGTGGCTCGCCCTCGTCTATGTCGCATAGGCCCATGTGGTCTTTATCTGCCCCGAAAAGGGTTTCGCCCTTGGTGTCGATTTTCACCATGGCTTGCGTCACGAGCTGTTTCTAGTCAGCATCTCTAAGACATAAAAGCATTGTCAGAATCAGCGATACTACTCGCCATTTCCGTCTCGACCCTCGAATTCTTAAAGAGCAGAACCTTGCGCAGGTGCCACGAAGCCTTTGTCTCTCGCTGCTCGTAAACAGACAGTATCGGTGTGTCGAGATAGACGCCTTCAAATTTCTGACACGTGGTGATGATGCTCTTCCGCTCCGAGTCGTCCATGTTGTCCTTCTCAATATCCCTCCGGCTCGCCCGCATTAGCGACCGGGATATCCCCCATCCAGCACACGTGTCGGTGACCAGGTGCGGAGTGCCCAAGAATATTATCCCGGCCGTGGCATCTTGGTATGCTTGACGCAAGCTACCGTGCTGAGTTAGAGCCTAGCTCGGGTATGTGGTCAGCCTAATCGGCATGCTTCCCTTGGCTGCCCAGATCAAGAACCGAAAGAACCGACGGACGCCCACCTTTTTCAGCACCAAGCCACCAAGACTATGACATATGAACAGGATCGGCCTCTGGTTGAGCTGTGTTCCCTGTCAGCCTCACAACTCCAAAACCTGTGCATCATGCCGTTGATGCCGTACTGTGGGAACGGAGCGGTGCTCCTCCAGACCTGAGAGCAGGGCCGAGCTCTGATTCAGAAGTTGATCCCAAAGAGAAGACCCATCCACTTCCAGCTGGTAGACGAACAAGAACACCCGGACGTTTCCAGCTGCAGATTCCTCAAGGGGCTTGACCCAAGCACAGCTGCCCTTCACTCTACCTGGCGTGTTCTCGTTCCAGATCCCTGGAATGACGACAAAGCTGTCCCATGTGAGCTTGGTTCCCGGCCTGATCTAGACACATCTACGTACTCTACCCCCGGCTCTGCAGTTCCAGGATCAGGATATGGCTGCACAAGCATTACTTTTCCAGGCCGCTGGAGATCCATATCGGCTTCCTATGTCGCCAGTCTTTGCTTTTGCTCCCCAAATTGGAGGTGAAGCTTGTAGGTTCAGGTTCGTTTACGGCTCAGACTCTGCACCGTGTGCCGTACGACCTTTGGCCACACACGGTTCTGGTGTACATTGTACAAGGCCTGTGTTTGGCCTGCCTTGTCTGGACACCACCAGCGTCCAAGCCGACAGCTGATGCACTGGCCACCACGGGACACGTTTGTTCTTGGCAGTAAGCATCCTCCCTGTACCTAATCAGCCCGTCCGGGCGTCACCGCCGTCTCGGCCGTGTTGTCCATATCAGACAATCACACACTTCCCCAAGTCAGGATTTGGAGATGCGCGGTGATCCAAACAACTTTCCGAGGCTCTCGCACCTGCACCTACCGTTTGGAAGCCATGGAGGACAAACATCCCGCATCTCAAGATGTCAATACGACCATGTGGTTTCTGAAGGAGAAGGTGCTCTACACGACTGTGAAGCCGTACTGTCTTGCCTTCACTCCGGAAACCGATGTCCCTCGAGACAACATAGAGCGACACGAAGTGCCCGTGGGCGTCCTGGATATACGGGGCAGACGGGAACCTCTCAACTTTCATCACAATGGCTTCGCAATCTTGAACGTTCCCGAAGTCCCGACTGGGATGGATTGGTATGACGTGCAGAGCGTTAAGGGCCTACGCTATCCGCAGATTGTGTCGGAGATTGAAAGGGTGTTTCCTGGAGGCCGCTGCATACCTCTTTCTCACAAGGCAAGTACTCGAGCTCGCATCTCGAATCTCTTGTCATCCTCGTGATCCTAGCACATATCTAATGGTGCTCTTCCTGCTCAAGATCCGAAAGCGGGACGCTTCTTTTCCAATTTCGAGTGGAAGCGACTATGAATATGCACAGCCTCTTATAGCCGCGCATGTTGGTGAGACATCTGCCTCCAATAGAGGAGAACCCGCCGTGCGACTGTCTGGTCTGCTTACCCTTGACGCCAGATATGACTCGATCTACGGCGGAGCAGTTGCTTCAGGAGCGCCCAAACATAGCGGACCTCGACATATTTCATCGCAGATACATAATCGCAAAGTGCGTCGCTCGTTTCCGTCTTTTCTTCCTTTCATTTTATTTTATTTTTTGGAAGCCCGTTACCAACTGAAGGTGTCAGCGTATGGCATCCTATCAAGGGCCCAAACCAGGATTGGCCGCTGGCCCTCTGCGATCTGTCCACCGTGAACTCGGACAAGGACCTTGAGATAGCAGACTACGTGACGCCCAAGAGAAGTCGAGAGCACTGCATGGTCTATTTCCGCAATCACCACCGCTGGTGGTACATGAGCCGCCAGAGAGTCACGGAAGCATTGCTGTTCCGCCAGCACGACTCGGAACAAGGCGATAAATCAGGTATGATATGGCAGTGCTACACAGACTACCGCTGCGGTATTGGTTCTAATATTAGGCCCTCCTAGGTGTTCCGCATGCTGCCTTCTTCAACCCGTACGCCGAGCTAGAGATGCCACGGGAAAGTATGGAAACCACTGTACTCATCTATTTCTAAAGGCAGCGCCCGCAAGGTGTAATTATATCGCATGATCAAACCGTGGGACGCAACGATAATGTATGTAGACTGTGAATTGATCGTGTGGATAATTGATAGCAGACGAATTACTGCTGAGCCATGGCTCACAGGTCTGCAGTGTAGGACCCGATTACATAGTCTGAAATGGCAGCAGCTGGGTGATCACGACTCCTTTCTAGACCTCGGTCGACTTCAACCCGACGGGCTCATTTCCCATGATCAGGTTGTTCCCCTTTGGAATGCCATGCGTGCTATCTTCCTCCATGGTTCTCATGTTGCGCGGCGGAATACCTCCGGTCGGAAGCTTCCAAGGTTGAATCTTCGAGTACGACGAGTTATGAAGCTCGTCCACACCTGCAAGAATTGCGTTGTGAGACGTGTTAGTTCCGTCTTCCATTTTGCTGTCTTGTGTCAAGTCAGCAACAGATAAAAAAAGAATGGGGTAAGAGTGATAATACACCTTACATTTTTTGGTTTAAGGTCCTCGGCTGACAGTTGAGGTATTGACGACGACAAGGCTTGCTTGCAACAACAAGATAACAGGTTTTAAGTATCTGGGAGGAGGCAAGCCCGCCTCTTTATTAGCATGAGCAAGTACTAGGCATCCATCCATGTCTGGGCAAATAGACGTCGATCATCCTCGTTTCGAAGTATTCAGAGAGAAAATCTCCGGCGCTAGAAATGCAGATGCACATGCACGAAAACGGCAAACAAAACCATGCATGTTGCAGACGCCGTAAGCAATAAACACGCCACAATAGAAGGATCGTGACGCGTAGGCGAGCCAAGACGCTTGCGGGTGCAAGTACTCAATACCTTTATGCATTCGGTCACCGCATTTAAGCCGTGTTTTAAAATATATTCTTGTCAGCATTGCGCCGCCTACCCTCCTTTACTTGCGCTGTGCTGCAGAGACCTCCCTGGGCAGCCTGAGCTTGTCTCCGTACAAAGCGGGCTCACGATACCCACGCTTGCATTTGCACCTAGGCGTAGCGCCTTTTTGGATCAGCAAAGAATATTTTCAGACACCTCCAGCAAGCCCGGACGAAGGCTTGTATGTCTAAATACCAGGCAATGACAGAGGCTACGAGCAGCGATGCTGCCATGACGAAAAAAGCCCGAATACTGAGGTCTGATCCGAGTTCCTTAAAATTCATACCATAGAACGACGCAGCAAGTGTGACAGGTATGTAGAAGTATGCAAGGACGCTCAGCTTTCCGAACCTATTCCCCTGGTTTATGGCTTCGTCGCTCTGTCTCTGGGCGGTGAGGCTCATAGCAATCGATATACTGTTGTCGCAGTGATCTGAAAGGCGGCTACATTGTCGGGCAAGGCGCTGGTATCGGTCCTCTAGCTGCTCTGCCGCGATGTCTGCCTTTGCTCGCAGGCTCTTCTCCGTTACACGGGGCCATCTCCGGCAGCCACGGGCACGGACAATCTCTAGCATCTCGTTGACGTAGTCCCTGTACTCGTCTACGTGCGCCTTTAACAAGAGGAGCTCGGATGCCGTCTCCGTGTTTCGTTGCTTCAGCACGCTTTGGATGGTATTCTTGAAAAGCGTCATAAGCTGGTCAATCGATGCGGCGGAAAATTCAAAGAGCTCCTGCAGAGCATAGAAGGCATCTTGGGCCATGATGTCTGCCTTCAGATACCTTCCATAGTTGTTGTGAATATGGTCGATGCTCTGTGGGATCCGCTGCTCCGTGTTGTGAGTGGTGGAGATGGTCGAGGTGGTCTCAGCCGAACTAGCACAGATTGCCATTCGTGGACGAAACTGAAACACAGGATGTAGCCTCGTTGATTTTGTTACCGCGGGTTTGTGCAGCCATGGGCCTGTTTTGCTACTGCTGAGATCCATTCCAGAGTCCATCCAAACGATGACTATTGGCATGGGCTGGTAAGCTTCCTCACTACTCTGAGTCGTTGGATAGCACTTACTGGACCAGGTGCGAGTATGGTGTACGACTTCGATCGTGATTCGCTGCTGAATGGAAAGGTTGTGTAAATCGTGCAACGCGAATTGACGCACAATCGAGTGGCCGACAGAAAAGCGGCGGAAATGGGTAAAGTCAGCCAGATGTTCGCTCATGGCTTTCTCACACATCTCTCTCAGCTTCGCCAGTTTCGGATTGTGCTCTTTCAAGTCCCAACAGCCCGTATTGATCACTCGAAGCTGTATGATGTCTCGTGATGGGGACGAGGGCGTGAAGTAGGAGTCGCTCACCCCCGAAGCAATATCATGTTCCAAGCTGCTCGAGATGTCTAGATGTTGGTGAAAGAACTCGGGATCGACAGAGAGTGTGGCTCCAAGACAGCTCAGCCACCGGGCAGAGGGAAATCCGCGTAGGATCACTAGGCGTCCCGAACGAGGGGACCTCGAACGGGAGGAGGAATAATCCTCCGTGTTGCTGCCAGTACGTATCTCTCTCGGCGAATGAGATGGAGATGATGTGACTTCATTACCGTTGTCTCCAAAGCTCTGATTCTGGATGGCGAGAGCCCGATGAAGTTCCTCCGGTCGTGAGAAGAAGCTTGTGCGGGAAGGATCGTCGTTTTTTTTGGTTAAGTCACACAACGTGACAAAATCAAACAGGGGCTGGTGGCCTCCAGAGTCTGGAGGGGGGTTGGAGGCCTTGAAGGGCGCGATAAGAAACCAACCAAGACGACTGTAATGGACTCCGCAGAGATACTCGGCGGAAACATCGCGTTTAGAGTAGTTGAAGACTTTCTGGGCATAAGACTCGTCAGGATCCATCTGGTCTCGGCTTAATTTCATCGACGTTTCAAGCTACCTCGCATAGGTCAGAGAGCAGTTAGCATTTGAAGGGAGTCGACCATCCTCAAGCAATTTATGGTAAGCACGTCTTGGACAAGCAGAGCCCAAAAGGATCACCCAACTGAACTGAGGCTGACAAGGATATCTGGGACGGCCTTGGCTCATCACATCGGGCACTTGGGCTTCTACGCGCACGCTCTGAGAAACTGGACTAATAGCAGCTGATGTTATTGGCTCGTCTGAGCCTCCACGCCTGGTTCTATTCCGTGCGGCGCTCCAAGTATTGTGGAAAGTGGCAAAAGCAAATTGTTGTCCAAGCCAGCTTTGTTGTTTGATCCAATGAGCATGCTCCCAATACGACAAGGCAAACTGTATGGAAGTATGAATACATCGGACACATTATATGAAGTACATGTAAGATGCACGTGGTGCAGGCTATTACGGAGTATCTTACTCCGTACTTGACAGCACATCACTTTACAGCGGTACACGCTATACCCTTAACTTACAGAATAGAGCCTTGGCAATATTATCCTGTGGCTTGTGTAGCTATTTCGGGTGTGCCGTTTTGATGCACCCGGTGGGGGAAGATCGCCCACCCCCGACGCAACTGCCCCAAGCAGCAGAATTTGTTGTTTCATTTATTTCATTTCTCTTCTGAACTGAAGAACGCGGATATTTTTTCCCAGGCATCGCCATCTTCTCCGTAACAACACCCTAGCCGGTCACGTACACATCACGCTGGAATTGATGGATGCTCATTTCGTGACCGTGCCAGATGGCAGTCTCTCTCCTTCCTCAACTGCGGACGCCCTCACGCTGCGCGCAACAGCATGCGCCATTCTCCTAGGCTTCGGCGTCTGTCTCGCCAACATGTATTTCGGGCTGCAGGCTGGTATGGTGAATGCGATGCCGATGCAGAGTGCTCTGCTGGGCTTTGCCCTCTTTCGGAGCATTCAGCACCGTCTTCGTACGCCCCTGTCGCCGATGGAGACCACAGTAATGGAGATCGTCTCGGGAGCGCTAGGACTCGCGCCGTTCACAACTGGCTTCACGTCCTTCATTCCCGCTCTAGAGTTCCTCACTACTCCGGATGAGCATGGTCCGGCCACACGATTCAGCACCGGTCAGCTTCTCCTCTGGTCTACCGCCATGTGCGGACTGGGCATCGTTTCCGGAGCGCCCTTTCGAAACCTCTTCATAAAGCGCGAGCGTCTTAGGTATCCCTCGGCCACGGCCACGGCCACCTTGATCGGCGTGCTTTTCCGGCGAGAAGACATTGTAGCCAGGGCTGGACCCTCAGAGACGGACAACAATACTACTGTTTCGGTTGCTACTGCTTCCGTACCCTTGGTCTCACACCCTGACTTAGACAGCAACCAACCCGCCATAGCGGCTCTCCTATGGTCTTTAGCCGGGTCCTTTGTGTTTGTAAGCCCTCTACCCCTCCTACCTTCAGATATCGTCTGTGTTGCTTACACAGAGAGCAGAGTCTTATAGCGTTCTTCTTGCCAATATTGAAGTGTGTGCCTATCTTTGGCACCCCGGCCGCTCGAGACTGGTTCTGGGCCTTTGATCTTTCTCCTGCCTACATCGGCTATGGCATTATTATCGGACCTACTATCAACGTCTACATGCTTTTGGGTGCTGTTATTGGCTGGGGGATTCTGTCGCCGGTAGCTAAAAACAACGGATGGGCTCCGGGCCCGGTTGGAGACTGGGAAACAGGCTCACGTGGGTGGATTCTCTGGACTGGCATGGGCCTGATTCTTGGCGACACGTTTATAGGACTAAGCTGGACTGGCGTGTGGCCCCTGCTTTCCCTCCTGCTGTCCCACACTCGACAGACGCTAAGCAGGCGCCTAACAGAGGAAGAAGCGCCGCTGATCCTCAACGATCCAGATCTACATGTGCATGTACTGTCCAGCTCTGGCATCGGCACTCGTACCGCTGACCCAGCGGATGACGACTGGGCCGACTCTTCTCTTGTCACGAATGTGCTCTTGCTTTGGGCGGCATCCGGTATTGTAATTTTGTTTTTAGTGTCTGTGCTAGTCGCATTCCAGGACTTGGTTCCCGTGCTGGCGACTCTCGTCGCGGCAGCCTTTCTCCCCCTCGCTGGCGTCATATCCATGCGCTCGCTGGGAGAGACTGACAACGGAGCAGGCTTAGCTATCGGTAAGACGCAAGTCCCTTCGTTGATTTCATGAGCTGACAGTATGGGGTGTGGCAGGGAGACTGGCGCAGTTTATGATCGCGCTGCTCGTCCGTCCGTCCAGCCAGCACTACACAACGGCGAATCTGCTCCTAGGCGGCGCCATTGAATCCGGAGCGTCACAGGCGTCGCAGCACATGGGCGGCCTCAAGACAGCATACATGACCCAGACACCCCCGAGGGCAGTCTTCTACGGTCAGATGATTGGCTCCTATGCAGGAGCTCTCGCGGCAACTGGTCTTTACCGGATGTACACGTCTACGAACACGATACCGAGCGAAGAGTTCGGCGTGCCAGACGCGCATCTCTACATGGTGGCGTCGCGGTTCATTCGCCAGCAAGGCTTGCCCCCTGGCGCAATGGGCTTCACCGTGGGGGCGTTTGTTCTCGGCGCGGTGATGAGCATGCTGAGGATATTAGGTTCCAAATACTGGTGGAGACGATTCGTCCCATCGGGCGTGGCCGTGGCAATAGGTAAAAGGATCCGTTGGGTGTGTAGAGAATACGACGACTAGCATGACCGACAAGCTAATATGTGCTTATAGGAATGCACATCATGCCAGCCATAACACTGCCTCGAGTCGTAGGAGGACTGGTCTTTTTCATCGGACAGCGACAGTTTCACTTCGATAAATTTACCCTATTGTGTTGCGCTACCGGTCTCATTCTCGGACAGGGGCTGTTCAGCTTGGTCAGCCTAATGCATGCTGTACTGGAAGTGCCAGCTGTTGTGATACCGTAGGCAATGATACGGCGAATTGTGGCTCGTGAAGCACGCGTGAAGCACGGGTAGAGTGTGAGCAAAAGGGAAACCTGATGGCAATTCAGACATCTCGGGTATTTCAAGGACCTTAAAGAGATCTTCACAACGGCTTCAGAATGGACAGATACACGCTGCGGCTCGACACCAACTTTGTGCCGGGGCGCCAGGCCCCCGGGGACCTCGGTTCTGAGATCGGACCAGTGCAGCTCGAGGACGGCAGCACGGTCGATGGCGGACACGTCCTGATGCGCGGACAGTGGAACGTAGCGTTTGATCGGCGTCTCGTCGCGGCCGCCCGGCCAGAGGATATCTGGGTCTCCAAAAACCGACACTCGGGATTTTGGGGCGGAACAGGCATCGAGGCCGCGCTCAAGAGCCGCGGCATTCGCACGCTCTTCTTCTCGGGCGCCAATATGGACCAGTGCGTCGCCACGTCCGCCATCGATGCCTACGCTCACGGCTGGGACTGCCTGCTGCTGAGCGATGCCTGTGCCACGACAAGCCCCGACTTTGCCCGCCAGTGCGTTGAGTTTGAGTGCGCCGTCGGCTGGGGCTTCGTCCTGACCTGTCAGCAGTTGGCTGACGGCATCGACAACATACAGACGGCAGTGCCAGATTTCTAACGAGAGGGGAATCGGCCTCGTCTGGAAGACAGTAACACAAAATTGCTCTACATTTTCGCTGTCGGCAATAGGATCGTCACAACAGGGGACCATTAGGAAGCTGTATTCTCCACACGTAGCCCGTTTGAATTTGAAACAATGCAATCGCAGCCTCTGCTTATGAGCTCTAAAGTCCTTCGTTCGTTATAGCCTTTATATATAATACGATATACTTTGGCACATTTATAGATAAATACGTACTTCATGGGCTTTATTCAGGAAGGAATGAAACGGCGTGTTGAAACGAGCCCTGTGGTATAACATAAATTGGATTGTAGCCCCTTGGATATAGGCCTCGAGCTCTTCCGGTTGTAGTTGTTTTGCACACACTGCTGTGGTGCAGCCCGATGCAAAGGTGCTTGGGTCAACGCGAGTATGCCAAAATCGACATACTAAATAGGAGAAATGACTGTATTGTCGTTTCACTCTGTGATAGGTAAACTATGCATTCCTCGTTCTGCGAGTTCGATATGCTCTAAAAGTTTGCTGGCTGCTGTGTCGAAGTCAATGGCAAAACGTGGTCACGGTGACACGGCATTATAACGAGATTAGGCCACCTGAAGCAGCGCTTTCTTTCTGTTCAAAATAAAATACGAATACTCCGTAGAAGCTACTCGGATTGATTCGCAAACTATGTATTCGCAGCTTGTACGACGTAAGCACCTCGTTAGGACCACACAGCATTATTCTGCCAACCTGAGGAGCTGCTTGTGCCTAACCTAGCGGCTGAGTCATGTAGACGGGCGGCGGTCCAGGGTTTGCGCTTCCTAGTTTATCTCGCACGCCTTCCCCACCACCTTCGCCCTACCCATTCGATCTGCACGTCCGGCTTCTCCGCCCACCTACGATGTATCTCACATGCAGAGACTGCCAATTATCCACTTGTTGACCTGCAGCCCTTGATCGGTGGATAGCTGCAAGCGTTAGTAAAGCCCCCAGAAAGAAGGCCACAGCCATCGAAGGTAGGGGAGTGAGGGCAAGACGAACAGGGGTCTTTTGGGAAAACTACAGCGGAAAATTTGTTTCGACCTCTTTCCCTATTAGAACCGTCCTCACATTTGGGGTGGGAAATCTAAAATTATATTCCCATTATGCACTTTTTCGTCTCACCGCCTCCTCACCGCCTCTACCGCCGAGTGCTCTCGTACCAATTTCTAGTCCATTTCGAAGATTCGGGTTGTGCCCAACCTACCCTACAGTCCGCCAACTGCATCTCGTTGTGAGGCTCGTTTCCACGTATCCCACACCGTATTCGGGCTTTTCGCCGTCCTGTATCGCAATGGCCAATGCTTCCGGAAAAGCCATACAGGTGGTCTTGCTAGACATTGGTGAGATGCCGCACAGCCTTTTCTGATATCTTCCTGGCCGGCACGAATGAGATCCGGCTTGCCTTGACCCAGCTGGACAAGCCAACTTGAATGCCACTTTCGTTTCCCTTTTCCTGACCTTTCTATGCAGAGGGTACGGTTTGCCCAATATCGTTTGTCAAGGACATACTCGTAAGACTCTGCTCTGTCTGTTATCTGTATCCTTTGCTTTCGCTTTCTCTTTGTCCGTCCAACCTCGGCCTTTACTCCACCCACCATATCTCCTCTCATCGTGCGTCAGATCGTCACATCAAGCGCAAATTGATATCTCACCCCTGGTCGGTTATGGCGCTACCCAGCCTTAGTCGTGCTTGGAGTAAGCTCTGTCCCAAGACACTTTTTCTGAAGGGGGGTTAAACATATGGTACCATGTGTTATCGCTTGATTTTCATACCCTCGTGGGACATGCGGATATACGGTCGTTTTAAGTGATACAACCAGTTTCCTACTACATCCTATAAAAAGCCACACTTCTGCTGCGTCCAGACTATTGACTGCTATCTCAATCCCCCTTGCCTCTGCAGTACCCATACGCCCTACGTGTCCTGCCCGAGACACTCGCATCTAAATGGGAGAGCCCATCGTTTGCTCCATACCGCGACGCCTTTCCTGCCGAATACCGTGCCTCGCCTGCCGCCCTGACCGCCCACGTACACGACCTCGTTGCCGGCGACATCAAGGCCCCATACCTTAAGAGTCTCCAGGGCCTTCTGTGGAAAGATGGCTATCTCAGTGGTGCGTTGAAAGCACCGCTCTTTGCCGACGTCACGCCTCGCTTGACCGACTGGCACAAGGCCGGCATCGCTCTCGTCATATACTCGTCCGGCTCTGTGCCCGCTCAAAAGCTGTTGTTCCAGCACACGGGCGTGGTGGGTGGCAATAATGATGGCAATGGTTCTGGCACGGATGTAACCCCTCTCCTGAGTGGCTACTACGACACCATCAACGCCGGCCCCAAGACTGTCGCCGCCAGCTACTCAGCCATCCTGGCCCAACAGGAATTGCCACATGCAGACATATCCCCCGATAGCTGGCTATTCCTGAGCGACAATGTGTTGGAGGTGGAGGCAGCACACGCAGCTGGTCTGCAAAGCTACTTGGTGCAGAGGCCTGGAAATGCACCGCTGGCAGCGGATATAGCAAAGAAGCATCGGGTCATTGCCAGCTTTGATGAGATCGACCTGTGAGGAGATACAACAGGGGGTGCAGCCTTCACAACGGGACAAAAAAAACCAATGGGATCTAAGCCTGCTTGCTCCAGTCTATCTTTGTCCGGAAGGGAGTCAGGCCTCTAGCAGGGATGGGGGTTCTTCGCTTTGCTGTCTTTTGCTTCGTGTCTTTGCCTAGCCATACTCGTATATGTAAGGGAAAGGGATCGAATCTTAAACACCCATTACACTAGGAACGTACTTCCACGTACCCGAGGGCACCATGATCTTCGCAGACAGCCAGCGTTGATGCTGGATCACCGGTTGCCGGCGACTTGTCCGGCCGATATCAGCCCGCTGGCCTTGCAGCCGATAAACGCACGGCTCTGTGTTGTCGTGGCAAACGAGCAGCCAATGGCAGCCCGACTAAATGCCAACGGGTTTGTCGCTCTAATGTGTGATCCCGAATTCTATTCCGGTCTCGTCTTTCCGGTCGCAGTCTCAACGTGGACATTTGGTCTAGGAAACGGATTTCCTGATACGACTCGCCTACCGATCTTATCGCTACCCTCACAGAGGCTGTGGAATTGGCCCAGTCCAACCCCCTGATATTGACAATTGGGCTTCATATTTTGCTTGTCGCTACTATCGGAAACGATTCCGACACCAAAACTGGATAAGCTTCTGATCAGGCTTCATCGAAAGTTGGTGGATGCAGCCACACTCCTGATTAAAAGTCACGGGCCTTCGATGCGTGTATCTTGATACCGGTTGCTAGGAATAGTGTACGGCATTGAGATCCACCACCCCGGCCTCATTGCCCTATGGCGGTTTTTTGTGAGCGTTTTACGAAACAAATACAATTTTGACGTCTTTCTCACGTCTATGTCTTTTACGGCTCCTTTGAAGGTTAAACGACATTAGCGAGAGATCCGTAACGCTAAGGACGGCGTTGAAAACCCTCCTGAGGGTTGATAATTTTCTACTTATATGTAATCTTCAGCGAAGCGATCCCTCATTAAATCAAGGATCATACTTAAATTAAAGTGGCAAATATGTACGGCCACGCCGTATGAGAAGACATTACTAGTCACTTCTACTCCGTACTCTGTATAATGAAGGCAGAAAACAATTGTGGATCAGCAGGGGCACTGCTAAAAACTGGGCAACTATCACTACGATGCTGTGATAGCCCTTTATCCCTGACATGCGCAAATCAGTTGCAATTACAGTGTTTTGCTTTCTCCACAGCGAGACAGGTATCAGTTTTTGGTGCTCGTACTGTTCCTTCTTGAAACGATGCCTTCAAATTACACCGAGTGCCGCTCATTGAATCCCAGGCGATTTACTATGTAACGCTGACTGCTTTATAAATCGATTCACTGGGTTTGTGTCCAACAAAGACATCCCCCGTGGCGCAATTGGATAGCGCGTTAGACTGTTAATAAGCAAATCTAAAGGTTGGTGGTTCAAACCCACCCGGGGGAGTTATTTTTGCAACCGAGTATATTTTTTGCTATCCACTTTTTAAATGCTTCTGCCTGTTCCCGTTGTTGTTGACAAGTTCTTCTTGCGTATTGGGAGGCCGAATTACTCCGTCCTGTTTTTCCTTTTCATCAATCATGAAGAAATGTACTCCGTGCGGAGCAGGATTGTATTAGCACAAGGAGCTCACCACGCTCTACTCCATACACGACCAAGCTTTCTATATAAACCGGCAACAGGCCTCCGTGATCGCAGGAAAGACGGTATGAAACCAGCAACTTGATATTGATTCTGATACGATCGGCTCGAGGAAACACCTGCTTTCAACATAATATACTATGCAGGATAATGGATTGGGCCTGGGCAATTGGGCACGACACGGTCAAAACGTCAAGATATCAAAATTGCTCTACAAAGTACGGCTTCGTCGGCGTCACAGCCAGGACAGGCAACCAGCGAAGAACCTATATGCCACACATCCCGTAGAAATGCAGCTTGGCCCCATCGTGCCCGATTTGTGCTTGGTTGGGGTGGTGTTGTTTTTGTGCCGGGTCGTGTGCTTTAGCAGACTGCAAAGTGATGTCTTTCCTCTTAGGGAACATGCATGCATCGTCGCGTAAATCGGCACACCCGGACAACAGGAAGAGCTTCCAATGACTATTGTAACTGTCGTCCGGTGGTCTCATCTGCGGCAGATTGACGACACGGAACGCGGTCTTACGGCGACTCGCATTGCATATGTGCATTTGCACCGCCGGGCTGCACGCCGCGGCCCGTACTTTTGTGAATCACCGGGCAACGCCCTTGGCTCCAGGACCCAGGAGGACTGGGGATGGTGGACAATTCAACAAGAGGAATGCAAGGAGGGGTCCATGTTTACCGTCTACGCACACTGTACTCCGCACCTCAACGGACTATATCTGAAATGGAACCAAGTCGTGAGAAGCGCATGATGTGGCCTTACCTGGTATGCAAACAGACATACGGAGTATGCCGGACTACTTAGTGAAGTGTTGACGAATGCGTTGTTCTGTCACGAGGAATGCTCCTGCTGACAGATGCCCCATGATCGGGGAACCCCTCCCCCCCAAAATGGAGAATTACAGCGGGCTCATCCAAACTGTTTTCGGTTAACTACCCTGCTCTCTTCCAGGCACCTGCTTTCACCCTCACTCTTTCTGCTTTCCTATCCACACTGCCTCGGAGATCGGTAATAGGGCCCCTGAATCATCCTTGTCTACTCGTACATCATGCTTGTCTACTCGTACTCTTATCTTACATACGCACATGCTGTACCTCAAGGCTAAGCAGGAGGTAAGATGTATCGTATCAAGTATAGCCTGGCTTTCCCCCCCTTCTGTACGAGTATCGAGCCTCTGTTCTACGACGTACTCCGTACAGTTCGGAATGCGCTCCACTTGGCGGGAAGCAATCGATTTTACTCCATATTCATGTCGGAAGACTGTGCTTTGCTGCATATGCAGGTGTGGGCTGTTGATATCCCGGTAGCGGAGACGTACCTTGCTCCATACTCCATAGAAGAGGAGCAGCGCAATTGCCGGTAGCTTGTTTGTTTCGTACGAGCACAGAGTCCCCCCCTCCCCTTGCGTTCAACCGAATCATCGCCCAATGCAGTGCGCTTTGTGCTCGGCTCCTGACGTAAGCCAAATGGCCGCGCGGTTCATTGTGCTAGCAGTACGGAGTACAGCCACTGGACCTCAGGAAACTTGCGATTTCTTCGTACAGGTTCACTAGTCCGCGCATGTAATTTGACATTACCGCCCCGTCTGCGAGAACTCGTGACAACTTGTACGACTCACGCCCTCGTCCTGTGTACTCAGGTGACCCCGAGAGCATCGTTGTGACACGTCCGGACGGAACCCGGGGTGGGAGATACGCTGTGGGGGATTGGATATATGCAAAAGGCACGGAGTAGCAGGCGGTTGGGGTGCTGAAACCACAACAGGCCGTTTCTATATAGCTCACACCACGCTCCCCAACCACGGCCAATGCTTTCAACCGAACGTATGGTATCTTGGCACAGATGCATCACCCCGCGATGAACAAAAAGCCGCGTGCATATACGAATAGATAAGTGCAAGTATGTCCCGCGATGTGAAGCAGATACATAGGAGAGCTTCGCTCGTCAGATATCATTGTAGATAGATAAACCGAACTAGCTGGCGCGCTTAGTCAAGCGACTACTCATGGACACCCCTGCATTTTTTTAAAGGGGCAGCGGCGGTAGCTAAATATACGCAGATACAAGTTCACACGTGATATACGGAGTACGGAGTAGGTTTTCAGTAGTACTCGTACGCGTAGCTTGCTTTTAAGGGATGGAATGTGGAACGCAATTCCTATGAAGCTCTCCGACGTAGAGTAGCAATCAGGAGTACTCTAATTTTAACTGGTCTGTTTTTCTACTCAAACTTTCGTTGTCGACACGACAATAGACGCTTCTTCTTACGCGCCTCTTTGGATTGCGAAGCTGAATGTATGGCCCAGAATGCTCTAGGCGGCGACGCCTTTCATTTTCCTGGCATAAAGATAGCGGTCAGTTGGGCAAGTGGATTATTTGTGCATGGGGAGATAGCGAACCATCGAAGTTAAATGCAGGCGGACAGGAGTGCAGGAAGGGCGTGTGGAGCCGACGGGCCAATGGCGCGCGGCCAGGCGGCCGGGCAAGAGCGGTTGCTTGCACATCTTCTTTGTTCATTAGCGTGCGCCGAGCACAGTATATTTTATAGTGCATAAACGTGTCACCATCGGAGAGAACGGAGCAATAAAGCTCTAGAGCCATGTGCACTTCGTACAGTGCATTGCCCGTCTTATCCGCCTGCATTTAGGCAGATAGATACACGTTGGGCAAGCCCCGTAATGACAGCAAGCTCGATCTACAGCGCGACATCGCTACGTGTACAGGAGATTGCGTGGTACACAGTGTGTAGTCGCAACGCCGTTTCAGCGCACTCTCGTCAAAGCATCGCTGGCCAACAGGCAAAGCGTGCAACGAGGAAAAGAGACATTTTGCGGTTGCGCTTTGGGTACGGAGTAGATTTCAGACATTTTTCTTGAAAGGTTGACTACGACATTGCGTGCTCGTTCTCTTTGAAGAGCCGGATGGACGGGTTTGATGGCATTGTCCTGTTTCGTCGCGTGCGCTCCTCAATTCGCCATCGTCGAGCTTAGACCTAAACAGAACCCCATAGAAAGCTGGAGATGGAATATACCTTGCAGATGCAGTGCCTGGAGTGGCAATTCGGGTATCCACTATCGACTGCAAGGTGCCAACGTGTCCCTTTTCGCTTCTGCTTCACGAGAACATGGGATCGTCTGCACTGCCCCTTGCTTTGGGCCTTCACAGGTTGACGCTCACCACCACTAAAAAGACGAGTAGCCATTCCGGATTTGGTGCATCCCATGATACGGAGTACGGCATGGCGCGCCAGCCCAGCCCAGCCCAGCCCCGGTTTTCTCCCCATACCCGTACTACCGTATGAACTCCCGTACTGGCCAAGTACTCATGCTCGGCTCGTGTACTCGTAATTGCTGCTAAAAGCCCAGCCCGGTCTAGGATCAGCCCCCCCCTAATTGCACCATTCCGCTGTCTTCCGGCCTGGTTCTCTCTGTTTCCATGGCTCTCTTGTCCCTCCCACAGGTTCTGCTTGGGCGTGTACTTGCGAGAGCGACTGTGTTATTGCCCTGGAGGGACCTATCATGCACCACACCCGCTACTACCACACCCCCTCCATCGGCGCCCATTTCCTCATCAAACCTGCAGTAGGTCCCCTTCTCACTCCACTCTCCACTCACCGCCCACCCGCTCTGGAGATACTCACCCAACCTGCCTCCACCGCCTTCCCAGCGTTCTCCTCTTTCCTCTTCTCTCTTTCCTTCCCTTTTACCCTCTCACTTCCTCATATCCTAATCCGCATCCAGTCCGTTCTTTCTTCTTCTCTCCGTTTCCCCCCTCTTCTTCGTCAGTCCCTAGTACCCGATCAACGCAAAGAACTATAATAGGCAATAAACCATTCTTCCGACCTTGTGCTGCCTATCAATGCATCTGCCTGCAAAGAGAACCGCGATCTTCTACAACCGGCATCACCCCGTTATCGACATCGCTCTCTCTCTGCACCTTTGACGCAATCGCCTGTTCTTTGTTGTTGTCGGGTTCCTGGTGACTAGATTGATTCCGACTATTTCCCGACTGCCTCCGGCCTCGATATCCTTGTTGACAACGAGCAAGTCCGCAATTCCACGACCTTCCCTCCACTCTCCACAGCATTTTGCACCCCTCATCTACCACCTATATTGGCCTCGACAGAGCAAGAGCTCTTCCAAGCGACCGACGACAACTGTTTTAGTTCTTATCTGCCACTCTGCACTCGCACGTCAGCCCCCTACCGAGAAGCTCCACATCGTCTGCTCGGCTCTTCGCGCTAGTTGAGGCTTGTGATCGTCAGAACACGGCGGGTTGAAGAGTCATACTCTTCTCCTACCTGTTCAATTCGGCACGGCACACCGGCCGTCTCCGTATGGTTACAGCCGACCTCGCAGAGAGTGTACGATAAGATCTCTTGTTGTTTAACTCTCTTGACTCGCCTCCTCCCACTTCACCCTCTTCCTCTCGACGAGTCAGCCCATCTTCTACGTCCCTTCCTCACGTGGATCGTGCTCTCTACCTCTTTGACAACCGTGAACATCTTCTCGTGGCTTATTAGCTACTCGCCCACCATCTGTTCACAAACAAAACACAATTGACACTCCTTTGTCCAATCATCGACCGTTGATCTTACTTCAACATCATTCTTTACTATTCCAATCGCTCCAATGTTATTATAGCGACCTCCCGTTTTTCTCTTTGCACTCGCTCCGCGTTATCTGGGGTGACTTGCCTGATCTTTTAGACAGCAGTACCTTTGATCATTTTTTTGTTTTCACACACCAACACACATGAGCCTCTGACAACGATACGAATATACTGGCGTTCCTTGCATTTATGTCCTCTACACTCTCGCCCGCTCTAAACGCGCACACCAACTTCTGTCAATTTCCTTCACCTCTCTCGACCACCGCACAACAGTCTCGCTGACTCACCGCGAACGCTCGACATACTTGATTTTGTCGACAAGCTTCGTCACTACATAAATACAGGGAGCTTTCAGACTTCCCCGGAGGAACGAGCCTAGTGTTGTGTGTGCTGTCGACTTGTATCATCTCGTCTTTCGACCTATTTCAACTTTCCCCTTTTCACGATCACGACTATATACCCTTCTCTCTCTGTGCTCTTTTTTTGGTTTTATTGCACCGATTCCGCATCGCCATCCATCCAACTACGCTACCGCGCGGTTTCTCTACCTGGATCTAATTTTTCTATCCCTCGCTCAGAACTGCCGAACCTCAGATCAGAATGTCGTGCCTGCGAGAACACTTCCAGTGTGGTATGGTCCTCGACGGACGCTACCGCACTGTCGCACCCCTCAACCACGGCTCCTTCGGTATGGTCTTTCAGGCCAAGAACATTGAGACCGGCGAGAACGTTGCTATCAAGTGCTTGACTAAGAAGAGTGCTGCTGACGAAGCTGGCTTCGAATTTGCCGTTGACGACCAGTCGGAGGAGCTGGTTCTGCACAGCTTTCTGGGCCGGCACCCAAACATTGTCAACCTTGTCGAGTCGTTTGAAACCGACACTCATGTTTACATTGTCCTCGAGTTCTGTCAGCGCGGTGACCTGTACGAGGCTATCCGCAACGGCCAGGGTCCGCTCGAGACCGAGCACGTTCGCCGCTTCATGCTGGAATTGATCAATGCTGTTGAATATATCCACTCGAAGGGCATTTACCACCGTGACATCAAGCCTGAGAATATCTTTCTATCGCAGTCAGGTTCCATGAAGCTGGGAGACTTCGGTCTCGCCACCACTGATAAGTGGACCTACGAAACTACAGTCGGCAGCGACCGTTACATGTCTCCGGAGCAGTTTGACTCGGCCGGTGCTGGCTACTCCCCGGCGCAGGCTGATATCTGGGCCATTGGTATTTGCCTGCTCAACATTCTCTTTTCTCGCAATCCCTTCACGACGCCTACGGAGTCTGACCCGTTGTTCCTCGACTTTTCTCGCGACAAGCAATCCCTGTTCGACGTGTTCCCGTCCATGTCTCTGGATACCTATGAGGTGATTGTCCAGTGCATGAATTTGGATCCGACGAAGCGTTCTTTAATCGGCGCGCGCAATGCTCTGTACCGCTTGGTTAGCTTTACTACTTTGGACGAAGCCCTTGATGAGTTCTGCTCGGCAGATTGTCGGGTCGTCGCCTCCGCTAACCGGGAGCCTCTGCGCACGCCATCAGTCCAGAGCCCTCAGATCGAATGCGGCAATGCTTTTCCATGGGCAAAGGCTTTGCATGCAAACTCGCTGCTCGATATGCGTCAGCTGAGTGCCATTCCTGATAATGAGAGCTGTTACACCGAGGAGCTTTTCTCGAAGTCTGAAGCCACAAACTCTGACTGGATGTCTGCCATGACCGGTGAGACTCCGTCGATGGCTTCGGTCCTCGACTCAAGCTTTGGTGCCTCCATGAGCTCGTTTGCACTCAGCCAGCCGAAGTCGAAACAGCTACAACTGCCACAGTCAGGACGGGCTCTTGCTGACAGGGTGTCACCCATGGCCGGCTCACTTCCAATTGCCATGTCCCGGACCCGCAACGCGCCAGACATGTCACTGGTATTCGGCCGTAAGGATGCCGTGTCCAAGAGCTGGAGTGATATGTGGGATGAAGAAGAGGAAGAGGAGGAGGAGCGTGCAAAACAGCTGGAGGCCCTGAAGAAGCTCAATGCTAGGACCTGGAGCCAGGACGGTGCACTGGATGGTGCCGAGCGAAAGCTGGTCGTCGAAGATGACAACACCCCTCGCCAGGGTTTGTCCCCGGCGACCAAGTCATTGGCCATGGATGCGTCTGTTTCACTGAAGCACTCTGCTCTTGCCAATGTTCATGATGACAGCGCCGATGATCTCTTCTTCGCGGATCCGCTTCAAGACGAGAAGGCTGAGCACGAGCATTCCAAGGATGTGTTTCCTAGCCTTGTGGCACGGTCTCATCTTCCCGACGCTGCCAAGTCGCCATCGGCTTTGGACAAGTGGGTGGCGTTGGGCGAGAGGCGCCGGGCACACACTGGCTCTTCTTCAGGGTCGAAGAGCTCGACATCCCAGCAGGGCTGGACGATGCGCACGGGGTTTCAAAGCGAAAATGCTCTTGGGTACGGCTACAACTCAACATCGGGACATGCTTGGGATCACCACAGCGGGTCTCCTCCTCGCCAGGCACACCACATCACCTCTACCCACAATGTGTCTTCGATTGGTTTTCACAGTAGCCCGAACAAATTGAACGCGGGCAAGGACCGTACCAAGGGATGCCCTTGGAACAAAGGTCGAGGCTGGAATTGGGGCTGGCGCCGGGACAGACGCGTCGATTTCACCGACCTTGAATGGGTTGGTGGCTGGTAGGAAAGGAGACTTGCTCCTTGGCCTAGCCACCACTTGTATTTGGACTAATATTTTTTTTTCATCAACGCCTCTAGGCGACTGGGGTAGGATCTGCTGACTATGGGTTGTCGGTTTCTTTGATCTTTCTGATCTTTCTCTCTCATTTTACATTGTGTTTTCTTACCTGTTTCTTCTCATGTTGGCGGGTATTTTATTTTCATTTGTACAGACCGCATTCATCCGGCATTCCTTGTCGGGTTACAAAAAAAGAGCATGATGGGGAAGGTATCTGACGAAAACGACGAAACCTCAGAATAGGTGCATCTCTTTTATCGCCTCTCTTTTATTTTCATTTCCTTTTTTCTCCTGCATGACGAGACGGCGTTTGGGAACGACTGAGACTGATTGAGAGTCAAACTGGTCGAGGTGTATTTTTCTTCGGAGTTGGAAGCTTTTTGGGGATCACAGTGGCGCACCCATAAGTCAGCATTTCTGTTTGGTTGATGAAATTCGATATAGTTCAAGTCGCTTTCTGCGTATTAGATAGTAACCATAGTATATACCAGAAGTTACCCATTTGCAACTTCAATTGAAGCTCGTGACAATGTGATTGAAAGGAGCCTAGTGTGATGCAAGCCAAACGCGCTAGCGCGTGTTGCAAAGATCAGGAGATATGCATTGCAGATGTCAGCAGATAGCGGAAAATGAAACCTACGTGCTCTGTACTCGGTAGGTGGTGATAAGCCGTTTTGTGATATCTGGTTGGGCGAAGGCGTTCGCGAGCGTTCGCATTAGCTGGTACTCGTACTTTGCGTATCGTGTAATGAATTTTGCAGCTTGGACAGAAATCTCGTGGGAAGCTCGATAGATAAGAGCATATCGAAGATTCGCTTCGAGCAAGGTATTTTAGCTGCAATGTTGTGTCATACAACGTAGATAAAGGACTCTGTTAGTATATTTGCGATGTAGTTTACTAGTATTTGTTTGGTAACTTCGTAACTAGCTCCAACCTGCCTATTCTGCCCTTTCAACCTCGCTCTGTGCTTTCGCACCTACTTCTGTATCATTTCGGGTGTGAGAAGGATTGCGTGTGCACAGATACATTCAATTGCTTATTTGCGACGCCTCGTTCGTCCCTCTCCCAAACAGCAACGGAAACAGCAACGGGAAAGAGCTTGCTACAGCACCGGGCGGCACCTTCTTATCGTGGAGACTAGGTTTGATTATCACGGCAGGCGCTTAGGAACGCGAAAAAGGCTTGAAAAAGGCTTGAAAAACGGGCAATCCTACAAACCTTGGCTGTGTTGGTCAACTTCCGGACCGTCCTCTCTCCTCCCTCATGGCCCCGGCCGACGCGTCCAATACGTCCAGCGGAAACGATGCGGCGGCCATGACGGACGATAACAGCCAAGCGCACGCGGCGGCTTCTCTGCAGCGCAACGACAGCGTATCGTCAGCCGGCTTCTACTTCCAGGGCGTGCAGTTCGCACCCGACGGCGACGGCGATGGCGACGACTCATCTCGGCTGCTGGACGACGGCCAGCGTGATCCTTTCGACGACGGTGATGTGGGCAGCCGGAGAGGGGCAGGAGAGTGGCCTCCCTTGAGGCGGCGAAGGTGAGCTTCCATCTTCTTTTCTGCTGTCTCTCTCTCTCCACCAGAGCACGTGAGCACGTGAGCAGCCTTTGGGAGCATGCACTGACTGGTATTTCGCAGGTCGTCCATTGGAGCACGCCTCGCCGCCCTGACCGAGATTGGAGGTGTCAACAGCATCCGCTCGTTCACCCGGAGCTGGCAGCGTGCGGCTGGCTTCACCGAGGTCATACCGCAGCCGCCGTCGTTTGTCTTTGCCGCCGATCAAGAGCCGATATTCGGCGCTCCGAACTCCGAGGCGTACGGCCGCAGCTTTGTCGACGAGGAAGCTGTGGGGACACCATTGACGTCCGATAACACCCTGCCTTCGGCTGCGCCGTCCGAACCGGGTGGCAGTAATCTGGCTACGGACCAACAGGACGGCCTGGATGATGCAGAGAATGCGGAGCACAAGAGCCTGCTCGGGTCATCCGGGCTGACGCGTGCGTTTCGAGCTGGCAGCACGTCGTCCATCTTTGGGTATCCGCCGCATCTGGCATCCGCTGCGGTGGGGGGTGCTGGCCTCCTGGGCACATCTCCTGTCATTGGCAGCTATGGGTCGCCCGGGTCGTACCGGTCGTATCGGTCATATCCGTACGGCTCTGTCAGCTCGGCAGCCGGCCTGACGTACGACACCATGACCGGCCGCCGCGGCAGCGGCTTGGCGTCTGGATCAATGACCCAAGCGGGGTCGCTGTGGCGGCGGCAACAGCAGCATCAGCATCAGCATCAGCATCAGCATCAGCCGGGCCCGGAGGTAGAGGAAGTGGAAGCTATTGGCGAAGACGTCGGACTGATAGCGACCCTTGACGAGCGGCCGGCCATCCTGGTCAAAGAGGTCGAGGAGGACGGCAAGATCATCCTGACGGTCGAGGGCCAGTCTACGCTGCCGCAGACCATCTTCAACTCGATCAATGTTCTGATTGGCGTGGGGCTGCTGAGTCTGCCGATGGGCATCCGGTATGCTGGCTGGATCTGCGGCATGACGACGCTGCTGATGGCGGCTGTCGTCACGGCCTACACGGCGCGGCTGCTGGCCAAGTGCATGGACCTGGACCCGGTCGTCATCACCTTCTCAGACCTGGCGTTTATCTCGTTTGGCCCGCGGGCGCGCGTGATGACCAGTCTGCTGTTCACAGTGGAGCTGATGGCGGCGTGTGTGGCGCTTGTCGTGCTCTTCGCCGACTCGCTGGGCCTGCTGTTCCCGGGCTTGCTGACAGCGCTCGAGTGGAAGGCTCTCTGCTGTGTGATCATGATACCCCTGAACTTTCTTCCGATGCGGTTGCTGAGTGTGACCAGCATCATCGGCATCGTCTGTTGTTTTAGCAGTGAGTGAGATGCTTTTCCGTTGTTCGCTCTAGATGCTGACAGGATCTCCGTGCAGTTGTCTCCATTGTCGTCATTGACGGCTTCACCAAGAAGACGTCGCCCGGCTCGCTGCTGCAGCCGGCGGCTACGTACATGTTCCCGGCCAACTGGCTGACGCTGCCGCTGTCGTTTGGCCTTCTCATGTCGCCCTGGGGCGGCCACAGCGTGTTTCCAAATGTGAGAGCGTGCTGTGCATAGAAGCGTGTGTGCGTCGTGCTGACTGGTCTGTGACAGATCTACCGTGACATGCGACATCCAGCCAAGTATGCCAAGGCCGTGAAGGTGACGTTTTCGTTTACTGTAAGTTGGCCATTTCCTCCTGCAAGCCCCACGCGAGCTTTCACTGATGCGGCTGTCAGTACTTTCTGGACGTCACGACGGCTGTGGTTGGACTGCTCATGTTTGGTGACGATGTCATGGACGAGATCACAGCCAACATTCTGTCAACATCCGGGTATCCACGGGCGCTTACGCTTCTTCTCTGTGTCATGATCGCCATCATCCCGCTGACCAAGATTCCACTCAATGCACGACCCATCATCACGACGATCGAGGTACTGGCGGGCACGCATCAACAGGTGGCGGCCGATGCGCCAGGACAGGTCGGCCGGACCATTGTCAAGGTGGCCATCCGCGTGCTGACGATCCTGTCCTTCTTTGCCATTTCGGTCGTCTTTCCGGCTTTCGACAGCATCATGGCCTTTATGGGCAGCGCGCTATGCTTCACGATCTGCGTCACTTTGCCGATATTGTTTCATCTGAAGCTCTTTGGTAACAGTCTGTCGGGCAGAGACAAGGTGCTCCAGTATGCCATGCTGTCGCTGTCGATCGTGCTCTCGGTCGTGGGCACAGTCTGGTCATTCCTGCCGAAGAGTCTTTTGGGTGTGGAGTAGACGGTGCTGCCGCACGTTCCGTCGTATATGCCTCAGGAGAACATCATCATCGTCATCATCACGTACACACATAGCACAGCAACACGTCTGAGTATACAATTTTAAAAGATTTTTTTTTTTGGTTATGTGACGAGATGTTTACACACATGCATATTGGTTCTGGGAGTCTATATGAACTAGCCATACCTTCACAAGCCGCCAATGTTTCCCCCTTTTTTTTGTTCTTCTTTCTGACAAGACAAATAGCCGCATGTTCAGCAGAATCACCCAAAGACAAAAAATTACGCCCAGGTGTCCAGGTTGGTCAGAATGCATCCGTGGTCGTCGCCACGCGGCACCAGCTGGCCGATACGGAAGATACGCTCGCCAGCAGCCTCGAGGGTGGCGGTGACGTGGGCAACCTCTTCGGGAGCAGCGGCTAGGACCATGCCGATGCCGTTGTTGAAAGTGCGAGCCATCTCGGGGGGCACGACATTGCCCTGCTGACGCAGCCAGGCAAAGACGGGTGGAACGGGCCAGGAGGCGACGTCGATAGAAGCCGAGAGGTGGTCGGGGAGCATGCGAGGGACGTTTTCGGTGAGGCCGCCGCCGGTGATGTGGGCGAGGCCCTTGATGCGCTCAACGACCTGCAACAGCGAGCGGACATAAATGCGAGTGGGAGTGAGCAGGGCGGCGCCAAGAGTGGTGGCACCGGCAGCAGCAGTGCCAGCAGTGGACCACGGCACGGGAGAGGAGTAAGGCAAGCCAGAACGGTCGACAATGCGGCGGACGAGCGAGAAGCCGTTGGAGTGGACGCCACTGGAGGCGAGGCCGAGCAGGACGTCGCCGGCAACGAGGTCGGCGGTACGCGGCAGACGAGCGGACTCGTGCATGACGCCGATGGCGGCTCCGGCAGCATCATACTCGTCATCCTGGTACATGCCGGGCATCTCAGCAGTCTCGCCGCCGACGAGGGCACAGCCAGACTCACGACAGCCGGCAGCAACACCCTCGACAAAGGCAGCGGCGACATCGCTGTTGAGACGACTGCAGCCGATGTAGTCGAGGAACATGAGAGGACGGGCGCCCTGGACGACGAGGTCGTTGACGTTCATGGCGACGAGGTCGATGCCGACAGTGTCGTGCTTGCCGATGTCGAGAGCGATCTTAAGTTTGGTGCCGACGCCGTCGATGGCGCCAACGATGATGGGCAGGGCCGAAGAGGTCAGGTTGGCTTTGGCCAAGTCGACCTCGCCGCCGAAGCCACCGATTTCGGCATCGGCTCCGGGAATGGCGGTGGAGGCGACGGCCTTTTTGATGCGCTGGACGAGTTGGTTGCCGGCCTCGATGCTGACGCCGGCGTCGGCATAGGAGAGAGAGGTGGGAGCAGCAGCAACAGAAGGAGAAGACTTGCGGAAGGCGCGGTGAGCAATATCTTTGCGGAACTGCATGCCGTCAAAGCGGATAAGCGGTAGGCCGTGGGCGTAAGCCTTGGCAACAGCAGCCTCGAGAGTCTCAGCCGTGGCGGTAGCAGCAATGACACGACCTCCAGCAGTCTTCAAGGCGCCAGAGACAGGATCGCGCGTAGTGCCAGCGTGGAAGATGGAGATGTCGGAGCCGACAGCAGGTTCGCCAACGGTCATGGGCGTGCCCTTGGGATAGGAACCGGGATAGCCGGGAGCAGCAACGACGACGGTGGCGCTAAAACGGTTCTCAGTGTGAATATCGACCGCGTCGAGACAGCCGTGGCAGCAGGCGAGCATGACCTGGGCGAGATCGGTATCGGACGAAAGCAGAGGCAAAACCGTCTGGGTCTCGGGGTCGCCGAAGCGGACATTGTACTCGAGGACCTTGGGAACGCCGGCAGGCGAGATCATGAGGCCGGTGAAGAGAATACCGCGGAAGGGGGCCCACTCCTTGCGCATGCCGGCGATGGTAGGCTGCAGGATGTCGCGGTCGACCAGCTCGAGGAGGGCGGGCGTGGCGAGAGCAGTGGGAGCATAACAGCCCATGCCGCCAGTGTTGGGGCCGCGGTCTCCGTCAAAGATGCGCTTGTGATCCTGGGCGGCAGGCAGAGAGCGGAAGGAGTGGCCGTCGCAAAAGGTGAGGATGCTGAGTTCATCGCCATCGAGAAACTCTTCGATGACGACCTCGGCACCAGCAGCAGCACCAAACTCGAGATCGACCATGATGGCACGAAGGGCTGCGAGAGCCTCCTGGCGCGTGTGGGGGAGAATAACGCCTTTTCCGGCAGCGATGCCATCGGCCTTGATCACGACAGCCGGCACAGCAGTCTCGGGGGTAGGACGACGGTCGGCGGGGACGAGCTGCTCGACGTAGCGGCAGGCAGCGTCAAAGTCGCGGAAGTTGCGGTAGGCCGCAGTCGGAATGCTGTGGCGCTGCATAAAGTCCTTGCTGAAAGCCTTGCTGGCTTCAAGTCGAGCAGCTGCTTTGCTGGGCCCAAAACAGGCGATGCCGGCATCACGGAACGTGTCAACGATGCCGGCCACCAGCGGCGCCTCGGGTCCCGGAACCACCAGCCCGACGTTTTCGCGGCGAGCCAGCGCCACCAGCGATGCAAAGTCCTCGGCCGTTGCTGTCGTTGCCGCCACGTTTTCTGTCTTGGCCGTCGACGCCGTGCCACCGTTGCCCGGCACCGCCAGGATGCGGCCGACGCGCGGCGACTGGGCTAGCTTCCATGCGAGGGCGTGCTCGCGGCCGCCGTTGCCGACGAGGAGAACTGTCAGCGGTTCCATTGGGAAGAGGCTGAAGAGAAGACGAGTTGGTGAGTCGATACGAGTCCAGACCAATGCGGCCACTCGATGCAAGACGTGCAGATTTCAGATCGACCACGGACCAGTCGAACAGCAGTGATCGCCGGTTGGTCTGCTTGCCTTGCTTTCCTGGTCCATCTATTTTTTTTTTTTTTTTTTTGTCACCCGCGCCCTCCTCTCGCCAAAGCCTCGTTCGTCTAGTCAGCCATCCCGCTCCGACTCCTTCATTTTTTTTCACTATTTTTTTTTTTTTTTCACAGCTGTTAGTCAACCCCGCCCCCGCTATCGGGCGAATTGCCCAATCGACCAGTTAGACTTGTGGGTCTACGCCACACCCAAGGCTAGCCGCTCGCTTAACGCACTACACTGCATAGAAGAGACAAGGCTAGTATTGTTTTCAACATGGATGACAAGCAAGACAAGCTTTTCTGTCTTCGTCTACAGACACACAATGGCCACGACACCGGCTGCAACGACAGCCGTCCCGGTGGCTGCCGCATCGCCCGCCGAATCGCTCGAAGCTGCCCTCGGCATGATCGCCGGCTTTCAGCACCGCCACAAGAATCAGCACCGCCTGTCGGCCTACTGGTGGGCGCCCTTCCAGCAGCTGCGGCGACATGCCGAGAAGCTGCGCGAAGAGCTGCACGCCCAGCAGCAGCTACAACAGAAGAAGCAGCAGCAGAAGCGACCGTCGAGGAAGCGGGACGTCGTCAGCGACGCTCCGACACAGCGCGCTCGCTGGATGCAGTCGAACCTGGTCCCAAAAGCGTATCTGTACGTGGAGTCGTTCAGTCTCTGCAGCGGGCTGTCCAGCTGAACCATGTCTAACATACGTCTTCACAGCGCCTTCTCCCGCCTCGTCGTCGACAAGCAGTTTGCCCCGCTCGGCCTGCTACTACTAGCCGTCCTCGCCCAGATTCGAGCCGTGCTCGTGTTCGTTATCCACGAGGACGAACCAACCGCGGCCGAAAGCCGGGAAAGTCGGGAAAGTCAGGAAAGTCAGAAACTACCTGCAGATCAAGGACGAGCCGCCACTGGCACACGAGAAAAACGACGGGCTGGCGACGGCAACGACGACCTCGGCGAGGCCGTCACACGGGCGGCCCAAAAACCAACGATAGAGGCAGCAAGACAGCCGAGGCAGCCGGAAGGCAACGAAGAACACGGCAGCATAAACACTACCAAGGCGGACAGGAAAGAGAAGGACAAGAAGAAGGAGAAACAGAGGAAGAGGAAGCGCGGCGGAGATGAGTTCGACAACCTGTTCAGCGGCCTTCTCTGAAGCTTGGCAGATAAGATGCTCTGCTTTCAACCGTTTCTGCTGTTTTTACTTATACCTCTTACGATACCCCAATGCAAGTAACAGCCATCTGTGATCACCGTTTAAATAGCTACCAAAAAGACCTAACCTATTCTTTACTTTACAGAACAACGAGAACGCGCTTGAAACCCGTCCCTGATCAGAAGCCTCCCTTCATCCTTCCTCCCATCCGAAGTTAAAGCGTTAAAAGAAAATAGGAAAAGGGCCTGAAAATCATTTGACACACTGGTGAAAAGGGGGTTCTTGGCTCTTGTTTTTTGCGTTTCTTCCAAACGCCATGTCTCTTCCTAGCCCTACCGCCAATACGTCGACGTCGATGTGATATCTGTTGGCCGCACGAAAAACACGAAAAACCACAATACAATAAATAAGCAGGGCGATGCGACCGAGCACAAGACAGTAATGAAGCATAGAAGCAAAGCACGCCCGTCGTGCTTTCCGTCTTTTGCTGGCTCTCCGACGTCACCGGACAGGCTGCTTTAGAAACTGTGCCACAAACCGTGCTCATACCCATAAGCTTCCTAGGCATGGTAGCGGCTGTATGACCAGATGCGAGCGCGCATGTCGCCAGAACCCGTGGCAAAGTAGCTGCCTGCCGGGCTGGGAGCCACCGAGATGACAGAGTTCTTGTGGCCCTGCAGCATGAGCTGCGTGTTGCCTGTGCGCGGATCCCAGAACTGGACGCCCCGGTCCTTCGAGCCTGACATGACCCATGCGGCATCGGGCGTGAGCGCCACGGAAAGCACAAAGTCCTGTTTATCTTGTTAGCGGGAAGCAGAAGACGCAGAAGCAGAAGCAGAACAAGGAACATGTCCACGTACCCGGTGTCCCTCGAATGTCTTCACGCAGCGGCCACCCTTAGGGCCCTGGTTCGGAATCCCCCGTGGGGCCGCGAGCTCCCACATCTTGATCGTCTTGTCCAGACTGCCGCTGACAAGGTCCTTGCCGTTCGGTGAAAATGCAACGCTATAGACGCTGTCTTTGTGGCCATCCGGGCCCTCCAGCCGCTCCACCAGATAGCCGTGCTGGATGTCCCACACGCGCACGCTCTTGTCCAACGAGCCGGCCGCAACATACTTCGTGTCCGGAGAGATGGCCACCGTCGTCACACCATCCTCAATCGTCAGAGTGAGAACGCTCTGGCCCGTCTCAATGTCCCAAAGGCGTACCGTCCTGTCGCCGCTTCCAGACGCAATCGTCCGGCCGTCGCGTGCAAAGTCGAGCGAGTAAATGTCCTGTTCATGGCCTGCAAACGTGTTCCGGATCGTGCGCGACTGGATGTCCCAGACACGGATAAGCTTGTCCTCTGCACCCGTGGCGAGGTACTTGCCATCCGGACTGAAGCACACGCTCCGAATGTAGAGGTCGCCCGAGATGTCCACCGAGTCGTCCTGGAGCACGCAGAGCTTCTCGCCCGTCTGCACGTCGTAGATCTGTGCCGAGCGGTTGCAGCCCGTCGCCACGTATTTGCCGTCTGCGCTGAAGCGGACGCAGCATACAACGCTCTCGTGCTGCAGCGTGTGCACCAGATCCACGTCCAGCACACGGGGCACGTGCTGGTTGAAGATCACAAACCAGTCATCCCGCGTTTTTTTGTAGTGTGCCGGCAGGCGCTCCAGGTCCACGTCGCCCAGAGCGTTATTTCCGTGGTTGGCCGGAGCCATCTGCATGCGCGCGTGATCGGGCGTAGGGTGCGACGCCACCTGGGGTGACTGGCCCGGGCCAGGATATGGCACTGGAGTGTTGATCTGAGGAGTGGCTGGACCACCCGCAGGCGGCCTGCCAATGGGGCGCTTAACCGGACCAGGCGAAGCCGTGCTGGGAGGAGGCTGCGACGGGAAGCCACCCGGTGCAGGAGGCTGGCCGTATTGCTGCTGGCCAAATGGCTGAGATGGTGGAGGTGGAGGAGGAGGGCCCTGAAGGCCTGGAGGTGGCTGCTGCTGCAGCTGGTGTGGCGGAGGTTGCTGGTCCTGCGGCGGCGGTGGTGCAAGGCCAGACTGGCCTCCCTGGCCGGCCATGATAGCGGCGAAGACATTATTTCCCATCCCGAGATTCGGTGGCTGTGGCGGGCCGCCGTGCTGAGGCGGACCCGACATGGGGCCTTGAGGACCACCACGTTCTCCGAGCTGGCGACGAAGCAGGGCAATCTCTTCCTCGTATCTATGCAAACAAAACTGTCAGCCGTCACGTCACGTACCACGGCTCTTAGTCGATCAAGAGGCCAAGCTGTGCTCACTTCTGCTTCACGTTGATGTGCGTCTGCTCCATGGTGTAGACCTTTTCGCGGATGAGCTGCATCTCGTTGACCTGTTGCTGGACTGTGAGGAATAGCTATTAGCCTTGCGGTCGGCATACAAAAGTTCAAGCTTTGGGGGAAAGTATAAAATCGATAAAAGAGGCAGAGATACGAGAGATGGGAGATGGACTCACTCTGATGCTCGTAGTTCTCACTGGCGCGCATCTGAGATTCAAACTCGGAGCGAATCTGGTCGAGGAGCTCATTGAGACGACCACCTCCATTGCTGGGAGGGACAGCGCCCATCCCGCGATGGCCACCGTACATAGACATTATGACAATAATGCACAGGAGCTTTCAGACGATGCAAAAGGACAAGACAGAGGTGACAGCAGCGAATCCAAGTCGCTATGAGCAAGCTGCACGAGCAAACACACGAGACAGATATATCGAAATAACCGGCCGGCGATGCAGCCGATCGACTTTGTCTGGACGGAGCTCTTCTCGTTTCCCCCTATGCTTGTAGTGCTGTTGATAGGATGGGGTAAATAAAGTCGAATCGAGTCGAGGACAAGCACACGAAAAACGGGCGCTAAAAGTTGCGGAAGAAAAGGAAGAAAAGGGTGGGGGAGAAGGGGGAGGAAGAAGGGGTTGCCGAGAGCCGAAAGGCGAAAGGCGAGCAGAAGATGAATGGTGTAGTGGTTGTGACAATGTTGATGGAAAGATGTTTGGAGGTTGGATTTTGTGGAAAGGCAGAAGATTGACGAGGAGAAAAATCCTTAGTTGCGATGGTTTTGTTTGGGCAGGAAGAGCCACAGGGAAGCGCAAACTAGGGGGGGTGTGCCAGAAGGGAAAGAAGGTAAAAGCTGTCTGTCGTGTTGGAAAGGGAGGGGGAAGCAAGAGGTTGGGAGTTTGGGGTTTTGGTTAGTCCAAGGCGACCGCAGGGCAGGCCGTTCCTTTTATGGCTAGCCGGGCGATTTGATCGATTTTACAGCTTCGTTTTATTTTTTTATTTTGCCTGTGCGGGAAGAGCAAGATAGGCCCCGGCTCAGTAGTGCACCACATCTGGTTGGCCTGTGGGCTTGTGCGGGAGTGCAGCTTCCCTTCCTCTGACTCGCTGCTGCTTTCTTTTGGGGACATGCACAGGGCAGATGCAGGGAAATTGGCCCCTGTTATGGCCCGACGGATTTTATTGAATTTATCGCCCTCGCAGCCTGGCGCTATCCGTTTTCTCCTGTCTTTCTTTTCCGCACTAAGTGGGGGCCGTGCTCTCAGGCCGGAGGGAGGGTGGAGCTCGGAAATGTGGGCTGTTGAATTGGAGGAAACAGAGGGGTGCTGAGCCCGCTAAGAAAGCGCTATGGAGTACTACGGATGGCGTACATAAGCCGAACGGTTGTCCTGGTAAGGGAAAGGTATCTATATCTATCTACATCTGGCCGTGGCCATTAAAGAAGACGGGCGCGGCTACTGTGTGCTGGTGCATGCCACCGGTGTAGTCTGTGTCACGGGCAGCGCACCCGTGAACTCGTATCGCCTCGTAGACCGTGCTCCGTATTTGGGCCATACACACAGCCCGGAGCGTCTTACGAGCACAGCGGGACCGATTTTTTCCGATGCCCGCCTCAGGAGGAGACTCGCCGGACTCGTGTCCGCTTCGAGACGTGAGCAAACGCCCAGAGGATGAAACAAGCCGGGGGACAGCTGTCGGCATGCAGTCCACAGGAGCGTGAGGTCACACTGCGTACACCGCAGAACGCCACTTACAATGCACTATGTACGAGGTGCGTCTGCCTGTGCCTTGCGAGGAGTGGAACAAAGACCATCCATCAGCCTGGGTGCCTTCGCGTGGCGCGGATGGTCGGGGCCCAGTAGTAAGAGTGGGCCTGGACGCGTACATAGTAGGAAGTACGGAGTGCGGGATAGTAAGACAGTCGTGACAGCACAACGAGAGCGAGGTGTGAGTCGGCGACTTGTCGAGCATAAACGATGCACATGCAACTACGAGTAGCATCCGGCCGTCGAATATGCATGTAAGCAGGAGCAGGGGCAGGTCATGTGCAGCCCAGTAAGCCGGCAGATAACGTCCGGTCCCATTTACGACTGTCAATGGCATTACAAGTTTGAAGATCCTCCAAATTATAGTGCGCCACCGGACAAGCATCGTTACGTAATACATTCAGTACTCCGTACTCCGTACATACGGAGCATTCATGCATGACTGTAAGTCACGGGATTGCATAGATTAGATAATCACAATAGCATTATCCTCGGATTATACTCCGTACTCAAATCACAAAACTCCGCTCAAAGAGTCACAAATGAACGATCAGAAACTTGATATTTAGACGCCATACATCAACACTGCACGACCTCAGAGAACAAGAGGTCCCACTAAAACAGAATAAATACAGAATTGACATGAACATGCAAGACTACAGGCACACGCTGTGAGTGTACGCCTGGTCATAGCACCGCATTAAGCGTTCTTGCCCTTTGTCTTCTTGCCTATTCGCATTGTGTTAGCTGGATGAGACGATGATGGGGATGGTAGGGTTCACAAACCTGCGTGGTGCGGCTCACGGGCCTCGACCTCAACATCACGGGCATTGGCCTTGTGCGTCGTCTTCTTTCCGGCGTGGTGGGGCTCACGGGTCTCCAGCGATTCCTCATCGCGAGCGTTGGCTTTGTGCGTCGTCTTCTTGCCGGCGTGGTGAGGCTCACGGGCCTCGATCTCAACGTCACGGGCATTGGCCTTGTGCGTCGTCTTCTTGCCAGCGTGGTGGGGGTCGCGAGCCTCAACCTCGAAATCACGAGCATTGGCCTTGTGCGTCGTCTTCTTGCCGGCATGATGAGGCTCGCGATCCTCTAGGATCACCTCACGGGCGTTCTTGTCGGCCTTGTCGGCCTTGTCGGCCTTCTCAGTGGCATTGGCGTGCTTCGTCTTCTTGCCAGCGTGGTGCGGCTCACGAGTCTCCAGCTGCTCCTCTCGGGCCTCGAGCTCCTCATCCCCAGTCTCCAAGTCCTCTTCGAGAGCCTCAAGCTCCTCCTCATCACGAGCATTAGCCTTGTGCGTCGTTTTCTTGCCGGCATGGTGAGGCTCGCGATCCTCCAGGATCACCTCACGGGCGTTCTTGTCGGCCTTGTCAGCTTTCTCAGCTTTCTCAGTGGCATTGGCGTGCTTCGTCTTCTTGCCAGCGTGGTGCGGCTCACGAGTCACGAGCTCCTCATCCCAGGTCTCCAAGTCCTCCTCACGAGCCTCGAGCTCTTCCTCATCACGAGCATTAGCCTTATGTGTGGTCTTCTTGCCGGCATGGTGAGGCTCTCGTCTGTCGAGGCCCATCATTGTCGGTGCACCCAGGGCTGGACCCGCAATCGCGAGCAGCGACGCAACATGGCGGGCCGAAAGAGCACCTGTAGAAGGCTGGTAAGCTGCCACAGCTGAAGAAGCAGCCAGGCCACCAAGGGCCAGCTGAACAAATGAAGGGCTGTGCATTTTGTATGTTGTGGGAGTTGACCTTCTTAGAAAGGAGGGTGAGCAGGTTTCAAAGGTATGAGCAAGTTAACAGAAAATTGCTGGCCTGCAGCTAAATGGTTGAATATGCACTTTGCAGGGAAGAAAGTTGCAAAAAAGCGAGATATAGAGAAGGGAAAACTGAGAGGACTTCGACCGGGAAGATACCTGACTGATGAAGAAGAGAACGAAGAAGAGGATGCAGAGAATGAAGAAGGAAAATGGTAAATTTGGAATGGCTGATACTTGTATATTATATACACCGAGCCAGCAGACAGAGAAGTCGGGGCGGCCAGCAGAGTACACAGCCAGTGACGACCATGTCGTCAACCCCCAACTACCAATGGCACTGACCGGCAACCAACATGACTACCGAGGTGTATGGGGAGGGTGAGGGGGCAGGGAAAGACAGGATCCGGAGCTGTAAGCTTGTGCAGGCGAGACGTGTCTCAAGATGGGAATTGGCCAAAAACAGGGTGCTTTGATTTTTCCCCTCATCTTTCTGAGTCCTTCCTGTCAAACCTTGTTTTGTCTGGCGCTGCAACTCTGCCTTATCTGGGGGGCGCAGGGAAGAGGGGCGGTGACAGGGAAAGAAGGATAGGGAAACAGGGGCCAGATGCCATCCAGTAGTTATTTCCTCCCCAGCCCGGAATGTTTGGCTTTTTTTTAGATTGCCGCCCATGCTATCGGATCTTACTCCAAGCCAGGGGCGTTTTCATCTGGAAAGGGGCCGGCTCTCTTGACTGTTTGGCACCAAGCAAAAGGGGCAAAGCTCCAGGGGTACACTTTGAGCTCTTGACGTATAGAGCCAGCACAGGGAGCGCCGAAGCCGGATTGTGCATCATAGGTAAGACACAAGCAAACGGCGGTCTCGAGGTTGTCATGCTTCAAGGTATGGCTGTCGATTGTTGGCATCGACACGAAGCTGCATTAAGAAGCATGGGTTGACAACGGCTATGAATTCTACAAATCCGCAAAAACCTCCGAAGCAGCAGCTTGCGGCAGAGGGTCCTGAAAAATTGGGACGGAGCCACAGCACTGACTTGTAAGAGGTTGTGATGAAGATAAGCCAGTGTGAAAAGACGATATATAACTAGTCGAAATTGGGGATTCCCATGGCTACGCGATGCGCATTTTGAAACGACGCTAGTCCCCGCAGGTAGGAGCTATGTGACTAATCCAACTGAAACGGAGAGAAAGCTTAGCCTCGCGACAAGACCGGCTGCATCAGCATGTCCACATGGGTTTCAGGTGAGGTGGACCGCCAAGGGTCCAATTGGCAGCTCTCTGGAAGAGGGAAGCGCTGTCAATGACGAGTTCCACACAGATGCAACCTTGGCGGTCGGATAAAACCGTACTCCTTAGGGATGCAAATACGAGGGCATCCGTGTTTTGGCACCTCCATAGTACGGAGTACATGGTAGCAGTTAAGTCTGGGCCAGGTACTGCTGTTATACGTGCTACTTGGTACTCCGCATTCATGATTTGCCCCGTAGTCACTACTATGTGTACGGAGTATACAACCTTAATCCCATAGTTCGCCATGCCTAATCTGTCTCGTAGTCTGTGGTATCCAGAGCACAAACATCAAACGTTTCGTCTGCGCTTGAGCCTTCTTGATCTCGGCGGAAACGATTGGGCCTGCTGTTGATGCCCTCTTGGCTGCCGTTTACATCTGCCGCTCCGGTTTCCACTATTTCTGTCTCTCCAGCTTACCCTCGTAACCCGTAATTGATTTTGCGAGCCCCCCCTTCTGTTCGTCTTTTCTTTCCTATGGAAGAGTTACCCACCACTGTATGATTTACCTGCCTCTTGTCCGTTGTTCGTCTTTTCCTTCCTGCTTCTTTTTCTACCCACTGGCTTTACCTTCTCTTCTTCACCTCACTTCCCATCCCTAATTCTCACCAGTTCGTTCTGCAGGGGTGTTTTTCTGGTCTCGTAGAGCGAGACCATTTGTTTGATTGTCTTGTCTTGCATGCCTTTCACTCGACGACGTGCTGTGCACCGTGTGTCCATTCTCCCTTCTTTGCTATTCACCTAATCGATTTTTAGCTTATATCCCGTATCTTTTCCTCCCATTATGCCTAAGCTTTACCACTCAGTCCCTCTCGATGAGGAGAAGGATGGAGCATCATTCAGCCGTACATTAAGCAGCGACTCAGACTGGGATGGCGTCATTCCTAAAGCCCGCCGTCAACTTAGCAGCCACTGGTCTTGGCTGATCCATGCCGTGCTGCTCACCGTCTCCGGCACACTCTTCGCCGTCTCTTTCTGCGCACGCACTGCAAAGCCAGACGATACCTTGTACACAAAACTGTACTCGTCGTACTGTGAGCTCATTCCGCCCATCTGCGGTACACAATTTCTGTGAAATCTGCCTCTAATATTCTGCTCTCACAGCCCCCGCCGCGAATGTGGTCAAGTATGAGACTACCCGGTTCACCAACCTGACACCCGTCGTGGAAGGCCCTTTTGTAGGCTACGGGCCTGAAGTTGACCTGGCATGGGATTATATTGCAAATGACAGTACGTATTGCCCAAACAATAAAGCTAATCTGGGTGAGGGGTGGACCAAGCGTATGTATGCCGAACAATTACTAACCAATGGAATGAAACAGTCGGTGATACGATGATCTCGGAGAAAGAGCTCGACGACCTCGGACTTCCACGAAACTCGCTAAAGATCGCCCACCCAAAGACCGGAGAGGTCGGCTACCGGGCCGCACTGGAAGTCTTTCACCAGCTCCACTGTCTAAACCTGGTTCGGCAGGCTGTGTACAAGGATTACTATAAGGAGCACGGAGGTGACGTTGGCGAGGCGGAGAGCAAAGAGGACCTGATGGGACATGTCGGTAAGCAGATCAGAGGCCGACGAAGCCGAAAACGGTCCTCTTCTAAGAAAGAGTCCGCGCTAACAGAAAGTCCAGACCATTGCATTGAGACGCTGCGGACAAATCTCATGTGCCAGAGCGACATTGGCGTCTTCACCTTCAAGCTGTTCCCCGAGTACGGCTTTCCTGATGACGACTACTGGCCCGACTTCAACACTCTGCATACGTGTCGTAACTTCGAAGCCATCCGCACGTGGGCCGTGGATCATACTGTGTCTTGGGACCACAATGTTTGAGGCAGAGGGCCGTTGGCGGGAAATAACAAGCCGTTTTTTTTCATAGCATTTTTCCCAATATTATCTTACATATATCTAACTTGGAGCCTTAATAATACGTTTCGTTGAACGGCTAGATTTCTCCTTTTGCGCATATATTCGTTTTCGCTTCTGATAATTGCATTTTTGAACACTAATACGAGTACGAGTACGCGACCCACTCAACAATATGACGGAACACGCCATTTCCTACAGCCAAATCTCTGGCCTCCCTGTTCGGGATCTCAGAGATCCGGCAGTGGTGCCTACCACTTGCTGGGCAGCAGCGCCGCTGGTCGCCGATCGTCCTTCCAGTTCTTAAGCCGAACGATGACAGCAGAAAACAGGTGAGGATTCGGGGTGTCTGCTGATTTTACTGGAACCTCCCTTCCGTCTGGTGAAGCTGTGTTATAGTGGGTAGGCGTTTTAAACTTCATATATAGAGTGTCTGCCACAAACAAGCAATTGCTTCTTCAGTTCTTCACTCCATTGGCCTTCTGCCTCGCGACAATCCTAGGGGTTCTTCTCGCTGCTTTACGCAAACAACAGTGCTGCCAAGGCCTGTTGCTTCTCCGCTCCCAATTGAACAAAACCCCCTGAAGCCAATTCGCATGCGCGCTAAGACAGCATCAACGCGGGTAGTTGGGTTAAATCCGAAAGCGATCGCAAAAAAAGTATAGAAGGGGCTTCTTCGACACGGCAGTGCGCCAATCTCCCTCGACCCTCTATTTACATACCCTCCTCCGCCTTTCGGCTTCTACATTCTTTTTCCCTCTCTTGTCCTTCTCTCCCCCCTCTCCCCCCCATTCGCTTTCCTCTCCCGCCCTCCCCAGCATCTTGGGCACTATTGCGTTGCCAATTCGTCTTTTACGAGCCAAGTCGCTCTAATTGGCTGCAACCCCTGATTTCCCCGTCTTGCCAATCCGGCCATATTCGATCTCCAAGACTGCCGTCATGGATATCGCACTTGAGATCATGGACACGTACGGGTTCGACTATGTCTACTCTACGCTGCTTCCCGCGCCGTCTGCTCCGTACAACCTAGCGAGCAGTGATTTTGGCGGCAATGCCACCGCTCTCTCGTCCTGGACCTACAAGCCGACGTCTTTCCTATTCACACTGGAGCCGAGCAAGTATGCCTACATGAGCGCCTGGAACCGCGACAACATGCTTCGGCAGTACATTTCTCTGTTCTTGATAACCTGGTGAGTCTTGTCTGTACTGGTCGCGTTTCCTACTTCCTCCGACCAGTGCCTGTCGGCTAATCAATATTATTCACGCAGGATCTTTGGACTATTTACTTACTTCCTCTTCTCGACTCTCTCTTACGTTGTCATCTTCGATAAGAAAACGGCCGAACACCCTAAGTACCTGAAGAACCAGGTGTGGCTGGAGATCAAGCAGGCCAGCACGGCTATGCCCGTCATGGCGCTGCTCACTGCGCCTTTTTTCCTCGCCGAGGTCCGCGGCTACGGCAAGCTGTATGAACATACCTCTGACGGCCCTGGCCGGTGGTACGACATTGCGCAGATGCCCTTCTTCCTCTTCTTCACCGACATGTTCGTCTACATGATTCACCGCGGGCTCCACCATCCCGCTATCTACAAGAACCTGCACAAGCCGCACCACAAGTGGATCATGCCCACACCCTTTGCCTCGTACGCTTTCCACCCCGTCGACGGCTGGATGCAGAGCCTGCCCTACCACATCTACCCCATGATCCTGCCGCTGCAGAAGTGGGCGTACCTGGCTCTGTTCATCATCATCAACTTTTGGACTATCATGATCCACGACGGCGAGTTCGTCTCGGACAACCCAATTATCAACGGTGCAGCCTGCCACAGTGTTCATCACTATGCGTTCAACTACAACTACGGGCAGTACTTTACCCTGTGGGACCGCATCGGCGGCAGCTACCGTTGCCCCGATAAAGCCGTCTTTGACAAGAAGGCCAAGATGAGCAAGGAGACGTGGAAGCAGCAGGTCGACGTCATGGAGGATATCATCAAGGAGGTTGAGGGCGAAGACGACCGCATTTACGACCCGGTCGTCGTGGAGTCCAAAAAGAGCCGGTGAGAGGTGACATTCAGGTTCTCGTGGGACACCCTTTTTCGCCCTCGACAACTTGACTTTCCGGGCTTTCTCCCCCTCATAGGGTCGAAAGAGGCTCGGATCTTTTCTAGTCACCTCTCGTCGACCTTGTTTCTATCCTGCCGCCAATTCATACTGAGAGGGTGGGCTTGGCGCGCCTTATATAAGTCCCACGAAGGTTACTAGTGTGACAGCCAGAATGTCCTGTATATACACGCTCTGTCTTTCTATTACCATTTTTAATACTGTCATGATAATCCTTATCTGGGGGAAGGCGTTTAACTGGGCAAAGCAGGCTATCATTTACACTATGGAAGACTCCTACTGGCGACAGGACCCTTTTTGAGCAAGGCTACTATTGCTGGTTTGAAAAATATTCTTTCCTCTGCAGATAGCGAGGCCTTTGGCCTCGAATGGCCTATATATTAATACAGTTAAATCATGTGCAAGTACTCCGTAGAAGCTCTAATGTAACTGTGGCATGTATGATATTATTCGAAATCAATAAGAAAGGATATAGACAAGCCCACACAGCAAGTATAATATGTGGGATACCCTCTTGCAATAAAAGGGCTGAGAAAAAAAAGGGTCACAACTGACTGTTTGCCCCACCCCAATTTGCGATGCACTTATGGGTTCCCTCCCTTGTAACACGCGCACTTCTCTCAACGCCAAGCAGAGACAAATGAGAGCAGCACCGGGTCAGCGCTATGTGTGACAAAAGAAACAAAATCGCAAGGAGTGTATGACGCCGTATTTTCGTCCCCTTAATGGACTGGAAAAAATGTGCCTTCGGCTTCAGGAAAAGCTGACAAACTTGGGATCCTGCGGCCGTCCATCCGCCCCAATACCGTTTGCGCGGAACAACTGCTCCATGTAGACCTTGCGCGCCTCGTCAAATGGCAACCGCCGCTTCTTCATAATGGCCAGAATCGCGGCCTTGCTAGCATCGTCCAACCCGGCGCGGCTGTCACCTCCCTCTACGTTGCCGGAGAGGTCAAAGGTGCTGCTAGACAGGCCGGCTTCGACGTCGCCTTCGAAAGTGGTCGGTAGGCGTGAATAGGGCGAGAAGGAGAAGACGGAGCGAAGCGACTGGAACCCGTGAACCAGCAGCTCAGTCCAGCGCGCGCGCGTCCAGTAAAGGATGGAGCCGACGATGAGGGTGAAGCCAATGAGGCTGTAGAGGAACAACGCCATGTTGAGTATTGAATGGAGCTGACAAAAGAAAGAAGATGCGACACTTGAATTTCAAGTGGTTGTCAACGTTGCTGAGAATCGTCAAACAGGTTCAGGTTTGGCAGGATTATTCGGAAGGATCGGCAGAACTGTTGGTATAGATGGCCTTCGTGTCGAGATGATGATCTCGTGGGCTTACTTTAGTCCATCTGGGTTCGCGTTATCGGATGCGTCCCCTTTTCGTCTCAGGCGATTCGAGGTGCGACAACAGAAATCCCGTTCTTGGAGATGATGCTGACGACGACCTGCCGGGTCCTTATTAGTCGCATTATGCATGGCGTGGTTGATTCGCATGCGTACGGCACTCCGTAAAATGCGAATGCCCGATCCGGCCGATTGCTGACTCATGCGTACTAATAGGGAAGTGGGCCATTGCAATAAAGCGGGCAGCCAGAATGGTATGTATATAGAGTGTGAAAGCTAGAGCGAAAAGAATAAGCCCTGAAGTGGATAACTGACGGCCCACAAAGAGAAAAATCGTGATAAGCAAAAGTGAGAATTAAATAAAATTACGATTTTGACTCTGCGATTCAACACACTTGTCAACGACATTCCCGTACCCGATCACCGTCCCCCGACGCCTTAATTTTCAGTTCAAAATGTCTTTCCCCAACGTTTCGGCCGACCTGGTCTGGGAGATTGTCCGTATGTGCTTGCTGAGGGTCGAGTTTCCGTTCAAATCTATATTCTAAACCTCATTGTCTGTCCAGGTCCCCAGAACGCTTTCCTCGTCAAGCGGATCACTGGCGGCGGTGCCCACTTCTCCCGGGACCCCCTCAACCTCACGAACGAGCACAGCCGGAAGGTATGTTCAGGAACGGCTTATTTTGCGAGAGGGAACAGAGTCTAACGAATGGTGCCTTGCAGTATGCCGGTTTCGTGAACGACAAGGTACGATAACTCTGATTTTCTGATGAAGGGGGGCGAAAGCTATGAATTTTCGAAACAGACCAGCCTTTTTATATACAGGCTGGCACGAAGCGATGTGTTTGGGGTGAATGCTTGGAAACTCGACGAAAGACATGCCGCATCGCAAAAGACAGACACCGATCAGATCACGCACACTGTGTTCGAAGACTAACATGAGGAATCCAGGCTGTTGGTGTTATTGCCGGTGCTGAGGGTGGCGTCCAGGTCATCACAAAGACCAAGGCCCAGAACAAGCCGGCCAAGTCGCAGGTCGTCTCCGTCCAGGGTGCCAACAAGTCGGCAAGAAAGTAAGTGCAGACAATGCCAGCTCTGCAGGACAATTAGAAGAGGAAAGAAACAACGGATCGAGGGATCTAACATGGCCGAACAGGACCTATCGGTCGATTGCCGGCGCCGTTGCCAAGTCGGGCTACCGTGCCGACCTGCGTGCCGCTGCCATTGCCCGTGCCAGCGCCATTCTCCGGGCACAGCGCCCAGTGAAGGCCGACTACGAGGTCAAGCTGCGGGGTACCAAGGCGCGGAAGGCTGCCGAGTCTTCTTAGACAATTCTGATTTGTTCTGTATCAGGTCCAGGACCGGGATCAGGAGGAAGCATGGGTGGCTTGGTTCGGAAGAAACGTCCATCTTCCGGTCCGGCATAGTCCGAAAAGGAGATCTGGAATTACGGAGTAAAATCACAGCCAAAAAAATTGGAAATTTTAAAACTACATGCAGCCTTCAGGAAAGGTTGATGGGATGGGAGTCCACACCGAACGGGTTTCGGCTAAGGCATGTGACTACGATGTGGAACACTAGGACGTCCCGTAAGAAAATAGACGAATAGAGGCACGGCAACAGCCTCGCCGGCCATCTTCAGCTCGACCTTCCGATCAGTGCCGACTCTACCGAGGATACACAGACACGAGAGTCGCCGGACGTCCACAATACAAGCAGATCGTTCCCAACGAAATAGAAGCTAAAGTTGATGCCATGCCCGGAAATAGGATAGGCAATAAACAGGGTGTTTCTCCGAGTAAAAGTAAGTAGGAAGTGGCTCATTGCAGTCGTTGTGAATGCCACATGACGAGAACGGCTATTATGTAGAAGACTCTCGCTCAGAGCACGGGATAATAGTGTGCATTGCATATTCACGTGCCATTCGGAGGCCCGTGTCAGCTAGAACAGCACGTTCTGGCTCAGCTGTAGCCTAGAAGGAGCGCCTGGTAGGCGCGTTGTATACCGCAATAGCGCAGGACGATCTCCCCGTAGTTCCTTGCATGAGTTTCCCGGTGCTGGTGCCGAGACGTTGGAAAGAGGGGCTAGAGGAAAACACGGGTTGCCCAGTTTGGCAACGCAGAAGGAGCTACGGCGCAGATACAGCAAACGAGCAAACCCCGCTAATATAGCCGAGTTATCTTTGTGCTGGAGCATTTTTGGTATATTAGAGCTCTCTGCTTCTGCTCTCCTCTCCTTCCCCGCCTCTCCTCCTTCCACCAACCTTTTTGATCGGCATCTTTTTTAACATTAACACCAGGTAGTCCAACTTTTATCCCGTTTCCCTGACCGTCCTGATCAGGCCATCATAGTAGCTTGTCCTCCAGCTCACAGCAGGGTCCCATAGCTCTTTGCCCCTCCCCCGCAATTTCTCTCCCCGCAAATACTTTCGCCCATAATGGTCAAGGCCGGTACGTGCAAAGCATGACGATGATGCTGTCCCAGGCGGTGCCGTCGAGTTCAATTGGATCTATCTTTGATCAGCGGAGATTTTGACAGAAAGCTGACCTCTTGCGCAGTCGTTGCTGGTGCCGCTGGTGGCATTGGACAGGTTCGTATCAGGCTGGCATCGCTCAAAGCCCGAAAGTTACGACTAGATACTGACGGGAATTTCCTCTGCTACAGCCGCTATCGCTGCTCTTGAAGCTGTGTCCGCTTGTTGACGAGCTCGCTCTCTACGATGTTGTCAACACGCCAGGTGTTGCTGCCGATCTGTCGCACATTTCGTCCAACGCGGTAAGCTCTTCCTCGGTCCATGTCTGGTGTTGAGATTGTTTCCGACTTGCTAATGCGGTATTGTGACAATACAGAAAGTGACGGGCTACCTTCCCGCCAACGACGGTGTCCGTGCCGCCTTCAAGGATGCTGACATCATTGTCATCCCGGCCGGCATTCCCCGTAAGAAGCATCGCCCGCCCTGACCCTCCTGGACCTGAGAGGTGCTGTTTGGCTGCTAACGACATTTTCAATATAGGCAAGCCGGGCATGTCCCGTGATGACCTGTTCAACATCAATGCTGGCATCGTCAAGGGCCTCATTGAGGTCGCCGCCGATGTTGCGCCGAAGGCGTTTATCCTCGTTATCTCCAACCCCGTCAATTCGACCGTGGTCATCTCTGCCGAGGTGCTCAAGGCCAAGGGCGTCTTCAACCCCCAGCGTCTCTTCGGTGTCACTACACTCGACATTGTCCGCGCTGAGACCTTTGTTGCCGAGATTGCCGGAAAGTCCAACCCCCAGGAGCTGACGGTGCCTGTCGTCGGCGGCCACTCTGGCGAGACCATTGTGCCACTTTTCAGCCAGGTTCAGCCTGCTGTCACGATCCCGGATGACAAGTACGATGCTCTTGTCAACCGTGTCCAGTTCGGTGGCGACGAGGTTGTCAAGGCCAAGGATGGTGCTGGCTCTGCCACCCTCAGCATGGCCTACGCCGGTTACCGGTACGTCGAACCGCAGACAGCATTGTGAGCCGCACCGCTTACTGACGTGATACAGCTTTGCCGAGAAGGTCCTCAAGGCCCAGAAGGGTGCTAAGGGCCTCGTCGAGCCTTCCTACGTGTACCTTCCCGGCATCCCGGGCGGTGCCGAGATCGCAAAGAAGACCGGCACCGACTTCTTCTCCGTTCCCATCGAGCTTGGGGTATGAGTCCTCGAAATTACATGATCTCGTAGCGCTGATCGCTTTGCTGACCCTGCTTCTAGCCCAACGGTGCCGAGAAGGCTATTGACCCCCTTGCCAGCATTACTGAGAAGGAGAAGAAGCTGCTGGAGACGGCAATTATCGGTCTCAAGGACAACATCGGAAAGGGTGTCAAGTTTGTCCAGACGCCCGCGCAAAAGTGATGACCCCCTCTTTCTTTTCCCTTTGCACAGCCCCTTGCCCAATCTACACACCGCCAATCCATCATGCAGCCCAATGCATGCATGGAAGGCCAAAAAAGAAAGGCATTATAAGGGCAACCCCCAGAGGGAGGCTGGCCGGTTAGGCTATGATTTCTGGGCCCAAGTAGGGAGATGAACTCGGCTGGGCTGATAGATGCACAAAATATAACGAGACCAACAAGCCCAACAAGACCAACATAACCAATCTATGAAACCACGTTGCTGATCTGTTTTTCTTTCTGTCATTCTTTGGCTCGTTTAGGCTGTAAATGGACTACAGCGGAAGCACAGAGCCAGTCTGTGCATCATCGACGACCGACAAGCGAAAAGGACGGGCGGAGTGAGTGGTCGGAAAAGAGGGGAGGGAAGGGGGAGAGGAGGATGGGCCAAGCAGGGCAGTACGACAACCTAACGACGATACCCCGCATACGCTCCATTTGCCAGATCGGGGAAAGGGAAACAAGGTTCGGCAATGCAGCGAGTCAGCTTTCGGGCATATCGACTTGTCTGAGATCTGTTCGACAGCGGGGAGAGGTCGGAAAGCTGTGAATTGTTCGGGGAAGCACTTGTTTTGGCACGAGCGGCTTCCTTTTGTATTGGATTTGGAAGTTTTCGACAGGTGTTATTGCTGTTTTGAATAAGCTAAAACATAGCCCAGCTAACTGTCGGGGTGCAAAATACGAAGCAAACGTCCGTAATGGGAAGAGATTAGAATGCATGAGCGATGTTAGTACCAATGGCCGGACAGATCTGATATGAATTCTCAAATGTTCTGGGCGGTAAGGGTGAAAGGGATGGAAACGTGAAAGCATGCATAAAACATGTGTATATTATGTAGGGCTAGATCTCTTCATCCTCCATAGAGGCATTGAATACAATTACTCTAAAAAAGGGCAGTGAAGACAATAGGACAGTACAAATTAAAGAAGACAATGCGTTCACTAGTCGGACATAAAGCAACAAGCCTCTCAAAGCAAGACCTGGCTGTGACCGACAGAAGGTTACCCGGGGTTCCTATGTGGCTATTAAGGTTTTAGTTCACCAGTCGCATACGTTTTGCTGCGACAGTAGTCCGTAGGGCGCTGCATTGCGATCCGGTGTCCGTTTTCAATAGCACAACCAGGATCCCGTCTCTGGCATTCCTATGCTGTGTAGGGCCGCGTACAAATAATGGCCGTCCCAGCCTTGTCAGCATGCGACAAGCCGAGGCACAGTATTGAGCTGATGGTCATGTAATAGACAATGTTGGTATATAGAATGAGAGACAACATACATAATCTAGGTTGTTTTTGTTAAACTAACACACGCTGCAAAGTTTGTAAAAGGGCTACACAGTGGTAAAGCACCAAGTCCCTAGATTTGTTTTGCAGTACAGAGCTTTGCGAGATGCTCTAAGAGCTAGATTCAGAGGACAAAGGAAATGCGGCTTTCCCAGGTCCCGTCTAGAGGATATCCCTTGGGAAACTCCAAGCTCCCATTGTTCCTGCCATCCCCAGCTCTGGCTCGCTTCCCCAGTCACGCCTTCCCGAGTTGTGCAAGGAAGCAGCCAGGGCAGGCGCGACCCCTACAACTGATATATGAGAGATGCACCCTTATTCACAACGCCCCATACGCCGATTTGTCTGTCCAAAGCAGGTTGGCCACGTGGGCCTGCTGGTTCTCATTCCCTTTCCGTTTCGTACCATTAGCCTCATACTCCATCATACCTTTGTAGGCACTGTTTTGATCTGGAAGATGGCCCCTGGGAGCTCGTTGCTCTCGGCCTGTACAGTGGCGGTGATGCCTAGCGCCGCCAGAGCGCCGCGCACGATCCCACAGGGAAACCAGAGGAACTGTGATGTGTCAGCACATGAGTTTATAGGGGCTGAGAGCGGGTCCCTGTCATACCGGTTGTGCCTTGACGACGGCCTGTCCGCCAGTCTCCGTGCTCATCCGCTGAAACGGCCGGAAGGCGTTGTCGGTCAGGACATAGACTCCCTATGTGGCGAGCGGCTGTCAGCACCAACACGAGCAGATTGTGTTGGAGAAGGGAGAACAGGAGGGGAGCAATACCCTGTGGTTTGTCTTGAGGTTGTCCACTTGTTTGCGGAAGACAAGGGTCCAGAGATCCTTGCAGAGAAACTTGATGACATCCAGGGTGTCGTGAAATGGCGGGCGTTCGCGCGAGAACCTGGACGTCGGGCGGAAGAACGTGTCAGATTCGTCTCTCCTCGCTCCCGCTCTCCGGCTTACCGTTCGACCAGTCCCTGGCCTACGCGATAGCCCAGCATGTCTAGCCGGAACGACACCGCGTCCTGTTCCTCGTCGTCGTCGAGCACCCGACGGGAGCCGGCACCGCTCAGTGAGCCGGAGCCGGCAGTGCGGCCGGCCTCGCTCAGACTGGCGCCGCCAGCAGCAGCAGCAGCCGTGGACGAGCCCCTGGCAGCGCTGACTGAAGCCGCCATCGAGCCTCTTGGTGGCGGTCCTGCACCCGGAATGCCGGCGACGGCGGCGGCCACGGCCAGCGAGCGGGCTTGCGCGTCTGCCTGCAGCTCGTTGGTGACCCGGTAGGCCATGGGGACGAGCTCGATGAAGAGAAAGTCCAGACAGGCTGAGCTGAGGAACGTCGCCGACGGATCGGACGCGTTGTAGGGCGGCATGATGGTGTCAAACGACATGGTGGCGGCGGGTGCAGAGCAGACGACGGTGGGAGGAAAAGGGCTGTCGGCTCGTGGGAAAGGCGGGAAGTGCGCCCTCTCTCTCTTCGTTTTCCGCCTGTCTCGGCTCTCCTTTCTAGATGCGCCCTTCTTTCCTCACAAAAGAAACAGGCTGTCCGCACTCGCTGCAGCTCTGGCTCTCACTCCTGCTTTGTCGAGAGACCGAATGGGATTCCTAAAGCCGCGCTTCGGCCTTCAAATTGCTGGGCAGACGTCGTACTCTGGAGATACTCAGTCCCCTTCTCAAGTGCGGTAACTATGCGATGCTGATTATGGGGCTTGCGTACTCCGTACTTAGCGGGGTTTCCATCGCTTTGTAGCGCCCCGTTAAAGAAATGTACTCCGTAGTCTAATGCGCTATCGGCTACGCAGTATTACGGGGTAGTATGGCCACTATGTATTGATGTATTGTCCCTAGTTATACCCAGGCCGGTTTCCGACCAGATTTCCTTCTTTGCCGCCTTTCCTCTTTGTTTCCATCTCCAAACTCCAGGAAGACTGCACCCTGTCCGACGGCCGCGGCAGAGAAATTGTGTTTGAGAGTTATATAAACAAGACAAAAGGGGGAATATGTAAAAATCACGATGCATGCTTTGGTACTTTACAAACGGAGAGAAAAATGTAGAAACCCTGAAAAGAACCCTTTTCCGTGTCCTTCTTGTCGATAAATGCAATCCCTGGCGCTGAAACCTCAAAGCCGTCCCAAATTCAAAGCTCGATATCCTATAAAGTCGAGTAAGGGATAGGCGAAAACCCGCTGCTGGCAATGTGTTGCCGCTTCACTGGCGGTAGATGGGCGTCTTCGTCATCATCGCTGAGCGTCAGGTCGATCACCTCGCGTTGTCGCTTGCTGCCGGCATGGACCGGTGTGGCCGTCGCGTCCCTGTAAGCGACCACCGAAGCCGTGCTAGCCCGGCCCATGCTCTCGCGCACTTCGCTGGCGCTCAGGCCGCTGAACGGGAAGATCGACTCGTCTTCGTCAAGCAAGCTGGTGGCAGCCTCCTTTGGCGTGGATGGTGCATTGCCGTTCTTGGGTTTTTCGGCGTGCCATGTTCCGTCCGGATCGATGGTGACCTGGTCTTGGTCACTCGGCGTTTTGGCCAGTATTTCCTTGACGTATCTAACGGCTGTCAGCTTCTGGTGCGTTATCTTCCCGAACAGATGTGACATACTCGTCCACCGCCAGGGTATCAAAGGAGGCGGTGCGGCTGCACACGGGACACAGCCATTGAGGTCCCTGCTCTTGCAGTTGTAGGTAGGACGTGGCATCGAAGCACTGTATGTGCTTGCAGGTCATTGACCGGATCGGCAGCGACAGGCGCATGTATGTCAACGGACACTTCAGAGAGAGGACCTGTGACGTGGCGACAACATCGGGGTCCTGCGCCTGCCTTGTCACTGTGCGGCTGTCAGCAAGGAACAAAGAGCTGCCATGGGAGGTAGGCCCACCTTCTCGAATGACCGAGTCTTTGGTGATGCGTCTCCGCTCAATCACGCGCGTGAGCTCCGAGGCCGTGTGCGCCTTGCAAATATACAGTGCAAGGTAGAATCGCTGTGCGAAGAGAGTGTCTGCTGTGAGCATCGATTTTGGGCAGCGCTGTGGAGGCGAGGAGTCTGCTTACCTTGGCGGTCAGGGCGTATGTAAAGTCGAGCGTGTTGTTGTAGTTGGACGGCTTCAGGCGCAAAAGGCTGGTGATATCGACAGGCCGTGTTGAGCCAGGCTTGTTCTTGAGTCCCCGGAGGTTTGCCTTGACCTCGCCGCCATTGACCTTGATTTCGCATTGGTAAGGAAAGGCGATCTCCTGGACGCCAACGTTGCTGGCCGCACAAAAGATCATCACGCGCAGCGACTGGTCTACCAGACAGCGCTGCAGTGCGGGATACGACGAGACCCGGATCTGGACGGGGACACTGTTCCTATGTTGTGCCATGGCTGGAGGCCGTTAGCGACGACGATGCGACGGCATATGCGCCCAGGGCTTTTCGGACGCGAACGCACCTTCGCATGGCCGGACGTCGCCTAGTTGGGTGTCGATCTCGTAGAACGGGCTTGGCTTGAACTGCAGGCCTGCGCATTACGGTTAGCCAGGCCGGACTCGCGTGACAAGGGATGCATGCCGCTCACCGAGAAGGCCATTCGGCGGCAGTCGTTGGCCAAGCTCGCCACCATAACCAGCGCTTCCGCCATAGCCGCCACTCCGGTGTAGGACATTGCCGTTGGTCGTGCTGTTGCCGCTGTAGGGAGACGACATGCCGGAGGGGAGATACGACGGTGACGACGGTAGCGAGGAGGCAAAGTTGGGCACGCGATAATTGACCGAGGAGCTCCCGCGGCCAAATGCCAATATGCTCGACTGGATGTCGACGAATTTCTGGGGGTTCGGATCCTGGAAGGCCGCGTCGATCACTGTAGACGGAAGAGGACATCAGCTTGGAGCGGGTACGTTTGGGCGAGAGAGCCCGGATGGCGCGACGTGGACTGATCACGTACAGTTAACGATTCTCTTCTGCAGGTCGGCCTTATTGCCCGACTTGGCCAGGTGGTTGGCCACGCAGATCTGGACAAGGTCTCTGTTCTTGAGCGACTGGATTGTGCTGACCAGCTTGTCGATGTCTTCTTGGGCCGCCATTGTGATGAAGGAGATGAGCGCCGGCTGGGGGGCCGGGGGCAGGGACAAAGGAGGAGGAGAGAGAGAAGAGAAGCGGGACCGGCTCGACAAGGGTTGGCGGAATGAAGGATGGGGGGAGAGGGGGGGGGAGTGTGTGTGGGTTGCGGGCTTGGTGAAGACAAGAGAGGGGGGGCGGACAGGGCGGGCATACGCTCTGCTCACAGCGCGCTGAGTGGGCTGTCCAGGATCGGGCAGGCAGGCGGGCACTATCTGGCAGGCGCTTCGGCGTCGGGCAGCCTTGTTGTGGGGACGAGGGTGAATATCAAGTGAGAACGTTCGTCAGCTTGTAAATTCGGCAGGCTGTGGTTCGTGCGAGAACGGGTTGGCGAGAGAAGGCGGTCAAGTGCGGCAGAACAGGACGAGCCGGGGTTTGGTACGATAGTCGAAACAGCGGCAGAAAAGTCTCGATAAGAGGCTAAGAAAAAAAGAAGAGGCGATTTTCAGTGAAGACGAAGACAGCACACAACATATACAACAAATACAGAAAAGCACACACACAAACACACACACTCTCTCTCTTCCAGCCGATCGCAGCCATGGCCAAGAGTGCACGTGCGAGCTCGCGCAAGTTGAACAACCAGAAGCTCAAGAAGAATGTGTTTGGGCCCGTCGAAGCAGCCCGGACGGAACGGCTGTCGGCCAAGCTGATGGAGCTGGTGGCCCAGCAGCTGCCGGTCGCCAAGGAGGTCGAGGGGGCCAAGGAGGCAGGCGCCGTGGAGGCTGTGGCTGATTCGACGCCGAGCGCCCAGCTGCGCGACGAGAACACCGAAGGTATGGATATGAACGGACCGCTGCAGCGATCGGCTTCGTGCCTGGCTAACGAGGCTGCAGCCATGGACGTCGACTCGGCCGCCGCCCGCGGAACCGGTGCGGGGACGAAGCGCATCGTCAAGCGCAAGGTCAAGAAGGGCTCAATCGTCTTCCGCCGATACAAGGACCGGTCCTCGAGCAGGCGGAAGTGAATGTGGGCCTGGCAGGGGGCGGAGGATGCGGGCACCGGCACAGCCGAGACCTCGTCTCTGACGACCTCTGAAAACCTATTCAGTAGAGATAGCCTACAATGCAACGACGTTACGACCTTGGGCATGTTTTCGAGTTTTTATTTTATTTTATTTTTTCTGTAAGGCTGTTCCCCGTAGGCGGTGCTGTCAGCTGCTGTATTACAGGGCTATTAGCGCCGGACGCAACGCGCTCCAATGACAGAAGGCGCTGTGGGGCCGAGCCTGGAAAGCTCAACTGTGGCCGTACCAACAAGACAGTAAGCAACGGCCAGGTCGCATCGCACCATCTGCTTCTTGGCATCCATTCCTTTGGCAGCAGCATCTGCACGCCGCGCTCTCCTCTACTGCCACGATGGTCGCGCAGCCGGCCGCACGCACGCCTCCCTTGGCGGTCCTGCTTCTGGTCGTGGCCAATGCTCTTATCCCGCTCTCGCTGGCCGTTCTTTTGGCCAGGGCTTCTTCCCGTACAAGCCGCTGCTGCCGGGCCTGGCTGAGTATGCCGACCTGGGCTATGGCCCGCCGGCGCCGGCGCCGTTTGACCGTGTCATCTTCATGGTGGTCGACGCCCTGCGGAGGTGAGCGCGATGGACGATGGACGATGGTATGGTGACGACGTGGGCTTGTTTGCTGACGGACCAGTGATTTTGTCTATGCGCCGAACAGCGGGTTTGCCTATACGCAGTCGTGAGCAGCTTCTCGTGTCCTTCCCTCCGGCCAAGCTGACCGTCTAGACTCATCCGCAGCGGCGAGGCCGTCCCGTTCACGGCCCTTGCCAGCTCGCCGACGGTGACGATGCCGCGGCTCAAGGCGCTCACGACCGGCTCCACGCCGTCGTTCCTGGACGTGGTGCTCAACGTGGACGAGGGCGACCGGTCGTCGTCGCTGGCGTCGCAAGACACATGGTTGGCACAGATGCGGGCGCGTCAGCCGGACCAGAAGCTGCTGCTCTATGGCGACGACACCTGGCTCAAGCTCTTCCCCGACACCTTTGACCGGGCTGACGGGACGACGAGCTTCTTCGTGTCCGATTTCACCGACGTCGACCGTAACGTCACGCGTCACGTTGCCGGCGAGCTGGCTGCGGCCGACTGGAGCGTACTCGTGCTGCACTATCTCGGCCTCGACCACATCGGCCACAAGGGTGGTCCGCACAGCCCGCACATGACTGCCAAGCAGCGTGAGATGGACGACGTCGTGCGCCTCGTCTGTGACGCCCTCGCCTCTGAGCCGCACCTGGCCAAGACCCTTCTCGTGCTCGCCGGTGATCACGGGATGAACGAGGCCGGAAACCATGGCGCCTCGTCAGCCGGCGAGACGTCCCCGGCCCTGCTCTTTGTGGCCCCTCGGCTGCGCGTCCTGGCTGGTGACAACGACGGCCGCCCTGCTCGCACGAGTCCTCTGGCCGACCGTGACGACTTCCACTTCTACCAGACCGTCGACCAGGCTGATCTGGCCCCGACCCTGGCTGCCCTGCTGGGCTTTCCTGCTCCCCGGAACAGCCTCGGCACGCTCATCCCGGACTTTTTGCCGCTGTGGCCGCAGCGTCGCGACCGCGCCCATCTTCTGCTGCAGAACGCCCACCAGATGCTGGCCGTGCTGACGGCCGCCTTTGGGCCGACGCCCTTTGAGCGCCGCGACGACGCCACAGATTTCCGCGACTGTGCCGATCCGCGATCGGATGACATCACCAGACTCGGCTGCTCGTGGCAGGATATCGTGCGCCATTCTCCCGGTCCCGAGGGCGATCTGGACGGCGAGTGGACGGCGCAGACGATCGGCTGGCTCCGGCTGGCTCAGTCCACCATGAGCGGCATGGCTAGCGACTATGACCTGGTCAAGCTGGGGCTTGGGCTCGCGGCTGCAACGGCCAGCGTCGTCTTGGCCGTCGGATCGTCGGTCCTGCTCGGGTCTGGTCGTGGTGGCATCGCGGCCGTCGGTCCGCTTGTGGCTGTCGGGGTCGCCTACGGAGTGATGATGTTTGCCAGCAGCTATGGGTCGAGGAGGAGCATCACTTCTGGTACTGGACAGTGACGGCATGGGTGGCGACCGTGGGACTGCGCAAGCTGGCTGCCAATCAGAAAGATGTGCTGCCGCCTGTCGTGGCCGTGGTGGGAGCCCTGACGGCATTTCGGCTGGTGCGGGCTTGGAACCAGACGGGCCAGAAGTTTGCCGGCGCGCCAGACGTGGCCAAGACGTTTTTGCAGCCGCAGCCGCAGCTGTTGTGGGCTCTTGTCGGCGCTACATATGTGCTGATCGGCTGGCGGCTGGCTGGTAGTCTGTGTTCGTCGCGATCGCAGGCCGTGGTGGTCATGCCGGCTGTCGTCCTGCTGGTGGCCCTGGCCTTTTCATTCAAGCTGGCCTTTGCGCTCGAGGACTCGCCCGAGCTCGTCGGCGACGCCGTCCGGCCGCTGGCCGACCTGTTTCGCAGCACCAGCACGGTCGTCAATGCTTCTCTGGTGACGCGTGCACGCATCGTCTTTGTCGGCTTATCCATAGCCACGTCCGTGGTCGTTGTTGCTGGCCGTCAGGCTGCCATTGCTGCCGGCCTTCTGCACGTCTACTCGCTGCTGGCCGTCACGCAGTCGCGGCCCGTCAACGTGCCGCTCTTTCTGCTATTTGACGTCGTCTTTCGCTTTCTGGCTCGCCAGCAGGCTGAACTCGCACCGGCTGAGCTCACCACGGCCTCGCTGCTGCTGCAGACTGCCTCCTTCTTCGCCCTCGGCGGCACCAACGCCATCTCCAGCGTTGACCTGTCGTCTGCCTACAACGGCATCACTACCTTTTCCGCTCCGGCTGTCGGCCTGCTCATCTTTGTCAGCAATTGGGCCGCCCCCATCTATTGGGCTCTGGCTGCCGTCGTCCTGCTTCTGCAGCAACAAAAACAGAGCCCTGCCCTGCTCTGGATCCGCCACGTCGCCCTGCTGACCGTCTTTGCCGCCGGCAGCACGGCTGCTGTCATGGCCGCCTGCGCTGCCATGCGCACACACTTGTTCGTCTGGACCGTCTTCTCGCCAAAGTTCCTCTACTGCACGGCCTGGAGCCTGGGCATGCACTTGGGCGTCAACGTCGCTCTCGGCGGGCTGCTGTACGGACTGGGGAGGTGATGGACTGGGTGGTGTACGAAGATGAATGTATGAGTATTCGCATGCAAAGAGAAGCAGATAATCGTAAACATAATCCAGCAATGACCATTCGTCAGACCTATATAACAAAGCCCAGGCGACCTGGGAAGGAGCGCCCGGAAAGGACAGAAACACGGAAAGAGCATATATGATTAGTCATCCAGTAGGTCATCCACGAGCGAGTCATCATCTGCGAGCACGACGGTCTGGGCAGTCTGGTTGGCGGCATCGTCGTCGTCGAGCTCGGACTCAGCCTCGTCCTCCTCATTGATGCGCGGCTCGACGACGACGGTACGGTCATGATCGCGGTCGCGGTCGCGGTCGCGGTCATCGGGGCCGAGCGACGTAGACCGGCTGGTGCTGCGACGGGCGGCGATGGAGCCGGCGGCAGCCTGGTCGAGTCCGTTGACGATCTTGCCGAGGCTGACGTGGATCTTGTAGAGGGCGTTGCGGCTGGTGGCGTCGGCGAGCAGCTGGCTGTCGACGGCCTCGGACACGTCTTCGTAGAGGGTACGAATCTTGTCTTCGGAGGAGGTCGGAGAGATGTAGAGTTTTCCGAGGAGGGGAGCGAGTATTTTCTTTTCTTCTTCTGGGCAATTGGGAGAGGAGTCAGTATGAGAGGAAGAAGGAAAAGGGGAAAAAGGAAAAGGAAAAAGAAAAAGAAAAGAACAAGAAAAAAAATAAACCCCCAAACTCACTGCTCGCGTTCCCGTGCAGCCGCTCCATGATGGCGGCCGCAAAGTCCAGATGGACGTCGCCGTTGACATTCTTTCGCTCAATCCCATCGACGGTGATGCTGTCGGGACTGTAGCACTTGCGTGGATCTGTCCAGTCGACCAGACAGGCGCCGACAGTGGCCAGGCTGACCATCTCGGTGCCGACATCGGCATCGTCGTCCTCAAGGCCCTCACGCACGTTGAAGAGGGCGTGCAGGGCATCCGGAGCGACGGCCTGCATCAGGGCCTGGTTTTCGGGCCGCGAGAAGCAAAAGACAGGCAGAAAGTAGTTGAGAGCCTGACGCACGCCTTGATTGCCGGCGCTGGCCGGCTCAAAATAGGCGACGACGAGCGTCCGGAGCAGCTCAGCCGCCACGTCTGGCTCTGTGACCACGCGTCCGAGCAGCAGCTTCGACACGGCCACGACGGCCGTCGCCTGCACCTCGGGCGCCCGCGCACCCGATCGTAACGCCCGCACGTACATCCGCAGCAGCGCCGCACTCGTCGACAGCAGCTGGGCCCCGTGTACGTTCAACATGTCCGTCAGGATCTGCAGCGCTGTCATCTGCAGTGCCGTGTGGCCCTTGCTGTAGAAGCGCATAAACACGTCCAGGTTCTCCTCTGCCAGCGATCGGTCCAGCAGCGCGCACAGCCCCAGACACACCAGCCCGCGCTCTCGCACTGGTGCCTCGTGACTGCGCACTGCCGGCACCACCAGGTTGTTCAGCATCGCCACCAGGTGGTCGTTCTTCTGCAGGCTGCCCGACACGTTCGACAGCATGCACTGCACAATGTGCAGACACTTCATGTTGATCATAATCTCCTTGATCGCCTTGGCCTGCACTTCTTCTTCGGTAGGGGGCTCTTTGGCTTTGTTGCTGTTGGTCTTTCCATTCCCAGTCCCACCATGGTTGCCCTTGTTGTTACCACTCCCATTTCCACCCCCAGACTCGCTCACCTCCGATCGCGCCGAGTGGAAGCTGTCGTCTTCGGCTGCCGCCTCCTCGTTCGTGTCCACGTCGTCCAGGATGGTGTCGTGCACATCGGCCACCGCCTCCAGCACGACGCTGCAGAACTCCCGCTCGCCCGCCGCGTCTGGCGCGCAAATGTCTCGCAGCACGTCCACTGCCAGTCGTGTCACCTCGTCTGGCAGCTCTGGCGTCGACAGGCTCTGCCGCAGGAGTGCAAACATCTTACGTCGCCCCACCTCGTCCGAGTAGTCCAGCGTGAGCGCAATGTGCAGCAGCTGCTCCACGATAAACTCCTGCTCCACCGTGTCTTCCTCCTCGTCCTCCTCTTCGTCCACCTGGGCCTCTTTTGCGTCTGCCTGCCGGATCGCGTCCACCAGCACCTTGACGTACCGCTCCAGGTAAAATGCCAGCTTCGTCACCTCCGGCAGCTTCTCCTCCACCAGGTACTCGTACTTGCCGCTCTCGTCGCTGCGGCAGAAATCGTTGAAGCTGCGCACCAGGAACACGGACTCTGCCGAGAGCGTCTCCCAGAACGCTTCGTCAAACGTCATCGCGTCCCGATAGTCTGGCCGACCCTCCCAGAATCCGCGCATCGCCTCTAGCGCCACCCCGTCCTCGCCGCCCGAGTTGACCACGTCGATTCGCTCCAGCAGCTCCAGCAGTCCGTCTACACTGGTATTTGTTGCTCCTGTCGCCTGTCCGCCCTCTTCCTCGGCCGGCAGCCCGGCACAGTCCTCGATCCAGCGCTCGCGAAATAGCCGCCCTGCTGCCTTGCGCACGTTCTCGTCACGATCCCGCAGACCCCACCGCAGCAGCTTTTCGCGCATGGACAGCGACAGATGCCGGAAATCGCCCAGAGCCGGCAGCAGCCGCGCATATACTGCTCGCCGCGTCGCCGCGTCTGCGTCACGTGCCCGCTCCAGCAGATATGGCAGCGTGTTTGGCAAGATCGGCAGATTGACCAGCAACGACCGCCGCACGTCAGCGCTCGGGTCGTTCTGCAGCACCTCTAGCAGCTTGTCCAGCAGCCCCGACGTTGCCATGTTGCCGTCGCTGTCGTCCGAGTCTTCCGGGCCCTCGCCTGCGTTGCCCGCCAGCCGGCCCAGTCCTAGCACTGCCTGTGCCCGCACCATCGCCTCCTTGTCGCGGATCCGCCGCAGCAGCCCCGTCCGCAGCTTCTGGAATAGGTCGTCGTCGATCGCGTCCAGCGAGTTGACAATGTGTGCCACCAGCTGTGTCGAGCGGTACCGCACAAACTTGTCCTTGGCCACCAGCAGCGGCAGCAGCTGGTCTACCAGATCGCCCGTCAGCCGTGTTCCCGGTGTCTCCGGCATGGTGCTAGCATCCTCATCCACCTCGCCCAGCAGCTCGTTGTCCTTCTCGATTGCCAGACGCAGAAACAGTCCCACGAACCGCACCACTTTGTCGCCTACCGGCTCGGCCTTGCGCACCGGCATCACCCGCAGCACGCACCGCACAAACTCCGCGTTGAAGTCGTCCTCGTGGAAGTCTGCTGAGCCTGCTGCCGCTGCCGATGGTCGGCTCACACTCGTCGGCTCGTAGCAGCACGCTTCCTGCATTTTGCGCAGCGTCACCGCCAGCTTGCGGTGCGAGGCTGTGTTCTTCTGTGCTTCGCGAAATATTGGCACCACCTTGGCCCGCAGTGCATTATCTTCCGTCTCCGGAGGCACGTCCACGTTCGTTACCGACGACGCTCGCGATGCCATCGACGTCTTGTGTGAGACCGCTGCCGACGACCGGCCTGATTTGGATGTTCGCGTCGGCATGTTTGCGGATATTCGATCAGAATTGACGGAAGGGACCAAAAAATACAAGTGAGTATAAGACAACCAGCGATTGCAAACGTAGCACAGCTCGTTGCTGATTTTTCACACTATCAACCCTCTGAGGGGAGGAGGGGGGCCGTTAATATTGTGATGACAACAAGAGGCCCCGTTGTTTATTTTGACACTCTTTGGGACTAGCAGTTTGATTAGTAAGCACGCATGATTCACGTGACATCTATAATGGCTTATCGATACGGTGGCCCACTGTAATTTTTTTCTGCGAAGTCGTCTGACCAGTCTGAAGAAAAACTACGTTCTACGAAAGTGAGACGGTGCAGACTCGGCACAACACACACAAGATGGCTAAATCCGTGACGCAAAAGAGGAGAAGGGAGGCCGAGGCTGACCAGGAGCGTCGCCATGACAGCGAGGCCACCGGCGAAGACGCACCGACGACCGCCCCACCTAGCAAGAAGGCCCGCGTTGAAGAGCGTCGGTCTGTCTTTGTTCGCTCACTGCCCTCGACGGCGACGAGCGAGAAGCTGACCGAGTTCTTCTCTGAGCACTTTCCCGTCAAGCATGCCACCGTCGTGACTGACCCCAAGACCAAGGAGTCGCGCGGCTACGGCTTCGTCACCTTCACGGACGCCGAGGACGCCAAAGCAGCCAAGGAAAAGCTGGACAATGGCCTCTTTGACGGCCGGCGGTTGCGGCTCGACATTGCCGAACCGCGACACCGGCCCAGTGCAAGTGGATCTGGAAAGGGTGGCGGCGGCGCGGCTGGCGCTGCGGCCATTGCCACCAAGAAGAAGCGGGAAGAGGATCTGGCCGAGGCTCGCAAGGCGCCCAAGCTCATCGTCCGGAATCTGCCGTGGAGCATCAAGACGTCGGAGGATCTGACGAATCTGTTCCGCATGCACGGCAAGGTCAAGTTTGCCGATCTGCCCCAGTCCAAGGGCAAGATGTCTGGCTTCGGCTTCGTCACGCTCCGCGGCAGGAAGAACGCGGAGAACGCGATTGCTGCCATCAACGGCAAGACGGTCGATGGCCGCACACTGGCCGTCGACTGGGCTGTGGACAAGCAGACATGGGACCAGCAGCAGCTGAAGGAGGGAAATACTTCGGCGGAGATGACGGAGAAGGCGGAAAAGAAGGAGAAGCGGGAAGGAAAGGGCGAGAAGAAGGAAGAGAAGAAGGAAGAGAAGAAGGGAGAGAAGAAGGAAGAAGAAGAAGAGGAAGACGAGGATATGCGGAACTTTATGAAGAACGTTCTCCACACGCTGGAAGATGAGGAGGAAAGTGATAAGGAGGAGGATGAGGAGGACGAGGAGAAGGACGAGGATGAGGAGGACGAGGATGAGGAGGAGGAGGATGAGGAGGACGAGGAAGCTGGGGATGACTGGGAAGACGAGGGCAGCCAAAAGGACGAAGAGGACAAGGAGAAGGAGGCACCAAAGAAGACGTTCACGACAGACAACTCGACAACGCTGTTCATACGCAACCTGCCATTCACGACCAGCGACGAGGCCTTGAAGACACACTTCTCGCAGTTTGGCGCGGTGCGGTACGCACGCATCGTGATGGACCGGGCGACAGACCGGCCGGCCGGCACGGGGTTTGTGTGCTTCTTTGACGGGGAGGTAGCGCAAGACTGTGTGCGGGCAGCGCCGCGAGCAGCGCCGGCATCAGCAGCAGCGGCATCGGCAGCGGCTCTGGGCAAGCGGTCAGTGTTGCAGGACGAGCGGGTAGACCGAGACGGGCGATACACCCTGGACGGACGGGTGTTGCAGGTGGCGCAGGCAGTCAGCAAGACGGAGGCGACGCAGCTTGCGACCGAGGGTCCAGGGGCACAGCGGGTGCGCGAGAAGGACAAGCGTCGTCTCTTTCTGCTGAGCGAGGGCACGATCGCGGCCGGAACGCCGCAGCACGCGCTTCTGCCGCCCAACGAAGTGCAGATGCGCGAGCAGAGCGCCAAGCAGCGGGCCGCCATGGTCAAGAGCAACCCGAGCCTGCACCTGAGCCTGACGCGGCTGGCCGTGCGCAACATCCCACGCCACATCGACTCCAAGGGCCTCAAGGAGCTGGCGCGCCGCGCTGTGGTCGGGTTTGCCACGGACGTCAAGGCCGGCCTGCGCGAGCCGCTGTCGCGGGAGGAGCTGTCGCGTGGCGGCCAGCTGGACCGCGAGGCCGAGCAGCGTCGTCGTGCCAAGGGCGTCGGCGTCGTACGCCAGGCCAAGGTCGTCTTTGAGTCCGAGCAGGGCTCCAAGGTGGCTGAGAGCGGCAGCAAGAACGGCAAGAACAGCAAGACCAAAGACGGCGAGGCAGCACCGGTCGGTCGCAGCCGTGGGTATGGCTTCATCGAGTACTGGTCGCATCGCTGGGCGCTGACTGGCCTGCGCTGGCTCAACGGCCACCCGGTCAAGAGCCAGGACGGCGCCAAGACAAACCGGCTGATCGTCGAGTTTGCCATTGAGAACGCCAACGTGGTGGCGCGGCGCAAGGCCAACGAGGAGCGGTCGCGGAACCCGCGGCCTCGGACAGAAGAGGGCGTCGAGGCCAACGGCGTGGATGCGGCCAAGGGCAAGTTTACCGGTCCAGGCAGAGACCGGAAGCGAGATGGCAAGGATGGCAAGGACAAAACCAAAAACAAGGCGGCCCAGGCGGCCCAGTCCACCCGGATCCACAAGGCTGCCGATGAGCCCAAAGACGCCGACCTGGTCAAGCCATCCAAGAAGCAGAGGACCGACGCCAAACTGGCGATGCGTCAGCAGATTATCGGGCGCAAGCGGCTGATGCGCAAGAAAAAGGGCATGGCGAGGTCGGGCTGAGCGAGTGCGGACTGAGCGAATGCGGACTGAGCATTGCAAACGGGTCACCGCGGTTCGGAATTGAGGCTCAAAGGCAGCTGCTAGTATCTAGTCGCTGATTCAATTGCTTTGAAACGTCCTTGTGTCTTTCGCTACTGTGATTATTATGACATTATATGACATTAGTCATGGCTCTGTTCCTTTCCTTTTGCCGTCCATCTCCAGCGCTCCTTCCTGAAGGGCGAGGAAGTCGGAATGTGAGCCGCCCTCCTGTAGAACCTGTGCATCCCAGAAGATCGGCTGAATGCTCCCACGACACCTGGACATCCACCCTCGCCAGACCTTGACACCCACCCTGCCTTCATCCTTCGTTCAGCTCCGATCGGGTCGCACCGGCTGCTCTCGTGCTCCCGTCCTGCTGCCATCGGCCAGCTGCGAGATGACCACACGACCTGGTTGCGTCTGCTGCCTGTCTCAGCTCGACCTGATCGTCTTTTCCGTCTTTTCTGTGTGAGAACAGACGACTGAAAGGAATTTAGCCCTGTCGTTTGCTCTCAAGCGCACGATGCCCCTTGCCCTCTCGTCAAGTCACTGGTCCACAAGCAAGCTGCTTTCGAACACACACGTCAGATCTGCCACCACCTGACCATGACATTTCTGCTCAGATCGTTCGCCGTCGCCAGCGGCCTACTTATGGCCATCGTCGCCAACTGTCACGACGCCACCCAGAACGCCCGGCCGGGTGCCGCCCACATCCAGCTGTCGCCCACTCAACGTGCTCAGTTCAGCTTCCAGCCCTTTGAGCTGACAGACGTCTGCTTCGCGTGCACTCGGCCCAACGCAACCGTCCTGTTTGCCTGCAACGTCCAGTGTGGGTGATCCGTCCCGGAATTGGCTGTCTTGCTCTGCTAACATCCTGTCAGTCGACTGGTTCGACCCCAACTCTGTCAAGGAGAACAATGTCACCTCCTGCTCCTGCTCCTACTCATGGCATTGGGACGGACAGGCAGCCGCAAACGGCGCCAACAACACCTACGACGCCGTGGACTTTCTCGTCTGCTCCAATCACCACTCGTCCCTGTTTGAGATGCGCGTCAATTTCTTCTCAGACCCAACCAACCTGACCCTCTTCATGAGCCACTACTACAAGGATAGCTCGTGAGTGCACCCGTTTCATCGTTCTGCTCCGCTCGAGCTAACAGCACAGCCTCTGGGGTGCGCCCTATCTGTATGTCCAGACCTGGGCCATGCCCATCCTCAATCTAACGCGCGAGAGCCGCGATAACGAATCAATGCGCTACTTCAAGGCGGGGCCAATCCTTGCCAACATCACTGGCCTGGACGGCTGAAGAGGCGTGCGTCAAAGTACGTGGGATGGTCCGTCTGAGTAGGAAGCCAAATAAGAGCTTTGATAAAAGGAGGAAATATGCTTGCCGAATTTGGAGCCCCAAGCGTATCAGAGGATGCTTACAGGCAACAATTGCGTGGGTTGGCTCTTTTGTATGTAAGGCTCGCAATAAGCATGCAAGCACAATATGCAAATAGAACGAAACAGATTCTATTGAGACATTCTTCTTCTCTTATATACATCGTCTGGAACGCAATAAGCCGGAGAGAAATCGGTACGCGGATCGATTGGGTGAAACGAGGCACAGTCCCGAAAGCAGAACCAAGCCAGCGTAGACAGGCCAGAAGACCCGGTCTTCCCGACTGCTTATTCGAGCGGATACGACGTCTGGGGCAGGGACTCGAGGTGTTTCCGGTGGTGCTCGTTGGCCTAGCACAGTTAGCAGACGGACGTCCAGAAGGGATCGCGGCCGAGAAGACGCACAAAAGGAAGCCCGCAGTAGCCGCAGGCACAGATCTGTGGCTTGTCTGTGTTGATAAAGATGCGCGGATGGCCGGCCGGACCGCCGCCTCCATCACACGACACAACGCTGTCGTGCGTCCACCGGACCGGCTGCTGGTGGATGAGCTCCATGGCCGAGTACGGTTGGGGCTGTTACCATTAGCATCGCCTCCATGTCTGCATCCGTTCGCGCTTCCGCATCGCACCTGCAGGGAAAAGTCTGTCTGCTCAAAGCGAGGGCCCGTCATGGCCTGCTCGCGTGGCCGCTGGTTGCGCGTCCACACGCCCGCCCGGTTGGGTGCCTGCTGCAGGGTCACGTCGCTCTTGGACGCACCGGTCGTCTGCGGTGTCAGCGTCTCCGTCGGGGCCGCCGCTGCCGCGCCGTCCTGCGCCTTGCGCGTCGTCATGGCAAAGGCCCGCTTCTGCTGCTGCTTCTGCTGCTGGGCCGCGACTGAGCCGAGGGCCAGGCGCCCCCGCTGCAGCACGCTCCGTCTCGAGGCCGACAGCATAGTGATCGGTCGCTGGTGGTTCTGACTGGGGGAATGGTGCCGCCAATGGACGTCGGTCGTGTCAGGCTTGGTCTTCCGACGCTTTACGGGCTGTCGAACTCGGTCCACGAAAATGCGTTCCGTCAAATCGAATTGGCAGGCGTGCGGTTGGCCGGCTGAGAGACTGGTGGCCCGAGCGTCCAGACGTTCGACGGATACAGGATAACCCGCTTCCGAAAACAACCCGCTTTTTCCTTTTTATTTTCCTTCCCTTGCAACCATGTCTCTTCGTCCTGGGTTATGCGAACGAAGAGAAATTGTGTCTGGTCAAGAGGTTTCTGCTACAGCTTCGGAACGAGCATCGTGCTACGTGCTGCTCCTTGTATACGCATCCTTGTTCGGATTCCGATCTTTGGCCTGTTGATTCCACCCTCGTCCTTCTGCCAGTCACGGCCGTTCGACGTCTAAACCTGCATCATGGCATCGTCTCAGTCACCCAAGGCGACGCCTACACGGCCCGCCACGTCGCGCCTGCTGGCCATGAAATTCATGAACCGGCTCGGAGGATCTGCCGACTCCCCGCCTACGCCGTCGTCTCCGTTGGCCTCTTCGGAGCCCTCTACGCCGCTGGCCAAATTCGCATCGGCCGGTGCGCTCAAGGATGCGATCGGTGTGGACGGCCGGGGCGATGAGAGCGGTCGACGCTCGGCAAAGAGGCGCCGGGTGTCTGGCGTCTCCGATGCCGCCGGAAAAGACGAGCCCGAGGATGGTGCTGCAGCTACGATGGCTACCATGGAAGCCCAAATGAAGGCTTCCATGGACGAAGAGGAGCGGCGACGCCAGGCGGCGATCAAGAAGCGGGCAGCTGAGCTGGGCGACGAGCAGTGGACCTGGGACAGGCCGCTGCCACCGCACATTGCCGCCCGGATGGCAGCTGCCGGCACGGCCGCCTCCAAGTCCAGGACGATGGCCTACTCGTCCGTCGTGCGGGTCGGGTTCGCAGAGATCGACAGCGCCGATCACAGCAGCGATGCCGACCCGATCAAGCCGACAATCATGCGATTCAACATGAAGAAATCAAAGGTACGCTGAAGCTTTGCCGAAAGAGGAGCTGGCTCTTTGCTGCTTTTGTTCCTTGTGCTCACACTCTGTCTGGCATAGGCCGCTGGCGAATCCACGGGGGACAGCGATGAAGACGGGGAAGACGAGGGCGAGCTGGCCAATATCGGTGGATCCCGAAAGCGGTCCCGGTCAGATGCAGGAGGACAGCGGAAGAAAGGCCCGCCCATGAAGCTGAAGCATTTGACGTCCTTGTCGTCCCAAGGCGGCCAGAACACGATGAAATGCCATCGATGTGGTCGCGCTGGCCACAAGTCTGCCAGCTGCCCGTCGACCAACCTGAAGAGGTCAGGCTCGAAGAAGCGGTGAACGGCGGCCTAAAGCACAACGGGCAAGAGAGGGGATTAGGACTTGGTAGAGTGGCGAAGCCTGCGCCTCGAAGCTGCTTTTGCGCCTCTAGCAGACGCTGTCGATCAGTGGGTATTTCTCCCACGACCCCCGACCGGCCGCACAGCAGCTTTGCGCTGCGCCCTTGCGTCGTCACGCAGCCAGCTGCAGAGAGACCACCACTTCCTCTGGAAGCGTCGGCACGCCCTCTACAGGCATGCCGGTTGGCTGAAGAGCGGCTGAGGCCCTCTATTTACCGACCAGTCAAGCTAGTTTTGCCGTGAACATCCTTAGCGACTACGGAGTAGCGCCTTAAATATGAAGCCCGGAAGGAGGGACGGATGGACCGAGGCCAGTGAGGTGCTGTATGCAGCCCCCCTCCCATCACGAGCATGTCGGCAAGCGGTGTAGCTACGTCCAAAGCAGGGTGGATAATCGTATTCGGAACGTACGCCTCGATGTCCAGTTGGCCAACCGTCGTGGCTGACCGCTCAGTATTGCTTCTGTATGCCAGTCTGCATGCACATTCTCAGCAGAACTGTAAGATACGTGGTGCGACATCGACCGTCAGCAAGCGATAATATACGTTGGCTTTCTGTTTCACTATCAATCTGGTGCTCTGCCTCTCTGTTATCGTTTTGCCACCGGACACGGGCTGACCGGGCTTGTAGTTCTCCGTCAAACGGCTGCTGTCCACGAGAAGAAACGTGGGACAGACATCTTCCACAGCTACAATGTATAGGTGGACCATTGAAGACCCTGCTCTGCTCGTACAAGCACGAGCCAGCGTAGACGATTGACGATCAACAGCACCACGAGCAGGAGTACATAGCTCGCTTCTCCTGTACGAGCATCTGTGGCCAGTACACGTTCGCTTCGCCCTATGCCAGGCCATTGTCCCCCCACGCTCTCTCCGGTTGCCTTCCCGGTCAGCAATACGAGACGGATGGCACGGAGGAAAGACGGAAGCTAAGAAAGGACCTCAGAATCAGCCCAGTTAGGTATGAATGAGGAATATAGTATGCCTTTCTGTCCAACATTGCTATGTAAGATACCACCCTTTCAGAACCATGCACCATTATGAGCTGGGATGGGCCGATCCCGTCCGGTCCGTTCCAAAGGGGAGCATGCAAATCATACCGAGTCAAAGCACAAGGGGACCGAGAGAGAGCCATAAAGGGGCTGTCTGATTTTATCAAAGAGAGGAAAAACAAGGGCGTTGATACGACCATTATCACGACATGTATTACCTGGGGGGGTATGAAAGGGGACTGAGAATCGGCTCCGCCGAAACGAGCGTCCCCTGTGCTATAGCCCTTCTTGTGTCAACACTCGGCCGTTTAAGAGAAACGCACAGCCTGAATAGGGTTTGAAACGCGGTCACAGCGCCCAATCATCCTTCTATATGCAATGCAAACGGGGGGGGGGAGCCAGGGTGGGACTGCGAGAATTTGATGCTTTGACCAGGAAGCATGTCGTCCCGATATTGGGTGCTCTGTCATGCGGATGCCACTTTGCTTGATTCTCTGACAAGGCTGCCGGACAGACAACGCTTTCGCCCAAGCAGTGAGTGAATCAATTTGCCTGTACGAGTAGAGTAACGCCGGCATGACAAGGCCGATTACCAAGCGACGTCGAGCGTGGACGTATCTTATGCGTGGCTATACCGGATGGTTGCAACCGGAGAGCATGCCGGTGTAGGAGAGCGCGTACAGTGGCGAGTAACAATCCCTACCCACGCTCGTCGCCCACCGCTTTCTTGCCCTGGCGCCATATACTTGCATTGTTTTCAGACCCCGGGTATAAACTGCAGGCTCACCGTCGTTGACAGCACTACGGAGAGAAAGTCAGCCGAGTGGGGGGTGCTGTTTCGAACGGCATTGCATGCCAGTCCCAGGAGGACAAAGCATAGTCTGGCGGTGATGAGTACAGTACGGAGGAGTGAGTGAGTGATACGCACGCTATCGCTGCATGTGGAAGCTGGTACCGTGACGAGAAGCAGCTCATACAGCGGTCACTACAAATTGCACAGGCACACTTGTAAACGAGGGCGCACATGAGGAGGGGAGAGTGGATAAAGACCCTTGTCTGATGGCCGCACTCTGTACACCATCTCTGTCTGGATGACGGCGGCTGGCCTTGCGGCCTTGTTTGTGGCCAAGAGTTGAAGAGACCGGTCAAGAAGATGAACACGCGCGGCGTTTACGCTAAACCTGTGCTAGAGAGCGTACTTTGGCCACAAAGAGGGCAAGAGTAGCGAGCCCACATTTTCGGGCAAATTCGATACATAGTAGAGGCTGTATGACGGCTGGCAGACTCTGGCGCGCCATGTTCGCAGCGCCCATTGTCCGTGTTGGGCTTCACTGCAGAACCTGCTGGAAGACTTGTGGAATAAGCAGGTGCGAGGCCGGGCTCCAGACGGGAAAGCGCGAGTTCGACGAATAATGCTCGCCTTTATGACTAAACGCGCTTGCGGGCGTAGAAAGTCGGCCTTGGGAGGCCGAGACAAGGCAGCAGTGAGCGTCTACATCCCGCAACACAGTCTCGCTTAGTTCTTTACGACTGCTTGATCTGAAACGGTCAGTCTGATTTGGCCCTGTTCTCTGCATCGCATCCAGTTTGCGGCCCGTTCCTCTCCTCCATCGTGTGTGCTCTGTCCCAAAGTCTTCCATCCATCAGCCTCTGTCTCTTTCTTCCCACTTCCTACACCTTGCCTACAACCCCGTGCTATCACGCCAGGCCATCCTACCCGCGGAAGCTGCTGTACCCACCTGCCGCTGTCGTCTTAATATGTGTGGGATGCCGTGTGGGATGCCGCATCATCTTGTGGCATAGGCAAGCGCATATATGCACACACTCGTCCCCGCCCTGTCTCTGGCAGCTTCCGGGACGCAGGACAGGCAGGTCAAGTCACAGAGGTCGGCTGCAAGGCTCTGCTCCTCTTGGCAGGATGTGCAATCTCTGCAGAAGTGTGCGATCTGTCCCCGACTGCGCCTGGCCAGATTGCTTGGTCATCCATGGTCGCATATACTATGTGTGCCTGTGCAGGCAGTGAATTAGGACTTGACCGCTGTTCCCCTCTAAAGTCCAGTCACTTGTTGTGGGTCTCGAAGTACCTATAGAAGCTGCTGCGGTAGTTGGCCGAGTGTCCTTAATCTTTTTCATTCTAAACTTCCAGTTAATTTTCACTTTATTAACGCTACTCTCATAGAGCCACACAGCCCTGAGCAAAATTGCTTTCTTATCTCTCATTTCCGGTTCTTCACCTCCACACCCGTCCGTCCCTCCCAGAACCACGGCTCCGGAGCAGACCGTTATTGTTCTGGAACCACTTTGTCAGAGATCGTGCCTTCACTACACACACCCTCCTCACTGTTTGACTCAAGCGTCACGGGCAGACCGGACAGGGGTGGTATCTTACGACGGGGGGCGTATTGCCTTAACTCAAGCCGTGCCTGCTACAGAGTACGGGCCAACCCATCTAATAGCAAGCAGGGCTGTGACCATACCGGTAGCAGATGACACCCTTGCCTTTTGCGTGGCAAGAGGAACACAAATCTGGGTTGTCTGCCAGGAAGGTATGAGACTAGAGTCCGGCCGTGCTGATGATGGAAGCAGCAATAGAAGTCACATTCAATTCTCCTCCGATAGAATAGAAAAGGCAGGAAAGTCCTGACACACATTTAGACCACTCGCCTAGACATCTCTAGTAAGGGACGGTAGCGACAAGAAGATTGGTACCAGAAAAAGCAGCAGCAGCAGCAGCAGCAGCCGCCGCGAGTCATCTCCAGCTTCCACTGACAGCCACCTCGGCTTCTGTCTCACCACAAGGCCACAGGAGCTTCGTCCACCTTCACATATCGACTGACAAAGACGGAGTGCAAGTGCCACCTTCATTTTGATTGCGCTCTCGAGCAGCACAGCTCCTCGTGTATTTCTCCACGCCGACTGGTCAACTCTCTTTTGTCCAAACGCCTTGGCCCTTGCGGCCAAACGAAGACAGAACGATTGCTCCTGCTCTGAAGAATTGCGGTGGCGTCCGCCTCGCTCGGTTGATACACGAATCCTCGCTGTCGCCTCGTCACTGCCCGCGCTTATCACTGGCGCCTTCGCCACATTCCTTTCGCTCATTCCAGACAGCCTGTAGTCTGCCCAGGTCTGCCAGCTTTTCTTCCGCCACGCGTTCGACCACTGCCGTTTGCCCAAGTCGGAGCTACCTACGGCAACTCTTATCATCACGAAGACTAGAAACCCGTCTTCTACATAGAACCCGCCTTCTATCAACAATGTCTTCCAGTGCAGCGACAGAGGGGGACCCCCAGCTTCGGAGAGTGACCATCGTCACGGAAGCTTTAGAGAAGCCCTCTCTAGACGACCGGTCCTATCGGGTCATCAAACTCGGCAACCAGCTAGAAGCTCTGCTTGTACAGGACTCCAAAACTGACAAGGCCAGCGCCTCGCTCGATGTCGGCGTCGGAAACTTTAGTGACGCCGCCGATATACCAGGTCTGGCCCATGCAGTCGAGCATGTAAGTGTCAAAAAGGCTGCCTCCGAACGGCCACGGGAAGGGCACAAGAGGAGGGATGGCGAGCTGACGTGCTTAAATAGCTGCTGTTTATGGGCACCAAGAAATATCCAGAGGAGAACGAGTACAACCAGTATCTCTCATCGAACTCTGGAGGCTCCAACGCCTATACATCGTCGACGTCGACCAACTACTACTTCGATGTGTCTAGTCAGCCGCACAACGGCAAGGAGGCATCAGCCGAGAACCCGTCGCCTTTGTACGGTGCTCTGGACCGATTCGCCCAGTTTTTTATCCAGCCTTTGTTCCTGCCCTCCACCGTGGATCGTGAACTTCGTGCCGTGGATTCGGAGAACAAGAAGAACCTCCAGAACGACCAGTGGCGCATACATCAGCTGGAGAAGTCGCTGTCGGACCCCAGACACCCATTTTGCCACTTTAGCACGGGCAACTTGGAAGTCCTAAAGATTCAGCCTGAAGCGCGGGGAATCAACGTCCGCGATAAGTTTATCGAGTTTCATGACAAGCACTACTCGGCAAATCGGATGAAGCTCGTCGTTCTGGGCCGTGAATCGCTGGACGTCTTGCAAGATTGGGTTGCTGAACTCTTTTCAGGTATTCCGGACAAGAATCTGCCGCCGAACAAGTGGACAGACGCCGAGCCCTACGGCCCAGAATATCTTGGCCTGCAGACTTTCGCAAAGCCGGTGATGGATTCGCGAGAGCTTAACCTCCGTTTTCCATTTCCGGACGAGTTTCTGCTCCACGAGTCTCAGCCAAGCCGGTACATCGGCCACCTCATTGGCCACGAGGGCCCGGGAAGCATTATGTCTTATATCAAGTCAAAGGGTTGGGCGAACAGCTTAGGAGCCGGGATGTATCCGGTCTGCGCGGCAACGCCCAGCGTTTTTGACGTGACCATACGATTAACCGAAGAGGTGTGCAACTGTCTTGATTTCTCTATGTAGCCCCGTCCATACTGACCAGCTTGAACAGGGCTTGAAAAATTACAGGGAAGTTGTTAAGGTCGTCTTCCAGTACATCTCTCTTCTCTGCGAATTCACGCCTCTGAAGTGGATTTACGACGAACAGAAGGGCATGGCGGACGTCGATTTCCGATTTATGCAGAAGGCACCTGCTAGCCGCTTTACAAGCAAGACAAGCTCACTCATGCAGCGGCCGCTACCTCGCGAGAGGCTTCTCAGTGGAATGAGCTGCATCCGGAAGTTCGAACCCGAACTCATCAAGCAGACGATTGGTTATCTGCGGCCTGACAACTTCCGGATGACCGTGACATCCCGCACGTTCCCAGGAAATTGGGACCAAAAAGAAAAGTGGTACGGCACCGAGTACCGGGTTGAGAAGATCCCAGAAGACTTCATGGGGGAAATCCGCCAGGCATTCTCTGTGCCAAAGAAGGACCGCATCGCCAAGCTCCATCTGCCGCACCACAATCAGTTTGTGCCGACCAAGCTTGAGGTGGAGAAGAAGGAGGTCAAGGAGCCGGCTCCAGCGCCGCGCGTTATCCGCAACGATGAGGTGGCCCGGACCTGGTGGAAGAAGGACGATACCTTTTGGGTGCCCAAGGGCACGCTGTCGGTGAACCTTCGGAGCCCGATCATCTTTGCTGGGGCTGAGAATGTGGTCAAGACCGAGCTGTTCACCGAACTGGTACGGGATGCTCTGGAAGAGTATGCGTATGATGCAGATCTTGCCGGCTTGATGTACAGCGTCGCACTTGAGTCTCGGGCTCTCGTGGTGGAGGTATCGGGATACAACGACAAGCTGCCGGTGCTCTTGGAGCAGGTGCTGATCACGATGCGCGACCTCGACATCAAGGACGACCGGTTTGAGATTGTGAAGGAGCGCAGCAGCCGCAGCCTGCGCAATTACGGCTTCCAGCAGCCGTACTACATTGTGCCGGACTATGTGGCCTGGCTCACGTCGGCATCGTCCTACACGGTGGAGGAGATGGCATACGAGCTGCCGGCTATCACGGCCGAGTCCATGCGGCGGTTCGTCAAGGACCTACTCGGCCAGCTGCACCTCGAGACCCACGTCCACGGCAACATCTACAAAGAGGACGCACTGAAGCTGACAGACGCCATTGAGTCGACACTCCGCCCACGCCCCCTGCCAAAGGCGCAGTGGCCTGTCTGGCGCGATGTTGTGCTGCCGCCAGGCTCCAACTATGTCTTCAAGAAGAAGTTGGAGGATAAGGAAAACGTCAACCATGCGATCGAATATCTCCTGCACATTGGCAGCCGATCAGACCGTAGAGCCCGGGCGCTCACGCTTCTGCTCGACCAGCTCACGCACGAGCCGGCATACGACCAGCTCCGCACCAAGCAGCAGCTCGGCTATGTCGTCTTCAGCGGTGCCCGGTCGGGCACCACGGCCCTAGGTTTCCGCTTTCTGGTGCAGAGCGAGAAGGTGCCCGCATTTCTTGAGGGCCGCGTGGACGCTTTCCTGACCGAGTTTGCCGACACGCTGGCAGAAATGAGCGACTCGGCCTTTGAAGGCCACAAGCGCAGCCTGATAGTTAAGCGGCTCGAGAAGCCCAAGAACCTCAATCAGGAGACGGCGCGCCACTGGGTCCAGATCTGCAACGAGTACTACGACTTTGAGTTTGGTAAGTATAGGCCCGGCAAGAGGGTCCAAGGGATCAAGGGATACGCAGGCTAACCGATTTTCTTTCTCTTCCAGCCCAAAAGGATGCAGCGGAGATCAAACTGCTGACTAAGGCCGACATGGTGGAGTTCTACAAGCAATACATCCACCCAGAGTCGCCTCACCGTGCCAAGCTCTCCGTGCACCTTGTAGCGCAGGCTGAGAGCGATGTTACGACGAAGCAGATCAGCGAGCTGGTGAACACGCTCGACCTGGATGATAGCACGGCCAAGCAGGCGGAAGCGGATCTACAAACACGACTCAACACGGCGCAGCAAAGAGACGAGACAGACGAGATTGAGGATCTCCGAAAGTACTTGGCCCAGAGCCTGAAGGTGACGGACGACAAGATTGACGCGGCCTTGGAGGCGTGGAAACCGGTGTCCGACTACCACAAGGTGGCCAGCGAGAAGGAGGGAGCAGAACTCGCACCAAACGGCACGACGCCGGTACGGATCGAAAGCATTCGTGACTTCCGGGCGAGTCTTACGTTGATGGCCAGGGCGATGACGACAGACATTAGCGAGTTTTCGGACGTCGTGACGAAGCTGTGAACAAAAAAGGATACTGTATTTTCTCCGTGTCTCGTGATGCCATGTCGCAACCTGTCTTACTCGTGACCATTGGAATTCTCGCCCGCTCTTTGTGTCTGCCCATGGCCAAGGTTCGTCGAGGAGTGCGGCTAACCTGACGAAAGCTCAAACCTCCCGTTCGACCAGCTTAGGCCCTTGCAGAATGGTCGCCAAGTTGTTTGAATCGGGATCAAATCGGGTCTCGAAGATGGGCTTCTCCTCACCGCACCTGTTCAACAGCACTACTTGCTGGAATTGCCGCTCGAGGACAACTGCTGGATGAGCTGGGTGGTCCAGGAGGTGGCGGTTGGGTTTCTGCCCCAAGACTCTGAGGGTGTCCTTGAAAATGACGCATAGTCGTTCTGAATGAAGAAGAAGAGACATACAGAAATACAGAAATAGAAGGAGGACAATAAAAGAATAGCTACGTCGGGATTAAAGGAGAGATCGTGATTGTTGAAGAACGTGTTGATGTCTGAACAAAGAAGTAAGCATCCTGCACTGGAGCAAAGCCCGGCAAATCGTAGTAACGCGTTATAGTTCCAGTCAATCCATTGTTGCGCATCTGCCAAAAGACATATGCGAGCAGCCTGGAAGCCGGCCCAGTTGCCATGATCGGAAGTTGTAGGTGCGGCAGAAAATAAAATTGTAATTGGTCTACGGAGTACAGAAGCCGCCACAGCAATTCTTGCCTCTTCTACCCATAGGTCTCTTTGGTAACCTTTGAAATGGGCCGGGTTTGTGACATCTTGCATAGACAGAAATAACGTAGAGAATTATATGCATAAGCGGCCTGTATCAGCGGTAGAGAGAGCGTAAGAGGCAGGTGATATCTAGTGTTTACTACTCGTGTCTTACAACCTGGAAACAAAGGATCAAATGGGCGAAGAGAGATGCGTAAGATTAGGATGGAGGCGGTGAGACGAGAGGTCCATCTAATGCACCTTTACTCCGCACTTTTTGCGATTAGTCCAATTAGCAACTCTCTTCAATACTCCGTATTTGCATCTAGTATTCGTCACCGGTCAGGCTGCTGTACGGAGTACTGCCTCTCGTAACGACTTGACGGGTGCTCTGGACAGACACAGCAGTAGTGAGAATAATCTCGCCGTTAATCTGATAGGCGATGTAGTCGTTTGGTTTCAATTGCTCGTCATTCTCCACAATTTGATATCTGTCTCCTTTCTGGAAAAGTTTGCTAGATGCGCAGATGATTCACACCCTGGCGAATATGTGTTTGTTTGTGAGATCGTTGACGACCGGCAAGCCGCCGAGGGGGGTTCGCGCATCAGTATCCAAACGTGTTAGATATGCAGCTCCTGTGGACGGGATCGGTCTGGCGGCACGACGAAGACGGTACCTGAGATGTGATGGGATAGTAAATACAAGCGTAAGAATGGGCGAGTCTCAGCTATTGACCTATTTTAACTATTTTTATTTTATTTCAAGTTTATTGAAATATCTGAAATTTGCGTGTCAATTTTTTTTCCGCACTGCGGCTGACCCACACAGCGCTCCATACAGTGGCAAAACCCCCTCTGAGGAAGTCTTAGTAACGCCCTTCCACTGCTGTTTCCCGTTTCCGGCCCTGAAGAAAAGTAACAAATTTTCTGGGTCGAACAAGTTTAGCCACTTGTGACGGTGAGAAAGGTGTGCCCTCTTCCCACCCATATTCTCTGCATCAAATTTTTCAGGCCTTTTTCTTGTCAACTGCACGTCTCGCCTTCTTACCCGTTCCTGCAGCCCAGACTCGCGCGACGACACGCAAACGGGGCCTGAGAGAGGATTGCCTATCTGCAATCAGGCTAAGAAAGGCCAAAGAAACAGGCGCCCCTCTTCTCGCCCCTCGCCGCTTCAGATGCTGGAGAGAGATCCGTGCTCCGTGACCGCCTTCTTTGACGACACCTTGCCACCGCCAGCAGCCGTCGACCGCCGCTCCGCCCAAACGGTCTGCCTTTCCAGAGCTGCCCGGGCAGCTCACTTTCACCACGTCTTCCCTAAAGAAACGTAAGATCTCCCGTCCGTCGAGAAGAGGCGACGACAGCGTTCTCGCCCAATCGACCCATCATCAGAGACAGCCACAGCCACAGCCTCAGCCCCAGGCTCCCACGTCAAACGGCTCCCACCTGATCCTACCGACAACTGAAGGCGAGGAGGTGGAGGACATTGACTTTCTCGGAAACGACGGGGACGAAGACGTCGACGACGACGAAGACGACACAGACGACGAAGACGAAGACGAAGACGAAGACGAAGACGCCAACAACAGCGACTTCCAACCCAGCTTCTCCTTCTCGGCCGCGTCGACAATTGCGTCCTCCACACGAGCCACGCCATCCTACTGCGGCCGCGACAGTTCTGTGCCTCTGTCGGCCACAGACGAGCCTGCCGACATCAGCAACGCCGGCGATACTTCTTCGCCGTCGCTGCAGCAGCTGCCGCTCCCGGCACATCGTCATCCCCATCGACGGCTCGCACGCAGCCAGTCGCCACTTGTCACCGTCTCGCACCGTGCGATTGTCATGGGCGGAACTGCCGACCTGCCGCCCAGCTACAGATCGAGTTCGCCTCTGAAGCGGCCTGCCTCCAGCATGGACAACAGCACGGACGGTGGTGCTGCTCCGACCAACGTTGACATGGCCATCTTGCCGGCCGATCAGCCAGCAGAGGCACTGAAGCCGGCTCCTCCCATCGAGGAGCAGATACGGACGATCGAGGGCCTGGTCAAGGACTTTGGCAGCAGCGAGCTGCAAGAGGGCACGACCGCCTATCTCGTCTCCCGGCGCTGGCTGGCTCAGGCGCAGGCTCTCGGCAGCGGCGACGCAGCCAAGGCGGCCAAGGCGGTGCCTCTGGGCCGACTCGGGCCGGTCGACAACGCAGACATCATCGAGGGCGTGGTCCAGGACGTGGAAGGCAACGACGCCGTGCGACTCAAGCCGGGCACCGGCCTCGAGGACTTTGAGCTGTTTTCTCAGAGCGCCTGGGACCTGCTGGTGTCGTGGTACGGGTTGGCGGACGGCCAGCTACCCATCGTTCGCGTGGCACACAACACGGCGCCGACGTCGACGATCCCCAACGTGCAGTACGAGCTGCACCCTCCCGTCTTCACGTTGCACCGCCTTTGGTCGCTCACCAGCGGCATTCCCTTTGACAAGGAAGTCGGCGACGTCGAGCAGCCGCCGCCTTACATCATGTGCTCCAGCGCCTACAACATGCAGGCCTTCCTCAAACGGGCCAAATTCCTGCTGCACATCCCCGTGAGCCGTCGTGTGCGCCTGTGGCGAGTACCGCGAAAGCTGCCAGCTGGTGAGCCAGCAGCAGCAGCAGCAGTCCGGCCCGCCCCAGTATCACAAGTATTGTCCACGCCGCCGGACTCCCCCCGTCTTGACGCCACGGGCCTGACCAACCCCCAGGACTCGTGGTCCCGGCTCCTGCTCGAGGTGGCGGACTTTATGAAGCTCGAGGTCAACTCAGAGCGCGAGACCCTGGCGATCAAGGACTTGACGCATGACCGGAACTACAACGGCAGCCAGCCGCTGGCGTTTGCGTCACTGACGGTTGACCAGACGCTGGTGCTGGACGAGAACATCGAGCGCACCATGTGGGTGTCCACGTATCACCCCAAGGGCAACAAGGACAAGGCAGGCGCAGCGACGTCCTCGTCACGACCCAACAGCAGCCGCGCCAACCATGCATCTGCGTCCGCGTCCGCGTCTGCGTCTGCGGCAACAGCGCGGACCGGGATCGCGGCCAGCGCGGCCAGCAGCGGGCGGAACAGCCCAAACCAGCAGGGCGCCTTCACGCGCGGACGGGCTAAGCAGAAGTCGGGGCGGGTGATGGGTTGCGTGGGGCTGAGCAATCTGGGCAATACGTGCTACATGAACTCGGCGCTGCAGTGTGTGCGCAGTGTGGAAGAGCTGACTAAGTACTTTCTCGTGCACGAGAGCGACGTGGAGATCAACCAGGTCAATCCGCTGGGCCACGGCGGCAACGTGGCGAAGGCGTACTCGTACCTGCTGGACGAGATTTACAAAGACAATGCGCCGTCGTCGATCTCGCCGCGCGGCTTCAAGTCGACGATCGGGCGGTATGCGCCGGCGTTTTCAGGCTACGGACAGCAAGACTCGCAGGAGTTTCTCGGTTTCTTGCTGGACGGGCTGCAGGAGGACCTCAGCCGGGTCAAGAAGAAGCCGTATATTGCCAAGCCGGACTCGACGGACGAGATGATTGGCAACCCGGCAGCGATTAGGGAGATGGCGGAGCAGGTGTGGGACATCACGAAGAAGCGGGATGACTCGGTGATCGCGGACCTGTTCACGGGCATGTACAAGTCGACGCTGATCTGCCCGGTGTGCCAAAAGGTCAGCATCACGTTCGACCCGTTTACCAACCTGACGCTGCCGCTGCCGATCCAGAACGTGTGGACGAAGCGGGTGCGGTTTGTGCCGCTGAACGACCGGCCGGTCAACCTGGACGTGGAGCTGGACAAGACGAGCGGTTTCCGGGCGCTCAAGGAGTTTGTGGGGGCGCGGGTGGGCGTGCCGGCAGAGCGGCTAGTCGGGGGGGCCGAAGAGCTGCGCGGCAACTTTATCAAGGTGTTTGACGACTTTGCGTGCGTGTCGGAGGAAATCAGCAACGGCGACACGATTGTGCTGCACGAGGTGGAGGCAGCGCCGACCAACCTGACGGCCAGCAAGACGCCGCGCAAAAAGTTCCGGTCGATGATCCTCGACGACGGCCAGGAGATCTTGCCGTGGGACAGCCCGCTGGCCAAGCGGCTGTTGGTGCCAGTGACGCACCGGTTCGACCCGCTGCAGTCGGAGTCGGGTAGCAGCAGCAGCAGCAACCGGCACTTCAGGGGCAGCAATGCAGCCGGCCCGGCGCACTTTATCATGCTGACACCGGAAGAAGCCCGCAGCGAAGACGTGATCCGGCGCAAGATCCTCGAGAAGGTGGCGTCCTTCTCGACGTGGCCCGAGTTCGCCAAGGCGGACGAGGAAGCGTCGGAGGCGGGCAGCAGCAGCAGCAGCAGCGGCCACGTGAACAGCAGCTCCGAAGGCACCGAGGGCGTCTTCAGCGTCTCGGATGCCGACTCGGCAGTCTCGGGCAAGGTGACGGCGCGGTCAGTTGAGAGCGAAGACGACCTGGTGGACGTGACAATGAAGGACGGCGAGATGGAACCGCAGTCACCGGCGCAGACACAGGCACAGGCACAAGCCAAGGCGGTGCTCTACAGCTACAACCGTCGGCGGCCAAAGTGGGTGTCCGATCCGAGCACGTATCTGCCGGGAGAGCTGCAGAATCTGTTTGACATGAGCTACTTTGACGATGCACACAACACGATCCCGACCCGGTGGATTGGGTCCAACGACGACAAGCCGTACCCGAGGCTGCGGTCGCGGATGCGAAAGCCAAGCACAACAGCGACAGCGACCGGAACCGAGATGCAGAGCCCGGGCACGGTGGACAATCTGGGCGGCAGCGACAACGACAACGAGAGCGTTGCCGGGGATGCGCCGACGCCGGAGCCGATCGTGTCGGAGGTGACGCGGATGGTGGACGAGTCAGAGTCGGAGGACAGTGTGCTTCCGGCCGTGCAGCGGCTGGCATTCCGGCACACGGCAGCGACCAAAGTAGGGGGCCGGCGGAAGGCAAACAAATCGGGCGCGAAGACGCACGTGACCAAGGGCGTGAAGCGGCGATCACGACAGCTGCAGCAGACAATGGTGTCACAGGGGCAGACGACCGAGACGACGTCGGACGGCGACCAGGCGACGGGAGCATCACAGGTGTCGCGGCTGTCGGAGGGGCCGGGCAATGAGGAAGCACCGCTGGTGCGGATAGGCGAAGGCATCGTGGTGGAGTGGAGTGCGAGCGCGTGGGATGCCGTCTACGGCAAGGGCGGCGAGTCGGATGAGCTCCGGGGGGCGCCGACGTACAGCGAGCCGGTGATGCTAGAGGATGCGGAGCTGCAGGAGAAGAAGCGGCAGCGACTGTCGCGACGGAAGCACGGGCTGACACTGGACGAGTGCCTAGACGAGTTTGAGCGCGAGGAGATCTTGTCGGAAAACGACACGTGGTACTGTCCGCGCTGCAAGGAGCACCGGCGGGCGAGCAAGAAGTTTGATCTCTGGAAGACGCCAGACGTGCTGGTGGTGCATCTGAAGCGGTTCAGCTCGAGCGGGTGGCGGCGCGACAAGCTGGACACGCGCGTGGACTTTCCCGTCGTCGGCCTAGACCTGACGAAGCGGGTGCTGGACCGCCAGACAGGCAAGCAAGAGACATACGACCTGATCGGTGTGGACGACCACTGGGGCGGTCTTGGGGGGGGACACTACACGGCCTTTGCGCGGAACTTTATCGACGGCCAGTGGTACGAGTACAATGGTGAGTTGTGGTGTGGTGGTGTTGAGATGTGATGAGATGTGATGAGATGTGATGAGATGTTTGTGTTGTTTGTTGTTTGTGTTGTTTGTGTTGTTTGTGTGTTGTTTGTTGTTTATGTGCTGTTTGTTTGACTGTGGATATACCTCTGCACTTCTCGCTAACAGTCGCAACAGACTCCTCCGTGTCCAAGGTCAGTGATCCCAACCGGGTTGTCTCGGCGTCGGCATACCTGCTGTTCTACCGAAGAAGATCAGACGTGCCCCTGGGAGGCCCACGATTCCAGCAGATTGCCGACCGGTTCAGCCGCGAGATTGCAGCTACCGACGACGACGACCGCTCGGATGGTGGGTCGGGGGAAGGTCGGCGTCTCGGCACAGCCTCCTCCTTAATTGGGTTGTCGAGCGCATCGAAAGGAGCCGGAGCCGGAGCGGCTCTCCGTCATCCGGGCGTCGGTCCTGGTTTGGTTAGTGGCGAAGGCGGCATCGGTGGCGGCAGCAGCAGCAACGGGAGCATCAGCAGCCTGAAAGCCGCAGCTGGTGGCGACCATGACTACCTCTACGACCAGCAGAGTGACGGTGACCCGATTGATTTCTGTGCCCGGCCAGCCGGTTCGACGGGCATCCTGAACTTTGGCAGCAGCAGCCAGCACGTGGAGCAGCGGGACGGCGACAACGACAACGATGAAGACGACGACAGCAAGACGGGCGGCAGCCGCGACGTGGCGCTCTGGGACCAGCCGTCGTGGAGCTTCGGACACCTCGGCAGCGGCCACGGCTATGGCGAAGGCGAAGGCGAAGGCGAAGGCGAAGGCGAGGGCCTGCTGCTGTCGGCGGCATCGTCACCCCCACCGCCCGATTTGCTCGCACAGGCCGGCATGGAGGACATCCAGAAGCAGATGTGGGCGCGTAAGGAGTCGCAGGCACAGATGCACACGGTGATGGCAGACATGGATGACGACTCGGGCAAGGCGGTGGAGATTCGCGTGAGCGAGGACGAGACCGCGACGATGGACGAGTGATCAGGGTGGATAGGTCGAGAGGAGGGGGAAGTTGAGAAGGGAGGCGGAAGAGGTGAGGACACAAGACGACACCAGCATCTGCACATATCGGATAGACGAGAGCATCTTTACGTTACAAGGCTCCAGGATGGGGCAATTCATGGGCAGGGTCACACATTTATGACATGCGGATTCTTCCTGCCCGTCCCTGTTGAGCTGGATAGGAATTTGTACAAAGGACGGGGCTGGGACGGGGATGTTTGCTTGTTTGCGCGTGGCCGTCTTTTTTGCATTGCACGTTTTGTTCTTTTTCGCATTACGGAGTACGCATACAGAAATACAAGCTGTGCTGCCAAGCCTCCGACGCGCTCTATCGAGATCGACCTTTCTCCTGGGAGGCAAGCCGGCGGAACGGCCGGCGAGCAGACCCGTCTCTGAGACACAGGATAAAGGCTTCACAAACCATACTCGGCAGAGATAGGACGCATTGGCGGTTTTAGAAGCAGCCCCTGATACGACCCTTTGTAAGATACAGAGTACGAGTACAGGTTACTGCCGAGCAGCCGGACAGCAGCGTAGTGACCACGTGGTCGTTCTCGCTATTTTTTTCTTCTTTTTTTTTCTTTCCTCTTTTTCTTTTTTTTCTTTTTTCTTTTTTTTTCTTCCTTTCCTTTCTTTCTTCTTTCCTTTTTTTCACTCGAACGGATTGAATTCTCTTTTCCCGCGTGTGCAAGTGGAGAAAAGACGGGAATTAAAGAGGAAACTACGAGTAAGATACGAGTGCTCGGAGCAAAGCCCCTGTTGTTGGAGCAGGTCCCATCGCCAGTGGCTCCCTAACCACCTCCTGCATCCGGCCAGCTATCGCGATCAGAGGGGGGGAATTCTAGTGTGCATCAGCTCGAACCAGCGTGCATGGTCGTCGAGACAGGGGTTTTAGGCAGCTCGAAAATCGGATGCGCACGTACTACGACTATGTACTGTGCATGGTCCGTACGGAGTGCCCCGTATACAAACGTCAGCAGAACAAAGGTGCGCGACTGTCTGATTGCGAAGCTGTGACCAGCGAGACGACTGCAGGGGTCTTGCAAGAAAGGGGACCGGATGGCAGTCTATTGGGGTATTTGTGAATGATATGTGTATGGCCTCTCTTTGGCTGGCTTATCAGCAGCCAGATAGAAAGCAGGGTTAGCCTGTGGATTGGGTGGGCTCTGTGGGTTTTGTGCCGCTTCCCCCCAATTTTTCCTCTTTGCGCGCAGAGACACCCTAGTCCATGTGGGCTGTGGGCGTGAGAGAGGGCAGCAAGACGGCCGAGGAGCAGCCAAGCGCGCAAGGTAAGCCGGACTGGGAAGTATCTTACAGCGTCTGAAACATGATGCATGGAGCTGAGAGCCGGGCAGGGCAGGAACAAGCGACCCTTGGGTCGGAAGCAGCGAACGAGTACTCCGTACTCCGTACAGAGCACAATGAGCAATAAATAGAGCACGGTCCACCCGGATGGGCTGGCGATCTCTGGGCCGCCCTAGAGCAAGAAAGCTTGTGGGAGAGCCGAGGCACAATCATCCGACAAGCGCCTTCTCGATTCGGGTCGTATCGTCGTGTCGTCGTATCGTCGTGTCGTCGTATCGTTGTATCGTCGTATCGTGTCGTATCGTGTCGTACGTGCTCTGCGCCGCCGTGCAGCCTGGGCCGGGGATCGCGACCAGGGAGGAGGCTGAATCTGGAGTTGCCCGTGAGGCCGATAGACGACAGGCAGCGCCGAGCTCGAGCGAGAGGGGGGGCAGAACCTATCTTACGACGTATTGCCTAGATAAGGAAGGTCGCCACTCTGCTCTCGTGCGCCCTACTGCCCAAGCGTGGAAGCCGCTAGGCCATTTGGGGCAACGCCCGCTGTCGGTCGCCGCGCGCTGGTGGACGGGAGGCTGACGACGACAAACGGCCCTGGAGCGTTGGGCGGCAGAAGGAGAGCGATGGAGCACTCAGCGATCGCTGGTCAGGATGTCGGGGTGCCCAAGCGGCCGGCCTGAAATGGAGGTAGAAGGGGGAGGAAGACAAGAAGAAATAATAGAATAAAGAAAGAAAGAAAGAAAGAAAGAGAAAGAAAGAAAAAGAAAGAAAGAAAAAGAAAGAAAGAAAAAGAAAGAAAGAAAAAGAAAGAAAAAGAGAAAGAAAAAAAGGAAAAAAGGGAAAAAAGAGCTAAAATAATAAAATAATAAAAAATCATGAAAAGATCATTCCGCTAAAGAGGCATAGCTGATCGGCTTTCCCTTGTCTGATTTGCCTCCCTCTTAGGTAAACGGCCCCATTGCCTGACCCTATTCTGCTGCTCTAATGAATCGCGCCTGGTCCCGCCAATCGCATCTCGTCAATGTTACGTGTTATCCCGCCATCTCACTCTCCAGATTGTGCTCCGTATTTTATTCCTCTAATTTGCCTGTACATACTCCGTACATAGTAGTACGCACATACTTCGTACTCCGTAGTATTGCACGTCTCCCCTCCATCGCTGCGCTCGTGGCTATCTCTTCGTCCCACAAGGGTCCAGTCTGGCTGGTCGGCCCCCATGGCCTGTCCGGAGTACTCGTACTTGTACGATACTATGTACGACGTAGTGCACCACTGCTCCATAGCGCTATGTATTTGTACCGCCGCGCCCTGATACAGACGTCGTACTCCTCCGTAATCCTCCCACCATCTGCGCTAACGCAGCTGGGCTACAGCCAAGTTTCGGCACAGGCTTCTACGGACCTTCGAGAAGCCTGTCGCCAGCCCGCCGATGACTTGTTTTTTTCCTTTTTCTTCTTCTCGCACCATTCTGCTTTTTCTTCTTCCGCCGGCACACGCCCCTCCACCTCCCTCGCACCCCCCCGAAAGAACTGTCAGGACGAAAACAGAACAAAGAACCAGCACCGGTCTCTGCTGCGTGCGCGCGCCCTGACAGCTCTCCCATCCGATCGCGCGCGCACTTTCTGCTCTGCCCTGGCCGTTTGCCGTCTGTCGCTGTCGCGCTGTCCCCGCCGTTGCTGCCGCCCGCCGGTCGCTCCTGCTCCCTGCTCCCTATGCTCGTACTTGCCTGCAGGTAGGGAACGTGGCAAGCACACCCCTTCTTTTGGCACCCCCACCTACCCTCCCGCTTGTTCCTTTCCCCTTCTCGAAGCCCGTCTGCCCCAGTAATAATCCCATAGTCGTACTCGTTCGCTCCTTCGTCCTTCTCACCTTTCACCCCGTTCTTTCCTTCACCCATCCCTTCGCTCCTTCTTCCTGCGAAACGACCACTCTGCACACCCGCCCCTCTCTGGCCGCCTTGCAACAAGACCCCTGGCTCTTCTTTTGCCTCTTGCTCCTCGCTCTTTCCCATTGGGTTGTGCGCCATTTCCCGCTCCTGCCTCTTGCAAATCTGTCTGCTACCATACCATCCTTTTGCCCTCATCGCCATTCTCCCCTATCGCCTTCTTCTTTTTTTTTTTTTTTTTTTTTTTGGTTTGTTTCGGGTTTCCTTTTTTCCTTTTTTTTCTGCACTCTTCAGCTTTGCCGATCGTGGGATCAACTGCCCACCCCTCTGCCTTCTCGCCTTCTCGCCACCGCGCACGAGAAAAGCTACACGCCAACCCAGATCAAATACGCGCCTGCTCGAGCGTACTGGACCTGCTCGGATCCCGTTCCTCGCCGGCTTCTGCGCATTCTCTTCTTGTCATACACTCGCCGTTCTGTGCCCTCAATTCGTCTTTTCCACCGTCGGCATCGCTGGGCGTGTACACTCACTTTTGCGCCCTGTCAAATTAAAAAAGGTAAGCCCGCTAAATTCTTTTAAAAAAAAAAAGCTGCTCTCTGCGATGGCGCTGCACCGCTCGAAAAAGCTCGAATCTACACATTTGCTTGCACACAATCGCTCTGGTCTTTCTGGATATCGACCTTCGATCCGTCTAGTCAGCTGTCTGGCTCCCTTTCGCTCCTCGAGAACGGCGCTCTCTCATCTCGTCCACATCACGCGACACCATCGAATCCCCGGTTTGCCGCTTAGATCGACGACGATCTGGCTGCATGGCCAACGAGCAAAGAACGAGAGCGTTGGCACCCACGGGCATGCGCCCGATCCATGAATTCGCACCAGCTTCGGCAGTCACTAATAGTATCCGAAACCATCCAACCGCTCACCTGATATACGGCTCGGATCTTCAGACAATCTACGGCTCAGCTTTCTCGGCAGGACGCGGCCGAACGACGACACTCAACGACACGAAAACTTACATCACTCTCGTGTTATTCTAGCTGTCGCTTGGTCTCAAAACTAACCTGTATCTTTAGCCCTTGTTTCTGTTGTTCCGGGTCTCGTCTCATCCCAGCCCCAACTGCGGCCTGTCGAAGCAACCTGTTTTCGCGCCGCTCAAAAACGTCACGTTTCACCAACGGCGCTTTTTCTTCGACCCGTCTCTTTTGGCCTTCTTGGACCCGCCTTATTTGTCTTGCAGCTCTGGCTACTACCTGTGCCATGACATTGTTTGCCGACGCTGCCTATTTTTAGATCTTATCATCTGCTTCTCAGAGCACATCGGCACACCCAGCAACTCAACTTTCTTGACTGGACCACCTGCACTCGTTCAACATCCCAGGCTCGCAATCAAGACAGTAACTTTCGTGTACTTTGTCTGGTTATCATACATCGCGTTTTCGGCCCACATACTGGAATCAGAAAGCAGAGCAATCTATTTCTGAACAGGGCTGGGGGGCGCGCTGTGCAAGGGGGGTCATTCGGAACATCGCGTTCGTTTATCGCCGGCTGTCTGGTGTTTCGGGTTGGCGAACCCCCTCCTTCACCCGGGACTCACAAAGCGAGTTGATATCCTCAAGTCCTCGGTATCACAGTTGACCTCCCACCTCGACTGGATACCCTGGGCAGGTCCTCCATTCCTGTCTTCTCCTTCTTTCTTCTCATTCTTCTCTTTTTGCGGCAACGGCCAGTCGTCGGGACTGGCCCGCCTCTTTAACCAGCCACAATGGATGCTACTCGCTGCAACGTTATCTATGTCGACCGGATCATTCGTCTGGACCGGGTTCACCATTCTGGATCTGGACACAACATTCAAGGACAGCTGACAGACCACGTGTCTGTTGCCTGGGAATCACGTATTCTGGAAAACAACGTAAGGAAGCTGGCAAACGTCTTTGGCGATGGTATGTGCCCCAGTGATACAAAGTGGTCGATTTCTGATAGCCAGGATCGCTAATCCTGCTTTCTCGCGCCCTTAGTCCACCTTTGTTCCACGGGCAGCGCATGTATATCGAGACTGTTCAATTTGCAAGACGAGTCTATGCTGGACCTGAAGCCAACCATTGTGCTGATCGATACGCCCTATGACGAGCGAATACCTATGGAGGACCAGACTCGGTCACGATCGCCATCCCCTCATTCAGCACCCCAGACCGGTGTCGACGAGGATCCTTTTTCTCCGTCCGCAGACGACGTTTATGGCCTGCGATTGTTACAGCGCATAGTGTCTGAGGCTCATCTGCGCAATCTAAGCAAACTTGTCGTACCGGTTCCTGTCATTGACTTTCCCGAGTCCAGGGCCAATACCTCATATGGCTCTGCGGCTCTGAGTCCCGAAATAGACGGCTTTTTGTCAATTGAGCCACAACCTCCCCGACCAGACCGACCTGCGAATCGGCCACTTTTGAAGAGGTGTCTCACACTAGGCGCTACCGACGTCCTCCTCAGCCCCATCCATTCGCAATGCATCACCGGCCTCGAGATCCACGCGTACTGGGCTTACAAAAGCGCCGTACGTGATCAGCAGGTGCTATCAGAGTTTCGGCGTGGCCGTAAACGCTCCTGGGTCGGCATTTCTGACACGAGGCCGTACGCCTATCTGCGCGAGAACATGGTTGCAACTCTGATGCGGAGAATCTGCCAGATGGATGATGCTGCCGAATTGCCCGTGGAGACGGTCCGGCTCTCCGTTGCCGCTCGCCGGAAGACGGTCATATCAAAGGAAATCGGAAACTGGCATTTTTCTGCACACGACCTGAGTGATGACGAGTTGGTTGAGGCTTCGGCGTTGATGTTTAAGCATGCGTTGAGCATGCCGGAACTAGCACGATTCCGGATAGCAACAGGTAAGGCACCTGAACAACAGGCTTTTTCATTCGTTTATACCTGGCCTTGTGCTGCGGCTGACAGCTCGATTGCTCCGCTTTAGACCAGCTGATTTGCTTCCTCATCGCGTGCCGGGCAGCCTATAATGCTTTTGTTCCATACCACAACTTCCGTCACGTTGTTGATGTTTTACAGGCAACGTTCAACTTTCTCGTCAAAATCGGTGCTCTTCCCCCATATCCGGTGCCGTCACCGTATGAGAAGCCTGCAACACCACTGCCGACACCGAAATCGCCAATGGCGTCTCTTATCCGGCCATTCGAGGCGCTGACCTTGCTCATCACTGCCATTGGCCACGATGTAGGCCATCCTGGCGTGAACAATGGCTTCCTCATCGAGCTCAACACGCCACTAGCCCAGCTGTACAATGACCGTTCTGTTCTGGAATCGTTTCACTGTGCAGCCTACTCCCAGATTCTGCGGCGGTACTGGTCCGCCGCCTTCTCCGACACGAAAATGCGGAATTTGATGATTAGCTCTATCCTTGCGACCGATATGGGACTGCATTTTGATTACATGAAGAAGCTTCGGGTTGTTCAAGACAAACTTGCTGAGAACCCGGACGAACTTGTACTCGAAGAACAGGTCCCTTTGGCCTGTGCGCTCCTGGTCAAGTGTGCTGATATCAGCAACGTGGTATGTACATCGAAGCTCCGCCATGACGGACATGGACTAACACTGGAAACAGGCCCGGAGACACGATGCTGCTGTTCAGTGGATGCACATCCTCTCTGACGAGTTCTCCCGACAATCATTGATGGAGGCCCAGCTGGAGATCAAGTCCTCTCTGCTATCCCAACCTACGAAGGAGCCTGTGACACTCTTTCGATCACAGCTAGGCTTCATGAATTTGTTTGCCATTCCGCTCTTTCAGGAGGTTGCCAATGTCATGCCCGCGATGCAGTATTGTGTGGACGAATTGGTAGTCAACAAGGCTTTGTTTGAGAAGAGCATTGCCGACGAGTTGGTCAAGCCAACCCCGGAGCTAGAAAGAGGCTGTCCGCTCAGGCTGAACACGGACAGTTCTGCACCTGCAGCAAAAAGACCAGGGGCCACTTCGGGGCAGACGGCAACAGCGATACCAACAGCACAACGGCCCAGAGAGTACTCTGCACACGCAGATGTCAGCGCCACACCCAGACTGATAGGTCTAGACACCCTGTACAAGGGCGCAAACGGCGCAAACGGGCTGGGCTTGAACTTCGACTCCGCAGCGGTGTATGCAGCAAGCGATCCGTTCAACTCAATCGATAGCCGGAGCTTCACGCCCACAAATCAGCGAGTGAGCGAGGCCACAGACGGCAGCGCGTCCCTTCCCAGCGGTGGCGATTGGGCGTCTCAAGCCACCAGCGCAACGACCGGCAAGATGCCACTTTCTCCCAGCACTCAGGGCACGAGCGTCGTCAGCCGCGACTCGCTGGATCGGCCATCCAGCGTGCCGGCTATTTCTATCAGCAATACGGCCGCCGATGGCCTGACCAAGTCTCTATCTGGGTCGCGGAGCGCCACACACCTGCCGATCGAAGACCAGTCATCGATGTCGTCAGGTGGACACAGCCATGGTAATGGAGGCAGCAAGCTGCAGCCGGAAAGGGGTCTAAAGAAGAAGACGAGTCGATTTAGGTTGAACGCCTTGACTTTTCTCCGACGGCACCTCAATCCGAGTCCACCTCTTCCAACATCCTGCCCAAACTCTGATAGGTCGGATTTGTGAGACAGGCGTCATTTCTTTTGTTTGCCAGCGAGTGGCCTCACACACCCTATATTCTCTTTTTACTTTGTAACAACAAACATGACACCATGGGGCAGGAGTAATGACACTGACGCTTTTCGTTTATTTTACTATTCACACATACCTTCTCTTGTATTTCTTTATTTCTTTCGGGCATGGAGATGATGCAGGCAGGCATCATGGATTCTATGTACATTTATATGCTCTTTCTGTTCGGGTCTTCACCTATGCCCGTTATTTTACGATGCAGCTCGAGTGCGGACGCGCACTGCGAGAGAATGTTGATACCTCGTCGTGGTGGATTTAGAGCGAGCCGTCCTTGGGAAAGGCTTGCACGGAAATCCAAGACAAAACTTCGGAGTAATGGGGCCGGGGCCGGTGAAGGCGGTTTAGGAAGGCGGCGCCTGGGTTGGTCCTGATGGCGATCTTCATTCCTGGAGAGCAGGACTAGTGTATACATTGAATTACAGTGTACATTTCACAGGGAACGTGATTTGCGGAGATGCTAACATCCGTGATGGGAGAGCGTGGCAGTTTAAGAGTCGAGGAATTCGATCAGAAACGTGACCATAATCTACTGCATCGTCGGCCACTTCAGAGATTGTGGTTGTTCTTGGTTCTTAATTGGCCAGGTCCCGATCAGAGACCCAGCAGGCGAACTAAAAATGAAAAGTAAAATAAACAACAAACGCCATCTAGCATAACAGTACGTTAATGATCCATTTCGAGAGGCTTTGCGTGACTATCGCATATATCTATCTATTTCTCGACCCACTCGCCGCCCAACCAGCGGTTGAAGAAGTCCAGGGACGCCTCCGGCTGGTCATATGGCACCATGTGGCCGGCATCGTAGATGCGGAGGAAGGTGAAGTTGCTCGCGGCCTTGACCGTGCCGTAGCCAACCTTCTTACCCTCAGCCGCAGACTCGTCGTTGGCAGAGCTGGTGGACAGCTTCAGCGCCTCAGTCGAAGCCTTGCCAAAAGCCTTCTGGCCGCTCCACTCCAGCGCATCGGCCCAGGCACGGTTGCCCAGCCAGTTGCAGATGTAGTCAGCATCGCCAGCGTAGATGAGGACGGGGATCTCGGCCAGGATGTCGGGCACGAGGCGGTGGAAGGGCTGCATCCAATCGCCCTGGAGCAAGAAGTTGCGGTTAATGTCAAAGTCACAGCTGTCGTACGAGTCGACCTCAGCGCCGACGGCGGTCTTGACCTCGTCCTTGTTGAGGTAGTCGGCGATCCAGCCCATCTGCGGGTAGCAAAGGTTGCTGGTGTCCTTGCAAGGGCCACGGATGTCGTAGACATTCTGGCCGGTGCTCTGGTAGGGGCCGATCATGGCATTGTTACAGTAGATGGAGGCGGGCACGCAGCTCCACACGCTCTTGGAGTTGTAGCAGTTGCTGATGAGCGACTGGCAGCGTGGCAGCGAGTTGTCCATGGCCTGGCACTGCGACTCGTCCAGCACGGCTGGCCAGCCACCTTCACCGCAAGCCATGGGACGGTACTGCTCGTACTGGGTGAGAGGGTCAGTCAGGCCGTTGCCAATGAGCACGGACTTTAGATTGATGTTGCGGTCCTTGTGCGCCAGGATCTCGTGGGCAAAGACAGGAATGTAGTGGCCGGCGTACGACTCGCCAGCAATGTGGAAGTCCTGCTTGGCATACTGGGGAAACTGCTTGAAGAAGAGGGTAAGGAGTGCATAGACATCCTTGCCGGCAGCGACGGTGTTGCTGACGGACGTGCCGGAGTAGGAGTAGCCCACGTTGACAGGCTGGTCGAGGAAGATGACGGAAGCGTTGGCATTCCACGAAAACGGGTTGTTGACAACCTTGATGTTCTCGTCAATGGCCGAGGGGCCGAGCTCGAAGAAAAGGCCAGTCAGCGAAGAGCAGCCCGGGCCGCCGTTCAGCCAAAGGACCACCGGATCGTTCTTGGGGTCATTCCGGGACTCGAAGAACCCTGATCGGTTAGTACGAGAGCTGGACAAGGTACAAGACAGCGAAACGGGATGTCGCCAACTCACAGTAAAACAGATGCTTGTCATTCTCGTCGTCGTCCAAGTAGCCGCTGTACTGCTTCACCTTGTCGATACCAAGCTTGGACGGATCGACAGCCTTGACACGCAGGTTGTAGGCGTTCATGTCACCGCTGTCCTCGTAACCGGGGGCGGCCGCGGTCAGAGGAGCAGGGACATCAGAACCCTTGACGATAAAGTCCCAGTGGTTATCGGGACGACGGGTGTGCTTCTTCGGGTTGGAAAAGAGGCTGGCCTTTTCAAAGGCATCAGGCACCAGCTTCCGGACATCCTCCCAGAGGGCCTCGGCATCGGGCGTCAAGCCCTTTAGGATGCCCTGGAGCGAGGAAAGCAGGTCAGATGAGCTCGAAGGCACGGTATCGTCGACGGGGGCAAGCTTTTCAGCATTGCCCAACACCTGCTGCTGGCCAGGCGGAGACAGCAGCGAGGCCGAAGCGGCGCCCACAATGACGGCCGAAGCGGCAATGCGCATGATGGGAGAGTGTGGTGGAGTAGAGAAATGTGTTGGAGGGGTGGTGGGTGTTTTGCAGCAAGACAGCGAAGAGGTTGAGGTAGGGGAAGATGGCAGGATAGACAGAGGGGAGAAAAGGGATGGGAACTTGCGAGGAAGACGACGGTTATGAGGGAAAAGAGGGCGCTGATGTCAAGGCGGGCAGGAGCCGTCGGAGCAGCAGCTGCTTCGTTCGATTCGTCCAGGCAACACACTGTGCATAACTTCTATTTCAGGCTAGCACAGACCCACTGTTCCAGCACTCTTTGGGCCGAGAACACGAGATAAGAGGCTGTTCCTGCTCGTGCACAACTGGCCATGGCTACGATACCAAGGTCTCCACTCTTGCTGGCCATATTGGCATTTCCCCGGAACAGTATCTTGCGAAGTACTGCATGCGGACATCTAGAGCTTCGATAGGACTGCGACGAGAGAGCAGCGGAGAGCGAGCGCTCTGCTTCCGGTGCTCCAGCACTTGCCACTCAGGCCAATGACGCAGCTGCTAGCTGGTAGCCGGTGCCGATCCAATGCTGTCAACGCTCTATGAGACGTGAACACGAGACTGCCGTTGCGTCATGCAAGCTTTACTGCGTAGCACTTGCCAGCAGGTACGTCGTACAGGCGCCAAGGCGGTCAGGGCAGCACACCAGCACACCGCCAACGCACTTTCCCAGGCAGCGGCGACTCTCTGAAATCCACGTATGTCCGCCGCTAGTCCTGTTTCGAAGTATCCACACCGTACGTGTTTGTGGATGGCACTGTCGGCAGTTCGTCTGCTCAACCCGAGTCAAGTCAAGCCAATCTGCGAATGGCTGGCAGACTTGAGCGTGCCGTTCGTCCAAGATGTATCTGTACTTGATCAGGAGATCTCTCGCAGCCCGGTGCGGCAGCCTTGCGAGACCGATGTGCAGCCCGGACGACAGCCAGAGCCTGTAGCATCATAATGAGGGGCGACCGAGTCATAGGCTGGCGCATTAGTAAGATTTTATTCCCAGTCCGGAATGCGGCAGTACTTTGTGAAATTTTCCGGCTGCAGGATTGCAATACGCATCATTCCCTTTCGCTCTGCTTTAGCACGGAGCAGCCTCGTCCTAGCACGAGAACAGACCCGGTCTGCATATAGAACCATACAATAATAACACATCTGCACAATGTCGCGCAATATCAACCAGCCGGTATCCCAGATCAAGCTGACCAACGTGTCGCTAGTGCGCCTCAAAAAGGGCAAGAAGCGCTTCGAGATCGCCTGCTACAAGAACAAGGTGCTTGAGTGGCGCTCAGGCATCGAGACCGACCTGGACAATGTTCTCCAGATCCCCAACGTCTTTCTCAACGTCTCCAAGGGTCAGAGCGCCCCGACCGCCGAGCTGATCAAGGCCTTTGGCGCCGACGCCACCACCGAGTCGGTCGTGCTCGAGATCCTGCGCAAGGGCGAGATGCAGGTCGGCGACAAGGAGCGAGCGGCCCAGCTAGAGCGCGTGCACCACGAGGTCATCGACCTGGTAGCCGGAAAACTGGTAGACCCACGCACTAGGCGGGTCTACACGACCGGCATGATCGAAAAGGCCCTCGACATGATCAGCACCCAGGCACACCAACATCATCAGGGCGGTGGCGCGGCAGCAACAGCAGCAGCAGCAGCAGCAGCAGCAGCAGCAGCAGAGGGCGAGACACCGGCAGAGGCACCAGTCAAGACACCCATGTGGACGGGCGTCACCACGGCCAAGAGCGCCAAGTCGCAGGCCCTCGATGCCATGAAGGCCCTCGTGGCCCTGCAGCCGATTCCAGTCATGCGCGCCCGCATGCGTCTGCGCGTCAGCTGCACGACCAGCGTGCTCAAGCAGCCGGTCAAGGCCACGGCCGCCGCAGGAGCAGCATCCTCTGCCGGACCCGTCGTCGGGACCCCGTCCTCTGGCGGAAAGGGTGGCGGAAAGAACAACAAAAAGGGCCAAGGCCGCTCCGAGTCGGCTGCTGCAGTCACGGCACCGCACCAGAACAAGGACGAGGACGAGGACGGCAGCCAGCGCAAGGCGGCCGCTACTGTCAAGGACCGCATCCTCGGCTACATCGAGCAGGTCGAGAGCCAGGATGTCATCGGGTCGACCTGGGAGGTGGCCGGCTTTGTCGAGCCCGGCGCCTATAAGGCCCTCTCTGACTTTGTCAGCAATGAGACCCGTGGACAGGGCCGTGTCGAGGTTCTGGACGTTGCCGTGACCCACGACGACTGAGCCGGCCGGCCGGCCGGCGTTGTCTTTGTTTGCTTGCCTGCTTGGGAGTCTCGTTGCTGCATGGCTTCGGCGTCACTGGTAGAGGGACTTGACTAATGAAGCTTATGTATCTTGCTTCTCGGAAATCGATAGGTTGGCTGGGATAGAGGCTGATTACGATTACCCGTATATATACACTCAAAAACATACATTACCACAAGATGCATAACAGCAAGAGCACGCACCACCTCGCCATCACGTCTCCTCAACCAGACAAGAGTTTCAAGTGTTTTCTTTTGATTTTCTTCATTTTTATTCTCAGCGAGCCCCGGTAGGCAGGTCACTACGGTTCACGCCTTGACAGGACTGTCTCCCTTACTCCGTCCCTCTTGTCGTCAGGAGGGCCACGCAAAGAAGGCACCAACAGCAGCAAATAAATAGAAAAACGAGGTAAAATATATATGCCCCGGCCATGTAGTCCCACATGAAAAACCCACCCCCCGTTGTCCGCTGCTTTTGTGGCAACTTTTTCGTCCTCCCGCCTCGTTTCTGTCGTTCTTTAACCACCCTTCTTCTTGGACACACCGACAGTCCGGCCGCGACGACCGGTCGTCTTGGTGTGCTGACCGCGCACGCGCAGGCCCCAGTAGTGACGGAGACCACGGTGGGAGCGGATCTTCTTGAGGCGCTCGAGATCCTCGCGGAGCTTGGAGTCGACACCGTTGGCCAAGATCTGCGAGTCCTTGCCGTCGACGATATCGCGCTGACGATTAAGGAACCACTATGCCGGCGACTGTTAGCATTGCCATCACCAACTGACCGAATCGATTCGGCCACATTAAATGAGTCCACAAATTGAGCAAAAACGTACGGAGGGGATCTTGTACTGCGTGGGGGACTGGAGGATGCTGACTATCCGCTCAAGCTGCTCAGCAGTGAGCTCACCAGCGCTATTCGAAGAGTCAGTCAGGCTTTCCCATCAAATTGACTCATCCTGCTTCGCAGACTCGACGTACCGGAGGTTCAGGTCGATATCGGCCTTCTTAGCAACGATGTTGGCATAACGGCGACCGCAACCCTTGACCTTGGTCAGGGCGTCTGTGATGGTGTGTCAGTCCTTCTGTATCCCTCCGCCGTAGCAGTGCGCTCTTAGCGAGCGAAGAAAAGCCGGGTGGATTGTACTAACAGACGACCTTCTGCTTGCCATCGATGTTCGTGTTCAACAGACGGATGATCTATTTCCTCCAGTTAGCAAGTCTGGCCTCGTCGTGCGGCTGATTTCATGCGCCATTGGCATAATCGATGGGTTCGGAGAAAGCGGCGGCAGCTTTCAATGTGATGTCTCAACGTACGAACTGGAAGTTGTCTGGTTGCGAAAGTTAGTACTGAGATTTTCCATCTTCACCCACCACCACTGTCGCCTTTTCGGGGAAGACAGGACGAATGCAAGCAAGCAATGGGAATTAGTACGCACTCTTTTCTCCTGAAACAAGAGACATGGTGGGCAACGTCTTCGTCTGTCGACGGTGATGCTGCTCTACCTGGATGGTTGAAGGAGAAGAAGGTAAGAGGAATTTATCGTGTGCCAATCCTTATTTTTTCACGAAAAATTGCCAGACTAGTGGAAGAGGGCACAGCGTGGGAGGGTAATTGTGGTCCCGGAAAATAGTAATTGCTTAGCGCTAGGGCAAGATGCTCCTCACGTGCAATACGAGAATAATAATCACGTGATAATGACAGTCTCCACTTTCCATCTTTGGACTTCAGTATCCGTTGTGTCGAAACCGCACATTCAAGAAATTCAAACTTGTGCTGACCATACACTCAAGTTCTGTGCGGGTACCATATAGGAAGGCATCCACGATGGCCACGCTGGCAAGCGCTCCGTGGTATTCGACTTTCTTTGATTTGCTAGCCTTTCCATTCTCTAGTTACATTGTGTGCATGTTACATCTTTTAGACGGACTTGTTTCTGTGATTGCGAGGATGTCAGTCGAAACATGTGATGGGGCTACGATCAAACATCAAGGGAATGCTGCGCCAACGTCCGTTCATGAACTGGTCGTTTTCTTTACTAGCCACTCCGGTCTATAACAATCACCGATGCGCTGTTCAGAGGCAGTATGAGTACATTTTCTGTCTTGTCTTGGCTCTCCTTTGTAGATTGCAACGCCAAATTGAGACTGGAAGGATGATATCATTCTCTGAACATATGAAAATCACAAATAGTGAACTCTCAGACCACCGGAACGCCTAGAAAAGAATTGGGATATAATGTAGTATGCAGAGACCTAGAAAAGGGTGTATAAGTCGTAACCAGGCAAAGCCCGCCAAAATTGGGGGACTAGGCTGTGGCAGTAGGCAGTGCGGTCGATGTGGCAACGGCTGGCGTAGAGACGGAGGTGGTCGTTGAACTTGCTGCTGCGGTTGCAGACACAATAACTCTGCTAGAAGAAGTGACGGAAGCTACATCGGGTGCAGAGATAGCGTCCGCGATACCTAGCAGGGCTGCAGCTGCGGCGTTGAGGCTGGATGATTTTCCCAGCGACAGTCCACTAAGCAGCTGCGCAGCGATCTGCTCGGCCTGCAGCTCGGCCGACTGCAGTGTAAAAAGCGTCTGGGTGCTTTCAAGCACGGCACAGTCCTGGCTGAACCGGTTGACATCCTCGACTAGGAGGCTACCCTGATTCGGCAGGATGATAGCAGCTGGGTCAGAGACGATCTGGGCGCCGTTAGGCAGACTCGGCGCCTTAGAGCCATAGGGCAGGATGATGCTCTGGTTGAATTTGCCAAATGGGTTGCTGGGGTCGAAAGAGGTCACCTGTCCTGAAGACGACGAATTGCCTTTGCTCTTGCTGCTACCGACTGTCGTGTTGGAAAAGGCAGCCGTGTTGGCAGCGGCGGACGCAGCATCAGCCGTGGTTCTCGCTGCGGCATCAGATACGACAGAAGCAGAGAACCCAGACGGTAGTGCTGAAAGATTGAGGCTCGCTGTTGGTAAGCCTATGGTCATGGGACTGGCGGCAGTCATCATGACAACGACGGTGCTCTGAGAACCCTTGTGGTTGGCAAGCTGCTGGTTGACCATGTAGCGTGTGTTGGAGCCACCTTTGCTACGAACGTCGACGACTTCAGTGATGACGATGATGACAGTGTTCTGGAGGAGTGTGAGAATGAAGAAGCGTATGAGTTTGAGGGAAAGGTGAAAACTCTGAATACGTACCACCTCTGAAAACTTTGCGAAAAAGTGGTTGACGCGAATGTTGTTCTTTATGATCCCAATCTCCTGGACCAGAGCCAGCTGGGCCTGTACAAGGGCTGAGAATTCTTGCTCGGCAATCAGGGCCAGCTCGGTGACGAGGTTCAGGTTCTCTTGGACGATGACCACGGTGGGCTCAATGATCGTCTGCTCAATGACAATAGTGTTCCCGCTGTTACCATTGCTGCTGTTGCCCCCGTTGTTTTTCGTAGCTTTCAGAGGCCGACCCACGACATGGCGCTTAATAGATGTCCTCCGGTCGACAGTAGCAGGTGCTGTCATTATATTAGTGAGCAGTAAGATTTAGAACCCCAACAAGATCGTACTCACCAGCAGTCGCCAGGGAGCTGAGGCCAGCCAGGGCCATAAGCACGCTTGAGACATGCATTTTGAAAACGAGACGAAATAGATTGATGCAGTGTGGTGAAGAAAAGAGTTGCCAACGCACTCGTAGAAAACAACAAGTACTCTCGACGAGGACAGAAAGAAGTAGTAAAAGACAGACAACAGCCCGCGCAGTCAGTACAGTCAAGAAGCGAACGGCAGCCACTAGGGCGCTCTTTAAAGATGGGAAAGAAGGAAAGGAGAAAGGAAGCAAATTGTGTGACCGCGTTGTTAATAAGACAGTAATGAAGAGAACACAGCAGAGCCCAAAGGGAGGAGACCAGTGCTATATATGCAGGTGGTCGTGTCATCGAATTTTTCGCTCACGATTGATGTTAATATGGAGACTGCTACAAGTCTAGAGCTACAGCCTCCTCGTTCTCCCCTCTCGACTTGAGCATCCGGCTCTCAGAAATTCCCGTGTGGCAGCAGCCCCTTACCAGGCACGCATTAGGCTGCCACCGAGACAAAGGCGGCACCGGAGAGAAAACGAGAAACGGAGCTCGGGGGAAAGGGTGCAAGTATACGACGTGATGGTGCAGCCCAGGTGCAAAGACCATATTGTGTCGTAGCTAAGAACAGGCGCCCGTTGCTAAGCTAAGCTGACACGGGCGAGCTTAACCGGGCCATCAGCCTATTGATCTGGCGCTCAGACACGAGCAGAAGGGCCTGGCTTTCGCATCAGTTGTCATCCGAGATCTAGAGAACAGATGTGATAGCCAATAAAAGGTAGTGTCGGCACTTGCCGCACAGATCCTTAGCCTGACTTCAAAACACGCATTGTTTTGTATCGTAACTCTATGCCATCAATGCAACCATAAGCTAGGATAATCTCTGCTGAAGGAATTTGGAATTGCAAGTCTAAGACGACGGGATTTTGCAATCCGGTGCACGAAGTTAGAATTTATGCCATGTTCTGCAACTGTCGACGCTGCTTAGCTTGATTGTCCAGAGGATGGTTCGTAGGTCGCAAGGAGGCCCAGGACTTGTTTGTGTTCGCTGCTTCGATTGCATTGTGCCGAACCTAAACGTTCTCCCCGGCAGCTATTTCGCCCCCATTGCTCACCCTGCCAGCAGCGTCGTAGCAATCGGAGCTCAGCCACTGTGAAGTGTCGCAGAGAGCGCGGTGGTCAGATGGTAGGCCGGGCAAGCCAAGACCCGGGGAGAATAGACTTTTATCTGAAACAACGAAAGGGGACCCTAGACCATCTGTTTGTTCAAGCTCTGTTCAGTGGATACACATCAGACTTTCGTTTGCGGCTTTATGTCTCCATCTATACCGATCTTGATGCAAGTTACATGTGACAGAATCCGAGGGCACAGAGGGTCATCTGCAGGCTAGCAGCGCACAATTAAGCTGCCCCCGACATGAGTGTATTGTATGCCATCCGATTCGAAGAGAGGCTGGTCTGATTTGTGTCCGGATAAATTGTAAGTGGGAAATAAAGAGGCGAAAGGTTTGACCAGGAACAGAGGAAAATCTAGAAAGTAGAATGCGCGGAAGGGAAGGGGCCAAACCCATCTTAGGAAGGCACCACCCTTCAGTTACGAGCAGCCCAGATCAAGCGGATAATGCCACAACTCCAGCTGAGGTTTTGCAAATACGAAAAGATGTCTGGCTTGGACGAACTAATCTCAGCATTGTTTGTGTATGTTATAAGTTGACCCTCTGCTTGACAAAAACAAGTCCTAACGCCAGCAATCGAAAGCCCAGTACTGCATGCCAACTTGAATTCCTGGCCGCTTGTTTGTCCCATGAAAAAGCTCCGCATATGATGCCTAGACCTATGGTCCCTTCTCGCTTCCTTCATTCGACCAGAATACTTGCGGATCTTTCGACTGCCCTCCCTTCTGGTCCTCGAAACGCTCCGGTCAGGTCTAGCGGTCCTTCCAGTTGGCTGCGCACCACAACCACGCTGATCTCCTCATAGTCGTACCGCAGTTGTGGTCCTGGCTCCCACGAGATCTCAGCGCAGTTTTCGCCTAGAAATTCACTGTCTTCAGAACTGCCGTCGGCGCTGTTGCTGCGTCCCACCAGCTGTTGTCGCAGTTCCACAATGTACGGCTGCAGCACGTCCCGATAGTACATCAGAGCGTCCAGACGCGCCGGAGGCTGTGGCCGTGTCCATCGAGAGAAAGCGTCAACGGCCTGCGAATTAGCTGCGGTCACGGTGCTGAAAGATCCCTCATAAATAGGCACAAAATGAGTGCTGGGGAGGGAGGCAGCCGGTTCTTCAGCTATAGCAGGTCGGACCACCTGGGTACTGTTGGCTGTGCTGCCTACAGAATCCACATCGGCTATGTCGCCGTCTCTTTGGACTTGCTGCCTGCTGTTAGGCTTTTTCTTCGTCGCAGCCTCGTTGTCGGTCTCAACGTCGTCGCTCTTATCGTCGTCGCTATCGCTGTCGTCCTCTTCATCAGGTCCTTTTTCTCGCACCTTTTCCTTCTGTTCGGGCTCGTCTTCGTCATATTCATATACCACATAGCCTCCATCCTGGGAATCCAGGGCTTTGCGCTTGAAAACGAAGACGTCGTATCGTGGTAGAAGCACCAGGTCCCTGTACTCAGAGTTGATCGGCCGTTCGTTGTACTCGGCAGGGTCCATGTTACCAAACTGCTGTGTCTCGCGCTCCACATACACAAACACCACTTCGCCGCTCCTGTAGTGCACCCGCCCGAAGAACATACCGTCACGTTCCTCGTCCTGCGCTCCGTAGTCTAGCTCAATTCGGGTCACCGATGGCCCAGCCCGGGGTATCATACTTGCCGCGTGCTGGTTCGCCTCGTTTTTGTCCGCAAAGGCCTTTCCGCGAATGATTTTTCCCATCAGGTTGCCGTCAAAGGACGCCGGCAGGCGCTGAGTGCGGAATACTGTGTATTGAATGACAATGCGGTCCTTTTCAAATGGCGGTGGCCGTTTGGCGGCGGGTACGGCTGCTACTGATGTCTTCTTTTTTGTGGCTACTTTAGGGACTTCTTCGCTGTCTGGTTTTCGTACGGGCAGGTCAAGATCGACATCGTCTATCTCCTGCTCGTCCTCCAATGCGCGTTTTCCTCTTCGCAGCCTCTTCGCAGCCTGCTCGACCAGCCTGCTTTCTGCCAGCCTCTTTTTCTGCAGCTTCGTAAGCACCTTGCGCGAGCTCCTGGCTGCCTTGCGGAGCTGTCCGGGTTCTGGAAGCTGACATTTTATCGTCGTGCTCGGCTTTGGCTGGATATGTCGCGACTGGATGCTTTTAAACAGCGAAATATCGTCCTGTATTCTGGCGGTCGAGGCGGCGGGTGGCAACGACGGACGTGTTCCTGCGGCTGTTTTCACTGCCTTTGACGAAGTCTCAGCATCAGATTTCCACTTCTCTAGGCTCGTAGGTATTTTGAATGCTCTGTGGTTGTGGTCGTGAAGCTGTGGTGCCGCATCTGCGGCCCCATGCGATTCCGGGCCTAAAGCATGAATTGGTGAAAGACTACCCCTAGAGCTGACATTATCGTCACTGCTTCTTCTGCTTCTAGTAGCAGTGCTCTCATTGTCTGATGTAGATGCAGATTCCTCCTCCTCCTGATCTTGACCAAGCGCATCCAAGACAGGGTCAACATCTGAAGTTTGACTGGGTTCCTGCTCCTTCGAGCCACTACTGCCACTACTGCCACTACTGGAGCTTTCGCTGTCAATAAGGTCAATGACGCGGCCCGCCGTCACGTCGGGTGCTGTTTGGGCCTGAGACTGGGTTGAGGCATTGAGCGGACACGACGGTTGTGCAGACGCAACGCTCTTGAAAATTGTTGGTAAGTGGCCAATGGCCTCAAATATGTTGTGCGAGCTTGAATCCGTTGAGGCTGAAGTCCCAGAACTGGTGGTGAAATTGCCGCTGCCAATCGGCTTGTCAATCTGAATGCAGGGGAGATGGGGTTTGGCAGCTGTCGCTGGCAGTAGGCCTGAAGTAACGCCTTTCTCCGGTTGGTCCGATATTGCTGCAGTGTTGTTGTTTTTCTTCGAAGCAAAGTTTGCGAAGGAGGAGGAAGAGGAGGCTAAAGGTGATGATAGGCCGTTTGACCGATTCAGAAGACGGTCCAATAATTTTCGGCCGTTGTTTGGATCTTTATTTGACGAAAGAGAGCTGCCGCCTAGATCCAAAGAATAAGAGGCTCGCTCGGTCAAACTGGATCGACTGCCTTCACCGATGGTGAGACTACTGAGCCCATAACCGCCGTATTTTCTGCCTCTCTGTAGCGATGTGACACTTTGCTTCTCCTTGGCTATTCTGGACATCAGAGAAATAAGACTATTTGTTGTAGCGGGCACGCCATTTCCTCCGGAATCGTGAGTTGCATTGTCGCCGAATCTGCTGTTGCTGCCAACGTCTGCTCATAGAGTAAAAGTGATGTTAAAGAACTGAAGAACTGATCTTTGCGGGTGTCTTGAGATAACGTTATAGTAAACTCACCAAGCAGATTCGATGCCCTTGCAGCTTGTCTGTCATCGGTCCTGACTGACTCCCTCCATAAGAAGGGCAATGGCCTGGTGTCGGATGCTGACGATCGTTTCATGGCCGTCTTGGTTATTTTCGAGCAATTGTTGTAAGTTCCACGCCGTTTGTGATGAGAATATCAGACTGGACAAAAACGCTGGGGGGCAAGAACAGACACAGGTTTATATGACAAGATACTTTTAAGTGAAGTGCTGAATTGATGCTACTCTCGCCTAATCGTGACGCGGTCATGTGGCGAGTAAGGTGTTGCTTGATCTTAAGACGATATAATATAGCTTATAGTATATCAGAAACAAACAAGGTGACTGGAGAGTGACAGCAAGCTCTTTCGGCTCAGTCAATCCGCTTTTTCTGTGGTCGGAGGCCATAACCACCGTATCGCCCTCATCACTCTCCTCCACGATTGTCTTCTCGCCCTTGCTAGTCGTCGTTTTTTTGGCTGCTTTGAATGTAAGAGACTACCTTTGCTGTGCTAACTTGTAACTGGCTGGATTTAGGAGGCACTGGATTCGTTGCGCCTAAAAGTTTCCAGTGAGCAAAAGCCTGCCTTTGTGTTTCGTGACGATATTTGGCTTTCGAAAACCGTGGTGGGAGGGCTGTAAAGTCGAAGATGTGTCACCGTCTGCCCAAATCGGTTTTGGTAAGGAGCAATAAATCGTCTAGCACAGGTAGATAGCAGTCTTTAAGGCATAACACTTTCGGCAAAGCGTCCTCTGAATATGTAAGAGCACGGCAAGGAGCAGGTGCAAACCCTCCCTTCAAATAAAAGCCGTTGGAATTTTGTTGATTCGTCACTCTTTAATACGAAGAAGGCCTTCACCAATGCTATAAGGTATTCCCATTTATAAAAAGTCGGCATCGCTCTGGTCACAACGGCAAGCTAAGCCTTGTCCACGAGATAGTACGTTGCTCGAACTATTCGTATAGCATGTAGCTAACGAACCAGAATAAGGCCAGTCAGTACCTCGTCGAATATGCTGTGCAGCTTGGCTGGCCCGCAAATCTCTGTCTAAAGCAAATGCAAGACTTCGTGGAAGCCTTTATTGTCGCTTTGAATTGTAAATTTCCAGAAATCGAAAACTCTAGAAAGAGCGTATAACGGAAGGAAGTTGTTCGACTTCGTGAAAACGCCATCAACGTCCGCATAAAGCCGGTATCAATTTTAGAAGCCGCCTTTCTTCACCAACTGCACCCTTTTCGTCTACATTAGCCCTAATCGTTTCCACAATATTAGCATTGAAAATGTGAAAGTCGAATCCAGCACAGTCTCAAATGTCGGCAATTACCGACTGCATCATTGCTACCTCAACACAACGAGTTGTCAAGAAATTCTCAAGAAATGTAGGTCGCTCTAGGGCGCAGTAACCTGGCAACCCATGTCGTTAGTACTAGGAGGTCATGATGCAAGACCAAGCTACTAACTTACCTTGTGACAGGTCGCGTTACCGCTCACGCCAGAGGCGGCGTAAGAAGACAACACTGTCCACATCTAGGGAGTTTTTAAGAGGAGTCGAGCTAGCTATTATCTGAGTGTGTCCTGCGCGGAAGGATCGTGACGCCATTTGTAGTTCTAAGGATGCTTTTGTCATGGGCAAGGTGTGTCCTGGATCTTCAGCCTCGTCTTCTCGCCCAATTAAAGATACGAAATTGAAAAATCTGGCACGTTTGGTTATGATTCTCTTGAGCCTGGGATTTCCAATCATAGATATCGTATACTGTGCAAACATACAGTTTTAATTTAGATGATCTACTGTCCTAGAACTCCGAACTTTTTCAACCCTCCGACAACATCTAGACAGACCCGGTATATACGTAAATCTTAGCAGTTATATGAACAGTCCCTATTTTACCGCTTTGTCTTGAACGTCCGTAACGGGTTCACCTTCCGGCCTTTGCTGAGCGCGCTCTTGCCTCCCTTGGCAAAGTATTTGGTCCTCCGCTTATCATTCTTCTTGCCGTCCTTCCGCCGTAGTGGAACAAAGCCGACTTCAGACGCTGTCAGCGCCTTCTTTCCATCACGTGGCAGCAGGTAGTCTGGCACGTGCTTCAGGTGAGGCTGTGCGCGCAGCGTCCGCAATTCGTGATCATGGCGTGCTAGGTGTTGCAACTCTCCTGGGTTCTCTTCGAAATGCCGTTTCAGCTTCTCACTCTTAAGCAGCTCCTGTCGGATCTCCCGCGTTCGCGCTTCGCGCACAGCCACCTTGGTCACCGACCGCAGCGCATCGTTCATGCGGTACCGGAACGCCTCCACCTGCTTCATGTCAAAGTCGTACGGCTTGACCTCCTTGCCCAGTTTGGCCTGCTGCCGCGTGATGCGTCCTAAAACCTTCTCGTCGTTTTCAGCACTCTCCACCGTCGTTGGAATATGCTTGCGGTACAGAGCTGAAGGCACCACAAATGACAGCGCCATGCCTGTCTGGCCCGCCCGAGCCGTGCGGCCAATCCGGTGTGTATAGGACTTGGATGAAGTGGGCAGGTCAAAATTGATCACAGCGCGGACGTTTTTGAAGTCGATTCCTCGCGATACGCCAAATTCGCGGTCTCGCTTTGCTGCGGTCTTGCGCTTTTTCTTCGGTTGCGCCTCTGCGCCTTTGCCCTCCTTTGTCGCTTGCTCGTCTGCCTGTTCTTCATTTCCCAATAGTTCGTGCTCGTCCGAGGCAATAATGATATCATACATATTGCGGTTGAACTCTTCGATGCAGTTTATCCGCGAATTGACGGGAAGCTCCGAGTTCAGGATGCAGCTGCGGATGCCGAACTGTTCGAAGAACAGCTTCAAGCGGTAACAGCGGTCGACGTCGGACACAAACACAAGACATTTTCCGGTGACTAGCTTTAGTTTGAAGATGATGTATGCCAGTAGGAACTTTTCGTCTTCGGCACATCTAAGGCAAGAGAGTTAGCTATTATGAAAAGGGCACAAAACGCAGTGACGCAGGGGCATATACAAACTTTACGACGTATTGTGTGACACCCTCGCCTTCAGCATCTCGCTCCTCCAGGTTCAGCAAAGTCGGATTCCGGCAGAGCATGCCTTTCAGTGTGTCTACTTCGGTGGTCAAAGTGGCACTCATTAGGATTGTCTGAATCCCCTTTGGAAGCGATCCAGAAATTTGTTCCAGGTCCTCGCTGTATCCATATGACAGTACCAAATCGGCTTCGTCAAGAACCAGATTCGTCAGTTTGTCGAGCGTCATGAACGAGCTGCTAACAGCATGCCACGCCCTCGACGGAGTCGACACAACGATATCGGGCATGTTGGACAGCAGTGACCGCAAAACGGCATCCGATACTTTGTCAGTGAGTTTGACGGCGGTAATGTCTTTCGCGCAGAACGACGAGAACTCGGCAATGCTCTTAAACACCTGGTCGGCCAGCTCGCGCGTCGGTGCAAGGATGAGGGCGGATGTAAATGCAGTGGTATCAGTCTGTACAGTGGAAATATGGTCAGTAGGTCTTTTATTGCAGCGTCACCGTCACTGCTTTCTGCCTTACCTGTTTCCGTTTCAGAATGACCTGAAGGACGGGAAGCAGATAGGCCGCTGTCTTGCCCGATCCCGTCTTTGCCTTAGCCAAAAGATCCTGTCCATTCAATGCCAGAGGAATGGCTTTCCTTTGTACTAGAGTCGGCTTCTCAAAGCTCTGTCGAGCAACAGCTTGGACGAGCCGTGGGTCGAGACCAAGGTCGGCAAAAGAAGTTTCTTTGGCCGCCACGTCGACAGCGTCGGCATTTTGCGAGGTGTTTTTGGTTTCCGGGGCAGCCTTACCGACTTCTTTATCGGTCACAGCGGGGCTGTTGTGTTCATCGAGCTTTCGCTTCATCTTGGCTTCGTACTTGACGATCCTGGTGCTCTGGTTGGGATTGAAATATGTAGATTCTGTCGATGAAGACTTTTTGATGGCTGGCCCCTCAAAAAAAATCAGAAAAACTTATCGCAGCTCTTATCGGCTTTATCGGCCTTATCACAGCCAAACCACGGAGTACGGAGTACGGAGTACAACGTACGCCAGGCTTCTGCCTCAGGCCTCTTTATATTCACAATGTCTTATGCGCCTGCACGTGCAACACCCGCACTACTCCGTAAGTAGTCATCAATAGAGAGGAAGAAAAGACGAAAAAAGCAAAACACAACAAAATAGCGCTTTGTACTACGGAGTACGTAAACAACCAACCCCAGCTCAGTAAGGATCACCTATGGTTTCAGGAGAAAAGAAAACATGGAAAAACGCCCAAAAAGTAAACAGCTTGTTCAGCTGAAAGTTTTAGTTCTTTCCACTCCGAATGGCGCAATATTTCCCGCTTGTATCTTATCTTGCACTTACTATGTAGATATGCAGTGGCTTATGTACTTCAAGCTAACCCGCGCCAAACTTTTACGAGTAGAGCACGGCATATCGTCTATTGTTTGGTTTTGTGTTACTTTGAGCTGCGCATGTCCGTCACAGTAACCTTGCGGGTTTGGAAAACACTTGCATGGAAGCGAGCTGTGCCCCATCCTGTGCGAACGCACTTTATTACGAGTGCTCCGTACTCGTGCAGTCTGGTTGCTCCGGCATCAAACGGCAACACCTTGCATGGATGACATGGGTGGAGAAGCCTAACCTCCTAGCTGCAGATTTTTCTGGAGAGCGAACAAGGGGAGGAGGCTTTTCAAACCTGAAAGCGCCTCTTTGTTTTCTTTGTTTTCACTGTTATTATTAGTCCCCGCGACGTGTCTGGCCACGGCAACACAAAAAAAAGATGGGCTTTACGAGTATTTAGATCGTAAGATTCTAGCACCGGACGGCAGTTCCACCTCGAATACCGATTCTCGATCACAAGTCTCCGAGCGCCCTATTTTGTGCAAGTTAAATTATGTGGGCTGCTCCCAGGGACGTGACAGACTCCCTATTCTAAATGTATGATGATATACCTTTGCAGACAGCGGATCCCGAGGGACACGTCGGCATTATGGAGTATATCGTATCTTACACCATACATAGTACGAGACGAGGTAGAACACAAGCGGGAGATCACCCGTGTTTTATCGACGGCCTTGAATATAGAGGTCCCATCCACTATATGCACTTAATTATGCTGAGATAAGATACCTCAAATAGGTCACTGTCATTGGTGACTGGCCTGCACGCTCTATTGCTATGCGTGGTACTGCGTCATGCACTACTATGACTACGGGAAGGGGTGGCCCGTGCTTCTCGCAAATAAAGTGCTTCTCGCCCAGTTGCTCAGGCAACGAAGATCGCTGTTGCAGGGGTTGGAGGGGCTGTGTGTGCGTCCGTCTGTGGCGCTTGCCTTGTTTATGTTTTAAAGAGGTTCGCTCTTCCCCTCCACACGTCAACACCAGATGTTTGTCAATTCTTCCTCTCGTTTGACGGGACAAGGCAAGTACTTCATCCACGTTATAGCGGTTCGTCCCTCGTTGCAATCTTTTAAACCCCTTTGACATCTACATTCTTCTTTTTCTACGTGAGCTATCATTCATCGCAAATCATTATTGCACGTCGAGCTGCGGACAGTGTCCGGGCAATAGTAAAGCCACCATTTGCGTTTTGATGTTGGAGCACTTGCGGAAAACAGGCACCAACGGCAAACACGCTACGACCTCCTTTTTTGCAACGTTATTGCTCCTCTTTTTTCTGTTGCTTCTGTCTCCTCTTTACATTCCTAAAGCCATTCCGGGTGAGACGACCAGACCGCCACTTGATTGGTGCGTCCCTCATTCCAGAGTCAATACATGCAGGAGCGGCACCAGCGCAAACTGTGCTGTCTTTTCTGCCACTGAGATGGCTTCTTCCGAGCCAGTAAGTTTTTCTTCCAAACCTTACTCCGCCCCGTTGCATCGATCAGCAACGACCTGACACGCCTTGGACCAGGTGCACCCGCTGCGCATCTCTAAGAACAACGGAATGATACCTTCGCCGACCAAGAAGCTCGCTCCTATTCCGCGGCCTCTTTCGGAGATTTCTCCGTCAGAGAAGCGGCGTAACTCGCCTAGCTGGAATCAGACGACAAAGGTAAGCTTTCGCCGTCCCCCTTATCCGTGCATCCGCACCTCCCTAACCAGGTTGGCTGATTTAGAAACTGGGTTTGTCCACCGAGTCCTCGCCATTTCAATCCTCGCCGCTGGACAGCGCCACATCACCACGCCTGTTCTGGCAGAACCGTGGCGGTTACAACACAGAAAACACATTCGGCGGCCGTTCGGGATCGCCTTCGCCGACACGCCGTTCTTCTATTGAGCGCCTGCAAAAGGCATCTCGCGTCAAGAACAGCAGTATCCTCGCTCAGGAGCAGAAGAACGAATACGATCCTACCAAGCTCCCCAGAATTGAACGACCCCTGTCTAAAATTCAGGGAAATTCGTTTGGTGGCCTCGGTATCATAGGCCTACGGAGTCCCGTCGATTCTAAGCTTCACCAGCGCAATGGGAGCAAGACTGAGATTCCCTTCTACACTCTAACGAAGACGACTACTTCAGCTGCGACAATCCCATCAGAATCACCGGTCGAGCACACTTCCGAGCCCCAGCACGTTGCGGCTCGCACTGGTCCCGTTTCGCCAAGCAAGGATCAAGCATCTCCTATCAAGTCGTCTCTTTCTAGCCGTTACAAGAGCAACTACGATGAATCCGACCTCAACTTCGACAGCTCTGTGGGCGAGCACGATCTTCCCCATGGCACATCCCTTCACCGCCACGCCAAGAGTGTCACCTTCGATGCAGCGCCACCGCAGGTGAACGAGTATGAGATGGCTACTCCCGATCTGTCATCGGTCGGCAGCAACTCTCGCGAAGGAAGTTACGAATCTGACGAAGAGGACGACGACTACGACGACTATCACTACTCGGGAGGCGATGGTGGTGGCCAGGATGACAGCTTTGATGCGTCATTGGAAGATACAGAGAAAACTCCAGTTGTCGGTCCAGATGATTGGAGACACGATAGTCCTGCTGTCCGCCAGAAGATGTTTGACGGCAGTCCATTGCCAGACTCACAACCTTCTGCGGCTATCAGCCAGCATGAAGCAAAAGTGTCTTCTGGTTCCAGTGGCGAGCACAGGCCACTTCCCCCATTGCCTGGCTTGCCGTATGCACGCAGCAACTCTGCTTCCTCCCCCCGTCTCTCAGCCACGCCGGAGCGCGTGCTTGGAGGTAGTCTGCGCGGCTTGCCCTCCCCTCCCTCGCCTGGCGTTACCAAAGCCGATCTCGACAACATTGGCAGTGGCAAGATGACGCTTGAGGAGCGCTTGAAGCTGATGATGCTATCCGACGATGGCAGATCCGCTGCCGAGCAGCAGAGAGAGCGTCGCATGAGACGTGCTGGTGGCAGGGACCGCACAAGTAGCCAGAGCCACGAAACGGACGCCGCCGAGCAAGAAGAAGAGTTGGAAGAGCATGACGACGAAGCGGATGACACCATTGGAGAACTTTCGGGTCTCGAGGAATACCAGCTACCGCCAAGAATATCTCGGGAATCAATTCTTAGACGTGCAAATGGCAGTCTCGCTCCGGCCCGCGACGGAGACTACAACTTTTCGTCCCCGCCCAGCTCCAGTCCCGAGCGTACACTCCAGCTCGATCCGGATGTTCCAATCCCAAGCACGGAGCATGATGATGACAGTTTTATCAGTGACGAGGACGGGGATGACCTCGATGCTGATATATACGACACATCAGACACTTATACTAGCGATGGCGAAGACGAGGAGGACCGGAGTATGATTTCGGAGAGCGATGCTGTTGGCGATGAGCTTGATCATGAGCATGATCATGATAATGAGACAGATGGCGATATCATCGGCACTCCGCGCGCTGCCACACCGATCCAGGAAAGCGGCAGCTCGCATGTCGTGAAAGAAGATGACATTCTTCATGCTCATGATTTATCAACTGCCACCAAAGAGACTCGTGTGTCCTTGCAAGCCATGGTGGATTCAGACACCCCAACTGTCACAGCAGAGGCGGCGGTGCCAGGGATCGAAAGTGCTCGAGCTTCGACACAGCGTGCATACACGCCTACCCAGGAGCATCCCTTGTCTAAGCCTGAGTATGATGGGACTGGTTGGGGAGATGACGATGAGTATGATGAGCCGGGGACGCCAGAGTCGGTGATCCACCATCCGGTGGACCACTATGAAGATGATGACGAAGAAGATATCTACGAAGATGAACAAGAGCAAGAGCAAGAGAACGATGAAGAGCACGAGCATGAGTATGAACGCGAGCAAGATCACGAACAGAGTCCAGAGGTGGAAGACCACGAAGATGAGCATAGTCTGGAGTCGCCGTCCGTTCCGGAGCGAGTTGCAACGATCAAAGCGTCCGGCTCGAGGCTGAAGACACGACCTTCGGCAACGCCATCTGATATTGAAGCTATGCGCGAGGCTCGGCGGCAGGTCAGCCGCGAAATACCGATAGTGCCCACAATCCCAGATCGCCACCGCAACCGGCTTTCTCGTGACATGGGTGCCTCAGAGGATGAGGAGGGCGAGCTGGAGCAGGGCCACTTTTTGGAGCGACATCCCAGCTTTAAGAAGAGCAGTCTGACGCTGGATCTTGGTTTGGATCTGAGCCTTGACAAGGACTTTGACCGCGTGATTGAGGCACAAAAGGTGGCTTACCATTTTTCTTATCCGTCTTCAACTTCTACCCGAGTCGAACTAGGACAAGCGTCAAGCCAGGCGTCTAGTGACGACAAGGGCACTCGACAGGAAAACCGGGGTTTGTATGAAGGTCTTGATACTAACGTAACACCACGGAAACAGCGCGGATACCTTATGCGGCAGAACACGAAGCTCGTTGCTGCCAGCGACAAGGATGGTGATGACTATCGTGGTACACGCTCAGCCGGCAACTCGCCGGTGAAGGCTATTCGGCCGCAGTCGTGGACGGTAGAGCCATGGAACGGTCAGGCGAAGAGGAAGAGCATCCGAAAGCGGTCGGTCATGCCTGGTCCTGTGCCGCCACTCCCTGGGCAGGCGAGCAATGCTGTTGCTCCGAATGCTCTGGGAGAGGAGGACATCCTGACGGACTTGCCGAATGACGAAGGCGCAGAGCGCGGCCGTCTGTTTGTCAAGGTGATGGGGGTCAAAGATCTGGATCTTCCGATCCCGCGAAGTACGTGGTCTCTACGGCGGTGCGATCGAACAAGGTGACAGTTTACTGACAAGTTACAGCGGAGAGAACGTGGTTCAGTTTGACACTGGACAACGGCGTGCATTGTGTGACGACTGCGTGGCTGGAGCTCGCGAGAAACGCGCCAATTGGGCAGGAGTTTGAGCTTCTCGTTCCCAATGAGCTGGAATTCCAGCTCACGCTCAATGTCAAGCTGGAGAAGCCGCTGGTGGTGAAGAAGACAATCCAGCCAGCTCCTAAGGCTGTGCGGCCGAAGGCTTCCACATTCAGCCGGGTGTTTGCGTCGCCGAAGAAGCGGAAAGAGATGGAGCTCCGGATGCGAGAGGAAGAGGAGCGAATGGAGCGCGAGCAGCGCGAGGCACAGGCACGGCTCAAGAGCGCCCATCCGACGTCATACGACCTGCTATCGCCGATTGTGGCGGAGGACGGAAGCTTTGCGCGGGCATATGTGTGTCTGAAGGAGCACGAGTCGCGGTGCTACGGCCGTCCGGGGATCGTGGAGGTGGCGTGCTTCAACGAGTGGGCAACGGAAGAGGCGAACTTTGCGTGCAGCGTGAAGAGCAAGCGGGGCAACGTGGCGGTTGTTCGGAAGGCGCCATACAAGATTGGCAAGCTGGAGCTGCAGCTTCTGTTTGTGCCGCGGCCTCGGGGAGTGACCAACGACGACATGCCGAAGAGCATGAACTCGTGCATCCGGGAGCTGAAGGCGGCAGAAGAGCGGCTGTCGCGCAACTGGGAGGGCCATCTGAGCCAGCAGGGCGGCGATTGTCCGGTAAGTGGACGACTGGAAGGAGGCTGAAAGTGTGGAAGTGGTTGCTAACGACTGTTCTTGGGTCTAGTACTGGCGTCGTCGTTACTTCAAACTGGTGGGAACGAAGCTGACAGCCTACCACGAGGCGACTCGACAGCCGCGGGCGACGATCAACCTGGCGAATGCCAAGCGGCTGATTGACGATCGGCGGGCGCTGACGGAGAAGGAGACGACGGGCAAGAACGGTAAGCGTCGGCGGTCAGCGTTTGCGGAAGAGGAGGAGGGGTATATGTTTGTGGAAGAGGGATTCCGGATCCGGTTCAACAACGGTGAAGTGATCGACTTCTACGCAGACACGGCCGAGGACAAGGCTGGCTGGATGAAGGTACTCGCAGACGTGACATCGCGCGACAGCATAAGCAGCAATGGCAGTGACGACGAGATGAGCTCGCGTGGGCGAAGCAAGTGGTGCGAGCTAGTGTTCAAGCGCGAAGAGACGCTGCGTCGGCGGGCGGAGGGACGGCGGGTGACATCGCGGACAAAAAGTATGTACGTCTGAGTGTGGATGTGGATGGACGGCGGTGCAAGTGCACGAGTGAGCGACATGGGGACAGCCGGAGTACACGAGGGGAGCGGGGGGGGGGGGGAGGGGGGTGGGAGTGGCGAAAAAGGCATTATCAGTTTTATTGTGTGGATTTGTTTTACTTCTGTCATGGCCTGACTGTTGTTTTTTTGGCGTGTTTGTCCTTCAGTTCTACGTTGAGGAGGAAAGTCACGGGATGCCTCGGGACGACTGAGTCTAATGTCGCGAATGACGGGGGCCTGGAGCTCACGATCTGAGAGACGTCCGGGGCGGTTCAAGTGACTGATTATCTTTGGATTGTATTCGTTTTAGTTGCATCGAGAAATGGACTGCACTAGCGCTACAACGTGATGTCGTGTGATGGTGGCAGTTCTGGGTGAGAGTTGTTCCAAGCGATGCAGTCGTCGAGTTTGACGCCAGAACCACCGAAGCAGTCGAGAGCACTGCCAATGGTGAGATGAATGCGGCCGTTGCTGAGGCGATCGACAAGCTCGAGATCGCTGAGGTGACGAGCACCGCCAGCATAGGTGATGGGACGATCGAGGTCGACAGACCAGGCGGCAAGAGAGGCGACGAGGTCCTGGTCAATGCCACGCTGGAGCCCCTCGACGTCAGCAGCATGGATGAGGAATTCACAGCAGTAAGGAGCGAGGCGAGCGAGAGTTTCGGCGGAGAGAAGCATGTCCGTGAGGGTCTGCCACTTGTTGATAGCGACAGCCCAAGAGGAGGATGAGAGACGACGACAGCTGAGATCGATGACGAGCCGCTGGGAATCGCCGCCGAGAGCCGCGAGAACGGAGTCGAGACGGGCCTGACTGAAGTGATGCGTAGCGGTGGCGGCAGTGCTCGCAGACACCTCCTCGAAGAGATACGACGTGACGATGACCTTGTCGGCGCCAGCAGCGATCCACTCGGCAGCGTTGCTGTCGCGGATGCCGCCGCCGATCTGCAGGCCACCCGGCCAGGCGGCCACGGCTTCGCGTCCGGCTGTTACGTTGGCCGGCCCGCTACCCAGCATGATCACGTGAGCGCCACGCAGTCCGTGCGTCCGGTACAGTGCCGCAAAGTGGCCGGGCGGCTGCGACGCCACAAAGTTGGTCTGCAGCGCCGCCGTGGCCGAGTCGAGCGTGCCGCCGACAATCTGCTTGACCTGGCCGGCATGCAGGTCGATGCAGGGACGAAAGCGGGTCATGGTGGAAGTGTGCGTGGTAAGGAGGACGGGCGGGAGATCAAGTACGGAGTACGATGGCGGAAAAGAAGTTGAAAAAGCCCGGCAGAAAAAAAAGTAGATTGACCGCCTTGGAAGTTGAGCTTCTGTCAGCAAGCAGCAACGGCAGCCCGTCCGTTCCTTCTCTCTGCCACGCACTGCAAGCCCGACCAGACCATGGCCACCGTGTTGGGAAAGCGCAAGCCGGCGTCTGCATCGGCGACAAAGGCCGCCAGCGACAACGACCACGACGGCGACACCATCCAAGACGTCTTCCGGCGCCACTTTGAAGCGCATTTCAAGCCCGCCTGCCAGGACAGACGGCAGCCAAGAAGGCGACCAAGGCCAAGACGACGCGCGAGACGACCGTGTCCGATGACGAGCGCTCGGACTGGTCGGGGCTCTCGGACGAGGACGAAGACGGCGAAAGCGAGAGGGTCAGCAACAGCGACAGCGAGAGCGATGGCGCCGAACCAGTCACGCCTTCCGTCCAGGTGATTGACTACAGCAGTGGTGCCTCGGCTGCCGATCTGGCCGGCAACGTCTCGGGCATGACAAAGCAGGAGCGCAGAGCCTATCTGGTGGGTTGCTTTTCTGTTGGTTGCTGTACAGCGCAGCCGATCGAACTGCTACTGACGACACGACAGTCTTCCCGCCCGCCGGCCCTCGACGACCGCCGACGATCCGCCAGCACGACCACGGCCGCTGACACGGCTGCTGCCGACGGCGCCGACGGCGCCAATACCTTCAAGGACGCCCCCGACCTGCTGGCCAACGATCTGGCGCTGCAGCGGCTCATCGCCGAGTCGCATCTGCTGTCGGCCGTGCGGGCTCCCTCCACCACAGGTGCCGATCCAGCCTCTCTCAAGAGCGCCCGGCCCTTTGCTGCCGGCCGTCTGCGCCAGCATGCCACCGACCTCCGCATCCAGGCCGTCGCTCGCCGTGGCGTCAGCGGCTTCGCATCTTCCCCCGCCGCCTCGGCCGCCTTGGCTGCTCCCCCTAACTCCGCTCACAGCATCTACACCCAGACCTCCATGCCCATGGCCATCCGCAAAGGCATCTCCGGCGCCGCCGCCGCCCGCGAGTCCAAACGCCGCCGTGAGGCCCGCGAGAGCGGCATCGTCCTCGAACGACCCGCTACTATTTCTGCTGCCTCCTCCTCCATCCGTCGCCGCCGCCAACGCGCTGTCGACGCACCCTCCGTCGGCCGTCTTCATGGCTCGGAGCTCCGCCTCCGTGAGAGCGACGTCCGCGCTATCGAGGGCCACCGCTCAGGCTCCTCTTCCATTGGCCACAAAAAACACAAAAAGCGGAGATGACCTCATATCACGTGACTTGCATCTTCGCTATCTCACCACAACATGATCACCACCTGTCTCCGCATGGCCGGCTTCTATGCCGTGGCGTTCTGCCCTTTACACATACAAGCACATAGACTTTTGCTGGTTTCAATCACATGTATTTTATTTCCTATTGTATGGAAGAAACTCTCTCCGCCAAGAGGAAACCACAAAAGAAAATCATCCAAGCCTGGTATCTTTCCGTCGTCCACCATCCAGAAAGAGAAAAGAAAAGTTAAACTACTATATACAAAAATGCACAGCCTTGCTAGTCCATGGACTTCCACTTTTGCACATGATCCAACACACCTGTTCTCCAAGGGTATCCACTAACCAAATCCTTCGGCCGTGGACATTCACCCATCGCCCCGTTTATACGAGGTTCTTGTCGGAAACATAGCCAACCTCAAAGAGGATGATGAGACGCCGCTGTCAATACAGTAAAATCGAATTGGCAGATGCATGAAAGAATAACGAAATCAAAGAAAAAATCAAAATCAAAATAAGAAACGAAAAATCAAAAGCTCGCGAAACCACGCGAGACAAATCTGACGAGAGCTTATCCCCGTCAGGGCAAGAAGATCGTGGCTGAAAAAAAAAATGAAGAAATAATAAAGGGAAAAGAACTGAAAAACATAATGCATGAAACAATAACCAAAGAAAGGCTGAAAAAGGAAATAGAAGAATTCTCGAGTTTGTACTCCATACTCGGCTGCACTGGACTTTTACATCAAGGCCCCAGCGTTGATCGACTGGGGTTGGCTGATGGTCATCGGCATGCTCAGCGTCTGCAGGCTGTTGAATGTGCTCGTCTGCGTTATGCTCGATGCCGCCGAGGCACCGTTGGACATCGGCGCCATGCTATTGTTGACGACCGAGTTGAGTGAGCTAGCCACGTAGCCACCCTCCGACGTTGGGGACGCCTCCTCGACCGAGCCGAGCCGGTCCTCTCCCGAATATTCTTCGTCGTCTTCACCGGACAGTGGGAAGCTGTTCTCCCCACCCTCACGATCGTGAGTCCGCTTGTGCCTAATCAATACAGTTAGTTATCTGCACACAAAACACGTTGCAACACACTGTTCCAACAGATGAGGGAGACAGTGCAAGACATCGGAAAGGGGATCGTACTGTGCCAGGTTGTCCGACCTAGAGAACGCCTTGCTGCAGTAAGGGCAGATGTAAGGTCTCTCTTGGGTATGTGTTCGCACATGTCTGGAAATAGGTCAGATAAAAGCTTCGCAACGGGTTGGCTTGCTGCTGTCTTTTCTTACCGCTTCAGGTGCTCGAGACGCTTGAACAGACGTCCGCATGTCGGGATCGGGCAAGAGTGCGACTTCTGCGGATACGGCCCTAGCTCCATAACTGTAGCCGACCGCGCTCTCCGAACAACGTTCGGGCTCGCATGCACTGGCCGCCGCTCTTCTGCACCAGTGACAGAGCTGTGCGACATTGACAGATCGTCGTGTGCCAGCTGAGAGTAGTCCTGCTGCTGAAGACCCATGGTGTTCATCACCGGGCTGCCCTCTACTGTCGACAGCGGAGTGCCGTGACGCGAAAGATCAAGCAGCTCCTTGTGCTGCTGGCCAGTCAGGGACACGCCCGAGCTGCTGTACGTCAAGCCTGGCGGCGAGTTGTCCAGCGACTCGTCGGCTTCCAGAACCGGACCAACAGACACGGACACGGAACGCCGAAGGTCAGACGGCCGGTGCGCAGCGGATGTCGCCGCTGCCGCCGCAATAGCCGACATGCCAGGCGGGATGGACGAACGGCGTCTGCGCTGCTTGTAGGTAGGCGAGCCCTCGATCACATTGGCGTACATGCTGTTCGAGCCATAGCCGCGAGAGAACTGCGAGCCGGACAGGTTCGAGGGAGGCAGCTGGATCATGCCGTTAAGGCCGTTCATCGCCGTGCTCATGTGGTCGGGAATAGCAGTGTACAGGCCAGTCTCTTCATTGGCAATGTACGCAGGCTCAGTCGTCATTCCAGTTGCCAGCTGCGGCGGCGTCAGCGGCTCAAACGAAATCCCCCGGTTGCCGTAGTCATCATATTGCGAAGACACAAATGACGGAGCTGGAGAGTACTCAAGACCGTACGCAGGCATGGACGCGTGGCGCTGGTGTGCGGCGGACACGGGAACGCCGTTCTGGTTGTACTGGACACGAGCGAAGTCGGGTTCCCGCTTCACCACGTGCTGGGCCATTGTCGGCGCCATCTGCATCGCAGTTGTGTATGGAACCATGCCGTCCATGCCGTCGGAAAACGGAGCCATTGACTGCGGGATCATCTGCGGCGGAGGCATAGCCTCCATTGCACGCATGACCGGAGAAGCTGTTTGTGACTGCGGAAATGACACCTGCTGGGCACTGAAGGACGATGAGTTTGCTTGCTGGGCCTTTGTAAGCTGGTCATACAGCGACTGCGACGAATCGTATTGGAAGGAAAGCGCCGGTTCGCTGACGGCCACTGTGGTGGCCTCCTGGCCCATCTTTTCGCGCTTCAAATCCCGCTCCAGCGCATCAAGAAACAAGCGATCATGCGGAACGCTATACCAATAGAACACTTTCTGCTTCTTCTGTGTCCGGATGCAGTTGTTCTTGTAAAGAAAGTCGAGGAAGGCACTCTTCGGCTCCTCAAGCGAGGCATCGGTTCCAGACTTCAAGTTTCGGAGATCTGAGAAAATGCCCTCCTCAAACTTCTTCGAATTCTTGACGGGCCGGCCAAATGCCTGGAAACGGAACGACAGGCATCGCACAATATCTGTGCCAGAAATGTGGAAGAGATTGTTCCTATAAAGCATTCCGAGTTAGATATTTTGTCTTGCTGTTGCAGGGGTCTCGGATAATCAACGCACCAGAGCACGCAAGAAACGTATTCACCGGTTGGAAGCAGAAACCGGCGAATGTACTGGTCAGTCTGCCAGTCGACTGGGGCAGAGATAAGGAAATATTTCACTACACAGTGGTCAGATAGGAGCTAGATCGACAAAAGAATAGCAGGTCTTACAGTTGTCCACCTGCTGCAGAGCTACTTGAGCATCATGCGGTAAGGCTTGTTGAGCCTCTGTGCTCAACATAAACGTTTCTGGTTTTTGAGGCGCCATGCCTGCATGTTGGGAATACATCATTAATGTCAGCCACTAGGTGGACTTGCAAAGACAGAGTGAAAGTATTCGTCGCGTCTTGTCACTCGTAATGTGGTGGAAGTAAAAGTAACAATGTTGTAGACCCGGAAAGTAGGACAAGCCAGTTGTGTCGGAAATCGTGAAGACCTGGCAAACAAAGTGTAAAGGAATAGAAATGTACAAGTCGACCGGTGTGTGTGGGTAACGCGGTCTGCGAGCAGAAGCGACAATGTGGTGGATCGCAGGGGATGTACTGAATTCGACGAATAGATGGAAAGTCCAAGTGTGACCGAGAGGCGCTGCCCCTGTGTGTGTGTGTGTACGTGTAAAACGTGTAGTTATGTAAGGGCTCAAGGACCGGTACAGGATTGAGCGGCTTCCGTTGCTGTGCAGTGGTCAAACAGTCGAGTCCAGCCCGAAAGATACGGAATAGCCTGGTGAGTTTCTGTACAGAAACAGGGCTTCAAGCGAATGGCGATGAGAGTAATAGCTGGGTGGACCGTCGAGGTGCAACTCGCCAGCGTAAAAAGCGATAGACGTATGGAGTAGCCGGAGCGTAAGACGCGATGGTACGGCGGGCGTCCCAAAAGGGGAACGTCAGGATATCGATGTGGAGGGGATGCAAAGCTGCGTCGTAGCAAAGTGGCGATGCGATGCACGAGGGACAAGTGGCGGGTCCAGCGGACTTGTGCAGGTTTGGCGAAACAAAGAGGCCAATTCCAGGAGGCCAAAGGAGAAAGAGAACGGGCTCAACGTGCAAGAGGCAACAATTCCAGGGGAATGTTGCTTATCAAACAGGCCGGAGGGGAGCGTGGTTGTGTTGGCACGACGCTGGAGTCAATATTGCGACGTTTTTTTTTCAACGGTTTCTGGACCCAGTCCTGTCGTGAAGGATGGTGCTGGTGGATGTGCCTGCTCGAAAGGGCGTATGCGTTGATGGGCACGACAACGAAAAGAAGAGAAGAATGAATCGAATAGAAGGGGTCTGTCGCAAACCCGTGAAGAGAAGATAGAATGAACTGAATGGGGAGGACGCTCCTTCGCACACACGCGATGGAGAGGGGAAAGAGGAAAAGAGTGGAAGGGGGGAAAAGGAAAGGGTCTCGGGCTCAAAGGAACAATCTTCTTGTCTGGGAGTGGGAAAACGGCGGGTTTATGATTTTCTGAGGCTGGGGGGGCGCGAGAGAGGAAGGAGCAGGGCGAGCATGGGAAGAGGACCGAGAGGAAAGAGCGCAGAAGTTCGACTGGGTGGGCACGGTGAATGGCCGGGGTGGGAAAGTACGACTGGCAAAAAGGGAAGCCCCAGAGAGAAGACCAGGGTGTACGATGCGCAGAGGTTGTGCTGATGTACAGGTAGTGGTGTGAGTGGGGTTAGCGACCAGGGTAGCAGGGTTGAGGAGTTGGCATAGCGGGAGCGGCAAAGCTGGTTCGGGGTACGAAAACACAAGTACTCGTGTTATTTTTGTGATTTATCTTACAAACTATTATCAGACTGCTAGTGAGGAAGGAAATAGTCTGGCAGCAGACAGGCAATAATAAATATTCCGGTAATTTCAACAGGCAGCTACGGGCATTAAGCCGGGAGCGCGTCGAGAAGCAGAGTAAGATACAATGGACGGAGTACTCGTACCTGCAGATGGCAAAGGGACGAGTGGGCAAATGGCCAATTTGGCGACAAGCATAAATAATGCAAAGGACGACCCAGATGAGACAGCGTGTCTGATCGATGAAGATGGGCAAGAATGCCTTGCCGTGCGCGTCGAGGCCCGATAAGCAGCGAGCCAATTGTGAGGGTATTTGTAGTTGTATGCCGCACGGAACGTATAGAGGCTTATAGTTCGCTCTGTATGGAATTTGGCCACGGTAGTTTTGCTCCGTAGGGTGCATATTCGCTATCAGTATGCTTCTTCCGCCGAGGAAAGTACCGTGCAGCAGCGAAGAAATGTATCTGTTGCTTGCCCCTCGGAGGGTTAACAAGTCTGCCAAGTACTCGCACTCGCACTCGCACAAGTGGCAGGCTCGATATCTGCCGCGACGAGAGCGCTCTCGTCACAAATGCAAGGGCAGCAGACCAAGGCCAGCCTGCGCAAGCCTCCGCGACGGCGAGCTTGACTCGTATACGAGGAGCCATAGGGGATCGTCGCTCGCTGCCGTTGTATCTTACCACATAGTACGGAGTATGTAAGGGTCGGAAAGCAGGTACAGGCCGGTAATCAAGTGCAAAGCCAGAAAGCCACCCCAAATCTCGCCTACTCCACTTGGCGCCTTCTGGCTGTCTTAGACAAAAGTCGGTTGCATTCTGAGAGATGAGGGACAGGAGGGCCACTCCGCTATAATCTCCGGACTCCTGACCGGTGCAGCGCAAGAGAGATGAGCTATCCGAGCGAGCACCACCTGTGCTGTGTACGGAGTACTTGCTACTATGTACGAGTATGCACTGGCGGCCCCTTTCCTACTCGCTGAAAGTCGTCAATAGGAGTGCAATGTTGATTTAAGGTGGAATGCGCTCTCCTTGGCCTCCTTTTCATGCCTCCCGTCCTGTTGCTGTTTTTCTGTTCCTGGCATCCATCCAACAGCACACAGGCACAGCAGCTGTACCAGGTACATCTCGCCTACGGCTTCAGCGCCCAAGCCGGGCGCACTCCTGTCGCAAGCACAACTCATACAGTCTACGGGGCTTCGTGTCGTGCGCTACACTGTAGTGCACACTGCACAACTGCGGAAAGCCGTAGGGTTTTCATGACAAAGATTCCATACGGCTGCTCTCTCCCTCCGGGCCGCCACCCAAAGCCCTGTCAATGTGAAGCATTGCACCAGGCACGTTTCAGAAATAAATAGCACTAGGGGCTGGCCCGGGGTCCTCGGCGGTGTTGGCTGGTGATGGCCTAGCGCCTGGAAAACGCATGTTGGAGGTACCTAGCGCAAAGCTTTTCTCTCTCTGTTTTTAACTACTCCGTAGACGTTCTCGCCAGAAGCCGGAAGCAGCTGACTCATAAAATCGGAGGTGCGTCAATTGCACTAGCAGCGCATGGGGTACACCAATGCAGGGCCGCCGTACCTGGCGAATCCAGGGACCGCGCTGCACCCAGATTGTTTGCTTTGTGCTTCTTGCGCCCGGATTGGACTGTGTACATACGTGGTACATAGAGACCACCCGGACGACTCGGACGATCCAGACAGCCATTCGCAGAGCGGTAAAATCGTGGCGAAGTCAAGTACATGCATGATGCTGCCTTTTAGGGAGGGGCACCTCGAAGGATTGGTGCAGGGTCTTTGCAATCTTTTTCTCCTGCCGGCCAATAGCGTGGATGCCCTGGTCTGGCCGTCCCACTCAAGTGTTTATGCGCCGGTCTGGGTCTAGCTCTGAGAGCCTCTATTCGCTGTGGTGATGGAATTTCGTCTGCTCAATCATGCCAATTGGAAGGCACCCGTTTGTCCATTCTCAACTCATACGTGTAGGACTGCCGATGCTTTCGGCATGCGCTGTCGAGAATTACGCTGCGACTTTGCTCGAACTGCCCCTCTAACCAGTGGTCCCGCCAAGACGGCTTCGACGACTACATACGTCGTAGAATCAAGATGCACACATCCCTGATTATTCGAGCTCCCGACCAAACAAAACAACCGCTGGGACGTACGCGTGGAATAATATGCCCGAGCACCGGACGGGCCACTCGTTTTCTTCCAGGCCCAAACGGGGCAAGCGGCGCGTTTGATCCTCACTGCCCTCCCGCCTCTCAAGACTCTGAAACTTGGGAGCGCGGGATTGGGCCAGGATGCGATACGACGGACAGCAGACGGGTTTTAAAAAAAGCACTGGGCGATAAAAAATCAGGTGGCTGGACGGATCCTCGAGGCACCCGTAGCGACCGCGTTGGGTTGCCTTCCATGCCCGCCGGCTGTATTCGGATATGCAGGAACGGGATTGGGGATATCCCACCACGGCGCACCAGTGGCATCGTCCCGGTGTTTCTGCTGAGCTGTCGCCGCTGTCACCTGCAAATCCCCTTGCTCATCTTGCCTAACCGTGCCGACCCAGGTGGACGGCCCTGCACCTGCACCTGCGAGAAAGACTTCTAAGCGCGGCGTCCTCGCAGACCAGATTTTACGTTTTACAACGGGGCCGCTTCTTCCTGCCCCGCTGTGTATGTGCCACGGCGGGACGGCGTAACGCCTGGGCGCTGTGGCGGGTTCTCCAACCGACCGAGTCGTCATCCCCGCCATCTTGTGCTTCCCAAAACCGAGGACTGCATTGGTTTCACTGCGGCCCTTTGGTCTCTCCCCTCTGCTTTCGTCTCCACGTCGACTTCTTGAGACCGGTTGCCGACCAAGCTGCTAAGCAAGAATGGGCGTCCCCATTTGGCGCGTACATAGTATCTTAACTTCGCGTTGCCCGCAGGCCAATGGCTAGCCCAAAGAGCTCGCCGTATCTAGTTGTCCGTCTCAGATGCCCACTTCCGGTCGACTTCTTTTTCGGGCATGAGCCAATCTCGCGGGCGATACGAACAGCGGCAAAACACCGGGCTTTCGGCTCGCCAATTGGCTACATCAAATTCGGGAGCCGTCTGGCATACATAGTACGAGTATTACGGAGCGCTCCGCACATGGCAAGATAACCATGTATGTACTCCGTACTCCGTAGCTATTTTAAACTCATGGTTCTCTCTGGTGGCCCGTTATGACGGCCACGTCTTGACTCGTGCATTCGTGTGGCTGTGGTTGGCCGGAGGAGCATACCTAGCTGCTCATCAATACCCATGGCACAGTTTCTTACAGAGTATGGCGCAAACAGAATAACAAGCGGCTCTGGTTGTAAAGTTATACAGGCTATAGCCTAGCTCTGTTGTTTACAGGGCCAATCTGGCCATAGATTCGGCCATCTGTGTTTAGTAGCCGTTCTGGTTTGCCATTTTTTGTTTTATTTTTTACATGGGTAAGCATAATGTCCGTATGCAGCCGGTAGAAGCAATCACCCAAGGGCGCCTAGAGGTGCAGCTCGGGCCTGCTGTACGAGGAAGTTCGAAAAAAAAAAAAAAAAAAAAGGAGAAAGCTTGGAAAGTAGCTCAGCGTCACAGTCGTAGGCGAAAATGGCAAGCTGATATCTTTCAAAAGTGGTTGCAAACGGCCCAACCAATTTACCTTTCTTTTCCACGGCCAAAGCTACCTTACGTGATCATAGCATCCCACTTTTTTTCTAAGTATATCTATCTCCTACATATTGCTCGGACATCCTTTTTCGGTCAGAAAATTCTTCGATAGTAAGCGCCCTTCTTCGAGTTACATCGGGTCTGAGTAGCATGGATTTCTGGACTTGGTATTCAAATCCTGTGCTCTGAAACAAAACAGATGGTCCTATGTAGTTCAGATCCCAAAGCTCAACTTCTATGTTTGAGACCTCGGTCTAGTCCAGACAAGCCCCTTTCGGCGCTCTTGCTGTTTATGGAAAGGCAGTGACGGTGATCTGTGCTCTTGGGTGACCCATGCATACGAACAACTACGACTACGACGGTCTCGTGCAAGATGCGATTTCTCGTACTGTTATTGCTCCGGTTCTGCTTTCCCCATTCTACCCGTGTACGATATACTACTGTACTAAATTCCGCGGCCAGGACATTTTACACTGTGGCCCCGCCCGGAGCTTACACGTGCTCGTATTGGTGTGCCTGGATTTAGTGTGCTGCGGGCCCTCTAGTGATGTCAACAGCACATGTGTGGGCCACTATTACGATACTATGTTTCTTCTGGCATAGTGCTGTACACTTAACAACGGCACGGGCATCTTCAGTTGAGATACATGCAGGCCGCTCTTCGACACGGCCGTTTTCATACTACGAAGTACGGAGTATGTCCGTAGTAGACATCTCGCAACATATGAGAGCCCGGCCCTCAGCTGAGATGTGCTCAAGCCCTCTCTCGATGCCCCTCTTTTTCTGTTATGGGCAAAGCGCCGTGCTATGTAGTGGACATGAAACACGTTCGTGCAAGTGCTTCTTAGGGCGGAAATAGGACAGCAGGGGATGAAAGACACAGCAACCACGGTACACTTCTCGACATGGGTCCGCCTCTCGGGCTATACTCCGTAGTCCGTATCTCCTTCCAGAATGTAGTCGGACCGGGGACGGTGGTATCCGGAGTCCCGACTTTCATACTTATTCGTACTCGTAAGATACGTGAGCATGACAGAGCTCCTAGCTTACGGAGTATATCGGCTGGGCGCCCTGCCAGGACTTTGCTGTAGCGCATATTCCAGTGCGTTCTTTCCCGGGGGATCCGATTTGATTGGGGCTATTTGGCAGCGGGTCGAAAGTCTCATTTGCTACGATATATGCGCAAACAACAGATCAGCTGTTCCTGTCGGCGGGGGCATACTTTGTAAGGTAAGTGCTTGCAGCGGAAATGGCCGCCATCATAACAGCCGGTACGGCATTATGCTTTATAGGACGAAGGCGTCTTCGCATTTGCTCATCCTAGTTTAGTTCATCACAGAAGTGCCGGGCCTACGCACGAGAGAGCCAGCAGCGGGCACTTTGTTTCAGATGAGTGAATGAGAAAAAAAAAGAGAAATAATAGGAAGGTAAAACGAGAGGCCAATGGTGGCCAATGCCCAATACGAAACGGCGAAAGAGGAAGCGCGTATCTTTCCTCAAAGGGCAACAGGCCATACGTAGTAAGGTTCGTACTCTGTATCTTACATACTATTGCATAGCAGAGAACCAAAAGGGAAGGTGCTGCTCGGCACGTCATTGACTTGGCATTGATTCACCAGTTCATGCAATTCTCCAGATCGTTGCCTTGTACTCGTATACATTCTCATTTTGGTGATGTCTGTGCCTTTTTTTTCGGAGCTCTTTGCTTCCCTTTCACTTCTGCAAGTGCTACAAGGCTCTACCGCCCGGCAATGCTTTTGATGGAGACCATTCTTGCCTGATTGGCACCTCACTCGCCAAGTGACTCTAGAAAATAGGGGCTTCAATGCGACATAGCAGCACGGATTGTAAGATACGTCGTACGGATTTTCTCCCCTCCACGACCCCTCCCCCTAACGAGACCACCCCTTTCGAGGGAATCTTATCACGGAGGCGCCATGTTTCAAAAGAGAGGTCATTGGGGACGGCCCCTTGCAGTGGACCCTTGTCGGTTCGCCAAACGAGAGCTTGGCTACTTCATACATGGCAAGTAAAGTCAGTGGATTTGGAGTTCGGAAGTGCCAGGCGCAAGCCGAAGCAAGGATGTCTCGATGTCCAACTCCGTATGCATATTCTTGCCAATTTAATGAGATCACCGCATTGGCTTGCCTACGCGTACATAGTATGCCCTCTCACGTTGCCTCATCGGCACACCTTCCGGCCCCGGGAAGGCGACTTTACATGCCTGCTTGCTCATGCGTAGGCGGTACCCCACGCGAGAATCAGTCTTTCTGTTAGTGCCAGCGCACCGGCATGGCAGGTGACCAATGTAACAACTCTTTTTTGGTTGCACTCATCGTATCGCCTCCCTTGCATATCTACTCTCGAACCGCTGGATGCAGGGAGATGCTCGGGTAGAGAGGCTACAAGGCCCTTTCGCCGACGGTACTATTCGTAGGTTGTTCTGGGTCTCCCTGCTCAATTCTCCTTTCGTCACCTCTAGCAACTGCAAGTCTGAAACGAGCCGGGATGAGGTCCGCTTTGAGAGGAACGCTGGTGTGTGCATCGGCCCTGGGCTACCCATCGTACCTTTTTTTTCCACTACTCCGTATAGCTTCCTTCAGCCTAAATGCTCATTGAGTAAAGGCAGGGTAGAGAACTTACGGTAAAGCAGAGCGAAGAAATAGAAGCTACAAGAAGATTAATGCTTGTGGAGAGAGAGGATTGTGTGTGAGCATTTGAACAGAGTACCTTGGCCACCTCAGGAGAGCTACGTGCGCCTTACTTATTCCATTTTGTTTCCTGCTCAGTACTCCGTACTCCGTAGAGAATGCTCGACGAAGAGCCTTGCCAGTTTCGAGTTGGCTTACGTCGTAAGCTGATCTGCGTAGGCTCGTCCTAATGGTAGCCCGATGACACCGTCGTACTATGTAGATGGGAGAGGGACGAGCACAACTAGGGCATGTATCAGAAAATCCCCGAACGAGGCCCGAATATAGACAGAGGACACGTACGGATTACCATGTATAGCCGATGCGGATAGGGAAGTGAAGGTGACTGGTCGGAATCAGGAAGGAAAGGCGCAATGATCGACTTTGTGAAACGAGTGGCTTGGCCTCGTGAGGCCCGACCGTTGCTGATGTGGCGCCGCAAACATGGAGCATACGACGTAGACCTACATCTGCCTTACAATGTTTTCTCCACGGAGATGCCAGGGCGGCATGTGTGCAAAGTGGGCTGTTTGCAAAACAATAAAGTCGGAATTGGTTGGCCGTCGAATCCGATACTACGTAGAGGCGACCATTTGCGGTTTGCCTGAAACAGATAGGCAGAGCCATGATCTTGGTTATGGACAGTGAGTACGAGAGGAAGAAAGCCACTGCTTGTAAGATACGAAGTAGTATGCTCGTGGCTCTAGTGTAGGGATGTTCACGAGGCTGAGTGTGTTACCTAACGCACTTGCATCTCATTCGCCGTGCTACTCTGTGCCTAATATATCGCACGACAAATGATTTCAATCGACCGGTAGGGAGCTGCTCTGATGACTGCCAATCGCCGCAACTGCATGCATTCGGTGAGATTGTGCAGCCGGTGGACACAACCATGAGCAGTCAAGCAGACACAGAACTGATATGTTTCCACAGACGAGCTTTCTACTAGGATTGGTCATTGTTAAAAGCCTGAGTTGTATTGCTTAGTCAGCATTGGCACATTTCTGTTTCTTCAGTCTGCACAGTATCAGGTAAGACTGTTTGCCTGGCACAAGTCGTTGTAGTGTTGTAATACTGTGGATACACCGTTCTTCCTTCCCCCCTCTTCATCAATATACGTCTTCCAGTCACCAAAAATGCTGTGGCAATAATACGGAGTACTACGCCTCAAGGACTCCTGTTCCGAGCCGCTCGCCAATATCACATGCCTGTCCCACCCATTTCTCCAGCCACCTGTCCGGTCTTGTTGACAGTGCCATCCCGGCTCACCGAATGGCTGGCGGATTGTCCTCTTGGATTTTTCATCAATCAGCCTGTGTGCGTTCTGTGCCTGCTGCTCTTCCGATATTACATGGGGGCTCTCGATCTGTTATGGGGAACCCCAGCCTGCTAGCGAGCAGAATACCCCAACGGGGACCACTACGGCTGCGGGGAAATCAGCGCTAGTGTACTAGGGAGAAGACAGCACCGACTGCGTTTTGTGTTGGCTCCCCCTCTCAGCTGTCTTTGGAGAGGTAGCAGACGTGAAAAAGCTGGCAGGACAGATATGGATTGGATGTGCAGCTAGCAGAAAGTTGGGTGTAATTGATGGAAAAACTCGGACAGGGAACCAGATAGGGAGAAGAAGAGAAGAAGAAATTGGAGAGGCTGGCAGCCAGGCTGCATGCAGCTGCTGCATATTACAGGCAGTGCCTGAGAGACCGGTGCTTACGTACCTTGTCTGACCGGCCATGGCTGCCCAGGACGTTGGGCAGGCTGCCAGTCGATATAAACGGCCGTGGAGCAGCCTTTTTGTCCGATTGGATTGCCGGCCTTCTGCTCAACACAGCTCCCGATCAGCATGGCATTCTTTGAGAACTACCGGGTCTATGTGCTCGCGTCGGTGGCCTACCTGGGCTCCTTTTTGTTTGGTGAGCGTCTCCTGGCGGACAAGTGACAGGTGTCTGTGAAGTCTGTGCAGCGGTGCTGACGGCGTCCCGAGGCTACGACACGGGCGTGATGGGCAGCGTGCTGGCGCTGACGAGTTTCCGGCGGGACTTTGGGCTGCCGACGCAGAAGTCGGCCTTTTCGACGTCGCGCAACGCGGCCATCTCGGCCAACGTCGTCTCGCTCCTGACGGCCGGCTGTTTCTTCGGCTCGATCGCGGCAGCCTTTCTGAACGACCGGTTCGGGCGACGTCGCACGCTCGTCTTCTTCATCCTCTGGTTCCTCCTCGGTGCAGCCGTTCAGACGGGTGCGCGCCACTCGATCGGACAGATCTATGCCGGCCGCGTGCTGGCCGGCATCGGTGTTGGCGGCATGTCGGCCGTGACGCCCGTGTTTGTGACTGAGAACGCGCCGGCACGGCTGCGTGGCCGCATCGCCGGCCTCTTCCAAGAATTTTTCGTCATCGGCAGCACGTTTGCCTACTGGCTCGACTACGGCGTCGCCCTGCACGTGCCGGCTGGCACTCGTCAGTGGCGCATCCCCGTGGCCCTGCAGCTCGTCCCGGGCGCCCTGATGCTGGTCGGCCTCTGCTTCCTCAAGGAGTCGCCGCGCTGGCTCGTCCGTGCCGGCCGCCATGATGAGGCCCTCGCCTCGCTTGCCTACATCCGCAATCGGCCGGCCGACGATGTGGACGTCGTCCGCGAGCTCGCCGAGATCCGCGCCTCCCTCGACGAGGAGCTCGCTGCTACCGAGGGCGTCACCTGGCGCGAGTGCCTCCTCGTCCCCCAGAACCGCCTTCGCTTCTTGCTCGCCTTCGTCATCATGATCTGCCAGCAGTTCTCCGGCACCAACAGCATTTCGGCTATTATGCCCCCGAGATCTTCGAGAGCATCGGCGTCAGCTCTACCCACGCCTCCCTCTTCGCTACCGGTATCTACGGCACCGTCAAGGTCGTCACCACTGCCATCTTCCTCCTCGTCGGCATCGATTTCTGGGGCCGCCGCATATCCCTCATCTGTGGCGCTGTCTGGATGGCTGCCATGATGTTCATCATCGGTGCCGTTCTGCATACCCATCCCCCTGACACCTCCAGTTCCGTCGTCTCGCCTGCCTCCCAGGCCATGGCTGCCATGATCTACCTCTTTGTCATCGGCTACTCGGCCTCCTGGGGGCCGACCCCTTGGGTCTTTGTCAGCGAGGTGAGTCAGATTGGCGCCATTGCGAACAAAAATGATCCGTCTCTTAATTGCTGACTCATCAGATCTTTCCCACCCGTCTTCGTCCTTATGGCGTCGGGTTGGCTGCCACCACTCAGTGGCTCTTCAACTTTGTCGTCACCGAGTTCACGCCCTCGGCCGTCAGCAACATTGGCTACCGTGTCTTTATCATGTTTGGCGTCTTCTCTGTCGCCAACGCGCTCTTTGCCTTCTTTCTCGTCAAGGAGACCAAGGGCCGCAGCCTCGAGGACATCGACATCCTGTTTGGCAATGTTTCCGAGGAGCAGCGCCGTGCCGATGTCGACCAGGTCTTGCACAAGGCCGGTGCCGACCACGTTGATGACAAGGCTGTTGAGCTGGGCCCGGCGGAATCCCGCGTGTGAGTGTGGCTATATATGGAGGAATAGTACGGAGTAAATTGCGTTATATTGTAATTGTCTAGCCGTTCTTTTATGCTCTGCCGATTCTGCCAGTTCTGCCAGTTCTGCCAGTCCACCTACATCGTCAGGCTCTTCTCTAGCGCCTTGACGCCCTCGCGCACCTTTGGGCAGTAATGCCGCCGCAGCAGCTCGCCCTCCCACACGGTCGTGGCAAACGGATTGCTCGTCTCGACCGTCTCGCTCAACGGCTGGAAGGTCCCGTCGCCCTTGCGCTCCTCCGTGTTCCACAGCGCGCTGATCTTCTTGCCGTGCGTGTCGGCCACGTCCAGCAGCAGGGCCAGGACCGCCTGCGTCGACTTTTCCGGCACGTGCAGCGCCACCGACATGAGCTGCTTCGAAAAGGCCGCCAGCCGCAGCGGTGGCACTGACCGGATATTGTAGGGCGGCAGCAGCACCGCCGTCAGACAGCGCACCAGCAGCACCGTCGTCGTCTGCAGGTTAACCTTGCTGCCCTCCTTGTGGCCGCTGCTACTGCCGCTGCCCGTCGCATCTGCCAGCTTCTGCTGCAGCGAGCCGGCCCGCTTCTCAATGTCGGCCTCTAGCGCCAGCGGAAAGAGGCTGCGGAAGAGGTGCGTCGTAAAGAAGGACAGGTCCAGGTGCAGGTCGCTGCGCGCGTTGTGTGCGTCCTGGCCGGCCAGCAGCGCGTAGGCCGTCACCGTGCAGAGCAGTGCCTCGCGGCTGAGGTTTCGCGCCACTCCAAACCCATCGTCGTCATCATCGTCATCGTCGTCGTCGTCGTCGTTGCCGTCACTGCCAAACTCGTCCTCATCCTCGTCCCCTTTGTCGTCGGCATCCGGCTTGCTGTTGCTCTGGCCGTCGCCGTAGCGGACAAGATCCTTGAGCGCTTCCAACAGGTCGCCAAAGAAGTCCTGGTTGATCAGGTGGGCATACTTGGCCAACCCCTCCAGCACGGCACCCATCAGATTCGGCACGCGCAGCTTGAGAATGCGGAAGTAGGTGGCGAAGACGAGCTTGAGCGTCTCGGACTGCATCCGGTCGCGCTCCTCGTGGGCTACTAGGGCGTCGGCCTGGGCCAGGTCGCGGTCCAGGGCCTTTTGCTCCTTGAGCTGCTTGCGCTGCCGCTTAGTACGGAACTCTTTCTTCTCGCGCGACTTGCGAGCTCCGGCCGTCTCATCGTCGCCCGGCCGGTCCACACGGTCTTGCGACGCCTTGCCCGAGAACTCGGACAGCAGCCGGAGGTGCAGGAACGTGTTCAGCACGCTCTCGTCCACCCGGTAGTCGCGCGCTCGCATCATCTTGGCCAGCAGCGCCACCGTCTCCATCGACGGCCGGCCCTCCTCGTCCTCGCGGAAGAGCGTCTCGAGCGCGGTCCGGCACCGCACAAACGACTCGTCCACTCGCCGTCCGCTCAGCCGCCCGACAATGATCCGCAGCAGGTCCTCGCGGAAGTTAAAATGCGGCACGCTGTTCAGCAGCGTGCACGCGCACGTCAGCGCCACGTTGGCCAGGCTCTCGTTGTACACCCCGCCCGACCGTCCGCGGCCGAGCCGCGAGAGCTCCCGAAGGTAGCCCTGGTAGCCGGCCAGCAGCGACTGCTCAAATGCCCGGATCCGCCGCACATCCGACGACAGCTTCTCGCCGCCGCCCGCTGCCGCCGGCTCTTCGCCCAGAGTCCGGATCCGGTACCCCGGAATCACGTCCTTGTACACTGCCATCTGTGTCGCTATGCACAGCTTCTGCACCGCAACTGACCAGGTCGCCTGGCGTGCCACCTGTGCCAGCGCCTTGAATGCGCCCGGGTTGTCCTCCGGGTTCTCGTTCAGCTTCAGCGCAATCTTGGCCAGCTCTTCCTTGGCCACCCGCACCTGCTGTGCCTCCGACAGCCGCGGCTTCGCCCCTTCCTCTGTCCGCTCTGCATCCCTGCCGTGTCTGCGGCCGTTCTTGTCTTTTCTGCCATGGCTGTGGCCGTTGTCCGAGTCGGAGTCATCGCTGCCAAATGCGTCCTCCCCGCCGGCTCCGCTCTCAGGGGCCACCTTGACAGCCTCCCGCAGAACACCGTCTGCCGTTCGGATCGGAAGCCGGTCGTTTGTCTTCTGCTTCTTTGCCTTCTTGGCGTAATCTCGCTCTAGATCCCAGTTTGCAGCGTTCTTGTTGAAAAAGGCCGGCTCGACTTCGTCGGTCGGGCCCTTCTTCCGAGACGTCCGCCCTTCTCCCGAAGGAGGCGGGCTGCCCTTCCGCCGCTTTAATGGCCGTGAATTCATGGCCGATCGTGCTGTACTGGACTGCAGAGTGTCGACCTGTTTTCTCACCTTTTTTTTCTTACGAGGGCCGCCTGGGATAAATTTCAGCGGGTCGAAGAAAAATGTAGCTTAATTAGAGCGAATTGGGATTAGACCTTCGATAACAGTCTGCTTACTAATCAAAAGGAGAATGCACTTGTACTTATCCAGCGAGCTCAATTGGCTGATGCAGCTGTTTATCGTGCATGGTCCACATAAAAAAGTTTCAGTGGAGCCAGGTCGTGGAAATGGTATAGAGAAAAAAAAGTAGGCAAGTCAGAAATTTACCATCGCTGTCTTCACAAGGCGGCATTCGATTCCAGCTTCCGACCTTTCCGCTTGCAAAAGACATTCCGGAAGTCATCCCATACGGAAAACAGGAAGCAAGGGAGGAGGGGAGACCACGATGGCGACATCTCTCGCCGCGCAGCTGGCGCAGATTGCGGCCAAGTCCAAGATTTCGCTGGACGTGAAGGCGCAGAAAGCACTGCATGGCAAGTCGCTCATCTTTGAGCCGCGGGTGGCGGCAGCACAGTCATTCCAGACGGTCTTTGCGATATGCAGCGAGGGCTTTGACGAGCTGTGCCAGTTGGACGAGCGGTTTGTGCCGTTTGCCGACACGCTCTTCAACGAGCTGAGCCAGGACGAGGACCGCACGCAGATGACGGAGGCGGAGAATGCGGTCCTGGACAAGAAGATTGAGGCGTTTCTGCGTCTGGCCGGGGCGCGGCTACGGCTGCTGCCGGCCATCAAGGCGATCGAGTGGCTGGTTCGGCGATTCCAGTGAGTTGGCTGTTTCTGGTGCTGCTCTTGCGTCGGAAGAGCAGAACTGACGATTGGCAATCCACAGGATCCATGAATACAACACGACAGCAGTGATCACGACGTTTCTGCCGTACCACTCGATACCGGTGTTTGTGACGCTGATGTCGATTTTGCCGACGAACCTGCCGCACGAGTACCGGTTCCTCAGTCCGTACGTGCGATCGCTGACAGGGCCGCCACGAGCGGCGATTGTGCAGCATGCGACGCAGCACTTTGAGCTGCTGGTGACGCTGTCGGCGTATGCGCTGACAGCAGCACGGGCGCAGCAGCACTACGGCGGCCTGGTGACGTTCTGGGGCGGGGTGATGACGGAGGCCGTCAGCGGGATGCTAGACGGGCTGCGATCGGGCCACAAGAGCGTACAGTCGGACAACACGCAGACGGTGCTGCAGCGGATGGGCCCGATCCTGGGCGAGGCACTGGTCATCAGCCGGGCACCGGGCATGCAGGTGGCGGCGTACATGGTGGTGGCGGTGTTTGTGAGCAAGGCCAACCTCGGCGACGCGGCCATTACGGCGTTCATGGAGCAGCTGGTGGTGGGCTGGACGGCCGAGACGGCCAAGCCGGGGCTGGTGTGTCTGGCCATTCTGGCACAGCACCGGTCGGCGCGCCAGCTGTCACGCAAGGTAGCCAAGGCGGTGCTCCGGGTGGCAGACCTGGCAGCGTTGCTGGTGGAGATTGGGCGGCAGCGCCGGGTCGACCGGCTGGCCAGTGGCCTGGTGCTGGCACTGACGGAGCGACTGGCCAAGAAGGCGGCAGTGCGCAGCCTGCCACTGATCAAAGCGATTCTGCTGGGCGGCGTGCTGCACGAGAAGCAGCTGGCGGTGGCGTTCAAGGCGCTGCTGCTGGCCGCCCACAGCATTACGGACGAGACCGACCCAGCCGGCACGACACGCAAGGAGCTGGGAGCCATGCTGGTGGTGCTCTCGCAGGGACAGGCAGAGGCCGGCGGCGACATTATCCGCCGAGTGATTGCAGACGTCGACCTGGACATTGAGGAGCTCGAGCTCAAGTTGGACGCCACGTTGCGGCCGCAGCCGGTCTTGCTGCTGGCAAACGGGGATGGCGAGGCGGCCGGTGACGACGAGGCGGCCACCACAGCGTCTCCTACACTCGACGCGCGAAGACGTCGACACAGCGATTCGGCGGCTGGCGCAGCTGCCGCGGCCGGCGTCCTGCCTGGCTGGCGAACCGGAAGGAGGATTGGTGGAGCAGCTTAGTCAGCTTCTACTATCGGCCGTGGCGGCGGGACAGGCCGAGCTAGAGCAGCTGGACAGCGCGCCGCTATTGGGCCGAGCGGACGCAGGCTCGGACTGCTTCTACTTCAGCTTCCTGATGCGCATATGGTCGGGGCCCTACCCGACACTGGCGCGCGTGGCAGCGCTGGACCGCGCAGCCAGGCGGCTGGGGCTGGACGACTGCACGGACGTGGACTTCCAGGCGCTGCTGCCGTACTGCGTGGTAGCGATGGGCGATCCGGCTAAGAAGGTGCGGCGGGCAGCCGCGCAGGTGGTGTCTGCGGTGGCGAAGCTATCTGAGTCGTCGACGGCAGCCGCCGGAAGACAATGGGGCACCACACAGCTATACGAGGCGACGGAGAGTGTGAGGCAGGGCGCGGACGCGAACACGGGCTTGTGGCTGTCGACGGGAGCGCGCAAGAGCCTGCTGGACCTGCTGGGCGGATCGGCCGACGAGGCGGTGCTGCATGAGGGCCAGCTGTCGGCAGTTCTTAGGGACGCGATGGATAAGTCGTCGTCGTCGTCGTCGGGCCAGGGCCAGGGCCAGGGCCAGGGCCAGGGCCAGACCCATCTATCGCATGGGACACGGCTGGCGCTGCTGCGGTTCCTGGCCGGCCACGCGGTAGCGACACCGCTGGTGGGCGTCAAGCTGCGACTGCTACAAACGATCAACGAGGTGCGCGGCGTGTCGGGGACGACGAGGACGCAGCTGCTGCTGCCGGTGCTGCAGTGGTGGGCGGGCCTGAGCGCGAGCGAGGCACAGCAGGCAGTGATCCGGGCTGCCGTGGACGAGTCCGATCTGGATGGTCGCTGCGTGGACGTGGTGGTGGCCAACGATAAGGTTGGACTGGAGTGCTTGTTGGCCGTGGTGCAGCAGGGGAAGACGATGACTAAGCGAGTGGGTCTCGTGCGAGCGGCTTTTGGGCGAATGCGCAAAATGTGGCCAGCGATGAAGGAGGATTTCCGGGCGGTGACGGCGGAGCTGTTGCTGGATCTGGTGATGGCAGGGGAGGGTCCGGACGAGGAGGCGGACGAGGGACAGAAGCTCGTATCGGAGGAGGCAGCCGACGTGCTGCAGCAAGTGGAGCTGAGCAGTGCCATTCTCGCGCGCTTCCTCGACGGCCTGCAGCAGCACGCGGCCAAGATGGCGAGCGGGCCAGCGAGCAAGCGACGACGGACGAGCTCGATGGGAGCGGGGAGCGGAACGACGACGATGACGACGACGACGACGGGAACAACAGGAACGGCAGGCGAGCTGCGAGCGATGCTGCAGCAGACGACGTTTGTGCTGCAGCTGGTGCAGGGGTCACATCCGGAGGCGCACCCGACGCTGCTGCCGGCACTGTTCGCGGTGCTGTCAGATCTGCAGGCGCTGCGGTCGGTGGTGGGCTCAGAGCTGGGCTACCTGCAGAACGTGGTGCTGGGCTGTCTGCTGGCGATGATGCCGGCCTACCAGGCAGACCGGCGGCTGCGGATTGCGCCCTCGGTCGGACACGGCGACGTGCTCGTGAGCTGCATCCACAAGTCGAGCTCGCCGGCGGTACAGAGCACGGCGCTGCTGCTGGTAGCCAGTCTCGCGCGCACGGCGCCCGAGGTGGTGCTGCACAGCGTAATGCCCATCTTCACACTGATGGGCGGGTCAGTGCTGCGGCAGGCCGACGACTACTCGGCGCACGTGGTCAGCCAGACGATCCGCGAGGTGATTCCGCCACTGATCGAGACGTTCCGCCGTGGCGCCAGCTCTGGCTCGGGCGTCGTCGCCCGCGCAGCCGAGCTGCTCTCCAGCTTCGTCATCGCCTATGAGCACATCCCGGCGCATCGGCGGCGCGATCTGTTTCTGTCGCTGATCGAGCACCTTGGCCCGTCCGAGTTTCTGTCGGCCGTGCTGGCCATGTTTGCCGACCGCTACGGCGCAGCTGACGACAGCGACGTGGTCGCCTTTCTGGCCGATCTTACGGGTGCCTTTCCGGCAGCCGTGCAGCTGCAGGCGCTCGTGCAGCTCGTCGGGCTCGCGAGCGACGTGTTTCAGCCGCGGCCGGCCCTGGCGGCCACGCTGCTCGGCCGCAAGGACGACAAGACCGGCAAGACCAGCACGGCCAGCACGACAGCCACCAACGACCTGCAGCCGGCAGCTCTGCAGGTGCTGACGCTGCTGCCACAGCTGCTGGCCAGCCGACGGCTCCGCGACGCCGTCGGCCGGCTGGACGAGGCCGACGATGACATGGAGACGGCCAAGATCCGCGAGCTGTACGCGCAGCTGCTCGAGGACGTCCTAACGCTGGCCGGCACGATCCAGGGCCGGGAGCGCAGCCAGAAGAAACCGGCCACGGTGCTGGGCGCGCTGCACGGCCGCTGCGGCGACGCGCTCGGCCAGCTGCTCCGGCTGCAGTCCATCGGCGAGTTCCTCAAGGCCGTCGAGACGCTGCTGGACCGGCCCAGCATGGGCGTGCGCCAGCAGGTGCTGCGGGCGCTCGAGGTGCGCGTCGACGCCGAGGCCGCCAACAGCCCGCAGGCCCGCACGGCGCTGCTGGCGTTTCTGCCGCAGCTCACCGCCGTCATCCGCGACTCCGACGACGTGGCCTACAAACATACCGCCGTCACGTGCGTCGATCGCATCGCCGACAAGTACGGCAGGCGCGACCTCGAGGCCGTCACGGCCGCTGCTGCTGCCATTGCCGGTGACGGCTGTCTCGGCCAGCCGGATCGCCGCCTGCGCGTCATGGCCCTGCTCTGTCTCGCCTCGCTCGTCGACGTGCTGCAGGAGGCCGCCGTGCCTGTCCTGCCGGCTGCCGTGCCGCGCGCCCTGGCTTGTCTGCGCGAGAGTCTGGCTGCTGCCAGCCCGGATGCCCAGCTGCACAATGCCGCCTGCTCCTTCGTCATGGCCCTCGCCCAACATCTGCCCTTTATGCTGACGGGCGCCGACCTCGACCAGCTGCTGGCCTGCTCCTTCATCTCGGCCGAGACCGTCTTTGTCCCCGGCCACAGCGACACCGACGACGACGACGCCGCCGCCGACGCCGCCCCCAGCCGCCGCCACTGTCTCCAGCTGCTGGCTCGACAGGCCGACGCCAGCGTCTTGTTCGACGTGCTGCGTCGCAGCTGGCCCGCTGCTATCGCGGCTGGTCACCGGGCCACGCTCGAGTGCGTCCACGTCCTCACGGCCGCCATCGATCGCCACACCAAGTCCACCATTGTCAAGAACCTGCCGGCTCTGTCGGCCATCCTGCAGGCCGCCTGCGACCTTCGCCGCGAAGCTCGTCTCGACGTCGCCGCATCGACACCTGTCGCGCCCTCTGTCCTTCCCCACGTGTCGGCTGTCGAGACGGCCGTCCACACGGCCGCGCTGCACATGGTCTTTAAGCTCAACGACGCCGCCTTCCGTCCCGTCTTTGCCGACCTGATGGCCTGGTCCGACCGCGGCCTGCTGCCCCAGCCTGACCGGCTCGGCCGCTGTCTGCGCCAGCAGTCCGTCTATGGCTTCTTGCTGCTCTTCTTTGACCGCCTCAAGTCGGCCGTCACGTCCTACGCCGCCTACGTCACCGATGGCGCCGCCGCTGCCCTGCGCACCGCCCGCGTCGCCGACAGCGCTGACGACCGCCTTCTCTGGACGCGCGTCCTGCAGACCCTGGCTTCCTGCTTCGCCCACGACGTCGACAACGCCGGCGGCGACGGCGGCTACTGGCAGGTGCCTGCGCACTTTGCCGCTGTCGCGCCTGTGCTGGTGGAGCAGTTTTCCCGAGCACGTGACCTGACCGAAATCGAGCCAGACGACCAGGAAGGAGAGCCTCTCACCCATCTCACCCATGCTGTCGTCCAGCTCGCCCGCGCCGCCAACGCGCCCGAACACCACAAGGAGCTCAACGGACTGCTCCTACGCCGCCTCCGCTCGCCCCATGCGGCCGAGCGGCTCGCCGTCGTGCGCTGCCAGCAGGCCCTCGCCGAGACCGTCGGCGAGGAGTGGCTCGCCATGCTGCCCGAGATGCTGCCGTACATGAGCGAGCTGCAGGACGACGACGACGAGGCTGTCGATCGCGAGACCCATCGCTGGATCAACATCATCGAGGGCGTCCTGGGCGAGAGCCTCGAGACGATGCTGCAGTGAAGTGATGTGTGTGTGTGTGTGTGTTGAGTGTTGGTGTTGTGGTATGTTGTTGTGGTTGGCATTGTGGTTTTGTGCATGTGCTATAGTGCATATTTCTGTTACTTCTATTTATTCTTCTATGAGGAGTCTGGGACAAAAGTGATTTCTGCCCAAAATCTATTAGACTTTGCATCTACCAAGAGACATGCGTGAACACAATCCCTAACTCTTTGACAGCTCCCGCTTCATCACCACCGTCCGGTACCAGCCTCGGAGCCGCGGCCCGGCAACGCCTGGCACACTGTCAATGCCCCAGTTGCCCTCCTCCGTGCCGCCGTACGCGACCAGCGAGTAGTCCAGCACGTCTACCGGCACGAACCCGTGCCGCAGGTACAGCGGATATCCCGTGGGTGAGGCCTCTAGCCACAGCGGCAGGCCGGCCGCATCCGCCAGTTCGGCGCCCCAGCGCAGGATCGCCGACCCGGCGCCGAGACGCTGTCGGTCGGGAGCCGCCGCAAGGATGTTGAGGTCTGCTTAGTCAGCAAAATACATCTTTGTCAGCCTCTCCCCAGCTCTGCCTACTCACAAACATGGGCTGCCCCCCGGACCACCGCTGCCCGTTTCCGGTGCAGGCCGCCGATGAAGCCGTTGAACACGTCCAGGTCGGCACCCTGGCCCAGCATCTCCTCTGTGAACACGACCGGCTTGGTCCACTCTTCCTCTGTCCGCTCGCGGTGGTACACGACGTATTTGCCAAACGCCACGATCTCATACCCCTCCTCCTCGGCTTCGTCCTTGTGGTCGCGCAGCATCTCGGCCACCACCACCGGCACCTCCCGGCCCGTTCCCGGCGCCGCCTCGTCAAAGATGCTGCCCGCAAACTTGGCCACCACGTCCGCCGTCGGCACGCCCGCGGGCGGATACATGGCTGGTGACATGGGGTCCGGCCCAAACGCTGCAAAGTACACCTGCGTGATCGCGTCAATGTCCGCGGCCACGGCCTGCCGCACGCGCAGCTGACCCCTCAAAGTCATCGTGTAGAATACGGGGGTAGAATGCCTCGTCTGCTGGTGGACTGCGGATGCCGAGAACTGTGGCTGGCCAAGTGCGCGGAAAGGCGATTCTAACGCTTGATTTCCTCGTAAGCACCAAAAGTCTGTGCACACGTGGAAAAAGCTGACCACCTGTTTGCTGCATAGTACGAGCTCGGATACTGCCACCCCGCTTGTTGCCTTCGTGATCTAGGCCATTGCTGCAGAAGCGATCACCCGTCTGCTAATCGCACTGTAAAAGTGAGTATTCGCACTATGGCGTTTTATAACTACCACTTACAGACGTCTCCCTTGTAACGACCGTACCAATTACAAAGCAACCTACTACCGTTTACCAGCGGGTACCTATAGCCGCTCTTACTATGCAACTCTCTTGTAAGCTCCCAATTTTCGGCCATTCGTACTGTTGTCTTTGCTTGAGCATCTGTCTTATGATAAGACGTTTAGCAGTTCTGGAATAGATCTCGCCCAAACTGAGAATCTTGGCTCACATTGGCATAGATTTGGGCATATCGCTAGCCCAAAGTGTTGGCAATGTACCTAAACAGCCGAAAATTTAGGCCCGCTTGCCCTCGTCGTGCAGTCGTGCGAGTTGATGCAGTGTTCGGCGGGTCCTTCAGGTTGTGCTCGTCTCCGCACCCGAAGCTGGAGTGGGTATCTAGATCTGTGGTCCTACGGTAGTTTGTGTCTTGGTTTCCGTACCGCTGATGATAGAGGGTCGAACAGTGCAGCAAATGCAGACGATACGTGACTAATCACAGGCGTCGGCTGCAGGTCAAGATAGTCCACATCGGCCATTGGCGGCGGCGTTTGGTGGACGGAGTGCCAGGACAGAAGGCCAGCGCATTGCAGCATGCACTTCCGTGATTGTGCGTAACCTGCAGAACATGGTAGCATGTCAAAGATGACACCGCACATCAGGTCTTCCCGTTGCAGCACAGTGATACTACCCAACCAGAAGAAGAAGCAACGGTGCTTTCTGTATGTGCCAAAGAGACGTAGGATGCAGAAGAAAGGAAACAGCTAAGCCTTTGTGGAAGAAGTCAGGGCCTAAGAACCCAGTGCAACTGCTCAGTCAAAGCAGAGCAAGACTTTGGGGACTAAAACACTATTAGACCCCGGCTTGAAGTTTACAGACTGCAAACAGCAAAAGCAAGCAGCCAAAAAACACAGACGAAGGCCAATTCAGAACAGCAACTGTATATTGCTCGAGATATGTTATAACACCCAGAGAAAGACAGCAAAATTCTGGCAGATCCGTGCTTAGCGATTTCCAAGAGAAAACAGGCTTAAACAAACCCCCCTCCCAAAAGTATCCAGAACCAAATACCAAATGTCCATGTAATCATGAGCCTAAATTCCTACTCCTGCACTTTGATGACAATCTTGCCTTTGGCCCGCTTGGTCGCCAGTTTTCCGTACGCCTGTCTGGTTAGCCACGCTGCCGACCAACTATTAACACGCCAAAAGCCAAAAGAAGATGGGAGGCATACCTTGACCGCATCCGCCATGGGGTGCACCGAGTCGATGGGCATATCCTTGACCGTGCCGTCAGCGTACCAAGCTGCGACCGCCCGAGCCCGCTCGCCTGACGGCGCCAGACCCAGTATCTGGTACGTGCGCGCAGGCCCGCCAAGGAACCAAGGCAAGATCTTGTTGCGCACAAATGGCACAACGCCCTGCGAGGGCCCGCCAACAATGCACAGGAACGAGCCCCGCGGCACCAGGTACGGGGAGCACTGGAGGAACAGCGGCTGGTCGCCCATGCAGTCAACGATCAGGTCGAAAGGCCCGCTACTGGCCTGTTTCGCCGCTCTTGAGGACGCATCTGCTTTTGCTGTATCTGCCGCTTCTTCTGCCTTTGCTGCTTCTGCTCGCCGGTTTCTTCTGCAACTTCTGCTGCTGCCGTCGTCCTGCCGTCAGTGGCCGCCTTTCCATAGGTCTCGGCCAGATACTGCGGCAGCGGGTCGTGCGTCTGGTAGTCGACGATCTCGTCGGCACCATTGCGCCGCACCAGCGCCTCGTTTGCCGCCGAGCACACGGCCACGACGTATGCCCCGCGGGCCTTTGCGATCTGCGTCACCAGCGAGCCTACACCACCACTGGCGCCGTTGATGAGGACACGGGGCGGCGACGTGCGGCTCTTGGCCGCGTCCGACTGGAAGACGGCATCTGCTCCCGGGTTCGTCATGACCAGATGTGCCGTCTGGCCAGCGCAGCCTAGCATGCCGACGGCCGTCTCCGACGACAGACCGTCTGGCACCCGCACCACCACCTCAGCCGGGACCGTGATGTACTCAGCCAGCGAGCCGTGACCTGTGGCAACGAGCCTGATGCTCAGACAGCCGGAGACACGCGCGCCGACGGTCAGCGGTGCCGCTGCGTGCGCCGGAGCGGCCGCAGCCATGGGGCCCAGCTTCACGATCTCGCCGGCAAAGTCGAGCCCGGGCATGGCGTTGCGGCGGAAGGGGATCCAGGTCGGCAGGTGGAGCATAAAATGCAGGTCCGCCGGATTGAGGGCGGCGTGGGTGATGCGAACGAGTATGTCGGAACCCTTTGGCGCAGCTGCAACGGCTGGCGGGTCTTGCACGTCCTGCAGAGCCAGCGCGTAGCCTGGCTCGGCGTTCTTGACCACTACCCAGGCTTTCATGTCGGCTGCGCGTGTTCAGTCGTGCGGAAGAGAAAAGACAGAGGCGTTTTTCGTTTCTAAAAGACAAAATGAAGAGAAAGGACAGAGTAAAATACGGGAGATTTGACGGATGTTAACTGCAAGAACAGCTTCTGACACGAGAGTTGAACCAAAAAAGACTGAGACGGGATTTCGGGATCCACAGTTGCTCCGATCCAAGAAAGTATGTGAAGAGCAGGCATCAGAGTGCGGCACAATAGGATAATTTGAGATGATGCTGGTGACAGCTCGCCATGCAGAACTGTCTGAACGAGGACTCGGTAATCTTGCAATTACGTCAAGGCAGGGGGCACCGTGTCGTAGCTGCCGTATGCCACTGTTCACGGTTGCCAAATCGGTTGGAAACTTACTGATGGATTTATTACGTGAATGCCGAGTGCACTTTAATACACGAGTACTCCGTATACCAGCGTCATAATGCGCTTCGGGATTACTGTCTGGGTCGCAAAAGAAAGAAACGAAACAGAATATGCAGATGTACTGGTCTGAAAATAACTACGCTGAAAAATATGTCACCTCCACCGCTTTGCCCTCCCTCCGCGCTGGCCGTATAAAGCATTCGAACGTATCCGACGTCTGAGGCACCCTCTTGTCAACCTTTATCGCACCTCTCGTTCTGTCTCGCAGAACCGTCGTCTGCTTTGGCTCTGTTCACGTCAAACTCAACATGCTCAACTGCATTGAAGCAGCCCAGCAGCTGGCCTGGTTCATGCATAGGGGCTGTCGTTGAAAAACTGGATGACGAGTACAGCTGGCCATGGTATAGACAAGATGAATGCCGCAACGACAGTGAAGAAATTGGTGGGCGTGTCGTCGCGAGGTCCCCGCCACCGGTCAATAATCTGGATGGAGGTGAAGATCATGCCAATGGCGTAGGCGGAACCGGCCCAGGCGACGGCGAGGATAAGCTCGTTTACGGCATCCGTGGGGCTGATGACGTCCTTGGACGTATCCGGGAATGTTTTCGAGAGGTTCCCGCCCATTTTGATGAGCTTGCTATCGTCGACGGAGACAGCGTAGTTTGTAGAGGATTCGTAGTTTTCTCGGCGCAAGATACTGAACTCTCAGGAGGCCTGTCTTTGCTTTTTGTTCCGTGGCGAGGGACCAAGGGTTCGATCGAGTAACTTGAGAGTAGTAGGAAAACAACGGCGGGTAATGGAGTACAGAGTATCGAAAATAGTGTTGGCCAGCAACAGATAACCGTTCAACGGTGAGGCGAAGTGAACAAAAGGACGGATAAAGACAATAGTGTGACGAAAAAGAAAGACCAGAAGGAAGAATAGGAATCACAAGAGAAGAACGCATGCCCAAGCCAATCGAATGGGCGGAGCGGCAGAAAGAGTCCACCGGAGACCCCTGTCGGGTAGATTTCAACGTCTCACCATAACGAAGAGTGTATAAGAGTCGAAACTCATCCCACTAGTCCTGCTCCGCGGCACACTTGACAAGCGCCCCGGTTTTGCTGTCTTCGTTGCCTTATAAGATACAAAGTGAAGGACGGTGAGGCTGCCCGGCGATCTAACATGTATCTTACGATGTACGAGAGACGAGGCGAGCGGGCCTCGGAAGGTGGCTCTTCGCTCCAAGCGGCTATGTCTCTGACACCGTTTGTCTCAGGACGGGTCCGGTCTCTGAGCCCGACAAGCCTGCAAGCGAGCATCGATTCTGCTCCCAAGTCCACGTGCGAATCTCCTCTCACAGGAGTTTGCGCCTGGTTGACCCGGATGACGGGATCCCCCATCACTGATAAAAGGAGGCTTAGCTTCTGGCTAACGCAAGACCCAACGAATCGCCTTACATGGCGCGTCGCAGTATCTTTTCGATATATGACAAGTCGATCATCTGCATGCTTCAATCTGCTGTCCTCTGTTCTCCCTACACCAAAATTACCAGAATCATACGTCTGGCCGGCAACTAAGCCCCGAAATTATAAACCCGGCTCTTGCGACTTCTATGACAGCGATTGAATTAGCCACTTATCAGCGCTAATGTCGCAGCGAGACATAGTAGAGTGGCTCTCTGATGGTCTGCTGATATTTTCCATCATTCGACACCTAAAACAGGACTGGCCGAGCTTTTAAAGCGTTGCCCCTATTCTGCATCCCAACTTCCCCTGGACGATCTCTTGTCATTACATAGTATACTTCGCACTCCGTACAGCACGGAGCATTACGAGCTCGAGAGAACGGCTATTCTCTGCCTCATCTCCGCCCCCATCCACCTTTTGCCCCCCTTTTCCTTAGTCGAAATTCGCTTCCCTCTGATCTGGTCAATTTGCATGATCCGTCTCTTCCAATTGGATGCTGGTTAGCGCCAGGAATCTGCAAGAATCGTCACAATTTACAAGAACAATCCACAAATAAGCCGACTAGCCTGGTGGCTTGTATTGGGAGGCAGCCACACTATAGAATGGACAACGAGCTACCTTACTTCAATCCAAGCGGCCTACCCGTACGAGTATCTTACAATATCCTCCCACTGGCGGAGTGCTCCGTAGCGATATACGACGTACGAGTGTGCACTAAAAAAAGAACCGTGGCCCCCAAATCCCTTGGCGGTGTGGTGATGTGCATACTCGTACGGAGTAGGTTGAGGCTAATCATCTTTACCAAATAATGAAGTGGAGACCGGCTCTGTTTCTTGCATCTCACGTGCTCGTGGACGGGAACTCGACCAGGCTGACATGGCACATGGAAGTTTTCGTGTTCTGGTGACTGATAATGGAATTCCCAACTCTCATCCTTCTGGTGCTGGTGACGAAATCAGAAGACAACCGAAATGTAAGGATCGATGAGCTGTAGTGATAGCTAGCCATTGACACCGCAACTTCCTCTTACGGAGTGATTATCGCGAAAATCTAGATAGTGTAAAGAAGGAGCGACGAACCAAGACTCTCGGCAACGAAGCCCCATACGTACGTAAGACGTCTATCACCTAATCACCTCGAACGGTTTGTTTGCTTGTAAAACTCTTTCCACATTCGAGTTTGCATGTTGCCCACTTCAACTTCATCTGCCAGGGGCAAACTTGAACTCTGTTCGCAAGAAGCACGAAGCATAGCTTGCACCGAGTATTTGGCTACTGCCCACAACGATTTGGCAGGATTACTTGTCCAATTAGCTAGTTCAGCGATCGACACAACTCTGCACCGAATTGATCTCATCCTCAGCTTGACTTATGTCAGTAACTTGGCTGTCGCAATGCAGCAAGACTCTATTCATTAACGACCTGAACTCGAATTCGATCAGAACCATTCCAGACTTAGAAAGAGTCTTGCTCTTTGACTCTAACGAAAGTCCAGTACAAGAACATTGCACCACGAAGAAAGAGCTTTTCCACACAAAGAAAAAACAAATATGCCGAAGCATCTGAACCGCCGGATCTTCGCTATGCCGGAGGCCTTGAATGATCTTGGCTCTGAGACAGGATTGTCTCCCCAGCTGTGCTTTCAAGACATGACAAATGCTTTTTGCGGGCCGGTCACAGCTCCAGCATCGCTGCCAACCTGTCACTCTATTATCGTTGCCGTTGCTGACCCGGATGAGAAAAGGGACACACGCCTTGTCCCAACAACTCAATCCCAACCAGTCGCCACTAAGGACATCATGTGGTTTCCTCAGACAGTGAAGCACATTCCAGACGTTTACGCACTCTTGCATGCAGTATTAAACTGCCATGTTCAAACCCCGATAGGTGAGTGACTACGTTGCTTGTAGTACTCCGTATTTACTTGCTTGCCTGTTGCTAAAGCCCTGCGGTTTCCGATAGAGCCCGACAGCGTGCTCGATCGCTTGGCAGTGCAGTCCCGTAACACAACGACGCAGCAGCGCGCCGTTCTCATCCAAGAAGCTGCTGCCCTGCAGAAGGCTTATGTCAGTACCGTTGTCCAAAGTGTCTGGACCAAACAGATTGGGATGCCGGGGGGTCTGGGCGAGCCCGCTAGAATATCCGCCACTCTGGATCGCTACTACGTGTTTGTTGTGTCTGCTGCTACTGGAAAAATAGTCTGCATCGATAATATTAGCGGGGTGCCCGTGGAGGTTGATAACGTGCTGAATGGATTTGATGTGGACACGACGGTGATAACTGCCGGGATTGCTGACAAGATCCGTTCTATTGTTGCCAGTAAGAAGGAGGACAACGTCCAGGCCGTTGTCGTCGGGCTAGTCTCGCGGAACGCCTGACGGCTGTCTCTAGCTGCTGTGGTGAAAAACCAAGTGGAGTGTCCCTAATTATGGAATGTCGACGGAGCATAGTGATCGTGGCTTAGGCAAACGGGAACTAAATTTAGTGTATTCCGCCCTGTCTTGAAGCCCTACGAGGGTATTGATTAGCAGCCTTTTTCGTCACGTATGGGGGAGGGGATGCCTAAGGGTGAGTGCGAAATGAGAAATTTAACAAATCGTCAAATACGGGGATTGCGGTATCGTGAGCGAAGTGCTCGGACGACCCTTCACGAAAGACCGGCAACGCCGCGTCCTGTCTTGGCTTCTACGTTCTGCGATGTATTCCGCAGAACCCCGAACTCACCCGCTAGTCAAGTTTAGTGTACTCGTACGGGAGATGAGGCCTGCGGCAAGCCGAGCTGACAGAAGCATGCAAGGTGTGTGGCGGAGGGGCATCCTCTGTCTCTACGGAGTAGCTGTGGGTGGAATCAGGCTAGCCCTACGAATAGCTGGTAAGATCCGGAATTCTTCAATGTACTTAATTATGGCCTCTCGTGCGGCCCAGAAGTTAGATGGTGGTGCAGCGACAGATCAGCCGCACGGCTGCCCAAGCCAGTTGCTCAATCCACCGCTCGGATTCTCGACCGGTCTTCTAGATAGAATTTAAAGCACTTCCAGTCCGGTCTGCTGGTTTCAGATCGTACCCCTGCTCTGCCATTTATCCACATATGTCACTCGCCTCTTCGACTTTTTCGAGCTCTTCAACTTCCGACATTCGTTTATTTCTCAAACGGCTTCAAGTGATGATTTAACTTCCAAGACATCAACACGTGGACAGATTTTTTCAAATCGCTTACTTGGGACCGCAACAACGCGACGCTGCCGCCCTGGAGAGCCATTATTGTCTGATCGCCTGGGAACGCGAGAAGATCGTTCATTCCCGAAGTTGGCGAGCAAGAGAGGAGGCCATCGAGGAACGAGAGGGAAACAACAGAATCACCAAGGGCCGAGGGGAACACCACAGCGATGGCTTGCTGGTCCGCGAGCAGACAGCGTGTCGTCATCGCTGCCTGGCTGGTGCTGCAGGGCTTCACGAAACCGGTCAGGGGCATTACGAACGACTTCTCCGCGTATCCGACAAACTCGCAAGCGTGCATTTATCTTGCGTCCAGCCAGGGCAAGTGCAACAGCGCAAGCAGCGTGACGGGCCTGAACGAATGCCTCTGCACGAACAACAGCGGCTTCATCACCAAAGCAGCGGCCTGCGTCGGCCAGCAGGACCCCAGCGACCTTGGCGAAGTTTACACGGTTATGTCCGATGCCTGTGCCTACACCAATATCGACATTGCTCTTTCCAGAAGCGAATTCTTGAGCGCTGCTGCCGCCGCCTCCAGTTCGTCATCATCGGCATCATCGACTTCAGCGACATCGTCATCATCGGCATCATCGACTTCAACGACATCGTCAATAACAAGGTCATCAACACTGTCAAAATCCACCACATCGAGCTCTGTCGGCAGCACAGCGACCAACAGCGCCAATGCCAGCGGCACGAATACCACGTCTAGTCAGCCAACGGAGACAAGCGGCGCCTCGGCCAGTACCGATGACAGCTTGGGCATATCCAGCACCGCCAAAATCGGGATCATCTCAGGAGCGTGCGTAGCCGGGGTTACCATCATGTCTGCTGCCGCCCTGTTTATCTTCCGGTACCGTCGCAACCGGCGCCCAGCCGAAGAGAGCGCGCCGATGCTGTCGTTGGCTGGGTTCGCTGGTGGCAGTAGTAATGCTGGTGTCGGCGGTGGTGGCAGTGGTGGCAGTGGTAACGGTGGTAACGGTGGTAGCGGTGGTAGCGGTGGCGTCGGGTTCGTCGAGATTCCAGGAATCTCTGAAGTTCCTGGGAGCATCGGCCACTCAGAGCTACCAGGCGGCCATACCTACTGGAAAGCGGCCGAGGGTGTTGGCGCGAACGCCAAATGGCACCAGGCTGCTGGAATGAACCAGATCCCGCACCAGCAGCAGGAGATCTTTGAGTTGCCTGCTCATCAAGACTCAAGCCCATATGCAGAGATGCCTGCCCGGGAAGAGCCAACTCCATATGCAGAGCTATCGGCCCAGAGACACTCAACGAGCCCCTGGGTAGAGATGCCCGCCTCATCTGTAGAGGACGGCGTGCCCATGTCGACTATCGTGACACCAGTATCGGCAAAGAGCGAGGAAGGCAACAGCTATGCCGGCACCAGCTATGCCAACTCCGTCGTATATGAAGATTTGAAAGAAGACTGGCCGGCTCCGGCATACCGTCCATAGATTTTGCGTAACTGCTACTTTTTTAGAATTTTGTTCAAGCGCTTCTTTTCTAATCCTTTCCTGGCCTTTAGAAAGGTTGGATCATACTTTAATTCAACAAATCCGGTTTTCTTAGTTGTTTGCCATGCGCGGAGTGCAGTGCTGAAACACGGGTACAAGTGCGAAATTTTGCAGATGGTAGCAGAACACAAGGTGACGCATACTGATGACGAGGCCTTTTAGCAGGAATGTTTGGTGTGCAGCTTCGGCACGCGAGTTCACAGGGGCACACTTGCTAGGGCTAGCAGAGCAAGCTTCATCTGGGACCGTCTACGATAACTCCGTAGAGTATGCTGACTTTTGACAGCCTCACGACCTGCTTCACGACTTGCGGAGACCTCACCCATGCGGGCGGTCCGCGTTAAGCCACGAGAGCCCCAATTGCACTGGATACACTCAGCCGAGGGGCACAAGGCTGTTGGAAGGTGGATGTGCCCGACTCGTATTTGTGGCTACGCACGCGACATTCGAGACACAACAACAAAAGAAGGGCACGTAAAGACGATGCTAGACGCATGTTCAAAACCTCTGTAGCCCATATCGTGGATGTCTCCTTGTCGTAGCTATGTAAGATATGCTCGGGGAGTTAGGAAAGGGGTCGTTCGTCAGGACTCTTTCTACACCAATGTGCATTTCGGGTCAATAGACATCGCTAGTGGAGAGAGTAGTCGCTGGCGGAAGCGGTAAGAAACAAGGAATGATGGGCCCGTTGGGTTTTCAAGACGATAAGCGGTGTAGCAGTCGAGGTCGTCGCTTGGTTCGACTTTATCTCCTATTAAAGAGGAGTAACGGACTGTTGAATCCCGTGCCTCCACAGCGACGAGACAAGCTGCAGAGAATACGGAGTACTCTGTAGATTTTTGTTTCACCGCAAAAATCCAGGCTAGAAATACAATGGTGTGCCAGCTCTGGCCGACACCGGTACCGATCATGATTGGATTTGCGGAGTACGTATAAGTAAAGTACTCCGTACGGAGTACGAGTATTTCCTTTGCCATGACGCCACCCACACTTAGCTTTGAACAGCTCTCTTTTTGGCTGCTTCGAGCATATTTGCTCTCGTATCTTACATAGTATACTCGTAACCCGTTACCGCTTTGTCCGCACTCTCTCACCTTACATGCTTTCTATCCTTTGTGACCAGTTTTAATTCGGCGTCCTAAAGCAGGTGTTCTTGACACAGTGCTCACTATCACCGAGCTTAGTGCACCCTTTTTGGTCTTGTACCACCTTCCTTGATCCTGCCGCATTCCTACATATGGCGAACCTTTGCCGATTGGACTTGCCTCGTTAACGCGCCTGCTTACGAGTCGCGCCTTCCCGCTCGCTCAATAACCATGCTATCGCCCCCCGACGGGCAGAATAGCATATGGCCCTGCTATTCATGTTGCCGGCAGGTGTGGGTATGTTACTGCATAATATCGCTTTTCCCATTCCTCTTCTCTGTGGAATAGCATCGCCAAAACTTCGGATGGAGATCCTTCCACAAGAACACGTTTTGTTACCCAAAAAGCTGCACCCCACACCTCCAAATCAGGCCCCCCACATTTGCTGTTACGCAAGACGCCAATTCCAGGTTACCCTGTACAGGAACTGACAGCATGATCAGGTACCCGAGACTGCTGCGTTCAGTGATGGCTGCCCGGGTTTAGTGGCTTACATTCCGGCCCTGGTCGCAATCGTCGTCGTTCTTGGCCGTTACAGCCTGCGTCCACTATGGCGGCGGCGTCCCATCTGGCTGCGCGATTTTGCTACCGAAAAGGATGAGTTGGGCCCGGCCACGGGCTGGTCTTTGCCTGATGATGACGAAGCTGACGAGGAAGAAGAAGCTGAAGCTCCTTTCTGCAACAGACCGTCACTGGCTGTTGAACCAGATTCATTTACCGGGAGAAGCATCGAGTTCGGGACTACAGCTGAGGTCATCAGTAATAACGACAGCGATGACAGCAATGAAATCACCATTGTCAGTCCTGGCAACAGATTTACGCTGTCCAAGATCCGGATATGGACGATGGAAGTAACACTCTTTCTGCTGTCTCTCATAGGTGTTATCACTAGCCTGCTCCTCACGTTTGCAGCCGGGTTGGGCCTGCTATACCTAACACCCCTTGTCCCATGCGTGCGTATATATGAAGTGACAATTCTGTTATCGCCTAAAAATTCGCCGAGCTGACAACTGGGGCAGCTTGCATCATGCTTATTGCTAGCCATCGATCGTCCTCGCACGCTGCCAGGGGCCGTCTACCTGCTTCACGCGGCCACTTTGGCCATTCAACTGGCCCTACTCCTCGGTGTACCTGATCTCTACCGCTGGCCTTTGTGCCCACTTTGGCTTTCTGAGATCAGCGTGACTGGGCTGTCTCTGGCCATCATGACCACCATGCCCTTGCGCGATCCCAGCCTTGGCAACCGTGCCTCTGGAACAGACGGCGAGACTATTGCTCTGCCCTTTGAGACACCCTCGAACAAGCTCCGCAGCCCCGAAGACGCCCTGACCTTGTGGCAATGGATGACTGTTAGTTGGATGGGGCCTCTCATTGGCTTGGGATATACCCGGCAGCTGCACAGCGAGGACGTCTGGAACCTCCCCTATCAATTCCAACATGGGCGCCTCTATCGACTGTTTCAAGACGTCAGGGGAACCGTTACTAGTCGCGTCGTCAAGGTCAATACCCCGGATCTAATCATCACATCTGTCCTCGGAATATTGGATTCTCTTCTCTCGATGCTCCCGATTGTCTTTCTCAAGGCACTCCTGGCTTCCATGGAGGGCTCCAACCCCAACGTGCGTGTGGCTACGATCTATGCGGTTCTCATCTGCATTACAAACCTCCTTCGTTCTCAATGTGGTGTCTTTTCGCTCTGGTATGCACGTCGCTGCTACGAGCGGTCGCGTGGTGAGCTGATCACTATGATCTACGAAAAGACGCTGCGTCGAAAGGCTTTTACGTTTCCAAGCCATACAGATGCAAGCACGAAAAACGGAGGCGAAGTTGCCGAGGATCTTGTACAAGGTCCTGCCTCGACTGGCAAGATTCTCAACCTCATGCGAAATGACGTCTACGAGGTGGCCCAGCGCTTCTGGGAGTTTCCCACTCTGTTTACGAAGCCGCTCAACTTTGTCCTTTCCATGGTACTTCTTTGGCGCATTCTCGGAGCTGCCTCCTTAGTTGGGATCCTTGTTGTTGTCATGGCACAGCTTATCAACGTCTTTGTTATTCGTATCCTTGTCAGATGGGAGACGGCCCGCCGAGCTGTAACCGACATCAAGCTTCAGGTGACCTCGCAGTTTATTGAGTCGATTCGACACTTACGCTGGTATGACTGGCAGGACAGGTGGCTGGCCGACATCCTGAAAGCGCGACAGAAGGAATTACGTTACCGAGTGATTACCAATATTATTCAACGGATCATCAGCGTTGTCAACCAGATGTCTGCCAGTTTCTTCCCCGTGGCGGCTTTTTACGCCTATACCGTCTGGGAGAGGCGGCCTCTAACAGTGGACGTGGCCTTTCCTGCCCTGAATCTATTCAACCTGCTTGAACAAAGTTTGCGCGAGTTACCTGATCTCATTACGGTGCTTTTGAACGCCACCGTTGCCATGCGCCGTATTGATGCGTTTATGAGCGAGCCAGAAAAAGAAAGCGATGGTGCTGCTGATGTCATACTAAAGCAGGCTCCCGGAGGCGCCATAGTGGACGGCATCTTGCGCCCACCTGGTCCCCTCCACGTGGAGATCACCGACGGATCTTTCTCTTGGCCAACAGTGAAGAAGCCTGTACTGACAAAAGTTGACTTGATCGCCGACGGTGGCAGTTTGACCGTCATCTTTGGAAAGGTCGGCACCGGTAAGACGGCTTTGCTCATGTCTATTCTGGGCGAGATGGACCAACATAGCGGCACCCGTTTTGTTCCTCGAGAGACTATTGGTTACTGCGCGCAGACACCCTGGCTCCAGAGCATGAGTGTGCGTGAGAACATCCTCTTCTGCACGCCGTTTGACGAGCAGAGATACAATAGCGTCGTCGAAGCATGCTGCCTGCTGCAGGACTTTTCCGAATTCGAAGCGGGAGATATGTCAAACATCGGCGAGAACGGTATCGGCTTGTCGGGCGGCCAGAAAGCCCGAGTTGCTTTGGCACGCGCCGTCTACAGCCGTGCACGCATCCTGCTTCTCGATGATCCTATTGCGGCCCTAGACCACAACACGGCTGAATCGATCATGAAGAAGCTCTTTACAGACTCGGGGCTCATGCGAAACCGACTGGCACTTTTTGTCACGCATCGCTTGGATCTTGTTGCCGGCTACGCGGACCAGATCTACGAAGTCAGTGACGAGAACGGCATCGTAACAAAAGTGGATATCGGGACAGTCAGGAAATCGGCCGGCGTTTCTGCAGCTGCGCCAACAACAACGGCGGACAGCGAGGGAAGCAGTGCTGCTGACGACAACGAGGGCGATTCGTCACCGGAGAACAATGTTGCGGGCAAACCTGCGTCAACTACGAATGGCGCCAACAAATTTATCGAAGAAGAGTATCGCGCCCACGGTGGGGTCATGATGTCTGTGTATTGGCGGTATGTCAAAGCCGGCGGCCTTCGGTGGTGGGTATTGACACTATTCACGTTTATCGGCTTCCGCATCGCGAAAATTGCGTATCTCTATTTTCTCAAGATATGGGGCGAGGCCTACGACAAAGACGCCACGGCTGATGCTGCGATTGAGGCGACACTGACGCTTGTTCCAAGGGTGTTTACATATCTGCAACCATGGAAACAGCTTTTGACTTCTGGGTCACATGGCGACGAGGACATGTTCTCTATCGCGACGGTGGTGAATCCGGACAACGCAAACACTACGGGCTGGTATGAGGGTGACTTTGGACTGCCCTCCCCCATGACCAACGTTGTGCCATGGCTTCTATGGCTGACGCTTCTTGCAATTTTTACACTCTTATTTCGGACTCTCTCGGACATCATCCTGATCATCATCACTTATGTGGCCGGTAAGAGAGTATTCCAGGAGGTCATGGTGCGTGTCAGCACAGCGCCGTTTCGCTTCTTCGATATCACCCCTGTGGGCAGGCTGATGAACCGGGTCACGTCGGATATTGGCACCATCGACGGAGCAGTCGCGCAGCAAATCCACCGCTGTGCTTGGTTCATGCTCAACTGGCTCACGTCCATCTTGGTAATTGCAACGGCCACGCCAACGTTTCTGGCCATGGCCGTCTTTATGACCGTTGCTTTCGTCCTGGTCTTCATTCGGTTCTTGCCGACATCCCAGTCGCTGCGTCGTCTGGAAATGGTCTCGCTTTCGCCTCTCATGTCCAACTTCGGGACGCTGCTGGAAGGTCTCACAACCGTTCGTGCGTTCAGGGCACAGCCGGACTTCCAAGAGCGCATCATCTCCACGACCGACGCCTTCCAACGTATGGATCATTTCTACTGGTCTCTCCAGGCGTGGCTGCAGTGGCGCTTTAACAGTATGACCGCGTTGTCCACGTTTGCGCTGACAATAACGGCCCTGGCGACTGGCCTGTCGAGTGGCCTCGTGGCTTTTGTGCTGACAGCTGCGGCCAATTTTGTCAACTCAACTCAAGTGCTGTGCCGCCGTTACGGTGAGCTTCAGATGCAGTTTGTCTCAGTTGAGCGGGTCATTGAGTTGCTCGACCTGGACCAGGAGCCGATTGGCGACATTGACCCTCCGGCAGCTTGGCCCACGACAAACGACGACATTGTGTTTGATGATGTGACGGTACGTTATGCACCGCACTTGGAACCCAGTCTTCGCAACATCACGATGCGCATCCCTGCAGGCTCGACCGTTGCGGTTACAGGACGCACGGGATCGGGCAAGAGCACGCTTGCGCTGGCATTGCTCGGCACAGTGTTGCCAGATAACAATGAAGCGACGCAGGGAAGCATTTACATTGGGGGAATGGATGTAGCTAAAGTGAACAAGCATGCGCTACGGCAGCGCATCAGCTTTGTGGCACAGGACCCGGTGCTCTTCCCTGGCACGCTCCGAGAAAACCTTGATCCTATCGGGCATCACACGGATGAGGAGTGCATTGCCGTCCTGGCAAAGGTGCTCGGCGACGCGACTGGCGAATTTAAACTGGACAGCCGTATCGACGGCGGTGGCAAGAACATGAGCCAGGGCCAACGGCAGCTCGTTGGGCTCGGCCGGGCGGTACTTCGCCGGAGTCCGATTGTGATCCTGGACGAGGTGCGTGGCTTTGCGTGCCATTAATCTCTTTTTGTGACCTGATGTCTAATGATTAGTAAAGGCTACCGCATCGATCGACAAAGCCACCGCCTTCCGGATACAGGAAGTTCTCCGAGAGGAGCTGAAGCACAGCACTGTCATCACGATTGCTCATCGTTTGGAAGCTGTGCGCGATGCCGACTTTTCGGTCATCCTCGAGAATGGACGCGTTGTGCTCGCAGCTCCCGTGACCGAATTGTCGTGAGCAGAAAGCCACCCGATTTCACTGAAGATAAACGACACCGCTGGCGAGGCGGCCGATCCTTCAGATTTGCTGCCATTGAAGGCGGATTGCTCCGGATACATTTTTACCTCGGATTGTTTTGGGATGATTTAGGCGTTGACAACATGTACAAGAGCGTCCAAATGCAGGACCCCAAAAGCTACAATGCTCCAACGAGTAGTGCTCTAATGAGAGGTAACGAAGAAGATGTGAATATAGAATTAGACTCTAAATGATACAGCTTTCTGTATATACAAGAGAAGACGAGATTGAAGAGTTGTAGTACAAGTCCAAGACAATCCGCCGTGCCTTGGACAACTTTATGCGAGCCGAATGTGCCAAAGAAAAGGTGTCCAGTAAGCGTGCATTGTTGTGGTTAGATTTGTTCGATAAAATGGTCTTGTCAAATCATCCAAAAAGAGGGTGGGACCCCACAGTTGCTTATTCTTGTCTTATTTGCAGTTTGTATACGGAGTACCATTCGACAGGTGTAAGATAAGTTGACAGCACAGCGAGCCAAAAAGGAAGGTGGCGTAATGATAAGGGACAAGCAGGCAAATAAAACAGAGAAAAGAGAAAGGAAGCGGTCGAAATCGATAGAAAGCGAAGAAGAACCACACAAACACGATGGCGCGCTTCGGAAACTGTCACTGTGGCGGCTACCGTTTCGAGCTGTTGCGCGCTGAGAGCACGGAGGCCGAGGGTGATGAAAAGCAGGCTGTTCCGTGCAGCTGTGCGGCCTGTACGAAGCTGGGAGCCCAGTGGCAAGCCGTGGAAGTTGAGGATGTCCGAGTGATCCATGATGAGGGAAAGATGATGGAGCATCGGTCCCCAAACATGCTGCACAAGGTAGGATGATCCGAACTGTTTGTGTCCAGGCTGACTTCCGAGCTGACAGGATGCAAACCAGTTCTGTTCCGTCTGTGGCACGACCTTGTTGGGAAGCCATCCAGAGGGACAGAGTCCGTGGCGGCAGCAGACGTTGGTCAACTTGCGTGCGCTGCAAGGCTTCAATCCGTTTGCTCTTGAGCGCGACACCTCCGTCTCCCCTGCACAGGCCCAGACGACCTGGCCGTCTACGGGCTCCTGTCTCTGCGGAAAGGTGGACATCACGCTGCTGGAACCGCTGGAGACCATGTCAATGAAGGAGGACAACTGCAGCATATGCACGAGGGTGAGATCTTCCTATTTTCCCCGCCATTTTTACTTCCGTCTTTCCTTTCTTTTCTTACGACGACAGAATGCCTGGGTCGGTGCCTATCCATCCAAGGCGCAGGTATCTCTACACGGCACCGAACATACGCAGGACTACCGGTTTGGCCGGCGTTTCATGGGCCATCCGTTCTGTCAGACCTGCGGCGTCCACGTGTACATGAATGTCTACGGCCCGCCGCAGCACGTTCTCGACCGGCTTCCAGAGGAGAGAAAGGCATTGGTGCGCAGAAATCTGGACATTGCGCCCGTAAACATCCGAGTGTTGGATGTTCACGGCAGCCCGTCTGGGCTGGACATTTCCAGTCTGCCGGTGCAGCGGACCGACGAAGGCCAGGATGGATACGAAATCGATGTGTTGAGATAGGGGGGGTGAGATGTCTTGGTATTCAAGAAACACAAAAGCCAACCAAACGAAATACAGCGAGCCAGTTCATCTCTTTTCGGCCGTAGGAAACACCGCAGTTTCAGTGACCTTGCCGTTGTCCTGGACGGCGACATTATCGACACGCAGCGAGGCCTTGACAGGATTGGGCTGTTCGTATACCCAGGCGAGCTGTTCGAGGGTGCGGCCGAGAGACTCGACGCTGGAAGGCCAGAGTGGGGGCTCGGCCGAAAGAGGAAAGAGGGGGCTCACCCGAACAGATACCACAGCAGGGCCTCGACCAGGTCCCAGCCAACAAAGATGTAGATGTAGCGGTAGCCGATGTTGCCGAGGGTGATGGGTCCGCAGAACTGGTTGATGAAGCCGACGGCATTGACGAGCACGTTGGAGAGGGCGAGGCCATTGGCGCGCGTGGTCGTCTCGAGGGCCTCGGCCGGGATGACGGCCTGGAGCGGCGTGTACGTGAAGGAAGAGACGATGTTGAAGAGGAGGTACCTGGCGAGGGCAGCGCGGGCGTAAGACGGGGCGATGTTCTGGGGTTGGTGAGCCAAGACGGCCGACAGGCCGGCATTGCGGGCCAGGGCGGCAGCACAGACGAGCGTGCCGACAACGAGGACGCGGCGACGTGGCGTCCGATCCGTCACGGCCACAGTGGCCACGGCGCCCAGGGCTGACAGCACGGCGTTGAGCAGGTTGTAGCCAAGCTGCTGGGCCACGGCGGTCACGCCTAGGTTGGCAAAGATGACCGTGTTGAAGTAGCCGAGCCCGTTGCCGGAGAACTGGCCGAAGACGGAGATCATCAGCACCTAGGCCATGCGCCAGCGGCCGCTGTGCGTCAGAAAGAGGGGACGGTCTGGGAATGATCAGTCATGTCGTCTCCTTTTTTGTTCTTCTTTTCTTTCTTTCTTTCTTTCTTTTTTTGTCCCTTTATTCCCCCTCCCCTCTCCAACTTGCAATCCCATGACGACTTGTCGATACCGTCCAGTCGGATGTTTGTCCGCATCTCCTCAACCTCCAGCTGCCCAGACGTTGCCGCGACCACCATGCCTATGATGATGACCCATTCGCCGCAGAACATGGCAACGCGCCGACCGAAGCGGTCCGACAAGATCGCAGCGCCCGGCGACATCACCATGGCACCGCTGTTGTCCAGCCACAGTTAGTCCGGGAGAGTCACGTTTCCAGAAGAAGCATAAGCGGTCGTGTCTTACACCGTGTGGAGCGAAAAGATGATCGACACCTTGGATCCTGTCATGCCGCTGTGGAACATGTCCTGGAAGTGGGACATGGCCAGAACGGACGTCATCAGCGACGCTACTCCCCGTATTGTCAGCAGTCTGTCGGCGGCTTCCTGGAGGATGGGAAGAGCGCACAGTCGTAGCCGTTCGCACAGGCACAGCAGAATGAGACGAATATGGCATCTTTATGCACGTCAGCAGACGAAGGCGCAGTTTCCCAACGCCTTGTAAGCTCGCTCACAGTACAGTCGCAACGAATCCCGGCTCGTCGCCTTGATCTTGGTTTCCTGCAGGGCTGAAAACAGGTCGGCCTATGTCTGTCGTGTTGAGTGGCATATTTAACTGTAAGACTGCGACCTCATCAACTCACATTGTGCACCTTCTTCGTTTGCGCCCCCGAACACACCTTTGTCGTGCCTTCCCTGTGCTCCATGTCACGTGCTTCTGCTTTTAACGATCTGTTTTGCAAACGTTCCGTAATACAAGGCTTCTACGACGTCGTCTTTATGTGCTGGCGTCTGTGTCACATTGCCATTATCTTGAGCATCACATGAACATAATACTAGTGCATCCCGGAGAAGATCGCCCGTCTCCCAGTAATCCTAGCCACATTGATACTGTCATGGCCATCCAACCTCTGCCGATATATCGCTTACAGTGCATGTTGGTGAAAAGTGCTGCTTTTAAGTGATATCACGTGCTAGGACCGACTTGCAGAGGAGGATGAAGGTTGGTCTGCATAATGAACGGAGTACTCCGTACTCCGTACGCGAGATACCAAACTAGAGTTAGATGCATTTATAGCGCAGAGTTTTCACCAGATTCCCCACTGCTCTCCGCCAATAGTCCACAGTGTGACGAGTTCTTATGGTGACAAGAATTGACCTACTAAATGTACCGAGTATCTACAGTGCCAATATCAGCTAGCAAGCAACGGAGCTGCGAGGAGCGATGAGGGGAAGTAGGGAAAGTCATATATGGCTCGCCGCCACTGCTGGTAAGAAGCTATTCGCAGTCTCTTTCTGCCCCGCCTTCTCGTCTTCTCCTCTCCTCCCCGACGATGACAGGGACCAGCTTCCTCCACCGCGCTGGCCTGTGGCTGCAGCCACGCATCCCCCGGAAGCTGCACGGCCTGCCGCTGCCGGCGCTGGCCCTGATCAGCCTTCTGGTGGTCGTCAACGTGCTCGTGTGGGCGGTCGTGGCGGTCGTGCTGCGCTTCTACCCGCGGCTGATGGGCTCGGCCGTGCTGGCCTACACGCTGGGGCTGCGGCACGCGCTCGATGCCGACCACATCAGCGCCATCGACCTGATGACGCGGCGGTTGATCGCTGCCGGCCAGCGGCCGGTCGCCGTCGGCACCTTCTTTAGCCTGGGCCACTCGACCATTGTCGTGATCACCTGTGTTGTCGTGGCCGCTACCTCGGGCGCGCTGCGAGACCGCTTCCACAGCTTCGAACGTGTCGGTAACATCATCGGCACCAGCGTCTCGGCCGCCGTGCTACTCATCCTCTGCGTCGGCAACGCCTGGGTGCTCTGGCGGCTCGTGCGAGGCCTGCGCGAGGAGCTGCGCACGAGAGGTGCCGGCCGTGTCCGCAGCCCAGAGAATGCCGCTCTGGCCAGTGCCGGCAGTGGTGCTGATGAGGGCGACGCCGACCGGGTGGCCACCCACGATATCGAGGCCGTCGTTGCAACCACCGCTGGGACGGACGCAAGGCCAAACAGTCGGGTCGGAACAGCTGCTGCCACTTCCACTCCCTCGGCCGCTCATCTCCATCTGGAGGGCGGCGGCCTGCTGGTCCGCCTCTTTCGCCGGCTGTTCGTCCTCATCGATCGGCCCTGGAAGATGTATCCGCTCGGCCTTCTCTTCGGCCTCGGCTTCGACACAAGCTCAGAGGTCGCCCTGCTGGGCATCGCCAGTCTGCAGGGCAGTAACGGCACGAGCATGTGGCTGATCCTCATCCTCCCCATGTTATTCACTGGTAAGCATCTCCTCTGTTATGGGACTATTCTCCGATTCTGATCCTAGCAGCCGGCATGTGTCTTGTCGACTCGAGCGACGGCGCTCTGATGATGACCCTCTACACGTCCAAGGTCTTTTCTAGAGACACCGTGGCCATTCTGTACTACTCTGTTGTGCTCACGGGGATCACCATCGTAGTAGCCGCTTTTATCGGCGTGGTCCAGGTGCTCACCCTCGTCGACAACGTGGCAAGTCCCGAGGGCCGCTTTTGGGATGGTGTCGGCGTCATAGGTGACAACTTTGACGTAATAGGCGGAAGCATCTGCGGTCTCTTTCTAATTGTCGGCATCGGATCAGTCCTCGTGTACAAGCCCTGGCGGCAATACTTAGACAGAAGGACTACAGCATGCCACAATACTGTCAGTTCGGATTGAAGACGTTACGGACACGAATATGGTCGTTCGTAGCCCAGGTGCGCCGTGCCGATAACCACCCCTAGACGGGTTCCTGCTTGTCAGTGCTGTCGTTTGTACAATACTGGAAGTATTACGGTTGTAATGCAGTAGCCTCCTAGATTTTAGAGTTTCCGCGGTGCAGGAAGGTGGTCTGTTTATTGAAAAAGATAGCTGGGTACGCAGGAAAGAGACATAGATCCACGATGGGCTGTTGTATGTTAGTCAATTTTTGAAATAACTAGCATAGACAAAGCTACGTACGTAAGTGAAAACTATATAGGGTATCCGCTGCAACAGACTGCTTTACGTATGCCCTCGGCATTTCCGTTATTGAGCGTGGTCCTGAGCTTCCCTTGGCGAGCTTTCGCCTGCATCTGCCACGGGCCCGGTGTTGGCTCATTGGCTTGAGTTGCCGTTAACCTCTAGTCCTCTACACGATTATCAAGCTCTACTCTCCTTCGTCTCACCCTAGCCACCCTGGTGTTACTGTTGCTTACGACCTTGTGATCTAGCTAGCCTGATAGTCACTGTTGATTTTAGCGCTTTGAATGTCAAGAGCATTAGCACCACTGCTAGCAAAAAGCTCACTCTTGTTGTCTGCACCATGCAGGGCGTTGCTACTGTTCTGCGCTTTGTCATATTTGTACGAGCCTGTATCGACAATTCGGAACGCAAAAGCTCTGCCAGAAAGTCGCCCCATGCCTGATGAGTATATAGGGCGACTCGCGTAATTTCAATAAATATGATTCCCTGATGTGTTGCTCCTTGCATTGTTTGCCTTCTTGACCCTAGTTGTGCCCAAATATTAATCAGGTCGTGATCAAGAAAGCCACCAGAATTGCTATTTAATGGCCAGTGCTTTGTAAATCTTTTGACGCTCTGAAAATGGGAATAATACTTTGCAAGGTGCGAAATTTAGACGACTGGATCCCAGAATTGGGCCGCTTCTTACCGTGGACTTTATGGCCATTTTCCTACCTAATGTAATTAAGTAGCCTCTTAATATAGGCTAGGCGAGAGAAAGCTTCTGAGTTTGATTACCCCGTTGGAAAAGATAGCATGGTGATTTGTTTGAATTCTTCGCTTGGTCTCTCTTGTGATCTTTAGCGATAATACAATTTGGGTAGGTAGTTGCATCTGTCCTCTACAGCATATAGATTTTATGAATAAATTGCACTTTTGCGGGAAATCAGAAAGTTAGCAAGCATATATAAATTGAGTATCTACTAATAGTGGATGCACTCCAGGCGTGAGGCATCCATTACGAGAGGAAGGGGGGAAGGGGGGGGGCTTGTCTCGGCGGCGCGAATCAAAACGATGTTGTCACAAGATTCGACGTCATATCGTGCTTGTTGTTGAGGTAGGCACTAAAACTACATGGGGTCATCGTGAAGGCAAGACATAGTGCTGTCGAAGGTGCTAAGGAAAACACCGACATAGCGTTTTCCATTTAGGAAGTCACGACACAGGAAGAGCTTTTACCATTTCATTTATGCTTCGTTTTCTCAAGTTTACGTGACATGGATGAAAATACTCGAAAGAGAATGCTAGGAACTATAAATTCAAAAGCGTGTACAGGTCATCTTCCTATTAATTTGATTGTCTCTATTAACTTTACCTCCTAATAGCTTTAAGTAACTGCCGGCGAAAAGGTGGACGAACAGCGGCATAAGATGCGACTAATAGGGAAAGCAGCTTTACATAATTGTTGGGAAGCGGGGTCCCAGTTCCCGCTGGTTCTCGGCGGTGTTTGTCCGACTGGAGGAAAAAGGCAGCAAGGGCTGTTTGTCGCCAGCTTATCGTAGGGCCGTCGTCTACCAGTCGGACAGATGTGGTCTGCCAACGAGACGTCCCTTTGTCTGGTCTTTCAGACGCTTCTCACCTTGCTTTCAAGGCAAGGTCAAACGGTACTCAGGACGCATTCAGACGTCTGATTTCGCGGCTTCTTTGTTGCCTTAGGGTACAAAAAGATCGGACGAATCCTAGGATATAACGAGTTTCGCCTAATCTCGTAGGATCACACCTTCTCTCCTAGCCCTTCTTCAAAATGTCCAACCAAAGCAAGGTCCAAGTCCTTGCGGACTACCCCGTGGATGCCGACCCGGCCAAGCGCCCTGCGTGGGCGCAAGAGGAGAGGGAAGAAGAGAGGGCGAAGAAGAAGCAAAGTGAGGAAGGGAGGAAGGAGAAGAAGAAGAAGGGCGTCTCCGCCTGGAGCTGTATCTTGAACAAGACGCCCTGTTCCGACTATTCTCTCGCAGGAGAAGAAGAAGACGGATCTCGAATTGGGGCAATATCCGGAAACGCCACAGAAGGCAGCGGAGGTTTTGCTTGCTCAATCGACTGGAAGCGAACATGTACAGACAGCCTAGACTCGGCGACTACGGCATCCTAGCCGGCGGTTGGATCGGCGAAGGGCAGGCCTGCATTATCACAGAGACAGGGGCGCCGAAGAATGGAACACGCCTAGGATTAGATTCCGGAGACTGGGCCACAGGCCTTTGATGACTAAACACTGAGCCGTACCAAAACCCCCTGGAGCATTGTGAAGCGTGGCAACTGAGAGAGTCTACAGACAGCTCTTCCGCGAGCCGACTGATGCCAGTGCTGAACTGCTGGAGATGTGTCGTGGCGACGGCGTACAACGAGAGGCATTACATCAGATTGGCAAAGACACCCTCCTACGTTGGCGACCTCGTTAAACAGTACTTTTCTGCCTGCACTTCTGCTTGCACGAGCAGGGCAGTCCGGATGCAGAGGACTACAAAAAAGGGGGGCCGAGGAGCAGTAAGCCCCGGAGTCTTTGACCAGGACCAGGAGGACGAGGACAATTCGTCTGACAGCTCCATCGAAGAGAGAGCTGGTACTTATTTGACTCTGCCAGCCACCATTTTGCTTCTTATCATAGAACCTCTACTCCATTGCTTAGCAGTGGAAGATGCGAGGACATTGTCACTGTAGAAGCACAGAAGTCGCCCGTCTTTGTTGGACTCTTTTTTCTTTCTTTTGGGCGACGACAGGCTATGCCTACTCCGTCTCCCATGCCTCGTCGTCCTCGTCCCGTCTGTCCTCGTCGGCATCGGGGTCATCCTGATACATGATCTCGATGCTGGCTCGTGAGTCGTTGCTGTCTCGGTCTATCATATCGGTATCACACTTGAAGACGTGGTCATAGAGACCAGCTTCCTCGTCCATCCTGTCGGCCTCCTCGTCCAGGCTCTGCAGCCGTTCGAGCTCGTCGGCAAGGAACTTCAGGCCGTTCTTCACGGCCTCGATCTCCTGTTCGCGCCGGCTCGGTCGGGGAACGTCGCGTTCGCGCCGGTTCAGCGTGAAGCCGTCGCTGAGGTCTCGGTAGCTCTCTTCGAAGTCGTCCAGCTCGTTCGCCTTTGCGATCTCGCGTGATGATGCCGGGTTCAGCAGATACGGCCTCGACATGAGGCGTGCGTGTACAAACCAGGCTGGGCCAACGTAGCGCGGCAGGGTCTCCTCGGGCAGCACTTCTAGCTCCAGCCGGTGGCTGTGCAATGGGACAGGCGCCCAAGCCTGCCGCACGTTGTCCGGTATCCGAAAGTCCCATGAGCTCTCCCAGGCAATGGAGGCCGAGCTGTCTCGGACCAGATACCGGAACACGCCGCCCTCGTTGGGCTCGGCGTTGTACAGCTCCATCAGACGCAGAACGGGCATGCGTCGGGCCGCCAGGGCGGCAGCGTGCAGCAGCTTATGTATCGACACCTCCGGCCGACCGGAGCAGATGGATGTTGACGTGAGGGCGAGGACCCGCAAGCTGTGCCAGTAAGGCATGTGGAGGCGGCGCTGGGGGGTGTAGAACGGCTCGAAAAAGTGGTCGGCATCGATGAAATCCGAGACGGCGAGCTCTTCCAGATGAGGGCTGTACTCGGCGATACGGCGGGCCAGAAAAGGATATCGCTCGTCGTGGCCCCAGACCTGCTCGTCCATGTTGAAGGCATCGGAGAAGCGGTAGAGGGTGAGCTTTTTGGGTGTCTTTGGCCAGAAGGAGACAGTGACGGCGAGATCTGGGATGTTAGTGGAGGGGAGAGAGGAGAAGAAAGAAACTACAAGGTAAAAAAAAAGAAAGAAAGAGAAGCTCACCTTGATCGGCCTGTCGCTGGGCCTCGTCGCTGAAATGGTGCCACAGCTCAATATCGGCATGCACCAGGCGAGGCAGGCTGTGCAAGATGTGTAGCAGCGACCGCGGCGTCATGCAGCGGTGGTTTCGCCGCAGGATGCTAAAAGTAGTGACGACGGCGACCTCGGGCAGGCCGACGCGGCCGTAGGGCTCGTGCATGGCGCCGATGTTGAGGTCGAGCTGCGACTCGAAGAAGCGCGACTCGCCGCTGTCCGAGATGCCCTTCTCGCCGAAGAGGGCGGGCTTGTCGCTAGTGGAGCGAGCGACGATCTCGAGGGCGACACCAGGCGACTTGTAGTGCTGGCGCAGCACGTCGGCGTCCCAGGCGCTCATGGCGGAGAAGAAGTGCCACAACGTGTCGGAGAAGATGCTGTCGTTGGTGTCGAGCTCCTCCTCGGTCTCACACACCCGGCTGAGCCGCGACGCATAGCGCGGTAGCTCGACCAGGATACACACGCGACGCAGGGCTGCCTGGCGCCGCGGGTTCTGGCGGAAGTAGCCCTCAAAGTCGTTGACCTCGCTGGTCTTGACGATGAGGCCCTGGAACGTGATGGCCTCGATGGCGTCGCGCCATTGCGAGTTCACCGCGGCCAGCGGCGCCAGGCCAGCCGGGCCGCGCTTCCTCCGCCCCTTGACGTGTGCGGCGTCGTGCTCGGGCACGGAATATTCGAGCGCGCGGAAGATGAGCCGCTTGAGCTCAAACGGCAGGTCGTCCCAGGACGCCATGATCCTGGGGAGCGAGAGAGGTGAGGATGCAGTCAAGAGTGGGGCGGAGCGTCCAACCGGGACCTGAGTGGCAGTCCAAAAGGAATTCCTGAAAAGGAGAAAGGCGCCGTGGCTGTCTATCGTATGCAGCCCAGATCGTCTGCTGTGATGGTTTAAAGTAATAATTGCGGGATGCTTGACCCAACGAGAAAAAGGAAGCTAGTTGATAGACGTTTTTCAGATGCGGAGTATTAATAAAGATTGTCGGTTATGTCCTCCGGACCCACTTATACTAACGAGAATGACCACGTGAGCACGTGTTGCGCCCGAAGTACGGAGTACCTTATCTACAGCGCGAATCACTACGATTTGATTGGTGTGACAAGGGAAAGAACGGGTCTGGACGGCTAGTGGAGATATACATAGCAACCCGGCTGCAACACGAGTGCACCAGGTAGAGTACGGAGCATTGCAGAGCTGATTGTAGTGCCATTCTCGTGATGCACAGAATACAGGGAAACAGGTCAATAGCAGATACCTCATGCCAGGAGGGCGATATGCTTCAGTTCGCTGTGCGGGTCAGCCTGGGCACGTAAACAAGAGAGTTCGAGGCTGGGTTACGGCATACTTCTGCACCTGTTGTCCGACCTTTATGGGCGGGTATGACACCTCGGCGCCCTCGTCGCGACCCTGGGCGGCATTTTGCGTTCGAACGTCGCGGGCACGGGCGGCCAGCGCTGGCAGCGGCGCCAGGTCCCAGTCGGAGGCGAGGTGCCAGAAAAAGGTCGACGAGATGCGAATCAGCGGGCGATCGGGCTGGGCGGCGCGGCGAGCGGCGACGACGGCCTGCGTCTTGTTGTTGACGACGACCTCGTGGTAGCCGGCCTTGATCAGGCCGCCGCTGAGGTGCTCGAGCTGCTTACCGGCCTGCACGAGCAGGTGGCGACCCGGCGGAATGGACACGGCGATGCGGCGGCCCGTGTTGCGCGCCCAGATGTGCAGCCCGGGAAAGCGTGAGCGGCCATGGATCGTGAGGAAGTTGAGGTCCGTGTGGAAGCCGGCCAGGATCGTGTCGAGGGCGCCGTATTTTTGCAGATCGGACGCTGTTGGTGCCAGCAGATGGGGGCTATCATCGTCAGAGAGGAAGAAGCAGGATAGACAAGAAGGAAAGAAAGAACCGGAAAAGACAGCCAAACAAAGAAATACTGTCAGATCTCAACGCACCCGTAGCGGCCGGCATCCGCAAACGTCTCTGGTGGCAGCCCCAGTCCGACGGCAGCCATAGAGGCAACGCCCGAGACTCTGCACACGAACGGTTAGCAGGCTTGCCTAGAGCGCCTCGACGAACCGAATCTCGCTGCACGCACGCGTCTTTCATGGCCGCCCCCCACCGTCCCATGACCTGCTCCCATCGCTCCCGAAATAGCGCCGCGTCCGGCACCACGTTGTCGGCGTTGAGTCCTGGAAATGCCGTCTGGTATGGTGTCGGCTCGACTACCCGCCAGAAGAAGCGGCACTTGGGATCTGGCTGGTGGCCGGCAATGTCCAGCGGCCGCTCTTCGGGCGCCAGTCGCGCGATCACGTCCAGACACGGCTCGTCGACCGCGCACTTGGGCGTCTCCGTATTCTCCAGCGTGACACCCACCTGGTAGCCCAGTGCCGGCCGCTCGTCCCGCCGTAGTGTCGCCTCTGGCTGCGCAAAGTAGTCCTCCAGCAGGTCGAGAAAGGCGTCGTTGTCGGCTTCCGACACCCGCGAGTCGTGCAGCACCAGCGCCCCAAACGCGATCAGCGCCTCCGCCGCCTTGCTGCACTCCGCCTGCGCCGCCGCCGAGTCGGCCGGCTGCGTCCGGAAGACGTCCAGGTCGACAATCGGCAAATCCATCGTCCTGCTGCGTCTCTCTTTTTGGGTCTCTCTTAGGCCGACACTCGGGCGCGCTGTGTGAGTAAGCGTACGATACAGACTCGGAACCGAATCGCCAGCTGGATGGCCTGATCTGCACGGGTCAATCCGGTACCGCAAAAGTTGCCGTGTCTGTTCAGCCCGCCCGTCTGCCTCTATCTCTGCATCTGTCTCGTGCTTGGATCCGTTCGTGATACCCCCCGCACTCTGATTGGTCACTGTGCACTCTGACTGTCACGTGCTTTTGGCCTACATCAAAGTCCGTCTGCAAAATTACAACAACAAACAACAAACATTTATGAGGTATGGTACATGGTTCTCAGAAGTAGAATTGCTGCTGCGACTGTCCGGGTGGCGGCTGAGCAATAAAGTCAAAGTTCATCGAGTCTTGCTCCATATTCCATTGTTCCGGGTTTTCTGCGTCTCCGTTAGCCATGAAAAGACCCTCGCAAATACTCTCCCACTGCTGCTCACCCCAGAAAATCTGATCATACAGATCCATTGGGGACATGTATGTGGAAGGGTCGATGTGGCTCAGGTCGGGGAACGTGTCTCCTGATCCCTGTTGCTGGATCAGAGGGAACATGCTGTGTGTTGATATGTGTTAGCCACAGAAGAGCGAATGAAGACGGAAAAGGCCAACACATAGTACACAGTTCATACCCGAGATCTAGCCCGCCGTTCTGCATCTCTGCCATGGCCAGGGCGGCGTCCTGGTGCGGGTCCAAACTTGTGTGTCCTCCGCTCAGTGAAATGGCCGCTTTTCCGTCTGGCGCTACTGCTCCGGGGAGAAGCTGTCCGTGGGATATCAATGGTGTTCCTATGCTCGTGGCCGTCGAAATGCCACTCAGGCTCTTGGCTGCCAAGAGGCTGCCACTGCCGTCGTTGTTTTTGGTCGTTTGGCCCGCAATCGACCCGTGATTGTAGATGTTCTTGAGCGCCGCAAGAGCACGAGACAAAGGGCCGGACAGCTCAATGTCGCGGTCTGTTCGGTGGATGTAGACTGGGGGCGACTTCTTGTCCTTGGCTGCCGTAGCAGAGAGCGCGTTGATCAGGTCACCCTGCAGGCCGCGCACTTCCAGATCAGCCGTGGTCTCGCCTAAAATGCCCAGAAGCACTGCTGAGGACAGCCCATGGTACGTAAACGCCCACGATCGTGTCGGGATTACAGACAACTGGTGCATCGACAGAAACATTCTCACTGTTTCCGTCAGGTTCTCCTTGCATTTCTCCGCTAGGAATGTCTTCTGCTCAGTCGTGAGTCGGTTGCTGTCGCTGCGCCGAAGTGCTGGCCGGCAGCAGACCGACACGACAAAGGAAGTGTGTAGACGAATGGCAAAGTAGTGCAGCCGGTCGAGGGCAGACCGACACGCCTCCTTTGTGCGAAGCTGCGGGATCATCTTACTCCGAATCTCTTCCGCCTCCTTGCAGTTGTCCAAGATCTGGGTGTAGCTTGCCGATGCCGCCACCTCTGGGCTCAATCGCTTGCCAATGAGCTGGCACAAGTGGTACATTCCTTGCAGGTAGTTCCAGCCGGCGGATGGCGTCGGGCCGAGCGGTATCGGACTTGCTGAGTGTGGTGTCATCGGCGTCCTTCCTGGTTAGCAACACAGTCGCTTTGCCAAAGAGAGCTGGTCGGTCGGCTTACCGGTCAAACGACAGTGAAGTCAGACAGTCGTGCCACACAATCGTCCACCTGCCAGACGGACTTGTCAGCACCACAGAGCAACTCGCAGTCGCATGTTGATAGCCTACCATAGGGTTCTTCGCAGAAGATCCCTCTTCTGTTGAGCCGGACTCTCCCGGCCGTCCAGATTCTGCACGCGGTCAAGGCCCAGCGACTGAGCAAGGCGGGTCGTGAGCCCAAGTAGGGCCCATGAAGCCTCTGCTTTCATGTCGTTCAACAGGACAAAGCCCGTCATCAGCAATGCCTGGATGGAGTCGAGATTGGGCCTGCTTGTCAGCACGAACGGCTTGCTGTTGCCACGCGAGAGGGATGACTCGTACCTGAGGAGAAAGTTGCCGAGACGCAGGAAGTGAAACGAGATCTGAATGTACTTCTGCGAGTCACGGGTGCGGATGTGATATGGAGAATCGTGGTACTGCGACCCAACTGCCATGACCGAGAAGAGTATGGCCAGCCAGGAGGCCGACACGGGTTTCGTGGGTTTCGACAACGTTTTTGCATTCTTTGCCCGCTCTTCCAGATATACCATAAGCTTGGTCTCGAGGTCGTCGATGTCGAGCACAAAGCCCCAGAAGGGATGCGGAATTTCCTTGTATGCGCCAAAGAGCCTGCGAACGTAAGCGGCCAATTCGGAACTGAGAGAGGGGGCATCTATACTTCATCACCTCCCTGTCAGACGGGAGCTCGGACGAGATGTCCAGCGTCAGCTTGTCCAGATGTCGCGACGACATGAGTGGGAAGGGGGCCGAGTTATCGAGCCCCAGTATGGACCGCATGTCTTGCCGAATGTATTCAACCCCCTCTTCCTGGTGGTTCGGCGTGCCTTGCTCTCGCAGCAGGGCCGGGATGCTGTTCTGTCCCAGGTAGCGGGAGACCTCGTTTATATCGGCGTCGACTAGGTCCAGTGAGTGTTAGTTCGGGAGGGCAATGCGAGCGAACTGGGACAGATCGGAGACTCACCCCGGATAGGGCTGCCGGTCGAAGGCTCGCGACTGGTGCGCCGACCGTCGCTTTCGTCGGGCGAGAAGGGCCGCTTCTTGGGCACATTGGTCGGGTGACTCTCCTCAGACGGTGCTGTCGTCGATGTATTCTTGGCCGAGGACGAGGGCCGGTTCGGCTTGTACGAGCACAGCTGAGCGTGGTCGCGCTTCACACAGTTCTCGCACGGATGCTTGTTGTCGCACTTTACTTTGCGTTGACGACACGGCCAGCACGCGGTTCCTGGGCCGGGCGCCGGTCAGCTCGGCTTCTGAGGCCAGGATGCAATCAAATCAGGCCATCGATTGCGTGTGGCTAACGTGGTCTCGGTGGCGCGCAACTTACCATATCGAACTTTCCGGTGCGAGTGGATGATCCGGCTCGCCTCCTCCTGTGTCAGATCATCCGGCACAGGACTCTCGTGCCGGTCGGCCATGACCTCTTATCGCTTCGCACAGCCCTGCTGCTTCGGCAGAGTTCGGCAATGTGGAGAAGTTGCGCTGCAGCCGTAGAAAACCGATCGTTTCTATCCAAACAAAGTTGATGGGCAAGATGAAACCGGGTACCTGTCGTCCAACTGAGACACGTGTAGAGAAGAGAGAGTGGATAGAGTATGCCACGATACCGTGGATGGTCGAGCGGTCGAAACTGGATGGATGGGATGCCGATGCAAATCCGAGCACTTCTTGCCTCGTAAGGAAATCTTGATTACGGGTTCAGCAGGATCCGTAAAATTATGTAAGCCAATACAGCACAGTGCCTTGAAGCATGCGTACGGTACCACATACTGTTCCATCGCTTCCAGAGACAGGCGAACTGTCGTTGAGTCTCGAGAAAGCCCCAACCCGGCCTATTTCTCTTTCCCACGTCAGGACCGAAATAGGTATCGGCCTCGCTTGAATGGAGCAGTCTTGCAGCCTTTCCGCTGGCAGGGCCCAAATTACGCCTACAGCGCCAAGCCCTGCTGTCACTATCACACGAGGAAGGCGCCTTGCGCAATTTCTCGCTGTGGAAGAGTGGTTCCATGCGGCGGCCAGCCTTTCGGCGGAAGGTATGCTAAAGGGCGGCTAATTTGAGTTTTCTGTCACTTCGACATCCCGTTCTTCCCCTCCTTCTCTCCCATGTTTCTCCCACCTTCATCACACACTGTCATTGTGCGCCCAAACGGACCACCTTTTCGCGTCATCGCGTTCGTGCTCTTGCACGTGCAGCTTCTCTATTAGAGTGTCTAGTTAGCCTGCACAACAGAGCGTTAGCGGATTGAGTTGGCACTTGTGAACGGCCCGCTAGACTTTTCCGTGCATCGTTCGCATTAGCGTACGGATTTCATCGCGTCTTTTTCTATGTCTCGACCAAATCCGACCACGCCCTCCAAGGGCAAGGGTAAGGCTGGGGTAACTGTTGAACGTGGCCGCGAAATTGCCACTGAGCTGAACCGGACCTACAACTTGGGCATGTCTCTGCCAGCTGAATCAATGTCACCGGTTGCGAAGGAGAAACGGGCCGAGCAAGATGTCGACTTCCGGCGACATAATAACATCGTAAACAACTTGCGCATCCTTCACTTCAAAGACAAGGAACGCCTCAAGGCGACGCTTGACGAATTTGATGTCAAGGCCCGCGAACAGAGCAACCACTGGACTCGGAAACTGCGCGCCAGGCCAAATGGCCCACCACGGGCCTATGCAGCTGAGGACCAGGTCATGCTGCAGGAGCTTCTTGTCGACGTGCTTACCACGGCAACGGATTCTGTCCGTGAGAATCTGACGCAGGCCACCCGTGTAGGCCACGATGTCGCTGCAGCAGGTACGGCAACACAGGCGAGTGTCTTTGACTTGGACTCCTCTGCCAGTCCTGCTGCCGACATAGACCGAGTGCCAGTCTTCCCGATAGCTAGTAGCACTTCATCGCAGCCAGCGTCCGGGAATTCTGGAGCACAAGCTTTGGAAAAGAGCTTCTGGAATGAGCAGAACCGTACAAAGAGCACCGGAACAGACTCCAGCTCAAGATCCACGGCCATGTTTTCGGCTCTGGATTCCCTCGAGCCGTTTGAGAGCCAGGCCTCCGCGTCTGCGCATACCGAAGATGCCAAGTACTTTGGGAGTGGACTTCCACGCCCGCCGTCTCAAGAGTCGTTTGCGATATCAGACACCAGCCTCGATGCTCTCGAAGATTCTTTCAATCTGTACGGCGACGTAGCAAGGGTCGGCTCAGCAGAGGGCTCGGAACAGTCCAGCATTCCTGAAATGGCCGATCTTCAGCTCTCTGAGTACGACACCGGCAATACAACAGAACTGCCATCGTATGTGCCTGGGCTCTGGGACCGTTTGACTTCCGTGTTTTGTTAGTCCACCGCGTCCGAACATAATTTCTTTTTGGTTAGTCCGGTCTGACCTGATAGCAGCTTCCACGCCTGAATGGCTGCAAGACGCCCCGTTCCCCTTGATCTGGGAGATTGTGCGGATTTCTCTGTTCTGTTCTGTGAGCCTCGGCGACATGTCGTCAGAGTACTCGACCCTGTGGCATAACCAGGACGTATTTCGAAAGGCTCTCTCCAGTCACCCTAGCTTTGTGGGAAAGCCACTTCCAGAACCATCAAGCCAGCTCGCGTGGGATGTTGCCTTCGACCAACGGACTTCCCGCGGGAAGACGGAGCTGTCCCCCATCTTCACCGCCACAATGGATTTTAACCTTGGTCACACCGGCCCACTTTACCTGTTGAAGCTTCGTCCGATCACGCTCGACTATCCTCATCGTCTGTCGCGCCACTTTGGAGCAGATCGGTTTATTGAGATTCATTTTCCGTCGCACCATTCCGGATTGCGCGCCGTGCCGAAAGTACTTCGAAAGAATGAGGATGCGGTTCAAGAAGTCAACCAATGGTTGACACTACAGCGTCACCGTTTTGTTGGTCGAAATTGGGTGGCGTTCTACATCAAGGATGCAGGCTTCAAGAAGCCAGCCCTGTCTGATGAACGAGGGCTGGGGGAAAAAGTGCCGTCTGTCCTGCTGAAGAAGGCGTATTTGTTTGCGGAGGATGGATTTGGCCTTTTTCCAGATGGGATTGTGGGGCGCGTTGAAGACAGTGAATGGAGGTTCGGGCATGAACTTCAAGTTCATGATATGTTGGAGTGGCTGCTGCAGTACAACAGGTTTCATGAAAACCGGACACAGCCATACCTGAAGCTATTTTCTCGCATAGCTCTCGGTAAGTGCCAAGGCGGCGGGTGCCTAAAGAAAGGGGAAAGGGAACACTTCCATCTAATGATGTCCAGGCCTAAGCCGGACCATCCCTACGGTCGTGTTTGAGCCGGAGCAGATGCGCCACCATGCGTCGGATATCACAGCACCGGCGACGGGAAAGGTGATGAACGACGGCATTGGGCGTATGTCGCTGAGTGTAGCACGCAAAGTGCGATTCGAGCTCGGCCTCAGTGATCTTCCGGCAGCTGTGCAAGGCCGTCTGGGATGTGCGAAGGGAATGTGGATTCTGGATCCAACTGATACGGGAGGCGAAGACTGGATAGAGACGTACCCATCTCAACGCAAATGGAAGTGTGATTTTGTGGATCCGGACCACCGAACACTCGAAGTTCGCAATTACGCATCGGCGGTGCGATCAGCCGGGCTGAACCAGCAGCTTCTGCCGGTTCTGGAAGACCGGGCGATTGACAAGTCGCGGATGCGCACTGTGATTGGGGACATATTGAGGGGCAATCTGTACCGAGACCTTGCGACGCAGAGAACAGCACTGGAACACCCGCTGCTGTTTTCAGCATGGGTGCAGGAGAACTCCCGATCGCGAGATGAACGATCAGCTCACTGCCAAGTGCGTTTTCTGGGCGGGCTGCCGGACTCGGACTCGGAGGTGGTCCAGTTTCTCCTCAGCGGGGGATTTGATCCACGCGTGCAGAAGATGATATGGGACGTGGCGTACAAGATCCAGAAGGCCAAGTGCGAGAAGCTGAAGGAGAAGCTCAACGTGCGGGTGGGGAGAACGGCATATCTCCACATGGTGGTGGACTTTCTCGGCGTTCTCGAGGAAGGAGAGGTGCAGGTGTGTTTTTCGTCCAAGTTCCAGGTGGACGCGGACAGCGAGCCGGACGAACGAGGAGACGACGGGTCCTTTTCAGATTCGCTCCTGGTAGGCACAGACGTGCTGGTGGCACGGTCGCCAGCTCATTTTGCGAGTGACGTACAGAGAGTGCGGGCGGTGTTCCGGAAAGAGCTGTGCGTGCTCAAGGACGTGGTGATATTCTCGAGAAAAGGCGACAGCCCGTTGGCGGACAAGCTGTCGGGAGGCGACTACGACGGCGACATGGCATGGGTGTGCTGGGACGGGCGGATCGTGGAGAACTTTTCCAACGCTCGAGAGCCGGAGAAATACGACCTCGTGGCGATGGGCTACATGCAGAAGAACAGAACGACATTGTCGGAACTGTCGGCAGAGACGGGGACGGGAGCAGGAGGCAAGATCGGGGCGGATGAGGTGGAAGAGATGATGGAGCGGAGCTTCCGGTTCAATATGAAAGAAAACTTTCTTGGACGGATGACGACATACAAGGAGAATCTCTGCTACTGGCGGGGGACGATTTCGGACGAAACGGGGGTGATCCTCAGCACACTGTTGGGCGAGCTTGTGGACCAAGCCAAGCAGGGAACGGAATTTGACGAAAAGGACTTTGACCGGCTACGAAGAGAGCGGCTACGAGAATGCAAAGAAAAAGGAGCACTGGCACAGTGGCTCGACAAGCCGCTATACAAAGAAAATGGGTGGCCAATGGGGAAGTCGGTGAGAGAAGTCAACTTGATTGACCACCTGAAGTTCTTTGTGGCCAAGCCGATGATCGAGCAGGAGCTCAGGGCGCTGGACAAGTTCGGCGAGTCGGGGAACGACGGCAACGGGTCTATGTACTGGGACGAGGATCTGGCGCGGCCAGCAAAGGAGTTTGAGACTCTGGCACAGACATCAGGCACGTGCCGGGCGATTCTGGACGGGCTGAAGAGCGACATCGACGAGGTGCGAGAGGCATGGGTTAATGGGGTGAGCAAATGGAAGAGCAGCAAGACGAAGAGCATGACGACGACAGAGGATATGGGGTACCGACAGCAGGTGCTGGAAGTGTACCAGCAATGGTGCAACATTGGCGTGCGGCTGCCGAAGAGGAGGGGGGGTGCAGGGGCTGCGGACGAGGAGGTGATCCGGGCGATGCTGCAGGAGGACTATCTGACAGACGGCGAGCACAGCCGATGGGCAATGCTGCGGGCAAGCCAGGCCTTTCGCACCTTCCGCGGACATGGGTCGAAGTTTGTGTGGCAGATGGCAGGACGACAGCTGCAGGCGATCAAGGCAACGATGGCATATGGAGGCGGCAGCAGTGGTGGAGGAGGCGACGGGACGCGATGCAGCAACGTGATGATGACACCTCTGCAATATGCGGCGACACGGTCAGACGGAAAGACAATTCGGCAGATGGTGGCACGGTTACGGGGAATGGAGGAGGATGCGATGGAGTTTCGATGCGACTCGTTTGAGGATGATGTGTGAGATGTGTGGGATGTGCGAAATGTGTGAGGATGTATACATATGGTCTGATCTATCTATTCTTTCTGCTCTTTCTACTCGGTCTGTTCTGTCTTCTGTGTGTCCCATTCACCCTTATTTGCACGCTGGCAGATGTCGAGGAGGGCCTGGCCAGCCCACTCAAAGTCATCCTGGTCGAGGTAGATCTGGGCGCTGAGACGGGCCCAAAAGGCGCCGCGGTAGAAGATGGCAGGGATGAAGGTGTTATGGACATCAACCATCTGGCGCTGCATCCATTCCCAGAGCTGGGGCAGACGGGAGAGGGGAATGACCGAGGAAGAGACGATGCCCGATGGGGTAGCAGCAGCGATGTCGGCATCGGAGCGAATGTCCAGTGGCAGACGGACGTTGACGAGCTGACATTGGCGGATATTGCTTTGTGGATGGTCCATGACCTCAGTTTCGAGGATGCGGGCGACAGCGTCGCCGCCTGAGGCTGCGAGCTGGAAGCAGTAGTTGCGGATGGCGTCCTCGCCGCCACAGACATCACGGCGAAAGGCGATAGCGTCGGGGATGCAGAGGTAAGCGCTATGGTCCTGGGTGCCGACATCAGCGAAGAGGTGGACGAAGTAGTTGGGTGCGTCGGGCCTGGACGGAGCAGCTGGCAGAGGAGGACGAAGACTGGGGGTAAGGTAGCCGTGAGAGGTAGGCAGGCTGGTGTAGAGGTGATGCTGGTTGCGGAAGGGGACGTAGAGGAGAGCGCAGCCGCGAGGGACAAAGAGCCACTTGTGGCAGTTGGTGACGAGAAAGTCGGGTCGGACGTCAGGCCGGCCGACGTGATGTAGATCAAGCTGGCCGATGCCGTGAGCGGCGTCGACGAGGGAGAGCATGCCGAGGTCACGTGATGCGGCCACGAGTGATTCCCAAGGGAGACGAACGCCGGGCATGGATGCAACAGCGTCGACGACGAGGAGGCGGGGATGGCGGCCAGCGGCGACGATGCGGGCATGAGCATCGCGAACCTTGCGCACGATGATGTCGTCGCTGTCGGCCAGGACGTCGACGTCGACGGCTTCGGTGAGCAGGCGGCCGGTCTCGGCCTGGGCGACGAGCGTCTTGCGACAGGCGTCGTAGATTAGGCTGAGGCACAGGACGGTGTCGCCAGCGGCGGCAGACCAGCGCGCGGCCAGGCTGCCGACCACGGCATTGACGCCCGTCGTCGCGTTGGCCACCAGCACGACCTCGTCGACGTGCACGTCTGCGCCCAGCAGCGGCGCCACGGCCGCGCGCGCGCCCGCCAGCAGCGCCGGCTCCTCGAAGCGCCGGAACGGATCCACGCGCGCCTCATGACGACGCTGGTAACGCTCGCGGGCCTCGCGCACAGCACGCGGCACCGTCCCGTAAGAGCCGTGGTTGAGCGGCCGGTAGGCGGCGTCGTACTCGAACAGGGCGCGGGCCGGCTTGCCAAAGACGACTGGCGTTGTGCTGGCTGTGTCGGACATGGTGAGGGGTAGGTGTGGGGCGCTGGATGAGCAAAAAGACAGGCTGCGAGGACCTCTGACGATCGTGAGCTCCGTGATCTCGAGCTCCGTGATCCAAAGCAAAACTCGATGCTCGAAACCACACAAAATGACAGCCCCTTTATAGCAGGCACGGCGAGTGCCCGCTCCTTCCCAGAAACGCTGCTGGCGAGGTGGGCCCGCGAGTCATTCACAGGGCGCAACCTGCCATTGGCGCTGGCCTTATCGTGTGGCCACTAATGCAACCGCCAGCTCGTGACTCATTTGGCGATGTTGTGTCTGTACTCCGTACGTAATCGTACAGCTTGGGTGTCAAGCTGCCAAGACCTGCGATGTCTGAGATACACTTGTGCATTCTCGCCTGAAAGCGGAGAAGTTCCGGGTGTCTGATTAGTCAGCCATCCACATGCAAAACACGGACACGTGACCGTATTCCCCGATCCAAACCCTTGCACATCACCAGTAATCAGCACACATGCCAAGCCCGGCCACCCAATGATCGACCCGGCCAAGCAAACTTGCTTTTCCGGCGCTGACGTGGTGCCTCTGCACTAGCGAAAGAACTAGGGATGCGGGTACGGAGAGGAGAGGAGCCAATCTTGCATCTCAGCACCCCTTTTACTCGTCTGTCATTCTTCCCATCTAGCACCTCCGAAAAGCCGACGGACGACTGCGAGCCATGATCAACCGACGTTTTGCCCTGGTGGCGCTGCTGCTGCTGCTATTTGTCTGGAGCATCAAGCTGCTGCCGCTGCAGGACTATTCGAACTCAGCCTGGCGGACGGCCAAGCAGTCGCTGTCGACGAGCGGCGGCTTTGCGGGCAGCCGTTCCGGACACGCACCCTCGGCCGACTTTTTTGAGCAGGTGTTCTCGGTCGGCAGCCCGGCGCCGTACGAGTACGCAGCACTCAGCGAGGCGTGCGCGGCGGCCGACTGGGAGGCCGACGAGGCATACCTCAACTGCGTCGGCATTCTGGCCGGCATGACCAGCATCGTGTCGCAGGTCAAGGTCTGTCTGAAGATGGCAGTCGAGACGGGCTCGCACCTGGTGCTGCCGCGCATGCCGCTGCGCAGCTCGTCCGACCTGCTGGACTTCAACTTCTTCAACGAGGACGCCTACATGCCGTACGACCGCTGGTTCGACGCCGACCACCTGCGCGCTCAGCTGGCACGCGCCTGTCCGCGCATGCGCGTCGTGCATCCCGACGAGCTCGACAGTCCGGCCGTCCCGGTCGCCCGTCGTCTCCAGGTCCTCTGCAGCGACGCCGTCGGCTACAACAAGCTGCACAGCTACTTCTGGGTCGGCCGGCCGTTCCGGTCCTTTTTTGTCGAGCAGTACCGCCAAAAGGTGGCCGCGATGGCTCTGAACGAGGTCCCCCAGAATACCACGGGCATCACCGTCGTCGACATCGACTCCGAGTTCATGGTCTTCCGCATCACCGACGACCCCACCGGCCGCGACCTCCGGCTCTGGACCGACCTGTCCCATCTCGTGCGCTACCGCCAGGACGTGCGCGACATTGTCGACCGCCTCGTCAGCCGCCTGCCGCCACCCGGTGCCTACTACGGCGTCCACTACCGCGCCGAGAACGACAGCATCTGGAGCTCCGCCGAGCACCAGCTCGCCGTCGACCTCGACGCCCTCGATCGTGCCTGGGCCCGCTTCGGCAACGGCGACAACGCCTCCCGCCCGCTCGTCTACCTCGCCTGCGGCGACGCCCTGCAGGTCGAGCGCTTCGTCGCCGCGGCCGCAGAGCGCGGCTGGCCTGTCACCCACAAGTGGCGCCTCGCCCGCCAGGACGGCGACGAGACCACCGCCAGCCTCATCGACGCCCTCGCCTTTGACTTCCAGGGCGCCATCGACATGGGCGTCATGGTCCGCAGCGGCTTCTTCATCGGCATCCAGGGCAGCGCCTTCTCGTCTACCCTGGCCAACCAGCGCGACATCACCGGCCGTTACCGTGGCAGCTCTTTGGACGTGCCTGACGATGGCGCCCGCTCTCATCTGTTCAACGACCTCGACGCTAACGAGTACGCCTGCTGTCTGTAGCCTCGGGGCTCTTCTATCTTTGGCTTTTTAAAGATGGCTTCGGCCTTGCTTACGCAAACCGGTGTATACGGTCTTGATGGTTTTTGGTTTTTGGTTTTTGGTTTTTGGTTTCAGTTTCACTTACAATTTGGTTCATACCGGCTCGGTGGACTGTGCAATCACGCCCGAAATGGCCGCTATAGAGGCACGGGCGGATGGGATCACAATTGGGGTATTAAATAGTGTAATGACAAGGGCGAATGCACACTGGGGCACAAGTATTGGATGTAAAAGCTAAAAGCAGGGATTCTAAAAGTACATGAGCCTGGCGATATCTTGAAAGGCAAGAGCACTGGCCGTCGTGTCTACACAACCTGCAGCCACAGCTGGTCTGCAACGCCAATCGCCATTTTGTCGTCGCGTGCCTCATCGCCGGCAGCTGCACCGCAGAATGTAGAGAGCGAGTCCCATGGAGAGGTAGGAATGTGGGATTGGAAGTGAAATGCGAAAAGGAGCCGCGACGAGTGGTAAGCCGGATTCAGACATGCTGGAATGCAAGGCTGTTGGGACCAGAGCAGCCGGCAGCTTCTCCGTCGGTTGGTCCTCCAACCCCACTAACTCAGGGCTTGGACGCTAAAGTGCGGGGCACAGCGGCTGCCTAGCGACACATTTCTAGCTCAGCCTGGCCTGTGCTTTTGCCACTTGACTGCTACTGGGCCTGATCATCATCGTACCGATCGGTCCGGTCGTGCGCCGGCCGGTAGACAAAGTAGTCAAAGTGCGCCGGCATGGCGGTGCCGTTGATGTCCGATGCGGCCATGCCGACAAACGCGCCGGTGAAGCTGCCGTGCTCGTTGGCGCCGCCGCATTCGTCCGACAGCAGGGAGGCATCATAGACGGGACCGACCTCTTGCAGCGGGCCAAAGTTCTTCTCGTCTTTGTTCTGCCCTCGAGCGCGTACCAAAACTGCAGGACGCGGCCGCGCACAGTGACGGCAAGTCGGACCTTGCGGGGGACTCTGGTGGCAGCAGCACGGGAGCGGCCAGGGGAAGACGCAGATCGCCTGTGGGCCACGAGGCCTCGGACGTGAGGATCTGCAGCTCGCGCTGGCCGTCTGAGGTGTCGTCGCCGTCGGCCGTGACGGCCAAGTAAAAAAAGCTGTACGAGTTGTAGTAGACGATCAGGCCAGCGAACTGGCGCTCATCCGTGGGTGCGACCTCGACGGCCGTCTCGGCATCAAACGAGAAGTGTTCCTGGCGGCACGCCACGAGGGCCTGTTCGAACCAGGAGCCAACGGACTCGCGGCCGAAGAGGGTGAGCCGGTCCTGTTGGACGGCAAAGATGCGCTCAGGCTCGGGCGTGCGCAGCCACTGGAAGTCGGGGTGCAGCAGCCGGGCCGCGGGGCCATTGGTCGTCGCTTCGGTCTCGTCGCCAAACGTGTAGCGTCGCTCGGCCCAGTACGGCGACGTGGCCGGGTTATCATCGCGGTGGCCGGGCAGGTCGACCAGCAGCGACGGCACGGGGCCACTGTCAACGTAGGGCCAGCCGTCGTCGGCCCATCGGACGGACTGGATGGCGGTCTCGCGACCGAGCACGCAGCGACGCTCCTGTGTCGTCGGCCGGGCGGCCAGGTGGACGAGAAAGGAGCGGCTACCGTCGGGCGTGTCGACGAGGTCGCCGTGACCAGCTCGCTGCAGTGCTGCGCGCGGATGGTCCTTGCTCGTGAGCAGGTGACGCAGCGGGTGCAGCTCATAAGGGCCGGCGAGGTCGCGGGCTCGTGCCACGGTGACGGCATGGTGGTAGCCGGTGCCGCCCTCGGCCGTGAGCAGATAGTAGAACTCGCCGCGGCGGTAGAGATGCGGCGCCTCGGTCAGACGCAGGGGCGAGCCACGGAAGATGGTCCGCCGGGGTCCCACGAGCCGGCAGTGGTTGCCGTCGGGGTCCAGCTCCAGCTGCTGCAGCGCGATGCCGCCAAAGGCTGTGCCGTGGTGTCGGCGTCGGTGGTCCCACAGCATGTTGGCCAGCCAGGTCCGACCGTCGACGGGGTCGTGGAAGACGGACGGGTCGAAGCCAGACGAGCCCACATGCACTGGGTCGGTCCAGGGGCCTGCGATCGTCGGTGCCCGCACCACGTAGTTGTGCACGTCTTTGAAGCTGCCGGCACGGCGCCGCATGTCCGAGAAGACGAGCCAGAAAGACGTGCCGTCGTGCGAGAGGTCCGGCGCCCACACGCCGCCGCTGTCGGGACGACCGCGCAGGTCCAGCTGCGATGCCCGCTGCAGAGGTCGTGCCACCAGCGTCCAGTTGGCCAGGTCCGTCGAGTGGTGGATCTGCACGCCCGGGAACCACTCAAACGTCGATGTCGCGATGTAGTAGTCGGCCCCGACCCGGACCACCGACGGGTCCGCATGAAAGCCGGGCAGGATCGGGTTGCGGACAAGGGGCATGTCGAAGGAGAGGGGGCGATCTGAGAGATAGAAGAGGTGAGAGAGGTGAGAACGTCAAGAGAGGATGACAAGAGGATGAAAAAGGTCGAGAAGAGGATCAGAAGAGGACCGACAGAAATGTCCGGAGCTGGAAGCTCACATCGCATCCTCGAAACCGATCCCGTCGCTCTGTGCAGCGATTCGCCGATTTTCTCACTGCTTTCTCCGTCTCTGCAAACTGCTTGGCGACTGCTGGTCTTGGGACGGCACATGGGATCACGTGGCCAGAATCGAGTTGCTGGCTGCACCTTCCCGAGATGCTCACATCTCACCTGTCAATTGTCCGTGCTTCTTCATCGCTGATGCCCAGACCCAAGATGACGAGAGACAGACGATCCCCCGGAAACAGGCTAGCCCTGCCGACCGGTCAGCTGTTTTCTCCTTTTTCCTCCTGCACGCCATCCGGTAAACGGCCGTTTCACTGTTCCGCCACTGTGCAGAAACGGCCTGTCGTGGCCGTTCCCTTCTTGACTGCCTTTCCACGCAATCCGCTCTGCTTTGGGCACTGGGAAATTACAGAGCCCGGAAACAAGGTGACGGGCCTGGTGGAGCCTCTTTTCCCCCTAACTCGACTCCTTGAAGGATTGGCGCAGACCCAGAGGAACCACTCTGAACCTTTTTTTATTTTCCCGGTCCTTGTGGGGAGACGGACGCTGACCCCTGCGAAATTGGATCCCCTCCTAACCCGGCTTAGCATCGAGGCTGACCACTGTTGCTCCGGCACAACGTCCTTTGTCTGCTCGCTCCTGGCTCCTGGCGATACCTACTCTGTACTAGACCCGACCTCGACTCGGCAGCAGATCGGTTCCTGCACGATGTCCTCTCGCTCGGCCGAAATGGTAAACAAGAGCGAACGCCCACCAGGCCTCGAGAGATGAAGGGGTCGATGCACCTCCTGCAGCAATACTACGCCAGATCCATTTTGCAGGTACCAAGATGTTGCATTAGAACAGACTTAAATTCAGCCTGTGACATCTGAGGGTAGCCAGAACCAACGACTCTGCACACACTCCGTACTCCGGGCTCCGTTCTCAACGGACGGCGGTGCGTCTTCTGATCCCCATACTATGTGCACGTATCCCGCACTCATCTTCCCTCTTCCCTTTTCCGACTCCTTCTTGCATTTTCATCCCGCTACTGTCAAGACCGCTGGATCAGTCTGCCTTTCTGTCGCTCCTTTTTCTTCCTCCCGTCTTGGCCACATGATTCTTCTCCTTTGGTGAGAAACAGTACTTGCAACCTCTAAACCCCTTGACCCCTGTCCGTCTTTTTGTTTCCCTTCGTCTTGCCGGTTGACTTGCTGCGGTATCGCCCAAAGTAAGAGATAATGCTCCTTTAGCAACGGTTCCGTCTGGTCTACGGTCTCTTCCGGCACATCTCCCCTTACCCGGAGCTGGTCCGTGTCGTTCTTGGCCCACGTCTGGCCTTTGTTCTCTCCCCTCTTTGATATTCTTTCTCACACGTTCTTTATTGATTTCCACCCAGCCATGGTGGCCATTTTCCCCCTAGACGGCCGCCAGGATGTGGCCGTCGCCAGGGTCTTCTCCGGCATTCACGACTACTGGGAAGCTCTCTGCAAACGCTATGACGATGCCACAGAAGCGGTCGAGGTTTTGCGGCAGAGGGCAGAGACCGAATCCGGAACCAAGACGACAGTCAAGACGACAGCCAGGTTTACGGTCAGGACTATGGCCCAGGCGACTGCAAAGGCAACGGCAAAAACAACGGCAACAGTAAAGGCAACCACCACAGTACATGTCCAACTCACAAAATCGACGGCTGCACGGGGCCCCTCTTCCAAGACGACCACGTCTGCAAGCCCGGTAACCAAAACCAGTGACAGGAGCAGTACCATCACAGCGGCGCCGACAATCCTGGGCTCCTGGGTGCCGTCCTACTCCGTCATCGGCGGCGAGACCGTCTCCGCCTTCGTAAACAGCGCTGGCAGGGTCGTGTCCATAGCCTTCGTAGGCACTAACGGCCGCGTGACCATTATGCCGTATACCGCAGACCCTGGCACAAGATCCGTCACCGAGACGCCAGCCACAACTACAGGTGGGACAGTATCAAAGTCATCAGCTTCAGCTTCTACGTCAGTTCCAACTTCTACGTCAGCCTCAAGGTCGACCTCAGCCTCAACGTCTACCTCAGCCTCAACGTCTACCTCAGCCTCAACGTCTACCTCAGCCTTAGACTCTTCCAGAGATTCTGCAGCTGTCTCCACTACCGACGTCAGCACTAAGTCCAGTCAGGTTGGCATAATTGTCGGCATTGTCGGTATGTATCTTCTTCTGCGTTTATCGCCAGGGAGGCACCACGACTAACTAGCAGCAGTCGCCCTTATGGCTGTCTTCATTCTCATCTTTGTTTTCTTCCGCTACCGCCACTCTCGGCTGTTGCGGCCACTCTTTAAGAATCTCAACGAGCGGTCTTTGAAAACCGGCCACGGCAGTCAGGATCCCGGAAACTCGAGAGATTCTCTTCTGGACCCAGAGATAGCAGTGACTAGCAAAGGTGGCGATATTGAGAAGCAACAGCCTGAGAAGCAGCTGGAGGCCAATAGACCCGCCCCAAGCACTGCACCTTCTGTTTCTGCTGCTGGTGCGGCGACTCAGAACACCTCCAGTCCTGCTTCTAGCCGAGGCGGCCAACAGCAGCACTCACGATCTGCCTCTTCCACTGCCTCCCGCCAAGCGTGGCCTATGCCGTCCAGAGCACCGTCCTCCCTCGACAGCTACAGCACCTTTCCACATGTGCAAAACAAGCGCAACAGCAACGGAAACGGCAGGGACACCGAGCCCATACCCACACCGTTATCAGCACGGCCGGTCCGGCGGTCAACAGGGCCCCCGGCTATCCACATCTATCAGCCCCAGACGCAGAACGGGCCTGCAGCAAGAAACAACGCCCCCTGGAATCGAGCGCCGCTCAGTCCGTTGCCGGCCTCTCCCACGAGCCTCGGCCCCCAACACCTGACAACGGTCGTTGTTCAACAGGATCGACAGACTCTGCACGACTTGAGAGACAGCATCTATGGACGTTGTGGCAGCTACATGAGCCTTGGTGGACTCAGTATTGCCAGCAGCGCTGTGGCATCTCCGTCAAAGCTGCCGTGGCCGATGCCACCTGTTTCTGTGTCGACTGATGGTTCCGACGGAAGCCGTGCTGGCAGTCGTTATGGCAGCGGTATGAACAGCACCTTGGTGCCCTTAATTGCGCACACAGATCCAGGCAAAGGCTCCCGCAGCACTTTCTCTCGCTCTCCTGCCGCCTACACAGACCTCACTGCAGTCACAACGGTCCCCGTCACTTCGCATATCATTCCCCGGAAGCCTCTCGTGTCCATTGTACAGGCTCCAATGCAGGCAGTTCTTGACGGTCCCGGCAACCGCAATCTTCTCCAGGAACAGGAAATCAAGCGTCGCTCCAGCCTTCGTCTGGCCTTAGACTTGGCGAGTTCCCCGCCACCCAAGCAGGCACCCCCGCCACCACCTGGCATGACGCCGCGGCGTACTTCCGGCGTTGTCTTCCAAGGGGACCGCAACTCTATGACAGTTCGAGTGCCCATATCCCGCTTTCACTACTCATCCGGTGGTGCTGAAGACGGCCGGACATAGGACTGGCATATTCCTATTGCCTATTGCATCTCTGGCTTCCTTTATCCTGTTTTTAACGAGCCTATTGCCTCTTTGCATCTTGCATGAATTTCACGCAGCGTACTGTGTCAAAGCGTGTGTACATATCCATTTTCTTTCTTCCCCATCGGGACTCTCTTCGACGCAGCAATTGGATTTGAGAAGCTTCTACTTCTGGAAAGGTCAGCCTGGGCTTCTCCTCCAATAGACTCAGTGTCTAACTCTTCATTCGTGCTTCGGGTTGTGTATTCGTGTGGGACGGTGCGCATCTGCATTGGGTGTGACATAAATTAGCGCTGCCCTATTATGTCAACACTGGTGGTGCTCGAGACGTGGACTGGTAAAGTCTTACCACCAATTCTGCTCTCTTGTCCTGGAAACCATGTTCGGTAGGTTCGTCGTGGTGTGTGTGCAGACGCCGTGTAGCAATCGCTCTGCGTGACCGCTTTAACGCTGTGATCAGTGTCGGTGAGAGAAGCATTTGCTCTTCCATGTATCGTTCCATTCCCTTTCTGAGACAGCAGATGCGTACCAGTGTGGACAGAATGTCGGATGCTCATCGAAAGAACATTCTCCATGCCTCTTTTTTCCCGCATCGTCTGCGGCAAGGTGGTCTCATTGGCAGGACTAAGAAAGACAACTTTGGCTCATCCGCCTACATTTGGTGGGCAGCAACGGCAGCGGGTAGCATGAACGCAATCCGTGGTTCGACAACGACGGTTGCTGTGGCAAGCCGAGACACCAGTTTTCTTTCACTTCATGTTCTGGATGCGTAAGTCCCAACGAAAATCTGTCAGAACAAAAGAAGCGGTTACGGAAGGCACGGAGTGATGTGCCAGGGAGGAGGACGGAAGGTGCGATGGAATGAACGCGCAATCCCAATTTGCCTAGCAGCAAAGATGGGACTGCCGGAGACCCTGAGTTCCCCCTCCTTCTTTTTTCAAAACCTTGACAGAGACAAACGCACCGCCATGCCTGCAAGCTGTCTGTCCATCCACCCACATGCCGCCCCTAACCCGTGAGCAATATCTTACGAACATCCACGCTCTCAAGCGCCGAGATATCAACATGTTGGGAAGTTTTCACCAGCTGCCAGGATTCCTGCATGTCGCCGAGCCAAACAGAAGAGAAGAAGTCCGGGCGCGTACAACCTCTCGCTAAGCGACTACTCCTGTGGGCGGACGAAACATAACAGCTGGTGTGCTCTTGCAGATAGTATCATGCAAGCATGGGATATGGTGGTTGCAAGCGGGGACAGACAGGGTTTCTTGCAGCCCCTATGGCCTCTCTCTGGACGCAAAGGGGACGGAAAAGAAAGACTGACAAACAGAAAAAAAAATCAAAGAGGCCCATCGGGACAGCCAAATTCAAGGTGAAAGCCAGACAATCAATAGCTTCGACATGATAAGACACTTCCAACATGAGAAAACAAACGTAGAGCCCGGGGTAGGAGTCACTTGTTCGCCGATTAACTGGGGGGGAAACAAAAATACTACTGAAAAATGCAGTTTGCAGCCTTTCTGCTGCATCTGACCCCCTCCTCATCCCGTGTTCCTCTGGGCAGAGTCAATATTTGGTCTGACGAGATGCACCACCCTTGTCTTGTGCGGCAGCTGCGATTCTTCAAGTGACCAAGAAGAGGCGGGGGTGATTTGTAGCTTCCCTGCTCGTGTTTTTATGGACCCAACAAATAGGATGACGAGAGATGGGGCAACGTCGAGGGTTAGAAACGGTGGCTGGAAAATCCCTTCCCCTGGTCTGCCGACTGAATCTGCTCGGCCTAGACCTTGCATCAAACGGGATCTGAGATTTCTAGGGACAAGCCCGAGAACGTTATCCCTGAAGGGGGAAGCGGCCACGAAATGTACGACATCTGTGACCCACCCTGAAGACCTATTTTCCACCGGGAAAGGAGAAAGAATACACGGCACTGATCTGGATCCCCCAACCGGGTATCTTCTATAGCAAAGCGGAAGTTTCTTCCTGACATCTAACAAAGCACAAACAAAATACTTCGGTAAACTCAATGCATAGAGCATGGGAGCAAGGGTCATCTCATTCCGTTTTCTTTCCTAATTGTTCTGCTGCAACTGACAGCTCATGAATTCATTCATTGGACGAGACGATGGGGGCAAGAACTTCAGCTCGTATTAGTTGCTGCACGGCGTTGGGCTTGTCCAGCCGGAATATCCTTTTGTGCTCTCTGGTCACCCCAAAGGCTTGCAAGACGGCAGCGGAATGTCGTGGCGTGGCTGGAAATACGACGCGAGGGCACCAAGGTTGCCTTCCCTTTCTGCTCTCTACTCGTGCCTACATCCTGCCTGTGTGACCATGTCGCTTACTCACACTCTCACCATGGGAATGCATCCGGGATGCCGGCTTCATGGGCTGGCTGATATGGCACAAGTACAGTGTTATTACGGGGAGCAGCCAGTGGATTCCGGAGACAACTGGCCCTCCCTATTGGTCTTATCGGCGTACCAGATGTGTCAGGCTATCCTTGTATTGCATTCGTGCATCTGTCTGCTGTCAGAGCCAAACCGACGGGGAGAGAGGGAAGGAAGGGGGGCGATTGGGGTACATGCACCGGGGGTAGCCGAAAAGGATGACGAATACTAAAGAGCGGCGACCAATCCTGAATTCGCCTTGTCTAAGGATTTTGTTCGGACGACGTTCTGCAGCGCTTTCCGTCTTCACCACAATGGGGTGGCCGACTCCACACAACTGCATACAAGAGAGACAGCCAGACGCCAAGAGTCAGACACCGGCCGGCAGCAACCAGGAGCCAGCATGAGCCTATCTATGACCGGCCACAACTGAACCGGGAGCAGTCAATATGTCAAGCCCCCTTGTCAGCAGTCGCCACCACAGCCGGCTGAGCTGGTATGCAAGCAGGGGCTGCTACCAATCTTATGGATACTACGACGACAGGGTCCTATTCTCGCACGTATCGGTGGCTGTCATGTATCCTGTCGATGCCGATCGTCTTCGGACCATGGTACGCTATAGGGAAGAGCCCGGAAGAATATACGACAGTAGATTGAGAGGGATCGCTGGGCCAACACAACGCTGGATGGGACCGACCCAAACAAGCCGTCTTCTGGTCGTCCTGCCGCACTGCCATAAACGGGCTAGTGCTCTTCGCCTCGAGACTATACAGCGCACAGAAAACATGTGGCTCGCGAGGATTTGTTGAGCCCATCCTTGCAGCACACTGTACCGCCCTTTCTTTTCTTTTCTTTGTTACTTCTTCTGCTCCCTCGCATGGCGCTGCACTTCAGCTTCTCTTTTTCCTTTTTTTTTCCTCCACTTTCCTTTTTCCTGCACTGACAGCTTTCAGGCGCTTAGGAGGATTTTGCACACACAGCCAACACACGCACAGCCTTGCCTCTGCAACCCACACCCCCTTTACGAGACCACCCCGGCCCGTCGTTCGGGAAGCGGATCCGGCCTGTCATGGTCTAGTCCTCCATATGTGCAGCGCCTCTTGATGCTCACGTTAAACACAATTATAATATAGCCTCTCCCCTACCCCGGAAGTGCTTCCGTCCATCTTCGTCTAGCCGGTGTTTTGTTTAAACGACCTCGACTGCATAACCCCCCTCGCCAGACATCCCTGTAGTTGCCAGCTACCCCATGTAAAACTGTGCCGCGTGTCTGCGCGGCTGTCCGCTTGCCGGGATTTGACGAAGAGGCCCTGTAAGCCTACATAGTATTGCAGAGTGAGACATATTTTCTTCCATCCTCAAGCGACCAGCCCTCTGGCTTTCTTCTTCTTTGATCAATTGACTTGCAAGCGTTCCATATACAGAAGCCGCGGGTTTGATGAGGACGGCCCGTTATCTTTCTATATCCGTAACCGATGATATCCGAACAGTCATTTATCGACTTCCCGGACGGAGATACAGTGCCTTGCAAGTAGATACCAGGTCCAGAATGATTGACAACGCCTTTATCGTCTTGGAAGTTATGGTGCAAATGCGATCAGATGGCGGGGAGGCCAGAAGAGAGTAACAAACAGTCGACAGCAAGTGCAGTCTATATGCCTCATTTCTCACCCTGCTCACGTATCGTCGGTCTGCGCTCTCACTCTGCTTCATCCAGCAGAGAGATTCCCTCCCGCTTGAGGACACGCCGGAGTTGTTTCGGGCGAGCTGCATTTCCACTAATGCCCACACATTTCCATGTTTCCACCGTTCTGTGAGGCTTTGTAAGTCTCTGCCTATCGGTTTGGCGTTTCTGTCATATTTTGTTCATTTAGACCGTCTCCGTGTCTTTGCCACCCAGGTACTTGTCGTCTGCTCCCTGTCCGTGGGCCGCCAAGCCATGCACGTAGCATGGCGTCGCCGGGTGGAAGCTGGCCGGCCTTGACGGAAATACGAGGAGGTTGAAATGAGGCTGTCGTGGCGGTTGTGCAATCGGGACGAAGTCGAGACAACCAAAAATGATTTGCGACAGACCAATCCGAGGTACGCATCAGCATTGTGTATGTCTCTGTCGTATCTTCACATGTCCTACTCGCATTCAGGCCAACGGAGATGAGGTGAGAGGAGGAGGGTGCGATGGGACGGGACAGACGGAAGCCTGTGTTGTCGCTGCTGCTCATCTGGCTATAAAAGCCCGACCTCAGTCGTCGTCGTTGTTCGCCGTTGTTCTCTTTCTTTTTCTTCACCGCAATCATCATCGGCCTTCCTCTCTCATCTTCTTCTTCTCATTCTTCCCCTCTGCTCCATCTTCTCAGTACTCTTCTCGTCTTCGTTGAGCTCTGCAAAACGAAACTTTGGAGACAATATCCAGTTCGTTCTTCTTACACTTGTTACCCACTTGCCCTTCTTCTTTGAAATTCACAGATCTCCAAGCTCTTTTGGGGCTTAACCCAAACCCCCGCCAGTGTCAACTGACTGGGAACTTCAAACATTCATAGGATCTTGTCCTATCAAGAAACCATCCTGATCCACAAGAACTTTCTTCCTGTTCTTCCGCCTTCCATCTTTCATCAGATATAGCTTCACGTGTTCTTCTAAACAGCCTTGGAAGAAGCGGTGAGGTCGTGGGAGACACAAAGAGACACCTTTTGGACCCAAAAAGTGAACCCAAGGTACTGAGACCAAAGAACCACTAGTTGCAGAAAACAAAAAGCACGACAGAAACCAAAAATCCCCTCCTTTTAAAAAAAGACAAAAAAAAGCACACCGGTGGAGAATTCCATCCAAAAGAGAGAAGTATTCAACAGCAAAGCAAAAAAAAAAAGGCGAGTCAAAGAAACAAAGGGTCACAAGCTATGTTTTGCCTTCACATCCTCTCACCGCCAACATTTCAATCGTTTTCTAACGTTCTATATATCTAGAACCACTACTAGAAGTGTATATTCAACGACGTTCAAACTTCACCAACATTTTCATCTCTACAAAAAAATATCCCTAGCTAGTACTTTCGTCTACAAGACTAGTGTTGGAACACGAGCTGCAGCAAAGTACATCATTCAAGTCCAGAATTCAAAGTGTGTTGAACTCAGCCGAGCTTCCATAATCATGTCGATCAAAAACGAGGCTACGAAGGAGGAGCCTCTGAGCCCCTGGCTCTCGTATATTAATGTCGACGACAATGACATTTTCAGCTACAGCAATGACGCCGATCTCGGTGTTGTGAGTTTTTCCTCTTCCCTAGACTATATACATGCGTGCTAGAAAGCAGGATAGAAGCTGACGAAGCCCGTCGACTAGAAGTCAGACGATGATTGGGGAAGCGACCATTCAGAGATGCTTGAACCCGAGAAGCCGCACTGGCTCAAAACTGAGCCCACTGTGGCTCCTGATATTGTGACTGGGCCGACACCCACGAAAGAAGACCTGGCAAGCGAGGCTCATGCAGACTCCAAGGCGGACTACCACGTCGAGGCCAAGCTGGAGGATGTCGTCCCCGTCAAGTCGGATGTGGATAAGCAAGAGCGAGTGACTCTCAGGGACAATGGCAAGAACAAGGAACTCTGGTCAGTCAACGAGGACCTTGGGAACCTGTGTCTTGGGGATGTAGTGCTGAAGGAGGAGTCTTCCTCCAGCATCGGTTCGGCTTCGCTTGACAAAGTCTTCGATTCTGTCCTATCTGAACGGTACAATGACCACAGCTGGACGGATCCCAGGGTGATTCTCAGCGGGTCGTGCAGTACATCGCCGCTGTCGGACACTACTCTCGAGTTCGACACTCCGCCGAACTACATCAACAGCGCCTTGCTTAGGCGGTGCGGCCTTGCGGTTACGAAAGAAGAGCTAATTGCGAAAGAGGTGCTGATCGCTAAAGAAAATTTGATTGCCAAGGAGAAGCGAATGGCGAAGGAGAAGCGGATTGCCCAGGAGGAGATGATTGCGAAGAGGGAGCACAACGAAGCTGTCGGAAGTGAACTTCCCACTTTCTTCCCGCACGGCTATGAGACCATAGACAGCATGCAGCAGACAGAGAGGCTCAATGCCCTCATTCACGCAGAGGCGTGCAGAACTGAGGCGATGTACCATATGCAGGGCATCTCGCCGATGCTGCTTCAGGTCCAGCAGCAGAGCCCGTATCTTTGGGATGCCACCCCGGTGATGCCGACAACGGCGGAAGAGTTGGAGTATTGGGCGGCTCAGACGGCGAGCTACTGTGACCCGATGGCGTCGCAGCAGGCGCAGTTTGCGCCTCCTTTCAATACTGAGGATATGCGCGCGTTCTCGCCGGTGATGCCGGAGAGCGGCAACCAGACGGACCTGCCGATGTGTCAGCCGGTGACAGCCTCGCAGCCGCAGATGAAGACTGAAGAACAACCGCATTTGATGTCGATGGTGCCTTTGATTCCCATGGTGCCAATGGTGCCAACGATGGCAAGGATGCCAACGGTGCCTGTGATGGCCTCCTCCTTCCAGCCGAGCTACGAGGCCTGGGACAAGGAACCGCTCGACTATCGCATGAATGCCACGCTGGTCTCGTCGACATCGGCCCCCTGCCCATCCACCAGCCGCACTCAGCTGCCGGGCTTCAAGGGATCCGACTGTGAGAGCAGCGACGACAATGGCGGAAACGACAGGAAGGCCAGAAGCACGAGCCAGACGACTGGAGCCAACGGTGCTTCGCCCAGACAAAAAAGTCCTATCTACAAGACCCGTCGGGTGACGCGTCGCCAGCAGCAGCAGAAGGCGGGCAGCCTCGAGAAGAACGCCGAGATGGCATCGCGTGCTGGCGAGTCTTCGTGCCAGCCGTGTGCTGCTGGTCCCTCGTACCAGCACCGCGAGGCCGAGCCGTGGACGACGCTGCTTCCTCTCCGATCCGCCGTCACTATGGACGACATTGCGGCCGCTGGGCTTGGCCATCGGGACTGTCCTACCGGCCTCCAGCAGCAGACACAGTCGCTTGCGAGCCACCAGACGGCGCTGTCGCCATCGGCCGAGTCGCTGCTCTCGGAGGCAAGCCAGATGGCCCTGCAGAGCCAGATGGAGGATCGCCTGCGCAAGGACAACTTTCTGATCGAGCAGAAGCGTGCTGGCCTCACGTACAAGCAGATCCGCCGCCTGGGCGGCTTCCAAGAGGCCGAGTCGACGCTGCGCGGACGCCACCGCACGCTGACTAAGCCGAAGGAGGAAAGAGTCCGCAAGCCGGCCTGGACAGAGATGGATGTGCGTATGATGCTCTGTTCTGGATGTGCCGACCGGTGTGCCCGCCTGGGACTATACTGACGGCGACAGGACCATCTGCTCCGCCGGGCCGTGCGTAAGCTCAGCCGTGGTCGCGACAGCGCAAAGGCCAAGATCTCGTGGAAGGCTGTGGCGGACTATATTTACGACTGTGGTGGTTCGTATCACTTTGGTAACACAACCTGCCGCAAGCGGTGGGACTCTCTGGTGGCGCACAACTGAAGGAGACGGGAAGAACCAAAGGACAAGGGTATGAAGAAGGGGAGTTTTGGCACGACAATGGGAATTGAACGGAAGAACGGGGACGGGAATTCGACAAAACGAAGAAAACACGAAAAAACCACGAAAACACAAACTCACAAAAAAAGAGCGATACTAGTACGACAGCTGGGTTGGATGGGTTCAAACAAACGACAAGGGCAGAAAACAAAGGGAATGGGTTTTGCAATGGACAATGGACTGACGAAAAAAACAGAACAACAAGGGCAAGGAACAAAACGGGAGAGGCACAGCAGCAAATGGCAGGACAACGGAAGGTAATATGGGCATCCTTCGGGATATGGGACGGAACATTAGTTTAGTTTTAGGTAGTCTGTTACAATCCGATTTGTAATGGAACTTTCTTCGTGCCTAGTGATCTGTAAATTTCGAACGCGAAAGCTATCTTCTAAAGGAGAAGGAAACGAGGGGCATTATAAACTTGTAGTTACTGGGTCCAGTTGGTATTATACGAAAGACGTTTTTATACTTGGTATTTCTTCTCATCTCCTTGTCCTACATGTCTCTGGCTCTGTTTCGGGTTCCCGTCAGCAATATGTCCATGCTTTCCCTGATTGGTTCATGGTTGATTCAACTGCGCCGTCGTTGGCTGATGCAGGGTGCCATGCTATATAGTGCGAGAAATATTCTTTCGGCAGCTGCAAGGAGGACAAAGATTTTAGAGCCGATACATAACCAGTTATATACCACAGGGACACATCGAATATTCAGACTTCAGCATGCAGAACACAAAGGCTCCTGTTATGATGCGGACCCTTCTTTAGACGACGACACGCTCCCGGCGGGCAGACCGATCTGGCGCAGGATGCGAGTCAACTGGCCGGGATCCTGGCGCAGGGCCGACCACTCGGTCTCGTTCTTGACCAGCGCCGTGCCAGCCAGTACGGTACCGTTCAGTGAGAGCGTGCCGACGCTGGTTCCGTCGGACGAGGTGACAGCACTGCCCTCGGCCGTGCGCGGACACAGTGCCATTGTCTTTTGCGTGAGGGCCAGATTGTAGCTCAGGCGAGCAGGCACCTGGCCTTGCTCCTCGGCCATCCCGTCCTGTGCTGACAGGCCAGCAGCGACACATGCCTGTCGGTACAGGCGCAGATACAGGGCGTGCAGCAACTCGGCAGACGGGGAGGCCTCATCCCGATGTATGGGGGTTGTAGCCACGTGAAAGGGAAGCTCTGCCGGCCTTGTCGATGCTGCTGTCTGTCTTGTGAGCTGATCGACTGCGACGCCCCAGACAGACGCATCACTGCCGCTGCCGTCCTCGCTCAGGCCCTCGCGCATGCATGCCACAGGCAGCATCTGCAGGTGTCGGTGCGGCTGGCTGGCCCCGGAGTGGGCGCCACTGTTGTAAAAGACAAACAGCTCCTGGCCCTGGTCATGATACGCCTCGATGCAGGCATACGCTGCAGCCAGATCGTCGCCAGCCAGCAGGTGGCTCTGCGGCCGAAAGTCGACCGTTGCCAGGATAGCGTGGTCCCGGCAGATGGCAAACTTGTTGAGCACGAGGCGGTGGGCGGGCCCGATCTGCGACAGCACCAGGAGACCGGGCGGAGGGTTTTCGAAGGGGTCGAACGACGGACGCACCGATGTCGGTCCAGAATGGCTGGCGCTCTTGCTGGCGTCTGCTGTCTTGGGCTTCTTGGCCAGAGACGGGGCGAAGCGGAGCTGGAGCTGCACGCAGCAAGAAGGCAAGGGGGAAAAGAAGAAAAAGCAAATCAGACGACGGACAGACAGATAACCAGACAGAAAAAATATGCAGGGGTCTATCGTACCGGAATGCCATTGATGCGTAGGAGGGCCACTTGCGTGGGGAAGAAGGTGAGGTCGCCGGCAGCTCGGGCACGGGCAAAGGCCGTGCGGACGAGATCCGGCAGGTTGCTCGGGGCGCTGACCAGTTGCACCATTGCGAAAGAGAGAGGCTCGAATAATGAAGCTGAAAGGACGACAAGAGAGAGCTCGATATGGTTGATGCGCCTTCCGCAACAGTTCTGACCAGGCTGACGTCGTTTGATGTGGCATTGGTGGAAGGAGCGTTGGAGGTGGGGCAGCTAAAACAGGACGCTAGAAGCTCTCAATGGCCAGACGAGGTCATTGTCTACTATTGGGGGCAAACCACTGCTGCCAGTTCTTCTGTTCTTCAGTGGTCTGATAATTCTATTAAAGCAGCAAACGCATGCGTGTGTCTGCTATTATCTCGCAACATGGGAGTGGGCTGTTGTATATACAGTTCCGGGCGGTCGCCTACGTCCTAACGCCCCTCCATCACGCTGTCCTCTGTGCATCACCCCGGCTGATTCGTCGTCCAGACGGCCAGCTGTCCATGGCACAACCAAAGTGGCCAAGCACTTCACGTCCGCTACAGTCCCGGCAGGCCTACCACCCGTCGTACTGCCGGCACGAACCGCGGCACCACGTACACGCCATACAGACCGGCCAGGGCGACGAGCAGCCCACTAAGCTTCTCGAGCCCGGTGTGGAAGTAGATGGCCGTCATCAGCAGCATCCAGAGCGAGAGGACGAGAATCGTGCCGACGAACTGGACGCCGACCAGGGACAATCGAGCCGCAGACACGGCCTCGGCCTCGACCTCGGCCGTCTTGATTGCGCCGTCGGCCATGACGATGGTTCGGTCATCCTCTGGCTGGCGTCCATCACGACCTCTCTGGCTTTCGCCTCGTTCGCCTCGTGCCCGCAGCAGCACCCAGCCAACCTCCTGCGCCAGAAACGTGCTGCCCAGCACCAGCAGGAAAACGTGGCCGCTGATGTCGTGGCCACCGCTCCAGCGCCCACCCGCCCGCTTGCACATCGACGCCACGGCCACGGCCGCCAGCGAGGCTGCAGCCGTGGCCGCCGCCGAGGTCGCCTCGGCCACTCCCAGACCACCGTCGGCCTGGCAGCTACCACCGGTCAGTCGGAAGCTGCGGTCTGTCAATGGCGGGCCAAAGAACCACTGCGTCACCACGATCCACCAGGCCGTCACGAGCCCCCACCGGATGATGGCTGAGGCGCGCCGGAACCAAAGATGGTGTGCGAGGAGGACGTGCCGCTGACGCTGCGCTCAGAATCAGAAACAGTAAAGGATGGGTGCCGCAAGACAAACTGCGCAAAGGCGAGCGAGATCCAGAACCAGCCGCGCTTGACAAAGAAGACGTTGAGCACGTTGTCCTTGCGGGCAAAGTACGACGGCGCAGAGCTGACGACACTGGCGACGTCCGTAACACCGGTCCGTCCGCTGGGCGACAATAGGCTGAAGAGCATTCCGAAGAGCAGCACCACCGGAAACGCGGCCAGGAGGACGGCCTCGCGGTATGTCGGCAGGTATGGGCGGTTGCCCGCTGTCGATTTTGCAGTCACTTTCGCGCTCGGGGGGGAGAAAGCGGCCGGCGGCCTCGTCGAAGAGCTCCGGTCATTCTGTGCCAGCTCCGACATCTTGGGTTTTCGTCGCAGTTGGGGGGGTGACCCTGGCTCTGGTGACAACGAGGCCATGTCAGACAGATCGGAACGAAGAGAGAATGGAAAGGAGAGAACAGTTCAACGCCGATGCGCTAATGCAGAGACATGTGTTCTTTCGCGGAAAGTAGAGGAAGGGCGGACAAACTGTTTCGGAAGTCTTGCAATTATAAGAGACAGCAGGCACCTAGTCGACCGGGAGGCCGCAAAGGCGATGATGGAACAGATGGAACCAACTGGCACGTTGCCGTAATTAGCTGGACCATGACGTCTGCGACAGGAAGGCGCCACAACACCGCCACATTCGCCACACAAAGGCTGCAGCCTGCAGTACGGAGTACGGAGTACAGAGCAAGGATCGCAAGCTCGTTTATGTGATTTATTCTTATATGCATAAATACTTCAGCGCAACCAGTCCATTTCTCATGCAGCTCGCCCTGATATCTCATACCGCCAACGCCGGTTCTGTGGCTGAAGCCTCCTGGGATCCAAGCTCAAATAGACAGAAAAAAAGAAAGTAAAAGAAAAAAGACAAAAAACGAATGTAGAGAATTGAAAATGTGCTTTGCAAAAAAATGACATCAACGTTGCCAACCTCATGCCGCCCGTACCCTGTTACGATTCTGTCGACACCATGGCCAGCGTCGCGCAGAAGTTATTGCGGTTGCCGGAATCAAGCGCGACAGACTCGCCATCCAGCAAAACCATGTTGATAGAGGCCTTGGTGTTGAGCCCAAAGATGTGGACCTTCGACGACGACTCCAGGCTAACCATATTCTCCTGGCAACTCTCGGTCTCCAGGCAAGTCTGGTCGTAATTGTCAAAGAATGAATACAGACCGGCCCCATAGATGAAGACATCTGAGGAGTTGGCAACGCGAAGGCCCCACGAACGTGCACACGTGGCCGTCGTACAAGAGGAGAAGTCAGGATCGGACAGCGCGGTCTGCACAGCAAAAGGAGTGCGCGAGTCTGGGTTGCCCTGGAAGTACGGCGTCTCAGTCTGGATCAGGCCCATGTAGATATTGCTGGCATTGCTGAGCTGGTAGTTGTACAGCACGCTGTGTTCGGCTGCTGTGCCAATCATCCACACCGGGCCAGCAGACTCGATGAGCACACCACGGCCGTTGAACACGTTGATCTGTGCGTTGTCCGCTGCCGGCTCCAGGTCATGGTCTGCCACCCAGAACCAGGCATTTTCCACATACACAGACGAGGCAGAGGCAGTGATGTGCAGCAAGAGACCAGCGCCCAGGCACTTCGTATTGGCGGCAGCCGTGACATTGGGGTTCTTAGCGCACTCAGACAGTTGCAGGTCCGTACCGGCAGCACCGCCAATACGGACATGCACGTCCCACAGGCCGGCAGCACCGGCAGACGACCCGGCAAGGTTCCACTCGATCATTACCGCACCCGGCTGAGGACCCGCGGTAGCAAAGAGGAGGTCAGAAAACTCGGCAGAACCAGACTCACCCGGCTGGCCGACCTGGAAGACAGGCGTCGTGTTAGGCCGCGTTGGAAAAGGACGTGCTCCCACCAGCCATGATGACCGGCCAGACCTCGCCGGTGACGCGGACATTTTTGGGTACCTTGATAGTGTCGGTGACCAGGTAAGCGCCGTGGTCGAAGTAGACAATCTGATCCGACGTGGCGCTGTCGAACACAGCCTGCAGGGCTGCCGTATCATCCGTCACACCATCGCCCTTGGCACCCTTTGCCTTGACAGACACAAAGCTGCCAACATCAACTGTCTCGTACTGCGGGCGATTGCGGGAAAAAACATTGCCGGCAGAGTTCAACAGGCTGGCGGACTTGGTCACAGCGGTCTGAGAGCCGTGAACTGCCTCGGATGTTTTAGCGGAGCTTCCCGTGCCAGGGATGTTTCCCTGTGCCCACGAAGTGACCTTCACATTGCCAGCAAGGACGGTAGTATTGCTGCCATATGCGGCGACGGCAACCGGGACGTTACTCGACATGTCGACGTTGTCCAGAACCAGCGTACCATTAGTAGCGGATGTTGACGGACTGTACGCCGTGCGAACGCCAATAGGCGTGTTGGAGATAACACTGTCGACGAGCAAGACGGAGCCAACCGTCTGGGAAGTAGAGCCGCTGCTCATATCCACGCCAACACTGCAGTTGGAGATGGAGATGTCCTGCAGCGTCCACGCCCAATTCCAGTTCATATAAATGGCCGTCTGACAGTTTCGGAAGGTCATGTTTCGCGTGGTGAACTGCTGGTTACCGAAGAAGGCGCCGTATTGGCCACCAATGAAGGTCAGATCGGCCATGAAACCACCAGAGCCGTTGTCCATGAAGACCCCGACCTGTTTGTTGGATGGGCTGCTGTCCTGGGCCATGTTGAACACGATGTTCTGCAAGCTGGTGGCCTGGGCTACCTGCCAGTGGATTCCGGCACCCTTGGTAACGGGCATCTTGGTGAGGTCGATTTTGAAGTTGCGAACCTGGCGGAAGAAGTTGTTCTGGTTCACCCACCAGTTGGTTCCGGTGGTGTCATACGGATCGGAGTCAATGACCGCGATACCGACGAAGCTGGCACTTGCAACCAGAGTCGGCGGGTTGATGGCGTCGCCGACAAGCTGCGTGTAGTAGTACTGGATGATAGGCGTGCTCACAAGGTATGTACCAGGAGGGAAATATACGAGAGCGGGAGCCGTTGTCGAAGAGGAGCAGCCTTCACCGCATCGATTGCCGTCCGAAATGGCGAGATTGATGGCAGCCGTGTCGTCGGTCACGCCATCACCTACAGCACCATAGTCGCGTACATTGCGGTACACCTTGTAGCCAGAGGTTCCAAAGGCAGGGGCGCCGTTCCTGGCAATGTTCGCAACCCAGTAACTGGAAGTGGAAGTGCTGGTGCTGCGAGCAGCAACGGCAAAAGCTGTAGCAGCAGGAGCGGCGGCCACCGGAGTCGAGAAAAGCCGGGCCGCCAAGAGAAGAGTGCCCACGAGGCTTGTGAAAAGAAACATGTTTGCAATATAGAGCCAGCTAATGTGCGTGTGTCCTTGTTCTGAAGATTCAGTGTTGTCAGCTTTCTGTGCGAAGGAAAAGATAGTGTTTGATTGGGGAAGCATTCAGAGTTTTGGTTTGTAGTTGGGAGAGAAGACAAGATTCAAGAGAAGAGAAGGAGAAACAATATATAGACATGAGACATGGACACGGGTGAGCTTGTTGAGCTTGTTCAGCAAAAATGTGAGGTGGCCATGTGAACGAGACAATGGATTGGAGGGCTTGGATGTTATTGAAGGTGAGGTACAAGGCATTGGATGCCGTGCGAACAAAGGGATGTGCAAAGACACAAAGCATTGGCTAGGTTAAGAGGAATAATGGGCAAAGTAAAGTATGAATGGAGAGCTGGAGTCCGTGGAGACATGGGTGCAAGAAGCGATGTACATTAAGGGAGAGAAGACTTACATCGAATGGCGCGAGATCAAGTTGGTGTAATCAAACGGGAGCAGCGAAGTCAATGACAAGCTCGCTGTAAGGGATGATAATTCCAAGGAAGGGCGGTATGCAGAAATATAAATTGAAAAACAAATCGGTAAAAGGCCGTCGAGACCGAAGTAGGTGATGTCGATATTTTAGAAGGAGAAGACAGAGTACAACGTAATATGGTATTTGAAAACGTATAGCGGCCTGGAGGAGACGGGCATAGAAGGGAAAGGACAGGCCGAAGACAGGCCGAGAAGAGGGAAAAAGTACCACGGCCTCGGTAGGAACAGAGAGAGCGAGTAAAGGAAGGAACTCAGCGGCCCGAAAAGACACAGAATGGATGCATCGCGTTATAATATACGAAGAGGAGCGACCACAGGAAAGAACGACGTACCCCACATCTCCATAATGGCAAGCACAGTTAGCTGTTTTATGACACAGCCGACTTTACGATACAAGGAGGCCTTTCCATGGTTCGTTTCTGTCGCCTGGTCCAGTCGTCACTCAGCTCACATCCTCAGCCTCTACCCGAGCGGCTGGCCGGCGGTGCTATCTTGCAGGGATGGCTGGCTCTGGAGAGCATATTTCAGACGACGAGCAGGCGGCACGATGGCAGAGCCTGCCGTCCAACCTGACTGATCCCGCGCTTATGCTGAATGGATTCAGATCCAATCGATGAAACACCAGACACGCCGGCGCGAGAAAGCAACAAGGTTACGGAAGCCTGCCCCTCCCAACGTTCAGACGGCAGATCGATTGGTAGACGCGGCATGCCAGCGGTTCGTCAGAACGCAGCCGTGGCGGCCCAGGGGTTCGCTCTCGATGCAGCATCCATCACATTGGACCTTGGACGTCTTATACGCGCGGCTTGTAGCGAGATTGAGTTTATTCTGGAATTTAGTGGGCTTAGTACCTACTGTACCTGGTTACGGAGTAGCCCGCTGCTAGCGACAGCATGCTAGAAGAGGCAACGGTATGGCGATCGCTGAGAGGAGAACGAGAAAACATGGGGACTCATTTGCCGCTTTGGCCATAGTCTATGTAGATTGCTTCACATGCTACCTTCTCATCCACTCGGCACGCATTATTGCACCTCATCTCGACCGACCTTTTCCACTTTGTCAACAGAAGATACAAAGGGACAAGGCCACAGGACTTCTCCCCGTTTTTTCTGCAGCCAATTAGACCTCTAGATTCCTCGCAAGGAAGAGCCCCTCCTGTTTTACACCACTGCAAACGCGAGCCGAACGTTTCAAAACATCTTTGTCGCCGCCAACGAATGAGCGTCCGCTGGCAGCGCGAAACAGCGTCATGCGTCCTGCTCAGTATGCGATCGGCAGACACGGGGTCAGAAATGGGAAGCCCTGTGGAGTGGACTGGGGCGATGTCGATTTGGTCGATACGATGCTGACGAACCTGTGTATTGTAACATCATAGCTGTCATCCAGAGCCGCCCTGACCACCATGCATGACGTCCTGGTTGCACTGCCTTTATGCATTGCTGCAAGTGTCGGCACTTGCCATCTTGCCAGTCGTTATCGCCGACCAAGGCCTTTGACTTTTCCAGTCGACTTGCGGCGCCCGACTATTTTTGTTTTGCTTTGCATTTCGCCTTTCATGCATAGCTTATGCATAGCTCAGAACCCCGTAATAGAAAATAGACCTGCCGCATCATCCAATGCGACACCCCAACAGCCCGGACCTCGTTTGTTGGCAATGGCGCAAGAACCCCTGCAGCTCAGTCGCTTCCTCGGCCGTTGTGCCGCTTTCTGGTGGCCGGAGCGCTATGGACCATTAGGCAAGAGGGGCCTGATCTCCCAACCTCGTGTGGAAGGGAGGGAGGGTTACATCAATGTCTCTGGAGTTTGGTCGTGTTCTACTCCGTACCGTGTACGGACATCCGGGCTGCTAAGTGACCGAAAGTCTAATAAAACTGCATCCGACCAAAAGTACTTTGTGGCCCGGTGGAATATTGACCCCGAAGTACAGCCGCTTGACGACCTTTATCCTCACAAAGGAAGGTGAAAAGGTCACGGGGAACAATACTCGTGGACCGCAATTATGGCTGGTCCATCTGGTATGTGGTGAGTTCCCATGCTAAATTGCAACACATGTCTTGGCTATCGGGGTGCCGGCGTCTTCATCTGCAGGACAGTCCCATTTAGCATGTGGGCTGCCTAGAAACAACTACCCAGAAATCAAGGCAAGAAGGGATGTGATTGCTTAAGGTGTGCGAAATTGTTGTACGGAGTAAGAACCTCGAAAAAAGAGAACATGTCTTGCATGCCGCTATGTTCAGGAAAGTACCAAACCTATCTAATATATGTGTATCCTCATATAATGTATATAAAACGCCCCCGGCGATGCTGTGCTCCAAAATGAAAGGGAAAACGGATGAAACAGAAAAGCAGTGCAGGCACCGGGAAACCAAAGCCCAGAGTGCCATGACCAGTAAACAGAGCATTGTTTACCACATGACAAGCGGTATCAGAAGGATTGAGACTCCAAAATCCAATCAAAGTCCTTCTTCCAACTTGCCCACTGTCCAAACGAGTAAAAACAAATGAAGCTTTCGCTCCTCTGCCTATGCTCCATTACTTGGTCGTGTCCAGCAGCCGAGTGGATGGAGGAAAGCAGCCAGAAACGTCAATAAAAAGGGTAGCAAAAAAGTAGAAAGTATGTAGGAAAGAATAGAAAAAAGTGGAAAACGGAAAGCAGTGAGAGGAAGAGAAAGGTCGAAGTAGCGGAAAAAAACAGAAACAAGCCCAGAAGCGATCGATCTTTTAGACTCCATTTCCAAGGTGAAAGAACAAAAAAAAGAACAAAAAAAAAAAAAAAAGGGAAGACAACAAAACCCAAGAATGCGAGTATATCAGATGTATCCGGCCGGATGCTGTGGCTCTGCGCCGTGTCCGGTCGTCGACGACGTCGCCATCGGGTCGGCCTCACTGCCACCGCCCATGACGCCGTCCGGATTTGCCGTCTCGAGCATCTCGATGCCGTCGATGCCGGCGCCAAAGTCCATGATCAGCACCTTGGGATCCTGGCCCGTGCTGACGATGCGACGGTAGTCGCTCTTCGCGCTGAGCACCCAGCTCTGGTGCCACTGGGGAAAGTCGAGCAGCTGCTGGCCGGTGGCCATGTCAAAGACCTTGATGTCGCGATCGTAACTGCCGCTGACGAGGCGGCCCGAGACGGAGTCGATGTGCAGGCTGCGCACCAGGTTCTCGTGCGCCTTCATGGCGCCGACGCACTCGCCCGTGTTGGCGTCCCAGATGCGGATCACGCGGTCGTTGCCGGCCGAGGCCACAAACCGGCCATCCTCGGAGAACTGGCTGCAGGCCAGTCCCTTGGTGTGGCCCGTCAGCTCGCGGATCGCCCGGCCGGTCTCAATGTTCCACAGCTTGACGCGGAAGTCGCCCGAACAGGACACGATCGTGTTGCCGCGCATCTGCACCGCGTTCACTGGACCCGAATGGCCCCGCAGCTGCTTCAGCATCGCCCCCGTCTCCCGGTCCCACACGCAGATGCTGATGTCTTTGCTGCACGTCACAATGTGCCGGTCGTCAAAGCAGAGGTCGAGCACTGCTGCCGCATGATGTCGCAGCCGCCGCACCGGCCGGTACCCCGACTTGACCGAGTACACAATGCACGACGAGTCCGACGAGCCCGTCACCAGCATCCGGTCATCGTACTGCAGGCACAAGATCGACGCCGAGTGGTGCATCGGAAAGCTTACCGCCGCCGGCATGCTGCATGAGCTCCGCGTGTGGTACGCCGTCGTCACGTAGTGCGCCGGCTGACCGTGTTCGTCGATCAGCAGCTTCGAGTCGTGCACCACCGACGGCGGCCCGATCACCAGCCGGCACTCGAGCGTGTGCATGTCCCAGATGCGGATGGTTCTGTCACGTGACCCCGTAATGATTTTCGTCCTATTGGCTGAGTTAGTAATGAGTCGAAGATCAGAAAGTAGGGCTGAGAACCTACTCATCAAACTGTAGACAGTAGATGCTGTCCGAGTGGCCATTGAGGTATACGGGCCGCGTCTTGCCCTGCTTCCAGCGGCGGTCCAGCTCCTGTTTGACGCGGTAAATCTGGCGCCAGTCGCAAGACGGCTGGACAGCCGGGATGCCCTGGCCAACGCCGGGACGCACCGGAGCACTGGTGGCATATGTGGTTGTCTTTTCGTGCAGGAAGGACTCGCGCCAAATGTGCTGGTTCTGCAGGACGCGGTGCCACTGTCTGGACACGCGGGAAGCCGCGGCCAGGCCGGCAGCATCTAGATGGGACAGCACCATGATGGACAGCTCCACAGGCAGCTGGACGATGAAGTCGACCTTGCTGATGGGCGCCTGGCCACCGTCGTCTAGCAGCATGCCACTATCCATGCTGGCGTTGAGGAGGTAAAGGGTGCTACCGTCGGCGCTGCTCTTGGCGCCGTCAATGACGTCTGGATCCGTGGCAGTGACGGCGATGCCGATGCCGCTCTCGCGGTCGTTGCCGTACTCGTCGGGGTGATGGGGCCATTGTTGCTGCTGGTGCTGGTGCTGCTGGTGCTCCTGCTGCTCGTCCTGTCCCTGCTGCTGTTGCATCTGGAGCATGTCGCTTTGGAAGGCAGCAGCAGCGGCAGCGCGGGCAGCACCGCCGGTGTTGAGCGGAATAACAGGCGGCCCGACGCCGAGGTTGAGAGGACCTGTCGGCGACAGCGGGATATCGTTGGTGGAGAGTGCGGACAGCGGATCGCTAGCGGGCGAGTGGCTGGACAGCGAGAAGAACATCATTTCGCGAGGGCTTGGCATGGCTTCTAGGGGATGCGGCAGCGACAGCGACGGCTGCTGTTGGGAGCCGTGTGGGTGGTCGTAGAACATATGTCCCTGGGCCGGACCGAGGCCGTTGGGCAGACCGAGGTGGACATCAGAGTCGAAGACACGCGAGTGGCGGAAGCTGGCAGCCTGGCGGAGGCGTCTCCAGCCGGGAAAGACGTGGGAGGCATTCGGGCGGGGGTCGGCAGCAGGCTGAGTTGAGGCCGAAGTCGACTGCTGGGCTGCAGGCGCATGGGTGGTCGAGGGTGGCTGTGTGGGCACGGCCAGGCGGCCCGACCATGGATGGGAGGACGACAAGGGCGTAGGTGCAGCGACAGACTCGTCGACGGGGGCCTTGTCGGGGGTCGAGAAGGAGGGCCGGCGGCTCATGAAGCCGTGGAGCGAGACGGAAGCACGGCGGATGATGCCCTTGATGGCCTTCTTGCCGTGTGACGAAGACGAGTGGGCGGCCGGCTGATTGTGAGGGGCAGCCGTGGCCAGAGACGCTTCTTCGGTCCGTCCTGGCTGTCCTGGCTGTCCGTCCGAATAGATGCTGTCGTTGAGGACGCCCCAATGCGCAGGAAGGCCGCTCATGGACTGGCGGCCACGGAAGCCACTCCTGGTGGTGGCAAAGCGGAGTTCGTCGACGCTCATGTGGCTCGCCCGTCTGTCGGCGCTGGCGGCATCACGTCCGCTGCCCAGAGACAGGTCGCCAAAGTGGGCAAAGTTGTCCTCGCCAAACATGGCCGACTTGGGTCGGTTTCGCCACGAGAAGAGGATGCTCATGCTCCGTGAGCGAGGCAGCGAGGCGGCCTGACGGCGGCCAGCAGGACGCGGGGACGGGACGTGCTGACGATGATTGCTGCCGTTGCTGCTGCTGCTGTTGGCTCGCTGGTGAGCGATGAAGCCGGTGTCAGCGACATCGTCGGCACGATTACCGCTACCGCTGCCGCTGCCGCTGCCACTGCCACTGTCGATGCCAATGCCAATGCCGACACCATTGCCGTTGCTGCTGCCGTAGGGGAGGGGGAGAGAGGGGGAGGGATCCGGGGCCGTTGCAGCCCAGTCGGACATGGGAAAGATGCGTCGCGTCATGGTCGTCGTCAGAGAGGAGAGAAATGAGGCGAAAGCGGAAAAAAAAGAAGAGCAAATAAAAGGGAGAGAGAGGGGGGGAGGAGAGGACGAGGTCGGCCGGACGAGGACGTCGTCAATGACAAGAGGCGCTCGCGAGACGGTCAGCTCGTCATGACAGGGTTTCGGCGGATTTTGTTTTGCAGCTTTCGTCAATGTGGAGGTGGGCAATGCGATGGATGGGACAGGAAGAGAGTTTCGGAGGACTGGTTTTGTTTTGGTGGCCCGACAGGCCGCCAGAAAGAGCGTAGGGGCTTGAGCGTGCTGTTTCCGGGTCCAATTTCCAGCTACAGCGGGGTTTCCGGTGCAGTGCAACCAGAGAGGAGCCCCTACGCGCACCCTATATTATTTCCGCGCTTGGGCAACAGAGGGGTAACAGGGCAACAATGAGTGAGGAAGTCGGCTCCGGCTACGGAGGAGAGCCGAGATTGGATTACAGGGAGCAACTTGAAAAGTACGGGGGATTGCAGGGAAGCACGACAGAAGACAGGTAGCCGATGTACTCGCAGCGCTTGAAAGTCGGAATTTCTTCCAACAAAAAGGGGGGCGAAAAGCGTTGGTTGGGCAGCAGGCGAGGCTCTTTGGGAAAAGCCGTTCTCTCGAGCGTGGCGAAAAGGGGAGAAAGAGGGAAACGGGAGGGCCAGCGACGGAGGGGACAGCTAACGATACTTCTGTTGTCGGCGAATGGCGATGCGCGGAGGTGTTTTTTTCTTGCTTTTCTTTTTTGTCCATGACTTATTTTTTCTTCCCATTTTTTTCTGCCAGATGCAATGCAGAGGCCTGAAACCGCCACCGGAGTTTGTTACTCGGCGGTCTAGGAGTCGACGGAGAACAGGCCACTCCGCCTTTTTCTTTGTGTGTCCTGCATAAGAGCTGCAGCACACCGATAGTGGAGCGAAGAAGACAACCGGACCGCCGAGGTGGAAAGGAACGAGGTGGTAATGCAGACGAGCCGATGCAACGCTGACTCTCAGGGCCGGCCATCTGCCAGAGAGCAGAGAGGCCGTTGACTGAGGTGTCTTGCTGTTGTGTTGTCTCACCAGGGGAAGGTCGCAATCACCGTTAACAGTAGCATTTCGTGTATCTTCCTATTGCGACGATTGCCAGCCCCTGCGAGGAAACCAAGAGGCTGGAACCAAGGCTCCGTGACGACGACCCCTGCTCTGTCTGCCTTCTTACCACGTACCGATCTGACCGCTCTCCTCTTCGGTCACACGCCGATCCATGGAGACCCGGCGGCATCCACCATCCACCCGCCCTAATGGAGTAGATGAGCTGTCCAATCGAGAAGGATTACCCCAATCGAGCAGCGTCTGTCTCGCTGCCTTCCCTTCTCCCACGAGAACCTGCTCCTGCACGACCACTCTGTCCCCCCGTCGTCTCCTTTTCCCGTCATTTTCTCCCGCACCTTGCGCCCATGGCCTCCCTAGCAGCCTTTCCGTACAGAGTAGTGCATCTCCACTCGAACCAAGCTGGACCCGTCCGCTAGACGCAGGGAGTTGCCGTTTTTAGCCCACTTGTCATGGGGTGTCGCCATGCCGACCTCTCCCCTTTCCCTCACCTCTGCTTCCGTGCATGTAACGTATGTACGTCGTACGTCGTAATGGGCGTTGCGGTGGCAGGGAGGACGCAGTATGAAATAGCCGGTGCTGTCCGGTGCTGGCGAAGATGCGAGGAGAGTGAGAGTGCAGTTTGTCGCATCGAGCTGGACGACGGCCATTATCAGCACACCTCTTGTCGTCGAGGCCCATCCGTCGCTTTTCCTGTCAGCTGCCAGACCGCCTCCCAAAAGGAAAAGAGCAGAGAGAAGAAGGAAAGAAAGACCAGACACCACGCCTTTTCTGCCTGTCTCAGTCCGAGGACAACAACAGGTACAAATACCGGCGACCGCTCGATGGAAGACGCTCGTTGGATGGAACTTGCCCCGACATCCTCCCGACTCGCTCACGATGCCTTGCGGTAACTCCTTCGCCTCGTCGCTTTCCTGCCTGAACCTGTTTGGTTCAGGAGATGGGAGCCTACGGTAAGAGAATACGTCGACAGAGGAGCCTGACCCGAGTGTTGAGCTGATTCATGTGCAGGGCCATGTTCAAGAAGAAGACCTTATTCGCACGCAGCAGAAGATTACGAGCTCGACAGAGCCCGGACACGGAGTGCCTGTTGAGAACGAGAAGCGAAAGCGTGGTTCCGACAGACGAGAAGCAGGAGTCGCGGGAGCGGTCGTCGGTCTCGTTTGCGGCCTTTTGCGACGACGACGAAAAGGAGGCAGCAGCAGCAGCGGCAACACCGGTGCGCCAGCAGAGCCGATTCCTGTCGTTGCCGCAGGAGATCCGTGACGAGATCTATGCGCACGTCTTCCGGTCGACGCGGCTGGCAATGGGTCGACGGATCAGCTGCTCGACAGCCGTTCCTGTTTCGGCGTATGGCCACCATGATGGCCACCATCGCCACCACCACCACGAGCACGACCAGGCCGGCGGCCACATCGACATTACGCGCATCCGGCCGGCGCGCCACGCGCTCGCGCTCTTCCACGTCTGCCGCCAGGTGCACGCGGAGCTGCACATCGACGATGCGTGGTTGGGTCACGTGCTTTGGGATTTTGCCGACCTCGCCACGATGCTGGACGTGTTGGGCGGCACCTCGGGTCCGGCGAGCCCGCTGGCCACGACGGCTGGCCGCGGACGTGTGCGTCAGGTGCGTGTGCGTGAGGGCGGTCTGGCACGCACGACGCCGCATCGTGGCCGCTGCGGCTTCCTGGTTGGCGCCCTGATGCGGCTACTGCCCCGGCCCTGCAGCTTGACCGCCTGACCGTGCTGCCGGCGCTCAGCTGCCGGCTGCACGGCACCGCCTGCTGTTACGGCGCCACTACGGGTGGTGGCAACGGCCGCGTGGCCTCTCATGACGTGCTGGCCGAGCTGCTGCGCACCGGCCGCGGCTGGCGCGAACTCTGCTACGTCCACCACGACGTCACTATGCTGGCGGCCGACCGACGACGAGGCACCACCAGCCATGCTGCCGGCCATCGTCGACCTCCCGCACACGGTCGCCACCGGACCGACCCCGGCCACCGCGGCCACGCTCTCGAGGCCATGATGGTCAGCATGGGCTTCTGGGATGACAACGAGGCGGACGACGACGTCCTCCTCGACCGCTCCGCCGCTCCGGCCCGCCATCACAGCCCCTCGTCTACCCCCCGGTCTCCCCGTCCCAGCAGCATCTTCACGGCCTACGCTGAGTCGAAAAAGTTCCGCCTGCCCGGCTGGAGAGCCTTGCTGGCTGCCCGTGACGACAACGCAGACACGACGGCCGACACCGATTCCGCTGACTCGCCGCTTCCTACCTCCGTCGACGTCTACAACATGCGCGCCGGCCAGACCTTGCGCCCAATCCGCACCCTCGCTGACGTCTACACGATGCGGCTGCGCAGCGACGATTTTGTCGTGGTCGCCCGTCGCGAGGACAACCATGCCGCCACCACCGAAGACACGGCCTATCCCTACGTCGACGGCGACCCGCGCACGCTTGGCTATGGCACCACCTGGGAGGAGCTGCGGTCCTTCCTCTTCCCTTGGGACTACATCCCCGAGACCCGGCACCGGTACGATCGCTACACCCACAGGGATGAGTACGTCGTCGGCCCGCTGCGACATCCCAACGGCGAGTTTGGGCCCAGGCGGAAGTGATTCTGCGTTGGTAGTTGTGTGACGACTCTACGAAACGTCGGTTATGACTCATGAATGATTTCCTATCAACAATACGTCGCCTAATATACTTTCACCATACATTTTAAATTACCTCCTACAAACCCCGTATTGTAGACAGATATACACGTGAAAGTCTGCTCTGCTGTACCCGATGTGGGTCTGCTTACTAAGCGTACATTCACACAATCGTACATTTCCGACATCATGAGTTTTCCGTCTGAGAAAATAGCACCTCCTCCTCCACACCTGTCCAGACGATGTCGACACAACAGCGCCCACAGCCCGCAAAGGCAGCGGCGGCTCCCTATGCGGTGGCCAGGCTGCCCACCGCCACCATCGGTCTGCCGGTCACCTACCGCCTCTTCTTCCTCCTCTTCGAGCCGCTCTCGGCCCTCGCCGGCGCCTACTTTGCCCACTTTGCGCAGCACGACTACCTGACGCTCACGGACGCGGCATCAGCGCCGGCGTCGGCCGTCGAGATCCCCCGCGCCACCGCCGTTGTACTCTCGCAGCTGGCCAACCTGTACTTGCTCTTCGCTATCAACGAGGCGCTGGTGCTGCGCTCGACCGCCGACCTGCGCGTCTGGAAAACGGTTCTGTCTGGGCTGCTGCTGGCCGACTTCGGCCACCTGTACGCGCTTCGCCCGCTCGGCCTGGACGTATACTGGCGCGCTGACCGCTGGAACGCCATGGACATGGGCAATGTGCCGTTTGTCTACCTGGGCGCCTGCATGCGGATGGCCTTTTTGGCCGGCATCGGGCTCGCGCGACCCAGCCGTGGACAGGCCAAGCCGAAGAAGAACTAGGGCTCGATGTTGCGGGCAGATGGCGGGTGGCTGTTGGCTGGTGGCTGGTGGCTGGTGGCTGGCAGCATGGATACGACACCTGGCAAAAGACAGTTGGGGCCATGGTCACGGTTCGGACTCAATGGAACGCCAGCAAAGCAGCCACCGTACCTGGAGTCATTGGGACACATCGAAGCTGCCAGGCGCTGGGCAGGCTTCACCCGTGTGGTCCATGATGTTTTTCGTGTATATACAGTTAGAATTCGGACGAGTGCTGGTTCACTTATACGAGCCATGCTCGCACTGTCAATCCATCCGCAACAAATACATAGCGTCCTGCTTAGCGTCTCCCTTGCCACATGCCATATTGAAACAGTGCGTGGAAAAATAACTGACATTCGGCCACCGAGACAGCAACGGCGATTACATAAGCACAATTGGCGCAGCCAGGCCAATCACGCATCGGCCGAGCTCCTCCTTCCCCAAAGCCACAGTAGTCTTTCGAAACTGTACCTGTTCACGATAGAGCCACTAGCGACCATTGCTTGCCTGAGGGTCCCATCGATCGTAACAACATCCGACACCCCCGCCGCCCCTCCCATCGCGTTCGTCATCGGTTATTGCGTTGCATGCTCCTGCCGTCTCCAGCAGTCCCGGACAAAGAGTCCTGTGCCGCAGCACGCGCGACGCCATTGACGAAAGCGGCCGCCTGCAGACGCGACATCAAGGCGACAGGCGACAGTCGACAGTGACGACAGACATACCGGAGGTACCAGAGATACGGGAGAAAAAGATACAGGGAGGAAGATACCAGAGAGAAAGTCACAGAAAGATACAAGGACAAAGACCAAGGAAAGACCAAGGAAAACCCAAGCAAAAGAACAAGAATCCAAACCATCCAGACGACAATGCTTCTCCGCTCACAAATGCTGCTGGCAGCAGCCGCGGCCCTGCTGTCAGCACTGCCTCTCGTGGCCGGCGCGCCTGATGCGCCGGCGGCCTCGCCGACCAAGACGACGTCCAAGACGGCGACCAGCACGACGATGACGCTGCCGTGCACGGCGTCGTCGACGAGCGGCGCGTTCTATGACCTGCGGCCGGACATTGCGGTGGCGCTGGCGCCGGGCGGCAAGGCCAAGACGGGCGTGCAGACGACCGACTACGCCGCCCGTGGCTACGACTACGGCGCCAACTTTACGCTCAACATCTGTGCCCCGGTCGTCGAGCCTGTCTCGGGCGTCATGGGCGTGGACAAGAACCTGTGGGCGAACGTGAGCGCGTACTACAAGGTCAAGGACGAGATCTTTTCTCTCGGGTGCGTTTTGTTTCTCGGGTCTTCCCTCTTCCTTCTTCGCCCTTGCTAATACCATCCAGACAACAGTCGACCTTGCTGACGTCGCGTGGCCGCGAGCTCGTCCTCCAGTACTCGGGCGGATCGCCGTGCCCCGACCTCAGCAACAAGTCCGGCAAGGGCCACGGCGCCGAGCGGATGCGACGCGGCAGCACCGGCAGCACCGGCAGCACCGGCAGCACATCGACAACCCGCCGCAAGTCGGCCACGTTTGCCTTCCTCTGCGACCGCGACCCGGTCGACAACCTGGCACACATCTCATACGTCGGCGCGGTGGACGAGTGCGCGTACTTCTTCAAGATCCGGTCGCAGCACGCGTGCGCGGGCGCGGAGCCGCACAAGCCCGGTAGCGTCGGTCCCGGCGGCGTCTTTGCCATCATCTTGGGTGTCGCCCTGATGGTCTACTTCATCGGTGGCGTCGTCTACCAGCGGACGGTGGCCCATGCGCGTGGCGCCCGCCAGCTGCCCAACTATGCTCTCTGGGTCGGCATCTGGACCTTCTTCCGGGTGGGTCTCGTCCATCTCCTCTTTTTGCCGCGGGCTGCCCTGTCGGTGCTAATGCAGGCCAGGACCTCTTTCTCATCCTGACGTCGTCGTGCCTGCGCCTGCTGCCCTCCCGTCAGGGCTATCGGACGCTCTCGACCTCGCCCAGCGGCCGCAGCCGCAGCCGGGAGGACGAGAACCGGCTGATCGACCAGCTAGACGAGGAGTGGGACGATTAGTGTCCTGTGAAGCGCCGCCTGTACGATTCTGTTCCGTTGTCGTGCTTTTCCAGTTCGCGATGTGCGTGAGACGCCTCTCTCTTTCGTTGGGGCAGCTGTCTGTGGCAGCCACTGGTTTCCCCTGTCTTTGCAGCCCGTGATGCTGTGCTATCCATTTTTTCCTTTGTCCTTGGGCGTTTACTGGCCTGTACAGTTTTGTCTTCTGTTTGTTTCGGATACCTGGTAGACACTGGATAGAGATGAATGGAAAATCAGAGTACGCGTACGCATGTCTGGTCGCGCAACGACGTAACATTGTAACTTTTGCCTTGTGGCGGTTGGAGCTAGCTGATTTGTCAGCATTTCCGACAATGTTTTCTCCTGCTTGATCTGTTAGAACTGCCATACTGCAGCAAACAGACTTTCCTGTCTGGTCAGGCCTGTACAATACGATATACGACAGTGTGAATGTCCTGCCATTCTGTGCTGAAAACTCCAACCTGTTCCCTAAACATCCCAGGTGACCCGGAATACATGCGGCTGAAGAGGACGCCTTGCCTGCTTGCGTTCTCTGGGCGTCTCATTTCTCGCTTATTTAGGCCAAGACCAGACAGGCCGGTCTGGATGCCCTACGACGGAAGGGTGCCGCCCCCGACCAGACAGGGTCGTCTGATTAGACCGGTCTGGACCTGATCGACTTGTCTGTCTAGGAGCTGCATTACATGGGAGGTGGTGGTTGCTCCTGGGCGTCACCGACTGCCCTGCTTGGCGAAGCCGTGGTCGCGTAGTCGTCGTATGGCCATTCCCGTTCCTCTCTGGTGTCGTCCCGTCCTGGTTCCTTTGCATCTTTTGCTGTTTGGCCGTCTTGTCTCGTCGTGTCATCACTTGGTCATCAGCATCTCCTTGCAAGTCTCGAAGTCGTCTTCGCTCTATCATCTCCACATCTCTTGATGCCCTATCTCGTCGAGACACCCTCCATCTCATGCTCCTTGTCCGCTCCGTGTATGTAGCGCGTACTTGCTTTAGCAAAAATAAGTAAATAATATATCTCAGCTAGGTCGCAATTCTATTGCTACAAACACTGCATGCTAGTAGAAATGCATATTCAAGTCATGGGCAAGTGATTTTATGACATATGTAATTAACGGCTTTGTCCAAGAATGCTTGTATCAATTGCCGAGCAACGTCTCTAGAGACTCGAATTTTGGCGTTTAAGAGGGAGGAGTGATCTGTTATTGGTCAGAGTTAAACAAACAATAACAAAAACAACAATAAAATCACGTACCTGCCACACGTTCAGCGATACCACCCCGTCGACCAGGCCGCCGGTGGCGTAGCCGACCGCCTTGTTCAGCCAGCCGTACTTGGTGCTGGCCGTGTCGAAGATTACGTTGATGTTGGGCGCCCGGCCGCTCTCGGTCACCAGGATGGTGTCGCCCTCGACCGTCTCGAGCACGTAGACGGCCTTGGGGTGGAACGTGTTGTTGCTGTCGACGACGCCGTAGTCGATGCCGGTCGTGACATTGCCTGTCGAATCAGCATTGGCCACCATATTGTCCTCCTGCCTCCCCTCTGGTCGTACCTTTCATCTTGGGGCCGGAAAAGGCGCCGCCTACGATCGGCTGCACGGTGCGGAAACCCTGCGGCGTGGCGCCGATCGCGTACTCGGCCCCGTTCGTCAGGTTGAGGCTGTACAGGAAGCTCAGCGTCGGCGCCGGCGGAGGTGCGGCGCAGGAGCCGGTGACAGCCGACACCAGCGTGATGGCGGCAACAAAGACCTTTACGAGCATCGTGGCAAGCAGGAAACGAGATGGGCAAAAAGGGAAGCAAAGACGTGCCGAAAACGATAGACTGAAACGAGTGAAAGCAGCCGTGTAGAGCTGGCAAAAACGGACACTCGGCCGAAGGCCATCTTTGTCTGGACAGCGACGGCCAAGTCTTATACCTCTGGGATGCAGGCAAAGCCGGCACTGAGACAATACATTGGGAGCCGAGATGGGACAGGCCCCAGGCCTGCGGCCTAAAGAGGCTTCTTCTTTGGTCTCCCATCACACCGCGACATGGCTGACGGCAGACGACTGTTCCGGCCGTGGCAGCAAGACCTCGCTGGGATTGGCCAGTCGGCATGTACTAGGCAGCATGGACCTGCATGCGGAATAGGTGCCAAGGTACGGATGACACCCAACAGAGACAGCTGGCAGACTACTGTACAACAAGTGAGCTGTACGTCGCATCCATGCATACGACGCAGAGTGACGAGAGCATGGACTCCAATTATTCGGGAGGAGAGGCTATTGGCTTCGGACATCCCCAGACCCGCTCCGGATCCCATCTTTCAGACACTCATCTCCTTGCTTAAATCTCCAGTGCTATATGGACAACAACATAACAGTACCCTACAAAGCAAATGCGCGTTCGTCTGAATCATGCTTCCGTCTCGGGGATTTCTCCGCCGATCACCCGCTGCACGTGTGCATAGCACTCGGCTGGGTCTTCGAATACGTGCCATGCAGACGTAGGCATGTCATGGAACGCCTTTTCGAAGCGTGCCGGCTCATTCTTCTCAGCCAGGCCGACCGCCGCAATGTCGGCCACCTTGCGGATGAGGATCAATTTGACCCAGCCGGGGAAGGAGCGGTAGCTGGGAAGTTAGAGGTGGGAAATAGAAGAAAAAAGAAAGGAAAACAAAAGGAAAAACAATCCGAAAGAAAAAGAAAAAGAAACAAACACCAACTCACATCTCTCCGTACGCCTCTGGATCGCTCTGCGTGCTGTCGCCAATGCACAACATCGTCTTCTGTGGCAGCCAGCCGTGCACCTTGGCGATGCGCTGCACTTTGTAGTCCCGCGTGTCGAGCGTCAGCGTCCGCAGCAGGCCGGCCACGCTCATGGACGAGTCGTCGCGCAGCAGCAGCGCCCCGTGCGGGTAGTGCTGCTGGCGGAATCGTCGCAGAAACGGGTACAGGTTGTACGGCGACGCCGAGAGGTAGAAGAACGGCGTCATCGCCGCGCTGCCGCCGTCCGACGCGGCCGGCGCCGTGACCTCGGCCAGAAACCGGTACAGCTCCGGCATCCCGGCAATGGCCTCGGGTTCGTCGACAAACGTCGTCTGCAGGATGCCGACCGGATCACTCGTCTGCGTGCGCTTGATCGTGTCGTCGATGTCTGCCGGTCAGCCTCATTTCTGCCTCTTCTTTTCGCGCCAGCATGTCGCCTTCAACCTACCGGATATCACCCCCCAGCCAGTCCCCTCCGCAAACAGCGTCTGCATCGACAGCTCGCCGTCCGTGCCGGCTGGTACCTCCGCCGTCGTCGACACCAAAGCACCGGCCCGCGTGCTGTCTGGCAGACGCTGTACGTCGCTGCTGACGCCGTCGCTGTCGCTCGGGCTCAGCACCAGCGGCCAGTCGTCGCCCACGCGCGCCCGCACCTGTCGGCCCGGCAGCACTGCCTGCAGAAACGGCCGCATCCGCCGCCGGATCGTCTGCAGCGTGGCCTCGTCCACCGGCCCGCTGCCGCCACGTCCCAACCGCTCTGCCACCGCCTGCACCGCCGCCACCGTGCCGCCGACCGGGCCAGCCAGCTGCTGCGCCAGCACAGCCACCACATACTCTGCCCGCCAGCCAGGAGTCGTCGTCGTCGTGTCCGCCTCTCGGTAGGCTACATTGTCTAACAGCCAGACACTGTCCTTGTCTGTCACCGGCAGAGGACTGCCCGGACTCCCAGCACCATCCACACCCCCCAAGTCCCCTGGACTTCCCGAAATCGTCCGTACTTTCTCACTCGCCTGTGACAGCATCTCCGGCAAGCCGGCCTCAAACTCGGCAAACCGCCGGCGCTGTCGCGTCAGCCGCTGCAGCTCGTGCGCCACGATCGTCGGCGCCCGCGCGAAAAGCGGCGACGTCGCCGAGACCGACGCTGCCGACGACGACGTCGATGACGAACAGCTCGACGACTGCGCTGACCTCGTCAGACTAGCCGTCGTGACATCCTCGTCTGCGCCTGCTGCAAAGCTCGTTGCCATGGCCAAAGCGTAAAGGCGTAAAGGGGCCTAGTAGCTGTGTGTCGGAAGACGGGCAGCGTAGAAGTTGGTGCGATTGTCCGTGTCGTCGTGACAGTTGATTGAAAGCCAAGAAAGTAGGAAACCTTGTCTCGAACGGCTGTCCCTCCGTATTTGCAGCTAGCTGCAGGAAGCGACGAGGCAGCGATCTCCTGCCGCCCATCGCCCTCCTTGGTTCCTGCCCCACTGCAGTCACAGTCGCAGAAACGCCCGCCAGCCAGGCTGACAGCCACGATACGAAGTACAGCCACGCTTACAGCCGCAATACTTCTCGTATACAGAGTAACTCCCATTATTTTCACAGCTGAGCCGCACAGGCACGCGCCCACATGATTGATGATAGGTCACCAGTACGATCGGACAAAAAAGACATAGAAATGACAACAGCTACTAAAAAAGCACCATTTTATTGTACTACATATGCCTCTCTTTTAATGTCTATTGATGGACTGCCTACGGATGGAAGGCGGGCGTTCGGACGCACAAAAGCGACCGACGCGTCTGCTGCCTGCGTTCATGACCGGATGATCATGTCTTCGCGGTCCTGCCCTGTTCCCACATAGACCACCTGTCCTTGTTAGTGTGTGAAGGGGGGAGGGGTTGGAGAAGGAGGACGAGCGGAGGGGAAGAGGGGAAGAGGGGAAAAGAAAAGGAAGAAAAGGGGGTACAGCATCTGCCAGCCCGTAAAGGAATCATACCTTGACGCCGATAAACGACTCGATCAGCGCAATATACTTCTTTGCCTTCGATGGGAGCTCGTCCCACGACCGCAGGCCTTTTGTCGACGTCTGCCAGCCTTCAAAGTCGACGTACTCGACCGTGTACTTTTCCAGCTCGTTGAGGTCGGCAGGGAAGGTCGTGACCTTCTCGCCCTCGGGCGTGATGTAGGCCGTGGCCACGCGGATGATCGGGAATGTGTCCAGCACATCCACTGCGACAACGTTAGTCTCAGAGGGGAACTGAGGGGGACAAGCATCACGAGCAACGTACACTTAGTCAGGTTAATCATGGTGTAGTCTGCAATCGTTGTTAGTCAGCAGATGCCCAGCTATGAGAAAGTTGTCTTGCGTACGGTTCACCGCAGTCGAATACTTGAGAACCACAAGGTCCAGCCAGCCGCATCGTCTCCGGCGACCAGTCGAGACACCCTGATTGCGTTAGCTCAGTCGTAAAGTACAGCTCTTGTGGCATCTTACAATCTCGCCACCGATGTCCTGAAGCTTAGTGCCAACCTCGTTCAGCTGCTCCGTCGGGAACGGACCGCCGCCAACTCGTGTTGTCTGTTGTTATCTGTGTCAGCTTGCTTTCTCATACTATGGGTAAAAAGTGTGCTTACGTAAGCCTTCGTGACAGCAATCACGTCTCTGAAAGATGGTCAACATTGACACATATGGCGAGAGCTAGCAGTGTTATACACGCACTTGATAAAGGTGGGGTTGAGCGTGAGGCCCTGGATACAGCCACCGAGGCCGGTGTTGGACGATGTCACGTAGGGATACGTGCCGTAGTCAATATCGAGCACTGCAAGGTCAGTTGGACGATCGAAAGACAAACATGACAAGCAAAACCAAAACCGTACTCAGGGCCTGCGAGCCTTCGACAAGGACCTTCTTATGGGTCTCCTGGGCGTTGCGCATGTACTCGACGGCGTCGACAATGTAGGGCCGCAGCCGGTCTTTGGACTCGGCGTAGAGGCGCAGCTCGGCCTCGACGTCGTACTGCAGCAGGTCGCCGTAGCGTTGGCGGTACTCGCCGGCCAGCTTGCGCAGCTTGCGCTCAAACGAATCGCTGTAGAGGTCGATGACGCGCAGGCCGTCGCGCGACGCCTTGGTACTGTAGGACGGGCCGATGCCGCGCTTGGTCGTGCCGATCATCGCATTGCCCAGCTGCACCTCTGACAAGCCGTCGACGGCGGCGTGCAGAGCAAAGTTGAGGTGGCACCGCGAGCTGACGTGGATGCGCTCGTGCACGTTGGGCACGCCCTTGGCCTCGAGCTCTGACAGCTCCTTGAAAAATGCCTCGAGGTTGAACACCACGCTCGATCCGATCAAATTATCCGTCTTTGGGTTCACCAGACCTGACGCTGTGCTCCCCAACGGGGCCAGGTTAGCGAACAGTGAGATAGGGGACAGAGAGACAGATAACACTCACGCAACAGGTGAAAACTGCATTACACAACATCTTCGGTCAGCCACACAGCCATGGGGCCAAATATACTACTTAGACTCACAGCCTTGCAGGGCAAGGCAAGGAAAAAGAAACAAAAAACGCAGGGGGGGGCGGAGGCAGCAGAAGCTTGTACTCTCCTTCGCACGGAGGGATGGACGAACACAGCTGCTGCCTCCGTTGACAAGAGAAAAATCTACCTGAAGCTCTGGCCTCCCGTTCTGGATAGTCAGTAAAATGAGTCATGTTGGTATGCGCAAAGCACACACAGGTCCTGCGTCCAGGTGGTCGCTTACTTGATCGAGTGGCCCGCATTGTGGCCGCCGGCGGCACGGGCGCAGATGTCGTACGCATCGGTCGAGAGGAGGTGGTCCGTCAGTTTGCCCTTCTGTTTCGTGAGGAGGGATATTCGATGCAATGGTTAGAAATGTTGGTGTGGCACCGTTTGTTCGGAAGTTTGACTGTGGAACGGAATACATACGCCCTCGTCTCCTAAAATACAAAGCAAGAGGCAGTGTCAGCACATATTTTAAGTCGAGGGCTGGGTGGGCGCTTTTGATATCGGTGATCGTAGAAAGAGGGTTTCGCGCATCTTGCCCTCGTCTTTGACCGTGGCTTGCTCAATTTCTCGGCCCAAGCGCTAGAAGGATGCGGCACCAGCAAGGGGGGTAGCAAAAGGTAAACTCACCCCATTGGGAGCCCAAAATGATGCTTGCCATGGCTGCAGGCAGAAAGTTTGGCGTTTGGATAACGCTGGAATAGAAACAAGAGTCTCAGAAACAGAAGCAGGAAGGAGATCCGGGGAAGAAAGGAGCCGAATAGCCTCATAGGAAAAATCGCATCATAGCCGAATCTAAGGCTGCGCGTTTTACTGGTCCGACTTCTCTTAGTGGGGGAGGGGCTTGCCCAGCCTGGGGAGACACAATTACGGATTAATAGCGAAAGAGCCGACCGCGGGCCTATAGTTTATCCGCTATTGTTTTTCCGGCCATGTTCTCGGGATAACTATCGCAGCATTTATGCTTACTCTATGCTGCTTCGTACCTCGTATTGTATTCCGTACTCCGTACGGATATGAGCCTCCCCTTTTACCGCCTGACGGACAACACCCCACGACGGCCACGCCGGGTTTTGGTCTGTGGCAAGACGATGTACTCCATACTACGTCGTATGTCAGGCGTTGTTTCTATTAATAATGACTATTCGGACGGTGCCATGCCTATCTCAAATGACGAAACTGGTCAAAAGTGTAAATACGCCGCTCCTGCTCCGTACTACGGAGTATGCAAGATACTTGTGCTATGTGTATGTATTGCTGACTGCTCTCCGGATACAAGCGCACCGTGTAATAGAGTGATCTACAAGCACAGGCTTCTGCAGCGGGCCCGGTGATGAGTGTACGTCGTATGGAGTACAGATTGGCTCAGGGGCCAGAGACCCAGAGGCAGTGGAGCTTGGCGTGGCTCTTTTCGCTCTGGCTCGCTTGGTGTTCTGGCTTGTGCGTATCTTCCGCACAAACAGCTTATGCTCCTTTGTCAATCTAGTCTGCACTAGAGCCAGCTTTGTCTCCATCGGTCTCCTGCATCGTTTCGCCTCCTCACGGGGGTGTGGCCACTCCGTAGGTCAATGCCACTGTCCGGCTGGTGGAACGCTCAGGGCACCACAGGCCGGCGGCTTGGCCAGGAACAGGGAGTGAGGAGCTGGGGCGACTGCAAGGCAGAAGGACCGAGCGGGCTGGCGATGGGCGTGCGCAGAGCTTCACGGAGTACGGAGTACGACGTACGACGTGATCCGTTATGGTGAGGCGGCTTGAGCGCGCATGGGAGCGCATGGCAGCGAGCATGGGAGGAGAACATGGCAGAGAGTGCTTCGTATGGGAGAATCCTGCTTTGCATGCGCTTGCCAGACGGCATTCACGACACCGGCTGTGCTTATCGTGTCGCGCCCATCAAGACAACCCCCTTTGTGCCCATGTCCCTGCACAGGCTGTTGCAACCCCTGGGCTGGTCTGCCTATCAGGAAATCACTGTCCGAGCTCAAGGCGGCTGCTGCACATCAGACAGAGTAGTGTTGGGCGGACGGTAAAACCCTGTCAGTGCTAATCTGCACCGATTGCCCTTCTGCCTTGTTTCTTCCTCTGACTGGTCTAATTGCTTTTTCTGTGCGCGGTACGGAGGACTTCCTTCTTCGTACTTCGTACATTTTATTTTCGTCGTTTCTTTTTCTTTTCATCTGCTCGCATGCTTCCCCATCTTTTGCCCCTGTCTTTCAGCCCGTCGGATGGGCCAGGTTTTTAATGCTATGTAATAACACGTCCAAACGTCCGACACGGGCTATGATGGAGCCACCAAGGACAATGGAAAATTACGCCGTACGCGGCATTTCGGCCTTGTCCGTGGCCCTTGTACCGGGTGTCTTCTTCAGCAGAAAAGCAAGCAGAGGAAACGAGGTGAAGGAGCCCGACCCCTGTTGGGCAGTGGGCGTCGTTGATTTGGGCATAGCTCATGGAGAGCACTGGGCCTCTGGGCCAAATGGCGGGCTCCCATTCGCTGCAGAGCCATTCGCCAGCTTCGATAGTGTCATTTTCGATTCCAGCCTAGGGCCATCGAGCAAGTGGAGTCGGCTCTGTCCACCGAGGGAAGAGGGTCCCGGCAATGTGGATGGAATTTGTGAGATCTGTGAGGGAAGGAAAAAGAAAGTCTGCAGCGCTTTGTGACTCGTCACCCGGACCAAGGTGCGGCCATGGAGGTCCTCGGTCAGAAGCAGACCTGAGCCATTGTCCCATTGTCTTCTTCATGCCCGTCATCCGTGTCTGCATGGCCGCAGCGGCCAACCGACATGCGCAGACGTTTGTCATCTGCACGAGTCGCCACCCCCTATTTCATGGGCGCCGTCGTAACTCGGCCATACTACGCCTCCGTACGCAAGAGAGTAGCTCGACACACATCCGCAACAACGCGCTGCCACGGAGGGGTCCTTTTATCGTCAGCGCGGAAAACGTGCACGGAGGGCCGGCTTTGGGTGCCCAAGACGGCCAGGGATCCGGGATGCTTGTGAAAATGGTATTTTGTTTCGATGGGACTACGATGGCTGGAGCGTCCTGGAGCGAGCTCGTACGAACTCAAGCTGGTTTCGTTGTGCGTATCTTACGTACAAGTGCGTATGGTCGAGTCGATGTTGGCTCTTGCCCCAACACCAAGAAGGCAGTCTGAAAGTTCAGCACTTACGGAGAATGACCTAGCGCTCTTCTAGTGGACACGCTACTCCCTAACTGCGGTGTACTATGTAGTGCCGACAGGTTTTAGTATCTGCAGCGCTGCCAAATACTTTTGGCGTCGTTGTCGCCTCGTATCGTTGCACGCGCAGACCTGCTACATATTGTCCGGGGTGCATTATCGAAAACAAAGTACGAAGCGCCTGTACGTTGGGCCGTGCATGCACGATGCAATAGCTCGGTTAGGCCCTCTCGGCCCCGATCGGCCTGTTGGTTAACGATCTCGCCATTGCTTACGACGTACGAGGTACGCTTTTTACGACTACCGTGTTCTTCCACAGTACGTTCGTGCTCACTCTGTCAGAGCCAGATACGACCGTACGGAGTAAGATACTATCTCGTACTCCACACACCAGAGCGATCGCCGGTGGAGCTGCCAATCCAGAAGCGAATGGATGCTACGTTAAAGGGCCTGAAACTGCGACGCTGTGCACTTCACAAGGACGGTCAGACGGGTGACAGCGGAAACCGGTGGCATCTGCAATCTGGATGCTCCACCAGCCTTCATTTTGCCTGCCGCACATCCCATCCTCTTGCGGCCTCGAGCCTCTCCAGCCGCTCCAGCCGCTCCCAGCTATTTCCAGCCGCTCTGATGGCCTCATGCCGTCCTGGCGGTTGTCCCGATTGCCCTCATCGTTCCGATTGCTCTGCCCTGCCTCCATCTCTACGGAGTACTATGTCTACTATGTAGCGTCTCGATGTCGTTCCTGGGTTTGGCCACTAACGGTCACACTATTCGATTGCCACCAGGTCCGGCCCAGATTGAAGCTGTGCCTGGACCTTCCAACTGCATACACCCCCCCCGCGTTATCGTGTAGTTGGCAGACGCACTTTTAAATATACTCGTATCTTGAGCTACAGCGAATATGTAATTACTCATCGTGCAGTCAACGGCCTCCGAAAGAACGTGGCCAGGACCCGCAAGAGGCCCCTGCTCGTCGAGAGGTCCCTTCCTTGTCTGGCGTCTGTTGTCTGCTGCCCCCCACTTTCCTCCTCTGCTTCCCCCGGCTCCTTCTGATTTCGTACGAGTACATGTACTGAATGAATCTCCCCTTCCTTGCCTCAGATCCGAGTCCCTTCTTCTTCATTTCCTCGTCTTCCCACTCTCCTTCATACTTGTCTGCTCGTACATGTACGGGTGCCTTCACGTCGTTTCGCACGATACACCTGCACCTTGCTTTTACACGCACCCCGTCCTCCCGTACAACAGCCAACGACCGGGGAAGCTGCCCCCATACTTTTCACGTCGAAATATAAAATCAACAGAAAGTCCCCTTATCCTCCCCTTCTTTCTTCTGCCCTTCTCTTTCCCCTTCTCTTCTGCCGAGGCCTGGCTCGATTCCAGTCCTAGTTGTCGACCCTCATCTTCTCAAATACTCTTTCCTCCCTGAAAAACTGGATTTCGACGGGAGAAAGAAAGGCCTGCCCCTTTCTGTACTCGCGTCTGTCCTGTCCGGCTCGCCGAACTCGACCACACGGCTGTCGCAACTGCCGTTGTATTCGCAATCAACCCTTCCTGCGCCGCGTTTGAAAGCGCTGCCATCAACCGCCGACATCATGGCTAAGACCAAAGAGGCTGGTGCCCTCGAGGCGTGCAACAAGGTCACGCTGCTCGGCAACAAGATCTCTGTGCACATGCTCGAGTATCTGAGCACTGTCAAGCACCACCCTGACGGCTTTGAGCAGCTCACCCGCGAGTTTCTCGATATCTGCCGCATTCTCTTCTCCATCGAGGCCGGACTCAGCGACAGTGCCGATTCTGGCCGCCGCTTCCCGCCTGACATGGTCGTCGAGCTGGAGCGCAAGTTCCGTTCGACCCAGTCAGACTTCCAGGAGCTCGACCGCATGGTCCACAAATTCCTGGAGTACGAGCACAAGGGCACTGTGGGCCGCATCCAGAAGGGCTTCCGTCGCGTGTTCCCTGACCACGACATCCACCGGATGCGCGAGTCGCTGGCCCGTTCGCGCGAGGCCCTGCGCATGAGCGCCCTCGTCTTCCAGTGGTCGCTGGGCGAAGCCCGCATCGAGGAGTCTGTCGGCATCGGCTACACCGGCCTTGCCGCCGCTCTCGACCGCATCCACGGCAACCGTCCGGCGCTCAGCGGCACCATGAACAACCCGGAGACCGCCAGGTCGGTCGGCAGCTCTGGCAGTGCTAGTGCTACCAGGCCAGCTGAAGTGACGCCAACGCCGCAGGCCACTGACAACAGCAGCACCCACAACAGGACCAACGGCTCGTCTCACGGGGCTTCCGCCGACGGCAACGGTGTGGAGGCGGCAACCGCGGCCGGCACTGCCATCACGACTAACACGGCCGTGCCGGCGCAGTCGTCACCGACCAACGGTGCCAGCCTCTCGCGCACGCGCACAGCTGACCCGCCGTCTCCACCGCCGCAGCACGAGCCGCCACCGCACCAGCGCCCGCCAGTCAAGTCCATGCTGGACGTTGGTGGGGTGCAGCAGCAGCAGTACCAGCAGGCAAGCATGGTGTCGTTGCGCAACGGGAACATGGCCAACGGTCACAGTGGTATCAACGGCCACAATAGCTCGGCTGGTCACAATGGTACCAACGGCCATCACGGCCATGCAGGCAGCATGCACAGCAACGGAGCGACACGTGCGCAGATCCAGCAGCAGCAGTACCACCAGCAGCAACAGCAGTTGCAACAGCTCCAGCTGCAGCTGCAGCAGCAGCAGATTGACGATGACGAGGCCATCTTCAACACGATCAACGGCCTCGCCTCGACGAGCTCAGCAAGCGATCGGGACGCTGGCAAAGAACTCAACCTGAGCGAGGAGCTGCGGCTATTCCCTGATCTGCGGCGGCGGCCGTCGACGTCCAACAACACGACATCGTCGTCGGTGCGCGACACGATGGTGTCGACAAGCAACCTGAGCACGGGGCTGGCATTGACGTCGGCGTCGAACGGGTCAACGACGACCGGCCGCAGCCGGATGAATGGCGGCAGCAGCAACGGAGCGGCAACGTCGCACGTGACGACGGCGACGTCAGGCAGCGGTGGCGAGCTGCGGTCGCGACACGGGGCCATGGGCGTGCAGCAGATGCTGTCGGACCAGCTGGAGACAATGTCGATTGCGGCATCGACGGCAGAGGACAGCGAGACGCACGCACACGGCCAGGCGACAGCGACGCCGATCAAGGTGGTGCGGCTGAAGGCGGACCCGCAGTCGATGCCCCGATGGTCGGCGCGCAACAATGCAGGCGCCGGCGTGGCCAGCCTACGGACGGCACTGGTGGCGGCAGTGCAGGGCGCCAACTACACGCTGATGGAGCAGCTGCTGGACCGCGGTGTGACGCCTGAGGCGGGCCTGCTGCACGAGGCCATTGTGCGGCACGACGTCGAGAGCATGCGGCTGCTGCTGCTATTTGGCGCAGATGTGAACGCGGCCGACCGGGCGGGCGTGACGCCGCTGCTGGCGGCTGTGGAGGAGGCCTTTTCAGAGGGCGCAACGCTGCTGATCAAGTATGGGGCGGACGTGAATCGGGCGGGTGCGAGTCCGCCGGCACGCGACCGTCAGGAGCCGCCGCTGGCAGCAGCGCTGGCGACTGGGCGATTGGGCCTGGCGCAACTGCTGCTGGCATACGGGGCCGAGCCGAACCAGCCGGTGCAACGGGTGGGCCACAGCAGCAGCGACAGCGACAGCGGCGGCACGGACAACAGCACGACGCTGCTGTTGAGTGCGATTGCGCGCAAGAAGTCGCGCAAGAAGGCCGATCTGCTGCTGGCATACGGCGCCGACCCCAATGCAAAGGATGGTCACGGCACGTCGCCGCTGTATGCAGCCGTGCAGTCGAGCCGGCCGGACATTGTGGCGGCACTCCTGGATCACGGAGCAGACGTCAACCGGCCCGGACCCAAGCATGTTCTGTGGCAAGCCATCCACCATCCGTCATCGCTGGCGCTTCTGCTGCAGCGTGGCGCGGACATGCGGCGGACGCCCGGCATCATGGAGCTGGCGACCAGTCTGAACAAGGTGGAGGCAGTCAAGGCGCTGATTGCGAGCGGTGCCGACGTGGACGCCAAGAAGGACGGGGTGTACACGCCGCTGTGCACGGCGATCCGCGACGACCACATTGACATCTTCCAGCTGCTGCTGGCCAGCGGCGCCGACCCAAACCTGCCGGCAACGGAGTACCCGGCGTGGAAGTGCGTGACGCACAAGCGAGTGCACCTGCTGCCGCAGCTGCTGGCGGCTGGTGCAGACCTGCAATCGCCACCGGGCATCGCGGAGCTGGCGGTGCAGGTGGGCAATACGGAGACGCTGGTGTGGCTTCTAGAGCAAGGTGGCGTGAGCCCGGACCAGCGCAGTGCACGCGGCTACACACCACTGACGACGGCTCTGCGGCAGAACCGGCCGGACCTGATGCAGACGCTGCTCGACCACGGGGCCGATGCAGGTGCACGCGGCGAGGACTGGCCGCTGATCATGGCGGTGGCCCACCCGGAGCTGCTGGAGCGTCTGTTGCCGGCCGTGGCCGATCCTCGTGCTGTTCGCGGCGTGCTGGAGCGAGCGGTGGCTGCCGGCTCGCTGGAGTCGGTCAAGCTGCTGCTGGCGGCCGGTGTGAGTGTGGAGGACAAGACGGGCGGCGTGTTCTCGCCGCTGACAACGGCCCTGCGCGAGGAAAGGAAGGATCTGGTGGCGTACCTGCTAGAGGAGGCCGGAGCCAACCCCAATGCGCCTGGCGAGCATCTGCCGCTCGTCAAGGCCATTCGAGCCGGCCATCATCAGGAGGACATGGGCGCTTTGGCGGTGCGCAAGCTGCTGGCCCATGGCGCCGACATCAACAAAACGTACCGCGGCTGGAACGCGGTGATGCAGGTGCTCGAGGATGGCAATGCCGACCTGCTGCGCATTCTCATCGCCGACGGCCGCGCCATCGACCTCGATGTTGCCGATGACGACGGCCGCACTGTTGCTCAGATGGCAGCAGCTCGCAACTGGCCCGAAGGCTCTGAGATCCTGCTGGCCCACGCGGAGAAATGACGAGGCCTGTCCGCGTATCACACGGGGTGTCGCACTGGTCGAATGTTTCCATGCCGCTCTTCCGTTCCATATGGCTGTTACGCCACTTTATAATGTCTTTTCTTTGTACCGTTTGACTCTTTCGTCATATTTCCTTTGTACATTGTGTTTGCATATACCTCTGTTCTTATTCCATTGTAACGAAAATATATTGGTCCGAGAAGAGGGGCCTTTTAAAGGAGTTTGAGAGCAGTGATTAGTGAAGTCGGAGATTTCTGAGCTCTCACGTGACGGATGGGCGTTTACCACCGACGCCTTGCATGACCCTCGCTCAGCTTACCGCACACCAATGGAGCCAGCACCGCTTCGAAGACACACGCAGCGGGGCGCGTACGATGTGGCATCGGCCAAGGCCGTGTTTGACGACTGTTTTGTGGCCCATGTGTCGTATGTCGTCGACGGGGAGCCGGCCTGCATGCCGATGATTGCGGTGATGCTGGACGATGTCGAAGTGGGGGAGGGAGAGACGCCAGGCATGGCCGTGTATCTGCATGGACATCCGAGCAGCAAGATTATGGAGCTGGTGCGACAGACCAGCCGAGAGAGAGAGTCAGGCGGGGACGATGTTGGTGTGGTGAAGGTGTGCATCACGGCTACGAAGAGTGAGTTTGTGTGATTTTGAGTTTATGTCATTTCATGTCGTTATGTTTTATGTTTGTGCGTCTTGCGTTCTTGCCCAGCACTTCCCCCCTCTCCTTCTCTTACTCACTCCCCAGTCGACGGTCTCGTCCTCTCGTCCGCACCCAACGGCCACACGTTCAACTACCGCTCCGCCACTGTCCACGGCACCTGTCGGCCGGTGCGTGATCGTGTTGCCAAGACGGCTGTCATGCGTGCCGTCACCGACAAGATCGTCGCCGGCCGGTGGGCCGAGGTGAACCCGGTGGCCTCGCTGCAGGTGAGCCTGGTCTATGTCGTGCGCGTCAGCCTGGACCGGCTCTCGGTCAAGACGCGCGCCGGACTGCCGGGCATCCAGCCACGGGACTACGTCGTCGACGGGCCCGACCTCGCGACGCCACCCTGGACCGGCGTCGTGCCGCTGTGGGAGCAGCTGGGCGAACCGGTGGCAAGCGGTCTGACGCCCGGGGCCGGCGCCCCGTCAGCAAGCCTGCGACAGTACATTGACGAGCGCAACGCGCGGGAGCAGGAGCACGCGCAGAAAGCGGCCATGGGATAGCATTGTTTGCAGAGCACGCTGTGGTGGTCCGATGTTGATGACTAATCCAATATTGAGTAGTGCGCACTGTAGGGAAATGCTAGTTCTACTCTCCCAACACCTTCCACTGCTCGACCTGCAGCAGCCGGTAGGCGGTGTCGAGGACGGGCGTGGCGACGCCCAGCCGGCGGGCCAGCCGTGTGGGGTAGCCGAGGATGACGTCGAGCTCCATAGGGCGGCCGGCCTCGAGGTCGAGCAGCATGCTGGGGCGGAACGTGCAGTCGTCGGGCAGGCGGCCGGCCATCCAGGGGACGACGCTCTCGGGCAGCGGATGGCCGGCCGCAGCGGCGACGTGCCAGATCTCCCACATCATGGGCAGCAGCAGGGAGTCGCGGGCGCCGCTGCGCTGGACCTGGCCGACGTTGGCGCGGGTGAGCGCGCAGACCGGGCTGAACGTGCCGTTCCACAGCAGCTTCTCCCAGCGGGCCGCCTGCATCCTGTGTTGGAGGAGGTGACACGCACGGGCGCCGCCGGCCACGTAGAGGTCGACAAACGTCTGGGCGCGGGCCCGGCTGACGGCGTCCGGCACGCCGACGTGGTAGTGCGGCCCCATCTGGGAGACGTCGGGAGCCGTCTGGACGACCGTGTTGGGGGGCCGCAGGGCACTGCCGATGTGGCTCACGCTGCTCATGACCACGTTTGTCGGCCAGGCCGCGATCACGGCCTCTTCGATGCCCATGCCGTTCTGGATCAGCACCACGGTCGTGTGGCCGGCCGTGACGACGGGCCCGATCAGCTCCGGCGTCGTCGGCCCGCACTCCGGCGGCTGCTGCTTCGTACACACCACCACGTAGTCATACAAGATCGGGATCCCATTATCGTCTGCCTCGCGCGTCGCCGCTGCCACGCTGTCCACCACCCGCGCCGGCCGCCAGCCTGCCAGCTCGCCGTGGTCCACCGAATCCACTTGCCAACCGTGCCGCGTCACGTGCTCATACGCCGACCGCAATACTACCGTCACGTGCGCCCGCTGCGACTTGCTCAGCACCAGCGACGCGATCGTCCCTACGCCGCCCGACCCGATCAGACACACCCGGTACTGCTGCGGTGTCATCCCGCCATCCGTCTGGCTCGTCTCACTCGTCTCGTTGGGCGCCGTCTTCGATGCCATCGTGCTTTCGGTCGTCATGTCTGCTCGTTGCCGCGTGGCCAAGACGCTCTGCTCGCCCGGTCATATGCTTCCGGCAACTCCGCCCACTCGAGATAAGAGACAGGCCGCCGTGCTTGGACCTAGTCTGCCGTTACAGTGTTTCCGTCCCGCGCTAAGATTGCATACGGTTGTAGACTGGGATGCATTCCGAGTGGTTGTCTTACGAGCTAGTGGATGTGGGGAGTACTTCGAACAGAGTATAGAGTACATGGAGTGCACATACAAATTCCAAGGGCGCTTCTCGTCCAACAGTATAGAAATTGCATCAAGAAATTACATTGGAGCTGCCGTGGTGAGGCTGAACACGATGTTTTGCAACTGCTGCTGCATCTGCTCGTGCTGCTCCGACAGCCGCAAGGCTCATCGTCGCAGCCTCGCTCGGCTTTATACCTCTGCCTCCTTTCATGATGAGCAACTGCGACAGCCGTACGATCCTGCATCCCCCAAACTCGAAGGGAACGGGCGCCGTTCCCAAGAGCGCTGCCAGCTCGTCGTCGGTGACGTCGAAAAACGCCCGGCCTTCGAGCGGGAAGCGTGTGCCAGCAAACTTCAGAGAAGATACCACTTTGGGGACTTGCCCACTCCGAAAGATACATTGTCGGCTTTCTCCAATTTTTGTTCTTCCTCTGGCCCGCTTCTGGGCTTCGTAATGCGATGCAATTCGATGCAATGTAAAAGCCTCCCGAAGAAATCCAAATTTCCGATCCTACATATACGACGTCGGTGTGCTACGCTATGTCGCCTGCATGAGGCTTGTGTGAGATGGAGAGGACGGCAATACAAAGCCACGTACGGAGTACTCCGTAGAAATACCCGTTCACTGGCCACGCCCCTCGAATTGGTTGTGAGACCTGCAGAAACCCCGCCTTCCGTCCTTCGACGCACACAATGGCCGCACCAGAGAGCACGTCGAGGCTGTTCCGGGCCATCATTGCTGGCGGCAGCATCGTCGGTCTGACCATGGCGCTGGCTCTGGACCGGGCTGATATTGACTATGTGCTGCTGGAGACGGGTGAGGTGGCGCCGGATCTGGGGGCCTCGGTCTCGATGCATGCGCACACGCAGCGCGTCATGGAGCAGCTGGCCGTCTGGCCCGAGATCGACGCCGCCGTCGTCCCGGTGACGGACCGGGAGCACTATGACGAGCACGGCTGGTTGTTTGAGAAGTCGGCCATCCTGCAGGAGATCTCCAAGATGTGCGTACTTTGCTGTCATCGCGTGTCTCGTCACCCCATCTGACCAGCGGCCCAGGTGCCTCGGCCGACAGACGTCCTTCATGGCGCGCCGCTTCTGGCTGCAATGTCTGTACAATCAGATTCGCGACAAGAACAAGGTGCGGGCCCACACCGGCCTGGTGTCCTTTGTCGAGACGGCCGACGACGTGACGGTGACGACGACCGGTGGCGAGATCATCACGGGCGATGTGCTGATCGGTGCCGACGGCATCCACAGCACCGTGCGGCAACAGCTAGCCGACGAGGCCGCCGCCGCCGGCAAAGAGGCTGCAGCGACTGCGATGCGTTCTGGCTTTGTCAGCAAGTACCAGTGCATCTTTGCGACAGCGAAAAACGACGAGCCTCAGCAGTTCCTCCTCCCCGGCATGGTCCACAACGTCTACTACCGCGGCTTCTCGGGCGTCATCTCGGCCGGCGTCCCTGGCTTCGCCTTCTGGTTTCTCTTCGTCAAGAGCGATCAGGCCAGCCGGACGCCCGACACGCCGCGCTTCAGTGATGCCGACGTCGAAGCCGTCATCGACCGCTACGGCCACCACGCCGTCGGGCCTGGCTACACCTTCCGCGACCTCTGGCAGGCTACCACCAAGGCCGCCATGCTGCCGCTCGAGGAGGGTGTGCTCGCCACCGCCTGGCGCTCGCCCGGCGGCCGCGTCGTCCTCGCCGGCGATGCCGTCCACAAGGCCACCATCAACCCTGGACTCGGTGCCAATCTTGGCGTCGAGGGCGTCGTCCACCTCGCCAACTTGCTCGTGCCGCTCGTCCGTCGTGTCGCTGTCGAGCCGGACGACCGCAACTGCCACACCCGACCGACCCGGCTGCAGCTCGCCGACGTCTTTTCTGCGTACGAAAAGCTGCAACGGCCACACGCCGACCTTGTCGTCTCCATGTCCAGCTACCTGACCCGATTCGAGGCCATGGAGACCTGGTGGCTGCGCCTTCTTCGCCGCCTGTCGCCGTGGATCAGCGATCGGACAAAGGCCAGCAAGTTCGCCGGCTATGTTCGCGAGGGACCCTGGCTCAGCTACCTGCCCAACCCAGACGACGAGCGCAGGTAGAGTTTTTGCAGTGGATTGATGCTTGCACGTTAGATAGCAGTTGGTGGAGATGGTTATGAAAGACGTATGAATGCTCCTGCTATCGTGCTAGGTATGGTCAACCTGAAAAGCCAGCCCGTGTGCGCTCCCACTATTTCTTGGCTTCGTTAAGAACTCCGTCGATCATCTCTGCGTGTGCAAGTAGCGCGCGGTCGTGGAGCCGCATGCCGACAAGCTGCAGCGACACGGGAGCACCGGCCATGAGCTCCGGGTCGACTACAGACGTCAGCAGAAGAGCAAGAGCAGCAGACAAGTCACATGTACTTACAATAAGCTGCAATCTCTGCATCCAGCTCGTTCTTGGGCTTGAACTCGCCGTCCCTCTTGTCCAAGGCAGGGTCCACTGTGGCGAACGGTATAATGATGGCTGGGTACTAGTTAATGTTAGTCAGCATTTGAGCAGCATATATTCCGTATACTCTCCCTGCTGTCTCTGCCCATTTTCACACCCACATCTACGACGTTCCAGGCCACCGTATACAGCTCCGATGTCATGTGGGGTGGCGGGATGGCGACGTGCGGTGCGGCCGGGGCGATCAGCATGTCGATGCCCGCGGCTTGCCAGGCGTCCAGCATCTGCTTCTGCAGCTCGCCCTTGCGCGTGTTGAGCGCCCACATTTGCTCGTGCGTCTTCCGCTTCAGGTCCCAGTAGCCGAAGCCGGCCACCGACGGAACGGCCGGCTCGCCAGACTCGGCCAGCTTCTGCCGCTGGTACGAGAGTCCGTCGACGGTCAAGAGGTCGGCCGAGATGTCGCGCATCTCCTTGAAGTCAGGACACATCGGTGTAAAATCCCTGGTTTCAAATCCGGCTGCTTCCAACTTGGTCTGGGCCTCGCGGATCGCTCGTTGCACCGGTGGATGTGGCGTGAGGCCCGACTCGTACAAGATCCCCACCACCGGTTTCTTTGTAGGTGCCGGCTGCTCCATGACGCCGGGAATGATGGCCGGGTCGATCGTCCAGGGCTTTCGCGCGCGGATCGTGTCCGTAAACAGGGCCAGGTCGCGGACGGAGCGGCCAATGGGGCCCAGCACTGCCGGTACGCCCGTGTTCACGCCCGTCCATCCCGACGCTGCATATCCGATGAACGGGAGGATCCCTACTGATGGCTTGTAGCCGTACACGCCATTGAAGGCAGCTGGCAGTCTGTCACGTCAGGGGAGAGAAGCGTAGAGAGCAGCAAGGCAGAGCAGCACCTACCGGATGGACCCAGCGACGTCGGTGCCGACGCCAAAGGCGTTTCCCCGAAAGGCCGACAGCGAGCCCTCGCCGCCGCTGCTGCCACCGCTCGAGAGCTGGCTCACGACCGGGTTCCGCGTCTGGCCAAACACGTTGTTGTCGCACTCGGCCACCAGCATCGTCTGCGGCACGTTGGTCTTGGCGATCAGCACCGCCCCGGCCTGCTCGGCCAGCCGGATGATGGGCGTCGTCGTCGTCGACGGCTCACCGATGCGTGCCACGTAGCCGTTGCAGGCATCGAAGCCCTCGATGTGGAAGCACTCCTTGAACGTCATGGCGAGCCCGTGCAGCGGCCCGACCGTCTGGCCGGTCGCCTGGAAGTGCGCGTCCAGCTTCGCCGCCTTGGCCAGCGCCTCGGCAAAGCAGATCTCCGTCAGCGACCGGCACAGCTGCTGGCTGATGGCTGCCCGCTTGCAGAATGCTGTCACCGTTTCCGTCGCCGTGTACGTGCCCTGTGCAATCGCCGCAACCAGCGACGTCGCGTCGTGCCCGTCGCCAGTGATTGCTAGCTCACGCTCGCTCAGGATCCCCGACGACGCTGCCGCCGGCCGCAGGTCCGATGTGTCCGCCGCCGGCCGATTGGCTTCGCTCAGCCTCCATTCCACCGGGATGCGCAACAGCTGTTCCGCCCTCTTTGCGTCTCGGGCCTCCTGCCAGGACTTGGGCGGCTTGGCAGAGCTCATGCCTAGGAAACTTGAGGCGGGAGGGGAGGAGAGATGCTGTAGAGAGAGGGCAAATGTAAATATCGTAAGAGAGTTTAATGTTAAAGAACTGGTGATTGTAGAAGCGGGTTTCTAGAAACAAGAAAGAAATGATAAAAGGCAAAAGAGGAAGGATTGTCGACACTATCTAACAGGCAGCAGGCACGACCCGCAGATAAATTCGAAAGGCAGTTTTGCTCGAGAATGTATGGCTGCCAGAACGTCCTGCGCACGTTATCGAGAATATTCGTATGCTATCCGTATGAGCTATCGGGCTTTGTCTGAAACCATGAGCGAGAGAAATACAAGAGCAACGAGAGGAATTACAGCAGCAAAGATGACAGAACGAGGCGAGACTCCCTTCACAAAAGTCCCACCTATGGTCATTAAACATATGTGTGGGGCAGCTTGCTCCGTAGGCCTGTCCCGCCTTGTAGATCTGCCCAATACGCTATCAATCGGTACGTCGTACGGAGTACTCCGTACTAGAGCCCCTCCAATGATCAGAACTTGTACATAACTACGAGTACATCTGACTTGAACTACAAAGTCTCTCCAGAGTAGACCAGCGGGCAATATCAGCTTTTTATGCTCGAGATGTCCGAACAAGTCTGGGAGAACCAGAAATAAGCGAGGATGCAGTTAAAGTGCAGCCTCCCATCTATGTGACAGTACTTCCCTTAGTCAGCTGCACAGTGAACAGACGGACTTGTCCTTCACATTCGCCCATTCAAACACCTTCTCTGCCCCAATAACATGATTGGGTCTAAAAAGACAGCCTCAACTTATTCAACCTACCGCTTGCAGGCCAGCACCCACATGGCTGCTCGTGGGCCTCGTAGGTGCCTTTGGGGTCGTTGTCACCCGGTGGCCATCTCTTCCGCCTGCCAAATTAGCATCAGTACGTAGGAACATCGGCACGAAAATCACACAGAAAAACGTGTCATTGCGTAACGGAGAATTGGTTTGCAGTAACTAAAGTGAACCGCCCTGCATGTGAGGAGCGAAGTGCGTGTTTTTCGTGTTTCTTGGTGAGCTCCTCCCGAAAACGCCACCATTATAAATCACAGAAACAACCTATGCGTGATGCTATCTGACAGTTTTTCCATGTGCCTCTCTCAACAGGCCACCGTCGTGGTCGTATCCCGTCATATCCCAGACAAGACGAGCCCTGTCAAGGAAGGTGAACGAATGAAGATTGGAAGCAAATGCAAAGCAAATAACAGACATAAAAATGGCATGATATGCAGCGCATTGGAGCACCAGCATAAAGACAGTGAAAAGTACCCCCATCCCAGAAGGGTGAAACGCCGGCATTACCTGTAGCGGATGACGAACGTCTCGCTATGCCCAACCTACGCAGCCGGGAGCAACCCGTCGCCCCAGATGCCGATAACAGCAATAGAAAAGGCCAGGCCGCTGATCACGGTGCGTGCGATCTGCTTCTTGAGGAAGACCTCGACGTCAGCACGCACCTCCTCGCCGTTGACAGCGCTGTCTGCCGTGGCCGAGGCCGTTGTCGAGGCGGCAGTGGCGGGCAGCTCGCCGTCCGACATGGCACCGTCGCTGTGTGAATCGGACACAGAGCCGGCCACAGAGCCGGCCACGGAGCCGGTGGTGTGGGCGCCCAGCACCTCGTAGCTGGCCTCCATGTGTGCCGGCGTACTGCGGTGTTTGGCGGGCTTGACAAGCGGCGACGAAGCGACAGCAGCACTAGCAGCAGTCGGAGTAGAGAAGATGTAGGGTGTCAGACGGTCATCCGTAACCAGCCGGCCGCTGAGGACGAGCAGGGAGGTGTACAGCAGGTACGGATGGCGGATATGGCGGGGAGACAGCAGGAAAGCGAGCAGAAAGGCCGAGGTGGCGATGCCAGAGAGGGAGCGCAGATGGGAGGAAGCAGCGTCAGAGAGGCTCAAGAATGCCTTGGAGGCCGTTCGGGCGGAAGGCAGCGTCAGAAGGGTGGGAACGGTAACGGTAGACAGAGAGAAGGAGAGGCCCTGCGAAGCTGTTAGCAGGGAGAGGCTAGGATAAAGGAGAGCAGACAGCAGGTGGCAGACAGCAGACAAAAAAAGAGACAGGACACGACCAAAACCACGTTACTCACAGTCAGTAAACCGAGGGAGACAGTCCCGACAAATTTGAGGACGGTGATGCCTCGAGAACCCATGATGGCGGGGGCGAGGACGGCCAGTAGGAACGCTGTGATGTGGTGGTCGTCTTAGGATGCTGCAGCTCTGTCTGGACCCGCGGTCGGGGTGGTGATCTTTCGGCGACGCTGGAGACAAGAGTGGTGATGTGATGGTGGGGAGAAAGTGTGACGGCAAGCTTTAGGCTTCGCGGGGATTTTACGGCTCTGTTGGGCGCTTTCGCGGGGGGTCGAAGGGAAGTGGCGTCACTCTTACCTGCCTGTGTCGCAGCTGCTAGCAGACGCAAGCCACACTGGCTACCGTCGTCATTTGAGTGGGGCGAGCTCGTGGGGCAAGCTCGTGGGAGTCTCGTGACTTGTGCATGCATCCGTTCTTCCGAGAATGCAGCCAATCATTGAATCATTTCAGTCAATCAGCTCACGGTGTCTTATAAGTGCTTTGTGATATGCCTTCTGTTTCTCTTGTGACTATTTACGTTATAGTTCTGCGTTGTTTCATCAATGTGACTTCCCGTCATCATAGTTCTCATTTCCCCGTCTATTGCCGCCTCCGGATTTCGATGTCGAGGCCCAGCGGCTTGCGCAAGAAGCCCTCGCTGGTGCCGAGGTAGTCCTGCAGCAGGCGGACATCGTAGCGACGGGCCCAGGTGGCGATGATGAGCTTCATCTCCATCTCAGCGACGTTGCGGCCGACACAAGCGCGCGGGCCGTGGCTGAAGGGGATGAAGGCGTTGCGCTGGCGCGTCGTCACGTTCTCCCAGCGCTCGGGCCGGAACTCGTTGGCGTCGGGGCCCCAGATGTCGGTCGAGTGGTGGATCGAGTACGTCGGGATGCTGAGCACGGTGCCGGGCGGGAAGTAGTGACCGTGCAGGGTGATGCCGGCGCTATCGGCGGGGATCTGGCGCGGCAGACCGATGCCAGAGGTGGAGTGGTGGCGCAGGGTCTCGTTGAGGACGGACTGGAGATAGGGCAGGTTGCGGACGTCGTCAAAGGTGGGCACGTCCTTGCCGGCCGGCAGAGCGGCATCGAGCTCGGCCTGCAGGCGGCGCAGCACGCGGCCGCCGTCGGTGCGGACGACGTGGAAGAGCAGGGCACACGACGAGTTGGAGGTGGTGTCGCTGCCGGCGATCAGCTGGGTCAGAGCCTCGGCCGTGAGCTCCTCGCGGCCGAGCGGGGCGCCGTTGTCGTCGCGGCCCTCCATCAGACGGGCCAGCAGATCCTTCCGGCCGTTCTCGAGGTCCTTGCCATACGGCTGGCGCTCCAGACGCTCGCGCACGCGGGCGATAGCAATCCCGGCCAGCTGCTGGACAGACTTGGACCCGTTGCGGAAGAACGGGTCCGGCATCCAGGAGGCCCACGGCTTCAGGGCCGGCAGAATCCCAATCGCCGCCGAGACCTCGCCGCGCCGGTTCAGAATCTCAATCGCGGACGCGTACACCGGTGGGCTGTCGGCCGAGGCCCGCACCTCGGCAATATCGGCGCCGCTCGAGAGCATACCAAAGGGCGCACCAAAAGCCAGGTCGCCGATCACGTCAAAAGCCAAATAGTTGAACCAGTTGAGGCAGTCCAGCGTAGCCGCGCCCGCACCCGTGCTGCCCGTGCCCTCGGCGATCATCCGGTCCCATTGCTGCACAAAGAGCTCGAGGTTGTGGTGGATAAAGGGCTCGAACTGTGTGACCGACTTGGGCGAGAAGGTGTGCGCGACAATCTTGCGCTTGCGCGTGTGCTGGGCGCGGTCACGCGTGTTGAATAGGCCGCGCTGGATGCTCACAAAGGCGTCATAGTAGTCACTGACTGTCAGCGAGGCGAAAAAGAAGAAATGAAAAGAAGAAAAACTCACCTCTTGAGAAAGCCGTTGCCGTGGCCGTAGATGGTGTTGATGGCCGCATCGTCGTTGATGCTCACGTGGTTGGGCTGAATGCGCACAACGGGACCGAGCTTCTTGTGCAGGTCGTCGACGACAAGGTAGCGATTGCCGCGCCGACAGACAGACAGCAGCCACCAGTTGGTAAACTGGGCTGGGAACGGTGCAGGCAGCGATCGCAGAGCTGCATATGTGAAGAGATAGGGGTAGAAATAGTAGACCAGCGGTGTCAGCACGGCCAGCACGGCCAGCACGGCTGGACTCCAGGCGGAGTAGCTGTACAAGAGCCCAAGGACAGACATGTCGGAGTAGTGCAGACGATGGTCGGAGCAGAAACAAAAGCAGGAAAGGAGGCGACTGGACCGGTCGTTTAAGTACTCGACGTGCTGTGAGCGCCTTATCGGTCATAGAGGCCGGTGATGGGCTAAAGAGCGGCCGAGGCCTTCAACCGTTTTGCAGCAAGTACCAAGATGATGTCAGACCCAGAGGCAGTGCTTTCGCGTCGAGAGTTTCAAGCCGAGAAGCGATCCTGTCTGGGGCAAGCTACATAGCAGATGCAACTGCGTTTGGCTGCAAGTGGAGTCGGACTCGCGGGGTAAAGACATGCTAGCAAGTCGGAAGCTGGGATAGCAAAAAAGCCAGGGGCGTCGGCAGCCCAGGACGGCAATTTGCGACAATACGTGGCGCATTATTGGCTGTCGATTGTGTGGGGTATTGTGTCCGTTCCTATATTAGGTCATCATACGGAGTACTCTGTAATATGGAGCAAAAAGCATGAAGCTACGATGTAAGCACACTGCCGCGCAAGGACCATACGGTCACATGCAATACATAATCGTGCATATATCCACGTGACATACAAAGCCGTCACAACGGGTTGATGACTACGCCGCCGACGGACGATTCGTTGGTGGCTTGGTGGCGATGATGTCGACATCGAGCAGAGACGTATATAATATACTGGACGAGATGACCCGATGCCACTAGTCGCCTATTACCGCGTGCGCCGTTACCAAAGGCACCTGCCTAGCCACCACTACAGATCCGCACTGCACCATCTGGTTCGCAGCCATGAAAACCGTCCCAGGATGTGCGCAATGTTCCTGTTGTGCTTTCTCTTCTGTGCTCGACTTTTTACAAATCTGATGCTAAATCTCGGCAGACCCGGACACTGCTCCTAAGCGCCCTGCCTGTTTAGAGTCCATTCTCCAAACCACTATTCTCCACAAAGCTGATACTCGATTCTCCGTACTCGTCCAAGGTGGAGGTTGATTGGAGAAAGCCGGAGCTCTCCGCATAAGAACCCCGCACGATTGTGGAACTCTGCTTTTTGCCTGTCACAGCAGCAAGCTACAATTGCCGTAGCGGGAAAAGAATGGCGTTCGTGTGCGCGACTTCTCAAAGTGGAATAATTGGCAGAGTGGCTATCTTTGGAATGCAACTCGGGCAATATGGATGGAGCCGATGAAGCGAGCCTTGCGTTTTCCGCTGCATTCCCTTTTCAGGGTTATGTTCTGTTAGCGACGATCCAGCCAGTTGTCCGGTGGTGTATCAGATTGGAGAGCAAAATGCGCAGTGCGGAGTTACATAACTGCGACTTCTTCGCGAGGTTATTTTTATGCAATGTCTGAATTGTTTATGCCTGTCTGTTTATATACCGTGCATATACACGTTGGCAATTGCTGCGCCGGGCAAAGTTCTTGCGTTTAGTCAATGAAGACTGTTGTTATTTTAGTCTTCCACAGATAAAAAGGAAGGCATTGCATTTTGTGCCCCTTTTGCGTTGTTGATAGTTTATCAGTTCCAAAAAAACGTACAACAGCGGGTATTCGCTGGTCGTCACCGACCCAACTACTAATCCGCCGATTACTGGTTTAACTAGGGGAGAGCGGACGGGATCCCGTGCTTTCCAGTATCTATGGCCGTACGTGCTGAGCAAGTTGCCTTAGGTGAGTTATAGGCGTGGAAGTGGAAGAACATGACGTGAATGAGCAACGAGCAACAAAATGAACCTGATCGCACGTGACTGTGGTATGAAGACGACTATGGGGCATGGGGAGTATCGGCCCAGACGACCGCCCCACCTGCCGCTCTCGGGGCAAAGACAGCCGACGATGCCAATATCCTTCTTTCCTTCCTCGTTTGACTTTTCTCCGGTCCTCTTTCCCTTCCGCACATACCTTTTTTCTTTCTTTCCAACAACGACATGATGAGTCTGCCGACGCTGACAGCGCCGACGTTTGAGCAGCATGCAAGTGGCTTCGGCATTGGGGTGGCATCCCCACGGCTGTCGTGGCGCTTTGTCGTCCAAGACGACACGCCGCAGGGGTGGGAGCAGACGGGCTACGAGCTCGAGGTAGTGCGGTCAACAGCAGCAGCAAACGAGGTGGAGACGTACCAGGTTCAAGACAGCAGCACGTCGGTTCTCGTGCCGTGGCCCAGCACGCCGCTGCGGTCGAGGGAGCAGGCCCGGGTGCGGGTACGGGTGACCGGAGGAGGAGCAGGCGGCACGGTGCTTTCGAAGGGGCCGACGGACTGGTCGCCATGGGCGGTGGTCGAGGCCGGATTTCTGGACAAGGCAGAGTGGACGGGACGGCCGATCACGAGCTCGACACGACTGGAGGCGGACGCTGACGTCAAGGGTCCGCTGCGTCCAATCCGATTCCGGCGGACATTTGTTGCACCTGCAGCAGCGATTGTGAAGGAGCGAGCACGACTGTACATTACGAGTTTGGGCGTGTACAAGGCCTACATCAATGGACAGGCGGTGGGCGACCACGAGATGGCACCGGGCTGGACCAGCTATGCGCACCGGCTCAACTACCAGGTGTTTGACGTGGCGGCACTTCTGCGGCCGGGACAGGACAACGTGGTGGCGGTCGAGGTGGCCGAGGGCTGGTATGCTGGCCGTCTGGGCTTCCACGGTGGTCGGCGATACATTTATGGCGACGAGATAGGCGTACTGGCCCAGCTGGAAGTCGGCAGTGCTGACGGGCTGACGATCGTGACAGACAGCTCGTGGCAATGTCAGGCAAGCGCGCTGATTCGCAGCGAGATATACGACGGCGAGGAGTACGATGTGGGTGCCGAGACGGAGTGGGACGAGCCGACTGCCAGCAGCAGTGGCTGGCTGCCGGTGAAGGAGCTGGCTATGCCAAAGGCACAGTTGGTGGCGGCCGATGCTCCACCGGTGCGGGTGGTCGAGGAGGTGAAGCCGGTGGCGGTGATGACGACGCCGTCGGGTAAGACGGTGATCGACTTTGGACAGAACCTGGTAGGCCGGCTGCGGGTGCGCGGACTGAATGGGCCACGCGGTCAGAGGGTGACGTTTGCGCACGCGGAGGTGCTCGAGAATGGCGAGCTGGGCGTGCGGCCGCTACGGGTGGCCAAGTGCAGGGACACGGTGGTACTCGCGGGCGAGCGATTGGCCAAATGGACGCCACGCTTCACCTTCCACGGGTTCCGGTACGTTCAGGTGGACGGCTGGCAGGTGCCGGAGGGAGACGAAGGGTTGGACATGATAAGGGCGCAGGTGATGCACACGGATCTTCAACGGACGGGCCACTTCAGCTGTTCGCACGCGCTGGTCAACCGGCTTCACGAGAACGCGTGGTGGAGCATGCGAGGCAACTTCCTGTCGATCCCGACGGACTGTCCGCAGCGCGACGAGCGACTCGGCTGGACAGGCGACATCCAGGTGTTTGCGCCGTCAGCCAGCTTTCTGTGCAACACAGCCGGGATGCTGGGCGACTGGCTGCGTGACCTGATGGCCGAGCAGCTGGACGAGCCGGACACGGACGGAGTACCGCCGCTGGTGGTGCCGAACGTGATCCAGGGCATCTTTCCGGCGCTTCCACAGGCGATCTGGGACGACGTGGCAGTGCTGACACCGTGGGTTTTATACCGCTACTCGGGCGACACGGCCGTTCTGCAGCGCCAGTACCCGAGCATGTTGGCCTGGCTGGACCGCGGCGTGCGGCGTGGGCCTGACAGACTCTGGGACCCGGACCTGTGGCAGCTCGGCGACTGGCTAGACCCGACAGCACCGCCAGACAACCCAGCCGACGCGCGGACAAGCAGCACTCTGGTGGCAGATGCGTATCTAGTGCACGTGACCTCGGTGATGGCGGACATTGCGGCAGTGGTGGGTGGCAGCGAGCAGGACGCGGATGCGCAGCGGTTCTGGTCGGACGCGGCAGATTTGCGGGCGACGTGGCAGCACAAGTACGTGACGCCGGCGGGTCTGGTAGTCGGAGACACGCAGACGGCACTGGCTCTGGCGCTGGTGTTTGAGCTGCTGCCGACGACGGCACAGGCAGCGATGGCGGGCTCTCGGCTGGCGCGGCTGGTGCGACAGGCAGGCTTCCGGGTAGCGACAGGATTTGCGGGAACGCCGGTGGTGACAGAGGCACTGACGCGGGCAGGCCATCATCAGCTGGCATACCGGATGCTGCAGGAGGGTGAGAGGCCGTCGTGGCTGTACCCAGTGCGGATGGGTGCGACGACCGTCTGGGAGCGGTGGGACAGCATGCTGCCGGACGGCTCGATCAACCCGGGCGAGATGACCAGCTTCAACCACTACGCGCTCGGTTCTGTCGTCCAGTGGCTGCACGAGACTGTCGCCGGGTTGCGGCCGCTGGCCCCAGGCTGGAAGACGTTCCGCGTCGCTCCGCTGCCAGGCGGCACTATCAACACAGCCACGGCTTCCTTCGAATCCGTCTACGGCCGCATCGAGGTCCGCTGGACCATCCAAGACGACCGCTTCTGCCTCGACCTGCTCGTGCCGGTCAACAGCCGCGCCCAGGTGGTGCTGCCGGGTGGCGACCCGGACAATGGCATCTGGCTCGGGTCTGGACGCTACCATCTGACCGACCACTGGGACAACACGAAGGACTGGCCACCGACTTCACTGGTCTTTCCACCCATAGCCGACGGGAAGGATACGTTTGTGTGAATGGGGACGTCAATGAATTCGGGATATATGCCCGACTCTTTCCACATTCTATCTGTAGCTATTTTTGTGAAGATTTATTTGCATAGCATTTGGAAAGTCCAGCCGTCATCTAGTCTTCATTCAATCTACACGTCCACAGGCTTCTGGGCGTAAGCTGCGCAGACGTTAAAGTAGGCGTGTATCTTCAGACTCCGCAATTCTCGGCGCAGGTGGGCGGAGTACACAGATATCTCTTCCGTAGTCCAGCCGAGTTGGGTGGCCATCATGCCTATAAATCCCTCAATATCGTTCATGATAGTCGCACGACTGAACTGGCCAGCCTCGTGCAGGATCGGGTCATCATGCCATTCAGAGGTTGGAAGCTGGTTATATCAGTTTTCAGTGCCGCATTACGTAAGCGGTTTATCTTACCTTGAACGGCTTCTCGGTAATGTTGGCAAAGCCTGCATCAACAAGAGCTCGGTGCTGCAGACCTTCTCCGATCGGGTTGTAAGAGGCGCGCGAACCAAGCTTCCGGGCGCCTTCCTGGAAGATAAAACCCCATTGAGAGATGGCCGTCTTTTCGGTTACAGTGCCGTCGTCCGAGGTAATGTTGCCGTCAAGGTCGAAGGTCTCAATGTACCCGCCTGGCTTCAGGACTCTGTACGCCTCCTTGAACAGATCCGTCCAGTTCTCTACGCTGCCAACAAGCCAGCGCAAGTGCACATAGTCAAATGAGTTGTCGTCAAACATCCATGGCTTTGTGAAGTCGTCCATTTGGCTAGGACGGGATTAGCACAGGATTTACTTGTACAAGATGGGAAAAAAAAAGGTATGAATATACAAGTATAGATTCGGTGGTACCCAATCTGGTTGAATGGGGGTAATATCAGTACCGACCACCGTGGTGTCCGGACGTTCGTCTGCGAAATCGCTGGTTTCGTAGATATGGTTAATGCATAAACGGCAAACTTCAGACAAACGAAAAAGAACTACAAACATAGCCCAGATACCAGTTCCAGTGCCGATGTCAATCACTTTCTGCATTGCTTTTGTTAGGCTAAAATCGCATGGAAGCTGTTAACTGGGAGGTTCTGGCCTACATCGACATGTTCTGGCAAAGGCGCAAGATAAAGCTTGCCTCCCTGAAGGAGCGTGTAAGAGTGATGTCTGTATCAAGTCAGCTGCCGTAGTCTGTGCATACATGCTTAACAGTGCCCGTCCTGACCCAAGATCGAGCGTATTGTTCTGTCGGTCGTCATTAGGGCCCCTATGCAATTCGTTAGAAAATAAAATGATTTCCAATGAACCACCCGCCGCTGCCGTCGGCTGTCTGCTATCTGCATACCAGTAGTGCGTCTCGTCTTGGTTATGGTGATACGTGCGCCCGTTCAGAACGCGATATTTCCGGATGCTAGACGCCAAAGACTCCGTGGAGCTCGCACTGTCGTCGCCGAGGGCCGAGTCGTCGTCATCTTCTAGAGAGAGTGTCAGCGCGTATCTATTGGGTGTGCCAATGATGGAGAGCAATACCCGAAACGTTCAGTTCGGTCCAGACTTGCGGGGACTGGAATTGAATCAGGGGTTCTGTGGTTGAAGTGGAATGCGGAGGGGAAGCCGGAGGAGCAGCTGGGAAAGCATTGCCCGTCCTGGCTTGGGGGTCAGTCATGTTGGCAAAAGGCTGAAACGACGACTGGAAGATCAAAGGTAGAAGAAATGAAAAAAAAGAAACGGAAGGAGGCGATGCTAAAAAGTATACGCTTGAAGTACCTCGTATGAGAACTTGTCATAAAAAACCCGCACTTTGTGCTTGCAGCAACGTACGAGTACGTATAGCAACATACATAACAGAGCACATGCACCTCAATCAATTTGTATCCACGGCTCGCACCACTACGATGCATCTGACTAGCTCACGTTTTCTTCCGAATCCATTACGACGTATCCTATAATCTAGGGTCGGGGCGCAACCCGGCTGCAGCTACTTGCCCTCTTTGGGCACTCTGCGGTGTTGCGTTCCATCAGGCGTCTGCATGTCAACGTCAGGTTGATAGCTGATTGGGCACTGGTCAGGTTCCGTGCTTGGGGGCGCTGTGGGTTACGATAATAGGTCTCTACGAATCGGGTGTCAGAATCCTATAAACACTGGACCACCGACGAAGAGGGATCCTCTCTCACTTTCTAGGGACGGGCGATGTTGGTTCCACAGATTCTTAACAAGATTTATCTGCTAGAAGTTTGTACGGCCTACGAGTTTATAGAGTGCCTAGAACAAGCATAAATGGCTGATATGCAGGAAATAACCTCAATGGTCTGCACTAGTGGAGAAGGTTCGTTTTTTTGGCGGGTCCTCCGTAAATTATTCCGTACTTACATAGTATTAGTAGTTGTTTTTTTGTAGAAGTATTCAATAAGAGACATATCCTGTCGGTTAAAATTTCTCTTTCGTACACAAGCCTGTGCTGCTCCTGCAAGGACCTACTTGCTCAATGCGCGCGCCTTGAAAGTCTGGTCTTTCTCTCTGTCTTCATATCCACCGTCAGTGCAACCCCTCTAAGCTATGCCCGATTTTTTCAAGTTCAAAGCTCCACATAAATAAGAACGGTAAGAAGACGAAGGACAACACGCATGTAAATAATCGTGCTAAGCTAAAGAGAGGAAAAACTATCAACTAAACTGGGCGAAAGGCCTTACTTTTCTAATTTAACGGTCTAGTGCCGGCTTGGGAAGCAAGTGAAATAAGGCTTTGTATAGAAGTGGTGTAACGTACTTACGCACGTAGGTGCGTGTTGTTTACAATATTATTCTGATAAACATTTGTTTTCATACTTTTGCAACTGACTTTCTTCAATCGATATATCAAGTAAAAAAAAGAGAATTCAAAATTAGGTATTAATGGTTTAACAGTACAGGTGTATGTATAGTAATAGCCTATTAATGCTTGTTCTGCCCTTGAATAAGGAGGTTCATGACTGTGTTGTTTTACAGGCAATCGTACATTAACCAAGCTTAAAGTAACCTGGCTGCAACGTTTGCCATACGTTTTGAGGGTCGTATTTTGCATGAATGGCCTTGAGCCTGGCTAGATTCGCGGCCCCGTAGCTTGCAAACACGTCTTGTTGCAACGCAGCATAATTCTGGTACAGGTATGGGTTGGTAAGCCCGCGGGCTTTTGCAGCTGCTGCTGACCGGCTCACGGCATTCTGAGCAGCCGCCAGAACGCGGGCGTCGTCCGCCGGGTCAGACCATGAAATGTCAACATTGATCACTGAATTGTCCAGTCAACACGTGTCCCATACAAGGAGGTTCTACAAAGAAAGAAGCCTGCTTACAGTTCAGTGGGCCTTGGCCCGCGAGACCCAACGGATTACCGCCGGCTTTGGAAAAGTGCGTAGTCATGTCCGTGGTAATTGGCTGGAAGATGATAGACGGAACAATGCCCACGACGTCCTTCAACGGCTCGACTTCATCCATAAAAATGGCAACCATATCCGCCATCAAGTCGGCGCTGTTCCCGACGGTTAAAGTCCAGTACGTTTGCCTGCATGGACTGTTAGCCGGTAGCGAGAAAACGAAGAACAAACCACATGCAAACAAGGAGTGTACGCACCGGTAGCCCCCTGGGTTCGAGTTATTGAACTCTACAGTGAGACCTGAGAGATTTGTGATCCGCAGACTGTCCGACACAGCACCGGGAATCGCCGTAAAGTTTTGCAGGATTGGCGGATCGGGTTCGGGTTTTCCGTACTGCAAGTCGGAGGCAATGACCCAAAGACTCACAGATTGCCTTGGGGATACGTGGCAAAGTCGAAGCTCGTCACGATTCCAAAGTTGTTTCCACCGCCACGAAGTGCCCAGTATAAGTCTGAATAGACGGAATCGTAGGACACGCTGCGGATCGAACCGTCGGCCAGTACAACCTATCCAAACAGTTATGGGGCCAATTCTGACGGAGGGTACTGATAAGAAATGATAGGTACCTCATATGAGTTCACGTTGTCGCATGCCCATCCATACCGTCCGGAGAAGAAGGACATGCCGCCTCCCAGAGTCAGGCCTCCAACACCGATTGCGGCCACTCGACCACCGATAACGGTAATGTTCATTGGATCGAGATGGGTGTATACGTCGTACCAGAGGTTTTCAGCACCTATCGACGTCTGCGACTGATCCTGAGACACTGTGATTCCATTCAGACCGGAAAGGTCAATGGTAAGACCGGCATCGATGTTGGAGGCGCCCGCAAAAGCTGCATGGCCGCCACTCTTGACAGCAAACTGGCACGACGTGACGCGTAAAGTGAGCACCGCGAGAGAGACATCCGTTGCTGAAGCAGGAGTGAAGCGACATGCCGAAAGTGTGAGGGCTTGTTGCTGGGACCAGTACTGCTCCTGCAGGTTGTAACTTGGAGAGTCTGGGTACGAGAGGAGACCAGGTCGCGAGAAGGCAAGGAACCCACACTAAAGCACACGGCGCGAAGCAGAATGAGTAAATTGAAGAGTGTCAAAGACTAGATACTCTGCATACATACAGCGATATCGCAACCACACAGCGAAGATGATCGCGTGGTAATGTTGTGGTTCTAGCCGAGGTACGAATCGATTTGAGCTTCGACGTTTTCCAACGTGTACTCTGCACTTGCAGCGAGGCACAGCTGCAGCAAGCAGAGTACAACCGTCACAAGGTCGCGCATCTCGAGAACAAGCCTGGAACGGATGCGGAAGGGGACTGTAGAGGCGATTGTGACAGTTGGGCAAATTTTTTTTTTGAATACTATCCTATTAATGTCCAGACAGGTCTTGTACTCTGTACGATTATATGTGCGCAAACAGCTTGATCGCGGCAATTAGTAGTTAATGAGTACTAGCCGAACTTCGATACTAGTACTATTTTGTTTGTTTATTTTAACATGTTTGTTGGCAATATACTGCTAGTACTACGGAGTACTATTACTAGTAGTAACATTGCCGAGTTTCAGCCCAGTAGTTTTCGATACCCCGTACCTTCCATACTAGGGATACGACCGGATCAGGAATGGTGCCATCAAAAAGACGTTGGAGTAAGAGTTGCGTACGAGTCTATATACCAGGTCAGTCCATGATTCATTCTTCTCCTATTGCTGTAAAAACTGTCAAACGCAATTGCGATTTTACAACTTCCCGAGGGGCTCAAAAACAATGGTCTCTCAAAATGTTTCCCGGAGTTGTGATACAGTAAGATTCCCATCATGTCTTTTATGCTTTAAGGACAGTATATCGAATTAGAAGGTGACCCACATTCCTAGTCTTCGCTGATTGCATGCTTGTGCGTCGCGATTGTCTTCATGGCTCTGCGTACAGTGGCACGCTGGTACAAGATTCGCACGTTTCCCTCGGAATTCGAGGACCTGGCCATGTATCTTGCGCTGGTCTCGTTCATAAACACGGTTGCGCTATACCTGACCACGATTCCGACATACTTCAACGTCGAGGCCATCGTGGCCGGAAAAATGGCAATCTACGCTTCGCTTGAAAAAGACCTGGTAGTAATGCTCAAGGAGTTCTTCGTCGTTCAGTTCTTCTTCTGGCTCACTTTGTGGGCCGTGAAATGGAGCTTGCTATTCCTGTTCAGGATGCTCACAGACAGGCTGCCGATTTACAATCGGGTTTGGTGGGTCGTTATTGTTTTCTCGGTCCTGACCTTTATTGGGTGTGCCGTCAGCAATTTTACCGCTTGCTCTTCCATGCATGCGTGGTTCGATGCCCTGGCATGCCAGACTCCGAGGGATGCGCGGGCAAAAGCCATCAGCTTGTGGTTCAGCCTGGGGGCTGATCTAGCGACAGACCTCTTGAGTAAGTTGCCCGTCGTAATGGATGGAAGCGGAAACCCCGGTTGGCCAATGGCATGCTAACTGTTCCAGTCATGCTGATTCCTGTCCGTGTTCTCTGGACGCTCAAGATCTCTACGGTGGAGAAGTTCAGTGCTGCCTTTGTGTTCGGTGTGGGCATCCTGACCATGATTACTGCCATCATCCGCAGTGTGTCCTTGGTGTCAAGCACAAGTGCAGGCCAAGTCAGCACGACGTGGCTCATGATGGTGCGTACTCTCATAGACCTTTGCCGAATCAAAAGCAAGGATCAGTGATAGCTGACTATCTACTCTAGTGGGCTGCAATCGAAGGAGCTGTGGGTAAGTGTGCTGCTATAGTTGCCGTTCTATACTCTTGACAGACGATGCAACATTAGGAACTGACCAAATCCCAGCAATTGTCGTCGGGTGTCTCCCATCATTTGCCATAATCATCAAAGGCCGCGTCGCCGCTTCTCGGGCTCACAACGACGGAAGCTCCCCTACCCCTAGAAACATGACCTTCTTCTCGGCACGCTCGAGGCCCCGTTCTCCTTTTAGCAGCACGCAGCCGTCCGATTGGCAAACGAACGATACGGCGAGCGACAAAGGCCTGGTTGGTGGCCGGATCGTCGTGACGCAACACAGGAATCATTCTTGGCATACCATTGAAGAACAGCAACGTTGGGGGGATGGAATCCGCGAAGCACACGAGTTACAGACGCTTCCGGTATAATGAGCGCCGAGCTTCATCAAGGTTATTAGATACTATTATAGAAATAGTATGCCTTGAATAGATTTTGGATATTACACAGCAGTATCTGATAGCGTCACTATGCTGTGAAGCCACAGAGCAACGAACCAATCTTGCGCAGACAACCGGAAGCCCCTGTCGTCTCGTTTGCGAAAATTCCTTGCTTGCTAATCCTGTAATGATAGGTACTTTGAATATTGTTGCTTTTACACCATATGCATGTTCACCAGAAGGACCGTTGCTGCCCCAGTCTGGTCCCACGGCGTCTCACTATCGATAACTTTCAGGATCTGGAGCTTTGGTCGGCTGTGAAGATGTCTTTGTCTCGTCTCTTTGTTCATTAATTTGTGGATATCTTCGTAAGCGTCTATGGAGACGTCTCCACCAGGACGCAACTCCGAAGCTTTAACTGTTGCCGCTGCGGTATTTCCCGGGTGGATTGATGAAGCGTGCTAGTTCCGACAAGGTCTTGAGTTGCTCGAGCGTTGTTGGAACCTGTGAAAGGGGTTTAAGCTGGTACCTGATTGATTTCGTAGTGTTTATGATGATATTAGCGAAAAGTTTAGGGCCACGAAAATATTGGATCCAACGCATTGTCCTGGCTTGTTGAGCCTCGTAGCGCCCTTAGGTCCGCCGAAGACAAAGAGCACTCGATATACGCGACCAAACACGCCCGGTGACAGGTTTAAGACGGAAAATGGTATAGCAGCACATCGGTTTACCGTACACTAACTATACGTACCCATTGTGGACAAAGGCGGCGGATCTGTGCCATCCTCTGCCTAGGAAGCCAAAATGAGATTCGATTGTTTGCCACCGCTACGTTGACTGGTCAGCTAAAGTCCGTAAACGATGTACGTTGGATCTCATTTGTGAATGTGTGGGACTACCAGATGGCTAATCGAGGTGAAATGCTTACTGTTCGTGCTTCAGTCATAAGTTCATATCTGGTCGCCGGCGGTCGTATTTACGCAAGATTCACTTCCAACTAGAAGGCGCCGGTGCAGTTCATTTCTACTGATGTCTTCTAAGAGAGGTTGACTCGCAAATCCCACAAGATTATTTCTAGTCACAAATACAAAACTAGTCTATGTTCGGAATTATAGAACACGAACCAGTCCAATGGCGGGACATTCCTTTAGACGTCCTGCAAGAGCGTCAACGTGCAGTTTCACTGTAGCCCAGCTGGTGAGCCATGCGGCAGTTGAAGCAGCACCTTGAGTGGACGCAGCTAGGCCTCGTATTCTGTTCAAGACTAGGCACCAATATTTGTGCAGGTAATTTACGCAAGAATTTGCCATGGCAGGAGGCCCTATAGAGAGACCAATGTGGACATTAATGGTATACATCCCATATGCAATCACACAAGTGCCGTCCTGATTGGCGAGTTTGGGCGGCTAGATGTCTGAAAATAGATGAGGCCGCGACCCCTTGTTTCAGCGTCGGCCACGAAACGGCAAAGGAGCAAGCCAAGGCTGAGGTGCTTTCCGCGAGGAGACAGATTCTGTCGAGACTCGAAAGCGTTCTTCTTAAAGAGCCCATTTCCTCTCCTGTAGTTTTTGGGAGAATTACAGATCAACCCAACTTCCTGCTCTTCGCGTCAATCAAGCCTACCTTGCTCATTTCCCTCCACCCCGTCTTTCCGTCTCAACACATTATGAAATTGAAAATCGCTACTCTTTCGGTCCTGGTCCATATCCTGGCCCTATCCCAGTCTGCAGCCGCACTGCCACGCCACGAGAAATTTAGGGCCTGGTACCCTCTCGTTTCAAACGGCACCTTTGAGGCTGTCTCAACTGGCCTGCCATGAAAACTTGTCCAACTATCGTGAAGCGTTTCATCAACACCAAAGTCTCAAGGCATTGGGCGTCGTCTGCTTGAAACACCAAAACTGTATTATAGAAAATTTGCACGAAGACATCAAGGCACGTCTGCAGAGTGCCAACGTGCTGCTCGGCCTGACTCCCGTGCTTCTGGGCCAGCTCGGACCAAGCGTGGCTGAGATCTCGCTGCTCGCTACAGAGCGGCCATTCCTCTCACTTCTCCTATCGTCTGGCTCTCCCGTGGTATACATTGACAGCGTGTTCAAGTACAAGAGTCCGTTGGAGGTTGTGCGCGGAAAACATAGCACCATCAACTTGTGGGAGACGTTGAAGGATGCGCGATGCTTGAAGAGACTCATCTCGCTGGTGCAGTATGCGCTTGCCGGCGCGGCTGTAGCCAATGTGATCTACACCTCGTTTGAGCTCGGCCTACAAACGACCATGGCTTTCAGCTGCAACAACTGGTTCTGGCCGCTTACCTGGACAATACTGTCCTTTAACATCTACCTGCCGGCTGCCTTGGACGGGATGGTCCTCAGGAGAGACATGAAACAATCCAAGCAAGACGGCGAAAGCTCTCCAAGTGTATCGGACCATCAGACTGCATCGTCCGATTCTCCAAATACCTTTTTGAACAAAAGCAGTGCGTTCTTGGCGAAAGAGACGCGTATGTGCCTTGTTCACAAAGACGTGATCGATTCAGACGGATTGGACAAACCGGCCCCGTTGATCGCAAACGTCGTTCTGAACTACCTGGCCACCTTCTTGGGTTATTTGCACATTGCAATGGGCACCCTGATCTTCTCGTCGGTCACGTTTATTGAGATTGTCGACGTCATCACCGTCATTATGCGGTATATAGCATCCGCGGTGGTCTGCCGTGCCGTATTGAACTTTGAGCTGGCCGGAATCTGCCTGGCGATCGCTCAACAGGCCAAGCCAGCTATACAGGAGGACCTAGCAAACGGCGGCTCCGGCACCGGGGCGACACAACAGTACCGACCATATAAGCCACCGTCCTCGCGGAACAGTTCTCTGTCTGACCAGGATACCGCGTATGAGAGCACCAGAGAATAGAGCCACAGACACCGTCCTTGGAGCAGCCTCCTGCCACAATTTGAACGTTCGACCTGGAAAAGACCTTGCATTGAGATCGTGATACCCCTAGTCGTAGCATTGCGTCTTGTATGTTCCTCCCGGCAGCCTCTTGCTGTCCCTGTCCTGATCCTGCTCTCCACCGCCCCCTTCTGTCTCAGTCCATTCCCAGACGCCAGAGCCCGTCGCCGAGAAAGTGCGCGTCCTCGACGACGGGGCCCTTGCCCTTGTCCTTGACCTCTTTGGTGCCAGCCACGAGCAGACCGACGGCGCAGGCCTCGAGCTTGCCCTCGGCCGTAATCACGACGGGCTCGCCCTTTTCGAGCTCGCGGCTCCAGCGGCCCTCGTCGTCGACGCCCTCGTGGCCGTCGGCCTGGCCTTCCTGCGGCGCCGGCAGGCGGCCACCAGCGCTGGTCAGGCCCGGAGCCATGAGGGTGGCGCCGCCGAGAACGTACCGGATCGCGCCACGGTCGATGCGGATGCTCGGAAAGGCCTGGGGGAAGCGGTGGACGAGACGGAGATGCGGCAGCAGCGGGACGTCACCGGGCTTGCCGGACTCGAAGAAGAGCGGCTCGTGGTCGAGCACGTAGAGGACCGCACGATCAGGCAGCTTGATCGACTGCAGCGACGCCTTCTTCGGCAGCAGCTCGTCGGCATACGGCGCCAGCAGCGGATACGTCGACAGCAGCGATTGCCGCAACGATCGCTGCACCGACGTCTTGAGCTTCTGCGGCGGGGCTGACGATATGCTGCGGCGACGGTCAGCAGTTGCACCAGGCAGACGGCACACACACACAGTCTCGTCCTACCAGCACTCACTCCTTCTTAAACATGGTCGCGATAGATCAGGACAGTGGCCTGTCGACGGGTTGCAGCTCAGAAGCCCCGCTGCAGAGAAAAATGGCTGAGGCAAGCCTTATCTTATCGCCGCTCTGGCGGGGTAGCTTGTCTCTACAGTGGGCACAGGCGCTGTAGCGTGCGAATACGGCAGTGTCGCCAGCTGTAAACAACTGTGCTCGTGTCTGCCATGAAGATCTGATTGTGCTATTCCTCTACTTGATTCCTCTACCACTTCTATCCATGGTACACATTCTCTACCGTTCCATCCTGGGCCAGAATCACATTCAGCCGTTTCGGCTCGTGGTCCTTGGACAAGATCTGTCCGGGCTGCACAATCCGCGCTTGCTTGGGCAGGTCCTGCTTCGAAAAGGCCTGCGTCGTCAGAACTATGCACGAAAAGAAGAAATCGTCTACATACCGTCTCGCTCGAGCTGCCGTCTGTTAGCGTCTTGCCCGCCAGCTTCTGCAGCCACTCCTGCGTCTCGCCGTCGCCAAGGTTGTTGGCTGTCACGCCAGGCACGATCAGAGGCATGTTGCTTGTTCTGTCGGGAGAGTATGGTATCAGATTCTGGTTGGTAGACGAATGCGTACAAATGGTGATGAGATCAGGCAGAATGTACAGACGGCAACTGCACGATCGGTACCTTATATTGGTGGCAGGTGCCTGGGCAATGACGTCGTCATTTCGTCCGTGCTGTGGAGCCGAGTGGAGAAGTGGAACGCACGCCACTCTTCGCCTTTGCTTACTAACAATCTATGGGTCACAGCTGCGTTTGTCCGATGAGATGAGAGATCGTATTAGATGCTACTGCCAGTTCTCCAGACTATATAGTAAGAGACAAGACACCAGACAACGGCACATAGGACATGGCTGAAAGGGGGTATAAGACGTGTACTACGCCGTTGTAGTAGCGGCTGAGTGAGGTATCCTTTTTTGTTGAAACGCCTGTTGACCGCTGAAACAAACACAAACCACGGGATATGCCCTATGCCAGCCCGGGGGCATGGCCATCTAAAAAGACCGGCTGTTCAGAACAAAGAAGAGCTGCACGTTGCAGACGGAGGCAGGCCGAGAAACAAACAGAAAACGCCACATGCTCGTTCAGAGACTTTTCACACATTACGTACGCTTCCCGAAAATCATGATCGTGCTCGAGAGCATCCCGCGCTCAAGCTCCCGTAAACTTTCGCCACCAGGTGTTCCGCGGCGTCGGGTCAAAAGCGGCGCCATTGCGAACGTCGCTGCCTTCGGATCCGGCCTGTGGCTCGTGTCTTTGTTCGCCACGGTCACCACGAGTGCGCTCACCACGATCACGGTCCCGATAGTATCGTTCGCGGTCCCGGTCTTCGCCGCGTCGATCGTCGCCGCGTCGGTCTTCCCGTCGCTCCTTGCGTCGACGCCCGTCGTCTTCGGCTGCCGTCGCCTCGCCGTCGTGGTAGCGTTGGCTGTGGCGGCGCCGGTCGCGTCGCTCTCGCCGTGCCGCTTCCTCTGCTGCTGCCGCTTCGGCATCGCCTACTACTGGTGGCGGCGGTGCGTCCGAGTGCTCCTTCACCCACGACGACGTGCCCGAGTGCGGCCAGCTCGGCTGCTTCCCGTGTCTGTCCCGCTTCTCCCGGTCGTGGCGCGAGTATACGTGCTGTTCTTCCGCTTCCGACTGCCGCCGAGACGACGTCTTCTTCTTGTCCGAGGCCTCGCGCATCGCCTTCTTCTCGGCTCGCCGCCGACGACGTTGCTCTTCCTCGTCTTCTCGCTCGCTCTCCGGCGCGTGCACTTCTGTCCGGTGGCGGTGTCGTCGCTCCGCGTGTCGTCCGGCTTCCGCTTCGGCCTCAGACCGCTCTCGCTCTTTGCGCAACCGTCGCCGCTCTACTCGCTCACGATCTGCATGTTCGCGCTCAGCTGCCTCCCGCTCTTCTGCTGCCCGGCGCTCTGCCTTGCGTGCTTCCCGTTCTTCGAGTCGCCGTGCCTCTTCTGCGTGTTTCCGTCGCCGCTCGCGTCGTTCTTCATCCTTGGCCCGGCGTGCTTCTTCTGCCGCACGCTCCGCTGCTTTCCGATCCGCTGCCTCCCGTTCCGCATGGCGTGCCCGACGAGCAGCGCGGCGCGCCTCCTGCTCTGCGTCTCCCATGCCAGCCCCATCCCGCCCGTCTGCCGCATTATGTACGGTGTGTCGCCGCCGTGCTTCGGGTCGTACTTCGGGTCGCAAGTCGCGAGGCGGCATCGGTGCTGCCGGTGCTGCCGGTGCTGAGTTCAGCTTTCCAAATAAGCCGGCAAAACCAGATCGCTTTGCGGACGTGGAATCCGCACGCTTCGGCGGGCTCAGAGGGTCCACTATCACTTCTTCTTCTGCTTGGCGGTGATGCTGACGACGATAATGATGATCAGCGCCTCGATCCTCCGCATAATCACGGCTATCGTGCACTCTGCTTTTTACCTTTGCTCTGCGTCGCTCCGACCGCATGATAGCCGGCTCAGCGTCTGTGGTGCCCTGCTCATCCTCTTCAACGTGCTTGGAAGTCCGCCGGCTTCCGGAACGGCCTACTCCAAGAATCCTGGCTGCCTTTCCAACAATGTCTGCTGGCTCCGGCGGTGGCGATGCGGGCCCATTCGTAACATCGACCGAGTTGCGTCGTGTTGCCCTGCTTCCGTTGCTCACGCCATGGTGCTTCTCCCGTGTCTCCCGCATCGTGGCAGAGCGCGATATCGGTGGCGTGCTGGTGAACACGCTCTGGCGCCGCATGGCCTTGGCCGGCACATCCTTTGCCTTGTCAGACCGTTCAGCCTTGTCTGAGCCAGACGAGTCTTTTGAGGAGCTTGCCTTTTCATCTCTGTCCTTTTTCACCTCCGCCTTGTGGTGCCGGGATGATGTTGGCGGCAGCTTCACCTGCCGCTTCGTCGGCACGCTGGTCGGCGGTGCAGGTGGTGCGGGTGGTGCAGGTGGTGCTGGCGGTGCAGCCGGTGCGGCGGACGACCACATATTCCAAGACGTTCCATCGCGACTGATCTTGGGGCGATCCTTTTTCGACGTTTTTGGCTCATACGGCGGTGTGGGGGGGCTGGCAGGGTCTGCAGTCGGTGCAACGGGTGCTGGTGGAGGCACAGAAGCGGCTGAAGCTTTGGCCTTGGCCGCCTTGCTTGTAGCGCCCTTCTTGCCCGGTTTCTTCGTTGATGCCATGTCGATAACGGCAACAATCTCGTCTTCGTCTTCGTTGGCTAGCCTGTTCGCCTCGTCAACATTCTCGCTCTCCTCGACCGAGAAGCTCAGCGGCGATCCGAAAGACCAGCGCGAGGGCGCCTTCCGGGATGAAGATGCTTGTGGGGCTGCTTCCGGCTCTTCCACAATAACCGGTGCTGCCCTGTCTCTCTTTGATTTCTTCTTCTCGGACAGCGTTGGCTCCGCTGGCGGTGGAGGTGGTGGCGGCAAGGTCAGCGATCGAAGCGGTGGTGCTTCGTCGACAATTGGCTCGTCCCAATCGTTCGCTGCAGCCTCAAACAGCTTCAGGCGGTCGGAAATCTTGCCGCTGACGCCCTTCTTGGTTTTGGAAGTTGACACGACTTCCCTCGCGATCGGTGGCGCGTCTTTGGTCACCTCCTCAACCACGCTACTCCTCTTTGAGCTCTTACTGGTCTTGGTGCTCTTAGCGTCCTGCCGCATGTCCAACAGATCGGCTGACTCAGTTTCTGCCGCTACTGGTTCAGCCTCGGCAACGGCCTCCGCTGGCGATGCCTCAGGCAACGAACCTGTCTTCTTGGACGACCCCCAGAAGCTGAAAGTCCCGTTGCTCTTGGGCTCGCTTTTGGGCTCGACCTTTGGTGCCAAGATCGCTTCGATCTGTTCGGGGCTGAGGTTGACCAGGTCATCCTCGATTTCCTTGAACATGTCGACTTCCTCCTCTCTGCCCTTGCCTTTCTTCTCCTTCTTCTCCTTCTTCTCCTCTTTCTTTTCCTCGTCCTCGTCCTTGTCTTTTTTCCCTTGTCTCTTTCTCGGTCCCGATCCTTGTCCTTGCTCTTGCCCTTGTCCTTTTTCTTCTCGTCTTTCGATTTTGACGATGACTTGGACTTGGACTTCTTGGCAGCCTCTGCAGCCTCTGCCTCCTCACGCTCGCGCTCTGCCTCTTCCTCTGCCTCTCGTGCAGCTTGCTCCTCAGCCTCGCGTGCAGCTTGCGCTTCGCGCGCCACTTCCTCCTCCGCCTCACGCGCTGCCTCCTCTTCGGCTTCCTTGGCAGCGATCTCTTCGGCTCGCTTGCTGGCGCTTTGGTTCAGAGCATCCAGCTCCCGCTGCTCCTTCTTGGGGAGTTTGCGCATCCTTTCCTTCTTTTCTAGGAGCATCGTCCTCCTCGCCTCCTCCTCTGCTATCTCGGCCTCTGCAGCCTCACGAGCAGCCTGCTCTTCGGCTTCGATGCGGACCTTCTCTTCTGCCTCGCGCTGAGCAGCCTCCTCCGCCTCTCGCGCCGCTTCCTCTTCAGCTTCGCGGGCGGCGCGCTCCTCTGCTTCCTTCGCCTCTTGCGCCTCCTTCTTTGCCCTCTCTTTCTCTGCCTTTCTTTTTTCCTTTTCAAGCTTCTCTTGTTCCTTCTTGCTCAGCTTGGGCTCCTTCTTCTTTTCCTTCTCCTTCTCCTTTTCCTTTGATTTCGACTTCGACAGGGAACCAAAATCGTCATCCCAGAAGCCGTTGCTGACTGGCGCCTTTTCTTCCTCTTCCTCATCAAGTGGTGTTGGAGCACGTAATGGGATTTCAGGTTCTGCTTCCGCCACCGCCTTGCCCTTCTTCTTTTTCACTTTCTTGCCGATACCCCAGCGCCACGATTCTTCCTCTTCCTCCTCTTCCTCCTCTTCGGCAATCTCTTCCGGGGGGTTGTCATCATGCTTGTCGTCGACCGAGCCGTGGCTGTCGTGAAACTCGAGTAAATCGTCCTCAGCTTCCCCACTCTTGGCGTCAGCTTCGGCGTTGTCAAGCTCGTCCGAAATATTGATCTTTTTGGTCTCTTTCTTGGTCTTCGCGCTGCCTCCCCAGCCCATCCAGCCGCCAAAACTAGCCACCGGCTCAGGTTCGTGCTTTTCTGGCTCCTCTTCAGCTACACCAATGCCCTTCTTCTTTTTCTTGTCTTTCTTAGAAGATGTCGGCCACATGTTGTCGCCCAGGTCGACTACTGGTTCTGGCTCTGGTTCAGGCGTAGGCTCCGGCTCTGGCTCAGGCTCTACGTGTTTCCCCTTCTTCTTCTTGTCCTTTTTGCTCGTAGTTCCCCATGTGTCGTCCTCTGTCTCGACGGCAGAAGGTCCTGGGGCTAGGGGTTCCGGCGTAGGCTCACGTACAGATTCCACAGCCTTGCTGCTCTTCTTTTTCTTGTCCTTGAGAGAAAAGGCCCACGTGTCAGCCTCTGGTTTCGGATCCGGGGGCTCGGGCGTAGGTTCGCGTTCGGCTTCCGCAGTCTTACTGCTCTTCTTTTTCTTGTCCTTCTTTGAAGGGGGGTCCCACGACTCCACTTCTGGCTTTGGATCTGGATGGTCTGACACAGGTTCAGGATCAGGCTCAACAGTCTTGCTGCTCTTCTTTTTCTTCTCCTTCTTGACAAACATTCCCCACGGGTCAAACTCTGGTTCCGTTTCCGATTCCCTAGGCTCGGGCGTGGGTTCAGGCTCAAGCTTAACAGCCTTACTGCTCTTCTTCTTCTTCTCCTTCTTGAGAGAGATCCCCCACGCTTCCACCTCTGCTTCCGGTTCCTCAGGCTCAGGCGCAGGTTCCGGCTCCGGGTCGACAGCTTTGCTACCCTTCTTCTTCTTCTTGTCCTTTTTCGTAGAAAAACTCAATGGATCATCCTCTAGCTCCCGGGCGGAGGGGTCAGGCATCGTTTCGGGCTCGATAGTCTTGCTGCCCTTCTTCTTTTTTTCTCCCTTTTTTGAGAGCAAATCTCCACATGTCCTCGGGCTCGTCAGTAGGTGGGTCAGGGGCAGGGGGCAATAGTTCTGGCTCTGGATCTGGGTCTGCCTCAGGCTCAGGTTCTTGCTCCGGCCCCACCACCTTGGCTTTCTTCTTCTTCTCTTTCTTGGTGATGGTGATGGCCGTAGACCATAGGTCGGCCTCCGGCTCGACCTTGGCGGGTTCTTCTTTAGCGACCTCGGGCTCCATAACAGCCGCCGACTTTCCTTTTTTCTTTCTTTCTCCTTCTTTGTCATGAAGATGATTTCTTCCTCTTTCTTTTCCGGCTCCGGCTCTGGCTCTAACTCTGATTCCGGTTCTGGTTCCGGCTCCGGTTCCGGCTCCAGCTCCGGCTCAGGCTCTGGTTCCACCTTCTTTGGAGGCTCCGGCTCAAAGGCTGCTAGAGCAGAGGCAACCCTTCCCTTCTTTTTCTTCTCCTTCTTCGATACAGGACCCCAGTTTGACTCCTCCACTTTGTTGACCTCCAGAGCAGGTGCAGGCACTGGATCCAGCAAAGGCCCCTTCTGGTTGCCCTTCTTTACTTTGTTTGCCCCAGCTGCTGGAACCCCATATATCTTCAGCCTTCTCTTCCACGTACGCAGGCCTGGATTTAGGCTCGGGTTCCGGCTCAGGTTCCGGCTCAGGTTCCGGCTCAGGTTCTGGCTCAGGTTCCGGCTCAGGTTCCGGCTCAGGCTCCGGCTCAAGCTCCGGTTTTGGGGGGGGCTTAGCAGGCTCGGGGGTCTTCTCTCTCGTTTTGCCAGTTGCCGAAGACCAGATCGAGGCGAAGAAGCTCTTAGGGGCCTCCGGTTCAGGCACCGAATGTGTCGATTTCGAGTCTTTGTTAGAGCCAGAGTCGACCACCGCCTTCTTCTTTTTCCGACTGCTCCACGAGAACCCCCAGTCTTCTTCCTCTTGTTGTGTGACTGGCTCAGGTTCGGGCGCAGGTTTAGGTTTTTGAGGCTCGGGTGCGGGTTCAATGACAACTATTGGTTCTGGTACCGGTTTTAGTTCTGGTTCCTGCTCCTGCTCCACAAGCTTGCCCTTCTTACTCTTCATTTTCTTCGGCATGGTTGTACCCCAAACATTGAATGACAAGTCGTCGGTAGCGCCAAGAATGCCATTTGGGGGCTCCGGTGGAGGTTCGAGCTCTGGATCCGGGTCGGGATCCCTCGGCGGCTCGGGCTTTTCAACGACAAGAACGGCCGCAGTTTTCATCTTCTTTTTATCTTTCTTGGTTGTGACAAAGGCTGAAAACGTTTCGTCGGAGTCAGGCTTGCTTTCTGGTTCAGGATCTTGGATCAGCTCTGACTTGGCCTCAGGCTCTGCGGCCTTCCCTTTCTTCTTCTTCTTGCTGGAGGCAGATGCGCCCAAGCCAATGTCAAAGTTGTCCATCTTGCATTCCGCAGCGGGTGAGTCGACGACCTCTTCGGGCGCAGCCTTCTTCTTGGATTTCTTGCTTCCAAACAAGTCGTACTCATCATCATAAGAGGATCTGTTCTTTGGCGGTGTGGGGGCCTCCAAGTAAGGAGTAGAATCGCTTTTCCTGCCATTCTTGTCTTTTTTCGCTGTCAGACTTGGCCAGAAGCCGCCCTCCTCCTTTTCGGCACTGTCCCTTGATTCTGCCTCCGGTTCTGGATTGGGCTCCTTGAGTGGCTCAGGCACAATAACAGCAGCAGCCCCTTTCGCTTTCTTCTTCTTTGTCGGTGCAGAATACCCCCAAAGCGATTCTTCCCGAAATGCCGGTTCTGTCTCTGGCTCCGGCTCCGGCTCGACCGGTTTAGGCTCGTCGGCCTTCTTCTTCTTGGTTTTTTTGCCCATGCCGAAAATATCCCAGGTACCTTCGTCTTCTTTCGTCTTCTCGGGTTCTGGTTCCGGTTCTACCGATGGTGCTGGCTCCGGATCAGGTTCTGGTTCGAAAACACTGGCCATCGCAGCAATCTTCCCATTTTTCTTGACTTTCTTCGGTGCTGGTAGTGATGGCCTCCAGGGATCAGTTGCTGTTGTATAATCGGCCTCCGTAAGTGGCTTCTCCGGCTCCGGTACTGGTTCCGGCTCGGCCTTTTTCTTCTTGCCGCCTGTCAAACCCCAGCCCCATCCCTCCCCCTCTTGGGTTTTGGCTGATGTGTCTGTCTTTGCGGTCCTGTCCCAGAAAGCCTCCGTTTTCTTCTCGGCAGATACAGCAGAATTTAGATTGTCTTCGCCGAAGTCGCCGGAACCGAGTGCCGTCTTCTTCTTTTTGAGCTTAGTTCGGTTGGCGCCCCACGAGTTATCATCTTCCTCGGCCTTGTCATCAGATGCGCCTCGTGCGAGACCAGTGGTAGCGGTTTTGCCAGAACCCCCAACTGATCCCCAGCCTTGCGAAGCTGGTCCACTATCGTTGAGCGTGATCTCCTGAAACGCGTCAACGTCCCCTGCTGCAGAGACATCTGGGAGTAATGCATCGCTCTTCTTGCCCTTCTTCTTCATGTCGGTCGTGGCGATGTCTCGTGCGGCGTCATCCCCCTTTTTCTTGTCGTCACCACCATCTCCGCTGCCACCGTTAATGCCCCTGCCCGCGTCGCCTCCCGCAGCCTCCTTCTTATCGGCGCCGTTGCTATTGTTGTCGTTGCTGTTATAATTGTTGTTATTTGTATTGTTGTTCGCATTGTTGTTATTGTTGGAGCTGTTCGTCTGGTTTTTCTTTTTCTTTTTCGGAGCGGCCTCCTTGAAGCCTTCTGTAGACAAAAAGTTCACGCGTGTGTCCAGGCAAGGGTCCCGAAAAAGACCAGAGTCACTCTTGTGCCTGCGACGATCGGACTCGGCCTGTGAAGGCGTGTCGCCAAGACCAGAATCTGCCCAATTTCGCTCACTCGGTCGGTCACCAGTTCGGCTTGGGTCCGATATGGGCGCGTCATCCAAAAAGTCGGATTCGGACGTGGAAGATGGGTGGAAGCTACGAGCCCATTTGGGGGTGAGGCTTGGTAATATGAATTTGCGTGTTGATGTCAGATGGACTTTCGAGACTTGTGAAGAAGCCACCAGGCCCTAACAGAAAGTCATCAGTACATGTCATCAACAAAGTCGTTTTCCAAGAAAACAGTGTAAGTCGAGGACCACCATGGCACCAAACAATTGTTTTTGACGTGGTAGCAGGATGGATATTAAGAGACCCAGTTGACCCGCCAGCGGCTTAATTTGCAAGGCTGGCAGGCCCATATACAGGAGCCGCCAGCATGCATGCAAGCAGAGGCTCTCTCTCCAGGAGGCAGTAGAGGCAAAAGGATGGGAATTTGGAGGGGAGAAAATATGGCAAAAATGTACAAATATAAGAGAAATAGAAATATCGAAACCTGACCGAAGTGGTAATATCATATGGCGCCCTCTCGTGTGTAGCCGCCTGCTTGCCGCAGAACCATTGCGCGTATATACAGAGTAAAACAGGCACATATGGCAGACGGGAAGACATGATAGTGCCAAGCGCAACACGGTACAGGGAGAGGTAGGGCGTAGGGTTTAGAGAAAGGAGCAAAACGAAGAGAAATCTCACCCGAAGTTGTGTCCAGGCCGAAGCAATGCAGCGCATGCGGATGCGCAAGTCCTCAGCAGACCAGGGGACACCAGAACAGCTGTCCTCCGCGCCATCATCCCACCCAGTCGCCTTTGTCCCATATCGGGTCGTTGAGGAGCCATATGCGACGCCTTCTACGGTAACGCTGTTGGGGCGCAACGCAAGAAGCTGGACGGCGGCCATATTGATTGTCTAGCGAACTGACGGTGCACTTGAAGGCTGTTGTCAGACTCATGGACGCAGCAAAAAGATGAGAGCTGGCAATAAGGAGCCTGGTTTGAGAGTGTCGTAGGAATGAGCTAAAGCGTCGCGGTTAGTTTGGCGACGGGTTGAGGGGCTCTGCTTCGGACGGTCGCTCGAAAATCGAGTCTGCACTACGCGGGTTGCTGCACAGTCGGGATTGAGTCGGGGCTGGAGGCGATCCAGGTACTTGAGATGGCGCGAATCTCATCGAGTTCCTACTAGTTAGAAGACGCGGCACGACCTACCATTGCCTGCCTCTGACCACAAGGAGATGGGAAGAGGGGCGGAGGGAGGGATGGGTCAAGAAAGTCGTCGCGTCGGCCAGGCCCTACAATTGCTGGTGGAGAAGTCAGTAGATGTAAAGGGCGATTTTTTAGTCTCTGGTTTTGTTTTCCGTCCTCTGTCTAGTCGGCGCTCGATCCTCATGGCTGCAAGGGGACGGAGGGCTGAGCGATAAGGGGGCCAATGGGCCGCGAGGATTCGGAATTGGGAGGGGCTGCACCAAGCAGGATTGGTGATTGTTTGGCAGTGTGATCGCAAGATGATGTAGGTACCATGCACCACAGGGCAAGTGGTGGGGGAGACGCGCAGGCGACAGGACAGAGGACGGCAATGGAGGGTGGCGTTGTGTGACACACCTGTTGTTTACCACTGCGACTGTCGATGGTTTATGTTGCGATCTGTGGACGGTGCTGTCATGCAGGAAGTGTTAGAATATCAGGGCGGTGAGAGAGACTTGCTCAGTAGCAACACGAAGAGGGGAGGCCATGCATGTCGAGGCGGGAAAGGGAGGCCAGAGGGCTGAGCAGTTTGGCAAACGCGCGTAGGCTTGGGCTCTGGATAAGGCAGAGATACATACCTTATATCGAGCCAGGGCAGAAGCCAGGTTCCCCAGGGCAGAAGCCAGGTTCCCCTGGTCCTTGTTTGCAGCAAAGCAATTGCAGGTTAGAGACAAGGAGGGAAGGGAAGAGCCGCCACGGCGGACAAGAAGAGAGCAATGCCAGGTTGACAGAGTCAGGGCGGTTGAAGCGCGAGACTGCGGGACGCCGAAGCGGGATCACGCTGGAGTCGGACGGGTGGGCTGCTGATCCGGCACAGAACGCTCTGCCTTGTCTCTGTGTGTGTATTTTTCCTCTTCGGTTCGGCTTGTCGTTGTTTGTCGTCTTTCTTCACGTCTCGTACGACGCGGTGTTGGTCTTGGTCGGGAGGCGCGTATCGCGCAAACTTTCGATTCCCACAGGGGACGTGCAGGGGAAGAAAGAGGGAAAGAAAGCCTCAAAGCAGAAAAAAGGAAGACGAGAGGGCGACAAGACAAGCGACGCTGTGATCAATGGACCGGGGGATGGCTGGGAACGGCCGACGATTGGCAGACGGTTTGGCGTTTCTAGGCCACTCCGGGGGGTGGACGGGGTACTAGTGTGAACAAGAGCGGATCGTCACCTCGACGGTGTGGGTGGATTGCGGATTGGAGAGGTGATGGGAGGGCGACGACCAATGGTTGTCGTACGAACGCTCTCGCTGTCTGTGACTGTTTGCCTTCGTGGAGATGGGAAGAGTCCGAGGAGGCAATGCGATGTTACGAATACGCCGAGACTCTAGCAATTGCCCTGAAGGGCGGACGGGAATGGCGCACCTTCCTTTTTCAGGCCGAGCAGGCAACAGCTAGATAATAAGGTGCCAAGTAAGATATTTCGTGCTGTGGACGAGAAGAGCAAGAGCCACCCTGGCCAGGTCTGTCAACACAGCCAGTCAATAGTTCGTAATTGCATCGCCTGTTTTGCCTCGCCCTACGTATTTTGCTGCGTTTGTCTTGCCTAGCGAATCACCCCTCTATTTTCGTGTCTAACCCCTCCGGCCTGGAGTCCTCAAATCCATCCCCTGGCCAGCGCTGGTCCTATGGGAGGGGAGAAAACTCGGTGGCCGGGAAGCTAAGACGACTGCCTATGGGAAGAAGACCTCTGCGCCGTCACAGGGCGAGGGGCTGAAACAGATCACCCACGAGCCGACCCTGAGCCTAATGGACGTGAATACGTGGTAAGAAGTGCCCGTACGGACTTGTCCACGTTCCAACACTGCCCGCTCGGTTGATGATAAAACCCCAGGCGCCGCCTTCCAACGGATTCCAGCATCGCGTCCGCTCGCGTCATGTCTAAAGAACCTCTCCCGGGACGGGTCGTCCTGGCGCGTACGTGCGCGTGGCGAATGGGGAGCCCTTTGTCTCGCCTGTGTCGTCCTGCACCAACAAAATACGTCGCATGTACCGCTACCTGGACCGTTGGGGCGCTATGCGCGGCAGGCGACAGCGCTGCGTTCAGGGTACTTTGCTGGTGGAAGGAACGGCAAGATGGAAAAATCGGCTTGGCAAGCAGCCAATGTGGGGCCTTGGGGACCTTTCAGGTTGCCCTCATCTGCACGGTGGTGCATGATGCAGATGTTCCGCACGATGGGCGGCAGCCATTTGTCGTGCTAGCGAGCTGGCGATGCAGCCACACCCTTCTCTGATAGTTCGGAGCAAGCACGGAGCGAGATGGCGACGCATACACGCTCCCGGCACCTGTCTGCGCTCTCAATGAGCGCAGCCGGTCACCTGGGAAAGGGTCCTTTGGACATGCTGTCAGGCCGATACCAGCCACTGTACTCCGTACTGCCAAGTTCTCTTGTACTCGTACTCGTATTATTACTCATACAGGCACGGGGCCTAACGCGCACGTGCTAACTAAGCTATGCCGCTATGCCGCTCAGTCGCCCCATGGGCGCCACAGTTGGGCAGGTCTGCATTACGGCCGCAATGCCATGGTAAGACTCCATCAGATCTCAGCCATGGCCATCTGCTCTGAGCTGGCGATGTTGAGCCGCGCACGCGCTTCCCCGACTGACAGCTACGTAACAATATTACGGAGTGCATGTATCCACCTGTAATCGCAGCCGACGCAAACGACAGAGACGACAGAAACGACAGGCAAAAAACCCCCGAGGTGGAGGCAGTCTGGCACTTGCCATGCCTCCCAGCGATTTGAAAGCTCAAAGCAGTTTAGCGTCTCGCTCACCGCCTCCTCGACATCTGGCTGCTCTTACGGCGTACTATGTATGTACGGAGTACATCCGGGGAGGCAACGCGAGAGGCGGAAGGAAAAGGGAAAGGAAGCAGAGATTGGCAGGCTGGCAGGCTGGCAGGCTAGCAGGCTGTGAAACTTGGACTTGCCGTGCAGGAGTCACGGCTCACCACAGCAGACCACGTATTGATCTGAAAACTTACGTGCGAAGAGGCGGTTGGGCGTCGGCGGTTCTGCAGACCGCCTCTTGAGCCTCGCCGCAATCGGTTCGCATGTGTTTTGTTTCACGTTCGCCTTGTCTTGCCTCGTCTTGCCTCGCCGTGCGTTTCCAGAAGAAAGCGATTTTCCTGGACAGTCATCGCAGTGGAGAAGCGGAAGAGCGCAACCTTGTGGGGGAGTCGACTGGGACAAAGTCTATTTGGCCGGCAGCTAAAGCAGAGCGGACATCGTCACGACAAATACGGAGCAGGCCCTCGCATCGGTTAGGTTGCAGACGGGCCAGCAGGGGTTCCAAGACCGGAATCAGAACGGTCGCTCTCCATCCAGAGTGGTGACAATGGCTGCAAGGATCTCGAAAGCCACAGCTCTAGTACTCACCGCTGCACAGCCACTTCACCGGCACGTGATATGAAGTCAGCACAACCCCATCACGTACATAGTAGCTATAATTAGGAACAGAGGCGGCATTTCGTCATCGACTTCGAACAGAACAGACTACGAGTACGGGACGGCCAAGGGGAAGGAGGCTTTGTTTTACCACCCACCTCAGACATCCACAAGGCCCCTCTTTGTGTGTTCTTGTGTTCCTGCTTCCGGTTGCTGCTAGCCGAAGCCGGCCAATGTCGCCAGTCGTGCTGTGAAAATCGTCGTGCCTGGCGCACAAGCAAAACGGATCTGCGTCGTATCTCTCGACAAGGGATGAGAGGCGATATCCCCCCTTTCTTAGTCGACAGAGCTTCCCCTCTATTCTTGGTCCTTTATGTCTCCGTTGTTTCTTCCGTCTTTCTTCGCCTTCGCCTTTGTCACTCTCCTGCTGCTTCTGTTCTAGCGTCATTGGTGGAGAGTCTCGTGTCCTTTCAGCTTACAGCAACGCTCTGCGTCTTACCTCGGCGCCACGGAACGTACTTCGTATAAAGCCGGCCGGCTGAAGATCGAGTGCACGAAGAGAACGGACCAAAGCAGACAGCAGAAAGACGAATCTGTGCAGCATGCCGACCCTCACGTTCCACCTCGCCATCCCGCTGCCGGCAGCACTGTCGCCCGGACAGGTCATCCAGGCGATGCACCGCTACGAGCCGCTCATCACGCCCAACCCGTTTCTGGTCTCGTACCGCCGCCGCCCGGTCGACCTGCGCGAGATCGTCGACGACGCCTTCTTCCGCGACGACGGCCAAGCGCTGGCTGCCTTTGAAGTCGTCGACCGCATCGTCCTCGTGCCCGGCCTGGCCACCAAGCAGGTCGTCATCCCTTGCGTGATGCAGCGCTTCGATGACGGCCTGCGCTGCCGCAGCTTCGCCGCCGGTGGCGTGCGCGTTTGGAGCACCTGGCGCGTGCAGCCGGCCGTCACCGGCGCCGAGGCCCTGGACAACGACGTAGATGGCAGCCCGCTCCCGTCTGCTGTCGCCTATGAGCTCGTCGAAGAGGCCCGGGTCGAGTGCAGCGTTCTCGTCAAGCCGTTTGTCGGCCGCAGCTTCCAGGCCGCGCACATGGATATCCTCCGGTCGGTCGTCCGGGAGATCATGCAGCAACAGGCATGATTGTACATCTTGGTTACTCTTTTTTGTCATTTTGTCTTTAAGCGCCGCCTGTTGTCATGAATATTCGGTATTCGCTCTCATGGCGGCCTTTTCCAAGATACCCCCTTAAATGCACTTATCCTGCAATTGGTCTTGATACACCTTCAGTGGCTGGCAGTCTGTGTACTGCATGATGTCTGTATCCACGAAACCTGTTGCACAAGTTTGCTGTATTTCTATTTCTGTGTACTGGGTCAGACTGTTCTACTTGCTTTTGGTGCCTGCTGCAGCATCACTCTCACGCCGGGACCCTCACTCCTGGGGCCCGATCGTGTACACGAGCTTGCCGCCGCTGACCTTGTCGGCTTTGAGCTCCTGGAGTCCGACGAGGACGCCGTCGAGGCCGGCGCCGCCACGGTTGACGATCGGCTTGACCGGCTTCAGCTTGCCAGACGCGGCCAGGTCGGCCGTCAGGGCGATGAAGCGCGTGGCAAACGCAAAGTCTGCGGGCACGGCCGGGAACGCGATGCCCTTGACAAAAGGCTCGCCGAGGGCCGTGTAGAAGAAGGTGCCGGCGCTGTCGATGCGCCGGTCGACCGCCGTCAGCACGTCGGCCGGGACGGGCAGCAGGTTGCGGTACAGCAACGTGGCGGTGCTGTCATCGCCGGCGGCAGCAGAGAGCGCCCGGGCCGACAGCCGAGCCGTCTGCTCGGACGAGATGCAGTCCCAGACGAGGCGCAGGCCGCCGAGGCCCCAGGCCTTGACCGTGGCGGCCACGTCGGCCACAAAGGCATCGGCGTCGTGGTAATCGAAGACGGCATCGGCGCCGAGCGACTGCAGGTACGCGCGGTTGTGCGGCGAGGCCGCCGTGATGACACGGTAGCCCGACAGCTTGGCGAACTGGATGCCCAGCACGCCTGTCGCCGTCGAGCCGCCGTAGATCAGGACCGGCTCTGGCTTCGTCAGCGGCTCCGTCGGCAGCTTCATCTTGAGCGCCTGGTACAGGCCTTGTCCCTATGGGCCGTCAGCGTGGGAAAGACGGAGGCCGAAGGACGAAACAACGCAGCAACATACCACCGTCCCAGCTCCCAGCCCCAGCGTGGCCGCCTCCACGTTGCTGAGGTTCTTCGGAATCGTAAAGGCGAGCGCGGCCTTGACCACAATGTGCTCGGCAAACGTGCCATCCTCGTGCTGGCTCTCGTTGCTGAACGGCTGGTCAGCAGATCGATCAAAGCAGCTACGCAGTCATCCGTCCGGCGTCTCCGCCAACTCACGATCCGTGGGCTGTTCCGGCAATGTGATCGCCCGGCTGGAACTGGGTCACGCCACTGCCAACCTCCACAACAATGCCGGCATAGTCACAGCCAACACGAGCGCCGGTCGGGTCGCCCAACACATGATCAATGTGCTTCCAATCGGTCGGATTGAGGGCCACAGCAGTGGTGCGCACCCGCAGGTACCCGTCACGCAGCTTGGGCGCAGGCGCCGCCTCGTCAATGGCAGCCACACCCTTGCCACGGATCACAATGGCCCTGGTGGTAGCCGGCCACGATTCTGTCGAAGTCATTGTCAGTGTGCTGTGTGCTTTGGATTATGCCGTTGGTGTCTGGGGACCGAAACTGAATGCTAGATTTGGAGGGGCATATTCTTATACTTGCCGGTGGAACAGGACGTTTTAAAGTGGTGTGCCCGTATTGGTAATAATAAGTTGGTAATCGATAAAAATGGCCATTGAAGCGTTGAAACTTTGTTCCCCCTAGCTGCTCCATACTATATGCTCTTTATGACGTGTAAAGGTAGTAGTTGGAAAGTAGTTTCTACACTTGACGGCATGTGCATGTCAATGCTAACCTGACGTGCTACACTTCATGCACTGTCTTAATGGAGCGATGTGGTAAACCAAGAAACGTTAAACCGAAAACGGCAAACCAAGAAAAAACATAGTGGGGAATCGGGGTGGTAATATAACAACAAATACCCTTGAAAAACAGCTGCAGAACGGTATAACCATGATGGAGAACAAAACGGACAGACCGTGTCCACGGCAACAGCATGAAGGTAGAGACGTAGACATAGGCATCCGAATCGGGCACCCGTTCTCACAAGGGTGGATGAATAAACAGTAATCGTAATAAAGAAATCCCAAAAAGCAAGTCTATCTTGAAGTGATGGCGGACGGATATACCCAAAACGGCCGGAAAATGAGCCAGTATCATGATGCGTGACAAAGAACCAGGGCAGAAAAAGTGGCACGTGTCAACGGCCACCATAATCAGATGCATAGCCCATGTCGCCAAAATTCTCGCCCATCCCGCCCTCACCATAGCCGGTGCCAGGCCCGGAAACATAGCCACCATCATCACCGTCGTCCAAGTCGCTCGCGTCAAAGTTGCTGCGCCCGCTGATATCGTCTTCCATTCCCGATCCTGCGCCGCTCATGTCGACAGCTGCCCAGTTCACCTGTGCCAAAGCCGGGTATTGCGCCAACAGTGCCGCCGGGAGAATGTAGTTGCCCGAAGCATCCATCGGATAGCCTGTGTTCGGGTCGACCTGCGGCGGAGGTTGCGAGAGCATCATGTTCTGCTGTGCAGCCGCTTGGGCCGCCATGTTTTGCTCCTGCCAAGCCCGGTGCCGCTCGAGAGTCTCTTCGTCGAGCAGCGGCTTGATGCAGATCCGTCCGGCCTCTGATCGGAAGTGTCGGCCGAGAGCATCGGCGCGCGCAAACCGGCGGCCGCACCCCCACTCGCCCCCGATCTTGAGATCGCCTTTGCACACAAACTTCTTCTCGCCACTGTGAAGGCCCTCGTGTCGCTTCCGGTCGTGCTGTCTCGCAAACGCCTTGCTGCAGAAGGAGCAGACAAACGGTCGCTCGTCTGTGTGTGTGCGCAAGTGCGAGCGCAGGTTGTACGCCCGCGTGAAGCGTTTTGGACACAGCGAGCATTGGAATGTTGCCGGGTGCTTCTGGGCGCGCTTCGCGCCTGTCCCTGTCGCACCGTTGACGATACCATTGTCCATTGTCCCCGCCGCAGCGAAATCTGGATCCGCCAGCCGCAGAGCCATGGCGTTGTTGGGGGGACGGCCGACGTACGATAGCCGCCGCCGGTTTCCAGCAACCGCGCTGCCTGATCGCTCAAAGGGAGACAAGGATCGAGAGCTGTCGGAACGTGGTGTTTGATCGCCTCTCATATGCGGCGAGAGACTGCCGGCATTGTGCTGATGGCCCACTGCCATCCCTCCGCCGTTGTATGGGTCTGTGATCGCACGGCGTCTTTGACGTCCTGAAGAAAGTGGCACAAGTGTCAATATCATCCATGTCATGGCGGTCCCCACCTCGGCTAAAGCAGCTTGTCTTACCTCGGTCGGGGGGTGTCAGCGCATCCGTGTCCATGACCGGCTTGCCTGCAAAGGCATTGCGGTTGGCCGTGTTGGGCGGTGCATATTGTATTTCGATTTTCGGCGCCGACATCTGAGACATTTGCTGGGGGATGTCGCTATTGGGCAGCTGTGGAAAGGCCTCAGAGCCATGGCCGGATGGCATGTAGTACGAATAGCTGTCGGTTTGGTTTTGCAGCAAAAAACCAGAAGCTGTGCCCATCTCTGCCACCGACTGGGGCAGAAGTCGTGGCGAGATGGCGGGACTGTGAGAGGGGCTGCGGCCCGCTTGGTTGTTTGAGATGCTGAAACTGTTGATGCCACGCAGCTCCCGGTACACGTCGCCGGCCTCTTCCGGTTGTAGCATGGGAGAGCTCGTAATCTGATCTGCAGGATCGGAAAATGTGTCCTGGCCCGCTATGGATGGTGAATGTCCTCCGATGGATGAGGCGTCGGAAAACTCGGAGCCGTTTCGCCGGTGTCCTTGGAAATGGGGCCCCGTCCATTCTTGGCCCGGGAGCAGAGCAGCCTCAGGCCTGAGAGAGACATGCCGGGAGTGGCGCCCAGTGGGCGGGACAAATTGGTGGGTATTGAATGATGGAGACTGGTGGGCCGAGCCCGGGAGTGCGTCAATAGTGAGGAGATGAGGAGGGGTAGGGCTGTGCGATGCCTGTGAGGTAGCCATGTTGATGTCTTGTACGCCGTACTGCTCTTGCTGATCAAACAGCGGGGTGGAGAGCTGTTCCGACGTTGATGAGGGGTATATGGTAAAATCCTCGCCGTAGGCTTGCTGGGGATCTAGATAGCCTTGGTTGAAGGGGGGGTTGGCAGGCTCGGTCTTTAGCTGGTCTACGAAGGATTGATTGTGATCAAAGGCGAGGCTTTGCTGTTCTAGCCCAGGTCGAGTGGTAGCTAGGTAACCGTTGCTATAGGCGGAGAAGCCAGGCTGCGAGGAGAATTGCTGGGAAGAGGGGTCGATGAGGCCAAGGCCGATGTTGTGGTTGCTCGAGATGGCTTGGAGGTTATTGTTGTAGGCGCGAGCAGGGGATGGCGATGGAGAGTGGCTTTGCTTTATGTTAAGCGATGGCGACCGGCCGCGGGAAGGCTGTACTGAATCCATCGTATCCGTCTATCTGGGTATCCCCCTTGATTTTCTCCGCGCTGCGCTGGTGCTTAACGTTTCTAGGAACCACCCGCCGTGCCAAGCAATGCTGACCGTTGCAGCGATATCAGGGTGTTACCACTAGCCCGGCGACAATGAGAGGCCCGGGGGATGTATCCGCGTATGCGCGTTGCTGGTCTGGGTGCTGTCTGTTATACCGTCTTTATCGGAAAGGGCAAGGCAGAAAGCCAGTCAGCCTTTCGCATTTGCGGAGGATATGATGATTGTGGCAGTGCTGCCAGTAGTGGGGAGGGGCTGTGCAAAGGAAACGCGCTGGCAAGTCGACAAGTCAGCAGGCAGCAGTATAAAAGGTGAAACACGGGCACTCGGCCAATTGCAGGCGGGACAGAAAGAAGAAAAACAAGGATGATCGCCGGGTTTGCGCCAGCCCCACCGCGCAGAGCTCAATAATCGCACGGAACGAGGAGGAGGAGGGCGCACTGTATCATAGTGCAGGAACCAACAAACCTTAAGTAGCCCTGGCCAGCATAACACAGCTATCTTACTCTGAGAGGGATTCGTGTGTTTTGCGACAACGGACCGGAGTCAAGCAAAGAGCCACACCAGTTGCACGTGTCAGAAGCCGAAGGCGCTGCGACAACTGCGGAAGAGGAATAGATATTCGAAGCTGTCTTGCTTGCGCTTCCACGTGTGGCGTTCCTGAGCTGGGGGGCTGATCTCGAATGCAACGTGCTACCCAGCTTGCTGCTCGGTACAGGACACACAATGTGCTCAGGGAAGTGCCAGAAAGTTGCGACAGTCGAGACGAAGAAACACCGTAAGACAAAATGGCACCAGCAGTCGATACAATGTGCAGTCGGATGTTGCTGTTCAAAGTGAAAGATGTGGAATGTTCGTGGTCTTTGTATTGCAAGAACCAGCCGGGGTTTGCCCTTTCGGCAATCAGACAATTGGTGTTGGTTTCGATCGACAGATACCGATGCGCTGGCACTTTGTCGCAGAGCACAGCCTAGGCGAGAGCCTCGTCGGCAAGCTTGAGGCTATATAAGGGAACGCTTGACGAGTTCGCGCAAATGCGAAATGCGGCGTGTGCACGAAGGGATGGGAGGCTGAGAAGGGCGGTGATCAGAACACAATTGTGCAGAGTACGGCGTAAGGCTGTAGGTCGGGCCGGTGGACGGCACGCAGGCGGTGGGCAAGACGTGGCGACGGGCTGTACTTGGAAGAGAGGTGTGTACGAGTAGAGAAGAAAGGAAATGAAGGAAAGGGGATGAATATTAGAACGGGAAACGGTGACAGCCCAAAATTGGCACTTGGCGCTGGCAAGCGCTCGGAATAGAAAGCACAACGGGGTCCTAATTTTGTATCTTACATTGTAAATGGAGGGGTGGCACGGAGTAGGAAGGCGGGGGTACTATGTAAAGATACTCGTACCAGTATCTTGCAAGGGAAAGAGCGCGCATGCAGGGGTGCCAGAGCTACGACCCAAGCATTTTGAAATTTATAGCACGCAATGCATGCACGGTGTATTTGTACTGTTCTATGTAGCGCGACCACACAGTGCGCGCTTGCTCTTCTACGAGTAATACTCGGATCCTGCCCAATGGTCTGCATGCGGCTCCCGTCTGCTTGAGATGCCACATGTCAGGCCATGCACATTGCCTGCCTCACTTTCGAGGGTAGGAAAATAGAGAGAACTCCCGAGAAGGCGGCTGTGATCCGGCGGTGAAGCATTATTGCATTGGGCATCCGCAGAAAACTGCAAACCGTACGGTGTAGATAGCGTGCCATTGTGATGGACGGTAAGAGGAAATAGTTGCAAATTCTATGCAGAATCTGCTTTACGAAAAACTGCGCCTCGGCAAAGTGCAGGGAGGCGCAATTAGCGAAGAGGAGCCTGAGTGCCTTTTTAGGTGCCTGACGATCAAGTCTCTGGCCCAATCGGGTTGAAGCCCTATTACTGCGCTGTACGAGTAAGGTAAGGCTGCTGTTTCTTGCTGGACATGGTGTCATGACTGTATGTGCAGCCTTTGACTTGCATCTGTGACGAGCGCAGTAAAAAAGTACATTTTCCGTGCTGTATGGTACCGGGGCCGACTGTTGCAAGGTATTTCATAGTACAAACAAGGAAGAGCAGGAGAGCACAAATCGAAGTTGAGTCTTGGGAGATCCTGTCGCGTAACTCATATCCAGAGGGGAGAGCTCCCGGGCATTGCTGCAGATCACGCCGCTTACTAACCGGGCTCCTATATGACCTCTTCGCGCTCATAGCCGGCAGGCCGTACCATCGGCTTGGGCGGTGCGTTGCCGGACTTGTATTCGCTCACAAACGGGTTTGGATCTTCGTTTTGGTCGAGATTTCCGAGCGTGTGGTTGACGCCACGATGGCTTGCTTCGTCGGCCTAACGTCGGTCTGTCAGCAGGAACGCCCAAGCGGCGCATTTGCCCGAGCTGGGATGCATACCCGAATATACAGGATCAAGTCCTTCATGGTGCGCCTGTCCTCGGGCATGTGCCAGTACTTGACGGCAATCTCGGGCACCTTGAAGGCGGGGTCGCTCCAGAGCGGCGTGCCGCCGGCGTCCATCTCAGCCAGGCAGCGCGTGTACGTGTGGACGGCCTCTTCCTCGAGGTAGCCGACGAAGCGGTGGCAGATGCGTGGACTGATCAGGTACGACAGGAACATGGCGTTGAAGTAGACGCCCTGGGCGCCGAGGATCATCAGCTTCATGAACCGGCCGGGCTCGCACATCTTCAAGAAGGTCAGGAGGTGCATCCGCTCGTTGAACGACTCCTCCAGCAGGGTCTCGATCCAGCCGTTGTCGCGCTTTAGCTGCCGGATCGAGCGCAGGTGGCGCAGCATGCCGGCCACCATGCCCGGGACGCCGGCGATGGACTCGAGGAAGATGAACCGAATCAGCCACTGCGCCTCCGTCAGCGGCTTCTCGGCCACCACCGCCGTCGTTGGCTTCCGGACGTCCGTCTGCTGGCTGCTGCTCATGCCCGTGGCCGTGTCCATGCCCCAGCGGCAAATGCGGATCAGGCGCCAGGCCAGCCGGTCACCCATGGTCTCGGGCGGCCGGTGGCCCGGCTTGACCGCCAGCATCTCCTCCGCGGTGTATCCATGGTGTTGCCAGGCCGGGGGTGTCTGGCGGATGTGCTCTGTCTCATGGGCCGGGAAGACGTCACGCTTGCGCACGACAGCCGTCGTCGAGAAGCAGTCAGCAACTGTCAAAGGCCGCCTGGGCAGAGCACGTGCAAGCTGCTTGCCGACCAGCCGTGGTTGGCTCAAGGCGGCCGCACGAATCCCTACTGTGGTCATTCCGGAAGGACAGATATATGGATGGATCTGGCTGGCAAATAAGATGGCAGAAATGCGTTTGTTGGTTGCTTGGTCCAGTCAATATCTGTAAGACAAAGCCAGGCAGAGTCCATGTCTCTTTCCAGTTGACATTGTATATATACGAGTAAGATCGTGTTAGTAAGACAGGCCTCGGACATTCACCGTGTCAGCCTGGTACCTGTGGTCACGGAGCTGAGCGAAACGCGGAGGCTGTCCGGGCAGTACGAAGACAAGCCGGCAGAAGCAAAGACACCTTCTCCACGAGTGACTATCAAAGTTTTCATGATTCGCCCGGTAGCCCACAATAGACAACCCCGACTGAGTAGTGAAAGTACACCGAGTATTCTCCGAGTAAGAAGACGGCGAAATAATCGACCTTTCAGACGAATGTTAGCTCTGACAGCTTAGCGGAAGCGGCGATCGAAGTTCCCGACCAGTCACCGGGTCATGTGATGAGCAATATTTCGGAAGTTCTCGTTTGAAGAGCTGGCTTCCTGCCGCTTCATTTTCGTGCACCAAACACAGAGAACAGAACGCGTAACATGCCCATCCGCCATGCCATATCCCAAGTCTACCAATCTACTATCATTACATGCAATTTGCCGATTGCCTCCTTCTTTGATCTTGCCTTTTTCGTCATCGAAAGGAACAAAGATCAAGGCCACATACCCTCTGGGTTGATGTTGGGATGGCGTCCGACGACGGCGCTGATGTTGTCCCGGAACTCGTCTCCCAGCTGGTCGGTCACCTGTGATGGGCCGGCTTCGGGCAGCGTGCCACGGCGCAGGGCGAGAGCCCAGCTGAAGCTACTGCGCACGAAGCCGTAGAACCAGGTGCTATGGACGAGCACTTCAAAGTCGACCAGGGCCTGCTGATCCCACGTGAGCGTCTGCAGCTCGGCGAGCTCCTGCTCTTCCAGGAGGTCCTCCTTGGTGAACACCTGCAGGCCCTCGGCGGCGGCGTCTTTGCGGAACCGCTCGCGGTGTTCGTCCGAGCCCGTGGCCAGGTAGACCGTCGTCAAGTTGCGCTGCTTGGCCTCGGTGATGAAGAAGGGCGCCTGGGCCTCGTAGCCGGGCCAGCCAGCCGCCGCCGCGTCGGCAGCCACGCGCATGTGGGCGCCCAGGAAGCCAGCTGGTGCTAGCCGTCCAGGACCGAGCGAGTTGGCCTGAGAGGTGGACGGCAGCTCGGCCGTCGGGGAGTCGGCCGAAAACAAGATGCTGTCGGCGACCACGGGGCGGCCCATCTTCTGCTCGAGGCTCCACAGCGCCGCGGCCGCCAGCCGGCGCGTCTGCAGGGGATAGCGAAACAGGCGCGGAAAGGCATTGCCAAACGCGGGCGAGTTCGCCTCGCGGTTCCATTGGGCCAGCACCATGTCCTGCCAGACACGTACCGGGCTCGTGGCCGACACGGCCGGTGCTGGCACCTTGGCCAGCCAGGCATCAAAGGCTTCGCGCCAGCCGGTCGGGTCGACGATCAGGTATTTGCGCATCGGAAAGGACTTGACTCGGCTGGGCGCTAGGTGTGGTGATCGATCTGACGGCGTTGGCGGCAGGTCGGGCACCTCTGCGTCCGAGACGACGGCCTGGATCCGCGGGCAGACCTCCTTCCACGAAACCAGGAAGTAGTCGACGTCGAAGAGGTAGCTCAGGTCGACCGAGTGGTCCTTGTTGCCCAGGTCGATCAGGTTGTCGCTGCGGGCGCCTAATCGGGGGAGAATCAGAGTTGTAGCTAGTACCAAAGTCAGTCTTGCAAGCCAAGGACACAAGAGTGAGCGGCAGAACACGCACCTCCTGCTTCCATAGCATATCGCACGCAGTTCAGCCACATGTTTCCCACGTTGCCGATGCCTCCAACGACGGTGTCGCAGTGCCAGACGAGACCCTCTTGGTACTGCGTCTCGTTGCATTTCTTGCGGATGGGCTCGGGGTCGAGGAGGCCCTCTACTGGGTCGCGCAGGACGGCATTGATGTAGTCCTCTTTGGTCATTTCCGCTCTAGACGGACGAGAGAGTATAGCTGGCAGCAGGTCGTGCTCCCTTGAGTAGACAGCCACGCCGATGATAGCAAAGAGGACGATGGCTGTACAGGCAAATAGCCGTTGAAATCGCGAGTGTAGCCGATACTTTTCGGGGAAACCCAAGGAACTCTGGTTGGAGGCCATAGCCGTGTAGGATGGACTCCGGGCACCGAAATCCCGGTACGCCGCAATCCAACGGCTGAAATTCATGGCTAGCTTAGCTACAGAGGAAGGCGGACGGTTTTTTTCGCATCTGGACGGGCGGTGTCGAGACTCTGGTACTTCTTGGCGGCGAGGTTGTAACCAGAAATGTTGTCAATCCACAATGCGCCGCAGCTAAAGCCACCACAATAACAATCAAGCACGTATAAAGGAGGCCATGATGGAACGCTTTCCTTTTTTGTACTTTGCGAGAAGCGGTAAAAGCCAACTATTAATACGAGCAGAAAAGGCATCCCTGTATTCATCCCTTCAAAGGGTAGCACGCGCTGGCGGGGGCTTGCTCGGACACTAGTACGACAGCTGGTCCGGTATAACATGAGACGCGTAAGGTCTGCTACATACGGAGTAGAACCTTGCCTAAGCCCACCTTGAGTCCCCCGTTCTTTTTGACTGGGCATAGCTGTGGCTTTTTACGTCGTAAATTCCGGATTTGGAAGGAAGTGCTGAGAAACTCTAGTTAGCCACAAAGTTGCCAATCTGCTCCGTAACGTGAATGGGTGATCCAACGAAAAATAGCTTCGCCTATCCTTTTCATTTCGTTTCGCCCCGGTGACTATGCCTGTTTCCAACGAAACTTTACTGCGTCTGCCAGACACGTCAACTCAGACGGGCCGCTGACCAATGAGAAGTTCGATTACAAAATGCTACATACATGTTTTCGGACACGGGAGGAATCAAGAGCAACGTCGTAGTTGTCACTGTTTTCGAATGGTGATAAACCCGTTTTTAGCAAGGCCAACGACTAGAAGACCCCTGCTACGTGTGCAGGGGGCCACCTTCGTACTATGGATGTGTGGTCTTCTCGTCTAATCTATCACAAAATACGGAGTGGCCCGCGCACTTGAAGGGGACAATGGTAGGTGGGGGCGCTAATTTATCTGCCGGGAGGAGTCCCAGTTGACGTGCGTTTCTCTGCCAAGTTTTCTACTCCGTAAGCGCATGGACTACATAGTAGCCTCACCTACGAATCGGTTGTACCCCCGTACGATGAGATGAGATGCGTCGAGGCCTCTATGAGTGCGTGGAAACGGCAGTGCGTGTGCATCGCATGTACGTGGAATGTAAACATTGTTGTAGCGAGAATACATCTCAATAACCGAAACTCGTATTGGAATGAGGAATAGGGAGAAAAGGTAGAATTTTATTCCTCACGTTGTTTTCAGTCAATAGGAAAAACTTGAACACCACATGCATATCTTACGCTCTTATCTTATAGCACAGACCGCAGTATGTATGTATCTTGCAGAATATGTACTTCGTATTCCGTACGCATGCCTGAACAATCCTTCAGATCCTTTTAAGCGTCCGGAGTGATGAGATCCGTACGGAGTATATTTATTTATACAGCACCGTCACATTTGCACTCTCGACAGCCCGGATTAGGACATCCATTTATACAAGACCGAACTAGCGCCGTGTTGCGACATTACATAATCACTAGGCAACTATTCCAAGCCCCTCCACGGCGGCGACGAAATCTGCCGTTAAATTTTTTAACTAACTTCCCACCAGTCTCTGCCGCCGGTTTTCGCACTTGTGTGCATTGCCTTTATCCGCGATAAACAGGAAGGATCAGTCTCGACTACACGAACTCGTCAACGAGTAACGACCGCGAAGATGCCAGGCAAACAGTGGGGTAAGTGAGATGACAGAACTGCGTTTACCCCCCCAGAGCACACCCCCTCGCCTTAGGCTGCGATTCCTGCGATGGCGACACCCGACCATAGACAAAGATGTGCGCATAAGCGGAAGCACGGCTGTCTGCAGAGATTCAGTGGAGCAGCAGAGCAGAGACAGAAAGAGACGGGACGAGCATAATGGACGGCGCGCCGACATTCTGTTGTCGAGAGGGGGAAGAACAGATGCGCATGATAGAGGACTGATTTCGTGCGCTGGGTCTATGCTGTCACAGTGTGAACATGAGCTGACGTTGACTCCCATCTGACAGATGACGAAGACGAGTCGTCGAGCGGCTCGGAGGCCTCATCGAGCCCGGCTGTTCCGGCCGGTGCCCTGAGACGGGCGACCAAGTTTGAGGACGAGGAGGACAACGACAGCGACGTATGTTTTATGGATCCTTCTTTCGAAATATGACTGACCGGCGGCGGCTGCAGGTGCTCGACTCGTGGGACGCGGACGACTCGGAGGTGGAGCGCGAGAAGGCAGCGGTGGCGGCCAAGGCCAAGGCGGAAGCAGAAGCAGCCAAGGCAGCGGCAGCGGCGGCCAAAAAGTCCAAGGGGCTGCGGATTGCGGAGAAACAGGCACAGCGACAGGCAGAGCTGGCGGCGCTGGCAGAGCCGCGCGAAAACGAGACCGAGACCGAGCGGCGCGAGCGGATGCGGCGCCACGAGCAGGAGGCCGACCTGCAGCACGCGGCTGACCTCTTTGGCGACGCCGGACTCTCGGCTGGAACCGGTAGCGGCGTGCGAAAGTCGGCGGCCGTGCTCAAAGCCTCGGCTGTGGCCGTCGACAAGGCCGACCCCAGCAAGACGGTCGATCTGGCGGCACTGCCGCTGCTCAACCCGATCACCAAGGCCCAGTTCGATGCGCTCTGCTCGACGCTGGCACCGCTGATTGCGGCCAACGCCAAGAAGCCCCACTACTCCCTCTTCGTCCAGGATCTCGTCAAGGAGCTCTGCCGCGGACTTCCCAGCGATCAGATCAAGAAGGCGGCCAGCACTCTGACCGTGCTCAGCAACGACAAGCTGCGCGAGGAGAAGGCTGCCGAGAAGGGCGGCAAGAAGTCCAAGGCCGCCAAGACCAAGACGTCGCTCGCCGTCGGCCGGCCCAATACCGTCGACACGGGTGCCTACGACGACGATGGCGGCTATGGAGAGTGAGTGTTATGCCTGCCCTTATCACGTGACTTAATGTTATGGCTGACTAACACATCTCGGCGCAGCGACGACTTTATGTGAGCAGACAGACGCTCAGGGCGAACAAACACACCCCTGGCTTCTTGTAGGAACATGATGTACGGCCACTTGGGTTTATGGCTGCGTTCTGTTGCGTTCTCGTTTTTGGTTCCCCCCTCTGGCGTCGTCCTCGGACCGATGGAGAAAAGTTTCAACGATAGCCACTGTTGTGTCGGCGTCAGCTTATCGTTTTTTCGGTTGCGTTTTCTCAGCCCCGGGCTTCACCCACTACCTTCCCTTCCGTTTCATTTGTCTACCCTAGACCCAAAGACCCAGACCCTAGACACTTCACGGAGCGTCAGCAACGCCAAAGGAGATTAGGCGTCAACATGATATCATAGCACAGACGTAGTCAAGTGATGCCGTTGTTGAGAAATCTAAAAATCTGTGATTTGTGATGTGATTTTGATCTGTCTGATTTTTTCATCGTGCGCCAGACCGGTGTCGATGGAACTCCTTTTTTCATGTCCGTCCACACATCTCTGACGGGAAAGCAGCAATTGCCGCTGAAGACAGAACGCTTTGCGCCAAACACCTTTCCGGGGCCGAACGGAACGGCCCAATACCTGACAAAAGGAAGTAGAAGAACAACAAGAGTACATGGTGGAGTGGTATCTATTTCTGGCAGATTTTTTCTGCTTCCTTTCTGCTGCTGCTTCAAAGCAGATCGCCGGCGACGCCAGCCAGGATGGCATGCACGACCATGCTGAGGGTCCAGAAGCCGACCTTTTTGAGACGGCGCACGCGCGACTGCTGGTCTTCGACATCGTGCGCAAACGCGGCGTATACCTCGGCGGACGAGTCGTCCATTAAGCCGCAGTCGTAGATGGTCCAGCTGCCGTCAAAGTCGGACAGGTGCTTGACGATGCGACAGTTGATGGGTATATACGTACGCTTGGCGTTCATGTAGGCCACGATGGGCCGGATCAGCGCCGCGTTGACGTAGCCGAGCGCCTCGGACGCGGGAAAGAACGGCACGGCTGCCCGGATGTCGTTGAGGTGCATCCGCAGATCCATGACGACGTACTGCGGCGGCGAGGCGTCGGCCAGCTGCCCGGGCTCGTCTTGGGGCAGCTCTCCCTCTTCTTCCCGCCGCGAGCCGTAGTGGCCGTCCAGGATGGTGATGTACCGGTTGCTCGTCACGGCCTCCTCCATGCGGTCGTAGAAGTTGTCGTACAGGTCGCTGACGGCCTTGGCGATGCCCTCGTCGGCTTCGGCCGGCAGCATCACATCCGACACAATGTCGACGTTGCCCTCGTAGATCCAGCCAAACGGCCCACGGTCGCCCCGGTTGAGGTGGTCAATTTTGAGCCCGTCAATGCGCAGGCGCGAGAACTTCTTCCACGCCAGCGGCGACTCCAGCATCACCGGCTCGTTGGCCGGATTGCTGATGTCGTGGTGGCTGCGGTCGACCACGTCGTCGATCGTCGTTGTTGCCACTGATGATGGCGCGGACAGCGCCCGCGACTGCTGCACCTGACGCGGGTGGATGGTGAACAGAGAGCCGTCGTACGAGCCAGACACGTGGTTGGCCGAGAGAAAGTCGTACAAGAGCCATTGCTTCCGCAGCTGCGGCAGCTCGCACGAGAAGATGCTGATGCTGAAGGGCCGGAATCCGCTTGGCTGGTGCACCGTCACCATCAGGTCCTCGAGCTTGAACCGTTCAATCTCAAAGTCGCCCGGCAGATGGACGTGACGGAACGACAGTGGATCCAGCGGTCCGGCTGCCCACTGCACGTGAGTCCGGTCGATGATGCCGCGCACACCCTTCACCTCGACGTCCCGCAAAAGGCCCTTGCCATTCCACCACTTGACAAAGGACAGCGACACATCCACGCTGTTGATCGTCACGTCGAACTGCGTGTAGTTGCCGTCGTCGTGGTCTTCGACCGTCACGGCTGCGCCGTCCGGCTCGTGGCTCTGCTGGGCTGCTGCAATCGCTGCCTCGCTGGACGAGCCCTTCTTGACCGACGACTTCACCTGACCCGGCCGCCGCGACACGAACACGTTGTGGAATGTGATCACGCCGCCCTTCCACTTCGGCACGATGGCTGACTCAAACACGACCGTCACGCCGGCCGACTGCGTCAGGTAGTCACCAACCCATTTGGCCAGTTCCTCTGTATTCGTTAGCGATGAAGTAGCTTCCAAATACCAGACAACATACCTTGCGCAAACACGGTGTTGATGAGCAGGATCACGATCGAGAAGAAGGTCGTGGTCCCGACCAGAATCCACAACAGGTGGCCCAGCATGATCCACGACACAAAAGCCCCCCATTCGTCCGCATTCCAGGGCCGCATGCTGCGGATCGAGTGCCACTTGAAACGCGCCTGCAGCCGCTGCCAGAACCCCGTCGCTGCCGCCATAAACTCTTCTTTTGTCGGCCGCTGCGGGATCTTGGGCAGGTGGGATTGCAGGTACTTTGACATCGATGCCGCTATAGACTCCTCGTCTCCGGGCTGTGGTGGTGGTGGTGGTGGCGGTTCTGGCACTTCGCCTGGGCTCTTTTTAGCTGGCGTCGCCGCTTCGACCGCTCTCTTGGCACTGTCGCTCGTTGACGTGCTCTCGCATCGCCGCGTCATTTCTTCCAGACAGCCGGCAGTCCTCGCCGGAGCGTGTGGTGGCTGCGGTGCTGCTGCCAGGCCTGCCGAGCCGCCCGGCCGATGCTCGCCTTTTTTTGGCTTGTGGTCCCGCTCATGGCTGTGTCGGCTGCGGCCGTGCACGTGGCCACGACGCCGGACGATGACGTCGACGGCGAGCTTAGCCCCAGGAGTAGGAGACCCCCAGATGTGCAACTTCGGCGCACATTATTCGGCGAGATCTTAGTGGCAGGTGCGCAATGACCGAAAAGCCTCCGGCTACTGCTGTGGAAGAAGGACCTTCGCATGGGCTCCCGGCTGACGACCTGCGACGCAAAGGAGTGGCCGATGCCCAGGCCAGTCAGCGAACGGGGAGGCGATCGGGAGGGCAGATGCCACACCCACGAGTCCAACGATTCCCGGACGGTCGTCCAGACCTGGCGACCCAGTTGATGGGTCTTTGCCGTGCTAGAAGGCATCATGCATCTTTGTAAGGGGGAGAGGATAGGAGGAGAGGAGAAGAAGGAGAAGAGAGAGGAAAAGGACTGAAGGAGAGAACAATATGATAGCAGATAGCAGAAGGAACAGACGATGACGATCGCTGTGGAGTAAGATCAGGCTATGCAGGACAGTCGCATCGCTATCGCATGATGAACGGCACGTGTTGAAGTCACCGATGCGGTCGCCGTTGCGGGTGCTACCTTGTGTGTATATCGATTCGACCTCGAGGCGGTGGCGGGGGAATGTTGCAATGACCAGAAAAGGCGTGGTGTAAATGGTCGCCTCTGCATTTTTTTCCCGGCCTTCCAGAAGATGACGCGCTGCTGAATGTCGATTTGTGGGAGGGGGGGGTTTGTCAGGCTAAGATCGTGGATGACCAATAGATAGGCAACGATAATAAATGTGGGCTCTTTCCTTTTTTTAAAATCTGTGTATCCCACCAAGACCCAGTTTAAAAAAAAAAGTGCGGCTTCACGAAAGACGATACCAGTGACATCAACCAAAGGACGGTCTGACCGCGACACGCACTGCGACGAGAAAGAACCCCCCGAACAGACAGGTTGGCAGAACGATACGACTACAGCCTCCTCACGCACGCAATGCCTGCGCCGACAGCGGTGAAGAAGGACGAGACGGCCTCGCCGGCCGTTCAGGTGCCAGTGACGAGTATGGACTCTGGTCTTATGTCTGCACTGCGATCGCTTGGGAGGCACGGCAGCTAACGGGAGGACGCAGTGGACCACGAAGACGATGTCGCGCTCGATGCGGTGCCCGGCGTGACCCTGGTTGCGCTGGCAGACGACCCAGCCACAGCGACGGTTGTCAGCTTCGACAGCGATCCCGATGTCAACATGGACATTGACGAGGAGTCGCGGCCCCGGTTTGCGGCCGCCAAGGATGTCCAGACGGCTGTCCGGAGAGAGTCGCGGAAGATCCGTGTGTTGTCCCTCTGTCCCCGTGCTGCATGGCCGTCCGCGCGATTGAGCTAACCCGCTGCTGAAGCGATCCCGCCACACCGCATGACTCCTCTGAAGGCGACCTGGAGCAAGATGTACGTATGTGCTTTGCTGCTGTCTTGTCGTGATGCTGACGGCTCTTCGCCAGATATACCCCCCTCGTCGAGAACCTGCGGCTGCAGGTGCGCATGAACATCAAGTCCAAGGCGGTCGAGCTGCGCACGTCACGGAGCACTGTCGAGACTGGCGCTATCCAGAAGGGCGAGGACTTTGTGCGGGCATATGCCATGGGATTTGACGTCGAGGACGCCGTGGCCATCTTGCGGTTGGACGGTGTATGTTGACCTGTCAACTTTCTGTCTCTTGCCTTTTGTGTCGGGACCGGAAGGGCTGACAGTTTCTGTACAGATCTTCATCCAGTCCTTCGAGATCAAGGACGTCAAGTCGCTCGAGGGCGACCATCTGGCCCGTGCGGTCGGCCGCATCGTCGGCAAGGACGGCCGGACAAAGGTAAGCAGGCAGATGGACGGGTTGCAAACGGTGTTGTAGCCGATCGACAGGTGCTGACTCGAGATTTCCAGTACGCCATCGAGAACACGACCAAGACGCGAATTGTCGTCGCCGGTGGCTCCAAGATCCACATCCTGGGCGGTTTCAAAGAGGTGAGACGAAACGACTTTGCAGGAACTCGACGGCCCTTTGAAACGTGGGATGTACTAACAGTGTTTTCTGTCCTCAGATCGGCATGGCGCGGGAAAGCGTGGTCAGCTTGATGTATGTATTGCCCTTTGGTCGCCTGTTCTTCGTGATCCGGGCAGCTCCACTGACATGCATCTAGTCTCGGCAAGCCGCCCAGCAAGGTGTACGGCAATCTGCGGTCCATAAGCACCCGGATGAAGGAGCGGTTTTAGACGACGGCCGCGGCCGCTCGAACACAAGTAGAGACCCCCATTTGGATTGGCGTTACAGAGGGCACACAAAACGTTTTGCTTATGACCCAGGACGATCATGCTGGCCTGTTTTTTTTGTCTTATTGTCTGATTTTCCAACCGGCCGTTTCTTCTTGGGGGTGTCATTTTGCCCAGGGGATATATATGTGTAAATAAGTATGCAAACGTTTTCGGTATCATGTCGCGTCAAGAGACGTCATAAAAAACCCTAGCAGCCCCAACGCCTGCCAGCCGGTCAGGCCGGCTAGTGAATGAAGACCTCGACGCTGTCCATGTCCTCCATCTCTGCGTCTTGCACCGTCATGTCCTCCTCCAGCCGCTCGCCGTCCCAGTGGATCGCGATCGTCTGTTCTGGTGCAATCTTGCGCTGCTCCCGGAAGGCCGCAATCAGCGTCTCCACCTTGGTGTCGGCATATACCGTCATGTTGAGCTTCTCGTGGTCCCGCGACTTGAGCACGAGCCGGATGCGCTGGCGGCTGGACGCTGCTGCTGCTTCCGTGGCTGCCGATCCTCCGGCCTCGTGGCCGTGGCCGCTGCTGCCGCCAAGCCCGGCGGCCCCGTCGTCGTCGTTCTCGCTGCTGCTGTCGAGGTCGAGGTCAACTGCCTCACCGAGCTTCCGCAGCCGCCGCCGCTCTTGGTCCTTGAGGAAGGCCTCGTACAAATCCTCTGTCCAGATTTCCAGATGCAGGCCGCCCGACTGGAAGCCGGACGATCGACCCAAATCGTCGTGGAATTTGCCGTGCGCGTCGGGGCGCACGCCTAGCAAGTGGCCCGTCGTCCAGGAGTACATCTTCATGCCCTTCCACGTCAGCACGATGCCGGCCTCGTCCTCCTCGCTCAGTTGCAGCCCGTTCTTCCGCGCGTGGTCCAAAAAGGCCTTTGGGAGACAGCGCATCATCTGGTCCATGCGCAGCATCGCGGCCAGAGGCGGCACCGGCTCCGGCAGATTGGGCGTGATGAGGATGCGGTAGGCCTGGTCGCTGGCGGCCAGCGTGCCAGACGACGCCGGCGTGGACCCGGGGCTTGGGCCCGCGAATGGCTGCGACGTGCCGGTCGAGCTCGTTGTCGCTGTTGTCGAAGTGCCCCTGGACGCGCCGACACTGCCTGCCGCTTCTCGCACGGCCTGTGCAGTTTGGGCAGCGGCAGCTCGGGCATGGGCCCGCATAATGTATTCGTTGAACTCTGGATTTGCGGTCTCTGTGCTGTCGTCTTCGCCTTCGCCTTCGTCCTCGCTTTTGTCATCCTCCACCTCGAAAACGATGGCCTTCGGGGGATCTTCCCTGATATCCGGAACCGCCAGAGGCTCTCGGCATTCTTCCGCTTTGATCTGCGCAATGGCGGCTTCGATCACCGCTCTCTCGCCGCTGCTACCTGGACTGTCGAGCAGTACAGCCGAGTCGTCCGCCGTTTCTGCGACATCCACTGCCTCCGCCTTGGTATCGGGCTGTCGAGTCGAAGATTCATTGGCGAAGATGACACGAGAATTCACGGTGTGCGGTGTCGCAATCCCCTTGCCTTTGTCTCGCGATCGTGACTGTGGTGATCTCTGCGAAGGCGATGTCTTCGGGGATGGAGTTGCGGTGGCTTTGCTGCCAAGCTTGTTCGGAGAAGCCTTCTGTTGGCGGCCGTGGTTGTCGTCATAGTCGCTGTTAGCTGTCTCGTACGACACCTTCCTTCTCTTAATATCGTGATCCTCGGAATCTGGAGTGGAAGCGGGGGTACGATCGGTTGCACCTGCTGGTGATTGCTGTTTTCGCTGCTTCTCAGCCAGCAGGCGTTGATTCTGTTCTTCGATGGCTCGGGGAAAAAACTGTCTGGCTCGGCGAAATAGATCCACACCGCCGTTATCGGTACGATCCGCTGGCGTACTCTGACTCTTGGCAGGTCTTGGTACTGCTGACGGGTTGGAACCAGAGTCGGAATCGGAGTCGGAGTCGAGAGCCGCGGTGGATGGAGCTGAAACAGGACCAGCGCGTCGCTTGAAGATCAGCGGCTTCTTTTTGGCGGGTGTTGCGGACATGGTGGGAGAGAGGGGAGGAGGGAACGGGTCCCCCCGTGAAAATGACAAGAAGAAAAAGGGGGGGGCAAACAAACAGACGAAGAAACGCGGCTGTCACAAAGCTAGAGACCCATTTTGGACAGCTGCTCAAAGCGGGTGAAAACTAGAATACACTTAAAAATTAAAACTAAAGACTAAAAAATTAAAAATAAAAGAAGCATCGAGCGACAGAAGATCGACGGCACCCACCAAAATGCACTAGCCAATTGCGGGGTGTACGTCACTTCGTACCCAGAGCGTTACATAATCGGCCAAACATAGCAGCTGAGATGGAGCTGGCCAGCAAGCCGAGGCAACTGCAGGTGATTCGTTCGCAATCGTACTTTCGTGCTTTACGTTGTCGGGACTTTCATCCCCCATCATTGTCTGGGGAGTGCCAAACTTGCCCACCATTCTTCCCTCGTTTCTTCCGAGGCTCATCGATTTGTGAACTAAGCTGCAGACCGAGGCCCCGCTTCTACTTGTCTTCTATATTGATCCTCAATTGCGCCCTTTCACCAGTCCTCCATCTACTCCGTACATCTACATAGCACAAACACCAATTCAGCTCAGCTATCGCACCCCGACAGCTTTACGAACCAGGTCTAGCTAGCAATCTTCAAAAGACCATGACTGTGGATCCGTCAGCTTTTCTCAGCCCGGTGTGGCGAGACGGCATCTTCAGTGAGGACAATGCAAACAATGGTGTCAACACAGCTTACTGACTTGCTCGCAGAGGGCCGTGTTGCGTTCGTAACAGGCGGTGCTGGCGATATCTGCAGCGCTCAGACACGGGCATTGGTGTACCTGGGTGCCGACGCGTGCATCATCGGGCGCAACGTGACGAAGACAGAGGCCAAAGCCAAGGACATTGCCACGGTGCGCAAGGGTGCCAAGGTCATCGGCCTCGGCAATGTCGATGTTCGGAATGTACGTACAAAAGGGGCAGAAAGGGACGGTGTGTGTGTCAGGTGTTGTGCTGACGTTCTCGATTGCAGTTTGAAAGTCTGAAGCAGGCGGCTGACCGCTGTGTGGCGGAGCTGGGCAGCATCGATTTTGTCATGTGCGTCTTACGGTCCTTCTCCTTCTTTTCCTGCTTCAGCTTCATCTTTGCATTTTGTCCCTTCTCCACTCCTTCCACACTTCTCTAACAGAGACAGCGCGGGTGCGGCCGGCAACTTTGTGTCCTCGCTGGCCGGGCTCACGTCCAACGGCTTCAAGGCGGTCATGGATATCGACACACTGGGTACGTTCAACACGATCAAGGCCACGGTCGACCACCTGGCCGTCTCGGCGAGCCGCCACCCGAGCCCCAACGCGACCGCCGAGCCGCCGGGCGGCCGCCTGCTGGCCGTCTCAGCTACCTTTCACTACACCGGACTGCCGCTGCAGGCGCACGTGTCGGCGGCCAAGGCCGGCGTCGACAGCCTGATGGCCTCAGTGGCGCTTGAGTACGGTCCGCGCGGCATGCTGGCCAACGTGATCGCGCCGGGTCCGATTGTCGGCACCGAGGGCATGTCGCGGCTGTCAACCGTTGATACCGCCGAGTCGGCCCAGATGAGCGCCCGGGGTGGTGCACCCCATATTCCCAGCGGCCGCTGGGGTACTGTCCGAGACATTGCCGACGCCACCGTGTTCCTGTTCAGCGCGGCCGCCGACAACATCACTGGCCACGTGCTCGTGGTCGACGGCGCTGCGTGGCGGCGGCAGACCGGCTCTGTCGGCGTCGGCCTCGGGCCAGGCATGGAGTATCCAAATTACCTGCTGGGCGATGGGAGCAACGACAACGGGCAGAAGCCGACAGGCGGAGGTGCTAAGCTGTAGGGTAGAGGAAGATGCGCATTGAAAAAGATAGTCTGTAAGTCAAGTTGTCCAAACAAAGCAGAATCAGAAATCAGGATCAGAAGAGGATCAACCTTGGACGTATTTTACTCTTCTGAGGCGTGAGGACTGTTGCTGATGGGGCCGGTAGCTGCGTACTTCTGGCCCCCAGCGAGACAAGTGTGAAGAAGGGGCTGTGTAGTACTTGCTTTCGGTTTTTAACTGGATCCCTCTGAAATCTACATTTCTGCGACTTGCCAAACCCAGACGTGTTAGAGAAGACCGACTGGATGTTCATTATCATTGTCATTTCCGTCGCGTCGTCTTTCAACATGTTGATGGTTGAAAGGAGTTCCAGCATTTGTCGGAACAGGATCACTTTTGCGCGGGTAGGACGCAGTACAAGCAGTCGGCAAGCCTCAGTAGAACTAGCCAGCAACAGAAATCTGTGCGAAAGAGATGTCAGCCCTCTGAGTATATTATAGTATTACCCCCTTGTCACGGAAGAGTTTTGGGTGATTGACTTCGGCGCAATGCAAGTTGTCATGCAGCTCAGCATATGCTCGGCCACAACGTATATGGCATACAGAGGGATTTCGTGCCAAGACACAAGCAGTAGAGTTTATACCGCTCTCGATCGATAATACTCAAAACCCCAGTGGTTGCGGCTGACGAGGATTGGCATGACGAGGAATCGCTTTCCTGTATGCGCCGGAGTGACCTGATCCCGGAGAGAAGGGTGAAGCGGCCCATTCCAAAAACCGCTCGTCGAGAACCAGACGACATTTTGTAGGTCCTGCAGGACCAGGGCGAGTGGTCAGTTCTTCGTCGGTTGCCTGTTCGTCTAGCATTGAAGCGCCTCCGAGGTTGAACGACTGACGACGTAGTTCGTAAAGATGAGGTCAACGTCCAGATCATAGGACGTTTGGTAAGGTTTGGGTCAGATGTCTGATAATCTGGCTCGAGTTGTCAAGGAAAATTGAATCATTTTGCTGCAGGGTGGTACCTCAGATTGCTGCATTGTTTGTTTGTTTGTTGAAGCTGCATATGAGAAGCTCTCTTACGTCGCGTTGACACTTTTCAATGTCTCTAGGCGCCGTTGTTATTGTTAGAGTAGTTTGAGGCTGAGACCCATTATACAATGTTTTGCATCTCGAGGGCGCCTTGCAACAGGTTTCCCCGGAGGACAACCGTAAAGCGAGGCACCAGTCAAGTGGGAGCCAAGGACTACTCCATATTACTTGTCGTCCATTTCAGGCGTAGTGCGTGTAGTCTGTATGTCGCTTATGTTTCTAGCCGTTGACGAGGATATGCTCAAGTCAAATATCCGAGTATTACCTATCATAAAAAACATGACTGTAAAGGTTGTGCGGCGTCTTTACCGACTTTCCGGAAAAGGTACATCTGCCTTACCTCGATATGCGGACGTGTGTTGTCGGTAAGTCTATTAGTGTACTTCTAGCGATGGCACGTTGTAAATATTACCCATATTATTGGAGGAAAATAGTCCGTGTCTGAATCCTGACCTTATCCACCTTGCAGCCTTCCGAGCATCTTCCCCCTGCATGAGCGAATCCTCACGGGAATATTCGCACGTGTTGGAAAATACCCTTCAGTTTCCCCACTGTTTAGATGAACAGTAAAAAATGAAATTCGTTAGGCAAGGACTTCTCAGTTTGAATAATCAAGCAGCTGTCAGGCCAGCTATAAAGACAGGCCGTAGATCGCTTCCGTGGAAAGAGGACAGCGTAGTAGACTGGGCGTGTTCACAAACACACAATCTACTCAAGATGCAGCCCGCCTCTCTCAAGGGTGTTCTAGCCGTTGCGGCCGTTGCTGCTGCCCAGAGCCAGGGCTCTCATGCCGACTCTGCCATTGCGAACATGAAGGCGCACATCAAGCACGTGGTTCTTCTCGTCATGGAAAACCGCTCGTTTGACAACATCCTGGGCGGCCAGACACTTCCGGGCCTAGACAACCCCTACCACAATGGCCCCTACTGCAACCCGTACAACCTAACGGATGCGTCAAAGGGAACAGCCTGCTCTGAGGCCAGAGACTACGACTCCATCGCCGACGACCCAGACCATGCCGTCTACGGAAACAACATTGAGTTCTACGGCACCTTTAATCCGGACAACGAGGCCATCGCGTCCGGAAAGCTGGTCGCCAAACAGAACGGCTTTGTACACGAGCAGCTTCGGCTCTATGACGCCAAGGTCAACCAGACCACGCTGTCCGAGCAGGTCATGAACTACTACACAGAGAAACAGGTGCCCGTGCTCACGTCTCTTGTGCAAAACTTTGTCACCTTCAACTACTGGCATTCGGCCATCCCAGGTGTAAGTTGTGTCGTTTGTTCTGTTCTTTCTTTCTTGAAGATTAGAAGAATATTTTCCATCGCCTTCGCTAACAAAAGCATATAGCCTACCGATCCCAACCGCATGGCCATCGTGGCGGGAAGCTCGTTCGGTCATGGTGTGAACGATGCCGGCTTTTCGGCAAAGGGCTTCAACGAGACGTCCATCTTCCAGTCTCTGACAGAGAACGGCTATGACTGGCGCAACTATCACGATCCCGCCGGCGGCACCGGCCCGGAAGCACAGTGGTTTCAGTGGACGTACGACGCCGGCGTGGACAACAAGGTGGTCAACCTGGACCGGTTCTACGTCGACGCCGCCGCCGGCAATCTCACCAGCTTCAGCCTGATCAACCCGTCCTGCTGTGGCGTCGGCACGACGTCGATGCATCCGACCGGCCTCGTGTCTGACGGCGAGGGCCTCATCAAGGACGTGTATGACGCTGTCCGTGCCAGCCCCCAGTGGAACGAGACGCTCTTCATCATTACGTACGACGAGACCGGCGGCTTCCACGACCACGTGGTACCGCCTCTGGCTCCCGAACCGGACAACCTCACCTACACGGCCACCACGCCAGCAGGCCAGGACTACACCTTCCACTTTAATCGTCTGGGCGGCCGCATGCCGACCTTCCTCGTCTCGCCCTGGGTCGAGCGGGCGCATGTCGAGGGCAAGGGCACGAACGCGGCCGGCGAGACCGTGTCGTACTCGGCCACATCCATCCTGCGCACCCTCGGCTACTTGTTCGACTTTGAGCCATACAACCGCCGCGTAGAGTGGTCCCCGTCGTTTGAGCATCTGATCACCAGCCGTCCTCGCTGCCCGATTGATGTGCTCCCCGAAGGCAGACCATTCCGGGCGTAAGTAGACATCAAAAGAGTCAGGGAAGAAAGACAGATAAAAGTATAGTGATATTCGTTACCCATAGTCACTGTTTTAAAATTATAGAGCATGATGCACTTAGACTCTAAGAACCAAATTCGTTGATGACACATCAGTCATCGGCACAAATTCCTGGCTTTACGGAGTAGACATCAGGTCAATGGTGACGAGCTATGCGGTCTCGGTACGTATAGGGCACTGTGAAGATGAAAATCAAATCTAGCCTATATTAGCCCAACCCATACTTCTGTATACGATACCGCATTCTTGCCCCGCAACACGTAGAGAAGGATGTGCAGTACAAAGATTCAATCCACAAAGTGAAGCTCCTATATTCCTTCCGATTTTATTTCTCCTCGGCGCTTTTTCTCGGTGTCACCCTCCTCTGCTGTGCCTAAACCCGCTACACCGCTTATTTTTGCATCAAAGAAAAGCAGCACGGTTGGCTACTATCTCACAAGAGCGACCTGAGCGGTCTAGAGTAATCTGTCCCACGGGGTGCTACCCTAAATACGTGCATGCCCGTGATGACTCAGGCAGTGTTACCACTCCTAAAAGTGGGAAGGGGCAGGGAACGTGCCGGCATCGACAGCAAATCAAAGGATGCCTACAACATTGAGTTTTTACTATAGTTGTTTACAGTGGGCACCGGCTTTCTGCTAGCAGTCAAGTTGACAAGATGTCTTAATGCGACCAAGGCATTTGTGGACGAGTGTGTGAGGCGGTTTGGCACGCCATTGTGGTGAATTTGACGGTCACCTTTCGCCTGAATGGAGTTCAATAGCCCAATAGTATTATTTAGGTAATTCGCTGACAGAAAGGAAATTTGAGCCGCTAGGTACGACACGGCAGAAGAGCTTCTTTGAGCCATGTGTAAGCCTATTCAAGTCATGGGGCATCAAGGACAAAATCCTTCGTATGTACGCACGTATAGGTAGTGATTCTTTGTGATTACTGCTTTGTGAAACTTCTACGAGGCCAATTATTACTTCTAGAAACGGAGACCTACGTATTATAACGTTACCTACATTACCTACTATGTAACTTACATCTAAGTAAGAAACGCCTGACTAAAAAAGGCTAAAAAGTGCATTGCTACAAGTACTGGAACCGTGACACTTTCTGAACCTTTCCCCGTACTATCTAAGATGGCAGTAGGTATTCTAGCCGCATATACGTGAAGAAGAAAAGGAACGCAATAGCTGCAAATTGACTTGATAAGTCAACTTTTCACGTAGATGACGACGTAAATCATGGAACTGTACTGGATGCAAAATACGGAATAATGAGTTATAACCAGAAGTACGAGCACAGGGTAGGCTGCAGCCGCCTGTTTCAGACATAGTATGGACGGCGTTTGTGCGAGCTGTAGCAATACCGTATGCTTTAGATATAACGAGAAGGCACACACAGTGCTGTTCCTTTCCCTTTTTTTTCCGAGCCCCTCTCCTGTGACAGAGGCTCTACGTCATACACGCAGTGCGCCGGATGATTGAATCTACTAAGATTGTCTATACCGTAGTAGTAAAGGTATAGACAATCACTGCTAACAAACACCATCACAAGGAGCACCAACCTCCTCTCGCCTACCACTTGTCATGCGGCACTATTAGCCGCTGTGGCTTCTACTCCGTGCACCACTAGTCTGTAGCGCGCCACTTCGTGTGCGCGCTGTATCAGTGTAAGACCTGTACGGTAATTCTTGTCGGACATACGTCCGGACTAGTTGCACGTATCGCAGTAAGCTCTAAGGCCTTTAGAAGATCTAGTAATGATATTTCGTAGGGTGATTGACTGAAGACTAGACTGTGCGCAATGTGTGCGCAGATCAGGGCTTCGTCTTATCTAGTGATTTCGGCGGCCGAGGTCAGGTGACCTCGGGAAATCCGCAATGCAACATTGGACAACGACGAAGATTTGTGTTTGACCCATGCTGTCTGTCTTGGCGGAAAAAAAATCAAGTAATTTGTAGTTAGCAACAGAATCAACCTTAGGCGAGATGAGTGTTTAGGCACACGCTGTTTGCTAAGTCATTGACTAGAACCCCTACTAAATAGAACGACGTATGTGTTGGTTGAATAATATATTGTTCAAGCATAGCTGAACAGGAGCTGTTTAATGGCATCCATCAACTTTAAGGCGTATCACTATTTTTTGCAAGACCTGACTTTCCTTCTTTGCTTTAAGATCTAGTTTAGTGTGGGGCATATAATGGCGGGAAGTACGAATACCCTTAGTAGTACGGAGTACTTGATAACAATTAAACTCATTTAGCCTTTGCTATTGTCCCTATATCCGAGACTTTGTCTAAACTGATTCCGTAATATCATCACCAGATATCCTCGGAAATTCAAACAACATCCATAAAAGCCCCATCGGCTCTCAACTTAACGTCGCTCAGATCTTCTTTTAAAAAATCCTATGGACTAAAGTAAGGTTATGCATACTTTCTTGGCGGAGGCCAGATGCGCGTGCGGGCTTTACATAGTGTCAAGCATTGGAATCCGCCACACTGTGGCCCTTCCGTCCCACTTGGCAGTACGGGCCTGTGATTGGTCAGAAGGTACAAAAGCGGGGCATTGCACTAGTATTATTACGGATCCCTAGAAGGGTCGCGATGTATTTATTTCTTCCTTAGAACACAACACTCCTTCGCCCACACTAGACCCTATTCAGCCTCCTGCTCCTCACAGTGCATCACGTTATATGACCGCCACGTATAGCCTCCTTTAACCTTCACACATAGTTAGATTGGTGAGTATCCACAACCACAAGGCGGTGTGGAGTACCCGATGTCACCTGACCTCGGCCGCCGATAAACAAAGAGAAAAAAGCAACGTTGCCCTAGTGGGTATGGCCGAATAAAACGCTGTGCGAATTGAAGTATGGAGTACGGAGTATGTACTCTAAATACAGAGTAGCTAAGTAGTAAGAAGCTAAGTAGTAAGAAGAAGCGTTTTTTTTTCTTTTTAAGGCGGTTCGTCGATTTATAGTAGGATACAAGGCTGTCAAATTATGGGTGCCCAGTGAGCGTGTGTATTGTTATGGTTAGGTACCTCCGAGCTATGCCGACTTGCATGAAATCTCATACTAAATAGCGCCCTGCGCCACACAGTACATGTATCCTCCCATCACAGGCACAATCGTGCACGCCCCTCCCATTTCTAGCCTGGTCCGTTCGGCAGAGGCGGTGGAAGCTTAAAAATACTTGTAGTGCGGGTAGCGAGAGACGCGTGTACGGAGTAAGTACGCAGTACTTCGTAGCTTTTTCGATGGTGTGTATGTACGCGAACGTATTGGGCCCACATTCTTCATACCTTCGCAATCTAATAATTTGGTGTAAACATTACTTGGATCTAAATAAACAAAGGTCGCCTCGAACACTTATATACACGGCTACCCAAACGAGGCGGGTAGTGTACTCAAATCGACATTCGTGCCCAAGTCTCTATTTAGGAATTGCTTTATACTTAGCACTCCATTTTGCACACACAAATCTTACGAAAGTGCTTTTCTTAGGCTTACTGTGCTATAAAGCCCCCGCGCGACGATGAATACAACAACCTTACATAATGTGCCGATAAATGTCGGCAATTTAAATGTCCTCAAAAGGTCTATGAAGATCAGTGCTGGGTTCTTAAAGGAGGCAAAACCTCAGGGAAAACAGTACGCCTTTTACTGGCAATGTGTATGTACGTGGAAGCTTGATACGGTATGGCTTTTGTCCGCTAAAGGGTCAAATCGTTAGTGCTATTGCGGTAATCCAGCAATATCGATTCGAACGGGATCATGTGATAGTTGTCGGCATGAACGATGCAGCTATTGTGAAGTCACGAGGATGAAAGTCAGGCCCTGCATGATTCTGGAAACCGAGAGCACCGATACCGACAGCGAGGCGGACTGAGCTACGAAAGAGTTTCTGCAGCTCTGGGTCAATCGAGGAGGAGAGCAGAAAGGCAGTGCCTATACTTCATTAACTGAAAAGAACTGTAAAAATAAGGCGGATGGATCATAATGATACTTGTATGTTAGATGCTGATAATACTGTTTTTAGCACATCTGTTTATGTACCTTACGGCTTTTAAGTCAAGAAAGGATATCAACATACTATATAAACTGTCGGTAGCCACAAAACGGCTCGTTTTAATGCCTCATACTGAAACAAACAAGGTGTATAATCACAATGGTGCTTCCTTATTTATAAATTTAGTTTAATGCTAGCTAGCTAGCGGGGCCCGGGAGAGGTTCACGGTCAGCTGACATATGTGCACGGGCGTCATTTTACCAAGGAGGCGTTTGGTCGTAATGCTACATGTAGGTCAGGTTGTATGTAAGTGCTTGTTCAAAGTTCGGTGAAGCAGCCTTGGGAGCGTCACAGGACCGCAAATATGTTCACCTTTCTGGCCACTCGCTCGATTACGTAACTTAGACGCAATCTTTTAAAAGTACACATTTGCTAACATAGTCTCATCTTTTCGCGCTGAATTATTTGAAGCCTAATTAGACTATGGCTACCCGAGATGGACACCGACAAGGCCGGGCGTGTGTCTTATTAGGCACTTTCTTTTACTCGCAGCAGAGCTTCGTCAGGTATCAAGACACAAAACCCAAAGAATTGAGCCGGTTTTAGGGCAGAAGTTTGTTCACTATTTATGCTATATTCAGGCATCGGGCTTTCTCCCTTTAAATTCAGACTGATTGTCCAATATGCCTATGCATATGAATGTTGCCTCTTATATCTGTACGTATATAAAAGGTGGCACTGTCCTGGTTTTTTTTTATCTGGTGCAGCTTCTTTTTCGAGATAACCTACTCTTCTATCCTTATTGCCTTTCTTTCTACAAACTTCCCCAAAGCTGGGGAGTGCTATTTTGAAATTGGCTATGTTCTCCTTCCCCGACCATACAAGCACACTACGATGATGTCTAAGTCGGAAGGTCGTTTAAGGCGGAGCCCTTTCGACTGGGACTGCAGAAAGCCCATGCAGATGCACGGTGCTAATGATGGCTCATATATGGAACCATGGAAAAAGGAATTCAAAGGCAAAGACGCAATTAAAACATGGAACGCCCTCGAAGATTTTTTTGGCGCTGGCAAAGGGCCAACACCCCATTGGATCTATCAAGCTAGTGAAATCAGATCCATGGTTTCTCCTAGAATACTGAAGGGTGTTTTAGACTACGAAACGGGAGACAAAGCCTTTGCAGAAGAGGTAGCCTGGGTAGACCATACCAAAGATGGTACACGGTGTGCAGAACTTGGCCTGAAGTCGGTCCAGGACCTAAACAAAGAACGTCAGAAGAGGGTCAGTGATCAGATTTATAATTTGCATTTGACAGTACCCAAATACTAACCATTACCCTCTTTAGACTCTCCCATCCTCAGACCAAGACAACAAGCAAAAGGGGGAAAAGCCGAAAGAAGGAAACACAGCGAAAGGATCGAAAGATAGCAAAGAAGGAGAACGCTATCTCATGTACGTTTCAGTTAGCAACGTTTAACTCAGACACATACGTTGACTGACTAGATGAACCGTACAAGGTACATGCCGAACCCAGGTTCTATGGCTTTCACTGCCATGATCGCCGAAACTGCGTTCTCACACACCTCGATCGTACGAGATTTTCTGTTTAAGCATTTAATAGGAAACCTGTCCTTTGGTATCGAAACGTCGGTATGCTACTTTCGGTTCCATTTTCAATTTCCTTGAGGAAAAGCTGCTCGGAGATGCCCTTGGTGGACCGCAAATCGCAAGATATCACCCTCCGTTTTACTTTCAATCTATATATATATATACTAACTGTTCCAAAGACTAATGGAAAGCACGCAATGATGGAGTTTCACCTGAGCTACTTCGAGTGGAGACAAAATGAAGACTTTCTTGTAGACATGCGTAAGAAAGCAGACGGATCTCCATTGCGAAAATCGATCAGTTTGAAAGGTCTCTACGGAGACCGAGACAGCTTGCACGAGTCACAGACATCATTTTTACTTATTGCCGAGAATGACAGGCACTGGAAAGCCTATTGTTTTAAAGACACATATTTCGACGTTCCGAGCGAAAATGACAGGGACGACGACGACGACGGCGAGGATGACGAGAACGAGAACGAGAACGAGAACGAAGAGGATGCTCTAAAAAGCGATATCAAATCCTACATGAAATACGCTATGCAGAGTGACGTTGACAGTCTACAGTTCTATGAAAAAAATGGCAGTTATAAGGATCCACTTACGGCGGGACGGATTTCTGCCGATAAGCCTCTGCTTTTGGCACGGGAGTATTTCCTAACAGCATTCTCAGCTTGGCTGGATAGAATGTGCCAATCTATGACAAGTGTGGTGTACATGATGAGAAATGTTATCCGGGGGAAAGTGGGTAGAGCTCGTATTCGCAACCTCCCTATCCCCCTTTCGTGGGAAACTGCTGACATCATAAGCAGCAGAGAGGAGGTGCTGATATCTTCGAATCCCACGGTGACTCTGTTCTGGGAGCTAAAGATGAAAATATAAGGTCCTTAAAGGAGGAGTACGAACGGGCCGAGAAAGTCAATGACATTCTAACTATGCTCATCAGCGATCTATCACGAGCAGAGAAGATGCGGTTTGTTTCTGCGTATGATTATTACTATGGCGGAAACGACGGAGAAGAGCAGCCACCCGAATCTTGTGCACGACTTTACATTCATATTGATACACAACTTCATGAATTGCGTGACATACTGCACGAGCTTCGGCACTTGAAGTCCAAACACGAGGACCAAAGGCGAAAGGTGAGAAGTGGTCCTTTGCGTGGTCGTTCTTTCAGGGTCGAAATTATAATTGCGTCTAACCTGCGACGAGAGGACAACAGTTAGAGGGCATATTACAAGTACAGAACCGCCAAGACACCAACCAAGGCATTGCCTTACAACAATGGAATATTGCCTACGTAAGTCAATTAGGGAGAAAGAAACGGGTTTCAATGCATTGACGGGGCCTTGATTATAGATACAATTATGTTCGCCTCCCTTGATAGCAACCGGATTCATGCAGGCGAAGTTCATTCCTCTGCAGCCGCCATGGCTTCAATTTCTTGTTTTGACTACTGCCGTCTGTATAGCGATGTTTTTCCTGAAGCCGCTATCAAACTACCTGCAACAAGCATCTTCGAGGGAAAAAGAAAAGCCGGCTGCGCCAAGTTCGATCTCTGCTGGTCAACCGCCAGAAGACCGCCAAGATACGCACGTTTCTCAGCTCAATTCAGTGGCGCCCCTCCTACGTATAATCGGAAGATACCTAGGAGTCCATACTGTTGACGAAACCGAAACCTTGCCACTACCTATTACGACTCCATCTCGACGTTAGACATGGTATAACTTGGAACGATGGGCCTGTCATAATCAATAACTTCTCGGTGTTTCTGTACTCTGTCTGTGGGCTTGATCTTCAGTCATCTTCTACTGTGTTTGGGATTCGGTGGTCTACTCTGTTTCATGCAACCCTCAGATTCAAAATGGCTTTTTGCTTTTAGTTGCCGATTGATGCCTGATGATTTATGAACTTTGATTTGCAAGTCGGGATTCAGAGGATCCTGCCAGACTGATAATGCAAAGAATAATAGAAGGCAGTATCGCTGTCCAATTAATAGGGAGGTAAATTGGGCTGCGTCTTCTTAGTCTTTTATTGATATTGAAAAACCAATAGCGTCGTTTACAATTCCATGTATACTCTTGCCGCTCGTGCTTGCCTTGCATTCGAATGATGCATCTCTGCACCCTGTTATATTGGGGCTGTGGCCTGCTCCCAATCATGAGACGACGCCGTCTTATCTGGTTTGGGTAGCTATGTAATAGCGGTCTGAATGCACTTGCAAGATGGGAGTTTCAGTCAATCAAAAGCTGCCACGCACGATTACCCCTCCTTTTCCAGCCTCATTTTCAAAGACAAGATGCCAAAGCCCTACCGTCGTTCTTGTCAGGAATTTGGCATATTTTGCTGCGCATATTTTAGCAGATCGGGCATCAATAGTGCTACGAGAGCTCGGAGAACCCCGAACAGTGCCATATTGGGGGGAGACAACATGGTACATTTCAGCGAGGATAGCAAGTATTGGCTATGATAAAGTAGTCGAGAGACCCCATCGCTAGCCCGAAGAATGAGACTTTTAACAACATATTGAGCCTCACTCCTACCCATCGGGTGCCCGGTCCCGTGTCAGAAGCCCGATGGCCATGTTCTAGCCGCTTCATTTGGGAGGACATACTTTCCTTGTACATGATACTCATGCTTTTCTCTCGTATATCTCGTCAGCAATCAGATGAGCCTTACGGGACGTGCCAAGCAATTCGGACTACAACCCCTCCTCTGACTTCTGAGGTCTTGATTTCTTCCCGACTTTCTAGAGGCTCTTCCTTTATCACCCCAAACTAACTTCTGATAGTGCAAACCGTTCCCCGTCTTTTGTGTGTTCCATTCTCACATCCTCCCTTATCCCTCCTTAGATTTCTCTCTTCGCTTCAGCCCCCCGTCCGTTATAGCACAATGGCGACTATCGCCAACTTGGAGGGTCTTCTGGCCGGAATCGGACTAGAGACTCCAGTGCCGCAGTACCAGGCGGCTGACATACTCGCCAAGCCAATCGACATTTACCGCAGCTACCTGGCAGCATTTCTCTCATCTGCCCTCACTCTAGACGCTGCTATGGTCTACGAAGCAATCAATGTGACGAGTGACGTCTCTAGGAGTGATCTTGATGTGGTCATACCTCGCCTAAAGCTTGAGACCGCAGATGTTAGGCGGGATCTACGTTCTGTCGTAAGTAAACCCGTTGCGAATATGTCCTCTGGAAGATACAAATGCTGACAAGACAGCATTCCCCACCCCTATTCGAACCTCTTTTTTTCGAAGGTGTACGCGTTCATTTCCCCTACTCATCTAAGAACCTACCTCGCTTGTTGCTGCCCTACATCAGCAGCCGTGGCGCTTCGTACGGCCAAGAGACCTCACATGGACTGAAAGATCCGTTGGCGCCCGAGAAAGGTCGGAAGAAAGTCGTGGTGGAATTCTCATCACCGAGTGTTTCCATCGATTTCAACGATACCCATCTGCGTAGCACAATCGTCGGCTCTTTCGTTGCCAACCTGTACGAGTGTATGGGATGGGATGTTGTTCGGCTCAATTACCTCGGCGACTGGGGCAAGCCAATCGGCCTGCTTGCTGTGGGGTGGCAGCGCTATGGCTCAGAGGATGCACTGAAGGAGGATCCTATCGGCCACTTGTTCGACGTATGTTCCAAAATCAGTGAGGATTTTAAGCCGGAGCAGCAGGCAAGCAAGAAGGCCAAGGAAGACGGCTTAGACACGGCCGGGATCGAGGGCCAAGGAATCTATGCTGAGCGCGATGCCTTCTTCAAAATGATGGAAGAGGGAGATGAAGAGGCCCTGGCTCTGTGGAAGCAATTCCGCGATATTACCATCAGCGACCTTGAGAGCGCCTACAAGCGGATGGGCGTTCGCTTCGATGAGTATGTGGGTGAATCGCAAGTGAAGCCGGAGACCATGGCCGAGGTGGAAGCTGTCCTGAAGGAGAAGGGGGTGCTTGAAGAGAGCAATGGGTCCTGGATCATTGACTTTCCCAAGCACGGCGGCAAGAAGGGGCTGGGCATTGCCATTATTCGCGGGCGGACGGGCTCGTCGACGTATCTGCTGCGCGACATTGCGGCGGTGATCGACCGAGAGCGTGCCTACGGCTTCGACAAGATGCTGTACGTCGTCTCGATCCGACAGGAGACGCACTTTTCCAAGATCTTTACCGCCCTGGATCTCATGGGCCGTTCCGACCTGCTGGACAAGCTTCAGCATGTCAGCATTGGACGGATCCAGGGTATTTCTGAGCGGATCAAGGATGCCCACACTCTGGGTGCGATTCTTGATCAGAGCGCCCAGCTTATACGCGATGCCATGGCCACTGGGAAAGAGACAAGCCACGGGGGCGAGTCTGGTACGCCGCCGGCAGAGGAAGTCGTTGCCGCTGTTGCTGTTGGTGACAGCATAACAGTCGGTGCCCTGTTCGGCCAAGATATGGCGCACAAGCGCATCAGCAGCTCCGTCTTCGATGTCAGGCGGATGGCGTCTCTGGACGGAAACACGGGACAGGGGCTGCAGGCCAGTCACACGCAACTCGCGCTCGTCATTAGGAAGCTAAAAGAGCAGATAGCCGGCACGCCCGAGACTGATCAAGCTCCACCGGAATACGACTCCCTGCAGAAAAATGAGGCGGTGGATCTCTTGCGTCTGATGGCGCAGTATCCGGACGTGACCACTTCGGCGTTTCGCTCGCTGGAGCCACATGCAATACTGTCATATCTGTACCGCCTTAATGATGCCATACACTCTTGCATCAATCCATCGGATGGAGAAGAGGAAGGTGGAGATGCACCGACAGAGGCGGCCAGCACTGTGGAGCCGGAGTCAGTGGGAGAACAGAAGGCGTTTCTGTCATTGTATGAAAATGCGTGTCAGGTGCTCGAGAACGGGCTACAGCTGTTGAGCATACCTACCGTGGCGTGATGTCGTTGATTCATTTGTTTCCGTGCCGTGTTTGTTTCTGTTTACGCGCTCGCAGTTTCTGTCATGATGCTTCCGGTTTTCTAATCAGATGACTGTTTTATTAGTAATTGTCTGATGAGTCTTGAGCTCCGACTGATATCCTCAATCAGCAAGAGCTTGAGCTCGTGCCGCTTACAAGTAGCGTGAAGCCTAGGCCAGGGATTTGGTGATATGCGGGAAGGATCTGACTATGTGTTCGTTGGTCCCACTAGGACTTTCTGAGCAATGGCTGCACAGCGTTCTGCCAGAGCGGTCAACAGAGCCGTGCGAACAGCTCATTCTGGGCCGATAAGATAGGCATATGCAGACTCGATTTTGCGCATTTTGGTCCAAACCCCTCTCCTTTCTGTTCCCGAACGGGGACTAGACCACAGTGTGCAGCCGGTGGCGCGACATCCGCCAATATTGCTACTCTGCCGCACCAGAGACGAGATACGGGTCAGACAGGAGCGGGAGAGGGTGTCGAACTGCTCCGCGGCAGCTCTGTCATGGCATTGGCATTTCCGAGGAAGGAAGGTGGCTGCTAGTTCTGCCGTTATATATCGCATCTGCCCCTCTTTGTTGATCGGAGCTCTTATCTCTACGAAAACTTTTCTCTTTCTCCACCACGTGCCAGCTGGATTGTGCGTGAAAGGGCAATCTTTGTTTGCATAGCTGTTGTTGGGGCTGTTCCTTGCCATTGCACTCGAACCTCCAGCCTTCCCGCCTTGAGTCTGCGCATCCACACACCTACCGTCCCCATGGCTCGATCTCTCTTTGGCGCAGCCGTGACGGCACTGCTGCTGGCGCCGGCTGCCGGCGAGTCGGTGCTGGGCATCTACGTATTCCACCGGCACGGCGACCGGACGACCAAGTCGTGGCCGCCGACGGCACTGACGGCCCTGGGCGCCGACCAGCTCTACCTCTCGGGCGACTACTTCCGCGATCGGTACGTGAGCAGCAACGCAACCAGTCCCGTGGTGACGATCTCGTCGGACCTCGTCAAGCTGTCGCAGATCAGCGTGACGTCGCCGGCCGACAACGTGCTGCAGGCATCGGCAGGCTTCTTCGCCCAGGCGCTCTTCCCGGCCGCCGGCTCGTCGTCCCAGCAGACGCTCGCCAACGGCACCGTGACCGAGAACCCGCTCGGCGGCTACCAGTTCGTGCCCGTCAACACCGTGGCCACGGCCGCCTCCAGCACCGGCAGCGAGGACAACGGCTGGCTCCAGGGCAGCAGCGGCTGCGGCAATGCCGTCGTCAGCAGCAACAACTACTTCTACAGCCAGGACTACCTCGAGACGCTCAACAGCACCGCCGCCTTCTACCAGGACCTGCTGCCGGCTATCAACGGCACGTTTACGGCGCAAAAGGCTACGTTCAAGAATGCCTACACGAGTGAGTGGACTTCTCTCTTCTCTCCTCTTCCTCTGATACTAACTCCCCAGTCTTTGACTACATCCACGTTTCAGAGATCCACAACGCCACCATCTCGAGCTCTGACGTCCTCACCGACGACGTCCTCGCCCAGGTTTACACCCGCGCCAACCAGCACGAATGGGGCCTCGCCTACAACGCCAGCGAGCCCATCCGTGCCATCTCCGGCGCCGTGCTGGCTGCCCAGGCTCTCAGCGCCCTCAATACCACCGTGCTGGCCAAGCCGACCGCCTCGTCCGTCTCGCGCCTCAACTTCCAGTTCGGCGCCTACGGCACCTTTATGAGCCTCTTTGGCCTTATGGACATGCCGGCCGCCAGCCCGCTCTTCTACGGCATCGTCGACTACGCGTCTGCCGCTGTCTTTGAGATCGTCACCAACGCTTCCGTCACCGATGCTGCCGCCATCGATCCCAGTGAGATTTCCGTGCGCTTCCTCGTCGCCAACGGCTCTGCGCCTCTCGTCGGTGGCCTGACCGCCTACCCCATGTTTGGCACCGAGGACGAGCTGATGCCGTGGGCCAACTTCTCCGCCGCCATGGCTAACATTGCCGTCGGTGACACCACCACGTGGTGCCAAGTCTGCGGCAACACCACCGGCATCTGCAGCCCCATACTCCTCGGCACCGCCTCCGACTCGGACAACAGCTCCAGCGCCAGCAGCTCCAGCTCCAGCGCCAGCAGCTCCAGCTCCAGCCACCACCACCACGCCGTCTCCCGGCCCGTCGCCGGCGTCATCGGCGCCGTCGTCACCCTGGCCGTCGTCTTCTGTTTCGAGGCTCTCGTCATGGCCGTTGCCGGTCTGCGCCTCGTCAAGAAGGGCGCCGCCGTACCCAAGGCAAATTAGTAGGGCCCGGAGTGTTTGGAAACTGCAGATACCAGCCATGTCAATGGCTTCCGTTAAGGATATTGTAATTGATTATGTAATGAAGTTAATATTGCCCTTTTGCCTCCCAAATCTGGATATATAACAAGAAAGAACCACCCGCACGTATTTGCTTCCATTCTAAGACATCAAGAGGAACTTGTCGAAAAATTAATAGTGGTTAGCAAGGAAAAGAGAGATCGTCCCGACTATCGGAGCCCGAACATCTTCAACAGGTCGTGACGGTGGAAAAAGCTTCGGTTGCGTTTGCCAAACACGTCTGAATGAATTAGCAATGCAAGTCTCCGTACCGGGCAACACGGAAGCCAGTACTCACACATCGGAATGGCTAACAGACAGATGACCAGCTGTACGCTTCCCAGGGCGTTGAACACCGGCCGGCCACGAGAACCGTTCTCCTCCAGCCAATCGTAGGCCTTGTACGTTAGGCCGTAGCTAAAGAAGTTCTTGAAGATGATGAGACACGTGAAGCCCTCAATGGCAAGATCACCTGGTTAACGGGTTAGCCAGGAGCATCGAAGAGGGGAAGTGCAAGCAGATTCAGGATCAGGAACGTACGGTATGCATCAACAATGTACAGACTGCTGGCGACGGCACCGATGATCATGCCGCAGACCTCGAAGCCGAAGAAGACGAGCGGCACCGACCAGTGGTACTTGAGCTTCATCATGCCGTCAATGGTGATGCCGAAGCCGTACAGCCCCATGACGCCAAAGACGAGCTGCGGGATGACGAGCACGAGGCGGAACTCGGGCTCGTAGATTCCCTTGTTGCGCCGAGTCAAGAACTTGGCGCTCCAGTCAGCCAGCAAGCCGGCGATGATGAAGCCCAGGACGGCGCCCAGAAAGGCGCCCGTGTACGCGTAGCCGGTCTTGACCTCGTCCCACCACAGAGGATATCCGAGGAAGAACTGGGCCATGATGACGCCGATAAAGACGGTCCAGCCGATGAGCGTGCCCTGCGTCAGGCTGGCCCAGAGAAAGGCCGGCTGCAGGAAGAGTGGAAACGGTCGTAGCAGCAGCTTGATAAAGTTCTCGTCCGACTTGCGCCCGTCAAAGGGAGCCAGGTTCTGCAGCCAGGTCTTCTTGGCCGGGATGGCACCGCTGCGGCCAGCCGTCGCCTCTGCTGCTGCCTTTTCTTCGTCGTTGCCAGACGAGTCGCACGGGTCAGATGGGTCGATCTCGTCCTTGTTTGCGCCATCAGCCATCGCCATAGCCGCAGCACCGTCTGCGTCGACTTGGACCACGCGCGAAGCGTCTGCGCCAATGACATCGGTGTCGGCCGTGTCGGTGTTGAGGGCGGCGTCACGGTTGAAAGCCGTCTCAGGGCAGAAGAGGATGATGGCCGGCAGACAGGCGCCGCAGAAGATGGCGACCAGGTAAAAGGTCCACCACCAATAGATTGTGTGGGTGATCTTGCCGACGAGAATCGGGGTAAAAAAGGAGCCCCCAAAGACGGCGAGATTGGTAAAGGCCATCCGTTTTCCGCGTTGCTGTGAGCATGTCAGTGGAAGAGAGGTAGGGAAGAGTCAGACGGGCAGACACAACGTACATGGACAAAGTACAGGTCGCCGACAGACGCATTGACGAGCGCCTCGAACGGGGCAGCACCGACGCCTTGGATGATGCGCGCCCACAGCATGCTGGTGTAGTTGCGGTTGACGGAGCCGGCCCAGACGCTGCTGGCGATGAGGAGGCAGATGCCGAAGATGAAGGCATGGCGCTTGCCCCAGATGCGGCTCGAGGGCACGAAAAAGGTGCCGGCAAAGCCGACGCCGAGGAGGAAGTAGCCGGTCAACAGGGCGACCTTAGTGAAGTCGACCTCGAACCAGAGCGAGAGCGTGATGGTGTTGGCGGCCAGGATCGGACCGAGGGCGGTGGCAAAGATGGCGGAGACCGAGAGGATGAAGCAGATGAGGTCGCGACGCCAGAGCGGCCAGTTCAGCGGGTCATTCGGGTCGTCCGACGGCTGCGGGATCAAGATGATGGGCACGCCGCCGCTGTAGTCGCACTTGAGACCAGGTGCGCCGTCGTGGGCGATCTGGGGCCGCTGAGGGTCGTCAAAGTAACGGGTGGTGCCTGTTGAGGGTCAGCGGGAGGGGGGTAGGTGGTGTTCAGGTGGTGTGCAGGATCGCTGTGCATGTGCATCGTCAAATTGGCTCCTCGACCAATTCACATACCGGGAACGTGGCTCATGACCCGGTCTTCGAGAATGCCCAGACCCATGGTGAATTGGACTGGGAGATTGCTCTCGGACGACGGGTGTTTCTGGCTTTCTGTTTTGTCTGCTGTCGGTCTTGCCTGGCGATGCCCAGAATTAGGTGGAAATGCACAATCAATCGGTGGATGCAGAACGACCAGGAACACGATGAGATCAGTCACAGATGATTAAGCGACACCAGCAACAGTGTGCCAACTGCCAGGTCTGATAATCAATGGCCCGTGCGAGGGAAATGGCAGGACTTGGCCAGGAAGAGGAAAGAAAAGGACGACCGGGGCCAAGAATAACAGCCAACAGGCGTCCTGTCGGGATGAAGGAGAAGGCCGAAAGGCAGTCGACCGAAAAAGACGGCGAAGACAGGAGATGGATCTGGGTCCCAACAAAGAAGGCAGCAGCATCAGGGCCAGTACGAGTACGAGCGACTACGGAGCACGTCGTAACACGCGTCTGGGAGGAAGGAAGGATCTGGTCAGTGGTGGAGGCAGCAGCCATATTGCTCGAAACTTGTTACTGTAAGCGGTTTAGCGGTCACATATGGTTGTTTACTAGTGCTGTCAGGGAGAGGCGAGTGCAACAGTTGCCGTCCTTTTTGTCCTTTTTCCTCAGGCATTATCATGCTGCGGGTACGAGGTCGTCATGGTCAGTCAATCACTACGTGAAACTTGTCGTTTGTGGTTGCATCTTGCTCTACCATGTAAGATTCTTACACAATTGTATGCACCTCTTCATTTCGAGACCCACTGCAAGGTACGAGTACGGTTGGGACCGTGTGACTGGATTTGTGTCCGTGCTCAACCGAATAAATCTACATGCCAAGATCCACGAAGTCTACAAACCCGATCCTGCGGGTACGGAGTACTGGCTGAGTACGACGTATGGTCGCTGGCTGTCACGGCAGGATCGAAGGATTTCGGCTTGTTTACAAGCCTGCAGGCTATGCTCCCGTGGGTACGAGTACAGGTGCAGAAGCCGATCTAATTAGCGATGACAGGGAGGCCCAAGCCACGCAAGAATGGGCTAACAACGGCGGTGGGCCCACCGGTTGGTGGGAACGTCTGCTCGACCGCCAGAAAATCAGGAACAGCCAAGCAAGCAGACGCGTCGGTTCCAACGTTCTCTGCCCAGTTGGGAAGGAGCAATGCATTGGCCTCGTGGGATGAGTAGGACTGCGACTCCTTCCGCAATGCGACGGGCGTCAAGTAAGATACGAGCAGAGAGCTCCTAGTGCAAATCTCCTCGTCACTCCTTCGTACAGAGTACTCCGTTCTTAGCCCTACTTTTATTGCTCGTACTTTGCTAGCAAGGGTCCACTCCACACCCAAAGTCTAAACTAAGCTTCTTATGTTTGTCTCGTTTCTGTCGTCTTCCCTAGCCAGACCACTATCTCCTTTCTGCTACAGATGGAGTAATAATAATGTAATAATAATACGCCCTTCCCTTTGATCCTCTGCTCGCGTCTTACACCTCACACCTCTCATCTCTCTCTCTCGTTCGTTCTCTCCCATTCTTCCATCCACGCCCACGTCCTCACGATGAAGTATCTTGCCGCCCTCTTCTTTGCCGGCCTTGCTGTCGCCCAGCTCGGCTCGCTGCCGACTTGCGCTGTAAGCCCAATGTCTCGCCGCGCTCCGTCGTCCTTCCAACGCTGACTCTGTCGACCCTCTTTTTAGCAAAGCTGCGCCAGCAAGTACCTCGCCGGCGGCATCGGCAACTGCGGCACCGATCCCAAGTGCATCTGCGAAGACTCGGATTTTATCAGCGGCATCGCCTGCTGTCTGGCTGAGCCCGGTGGCTGCGACACGGCCGATCAGTCCTCGGCCGTCGCCTACGCCTCGCAAATCTGCGCCGCCCAGGGCGTCACCGTCCCTTCGGCCGTCAGCTGCACGTCCTCCCTTTCCAGCTCCGGCACCGCTGCTTCGGCTGCTACTGCTACCGCCACCGTCTCCTCCAGCACCGCTGCGACCACCGCCGCCACCGTCGCGTCCACCAGCGCAGCCACCACCGGTGCCAAGACCTCGACCAGCTCGACGGCCAAGTCGGCCAGCTCCACCAAGTCGGCCACTGCCTCGACCGCTTCGGTTGCCACCACCGCGGCCAGCTCGGCCAACTGGGCACCGCAGCAGTCGGCCGCCCTGGGCGGCGTCATCGGCGGTCTCGCCGCCGCTCTAGCCCTGCTGTAAGCTGGTGTGGAGTCTGGAGAGACAGGGCAGCATTAGTTGCGGGGTCAACGGCTATTAGGTCGGCCTTGCCGCTGAACCGTGTGCTGGGACGGTCTGTGGAATATTCGTGCTTCTATGTACGTGACCGCAATCTACGCTGCTTTCTTCTGGCGTTTGCGTTGCGCATGTACAGAGCACAGATTTTGGGAGAAACTGCTTGCCACTTAGAAACGGTGAATGTCATCATAATGTCTAGTATAGTTTAGCGTTTTTATTTTGAATACGAATAGAAACTGCTGGCTACCCTTGCAGACCCAAAAATGGCAATCAGATCGAGGAGACACTTGCATCCTGTCGGGACTCAGTCTATCGAAAAGCCATTTCCCTTCATCAGGACCTGAACGTCGGCCAGCTCGGTTGCAGTCACGTGATATCGCGGCGTTGGAGCTCCAGTCTCGTATAGGCTGTGCGGCACAAACTGGGCCCTTGGTAGAAGAGTGAATTCTTTTTCGGCATACGAAGCCCAGAACTTTTCCATGGCCTGCCGATTGATGCGACTGCAGATCTGTGGAATGGTCTTGTATCCCCGGCGGTTTCCTGCAGGCCGCTGGCGTGTCTGCTGAACCACTGCCTGCTCCTTGTGGGTGAAGATGGTCTGGAGGAACTTGTTGACAGCCATCAGATGGTGCTTGTCGATGGCCACGCCAGGACTCTCGTGAAAGACGTAAAACGACCCGCAGCAGGACGGGTGGTGGATGGTGGTCAGCATGTCCGAGCCGAAGTCGGGTGGCCGCACGTGGCGTACAACGGTCGACTGGAAGGCGTTGGTCTTGGTATCGAGGACGCTCTGTACCTGTTCCCAGTCGACGGCGCCGATGGAAAAGAGAAAGGTGCCCAGCTCGTTGTACGCCGGATGGGCGGCATTGGGAGGTGTATCGGCCGTGACGTCCCACTGGATGGCAGCCACCTCCGCGGGCGCATTGTCCCGTGGCATGCAGAAGTGGCTCCCGAGAACGCCGACGAAGCGGTCGCCATTGGGATCGAGAATATCGTCGTCGTCCATGCGCGCGTCCGGCCAGGCGATCCGGACGACCCAGGGCAGACCGAGCGCGACGGTATAGGGTGAGACGTGGTGGAGCAGCGACTCGGAGCGGCGGTCTGTGGCGATCAGCACTCTCTCGACGGCCGGAATGTCCCACATCATCTGGTGGCCGGAGCAGTTGACCTTGAGGGCCGGTATGAGCGGCGACTTGGCCATGGCCACGCGCGCGTCCTCGACGCTGACCTGCATGTCGTCGTTGAGCACGCAGAGAACGACGACAGTCCAGTCGTACATGGAGATATCCTGCACGAGGCCGAGCACCTTCTTGGACGCTTCCTTCCGGTCGAAGAGGCGAGCCGGCGCCTCCGGTTCCGCCTCCGGTTTCTCGGCGGCTCGGGCGAAGAGGTCCTCGTTCAGGCGGATGGCCCGGGTCGAGAGCGAGACCAGGAGGAGGATGCCGCGATGCGTGTACAGACGGCCGGGACCGGCCAGGGTGCAGAGCGGGATGTTGGGCTTGCCCTGGAACCGGTCCTGGCAGTTGCGGATGGCGACGGTCATGTGGCCGGGCAGCGTCTTGAGCCCGACGCCGTCCGTGTTCAGGCGGCCGGCGGTCTCGATGTCGGGACGGTCTGCCACAAAGAGACGGAGGTTCTTGAGGCTGCTGCCGAGGATGCCGGCCAGCTGAGATGTGCAGAGCTGGCCGCAGCCGGTCGTGCGCAGCCACACAAACTCGGCCTGTGCGTTCTCAGGACGAAGCACAATGGCCCGGCGGTGCATGGCCGACGGTCGCCGGCCCAGACCGAAACGGCCGGCCGCCTTGGCGCACAGGTGCTGGTGGAAGCGCGTGTCCTTGTCGCGGCAGCCGGCTGAGCAGTATTGGGCCTCGTGGCAACCATCACAGACGGTGGCGGGCTGCGGGCTGGCACAGTAGTTGCAGCGGGCTGTCACCACCAGCTCAGCGCTGTCGGACGATGCCAGGATCCGGGGCACGATCTGGGAACTGCCCAGGATGGAGCACCGATCGTCGCCGTGGTCCTTGAGGGTCATGATGCGAATGTGCGTGCTCAGGCGCTTCAGCCTGCGCGGCAGGTTCTTGTAGGCGGTGCCCCGATAACGCATTCTGGGCAGATGTTCTTGTGCTTCCGTCTCTTTGGTTGTTTTCCTATCGCCTTGTTCGTTGCGAAAGGCTAAAGGTTGGGAAGACCAGACAGAGGAGCAGTTTTTTCAGCTGTAGAAAAATAGCATTGGAACAGGCAGGAAAGAGACACTGGCATTTTTGCACACCTGCTTTTATACAGCGGGTATTGGTTTAGGCCGAATAGAAGCACCGCTTGCCCATCTGTACATCGGGCCGATCAAGCACCTTGTGAGAAGGAGCTCAGGCGGCGTGTCACTGCTTTATCCCCCAAGATGCAGAATCTGCTTCAGACTGGAACTCAGCTGCCGAGAACGAAGAAAAAAGCAGGTGAAAATACCCAGAGCAGAAGCACTACCCTTTATAGTTGCATTAGTAAGCATCGTCTGAAGGAGATCGTCAGATTATAGTAGTTTGATAATAGCCTACAGCAAGGAGACAAGTTGAGTTGTAGCTACAAGGAAAGCGATGTGCATCCATTGATAGCAGACAGTTTATCTACAGCTTAACAAGTGCATCCACAATAATTAGGACAGTAGAAACACCGGACTCGTTATGATAGGCTCGAAAAGACAAATGCATTCTTCCTTAAGTCTCGTATGCATGGTCACATGATACAACCATATGGGCAGGCTTGCTTGCTCATCTCGAAGTCAAGAGCATCATGCAGAAAACGTCTGCAAGTCACATGTGCAACGAGTACTGATCTTTGCAATTGAAAAGCCTGCAATGTGAGTCTGAGCTTAGACTTCTCAACGTCTTCAGTTTTACTCTCTTCTCAGATGCGGACCTGTTTTTTTTTTTTTTTACTCATGGCAGCACACCACTAAGTTAATCACCGGCTTCCAGCCCCAACATTCCCTCATCTCGTTCTTGTACACGTCTGCACACTCTGCATCCCCAAAGTATAATTCAGATGGTCTCGTCAATCGTATTGATCCAGTTATGAGTGTTTCAAGGATGGTGGACTAATGTTGAAACGTTGGAATGGCCGCGGCGACTTTGTGGAGGGGCAAGGCTCGCTTTCGTTTGCTCTCCAAAAATTCCGACCGCTAGCTCGCGACAGCTCAACAAACTGGCCCGAAAAACCATGCCGCGACCGCAGCGCAGCCGTGCGGCGGCATTGAAATCGAGGCAGCTGGCGAAACGAGGCGCTGAGGCTGTTGCAGGACTCGGAGCAGACGAAGTAGCTGGGGGAAGCTCAGACGACAGCTACGACGACGCGAGCCACGGCTCGGTCGAGAGCAGCGACGGCAGCCATTCGGACGCGGTCGCAGGGCCATCGCCTGCAGGCAGAGGAGGACGTGTGCGCCAGCGCGACCGACGAGGCCGAGGTGCAGAGGGCGCTGAGGGTGCGTCCGAGTCTGGGCCAACGCGATCAGAGCCAGCAGCAGCAGCAGCACAAGCACCAGCACCACCGGACGTCTACAAGATCGCTGCCTATCCGCAGGATAGCCGACGGACGCGACTATACGCGGGACCGCTGAAGAAATGGGACCGGTACCGATCGCTGATCGAGATCCTGTACGGACCCGACCCCGAGGCGATTGGCATCGTCGACAGCCTGCGCCACCACTGGATCGGCTATCCGGTGCTGCCGAGGAAGACGTCGTATCAGGATAGCGGAGAGGGCGAGACGGGCGACGACGACGACGGCGACGACGACGATGGCGATGGCCAGCCTAGGAATTCGCTTGGGGGGATGCAACCGAGTCCGTGGGTGTCGGACAGCTTCGAGGCCGACCAGGCGGCGGCGTTCCATAGCTGGTACGCCGAGCCGGACAATCAGCAGCAGCAGCAGCAGCAGCAGCAGCAGACGATAGCCCTGAGTGCCGAGACGGCGCAGCAGTATCTCTCATTGGCGGCGGCCGGCGAGCTGATCGCATTTCTGGGGCCGACATCGCGACAGCAAGTCGTCCAGTTTCGGCCGGGCAGCTGCGTGGCGCTGCAGGAGAGCGGTTACCCCGATGGGGGAGGAGAAGGAGGTGATGGAGGTGAAACAGACGGGAAAACGGCCGGCTGGATGCTCGATGCGGGTGGCATCGTCGTGGCCACGGCCTGGGCACCGCTCACCGGCCGCGTCGACCAGCTGCTGGCCGTGGCTGCTGTTCCGCACGGCGACCAGGAGCCGGCTGGCAGCGGGCTATCTGCAACTGTCCCCGACAGCGGCAACCAACAAAAACAGGGCAGCATCCAGCTCTGGCGGGTGGCGCTCGACGCAGCGTCGGCCAAGATGAGCAGACGGCGGCCACGTGACCCGGTCCTGGAGCGGGTGCTCCTATTTGAGTGGGGCCGGCCAAAGCGGATGCAGTGGTGTCCGGTGGCGCTGGGGACGTCGGCCACGTGCGGGCTGCTGGCAGTGCTGACGGGCGACGGGATGGTGCGGGTGGTGGAGGTGAAGCGAGGGAGTGGAGGAGGTGAAGGCGGAAGTGAGGCGGCGTATGGTGAGTTCTGTTTGTTCCTGTCTTTGTCCGCCTTCATCTTCCTTCTTGTCTGTCCTCTTTTGTTTCCTCTCTCCTTCTATCCTTTCTTTTCTCTTATTCATCCTAACCGCCAGACTGGATCTCCCATCCGATTGCCACCCTTGGCCTCCCCGACGAATACAATGTGGCAGCCACCTGTCTCACCTGGCTGGGCCTCAACCGGCTCGTCCTCGGCCACACCGACGGCTCGCTCTCACTCTGGTCGGTGCGTCCGCGCCTGCTGCTGCAGCGTCTCCCAGTGCACGCGACCCACGTTCTCGACGTCTGCTCCGGCTACCCGTCGTATCCCTACATGGTGGCCTCTCACCCTGTTGGTGGGCTCGCCCGCCTCGTCGACCTGACCCGACCCAGCAGCGAGCACACCTTCCACCCGTCGCCCATGGTGACCTTCCAGCCGGGCTTGTTGCAGTGGTGCGACCACATGCTCGGCTTCGCTGCCGCCGCGCCGTCCAACAATCCGCGCAACGGCCGGCTCGACTTTCTGCACGTCCGCTTCTATCCCGGCTCGCGCACCTTTTTTCCCGGCCGTGGCCTCGCACCGCCCATCTGCCTCGCCGTCGGCACCTCTCATCCTTTTGCCCTCGTCGGCCGCGCCGACGGCAGTCTCTGGGCCTGCAACGTCATGCAAAAGGTCTTTCGCAACCGCGCCGACCTGTCGTACCGCCTCAAGATCGTCGACGTCGAGTTTCGCCCGCCCGCCAGCGAGTACCGCCATCCGTCCGTCCGCGGTGCCGTCCGCATCCTCCACGGCTTCGAGCCCGAACGCAACGAGCAGCCGGCCGCACAGCCGATTGCCAGCAGCAGCAGCAACGCCCCCAAGGACTACGCCAGCAGCAACAACGACAGCGACGGCGGCCCGCCTTCCAACGACGCTGGCAGCGACGCCGAGCAGGAGTCCGGCCAGGCCGTCATCCACGACCCCCTGACCCGCATCTCGGCCGTCGCCTGGAACCCCAACATCGAGTACGGCTGGTGGGCCGCCGTCGGCATGGCTTGCGGTCTCGTTCGCATCGTGGATCTAGGCGTGGACTAATGGCTGAAAAGGTAGCAAATAGCAGCGTCAGTTGTACATGATGAAATACATGAGAGCAAAGATCCTTGACTGCACTCCCCTTGTGCATTAAACGGATAAACAAAAGCCGGGCGTTGACTGCCTGGAAGCCTGGGCCTACCAGCATGCGTTTCGAGCAAGATGACGTAAGCAACCCGTTCGAACTGTTTTATTCCAAAATAGCGTCCTGGCTCCTTAGCCGAGAAGCGTACGGGGAAACCCAGAAAACTGTTGGAGCTACTCCGTACTGAGGAGGACATGACAGCGTAACTAGCTTTGTATAGCCTTCCGTAATCTTCTGTTCTTATTCAGTCGACTTCGTCACGTGGATGACAACAGTATGCCAGGCTGTGTTGTTGTATTTCACGCCGTGCTTGACACCAAGCTCAGCAGTCCATTTGAGTATAGACTCGAGCAGTAGCCCCTCGTAGTATCAGGATCGTGTTTGACCATTCTGCAAGGTAAAGAGGCAGCTGGCAATCATCAAGGCCACGAAAACACCCAACACGAGATCGTTGCTCTCCAAATGCTGTCAACGAGTTTGAGCTCGTGACGGGGAGATACTCTGGACCTGACGAGCGGATGGCGGGACCAGTACCGGTGTGCCTATCATGACTCATGTCTCCTCAAGTAGATCAATGGCTGTGTACGTGACAAGGTATGCTTGGCTGCCCAAGTATATAAATGCCCTACGATACTGAGCCTACGATATTGAACTTGCTTTCTTTACAGAAGCAAACTATACGAAATCTGTCTATCGATAAAAGACTCAACAGGACTCGGTGGTAGCGGAAATGCCACTGTCCAGCCCACTACAGCGTGTATCAGTCACGTTTTGGTAAATGCACCATCGATGATGCTTTACCGAGCTAGCACCCGGCTGGTTGAAGTGGCCAAAGTCGTCGTCGATTTTATCAACCTACGCAATTAACGCATCGTGCCGCTCGCGAAAGTCGATAGAATTCGCGCCACCGGAGACGGCGAGCTATATGCAAAAAAAAAAAAAAATATAACCCAGGATATGGCTATCAGGTTGCCTTGTTGTAAAGAGAAAGGGCGAGAGGCGAAGGTCATTAAAGGCAGGGCAAGTCTTAGCGATACACTGCTCGGACAGATGATCGCCAACGCAATCACCAGCCGTCGGGGGAAAAAAATGATCAATGTGAGTTACCTACTATTCTTTTCTTACCTACTCCATAAAATTAACAGAAGGCTAGCCCGCCGCTTTGGCCGCCGCTCCGATCTGACCAAGACGATGCTATTAAAGGATACGAAAACATATTTTCGCCCTGTTGAGCTCCTTGTGCTTGGCTTTTTGTGATACGTTGCCACCATTACCAACGATCGAGACGGTCTCGTCAGCACGCAGCCTGGAGAGCCGCTTCTAGCGTACAGAACCTCTCATAACACGGTGCAGAGTTTTCACTGCCGCAGTGCATCGCGCACTAGTTCGCAGTGCACGATATTACATGAAGCTTTTATTAGAAGATGTACTTGGACCCTCTTCATGGATACCATGCCAGTTGCAGCAGGCATGCGCAGAGTCGTTGGAATTTGTTGAGTCTACAACAACCGCAATACGAGCAATCATTGCAAACGCAGAGAGTAGGCTCCAAGCTGAAAGCGCTCTGAGCAATGACAGCAGGCACCGAAGTATGCTGCATCGGAAGTGTTCCTGTTGTTTTTCGCTGTGGCTGGCTTAGATGTCTTGGTATGCGTATTCGAAATCGGAGATATGATCTAGTGTATCTGAAGAACTTGGGCGTGTTTCTTGGTAGGCTGTAAGTTGTATTTTCTGAGTGCATGTTTCTCATGCGAGTCGTCAACGACCTATAGTTTCCTAAGAGTAAAAGTCTGCAGCGACTTTGAGAAAGCTTGACCCCCAGGTGAGGCCTTGCGCTCTAAGTCTCACGTACACATTGTCTCAGTGCGAAGCCAACTCCCGTTCGAAGATGTTGGACAACGACGGCGATCTCTAAGAGGCAATAAAACTCGGGTCAGCGTCGTATCGGTCTCTCATTTGCAAGAGGGTCTGTAAGCGATGATGGAGTCTGTAATATATGTGACCCATCAAGACCTTTGTTCTTATCAGCATCAGCCACTGTGACTATTTTTGGCTGAGGCTCAAACATGAGTGAGAAGTAGTTTCAACTTGAAGTTTTTCTCCATGATTCCATTGCTTCTGTCACCAGAGACGCATGAGTACTCGGCTTAACGAAGAGGGGTCTAAGACGGCGTTGACATTCTTCATTTGAGGCCGAGGACAGCTGAGCAGTGCGAGTGAGACAATTCTGGCCTTTTACCGGCGTGCGACCCGATGATCACAATCTGGCGAGGTCAACATCATTCACTTTACTGGCAGGTTGTGCACCTTGAGAAGTCCGAGGTGGATGCAACGGCAGTGGGGCAAGATGAGTCAGCAAGACATCACGTGACTGTATCGTGAGAGATTGTCTCGGTCGAAAGTGTCGCAATGAATGCAGAAGGAGGAATCTATACATCCAACCGACTGATCGTCATCTTTTCTTGAAAGGATTTGGTCCGACAACAAAACTTATCGTCTCTGTGGACTTGGCTTGGAAGCGACCAACTGCGGGTGATCATCAACACGCCATAGCCGTGCGGTGTCTTATCACAGCCCAAGTATCTTCCGAAGCATTTACGCGAGCGAGCGGCCATCTTCTGTCAACAGCAGGAAGCGTCGGAACTGTCAACGGCACGCGTCGTTTTTTCGCGTCCAGAATGGTCTGTAGCGCATGATGCCTCACAACGGCCGAGTCAAGTGGAGCCGACTGCGACCGGTGCAGCAAAACCCACTGGACGCATACGGACTGCCGTCCAAGGGCGAGACGAGGTGAGTGTGCGTGCGGTGCGTTGCGCGATCGGACACCCAGTCTGACCGTGGGACAGGCTGCACGACTTTAAGACGCAGGAGCTCTATTACACGAAGATCATCGAGCGGTACCTTGCCTTCTGCACCGAGGCAGACGGGCGAGAAGAGCTGCTGGCGTGGTTTGCGTCGTTTGAGCGAGCCAGCGCCAGCGCCAGCGAGAGCGCGGCGACGTCGACGACAGCCGGGCCCAAGACGGTCAGCGCGGCCAAGGACCTGTCGGACGTGCTGCTGGCGCTGCGGAAGCTGCGCGAGGCGATCGTGGCGACGAAGCGGGCCGATGACTTTTCTGTGCACGTGTACCTCTTCTGCATCCGGCAGGCGATCCTGGCACGGCAGCCCGAGGCCTACCACCCGGCCATCCTGTATCTGCTGCGCGTGATGGCACGGCAGCACCCGCTGACGCGCGTCGAGGCCCACGAGGTCACGGCCTACCTCGTGCTCGATGCCGCCTGCCGTCGCGGCGACCTGGCCGAAGCCTATCGACTGCGCAGCCAGCACCGGTTCCGCAACCGGACCGTGGACGGCGTGCTGGCGGCGCTCGCCCGCGACGACTGGCTCGCCTTCCGCCGGCTGCTTCAGAGCGTCGACGGCCACCAGGCCAAGCTGCTCGAGTGCGCCGAGCACGGCCTGCGCGTCCACACGCTCAAGTGCTTCGGCCGCGCCTATCTCCGCCTCGACGACGTCGCCTATCTCGAGTCCGTCACCGGCATGGAGTGGGCTGATCTCCAGCGCAAGTATGGCGTTGGCTGGGAGCGCGACGGGAAGGCCGTCATCATCCGCAAGGCCAAGCCAAAGACCCCGGCCACTCGGGCAGCATCGTGACGGCAGCACATCGGATCCGAGGCAAACACTCTCGTTCGGCCTCTGGCTAGACAGCAATCATAACATCTATCAACCAAGTCGCTTGTGTGCAGTCTCGGACATCAAAAGGCAGTCGGCCCGGCCTATATAATGACTGCATCCGACTACAGGTTCCGGCTGCTGCTCGGACGAGCTTCACGGGCAAACAGAGTTACGAAGTCGTATAGGCACCTTCCGTACTAACTTACACTGTGTATCAGTCTCTACATACATTAACACGTATAGACGAGAAACCTTTAATATTCACGGCTAGGCATCTTGCGGATTGCAGTGATTTTCTGACAGGCAGCTGTAGTTAAGCAGACAGCAGTTCTGCGCAGTCCATCGGACAGTGAGACAGAACGCCAAAGGGACGTCTGGAGGGCAGCCTCGTGCATTCTCTCCTGCGCCCTTTCCTCTACTCCTTGAGCCAGGGTGGTAAGCCCCCTGAACAGCAAATGTCTCAGCCGTCACACGGCAGCTGATTCTGTCCGTGGAGAGATGGGATTTCTCGCCATGCCTCCTTGCATTATCCCTCAGCCCAGAGTCCGGCCGAGGATGCGCAGACGTGCATCATTGCAGACATGCAGACCTGCAGACATGCAGACATGCAGACATGCAGACCTGCACAGACCAGCAACACAGACCAGCAACACCGCAGCAGGCGTTCCGTCCAGAGTCCGGAACCGTTCGATCTGGCCCACTCTGGCAACTCACGGAAATGCACGCAGACGGCATGGGGACCTGAAGTGGGCGGACCTCGTCGGTGCCCGACCAGTGCGCTCTCCACGGATCCGCTCTGCTTCTTTGCGTACTATGTACGGAGTAGTAGGACCTCTGACTTGCATCGGTCGCGCTCCACCTTGTGCTTTCTTCTGCAGCTGAACGGCTTGATCAGAGCGGAGACAGGTGCCCCGTGCCCCCTCCCAGCCCGAGACAGGTCCTTTTCACACCGCACCTGCCTTGGCAGTTGCCTCGTGTAGTGTTCAAATTGTGCTTGAAACCTCTACTGTGTACGGAGTACGGAATATCTTACGACAACGCGGGTGGAGCGGCTATGTACGTTGTGCTTGTAAAGAGGAGAACGGAGCAGCCAGCGAGATGCTTCCGTTTCCATCACCATGCGTCGTCACGGCCCACCCGGCCCTGGACAGAAGAGACGAAAGGGCGAAAGAGCAGAAGAGTGAAAAGAAGAAAGAAGAAAAAAGGAAGAGGAAAAAGAGACAACAGTGCCTTTGCCATGGGCGGAGCTCCTGTCTCGGCCCAGCATTGCTTACGAGCTCGCAAAGAGGCAATGAGGGAAAGAGAGAACAGGGTCTGACAGCGTGGGCATACCATCCACCCTGCAGATCGCCTCGCTGCCGAACGCTGCCCTCCTCGCGTCATCCATCGGCTTGTGGATGGGCTGGGTAAGGCATATTACGGCGTACATAGTAGGAAGACAGGGAGGTAAGAAGGAGCATCAGCAGTGGATCCCACATGCAGGCCAGTGGCCAATATCCACCAAAAGAGGGGAGGAAGAGGGCCTCGTGGCCGACCGAGAACGAAGAGCAGGTCGATGAGCATTGAATGATCTGCATGTCCACCTCCTCCACTCTTCTCCCCCCCCCTCCCCATTTTGGGCCTCTACTATGAGCATGCACCTTCTTTCCCGTCCTTTCTACTTCGTACTTCTTGCTTCCTTTTTCTCTTTGCCATGCATGCACGTCGTCGGCTGTGGGGCTTCAGCCAACAACCTGTCAGCCACACTGAAACGAAAAAAAAAAGCCTCCACCAAACAGCTATCTCCTCTCTTGGAATGACCACCACCAACACCACCAAAGAGAGGCTAGGCCCGGCAGAGATGGTGCTTGATTCGCCAGGCCGCATCACGAGGCATGGCCATGCAGTGGTGATTGAGCCAGCCACGTCGCCCGTCATCTTGCAGTCCGTGCAGGTTGCCCAATGGACCAGCCGCCCAGACGACGTCCTTTTGTCAGGCGTAATCGTCTCGCTCTGATACGGGTCTGCATATGCATGCTGCCATGCTCCGTATCGCTGCGGTGCATCCGTGCGACGTGCCACCCGCCGAGAGACAGAGACAGTCCGAGGCAGAGAGAGCAGAGGCCGTTGCGTCGCAGTGGTGGCGGCGATCACCTCACGCGCGCCTCGTTGCCGATCCCCAAACCTGCCAACAGGAACCTGCCCGCACATGGCGACACTCGTTTTGGGGGCCTTTTCTGCTCACATGTACGAGTCTCCCCTTCCAGCACACAGTCGTATTGCCCCCGTATCGCTTGGTGCTGAAACAGGAGATTCAGAGCCTTGCCTAGACCGCCCAGCCAAGCAACCACTCTGTCTTGCGCCCCCGAGTGTGCATCGTATATACATAGTGCGAATGCATGGCTGATGTGGTTCTCCGGCACAGTATAATGTTTCGACCACTGTGTATATATGCACAGTACTCCGTACTCCGTGCCGATTGGGGACATCTCACGGCCCACTCTATCACGTGGCCGTCCAATAAGAGTCCTCGGCTCACCGACTATTGCCCATCGCCAGCCACCAATGAGCAGCCGAGAGAGACAGCAGACTTTCCCTGCGGTCCGGCGGTCTGCCGCCACAAACAAGTGCCCTTGATATCAGGTCCCTCAAGGACCGGATTTCTTACCTGGTATGGATGCAACGCTCGACGGCACAGTCGGTTGCCTAACCATTGGTCACGAGTGCCTGGCAGAAACGGTTCGTTCGTCCGCCCTGTTTTTGCTTGCCGGCCTCACTTGGCCCCATCCTGTTATGCAAGATAAAAGGAGAAGGGTGGGTGAGACTTGGCTGTTCCAATCACAGCACAGGGCTGGCAGGTGGGTTGATTAGCAGAACACAGCATGACGGAAGGCGTGCTGTCTATGTGATAAGCTGGGTCTGCATCCTGCATTGCTGCACTTGCATTGGTCCACGGCCACTGCGGGCTAGATGCCTGTGGGGTTAGCTAAATGGAAGGACTGCCGAGACCCTGGCGTGAAGATAGCTAGAAATCTCGGTGGCAAAGGATGGAAGACAAGCCGTGGGAGTGGCGTGTGGCGCTCATCTACTTTTAGTTCAGAGCATCAAATCAGGTCCGCGGTCGACAGATGTGTGGAAGAGAAACGTAAGTGTGATTTTTCCTCAGCGGTATTCGCAGGAGTAAAGAGGTATTGGCCCAGTAAGAATCTAACGGAATCATCACTAATCCCTTCTTGTAGTAACAGAAAATCAGATCCATGCCATCCCAATCGTCAAACCGTTAACGACAAATGAAATACTGTAAAGAAAAGAACATATCATCCTAGTAAAGGTGTGTGAAAGTGATCCTTGTACTGTTGGAGAGGCATTGGCAGCCTCCCAGAACAACAACTAGAATCGGAAAAAGTGCGGCCGACTTTGATCGTTTCTCGGCCAAGTGACGCCCCAATGAGGGGAAAAAAAGTGAAAACTCCAGTTCCATAGTGGCCATTGCGAATGTCCTGCGCCAGAAAAAAACACGACCGATCCACCCAGAGCAATAAACGGCAGAAAAATTGCAGAAGGCGGGTTTCCTCCGCTCGTCACCTTCGAAACCGTCCAACTCCTCGCTTTTGGAAAGAAAACCGCATTCAAAATGAAAATGGTAGAGGGGTGGGAGATGGTAGAAAATAAAACAGCTGGACGAATCCAAGCTCCAGGACAACTTTTTTTCCCGTTTTCAAGCCAATCGTGCTTTTTGAAATCAGGCTTTTGTTATTTTCACAGAGTCGCGAATATGTAACGTAAGGGTGCGATTAATGGCAGCCCGGTAAGAAGACGGAATGGGGGATAGGAAGGATAGACATTGGGTGGAACGACCGAAACTGCTGCGCAGACTGGCCATTCCTGCCAATGACCCAATCCCAGAGCAGAAACTTTGAAGCTGAACCGCATGTTATCGGTTGCTGCATGATCTGCTGCTGCTGCTGCTGCTGTTGCAGGAGCGGCGTGGATGGGGAGGGATGGGTGAGAACGGGATGCTGTTGGTGCAGTAGCACAGGAGGCATCGGTAAGGGTTGTTGAAGTGTGAGAGGCTGGTCCGGATGTGGGACCGCGATCGGATGGTGAAACGTAACGTAGTCCTGTGGCATGTGCATAGTTTGATGGACGTGGTAGGCTGTCGGCTGTAGGTGAAGCTGCTGCTGCTGCTGCTGATGTTGTTGTTGCTGCTGCTGGAGGTAAGGGCCACCGATCATAGAAGCATCCTCGGGCTCGTAGACAGCCAGCATGTCGTTGTGAGCGGGGTGACAGGGGAGGGGGTGCACAGAAGACACGGGTGGTGGGGTCATGATCTCCGGGACGTCCTGGCACAAGAACACGTCGCCAGTTTCGTCGTCGTCCAAGAGAGAGTCCATAACCGAGGAGATGCTAGACGTGCACGTCCGCACAGACGAGGCCGATGACAGGACAGAGGAAGCAGGGGACAGGGTGGCAAAGTTGTCAAAATCCGCGGGCGTCTCCACCGTTGGCACCATAGTCTCCTCGACAGCAGCGGCCGCCGCATTCGAGTGGTCATCCGAAGCGGGCGGCGTGAGCACCGACTGCACGACAGCTGGCGCTGCCACCTGCTGCTGCGGCTGCGCAGTCAGACGGGGGCAGGCCAGGATGAGCTGTCTCAACTGGGGCAGCGTGATCCTCTGGTCCGGGTTCGGGGTAAAGATCCGAGCCAGGATGGCATCCAGTTCGTCCGTCAGGGGAAGGATGGTCTTGAGGAAGCCCGAGTTACGTGTGTAGGCCCGGTAGGTAGAGTCCTCGTGCGAAGCTTGCTTCCATGGGTTGCGTCCACATGTCAGGTTGACCAAGATCACACCCAAGCTCCACACATCGTTAGGAGCACAGTAGTAGTATGGCCGGACGGCACTGGACTGGCCCAGACATTCTGCTATCAGTTAGTAACCTGGCGTAGAGGACGGCAACAGGGATGGATGCACGAACCAGGCGACATGTAAAAGGTCGAGCCACAGCCGTAGTCTTCCGACTGTTCGGCAGAGGTGGCCAACCCGAAGTCCGCCAGCTTTAGCGTCTCTCCACCGTTTGCGACCAGGATGTTCTCCGGCTTCAGATCCCGGTGGTAGATTCCCAGCTGGTGCAGGTGGTCGACGGCATCCAGAATCTGCAGGAAGACCCGACGTGCCAGCTCGTCTTTGCCCACAAAGTGTCCGCATTCCGTAATGTTGTAGAACAGATCGCCCTCAGGGCAGTACTCCAGCACAACATAAAGGCAATCCGGGTAGACGTCGATGATCTTAAGCATGGAGACCACATTGGGGTGAGCCGAAGCGGCATAGTGGAGACTGATTTCCCGGTCCTGGTACTCGAGCTGGCGAGCGTCCAGTGGGCTTCCATCCGGGTTGAGCTTGCTCAGGGCCTTTACGGCATACCGGGTGCTAGTCTTCAGGTCGACGGCCTGGTACACCACACCATAGGCTCCGGTCCCGATGATGCCGGTCAGCTGGAGCGACTCCTCCAAGCGCAAACCAATCCGCTCCTCTGGCGTTACCGGGACATAGCGCTGCTGGATGTGGTGCGGGTGTGGTGGCTGGAAGAAGTGCTGCTGCTGCTGCTGGTGCGGCGAGAGATACTTCTGCTGGTCCCAGGACAGCGGCGACGCTGGAGGAGTCGGGATTCCGTTCGGTACCAGAACATGCTGCATTATATTGGGAGATATCCAGATATCCTCTCGAGTTGGTTGATCGTCTCAGCTTCCTCGAGACGAAAGAAAATGAAATGGCCTTGCCGTGCCACGTCTTAACGTAGCTGGGGGTGGTCAATATTGAAAAGCAAACATCAAGAAAAGCCTACAAACAGTCTAGAATGGTTTGCGGTCCGGTAAATCCAGTAGACGTCCGAGGGAAAAATCCAGTGTTCGGCGAAGAGCGGGAGATATTATATTACGAACGTCGAATAAACGAGTCCGCACAGCAAAACGTATAGAAGAATTGGCGTGGTTGGCGAGCCTTGTAACTGCTTAGTCGTGACTGGATGGGAGAAGGAGAGGCGCCCTAGACCCAGCGACGACGGGAGAGAGAAGATGGTTGATATAGAAGAGAAGAAAGGCAGAAGACAGGAGGCGACAAGCAGCCGGTGGTGGGAGAGAAGTGAGGAGAAAGAGAAAAGGGAACGTGGCGAACAGGATCGATAGCAAAAAACAAGAAGCAAGGACGAGAGAAGCTGGGGAGGAGGTTCGTAGATATCCTAGATTGGATACGGAATACACATGAACATGAACGTGCGTGAGAAGGTGTGTGCACGGCCGGGCGTCTATTCCATACCGTCCTCACTAGTGCCTCAAGCTAGTACTTGTAGAGAGCCGTGTTTGTTGCGTGGTTTTGGAAAGGGAGGGTGGCTCTCGGCCTGGACCAGGGTACGCCTTGATGAATAACGGGACCAGGGTGTGGAGGGCGATATCGTATGGAAGATGCCTGCATGCCACAAGAACAACAGGGCACGAGAAACGGCTGGCCTTGCCCCCGGCCCAGTCCTGCACTTGATAGACATGGAAGCGGACAGGGAAGGCGGCCGATGGCCCCACAGCTGCAGCAAGGCGCTAGCATTGGAAGGGGCAGTATCGGCGAGTGCGAGGATGGGAAGACGAGGAACGGGCTTTGACGGTGATTACTCCGCCGTGTGTGTGTCTGCCTGGAGGGGGGGTGGTGTCTCTGCCAGTCTCTTTGTCTGGGATGGCCCAGTCAGAGAGTCTGGAGGCGTGAGCAAAGAGCTAGGGTTAATGCGGGAAGGCTCCACAAGATGTTTGGGAGAGTGGTGACGACGACGGTGCCGATGATGATGAGCAATGGAAACGAATGGGGCGAAGAGAGAAAGGAGCATGGGGTTGTCTGACACACAAGAAATGACCTGTCCACCCAGAAGGGGGGCGTGAAAATGAGCTGGTGGGTGGGTGTGAGTGGGTTTGTCGTCCTCAGCCACTCACCATCAGCGGACGGCCAGGGAGGGATTGGCTAGCGCTGCTGCATGGCTTGGGGCCATCCTGCAAGAGCGAGACGCTTCCTGTTGTTGGACTGGCCACGACATGGAGGGAACAGGCCACTGGAAGCCCGTTGGGAGGCGGCCCAGGCCCCCTTTTTTTTCTTTTTTTTCTTGCTTTGCCTGTGTCTCTTTGGGGTGCGTGTGCGTCTGTTTCTGGTCGGCTTCACGGTGACGGTCTCTCGTGCATGGTAGACCACGTCTCACGCCTAATGGCAATAATGCAACATTAATAACATAACATGCTCCGTAATGTAATAAATGCACGCGTTTCTGCTGGCGATGTGGAACGGATTTGTGCGGGTTTCTTCCAGGCGGCGCCGTGCTAGTGGCCCTCGTGAGCAGGCGGTGTGTCGGCCATGGTGCATCGCACCCCTTTTTTCATCTCCTAGGCTCTTGTCGTAGGCTGCAAGGCCAGCAGCCGGCGGGTGACGAGAAGGGATTTTCATTGTCTGGAGATGCCTTTCTGTTGCGGAGGCAGAATCGAGCTAGCGATCGGCACAAAGCGGTTGATCGGTACTGTGTGGGCGGGGGACATTTAAAATTAATGCAAATTCAGTCGGAATATTGTACTTGCAGCGGTACATAGGAATGCTGACCAAAGGCCACCGATAGGCCAGTACCTTGCGGTTGGGGCATTCGTGCACACTGCACACTGCACAAGTCACTCTCGCTAGTGCAGACGATAGAAGCCGGTTCGCCACCGACTTGCGGCCCCTGATTGGTCGCCACCGGCCAGCAACCGCTGATTGGCCGCCCCTGCTTATCTTGGCAATGCTCGGCAGGTTGGCTGCATAATCGCCCTGTTTCTTCCAAAGACGCCGAAACGTATGCTCGCCTCAGAGGCTGCCTCGCGGCGTCTCGATCGGACAACGCCTGGCTGGCCGTGCTGGTCTGCCCTGCAGGCCTGCTGGCCGGCGGCTGGCTCCGGCCCTCTTTCTTGCTCGTTCTTGCTCGTTCTTGCTCGTTCTTCCTGTTCTATGCTCCGTATCCCCGGCAAGATGCACAAAATGGCGGTGATGCTGTCAACAAATGAGGAGGCGTCGCCACACATTCGGCTCTGCGACTTGTCATGTAGAACTGCAGGGCCACCTGCACCTGTCTTTGGCGGCCGGTTGCTGATGCCAACAGCCAGCGTCATCCGCCGTGCCCGTATACGAGTGTGCGAGTGTACCGAGTTGCTTGCTCGTATTCTGTCTGGCCATACGCTACAAAGCACGAGCACCGGCCAGCTCGGCCAGACAGATCTTTAGCAATGTGTCCTCGCTGCAGGCAGGAAATTGGCTGCTACAGTACGTTGGAAAATAAAATTAAACAACCACCGGCCAGCAGGGAAGATCTGGAAAAAGAAGAGGGTCAACAGCAGCCCGCGTGCACACTGCTGATGCTGGTCCGAGCTTGTCAATAATACGGGGAGAGGGGCAAATCATTGCCTGATGCGAGTGCCACCCTGGCCCACTCCACCATCCATCGAGCAGCCTCGTAAAATTTAGGGGAGGCCGCATCGTAGTGCTGGTGGTGGAGTCCGGTTTTGGTGCATTCGACCAGGCCTAACCAAGATACGAGAGCTCTGGTGACGACAACGACAAAGAATGAGGCTGTCCAGACGGTTGAGACCCTCCAGAAAGTTCGAAAGCGGGGACGGCCTGCGACAGCTCGCTTTCGAGCCTTTCGTGATAACGGGCCTGATATGTATCTTAGTCTTACGAGTCAGACGTGATGAAACTCGAGTGACGAGCAGGCATGTACGGGCACGGAACACGGAGCACGGAGCATCGATATGCCTTCGGGTTTGAGGTCATCCACATGAGGGCCTTGGTCCTCCTCGAGACGGGCCAGAAAACAAGCACGGATGGGGCGGCCAGGGGAGGATGAGAGGGGCGCTGCGACGTGCGGCACGCCCAGGCCATCATGCAAGCCCTGTTCTCTCCAATCCCGGCAGGCCTCGCTGCTATTCTTGGACCACCTCACAGCTCTTCAAGGCGCCTCGCAGCACTTCTCTGCACCTCGCTGCACCTCACTGCAGCGCAGCGGCGCCAACGGCCCCCAGCTTCATATGGGCCATGCTCTGATCTCGAAAGGAGCAGTGTTCCATCGTCGTCGTACTCCGTCCTGCAGTCCTGGCCACATTGGCGCAGCCGAGCTGTCCGCATGGCCCCAGACGGGCCTCTGGTCGTAAGATCCGCGCTCCGAGAAAGAAGACGCGAGCGCCACACCGAGAGCGGGCGCCACAGGTTGGTGGCTGGGCCAGACGGCTCCTCTGGCACGCACGGCTGTTGGCTGCATCTTGACCAACCTCCTGGAATGACCGGACGCGCCGGCTTGTCTGTGCAAGAGTCCGCTCCCCGACCGATGCGTGGACGGAATGTCCATCATGCACTCTACAGCTGACAATCGCCTCTGGCTTGGGTGATCGGTTGCTATGATCTCCGCCACCCCAGAAGCCATTCTCCAAAAGAGGTCGCGCCGAGTCTAGCTTTGTATGTAAGATCTGATGTCTTTCTCACGCTCAGGAAAAGAGGGAAAGGCGCCGTCTCGTCTTCAGAGCCCAGGGCCAGGCCAACAGGGGACACTAACGGGCCACTACGGGGGGCTTAGCCCCTGAACGGATCCAGCTTAGCCCGCTGCGTATCGTATATTATATCCTACATAGTATGTACGCTGCACCATGCAAAAGGGTTCTTCGTCATGGCCCCCACCCCGGAAAAGAGACCGTTTCGCACCCTTTGCCACTCGCTCCATTCCAGCGCGCGCCTGTTCGTTTTGGCCGCTATTCGGCTCTGATAGGGAACAAAATGGAGCCGCGCAAAAGAGGACAGATTCGATCGACGCTTGGCCCGAGACGAGAACTTTTCAGCCGAATTGTTTGTCGTACTCACGGCCTTCTTCTACTTGGAAAGCGCCTTGTCCATCGGGAGGCGCGTACTATGTACGAGTACGAGTACAGGATTGGGATCGCGCCCCCCGGCTGCTCTCCATAAACACAGCCAGCGTGTTCCGGGCCTCAGCCACGAGGCATGCGTCTGCTCCCAAGAATATCTCACTTGCCACCGGACACTGCTCCTTCGGACAGACATCCTGACGGAAATAACGGCGGTTTTAGATGTCCTCTTGCCGGTGGATATGCAGTAAGATGCAGGCTGTCAAGGGAGCCTAGCATCCATGTCTAACGTCTGGTGTCGATGTCGATCCAACCGAGAAGCCGCTGTCTGAATAGGCAAGGCTGCCGAGGCTGTGGTCCTGCTCGCTCATCCCTGGTCTCGATAAGATACGATGGCCGGATGTAACAGCACAGTCGCTGCTGGCCATGGCGACGACTCCGTAAAGGCTCCATCGCAAAGATTGCTCGTCCTCCTTCGGCCTCGATAGACCTCCATCGGTCTGTTTTTCTTGCTACGACGGTGAAACGGCAGGACGGCCGATCCATCTAGATTTCAGAGCAATGACCGAAATGAAAATGAGAATGGGCCCATAGTATTGCTCCGTAATCTAAACAAGATAGCATCACCAGCATGCCTACGCCCCCCGAGATGACGATCTGTCCCGCCAGATGCCGAGTGGCTCTAACTCGCTGCCTGGCTGACCGGCTGGTGACTCTTGACGGTGGCGCGTCTTCGCGCCTGCCATCTGGCCAGATTGCTCGTACTCGTACGGAAAGAGATCAGGAACTCATGACGGGCATGAAGATGCAAATAGAAACAGAACCAGGTCCGTCACGTCTGAAACACCTGCTCGGACGGCTCATTCCTCGTCCAATCCACTATGCAGCACAGCACAGCAAGCTTGCTGTGGGAAGAATCCAATGAGGAGTACTCCGTAGAGAGGGCTATGACACGTGTGATGCCTGTCTATCGTCATGCTCGTCGCTGTGCCATGTCTCCTTCACAAGGGCTGCATTCCAGGCCGTTCGGGAAATTCGCATACCCCTTGCATATCAAACTTTATTTAGGCCAATCAAACGCCCCATTCTCCCTCAGACAAGACTGGAAGAACTCGTTTCTGCAGCCGTGTCTGTTGGTCGATCATCGCAACAGCGTGAGGCTTATGGCAAGCCTCAGCCCAGAGACGGAATGTCAGAGATGCCTCTCGACCACGTCTTTCATTCAGCGTACTTTTTGCTCCCTTCATCTCGTTTACACATCCTCTTGCAAAATGCAACGCTGTAGCACTGGAATCTCACTTGTAACGACAATGGCAGAAGACGGGAATGGTGCATACACAACCCCCCTAACAATATAAACACACAGAAGGCAGTGGAATAACAACAAGACGAGATGATTGTACGGACTGTATCACACCCGGACACTCAGTTCATTCGAAGGCTATATGCCATTGGGATTGTCTCTGTGCTTGTGACTTCTTTTACGTATTGTTGGCTGGTTCCGATGCGGTCAGCTTCAAGGCTTTCCATCGGGTGAAGAAGCGTTCGGAATACACATATTGTCATTTGGAAGCTGCCTGCACATGCTGCTGTGGCGGGCTGTACGAAGTATGCAGAGGACCAAAGGAGGTCTGGTGGCTCCTACTCTTCTGGCCTGAGCTCTCCCAGTCACACCGCTGCCGGAGCAGTCACCAGACAAATCAGCAGATCGGCCATCCTCGAGGTTGCACCGGCTGCACGAAAGCAAATGAACAATGCAGGCTGCCATGCGGGTGATTCAAAAAGGCCCAACAAAACAGGATGAAACCGCGGCCAGGCAGAGGCGAAGCAGCCAGCAGGCCAGTTTCATGCTGAGCTCGATCTTCGATCCGGCTTTGGCCCATCGATCGGGCCAATGGGAGTCGTTGCCATCGCACCGACAACACAATGTGATAATCATGGTCTTGCTAAGCGTCGCAGCGCGTACTCGTAGTCTCATGATATCGTCCCGGATCGACCATCCGTAGCAGCCGTGGATGAACGATCCGGTGGCTGCCGATTTGCCTTTTTGGCCTTTTTGGCCTCGACCTTTCCTGTTTATTCCCACCAACTTTTGCGTCTTTGTGTCTACGTGCAGACGGCGTGTCCACCATGAGTTCATCAGCAGCCGGGGCATCCACTTTACGGGCGGAGAAAAAAAATAAAGCTAAAGCTAGGCTAGGCTAAAGTAAAGCCGAAAAAGATGATTTTAAAAAATCAACCGACCGCTGTCTGCTGTCATGTAACGCAGCTGATCAATAAGTGCCTCGGTCTTTTATCCTTGTCATCCCTTCGTAGAGGCTAAGGCGCTGCCTGTGAAAAGAAAGAAAAAAAGGGAAAAAAAGGAAAAAAAAAAAAGAAAAAGAAGCCAAAGAGGCTTAGCGCCAGGCTGTCAAAGTCCCGGCAAAACGGCAGTTCTTCGTTTTCTTTGGGAGAGTCTGTGATGTTGGATGGGAGAGCGGCCGAACCTGGGACCTCGATTTCTTCGCTTATCGAAAGGAGCATTTGGGTGGGAGACAGCCAACAGAACTGAAAAGCCTTACCAGAATAGGCGAAGGGCCGCACCACCAACGCCTACAGGAGGGCGGAGAGCGCTCGGTTCACTCGTCAGCTGCACCCAACATTGCCTCTAAGCCCGGAGCTGGCCTCTTCCCTTCGATCGTCGCGTATGGCTCTTTGTCCTGGTCGGGCAGTTGGTTACCGCTTGCGCGGCAGCAAGGCGACAAGCGTGACAGGGGCTGGGCAAGATCGGATTAGTCTTGCGACGATCAAGTATCCCATCGCTCTGAAGAATAGCGAAAATTCTGAAAAGGGTGATGCAGACAGGCCGAGTCGAGACCTGTCGTTGAGGCCCCGGATACGTGCTTAGTAGCCGAAAAGGCCCCGCCCAGACCGTCTACGCATTGTGGTCTGTCTTGTCATGAGGCAGCCGACTGTGCTGTCGACAATAAGCGAGCGTGTGGTCACTTGTCGGCTGCGCATCGCGTAAAGATGCCTCGGACAGTGTCGCGTCCCTTCTGGCGAAGGTGTGACACAGCCGTTTCCTGCTCTTCGACGCAGAGAGGATCCTTTTTTCTCCACAGCCTTGCCGATAGGAAGACGGGAAACGCGTCACAAGTGTACGTACGCCCCGCCTCGGCTTCCCATGGATATGCTGGTCTCCCTCTATCCAGTCGTGGCGCGCCCTGTCCTCCCGGATACATGGTATGCAAGTACGAGTATCACAACCGTCTGTCCGTCCGTCCGCTGCCCCCCGTTTCCATGGCAGCGTGTGACAGCATCTGCACATGGACGTCGGATCGGGTCTCGTCCAGTCGATCTGCTGACGCCCAGCTCTCGTATACCCTGCTTGTATTGGCTGCTGGCAAGTGGTGGCCACGAGCATGTACGAGTTGCATGTCGGCCAGGAGGTTTCACTAGTCAGAGATGATGACCGAGAGACAGTAAGACAATGGTGGCGACAGTTGTGACATCCTGGGATACCATGTCGGGATCGCCTCGTCTTCATCTTCCGTCCTTACTTGCAACCTGAGCTTATGGGCGAGTAGCTTCCAGACTTAAGCTTGGGGCAATCAACACTGCCCAAGAACAGGAAGACGACTATGAAAAAGCCGGGCTTCCTTGCTGTTCTCTTTTCGCTAACCTCCTTGCGGGTGCAACTGTCCAATCCTCCGAGATTTGTTCGCCTTGCGCCACAGTCATCTATTCTTCTGCTCTGTGTGCCGTTGAGGCAAGAAGTCTCTTAACACGTCAGCTGGACGTTAGAAGAGGCTGGAAATGTAGTTATTTTAATTTGCGTGCATGGTGATACATCGCGAAATAAACAAGAAAACGACAGCTCGCATGCAGGCACGAAAATAGACGGTAGAGTAAGAGCAAGAAGGCGGTCTGGTAAAGAATATGGTCCAACGAGGCAGGCTGCCGAACAGGGGCCCTCTCGCCGTGCCACAGCCCCGTCTTGTCTTCGGAATGATGCAGTTGTCGTCTGCTTTGGCGGCCAATCAGCACGACACGGAATCAAATGAAGTCCTTGGCTTTGGCGCTCAGCACGGCATCTCTGTAGGCGCCCATGGCAATATTTCCGTTCCGTCCGCCTCGTGCTCCTGTGGCTGCAGTGTATTCAGGCTGTTTTGGGATTTATGCACGCGCTCCTGGTCATTCACCTCATTTATTAGTCGCTCCCCTTCCTGCTGCAAACGGTAGGTAACCGAATGCGAATGCGAATGCGACTGCAATGCTCGCCAAACCCCCCCCCCCCCCCCCCCGGTCCTTTCCCGGTTGTGCAGATAGCCTGATATTCGACATTTCTAAAGCCACCATGAAAACATCGCGGTACATAGTGCATGCTCTCACAAGACGCCGTTAAGCGCCAGGAATCTCACGTTTCATCGTTTCAAACGCAACATATTGCCGATTGTAACTGTATATGCATGGCCAAACTAGCTGAAAAAAAACGCCCGACCGTTCCGGCTGCTGTCTAAGTTGCTGAGGGAAAGGAAAACACCACCAGCAAGAAGTTCAAGGAACTGATGTCTCGCCATCCTCGGCTGATGACATCGGTTCATGATACTTTTACCGAGCTGACCGCTGGGTGAAGAATGGGTGCTTGAGCGCATCGCCAGGCAGGATCCGCTTGTCCGGGTTCAGGCTGAGGCAGCGGTCCAACAGGTCGTGGAACTGATTCAGTTCCTTGGTCTCGGCGTCGTCCATGCCAGCCGAAGCGGCCAAGAGGCGAGTGCGAAGATCACGTGTCGGTTTGATCACCGTGAGCGTTTTGACTGTTGTCTGCAAGTGGTAAAACAGAGGGTATCAGCGCGTTGGTACTTTGCAGGAAGCGCATGAAGGCGCCAACAGATTAACAATGGCGATCGAAAAAACATCCCACCTTCAGCCACAGAGACCCCAAGCTGAGATTCGGACAGCCAGGGGGAGAGAAGCAGGAAAAGACGAGGAATCGAGCACGACAAAAAGACGGAATGGCAAAGACGTACCTTGGCCTGGAACTTGTCGTGCTCCTGGCTGAGAAAGCCGCCCATGTCGTCAAAGTGCATGGGCCAGAGGTCGCCGCGACGGTACAGCTTTGCGCTGATCTTGCCGCGGATCTCCATGATGGCGCGCAACATCTGGTTGTTGCTCTCGCCGGCGAAGAGGATCTTTCCGGTGTAGAGCTCGTAGAGGGTGCAGCCGATGGACCACATGTCAATGGCATGGTCGTAGGGCATGCCGAGGATGATCTCGGGTGCGCGGTAGAAACGACTGACGAGATAGGGCGTGATCTCGTTGTGTGCCGTGACGGCGTCGGACCGGTCGATGGCCGTGCCCAAGTCGCAGATCTTAAGCGCCGTGCGCGTCTCGTTAACGAGGATGTTGTCCGGCTTCAGGTCCGCGTGGATGATGCTGCAACGCCGCATGTGTGCCAGCGCCACGAAGATCTGGTAAGCAAACACGCGCACGCCGGTCAGGTTGATTACCACGTTGTTGCCAAACTTCTTCAGCACCTCGCGCAGGTTCATCGACAGGTTCTCAAACGCCATGCACAGGTGTCCGCGGTAGTCAAACGCCCGCTCAAACCGCACAATGTGCTTCTTGTCGTTCGCGTCTGCCTCGTTGAGCTTCTCCAGGATGGCAATCTCCGTGTAGCCGCCTTTGCGCAGCGCATCGTTGTTGCGCATGATCTTGATCGCTACCTCTCGCTTGCCGTCTGCGCTCGCAATGTCTCGCGCTCGCCCCACTCCCGAGAACATGCCCTTACCTAGCGCCGTCAGCACCTGGTATCGTCCGTCCAGCACCTCGCCCGGTCGGATCTTGTAGTAGCCCTGCTGGTCGTCGCCCTCCAGGATGCCTCCGCCGTTGGCTGGCGCTGCTGCAGCGGCTGCGTCCTTGGCTGCTGCCGTATCTGCCGTCCCGTTTGCTGTCGTCGTGGGTGCCACATACTTCTTCTCCACAAAGTCTTCCGCAAACATGTCGTCCTCGTCGCTGTCGTCTCCACCATCGTTGTTGCCGGTGTCTGGTGCGGTCACGTCTGCAGCTTCGCTGCTCAGGTCCATCTCGACCGCCGCTGTGAGTCCGTGGCGAAGTTCGTCCCGTCGCTCGTCGATCTCCATGTCGACCGTCGGGTCGTAGTCGGCCGCGGACGGCCCGTCCTCGACGTCGGGACCGTCGCCGATGGCGTGCTTCCCGAGCGCATCCATAAATGCGCGGTCGTCGGCAAGGTCAAGCAGCCCCTCCGACTCCGCAGCCTCGCCCCTTGTCAGGGAAGAATCGACTATGGCACTGTCAGCAAAGGCGTCCTCGACGGCGACAGACTGCTTGGGCGTCTCACCTGAACGAGGCGTGTTATTGCCCGTCTCCGGACTTTTCACCTGCGTGTTAGACTCGACGGCCGTGGGTGCGGCCGCCTTGTCAGCCTGGATGGATACCGCTTGCAGAGGGGTGGAGGCGCGAGACTTTTTCAGGATTTCCTCTCGGCGCTGTCGACGGCGCCGGATCTCGGCTTCCTCGTCAATGGGCTCCGGTTCTGCCCAATCTTGCGGCACGGGCAATTCCCTAATGCGAACTCGAGTCAGCATGGAGAATCGACAGTCAACCCAGTCGTCTGTCCTCTCAGCTCTTACTTTCCAGGACGGACAGGACCGGACTCGCCGCTCAGGTGGAATGAGACCCCTTTGACAGATTTAGCAACTCCATTTCCTGCAAGTCCCGCCGCAGCTGCGGCTGAACGGGCACTGCGCTGCTGGGGACCCTGGCCCGGGACAGACTCAGCCTGGTGCACATCGTACGGGCGCCGACCAGAACGGTCGCCCCAGTCTCGGTCGCGGCCGCCGTCACGTCCGCCGTCACGTCCACGGTCTTGTCGACTGCGGTCGTTCCAGCCCCGGCCATTGTTTCCACGGTCGGCTGGCGGAGGCGGAGAGCGGCTGCGGGTGCGCTGTCTCTTTCCTCTGTTGCCCGTGTCGTCATATCGAAGTTCACGGTCGCGACGGTCACGCACTGATTCGTCTTCATACCGCCGGCCGCCACGTCTATTGTCCCAGCGGTCGCGATCACGATTCCGATCGTCTCGCTGTCGCTTCAGACCTCGCGGAGACAGGTTGCGATACGGGACACCGGCTCCGGCGCCCGGTCTCTCGGGCGAGCGTGGTGATCGCCCTCGATGGTTTCTGTCGCGACGGTCAACACTGGGGCGGTTCCCATCACGGTGCAGAGCAGAAGCCGCCGGAGCAGCATGTGTCTTTGCCTTGGATTGTTCGGCGCGGTGCCCTTCGACAATCTCGCCTTCGTCGGCGCTCGACCGGGTAGAGGCCATCTTTCCGCCGTCTGGAGGTAGGGCAGAGTCCGAAGTGATCAGAAACAAAGGCTCGCAATCAAAAATTATTTTCCAGCGTTAGCCAAGTCGTGAGTCCCAAAAGTTTTGCCTTTTGCAGGTCACAGAAGCCCACTGGAAGGAGAATATGGCAGCGATCGGGGGAGAGAGCAAGAGCCGAACCGGATCAATCCTCTGGATCTTTTGCAGACTCAGAGCATGTATGGCATATCTGGATAGACGTAGGGAGTGCACAATGCTGTCTCGGGAGAATGGTTCGTATTTAGGATCAAGCAGAAGCAGAATTGCCACGATTACGGCGACGAGTTCTAGGAACAGCAGTCTGGCGGCGAAAGAAGGAGCGACTGGAGTCGCAAAGGAAACTGGCTCGCGATAACGGATCATTGTTGGTCCGCTAGCCGAAAGCGGACGGCGGGGCAAATCGGCCGCTGCAAATCTTTTGCCTCTACATGTCTGCCAGTCTTCTCTGCAGGCCGATCACGACGAAGCAGCAACAAGCTACGGAGCGGGAAAGAAGGAAAAACAAAGCAGCGAACGAGAACCAGAATCATGGGTGGCGCAAATCGTGAAGGTGTGTTAGCTCCCTGCTGCACTGCAGCAGCCTCGATGCAGCCGGCCCAGTCCTGACTGACAATGTACCAGGCGGCAAGGCGAAGCCGCTCAAGCAGGCCAAGAAGGCGACCAAAGACATGGACGAAGACGACAAGGCATACCTGGAGAAGAAGCGCGCCGGTAAGGATACAAGTGCCGACAGGCGATGGGCGATGGGAGATAGGTCAACCTGCTGACTCAGGATCCCGCAAACAGAGGAGAAGGCTCGCAAGGATATGGCCGACAAGGCCAAGGGCAAGGGTCCCCTCAACACGGGCGCCCAGGGAATCAAAAAGAGCGGAAAGAAATAAGCAGTTGCAGCAACTCGGCGTGCGTCTGGCAGCTGAGAAGCGAGGAGGATATCGAGGCGCCTCCAGGCCCCGCAAGCCTGGGCCAGCTGGCCATGCGGCCCAGACGCTCGCACCGACTCGGCCCTGCAGTGAGCAGCAATCCCGGCTCCGGCTCAACGACGCTGTCGGCCCAGGAGAGAGTAGATGCAGAGGGTAGTTGCGCGAGGGCGGACAAGCAGCGGCTCGGCTTTTGGTCGGCTGGTAAGATACTACGTACAGTGTACCCTGCTTTAGTTCTGCGAAATAGATCGAGATATGCTTTTTTTTGTCCTTCATACCGTGAGGTCCATACGCTAAAGGTACCGTATAGTACTCTGTAGTCTCGTGCAAATCGACGTCAAGCAGCTTTCACATGCTAGGTGCCGGCAATTGTAATAACAGCGCGCTAAGAGTCCCATAATCGGCTGTTGCCGCTGGCGCTGACGTTCTTCTTCATCCCAACAAAAAAACAAGGATGGAGCACGGCGGTAATCGTTGAGGCCTCGCCACGACATATCATACGTCGTCTTGCCTCTCGCCCAGATTCGTGCAGTGACTGGCGTCTCAATTTGTGTCTTACGCTATTTCCACCTTTTCTGGCCCCTTTTGTCTCGCATCTCTTTTCCCGGTTCTGAAATAATCGCCTTGTAGATGGCGGCCGCCTCAGCATCTAGCCGTGTCCAGAGGCGGGCCACGAAAGAAGGCGCCCAGGGCACCCTGTCAGCAGCGGGCTCTGCAGTCGACTCTCTCACCAAACCTGTCAGTCCACCCGGGCCGTCCGGCCGCCCCGGTCTCCTCCACTGGGACGACCTCCCGGCCTGGCGCCGCGACAACGTCTTCATCCGGCACGGCTATCGCCCGACGTCCAACAGCTATGCGGCGTCGATATGGAGCATCACGGCCGTGCACAACGAGTCGGTCAACGTGTGGACACACCTTGGCGGTGCCGTCGTGGCCGCCGTTCTGGGCGGCTGTCTGTATCTCGAGCGGGGGCCGATTCACGAGACGGTCGGCCGGCTGGCCGGCGATGGGAGCGTGCTCGCATTGGCGCTCCTGCCGTCCACCCAGTCGGCCTCCTCCCTGCTCGTGCTCTCCTGCTTCGCCGCCGGTGCTGTCGCCTGTCTTGGCATGAGCGCCACCTATCACGCCCTCAGCAACCACAGCGCCTCGGTTGCTCGTTGGGGCAACAAGCTCGACTACTCCGGCATCGTTCTCCTCATCGTTGGCAGCTACATGCCCACGCTCTACTACGGCCTCTTCTGCCATCCCCGCTGGCTGGCCGTGTACATGTATCTGGTAAGGCTATATGACTCCCCCTCCAACACTCTTCGTTCATCCTACACCCACAGTCTTACTCACACTCGTCAGATCATCCTCCTTGGCCTCGCCTGCCTCGCCGTCTCCTGGCTCGACCACTTCCGTACTCCTCAGTGGCGCCCCTATCGTGCCATGCTCTTTGTCGGCCTGGGTGCCTGCGGTGTCATCCCCATCGCCCACAGCCTCTTCTTTCTCGAGGGCCGGGATATTGCCGCCGAAGGCTTCGTCGACTCGCTCGCCACACGCTTCCACCGCCTCGACGCCCGCATGGGTCTTCGCTGGGTTCTCCTCCAGGGCGGCCTCTACATCTTCGGCGCCTTTCTTTATGCCGTATGCAACCATCACTATCCCTTTTTCGTCCTGTTTCTTTTCGTCGGCTGACTAATACGATAGGCCCGTCTGCCCGAACGCTTGCGTCCCGGCCGCTTCGACATCTGGGGCAGCTCACACCAGATCTTCCACGTCTTCGTCCTCCTGGCTGCTGCCACTCATCTCCGCGGTATCGTGCAGGCATATACGCACCACCACGTCGCCATGGGAGCCCAGTGCCCGGTCCCACCACTGTGAGCCAGGCCTCATGTTCGGCTTTTCAAACTTGGAGCAGGCTGTATTTTTACAAAATAAGGAAAGGACGTCTCGTCTATCGCTCCGTTCGGTCATCGCTACTGGCGCTATATACAAAGGAACGGGTTGCCATGTACGCGTCCTGGCCAGTCTCACAGCCATCTATTCTGCAATATGCCTCCGTCCCATCTTGGGACCCTTCCAGTGAAGAAGAAAACGGACACCGGGAAAACGCGGGCTGTATGCAGGCCGGCCAACATCCAGTTTAGATCTCGATCCCCAAAGACAAAGATTAAACGTTGGGTAAATAAAACAAAGTAAAAAAGAAGAGAAGGCGAGAAGATAAGCCAGGGTCATCTCCTCTTCCACAGCTCCCGCCTCAGGCTCTCTCTCTTTCGCACGGGCAATGGCGTTTGCAGAGGGCTGATGTGCGCCTAGTTCAGCGGCCTTCTACCAACGCTGTCCATGCCGTTATATCCGTCGCCGCCATTTCGTTGTGCGGCTCGTCCTCGGAAGTAGTCGTACTGTGTCGGCTCTCCTCCGTCTGCGTCCTGGTCCTCTTGCGGCAGGTTGCCGTAGCCCTGCAGCCCTCGGGTGTACCCGCTCGGCCCACGCGTAGAGCCCATTGCACGTTCCACGTTCCAGTCGCTCGAGTTCGAGTTCGCCGCGCCGCTGGCTGCCCTGTTCGGCGCCCCCGGTTGTGCTGAGCCGCTTCGCGGCCCGTACGACATCGCCACGGGAGCTGCAACCGCCATGGGTGCTGCATTGCCCATCAGGTCACTCGAGCTGTCATTTCCACCAGACCCCGCCCCGTATAAAGGTGAGCGCATGCGCGTTACCTCCAGCGCAGGGCCCAAGCGCATCGAGCTAGCACTGGGCGATGTGGACCATTGCGCACTTCCATAGGGTGCTGGAGACTGTGTCCGCACAGCGCTTGCCACGAAATGCGGTGCGCCAGGCTTGTTGTACCCGGGTGCGTAGACCGTCCCTACTTCTGGCCCGCCGGGCATCGCATTGGCTGCCGAAAACTGCCGCTGTCCTGTCATGCCACCCAGAGGAGTGCCTGGCCTGGAGTCTACACTGGTCATAATGCTCCCGGGTGTGCCTGGTCGGACAAGATCTCCAGACACGCCAAAAATGTCACCACCGCCGTGATCGTCGCCAAATTCGTCCCGGTTCTTGTAGTAACCAAAGTCCAGCTTTGACTCGGGCACCACTTCGAACCCGGGCATAGCCACACCGCCTCCGATCGCAGTCTTGCCGGGTTGCTTCGAGTTCATCCGGTCAAGTACATATGTATCCGAATAGCCCGACACCGATGCCGAATCGCCACTGCCAGCATCCCGGCCTGCCGTCAGACGACCGGAATACACGCTGGCTAGTATGTTCTGGGCTTTGGCATGCACCATTGGCGTAATAAGCGGTTTGTACAGAACCGGGTGACCAAAACGGGTGCTCAGTCGGTCGCTGCGCATAATCTCCTTGCTCGCAATGTCCAAGCCGGCTTCCGGGTTTGCGAGGACGTTCCGTGTCGTGTAATAGCGTATCTTGTCGTCGTAGGTGCGAGAACAGTAAAGCTTGAATATCAGCTGAAGGAAAGGCAGCGGAGCAATGGCGTAGGACTGGTAATGGTTGGCATTGCCGCGAACAAACACTATTAGGAACGCGACAAGGTTGGCCAGAATGATAGCGAAGATGAATCGGTTAAACAGGACACGCCAAAATTGTCCGCCGGATTCCGTCTTGGTGACAAAAACGTAAAGAATCATATACTTGCGCAGCACCACATCGACAGTGAAGTAGATTGCGGCAGCCGGCAAGACGAGAGGCTGAATGCAGCCGAAACAGAGAGCCACGGTTGAGTAGTACAGCAGGTAGTTGTAGTAACTGGCATAGTCAAAGGTAGGCGGTGCCGTAAGCTCAATCAGTTCGCGGGGGGTCGGGCTAGAAAACTTGCGCTTGATGAAGCTCCACAAGAGCTTCCACAGCTGAGCAAGGTCGATCGCGACACCCATCTGCCGCTGCAGCAGCCAAGTGATCCAGAAAGGAGAGATGTTGCAGAGACTGCTAAGGAAGGTGTTGCCGGGTTGAGAAGACACAATCGCCTTCCAGCCGTCTTCTCCGCTATTGGTCTTGTCCACCACGGCCGAGATAAACGTCCAGATGGCGCTGAAGAGCGAAAAGATGATGAGGTTGTTGAAGACAAAGAACGAGTACAGTTTCGCCAAGACGTGGCGCTCGCGACCAGTCTTCGTCTGGTTGCCAGATCGGATGGCCAGGCGTCGGAACACGATAGGCAGCAGTAGGTAAACGGCAGAGGTCACGGCTGGTGACGCCACACCCTGAACAATCTGCCAAAAAACGCTATTCGTCTCCAACTGTGTCTGAAAGGCCGGCCAGACCAGGCCGAGATTGCTCAGGCTAACGAGAAAGATGGCAATCATGGCGTTGGGAGCGATCCAAAACATGGTCAGCAGACCAATCCAGACATTATTTAGGAACCGGCGACGGCCTCGAGTAGCAGCAGTTAGAGGCATGTTGTCCCAAATAATGTCGTTCGGGCGTGTGGCAAGCTTGATGATGGTTCCATGCGGCTTCTTGTTGCGTGCAGCATACGCAATTGCGTGCGCCTCGCTGATTTCTGAGTAAGAGGCAAAGCCGTAGGACATTGTGTTCCGTTTGTCGACACTCTGGCGCACATCTTTCACCTCCAGCTCGAGCTCGCGAATACGCTGTGTGAGGTATTCAATGGCGTCAACTTTCTGGCCCCGGGGATACGTCGCATACGACCGATCTTTCTTTGACGGGAAGCACAAGGGCCGGGCAGCAGGCAGATTCTGAGGGTCCTTCAGGTACTTGGCCAACACCTCTTCCAGCTTGCGTACTGTCTTTTCATGCTCTTTGATCAGCTGCGGCAGAATCTTGACATTGCGCGCAACGGCGGTGCGGGAGAAAGACGAGCTGGGGGCGACTTTGTCTATAATGCGCGCGATACCCTCGTCGGAGCTGAATTTTTTGGGAATATCATACAGCTGCACAGTCAGTAAACTTCAACGCTCAGGGAAGGAAGGAAGAAGACATACCATCAGGGTGCGAGAATGCAGACTCATCTGGTACTCTGGGCTGTCGAAGTACTGCCGCCTGAGCTTGAGAATCTGTCTGTAATTCCACCAGAGGAAGAAAGCCACAATCATGTTCATGGTCCAGATCATGACCACGTTCATCCACTGTGGGTCGCCGTAGACATTCAACGGGCCCATCATGTTGAGCCAGACGTCGTTCGGAAAACGCACACTCTTCGTATAATTAACGGGAATTAGGATAGAGCAGCCGAGAATGGCGATAACGGTGAAAATGTTGCGGCACATGGCAGTGAACCGCATAAAGATGGTGGCGTCCAAGCCGACCAGCCGGACAAGATCCTGCTCGTTGGTTTTCCATAGAGGACCGATCCAGGCAAAAAAGCCTTTGCCCACCTGGGGCGGAGCGTGTTGCTCGTCGGCATGTTTTAGCTTCGGAGCATAGACGACAGTATGGTATGGGCGGATGAGGGAGAATAGGAGGGCAATGCCAGCAGTGACGCCAAAGGATGAGCCAACAGACGCCCAGTATTAGATCCAACTTGGAGCTGATTTAGGTTAGCAAACGCCAGAGACTAGGAACAGTAGCAAAAGTAAGAAAGAGATGCGGACCTGTCCAGCAAAAGGATTCTGGAGGAGAATGAGAAGCTCCTGTGCGCCATTTGTCCCATCTCTTGCGAAGACAAAATGAAGTAGTTTTGTGGGCAGATCCATGTCTGCGGTGGGTGCCGAAGCTGCAGGCGATATCAGTACCGGCTGATATAGACGCCGACGGCAATGTGAGATCGTGTAATCTAGCGGCGCGAATCGGCAAGCCAAGTTGGAAGAGCAGGGAAAAATATACAGGTGCCGAAAGTGACCGACAGTAACGACTGAAACTGCTCGGGGTGTATACGCCTCTAAAACCGCAATGTGGAAGCCCGTCTCTTGCCAAGCCGCTGTTTCAAGCAACTGCGATTGATCGTGAAGACAAAGGACTGACGTAGGTGGCACTCTGACAACAACGAAATGTACCCTCAAAGACGCGATCGCAGGGAGGCAGTCGTTTGATGCGACTCTGTTCCACCGGAAGCAGTGTTGTAGGCCAGCACGTGTCGTCGTTTAAATCGATATCGCCGTGGTCGGCCAGCCTCGATATCGTCCTGTTCAGAAAAGCGAATGATGCGACATGAGTCTCTGCAGAGTGTCCAGGTTCCGTCCAGTGCCCCGCGTCACCGAGGACGGGTCAGTGGTGGATGATCGACGAGGATTGGCGGTCAGGGAGCGTCTGGGCATCGAGGAAACGTCGAGGACCCGGAATAGGGGGAGCCAGATGAGGACCAGAGAAGGAGGGAGGTCCAGAGGAGGAGAGGCCAGGAAGATGTGAAAAGAGGAAATATGTAGGTGCGCGGAAGAGAGGGAAGACGTTGAATGTCAATGGAAAAAGCAGAGTGCGAATGGCAAAGTGCAAAACAAACGGGACGGCCAAGCAAAAGGGAAAAAAAGTCAAACAAAAAACGAATGCTACCTGGGATAAGGATGAGGAAGAAGACACACTTTACTTCGCACTGGGCATGGTGTGGAGAGATCGATGCAGGGGGCTTAAGAAGGGCCCCAATGCTTAATAGAGAAGAAAAAAATACCTGTAGGACTCGACGTGCGAGTGGAGAACGTGCTAGATGCTGAGGCCTCGCGGCGAATTACGTTGTGGTTACATACGCGCAAGATAATAAGATAATACTTCGGAAAACGAGGAACAATACTTAGAGGAAGGCGCAATAGACGGGATTCCTTACTCCGGTTAAGGCTTTATCCTATACTCTTCCGCTTTGGGGGGATATTTATTCACGCCGACTCTCTTGTCTTCTTGGTTTGCAAGGATTTAATGCCCCTCCCCCTGTTTTGGCTTGCCACAGCACCAAAACGCCAGAACAAGATAGTGTGCTGTACGAGTACGAGCCACCACCCACCCCCCCTAAACCCCTGGCCAGTCCCAATTGCCGGCCTTGCTCCGTACTTGCGTGGGAAATACGAATTCGTACGAGTAGTCAGGAACCAGTAAAATAACATTTCAAAGACAATCTATTTTTGCTTACCACTACGACCGAACGAGTAAGGAGCAGCTGCTGCAGCGTAACGGCCAAGCCAGAATACGAGGGGCATTTTGAGGGACTTAAAAGGAAAACTGCCGATAAGGATTTTTGTGTCGACAGGCAAAGAATAGAATGGCAAAGCACGTTGAAAGGGGACGGAACGTTCCTCGGGAATTCTTCAAGCCCGGCCTTGACCATGCACAGCGATCTTTTACCAACCTCGCGCAAACTACCAGATCAACATATGGGCCCTCTTGGCACAACCCATTTCTGACCATTCAAGAATGGGATGCAGGTCACTCAGACGGCATGATGTCACGGTGCCATGCCTTGGCATAATCCGCAGCCTTAAAAGGGAGTTTCACTTTGCATTCTTGCTTAATCCCTTGGGTGTTTTTGCTTGATACTCAAATTCTTGTTTTGCCAGGCCTTACAGGCACACATGGCGGCCCTCTTTTTCTGGTGCCGTCTATTTATTGCCGAGCCCAAGTACGCATGACCAGCGCCTGATTCCTCTGTTCTCATCTTTTTGAATATTCTTTTTTTGGATGTTGTGCACGTAAGATACCTGATCCGTTACTTTTCTGCCCCGACCATCCCTTCCCCACACACGACCTACCTTTGTTGTGACGAACACGAAGTGTGCTCGTACTCGTACTGGAGTACTGGAGTACTGGAGCACTGAGTCGGACACCAAGTGGCTCCTGCTCGGCCTCACAAGAATTATCCCCTGCACCGGCTGCCTCCATCGTGGAGCCGAAGTCCCCTCTGTCGCCTTGTCGTAGCTACTCCATAATTCAGGCGTCCACGGGACCCTGGCTGCGTGTCTTGCGGGCGGTTCTTCCCACTGCCGGGACAATCGTCTTCTTCTCCTTCTTGGTGCGACCAGCGCCCTTCTTCGCGTGGGCGCCATTTGCTGTGGAGCAGCCGACGACTGCCGGGTCGGCCTCGTCACTCGCAGCACTCGATTCCGTCTGCGTCGCCAGCTCGATCTTGGCCTTCTTGGCCGCCGACTCGCCAAGTTCGTCCGATGTGTGGCCGTCTTCTGTGAGCGGGAGAACCCCGTCGTCAGCCGGCTGGTCTTCTGTGTCGGCCTTGCGCTTGTCGCCAACAGCTGCCTCGGCGGTGACGGCGCCTGTAGCTGTCGCCGGAACATCTGGCGCATCGTCCTTGACAACTGCTAAGACAAGGGGCTCGAAGATCGCAACCTCCTTCTCGGCTGCGCTTGGCGTCTCGGAAGGCTCTGCAGCCGGCGGGGTCTCCGTCACGCCGCCAGACTCCTTGTCGACGGCATCTTTGACAGGCTCCTCTCCCGTCTTTGCTTCAGGCTTGGTCCCAGTGCTTTTGTTGACTTCTGTTGCTGCCCGGCTCTGAGCATCATCCAACTTGGGAGCCTGTTCGGCAGCAGGGCTAGACGTCGATATTGAAGCTAGCACCGGGGCATGTCCAATGGGGAAATGGCTATGCTCTGAAAAGACTACTCGCACAAAGATACAGAATTGTCAGCACTTTCGTCCGATTTATCGCGGTTTCTTTTTTCGGGGCTGCGAGGGATTGTTTGCGATGTCCAATGAGAGTTGGCGCTACAGTGCGCAGAGTCGCAATTGGCTGACAAACGAGATAACAAAGACCAACAACAAAATGACGGCGCAAGCTGCTACGAATCATGCAAAAAAGTATTGCGCACGATGGCATGCAGCTGGGGAAAAAATACAGCACATTGCTTCATTTCGCGCGCCTCAACATCTCTTGCCGCCGACAACATACCTGAGGCAGACACTGGAGCTTTGACGTCGGTCATGATGACGTAATACAGACAGGACGGCAGTCGTAGTGTGGAAAAGCGGCAGCAATGGAAGATATGAGAAATCGCGTTCAGACTTTCGATCGCGTCAACAAGACAAGCCGACAATACAAGAAAATCGGCAACGGCGTTTTGATGGGGAATAAGGAAGACGAGAGGGGAGGGGGGATAGAGAATGGAAAGAAGAGGAAGATGGGGAAAGAGGGAAGCAAGATGGTTCCGGGGATAGAGCCTAGTTTGATGATAGTGGGCATGGATCCGGATGGACAGAACGGATTAACCAGGCCGGAGAAACAAAACGACGAGCAAGGGGGTGGGAGGGGACGAAAGACGAAAGACGGACCAAGCATCGCTCTGGGAAGAGGCGGGTGGCACAGATGGGATGCCCAGTCACTGCACTACGGAAAAGGGCTGGCGAGATACATGTGTGTCCGGCAAATCGGAAGCAGAAGACTGGAGACTGGAGGCTGGGAGGAGCCAGGCGAGACAAGGCGGCCAGAAGAGCCGGGGCGAAACTGGCTGCAAGGGACGGCGCCCGACGAAGAAGGGCTCCTCGCCGAGGCGGCGCTCTTACCTGCACGCTTTGCCTCTCAGACGAGGGGACGAATGAAGGCGGACGTGCCAGGACCTAGACAAGTGCTGCATGGTGCATAGTGCACGTAATCCCGCACACCTTTTGCGGGGACTGGCCGTCTCCACATAATCGGCCCTCGACATTCTTCAAGATATGAGTACTTTGTCGGCGAGGGCAAGCTGTACAGGTGCGGCCATCGGCTGCGACACCATTCTGTGACAGGATTGCGTGGCCCGCCGATCGTCAGATGATGCGTCATGTGACTAGCTGTCCGCTACGTCCCAGAGCCAACAACTGCTGGGGACTGCTCTTATTCAGCACCATGGTGTCTTCTGTTGGTTGGTATTCTGACCGCATGGATTCTGCTGACTAAGCAAATCACTTGTATCTTACAATCACATGGTTGCTTTCGGTGTGACTGAACATCTCGGTTCTGTGACCGCCCTTCTTTTTCCTAGTGACTGTAGTCTAGAGCCCAATCGCGTAACACACGACGCTGGCTCGCTGTGAAGAACATCTTCGTCATTCGCCAAGGCTGGTACCAAAAAGCTGCAAATATGAGGGCAAAGCCCAAGAGTTACAAGCCTTGGTGATGTTTTCATGCCGTATTCTTATTCGTAGCTGCCTAGGACTGCTAGGTGATGTCATTTTCCATGGCTCTTGAAACGCTTGACAGGCGATTATTGGGTGCTTTAAAGTCGGCAATCTCCAAGTTCCTCCATCAGGTCGTGGCCATATAAGAGTACTTGAGCTCCTAAGGATGGAGATGTTTTAGAAGCTCTTAAGAACAATGAAAAAAAAAACGAACTCTACTTTATTTCATTCGTTCTTGGAAGCAGACTCATACCCAGTGCGTTATTGTATCTACTTGATAAGTGCTCTGCCCACACACAGTCGACATTTAAGTACACTCATTTTGAAGGCACTCCTTTTTCTCGGAGTAGAAGACGTTGTCAAGCAGCTGGACACCACGCTGGAAACGGGCCTGTCAGATGTGCAGGTTTAGAAAAGATCAGGAGTCTACGGGCCCAATGTCGAGGTCGAGAGGAAGCATCATTATAAAATACCTCTGTAAAGTCATGTTTATTGTACGCATAAGAAGACTAATCATATGGACAAGTATAGTCAACTCAGCAAGGTGCGCCGCATGACCGATAACTTGCAAATATTTAAGCTGCGTCTGCTGGCGTCCAACGTGGCTGAGGCGATTGTGCCATCAGTGCTTTGCACGTCGTCTCGATCAACATCTACAAGCCGGCCCTGCCGGCTCTCGGATTTGAGAAACCGGTGGCACCCGACGTCATGCGCCGTCGTCCTCGCGTCCGCCTCCTCCGTCCGTTCAGCATGAGTCTGAAGAGAATCGGCAGACCTATGAGCAGGGGTGTGTGAGGTTGGGTGCGATTGCGTAGCGGGTGCCCGTGGGTATTATTCTGTAGCAGTTCTGTAGCAGTTCTGAGCTGGTTCTACCATATCTTTACATCCGAGTTCGTTTCGTGTTTGCGCACCGGGCGACCACGGCACTCTCACGTCTCTCACGTGTGCAGCGACATCTGGTCCAGGTGACCGCCAAACTGCTGCCGCAGCCGGTCGAGGATCCGCTGTGCCTCAGCCGGCTCGCCGACAAACGCGAGGTGCCGCACCGTGTCGAGGCCCATGGATACGATGCGGCCCGGATAGGCGGGCACGCGACCGGGCGGTGGCGGCTCCGACGTGGCCGTGCTGGTCTGTATGCTGTGCAGGAGGTCGTCGTCGGCGAGCAGCGCCACAGCTGGCGCGGGACTCGGGTGTGTCGGGTGGCGGAGGTCCAGGTGGGCGCGTTCTAGCCGGATGCTCGGCCGGTCGTCGTCGTCCATGATGGCCACAAAGGCCTCGTACAGCTGGGGGGACGGACTCGAGAGGTTCCACGCCTTGAACGTGGACTTCCACGAGAGGTAGCACCACGTCCAGAAGATGGCGTTGGCGCTGGCCTTGGAGAATTGGGTGCCGTGCCGGAACACCTCTGCCCCCCGCGCCATCGTGCGGTACGCCTCGTCCAGCGTGACCGCTCCGCCGGCCTTGGCCTTGACCAGGCGGTCCAGCAGAAAGGAGGCCGAGGCTGCCGAGGCCGCCGCACCGTCTCCCCGTAGCCGCTCGATCCAGGTCCACACCACCTCGTCCAGCTGGTCCTCGGCCGCCAGGAACTGCACCAGCACGCCCGTCAGCTGCACGTCCGCCACAAACGACAGGTCCCGCTCCAGTCCGGCCGCCCGCAGCCACTGCAGCACCTTGAGCCCCGCTCCTGACGCCGCCATCGACGCCTTGGCCGACACGCTTGACGACAGCACCGCCTCCCGCCTCTTCGCCAGCAAGCAGCCGGCCGCCCGCTTCGGCGTCATCAGCCCCCGCGCTACCGCCCAGTCGAAGATGTCCATTGGGTCCCGCTCCGTCCCCTGCCGTACCTCGCTCCGCACCGTTTGGTCGTAGCTGAAGAGCGGGTTCGCCAGGATCGCCCGCAGGTGGTGGTCCGTTGGCCGGTGCGTTGCCGGCTGTGCGGTCAACGAAAACAAAGGCGCCGCCGCCGGCATTGACTCTGTCGGAGCGCCCCGTCTCAGCGCCCGCCTCGGCGCAGCATCTTCCTCCTCGAGCCAGCCGTGCTCCCGGTCGAGATGCTTGCGAAACGACGTCGTCAGCGTGTCCAACAGCTTCTTTGTGCTCTTCTCGTTCAGCGGCAGCGGATGATGTATCCGAGGCAGCATTCCCTTGAGGGAGCTATACGATTTTGTCGGAAGCATGGCGTAATCCGATTGTGTCTCCCAACTGTGTAGTGTGAGTCCGTACGAGTAAGTCGTGAGATGAGGCCGTGGCACGATCTGAGGCCGGAAATCTGCCCAGCCCCACCGCCAGAGTCACGTGTCTGGCCTTAGCGGGTAGATCAGCTACGCCCAATGCGGACACTAGTGGGTCGGCTGCCCATCTTCTTCTTGTAGCGGCCAGCCATTTTCTACTTGCGCAGTACTTCGTATCTGCCGGCCAATAGCCATTGGGACAGGACGGGATGGCAACACTCTGCATTTCATCCCTTGGCTACTGTGTGGACAGCTGGCCACAGGCCCGGCCAGTGACAAAGAAGCAAGTGCTGTAAAAGCTATGACAGATGTCCATGTGAGGCACCGTGGAAAAGCTAATCTGAAGACTGAGTCCGTCCGGGCTTAAACGATCACCTGGGCCGTCATCACGATCTGGCGTGCATTCCGGACGAGAGAACGGAGGTGGCTGTCAGCTGACTAGCCCCCCCTGTACATTATGTCCCAGCTACATGACGCGCAAAGTACTCCGTACGAGCACTGCAGCTTGCCCTCTGGCCAACGTTAGGTACACCGCTAGAGCCAAGTGCTAATAGCGCTACCCCATCTAGCCTGCAGCGCTACCCTAAACAGGGATGCACACGCAGCTCCCAGCCAGGTAGCGAGTACATCAGGGCTTTCAGGGAAGGTACTGCCCTTGGAGGCTGTTGCCCCAGTTTTGCGCAGTGCCCTCCTCCCTCTGAAAAGCGGAAAAAATAAAACACAGGATTACTGTGTCGAACTTTTCCAGCCTCCCGCTGCCTTCTCATAAACCTCATTACGCACACAACACGCATCACCACGCTTCTCCGCAACCGTCGATCCATCCGCCGCACCATCGCCGTTTTGTCCCCAACAGCACGCTCGTGTCTTTCTGCCTTTGCGGGCTTGCTCTCCCGTTGCATTGCCTCCTCCTGGTCTGCTTCGGTTGGTCGCCCTCCCTTTTTCCCAGCTTCTTTTGCGCCTTCTCTGCACCCAAACCGAAAGGCAGAAAAGACGAAAAATCTCTTCGCTTCGTCCTACCCCCCCCCCCCCGCCCCCCCCCCTAGGTCTCTTGTTCCGGACCACATCCATCTCCGAGCTGTCCTCATCTACCGGTGGGCTTTAACCTCATCGTCACATCAACAGTTATTTTACAGAAATGTCCACCGAGCCACAGACTCGCCCGACGCCCTCCCGTGGCGGTCGGGGTGCCAGCCGAGGTGGCAGAGGAGGTTTTGGCAGTCGGGGAAGCACGCGTAACCGAGACCGGCCAGCAGGCGCGACAAACGGCGACGCACCCCTCAAGCACGATGACAGCCTGGCCGGCATCGAGGACGAAGGCGAGATTGGGCAACTGAAGAAGCTCTATGGAGCTAAGACGTCCTTGATCAAGGAAATGTTCACCGATTGGTCCGAGGTCGACATCCTGTTTGCCCTCCGCGAGACTGACGGAGACGAGAATCTGACGGTCACCCGAATTGCTGAAGGTCCGTATTCTCGCAACTCTCATCATGCTCTCCCCCTCCCTTCTTGCCACCCGCATCTCCACACGAGCTCTCTGGCAGAGCTCACCCCCCCTCTTAGCCCTTTCTGACAAAACTGCACATCACAGGCACCATCTCGCAATGGGACGAGGTCTCCAAACCTAAGAAGGAACGTGCGAAGCCGAAGCCCTCAGCTGCAGGCGAATCAGCTCCCGGCAGCAACTCCAGGACTGGCAGGACCACTGGGGCAGCCGAACGCACTCGTGGACGGGCCAGGACAGTCGAGAGAGGCGGCCGTACTCCACGTGGCCGCTCGGCTCAGCCTACAAACGGAACCCGCCCCGAGAAAACCCAGCTCTCCGTACCGACGGAAGAATCGCGGGCCTGGGAAAGCAATCCCGAATCCAACGATGACAGCGTCCCCCCTAATACCACGCCGGCCCTTACGACTAATGAACCCGCTTCTACCCCCGCCCCCACCCCCAAGACAACTGCCCCTGAATCAACTACTCCAGCACCGAAGACCTGGGCAAGCATGCTTCGCCAGTCGGCAGCACCGAAACCTGTTGTGAAGCCCAAGGAAACTCCTCCGGTACCGAAACCCGCCCCCGAAACGATTGAAACTCCCCCCTCTCAACCTGCCACCGCCGCCGTCGCTTCAGCGCCCACCGAGGCGGAACCAGAACCAGTAGCCGAACCCGAAGAACCAGCACAGCCAGCCGTAAAGGAGGAAGTGGCCATTCCAGAAGTTGCCGTGCCCGCTGTTGCCATACCGGACGTCGCCGTCGCACCAAGCCAGGACAAGCTCACGGAGAGCAACCTGGAGCGGGTGACCGACACCTCCACCCCCCTCACTACCGACACCATCCGCAGCGAAGCCGCCGACTCATGGGATACTCGCGGCACAGCGTTGGCCGGAACTAGCTCGCCGGCGCCTGCAACCCAGCCAGCAGTCGGATCTCTGCCCAAGAATGCAGGCAGCGGATTTGCCACGTCTGCACTCAAGGCCACTGACCGTGCGGCTGTCCGGACGCCCAGCTACTCCCGCCGGGTGCTCGACCAGGAGGAGGCTGTGCGCATGCCAGTCAACCGCGAGGTCGACCGTGCCACTGTGCAGTTTGGCGCTCTCAACTTTAGCGGCGGCGACGACGATATCGACGGCGACCGCGAGGAGCCGGAGACACGTGCCCAGCCTCCCGACGACTCTCCTACCGCACACCCCCGTGCTGCCCTCCCGCCAGCTATTGCGCCTTCGGCTGTTTCAGACACATTCGCCGCACAGCGGCCAGCTGCCCCGGCGGCCACTGCTTCCGTCCTGCCGCCCACAGGGCCAGCAGGTAGCCACACTGTCAACGTCCTGCATGCTGGAGAGCTTCAGACTAACACGTTATCAGCAGCCGTCCCTTCTGTTCCCCAGCAGGCCGCTCCGTCTGCCGCCCAAGGTAAGCTCCAGAAAGCGTTGACAGCTTCACAGCCGCCAAGGCGGTCTTTTGCTGCCCCAACTGACCCACATACTCTGCAGCCCAATCGGTGCCGGCAGCACAGCCGTATGGCCGCTTCGCTCAGGAGACGGCATTTGCCCAGAAGCCGTTCGACGCCTACGGCCAGCCAGCAGCCACCCCCCCATTCGACAGCTTCCAGAACGTGCCCGCTTCGTCTCAGCCGCAGGCGCAGGCCCAGCAGGCCCAGGCCGCTTACAGCTCAGCCCCTGGCGACTACTCGCAGTACTACACCTCTGCTGATGCGCAGAGCCGGGTGCCGTTCAACTACTACAACCAGGCCTATGGCCAACATGCTGCTCAGGGACACCAGGATGCTCTCCAGAACCAGCGCCCTTATGGCGGATACCCGCTGAATGACTCTCTCAACCAGTACCCCCAGAGCAACGCGTCCCGATTCGGTGCTGCTGCCGCAGGCGCAGCGGCCCCGGTGGTTGCAGATGCTCAGAACAGCGGATCGACCACGCCCAACCCCCCTGCTCCTGGCCAGCCCCAACAGGCGCAGCAGCCTGGCGCGGTCCAGAATGGTCAAGCCCAGTCTCAACAGCAGCCTCAGGCCAGCCAGTACCCGTACAACCACCCGTACTTCACCAGCCCGTACTACAACCAGTACATGAACCAGATGAACCAATACGGAAGCTTCGCACAGGGCAACTTTGGGCCGTACGGCAAGGGATACGGCAACCACCACCCCGGCTACGGCGTGACGCCGACGCCGTATGAGCACAACATCTCGCAGGCGTCGACGTTTGCAGCCGGTTCGTCTCTGCACCGCGGTGCCGAGACCAATTCTCTGGCAACCGGGCTGGGCGAGTACGGCCGCGTCGGCTCTGGCCAGCCGTCGAGTTACGGCAGTGGCCATGACGGCAGCTTTGGCCGTGCAGGCGCTGCGGCATACCAGGCGCAGGCGGGCCAGGGATTCGGAGCGCCGCCTTCGCAGGCAAGCGCACAGCAAGCCGGTGCGGATGATCTGAAGCCGTACGGCGACCCCAAGGGTGCTACTGGGCCGAGCCCGTCGCTCGGCGGGGCGCGTCCAGGGTCAGCCACCAACACGCAGGCATCGCAGCCGGGGCTACCGCCGCCGCAGTCTAGCCAGCAGGGTATCAGCAGCTACGGTGGCTACCCGACTCACCTGCAGGGCCACAGCGGTCTCCACGGCAACCAGTCGGTGGCTGGCGGCGGCTATGGCATGAGTGCCGGAGCCAACCAGAGCCACACGAACAACCCGTACGGCGGCTACGGCGGCCACGGTGGCCACGGCCAGGGTTTCGCTGCGAACAGCTACTATGCGAACCAGCAGCAGCGCGGGTGGGGTGGCAACTACCACTAGAGCTAGGCTCGTCTTTTATGTGGCGCACATATGATCTAGTTGTGGCCAATCTTTCAGGCCTAAGTGCTGGTAACGATGTTTTCCCGCTCAGCTTTCGTTGTATCTGATGGGGCGGTTATTGTTCATTGAAAACAAGTGTCTCGTTCATCTTGCCCAGGAAACTTGTGACTGTACGATGTTTGCCGTCTGTTTTTTTGTCGCTATACTCGGGATACGTTTACGTTTCGGCGGGAATGAGGTTATTGTTTATGCTTTTACTCTCTTTTGTTGTGTGTGGTCTCGTGTATGCTTGTCTTCTTTTGGTCCCAAAGGTCCGGGTGGGTAAAAGTTGGGGGAAACGAGGACAATATATCATTGCCGTGTTCTGCGGAACGGGAGAAAGATGACGGAACTTTCAGCAGAATGAGAACGCCTTTTTCGTTGCTCCGTGCTCCGTGGACTGTTCTGAAACCTGTGAAACGTTTGTGCCATGAGACATGATGGCGATGATTGGAAGCACGGAAGCGATGGCGTAGGCTGACTGGCGCGAGGAACAACAAGGGGAGACTGCTTGTGCACCGGAGAAGGGGCTGGATTGCATGTTTGGTATAAGCGAGACGAGGAATTCGGAGAGTGATCAGTGACCTCGATGGCAGATGTGACGCTATGCAATATTGGCACTAGTAGTACAAAGCATTCGTACTTGGGATAGTGAAAGTTAGATACTGTCCTGCAACCCGGAATCGGAGCAATAGTACGGAGTATACACAGGACAATTTGAAAGACTGACGAGAACAAAGCCGGCTGAGAGCGGGGACTCCAACAGAATGTACGCCTAAGCGCATACACCTGCATATGTGCATACTGTGAGTAGTTAGGCGGGCTATGGACAAAACGGGGCGGCTACGGCATCATCGTCCGAAACAAGCAGCATCCAACGTCGCTGCCACAGCAGGCCCAGTGCAGAATGGACAAGCCAGCGCAGTCGGTTCCGATCCGGGGCCATGCGAGGAACAAGTCGTCGACCGTGGGTGAGCTGCCGTCCCCCTTTTCCAACCGTCACGAGGGGAGTGCCTAACAGGGAGCGATCGACAGCCACGAGGCCCCGGTCGTCGACCAAAGGTCCACTGGACATGGAAGAGTATGACATGCCATTCGGCACGCTGTGATTTGTCCGTCGCTTCCGCTTTGCTTACATCTGTCTGCGCGTATTCAGCAAGAACGTGCCGGTGTCTGTGGCCACGCAGCAGCCAGAGAGAGCGGCTGCTGCTGCATCGTCGCCCGCATCGATGTCGATGTTGTCGCCTTCAAACCGGCGCCAAAGCCGGTCGCCGGCCCTGTCGCCGGGACTGCGGTCACCGCTGCCACACTTGCCGGCCACCCGGTCGGCGATGGGTGGGGCCACGACGGCCGAGGCGCCGCGGCCCAAAGACTTTTCCTTTTTGCTGAAGCCGGCCATCTACCACCCGCTCTCGATGGCGAGCCTGCCGCCGCCGTTTCGCAGCTCACCGCAGCAGCCAGCACCAGACACGCCGCTGGCCGATCTGCTGACGGCCGGCCAGTTCCGGGCTGCCGCCATCGTGGCCGCACAGCAGCTGACGGGCTTGGGAGGCGGCTCCGAAGACGAGAAGGAACGGGCGATCGACCCGACCGACCACGGCCGCATCTTTGGGCTGCTGTACACCCGCCTGGCCTGTCTCGTGCTGATCGACGCCATGCCGCTGGCCGCCCAGGAGGGTCGGGCTCTCGAGGACCTCAACAGCAGCTTCTACTACGACGCGGCCACGGGTGAGCACCTGGTCCCGTGGGAGCTGCGCGTGCTCAACGTCCGGCTGCAGGCGCTCGGTTTTGGCGATCCGCGCCGCGCCATCATGAGCTACTACGACCTCGCCCGCGAGTCTCGTCGCCGTGCCGCTGCCGCGCTCGCCCGCCACGATCACTCGGCCAGCGAGCTGTGGAAGGGCCGGCTGGCCGAGCTCGGGCTCAAGGTCGCCGGCGCCCTCATCGAGATGGACGACATGGCCGGCGCCGCGGCTCACCTGACCAGCATGGCCGGTGGAGGTGGTCGTGATGGGCCTGAGACGGGCATCGGTCGTGACGATGAGACCGAGGCTGGCTTGATCACCACCCGCGGCCGCCATCCTGTCCCGAATCGCCGTCTCGAGGCCGCTCGTGCCCTCCTATGGCTGCACATCGGCGACGTCGAGGCTGCCCGCGCAGAGATGCATCGTGTCGCCTCTGTCGCCGCTGCTGATCCGTCTGCCGACGACAATGACCTCGGCCCTCGCATCGTCTCGGCCCTCTGCGATATGGCCGATGATGACTACGCTTCGGCTCTGGTCACGTGGCGCGATCTGCACCGAGACGCGCCCGCGGACGAGATGATCGGCGTCAACCTGGCCGTCTGTCTGCTCTACGTCGGCCAAATGCAAGAGGTCAGTCTTTCTCTTTTTTTTCTTTGTTCCCGTCTCTCCTTCCTTTCTCTAACACCCCCCAGGGACGGGCCGTCCTCGAGAGCCTCGTCGATGCCGGCTACTCGTCCCACACGCTGCTCTTCAACCTCTCCACCATGTACGAGCTCTGCAGCGACCGGTCCAAGAGCTTGAAGCAGCAGCTGGCCCAGCGCATGGCCGACAGGACCCCGTCCACCGACGGCTGGGAACGGGTCAATGCTGATTTCAAGCTGTGAGGTGGATGTGCATTGCATTACGGGGTGCATGGAATCGATAATACGGAGTAACGTCTCGTCTGCCTGCTTTGTGCGCAAAATCACTTGTCGTATTACTGCTCAACGCCCTAGTATCATACATGTGCCCGTTCGCTCACACCTTGAGCCAGAGGCTGCCGACGCCGAGAACGTACTCGGCGATCTCGCCGACGCCCATCTTGGAGTTTCCGTAGACGCGATCGACAAAGGTGATGGGCACCTCAGCGATGGTGTAGCCGAGGGCCTTTGCGGTGACGGCGAGGGCCATCTGCATGCTGAAGCCGCGCACGTCGGTGCTCTCAAACAGCTTCTCCAGCACGGCCCGCTTGTACAGCCGAAAAGAGCCGGTCAGGTCGGAGACGCCCGGCCGGAGCACCGTGTCGGCAAAGATGTTGGCGCCCTTGCTGGTGAGCTTGCGCTTGAGGTCCCAGCCGTAGACGCCGCCGCCGGGGGCGTAGCGCGTGCCGGTGACGATGTCGTAGTCGCCCGCCTTTTGCTTGGCAATCATCTGCGGGATGAACTTGGGGTGGTGCGAAAAGTCCGCGTCCATGATGATGATAAAGTTGCCGGTCGCAAACTGCAGCCCGTGCACGTACGCTGTGCCGAGCCCGAGCTTGCCGGTGCGCGTCTGGAGGATGATATGCGGCGCATACGCCTTGACCAGCTGCTTGGCCACCTCCTCCGTGCCGTCGGGCGAGCCGTCGTCGACGATGATGAGCTCCCAGTCCAGCTTGCTGTGCGGGTTAGCAGCGCGTACGGCGTATTGTCCTTGTTCCTGTCTCCGCCCCATTCGCCCCTCTCCCCACCTACCTCTCGGTGAACATCCGGTTCAGCAGCCAGGTGATGATCGGCAGGTTCTGCCGCTCGTTGAACGTTGGCAGGATAACCGAGTATCTGTCCTTTTTCGCTACAGTCGCCATTGTGTGAAGAGGTGACAAATGCTCGGGAACGGCGCGCTTTGGCAATGGTAAAAACGGCGGGTGAAATGAAATTGGCAAAGGAACGTGGAGAGTCGTAGACGCAGAGCTGGAGGGAAAACTGGTAGATGGGTCGGGTGTCGACAAGGTCGTCGCCAGAGGCAAAGCTCCTTTTTCTCGGCGTCGCGCGTTGTGACGACAGGGTGGCTGCTTCGCGCGTTATCGGTTATCAGGATTGATGACTAAGCAGTGACATCTGGCCCCTGACCTGGACCGGAAATGCAGGTCCAGCTTGGGTGACGGTCACCCAGGATCAGGTGCTAATAAACACGAGCCAGCTGATCGGCTGTGGGGTACTAGCTGCCGCCTTGTTAGTCATCGTCAGCAGCTGTTTGTAAATAAAAGACTAAGACCTGCGTCATCTCACAGCTAGGCAACTCCCTCTTCTGCCGTCCATTCCTTTTGAACTGGCCACTCTTTCATCGTCGTGCTTTCTACAACCGAAAATTATACATTTTGGCTGAGAGCTTCGACTTTCATTTTGCAGCCTTCTCAGCCGACTACTCCCGATGGCGTCCTCTTCTGGAGCGGACGCGGGAGGTCCCTCGAGGCAAAACGATGGCACCGAGACCTCGCCGCTGCTCGGCCACCCCGATGAGGCAGCTGTGCCGGAGACGGGAGCAGCCCAGAAGCTGAACCAGACGTACGACATTTTGAAGAAGTATCTGTCGGCCATTGGCATCTTCCGGATTCTGGCGGTGTTTCTGATTGTAGGCGTTGTTCTCACTGCCGGTAAGGATGCAATGCTCTCTGTCGGCCAGCCATTCCTGGGACCGTTATACTGATGCGTGAGACAGCTCTCTGGCCACGGACAATCCCCGGCTCAGGCGTGGCACTTTGCCTGACGCCGGCCTGCATCCACGCTGCATCGGAATACCTACAGAACCTGTCGCCCAACTACACGAACATCGATCCCTGCACCGATTTTGAAGAGTTTGTCTGCGGCGGGTGGCACGAGAGCCACGATATGCGAGCAGACCAGGGCATGATTGATGCACTCGGACTCATCGACGACAGGGTGACGTCGACGATCAGACACATACTGGAGGGCGACTACCCTGGATCGTCGAGCCACTCGGCTTTTTCGCCGTTGAATCTGGCTGCGTCGACCAGGTCGGCCGACGAGCAGAACTTTGACGCGATGAAGGAAGCTTACGACGCATGCATGGACACGGAAGCCATTGCCAAGGTTGGGATCTCTCCGATTCTGAAGCTGATCGACGACGTTGCGGCGACGTTCAGCAGCGATGGAGACTACTCCGGAGCGATGCTGTATCTGCAAAAGGTGGGCGTCGGTGCGTTCTTTAATTTTGGAGTCAGCGAGGACGAAAAGGAGCCAGAGACGCAGACAATCAGCGTGAGCCCGATGGTGAGCGTGGGGCTACCATCCAAGTCGCACTTTAAGGACAAGCAAATTGTGGCCAAGTACCAGGAGGCTATGGCCAAGGTACTGGGCGCGCTCAATCCCAAGGTGGCGACGATCGGAGCAGGAACAGAGGCGGCTGCGGCGCTGGTTAAGCTCGAGTCCCGGCTGGTAGCGGCAGCACCGGAGCCTCAGGACATGTTCGACGTGACAAAGACGTACAACATGATGTCGGTGGGGGCAACGGCCAAGCTGGTGCCACAGTTTGGGCTCAAGGGCATGCTGAAGGCGCTCGTGCCGAAGGACTACGCTCTCAACACGACGATCACGGCGTTTCCCGACATTCTGGCCAACGTGTCGAGGATTGTGGCGGACACGCCAGCCGAGGTGGTGCACAACTTCTTCTACTGGCGACTGATCACGTCGTTTAGCGGAGCGGTGTTGGGGCCGGAGATCCAGCCGCTGCTGCAGTTCCAGAACGTGCTGCAAGGCAAGGACGCGAACGCGGAGCCGGAGCGGTGGCGGACGTGCGTCCGGAGCGTGGGCAGCTCGGTGGGCTGGGTGCTCAGCCGGTTCTACGTGGAGGTGGCGTTCTCGGCAGCAGCCAAGGAGTTTGGCAACCAGATCATCTCGGACATCAAGGCAGCGTACCTGCGCAACTTTGCTGGGCTCTCATGGATGGACGACGAGGTTAAGACGGTGGCGGCCGAAAAGGTGCACAACATCGACCAGAAGGTGGGCTACCCAAGCGCGTCACCAAACATCATGGACGCGGCGGAGCTGCAGGCATACTACGCGACGCTGAAGATCAGCGGGTCGCACTTTGGCAACGTGGTGTCGGCGCGGCGGTTTGACGGGCGGGAGGAGTGGTCGGCGCTAGGCCGGGCGACGGACATGCAGCGATGGGGGATGACGGCGGCGACGGTGAACGCGTACTACAACCCACCGCACAATGAGATTGTGTTCCCGGCGGCGATCATGCAGTTTCCGCTGTTCGGGGTGGACCTGCCGAGTTACGTGAGCTACGGGGCGTTTGGAGCGGTGGCAGGTCACGAGCTCTCGCACGCATTTGACAACAACGGGCGGCACTACGACCTGCACGGGCGGTACAGCAACTGGTGGACGAACGGGACGATTGCAGCATTCCAGGCGCGGGCGCAGTGTCTGGTGGAGGAGTTTAGCAACTTCACGGTCGAGGGCAAGGACGGACCGGTGCACATCAACGGCGAGCAGACGCTGGGCGAGAACATTGCGGACTCGGGCGGGCTGACGGCGGCGTGGTCGGCGTGGCATGCGCGGCGGAGCACGACCAAGGCCGGTCTAGAGCTCTCGCTGCCGGGACTGGAGCACTTTACGCACGAGCAGCTGTTTTACGTGTCGTTTGGCAATGCGTGGTGCAGCAAGTGGCGGCCGGCTATGCTGACCAACCGGGTGGTGACAGACGAGCACTCGCCGGATGCCGTGCGGATCAAGGGCACCGTGGCCAACTCGCGGGGTTTCCGGGAGGCGTTTCAGTGTCCGGTGAAGGAGCCGACGTGTGAGTTATGGTAGGGGGGATAAGAAGGTAGATAATGGGTCAGAGGGGTAAATAATCAGTTGTTTATACAGAATGTTCTATAAGAAGTCTTAGCCAGAGATGATATAATAGATGTAGATGTTTTTAATGTTGTTTAGGCGAAGGTGAGGACTGTATATTCGGGGTGTACGAGTACGACGTATTCCGTACGGATGGAGTTGTTTTTGTTATGACGGAGTACGAAGTAAGTAAGATACGAAGTACGGAGTATTACGGAGTAGTATGGAGTATTGTGGGACAAGACCCACTATTTTCGCACGTGCTCTTATTGACCTATAATCTACGGAGTACAACAGGTCATCAGTCCATCTGCCACACTCTGACAACCGCTCCGGCCGGGACGACAGAGCAGCTGGTGCCGATCTGGCGACGGGCGAGAGCGAGGATATTGAGAGCCTGGGTGCCCAGACGGACGGGCAGCTTAAGCAGCTGGGCGGCGTGGACGGCAGCGGCGAGGCCGCGGAAGACAGAGTCGAGGGTGTCGATGTCGGGAGTAAGCGCATCGAGCGGAGTGCGGCGGATGGCGGAGATGATGGCTGGGCCATGGGCAGTGAGCATGGCGCTTCCGCCAGCGGCGTCACAGCAGAGGGCGAGGACGGCGTCGAGGTCGAGGCCGAGGTGAGCAGCCAAAGCAAGCGACTCGGCAGCGGCGACGAGATGGATGCCCTTGAGGAGGGAGACGACGAGATGGGAGGGGACGATGGTTTCGACAGCAGCAATGGCTTCTTCGGCCGAGACGGCACCAGGCGACGGATCGGCCGAATAGAGACGGAGCAGGCCGGAATCGTCGTCACGGCCCCAACCGCGAGCGACCGCATCCAGATACGAGCTCTCGGCCACGCTGGTCAGGAGGGCCGGAAAGTCGACCCGTCGGGCCTCGCTCGTGATGATGGCCGTATCCTTGACGATGATGTCGAGCGCGCTGGCTACGGGCTGGAAGCCGACCAGCATGCGCGGTCCGCGGTTGGCGAGCATCCAGGAGGCGCCAGCGGATGCGTCGAGGCCGTCCAGCAGCGTCTGGTCGAGCGGGACGGCTAGCCCGACGGCCAGCCCGACGGCCTCGCTGGCTGCCAGGATCTAGTTAGCCGACAGCACCTAGTAAGCCATCTTAGTGTTGCTGCCAGCGCCGATGCCGTCGACCAAGTAGAGGCAGTCGTCGTGAGCGAGGGTCTGCAGAACAGCGAGACCGGGAGCCGCTGCGGACGGATCGGTCGTGTGTGCACCCATAATCGTCAGCGTCCCCTCGGCTGCTCGGACGGCCCCCCCGGAGACCGGCGCGTCGTATAGCACCACGTCCGGACGGCAGCTTTGGAGCTGTCGCGCCAGCGCCTGGATGTAGCCGCACGGCACCGTCGAGCACACCAGCACGGTCGCCTGTCGGGGCAGTGCCGGCATCGCTGCGTCCGGGCCATCCACGAGCACTGCTTGCACCTGTGCTGCCGTCGCGACCATGCAGACGCACACGGCACAGCCGGCTACCGCAGCTGCTGGGGTCGCGGCCGTCTTGCCACCGGCAGCGGCAAAGCGGGCCAGCGTGGGCGGACAGGCATCAAAGCCGGTGACGGAATAGCCGTGACGCAACAGGTTCGTGGCCATGCCGAAACCCATGGCGCCGAGGCCGATGAAGGCAACGTCGGAGAGAGACATTGTGGGGGATGGAGGGGGGGGAGGGAGGAGAAGTGATACCGGAGGAACAGACAGGAACCAAGTGACAGTTGAAAGACGAATAAGATCAAAGAGAAGATCAATAATGACGGCCAAGTATGATTTCCCACCAACAGCACCCATTTAATCGACCTCCCACACAAAGTACATATCCGGTGCGTGATGCAAGGACAGTGCGAACACGGTGTATACGCGTACTGTCCAATCGGATGCTGTCACATCACGTGGAGACACGGCACAGCGTCCTTTTGCATGATCTTCACACGAGTCTCATACGAGCGGTTAAGACGGAAAAGCGGATGACGGAAGCGAGAGCCGAGGTCGGTATGGTGTTGTTGCGAGCTTCCGGTTGGCTTATATCGCCGATGCAGAATGCGACTAGAGCTGTTCGGACTGTCTGAAGACGGCTGCTAAATTAACTGTCTGCTCGAACAAACTGTCAGCCACCTTCACACCTCACACCTTTAACTCCACCTTCACCCACCATGACTCGTCCTCCGTTGGAACAGAACCGGTCGATGGCGATCCTCAACGCCGCGCGGGCGGGCGGTTACGCCGTGGCCGGCATGTGCTGCTACAACATCGAGTCGGTGATGGCGACAGTGCGGGCGGCCGAAGCGACGCGATCACCGGCCATGGTGTTGCTGTTTCCGTGGGCGATCGAGTATGCGGGCGAGGCGTTGGTGCGAGCTGCCGCGACGGCGGCCCACGGTGCCTCAGTGCCGATCGCGCTGCACCTAGACCACGCGCAGACGCCGGAGCTGGTCCGCCGGGCGGCCGACATCCCGGACGGCTTCGACAGCATCATGTGCGATATGAGCCACTACGATCGCGACGAGAACCTGTCGAAGACGCACGAGCTGGTCGCCTACTGTCATGCGCGCGGCATCGCTGCTGAGGCCGAGCCCGGCCGCATCGAGGGCGGCGAGGACGGCGTGGCCGAGACGGCCGATCTCGAGGCTGTTCTCACGACGCCTGAGCAGGCTGAAGAGTTTGTCGCGACCGGCATCGAGATGCTCGCGCCTGCTTTTGGCAACGTCCACGGCGAATACGGCCCGCGCGGCATCCGCCTCGAGCTCGACCGTCTCGAGGCTGTCTATCGCGCCGTCGGCGATCGCGTTCGCCTCGTCCTCCACGGCGCGGACCCCTTCACACCCGACATCTTCGCCGCCTGCATCGCCCGCGGCGTCGCTCGCGTCAACATCAACAAGGGCATGAACCGCCACTATGCCGACGTCCAGCATGAGATGCACGGCCGCCTCCTCACCTCCGTCATCGAGGCTGGCACCCGCCGCATGCAGGACGCTATCGAACAGTATATGCACTGGTTCGGAAGCGCGGGGAAGGCGTAGGTGGTTGCCGATGAAGAACTACAGAACGGGATAGAAGGGAATACAATATGCTTAGTCATCCCATAGTCTTTGGTGCAAGTTCCAACGAGTGCAACAAAAGCAGCTTCCACGCCGACATGATTTTTTCACATTTCACACAAACCTCGTTCCATTCACATCCACTCCACCAGCCATGGCAGAGAGGCGCCGACCCATTGTGGGCGTCTCTACCAAGATGTACTTTTCGCTGGCGCGCACGCGCGATTATACCAAGGCCCTGATCCAGCGTTTTGCCGCCGACGAGGACGCGAACACGATAGACCAGCGCGGCCGCCTGCTCGACCGCGTCGACGTCTTTGTGCTGCCCGACTTTGTGTCGCTAGCCGCGGTCGTAGGGCGTCTGCAGGCGTCGGGATTGGGTCTGCAGGCGGGCGCCCAGGACTGCGGCTCCGATGACTACGGCGCCTTTACCGGCGTCATCTCGCCGGCCGTGTTGGCCGAGCTGGGCGTCCGCATCGTCGAGATTGGCCATGCCGAACGCCGCCGCCTCTTTGGCGAGACCGATGCCAGTACCGCTGCCAAGGCGACTGCCATTGTCCGGAATGGCATGGTGCCGTTGGTGTGTATTGGGGAGGACGATGGAAACGGCGAAATCAGCGAAGACGAACGAGTCCCCTTGGCTATCGCTACTGTCGTCGCCCAAGTCACACCCGTCCTCGCTGCCATCCCCGATGACGCCGACGTTCTGCTCGCCTACGAGCCCGTCTGGGCCATCGGTGCCGCCAGGCCCGCCAGCGCAGCCCACGTCCGCGCCGTCGTCACAGGCCTGCGCGCTTCGGCGGCCGTCCGGCGTCGCGCTGCTGCCCGTACCCGCATCCTCTACGGTGGCAGTGCCGGACCTGGCCTGTTCACCCAGCTGGCCGGCGTCGTCGACGGGCTCTTCCTCGGTCGCTTCGGCCACGACCCAGACATCTTCCTGCAGACGGTCCGGGAGGTGGGAGAGCATGCATAGGGGGAGTTGATAGGGAGTTTATGCTGGAAATTGCGAGAGTGTTTGTTCTACAGCGACAACTTCACATAGGGCCGGTCTATTCTACAAGGCATAACATGTGACAAGGGAAAACAACTTGAAGACTCATGTGGACAAAAAAGCAAGCCTTTTGTCGAACGTTAAAGATCAAGTACCTGAAAAGCAAAAAGAAATTTGGAGCAACTCGGGATCGAACCGAGGACCTCCAGCTCTTCAGGCTGGCGCTCTCCCATCTGAGCTATTACTCCTATTTGTTGGAAAGCTGCCCACTAGCATGCACTAAGACTGTAGCAGCTGCGACCCTGCATCAGCTACTTCCCTCGCACAGAATGCACGCCTGACAAAAGCAACAGTGTCTCTGAGAGAATATCTTCGAGAGGATGCAGGCCGATATGGATGTGTTGTCTGCCAATTAAGGCTTGAGGCTAAGTGCTAAATTCGCCCACTGCAGCATGTCTCCCACCGTCATCATAACCCAGAAACTACCTCTTTAAGTAGCTGCCAAATTGTCTTCCCAGCCAGTCCCCATCATCTTCGGAAATGTGGGCGTACGCGATCCCTTCTGCTCAGACGAAGACATTGCAAAACCTTGTCCATTCTCGAAGCCCACGACGTCACCAAGCTCGACTCTTTCCAGGTCTATGGTTTGTCCGAGGAGCGTCTTGGCCAGACAAACGTCGGCAACCACTTTTCCACCGACACCAAATAGGGCAGCATGATACCCGCAACAGCCCGACTTTAATACGCCCCTGGCCAGGCCTTTCATGGCTGTCTCGCCGTCTGCTACGCCGAATCTGAGCTGCTCCCTGTGCTGGCCTACCAGCAGCGGCAAGCTCTATCTCAGCCGGGAGCATGGCGACTCTGTCGTCTTTGGTGCAAGCTCACAGGAGCAGATCGAGCAGACCCTGAGTTCTATCGCCAAGGGTGGCCCCAGCACCAAGGCCAAAGCTGTCATCAAAGCGTTTTGGACAACGATCAAAAGCGGGGCTCGCTGGAACAACACTGACGAACTCTGGGAATTTGACGCTTGAATTGCAATGGTAGTTCGTTTTGTTATGTCTTATAATAATAAATCTAGCCTGTTTTCTTACAAAGTATATACGGAAAGCCAACGTCGAACAGCGACGAACGGCCGTAATCAATTGAACGGTCGTCTAGCTAGTTTGTTTACTATCTTTAGTGTCGAAAGAAAAAAGAAATCGGGAAGCGGTTGCAATGCAAAAAAGCAAATATTGAACGAGCTCTCTCGCCGGGAATTGAACCCGGGTCCCGGGCGTGACAAGCCCGTATACTGACCACTATACTACAAGAGATATCAAATAGTTATACATTTCGCCATTACTGCAAGCTATCAGTGCTACGAGAACGTGTGGGGCAAAGCAGATTTTGAAAAGACGAAATCGGTTATTAGCCTACGGAGTACACACACATATTGACAAGAAGCATTAAAATCAAGCATGTAATTCTATGGTCTCCTAATATGCAACATGTCCCTTCATATCTAAGTCTTCCTCAGGCACTAGAGAGCTAGAACGGCTTTAAAACAACTCCCTCAATTTATCGCGGCTTCGTCCCCTTGTCTTCTATAGCGGTACGTCAGTTTGGAGCTACTTCTACATGAAGTAGTGCTGGGGAGATCTCGCGTACTTTCTCCTTTGGTAATCTCATAGCCAGAGCGGCCATAGTCAACTGATGGCTCTGTCGTTTTGTCAACGACGCTGTCAGCCATTTTATCGTGATGATTGGGAAGTGAAAAAGAATTTGGAAAGCGATCAATGTGACTTCGACTGTAGTTTGATGGGCCAACATGCAAGTCTGGCGAAGTAATTGTGGACGAACAGATGTGGATAGCTATCACAGTATGGTGGGATCTGGCTGCTTATAACTTCACGGTTCCGTCAACACCTCCAGCTCGCCCTACATTTTGGAAGACGCTAGCACTGACCCTGCTCGTCGTTGGAGTTGAAGCTGGACGAAAGACAGGGTATAAGATCATACACTATTATCTTAATGACACTTCCTTTGAGTTTCATGTCTCGGCTTTCGCCGGTGGCTGTCTAGAGCTCATCCTGGAGCTCTGCTGCAGTGGAGTCATTCCACGAGAATTCTAGAAACCGTGTCATGCAGGACCAACAGCATCGGAGATTTGATAACCCCCAAATATTGAGCAGCATGCTGGCGGCATATTCAGCCCCAAATCCGCTTTCTTATCCCTTATGCCTACCAGTATAGAACTAGCCCAGGTAAATGCTGGTAGATTGACGGGAATGATAACATTGGCAGATTGATAAAAGTATTACTTGTGTCGTTCAGGATGTCAGGGGCTAGCATTTTCGGGCACAGCCTCATCTCGGAGGCCCCGTCGCTGAATCTGACCACGTGCGGAAGGGGTTGTCATATTTGAGAACTGAGCTGTTCGTTTGCTTCAGCCATGCCAGTCGATCACTATTCTGTTCCACTACACTAACCCAATCTGAGAGAAGCTTAAGACAAACTATCACTGCTAAACCAAAGTGAATATATGGAAAATGCCGTACCTCGTTTCACGGTGTCTTCTGCTGCCGTTCTCTCATTATTCTTCGTTTTCTTACTCTTACTCGCTTCTTGTCTCCTGTTTCTCTTGTTCGGCCAACTTCATTGCTTCTGCCCCTGACAATGCACCCCGGGTCACTAATAACTCAACTATCTTCCGAGCCTTTTGGATAGGAAGTTCAGAAATACGGCTAACGGCATTAAGAAAATCGTCTTTCTCCTTTTTTCCCGTCGGTGCATCTCTGCCAATCGTGCGAATAATGCGGATAAGATCCCGGATTTTCCAGTACCTTTTCTTGTTGTCCAGAATCTGGATCAATTCTGGGGCACCAAACTGTGGAACGCCAGCAGCCTTGAGAAGGAGGAGGTCATCATGTCCTACCTCTGGGAAATGACGTGCTTCACCTAGAATGTATACCATGACTGTCTCATCTGCATCATGGAAAACCGCATGATATATGGCTGCATCGACGGAATCAGATATGGCTGCATCGACGGAATTAGATACGGCTGCAACAGCGGAATCTTCACTAGAGCCGTCAGGGTCAGAGCTGTCTACATCAGAGCCGAATTTCTCCAAGACCCAGTTCCATAGGCGCTTGAACGCATCCGGATCGTTGTCGGTCGCCATATAGGCGGAAACGAGGTCAAGAGGACTTTTCCCGTCCTTGTTCACGTGGGATGCGTTGGCTACAAGAGGCTGGCCATTCCCACATCAGCCTTGTAACAAGCTACGTGTAGGGGTGTCCATTCTAAGTCAATCTGAATATTTATGCCAGCGCCATTATCCAGTAAGACCTGCGCGACCTCCATGACATCTGGTTCATCGGAGAGGCAAGCAAAATGAAGCGCCGTGAAGCCGCCTGCGCACCGGTCATTCACCCCAGCGCCATGATTCAGAAGGCATTTTACAACTGTCGCTGACTCTCTGGTGATACAAAAATAGATCCGGTGAAGTGGCGTGCGGTTATCATTGTCTCGAGAATTAACTTCAGCGCCATGTTCTAGAAGAGTGTTCACGACCTTTATGTTGTATCTATCCGGCGACGTGCATGCGACTTGAAGTGGTGTGATGGAACGCCAGTTCCGATCATCAACCCCAGCGCCATGATTTAGGAGGCATTTTACAATTGCCGCTGAGTGGTGATTAGTTGTAGAACATGCGAGGTGAAGTGGCGTGTTGTTATCCTCGTCTCGACAATCAGTTTTAGCGCCATAATTCAACAGCAGTTTGATGATATCGAGGATATGCGTTCCTGAATATTTTCTTGAATGTTGAATGGCGTAGTGCAACGGTGTATGTTCGCGTCCGAGGTTGACAATATCGGCCTTCCATGCGCCCTCTTTGCGCCTTCCGGTGTTGTATTCGAGAATATAACGGACCATCTCCGGCAAGTAATTGTCTATGGCGAGAAGTAGTGCATTGTATTCTTCTGTGAAAAATGACTGGAAATTTGACTCAAAGCCGCTGCTGATGAGGAGTTGCAAGCAATCAACATGACCGCCTACTATTGCAGACTCAAGACAAGCTTCAGCATCTTCGCTTTGCATTTCTTCTGTATCAACCTGGTTTAGGATGCAATGTAGCGGCCGGTAATGACCACGGTTTGCCATAAAACGCATCAGCCCCGTTGACCAAGAGTACTTGTTGTTATTTTCACTGATGAACCATGATGCGCCTAGCCATTTTTTAGAGTGCAAATAGTCTTCGTCACTAGGCCTTCGGTTTACCCATAGCCTCTCGTATGCAGGCCAAAACCTGTCGTGGATGTCGTTGACGGCGAACGCACCATCGACATTTGTGAAGACTTGAGAGCTTCTCTCTCGGAGATGGATTTCTCAAACTTTCCCGGGTTTGCTTCTAGACGGTCTGCTCGAGATAGAAACTCTCTGGCAGTCTGATGTATGAATTACAGCGTATTCCCGTACACTGTGACGAAGCAGTGGCATGTCGACAAGACCCATCCGCAGAAGCTGTCCGCAGATTCGACCTCAAGCACGCCGATTTCTTGCTCAGGATTATCCGTAGACGCTTCATATGTTTCCCGAGCATTCATAAGGACTGCGGCATCGACGAGAGTAAGCGGTATATACGCAACAAACATGAGATGTAAAAGATTTCTGACTCTGGCGCGATCGTCATCCGGAATGGCACCAAGCAGCTTCTCGTAGGCTTCATTGACAGTGTCGGGAAGAGTGTTGATTCGCCGTGCCCACTCAGTTTCCACGTTGCGGTTGTTATTTTCCAAAACGGCAAAGATGAGGTGCACCCAAAGGTACGTCCTCTGATTGCCGCCTTGATTGGCAAGAAGGCTGCGCAGCTTATTTACCCGCTCTGTTTTTAGATTTTTTGCTTCGGCCAGCTTGTCTAGCTTGTGATTTATGACGATGGCAATCTCGTCTTGGATCTGAGCAATCTCCTCGCTGTTCTCGCCTGCGAGCCGGATGCTACTAGAATCCTGCCGAAACCGAAACCTTTCGACAATTCCAGGGTAGCCGCGGGTAGTCATGACGACTTTCAGGGAGCCCTTCTTGTTCGTCGAAAGGGACTCCACCAATGTCTGAAAGTTGCCGATCAAGGTTCGTACATCTGACGGTTCGCATTCATCGAGTGCGTCAATGACACAGATCACGTCCGGTTAGCTGTTTCTGAGGCCACACACTTCTGGAAAATGTCCCAGAGCCGGGACCAGTTTCCAATCAGAGCCTCGCCAGCTTTCGAGATGTCTCCCTCCACTAGATCAACAAGTTTTTCGCAGCTGCAGAGCAGCTGGTGGACGATGGCGCACAAAGCGCGCGCAAGACTGGTCTCTGCGCCTTCGCTGAAGAAAAAGTATGCGATCACGGCATTGTCGCCGCTCTCAAGTAAGCGGTCAGGCAACACCGTCTTCACGAGGTAGCGCGAAAGGACCGACTTGCCACAGCCGGCGTCTGCAGTTCAACCAGAAGCAAACTGCTCTGGCAGGATTCGAGCCAATGGCGGAAGTGGATATGGTGTACAAACCACTCACACGTGCCCTCGATGCGGTCTGGAACACTATTCAGCCACGCATCGTACTTGGACGTGTCTTTGCTGATGTGGTCGAGTGTGTCGGTGTTCTGGACCATTTTGTGCTGCTTCAGCTGGTCTTTGATTTCGGTTTCTTTGTCTTTGACCGTCTGAATTCGCTCCTTCCAGTCGTCGATGGTGAGCAACACGCGCATGCTCCTGACGAAGCGGCTCGTTTTGAAACACTCGCACACGCACTGCATCTCGTACTCCAGTAGGGCTGCGTACAGCTCTACGACCTTGTTTTTGGTCAGCTCCAGCATCTGGGCTGAGGCTGGGTCTGCATTCCAGTTGCTGCGGAACGCCACTCGCGCAAGTGCCATATACCACTCCAGCTTGTCCATAACGTGTTCGAGCCCGACACACATCTCCAGCCGCTGCACTGAGGGACTGGCAAGGATAGGCAGGATCATACAGATGCCAGACCATGCCATGGCAGCCGGCGGGTAGGCCGTGAGCATACTCGACACCGTGCTCTCAATTTCTTTAATAAATTCAGCTGTGTCCTTGACCGCTTCGTGAACAGACTTGTGCTTCTTCGCACGTGCAAGCGCGACTCTGGTGGCTTGTTCCATAATATCGATGCGGCCGGAGCCGCCGCTAGTTTGGAGCGGATTGTTGATCTTTTCTGCGTCGTTCGGTGTTGTGGTGCTGATGCTCACGCTGTCTTTCTCCTTGCCTTCTTCACTGTCATCAAGATCCGTGTCATTTCGGATAATCCCAAACAGCACGCCTTCGTATGCCTCGACCAGCGTAGCGGTTTCCTCGCCTGACTTCAATCTGTCGTATGCCCGTGTCCATAGCTCGCTGGAAATATCAGTGACAGTCGGTTGGTCCATATGTTCATCCGTGGTCTTGAACAGCGTCGAGGGAGGCTCGGTGTCTTGTTTCGAAGAGGCTTCTGGGGCGCTTTGGACGTCGACTATCACCGAAACCTTAGAAGCATTCCGGCTGGAAGAAACGTCTCGGTCGTAGCCATTCTTGCCCCTTCCTTTGTGCAGCTTCTCGCGAAGCCATTTGCGCTTCCTACCACTTAGTTTAGCTTCCATTTTGGTTGAAGACTCGACCGAGCATCGAAGAGGCAAACTAAAATAGGCAAAGCAACAAAAATGAATGGAAAAACATAACAACGGGCAGGATGACAACTAGGTGCGGCTGGGAGACTGCAATTTATGCAGAGAGGAGGGCAACAACCCCTCATGCGCCCTACCCCGCCTTTTTGGCTTACTCGACTTCTCCCAATTACGTCCTGGACGTTCCAGGTTGAGCTCTTCCTCTCACTTGTTGAAGTGTTTACGACGTTGCGGACAAGAACAGTGTGTATATCGTGTGATCAAAATCCGCACTGTGCTTCGTTTGGCTTCCGGACATCTGGATAAAGCTAAATTGGATTTGGCTCTTGTTTGCGGCCTCGACGGTTCCTTCGTCGCCATCAAGGGACCTAGACACGTGGGCTTTAAAGGAACTTCCCTTTGAGAAGGTTACTTCGTGGGCTGTCTTATGTGGCAATAAGAGAGCTGCACGTGATTACTTGTCATCCCGATTGTGATCCTATGGATTATTCACAGCTTCAGCATCAGTGATTCAGACGCTCTCTAATCTTTTTGATCGCTACCTACGCTAACTTTCTCTGAGGTGAGAGTGTGCAGCGTTTGTGGTTGTGAAGACTGATTCTTTCCGGCTTCAATCGCTCACAACACCACCTTTGATGGACTCCATTTAGCACCTATTAATTTACCTGCTGAAAACGTGAATGTGCAGACAATTACTTTATTGAAAGAAATCCTGACATTCGAAGCAATTTTCTCCGCGATTACAGTGGCTGCCTTCTGCCAAACAGAAAAGGCCCTCATTCCCCCCCTTAAGCAGCCTGTTCTACACTTCGCTCCTGGTATTCTGATTTGCTCGCACCACCCCTATTATCATTATGCCTAGCACTTCTCTTTGATTCGGGGACACCGAGCATGTCGGCACCCTTGTCAACGTGATTGGCACCGCCAAAAAGAACGTCGATCTCTTCCAAGGGCACCTTCTTGGTCTCGGGGATGAGGAAATAAACGAGAATGGCAAGACAGAAGTTGACGGACATGAAGAAAAAGAGGCACTTGAGACCAGAGTCTGTGATTGTCAGTGTTTGAGCAGTAGATAGCAGAGGAAGAATAGGAAGACCAGGGGCTCTCACGGTTGAGGAAGGTAGGGAAGAACTGCTGGAAGATGGTGTTGGCGACATTTTGCATCTGGGAGCACATGCCAACAGCCTGGGCGCGGACGTTCATGGAGAAGACCTCGGAGGTCCAGATCCAGGTGGTGGCGCCCCAGGAGGGCTTGTAGAAGAAGATGAAGAGGAAGAGGAGGAATACGATGGCGATGCCGACCGGCTGAGACTTGGTCCCGTTGGTAGTGGGCGTAGCGAGGCCGACGACAGAGACGCAGAGCATGCACAAGCCCATGCCGACGGCACCGACGATGAAGAGCCAGCGGCGGCCGAAGCGGTCGGCCGTCCAGGTGGCGTTTAGCGTGAAGAGGATGCCAAAGGTGGCGTTGAGGGCGTTGATCAGGTTGATCGTGGTGGTCGAGGTCCAGACCTTCTTGTAGATGGCCGTGCTGTAGCTGTTGAGCGTGCCCTGACCAGTGAGCTGCTGGCCGACGTTGAGCATGAAGGCGAAGTAGAGCCGCCGGCGCACAGACGGATCCCGGAACAGAGCTGCGTAGCTGTGCGCGATGGCCTCGCGCTCGTACTCGATGGCCTCGCGGATCACCAGGATCTCATCCTCGACCTGGGCATCCGACTCGCGGATGCGGCGCAGCGCCGCCCTCGCGCCCTCGACGTCGTTGTTCTTCTGGATGTGCCAGCGCGGCGACTCGGGCTGCCAGGGCAGCAGGGCGATGATGATGGCCGGCACGAGCATCTGGAAGATCACGACCATCTTCCAGTCCCACTCGCCCAACCGGGCCCGGTGCAGCGAGCAGGCGTAGTTGATCCAGTACGCGATAAAGGAGCCGACCGAGTAGAAGAGCTGCCAGAAGGCCATGATCAGGCCCCGGATCTCGGGCGGTGCCATCTCGCCAATATAAACGGGGCCAGCAGCTGGACGGTCAGAAGGAGGAAAAAAAGAGAGGAAAAAGCTAGTCGAGAAAGGGCAAACCCACTCAAAGCCAGTCCCTGGCCTAGGCCAATAATGACACGTCCGCCAATAAAGCATCCGAGATTGTGGTGTGGCGCAAACGTTTGCATGAACGTGGCGATGATGGTCAGGAAGCAACCGATGCCCATGCCCCAACGACGGCCGAGATAGTCAGCAATGGGCCCACCAAAGAAGAAGCCGGCAACAATGGCCCCGATTGTGTAGGCCGTGTTGATAAGGCCGATCAGGTACGAGTCTCGTTTCTGTTCTGTCAGAGAGGGGACTGAGAGACAGAGAGCTTCCGCATCTCCATGATCCACATACCGGGTCGAGATCAAACCAGTTCAACCAGTTCTTCGAGCCTTGCACCGAGTTGAACACAGAGGCATCGTAGCCGTAGAGGACCATACATCCTGCCGCCACCATGGAAATGCACCTGAGACCGTCAGAAAGGTCAGACATGGTCTTTGGGATACAGGAACAAGCTCATACCAGTTGTAGACTCGCTTAGAAATTGCCATTTTGGCGTCCGATGAGACTGTGTTTTCAGATGCTTGGAACGCAAAGCGGAGGTTGAGGAGAAAGGTGGCGGTTTTATAATGTATTGATGCATTGCCCACCAGGTCCTATAATGCTGCAATGGGGTAAAGAATGGCACGACATGTCTCTGCACGGGAAGAGCAATACATTCCCTCTATTGGCTGACGGAATATTGAGGATGGAGGGGCCAACTTTGAGATGATTGATGGCGCCTTGATCGTAAAAGACTTTAGCGAAGTCTTGGCATTTTCAGCCACCCTAGACTGTGCTTATTTGCCTGTTTACGGCAGGTGTCCTTCTGACTGGCTGCCAAGAATTGTGAAGATGAGCATCTAGCTACTGCTGCTCCATACAAGACAAATAGGCCAGGCCAGGCTATCCTGGATGGCTCATTTCATCTGCCGCCCCGGATTTCCCCTCCAGATAACGAGGCTCCACTCAACTACAACTACTGGCGGAAATACTCGTTAGGCTCTCTACCCCGGATTTCCTCCATGCCCGTCGTCTTTGTCTGGGGTTAGTCCAGGGACTGAACCCAATTTCCACCAATTGCGATATCTTTTCGGACGCGTTCAGGCTGGTCTCCACAGTCAAGAGCGTCCAGAAGCGTGAGTTAGAATGCTGCACACCCCCCACTTGAGTAGGGCGTGGTCATATTTCGTCATGTGTCAGGGACGAGTCTTGTTTTGAAGAGAGAATGCGCGCCGATTCCACCAATAGTCTGGCTACTTGACACATCTTGACAAAACAGGAGAAGTACGATTACGTAATCAACTATAATGTGATATACTCTAGTCTAGCTATGCCACCTTCTCTTGAACAGCGTCAGAAACCACTCCTTCTTCGCCCGAAGATTCTGCCGAGACCGGCTTTGTTGGCTTGGAGTCTTTGCGGATAGACCAGCCGCCATGCCAGCCGACCCAGCCGGTCTCGCGGGGACCTCTGGCCAGACAGATGAGCGTGGCAAAGCCAAGAAAGCCGACTATGCAGGGTGTCAGTAGATGGCAGTGATGATAGACAAGGTCGGCCAGTCGACACTTACGACTCAGGGCACCGCTGTAGCGCCATCCGCCCTGGGCATAGAGCCGATTTCCGGCGGCCGAGCCACTCAGCTGGCCGGTGAAGGAGGCAATCATGTAGGCGGCATTGATGCGGTTCTGGGCCTTGGGAGCGAGTCCATAGATGGAGGTGCGCAGGGCGATGTTGGAGCACTGATTACCAAAGTCGATGAAGATGGCCTGGATGACAGGGCCAGCGACAGAAAAGGTGCCGATGCCGACGCCGATGGCGACGCCGGTAATCTCGAGCGCGTTACCGAGGAGGACGGCGACGGTGGGAACGATGCGGTCGATGACAAAGCGACCGTAAAAGGGGCCGAAGCAGATGATGACGATACCGATGAGGCCGAAGAGGCCGATCGCAAAGGACGGATAGTTGTAGGGCGGCGAGGCCAGCAGGAACGACAGCGTGGTCCAGTAGCTGGTGAAGACGGCGCTGAGGCAGTAGACAATGAGGCAGGCCTGCACGAGAGTCGGCTGGCGGACGAGCAGCATGACGATGCCGCCGTAGAGGACGCGGCAGAGGCGAAGGATCTGGTGGAGGGCAGTTCTGCTACGGCCCCGTCCTGCGGATTCGTCTCCTGCTGCCGCCTCCTCGGCCAAACTGTTCTTGGTCGGGTAGTCGGGCATGAAGCAGAAGAGCGAGGCCAGCACGACGGCCTGGGCGCCGAAGCTGAACCAATACACGTTGCGCCAGGATGTGTAGTTGGCCACGAGACCAGCAACGACGCGCGCCACCAGCATGCCCAACGACAGGCCCGAGACCACGATGGCGAGCGCGGCTGCCCGGCGGTGCGGCGGTGCCAGGTCGCCGACCAGCGGCAGCATCAGCTGCGGCGTCACGGTGGTGAAGCCGCAGATGTACGAGAGCCCGGAAAAGACGGCAAAGGAGTCGGTTAGGCAGAGGCCCAGCCAGAGCAGCGCCGTCAGCGCCACCAGCGCCAGGATCATCGGCCGGCGCGGCAGCACGTCGCCGATCGGGCAGAGCAGCACGATGCCTGTCGCGTAGCCGGCCTGCATCAGCGTCGCGATGATCGACGACCGCTCGTACGAGACGTCAAACGTGTCGGCAATCTGGTACAAGATCGGCTGGTTGTCTGGGAGGTCAGTGGTGGGCACAAGGAAAAATAAAAAAGACTGGCACGCACAGTAGAGATTGCCGACAGTTGCTGTCGTGGCCTGCATCCGGTCAGAGAGTCCAAACGAGCCAGAGCCCAGAGGCTGAAAGGACTAGACAACGCACAAACGAGAAGAGCATGTTTAGCCCCATGGTGAACTCGGGCGGCTTAACCGGGTCGTATCGACACGACGGCGGCATCCAGAGCAGCACTCGGCCCACGACGCCTAGAGACCGTCGCAGAACCGATCTCGGGACCTGCTGCTGTTGCTGTTCTTGCTGGACATCGTCCACAACTGCTAGCTGCTCTTTCCGCCTGCTCATTTCAGTCTCGCCCTCCGCTCCGACTGCGGCCAGTCCGCCCATCTCCTCATCCAAGTTCGGCGTCTCTTTACCATCGCTGCTGTCGAAAACGTCTCGAAGAGCCATGGCCGCCTCCCCAGGTGTGGCGGTGGAGATTCTCAGGAAATGCCGTCCAGACGCCGCGCTCAGCGAGTGCCAGTACACCGACTCTTGCCTTTGCGGGTGGCAAATGCACAGAGAAGAAAAGCAGAGATTATCACAATGGATAGGGATCGCTGATACGTCGCATTGTCGACGTCTTCTTTTCTTCAATCGTCTTTGTCTTCGCTCGTTTCTTCTCGTGTTGTCTATTTTTTTGCTAATCGCATTCTCCTACCTGTCGGCACCGCTTCAGTTGCCGTGTGGTCGCTCCCGGAAACATCACGGCCAAAGTATGGCGAGCAGCCTAGCGAACGGACGTCCGACTCCACCGCTTCATCACGCTAACGACTAGGCCCAGAGTGGCATGGCTTCAGCAACTGCCCTCCTCTCAACGCAACGACAGCTGCCTCAATCGCTAGCTGGTGCTCGTGGCGTGCAGCAGATAGTCCTTCAAAACTTGAGCGGCCTGGCAGCGTATACCTGTGCAATGTGAATGACTGACGTTGTTTCTATATTGCTTAGTCAGCATCGTCAGAAGTCGTCCAGGACGGCTCTCCAAAACAATACAAAGACAGTGGAAGTCAATACAAACGGGCAAAACTTGCAGAGTAATACATCTATAAAGACACCTTGCAGGCGACTAAAGGTCGAAATTATAGGCTGCATATGAATGGTGCCACACAATATAGAACATGGTTGTGAACCTGGCCGAGTTTTGGAAAACAGTGTCTTTATGATTCCTGTATGCGCAGCAGTGTAGTCCGTTTGGCGTTCATGTACTGATCACGAGAAATACAAAGATGCAAAAAGGTTAATATATGAGGTTGATTTTATAAAGAGAAAGGCGAAGCAAGAAAACGTTGTATACAGCTTAAAGTACATACTTGGCCTTCAGTGCACAGAAGCTTGTTTCTTTAGTTGCGCACAAGACTAGACGAACGTGAACAAAATTTGATAACAATATCCCCTCTCGGGCTTTTTCTAACACCTTCTCCGAGTTCTGCTCTCTCAAAAACTTACTTCTTTACCGACATCTTTCCTCAACGAGATTCGCTTGGTAAGTCATAGCACAGGTAAATCCGCCACACATACAGTTTTATGTTTCAGTTTGTGATTTCATACTTCATGTGTGCTTGTGTTATTCTCCGCTAATATGCGTGGGTTACAGCTTCAAGAGGGCCTCCATCTTAAGCTCGCAAGTACAATATCCAGCAACCACGACCAATCGTACGATTCTAGGCTTAGAGTCTGGAGCGGCTATCAACCCGGCAATATATCCCGTTCTTCATTGACGACAACTTTCAAAGAACCATTTCCATAAGGCTCTCGAGTATCTCCAAACAATGTCTCGGCTTCAACTCACTTGGGAAGCTTTTCAGGTGTGGGCCGCTGCTCGCCCCTCGCTTTGCTTCCAGATAGATGGGACACACGATGACAACGGCAACTGGCTGAGCTGTTCTGGGGGGGTCTTCGCACTCCCTATACGGAAGCCGTTCTGGCTAAAGCTGATCGTCGGAGATCTGAAGGAATGTGACATTGACGTGTCCATGTTCCCGCGTATCGCTGATGGCGAAGATGAAAAGGATTACACAATCATTGGACCTGAACTGGTTGGCTTCCACTTTGTGCAGCTCGAGAAGAGCCTAGCCGTCTGCGGAAGAGCAGTTGAGCCCGATGACATTCCTTTCTGTAACAAGGCCCTTGACCGTTTATGGCCGATCCTAAAGGACTTGCATTGGAGAATAAGCGGGTGTTCTGGTGACTGATTGACTCTTTCTGCTCTATGATTACATAAACTTGAGTTTTCATATCAAGAACTAATACTGAATAGTGATAGCAATCTCCCCCTTCTCGAAGATGGTTTTCTCGAGAAACGGATTCAAACCAACCGGATATGAAGAAATCATCGTCGATGCCGAAACGAGTACTGATCCTGAAGTCGGGGTCTTTTGTCTGTGCAAGTTGGATGCCACTACCAAGATGAGCTTTCTTGCGGGGAAGAAAATTCTGAGTGAAGGGCAAATGCTGTTTTTTCAATGGACGCAGCTTTGAAAGCCCGGTTGGGAAAACGAACAACTCCGGCATTTGGGGGTAATCTTGCGGACACACGAAAGAATCCAGCTATAAGGAGAGACCAAGTTTTTCATAGTATAAACTATCATGTACGCAACAGCCAGAGTCAAAGAGCTAGCTTTTATCATAGCTGGTAGAAGCACATTGCTCGTAATGGGAAGAACCCGGTATGCTACAAATATCGTATAGTCACTAGCAATTGAAAAAAGCATCGTTGTCCACACGGCACACTAAATTGGAAAGCCAAATTAGTTACAGAGAAATTTTCTTTATAGTTGCCTCATTCTACTCCTATGAGCTGTTTGCAGCTGTCTGTCTATCTTCCAAATCGATGTAAAGTCTGGTCTCCTTGTCGACACCTCAAACGAGCACAAAGACGAACATGACTAGTTACAATCTCCAAACGATATGACCACAGATCTCACCCCGTTCCATCAGAGGCTGGTCCAATAGCCTGCGTACGACTCTATAAACTTCTTCCACAAATCCACATCTTCACCCAAGAAATCGATTACCTCCATCGTGTCTTCCGGCGGCGTCTCCTGAATTCCAGCCAGGAGCCTCTGGAAATTCTCCCGCTCCAGCCGAGACGCCCTCACACAGCAACGAGCCAGTCGTGCGGCAGCTCGGAACAGAAACACGTCAAACGAGACGCACTGGAAGCCACCGATGGCGACAAAAGGCACTTTGACTTCCTTGTGGTCAATGTCGCGCTCATGGTTGACATCGAATCGGAGCACCGGGCAGTTGACAGCGCTAAGCACTGTGCTGATGATAGGGCTTCCGCGGTGATCCACGGTGCAGTCAACGCGCAGTTGCTCGTTCAGGTCCATTGGCCGGAGAACTTCCCACAGCTTTGACAGCTTCTTGTACTCGGGCATGTGGTCGAACATGGTGCGAGGCGCGTACTGCAACAACCCATGCAGGACTAGGCCAAGGACCGGCACAGCCATTCTGGCACCCTCCAGGGCGGCGAGCGACAAGTGAGAAAGCGGACGGCTCAACGGCCCGTGGCGTGCCCAGAGAGGGAACAAGACCGACTGCCCGCGAATGACAGCCTGGTGTGGATGGCATAGCGTGTGCAGGTGGCTCTCAAAGAACCACATGAACAGGGCGATCCTTTTCGCCTGCAGCAAGCTCATATCTCCGTGGCCCAACTCAGTAAACGGATTCTGGAACAGGCTTTCAGCCGGCATGCGGCCGCACTCCAGCATGATACGCAGGCTCGTGTTGGTGCCGTTGTCACGCACGCCGGTCTGTGGAGCGACTATAGTGAAGAAGCGGCCCGCGTCCTCAAGACAGCACGAGTTCAGCTGATGCAGAACATATTGCACCTCCTTCCATGTGCACCTTCCTCCTGCCTCTCGTCCCGTCCAGCTGTCGGGTGAGGTAGCCAGCTCTTGGATGAAGGGCGAGTCATCTTTCTGGTCCAACACGTAGCAGTCCATGACTGGTGATCGGATGATGAGGCTGGTGTACGGATAGTCGAGACTGTACGCCACGGGGTCAGAGGCACTGTCAGGGGCCGAGATCGTCGTGGGCGGCGGGCAGATATCAGTGGTTGGGCCTGCACGGATCTGCCAGAAGCGATCCTGGACCGGCTCTCCGCACACCAGGCCGGCAGAAGCTGCGACGCACCGCTCCCGCTTCTGGGCGAGGTAGTGCCGGTAGCCGGGACCCCTGAACCGCTCCGCGTCGAGGACAGCAACGCCCTTGGAATCAAGAAGGGCGAGAAGAGCCCCCTTGGCCAGGGCGAAGTTGCTGTCCATCGTCCGCCGGAACGATTCAGGGATCGCGGCTGGCCTGGCCGTGGACTCCAGGACTTCGGAGGCATGGTTGGTACCGGCAGACGCGGGCCGGATCTGCTCATTTGAAAGGTTAGCAAGGACTCTTTGTGAGATCAGGTTATACTCTGCAGTCATTACCTTGATAGCCAAATCGAATTCCAGATACAGGCTTTGAGGCACGTAGCCTACAAGCCGCTGCCTTGCTGCACTCGCCATTTGGAGTGCGTGGTGATGAGGAAAGACTACACGATTTTTTTTGTCAGACGAAAGAGATATGAATTGAAGGGTATCAGATAGGAAGGAAGGATGGAGATAGGGGGATAAGGGGGTTGCAGTATATGATCGCGATACTCACAAAAACGCCGGTGGCGGTGGAAGTGAGAGGAAAGAAAATCAAAACGGGGGTGCGAAACTCGCTCCAGCTTTGATGAGATTTTATACCCAAAACAAGGTAGAGCAAAAAGGGCAATAGCAGCGAGGATAGGCCGACGCACGGGTAAGGTGGTCATAAGAACGGAAAAATAAAAACAAAAACCTGAAAACAAGGCAAGTACGTGTTTCGGGTGGCATGACGCGTTGGGTCATCGTACAACACCAGCACACAGCTTTATGGTCCTGTAGACAAGCCCTACTTCCTTTTATGACCGAGAGGACGAGCGTAGAGCAATTGCAGTTTTGGTCCGAGCTGTTTATTTTGCGTTCTTCTATACATGGGTCGTATAACGAGCAGTACATACAAACTAGGACAAAATACTTATTATCCAGCTTAGAACTCCAGAAAACGTCTGCACCAGAAGCAGCCGAACGCAAGGATATATCTGTGCGTTGCGCGTACGCTTTACATTGTTTCGGGTTTCAAATGGATACAATCGCACCAACTTGGACGTAACTCTCGTGAAGGAGGGCTCGCAGAGGTGATCCCGGTTTATACCTTTATAGACACAGAGAGACCAACAGTTATGTGCTAGAAATCTCTTGGAAGTCGTTGACGTTTCATATGAAAGGCCCACTTGCTTCTTTGCGAATATCGTCTCAAAATATTGGAAGCTCATGGCATACAGATATCAGATTTGCTTGGTCACGCACATATTTAGCCCTAAATTGTGTTTTATACTTGGACTCGAAAGAAGGCAACGACCTTTTGATAAATACAAATAATAGACTAAGTACCAAGTCGTCTTTATGAGTCGCTCCTTCCGTCGGCAGCAAATTCATGCTATGTTTCTTCGGCGACTGTGTTGCCTGTCGAAGACGACAAGCAGATCGAAATAGCTGATCCTTTTTTTGAAAGACAGACCCATAGCGCCCGTTGTTCCTGTCAGCTTCTCGTAAGGCTAATTAATTCATGATTCGAAAACTCCTCGGTGCAGAGTATTGCGTATTTCTATCTATATAGTCACAAGAGACTCAGATTTTAGAAATAACAAGGATGTAGTAATCCTAATTTAGGATTTTCGATTGTTCCCGCAACCCAGTGCAAAAAGACGATATACTAGAGAAAACTACTGTCGGAGGACAAGAAAGGATTGCTACTAGTGTATCTCCTTGTCAAGTTCACAAAAGAGAGTTTCATCCGTCGGTCCCTGCTTCTAATATTAGACTATGATAGAATAGAGCTACATCAGCACAGCGAACTCGGAAGTTGTAGAAGAACATTGTCGATTCTACAAAGGCCACATGAATGAAATCTGAAGGATATGAGGAAGGGATAACTCGTAGGTGGAGTTTGTTTTGTGCCAATATGGTGTAGTATGGTGTGCACCTTGCTTGTAACTGTTATTTTCATACTTGCAGGCCTTCTTTTACAATTGCGACATATGATATCGTCCCGTGTTTGTTCCGATTCATTGTTTGGTATTCCATAGAGAAGTAGAATACATTAGAGGAAAGAGTAATAGTGTAAGGGAATGTACACAGTAGTAGAAGTATGTTTGAAGTTTTGGTGACGAAAAATTGGTCTCCTTGTTTGTTTCTTTACTTCTGATTACAATGCATTTTTCGGCACTGCCATTTACAAAAGCACTAGGAGCCGACGATGCCGTCAGGCTACAAGCGAACATTCACAGAGACAGAGAAAACGAAAATGTGATCACTGACACTGGATATATTTTTGAGAGCCGATCTTTGCGCAGCTACTAATATGCCGGCAGATGCAGCCCCGACTAGGTCTTCTAGCCTGCCTGCACGACGACTAGGCAGCCACTGCCCCCACCCAAACGGCCTTAATAAAGTAGTCTACTTAGTTGCTTCTTTTATATAGTCTTACACCGCTTGCCACAATTTCAAACGGTACACTCGTTTTCGACGTCCCCCTTTCTTTTTCTTTACAAAATATTGAAAAGGAAGATCGACGCCGTGATACCAAGACAGAAATATACACGTACGGCAGTCAATTTGACCCAAGTCGCATAATAAGACACTGCGCCATTAAAATTTGACCACAAACCGAACATTACCTAGAGGCCACCTGCTGCCATTTTTGAAGTAAAACTGTGGCATAACGTTATTCGTAATTAGCACGCAAGTATTTATCAGTTTACTTAAGATCGTCGTTACCGTTTCGCTGGCCAGCAACAGGGACACAAATATGCTGGTGCCGACTTGGTCGCCGGTGGCTTAGACAGCAAAACATGGTCGCCAAATACTGCCTACCGCTTTCTACCTAGAGCTTCACACTCCTCCTCTGAACCTATACAATCATACCCGCATACGATGAAGTCAAGCAGAACAGCAAACAGCTGGTATCTAGCTGTTACTCTACGTCTGGGAATGTAGCAAACGCTCCTATTTTTTTTTCTTGGTGTGCATCGAGCAAGTGTCTGTTGACCACATAGAGGCTTAATCCTCCATCCTAGGAAAGGCGTTGGCTACCACCAGCTACAATAAAACTGCGGCGCTCGGCTATACCAACTCACTGTGCTTGCGATCATCTATACGTATGTTCTCTTTCAAGGATGTATATGTGCTGACTGACACTGCTGTGCCGCAGGTATCCGTCAAATTCGAATCTAAGCAACCTCTTTTCAGTTATCTATCCATCCACCCACCGATAAAGGGGACCTATTGAGACAAGGCTGGTGCTAGATCGACTTCTTTGGCTTGTGGCTATGGAACTACGATATTTATAAAAAAAAGAAAAGACACGTATCGATGATTAAAGAGCATGATCGCCTGCTTCGCATATGTTGCTATCAGAGAGGGAAACCTTTACACAGTCTGAATTGTGCAGCACCACAAAGGGGATGAATGGATTATATATCAACAAAATTCCAAGGTCAAGAACGCACAGCCAACACGCTGCAGAGAGATGCTAGAAAAACTACCCAAGAAAGACAATAAACAGATCTATTTCCCAAGCCTCATTCTAGCAAAATGTCGTATCCATCCTGGCAGATGCGCACCATGTCGCCAGCCAGCCCGTATTTTCGCCGTACGAGCTCAAAGATGATCAATCCAGCACCTGTGCTAGGAACCTGGCGTATTGCGTTCCACCAAAACCCGCGGTAAAGCCACGCGGCCATGGAGAGGCCCTCTGTTGTGGCCTGGGTCACGCAACGCCGCCAAGTCTCAATGTACGCCCGATAGTACGTGCGCATGACGTGGAAGCGCGGCAGGTTGAGGAGCACGGACTGGTGGGGCACCTTCGTTGATACCTGGGCTACTGTTGTACGGGCGGATGCGGCAGCCTTGGTTTCTGCCTTGGCAACGGCGTCAAGATCTTCTAGACGATCCCAATGCTCGACCTGTAGGTGTGTCAGAGGATGTAGCAGCACCTGTTGTGCTAGGGATCCAGCGATTCCGGCGAGGAGCAAGAATATGGGTTCGATGGCATAGTGAGGGCGAATCACGACCGGAGGCGTCGAGGGAGAGGAAGATGAGAGCGTCGGCGCCGAGAAGGAGTCGTGGCCGTCATGGTGATGGTGTAGGTGGTGATGGCGATGGTGCTGTTCCCGCGGAGACGTGCGTATCCAGCCCTTGATCTGTTCCCTGCGACGGGCAGAATCCTCCTGCTTCTGCTGCTGTGCCAGAATCATGGAGCCGTCGAGGGCACCGTAGTAGTAGGCGACAAAATGGTAGTAGCCCTGAGCCTTGACGTATTCGAACGTGGAGAAGAAGACAGCGCTGCCGAAGCTGTCCTTGAGGAAGCTGAGACCCCAGCCGGCAAAGATGCCGCGCAGGCCGATCTCGCGCAGCTTGGCAGCGCTGAAGGACCACATGCTCTGGGGACGGCCGGCGGTGCCATTGGTGTTGCCCATGCCGTTTGCGCCGTGATCGAAGCGGGCTTGGATGGCGTCGAGGGGGGCGGCCACGAGGCTCTGGATGCTACCGGCCAAGAAGCCGGCCGTAAAGGTCTCGGCGGCAGCTGGCGGTGGATACACGCGGCGACGAGCCTGGCCGCTCTCGGGATGAAGGTGACCGAGGATCTGGAGATAGCTGGTGTAGAGTACGGCGGCGACGCTTATGTTGGCGGCCAGCGGCGGCAGGATCTGATTGGGCACGACCGACCAGCCGTACCGCCGGATGGCCAGCGTCAGCACGCCGGGTGTGGTGCCGCGCAGCCACCGACGAAAGCGGCTGTGCGGGTGGCTGTCTGGGAGGGTTGAGCCCGAGGACAGCCGGCCATCAGGGCCTCGCGCATAGGCGAGATAGTCGACGCGCGTGCGAAAGAAGGCCTTGACAGGTGCGCGGAAGTAGAATTGTAGCGCCTGCGCAGAGAGCGCCCGCACACCTGCGGCTGACGCTGCCGTCGCCGCGTTGCTGCGCTTGTCTTTGTCCGGGATGATGGGTGCTGAGCCGATCGGGACGGCCGGGAGAATCCCTGGAAACAGTTCATCCATACCGGGGGAGCCATTGATGCTGCTAGTGCCCCCTGCTGTCCCTGTGCGAAGAGCAGAAGCGTCAGAGCGCCCCGTCATCGTTGTGCCCATGCCGCAAGCCCTGTCGTCTGCAGGCGGTCGTGCTGTTTCTGCTGCTGTCGGCCGTTGGTCATCTGGACAGCTGCAAAATAACAGGGTGGCGGGCCGTTGTGGGGCTGCGGGGCAGCTGCCGCCAGCTGCCACGATTACATAGCAACGAGCGCAGCCTCCGCCAACTCTCTCGACAGGGCAGCTGTTGCCTCGTCGTTGCTGCGTTCTCAAACACAACGGGAAGAAGGCCTCTCCCTAATCGTATAGCACTCGGTTGGACGTGACGGAAACGACACATTGCCGACGCCTAGCGACTTATTAGCTACCCCGCATTGGCAAATATTCGTACTCGTTTAGCAGCCCCTTGCAGTCTGGAATGAGACGGGGCGAGAAGTAATGCCTCCATTTCGTCACAGTCCGATATTATGCGAGCTTTTGAAACAGGGTCGCCTTTTGGCGAAAACTTTATCGCTTAGCCCACGACGACGCGGATCGGGTCCACCCGGAGAGCCCTAAAAAGAAGCTCGCTATCCCCATCCCTGGTGAAACACTCCAGGCCGATCCATAGCGCAGTGGCCGTCACGACGAGTACGGAATATGTCGTGCTGTGTAAAGGTGAGGACGTGCGACGCATTGAGGTGGATGGTAAGCTGCCGGGTGCGAGGTGTTGGAGAATAGTTAGTTACGAGAACAGAAGCATTGCACCGATATTACCAAGTCTCCTTGCCATGGGCTGATGATCACATGGGGAAATGATCGGAGCCAAATAGGAGGCGTGACTGTCAGAGCATCCGCATGCCCTGGAAATTAGACTAGCAGGGTGCAGCTGGCAGGAGCCCGTTGTGCTTATGTCGGAATCACTTGTTGTGGGCAAGGAACATCGTGAAGACGAGGAGCTCGATCTGTCTCGTGCTTCTGTCTGGTGCTGAGCAGACTGCTGACGTTTTAACCCAGAGTCTTGGTCGCCAACCGTTGTTATTTTTGGACGGCTAATACAGTACAGCAGCATCCAATTGCCACTAATCCAAGCGACAGGCCATAGCCCCCCGGCCGCGACCCATTTCTCGGCGCGTCTAATCCTTGGCGCATCGCAGGGTGTTATTACGAGCCAGTCATCTCCCATCCGTCCCAATTGCGACCAACAGCCGCGCAGAAGTAAATTAAGATACATCGGCAGGGCGCTTTGGCCAATCAACTTGTTCGCTGTGCCATACGTGTACTCCGTACGGAGTAAGATACCTCTGTACATATACGGCATGGCTGCACCTACGGTCCACCAGCTGGTCTTTGGTTTCCTTGCTTCTTCTTCGACCGGATTTCCAGCAAAGACAGCAGCAACTCGTCAAAACTACAGCAGCATGGAGGGTTTCAGCTAATGGTCTGGCCTTGCCCTCCTCTCAAAACTTGCTTGAAAACTGAGCCAACACAAGGCAGCAATCAACCGCAAAAACAGAGGAATCCGATAGGCTGTGCTCGCCATGTGCGTGCTGCATGCCTCAACCCCAAAGCTTTCCACATCCTCAACAGCTGAAGAGCTCAGCACACTGCCCCCCATCTATATTGTTCAGAACGACGACTGTCCTTGGACTCTCTCGTGAGGCCATCTCGGAGCAGGCATCTTTTCTAACTCGAACATGGATGCGAGCACAGACGTTAGTCGAGGCTAAGAGGCAGAAACCTACAGAAGGACTAAGAAAGAACATAACACGGCACTCAACGTCTAGTACAGCGACCACTTGCAGATCCCTTTGCCGACCCCAGTCTCCTGAGAACTCGCTGGCGTTTCAGAACAATCAGACACCAGGGAAGCCCGGTACTTCTCATCGTGCCTTCAGTCTGAATCGATCAGCTCGGTATCTCCTTCCTTACTCTTCGACAGCACACGTGTACTACCGACAATACGATCGTGACAATGTCCTCGTACAGCTACTCGATAACGGGCGGCCCTGCGCCGTCCACTTCATCACGTAATATCATCAAGAAGTTAAAGCAGCGGCAAAAAAACCAATATGACAGGTAGGTTCAGACACAATCGTTCATCTCCAAGCCTCTTCAAGTCTGCTGGTGTCTCGCCGTTTGCTGTCCAGTGACAAAAGTGGGGTCGTACCTGCGCCATCCGGCGCGCCTTCCTCTTTAGCGTTCTCCCCCACTATAACGGCAGGATCCCCACTAAGTCTCTCCTGGCGTTATTGCTTGTGTCTCGGCGCATTCCTGATACGGCTTCACATCTCTGGCCCTTAGCTCTCCCCTCCCCCCTTTCTTTTCTCTATCAATATCATCCACACATAGCGAAACGGTGGGATCGTGCTGTGTGCATCTGTGGTTCAGCCTTATACCTTATATCCTTTGCTCCTCTTCTTTTTGCTATTTGTGCAGGCACATTTTCTACGACCAGCGTTGTACGCCTCTTTTTTTGCCACTAAACTCGACGTTACATGACATCTCGCTTGATCGTCGATTGACCCAGACTCATCTTATAGGGAATCGTCGCGCCCCAAGGCTTCTCTCGAGACTTCTTCCTCTCTGCAACCAGACCAGATTTCGCTCCGCACTGCTTCGTCCGTATATTCGCAGCCCAGTCCGCTGGACAACACGTTCGACGCGTCGCAGACGAATGATCACCAGACACCATCGCAACAGTCATATCAGCAGCCATATCAGCAACAGTACCAACACCAGACACGAAACTACCTCCGATCTCGGGAAGGCTCACAAAAAGCGGACGAGGTATCTCCTCCGAGCTCCCCAGAGATCCTTCCAACACAGCTCCCATATAGGTAAGATACGATTAAATCAATGTACCCCACCGATAAGCTGGGGCGGACATTTTCTGTTCCCCTCCATTGTTGCGTGATGCAATCTGCTTTCATTGGTACTTTGGCGTATGTTGTAGTCGACTGACCTGACCTCGTGAGCAGATTCGATGACCGGCCCTTTTTACCTTGCATAGACAGAGAACCGCCCTTGACCATGGCGCAAACCGAGCTCTCGCACGATTCTGGCCAGGACGGCCGTAAGTCTTCACGGTCAAACATCCCAACGATGCGCCGTGAACGAAGGCAGAATCAGGAGGCGGCAGCCCGCAGTCTGCGAGTCGCACAGTCAAAAGAACGGTTGCAGACACCAACCAAGCAATTGCGCCCGAATTCGAGCGCCTCTTCCAAACGGGGATACAAAGGCGGAGAGGTTCGCTGGGACCCCAATACGGGCGAGCTCACTAGCTCCGACAAAGGCCGTCCCAGCCAGGTGAAGCCGGCCGAGTATGTACGCGGCTTGCTTACACCCGGACATGACGAATCTGGAAGTGTGACTGACGATCCCGCATCCGCAACGAAGACGGCGGGATCGTCCGGCCTGGCCAGCTTTGCCAGCCGGCTTCGTCGGACAGTGCAGAATGGGGCTGCCCACATGGGAGGTGGGAAGGCCCCAGAGACAGATGTTGAAGGTACTCGCCAGTCATCACTGCCCTTGTCTCCTGCATCTTTACCGCCAAGGGCTTCGCCAGCCAGAGACCTTTCTACGTCGACGGACCCTGCAGCCACTGCTCTCACTTCTAATCGCCCAGCCTGGAACGGCGCCAGCGGTAGGACAACATTGGTGGCCCCTGTTACCGATACCAGAGAAGTGCCACCGCTCAATATCCCACAAAAGAGTAGCAGGCGAGTAGGCTCGTCACCAAGACTCGACGCGGGTGTCGCCGATCGTTTGTTGGCCGTTCAAAACAAGCAGAGTCTGGCAAGCCCACCTGTCAGCCCTCCGAGTCAAAACTCGATCCTCCCAGAGCCTGTCTTTGACGCTCCATTCCTTATCCAGGAGGGCACACGGCCAGCAACCCCTCCTCATGATACAATTCAGACGCCGCCGCCAGCAAGCCGTACAGCTTCTGCCCTAAGCTACCCGAGCCCTCCGCCATCAACAGATGTACCGAAAATGGGCCCAGCGCCGGTACAGCAACGGGTATCCCAGATCAAGAGAAAGCCAGCTCCCGCTAGAGACATGGGCAGCTACGATGACAATGATCCTTTCAATTATAACAACAAGCCACGGGCAATGTCCTCGAAGTCCACGGGAGCTGAGCCGGACTGGACGCAACCGCCTTCGCGCTTCAGTGCGACCACTTATAGCTCATCACTGAATGAATCCATGTACGAACCAGACGCAAAGGATGCCCCGGAGATGCCGCCCATACCCGACAGCTTCCGGTCAAGACAACCAACAGAAAGTGAAGACTTCAGAGACGACAATCCGTCGACCCGCCGACCACGGCCAGCACCTATTGTCATCGAGCCTTTGGCGGTCAAGAAGCCTTCAGACAGTGTCATGGATCGACGCCGCCCGCTATGTATGGGCCATGCGAGCCCGAGATCCTTGAAGGACGGCACTGAGCCTGTCGTGATCAGTCTGAATACATCTTGGAAGAGCGGCAATAAGCCAAGCCTCCGCGACGCGGATAGCAGCGGTTATGTGAGCAGCAGCAGCAGCGGAGGAGAAGACCGGCTCAGTCCCATGCCAGGCCAGTTCCGGCTGCACGTGGTAGAGTCTATACTGAAACCTACACGCACGACAGAGGCTGGCTCTGTGCACAAAGATCTTCCCCCTGCGCCGCCAGAGACAACTGCCAAGGACCGGATTACAATGTTGAACGCACAGCTGGCAGATCTGGCACAGCGGCGTTTCAATGTCGACCGCAGCATAAAACAAATGACCCAGCTGATGCCGACGGACAACATACTTGCAAGCACACAAGTCCTGCTCAAACGGGAGCAGGAAAAGAGCAAGGTAGAAGGACTCCGCATGGAGCTATCCGAGATTCAGCGAGAAGAATACGAGATCGGCCTGAGACTGCACCGGGCTTACAAGCGGTTAGACCACAACGCCGAGTATGAACCGACTACGCTCTGGGTTCGGAGGGTTACGGGATAGAGGCAACTGGAGAGTGTCTATGGGGTCTTGATTCTTTTGTATCGTTTCCTTTGGTGGTGGTGCTCTTGGCTAAGGTGCCTAGTCTTCCTTTTCCCGTTACTTCAACGGTTGCTGCATGGCTTCCCTATCTGTATGCCTTGCTATGTATAATTCCCACATTCTATTCTTATTCTTTTGTCCTATTCTCTTTCCGCGTGCTGTACACTACCAAGCCTTCCTTTTGTTATATCTTAGTCAATACCAAAGCAACATCGAACGCAGAATGAAGGCCCTGTTGCGGGCCACTAGTTTCGTTTCACGGGAAACATACGATACGGAAGAAACAAGGTATATTCATAGCATCTGTAGAAAGAGTAAAGCGCTGTATCCAAATACTAAGATCCTGCATATGCATCAGTTCGTAGTGACGTCATCGGACCCCAAGTTGCTGTGGCTGGCATAAGAAAAACAAGAAAGAAGTACGGAGTAGTATGATAGGAAAGGGAAGCGAAGGAAAACAATGAAAACGTCAATCATCCACTCTTCCGGTCGGTCTTTGCTACCAGTGTATGCCGTTGTTGTGCGCCGTTGCGCTGTCCAGGTTCATGTTCATGCTGAGGAACGAGTTGATCTCCCCCATGCCTTCCGTCTCCAACACGTCCATGAGCTCCATCTGCTGCTCCTGCGACAGGCTTCCCTGCCGGTCCGGGTTCGGCTGGCTGCTGTTAGCCACGGCCATCTCGAACGGGTTGTGCAGCAGCGAGTCCGGAACGCCGTTTCCGGGGCCACCATTGCCCAGGACCAAGTGTCCGTCCATTATCCCCTGGCTGCCAGGAATTCCCGTGAGCCCTCCAATCGTCGTCATGCCGCCGAAACCGCCCAGGCCATAGCCGGAGATGGCGGCCGACGGATCCGACAGGTACGTCGCGCCACCACCCATGCCGCCAAATGTGTACGACGACATGAACGGCGGATGCGGCGAATACCAGCCCATGCCCGACGTCGGTAGCGGATGCTGCTGATGAGGGTCGGCCGAAAGAGGTGCGCTGTGCGCAGGGTGCGTCTGTGTCTGATAGGGCATCGCGTAGGCCGTCCTCTGTGACTGCTGCTGCTGCTGCTGCTGTGGCATGTTGTCTTGCTGTGGGATCGTCTGTCTCTGAGTTGCCTGCGCCAGCTGAGACTGTGGTGTTTCGGGGGGTTCATAGCTGATGGCCTGGTGCATAGGCCCTGAACTAACTCCCATGCCGACAGGCCCAGGACTGATGTGTCGCGTGTTGGGCGTCGGTGCCGGAGACGACAAGCTGGTCAGAGCTGTCACGGGCGACATGGCTCCTATGGTGCTGGGGGCTGACATCGGCACCAGCGTGTCAGGGGTTGACGGTACTAACGGAGACATGGACAACATGCTGCTTGGCTGGCTAGGCAAGACATGAGGGGCCGAGGCTAATTCTCTGTCGGGACCGTTCCCCATTGCCGGGGGGGCTTCTGGGGGAAAGTACGAGAAGCGGCGTCCTAAGGGTTCCGCGGATGGGGGATTAAGGAAGATGGACCCAGAGCGGAATTGCGGTTGGCTGGGAGCGAAGGGCTCGCCAAATTGGAACTCTTCTGCGCTGACAGTCTCTGGCTCAGCTTTGGGGGCTGCATCTCCGAACTGCGGGGTGTGAAATATCGGCGGCGGTTGCCGTTGCTGTTGCTGGTGTTGCTGTTGCTGGTGTTGCTGCTGCTGCTGCTGCTGATGTTGCTGCTGCTGCTGCTGCTGCTGGTGTTGCTGTATATGATGCTGCTGGCTGGAGTTGTGGGACATCGTCGTGGGCATGGACGATACCTCTGAAACAGCTGGCGAGTTGGGGTCATACTGTGACGAGGGCGATGGAATGGTGCCGTCTTGAAACATGCGGTGTGCAGTGTTGAATGAGGGAGCAGATGGGGATGCGGATCCTGAAGGGCCCTCGTCTTCATCGATGGAATCATAGCTCTGCAGGCAGGCTTTGGAAAAGATGGTGTAGAGCTGCGATGCAGCCGATGCTCCGGGCCATCGCTCAGAGCACTGGTCGATAATGTTCAGGGACGTGTTCACCAACTCTTCAATTTCCTCACGCGGGTGTGCCTGGCGAACCTCCGGGTAGGAAACAGACCAAAGAACGGCGTTGATGGAGGTGTAGATGGTAAGAAGGAAGATCCACGTGATGTCGATGGCACGCCTCTTGACCTGTTCGCTGCCGAGGTTGATGACATAAGCAGCAGACTGGAAGCATTTGAGTGCCGAGGCTGGAGACGGCTTCGACACCTGGGGCGATGGGCGAAACAGCAAGATAATCATGGCGTGGTAACGGCCGGTAAACCTATGATTGCGTGAGTACACTTGCAAGAGCATGAATGACATGGAGGCACAGAAGACACACCATGGCTTGCACCAAGCCGGCTCCTCGGGGCAGGAGTCGCACCAGTCGCGGATCGACTTCTCCATCTGTGCGAACCAAGGATGGCTCTCACTGCGTGGCTCGGCGCGCTTCTTTTCGTAGAGAGTACGGCGGATTTCGGCTTGATGCAGGTGCATCTTGCAAAAATGGATGGCAACTCGCTTCTTCGGGGACGGTGGCCCTGGCTGGATGCCGGCTTCGGTAATGTACTCGTCGTCCACATCGGCGAAGAAGCCAATGTCAAGCCGATCGTTGCCCTTGGCGAAGCCATTCGGCCGTCCCATCGTCTCAGCCAGCCCCAGCTCCATCATGGCGATAGCCCAGGTGACTCGCCGCCGCATGTCCAGAGTCTGAGGGTCCATTCCGTAGGCGCCACCACTGCGGCCGATGCTTTCGGCATCGGCTATGCCCAACTGGTGGCAGATACGCGTAGCGATGCCGACAATGTGGTAGACGTTTGTGCGCGTCGGCGTCAGCAAGGAATACTGGCTGATCAGCGACAAGCACTGCAGGGTGCGCAGGTCCTTGGGGCGGATGACATCTTCAAAGTGCTCCATGGCGGCCAGGTAGTAGCTGTCTGCCAAGCCAGCATACTGCGTGTCCATTTTTTGGAGGCTGATGGCGACAACCATGCGGACGACAAAGTTTTGGTAAGGATCGTTGGTCCCGCTAAAGACGTCTTCCACGTCGGCGGCAAAGATGCGGTCGTGCAGGGAAGGCGTCAGCACCTGAACTCTTAAGTTGAAGAGCTTGAACAACATCTCGGCCATGGGTCGCGTGGGAAGGCCTGGTGCCGGGTGGGCGCTGATCATGGGATAGCTCTTCTTGCGGATGCCACTGCCGCCGACGTCGGGACCGCCATTCATGCCGGCGATGCTGTGCATGCGATCCAGCCGTTCTCTGCGGCGCGCCTGAAGCTTGGGAATGAGCTCTGAGATACACTGCCACTCGGTGTAGCGCTTGGCCTGCTCCATCAGCAACCGGGTCATGGCGATGCCGCTGCTGGGACCCAGATAGCGAGGCGTCTCGTCGCTGTCGCTCAGCCTGACGAGGCCGCCGGGACGGATCATATCCTCGGTGTCCTGGGGCAGGTCCTCCTCGGTGTACTGGGCAAGCTCGGCCTCGAGCTGGCGCACCTTCTTCTGCAAGCTGACAACGTAGGAACGGCTGATCTTGCAGCCTTTGGTGCTGTCGTAGTATTCGCAGATGGAGCCGGAACGCTCACAGGGCAGACATTTCGGTAGTGTAGGGTCGCATCGTGTTTTCCGCTGCCAGCAGAGTCAGCCCAGAAAACAAGGAGCGGCCGTCTCGTTGTTTCTTACCTGTCGACAGCGACAACAGGCCGTCAGGGTGTGCGCGATGCGGTTTGAAGGGCCGTCGCCGCTGTTGTCGTTATCCCGGCGTGGTGCAGCCCCGGGCCTTCTTGACGGCGGCTGGAAGAAGGTTGGCGGTGGTCGGGGTATGGCCATGAAACCCTGGTTGAAGATGTCGGATGCATTCATCCTGTCGGTAAGCCCGTCTATGGCGGCTCTTCGCCGAGTCGGTTTTCGTGCTGGCCAACGCCAGTGATAACCTCAACAGTATCGACGACGGCCGGGTCGACGATAAGGAATAACAGCGTGGCACGCGGGTCGCACAGCGGTGCCACAACGAGTGGCAAGCAAGCCCAAGCTGTCGTAGTCAGGCCTCTAGTCGGAACGTGCGAAAAGGGTTGCGTGACGACGGCGGCTGAGACACAGACGGGCACCGGTGGCGAATGGCTCAACGGCAAGTTGGTAGGCTATATCAGCGAGGCCGTTGTCGCGCTGTAGCGGTCAGCCGGCGACGTACTTCAGCCGCTGTGAGTGGTCAGATATCTTATTTGCCGAAGCGTGCTGATGAAAGGAGGGGGAGGCAAATCGAAGCAGGACAAGGCGAAGAGACACGAGACGCGATCGCGGCGGCGGAGCAAAGCTAGTGTGAGAGGCCGTGACAGAGCTGATCCGGGCATTTCCCAGAATCATGCGAGCCTGGCAGACTGTGGCCGCCCGAGGAAGTCGTCGTGGTGCGTGTTCTGGCGAAGAAAACTTGCATGGGCATCCAGCCTTTTGCGCTAGAGGGCGGCCTTGGGGCAATATGCACCTAGCGATATTGTAATCCGATTTTCAGGGCACTAGTTGACAACCGGAAGGCCACGGGCGGTGGGGATTGGCCGGACACAACGGATGTGCGAAACGCCGGTGGGCAGGAAGCACAGAAGAAAGGGGAGGTACACTGCAGCACACATGGAACAAGGTGGGGCAGGCCTCTGCGAGTACGAGTACAGGGAGGGAAAGAGGCCGGTTGGCCATCCTAGCCAATCACAGACGCCAGATACGGTTGCCGGGCCTTGTGGCAAGTGCAGCCGCCCCAGTCGTGGGCCGTTTGCCCACAACGCTCCTTCCTGCCTGTCGGCCGCCGAACCTAGGCAGGGCAACTGCAAAGAACCACCCACACGAGGACCTTCTTCGCAGCCAACCACCTGCACCTGCCACCTGCCATCTCGCAAGACGATTGCCAGCAGCAGCAAAATCGATCTCGGTCTTGTTTCCTCTTCGCTCCACTTCTCAGCTCACAACATCCACCAAACCTCCATCTGTTTTTTTCGGGTGCAGCCTCGGTGCAGCCCTGTGAACTGCCCTACCCCTCCTCTCGCCCATCGACATCGCCGCCCCAGTCGTGCACGCACGTCCGCACGCATTTAGCGAGCAGCAGAGCCCGTCGTTGTGGGGGGCCCACCTGTCTGCCACGTCTGTCCAACAGCTTCGAAGAAAAGAAAAGAAAAAAAAGGATAAAACGGAAAACACAGAAAAGCAATATCGACGACTCGCGCTTTCATCGCAGCATTTCCCACTCGACCACTCGACACTGCTGCTGACCGCCAATTTACCGTCTTACCGTCCTGCCGTCCTGCCTTGCCGCCTGACTTCACCTCCCTGTCGCCTCCTCCATATCGGCACTCCGCCTCAGGCGCTAGCCACAAGTCTCAGCAGGGTGTCTTACCTCACTCGCGTGCCGTTGCAACCAGGAGCTCGGACGAGCTCTGGCGGGCGCGCATGCAGGCACGCCAGAGGCAAAGTCCCACGACTGCCGTGAATCTACGCGTGCAGCATAAGCTGCCGTTCTGACAAGGCAGCACATATCAGTCCTCCCCTTCCCCTACACTCACTGTCTCGCCACCATGCCGCGCTCCAGCTTCTCGGATAACCCCCTGCTGCGGGTGTCGCGGCCAGTGTCTGCCTGCTCGCGATGTAAGTTTCAGCCTCCTAGCTCGGGCAGCTCCGAGCCCTTTGCCTTTGCTCTGGCTGACAGCAGACGACGACGACAGGCCGAGCTGCCAAAGTAAAGGTGGGCTACCTGCTACTGTCGCCATGTCGGCCGAAGGGCCAGTCTGCCTCGTGTCCACTACTGACACCGTTTGCTCGCAGTGCGATGGCAAGCTTCCCGCATGTACGGCCTGTGAAAAGGCTGGGCGCGAGAGCGACTGCTCTGCTGCCAATGACCAGTTTGCTCGTGGCAAAGAACGAAGGTATTTCGCTTCCTCTTGTCGCTCTGTCCCCGGTCGGGTTTCGTGATTACTGACCCTGACAGTTATGTGGCTGCATTGGAGCTCCGAGTCGAGAAGCTTGAGCGCCGCCTTACCTTTGCCCGATCTCGCACTGCCTCTGTCGCACAGATCGAAAGCGATTCTTCACTCATGACGCACTATGGCAACGATCGCAAGGACTCGCTTGCTTTTATTCGAGCCGCCATTCACCGTAAAGCCCTCAGGAAGCGCCAGCTCTCCGATGTCAACTCGCTGGTTTCCGACTTTGGCTACCTGTAAGTATTTTCGCACTTCCGTTGTATCTTACGCTGACAGCCGTCCCAATCAGTTCCGTCAATGCCACCACTCGCGACTTCGAGCCGTCTGTCAGCAACATGACCTTTGCTAGGCTCGTGTTGGCTACGACGGTCAATGATCCGCTACCAGAGGCACCTCAGATGTCGTCCAGAATTCCCTTGCGCCAAACTGCCATTGAACTTGTCCAGCACTATCTCGGACACATCCACATTCTTTTGCCCTTCTTCGCCGAAACCACCATTCTGGCTCACCTCGAAGAGCTGTATCATCAGCACCACACCGGCGCGGCGCAGCCCCCGCAGCTTCGTCCCAACCTGCGCGATGCCGACTACTGGTTGTTTTACATGGTGCTTGCCATCAGCTCGGCCTTTCAGAGCTGCAGCTGCCAGGACAGCTTCTACGCCAATGGAGTGGACTTTGCGGCGCAGGCAATGCGCTATGCTGACGGCGCCCTTGCTCCTGGTCGCAGCACACAGGTCCAGTCGTTGCTGCTGCTGACCATGTATTCCATGCTCGATCCAGCCCACTTCGACAGCTGGCATCTCATTGGCATAACCTGCCGTGCCATTGTCGATCTCGGCTTCCACCAGGATCCTCCGCGCTCACAGAATATGGATGCAACAACGTTGGACGCGCGGCGCTGTACCTTTTACTGTGCATATGCCCTTGATCGGTAAGCCTCTCTCTCTGCACCTGTCTGGCTGTGTTGGTAACTGATCGTGTATCATTTGGCAGCACTATAAGCATGGTGAATGCTCGCGCTTTCTCCTTCACGGACGACGGCATTAATGTTGCCTTTCCGTCCATGATCGGGCGCAATTATCCACGGCCTCGACCACACTTGAACCCGTCTGGGCCCGGTCCTCGACTTCCGGCACAGTCGGTGGCGCTAAACCATATGCCTTTATCCCCCTCGTCACTGGGACCGCCCACAAGTCCGGCGTTGTTGATATTCCAGCTACGGAGAGCTCAATCCCACTGGTATCAGATGCTGTACCAGTCCGATCCAAAAGAGCCGCTGGCTGACCCGACGGCTTTTGTATGGCGCATGTGCGCCGACATGCGGGAGTGGGCCGAAGCTCTCCCGGTTGGCCTCCCGGCAAACCTTCGCGATTCACTCGATCTGGAGCTACAGTACAGCTACGTGTACTGCATAGCTCCAAGCACACGTGCACCGTTGGTGACGACGTATGGACGCATGCTTTATTTTTTGAGCACGTCATTGCGTACGTGGACCTCACCATGCCTGAATCGACACATGCCCTCTTGAGCGTGGCCTGGCGGACATATCATGATGCCCTGCGGGTGTTTTTCATGGGCAGCCAGTTCGTTGCCGTGCTGCGCGATGCTTCGGCCGCTGATGCCATTCTGGCAGGCGGGGGATCCGTTCCAGTGCCATTGGCCCTACCGGGTGAAGCACCTCCGCCACCGATGCCGAAAGCCGGTATGCGGAACCAGGGCCTCGGCGGGGGAGGACGGAACGGTGGCATCTACCCTGTGTCTAACACGGAGCGTGCTATCTCATGCATAGAGCGTGTTGGCTGGATTTTGACGACGTTGGGAAACAGGTGGGAATTAGCCGAACAATTGGCGAATAACTTCAAGACGATCAGCCAGGCCGTTATGGATAGCTTGTGGTCTCGTCAGGCTGCGGCGGGCGAGCAAAACACGCCTGGGATTGTTCGTCATTATCAACAGCAGCAGCAACAGCAGCAACAGCAGCAACACCAAGAACAAAATCAACATCAGCAGCAACACCAACAAAATCACCAACACCAACAACACCATCAACTCACGGGTGTCCCGCAGACAATGGGCATGATGAATATGGGACTTCCACCACACATGCAGTTTCAGCCACAACAACATCGCCAACCGCCACAGCAGCTTCGTCAGTTGCCCATGCACTACTTACCTCCATCTACGAGGTAATGGCCTTCACCCGGCGAGTTTTATTTCTTTACGGTATCTTTCGGGGGGAGCAACACGACAGGAATAGATCTGTATTGGATGGTACTACGTAATGCATAAGGCGGCGTCTTCTTTGGGGGATCCGATGGCCGTACATGTATGAATGATATGGCCCAGAGCATGTTTTCGTACTGATTTATTGTTATGTAATTCGTTTTTGCTTATTATTGGAACAAATGAATATGTGTTTTCTTCTGCGAACAATGGATGCGCCTACGCCGACACATTTAGCCATACTCTCCTTTTGATCAACGCTGGTATTGTGGGCGCTGGTCTACTATCTGCGAGGGTCCCCTTTTAGCCAGAGATTGTAATAGCGCTACTTTTCCCAAACTTTTGGAACAAAGGAAATGAAAGTTCAGACCCGGAATATATTCAAAAGGGAAAGGTCAGTCAGCTGTGATATAGAAAGCCATACGATGGCCCTTGCCACCGACGAATTGAATTAGGAAATCGACCCAAACGACTTCATCAGAGTACTCGCCGGGATGTTCAGGGGGGCCAGGCGGACAGGGCCGAGTAGAATGAGTGCGAGACAAATGGTAGCGCACGGCGGTCAGAGGCAGAAGTGTGGATACGGAGCCGATATCGCCCATGCTATCCTGCAAGAAGTATTCGATTGACTGGCAGATATTGCTAGTCATAGTGCGTGCAATGCTCGCAGCGGAATCGGCGGCAGCAAGCGGCGAGACGGACGGCGGTGGTGCGGAGGAGGGCGGGGACGTTGATGGAGGTGTGGCAGAGGTGGACAGAGTGGATGCTGGCGATGATACGGGCGGTGCTGTCGATGGTGACAATGGCTCGAGGTCCAACTCGGGCAGGTTGGAGAAGGTGGGCGATAGAGTCCAGCAGTCCCACGGCACAGGGACGGGAACGGCGGCGGCAGCGTCCTCGAGCACGGCGATACGGCGGTAGAGGTGGTCCATCTGGACGTTGACGAAGAGGACGATGAGCCAGTAGAGGATGACGGACTGGCCGATGAAGAAGGCGGGAAAATGGAAGGCGACGGGAAAGGGACGGCCGCGGGCGCTGGCATGGCCGTCGGGGCTGTCGTCAAAGACGGGGCAGCGGATGGCAGACAGCTCAGGCCAGTAAAGCGGTCCGGACACGATCAACTTCAAGTCACGCTGCCACTTCTGGAGGCAGGTGTCGATGTCGACGTAGCGGGCGATGATGGTGCTGTAGCCGGCGGCGAGGCGATCGGGGACAGCATCGGAGGCGGCCAGGGCATCGGACTGCTCCATGAGGACGGGAATGGCGTACATCTGGTCCATGAAGCGGTCATGAGGGTCCTTGGCAAGGTCCTTCCAGGGGCGCTGCAACCAGGCCGGCGTGGAGAAGAAGTTGCTCTGGCGGTTCATGATGGCGTAGATGAACTGCTTAGTCAGCATGGATGAAGGCAAGAAAAAAAACAGAAAAAAAAACAGACGCACGTTCTGGATGCGCAGAAAGTTAAAGAGGGAATGTGCGAGGGGGGAAGCATGGGCGTCGGGGCCACGCATCTGGAGGAGGGCGAGGCTGCCGTCCTGATGGGCGAGGTAGCCGTCGGAGCGGCCAGTCGGACACTCGGCCAGCTCGTACATGGACAGGGTGAGGCAGGCAGCGAGGGTCTGGTCGCTACGCCGCGTGCGGGGATCCTGGACGGCGCGCTGCAGCTGGCCGAGTCCGCGGGTGTAGAGGTCGAGGCTGTGGCGGACGAGGCTGAGCCCGGCGGAACCGCTCTGGCGGCCGACGCGCGCCATGCAGAGAGCGGCCATGGCAGTCTCGAGGGCGGGCGAGCCGTCAAGAGCGGTGTGCGGAAGGTGCATCAGCCAGTTGCGGGGGCGCTGGCCGCGGCCGCGGGCACAGCCCTGAAGCAGCTCATCCGGGAGGTGCAAATCCAAAAAGACGGGGAAGAGCTGCTCACGCCAGGCGGCATCGCCCGACAGGACAGCCGTCCACGGGGATGAGGATGTGACCATGGTCATGGCTGTGGTTGTGGTCTGGGTCTTGCCGACGACCGAGGTCCAGGAAACGTGCTCATCCTCGTCCGGGATTCCGGCCGACCCAAAGGCCTTTTTATAGCGCTTTAGCTCGGCTGGCGAGACGGTCGTGTCCAGATCGACTTCGAGGCCGTTTTTGCTTGCGGTCTTGTCCTTTTTTGCCGCCTTCCCCCGTGGCCGACGGTCTGCCGGCAGCGCTTCGGGCAGCTTGCGCGGCCGTCGACGCCAGCGACCCTGCGTGGTCACGCTCATGCCCTCGGGCTCGTCGGCGGCCATAGGCTCGGTCAGGGCCACGTCAGCCGACATGACAAAGGCTACCGGCCGCTTGTAGCCGGTGCACAGCCGATTCGACTTGCGGCAGTTGCCACACGTGGGCTGGCCGCCATCACACTGGGTGTCGTGTCAGCAGGTGGCCGGTTCGGACAGGACGGACCGACAGGCCAGACAATACCACCCACCTTGACCTTTCGCTGGATGCACGTGTTGCAGCCCTTGGAACGACCAGGCACGCCCACCATGTTGTCTTGGGCTGCTACGCGTGGTCCGTCCTTTCCGGATCGTGTTGCCGAGACGGATGGATCCCGTCTGGGGATGGGTCGATGCAGGATCCAGGGCCTTAGCGCAGGTGAAAGAGGATGTGCACTGGTAATTGGCCCGTATGGAATCTTGCGCAGGTTACGACGTCTTGGTATGGCGTGTGGAAGACGAAGCAGGGGGCTGAACGGTAGCCTTTTGCCAAGAATCACCGGCTTTTCGTCGTCTCGCGTGCTCAACAGACAGCTGTATCACTTTATAGGGACATATATGCAAAGGAGAGACGTTGTAAAATTATAATTATAAAAGGCGCCCTTGGAGACGACATCTCGTGGCTGAGCTACAGGCCGTTTGAGGTGCAACGGCGTCGGGCTAATCCCGAATAGGTGGGATTGTGCGAGAGCTGGGCATCCCGCTCGGTTGTGATTCGTTGCTCCAACGGCTGGGTCTGACTGTTAGACCGGCTGATATGACGCAGTATCGATGACTAACCGTGAGGCAGAAGGCAGTACTCCGTAATCTGTTTATGGTAGCTTACTAATCGTTGAAACGACTAGAGAGTGTCGACCAACGACAGACGAGCTCGATGGACGGCCTGCTCTTATCTGGCTGCAGACGAGATCGGCGCCCGACTGCGATGGCGCATGCGATATCGGCAGGACAGCGGCAGCCGGGCCCGTCCTGACGCGCTGCTCCGATAGCCAATGCCAGAGCAGGGTGCAGGCCAGATCGCAGCGCGGTCGTATCTCCCCCACCCAAAGCCACTGCGACTGCGCCGTCGGCGTGCCTGGCGCTCAGTGGGGGGTCGAGCGTCCACGGAGCCTATCTGCCGCATCGCCGGCGATCGTCGCGTCGATGGTGTTCCCCCATCGATGGCTTGGCGGGCCCTGGCCGTGGTTTAAATAGCGGCCGTGGCAGCAGCAGTTGGGCTGGCCTGCCTCTGGACACACTCCCCATCCACGCCGCTACTTCATCATGGGCAGTCTTGCAGAGGACGTCGTCGTCAACCCGATCCATCCTTCGGTCGAGGGCATGCTCAGCGAGCAGACCAAGAACATCTACAACCAGTACCAGTGTAAGTTTGCGTCGGATGTCGGCTTGTCGATGGCATGATCGTCCGTCTTTTTGTCTGACCGTCAGCTCGCCGACTGCGTGCCGACCAGGTCCGCTTTGCCGACTACGACCTCGACCGGGCGCGGTATGCGTTCCCGCGCGCCGAGGTGGCCTCGCCGTTCTGTCCGGTCGGCGAGACGACGGTGCACCGGGTGCCGGTGACGGAGCCGGCTGGCGAGATCGAGCTGCAGATCTATCGGCCGACGAGCGCGACCCCAGGCGCCCTGCTGCCGCTCTACGTCGACTATCACGGCGGCGGCTTCGTGCTCGGCAGCCTGGCCGATGATGACCCGCTCTGTCGGCAAGTCTGTCAAGGTGCTGGCTGCATCGTCGCCAACGTCGCCTACCGGCTCGCACCCGAGTTTCCGCACCCGGTCCCCACCACCGACAGCTGGACGGCCCTCTGCTGGCTCGTGGCCCATGCTGCCGACCTCGGCGTCGACCCAAGCCGCATCGCCATCGGTGGACTCTCGGCCGGTGGCTGCATCGCTGCCTCTCTTGCCCAGATGGCCCGCGATGATGTCACCATGCCGCCCCTTCGCCTGCAGGCCCTCATCGTTCCCGTGCTCGATGCCCGCTATATGCCCGTCGTCGGGGGGTTTGCCGAGACCGGATCCACGTCTTCGAAACCCCCCTACGACTCTTACCTCTCCTGCGAGTTCGCCCCGATGCTGCCCATCGCCCGTCTCGTCTGGTTCTACAACCTCTGGCTCGGCACTGGCCCCGATCGCGATCAGCGCGCCGCCGACGTCCGCGCCTCGCCCATCACCGCTCCCTCTCTCTCTGGCCTCGCGCCCGCCTCCTTCCACGTCGCCGAGGTCGACCCGCTCCGCTCAGAGGCCGTCGCCTATCACGACCTCCTCCTCAATGCCGGCGTTCCCAGCCAGTTTCACCTCTACAAGGGCACCTGCCATCCCTTTGGCCAGTGGGACGGCAAGCTCGATGCCGGCAAGGAGTTTATCCGCGATCTGAGCGAGGCCCTGAAAGTGGCTTTCAAATAGAGACAACTAAATATTCGTGAATTATATAAGAACAAGAATTACTAGAGCCATACCCTTGCATCGCCTTCCACTCGCAGGCTGTGACAATTGTGAGTGACGGCAAACTAGTCTCCTCTACGGCCAGCCTTGCGTCGATATTAGTCGCCCAATCTGGCATCCCCAACAACAGTTAGTCGGCGATGCCGACTGCAAACGAATCTAGCATGTGTATTCTGGGAATAGACAGCCCTCCCAGGAAGGCGCGCTGCGTTGCACCTGACTGTTGTGGACGTCGGCTCCCGCCGGAGATGCTGACGTCATCTATAGGAACGTTGGCCTGAAATTCTTCTTAAATTCGTAATACTGCTGCACTGCTGCACTGATATACTCTATAGCATATAGCTCGCATCCTCCATCGCATCCCCCTATGCCTCTGTAAATCAAACTTCCGCCAACCCCAGCGGCCCATATGGGTCTCGCTCCCAAAAAATTCATCGATTCGACCCATTCAGAGCACTAAACGCCAGTACGAATAAGCCTCCGTTACTTCTCCCGCATATGGATGTTCACCTTCCCGTCCCTCCCGTTGTCCCTCAGTGGTCGAGACTCTGACGTACCGCTGCAGGAAGCCGCGCCGGAATATCCTCATTGTCCGATGACGAGTCCGACAGCGCCACCGGAAACGTTGTGCTGACGTGCATCGCCGACGCCGGCGTCTTCTGCAGCGCCAGGGCAGCCGAGGCCATGCTGGCAGCCCCGGCACCATTCATCTTGGACGGTGTGTACATGTTGGGCAGCGACGGCGACTTGCGCGTCCGGTCTGTCATCTCGTCGCTGTCATACAGCGTCGCTCTGTGGCCGCTAGACCCGCCATCTAACCCAAACGGTCCCATCAGCCGCGAGCGCTTCACTTCGTGATTCCGGCTGCTATCCGGCACGTTCTGGCTCTGGCTCGGGACACTGCTTCCCTGCGTCGGTGGCATCATCTGGCCGTCAGCCAGCAGGCCCTTGCTGCTGCTGCTGCTGCTGCTGGTGATCGCCCCGGCTCCAATCAGCATCCGCGTCCGTTCTGCTTCTATCTCTGCCCGTGTGCGTCTCTCTCGCAGCCGCACGCCGTACTTCTTGCGGATCCCAGACTGCTTGGTGCCAAACGAGTTCTTCAAGCCCTCCAGCCGGGCGCGACGCTTCATTTCGCCGTCAATCGCCTCGGCCTCGCGCATCTTCTCGCCGTAGCTCTCCTCGGCTTGCCTTAGCTCCTCGTCCAGGGCCGCCTTCAGAATTGGGCTGAGGTGGGCATATGGATCCGATCCTGCGCTCACCCGCGACTGACTCGCCGAAGGTGGCGACGAATAACGCGTCTGCTGCTGCGGCTGAGACGAGTCCAGAGGCCGGGTGGGCGTTGCATTGGCACCATGCGAGGTCGGTGCCAGTAACGAGGACCCGCCACCCCCAGTTGTTGGTGTTGCAGCCTGCTTTTTTGTATTTGGCGTTCCCGGTGTCCTGGGTGCTCCTGGCGTTCCTGGCGCCACGATAAAGTCGCCGCAGACTTTGTTCATTTTGTGCTGGAAAAGAAAGCTAGGTCAGCAGTGTCCTTTGATTACTTCGGTCTGTAACATATCCTTACATATTGCTGTCCCAGCGTCGTGCTGAAGCCCTGTCCACAGAATTCACAAACACACTTGAATCCGATATGCGCTTTGGGGGGCACTCGTTTGCAGATATCCTTCCGCATATGCTGTGTTCAGTTCAGTACGTCAGCAAAGGAAAACGGCAATGGCAAGTGGGTTTACACATACAAAGAGGAACGGCTCTTCGTATTCGAACAACCGATTGCAAAGATGGCACTGCCACTTGGCCTGAGCTGATTGGGCCTGCTGAACCGGTTGAGCCTGCAATTTGGGAGCAGCTGGCGGGATGGCAGGAGATGCCACCTGGCTCCGGGACGGAAGAGCCTTAGCCTGCGGGGGAAAAGCCGCCTGGTGCTGAGGTATCACGCGTTCCTGGCCGTTTGTCGGCGCCTCCTCCACGATGTCGCCGGGCTCGTACCCCAGACGCTCAGCTCGAGCTAGCGCATTGATAAGCGGCTTGGCCTCGATGGTGCGAAGACGCAGATCCAGGGCCGCATCGAGAAAGCGGCCGCTAGCTTTCGAGAGGATAGCCTCCGTCAGCTGGTCAATGTCTGACGTTGTCAGATGGCCGATGAGCTCCTCCTTGCCCACGTTGATGATGTCCCGGCCGAAGTCGCGAAAGGCCTTTTTGATAGAGGCCGGTGCAATGTGGCGGACAGTCGCGTTCATCTGTGAAACTGTTAGCTGTGCGAGAGGCGGTACTGTAAAGAAGTTACATACCACAAATGCTTCTTGAAACTCACTGCCAATGAGGCATTTCTTCCAGTTGTCACGAACGGCAAGCCGAACACTCTCGGGCAGGCCCTGCTGAATGGCGTAGTTGAGGCGTGAGTAGTCCTCGTTAGCTTTGGGGTTGGCGCGGGCCGGATCACGTCCAGGCGACGGAAAGGATAATCGTGTGCTGTCAGGCGGGCCGACTATGACTGATTGCTTGTGGTTCAAGCGTGGGTCGGGGGGGCGCGTGACTGCGTTGGATGAGTTTCCTGGTTGGTGAAACTGTTGGGCCATTTGCTGCTGGGATGGCTGAGCGAGATGGGCCAGTTCAGTGAGGGGTGGTATATATCCAGGCTGATGTGCAGGCTGAGTGCGGGCGTGTTGCAGATGCTCATTGTAGGCTGGGAGCTGACCTGTCTGTTGGTAAGATGGATGATGGCTAAATTGTGATGGAAGCTGTGACGGAACCTGTGACGGATGCTGTGACGGGACCTGTGTTGGGTGCTGTGACGGAAGCTGCGTTGGGACCTGCGGCGGAAGCTGCGGCGGGACCTGTGGCGGCAGCTGTGGCGGTAACTGTGGCGGCAGCTGTGGCGACACGGCGGGTGAAGGGTGGTGCATCATGTGAGGCGGAAGTAGTGGTCCAGAAGTCTGGCGCATCTGCATCTGAGCCGAAACGGCTTCTGGACGAGACTGACTCGGTACAGGTTGTCTTGCGGCCGGTGTCTCTGCTCCAGATGGCTGGCCGGTTGTGCCTGAGACTGGCGCCGACAACTCTGCTGGCTGTGGTGGCAGCTGCGTGTTTGGCCGGCTAGGCGCATCGGGCCCAGGCCCTGGTGCCGACATGCTTACGGAAAGTGGATGGCAGCTTGCAACCTGAGACGGGTAGCTGCAGCGGCCGGTGTGAAGATGGGCCGAGAACGACAAGCGTTGCGATCGGAAGCGGAAGTGATAAAATGCAAAAATAGAAACGAAATCGAAATCGAAAACGAAACAAAAATATTCGAATAAGCGGCACAAGAGATCGGGAGCGAAAATGCAGGGAGAATAGTGCAATGGGATTGATGCAGGCCCCCAAACCCTCAAGATCCCGACTGTTCTGCAGCCAAATGTGCAAAACGCGTATGACGCGCTCGAGTGCAGGCAAGTGGGGAAATGGGCCGAGTAATTCGGTCTGGGGTTCGTCAATGGAACAGCTTGATTGCTGAATGCAACACACGCTGTTCAGCCCACGATGCGGCCGGCAATGTACTCCGTACGAGGACTGAATTCGTTGTTAGAAAAGAAGGAGGAGAGCAGATGCAAGCTTCGCGACGAGAGGGGGTAATATCTTTGTATGGATTTCATTCAGTTGTGGTGTGGATAACTTATAAAGGAGAAAAATGGAAGAAATGGCCTCTTAACTTCACCGCCGGGGCCTAACGGTAAGGGCATGTAGTAAGTTTACGTCCGCTAGGGTGATAGTGACTGGTAAATTAGTAGATATTAGTAAATAATCTGTACGGATGTGATTAGATTTTTTAATGTACCAATCCAAAACAGGACTAGCACCCAAATAATATAGGTTTAGGGTGCCTAGCGTTCCAGTCGTGGTGGTTTTAGCCTGCACAATGCAGGCATCTTACGCTATTTTGCGTAATCATATATGGATAAATAGGGGGCCCTACTCCGTATGTAAGACTAATAAGCCGAGGACGCGAAAATTGACTACGACGTACGTGGCGTGGCGGCATGCCCTAAAAGCTTTTTTTGTAACACGGGATTATTCGAATTAGTAAGTACAAGATATTTAAATGATCCGAAATGAACAGAAAGTACCACCAAACCCAGGCTAGCGGTTCATTTTCTTTGCGAGGCCGCCCTGTATATTGTCTCGCCCGTCATACCCGGTCGCCAATGCAGGCCAGCATCAGCCTCTCGTAGTCCCCGCTCGTCTCACCCTTGATCCGCGACGCCAGGTTGTGGCGGTAGCGCTTCTCGTACGCCGCCCGCACGTTGGCCAAATTGGCGCGGTCCCAGTGAAAGCGCACAACGCGCGAGACAAGCAGCAGGTCGTGCGTGCCCATGCCGGCCATGGCGTCTTCGAGCAGCGATGCCTGGTGCATGTACTTGTCGGTGGCGTGGCGCAGCTGGAAGAGCAAGGCACTCTCCATGTGGCCGGAGAATTCCTGAAGAAAAGGGTTAGTAAGCGAGACAGGCAGAAGCCCAGAACAAAGCAGAAACTTACCCGTCGGATGACGTCCTCCAGCGAGCGAGCATACCGCTGCTGGTACGCGTAGGCCACGGCGCGGAGGTGATCGTCGTTGCGCGTGCTCAGGATGCTGCAGACACGGATCTCGTCGGTGCCGATCTTGCCCTCGGTGGCGTTGTAGAGCTCCTGCACGTCGCGGTCAACGTCGGGCCGGCTGACCGGCACCGCATCCTCCTGCCGCGTCGCCTGTAGCACGATCATAAAGTGCCGCTCCGTCTTCATGCTGAGGTCGCCCCGGAGCATGTCCTCGAGCGAGTGCCGGAAGGTGTGTCGGTACGCCGCCTTGATCGCCTGCATGTCCGCGTTAGACCGGCCCAGCAGCACGTCGTTGAGCACCGACTCCTTCGTGCCCGGGCCCGACATGGCCTCGTGCAGCATGTGCACGTCGTGCAGCAGCGGTCCGCGTGCCAGTGCCACCAGCCCGGCCTCGAACCAGCTGCTCGTCTCCGACTTGATGTCCGCCACCAGATCGCGCCGGTGCAGCCGCTGGTACGACGCCCGGATCGCCTCGATCTGCAGCGGATCCTTGGTCGCCAGCACCCGGGTCAGCGCCTTCTCGTCCGTCCCGAAGCCCTTCATCGCCTGCCGCAGCGCTTGCGCGTCCGGATCTGCGTTCCACGCGATCATCTGCGGCGCCCCGTACCCCATCGACGGCGGCGTCGGCGGCACATTCATCCCGTATCCGCCCCCACCACCTCCGTATGGTGCCCCGTAGCCGGGCCCGCCGAAGCCCTGTTGTGGCGGCGCTGGCGGCTGGCCGTATCCCGGCGCCGGCTGCCCATAGCCTGGAGCTGGCTGTCCGTAGCCCTGTGCCGGCGGCTGGTTATACTGGTATTGGCCCGGAGGAGGGGTGCCGTACGGGGGCTGCTGCGGAGAACCTCCGCCGTACTGCTGAGGATATCCGCCCTGTTGCGGTGGGTACTGGCCTTGTTGCGGAGGATACTGCTGGCCTTGCGGGGGATACTGCTGGCCCGGTGGGGGATACTGCTGTCCCTGTGGGAGATAGTGCTGGCCTTGCGGAGGCGGTTGCTGGTATCCTTGCTGGTATCCACCGCCTTGGGGTGGAGGCGCTTCTGCAGGTCGCGAATGAGAGTCAGTATTGCACGAATCAGGTCGCAATGGCTTGCTTCCTGTTGCTGGCAGGAGGGGAATGAGAGGCAGCGGGAACCGGCTGAGCGATGAACCGTAACAGGGTTTGCAGGGACAGACGCACGGCCATAGGATTGATAATAGGACATTGCGGGAAATGGCGCTGTTCGATGCAGGCGAGTCTTGACAATGTCGATGATGCAGGAGAGCACTCGTTCCTGCACCTGGCAGCGCGTTTGGTACTGGAAAAACAGCGAGTGGCAAATGGGACGCAATAAAATGCGGGGTAAAAACGGAATAACGGCCTAGCTAATAACTGAAAGCCGCCCTCTCTTAGCGCAAGTCAACAAGGCTGTCAGGAAATGGTCGTCGGCGCGAAAAATGAAAGCGATCGACAGATGGAATCGGGAAGAGTTTACAGAGGAAAATGTACTGCCATCCTGCAAGGATAGAGTTCCTCATATACTACGCGGTTCCTGTGGCCGCCAAGCCAAGGCCTCATTAGGTGAGCTGACCACTAGCGGGCTGTAGCGGACTTGGCAAGGCGTCATGGCGAACAAGGCGCACTGCCTTGTGGCTGTGCTAAAACCTCCATACGTCATTGCGATTAGGTTGAGCTTGCTAGGATGCGCTCGATTAAAACCACAATAGTCACGAGCTTATTAGCATCTTTCAACCGAATCTTCTGGCCAGTGTTTGGTTTTCATAATCCGCTGCCAATGTGATCAATCTGCCGAGGCAGTCGAAGCTTAATTTGACATAAACGTGGTACACAAAAATAACAGTTACTTTTTCCTTAAGAGAGTGAAACGGTTCTTCTAGGGTGGCTTGAACATTACTTGAGCCAGGGCCTTGTCCGTCTTGAAGCCGCCCCTTGCTTAGTGCTAATGCAGCTCTACTTCGTACGTTCTAGCTAATAATGAAGGTCGGTGGTCTTCGCGTGCAGCGTATGCTGAAATAGTATATGCTAAGCATGCGTATACCGCAAACTGCAGGACTGTTACTCTTCTTTTAACTGCCAGAATGTTTCAAGAAAACTCAATAATAGTATTACTTCGTGCGGGGCAATGCTTTACGAGTAGCACTATTATGCGCACACACTAAACTGCTAAACCCCGAACTCATATTTTCCGTTTATTTTTAATACAATTAAAGAAATTTATAAAGTTGGCCCTGACTGAAGCAACCTAAAGTGAGTACCTATATAATCCTCTGACGGAAGGATTTTTCAGTCGCAGCGGGGTATGTCTTATTAAAAAAAAAAAAAAAAAAAGTAAATTGAGAGACGGGGAGAGAGGAAACAGATGGGCGCCATTGCCAAAAACCATTTAAGAAAAATGCAAGGGGAAAGATTTACATAGTAGACACAGAGTACGCTCGGTTTTTACGCAACCATACCCCTCCTCCGACCGCCCCGCTCTCCTCTTAAGTCACACCATCTACGACTATTTTTACAGGGGTGTTAGGTGTAGGAAAGCGGATGGCCGGCGCCCAGAGGAGATATGAAAAGTCCACGGAGTAAGCCGTAGACCGAGCGATTTGACTCCGATTGGATGAGTCTACTGGCCTTTTAAGAAGTACATCTAGACCTACGACACACGCCCTCCCACCTTTCAGCCTTTCAGCCTTTATATGTGGGCGTATGTACACCCCTCTCTTTAGACTAGCCACAATCTGTCAATAAGAAGGCATATGCAGGGAATTGTAGAAACAAATGCAGCAAAGATCAATCTTTGCCTTCTTCAATCATTGGTGGTGAATACCAATACTTTTGTATTTGCTTTATATTGCTGAACTCATCCCAGACACAGGCGATGCCTCCCTCTACTGAATATTATATTGCTATTGTTGGAATTCTCATAGCCATTCCACCAACCTTCCTGGCTATCTGGACCTGCCTCGAACAGCGATCTATGCGGCGTGGGTCCAGACCAGACCTTGAGGCAAGCGGTAATATATATATTCCAAGTGTTCATTATTCTTGTTTACCTCTCATCGCGCTCAAACGAGCTCGCCGCATAACATTAGCTAATCACCCCGTATCTCCCTTATATACAGTGAACGAACCCGTTGATATGCGCCTTGTCCGACGCCGTCCGGTCTGTACTCTGACTGCGCCGACCACCTTCGTCGATATTCCCTTGGATTTTGCTCCTGTACACTCTAGACTCGCACTGTATGGGGGAACTTTGGTACCCATGCGATTACAGACAAGCTCGATTGTTATTTTGCAAGACTACGTATAAAATGGGTTTGTGAGCGTAAGGGAGAAAGGCGTCCAGTCCCAGTGTTTCCCTATTCTTGCACATCAGTCGTGTGTTGGCTGTGAGCAAGCGACTTTGGCATACGGCTAAGCCCGGATGAAATTATGATTGCAAGATGGAAAGTCAAGATGCGGAAGAGTAAGGCGATAATACGGAGTAGAGATAGAAATATATACGGAGTACTCCGTACGCCTCGTACATTTTCCTCAAATGTTTCTGGTCCCATACGACGTAGCTGGCTGTGAGTGGCTGAGAACAGACCCACAATTGAGCTATAGATCGTTGGTATCAGCCAATAATATCTTACCAACTCGCCCTAACTAGAACCCAGCCACTTGGTTTATCCGTTTTCAGCTACAAGTGCGCGCCGCGTCCCAGCATGTCTTAGCTTTTACTGACCGTCCAGCCTTCTGAATTTTGGCGTCTCGAACCAACATGGAATAAAAGGTAGCCGCCGATCACACTTCTCAGGCTGCTTCCATTTAGTGTTTGTTTCCTCTCGCCTCGCTTTGACCATCGTTTTTTCTCCATATTCTCTTTTTACGGAGTACACAAGGGTTAATACGGAAGATTGCATCACAAACATATCTTATCATCCGTTCGTTCACATACATACCCATCTATCTCCACACTCTTTCTTCCGTGCTCTCTATCCTGCCCTCTACCCTGCACACAAGATGCAACTGCATCGCCTATCATCGTCGCTAGCTGTAGTCGCAGCCTTCTGCACACTTGTCTCCTCTCTTCCCTTTGAACAGCATGCTCCCCGGGACGCGGTCGTTGCCCTTGCCCCAAGAGCAACATACTCAGTCGTGAATGTGGACGGCAGCAGCAGCGGTAGCGGCAGTGGTGGCGCCGGTGGCAACAACTATGGCAGCGGTGGCAGCGCCTCCACAACGACAATCGAAACCACAATCACATCAACCGCAGCAGCCTTGCCAATAACACATACCATCGTCGACTCGTCCATCATCACAGAGCAGCACACGGACACCATAGTCGTCACGGCGACACCAGCGCCCTCATCTGTCTACGTGACCGAGGTGTCGGTAGTCAACATCGACAGCGCCACAGCGACGACCACAGCAACTGTCGCCACCCAGCCTGTGACAATCGTCGAGACAGTCATACCGACTCCGGCCGCCTCCGCTTCGAACTCCACAAACACGACCATCCCAACGTCCACTTCTACCTTTTCCACATCTACATATACATCTACATCTGCATCAGCGCCGTCATCTTCAGTTACGTCAGTAGTGACGTCTGAATCTTCTTCCACTCCCTTTGCCACGTCCATGATACTCCAGACTACTGCACTGGTATCTTCAACAGCATTACCATTCCCCACACCCACTGATTTTACCTCAACAACAGCACTTTCCTCCTCCAGGCAACAGTCCTCTGCTCCCTCCTCATTTTCCACACTCTACAATAGCATAGACACCACCACCTCCCCCTATACCCCTTCAGAAACTGCCAGCATTGCCAGCACAAGTACGAATGATTACGATAGCGGCATGTGGCACACGACATACCCAGCGTGGAATGGCACTCATACAGGCCGCTTCCGGGGCAAACAATAGTTGCTGGGTGCCCCTCCCCTACTTTCTTTCACCACATTTTCATCACGTGTCTTCGGAATAACAATGCACCAGTGTGCAATAATGATTAATATGTACAACACGACCATACGACTAGAAGGGCTGCAGCTCTTTGTAAACTAAAACCCGGACCAGGAAAATTTTGAAAGTCATCTTCTACAGAGGACAGTAATTTCGGGTCCGTGTTATGCTATAGAGTTCAGGCGCTACCTAAGCATCAAAACGGATGCGAATTATTTAGGAAAATAATTAAGATGCGAGAAACGATATTTATAACAGATAGAAGAACAATTGATTTAAGTGGTAAAAACAGTTGGGTGCTAAATAATTTTGTTAGGGCCGTTGGGTCGGGGCTTATCTAAAAACCGGGTGGAATTTGTTTGGGAAACTGACTCTTGCTACTTTGTTGTCCGCCGTGAATGCGTCCATACTCAGAACGGTTCGTATTCGGCTAGTGTAGCTCGGCATACCTCATCTTCAAGTATGGATGTCGCTGGAAAGTACAAGAATAATAAAAGACAAAGGATTGAGTGACAGGTACTCTTAGAGCCTCACAACTGCCTTTGCCATGTTACCCTAGACGGACAGGATTTGCTGTATCTTCTCTCTCTAGGTCGGCTCCCGGGTTGCTACCAATGCGGCCTGGCTCCATCAACATGTCATAACCCTTTTGCTAACGTTCATCACGTTCGTTGTCATCTTTGAGCTTGGGAGCCTTGCCGCAGCTTGTCGCCGATGGTGATCGTTGAGCGTGCCATCTGCGGTGTAGGAGGCTCCGGCATCTTGACGGGAGCTACCACTACCGTCGCCATCATTGGTCCCCCGAAAAAGCGCCCAGTGCTGATCAGCATTGCTATGGACATAGTGGCCCTCATCCAGGTGGTCGGTCCTCTGCTCGGCAGCGTCCGTGGAGGTAACATGACATTAAATATTTACGTGTGAGCCACGGTCTCTGCTCCTTTCGACCAGCCAGTCTGAACTCTTCCAGTAGGCGGCATCGTCGTCCTGCTCTTCGCCTTTCTCGCTCGCCTACCCAAGCCCCCCAAATGCAACTCAGCCACCAACACAGCCACAGCCACGACAGCCTAGACGACCACGACGGCTAGGCACCCCAGACGTACCACGAACGCCTGTAGATCCTCCGCGGTCGGATGGCTACCATTGACTTTGTCGATTTCGTCTGCTTCGCGGCCGCCTGCACGCTGTTGCTGGGCATCAAATGGGGTGGCGCCCCGTACGCGTGAAATCGTCGTCTTCGGTCCTGTTTTCGGGGGCGTGGCGCTCTTTGTCGGGTCGGCAAGCTGAGGCGACCGTGCTCTGTTGCCGTATCGCCTGCTGCGACACAGTCGCCTAAAGGTCTTCTGTGGCATCACGGCGCTGACGCAGTCGGCCATAGTCGTCCTTCCCAGTATGAGCTCTTTGCCGCCCTCAAGACTGTCTTCAGCACGGTTGTCGCAGATCTCCGTACTGTCATATCTGCGAATGACACTTCTGGAGGTATTCTTGCTAATAATGTGTCACTGGTCTTCGTACATTTTAGTTTCTCTTCATTATTATCGGCGGCCGTCATGATGCTATGCTGCCTGATCAGTATTTGCAGCTTGCTTTATCAAGGTGCTTCTGTATATCTTGATTGTTTTGCAGGTGGCAGGATATTTGCAAGAAGCAGCTTTCACCAACTAAAGACGTCAAAAAAGGCCATGCCGGCCGGAGAAAAAAAAATGGCGTGGAAGTGTGACCATCCATTGAATAGCAACCGTTCATATATAATTTGGCAGTCTGTCGGCTCTCTCTTCTTACCGCGCTATTGGCAACCTGGGAGGATGTCATCGCCATCATATCCTTACAGCTTTTTTTTGTCTTCCACTTCTCGAATGTAAGATATGCACTGCGAGGCTGATTAAGACTATCCGATATCCAACCATAATACGCCATTTTCTTCCCAGCCGCAATCGGCGCTTGTTCCAGAAGCAGCATCGTCTAGTTTGGCCTGATAATAAGAAGCCCCGACTACAGCAGTCCTAACTTGACTCCTACACATCCTTTGATTCCTCCGTATCACTGAATGAGGACTCTGTTTATCAAGAAGTAGGCACGTCCTGAGGCCAGCTGTTGCTGCAATCCATGTGAGACAATCTTAAGAAAGCTCTTAAAAGTGTCGACATCTGCACCGCTTTGGAGTGAGGCGATATTCCGGTCCCGGATCTTTACGACCTGGTCGTTTGACGGACGAAAGGTAAGACCTAATTGTACTTGAGAGAATTCACCGGCTCGAGATGATGAAGCGGGTCGAAGCTTCGATGAAGGTAACAGAAGGACCACGATCCTGGGTATATATTGGGACCATCAGACTGCTAAGCTTACACGTGGTGGGACATCGGGACTACTCCAACAAGGACTACAGGGAAGCATCTGGCAGCTCCGTTTCGAATTGTATGCCATACGGTAACTTAACCACGCGAATTTAAAAGATTGGTGTGGAGGATATAACTCTTGCTTCCCGAGCAGTTTTTCGGCCTGAAGGCAATTTATCGTTTGTGTAATCGCTCTGTTAGGAGAATAACTAGTAAAATTAGCAACTTTCCGCATTGTTGAAGCACCGCAAACACCGAGATGTGGTCCTAGCTTTAGGATTCAAAGCCCTAGCGGAGGGATGACGTATCAGATTGCGAAACTCCTGAAGGCAGAAGGCAACCCGGATGACTTGGCAAAGGACGGAAAAGTACGAAACAGTGCGGTGCCCCGTGATGTAATAGAAGTATAGCAGATCATCCCAAATATGGGCAGTCTTGCCCCAGATATCGTAGTTGAAAAACAAAGCCGTCTTATATCCATAGTTCCACGACAGTCGTTTTCATCGAGATTGCACAAGAAACGGTCATTGCCACTCAAATCGTGGACGGCGTAAAATAATGCTCATTCGTGAGAGTATGCTGACGAGCCCCAATTTTCTGCTGCTACGTTTCCCCCCTCGCACAACGGGGCATGTTGAGCAAACCATTACCGAGCCTCTTGTTGCACGGCAGCGCATCTTCTGTACCGGCGCTAGTCCAATGTCGCCGTGCACGTAGCCGCAATTAGCGGGCCCCCCGTCATCAACTGACAACTCTTCGAGAAACGGGGCCATAGTTTAGTGGCTAGAATACCTCGTTGTGGCCGAGGAGACCCGTGTTCGATTCACGGTGGTCCCAAGACAAGTCAAAAACAAGCCACGTTTTTTTTTCTTTTTTCTTGCTTGGGCTCTCGCTTGTTGATCCACCTGAGAGGCTAGCTTGTTGTCGGTATCAAATGCGGGTTTGGGTTTTCTTTGGTTCTGAACAAAAAAAAAAGGATTACGACGTACGGAGTACTCCGTAGTGAGTGGAACAGTTGTCTCAAGATACATCATGACCGCTAAAAGATACGTGCTGGTGGGTTTTTTTTTTTTTCACAACTTCATCTGATAAGGTGCTAGGAAGAATATTTTACAAATAACAAAGACGTATCCAAAGCTGATTACGACTACTCTTGAAAGATTTTACAGCAGTATTCACAAGCTTCTGTACATATGCCGGCCGATTTGTTCCCCATATGCTCGGTTTGTCAAACGATTCAGGCCACTCAAGCTCGGCCGAACCCTGACATGTCCGTTTTAGCGATACCCCGCTGAAATTTATGTCGTAAGTCATCAACCGGATAACGGTGTGAAACGCTGGGCCAGAACCTCCATTCGACAAATTTAGGACCTAGTCGACTTCCTGGTGCTAGCCAACTAATGAAGCATAGACACCGCTAGAGACTTCTCCTTACCGCTACTGTTCACCTGTTTCTTCGTGCAACTAGGGCTTTTTTAGGAAATGATGGCCTAAACCGGTGCAATTTGGAGGCGCTTTGTTCGCGTAAGTGCAGGGAACTCGAAAACTTGCAAAACGGGCACTCCGTACTCCGTACAGACTTAATACATATAGTAAGACAGATAAGCGCCTTTTAATGGCAGGTCCCATCACAAGGCAGAATTCTTTTTTCCTCTTTTCCTCACCCGTTTCCCAAAAGTCCTGCGCGCGTTCCATTGCGACAAGGGAAACGGCGCGATTTGAATAAAAAGGACCGCAGAAGATGAGAGGGCCAAAGAGCAGCTTGCATCCTTCTCACCTGACAAGACACAGAGCTGCGAGCGTGCCTGTGAGAAGCTGCGGGTGCGACACCTATGGAGGCCAACATGCCATCAGTCATTCATTACAGCAGGCTGCCTTCGGCCGATCACGTCCGCTTCGTGGACATTGAGGGAGCCCGGAACGTCGACGACCCGGTGGTCTGCCGCCTGGTGACGCTGCCGCTGCGCGACAGCGGCGACTTTGTCGTCGTGACGGGGCTGCTGGGCGACGCAAGCAAGCTCGAGACGATCATCCTGGACCGATCGCATTTGACGATACCGGCAAACGTCGCTCACGCCCTGAAGCATACCCGCAACGTCTTCCACCCGATCATTCAGCAGAAAAGGGCCCACGACAGCGCATCCGAGAGCGGCAGCTTTAACAAGAAGAAAGAGGCCGGCAGCAGCAGTATGGGCAGCGGCGCCAGCACCAGCACCGGCAGCGGCAGTGTGGGCAGCGGCGGCCTGGCGCCCGGCTGGCTGAAGAGCCTCTTTCGGCACGTCGCCGACCGGGACCGCGACAACGGACGGCGGCGGCTACGGGTATGGATTGACTGCATCAGTCTCAACCGCACCGACGCGGCCGAGCACGCACGAGTCCGGACTACCATGTACCAGGTCTACCAGCAGGCCCAGATGGTCATCGGCTGGCTCGGGCTCAAAAGGCCGCAGACAGACCTGGGCATCCAGCTGATACAGGACTTTGACGCGGCCATGCCCAAGACCTGGCAGGAGCCCGGCGACCGTGAGGCACACCCCGAGAACTACGCACCGCAGCATCAGTGGGCCGTGCCCCTGCTCCCCCTCGGCTACTTCAACCACAAGCACGACTCTGTCATCGGCTGCATCGACCTGCTCAACCGCGACTTCTTCCACCGTCGCTGGATCCTCGAGGAAATGGCCATGGCCCGCGTGCCCGCCTTTCTCATTAGCAACCGCATCGTGTCATGGAAGCAGATCGTGCGGCTCAACCTGTCGATGGAGGAGTTTAAGGACTACGATTCCGACGTTTGCCCGATCGAGATGCGGCCACGCATCCACGAATTTCCCCTGGGCACCATCCATCAGCTGCTGGACGAGTTTGAGAAGACCAAGGCCATGTCCAAAACCACGAGCAACCCGCAGCCCATCGTCTCGCCACTGCTGGATAGCAGTCGGAGCGAAGAAATGAGGAAACGCCAAGAACCTTGGCGGTGATGGCGAGCGTTGGGGGCAGGCCGGGGGGGGGAGGGGGACAAACAAGGTGGGAGGTGGAGGAAAGTGGAAGAGGGGCCTTGGCCTCGTATCTTATTAACCTTGTCAGTTCTATCAGCATGGCATTTTATCCATTTTTTATTTCGACTTTTTTTTTTTTTTGTCGTTTCCTTAGCCTGCAGCGTTTTATTCTACTTAGAGTCAGGCAGCGGTTCCTTTTTCTACATCGTTATGATGGCTAACGACCTACGGAGTAAAAAGCGTGGCAATCGCACTGCGTTCATTGATAAGACTGAGGTAGCTTACGTACCCATCTTCCTGGTCGCCTTAGCTCCCGGATATGGCCAATGAAATTACGACAATCTCTACTAATTAGTACCGCTGTTTCCACCCCTTTTGCGTGCCCTCTTACACATCTTCCGCCATTGCGCTGAAGCCTCTGCTTGCGTTGACTCTGTAGACGCCCCCGCGTTATGCGTATACTCTCTTCGGTAGTTAGTACAGAGTGCCGCTTTTATTTCCGCCGAGAGGCTGCGCTACTAGTACCAATATGTCATTCCGACTAAAATGATCGTTAGATTCTTGACTTGAAAGTTGGCTGTGGTTGAATGACAACGCTAGCTTGTTACGGCCTCGCTTCACTATACGGCCCATTGTAATAGACTTTGCGGACCCACTCGGTGTCTTCTCTCTCCCTACACCCAGAGCATCATTTTCCCAGAAAGCGACCACCTGCCATACTCCGTTTTCAGGTGGTGCCACCAGCCAAATAGTCAGCCCAGCCAAACATGCAGTGCCCAAAGTATGAGTACGGAGTAACTTACATCCTTATTTGCAAATTCGGTGTAAAAGCATTTAGCTACATTTCATACGTCAGTAACTCTACTAAGAAGAATGGGTAAATCGTAAGGTAGGTTAGGAAATTGGATAAAAATAGAAGCTACCATAGTTCTTATATAACAGTGAGTGAATGCTTATGAAAAAAAATACAAGATTTGTTTTTCAGAACAGGTTGTCATGTATCCGCACCTTAACAGAAGCGCTTATCATAGGGTTGGACTTAACATTTGGCTAGTAGCAGTATCGCCGATACGCACTGCAAATACGGTAGCAGCTCTCAATTCAAGACGTAAGATCTCCCTTAAAATGGTGTTCCAAGATTGAAAACAAAAGAACCTCGCACTCGGAACGGATTTGACATATACATCCGTGGTCATGCCATAATGCCCAAGCACAAGCTTGCATCGTCCCATGGCTAATCGCCACCACATATATGGCCTTGCAAGATATATCCAACCTCGTTACTAACATCGTGTCGAACCTTGTAATTCCCTCCTCCCTTATCTTTGTTGAATTACCGGATTGAGCAGCCACGGCGTACTATATACTGGTTTAGGCGTCGAGAGCATCTGATGCAAGATACAAAAAGTCGGCTCAGAACAAGGACGCCGGCTTAATAGCCAGAGGCAAAAATTAATAGCAGACTGCGATGTTACGAGCATCTAGATATATAGTTTACAAATACGCCTATCCTCCAAATTAGCCCCCGTTACACTTTGTCCGCAACTCAGGACAGGCGTGATGCTTCGCTCCGCCGTCACTGCTCCCAACGATACCCCGCTCTCTTGGGTATTATCAGTCAAAATAAGCCTGTCTAGGAAGTTTCGGTCGACAAGACATACGAGGAGGCATTGAGTCCGAGGCGGTTTGAAGCCGTAATTTCTCGCGGAAAATCTAATACGTAAATTTGTTCTGCGAATAGACAGAGCTGGTCTTCCAAGCCGGATAGGTAACCGTGAAAGCGTCATGGGAGAAAGTGGTGCCTGACGTGCAACATATGGAATCACTAACTTGGAAAGTTGAGCACAATGACGAGCCATCGTTGCAACTGTACAGCTCAGCGGCTATGATATCGCATTTGGGCACAGGGCTGCTATAGGAATTTCCGGAGACAACTAAGACGTATGGAAATTTGCTGCGGCTGGAGCGCGGATGAGCATATTGATGACAATGGCGTCCATGAGATGATCATACATTCTGAGACAATCCGGAGGAGTGGTAGGGGCCTCTAAACAAAAAAAATACGAAAGGGAGCCGCAACTTATACGTTATGACCTTCAACCTAAGAGATCAGATATCTATATACTCTTCTAGATTAACTAGGGCATACTAGCGGACGCTAGATGGTCAACGACGCTCTGGCCGAGACAAAAAGTAACGATCGATGCAATTCTTGTAATGACATTGCTAGCTCGACCGTGTGGTATGGTTTGACGAGCTGATGGCGGAATTTGTACTGACTTCTTCTTCCTGAAGAGAGTATACAGTCGGTATATTTTGAGTTTCTACCGTCGAGTTTTATGGCTTGGAGCACTCTGAGCCGCCACTGGCCTCCAGAGATAAAAGCAGTGGCTCTGGAGAGTATGCACAATATCTGTGACAACTTCGTCAGGTGCGTTCAAACCGCGGCCACGGATTCCACAGCTACTGCGAATATGCCTGCCAATTATTGCTCGGCACTCAGAACGGAAGAAGTGTGAAAATTCCATAAAGGCGACTTACGCCGTGGGCTCGTGACTGAGCAGGGCATGGTGCCCTTTTCGCTGAACATCGCATCGATGGCCTTTACAACCGTCTTTTTCAACGGCCAGGCAGGCCAGGACAATCTCGTGCCAAATGACGCCGATCGGATTTGTGCAACGGAAACTTCAAGTAGAGACGGCACAGGATTATGCCGCCGCTACGTCCCATTGCGAGACTCTCCTTGCAGCAAATAAGATAAAAAAATTGCAAACTTCCCCATACTTTACATAATACACATCGGGTTAAATTCTGTCAAAAAAAAAAGGTTGTCGATGGCACTGTCAACTTGGCAAGAAGACTTCACAGTGCGTATGTAAGATACGACTAAACAAGGAGTGTGCACATTTTGGAGAAGTTTGGAGGACACGTGCTCCATAGGTTGGGAATAGACAGGATATTGTCGAAATGGCCACGGAGTACATGTGGAGGCCTCCAAATTGTGACGGAAGGCTGGGCTCCAACATAATTAGCTCCATCTATTTGCGGAGTCGTATTCAAACACGGAGTTCAAGGTATAGTATTTGTGCATGCCGACAACTTCCGGAGGTAGCCCATAACACAATTCAGTACACCGTACTCCGTACTCCGTATTTTACACGCGCATCCGGATCGGACAGCTTTTGCTCTTGTTAGGATCACGTGACTTTGTCGCATGTTACATAGATGTCAACGAAGAGACTAAGAACATCAAATATAACAGACGACAAGCTCGACTAGAGCTAATTACCAGCCACACAACGGGAGGCCCTTATTCGGTGGCTCTCAGATGCTGTGGCGATCTCCCGGAGCGATGCCGGCTCGCGTTTGGTCTGGGAGCCGCACGCGATGACGGTGTCGACGGTGAATACGAACGGCCTCCAGGATGCACGCGTGCTCATCTTTAGGAACGGCGTCAAGCGCGACCACCTCTAGCTTTCCACTGGGGGCCTCTGATTTGAAAGGTACGCATCTGGGGGCGCGCAACTTGACTGTCCCCTGCTGAATGTGCTGCTGACTTTCTGGCCCGGCCGTTGATGTCGCGTATCAGTGCGCTAGCCTCGCCTCAGAAGAGCTAGGTCATGGCCTACGAGGAGAGCGAGAGCCAGATGGAGGAGGCGACAGAGGCTCGCATCTGCATCGAAGCACAGCTAGACTATGCGCCAGAGGGCTGGCTGGTGTATGCCGTTGGCTGCGTGGAGGTCGAGTTTTGGCAGGGCGCAACGGACCGGCAACACCAGAGGCGGCGTTACGTTCGAGATGGGTTTACATGGAAGAATGAGCGTCTCTGGCCATAGGTTGTATGCCGACGCAATCCAAGCGTTCCTTGCCGCCCTAACAAAACCAACTGTAGGTACCGTTGGGGCAAAATGTTTCGTCTGCTGCTCTGTTTCTGCTCTGCTTTCAACCTCGAATTACCCTATACCCCGTACATCTCCTTCTGTCAACAATGATAGTACAAACAAACCAATGTTCTTGTGGAAAACTCGCCGTTTTGATTACATAAGCACATCATCAAACAGACAAGACAATGAGATCAAAACACCCACTTCAGCTCAAAATGCAAAGAAGTATACTGATCCACTCCTTGGTAAAGAGACAGCATGAAAAGCTGAGCCTAGACACTTGTTCTTGCAACGGGTTCCAGGATGTTTCAGTGTGCTCACTCAAACACGCATTGGCGGTCATTGGGTGGGGTCCATCGATTAGAGGGCCGCACGCCGGACGTCATTCTGGCAGTAGCCGCGGCAACGGCCTGCTGCTCGGCCATGTCCATCATGATAGCCCGTGTGGTAGTCTTGGTGCCCCAGAACATATCCCAGAGGAAGCGCTCGTTAGCGATCCGGGACGGCGGCAGGGCGCAGGGATCCTCGCCATAGAACACGTCGACGGAGCCCGGAAAGGATGAGCGGAGCCACTTCTTGGCCGACTGGGCCTGGCATCGGTAGCTGGCGAAGCGATATTCGACGAGGACGCAGTCGGGCGTGTGGCGACTGGCGCCGTGGCTGATGATGCAGTCGACTTCGTACTTGAAGAAGCGTGAGAAGAAGTCGTTGAGCGATTGCGGGTTGACAATCTCTACCGGCCCGTAGATGAGGAGCACGCGCGAGGCCATCCGGCTCTCCCGGGCCGCATAGCTCTTGACCCGGTTGTGAACTGCACGCACGACGTGGCCACGGATCTGCATGCCCTCCGTGCCGCAGTGGTGGATGAACTTTTGCGTCGAGAAGGCGTCGAAGAAGACGATCTTGGCCGCGCTGTGCAGGTGGCCGGTTGCTACATCCGGCGGGTTGATGTGCGTCGAATACACACGCCCAAAGTTGCAGATGTTCTCCAGCAGGCATCGGACGGTCGTGCCGATCGGCAGTCCCGTCAGAAACACTGAGCAGTTCTCGTGATCTGGCACGTTGGCGCTCTTATTGCGCTCTGCAAAAATATTGCCGTAATAGTTGGGGCTGAAGCCCTGCTGGAGGCGGTAAACCAACTGCTCGGGCGATTCCCCCCCATCATTCCAGCTATATGAACCTGTGAGGCCAAACGGCTGGATTCCTGGCCGGGTTGTCTCTGGGAAGAGGCTGGGACGCAGCGGCTGTCCAACGTGCATGTTTTCACTCGTCTTGATGTCCGCTGTCGTGGGTACTGCATTTCCAAACCGTCTAGGTAGCAGGGAACTGTGCTCGAGGCTGGAAGAAGGGTTTTCGAGTATACGGTCGAGGCCTGTCTGCTTTGGGGTGGTGGCAGTGCTGCTGGGCACTTGGAAGCCCTGGTCCATGTTCATGCTTGTGTTGCGTGTCACGGGGCCTTTCTGCGCACCCGCGAAAGTGTGGATTGAGCCATTATCGGCTTTGGTCTCGGAAACAAGAGTTTTTGTGTCATTTTGAGGAACTGCGACGGGATCTGAGGGAACTGTCAGAAGGAGTTGTTTCTTTTGACAGTGCAAATCGTGCGACAGAAAAAGCGGCAGCTTACCGGATGCGCTGCGAAAACCACATCCACTGGATGTAGAAGTATTCTGAGTACTACTAGGCGTTTCTCCAAAGCTGGGAACCCGCTGAGCCAAAGGAGCTGAGAGCGACCCGTTATAGCCCGCCAAGGCTCTATGACCGGCTGCAGAAGGGCCCATATCTTCCTTTCGGTCGAAAAATGTATGTGACATGGCGAATGGCACTTGGTGACGTGCAATACGCAATGTTGGATCCTGTACTTGATTTTGTCAATGAACTCGTGACACCCGCTGGTTCGCGTGAAAAGGCTTGAATATACTGCAGTGTGTGCTTCATGAGACGAGAACCCGAGCTTCGAAATAGAACAAATAAACTGCCAATTTCCACAGCACCTGCTGACAGAAATAAATCAATGGTGCTGTACTTTTTATCGTGATTAGAGGTAAAAGCACCGTGAAGCGCGTGTGAAATTTGTTTTCACTTGTGCTTTTCTCTGAAACACAACGGACACACTACTGAGAGCATTGTGTTGTTATTTTTTTATATAATTTGTTTGTGATATCAAAGTGAGGCGTGGGTGATTTCATCCGAAGTTTTAGCACTGGAGCGGATGAGGATGCCTTCATAATTCAGTGACTTTGGACCTGTCAACGTGTTTTGTGTTATCTCCGGCACCACGCAATCGCTTAGCCAGAGATATGTAGAACTATAACAGCTCTACTTGGACAGAAGCAACACAGAACCATGAGCTGATATACTACCAAAATGTCTTTATCCGTTATGTTTGAGAACCATAGCGACCACCTAAGTTTACCACTAAAGTCTCAAGAATTAGTCACAACTATGAACTAAAATTCCTATACATTTATACACGCGACAGTATCCCATAGTTTGAGAATATGAAAGACTGTTCTATGCAGGCCGGATTCTATATCGACTGTTGCCTCGTACGTCAAAAACGTAACAAACAAAATCGTACCAAAACAGCTTCACTAAACTCCATCATTTAGGTAGTTAATTAGAACACAGAGAAACAGAACCAACAAGAAACTTCTAGACGCCTGCAAATCTCAATATATTCAGGCTTGCCATGTGATACTAGTGCCTTGGATATAAGGCACATTTTGTACATCACATCGTAGGCCTAACAATGACAGATGAGCAAATGTGAGTGCTATTGGTCCGATTTCTCAATTTCATTCATAGTCATCTTCATGTGCAGCATCATGCCCATAACTATGTCCTTCGTAACGACTGTTTGTTCTCTCTTGGAAGTCGCCACCACTTCCGAAGTACTGGCCAGACTCTTCATAAGAATGGTTCTCAAATCCCCTTGTGCGCGAGTTTTCCGTGACCCCAGGACTTCCAGATGACCCTCTTGCATGATAGGTGTTTGGGTCTATCACCTGCTGGAACTGCTGGAACCCTCCCCTTCTCCCGCGTCCTAGGCCTCGCTGATCGAATGGCGTGTGGGGGATCAAATTTCCGTGGAAGGGAACATTGTTTCTAGCACCTGTGCCACCATGCAACATGCTTGATGGTGACTTGGACTGCTGACGAAACTCTGGCGGCACATATTTCGATGTTGGCGCCTTGAGGCTGTTTTTGTAGCTGGGATCGTCAGCTCGGATGCCATCAACTCTGGCGATATCCTCTGGAGTTCCGTTGGTTGTTTCATTCATGTAGGTGCTGAAACGACGGATCGTATCTGCGACCAGGTCGAATTGCTTCCAACTTAGCATTGATGGTGATGAATAGGGATCTAACGGATTATGTCCTCGGTAAACAGGGTTCTCGTCCTCATCGTCTTCATCATCGTCGTCTTCGATAGCGGCCTTGTGCATGTCATAAGATGCGAGCGACGAGGCCACTTGGAACGCATTTCGGATTTGGCGTCCATTCCAGCGATTACTTGGGTGGCTGTCATAGTACCAAGCCGCATAGTCGAGAATGCTCTCGCTGTGGATCGTCAGCGCTGGCTCGGACAGATCCATCTCCTGGAGTGTTCCACGCCTTTCGTTTTCAATTTCGATGAGCTTGGTGATGTTGACCTGGAAGATCGCCAGCGTCTGCTGTCGCTTGAGTGGCTCATAGTATAAGCTAACATGGATTCGAGATTTAAAGGCCTCGTCGAGCGTGCCAACCCTGTTTGTGGTGAGGAATAGTATGCCGCTGTAGTATTCGAGAACACGTAAAAAGACTAGTGCTTTGTCAGCAATGTTTCCGCCAAAGTCTTCCGGATTGCTCACCGGAAACGAGAGCGTTGCGTTGTAGATTCGACGTGTCTCTCTTGGAAAGGAAAATGTCAGCCTCGTCCAGAAGCAAGACGCAGTCCCATAGATGAGCCAGTCGGAAGATCCCGCTCAGTGATTCTTCAACCGCCGTAGGTGTAATTCCAAGATCGCCACATGTGATGACAAAAAGAGGTTTGCCGCTTGTCTGCGCGACCGCCTCAGCTGTGGCTGTCTTTCCCACACCGGGAACGCCGTGAAGAAGGATAGTTAAGCCAAGGCCCTTGCCCCTAACAATGTCCTGGTTCATGCTCAGATTGGCGCCCCTCTTGAGGGCCTCCTGCTTCATGAAATGGGCCCGAGTGAGCGACTTCACCAGCCGCTTGTGCTTGGGATTAATCTTCAGGCTGGAGAATATATTCTTCTGCTGCTTGATGGGGCTGAAAGAGTCAATATCCAACATAGCAAAGCGCCGCTCCCGCAGCACGTAGGCCACGAGACGTCGGGGCAGCAGAATGAGATCATCCTCGCCAATAGTGGCAATCTTGCTCTTCATCTTGAGCGGTCGTATTGTGTCCGCAATCCCCTCGGACAGCTGGATGTCTTCGACGACTTCAAGCACAGATTTTGTTCGGCTGGCGTCAGTCCAGTGACAAATTGGAAGCTCGTCATCTCCCCGCCGCCATCCACTTTCATCGTCTGATACCGCATTGAAGACAGGTTTGTGGGAGGAGAAATGCTGAAAGCCCTCCGCAAAGTCGACGATCACATTGCTGTCGATGTGCTCAAGATGGCTCTTGTCACCGATGGCCTCTCCCGTTGGTGTGCTGATCAGATTCCATCCCTGATAGGCGAGATGTCGTATCTTGATATAATTTTGAAACCTGCGTCCCTGTTCTCTGAGCCGGTCGATAAATGCATCTGCGCCCTCCATAAATCGGATTGGTATCATATTGAGCCGTGCGATATCCCTCTCCCCCTCGAAATACTTGATGTTGAGCGAGTGCTTCACAGCCCCATACGATTCACCATCAAAGTCAATATAGTAGCAGTTCACCACAAACACACGTTTGCTTTTTCCAATATCGTCTGGTTTGCCGTCCAAGACAGGATCCAGATATGTGGAATACACCCGCCAGATCGTTTGGTAAGTCGGCGAACGGGATGCTGATCGCTTTGACTTCACGACATCTGTATCTGCCGAGTAGACGGTCTCGCCGGCTCTGAACAGATACCATAGATCGTTGAAGCGGACTTTTATTTTTGATGGCGTTTCGAACGTGTGATACAGAGGAAGAATTTCCTTGTCGACGAAGTCGACATAGCTGCGCATGTGTCTCAATGCGTCAATACTGTCCATGCTGTCACCACTGAATTTGACCTCGTTATACTCTTCTTCATCCCCGTCGGCAAAGTTGTCGTCCTTGAGACTGTCTAGAATCGGCTTGCTTGCAGACGTCCCGGTCTCCATCTTTTCTTTTGCATATCCTTTCTCTTTTGGCGAGTCGTTCGTATAGTCCGATGCTAGGCCCTGAAACTCCAGACGTTCAGCTTCGCCCCATTTCTCTTCGAGGACCAGGAGGGCTTGCCTCATCCGTGGTTGGCTGCAAATAAAAGCTCGGAAAGGCCTGAAGAAAGTCCTCGGGAATGTCCTGTCCCAATCTTCACCAACACGTGCTGCATTCTCAAGGTGGAGAAGGACTGCCTTGGAATGAATGCGAACACGTTGAATCCACGCATCAGGAGACTCGATGGAAGCTTTTTCTCCCGTCCGAAACATTCCTCGACGCATAGTCTCCTCCCTAATCTCATGGCTCGTATTTGGCCCGACAACAAGGGCATCGATGGTATGTCTTGTAAAATCGCCGTAGTAGTTCTTGAACTTTTCAAAGTTCACCTTTCTATACCCATGAACCATCGGGATAGACTTGATATATTTATCCCAATCCTTCTCATCACCACCGCTTCCAAAGTCGTCGTTTCCATCACCTTGGCTGTTTTCGTCTCCGCCGTCTTCGTAACCTCTTTCGCTGCCATTGTCGAAGTCGATTTCAAAGTTTCGTTTGCCGCTTGTCTTTGTCGTATCTGCCTTGGGTTCTCCGTCATCTCTGATGGGTATTTTGGGTGAGACTGTCTCTGTCAAAGTCTGCTTATCATCCATGACTGCGACATTTGCATCGACCATTTTCTTGGAAGACTTTTAGGTCAAGTCAAAAATAGCTCGGGACTTTCAGACAAAGCCACAATAGCTTGTTCGCAGTGAGCTGGAGGGTAAGAAAAACAGCTGCGACCAAGTGTGCCCGCCTGGCGAAGGCGTGATTACACTTTACTTTATTGAACACTGCTTTTCGTGTAATTGCACTGCTCAGAAGGGCGATTTCTTGATTCCTAGATGCCATGCCCTCTTCTGAAAGAGAGGAGAGAAGAGCATGTTTCAAATACATGTGCTTGTGCAAGTGATGTTAGGAGGCAAGATATTTCCACTCTGATTGGTCAGAAACGTGGGGCATTAACATCCTGCCTGGACTTTATGCCTTGCCATCCTGAGCGAGAATTTGGGCGCTTCTTTGGAGTGCGCACCATTCATCGCCCACTACTCCGTATTAGCTCCATAGCTACCTTATCTTTCCGCTGTTAATGGGCAGGGTTGGAAAACCAATAGCCGAGAATCAGGCCACCTCGAGCGGTACTCTGCATGAAAGCAGCCAATGTGACATACCTCATGCAGCTAAAATCGGACTGCGGTAGCGAAGCGCCACTGTTCTTCAGCCTTGTCAGCGCTAAGACGTCTGATAGGATGACTTCTCCGATGCCAAGTGGAAAAAGCATATTAATACATACATGTGGGCCGTCACAATTATTACCGAGCGCGGCACTGCCTCTTCAAGGATGCTATACGACCACAATGGAACAGCTATTGTAAATTAATGACTCCCTAGCTTTCGCTCGTTCCTCGGGGGGATACTCAATGCAGCATCTTCTTATATCTATGATTCATGGAAGCCGTATTCGTTGACAGAACAGGACGAAAAATCCACGATGGGCTTGGCGACTCGTCGAAACTGGACGCCCAAAGAGCGACCTTCGTCCGACCGGTATTGTACACGTGAGCTAAGCTGCGCCTGAAAGCTCGAAGCACACAGTAACTCTTCAGCTGATGCAAGCCACTAGGAGGCTGGACACGCTCCTAAGGGAATACGTGGCAATCAAGTTTGACGTCATAGTTCCTGAAAGCTCGTGGGATTCAGTCTTGGACAAGCTCAATGAAGCCGAAAGCGGGCTGAAAAGGAAAGATAATGACGTCAAGCAGCTCTTCAAGAAAGTATTGGTGAAGCTGGGCGACAACGCCACTGAGATTCAGCCATTTGTCGACCTCATTCCCAACGAATATGGACTGAGTGTTGTCAAAGCTGGCATAGCCCTGGTGCTTGAAGTTCGTTAGACTAAAAGACAATGCCAACAAGAAACCCGTTTTCGATCACTAACACATATCAAGTACGCTTCAAAGGAGAGCGATAAAAAAGAAAAGATCTATGATGCTTTTGCAGAGGTTCGCGACACTGTTGCAGATGCACGGTCCTTCGGGCAGAGCTTTCAGGCGAATACCGACGTCAGCAGGTGCGCTGCTGATTTGTACGATGCCATTGTGCACACGGTTGAAGACCTGTTCCGATACGTGCCAACGGAAGTGCCCAAAGATTTCAAAGGACGAGACAGATGCACGTTGTCCAAGCCTATTGACGTCCTGACTCAAAGCGCTAATGTCTGATTGCTTGCAGGGAATCCGCTTGCTCTTAAATCTAAACGCAAAGAGAAGCTTCCCGATATAGACACCGTTCTAAGAGATTTAAAGCAAAAGGCAAAGAACTTGAAGCGGCAGGTAGAAGGCTGCGCCTACGACAGGGCTGGACACACTCATGCGGCCGTGAGAAGTGTTGAGGCTTCATTGACACAGGTTCGCCAAGGTGTGAACAAGGCATATGTTGCGGCTTCGAATGCGGAAAAAGAGATAGTCATTGTCAGAGAAAAAGTCGTCTCAATAGAGGCCACCACACAGCAACTTAGTCGGCAATTGAAGGAGCAAAAAAAGAGAGAAGAAGAGAAGCACGATGAGGCCATGCGGCGAGTGGGAGAATTCATTATGGGAAACCGCTTGGATGCAAATAATGGCTTGGTGATGGTGCTCAATGAGAGTAAGTGCAATTTGCATCCACCAGAACAGTATAGGGATGCCGCTGACAGTGACGTCACACAGGATGTGCTGCCGTGTTAGCCACCGTAGAGAGGCTCGAAAATCAACTCAAGTTTCGATCAAACGGCTCTCCACCCATGGCGGTGTCTCCTGGTCGGCTGCTCGAAAAGTTTGTGTCAGCGGTTGCTAACGGCGCCCAGACGACCGGTGTAGATGATTTGATTCTGCACCCTAACAACGACCTGAAGTCTATCATCGCACGCAAAGGTCATTTTGATGTTGGGATGCAAGCCCAGGCACAGTCACTATTGAAGAACCCAAGGTTTTCTGAGTGGATGAGGTGTTCGCATTCTGACCTGCTGCTCGTGGATGGCAACAGCAATTTTCCTGCATCTGGAAACTTCTCTGCACTCTCGCTTCTCTGCGCTACACTGGTCGCAAACATGACCGTAACGTACTCAGATGACCTAGTGATCAGCTTCTTCTGCGGCTTTCACAGTGCCTGCCTCGACCCCTGGTTCGGGCCCATCGGGCTGGTGCGCTCACTCATATTGCAGGTCCTACTGTTCTTGGAGCAGGAAGAGAAGAGGGTGGGCTACGACATTAGGATCGAGAAACCAGACGCGTACCTCGACAGTTTTCTGTCGAGTCGACCGGAGACGGTTGCCGAGGTCTTACATTGCCTTCTCCAACACATCCCGCAGGCAGACCTGACGTTCTATTGCATCATCGACTGCGTATCGTGTTTCGACAAGGACCTTCACGGACAGTACAACAATATGAAAGTTGTTGTGAGCTGGCTGCAATACATGGCTGGGGAAGACGACAGCATGCACGTCCATTTCAAAGTCCTACTTACAAATCCCGGGAGAAGCACTGGAAGAATCAGCAGCTTGGTTGATACGACGCAGCACATCACTTTGACATCGAACCCCTCCAGCATTCAGACAATCTCAGATCGATCAGTGGCAGCTCATATTTTGTCTTTTTCTGCTGCAGGTTCGAACCAAAAGCGTTTTGAAGACGAATGGGATTGACCCAGTCTTGGCGGCGCATGGAAATAAGAAACGCTGTGTAGGCGATGCAACCGTAAATTGAGCCGAGAGAGACCTGCAAAGTGCCCGACTGATCTCTTGCGTGGATGGCAGTGAGAAATTAGCGTATACGTGATCAAGCCTTGTGTAAATCCATTTCAGCTCCAAGTAACCGTGCGGGTTTTACTCGACAAGGGTTCAGAATTTATCTGCAAGTCCACTACTCGTACTTCGGCCTAACAGCTCCCGAATACGCTGCTAAACAATAAGCAAGCCTATTCGGCGCCATACAATGCGTGCTTGTGAACAAAGACGTTTATCAGAATCGTGACGTGGCGCAGAATTAAAATGCTGTCGCCTGCCATTGGCAACCTTCGTTTTCTCCCTCATCTTACGTGCAGATTACTTCCCAATACGGTGTTTCTTTCCCGCGAGTTTCCTGCAGCAACTCAGCTGAACGGCCCACATGTAACTCTATCCCGTCTGATGTATCATGTTCACTCTTACTGTGGAGTACTGAGGTAGAGGCTCTGTGACTTCTATCCAGAGAGCTCAATGTGTACGTACGTACATATATATATATATATATATAAATGAATTTCATGTCCCAAAGGTGACGTGGCGCCTTTGAATAATATACATGTACAAATATATATATGGCGCACTGCCCCATGTGGACAGGTCAAGACGTTCAGTCATTCTTATACCCTGGGGCAAGACAGAATCAACATGTCTAGTATTAGTGATCAAATTCCCGATCTCCTAGACGGTCTTGAACTTGTACAGCACGAGCTTACACACTCTCCCTCCTCCTCTCATCCACCTGGCAGCACTCCAACGGCAGCGCCAAGAAATAAAGCAGCCTTGAAGCCTGACACGGTGCCCCCAGACGGCATACCCCTTTCACGGCCCATTGCCATCCCACAAGTCAGGCACGGAAGAGGCCGGCCGTTTGTGCGTGCCTACCCGCCTTCGCTCGAGGTCCACGCCATCACGCAAGCAAAATTCCTCGAATTCCTCGACGGCCTCAACATTGTGTCCACAGCAAACCCGCCACTGAGAGCACTCAACACCGCCGGCGATCTGGTCACCAACGTCCCGTATCACTGGGCTCTCCTTGCCGGCTATGGCATGCAGGCGGTGGCTGAGCTGGGCACAGTAGTGGTGAGCAGGTCGCGGACCAAAAGTTACGTGAAGAAGATGAATGAGAAGCTGTTTGAGCCGCGAGGGCTGCACGTGGACATTTTCTCAACGGCCAAAATGAAGGAAGCCCTCGGGATACCGGAGGAGCACCCCGTGATAGCGCCGCTGACGCAAGAGACCGTGGAGAAGACCGCAGTCGAGCGACAACTATTGGGCATCAGACAGCACAATGCCGATCTGGATTTAAAAGTTCCGCCACCGGCAAAGCCGGAAAAACTTTTGGATCGATGGAGTGCGCGACATGTAAAAAAGCAGATGGAGAAGAGCAAGAAAAAGGCTTTGAAGAAGAATAAAAAGGCCGTCAACAAGGCTGATACGAAAAGGGACCACAAGGAAGAGCAAAAGACGAGAAAAATTTCTTGGATTGTCATTACAAGTCTATAGCAGAACGTGGTGTGTAATTGATTGCGAGTGAGCTACAGAGTACTTGACCGCGTATGAAGGAAGCCATACGGAGTGTCCACCGACCCAAGGAGTCGTCTAACGACGATTTTTCCATGAACCTCCTCATGGTTCCGTGGTGCAGTTGGTTAGCGCATCGTACTAATATTTCCTCTATGAAATACAATGCGAAAGTCGAGGGTTCGAGCCCCTCCGGGACCATTTGTTTTTTGCTCCCCAAATCGCCTGAGGTGCTTGCCCTACCGGCTTGCTCGGATCTATCCGACTATGGGGCTTAGTAATAATCAAGTGTCTTGTTGTAGTAGAGTACCTCCGAGCCATGCCGACCTGTGCTTAATATCCGTTACACTGCACAGGCCCTACAAGCATTCCGTTCGGCAGGACCTTCCATGAAGAACTGTTCATTTTTAAGCAATAATTGTCACAAAGTCCAACACACTGTTTTTAGAGCACGTCTACGTCTCCTGCACATGATCTTGCTGTCAGTACTGATGATGCGGAACAGAAGTAAGTTAGTGGTCAAACTTTGCGCCAAGCGATACAAATGAGGCCGATGCTATCCATACAATCACAGAGTGCAGTTTCAGCAGCACAGTTATGGAGGTAATCTTACTATACTACTTACGGCCAATGAAAAACGCCAACTCAATACAATTTAGACGGACAAAAGAACTATAAGCGAACGAACGTCTCCTAATAGCAAACCAGTAAATTTGCTCCTGTTGCCACTACCTGCCACTCAATTACACTTCAACTGAGCATACAAAGGAGTGTCGGGCACGGCGTTGGTGCCGAGTTCGCCCCACTCGATAGAGGGCTTAGACACGGCAACCGGACTGAAGCGGAGCACAAGCCTCGACAGTGTGATCTTCTGTTCGATAAGAGAAAGGCTAGTTTGTCTTTGTTAGCAGCTGCATTCTACTCTGGTGAGCATTCGGAGGCGTACTTCTGTCCGATGCACTGTCTGGTTCCTCGGGAGAACGGGTGGAAGTACTTCAGCTTCTCGGCCCGCTGGTCCTCAAGGCCCAGCCACCGGTTCGGGTCGAAGGTTTCGGGCGATGGGAAAGCATCCTCGTCGTGAAGAAGGTACAGCGATGACGCGCTCACAATGGTCTGGTGATTTGTTAGCTCGCCATGGCTGGCACTGTGGAGGGATTGGTTTACACGTACACCGGGCTTGAAGAATCGGCCTTTGAAAGTCCAGCCTTCCTTTGGAACAACTCTCGGCAGTCTTCCTCGTACAGGCGAGCTAATCCGGAGACCTTCCTTAACACAAGCGTCCAGAAATGGCAGGGCATCAAGATCGCTGTATTTGGGCCGAGAATCTAGTGTTGGTGCAACAGTCATGATTTCCTGGCGCAGCTTCTCAAACAGTTCTGGACGCCGGATGAGATTGTGCGTGGTGGTAGACAGGGCGATGGCCGTTGTATCGGTGCCGGCAACAAGCATGAGAATTCCCTCAGAGACTAGGTGCTCGTTGGACAGCGTAATACCGTGTTTCTTTGCAGTTTCCACCATGGCGCCAAACAGTGTCCACTTGGTGTTGTCAGGCGACCGCATTATTTCCAAGCCTTTGTCAGCCACCTGCCGGGCAATTAGCAACGAATGGATGTGCGGTGTGGCAGTAGCTCACGAACCTGTCCGAGTCCGAGGAACGGGTTAGGAATCGCCTTGATCTTGTAGTGGCCGGCCAGACGCAGCAGCTCGCGACACGTAGGGAATTGTTGAAACTACCAGAGTTAGCTACTTTGTTTGACACGGTGTGGTACGTATGCCACACTTACAAATGCGATAGTGGCACTGGCATTGGCGATCTCTTGGACAATGGGCGACTTGAAGTCGCTCAGGGATAACGAGCCAGGAGCCTCGCCGAAAACAAATTCAGAGATCAGATCCAGGGTCATACAGTGGAAAGAACTGAGGAGGGGAAACTGCTGTTTCGCATCGGAAATGCCGGCGATGCGGTCCATCAGCTGGTCGGCCATGGTGTAGATCTTGTCTTCCCGCTGGAGAATGGCGGCCTTGGAGAAGGCTGCCGACATCAAGCGCTTGTCCTGAATGTGCTCCTTTTTGTCGTACATGGAGAACAGATTGGCAGTCTGGTCGGTGAAGGCGTAGTAGAAATACTTGGCCTTGGGGAACTTGGAGGTCTGGCTGTAGATTTCGGTATAGGCCGTGACATCATTAACGGACACTTCGTCGGGCGAAATCCTCACAAGCGGTCCTGGACAGTTAGTTTCTCTGGGTGCTATGCAACACTGCGGACCAACCGGCACGTACCATATTTTTGGTGCAGCTTCAAAATGGTGGCGTGGGCATCTTCCTTCACCAACTCGCGTTGAAACAACCACCAACGGGTAGCACCTGCAATCCACGGACCAGGAATATCATGGAGGGGATGCAGGAACAGGTTGTAAAAGCCCTTGAGTAAGGTGATGACTACCACTGCTGCCAATGCAGCCAGAACACCACCGCCGACTAGCACGGGGCGGTCCAGGCTGAGCAGTTGGGCCTTGAATTGGAGCAGATGGCTTTCGGCCTCGAGCGCGAAGTTTTCCATGGCGACTTTGTCCATGGTGAGATTGTGTTTGCTTTGTTCTGGGTGAGGTTGATACTTGCAAAGTGACCGTTGAATGCGGGCAGGCTGAATCTTTAGTACAAGTCCGGGGAAGCGGTGGATTAGTTCTACTGCGTAGATCCGGACGCCAAGAATGACTGCCAAGAGATTGATTCGGGGGTTCCGGGATCCTATTTACGCTCTCCACCCCGGCGGCACCTCTTTACGGACGAAACAAGCTGACAAGGAGTCAAGCGGATACTCTCCCGGTACGCCCAACTGCGCCGGATACGATCGCTATACGTTCTCGACGTTTCTCGTATGCGCGGCCTTTTTCCACGTTACAGTCGCTTGGCTTGGTTTGGCAGGCTTTGCTGTCATCGGGGATTAATACAGATGTCAGTCTTTTTAGTACAAGACCGGGGTAACGACGGGACTATCCTAGACTAGCACGCCAATGGGCGGCACTCTTTGGAAGCGCTACTATTTCACATGGGACGCAGGACCCATCGGCCAGCCTGTCACGGGCGGACCGGGGATGAAGTCTTTTCTGGTCGCGCCCCATGCCTTTGCACGTCTGGGAGCTACCCGGCTGCTATTCGGTTGCGTGGATTTCGTAAGCGCTACAATCTGGTTTCCCCACCTCTTTGCCCAGCAAAGTGGGAGCTGTCGGGTTGTTGTAAGAAACCGAGACAGAACCAAGTTACATCCCGTAGTAGCAGTCTGCAACGGCTTCGAGAGAAGTGCCGTGCGGGAGCCGCCCGGTGGATATACAGTACTATCGGGCCGATATGCATATCGTAACTGTGTTGCAGAGACCAGTCGGCTACCAATTAGAAGCAGATTATTTGGGTTTAGCTGTCTGCGATCAATTTTTTGCTCAGTCTCCGTCGCAACTGCCGAAGAACATTCGACTTTGTTACTATACGCTCGTGGCGCCATCTCAACGCACTGCATCAGCATTACAAGTCCCTACGGAGTAGACAACTGCATGGACGGTGAGCCTTGCGCATATTGACACAGTGGGGCCTCGACGCGTGGTCCGTTCCTCTTATCTTACCTCGGCAAGGATTTTGTTTTTTTGCTTGGAGTTTCCTCCCTTTTTTTTTCTATACGACGTAATCGTGGCGTATGAAGTATATGCCGTAGAAGATGTCTTCGCTCTCTCGGCAATCAGGATATTTGCGTCCAAGACCGCTTATCCGGAGGCCCAATCAGCCGAATGGGATTCTGCCCTCTTTGGATGGAACCTTACAAGAACCGGCAGGCCGTTTCTGAAAAGCGGACTGATGAGCATGCCCGGGGCCGAAGGTGACCTCTACAAAATTGATGTGGCCTGCGCAATCGGCCGTTGTGCTCTGCGTCGCAAAGGTAAGATACAAAGACACGCAGAGGAAGCCAGCCAGCATGCTTCATTCGGTCCGGAAATCGCATGCGACCCAACCTGCAAGACTGATGTCTATAGACAAGATAAACGGCCCCTCCAATCGGCAAGGTGCTGAAATGCGTCTCAAATTTCTCTGCGCGATGGCTGCCTCACGTGACACCCCGTGACCTAGCGAGATCGTTGGTGTGTAACGTTTATGGACGTGTTGAGTCGGGGATGACTCCCGCGGATCCGTGCCGATGTCGGCTAGCAAGCGGGGTCACCAATCAGGACCGGCCTTTACGGGAGCAGTCCGTGATTTTTGGGGTTTATTAAGGAGTTTGGTCTCCCCTCTCGACGACATCACTCCTGTCCATAGTCCATCCCAAGCTGGCTTGCGAAACGCTGCTCCTTCACACCAATTCGCGTGTCTAGGCGACATATTAGGACCGGCCGTGATGTTTTCATGGCCAGCCCTCCTGGGCGATGCTGCAAACACTCCCACTGTGTTTGCCGATGCGGCAACAGACTGGTGGCGCATGGAGAGCTGGTCGGAAACGGAACAGACATCGCGTACACTACCCGGCGAACGGAATGCTTTTGCACCGTTCTAGCACGTGCCAGTCAGCAACACTAGCTCCGTTAGGGCTCTATGCGATTCTTTCCCCGGCGCCGTTTGTAAGATACAGCGCGCCGCGAACGGAGAATTTCCGCTTCGACGTCACCGACAGGAGCTGGTAGGTCCGTCCGTCGCTCTTGCCTGCCGACTGTCTTCCCCAGATTTTTTTTTTTTAATACCAAAATCAATTACAAATATTATTTGCCTCTGTCGGTGTCTGGATTTATTCCCCATCGCGACAACCAGTATGACTCTGCCATTGACGCCTGCCCACAACTCGCTTTGCCTTGTCTTCTCTCTCGTAAGGGCCGGCTCTGCAGTTTTGCAAGCCCTGTACAGCTATAAGAGCTCGCTTGGCTTTGTGTCTGCTGCAGATGTAAACTCGATATCATCTCGCTACTTCGCATCGACGGCGAGGAGCTCTCGGATCTTGCCGCTGGCACTGGATCACAGTCTCCAGCACCTCCCAGCCGTGCACGGCCCGGAGAAAGCGGTCACGGGAGGCTCACGACAAACAGATGGCCCACCACCATACCACTGCAGATACTGGCGTGCTATCACAGACGCTGTCTCGCCGCAGCGTGGCAGCCAACCTTGCTGTGACAGACGATGATGAGTCTGTTTACAGCACCGACAAGCTGCCCTACTCCAAGTGGCGCTGCATCGCCCTCGTGGCCACTGTGACTGGCGCTAGCTTTTCTAATGTAGGGTCCAGTCCAGTTGGCACGACCTCTGCTCGATGCTGACACTGCTCGCACTAGACACTCTCGAGCCAGGCTGTCGTCATCATTCTACCGACCATCGGAAGCGACCTCGGCATCCCGTACAGCCGCCAGCAGTGGATCGTCTCGGCGTACTCGCTGACCTTTGGCTGCTTTTTGCTGCTGTGGGGACGCATCGGTGATGTCTTTGACAAGAAGACCGTCTTCCTCGCCGGTTCGGTCTGGGTTACAGCCATGACCGTGGCCAATCCTTTTGTCCGTAACGAGGTCGTCTTCGATCTATTCCGTGGACTTCACGGACTGTCTGTCACATCTCTTTCCTCTGTTCTGTCTTTCCTAGCTGACCATCATAGGGAGCTGCTGCTAATGTGCCCACTGCCATTGGCATTCTTGGCACAACCTTCCCACCCGGCAAGGCGAAGAACTATGCGTTCGCAGCATATGGTTAGTCCCCTTCTGATTTCGACGCATATTGCATTCTAACCGCTCCAGGTGCCGGTGCACCCTTGGGCAGCATATTTGGCAATCTCATCGGCGGCCTCATCACCTCGTATGTCGACTGGAAATGGGTCTTTGGTGTATTGGCCATCATGGTGGCCGTTATTACCGTAGCCGGCTTCCTCATCATTCCGTCTCACCCTCCACTTCAGCCAGCATCTGCAAACAGTGCGGAATTGGATGCAGTCCCAGCCAAAGCAGCCCTTGCGAGCATTGACTGGGTCGGCGCCCTGATTATCACGCTGGGACTGGTGGGCCTTTTGTTCGCGCTGACGGAAGAAAATGTGGTCGGCTGGTCGACGCCATGGGTCGGCGTGATCATTGGCCTGTCGGTGCTGCTGATGGTGGTCTTTGTGTTCTGGCAGCTGTGGCTGGAGCGACCGCACAACGGCCAAGGTCGACGGGCCGGTCAGATCTGGCCGCCACCACCGTTGGTGCGCATGTCCATCTTTACCAAGTCACACGAGAGCGGCGGCTCGTCATCGCTGTTTGTGGCAGCACTGGTGATCATGGCCTTCTTTTTCAGCTCGTTCAACGGCTTTCTCGTCTACGCGACCTACTTCTTCCAAGACTACCAGGACCTTAGCGCAATCCAGACGACACTGCGCTTCATCCCCACCGGTGTGGCCGGCCTGCTGACCTGCTTCGGCGTGGCCCAGCTGCTCAGCCGCGTGCCCACCTATCTCTTGCTGCTCTTTGGAAACGCCTGCGTCGGCATCAGCAACCTGCTCATGGCCGTGCCCATCCCGGCCGAGTCGACTTCCTACTTTGCCTACAGCTTTGAGGCCATGGTCATCTCGGTTCTCGGCGCCGACACGGCCTGGCCCAGCCTCGCCCTCTTCGTCTCCCACGCCCTCCCGTCCGAGGACCAGGCCATGGGCGGTGCCCTCGTCAACGCCGCCGGTCAGATCGGCCGTGCTATCGGCCTTGCTGTTGCGACCGCCATCCAGACCGCCGTCATGGCCTCTTCTCGTGGCCGCTCTATCGTCGATGCCGGCCCCGTAAAGTCCCATGAACACGCCACCCTCATTGGCTTCCGTGCCGCCAACTGGTTCAACTTCGCCCTCAGCATCGCCGCCATTCTCGTCGTCCTCGTCGCCTTCCGTGGCTCTGGAATTGTCGGCAGGGTTCCCTCGAAACCGTCCGCCCGCCCGCTGCGTGCCTCTCACTGCAACTCGCCCTCGACTACAGCTAAATCATTGACAGACACGGAGATCGGCGTAAAGAGCCCTATCCAGATCCAAGACGGCCATTTCGACGAGATATAGTCTCCTCCATGGACACTCAACCCGTTTTTGCTGCTACTTTCATCTTTCTATGGTGGATTTGCATATCATGATACCAATTCATTTTCCCCTGATCACGGGCGTTGTCTTGTGATTCTTATATCGGGAGAAAGTACAAACTCTATTAGCATAGACCAACTGGTGGCATTGGGATATTGATGTACATGTATAACTACAATTTTGCATAAAATGTAGCAGATGGGCAGTTTCTTACAACTGCTTTGGTTTGTTCTGCAATGTTTTCTGTAACGAAACCGTCTCATTGCCAGTCTAACACTCGCCATATATCTCTCGTACCGTACAAACCAGTCTGTTTTAGCTACCATAACCCGCATTTTAGTTCACCACACCTCTGTATACACATGTTCATCCCAATATCACTACTCACAGACTTACTTATGCATGCTAGACCTGACCATAGCATGTGGTGTGGCAGCGTAAGAGTGTATTTGATTCTGTGCATCTACGATTTGGCCTCGAGACTGCCTCGTTTGCGTCCCCCAAAAAGAATACAGCGGTGCCGAACAAAACGAGATTTGATGATTAGCAGACTCTTCGCTACAAGGAAGCTGGGTTGAGCCCCTCGTCTGGGTGATGTGTCAGATTAAGTGCATTGCTCTGCTCCACCGTCAGCTTGCTTATGCGCCCTTCCGTCCTCTTCTCCACACTGCTTCTACAGTAGACGTAGGGCTGAGGATTATCGAGTGTCGATCTTAGCACGTTCCTTGACTGGCTGCGCCTAATCAATCTACGTTTGTCACTAGCCTCCCAATACTTTGCTATCTGCTGTCTCTTCAAGCGCGGACCAATATAACTGTCTAAGAAGCCGTTGTCGTTTGTGAGTAGGAGCACAGCTTTTAGGCGATGTTAAACTTACATCTTTGAGATACACCTGCCATATTAGAAAAGATATCACCAATTTGCCTAAAATCTACAGACATACATGTATTTTGTAACCCTTCATTGCGGCGTTCTGTTAGGACAAAATAATCAAGCGGGCAAAGTAGCATCTTTTCCAAACCAACCTGTTGTCGCTAAAGAAAATACGAAACTTTCCTGGCTTACGGAGACTGTTAGTACTCCGTAGATCCTGAAACAATCATCCTGTCAAGCTGAGGTAAGCCATAGGATAAGATGGATGTTATTATCAAGCCAGTTCATTACATCAGATTTGGCTAATTATAACGATTTAATTAGAGAAGTCAATGCAATGGCTACTTCGTACGTCGTACTCTGTTACTAAGAAAAGAAAAAAAAGCTACGGAGATCCATTCACAACGATGAAACCCACAAAAACAATTAAGCTTTCGCTTTTAAAGGATGCCCAGACGCGGGATCGAACCGCGGACCTCCTGCTTACTAGGCAGGCGCAGCTACCACTGTGCTACCCGGGCTTGTTATTGGATATTTTGGACTAGAATAATATATATATATATAGAAGGGCGTCAACGTGTATCGGTGTTATTTGGGAATACACCGCTACACCCGGCGCCACCTGGCTAGAATACTACATTCGTACGGAAAACTCACTATACAATAAACCCACCTCACCTTCTTAGCGATTGATAAAGAGAAAGTAAATCCAACGCCACCCACTCCAGGCCAATACTACGATAAAGATCGGCTTATCGGGGGAATAATCATTAAAGTAACCTGTTGCACCGCACTGGTCTCTACAATAAGTTTATGCGATAGACGCTACAATCAGCATGTTTTGATCACTGTTCTTGATGATTCGTGACATAAGATACAGTAGAATTGTAGCTTTCTCGTCTAAAGACCTGCCTACATTATCTGGCTTTATGCATAGGCCAGTAATATAAAGATACACCGATATACCGCTGAAGCCTGGCAAGCTTAAGAGCTAATCCAGCGAGCGAACAACGCGTCTCATACCAAGCAAGTGATGACAACCTCCGGCCTGTATTGTGTTCAACGGCATATTGGGCATTGGTCTCAGAAACCTTGTTCTTAGTGGAAATACTATAACTTGCTGTCAATGTGAAGAGGCTTACTGGTTGAGATATCTACTAGTCAGTGCCGAACTGGCTACCAATGCCGATGAAGTCAATCTCTTGAGACTTGACTGCGTCTTGCTTGGCTTGCTCTCCATCTACAGTACTAAAAGTCTCTTCTTCAGGGGGGCAAACTTCATTGGGAACGGCAGAACCCCGGGTCGATGCTGTGCTGCAAATCTCGGTATCGCTGCTGTTATGGTATCAGTATTGTAAATTCCATTATCAGCACCATGACTCTACTGGCAGGACGGAAAGCCCGAAAAGCGAGAGCTATGCTTGGGTGACTTGAGCAGAGAGGAATGGGTAATGAGACTGTGTCATGACTCTTAAAAGAAAGGATGCAGCTTGAAATGATGAGACGATAAGCACATGAAGAATTGGGGTATGCATAGGGTGTTTCGTTAGAAATAGGACAACAATGGAAAGGAACAAAGTCACTCACTTGGCGTACATGTTGAAGGACGCGCTGTGCTCTGAGCGGTAGTTGGAGAGGACAACCGAGTATAACAATGAATGCTTATGAAGTAAAGGGGGAACTTCAAGAAACAGTAGCAGAAACGTGATTCTAGAGAAGATAGAGGTTGGAGTTGAAGGAGGTGAGGAGAAACATGAGAGAGGGCCCGTCTTTTATATTCAAGATACAGTATGTTATACATCGAGACTGAAGGGGCGCTACAGGACTTTCCAGCACCCACTGCCGGCATATCTACTGGTATTGAGTACGTCTTCAGGACACATTAAATGCATGGGAACTGTCTATCTCTGGTACAAACTTCGGGCTAGTATACAAGTCTCTTGTAGTCATGTTTTACAGCCCCGTGAGCTAATCAATGCGACAGAAATCGTTCAATGCGGCAGTAAGTCGTTCGGACCAGGCAGACTTTGACTAGTCAGGGACTATTCGGAGATTCCATTGGCTGCTGACGTTTTGGTCAATATCTACATGGTCGAGAGGTTGCTGTCGGAACAAGCAGGCAACTTGTTGGCTTGCCACAATGACTTTTTGTGAGCTCCACCCTGCTTCGCTGTCAGCCTCATAATGCCCTCATTCAAGAAATATCGTTTGACGATTGGTGCTTGACCTTTCGTCGGACCCACACGACCTTGTCCTCATTGTGCAGTTCGCATTGGGTCGCCGCTGGAGCATGCTCAGGCATCCGATTCTGAGTGATTAAAAGACTGGATTTCCCACACAAGTATCTACATTACCATTCCATCCACATCCATCATCATCGCAAATCGGTGGCTATCATCGCACTAACATCAGCGCATCATGGATTCAATTGACGTGTATCCTAGATCTGACGAAGACAGATTCCTCTCTGTTCCATACGAAAGCCGATGGGAACCCCTCAAGCGTGTCATCGTTGAGCTCTACATGGGAAAGTACGGTCCGGAGGGGAAGTCGATGACTATGCGCGAAGTTGCCGAGTTCATGAAGGACAACTACTCATTTTATGCCGCGTAAGCTTATCCGATCGCTCGCAATACACCGTCACGACAATACTAACGGCGCAGAGAAACGCAATACAAGCGTAAATTTCGACCCTGGTGCATTCGCAAGCGCACTCTTGCTACAGAGAAGAACGACATCGTGAGCGTCCTCGGCAAAAGGGCGCGTCCTGGGATGAGCACATCAGATGTGACACTCAGTCAAGGTGGTCTGGCCAAGTCAGTCGACTCGAAGCAACTCAAGAGACATGTGCACAGCCAAATACGTCACTACAAAGTTGAGCCACTGGTTCCAGGAGTGTAAGTTTTCAGCCAAAGGCACAAGTGGATACAAACTAACTTGACCAAACCAGTTTCACAACATTCAATATGCCCTACCAGGCATACATCGCTGCCTCCAACCAAAATTCTAATTTGCCATCACCTGGCTTTGTAAACGTCCATAGTCCAGGGCCTGTTACAGCTCTGTCACCGACGATGCACCTGGTGAATCAAAAGGCTGTTTGGGATAGAGCAAACCTTCTGCTAAAAGGAGACTTCAAGACACTTTTCGCGAGATGTGGAGACGAAGATCGCATGTGAGAGAGTCCATCGAAATTTTACGATCTTCGTGAAGGTCTGTGACTGACATTTTGCAGATTTTTGGCAGACTATCTGCATGGGTTTTACATCCACTCCTTTGTGACGGCGAAGTACTGGGGTAGGGGCCCAAGAAAATGGGACAGCAACATGATTTCTGCTTTTACTTTAGGAAATTGGAACGACAACACACCCCAAACCCTTTTAGGAATGGAGCCATCTACGTCCTATGCCGGGCAAAATCAATTTGAAGTCCCCACACAGCTCTGTCGTTGGTCTATTCATGTCAAAGACTTGAAATACGATCCAGTACCAGAACCAAATTCTGAAGAAAATGCTGCATTCGACCTCGAAAATCCTTCATCGTGGGCAGACTGGCAATTTTCAACGAATACCTTCAGGGAATCAATGCAAGAGTCTATCACTCAAGGCGGATTTATTTCACCGGGGAGTAGACCTCTGCCTGTATCCACGGACATCATCACTCAATCACTAGAAAAGAGCCCCGATGCTCTGAAGGCTGATGCCATCAGTTTTTCAATCATGGCTGGGAACGCGGCTCTTTTAGAACAATGTTTGAATGCTTATCCACCAGAAGAAGTCCTCGATGGTGACCTCATCCATATGGCAGCTGCCTTCATCGACGGAGGGAATTCCTGTTGCGGAGTTATGTATGTTCTAAGAATCTTTGAACCCAGAGACATCGACAACTTCGGCCACACCGTTTTGGACGCCTTGATAATATCCATTCTCCGCTCGCACACAAGCGTCCCCCCCCGAGACGTAAGCAGCAGCTTCCGTGACATATTAAGATATCCGGGGGAAGAAAAGGACATCTGCGGCAGGTGGGATGCCGATTCTCCAGCCGTTCGCAATCTTTTTCAAAACGGCCACAGTCGCATTCCAACCGCATGGAAGCATCCCTTCTGCCATACATCTGCACAGGCTATTGTTCACAATGCATTTATGTCGGAATCAGGTTTGAAAGAAGATAGCGGGTTGTTTCTTCATCACTGTATGAATTGTGGGTGCAAGCTCCAACTCCTATCATTCCACACACTCGTTGTCATGGCCTTCTATCTTGCAGAGAAGGGTAGGCCTGGTGAAACTCTGTTTGGCGCCCTGGCTCTTCTTGTCTGCCTACTTCAACTATATCCAGAATATTCGCAGACGTGGACTTCCTCTACAGCTGAAGTGTCAATCGAGGATATTTTTGGCACGGCCAATCCCAACCGATGCTGTCACGAAAGGTTAGATGCTTGCGGCTTAATGGAGAAGGTCCCACAAGCCGTTATCAACCGCTGGAGTGAGGACTGTCAATTAGGATGGAAATGCATTTTTCAAACCTTTCGTTTGGCCATGAAGGGTCACATTCAAAGAAAAACTGCCGACCGCGAGGATGGACAGCCAGGGGACACAAGCGAGTCGAACATTGACATCAAAGACAACAATCAACCGACCAGGGACAGGATCTGCCTACGGCATCAATATATCCCTTGTCCAAATCCGGAGCTTGGTTTCCTTTGGGCGTGCATTCAGACCGAGCTTCTTACATATCGAAGGATCAAAGAAGGCGATCCTTGGATCTCACGAAACTTTTCAATGAGAGCTTTACTAAAGTGGTTGGAGGGTGAGTCGGTGGGGTTCAATACCCCATTAGTGGAAGATGATATGATGAAAGAGCACAGCTCGTGCGGGCTGTTTGGCGGCGAGTATCTTCCTGTTGCGGAGGACGTATGCAAGGAGCATTTCATGAATATGGACGACTACAAGAGGATGTCCTTCATCCCACAATGCAAATACTAATGAAGTCGTACAGTTGTCAAAGTACAAACACAAGGAGAAGTACTGGGAAGAAGGTTTCTACAAGTTTAGTTCAAATGAATTTCTGTCACAATCAACTCTTGCACATCTGCCTTTTCAATTGTTTTTGATTAAGTATCTTGCTCTAACTGCTCCCTTCCGCGGCCGTTAATCGCCGAGATCGCCAAATGTGCCGTTGCTCATCCGCGAGAAGCGGTGGTGGCGGTCATCCATGCCGCCTCCGTCTGCCGAACGGTCACGCGTAGTTCGCCTTGACCGTCCGCTGCTCAGCGTTCTCGCCGGCGACGGCAGCCGAAGAAGGGCAGCCTGTCCACGATGTGGCGTCGTCAGGCCGTGCGCACCGCCGACTCCCCCATTCCCGACCCTGCGGGCTTTGCTGGTGACCAGATGCTTGGCCACGCCGCCGTGCGCCTTCGAAAAGGCCTCCCAGCTGCTCTCGTCCGGCTCGCCGCCGGCATACTCCCCATCTGTGACAAAAGAAAGACCCCGTTGTGACTCCTCCGCGTCGGTACGTGTCGTCCAGCGAGACAGACGCGTTGACGTGCGGTTGCTGCTGCCAGCATCGTCCTCGGTCGGCAGCTGGGACCGCATGCTCTCATCGCTGCTGGAACCGCCTACGACGCCCCCCCGCATGTATCGTGACAGGCGGGACATCCAGCTCCACCGCTGTTGTTGTTGTTGTTGTTGTTGTTGTTGTTGTTGTTGTTGTTGTTGTTGTTGTTGTTGTTGTTGTTGTTGTTGTTGTTGTTGTTGTTGTTGTTGTTGCTGCTGCTGTTGGCTACTGCTTCCGCCGGCAAACCGTGAGCCTACCGCTGTCTTGTTCCGCAACTTCTGCAGGTCGACGTCGGAAAAGCTGCTGCTTCCGCTGCTCCTGCTGCTTCGACTGCTCAAGCTGCTGCCGTTGCTATTTCGTCGATCGTAGACGGGCGGCAGCACGCCCACACGGATCCTGATCTCGGTGGACTGCTCAGTATCGGCATAAGCATGGGATGTGGCCGTCTTTGACATATCTTGCACCTCTTGCTCCTCCGGCTGAAGTCCTGACGGTGGATCCAGCTCGTGATATCGCCGCTCCACGGGACTGCCTGCATGACTCTTACGGCTTCTACCACGTCGGGAGAAGAGCGGGAGCCGTCCATGACTGTCCCGGCTGGTTATCCGTGACATCAGCCCGGACGGCCACCACCGCCCTTGTCTCTGGAAGTCCGTCGACGGCTGTTGTGGCCGCACCCAAACGCCCACTCCAACGGCCGTCATCTGGCGCTCGCCCGATAAGTCGGTACTTCCTTCCAGCACGTCGCCGTTGGGATACAGTAGCTGGTGTGAGCGGCGACGGTGGGCCACGACGAGGAAAATGGCGATTCCAATGGCCGTCAGCCCCAGCAGTGCAGCCATGATGGCGGCTCCGATGACGTTGCGCTTGTGGGATTTCCGGGCGGCTGTCTCCGTGGATTCCGTCGAGGCAGTCGTCTGCGAAGTGGCAGAAGCCGCAGCACCGCTGACGGCACTGCCTGTCGTTGCTGATGAAACCGCGGATCCTGTCGCTGAAGTGGAGCTGGAAGATGCAGATGCCGCAGATACATTATGACCGATGCTAATGTTGTCGTCGTCGTCGTCGCCGTCGTCGGTGCTTGCCGTGAGCGTCTTGATGTTCCGTGTCGTCGTCGAGGCTGTCATTGGTACCGGCGTTGGCGTGGGTTTTAATGCGGCCGGCGCAGTAGCAGCTGATGTCGCCCCGGCCAGCGTCAAACCGGGCGTGAGTGGATGCGTGGCCAGCACGGCGAGATCCACGTCCCGCCAGCGGATCTGCATGGCCGGGCCAACCGTGAAGGTGGCACCAGAGGTCGTGGCCGTGGTGCTCACACCCCAGATGCCGCCATGGAAGTCAGTGGTGTCGGACGTGCAGCTCTGTCCACTGTGGGGGTGAGTATGGCGAGTATAGAGAAGCAGCTCCGGAGGAAGTAGACGGTAGGACATACCTTGGGACGCAAAAGGCAACAGTCTCGCCAGGAGCTATAGCCGGGAAACCCTGGCTGGTGAGGGAGGTGGCGGTGAAGGAGCAGCCGGCACCGACTTGGAAGCCGTTTGGGCATATGGCAGGCGAATAAAATGGAAAGCCCCCGCCGGCCAGGTTGCTCGCCCAAGCAGGCGGATCACACGAATTGGGACCAGCCGAGGGAAAAGCGGGAAACTGGGACGGCAGCTTCGTGGTAGTGACAAGCCAGCTGGTCGAGCAGGTCGGTGCAAAGACAGTGGTGATCGCAGCCAGTGGGGCGGTGCCGCCATGGAGGCTGGTCATGGCAAAGGCGAGCTGTGGCAAGGACAGCCCAGATTGAAAAGAAGCATGAGGGAAAAAAAGAAAGGGCAAAATGCAAGAGGACAAGAAGAGAAAATACAAAGAGAAAGGACGAAAAAGGGACAGAATAGGGACGAAAAAGGAGGACAAAAAGGGAGGATGAGAAGAGATGATGTGTAAAGGAGAGGCAGAGTGGAGGAGACAGTGGGATATGAAGTAGGCCCTGGCAGAGAAGATGTGGAGGATGGACCGGGGAGACTGTTTCTGCAACATTAACCGGCGGATGCACTGTTGACCCAGAGCCCCGGATAAGAATGCACATCCAGGGCCGGTCAGTGGCATCTTCCGAGGCGATGTGCAGCATGGCGGACTAGGGTCGAGGAGAGCGAGAGAACGACTCGCGTCGCCGTGTTTGGCCCCGGCGCAGAGTGGCAAGCAGCTCGTGTCGGTACCAGTAGTCCAGACTTTAAAAAGGTCCAATGTGGGGTGACGATGCAGAGAGAAGGGGTGGGAGAGTAGAAGGGGCAAACGTGTCCAAACAACCACACGTCATCCAGGATCCCATTGCCAACGTGCAAATAAGCAAATGATAAAAAGAGGGCCAGCAAGAACAAAACGAAGTCGGTGCGCAGTTGGGCAGCTCAAAATTCGCACGATGTCGTATCGACGTCAGAGAAAGCCAGGGCAAGGTCGTATGAAAAAGCTGGCGTGTGGGCGGCTTAGACGAGAGACGAGCCCTGCTCCCGGTCGGCGATGAAACGAACGGACAGGGGGGCGGAAGAGGGGGGTGATTGCGCAGCTCTGTTCCTTTTCTGTTGTCCCTGTTGTCCCTGTTGTCCCTGTTGTCCTTGTCCTCTTTCATGTCGTCTCTGCGCTGGCGGAGTCAGTCTGCCTTGGAAGGATGGGCCCGGTTTCAAGTCTGCAGGCCTGTGCTTCTGCAGCTCTGCAGCTCTGCAGCTCTGCAACTTTGCAGCTATGCGCCTCAGGCGCGCAGCAACAGCCGCCTTCTGGCCCGCCCATCTTGACACACTGGTGCCGTCCAGCGGCCAACTCTGGCTTGGCAGCCGGCTGGTCGGCAGTCTCTTGCCGCTTCTCCTTGCTTCTCTGCATCGCGCAATGAAACCGCGCGATATGCTTAACGCCCCTCCCAGCGGCCTAAATACGAAAAGGGAAAAAAGAGAGAAAAAGAAGAAAAAAGGAAGAGGAAGAAAAAGGACCCATCTGGACCGCTCAAGCAACGACTGGGATGTGCACATCCGTCAGAGAGCTGCCAATCCGCACATCGCTCGTCCTCACATCATTTGCATCGTTGACATCGCCCACCTGGCTCGCATCGGCCGCATCGGGCACACGTTTTCGCATCACCCGTGTCATTCCTTTCAACAGCACCATTTTGAGCAGCCGGAACGGCAGCCGTGCGACTGCCTCCAACACCGGTACCGACGCATAAACGAGGCTTATCCGCCCAATAAAAACAAAGACCAAAAAGACTGGGAGACGGCCGTGCGTCTTCCACCAATCTCCTCTCACCGCCTCCCCTGTCGCCAAGGCCTGGCATGATCTCCTCAGGGATCTTATCGGCGTCACTCATAGCCACAGCCGTTCCTCACAGCCTCCCACGGCCTCTCTTGCAGTTCTTCACACCCTCACAGAGGCTCGACCCCCTGACCCATAAACGTCGCCTCGCCAAACTCTCGCTCGGCCAGTTGGAATAGCGGCAGTCCCTGGAAGTACGCGCTCTCGGGCCCGCCAATCGACTGCCAGGTGGCTTGCGCTTCCTCGGCCCCGATCGTCAGCAATTCCTCCCGTCGCCCGCCCACCGCTGCCTCGGCCGCCAGCTGCACCTGGCTGCACTTTTCCAGCATCACGAACCAGTTCACCGCTGCCTCAATCGACGGGCCTGCCGTCAGCAGTCCGTGGTTGCTTAGAAAAGCCGCTTTGCGGTTGCCGAGCGTCTCGGCGATGCGTCGGCCTTCTTCCGTCGCCAAGACGACGCCAGAGAATTTTCTGTCGAGGAGAGAGATGTCAGTGGGTGTCAATAAGAAGGGACTAAAACAGAAAAAGCGAAGCAGAGAGAGGGAAGAGAGGAAAGCGGGGAGCAGAAGGAGGGGAAGAGGAAAGAGGGGAATAGCGAGACAGGAAAGAGCGATACACTATCAACACCATCGACAACGCAATCACGGAATCACACTCACGGATACACGACCTGGTCATCATAAAACATGCAAAAATCCTGCGTCAACATGTCGAGCGTGCGGCCGGTCGTGCACATAGCACGGCCATAGACACTGTGTGAGTGCGCCGCGCACAGCACGTCCGGCCGGGCCTTGTGGATCTCCGAGTGGATAGCAAACGCAGCTGTTGGTCAGCAATCTGACATCCAGACGCATCCAGGAACATGCAGGAACGGCCAACACCCACCATAGTTTAGCATCCGGTTCCGCCCTCCCTCGATGACCTTGCCCTCGTGGTCGACCCGGATGAGGTCGTCGTCCGTGATCAGGGCAAAGTGCAGGCCGAACGGGTTGACCCAGAAGCTGGACGGGTCCACCGGGTCGCGCACAGTGATGTGGCCGGCGATGCCCTCCATGAAGCCGTGCTTGGCAAAGATGCGAAAGGCCAGGGCCAGGCGGTGCTTGAGGAAGCGGCGCTCGGCCGTCTTGTCCTCGAACGTGGGCGGGTGGCTGACGGCCTCCTCGACGTGGGCCAGAGACGGATCGCCCGAGCCGAGATCAATGGTGACCGGCTTGGCCTTGCCGGCCGGAGTGCCGTCCGTCTTAGTGGCGTCGACTGCCGAAGGCGCCATGGTTGCAGCTCGTTCAGAAGCTTAAGGGGCTGTTCTGCGAGGGGGACTTGTTGGATCGAATTTGGAGAACACGCAGCAAAGAAGCACGGCAGACAGACAGGATGTTCCTGGGTTCAGCTAGGGGAGCAAGATTGCTAATCTGACAGCATTTTATGGTCCTGAAGGCAATTCCCCCTCATCCCCGCGCTTAAAGGTGCAAGTCGGCCATGACGCTGATATCTTCCTATCACGGCTCCACAATGTCGGCCAACTCCGACCAGCCGTTATCGTGGAAGCACGATTAGTATTATCCCCGATATTAACAGCATTTGTACGAACTGACGTCTCTCCTAGCCTCCATGCTTTATTCTGCACATTTCGCCGTCTCCGGTGGTGGTACGGGTAAGTTACGTCTTACATGTGAAACATCAGCACCTGCAGCAGGCTATGCATCGCGAGTTTAACTACGAAGCCCTGCCGTGTCTTCAGCCATGCCAGCCGTCGCCAATGCGCAGCCTCTGAAACTGGCCGCTTACCAAGTCGCTGTGGTTAGACTAGTGTAAGAGAGGCCGCTTTACAAGGCCAACTGCTGCTTGCTTATACGAGCAAGTTCTCGTATCGTTTTTGCGACCACACAGTCGCCACACTACCCTACAATAGAGAGTGCAAGGCAGGCTAAGATCCAGCCTGGTTTCGCTACCGCGCAGCGTCCGATCTCCGCTTGACTTGCATGTCTTCAGATCGGGTGTTGACCTGGCTCTTCTGTGCCGATGTCTTGCCCGCGTACTATGTAGCACAGCACGGCCATTTGCATAGCCTGGCCACACAACCCCATCTCCCAGCCGGTCCTGCTGATGCCTGTCGGATCCAGGACCCTCACCTCATTTCCCCCTTTCATCTGTGGTAACCGACGTGGACGACAGCGCAGATGTCCTGTCCTGGACAAGGGCCATGGCATGCTCGTAGGCGACCCTCAGGAGACGGCCCGCCGGCCATTTGATGGCGCGTGGATGATACATAGCAGAGGCTGTGATGACGGAAGCCGTGGCGCAAGGACGACCATGTGACTATGGTGCGTGTGCCTCATAGCCTGGCCACCCCCACGCACCTGTATCTCAATAAAAGCAGTCGTGTTCTCGTGCGCGCAAATGTGTCAGAGATATGGGACCTCTGCGCGAATCAGGACTGTGTTGGCGCAGCATCCGTCTAGCAGCTGCTAGGGCAGAGATTGTGTGTGCAAACAAGGAAGGGAAGCCCTCTGCATGTGGTCGCCGGCCTGATCGGGATACGACTCTTCTTGCAGTAGTGGACGACAACGTTAAACTAGCTCTATCGGCACCCGTGCGCGACCGTCGTGTTGGCAGCAGCAGCGGTCCACACTGGCCTCTCTGTCCATGTGCTGTCGCACAGCTGCTGAGGCCGCTGTATCTCGACAGACGTCCAGTATTGTTCAGTGTGAGTACACCGAAGTATACAGAGTATTGCTCGCTCCTTCCTTCTGTCGCCGGAAGCCGGCCGCGCTTTCCGCCGCCATCCACCACCTCGGCCTGCCCCTCTCGTACTCGTATCCAGTCCCTCTCTTGGGCGGGGGCCCCCTCTAAGAAAAAAAATAAAAATAAAAAAAAGGTGGCCTCTGGTCTCGTTTCCACGTGGCCCTGTGGCCGTTCCTTTCCCTATTTTCTCTCGCGCCCTGGAGATCGCCACTTTTCTGTCTAATCGGTTTGCACCATCGTTTGATCGCCCGGCCGCCAATGAGAACATCTGGGCGCAAGCGCTCACTCAGACTCCCTGCGACGATACTACGACTATGTACAGCCGGTGCGGTCCGTCGGCTGTGGCTGACCTCGGCGCCAACACCAATCAGCCCTGCTGCTCTCTGTTCGCCCTCACTCTGTCGCCTGTTGTCGCCGCTCGTCGTGACGTTGCAGCCGACATCCCACGGTCTGCCGCCCTGCCGTCCTGCGGTGCTGCTGTCGGATGCAACCTCGACATTGTCGTCACCGACCTCCACCCACACCCCCCATCCTGCTCCCTGCTCGGGCTATCGCCGACCCCTCCCATATCATCTTCTGACTGCTCCCGCACTCGCACTAGTTTTTCTGTCTTTTTTTTTCTTTCTTCTTTCCCTTTTTGGCTGCCCTTTTTCTCGTGTCTTCCAACGGCTCGCTCGTCCAAAGTGCTTTCGTAATAATACCCCTCTAAACCGTTTTGGTCCGCACATCTTTCTTGCCCACCTTCTCTCGGCCCTCGTATCCTACGCCCTCCGATCTGAGCACAACGGATGGCACCTGCAGCATTAGTGGCTGCTCAGGCACGGCTTCTCTTCCCTTTTCTCTTTGTGCCGTCTCTTCCTGCCCATCTTCGCTTGTCGTATCTTTCTTCCGAACTCGCCTATTAGGCCTGTTTGCCTTGCAGCACAGCAGTAAAAAAAAACCGGCAGAAAAAACGAGACGTGATGATCTGGAGCCCACTTTTTGTCAAAAGAAAAAACACCAAACCATCCTCGACAACTCCGCCCTTCTCATTTGTATTTATTGTTCGCCTGCCACTCACGGCTCTTCATCCACCTCCCTGCGCACAGTAAGGCGGCACTTTTGTGTCCCCCACCTCTTTGGCCCTCTTTGAAGCCCGGCATCTGGCCCCTCCTTCGTTTACCTACATGCTTCTTTTGGCCATTCAACCAGTCACCGTTCTTCATCCTCGGCCGAGCCCTGCTCACAGCATTTAAAACTGTTGTTTTTTTGTCTCTGCCTTCCGGCCTGGACTACAACTCATTTTACCAGACGCACTCATGACATTCGTCTTGCGTTAGCTATTACAATTTCGAGCAGCTCGCCCAATCGACACGCTACTCATCTTATGGCGATGGCCGCCGCCGCCGGCTGGAATCTCGGCCCGGGCGCGGGCCCCAGACATGATGACAAGCTCACTACCAAGACCCTTAACGCTCTGGAAGATTTGGCCATGATCATTCCCAAACTCACCTGCAGGCTTGAGGACAAAGAGCAGCTGGAAGAGCGTCAGCGCACACTTCTGCAGAATGGCGGCTCTATCCAATCCACAGGAGGTGTAGGCGAGCAGGTCCGGTTTCGTATTCGCGAGAGAATTGGCGAGGGCACTTTTTGTGTTGTCTTCTGCGGCGAGCTATATCCAGAGAACCCTGCAGAAGGGGAGGAAAGGCCGATTGCATTGAAATTTGCAAGTTGTTACCGAGGACAAGCCCTCAAAACAGCCCATTTTCTAACGCCGAAAACTCCCACAGGAGCTTCGACAAACAGATTCTACGCAGCTACGTAACGAGTACCGTTATTATACAAGAAGTTCGAAAACGCCCGTAAGTGACCTGCACCAGCTCAGACCCACGTTCTCCTTCCCTTCTCATACTCACTGCAATTAGACGGCATCCCCAGGATCTACGCTTTTGGAGATGTAAATTCCCGTAAGGTCCTTGCCATGGATCTGCTCGGCCCGTCTCTGGAAACACTCTTCCAATGTTTTAACCGTAGGTTCTCTGTCAAAACCGTGGCCATGTTAGCCAAGCAGATGGTTTGTCATAGACCTTCTTCCTCGTACACTGCTCAGCACAATGTTTCATTGACACTTTGACTTTTTAGCTCGCGAGGATCCAAACTGTACACGATTGCGGTCTTATCTACAGAGACATCAAGCCGGACAACTTTTTAATTGGCATACCGCATACGGCGGATACTGCCACAATATACCTTGTGGATTTCGGCATGGCCAAGGTCTACCGCGATCCCGAAACTAAGGAGCACATACCTTACGGCGAGGCACAGTCCTTGTCCGGCACGGCTCGGTACATGAGCATTAACGCCCACTGTCGTCGCAGCCAGTCTCGCCGCGATGATCTCGAAGCCATCGGCCATGTTTTCATGTACTTTTTGAGGGGAAACTTGCCGTGGCAAGGCGTCAAAGCACCGCAGAACGACCAGCGGTACGAGCTGATGTGCGAGAAGAAGCAGGCCACAAGCATTGAGGATCTGTGCGGAGAATATCCAGAACAGTTCGCCGAGTACTTGGCATACACACGTGGACTCACATTCGAAGGCGATCCGGACTATGACTACCTTCAGGGCCTTTTCAGCCAGGTGCTTTCTGGCCTCGGAGAGTCGAATGATGGTGTCTACGATTGGCTCTTGCCCAAAGGTACCACCCAGCCTACACTCCCTGTCTCCGTTGCAGAGGCTCAGGTGTCTGCCGAACGGGGTCCACAGCCGGACGCGGACAAGACACCGGCATGTTCTGCAACCGAAAATCCACCGCCATCATCACCACCTGGAAAGCGGCGCCGATCCGAGTTTGTTTCCGACCTTGTGCCACCAATGCGTATTCGGCCAAAGATAACCACCTTTTCCTTTTATGACGGCGACGCACAGTTTGCATTAGCTACCGTTCATCGTGAGATAATGGCCAAAAGATATTCCTTTCGTCGAGCTGTCGGTGGTGGCGGCCGATCGGCCCCGTCCTCGGCCATGGCGGCGGCTGTGGCTGCGGCGGCGGCGATCAGCGGCCCAAGCAACACGCTTAGCAGTTCCTATTCTCGCTTCAGAAACCCTGTCCGGAGTGCGGCTACAAGTTTGGTGTCTCCTGCATTTACGGACCTGCTGGACTCGACCCTGGGAGCGATCAACTCGGAGCTGGAAGACATGTCGGACAAGATGTTGCAAGGGGGTGACTGGACCGGAATGACACGCGTCAGAGCCTTGTTCGACAAGCTTACGGGCGCTGTGCAGCGGGAAATCCAGCGGCTGCAACATATACAACGGCGCTCCAGCGAAAGAGCGGCATCTGAAGCCCAAGCCCAGACCTCCCCGTCCTCCGATTCTTTACAGCAGCCTCCAGCACAAGTCATCGTGGCCAAGGGAAGGGGTGAGGGAGAAGGAGGGATGACCGAGGACATCGTGGTGGATGTGGAAGAGCTGATGCTTGAAGGCCAGACAGAGACTAGGCCACTGCCGGTCGCAGAAGCCGTGCCGACAGGCCTGTCGGTCGGGTCCAAGGACGACGAGATTGAGCCGCGCAGGACTACGGCAGATGCCGATCCTGTTGCTGCCCCAGCGAGTCCGTTGCAGCCAAAGATGGGTGCCCTGTCGCTCAATATGGGCCCGCCGCTGGATGCGGATGACACAGACAACAAGCTCGAGGCTGGTGACGAAAATGCCGATGACGACGACAGCGCGTTCGCTTTGGTCTACCGAACGGCATCGGGAACACAAAAGGTGCTGCGGATGCCTGGCGGACGCAAGCCCGAATAGTCAAACTGCCGGTCCGTTTCTTGCGTCAGGGTACTCCGTATAGGGGTTTGGGATGTTTTACGGCAGCCTTTATGAATGATGAACAGCAAAAATACCGGTCACATGTTCTTCAAGAGGGGGTCTGTTTTATGTCTGTTTCTATTTTTGGTACCACGGACTCCTCTCGACATGGTGACTGTGCTACGGGGCGATCTCGCTGTCCGATTAACCGGCACTGGTACAAAGGCTCTTGTGTCCTGCCCCGTCCTCCCGCCTGTCTGCCCAGCACACGCTGCCGCCCACGCGACAAGGACTGAGTGCTTAAGCGTAGAAATTGACAGTCTGTGAGGGTTAGCCAACGAGTAAAGACAGAAAGCAGGTAGAGACAAGAGGCAATACGCACGTCCTTCTTCTTGGCCTGGACCTCGGCAATGGCATCAACGTAGTGCTCATGGCTGATGCGGTTTTTGCCCATGCGAAGGGCGATCATGCCAGCCTCGACGCAGACGGCCTTGAGCATGGCGCCGCCAAACTCGTCGGTGCTGCGGGCCAGTTCGCCCCAGTTGACGTGGGCATCGATCTTCATCTTGCGGCTGTGGATCTTGAGGATCTGCGCCCGCGCCTCCTCGTTAGGCAGGGGGAACTCAATCTTGCGGTCGAGGCGGCCAGATCGCAGCAGCGCGGGGTCCAGCACGTCGACACGGTTCGTTGCCGCCAGCACCTTGATCCGATCGTCGGACGCGAAGCCGTCTAGCTGGTTGAGCAGTTCCAGCATCGTCCGCTGCACCTCGCGGTCGCCGGACTTGGTCGAGTCGAATCGCTTCGTGCCGACGGCATCCAGCTCGTCAATGAAGATGATTGCCGGCGCCTTCTCCTTAGCCAGGGCAAAACAGTCGCGCACCAGCTTCGCGCCGTCGCCGATGAACATCTGCACCAGCTGGGGGCCGGCCAGCTTGAGAAAGGTCGCGTCCGTCTGGGCTGCGCATGCACGCGCCAGCAGCGTCTTGCCGGTACCGGGAGGACCGTACATCAGGGCGCCTGCATCAAAAACCTGCTGTCAGCGCCAATGGCTCCTTTTGCCTCTTGCCACACTGTTGCTCGCGCCGCGTTGGACTTACCCTTTGGTGCCTTGATACCGATCTTCTTGAAGCGCTCGGCCTCCTTCATCGGCCACACAATAGCCTCGACCAATTCCTCTATCTGCTTATCCAAGCCGCCGACATCACTGTACTTCTCTGTCGGCTTCTCGTCAACCTCCATGGCCTTGACACGGCTGTCGTACTCGGCCGGCAGAGTGTCGAGAATGAGATACGAGTCCTTGTTGACACCGATGAGGTCGCCCGGCTTCAAGGTCTCGGGGTCGACCAAGCCGATCAGAGGCAGAAAGATGGTCTGCCGCGTAGAGGTCTTAATCACTGCCGATTTGCCTACCCGTGTTGCGTCGAGGTCGATATTGGCGCCCTCCTCCGATGACTCCGCAGTAGGATCAAGATCTAGCAACTCAACCACATTGCCGACAAGGTAAGGAAGCTGCCTGAAATGAAGAGAAGCAATGTGTCAGCGAATGGCCGGGTCGATAGACTATGCGCGGACAAGTGGCCAGAGAGCAGGGAGGGGGAGGGGTGAAGGATTTACCGGTTGTTAGCGATCTTGTCCTGGTTGTCCTTGATTTTCTCGGCCATTGTTGCTCTTTCGTGTGACAGGCGCTGGTACTCGCTTCGCATTATCCGGGATTCGTTTTCCAATAGTCGTCGGCGGGTTATGATTTCCTGGGTGCTGAGGCTGAGAATCTCCTCGTCCAGCACGTCATCCTCTTCTGTCTCGGCATCCTTCATGTCCTCGTCGTCGGCGTCTTCTACCGTGGCGTTGTTTCCGGAGCCGTCTTTTTTGCCCCGGCCGTCCTCCTTCTTCTCGTCCTTGTCTTCACGGCCATCGTGCTCAAGATCGTCGAGCTCCTCGAGGGTGGACATGGTGGCAGTAGGGCGGGAAACGGACAGGCGAACGAGCTCGAAGTGACAAAGTCGAGTTACAAGGTAAGGGGAAGGTGGATAAAGATAGAGGACCGGACGAATTACAGAAAAGTTTGGTGGTCTGCGGTGGTCGGGATTCGCAGCAGATGGGTGAGGGATGAGCGAAGCTTCTATTCTGGTCCGGGTTGACAAGCTGTGTGCATGCAAGGCAGGCGCTGTAGCGCGCGTCACCCGCCACGGCGTGGCGGTGCGCAAGTAGGCGCCACGAAAATCACGTGCACGGTTAAGCCACACTTTGTACGGAGTATACTTCGTGATTGGAATCAATTGCTTCTGACAGATGGGAGACGAAACAATTTGGAAATAAGCAGGCAACCTTCCTCAACGCCAGATTAGACGGACACAAGCACAAAAACTCGGCGCAGCCACCTGTGGGCCCATTGCAAGTGGACTAGAGATAAAAAAATGTACAATTCTCAAGGGGCAGCTGGACGTAGACACTCCACAACCAGGGCTACTCGTCGTCGACGATCTTGTTTGCGATGCGTCCGAAGAAGGGCACTTCAAATCTAGACAGGGTCAGTCAGATGGTTCAGGAAGCTGGAGATTGGAGTTGGTAAGGGGAAGGGGCGAATGTGTCTTACCTGTCGAGGGTGTCAGCGTCGCGGTAGGCGTTGTAGGTCAGCCAGGCCATGAGGCCGAGGTCGGCGAGGAAGATGAGCCAGCTAAGCACGGTGGACCAGGAGAAGAGGAGGTGGAGGACGAAGAAGGCGGTAAAGACGAGGCTTGCCTGCCAGGCGTGGAATCTGGTCTGGTCAGAAGGTGAAGAGTAGACGAACAGCGGACAAACAGAAGAAAAGAACAAAAAGGACAAAAAGAACATAAACTTACCGGACGTAGTCACTCTTGCGCTCGAGGATGAGCAGCAGGATAGAGCCGACGGGTGGCAGGGCGAGGTAGGCCAGACAGGCCTCGTAGTCGAGGCGAAGGCCGAGGCTGGTGTCGAACTCGCTGATGACGTTGTCGCGTCCGTCGTAAGGATCGAGCGAGCCGCGGCGGCGGCCGTCGTCGCCGTCGCTGATGCCGCCGCTAGCGCCCTGCTGATACGAGTAATATGTCGGGCTAGGCATGCCGCCAGCCCACTGACGCTGCGGCTGCGGGTGTTGCAGCGGCGGCGGGCTGGCCGTGCTGGTCGTCTTGGCCGCCGGTGACGCGTTGTTCTGCTGGCGTGGCGAGAAGCGCGGCCGCTCGAGCGACGTGCGCGGCGACGGTGCCGGCGGCGAGAACGTCCGCTCGTTCTCGGGCGACGACGACTGGTACGGCGCAAAGTCCATTGTGTGGAGGAGGGTGTATATGTAGAGGAGATTCGTCGAATCGTCAGCAGACCATCTCGCACAGAACACGGCTGGGTCGGACGGCGGGTGGGCTGGTCGGCCTGGTCTGGTCGGCCGGCCTGGACAGGTGGGGAGATGGGCACAGTGGGTGCAGGACGGCCACGAGAGCGGATGGATGACGACGCCAGGAACAGAGATGAAGCAGCGGTGCACAGGCAGCAATAGTATACAGTGCTTGATTTCAGCTCCGAGCCGCAAGCGAGCTGTTGTCACAGTATGCACACTGTATGGGTACTGTACAGCGCACGCCTACTTGCATATCTCCAACAAGCTCCATATTTATGTTTGGATGTACGGAGCAAAAATATAGTACAGTGTGCAAGTGCGGTTCTGGACCGGACTCTGCTCATGCCTGGGTCTCCCGGGTCTCTTGGCTCTTTTTTTCACCGTCCTCCTCGAGCATAGTCCTGCGGCTCTCCATGGTGAGCCAGAGGTTCTTGCCGGCACCCTCGAGGGCGGTGGTGAGGCCGAGGCCGGCGGCCTGGAGCAGGGCGACGAGCTGTGCCTGGAGGCCGGTGCGGCCGCCATTGATGGCGCCGACCCAGCGGACACCGTCAGCGTCAAAAGCCCTGCCCTCGACGCGGCCGCCGAGGAGGAGGAGCTTGGGCAGAGCGGCCTGCACGACCGGTTCGTAGTAGCCCGGGTTCTTCTTCCGGCCGGGGGCGGGAAAGGCAGGCGAGACGGGGGCGAGAACGGAGAGGGCAGCAGCCAGATGAGCGGGCGAGACGGCCGGGAAGGTCAGCACGGCAAGAGGACCAGTCATGAGCGGTGCGAGCTGGCCGTAGACGGAGCGGTCGGCCGCGGTGACGCCGTCGGATCTGGCCTGCTGAACGGCAGCGTAGGCGGCAGCCGAGAGGTCGTGTGTGTAGGTATGAGGATTCTGAGACGTCTGGGACGTCTGGGGTTCCGGCTCATAAAACTCGGTCAGGCGCAGGGCCACGTCAAAGATGCGGGTGCGGATGACCTGGAGGCGAATGCTGGCGGCCAGGTCGACAGGCCAAGCGATGCCGTCCAGAGCCTGCTGCTCGGCAGCACGGTCGAGAGCGAGGGCGAGCTCGCGGCGCACGGCGGTCCATTCGGGCCCGGTCAGGTTGCCGTGCTGGAACACGAGCATCAGCGGAGTGGAGCGCAGCAGCGACGTGTAGGACCGCAGCAGCTGCGACTTGCGAATGTCCGGCCGCTTCGCGCTCGGCGGCTGTGTCGGCGGAACGTAGTCAGCTGGCAGCACGAGACGGCCGCCGGGGCCGACCGTCACGGCCGCTGCCATGCGTGCGGTCGTGTGCAGAGGAGCAGTCGATGCGGTCGATGCGATCGATGCTGGCGATGATGCACGTGACAGGCGCAGGGAACAGGCCGGTCCCTCGGCCAAGCTCCGGCGTAGCAGCTGCGCAGAGCACATCGGAGGGGCGAGCCGCGGAGGCATGGTGGCAGAACAGTGCAGGCGTTGTCCGTCGAACCAGGGCTGTGAGGGCGTGCAGGCCGGTCGACAAGAAAACTCGGCATTGGAAAAGAGCAGAAAAGGCCCCAGACAGAGTGGGCAGTGCACGGACCATCCGGATTGGCTGTCAGGGACCAGAATGGTGTTCTGCCGCCTGTCACCGCCCATGACACATCCTGAGCCCTTTCAGCGTCTTTGGATGTGTCAATGGACAGGGAACCAGAAGGAGACGGTTGAAGAAACGTTTGTGAGTCATTGAGTGCCCGCCGACAGCCCGCACGACAAAGAGACGGCACGACAAGACGCAATTGGACATTCGACGTGGTGGGATCGGTACAAGGCGACCCCTCTTCCCCACTCGAATCTTGCAGTCACGACCAGACATCCTCGACCACAACCAGACACGATGGCGACGCAGACAGACGCGGCAGCGACGCAGCCGCTGGAGACGGTGGACATCAAGCCGCTGCTGAGCCGGCTATGGCCGCTGTCGGAGGATGACCGGGAGCCGCTGGCGGGGCCGATTGCGGACGCGATCGCGCTCTTCTTCACGAACCAGGTGTCGGAGGCGCAGTCAGGCGCTCTGCTGATGTGCCTGCACTTTACGGGCCTCGACCGGCAGGCGGACGTGATGGCGGCCTGTGCGGCGCGCATGCGGCGGGCAGCAGCGCCGGTGGCAGCGGCACCGCTGCGAGCGATCATGGCGCAGCAGCAGCCAAATCTGCAGGTGGGCAACTATGGTGGCGGGCTCTGCGACATTGTGGGAACCGGTGGTGATTCCCACAACACGTTCAACGTGTCGACGGCGTCATCGATCGTGGCATCGGCCTGGTTGCGCATTGCCAAACACGGCAACCGGGCATCGACGAGCAAATCTGGCTCGGCCGATCTGCTGGCGAACCTGCATTATTGTCCTCAGCGGCTGGCGACGATCGAAAACGAGACAACGGATCTGGTCGACCTCGTGGCCGATCTCAGCTTCGTCCGGCCATCGACACTGCCGCAGATCTATGCCGCCACCAACTACGCCTTTCTGTTCGCCCCCGTCTTCCACCCCGGCATGCGCTTCGTCGCCCCCATCCGCCGCCAGCTGCCCTGGCGCACACTCTTCAACCTGCTCGGCCCCCTCGCCAACCCGGTCGATGTCGACGACGGCATCGGTCCCTCGCCTCTCGAGGCCCGCGTCATTGGCGTCGCCCGTCGCGAACTCGGTCCCGTCTTTGCTGACGCCCTTCGCATGGCTGGTGCCCGCAAGGCTCTCATCGTCTGCGGCGCCGAAGATCTCGACGAAATCTCCATCGCTGGCCCTACCTACTGCTGGGCTCTTCGCGATAACAGCATCACTCCCTTCTGCCTCGAGCCTGCGGACTTTGGCGTCGCTGCCCATCCGCTCTCTGTCGTCTCCCCCGGTCGCGAGCCCGCTGAAAATGCCGCCACTATGCTCTCCATCCTCAACAATGAACGCTCCCCTGATGACCCCCTGCTCTCCTTTGTCCTCATCAATACCGCTGCCCTTCTCGTCACCAGCGGCCTCTGCGACGACGACAACGACTCCGACCGCATCCCTGATCGTGGCCCCGGTGGCGGCCGCTGGAAGGATGGCGTCCGCAGAGCCCGTCTCGCTCTTGCAACTGGTGAGACCCAGAAGCAGTGGCAGCGCTTCGTCGAGGTCACCAACCAGATCGTCCCAGCCTCCCAGGAGGGTCTTCCATAGACGGGATAGAAACCAAAGGAAATCAATAAAAAAATGAACAATCTGAACGAATTGCTTGCATACTAAAAGTTGAGCTGACATTTTTGGTATATCAAAGGTCTTTTCAGCTAAGCACTTTCGTATCATGGGCTTATGTCATCTGTAATCAGCGCTCTAATGGTTCCCTCCCAGACTATCTTGTCTTTCTTCCCATCTTTTCCGTCCACTTCTTTCAACCTCCCCTCTTCTTTCCACTTCCTCTTACTCCCATTTCACTCCTCTCCACCCCTTCTCCACTTCATCGCGACATCACCCCCCGAACAACACCCGACAACAACGGCCGTCCCTCGATGCCAATGTCCACAATCTTGCTCTCCTTCGTGCTGCCCTCGTCCAGCCATCGGGCCAGCAAGTCGTTGCTCTCTTTGGGCTTCACCGACGCATCGCGCGTCCCCACCGTGATGTGAGACACCCGGTTGACACACGTCCACACCTCTGCGCCCTTTGCGTCCGAAGACACCAGCCGCACCACCAGCGCCATCAGCCGCCCATCAAACACAACTCGCTCCAGCTGCACGTCCACCTTCCCTAAATCCGGTCCCTGCCCTGGTGCTGCTGCCGCTGCTTCCGCCTCGTCCTGCAGCTTGGTGTACCGCTCCCACAGCTCCGGCCGCTCCTTGGCGCTCGCTCGGTGCATCAGCGTCACGTGGAACTCCGCCTGCACTCGCTGCATCTGTCGCAGCTGCTGGTAGAATCCCGACTGCTCCTCTGGCACGTCTTTGAACGTCTGCTCCAGGTACCTGTTGATCTCCTTGGCTTCCACCTGCACTGCCACGTACTCTAGCGGTTTCTTCTTGGCTGCCACCTTCTTGCCCTGCTCCTGCTTGTTCTGTGCTGCCTTGCTTCGTCCGCGATCTGGGATCGTGTGTCGCAGCTCCGGCCGGTACCCCTGGATCGCCGCCGAGATCGCCTCGTCGAGCTCCTCCGAGCTCGGCACCTCGCTAACCAGCTTCGGGTAGATACGGTGCAGCTCCCGCACCACCACCTCCAGGTTCTCGCGGCTGCTCGACGTTGGGTCCAGGTCGATCACCGCATCAAATCCGTCGTCTGGCGGCCGGGATAGGTCGCACGGCTGGAAGCGCTCAACGAATCCGTTCATGATGCCCACCACCTTGCCCGGATCCGAAGCCGCCTGGATCGTCTGGTGGTTGTCGCCACGTGCAAATACTCGCTGTTGCGTCACTCGTCGGACCTCCTTGATATTGTCGTGCACAAAGTTGAGCGCCACCAGCCGCGCTCCGACGTGCTGCATCTTGACGTCCGAGATCAGCTGCTTCCGCTCATGCCGCTGCGCGTTGTTCCGGTCAGCCACCACCGCCGGTGCCGTCTTCAGCTCGTCCAGGAGCATCCGCGTAAACCGCGGAGGCCGCTTTGGCCCGGTGATGTTGTCGTTCTGCACGTGGCCGTAGCCCAGCAGGTGGCTGAGCCCCAGCGCAATCGTCGTCTTGCCGCACCCAATCGTTGCGATGGGCACCAGGATGACGTCCTTGTCTACCTCGGAGATTCCTTCTTCGCCGCCTTGCAGAGCCTCAAACCCAGCTGCGTCTGCACCGTTGAGGTTTTTGAACGCCAAAAAGTCATTGCGCAGCTGGATAATCCCGTGGTTCTGCGTGTATAGCTTGCCTAGATTTGGGTTCGCCGCGATCCGTTTTCGCGCATACAGCAGGTACTCCTTTGTGATCGCCTGGTGCTTCTTGACCTGAGGAGCACGCCCCGAGATGAGAGCTTTGGTGCACTCGCGCCACTGTCGGTACATGAGATACGGCTCCTCAAACTTGTACTTGAAGAACCAGTCTGCGAACGGGACCGATGTTGGCTTCGGCGACATCTTGCAGCGGATCACAAACCCCTCGACATCCCGGCCGTCGTGTGCTCCAGACTCTGCCACCTGCTCCAGGAATGTCCGCACTTTGGAAATCTCCTCCATCACAATGAGCTCCGTCTTCCGAAAGCCCCACTGCTCCGCAAAGTTTTGCACCAGAGTGCTCGGGTATGTCATAAACTCCGGCAGATTGAGGTTGATGCCGTGGAGGTACAGACCTGCTTTGTCGGGGCCGTAGGCGAGAATGTGCTCCTCGAAGCTGTCGTCGCAGAGCTCGGCCACGGCCGTGATGTTGCGCGAACGAAGCTCGCGAGCCAAGTCTTCCTTCGACTTGCCCAGTCGATGCAGCTGTGCTGCAAGACGGGCCTCACCCGCACTGGAGTGGCTTAACGTCACATCGGCACGGTCGCCCGTCGAGTGCTTGCTGCACACAAGCAGTGTCCCGTCCTCGAGACCGGCCACAAAGATGATGCAGCCGTTTTCCTTCAGCGTGAGCTCATACGGCCCCTGTGTGCACTTCTCGATGTACTCCCACTGCGTCTCTTTGACCTCGTTGACGTTGAAGAACTTGTCGTATCCACGAACGGCGATCACTGGCTTTCCATTCGCATCCCGCGTTGTGAAGAATCCACGAGCATATGTGGGCAGGTCCGGCCGTTTGTAATCCCAGTCGTTGAACTTCCAGGCATCGACGTAGTGACCGTCTGGCGAGTCCGCCACATTGAACCGAGTCCGCTTGACACTGAACCCAGACTTCTGCTTCAATTTTGCCGCTTCCTCGAGAGTCCGGATAAGGTCGGCAACCTTACTTATATCCTGCTCCTTCATTGGGGGCTGGGCCAAAGCAGTTGCCGCCTTTGCAGAAGCAGGCTTCTCTGCCTGAATGTCGCCCATGATAAAAGACTTTGTACCGCTTGAAAACTGACTTGTGAAATATATGCTTGATGGAGAGTGTGTTCTGCCCTCAAAAGCGCTGGAGAAAAGGATTTTTGAATATGACGAGACTTCTGCTTGATTTTTGCGTAGAGAGAAGATGACCCGCGTTTTTAACGTGACATGTGCTCCTGTGAATGCAGCAGCGAAATATCAAAGCTCCCCTTTGAGCAGGTCTCTGCAATCTGACGGTTCAAGTGGAAAGACAGAATGGCATAAAGAGATAAAGAAATGAAGGTTCAACCTTTCCCGCCAGTGTACGGAAAGGAAGGGCTGAGAGGCAGACTCGGAGCGGAAGTCGACTTTCGACCAATCAAAATATACACTGTATCTTACAGCGGACGTCTTTTGCACAGCCTTCACATCAACCCTGTAATGCCAGGCGAGTCATTCAGAGATGTTATTTAGGCTGACCAGGAAGCAGGTGGGTTGAGAATTTTGGTGCGAGGCCGACCTATGGTGGGGCAGCCGGTTTTGGAAAGAATACCGTTTGTTGTCGTTGCACAGGCTAGCATCGTGCATCGCCCCTTCCGTCTCTTCAATAAACGGGCCAAAAGCGAAGACGCGTTGAAAGCAACTTTCTCCTTTGTGCCTGTCCCACAAGAAAATCGGTCGCTGTATATGGAGTAGAGTTTGCCCGAACAAGCTGCACAAACTTGACCATACTCTGTACCGCGACGTAAAAATCGGATTACGTAATCGAGAGAGCTAGCCTATTGATGCCTATTCTGCCCTCTTGAGAAGACTTAGTTTACCCGTCGCCATAAAGGCTCGAAATTGTAGTTGCAATTCGTCAAGTTCTAGGATGATCCTTCTTTGGCTTGGGGGCAGTGTAGCTGGAGTACCCCACAAAACGCTATGGATAGCAGGTAGGTCTAACAGAACAGCCCAGGGCGTGGAGGATCGGCCAGCACTCGAACCTATGCATAATCTCTTTACACTATCACCAGCCTCCAAGGTCGATATTACATGATCCACATGTTCGTTCCGCCAGTGTTGGCATTCTTACCGCTCATATTACCTCCATCTTGTGGCTTCTTCACAGTAGAAATCATGTTGATGGGTCACAATCCTAAGATACATGGCCATCGAAAGGTACAAAGGTCGGTGCCATTTCACCAATAGGAGAATGACTCATCGGCGTGTACATTAAAAATAGCTTGGTTGAGTAGTCATCTTTCTGTCAGCAAGGCGATGCCCATAATCATATGCCACGACACGTGCACAGTAATGGAGATGACATCACACATTTAACAGCACCTGCGACCCTTGCTTGCAAGCCATGACGAACGAGCACGAAAGGAGCACACCGTCAGTCATACTCTGCGCCATGGGGGAAAACACGCTCGTTAATTCTTGGCTCAGATTGCAGCACTCTACTCCTGGACTGACGTCATTGCCCAACAACACAAGCAGCCTGGATCAGAAGACAACTGTTTTAGCAGACTTTCATACAAACATACCAAGCACATAGTGTTAGGAAAGAAATAGCCTGTTAAACAGAATAATACTGGAAAGGACTACCGGGTGGGAACTAAGAGAGATCCCCGCATAACTGTGTCCCCAAGAGTGACGTGATTGATCGTTCGCCTTTGACCTGACCTAAAAACAGCGGATTCCTCACTTTCCAGATAATCTTTCAACTCCAATGTAACATCTCCTTGTGAAAACTCTAGGTGCATTTTTACCTAGATTTTTACGAGATCCTTCTTACAATCCAGCTTGAATTGGGCCTCACCCATTGTCCATCTTACGAAGCCATGAGAATCCTCTCAGCATTACTCACTCTCGCCCTTGTGGCAGATGCTGCTGTAGCAAGCAGCAGCTGGCTCACAAAGGCCGGTATGTTCTAGGTCATACCCCGCTTTAGAGCGCATTTGCGTGAACAAACTACTGATCACACATTTTACCAGCTTACAACAAGTGGCAGAAGACGGAGCTTGAGCAATGGCTCTCTGACCACGATATCCCGTACCCAACCCCCGCTGACCGAAAGGACCTCCAGGATCTGGTGCAGGAGCATTGGGCCGACTATGTTGTGCAGCCGTTCCATCACTGGGACAGCGATCAGCTGTCCTCCTACCTTGAACTCAAGGGCCAGGAGGCCAAGGAGACTGCGAAGGACGCAACAAAAGAGGGCAAGGAAGGGCTTCTTTCCCGTGTCCAGGAGGCTTGGCACGGGACTGAGGACCAGGTTCAGTCTGCTTATCTCAACGTGAAGGATTGGATTCTGGGTACCTGGACCGACAGCCAGCTCAAGGCATTCTGCGATCACCATGGAATTCCAGGTACGTTTATACGGGCCTACCTCTCGCCAAGGCCGTTTTTTATCTAACTATGCCAAAGTTCCTCAGCCTCGTACACATGACGTCATTCTACAAAAGGCTCGGAACGGCTACGAGTCTGTTTCCAAGAAGAAGCACCAGTCGCTCGGGTATCCCGGCAACTGGCTCTACGACACATGGAGTGGTTCGTATCGTCGTGCCATAACATTGCATTGAATGAGTACTGACATCCATAAGACTCGGATTTGAAGCAGTGGCTGGATGAACATGGATTCCCTGCCCCCCAGCCATCTAACGTAAGTTTCGCTCTGAAGCAGATTCGCCTTGCGGAATCTAACGTTCAATTTACAGCGAGACAAGCTGATCGCCACTGTTCGGCGCAACTCATATCTTGCGTACATCCAGGCCGGGGAAAAGACCGACCGCCTGAAGAAATCGGCACACGGAGTGTTTGAGAGCCTTGCAGACAGTGTTTTGGACACCTGGAGCGAGTCTGAGTTGAAGAAATTCTGCGATAAGAACGGGATCAACGGTAAGCCTGTCCAAAACCCTTTGATCATCTCACTCAGATCTACACTGACAACGTCTCTCAGTTCCTCAAGGAAGCAAGGTTGATGAAATACGTGCTTTGGTTCGCAAACGCCGTGCCGAGGTCGTTGGCGACACTGCGGCTGACCATGCCTGGGGGCTCTTTGGTGCAGCCACGACCAGGGCTGGTAATGAGTATGCCAAGGCGACAGATACGGTCTCTGAGGCCGTTCGTGCCGCTTTTGATGCTGCCGCGGACACCTGGTCGGAAAGCCGGCTTCAGGGTTTCCTGGACGCCCGTGGTGTGCCAGTTCCCCACAAGTCGACCAAGGATGAGCTGCGAGCCCTCGTGCGCAAGAATGCTCACCGCGTCGCCACGGGAGGGACCACCTGGACGTTTGACGACCTCTCCTACGAACAGCTCCGGGACTACCTGCTGGCATCGGGCGATAAGGCCGCCAAAAAGGCTGCCGACAAGAGTGGTGCCGCCCGTGATGACCTGGTCAAAGCTGCCCAGTCCGCATATGATTCGGCCTCCAAGGCTGGCTCTGAGCAGTACGCGGCAGCGACCTCGTACCTGGCTGCCGCGACCCAAGCGGCGAAGGGCAATATCTTCGACACGTGGAGCGAGAGCGAGCTCAAGGCGTATCTCGACACTTATGGAATTGTCCGTATAAACTCGTGTTTCCGGTTGTCTGTCTGTTACTGACCAAAAATGTAGCCCGTTCCACAAGGAAGCACTGTGAACGAACTTCGTGCGTATGCCCGCAAGCAGGCCACATACTTCAGATACGGAACCCAATCGCCTACTGGGACCCTGTACGCAAAAGCGAATGAGGGTATTTCGAGCGCCTCCAGCGGCTTCTGGGGCTCTGTCGACTGGCTTAAGAGCCAGCTGCTTATTGGTACAGAGGCTGCTCGCAAGCAGGCTGAAGCCCTGCGGAAGAAGTTCAACGACGAGCTTTAGCTGTGCTGTGCTATCACAATTGAATTGAAGGGTGGGCATTGACGGGATAGGAGACGTCGGATTAGTGCCAACTCGCAAATCCAGTCATAAAGCTGATCAACTGTTCCGTTACTTGGGTCAATACAAAGAAGAATTGCTTTGTATTGGCAGGAACAGTCAAGGTTCACCAAACTTGATTATTACTGTTATATACAGCACTTGATTAGAATGGCATTGGGATGAAGAGAGTGACTTGGGCACTGATGCGTCTGTAACGTTCATACAGCATCGGAGAGAAATACTGAGAATGAATCAACAAATCAATACGGGACTTGAGACCTTTATCCGGAATATCAGTACGGAAAACACGAAGTGCAAATAAACTACCGTGTATGGAACAGACATCAGAACATTAGGGGCCTTTCGCACAACTCCGTTGTAAATGTTGCAGTCAATGCTCAACTGCAGCGCTACGACGGAAGTAAACGTTCGACTGCAATAAGGGCCGTCGCCGAAGGCCAACACTGGCACAACTTAATCGGAGGGAAAGAAAACATTCACCGATTTAATGCACATTCTTTCTATACTTTGAGTCTGAATATGCAATACAGGATGTCGAGGATCATGAACACATTACTCGGACGACGTTCTTACAAATAGGTGATTCTATGTGTCTCGTAGATTGGCTTAGAAAACGAAAAGAATCATAATCATAATTATGTTCTTCACTGGCACGACAGGATGGTCCTCTTGCCGGCGACGATGTCGAAAATGGTGTAATATGCAAGAAACCAAGAGCTCAGTAGAGAATCAGATGCATGTAAGTTAATTTATTAAGACTGAGGCTCCCCGGCCTGTCGGCTCGATTAGAAAGAGATTGAAAAAACAATAACAGAATTTTTTGTGCAGCGCTTTCACTATCCCTTGACATGTTGGATTCCTCACGGGTCCCGTGAAGAAACATGAACTGAAGTCGATGTCGGTTCTGCCTTCTCCAGACACAACAATGAACCTTTCACCTAAAGACACAGCTCGTAGCTCTACAACAGGATGAACAATCGCTGGGACACCTTCCTTGTTCAGTGAATGAAAGATTTGCAGAGTCTTTGTTCATGTGCCTACCTTTGCGCAACAGCCGGATACATAAGTACTTCGACTCTCTCATCCTATCTCATCTGATTCCAAAAATACGATCATCTGCTCTGTCTTCTCTACTATTCATTATAACATTGCCGGCTTGCCAGTCTGCCAGTTCGTTTTGCACGTCCCGCATCGCCATCATACCAGTTCCCAAACGCCAATTACAACCAAATTCCGAATATGGCTATGAACGCGATGACTGGGGCTTCTGTGGCATCTTTCGACGTGCCTTTTGTGCAAATCACGGACGTACAGGCCTCGCGGCCTACCAAGGTAAGCAGCACCTACAGCGACCTCACGCCAGAGGCATACCTAGGTCGTATTGGCGGTGTCCCAACTACGGCCGCGCATGAGATATGGGCAGCAGCGCACAGCCTGTCAATGTATCTATCGAGTGCCCGAACGGAAGAGCAAAAGCGTGTCGAGCTTGGTCGGAACCTGGTTCGGCTGTGCATGCGGCACCGGGAGACGCTCCTGAAACACACGGTGAACAGCTCCCTGGAGGCCTGCGTCGTATGTCGCAACGTGTCGGTCCAGCAGGGCTCCATCAACGGTAAGTTCTCCTGCTGCTGGTTCCACCCAAAGAATGCGCAGCAGGCCCTGCTGACACGACTGGAGGTAATCGGCGATTATCTCTACAAGTCCCCGGAGGACTTGAGTGACGAGGTGATTCTGAAGCTGTTTGGCTCGATGTAAAGGGAGGATTTGTGATGGACGGGAAGTTTTTATTCAAATGTAAGTTGTGTCTTTCTTTCATTTTTCTAATTGATTTGTTTTGGACTGCACTGCATTGCGTATTTTCGCATACGAATTAAAGGAACAAGTTAAAACAAGTTGAACTTGTAAAGCTTCAGCATCTGGTGAAGTAAGTGAATATGACTGTGAATGATATTTGAAGAATAAAAGAATGCGTCTAGTCCCTTACAAGGGGCCATACTTATAGCACGTTCTGTCAAAGTAGAAAACAACTGCATCCAATAATAGGGGACCCTTGACGGAGATCCTTGCTGGGCGAGCCTGAATTAAATTGATTGACTAATTCAACTAAAGAGTTACAGGCTGTAGTTCCCATCACAGAGTCACTCGAGCCGAATATGGTCATGTTTGCCCATGTTGACAGCGTTACAGGGTGCTTAACTTTATGGGTGGCCGACAGATGGTATGGAGCAGAGCAGGAGCTGTACCAAAAAGAAGGGGAATGAGAGCGTGGATGTTTCAGAAAGAGGGACGTCACGAAGCTAGTTAATAGACTGGAGCTCGGTTTGCAATATCACCTTTTCTCGTCAGAAAGACCTGGCTATATAAACTGTATAAAGTAGGATTTGTAACACCACGGTGAATGCAGGTTAAATGGCTCAGCAACGATGCAACCGAGGCTCAGCGTCTCAAAGAGAAGATTCGGGACTTTGATTAAAAAGTTCGAAATGTCATGTACACTGTCGGATGCTTAAAGGCTACACTTCAGGAGCTTTATGGGACGACCCCGGCTACGGTTCAGTCGGAAGATGGATGACCGCTGTTGACCACAGAAAAGAACTGTGAAGAGTTGAGAGTGGCGCATATATTTAGTGAAGCTTAGAAGATTCAGTCAAGATATGAGTAGTGAATAGGACAGAACAGGTCCTGAAAGGGAACATGCCTCTTATATTGACAGTCTTTTGGTGTAAGGGGTCCTACCTTCGAATGCATGTCAGACACAATGCGATGGAGATTTGTTCGCATAGAGATGCCGGTTTGACTTTCAGACGAAGTGAGTCATGCATCTCGGCTACATCACATTATACGTTTCAGGTAGTAGCCAACGTGGTAAAGATTTCCGAGTTAACTTCCTCCAGAACCCTGTCAGAGTTCACGGGATTTTAAGACTGTTATTTTCCCTGCATCAGCTTCACACATATTCAACCTTAGCTGATCTTGCCACCTTCCATTTAGCCTCCGCGCTAAAACGCCATCCAGCAGTCATGGATTCTATGTAATCCAAATATAGCAAGTTTGGCCAATACCGCTACTCAAAGCAGTCTACACGGTCTGTATTTCTCATCTACATAGTCGTGTCGTTTACCAATATAGCTGACTGTAATTAGGTTCTATCGCATACGCCTTACGATGACGCATGGTGTTGCTTGCCAAGTCTTAGACATCTGCTGCTCTTACCGGATGTACTGGAACATCGATAGCTGGGCCGGTCTTAGTTTCAAAGATATTTTTTCTTGTTAGGTACCATCGTCGTGGTCTGTTGTCTACTTGCTAATGTCGTTCTAGAATTTCGGGCTTATGAAGAAGTATGTGGAAGCGTGCTATAAGTGTTTGGGATCCATAGTGGCAATGGCTTGGTATAAGCAAAAGGTACACTGCCTTTTCTTGACGCTCCAATTTACCGTTCTGGCAACCCCTCCCTACGCGCCCAACAACGGCATCATACGCTAGCAATAGCAACCATTGAACCAGCCCCCGTAAGACACGTTTCCCTTGGCTTACATAACTGATTGTTCAGGTTGGGCATCTACGACTATAAAAACCTGAAATGTTCTAGGTGAACTCATTGTACGCTTCGTCTTGTAGCACAGTTTGGCTCTTTTCAGATCCGACACTTGTGATAATGGAGAACTCGGCCATCAAGATCCTGATCATGGGCTCATCGAATGTCGGAAAGACATCCTGTAAGATGTGCTCTTTTTGGCATGTGGGCCGGAGGCTGCGAGTTTTTGTGCCAGAGGCCTACCAACTGATGCCTTTCCGCAGTGCTTCAGTGCTATCTTGATCCCGAGTTCGGTCTTGGAAACCCGGCGTCTACCATAGGCACGGTGTATAATGTGGGTGCAGCATTGGGGATTAGTGATGACTGGCGATGCGGTCTAACAGTACGCAGAGTAGGCACATGCGAGTGCGCGGTATGACGTACCGCGTGGATCTGATCGACACCGTGAGCAGACAGTGTTGTCCCTTGTTACTTCGCAGAACCATACCGTGTCTCACATCCTTCCTTCTCTCTCTGCAGGCCGGCCAAGAACGATTTCGCGCGCTTCCGATGCATTTCTACCGCGGAGCCCACGGAATCATCTTTGTCTACGACCTGGCCAAGCGGAAAACGTTTGACGAGTTGGAGGGCTGGGTGGCCCAGGCGGAGACCAATATTGTTCCTGGAGCAGGTGACAGTGGCATCGCGTGCCAGTACGGTTTCGTTGGCAACAAGCTAGACCGGGCGACCGCGCTCCGAGCTGTGAGTACGGTAGAAGGCACAGAGTTGGCTCGCCGGCTGGGCCAAGGACATGGCAGCGACGGTGATCGTGCCCTCTACTTTGAGACGAGTGCAATGCTTGGCCAGAACGTGTCTGAGCCCTTTGGCGCGCTTGTGGACTCCATCGTGGCATTGTTACAAGCGGCCAGTGTCGTGGCAGTGCATAGGCCAAGGACCACGGTGCGGCTGAACCGCAATCTAATAGCCGCAGGCTGGGATAATGGCCCGAACAGAGGACAGAGCAGCACAAGCCGTTGCTGCTAAGGGGAGACAGCAGGGTGGAATTATAGCCGGAACGTCTCGACCTGTTGAACATTATACATATATGCATTTAATGGATACACTGTCAAGATACATATACGTTTTACACGCCGTGACGAAGTCACGTGGCAACAGTCATCCGGGCCAGTCCGATAAGCGGCCAACATGATGGAGCCGTTTCCGTATTTGGATGTAATTAGTGGTGGCTTATCGCGGCTATATGTCAAGTGTAGTCGTCCTCTTGTTTGGTTTTTATGTGTAGAGCCCTTCAGCCTGTTTGGTCGGCTCTTTCAGTAACCATACTCTGTATTCGACACACAAAGATGGCCACGCCATTCGACCTGGTGATCACCAACGGGGTGTGTGTGACCGCGTCGGACGTTGCAGCACTGGACGTGGGGATCCTCGATGGCAAGATCGCAGTTTTGGCGCCGTCAGGGACACTGAGAGATGCTGCAACGGTGCGACTGATCGATGCAGAAGGCGGATACGTGATGCCTGGCGGAGTGGACTGCCACGTGCACCTGCAGGAGCCGAGTCTCTTTGGCAAGGGCTCCTCGGCGGACACGTTTGAGACGGGGACGCGATCGGCGGTGGCAGGCGGAACGACGACGGTGGTGGCGTTTGCGCCGCAGCAGCGCGGCGAGCGGTCGCTGCTGGCAGCCCTGGATGCGGCGCAGGCGCTGGCGGCAGGCCGTTGTCACTGTGACTACGGGCTGCACCTGCTGGTGGCGGACGCGAGCAGTGAAGCGCTGGACGAGGTAGCAGCGTTGGCAGGACGTGGCGTGACGTCGCTCAAGATCTATATGACGTATGCGGCGCTGCAGCTGCGTGACGGGGAGATCCTGTCGGTGCTGGCAGCGGCGCGGGCGAACCACATCCTCACAATGGTGCACGCAGAGAACGGTGACGTGCTCGAGTGGCTGACAGCGCGGCTGGAGGCTCGAGGGCTGGTGGCACCACGATTTCACGCGCACTCGCGACCGGGACTGCTGGAGGCCGAGGCGACCGGACGAGCGATCGCACTGGCCGGACTCGTGGCCCAGACGCCGATCCTTCTGGTCCATGTCAGCGACGGCGAGGCGGCCGGACGGATCCGCGAGGCCCAGACGCGTGGCCAGCCCGTCTTTGCCGAGACCTGTCCGCAGTACCTCTTTCTGACACGTGCCGAGCACCTCGACGGGCCTCCTGGCTTCGAGGCTGCCCGTCACGTCTGCTCGCCTCCGCCACGTGATGCTGCCGCCCAGGATGCTGTCTGGGCAGCTCTGCGCCTCGGCACCTTTGCCGTGCTCAGTTCGGACCACTGTCCGTTCCGGTACGACGACGCGACCACCGGCAAGAAGGCCTGCATCACGCCCGAATTTCCGCTCGGCCGCTTCCGTCACATCCCCAACGGGTTGCCCGGCGTCGAGACCCGGCTGCCGCTCGCTCTTGCTGCTGCTGCTGGCCGTCATCTGCCGCTCACCCGTCTCGTCGAGACCACGGCCACCAACCCGGCCAAGCTGTACGGGCTCTACCCCCGCAAGGGTGCTCTCCTGCCTGGGCTCTCGGATGCTGACGTCGTCGTCTGGTATCCGCCCGGCCGCTTTGCCGGCGACAGCGCGCTCACCATCACCAACAGTATGCTCCACCACGACGTCGACTATACCCCCTACGAGGGCCGCCGCGTCGACAACTGGCCCCGCTACACCATCTTGCGCGGCCGCGTCGTGTGGGATCGCGACGGTGGCGGCATCGTCGGCCAGCCTGGTGACGGCCAGTTCCTTCACCGCCACGCCGCCGTGCTCAACGATGTGTGGACAAAGGTCGACGCCGACGGGCCGTTTGACGAGGAGAAGCTGTAGTCCAGGTCTGCTTTCTGCTTTGGGGCTCGGTGAAGCGAGAAACGGACCCTTGCATGCCCAGAAACGACCGCAGTCTTGGCTCTGGCTGCAGCGGCAAGAATTGCCCAAAAGGGGCCGTCCAAGAACCGATGGCCATCGGTCACGCCAATGTCCGTTAGCCTGAGCACCTTGAGTCTAGCCTAGGGTGTAGATTCTGGCGAAAGCTCCTGTTCGATGCGATGAAGAAGAAGCTGTATTTGACTTGTACGGAGTACGGAGTACAGACCACCTATAGTCGACCTAGAGCTCGGCACGTCGTTTTGCCGGCTTTCAGTAGCGTGCCGTGTTGTCTGGGGAAGCCCGACGGCGAATCAGGGCTGGCCGATAAGACAGTCGTATCCCGGCTCTTGGCAGTCAGAATTCGTTCTAGGCCACTCTTGGCGTGGCGCGTCTGTAAGGGCGATCTTGCTCCGCAAAGTGACCACAGAAGACGAATCGCTGCCGTCCAGAGTGAGGAAAATTGAAAAGGGTTCTCAGCCACCGCTTCTGCTGCTGCAAATGTGAAACAATATGCCGTACGCCTGACACATCTCCCTACTAGGAAAGGCCATGCCACACACATCAGGTGCTTGATGCTTCGCTGCCGGCTTTTTGGCAACTTCGAGCACGGCATCGACGTTAAACACGCTGGAGGGCCTGCCCAGACAAAGATGGGCGCATCTTGGCGCATCTTGGCACATTGTGAGAGCTGTCGTACTCCGTACTCGCGGTCACTAATAAGCTCCAGCTCCCTATTCTCGACCCACTAATGGCCGCCCCGTTTACCTGCCAAGAGAGCGCCTAAGACACTCTATATAACAGGGGCCTTCGCTCTAGCCCCTCTTTTCAATATTCCGACAATACTACTCCGTACCGTGTTATGTATGGATATCTTCACATAATTTTTCTGTTGCCTTTCTGTTCTCAGCCGCGCCGCATATGCGACACGCCAAGCACAACTGGTTCATCTGTAGCGCCTCTCGGGAGACGAGCTGATCCTCTGGAACGCACATTGTGGCTGTGGCCTTGTGACACCGTTGCCGTCCACAGACGTCTCTGTTGTTTTTCTCCTTCCTTTTTCGGCAACGGTGAAGTCGCCGCTCTTTTGCAACTTCGCTTTTCCTTCTAGAAAGCTAGGCGATGAGGGCCATCCTTGGCGGTTCCAACCACGCTGGCTCGCATAGACGCGGCTTGGCTGTTCGTAATCTAGGGGATGTTGGATGTTGCTCTTTCGTTGCGTCTGTGACCTGCACTCCCAATGATCACCCCTCCCTTGCCTCCTTCCCTCTACCGTTGTCGTACACACCCGGAAGGAACGTCCCAGTCTATTTAATCTTCCCTGTGCGTCCACTCTGCTCTCTTCGTCCTCCAGTTCGCTCACGTCAGCGCTCTTGGTCATCGTACCTTTATTTCTTTCCCGCACACTGTCCTGACGTCGTAATCGCCCGTCTTTTTTCTTTCTGTATGAACAGTCTCTTTCCTGTCTTCTCCGCTCTTCCCAGGGTCCAGCATCATCGCCAACATGACGGAGAAACGAGACATCGAGGCGTCCACGCCGCCAGCCTACGAAGTCCCCAGCAACGAGCTGGAAAAGGACAGGACCACGGAGGGTGTTGAGTCCCTGGGAGGTGTCGGCCAGGGTGAGGAGTTTGGCTATGTGGCGCGCGGGTGAGTAGAATCTGTTCTGTCGGCATTCGGGCTTTGCTGACATCTCCAGCCTCAAGTCCCGTCACATCCAATTCATCGCTCTTGGTGGCACTATTGGCACCGGCCTCTTCCTCGGCATCGGCTCTGCTTTTACGCGCGCCGGTCCCCTCTCTGTCGTGCTTGGCTACTCCTTCACCGGCATCGCCGTCTACGCCATGATGCAGTGCCTCGGCGAGATGGCCACCTGGCTGCCGCTGCCTGGTGCCATTCCTCAGTTCTGCGCACGCTACGTCGATGAGGCCCTCGGCTTTGCCGTCGGCTGGAACAACTGGTACTCGGCATCCATCACTATCTGCGCTGAAGTCTCGGCTGCCTCTGTCGTGATCGGCTACTGGCCTGGAGCTGAACACGTCAACGTCGCCGCCTGGATCAGCCTCATCCTCGTCCTCGTTCTGCTGCTCAACATCTTTGCCGTCGCCATCTACGGCGAGGCCGAGTTTATCTTCGCCTCCATCAAGATCATCACCATCGTCGGCCTTCTCATCATGGCCTTTATCGTCATGCTCGGCGGAAATCCCCACCACCAGCGCGTCGGCTTCTACTACTGGCAGCACCCCGGTGCCATGAAGGAGTACGACGGCAAGGGTGACACCGGCCGCTTCCTCGGTCTCTTCTCCACCCTCGTCAATGCCGCCTTCTCCTACGGAGGCGTCGAGGTCGTCGCCGTCGCTGCCGGTGAGGCCGAAAACCCCCGCAAGAACATCCCCAAGGCCGTCCAGCGGGTCTTCTGGCGCATCCTCTTTTTTTACGTCCTCGGCTCCCTCGCCATCAGCGTCCTCGTCGCCTCCAACGACCCCCGCCTGCTGTCTGCCCAGGCCACCGGTGCCGCTGGTGCTGCTGCCTCGCCGTGGGTCATCGGAATCCAGAACGCTGGCATCAAGGTCCTGCCGTCCATCATCAATGCCGTCATCCTCACTTCCGCTTCCTCCTCGGCTAACGCCTTCCTCTACACCGGCTCGCGTTATCTCTACGCCCTGGCCCAGAACCACCAGGCCCCCAAGATCTTCCTGACCTGCTCGCGTCGTGGCGTGCCCTACTATGCTGTCGGTGCCACCGCCATCATCGGCCTGCTGACCTACCTCTCTGTCGGTCACGGTGGCGCCGCTCAGGCATTCAACTGGTTCCAGAACCTGACCACCGTCGCCGGCTTGTTTACCTGGTGCTCCATCTGCGTCTGCTACATCCGCTTCTACGCCGCGCTCCAGGCCCAGGGCGTTGACCGCAACACCCTCGTCTTCAAGAGCCCCTTCCAGCCATACCTGGCCTGGGGAGCGCTCATCTACTTTTCCGTCATCATCTTCTTTAGCGGCTTCAACGTCTTTGTTCATGGCAACTGGGACACTAGCGGTAAGCTTCACCTTTCACATGATTCAAGTGCATTTACGTCCGGTCACTGACAACATTAGACTTTGTTGCTGCCTACATCGGCATCCCCATCTTCTTCGGCCTGTATCTCTTCTGGAAGATCGTCAAGCACACTCCGTGCAAGACGCCCATGCAGGCTGACTTGTTCACCGGCAAAGCTGCGCTGGATGCTGAGGATGAACACTGGCCGGAGCAGATTCCCCGCAACTGGGTGGAGAGAGTGTGGTTCTGGATTGCGTAGGCGAATCCGGTGCAGTATTGCATTACCATATGTAGGACCGCTGGTCTCTTGTCTAAGCTTCTAATTATTTCTACTCCGTATACCCAAGTCTTTTGTAAACCAGCACTTTTATCGTCCTTAGGAAAGATTTATTGCCAAGATCTGCTCACAGAACGCTTAGATGTTAGAGAATGAGTGCTGCAGAACTGCGTCATTGGTCTCGGGTGCCTAGTCATCACTGTCCAATGCTGACACGGTGCAACAGAACTGCTCGTTTATAATGGCACATGAAACAGGATGTGACGGGATCACACATCTGTCATACAGTGCAAAGAGAGAGGGCCGTACTCCGTAAGACCGACGTGGGATGCTGCACAACTCACACCAGCAACCGACTGGCTGTGGTGTTCTCGGGAGCCGGTGCTATGATGCTGTCGCTGATGCATCCTGCCTTGTCCCTGCCGTTCCGTCAGCTGCTCGTCGGATGAGAAGAGGCCACCGGGATCGGGAGTCAGTCCATCCAATATGACGCGCGCGTCGCTCGCAAGCAACTTGGCACGTTCTTGTTGGCTCCTTGTCTGCCGTCGCTCTGCCTTTGTCTAGTATCGCGAATGCTACAGACAGAGCACTCTCTAGTCTCAGTCTGCTACTTATCTTCAGACTGGCACAACAAGGCCAAGCAAGGGACAACAGTCAGCTTCGGTTCAGAGTACTGGGTTTCATGTTTCGTACTTTTAAAGCATCCAACTAACCATTCGGTTTCAATCCGGGGGGTTTTCCTTGGCTGCTGACCAAAGCCAATTTCAGCCGTCTTCCGCAACAGGATAGATCCATATGCAAGCCACGTCACAACTCTTTCCGACCAGAGAGTGTGACGAGCACCGCATTTACCAGTAAGATAGGTTACATAGTAGGAGACCTGCAGCTTCTCCGTCCGGCTAAACCTACGCACCTCCAACTTGGCCACTAGTGATTCTCGTTTAGCTTCGCAAAAATTGCGTACCGCCCATGTTGTAGAATAAACGAAAAAAAAAAAACCACTAAAAGCCCACCCATCCATCATATAGCTAAAAATGGGGAGTATAGTGCGAAAAAGAAAAGGCAAAAAATTGTGGCTTATTTTTGACTTGTCTTGGGACCACCGTGAATCGAACACGGGTCTCCTCGGCCACAACGAGGTATTCTAGCCACTAAACTATGGCCCCGTTTCTCGAAGAGTCGTCATTGAATGGAGGAATCAGTGAGCCGGACCATTATATAGCTCGCACACAAAGTGGAGCCTAACGTAAAAATGCCGACGTTTTTTTTGCAAAAGAAAGAAAGTGTCAATAGATCTTTCTTTACACAACAAGGCCAGTTGCAGTTTCAGCAGGTCATATACTAAGCTTTCATTTTCTGTTAAAACACTAAATCAAACAATACACGAGATCAACGATCTCGGCCCCTTGTCGCTAAGACGGAATATATCTGGCAATCATATCAGACTTATCCGCAAATGTCCCGTTTCCCCGTCCCTTTCTCGCCGTACAAGAGCATAGATGCACGCCATCCCAAGACTGTATTCAGGGCCCCGTTCGGTGAGGAAATCTGCCATGAGTAATAAAGCACGTGTCCCCTATGGACGAATGATACAATCGTGTTGCCAGCGCCGTTCTATCCTTTGTTTATCCTGCCTTGTCTCGATTTCCCGTATAATCCAACGCCAGCCGCATGGGTCCTAAGCGCGAATCCGGTTCGCGGTCAATGACAAAGGCAAAGAGGGAGAGAGAAACCCACGAGATGCAGAAGAGAAAGCGGAAAGAAAAGGGATGGCCTGAGCACACTGACAGAGGAAATGAACAAATGAAAAAGCGACAAAAGAAAGGGAAAAAGCATTGGAGATGCAGGGCTCCAAGGCCCCGTGCCAGAAGCGGGTGGACGATACCACCGGCAACGGCCATCTTCCTGTGGGTTGGTCTAAGCCACCGATGTTTCCACAAGTCCTGCCGTTCGGCCACGATTTGTGTCCGCCGTCCGTTTTTTTCTATCCAAGACAGAAGAGAAATCAAGCAACCAGCATGTCTTCATGGGGATCTATCATGAAAGTGTCATTATGCGATGCGAAAGCAGTGTGGGCAGCCACGGGCCAGTGCCGTGAGCGATTCGAGTCGAAGTGAGGAGTGTTTGGAGAGTGGGAAGTCGGCTAGAGAAGCCAAGGTTGGTGAGCCGAGCCATCACAGCATGAGGTCCTTAACCTCGGAGATGCTGCGCTGCCGCTTGTGATCGGCGGCGCTGCCTTCGGCCGGCGGGCCCGAGGCCTTGCGCTTCTGCACGGCCGCGCCCAGCGGACTGCGGATGTACTCGTCATGGCGGAGGCTAATGCTATGGCGCTTGCGGCGGCGTGGCGGCGTGATGGGCGTGGCCACGGCCTCGAGGCTGCCGTTCTTGATGCCGCGCAGCGTGCCCATGATGTAGGGCCCCGAGAAGGCGAGCGACTCGGCCGTGGCCTTGTTGCTGTAGATGAGCTGCTGGTCGATCTGGTTCCGCCGGAAGGCGCCCACAGCATCGGCGTTCTTGTCAAAGTGCGCCAGCAGCGGCGGCATCGCAATGTCGTCCTCGTCGTTGTCCTCGTCGCCGTCCTCGTTGTCCGACGAGATGCCGACGGTAAAGGACTCGCGCCGTGATGGTGTCGCCACCGGCGTCGTCCCGTCATCGCCCTCGTCGTTGGTCCCGCTGACAGCGCCGTTGCCGTTCTCGTCCGTCTCCGACGGCAGCACTGTCTTTTCGTCAAACAGGTCCGTCTTGTCGCCGGCGCCGACGTCCGAGAGCGAGCGCTCAAACTGGATAAAGTCCTCCAGCCGCAAATTAAACTCGCCGTCGTCTTCCAGCAGGTCGCCCGAATAGTCGCTTTCGTCGGCCATGAACGCATCCGAGCTAATGCCCGGAAAAAAAGCCTCGACCGGCCCGACATTCTGCGAGTGCACATAGTCGCCAAAGGTGTGCGACGAAAACATGGCGCCCATCATGACCGACGCCGAGTTGGTGATGAGCGGCGACGGCGACGACTGCACCAGGTCTTCGTGTGGCGGTGGTGGCAGAAGGTCCAGGGCGCCCGCGAACGGCTCTGCCACCGCATTGTACGGGCGCGGCTTTTCCGGCGTGAAGATGACCATCTTGCCGGTGACCGGGTGCATCACCGCCACCGGCTTCGAGTTCTTGGCGTCCAGAATAAACCGGCCCACACGAGGTTGGCCGCGACGATGGCGAACCGACACGTCCGATACCGACTCGGAGCTGGACGAGTCGCCGTCGGCCGAGTGGAGCCGCCGCGGCGCTTTTCGCCGGACCGGAAGCTCTTCGAGCTCCTCTTCTTCGGTCGTGTCGCCGTCGGTTTCGTAGCCGGTCATGTCCTCCTGGCTCTCTTCCTCTTCTTCCTCTGCCACGGGCGGCAGTGGAGTGGAGGGCACCGACGTTGCAAACGCGAAGTTGTGGCTGTTGGCGGCAGACGGTGTGGCCGGCTCGTCGTCGGAGAAGGGAATGTTGGATGCAGACCCTCCGCCGTGGCCACCGTGCCCATATGCAGAGGAATAGTCCCAGAAGGACGAGCTGACGGTGGAGTCGGACTCGTCTTCGATCTCGCGCCGGAAGGCAGGATCAAGAGAGTTTTGCTCGACAAAGATGTCGGGAAAGAACTCGGCCGCAATGTCTGACAGCTCGGTTGTTGTGGAATCGCTGTCACTGTCGGGAACACCAGTGAAGCGAACCTGACGCTTGGGGAGAGATGTGTGGGCGTTGTTCGCCTCGGATTCTGTTGCTATGCCGTTCCAGCTGGCATTGTCGTCTGCATCTTCTCCGTTACCGTCCCCGTCGTCCTCATTCTCGTCAGACTCCTCTCCGTCGTTGTCGTCGTCGTCGTCATCATCCTCCTCTTCATCATCGTTCTCGTCCTCGTCTTCGTCTTCATCTTTTCCGCCTTCGTCCTCCTTGTCGGCGTCTTCGTCTTCGCTCTGGCTCTGGCTTTTGGACCGAGGAGAGACCCGCCCGTGGCGGCTCTTGACTACATCCTTGATAATGTACTTCTCCTCGGTCGCGTCCACCCCATCCTCGTCGTCGTCGTCTGATTCGCTCGCTTCATCGAGAACGGAGTAGCCACCATCAGACGAAAGGTCGAGCGAGGAGGAAGACGAGGTGGAGTCCCGCCGGCTCTTGCGGTGTGAGGGCGCCGGAGCCTTGCGCCGAATGGCTCGAGACATGATGCAACTGAAAATTATTTTTCTGTGGGCTTGCTCTGAAAAGGAGGTCCAGTGAGGGTTTGCCGCACAACTCAGCGGCCAAAAAAAATCACAGAATTTAAATGGGGTAGCTGCCGAAATCAAACAGCAGGGTTTAGCCGGTGATTCCGGTATATGGCTCTATATGATCCTCTTGGGGTGGTAGGACCGTGAGAAATATATGGCGGCACTTGAAAACCGTCTGGTAGAGGTGGGCAGAGGTGGGCTCCAGGCGGGGGGGGGGAGGGGTGCAGGAACTCGGAAAAGAGGTAGGTAGGGGAGAAAAGAGGGGGCAGAGAATCTAGTATGATGGGCGGAATATAGCAAGATGGGTCAGGGAGGTGTTGTGGTGTTTGAATTCAGTTTCGTTGTGTTCAGAGTCGGGGCATATGTCGCGGGAGAAGAGGTCTGTCCGTCCAGGGCGAGTGCGGTGCTCGAGTGGGTGGAGGGCGGGCCAGGACAGCAGCAAAGCCTGGAATTGGGAAAGCTATTGTCGAGAGTGGTGAATTGGCAAAGATTATTGGCTTGGGACTGGTCGTTGAGGCTGCTGGACTGCAGGATACCGTCCGAGACGGCATCCCGCAGTGGGCGTTTACAGCTCAGCGACGGCCGTGTACATCTTGGGAAATTCTCGACAAAAGGTTTCGGTGTGGGATTCTGGGGCTCTGAGGGCGTAGGTTGGCTTCGCTGTCTTTCCGGTACGTACGGTGCTGGTTGTCTGGCGAGGAACCGAGAAGAGGGTGTACGAAGCCAGAGAGGAAATGGCGGGAAGATATTTTTCATACATGGGCCCACTTTTCTGCTCTACCTTTTTTTTTTTTTTTTTGCTGCCGGTTGGCACTAATGCCACACTAACACGTCTTCTTTCGTCAGCGAGTTACAGCACGACTCCCTGCTCTATAGTGTGCAGAGAGTAAGCTACGACGACTGCTTATTACACAGGACAGCGCCAGCGGCCCGGCCATTGGCTGCTGTCTGTAAACGGTTCCTCTGCCGTCGACAAGACTCAGGCTGGTGCATTGGCGCATTTGTCCATCTCAGTTCCTAAGGTTCACCGCTACTCTCGTCTCTGGCATCCTCTCCGGCTGTCTTCCCGGCCATTGCAGCATCGGGACAGGGTCCGGCCGCTTGTCCTAGCCCTCCTACCCTGTCCGAGCTTGCTGCAAGCACTGCCAGAAATGGCTCCATGGTGCCATCTAGATGGCATGCAGAACAGGACAACAGCTTCGCTTGTCAGCGGGGGCAGAGAGGGGGGGAGGGGGAGGGACACGACACACGGCCAGAGCGGATACTCGACAGCACGATACGAAGAACCCAGCATCAACCCATACTGTGTCAATTTCTATCAGGCTTTAGCCACATGCCACTAGTCTTTAGTCCCAGTACCGACCAACATGTCGATTCCGGACCATTTGCGCCTGCCTCGTTTGCTGCCTGTTTGCACAGAAGCATGAGGCGACAATCGTTTGTGTTTGCAGCCTTGACTCATCACAGCGGCTGCTGTGACTCATGTTGCGTGCCACATCGAGAGGTACCTGTGCGGACTGGCCCCGACTTCGTGATCTCCCGATTGCGGGGTTCCTTGATGTAAGATACGTGATGGTGGCTCCGCTCCGTAATTCAAAAAAAAAAAAATTCTGGAAGGGGAAAAAGACGGGTCGGTCTCTTATCTTATCTGGCGCACCTTCCGTTGCCTGGTCAGCAGCCTATTCACGTTTGGCTGCTGTAAATACCGTTGCTAGAAATTCATTGTCCTCGCTTGGTTGGTTGTGCTCGTATCTTGCAATGCCACCGTTCTTCCGTCACGATCAGGTGTTGTAGACCAGACATTTCCTTCCTTTCTTCTTGCTGCAAACCCCTCTTGCTCGCATCCATTCTTTCAGGCTCATTTTCTCGAGCGCTCTTCTCTCGTTTCCTCAATCCCATTGCCCGCCATGGACGCGACCTCGTCCAAGTCTCACAACCTCTTTCAGGTCTTCCTGCGGCTGCGTCCTCCCCAGGTGGGTGCGACGACGGCTGACCGGTTTCTCGATGTCGAGCCGCCCGCAACAGACGCCGCTTCCTCCTCGCCGACGCACATCCGCCTCAACCCGCCCAACGACCGGCGACGCGCGATCGAGAAATTCGGGTTCACGCGCGTGTTTGAGGAGGACTCCACCCAGCTGGACGTTTTTCACTGCACGGGTGTCGTACCGCTCGTCGAGGGCGTGCTGGCACCGCACGGCGGCGACGGCACCGACGCACTGCTGGCCACATTAGGTGTCACTGGCTCCGGCAAGGTGAGAAGATAAAACCAGATGAGACAGAACAAGACAAGACGAAGGAACACAGCTCTGACCCGGTCGTTCTCGTCCTCCTCACAGTCCCACACTATCCTTGGCTCTCGCTCGCAGCGCGGTCTCACACAACTCTCGCTCGACGTTGTCTTTCGCTCTATCGGCGAGAACATTGTCGATTGCGCGGCTTCTCCGTTGCTGGAGACGTCAATCCATGCATCGGACGCATCAGAAGCGACCATCTTTAACGCCCCGGCCTTCCTAGACTCTGTGTACGGTGACAACACAGGGTCTTCTCGTCCCAGCTCACGGGCCTCAACACCAATGCTTGTACGGCCTCTTTTCTTTTCGTCTGACATACCCACTTCGCCCTCATATCCAGAACACGGCTGCCATAAAAACGACAGCGGCAACAACAGAATCAGCAGCCTCAGTGGGCTGCCGATGCCCGGAAAGTTCCCAGTCAGTCCCAGTGGGCAGCAACAAAAACTGCACAGCAGACTGGACAGTGTCCGGATCGTGCGTCGGGAGGACTATGTGGTGGTGCCCGAGGAGACGGAGGACGCTCTTCTCCTCGAGCTCCGGATGCGACAGAGTAGTCGCCGTACCGTGGTCGCTCCCAAGACGCCGTCCAGAAGCAACATACCGCGGCCGTTCATGGCCACCACGGCGTCGGCACAACAGAGAAGCACAAGCAATGCTAAACCATCATCTTCTTTACAGGGCGATCACTCGCATTCCGTGAACAGTAACGCGTCGACTGGATCGGCCCGCCGTCTCCTGCTGCACCGGCCATCGGCCTTCCCGCAGCAGCCCGACGTCAGCGCCATTAACGTCAGCAGCGATCCGGCAGCGCAATATGTGGTGCTGATGTCGATGTACGAGGTATACAACGACCGCATCTTCGACCTGCTGACACCCGCAACTAAGGCTGCTGGCAGCAAAGAATACCGGCGGCGGCCGCTGCTATTCAAGAGCACCGAGCTGTCGCCGGACCGCAAGGTGGTGGCTGGGCTGCGGAAGATTGTGTGCAGCACCCTGCAGCAGGCTCTGATGGTGTTGGAGGCCGGTCTGCATGAACGGCGTGTGGCGGGTACGGGCAGCAACAGCGTCAGCTCGCGCAGCCACGGCTTCGTCTGTGTCGAGGTGAAGAAACGCACCATCGGCAACGCAAACGCACCATGGAGCGGCAGCACGCTGACAGTGGTCGACCTGGCCGGCAGTGAGCGGGCGCGCGATGCCAAGACCGCTGGAGCAACACTTGCCGAGGCCGGGAAGATCAATGAGAGTCTGATGTATCTGGGACAGTGTCTGCAGATGCAGAGCGACGCTGGCAATTCCAGCAAGGTGAGTAAAGCGGCTGCGAAAAGACCAAGGAGAGATCAAGCCAAACCTGCTGACATAAGCAGCCAAATGTAGTTCCGTTCCGGCAGTGCAAGCTGACAGAGCTGCTCTTTTCGAACTCGTTCCCGTCGGCGACGCAGCCGTCGACGCGGAGAAACCCGCAAAGGGGAGTGATGGTCGTGACGGCCGACCCTCACGGCGACTACAACGCAACGTCACAGATCCTGCGGTACAGCGCGCTGGCTCGCGAGATCACTGTGCCGCGCATTCCGTCCATAACACAGACAATCGTCTCCAACGGCAGCGCTGGGCCCCAGACAGCAGCAGCAGCAGCAGCAGTGGCCAGCCAGGACCCGCGGTCTTACTCTCCGGCGATGCCGACGCCTCCGAGCAGCCACATGCTGAACCATCAGAACCATCAGAACCCCCAGAATTCTCCGAATATTCAGATCCACAGCAACCAGCAGCGACAAGGATTCGCACCGGGCACTGGGCCCCGAACGGGGACGCGGGCGTTCTCGCCAATGGGCGGTCCGGCTGTGGCCATGTCGGATGAGCGGGTGACAATGGAGATTGCGGCGCTGGAAATTGCGCGCATGGCCGAGGAGATGGACTACCTGCGAGCGCTGCTGGAACAGGAGACGGCGGGACGATTGGAAGCGGACGCGCACCTGCTGTCGGCGAAAGACCGGATGCTGGAGCTGGAGCAGGAGGTCCGCGAAGACTGCGCAATCGAATATGAGCAGCGGCTGGCACTGGAGATGGCACGCTGGAAGGCGAGCCTGGAGGCAGAGAAGGAGCGCAACGAGGCGCACTGGGACCGCAAGGTCGAGGTGATGGAGCGGCTGGCGAGTGCAGCCGATGAAGGTGGCGGCTGTGACCACGACGACAAGGAGAACGTGCTGGTCGAGAACCTGGAGCAGGAGAATGAGCGGCTGCGGCGTGAGCTTCTGGTGATGCGGCGTGAGCTGACGGCCCGGTCGCCCAGCAAGCGGCATCCGCTGCGAGAGCGCGACGACCTGCCGATAAGCATGACCACAACCACGACCACCAACTCCAGCAGCTCGTCTGCCACAGCCGCCGCCGTCTCGCTGTCCACCACGCCCACCGGCACGCCCTCGGGCACGCCTACCGGCACACCCTCGGCTGCTGATGAGCTCGGCCTGCGGCGCCGTATGGAGCAGCTGCGCGTCGTCGACGACGGTGACCACCGTTTCGACCCCCGGCTCGACCGAGGCCGCAACGACCGCCACAACGATGCGTCGTCGGTGCGCTCGACCAAAGTCGCGGCTGTAACCCGCAACGGCAGCCCCAAGAAGACTCGCAAAATGTCCCCACGCAAGTGGGACGTGGCCCTGGACGAAGACGATCTGTTTTGACGATCTCGGGCCATTCGAACAGTGGGCTATTCTTGAATCTTTTTGTGTTTTATGATTTTCTGGCTATTTTGGGGTAACGATTTGTTGCTTTTTTGCTCGTACAAGGGGTCGATTTTCTTGTTTTATCGACATCTCGTACATGTCTTGGTTCTTGGTTCTAGGGGGGATACCCGGCAACGGCCTGATGATATTGGAACTCTGTGTTCGGCTTTGTATACTGTATACTATTACATGCGGAATTCGTTTGCTTTTGCGTGGTTTTACATGCTGTCTGAGGATGCGCATCTACTCGTACCTGCCTCGTTTGCTCGCCCATGCCGTAACGATCGCGGCGCGCCTTCCCGTCCATACGAGTGCATCATAGCCGTACTTGAACCATAGCGGTCGTCATTGCCAATTCTGGTCGAGAATGAATGGCCCCTCGTGCTTTGTACCAAAGACAAGGTAAACAGGCGGGAGCCCCCAAAGCCTTGCCTTTCTGGTTGTTTGTAATTATACCCTGTAAGGATACAAGTACTCCCTAGAAATCTGCCTATACTCCGTACCATGCTTGCAATGGCGTAATTCACGCCACGTTTATTGTGTTATTTATTATTATGGTCTATTTGTCGGTCTCTATCAAAAATGCCCTTGGACAGCTTGCTTGATCGTCTTCGCTACCTGTTGTCTTTGACCTGTGCAGCGTACGAGTGTTATCTAAGAGAAAATCAAGGGCGACTCCTCCTCTTTTCATACTGAGCTACTAATGCATACTTCCTCCTCCCTCAGACAACCTCCCCCTAAAAGCAGATCCCACATCGTACATGGTATAAAAGACAAAAGAAAAAGGTAAGGCACTAAAGATGGATACGGTATTAAAAAGAAAGAGAAAAGGAGATTAAAGAAATTGCATGGGGATCGACAGCAAAGAAAAAGGGGAATCCATACATAGTTATACGACATGTCGTCAGCTCATGTGTCCAGCCGTGATGATACCAAGATCATATCCAACAAAGGAAAGGTGTTCCGGTCTGTCGCTCTCCCTCTCTCAGTGAGCCATGCCGACAGTCCCACGGCGGCCACGCTCATCACGCGTACCCTCGCGCCTGTGACCAGACGCTCCGGTCAGACGTCCCCAATCTTCCCACTCTTTCGCAATCTCCATCAACACTCCGCCCATGACTGATGCACTGGCCATCAGCCCATGCTCCTCGCCCTCCAGCACCCGCACTTCGCAGCGGCGCATTGTCTTGCCCAGCCACCGCACATTTTCCACCGGCACACGGGCATCACGGGATCCGTGGTGGATAATCACGGGCCGGGTGATGTCTACATAGCGGAAGCCAATCGTGTGCCGCCGTTCGAGGCACACCAGCAGGTCTACCGCCGGGTTGGCCCCCGTTGTAGCGAGCTCCCAGATGGCGTGTGTCAGACGGGTGTCGTAGACCGCCTGCCGCTCCCGTTCGGCGATCGCGCTGGCTGCTGCTGCTATCACGGCCGACTCGCGCGACATGTGTCCGACGGCCGATGGGCCTCTCCTGTGGCCAGACGGATCTGAGGCCGCAGCCATGCCTGCCGTCGAGTTGGATCGCGTTCCGCGGGGCCGGATACGGTCCATATCCTCTAAGCCGGCCTGGTCTTTGTGCGCATGCGTCTGGCCTGCAACGTTTTCCTTGTTGTCCGTTGGTAGCGGATGGTTCTTGTGCGCATCCTTCTCCCTTTCTTTCGCAAGGTTGGCATTCGACTTCCGCTTCCGCTTTGGCGTCTTTGGCAGGCTTGACGTGATCGAGCTGCTCGTCGCACTCATAAAGCTAGAGTTGGCCGCCTTCAAGATAGGGGTCGGAAGCGCCCGCAGAATCCGCTGCGATGTGGGGATTGCATTTGTCGGAGGCAGGGGCGTTTGCGCAGAGGCTCCAAAGACGGACATTTGCGACGGAGGAATCCACGGCGCCAGTAAATGAATACGCCCTCGAATGTGCTGGGGCATGCGCAGCGCCGTTGCCAGCGCGTAAATGGCTCCAGCCGAGTGGGCGAGTATGGAGAACTTTGTGATCTTCAGGGCCTGGCAAATCGCATACACGTCATCTGCAATATTCGTCAGCCTAAATTCGCACGAGACGCGAAACATGGAGCCACATACCTGGCCAGCCCAACGGAGTGGCAGTGCCGTCCGCATACGGCTCGCTGTCTCCAATACCCGGCCGATCAGGGGTGATTAGACGTAGCTTTAACGTCAAGGCTAGCTCGTCATAAAACGCAGTAATGTACCGTGTCAGCCCCATACCAACGCAGCAGAACACAGCCGACCCGTCGCTGTCTCCCACCTCCGAAAAGGAGATTATGCGACCAGTCTGCGGATGCCGGATCTTCTGCGACAAGCGCGGCGAGCACAGGTAAGCCCCAACGGCATCGTCGACGCTGTCTGCGCTACCAGGACGTTCATACGCGACATGCGTATCCTCGATAGATGGTCTGTCCTTTTTCGAACTGTCTGCCGCAGCCCCCTTGTCGTCGATTCGGGGGCTCAGCGGGCCCGAAAGGCGCTTCAGCTTGCTATTTCGCTTCGTCTTGCCCTCGCTAGGATCAAGCATGTTTGAGCCGTAACGATGGCGTCCTTGCGAAACGGCAGGAAAAGGCGCACCATCTTCAGGATCATCCTCCCTCGCATAATTAATGTCGCTATACTGCCTAGAGGACCCCGTCAGGGAGAATGATCTCGGTTCGGGCTCACGGTCACTCGGTCTGCTCTGTCGGCTGGGTTGCACCGCCGGCTCTTCACCACCCATCGGCATGGGAGACATTCTGCCTCTTGCAGGCTGGGTGCTCCTCCTTGCGAGGCCGGGCTGGTTGTAGCCGTCACTCGACCCGTACATGTGATGCTCGTCGGTTTCTTGGATTATGTCGGTTGTTGAAGGCTCGTTCTTGTGTCTTGAAGAGCGTCGCGAGGATCTCTTCCCGTTCGAACTCGTCTTGCGGAGGCTAGAGTCACGAATAGGGATGACATGAGTACTCGGCGCCCCCCCGTTGTCTACAGACCCTCGCGGATCTGCCAGGCGGGGCGAGTCGAGGTGCAAATCGTGGTGCGACTCTTCACTAATGGGCTCTTCGGCCAAGAATGCGTCAGTCCGCGGGGAAATGGCACCAGAAGAGCTCAACCGGTCGGTCCCGACAGCTCCTATGCTGATCCGTTTCTTCTCCGCGTCTTTTTCGCGCAGGCGCTCTTTGCTGCTCATGTACATCAAGCCTTTCTGAGACCGTGCTGTTTTCTTTCCCCAACTGTCGTGGGAGGATCTTCTCCTCAGCTCAGGTATGGGCGACACGGCCCCGCGCTCGACCGACAGATTACCAATGCTCTGGGTGTCAGCATCGCGTGATGCTACCGAGCCTTTGGAGGACGGTCGGGAGGATGTGCGGCCCGACAGCAGGGACTTGAGCCCGCCAGAAGACGACGTCTCACGCACCGGAGATTTGGGTGCTGTGAGAGGCGAGAAGCCGCTGGGCGGTTTCGCAGTTCGGATGACAGGTGGGCTGGCGGCAAGCTCGTCCAGAGAAACGTTCCTGTCCGGCATGCTTGCCATCGCGGTATTCGAATAGGCGCCGTAGTCCACGCCGAACGAGCCACTATCGGGCGAGAGTAGGCCTACGCTGGAGAAAGAGAGTGGTTGCAAAGAATTATGAGACACGTCGTGCTGGGCGTTGGTAGGCTTCGAGATAACGCAGAGACTTGTTATAAGTGAGGAGATGACCTCGGGAGATGCTGAGGAAATCGCAGTTTCATAGGATGACGGCAGCCCGCGACTGTAGGCAGAAGAAGGCGATGCAATATCTTGTACGTTGTGTATGGCCTTGCGCCGAGAGTGCTGATGTGCTTGTCGCGGGATAGGGGGGCTGTTTGGGCCAAAGGAGTCGTCCATGTCAGGCTGCTGCTATGGTCTATGTGTATCGAGCTGCTAACCGAGCTGAATGCAGTTGGTCCGTTCAGGGAAAGGTACGAGAGGGAGCACAGTAACCACTGGGGCCGGCACAAACTGGCACGGACGTCCAGCGGCAAACCGAGGTGTTTAGACGCGATGAAGTGGCTGTCGACTGTGTTTTAAAGATACACAAGCGTTGCGTACCATCTACGAGATGTGGAGTTGCTGGTGTATCGGACGCCGCTAGGAAACCAGTGTATGGAGGAGTGCGAGCGTGTGTACTGTTCGGCTTGGCAGAACCAGCCGAAAGGAGGGTTCGGATAGCAGTGTTGTTCGGCAAGCGTAGACTGGCGAAGGGAGATCGCAAAGCAGCGTATGAGCCTAAAAGTCGACATGCAAATGATCAGTCCGTGCAAGGCGAGAGAAGGTCCGAAAGGGATGCAGGAAACCTTCCGAAAAACTCGAACTCGCAGTAGATAGGCGAGACGCGTCGCCTATCGATTGCTGCAGGTGAAGGGGTCAAGTTCGGGCTGGTGGTAAATAGGAGTGGAGGAGATTTCCAGAGACAAGAATGGGGGGAAAGCGAAAAAGGGCGAGATGGCGCTGTAAGATTGTTGTCTTGGGGGCTTCAGTGGGCGAGAGATAAAGTGGGCGGCGCCGCCTTGCCGATCCCTGTACTCCGTTCCGTACGGCAGACAAGACGATAGAGCATGCGTCAAAGGATTGCGACCACGAGATCTGGAACAAATGCATAGTGAGGGTGTTCTTGTCTCTGCTGCCAGGGCGGCCTGTCTTGTGCTCTTCGGACTTTCTGGGGGCCAAGACTAGGCGCAAGTTGTTAGTGCTGTTTTCTCAAAGCTGATTTGCGAATGGCCAACCCCTGAAATCCCGTCTCTTCGACTGCCCAAATGCACGATTCCCTGTTCCGCCCCTCTTCGTCAGGACGACCACAATTCCCGTTGTAGTTAGCAAGGGGCGAAAATGCGCGTTTCCTGCCTTTCGGCACCCACTCCTATCCTGCACGGAGCCCAGAATGTGGAGGAGAATTGAAAAGTTAATACCCAAATTCAACGGTCAGCTTGACCCATGCAGACACGAGTACTCCGTATCAGGGTGTTTGGCATGGCATGCAGCTGCTGCCTTCACTCAGAGCCGAATCCGCTTTCCTGACACTCTGGGAACGACAAGTATCAGCAGGGCAAGTCCCCGACAACGTTAATTGCCACTAAGCTGCTATCGGGCCAGGGCCGTTTTATCACAGCAGTTCGGCCGTTAGCTCGTGGGTCCTTTTGTTCGCAGCTAAGATACTACGACGTACGGAGTATATACCCGTTCCAGGCCAGCCGTTGATGGGCAGAGAAGAGCACAGCAGAAACAAGCACGCGGTGGTGTTTCCAAAGTGTCTCGGCGTCACAAAGCAGGATACAAAGTATCACACCAGCTTTCGTCGAATCAGATGGCGGTTCCTGGTTGCAGCTGCCAACGTGCGTAGTGGAGGGTGGCCGGCTGCTGCTACTGGCTGGAATATCAGAATGTGACGACGCAGGGATTTATGCTAGCAGCTGCAGCTTGCATGAAGCGCGTCGTAGAGTTGACAAAAGAGATTCAGCCAGGAGGGCGTAAGTCGAGAATGGCTCAGCAGAACGGTAAACCCTTGCTAAGGAAAGAACCGCAGGCAGAGAAGGAGAAGAGCGGCTCATATGACGCTGATGAAGGAAGGCGCGAAGGAACGAAAGGCAAGGAGCTAGTCATAAGACAAAGTGTACTCCGTACTCTGTACTTGCCTTGTTAAGCATGGGCCACCCCAGCTGCTGGTATCTTGCGTAGCATTGATCCTAGTAGTGGTAATAAGGTGCCGCTAATTTTGCCCGAAAGGGCTATTTGTTTCTCATCGCATGACCTCAACGTGTGGCTACTTCGTAGTTGCGATAACAACAGCCGCGTCAGATTGTCTCTCGGAGGATTAATCTCGTACTACTCCGTATGTGCCTTTTTCCGATCTTGGGGATATATGTGTTTCAACTCTTATTTGCAAAGGCCCACGCCTGGCAAACCCCTTTCCTTTCCCAGCACAGACAAGGCTACCAAGTATTACAACAAGGAGAAGCTCTCATGTGAGCTTTCAGGGCCAGAGCGGCACAGAACACTCGGACACCGCTGAGAAACATTGCACGCTCTGTTTCGGTCGAGAACGGTAATTTGCACGTGAGGTGATATCGCGCTGGCGCTTGGATCCTGTCGTTCCATCCATTGCTTCCAGCGTTCTGGTATGGTCCAGAGTGGGTTGCGATGTATCGTACTTTTGCACATTCCAGGCCCACTTGCAGCTTCAACGGATTGTCCTCGCACTGCATACTACTCTTTTCCCCCGCGGCTGCCGTTTGCTCCCGGTCTAGAGATGCAGCCAAGGCGACAGATACTCGAGCGTGTAGACGAAGCCGAGGTGACGTTTTGTCTGTCTATGCAAACGAGTCTCGCATGCCATGTAAGAATTGATACGCAGAATGAATTACACAAGGGCACTCCACTTGTCCCGCACTGCATGACCGTGTTCGTTCTCCATCACAACCAGAATCTCCGGCGGGACGGGCAACATCTGTGCTCTGAAAGAAATTTCGCTGATACTGCTCGGTCTATTTATGCGTCTAGATATGTACATCCTACATACTCGGTAGGCTTGAGTGGAAATTAACATTAAATGCATAGCTAGATAGAAAGCTAGGTGAAGCTGTATGTGTGGGTATCATGAAGCGGAAACCCGGCCGCCCTCCTCTGTCCGCAGACTGTTGCTTTTTCGCTCTTGTGGATGTTTGTGGATGTCTCGTCTGCCCAAGGGCAGATGCCAAAGACCCCACAGCTCGCTCAGTTCCTGCTCAGCGCCACGCCCACACCTACGCCCACGCCCACGATGACGACCAGCATGACGGTCAGCATCACGCCCACGACGACCTGGTACGACTTGCTGCGGGGATGGTGGAGACTGCCAATGTCCTCGGCAGCGGCGCTGCTGCCTGGGAGGCCGAGGTGGCTGCGGCCGGACTTTTCGATGCCCAGCGCGGCCGCACCGGGTGGAATGCGGCCGGGCATACGGCCCTCGCGCATGCCCGGCGGCACATAGCGGCCGTTGACAAACTCAAAGTCGGCCGTGGTCCGGTGGTCGTCCCGGTCGCTCAGGGCGATGCTGATGCTGGTCTTGGCCGTGTTGCGCTTGGCTCCTGGGCCCTGTTCGTCTGCTGCAGCGGCGGCTGCTGGTGGCACTGGTGGCGCTGACCCTATTCGCCCTGTCGGCCCAATCGTTCCTGTCGTTCCGAACACCCCTGATTCTTGCTGCTTGCTCTTTCTACTAGACCAAGATGGCACGTAGGAGGTCCGCTTGTCCAAGTCGCCTCCGTCGTCTTCATCGTAGAAGTCGTCGTCGTCGTCGTAATCGCGTGGTGGCGGCGTGCTTTCGCGATAAAACGTGAACGCAGACGGATTCGTGGTCGTGCTGACGGTGCCCATGGTGCGGATGGTGGCCGTCTCGGGATTGGTCGTGGTAAAGCTGGTGGCGTCATCGGACCAGTACACCGACGGCGGGCCCGAAGCGCTCTCGTGTACGATGCGACGGTTGTGGTTCTCGGGATGCTGCTGCTGGACATGCTGCTGGTAGGTGCTCACGTCCGGCAGCAGGCCGCTGCTGGCGAGACTGCTATGGGCCTGGCGGACATGGCTGGGATAGCCGTACTCGGGGTAGATGGCCTGTGGTGACGGCTGCAGAGGAGACGGCAGGGCCGACCACTGGGACAGCTGGGAGTACCGCAGCGGCGGAGGTGGTGGTGACAGCGGAAAATAGATCTCCTCGTCGTCGTCGGGGACGGTCGGCATAAAGACGATCGTGGACGTCTGCCGACTCCGTCTCGTCGACGACGGCTGTGATGTGCGGCGTGGTGGTAACAGCTGCGGCTGCTGTTGTTGTTGTGTCTGCTGTTGTCTTCGCAGGTAGAGTGGCGTAAGTGTCGGCAGCGACAGATGTTGCTGCCGCTCAATCGAAGTTTCTAGAGCATCGCCTGGCAGGCTGCTTCTGCTTCTGCTGCTGCTGGGGCTGTATGTCGTTTCCATTTCCATGATGGCCGTTGCTTCGGTTCCGTCTCGTTCCAGCACTGGTCAACAGTGTTGATGTATTCATAAATAATGAAGGTTTCGTAGTTCTCGAAAAAGCATGCAATCGTTTTGAGCCCCCCTTATTCGCGTGTCTCCCCTGATAATTAAACCCCTATATTCCGTGGAATTGAGGCAGAGATGATGAAAAGCCCATCTGCCGGAGGAGCTGTTGCTGTTCAGCCCGCTGGTGAAGGGACGACCGTGATAGATCTCGGTTAGATGGTACATAGTACTCCGTAGAAATCACGCATTACGCAGAAGCCCCTCTCGCTTACTCGAATTGCGTTCCGGAGGGTGGTCACGGTCCCCCCCTTCCGTCATTTCCCCCCCCATGACGTTCCATCATGGCAGCAGGCCCAAGAGCGAAGCCCCTGTCCATCCAATCTCCTAAAGTGGGATGGGGCCCCAGTTTTCGTATTCTTCACCCGCTTTGACCTCATGGCTGCGGACCACGTAGCAGAACGGGCAAGGTGTCAGGATCACTAGTCTATTTTTGCCGTGCCAGGGGAGTCGTGGATGTGAGTCTGTACGGAGTACGGAGTTCGACGCTGTGACGAGTCGATCGTACGGCCGTAATATAATGACGGTTATGTTGGATCCCCGGCTATGTCTTTAAGCGTACAAATGCTTATATAAGCGACCATGCAATTGTACTGCAACTAAACCATCAACTGAAAACTCGCTAGTATTACTCCGTAAACGGGATCTCTTCTAGAAATCCTCCGTACTCTTCCCAACCCCTATCCTGACAACACCCACGTCACCACGCTGTTTGCCGGCACCAACCCTGTCCACTCGTTGCCGCTGCTCGCCATCGCCACCGTCACCGCGATGCTGTTGCCAAATGTGTTCTTGATCACGACTGTTCGGCTGCCGTCCGGATTGAGTGAGGCCACGCTCTCGATGCCAGCCCCGCTGCCGTACGTGTAGCTGCCGGTGCCGGTCAGCACGACGGCACCGGCCGGCATGAAGCGGCTGAACTGGCCCATCAGGTAGTAGGCTGGCTGCAGCTCGTAGCTGCCGGTGTCAGTGTCGACGGTGACGAGGCCGGCGCACGTCGAGCAGGCGGCGCTGCTGTTAAGATGCGGCCCGTCCTTCTGGTCGGCCGCCAAGGTCCAGGCGACCACGCCTGCGGCCCAGTTCTGCAGCGGCCCCATGGTGAAGTCGACGGGCCAGCTCCAGGCGCCAGTCGTGGGCGTGTAGCACTCGGTCATGTACTGGCGCGCATCCGGATGAGCTTCGTGAAAGGTCGACAGCACGGTCCAGTCGAGCTGGCTGGCATAGCAGTGCCAGGCCACGGCGGTCACCATGGCCTCGACGGTCGTGTTGGCCACGGCTGCCAGCACGGTCTCGGGGTAGGCCGGCTCGTCCGTGTTGTGGTCGTAGGCCCAGATCTCGGTGTTGCCGAGCCCGGCCGCCTGCAGGGCCGGGCCCAGATGGTCGCGGATCAGCACGCCGGCATCGTCGGCCGGGACGTACAGCGTCGGCATACCAGCGCGGCTGTTGAGCGGCTCGTTCTGGATCGTCAGCGCGCCCACCCGCACGCCAGCTGCTTTGTACGCCTGCAGGTAGCGAACAAAGTACTGCGCCCAGCCGTGCCGCACGCTCGTGCTGTTCATGTCCAGCCGGTTGTCGTCTGTGCTGCCGGAGCCGCCGATCAGCTGTCCGTCCGTCTGCGTCCAGGCCGGCGGTGCCCACGGCGATCCCAGCAGCTCGATGTCTGACTGCCGCGCCTGCATCCGCGCCAGCAGCTGCGCCATGGCCGTGCCGCGGTCGCCCAGATGGAAGCCCGACAGCTGCGCATCCGACCGATTGTCGTTGTCATCGTACGTGTAGGCCGGGTCGGCCGACAAATCCGATGACGCGATCGTGTGGCGGAATAGACGGAAACCCACGGCTGCGTCGCTGGCCCGCGTCGTCAGCAGCTCTGACAGTAGCGTGTCCAGCATGCTGTCGTTCAACGCGCCAAACACGGCCACCGTGGCGTCTGTGACGGCTGCACCGAACCCCGTGATGCGCTGCTTGTAGCCTGAGCTGGTGTCGTCCACCGAGAGCGACCAGGTCGAGTCGGCGCCAAACTGCTCGCTCGTGTCGTTCAGCACCGGCACCGTCAGCGCCGACAGCTTGTACTGGCCGTCCTCGGACGTGCAGAACGCCTCCGGAAGGCTGGCTGCCACAGTGCCCGCGAGCACTGCCAAAGCAGTGAGAGAAGACGGCATGGACATGTTGAAGTCGATCGTGGCAATGTAGACAGACAGAGACGAGAGCGGGGTCTTGGCCAGAACAGGAGCTTGTACGAGGAGGTTGACGGTAATTTATACTCGCCAGTATGAACAGTAGCCCATGATAACCTTCCACAATGTCTGCTCGTGCAATGGTTTCACCTCTTGAGCGAGAGGCTCTTCATTTGCCGAATGATCCTGCAGGATCACAGACATACAACATAGCCGCACTGCTCGAGACCATTTTTATCGAAAAGCGGGACCAGGTCGTTTTTTGTCAGGGATCTGCTTCCTGCCTTCCTGCGCCCCGTTGTTAAGACATGATCGAAGCAAGGTTGAAGCCGGAGTTGAGTCAGTAACCCGCAACATTCATCACGTCAAGTCCAAATAGATCCACAAATCCACTTATCAACACACGGTAGGCACGACTACAGCGCAAGACGTTCCTTCCTCGAATGGAGCACACTCACAATGCAAATTAGGTAAACAGATTGGGAAATATACCAATACATAAACCCATGCAACAATTACACGCTGTATGTCAGTTCAGTAAACCATCCCTTCTCGCCGTTCTATCCGTGGCGCCTCCATCTGTCGTCCCGTTTCACCTCTCAGCGTTCAGTCTTGCGTTTCCATCTCGCTACGGTCCCGGAGACAGTCTTTTCGCAGCAATACTTGCGCGCCATATCGGCCATGGCCCCAAACTCGGCCGGTGGCGGAAACCGGTTCTGTCGCGGTGCGTCGTGTTCATAGGAGACGATGCCGGTGTTGGCATCGCGCCACGCCAGCACACGTCCGCCGAACCGCAGATCCTCCAGGTGCCGCTGCAGGCCCTCTTTCGTGTATCGGGTCAGCGGGTCGGCCCAGCCACGGTAACCGGTTTTGCGGTCGGTGTGCACGCAGGCAAGGCAGCCATATCCGCAATTGAGCGGTGGTGGCGACGGTGGCGGTCCCGACGGCTGTCTGCTGCCCACGGCCCCGGGGTCTTCCCAGTACGGTCCCGGGATCACGGCCGCATATCGGATGGGCGCCGGCTGTGCCGCAAGGGTGGGAGCATGCGTCGTCGACTCTGTGTCGGCGCTGCTGCGAGCCCGACTCGGGTCATAGAGCTCGGTCGACTGCTCTGCGCTGGACAGCACGCCGTATCGACCCGGCGGCACGCAGATGCTGGTGGGCCGGCTGCCGGTCTGAGCAGCGAGAGCAGTGAAGACGTCGTCGTCCGGGCGCGGAGACGACGTGGCCGAGGCCGAGACCGACCGAATTGCTGGCAGGTACGCGGGACAGCCACGGAAGCAGGCGTAGCACACGCGTTCGGGCGCGAGCAGATAGATGCAGTCGCCCAACGAGAAGGAGTGGGAATCGCCCTCCCGTCCATTTGGCCGCGCCCTTCGACAGCAGGCACACTCCCGGGCCAAGAGGCAGGCGGCCAGGGCCGACAGCGAGACGGGGGCGCCGGATGGACCGGGCGCTAGCAGCACGACGGCAGCCAGGGCGCGCGGGAAGGCGGCCACGACGGCAAAGTCGCGCAGACCGTCGACAATGGTGGCCGTAGCCCGGTTGGCATTGCGCAGGGCAACCAGGGCGCAGGGGTCGACCTCGGCCACGTCGGCGGCGATCTGGTGCAGCAGCTCCAGCGGCAAGACGGCGAGCCGGCCGAGATCCCAGGACGACGGCAGGGCCTCACCATCGAGCAGGACGTCGTCGTTGTTCAGCGGACAGGCAGCGCGGTCGTCGCCCAGGAAGAAGCCCGGCCGGGGAACTCGCGTGGCCACAGCCTCCCAGGAGGCAACGGGGGTCTTGCAGACAGCCATGGTGAGTTGTTGGGTGCAGATGAACAAAGGCCGGAGCTTGGCTTCAGGCAGAGCAGCATCTTGCTGGGGTTGTCCTTATATCAACTGGGACCTACGAGTGCAGAACCAGAAGAAGCCAAGACTCTGGCCATACATGACGAGCGAGTCCTCTCGCACAGAATCGACACGACGAGCCTGTTGACCCTGTTCAGAGCCGCAGCCCGGCCCAACAAAGCCAAGAAGAAGCGGCCATATGATCAACTCCCTTCGGACAGCGAGAACCAATCACGATGAGAGGAGATTTGGAGACCGAAATAGAACCTGCAGAACACGACGCGGTATGGCCGCTGGAGAGGCAAAAGAAACGTAAAGTCGACACTGGAATACGTAACAGCAGCCGTCGGCAGCCGCTGCACGTGGACATGTGGGCTTCCCCGCACTGTGTTTTACGTAATGATCTGTACTCGTTCTCGATTCCTCCAGTCAGCCTAGACATCACGCAAACCGCACAGTTTTTTCGACATGGTCTGAACTGTCTATTCCACTGGCTGGCCTTTATGGGTGACTACACATTCGGCGAGAGGAGATCGTATCGGACACATCGCTCGACCTGTGGCAGTTAGCAGGGTGATCAGCGCCAAGATCGACGGGCACACGCCAGCACTCACATCCTCAATGCTCGCCTGCAGGAAGCGGCGGGTCTCCAGGCCGACCCAGATGCGCAGCATGGAGAAGTCGCCGGCCTTGACAAAGTCGGCACCGCTCTGGGCGCTGAGCTGGCGCAAGATCGGCAGTGACGCGCTGAGCAGGTCAATGTCCGGGTCGAGGCTGCGGCCGATGCCCTCGAGCAGCAGAATGCTGAGCACGATGTTGACAAAGTCGCCCTCCATGCGGACATGGTGGCCACGCACCATGCCGAGAACCTGCTGCAGGATGTCGCCGATGCGAACGTTTCCAAGGGCCAGGGTCCGGCTCTTGACCGAGAGCACCAGGTGCTGCATTTTGAGCGCGAACACGTCCTCGTCCAGGACTGCTTCGGGCTGCCGGCACCGCTCGCACATCAGCTGTCCGGCGCGATATCCGTCGAACTCGGCCACGGCCCGGAACAGGTCCAGAAAGTTGCGCCGGTTCGTTTCATTCAGCTGCGTCGCCAACCCGGTGTCGATGAAGATGAGCTGCGGCCGGAAGCCCTCGTGATCGATGCGGGCCAGCTCGGCCTGCCAGGCCACCTTGTCGTGGAAGTGCGGCCGCAGTCGGGCGAGCACCTGCTCGGTCACGTCGGGCTGCTCCTGTGGCTTCGGGCTTTTCTGGCTCTCAGCCCTGCCCGACAGCGAGAGGTCCGGCCGAGCTGCCTGGTAGAACCGCACCATGATGTTGCCCGGATGCAGATCGGCGTGCACAAAGTTGTCGAGCAGCAGCATGCGGAAAAAGGCGTCGAGGCCCTCGGACGCGATCTCGTGCTGGAACACGCCGCCACCGTTGTCGATAAAGGCCGACAGCGGTAATCCCTGAGCGAACTCCTCGACCAGCACGTTGCGTGTGGTGAACTCGGGGTGAGGAAACGGAAACGAGGCTGTCGTGCGGTCGCGGAAGTGGCGCCGAAAGATGGTCAGGTTGGCCGCCTCGATTCGCAGGTCAAGCTGCAGCCGCATCATCTCGCCAAACTGCGCCACCTCGTCCGGCAGCGAGAGCCACTCCATTGTCGGGACCGCGTTGAGCACGGCCGCGAAGAAGCCCATGATCCGCAGATCGCGCCGCACCGTCCGCTCGACGCCGGGATGCAACACCTTGACGGCCACATAGGAAGACGGTACGCGCTGCGGCGTGCTCTTGATCAGCGGCTCCACGCGGCGTCGCACATTCTCCAGTCCGTATTTGTCGCTGTGGTTGTGGCTGGCCTCTTCCTCTTCGCTATCCCGGTTCGCCCGCGTGTTCGGACCTGCTGGTCGCAGCCGTGCCTTGTAGACCTGAGCGATGGCACCAACGCCCAGCGGCTCGACGTCAAACTCGTCAAAGATCTCGTCCATGCGGCCGCCAAAGGCCGTCTCGACCGTCAGCCGCGTCTGGCGGATCGAGTGTGCCGGTGCATCCGAGTGCAGCTTCGACATGACCGCACACATCTCGGTCGGGAAGATGTCTGATCGTGACGCCGCCCACTGGCCCAGCTTGATAAACGTTGGCCCAGCCAGCTCCATGGCCTTGACCAGGACGCGGTACCACAGCAGAGCGCCCACCCGCTCATTGTCACGGTCCCGTCGACGTCGTCCCATCCAGATGCACGGCGCCATCGCCAGCACCGGCACGAAGATGCAGCTGAGCTGCACCAGCCGCAGTCCTGTGCACAGAGGCTCCCACACGTAAAGATCCACCAACAGCACCACCTGTCGCCACAGCCGCAGCGGCCCCCACGCGTCCGCGCTGACCGTCTTGGCAATCTCTGCGCGCGACACCTCCAGCATCCGCGTCTCCACCGTGTGTGCCGTCCCGCTGTTGTCCGTCTCGCTCAGCTCCACAAACGCAGACGTCCCCAGAGCAGCCGCGCCGTGGACTGCTGCCAGGAGCGTCACGCGTGTCCGTCGTGGGCCAGATCCAGATGAAGTCCGGAATTGCTCTTTGTGCGATCCCGTCTTGCTCGTCCACGCCCTCGAGCCCTCAGGACCCCGGAACAGCCGACGCGGCCGCACTGCTGTCCGCAGAGGAAGACAAACCAGCCGAATGGCCGGCACCAGAGGCCTCATGACAGCACAAGACGAGAAGAGCCCGGGGATGCAGAGGACTGGTGCGTCGAATAGCACATTGCAGGTCGAACGAGGGATGCGTCGGTCGCCAGACACGACAGGGCCTTGTGCATTATGGACAGAAACAAAGTGACGTAGCTGAGAGACTTGATTCCAGCTAAAATGGTACTTCCTCTGGCTCGCTATGTATTACTTCCACACTGTCATGTGACATAGAACCCACATGTACAGGCCGGGTGGGGCCGGATCAGCAAAGACCAAAAAAATGTTCTACGGGCGGTGTCGGACGGCAGATCCATGTTCGTCATTCCCAAAATTCGATGCCATTCCTGTCTGTTTCCACCATCTTCCGACAGGATTGACTGCACAGCACAACCTACCGGCAACATGGGCTGGTTCTGGGCAGACACGACGGCGACGGCAGTACCGGCAGTGCCGACAGGAAACCGGCAAGCCTGTCCGCATCCCCAGCAGCCACTGAACAAGCCTCCTCCGGTATGCGGCTCCGTTCGAGGATTTGGGGCACATGGGGAGCTGCTAGCTAACTCTCCTAGCCTGGCTGTCCGATGCACAATGCGACGGTCGATGCGCTGAGCCTGCACAAGATCGGTGTGCCAGCGGCCGGTGGCGTCGCTTCTTCGTCGAGCCCGTCCTCCTCGGGCTGTCCGGTGCCGCACGCACAGCGGAATGGCAGCCAAGCGGAAGCATCATTGCCAACACCGCCCCCGTCGGCCCTCTCGCGGCTCAATCCGCTCAACTTCATGTTCCGCGAGCTGTCGCAGGAGCGTGCCCCGGAGCAGACGGTGGCGCTACCGACATCGCGCGAGGCGTCGACGATTCCGCGCGGCGACGGCGACGGCAACTGGGAGTATCCGTCGCCGCAGCAGATGTACAATGCGCTGCTGCGCAAGGGCTACACCGACACGGATGCCACGGCTGTCGAGAGCATGGTGGCCGTGCACAACTTCCTCAACGAGGGCGCCTGGGCCGAGATCGTCGACTGGGAGCGTCGCTTCGGTCATGGTCTGGCACGCGGCTGGCAGATCAGCCGCCGAGGCGAGGAGAACGCGCCAGACGTGACGGCTGCCCTCGAGCGTGTCGGCGGCGCTGTCGAGCCACCTCGTCTGATTCGCTTCCAGGGCCGTCCGGGCGACATGACCCCCAAGGCCGCCTTTGTCCAGCTGCTCGGGAGGCTGTACCCGGCCAAGTATGGGTGAGTTCTTCTTTCTTGGCACCTGGCATCTCTCTGTCTCTGAGCTCCTAACACCCGTAGCACCGAACCTCCGTTTGATCGCCACGATTGGTACGTCGCCCGCAACGTCAACGGCCACGAGAAGCAGATTCGCTACGTCATCGACTTCTACTCTGGCCCGCCAGAGCCCACCGGCGAGCCCGTCTTCTACCTCGACGTCCGGCCTGCTGTCACGCCCTCCGCCGCCGTCGAACGGCTGATGCGCTGGGGCGGCGACGTCTGGTGGCGTGCCTCGGGCGGCGAGGCCCGCGAGCCCTGGAACAAGGCCTGAGAGCGAGAATGCTGGGACTGGGATGCGGAAATGCGGAAATGCTGTACGATCAACACGTTGCGGGAGAGCGGGGACGGCTGGCTCGGTTTATGTGCATTTTCATCTGCAGCGATCTTTGGGTCTTTCTTTTCTCTTTAGGCTCCCTCTCCGGCTCGGACCTCGTCTGATATAAATTCCTTTTCTCCTCTCGATATTTCGTCACGGCTCACTAGTCGTACAATATGCTTAGTCATCATTCGATATCACAATCGCACTCTGATCGATACGGCAGTCCCACTTTTTAATCGCCCAATTTTTTCTGCTGCATCCGCTAAGATAACTTTTTTCTTCCACCTCCAAGAGCAGCCATGACCAGGCCGAGTGCGACGACGGCCTCGACCCCGACTGCAACCGCACCAGCCAGCAGTGATCCCGGCTACACGCGGCTGCATATCAGCCCGCTCGACGCGGACCTGCTCAGCGTCATTGTGCCCGGCTCGATCCGATCGGATGCCCGCAACATATCGTATCACGGCCTCCAATCGTTTCCCGAGAAGCGGTACGGCTACGTGGACCTGCCGAGTGCCGCGGCCGACAAGCTGCGCAACAAGCTGAACGGAGCCGTGCTCAAGGGTGTGAAGCTGCGCATCCAGCCGGCACGCACCCGGAAGAAGGAAGAAGACGGGTGGGCGCCCCGGAAGCAGAGCGACGACGACGACAGCATGGCGGGCTTCCACAGGACCAGAGGCCGAAGGGAGAACAAGGATTTCATGCAGAGCGCCACGTTTGGGCTGACGACGTGGCGACGACTCGGCGGTGCGGCGGCCTCGGAAGAGATCCCGGGCATCCAGCTGGAAGTGGGCCGTCAGGTCAAGCGCGGCTGGACCGAGGGCGAGGACGAGAAGATTGCGCGGAAAAAGGCCAAGAAGGAGGAGCGCAACAGCAGCAAGAGCAAAAAGAGTGCGGACAAGCCCAAGACGGAGCAGAAGATGCGCCAGAGAGCGGCCAAGTACACCGACAAGAAGGAGTGCCTGATGAAGACGATACTGCCACCCAAGGCTATGGCAGCCGAAAAGGCGGCAGCAGCAGCAGCAGCACCGACTACAGCAGACGCAGCTGCTGTCGTGCCAGAGGAAGAGGACGAAGAGACACGGGCACGCAGGAGAAAGCGGGACAAGCGGGCACGACACGTAGTGGTGCATGAGTTTGCGCACTCGACCAAGTTTCCGACCTTTCTCCGGTCGGCCGGCGATGGCGCGGCTCCTCTGCGGGCCAATCTCGAGTTTGTCGACGGCAAGGGCTGGGTAGACGGCACGGGCGACGTGGTGGAGGCGATGCTGAGCACGCGGCCGGCCGTGGTGACAGCCAAGATCGAGACGGAGGCGCTGAAGGCCAAGATCGAAAAGGTCCGAAAGGCCCAGATTGTCAGCAGTGACGATAGCAGCGACACGAGCGACTCGGGTGATTCGATCAGCAGTAGTGGTGAGAGCTCAGAGGAGGAGGAAGAGGAAGAGGATGAGGATGAGGACGACGAGAACAAGGAGACAAAAATGGCAGAGGCACCGCCGATGGTCGAACGGCCCAAGTCGTCGAGCTCATCCAAGGGCCTAACCATTCAGATCCCGGCTGCCGTCGAGGTGCACCCGCTCGAGGCGCTCTACAAGAAGACCAAAGCGACAGCTGTTGGCGACGACAAGACCAGAGGCGACGCCGACGCCGACAAGACTGCAGCCGAGCCGTTCAGCTTCTTTGGCGGATCAGACGACGTCGACGATGCCGACGATGGCGACGACGACGGACAGCCGCAGCCGACGACGCCGTACACGGAAAAGGAGCTGGAGTGGCGCCATGTGCGCAGCGCGGCGCCGACACCAGACACGGCGCATCCCAGCCGGAGTGGCAGCGGGCGGTGGCCGTTCGGGGACCGAATGGAGGAGGACGACGACGACAACGACGACGACGAAAACGACAACGAAGCCGGAGCGACCAGGGACAAGGAGGCTGCGGTCACCGACGATCCCACGGCCGACTTTGAGAGCTGGTTCTGGGACAACCGTGGCGACCTCAACCGGGCGTGGAAGAGGCGGCGCAAGACGGCCGCCAAAGAGAAGCGGTACCGTGACAACAAAGCGCGGGCCGGCCGGGCGATCTAAAGGGGGAAATGTAAGCTGGCCAATGTTTCTTATTGCTGTATAGATCCGAATGTATGGCTCCATTTTCCAAATTGTGCACGTGACCTGTGTGGTCTGAATTGGGAGTAGCTCAGAACGGCTGTCTAGCAAAGTCTAGGCGGCGGCGACGACGGCGGCCAAGGTGGTGCCAGCGGCAGGAGGAGACTGTTGGACGATGCACCTGGCCCACCGATGGCCAGTCCGCCGACGACGGCGTTGCTGCTGCTGCTGTTGCAGCTGCTGGTGATGGTGTGGCCGAGCAGAATCCGGTCTTTCGAGCAGGTGACGGCTGAGACGGTTGTGGCCGCGATTTCCGCCTCTTCTACCTCTCCAGCAGCCTTGGTGTCCTCTTTTTCCGGCGTCTCTTGGGTCAAGGCCAGCCGTGCCTCCAAGGCCTCGACATAGCGTCGCAACCGTAGGGGATCCTCGACGAAACGGGCCCAGTTGCGGTCCTCCTCACAGTCGACGATGTGATCGAGCTGGTCCTCGCTCGTGAGCGCTCCCATCTCCATCCATTCTCTGCTCTGGTCTGTCGCGTCCGCTTCTTCTCCTGTTTCGCTCTCGTCATCTCTCCCGGCCTGCTGCCTCTGTCGCCACGCCACCACTGCCAGCACAATTCCGGCCGCTGCGCTGATTGCCAGGCTGGCTGCCAGCCATGCGATCCCGTGTGCCTCCCACGACAGGGCGCTCGTCGTCGTCGTCGTCGCCCGCACAGCCACGCTCGCCGCCACCAGCGTCACGGCAGCCGCGCACGACAGCAAGCCAGCCAGCAGGACGGCCACGAGCAGCACCGCGTCACGGCAGCCGCGCACGACAGCAAGCCAGCCAGCAGGACGGCCACGAGCAGCACCATGGCGAGCCGATGGCGGCGCTGGCGAGCCAGATTGCAGACAGCATCGTCGGCGGCCTGGACTTCGCTCAGCGGAATGTGACGCAGCCGTGGGCCCCAGCGGATGGAGATGGAGCGAGTCAGCGGCGGCGGCTGACCGCCAGAGGCGGCAAGACGGAGACTGGTGGTAGCGTGACCGATAACAATGCCAGCATCTGGCGACTGTCGTGTCTCCCTTTCCGGTCCTCTGTCTGACCCCTCTTCCTGGATCCATTCCGGCTGACACGCCGCACTGCTGCCGTCCCCATCCCCTACTGCCGTCGTCAGTGCCGGCGCCGATGAAGACGTCGACATAGGCCGAGGCCGTCGGCGGTTGAGCTGGGCTGTGCTCAAGGCAGGACCGAGCGAGGGCACGCCTGATCGGCCCAGCGGCGTCACCGTCCGGCGACTGCCCGCTCGGCTGGGCAGAGAGAAGTTCTGGACCGAGTGGATGCTGGCCATCGATGCCGGCTGTCGTGCAGAAGCTCTCTTGTCGTCTTCTCTGTCTCGTACTCTTCCACCCTTCAGATTCGTGACGGCTCGTCCAGCGTATGCTGTGATATGTATCGGATCACGTCGATGATAGCTACCATTGCCACAATAAAAACAACAGAAAAATCGGCTGCGCCGAGACTACGCCGCTCGGCCAAATGTAAACAAGACAGAGCCAGGTGAGAGCGCGGCGATGGCCAAGTGATAGCAGCCTATGCCAGATGTGCCCACGACCGCGTTTATCCAGGCGACTTGCTAGCCACCGTCTCAAGTCATAAAGCATATCCTTGTCTTGACTGATTCAATCGCCTGTTTTCTCCTTGTTGTCTTTGGGCCTGCCTCGACCTGCTCGTTCTTGCCCGATTTGGCTTACACGATTGGTCTTTCCCGATTCGGCACTTTCCCATTTCGCATCTTTGCATTAGTCACCTTTTCGGTCCAGGGCAACGAGCGGACTCTTAGCGAAATCAACAGCAACTATCTCGTAAAATAATATCAGCTTCCCATGCTCGGCGCTTTTCCCGCCAAGAGCATCCATATGCGCAGCAAGGAATACACAGACGCCAAGAGAAAAGAACACGCATTAGAAGCCCGCCAGCCGTCAGCTGTCCATTCCTCCTCCTAGCCTTCTATCCCCAGTCCCCTACCAGAAGCTGCACCAACCAATGTAGTGTTGGCACAGGTTCTCCAGCTTGGTCGCCTCGATGATCAGCTTGTTTACCTGCGCCGTGACGTCCAGCTCCTCGCCCGGCTTGAAGTCGCGTCCCGTCAGCTTCTGCTGCACGCGCCCAAGCACCTCGACAGCCCGCGCATTCTGCGTCTCAGCCGCGTATGGCAGCTGTTGTGGCAGCAGCTGCTGGGAACCGTTGGTCCCATTGGCTCCGTTGGCTCCGTTGGCTCCGTTAGCTCCGTTGGCTCCGTTCGTTCCATTGACTGGTGCTGCTGCGGCTGTCGGCGCCGCCACCAGCGAGCTGTTGGACCGCGTGCGAGCACGTCCGCCACCGGCATCGGGTCCGGCTACTGCACTGCCGTCGTCGTCATCGTCCACGGCAGATCCGCCTACCAGAAGCTCCGACGGCGCCACGTGTCCGTCGAGGACCGACGCCCGTCTCGTCCGCGCACCCGCAGCCGGTCCCAGGATGGCCAGCTCGCGTTCCGATTGGAAGTTGGGGCCGGCCGGCGATTGTGCATTGGTCAGACGCCAGGTCAAGAGCGGGTCGTGAATGAACTAGGGAATTAGTAAAGGAAAGCTAGAACGATCAGAAAGAAAAGAAAACCGATCAAAACTCACAGCTTCCAACACAGCCATCACACTGTCCTTGTTGTCTCGCAATACACGCATCACGTGCTCACACGTGATCCGGAAGCTGCCCTCAATATTGCTCACTTCCATGGCATACGTCAACATGCGGGTCAGGCGGAAGGGCACGCGCTCTGGGTACTTTTCCCGCTTCATGGCCACCTCGAAGCAGTCGCCAAAGTCAATGTGCACAATCTTGCCGGTCACACGGTCCAGCATCAGGTTCGACGGATGCCGGTCGCCCAAGCCGAGAATGTAGCCGACCATGGACATGACGCCCAGCGAGCGGGTGTAGTTCGTCCGGCGGTCCAGCCAGGCCTCCGAATTCTTGCTCTTCAGCCACAGCACCCGGTACAGATCCTGGCCGGTCGTGTTGTCCAGCGCGTAGCCAAACACCTCCACCTTCTGCATCAGCGTCAGGTTGTCGTAGTCGGGCGCCATCTGCAGCATGATGCGGTGCTCAATGTTGAGCAGGATCTTGCGGCAGTCGCGATATTCGCGGATCAGCACGTGGATCGTGTCGCTGTTGGGCACCCAGCCGAGCAGGCCCGAGTTCTGCGACAGCGGGATCGCCGGGAACCGCTCAATGTTGAGGTGGCGCTTGTAGCTCTCCGAGTCCATCGAGAGCAGTGTGTTGCACAGCCCAAACAGCTGCATCACCCGCTCGTCCTGTCGGATGTCCTCGTGGCCCTTGAGCAGGAACGCGTGGTTGTTGCCGTCGCTGCCCACAATCTTCATCTCGCGCGGCCGCTGCTTCGAGCTGATCACCGCAAACGTCGGCGCAAACGACATGATCCGGATCACCGGCTGTCCGCTGCGATACTTGCCCGGCACCGAGAGATCCAGGTCACGTGCCATCAACAGCTTCGGACAGCAGTACGTCAGCTCCAGCGATGTCATCTGCGGCAGCTGCCGTGTAATCCGCCGGAACACCTGGTAGTACAGGTCCCAAGCCTGGTTGAGGTCGCTGGCATCGTGGCTGACTTCGTACTGCCGACACCACTCGCGCGCCTCGCCCAGATCACGCCCAAACGTCTGCGCAAACGATATCTCCCGCAACGTCTCCGGCCCACGCTCCAGCAGATCATGCAGCGGTTCCAGCACTGCCAGCATGCCCTCAATGTTGTGGTCGCCAAAGTAGAGCCGCGACGCCTCCTCCAGACCCTCGTGCCAGAGCTCGTGCCACAGCACCGCCACCCGGATCAGCTCGTGGCTGACCAGGTCTGCCTGCTCCACCAGCTTCGCGCTGTGCTGCCGCATGCTGTCCATGATCTGTGCGGCCGATCGTGACCGTCGCGTGTTCTGCCACGACTTCATCGCCACGGTCAGCGGGTACACCAGCGCCTGTGGATGTGCCCGGCCCACGTCGGCCAGCAGGTTGTGCACCGACTGCTGTACCCGTCGGTTCGGCTGGTTGATCCGTGCAATCAGCTGTGGGATCACCTCCAGCCACGTGTCCACGCTGACCCGCGCGAAGCCCTCCGTCACGGCCACGTTGACGTCCGGATGGCCGCCGTGTGTCAGCCAGAGCGCCAGCAGCCGCAACGTGTCCTGCAGCGTGCTGCCCTTGGACAGCGCGATCGACTCGAAGAACCCGCGCACTGCCGGTACCACGTGCTCCAACACTATGCCGTAATCCACCGCCGCCTGTGGCCCCGCTGCCTGTCCGCCCACTCCGTTGGCCCCGTTAGCGTTGCCGCCAGCCGTCAGTGCCTGCACCACCTCAAAGTTCGCCAGTGCCCACGCGTGCCACGCCTTGTACCACTTCGGGTTGTGTTTGGTCGCCTGCGTGTAGTTAAACAGAATCTCCCGCACGTGTGTGTTGCGCCAAGAGTCCTTGTTGAGCGCGATCAGCCAGTCGCCCGTCCGCAGGTATCCCTTGGCCAGCAGCTTCGTCTGCTCCTGTAGCAGCCGCTGCGTCTCCGGGCTCATCTGTGCCGCCGATGCCGCATCTCGGACCCGGTCAAACCCATGGTGGCCTGACATGTCTAGCCCGCCGACACCCAGCCCGTTTGGTCCCATTCCGCCGTTCATCGTCATGCCGTGCATCTGGAACTGCTGCCGTGCCGCCTCCAGACGCACGCCCAGGTCCGCCGTGAACTGCCGCAGACAACCGAGCGCCTTCTCCGCGATCCCTGCGTGCTTGTTGTCTGCCAGCTGTCCGCGGTCCCACTCGTACTTGAGGACCGCATAGATCACCTGTGACGGCGGCGGTGGTGGCGGCTTCGGGTAGTCGTCGTGTGCGGCCGCCCCGCTGCCCGCCTCGTTGGCCGTGCTGTCGATTAGCAGACGTCCGTGCCGGAAGTCTCGCTGGCCCCGTCCGCCCATCATGTCGATGCCGTTGCCGTTGCCCGATCCGTTGTTCTCCCGGGCCGCACGACGCCGCTCGTACTCCATCTCCCGCTCCCTCTCGCGCACCTGTTCGCGCTCCCGCAGCACCTCTGCGTCCACCCAGTGTGGGATCGTGTACTCGAGCGGGTCTTCGTTGCCGATCAGGTGCTTGAGCGACTTCTCCGCCAGGCCCATCCGCTGCGACTTGCGGCAGAGATTCGAGAACTTGATCCACATCTGCATGTTCTCCATCGGGCTGACCACCAGCCCACGAAGCCGGAGCATTCGCTGCCACACCTCCACGTTGCGTTGGCAGCCCAGCAGCCGCGTCTCCCACGTCCGCCGCAACGACTCCTGCTTCTTCGGGTCGCACTGCTTGTACGTGATGAGCTCCTCCAGCTCCGCCAGCATCTGCACCCGCACAATCACCTGGTATGCCCGCGTGTACGATTCCGTCACGAGGGCGCTGAGCTCCACGTCCAGTCCCTGCCGTGCCAGCTCCACGCAGACGGCTGCTTCGCGGAATTGGTTCCGGTGCAGCGCCAGGATCGCCCCGAAGAACGCCCGGTCCGTCGATTGCCGCTTCATCGCTTGCAGGTACACGTCCATGAGGTCCCACTTGCCCAGGTTCCACGCAGCCGCCGTCGCCAGCGGCGACACCAGTCGCTTGATTTCCTGCGCCGAGTTGGCCCAAGTGTTCCCTGCAATCGTCGCCAGCGCATCCCATTCGCCCAGCGCATGCAGACATCGCATCTTGCCCATCACCAGCTCGATCGATGCCAGCTGGTCCTCTGGGAGCTCCTTCTCGCGCTGCTCGTAGAAAGCCAGCGCCTCCTCCCAGCGCTCCAGCTTTTCAAACCAGGTCTCACGCAGCTGTATGCCATCCTTGTACAATTGTGCCTTACGCAATATGCCAATGGCGGCATCAGACTGCTGTAGCTGGTTGTTGATCGAGATCAGAGCTTCCACCGCAGACGTGCTCTGGTCCTGCAAAAATTCGAGCTCCTTGTAGTGCAGCGCCTTTGCGTATGCGTGGCACCGGCCCGCTTCGCGCCCCAGCACCCGAATATCGATAGGCAGCGCCTTGTCGTCGTGCTCCATGAACTCGGCCAGGTTCAGAAGCAGCCCGAGCAGGTCCGGAGGGATGTGCTCCGACTTGATCGCGTTCTCAATATTGTAGATCAGCTCCTCCTGGTACTGATCGTACAGCTCGCTCCAACAAGACACGAAAGCCGAGTTGAACAGCTCCCGCGCCAGTGGCGGATACAGGTTGCCCAAGGCAGCACACGCGCGGAGAGCATGGTTGGGTGACTCGTTCAGCAACGTCGTACTGAATCCACGCAGCCACTCTTGCCAGTCTTCCTTGGTAGATTTGCCCTTCGTGTCCCATGCCGTCCTGAGATGCACAGCGTTCATCTCGAGCTTCTTCGTTGCCTGCTCGGCAAATGGCACCTCATCCAACTGGTCGGCAAAACGGTTCTCGGAGCTGAGATCCTGCGGTAGCACGTCGCCTTTTTGAAGCTTCGTCACAAGCAGCTCGTAGTTGGCATGCTGGATACCCTGCTGCGCGATCGTCTTGTTCACCATGGTCATAAAGTGGAGGTAATCTTTGCCCAGCTGGTGAATAAGCGCACAGAGCGTGTCCAGACCAGCCACCCGCAGGACCGGCTCGTTGCACGCGAGAATTCTATTCAGGGGGTGGATGATCTTGGAGGCATAGTCATTGAGGTTCACCTGCCGCGAGATCTTGCCAATTGCCTCAATGGCCATCTTGCGTAGAAACGTCGGCTGGTTCGGCTTCTCAAAAGTGCGCACAATCACCGGAATGATAAGATGCATGTACTCCTCGCTGCTTGATCCAAACACAAGGAAAGCATGCAGCACTTTTTCCGATGGGAGACGCCGCATCGACGTGTCGTTTTCCAGGAGCCCGAGCATCAGTGGTAGCAAGCCCGCCAGGTAAATCTTGAACTCGCCTTCGAGCGACCGAGAGATGGACTCGATCAACGACAAGATTGTCGAGTGCAACGATGGCGAGCTGTTCCAGTACTCCTGCATGATCTCCACAAGCGACGGTAAATAGTTGCGGATGTGCTGTCGAACAATGCTTACTAGTGTGGCAAGCTGGCTGAAATAGGCCTCGGCCTTGGAGGGTGACGAGCTCCGTATGACGAGGAGAAAGGCGGGTATGATGCGATCGAGAAATTGGACACACTCCAGCCCAAGAGTGCGGAAGATAGACATGATGGCGCTGATAACGTCCTGGTGGTACTGCACCAGCGAGTGATCCTTGAGAATGCCGAGAAGGGCATTGATAACGACGGTCGGGTAGTACTCCTTGTTCGATGGGGTGAGACCCGTCATCATCAGCGAGATGTCCGTCGTCTGCGTTGCCTCCACACGCAGCTGCAGCTCTGGACTGCGCTCCTCTACTTGCTGTGATAGAAACGCACGTTAGTCATTACGCGAGACCAAGTCTAGAGCTTCAGAACGGGAACGGCAGTATACCTGGTGTCGGTACGGATCAAGGGCGCCGAGAATGCCCATCAGCTTGATCGTCTCTTGTCGCAGAGTCGCATGCTGTGGTTCACCGCGAATGATATTCTGCAACATGTCAAGCAGCTGCGGGTACTCCAAGTAAGGGTCGATAACATAACCCGAGTTGGAAGCCAGCTGGCCGATGGTGCGCAGAGCCGCCTCGCGCTTCACAATCGATGACTGGTCCTGGAGCGCATCAACGAGAATCGGCATCAGCCGGTCCTTGTAGCGCAGCATCTCTTCTCCACCGACGTTGCAAAGCTCGCCAATGGCCTTGATAATAGTGGCCGCCACGGACGCCGTCGGATCGGCTGCCTTGGGCAGCAGCACTTCCATCATTGGGTGCACATACGGCTGAATTAGCATCTGGGCGTTCTGAACCAGCAAGCTGAGCAGCTTCGCGCTCTCCTCCTTATTCCGAGAAACGTCTGAGAACTCGAGCTCGGTAAGCATTTGGATCAACGTCTTGCGGAGAGACGGCACGATATAAGCTGGGTTCTCGCGCGTCAAGCGTCCGATCAGACGCACAGCCACTTCCCTGATAGGGAAGTACTCGTCGTTCAGAGCGTAGAAAGCCGTGCGGATGTTCTCTGCCTTGCCGAGATGGCGGTCAAACCGGCTGTCAAGTGCATTGAGAATGGTAAGACGGATATGCGACACCGGGTCAGATACAGCCACAGTCAGCAGTCGCTCCACCACATCGCCCACTACCTGCATGGCGTGGTAGCTCTCTTGGTTGACGATGGGATCGCGCAGGTACAGCTGACAGCAGGTCAGCGCGGCAGCCTCGCGCGTCTCTGGATCGTCGTCGTCAACGTAGCGCATTGCCACATCTCGAACAAACTCGTTCAAGACATGTCCGGAGAAGTCAAAGCAACCCAGCGTGTTTAGAGCCAGCTTCACCTCAGCCTTGTGCAGCTCGATAGCGGCGGCGTCTTTGGGTGTCTCTTTGGTCGTGATTGTAGGAGCCGCAGACGCCAGCACACTACCACCCTGTGACAGAGGCGCGCCCAGCTGTTTGAAGGGCTCCCCGCAGAGCACAATGCTGATCATGTTCAGCAGCCTCTCCTGGATGGTGCTGCGCACCGCGGGTACGTAGAACGCGATATCGACGAGAGCCTGGGTCAACTTGGGCGTCATGTCGCAGGCGAAGATGGGATCTAGTAGTGCCTCCATGTACTTCGTCAGAGTCTGCCCGACAGCGACGGCCAGCCGGCTGATACAGTCAAAAACAGGATCAACAGACGCCTTCTTGCGAGCGTTCACACTGAGTCCCTCGCGGATGTAGATCAGGATTCCATCGAGATACGGAGCCATGGCACTCTTGACCGCATTGGCGACGCTGCCGATAGCGACAAAAGCATCGTTGCGCTCCTTCTCGCGCTTGAGCATCGCCGAGAGATAAATCATAAACTGGTGCAGGTGATTTTCAGAGAACTGGGTCGGCGCATAGATTGCGAGATCGGGAATCAGTAGGACGGCCGTTTTGCGAATCGTCGCATCGCGATGGTCCTTGTACCGCGAGACAATCTCGCAGGCTTCTGTGTAGCGGTGCTGCATGTACATGCCGCCCTGCTCGAGAAGCTCCTTCAGCACAAGCAACGAGCCATGGATAGAGTCGACCGTGTTAAGCTTGAATCCGTGGCTGGCTTCCTCGTACATCTTGTCCATAATCCTGCTCTTCAGCTCCGGGTCACGCTCGCTGATGATCTTGAAGCAGGCGCTAACTGCCTCAGCGGAGGTGACCCGAATCAGATGGCGCTGGTCGCGAAGGCCGACCCATATCCAGTCGAGGATGTCCACCACCTTTCCATACATAAGGGTTGGGGCATTTCGGGCGATTTCTCGCAACAAAAGGGCTGCGCTGTACCGCCTTTCCTCGCTGCTGCCGTCCTGAAGAAACTCGAGGGCAAGCTGCACGTCGGTGTCGACAAGCGACGACACGAGCGAGCCTCCTCCAGGCCGGCACAGCTTACCAATGACAACGGCTGCCGACTGCATGCAGTTGATGTCCTTGCCAGACATCACCCTCGTCAGAGCAGACGCAAAGCGCGTGTACTTGACTGTCGGGTCAACGCCCTCAAACTCGACAAACGCATCGAGAGCATAGATCCCGCCTAGTTTTTCGAGCGTCGTATCGCCCTGAACCAGTGTGCTGATCTTCCCTTGCACCGTGCTCAAGTGTGTTTGGAACAGCTCAGCGCTCAGATCTGACAATTCAACGTGTCAGTCTTTCTTCAGGTCAGCCGACTATACATCGTCATCGTCGTACCTCGCTGTGCAACCGCCACAGTCTCCCGCAGCTGCTGGGCTGCTCGTCTCCGCTGCTCATCGGTAATGGACCTGACAAGAAGATTTCGGGTTAGCACGAGCAATAGGTAGAGTCGAGCGGTTGGAACTGCCGAGCCGACTATAGCCTCGACAGCGTGCCAATTACCTCGACTTGAGCTCCTTGATAAGGGCATCCGTGCTGAGCTCTGCCGACCCCTGTGACGAAGCCATGTTGTGCTAGATCTTGTTGTTTGTCGTGGTCCTCGATCAGTCACCTCCACTTAGAGCGATGCCGCTGCAGGGAATCGCATCCTCGGCCAACCGGACGTCAGTTGGTTGAGTCGCCGCCAGATCCAATCTCGATACTTGGCCGTTTGCTCGAAAGTCGCTTTTTTCTGCCCTCCGCTCCGATTCTCGTCTGCCGTTTTGCAGAGAAGAGGTGGGGGTGGGAGGTCGGGAGCGGGAGCTCGGAAGGAAGGCAGAGAAAATGGCGGGCTGGCCGCCTGGAGAGAAGATCTGCTTTAAAATGAGGTTAGGTGCAAGCTCAAACGAATGAGTTCAGTCAAAAGTAAAAACGACGGTCGATTGCCGTAAATACGATTCTTCCGTTCGTCTTGAATTGAAGGGGGGCTCAGGTCGGTAGAGAGGGTGGACGTACAAATGCGAGATGTTGAGGGTGCAGTTTGAGTTACCAAATTGTGAAAAGAACAAGGAAACGAAGCTTTGGGGATTTGCTAGAAAGCATCATGTGCTCCATTTCGCGCGACAGGTCAACAACACCTGTGGGCACCTGTCGCCAGTAGCGCCATCCGCCCCTGCCATTAGTCCTGTAAGATACGTTGTAAATCCTACTACGAAGTACTCTGGACCGCACGTCCATAGTACGACGTGAGGTACTGTAACGGGCGGGGCAACGCCTTCCGAACTACAGTGGTTTTGCTGACGTGGTGTACACGGTGTATATATCGGCATTGTGAGCACTCTTTGCACTGTACCTCGTACTCGTATATCTTAGAAACTTTTGTCAGCGATCATATCCGGCTTGTTGACGCTTCTCTTACCACAGAACACATCGACGCCGACACATTTTACCTTCCGAACATATCTATCACCGTACCTTTACCAATATACACCGAGATGGGAAACGACGGAGGCTCCATTCCCAAGCGCCGTGAGCTCGTAAAGTCAGCAGCCCGCCTCCCGACAGTGTCGGAGCTCAAAGCGACCGCCCTCGAGGCTTTGACCCACGCCTGGCAGACGGACCCCATCAGCGGCAATGCGCTTGACCTAGACGCCGTCGTTTCCGACTGGCGTGGGAGGCTGTTCAACTACGAAACGGTTTTAGAAGGACTCCTGCCCAGCGCTGCTGCTGCGAACGGCCACGCAGCTGAGACAGAAGAAGATGGTGAGTCTCCAGCAGACGGCATATTGACGGTGGCTGCTGTGGGGATCCGATCAGTGCGCGACATTGTACGTCTTCAGTGTCATCGCGTATCCAAGCTGCAGGATTCTTTATGGCAGTGTCCTGTCACCCTGAAAGAGCTCGGCTCAAACACAAAGGCTGTATATATAGTGCCCTGTGGGCATGTCTTCGCCGAGGCCGCTGTCGACAAGATCCTACCGGACAAGTTGTGCCCAGAGTGCAGCTTGGAATTTGCAGAGGAGAACGTCATTCCCATCCTACCGATTGACGACGCGGAACTGGAAAGGCTGCGAAAGCGCATGGAAAAGCTGCGGGCAGAAGGCTTGGCGCACAACTTAAAAAAGGAGAAGAGCCAGCACCATGGCGACAAGAAGAAGAGTAAGAAAAGAAAAACAGAGCATGAGGTCGATGCCAAACACGAAGCAGGTGGTAAAGGTGGCAGTGGCACGCCAAACGCGGACGGAGACGGCGCCGCTGCCAAAAAGAGGACGGAAAAGACAAATCAGAGCAGCAAGAACGGCAGGGATAACCGTATCAGCGGCATCAACAACGAGCTGGCAGCATCGCTCACAGCAAAGGTTCTTGCTGAGCAAGACAGGCTGCAGAAGCGCAGAAAGTTGGCTGAAGCGAGGTAAACAGCAACCTAAGTATGACATGCGATACCCAGCGAATAGCAAGTTCTTTTTGACAATTCTACAGCCTGGTATACTTTCCCATTCGTAGTCAAGTTTGTACGTCGTGTTCATACCGTATCACGCGGCACCAGAAATAAGCAAGCGAACATAAGTTGTTATATACGAAATCCGTAGTGCGTTACATCGACCAGTCAACCAGATCTCTATTCACCGCGCCAGATTGTGTTTGTCATCTCGCCATCTGTCCTCATCCGCCCTTATGCAGCAGATACTAATCACAGCTCTTCCTTGCCTGCTTCAGCAGCGCCTTCTTCTTTAATCTCCTCGCAAGCAATTGGCGTGCCAACCTCCATCTTGTAGACGCACTTCTCGGATTCCGCGATGCGCCACATCTCCTCCTTTTCAGCACAGCCTAGCCAGATATCTGTGCGTCTGTTCGGTCCGTTCCAGCAGTTTTGGCCATTTTCGTACTTCAACACCATGCGGGAACCACTTCCCAGGCTTTTTCCATCCAGGCGCTCCGCATCATCGGCTATTTCGATTTCGAAGCGTTCGTAGTTGCCCATGCCAGTGCTGGCGTGGCCCTTCTTAGACTTCTGCTTTGCTTGGCCTAGCCAGCAAAACTCGTACTCGTACTCGCCCGCATCTGTGGAGACACACTTGTCCTTGAGCGCCCGGAGAATGTCGTCGGCGGAGTAGTCCTTGGACAGATCCTCCTCGTTCTCGCTCAGCGTACGCTTCCGTGAAGACAGCTCATTCTCGGCAGCTTGGAATGCCGAGCGCGCATTTTTTACAGTCGACGACTCGTTTGCGTCGGAGTTGTCTGCAAGCATGCCGTTCTCGATCATCCAGATCCGAAGACTCGTAATCGTCTCATGGATGTAAGTTCTGACCCCCTGGGGCAGATATGCGTCGAAGCTGTACACTTTAGGCTTGTTAGCATATGAAGTGACAGCACGAGAAAAAGACCCAGTGCCTACAGATGTCCGTGTCGGTATCGTCTTCCGCCTCAAACTCCTTCCAGTTGATACCCCTGTCTTCCGAATCTTCCTTGAGAACTTCATAGATGTCGATATCATGCACCTTAGGCTCCTTTTCCGTGGAAGACTTGGCTGCGTAATCCTCCCACGAGTGCACGGCTGCTTTAACCCCCTCGTCATTAAAGTTTGGGTTGTAATCGGCCTGGAGATTGCGCAGAATGCTCTCCAACTCGGTCACTTTGTCCTGGAGGTCGTCGCGGTGGTCGAGCAGCTTATCGAGCGTATCCCGCAGCTCGTCAACTCGCTTCTTGGCCAAGCCAACCAAAATACTCAGCTTGCCACCAGATTTGCCCTTGCCCTTCTTGACCACCTTGCCTCTCTCGGTCCGCTCAGCCTCGGTCAGCTCCCGCTCCAGCTGAGTACGCTTCTGCTCAAGCTCCACCACCTCGCCCTTGAGCTTCGTGACACGGGCCTCTACTTGACGTCGAAGCTCTCTGGCTTCCTTGGCCAGAGTGCGTCGCCGCTTCAGAGCCCGTTCTAAGCCCTGCTTGCGCTCCTCTGTGACGCGGCGGTGTTCCTTGCCAATGGCGGCACACCTGTTCTCGCACTTGACTCCGCCCTTTCCTGCGTACTCGTCGCTGCCATCACAGCAGAGCTCGTAGTCGCAGATACCGTCATTGATGTAAGCGAATGGGATGTATGCACCAATGTGTCCGGTGTTGGCACACCAGAATCCTGGTAGTGCAGTAGTTGTATTTGTAGTCCCGGAAGGTGATCCAGGCAAAGGCTGTGGAGGAGAGAGGGGATCGATGTAAGAACACGCCGAGGTGCCCGGTTCGTCTGATCCGTCCGGACAGTCACAAGAATTGTCGTTCACTTGTGAAGCCTTGAGGACCAGTGCAGGGTTGCTAATGCATGCGAACGTTTCCTTGGACTCAAAATAACCAGAAACTGTAGATACAGGCCACTGGTAAGAAAATGGTGTACCCAATGGCAATATGACTGAAGCTATACTCCCGTAGCTGTTAAGTGAGAGGAGGTCGACTTACACTCAGGGCCAACACCTCTGGGCAGACTAGCTGCCACGACCACATTTGTGGTCGCAAAGGCACCAGCAAGCAACAGAGCCCTTGCCTGTCGCATGGTGATTATCAATGCGAGTAGTTGAAGTGATAAGTTCGATCCGCAGATGATCAAACGATGTCAACTCGCAGAACCACCCACCAGGACGTTGAGCTCTTCTCAAACGCAAGCTGTCCCCAACGTGTCGATCATTGGTTGCCATTGTAACCAATGGTTCGTCACGTGGTGATAGCACGCTAACAATATCCTTATCATCCAACCCCTCTATCGTCAATCTTATCGTCCAAAAAAAGTGAATTGGACATCACCTACCGAAGATCGATCACGACAGAGCGCTGACAGAGGGATACGGAAACTTGATTTAGTTATTAAAAGCTTGTCTGAATCTACGGTTCCCTTGGGAACCTTCACAATAGCGATGCCGCCTCCAGAAGGCTCCCTAAGCGGGGTTGATGCTCTGAACGGCTTGGTGGAGAACTCTGTTCTTGTCGTTCAGAAATTAAATGCGTATGTGAAGGACATTTACAGACAGGCCAACACTCAGTGTTGCGGGAGACAATCCACCGAAATTGCAGCTCTCTCTGCGGATGCATGGAACCCGCCAGCAACATTGAACGCTCTGGCTCTGGCTCAAGATGCGGCGGTATTGATCCGGGCCCATGCCACCAAGATATCTCTTCTTATTATCAACGAGCCGTTCACGCCCTCTGCCATATCCAAGGTTGTCCAGGAAGTGATGGGCGGCCCGGTCCCAGCATTATCAAATGCGGCCCACGAATGCTACGGTGATCGATACACATACGATTTTCAGCGTGAGCTGGCATTGCGGTGTCAAAGAGTACTCACGCAAGTCGAGCTGCTGCTTAATTCCATCCCAAAGGACGGGAAGGTTCTCAAGACTGATAAGAAAGAGGTGGCAACAAAGAGGGGGACGAGCAGCGTCAAGACAAACAGCGCCGTTGCAGAAAGAGGCGCCTTCACGGAGATCGGAATACTGTGGACAGAGTGCGACAGCGTGGTAGCATTGGCAAAGGGTGGTGTCCGAGATCGCCTTATACAGATCGTGGGGCAGCTCGCCGAGACGCTGAAGGACGAGCTGGAAGAGTTAAAGGAGTGGAGTGAAGAAGATGCCGACGACGACGACGACGAAGATGATGCTGATGACGATGCCAATGACAGTGACGACGCAGCAGGGACATCAGACATCGCTTCAGATGACCATCATGCATCTACGCAGGCCATGCTAGACGACTTGATGGATGCAGGACGCCACATTCCGACTGCCGACCCGGAAGGGCTCCGTCCGCGACTCGAGGTAACGCTCCGGAAAATCAGAATGACACATCTGCTGTGCACAGCTATTGTCAAGCGCAGGATTCGCAGTCTACCGACTCTCCCGACGGAGAAGCCATCCAACATCGCCGCTCGGTTGGACAACGCGATGATGGTGCTACAAGAGCTACCAGACCGGCTTGGCGAACTGGCGGCGGCCTTTTACGATCTGAGCGCCTCTCGGGTGGATTCCCACATGGGCCAGTGCTTTGAGGATGCCTTTGTGGCGTCGGAACTTCTTGTGCTATCGTGGGATGGGAAGCAGGATACATTCAGCGACTGGACAACAAAATTTCAGGCGGAGATTCGGAAACTCTAGCAAATATAGAACAAGGGCCGTTCAATTCAAGTAGCCTAGGAGTTGTTTTACATGGCTCGCATGTGCATGTAAAGTGAGGGTTGACAGAGTCTAGTGGCTTGGTGGACAAAAGCATAACCTTGAAGCGATATTTGAGCATTGATGGCTTGTTACGCAGAATATGATGTACGGAGTACATGCTCCTTTGTCTATGTCGTAAGTAAAGAAATTAAAGCATGGGAGACAACTTAAGACATGCATGACACGCGGACAAACAGCTGTTAGGGTTTGAGAGATCGGCTGCCCGCTACTGACCGTTGGCCAACTCCAACAACGCATGTTCTTTCTTCTTCTTTTTCCATGTCAAGGAGTCACTGCGTGTGTACTTACGACGTACAGGGTTTCTGCAGCGTGCTCATTCGTACGACGTATGACGTATGGGCGAGCCTGCGAAGTACTCCATGATTTTGGTGAGTCGTTGGGAGATGATGCACGAGAGGGAAGCTTCATGTGGGTGTCGTGCACTCTGACGGCAGCTTAAGATCTTTCTGCTCTACATGAGTACGATCATCACTACTACTGTGTTTGGCTCCCTCCAAAGCTAACCAATGAAAAAGGCATACGTTGAACGTAAGATTCGGCTGTTGTGAACATATATGGACATTGGAGACCAGGGAAACAGTCTACATAGTACGGAGTATCGAACAGTAAAGGATGGGAGAGCTTCCAGACGTTTCGGCAGCATATCTGCATTCTCGGTTCCGAGATTCTGGCTTCTGTTTGGCTAGTCAGAACAACGCTACGGTGAGTGTTTTTCTACACATGGGGTTGGGACCCACCAGAATTCGGATTTTAGCAGGCCGCTACTTAACTCCGCAGCCTGTACTATGTACGACGAATGGGAGCGCCTCGTATACTCTTTGTGGTCGCCAGGCAGCCGTGTATCGTGCCATTCTGAGTGTGGATTTGCGATAAGCACGGGCTATGTAATAGTGCATAAGCAATGAAAATCCCAAGCAAACGCCCTACGACGATGTCTATTTTCGTTGTCAATACGTACGTCGTAGTATGAACTCCTGGCACCGGGATGAACTCGTACGGAGTACTCCGTACTCGTATCTGACATCGGAAAGTGGAGGACGTCAAAATGGATGCAAGGATGTGTGTAAGCCATGGAAGGGCGGTAAAGCCTCCTGGCACGGAGTACGAAGTTCGAATACTCCGTAAGTGGGCTCTGGGCGATCAACAGTGCATCAACCTGTGTCTGACTACGATGTATGAGTAAGATACGATGTATCGTAGGCGAGGCTTGTGGAGACGACTGCGAAACGGTCTGGATATGCATATACTCTGGGCAACGTTGCCGCCGCGCTGTGCTTTACGAATACGGAGTACGGTGCCGTGAGAGGATGGTCTTGGCACGGATGCAGGCATCTTATCACCGGGACGAGATCCCGACGACATTGCGGACACGCCGCGCAGACGGTAGCTGTCAATGACGGGATGACTCGTGGGTGCGAGCCCTGACCGAAGTACGACGTAGCTTATGGAAGCATACGTCGCACCAATGGCTTCCCGCTAGTTCTGAGAGTTCCTCCGTCTGGGGTCTACAGCAAAAAAGTCGCCGGGCCACGAATACTACTCCGTCTTCGTACTATGTACTATGGTATCTTATCTTAGTATTAGGAGGACCCGGAAAATGCAAAAGTGGAGCCCTGCTGCTCATTCTTGCTCATGCAGCATCATCAACGCCTATTGCTGCATACTTGATTGTCCAATTGCATGAGGGCATCTCCGAGAGACGGGAAGGCGGAATGCTTAGAGAGCGTTTGCGCAAGAATGCAGGCTGTTTTGCACGTAACCACTACGAGAATATACAGAACTACTCCGTATCTTACATCCCACTCGGGGATCGGGAATGGTCTATCGCACGCGATGCACAATTTTGCCGGGCCAAGCTCGAAACCCGAGCCGTAGAGGTGTTCGGACTTGGCATTTTGTGCATCATCGTAAGACGGTGACGTTGGTCTCTTACTCGTAAGATACATTGTACGCAGTATAGAAAGTACGGGCGCACGTAGAACGCCCACCAGCGAGTAGACAGGTGAGGGAGGCTTTGGGCAACCTGGTGATCTTGGCGTGTTCCGGAACACAGCTAAAAGCCGGTCTCCCCCATTCAAATCGAGCTGGGGAACAAGCGAGCTGAAGGGAGATCGGGATGAATCGCAATGAACAAGTCGCCGGTGCTAAAAAGACGGTCCGGGCTCCCGGAGAGACAGAAGAGCCCGAGGGGCCTGGGGCACAGCCATAGTAGTGTTTGTTTGGATGGAGCCCGCCTCGTACTCGTAAGACAAAAAAAAAAAAAAGTATTCGCTGGAAGTCTAGTTATTAATATTAGCATTAGATATTTTTTTGTGACGGGGGACCCAATGTTCCGCCTTACTGCAGGCTCTAATTAGCAGGTGGAGGCGCCCCTATGCGCGGGAATGACGCCCGCTGAGAACCCGTTGTGCTGGATCACCACAGGCGCAGGGTACTAAAATGTAAAGGGCCGTTCGTTGGCTGCGTACTAATATGAAGACACGAAAGGATATGTTGGCTAGCGCCTGTAGGCTATGTGCTCTAAAAAGACTGAATCACGCATTTGCGATTGCTGTGCTCGCACAGCGCAGGAGGCGAACAGAGACGCCGGCGAATCGAGATTGACGGGAGTACTGTGAGAGGAGGTTGAGGCGCACCGTCCAGCGCGTTGCGAAACCGGTGGCGATCGCATTTGTGCCAAGATGGCCGGTGCTGAAGCTCGCAATAGATCCGTGATTTTCGTACTCCGTACATAAGATACTATGGGTCATATTCGGGGGCCGTGTTGCCGTTTACACCGTAGTCTTTTTTCTTTCTTGTTTTTCTTATTATTTTTGCCCGCCGCGCAGTATCAGGCAGATGTGGCGTCTTCATCGAGCGCCTGCCCGTTGTCGCCACTCGTAAGGAGCAAAATATTCATACCTACTCCGTTTGAAAGAGCGCTGTGTGCCTTCCCTGTGCTTCGGATGGTGGTGCTGCACCCGATCTAGCAAGATCGGAAGCCAACCTCCAACGCAGCTGCCTTGCTTCTTCGCCTGCCGTGGTCCACATTCTTACCATACCCTGGCCTACTATGTTGTTCCACCCCCCTTTCCCCTGGAGCTTACGCTACTGAGAGGGTATCCCCCCCCACCTGGTCGACGTGGTTTCCATCCTTTCCCTGTTCGGGCTCTTCGTCAACTCCGGTCGAGTGGAGAAGCATCCCTTATATTTGCTCAATTTACAAAGTCGCCGTATGCTACAGCCATGTACGCAGAGATACTGATATGGCTAAGCCGCTTCCGAGAGGTTGAAGTTTGCATGGTGTCTCAATCTTCCCCACCCTGGTCGTTTATAATAATACCAGTCGCCCGCCCTGCTTGACGTCGCGTTGTGGCTAGAGATTCTTCAGCTTCTCGTTCACGTCGTCGACGCGGATATCTCAACCTGGTTGGAGGTTGCTGCCGTCCCGTCTGTTTACTTAATTAAGTTCTTAATAACGTCTCTTTTTCTTTTCACGGTCCTTCCTTTGCCAATCTGGAGCAAGTCAGCCTCAATCCGGAACTATCGACGAAAAGCTTGGAACTCGACCAACAAACAGACCAGCAAAACACCACCAACAGATAGACAGACAGTGACAGTCAAAGGACTGCCATCATGTCGTTTCTGGCATCTGGCGTCTTCGGCAATTATGACCACACCGGTCAGACGGCCGGGGTGCCTCCAGATGGCCACGCACGTAGACTCGACTACACTGACGAGGAGATCGTGTCGCCTGCCGGACATACCGCTGACGGTGCCAACACGCGGACGACGTCGCTGACGGAGACGGGCTCTGCTCCTGATGGGATCTCGCGTGGCGAGAAAGAGGTCGCACCGTCGGGCAACAACGGCAGCTCGGACGACGAAGACGATGACCAGGGCACCGACATGCAGCGCCGCACGAGCCGGGTGCAGGAGCTGGCTCGCCACTACACCAACGTGTCGATGGCATCGGGCGTCGTTCCACCTGGTTCGAACCCGTTCACGGAGCTCTCCAACGCGGACTCGCCGCTCAATCCCAACGGCGAAAAGTTTAGCGCTCGTGCCTGGGCCAAGGCCGTGGTGCAGATGATCCAGAGCGAGGGGCACCACTTCCGGACGTCGGGCGTGGCTTTCCAGAACCTCAACGTGTTTGGTCACGGTGAGGCTACGGACTACCAGAAGGATTTCCTCAACGTCTGGCTGGAGGGTGCCGGCATTGTGCGTCGGATGCTCAAGATTGGCCAGCGCCAGATCGACATTCTGCAGAACTTTGACGGAGTGGTGCGCAAGGGCGAAATGTTGGTCGTGCTGGGGCCTCCCGGTGCCGGCTGCACGACGCTTCTCAAGACCATTGCTGGCGAGACCAACGGTCTCTTCGTGGACGACAAGTCATACTTCAACTACCAAGGTGCGTGTCCTGATCTTGATCTCTTCGTATCCATTTGCTGACCGGACCAGGTTTGGCGGCTCACGAGATGCACACTCGCCACCGTGGCGAGGCCATCTACACGGCCGAAGTCGACGTGCACTTCCCGCAGCTGTCAGTCGGTGACACGCTCACGTTTGCTGCTCGTGCGCGTGCGCCCCGGACGATTCCCGGCGGCGTGCCGCGCCACGAGTTTGCCCACCATCTGCGTGATGTCGTCATGGCCATGTACGGCATCTCGCATACGGTCAACACGCGTGTCGGCAACGAGTATGTTCGTGGTGTGTCGGGTGGTGAGCGGAAGCGTGTCACCATTGCTGAGGCGACGCTCTCGGGCGCGCCGCTGCAGTGCTGGGACAACAGTACCCGTGGTCTCGACAGTGCCAACGCGGTTGAGTTCGTCAAGACGCTGCGCCTGCAGACCGAGCTCTTCGGCAACACGGCTGTCGTGTCCATCTACCAGGCCCCTCAGAGCGCCTACGACCTCTTCGACAAGGTGCTGCTCATCTACGAGGGTCGCCAGATCTACTTTGGTCCTACTGCCGCTGCCCGCCAGTACTTTATCGACCTCGGCTTCTACTGCGCCGACCGTGCCACCACGCCCGACTTCCTGACCTCCATGACGTCTCCGAAGGAACGGATTGACCGCAAGGGCTTCGAGGGCCGCACGCCACGCACGCCCGACGAGTTCGCCGCCGCATGGCGCAACTCGGACGCTTACAAGGCCGTGCAGGCCGACATTGAGGATTACAAGCAGGCCCACCCGATCGATGGTCCCGATGCCGTGGCTTTCCGCGAGCTTAGGCGCGAGCAGCAGGCATCCGCCCAGCGGCCAAAGAGTCCCTTCACGCTTTCGTACGGTCAGCAGATCAGCCTGTGTCTGTGGCGTGGATTCCGTCGTCTTATCGGCGACCCCAGTGTCACGCTTTCTATGCTCTTTGGTAACTTCTTCATGTCGCTCATCGTCGCGTCGGTCTACTACAATCTGCAGCCTACTACGGCCAGCTTCTTCCAGCGCGGCGCCCTGCTCTTCTTCGCCTGTCTTATGAACGCCTTCTCCAGTGCCCTCGAAATTCTCACGCTCTACTCGCAACGGCCTATCGTCGAAAAACACGCCCGTTACGCTCTCTATCATCCGTCCGCCGAGGCGGTGGCGTCTATGTTGTGCGACATGCCGTACAAAATCGGTAACACGATCATGTTTAATTTGGCGCTGTATTTCATGACAAATCTGCGGCGAGAACCGGGTCCGTTCTTCTTTTACCTGCTCATCAGCTTTACCACCGTGCTGGTCATGTCCATGATCTTCCGCACCATCGGCTCGGCATCACGCACACTCTCGCAGGCCATGGTGCCGGCAGCCGTGATTATCCTGGCTCTTGTCATCTTTACTGGTTTCGTCATTCCGATCGACTATATGCACGGCTGGTGTCGCTGGATCAACTACATTGACCCGCTGGCTTACTCTTTTGAGTCGCTCATGGTCAACGAGTTCCACAACCGCCAGTTCCTGTGCAACGTGTACGTGCCTTCGGCCACGGTGGCCGGCTACGAGAATGTGACGGGTGTGCACCGCGTCTGTTCGGCCGTCGGCTCCGTTGTTGGCTCTGACTACGTGGATGGTGACCGGTACCTCAACCTGGCCCTGCGCTACTACCATGCGCACAAGTGGAGGAACTTTGGCATTCTGTGCGGCTTTGTTCTCTTCTTCCTGTTCACGTACATTGTCGCGGCCGAGCTTGTGTCGGAAAAGAAGTCCAAGGGCGAGGTTCTGGTCTTCCGGCGCGGCGGGCAGCCCAAGTCTCTGACGAACGGTAGCAAGGGCGACGCAGAATCGGGCTCACGCGGGCCCGGCACGGCGGTTGCCAGTGGCGGTGAGAGTAGCGACAAGGAGGGCGGTGCCGGCTTCATCGACAGCCAGCGCAGCGTGTTTCACTGGCAGGACGTGTGCTATGAGGTCAAGATCAAGGCGGAAACCCGGCGCATTCTGGACCATGTCGACGGTTGGGTCAAGCCAGGCACGCTGACGGCCCTTATGGGTGTGTCTGGTGCCGGTAAGACTACGCTTCTGGATGTTTTGGCTGACCGGACGTCTATGGGCGTGATTACCGGTGACATGTTTGTGGACGGACACGAGCGCGACCACTCGTTCCAGCGGAAGACCGGTTACGTGCAACAACAGGATCTGCATCTCGAGACGACAACGGTGCGCGAGGCTCTCAACTTCAGTGCCCTGCTTCGCCAGCCTGCCCATGTTCCCCGCCAGGAGAAGCTCGCTTATGTGGATGAGGTGATCAAGCTGCTGGAAATGGACGAGTACGCAGACGCCGTCGTCGGTGTTCCTGGCGAAGGTCTGAACGTCGAACAACGCAAGCGTCTTACGATCGGTGTCGAACTCGCTGCCAAGCCTCCGTTGTTGCTGTTCGTGGACGAGCCGACCTCTGGTCTGGACTCGCAGACGTCATGGGCCATCCTGGACCTTCTGGAAAAGCTGACCAAGAGCGGACAAGCGGTTCTTTGCACGATTCACCAGCCGTCGGCCATGCTGTTCCAGCGCTTCGACCGGCTGCTCTTCCTGGCTCGCGGCGGACGGACTGTGTACTTTGGCGAAATCGGCAAGAACTCCCACACAATGACCAGCTACTTTGAGCGCAACGGTGGCCACGCTTGCCCTGCTGATGCGAACCCGGCTGAGTGGATGCTCGAGGTGATTGGCGCAGCGCCCGGCACGTCTTCCGAAGTGGACTGGCGACAGGCCTGGCTGGACTCTCCGGAATATGCGGCTGTCAAGACTGAACTCCTGCGACTGCGCGAGCACCCGGCAGAGCAGCCGGAGGCGACCGCGGCCGACTACCGCGAGTTTGCGGCGCCGTTCGCTGTGCAGGTCGTCGAGGTCTCGCACCGTGTGTTCCAGCAGTACTGGCGGACGCCGTCTTACATCTACAGCAAGATGGCACTCTGTGTTCTGGTCGCGCTCTTTGTCGGCTTCTCTTTCTTCAAGGCGCCCCTGACGATTCAGGGCGTGCAGAATCAGATGTTTGCCCTCTTCCAACTACTCACCGTTTTCGGTCAGATGGTCCAGCAGACGATGCCCTACTTTGTCATCCAGCGGTCCCTCTACGAAGTGCGCGAGCGGCCATCCAAGGTGTACAGCTGGCGCGTCTTTATGCTGTCGCAGATCGTGGCCGAGCTGCCGTGGAACACGCTGATGGCTGTGCTGATGTTTTTCTGCTGGTACTATCCCGTCGGGCTGTACGCCAACGCCGGCGACGCGCTGCACGAGCGTGGTGTGCTCATGTTCCTCTTCCTGTGGTGCTTCTTGCTCTTTACCTCTACCTTCACCGACATGATCATTGCCGGTTTCGAGACGGCCGAGGCTGGTGGCAACATTGCCAATCTGCTCTTCATGATGTGCCTGATCTTCTGTGGTGTCCTGGCCTCGCCCTCGGAGATGCCGCACTTCTGGATCTTCATGTACCGCGTCTCGCCCTTCAACTACCTCATCTCAGGCATGTTGGTGACGGGCATCGCCAACTCCAATGTTACGTGTGCAGCCAACGAGTTTGTCACTATTGTGCCGGTCAACAATCAGACCTGCCTCGAGTACATGGGGCCCTACATGCAGGCAGAGGGCGGTTATCTGCTGGACAACAATGCGCGCGACCCGTGCGGATTCTGCAAGTACGACAGCACCAATACCCTGCTGTCGGCCTTTGGCGCTGAGTACGGCGACCGGTGGCGCAACTTTGGCATCCTCTGGGCGTACATCATCTTCAACATCGGTGCTGCCCTCGGCGTCTACTGGCTCTTCCGCGTGCCCAAGCACACCAAGACAGGCGGCAAGCACAAGGCCGAGAAGCCGAAGAAGGTCGAGTAGAGGAGTAGGAGAGATTGTGGTTGAGCTGTGGGATTTGCGTCTTGTCTTTGGGTGGGGGATCTTTACGAGGAGCTTTTTGAAGCTTTGGTGATGAAGCCTCCGACACCCACCATGTTTATGCGTTTTATGGATAATCTGTTTCCTTTTCTTCGCTTCTCTTCCCGCCATTCCTTGGTCAAATTTTTGTCGCTGCATCATCCATCTCCGTACAACAACACATGGTGGCTGCCCGTGTCTGATATACGCATGTTCCCTTTTCTTGTCTCTTGGCCTTTGCCGTGTTGCTTCCAGGTAGAGAGGGTAGAGTGTATTTAATATAGACGGACTATCATAGCTCATCGCGAGAAAAGGCATTTTTAATCTACTTTTCAACACTGCTGTTTTTCGTGACTAGGGCATCTCGGTCCGCTTTGTACTACTATAAACGGCTAGATGAGATCTAGTATGCAATTGCACATGTTTCAAGGTTTCGGATTGCACTGCGTATACGCCTATCACGCACCTGTACTCTAATCGTTGAATTGTGTTCACTTGCTCGCGACTGTAGATGAATTGATGCATTGACTCTATTGTTCCGGCTTTATCCCACCCAAGCATGCGGCCATCGCCAGGATCGACCGTGCGGAGCATTCGTGAAACCGCTAGCAGAAAGGAAAGAAAGATCCAAAGACAACTAGTACAGGCCGACAAGGATGTCACCACGTACGCGAGCCGTCAGATGGACCTCGGCCTCCAGGTCAAGCTTGATGCCCACCATCAGAGCGGCATCCTTGAGCTTCCCGTTGGCGTCAATGGGGCCCTTGAGCAGGTTTCCGACCAGGCCGTTCGGCTGGCCCGACAGATTCGGCATGGCTACGGGCATGCCGGGTCCGAGGTTGCGAGCGGCAGCAGCAGCGGCAGCACCAGCACCAGACATGGCCTGGGCGGCGTACTGTGAGGTTTCGGTGGAGCTCATGGTCTTGGTTCTGTCAAGGGCGTTAGCTTGGAGACGGTCGGCCTCTGGAGGGTGGGAGGGAAGCTCACGAGGACATTTTAGAAGTGGGTAGAGTGATGGGAACGGAGTCTTCCTCTGTGGCGTTGCCCGAGGAATTGTCTGAGATGACGAGAGGGCAAGGCTTGAGATCCAACGGAGATGCTGGACGACTGAGTGGTCGTGAGCTGGGCGGGGGAGCAGCGGGCGAAGGAAGGTCTTCGAGAGAGTGCTTGTAGGTATGGCGACGAGGCAGTACCGGAGCAGGAGGAGCGGAAGAATCAAGAGCAGCGGAAAGAGTGGTGGCAACAGGAGAAGCAGTACGGTCGCTCTGCGATCGTTGACGGTTTGGCTTGGAAGAAGAAGAAGAGGATGGGCTGGTCGTAGAAGTAGTGGTGGTGGTGTTAAAAGAAGGGTCGGCAGAGACCTTTATAGGAAAGCGGAGGGTAGAAGAGCGACGGATGTGTCTTGGCGATGGGGTGGAGGAGGCAGGGGTATCTGGCGAAGAGGAGCGGATTGGTGCGGTAGCGGCTGCAGAGGAAGTTTGCCCAGGGGTCGGTGAGCCTCCCGTGTTAGATGACGTAGAGGTGGAGGACGCGGTAGATAGGCGACGGGAAGACGTGGTGGCTGTTGGTGAGAAGTGCTGGAGTTGTTGACACCACTTCGAAGGTAGAAGCGGTGGAAGAGCGAGAGATGGAAGTAGTTGCTTGGATTGTTGTGTAAGAGCTTGTCTGATGAGTGTCCAGAACAATTCCCAGCTGGCCTTCGGAAGGAGTCCTTTTAAGTCTGAGGCGGCTGTCAGACGGAGACAGAAGCCGATGCTGAGATGAGGTCGTGGCTGCTGAATGGAGACGGCTCAAACAAGCATCGTATGTTGGGCCGTATGTTGGCAGCAGGAGAAGCCGACGAAGACACGGTGACATCAGGGCGGAATTGACGGCAGAGGCAGCAATTGCAACGATTGCTGACAGGCGCGGATGTTGGCATCTGGACGTCTCATTGCCTCGGCGTGCATCTTGCAATCACACCACTGCAGGTCTGTTCGCGAGGAGGCTCGCTGAAACGTTGGGCAGGTGCATTGGTGGTTGGTTGGCCAGATCTGCCAGTCAGGGGGTCCTGCAGCCTTGTCTGTGGCTTGCCTGTTGTTCTCGTCGTTTTAGGTTCCTTTGGATCCACCGATTCTGCCGCAAAGCTTACCTGCGATCAGCCCATGATTGCGGGAAATGGTGCCAACCTAAGACGTGCCGCACCGGCTGCGATTGTTTCTTGCTGTATTTTCCCCCTAACTGCAACGGTCGGGTGAAGGCTTACGGAGTATGTGTGTGAAGTGACACTGACCGGTTAAGCAGAGTGGCTAGCAAGCGATCTGCCATTCGATCATAGCAATGCGTTCATCGTCAACCATCCCACCATGTTTTCTGTGCTGACCGTATTCATCGCCTTTGGGGCCGTCACCGGCATGTCCGAAGGCATCCAGGCATCGCAGCGACGGGCACGCCGCGAGGAGCACCGCAGCCGCAAGAACAACCTGATTGTGCACTGTCCCAAGTCGTCGGCCTTTGCGTCGCAGCTGGAGGGCCGCAGCGTCGTCCTCTCGGGTGGACGGCTGTTTGTCGACACCAGCGACAGCCCGGACCCGGACGCGCCCTTTGGCCACCCGTTTGCCGGCTACTTTCTGCCGTATCCGGAGGCGCGTTATGCCGGGCTCGTGTCGACGATCACGGACGAAGCGCCCATCATGAACTGGGTATTTGCAGAGCGCGAGTCGTATGCGCTCTGCTATGGCGGGCGGGCGGCGTCCGAGGGCAACTTGACGGGCCCGTGGGACTGCACCCGACAGGACCGGCGGCTGACCTTTGGCGGCTGGGAGGGCTTCATGGCGGTGCGGATTCCGCCGGCAGAAGACGGCAGCGGTGGCGGGTTCTGGGCGCTGTATTTTGACCGGGATGGCGATCGGATGAAGAGCAAGCTGGCCGACTGGCCATCGGGGACGCTGGCCGTGGAAGTGACGCTGGCACGACGCGAATTGCGGACACAGCGGCCGCAGCTGACGGCCGAGCAGCTGGCCGAGCTGCAGAAGCGGATGGAGGCAGCCGAGGCAGCCAAAGCAGCCGAGAGGATTGCAGGGGGATTGGAGGAAAAGGCACAGCAGGAACAGATGAGGCTGGAGGGAGAGAGGGAGGAAAGGGAGAGGAGAGAACAGGAGCAGAGAGAGCGAGAGTTTGAGCAGGAGAAGAGGGAACAGGAGAGGAGGGAGCAGGAGAGAGAGAATGAGAAAACAGAAGAAAAGAGGGAAGAAGCGAAGAAGGACGATGTCAAAAAAGAGGACAGAAGCAGTCGAGTCGGAGCGGATGGCGAGACAGACGATGACGACTTCTCCTCGTCGGTGTGCAGCGGGCATTCCAGCTGGCGGGCCAGCAGCAGTGCCATGTCGGCACTCGACTCGGAATCGGAGGCGTAGGTTGCGAGATGTCTTGTCATTTTGTTGTTGTTGTCGATGTGGTAAGATAGATAAAATCGGCCGTGTGGCTGCAACACTTTGGCAACTACGCACAGTTGCACCTGCCCATTTGCACTGCCAAGTTGGCACCTGCCGTATTAATACAACAGTACAACAGTACAATCCATCTATTCTCGTGACTCGCAATTCCATGCATCGCTCCAGATGTCTCTATCCGCCATCCCATCTCTACGCCTCAGTTCCCTTCTCGGGCGCCCAGTTCGACAGCCACGACCACGCCTTGGTCGCATCGGGGCCCTCGGCCTCGCACGCCGCCATGCACCAGGCCAGATCGTAGCGGCCCTGTGCGGCCAGCATCTCGGCCACGGCGCGTCGTTGCTGGCTGGCCTCGTCGACGCAGAGGTGCAACGGGCGAGCGTCGTCGTTCTGGGCGGTAGCCTCGTCGACGAGCGGTCGGACGAGGGGGAGGAGTGCAGCGGAGCCGGCGCCGGGACCGGCAAGCGCGGCCATGATCCGATTCTGGCGCCCAGTCTTGCACCAGACATTGGAGCACCAGGTGTGACCACAGCCCGTCAGCAGCTGGCCGAGGTAGCGACGCTCGAGACGGCGGTGCAGCACGCGACCATCGGGATCGTGGGTGCTGACGTACAGCGGCGCAAAGCAGGAGGCACAGAGACCGAGGGGGTTTTCCTTCTCGGGCCCTCCCACACGCACCACCCCCCTCGCACCCACTCCATACCGCGTGCGGCTGCAGAGGACGTTGCGACAGACCGGCGGCGGCGGGCGGCGCTGGCGGTCGAGAGCATGGTGCTGCAGGTGGGCGCGCATGTCGCGCATGCGCACGATGGCGTCGCAGAGATAGCACTCGGTCGTGCGGGCACCGTCGACACGCTCGTGTGGCGTCATGCCGGTCAGGGCAGCCGTGGCAGCCTCGACGGCCGACTCGGCAGCGTCGCCCTCTTGGGCCACCTCGAGATGGCAGAACTGACACAGAATCCGCTTCGCTGGACAGGTCGTGGTGCGGTGGCGAGCCAGCACCGGCAGCGACGACAACAGCGGCTGCTGGCTGCACGTCTCGGCCGGACAGGCTCGTGGCTGGTGGAAGATGGCGTCGTGCTTCGTCTGGCTCGCTGCCGAGTCGCCCTGGCCGCCGTCGTGCTGATCGGTCGTGCAGTGCCAGTGGTTCTGCCAGGCGGCTGAGCGAATTGGAAACACGTGACCACATTGCTGACAGGCCGCGTTGTTGCGTCGGCAGAAGCTCTCGTGCAGCACCATGGTGCGTGATGGCACCCACTGGCGGCAGTTTTGGCACTGCTCCTCGGTCGGGTCGTGCGCTGTCTCTTTGGTACTTTCCTCCTCATCACGAACAGCCTCTTCTTCCAGGACGACACGCGCACGCAGAGAATACGATGCTGCCGACGAGGCTGTCCCTCCTTTCCAGCCGTGGACGGTCACCAGCAACGCCTCGGCGTCCTCCAGCTCGACGGCCGAGGGCGCAATCGTGATCGTCTTGGCGCCGGTGGCGTCGGCCAGGCCAAAGTTGGCCCAGACGTGCTCGGTCTCGCGTGGTAGTGCTCTCTGGCGTGGTGATCGTGGGCTGATCAGCAGGTCGACCGCATAGCCGGCCTCTTCGTCGGTCTCGGACGGAAGCAGGTCCGACAGTGAGATCTGCAGCGGTCGGGAGCGGTCCCAAGCCGGCAGCTCATAGTCGACATAGTCGCCGGCCAGTACGCGACCCTGCACCAGCCGGAAGATGTCAAGCGTGCCGCCTTCGGAGCTTCCTTTCCTGGCCTGGATCTGTCGTGCCGTCTCGAGAGCCTGCTGCTCGTCGAGGGCCTCGATGTCGACTTCCAGGTCGGTGTCCACGACGCAGATGCCGTCCGTGGCGGGCTGGAAGCCGTCGATGCGCAGGTGGAACGTCTCGTCGGCCGTGCTGCCACGCACCGTCAGCAGGGCATTCCTGGTCAGGGTGGTGAAGGCTTCGCGTAGCTGGCGTTCCAGCAGGGCGCGCCAGTCGGCCGGGTTGTAGCCGGCTTCGAGCGGGCGCAGGTGCACAAACGTGCCCTTGGGCAGCGGTGCAAAAGCGACAGCGATAAGATGATTCTTATTCCCGTTATCGCCACCGTCTTCGTCGTCCTCCACACCTAGAGCCGCTCGCAGATACGGGCTGAGCACGACGTGGCCCTCGTCGGCCGAGAACTCGCGGATGCCTGCAAAGACGGCGCGCTGGTTGGCCGTGTTGACCAGGCGAAAGGTCAGCGGCTGGGGCAGGTCACCGCTGCTGTTGCTGCTGCTGCCGGCCTGCAGCTGGGCTCGGGCGGCGGCATCGAGCAGCGTCTGCAGCGCCGACGGCGGCAGCAGGATCTTGTCGCCCTGCAGCGGCCGGTGGGCAGCAGCCGGGACGGCCGTGAAGACGTCCTTGTAGTGGATTCTGCTGCCAGATGGGCCGTCGTCCATTGTAGTGTGGTTGTGGTGGTCAGCCGGCGGGGAAGATGTGGCCGTGAGGATGTGCACAAGGACACAGCATCTCCGAAGCGAGAGGTGATGGAGAAAGAAAAGAGCTAGGACTAGATGGAAGCCAAGAACGGAAACAACAATGCCAACGCAATGCCAGCAGCCAATGCAGACAAGCACGACAGTCTCAGCAGCCGCAGAAGCCCGTCCAGGCTGCAGCGCTTAGACATCCGAAAGGCCGTTCCTGAAGCTTCCACCAGGCTCTCTCTCTCTCGTCGTGTGTGTCGTCTGCCTGAGGTCACGTGCACGTTGAAATGTGTCACGTGCATTTGCCAGGCTCGCGCTGCCAGCTGGCGCCCCACACGGCGTCGCCCACCCCAACCCCCACCCGAGGTGGCCCAACGGTCGTCCGTTTCTGGGTCCATTTTCGTGCCAGGATGTCGCTGGTCCAGATTACGTCGTATTCCCTCGCAGGGAAGCTGTGGTTGGATGGCCACGGCCCGGCACAACAGCTCTTGGCTGCTCACGCCTTTCGGGGGGGTGGTCTGTCTCATGACCAGTCGTCTCTGGCGACAAGTGTATTTCTGGGCGTGCCCTTTTGTTACGTGTCGGAGCTATAAGACGTATCGTATATGCACGATATCTTATCACGAGCTGAGCTGTGCATTTGGTGTATTTGTCTTGCTTCTTTTGGCTGCGTTGCTATCAAGCTCTGCCTCTTTCAAATTCTCGATTTTCTCGATTCTCTCGATCCTCCCATTCCTCTCGTCAACCCATCCTCTCTTCATCCTCAACTCCCATTTCAGCCTCCTCTCTTCACCACCTCCTCATGCTTCCCTCCGCCTGCCATGAGGCCGACTCCGTCTACGAGATCCAGCCGGGCACATTGCTGCAGCTGTTGGCCAACGCGGTCGTGCTGGGACACACGACACCCTACCTGCCACCATCGGCGCTGCTAAGCCTGGCCGCCACCAGCCGGGCCTACCGCGCCCTGCTCTACGGCACGCCCTCGGTCTTTGGCCGTCTGGACCTGTCGGCCATCGGGCTGGCCGCCGTGCCGATCAGCTCGCTCGACCGCAGCGGTGAGTCGTGGCGTCGGGCCCAGCTGGGCGAGACTTGGCGAGGACAGCTGGACGAGAACCTGACCGAGGATGAGTGTTTGTTTTTTTTTTTTTTTTTCTTTTTTTCTTTTTTTTTTTCTTTTTTTTTCTTTCCTTCTTTCTTATTACCTTTTTCTTTCCCTTTCTGACTGCCAGATTCTACTCCGGTCCGCTTCGCGGCGTCTTCAGTGCGCTCGGCCGCGCTGGCTGGCTGGCTGGCGTGCACACGCTCCTCCTCGACCGTGTCGCTGTCACGGCCGAGCTCGTGCACGAGATCATCACCAGTCCGGCCTACAACGTGCGGATCCTGTCGCTGCGCCATGCCCGCCACCTCGACGAGCACCGGCTGCGCCGCGTGCTGAGTCTGGCCTGTCGGCCAGGTCGACCGGCCGGCATGCCCCGACTGCGCGGGCTCTACATCATTGGGGGGGATGAGACGGAAGACCAAAAGGAAGACCAAGATCGGACGGACGACGGCGACCTGTGGTATCGACGTCGCGGCCGCGTGCTGTCCGGCAGCGCGGCCGTCCAGGCTGCTTCGTGGGCCAGCACGCTGATGGACTGTCGCGGCGTCCTCGCCTTTGATGCGGTCCTCTGTCATGGGCCTCGTCACGTGACATCACCAGGTCCCCCCGCCATCGCCGCCCACGCCCTCGATGGCTGTGCCGGCTGCGGCAGCGCGCCCGAGGGCTGGACCGCCTGGGGCGACGAGAGTGAGCGGACCGACGTGGCCGGCTATGTGTCGCGCTACCCGCTGCTGTGGCCGCCGCCACGGCTGTCCAGCAGCATCCGCGCGGCCATGTGTCCGGAAGGCGAGCCGGTGCATCCGCTGCGCCATCGACTGCGGCCGGCCAGCCCGGCTCGCTTCATCGCCCGCTGTGACGCCTGCATCCACGACCGCATGTGCTTCACCTGCCGCCGCTGGTGGTGCGAGTCGTGCATGCCGGATCAGATCGGGGGTCCATCGTCCAAGGTTGGTCCGGATTGGATATCCTCTTCCGAACACCCAGACACTTGTCCTGCTGACCATGCCAGACTCCTTCCATTGCATATAGCTGTCGTGAATGCGGCCCCAGCGTACGTCCTGCCCAAAGTGTTCCCGTTCTCGAACGGACGGCCGACTTACTACTCCCAGTGCCACGAATGCATCGCCGAGACCCAGCTCTGGTGCAGACGCTGCCGTACTGGCTATTGCACCGTCCACAATGTCGGGTCCAGCCCAACCCACGTATGTTTTGGCTTTTCCCTCTTCTTCTCCTCTTCTTCTCTTGCTGACTGCCAGTGTGACTGTTTGTGCATTCCCTCCGCTCGCTCCTCTTCGTCGTCGAGTTTGTGTTGACAACGGCCCGGCCGATTAAAACAGGGTGTTGTGCACCGTCTTATCGCTACGCCCAGGTAAGAAACACTGCCCTTGTAGCTGTTCCGGAAGCCGCCGTCTGGATGGCCCGGTTTTCTCCCGTCTTCCGCTTCTATTCTGAAGAGGCTAACCGAGGTTATATTATGGACCAACAGCAGCCACGTGTGTCTCTCAAGAGCCACTATTAGGCGTTTGCTTGTGTCTGTTGCTATTTCTTTCCTTCCTTTCTTCTTTCCTATCCGTGTCCATGATGTCATGAAAGCGTGCCGCCTTTCTTACCTTGTTACAGGTTTCAGCGGCTTTCCACTGTATTTCCCTGTATTTCCTTGCTATAAATAAGACAAAAATCCCCATTCCCCTCATCATGGTAGAGGGCTAGCCTGTAACCGACCACCTGCATCAATCCATTACGTCCCCCCCTATGCCGCCCGCAAACTGTCGGGCCACCCAGGCGGCTCCGTGTTCGTCGTAGTCTTGGCGAGTGACGGCGAGCCGGCCGACGACGGCAGAGTCGGCGAAGCGGGTAGCGCTGCGCCAGGTGCAGGTGATGGGGTCGGCCGGACGGGTGAGGCGTACGAGCAGGTCGTCGGGCATGCGGGCCTGGATTTCTTGCTGCAGGCGCTGGACAAAGCCGGGCAGCTCAGCGTTGCCGCCGACGACGACGATGTTGGTCAGGAGAGCAGGCCAGAGGCCGACCGGCAGACAGGAGACCGACTGCGCCACGACATCGGGCAGACCAGGCTGGCCGAGGCCCACGTCGGCGGGGTGGAAGAGCAGCTCGGGCACGACGAAGCGCTCGTTGCGTAGCGTGAGCACGTCTGGCTGCACGTCTGCCGTGCTTGTTGTGGCGGCCGTCCCAAAGTCCCGCACGATGCCTTCCATCCGCGCGTGGTAGTCCGGCAGCACGTACTCCCGAGCGATGCCGTTGCTGCCAGCACGAAACTGGGCGAGCCGGCGACGACGATCAGCCTCGCCATCGTCCACGAGCGTCGTCCTGTCTTGTGTGCCGCCCCGTGTCCCCTTCCAGGTTCGGTCCAGATCGGCGGCAAAGTCCAGGGCCACGTAGCAGGCCTTCTCCTTGATCTCGTTGACAATGTACGTGTCGTGGCGCATGTCGTAGTGGCGCATCGACAGCAGCTTAGTCAGGTAGTTGGTCAGCAGCTTGCCGCCGACGTCGAGCCGCCGCACGGCCGACTGCAGCGGCCGGCCGCGCAGAACGGGCGTGACGGTCGTGCAGGAGTAGCCCGAGTCGATGACGAGCCGAATCTCGGCCGGCGCAGGCTGTTCAGACAGACCAGACGGACCCAAAGGCTCGAGATCCAGATATGCGTTGAACTGGGCCGCCGTGCCGCGATAGTAGCTCGCAAACTGAAACTCCTCAAACACGATCTGGTCGCCGTTGGTCTGCAGTGCCGGCAGCGCGTTTGGCTGCTCCGTCAGCACCAGTCGCGTCTCGGTCGGGTCGCAGCGCAGCGACGGCGGCGCGTCTGCAAAAAACTCCTGCTCCCAGATCGCCCGCTCCGCCTCCCAGCTGACAATGTAGCCGCGCTCGACCGGCCGCCGGAAGGCCATCTCGCCAAAGTCTCGGCACTGCGCTAGCTCTGAGCCCATGTACGTGCGGCGCTGCCGGTCACGCGCTAGGCAGTTGGGAATGACACGGGGAGATGCAGATGCAGATGCTGATGCTGATGCCGACGCCGCATCGTCGCCCTCTGCGAAGCCGGCCTTAATCGTGTATGCGCCGTTGTCGACCACTAGCGTCCGCGTCGGTGCGGCCGCCGTGGCTGCCTTGCTCTTGCGACCTCCTGCCATGTGATGCTGGTCCGTGAGACAGCGATGATGGTGTGTGATCGATGCTTTGCTGGAGCTCAATATTTGATTATGTAAGCATTTGATGTGAAATAGATAGATACACAAAAGTCACGTGGGTCTGCGTGTCTACCGCTTACGGAGTACTCGTACCCACTGAATATATCTTAAGCATTCGCACGATGATTCTGCTACCCTGACAAGCCTCTCGACATCCCGAACAGCAGCGCAAGGACGCAGTGGCCAATGGACGACTCTCAGGCCGTCGTGTCGTCCCAGGACGCCGAGGTGCCGGTCGCCGACCGTGTCGACGGTCCCAGCCTCCTCGACCATGTCTCCCGTCTCCACCCCCTCAAGCTCAACCCCCTCAAGCTCAACCCCCTCCAGCTCCACCCCCTCGACCCGCCACGACCGCCTCTCCGGCCGCTCGCCGAGGTCATGCCCCCTCTGCTGCTCGGCACGGCCACCTTCAACACCCAGTACGTGGCCGACCCGGCCCAGATGCCGTACCGTGCCATCGTGCGCCGCGCCCTGGTCGATCTGGACGTGCGCGGCTTCGACACGTCGCCGTACTACGGGCCATCCGAGGCGCTGCTGGGCGAGGCTCTAGAGGCGGCGACGGACTCTTCAACGGTCCCGCGGTCCTCCTACTTCCTCGAGACCAAGGCCGGCCGCGTCCACAGCGCCGGCTTCGACTACACACCGGCAGCCGTGCAGGCCAGCGTGCGCCGGTCGCTCCAGCGCTTGCGCACGTCCTATGTCGATCTGGTATATGCGCACGACGTCGAGTTCGTGACGGCGGCCGAGGTCGTGGCAGCAGTGCGAGCACTGCGGGCGATGCGAACGGACGGAAGCGAGAAAGGGGCTCTCCGCTATGTCGGCATCTCCGGCTACCCGGTCGATGTGCTGGCCGGACTGGCCGAACAGATCCTGCACGAGACCGGTGAGCCGATCGATGCGGTGCTCAGCTATGGGCATTGCACCGTGCAGAACGAGCAGCTGTTGCGGAAGTTGCCGGTGGCCGTTTCCGGTTCTTCCGTTTCCACCGTTTCCACCGTTTCCACCGTTTCCACCGTTTCCACTTCCACTTCCACTTCCCCCCTCTCTCGATTTCACGCCGCCGGCGTCTCCGTCGTCCTCAACGCCAGCCTCCTCAACATGGGCCTTCTCACGACTCGTGGTGTCGCCTCTGGTCCCCTTGCTGCCTGGCATCCCTCGCCGCCTGGCCTCCGACTCGCTTGCCAGCAGGCCGCCGCCGTCTGTCGCCAGCAGCTCGGCCTCAGTCTCGAGCACGTGGCCCTGCGATATGCACTCGATCTCTGGGCACGAACTGCTGCTGATGCCGGACTCGGGACCAAGGCCGTTGGACAAGACCCTAACACCTCTTCTTCCACCTCCACCCCCTCCATCGGCCCCTCTGTTCTTGGCGTAACCTCCGTCGACGAACTCACCGAGACCGTCCTTGAGTGGTGGAGCGTTCTCGACCGTCTCGGCATCCCCCATCGATCCGTTCCTGAAGACGACACCATCGCTACTACCACTACCACTACCACCACCACTTCTGACCCCCTCAACATCACCGCCTTCGTCCACGACCACCTTTGGCCCGTCCTCGGCACCTGGAAGGACTATGCCTGGCAGAGTCCTCCTGCCGACTGGACCAACCAGCTCACTTCCCAAGACGCTCCAACCCGATAGCATAGCTTTAGACCATCATATAAGAATTCATGCACAGGTTTATCCTTCATCCACACACTCTCACACAAAATGCATTCTGCCAGTACCTTGTAGCATGCCCCACTCTATCCCCACACTGATAATAAAACACTCTGACCCTATGAGGCCGTAAACAATGCTTCGTGAACAATAAAGCCCAAACTCCCATCCCATCAAATTATTTTCTCTCCATCCCCCTTAATCAAACTCATCCGACGGCGCCGGCGTCCCTGGCGTGATCATCACTTCCGGAACCGACCGGCTGGTCTTATCCAGTCCTGTTGCCAGCTGCAGCCGCTCAAACGACCTCCGTTCAGCCAGTTCGACGTGTTCGCCGTGGGCCTCCCGAACCTCCTCCTTCTGAGATCCCGCCGATCCGGTCGAGCCGTCCTTGTCGCGCTCAATCGCCGACAGCCGTCTGCCCGCGTTCTCGCCCTCCAGCTGCACGCCCACAAGCTCCGCCAGACTGCTAAAGTTGAACATCGGCTCCATGCTGGTGCTCGGGTCTCGCTCGTCCCCGTGATCCGCCCCGTCTTCGCTGCCACCGCTGCGGCTGCCCAGGCTCAGCCCGCTCGCTCGGGGGTCCTGTACCGCTTGCCCTGCTGCCGAGTTTCCCGGACTCGACGACGATACCGATGACGCGCTGCTCATCTGTCGCAGGTGTGACGGCCCTGCCGATCGCTGCGCGCTCGAAGTCGGACGAGACTCGCTCTCGCTAGCTACAGCCACAGACACGGCCACACCTGCTGTCGGCCCTCGATCCACCTTCTTGCCCTTGTCGCCTGCACCTTCGCCTGGTGTTGCCGGACTGCTGCTGCCGCTTCCGCTTCCGCTTCCGCTTCCGCTTCCGCTGCTGCGTGCTGCCATCGCGTTGGCCACGCTGGCTTCCACCCGCAGATTTGACGCTCCGCTGTTGCCTCTTCGCCGTCCGCCAATTCCCAATCCCGACAGGCTCAGCGAGCTCGCGCTGGCCGAGCTGTGCCCGCTTCCACCGCTCGCTCCGTACACGCCCGACCCGCTGCCGTGCTGCTTCGACGCTGCCTTGGCCGCCTTCCGCTCATCCTTCTCGCGTCGCTTCGCCTCCTTGCGCTGCTCCTTCTCCTCCTTTCGCCGCCGCTCGTCTTCCGTTGCCAGTGACTGTCGAAGAGCCTCCCTAAACATCAGCTCTTCGAGATCGTCCATCCGGCTTCGTCTGTCTACTGCTCCAGCAGCTCCTGTCGCTCCAGCAGCTCCTAACGCTCCTGCACCTCCCGCACCTCCCGCACCTCCCGCCACCCCCGCAACTGGCCCGGAGCTTGACCGTGGCCCCGGCTCCATCGTCGGTGATGGCCCGTCGCCGCCTTCGCCGCCGTCACTCTGCCCGCGTGCAGGGCTTGCTTCTCTGTCGCGTTGGTTGCTGCTCGAACCCGCCCATCGCCCGAACCGTCCGACCCGAAAGGTTCGCTGCTCCGATCCGATCAGAAATGCTGCCGTGTGGAGCGCCGTCGCTGCCGCTGCCCGTCGTGCAATGTGCGCCCGCTGAGACGCCAGCTTCGTCGACCAGTCTGGCCGAATCCGGTCCGTCGTCACCACGTTCGGCGCCGTCGCCGAGAGTGATTGCGTTCTCCGCCGGCCCGTCGGCGGACTTGTACTGCCAGCCACCGCCAGCGAGCTTGGCATCAACGAGTTGACCGTGCTAGTCGACGACATCGCCGTTGCCATCGCCCCGATCGCCGCACCCGACCCGTAGCTCAGCCCTCGGCGGAACGGCGGTGGCTCGTACGTGACCCCAAACTCCGGCTGCTGGCAGTACGGACAGCTCGCCGGCTCCGATATCAGCAGCCCGGCCTGTTCTTCCGGGTTCGCCCCCTGGTTTTCGTGGTTGTCACCGTGGCCCTCGGGGTAGTGTGGCTCTGCCCGCTTGATCTGCACAAAACATTCACTGCAGAGCGGCTGGTCACAACACCGCGTGTGGTTGAGATAGGGGGGGTACGTGATGAAGCAGATCGGGCATTCTGTCGCGTTCTTGTACAGAAACACTTCAATCGGCTGTCCGTTGACAAAGGGATCGTGAGGAAGTGTGATCTCGCGCGGCGTCAGATCCGTCGACGACCCGTTGCGGGACGACACACTAAGAGCCGCCGCAATCGCCTTGGCACGCGGCCTGAACGGAGACGAGCCCGTCCGAGAGGATCCCGGCGTCGTGGGCAGAGACAGGGAGGGAGACGACGTACCGGCGAGCGATCCTGTAGGAATGCACGCCGCTGTGTTCGCGGCCGACGGTCCAGGAACGGCCGCACTGCCGGGAACAGTCAAGTGCTGGTCCCCGGCGCTTGACAAAGACGGATGCTGTGGAAGGAAGCCCTCGGGCGGCGGCTGGTCTGGCGGAGGAATGTCGAGGCCGCGAGCAGCAGCCACAATCTGATACTCGGTCCAGGTGTCAGAGAAGTCCTGCAGGCCTCTCCAGAATGGCGCCATCTTTCGGTCGATCTGGAGCATGGCTGGTTAGCGACGTCATTCCCGGTGGAACCCAACTCCTTACCTGCAGCTGCCGGACAACAGTCTTGTTGAAGTCTTCCGCCCCAACATACGTGCCCAGAGTCACGAGGTATCCGCCGTCGACGTGCTCTTCTCTCATGCTGCGCTCCCGCTCCACCAGCCGTGCCTGCCGCTCGCGCTCGAGCCGTCTGGCCTCGCGTTCCTGTCGGGTCTCGCGCCGCTCGCTCGACGAGCTCGAGCCTGGCTGCAGGCCTAGCAGCCCACCGATGTCGGGACGTCCCACCCGGCCGTGCGACCGCGAGCGGCCATCGTGGCCCTGAGGCTGCGACGACGACTGCCCCAGCTCGGATGAGCCGGTCGGCCTGAAGGCCCGGGCATCATGCCGCGATTCTTTCGTGTTGGAATTGCCCATGGCGAGCGATGAACGCGTGCCTGCCGGCTCGCACACCGGTGACGCAGTCGTTTACTGGGTTTTCGTGCAGATCTGGATCAAATGGCGGGGCGCTGTACGATGGGGAGACCCTTTCTGTTGTCCTGCTCGGGCACGATTCCCAGAAGTAGGCGGTGAGATGAGCAAGGAGCAAGGCGGTGGAGGTACAGAGGCCAAACAAAAGGCTCAAATCAGGTCATACAGCTCATGCGTGCTCGTTTGCCGGCGACAACGATGGCGAATGTTGGGCCGCGGCACAAGGGATGCTGACAAGCTGACACGCTGACGACGATGAGGCCGTCGAGGCAGAATTTGTTTGTTGCTCAGCCAATCTCCGATTTCCAGGAAGCCGGTCGTCCCGGTTGCTCGTCACATGAGAAGCATGCGATAGCAAGGAAGGGATGTCGAGGCCAAATGCTGCGGAGGGGAAGGAAAGTGACGGGAGTGGGGCCGATTAGTCATATAAAGAGCACGTGATGACGCCGGCTCGTTTGTCTGCCTGTACGGAGTACATAGTACGGAGTGTTTCTACACTCTATGACGTAGAGAAGTGGACATTGCTTTCCATATACGGAGTACTCCGTACCCATATTTCCTTCCTGCAGGAACCTAGCCCAGTCTAGCTCGACTTATACAAGCTTCGCATCTCGGTTGTTCGTCGACTGCTCTCGCTTGGTTTGCGAGCCCCTGCTAGCACTCTGCAGACTGTCGTGGATCCATCAAGGAGCTCGTCCATGTCCTCAGGGTAGATCACATAGACAATTTGCGGCGCAATGCTTGGCATATCGCTATGGTCCTCGGCCGCATACAATGCCTACTAAACATATATCGGAAGATAAACAACGCCGATGGCCAGAGGACATAGTCTGATCCTAGAGCCTAGAGCCTATCCTTTCATTGTCGACTGGCCGCACCTGAGCACGACAAACAAGCCCTCCCACTACTCAGCAAATTTGAGGCCGCGCACCCGCAGGATGTGGAAAAGATCCGGCTGGCAAAATGAGGTGGAAAACCCAACTACTGGCCCCGTTACCTACAGCTGTTTTTCTATTGCGAGTTGATACACAAACCAAACCAGCGAGCTAAGATCGGGTGGAAAATAGGAGGAAAGGGGCGAGAAGAATGCTGACGAGACGAGAGACGCACGATCCGTTCGGAGGTCGAGCTTGGTTGTTGGCCGGCTTTTCTTTCCGTCCAGCCTGTGAGTGCTGATGAGCTGGAGCACTCGGCGGCGGCCACTAGGCCATCAAACAGCTGTTCTCTGTATGGAACACCTTCCCGTCCCCAACCAATCTTGCCTTGCCTCCAATTCGGTTTCCGCGAATATTTCCTACGTGAACAACATGCTGCCAGGAAAGGAATTGGACTGGCTTCTGGTCCTAGTGCTTGGAGGGCCCTATGACGATAGCACGCTAAGATATCGAGCCCTATGATTCGTCCTTTTAACACGGCTGCAGCTCGCGATCAGCAAGCATCACTGACACGACGTAACGAAGCACGAGGCTTGGAAACAACGGCACAGGACGGCAGCAGACGACAAACAGTCCAGAAAAATGCTGGGCTTTCCGCATTATTTGCAAAAATGTACGATGGGAGGGAGATTCGAACTCCCGCGACCGAAGCCATATGATTTCTAATCATACCCATTAGACCACTCTGGCATCCCACCACTTTCCTGTTGATTTTGCCGCGCATCGGCGTATGTATCGAACGCTGACAAATCATAGTAAAGTCGCAGGATGCAAGATGTACAGGACGCTGTGTATGTTTAGGCGGAGATCCTCTGCGGTGGGCAGACGCATAGCAATGGTATCATGGTGCCTGCTTAAAGTCCAGATCAGTCAGGCAAGGCTCTACCTTTTTATCATTGCCCGGTATGATCTTACCAAAAGCTAAGCAAGTTCGAGCTTATCTCTTAAATCTAATTGTTTAACTCAGAAGCTTGACAGTTGTATTAGGAAAGACACTAACATATGGCAAGTTGTGCTATTGTTCGTAGTTGGTAAACATGACAAAGTTGCCTTGAGTGAATATAACGGACAAAATCGAATGGCACGTCTTGCTTTCACTGTTTCCCACTTCTTTCCCAATTACCCTCCAGCAGTTTCTCCAAAGGTACTGCCTCACCCTACTAATCTTTCTTCACCCATCGACGCACAAACTCAGATTGTCGGCGGTTCTCGGCACAATTTCTAGGCTTGCATTCAGTCCTGACTTCACTTTGGCCTCAGTCTTTCTTCGCTTCAGCAGCAGTCTGCTGCATCTCTGCCCTTCACCACTGACTGCCTCTACACCGAAGCCGCACTGCGGCCTTTCTCTCGGCTCTATCCCTCTTCGTAGTAACAGGCAACAGCAGCTTCGGTATTCCTTGGCTCCACCCTTTGATTTCACTCTCATTCACTTTGATCATAACAAAAATTTTCTTCGATGCTTCATGTCCTCTAACCTAAGCCCCAAATCGCATGTGCTCTGGAAATTTATTCAACCAAAGGGCACAGAGGCCGCAGTAGCAGCATGCAAAAAACAGAGTCGACTGCCGGTGCCTCTGGCATCAGCGGCACGCCGATCCCATACGACAACGAGATTATCGTGCTGGATAGCGACACAGAAGACAGCGACGGGCCCGGACGCAATCACGACGCAGATGACAGCGGTGGTGGCTGCACGGGCGACGACATGACGTCGACTGAGCATCTTATCGACGAACAAGGCGATCTGCAGCTGGTAGTGACGGCTGGACCGCGAATCCGCCAAGTCTTCCGAGTAGATTCGCGGGCTCTGGCACGGTCGTCTGAGTTTTGGCACCACCTAATCAACACTTCTGATGATGGGCCGCCGACAAGCAAAGACATAGTAGAGGTAGACACGGGACCACAGTATACCTTTACGTCCCTTCAAGCCTTGCTCTCACAGCCAGACCCTCCTGCTCTCGTCCCTGCAGCCGAGATGTCGACGCCCACGAGAACGACAGGTTCCATTTTTGGATGGCCTGATAGCCCAGACACCTCCTCACGACCTCTGGCATCGCAGTGGATGAGCAACCATCAGAGCTTGGGAGGACAAATGCCTGCCGGATCACCATCTCAGGTACCCCAGACGTCTTCGGCATCCCCAACAGCACCAGCCAGTCCTTTTTACAGTATGACGGTGAGCCCTTTTGCGAGTGCTAGCCACAACCAGGTAGACGCTTTCAGCTCTGTGGCTCCTGTTCCGTTCATCTTGCCGGGAACGCCGGTGACGACAGCGACGACGACGGCGACAACAACATCGGCTAGCGGGGTTGTCTCTGGCATGTCCAACCCTCTGCAGGCCACCGAAGCCGGCCGCACGATCCACCTCGACCTGGCCGAGTACCGGACGCATGTGGACTGTCTGGGCACGCTGCTGTATGCAGCACACGGACGGCTGGACCGGGTGCCAACGCAGCCGACACTGCGCGAGTTCTGCTCGCTGGTTGTGTTGGCCAACCGATGTGACATGGTGCCGATCATGCGCGGACACATCCACACCTGGCTGCACACGGCAGTCATGGCAGACGACGACGAAGACGATCTGGGCGGGCTGAACGGCCGGGGGAAGGGCAGCGGAAGCAGCAGCAACAACGGCCATGGCCGTGGTGGTGGCGTGCAGTCGCCGGGGATTCCACCAGGCCTGTTCACACGGCTGCGCATCTTCTGGGAGGTTGGCAGCCAGACTGAGTTTCAGCGGACGCTGGCTATGCTGGCGTGGCACACGCAGATGGACGGCAATGGCGGCTTGGCCTGCAACCAGCAGAACTCGCGACTGCCGCGGCCGGTTGTGCGGGAAGAGGTCGTGGCGGTGACTGGTGTTGCAGACAATGTTGCTTCGCACCGGAAGCGCATCATCACGCTGGCCCTCGACCTACTACACCGACGCATCCAGCTGTTGCAGGGCCCGATGTCCGGATCGAAGCTGCCGCCCGACCAGAGCGACGGAAACACCATCACAGCCTGCGACGCCAATGGCGAGAGCTGTTCGTGTGCTGTAGGCAAGCGGGCGGGCCGCGACTGCGATGCGTACTATTACGGACTGTTGGTGCAGGAGCTGGGACGCAAACGTGTGGATCCGCACAGGCTGCCAGTGCCGGCGGCGGTCCGCAAGAGCCCCCATGCGCTGTGCGCCATCCTCGAGTACGTGCACGACGCCATCGATGAGCGCACACAGCCGCTGCAGAGCCGCTTTCTCAATGGCCATGGCCACTGTAACCCGTTGAGTCCTATGATCGTACAGCTTAAGAGTCTTCGGGACGAAGATACCGCCGATTTGACCGAGGCCCAGCGGAAACACTTTCAGGAGCAGAGCCTGAAGATGGGAAAGAAGTATTGGGGGATGTAAGGGACGAGATGTGGTGTGAAAGGGATGATCCGAGAAAGTTTTTGATGTGTGACTGGTCGGTGAAAGATGCATGAAACATGTAGGATACCCAGATAAACATGTTACTAGTACGCAGCTATACTAACAGTCTAGTCTCGGCAGTTGCGACCTGGCCGCGGAGGAAAGAGCTCCAAAAATATAGTATCCAATATCGTTTAGGGTTTTCTCTTCTTCTTACATATCACCATGCCTTATATGATATAGTTCTCTTTTACAAGATGTCCAGATTTTTCACATCACTCTGACGAGAAGTATCTCCATATGGCATATGCTATTAAATAAATTGTAAATTGCTTTGCATCAGAAAAACTTCTGTAATCAGCAAAGAAAAGGCCTAGCTCGACGGCCACATGCGAACAAAGGTTGTGTCCCGGCACTACAAAGGATCTTTGGGCAGTATGTCCGCATTGGAGGTTTCAAATTTGTTGCTCTTGGACCGTGAATAAATAAGTGCTCGCCAGTTGTCAATTCTTGGACCGAAGATTGTACAACTTAAGGGAGCAGCGTTCTTTGATTATGGCTCGGTCTCTACATCAAGCCATATTAGAATATATCTCATTTGGTGACCAGCTTGAAAGCAGCCAGATGCTGCCATGTGTGATGATAGCTCTTGCTGGACCAGTTTTCCTTGGTCTACTTTTATCCTCTCGATACGATCTATAAGCTACTCCTCGACGCGTAATTAAACTCGTATCGAGGCTATTGAGGTTCAAGTGCAGTTCTCAGAGAAATTTGTGGATCTCAACAAAACCAAAAGAGAAGATGAGACTAAGGTGAAAACAAGGTGACAAAGGGGTATAAAACTGTAGCGAGATCAAAGAATCCGAAATCGGCCTTTCTAATGAGCCGCTCGTCTTTTACTCTTGTCTTTAGGGGGATACTATACTATGGGTGTTGTTCAGAGTCTGGGATTTCTGGTATAGCACATGAACGAACAAGGAAAGCTGTTCACTCGAAGGGAGTCGCCAATTTATTCTGGCTTCCCAATATTCAAATGACCTGAAAGTAAGAACCTTCATCCTGCCATTGAGAAGGTTGTCCTGAGAAGGTAGTCCGAGTAGTATGAATCGTCTGGAAGAAAGGAGACGACTGTTGAAAATGGGGACCAGTATGCAAAACAATAGAGTGCTTCGGGAGAGAAAAGATATTGATGTTCACGAACAGGAGCAAGACAAATAGTCCGCATGACAGACAGTGAACACGGCGAACAGCAGGCATAGTTTCAGACGACACTTCACTCTCTACACAAAAACCGCCGAGACAAAGCCGCACCAGCCTCTGCAAATTATTTGCATCTTTCGTTTCTTCTCCTCTCTTCATATTTTTACCCTCAACCAAAGGAAACCATTTCCTACCAAACTTGACCAGTTTCCTTCAGCAGAGCATCATCATCACGAGACTATCATCACGATCGTGAATATCATCTACCATTTATTTATTACGGTCTCATTACTAGACCTCCATCGAAATCCACATCGACTTCTGTCAATCTCTGTCAACCTCTACTAAGCTTCACCAAGCCTCTACCAAGCTCTCTACATCCTTGATTAGGATATCTATCATCAAAACTACTCTCTACTACCATCCCCATCTCTACTATCATCTCCATCTCCATCTCTATCTCTACATCATACTCCTTATATTTTCTATTTATCCATCCATCTCTCCTAAACCATTTCTTCATCTTTTATCCATATATCATCGACACTGTACTCGATATCTCGATATTCTCGATCATATTCATCGTACTTGTCATATTCGGCATCTATATACCATATACTCTATTCCATCCATCTTCCAGCCAACTATTATCGAATCTCTCATACCTCGATTCTCTTGATCTCAACTTCGATCTTCCAGTCCAATCCATCATCACAAACTCTTCATCGAAACCATATATACGCCATGTCTTTCAACAACGAACAGACCTTTTCCCTGCCCAGGGTCAACAGAATCCCGCAGCGGATCTACACCGGCTGCACCGGCGAGCAGGCAAGGAGCACCACCAACGGCAGCAGAGCCCTGCGCCGAGCCTGCCCGCGCATCGCGGACGAGACGGCCAGCACCTGGACTCGGGTCCTGCGGCCATCGCTGCAACTCTTCTCCGTCATCTTCGCCCTCGTCTTCATCATCGGCGGCCTCTTCTTGGTGCTCTGGGCGCTCTTTGCGAGCTCGGCATCCACATCCGCACACACAAACACAAACACACCTGAATCTGCTGGTCTGCTGGTGCCCACGGCATCCATGTCGCCGTACGAGAAGCTTGGGCTGCCCCAGCTGGAGAATTTTGGCAGCAACGCACACATTACCGACACAGAAATCCGGGCGGCGTACCGCAAGGCCGTGCGACACTTCCACCCGGACAAGGTCAAGGCGAAAACGAGCGAGCAGCTGCTGGCGGCTGAAGAGCACGTAAGGCTGATCAACGAGGCGTACGAGGAGCTGACGGACCCGTACCGGCGCTGCCTCCTGGACCAGGTCTGGGGGTGCTGGCGGCACCTAGAGAAACAATTGGAGGAGGAGATGCGACAGAGGGAAGAAGAGCAGATGGAGGAGCTGCGGGCAGAGGCGGCGCAGATGCACATGCACCAAGACGATGCCGACGACGGCCAGACAGAGAACCAAGCAGACGATCCCTTCGGTCTGGTCGTCGTCATGTTTGCACAGGTCGCCGCCTACAGAGCCGCCCGCAGTATCCTCTCGCTGCTCGAAGAATTGGACGGCCTTACTGGCGGTTTTGGAAAATATGTCCTGCGAGGCATATCCTATTTGGCCGGCCGACTGCAGAGTCGTATCCGCATAGTTTGAACAACCTGGATCAAACAGCTGAAATGGGCGGAAGCATTGGCGGAAGCAAGGCGAAGAGAGGTAGGAACACGGATGGGAACGGATAAAATCATAGTTGTAGCATAGTAGCATATATGTTTTGAATAGTGCATAGCAGCGTGCTCTGAATTTATGCTGGGATTTTCTGCTTGGAAGCAGTCTAGCTGTGAGTCGTAAAGGCCGTGAATCCCTCTTGGCCGTTATATGGCTCTGCCTGCGTTGACGCCTTCTGGTAAACGAGCCTGTGATTCTGCTGACGAAGTCGACGATGCTGGTGACGGGGTTCGGCCGGTTTTCTGAAGTGATCCCGTCATTTTCCCGTCATCGTCCAAATCACTATCCTCCTCCAGCACGTTGCCTGGAATGGTGCCTGCAGCCCACGTCCGCAGCTGCCGTCCCCCAAAGAAGAGTGCCGGCACCCCCAGACTGGCCACGATCAGCACCTCAGCGTACAGGGCCCAGGCGTTGAGGAAGCCGTGCGTGGCCACCAAGTGCGCAGCCACGTCGCCGCGCAGGAGCAAGGCCGCAGCCAACAACCGCAGTCCGCCGGCTGCGTGGGCTAGACAGGCGCCGGCCCAGTCGGGGAAGCTCTCGATCAGGAGCACGGCCAGCGCGGCCAGTGCCAACAGAAGCCCCAGTGCGGTCAGTTGAGCCGCCACCACGAGCACGCCCCAGTGCATCCCGCTCTCGGCCGCAGCGCCAAACAGGAAGCAGCCGGCAATGGACAGCACAAAGGGCAGCACCATCAGCGGGAGGTTGTGCTCAGCTTCGCGGTGACGCACCTGTTGGGTTCGGAGATGTCGCGTGACGGCCAGCGAAAAGACGCCGCCAAATGGCCCAGCCAGCGCGGCCGCAGCAACACCGGCACCACCCAGGACCACGGCCGGTCCGATGCCTCTCATAGCAAACGACCAGCCCTGCGTCTGCATGACCGCCGATGTCTGCGTTGCCATGGCCTGCTGCACCGTCAGCAGCACCGCGTTGACGGCCGCTGCCCACAGGACGACCGGCAACAGAGCCGTGCGTAGGATGTCGACGACAGAAGTACTTGATCGGTGCCATTCAGACCGGAAGGGTGCGGCTAGCACCCCCATGTCCGTCCAGAGTGTTCGCGCTCCGTAGCCTTAGTCGAGTGTCTGTGGCTCGTCTGCGTATCTTGGGCTGCTGCCGCTGCAGACACCACTCAGCTCGGCCGTGGTACGTTGTGTCCACCGTGTCTCCGGCACTAATGCCACCAGCAACAGCCAGGCCACAAAGCCCAGCGCGGCCAGGATGAAGTACATCCAGCGCCAGTCGTAAAAGGCCGCCACGTAGGGCGTCGCTGCACTGATGACGGCCGTGGTCACGGCATGGCAGGCCACCACTGCCACCAGTGCCGTGTGCTGCTGGTGCAGGAAGACGAGGTCGTGGGCGGCCACCAGAGGAACAAGAACGCTGGCTGCGCCGGCACCCACGGCCATAACGGCGCGTGCAGCCACATGTTGCACAAATGGCGACAGGACCGGCGAGTAACTGCTGAGGCCTGCCCACAGAGCTCCGGCCCACGTGCAGGCGCCTGCCAGAAGCAGCACTGGCCGCCGGCCCACGGCCACCGACAGTGGCACCAAGACGTAGCCGGCAACAGCTGCCACAAACAGCGGCACCGTGGCTAGGAGCGCCATCTGGCTGGTCGCCGGCAGCACCGTGCCTGTTGGCAGTAGCACATCTACTGGCGAGTCGATCTGGGACACCAAGGCTGCAGCCGTGACGGTGGTGGCGTTCGTCTGGCGGATGGCATGTGGGTCGACACCGGCGTACTCGAGTGCGAAGATGGGCAGCAACAGACTGCCAATAGCAGACTCGCCAGCCACAGCTATAGAGCCGGCTGCCCGAAAAGGCTGTCAGCATCGTGGAAAAAAGAAATAGACAGCGAGCATGAGAGAGCCTACCAAAACAGACGGCACCAATGGCAGCCCACTTGCGTCGGAACGAGAGGTTCAGGGGATCTGGAGGCTCGGGTCAGCAGGCGTGAGGCCGCAAAGGAGCAGTGGTAGTCCATCTTGCTCACCAACAGGATGGGCTGATGGGGTCTGCTTGCATGTCAGTGTCCGTCGACGCAGAAGTCTGGCACCAGCACGAGCACGTACCGGAATCAGGCGCAACCGGCCGTGATCATACAGTCTAGTCGTGCCCATAGGCAGTCTCTTGCGCTTCTGCGAGCGTCTCAGCTCGGCCACGGCTGCCGACTGCTTCGACGACCGCTCAACTGCCTCGATAAAGCGGTGGTAGTCCTCGCTGGCTTCCTGGAGTGCCGTGTCCCTTTCGTGTGCATCTTCCAGGCCGCCTTCCACCACCTCTTCTCTGGTTGTCGCCACGGCCTGCGTCGACGACTCCAGGTCCCGTAGAGGCCAGCTCCGGTCCATCATTAGGAACGATAAGACGAAAACGCAGAAAGGCAGAGACCAGCTCTGAAGGAGCAGCTGCGCCGTGCAGATCAACCACACGAATGATCACACGAAGCTGTGCACCCCATGAAGGGACCGCCCTCTGTTTTATGGAGTCGGCCAAAGCCATTTACCAACAGCAGGGGGTCGTCTGAACGTCAAAGTTTGGCTGTAGGGGCTTGTCTGCGATCATGGCTGTCCTTTTGCGTTTCGAAAAGCCAACCGTGAAATAAATACAGGTAAATCAGAGCCGCGACTGCCTATTAGACGCAATGGCAATTTCGTCTCTTGCTCTTTCCCTCCCTGTTCTCGGTTTCCTCTTCCCGGCTTTCCGGATTTCCCGCACGCTTCTGTGTAGCGGTTCGGAATTTTCCAGAGGAGTCAACCTGCCCAACATTTCCTCTCCTGAAACATATCTGTACCTGTCAACAGAGACTCGGGGCGTCGCACGACCAACACCGCCTCCGTCTGAGCGCTCGTTACCGCGCACGATGCGACATGCTGCCATGTTGTGCTAGCAGAGACTCGGCCTGGCCAAGAAATCAGCTTGTTTAATAGATCGCTAATGCTACCAAGAAAAAGAGAAAGAGACAGGAGACACAAGAGACACACAGACAAATACAGGATAGAATTGAATACGCCCAAGCAATCGAATTTCCTTCCGTCTCGACCCACCCCAACCTGTCGTCGTCACCTAATTACTCCTCTGCTGGTCGCCTCCCAGTAACCGGGCGAGCAGCACGTAGACGAACACGGCTCCGCCCACGAGGTAGAACTTGTTTCGGGCCAGCCAGCCCTGTCCAGCACCACGGCCTTGCCGCACGGCATCGACCACGGCCTGCGCCTGTGTGCCGCTGCCCCCGACGCCGCCAGCGCCACCTGCCGAAGCCATGCCGAGCTGAGGGCGGCAAGCGGCACCGCCGGCCAGCGAGGCCGACGACCCTGGCGACGATCCACCGGCGACGACAGCTGGCCCTGGTGGTGGAGCTATGCGGGCGCCGGTGGTGGCATCGATGCGGTGTGTCTTGATCCAGGCCCAGTTCTCCTGGTCGACTTCGGGCCATTCGCCGCGGAACTTGGCGCCGCCGTCGCCCGACTTGAGGTTGCCCTTCTGTGCGGGGCCGCCGGATCGAGCCTGGGATCCGCCGCAGGTCGAGTTCCACCAGCGCGAGCGAGCAGCGTGAAACTTGCGCTCGGCCTCGGTTGCCGACACGGACCCGGTGGTCATCTCCTCTGACGTCATGAAGGACAGCAGCCCGATCAGGATGGTCGACACCTCCCATGCCGGGTTGAAGGAGCGCGGGTGGAAGTCGGAGATAGAGAGGCAGAGCCGTGTGGACGGCTGGAACCGGCCCGAAGGCGTGTGCATGCGGATCGCCGGCGGGGCAAACGGGTAATCGGGGGGGAACATGAGCGTGCCCCAGTACTGGCCGCCATGGTACGGCGTGTCTTCGGGGCCGGTGATGATGTAGTGCCACCTGTGGGAGAGTTAGCAAGTGTCGTAGAGGAGCGACCGAGGGGTCCAGGGGACCGTACTCAAGAATGTTGCTGTCGGATGGATGTGCCGTGATGTATGGTGGTGGGTTCTCCGAGATGGTCTTGTATTCGCGCGTCAACTGTGCGAGGAAGCGAATTAGCAGATCCGTCTTTTGCGGCTGTTTTGTTTCGATGACCGACAGCCTCCACTCACACGCTTCTGGGCAGCTCGGCTGGCAGCCATGTCTGTGTCTGTTGTGGTGATGTAGTGGGCGATGTAGGGCCGCGAGCAGCGGTGATGACGACAGGCTGAGCGGCCAGATAAGGAATGGCAAAGAGGCACGAGACCAGCGCCGAAGAATGGCGGCGGCGCAGGAAGAAAACGAGTCGGTCGGCCCCGTAGAGTGCTGTCGAGCAGGGGAATCAAGCGAGCAGCGAGACGGCAAGTGGTCGGAAGAGCAATGTGCAGAACGGGGGCTGAAGAGTGAAAAGGGGAATTGGTAGGATAGGAATACTAGCGAGTCCAGAGGGAGGGCCGGATTGCCTGGGATTGGCCTTTTGACAGACGGGAGAACACGAAATCAGAAGGCGGCAGTGCTGGTGGTCGCCACCGATGACTAAGCACCAGCCACATGAATCGCTTATCAGCCACAAAGCTGTGGACCCTGGCTGCCCACTGCGCTTTATTCTCTAATTTTTCTGCCCACAGCTCCATTCGCTCAGCTCATCGACGGCTCTGACGGCGCGCGAAAGAGGAAGAAGCCGGATTCTGCCCACCACCACCCGTGATTGACGACCACGACCACGACCACGACCCCTCTTCTCCCCACAACGTCCGCCCATTGAGACTTCGCAGACGGCCAGGCCTGCAGTCTGCATTGCTGCCATGGCGTCTCGCGGCCCAGAAAGCGAAGTAGGTCTCCTTCTTGGCTGCCAAAGGACGAGGAGCTGACGGACGGTGTCATTAGCAGCTCAATCGAGACACCAACTCGTTGCGCAAGGAGGCGCGCACGAAGAAGGAGCTCCGGCTGGTAGAGGAAGACAGCGCACGGCGGCGGTCGCTGGCGACGATGGCAGAACACCTGATGCAGCCAGCGACGGTGCACTCCCTAGAGGTTCACGGGGCCCGCAACACGCGGCGGTCATTTTTGGACCCGGTCCTGCAGCCGCTCGTGGACTCGGGCCGCAATGTGGGAACGACGCTGGGGGACGTGCTGACGGAGGTGCAAGAGGCCGTGAGCAAGCTGGAGCGATTTGGTGGGTGTCTCTTTTTTCTTTTTTTTTTTTTCTTTCTTCTTTCTTCTTTCTTCTTTCTTTCTTTCTTTTTTCTTTTTTTCCCCCCGTCCACTAACAGGATAGACATCTTCAAGCCGGCTCCCACGGTGCACCTGTCGGACGCGCGAGCCCGTGATCCCCAGGCCGCGGCCACGGACCTGGACATTGCCATCCGGGTGGCTGAGCAGCCGCGGTTCCGGCTCAACACCGGCACAGACCTGGGCAACACCGAGGGTTCAGCCTACGGCAACCTGCTGTGGCGCAATATGTTTGGCGGTGCCGAGACACTCTCGCTCAGCGCGCGGGCTGGCACGCGCACGCGCTCGGCCTACAGCGCGGCGTTGTCGGCGCCGCTGGCCAGCAACCCGGATCTGGTCGTCACGCTCGAGGGTCTCGCCTCGGCCACCCAGAAGCCGTGGGCCAGCCACGAGGAGGCCCTGCATGGCGGTTCCCTGCGTCTCGGCTGGCGCTCGGCCGCCGGCCATGTCCATAGCTTCGCCTACTCGTCCACATGGCGCCAGGTTACCGGGCTTGCCGGCACCAGTGCTTCTCCGTCTGTCCGCGCCGACGGCGGCGACTCGCTCAAGGCTGCCCTCGCCCACACGTTTGTCTGCGACCGTCGCGACAGCCCGCTGCTGCCCCAACAGGGCTATCTCGTCCGCACGGCCGCCGAGCTCGCCGGTTGGGGTCCTCTCGGCGGCGATGTCTCCTTTGCCAAGGCCGAGGCCGAGCTGTCCGGCGCCTTGCCCGTGTCGTTGCCATTTTCGTCTTCGTCTTCGTCTTTGTCTTTTCCTTCCCCCTCGGGCATCTCCGTTGGAGCCGGTCTTCGCGCTGGCCTCATGTACCCCCTCCCCTTTGGCTACAAAGTCCTTTCCGGCACTGCCGCGCCCAGCCGCATCAACGATCGCTTTCTGCTTGGCGGCCCGTCCGACGTGCGCGGCTTCAAGATCGGCGGCCTCGGCCCTCACGATGGTGCTGATGCTGTCGGTGGTGATGTCTTTGCTGCTGGCGGCATCAACGCCCTGCTGCCCGTCACGCGTGCTGGCGCCGCCTCGCCGCTGCGCCTGCAGCTCTTCGCCAACAGTGGCTGCCTCGTCGCCCTGCGCCACCGCAAGACCAAGACGCCCGACGAAGGTCCGCCGGCGCTGCACTCGGATGCCGTCGCCCGCAGCGTCGTCGCCGCCGTTCAGGACCTCGCCAATGGCCTCCCCAGCACGGCTGTCGGCTTCGGCCTTGTGTACGCACATCCTGTCGCCCGCTTCGAGCTCAACTTCAGCCTCCCGCTCGTGCTGCGCCGTGGCGAGGAGAGCCGCAAGGGCCTACAGGTCGGCGTGGGCATCAACTTTCTGTAGGGGAATAGAAGAAAAGAACAGAGCTGTACGCTAAGGAACCCGGAGGGAAGGAGCAGAAGACGGCGTCCTGCACGTGATCTCTGCGTACATACAATGTATACATCCATTACTGTGACATTTCTGCTGCTTCTGCTTCCACTTCCACCGTGTCCCTCATTCCTTCAGATCCCGCACCATCCACACGCTGCCCTCGGCCTCGCCGCCCAGCTCCACGCGGAAGCCGCACTTCTCGTAAAACGCCACGACCCGCGTGTTCTCGCCCGAGATGCCAATGTGCACGCCACGCGCCCCAGCTGCCACCACGGACGCGACAAAGGTCTCGATCAGCCGCCGCCCCCAACCGTCGCCCTGTGCCGCCGGCAGCAGGTTGATGTGCATTGTGGCGCGGTAGTCAGGGCCGGCCACGAGTGCCCGCTTGGCCGCCGTGTGGGCGCTATCGAGGAGAAGCCAGCGCGGACTGAAGAGAAACTGCTTCAGACAGGTCTCGTTGACCCGGTCGCCGTCGACAGCAGTCGACACATCCAGCGTCCACGGCTCCAGCTGGTCGATCTGTGCTGGCGCCTCGCCTACGTCGACGCGTGCCTGTGCCACAAAGGCCGGGTCAATGTCGACAGCCTCATCCTCGTGACCGCTCACCACGTTGACATATCTCCCATACGCTGCCGCCATCGCCTGCACATCCGCACAGCCGATCACATAACCCACCGCCAGGCCGCTGCCGTCGTCCAGCACAAAACAGTGCTGCGGCGTCACCACCGGAAACGGGTGCGTCCACAGATACGGCGCCAGCCGCGTCGCCACCTTCGACCTGTCCAGTGACGGCGGCAATGTCGCTCGGCACTGTGCGTCGCACTGTTACTACCCGGCTTTGTCTCCTGCTACTCTGTAAGGAACTCACAATGTGCGCTGCAGCAGCCCAGTCGCTCGGCTTGTACGGACGGATAAAAGCCATCGTGGCCGGTTGACTTGTTGTTATCTCGTATTGGGATATATGTACTGTAGTGGGGGTAGCAGAGAGAAAGGATCGGCAAAGTTAGGTCACACGCAAAAACGTGAAAAGACAATATTAAACTGAACTATGGCGGCCACGAGGCCCTAATGACACCCAAACGTAGTACTCTAGATTCCACCCGTTTTGCGTGTCTCCCCTTTTCGCCTATTGATACTCAACGCCATTTGAACCGTCCGTCTTTGCAATTAATGAATTCGAAATCGAAATATTGAAAAGAACACCCCAGATCATCAACAGAAACAGGTACAGAGAGAGTTGCCAGTCCGTCACTGGCTATCGGGTATGGGGAGAATCCATGTTATACAGGTGGGGGAAAACTGGTATCACAACCTCGCTCGCTCTGAAAACTAAAGAGCTCGAGAAAAATAAAGAAACAAAAGCAGCGAGAATGGAAAAGGGAAAAGGCATTAGATCATTCCCCCGGGAAGATCCATTCGCAAAGGTGGCGCGCCGGCTTCCACCGTCCGATAATGCTTGACGCTGGCATCCGACGCCTGCTTGCGAAGCGGCCGCTGCGGCGCCATGTTGTTCTCCTCGTCGCTCGACGATCCGTACTGCTGGCTCGGTCCACCCGACACATTGCCACTTGCCGAAGCCTCGAACGGTAGCTGTGACGTGCTGGCAGACGACATCTCGGCCGAACCCTCATCCCATCCTCGCCGTCTCATAAAAACGCCCAAGCCGCCCTGCTTTCGCGAGTCTGACTGCTTCCGCAGCGGATTAATCGGCGGCAGTGGTGGCGCAAAGCCTGCTGGTGCTGCGTTGCTGCCGGCTCGCGTCCTCGATCCGCTGCGCGACCGGCTCCCACCGTTGATTTCCGGGGCGGACGCGCTCTGCGGCAGGCTCATTGTCGGCACCCGTCCAGTGCTTCCAAGAAAGGTCGGCTCCGAAATCTCGCTCTTCTTAACCACCTTTCTCTTCGTCTCGTTGCCCGACGGCTGTGGCGCAGCACGGAGCATCCGCGACCCTGCTGTCGTCGGCGTCGTCATGCCCGAAGCCCCAGGGCTGTCTGTGCCACTCCCGGGATAGTATGGCGACGAGGGCGCGCCCATCGGCGATTTCTGTATCGGGCCTCCGGTATATGTCTGCGGTGGCATGTGAGGCGAGTGTCGGATGTCTGTTCCCGGAAGCCCGGGAGACCGAGCCGCACCAGCACTGCGAGGAGCCCCCAGATGCTGGCCTCCCTGCTGGTGGCTGTCCATTGCCGCCACTGGAGCCCGCAGCCGAGGCGGAATCGGGCGTGTGCGCATGTCCCCGCCGTTGCTCGTCTCTGACCCACTGCGGTTCCGCTCCGTGTAGTAGATAGGAGGCGCCTTCTGGTCCTGGCTGCTGTGCAGTACCCGACGCTCCTGTGGTGGTGATTGCTTGCTCGACGAGAAGCCTGCACTGGCCTCAGTTGCCCCGTCTTCGCTGTGCCGTCCGGCCGTCTCGGCCTCCTTCTGCTTCTGTAGCTGACGCCTGGCATTCCGGAATGCTAGAAGGCCCGGATGAACTGAAGCTTCGTCCGCTGTCGGCGCCGCCGTCGTACCTTCACCTTCTTCTGCATTGGTACTTGTGTCGCCAGACGGCACCGGTGCCGAGCTGAATTCGCTCGACTCTTTCCGCGGACGTCTATCGTCCATGTCCGACGCAAACGTAGCTACCGCTGCAGGCGGGAGACGAGCGGAGGATGGAGGCGATGGTATCTCGTCAAACGACTGTCTGGAAGGGCTGGGCGTCGTACTCATCGTCGCTGCACCGAGTCCGAGAAGCTTCAACGTCTTGGGATGCGAGGCCTCGCGGGTCCGTTCCATCAGCGATCCACGGCTCGACTTGCCTCTCAGAATCCCGAGAGGGTTTGACTTCGCAGATGGCAGAGGCACGCCTGCTGGCTCTGTGGGCGCCAAGAGAGGCGACGACACATGACTGCCGTCTGCTTCAGCATACGTCGTCAGCCTCTCCTGCACTCGTCGTCTGGCGTTGGCCAGCTGGTTGGCAAAGTCGTCCTCGTCATCCTTTTTGTCCTGCTCCTTCGCCTCCGCCTGCGGCGTCGGCGGGACTGGTGATGTCGGTGCCGGAAATGGATTCGCACCTCTGTGGCTCGCGCCGTTCCACTCTCGGGAACCACCAGAGCCCGTCTGGTCGTCGGCACCAGACGGGTCGTAGTTGTTTGACTGGGGCGCCAAAGTGCTGTACACCGATGAGGCGTTGCTAGTCGTGCGCAAGTGCTGGCGAACAAGGCCGCTCAGCCCTGTGCCGGGGCCCAGTGTCGGCGAGTCTTCTGCAGCATTTTCAGCAGGGGCAGAGACGACAATGTCTCTGCCAGCGATATCCACAGACTCTTCAACGGCTGCCGTAGTAGAGGCGACCGCTGGCATGGCTGGCTGCCTAAATGCCGGGTGGTCTTGGTCCGATGGCCTCTGCACTGATATCGGGATCGGCACATGTGCACCACTCTGCTTCAGTGCCAGCCTTGCCGACCGCAAGTTCTCGTCATCGGCGTCAAAGAGGAACGACTTTGCCCTCTCCTTGACACTGGGGCCCAACGGTCCTAGCACAGGTGTGACACCAGGAGCTGCCGGCACCTGCGAGTTCCTCTGGTCGCCATGGTGTGCGACGGAAGATGAACGCGATGAGATGCCCGTACTGCGAGATGCATTCGACTCGCTACGGAAAGGCTCACTGGGCGACTCACGGCCTTGTTGCAGCTGCAGTTGTCGTTGTGCAAACCGTGACTCGTCGTACGGAAGAGTTGGCTTCTGGAAAACACCCATAGCCGTGGCCTTTCCGCGATCATTGGGCTGAATGGCAAGATGTAGCTGATCTCCTGAATCGCTGATGGGCGGACTCAACGGCGGAATCCCAGGGGACCGGCTTCTGGACTCTGCTGAGCCTGATAACGACCTCATATCAGGGCTATCCAGAGGCGTTGTGCTATTGGGAGGAATGGTTGAGGTAGCCGCCGTAGGCGAGCTGGTCGAGCGCAGGTTCGGAGCGCTTCCCTTTGACAGGATCTGTCTTGCAGAGTTGGAGTAATTCAGGGTTCCGGAGAAACCGAAGCCCGTCGGCGAAGGGGACTGTGCAAGGTCAGGCGTCCCTCGACCAAGAGACCGTTTTCCAGTCAAAGTGTCCATTCGGTGTAGTGCGGAGGACTGGTGCTCATGCATATCTTGGTTGAAACCTTGCTCGTAGAGTCGGCGAGTTCGTGTGGCAGCATTTGTGCCAGTCTGAGCGGTCGACTGGGGCCCGTCTTTGCCAGATGTTGTCGCCTGCGAGATAACTGATGTTGCTGCCGTAGAGTTTCGCGCGGCTGACGACGTTGCCGATGAGCTTTCTCTTCGCAGGCCGTACCCTACCGGAGATGGCGAGTCGGAGCGCGGAACAGGAGAAGAATCGTAAGCGTCGGAGGTGGGAAGAGTCGCTGATGTTTCGCCTGGGTCTGTTGCTTCGTCTTTGCTGTCGTCAAAGTCGAGCAGAGCTAGCCGGTCCTTTTCCCGCTGCTTGAACTTTTGGAAAGCTGAGAGGGCCACGTCGTCGTCGTAGAGTGCTCGACCTCCCATCCCACCCCCAGAGCCAGCTTTCGATGACCCTACAGGAATGCGGTAAATCTTCTGGCGGCCACCAAACAGAACATTACCTTCGCCTGGGCGGTTGCGGTTCATCACGCTTCCATTGTTGGAGTCTGTATCGGATATAAACGATTCCGCACGCATGAACGGCGGCGCTCGGATAGATTGGACCTCGGCGATGTCGTCCAGCCCCCTGAAGTTTCCATCCAAGGTTCTCGATTGCCTCTTGGGGTAGAGCACACTATCGTCGCTTGCCTTGCCGATCTTGGTGTTGGGATCGTCCTGTTCTCTCAACATAGAAAACCGGGCAGACAGCCCAGTCATCAGGAGGCTTGTTCGGAAGTTGTCTGATGACGGCAAGGCGTTTTCCAGGCTGAAATCTTCTTTCTTTTCTTCCTCGGGAGTCTTCTTGTTCTTTCGGAATCCCTTAAACGAGGACGACTGCGGCTGTGGTTCCTCGGAAGAAGCCCGTGCGGCAGCACTCGACTCTTCCTTGGTCTTCTTCTTTGTCCGAAACCGATTCATCTTGACGTAGATTCGACTGGCGGAGCTAGAGATGCGAAAGCTCTTTGACAAACCGAAGCACCGCGGGGAGTGGATGGGATATTAGTCGGTGGAAAAAGCTCAGGGCAGTCGGGCCATAGAAAGAAGCTGGTCCAGGCTGCTGTGGTCGGGGAAAGCGATCGTGAGCCGAAGCGACAGACTGACACAAGCCGTGTCGAGAGGAGCCTTACTGAAACGACGTTCTCAGTTGGATTTGCGGCAGTGGGGCTACATAAGAAGCTGGGTATCGTTAATAACTGCGGTGAGCGACGAAAATAACACGCGTAATGAATGTGGAGGGGAAAGTGATGGGCATGTCAGAACATATCAGAAAAAGCGATGTTCAGTCTTCTTTTGAGGCCCTAGCGAAGTGCTGGTGCTTCAACCCAGGACGGTACAAACGGGACAGCATGCATGACATTTCATGAACCTGGGGCGGTCACGGCGCATGGGTTGTAATGAAGTGGGCAGATGGAACCATGTTCTGAATATGCTTGCCACACAAGCCCATCCCGGTCCGATTGGTTCTTTTAGGACGAAACGCATCGGGGGCTTGCAGGACAGGCAGGACTGGAGGCAAACTGGATATCTTACCTCTCGCTCGGGCTGTCTGGTAGTTGCTCGTCCTGCAGGACTGGCAATCCACTGCCAATGTCTCGTTCTCGGTTCTGCTCGCGGCCAAATTGGCGGATCAGAATTGCGGATGCCGTTTGCGTTTGGGTTGCGCAGCGGCAGTAGCAGACAGGGTCGATGTGGCCCTCTCTGCTGCACGTCGAAGGCGTGTGCGGGAGATTAACGATCCAAAACACACAATAAGCGGATTGCGATGTCGTTATCTCGGAAGGAATGTAGCTCTCGGGTTTTGCTTCAGTCCTTTTGTTGGCGATAGATAGGCGCGATCGTATTGGACTGAAATGCTGGGGAAATTGGCTGCGGTCGAAAAGTGACAATCCGAAGAAAGGGAGCGTTTAGCAAAGCCGAGGAAAAGGGAGACGCAGCACACGCTATCTGTTTGACCAAGTCGAAGTCGAAGCAGAAAGGAGCGAAGGTGGCCAGGATACCGCAGGCCGTACGAGGGAGAGAGCAGAATGAGAACAAGATAGAGAAACAGAACAAGTATCCGAGGGGCGCGAGAAGTACAGTAAATCAAATTGAGGGATGGCGCGGGACAGAGCCAGGCATCGTGGGACAGGGGGGGTACTCATAGGGAGTCCGGAGAGCAAGACAAAAGAGGAGTCCCCAAAGACTCGGTCCCGGTCAGAGATACAGGCAGTGGGGAACGCCAAAAGGCAACGGCAGGGCGAATGACAGCGCTCTGATCCGGTGCTTTCGGGCTTTGGAGATTTGGGCGATTTGGGCGACTGCCTCAAAGAGAGTCCAGCCGAAGACGCACCCCTGAAAGCGCTGTGCCTAGAGAGTGGATCAGCGGCACCCCTTTGAGAACAGATACCCCTGACTAGTCTGGCTTTCAAAACGTTTTGATCGGTCCTGGCGGGCGCCATTGGTGTGGGTACTGACAGGGATTGTGGTCCGGTCCCACCTTTCTGGCCGCTTCGATTGGACATATGTCGCGTGGGTTGTGCAAGGGCAGCGTTGTGCTAGAGGCCAGGGGCAGTGAAGAAATGAAAGCCCTGAAGAACAGGTAAGATACATACATATTAGTAGTGCAGGTAAAATTGTTCAGAGGGATGGAATGGGGGCTACGGGTGATTTGGATTGGAGGCGGCTCGTCCCATGTCTTGAGGTGATTTCGCTACTAGGACATATCTTACATTCTAAGTATCTTACGGAGTGAAATATTCTGTCGTCTCCTTGGCCCGGGAAAGAGGAACTGTACTTCATAGGGTCCCGTAGTTCGCAGAGTAGTAGCATCGACCACTCTTCCCGGCAGGGAAGCGCTTTGGGGTGGCAGATCGCCAGGCCTCAGGAGGAGCTGGCGGTTCCCCCGGGCAGAGTCCAGTTTCGGCACTCGTGCTGCATGGCGCCGGCATCGTGCTCGGCGCCCAGCCGCTCGCTGCTCTGGTGATCCACATGAGAGTGTTCCGTCACGAGGGCGAGCTTGTGCAAGGTTCCGCCGCCCGGTTTTGCAGCGAACAGGTGCCACAGGACGGCCTCTTGCAGACGGGTTGTGAGGTTACATCTCCCGGGCACCAGCTGCGAAGGGACATACGAGTACGTCGTATGCAGGAGAGACAATCACAGGAACGTGGCATTTGCAGCAGGAAGCGGAAGGCGCGAATTGGCGTACCATCGCGAATCAGTCGATTATGCTGTGATGACGTCGGCACCTCTACAATTATACCAACTACCTCTGTCCACAATGGCTTGCATCGTAAGTTATCCTCCGATGCATGTCTCCCGCGCATGCACGGCGATTTAAGAATGTCGACGAAAAGAAGAAAAAGGACAAAAAGAGAACACGGAGTACGGTGGTCCTACGGACATCACCAATCTATGGAGGGGGGCTTGCTTGACAGGCAATACGAACATCACGAGGGGGAGAGCGGGGGGATCTCCCTATTCTGAGGACCGGGGCTGGACTGAAACTGCTATATTCGCTTACTACGTATGTATTACTACGGGGCAATTACAGTGGCGTGCTAGCCGGAGTACAGCAGGTAAGGGGGGGAAGGCGGTGTTTTATCTCGCTTCCTTCCCGCCAGCCTCGCTGAAGCCATTGGACGGCATTCTACCACGGAGTACGGAGTACGGACATCGCTCAGCCTGCAGTACTCGTAGTCCTGTGATCGGCGACGCACGTCTAAGGATGCTGTCCAATGGACAGTTTCGCCTCTGTAGCTGACTTGGCCCCCTTTCCAATCCCTAGCTGAATCTCGTTTGCGCCTCATACAGTCTGCCTGTCTTTCTCCCTCATAATGTCATATTGTGATCGCAAGTATCTCGAACTACCATGTACGGGTTCCGAGACACTGCAACAGGATGAGCTCATGCTGTTGATCGTGATACTTCCCTCCAGTGGGAAACACACTTGTGACTAACAAACCTGAGACATGCAGCTCTCTCGACTTGCTTTGCTTGCCTTTTAGGGCTTGGGCAACGGCCAACTGCGCTCCACGTTATCGGCCTTTTTACCATGTAAGACATTTCTGCCCTGGTTTCTTCGTGGACCAGATCCTTTCTAGATTGCACGTCTTGCCCTTGATATGGAGCACGATAATTTAAGTACGAATACGAGTGCTCCCTGGCAGAGCGAGCCGCCAGCCAAGAATGGGGAACCCTACGGCGCCACGGGAAAGCTTCTACTGTAGCACTTGTCTCTAGCACTATCGTCTGGCGCCCGATGGATTAGTCCAGGTCACATTGGTTTGTGCTTCGTACGAGTGTTCTCATGGATGCCGCAAAAGCCGCAAATCAGAGGAGCAGGGCCTCCCTTACAGCGCTGATCACGCACGCGTTTGCAGACGGTGGTGTTTTCTCGTCCGTGTGCTCAGCTGCAACTGTCGCGAGAGTTCATCTTCCGGTCCTTGAGCCTGGCCAAAGCAATCCAGATTTGGCATGCACAGTACAGACAGCGTACGACGTAGGGGTATTAAAAGCTACTCGTGCTGAGCCCGCAGGTATTGTTGCAACACTAATACTTTAGCGCTGCTCTTTACGTTTCTGGTTTTCTTCGGGTCGATTAGCCGTTCCGCGGGCCAATGATAGATGCAGAACTAAACCTAGTGTGACGAGGCCTGCCTGCCGTTCGGTCCTAGGTCACGGTGAGTCAAGCTCCAGGAACGGAGCACCTGAAGTTGGTCGTCGAGATTGAACATAGTATGTAAGGGGGCAGCGATCGGCTGATGAATTCCATGACCTTTCTGCTGTCAGGGAACCTAACCCCCCTATTTAATTATACTTATTTTGTCACGCTCCACCGACAGACGACAGCTGAGGAGAAGGGACGCAGCAAGGCGGCTTACGTGTATGATACGATATGTATTGAAAGCCACCTTATCTTGCGGGCCAATGAGCACGAGTCTTGTGCCTGCCGGCAGAAAGGACTGGTGCTCTCTGGACAGCCGAAAGTCGTCTGGGCATAAGCCGTTGGCAAACCGAGATTCCGGAACGCTGTGGAGTAGCTGGATGAGGGGAACAAACTAATTTACGGAGCACTGCGTAAATAGCGGAGATTTACGTCGTATGGAGTCTGGAATGGCATGTGCGTGTCCGGAGTTCATGGTGGACGACAGAAACAAAAGCAGCGAAGAGGCGAGGAAGATGGTCTCAAGAGCGAGAAGCCGTTTTTTCTGACAAACGCAGGGCGTCTTTGACAGCAGTGGCAACGGCCGTTAACGGCCGTTACATAGTATGTAAGATACTTTGCACTTTTAACATTAGCATTCGCGCGTGAAAGAGTTTTCTCAGGTGGGTTCTGTTACGATCATCGGCGTACGGAGTAGCGAAGTCTTCCCACAGCGCCAATACTCTGAGGCAAATAGAACAATTAGCGGCCCGAAAATGGCTGCCTACTAATATGTATCGCGCTTTTTTACCCTCAATCTCCCAGCCTGCCCGAAGCAAGTACTAATTTCCGAGCCGCTGGGACTGGAACGACGAACCGAATTACTGAGGTTGCATTCGGAGTGCCTGTACTGCAGGTATTGGACACATGCCTGTCGGGGCGCTTACCTTCGGGTTGCATTGCGGCTTTCGTCACAATACGGAGCAGTACCGAACAGGCGAGCACTCCGTATTTTGTAGGTCGGACGACTAAGCGCTTCGTACGAGTACAAATAGAGTGCAACGCTCCTCTCATTGAGTCGGATGTGTTATCTGCTTGAAATTGCCCGCCGACATGCCAGCCGGTCTGCAGCCATCTGTACTCCGTACTCTACGAGTACTCGTGCGGAGTAAGTACATCGTAGGTTGCATCACGCTCACGTCCGGCAAAACAAGCAAACGATTGGAGGCGCAAGGCATCAGAACTAACGCGCTGCGATATGGAGAAAGCGCGTTGCACTGTTGGACTCTTTGTTGTTGTGGGGTAGCGCAAATTTTTTCACTGTTAAATCTCTTAAAGTTATTCGACTCGGACTGAGTTTTGAAACAGACCAAGGAAGGCTGAGCGACGAAAGCTGGATGTGTCCTAATGCGGACTAACACTCCTTCCTGCCTAAAAGCTAAATGGTAAAACACCAACGTCGTTTAGGCAAGTTTGTTGGACATTATGCCAAATCACGCTGATAAGACGCAACGAGACGAAGGACGACGCATTGGCTTGCTAGATAATACATAGTAGGCTGGCAGAACGACGTCTGCGCACGAGAAAAGGGAACGGCTGGTCGTATTTTACGAAGTACGGAGTACACAGCAGTGCAATGTGAAACGTGAAGAACCACATGACGTAGGCTCAGGCTCCACCGCTACTTCCCCAACGGGAATTGAGCACCGCACCTCTGCGCAGTTAGATATCTCACGGGTTGCAGCCAGAGAAGCCTAATTGTCCCGTCTGTACGGCCATACCGCTGCTTCTCTTGCTCAGCTCCGAATCAATAAGAATTCGCAGTCCACGATGGGCACTGCAGGCACAGCCGTCCGGCCGGTTCAACCGCCTCGATCGCCCATAGTTGCTCCCGCCATGAGTCGTCCCTGCATCGACGCAGAAAAGAGCACTCGGTCACAAGGGACAGACTACATCAAGACAGTTTCGAGGCCTGCCAAAACCACAGTCGGGCACCGGACATGGACGACGAAGCTGGGTCACGGGCGTGGCACTCCATTTGCCGTCACCGTGATCATTGCTGCTCTCTTGCTCGTTAGCTTCACCGCCAAGTGGTGCCAGCAGCAGAATCTGGCCGGGAAGCGACTGTTCTCCCTGCCGCCTTCTGAAGTTCCCTACTACGGCCGCAGCCCTCCGGTCTATCCGTCTCGTAAGTCTGGATCAGCAGACCAAAGGCACAACGGACGCACAGAAGCACGGCCTGACGATGGGATATAGCTTCCGGGAATGGGTCGTCCAGCTCGGCCTGGGCACGAGCCTACGGCAAAGCGTGCGCTCTTGTCGACCAGATGACGCTGGAGGAGAAGGTCAACCTGACACACGGCTGGCCAGGCCGCTGTGCGGGAAACTCGGGGACGGTGCCGCGTCTGGGCGTGCCTTCGCTCTGTTACGCGGACGCTCCCGACGGCGTGCGTGGCCAGGAATTTGTGCCTGCTTTCCCGGCCGGGATCCATCTGGCCTCGACCTTTGACGCAGACCTGATGTACCGCTACGGCAAGGCTGTCGGGAGCGAGTTCTACGGACGAGGCGTGCACGTCGCTCTCGGCCCGGTGGCTGGACCTCTCGGCCGCATCGCCCGCGGTGGACGCAACTGGGAAGGCCTCAGCAACGACCCGTATCTAGCGGGCGTTGGGTTGGGGGCCATCACGCGCGGCATGCAGGAGGCCGGCGTGATTGCTACGCCTAAACACTTCCTCCTCAACGAACAGGAGTTCCGGCGCCGCGAGACGGCCCGCCAGCCGACGCCCGGCATTGTGGGCGAGGCGGTCAGCACAAACGTCGACGACCGCACATTGCACGAGCTATACGTGTTTCCGTTCATGGACGCGCTGGCGGCCGGAGCGGCGGCAATCATGTGCTCGTACCAGCGGGCGAACCATTCGTATGGCTGTCAGAACTCGAAACTGCTCAACGGCGTGCTCAAGACCGAGCTCGGCTTCGAAGGCTTTGTCGTCAGCGACTGGGACGGTCAGCATTCGGGTGTGGCCTCGGCCCTGGCGGGTCTCGACGTGGCCATGCCCGGCAGCGATGGCTTCTGGGCCGGCGGGCTGCTGGCCACAGCCGTCACCAACGGATCGGTCGCCGTCGAGCGCATCGACGACATGGCCACGCGCATCTTGGCGTCTCGGAGCTACATCGAAGAGATCGGAGAAAACGGGCTCGGCCAGATGTTGTTAACCGGTCTCCCCTTCCCGATACCGCCGGCCATCTACGCCAGCACGGAGCGCCACCCTCCTGTCGACGTGCAGGCCGGCCACGCGGCCCTGATCCGCACCATTGGGGCTGCGGGCACTGTGCTGGTCAAGAACGTCAACCACACGCTGCCGCTAGGCCGGCCGCGGTTCCTCTGTGTGTATGGCTACGATGCGGTCGTCAAAGCCGGTCCATGGGACGACCCTGCTCGCTTCGGCGGTGGCTACAACGTCAACGGCGGCTGGAACACGCTCAACGGCACGCTGATCACGGGCGGCGGATCCGGTGGCAGCACGCCGCCATACGTGGTATCGCCGTTCCAGGCGCTGCAAGAGCGCGTGGTGGCCGAGGGAGGCGTTCTGCGGTGGGACTTTCACGCCGAGGCGCCACCGGTGATCTACGCCAACGCCGATGCCTGTCTCGTCTTTATTAACGCCTACGCTTCCGAGATCTTCGACCGACCCAGCCTGACGGACCAGTTCAGCGATCAGCTCGTGCTCAACGTTGCCAGCAGCTGTGCCAACACCATTGTGGTCGTGCACTCGGCCGGCATCCGCGTGGTCGACGCGTGGATCGACCATGTCAACGTGACGGCCGTGTTGTTTGCCGGTTTGCCGGGACAGGAGTCGGGCCACAGCCTGACGGACGTGCTGTACGGCGACGTCAACCCGTCTGGCCGGTTGCCGTATACGGTGGCGCGGCGCGAGTCAGACTACGGGGCGCTGCTCAGTCCGTGCCTGTCTACGGAATACTACCCCGACGACGACTTTTCCGAGGGCCTGTATATCGACTACCGCGCTTTTGACCGCCGCGGCATCGAACCGCGATTTCCCTTTGGTTTCGGGCTGTCATACACCACATTTGACTACGGCCCCGAGCTGACGGTCGACGTGGTCGGGGCAAAAGAGAAGGAGACGGAGACGGAGACGACGTCTAACAGCACCATACCCGCGTTCCCCGACCCAGACGTGCCCGTCGTGCAGGGCGGCCACCCAGACTTGTGGCAGACGGTGGCCGTTGTGCGCAGCCGCATCGCCAACAGCGGGGAGACGGCCGGGACCGAGGTGGTGCAGCTCTATGTCGGAGTGCCAGGTGCAGATGGCGCCATCACGGCGGGGGATTCGCCCGTGCGGCAGCTTCGAGGATTTCGGCGCGTCGGTCCGCTAGCGGCTGGGCAGGAGGCCATCGTGGAGTTTGTGCTGACGCGACGAGACCTCAGCGTGTGGGACGCGGCGGCGCAGCAGTGGCGGCTGCGGCAAGGGACCTACCAGCTGTATGTCGGGGCGAGCAGTCGGGATCTGAGGGTGAACGGGACGCTACTGATTTAGGGGGATTTAAGGGGAAGAGGAGAAGTGAGCAGAGGGGAGAAGAGAAAAAGGAGGAGAACGGAGAGAGGAGGCAGAATACGAGCAATGACCTATCTTACGACGTAGAAGCACTTTGGACTGATATCGAGCCTGGAGGCCTCTTTGGCAAAGGACAAGCGAGTTCTACGACATCACCCTGCAGAATGGAGAGAGAGAGGAGAGGAGGCTGGGAAGAGAAGACGCTGACAAAGGCTTCGCAGACAGACGAGGCAGAGAAGGAGAGAGAAACGGAGAAGGCAGGAACAACCAGCCGGCCGGGCCGTAAGTTCCGGTGTGGCCTGCCTTGTCCAGTCAATCAAAACTGGGTGCCTGCTGCACCTCCAGGCTCCCGCTCCCTTTTTATGCAAGAATTTCCAGAAATTGCCAGCCTTGGCCACAATCGCTGGCCCGCTCGCCTGCATGCTCTCGTACTGCAGATGGGGTCACCATTCCGGATCGCAGCTGGTCCATCGACGCCCCTCTCCTCTTGCACAAGCAGGAGTTGTCCGCAGGCAGAGCCGGTGGGGAAACCCCAAATAAATTGCGAGAATTGCGAGAATTGCGAGAATTGTGAAGAAAGAGACAAGAACCAGACTACAGAAGAATGAGAACGAAAAACAAAGAAGAAAGAAAAAAAGAAACTCAAGTCTCGCACTCCGTACTTCCTAGCTTGCTAGTGTCCTGCAACAGGCCAGAAAGAGACATGAAAGCGTCGCATCAGGTCCCGTTCTGGCGAGCCACAACGCCAAAACTGATAAAAAGCGTTCCTTCCCTTCCGCCTCCTCTCCCGGTCTTCCGGAAATTAAAGGGTCACTTTTTCTCGGCTGACCCATGTCCTCCGGGGCAGAAGGACAGACAGAGAGCGAAAGAGGGGACTGTAAGCTGCAGCAGGGCGCCTAACAAGTAAGATACGACTCCGTAGAGATCTCCGTGGAGAGAACAGTGCGTCCTGTCGAAGAGTTTTCTTACAACTGACCCGTAAACTTGGCGGTCGAGTGGGCTGCGAGCACGGACAAGAGCGATGCTCGACCGATCAGGGCAGCGGCGAGACTGTACGGAGTACGTGCTCGTGCTCGTGCTCGTGCTCGTGATCGTGCTCGTAGCCACCGGAGCCGGTCAGACAAAGTAAGATACGACGTACTCCGTCTGCCGGTGGATACTCGCTACAGCATCTTACGTCGGCGGATGCTACTGGGACGGTGATGCAAGCCATACGTACGACGTATGTACGGAGTACATAGTACGAGCAGGACGCAGGAAAAACACCCCCAACCGGCTGACAGGGAGGAAGATACGCTTATTCGCCTTCGCCGAGCCGTCGCACGTCGTCGCGGGCAGGACGTCGTCCACAGCGACGCTTGACCCGAGACGGCGTGTAATCATGGCCCGGTCCTAGTGTCTCATCATCGAGAATGGGACTTGCCGTCGGCTGGCTCGTCTATGTCGTAGCAGGCCTGGCCGCGACTCGGCCTGTCCTTTGGAATCTCTTTTGGCTCTCTCGCGCTCCTGTCTGGTACCGGAGTCAGGGGGGAGGGGCGGAAAGCAAAGTGCGTACATGTACGTTTTGCATGTCAGAGTTACATTCCTTGACGCTGGTCTTTTTCTCACACCCCCCTGCCCTGCCCTCCCGACCACGTTTTCTGCACAGTAGGCAATCCTGCTCACCGTTCTGCTGGCCAGGTCGCAAAAGTACACATTCGCAGACTATGTGCACAACTTTCGCCATGCCACGTATCACGTATCTCATGTAGGCGCGGGACAGAAAAAGGGCAGCCCTGTCCGTTGGTAATGGCGTGTGTACAAAGTGGTCGTTACTCACCTGGAAAATAGGCTTATTTCACCGCGTGTGCCGATGTTCAAAAATAAGCGAAAATGAGATGACAGGGAGGTGCTCGTCCTACATAGTACCTTTTCAAGACGACCATCCCTGCGAGGCTTTGGCACACGATACCACAGCAGCTCAACAGCACACATCTTGACCCCGTGACACCACGGTGAGTGAATGCTCTGCCCGCCGCTGTCTGTGCGTCGGTGCCAGAAAGATACATCGCCTGCATGCACCCTCACCGCCCTGTCTCACCGCGCGCACGCGCTCGTGCGTCCTTGCAGCGAAGGAATGCGATGCTGCCGGGGCGCCGCGAATGTGATCAGAACCCAGCTCCGCGCACGAACAATGGCACAAGGCCGGCCAGCTGCAGCATCGAAGAGGGCTTGTGCCCTGTCTCCAGGGGTGCGAGTGCGATTCGTACTGTGTAGCATTCTGCAGCGTACGACGTACAGTTGCAGCGCGTCCTGCCATGTTTTTTCAGCTTCATTCCTTCCATTTCCTGGTTGTCTCCTTCTGGAGCCCCGCCTGTAAAGCGTCTCTCGCCTGGCTCAAGACGGTCAAGCCTGCTCCGTATCTATCTGATTGCAACGACATTATCTAGTGCAGGGCAGTAGGCCTTTATGACAGGTCATCCGCGCGAGCAAGGACGAAGAGCGCCGGGTACGGAGTACATAGTACGATGCCGATGGGCAGAGCAGGAATCTCCATGCTCGTATTCTTCTTTTTCTATTTTTCTATTTTTCTTTCTTTTTCCCAGCCCAAAGTCGCGGCCGAGCGTGCGGATGGGCAGACAACACAACCACGGCAACACGCAGCCAGACCGACGGCATCGCGTCGACCGAGGCGTGCACGCCGCATCGTACTCTCAAATCAAACGTCCCAGCCGGTCTGCCAGCCCCTTTCAGATTGGCAGAGACAGCAGCAGAGCATGCCCTACTCCGCATTCCGCATGCACGACGGGGAACCAGGATCAGGGCTCATTGTGCCCCAGATGGCGTGGCCGGGGAGCTCGACTGGGAGTAGCGCGCTCTGGCGATGCTCGACATCCGGTCCACACCCTCCTCAGGCCTCAGGCCCAGGCTTGTCCCTACGCGGACGGCTCGTCCGGTGGAGAGACCGACCAGACAGACCGGACGGCCAGTGCAGCAGCAACAGCAGCAGCACAACCACACACGCGCACAATCGCACGCACAAGTCGGCTTTTTCGAAGAGTGGGCCACAGACCGGCTTCACTGTGCAGCTCGGTCTGGGAGGGGGGGCAAGGTCAACCGTTGAAGCTAGCAGGGCATGGAGAATACCATTGCAGCGTGCAGCCATACGAGATGTGCTCGTCTTTGACCTATCGCTTCTCCTGCAGACGAAGGCGGGCAGGCTCCAGTCCGGTGGCAGCTGCCGTTCCGGATGCCTTCCGCACACGACTCAAGAAATGTGACTGCACGATGAGTCGGGTTGTGACGTACAGCACCGGTCGTGCCTTCCCCTTTCCGAGAAAATACACCCTACTGCCTTGGCCCTGTTAAATATCTTAGCTGTTCGTCCTTCTCCCTCCTCCTTCCCTGTGCCTCAATCCTGGCTTCATCTTCTTCACACTTTTGCCTCGTCCTCCACAATCTTTTTTTTTTCCTTTTAGCTGCTTTTTGCTCCGCCGTCTGCCCTCTCGCATTCGTCGCCTCACCGGACCACCACCACGACCACCCCCCCTCCCCCCTGCGTGTCCACCACCCCTGCCAACCAGACTCTCCTGATTGGCGCGGAGCCAAGACGGCCCCCCTTCCGGCTGTCTTCAAGAAAGAGACAAGATACAAGGAGGAAAAGCTACGAGAGCACATCGACAGACTTCGGCCGGCTCCTGCATGTCCATTTGCACCCGGCACGGATGCACAGCACTGCTGCCGTCTGCAGACGTCCCCCCTCTCCACCCTCTCCACCCTCCATCCTCCACCCCCCACGGGTCTGATTTCAGAGCTCCAGCTTGGCCACCCTCCTCCCTTGCGTGAATCTTGCGTGCCTCTGCTGGTAGGATCCCGCATTGTCGTCGCAGCGCCAAATCTTGCTGCCCGACGCTCGACGCTCTTGCTAGACGCCACCTGGAACCGCCGCCTGGGCTCTCTGCTACCGCCTTCTCTTCCCCCTTCTGCAGCCCTGCTGGAAGGCCGTCGCGCCCCGAAGGCCAGCTGCTCGCACTACTGTCACTGTTCCCTGCTTCCCCGCCCTGCTTTTCCCAACCCGATGGTCTATTGAACAGAGCGGCTACACCGCCGGCGCTATCCAACACTGACAGGGGGTACACTTGCATACAAAGCACGCCTGCCGCAAGCTTTCTGCACACCACACGCACACACCCCTACGTCCGTCGATTTCGAGAACGTTTTGCTTTCTTTTCCTTTCCGGAGTATACGAAGAGCATTGGGATAAAGCGGTCTGTGAACCCCCAAAAGAAGCAACTTTTCGAAACCCTCAACTCCAAATTGGGAAAAAGAAGGGAGAGGGCGCGCAGAAAAGAGGAAAGACTGCTCCAAGGGGATCAGATTCAAAGGGTGCTAAGAGACTGACAACGAGTGCCGGATGCACTGTAGCAATCCGAATCACAATCTTCTCACCCTGGTCGCCGTGTTATTGGGCTCCCTTGAACCAATTCGGCGTTGCAGCCAGATGATCGTCTGCTGTCGTCCAGAAGCCGACGCTTTATTTGCTGGGATCATATACGGCCACATAGTCTGCCTTTGGCCATTGTATTCCCATTGATAAACCCGTGTCCTGCAGCGCCTCTTGCTTTTCTCTCGGATATATCTGCTCCCCGTCTTCGGGCTTTGTCGGTTTCTTCTTCCTATTGGGGATCGTCTAGGCTGTGCCTTTCAAGCCTTGATCCCTTCTCCCCTTGCCCCCCTTGTCCTTTTGGCGCTGTTCCACTGATCATCCTCTCCAACGAGCTGGAATAATACGGTTCTCGGACGGCCCTACGCCCATCGACTGGCTCAATTACCGCCAGCCTTGCCGGACGGGAGCGAGCTAGCTTGGGATGGTTTGACTTTGACACAGGCTCATATCACGCGAAGTACACACATGTACACAGCCAACGCCAGCAAACAAGTACTCATGCACATATACACACACACACACACACACACACACACACACACACACACACACACCTCCCACCAATACGCTCCACACACCACCTGGTCTTGTTCTGTGCTCAGCCTGTCTGCGTTGTCTGCGTCTCCCCCCCTTCACTGTTCAACGACTGCCTCCCACCTGACATATCTGCCCCACAAGAACGACAGCTGGACACACACCCCTTGTTCGAATTGCATTGTTTAGCAATTCACAAGTTATTGCGGCTCTGACTCCACCGAATCAGAGTCCGTCACTCCCCCTCTTCCGTTTCAGACAACAACTCTCTTTTCTCGTCACTCGTCACTCGTCACTCACTCTTCAATCATCCGCACCGCCATTTCACAACCGTAAAGAGCCTGTTGCATACGCCTTTATAATATGCACTTTCCCGGACTGCCCAGCCGTTGTACACCAAATTATTCACAACACAACCAGCAGCGAACCGGCAGTTATACCCGACGGCGAGCCGAGTTCATGTCGTTCAAATCTTTACGTTCTCGATCCCAGCCTAAAAAAGCTGGCGCCCGCTGTCAGTCCACAGCCGGTTATCGAGACAAAAACCAGCAGGGCAAGCTTGCAAAATCAGAGCCTTCTATCCGCCTGGGTTCGTGCAAGCTGGCTCTGTCGTCCCTTCTAGCCAAAATGAGGGTCCAGCAGCAAAAGCCGGCATCCAGCCTGTGCATTGGTTCTTGTCCCTGTGACAAGAAAACCACCAACGACCACACAATCACGCGGCTTCCTGCCTGGGACCAAGCTTCTATGAGGAGCTACATCCGGGTGGTTCTCTGCTTTGCGTTCGACAACACGGCCATAGACGCGGCCGTACAGCATATCCGGGGCTCTCTGAAACGGCTTGCCTGCCAACGGCCTGCTTTTTCCGGTAGCATTGAGGTTCATGCCGGCGGTATCGTCCACCTTCGAACGAGCAACAAGCCGCAACTGGGAGAGGCGACCATTCCGTTTACGACTGTCGACATCTCGTCCAAGTTCCCGTACGCCTCGTTTGACGAGCTCAAGGAGGCTTCATTTCCACCGGCGGCCTTTGTAGCTCCCCATTTCAACCAGCCTTGCGTGGTTGGCGAGGGGCTACCGGGGGTGCCAGTTGCCGTGGTGAAGGCGTTTATCATACCGGGAGGCCTCCTGTTGGGGATATACTTCAACCATGCCGTCGCGGACGGAGACTGTCTTCGAGTATTTCTGGAAGCCTTTGCTGGGCAGACGTGCCACCAGCCCAGCTTTGGACCATCGACAATGGAGCACCATGTTCCGCTGTCGAGGCGGCAAATAAACGGCACAGATATCGGTCTGGAAAAACTTCTCGAGCGGATACCAGAGTATTCGATTTTGGACGAGCCGTTGGGCCCGACGATGCCCCGGCTGAGAGCGGAGGGGGTTCCGATGGACGAGATCCCCAAGATTGGCAAGATTTTTGTTTTCAACAATGAGCGGCTCAACGAGCTCCGAAGCTTCATCGCGGCCGAGTCGAGCAGGACGCAGAAGAAGACGGGGACGGGCTGCTGCAGACCACTCTTTCAAAACGGGGACGTTGGCGCCAACTACATCAACTACACCAACTACACCTGCCTGGCAGCGCTGACGTGGGCCCATATTACGCGGGCGCGGCTTGCCGACAAGAACCGATACGTGCCGTACTCTGCAGACTTGGACGAGACGGCGCTGCTGCAGACGATGGTGAACTGGAAGACACGTGCGTTCAAGGAGAAGAACAAGGATTACTTTGGCAACGCAACGGCAGTGGCAGCGACGCAGGTGCCAACAAGAGCGGTTCTCGTAGAAGCGGCGTCGGACCGATCACGACTAGCCGAGCTCGTTGCAACGATCGACAAGACGATCAGCAGTGTGGACGAAGACTATGTGCGGGACCGGACGGAGTTTTTCACGCGGGTTCCAGACCCGCGGCTGATCGGACTTCGATTCGACCCTCGGACGCCACAGGATCTGGGGTTCAACACGTGGCGGTTCTTCGGTTCGGACACGAAATGGACGATTCCGGGAGTGGGCAGCGGGAGCGGGAGGGGGGCTACGTCGCCCGACGTGGTTCGGCGGATGCAGGACGCGTGGAACATGAGCGGAGCCCTGATACTGCCAGCGAAGGCGGGGTCGACAGCCCACGAGCTTCTGGTGACGCTGCCGACGAGCTCGATGGAGCTGTTGTGCCAGGACCAAGACTGGATGTGCTGGGTGGACCGTGTGATCGGATGAGGGGACATCTGTTACAGGAGATGTTGATGTTACAGGAGGCAGGGGGATGGCTTATGATGCTATTGGTGATCTCTCCTCCAGGTGGATTTGCAATACTGTGTATGAGTCCTACGTTCTGGCTTTGCATTTGGACTGACAAGGACGACGAAAGATACCCAAGCTCGCGGAGGATTAGTTCCGCCCATGTTCCTGTTTCATTTTTTTTTCTTTCATTTTTTTTTTCTGCGAGTATGAGAAGTACCAAAATAAAGGCGGGTTTGCATAGTGCGGTCAGGGCGGCAGCAGTGCTCAGGCCAAGCCGACCGTGCTAGCGGAAGAGGAGTGCTGATGGTCAGCATCGGTGCCATAGTCTGTCGAGGCAGCAGCAGATGAAGAAGCAGGAGAAGAGTCAGAACCGGAGAGTCCTTGCTTGGCGCGCATGGCACGCACAGCAGCGCGGGTCTCCTTGGCAGTGTTGATGTTGACGCGATGTGTCTGGATGGCCTGATAGAGGGAGAGGGCGTTGACGGAGCCGCCGATGCCCAAAGGGGGGAGATTGATGTCGCCGACGACGGTAGCGCGCAGGGCGAAGACGATGCTGCGGCGAGAGGGGAGATTGGAGGGAGTAGATGTGGAGGCAGGCAGGCGGTCGACGGCGACACGATGGACGGCAGACGGGATGCGACGGCCGGAGAGGACGTGGAGGGTGTCGCCAGTCATAACGGTGACCTGAGGGGCATCGATCCAAAGAGGGGTTTTGGGTGGTGATGTCGAGACGGAAGCCGGATGTTCGCTGGATGCTGGCCGCACCTGCAGTCCCTTTCCGACGCAGACGCACAGAGTGAGCAGGCCGAGGTCGCGGTGCTGCTCGGCGCCACCACCGCCGTGTTCGTAGCGAAACAGCCGCAACAGCGTGGGCGGGTCATCGCGAGGGGATGAGGGGAACAAGGGAGATGAGTTGCCGTGATGGCAGCCCGGCTCGAGGCTGTCAGCCACGATGGCGTCCCAGGCGGCCGAGCCGGCGGGCAGGTCGAGATATGCGGCAATGTCGCCGAGGATGCGATGCAGCAGTCGGGCCACATCACGCCAGACTGCTGTGGCTGCCGAGACGAGGTCGCCAGGCGGCAGATGGTCGAGGCTCCGGCGCAGCGTCAGATACTCCTTCTCGCCCGGCAGGCGGGAATACCCTCGCTCGGTGCTCTTGGGGCTGCAAGGTGGCCCCCGGGATCCGCCCGGACGGAAGGCGTCCTTGGTGACGTCAGGCAGAGCAAAGAAAGTGTCGGCAGCAGCGAGGAGGCCATCGAGCTGAGCGGTCAGATGCGGACGCAACTGCAGGCCGACAAAGCCGTCGGTGCAGAGCTGGTGGATGTCGGGGCTGCTGAGCAGCGGTGGGGGATGTGGAGGTGGCGCGAATTGGTCCATGTGTGGGGGGGGGGTGAAGAATCAGGAGATGAGAATAGAGGGGAGAGAGGAGAGAGGATAGAGGATGACGATTTGAGGAGTTGAGGATGAGGAGCTAGGGAGACAGAGAGGATACGGGTAAGCTGGGGAGAGGCTGTACAAGAGCCAAGGAATCCGGCGAATACGCTATAACCGAACACTAGTCAACAGATGACGTGAGGACAACACGAGGCTGACGAGGACGGCGGCTTAGCCCATCGATGGACCTTTCATCACCAGAGGCCGCAGGCAGAAGATGTAAATGCACGTGCACCCGAATTTCCACTCCGCACGTCCAACGTCGATGCCTGATTCAGACCCGGCACAGCTCGCACAGGCTGCCGCATCCGGAAGCCGCGTCTCTTGCCCGATCAGCTGTTGGGGTACAGAGTTTTTTGTCTTTTCCGTCCATTCCACTATTTCCACATCACAACAAAAAAGGCATCCAACCACAGCGGTAACCAAACCAATGGGCTGCCATCGACAAACTCCACCACGTGCCAACGCATACAGGCACACCCCGGATGGGGCCGCGGTCTGGTTTGGCGCCATGGTTATGCTCTCACGTCTGCGCTAACCCGTTTATGGCTGGCATTCGTGCTGCATCGCTCCATCTGTGTCTGCCAGACCTCTTGTGATAATAGCCCTTCAACTGCAGACGGCAGCCGCCCGCTGACAAGCGCCAAAGTGATGCGGCCGCCATGCCGGCCTGTTTCGGGTTTCGACCCCCTTCCTCCGACGACTGGACGGGAATGGCTGCCTGTGACAGACAGCTTGCCATGGCGCACACATAGCCGCCCAGACGACAAGGCTCGTCGTCCACCACGGCACAGCACTCGTCGACCAGATGGGGTGTCGTGACATTGGCCCAGAAACAAAAAGCGGATGCTACTTAAAGTCGCCACGATCGCTGGCATACTGCTCGCTGTCTCTTCTCCCGCAAGCAGATCACCATTCGGCACGTTCCTATTCCTATTCCTGTTTTTCATTCACACTTTTTCTCCTTCTCTTCTCTACCCTGACCTGGCGTCAGATAATTTCGGTTGTGCAGCCTTGTCCGACATCTCTCTGGCTTTGCCCCTACTTGTCCACACACCATGGCTCGCCTTGTTCTCGCTGCTCTGCTGGCTTGTATGTGTCCTGAATCCCCTCCTGTTCTCTCTCCCATTTCTACGACTGACAACTGACTCTCTCCCAGTCTCTGCCGTCGTGCAGGCCATGCCCAAGCCCGTCGTTCTCAACGAGCGAGCCATCAGCAGCATAGCCGTGGCCGTTGCAACGTCATCCGCACCGCCGGCAATCTCGTCCGCCCCCGTCGCCTCTGCCTCCTCGACGACAGACACCTGTGTTGTCGATTCTAGCCTTCCCGGCAGCCAGAGCGTCGGCACCGGCGCCGGTGCCCAATTTATCACCGGCCAGTGCTTCAGCAAGGACGACTGTGCCTCGGGCTGCTGTGTCGCCCAGTCCGACGGCGTCGCCCTCTGCAAGCCCGCCGTCGTCACCGCCGAGGAGGGGCTCAGCTGCGACTTTTCCTGCTCGGCCACCGTCGCTGTCCGTGATGCTCCCGCCAACACCACTGCTCCTTCCACCAACAGCACCTCTAGCGGCACCGCCGTTTCTGCCGTTGCCGGCTCTACCAACACCACTTCGCCTGCGACTGCCGCCACCTGTGCCATCGACTACAGCCTTCCCGGCAGCCAGAGTGTCGGCCCGGCCGCCGGTGCCCAGTTCATCACCGGCCAGTGCTTCAGCAAGGCTGACTGCGCCTCGGCCTGCTGCGTCGCCCAGGCTGACGGCGTCGCCCTCTGCAAGTCGCTGATTGTGACCGGAGAGGACGGTCTCAGCTGCGACTATTCGTGCACTTCTTGAGAGACGCTTGCAGGCGCGCGACTCAAGCGACCTTTGCTTGCATTTCCATTGGCCCTTCACCTTTGCCTCTCTTTTCTCTGTTCTTTTCTTATGACTTATGTTTCTGGGGGTGTACAAGAACGTGGTGTAGATATTTCGACATTGATGTTGTATTATTGTGCATATACCGACTAGATAAGCCCTGCATGCAATATGAAAAGTGCTATTTGAACACGTTCCGGCTGGACAGTCGTGCAGCTCGACGACATGCGGCGAATCAGAGCTGTCGATGCCACCGCTCCGAGTATCGTGACAATCCTCTCCACAGCCAGACATAAAGTGTAGCGTGCAGTGAGAAAAGATGGCTCCGGTCCTCCACCTGTTCCCAAGAGGACAGGAGGGGGGCCGTTGCCGTGGTGTCGTAGGCGTCTTTCGTTGTGATGTCGCTGCCTGCCCCTCTTGTCCGCCGTCATCTTTTCTTTTCGCGTTCTCGGAAGTTTGCTAGTCAGGATGCGTTAGCCTTCTTCTTGTCTACCAAAACGGCTTGACCCTGTGATTAATAAGTAATTAACGCATTAAAAATAAATAGGGGGAAGTCAGATGGAGCGAAAGGTATAGTAGATTGAACCATGCCGACATGGATGGAGAAAGCGAAAAAAAGGGGCGCCTGCCGAGACAGAGGCGCCCTCTACTACTGCCCCGTTCGTGATGATGATATGATATCGGAACAACTCCTCCAAAACGCCTGGAAGCATGGCGCCGCCCTCTATGAATATCGAGTCGTGAAGCACATAATTATATAGAACAAAGCACAGAGAAACGAATGCGTCACCTGTCGCAATGTTAGAAGCCAAGTCGTCTTCCAGGGAGGGAAAAGGGGGCAAGTCGCAGCAGCGAGCCAGCAACCAAGGCGCTCACATCCACCGCCATGCACAATCAGGCTCGTACACTCGTCTCAGTCGCTCGGCTCGGCGCCGTACATGTCACGATACAGATAGCGGAGGTGCTCTCGTTGTTCGCGGTACGACGAGTAGTCGCCCTCTAGAACAGCGCTCAGAAGGCTCTCGTTGCGGCGCTGAGCCTCTGGCAGGCTAGCCAGCTCTAGCATGCGTTTTCGGAGGACCTCGTGAGCGTCGGAAAAGGCTCGCATGATGGCGGGCGTGTTTCTGGAACCGCCGGCGATATCGTTCTGCGGGTTGTTCGGGTCGATGATGGAGAGCCGATCGACGTTTTTGTAGACAAAGTGAGTGACTCTCGACTAGGGAAGTTAGCGGACAGAACTGGAAGAACCGAGTGCCTAGAGAGAGGCCGGACTCACCTTGGGAATGTATCCCGGCGGGTTGAGACTAATGGCCGAGGACTCGTAGTTGAACTTGTTGCCGTAGAGGTCAAAGAAGTGCATCAGCAGGTCGCCCAGGTGGTGCTCGCCTTTCATGTCCTTGCTCTGGATAGGCGGCATCAGCTGCAGCATGCTGACGACAAGGCAGATCATGGAGAAGCCGCCAATGCCGCCATTGACCGGCTCGTTGAGACCGCGCATGGTCAGGAACTGCTTGACCAGGGTAACGAGCACCGGCATGGCCGGGTACTGCTCGCGCCACTTGGTGAAGGTACGGACAGCGGCGACGCCGGTCATGTTCTCAAACGACACGTCGACCTTGAGCCAGGTCTTGACGTCGACGTACTTGACAAGCGGCACCTTGGCCTTGGTGATGTGCTCGAGATGCTCGCGGTCGGCCATCTGATTCATGCAGAGAAAGTTGCCAAACTTATACAGCACGCCCTTCTTGTTAAACACAGGCGGCCGGTTGTTGAGAAAATGCGTCGAGCACATCACCAGATCCATGTCGCCCGTCGGCAGGTACAGACCCGACATGAAGGAGCCGAAGCAGAAGAGCTTCGCGTTGGAGAACCGCTTGCGCACCGCGCGTTCCAGGTCGTCAATCAGGTCCTGGCGCAGCCGCTGCTCGAATTCGCGCGGCTTGACGTGGTTGTAGAAATCGACAATTTCCTTGTGAAGCCTATACTGTCAGGAGAGAAGACAAGTGAAAAGGGGCAGCAGAACAAAACTGACCAAGTCGCTATCACGGCAGTGTCGGAATGGTCCTTGAGCCACGGACACCGGTCCTCGCTCTCCTTGGCTTGCCAGCTGGGCACGATGAAGCCAGCCGCAGGCATGGTGGTGGCTCTCTTCAGCTTCGCATGGTCTGGCAGCTTGAACTGGTCGTCGTGTGTCCGTTTGCGCGACGGATTGAGCTCGGCAACCGGGGGCGGTGCGCTGCCCGATGCCGTCTTTGCCTTTTTCGCCGCCGCCTTGGTTGCTTTTGCCGCCGCCCGCGAGGTTGGCGCTCTGGCGGGATCTCGAGAGAGATCTGATATTATCGATTCTCCCGATTCTCTCGCGTCGCGACCATTACTGCCACTGCTCACCGCCTGTTGGTCGTTGCTGCCGCCGTTGTCGCGGACGCGGTCATCCCCTGTTGCCTGGAGCTCCTTCCCTTTTCTGCTGCTATCCAGTTCGTCGACATCATCGATCACGAGCATATCGTCCTCTTCGTCCTCCTCGCCTTCGCTGTCCATGTCACATGATATGAATTCCTCCGTGTCAGCCGGCGCCGTAGACGACGTCTGTTCCGCCCTGACGCGGGCCTTGCGGATCAGATGCACAACGTCCTTCTTCTTCTGTCCCGTCTCGGTCGGCGGCAGCACCGTGTAGGGATCCGGGTTAGACCACTTGGGCACGCTGGCCGCTTCGTCAGCCGACCTGGAGAGACGCGTCCGCTTGCGAGCCGGCTTTCCGTCGGCGTCGTCGCCGCTCACAACACCGCCCTCGTCGCCTGAAATATCCATTTCAGCCTCGTCGCTGTCCGACAGCTCGTCAAAGTTGAGGTACGTGATGCCGCCCGCGCCTTTGGCAAAGTCCTGCGATGCGTCTCCGTCCTGTTGGCTCGTCTGGTGCAAGATTGGCCGGTCGGCCGCGATAAACCGTCCAAAGCGCCCACCTCTCGCTCGACGGCCATCTCTGCGGTCGCCACGACGTTCGTAGCTCGGCCGGCCATGCTGCTGGTAGGACCGCGGCCCTGACGGCACATAGCGCTGGTCTCTGTCGCAATCTCTGTCCCGATCCCGGTCGCGCGGCTGGTACGAATCTCCGCGCTGCTGCGCCTCGTACACACCTGACGGTTTCGGCGCCCGGAACGTGAACTCGCCCTGCGGAGGTGTTGGCCCGCTGTCGCCTCCCCGGAAGCGATGAGGAGAGCTGGGGCGCGGAGGAAGCGGGTGGTAGTTGTCGGATCGGCCGTTGCGTGACCGGTCGTCGTCGCGGTTGTTCCAGCCACCACCACCACCGCCACGGCCGCGTCCGCGATTTCGGTCGCGTCCACGACCCCCTCCGTTGCTGACTCTCGGCCCTGATGGCCGGTACGATTCTGACCGCAGTGAAGGAGGCGGCGGCAGTCGTGAAGATGCGCTCGGACGGTCTAGGCCCGGCGGCGGCGGATAATTCCTACCGTGCGACATTGCAAAATCAACAAGCTAAAATGTGTTTGTACAGTAAAAGACAAGTGGATGTCGCGCTGCGATGCGGCATTGATGGGGCGTCGCGGCCTTTTCGAATTTCAAAATCCGAAATACGAAAGTGTGGCGGCGATAAGATCGGGCAGCTGTCTGGACAATTACTTTTTCCGCTTGCGGCGCTAGGCAAGGCTCTGTTACAAGTATATCGCTTAGGTGTACATCTTCACCTCGGCATCGTTGCTCTTATATTGTCTCCTGTCTTCTGTATAGACTATAGAAACGCTTTACAAAGTAGTCTACAGAGTAAAGGCTTTACAAAATAGAGAAGCCAATCGTATACGACGAGCTACACAACATCCAAGACGTAGCCACAAAGCAAACATCTGGGCCTTATGACACGAGACGTCTGCTTTTTGGCTTCGCTCATGAGTGCGGCCCTCTGCCTTATGGCTCTGTGTGCTGTCTACAATGGCTAGCTCAACAGCTAGCTGAGTCACCCCCATGACTCCTCTCACAGGAGGAGGGCAAAGCCTGCATTCACTGCCGTATTGTCACTCTAACAGCTCACACAAGACGGCCATAGCCTGTCACTCTTGTTGCCACGGCAGATACATAAGGCGTCCCGAGTTATATGTACACAATTTCTCGCATCTTCCACATTTCTACCGGCATCCCGATGAGCCAGTTCTTTCTGTTCACAGAAACAGAGACTACCCAGTACACAACGCCAAGGCACAAGCATGGACCAACCACAGCCGTGTCTCCGAGGCAGGCCGCACGGCCAGACAGCTGCGCGCGCGTGTTATATTGCGGGGGTTGTTTCCATATTGGCCTGTATGGCCGGCCTGATCGTCGCCGTAGCCATGCGCCACGGTGAGAGCAAGCGTCTGCAGCCCGAAGGCAACATCCAGGCACGATATCTGCCAGAACCGGGGCCGCTCGACAGCAGTGACATGCGCAAGGGCCCGGGTGGGCCTTGGTCTGATGGGCAGTATGGTGAGTCCTTGAAGCAGATACTCCCCTTATTTTCACGTTTTCATCTTTCCTTTTTCCATTCTTCTTATTTATCATTTTTTTTCCCTCTCTTCTCGTCCCTCTATACTTAATCACCTCAGCCTATTACTGCGGTAACTTTCGCACCGGCCAACCGGGGACCATCCGCCTTGGCGCCGCCTCGTTGAGGGCAGCCAACGTGTCGGTCGTGGCCCCTGCCGGCGGCTGTCTGCGCGTCTTCTGCTCGGACACCAGCGCCGTGTATGTGTGTAACGACAGGAACGATGTGTCGCAGACGCTGTGCGGCTACGACATCGCCTGGATGGCCGAGCGTCTCGGGCTACTCTGCTGCGACGCTAACCACGGCCGATCGGCCCAGCTCTTCCACCCAACAGACCGGTGGAACACAGTGATCGGCTACGGCAACTGCCGGCACGCGGCCGACGAGACGCCGGCGTCGTTTGGCGTCGGCAACGGCGGCGTCAACGGCGACTGCGTGCCCAACGAAAGCCTGACTGGGACGCCAGGTCGCATCGTGAGACCGGAGGACGAAGGACCAGGAGAAGAGCGAGAGTAGGTGGAATGAATGGACCAACAGTGCTTTTGTACTTTACTAGAACCAGAATGAAACGACATAACTCTCCTGGCTGAAACAGATACTGAAGTAAGTAATTATAGAAATCTAGCACAAAGAAATACAGCAGGGCTGATAATAGTAGTAACGGTGATGCAGGAATGTCTAGTGGAATATAAGCTGGTGGACATAGTCGATTGCTGGATATGGCGCTCAACGATATTGGGTTCGACGGCATGGGAGCGGCCACGCCGATGGGGGTAAGAAAATTGGGAGGCTTCAGGAGATGTGATTTGCATTGGGAGAGGGACGAGAAAGGGCGTGTGGTGCAGAAACCTCCCAAGTAGGTAAACGCTTCTTTTGCAGATAGAAAAAAATAGGGATCGAAGCAGTGAAATAAAGTACGATTATTGGTTTGAGACTCTTTTCATGCTGACCTGATGCGTTGAAGCAAACTTGTATGCCCGTTGTAGCGTACCGAATGAAGGCTATGGCATCCTTGCAGCTGAAACAGCTCACATTGGTTCTAGACAGGAAGCAGGAAATGCGATCAAGGCACAGACAGCACTTGTAAAAGAAGTAACGACCAAGACCAATGAATGTCCCGAATAGGATTAGCGCTGCTCACCGCGAGGAAGGCGCAACCAGCACAACGCCAGCCATGAACTGTCTCGCTGCATCACCTTTTACTGTCTCGTCCTTTCGCCCTTAATTTTCCTTTTTCTTCTGCATCCTCTGTAACGACTAGACTGCCAATGGCAGATTCCTTCGACTACAGCCTCGTCGGCCAGCTTCAGGCCCAGCCGGCGGCCGCCTGGCGGGACGACCTGCCACCGTACGACTTTGGCGATGCGCACGGGTCGGCCGCCGAGCTGATTGTCGACAGCAGGCTGCAGTCGTTCCGTTTGGGCACAGGTGCCTCTATTTTTGTGTCGGCACTGCTGCCAGCGATGCTGGTCGCACGGCATGAGATCATCGTGGTGACGTGCTTCTGGGCGCCGTCCAAGAGTCTGGAGGGCCTATCTGCCGCCCTCGCACGTCTGGCTGCCACCCGTCGAGAACAACAGCGACAGCAGGGGCCAGGTCCATCATCAAAATCTACTCTCCGCATCCGCATATGCTTTTCGTCACGGACTCTCGTCCAGAAGCTGCTCCACACCGCCTCGGCTGACGGCTGCGTCTACCCGGCCGCTACCTGGTCATCACAGCTCGGCCTGCCACCGGCCACCGTTCTGCACGAAGCCGGCATCGATCTAGCCGTCAAGAGCCTCTTTTTTCGCCCGCTCAGCGTCATGCATCCCAAGATGGTCCTCATCGACCGCCATCGCGCCTTCTTACCCAGCTGCAACATCAGCTGGGAGCCCTGGCTCGAGGGCTGCGTTGAGCTCACCGGCCCCGTCATCCGCCCGCTGCTCTCTTTTTACGCTCGCACCTGGGGTGATGACCTGCCACCACTCGAGGTACTGTCTGGTGCTGTCGAAGCCGGCGATGTTGCTGAGTCAGCAGAAACGGCCCCCAGCGCTTGCGCAACAGCCGACACCCGTTCGACAACCACCATATCCCCCCTGGACGTTGACGGCCCTGGAAGCATTGTTGTCGGCTTCAGCCCAGATGCTGCCCCTATCCACACCATGGTTCTGCCCTCGTCTCACCATTGCAACCCCGCCTTCCGCCCGTTCCCATGGCAGCACGCACCTCCGCCGCCTCCAACTCCGCTCAACTTGGCGCTGTTACAGCTCTTCGAGACCGCCCGGAAGAACATTTTCGTCCAGACCCCGAACGTCACCTCCCAGCCCGCTGTCACAGCTTTGTTGAATGTCCTGTCCCGTGGCGTCGACGTCGATATCGTGACCGGCCGCAGCATGATGGTGTTGGAGCAGCTTGTGACCTCTGGTACCACCACTGCCCGCTATCTCCGCGGCTGGATCCGGCGTTACGAGGCCCTGCGTCCGGACACATTGTGCGGAAAGCTTCGTATCTGGTACTTCCACCCTCTCCGGCGCGCCTCTGTCTCTGTGGAACGTCCAGTCGCCGTTGGGGACGAAGAGCAGGCCATTCTCCCTGCGGTGACAGCAACATCAACAAACGAATCAGGCTTTGCAGTCGACTCAGACGAGCCCGTCCAGTCCCATCTCAAGCTGACCATTGTTGATGGCGAGCACACCGTCCTGGGATCCGGAAACATGGACCGTGCCAGCTGGTTCACCAGCCAAGAGCTCGGCATTCTCTTTCACGACGCCGCCGTTGCTTCTGCCGTCCGGACTGCTGTTGACCGTGTCCTCGATGGCCGTCTAGAGCCGATGTATCCATCCGCGCACGCAAGCTGATTGGCTGTGCATCGCGGCTACTGCAGTAACGAAGTGGTACGACAGCAAAGGTCGCGAGACGAACAAAGAGCTATACCCATGCACCCTTGGGCCGAGTGGCCCGCAAGACGCTAGAAGCAGACAGCTGTGACCTTTCCGTCCCAGCAGAAAATGAGGAAAATCTCCACTTCTTCGGCTATCTAATGCACGCCGTTTCCACCTTTAGGAGACCAGTGCATATGCGAAAACTTCGCACACTGCAGGCAGCTGAGACAGCGCATCGAAGAAGCTCAAGGGAGGGGGTGTCGTGTGATGCTTGAGATGCCATGCTGAATGTCACCGAGATACGTTGGTTTCGGTCTTGGCAGACCGCCAGCTACGGCCCTGGAGGCCCGGGACTTGTCCGTCACAAAGGGCCCAACAAGTCCGGACACGATAGTCTGTTTGCTTGGTGAACCACAGCTGTGCTTGATATACATACAGTGCTGAGAATAGGCTAGCCGCTGGAAGCAGCCGCAAATAAAAAGTATCAAGTATCTGTTCAGGATATCCGCTGTGGTAAAGAGAGCGCTGCTCTCAGAAAATACCCTGTACGCGAGGAGACATATTGAAAGGAGATACAAGGCACGCCTGGCTGTCAGGAAAAATAGTCGCCATTTGTCGTAGGAGGCAGCCTGGTGTTCCTCTGAGCCACAGAAACTACAAGGTCCCACCCAATCCCATGCGTACGATTTGAACTGTCGAGGTGTCGTGATGCGAAAGCGCATGAGCTGGGACAAGGTTGCCCGCCACGATCATGGTGACCACCAGCTGGTTCAGGCATAAATGGCATATAGGCGTGTACTCGTCCGATCCTGCAGATTACGTACGCGTCGAGCTCTAATTTGGACCTGGAACGGGCAGTGTTCACGTGTAGCTATCAGCTCTGCAGAGCGATGACTGAAGCAAGACGTCCGATGGTGCGTGCAACATTGGGTAGCTCTATGAAATAGGTAACTGTGATGCTATGAAAACCGTGGGTTGAGCAGAAGCAGCCGAAAGGCCCAGTCCCAATTCTGGTCGCGCACCGCCAGTGGGCGTGATGGCCAAGAGTGCTTTGCCCAGTTGTTATACCTGTTGTATGAATATCATGGGTCTGGAATACAATGTGATGCAGAGTCACAGTCGGGGGATTTTAAAGCAGCAAATAGCTTTTGTGGTTGAACAGTAGCAGAATGAAAAGCGAAGACGAGAGCAAGACGGCTTGCCACAGTGCACCTCCGCTGAGGAAGCCGCGATGGGCGTCCGGGAAAAGGGGCAGAGTTGCTGACATAATCACCCAAGCTCGCGGCATCTCACCGCCCATGGCGGCACAACCAATTCTGCCATGCGCCGAGAAGTACAGCACAGCTTCGTCAAACGTCGAATCCACCTCCTGACGGGCGACACGAGCATCCGTAATCAGCAGCGCCGTGAGATACCCAATCGCGCTGTGACCTATTATTATACCTTTCCACGATTCCCTGCACATTCCTTTGTCTTTGCCGTCCGCAATCGCCTCCCCGCTTGACCAGGGCTCACCTTCCAGCTGAAGGTTGTACCGCGTTCCGACCGCCGGTCTTTCCGGCCTCACTGGCCCTTTCTCTCATTGCCCCCCTCCCTTCCGGCGCGCAGACGTCCCCGCTACGACCAAGATGCTGTCAGGCATTCTCATCTTCAACCAGAAGGGTGAAAATCTCATTTTTCGGGCGTTCCGCAACGACTGCCGGCCGCGGCTAGCCGACGTGTTCCGCATCCAAGTGATTTCGAATCCGCAGGTGCGATCGCCAATCCTAACGCTGGGCAGCACGACATTCAGCCATGTGAAGCACGAGAACATCTACCTGGTGGCGATCACGAAGAGCAACGCGAATGCGGCGCTCGTGTTTGAGTTTCTCTACCGGCTGATCCAGCTGGGTCGTGGGTACTTTGGCAAGTTTGACGAGGAGGCGGTCAAAAACAACTTTGTGCTTGTGTATGAGCTCTTGGACGGTAAGTCTCAGTCTGGAAGAGGGGGTTTGTGGGGCGCGCGGTGGTTCCGTGGTGCTGACAACGGGGCGCTGCAGAGATTATCGATTTCGGATACCCGCAGAACACGGAGACGGACACGCTCAAGATGTACATCACGACGGAGGGCGTCAAGTCGGAGCACCGGGCGGAAGACTCGGCCAAGATTACGATGCAGGCGACGGGAGCGCTGTCGTGGCGCAAGGCGGACGTCAAGTACCGCAAGAACGAGGCGTTTGTGGACGTGATCGAGGACGTGAACCTGCTCATGTCAGCGACGGGAGCGGTGCTACGGGCGGATGTGACAGGGCAGATCGTCATGCGAGCCTACCTTTCGGGGACGCCGGAGTGCAAGTTTGGGCTCAACGACCGGCTGCTGCTGGACTCGGACACGGTGCAGGGGCTGCCATCGGGCAACCGGCAGGGCAGCAAGGCGACCAAGGCAGCGGCGGGCAGCGTCACGCTGGAGGACTGCCAATTTCACCAGTGCGTCAAGCTGGGCAAGTTTGACTCGGACCGCATCATCTCGTTTATCCCTCCGGACGGCGAGTTTGAGCTGATGCGCTACCGGTCGACGGAGAACGTGAACTTGCCGTTTAAGGTGCACGCCATCGTCAACGAGGTGGGCAAGACCAAGGTCGAGTATAGCATCGGCGTGCGGGCCAACTTTGGGCCCAAGCTGTTTGCCACCAACGTAGTCGTGCGCATCCCGACGCCGCTCAACACGGCACGCATCACCGAGCGCTGCACGCAGGGCAAGGCCAAGTACGAGCCGTCGGAGAACAACATTGTGTGGAAGATTAGCCGCTTCACCGGCCAGTCCGAGTTTGTGCTGTCAGCCGAGGCCGAGCTGACCAGCATGACGAACCAGAAGAGCTGGAGCCGGCCGCCGCTCAGCCTGGACTTTAGCCTGCTCATGTTCACGAGCAGCGGCCTGCTGGTGCGCTACCTCAAGGTCTTTGAGAAGAGCAACTACAGCAGCGTCAAGTGGGTTCGCTACATGACTCGTGCGGGAAGCTACGAGATACGGTGAGTTGTGCCGGTGCTTGTTCTCTCTTTCGTCTGCGGCTGCTGACTTTTGACCTCTGCAGATTTTGAGCAACGTTGGCCGGGCATATCAGGGCGTTTGTCATTCTACCATTATTTGCTTGTTCTTGGCTTGGGCGGACAATTTGTCTGGAGTCTGATCTGGCTGCCTATACACTGTAGTAGATGCTCAGGAAAGAGGCTTGTTCATGCTTGCTTGTTTTGGATATATCCTGTCATGTGACTTTTCGTTCTTTCCTCGCCTACGACTCAATAATAATGACCAAAAAACAGCCGCGGATCATTCACGATGTATCCAGGATCCTTCTTCTGTCGTCGGACCGATTTCTCTTCTCGACACGACTTCAGACTGCTTTCCGACGCTGAAAGCCGGGGCAAACCGTGTCCAGTCCTGTTGGCAGCAGCAAGCCTTCGGGTGAGTCCGTCGTGGAAGCGTCCGCTGCTCGTGTTCTGCAGCAGTCCGTGCATCTGTTGGCGAAAGACGGCGGTAGTTGTGGTCATCGAGGCAGACAGCGGGCCCTTGGCGGCGCGGAGCAGCGCGGCCAGAGTCGTCTGCAGTGCTGCCGGAGACGGCAGCCGCCGCTTTGCGATCCGGAAGCAGGACGACAGCGACATCGTTTCGGGAAGGAGACGCAGCCGGGCGGACCGGATCTCTTCGTTCGCGTCTGGCGAGCTGTCCTGGACATGGACACGGCCACGACTACCGTCTGGGCCGGCCGCTGTCGTGCTGGTCGGTGCCACGGGTTGCCGAAGCGCCTCGCCTCGGTGGTGCCGACACCGGCAGAGACGACACGACGGAGGCATCCTTTCGTCGGCCGGCCAGCCGCTCTGTCTGGTCTCAGTCGTGTTCGCAGCGGGTTTAGCTAGGCGGATCGGCGGCCTGGCGTCGGCAAACGGGTTCGTCTGCAGCAGCAGCTGCCGCAGATGCTGCTGCAGCGCGTTCTTTCGTGTAGCCATGAGTCGCTTGCGCGCCTCTTCCTGCTCGGCCATGCGCTCTACCAGCTGCCGGCGCAGACGCTCGCTGTGTGGCCGCATCCGCTCGGCACACAGCCGCTGCGACGACGCCCACCATCGCCACCTCTGCAGCTCGGCCATCGGGTCCACGGGGGCAGCAGCAGCAGCCGAAGCAGGCAGCTTCTGCTTCTGCTTGCGTGACGGCCGTCTGGCCGTGTCCAGGACCGTGAAACGTCGCGACGGCGGCGGCTTGGCCACGCTCCTCAGTCTCTGCTCCTGACAGCGAGACCACGTCCACGCTGGGGGGTCCGGACCCCGTTCTGTCGTCGGGGCTCTGTCGTCTGGGCGTTCTTGCTTCATCTCACCCTCAGATCGGTTCGGACTAGTCTTCTCGCAAGACTGGGCTGCAGGCTCGAGCAGGAGTGCATGCAGAGGACCGATCGCTTCTGCTATGCCCGGGCAGCACAGAAACCCGCGGGCAAACGTCGAGTGGAGCACGGCCTGAATCTCATTCCCTGACAAGGTCGAGACCCCACCGTCTTCAATGCTCTCCCGGGTACTCCTGATCTGGCGGGTCTGCTTTGTCAGGATGCAGCGACAGGCAAAGAGCTCCTGCACCACCTGGCGCGCAGCACTCTCCAGCGATGCTTCTCCGTCTCCTCTTGCCGTCGCCGTCGTCTCGATCGGGTCGCCCTTGCGTGCGGCGCAGAGAAGGCCGGCATATGCCTGGTATGCGCCGATGAGGCCCGGGACCATCTCGATCGTGTCACTCGACCATTTGCGGATTTGCAGCTTCCGAAAGAGCGAGCGCTGGCGGTCTGTCGGATCCAGCCGGCTGTCGGGTGTGCCCATCTTGGATGCTGTCGCGTCGTCCTGTCTATTTGAGCGTGTTTGTGTTTGTGTTTGAATCGACTCGGTGCGGTCTACAAGGTGTCCATGTAAGCTGGGCCGCAGTTCTCTTTAAGCCCGGCTTTCATGTCCTGCCTTCTTTGTGATATCCCCAACCAACATATCATCCCTCCCTGCTTTGTCCGCTCTGAAGTGACAAAGGAAGAACATCGCCGCTATCTTTGTGCGGCCTGCCCTTGCTCTGCTGTACCCCAAACGGTTAGGTGAATAGAATCTGACACGTCCATTTGGCTTTTGAGTTGCAGCTCTTGTGATCCGGACGTGCACTAGGACATGCACAAGTGCGTCAAGTTTTGGCAGGTGCAGGTGGGCTAAATGCAATCAACCCCATCAAAAACCGACCGGATGCTGCCGCAAGACTGACACTAACAACACGTTTTCTCCCTTTCGCACATGCTGGTGGGTGATGGGGCGGCTAAGCCTGCCGGTTTAGGAACACTATGGAGTATACCGCTCAGACAAGGCTGCCGACAAAATGCTTGCGAATCCACAGCCTCGCCGACAGCTTTGTCATATCAGACATTGTGGCCGCACATTCAGCAAGTCTGTGAGAATAAGCGTGGCTGCAAAAGTTTAAGAGGGGATAACTCGGATGGTATCAGGCTATCAAATAATACAAAAAAGTAAACGAAAAACGGGGTGCCACGTTTTGTTTCCGGGCTTCCGCCCAAAATGGTATATATGATGAAACAACATCCGCCTACCGTCTCCGCCTGGATTTACACGCAGACGCATGCACGCAGATGACCAACATTAATAAGACAAAAATAGAATGATCGACCAGCTGTTCAGTATCTAGACAGGCGATGCCCCCTTGCTCTCCTTGACACTGCCGGGATTGCTCGTATTGGACACAAACTCGCCGTGCAGCGCCTCGGGCGGCGTGCGGGCCAGCTCAACGTAGTCGTAGGCGAACTCGCCAAGCTGCGCATCGTCGAGGCCAAGCTCCTCCTCCTCGGCCGTCACGCGCAGGCTGAGGCCGGGCACGAGGTTCATCAGGAACAGGATGACGCAGGTCAGGACAAAGGAGTAGGAGAAGCCGGCAACGCAGTCGGCCAGCTGGTAGCCGAGCTGAACCCAGTGGTGGTTGAGCCAGCCGCCGTCAATCACGGTGGCACCGTCGAGGTGAGCAATGTAGTCGCTGTGAAATGTCAGTTTTCCGTCCAAATCAGGCAGCACAGCAGGAAAGCTGGATGGGAACATACGCAGCAAAGAAGGCCGTCAGGATATTGCCAGCAATACCGCCAACGGCATGCTCAGCAAAGATATCGAGTCCATCGTCAATGCCCAGGACAAACTTGAGCTTGGTGGCGAAGTTGCACACGATGGCGCCAACGATGCCGTAGATGACAGCAGACCATGCCGGAACGAAACCAGAGGCCGGGGTGATAGCAACCAGGCCGGCGATAGCGCCCGAGCAGAAGCCGACAGTCGACCACTTCTTCTCCAGGCGGTAGTCGAGCAGGCACCAAGTGATGCCAGCGACAGAGGCAGCCAGGTTGGTAACCAGGCAGGCCATAACGGCACGCAGGTTAGCGGCGAGCGCAGAGCCACCGTTGAAGCCGAACCAGCCGACCCAGAGGAAGACGGTTCCGAGAACAACGTGGGTGACGTTGTGGGGACGGTACGGCAGGCCGTGGGCCTTGTCGTAGCCAGTGCGCTTGCCGAGCATCAGAGAATAGGCCAGGGCAGCAGCGCCAGAGGAGATGTGCACGGGCGTGCCACCGGCGAAGTCGAGACCACCGAGCTTGTAGGACCAGCCACGCGGGTTCCAGGTCCAGTAGGCGATGGGATCGTAGACGATGGTGGACCAGACGAAGATGAAGACGATGCAGGGAAGCATGCGGCCGCGGTCAGCAGCAGCACCGATGGCGAGAGCAGGACTGGACGGACGACTGTTAGCTTTTGCCGACAAAGTCTGGAAGAAGATGCAGAGAGGAGGGAGAGACGTACGTGATGGCGGCGAACATGCCCTGGTAGAGGCAGAAAAGCAGGTCGGGGACCTTGGAGCCACCCACACTGGGCTGTGCAAGGGTCTTCATGAGGCCGAAGTTGGTCAGGTCGCCGATGTAGGCATCGCCGGTGTGGGAGAAGGTCAGGGAATAGCCCCAGAAGAACCATTGGAAAGTGACGACGGCTATACTCATCATGGAGAGCCAGATGAGTGACAGCGCCGACTTGCGGCGGGCAAGGCCGGAATAGAAGAAGCCCACACCCGGAATCATCAGCAAGACGAGAGCCGCGGATGTCATGATCCAGGCGAAATCGCCGCTCTAAATTGGAGACCGCAAATCAGTAAATGGCCGGCGATGAGCATTAGCAACAAGAACGAGGCCCAGCATACGGAGTAGTAGACATTGAGGTCAGACGTCAGTGAGTCACCGCCATTGCTGGCATGGCCAACCGTGCCGTTGTACACCTCGACCGGTCCGGACGACATGATTGCTGCCTTTCGAGGAGTTGCAGTGTGTGCAGAGTGTTGTCGAGAGAAGGATTGTGCCCGTTTCGGCGACAGGAAGGAATGGAGGCCGAGTGCAAGCCGGGAAAGAAAGGAGGGAGCTGGGGCTGGGTGAGGGGATCGACAAAGATCAACCGAGAGCCTGCTAAAACCAGAAGAAGAAAAAAGCAAAGGGATGGGGAGGGGTGGCTAATTAAAGGTATATATACAAACGTGCTGAGTACGAAATCGGCTCCGGGTTGAGACCCCAGAATGGCCTGCAAACCGCCTGTCTAACGCACCTGGTGGAGCAGCGAACAGGGGGGCAGGGGTGGCCGACAGGGTTAGTCGGGAAGAAAAAGAGCAGAAAAACAAGGGAAGAGGGCGTATGCCCCTTCAGGCTCCAGAGTTGCGGCAAGTCTCGTCACCATGCAACGGCCGCATCACCAGCCTGGAGAGGCCTGTAAGGACTAGTGGACTTGGCTTCCCTGCCAAGGCGCCAGTAGCTACAGCCAAGTGGGACCCGAAAGATAAGAGAGGCACAGCGAATGGGACCGCATGGATTCGATGCGGGACCCGGCTTTGAATTGCTGTTAGCCATTTCGCATTGTCTCTCTTGTCACCTTGGATGCGATGCTGAGTCTCGAATGAGTGAATCCCATCTTGCCGGCGGAAATGGCGTAGTGCCTAAGGGGCGAATCTGGCATACGACGTAAAGAAAGAAACGGAAGAAGAAAGAAGAAGGAGAGGACACAGCAAAAAGAGAAGGGCGACATTCGATCCTCAGTCGCTCGCGTTGTTGCCAAGATGCTGAGACGGATGAAAATCGGTTTGTTAGATGTTGATCGGCTACTAGGACGCTTCCATTGGCCTGTTCCCCTTACTTAAGCTGTGCAAAGCTACTTCCTTTTGCGACTGCAACACCCCCTTCCGCTTTCGACTGCTTTTGCGACATATGACGGAAGCCCAGTTTGCACTTTCAGCACGATGCCCAGCCAATGGATGCAGCTGTCCTCGGAAAGTGCAAAGGGGTGTTGGGCTTTGGGGCCGTGGGGGCGCAGGGGTCGCGCCTTCTTCCTTTGAGAGCGACTGCACTCGCAGTAGTACTCCTTACGAGCTATGCGAATTCGAACGACCAACGACAACAGAGCCGATTTCGCTGCGAAAAGGTGGCCTGCATTTTCATTTCTTATCGCGTTACGCGAGGCGTCTTCATGTGTTCCGCCCGGAGTACTCCGTACCTACCTACGTAAAATCCGCGCCGAGAGACCTACTACAATTGGCCTTGCAACATGGACTTTGTTGCGACCGTCAGCGCCCATCGGAGGTCATTTCTCTTATCTCTCGGCAAAGTGGATCCCAAATGGACACGCTGTACGGACGGAGAGTAGAGTGTAGACCTGCCATTCATTCAATAGGCAAAGGTCGGCACACGGACTGCAGTCACAAGCCCAGCTGGAGTTTTTCACTTGAAGTGCGTGGCACCCCACACCGGACTGCGGATATGTACGTCGCATGCACACATCGCTTGCACCTATTCTCAGACACAGAATGAAACCTGCAACAGAAGCTCAGCCGCGAAATGTGCGGAGTGCAAATCGTCCGACTGAAAGGCCTGGCACGCGTCGCGAAGCTCCGTACGGAGTGTGCACCGCTGGCGATGAGAGCACGGAATGACATTATGTTTTGTCCTTATCTCTGGTACGCCTTTCCTGAGCGTCATTTATTTGCCTCATCAACCTTTCCGCAACCGGCTAAGCTGCCTTCCAGAAAGCTTCTGTGCAGCAAATCCGCAGCTGAAAAACTGGGGCATAATTGCTTCTGGCTGCCCTTAATGCGCCGATCTCTTTTTTTCATGCATATGTTAGAAGACATCTAGCCAGTAAAGATGTCCGGCTGGCGAGGACTGCGACGTATTTCGCGTACCCTCGCTACTCTGCACGAGATGCAGATGGCTGCAGCCTGTAAGTAACGTGCTGCGTACAAAGTATCTTTGCAAGGTCGGAGGGCCGCTAGCTCAGCCGTTCAGGCTCACCCAAGGTTTGCATCCTGTTGATCTTGGGATCCCCCCTTCCGCTGCCAGACACTGTTTGGCACTGCTGCATACTGACTGACCTAGCGTCGTCTCTTCGGGATCGCCGTTGAAGCTACCTCTCCACCCCGGCTTCCGCCGTTCGTTATGTCACTTTTCGCTGAAGCCAACAACCTTTTCGGCTTATCCACTCCACCGTCTTTCCTATTCAGGAGACCAGCAATGAGCTACCTTCAATATGAAGCAATCACGCATGACTGAATTCTAGTACGACAATGCGCGTATACTCGTCCATGATATGAAGAAAATTCCATTAGCTACTCATTTTTCCAGCGGATGCATGCAACCCGAGTTCCGACTGACACGTCTCACGCACCAGATGGGCGAAGGCGTCTCCGGTTCCTGAAAAGCTTTTCTGCCCCCATGCCGCCAATTGTCATTTCGAAATCTGCGGGGCTCAGTTTCGACCAGGTCTCATGTGCACTCTGCTATTTCCGGCCGTGCAAGTGCTCAGATTTGCCAAGACGCCTCTCACGTTTTCGCTTCTCTGTTCATCCTCCACACAGCCGCGTCTTCCCACAAGCCTGGCTAACCAACCGGAGCATGCGTTGATAAGATGTCTTCTTTTGAAGACAAAATCGCGCAAAGAGTATTGACCCTTCCCCTCCATCTTCCAGAGCTGAAACCATTGTTTCTTTTTTCCATCATAGCCCGGACTTCCCGGCATGTGTATCAGCTCCTGGTGCAGCTGAGATATTCATGATCATGTCTTGAAGTGCCGCAACATCAGGGCTGACGTTGAACGAGCTGCGTGACTGCTGACTATGTGGTCAAGTCAAAGGAGCGTTCTGGGCGAACGGATCAAAATGCGGAAGAAAACACTACTCCGTAGGCGGATCTTTACGGGTGCAATATGACTCCCGCCTCAAACGAAGTGTATCCGTTTTATATAGTAATCATTTGTGAGAGGGCCTGTTGCTGAGCTTTGTAGCAAATCTCACTTACACATCTCTGACAAATTTCAGCCTCGGTTCTCGCTATGGTGACAGTATCACGTGTAGCTTTCACGTGATTAGTCTAGGCTTGGCGATTACATAGTAGTTGGAGCTAAGGCCCATAACACTGTGCTGGGAATGAGAGTAGCGCGCTCCCCTGGAACTACGATTACATAGCATAATATCTGCGTGCTTGTTGACTCTTCCATGCCACCTCTCTTCCGACATTTGCCCTGAACTCGTTTCCATGACGTTTTCCAGGGCCGCACACGCGCACACAAACAGCGAGGCTTTCCAGGCACTGTGACGACACGATGGAGCCATCAGCCGAGGGATTGCAGCTGACAGAGACGAATCTGAAGAAGCTGCAGCCGTCGCTCATCCGGCCGATGTCGCCCATGTCCATATCGTCGGGCGAAGATGAAGTGGTGGCCGATCTGGCGAAGCCGGAGCGCATTGCGCGACTGAAGTCGTGGGTATACAATGCCATGCAGACGTTGGTGGGCCTGGGAAGCGAAGGGCGGGGCGTTGTGGAGGCAGACGAGCTATATGTGGCTGGGCCGGGCGACGTGCGACTGCGAGGGGCGGACTCGAAGACGGCCGGGACGCGAAAGCGGATGTGTCCAGCCGAGGACGGCGAAGTCGATGCAGGCGCAGACATGGTACAACCAGACCTCAGCGACGCGGAGTACTGGGAGACGAAGCTGCGGTACCTCGAGGCCCGGTGCCAGCCGCTGTGCCAAGAGCGGAGGAAGCGGCGACGATTGGAGCCGGCAGCAGAAGAGCAGGAAAAGAAAACAGCAGCAGTAGCAGCCGCAGCAGAAGAGGCAGAGGGAGCGCGGGCAGAGTGTTTGCGTATCGAAGAGAGCAGGCTGCTGTGGCGAGACAAGCAAGACGCCATCGACGTCTGGATCCGAGGTCTTCCACGTGAGTTTGCAGACGCCAGGGTTTTCTTCTTCGACTTTCTTTTCATCTTCTAACGGTGCCGCAGCCATCGAACGGCCAAGACAGTTCAGTCCGATTCCCGACGACAGCCACTCTTCCCCGACCAGCCGCTCGTCCTACGACAGCAGCCACAGCAAGGACACCAACAAGCCCCCGTCATCTGACTCGTCCATCATCGAGATCACGTCGACGCAGTTCTCACATGCGGTCGGGGGGCGGCAGCGGGCACCAGATGCACCAGATGCATCCATGACGGCCGTCGCGGGAACAGCGACACAGAACAACAACACACAAGAGAGGGCTGTGGCTTTGGGTACTACGACGCTGTGGAAGAAGGAAGACGGGGAATATAGAGGGGTGACACACCTCACGTCGCCGCCCGAGTCGCAGGGGGCCACAAACACGTTGGACAAGGCGTTTAAGGGCTTGGGCAAGCGACGGCGATCGGAGGGGCAAGTGGCGCAATGGGGAGGATGAGAGCGATGGATGCGATGGACGCGATGCAACGGTGCGGAAGCGGGCGGAATTGTTCTGGCCAGACGACGGCAAAAGTCATACGAGACTGTGCAGCGGAAATGACACTCTGAGGAGTACGATAATTGATTAATCTCGAACAGACAGGTTGCGTGTTTTGAATGGATGACGGCAGGGGCGCTTGTAAAGGATGCAGAGCTGCTTGTGGTTCCCAGTAAGGTGATCAATCATCGCTGTGGTAAGTCCGTGCTCAGGGCAAGCCCCCGCAACGTACCCCAGACGGCAGGAGCGGCCAACAGCACCACCCCATCGAAGAAGAGGGGAGAGCCGAGAAAGGAAAGCACGAGCAGCCGAGCCGAAATCTGTTGTGTCTACACTTCGCGCGCAAGAGACCAGCGAACGCACATGAGCAGAATGGCAGACACGACGACCGACACAGAGACGCCGAGGGCGATCATTGTCGGGGCCGGGCTGGCGGGCCTGGTGGCGGCATATGAGCTGACGCAGCGAGGCGTGTCGGTGGTGATGGTGGAGCAGGAGACGCGGGCCAACCTGGGCGGCCAGGCCTTTTTCTCGCTGGGCGGGCTCTTCTGCGTCGACTCGTCCGAGCAGCGACGCTGGGGCATCAAGGACTCACGGGCGCTGGCACTGGGCGACTGGCTGGGGACGGCGCAGTTCGACCGGCTGGACGGCGACGACCGATGGCCGCGGCAGTGGGCGGAAGCGTTTGTGGACTTTGCGACCGGCGAGCTGGAGCAGTACGTCAAGCGGCTGGGACTGCGGTTCCTGTCGGTAGGCTGGGCAGAACGTGGCGACGGCACGGCGACAGGACACGGCAACTCGGTGCCGCGCTTCCACCTGACCTGGGGCACAGGGCCAGAGGTGGTGCGGATCTTTGCCGAGCCGGTAGAAGCGGCCGAGAAGCGCGGACTGGTGACGTTCCGACACCGTCACATGGTGGACCGGCTGCTGGTGGACGAGACGACAGGACGGGCAGTGGGCGTGACCGGACGGGTGCTGGCAGCAGACGAAGCAGTGCCGCGCGGCCAGCCGACATCGCGCGTCGTGGTCGATACGTTTGAGATCCGGGGCGCAGCCGTGCTGGTGGCAGCCGGCGGTATCGGCGGCAACGTCGAGATGGTGCGACAGGCTTGGCCGGTGGCACGGCTGGGACCACGAGTGCCACAGCGCTTTGTCGTCGGAGTGCCGGCTCACGTGGACGGCCGCATGATGGGCATCGCCGAGCAGGCCGGAGCCCACACGGTCAACCGCGACCGCATGTGGCACTACACCGAGGGTCTGCAGAACTGGGACCCCATATGGTCCAACCATGGGATCCGCGTGCTGCCAGGCCCGTCGTCGCTCTGGCTCGATGCCACCGGCAAACGGCTGCCGCCCAGCCTCTTTCCCGGCTCCGACACGCTCGCAACGTTGCGCCACATCTGCGCCACAGGCCATGACTACAGCTGGTTTGTGCTCGACCGTGCCATCGTCGCCCGCGAGTTTGCCCTCTCTGGCTCCGAGCAGAACCCTGACATCACCGACAAGAGCTACTGGCAGGCCCTGCTGCAGCGCGTCCTCAGCCGTCGCGGCACCGTGCCCGTCCAGCAGTTTTGTGCCCATGGCGCCGACTTTGTCGTGCGCGACTCGCTCGAGGACCTCGTCGACGGCATGAACGAGCTCGCCCGTACGATCGACGGCCCGCTGCTCGACCATGCTGCCGTCCGTGCTGTCGTCGAGGCTCGCGACGCCCAGCTTGACAACCCCTACAGCAAGGATGCCCAGGCCATGCTCGTGCGCAACGCTCGCCTCTACTGGTACGATCGGCTGACCCGCGTCGCTGCTCCCCATCGTCTGCTGGACCCGCGCCATGGTCCCTTGATTGCCGTGCGCATGAACCTGCTCACCCGCAAGACTCTTGGCGGCATCGAGACCGACCTGCAGTCGCGCGTCCAGCGTCCCGACCACTCCGTCTTCCCCGGCCTCTATGCTGCTGGCGAGATCGCTGGCTTTGGTGGTGGTGGCGTCCACGGCTATGCCGCCCTCGAGGGCACCTTTCTGGGCGGCTGCATCTTTTCCGGACGTGCGGCTGGCCGTGCTATGGCCGACGAGATCCTGGGGAGCGTGCACGAGGGATAGGCTGGTTTTTTTTGGATAGGCTGTTTTTCTGAATTGGAAATCTGAACGCATTTTGCTACAAAGTACAGAGTACAGAGTACCAGCGTGCTACTGTTGCGCAGCCCAGCTCGCCTCAATTGCTTGCACTGCCGCCAGCACGCCGGCGCCGACCTGGCTCCCGAGCACCGTCTTTTCGTGTCCGTCGAGCGGCCGGAGGACGTAGTCCGAGACGGATGACCGGTCGCGCGTGTCTGGCCGCCCGATCCCGACTGACAGCTTGGCCCACCGCGCCGCCGGATGGACTGACCGCCGCAGGCTCGCGTTGATACTCTTGAGCCCGTTGTGGCCCCGGTGGCTGCGCTCCCACGGCCGGATCTTGACCACGCCGAGCGCCTCTTCGAGGTCGTCATGCAAGACGATGAGCCCAGCCCCGGTCGCGTCACTGCTGCCGCGCAGCACCTCCTCCCATGCTCGCGCCACCCACGGCCCCGACACGTTCATCAGCGTCGGGCTCTGCGCCAACGTGTAGCGGCTGGCCGCCGAGACCGGAGAGACCTGGGCGGCCTGCCGGCCAATACGGCGCGACGCAAACGGCGGAAGCTGCAGCTCGCGTCGCAGCGCCTCCAGCGCCAGGTGGCCGGCCGAGTGGAGCGTGTTCCGGTAAGGCGCCGGGTTGCCCAAGCTCACGACGAGCACGCGGTCTATGGCGGCCATGTAGTTTGGATTCGTTTTGTGTCTTTTTTTTTTTTTTTTCCGCCTATTCGTACTCCGTATTCCGTACAAAAGCATACTCCACTCCCATGACTAAGAAATACACTGTGGCGCAGCTCCACGCGCTGACGTCGCTCCCCCACCGAAAGAATGCACAGCCACAGGTCCCGGCATCATCAGCTTCCCATCTACTCCGTAGAGCCAAAACAAATCTCCGAGGCGCTCTCCTCTCTCTCATGAACGCGCACGCCCTCATAACTGTCTGAACAAACGCCCGCAACGCCCACAACGCCCGCCACGCATCTCGCTCCCGTCACTGTTCTACCTCGCAACGCTAGCTGTCTCCGGACCTCCCTGAAGAGGCCTTCTTTATCGCCACCCCCCGCTGCGTTCTTACGAGCACCCGCTCCCTCCGGTCGGCCGCTCCCCGGTCTTGCCCGCCATGTCTTGGGCCGGTATGGACAATGGACGACAGGACCCTTCGGCCGATGTCTGGGCCGCTCGTGCTGTCCTCCCGCTAACGTGGACCTCGTGCAGGATTCAAGAAGAATGTCAACCGCGCGACGACGCAGGTGATGATGAAGACGGGCCATGTGGAGAAGACCAACGACCGCGACTACGAGGTCGAAGAGAGGTAGGCCCAGCCCGGACCGGATTCCCGGTCACCCCGACGTGCGCCAGACAGGACAGCTGACCGTGGCGGCACGACCACACGCAGGCGCTTCCGCACGATGGAGGCCGCCGCCAACCGGCTGCAGAAGGAGGCCAAGGGATACCTCGACTCTCTGCGAGGTAAGGCAGACCGATAGCAGGCATCCGCACCAGAGCAGCCCGGGCTACCTGACTAACCGGTTCGCAGCCATGACGGCTTCGCAGATGCGCATCGCCGAGACCATCGACGCCTTTTACGGAGATGCTGGGGCCAAGGACGGCGTCAGTCGGAGCTACAAACAGGCTGTCGAAGACCTGGACTCCGAAACTATCAAGGCTCTGGATGGGCCGTATCGGTGCGCACGCTTCTCTCCAGCCGTCTTGCTCGTCACTGACACCCCCCTTTCCCCCAGAGCGACTGTGTTTGACCCCATCTCCCGCTTCTGCAACTACTTTCCCGACGTCAACGAATGTAAGTCCTGGCGGCCTTCTCGCCCACATCTCGACACAAAACACTGACCCCCAAGACAGGCATCAAGAAGCGCAGCCACAAGCTGCTCGACTATGACGCGCTGCGGGCCAAGGTCAAGAAGCTGGCCGAGAAGCCGGACAAGGACGTGACCAAGCTGCCGCGTGCTGAGAAGGAAATGGAGTTTGCCAAGCAGGCCTACGAGACGCTCAACGAACAGCTCTCGACCGAGGTGCCCCAGCTGATCGAGCTGCGCGTCCCCTATCTCGACCCTAGCTTCGAGGCCCTCGTCAAGATTCAGCTGCGCTTCTGCGCCGAGGCCTACAGCCGCATGGCCCAGGTCCAGCAGTACCTTGACGCCGACACCCGCGATCAGTACGCCAACGGCGAGCTCGACACCCGTGTTGAGCAGGTCCTGCAGGAGATTCGCGAGCTCAGCATCAGCGGCACCGTATGATCCCGTCCGGCTGGCTGTATGGCGAGAGGGGTGAAGCGTAATACAAAACAAATATCATGGGCAGCCATGCCAGCAGGCGGCTGTGGGTAACGGGTGGACACTCGGCGTACAGGGGGCTGTTTTGCAACAACGACGGCAGAGGCCAGCAGGCGAGCGCCTGCTCTGTCCGACCAAGATTTGGGCCATGTTTCGTTTCTGTTCCGTTATCCTATTAAGCGAAGAATACACTACTACATCACATTGAACCTATTTCAGATCTCCTTGACAAAGCCAACCTCAACCAGCCGGTCTACATTAATGTCCAGGTCGGCCAGCTTGGTGCGCGAGTTCTCCCGGATCCACAGATATAGCTCGAGCAGCATGTTGCGTGTGCACCGCTTCAAACCCCAGCGGGCCTTTCCGGCCACCGGCTTCCGAACACGCAGCACCTCCTTGCCGAAGATGTAGACGACCTGGGACAGGGCGGCCTCGTGCAGGGTCTCCAGCTCTTGCGAGACGGCGTTGTCGTCGGCAGGCGAAGCTGCGAGATCGAGGTCGGACATGGTGGCCATGGTGATGTCAACAGTCGCGGGCGACGGGCCGTTGTGGCGGATGATGCGCGACACGGCCTTTTCGATCTGCACGACCAGGTCGTGAGCCATGTCGGGATGCAGGACATCGTCAGTGTAGCCGTGGCGCAGAATGACAGAGTAGCAGTTGGGCAGCACCGCGCGGCTCTGCGCGTTGGAGCCCACGCGCATGACCACGTAGCGCTCCGACAGCGGGACGCTGGCAACGGGCAGCGGACGCATGTGGAAGAAAATAACGACGGCCGGCCGCGAAGCAAACTTGCGCACAAAGTGGGCAAATGCCGGCGGCAGAACAGAGGCGCCATCGCCCGGCTTGTCGAAGAAGATGCCGAGTCCCGGCACTGTGGCCAGAGGCGTGTGGCCAAACTCGCTTGCCAGCCGCAGTGTCCCGTCTGGATTCCGGCTGTTCGGCGTGTTGGTCAAAAGGGCTGTGGGTGGCAGCCGGTCTGTAGCCTCGGCCGTCCATTGGGCCTCCTTGCCGAAGCGCCAGAGGATGAAGATAGAGCTCAGGATGGCCGACAGCACAATGGTGAACCAAGCTCCCCGCGGCACCTTGGTCAGGACCGACGACATGTACGCACCATCGAGGGACACAAAGGCGAGGAAGATGGGCACCACCACGTAGACCGGCAGGCGCCAGACGATGAGTGCCACGAGTGTGACCATGCAGGTGGTCAGAAAGGTCACCCCAATCACACAGACACCGTAGGCATTGCCGAGAGAGGTAGTCTAGATGTCACGATTAGCCGGGGCAGTCGGTCGGACTGGGTGCAGACCACTTACGTTGTTGTAGACGGCCGCGACGATGACAGTACCAATCAACATCAGCCAGTTGGCCATGGGCACGTAGACCTGCTCGTGAAACTTTTTGCTCGTGTGCACCACCTTGATGTGCGGGAAGTAGGACAGTCGCATGACCTGGATCAGGAGCTGGAACGTGCTGGTGATCATGGCCTGGGATGCAACGATGGCAGCGAGGATAGAGATGACGAGACTGTCATGTTAGGGGGAGAGAAAAGGAGAAGAGAAAAGGAAGAGAAAAGGAAAAGACATACGCAAAGTAGAACGAGCCAGGTGGCACGGTGTAGAAAAACGGGTTCTTGTAGGCGACCTGAGCCGTGTCAGCCGAGATGTAGGCTGCCTGGCCGATGTAAGCCAGCAGCAGACAGGGATAGACCAGGCAGAGCCACGAGATCTGGATGGCACGCTTGCTGAAGGCGCCCAGGTCGGCAAACAGGGCCTCGACGCCGGTGAAGGCCAGCAGGAGGCCACCGAGGCTGCGCCAGCCGCGCTCGCCGTTGCGGATGAGGTACTCAAAGGCAAAATACGGGCTGAAGGCCTTGAGCACGGAGTGGTCGTGTCGGGCCAGGTTGTAGATGCCGGCACAGGCGTTGAAGATCAGCCAGACGGTGACGATGGGGGCAAAGGCGGTGCCGAGCTTGGCGGTGCCGAACGGTTGGAGGGCGAAGAGGATGACGAGGATGGCACAGGTGACACCGACGATGGTGGATGTGCCCAGATCCGGACGAACAACCAGGATGCCCTGGATGGCACCCAGAACCGATTGAGCCGGTGTCAGGACGCCGTCGGCCATGACCATGGACACGCCCAGGACGCCGGCAATCTTGAGGACCGACTGGATCGCCGGCGACTTCTCGATCACGCTGCGGATGGTGCGGCCAGCCGGCGGCAGCTCGTTGGTCAGATACCGCTCCATCCGCACGCTGTCGCTGCCGGCCGGTCCATAGCTGGTGATGCGCGTGTAACGGGCCAGCAGCGAGTACAGGGCAAATGTGCCGCCCTGGCCGTCGTCGTCGGCCGACAGCACGATGAAGGCATACTTGACCGTCACGATGAGTGTCAACGACCAGATGATGATCGAGAGCGCGCCCACGAGGTCGTCCCAGGACGGATACTCGGAAAAGGTGGAGGAGAAGACGTAGAGAGGAGACTTGCGGAGAAAAAGACCAGTTAGACGTGGGACAGAGTCGATCAGATCAGAATGACCAGAGACAGACTCACCGTGCCAATGTCGCCGTAGATGATGCCCGTCGACTGGAAGGCCAGCCAGGCCAGTGTCATACCGCTGTAAGTCTGCTCATCACCGAATCAGCCGGATTCCCGTTCTTGGGCTATGCCAGCCCACGCCAATCGCCCTCCAGCACCCGCACATCCTCGTGCTGGTGCTGTGTGTTTTTCTGATTCTTCTCCCCATGCACCCATCTCCGGGTAGGCTCAAGCCTCGATCCATACTTGCTTGCGGTTGCTGCCCATGTCCTGTTGGGCAATGTTGGCAGCCCATTCCTCGTCGTTGATGTCGTGGCCACTGGGCGCCATGCTGGGCGCCTTTTCCGACCCAAACACGGCAGCATCTACTCTCTTCTGGTCCGGGTCCTGACGAGCAGGGTGGACGGCATCGTCAAAGGCAATCTGCCTGGATGCGGAATCTGGCATGGTGGCAGCAGACGGACGATCTGTTCGATGAGATGTGGCACGAAAACGAAACGGGATGGGCAATCGATGCAGCCGGGAAAAAGAGAGACGGTGAAGGAATAGATGGAAGGTGCAGATGGGATCTACAGAATTCGGCAGGTACGATGGCCCTTTTTATACGAGCAATGAATGGATCCTGCCAGCTCTGACATGTGCTCGAGCAGGTCGGCCAGGAAAATACAAGAGATACCATTAAACCAAGTATGCGGGCTAGCCGCTCACAGTGATTTGCGAGCCGGCTGGCATGCGTAGGCCAAAGTGAGGGTTGAGAAAAAAGGGGCCTGGCCGGTACATGGCGACACGGCCTCGAGCTCTGCAAAAGGCAAGTCACCAGCGGATGCATGCTAGTACTATTGCCCGTTTGGGCGAGTGACACGAAGCGATGTGGTTATGAAATGGTCATTCTTGCCATTGGCTAGAGATAAAACAGGAAAATACATACTGTAGAGCGCGGCAATGTGAGGATGAGCAGGCGAGGTCGGTAGAAAAAAGGACTTTGTGCACGTCATTGGCCCAAAGGTCTAGGCAGAAAGTCATGTGGAAATATCGGGGCTAGGCAAAGTAAGCTTTTGTTAGTCCCAAAGAAGTAAGGTTTGGAGATGCAGGCTCAGCCACAACGGGAAGCAGCGATATCTTTTCCACATCTGTTCTGCACGGGCATACCCACTGTTTCATGTCATCTGGACCAATCAGAGACAGCTTCCTGCCTGGGCTGGTCCGTCCTGTATGCGCCATTTTCATTCCTACTCCATCTGCCGTGCTCGACAGATCCTACTATGTTCGGAGTGCGAAAACTGGGCCTCAGAAGCGAAGCCTGAGTCTCGGTCGATTCTGGCGGTTGGCGCTGTTTGCAACTTTTTTTAATTTTTAATTTTCTTTCCATCCAAGCTTGGTTGACAAAGGACAGGAAATTAGCCAGGACTCAATGCGGCAGGCAGATCTCTGCAGCTTGGCCAGGTGTACTATGTGTCTTGCTTATACGTCTAGACGAGACTCAGATATCCCTCAAGCTCTCAATTCCGCGGGCTTTCCTCCGTGGCCAGGCCAATCGATTTGAAACCCTTAGCCGTGACGGGGCAGTTGCACGTGGCTTTTAGTACGGTCTCTGTACGAATATGGGCGCGATTAACTGGCTATAATTTGAATCTGTGTGGAGAGGAAATTCGTTGTGCGTGTTCATAACCCATGGATGTTCATTCACCAGCTCGCGTATTGGTGGTGTCTAGTTTCGTAATATAATAAAAGCGGACATCAGAAATGGATTTGATAAGTCTGGCAAAGTAAACTTGTTTCTTTCTTCTTGTCCTTTTACATGTTCCTTTCTCCATTTTCTTTCGACGTTTCTTTTCTTTTTCTCTCTTCTCTTTTCCCATTTTTCAAATAACATACTCCTTTGCTCTTCCTGTCTTTCATTTTACCTCTCCTCTCCTCTCCTCTCTCCTCTTCTCTCCAGACAAGCGATACATGGTCGACGATGCCGTGTGTCGCACGTAGCTGCAGAGCGAGAAGCGGCGGTCGGCAAAGGCGTCGGCCAGCAGGCGAGCGGGGTCGGGCGGAAGTCCGCTGACGAGGCCGCGTCCATCATCGACGGAAAGCAAGACTGCGGCAGGCCCTCAACCTGTACAGACGCCGCAAAGTCGGCCATTGCCCGCCGCATCAGCCGATTGTCGCCAGACAGCAGGTAGTGGAAGAGCCCGACCGAGCGCGAGTCGCCGGCGTACTGCAGCTGCTCGTAGAACGGGCAATTCGAGTACCCATCAAGTCCTAGCTTGCCTGCACCTCCAGCGGGTAATTTGTCTGCACGGCTGCAAGCGACTGCAGCGTCACGGCGCCTGGCTCATCCACGCAGACCTGCAGCCGCAGCAGGCGAAACGTGCGGAACCAGAATGGCTCGTAGCACATCGTCGTCCTGGCTACCACATCAAGCCGGACCTCATCGTGTGGCCCGATCAGCCGACCGTGCTCGGCGTCCAGCCGGTTGCCCTTGACCCGGAAGAAGGGGTAGTCGCGCGGCTCCTGCTCGTAGCCCTCCGAGTACGTCACCTTGAGCATGACTGCTGTCGTCCACTTGTGCTGACTCCCGGTCCTCAATGCTCCGAGATTAAAGGCTGGCTTGGCTGACTAGCATCGGTCATCTGCTCTGAGCCAATCCTGTCCGCGACTTCATATGCACCCCGTATATGCTAGTCTGCTGCGATCTTCCTCCCCGCTTTCTCCCCGCAGCTAAACCTGGGGTAATATTGAATCCTACGGGGATGCTCGGGAGAACTCCTGGCGTTTGCTATCAGGAGTCTTGTCTGTGGCAAATGGAGCTGCTTGTAGCCAGATAGAAACCCGCCCATCTAGTTGAAATCTAGAAGTCGTTTACCTACGGGCGAGGATAGTTGCATATAATATCAATACCGCCCCCTTTTTGTACCATTCAGACTAGCATGCAGTATATCTCCAGCCATGGAGAAGACTAAGACAGATATTGAAATGGTCGAGGACCGCGGCGATGAACCGAAACCCAACGCCACTGCCGGCAAGCTGATGCGCTCACAGGTCGATGATTTTGGCATCTGGAAAACCGTGCGCCTCTTCCAGCGCGTCGGTTGCATCGCCATGGCCGCTGCCTTCTGTGCTTCCCCGGACGGCTACCGTATGTGATGAGCGCGGTCTTTCTCAGCAGGGACCATCTAATGCCTTCTCTCTCCTCTTTCAGAAATCAACCTCAATGCCGACATCGTGTCTAGCAAAGGCCTCATTCGCCAGATGGCCAAGCCTGGCACGACCATCATCGACGGAAGATACGTCTCGACCTGGGGCAGATCGTAAGTAGTGTGGCTTTTGTTAGCTGCCAGAAAGCTGCCGATTGCTGATCCCTCTCACCTTCCTGCAGCTACTCCAGTTTGTGACAGAGAAGTATGGCCGCAAGCCCGCACTCCTGACCATTTGGGCCATCCTAACAGGGGTGAGGTTCGCACCCTGACTATATCACATGGGCACGCACTCACGCACATCTCAGAGCGTCTTCACCGAGACCTTTTCCACCTGTTGGGACCACTGGCTCGTAGCTAAGCTGCTCTCGGGCCTGGGCGTCGGAATGCTGCTGTCTACCATACCGCTGTACCTGTCGGAGATCACCCCGACGAACCTGCGTGGCTTCTACATTAACGCATACACTTTGTAGGTCGTCCTTCTCGGTCTGTCTGCAGCTGGTTTATCATTGGTCAGCTCTTTGCCTCGGTGGCCTTGAATAGAGTCAACGCTGTTGACCTCCATAATTTTAAGACGCCCATCTACACACAGGTGAGACCGAACATGAAAAAAGAAAGAAAAAAACATAACGACACTGCTCACACTCTACAGTGGACCATGATTGGCATCATCGTTGCCATCTTTGCCTACCTTCCCGAGTCGCCCTGATGGCTCGTCAACCAGGGCAGGATGGACCAGGCAGCCAAAACGCTGAGGTTCTGCCATGGTGACGTCCCGGGCTTTGATATTGACGAACAGCTGGTGTGTCTCTTTCTCCGGTCCTCCGGCTCCTTCTGCGCTAACCCCCTCGTGCCCCTCCACAGGAAGTGATGAGCGCCACCGTAGCCAGCGAGCGAGAGGCGGCCGAGGCCAACAAGGAGCTGGGCGAATGGGCCGTGTTCCAGGGCCGCAATCGGATCCGTTTCGTCATCGCCGGCTGGCCCAAAGTGGCGCAACAGTTTGTCGGCCTAAGCTTCCTGCAGTCCAAGATGCCGGCTTCGCCAACCTCTTCATGGTCACGGTCATCCTAGCGTGTGTGCAGTTGCTGTCCATGATCATTACCGCCTCGGCCATTGACCGTCCGGGCCGTCGTCCGCTGACCGTGTATCCTTACGTTTTGACCGTGCTGTCGGTCCTAGCTCTCGGCATCGCTGGCTGCTATGACTACACCACCAAGGCACTCAATCTCCTTTGCTCTGTTCAGATCTTCTTCGCCTGCCTCGCTACCTTCTCTACCACCGGTGCATCGGCTATTGGCTATTGGCTATGCCTATGCAGCCGAGATCCCCCAACAGCGACTGCGCGCCCGGACGACTGCCTGGTCGCTCGCGGCGTCCAGCATGGTGGCCACCATGTCCAGTTTCTGCTCGCCGCTGATGATTCATGGCACCGCCATTTGGGGCGTCAAGACAGGGTTCTTGTGCGTTGGCGATCACTGACTTGGCCATTATATTGCTCTTGCTGACATATTGCTGTTAGCTTTGCCGGCTCCGGTTCTGTGGCTACGTTGATTGCCTGGTTCATTCTGCCCGAGGTGTCGCAGCGCACACCGGCCGAGATTGACGAGCTGTGCGCCAAGTCCTCCTACACGTCTGTATCTTTGCGTGATTGCTTGCCTGCTGACTCAGCTCATCACGGGTTCGATAAATACGTGCCTCTGCGCAAGTTTGACAAGTGCAGATGCGCGCCGACGAGGTGTATGAGAAACGTGGGGCAGTGGTTTAGGCGCACGGCAGAAGTGCGATACAGAAGAAGATTGCGCTGAGAATGCGCTTCAATTTGTGCAGTGTCGACATGGTTAGCCAAATTTGATGTCATCGCCAGAAGAAGTCTGTACGGAGTACGTCGTAGCAGGAATACATGCTGACCAACCAGCGCAGCATCGGCTAGCGGTACGTCGGTTGCAGCTTCCTGCCGACGCCAGGAACACAATGGTCGTGGCTTGCCAGATTAGGAGTCGGTTGGCGTCTTAACCCCACCGGCTGACGTGATGGGGCCGCCGCTATTGATTAGCAATGCCGCACTCCGTATCTCGGATTTAGCTTCAAGCTATTCCGTATCGTCTCTCGATATCATCCACCACCGCCCATCGCATCGCTGCTCGACGACTTGCCCGCCATGGCTTCCGCGAACGACACCCTTGCTTCCATGCGCATACGCGCCTCTACCTCGCTCGATATTCATATATCGCTCAGCCAGGAGCTCGGCAGTGCCAGCCGTAGCGGCAACAGCAGCAGCAGCAGAAACCAGCGTGCGACTGCTGCCATGGGCACCATGACCGTCACGCCTAACAAGAGCCTTAAGGGCCATGTGCTTCTCATCACAGCCCCCTGGGAGCCTTCAAAGGCGTGGATCGACCAGGTGCACGGCCGCCACCCGGGTCTTCGCGTGATCTTCCGCAAGCTGAGCTTTGGCGAGACGCTTGAGCGGCAGTCATTGCCAGACGAGGACTGGACAGCCGTGACGATCCTGCTGACCGGCGGGTTCGGACTGCCACTTCCCGAGCAGATGCCGAAGCTGCAGTATGTGCAGCTGATCAGCGCAGGCGCCAACATGGTCCTCAAGCAGCCACTGTTCGCCGATACCGACATAGTATTCGCCACCGCCAACGGCGTCCACGGGTGAGCATTCGGGAAGCAGAGACCAGTGTGAGGGCTGCCTACAGAGTAGCTGACTGGTACAGGCCCCAGATTTCAGAGTGGATCATCGCCACGTACCTGGCCTTGAGCCACGAGAGCATGTACCCCATCCGGCCATGTCGAACGTGTTTGCGGGCGGCATTGGCTGACCGATAACCCATAGTTCCTTCGTATCTAGAGCACCAGCGTGCCGGCAAATGGCAGCGCACGACAAGTGCTATAGAAGACTCAGTGGGCCTGCGAATGTAGGTGCACTATCCCCCCGCTATCTACTCCGGATAGCTTCTGTTGTTGGTTTCCATCTACCTCCCTAAACTCACCTTCATAGCGGCATCCTGGGATACGGTAGCATCGGTCGGCAGACGGCCCGCGTGGCCAAGGCGCTCGCCTTTGAGGTTTATGCGTACACGCTGCATCCGCGCGATACGCCCGAGTCGCGTCGCGACAACGGCTATGCGCCTCCGGGCACGGGCGACCCCGAGGGCGTCTTCCCAACACGCTGGTTCTCGGGTGGATCGCCCGAGGACCGGCATGCGTTCCTGAGCTCCGGGCTGGATCTGCTGGTGGTGGCCACGCCGCTCACCGCCGACACCACGCACCTACTGGGCGCCGAGGAGCTGCGGCTGCTGGGTCGCCGCCGTGCCGACGGATCCTGGCGCCCCGGATTCCTTAGCAACATTGCGCGGGGACCTATCGTCGACACGGACGCGCTCATCACGGCGCTCGACACGGGTGTGCTGCGCGGCGCGGCCATTGACGTCACCGATCCCGAACCGCTGCCCGACGGCCACCCGCTCTGGAAGGCCAAGAACCTCATCATCACGCCTCATGTCAGCGGCATCTCTACGAGCTACATGGACCGCGTGCTGGACATCCTGTCCGGCAACCTGGACCGGTTCAGCGAGGGCCGGCCGCTGGCCAACAGCGTCAACCGCAGGGAAGGTTACTGAGATGACTGGTATCGCGTGGACGTGCGAGCTCGGAACAGGATTCGCGATAGAGTACGGCCATCATCTTGCGGACGGGACATCATCTGGCCAGATAGACGCGTGTATGCATCAAAACAGCAACAGTAACGAACGTCTCTCTCCGTTCTTCATCATTCTCATTTGACTGCTGGCATTCTGCGAGATAGACTGTAGACGTCGTAGACCAGGTGGCTCTGCAGTTGGTGATCTATGTTTTGATTTAAGCGCGATCGGCCGCTGCTCTCGCCAATAGAATGAACCGGTGGTACTATGTAGATATCGGAGCGCCTCTACAATGTCGTCTGTACGCGCGGTAGAACTCGTCTCGATGAGGGTTGTCGGAGTCAATGGTGGCTAGACCACAACTGTCAGGCACCTCAGTTAGCCTCAAAGACAGAAATAAGACAAGAGAAAGACAGGACAAAGACTCAATGCAGGGAGTATCGTAACCGCGACTGAACACCAACAAAGGTAAAGTACTAGTTCTGTCTGTTGGCAACAGCCAACTGTCTCGGTTCCTGGTCAACGGCGGTCATCTTCTCGAATGATTTGCTACCTGATAGAGGTCGCCCAGGCTACTACACAGTAGAGCAGCATCTCCTGTGGCGTGCAGGCGTCCACGGAGTAAGATACATTTCGACTATTTCGCAGACCCATTCTCTTGTATTGCCTCCGCTCTGGGACTCAGTCGCTTCTTTCTATCTTAGTACTTTGTACTATGTAGTGCGAAGACAATCATCTTACGATCAAAGAAGATGCGATTACTACACTATTGCAAGCAGACAAAGAATCCGAATTCAGCAACACGGGCAAGCAATCTGTGAAGGTTAAAGGAGGCTATACGTGGCGGTCATATAACGTGATGCACTGTGAGGAGCAGGAGGCTGAATAGGGTCTAGTGTGGGCGAAGGAGTGTTGTGTACTAAGGAAGAAATAGATACATCGCGACCCTTCTGGGAATCCGTATTAATACTAGTGTCATGCCCCGCTTTTGTGCCTTCTGACCAATTACAGGCCCGTACGGCCAAGTGGGGCGGAAGGGCCACAGTGTGGCGGATTCCAATGCTTGACACAATCAAATCTGCTGACGACAGGAGTGTTTTGTCTCTGACCGCTAGACCGTGGGCGCTACGGAGTACTCCTATGTATCTTTTTACTAGATCGGCATTGTCGCAAGACACGTCGTAGTCGCTGACCCGTTCAAGAATTAGGACGGCTCGGGATCGGCTCCTGCCCAATTGCACAATTTGCACAAGTAAGATACTCCGTATCTTGCGATTACGGAGTCAGATAAGCCACGCCGTTTGGGACTCCAGTTTAGTCTCCGTTTAGCGCTTCCGTCTGCTGCCAGCTGCCAGAGCCGTCGAGTTTAGCTTGCTCCTGTCTATCGCTGACAAAGCATGAAATCGTATGATGCCCCCCGTCACGGTGTGGACACCGATGAGCTGCACGTCCGGCTTGTACTTCTTGCAGCGGCCGCAATCGGCTCCAGTGCAGATTGGGGCATCGGGCGAGACAAATGCCCTGCCCCCTATGCTGAGCACGGTAGCTCGCCATGCGTGGCGCGCTCGCCCGACACGATATCTGTCCGCAGTGGCCCATTGCGGCTGATAGGCCCCGAAAGCCACCCCTTTCTCTCTTGTTCTTTCAGCTGTCCACGCTGGCTGCCCTGGTCTTCTGTGCTTACGGCAGCCTCCTTTCGGTTCCCTCCTCTCATCGGCCTCAATTTCTGCTCTGCTTGCGCGTGTCTGCCTGTCTTCTGCGAGGTCCTAAGTCTCCGGCCATTGGTGCGATATAGTCGGGTGGGAATCAACGCATCCCGTTCGCGATTGGCGATGCAGCCTCGCACGACCCTGCAACGACGACCTTTCATCTCGGATCCTCTCGCTGCATGCTCTCTGATCCTACTGCATGTTCTGCAGCTCTGTCGTCGCTTCTCAGGCGGTCCACGGACCCCATTGCCAACGCCTACGGAACCGTGCAGATGCCCTTGAAGCTGTACTGCGTTCGGCGAGCATGGCTCAGTAGAGCCCATGCAGACTCATGTTGCTCGTGAGTGCTGACGACAATACTTGCAGCGCTGAAGATTACTTACGGTTGTCAGGATCTAGCGCGTCTAGACCTTCCTCTGGCGACCCGAATGAACCGACAGACGGTTTCAAACATCAGACATGCATCACCTAGCATCGAATCACATTCCTTTGCAGAATCGCCCAGGATGCATCGCGCTTTGCAGACTACTGCGCTGGCCCGGGCCCTCTCTCCCGCTCCCTCTCCTGGGCAACGTGGGAATACTATTCCCGCTGCACAAGCATCAACTTGCATGCCCGAGGCATGAAATGGGACCCGCCGACGCAAATAAGGAACGGACAGAGATTACTCGTATCTTACAAACTGTAAGCAGTACAGGGGAGAAATACAAAAAAAGACGAAGGGGCGAAGGGACGATAGGACGGGGCCTTCTCGGCTCCCGAATTTCCCGTCTCGTCAGCGCTCTCTGCAGAAAGCTGAATCAGCCATGTGACTCAACAGAGGCCTCTGTCCTGCAGCACAAGACGCCTAGCCTACTTCCAGAAGGGCGTCTTCCGAGCTATCGGCCCCCGGCTCTTCTTCCGTGCTTGGACCATCAGCTTCTTGGCCCCCGACGTTGTAGTCGTGAAAGCTTGTGATGTTTCTGCGGCGTGGAGAGAAAGCCCGAAGATGCCAAGCCGAACGCGCAATGCTTCTGGTTTCAGTGGCAGGTCCCATGTCTTGGCTGCACGCGAGACAGCATGCAGCCTCCTCCCTGTGGACTCGTACGCGTGCACCATGTAAAAGAAAACATGCGACCAAAGAGGCCATGCCTCCGACCGCTGTTAGAGACCGGCCCGGGCCAAACGTCGGGACCGAAATCCTTTTTCTGTTTCTGCAGCTAAAACAGGCTTCGGTGCACCACACCTCTCGGACTGTTGATAGCTTTCTGGCCATGGTAAGACCATCCCTGCTCTGTCTCACTTTGTTGCGCCATTCTTTTCTTTTTCGGCGGATGGCAGACACCAACGACACCAACAGGATTCCGCGGACTTCCAGCAATCAGAGAACAGGACTCCCGCTACGGAGCACTTGCGCGTGTCTCAGATATCCCAACGGCATGTGCAGACGGATACACTCCACGCGGACAGCGTCACTGCCGTTGTGCAGCCGCCGTGCAGCTCGTTGCAGCCCTGAAAGATCCGAGACGATGCAGATGAGCAACGGGCCTCCTGGATTACGTAAGCGCAGGCGAGCAACTGAAAAGACGCAGGCCGATTAGGCTGCAGTACGGAGTACGCTCGCACAAAACACAGGTCTTGCCCGTCCCAAGATGGCTTTCGATTTATCCGCCTATCAGACAGCCCATGCTTCAAACTGTCTCATGTGGCGCCCACGGAAGAAGCTCGCGTGGACCACGGCCTCTTGGAAAACATGAAAAACGAAAGGCCACATTACGTGGCTTTGTGCCCGGCTGGCGGCTCATCTCCTAGGCACCCGGCTGCTTCATACTATGTACAGAAGCCGGCCTGCTGTTCTTTCCCGTGAGGCCTGTCTCACTCCATCGGACGACTGAAGAACCCTAAGTGGAAGTCATCCAAGACATCGGAGATGGCCGTTTGCTCTACGACATGCGTCTCCCTTGTCAAATGATGTCAGTCCGCAGCGGGATACATTCTCTTATCGCATATCCAGCTTTGCATCACGCCTTCCTCTACTACCTTTTCTTCTTATGTTCGTTGGAAATGCCGATCGTCCTCACTCTGTCACGACACAATCCTGCAAGAGCAACGCGTGTGTCCACGCGGGCGCCTGTTTGATTTCTGCCCAGAGCCATGTAGCAACATGTCTCAGCCTTGTGCTGCCATTGTCTCGGAGGAGGAAGTCAGGGAAAGCTGTCGCGCCCGGAAGAAATAGCATGGACATGACACAGCAGGAGAGCGGTGGAAAGAAGCAGCGATCTACCATGGAATCCCAACTCCTTGTACACCACGTTCTTGCTTGTGTTTGTGAGCTCGCAGAGTATGGCCCACACCCAACCATTGCCTTCAGCCACATTCGTCCGATAGGTAGCAAACATCGAGGCTGCTGTCTGCTCTGTTTGCTACCATGCGAGGGCTGGCTACTTAGACTGGAGGCCACGTGCCCTGTTTCGTTTCTCCTGCTTCTTGTCGGGATTACTGTGGCTGTCTGTGGAGAAATTACGCCGGCTTCTAGAACTGTTCCATCTCCTTGCTGGCTGGTTGCCAGATCGTCGGAAAGGGAATAATTACATGGCCAAATCCACAACAAGGTCTAGCCAACCCGGCCACATTCCCGTTTCCAGTCAGGAAACGCCCTCGTGGGGGGGATGAGGCCTAAGATGACACGAAACGAAACAGGAACGGAGACGGGGCGGACGGCATCTTATGAGCCCGGAGCGCGGAGAATGTGTGGGGATATGGAACCCTAGAGTGAGATAAGGCTGCGGCTGAACAAAGGAAGCCATATCCAGTTAGGCAAGAGAAGCGTTGTGGAAGGCCAAATCACCGACGAGACAGCAAAGAGGATCCAACATGGAAAGAAAGACGGGGCAAAGAAGAAACGTTAGGAATGGAACGGCTATGCCAAGAAGCCGTGTCCATTTCGGGAACTGCCTCTGTCCTGACGGGGCCCCTCGCGACATGTCGCCAAACACAGCCAGGCCAGGGGACGATCTTGGTGTTTCCTAGCAGCTTCACATAAATAGACGAGAAGAAGAACACGGAAGGAATTCCTCAGTCTTCCGTGTGCCCCCCAAAACTTCCGTTTGCCTCTCCCAGCAGGTTGTCGATGGCCCCAAACAAGCCGGCCTTTCCAGAGAAGAGAGACATTGATTCTTTGTGTCTGTCTACGGGAGTGACAGAAACGAGTTGGGCATAAAAGGAAGACAAACAGACCTCCAAGTGCTTTCGGGCGATATTCAAGCTCGAAGCAGCTTGATTCACTGACTCGTTCTCGATACCCAAGACTTCAAGCATCTTTTGCATTCATCAAACCGTATGTCCTTGCATCTCTCTCTCATACCTTCTTCGCCGTTTGCGTCTAGACACAAGATGTGCTCAATACGAAATGGCATGCTGATGATCCGACAGGCCCTTTGTAGTTCTTGCCAATTTCAAAGAAAAAAAAAAGCATTGCAGCTCCAGGAAGCAGGAATGTAATGAGAGTGAAGATGTGCACCTACTACTACCTCCACCACCACCATATGCCGCCTTGCCAGCGCGAAATCGACTTTGTCGTGCATTATGGCTATTGTGAGGCGGCGCCCATGGACCCGAGCACCGGCCAGCGTGTTCCATGCGAGAAGCTCTTCTTTGACCAGAGCCAGAGCGTCGACTATAACGAGCCATGTGCCTCAGGCGGCTGTCTTGCCAGTCCAGACTGCAGCTCGGGCACTTGTCGGCTCGCTCAGCTCAATGGCGTGTGGATGTGCTGCCAGTGTCGGCGCGGCGGAAATGTGTATCCATGGTGCGGACACCGGATGCGATCAAGCCCCGATACTTTATGCTATCACGTTTGCTGCGAGCGGTGCGAGCCAGACGAGGCCGGAGGTGGCAGTGGTGACTCTGCCGTGGGTTTTTGAGTATTAGCCGAAGGGGAAGAGGCAGAGTCAAGTTCATGTATGGGTCGTTCGACTGCTTGGCTGGTGTTTTGATGGAACATATGATCTTTTTGCTCCTCGCGGGAAGTCGCTGGACCGACAACTTTCATAGCAATGATACCTTTTATTGACGAGATAAAAGGGAGACTGTAAAGCATTCGGGTCGGACGTGTAGGACTAAAGGCGGGTGTGCGCAATGCGGGAAAATGTCGAGAATATGAGGGGGGAAGGCGCTTGCCAAGAAAGCAGCACTATCCTGGGATAGAGTCCCCTCTCGCAGCGTTTTCTTCATAAACGAGAGGCTTCGTCTCGTGTGACCCACTCGGCCGAGCCGAGCTGAGACAGTCCCGAGAAACGGGGTTGTACAAATCGAGATGGGAGAAGTCATGGCAATTGCAGATCTGGCATGCTTTGGGTGAATCTTGTCAAAATCTTATCGTATTCTTGAGATCGCATCGACAATACCGGGTGCGAAAGGTGTGAAGGTGGGATGGGATGGCTGAAAAGCGGCCATTGCAGTTTGTGCCCCTTGAGAAGCAATATACCATTCGGTACACAAACAAAGAAACCTCCCGTGGCACAGAGGTTCAGGCATGCAAGGGTTCAAGGATTTCGGCAACATACCAATATTCCGTCCATCCATCCACCGCTATTGCCGAGATAATGGCCCTTTGCAGATTTGCCACGCTTTTTCCAACCGCTACCGCTCCATCTCGGAGCCAGATTGAGAGGGATCGGACAATGCGGTGAGGCTTCACCAGCTCTTTACACACGCGGATAGTTGCGTTCATGGCAATCAATGGCCAGCCACTGGGCTCACACTTTCAGCTGTCGAGGGGTCGGAATCGAATATACTTGCTCCGATTCTCACCACCACTACCACCACTTCAACCGTCTTCATGTTGAACTCAGCTTTGGGGCTTCCACACTTGGATCCTCTCTCTCTCGAAGAGAGTGCTCTCGAAGAGAGTAAGCGGTGTAGAGTAAGATCAGACTATGCCCGAGGTGGCAATGCGGCCATGCCCCGTCTTGCTCTCTTCCCTGGCATTGTCAGCCATATATAAAAGGATCCCGCGAGCCTTGCGCCTGTTTTGACAACTGCATCATGAAAAGAGAGAGGTCGTCTCTGATTTCCAAGCATCTAAACACCCTGGTAAGTCAACGGGCACTTGCCTGCCTACATACCATCGACATACTTGTCCACGTCCACTGAAAAGCTCATCTGAAACGAAATTAGAAGACTTTACAGGCCAGGACAGTGACAGGCCCGCCATGTGTCTCAAAGTCACATACACTTTGATCTGTGAGCATGTCAAGACGCAGATGATCTACTGCGCCAACGCGACATACGCGTCTGGACCATCGGCCTCAGGATCTGGCGGATATGACAGCAGCAGCAAAACACATAAAGGGAAAGGAAAGGGAAAAGCTTCCTCTTCATCCTCTCGGACATCGCCGTCCTCGTCGAGCCGCATACCCTGCACCAACCTGACACAGCAGTCGCTGCCCTATCCGACGCCGCCGAGCTTCGAGGATAATCCGCAAACAGCAGCGGCGTCGCTTCTGTCGCCCAACTGTCCGTTGCCCAACTGTCCGTTTGAGGCCAAGAACCGCTGCTGGGATTGCTGTTGGTGTGGCAAGGGGTGGAACACCAAGGGTCGCTGCAGCTGCATATTGCTCATCGATGGCAACCAGGTGCAGTGCGCTCACATTTGCTGTCCGCAGTGCCAAGCCGCAGCGTTTCAGTGATTCTTCTGCTCAAGTGGACGCAAGCATTGTCTCGGCGTCTTGGACAAACGCGATGTGTTTGTATTTTTGTACTTTGCGGGTCATCTTCGCCATGGCTGGACAGAGGGGTGCACAGAAATAAAGTCATAAAAAGGGCCGTGCCGGGATACTGTATGATTTTATTGGATCGGCAAATCACAAAAATAGTATCGACCCCTTCTGTGACCAGATCTAAGACTTGTGCTTGCTGGCTTGGTGCAACAAGGCCCGAGGCAAACAAGATTGCCGATAATAGATCTGGGGGGTATGTTGTATGATGTGTCTCCGGCCGATCTGGTATTACTGAAATCCATAAACTCGGTTGTAGGAGCCAGACAGTCTTTGGCACACCCGCCCCATAAAACCGACAGACACGCTTGTGTTGGGGGAAAAGTGCGGTGAAGCCCGTGTGTACGGAGCATGCATGTGCATTCTTATTGCCATTCTCCTTCTGAGCTATCTTGCCTGATCGCTCCCCTCGCCGGGCGCCGCCTTTTGCGAGACAATAATTCAATAGAGGCGTGGGGACACAACGTGCTGCCGGGCTTACTGTATGCATCAGTATGCAGTTGCACATGTTTTTTCTTTCGCCAGACACTGGACCACTCGCGTCATTGGCGAATAGTTGCAGAGCACTGCCCACCATAGTGCTTGTGTTTGCGTGGGCCATCGTTGTCATATACTGAAACATTTCGGCCGACATCGGCATGGCCAGGCAACGACAGAAGCAGAGAGACAGAAGAGGGAAGTGGTGGAGGCAAGGTGGAGATCCCACGAGCAGATACAGCCAGCCTGCTCAGCTCTTCACCCCCACTCAGCCACCCAGCTTGCTTTGCGGCTGCATGTCTAGGACCGTCAGGAGAAGGATACGATCTATGTCTCACGACATGACGCTTCTGCACTGCCCTTAAATGCAACGACGCCGAGCCGGAAGTCAGTGCATCGGTGCAGACGCATTGGTGACCATCCCGATCCCAGGGAATCGGTAGCGTGGCACAGATCTTCGGTAAGAGGTGCAGTATCCTCACACGAGATTGCTTCTGGTCCTCCCCTTCGCCGCCTGTTTGCTCCCATACTCGAAGAAAGACAAGCAAGGGCCGAAGCGGGAGAGATCTGACTCGTTATGCATATCGTAACTTGCCACTCCCCGCTGCGGGTATATAAGTCGTGCCAGCTACCACGGACTTCTCAGCTGGAGGTTGATGTCGGCACCAAGATATCGAAGCTTCCCAGATCCCACAGCGCAGAAAGCAACAGTAGAGCATCAAGCATTGGTCGTCAGGCCTCCACAATGTGTTACGGTCATCCACACCACCATTTGTGTAGCCACCAGTCGGTCAAGTGGCATTACTGTCCACGAGCAAAGATCGACGTCACTACGGGACACGCGACCATATGTGACAAGACCACATATGCCATCTCACAGCCGTCCAAGGCAGCATGTCCGCTCAAGAACTGTCACTTCAAGGAGCTTGGCGGCGTCTGGGACTGCTGCCAGTGCAAGCAGGGACCCAACACGTTGGGCTGGTGCACATTTCCAAAGTGGCCAGGCTATCAAGATTGGGTCGAGACGTGTGATCATGGGTGCTGCAAGCACTGCACGCGGAGTGGTACGTTTATCGTCTGTGAGCTGCTCATATGAATGCGTTTGTTCTTGTTGTTTCGTCCTCCCTTTCCTTTTTCAACTCATTTCTTTCGTTCTTTCTTTCTGATTGTTTTCGGACGTATGGGCTCCCTCTTCTGACGTTCATGTCCTTGGTAGAAAGCGCAGGCCCCATGCCGATCGACGACTCCAAGAAGAAAACATCAAAAAATTCCGGCAGCTCATCCGGCGGCGCATCCTCCTCGGCGGCGGGCGGAGATGTATACGGCAACTATTATGAACAGCAGAGCTAAAACGGCTATTGCGAGTCGTCGAGTGAGTACCGAGACCGCGGCAGCAGAAAAGATATCGTCGTCGTCGCACGGCCAGGGAAACGGAAAGGGTTATTGAAAGGGCGTGGTGTCCGTGCGCACACTGGTCCTTGTAGGAGTTTGCTGGACAACAAAATAATTTGCATTCCTGCGCAAAGGGGAGAGAAAAGAGATACCGATTGACGGCCAACAGAAGAGGAGCAAAAGATGCAATGGTCAGTTAGATGGCACGTGATGTACGAACCAAGTGGACCTTCTCTGCTACAAGGGGCCAATCATGTTTCGAAATGGCAGGGGTTCCTAGCAAGTACATGAGCTCGTTCACAGAGGCAGGCAGCAGCTATGACGACATGTAAGGTACAAACACGATACGGAGACATGCCACGCGAGTAACTTCCAAGAGTCGTACGTTGCATGCAGTGATCGTTTCCCCTGCTCGTCGCCATTCGTAGACCCACCAGTCCTGTTGGCGATAGCCCTTTGTGCATGTCTTTTTCGACTTGTCTGCCACGTGTAGAACATGTGGCTTCAACCGGCTGCCGATGCCGCCTCATCCTGTTTCGTTCATTCGGCAGATCTGGTTTGGAAAAAGCCGCAAGTACGAGTACGACGTACTCCGGTACGTTGTACATCTCTTACAAAATACGCTGCCTTGACCCAAAGAGGTGTCGGGCACGGCCAGCGTGGATCGCCCAACGTTGTCGTGCTGTCATCCGCTCCCTGCTCGACCCGGCTCGCTTGCTCTTTTGTGATTAGAAGACTGGACGAGCATCTTACGCCGTGCTGTGACCGACGATCTGAATTTAGCCCCTCCCTTCTTCCTTGCCTCAGTAGAAAAAGCCAGCGCTAGCGAGCCGGCCTAATGCAACCGCTAGCGAAGGCGAGTCGCAGGACACTTTGTCTTTGCCAGGCTTTTTCGGTTCGCTGGATCTGACAGTCTTGTGCCTCTGCTCGCGTCGCAGATGGCAGACCAGATGGTCTGGTATCAGTACGAGTACTCCGTATGAGCATTCGGCCGCCGTCGGCCATCTTTGCCGCGGGCGTGTCCTCGTAAGTTTACCAAGCCACTGGAACATAGCAACGGACATGCGACAAGATAATCGCCCGAAACCCACAATTAGAGGCCGCCCCAAAACACTGCAATCACCCCTGTTTGAGATTGTTGTAGGCCACTAAAACCGACAGAGTACTCGTCCCGCCCCCCTTAAACCCCTCCCCCGACCAGCACTAAGTAGCCGAGTGCCACCTTCTTTCAGTGCCGTGTGTTCGTACTGGTCAGCCTGTGCGCACTCCGTAATACTAGATGAGGACCCTACGACGTATCTTGCTAGGATTTGCACACGTGAAGAGATCAAACCACCGCTTGCCCCTTGGGTGGGGGATTTCAAACCAACAGCCTGCTTTTTCTGCGGCAACACGAGGACGCCCCGACTTGGATCTCTTCAATCTCTCCAGCCTCGACCTCTACAAGTAAGATACAACCTGGCTCGGCATTACATATTTAAACCCCCGGCGTATAGTATCCAGCACCAGATCCGCCTTCCCTGACACTCAACAAATTCCACGAGGCAACCGAACGGTTCAGTCATTAAAAGGGGGTCTCGTACAAAGAAATACGGATACCGTCTGAAAAAAAGGGAAAAAGAAAGTCACACCTGCCGATTGGTTCACCGCTTTGCCGCAACGCGAGACAACGTGCTTTCGCTGTCAAAGGAGATTTAGACCCCGTCTTGTCGCTCTCGCAATTCTCTCTCCTGCTTCCCTCTACCATGCCTACTTCGTTGGAGTCTGCTCGGCCCATCATGGCACCATCCGTACGTCTGGCTTAGCACCCCTCATCTCATTCCCTCTCTCTTCTTCTTTCGCCATTCTCCCTTCCTTCTTCGCCACTGCTCCCGGAGATGTCTATATACTGATCTACTTCCAGGCCCGCACCTCAGTCCGCTACAGCACCTACAGCGTCGCACCCTCGTGCGCCCCGACATTCCAGACTACGGACTCCGCCACGGCCGAGATCCACACCATTGAGCAGAATCTCGTCCGCATGGAGAACAAGGCTCTGCAACAGCAGCGCGTTTCCCTGAATGAGGAGAAGACAGCCGTGTTCCAGAAGCTGGCCCTAGGCGCCAAGCTAGATCGCGCCCTCGAGCGTCGCATGACCAGCCAGGATGCTGTTATGCGCCCTCCACGGGCCAAGAAGACCGACTCGACCATCCTCGACGAGAAGAGCGAGAAGCTCTAGGGGTTTTTCCTTCCGATCCGATTGACTCATAATCACACACCAACCATCACCTCCATTGCTGCGTCCTTGACCTGGTGTCGCTGTTGGCGCACTTGCGCTCGTCGCGCTGCGCTGCTGGTATATTTGCTTTTTTTTGCACGGCGCGGTCTCGTTCATTCGGAAGGGCAGAGCAGCGCAACGCCCCCTGTACTCACCTTACTCGTTTGCTATATCCCGGTGTACTTTCTGTCTTTTGTGTATATTTGCCTAGCCGAGGTTGCATTTTGGTTTTTTTTGCATTTTTATCGGACCACTTGTCGAGCGATATCTCGTAGGGGCCCTCGCTTGTCCAGCTCATTGTTTGCGCAGCCATGGGGACATGTAAAGAACAGAGTGGTAATTACATCTAGACAACATATCGACATCTTTGAACGTCGCATGTCTTTTTGTGATTGATTGGTGCTTCTCGTACAACAATTCAGCCCTTCCAGGCTGTCATTACGTTATCGTAAAACGCATGAAGCGCGCAGTACTTTACCATCTTAGAATCAAGGAAAAACAAACGCCATTTGTCCCGTCTCAAGAAAACCAGATTGACCCCTTTGCTTATCCTGCCATCCAATCGCACTACAATGCCTCTTTCGCCTTGTCCAGCCTCCCTTGGATCTCCACGCGCAGCGCCAGGAGATCGTGCTCTTCGCCCTCCATCTCCAGCCCGCGCCGCACCCACTCTTGCGCCTCTTCCAGCCGGCCCATCTCCAGGAGACACTTGCCCCGCCGCCACCACGCTTTTGCGTTGCCCGTCTTCTTGGCCTCCACGCTGGTCTCCGCATCTAGCGCACCCTCGGGCCAGCTCTGTATCGCCATGTATGCCTGTGCCCGGTTTGCGTACAGAGTCGCCACCTCCTCGTTCACCAGCTGAGACGGCTCCCAGGGCGGCCGCGTCAGCGCCATCTGCAAGCCCAGAGAGTAGAACTTGATGGCCTCGGCGTAGCGCCCCTTGCGGAACTCACCATTTCCAGAGTCCCGCAGCTTGTTCACGTTTGCTGTCCGCTTGGGATTGACTGGAATTGGCGGCGGCGGCACCGGCGGACCTCCCTCAAGGCCGATCAGTGCGCGGTGCAGCTGGTTCAGGGCCGTCAGCTCTGCGGCGATGGCGCGTGCTGAGGCCGACGATCCGGCTGCTTCTGTGCTGCTTATAGCCTTTGTTTGTGGGTCTATCTGCAAAGGATAGAACGTGAATGTATCGAGGTCGGCCATGGTTGGTGATTCGAAAGGACAAAATGGGTGCGGAGAGGCAGTACAAAGTCGTGCGACGGATATGTTTCGGTTGTGACTCTAATTCCTAGGTATGTGTCTGCCACGAAAAAACAGTAAATAGTTGAGTGCGTCGTGTTGCGACTCTATGCTTTCGCAGCGTGCCGGCTGAGAGTGGTGCGGAAAGGTGCGAGGTGAAAAGAAGCCAAGTCATAAAGGCCAGCTCTTCTCAATGCTTATCTGATGGGTCTATCGAGAGGCACGTGGAAACAAGGCCCCATATGAGTCTGAGTCATCAAAGCACAGACCACCGACTGCGAGGAATTTCTTACGTCGCATTGCACACACGAGCAAAGAAATTGAGTTCTGTACAGAGTACCAATAGTTTAACTTATAAAGAGACCACTAAAATGGCTGCTTTATTTATGTCCGTAAATTTCGGACGGGCAAAAGGGTATGAAATGGGGTTTACAAGGCATGCATCCATAACACATGGCTCCTACTTTACTTAGTATTATCGTACGTTTCGAGGACTTTCCATCCCTTGATATACATCTGGGACACGAAATATAGCGGATGCTCATAATTCAGGTATAATTTGGGCGTTTTCGTTTGTTTAGCTGTGACGAAGATTAGCAACTTGGACTCCGCTAGGCAATCGATGAACTCACCCATCTCTATCATGTCGTTCCAATGTTGCATGAGAAGGTCGCACTGCTCCCGAGTGACGTGCACCTTCTTCTTTCCTTTGCCTTTGGCTGACTCGATGTTTTCTCGAGGTCGGGGGTGTGGTTTAATAATCTGGCAGAATATGTCCCATCCATCATCTGTGGGATCCATAGTTCGGTAATAGTGCCAGTAACAAAGGATTATGTTGGCGCTAAACTGAAGTTCCTTGACAAAGTCACTGACGGAATATCTGGCCTATATAGCAAAACATTAGTTCAGTAATTCTAGAATATATGGAGGAAAGCGTGTTACGAACATCTGTGATCCAGTTCTCCATGGCATGGCGGTGGCGGTCCTGGGACGAGAAAGATACTTCGTGTAGAAGCATGAAGGTGCATGCGTAAAGCAAGAACCAGTGGTCCGGATTCCCAACGCGGAAGAATCTCTCAAACTCATTAAGTACTTCAGAGGCAAGCGGTCGTAGGAAGCGAGTGACCATGATTGAATCGCACTGGGCGGTGATCATTCGCGGAACCGATATTCTATGCTCTAGAGGATAGTGCCGATCATTGACAGGGCGGCAGCCGAGCTTGTCGGGTCCGCTTATATAAGATGACCCGGTTGTGAAGCCTTTGCAAAGCGGTCAGGGCAATCATGTAGGGGCAATTCTGCTGGGGAAGAGAAGACTCACGAATGCAAAACCACATCCGGAAGAAACGCTCAAGGAATATCTTTTCGACGTCTCCATCCTAACAGCGAGTAAGTTGAATTGCCCATGAACGTCTGCTCAGCACTCGAAAAATTCTTACCGCAAGGCTATAGTAGTGTCTAATGAGGGCTTCCATGTGGTGTCGTACAACGGGAATGGAAAAGCGGGCAACATTCGTTACTGCATGCATGGCATTTTGGAGAAAATACTCCCTCAGCGATTCGGCTGCTTCGTTTGCGTCGAGGAGAGCATAGGGCGGCAGCTCGACATAAAGCTTCTCGAACGTCGTGACGCCGTTCTGGTCGATGGAGGGCTTGGACCACTTCCGGACCAAGACGTCGTTGGCTTCTGGCGTGAATCTGCGAACGCGCAACTTCACCGGCACGGGGCATAAGTCGTATTTGTGCATAGCACTGGAGTAGAAAATCTTCATTTCGATTTCGTGGATGTCGTCGGCGTTCCAGTGGGCAATATCCTTGATCATGGTGCCGGACCATCGCTTAGTGAGATTCAGTCCTCCATGGCGATACAGGCTCATTTCGTTCAGCCTCCAGCGAACACAGTGAATGTCATGCAGAACCTTTTTCGAGTTTTGCGACACTTGTTCGCAGGTAAGACAGATGCCGTTGGGACCCTCGGGTGACGGAACGCACTAAGAAGGAATTTCGGTCAGCCTTTTTCTCTGCTCACTGCTGTTACCAGTCTCGGCACTGCGACCTACACGAATACGCTGGCTCTTGCAGCGAAGGCATGCCCCGATTGTGCGGGTCTGGCTAGTCTCCTGTCGCTTCTCGAAGCTGAAGGTGCTCCGTGGACGTCGCGCTCCCTTGTCCGCCTGCACGAGCTGGAGACTTTGCTCTGCTGATGCATCGTCAGACGCTGGTTCCTGTCGGTCATTGTTGCAAACATTCCGAAGTGTGATTACTTGGAATGACGGGTCATCGTCCACATGATTTATGATGTTATGCAAGGCTGCAGGTGAGGTGTGAATGGCCGCACGGCTAGTGGTATTCTCAGTGAAGGTGTCTGATTCGGCTGCAGCCAGCAGACTGGTCCAAACTCCTTCCTCTTCCAGCCTGGTATCGTTTTCCGGGGGGTGAAACGGGACGAAGCCAGGGTACTCAAGCTCTTGGCGGACAGGTCTGAATGGTGCGAGTAAGGGAGCAGGCGCTGTCCTCGCAACGTCCCGGTAAATGTCGCCCGGACTTGTGTTACTACTGCTGGTACTGCTGGTATTGCTGCTGCCGTAAAATATGTTGTTGCTGTACGATGACGGTGATGGCTGGGCTAGGCTGCTAGCATGCGCACCATAGAATGTACCCGGCTGATGGTACACCATCTGGCTTCTCATCGGCGGGGCCGAAACCGCAGGGACTGAAACCGCATGGAAGACCGGAGGGAGCGAGGCGTGGGGGTTTGTTGACGCGCCGATGGTGCTTGGCGATTCGCCAGCAATCATACGGCGTGGTGATTGTGGAGCCGTGAAGGTGTAGCTGGGAGGACTTTGGCTTTGGTCAGAAGTATGATGAGAGAATATGGTGCCATCACGGCCCAGACTTCCGGAACTAGGACCAGGAGATGGCACTGCCGGAGAGCTGAGAGAATTGACAGAGCCGCGACGGGAAAGGGATCCGCCGGATGTTGAGGAAATGACCGGTAACGACGAATGAACCGATCGGCTATACGGGCCCCAGGTAGCGGGCACACCATTGAAAGTAGAGCCATATGAGTGAGTTGTGTCCAAGATGGAGGCGAGAAAGTGAGGCACACCGGTGGGCTCTGGCTGTCTGGGCGGGACGGCAGTGACTTCCACGATAGGCTCTCGGCCAAGTTGAAGGGTTAGCGAGTTTGTCGGGACGGTACCGAGGCGCACATTACAGCCCTCAGTCAACTTAGTGGCACCGCTATGCGGGTGAAACAGTCTGGGCTTCTTGCTAGAGCGGTCGTAAGACTGCTCGTCTAGAGGCCTTCCAGTGAGGAAGGCCGGGAAGTGAGGCGTTGAACCAGCGGCGCACATTGTCCTGGTAGTGTCATACTGGTAAGCGCCGGAGCTTCTGTGAGAGTGGTTGGCTGATCTGATGTCCCGAGTGTCACGGGAGCCCTGTGAACGATGTTAGAGCTCGTGGAACGGGTGTCAATTTGCGGTAGGTCGAAGCGTTGTGATGACACTTTCACGCGTGGATTCGCAGGCCACCGCAGACTAGCTAAGTGACAGTTCGATCGGAAGAAAGCAGAAAAAGAAATGAACCAAGAGGTTGAAGAGGGGGGGGGCAGATGGAGAAGGAGGGGCACGAGGATGGCCCAAGGAAGCAAGCTAGTTGACCGTAGCACATTTTGGATGACTTACATCCCGTGAAGGAGCGGCGGGCCTCGAGACGTGTTCCATTCCTACGGCAGCAGCGGCAAGCCGTGATTGATCTGTCGCTTGTCGTCTAGTTCGATGGGGCAGCTAAAATGGTTCACCGGCCTGCTGTTGCTGCGACAGCATCGGGTTGAAGACACAGTTCCACCGGCGAAGAGAGTCGGTGTGGGTGAGACGTTCGACAGGCTGCTGTTCGTCTGGCCCAGCCCCTGCCGTGTTTTCGATCTCCAGATCTCTTGGGGTTGCTGACAATCGGGAGCGGGGGGCCAAGAGCCGGCGCGAGACCGAGTTTGCAGAAGGCTGTCTGATCAGCAAAATTCACGATGAGACAGGAAGAGTGGCAGACGGCCGGCAAAACAAGACAGCCAGAGAGGAGCGAGCGAGAGCAAGAGGTGATTGGTGATTACAGTCTAGAAAAAGCGCAAGAAGAGTACGGTCGAAGCGAGATTGGGCCAAAATATAGAAGCGAACAACAGATAGTAGAATGCCCGGGTGGGTGCCGTTGCAACGGCAGATTTGTGATGGGGATGGGGCCAGCCCAGATGGATAGGTCCCCACGCAGACCATTTATTCACTCACCCGCTCTCGACTCGTCCAACCCGCAGACGGCAGCGCTTCGGTTGGGCAGCCGCTGTCCACATATACTCCGTACCGGTGCTCGCGGGCGCAGGCGCCCGAGAAGCCCTTCTTTGGAGAATCAGCCCACGTCTGGACTCGGCCGCCAATCTTGCGGTCTACCGGTGAAGCAGATCTGGGATTGAGCAGGCTCGAAAGCATGCGTCGGGCTCCGTACTCACGCGTAGATGCCAACGATCTCTCGTGAGCGTGTCGCACTCGAGACAGCGCCAGCAAAGACCGCAAGTGGACGGCAGCAGTGTCAGACACGGGCAGCACGGGACGGCCACCCAGGAGCCAGTGTCCGGAGATCCAAAGTGCGGGCGTGCTCTGCACGTCGGAAAGTGCAGAGGGTGGCGAGTGTGGTGTTCAGGACTGCACAGGCGTGTGGACACGTCGCAGGCAGGATAAGGCGGCCGAAAGACGACAGAACCATGCGTGCAACCGCACGATCACACCTTGGGAGGATCTTGGCCGGGGAGGATCTTGGCCGGTTCAACTTGCTGTGCTGGGGTCCGGGACAGCCAAACAGCGGCCGTCGAGCTATTTAATATATATAAATAGAGGGACGGCAGGGGAGCCCGCCAGGACAACAGACGAAAACAGTGTCAGGAGCGGTTATTGAGTGCCGTGCATCTGGAGAGGCGGTTTCTGAATGAGAGACGGTGAGGAATGAGCTGGATCAGTTGCCAGACCCTCGGGGAATGTATACGAAATGAATGTTGACTTTCGATACCGCGGTTACTGAGTGTGGGAGAGGGAATTTTGGGTTACAGGGGAGGGTGTCAGCAGAAGGCAGCAATTGAGGGGGGGGATGTGAAGAGGGGAGAGGAGGGGAGGGGAAACCGGAGGGGGGGGGGCAGATTGAGATGAGAGCGAGAGAAAAGAGGTGAAAGGGAAAGGGTGGGGGGAGAGATACGTCGTAGAGAGGGAGAATGAAGCGATGAACAAAACAAAGGAGACAAAAGACCGGTCCGGGAAGGAGCAGAGGAGCTGAAGGGTTGGGTGGTGGGGGCGTCTGTTCTCAGCGGCTCGTCAAGGAGTCCCCACACGGCTGGCAGCTCAGCACCGGCCACCCAACGCCCTATCATCGTCCACTGTGCCCACTGGCCACAGCTGCCTGCTGGGCTGGCAATTGTCGCGAGACAGGTCGGCGACTTGGGCCAGGGTCTGAGTCCGAAACCCTTTTCTTTTTTCCCCCTTGCGGCGCCTCCTTTTTATCCAAGCCGGCGTCACCCTGTTGTCTTGCCAAGCTTGTCCCTCGCTTCTGCAGACGCAGGCTGGGGCTGCATGCCACCATGGACGCACATACGACGTGCAGGACACGCCCATCGTCAATCTCGCCAGTGCATCACATCGCCAACAGCTGGTCCGAGCGACTAACCAGGCTTCTTCGGCGTTCCCGTCGCCCTTTCTTTCTTCTTTCTTCTTTCGCCTCTCTTCTCCACCTCTCCCTCACTTCCTCTTTGTTCTCGCCCTCGCCTTCGTTTCTTTTTCGTGTCCCACTTCGCTGCTGGAAATGCAACTAGAATGCCATTTGTGGTCACTAACACGCCAATCGTCGCTAGTCTGCCCAGACTTGTCAGCACGTCGATTATAGTACGGAGTACAGCGGCCACGTACGAAGTAGCTGCCCTCACATCGCGGCGTGCCGGTTGCAACTACATAGTGCTCCGTACTCCGTAATTTTTTGGAAATCCAACACGCGTATGCATCTTACTGTGCAGCACACTGCCGGCTACTTCCCCGTAAACGGCACCTGTCGGAAGCAACACCGGCATGCACGAGTCGTTGTAGTTGGCACACCGCCAGAATGGATCTTGCTGCTTAGCTTGACCCAAAAACGACCACCGCACTAGCCACAGAAGGGCATCGCAAGCACAGAGATGCACTGCTCCAGAGCCTCATGTCCCTGTGTCCCGGAGACAAAAGGCGTTTCTTCGCCCGGACACTGCGTGCCGCAGAGGCCTCTCATACTATGTAAGGGCGAGAGTGGCAATTTAGAGCTGTTCGTCCGTACCCTGCTAGCACCGAGGGCCGAGCCGTAGAACGAGTCTGGTGTGACGATTGGCGTTGGCGTTGGCAGCAACGACTACGGGGAATTATTCCATTTGTAATACGGAGCACGTCGTACTCATCCTCCAAACAAAGAACTGCCCATCCAGCCGAGCCGGGGGGCGACAGGAGCCGGCTCGGAGAGGGCTCGGAAATGGCGAAGCTCTTATGGCCGGCTTTTGCCTCTCCTCGCTGTCCTGTACAAGGGTGGTCTCACCTGGAGAGCATGCCTCTTTTTTCTGGTTCCAGTCACGAACAAAAAATGCAAGTTTTATTAATCAAAATGGAGCGCCTTCTCCACTAGTTTTCATTGGAGCCGGAGCTTGAACTTGAGACTAACAAGGCTCAACCAATCAGATGCAACAGCAACACGGCACATAAGGTATTTTCAAGCTGACTTTTGGCTTCTGTCTGGCTTTTCCGTCGGCTTTATGATGATTTCTCCTGTTTTCCTCTTCTCCTGTCTTCCTGTCGTTTCGAGCCACTTTCTAGCACCATCTGATGGGCATCCTTTCCCTCCTTGGCCGCTAGGTGTCTAGGTGCATGCACCGCTCACTCAATACATTTTCAGCACTACCGCTTTTGTAATATAGTTTAAAATGGGACATGGCAACAAATGCCGCTTTGACTTACTTCTCGCATTCCAGCCAATGTAAAAGGGGGCTTGCTGCACCCGCCTGCTCACAAATTGTCGCCTGTTGCTTCTTTCTGCTTAGGTTACTCAGCCACGACCTGTCGATCTAGATGAGCCACCGCCTGTTATAGCTAATCCAATCTGATTCTGCCCCCAACTTTTCGAGATCTTCCTTTTCGGTTCTAAGCTACGCCTGATCATCTGGAAGGTACGCGTCTAAAACCCCCCCCCCTCTCTTGTCTGTCAAAGCAGTCAATGCTCCGGTCCCCCACATCCTTATCCTGTTGCATATTTTTCCCATATTTGATCATGCATATCGTCCGCTTTTCGTGCTACTGCGACGATTTGCACGGTCCGGAGATCTGCGCTCTCAGGACCACCTTAAACCGCCTTTTTTTCCTTTCTCGACACCATTCAAAAGCCCTACCCCCCCCCCCCCCCTTCCCCCCCTCTGTCTTCCCTCCGAAGCTGCCTCATTCTCCTGCTGTTTCCGGAGCCCAACCTTTGAAACGCAGACGCCACAGCGATGCCTCGGTGTAGCAAAACGTCCGCTCCGTTTTGCCGCTGCTTCATTCCCTAATACCGAAAGTGCATGGACAGGAGTCTGATCTACCGACTTGCGGTCGAACTTGTATGAAGCGCCTGGCCTTGTCTGGCCGGTGCAAAACGGACCGTGATCGTCAATGGGTGAGGTCAAAAACCGCCCGTTTACGCCTGCTGCCCAGAGACAAAGGTAGGATGGGCCCGTGAAACAGTTTTATATTTAGTGGCTGTCCATCTGGCTCGTCTCTGTTCCGTATTGCTATTCGGCGGCCTTGCACTGTGCAGCTCTGTGTGTTTAGATGCCGGTCTCTATGCACGTGTATTTCCCTTTATGGCTCACAACTGGCACTGGATGGTGAGAACCAAAAGGCGAAGGTAAAAAATGGCACATGTCCGATATCTGGGGTTGCTGTAGCACTGGGCGCTCCGGTGAGCCCAATGACGGTCTTTGCGAGCAGCGGCTCCCATGCTACGCACTACGATCACTCCCACCTTCCCTCTTGGCCATCGTCGGCCTTCTCAACCCACCTCGTTCCCCCTCTTTTGCCTTGTCTGTCATTGGCGTCATGTAGTCATTGCATGGCAGCGAGCTTCGGGCATGAGCTGCTTCCTGCACCGGAACCACAACAGCCGCGTCCCTTGACCCCAGTACCTTGTTGCGTCTGTTTCTGTTCCGTCTCTCTCCCCCAAGGTCCAAACCACTGGCTGTACAGACTCGCCATGTCACCCTCCTGCTTTCTTCTAAATACCAAAGAGATAGTAGAAAAAGAAAGTCGGATATACGAATGCAGTATTCACCTCACGCCTATTGCCTGGCCAACACTGGACGCCATATATTTAGATTTGAGGAGTGACGTTGTGGTCTTATGCAGTCCAGTCCTCCTTCCTTCTCTAATCTTAAAAGGCTCCTCCTACCCGTTTCTCCCAAGTCGCCTCCTCCGCTCCCTCTTTCCATTTGGCCAGACGGAATTTGCATTAACATCGTCGAACCCAGCTAAGCCCGACAAGCCTGCATTCTTCCTCCCGCATTCCATCTCCATTGCATCTGTGCCACTCATCCACTCAAATAAATCCGGACTCTCCCACGCTTTCCCGTTCTTCCCTCTCTTCTGGTCATGCTATTTTGTCCCCTATCAACTGAACGATCATAGCTGGCAGTCAAGTCTTACCAATTGCCACTTGCCACTTCTCTGAAGCATTGCTTCCTGGACGTCTTGACCAGACTCGTTCTAGAATCCTACTCGCGCCCGTCAGCAGATGAAAGAATTTTACTGCACTCATGGACAAGGTAGGCTACTCTAACTTCCAGCCAGCCATGTGCCCTTTGACCGCAATATACAGTATGTTGATCCAGTCCTTCGGTACTATGCTTAGTTTGCCAATGATCTGCCGTCTCGTCTCGCTGGCCCGTTGTCTGACCTTGGCCCGGAAAACCCCGAGTTCTGCCAATTAATGCTGAGCGCGGCAGACTTGAAGGCCATCAATGAGGCTCTAGTGACTTTCAAAGGTAAGCCACTCTTTGGTGTCAGAAACTAGGTACTACTTATTGCTCCTGGATTTTGGAGTCTGGTCGGAGTAATTAACGCCTAGCAATAAATTCTCGGTACCTCAGGTGGAAATGTTTTGCTCGCTAATTATCCACAAAGCTCTTGAACTCGCCGGCCACGAAGTTTCCAAAGAAACGTTTCCATTGCCGAACGATTTAAGCGAAAGACTCTCTTCTGCTGCCTATGAGGTTCACCGGGGCCGTGGCCTTTGCCAGATCCAAGGCTTGGATCCTACGCTTTACTCGGAGGCCGACAATCTCCTAGTCTTCCTTGCAATTGCCAACTACATTGGAGACAAGCGGGGCATTCAAGACAAAAAAGGAAATGTGATAAGTACGTATTGCACCCATTTGAAGCCAGCAACAAGGAACATATTACCTTAAATGAAAATAGCTCTATGGTCCAGTACTAGAAAGGCACCCGCGCAATCCCGAGGGTAATTTCTGGGGCTATATTCAGCATTGACTTGTGTTTCTCTTTCTTCTATGATCTTGATCCGAGTCGGTCTACATATAGTTGCATAACTGACTGACACTGACACAAACCAGCTCACATCACCGATGCAAAGGCCTGGACAGTCCCGTATGAGAAGCGTCATGTTGTTCACACAAACCAGCATCTAGTAAGTAGCGCCTCCCCATATACCTCAGGTATATGCCGTAGTATTCCGACCTGTTCACTCACACACTGTCTTAGACGTGGCATTGCGACATGGGTGCCGATGTTCTAGCCCTCCAAGTGCGCCAAGTCGCCGCAAGGGGCGGAGCTACCATGGTAGCTTCGTCTTGGAAAATCTACAATATCGTCGCTTCTGAGCGACCGGATGTGATCCGAGTTCTAGCCGAACCAAACTGGCCTGTCCATGTGTGAGCTGAGCAAGGGGACGATGCTAGCCCCTTCTAGCCCATATACTCGTCCTTTCTCAACCAGCTAATTCGTGTTTATTGGTCTGTTAGCTCCAACCGCAAGTCTCGTCATGTCCTCGCCTCTCTGCTGGAGTTTCATGACGGCAAGCTGCTGATGAACTTCGACCCGAGCCGATTGGGAACTCATCCGGCCATGAAGCCCCGCCGCTCGCGGCCCGTCGCTATACCCTCCCTCACAGAGGCCCAACAGGAAGCACTTCGCGTGGTGGCGGCTGTCGCGGAAAGGAATAGCTTACAGCTTGGCACCAAGGCGGGAGACATCCTATTCATCAACAACTGGGCTCTCCTTCACGCGCGTAGTGCGTATACGGATTCCGGTGAGGAGGCCGAGGGTCAAGGGACAGTCAACCAACGGCGCCATTTACTTCGCCTCTGGATTCGAAACTCGCAGCTGGGCTGGAAGATTCCAGAAAACCTTCGAGCTCCTTGGGAGGCGGCTTTCAGCTACGCGGACGAGGGCTATGTTTCGGGGGACCATCAGAACGGTGCAGTCACTCAGCTAAGATATCCCGTCATGCCAGAACCGGATTACAAGCCAGCAAGATACACGACCGGATCCGCTGCATTCGTAATTGAAGACAGCGAGAGCGAGTATGACGATGAGTGAGCAGTTCGACTGCCCACTTCCCGCGGCTTCGTATGCCATCGTTATCCGGTTTCTATACACAGATGATCTCGACGATTTGGCAAAGGGTTCGATACAATATTATTTGTTCACCCACAGCCTATATCCTGTTCTTGTTGTTGTTTTGCATTTACGACTCTTTTTTTCAAGCGCTTCATAGCCGTCAGCAGATTATTTAGCATAATTGTAATGTCTTGGTATTATTGCAGGTCCTGGCTAGTTGCAGTTTTACAACGAAATATACCAAATACCACTGGAACACCGAAAATTGTACTTTGAAGAAGCCCCATTTATTGTGGCCTTTCTGGCTACGCTGAGTTCGCAGCTTTGCTGCAGTGTTACCTGAAATGTCGGGAGCCTCATGATGTATGATGCGGCACCTAGGCACTCAAGTCGAACTTGCAGGGGATCCTTACTAAGGATGTGCCCATACATGTATGTACTCCATAAGTGGAGTCCGATGATATAGGAGCGATTCGGCAGTGAGTACGGCTTTAGGCCATAGCGGTCAGCCAAATAAGCCGTGAGATCAGGCAGGCCGCGGATCTACGCCACTCTTCGCATACTCGTATGACTGTCACAGCACCCTGTCAAGCGTTCCCACAGCCCCTCCTAAGTCTTTCTGGGTCGGTTCTTTGTCGTCGTTAGGCAAGACATTATTGGCATTATTTCCGACGTTTTCATTCGAAGACGGCATAGTGATGTATCTTACGGAGGGCACCCGCGCAGATTTCCTTACCTGTTGTGGTCTAGCGCAGAGAAACACACAGACATTTCTAAGTGGGTATCACGAGTTCCGTGACTAGTCTTCTTCCGGTCTTAGAGGCCGGATCCGTGCGTCTGAGAGCTGCAGCTACAACGGGAAGAGCACGATGCTCTGCTCATACGGAAGATGAGTCCTTGTAGTTGCAAGCGGCCGCGGACACACAGACGTGGCATGTGAGCCGTTTATTTTTATTTTTAGTGTGCTATATCCTTGGCTGCATCTGCCTATCGGATACACCCAAACGTACGAGTACAAGGAGAAAGCGCTTAGACTTTGGCTAGTGGTGTCGTCGCAAGGCAGAACACAGACAGGGCACACAAGCAGAGGCCGTCTGGCCGAGTTTTGGAATCTTGCTGCGAGTACATGGTAGCGAGAGTATACTAGCAGGGGCGGCAGACACGAGCCCTGCTCATCTCAGCACGGATAGGCGAAAAAAGGAATAGTCTGAAAAGTGTTCCGATCCCTAATTCCCCGGTATATTAACAATCTGATCCGGGCAAGGGAGCTGCTGGCACTACGAGTATACGAGTACTCCGTACGGAGTACATGCTAAGCCTTCGTATTTCTTGTACTCGTACCCCATAGCCGGCCAGTCCCCACCTGATGTGGGAGAGACCGCCCCCCCCCCCGGAACCCGGTACTAAGTGCGATGGGGTGACTCGGTGGCAAGCAGCCACGACGAGGACACGCGGTATTCTGCGTCTGGCCGGAAGGGTAGCGAGAGGTGCAGCGGGGATGGGGTAACATAGCACGGGAATAGAAGAGAAATGAGCAGGAGCCATAGGCAGCAGGGCGTCAAGACCAATCAGAAGGACCACGGTGAGATGCAAGTCTGCACTGCGACGTACGAGCACGATACGACCAGAACAAGCCACGAATGTCACGGGGGGGCTGTCGTTGGTGAGCGGCAGATATGTGGCCGCAAGACGGCGAGTCGCAACCAGCCAAGTGGCCGGTGGAGATGGAGGAAGGCGGCGACGCGAGAACACCAACGACGGGCAGCGGGAGCACGCGAGGATACTACGACATGTCGCCAGGTCTGGGGTGAATGCAACAACGTCTGCAGGATCCGCCGTTGCGCGCGATAGCGACAGGTGGATGTATATTCTCCGCCTATTAGTCTTCGCTAGCACTTCGGAACAATTCCGGAAATTGCTTCAATCTGTTTTTTTTTTTTTTTTTTTTTCCTGTGGTTTTTTTCCCTTTATCATTTTCCCTTCCCGGTCCTGCTGACCTGTCAGGTCAGCAGAGTTAATTATCCCTCATAGGACATGGCACTCTTTGCATGTGACAGGTAAAATTAAAAGGCCGAACCTTCGAATTCGGTCTGGTCCGGAAATGATCGAGTACGAATATGCCTGACGGCCGCTGATGAGCCTCTTTCACTCCCTTCCCTCCTTCGCATACTATGTACCCCCCTTTCTTTCCCTGCCCACGCCATCCAGATCTGTAATTCTCGACCGGTGAGGGTGTCTGCGAGAAGTAGGGATATCATTAGATCAGTAACACAGGGTTGTATCTGACTCGCGACAGAGGCTTAGCTCCCTCCCTTTCATACGTAAGATACCTGCCCTCCACACTGGAGAGACACGAGTAAGATTGAAGGAAAAAAAAAAAACCCCCGAAAACAGGCTGGCACATACGTCGTACTCCATACCCCTTGCCTATTTCTCACGGCTAGGTCTTTGACTTTCCGAAAAATAGGAGATTTCCGGTCTGGCTGGCCTTTGATTGTGCCCTACTATACACCGGTGTATCTTACGACATATTCCGTACCAGACAGATGCTAGTTTCTTTCCAGTCTCTTATCTAGACACGGCGATATGTCTGTTCTTTGCTCGTTTAGCCTATCGTCCGGCACTCATCCTCATCTATATTCTTGTCATTGAGTGAGGTGTCCTGTCGGCCCATCATCTCCCTGACTACTGCTTTCCCTCTGAAAACGACACCACTGCCCACTTGCCATTCCAGGCCCACTCGCGTGCCCCAGATGCGCCGCCACCACCTTCGGCCAACCTTAGCTCCTCGTCCTTGCCTGCCGGTAGGCCTACCACGACATCGGCTTTGCAAGTCCGCAGCGCGAGCACGTTAACTCCGGACCCGGGACCCAGAGGACCGATCGCTTCGGTGAATGGTGTTGTCGGGTCCCATTCGGCCTAGTTGCGTCAGAAAGGAGAAAGATTGGATGCAGGTGTGTGGATGAAGCACACGGGGGATGAGAAAACACAAAAAGGGGGGGAACACGAAGACAGACGACGTACATCAGCAGTGAGCTTCCGGTAGTTCAGGTCGCCCTTGAAGATGACAAGCTCACTCGACTGCAGGTCGGTCATCAAGGATGGGGCGTCGTGTGGCAGGCGCCAATAGCTTCCAGGAAGTGTCCAGAACACGTTGGGCCGCAGGACGACCTGGCCTTCGGCGTACATCATGCTCCATTCCTGGAAGAGGAAGGCGAGGTCCTGGAGCTCAGCGTCGGTCAGCTTGGCTGGGGCCGGCAGATCCTGGTGAATCTCCTCGTCGGAAGGCGTCTCGAAGAAAGGCTTGGGGTTGGCCAGAGCGTTGAGCAGGGCGCCAAAGTCGCTGGGCAGCACGTCCGACACAAACCAGGGGATGTTCTTGGGATGCAGCACGACGACGGTGGCCAGGCCGGCGCGCAGCAGGAAACCGGCCAGGATGAGGTCGACGTAGAGCTCGAAGCCGGCGTTGTCGAGCACAATGTCGACGCGGCGCTCGGACTTGGGCTTGGCGGCACGGGCAGCCTTGAGGGCCGCATATACCTTGGGCAGGTCGTTGACTAGGATGTTGGCCTCGGCCTTGCGCCGGGCCTCAGAGCCCTGCAGCTTTTGGATGTCGTCGTACGTCAGATTGGTCAGCAGCGAGAGGTCCGTGGCATTGCCCCAGAGGCAGATCTCGCACATCTCTTCAAAGAGCGCTTCCTCGGCTGCGTTGTCGCTGCTGCTGCTGCTGCTGCTATTGCTGTCCATCTGTCGTGTCAGCTGCGCGTAACGGCCTGCAAGCTCCAGAACTGCCGGCCTCGACGAGCGAAAGGTGCGGATCTTCTGGCGCGCAAATACATCGTAGCCCCTCCAGTGCGTCGACAGCCGGAAAGAGGTGCTCATGCGCCGAAACAGATAGCACTCGGCATAGAGCCATGGCAGGCTGAGCCACGATGGCTGGCCGAGCTGCTCGAGCTCTGCGTTGTAGCCGGCCACATCTGATTCTCCGTCATCGCAAATCGGCCTGTTTGTCAGTCAGGGTCTGTGAAAGGAGAGAGACAAGCAAAACGAACACTAGTGGTCGGTCATGCTGCACCTCGTATTTCAGCTGTGCAAGCTCCTCGACAATCTTCTTGCCCTCATCCGCCTTGGCCGGGTCGCTGCTCAGGTGCACAGACCGATACACATCGTCGATGGCCTGGGTCTACCATGGGGTACAAGAGTCAGATCGGGTCGGATGCGTAGTGCCAGCCCCTGACCGCGCTCTCGGGACCACTCACGATGATCACTGGCCAACGGACCCGAGCGGTCTGCCACGCAAATGACGTCTTGTCGGCCGTTGAATAGCCGCCTGTCTTGTCAGTACTGCACAGGACGACTGGAAGTCATAACGTGAACGTCGCTCCAGGGGGAGGCCTACGCTGCTTTGCGTCGTACTGCATCGTTGCAGCTGTCAATTCTGGACTGGTTTTGATTTATGTCTCCGAAAAGCTTCTCCATCCACACTAACGTCCGTCGATTTAATAGCGCGTTTAGCACCTGAGCTCCGGCAGGCGGGGCTTTGCACGAAATCCGGCAGGCGGGGTTCAAGTGCGTCATTCTGCAGGAACCGTGCCAGTTACACTGTACGGATGTGCACGGCCATAGCCTGTTGGGCATTGCCTAGTATATGGTTTTACTGAAGTTTCAAATCATTTTTGAGTTCCATTGCTCCATACTCTGTAGTTCTCTCTTGTTCCAGACGCCCAGTGCGAGATGGCCAGCAGCAACTGAATACGGCTACCAGACCGTTATCGTTAAAAACAAAATTGAACCGGCAGCCTCAGGTCGTTTACGAGATCGTCAATTTAGTATGGCATTTCTAGTCTTTTCATACGCAATACGAGTGGCAGACTTAGCCTTGTTTAACCGACTACGTTTTATTATAGCAGCTATAAGGGACCAAGTACGTGCCAATCTTTTGCCCCTAGGCTTTTGGGTGGTCTTCTGATCGAACAGGTATCATCAAAACTCACCTGGCTAAGACAACGTCCGGCTTTGAAACCGAAAATTTTAGAGCCTAATTTGCTATGCCAATGCTCAGCAAGAATTCATGAATATCACCAGACATGCGGTTTTTACAAATATAGTTTCAAGTCAAGGATAACTTCCAGACCCGCATGATGGCTTGCAGACCATATAAGCATAAAGCTTATTCTGTGAGCTTTATTGTCACTTGTGCTCCGTACTGTATTCAAATCATTTCACCGCCAGTCACTTCCAGGCACTGCCAATCACTGCCGATTATGTTTCGCACTCCAGCTTTGGGTTCAGAGCCCTTCTCAAGCGGCGCTTCTCAACAGAAGGCAACGTTGGTATCAGATGATAGAGCCCGAGTAACGACGGATCGGACAAATCATCTATAAAGCTGATCGTTAATTTTATGGTTTGTATTACGTTGTGTCGGATCATAAGATCTCCGATTGGACGCCACTTCTTAGTTTGTGGGAAAAAAAGATCCACAGATCCTATTGCTGCCCCTATTTTGGCCCCCTTTTTGCGTTTCTATTTTTCTATTTCTTTCTGTTTTTCTATTTTGCCATTCTGCATCTGTGCTTTTAATTGGTTGTGTGACCTAGACTGAAGAGTGGAGAGAGAATGAGTAAACTATAAACGCATCCTTCGCTGTATGAAATAGCAAGAGGAGCTTAGCCAAGTGAGGTGACACAGAAGCCGTCTTGGCAGTACAGGAAACCTGGGCATTTGGCACACTGAAACGAGCTGGTATTGGCAGCTACTATTTCGAAACAACAAAGACCCAAAAATGCAGTTATTGATATGCAAGAATGCAGGGAGGGATTTTTTCAAACGCTTCTCAGAAAACAATGATTAAAGCCCCATCATGAACCGTAACCCAACACCCGCATAGCCCAGCAACACCAGAAGTGGTTTAGCCAAAGGAAAAAGACACCTTAGTATCATGCTATGCTGCCCCAGCAGAAAACCGACGCCAGTAGATGATGCCAATATTGCAAAGCATTAACAGGGTAGTAGGAACGGCAAACATTTGGGCAATCTCAAAAGTATACCGCGTACGGACTGCTGTCTCGATGTAGGGGCCATCCTTGCTGTCTGCTGCACTGGGAGAAGGTGGTAGGCGTCCAGTGGTGAGAAAGGTGTCCATTATGGCGTCTTTCTCATACCACCTCTCGCGCAGCCAGGTGTCAAACAGCTCGGCATTGTCCAGGGGGATATTGTCCACACGAAACCGGCGCCAGTAGAAGTTGACAGATTTTGGCGGCTGGCCCTGGAGGTAGGTCCCGGCCAGAGTGAAGTGCTGTTCTCCAAACTCGCCTCGCCTAAGGACTGTCAGTCAGGAAAACGACAAACGGGATAAGATCAAGGACAGGGTACGTACTTTACACCTTCGTAGGCAACAGTACAATCATAGACGTAATCGACAGAACCCTTCAGTTCGGACAGGCAGTAATACATGCCGGTGCTCCGAGGAAGGAGAACGTGCTCGGTGTCTTTGATTCCGGTCTTCTCTGCCCATTTGGCTGACTTCACGCGCCCGTTATTCGACGAGTTGGTGCCCTCGGGGAATAGAAGCAGCCACATGGGGTCGTAGTAAACGTTTCCGCTGGGGTCGAGGTGCTCAGCTCTCAGCTTCTGAAGACGGTGCGCCATGCGCGGTCGATCGATGGCCATCTTGCGCGACATGAAGATAAAGCCGTAGAACATCATACCGGGGCCGATGATGGGAATGTATTTGAGCGACTCCTTCAGAATAATGTAGATGCTTCCGTGGGATCTCGGTTTGTTGGCATAGCCGACCCACCACAGGTACAGCCAGTCGGTGTATATCTGGCAGATGTTAGGAACTGAGCTCGTCTTGCTTTCTCGGCACTTCCTCCTCGTACCTGGTGGTTTGCAATAAGAACCAATCGTTCGGGAAAGTTGAATTCCACGCGTCCATCAGACAGAGACTTGATCTGGCCGGCCACCGACGCATCGCCGCTGATGCGAATTGTGGTCGGTCCCCACCAGTATGTCATGGTGGTGATGACCAGGCCAAAGGACTGCTTGGTGACGGCCATGTAGTCGTAAAACAGACGCCGGTTGATCAGGTAGAGAGGCGCGCCGATACATTGCGTGATTTGGATTCTGTACGGTCAGCAAGCAGGCAATGAGAAGCTGTCTGGGGGACATTCATACGTGGTGGCACACGTGAAGAAGAACATAATTAGCGAGACGCCCCGCAAGATCTGGATCACGCGTCCGTGCTTTTCCCTTCCAGACGGATGGGGAGCAGCCGCAGGCTTGCCGTTGACGGTAATGGTCAAGGGAGTGGATGCGATCGAGTCGGTTGGCAAAGCGGCTGCATTGGGTTTAACCCTCTGGCGCACCTCTGTAGCCATGGTGGCCAATCCGCTGCAAAAAACAGGGGGGGGGAGGGGTATTGTATAGCGTCGGCAGGTATGACGATGAGAAATGAATCGTTTGGCGGTATTGTGGCCAGGCCCGGGAGCGAGCACGGCGCGCGACTAAGAATGCAACGATGGTGACTTGGACGAGATGCCGGATGTGTTATCTTGTGATGCAGGGATAAAATAACGGCCAGGGAGCCAGTCGAGACGGCAGCAGCAGCAGCAGCAGCAACAGCAGCGGCAGGAGCTATTTGAAAGCAGAGGAAGCCATGGGAGGGATGGCAAGTGGGGAGGGGAGGTCGGCCGAGCTTATGAAGAGGGGTCGTACGAGGGCCGAGATGGAAAATGGAAGGGACGTTCTGGGGATGCCTCGTCTCGTCGGTCGCTGCCTCTTCAAGATGGGGTCGGGGCGAGGCGATGGATGGGTGGCAAGGGCGTCGTCGCAGGGAAGGTGCCACCATGCAGGTGTTCTAGGCAGCAGGACGGCTGCACGCATACGTCGGGAGCTGTCCGGACTGGCCGGGGACGCCTTAGTCAGAGGAGATCGCCTTGCCAAGCCTTATTGTCGGCAGGCGGCCAGCCAGAAGGCCGGATACCCCAAATGCCCTAAAGGAGCTAGGCAGAATGCGGCAAAAGCCCCACCAAGTCAGCGTGTGACTCCTGGAGCATCTGTGTGTATTGGGGCTTTGAAGTGGCCATGCGAATTTCGTCTCAGCAAGCCAGCCACGACCATGTCCGACACGAATATGCCAGCATGAGCGCGGCCGGGATCAGCATCTGTGATACGAGCGACCGACTGTGCCGTCCTGTCAAGAATGCCACTGCACAAGCAGGGGTCTGCTGCCAGTGACGAAAGCCATCTGCTGGAATACGAAGTACTTTTTTTTCTACTTGGGACCTTGCTCGAGGAGCACAGTCCCTTGGAGACAGCATGCGGATCGGGCCGTGTGTTGGCAGGGCCGTCTGGCAGCACCGACGGCCGTTCTCTTCGGCGTCGACGCTGCGCGAGCTGCGCGATGCTGCCAGCCTTCCAGACCGCATCGAGCCGCGATACGAAGAGAGCCCGCCGTCTTCGCTGTTGTCGCTGCACTGGCCGCAGCCTCCGCGCAACATCCTGATCATCCCCAAGCTGCACGTGCCGCGCGTCACGCGGTCGGCACTGGTGTTTGCCGAGCACCTGGCACGCAACTATCCGGACCTGAATCTCGTCTTTGAGCATCGCGTCGCCCAGGCCGTCCACGAGAGCTTGCCGTTCCCCATCTACACGACCGACAGCAGCCAGACACGGACGCTATTTCCCGACAAGATCGACCTGATCACCACTCTGGGCGGCGATGGCACCATCCTGCGCGCCGCCAGCCTCTTCTCGCTGCAGCCCAGCGTGCCGCCGGTCCTCTCTTTCAGCATGGGCACCCTCGGCTTTCTGGGCGAGTGGAAATTCGAGGAACACAAGCGTGCTTGGCGCGAGGTATATATGAGCGGCAGCGGTGTCGCCGTTGACGATCTGGTTGCGCCACATACCCAAATTGCAGCGGGTAGTGTTGGTGATGGTGGTGGTAGTGCTGCTACTAGCTCTGCCAGCTCCGAAGAGAATGCAGAGGCGCTGGCGGCATGGGGGAGTGTCCGCGGCCAGAGTTTGGGGGTCAAGCGTGTGTCGCGCATGCTGCTGCGGAATCGGCTCAAGGTCGGCGTGTACGATCAGGCTGGCGTCAACATCAATGACAAGCTGACGTCCATCCCGGCCACAACGACGACATTTTCCAGCCCGACTCAGCAGGCAAAACAGGTTGGCCCTCCTTGCCCTCCTCGCTCTCCAGTGGCCGCCAACACGCCACCGCCTGCCTTCCATGCTATCAACGAGCTGCTCATCCACCGTGGCCCGCATACACATCTCGCCATTATCGACATCTACATCAACGACCACTTTCTGACCGAGGCTGTGGCCGACGGCATCCTCGTCAGCACGCCCACCGGATCGACGGCCTACTCGCTCAGTGCCGGCGGTGCCATCATCCATCCGCTGGTCGGCTCGCTGCTCATCACCCCTATCTGCCCGCGCAGCTTGAGCTTCCGGCCGCTGGTCCTGCCGCTCAACACCAAAGTGTCGCTGCGGCTCAGCGAGCGCAACCGCGGACGCGATCTCGAGGTCAGCATCGACGGCAAGCGCAAGGCTGGCGTCGGCATCGGCATGGAGGTGCGCGTCGAAGGCGAGGCCGTTGGCCGCACTGCCGACGGCAGCTGGCGCGGCGGCGTGCCCTGCGTCATCCGCGCGCCCCGTCATGGCGCTCGCGGCGTCTTGATGGAGGACGACGACGGCTGGGTTGGCGGCCTCAACAGCCTGCTCAAGTTCAACTATCCGTTTGGCGAAACCCCCGCGGACTGAACTGGGGATAGAGGATGGAATCGAGGCCATCTGGAAAGACATATAAAAGACGTTGTAGAAAATGGCACCTCTCACACGCACAAGGAGCGATGATGTCAGTGGCAGGTGACAAGACAAAGCGTGGAATACATATCAAAATAAGGGCCTGTATGCCGCAAAGGACAGGCAGCCGGTGGAGGTAGTCGTCGTTGAAGTGTCTGTTTGTCTCATTCTGCTTCTAAAACATGAACTGTCATCGTCCAAACACACTTCGACGGCTTGTCCAACAGCCGCTGATAATTCAGTGTATTGATTCTGTATATTTTCGGCATAAATTGCCCTTTTGTTCTTCCATGCCGTCTATGTGTTGTATTGACAAGACTTTTTTTAACGTCTCAAGTCACGTGTGGGTATTCGCTTCGCTTCTTTTTCGGCTGGTTTCGTTTTGCCTTTGAATAGATCAGACGAGTCTCAGCCTGCTCATTGATTTACCTTGCCGCTCGACACCTTGTGTACATCTTGAAGCGGATTGATGCGAAGACATGTGGACGGCTCATCGGCTTCCTGTTGACACCCAAAAGGGTCTGTCATCAAGCCGCACATCCTACTTCAGTCGATCTCTCCTCACGGCGAAGGTCCTGGCCGCCCGTCCAGCCATTTGCTCATGTACGGCCCGTCAAGCCAGTAGCCCAGCTTGGCATAGTAGCTGCGGACGCCTACGCCCGAAATGACGCTGATCTTGTCGCTGCCATGCTCGTCGCGCGCGATCCGCTCAGCCTCCTCCATGAGCAGCGTGCCGAAACCCTGGTGCTGAAACTTCTTGGGGTCGCGCGCATGCACAGGCACCGCCGTGCCGTAGACGTGAAGCTCGCGCACAAGACTGGTCGGCTGGCCCACAAGCTCCTCCCGGAACGTGTACTTTTCCGAGCACTTGCGCAGCCGCAGCAGTCCGACCAGAATGTCCTGCTTCGGATCTTCGTACGCGAGGAACGTCTCCCACCCGCCGTTGGCCGTGTAGTCACGTCGCACCAGCTCGACCTGGTTCGGCCGCACCTTGTGCTTGACCTCGTTGATGCCCACCTCGCGCGTGCGCACGTCCCGACACGTCGTGCCAAAGTCCTTCATCCGCGCCAGCGCCAGCTCTCGCAGGTTGCCGTTCTCCACGCCTGACGTCACCAGTGGCATCGGAATGTCGCGTTGCACCCGGTAAATACGCGTCCATGGAGGCACCAGTGCCAGGATGCGTGCCACAAGATCGACCAGCCCGTTGGGCGTGTAGTTCTGGTACCGTCCAGTCCGCCAGAGCTCGTAGAGGCCCGTGCCGCGAATCACCAGCGTCGGGTATATCTTCAGTCCGTCGGTCCGAAAGGCTGGGTTCTCAAAGTACTCCCGGAACTGGTCGAGGTCGCGCTCCATGCCGACATTGGGCAAGTCCGGCATCATGTGGCTCACCACTTTGTACCCAGCATCCTTGGCCAAGCAGAATGTCTCCGCCACTGCTGCCACCGTGTGGCCCCGGTTGGTGTCACGCGCAACGTCTTCGTACAGCGACTGCACGCCGATCTCCAGACGCGTGCAGCCGTACCGGAGCATGCTCGACAGATGTGGCTGCAGGCAGTAGTCGGGCCGTGTCTCAATCGTGATCCCCACGCACTTTGTGTTGCTCATCTCACCCGCCGACACGGCTTCGTCCACGTTGGACGTCTGGTAACCGCTCAGCGCATTGTGCAGCTGCGCGATAAAGCCCTCTCGGTAGGACTCGGGCAGAGACATAAACGTGCCGCCCATGATGATGTACTCAACCTTGTCGACCGAGTGGCCGAGCGCCTTAAGCTGGTCCGACCCCGCCCCCGGGCCTGTTCAAACGGGTCATATCGTGCCCTAATAGCCCGCATGGACGTGGGCTCGTAGCCTGTATATGACTGGGTGCTGTACTCGAAGTCTGAGTCGGGCCCGCCTGGACAGTAGACGCAGATGTTGCCTGTGTAGGCGATGTGTGGACACCGATGCGGCTTGCACATGACAGCCACAACCGCAATACCGGAAGAGGTTCCTATATGTCGAAGTTCGGTCAGAACTTCAGTCCGGTTTAATTAGATGCGCCTCCGTAGTCGCTATATGCCACTCACGAATTGGCTTGGCCACCAGTTTCGGCAAGATGTATTTCTTGTAGTGTTCCGGAACGGCAGCAATGATTGCCGTCAACGGTGGCACGCCGTTGACCTTGTGTTTCCGGGCATATTTAGATCGGAGGCTGTTCAGATTGATGTCGCGTTGCGCACGCTTCGGGTTCTTGGCAGCCTCTTCAAAGTCTTCGATGAGCGCATGGGCGATATCAGCACAGCACCGAAGAAAGCGCTCGTTCTCGGGCGGCAACGTTTCTTTGCCCCGCTTCGATACGGTTTCTGTCACCGTGGATGTAGCCATTGCAATCGCGTGTGGCGGGAGTTCCTCCCACAAGAAGTCGTGGCGGTTTCCGCAGTTTCTGTCCGCAGTAATACAGAGTGTCTTATTTCGTATGCCCGTCGAGATGCCTGCTAACAACTTTTTTGCACCCCGCCAATGACGGATTGTGGCGCAGGTAAAGGCAAGGCGTGGCGCAAACTCAGTCCCCCGCACCGATGGTTCAACGCGCGGATCGGGACCCGTGCTTTTCCGTTCGCTTTACCGACATTTGGCACTGCAATTGCCGGCGTTTGGCGTTTGTTGTAGGGGCTGCCCCAGCTCGACTGTAGAAACGCTAGAAAGGCGTACGGGCCGCCCACAAGAGCTGCTGCAGCATGTGAGTCGTTTTTTATCGCATTACCCCGTATTAATTATCGGCCACAGCTGTCTTTTTTTAACGCATCCCCTCCTTTCTACTCCAAATCCAGGATCGACTGACCACTTTGCGCTTTCTGTAATTCTCTCACTTGCTTCCGCCCGAACAACCCTCGCCCCGTCGTATCAGAGAAAAGAAACCCAGGTCTTTCGACAAGATGCTCGCTATCTCACGGTGTGCACGGCCGTCGCTGCTGCGACAGGCTGCTTCCCGTACTTACAGCTCGGCGGCCAGCCCTTATGCTGCCACCATTAACAATCTCCGCATCAACTCGGACACCAAGGTTCTCTACCAGGGCTTCACCGGAAAGCAGGGAACGTGAGTGCACCATATGCGCCGGTGCCATGGGCTCAATTGCCTTGCTAACTCAGGTCCTGAACAGCTTCCACGCCCAGCAGGCTCTTGACTACGGTAAATAGCTCTACTCTTGTTCTTCGACACCCCCCCTATATGCGACTCCTTGCTCATGGCCACTGTCTGCACAACAGGTACCAAGGTTGTTGGCGGAACAAACCCCAAGAAGGCCGGCACCACACACCTGGGCCTCCCCGTTTTCGGAACGGTCTCAGAAGCCGTCAAGCAAACTGGCGCCACGGCCACGGCCATCTTCGTTCCGTAAGTAGCCGCAGCTCCACAGGTCGGCATAGATGCTACCGAGGATAGCATCCGATATGACATCATGGTCAGCTAACTTGCATCCCACGATAGCCCACCTGTGGCCGCAAGCGGTATTGAGGAGGCAATCGCGGCCGAGATCCCCCTCATTGTCTGCATCACGGAGGGTATCCCGCAGCATGGTGAGTGTTGTTGTTTTGCGCACAATGGTCCACAAGGATGCAAGTATGTTCTAACACCCTCCTCCAGATATGCTCCGCATCACCAACATCCTGAAAACCCAGTCCAAGACCCGTCTCGTTGGTCCCAACTGCCCTGGTATCATCGCTCCTGGCCAATGCAAGATCGGCATTATGCCCGGCTTTATCCACAAGCGTGGCCGTATTGGAATCGTCAGCCGCTCCGGTACCCTCACCTACGAGGCTGTCAACCAGACCACGCAGGCCGGCCTGGGCCAGTCCCTCGTCGTTGGCATCGGTGGTGACCCGTTCAGCGGCACCAACTTCATCGACTGCCTGAAGGTGTTCCTTGCTGACGAAGAGACCGAGGGCATCATCATGATTGGCGAGATTGGCGGTTCGGCTGAGGAGGATGCTGCCGAGTTCCTTCTTGCCAACAACACGGTCAATGGCGGCAAGCCGGTTGTGTCGTTCATTGCGGGTATCTCGGCGCCGCCTGGGCGTCGCATGGGCCACGCCGGTGCTATTGTCTCGGGCGGCAAGGGCGGTGCCGACTCCAAGATCAGGGCGCTGGAGGCGGCAGGTGTCGTCGTCGAGCCCTCTCCGGCCGGCCTGGGCAAGGCTCTGCGCGACGAGTTTGTCCGCCGCGACCTGCTGTAAATGTGTCCGTCGTTTTACAGAGCCCTGAAGGACAAGCTACTGGAGCGAAACTATCTCAGGTGGTTTGCGAGCATTGCCTTGGACGAGCGGCATTTTTGTCGATGGTCGGCGGCTGTTAATTATCACGAGTGGTTGTATCGAGCGAAGGACCATTGATAGCCTGGGATGCAGCACCGTATGTGAGCTTGGAAATAAGGGTTAATCTACTGCATGACTGTACCTGGCTTTCTTTCATCTGTTTAGACTAGATGGGCAGGTTGGGCGTTTTATACGCGAGGAAGCTTCTCATTGGCCGTTCATCTGCAAGCTCTTATCTTCTCTTGTCCTGCTCTTTCCCTGTTGCTCCATGTGCCTAAGGGCATTTTGTGCTAGACGAAGCCCATATCCCATTACCAGTCTTCGTGTTAAGACGGTAGCGACAAATGGTCACTGTTGCTCGAAGGGGTTTTTTGAAATAATGACATTGTAACCCTCGCTCTCTGCAATTGTATAGCAAAGTCGGCCAATTTCGACAAGAAAAGCATGGCTTCGTAGAAATGCAAAAACCCGTGACCTTGTCTCACCCTGAAATGTGTATCCTCGCAAAACAAATACGCCAAGCTGGGTAAAACGGTATCACAGCTGATGCTCCAAAACCAAATTGGACCAGAAATAGAAAGCAGACTCGGGTAGGAACAGGGGGCGACGAGGGAGAGATAAGCACTGCAAGCAAACAGCCGCTGCAGCCAGACCCAACACAAAGAAAGGGCTGGCATCCCGTAAAGCCTCTATGCAAAGAGTGGTGCAGGAATGAGAACGACGATAGGTGAAAACATGTGCACGCCGTACCTACAGTAAACAGCTACTGCTCGCCAAGCAACCGGGCAGTGATATCGCCCATATATGCTTCCTCCAGCTCGTAGTCTTCTCCGCCGTTTCGGTCGATGCCAACAAAATTAAAGGCCTCTACCACGGCATCAAGCTCAAACCCCATGTTGACGAACCGATCAATCAGATCTTTGTTATAGCCTTGATATCTAAGTGAGAAAGGTCTTGGTCAGCCAAACAGCTGGAAGGAAATTCTGGAGCGCCGTCGACGTTGTCAAGCAGACAGATAACAACATACCTAGCTGGATCGTCTGGTTGCCTTTCTACCTTCTTACGGATGAACTGGCCTGGCGGACCTTGTCGTCGTGGAGCACCTGCATACCTGACGGCCCAGTCGTGGGCAACGACGTTGAAATATTCGGGATCGTCCATCAACATCTTGGCGACCTCGGCATCTTGAGGGTCTTTGGGATTCGGCGATTCAAGGAGCATTCGAAGTGACATGAGCGCCATTTTTATTGTACCCACAGGAGACCAGCCGGTTCCTAGCGTATCGAGACAGATAGCACCCTACAGGAACGGTATGTTAGCCCCTCATGCTTTCGTCTTTAGCGCCACGTAAATGCGGTTCAGTCTTACTGTTTGGCTGCTAATGTTGGGATGCCATATCCGGGTGTCAAACTTGATGATAGGCGATTTGAACGGATACATGTCGGGAATCTGAATGTCCACGGTGTATGTTCCGCCAGCGTAAGGGGTGTCAGGCGGCGCCGGAAAAGTGCCCTTGAGATGGGTCAGGTTGCTGGCATCGACCGGAGCCGCAAAGACACCAGACTTGTCCTTGTCCTGGTTAATGTCGTGCAGCTCCTTCGCAATACGGCGCTCCCTGGTAGAGGTCATCGTGAGAAATCGTATTGAGTAAAGCAAGCTCTCGTGTTCGTGCAAACGAGACTGATGAAATCGTGGAGTGGAGTGTGGGTTCAGCTCTGCTCTTCGTGATTCTAGGCCCACGCAGTAATCACCAACCCAAACAGAAGTACAGACAGACAACAGTTGCGCTTCTGAGCTTCCAGTGAGGTGGATGTATGCAATATCGTGTGAAGTTAGGAAATGTCACAGTAGGGAAACTCTGTACACATTTCGTAAAGCCGTCTGTGCTTGTCTAGCTGGGCGACCTGAGTCTTGCCACGTTTGTTCCTTGGGCAGGAACAGTTTTTGGGGGAGAAAATAGGAAAAATTGTTGTGAAGAGAAGGTTTGCGTGCGCAAACGGGTTACCGCAGCTGGCCGATCTGTCGTTGGCAGTTGGCCAGCCTTGAGGATGAGTGAGGGGGAGAAACTTTGAGAAGGTCGGAAGAAGATCGGAAGAGGAGAAGGGGGGTTCCAGATGTGGGGAAGATCCAGGAGGGGACGACGTAGGCCTATTCTGTAGAGCGTGCTGAGATGATTAAGTCAAGGCGACTGTTTCGGGAGGAAGCATCGTTCTCTTTAAGAACAGGCGATGGATGGGCATTGCCTCCGAAGCGCCCCGCCTCCTCGTTTGGTCCAGACAGCAGTGCTCCGTACCCACATATTGTGCTTAGCGTGGTGGGCGTAATGAGGCGCAATATTCACGTGACTTTCTCGATTACGTTATGGTCTCAGCAGGCAGGCTTGCTGTCGCGTTTCCCCTGGCGCCTGGTGATGGAGTCTAAGGTGCCCAGCTCTTCTGCTGCTGTAATTTCAGCCCTTTCTGTGCTTTGATCATCAACCAAACTGCGTCACCACCAATTATAGTTCACGGCGCTCTGACTCGTCGAAGCTAGACAAACAATGGTACGAATAGGTTTTGGACTCTACTAGCTTTTTGCAAATCGAATATCCGGAGCGGTTCTCTAACGTTCGTTATCCACAGGGTCAAAACCAGTCTGGAATGGGAGGTGGCGGTCCCGGGGATGGCAGGGACGAGAAGGACAAGAAGGTATGTGGTGCAGAGTGTGGGGATGATTGAGGTGATGGGTGGTAACATTGCTGACTGACGGTGCCGTGAGCAGAAGGACAAGCCAAAGTACGAACCTCCGCCGCGGCCGACAACTCGTGTTGGGCGTAAGAAGAGAAAGGCCGGTGGCACCAGCGCGGCGGCCAAGCTCCCTGCAGTATTCCCGACGAGCAGATGCAAGCTACGGCTTCTCCGTATGCAGCGTATTCATGACCACCTATTGCTCGAGGAGGAATATGTCGAGAACCAGGAACGCCTGCGCAAGGCCAAGGCAGCCAAGGACAACAATGCACCGGCCTCTGATCTGGATGCTGGCAGCGACCGGCTGGCCGATGAGCGAGGTCGTGTCGACGACATGCGTGGCAGCCCGATGAGTGTCGGCACGCTGGAGGAAATGATTGACGACGACCATGCCATCGTGTCCAGTACGACTGGCCCGGAGTATTACGTCAGCATCATGAGTTTTGTGGACAAGGACCTGCTGGAGCCCGGAGCCAGTGTTCTGCTGCACCACAAGAGCGTCAGCATTGTGGGTGTTCTGACGGACGACACGGACCCATCGGTCAGCGTGATGAAGCTGGACAAGGCGCCTATAGAGTCGTACGCAGACATTGGAGGACTCGAAGCCCAGATACAAGAGGTCCGCGAATCTGTGGAGCTGCCTTTGTTGCACCCAGAGCTGTACGAGGAGATGGGCATCAAGCCTCCCAAGGGCGTCATTCTCTACGGCGCACCTGGTACTGGCAAGACGCTGCTGGCCAAGGCCGTCGCCAATCAAACATCGGCCACATTCCTGCGCATCGTGGGCAGCGAGCTGATCCAGAAGTACCTGGGCGATGGCCCACGTCTCGTCCGGCAGCTCTTCCAGGTAAGATGCACAGGCACCCTAGCTGGATAAGTGAACCTGCTGACACTAAATCACAGGTCGCTGCGGAAAATGCGCCTTCGATCGTGTTCATTGACGAGATTGACGCCATCGGCACGAAGCGGTACGAATCGACATCGGGAGGTGAGCGCGAGGTGCAGCGGACGATGCTGGAGCTCCTGAACCAGCTGGACGGCTTCGACGACCGTGGCGACGTGAAGGTGATCATGGCGACAAACAAGATCGAATCACTTGATCCGGCCTTGATCCGGCCGGGACGTATCGACCGGAAGATCTTGTTCGAGAACCCGGACCAGAACACAAAGCGCAAGATCTTCACGTTACACACGTCCAAGATGTCTCTGAGCGAGGGCGTGGACCTAGAGGAGTTCATCGCGCAGAAGGACGATCTGTCTGGTGCCGACATCAAGGCGATTTGCTCCGAGGCTGGTCTCATGGCTCTGCGGGAGCGGAGAATGCGCGTTCAGATGGCCGACTTCCGGGCTGCTCGGGAACGTGTTCTTCGCACGAAGCAAGAGGGTGAGCCGGAGGGCCTGTATTTGTAGAGCACTGTACCTATAGCCTTACTTCGCCCCCAATATCAATCACCGTGCGCCTCGCTGGCCTACGCTCTGTATCCTACAACCGTCTACATGCTCTTGCGTAGTTTGTTTTACGCATCGGCGATTACGTAAGCATGCGGCCTGGCCCGGTCAAGCCCATCTGCCCTTGTACTCGCCAGCAGGAGGATGTTCGTAGTGGTCTGAATCGGCCAGGCCGAGATCACCTGGCGTGGGGCCAGCGCCGACATCCCGCAGCAGGCCGTAGTCGATGTCCTGGCGGCCCTCTGCGGCCTTGAGGACCTCCATGAGCTGGCGGACAGCAACTGGCCAAGGGGGGATGGTGGAAGCCCCGGTGCTATTGACAGCAAAGCCAGACGGCGGCTGCTGCGGCCAGGGCACGCGGCCAGAAAGGATCTGGTCGACGGAGATTCCGCGCTGGCCGTAGAACTCAGCGTTAGCATCGGGACGGCCGACGATGATGGTGCCGTCGGCCTGGATGCCGACATAGAGGCCGCGGCTCTTCATGTAGCAGAAGATGGGCCTAGCGCCAGCCTTGGCGAGAGCAGCCTCCACGGCGCCGCCAGCACCGACAGGCCCGGCCACGAGGCCGATCTCGCCGCCGAGCGACAGGCGTGGGTGCGTGAAGGCCTGCACGGCAGCCGGAGTGCGCAGTACACAGACGCAGTCGTAGATGTCGAGGCCGATCATGAAGCCAGCGCCTAGTGTATGGACGAGGAAGCCCGAGGGCGGCGACCAGCTGCCGTCTGGCAGACGGGCGACCACGATGCCAGAGCCACCGGCACCGGAGAGGTGCAGAGCGCTGCGGAAGGTGGTGAAAATGGCCAGACCGGCGGCCGACCGGATCACGGAGGCCGGGATCTTGACCAGCGTCTTGGTCGGCTTGCCCTTGGGCCCAGGCGCCGCACCATCCTCCGGCCTGTCCGTGTAGAAGCCGTCGTCTGCAGGAGTTGTTCCTAGTCAGCGCGGGCAATGACGAGGGGCTGGTAAGGGCCACAGCATACGACAAAACGACCTCAGTATCCGAGCTGCCTTGTTGCTCTCCTGGTCGAGGGACGACGGCCAGAATGCCTCGGAGCCCAGCTTGTGGGTGAGCCGGTTGATCGGCCCACCGGCCTTTATGCTCAGCTGGTACAGACGGTCACGCATGCCCGGACTAGGCGGGGGGGTAGTCTGGTAAGGCGTGCTGCCGTACTGATTGGGTGCGCTGCCATACTGGTTGTACTGGGTCGGTGCCGAAGGTGGCGGTGGATAAAAGGGTTGTTGTGTTTGTTGTTGCTGTCGCTGTTGTTGTTGTTGAGGTCTTGGCGGTAGCGGTGGGCTCTGGCCAGAGGCCTCGCCACCGTACGTGTTCCAATGTGAGGCCATAGTTCTGTGCACCGAGAAGAATATCGAAACAGATTGGACCGAGCGTATGGTTCGAGAGGCAAGAGAAGTGGGAGTCAACCGCAATGCAGAGAAGGAAAGGAGGCACACATTATACTATAGTCGTCAAAGCTAGCATGCGATCTAACAACCACGAGTTATATTTGCATCACTTCCAGCAGTTCAGTAACCATATACAGGCGAGCCTCAAGCAACGTGGCGGGGTCATGCGCTCCAAAATACACCTTTGACAAGTTAGCACAGCCAGATGACGTAAGATACTACCTAAGAAATGCGATACAAGCGCCTGCCCCACAGACCAAAAGGCAGCAGCGCATGGAAGAAACACCATTTTCGAAGCTGTACGGAGTACGGACTACGGAGTACTGAAAGAAACATGCGCGTAGCGCACGATCGTGTCACACGCATAGCCATCGTGTACCATCTTCGTCGCAGCAATGTTTTGCAGACAAGAGATCCACACTGTTCACATGCTAAAAGCACTCGGGCAGCACAGAGACACTGGAACTTTCTTATTTTCTTTTTCTATTGTACCCTGTTCATCTCATAACCTTGCCGTAAGGCAGGTGTGGCAGTGAACTCATGTATTTCCAATAAGTTTTGGCTACCAATGACTAAACAGTATTTGCGAGCTGGCTCTTTACGCAGCAATCGTGACCTCAACCTCGACGCCGGCCTCGACTAGAATATCGTGTTAGCACATGGACAATACACCTGGTGATCGTGGATGGCGGTTCTCCTTACTGTTGACAATGACAGACTTGACAACCTCGGTGGGGGCGTGCAGGTCGATCAGGCGCTTGTGGATGCGCAGCTCGTACATGTCCCAGGTCTTGCTACCCTCACCGCAAGGCGTCTTGCGGGTCGTGATCTTCAGATTCTTGGTAGGCAGGCGGACAGGGCCCTTGACCGTGAGGTCCTTCGAGCGGGCACGCTCGATCAGCTCGGAGCAGACGCGCTCCAGAGACTCGACCTTGCGGCTCGTCAGAGTAATACGGATACGGTGAGCCTTCTGTGGTGGTTGTTAGATCCTGCCACTTTCTTCATCTTAGCCTCAGGGAAACATTGACGTACCGGCTGCTCAGCGAAATCCTTCTCGCCCTTCTGGTAAGACATTTTGTTGGAGAGTGTTAGATTCGAGAAAACTTCTAAAGTGTATGTGTAGACTTCCGTCAAGACTCGAACGCTCAGCGATTCAGCAAAGTGATGACGGCAAATTCGTATGTTGACGAGATTGAAGAGGGTGGATCAAATTCTTTTTTTTTCCCTCCTGCACTTTTCACCACACTTTCGTGGGGAAATTTCCAGGGCAAGTTCGAAAATGTGGGTCACACCCGGGCCTTGTCCATATCACGTGATGCTACGGAGTATGTAATAGGCCTTTAAGCCTTCTAGCTGTACTCCGTAGACGGCAAAACGAAGCCTAGCAGTACAACAAGTAGACTGTTTCGTTACTTCTGCTTCAATTACATCCTGAATGGTAAATCATACAATAAAGAATTGACAAAAAAAAACGAGTGGTGTTAAGGAGGAGCAAAACACACGTGCAAAAGATTCTCTCTCGCCGGGAATTGAACCCGGGTCCCGGGCGTGACAAGCCCGTATACTGACCACTATACTACAAGAGACTCCAATTGTTGGACGTCATCTTTCTATCGTATGCTAGAAGGCAAGGCAGCTGCGATATCACTAAACGAGTTATCACAAAAGCGTTGTGTTCTCGAGCAACATAAGTAGGAAATCTTGTAATCATCCACTGTCTTTATGGTATTCGATTGCGAAACCTATGCAAAGCATTGTCGAGCTGTGACTCGATCTCCTTTACAAAAACCGGTTACATGCTGAATAAAGACTCCAGTGGTACAGTATGAAAACGGCATTTTGAACAACACCATAACCAAGTGTAGGTAGTTGTCGCCTTGTAGGAACCCCATGACCTCCGGTCTGCCATAAGCCTATGTGCAGAGTATGTTTCTCAACCGATAATTATAATAGCCATATGCAACTGCATGATCATGCCGAATCTGGAAGGTCAACCGACTGATCGATGATCGAAACCATATCATAAAAATAAAGCTCATCCCTGTTGTCAACTCCAAAGCGACAGCCGCAGCTTACACGGAAGGCATTTGTGCCGAAGCACATGACTTCAAGGATCGCCTGATGTGCTGCTTCGACTGCTGGAGGCATCATTCAAGGTATTTGCATCATGTAACTGGACCGGTGGCGCTGCATTGGACGGCCCACCGTGCTGGACGGTGCCTGGTCCAGAGACGCCTCCCATACCAAGCGGCGCTCTGCTGGCCCCTTGTGCCACAATCACTCCGGTAGCTGTTGCACCGCTACCACTCGCGTGAATGGATCGAGTGGAGCCTGTGGCTGTACTCGGTCCTGGCTGCATTTCGCCCATGTAAAAGGACATGCCAACTGGGGCAGCGCTTGCAGGAGGCTGCATCGCATCTGAGTTATAGTGCCTCAGGTCGGGGGTTCCATCACTGTCTTCAATGGATGTTATCGGCGGGAGGATACCTGGCTGAACTACTGGAAACCGAGAAGAATGGAGAAATGCAGCCGGGGTAAACGGTGGTGCAGTTGGTACCAAGGTGGACGCCGTTGTTGTTGAAGGCCCCGGAATCGGAATAGGCGAAGGCAACGAGTGAGTTCCATGCATGAGAAGCATGCCCTGATTAGGCAGCTCGGTATCAACAGCCATCTCGCTGAGATCTTCCATGCCGTCGTCGTCGTCGTCAGCAATAAAAGGCTCCGGGGTTCCAAAAGTTGGTTGCTGTTGGGGGGCCGTGTCGTCTATCGTCTCAATGCCTGTAGAAGGTGGTGGCCGTCGGTTCATCGAGACAGTCGTAATTGTTGCACGGTCTCTGAAAATGGCATAAACTGGGTCTCTGTTCAGATGCTCACGCAAACCGGTGACACCGTCGCCAGAGAAAACGCAAAAAACGTCACGCTGATGAAGTGTGAACTCTATGCGGATGTCAGCGAAGCCCATGCAAACAATCCGTCCTCTACTCAGGAAAGCAACATACCCAGGGGCGGGCTACGACAAAACTGGCTCAAGTCCTCTCTGAGGAATGCTGGCACACCAGTAAGACTCAAGTGAGTAAGGCGAGGGCATGAATCAAGCAGCCGAATGATACTCTAGAAAAACAAGGATTGGTCAGTATACCGACTATGAATGTTGAGTTCTGATTGAACTGACCCGGATGCCTAGATTTGTGCAGTAGCTGAGGTGGACACGTTCCAGGCTGCTGTAGCTGTGATACCGGTTCTCCATAATATTCCCATCGGCATCTCTCCGCAGTCTGCTTCTCTGATTCGCTTTTGCCAAAGCATAGACACTTTCGTCAGTGATATTGCTGCACTTGACAAGGCCGATCCGCTTCAGTTTGGGAAGCGTGGCGAGGCGAGTAACAGATTCATCTGTCAGGTGGGTACAGCAGCCGAGATCGATATACCGAATGCGGTTGCAGCTGTGGACAAGCTTCTTGACGGCGTCGTCCGTGATATGGCCACAGTGGCCTAGATGGACATAATGCAAATTCTTGCCGAGGCGGGCAATAGACTGTACAGCAGCATCAGTGATGTTCCTGCACTTCGCCAGAACAAGATTGCGCAGACGAGGGGCGACGTCAATGATTTTCTGGACGGCGCGGTCGGTCAGGCGAACACACGATGTGAGGTCGAGGATGCGCAAGTGTTCAAACACACGCTCGGGAGCCAGAGAGAGAAATGCGTTGTCATCGATGAGTTCGCAGTTTGCGAGGCGCAGCTCGCGCAGAGCCTGGCCTTTTGCTAAGAGCTCGGTCACAGACTGATTTGTAACCTGCCTACACTGGTGTAGGTCGATCTCCAAGATGTTCGGGCAGTGTCGAGCAAAGGCAAGTACAGCGTCATCTGTCAGCTGGCTACAGTCGTTCAACTTGATCTGGGTAGGAATTAGTATGAGCCATATAACGCCCGAACAGTAGATTTAGGCGCTGTCGAGATGAGACAGACTCTCTCCAGGAGGGGCTAATCAGTAGCAAAAGAATACTGTGACGTACTCGTTTAATGTACTTGCAACTCTCAGCCAGTCGAATCATGCCCTCGTTGGAGATCCTGGTACAACCAGACACGTTCAGGCCTTGCAGCCGCTTGCAGTGTTCAGCAATAGTAAAGATGGTAGCCTCAGTGACCTGGTCGTCACCGGACATGTCAAGAGCAAGAAGATGGTTACTGTTCTCGACGAGGGCAATCAGGCCGGTGTCAGTCAGACGCTTGCAGTTGGTCAAGGTTAGGCGCTCTATGCGGTTGCACATGGCCAAAGGCGTGACGCTGCCGTCGCTGACTTGGTCGGCAATAGAGGCTAAGTTCAGTCGTTTTATGAAATCCTTGTAGGAGAAGTAGGGCGTCGGAATGATCAGGGTCTGGCAGATCGACTCGTGCCTTGGCCAATTTGTGCACGCAGGACGATGCCACAATAGGTCGACGGCGTTGCGAGCCCAGCGCTTGCAGGTGAGCATGCAGTGGAGCTGATCCGACGCGGAACCGAGTCTCGCAAAGACCGAAATTAGGATCTCGTTGGGTAGTCGGTTGACCGGAGGAATGCATGGGTCGACTTCGTCAAGGCGGCTGGTATCGGAATCGACATTATCATCATCATTGACCTGCATGTCCTGAATGTTTGGGACACCTAGGGACGACTGGGAGTCATTTGGGACGAGAAAGAAGTCAGACTCCTCGATATCGTTGGGAGCCGGCGAGTTCGTCGACGAAGATGATCGGGACTCCTGCATAGCCACTGCAGTAGAAAGGTCGGTATCCTCAGCCCGTAGGGCAGAGGGCGTGCCTTGGGCCGTCATGACGTCAAGTGACGGTGCTTGCTGTCGTCGCTGGGGGCGGCTACTCGGAGGAGGGTGGATGGGATGCGGCGACGCCATTGCTTGATCGGCTGAGCAACAAAGGCGATGCCGTCGTGCCAAGTTATATCCGTCGTCTGGTATTCCTAGAACGTAATGCCTGCTCTTCTCGTATTCAGACTTGCGGGAAGCAAGTTCCGGTCCAGGAACAGTGGCAAGGACGGATCAAGCTGCTTTCTTTACTTTCTCCTCTTCTCCTCGCTTCCTGCGATTTGACGCTTTAACTATGCCGTCGCTGCGATTATTTTGTTGGAGGCAAAAACATGGATGAGCGAGTTGAGGCCCAAAGAATGGGAGGGGTGCTTTGCTGGGCGAATGTGAGACGAGGAAATGAAAAGGCGAAGAAAAGAAGACGAGAAGGAGACGGTCAAAGAGAAAGTTATTCGTGCTGCACAAAGAGAAGTGGAAATGTGTGTGAAAAGGAACAGAGCGCTGCCGCTGGAGGGAGAAGAGTTAAGGTGACAAAAGGTTGACCGGAAGGTTTAGAAACGATGCTACAGGATGGAAATATACTGAGCAGGGAGGCAAACCTCAGCTCGGCGTATGTTCTGGCTAGTTTTGGCGATTCTAGTGGCGCCGAAATACTAACGGCCCGTCATTTCAGCAGTGGAAGGAGGGGCGAAAGTACGTTGGGGTACGAAGTAGTCACCGCAGCCATAGCTGGGCGTTAGGGGGTGGCCAATATTAGAGGCGTGCTGCGAAACACTGGGCGAGACAGGTGGGTCCCAGCCTCGCCAGGGGATTTGGGGGGCTGCCGTCTGACATTGTAAATAGTCGGCAGGACAGGTCTTGCCCTGGCAACCGAAGACCGGAACATTCAGGCCGTAGCAAGAGACACTATATTTTTATACCAATCCACATTCCGATGAAAGAGGGTGTGACTGGCCGAGCATTCCATCTGCTCGTGAAGTTGTAGGGAGACTGAGACGTTCCTCAGCTTGCAAGCCCCCAGACCAAGGCAGGACGGCAAACGAAAAGTGATGGTGGAGCCAATTGACCCGGATGCCAATTGGCCAGCTTATGTTCGGCGCCTAATAGCGCCTCACATCTCACTGTTTCCTTCAGTGATTTCAATATTGCGGTGGACCAACAGTTTGTCCCGGGAGACCAATCAACATGACATCCCGTTCCTGACCAGTACGAGGTACTTTTGCATAATGTCTCTGGCAGTGTTATTTGGTATTTACAAGTCCTCCCCATACGTTGCAAATTTAAGCAGGCGCTTTGAAATGACTGCTATATATGGTAACAGCAGTGTTTCATTGTCCCTACCTCCTTCCAGCTTTTAGAACTTTAAATAGGTGGGTCCTTTTCGGCTGCTCTTGTGCGTGAAGGCTAGAAATATAATAATAAAGACCATCGCATTTAAAACTTGTAACACCGAAGAATTAGAATCGAGCGTGGCGCATGCTATTTTACCGGTGAAACCCAACTTTGAAATATGCAAAAGGCGCAGTGCGCACGAAAATGCATGCGTACATATGACTGCCTATCATCAGCACCTGACCTGGAGTAAAGGGTCTCAAAAAAGCTTATTGTAATAATAGATCATGAGTTTCGTCAGCTCATGTGTTCGTGAGGCGCCGTACAAAATATATCAGTACTTGCATAATCGTTGCTTGGCTTCGCGTATGTGCATAATGACGTCTCTCGGCCGTTTTACGGTCTTACTATTTTCTCCACTCCAGTCAGGCCACGGCTTTATGAATTTCACTCGTACAACATCCTCCCTCAGCCTGTCAAGAAAACATAAGAGGGGAAGCCGCAACAAGAAGACCATGATTCGAAGGGTTACTACTCGGGTGGGAAGCTGCAGCCAGTTGGCGCCCGCCAAATGCATCCGCCTTGCCACTCCGTTGCAACGCCGCACATTTTTATCCACCGGCTTACGTTCACGCTCCGATAACAGCCGCGCCTCCTTCGACACTCTGAACGTCGAACGTTTGGCTCGCGAGCGCCAGGACTATGACCGAACGCGGCTTGTATTCTTAGCTGCCGGATCGGTTGCCGGAATCATTGCGACAATATACACAGCCTTTCAGCTGAAGAATGCTTTAGAGAAGAATCCAACAAAATTGGACGCTGGGCCCACCTATGGCTCTTCTCTCGCAGCAAGAAAGGTCATCGTTCACGACAAGGAAGGCAATGAGGTTGTGCCAACAGGAGACAGCACCGTGACTGAGTTTCCCCGAACACTTAATGTACCAGTGTTTGAGGACAGCAGCATCTCATCTGCCGCATCGCCGCAGTCAACCAGTCAGTCCGAGCCTACAACGGAATATACACTTGTCGGTCTTGGTGTACGGACTGTGAGCTTCCTCAGCATACGAGTATACGTTGTGGGATACTACGTTGCCACAGCGGATATTGCCGCCCTCCAAAGCCGACTTGTCAAGAGGGTTGATCCTATCGCAACGGCGCTCGTATCTGGCGAAAAGGACGAGCTACGTGCAGCTCTCCTTGACCCGGTGAAAAGTGAAGAGATATGGAATACTCTGCTTGAGGACGGTGTTCCGTTGCGTTCAGCGTTCCGCATCGTGCCAGTACGCGATACCGACTTCCCCCACCTTCGCGACGGCCTCGTGAGAGCTATACAGGCGCGGGCGTCAATGATTCTCCCACAAGAGCAAGTTGAAACGCCGAGCAAAGGTCCGGAGTTTGGAGAGTCTGTTCGCCAATTTCGCCAGCTGTTCAACCGCGGAAAAGTGCTCAAGCGCAAGGAACTGCTCCTGCTGCGTGGGGAGGGCGGCCGCTTAAGCATTGTTTATGACGACGGGCGCTCTTTCGGTCGTCAGTACTTAGGGTCCGTTGAGGACGAGAGGCTTTCACGAGTGCTGTGGCTCAACTATCTAGGCGGCAGCAAGGTAGCAAGTGAGCCAGCACGACAGAGCATTGTCAATGGGGTAATTGAGTTTGTCGAGCGCCCAGTAGGAACTGTGGCGACCCAGGTTGTCTAAGATCAGTATGTGAAAACCGACACTGCGGCGGTGCACGGACTGAGTTCGTCATGATCTCTGTATATATTCACTCTCAGTACAGTGTATCTGGAAGCTATCTCACTCTGGCACATCAAACCCGATAGACCATCTATAGGGTGCAGCATGGGGGTTAGCCTAAAATAAGTGGCTAGCCTGCTTCAAACAGTGCGATATGCGCAAATCATGTGCTATTGCCGCATTTCATCGTTTCGTCATTTCTCAGACTCTAAACCGCACCAGCGCTCGTGAGGAGCTTGGAGAGATCCTTGTTCTTCCGGGCCTCGAGATCCGAGTTGCCACCAATATGTTCCTTCGCAATGAAGATGTTAGGGACAGTGCGCTGGCCGGTCAGCTTCTCCAGGGCATCCTGGACAGCGCTGCCATCGGCTGTGGTCGTCAGCATCAGTGGGTGAGGCGGGAGGCGCAGAAAATATGCAGGCAATGCAACGCACACTCTATATCAAGCTCATACGGAACATATTTAGCACCAAAGCTATCGAGCGTCCGCTTCGCATTGCGGCAGTACGGGCAGTATGACTTGCTGAAGACGACGACAGCGTTGTCGTCAATAAGCTGCTGGGCTTTCTTCTGTGCGGCTTCCATGGCGGGTCCGGTGGCTGTGCTTGAGAAAAAGCGGCTCAGAAAGGACATATGAGGAGGTGAGAACTGTGATTGTTTTGGTGAAAAAAAGCGGTTGGTAAAGGCTGGCGCAGATATCCCGGATGAGGTCTTGTTAAATAGCAGCGATGTCCTTCGTATCACAATCGTATTCATGTGCGTCAACGGAAGGGTGGGAGCGGCAACAGTTGATCGGAGACGGGCTCGCATACATGCTAATAAGTGATTTGTAAAGCGGTGGGTGGGGACTGTGCTGAAAACTTTGGAATCATCATTGTCGGCCGTCAATGGACGAAAGCCGATTGCCCCACTTGGGCTAGTACTTTGAACGGTGAAAGGTACTCCGTATCCTCGGGATCAATACGTGGACGTTTCTCAACTTCTCCCCGTTGTTTTCTCGAAAATTAGTCATATTCGTCAGTGGATGACATAAAGCAGCAAGAATCCTGAATTCTCGGCCTCAAAAGCAGGTACTGAACAAGCTAAGCTAATGCGATTATATACACACGACTTGCGGCGATAAGATAGTTACATAGGCGCAATTAGCAAAGCCACCCGAGGCGTGAGCATAGTAATTCTTATGCATGGTGGCCTTTCAGTTTCTGGCTCGTTTTGTTCAGCGATCTCTCGATACATACAGCATTGCCATGATCTCAAGCCACACGGAGCAGCCAAGCGAAGAGCAACCAGGGCTACGCTATATTAACACTCGTTATTTCTGCTCGACTTCCAATAACCTGCCCCTCTCTTCTGCGCTGTCCTCGTGGTCACGTACGGGTTCGACTGCCACATCATTTGCCGTCTTACGATTCGCCAACGCCGACAATACTCCCAGCGATCCTACAGTGAGGGACTAAGCTTTGAGGCTAAGCCCTTAAACATAGGTCGGCGGCACCTGCGAAGCACCAGCGAAGCAGTCTAGTCAATCTACCCCTCCAACTATCCGACGTCTTTTAGAGGATCACAAGTCAAGGCAAAAATCGGAATCATTTGGCCTCATTTGACTCTCTTGCCCCCTCTCTCTTTCCACCCACTGGTGCTGTGTGTCGTGTCCTGATTCAGGACCGAAACACCCGCCAAAGTGGCGTCCGGCCCATCTGCTCTGGCATCATTGGGTGCCCCTTTTGCCAGCCTGACCAACATCACGTCAGCGCTGCTGCCAAAGCTACCGCCTGCGCTACAGACATACCTTGATACCTCTATCGATAGCGTGTCTTTCGCCCTTAGCAGCTCGAACGCCTACCTGCAGTCTACCACTGGGTTCTCACCTACCACCGTCTACAGCACCGTCGTCGGCGTCTTCGTCCTCGGGGCCGCCAGTACTGTCGCTGCCAAGAAAGGCGGGCCGGTTGCAAAATCCAGCAAAAAGAAAAAAAAGCGGAAGGCCGCCAAGCCAAAGGCCGAAAACATGAGCCGATATGGCTGGCCGTCTGGTCAAAAGCCTTCGCTATCCCCATATACTACATCGCTTAGCCAGGACGGTGTACCGAACGTTACCGATGCCGACTTTGAGTACATCACATCGGATGGCGTGCAGGACGATTATGATGCTCAATTGGCTTTTGACTATGGTACTGGCAGCCGATCTGGCGGCTCCTACTTTCGCCCACCAGACGAGGATATCGACGACATCCCGAAGGACGATGTGCTGCTCTTCCGTCGTGACAAAAAGGTCGATAGAGAGTTTTTCCCCCCCTATGCCATTGGGGATGGAAAGCTGTACACCAGCGATGTGCTGGACCGAGTGCAGCTACTCTATAAATTGTCTGACTCGCAAGCCAAGCGGGTGAAGCTCTATTACAAGGGGAAGCTGTTGAAAATCGAGGATCAGCCAGTGTGCCTTACTGGCGTAAAAAACAACAGCGAAATATTGGTAATCGTCCCTCCGGGAGATGACGACAGTATCTCGAGTAATGAAAACGTCAGTGGCTCGGGAACAGGTCGGGAAAAGACAGCAAAATCAAAGTCAAAGAAGAGCAAGCAGAAGTCCGGGCGAAACACTGCCCAGGAGACGCCATCAAGCCCTACCATTGGATTGGAGGTGCCACGGGGTCGGGACGATGCCAGACCAGGCTCTACAAGCCGTGCGTCATCAGCTGTATCCGGCGGTTCCGGAGCTTCGAAGGTGCCGGCGCCACCTGGGAGCCCCATGGAAAAGCTGAACAATATCGCACTTCACTTTGAGACCAAGCTTTTGCCGCAATGCCAAAAATTCATAGCCCAGCCTCCTTCGGATCCCAAGAAAAGGACAGATGATCATCGCAAGATTTCGGAAACGACCATGCAACAAGTCATTCTCAAGCTTGACGAGGTCAACACAGGTGGTGATAGCGCAGTTCGAGCCAGGCGGAAAGAGCTAGTAACTCAAGTACAAGATACTCTCAAGGAAATGGATAGAAAGATGGCGGACAAGTAGCCATGATACGGTTTGGGCTATGTAAACATGGGTTTCAAAGGTTGGGGGTTGTACAAGTCGGCTGTCTACATGTCTACCCGCTGCTATTTGTGATGCGAATAAAATTCGGTTACGAATCCCTCTGAACTATCTGTTTTGTTCATATGCTCATTTTAGTGTGTATTGCCAACGCATCTTACATGACTTTGGGCATCGCAGTATGGTAAGCCACTGATAGGTGTCTTTGACTTGGAGGGCAGATGTGCACGTGTGACTTCACGTGTCAAGATTCCGGCCATTATCGGTATAGATCACATGACAGGTAGGGCCTGCCAACCCTAAAGAAACGCAGGCAGTGAATTGTCTGTCCTATTTTCCGCCAGCCTACCAGCCCTAGTCCACTTTGATAGGCAAAACCCACACCAAGGGCCAGTCACTGCGCGCAAGTTCGATAATTTTTTATTGGTTTCGGTTTTTTTCTTTCCCTCCCTCTCTCTGTCCAGGCTTTCGCGATCTTTAAATCCCACCACCACACACTCCCGCCCCTCCAGCCAGCGACCACATCCACCAACGGAGGGCAACAGAATCGACACTTCTAACCCAGCAACCCTTCTTTCCCAACGCCCGCTTCGCTGCGGACGATACGATAGATTTCGCACACCATGTCGAGCTTCGAGTCGGTTGTAAGTATTGAGTCTTTCCGCTGGTGCTTTATCAGATTTCTCGCTCTCGCTCCTCCTCTTTACACTGCCCATTGGATAGTTGCTGGCTGTAGCAACTAGCATGGCAAGGAAGGCCTGCAAGGCCTCAATGACCGAACACGGCTATCGCTGCTTGCTATCTTTGCGAAGGCGAGAGAATTAGGGGTCTATGTCGGGGTGGAAGTCGAGAAACTTTAGGGTGGCTTTGCAAAGGACAGCATGAGGAGGACCAGGAGCGAGGAGCCATTGTTACGACCTGTCAAAGATCAACGGCTAATTGCATGGCATTGTTTTAGGTCGTCATCGATGGCAAGGGCCACCTTCTTGGCCGTCTGGCCAGCATTGTGGCCAAGCAGCTGCTCAACGGACAGAAGATTGTCATTGTGCGCTGCGAGGCCCTGAACATTTCCGGAGAGTTCTTCCGCGCCAAGCGTACGTCAACCTTGTTCCGTGCAAAGTCGACTTCCAGCGATGGGACGAGTTTCAGCAGGACCCGTGACATCAGCATAGCTAACATGTCTTCTTTCGCATTGCAGTCAAGTACCACTCCTACCTGCGTAAGATGACGCGGTACAACCCGACTCGCGGTGGTCCGTTCCATTTCCGGGCACCGTCGCGTATCTTCTACAAGGCTGTCCGTGGTATGATCCCGCACAAGACGTCGCGTGGTGCTGCTGCCCTTGAGCGCCTCAAGGTCTTCGAGGGTGTCCCGCCCCCGTACGACAAGCAGAAGAAGGTGGTTGTCCCCCAGGCTCTGCGTGTCCTGAGACTGCAGCCTGGCCGGAAGTACTGTACCGTTGGCCGGTTGAGCCACGAGGTTGGCTGGAAGTACCAGGATGTGGTTGCCAGGTATGTTACAAAGACCACACGACAGGATGGAGCGATTCCTCTTACTGACACCGTGTGCCTGCAGACTCGAGGAGCGGAGAAAAGCGAAGGGTGCTGCCTACTACGAGCGCAAGAAGGTCGCTGCACGGCAACTTTCCGAGGCCAAGAAGAACGCCAAGGTCGACCCGAAGACGGCCAAGGCTCTGGAGGCCTTTGGATACTAGACGAGGGACAATGTACGGGCTTGACGGCTGACGGCCAAACAAAAAATTATTGTGGCGGGAAGCTTGAGACCAGGGCCGTCGTTGGGGCCGTCGTTGGGGCCGTCGTTGCAGCATCTGGAGTATTACTACATATCGCTCATTGTTGCATGCTTGTGTTTTATTCTCTAGATCGGCGGCGCGGAGGTTCAACGATGGGCAATCAATACTTCATTGCGACAACGGGAGGCAAAAGGGATGGGGACTATGCTTTTGACACCATCTATACTGAAGGCATAAGAGAAAAAAAAACACGCAAAACATTCAGGGAAACAAATGTCGATGAAGACATTTGTGTTTTTGGACGACAGGCGGAGAGTGTTTCAAGTAAAACACTTCTGCTGATATAGATAATGTGCGATAAAAAAAGAATTCAAAGTGAATTATTGCTTATCCGCGTGCAACGACCCACAACCTTTTTAATCGTCTATGCCCACACCATAGGCGTCATTTTCGTAAAGGGCCCGAACGGACAGGCCTCTGCTGTCGGCGATGATACCAATGAGCTGCTGGCTTACATCACGGACGTCGTTGTAACGCTTCAGCAAAGCAATGTGAGCCTGGGCAGCCTTGTCTGTAGATGTTCTGTGCGATGAAGTCAGGTCAATGGCCATTACAACTATGAGACCGCTTGCCTGCTCTCTTACATGTGATTAGGTGTCTGCTGGAGCTGAAATAGGCTTGACGCTTGGGTAACGGCTCGAGCAAGTGCAAGACTCTGGGGAAGGGACGAGATGATGTTCTGGATTTAGTAAATTCTTCCTCGTAGATTTTTGGTCCTGATCAAATTCGCTAGCTTACCATCTTGTCGTAGTCTTGCATTTTGGCCTCCTGTGTCATAGCGTGAACATGGCTACATCAAAGAAGTGGACCAGGATTGGGATAAGCGCGAAGACGTAGTGTCAAATTACCAATGCAGATGCTGCCTCGTCTCCATCCACCATGATGGTAAACATCTCGCCTTCTCCTGGTCCGTTGATATGCAGAACAAACCCGTGGGCAGTATTGCCGGCGGGTTCACGACGTGTTGTTATGTGGCCCCATTGAGGCGGCAGATCGGTCCCGTTTCCACGTGCCAGCCACTGCAAATGTTCTTCTAGCTGGCATAGCAGTCGTGTGAGGAAGTTGTCACAGATCTGCATACTTTCTGCGATATTTCTCTTGATAGCTAACTTGGCCTGGGCGAGAAAGCGCTTGTGATGCAGCAGTAGCTGATCATCTTGAAGCAGACGATGTGATGACAAAGGCGGCATAAGGCAAGAAGTGTTTGGTTATGGCTGGCTTTCTCCCTTGTGGGGTCCAAGACTATGGGAAACAGTGGATGAGCAAGAAAAATACGATAGTTCTGCCAGTGACAACAAAATGGGTAGAGTGGGGTTATGCTGTCATACCCCACCAGCTTGTTCACACGCTTCCCTCCTTTATTGTCGAGCTAAAGATCTTGCATGCTTCAAGTTGTCTGATAGAAAGTCAAAGATTACGACCTTAGCACTTCGTTCCCAGCGTGTCCTGCCCATGATCTAATAAATATGGGATCATATCTTGACAAGACGGCGTCCTTGCCCATCCCTGTCCCTTCCAAGATCTTGTTGCCACTGTGCTACCTGATCGCCCCAAGCAAGATCATCTGGATCGATTGCCATCAGAAGAGGGCTATTGCATCGCCTGGGAGCTTCTTTGGGACTAGAGGGACCCTCCAGATCTGAGTACCACCAGTTGAGCCCCAACAGTCTTTGCATTCGCGGAGTTTTGGCTGCCTCTGACCCATTGAGGCGAGCTGCCTCGTAATAGAGATGACTGACTAAGTTTGTGGATGCACAATCGCTTTCAGCTTCGACACGCTTTATGTTCTTATGGAGAGAGGCAACTATGGTGGCCAAGATCTGATGGAACGTATTGAATTTCTCGAACTGCGACTTGCGAATGACGCGAAGAGAAGATGTCGACAATCCATCTGTACAACTCGTCGGTTTACCTTCAAATTTGTCAAGGCCCCCAGTGTTTGATTCTTTCTTACTTGAATCGAGTTTGGGTGTAAAATAGGCATTGAGCCCGGAGTCAGATGGCCCATAGCCACGACATGGTACGAAATCAGTGCCTGTGGCATTGTTTTCGTTATCCTCTGCCTTTGTGTGCTGTATCCCTGTCTGCTTGTCATCGGTTTCATCATGGCTACTTTTATCCTGAACTGGTATTTTGCTGACGATGGTTGGACGAGATTTCCGCCCTAGTATTGAATCTGCTGATGTCTTTTCTTGAATATCATCTATGATTTTGCACCGGGAGGCAAAAGTTTTCACTTTTTCAACCTCCTTGAGATACCGGAGGCAGTTATAGTAGAGGGCGTAACGATGATAGATAGACATGTCCACTTTTCATAAGGGCTGAAAACGGTAGATGACACCAAAAGCCAGATGTGGTCCAATTGCTACATGCAAGAGAAGTTGGAGAACAAAAGAGAGAAGGACTGAGCGGTCTGTTTTGTTTGCAAGTGGTAAAATCGGTTAACGTTCATATGGGATCTAAAAGGGAAGGCGCAGATGAGCAGTGAAGTTAAGACGCTTTTTTTTCAGCATAAGACACTTTACTGCTTTCCGCCTGGGCACAACTCAGAGGTGTCCTGGGACAGCCGCGTCATTACAGCGAATGGGAAACGAACAAATTTATCCTAAAGCAATACCCAAATTGACTATAGTTATCATCTCCAGGTCAGCACTAGTTGTGCAAAAACACCAGGCGTTCATAAGTATTCTTGAATACCGATACCTCATACAACATTTACCCAAGCAGCTGCACTACCAACGTGGCTGTCCAACAAGGCATCCTGTCCGTCTTTTCTTGTGCATTGCCGTTCTGTCGTTTCTTGGTCAAGCAGCTTCAGCCCAGTTCTTCCCTGCATCTTCGCAGAAACAGTTCAACAACCGCTCTCTGCTTATCTTCGAGTGATCTCCTCTCCCTTTCCCTTGTTGAGACAGGTGCTCGGCACATAATCTTTCCAAACACCTCAGCAACACGTCTCTCCCGCACCTTCCTGCGTTCCAGGGCCAGGAGCGCAGCACTGGCTGAGGCGACACTGTTCCTCCTAAAGCTGCTCAACGACCTGCGGCCGAAGTTACCGATGCCGCCGATGGCCGCTCCAAACCCGCCACCTGTGGTACGGCTTATAGCTCGGAGAATGTCCATATCAGAAAGACTTATGGGCGCAAGCTCCCCGATTACTCGGGATAGTGCAGTTGTCAGAAACACGAAAGATATGTTGTGGTATGGGGCTGCAGAAAGGATATCCAGAATGATCGTTTTGTCGTCCTCGCAGGTGGGATCCATGCCACTAGGGCTGGCATTTTTGACACCGCCGAGAGACAGGAGCGGAGCTTGGTCGATTCGTGACCACAGCGGTATCGTGATGATGCCGTCTGTCAGCCCCCGCAAAAATAGCACAAGGACATAGCTCACTACCTCCAACCGAACAAGCGAGGTGATCTCAGGCTCAAAAGCGTCAAGTATCGGCCGGTCGTTATCAAGAGCATTGATGACCGCCACCACCAGCCTCTGGTCTGGCGTCTGGCTAGGCTTTTCAAACGGCCAACCCGGTTTGTCAACAGGTATCCTGCATTCTTCGAGCATCTGCTCATCGGCAATGACACGGTCGGTCAGGTTTTCAATTTGCTCCGTCAGCCTGAACAGTTCCTTTGGTGCCGAGCAGTGAATGTCCAGGTCATATGGGATAGAGCCAGATGCGACGGATCTCTTTCCACTCTTCCCCTGCAGCCGAGACGCAATGAACCGCCGTATCCCACCGTCCGGCACGCGGATAAGCTCTTCCACCGACCGGCCGATCGAAGTTGGCATCCAGACACCACGAACAGGGATGAAGTGGTCCCGGCCATCGACAACACGAAGCACCAAGACGTCTTCCAGCACACCGTCACTGTCATTAAGTATACGGGCAAAGACAAAATCATCCACGAGCACCTCTAGCAGGGCATTCACCGTTTCTCCAGGTTCGAGTGTAACGTTTTTACCCAGGTCTACCGCGTCTGTACCAACTGCACTGATACCGTGCTGTTGGACGAAGGAGGTTGTTAGCCATGGGTACGGAAGACCACCGTCAACGGATGTTCTGCCTCCTAGAGTATCGCTTGTTGGCTTCTCGACAAATGAAAATTCTGCCGGCACGCGACCGGTATTTGCGATTGTCAGCGATGCAGTGGAACAGTGTAGAAATTCGATGGGCCCGAAATCGACTGCATCGTTTGGCCTCTGTCCTGTCGTGGCAGTCGAAGATAGCCGGCCATCCATGATCACGGTGACGCCTGGTCTACCTTCATTTTCAGCCCGGTCAAACTCCTTGGCCACCTCGGCGTGCACCTTGGCCTTCAGTTCCGGAACGACAGCGTCAAAATCCACCGTGAAGACCGACACCACGGGCTTGTGGTCTGATGAAGTGATGCGTTGGTGGGACGTGTAAATGTCCAGCCGTATGCCGTCAGCGCCGCTTTCCTGCTCAGCAATGGGCTCGGCCTCCTCTTCGTCATTGGCTTCGTCGTACTCGTCATAGTCAAAACTGGAAGGATCATTTGCTTGCGAAGACCGACTGTCACCATCGCCGTCGAGGTCCGCCTGGTATTCGAAGAGGACCTCATCTTCGTCGCCAGCTTGGTCAAGCCCGCGTGCCTTCATCTCTTCATCTCTCTTTCTAGCTTCCTCCTCCTCCTTTATCCGCATCTCATAACTCTCTTTGTCCTTGTCGGTGCGGTACAAAATGCGGTCGCACCAGCTGGGGGGGCGCCTCTTTTCACTGGAGTCAAATAGGCCAACCGAGCCAACGTCATACTTGTAGGATGGCAGGAATGCGATGCGACCTTCTCTCCAACCGTTGTGGAGAGCCCTGCGCCCTTTCATTGCTTTGTGCAGCTGATCGTGGGGAAGCAGCGAGTCTAAAGTTGCCTGCAACGATGCTGGGTCCTCTGATGCGTCCGGTACGAAGTCGTCAGGATCGGGAAGAAGCGACACTTCCCCTATATTGTCAGCGCCGATGCCTGCCTCGCTCGCAACCGAAACAAAGGACCTGGGCGACGCGGCCCAAGAGGAAATCCGACTCGATTGCATGTCGTCAGAGTCGCGATCCTTCAAAACGACAACATCCTCGCCGTCAAACGGTTGGTTTGAGCTATTGCCGGACTCTGGTAGGTGGCTGAGGCCGTACTCGCCTCGGGCATGTAATGTGAGAATGCGCCGTATGTCGTCGCCCGGCAGGCCGTCTAGTCGGAAGTTCAGATCGCCAAACCAAAAGGCAAAATCCTCGTCTCCAAGCTTCTCCGGCTCCGAGGTCTCCACCACACCAGGATGGTTATACGGAGAAAACTGGATACGATTTTCGATCTGGCTGACATCCCAGCAACGGCGGTCCAGATGGGATGGATCGTTGCCACTAGATAAGTGGCTGTTGACGAACACCATACTCGTGGCCTCTCCAAGCACAACTTTTGCAGACACAGCACCCTTGTTTCCCAGCATACCCAATAATCCGGTCCCGACGGTTGACGTGCTGGTATGGCTTAGCATGGGGATCACTTCAGGCGATGCGTACACAAGTAGCAGCAAGCCGGCCATTTGCTCCGAGACAACAAGCTTGTAGCCAGCCGGCAGCGCGTCGCCTACAGCTGCTTTCCACTTCTCCAGAACCGGCACGGCCGAAGCACGGCTCATGTATTGAGTGGCGGCATTGAGGTCCACCACTTCCTGGAGACCGAGGACGTAGAGACCAATCTTGTCACCACCTATGAGACGGATGTCTTCTGAGGCATCTTCCGTGAGTGTGTCGCTAGACGTTTCTCGCTCGATAGCGCCGTTCGTGGTGGTGGCGACGGACATCAGTCTCCGGTCAATGCCTTTCCCGGAGACAAACCAGGATGCAAGGTCTTGATCCGTGCCCGGACACGCCGCAACATTCCAGGTTCCGATCTTGACGCGGATTTGGTGTGGGCGAGTGTAATCGGCACGGCGGGTGTACACAGCGCAGTGGAGGGACTGTGGCGTCGGGGCGACGTCTACAGGTTCTGAAGTTTGAGATGGGGGAGCAGGCGAGCCTGGAGCAGGTCCGGAGGGCGAGTCCATCGTGGCTCTCCCTGTGCATAATGCGATGAGGGTCGTACGGGAGGGTGGAGCTTGAGAGCGAAACGGATGCCGAGGGTTCTTGCGGTCACAAAAGAGGGCCGACCATTGGTCTGAAGCAGCGATTTTCAGAAGTATGCGATACAAGCCATTAAGTTTTCATAGCATCAATCCGGCTGTAGCCGTGAAACATGGTCGTGACCTAACACGGTGAACTCGTTCGCTTTCGGCTAGCTGCTGGCGCAAATGAAAGCGCGCGAGCTCTGAAGAGTCGAGAGGGGGCGGTAACAAGCAGCGGAACCAGCAGGTTGCCCAAGGCCAATAGATGAAAGGAAGTGGTAATGAAACTCAGGCAGCAAACCCCGAATGTGTAGCAAGAGAGCCGGATGCGGCGATGGCAGAGAGCCTGACTGGTAAGAAGCTGAAGGGGTTGCTAAAGAAAAGGTGAGACATCATTAGCACGTCTTGGACACTGTGTTTGGGTGCAAGAAGCACCGGGTTACGATGCGAGCACACACCGTTTGTTTGCACGGTGTCGATAACACGTTATCGCGTCTTTCGAGATCATCTATTGGTGGCAGCCCCACCAAGCTTTGTGGCAGTTGTTGTGGATGCGACGACTACGAGCAGCGAACTACGAAACACAGCACGAGGCGAATATTGTTTGAAACGAACGCAGACTTCCACAACTTTCCGCCTTCACGACAGGCATTGCAGCCAGAGAACCTGTGAGTGTTGCACAGTCTCGCGTCTTTGTCGCCAGACGGCACAGACAAGATGAGCCGCCAGACGCCAAGGAGGAGTCGGCATCAGCAGAACCCAAGCGGGGGTGGCGGACGCCGGGGGCAGCAAGGGGCAGCAGTGGCGGGGCCAGACTATGAGACAGGCTACGAGCACAGCGGCAATGGCAACGGCAGCCGCAGCTACACGGACACGAACGGGACGGGACAGAACGATGCAGACGGGCAGACGACGATGCTGACGGAGCAGCTGACGGGCATGAACCTGCAGGCGCTGCAGCAGTACGAGCCCAGCATACGGTCGATCCTGTCGGTGGCGGCAAGCACGGTGGTGTACGTGCTGAACTACGAGACGGGTGGCTGGGAGAAGCCGGAGCCGCAGGTGGAGGGCACGCTGTTCCTGTGCGAGCAGGAGCCGCTGGTGGTGGGCAGCTTTACGCTGCCGCGTGCATGCGTGTTTGTGCTGAACCGCAAGGGCCTGTCGAACGTGGTGGTGGACCTGGCTCGGGTCAGCGAGGCCGAGGTGACGGCAGATCTGATCACGCTGCGAGTCGACTGTGGTGGCAGTGATGCGCGGACGCTCGACGAGAAGCCGATGCCGCCCGTGCTCGGGTTTTGGATCCACGGCGGCACCACCAACACGGCGAGCACGTTCAACCCCGACGTTGTGCTGCAGTGCTGGCATGCCATCCGGGCAACGCTGGAGCTTGCTCTGGGAACGGCAGAGACGGTGGAGACAGCGCCGGTCCTAGACGCGGCAGAGCATGCGGCAGCTCTGGAGATGACAGCAGCAGGCGAAGATCCAATGGGGAAGGCCACGCGGGCTATGGGACGGCGGCCGGACATTTACGAGCTCGTCGCCACGGCGCAAGGGTCGAGCGGCGGCGGGCAAACTGCTGCGGGCGCGTAAGCGACACGTGACCGACATTTTGGCCACAAGAGTGGAGGACCAAAATTCTCAGGGGTTACGCTGTAAAGCCTTTGGGCTCCTTGAATCCAGTGCGTGAGCACGATGATACCACCATACGATTACGAGTACAAAAAGTACGGATGAGGATACCCGCAAACATGTCTTACTACTTTCGTCTGTCGGGCGCGGCTGACAGCACCTAGCCGCGAAGGATATATCTTACGGATGTCCCAACCGAGTCCCGAAGTCCCAACCGAGCCGAATTCCTGCACGTACAAAAAAGGGTTGTAACTAGATACCAATCAGAGGTTTGATGGAAACTTCGGGGTCTTTGGAGCCCGGCTTGCGAAGCCTATTAGCAACGCCCATGCTATCTTGATAAGACGCGAGAGAGCTTCTTGGCTCTCGTAAGATTGCATGCTGACACCGTTTTGAAGATACTTTGGCGCTTTGTCCGTCACGTAAAGTGTCGCTGCAGACAGACGTGCTTTACGACCGGAAGCTCCTTCATGTTGTACTTCCCGTATTCTTTGCTATCCCCTTTTCCGAAATTCTTTATTACTCCTTCGTCTTACCCCAGCCAACTTGATGGGACTCATGTTGCGAGGACTCCTCTTGTGAGGCATCCATATATATATATATGATGGCCCCCCTGCACTCCACAACCTCCTTGTCGTGTTCAGTATGATCCATCACGTGTCTTTCTCGCGTCGCAACAGAGCAGCTCGTCCTCCCAGCCAGCATGTCTACGGAGTCTGTCTTGGATCTTTGGCGGTTTGCGCGGCTGCCCGTTGAGCTGCGGCTCAGAGTGTGGGAAGCGGCCTGCCCGACACCATCAATGCAACTCTTCGACGTGTGTCTCCCACCAGAGTTGCCACAGACAGAAGAGGGTGGTGACTCGGCCCTCCGAGAGTTTGTGGCAACAGATGAGGAAAGCCGTCGGTGTGCGCAGGTTCAGGACGCGATCTTCTTCGACCAGCACCGTGGAGAGCAGCAGCAGACGTTTCCTGACCCTTCCATGTACCGGCAGAGGATGAGGCTAGAGGCGGTGTGCTTCGACGCGTCCCTCGCCGTTGCGCTGCCATCTCTGCCAAGACGTCCTGGTGGCCGGGCTGCGTCAACTTCGGCTGCATCGCCGTCCGCGGGCATCTTCACGAGCGACGTCAACACAGTCTATCTGCCGGGGCCGCGCCGTCTTGTGCACTACAACAACCAGACAGATGTGCTGCATCTGTGTTTTCCACAGCGAGAGAACGCGTCAAGCGCCACGACAGGGACCGCACCAAGAAACCGCTGTACAGTGCTACGGACGGCCGACAGCGGCAACAGTCTCGATCTCGGCAGCCTGCTGGGTGCTCGATGGAGCGACGAAGCGGCCGAGACCATACGGACGGCAAACCGCATTGCTCTGGACGCGGGCGATATGGTCGCCATGATCAGCAAGATGGCTAGTCAGGACCTTGAAGACGGCATTATGTTCCTAGCCTGTATGCTGCAGCAGCATTTAGAGGTGCTGTACCTGGTGGACTATTGCGTGGGCCGGTGCCAGTGTTGCGGACGGCAGCAGCTGGACGCCTGCGCGTCAGTTCGTGCTGGCGGGACCCTACGTGCAGGTCTCCATGGTAACAGCGAGGGAGTTCTCGGCGACAGCGAGCAGCAGCGGCAGCCCGATGTGATCTGGGGTGTGAAGCGGACATACCGCGAGGTCCTAGACTTGGAGAGGCTGAGATGGACGAGCAGTCACCTGGCATACCAATTTGCGCGGGCTATTGGCGATGCCATCCGAGAACAGCAAGCGTTTGGAACACAACCAGGGCAGTTTCAGGGGGTACGGGTTTTGGTCGCTGAGGATCAGTAGGCTGCAGCGCGGCAGCCGTTTTGGTTCGCTATTTGCTTTCTCATCTGTGCTGTTTTGCTATCTAATGTCACGAAGCGTGCAATACAATTTTTTAATTCCATCTGGCCGTTTGGCGACATCATTCCGTCTCTTTCACTGGTCCTGTGATGTCCTGTTTGTTCCATGTGATTCGATAAGACGGATTTTACCCCAGCTCCCTCAAGGAGAGGATGATTCCTACGAGTCGGGTTCCATGGAGTCTTCGATTGTGCGTCTAGGCCTGGGCCTCGACGTTTTGTGCTTCTTCTTCTTCTCTTCGATCATCTCGTTGGACTGCTGCGCCCAGTCGTCGGTGAAATTTTCGTCATTGCTGTCGACCACTGCGACAACCGAAGACCGGTGTTAGCATGGCCGATGACCGGCAAGTTCTCTTTGAAGATTTCCTACCTCGTCGTGCAAAGTGTTCCAGCAGGTCTTCGTCGGTGTAGGTTCGCCAACGGTCGTGGTATTTGCAGCCGCCGGTGTTGAAATGGTTCCAGGCCCGCCTGTTATGGAAAGGATGGGCACGGAAGGTCACAGCCCTGAGGTCAGAGCCACGGTCGCAACGAAGCACGAACCATCCCGGTCCGAGAAGATGGTGCTGGAAGATGAACTCGTCACCCTGCACCTCCCAGGAGCTGATGGGAGGTCTCTTTGGCTGCAGGTGGCCGTGTGGCATGGCCATGGGAGCAGAGGCCAGAGACGGGACCGCGGGAAAGACAGAAGGAACAGCGGCCGGCTGGATGCTCTGGGATTGTCGCGGTGCAGGCATCGGTCGAAAGGCAGCCGGTGGGATGACCTGCTGCTCGACGGCAGACTGAACAACAGTCGGCTTGATGTCCTGGGGTTCGTGCGACAAAATGTCTGGCCGATAAGCAGCTGACGGAATGGCCACCTGTCCAGCAGAAGGGGATGACTTGGGCGCCAGAAATGCCGACATGGTAGACTGTCGTCTGGCCAGTTCTGGCTGCCTTCTGGTCGGCTTCTTTCCGGATACAGGCAGGTGGTTGGAAAGGCTTCGACCGGGTCTCTGCACAACTGCAGGCGTGAAAGAAGCCGTACTGGGCTCCTGGGCCTGGCGATTGACCGGGGCTGTCTCGGCTCGCTCTTGGGTGCTCTCATAGTCCATGACATCGTCACTCTTTCTGTTGTCGGCAGTGCTCGGGACTGTCTGGGGGTTTGTACGCGAGGCAGGTCCGTTGCCAGCGAGCACTAGGATCTGGCGAAGATCAGTGGGAACCATGTCGTCCAGACCAAGGGCTCGCATCTGAGCAGCCCTTTGCTCGCCTTCGAACAGAACCATTCGAGAAAGCACGGCGGCTTTCCTGGCGTAAAAGTCTGTGACGAGACGGCGCAGTGTCTCGGCGGCTGGCTTCAACAAGGCGTCGGACTGATCGCAGACGGTCTGAAGCTCGCGCTGCCAGTTGGCCATGCTTCGATTCAGCGAGCTGGTGCCGACATCGATATCGACATCGACATGGGCTGCCCCAACGGCTGGGTCTATTGGACGAAACATGTCGAAGGGTGGGCCTAAAGGAAGAAGATGGAGAAGAGCTGATATGAAGCAAAACAAGGTGAGCAGGGACTGAGAAGAGCGCGGCTGCTCGCCTCGAAACAGTCGGCACTATTATTCCCTGTTTCGGCGAAACAAGTGAATGAGGACGCGTCAAGACAGCAACCTCCCGGCTACAAGTTTGAATTATAGCCAACGATGCCCTCGGCCAACACTGCAGTGGAGGCCATCTGGCCATCTTCCGCCGAAGCACAGCACACAGTAACTCGACGGCCGATGATGCCGTTGTTTCCGTGTCGGTCGTGTCCGACATGCAGATACAGCGGCTGCTCTAGCTGCCGGGTGACGGGGACATGCCGAGCAGAGACGGGCCGGTCAGCCAGGCTGGATTCCGGCCACAGCGCAATGGCACCGACACTATGACCGCTGCAGACATGTGGCGTGCTGAGGTCGCCAAACTCGCTGTGAGCGGACGTGCCTGTCAGCAGCGAGATGCCACGGTGCCCTTGTGTCCGGAAAAATGACTGCTTACTGGATGTTCACAAACAGACGGCAGCCCTGTTCACCGGCCAGCGATTCGGACGGCGAGAACCGTAAGTGCGTCGCCAGCTGGCAGTCGTGGTCGGCATCGTTGAAGAAGACGATGCTTCCAGAAAAGCCTTGCTGGCCAGCCGGGCTCCGTGGTGAGGTTTCAGACAATGGGCTCAGCACTGCGAGGGCACCAAACCGGTCACTGCAGTCCTGGGCCAAGATGTCTCCGCCACACATTTTGAAGGGTACGTTGGCGATATAAAGAGAACGACAGGTTGGTTGCTGCTTTACTCCTGGTCGACAGTGGCAGCTCAGCGGTGGCTGTCGACCGATTATAAGCACGACAGATCACAGAACACGGCGGTCTTTCCCCCGTGACTAAGATGAACCCCTTGTGGTTTTCCCAAGTCAGCCCCAGAGGAAGTGCGGCTTCGAGATGGTTTGAGCAAGTTTGCGCGAAATTGACGCCAACCGTCCGTCAGCCAAAAAAGCCAGCGACTGCTTGGCTGAGGCTACTGGCAGACAACGTTTGTCCAGAAACACAGTTCTTTCTAAAGCTTACCATAAGCGCCACCACCAGGACCATGTCGACAAGACTAGAAGATCACCAACTAGGAGACAGCCGGGAAGAGGTATCTACGCGGCCGTCAACAAGGCCGTCAAACTCCGTCTACTGTAAGCAGCGCCGGCAGAGAATGGTAGCCTGAGAGAGTCTTGGACACCTTTGAGCAGACATGGTCGCGAAGGCGCAGCAAGATGTGCAGCTTGGATCAGCAGCTCCATTGAACCCGTCCTCTATCGACATCGTAAGTTGCACCCGACAGGAAGGGAGACTGACAAAAAGCTAGCTGATCTCTGTCGCCACAGCGCCCTCGCAGCAGCCCGACCCAACAAGGCCAAATGCGAAGGCGTCGGGCGTCTGCTCGGGCATGGCTCCGACCTTCACGCAGACAGTATGATTCCAGTTGCTGCTGGACCTCCACTGGCAGCAGCGAGTTCCACTATGCCCGTCGTGGCGTCTTTAAGAGCTATCTTACAACACCGACACCTGCTGGAGTAAGCTCTACCTTTGACGGTGGCGCAGCATCAGACACAAAGAACACAGAACGGCCGGGCGGCTACGCTTACGACGTACTATGTAAGCAACGCACACCGTCAAAGCCGGCAAGACAGAGAACACAAAGAGTGCAGTGGATGCCTTGGTTTGGGACTACGACGTATGGAGAACGAATCGTCAAAGGGTGGTAGCCAAGGGGCGATGGAAAAAGGATCGTCGGAAGACGGAGAAAATGCAGTTCTGATCATACATAGTATGGGGTAGCGCCAAGGTGAGAGCCAAAAATCGGTGTGTTCAGTAAAGCTCTGGGTACGGAGTACTCTTTGGCATGAGATACAACCTGGGAGATACTTGCCATTTCCCACACACAGTGCCAAGTATTATGCTGTTGCACTCAACGAGATAATCTAATATCGATCCCGCTATTCATCGCGGCCGTTACAAAGGGGGGGCGGGCCATGGATGCAAACAGAAGTGGACAAGCAGGCGGAAATGCCAAGACAATCGCCGCCTACGAAACCAAGCGGAGGCCGGAAACATTGCATGTAACACTGGCCTCTGCCAAGGCTTTGAGCACGAACAGCAGGAGATCAGCAACGAACGGAGCCCTCCGTACACGTAAGATATGCTTTTATGATAGGAATCTTCAGCTGCGTCATACGGAGTACGCGTGCGTCGTCGATGCACCGGCAGCCAATTGCAATTTATCATCCTCTGTACGGAGTACGGAGAAAGATATCTTACGAGTACATAGTACAGACCGCTGCTACTAACGGATGTGCGCTCCGTATTGCCGCGACTTTGCTTTGTGCACCAGCTCGCTCCTTTTGACGCGCGGCATGTCCGCGCTAAGTCCGTCGCAATACGAACCACCTGGAGAACCTGCATTCTTCAGTGCTGCCACTGGATCGCTGCTCGTTGCCAGTGGAACCCTCCCCCTATTGGTACAGTACGGAGTACTTGCGTCGTCTCGGCCTGGTGGGGCCCTCTGTCACTCCTTATGTGCTGTACGATAGCAATGTCTCAGTTGCCATCTGCTGGCACAGTGCATGGAGCAGCCGGCAGGCTCGACCCTACCATCAGAAGATACGAGCAACACTCCCTCCGCCGACGAAGCCCATGTACCTGCTCCACTCCTCGTGGGGCCCTTTCACAGTGTGCAGCCCGTCTCCACCTGCTGCGCCTCGCATCAAATCTCCCCTGTCCTGGAACAGTCGGTCGGCCGATCCAATGAATCCACCTGGTGTGGCATACGACTACGGAGTACGGCGCGCATCAACATCACCACCAGATTTTTCCCCTTTTTTCTTTTTCCTGTTTCAGCCCGTTTTCTTTTTCTCCCTCCGATCGGCTCTCATCTATCCTTCCGTCTTCTCATCTTCATTGTCTCTCTTTTTGCACACCCGAGCATTCTTCTTACCAGGAACGGTCGTTTTTGGTGAATGCTACACGTTTTTCTTTAAACCTCTTTTTCTCCACGTCTTTTACCTATTCGTACGCTCATTCAGTCCATCTTTTCCTCTCTCCGAGACGACCGCACGACCTGCCGTCCTGCCCGTCCGCTACCTGCCCGTTTCCGGAATTTACATCTCATTCTACAAATCCTTCTCTGGACCTTTTGACCGTCAACAATCGCCAAGATGGGTTTCAAATCTGTCGCACTCTCCACGCTGCTCCTGCTTGGTCAGGCCGCAGCAGCCTCTACCACGGCTTCGGCTTCGACTGCTTCCACCTCTGTCGAGCCGATTATCATGAAGGTGAGATTCCAGCTCTTCCGACCGTCTGGGCCTTCCGTTGCACATGCTGACTCCCACTCTCTATCTAGGGCACCAAGTTCTTTTTCAAGAACGGCACGCAGTTTTTCCTCAAGGGTGTCGCTTACCAGCAGGACACGGGCGCCGCCGGCACCACGACCAGCACCACCTTCATCGATCCTCTCAGCGATGAGTCCAACTGCGAGCGTGACGTGCCGTTGTTGAAGGCCCTGCACACCAACGTCATCCGCACGTACGCCATCGACCCGACGGCCGACCACAGCGCCTGCATGAAGCTGCTGGCCGCGGCCGGCATCTACGTCGTCTCTGACCTGAGCGAGCCGTCCAACTCCATCAACCGTGACAGCCCGGCCTGGAACACGGCCCTGTTCAGCCGCTACAAGGCCGTTGTCGACGAGATGAGCCAGTACGACAACGTCATCGGCTTCTTTGCCGGCAACGAGGTCACCAACAATGCTACCAACACTGATGCCTCGGCCTACGTCAAGGCTGCCGTCCGCGACACCAAGGCCTACATCAACTCCACGGTTTCCCGTTGGATGGGTGTGGGCTATGCCGCCAACGACGACGCTACCATTCGCGACAAGATGGCCTACTACTTCAACTGTGGCGACCAGGAGAGCGCCATCGACTTCTGGGGCTACAACATCTACGAGTGGTGCGGTCAGAGCACCTTTGTCAAGTCCGGCTACCAGACGCAGGTTGAGTTCTTCTCCAACTACTCTGTGCCCGTCTTCTTCGCCGAGTACGGCTGCAACACGCCTAGCGGTGCCGCCGGTCGTATCTGGGAGGAGACCACTGCACTGTACTCGAGCGAGATGACCGATGTGATCTCCGGTGGCATTGTCTACATGTACTTTGAGGAGACGAACGACTACGGTAAGTTTTACACCGCCTACTGGTTTCTCGTCCTATCTCTGTTCTGCATCAATTTTCTAATAAACGGTTCTCCACAATAGGTCTGGTGACCGTTGACGGTACCTCTGCGTCTACCCTGGCGGGCTACTCCCGACTCAAGTCGGTCATCGCCACGGTCAGCCCCAGCTCCACCGCCATGAGCGCCTACACTGCAACCAACAGCCCGGCCTCGTGCCCCACCATTGATGCTTCGTGGAAGGCTTCGGACACTCTGCCGCCCACCCCTGACAACACCACGTGTGACTGCATGTACAGCTCGCTGTCCTGCATTCCCGCCACTGGCCTGAACTCGAGTGCCTACGCCGGCCTGTTCGGCCAGGTCTGTGGCCTGAGCAGCAGCGCCTGCGCTGGTATCAACGGAAACACCAGCACTGGTGTCTACGGTGCCTACATCATGTGCTCTGCTGAGCAGAAGGTCGCCTACGTGCTGAACGAGTACTACAAGGAGCAGAGCTCTGCTTCCACCGCTTGCGACTGGGACAGCCAGGCACAGGTTGTCAAGGCAGCCTCCGTTGCTGCGTCCTGCTCTACTCGTCTGGCAGCAGCCAGCTCTAGCAACAGCTATGCCGCCACTGCCACTGCCAAGGGCACCAGCACCAGCAAGACCACCAGCACCAGCAAGTCGAGCAGCTCGAGCAAGAGCGCGGCTGCCGGCAACCCGATGCGCAGCTTGGGTGATCTGACTGTTGGTCTGTACGTGGTTGTTGCCATGCTTGCCGGTGCGAGCATGGTTCTCCTGTAAGTAATCAACGATTCACGTTGCCGCGGATTGGTTTTCTTTGGGGCGGGTGCATGTAGATGTGCATGGACGCCACCTGGCCGTGTACGATGGAAGAGACGCGGATTGGGAGGGGCCTCTGTATCTGGTTACCACGTTTGTCTTCCGTCCTTTTCGCCTTGGTTTTTGTTTTCAGTTTTCGTTCACGGTGTATCTTCCGTACATAATAGCTTAAGCTTTTTTTTTTTCCTTTGCATACCTGCTGTTGAGTGAGGAGTGCTTGTGGAAACTGCCGAGACCGAGTAAACATAAAGCGGCTTTGGTTAACAGGTTGATCATTGCACATATGCGATCCAGCTTAGCCGGTTTACTTGTGCGGCGTACCCCGTACTAGGCATGTTGGCAGACGAAGATTGTCTAACAACGATCACGAAATGTAAAACAAGGGGGGGGTTCCAGTAGCCAAAGGGTGTTGCAGAGATGAGAACACGAAAATCCCGGGTTCTTAAAACTGTCGATGATGCACTCACCTGCAAGAGCTGTGGTCAGCAGATCGAAAGACATTCGATTCTTCACGAGCTTCATCGTGAGAAGTATTCGTCCACTCTGGCTGTTTGGAAGCCAAGCTGATAACCAATATGAAAGCAAGCCTCGTCAGGCTGAGAAGGCCAAAAGCTTCTGGGAAATAAAATATTGTGGTAAAATGACAGCACCTCGTGGCCCTTCCTGCAATCTATATTGCCGCCTTCGCAACCTGATCATGACAGAACTTCGTCTACAGTCCATTGCTGGCACAACTAAAGACGCCGCCTACTTGACCCGCATCAAACGCGTCAACGATGCTCTGTACACTTGCATACGTTCCTGCAGTGAGGAAAAATAAGCCGATCAAAATGATGAAAACGTTCAGAGCGGCGAGCAGTATTCCGCTGACATTCCGTTCCTTGACGAAATCCAAGCCGCCGTCAACTTTGCGCATGCGTAGGTAGGCCACGCCCCAAAAAATAAAACCAAAAAAGCTGTCGAACAAGGACGACATAAGCGACAGAACTAGATACCGAAAGAGTCAGCACAAAGGTGTTAGGGCGTCCAAAAACACCGATGGAAGAGGTCATCACGTACGATCCGAAAAAAAGGGAATGACTTCTGCAATGATAAATGCAAGGATCCAGGTAGCCACTAAAAGCTGTGTTAGTGCGCTCGATCAAAGGGAGTGAGATACCAGTTGAATATGACGTACGCAGAATGAGGGCCCAGACGGACCAGCCAAGAACAGTGTGCTCGCTCTTGTGGCGAGTGTTGTCAAAGATTCGGAAAAAGACAAATCGAGCAGACACAGAGGCATAGAGCACGCCCAGGAAGATAAGCGTCGGAATCATAAAGGAGAAGGCGACCTTCTTGTAGAGCGGCTCCAGGGAACCAAAGGCTGGTGCGGTCATATACTGGTTTCCGGTATATGCATAGACAACGCTGCCGACTATGCTGAAGACGATGATTTCGGCAATAGTACAGGCCCATAGTGCCTTGGGAAATTCTCTGAGGAGATGAGTATTAGCAATTTGCGATTATATAAACATTGATGCGCCATTACGTCTTACCTGGGGTTCTTCATCTCGGCGATAAAGCTGGGGAGGGTGATCTGTCCGATGAACGTGTAGCTGATGTTCATAAAGGCATTGAGACCAGCCACAAAAGTGGTACCGGCTACAGGAATGGCCGTGACGATAGGATTACCCCCAACGGCCTTCGTGCCATCAGCGGCAGTGAAAGATGGGCGTGGGTCGTAGCCCGCAGGGTGCTTCTCAATGCCGGCAAAGATGGTGGCCAGCAGAACAGACACGAAAGTAAACAGAGCAGAAGCAGTTCCTAGCTTGGACAACATGCTAAAGGTCCGAGGCAGCGAGCACAGCCAGCAGAGAAGAAACATGACCACTCCAAAGCTGACGGTGCGGCAGGCAATGCTGTCGGACTCGGTCATGGTGTTCAGGTACTTAGCACCAACAAGCACATGGAGGCCCTGTCCTGGTTAGTTGACGGATGGGGCGCGTGGAGGCAGAAAAGCGTGTCCGTACCTGGATGAACTGCGGAGGTGTTAGCCAGGAAGCAGGGACGATAAGCTGTCACACATGAAACATTCAAAAGCTTACAGTATTGTTTAACAAGAACATGAAAGCCGTAGCATACCAGGCCCACTTCTTGTTCCAAAACAGCATCTGGCCAATGTCGCACACGTCGCGAACCTCGGGGTGACGCAGACAGAACTGCCAAAGCACAAGAGACCTGCACATCGTTAAACAATTATGTGCAAGAGATGTTGGGTGCGGTAACTCACGTGTAGAGGACAAAGGCAGCAACCACAACAGTTAAGATCAGGCTGCAGGCAGTTAGTACGGACGGCCAAGTGCGATGGGAGGGCTATGTGGCCATGTAACGCTTACCCAGGCACAAGTCCAAGGACACTATAGGACCATGGAAAGCTCATTATGGCCTTTTAAGATGTCAAGAGGAACATGGTCATCATTGAGAGTTGTCACAAAGGCGAGAAAGCAAGGATAATCAGCACTTACAAGGCAGATATACTCGGAGAACAGCAGAGCGGCAGTCTGTAGAGAGAATGGCAGGTGATCAGCAACTAGGATGTAATACACCCCGTGGTATTGGTTGTGGTGCGCAGACCTTCTGCCAGCTGCAGGTGCGGTATTGTATGGCACATCCGTCTTCTTGGGCAAGCTGCTTGTTGAGGATGGCAGAACTACTGTCATCCGTGTCGGAATCGGAGGCGCTTCCATTGATGACGGGACCGATGCGAGGGCCAACGTAGACTCCGTTGCCACCGAACCAGGCAGCATGACTTCTGGGGACTGCAGCCTCGGTGTCGATGTCGACGGTGTTGTCGCGTGACTTTTCGTCCTTCAAGCTTTCCATCTTGACCGTGAGGCGACAGGGAGGTCTAGCAGGGAATAGAAAGAACTATGGAGGTTTAGGTGCTGACTCGGCGTTGTAGCCAGGATCTTGGACGATAAAACAGAGCAACGACTTGCATGAAACCTTAATCCTAGGTAGACTTCTCTAGCAACCGTATATGTAGCAGAAGATGAAGTCGAGAAATCATTTAGTTGCCAACGAAGTCTTGTTATAGCTAGCGAGCCAGCAAGGTGCGGTACTATCTTGAGCCTGCAACGTTTTCAATCCTGTTAGTAATGGTATCAAAGATTTTCTACCTATGGGCCAATCGGACAAGCCCGAAAAGCCAGCAGAACTCCATTGTGTGATGTCTGGGATTATGATCAGCGAAGACACCTACCGTACACAGTGTGTGTATTGTAGCCGGGTGCTATCTATGTCCAACGACGAATCGTCTTTCGGGAAATCCCTCCCTCGTCAAATGGCTTATATATGTGCTCCAAATTTTCGAGCCTTAGGAAATCAGCAGCAGCTGAATGCGACTAAAATCATGTTGGATCAGTGTTGGCATCAGTTTTGAGAGTACAAGCACGTGAGAGCCCATGACATCAGCAGTACGCGGCTGCAGGTTTAGACGCCTGACATAAGCGTGGAAACAGGCGCATTGCATGTCGTAGCACGTGTACTTGTATGTACACGAGCATATTACTTAGTTCCGTTACAGGTCAACTCCCAACTTTGCCCCCGAGATGATGTTAGCGCCAACTTTACTTGAAGTGCTAAATAGTGCTGCCGGGGGGTTCGTAAGCAAACCAATAGCTTGCCGCAAAACGAGCGATCGTCTTACGCGGGATGTATTACGCCATACAGGCTAAAAACAAAGCTTCATTATGCTTCAAGGCTTTACGATAGTATGTCTGAGATCAGATTCTACAGAAGCATCCGCTTTTGTTTCCTCCTTCTGCTGCAACTGCACTATCTGCATCTGTATTTGGGCGCAAAGTGAAGACGCTATGTCCACTGTGGCTGTGCCATCCTCAAGCCACAGATCGGGCCGCTGTGGGTTGCTGCTGTCTCCACCGTCTGTCCAGCCTGATGCGAGTCTGCGCTGGAATGTGGCATTATGAGGCTCGTGATCTCTGCGAAACAGCGGGCATGTATGGCACTGCCACCCTGGCAGCCAGACCCACGGCAATGCAATAATCCCAGTCCTCGGCTCCCTCTCCTTGTTTAAATGCTGTGCCAGTTCAGGCTCTGCCTGCCTTGACTTCAATCGATCATTTTTCATCAACGCAGTAAAGCATGCCGTTCATAGCAAATACCCCTGAGTCATTGATAGCGCGTTCCGACTCAAGGAACGCAGCAACGACATGTCGTGGCATTACCTCCGCCGGACGCCCGTGCCGACGGCCTCTCGCTACCTCCCAGACGCCCGATCAATCCCCGTACTCACGAGGGGGCAGCAACACAAACGGCGATGGCCTGCACACTGATGAAACTGGAGAAGGGCGTTTCTACTGCTGGCAACACAAGGAGCAAGCTGTCACGTCCAACCAGTCTGGCCCGGGTCACCACGCTTCTCCAACAACGGCCCTAGAGGGACGATCGAGCTTGGACACGTTGGCCGACCGCCTAGGGCTGATGTCTGTCGGCTCTGTCCACCGGAGGAACAGCCAGTCAAAGCACGAAAAACCACACCTACCTTCGCCAAATTCCAAGGGTCGGTCTATATTTTGCTGCTGTTTTCAGCCCCCCATCGACGAAATACCCGAGCCACCTCCCCGACCAAGCCAGCGGCCACCGTCCCATTCTGGACCCATGAAACAGCAGCATTTTCAGCCAACGTCAACATCAAATACTGCCGGACATCATCCTCCCAAGAACTCCGATCACCCTCCTGCGTCTTCCGCGGCACACCAGATAGCGCAACACGCCTCGCTGGTGCCGCAAAGTGCTTCGCCCCAGACGGCTTCGCTGCTGATGGCCGAACTGGCCAAGCCGATCTCCCAGACAGACGAGGCGGGCTATATCTACATGTTTTGGCTTACGCCAGAGTCGGGTACACCTGCACCAACGGCCTCGGCTGCCCGCTCTTTGTTGGTGCCGTCAGGACAGCCAATAACCGGAGGGCAACGCCGTGGCAGCGACGTGCTAGAATCATACGCAGCTGCACAACCAAAGACAAGAGGCGTTGGTGGTGGCGGCGGCACAGGTACACTACTCCTCAAGATTGGGCGTGCCAACAACGTCCAGCGGCGGCTGAATGAGTGGAAGCGGCAGTGTGGGTACGATCTATCCTTGATTCGGTACTACCCTTACATTTCGTCGGCCTCGGCTACTTCTGGCGACGGAGATCCCAGCACAGCTCTGCCACGCAAACTACCGCACAGCCACAAGGTCGAGCGGCTGATTCACATTGAGCTTGCTGGCCGGGGGCTACGGATCATGGACGGGGAAAAATGCCCGGCTTGTAACAGAGAGCACCGTGAATGGTTTCAGGTGGAGGCCACTCGCAAGGCGGTGATGGAGGTGGACGAGGCCATTCGGCGCTGGTCAGATTGGGACGAGGGCCGTCTACGGGGAGCCAAGTGATTGATAACCAGCAAGAGAAAGATACGTGCGAGATGGTACGTATTCTACGCCGTATGACGAAATGACACAACAGAATGCAGCATAGGCAGGTCAAATTAGATTACGGTAGAGAAGCATAGCCCGGTTTAGAAGAAGGAATTGTCACCTTTTCACACCAGTCTCGATAATTAGAGAGAGTCGCAGCCATTTGCCGTGACTGCACCAATAGCAAGAGTCTCGATGCGCCCGGCATAGAGTTTCATGGTATGGTACGTCGGGTCGCCCCAGATAACTTCCCGCAGCTGCTCGTCTGTTGTCAACTGTGCCACAACGCCGTCGTCCAGCAATTCTTCGATGGATCTGTGTCCCTGACCTATTGTCTGGGCTGGACATCCTGCGCGTAGCACGATCAAACGACCAGGGTTACTCAGCGTTGATTGTGGTACCTTCCACACTGGTTTCAGTCCGCGAGATCTGCGAATATCGTAAACAAGTTGGTTGGTGTGGTGAGCATCATTGCACTTCGCATACTGGTGGTGCTTGTTAAGCTTAAATGGCCGACATGGCCGCAGTGGACTCGCCGCAGTTTCTGTTCTCAGGTCTTTGATACCAACCCCGGAGTTTCCTTGGTCATTTGGTGTTGTTTTGGATATTGGGCTGACGAATAGCTCAAGCAAGCTCTTCACGTATGCTTTGTCGGCCCTTGCTACCGGGTCTCCTTCGTTGATAATACTTAGAAAAAGATATTTGTTCAGGCCTTTTCGGTCCGGATTGGCCAAGGGCAGCAGCGATACAGGTGGCGTCCCGAAAGTGATGCAGTGGATCCGACGGAACCGACCAGCAAGAGAGTTGAGCTCCGAGCTGGCCTGTTGTGAGATAGCCAGCATGTGCGAATAAAGCAACGCCGCAACGGCACCACCGGCCGAGTGCCCCGTGATCAGAAGGGAGTAGGAGGTACGCCCCTCTTGCAGGAGTTCGCGGAGCCGCTTGGCAACGGGTTGAATCATATTGCGCGCCACAGAAAGGAAACCGGCATGACAGAGGTTGCCCGGGTCGTCAAGAAAGCCGGCTGGTGAAGTCGGCGCTACATTCATGTTTACGGCCCAGTCCATAAATGTGGCCGTTCCGCGAATGGCGAAGACGATTGTTTTGGTATGATCCATGGGAACAGATCTGATAACCATGGCTTTGGTACCAGTGCGCCAGTCTGCATTGACGTGAAAATACCGCTCAGCCCCTCGTGGCTGCTCATATACGCAATCCGAGTACTTTGCAGCCAGGCAAAGAAGCGGATACGTGTTTACATATCTGAAGTGGCAGTGTGGCGTTAGAATGAGAAACAAAAAACACGGTGGCAGGTGTGCTACTCTTACAATCTTAGAGGTGGCAGTTTGGAGTTGAGCTTTGAATTTGCATACATGTCCACCTTTGCAAAGTAGTTTGCAGAGATCGACGGCAACGAAGTCGCAGCAGGCTGAATCTTCAATGTTGGGCCATCCCCACCCCCATCATATACAGGTGTCGCTTCGTTTTGCAGGTATGGAGAAGTCTGCGGGTAAGGCACTAAACCATGTAACGGGTAGCCTTCTCTGCCCGTGTCCAAGCCGTGGTCGATCGATGTGAGCACGCTGTCGAATCCGGACGACAGTTGATCATACAGCGTCATACCCTTGTGGACGAATGTCGGACCAGGGGCTTGAATAGCTGATGGTCGGTCGTCGAAAATATGTGGCATGTCCATGGGGAGCAGATCTGTGGCTAGGTTGGCCACCGAGCCCAGGTTCAGCTTGGCGATGCAACCAGTACTGCCGGCGAGGAGCTTTCTTGGGCTAGCAATACCAGGAGAACTTGAAGGCGCATTGATGTAGTAATGTTGATTTACAACAACCGAAGGAGGCTGAGGCGGTAGATAATATGGCGTGTCCTGGATATGCCAAGCTGGAACAGTCGCAGGTCCAGCTGCATAATTAAGGGTCTGGCTTCGAAGCGGTGCGTTGCTCGCGTGTTCTTTGCCCTTCCGGGATGAGCCGAGCAGCTTCATTGTGGTGGTTTATTTGGGTGGTGTAAAGTGTATGTATGTCGAGAGGCAGACGTTCTCATGGCGGCCTTTTATTTGGACCTCCTTTTGGGGGCTTAGCCCCGGGTTCCGATAGGCGCCCGGCTGGGGAGATACGACGTACGGAGTAGACAAGGCTTTCGGTATACGAAGATGCAGCGATAGTTAAGGAGGTTGGCATTTTCATGTAGTTCAAGCCTATTGGCCATTTCGTGTGCTTGCACAGCCGTCGAGATCACCTGGTCACCTATCCACGCGACATGACCGGTCTCCGTATGCATGCACATAGACGTAAGAGCGAGTGTGTCACTGGAGTCCTACCCTCGCGCTCTTGTGGCAGTGCCTAGAAATAAGCCTTGCAGCTTAATTTGCCGACCTGTTCGAATAGGAGCTGCTTCGCCACGACAGGAACCGGATCTGAGCTAAGCACTGCCAAAATGGTGGAGTCTTGTGCCATGTGTAGATGGCTAGCATTGGAATTTATCGTTGAGGTTGGCAATGAAAGGTTGTTCGGCCGATCACAATCTCCCACAATACATGGTAACACCGAAACTCTTTGGGATGGACAGGAATGATTGAAGCACCGAGAGGGGACGCAAGAGGTACTCCGTACATCAGAGGTAACCTTCCCTATAGAGCACATACGGGACTTCCGAGCGTACAGATGTTGTCTTTATTGTGTGTGCTCTACGGAGTCCAGGTTTTATAAGTTGTATCGCGTCTTGCTTTAATAATCCGAAGATCTATTGATGTGAAGAAACACCATACAGAGTCGTGAACCGCAGGAGTGGTGCCTTCTTTACAAAAGCAAAGAGGGCATACGACATACGGCAAGAGCCGGTACAAACTAAGAGAGCAGAATGGCACGGTCGTCCTGGTACTCCGTAGAAGAGATGAAATGCAAAGATACTCGTCAGCCAAGTAGTACGACGTATGTACGGAGTACGGAGTACAGCATACGGCGTACTGAGTAAGTTAAATATTCGCTATACCCCACCAGAACCTGATCCGGACTAGGGTGAAACTTAGTCATCTTTATAATGCTGCTGCCAGATCTGCAACACGACTCAATAGTTTATGCACGAAGTGCATTCGAAGCCATAGTTGAAAGGGGCTTCGCACAACCGAGAGCACGAAAGCCCACCAAATGCGAGGGGCAGCAACGTGGTGAAAGCCAGTGCTACGGTCGATATTGAACCGAAGTGACCGACCTGACCGGAGGCCGAGAACGCCGGCAGGAGAGAAGCGGCCTGATCTCACGATATACAGTCGCAGGACGAAGCTTTTCTCTTCTCCTTTTCTTAACATGCCACATGAGGAATCTGCACCTTGACTACCGACCGTCGCGATGACCTGAAGATATCATGGATTTTGTACGTTACGAGGCTGCTACGATCTTACGGCGTCGTGTTGTGAGGCTGACACGCTGCCACACTGCTTCGTCGTCACGTCGTCACGTCGTCATATTTGTCTCTTTTGCTGACATCCCCCCGTAGTGGTCGCGACTGTTAAGCCACTCGCCGCTTGCGGCTGGCAACTCGAGGAGGGACATTGCCAACGATCCGCACCGGCGGCGTTACCGCTTTGGAAAAGAATACGACAAGCTCATTGTAAGCATCAGGCATCGATGTGCCCAATGAGGTGCCAATAGCCGTACATTGAGCGGCCAAGATCGCAATCGCGAGCTGACAGCCTCTCTCCATGTGTAGCAAACATGGCGCAACGCCTCAAACCTCACCCACGAAAACAGCGCTGCTGCCAGTGTAGCACGCCAGATCCGAGAGCTGACCGACGTCCTGCAAGACGAGTCGCGCCGGCCACTCCCCCACACATGTCTCGGCTTTTCTGCCGAGTCGCAGATGTACGTGCCGATAGGCAGGATTGCGGCTACATCTCACAACCTAGCCATCATCCAGGAGGCCGTCTACTTCTTTGGCACCCTGATCGAGAGCGAAGATGAGTCTTTCGTCGAGAACTACACCTTTGCCTCCAGCCTGACGACCCTCTTTGTGCGTGTCACCGGTACCAATGGCATCCGCCTCGACTCCGAGACCGAGACCAAGGTTGTCGAGCTGGCCTTCAACGTCACGACCAAGATCCGCCTCAAGCCAGACATGCTGCCGGCATGGTTCCACACGAACCAGGACCAGAAGCAGCCCCAGCCGCAGTCTGACGGCGAAAAAGAGCCAAACAGCCACGAGCGGTTCAAGGGAAAGACGCAGCGGCAGGACTTTCCGCTGTTTTACATCTTGATGGACTACATCCATTCTGAAGGCAGGGTCGGCGACTTTGCACGGACCGGCCTGCTCTATATCATCGAGGCGGCTTCGGCCTCGGTCACTCTCGAGCAGTGGATTGTCGAGAGTGACCTCAGCACGCTTATGGCCACCGGCCTCGGCGCGCTCTACAGTCAGCTGAGCCGCAAACTCGTCATTGACCATCCCTCCAACGGCCTGCCACCCATCCTGGCGCTGTCCGATTACGAGCATCCACAGACTACGACTGAGATCGTCGGCTCATGCTCCCCCGACTTTCAGGTCCAGCTCGAGACCTTCCTCTCGCACCTTCTCTTCTGGCAGGATGTTCTGAATCACTGCCATTCCGTCGAGGTGACGTCGACACTTCTCGAACACTTCCAGGTCATATTTCTGCAGCAGCTCCTGTACGCGGTCTCCTCCCTCCTGTTGTCTCCCCTGTTCTCCCGTCTAACGTCTCCAGATATCCGTCTCTGCTGGAATCATCCGACATCGACGGTGGCTCGTCCGTGGCCGTCTTGACTTACCTGCGGAGAATTCTCGAGTCCCTCGACCATCCCGATATGATCAATCTCATTCTTCACTATCTCCTTGCCCTCCCCGATACCTTGGGCGCCGGAAGGTCGGCCACCAAGAACGCTGTGAGCGCTGCTCGCAAGCGCAAGTCCATGGACCTTGCCACCATGATGGCAGCCAAGGCTGACCTCACTGCCACGCCGATTCTCTTCAACCTGGTCGACCTGATCTTGGCCTGCCTGAAGTCCCACAGCCAGCAGACCATACATGTAACCCTGCAGCTTGTCTCTGTTATCCTCCGACGTCATCATCGTCATGCTCTTATGACTCTGCTCCGCACAGAAGCGCTGCCCGTTGGACCGGGCACACATCGTACCATCGGCGCCCATCAGCAGGAGGTGGAGTTTTTCATGTCCATCGCCGGCTCCATCGGAGGCCAGGGCAATTTCGACGAGGTGTACGATTGCATCCTGAGGGACACGGTCATTCGGCTGGAAAGCCATCCCTGTTCGCTAAAGCTCATCGCCCCCAAGGTCTCCGCCAATAGCCACGAGCTTCCAGCCATTCCAGACAGCCTCCCTGGTGCGCCTCGTGACGTTTCTCGGCACACCATCCGCGCCGAGGACCCTCTGCTCAACACTGTCATCGATCGGCTCGAGACCTTTTTCATCAATCCTATTGACACCAATCTGTCTCTGACAGAAGCTATTCTTGACCTTGCTACCTGCGGCTTTGTAGCTTTGGAGGGCTGGCTAATTCGTCAACCAGACAAATACGTGTTCGCTGACAACGAGGATACCACGCCTTCCATTGACAATTGCGACTTGGATTCGAACTCTGCTGCATTTGCTGATCTCGGCGGACCTCTGGCCATCAAAAACTGCCGGCGACGCCCAGCCTGGACCGGCCTTCCGCGTCTTTTGTCCGTGCTGCAGGCGCAGTTGGACCATGTTACTGCCTATCATCGTTCCATTCCTCGGTTCGGCGATCTCCTTCAGGGACGACGTGACGCATTTCAGGCAGCAGATTCGGCCGGGTCACAAGCCGCGCCATTTCCCAAATATTACAAGAACAGTAACCAGACCACACCGGTCGTTGATCGCACCAGCATCGACGGCCAGAGGAGTGGCTCGCCGGTCCGTCTGTCTGCACTCGAAGGCTTTGCGCAGCGCATCTTTTCAGAACTGGGCACTCCGAGCCGGTCCGCGAGCCCTCGGGGCAGAAAAGACCCCAACAGAGCTACCATCTCTGCTATCGCTGTTGGCGGGAGCAGTGGCATTGGCGGAAGTGGAGGCAGTAGTGTCGGTGTCTCCAGCGGCTACGGGTTTGCTACGCCCACCCCGACGAGGCCCGTAGGTCCTCCCCCTAAGGAGTTTCCGCTCGCTGTGGACAACACGTCACGAAGGGCCAGCGGTCCTGCCAGGCCGTATTCGTCGAACAGCCAGCGGGGGGAGACCGGGTTGTCAGACGGTCGGGATGGCACAATTGCGAGTCAGGTGGTAGCTTTCCAGGCCGTAGACCGCACAATACTTGCACGTCGCGTGGGCATTCCGCCTGCTAAGAATCCTGTGGCACCCATACCTCTCAACTTTAACAAACAGCCCCAACCCCAACCAGATGCGACAGACTCCAAGAAAGATGACGACAGTCATGGGGACAGTTCGGACGATGCCACTGATGACAGTGTGAAGACAGGCGACGACAGCGAAATGCCGGGGGTCGGGCTTTCTGCGGAGGAGGACGACGAAGAAAAGACCGTCACGGTTTCTCACATTCTTACCAACACGGTGATCCTTCAGTCTTTTTCGCTTGAACTGGCGGCGTTGCTGCAGGCGAGAGCCGGTCTCTTTGACGAAGTGCGATTTGCTTGATAAGCAAGACGAGCTTGCGGTCATATCCTTTTTCTTATTAGAGGCACACTTATGGAGGCTGGTCCTGATTCCTAGAGGTGTACTTGATGCTATAAAGGGGCTTTGGGTGTCTCCAAGTCACTCTGGTCGTGTTTTGCGTTACCCCGTTTCTCTGAATTTTATCCTTGTTTTTGGTTCCTAGATCATGTTCATCGCGCTAGAATTCTTTGTGCAGTGGACATAGTAACAGCATACATATCAATATCATTGAATGTGTGAGAATGATTTTGATTGACGTAATGTTTTAGGAGCAGGACTGAATAGCACGGAAAGGCCACCTCACTTTCAGCCAATGGGATAAAAAAAAAGGACAACGTTGAGTTTTACCTCCCATAATTGGGCGTTTGTGCGAGTTGCGGCTAGGGTGCCAAAACGACACTACGACCAGAGGTAATGGTTCCCAAGACAGGTGTCATAGGGGAGACGGGCAATATTAGCAGGATCAGATGGTAATGCCCATTTCTCCGCATACAACGGACACAAAGCTTTCGGAAGGAGTGCGATGAACCGCTGTCGAGATATGTAAGCATAGCCGGATAGCCAAGAGCAAAAAATGTGATGATAACAGAAACAACAGTATCCCAAGAAAAGGAGAAAAGCAGTCGTCGCCCAGGCGCTCGGTAATATTACAAACATGCCCACGCACTCACGCGCCCTCTCCCTTCTTGGACACACTATCCAATCATAAACGGCCACCCCTACTTGAAGACATTCCCTTCCTGTCTCCCTTCCTCTCACCCCCTCCCCCAAACCCTACCTTTCAATATATCTCCCTACCCACAACAGTACCAACCCCGTACAGTGGTTTTCCGTGTATGCGATATAGACCGTCCCGACCAGAAGAGCCAGTGCAAAGTTGTATACGCCAAGTCCTTTCCTCCATCCAAGCTCGCCGCCTTAGAATCGGCACAGGAAGCGATGACAAGAAAGCTTTCAACACAAAGCAGAGACTCTTCCGCCTCTTCCGCCCCCTTACCCTCCTCTTTCGGAATTGGGGTGTGCGCTCTGCCTCGGGTTCAAGTGCGATCCACACATCGGACATCCGCAGCTCGACAATGGAGACGACCTTTCCAGTCGCCAAGAACACCAGTGCCCAACGCTGAAACCAAACGTATCCCGGAAAAGAAAAGAGGAAAGCAAAAAAGGCAAACGTGTCATCCCCTTTCCCCAGAGTCAGAAGCAGCGAGATGTCCGGTCCCCCGACAGCTGTTTGCTGCTCGCGGTCAAGTCCTGGTGTGGGTCTCAGGCAGTGATGCTACCCTTTTTGTCTTTCCTCGGTTTGATCACAATATCGGCCATGATTTGGATGTGGTCGGCAGGAAAGTGATAATTGGGGAAACCAGGTACGCGCTTGAGATATTCCGCATCTGGGCGACCAAGTACCTCCACCACTTCCAACGTGTTGGTCGTGTACCAGATATAGTCGATTACGTTGGCAAATCCGGGTGTGTAATTGGTGAAAGGAAGCTCGTCCGGAGTACTGGCAAGATGCTGATAAGCAGACTTGAGACTGAAGGGATGCTCGATGCCATCTCGCGTGAAGTTTCCGTACTGGTATTTGCCAAGCTCGTGATGGTCCCGCGGCAGCCGACCCTCGCGAAGCAGTTCTATGACACCGCTATCGGCTGTCGAATTGTAGTCGCCACACAGGAATAATGGTAAATCTGTGTTGCTGCGGTATTCTTGGGAGGGCGCACATTCGACTTGGACTGGGTCAGCCCCGGCTGTGCCCGGTATTTCAATCGCCTTTTTGTCCTTCAAGGCTGGCCAGCGGGCATATTTCTCAGCCTGTTTTGTCACGAACTCCATGATTAAGGCCGTTTGCACAATCTTGACATCGGCGAGAGTGCCCTCCCAGCACAGGTGCGCACTGACGACGATCATGCGGGCACCGGTTCGGCGGCTCTCGAAGAAGCCTACTATGGCGATGTTGTCCTTGGGCATGACTCGGTTGAATATGTCGTGCTGTGTCTTCATGTCCGGCCGGTTGATGGCGATGGCCTGAAAATCGATAAGTTGCTTGTCTAGCAAGACAAACTTGCTTCCCTTGTAAAATATGGCGCATCCGTCAACGGTGGCTGCATCCTTCTCTGTCATCGTGCGCGCTTTTGATCGAGGGTAGTGTATCGATCTATAGTCGGCCTGGGCCAGCTCTGGTCCAAATGTTTCACGCAGCGCATCGGTGGTGATCTCCTGCAGGCATACAAAATCTGCATTACGGTAGCGGATTTCATCCATGATCTTCTCTTTGCGATAGTCCCATGCCAGTGCTCCAGACGGAGTATAGCTAAACACTTGAGGTGTAGCGTATCTTTCGCCTAGAATGTTCCAGGAGAAGACCTTGATATGCTCAAGGGCCGGCGATACATCTTCCTGGACGACAACAAGTTTTCGATCATTCGGCGGCGGTGGAACTGCAAGAAATTCGCTGTCAGCAAGACTCTCCTCACATCGGAAAGGGACGGAATAACAGATACATACTCGGTGGCTGCTCTCGGAGATAGACGATCAGGGACTTGGTGCCCTTCTCTATTATTTCTTTTTTCAGTTCTGGGTCGAGAGGGTTGCCTTCGATACCGAGCATCTCAAGCATGTGAAGGGAACCAAGTTCGTAAGGAAGTGTCCGAATGTTGTTGTTGAACAAGAGCAGCTGCTTGAGAAAGGTGCACATCCCCAGCTCCACTGGCAGTTCGGATATTTGGTTGTTGGAAGCTTCCAGCAGCCGAAGCTGTCGTAGGCTACCGATTGCGGCTGGTAGGACCGTCAGCTTGTTCGAAGCAATGTAAAGCTCCTGCAAAAAGTCGTAGTGAAACAGTTGGGGTGACAAGGCACGCAAGCCTTGGCCGCTGAGGTCCAGGTTGTGCCAGTCCTGTCGCCTGTTGGACTTCTTTTCGATAGTCCAGGTTCTCCGGACATCTTCTGCGTCGCCGTCCACGTTAAGGGACGAGTTATTCAATATTGGCGACGGGCCACCGATGCCTTTATTTTCGCTTGCTTTCAGGCGGGCGTAGTAGTTGGCCTGGTTCTGCTCGACCATGGCAATGTTGGCGGTCTCGGCCTCCTTGTGCATTCGAAGCTGCTCGGCCCAGTGCTCGTTCATTGGGGTCTGCTGTGCGGCTCGCATAGCTGCGCTGTGGCCGTTCTGCAGGCCGTTTGAGAACGGACCGACGTTTGACATGACGCCGGCAGAGTAGGCCGAGTGATGGGCAAGGGCAGATGAAGCATTGTGGGTGACTTGGTCGGCAGCTTGCAAGACCTGATGGTGCTGGGGAATGGCCTGGTGCTGGTGGTTTCCGGGCTGCTGGAAGCTGTACAGCATGGGCATGCCGCGCCCGGTTGGGTTACCGTTCAGACGGGAGCCATGGCCCTGTTGGTGATTTTGGTTGTACATGCCGAGGGTAGAAGACTGGCCGCGAGAGCCGGGATCTGGAGATTTCGTGGGAGACAACGGCTCAGCCAGGAACTGGCCAAGGAGATTGTTCAGGTGGGAGTCGGAAGAAGGTGGTGGGAGGGAGTTAGCGAGATGATGGGGTAGATATAAAAGGTTTCCAGCCTGCAAATAACGGTAACCATCTGCCATCTAGTTGTCATGGATAGCACCACCGGCGGAAGGGGCTAAGACAGAAGCCGTTTGCTTGCGTCTGGTATAAAAATAGAGCTGGCGGTGGTAGGGCTGTCGTCGCGGTTGTGGCGTAGAGGTTGCATGGGGTTCAAGAGCCCGTTCCGCTTGCATCGATACGCTGGGGGAGGGATGGAGAAGAGAGTGCGAGAAATGAACTGGTCGCTACCGCTGAAGGGTGCTTCTCTAAAAACCAGGCGGACGTATAGAAGCAAAGGAAGTAGATATATCCTAACGAACGATGGGCACAAAGAAGAAGAAGTGTGTGGGTGCCGAAAGACTGTGACTTGGCCCTCTCTTCTCAGTTTTTGGATCGATTTTGCACGTTGAGTTTGAGAGAGGATGGTCGCCGCCTGATGTTATTTTGGAGGAGGAGATTGTTGTCTAGTTATATAAATATCTGCTGGGCCAGAACGGTTAGCACGAGTGACAGCACGGCGGAGCCTCGAGGGAAGGGAAGCGAGGGAGACGCAGAGGAAGAAGATAATGAGAGAGGCAGGCGGGGAAGGCGAGCATTGTTTGGCAAACAGGCTGGGAGAACATACCAGGTGTAGAAGGACTTCGCTAGCACCATCAACATTGAAAGAATAGTCAATAGATATTGAAGTAGAATGCTATGGGATGCGAAGCTGATGACATTGTGCTGCGGTGGCCATATGTTGAGTTTTGCGACACCTTGTTGTGGCAGACGTCCAGAATGGTGGCCAATAACCACATTAGCTAATGCCCAATCACGTGACTGTCCAGTCAACTAATCGCGATCAGCAACGAGAGCGTGACAAAGATTGCTACTGCAGGCCCATTAGTGCTGGTAATATGCCGTCAGCTTGGTGAGGTGTCGGAGCCTGCACCAGCAAGATTATAGGGGGTAAATCTGAGGAATATACAGAAGCAGTGTGTGGTCTGGTATGGTGCCGCTGGGCGATGAGCGCGCCGGACGTCGTGCCTACGACGTATTCAGCAAAGAGGGGCATTGTGGTTCTGCATCACGAAAGACAGCCTGATAGATAGTCTATGTAGAATAACTGCTTCACCGAAAGCGCGATTTTGTATCTTACAGTGACAAGTAGCCTGTGGCTCCCTCTCCTGGTCACCGACTGGTGCAGTATCCAATGCACGCGACCAAGCAAGACGGAGATAGATTTAGTCGGCAGCCATGCTGTGATGCTGAACTGGACACGCCGTCATGCGTCATAGGAGGACTACAGAGTACTCTCCCTGTACTTGTTTGACCCTACATAGTACGGAGTGTATCTTTCCCCCGCTCCTCCGAATATGTCCAATCCGATAGCACAAAGCGATCTGCCTGTTCCTGCTGTTTCCGTCTGTGTACGAAGTATTCCATCCAAGGACGGGCTGACTGTGTGCACTCTGCCGATGCTACGCAAAGCAACGTGCCCATGCGGAACACGCCACTCGCCTGGGTTAGGGGGTAAGCGGGGCCTTCTGGTTGGCTGCCTGGCTCTCCCTTCCAACGAGCAAGGCTGCCACTAAAAGAGGCCCTAATTTAAGGGGGAAAATTGAACACGATACGGAGTAGAGAATCTTGGATACATCGCAGCCGAGACACCACTGTCACCACGAAGACGGCCCAGCTCCACCGCAGCTGCGCCCAGCGACAAAAACACATCGCGGGCTCGCAGTCTTGGAATATCAGGCTCAACGACAGCCAGCCAAGCCGCTCTTCCCAGAGACTTCGCTGTCGCAGTCGCCATCAGCAGCAGCAGCAGTCTCATCAACCGGGACGACAACAACAACCATCGGGCTGCCATTGGTGTCGCCGGTGGCGCTGCCGGTCTGCTGTCTCTGGCAGTAGGCCCAGCAGCCGCAGTCCCGCTCATCCCATCCACCTGTCTCTTTTACGCTTTGCGAAGCGGGAATTTGGGTGCCGCCACTCCCGGAAGAGTGCGATAAGCCTGAAGACTCGGCTCTCGGCAGTCGTCTTTTGCATCCATAGTCTCGCCGCCGTTCCGTCTTTGCGCCCGGCTGCAGGCTAAACCGCGGCCGCCTCGGTGGAAGCGAAAGGGCCACTTCCATCATGTGGCCATGCTTCCTGACCCTAATCCATTAAGCAGCTTCACCCCACCAGTCATCGGCGACCTCTCCGCCGCCCTCGCTGAAAGCATCAGCACCTCTGGTGTCACCACCCGAGGCCCTAGGATCCTCATGTCCAGTGAGACACCGTCGAGCGCCGGAGGCGTAGCGTCCTCCCAGTCGCTGCTGCCGACCTCGTACGCGAAGCCGTTTGTTATGCGCAATGGCCGAACGTATCTGTCGAACCCTTCTCTCTCCTACCCCCTTCCCGTCGACCTCGCCGAGCTGCACCGCCAGTCCTTGCGGACTCTTGTTCTTTTTCAGCTATTCGGTGGCCCTGTGTGCTCGCCTGCCTTGGCCAACAAGCCCCCGACTCGCGTGCTGGAGGTTGGCTGCGGCTCTGGCTTTTGGAGCACTATGTGCAACGAGTACTACTCGCGCCAAGGCCACCGTGGCATCTCGTTTTCAGGCATGGACATTGCTCCCGTCGGCCTCGGCGCCAGCAGCGCTGCTGGCAAGAGCCGCTCAAGTTACATGTCGTCCTCGTCACGCGGTACTTCCGGCTCTGCCGACGGAAAGCCCGCCCCAAGCAAGAGCGAGGATCACATGAATTGGCGATTTGTTCAGCACGACATGCGACGCATGCCATGGCCCTTCCCCAACGAAGAGTTCGACTTCATCATGGTCAAGGACTTGTCTCTAGCCATGCGCATAGACATGTACCAGCTTGTGATCGACGAATGCATTCGCCTGCTGCAGCCTGGCGGCACTCTCGAGTTGTGGGATTCGGATCATACCATCCGCATGCTCCGCCCCCATGTGCCCGAGACGTCGCCTACGCCCTCTGGCGAAGAGGACAGCCACGATGCTGCTATTAGTGCCGGTGCCTATATCATGACCCCGCATACGCCCCTCTCCGCCCCGCTGAACAACTATCTTGTCGAATACAATGCATGGCTAGCCAAAGCGCTCGAAGCAAGATCGTTGCCGCATATCCCCTGCACAATAGTTGGCGCTATGTTTCTGCAAGAGGCCGATGCTCTGGTTGGCGTGGAATAGCTCCGTCTTGCCGTGCCATTGTCCGAGCTGAAATGGGAGCGGGAGGGTGTCGGCGGTGTTGTCACAAAGGATGGCAAGATTTATGTCGAGACGAAGGGAAAGGCCCGGGACGCACATCCAAACCGAAAGACAATCACGGCAGCACAGAGCGCGCTGCGACGCACTGCCCTCCTCACGGTCGTGCAGATGATCCAGAGCCTCGAACCCATACTGCGGGAGGTGAGCGGAAAGAGCCAGGATGAATGGGACGGTTGGTCTGGCAAGATGGTGAATGAATTGATGAAAGAGAACGGCACTGCTTGGGGAGAGTGTCTTGAGATCGGCGCTTGGTGGGCACAGAAGAGGTAGTATTGTGGGTTCATAGGTGCCGTCATGTCTGTGGTACGATTTCTAGCTTTTGTCGAACAGGATCTCTCGTCCGGAGCGCTCGTTTCCCGTCTTTTCACAATTTCTTCATCCTAAACGCTCCGTTTCACTACGTAGTCTCTGTTGTAACTATCATGGCCTCTTGTCTGTCAACAACTATCGTATCTCTTGCGCAGCGTGCGATACCTCTTCAGATAGTACCTGTGGTAAAGCGTGGCTTGTGTCAGTGGTTGTACTTGTACCATTGCCATAAAGACTACCGTGCTACGGGCACGGCCTAACCAATGCGGCTTCATTTTCAAAGCGCGCCGCGTTGCACATGTTGCAATGGTCCTGCGATGAACTCACAAGGCTTCAATTTCTGTTTGGGCAGGAGAACGCGTTGTCAACACATTTGGTGATGCTATTGGTCTCTGGTCAGGTTACATACCCTTTCGTACAAAATTTGCCCGTTCGATACCACGCCGAATGGCTGCCTCCTCCTGCAGCTGAGCATTGGCCAGGAATGCAGCATGGAGCCGTTTCCGGAAGTAAGTCTGTCCCAGCGGGTAGTCTTTGCTAAGATTGAGCAGTTCTGCAAGAGTGTCAATTGATGTTGCCTGGATCCGGACATGACACCCATTGGTTTTGTTCCGTAGGTAGGATCCGGAGATCAGTTATAACTCATAGACAAGCCCACCTTTATATACGTTGATGACCTCCCTCCGAAGAGTTGGATTGTACGCTGGACTCATGCTGAAGGGCGAACAGGAAGCTGTATGGGAGAGCTGCATGCAAACCTCCGTCACGTCAGAGACGATCTTTATCTTATTATCTTGCCGAGAACGACCCGCTAAAACAGAAAGGTAATTCGAACCCCTCATACTCCGTACAAAGTGTTAGAACCAACTCTAAACCAACATTGGCCACTCCCACATATTCTGGAGTGAGCATGTACCGTGGCACAATATTGCATTGGGCGGCTATCAACCGGTGTACTTTCTCAATCCTTCACAATACGTAATACATATATGCAAATGCTGGCTCTCCGACGACGTAACTGGGCCGTGGGAGCGGCGTGGCTTGCAAACGTATTACGTTCCCAGGCAAGCAGCTCTCCGACGGCATCCCGGCTGCGTTTAGGTCCGGCATACTCAACAGCAGGAGTTGCTACTTCAGAAGATTCGGCTGTCCCGCCTCTCCCACCAGCTCGTTGGTTGTCCGATCTGCGAACGCGCATCGGGAAGTGCATCATCTTCGGATGCACCCAGTCGCAAATTCGCGAAGCTGCCGGTGTCCTTCGGGTTCTCGCCACCGAATGGCGGCAATTGACTGCTGGCAGTGAGGGTTTCCTCACAGGACCCCGACGAGGACTAGAGGGACAGAAAGTGGCCTGGGGTGAGATGGACTCATTCGTACGTAGATCCCGAGCACGTTCGCTACCAAGCAGATAGAGCGATGCCATTTCTAACTAGAGCGCAGGGCCATGTCAACAACGTGATCTACAGCCGATATGCCGAAACAGCACGGGTGAACTGGGTGGTGAACTTCGCTGTTCGGGTGGACCCAGCGCATGGCACTTTGTGGTCTGGACTGATGTCGACGCGTTCGGTGGGCTTGATTATGAAGAGCCTCAAGACGGAGTTCAAGTTTGTAGGTCCTGGCCCAGCATGGCGATAGTGAGGCTACAGAAAAGCTCGCAAAACCAGACCTTATGGTAGGAGCTGAGCTGACAGATGCCTTTTACCAGCCCATGACTTATCCAGACAGCATTTCCGTATACCACAAGCTCAGAGTGCCCCCGGCCACCAATTCAACGTCGACATCGCTGCTTCTCGACTGCATGGTGCTGTCACATCGTCAAATGAGGATTGCGGCAAGGACATTTGAGGATATCGCGATCTACGACTATAGAGTGGCCAGGAAGACAGAGATGCCCGAGTTTATGCACAATGTATTAGTTGATGTATGGAGGCAACAGCAAGACGAGACGGTACGTGCACGCACAAGGATATGGGAGCTGGCCAGGGCAGTTGAGCAGCTAGAGAAGAAAACTTGGGACCGACCTGACGCAGTGGAGGATGTTGGAAGCGCCGCAGGAGGGACGGCCATCATGTCTTAGCCATTTGCCCGTTGTGTACAGAGTAGATCGCATGTTACACATCGCCATCGGCTATTTAGCTTAGTAGAAATGGAGGCTGGGAGGATCAAAAGGCAAGAAGCTCCCCCTAAAGAAATCCCGAGGTTCTACGGAGTACAGTGAAGAATGAAGCAGGCTTGTCTGGTCCCATATAACTACAGTGGGGTTCCAAAAATATGGAACCACCTCCGCGATTTTTCGCGTTTCTCATTTAACTCCCAACACCTACCCTTACTTAGAATCACCACAAATCAACAAAAAGATGTCCAAATTAGCTGAATTTGGTGCCATTCTGACGGCCGAAAGGAAGGCTACAGGCCAGCTAAGTTTGGCTGCGCGCGCTGCTATCTGTGGTGCTGTATACGTCGGCCAGTCATAAGGCGCTGTTGCAAAGGCTTTTGGCGTCACGCGCAGTACAGTCACCAAGACGATTAATCGGTTTACAGAAACACACAGCTTTGAGGACAGACCTGGCCGCGGCAGGCCTGCGTTGCTTAGCCGTCGAGATAAACGTTACTTTATTTAGCAAGCAAAGCGGCACCTAAAAATTACTTATAAGGAGCTGGCAAAGCAGATAGTTTGTCGGCCGTCCCGTACTACTGTACGGCGCGCATTTCGTGAGAATAGGATACGAAAATAAAAGGCTATGGATAGAATACCATTATCGGCGAATACAGCAAAGGATAGGCTTGAATTTGCGCGTGATTGGCTGCAAGATGAAGACGATTTGCTTTTTGTATGTGCTTTGCTAAATGTAGTAGAGTTTATGCTAATTTGCTAGACTCTCTTCTCTAACGAAAGCAGCTGCCAAAACGTAGTTAATGGCGGCGTTGGTTTTATTTTTCGAACATCTGCGCAGAAATGGCGAAAGGACTTAGTAAACGTTCGATCACACGGAAAACCTACGATTTCGTTGATGTTTTAGGGTAGGATCTAGAAAGAAGGCTGTACAAAGTTAATCTTAATAGAGAGAGACTACTCTAAAGGCAAAAAAGGTGGCTATACTTCGTGGAGCTACCAGAAAGCATTAACAGAGGGCCTTCTACCTTTCTACAATGGTTTTCGGTATTACCAGCAAGATAATGCAAGGGTACATAATGTATATCTGCATCATCGATGCAGTGGCTTGCGAATAACCAGATTAAGATGCTGCCTTTCTGGCCTGCCCACAGCCCAGATTTAAACCCAACTAAACATGTTTGGGCTAAATTAAAGCGTCTTTTAGCTGAAAAATACCCTGATATATGGGAATTAAAGAAAAACGCAATGGATATAGAGGTTTTCGAGCGGGCAATTCGTGACTGTTGGTGGGCAATTGACCAGGCCTTTATTAACAGGCTTATTGATTCGCTGCCCCGACGGCTGGCCGCAGTACGAAAGGCGCGCGGCTGGTATACTAAATATTAGAGAAAAATACTTGCTCTTTAACATGAATTCATTTTTTAAGGCCTAGAAAGGCTTGTAAACGCAGTACGTGCTGTTAATGCAAAGGTATCCTTTTGTATTAATGCCCCAAAATCCCGTTGGCGGGGTTACTGGTTCCATATTTTTGGACTAGAGGTGTAACCCAAATTCTACCCGCGGCCCTTTCAGGCGATAGACGGAGTACTAGCCCGTTATAACCCACCACTACGCCGTATAACAAAGCATTTAGATATCACAGCAGGTTTTGAATTGTTAGTCGTTCAACTACCAAGCTGAACTCGAATACTCGTAAATACCGAATTGCACGGTGTGGGGATTACGGAGTATGAGTACATAGCGCCCTAAGATGCTCCACGTCACTTATTAATGCTCAGTCCACATCTTATGCTGCCAATTAGCGCCTTACATAAGTAGTTCAGGCACTTGCCGGCATATCTGCATCTGCACAGACAGAAATGCACATTTTTAGTAACTAATCTCTTGCCACTGACTTGAAACCCAGGTATACTTTGCGCAGCCTAATTCTCCGCTGCTAATCGGACAGTGTGCGGATGCCAGTTATTGTAACTGTTCGATTCAGGCACTAGCCATATTGAAGAGGCTACCGTCTAATTTTCCGATGCATTTTTCCCCAGTGCATTTCACGTCTTTTACCACACAACAACAGCCCCTCGCCGCTGTGGGATCGTACAGTCGTGTCGCCTCGACTGCCACAAGCCCAGCCTGCCCTTTTCGTTTCCAACCACGGAAAGTTTTCAAGGCACGTGGAACGTCGCGCTCCCGCAGCCCCGACCAATCTACCGAGTTTGGATTCGACTGCCCGCCAGAGAGACACGAGAACGAGCACTACCTGCGGAGGCGATTTCTGTTCCCCTCCTTCCTTCTGCTGGCTTGGAAGGCATCTTCTAAGCCGGCCGGTCCTGCATGCCTCGCGCCTCGCCCTCGGCCAAGCGACAGCCGGGAGCAGCGAGCCATCGCAACACCCAGCATGAGAATGGCCTCCTAGGCTCTGGAAGACGATCTGGCAAGCACGTACATCAGCACCAGCACCAGCAGAAGGCCTCCTCGGCGGTGACTGCTGATAATCTTGTGCGGCCGTCGCCACCCGATTTCCGTCCTGCTGTCTCGTCTACTCTATCCGCACATTCCCCGCCTCAGCTATCCTCCAGCGCCTCCGAGGCCAGCACGTACCTCGTAACGGACAGCGACACTATGGCTGCCCCTCAGGAAAGCTATCATGGCGTGGAGTCTGGTAGTAACGGGGACTTGCGGCGCCTGAATGGCGATCGACGGTCATCTTTGGACAATGCGTCATCGGCATCCTCAACTGACTCCTTCAGTGCAAATCCACAGCCAGCCATGACGCTGGCCGCGACCTCTGCCAACAATAACATGCCTTCCGCCCATACGTTGTTCGATGAGAGCCACCGCCGGATCGACGTGAACGCCGCAAAAAACGCAAATGTCCATCGCGACACTGGCCCCTTGAAGCTGGCTGTGACCGTTCTGCGATCCTGTCCTCTCTACGATACGCTTGCGATCCTCATCATCTTGATGCAGCTTTCCCCTGTTGCACTTTCCAGCATCTACATGCTTTTCACAGTGCTTACATTCGTCCCGCCAGTCACCACCAGCTCTGGCCTCAGCATCACGGAGATTTTCGAAGGCACGTTGGGTACACCGGCTTTGATGACCGTGGCGTGCATGGATGTGGGATTCCTGCTGGTCTGGCTGTTTCTTTGGGGTCCTCTCCAGCAGCTCATTCTCGACTTTGCTCAGATCGTGATCGCACTCACCCTCGGAGGTGGCGGTGGCAGTGGGAGTTCCCGGCAGGGCTCAGCAAATAACATATTCATGTGCGTTGGCATCGTGTTTTTCTCGCATTTTGGACACATCCCGGTCCTGCAGAAGCTGGCTCGTCTCGGCCCGTTCTTCACTACAGATCCTCCGTCTGCCCAAGCAGAAAGTTCGGCAAACTTCCAGCAGACGGCAAAGCTCTTTGGTCGTCGTGGGGGGGGTGTCTCATGGCTTCGAAATATCTTCGCTATCCACATACTCACCCAGGGTATCGTCCGCTGCATCCGCGAATGGTATTTAAGGAGAGAGAAACGCGACTTAATGGCGCAAAGCATGGCCGACCCCGAAGCTGGAAAAAGTATGTTTTCTACAGATATGCCAGCCGACACTAGCTTCGGCATATCGGATGCAGTCGTCGGCAGCGCTACGAATAGCAATGGTGGTGGCAATGGCGGTGGCGGTGGCAACAGCAATGGCAACGGAAGTATCGGCAACAACTCCAACGGTAACGCCAATACCAACAATATGGCTATGAGCAATAGCATAAGCAACACCGGCAGCAGCAGCGGCACCAGTAACAACATTGGCAATAGCAGCAACGCTGATACTGGCAGCCATGGCGTGGTCACAAACCTCACCCTCGCCGACAACACTAGCCTCAACAGCAACAGCACGGGCAGTGTCAATGCCGCAGCCGGCCTCTCTGGTGGCATCCATGGAGTCAATTCAGCTTATGCGGGTAGTATTGGGCCCAATGGAGCTCAGAGCGTGGGATCTGCGGTCTTGTCCAACACCCCGAATATCTCCAGCAGCGGCAATGCTTTGGCTGTCACAGGGCCCGTCTCGGCCAAAAAAAAGAAAAAACAGAGTGCACTGGTGCGCCTGCGCCAACCTCTCTGGGCAGCCCTAGCCAGCACAAAAATTGTTATGATCAAGGAATATGAACTCTCGCAAGCCGCATTAGAATCTGCGGGCGCCGAAGCTACAGATGTGGATAACTTGGGCAATGCACCTTTTTACACACAGCCCTTCCAGATCTGGATCTGCTATGTTGGCCATGATGAGGTATGCTTTAGCACCAGCGTGTTCCCAGACGACAAGTCGGGCCAGGACCAACTGTCTCCAAGCTCTTCCTATGTCGATGCTACGAAGCCATTCTTTGTGCGAATCAACAACGCCACATGGCAACCGACACGAATTATGGCAATTCCTGATTCGGATGACGACGTCGTGCCAAATTCGACTGAAGACACGAGAAACATCCCTTTAGTAATGGGGACGCGATGGACTGGTGACATATATGGCCTCACTCCCCTGTCCAGCTATGAGTGTGAGTTTGTCAGTATTCGAAACGGCGATGTTCTTTTCAGCACAAGTGTCAGGACAGCACCGGCCCCGTCGCGGAGCGCCGATGTGACAGCAGCCAAGGCGATGCCGCCCAGTCAGCCGCGGCCGCACGAGTCTCCTGCCACAACAATCAAGGCGTCTATTGCAGCTCAAGAAGCCAAGCTGCACGACGAAAAGACACGACTCAAGACCTTACGGAAGGACAATAACCGCCGTGTGAATGCAATAAAGAAGGAGATTGATCGCCTCATATCGTCTGTGCAGTCCGCTGGTGGCAATGACGAAAAGTTGAAGCAGAAGATCACACAGAATACAGTGCAGCAGAAACAGGCTGAGCAGACTATCGAAAGCTTGGAAGCAGAGCTCCGGGAAATCAGCGTCGTGCCCGAAGATCTACTTAGCCGTCACCGGAGCAAGAAGAGCGAGTGGGATCGGGAGAGGGCGCTCTTCGACGGTGCTGTGGCCTCATTCAAAAGCTTCAAGAGCGCTGTCGACAGTGAGGTGCGCGCATTGGAAGAAGAACAAGGAAGCTTGCAGGCCAAGAGAAATAAGATTGCGTCTCGTATTGCTAAGGCTGACAGTGATCACGCCCGTATCATGGATGCCAACACACAAGGCTTGGATGAGGTGGAGAGGAGAAAGCAGGAGCGCGCCTCGATAAAGAGCGACATACTGCTAGCAAGCCGCAACTATATCGACCGCATTGCTGCAATCCAGGCTAGCAACGAGGAAAAGGTGCATGCTATCGACGCCATGCATGAGGCGATGCGCTCCTTCTACTCCTCCTTCGACAGCGAGCGTCCCTACGAAGACCGACATATGCCGGTTCTCTCATTGCCAGCTGCAACATCTAATTCCAACGCTAGTGCGGCCTCGGGCACCTGGACATCCCATCAAACAGGCGCTGTGTATACCCTCGGGTCCTTGTGGCCAGTGATGTCAGGCGTGCCGGCATCTGGGCAATCTCCGCTTCCAGCCCACATTGCTCCAGTGCCGCCGTACATGCAAATGCCGGCAATACATGCCGGTGGATACGCCCAGCTGCCGAAGATGCGTGGCCGATCCTCATCTATGCTGAGCGACGTTTCCGGTTTCACACAGTCCAGCGCCGCAGACGAAGATGTCGCCGTACCAGTCAGCTCTTGCGTTCGGAAGGCGAGTGTTTCCAGCCCCACGGCTATCCACTCGATGCAGCCACCTCTCGCCGTCACGTTGCAGGAGCCAATTGAGCTTAGCATTGATGCCACTCGACGCAGCTCTGGTTCGGGAACTGGATCTGGATCCGGGTCTGGTTCTGGATCTGGATCGGGATCTGGTTCTGGTTCTGGCAGCAGTGTCCGCAGTGGAAGTGAAAGTGTCGACAGTGTCCACGACCCAGCAAGTCCGTTATGAGGAGGGCTGGAGAGGCACAATTGGTGTTGCTCGCTAGTCCCGACCAGTTTACTTTCAGTGTCTGTTCAAATAGCTTGTTGCGAACCAATTAGCAGATGGCGATCGGTAGGCCTCACCATAGCGCTCAAGATGTTATGTTACCGCATTTTCATCGTTTTCCTCTTCCGTAGTACTAGCTGCTGTACTCCGTACTCCGGATGCATTGTGCCTTTCCCAGCTCCGGGGTTATCCGCGTTATCTTTACCGTCGGGCCCACTTGCCATTATAGCGCACCTTTTTTTCTAAGGTTCACTCCAGATCCGACAGAACACAGCCTGCTCGTCCCTTCACAGTGCATGGGACACCTGGCCATGCCGTGTTTGTGCATACCATCTCGTTTATTTCGAGGTAATGATGTCAGGTTTGGTTTGACGAATCGGACGGTGGCCCAGCTATTTAGCCTCGATTGCAATTCATATGTCGCGACAGATACGCCCCTAAAAGCAGGCATAACTCAACTCTCTATACTTTCCTGGCACACTGAGGCTCGGTATGCCAGGCCTAGCCAACTCCCGATGGGCGTTGAAAGACGGCCGATCAAGCTCTGTGCCAGCCCCTTCCTCCCGCAGTCCAACAACGACTGATAGAACGGGATCGGGCGAGAACGAACCTGTACCTGCTAGCAGACCACCGGGCCACAACGCGTCCGCCGCCGCGGCTGCCCGCGAGCTCTCCCGCTACTCCATGATCGTCCGCCGGATGAAGTGGAAGCTTCCATTTCTAGGTTGGGCCTATCGTCAGGCGACTGGCGATGATGATACTGCGGAGGCAGAGATGATGTTCAAGTTGGACTTTTTTGAGTACTACATGCTATGCGAGCGCGCTCTCGTCCACCTGCAGGGTGTTTTTGGCATCACCATTTCCCGGGATACAGGATTGGGGCCAAGAACAACCGTCATAGGCAGGGGGGGTGCTCCAATACATCGCTACCATGCGAATGTGCTAGAAGCCCTAGATCGCGAAGACAACCCTCTCCATGTAGCTCTGGGTGCCGGGGATGTACGCCGGCAGTTGGCCAGGGCCAAAGAGCTCCGAAACCGGTGGAAGAAGGTTGGCAGCGAACCTGACGGTGACTCCAGCGCGGCGGACAGCGGACGGGGAGGCAAAATAAAGACGCCACCACTTGCTACGTATGATCTGTCTGGAATATTAGCCTCCATTCACCAAGGGCTCGACCATGCCTTTGGCATTGCCGACAGCTTTGTCACTGCTGAAGCTGCAAACTCCAGCGGCGGTGGCATGGAGAAAAGTGAAAGTGGCCAACTTCGTATGGAAGTGGATTTGGATATCACGGAAGAGGAGCGGTGGGTTTTTATGGCAGAGGCTATGGACTGGGAGGCTGTATGATTAGAGGTCAAGCGCGTATTCCCAATATTTTGTTTTTTGTGACACGCGTGTGCCCTGCGGTCGTCTGATAATACTTCTGGACTCTCGGGGTGCTAATCTCTTCTCCGTACTGTCGATTTTCTCATCTGCGCTGTAATTACGAAGTAGGCGGGCTGTACGGAGTAATTTGCATCGAATTGGCTAAACTTTACTCCGTACTCTACTTCGATCTTGCAAGTATTAGACGGCTATAATTTTGCTATTTACGGAGGATGAACACCTTGTTCGCTGTAACTTACCTTACGGGGGGAGCACTCTTCAAACTAAGTAGTTCATGCTATGAACAACCATCCGTAAAAATGTTAGGGTATTTCATACTCCAAATAAGAGCAGACTAAAGAAGAGGTGGAAAGAGGGAGGTTTGTAGCAGCGTAATCAATGCACTCCGTATGCAGACACCGCTACCAAAGTGGGTAGATGCGTTATGTAATCATATCGGCCTAACAACTAGTATCCGGAGCACTCCGCAACAATCTTAATATCACTTAGTATCTTTTAAGCAAACTCTACTCCTCGACAAGATCTAGCAGGACGCGCTATCGGTTCGGATATGACAAGATTCGAAGAGGGGGCCACAGGACAAACTATCTAGATGAGAGGTGGCGGCGTACTGACGCCTGACCTACCAGCCGCAACATAACTCGCTATTTGCAAAACGGCTGTATGTTTGCCGAAAACCCATCCGTCATTCAAGACGGCCGGAAGAATCCGAGGCACCCTGGCACCACAGCATCTGTGCCACTAGTACTAGTACACGATGGCGGAGGAACTACCTACAGTTATTACCTGCTGGACGAGCTCGGACGTGTCATGATGGGCATCGCTAACCCGCGATTCGAAGCGGGCCCGCCGTGGGTCGGAGGGCTTCACGAGATGGCTGCCCTCTATGCCGACCTCTTGGTATCCTCTGTCCGTTGCGGTCCTGTCATTCTAGGCGGTTGGTCACTGGGCGGAATGCTGGCCTTAGAAATGGCGTACGTGCTATCTGAAAAGTACCCGGCTATCCACGTGGTCGGCCTGGTGATGATCGACAGCGTATGCCCGATGGCACCTTCAGGAGGGTGGGGGGAAGCCGAGTCTCGTCTCGTGGAACGTCGCATTGAGTGGCCTGTGACCACAAAGGCTGCGACGAGAGCTGCAGTTCAGAGGTGCTTCGACGAGGCGCACAAGATGGCGCGGGAGTGGGAACCACCCCCGACATGGGCATTTGTGGCCAGCCAGCCAAGCCAGGGACGGGAAGCAGATGGTAGCTGTGACGAAGTTGCCAATACGCCAGCGGCTACCCGGCCACCTCCTGTTGTTCTTCTGCGCTCGCTGAGTCCGGTGCCGGTGCCGGAGGGCGGTCTATTGTTTGTCGACCTCTATCGCCACGAACGCCATCTAGGTTGGGATAACTATCGGCAGGACCTATTTTGTCGAGTTATTGACATTCCGGGAAACCACTACACTGTTTTCAGCATGGATCACCTTGGCACGGTCAGCGATATGATTAAGCTTGCGTGCCAGACAATCGAGGACTTATCTAGCCTGAAATAAGCCATCGTTTCAAGGACGGTAACGTTGATTATCACACTCGCCACTTGGAAAATTAGATAGGTGAGAACTAGTAGAGGCTATGCATGCGTGGGTGGGGGGGAGGGGCTTAGAAGGCGGCAGCACACACACCACACGCATGTATCATACACGATTGGATGTAAGATACTTGGAACAGTTCACCATGAGTTCAGATTTTGCTAAATGTGACTAAGCAACACAACTATACGTTACTGTCAACCAGCCAAAGTGATCACTTGGCGTATTGGAGTTTTCGACCGTCGGTCTGCGAGGCCTGCAATATATTTTGTATTCCAACTCGCGGTAGTCAGTACTACCATCATACTGCTGTCATACTGCTCCCATCCTCGGCCAAGAACCAGCTAGTAGTACTGACGGCCATTACTACCTACTGCACAGCCATAAGTAGCCATACGTCTTCCCTAGTCTAACACGGCTTGTGCCCGTACACCCAGATTGCTTACATCGCACTCGTTACAATGTCAGATTGTTTCGTACAGATGAAGTCGGGCCGAGGGAACGTTTGGCCGCAGCTCGCTAGAACGGTTGTCGTTAGCAAGATTCCGGGGTATGGAGCAACAACTAATGGCACAAAGTACGGGGGATAATGGCGGACGAGATCCACGACATGCTGTCTAGTGTAGACGGCTCTGATTGGGCAGCTGCGGCTGATGTTGCAACTCGACAATGGGGACTGCGTGAGCGGTACCCCAGGCAGGGATCCGCGGCCACAACCTGGGATGCCCACGAGGAAGATACATTCTGCAGAGTACTTGTTAACATGCACTAACAGACGTCATGGGTGCTGTCAAATTAGCCCCGTTGAAAACCCTGCATGGGCAATGCTTCAGGCCCATATTTCAGGCCCACTATTAATGAGATGCGTGCAATCAGAGCCGTTCATTGCCCCAGCTGTGCCCACACATCAATTTCCGCCTGATCAAATCCCGTCCAGGCCGGGGATTCCCCATCAATCCACACACGAATTGTACTGCTCATCCCTATTATCCCCAAGCCCAAACGGGTGGCGCCACTGGCAGTTCCTCGGCTGCACCACCGCCCTCCCCTCCCTCTTTCTGCCACCGCGAGATCAGTCGTACGGCAATCATCGTGTTGACGACGATTGTATTTTGGATCTCATCCATTGCACCATTGCTACCCGCCGGGTTTCCGTCCGCATCTTCTTCGTTGTTTCGTACTTCGCCATCGACATTTCTCAAAAGCCATCACACAGGCTCTATCCGACGACCGACCGATCGCAGACATCTTCCAGGCAATAGATGACGGCCGACAAATAACGCAATTCTGTATTGTGATCCGTCGTATCGGAGGTTGCGTGCCATGACAAGTCGCTGATGCGAACGACGACAACGCCTAGCTTTCGCCGCCACATCCGTCCCGACACACAGACGCCCGTCATCATCCCGTTCCTCACCATGTCAACCGCCGTCAAGCGTGCCTGTGACGCCTGCCACCGTCGCAAGGTCAAGTGCGATGGCATAAACCCCTGCCGCAACTGCTCCTCTGCCCAGCTCTCTTGCACCTACAATGCCATTCCTCAGAAGAAGGGTCCCAAGGGCTCTCGCGCCAAGGTCATCAGCGAGCTGCGTGAGACGCAACGCCAGTCGAGTCTGTCCGCCAAGATCCACAGCCGTATGAATGGCAGCATTGCCCCCTCAGCCGCAACGCTCGCCCCAACACCTGGGCTTCTCACGAATGAGATAGTCAGGGCCTGTGTCGACTTCTTTTTCGCCAACATGTATCCGGCCATGCCTATTCTTAACCGCCAGCGCCTTGAACAGGATGCCATGGCCACAGACACCACATTCGACACTTACTGCTTGCTGTCATCGCTCAGTGCATTCATGATGCTGCAGCCCGGCATGTTTATCCCCGGGGTGGATCCCCATGGACCAGAGGGTCTACCTGGAGCCACTATCGTCACGGCCACGCTGCTTCTGGATGAGACCATCCGCGTGCGCAAGGGCTACGACTATCTTCAGAATCCCAATCTGTATACGCTTGCCACTAGCTATTTTCTGTTCGGCAGCTACTATGGCCTGGAGATGCAGGGCAAGGCTTGGCTCAGCCTTCGGGAGGCCACGAGCCTAGTCCACCTAGTGCGCATGAACAAGGAGGAGTCGTATCTTTCCTGGGACAACGTCGAGGCGTCGTGCCGCCGGCGCCTGTACTGGCTACTCTTTGTGGCCGAGCGGGCATATGCGCTACAGCATGGCCGCCCGCTGTCACTCAAGGCGTGCATTAACCCCCCGTCCTCGGCCGAGAACCCCGGTCTCCCTCTTTCTCACCAACTCATTGGCTTCTGTCGGCTAGTCGCCATGTTCCGCCCCTTCGACGACTCCTTCGTCGACCTCTGGAACAAGACGCGCGCCGAATGCGTGCCGTCCTACATTGCCTCTCTCAGAAAACAACACGCCGATGTTATGACAACCTTGGCTTCTGCCGACCCTCAACTCAGCGACGTGGTGCTAAATCAACGGTGGCTCCAGGCTCTGGCCTGGCAGATCAATCTGACCAACGGCAACGGAGTGTCCCATGGCAACGAAGCCAACTATCAGTACTCCATGGTGGATGTGTCTCGTGAAATCGTCCCCATGGCGGCGGCATTTTCCGCGCCTGGCAACACCAGCTTGCTGGGCTCCGGACTGGTATGTTCTGCACTATAGCCTCTATATGTGGTATATTCTGACATATTTGCTCCTCTGTGATTGCTAGATCGAGACCCTCCTCATGATCACGAGCGATCTCACCGATGTTCTCTCCTTGCTTCCCTCTTCCAGTAACCCATTCGCCACTGGTCCTGGCGAATATATGGATCAGCTGTTGAGCATTTTGGCTATGCTGCGTGTTGGCGAACATCGCTTTGCTCCTCTGCTTCTAGCCAAGGTGCACGAAATTCTCCCTCGTCTTGCCAACCCAATGCTCCAGAGTCCTCCCGAAGCCGCTTGCGAAATGGACATTTTCGATGGCTTTGGCAGTGCAGGTATGGCGCAGCCTCCTTGTTTGAACATGGACGAGTATAAAGTAGAAGGACCGAGCTCCACTGCCACGTCTCTGCGTGACGTGAACACACCTTTCACATCGTCGCCTCCTATACTGTCGCCGGGCATGGATTTTGCCCATGACTTTGTTCCCATTTCCGACATGGTATTGCAACGTCCGCTTATTGCCAACACCATTTCCCCTGTGTCTCATGTGAGAGGGGCCAGCAACTCTCACAGGACTCCACTGCAGCTGCAGATGCCTTCACAGATGCAGCAGCCGCCATCGTCACAGTCGCCACAGCAGCAATCCCAGCAGCAACCTCAGCAGCAACAGCATCAACATCAGCACCACCAACAACACCAACTTCACCACCACAAGCATGCCCAGTTTTCTCAATTGCAGATCTCGCACCAAAAGGTGTCTCAACAGCAGCAACAGCTTCAGCAGCAGCGCTCGCCCGTGTCCGTTATGCGATGTCTGAACCAAAGCTTGGGTGGTAGTACTCAGATGCAGCATATTCGGATGAATCACGGTTTGAATATGACGAATATTGGTGTGTCTGGCCAGCGCATCGAGCCGGCTGAGAGCTTAGCCGGTGTTTTGGGCGGTCAGGCCTTTGGTAGGCCTGTGAATGATATACATACGGGATTAAACACAGGTGATCTTAACGGTTGCCATGAGCCCCAGCGGCACAGCAGTTTTGCGGTACCTTCACAGCAATTTCGAGCAGTGGAAGATTATCAGATCCTGCGACGTGAGAGTGGTGATATAAACTCTCTTGGCGGCCTAGACATGAACAGTCTCCGCACGGAGATGGACTTTGGTGCTTTGAGATAATTGGTGTGGACACAACTGGCGAGCACATTGCGATGTGGAGGTTTTTGGTACCCAGACGGCCTACAGAGACTTGATTACCTACAAGTGCTACCGATATAGCTGAGCTTCGGCGGCGTGCTTCGGACAGGCTGTCACTTACGCTCCAATGTTGTTCAGCTAAAGGCAGTGGCGATTTATCCTTATTTCATTTTCTGGAGGATATGTGTATCGGGAAGCGAACCTGAGAACGAGGAAGATTAGCTGGTCCATTTTCAGCCCATTTGTTTCCATCGCATTTCTACGAGAGCCCGTTGAGGGAGACGGGACGAGTATCAGTTTGGCTGGAGACTCGAGGTCGTTGACAGCAAGCCATGTTCTTTTCCTTTTCTAATTTCAGGCCGAAATTTATCGAGTCTTGTCTATCTAAAAAATATCTGTATTTCCTCTCTTTTCTGTCATTTCTGTCTTGTTTGCACTTTTGGTTCTTGTGTCGTACAATCGGGGTATGAAAAGGGGTTTCGATATTTTTGTCGCGGTTTGATTACTAAGGAGTTCCGGCTATAAACCGCAATATATATGTATATTGAATTTCCACCACTCAAGCTTTCTGTTCTTTTCATCACTTGCATTTCATTGCACGTTGTTGTGGCATGATATTGTATGTATCTCTGCCATGGGGTCGCCTCTTGTTATATATATGTGCTCGTGAACAGTGCCGGGTTTTCCAAATGTCAGCGTAGCTATATATTCTAGACTCCCGCCACCTGCTCTGCCCCGGTTTGATAGACATAACTCAAACTGACGCTCCAGGACTTATACCTGCAAAAATAGCAACTTCGTCCAACGCCATGCAGTGCCAATTACGAGAAAAATCTAGCAAAGTCCCAGCCCAAAACTTCGCAACTTCAGTTCAACAAACCCTCCAAACTGGCGAGTCTCTGCTTATCGAACTCCCTCACGCGTCCTTCCCTCGGTCTTTGATTTTCTTGGTCGAACTAGCAGTGCCAATATGTGTGTTGTTCACCTACCAAAAGTAACAGTCAGCCCAGCTCACACCGTCTACTTTGACAGCCATTTAGTTCAGTTATAATGTTATACTTTCGGTTTCTTACCTTTGTGGCGAACCGCAAGCTCGTGATGGTCTCCTTAAGGTGTGCTTCCATGGGACTAACCATGACGAACATGAGAGTTTTTGAGTTTCCACCCAAAGAATACTGCAACAAGTGTGTGAGTTTTGAGTTCCGGTATGGAACATGGGGTGCTCCCCTGCTGAGAGCTTCAATGACGTCACCCAGACACGCCAAGCTTTTGTTGATACTTTGCGTCTCCTTCATACGATCGCCTTCGGCACCACTGTGCTTTAGTCGTTCCGACCCAGCAAGATCTACAAGGTTCAGGGTCCCTTCGCAGCGTTCCCCTGTAGCCGTGTTTTCTCCTACCAGCTTCAGGATGAAGACCGAATGTGACCTGGATGAACGCTCGTTCGCTTTTGTTGCAGCAACCGACCGGTTTTTTTGAGCTTGCTGCAGCATAGATTCCACCCGTTCTGCCGAGTCGAGCTGCACAGTCTTGCAGTTAACAACGGTCGTCGATTTGCGAATGTCGTCGTGCCGTATCTCCAGTTTCTTCCTCTCATCGGCGTCCCTCCCACCTGCCGCGCCCACTGAACCGCCAAGAAGGTCGTGCAGCTCCTCATTATACACCTCAACGAAACTCCCTTCCATAGTGTAATTCCATGACACTTCCCTGAGATGACTAATTCTCCCGTATATCATGTGAGTAGCTCGGGGAATCATGCCGTCTTGGGACGACATAGTATATGTCTTCCCAGACCCCGTCTGACCGTAGCAAAATATGCAGACGTTGTAGCCATCCAGGGCGCTCTGCACTAGCTGCGATATCTCGTCAAAGACCTCGCTGTTGAGTACGGCGGGCCCGAAGACCCGGTCGAATTCAAAAGGTATTGTTTTTCGGCTGACAACCCCGAGGCTGCTTCGTTCTTCCGGTCCTGCCACTCCAATTTGCGAAGAGGATGATTTCGCATCCGGATACGTGATGGTTGCCTCCTCTTTCCTGGCTTTCTCATCCGTAGGTCGAACGCGACACATGACGCGTATATTGCCTTTGAGTTCCTGGTATTTGTTGAACAAGATACGCCGCTCTGTTTCCTCCTTGACTAGTTTCTGACGTGCCTCATCAGCCAGCTTCAGGGCTTGCTGCATGCGCGCCTCCATCGTGGAAAACTGGTCAGACTGCTGCTTGCTGCCCGACTTCAGAAAGTCAACTTGCGCCTGAAGCGCACGCACACGTTCTTCCAGCTCCACTCTCGTCGTTGATTCAACCGCCAGCTGCCCCCGCAACGCGGTCTGCAAAGACTTTTCCCGGCCCAAGTCCAACTGCAGCTCGTCCAATGCTGCCTCGAATTTTCGTAAGTTCTGGTCTTTTTCTTGAATCACCAATTGTAGGTCTTGCTGTTCCGAGTCAAGTTTAGCCTTGATATCGTCCATCAGATGCAATGTACGCCTTTTTTCTTCCTCGAGCTCGGCTCTGTGCTTTTTCTTCACGTCTTCTAGTTCGTTCTCGTATACCCGTCGTAATTTTTCCGTACTGTCAGTTAGTTCCCTGCGTAGGTCGTGTACTTCTCGCTGGTGTTGGCGCGTCTGGTCCTCGAGTTGATACTTTTTTTCTCTGCGCTCCCTCTCGGTCGCCACGGTTTCAGACTGGAGCTGTAATTTCATCGACTCCAAATCCGTTTGGAGTGCCAGATTCTTCTCTTCGAGCTGGTCCCGCTGCCGTTGTAATTCGTTCGCTGGATACAGGGAAAAGAGTGTTAGTTATGCTCATCATGTATCGAAACACCGCGATATGCTGTTATGCTTGAGATATATTACCTCTTGTTTGTGCTAGTTCTACCATCTGTTCTTGGGATTTCCGCTCGGCGAGTGTCTGGCTCATCACGTCCTTCAAGCCAACGAATTGGGACTCGACTTCCCGAAGGCGTTCATCGACATTCAGATCTGGAAACCACCGGATGTTAGAAACTTTCCCTGTAACTAAAATGTATATCTTGAAACAAAAGTGTTCCTAAACCTATGCTCTCGTATGTGCCTAACCGTGCCATCACCCCAGTGGACTCTGATAGTACCCAGACTCATTCCTTCATGCTTGTCTAACATGGGACCGTGTAAGTCTCTGATCACAACTTAAATGGCCCCCGTCTAACTGCACAAGGACGTGCCTGGATTCTCTGAAAATGCGATTCGTCACTGACAAGAATCGCTTGGGCGACACGCTTGTTGTGCCTAGACATATGGTTTGTGCAATCATATCCCCACTAGAATCATGCAACAACTTCCAGCTGCTTTTTGAGATGGATATCTGTCTGGCACCGGCATTTCTTCCCAATCTGCGCCTCGGGGTTGACGATTGCAAAGAAAATATAGTGCTACAGTACCATTTTTAGGTAGGCCAACATTGGGCCGCCCACTTTGAGGTCTCCCTCCGCTGTATTGATTGAGTGAAGTGGCCGGCCTTGGACGGACTCCCTGTTGCCGACGCCCCATCTCGGTTAGTTGCGCTGGGGTCGAGTGCGTGCCAACCGAATATGTTGTGTGCTTCGAGCTCTACAACACATTGTTAGCTGTCATGTAAGTCGCACATCGTGCTATCACAGTCAGATGCATGGAGGATCGCAAGTAGGACTAACTTTAGGAGCGAAAGCAGGAATGGATTTGCCGATCAGAGCAGCTGAACCAGAACTGGTAACGAGACGCTTTCCATGTTCGCCATTGTAACTCGCAGGCGTTGGACGTTTTGCTCCCGGTTGTGATTCTAAAGCTGCGTATCAGTGACCATTTTATCGTAAATGTGTGAAAACTCCGAGTATGAGCAAGAATCCTAATTTTAGGAGCTCCAGAGGTGGGAGCGGAAGGTAGACTAACGAGGCTCCGAGGCAGATCGCTTTAGTCCTGACTGTGCTGGGATTCTCGTCAAGGAGGATTGAGAACGGGTGTTGTGTTGCGATTCGGTCATCTCTTGTAGATGGGAAGCTGCGGCGAGCTTCGGGTAAGGTATTTTTGACTTGAGAGTGCCCTACAAGTGTTCCGGTTAGCGAAACACATAGCCAAAGGAAGAGACAGCCTAGACTGCAGAGGAGCGTCAAGAGGACTTCCGTCTTCAAGCAACATACCGCTTGAACGGTGCTATCCATTGTCGAATATATATGGAGCCAGGGGGGGCTCGATGCACCAGTCTCCAATCAAGATGTCGAGGGGGGATATAATGCTTGTGAGAGGTCAAGGTATGAGGGCAGCGTAGGGTAAAGAGACTAAGCAGCTATGCGCGTGTGTCTAGGAGAGATAACTTGAATAGTGCAATCTGAATTGTGCCGTGTTCGCTTGTTGCGTGGCAACGTCCACCGCCACAAAGGCCTGTATAAAAGAGGCCACGAAGGGCGCGTATAGGCGTACCTGGGTATCTCGAATTTATTTCCTTGTGACTCTCGGCCAAGGAAGTTGTGATGCTTTGAAGTGGATTGTGGCGTTCCGAAATACATATATATAGTTTGTTTACTTGCTGTTGCGGGCGCAACGATTTACGTCAAGCCACGAGCAGCGCCACATGTGCTTAGCCACAGACTCAACGCTGCAAAATCACATGCTAGAATTACTCCGTCTTGATAGCTCCATATCAAGGATTTATTGCAACAAAAAAGAAGTTAGCTTACATCCACGGAGTACGGAATTTTAACGGTCTTCCACCTCTAATACATACTAGATCTGTTCCATATCGCCAGGATGGAGAAGTTTTCACAGTTTCGAGATAAAGGTACATCTACTTTTGCTGCATACTGTACAATCCCCCGTAACCAATATGTGTCTTCAAGTTCCGGGACTCTGACCGTCATTCGCTGCCTCTAGGCTCCGGTGTTTCCCCGTTCATTCCCACCAGGACACCGGTAAATGCACTGTCAAATATCGTACGAAGCTTTGTGTTTCTTCTACGACTGGTCCCGTTTGTCGTGTATACGGCAGCGTACTTCTTATTATTGCATAACCTTCCTCTGCCGGTAGCTGTACGCAAGCTTTTACTTTGGGGTATGATCAACATTCCGGGAATTTGGTGGGTGGACTTGCAGATCGACGGCGTCAAACGTGGACATCTTTCGCAGCAACCAATATCGCGCGTACCTCAGCCAGGCTCTGTTATTACCGCCAGCTTTACCTCGCCCGTCGATGCCCTTTATCTGGCTGCTATCTTCGATCCAATATTCACGATATCCTACCCGCAATCGCGCAAAGTCTCTCGCGTCTCTCTTTTTGGGGCAATGGCACACGCTCTCAGCCCCGCGCAACTGTTGTCCTCCCCTCCAAGTACGGCCCCGGGAACGGGAATGACCGATTTGCGCACACTTGTTTCGGACAACCCCGGCCGAGTGGTTGTTGTTTTCCCCGAGTGCGCCACGACAAACGGCAAAGGCGTCCTACCATTTAGCCCGTCTCTGCTTACTGTTCCTGCTGCTGTAAAGATTTTTCCTATTAGTATACGGTATACCCCTGCGGATATCACCACGCCAATTCCTGGGGCCTGGACAACCTTTTTTTGGAAGCTTCTCAGCAAGCCGACACATTGTATCCGTGTTCGTATAGCAGAGGGCATGGAAAACACTGCATTCAGAGACAACAAGAGTGCGGCAGATGACTTCAGGGCCGATGAGCGCCCTTCAGGACAGAGCCACAATGGGGGTGACCTGTTGGATGAAGAGCGTCTTCTACTGGACCGCATTGCTGATACATTGGCAAGGTTGGGCCGGAACGCGAGGGTCGGCCTTACGGTACGAGACAAGGCTTCATTTCTAAATGCTTGGCAAAGATCGAAGAAGCGTTGATAATACCTGACGAACATAGCCTATACTTGCCTACGGGTGATGCACCATCGCAATTTCTCGTGGTCCGTTGACTGTTCAAAGCCTCGGTAGCGTTCGATTGTCTCTCTACAGTAACATGAATGTTTCTTTACTACCATTTTACAAAACTCGAAAGATTTTATGGCAGTCGAACACAAGGTTGGATTTTCCCATGCCTTCGACATTCAACTTAGGCAGCGCTGTTAAAGCCGTCTGTCACACAGCCTTGGCTAGCATTGCTCACCAATGCAGCATACTTCACCAGTGTACCGCGGGTGACACGTACCGGTGGCGCTTTCCAAGCCTTCCGCCTCTGCTCCATCTCTTCTTCCGGCACATCAAGGTCCACGACCCTTTCGGCGGCATCAATTACAATACGGTCCCCATCCTTGACAAGACCAATCGGACCACCCTCCATTGCTTCTGGGACGATGTGGCCAATCAGAAAGCCATGACTGCCGCCAGAGAAGCGACCATCCGTAAGCAAGGCAACGTCGTTTCCTAGGCCGGCACCCATTATAGCAGAACTAGGCTTCAGCATTTCAGGCATGCCCGGGCCACCCTTCGGTCCCTCGTATCGAATAATGACAACTGTTTTCTCTCCTTTCTTGATATCTCCTCGCTCAAGAGCGGTAATGAAATCATCCTCGGCATCATAACACTTGGCGGTGCCCTCAAACCGAAGTCCCTCCTTTCCGGTGATTTTTCCAACTGACCCACCAGGAGCGAGCGATCCTCGCAAAATTTGAAGATGTCCAGTTGGCTTGATGGGGTTGCTGAGCGGGCGTATGATGGGTTGGTCCTCGGGGAACCCAGGAAAAGAAGCAATATTATCTTTCAAAATTTTGCCGGTCACGGTCATGCCGTCACCTTTGATGATACCTTCCTTGACCAGAAATTTGAGAAGCGCAGGTGTTCCCCCAATCTTAAACAGGTCCTCGAAAACGTATTTGCCAGACGGCTTCAAATCGGCCAAAAAGGGCGTACGGTCTGACACGGCCTGGAAATCATCAATAGTAAGCTTCACCCCAACGGAATCAGCAATAGCAATCAGATGAAGGACCGCATTCGTGCTGCCACCGAGAATGGTCACAACAGTCATGGCCTCTTCAAAGGCTTGACGAGTCATAATATCCTTAGGGCGGATGTCCTCCTTCAACAAGTTCCGTATCGCAGCCCCCACGCTTTCGCACTCGGCTTTCTTAGTCGGGTGCTCAGCCGGGAAACTACTGCTTCCCGGTAAAGTCATTCCCAAAGTCTCAATAGCGCTAGCCATGGTGTTCGCTGTATACATGCCACCACAGGCTCCACCGCCAGGACAAGCGTGGCGGATGATATCGAAGCGCTCCTCTTCGGTGATACTCCCTGCGATATATTGACCATATGCCTGGAAGGCGCTCACAATATCCAGTGGCTGGCCGCTCTGGCCGCATCCAGGCCGGATAGTTCCGCCATAGACCATTATACTGGGACGATTCACACGGCCCATGGCCATAAGGACACCGGGCATGTTCTTGTCGCAGCCGGGAATAGATATGTTTGCATCATACCACTGGCCATTCATGACGGTCTCGATGCTGTCTGCAATAATCTCGCGGCTCTGGAGGGAGAAACGCATGCCTGTGGTGCCCATGCTTATGCCGTCCGAAACACCGATGGTGTTGAAGCGGAACGGTACGAGGCCGGCCTTGGCTACCGACTGCTTAATGACGTCGGATAGGTCCATCAAGTGCATATTACACGGGTTGCCCTCATACCAGACTGATGAGATGCCAATTTGCGCCTTGTTCATGTCGTCCTCGTTCAGGCCAGTCCCATATAGCATTGCCTGGGATGCACCCTGTGACTTGGACTGTGTGATTTGTGCAGATACTCTGTTAATATTATCATTCGGTTTGTTTCGCCTGATTGTTGTGCTTGATAGCGACCGGCTATGTCTTTTAAGTTAAGCGACGACACATTGTTAATCCACGTCCGTTTCATTAAGGGCGGCCAGACCGGTGCAAGGTGCATGCATACATATCTGTCACAGCAGTCCAATGTTTGCTGCCGTGGGCCACAGCCACCTTTCGACGGGCTGATCCGCCAGCCCTGGCGAGCATTGAGGAAAACATGTTGCCAGGCGAGTCCAAGCTGTGTCGTGTTGATTCTTGTTCGAGGTGAAGGACGGAATGCGGTCAATCCCTACCCCCGGCAGTTGCATATCAAGTCATAGGTAAAGTCATAGGAAGCTGTTTGAGCAGCTTCAGATGAGTCGGCTGGCAGAATCAAAGGAAAATTTTCCTGACCGCCCAGCCCCTCTGGAAAAGGCCAGTAATTTACGTAGCTAATTTACATAAGCTGTGATTGGATGCTGGTTTCAGCCCAACAAGAGCTCGACTGGACAATTAGCGTTGTACGGAGTATCTTACTCCATAATATCTTGCATACAACTCCCGTATCTACCAGGCCGTCTTTCCCATCACTATCTCGCCAGCTACTCACTGACCGGCGTTCTGCTACCTCTGCTTGGGTTCGCCCTCAGGGCCTTTTAACCAATATTTCGTCCACAATTCCATGCTCTTTGGACTCCTCTGCGGTCAAATAGTTGTCCCGCTCCATCATATCGTTGATACTTTGCAGGTCGTATTTCTCGTGCCCAAAGGCTTTGTTCAGATGACTCCTAACAATCTCATTTACTTGGCCGCGAATCCGCTGAATTTGGTTTGCGTATATCAGAATGTCGGCTGCGGGGCCTCTTGTCCCGCCGAGTGGCTGGTGGACCATAATTGAACTGTGCGGAAGAGCAAATCGTTTGCCTGCTTCCCCTCCTATAAGCAGAATAGCTGCCATAGATGCCGCTGTTCCAACGCATACAGTTGACACTGGAGACTTGATATAAGACATAGTGTCGTATATCGCTAGTCCCGAGCTTACTTCACCACCAGGGGAGTTTATGTACATTGTGATAGGTTTCTCGGGCGCGTCTGACTCGAGCCATAGCAACTGCGCTACGATGGCAGCCGAAACCGTATCGTCGACAGGACCGTTGAGGCAAATTATTCGCTCCTATGTCGTCGTAAATCCTCGGTTAGGCCCAGGTTGGACAGACTGGCTGTGTTTCGTGCTCGTACATACTTGTAGCAATTTTGAAAACACATCAGCTGTCCAATTTGTGTCAGCTGGCTTTACAGGAGCAGTACGAGCAGGCGGGAAACGAACATGTTCTCCAGCCCCCCGCCTATATTGTCAGCATGTGTTTCAGCTAAATTACAGTCAGGTGAAATCTTACCGTGACCTCAGTGATGTAAGGCATTGGTACAGACGCAACAGGGCGGCTAAGCGTCGCACTGCTCGAAAACCTCGATACTTGAAGGCATGGTTGGCTCGCCATCATCTGGCAGAGCCTTATGGCAGCGCGCTGATAGTTCATCCTGTGCAGTTTGTGCAATTTGGAAGCTTGACCCTCACAAACAGTCGCAGATAGCTAACTATCTTTTTGTTATGGTTTTGGACGAATGCGGTGTGCGGGTTAGCGTTGTGTTATGTAATGTGATAGCTTACATTTGGCCCTTCGGAGTACATATTAAACTACTCTGTACACTTGACTAACCAAAGAAAAGTCACAAAATCCAGAGACTGCTCCCGGGGCTGTCTCCTTTAACTAGCAATCTTATGCTGTCAAGTTTTGGGCGTAAGGCCCAGCTCAATCAAGTTCACAACATCTACTCTAGACGTTACGATGCCCTCCAGTCTTGGTTAGTGTTGCCTGCAGGTCGGGGGTTGCAGCGCGCAAGGTTGCATACTTCCCTAGGTGGCCACGACTACGAGTCCGGCAACCTGGGACAAGCGGAACATGACCGAAGTCCGGCACGTTATCTGCCCACGTCTCCTTTGGCGGATGAATCCTTCACAAGTGCCCGGCTTCGGTGGAAATTGCCCAAGCCCGCTTCGTCGTTTTACAAGAAGAGCAAGTTGCGCAGACGTTTGGCTCTCAATCCCTTTGGTGAGTCATTGAGTTCCTCGATAGATAAAAGTTGGAGTCAAGCATGCTAACGCCCTTACGGCCCATATCTTGGCTACACCCAATCGCTGGTGTCCTGTCACAAAGGTTCATCTACCGCAGGCCTTCTTGCAGGGTTTCAAATTGATGGCCCATCCTGACACGGGAGCAGCGTGGTGGGTTCCCGTTGACCTCATCCCTACCAAGCACTACCCACCCGTTGTGTCTGAGAATTCTGCGTCAAGCCTTTGCGATACTGGCGATGATACCAGCAACCGTCTTTGTGGGCCTACTGTGTATGCCTTGGCCCAAGAGCAATTGTTTCAAGATTTTTCCAACACCACTGGGAAATACCGTCGAGGCTATGCTGCATTTTTTCGAATGTCAAGATCGTCTAGCCTTTCTTCGGCATTAAAGGGAGCAGTGTGGAGGACCGACATGGACACTCATGTCCTTCGACTTATGCGTCGTCGTGTCTATGAAGATCTCACTTATCTCTTGAGGCTTTGCATGGACGAGGGTCGACAGTATCTCGCGTCATATAAGTCCCCAGATCAACTTCGTTCGCCGTCTCAGCTTGGCTGTATTCTACTTGTTGGCAACGAGACTTGGGTGAATGGAAACCCGATAACTTACGGGGATGGCACTCGGGCTCACTCGTGTCTTTGGGTCTCCAATTTACATCAAGTGCTCGGGGTAGAGTATATCAAACGCCTCCGTGAACAGTCTTATATTTTTGGCGACAATGCTACCGTCCTTGTTGGGGGGGCGAGGACAGTACTTTTTCAGCAACGACTATGGAAATTACAAGGTTATATTGAAAAATAATTGCGATTAATATCTATATCTATCTATCAAGGTTAGGAAAAATACTAGTACTATTACTAATAGTACTAGTACACGCTTTTAAGTACTAGTACTAGTAGTACTAGTATACTAAAGTACTAAAAAACTATATAAATCTTATCTTTTCTAGTAAATAATAAGAAAGCTAGATGTAAGGGTTAGTATGAATGTGTGGTTACAAAGGCTTAAACGTGTTTATACTATTATGTTAAGACTTCAACTTAACAAACTATAGTAGACTAGTAGGCGACGGCCTGCCAGCTAATTTATACGTAAGTAGAAGATGCGGTGTAGCGCAACCTTAGTAGGGCGTGGCATAGCTAAGTGGCTATGCTAGTCCCGTGCAACGTGTTAAGATAGTTCGTTAAGTCTAACGCTTAGTAAGCGACAGGTTGCTAAACTAGTGCGTAGGGACGCGTGTGTAGAATACCCTTATACTATCCCCTTCTTTCTTAGGTAACGCCTTTATTAGCCTAGAGGTGTATACGCAGCAGCTACTTACTTATTAAAAACCCTTTTTGTGTAAAGTTAAAAAAAAGAGTTAAGTGCTTTAGGTTATTAGCGGCTGCTAAGCAGTTGGGGACCGCTTGCTTATATAATTGCATTTAAGTAATATAAAAGCGTATATAATCTGCTTAGTTTATAGCGGTAGTAAATGCTAGATTTTGCTTAATATAAAGGTTGTCTTATACGTTAAAGCTTTTTAAAAAGTATATAGCTTAGATTCTAGTTAAGAAACGCTTAGGTTGCTACTAATAAGTATTATAAAAGAGCTAGCCTTAGATACTAAGTGTATAAAGGTATAATATACACTAACTAAAAATAGTAGTATAAGGCTTAAGACTTCTAACTATTAGCTAAGTAAGATAAAGGTACTAATAGCTATTTATTACTTATTAATTATAAAACTATTACTAACTAAGTAGTAAAAGTAGTTTACTATTAAGACGTTTTTTTATTTAACTTTAAACGTTTCTTACTTTACTATTAAAATAAAGTTAAATAAGTTTTTAAAATATATTTAAACGTTTAATAATATAGCTTTTTATTACTTTAAAGTATAAAAAAGTAAGTATATTTTATAGTTTTAAAATAAATTTATTTATACTTATAAGACTACTTTTACCTTTATAACTTTTTTTTTAATTTTACTAATATAATAAGTTAATATAATAATTTATAGCTTTATATAAAAGCTAGCTAATAATTACTTATAAATAATATTTGATTAAAGCTATTTTTAAGTCTTAGTAAACTTTTTTATAAATATAAACCTTATAAAATACTCCTTTTAAGTATATATATTATCTTTTAAAAGTATAAGTCTTTACTAGTATAGTAGTTACTAAATAATAGCTAGCCTTATAATAAGCTTTATACTCAAACTATATTCTTAAGGCCTACTTAAATATTTACTATAAACTTTTATATATAGCTTTACTAAAGAACTTAGCGTGCTATATTAGCTATATAGCTAATAATATATTATACTTACTAGTAAGTATATTACTTATATACGTTAGTAGCTAATTACTAATTAATAGCTTTTTAATAAATCTAAATGCTTAGCTTAATATATTTAAAAGTTTTTAGCTAGTATAAATAAGTTATTACTTTAGCAAATAATAGCTAATAATATTATTATAGCGCTAGGCAATTATATAGTAATTGCTTAAAGGTTAATAGCTTTAATAGTAATAGCTAAGAAACTTAGCTACGCCTTATAAAAAGATAAGTTAAAGCTTTTAGTAACTAACTAGTACTTTTAGTATAAACGTTTTAAAATAGGATAATAAGCTATATTATACTTTAGTATTCTTTACTGGTACTAGTAAAAGCTAAAGCTTACCTTAATATTTATATAGTAGTTAGTAAAAGTAGCTTAGCTTTTACTATTAACGTTTTTAAATATAAGTATACTATTATAAGTATAAACCTAAGTTACTACTACTCTTAAAGTAATAGTAAGTCTTTTAATCTTTATTAGTAAGTTATTACTAACTTATTACTTAAGCTAATTCTTATTCTATTATACTTAGTCTAGCCTAGCACGCTATAGCTATTTAAGCTAGCTATAGTAGTATGCTTTACTATACTATAAAAGTAAAAAGGCTGCTTAAGTAAATTCTATAAATTATAGTAGCCTTAGTTAAGCTAGCCTAAACTAACTAGGTAGTAGTCTTTTCTTAGCTATTACCTTTAGTAGCGCCTAGTAAGCAATAGTCTTATACTAAGTTGCTAACCTTAGCTAAGTGTTAGCGTAGCGTTAAAACTATTCTTAATATTATAGCTAATAGTAGTAAGGTAGTTATAGTAGTTAGTAGTAGTAGTATAGTAGTATTTAATAAAAGTATACTATTAGCAGCTAGTTAGCAGCTAATAGTAGCTATATACTAGCTAGTAAAGGCTTACTTAATAGTTAGATAAAAGATAAAAAGAATAGTATTAAAGAAAAAGATAAAAGAAACGAAAGGACGTTTATAAAGAAAGATAGTAATAAGTAGCTAGTAGCTAAGTAATAACTTACTAATAAAGTATTTTAAGTTTATAGCTTTAAAAAGCGCCTTTAAAGCTAAAATAAGTAGTTTATAGTATATAATTATATAAAAATAGCAAGAGTAGTTAACTAATAATTAGCTTATATATAGCTAGCTATTACCTTATAGTCTTTTTATTTTTTATAAGTATGCTTTATAGTTTTTTAGTAAGACTATAACTTATAGCTAGTATATGCTAAGTACTTTTTTAGTTTTTAAGTATTATACTTAGCTAGCTAGCCTTTTTATTTTATTAAATACTAAGTTTATAACCTTTTATTAAAGTGTAACGCCGCCCCAGGAAGGGGACCGACGCAGGCTACGCGCAAGCCGTACGCAGTATGCGCACAGCGTATTAGATGCACATCGTGAACTAGAAGCGGTGCTAGTGGCGCAGGCTGCGTGGCGCAGTCTGCGCACAGGCCACAGCACGTGCTAGCGCACGGGCCAAGTAGAAACGGGGTCGCGCCTGTCCTGCGCACTTGGTGCGCCAGAGGTGCGCCTACGATAAAGAGTGCCTCCCGCACTCCCTTAGAGTGCAGAAGGCAAGAATTAGCTATTGAATATACGGCTGCTTCCTCCTGTTAAGAAGATACCTCCTTGCCTGCCTGACTTACCTGGCCTACCCAAGTACACCTTTAACAATTAATATAGTAGTAAAGAATTGTTACTATTATAAATACTATTTTTAGCAATTTAAAAGCAGCCTTTACCTTTTTAGTTAATATAAATAGTTATATAGTAATAGGTTTATACTTATATAGTAAGCTAAGGCCTATCTTTATTAACTTTATTAAAGCTTATATAATATAAGAGTAGTAGGAAATAAAGCGTTTATAAAAGTTTATAAATCTTAAAAAGGATTAAACGTTCTATATGCACTTAAAGGCTATTTATTTAGTAATAGCTTTAACTTACTTAAGGTCTATAGCTAGCCTTTTTATAGTAATAATAAACCTTAAAAAAATTAACTTTCTTTTTAAAGAATTTATACTTCTTAAGGTTTATATATAGCTACGCAGCCTTTAACTGCTTAAAAACTAATTA